CCTTCTTGTCCATAACCACCGTGGCCTTCTTGTCCTCTGTAACCACCGCGGCCTTCCTGTCCGTAACCGCCGTGCCCTTCTTGTCCATAACCACCGTATCCTTGATTTTGCCCATGTCCTTGGTCTCCATAATTCTGATGGCCAGCACCGTCGCCGCCATAACCTCCCATTTTGCCATGTTGGCTCGGATTTCCACTTTGACCTAATAGAATGGGATTGCAATCAGCCGACTCCCTAGATGAAAATGGGTTGCTTGAGGCCAAGGCCTTAACATACCTGAATGGCCAGCTTGCTGATACGCCCCACCGCCCATGCCACCGAATCCAGGACCGGAAAAGTTTGTATTTGTCTGAGTCTGATAGTCCTGGGGGTGCTTCTGGCCGGTCACGGCATCATTAATTTTATGCAAGATGCCGGAAGATGAGGATTGCTGTCCGCCTTGTGAGTTCTTTTGGTTTGAAAGCTGATCGGTCAGCTTGCTCAACAGGTCTGACATGATGGAACGGCCTTGATGAATATACTGAGTGGGAATGGTAACAGGTCTGCCTAGAATTTGGTTAGAAATAGTTCAAGCGGGAGGAGTTGAAGATCGAAGTGAAGTGGCATCTTTAGAGCTGAAAAGAGGTGCCGGTGAGGAGGCGCAGCGGGTCGTATCAGACCGCACACGTCACCGCCCAACCTTACCACATGAGTGCTACCCCCACTCGGCTTGACCTTTAGCTTGATGGAATTCATTCTGCGTCGAGTAATGGTACTGTAGTGTCCGAGTGGCCTCAGGGCCGTCCGCATGGCTGTTCGTCTTTGGCATACAGGAGAACTCATATTGAATGATCTGATCGAATCGGGTTCCTCCCCATGCAAGGTTCAGCTTCATTAAGCCATGAGTTCCACGCGTCTCAACCCACCAACCCACTCTTCTCATCAGCCAACCACTGAACCAATTCGCTCTCAATTAAGCTCAAATGGCATCCAATCAAGAAAGTGCGAAATCTCCAACTGCAACTACTACTTAATCTATCTTGCCTCCCCCGGGTGTGACTATTATCTGCCTTCTACGTATATGTTGGGTAACCGACCAGCCTCGCCATCCAGTCTAAAAGACCCAATCATCCTGATCGAAAAGTTCATCCAATCACACTTTGCCTAGACCAACCAACACCAACAATGCCACGTTCATCACCACCAGGACAAGCCAGATGGCTACCGCCAGCGCCGTTGTAAACCAACTATTACGCATGTTGACGGCTTCTCCTTCACCTCGCCTCCCCTGAAAATCAACCCGAACGGTCATGATACTGCTGCGGCATGTGAAATACACAAGTGGTGCCGTCACGAAAGGAAGGATGACGCTCAAGACGACCTGAGTTGCCGTAAGTGTCCTGTTCAAGCCGTTTTTGCCGACTGCCCCAGCTATGATGATGCTGGGAACAATGCTGATAGAGCGGGTGATCAATCTCCTTATCCATGGCTTCACGGTCCAATTAAGCATTCCCTCTGAAACCATCTGTCCTGCCATTGTGCAGACTATACCGGCGGAAGTCCCCGAAAGGAGTAGAGCAAGGGCGAAAAGCGTGCCAGCTGCTTTGGAGAGACTTTGGGAGAGTAGATCGTGAATACCGAAAAGATCTGCCTCGGTTGCTTCTGTTTTGGGGTAGAGAGAGGCTCCGGAAACAATCAAGATGGCTGAGTTGACGAATAGTGCGAAGGTGAACAATGAGGTGCCCAATTCCACAATGGAATATTTCATGCAGGCTCGAATGGCATAGATCGATGGTAGGTACTTTGCCTCTTCGTCATCAGAATTATCGACGGCCAAATGACCATTCTGGACATCAAAGTGCTTCAACCTTGGCTGAACGATCCCTGACCCTAAGAATATCGAATGTGGCATCACGGTTGCACCAATGATACCGCAAGACAAGTAAATCCCGTTGTCTTTGATGATGGCTGAGGATGGAAGATAACCTTTGAATACTTCGCCGACTGAGGCGTCCTGAATGTATGATAGTTGAATGCAAAAGCAGATCACGACGCCGAGCACCAAGGCCATAACGAAGTATTCGAACAATCTCAACTTAGTCATGGAGCCATCAGGGCGATAAAAGAGTAAGAGAACAAGGACATCGACGAGAGTGATTGCACACCCAGCAACGAGGGGTATATGAAGCAAGAGATTCAGTGCAATTGCTGAACCAACAACCTGGTATCAATTAGTATGAACAGGAGATAATTCTGTACTCAGACTTACCTCTGCGATATCCGTAGCAATGATGGCGGATTCGGCAAAGATGTACAAAGTAATGGTAAGCCATTTTGGTAGATGTTTTCGGCAATTTTCAGCCAAATTCAACCCCGTAACGGTGCCCAATTTGATGCACAAGGACTGCAAGAAAATAGCAAACAAGTTGGACATCAAGATAATAAACAGGTGCTTGTAGCGTGTGGCGGCACCAGCTTCGACGTCAGTGGCATAATTTCCTGGGTCGATATAGGCAACGGCGATGAGGAAGCCAGGCCCAATGAATCCACAGTACTTGACTAGGACGTCGCGTGCCTTGAAGAAAAAAGTCTTTGATGATCGTAAATTCATGAATTTTCGTGAAGGTCGTTGATCTGGAGAGGCTGTCATAGGATCGAGTTTGACACCACTGACTCCTTTTGCGGCTGATTGATCTTCTGCCTGGTCGACAGGGTTCACCCATTTTTCTTCTTCTTCTTCATGATTGATTCCGAGACTTGATAGATCTGATGGTTGTTCTCTCAGATTGACAATGCCATTGAGGTCAGCCTTGGTGGTAAGATCCGAGCTCAAATGATGTGGGCTCTGATTCCAATCAGGATGAGCCGATGTATCGTCTGACCTGGAAGGGTAATTCATGGTGAATAAGGTTGATAGAAAAGTAGTAGGGTCAATTGAGAGTATAGGTCAATAGACAGTACAGAATAGGTAGAGTTATATGAGTCTCGGAGTGCCCAGATTCATTCGAAACCAAGGTCAGACGCGGATTCTCCCGAACTCATTCTTGGAGCGGGGGAAGATGACGGCTGATTGGGTTTTGAGAAGGCCGTTTTTCAATCTGAGCCACCGCCTACCCTTGCTCACCAAGAACGAGCATGGTCTGCCTGCGAATAGGACGTCAGCAGTCAACGTAAGCAGCTGCAAATCCAGGGACAGAAGGCCTGGGCGTGCATCTGGTGTGTAGAAATCCCTGGACACAAGTTTGACACAGGTCGGATTGGAGCTTGGCGAGAGCCGGACTGGCACTACAGTACGAGATTCGACTAAGTGACAGGATCTAATGTCCGAATTACCAGTAGTCGCTGGGGTTTACAATTCTTGCGGTGTGATATTGTAGACAGTCGGTGGATGACCTTTCTGCAGGAGCTGCAGCATGTGTAGGTTTCTGGTGGGGTTTGGTTCACTTGCCAATGCATTGGCAGATATGATCTACGGACTTGGGTTCATTGGTTGCGGAAAGCATGGAAAGTCAGTCCCCGATAAAGGCAGTGTACTTGTACCGAGTGGATTCAGTGGCTGGGAAACATATTACAAACTAGGAGGTGGTCGGAGAAACGGTCATCAACGAAAGTGGGGCGTAAACCGAACGAGACTGGGAGACGCGCGGAAGCCTTGAAAGATGATACGTTTTAGACGGGAGTATGCATCATAACGTGGTAGCGCTGCTTTAGGAGGTTGGGACACCAAGTCCTGAGGCAGGTGTTGCGCCAAAATCCCGGTCGATCATTAAGCCGCTAGTGCGAGTTGCTATTTACCTTATAAGCTTGCCCGTACATATTCCACGTCTTGAAATCCGAGGTGAAAAATGAAACCCTCCGGGAGAGGCTTTTGACATACAGTGGTTCCCGAAACTGCCCTCCCCTTTGCTAACACATTGCAACTCTCCCGCCCCCCAAAAGCTGAGGATAGAGCTGGGTCACGCTTTCCCAATCTGACATAGTTCGACTAACCTAACTACGAATCATCAACGAGTGGATTTTACTATGGTATTTCCAATACCGTACGGTCCTGGTAATACAAAGCGACCTTGTAACGTGCATCCCGGAAATGCCCTGGGCATGGACATACTTTTATTCCACACATCTCCCAGTCCGCAATCAGGGTGAAATCTATTAATCGAAATATATCCATGTACATATTAACAGGACACTGGAAATGCCATCCATGCTGTTTTTGCCTAAAATTTCCACACCTCTGGCACGTAGGATGACAGAATACTCCGAACAACGTTTTGTAGCTGGATTTCCGGCCTCTGGGTGATGTTTGTCTCAACAGATGTCTCCTTTCGTCTTAGGTTACGCTCGAGGCAACGCCTCACACCTAGCTATCTAAATATCACTTTGGCTGAATGCCTTCGGCCGTTTAAGATGTCATGGGTTACTGCAGCCCTTGTGCTAGATATATTCTCCTCTCGTTTATATACCCTCTACAAGCGATAATAATCATCCTGAGGTAAATATCACAAGTCTTCTCCAGCTGCGATCTCTGCCTGACTGGATTTGAAAGTCCTGCTGGGCTCTATCTCCACTATGTCTTCCTGGATGCTCTAAACCCAATGATAGGAATTCCTGTCCTCATAACCAGACTCGAGGATACGACGCTCAGCGAGCTCAACGCCATGGCCAGACTCGCCCACACCGGGTTCAACTTCGGGTGTCCGGGTGCCGGATAAATCACTCCTGCCGCAATTGGCACCAAGGCCACGTTGTACACCAATGCCCACGCAAAGTTGAACTTGACTCTCCGGAAAACCGTGCGGGAGAGTGTGATAAGAGTCAACAACGAGTGCAGGTTTGAGGACACTAGCACGAATTTGGCACTTGATATAGCAACATCTGAGCCAGAGCCGACGGCAATTCCGGCGTCCGCGGCAGTGAGTGCTGGAGAGTCATTGATGCCATCCCCAACCATAGCCACCATTGCTCTTCCCGCCTTGCCGTTGCGTCTAGGGGCGGAATTTTGTAGCCAACGGATCCGCTCCGCCTTTTCCGAAGGGAGAACACCGGCTATGATATTGGTCGCCGGGATACCTAGCTGATGCCCAACTGCAATAGCGGTCATGGCATTGTCGCCTGAGATCATCCAGATGCTTAACCCTTGCTCACGTAGAGCAGAAAGGACGGAAACAGCTTCAGGACGGAGAGAATCTGTGGTTGCAAACTGTGCAACAAGTTTAAAAGTGGTTTCGTCCCTGTCTGAGAGGGACAATGGACGCAAAGCCAGAAGCGCGACGCTTTTCCCAGCGGATTTCCATGTCGCCATAATGTTGGACTGATCTGTAGTTATAGGAGTGCCAAGGGAGGAGACGAAAGTTTCACTGCCGATGGCAGCCTCGTACCGGGTGTCATTGGCGGATGTATGGATGGTAAATGTGCCTTTGAGACCGCGACCAGGCAGTTCTTCAATGGCAGAGTCGGCGATGGCAGTGCGGCTTTGTCCTCCGCAGAGCGCAGCAATTGCTTTTGCTATGGGGTGACTTGAAGACTCCTCCAGTGCTTGTGCGATTGCCCAGATGGCCTTCGTCTCCTCCTCACCAGAAGCCATGATATCATGGTTTGTCACAGTCGGGTTTCCGCCCTCGGTGAGCGTGCCGGTTTTGTCAAAGACAACCACGTCCAGATCAGACGCTTCTTGAAACGCTTCTCCGCCACCTTTAACCAATATTCCGTGTTGCGCCGCTAGTCCAGAGCCCACGAATAAAGCTGTTGGGGCTGCAAGGGCAATGCCACAGGGGCACGCGCCGACAAAGACTGCAATCGCAAACTGTAGTGCCCAGAATGCCCAGCCACCTGTGTCGACATCAAGCCAGCTCTCCGGGAGTGCCCCGCCCTGACCTAGTCCAAACCAGATAACAAATGTTGATACGGCAATGAGGGTAATAACTGGAACGAAGTATCCCGTCAAGATATCGGCCACTCTCTCCACTGGCGCTCTTTTTGCCTGCCCTTCACGAACGACTTTGACGATTTGGTCAAGTATAGATGCGCCTGAGACTTCAGTGACTCGGACATTAATCGGTTTACCGGTGTTGATTGTTCCAGCAAAGACTTGATCGCCAGTATTCTTGGTAATAGGCCGAGACTCTCCGGTTAAAGAGCTCTCATCGAAGGTGGAATCGCCTAGGACGATTGTGCCATCGGCTGGTGGAGATACACCATAAAGTACTCGGACAACATCTCCGACTTCAAGAACATCGACATTGATTCTCTCGCCATTGGTTATCGGAAGAGATAGCTCACTATCTTCCGATTCTGGATTAGATGTCACGAGCAGAGCTTCGGTTGGCCGGAGCTTTCCGAGCATCGTGACAGCATCACCGGCCTTGGATTTACTGTACGCTTCTAAGTAGCGCCCAGCGAGAATGAACATCGTCAAGAACACAACCGTGTCGAAGTATGTCGATAGTCGCCTGTTGTGTTGCCCCGTTTTTTGCGCTTCTAGAGCAAGTACGGCGATCGAAGGGAAGTACGCCACCGACGTTCCAGCGGACATGAGCAGATTCATGCTTCCAAAACGGTAAAATCTTCGAAGAACTGGGACTTTGCTATTCCGGCTCCACAGTGCTCGGATCTCCTTGATTGCCCTTGTGTGGAAGACGTCGGCAGCGATGAACATCACAGGCGTCGCAAGGAAGAAAAGCGCCCACTCGGCACGAGTGTCGGCACCAGTCCACATATTTTGTTGGAAGAATATTCGTACGCGGTTGGTCGAGGGAACAAGGCTCATCCAGACCACACTGATAAGGAAGGTTGGAATGGCGACGATGAAGCTAAGGAGAAGCCGCAGGAGTAGACGACGGCGTTCGCGGAGCTGCATAGTTCGAGAGCGCTCTTCGATCGTTGGAGGATGGTATATTGTGGCTCTGAGTTGGTCGCTGACGCCATGTATAGTAGCAAGGATACTTCTGATAGTAATGATGCCGGGTTGGGGACGATATGTCATCATGATGATGGGGTCATCGTACGACGGCGGTTTGTCAATAGCAAGTCGTCCCTGAAACGGTGATGATAAAGCTTCAATAACCCGTCGTGGGCATTGATCGCAGAACATGCCTGCTATTCTAATCATGATTGTCCTTTCCACTAGCTCTTTTGTTTGCTGTGGTTGTCCAACTTCAACGATGCTCTCGATTTGGCAGTCGTATCCTCTGTCTTCAATTCTCTCCACAATCTGATCGATGTTGTCCTTCGGGCCGGTAAAGGCGACAGTTGCGCTATTGGTAAGTAAACTGACGCTGACATCCGTCAAGAATTGGAGTCCCTGCACCCCTTCATTAATGGAGAGGATGCATGCCGCGCAAGTCATCCCAGTGATACTGAGAGTGGCTGTAAACTTTTTCGCCTCAGGGATGGTCACGATAACATCCTGAGATGTCTCGGCTTTTTCGTTCGCCTTTTGACAAAGAACACAGTGGTCTAAATGCTTCTCATCAAATTGGTAGCCGGCATCGTCTCGTGATTCATGATGTCCTGCCGTCTGGTGCCGCGACAGAGTTGATGCTTGTTCGCTCAGCATCTGAGCAGCCTGCTCCAACCATTCTTGATGGGTCTGGACTAAATCTTGCTCGTAGATGACATGGCCAGATTCATCTTCGGTCTGCACACTCTGCACTTCGAATGCTGCGTCTGATAAAGCTCGAGCTATGTCAGTTGCGGAGTGGTCGGGAAAGTGGACTATCGTCACCTCGTGTGATATATAGTTCGCGGTAATCGTTAACGGCGCTGGCTGTAATGTACTGAGGACCTCCTGGATGTAGGTGAGGCAGGAGGCACAGTGGACGTTGTTTATCAGAACAGTCGTCGTGACATGGCCTGCTGGCGGCGGGTGAAGTGGATGGAGTGCCATTCGTCTGAAACAATCATCAATGACTTGATCGATGCTCGAAATGTTTTGCTGGCAACTAGATGCTGGTTGCTAGATGGTGAACGGTTAGTGATCACTGCACTGAGTTGTCCCAGAGGGCAATGAATCAACAATAACTGCTGCAGACGCATATTAGAAATAGGTACGATTGATCTTACATAGGTTTGCTAAGTCTGCGCCACCCTACATTACGTGACTGGGCGGATTTTGGCCGGTGAACGGAGGTGGCTGCTTTGATGTTTATGTGCTCAAACATGCTCAACGCTGCTCAACCCCGCTCAACTCAAACTTGCTCGAACTGCTCAACCCTACTCAACCCTACTCAAAAAAGTAATTTTAACTTGCAAAATAGTCAGTGTCTGCAATGCGTCTCGTGCACCAGAATACCCCTATTGGGTACTTCCGCACATATTGAAGAACAGCCGACAGACCCTAGGACGATGGCGTGTAAAAGACAAGGAATGCGATCGCCACAGAAGTCCTCCACTAGCTGCAGCGTGGCTTTACGCTCTTGCCGCCCCAGACACAGGCAAACGCCAGCTGTCCACTTGTGCATGTCCAAGCCATCTTACGCAGTCTTGGCGAGTTGGCTCCGTTTGCTTTTTGCTGGGTCCAAGGTTCCCCAAAATCGGTTCCTCCCCTGGAACTCGTGCAAGCTCTGAAGAAGCTAATGCCACTCGCAGACGGACTAACGAAGGCTACATTCTCAATGACAGACTGCTGGGCCTGACTGATCCATTTCATCGCTCGGACTCCGCCTGAGAGGAGTTGAAAATCCCAGCAAGCAACGGGCACTGCTTCAGTTTTATCCAAAAGCCACTTTCTGACTCTGCTGCCGGCCGTTTCTTATTGCATCTCGCGTCAACAACTCATTCGACCTTCGTTATTCGGTCATCTCGACTTTATGGAATCCTCTCGAACCTCTCTCGCCCCGTGCATTGCCTGCCACCCTGATGGGGTCACTTGGGAGCACCGCCCAGATGCTGGGCCTTGTTGCGATGGTAAGTTCTGCCTCCAACCTAGAATGAATCTTGTATTGAATGAATCTTCAATTACAGAGAGTTGCCTCGAGACCGTGGCACGTCGGCAATGTACCTTGGAATGCGGCGCAGTTGAGACAAAAAGCTCTAGCCGTGACAAAAGTATTTAACCCCTTGCAATGCTTTAATTGAGTAGTGCTAATTTGTTAAGTAGTAACATCTCCCGACGAGCCCGAGTCCTCCGTCCCTTCCCCTCAAACTCGCAAGCGCAAGCAAGGGGCATGTGGCACCCATTCCCGCAGCGCCCGTGAACAATTCGCTACCACCCTCAAGCAAGTGGGTTGCATTTGCAAAGCGCTTATAACGCGCAACCTCGAACCGTGTTGCAAAGTGGGTAGGCCCGTGCAGACTTGGAGCACAACGGCTGTTGCCAGGAAGACGAGCTCGTCGTCGATTCTAAATACGACTGTGAATGGGAGCGATTGTATCAAGAAGGGATCCTGTGGAGGCGAAACTGTCGAGAGCTCTTCGAAGAAAGGCGAACGCTGTGGTTCCAAGAAGACATTGGGATGTTCAACTGTGAAGAAAGATGATAGCTACGGTGTTGAGGAGAAGGGCAATTCTTGTAGCACGAAGGGACATGGTGCCTACTCCGGTGCAAGCAAAGCTGATTGTGGCGGTGCCGAGCAGAAATGCAGCCGCATTGGGACAAACGACGATAAGTGTGGCGATACCGAGAAGAAGTCTAGCTGCTACGTTGCGACAAGGGATAACTGCGGTGCCTCTGAGGACATCAACTGCTGCGGGCTCAAGGTCCCCTCCGCTGCGAAGCAAAACAGAAGTTGCTGCTTGGTTACCGAGGAAGACAATCATTCTGGGGTTACAAGAGACAACTGCTGCGGTTCAGAGAAAATTGGATGTTCCACTGCGAAGGAAGACGGCTGCTGCGGCGTCGAAACCTCTAAGATTGTACCATCCCCTACTGAGTCTTGCGGGACTGGAGCCGACAAAGGGATTACTGGCATGAAAGCAACTAACGCTTCTTGCCCCGGTTCTGGCAGTTCCAACCAGGATGGATGTTCAAAGGATGCCTGTTGTGTTGGCTCTGGCTCTGGCTCCGGCTCCGGAGAAGAGATTTCATTTGCCAAACACGATGAAAAGGTGACAGATCATATCGACATTGAGAAGGGCTCTTTGGCCGTTGAGCACGTTGTCCTGGACGTACAGGGACTTACATGCGTTGGCTGTGAGACTAAACTTTTCAGATCTCTACACGATATTCCTGGAGTTTGCAATCTTCGTACCAGTCTGGTGCTGTCACAAGCCGAGTTCGACCTTGACGAAAAGGCCGGTCCGGTCGCCGAGGTAATCAAGGCTGTCGAAAGGAACACTGGCTTCGCCTGTCAACGACTCAACAACGAAGGACAAGAAGTTGACGTTGTTGTCGATGATGCAAAGGCTTTTGTTGAACGCAAATATCCAGACGGGGTCACTCAAATGATTGCTGCCGACAAGCGCATCGTACGCATTAAATACGACGCCAAAGTCATTGGAGTAAGAACACTTCTCGAGAAGAGTTTCAACAAGCCTTTGACACTCGCCGATCCTCGAGGGTCCTCGGAACTTGAGAGCGGAAAAAGACACGTTCGACATACTGCTTGGATTACTCTGCTCTCCTCCATTCTCACCATTCCTGTCCTTGTGCTGGCCTGGGCTTCACTCCCTCCCCGACCCATCGTCTACGGCAGCGCCTCACTGGTTCTGGCCACCATTGTGCAGGTTGCCATCGCGGGGCCATTCTACCCCAGCGCGTTGAGAGCTCTCATCTTCACTCATGTTATTGAGATGGACTTGCTCATCGTCCTCAGCACTTCAACTGCGTATATTTTCTCCGTCGTCTCGTTTGCCTATCAGGTGGCTGGTCGTCCGCTGCCGACCGGGGAGTTCTTCGAAACCAGCACCTTGCTCGTCACCTTGATCATGCTTGGACGTTGGGTCAGCGCGTTTGCAAGACAGAGGGCAGTGGAGTCGGTCTCCATTAGGTCTCTCCAGGCAGCAACAGCCGTGCTATGCGACGCAGATGGCCGTGGTGATCGAGAGATCGATGCTCGTCTTCTACAGTATGGCGACTTGTTCAAAGTCACGCCCGACTCTCGTATCACAACTGACGGTATGATTGTCTCTGGCATGACGGAGGTCGACGAGTCTATGGTGACCGGCGAGTCCCTGCCTGTCGAAAAACACCCAGGCTCTACCGTTATCGCAGGCTCGCTCAACGGCTCGGGTGTCCTCGTTGTCCGGCTGACACATCTCCCTGGCAACAACACGATTAGCACGATTGCGGCCATGGTAGACGAAGCCAAGTTCTCTAAACCGAAGAGCCAAGAACTTGTGGACATTGTCGCCAGCTACTTTGTTCCAGTCATCCTGATCCTCACAATCGTAACCTTCGCGATCTGGGTTGCCATTGGCATCTCTGTCCGACATCAAAATAGCGGCCGTGCAGTGGTGAACGCCATCACATACGCGATCTCGGTCCTCATCGTCTCCTGTCCTTGCGCAATCGGCCTTGCCGTTCCCATGGTCGTTGTCATAGCTGGAGGCGTCGCAGCAAAGCATGGTGTTGTCTTCAAGTCAGCAATGGCCATCGAGACTGCCCGCAATGTCTCCCACGTCGTCTTCGATAAGACCGGCACCCTTACTCAAGGTGAAATGTCTGTCGCAGAAGCAGTCTATCTTTCCAACAAGGACGACCTCGTTGAATCCATCACTCTCGGCTTGACCTGCGACAGCAAACACCCCGTCTCCGCCGCAATATCAACTTATCTCAAAGAAAAGGGTGTTGATGCTGCTAAGATTGGGGACTCCAAATCAGTCACCGGTAAAGGCGTGGAAGGCACTTTTGACGGCGCGAACGTTCGCTGCGGCAATACCCGCTGGCTCTCAGCCGAGACTCTCCCAGAGGTCCAAGATCTCCTTGCCAAAGGTCTCACAGTCTTCGGCGTAGCAATAAACGACCAACTCATCGCTGTCTTCGGCCTCTCCGACTGCCTCCGCCCAGACTCCCATTCCGTCGTTACTGAGCTTCAAAAGCGCAACATCGCTATCTCGATAGTCAGCGGTGATGATACTGGTGCCGTCGAAGCTGTTGCCGCTAAGCTGGGAATCCCGGCCAGCCATGTGAGATCTAGATGCACGCCTAGCGATAAGCAGGTGTATCTTAAGAACCTGATGGCGGATGAGAAGAAAGTTGTGATCTTCTGCGGCGACGGGACTAACGACGCGGTGGCGCTCGCTCAAGCTGACATCGGCGTGCACATGAACAGTGGCAGCGACGTGGCGCAGACTGCTGCCGACGTCGTCCTTGTGCGCCCATACCTGGGTGGGATTTTGGTGCTACTGGATCTGTCGAAAGCGGCGTTACATCGTATCTTCTTCAATTTCGCCTGGTCATTTGTCTACAATTTGTTCGCTATATTGTTGGCCGCGGGTGCCTTCGTCAACGCGCGGATTCCGCCACAGTATGCTGGATTGGGCGAGATTGTCAGCGTTGTGCCTGTCATCCTGATTGCGCTGCATCTAAGGTGGTTCAAGCGAGAGTATTGAGGTAGAGAATTTCGGCTGATGCTTGTGAATGTGTCTGCATAAAGTCATATCGTCCTCCCACGATTGAGAGGCGACGAAGCAAGCGAATCCCATAGGAAGCTGTGGAAGGATTTGATAATTGCAACTCATGAGCCATCCTCTGGTCTTCCTCGATCTCGAGCGCTCTCTGACATAAGCATCATGGTCAAATGATAGCGAGACCAACCACCAAGATATCATACCAGCACGTGTTCAACCTCGCCTAACCCGTTGTCTGTCCTGCCTGCAAGGCTGGTCCAAACCCAACCAAGGGGATACCCGTCCTCATAATCAAACTCGAACAGATGACACTCAGAGATCTCAACGCCGCGGCAAAACTCGCTCAAGGTCACTTATAGGTGACTAAGGGTTTTCCGCTTTAGTGCTGCGAAACCTACACCTTATGCTATTAATTTATTACCAGGACCGTACGGTATTGGAAATACCATAGTAAAATCCACTCGTTGATGATTCGTAGTTAGGTTAGTCGAACTATGTCAGATTGGGAAAGCGTGACCCAGCTCTATCCTCAGCTTTTGGGGGGGCGGGAGAGTTGCAATGTGTTAGCAAAGGGGAGGGCAGTTTCGGGAACCACTGTACTGTACATATACACCCAGACAAATCAATTCCAGGACAGATCATGGCCATGAGAAGGTTGTGAAGATACTACTGGGCGCCGGGGCGAATGTCGCACTGGAATATGCAGGAATTGCTGGAGGATTCGCTTCTCTCAGTGTTGAATAACGTCGAGCTACACAATTGTTTTCCACTCCCATGCGCTGGAATTGTCTCCCTCCACATCCTTAAACCCACTGACCATAGCCTCGCCGATAATCCTGTATTTTGTCGAGGCAACGGTTCGGAGGATAACAGGACTCGAGCAACCCCGAATATGAAAGACCTCGTCCCCAAGTCTAGCATTTGGATGCATCCAACCAAAACTCCCTTTCTTCGTCTTAGCGTCAACTATCAATGCGAGACGCAGACCCTTCGCAATTGCGTGCATGAGAGCTCCAAAAAATGCATCCGTTCGCTGATCGCTTTGTTGATTTTGTACAGTCTTATGTTCCACTGTCGAAAACTCGCTTTTCACACCCCGTACTAGCGTCAAATAGCCACGGATAGAGTTGATTTCAGCAGCATAACACCCGAGTGTTGAGCCACCCATCATGAGTTCGCGATTAACGTAGACCCATTTGACAAGGAGAGATGCCTCCGGATGGGCAGGGTTAACATTTTGGTGGAATAAAGACGCCAAAGCGTAAGCATAGACCTGTTTCAGGGACTGACGGTGCTGCCCTTTCTCCTCCTCTGGCCGGGCCTTTATGTTGAACAACCCTTTTCTTGGATCAGGTGACCGGAACCGGGATGCTCTGACAATATTCGGGGATTGGGAAGAGGGGACTTTCCATTGCTGCTGACGGTGCCCTTCATCCTCCCTCCGGCGGGCCTTCATCTTCAACCAGTTGGACAATATTTTTCTTAGATGCGGTGACTGAATCAGGGGTCCGGAAATATTTGGGAATTGGGAAGAGGGGACATTCCGTTGCTGTTCGTTCTGCGAAGACATATGCTGACGAACGTCATCGAGAAGGTCCAAGAGCGTAGACCATACCACCATGAAACCTGCCTTGGAGAGTCTATCGGTTTGATCAGAAGTCGGAAATACATCAGTATTACCGTCCGAGATTGTCCACCCGAGGCTTCTTATCGTTCCTACACGACGCGCTGGTGTTTTGAGTTCTCTTATCAAACCTCCCACAGTGGCATGATTTGGTAACAACCCTGGCTTTTGTCCGATGGGTGGTCCGATGAAATGGCTATCTCGGAATGGTGATGTATCAAGGTCGAAAAAAGCTGGACACCAGGAAGGTAAGGAGCCATCACGAGGACCATGTAAAATGACGTTGAGGGATTCAAACCTAGAGATGCACCTCTTAGTCATATGGAATCGAAGATCGACCAAATCAGCCCGGTAATCTGGATCGGGTATATATTGCTCTCCGTCACTTGCAAGGCTGAGAAACCCAAAGACTTTGTCCTTCTTATCGGTGCATTTCGAATGGTTAGAGCGGATCAAAAGATTTATAAGCGACATCTCAGATCGGTTCTGGTAAGTGTCTCTGATAAACATCAAGTTCTTGAAGGTGAGGGCAATCGGGGCGCTTATAAGACCAAGCTGCTTGGAGTTCTTTCCTTCCAGGAGCCAGAGCAAGAACCGGAGATATAAAGCGAGTAGCTGATGTCTGAACTCGAGACCTCCCCAGAGAACACTCAGGTTGGAGTTGAGTGCAAATTCCTGGACTACCCATACCCGAGACCAATAGGGGTTCTGAATGAAGGCCATTGTTGCTTCGACCAGTCGAAGTCGCTCTTCCTCATGGAATGAGTAGCGATTATAGAGGCTCTCTATATCAGCCTCCAGCTCTTTCGGGTCCCGCGGAGCGGATGACTGTAAATTACCCAGGAAATGATAAAGGACTCCGGCATATGGATGTGCTTGGCCGACCCAAGCTTTCACGCTTCCCGCGCTGCCGAAGATCCGCTTCATTCGTGAAACTTGGCTGCCTCGTTCTATCAGGTCGTCTTGATTTATGCAGACTGCGTCAACCTAATAAGAGATCAGATGACTATTATTTAAAGTTGAGCAGCTCAATTTACCCAGTAAAGCGCACCCTCCCTATCTTTGGGACATAAATCGCGCAGTAGGTCAGCCAAATTGGAGCGGATTTTGAAAGGCTGATCATTGACGTAAATAGTGTGGCTCTTTGATTGGTCTCCCCAACAGTACGATACGGCACAGTAATTGCCTTGGGCGTCATTGATACTGACGTGCACCAGCTGGAAATTTAAAAAGAGGTTAGATAAAAGACTGCCAGAACTCTTCACGAGTTTTAGCAATCTTATATCGGGGCCAGAGAGTGGTTCGTAAGGGAATGCTTCTGCGTCGTTGTCGCTATTGCTGTTCGGCGGTTCCGACGGCTGACTGCTAGTGTCCTTATTTCTGCCGGTTTGGTCACTACTAATTAGGCGTCGGAGAAACGTATTGTGCTTTTGATCGCAGACATCGCTCAGCGCGTTCCTGATGTGGCTCTGTCTCTCGGACAAGTAGTGGGCAAGACAGTAGTACCATATAACTCGATCAATGCCCAGGAAGTAGACGCTGACCCCCGGAGCGACGAGGATCGTGGTAGTAAGGAAAAGATGTTCGGTAGTCCATGCCCACAGGGTATTCAAGAGAAATATAATAAAGACAAGCACCGTAGCGCCTAGGAGGGCCCATTCTACAAGTTCGCGAATCATGATGGCGTGATCTGAACAAACTGAAGATATTGGGATTGATACCTAGTGAGTTCAGGCGGACGGATACTGTGCGAGTTTGAAATCGAAGGTTTTCATTTTAGGTATAGCGCGCCCTGGGTCGCACACAAGAGTGCGCATGCCCATGTCGCCTGCTAAAGAACGTTGTCCTCTTTTAGGTCGACATTTCTCGAATCTTCCGTGCTGCGGATCTTCCAGCAGATTGTGCTCCTACTACGGTGAACCACAAAAGTCGGTATGGCAATCACCGCAATCCTCAGGCGCCACGATATTAACGTCAAGGTTTGTTCCGCATGTGACGACTTACGACAATTGGACTGTTGGAACCAACCTTTTGAGCGTCTTTCCTGAAGTCGCGGGCCGAATTGGAATACATAATCGATGACGAGACAGGCATGACGGAGAATGCTGGTTCTCCTTCAAGTCGAAAAACAAGATCTGTAGAGATGCCGTAGGAGAGCATCTGATGCGTGGACTTGTTGAAGCGGTTGTAGGCGTCAACCTGTTAGCGGTGAAGTGCAGCTTCACTCCATAGCTCATATAGTACTACTATATTCTCAAACAACTAGCAGATCTGCTTGCATAATTGTAGACACCACTCCAATGCCTATTCATTATTTCCAGTAATGTCATTGCCACTCTCCCCGATGATAAATTCCGCAAAGTTCGGTAGGGCCGGCTGGGAGTCTCTCCCGAATGGACGAAAGAGATTTCCCGGCACTCACAAACGGGTGTTGGGGCCCAAAGATCTTTGTTGATAATTCGAAGACCTGTCCTTGCAGTTTCTCAGCCTCTTCATACACGCCTTGATTGCCCAAGACTGAAGACAACCCGGCGATGACATTTAGCCAACTGAGATGATTGGTGCTTCCGAGTGATTCCCATACGGCCATGACCTCCCTGTATGGAAGCTCGGCATCGGCATGGCGTCCTTGGTGTTCCAGGAGTCTCCCAAGATTTTCTTTGATTGCTAAGCTGTCCGGGTGCGAGATACCTTACCACACTGACACCGAATGATCTTACTCGCCATGAAACATCACTCTTGCCGGCTGAGCGGGGGCGGAGGTAGCTGGTCATCGCAATTATAGTGAGGACAGCGTGTGGCAGAACTCAGTTGGGGATTTCGTGGGCGCATGATGAGGGTAGGTAATTGGACTCGTGGACGCTCAAATGCAAGCCATAGCTTTTAAATTTCACGTCGTTACGGTACGGTGGAGGTCTGATGCGTAACCGGTGATTCCACTTTAGATGCTTCTGCGATAATAGCGTGAACAGTCGCCTTGGCTTCTCTGCATCCCGTGGTACATTAAGCGGCGATGAAGCTGTCATCCCAATGTACTCCGTACAGGTATGGGTAATGGGGAGGACGTTAAAGACGTTGCCTATTCAGGTCTAGAATTAGGCCGCCTCGTTCAACAGATCTGACGCATCTGCCTCCCTTCCCTTTCTCCCTTTCTCTCTCAGTTCCTGGATTGCCCCACTTTCCCTGATCGCCCCCTACCCTTCTTCTTTCTGGATTGGTATCTGCCCTGGAGTCGAAGGCGAAGTGTAATTTTAGGCTGGCCGACTCGCAGATGGATGCAAGTTCGATTCGCCGAGTGGCAAGGGTCGTCTCGATCTCGAGCTATCTCACTCTCTGGCGAAATTTCTGGAGCCGAGCTCTTCGATGGCTTCGTATATAACTCCGGGTAGCCACGGGACGGATCACGTCCGGCATCGAACAACGTTGCTCCGCTCAATTCGCTGACCACGTCGTCCGGTGAAGGGGCGGGCGGAGGCGAGGGTGAAGGCGAACATAAATACTGATTGAAAATGGCGTCGACATCGACATCGACATCTCCTGGCTCGAGGGAGCCGATCGCGTCATGGGGGGTTGTGCAATGGGATGGGAATAAATCAGAACCGAGGTCGGTAGATTTATCGCCATCGCCGGTGAACGCCAGAGCATCCTCGGCTGTGCGGTCGTCGTCTGTGTTTGCTCCAATGGGGGGAAGATTTCTGGCCCTGCGGTCTAGCCACTGGCTTATTGCGGAGCGAGTCTCTAGGGGTGTTTGCATCATGGCAACGTCTGCCCTCTGGCTGACCGTGATACGAGTCCTTTGCTGGGAACCGGCCGACAAGGGGGTTGGGACCGTCGCATACGTGGCCGGCCAGCTCGGCAAGATCTCCTGCTCAACGGGCCATGGCGCTTCCACCGCGTCTGGCCCGCGAGGCTCCGCTTCCGACGGGCTGTTACCGCTCGAACTATGCGTGCTTTCGGAGGAGGGGCAGGAAGTCCCCAGGAGCATCGCCGAGGCGAAATGCGTCAGCCCCAGATCGGAAAGGCGTGGGTCAATCGACAGGTCTGAGTGTGGGCTGCCGCTGGATTGCAGCAGGTCGACGGGAGCCGCTTCCTCTCTCGGGCACCAGTCGACTGAGGAAGGCAGAGTGTCGTAGCAGTCTCTCTTTGGGAGGGCAGGGAAGGCGATGGAGCTACCTTCGTGTTTCAAATACGATCGACCTGTACGGCAATGTCGCTTGCTTGCGCTGACCTTGGTCCGCTTGTAGCAGTGGGTGTCCTGAGCGTGATATTGGAGATCCACGATGGCGTTGAAGGAGAGACCGCATCGCGGGTCAGGACACGACATCGCCTTGATCTCGTTCGACCCACCCGACGCAAGAGCGAGCCCGTCCTCCTTCCCGAGCTCGTCTTTCCCCTCGAGCCCTTCAAAATGCCTGTCCAGGTGCTGCTGCCAGGGCAGCTTTTTAGGGTACTGACGGAACCGCTCTTCGGGTGTAAGCAGCGGGTTGAACAAGCAGAAGGGGCAATAGCCAGCCGCGGCCAAGGTCTGGCGGAAGGTCAGGGGATTCCACTGGACGGGGAGTGACTCGAGGTCGTTCAAGTGGCGCCGGCAGTGCTCACACCAGCCCTGCTTGCCGGTGATCCACCGGTCACAGTGGAAGCACAGCTCGGCAAAGCCGTGTTTCGCCGCGAGACTGGCTTTATGGCACCGGTAAATGTGATCCCATCGAGCCGCGAGGCGGATGCTGTCGGAGTCAATATTGTCAGCGACGCGACGTTCGCTGAACGAAAATCGAAGAAATGCTAGGGGGAGTTCCAAGGAGCCACTCACCTTCCCATCTCTACCGCGCACGTCGATACGGGGCAACGGCCATTCTCTGGACGCAGACTCGGGCGGTAGGCCACCTTAGGGTTCTCTTGACACAGGGTGATCATATCCTGGAGAGCCGCCCGCCCCTCAGGGCTCCGGAGAGGAACGTCGAGGAAAAGAGAGGAGGCCAGACGGTCGCGAGGCGGATCCAGCCGCCGGACACGGCCGAAGAAGCTGGGTAGCGATGCGACGGGCGAGGCCTCGGTTTCGGTGTCCTGGTTGACCTTCCGGGGTTGGATCTCTTGCCACCTGCTGAGTTCTTCCGATACCATCTGGCGCTTCTGCCAGTACAGCTCCTCCCGGCGGGTCCGTTCTCGCTGACCGTCGTGCTCGACCGGAAGGCGCCGCATTCTTTCTCCCAGGGACTCGATCTCCTCGTTGAGCGCGATAGAATCGGCGCGCGCTTGCAGATTCGCCTCCACTTTCGCCGGCAGCGATTGCAGCATTTGCGGGTGGTGCTGCAGCGAGAGGCCGCGGAAGCCCTCGAGGTAGACGGTGCGGCGCGCTTTCCCCCAGTAGCTGGATTGCCCGTCGACGGTGCTTATCTGAGGCATGTACGACCCGAAGAAGGTGTCGGAATTTTCGTGGCCGGCAAACTTCATCCTCTCGGCGGTCGAGTAGCCGTTGTCTGCGCCCAGGTCAGCACTTTCCGTTCCCGCGGCCTCGTTCAGCAGGACCGACCGTCGGCCTTGACCAGGACCTCCCTCCTAAAATCGTGGACCCGGATATTTTCTTCATACCCCGCTCGATGGCCCAAGCCGACCAGCCCACTGCTGAAGGACACTGCCGGTTGAATCTTTCCGGTCGGGCCCTCGGGGGACATGGTCCGGAAAAAGGGCACCCGGTGCAGCTCTTTCCGAATTCGAAGATGGTGTAAGGACCCATCGGCCGGGGGCAGGATCGCCTCGATCTCCTCGAAGGTGAGGTAATCTTGGAAGGCGCCATCGGCGAGGGCGATGGCCAGCAGCGGCAGGACCGGGTTCGCGTACAGCGGCTGCATGTCCTCGTACATTCCGTGCTGTGGCCTGGTGGAAGCTCAATGTCAGCAGGATACCCGTTGCAAGCGGAGAAGCGGAAGGATTCGGTCGACCGACCTTTTGTGTGGCTTATTGGTGAAGCCTTTCGCGTCGCGCGTGGCCCGCACGGCGAGCTCCGCCTCTCCTTTCTCATTCTTGAAGACGACGAAGACGATATCCTACATCCGAATTGTCAGCACGGGCCCATCCCCGTTGAGATGGCACGGTATTCTTACCTTATATAGTAACCCTCGTCCGGAGCCGCGGCGCATGTTGGATTCGAAGATCTCTCCCACCCTCGACGGCGTGTAAACGAAGAGGGTACAAGCCGCGTGGTTCTGAACCAGGCTTCTGGGATGGGTGTACTGGTGCCAATCCTTTTGCCACTCATGTTTAATCAGAACGATAAAATGGGGCACCGTCATAAAATGTGGCTGCCGTCGCTCGGTTGAGAGGTTGTGCTTTTTCTTCAACTCCTTTTCGATGTACTAATACGAACTCTCAGCTTCGCCGACGGAAGCGAAGTAGGATGAAAGAGACAGGAGACGAACATAGTACACCGACTCCGACACCTCGTGGGGGATTTTTCGGTTATCAGGTCGTCGCTTCCAAGCGGCGCCAAAGTCGGTCCACTTTTGCTTCACGTAGCTCAGACTCTGACCATTCTTCACAATACCGTCCATAAAATGCTTCGCGGACCGTAAATCGTAGGGGCTCACGCCAGGATTTCGCCTTGCATACCTACGCGCCAGAGTGCACTTCGTTAGTAAAGACAAGCACGACCCGTGCCTGGGCAGGCGAAGGACTTACTCGTCCCAGAGGTCGGTCATTCGGTCGTAGTTCAGCTCAGTCCCAGGTTCAATGGGTTTGCTGACCCGATCGCCATTCACGTCGGCGTCCGCGATCGGCTGCCAGCCATTCTCCTCCGCTTCATCAAAGACTTCCGTCGCGGTTTTCTTTCTCTTCGGCATTGGGAAACAGCGGGCGGGGCAGGAAGCGCCGGAGTGTAGCAGGAGATCCAGGAAGGACGAGCGCCGAGAGGCAAGCAAAAGCAGACGACTGGGGAGGGAGGGTCAAGGTACGACGAAACGCGAGGAAGGTGCGTTTAGGCAGTCAGAAGACTGGATGGAAGAGTGATTCACACGAGAAGTCGAGGGAGGGCAGGGGAAAATGTGAGGACCGAGAGAGCGAGAGGAAGAGAGGAGAGGGAAGGGAAGAGAGGAAGAGAAGCATCGTCCTGCAGAACAGGGGGATTCAGTTGACCCCTTCCAGCAACGTACAGTAGCAGGGCATCCTCTCAGTGATCCCACCTTTTCATCAGGGCCGAAACGGGCCCTCATCGATGTGATCGGGTAAAGTTACCACGAGGCTGGATGTGCGCAACGTTGGCGCCTGTAGGACTGGAGCCCAAACGGGACCCTCACCGGCACGTGAGGGAGCACGGCAGGAGCGGGCCAGAGCCGTGAGGGAGCAGAAGGGAGCAGGAGGGAGTGGAGGGGGAGCGCGCAAGAGAGGAAGGGAGCAGAAGAGAGCGGACGAGGGAGCGATTCGACTAAATAGTCGTTAGCGGGAGAGCAAAGCGGCGAGTGATGAGTCAGCGAAATCACCCTGGGCGTCGACTGTTCGGGGATTATATATATATATATATATATATATAATCCCCGAACAATCGTCACCCGCGACTTTTCGCTGACTCATCACTCGCCGCTTTGCTCTCCCGCTAACGACTATTTAGTCGAATCGCTCCCTCGTCCGCTCTGTTCCAGTCCCTTCTTCTCTGTCGCGCTCCCCTTCTGCTCTCTATCTACTTCCTTACGGCTTTAGCTCCAGCAGCGATGAGCAACGGCTTAGGAAGCGTACGCGATACCATACCGACATTTTTGCTGCCCAGAATGATCGTCATAGCTGCCTCGTCGCAAATGGCGTTATGGCCAGCCTCTTCAGCGGCATCGACAGTGCTGTACAGCTGTGTGTTTGGAAAAGAGGGGCACTGTACCGCTTGATGAGACTTGTGAAGTGGAAGTCGTCCCACTTTTTGATATCCCCGACAGGAGCTAATTCTTATGTTGAGTGTATGTGGGCGACGATGGAGCATAGACCAGCAACCGTGCATTCGGCGTGGTCAAGTAGTCGACCGGGGTCTGAGTCATCTCACCGTACACTGTCACTTCAAAACCCGGTCGAGCCGGGCCATTCGTTTGAGAAAACCGCGTCGTTCGACTGTGCGCCCCTTTTTCCGTCCTGGTGCGGAGAAACGGCCCATCACCCCGGCTGGCTTGTGCATACTGTGGTCAAGTTCCAAGTGCATAGTAATGGCTTGGCCGATACCGCAATAACTTGCTTGGCACCTTGGGCCAGCCTTGCATCATCTCTCGTCATCTTTGTTGGCTTCGGTTGGCTTCGGTTGGCTTCGGTTGATTCTATTGGCTTGACCTAGAGAATGCTGACTCGGCCAGATTCTAAGGTGATCTGAGCAGATGCCGTGTCATTTTACGCCCTAAAATGTGGACAACCAGCGCCTCATGTGCCACTACCGTCACAACGCCCGCCCTTGCGATTAGATATCAGAGCTGCTGCTCCTTTAAATTATCTCGCGCAGGTTGTAAGTAGTAATGGAGAAGCCAACGTCCTTCATTTGTGCTTTCGCCATCTGAGTTGGCCTGCAAACGAAGGATCCCACAAGTCCTGGTAGACATTCACTTCGCCAGGGGATTCCCCTCGATGCTGGAGACCCTTGCAGCCAGCTGTCTCAGTTGTCTCACCAAAATCTGAATTCCTCATCCACTCGATTACACTCCAGCACTGTATCATTCCACCAATGGCTAATCGGATCACAACGCCCTTTGGCCAGGCAGTGCCTCCCGCGCCACGCCATGCGGTCACTGTTCATATGCCTGGCTGGCAGAGCGTACAGAAATACGGTGCTGATCCACGCTCGGTCATTGCGACTTTCAGCAATGCTTACCCTCGAGCGAAGCCACATAGAGACATTGCCAGTGTTGGTTTAGCTTACTCGCTCACGTATCTTTCGCACACGCTAATTTTTGAGCAGCTCGCCAACATGGTCTTGAGCCACCTCGGTCTTACTGGCCATGGTTGTTTCTTGTTTAGTTCGTTGGCATCGGCGGAGGAATGTGTTGGATATTGTACATCGCCGCGGCGTGCCGACAGCGAAAGAAGTCCCATCCCACCAGATGTCATTCAGATTCGAGCTTTCAAGGCAAAAGATCCGTTTTGGCCGGTTGTCTTCCCTTCAGAATATGAGTCTGTTGCAGCGGGGTTCTGGAGCAAACCCGGGGTCGGTGTATCTTCACGTTTCGCAGAGGCAAATTTATCGTTCATCAACCAGCTTGCGGAAGCGAGCATTTCCTATCAAGTTGAGTCCAGACCGAGCTTCGAGACTGCCAAACACGAAACTATACGAGAGCGAATCATTTCCTACCTGGAGCGCGCCACGCTACAACCTACAGTACCGAAGCCTTCTTCAAACGACGTATTTCTCTTTCCCACCGGCATGGCTTCCATCTACAAGCCTCATACATACCTCAGCCACCTCCATAACGGCACAACAATACTTTTTGGTATGGCTTTTATGGATACCGTGACAGCATTCCAAGAATTTGGGTCAGGCTTTAAGTTCTTCGGCTTGGGCTCTGATGAAGATCTACTGGCGCTTGAGGTCTTTCTTCGCGAAGAGCGCAGTCAGGGACGTAAAGTGCAAGCGATCTGGGCGGAATTCCCGGCGAATCCTATCCTCGTCACGCCAGACCTGGTTCGACTTCGCGCCCTGGCTGACGACTATGACGTTATCCTGGCTGTCGATGATACCATTGGCAGCTATGCGAATGTCGACATAACACATATGACCGATATACTTGTTACGTCGCTCACGAAATCCTTTAATGGTTACGCTGATGTCATAGCTGGTTGTGCTATTCTCAATCCCACCTCTAGACACTACAACACACTGAAGACCTTGTTCAACGCCCGGTATGTGCCGGAGCTTTATGTTGATGATGTGGAAGCCCTTGAGCGGAACAGTCGCGACTATCTCACGAGAACGAGGAAATTAAATCACAATGCTAAGTCGCTGGTGGATTATTTACGGACGTGTTCCGAAGATCGCAACAGCGCCGTCCACAGAGTTCACTATCCCAGTGTGAACTCTTCCGGAAAACACTATCGGCAATTCATGCGCCGCGAAACACCAGAGTTCACTCCTGGTTACGGGTGTCTCTTCAGTGTCGAATTCGACGATATCCAGACGACGGAGGCTTTTTACAACAATCTCAATGTGCACAACAGCGTGCATCTCGGAGCACCTTTCACCCTTGCGTTTGCATACACGGCGTGTACATACGCCAAGAAATTGGACTGGGCGGCAAGCTACGGCTTAAAGCCTACTCAAATCAGGGTTACCGCGGGCCTCGAAGACACCAATCTATTACTAGAAGACTTTAGGATCGCTGTCGAGGCGGCCAATCAAGTCCGATCGCAACCAGGCCATTGAACGTGGGAGAGTCAGAATACATTTCTCAAATGCTGCATTTCGTTGATCTTCAGCACGCAAAATGTGGTTTTCTTCTCGTCAGCGGCTGACAGAGGGAGATATCACGTGATATTCATGATCCAGCTGCTGCTCCAGGCGCCAAGGGGGCCCGCTCGTTGTCAAGGCACGCCCTATTGTATCCTTTTTGTCACGCGTTCCCCGCTCACCGATTGTCTTCCTGCGCAAATCGAGGAATTATTGTATAGCTATCTCTGAGCTTGATCATCTGTTCCTTTCAGATATAACGCTTGAGATCTTGGTTCTTTCTGCTTGCCTGAATGCACCCTCAACCTTCGCACCGCGCCTTTCGCTAGTGTCCGGTCATCACTGCGGACAAGACCTCACGATATTAGAGTACGAATCCCATAATCACGGGATCACCGTGCCTGCGACAACTGCCACAATGGCGGCATCTGAGGGAGCCGATCTCTTCAAAAAACCCGCAGCAAGGCTTCCGCGACTCGTGACGAAAACGCTGCAGCAGTGGTTTGCAGCGCACGCTTCTCACCCGTTCCCAACGGAACATGAGAAGAAGATCTTGCAGGAGCAAACAAATCTCAGTGCCCGTCAAATTTCTAATTGGTTTGCGAACGCACGTCGCCGTTATACCGCCAGCTCATTCGATAAACGTCCGACGTCTTCTGCGCATTCCATCTCTGTGCCCAATCTGGCGAGCACCGCAAGATGGCAAGATATGAATCCGCTGGATCGCTGGCGCCATTCTCCCCCGGATCAGGAGCCTGCTCCTTTCGATGCAATCGCCATAGCAGTCCGCAATTCGCTTCATTACACTGGCTCGGAAGCCGCAAGGCTGCCTGACTCTTTCATCACCCCACGTCCTCCGCCTCGAGCGCATTCAGACAATTCCTTCGACTCAGTGAGCTCGCTAGGGGCCAGTCAGTCGTCGAATTCTACAGACAGTGCCTTTTCACTCGAGTCTGACCATTCCAATCCAAACCTGCAGCATTGGTGGCATCTCAAACCGCGCAGACGCAGGCGTCGTCCTTCTAAGCAGTTTGAATCGTCAACAGAACACCCGGCCGATGGCCGTAAAGCGCGAAAGTACCAATGCACGTTCTGTACAGACACTTTCGTTTCCAAATACGACTGGACTCGACATGAAAGCGCCTTGCATCTCCTCCTCGAGAAATGGATTTGCTGCCCACATGGCCCGATTTATTTTGACCACGTTCCGCGTTGTTCGTTCTGTGAAGCAGAAAATCCCACTACTTCCCACTTACAATCACACCATTATGATGAGTGTGCAGCTAAGCCTGCGCCATTCCGCATTTTCGGTCGCAAGGACCATTTGAGACAACACATGCGTCTAGTCCACCGAGTTGATCACATGCCGGACCACATGGCGAACTGGAGAACCAAGATCACCTCATTAAACTGTCGCTGCGGCTTCTGTGAGGAACGGTTTGTCGACTGGTCTATTCGTAACGACCATATTGCAGAACATTTCCGTGACGGCACCTCGATGAGGGATTGGACAGGGTGTCGGGGCTTGGACCCCGAGATAGCGTTGCTGGTAGAAAACGCCATGCCACCCTATCTAATCGCGTTTGAAAGGAATGAGTTCGAGCCATTCAGCGCCTCACGCAACGCCGGGCGACATACAAGCGCTGGCCAGCATACCCAGCGGGTACCTACAACCTTCGAGTCCCTTACTGTACGCTTGGGCGAGTTTGTCTTGCAAGCCATGAAGGACGGCATCACCGTCACCGATGAGACTGTACGGAAACAGGCACGTATGATAATGTACGGGGACAACGACGCCTGGAACCAGACTCCCGCTGACAATGCCGAGTGGCTTCGACTATTCAAACAAGGTGTCCGTCTGCAATCGGCCGCGGACCCTCTCTCGACGCAGTTTGATTTACGTCTCATGTTCACGAGCAGCGGCGCGGACGTACAGACATGCTCGCCGGACAACACAGATACTCCCTTACGCGCACCGGTTGAATCTGCGTTACCACCGGCGGGCGTCCCGTTGTCATTAGAAGGCACAAATATAAACAGCGATTCGCTCTCACCGTATGCATTTGACGACCTAACAAACTTACCGCTGTGCTGGCAGACTCCAGAGTGTCTGGCTGAGTTCAGCCAGATGTCCTGCACACAGCGCGCCTTTGAAGAGATAAATGCTTGTACGAATACCATCAGTGATGGCACGTCAATTGCACCCCGGTCTGGAATGCCGCCAATCCGTGACACGGAAGGCTCGACTCCCTTTCCAGCAGAACCTAATGAATGTGCACAGCAAGAATCGTCGGTTCAAGACAAACCTGCCGGTCCATGTCCATTCTCAGCATGGACGCGCGCGGATGACTTGGTTTTTCCATTTGACTTCAGTTGGTTTGAGGAAAGCCAACATGAGCAACCCGTCTCGTCAACATTGTGAAACAATGGCCGATCTTGGCCCATATCAATTCTATCCTGACTGATTTGCCGACTTTCTCAGTGCGAGCGGTACATGTTCTTCTAGGCCGGCAGAAATTTTGCCGTCAAGCATTCCTGAGGATGGAGTTTCCTTTCTTGTAAGGGCAAACATGGACGGCTTGATCCCAGGATCTCTCCACTACGAAGTCTTGTGAAGCGGTTTTTTGCTTTGCTGCGGCCATGGCGCAATCAAATATTGTATATACTTCCTTTTCCTCAAGACCTCAAGACTCTTGGATCGTGAACAAGATGTAGCCGGTTAAAGCTGCTGATTTGACTACGTTTGCTATCTAAAACCGCTTTATATCAGTGAGTCGGCCAGGAAAGTGGTCTAGCATGGTGGCGGAAATATGCCACTGTGCGCACTTGGACCACAGGTAAATGCGACCTTCCCCCAGGCAAGAGACAGGGTACCCTTCGGAAGACCTGGCCAATATGACATCGTGCCGCACGCCTAATGGCGGACCCGCAATGTCAATCAGCGCCCTAACTTTAAGTATTACGCCTGATTGTCCTGGATATGTGGCGGCAAAAGTCCACGCAGGCTCATGACGAAAACGGTACGTGAAAACTATTTCGATGCCGTTGTTGCCAGCCTCTGTTTGTCAAAAAGGAAACGATTGATTTCTGTCCTCGCACAGCCTTCATCGCGCTACTTCGTTTTCTTCAAACAAAATTGACTCTTCTCTGAAATGAACCATCCCAGATCTGGTGGTACTGAAAGCCCTGGCCGCCTCATATCACACTTCCTGACAAGGTGACTTTACCGTTTCCATGCTATAGGCACCAATGTTCAAAACTTAACTTGTACTTCCACAACTCTAGGGATCAGACAGACACGGGGGAACAGAATGCAGGATGGTCCGAGCTCTGGGACTCGGATCAAAGTGATCTCTGGGACCGGGGAAAGCCATCGCCGGCCCTGGTTGATTTCGTCGAACAGAAACTAAATCAGGTCCTGCCGCATAGGACTAATGGACAATCTGTGAAGGTACTGGTGCCGGTAAGTGTGCGTATGGAGGTCCTCAGGGGAGCTCGCCCGAAATCTCGTGGCGAATGGTATGTTAACGAGAACCGGACGTTCTACTAGGGCTGCGGGCGAGGATATGACGTCGTCATGCTTGCTCTCCACGGCATGGATGCCTATGGTCTCGAAGTCTCTCAAACCGCAGTCTCCGCCGCGAACACCTATGCCGAAGCTCAACTGGCCCATCCGTCCGCGGCAAACTTTTCGGGATCGGCTCCTCGACCTCCTAAGGCTCCTATCAATCGTGGCAAGGTCAAATTCGTCGAGGGAGATTTCTTTATGTCAGATTGGATGATAGATTGTCTGGATGAAGGGGAGATATCCGAAGGGTTTGACTTGATCTATGATTACACGGTAAGCCACTGCGCTTTTCTTCCCTTTGGTACAACGCACTTTGATTTATAGTCAGTCATCTTGTTACCAGTCGTCTCGTTATTTCAACTAGGAGCAGATCGAGCAAGCATGAGAGGGTATTGATCCTAGCCAATTGACTAATATCAACCTCTTGTCTAGTTCCTGTGCGCGATACCGCCGTCCCTGCGTTCAAATTGGGCGAGACGAATGAAGGAGCTATTGTCCCCAACAGGGATCTTGATCTGTTTGGAGTTTCCCTTGTGGAAAGAGCTAGATGCCGTCGGTCCCCCTTATGGCCTTAACGGTGTCTACTGGAATCTACTTGCTGAGGGTGGGGACGGGGTCCTTCATGATTCCGAATCCACTGGCGCAAAACAGATGGATCAAGGTCAAGGACCGTTTGAGAGAGTGCTTTATTATAAACCGGAACGGTCATACGACCAAGGCCGAGGTACCGATATGGTCAGCGTGTGGAAGCTCTCCTGACCGAGACACCTTCCCTATTCCCAGCAGTGCCCGACCGTTCGAGCACCTCACAAGAGGAGTATGAGTCAGTGGTTCTGTTTATGGATGTCTGAGCTTCAACACAAGGCTTCCCCAACAGCGTGTCTCTCGGCCTGCGTCACAAGCTCGTATGCCATCCTTGTCTGTAATCTCCCGTCGGGCTCCGACCGAAAGGAGGAAGGCGGTGATTTCGTGGTATTCGTAAAGACATGAGAGATGCAACACGGTCCAACCGTGAAACGCTGTCACAGGTTTGGCAGCCGCTGGTATCATTGCTGGTGCATTCTCGTGAGTCAAGCAGAGTGTACAAAACATTGAGGCCACAAAAATTGCTCCTCTAATAAGGCATCAGCATGATTCTCCTAAGCTTTCCTTTATCGAAACGATCCATCTACGCCGGCATATGTGGTGCTGCCGAGGCTACAGCGTCTTTATCGGCCCCTCTTATAGGGGGTGTCCTCACCGATCGCTTGTCATGGAGGTGGTGCTTCTATATCGAATTACCACTAATTGGCGTAACTTTCATGATTGTGGCGTTGTTCTTCAACGCCAATAGTCATCAGGGTTCCCTCGCAAGATTCAGTCAAAAGTTGGCGCAGCTCGATCTGCTCGGTACGGCTCTCTTTGTCCCATCGCTCACCTCGCTCATGTTGGGCTTACAATTCGGCGGCAACAAGTATGGTTGGGGAAACGGGCGCATTATTGCAATGTTTTGCATCTTCGCGGTGCTTCTTTTCTCGTTTATTTGGCTCCAATATCGGAAGCAAGACCGGACGACCTTGCCGCCTCGCATCATATCTCAGAGAAACATTGTGTTCGGCTTCATATTCAGCTGTTGCAATAACGCTGCGTCATCGATTGTTGAATACTATGTGAGTCTTGCCGCTTTCTGTCCGCCCACGGAAACTAAGAACCCCTCTCATGCGTTCCCGAAGTGCTCAATACTTATATTTTTGATTCGTCCTTCACAAACAAGGGCAGATGCCTATTTATTTCCAGGCGGTGAAGGGCCTGTCAGCGTCAATGTCTGGGGTCATGGTTCTCCCGGCTGTTGCGGGCCTGGTTCTGTCTGTGTTCTCTTCTGGCGTACTGACATCGATCTGGGGGTACTACACTCCCTTTATGCTGGCAACCAGCAGCATAACACCTCCAGCTGTAGGGCTGATAACCACTCTAGACGTCGATGCTAAGGTCGCCAGCCTCATCGGTTATCAGGCGCTTTTGGGATTTGGAGTCGGAATCGGCTTTCAAGGCCCACAAGTAGCAGTCCAGACGATTCTTTCTCAGAAGGACGCCCCCGTTGGCATCGCAGTCATCCAGTTCGCCCAAGGAATCGGACCTGCAGTTTTTGTTACCATTGCACAGACCTTGTTCACGCAAAATTCCGGCTGCAAACAGACCGACGCGCATCGACTCGTGAATAGGGCGCACATTGACATCCTTGTTGGGGAAACATTGCGCTCAAACCCCCGTGTCTAACGGGGGACTCATATTATATAAGGGCGCATGCTCTCTAGGAGAGTCTAACGACCTCTATCGTGCCCACTAGTTTGCGTGAGCAGATCCTCCACTGTCAACGCCGCGAGCTTGGGATCCTGGTTATGATTGGGCACATGGTCGGCAAAAGAAGAGATAGCCTTATCCTTTAGCGTGAAGTAGCCTTCATGAATGGCCATACCCACGGCGACGGACAGAAAGCTCTTGGTGGCCGAGTGCATCGTATGCCGAAGTTGAGGCTGGTAGGGATACCACCAGCCCTCCGAGATGACGGCCCCTCCACGATACAGCATGAAGCAGTTGAACTCGACATTCTTCGCCCGCCCATCTTGAAGGAACTCGAGTATGCGGCTCGAATGAACACCTCTGCTTTCAGGAGAGGCCCGCGGAATGCCGTCGATGGCCTCAGCAGTTGCCATATTCTTTTGACGTACGTAGGGTAACCCCAGGACGAGACCGAGAATATATGCCAAAGTCCAGCTGAGTCTTGAGACCACAATAGAAGCAGATCTCTACTATCGAATGCAGGAACCAGGCTTATGAAGGATATCGGGACCTTCTTAGCGTGTGTGTTTTGCATGATTTCTAGACTGACAGTGCTGGGACGGTCGATGCCATGTCGAGCCGGAATGACTGCAACCAATCGGTCTGCTGCGCATCTCGGAGCGATGCATCTCACGATGGCAAAATACCAGTTCATACAATAGCCATTTCGCACACGTAAATGGATGTAGAGACAGTGGGGGGCACTTATGTTACAGAGGTCAGTTGGACGCGACTGAGCGGCCGGGAACTTGAAGGTAAACCAGGGTCACGAGGCCATGGCACGTGATCGATAGTTGGCAAGGAACCTACGTGAAGCTCAGGGGAGCCCAGGGCTCCCGGTCCGATTCATTACACCTGTTGCGAAACAACCTAAAAGGCGACCTCGACTGATTCTGGATCAGTAAGGCTGGCCGACCCGAAAGAACCTCGGGACAGCACTCGCGGGCAAGGCAGACATGCTGAGACATGCTGGGCATGTCAACATGCCTAACATGTCCTCCACATGCTTCACAGGTTATTGATCCCGGAACTGTCGTCTTCTATGACCTTTCGTGACTAGTTCCCCGCCAGTTCCGGAGACCCTGCATTTACCTGGTAGGTTAGTGCGCTTGCACGATCGATTGATTGCTGCCTGGAGGCCGCTTGCTTCTCCTCATACGATGCTGTTCGAGGCTCAAACAATCCGGAGACGAACAAACAAATCGCCATTCGGCGTTCATACTGTAATAGTATCTCCCAGCTAAAGGACCATTCCTGACTACTATAGTAGAACCCTTTCGTCCAGTAAAATTGGAGAAACGCAGCACTTTGATTTTGAGGATATCGACAGTAGGTACACGTACACACCTCCCGCGAAGCCCGACATCCACAGAACTACTACTAGTAGTATGGCCACGGAAAAGAAAAAGGTTGCCATCATTGGCGCTGGACCCGTAGGCTGTGCCTTTGCACTGCATCTCGTCAAGGCCGGACACGAAGTCACAATCGTCGGCCGTGGTCAACGCCTTGCGACTCTCCAGGAAAACGGCGGCGTCCTGGCAAAGAAGTCGGAAAAAGCGAGGGAGACGGAAATCTCGACGACTCCCGTGAAAGCCGTCGGATCTCTCGATACCGCACAACCCTGGGACCTAATCCTCCTAACCATCACGGAGCACCAATTTGACGATCAATTGTTCGCTACGCTTAAAGCCTGTCCCCAAAGAGCCGAGATTCTCTTCATGTTCAACACTTTCGCATCGCTGGATAAGTACTTCGACGTCCTGGGCAAGGAACGCTGCATCATGGGCTTTCCGGCGATCATGGCATCGTTCCACGATGGAGCATTGGTGCACCGGTTCCTCGGCTTCGGACAAATCACCATCATCTCATCACCCGAATGGCGATCCATCTTCTCCGCCGCAGGAATCCCGTGTGTCCACGAGCCTGATATGCAAAGCTGGCTACGCACACATGCCGCCATGGTCGTGGGCGTCATGAGCGCGACCGTCGCCGCTTCCAAAAAGAATTCGGGATTGTCATGGGCTGAAGCAGGGCTGAGCGCTGGGGCCGCCAGGGAAGGGTTGCAGTTGGTCAAGAAGCTGGGGAATAGTATCACGCCCAGATTTCTCTACTACCTTGGTGTTGCTGCGCCGAGTTTCGTGCTCACCGGCTTGCTTTGGGTGTTGACGAGGGTACCTAGTATGCGCAAGAACCCGCAGGTGCCCAACTGGGAACGAGAGTTTCTTGGTTTGGCGGAAAGCATCATTGGAGCAGCGCCTTCGGAGGACGACGTCCGACTAATCAGCCAGTTAAGGTCCAAGTTTATATAAGTCATGCAGTGCGTGTATCGGGCCTAACTACTACCTAGGTAGAGTGTAGCCTGGTCAACAAACCGCCTTTCAGGGTTACATTTTAAGATATCGACTCCCAAAAATTTTACTCTGAAACAGTAACCTGGCAGTTCTAGAGCGTCCTCTCCTTAGACTGCCTAAACTAATCCCGAGGCCGAGAACCAACGATCTGCTCTAGCCCGCCAACAAATTGAAACTTGCTAGGTGGAACGGTCGTGCCCAAATGCCATTCATGAGTTGATTTTGTCTCGTTGCGCCACTAGTGGGGACATGACGGGTTTTCAAAAAGCATCTGAGTGACCTGGGCCGTCGGCGAGGCTTTGTGTAAACTAAAACGTCTTTGTCAGGCTCCTCTCAGGCCTTGGCCTTGTCGACCCTGGACAAGGAGACGCGCAATGCCTTGGGCTGCACAGCGACGACCACGTCCTTGGTCGGATCCACGTCAAAGACAAACTGCGCGAGGCCGACATTCCCATGGGTCGCGGCGTTGAGGCCACCCCACGAGATGCAATTCAGGTCCAACGGGCCGGCATACACGGGCTGCGGCATGGTCTGCCAGTTGGCGGTGAAACCGACCTGTTTGTCGCCGACATACAGGCGGTTCGGGTACAAGCGAAAGTCGACGTAGGCACCCCCGACAAGGGCCTCGTCGCCGCCGGCGAGTTGCGCGAGGAAGTCGGTGCCGTTGCTGATCCAGTGCGTCACGCGCAGACCGGCCTGGTCGTCGGTCGAGACGGTCAACGACGAGTTCTGGTTGTGTTGCGCAGATGTAGACGACAAGGCGTAGTGGCCCGCGAATCGGGCCTCGGCCTGCCGCCTTGCCAGATCTTCCAGCGCCGGGAGGGCGGCGGCGGAGAGCATGTCGCTGAGCATGTACACCATCACGGGCATCTCCACCAGGGCGGACGACGCGGTCAGGATGCTGAAGCCGACGTCAAAGTCCGGGAGCAGCACCAGCACCGTGGCGTACGCGCCCCAGCCGCCGTTCTTGGTGTACATGTCGATGATCCGGCCGCCGGCGGCCCGCGTGCGGAAGATCTCCCACGGCGCGCCGAGCGCCACGTTCGGGCTCGACGTGAACGCCACGGGCTTCATCCACCGCCGCGTCACCGCCGGCGCCAGGAGCGTGCTGTTCAGGATCGATCGGCCGATCGTGGCTAAGTCGTGGGTGCTGGAGAAATGTGAACCCGCGCTGCAGTGTCATATAGACGTTCCATGTCAGTCGATGACCCGATGCCCGAATCCCCAATAGGCCCCCTTCGGAGATGACAGGGAGAGAGAAATGGAGAGAAGACTTACGGCGACAAGACTCCCGGGTTGGAATTCCACCCCGAAATCGTTTCGTTGGCCGGGATGACGGCGTTGCTGGTATCGTTGGGGACGCTGGCGCTGGTGTGCTGCAGGCCAAGGGCGTCCACGACGCTCTTGGCGAACAGATTGTTCAGGCTTGAGCCCGTCATGTTGGCCAACGCCAGTCCCAACACCTCGTAGGCGTTGTTACTGTAGTTGGGGGTGTCGCCGGAGCGGAAAGGGGCCGGTTCGGCGATCACGCCACGCAGATACTCTGTTGCACTCGGGTCAGTAAAAAGAGTTCGAGCAAACACTCCCTTCCCCCTCCCACTGGCGGACTGTCACGTTCAAGGGCCCAAAAAGAAAACATGGGAGCCTACCTTCACGTCTGCAAGGTATGAAAGTCCCATCTGGCTTGAAAAGATCGCACTGTGGGATTTGATTCGGCTGAAGAGGAGGCAACCCAGATTGGTTCGTTTGCTCATTGATCCCAACTGCCCAACCGGTTGTGGTCAGCCCTTGGTATCGGAAGTTGGGCCTCTCTTTCTGGAACCCCAAACTTACAATCTTCAGTGAGCCCGGACATGTGGCTGAGAAGCTGTCCGAGGGTGATTTCGTCCCATTTGGGCGTCACCCCGTTCGGCGAGGCCGTCGTCGAGGCGGCGCGCGCAAGCTCGGGGACGTATTTGGTGATGGGATCGTTGAGATGTCCGCCGCCTTCACGGATCATAAAAGTATAGGCGGTGAGAAGCTTCCCGATGCTTCCCAGCCGGTAGACCGAATCGGCATCCGGCTGTTTCGTCCCCACGTTTCCGGTGCGCAGGGACGGTTCTGCATAGTGGCGCTCGTACAACAGTGCCTCGTCCGAGACGCTGAACATGCCGATGGACATGGTGGAGGTGTTGAACGCCGCCGACCCGAAGGCGGATGTACCGGTCTCCAGGGCCTGGGTCAGGTCATTGTCGAAGCTCTTCATGGCGGCCTGGAAAGCCTCGTCGGAGCGCAAGCCCGTCGGGACCGGAAAGGCTGGGCCCTGTATCGGACAGACCTTTGTGGTCGTCTTGCTTGCGATCGAGCTCCCTATGAGTCCGACCCATGCTAGTCCCGAGAGAAATGGACGCATGTCGTTGTCGTGCTAGGGCAACCACCAGATTTTGTAGGCTCGGATTGTTCGTTGTGAATGATTTGCAAGTCGAAAAGAGTGACGATCTTATCCAACAACACCATCTTGCAAGACCTGGGAGCACTATATATACACAAGAGATGGGTACCAAGCGGGTCCCCTCGACCATACCTGCGGCGGCGGTGTTGTTTTCTAAAATTACCATTTCTGTAATCCTCCAGAGTTTTACGAGACCAGTATAGCTCGGACAGCCTCGCTGATCATTTGATTGAAAGAACCTTTCCATTTCCCACGGCCTTGCTCGGCTCGACAAGAAAGGTGACTTCGAGCCCCAAAGCCTTGTAATGGCGACGGACCCAGTTGCACGGAACATGGCGCGCTCGTATGACCAGGGTTATTGATTGGCTGGCTGGCCGACTGGGCCTCTGCACCGTCACGACCACGGGAAGCTGACTGCAGTAAGTGCCGGGCTTTCTCAGCATCCCCCATCAAGGCCCCCGATCTGCTAATCTCACGACATTCAATGGGGTACGGCTAACTTCATTCTTCAGCTCTGGAGATGAAGTGGTTGTCCCCGAGGACGCTTGAGGTCGACCTGAAGATGTCGTTTCCGGGGGATCAAGAACCGCGGCACAGAATGTAAATTGCGCTCTTCTGGCTTTCTCTCTGACCCCCTTCAATAAGGAGGTTTTTGTGGGCAAGAGTCCGAGACAACAACATAAGGAAACTGTCCCAGGTCACCACCGAGCGTCGGGGACGTCTACCTTCATCAGGACTTGTTGGGTGGTACCGAGGTTGAGAAAAGATGAAGCACACTCGAAGAAGCAATGCGAAAAGTCGAATGGGATGTCGCACCTGCAAGTAAGGATCCGCCAATAGCCTGGACTGTATTGACCCCGATCCCTGACCAAGTCACAACAGGCGGAGGAGACTCAAGTGCGACGAGACCAAGCCATGCTGCATCCGCTGCCTCGCGGGCAACAGGTTATGCGAAGGTTACGGCATTGCCATCGACGTGCCGGCGCGGCCAGCCTCCAAGCCTCCACTTCCAAACTCTGCTCTGGCACGGGGTGAGTCGAAGCCGGAGATCCAACCCAAGCCCGCCAGAGGCTTGAAGACCATTTCGTTTCTCAACCACTCGGAATCCCTCACCTTTGAGATCTTTCGATCCCGCACCGTCCCCGAGATGGCGGGCGTCCGATCGCGCGGCTTCTGGCACAACGTCGTCCTTCCCGCATGCTACGACGAGCCTGCCGTCCTGCACGCTTGCATGGCTCTCACCATCGCCTGTCGGTGGCTCCTAACGCCCGTCTGCAAGTCGGGATCCAGCCAGGAAGAGGTCGTCCGGCTGGACACGGTCAACCAGTACAACAAGGCCATTCAACACCTCAAGGCGCATGTCACTGGGCTCGACAACCTGTCGTCTTTGCGACTCACTCTGATCACCTGCGTCCTGTTCATCGCCCTCGAACTCTGCACGGGCCAGATCCTTCCGGCCATGATGCATCTGAACGAAGGCAGAAAGCTCCTCCACTCGTGTGTCGACCTCGACAAGCCTGGCGTTACCGATGGCGAACCGAAGCCACTCGTCTTGTCGTCAAGACCCCAATCGGTAGAGGAAGAGCTGGTCGCCGTGTTTGCCGACCTGGACTTGCAATCGACCTACTTCGGGTCCGCGAGGCCACAGCTCAAGCTGACGGCCCACGAGACGAGGCGAGATCCTCGCCCATCGCCGGGTGTGGAGCCACTCTTCTCGTTCGCGCTCCCCGTCGAATTCGGTTCCATCCAAGAAGCGGATCAACAGCTGACCCTCCTTGCCAACAGATGCCTGGAGTTCGTGGGCGACCGACTCGAACCGGATCGGCAGAGCCTGCGAAATGCAGCCTCGAACTTCCATCGCCAGCATCTGTGCACGCTCCTCCAACGATGGCGACAGACGCACGATCGATTCTGTCGCCGGGTCGGCGATGCCGCGACGTCGCAAGGGTCGTGGAAACAACAATGGGCCTCGATGCTGGTCCGACACGCCTGGCTGAATCTGGGCGTATCTCTGTCGTACTGGGAACTCGACGAGAGCGATCTCGACGCGTACCTGCCAGCCTTCACCACCATCGTCGCCCTCTCCTCCGGTGTGGTGCTGCCGGAGACGACGCGCAAGGGCCGCTTCTCCCTGGAATCCGGCGTGGTCGCGCCGCTCTGGTTCACGGTGATGAAATGCCGCCATCCCCGGATCCGTCGTCAAGCTCTCCACCTTCTCCGGCTGGCTCCTCGCGAAGGACTCTGGGATCCCGACTTGGCGGCTCAGCTTGCGCGCGAAGCCATCAGGCTGGAGGAGGGACTTGACACGCTGGACGAAGATGGCTTACGGTGGGATACTCCCATCCACCGCGAGGACGACGACGCGGGACAAGTGGTGCCATCACATCGTCGCATCGCTACAGCCGAGATGGAGTGGGCGGATGGAGAGGACCCGGTGTTGGTCATGACATTCAGGCGGACGGCGTGTGCGAGTGATGGCAACCGCCCCAATACCGAAACAATCGTCGTCACGCGGCCGTACGAGACTCATCAGACTTTGAGCTAGCACCAAGGGACAGTCAGCCTGGAGCCCTGGTTTTGTCTGGATGGAGGTGACAAACTAGCGAGGTAGGCAGCGAGGCGATTCACTTTACCAAGGTAGAAGCTGATTATTTCGCACTTGAAACTCTCCCGTGATCGGAAAACAACACCTGCTGTTTCGAGAGCCTCCTCGATGAGGATGGAGTTGATTCCCTGCAGATGATCGGGACGAAGCTGGATGAATTTGAAAGTGAAGGTGTCATCGTTGAATACCGTTGTGGATTCCTGATTTGCTCAGAATAGCTTGTTCGAGGCCTTTCGAATAGCTGTTCCGTGCAAAGGTGGTATCGTGTTTGATGGGAAGTGCTTCGTCGGGTGAAAGGTCATATGTGTGGTGTGGATGGGTTGCCAAATGGTTTGCTGAGTTTCAAGTTGTCTCAGCTTCTCAGACTCTTGCCTTTAGCATTGGCCTTTAGCATTTGCCACATTCCACGTGACAGTCCGGGGCATATTATATATCCATATATAACACCATCTGACGCACTTAATGCACTAAATGCGATCGTCTTTCTGTGAGCACTGAACGCATGTACACTGTGGGGTCCAGCATCGGAGCTCCGTACTCCGTATTTGCGTGCGTGATCCGAGGCAGCGAAAATCTGGAGAAAAGTGTTGGGATGCGCGCGGCATGTTCACCCATAGGTGACTAGTAGCCCCCATCTTTACCTAGGTTCTTCGGAGGTTGATTTTTGGCCGGATACAAGTGGGTCAATCAAAGACGAATAGGCACCTAGATAGGTACAGTAGTACACCCAGTACTATTGTGCTCCGTACGGTCAGTGGTCGGCGAAGAGTGCGAGCCAGGGAGCGAACGAGGCTGCGATAGCAAGGAGGTTTTTATGCGTATCTCTGTGAACAAGAGTGATCTCGCCCATGCGCCACGCCGTATGAACCCATCCATTTCTTCCAGTTATACTCCGTACCCTGTTCAGTAGTATCCATTCACTTCCGAGCGCCTCTTGAAGTCCTGGTGCCAGTGCCAGTGCCGGTCCATGGCGACTCGCAGAACAAACAAAACAATCAATCAATCAGTCCACGAATCATTGAGTGCTGAAGTATTGCTTCAGAACCTCCTTCTTGTTAACCTTGCCCATGGCATTGCGTTCGATCCCGTCGACGATTTTCAAGATCGACGGGATCTTATACGGCGCCATATCCTCCTTCAAATGGCTTCGGAAAGTCTTGAGATCGATCTCATTACCCTGTTTCACGCACATCAGTCAGCGCCCTGCTGCGACCCATCCGCATTCCTCTGCCTCCGATAATTAGACTCACCGTATTCTTAACCGTAACCACCGCAGCGACCCTCTGCCCCCACTCCACATCCTCAACACCCACGACCACCACCTCCCTCACAATCTCGCCGAGCACCTCATTCCCGAGGATCTTCCTCTCGACCTCCAACGCCGAAATCTTGTACCCGCCGGACTTGATCAGATCAACGCTCTCGCGACCAAGGATGAAATACGCCCCGTCGGCAGCCCGCTTCGCCACGTCTCCAGTCTTGAACCAGCCATCCTCGGTGAACGACTCGAGCGTCGCCTTTTCCCGCTTGAAATACTCGGCAAACAAGTTCGGTCCGCTGATCTCGATATTGCCGGCCTCATCCTCGCCACTCGACGTAATGACCTTGCCCGTCTCGCTCGTCAGTCGGACCTGCACACCAGGCAACGGCCATCCGACACTCCCGTCGAGCCGTTTCTCCCTCTCCAATCCACAGCTCAGCGCCATACCGATCTCGGTCATGCCGTACCGCTCAAGTAACTCGTGGCCCGTGATTCCTTGGAATTTGCGCTTCGTCGAGACCGGCAGGGCGGCGGAGCCGCTGACCACGAGACGCAATGCGTTCGCGCCTTCGCGGGCATTCGACTCAGAGGCTGTGCCCCGGATATGAGAATCAAAGTAGTCGATCAATCGTGAGTAGACCGTCGGCACGGCCATGAACATGGTCGAACTGCCCTTGTCGGACCACCTATCCCAGACGGTCTTTGGGTCAAACTTAGGATGCATTTCGACGGTGCCGCCCGCAAGAAGCGTCGCCGTCAGCCCGTTGATGATACCGTGGACGTGGTGCAGCGGCAGGACGTGAATGAGATGGTCTTGGCGGGAGTATTTCCATGCTTCGACGAGGCAGCGTGCTTGGAAGGTGATCGTTTCATGGGTGCTGACGCAGCCTTTCGGTCGAGATGTCGTGCCGGACGTATAAATGATCAAGGCTCGTCGGGAAAGTGGGAAAGAGCTGGTGAATCTGGGAAGAGAAGTCGAACGGCTGGGTGTTGGGGAGAAGGGAGTGACCGTAATCAGGGGAATTGCGGGTGCTTGTTCGCGAAGACCGGCTTCGAATCTGGAATATGACGGGTGAAGAATGATTAATGACGGGTCCGAGTCGGAAATGGTGTATTGAAGTTCCTTGAGGGGGTGGGATGTGCCTGTGAAGCTCGTCAGTCTCACGGTAGATTTGCCATCGATGGTCAGGGCGTACATAATGGTACAGATATGGCTCCGGCAGCCCAAATCGCCCATTGCATGACTACATAGTCATACCCTGGAGGGGTGAGAAACGCCACTCTGGGCTCCTCTCCAACCGGGCTTGACGGGAGATACTGTTCGATATGGGCCTTGAATGTGGCAACATCGGTCAACAGCTCTGAGTATGTGAAGCTCTGATTTCTCGACTTGTCGATGATAGCGGGCTTGTGAGGCTCTGCCAGAGCATGGGATCTCGCCTCGACGAAGAGAGGCAGTTCCGGTATCGAAACATTGATCTGTGGTTTGGATTGTGATTGAGTGCTAAGGGATCGAAGTCGGCTTTGGTACTGAAAGTCTGCGGGTAGGGAATATCTAGCGTGGTGTGGGACCAGAGGTGCCTCTGTAGCCATCATCTTGACGAATTGAAGTACTATACCGTTTCGTGATTGTTGTAGTGAGTGGCAATGCCTTGTGAACGGGCGAAAAGCGTGAGGGCGCCATCGTTATAAACACTGTTCTTCCCGGGAGCGAAATTGCTGGGGTGCCAAAAATGGATCTTTGCCCCAACGAGGCTTAAAATGAACAGTCCGGCGCGAATAGCGTCAAGACTCAATCGATCAAGGGTCCGAAGCAGCTTGGGAAGCGGAAGAAAAGTCGTCTGCGGAGGTCGAGATGGACATTCGGCCATTCTTTTAACTGCCGAGATAATCTCATCTCATCTCGGATCCGGCAACCCGCAAGGCTGTACAAGGCTGAGCCTAGTACCCTGAGCTGACGCCGACGACCTCTGTTTGGGATGCACCAGCTTCTTTGCTCGAGCTTTTCACAAGCATGAAGGACGACAATAGCTTGTTGAAGTCATCTTGTCACACAGCAGCCACTGATACAACGCAACTTGCCAGTCCTGTTCTTCCACAGACGCCCCCTCCAGAGAAGACAAGCCAGACACCGACCACGCACAGTCATCAAGACCTCATTCTGACCAACAACGCATCCGACCGCCGAGACTATTCTTCCTCAAAAAGCTGGAAAAGCCCATAATCTTCGCAATCGCTGAGCGTCTCTTCATCCTCAATCTTGCCATCGAGTCTCATCTTTCGCTCCACTCTCCTTGCATGCCTCAACTCCTGATCCTGTTGACAGCCCTGACACCAGCGCTCCCTGTCCAGTGCTCCCTCGTAGGCAAAGCCCAGCATATACATCCTGCGCAAAGCGCCAGGGATCCAACAAGTAGCGCAGCGCGCCTCTCTCCGGCTCTTAGGCAGTGGAGCCTGGTCGATCGCTCTCCATCCCGAATCAGTCCCTCTGCCTGACTTTGAGAATGTAGCACCCGGATTCGTTTTGCTCTCCTTCCATTCTTCCAGCGCAGCCTTACGGTCCGAAAGTCCACCAGTCCAAGGAAACCCCAGGGTACCCAGCAGTCTGTTTCGTAGCGGCCTCCTCTCTCTTTTGGCCTGACGCTGTCTGTATTTCATTTCCCGTCGACATCGCCACGCGTCAAAAGCATCGACAATCTTTCGTTCCAAACCACTCATTTCCATCAGGTCGAGATCTTCTTCTCGACGCGCCTTCTGCTCTGCTTCGAAGCATGCCACACATCCCCACCAAAGCTCGAATGAGGAACCCCCACAAGCAGCGCAGACACCAACTTCCTGTGGCGGGTTGACTAGGCTTTTGCCTTCGAGTGCCCATCGCCGTAACCTGCGGCCTTTGCTCGCTTTTCGGGCTGTCTCACTCTTTTTGACCCAGTTCTCCTTCCACCATTGTCCTTCAATATCACGATATCTCGACATGCAGGCTTTGCACATCCTGTCATGGGCGGACTTTGCACCCAAACCAGTACCTCGACTGCTCATTCGTTCCACAAAGCACCAGAGAGGTTTCATCTGCAAGCATCCATAACACCGGAGTTCTCTGGCAGGTCGTTCAAGCAGACGGAAATCAAAAGCTGCATGAAGCAGGTCCCACAGATGGCCGAGCCGTTGTGGAGGAAAATGAATTCTATAGTCTTGGAACTGCCGGGCCTCATCCTCAAGATACCCTTGGATGAGCTTCGACCGAACCCGCCGGACTTGGTCAGGCGTGAGCAGACGACGCATCATATGACATGTCTGTCGGAGTGCGAGTAATGTGTCGAAGTCCAGGTATTTTGTGGCGATGATGTAGTGTAGGTCAGGAGGAAGAAGGGCGATGAAAAGACTTTGCTTTCGCTGACTTTCAGAAAACCGCCCCGTCACGGGGGCAGGCATGGATGCCAGAAAGTTTCCTGATCTTCGCCGAAGTGATGTGGTAGCATGCTGAAGTCTGGTGTTGACAGATGGTTGATGGTACTGTGCATGTTCCGATACTTCGACGTGCGTTGGCTCTTTGGAGTGCTTCCTGGCGATGCCAGATCGAGGCATCCTGAAATCCGGCGCTGTTCAAGACGAGTCGTCCGGAATATATTATGGTACCAAAGATCGACTCGCTTGGATTTGCTGGTGGTAGGTGTTTGATGACAGATGCCGGTATGCACTGTGTACTGACGTAGCGCCCTCCTCGGTGATGGAGACGTCAGGCCAATTTCTAGACAGATTTAGCGGAGTGAATTTCGGGTGCGCAGTCCTGCAGACCAAAGGCTTCACTAGATCGATCGTGCTCAGCCGGTGAACACGACATGTGCCTACGCGCCGATGAACCAGGAGAAGGGCGATGGGGGCATCGACTTGGTGTGGTAAGGCTGTAACTTAGAGGTGCGGGTCTGACTTGACGGCCCGCTCGGGCTGCGTAGATGAATGAGAAATCCCAGGGTCGTACCTGTAGTTCACAATCTGAGTGCTAGAGATGGAACAAGTGCGCAGTTGTCAAAACGAAGACGCAGTCTTGGTCGAATTCCAGTCCGACGTGAATGTTTTGTGATGGCGGGGTGAGGCAGGAATACAAGAGTCCAACAAGGTATCTACTTAAAGCAGCCTTTCGCCTTTGGGCACGTGTTTTGTGTGACACCGTGACCAAATATCGACGAGGCATCCGGAGTAGCGTCTCACATATCAAGCAGTTGAGACGCAATGACTTGGCCTCATTGTTTGACCAGTTCCTTGTCAGCTTCAAGCCAAGGCTATTGACACATTGTGAAGCACAGCCTCATCAGCCACATCATCCAAAGGAGACAAGGATCATGGATCATATCCACAAAGATACATTTTGTCTTACATCGCTGATTGCAATCCATCTAACCGTGGTATCAATGATTGCACTCGTGTGCTTGTCCAATGCTCGAATCGCTCTGCAAGCCAAACATTCGTACAATTACAGAATCAGACACGCTTGCACGACGTCTGATATTCGCCCAGATCACCAAGGCCGCGGCCAACATCGTTCCATTCATGTAGCCGACCATTTTTCCAATGCAAGCCAGCAGGGGTGCAACACGCATCTAAAGTTCCTAGAGAAAATGCCTTTACATCATCGACATCAAAGAGTTCTGCGCATAAGCCTGGTAAAAGTGTCAGTTGTGGTTTTGGTCGCAGTTGTCGCAGAGCTTACCATAGGCTTGATATTAGGATGGGGCACAGCCTCGAATTGATGGTACTCCAGCTTCAATTCTGGGCCGATATTGATATATGCCCCCTTGTTTTCTGTGCTATCACAGTACTTGGGTGCTGAGAAGACTGCAAGATAATCAGTCGCTCTGCGTTTTGGCAAGAAACAGAATCAACCAACTTACCAGTGATGCACTTGCCGTCATGCTCAACCTCGTAACCATCCATTCTGACTTCATGACTCCGGATAACAGCTTCAAGGCCGTTGTTTTCGCAAAATTTCTTCGTCACATCAGGGCCGAACTGCAACCCGACTCCTCGTTTACTGGGTCCGCGTCCATTTTGAGGTTGTGGATCGGTCCAGAGCATCTCCATCATCAGACCTTGTTGTCCAGGCTGGCGTTGTGTATGCCTATCGAGCTTGCGGATGTCGTCAAGGGAGACCTTGTCGTCTGAAAAGAGGCCGCCATGTAACGTGAGATACTTCTTGCCAATGAGTGTGGCCAGAGGGAGTGCGGAGAATGATTCGGAAAATAGCTTGAAGGTCTTCTCATTATACTTGGCCTTGCATTCACCCTCGAAGCCGTAAACACGGTTCATATCGTCTGTTTCGTGATTGCCTCGGTTGAGGAAGAAGTATGAAGGCCGTAACCACTTGTAAGCGTACAACAGTAGGGCGATTTCTGTCGACCACGAGCCCCGATCCACAAAGTCGCCGTTGAACAGGTATGCGTGCTTCTCAGATGGATAGCCGTTGAGTCGAAAGATCTCCAGCAAATCAAAATATTGGCCATGGGTGTCGCCACAAACTGTCAATTTTGTGTCGGGAGCGACGTCCATTTCCACCATGGTGGGCTCATTGTACACGATATCCCTCACGGCTTTGATGATCTGGAACACGTATTTTTTGTGAATTTTCTTCCCGTTCTTGAAGCGTTCTATCATGTCGTCAATGAACTCTTGTGTCATCTCATCTTTTAATCGAACGCCGTCGTACGCGTCTTCCACGGTTATCGAGTCGAGGTCGAGTCCTTCGAAAGCCGAGGGAGGTTCTGCGACTTCAATGGCCCGGAGGAATTGTATCTTCTTCACCAACTTTTCGCACTCGGCCAGTTTCAGCTTGGCCTCTTTGTTGTTCGGCTCTTTTCTGACGACGGTCTTGAAGTCTCGTAGGGCATCTTGAGAGCTGAGTATGGCGGTGTTTGCAATCGCCCGTCTCCAGTATGCCTGCCCAGAGTCGATTAGAGCATGGTTAGATCCACAGACGGGGCTATAATACCTTGATGTAGTCCTTGTCGAGTTCAATAGCCTTGGTGGCGTCCGCAATGGCATAGCCATATGATTCGAGCTTGATGTTTGCCTGTGCTCGATTGCAATAGAACGAAGGGTCCGCATCGTATTTCTCTATCGCTTTCGTGTAATAGTCCACCGCACCCGGCCAGTCATGTTCAGCAAACGCTTTATTGCCCTTGACTTTGAGAGCCGTTGCCGCGGCCTTGTCTGCGGTCGAAGTCATGGCCACCCAGGAATGAGGACGATCTGGCCAGTGAGTCTATGCAGGGACGAATGTCGACAGAAAGTAGCGACTGTGTTATCGAGGCATTGCGCAGCTCTGGGGCAAAAATACAAAAGAAGTTGACGAGTCGAGTGTTCACTTGCCTGAATCGAGAACTTTCGAACTGCGGCGGCCTCTCTTCGGGTAAAGATCCCAAAGATCTGCCCTGCCCGCGAGTGCCGCGCTAGCCAGAAGGTCAGATCTCCGGAATTGCATTATTTGTTCCTCCACCATCATTCCTCGATTCATCGTTCGACTTTGCCGTCATCATTCAGATACCTGGTCGACTCATTCGGCGACTCTTCTTTTCTGGCTGAGCGTATCTTCCTGCCACTTCTACCTTTCCACCCAGTCGTCATGGCCAACCGCGGGGGCCGCAATCGAGCCTGTATGGTGTGCTCTATCGTGCAGACTGGCAGCGTATGTCTCTGCTCGCCTCCTGACTTGTCGGTTGGTGTCGCTGACCAGTCTAGGAATTCTACCGCAACGGCTGCCCGAACTGCGAAGAAATCCTCACCCTGCGAAACTCCCAAGACGCCATCCAAGAGTGCACCTCACAAGTCTTCGAAGGTCTGATCTCCTTGACTGACCCCAAATCATCATGGGTTGCGAAATGGCAACGGCTCACAAATTATGTGCCGGGAATATATGCCGTCAAGGTTGTTGGTCAGCTACCACAAGAGATTGTTGACGGAATGGAAGATCAAGGTATCAAATATATTCCAAGGGATGGCACTTCGATCGAGGATGAGGTTGCAGCTTAGTAGCCTGGGAAACGCTCAGAAACCGACAACAACAGAATCACAGCCAAACTGATACCGCGGACAAGACTCGTGGAAACATAGAGCAGTCACACCACCTCGCACCAGAAACCACGAGCTCACACCATTCAACCCAGGAAGGGAGCGGCCGACCGGATCGAACTGAAGCTTCTGTTGGACTCATTCGTCGCTTACTGGACGTTATGTAGCAGCTTCATGGCCCTTCAAGCAAGTTCCAACGAGCGATCGAACCAGGAATCAGCGGCTTGAACGGCAAAGGAAATTCGCATTTTACTATGGCTAAATGCATCAACATCCGGCATGAATCCGAAGCCTCCTGCTATAAATACGCGAGCGGTGCCAGGAGGAAGCAAGCAGAGTACTTTTCCACCCTGGACAGGAACAACGCCTGGCCTTCCAACGGGCGTCACCAAAACTTCCCTCAAAGCGACTTGGCCAACTTCTCCATCGCATCGAGGAGAATATCAGCATGATGCCTCTGGAAGACCAACATAGGCCTCAGTCTGACTGCCGAAGCACCACTGCCACCGATGTTGATACCCAGAGTCTTGGCCTTGAGCAAGAACTCATCACGTTTGGGACTGTCAAATGCAATGAAAGTACCCTGGCCTTTCCCTCTCAGATTCTGGAACTGATGAGGATATTTATTGGCCAGACTTTCGATACCAGCATAGAGATAGTCACCAACCGTAGCCGCGTTCTCGACCAAATTCAATCTCTCAATCTCACTGATGATAGCACGGAAGAGTAGAGCTCTTGCCGGATCACCCATCCACGTGTTGAACTGCCGATATGGCTTGTTGGGTCTCAACTCCGGGTTTCCAAAGTAGTATCCCGCCGTCTGTGCCTTCTTCGAGAACGTGACAATGTCCGGCGGGTTCTGCAGATTCCAGTGGTCATGTGCCCAGAACTTTCCCGTAGCGCCCACTCCAGTCTGCACTTCATCCACGATGAGCAGGACACCATTCCGCCTTGTGATCTCGCGCAGACCCTGGAAGAAGGCCGGACTGGCGTGGTTGTCTCCGCCCTCGGACTGGATCGGCTCAATGACCACGGCCGCTACCGGGTTGTGGTAGTTCTTGATGATATGCTCGGCCTCCTCGAGACAGCGTTTCTCCTCGGCCTCGTTCTCCTTGACATGGTCCTCCAGGGGATACTTGAGGCTCGGGAACGGGGCTTGAGGCCAGTCGAATGCCGGAATGTCCATCTTGTGAATGGGCTTGCTTCGCGTCGTGGACAGGGACCCGAAAAGGCGCCCGTGGAAGCCCGTCTTGAAACTCATGATGCTGAGCTCCGGACTGCCTGGAGACGCATTGTTCATGGAACTCTCGATCTCGGCGTCGGTGAACTCGACGTGCGCTCCTCCGCGCTGCTGCTGGCGCTTCCACATGAAGGCTGCCTTGTACGCGGTTTCGTTGGCGTCGGAGCCGGACATGCCTGTGAAGACCTGGTTCAGACCACGCGGGGCGACCTTCAGAATGCCCGTCTCGAGGATGCTGGCCCAGTCGTGCTGTGGGAAGTTACCCAGTGCGGGACGGTTGATCAGTGCCGAGACCATTTCGGGGGACGTCGCGGCTAGGACGAGCGCCGGGTTGCTGTAGCCGACGGGGATACTCGCGATTTGGGCGTAGACGTCGAGAAGGATGTTCCCGTCCAGGTCGGCGATGTAGTTGCCGTATGAGTGCTGGTAGTTGGCCATCATGTTGAGGGAGCGCGTGTCGAAGACTTTGTCGAGTTCTTTGATGGCCTTTTGGGCGTTGGGGCCTGGGATGGGCGTTGTGACACGGGGACCCGTGGGCTCGTCGGGAAAGAAGGGTGTCTCGGTCGACGAGGAGGAGTCGAATGCTGCGGTGGCGGCGGCGCCACGGCGCGAGTCGGTCGTGGATGCGAGGGTGCGGATCGAGACGCGAGCGGGAGGTGTGAGGCGGCTCAGCGAGCGCAGCCCGCGCGAGGTGCGCAGGAGTGTGGCCATGACGGAAATGAGAGAGGGTCGGCGAAGGAGGGTTTAGGTGTAGGTGGAAAGGTGCGGGGGGGTGATGGAGAGGTCGCGAGCAGTTATATGTCGAACAACCGTATACGAGGTATTTCAATCGAGCACGGTGATAGACACTGGACGGGTCACACCTGCTGACAACGAAGGAGAGATCGGGTAGATCTGATATTTGTATTGTTACGAGCGCAAGTATTCAAGGTTTCTGATAGACATAACGCAGGGCGCAGGCACTTCAATGCTGCGGAGTTAGACGCAGATTGTTTTCCACAGCGGAAATCGACGTTCCAATCGTAAGCCCTTGCACGCTCCATTCTCCCCGCTATTTGGATACAGTCTTGTCTCTTTGAGGAATGTCTAAACGGGAGGCATCAAGAACCTGGAAGTACATACCTAGGTAGTAGTCACGAACGGATGAGGAGCGAGGGTGATTTCTACCTGGTAGGCTTTGGAAGAATGCATGGACTCTGTTAGTGAGGGAATGATGATAGATTTCCAGTGTGAAGATGGTGTGCAATTCTCATATACTTCTGTATTGATTTTGATACATCATTTTGGGAGGCTCCCACCTCGATAGAATGGGTATTTGACCATCCCAAACGCCGTCACTGATTCCTTCAGTCCTTGCGTTCATGTCTGTCCATGACTTGCTCATCACTTAATTCTTCTTCACCCGGAGCCCGATCTGTCAATGGACCATCCGACGCACCCTTCTCGAAATCTGAGGGGTTCTTCTTGTGTTCCGTCATCCTCGTCGAGCCCTTTGCAAAGGGATCTTTGGTAACGCCGCCAGGAACGTTGTGTAATCTTTTCGAGTCAACCTGGCCAGGGAGCGAGTCTCCGGTACCGGTCAAGACATCGTTGGTTGCAGTGTCACGGGTGGTCTGCAAAGTGTTATAGTTAGGGTGACTGTTCTGAATGGGCTATGAGTAAACGCACTCTCGGAATATCTCCCGCATTGTCCGCTGCCTCATGCAGTGTCCGTCCTCCCAAGTTGTTGGGATCCGTTTCTGAGGCTATTTGGTCGGGACGAGCTTTGGATGGGATCAATCTCGGCTCTGCTGCGTTGCTTGGAACACTGGTGCCGTCCTTGGCCATATCAAAGAGGTCACCGCCGCTGTCTCTCCCGGATTCAGGCATGATGAAGAAAGATTGGGTTTTGCTGGGATATGGAATTCTGAGTGTCGATTCGAGGATATTTGCAGTGGATTGTGGTGGTTCGAGGATAAGATCAAAAGATGGAAAAGCATCCCTTACCTCAGAATCTCACCATATTTATTGCTCGTGATGGATTGATGATTGATCGATCGTGTGCTCATTGTCCTCAATCTTCGTCATACAGCGGAGAAGATGATGTCATTCTCATGGCAACCGGCGTGCAATGCCTGAAGATAGATACTCGTAGTGAGCTTGCCTCATCATCTTCGAGCAACATGTACTCGTATCAGAGACATGGAACGCAATGCACTCATTCATCGGAGCCACAAGACAACATTTCATATTGTCAAGGCTTTGTAGCCCACTTCATTGCGGCACCTGCGGTCATGTCGTTAGCTTGACACGCTTGAGCCGCCCCCACGTCGACAAAGATGCCGAGGTACAGTGGATCTCTACGTAGCAAGACCCTCCACACCTTCATACCCTCGTAAAGCCGGGTTCTGAATACGAAGCCCTGGCACGGCCTGGCCAACACGTCGATAAAAAAGGAGTCTGAATATCTGACTCAAACGACTCTTGCTCTAGGGAGCGCACTCAAGAAACAAAGCTCGACTAACAACGTTTTGGACCTGCCTTCTCCGAAAACTGTCGTGCCTGAGTACATACCAGAGCAATATGGACGGCCCAAACAACGGCATTGTCCTGTACCATTACTCTTTCTCACCATTTGCGAGGAGAGTATTGTGGTACCTCAGTCTTCGAGGGATTGACTATGCAGAATGCGTGAGTATAGACCATTGTGATATACTAACAGTCTGTTGAAGTGCTATGCAGAAACAACCTCCTATCATGCCTCGACCAGACCTTGCTGCTCTAGGTGTGAAATACCGCAGGATACCTGTCATGGCCATTGGCCGCGACATTTATTGCGACAGCCGAATCATCTTGCGCAAGTTAGAAGAGTTTTTGCCTGACGGTGCTCTGGGGGCATCGACCCCTCAAGACAAAGCCATTGAAAAATTCCTGCAGATCTGGAATATTGAGGCCGGCATATTTGTCAGAGCTTCTCAACTCATTCCCACAAGCATGCCACTCCTGAACGATCCGAAATTCACCAGAGACCGGCAAGATTTCTCGGGTCGGTCATGGAGCAAAGAGCAGATTGCTGCGAATAGACCCGAGGCGCTGGCTGCCATTAGAAATGGCTTTGAATTCCTCGAGACCACTCTACTGGCGGATGGACGACAATGGATGCTGAAGACGGACAAGCCAACGCTGGCAGACATCGAAGGTAAGCAGGAAGTACGATGCAGGTCGGCTATAAACAAGCTAATGTAAGAACAAGCTATATGGACCTTTGATTGGTTGAACGGTTTGAAAGGTGCCTTACCAAGGGAGTTGATCTCTGCGAAGCAATATCCCAAGGTGTTTGCCTGGATAGCCAGGTTCAACGATACGTTCAAAGCAGCCAAATCGCAAGCACCGAAACCGGCCTCTTTGAAAGGCGATGCTGCAGTGCAACGCATTCTGAACGCTACCTTTGCTGAAAAGGAGCTAGGGGTCGACAGTGCCGATCCTTTGGGATTGCAGCATGGGACGGAAGTGGAAGTGTTCCCAATTGACTCAGGCAGCAGGCACCACGACAGGGGACGACTTGCTGGCCTTACGAAAGACGAGGTCGTTTTGAGCGTCCAGGCTCAGGGTACTGAGTTGCGGTTGCATTATCCCCGGACAGGCTTCAGGATCAAGGCTGTCACCAGTGGAGGCAGTTCGAAACTGTGAAGACCGTCTGGTACAGGAGTGGCATCGAAGCCTTACTTCCCACGACTCCGACGTGATTCGATTTTGAACTTGTGTTCCCAAGCAAGAGTGCATGCGTCCGTCGTATCACAACATATATGTCCGCGATATCTAGCTGAATCGGATATCAGCCGACGCATGCTGAATCCCTCCAAAACAGGGTGTGACGAAGAACGATGCCCAAACCTACACGGATACATGCCGTTGATATTGAGGCGATGTTTCCTCTTTCCCTTTCCATCACTGCATGCCTGTTCTTCCGAATAGGTAGCGGACGGAGACCACTCCTCTTAGACCGGTCAGCTACATTGGAATCTGGTTTCCCACCGTCGATCATGGCCCGCGTGGTTCATTTTGTTCTCTTCGGCCTGCCTTAAGATGGCACCCTGCACGGCTCTGGCGGCGATGCAATCTTTATCTTGATTCACAATCTGTGTAAAATGCTAGATCAGGAATGACCATGGCATCTGTGTTCATTCACATCAGGGAGACAGCATCTGATGTGTCACATGCGGCGGCCAAAGTGTAGGATAAATACGTGCCCAACTTACAGGCAGTCAGTGCATGACGCGGGCTGGCGGGCTGTTGCGTCCTTGACAGCGGTTGCTGCCCAAAACACAGACACTGGTCGGTGTGATTGGCCTTTGTTTTGGAGCCGACCTCTTACAGAGCCAGAACGAATGTTTCCAGGCGTTCTTGGGGACCCTAAGGCGGCGGACTATTGGCGTCTCTTCCGCCTATCGCTGGGGCTCACTAGGCTGAAGGACCCGGGGGAGCGAAGCCGAACCGCTCCCCATGTTGCCACTGATGCCACGCTCCGGTCATTTCAGCCACTGCTTCAATGATGCATTGGCTCTCGACCACTCATGAACTCGCAATCGAGATGCACGCATGCCGACTAGTCGAGAAATCTCAGACTGCTGACAGTCAAGAAACCCAGGACGTTCAGGGGCCAGTCACTCTGACAAGGCTTCAGCTTCACAAGACGGCTCGACGGCTCCAAGCAAATGGTGCTCCTTGAAGGAATTCGAAGAAGATCTGACGAGGTACAGGTTCCAGAGTCTGATCGAGCAGACTCTCGTACAAAGCCCGACTAATAAGAGGCCCCACAGAGGGATGCCACGCTGTCAAGCCTGTCAATGGACTGGGATGTCTGGAAATTTTTAGGACAAGATGGACCTCTCGCCAGCTGACCATTCATCGCAGTGCAACCTGGCCCTCACTAGGCTCGGCGCTGCTCTGCATTGTTGGGCTGCATCTCTTTCGCACCGGACCTGCCCATCTTTTCTGTCTTCCTTCTCGCCTCGCAAGAACATGTCGCATCTATTCTACATTGGACAAAAAATCCCACATTTTTGCTTTGCGTTGGCGTCAAGATCGCCGGTGGTACATTGATCATCCCACGCCTCGCCCGTCGTCTCAGGTTTTCCTTGACCCGGGTGCTCATTCCCCCATCGAGAACCCTTGGTCAGCTTTCCCCTCCATCCCTCTCCTCCCTTGGCCGCAGGTACACACCGTCTCGAGGGTAGAGACATCGAAATTCAGCAAACCCGACGAGAAATTCCATTTACTTATCCTTCTTGTCTGGACTGGACGGACATCAGGGTGGCATTGTGGTCATTGATTGGTCGCTCATTCGCTTGATTCAATCGCTCTGCAGCCTGAAGCGAGGCGCTCGTTGCCTGCGCCTACATCAATTCCTTTTTGCTCATCACATTCAACCTTCCGTCAGTTTTGTCAGACATCATTTGGCCAGTCTCTGAAAAGGATAGGTATTCATATCAATCCATTGGATCTCAATCATCCGGAATCCTGGAGCAAACATACCTGGTGGATCTGCATTCGCTTGGACCGTCTTAGCGTTACAGCATTTTTGACCAGACTCGACCTTGCCGCTTATCCTGCGACTTCTTCTCTCCTGAGACAGTCTTTCCCTATTTGTCTATTCCATCCCTCTTGCTGCCCAACGGACCAGGACTTTGTGCGCCCGAGGAACCATTTATAATCCTATACAAGCAGGATGTCGCGCTACGTTGACGACCCCAATTACCGCCGCAGCGAACCTCGTCACTCCTCAAGAAGAGACACTCGTGAGCGTGACCATAGGGAGCGTGGTGATTCTACAAGAGACAGAAGAGTTATGGATGACCGGATAGATCGAGACGCCCGTATGAGTGATGTTATGGATACTCGATTGGACAGCCGGATGGACCCCCGTATGGACTCCCGCATGGATCCCAGAATGGACACCCGTATGGATATCCGGACAGATCCAAGGGCAAATACTGCTTCACGCCTCAACCCTCGACCTGACCGCACTGTGGATAGCCGAAATGTTGAACCCGATGGCCCTGGTGTGTTATATCGAGATCCTACTACCGGAGAGCTTTATCGTGAAGTGAGGCGAGAAGTACCGTCAAGGTCTCCGTACACTGGGGACGAGCCTGATTTTGAGGTACCGCCCTCTCGCAGTCGGACAACAATGGATCCCCCTATGAGCAGAGACCGGGACGGTTACAGACCAGGAGCACCCGGATTATCCGAATATTTTTGCCCAGGAGAAGGAATCGAGCGAGAGGTCATCCAGCATGAAATTTGCAAATATCTTGGCCAGGATGCCACTTGTCGCCCAGGCCGAAACGCTGAAGTATGCCGTGCCGATATGGTTGTTCATGGTAAGTGTAGATATGCTAACGCAGCCGCACAGGGCCGATCTGGATACTGGGTCAAAGCCTATCGTCCTTTCACAACGGTACGCCATCCTCCCGGTTGACTGGGATCTCCTTACTGATACGAGCTGCACAGGCAATGGAACAATCGCTTCGTGAGGACACCATCAAATGGCAGCGTGAACGAGAACGAAGGACAAGATCGGGCCGTTCTCAAGGTACGCCTTACAGCGACTGGTCAGCCAATCGATCTAAGGATCGTGTAGGTTCTTACGCCGACATGCAAGCCCGGCAGGAAAGAGAACGTCGATACCCAGGAGAAATGGACCTTGATGATGATGACTACCGGCAACCGGCCCCCAGGCATCGTGATCCTCGTGATCCGGAACCTCACCCTCGTGATGCTCCTCGTCCCGTGGCCAGCGGTGGTCGTGTTCCCGTTACTGCTGTCACCACAGGATATCCCCCGGAACCCACTTATCCAACGGGTTCATACGCCATCTCTTCCACCCGCGAAGGCTATGCCCCTGGTCAACCTGCATATTATGGTTCGGAAAGAGAGCCCAGGACGGCGTTTGCAGGTGGTGCAAGCACGCCTCCGTCAATCAATCGATCCGGTCAGTCAGGAGCCTATGTTCAGCCAGGAGGATATCCATCCAGGACAGGACCACCAGTATCGGCCCCTATATCCACTTCCTATGATCCCAGAAGGGACATGATGGGTGCTTATCCTTCCGGGTATTCTGATTCACGTAGTCATCGTCGATGACCGCATTCTTCCGCGGGCGGTTGATGTTGCATATTGTCCGAATCCGGTTTCTGTTATCCTCGATGGTTCAGTCTTGCACGTTTTGTGTTGCCCCAGGAACTGTCGGCTTGAGCCGACGCCGCTCGAAACCATTGTCTCCCTGGGTTGCCACTTTATCATGGACACGATTGCCCCGGATTCAACCAGGCTCATTTGTACAGTTGCCAAATCTCCGGACATTTGGACGTTAACGAGGTTACGATTACCGGACGTGTGAACGTTGGAACGTTTGACGAGATTACGATTGAACTGATTATACCTTACCAATGGAGTCCGCAGGCTCGTGTTCTCTCTTCGTATTGGATTATCATCAAGCGATCCATGCTGGAGTCGGCTTTTATACGTACATTTCCCGGACTACGGAGGCATTCTGGAACACACTCAAAATGGTCGTTTTGTTATTGGTCCGACTTTGATATACAGCATGACAGAGCCGGTTTGCAGAAATGAAATTGTTATATGGCTAGCATCTGGTCGGCGTATTCGAGATGATTTGTTTGCGGATCTTGAAAGCATACCTAGGTATACTCTGATTGATGACATGGATAATGCAACGGCCTCTTACACCCATGGAATGTCCTCCGGCTTGATGCCCTGATTCGAGGATGCCACAGGTTGTTCTTCCTGGCCTCCCTTGGTTTCCAATATCACGACCAGGCCATATTCACCACCTTATCCGGGCATCTCGTGATCTTGACTCATGCACATCTTGATTCTCCACGCAAAGAGGATGGCCCGGGGACCTTTCCAGCCATCTCATGCTTCAGAAACACTACGTCTCTCCTGGAGTCATTGACCATTTGCCGTGTCTTGAGGATATTGCACCCAACACCTCAGTCTTGTCCTTGTGTCATCCTCCTTACAAAAGCTTGGATTCTCTGGCATCCTTTGTTGTCGTTGTATTTCCATGCTATTGTTACCTTTTCAATCCTCTTGAATTCAGCTTTGTCGCACACCGTCTCCATCAAGGCCAAAGTCCAAGTTTCTTCAGGCCACGTCCTGAACTGTAAGCCTCTCACATATCCCTGACTCTGACCACCTTTTTCACCGCACAAGCCTGTGACCCTGTTGACCGTCTTCAACTGCCTCACATTCACTACAGGGCACGTGTCACGTCTTTGGCAAACAGATCCGTGTCACCGTCACTGCCTGGGACAGCGAAGGCCATATCGTCTCGCCAAGTGTCGCGATATTTTGGGGACTCTTATATATTCCTGGCCAGGTTTTCTATTCTTCGCGCGTCGACCACCTCACACAATATCCTCATCATCAGTAATCCTCACCTCATTCGCACGACATCATCGTTCAAGATGGCGTCCCCTTCGAAAGCAGGCTTTCCAAAGTTCGTTGACGGCGATGTGCTCGTCATCGTGTCAACCACTCAATATTACAAACTCCATTCGCAAGTCCTGACCACCCACTCACCATGGTTCGCCGAGCAACTCGCCGCGAAACCTCCACCACGCTTGAACCCACAAGCCCGTCGTGAGAACGCTGCAGCGTTCCGCTTTGAACTGCACCGCGCACCTGGCGAGGAAGGACCAGGTCAATTCATCCGCATTGTATGAGGACTCTCTCTGTCTCTCTCTCTCTGTCTCTCCTTCTCTCTCACTCTCTTATCGTCTTCTTCCCCCGCTTCTCTCTCACTGTTGAGAGACACATCCCCAACAACCTAGGGTTTGAATCTTTAATTGACCACCTCTGTGCACTACTACATAGGACGTCAACGAATCCGGCCGATCTCCTCGCTCCAGCCTCCCTCTCGTGCCGGACTTTGAAAATGGCAAGGTGGAAAACATCCACAACCAATCCTGGGACTGGCTGTTCGGCGTCTTCTACAACCGCGAGCCTCGCTTCGACGACACCAGCCTGGCGACGATCCTGACGTGCGTCATGGCGGTGATCGAAAGCGCCGAGTCCGTGGGTGCAATCGACCACGTGCGCGACATCGTCGACCTGGCCCTGATGCGCCAGGACAGCGTGCTGTGGACATCGATCATGGGCAACCCCGTCGTGTGGATCGAGCTGGGCCGCCGAGTGCGGTCGCCGGCCATCTACCGCGAAGCCGCGATCCACCTGATCGGCCAGTGGGCCGTGATCAAGGACGAGGACAAAGAGCGCATTGGCGAGGACATCCGCGGCGTGCTGAACCAGAAAGCCGAAGAACTCGCGCTGGCCAAAGAGGCCATCGAGATGCGCATGCTGGGCCACTATCCGCAGTTCATGATGCGCACGGCGACCGACAAGCCCGGCCGGCCGAGCTACTCGGGCGACATCTACATGTGGATGAGCGTGTGTTTTTTCCGCCAGTGGTTCGCGCAGAATGTGAGTGACGACCGCACGCGACGCGCGCCCGACGGCGGGTTGAACTTCTACTCGGCCCTGCACGAAGGTGGAGGCGCGTACCTCACACACCTCGACTTCAAGACGTTCCATCAGTACTTCCCCATGAGCATCAAGGCGTGCCACGTGCTCGAGGCCAACATGGGCGTGCTCAAGGAGGATATCAAGCACTTTGTCGGCGACCTCATGCAGGAACGCTCCCACTTGAAGCGCGCCGAGCATGACATCGCTTGGCTGACCTGTGCGCGCATCGAGAAGGAGGACATGCCCTGGTGCACGGCCACGAGTAAGGGCATGAAGCGCAAGGAGGACGAGCTCAAGGAGTTGTACACGGCGCTGGGCGAGGAGAATGCCATGAGGATGCATCTTGACAAGGACAAGGACACGCCGCCACGTCCGGGGAAGAGAGCTCGAGTGTTCGTGGAAGATGATGACGACGACGAGGAAGACCAGGAACAACACGAACACCAGCTCCTTAACGATGGCGATGATGGCGATGACGAGGATGAAGAGGGTGATGGCAGTGGTATGTTCATCCCAGAAGACGACTTTTAGAGAGAGAGAGAAAAAAAGGTATGTGTCGTGACGTGTCTCTCTTCACGATCTGGCTCGTCGTACAGGACTCGAGTGACTAACGGGCAACCAGGGTCATCACGGCCTTCGTCGACGTTCCATGTCGGGGAAGGAGTCGCGCGTAACGGAACAAGGTATCTTTGCGTCCACTTCTGCACTCAACTCCTTTTCACAGCATTTGGGCTCGCAGTGGTCAACCAGATCACATTCAACGGCTATTTTTTACATGGGGGTTTGTCGCTATGGGTGTACTCCTGGGTTCATGAGAGATCACCACGCTGGATAGGATGGAGTGCTTTTGCGTGCGTTTACTGCTTTTTCCTTACTTGGAGAGATGGAATGCTGCTGGCATGCTTCGTGCTTGATGAAAAATACCCCCATAAGAAAATCCAAATGGCTTGCATGCTTCAAATAATCCGAAATAATCGATTGATTGATCTTTCAATTTTTGTTCCCCCATAGGAAACAAAGCTATGTACAATGCCGTGCCGTGAGCGCTACCTTTCGTCTCGTGGCTGGTGTCCTGCCCCCATGGTGTTCCCAGCTCAGGTGTCTGCTTTCCCCATGCTAGACAAGCAGCCTCTTGCAAGTCCCAGGCAATCGTAACGCGGTTGTTTTTGTTTTCTTTAAAAAAAGGTCTGCGAGAGTCTGCGAGAGCGTTTCATTTTGGATCGTCGAACCCTTGAGGGATCTTTCTGGGTCCTTTGGGAACTACCAAGACAACCATAAGTTAGCCATCCATTTCCCAGGCAATGGTTCCTCTCGACCGATCGCTTGAGACGCTACAAGACGAGTATGTGCTTCTTGGGCCCGAGGGTGTACTCGATTTTTTCCAGCTCTCGCCTAGACAGAGAGTGTGTGTGTCCGCAATCCCTCCTCCTCCTCCTCTACCTGCCAATATGTAGTGCATAAGTGCTTAGAAAAAGACTCACCAGGATAAGTCAGTGGGATCTGCGCCGGATCCTCGTCGCCGGCCCATCGTCTCAACGGCGGGACGACCACAAAACACATTGGTCCCATTCCACCGAGCACGCAACTCCAGAAGATGGCGGGTTTCTCGTGCATGGCCCATCGCAGGTACCGGACCGGAGAACCCCAGAATCGCTGTGGGACGCCAGACATCTTTATTTTTGGTGTACAAGTAGTATCGGGCTTGGTCAGGAGGAGAATGAGAACGAGGCGGACCGCGAATGTGAAGAGGTCAGGGGAGCGAGGCAAGGGCCTCTTACTCGTCGTCGTGCTCAAGTCGCGGAGGAAGAGGGGAGATCGATCTCTGGTAGCTGCTTGCTTCGAGGGTCGTTGGACGCAGATCGTTTGGCGTTCACTCAGACAGACAGGGGACAAGACTTTCGAGTTAGGGTCTCGGTGTTGTTGACGCAAATCGTATGGCCGCTGGTCGTCTATCGCTCAATTCGGTACTGTCTGCTGGGGCTGTTGGCTATTGAAGCTCGATGTTTGAGGTCGCTTGACTGGGCCTGAAATCCACCGTAGGATGCTTGGCACTTCTACGGCGGAACTTGGTTTGAAGACATGCGCAAGGTTTCTGCGTCGAATGGGCCAGAAGTACGAGCTTGAGGTACATATTCCTCACGAAGCATAACATAAGTATTCTTATTTCTTCGGAACCCATATGTGGGTGTGGGACCGGGGCATTAGCATATTTTGAGGTAGTGCATTCTGTTTTCATTGAGGCGGTAATGGTTCAGGTGCAGGAAGATCAAAGCTGAGGCGAGTATTGCTACTTCTCCATTTCATGTCTTGGTCCTTCATTAATCGTCATTCATTTGGCTGTGGCTGGCTTGATGTCCAAAGCATTGTGCCGTTCGCCTTCCCGGTGTCTCGGATGGCTCACATAATATACACCTTCCTCACTTGATCCCATTTGAAACTCTCACCAGTGGTAGGGTCTCTGACTTCACCTTCCTTACCAATCTGCAGCTCTTGAACCCCTCCTTCTCCGCCGCCTAGTCCAGCCATGGCGAGTTTGCGTTGTAGCTCTTCCAACCGCTCACGGCCATATATTCGTCCATTTGGCAAGACTACAGGGTCCGATTCCACAGAGCTCGTTGTGTGATGAGCATATGGCACGTTGCGAGCAAGGTCATTCAGCTCCATGCTGCAAATCGGGCACAAGGAGGTATTCGTCGCAATGCGAGCATGGCCAGGTGTTGAAGAGCTGGCTGGATTGTAAGCACTGTGACAAGCGGGAGTCTTCAGAGCGGAAAGTCCTGCGGATAGAGCGACGTGCATGAGGGGCTGGACTGGAAGGGACAGTAATGTGTGGTGGGTTTCGATGAACAAGTTCGCTATATGGTGCCATCGTGAAGGGGCGAACAAGCTGCGATATGGTTCGGCCTCGGTGTTTGTTGTCTGGGCCAACAGTCCTGCTGCCTGCATAATTGCTTCTGATCGTGAAGAAGCGTGCGGGGCGAGGTGCTGTTGCGCATGTATAGTCGCCTCGAGTCGTTTTGCTGGAGTCCCGGCCCGAAGCAGCTCGATGAATTGTTGGAGGCGTAGTTCGAATTCGAGATTGGTCGACTTGTATGGAGCAGTTATGAGTTTCTTCAGAGAGTTCTTGTTCTCGTTGATCCATACTAACGCTTCTTTGGTCTCGCCTCTAGTCAGGGACGAAGCAATTTTGTGACATGATATGAAGGTGTCGAGGTCTATTAGATGCGTGATTTGTTTCGATTCGGCCAGTGTTGACGCCGTCCCAGAATAACCCGATCGAAGGAGGTAGTCCACTATCAGCCGATCGAGTCTTTTCCTTGACCATTGGTCATACTGTACATCGGCCAGGGATGGAACCTGGTATAGGTCTTGTAGATGTTTGATGCGTTTGGCTGTGTGCTCATGAAGGGCTTCCTCCTCCGTATGTAGCTTTTCCAATTTCCGCTTGAAATTTTGCATCCGTTGAATCATGGCGTCTAGGGAGGCGAGGGTTTGATCCGGGGTTTGGGAGGAACTGAGCGCTGCATTGGCGGTGTCCTTGAGGGTGGGTAAGATGTGGTCTCGTTCACGTTCTACATAGCGCTGAGTGTTTCTGAAATTGCGTTTGACGAGTTCGTGAGGTAGCCGCAGGAGAGGTTGGTCCTGGATCTCGGTTAGAGTACAGTGCCGTGAGAAGTGACCCGATATGAGGCATTTACCAGTAGGACATGGCTGTCTGGGTTCAGTTTGGTGGTGGAGAGTTCAGCAGCCATGTGAACGACGAGGTGAACAGAGAAGACTTTAACGAAGACAGTGGCCGACTGGTCGTCTTTTCGAGCTGCAGTATGTGAAGTGAGTGAAGTCTTCGCAGGCTCCTAGCAGGTTGTTCACGTGGTTGAAGAGGTTGAGTGGTAGTCATAGACCGACCATGCCGTCTTCAATCTATGGAGGTATATACTCCGCAGTAGCGCTCTATCGCCGCGTGCGTGTGCGTGTCACTGTTACGCAGACCGTGCTAGACACGCCAGACACCCAGAAGCACCGAAGCGATCATGCAGCACCCGGGGAGATAATCAAGCAACGGTCATCTTATGAGCGAACATCATAACTCTAACTACTAGGTGACTACTACTCTAACCACTTCACGATGGCGTACCCTACGTGCAGACTCTACCCGACCAGCGAATAACCCAGATCCTTCCCTCTCCCCATCGCGACCAGTCTTTGTCGCATGGCCTCGGCTCGCTCAGCTTTAGGCCCATCCAAGGTGAATTTTGCTCTATCAACCCAGTCACCAACAGCATGCTGCAGCACTTGTCTAGCCCGCTCAGTCCCATGACCTGCCAACCCCACGGAACCGTGAAGTGTCATCCGACCTACATCGTGAGACGCATCAATCCCCTTATATATTCCTCGGTGAAGGATGTTGCTGTCATAAAATACTGCATCGCCAGGAGCCAATTCGACCACGAGTTGACCAGGTAAGTTAGCCTCGAAGGGAGCCGCAGCTCTTTCAGTCTCGGTCCGTACACGCCGGTGGCTTCCTGGGACGACGAGAAGAGACGCATCATCGAACAATGCAATGTTGTATTGCGCATGCAACTGCCGGCCATTGGGACTTTTCTCCTTGAGCTGCCGTTCTTCCTCCTCTGGTGACACGTCCGGTCGAACATCGTCTCGATGCCAGCAGAGTTCAAAGTCCTGTTGCTCGGCAGGACTTACCAGCAGGTTGAAAAGCTCCATGACTAACTTGTCATAGCCTTGTGGATCGTCTTGCAGTCCAACCAGCTCTTTGACAATGGAAAGGATTTCGTCAGAGAAATATAGTTCCGCAAAGGTATCTCTAGTCTTCATGTCTGGATGGAGAAGATGCTGGACTCCCCAGATATTGTCACCAGGCTGCCACTCATGCCAGGGTGGATATTGTTTTGGAACGGTTCGGACATAGGGCCATTGGCCTTGCCGTGCACAATCTGTGGTATGTTCACAAGCTGTTCTTAGGGCATGCAGTAGTTGTGGCGATATCAGGGTGGGTATCTTGACGAAGCCATCATTGCGAAGTGCGTCCAGATATGGTGTTGGGGGGTCGGAAGTCATGGCTGATATCTATCACTCCAGATTGGATGTCCTCCAGATAACAGGAAGCTGATATCCTAAATATCGTCCATCAATACTTGATGTAACAGTCGTCGGGTTGCAATGAAGCCCAACTAACATCGGCCTGATGATCCCCTCCATTATCATGCGGGGAACACCACAATCCCACTATCCCTGTCAACCCTGCACAGTTCGGTAGAATGCAATGCTAGCAAAAGGCGTAGAACACCGCCAGATCAGACGCGAAGCCGGAATAGCCATGTTGTTGACTGGCAAGGGCAAATACCACAGCCACAGTTGGACTTGCGCCAAGGGGGCGAGACAAGCCTGGGGGATGTCAAGTGGACGATTGGTTTCTCATAACTTGATCAGCAAGAGATCCTTTCAAGCTGCAGAACCGTATGAAAGTCCATAGATTCTCCAGAACATCTGTGGAGCTTCTGGATGTCGTAGCTGACTGCCGCTTTTGAAGATCAGCTGTCCGTGCCGAAAACTTCGACAGCAGCCGGGAGGTCTGCCCACGACTCTTCATCGGCTCTATTGAGCGTTGACAGTTGCTTTTCCAAGTCGCGAAAAGCGGTGGCTTTGTCGTGAAGTGTGTTCGCAAGGACCAGCGAGGCGCTGCAATGGCATCTACCTCTTCGCTTTCCTTCACAACTCGAGTTCAATCTCTATGCTGGCGGGAATGGAACAACATATCAGAACGCCATCGTCGCCCTCGAGACACCCTTCAATCGTGCCTTTCAATAATCTCACCTCGCATGTCCCGCAGGCGCCAGACCGACAACCAAAATCTGGCTTCAACCCCGACTTCTCCGCGAGTTGAAGAAGAGTCAGTCGTTCCTTGGCCAGCCATTTCACTTGCATGTCCGACTTGCGGAACGTGACTGTTGCTTCTTCGATGTCTGACATGTTGGAGGCTATAGTGACCAATCCACAATAGGCACGTCAAGGTTGATAGCCTCGACAGTATATAAAGCGAGAGTCGACGGCTGATCCTGATGTTCTGTAAGGCGAGCTGCCACCAGCCTCGGGTTTCTGACCGACAGGGCGGTTGGAGAAGAAGGCGGATCATCTACCGGGAGAACAATCGTCTATTGATGTGATGCTTTTCGGCAATTCGAGTTCCTTGGGCCCCACTGGCTCAGCGCAAGTCTTGCCGACCAAATAATGCAAAGCAGAAATCGTACAGACCTTGCCACGACTTGGGCAATGAAGGTGTTGGTGGCATTCTGCGCTTTATACCCAACTACTCCGGAGTATCAGTCGACCATCGGCAGACTTTCCTGAGTTGGCTTCCTGCCTCGATGCCGTCAGTCTGTATTTGTTCGACGACTGCTGCTTCGAGAACCACTCACCTCGGGCTGACATCAAGCATGCAATCAGACTACTGAGTCCCGTACCCCTGACCTCGAAGGCATGTGTGGCTCAAAGAGAAGAGACAAAATCTCAGATGCCTGCAAGCTTCAGCTTCGGTAGCTTTGCCAGAGCTGCTAGAGCACCTTCATGTTTGCGAACAACATATATTGCTTGTACGCTTCTCTCGCAATACGCTGATCATGACTCTCGCTGACCATGGTAGCTCGCCATGCTCATTCATACCATCCCTCTGGGACGAGCTGCCATGACTTGGCCTTCGTACCAAGTAGGCCGACATGTCAATCAGGACGGAGGAACTTCTCGGCAGCTCCATCAGCGTTAACAGCGCAACCCGAAAAGGATAGCATCAACAGCATGCGCAATGACACGTCGGAACTACCAAAAACCAGTGATAACGTGCATATTCAGAAGTGTTTTGTCAAGCAAAAGCTTTCCGAAGAGGTCAGAGCCGCGATGCGTCACGTTGCACACCCTGTTGCGATAATTACCGCCACAGATGTCTCTGTGAGCCCAAAAGGAGCTCCACACGCCTGGCGGGGTGCTACGGTGTCCTCCTTCAACACCGTTACACTTTCTCCGGAACCGATCGTATCATTCAATATCAAACGGGTTTCGTCCACGTTCGACGCCATTCGGAGCTCGGGTCTTTTCACGGCACACTTCCTCTCTGGCCAACACCGAGCCGGCGAGATGTTAGCTACCAGATTCTCGCGTGGCAATGCGACTTCGCCTTTTCATGACAAACATGGAAAGCTGGAGTCGTACGTTTTTCGGGATCCGGAGCTCCAGCCTCGTGCCCGGGAACCGCCAATTATACGGCCCTCCGGCCGAGGACCGCCCCTGGCGCCTCTGAATCTTACTTGCGAATATCTGCCGGAGAAGCTGGTTCATATAGCAGACCATGTGGTTGTCTTTGGCCGTGTTATCGGAGTTTACGATCGTATGACAGAACGACGATTCAGACATGGGCACACGCCGATATTGTCCTATGTAAATCGTGGTTACATGCGGCACGACTGGGGTCCCATGGAGTTAAGACTTCGGAAGCCAGGTTCGGATGAGCAGAAGGAAGAAGTATCTCAGAGGCACTCCGAAGGCTGAGGTCTGGACACACACGAGTACACTTGGCATCTGCTTGGAAATGCATCTGTCAACTGATTCTTATGGAGTAGGCGAGCGACACTCTGGAGGCCGATTGCAAGGAGGTGGTTGAAGCAAGGACACTGCGCTGCCTTGCTTTTCGAAGCGATGGTACCACTAGCTATGAGAGTGCCTGTCGAAATCATGGAGTTTGCATTATCTGCCTGTAGTTGGGCGTGATTTTAGCTCAGCATCAGAAGCACTATGTGTCGAGCACCATACACTACAGGTAGCACAACACGATTGACCACAACAGATCCGCTTGAACACAATGCCCTTGCTATTGCTGCGTCACTCGTGGTCTCGCTTCATCTGAACTCGATATGGTGGTGACACTTTCGCGAATGAGGCAAATGAGGCACTAACCCGATTGGTCACCAATAATCCGTATTCCTTGAAGACTTCAAACTTCGAGTTGAACCTCCATGAACCTCTCACCACCTACAGCATTGCCCTTTCAAGTCTATATCCGCAACATTACCCGACTCGGGACTTCAGAGACTGCCCATTTTGACTTGAATAATCTCTGAACCATGCCTACTAGATTATCAGCTTTGACAGGTCGCTCGAGCTTCATCTGCGCCCAGTGTCGAAAAGCTCTGACTGCACCTAAACGGCGACGCCTCTTATCAACATCATCAAAAACACCTGAAATCTACGATGTCGTAACAGTCGGTGGAGGCCCAGCAGGCCTCGCCCTACTAGCAGCTCTCAGTACGCTGCCTCGCATTTCCGTATCGAACAACACTGACCAACCCCCCAGAATCCTCTCCTGTAACATCACATCTAAAAACCGCACTGATTGAGATCCAAGATCTCTCCAAGCTGCGGCAATGGCCTTCACCCGAGCACCAATTCTCAAATCGGGCTAGCAGCTTAACACCTTCATCCGTCTCATTCCTCGAGACGACCGGCTCCTGGGCACACGTCGACCAAACCCGCATTCAAGCCTACGACGAAATGCAAGTCTGGGACGCCGCCAACGACGCCAGCATCCAGTTCGACTGGAAAGCCGAGACACAGAAGTACAACGCCCCGCCCCAGACGATAGCGACCATGTGTGAAAACGCCAACCTGACGCGAGGCCTGCTCGAGCGCATCGTCGAAGTCGGCGCAGAACCGTCCCTCTTCTCCAACACGAGCGTGTCAGCAATCGAGACCGGCGAAGATGACCCCGAAGGACTCAACTTGTCAACATGGCCCGTCATATCTCTCGAACCCAAATCGCCTGGACCACTCTCGCACAACAATCCAACCAATATAGCAGCACGCCTGCTCATCGGCGCAGACGGCTTCAACAGCCCTGTCCGCGCCTTCGCCGGCATCAACTCGTCGGGATGGGACTACAACCGCCACGGCGTCGTTGCCACACTCACTCTTCAACCCGCCGACACCGCCCAGACCGTCGACTTCGACCTCTTCAGCTCCGAACCGCTACCCAACCGCGCGACCGCGTACCAGCGCTTCCTTCCACAACTTGGCGGGCCGATCGCCATTCTCCCACTGCCCCATGACCGCGCGTCAATGGTCTGGTCCACCAAGCCGTCTCACGCGGCGTACTTGAAATCCCTTCCCGCTTCCGCGCAAATCGCCATGATCAACGCAGCATTGCGCCTCAGCCAAACCGACTTGAAGTACCTACTGAGCCTTCCAGCGGATTCCGCCGTCGACGCCCACGAAACCGAACTCCGCTGGCGTCTCGAACACACCTCCGCGCCTCCTAGTCTATCTCGCCAACCGCCCTTCGTGACGGGCATACAAGAGAACAGCCTCGCCAGTTTCCCCTTGCGCTTCCGCCACGCGACGAGCCTGGTCAACCCGCGCGTAGGCCTGATCGGAGACGCCGCGCACACGATCCACCCGCTCGCAGGCCAGGGGCTGAATCTCGGCCTGGCGGATGCAAAGGCGCTGGCGGAGTGTATCGCGTACAGCGTCCGTCACGGGATGGACATCGGCGACCCCATGGCCTTGGAGAGGTATAGTTCCGCGCGGTTCGGGCGGGGCTTGGTGATGGCCGGAGGCGTGGATGCGTTGAATTCCTTGTACCAGCTTGGAAGTGGTGGGGACGGCATGCTGGCGAGTGTCGTGGGCAGGGCGAGGGGCCTCGGGATGAACCTCGTCAATCAAGTGGTGCCCGGGTTGAAAGAGTTGATTATGAGGCAGGCGAGTTGATCCAAGTCCCATGCGTGTGTGCGGGTTTGGGCAACCCAGTAATACGAGCACGTCCGTGCGTGTCTCGCGCGTGTGGGCTGTCAGTATGCCTTGGTTATGTCAGGGTGGTAAGGTGAGAAGAGAACGGAAAGAAAATTGGGACCATTGATACCTAGTGGGTGCCTAGATGGAAATGGGATCTAATAAAATTACTTTTTGCCCTCCAAGATCAAGCAGCCTGTCTATGTCGACCCGCAACTACCTGGTACTACTGATGGAGCTTGTGGAGGACATGAACGAGTGCGCGAGTCTTCTACATTCGAAATGGCGAAACGCGGCCATCCCGAAATCACTGCATATCCTCATTATTACCCTGCCATCATGCTCGAAATACTCCAGGATAGATAAGGGCCGGTCGGACCCCCCAAGCTTTACGGGACAAGACTCGTCTGCAGTCAAGGATGAACGATCGAAGCCTCGCTCGCGAGTTATGTGAATATACTAATTGGCCATCAGTAGGGACTTCAAGAAGTCTTAGATTGTGTTTCGCATAAGGTAATCAAAGCCTGTCCCAACCTTTTGTTCATTCTATCCCTCCCCCAGACCCCAAGGTTCCAAATCAAGCCTCTCGTCCGTGAAGATCTCGACGCCGAGAACCTCATCTCTAGCGGCAGCTTGTCCCTGGGCCAATCGTTCTAGCACTAGCCACAAACCACCAATCTCCGGACTGCACATGGCGGGTTGCAAATCCAAATCTCCGATACGAAGCCCCGACGAAACACTCGTGAATTCCTCATTGTCGATCTCGCTGCTGGCCACCACTTGCTTATAGGGTCCTTGACCTTGCTCCAGTGTCATTTTGAACAGCGACGCAGAGGGTGCTGCGGGTATCATGTGCCGCGCCACGAATGCGACACGACTCATTCTGTTGATGACGAGAGGTGCGAGGAGGCGATTGGCAGTGCTGCCAAAGACCGCAGGAGTGCTTCTGATGCTAAGTCGTCCGCTCCCGTCGGCCGGTAGTTGGACGAGAGATGGGGTATCAGTCGAGGAGTACAGGTCGAGCGTGAAGTCGGCGAGACGGCTTTGATCGAACGTCGAGCAGATGATGGTGTAGTTTCCCACTGGCAGTTCCGTTTCCACCACAGCACTTCCACGTCGATAGTCCCCTGAGTGTGCGAGGACATCTCTAGGTCTCAAGCGCACGATCCTCGAGCCATTGCTGAATACGACCAGGATCTTAACGTGGATATCAGTTGCGTCTACCGAGTCGTCTTCATTCTTGTGGTCGACACGGAGAAGTAAAGCTAATTGCTGTTTTGTGTTGAGATGCATTCGAAATTGTGGGTTGGCAAGGTAAGTAGCCGAGTCGGAGTTGCCGCCTGCTATTGACCTCGTCCAGGCAGATTTTATGCTGGACTTTCGGGGATATTGCAGGCGAGCTTCGGACAGTGACAAAGTGGATTTTGACAATGCCGAAATGGTAAAATTCATCTTACCTGGTGGCAAGGTTTGTGAGACCACGACTGCAGTGTAGGTTGTCCTAGCATCCGCGTGGAACCTCAACAAGGTATTTGGCGAATCTACAAATGGACCGCGTACCTTGGCACCCTCGCTGGTGATGACTTTATTCCCATGGCGCTCGTACAGGTAGATGCTGATGTAGCCATTTTTGCCAATAGTCGATTGTGTATAATCTCCTGTTCGAAAGTGCCGACTCAGCAGCAACCAGACCTCACCACTTTCGGAGACTGTCACGGCAAATTGTGGATTTTCGACGAAGATATTTGCAGCTGATTCGGGCTGTTGTGGCTGCCATGAGAAATGGAGGTCTTCTCTGTGGGAGAACAAGCCGGGGTTCCAGTTGATGTACATGTTTTCGAAATATTGAAACATGCTGTTGAAGTCCATCCAAAAAGTGCCCGGCATCATTTTCTGGTCTGTTGATGTGCCGTTGGCTTCGTCATTCTGATTTGGTCTCCTTCTTGATGCTCCTCGCCAAACATCGCCGTCGGCCCATGGATTCTTGACCAGTATCTCTTTGGCATCACCATCAGAAGACACTTCCAAGACGGCATAATCATGTTCTGCCGCAAGCCCGAGATACTTCTGCTCACGGCGTGGCAGATTGCCAGTACCAATGGTGATCAGGACATTTCCCTCCTTGAAGTTGGTGGCTATTTCCTCCCACAAGCGGTCGGGCTCGACACCTTCGTCGTGCAGAAATACTTGTTGGGGTATCCAGCCAGTCAAGACAGCAAGGTCGGTGCCTGAATTACTTCCGGGAAAATCATAGCCACCTCGAACTTTAAGATATGCCTTTTCAACTAGGGCTGGCCATAGTAGGCCTGGATGATGGCGATCGATTACATGGAGTACTCGTGAGGTTTTCGAGGTGGGCAAATAGTCGTCGATTTCGACTCTCCTCCAACAACCATTAAAGTACAGTTTCAAGATATACTTTCTGTTGGCTGAAACAGAGATTCTGTCATTCTCGTAGTCATAGGGATGCACGGCTGAGCGAAGTATCTGGCTTAGCGTTAGATGGGCACCATGCAAAATTGATGGACCTACCTTAGGGTGACCTCGCTCGACTCTGGAAGTACACGCACATAAACTCGCAACGACTGAACAATCCGACGTCAAATCTTGAACAAGATCCATTGGCTCATCAGAGTGCATGACCACCTCATCGGAAGAAGACTGATCATGGGTATGATGATTGCTGGTGGAGATGGCATCATCTGCTCGCTTCCACCCGCCAAAGGTTTCAAGCTGGTCAGGAGAAAGCGGGAGTGGACTTGAGTCTGTGAAGGGTTCTTGTCCATTCTGAAGCGAGAATTCATCGGCAGAAGGGGCACTTGTCCAAGGTTTGAAGATGAATCCATTTAATTTGGAGCCTTCGAGAATGATAATGTTCTCCCTTGTGCTGAGTTTTCGAGATGAAAGAGGTACCCTAAGCTTTTCCTTCTGCAGAACCATGGAGACTGGTTTTGAGGACCCATCCTGTCTTTGCTTGAGTTTTTCAGCCTGGCCGAGCAACTCTTTGCATTTTGCGTCGAGCCGCTTTCGATCTGACGGCTTGTCGACTAAGCGCAGGGCTTGCAGGTAGAGCTCAGCACTCTTAATTGCAGCTTCCAGGTTAGCATTAGTGCTAGTCTTAGAGGGAATGGTCTTCTCGATTGACTGTGCCTGCTGTTCGAGTTTCGACCACTTTACATCCATTGTTTGTCGCTAAGATGATGGGGATCGTGCAATGGTCGATGACATGTGAGTATAAGCGAGTAAGGTCCAGAAGTGTCTCTATGATCGGCCGTATAATTGACTGTATAATTGATCTACCGTAGCCGACTGACCGAGAACGGGCCGGAGGAAGACGGTCGGAACCGGCAGTGTTTCCCTGCCTCGCCTAGTTGATACGATCAGCCATTTGCCTCGGCTGTTGAAAGATGATGGATGCATGCAGCTGGGAAACCGAATTGGATGCTGCCCCATGCCATCCCGCAGCGTCCCTCGGGGGAATGAGGATCTGAAAAATGATTCTTTAGATGCACCATTGTCGACATTATCTTCATTCCTAGTCCATCCACCCCTGTCCCCATCCCTCGCGGAATCGAGAGCAACAAGTCTACCTACATCTTCGCCACTCTAGCTTCTCAATCCGCGAGAACGTCTCGGTTTACACCCGCCGCCTCGAATACTTCAGCATCTGGGTTCCTACGTCACTACTCCGGTAGTTTCTTGACCTATCCCTGCTGGTCGAGTAGCAAGCAGACACATACCCTCGAGCTCACTCCAGGCCAACATTTAGAAGACAATGTCTCAGGAGTCGGAGTTGGCGCCATGGGAGAGCGCCGTGGCCGGTGCAGCCGGTGCAGTACTCGCCAACGCTATGGTCTATCCTCTCGATATGTGCGGACGGTGTGCCCCTGCGATGATGAATTGATGAACTGACCATGTCTACAGTGTAAAGACAAGATTGCAAGTACAGATCAAGAAGAAGAATCAAATAATCCAGCACACCGCCGAGCACCACCACTACGAATCAACGCTTGACGCCATCAGGAAGATCATCGAGCATGAGGGCCTCCACGGCCTGTACTCCGGTCTTGCTGGAGCCCTCGCTGGCGTTGCGTCCACGAACTTTGCCTATTTCTATTGGTATTCCGTGGTGCGACAGCTGTGGACAAAATATGAGACAAAGCCTGGGCAGCATCCAGGTACAGCGGTCGAACTGGCTCTGGGCGCTGTCGCAGGTGCACTTGCCCAGGTATTCACAATTCCCGTTGCAGTTATTACAACACGGCAACAAACTCAACCCAGAGGCCACAAGAAGTCATTCTGGGAGACCGGAAAAGAGGTGGTCCACAGTGAAGACGGCTGGACTGGGCTGTGGAGAGGGCTCAAGGCTTCTCTCGTGCTCTGTGTGAACCCAGCTATCACATACGGCGCTTATCAGCGTCTGAAGGATGGTGTATTCCCGGGCCGAGCCAGACTGCGCCCTTGGGAGGCTTTCCGTACGTCAAGTTCCTCTTATCTATCCCATCCTATCGCTAACCAGTATCTAGTTCTTGGAGCCATGTCCAAATCCCTAGCAACGATCACAACTCAGCCGTTGATCGTCGCCAAGGTCGGCCTACAATCACGCCCGCCTCCAGCTCGAGAAGGCAAACCTTTCAAGACGTTCGGTGAGGTCATGGCCTACATCATTGAGCATGAAGGTCCTCTCGCACTCTTCAAAGGAATAGGACCTCAGCTCTTGAAAGGCCTGTTAGTTCAGGGTCTGCTCATGATGACCAAGGAAAGAGTCGAATTGTTGTTCGTGCTGCTGTTCGCCTATCTCCGCGCCACCAAACTGAGGAGAGCAAAACTGGCTGCGCAGCTCAAAGAACAAGCCGCTCCTGTGGCCGAGAACTTGAAGAGCCGCGCCATGCCTGTTGCGGAGAGTGTTCTGGAGAAAGCCAAGTCTGCTTTACCAGCTGTGTCGAAATAGGGGAGCAGTACGATCTACGGGATGGGCGAAGGGAAGGAAGTCGTCTGACATGGTTGGTCAGGAGATCGTTCTCCTCAACTTCCCCGGCTCAGTCGATTTGCGCCAGGGGGGAGGGCCTGCAATCATAAGGAGACAACCCCCGGGGGGGAAGGGCCATTTGCATTACTCCCGGCGCATGGCGTATCTTGCGAATGGTATTGTTTTGGCTCTCGGGATAAATGTCTGCTATTTTACCGTGTCGCAATGCCTTGTTTGTATAGGCAATTGTACTGGAAGCAACACGGAAAGAAGACTACAACATAGGCAAGATCTGCTTTGACTTCATTCCTTTGCACTGACCTAAGTCGTTCTATAGGCATAGCACAAAACCCTTCATTGATGTTGTACACTTTATGTCACGTCCTATCATATACCTTACACAGAGCCCTGCAAAATGTACGTCGTTTAACCGATCCACACTCGAAAAAAGGCAGTCCGGTACAAATCCTTCACCGATTTCGTTTCTTCGCCCATCCTGTCAGACGTTAGCATATTCTTTGCTCACCCTTTGAAGAAAGGAACAAAGGATCGCCAGAGTGAAAATACAAATGCGTACCAGTTTGACCTCGTCGCCATTGTGCCGCGAGCGCCGCAGACTCAGGTGTGATCTTCCTGAAAAGCGCAATGAAGCCGCCGCCCATGGTCCGCTCGCCTACAAGAGGGCGGCATACCATGACCGGTTCTTCTGGTTCATCTTCAGGTAAGCGGTCTGCCAGTGCATCTATTGTTTCTTTTGCAGTCCTGCTTTCACTTCCATCTTCAGCGTCGGACGGCTGCTTCTCCAGATCGGGCTCGACGGCCGTGGCAGACGATGCTTGTCTGATATTGCTATTGTCTTTGTTCCTAGGCAGCACCCTCCTCACGTCCCACCTACGCCCGTTACTTATCCCCTCACCCAGCTCGAGGACTCTTTCCATGGCGAGCGGCAGTGATGCCTCTTGTATAACTCGCGCACAATCTCCGATCTGTGTGACAGAGGGCGTGAAGACGATGAGTTTAGCACCCTCGCGCATAGCAGCGTGGACGTGCTTGAGCTGCGTTTGTACACCGGGCATGTCTAGCAACACATAGTCCAGGAAGCTGTCGTCATCTGGCTTGGATAGAGGGTTCCAGCTACGCCCTCGGTTGCGGCGCAAGGCTAGTTGATGCTGAATCCAACCACTCACATCGCCAGCGTAGAAGTCAATGTGTGGCCAGTACAGGCCTTGACGAAACCCGCGGACGATTTTCTCAGCGTGCCCGCGGTTCGCTTCGACCTTTTCCACTGTGTGGAGGACTGCGCGGCGGGTTTGTTTCCACTCTGTCCATGCTTGGGTCAAGGTCTTTTCGGCCTCGGTCGGGGTGCGCTTGGAGTCATCACGATTCACTTGAGGGACAGCGATGGTAAGAGGAGGAGGGTTGGCTGCGGCGATGGCCCGAGAGACGTGTAGAGTCAAACTTCCGTGACCGGTACCGGCTTCGAGGATTTCGAGGCTCGGAGAGGCAGTGGACTGGTCTTCCGTCCATGGTACAGGATGCATATCGAGGAGAGACACGATTGTTGAGGCATAGTTGGCGTAGACCTATAATGTTGAGCATTGGATTGCATATGGAAGCATGAGAGCTTACCGGAGTGACTAATCTCGGTGTCAACGAGATATAGTCGTCGAGTGTTGGTGGTTCGACCTTGTATAGGCCTTTCGGTCCTCGAACATAGTGCGAGGACAATGTCTTGCCAATTATGTCATTGTGAAGGAGGAGCCCATTCTTGAAATTCGAGCTGCTATTTTTCTGAAGAGGCGCTGTGAGTCTCGCCCCGTCTACGAGTACTCTATCACCTTCTTCGAGAAGTCAGCGCTGGCCGTTAGGAAGACTTTGTGGTAGGGGCACAGTACCAGCAAACCTCGTCAAATCCCTGGCACCGAGGCCTTGTGTCGAAGTCTGCGACTTTCCAGTCTTTGACAACCCCAGAGCTTGTCTCAAGGCACGAAGCAGCCCGGACATACCACAACAACCCTCACTTCTCCCAGGACGGTCGAAGAATGGTCCTGGTCGATCGGAAGTAATGCGCCTGCGCAGCAACTTTTCGGGTGTCTTGGGAAACAGGAAGGTCTGCCGAACCCCAGGTTAAGCTAGTCTGTAAACGGCATTGAATTTGTCGATCATCTCGAGAAAGAGGTTTCAAGGCATCGAGAGGGCCGATCAACATTCACTCCATGTCGATCCAACTCGCCAAAGATTTGCGTTGCGAGATCTTGATCCATCTTAATGCCGGATCGCATGTTACCCTCTGCTAACTGATGTTCGGCAATTGATAGCCCAGCGGGCCGTCGCCCTCAACCACATGCCAGCATGACAAGGAGAATTGTATGCTTGTCTCCGACAACCCTGCGATTCCAGTATCTGACATCGAAATAGGTCCGCACCGGCATACAGCTTGGTGTGCTATTAACGCTGGTCCTTTTCACGGTAGTTTTCCTCGACAACAGATACCGGGTCCTCCCTACTTCCATCCACAACCATCTGCCTGCGCACCACCCAGGCTTCGTGGTAACCGACCTGACCGTCGTCACATGCTCCTCTCTCAATCCCTTCAGCAGCTGCACCAAAGACGGCGAATACTGGCACCGCATCAATAAAGACTTATACCTGGGGAAAGGCTACATAACGAAAGCGTACCTGCTTGTCGAGCGCAAGCGCGAAAGCGATCTAAAACCCCACGAAGAAGTTATTCACGACATCAAAATCGGCCGCATCCAGCCCTCAGCCGTCGACCCCCTCTCCAAAGACGAAAGATGGGAGTCCCGCCCTGCCGGAATGTGGGTTAAGAAATCTGCAAAGCGCACCGATGAATCCAAAATCGTGACAGGCGTCGATGTCCTCTTCGGCGCAGACGCCGCCGACCCCCGGTCCAACTGGGCTGTCCAAGATATATCCCTTTTCATAGACGGCGGCTCTGACGCCCCCGAACCACGCCTGACCGTCCGAAAAGGTCCCGCATTGAAGAAGGTGGAAAAACCAATTCCCCGAATTCGCAAAGATGGCAAATTCAAGATCATGCAAGCCGCCGACCTCCATCTCTCGACTGGTCTAGGAAAATGTCGGCACGCCCTGCCCGAGGGAACAAAATGCGAGGCAGATCCACGCACTCTCGAGTTTGTCGAGCGCCTCCTCGACGACGAGAAGCCCGACCTTGTCATCCTGTCAGGTGACCAGGTCAATGGCGACACCGCTCCCGACGCGCAGTCTGCAATCTATAAATATTCCGAACTTTTTGCACGTCACCGCATTCCCTACGCCGGCATTTTCGGGAACCATGACGACGAAGGCAACCTTGACCGCGCAGCCTCCATGGCTATCATGGACGGCCTGCCGTACTCGCTCTCCACGTCCGGGCCGGGAGATGTGGACGGTGTCGGCAATTATGTCGTTGAGGTCCTGGGTCGCGGGTCGACCTCACACTCTGCACTTACGCTGTATATGCTCGACACGCACTCGTACTCGCCTGACGAGCACCAGTACCATGGGTACGACTGGCTCAAACAGTCCCAGATTGATTGGTTCCGAGCGACGAGCCAGAGCCTCAAAAGGAAGCACAAAGAGTACACGCATATACATATGGACCTGGCGTTCATCCACATCCCACTGCCGGAGTATAGGAACCCCGACGGGCTGAAGTGGGTGGGCAATTGGACGGAGCCGCCGACCGCGCCCGCATACAATAGTAATTTCAAGGACGCCCTGGTCGACGAGGGCATTGTCCTGGTGAGCTGCGGTCACGACCATGTCAATGACTATTGCCTGCCAGGCCTGGATAAAGATAAGAAGAAGCCTGCCCTATGGATGTGTTATGGCGGTGGCGCGGGCTTTGGAGGGTATGGCGGATACTATGGGTATCACCGCCGCATCCGGTTTTTTGACTTTGATATGAATGAGGCGCGGATCACGACGTGGAAGAGACTGGAATGGGGGAACACAGAGAGTAAGATCGATGAACAGATCATTGTGGATGGCGGCAAGGTTGTTGTGGATATGTGAAATTTGGGAACGATCGCTCTCTTCTCTTGACGGCCTAGAGAAAGGAAAAGAACCGTTGGCTCTTGTGTATAAGGTATATCTATACACATGGCTTTCCACCGCAATACGGGCTCGAACGGTATAACTGCTTACATTGGGGGAAGCATAGCAAGCAAAGGCCCATGGTGGAAGATAACGAGGCATAAGTAGATAGCATTGCATGATACCCAATCTCATTGATGGATTGCTTCGTCGTTCGAGACGATTGGCATGTCTCTTCTTTTTCTTCCTGTGGAGTCCAGTCTACCACCACTTCTCGCAAAGCACTCTCTTTTCGTCCATGCCGGGTGCCGTTTTCAACAGCTCCACAAACTCGTCAGTCATTGCAGGCAGTCCGCAGACATAGACAACTGTGTTACTCCGACTGTCCTCTGTTCCCAGAGCTTCAAAGAGATCGCCGTGCTTTATACGTCTGAGTCGTGTGGTGATATTACCAGTAATCCTTTCTTCTTCTTGACCTGGTTTCCCGCTCGTCTCGAAGAATGTGTACTTGAAATCCACCTGTTCGTTACCTTTCCATTTCTTCGCAATATCGTTCAATCGCTTTTCGAAGAGGATGTCTTCTCCTGGGCCTTCTCTTCTGGCGGTATACAATACTCGCACGGTTTTGACCATTCCGCCAAGTTCAGTTTTTGTGCCTGTGCCCACCTCGTCCATGGCCGATATCATGCTCATGATCGGATTGATTCCGACCCCTCCGGCGATAAAGACAACTCTATCGATGTTTTCGCATTCTTCCCGGTTCAGAGTCAGTGGGGGATAGGTGAAGTTCCCGCCCACCCGGAACGTCACGGTTGAGTCCAGAATTTCGGAGACTGGCCGCCAGAGGTATGCTGCCGGCGGGTTACTCGGTGAAGCTTGTATTGCCAGTTCGATGTGCGGATCATCCTGGCTCTGGGCCGAGGCCTGAGGCGGAGATGTTATGGTGAAGCCGCCAACCACGTCGACGTCGGGGATGTAAAGGTCTATGTATTGGCCTGGGAGGTGGCGTAGAGGTGGCTACTAGATGGGTCTGTATGTGAGCCAGTGGTTTCCAAGTACGAAAAACACATAATCTGCAAAGAGCGTCAATTGTGTGGCATGGTCGCTTTTCGGCACATGGACGAAGCCCTGGTTTTTGTTCTGGGCTATCATCCCAAGCATATCCGCCTAAGGTTTCAATGATCGATGAAGAGCTAGATAAGGGGAGATACGTGGCTTCTTCTCCAGAACAAGAAACTTGTGGGAGAGCAGAGGAATCGCTTGTGAGAGACAGTGCAGGCGTAAATGCACAAGTCACCTACCCCATCTTTTGGAAGACTCAGTCTCAGCAGTCGTATCTTCGAATTGACTTGGTCAATCCTGCTCAGACGTGCTGACCAGACACCCTTCTGCCGAGGATCCTCAGCAGTCCGGACTATATGTGGGATTGAGTCTTTGACCGTTGCCATTCCCCTCGACTTTGTAAGGGTAAGAGAAAGAATCGCAGGGAAATGCGCGGTTGACGTGTAGGACGCTTTCGATATGCTGCAGGAGAAGTACGACCGAAGTGCGCCCAAGGTCACTATCATCATCTCATAATTGTTGCCCGTAGAACTCCTCGGCTTGAAGTCTGGGTAGTCCGTATTCAGGCGTTTGCATCACGACATTTAGCTCGTTGGTCTACCAGAAAGAAAGATATACCTGAGAGGTGGGAAAGTGATGACGGCCATTGATTGTGAAGGATGCGGCTAACCCCCCACCTGCATTTCAGCCGTCTCACGCAAAGTACCTTATTCGCATTCAATTAATCGCTGAGAAAGACACGAGGCTGAGGCTCACAACATCCACTGCTCTTAGACTCGGCTTTACACGATCATGTGCATTTCTCCCTACAAAGCTATTTCTGAACATCTTGCAGGGGGTTGACCTCAGGAATAGATATGGTACGCTCTAGGGTCAACAGCCTGCGCCACTCACAGTTCCGCAGGCAGAATATATGCTGAACGCTGTCCACAACGCCAGCAACAGAGCTTTTTCCTTGAAACAGTTGTGACACGAGAAGATGATCTACCAGGTCGCCGACCTCACTCTTGGCCTAGAAGACAATTCTATGTGCTGTACCGTATTGCATCTCATCAAGTTTCTAACCCCAGAAAGCATGCCACTCAGGAGCTCAAAACGTGTGGCAAATCACAAGGATCATTGTGCGCTGGTAGAAAGAATGCAACGTCTCGTTTTGGTAACAGGTTGGGGTCATGCGGTTATATGATCGGATCGAATCGAATCGAAGCACCTGCTAGTCAGCTTTGCCACGAGCAATGGTATAAAGGACGAAAAGAGACATTCAAAGACAGGGGGAAAATAACACATCTTTTGGGCGAGCCAGAATACTGCACCTGAAGAGGGCGCAGAGCCAATGGAAGTCATAGATATATCCTGCGCCCGCCACCACATTAGTGTATTAGTGGCAGCATGGCCGTATCGATGATCCATTCATCAAAAGACCTTGACTAGACGAATTTCCATCTAGGCATCCCATGTGCGAAAAACAGGGTCTTATAGAAGCAAATGAGGCCGCAGCGGTGTTGATAAGGAGAAGTAATGCCGGAGGAGGGTGGTATTGCAAATTTGCAAATTTTTCACCGACGCCAACATGCATCAACACTCCTTCGAGGAGTCGACATCGGGGTCATGGGTAGGCTAGCCATCTTGTATAGAGCGTGACATGTGTTCTTCATGATTTTCTTCTCGTTCCGGTGCTTTTAAAGACATATAAAGGCCAGCGCAGGAGCAGCCGGTACCGTGTTGGCAATGAGGGGTAGCAGGAAGATGGTGTCGAGACTGGTCAGGCCCAATTCCATGAGTGTGAGAATTATGTAGCATCAGAGAAGCAGGATTCAGTCAACAGAGATGTAGCAGAATGCTCATTGTGTATCGCTGGACGATATATCGGTTGTACAAAGGTCGTCGCTGATGAGTTGCGGTTGAAACATGTTGTGCCCAGAGAGTCATTTTTAGTGGCCCCGAGACGGACTGGGAAAGCTCTTCCTCTTCACACTCCCTCACACATCTCTTCCTCAGCACAGTGGCCTGATAATGCCTACCCATCCACCTACACTCCTTTTCCGACCGACGTGGAAGATATTACGACGCAGGAAGACTCTTGACTGCATATGAATAATACCAGATGAGTCGTTGACAACAGGGATTGTGGAGCATATCATATCCAATCTTAGGGCCACAGCAGACGTACCGTACAAGAGCAGGCTACAAACATCAGTATGATCCATGCTAACGGTATTCAGAAACTCTTGCGGACGTCCTTTTCGATCATCTCTTTGATCTTTTGACCCATCTATTCAATCTTTTCGACCGGCGATTGCCAATATCAAGTCATTCTCTACCGGGACAGATGTCATTATGGCAGCCATAACCGGTCTTCCACACAGTATCAACAACATGTCTACGCTGCTCGCTCATCCGGGGGTGGTGAGAGCATCCAATCTAAGCCATTCAAGGTATGGATGAAATACATTTTCCATGCAAAAGGCCAAGTATCAAGAGTGGCGCTCGGATGCTGATTCCAATATCCAGTCACGACGAGCCTATGCTTGATGATTCGGATGATTCCTATATCAAGATGGAAGAAGACGATGACGAAGCATCTCTCAGTGGTCAAGCTTCAGTCCTGAGAAGTCTTCAGCTTGAGAGCGACAACCGCGATTCACCCAATAGTTCGATGACCTCAGCTTCTGTCGCATCGTCCATTCCTGATCAAAATGCCAAAACCACGCTCAAAGTGGAAGCAAAGCCTGAGAATACAAACAACGTAAGCCCCTACATGTTTTTGAAAGTGCCAACAACCTGCCGAGCCAAGTCGTCTATTCCTTCTAGGCTCTCTCCCTCCGAATATGCCAGCCAATGTGTGGCTGCAGCCGAAGCCTCGAGACTGAATCCTTATGCCTTACACGAAGATGAGCATAAATTGTTGCAAGACAAATTATGTTATTCCCACGTCAGTGTATATTTGAATATCCGGAACGGAATCTTGAGATTATGGTCTCGAAATCCAAGTGTGAGCGTCAACCTGGAAGAGGCGATTGGTTGCACAAGAGACGAGAGATGGACTCGTCTTGCTTGTTTTGCATACGAGTGGCTACTCCGACGAGGCTACATCAATTTCGGCTGTGTCGAGCCACCTGCGATCACCAAATCCGTTGGTCGTGGCCGTAAGAAGGAAACTTCCCAAGAGACTGTTGTTGTCATTGGAGGTGGCATGGCCGGCTTGAGTACTGCTCGCCAGCTGACCAACCTATTCCGACACTACCCAGACCGTGCTCCTCCCCAAATTATCGTTCTTGAAGGACGTGACCGAATAGGGGGCCGCATATATTCACATCCACTGACGAGCATGCGGTCGGCCAAACTCTCACCTGATCAGAGACCTACGGTCGAGATGGGCGCCCATATCATCGTTGGGTTTGAACGCGGAAACCCCCTCAACGCCATCGTTCGCGGCCAACTTGCCCTCGATTATCACCTCCTCCGAGACCTATCTACCCTGTACGATGTCGACGGTACCCCTGTCAATGGTGTCAATGATGCGATGATAGAAAGATTGTACAATGATGTCCTTGAGCGAACCGGACACTACCGTCTCAAACATACTGTCAAGAAGACTGCACAGGGCGATAAAGATATGATTGATGCTGGGCGGGATCCGCCAGACGAGGATGGTCTCACCATTAAAGAGTTCGAAGAAGCCACCGCTCTTGGGACAATTGATCAACTACTTCCTAACAAGAAGTCCAGACGAAGAGGCGCAGGTCATCGAGCTGCCAAAGGCGACAAGTCTTCAGAAGAGGTAGAGACAAGTACAGAGACCAAGACACAGCTACCGGCGGCTCAAGCGGCCAAAGAGTTCGGGTTCTTGCTTCGAAAGACAACTCAGATGCATGAAACACTTGAATTTGACGACCTGGCCAGGCATCTCAACCAGTCTCTTGGCACCGTCATGAGTTCTGGGATCGATCAGTACCAGAGATTTCTTGATCTCAAACCCTACGCCCTTCGTCTGATCAACTGGCATTTTGCCAACCTCGAATATGCTAACGCAGCAAATGTTGACAAGTTGAGCCTCCGAGGCTGGGATCAAGATATTGGCAACGAGTTTGAGGGCGAGCACGCACAAGTGGTGGGTGGCTATCAACAGGTTCCGCGCGCGTTGTGGCGGCATCCAGAACCCTTGGATGTGCGCACTCGCAAAGCAGTGAAAAGCATCCGATACAGTGCAGTTGGCTCGCAAGGCAAGGCTACCGTCACTTGTGAAGATGGCCAGTCAATTGAGGCTGACAAAGTCGTCTTTGCTGCACCACTTGGGGTACTAAAAGAACAGTCCATCCAATTCGATCCACCATTGCCCCAGTGGAAGCGTGATGCCATCAGAAGGATGGGCTTCGGACTGTTGAACAAGGTGATTCTTGTTTTCGAAAGACCCTTCTGGGACGTGGACAGAGACATGTTTGGTCTTCTACGTCCGCCTCGTACGGGAAATGGCAACAACCAAAGTGATTACAAAGAAGGTCGTGGTCAATTCTATTTGTTCTGGAATTGCATCGAGACAAGCGGCCTGCCTGTGCTGATTGCACTTATGGCTGGCGAGTCTGCCCACGAAGCAGAACGAGTTCCTGATGAGTTTCTCGTGGGCCAGTGCGTCGAACAGCTACGAAATGTCTTCGGCCCCATGAATGTGCCGCCACCAGTAGAGTCCATCGTCACTCGGTGGGGCTCGGATCGGTTTGCGAGAGGAACATATTCTTTTGTGGCGGCCGAAGCAAGACCCGGCGATTATGACCTCATTGCCTCGCCTATACAAAACTTGTTCTTTGCTGGTGAGGCCACAATCGCCACACATCCTGCCACCGTTCATGGTGCATATCTCTCAGGTCTTCGGGCAGCTAACGAAGTCTTCGAGTCACTGGTCGGCAGTATACCCATTCCACCCACATTGGTGCCAGCCTCGACCCTGAAGAAGGGATCCGGCACAACCATCGACCTGACACAGATGGACACTCATATGGCTATAGGTGGCAAAAGGAAAGGAGATGAGCTGCTCCCAGCCGGCACGTTCACCCGACCCGTAAAGGAGAAGGACAACTCGCTGCACGAAGCATGGGATGCTGCCATGTGGGTTCGGATCTACGATGACCTCGGACCCCCGCCGGTCAAGCCGTCAAAAGCCAATGTGAACTCATTCCTTCTCTACTCTGGCGAGCACTGGGAGGAAGTCAAGACTCGCCTGGGCGATGAGCGAAAGAAGGCTGGCAAGAAGGGGAAACAGTCTGAACGGGATCAAGTCCGAGTTGAGTTGGGCAAGATGTGGGCTGCGCTTACCGAGGAAGAGAGAAAACCATACACTGATCAAACCAACAAAAATCGAGAAGAAAACGAGAAAGCCCTGAAGGAATGGGCGGCGAAAGCAGCGGAATGGGATAGGCGCACATGGGAAGTCAAGGATGTGTGGATCAAGGAAGGAAACAGTTTTGAAGAGTTTTGTAAGCGCAAACGCGATGAAGACGCCATGATGGACGCTGCGGACATGGCGAAGAGAGCCAAAATCTAGGCGTTGCGGTTCGGATATGGGACACGGTCACGATCAAGGCGTGCAGGGAGCCGGCTACTGGATTGTATAGGATACTATGGTTGAAGGAGTCGCTGTCAACTAGCATTGTAAGCAGCATGGATCAACTCAGGCATTACTATCCCAGGACGGGCCGCATACATTGCACTTTGCCAGATTGGCGAGCTATGGATGTTTGTCTACTCGTAACAATCCATTATAGAATACAATCATCCTCATTGGTAGTGCCGAGGCGCTGAGATAGCATGCGTGAAATTCGCTATCTCGATCTCCCTTCTCACAGATCCTGCGAACACACGGCCTGGTTGCCGACATCGGACGTCCACCGACTTCCAATGAAAAGTCGACGTTATAGGCGCCTCGAGGCTTGAGTCATCAGCACCCATGCCACCACTGTGCACCACATCGTGCAAAGCAGTGTATTTGAGGAACAGACGCATAGACACGGATACATCAAAGTTAGTACTACGGAGGACGCGGTTTCCGAGAATATCTAGGTGGCAATGGGCGCCTTCTACGAAACACTCCCACCGTCCCTGATCACTTGGCTCTTGCAACAAAAGGTCTTCTGGATCGCGTCGGCGCCGCTCGCCGGCGATGGACACGTCAATGTCTCACCAAAGGGCATCTCCGACAAGGGCGGGCCGTTCTTCGGGGTGATTAAAGAGACCAAGAATGGTGAAGTCGTGGACGTTAAGGAGGAAAATAAAAACGAACGAGGTGAAGGTGAAGAGCAAGATGGAAAGGCCGCCGAAGATATCGTGATCCGGAAGTTCTGGTACATGGACCTCACGGGGTCGGGAATCGAAACGACAAGCCACCTACACGAGCCCGGTAATGGGAGGATCACGGTTATGTTCAACGCTTTTGAGGGGCCGCCGAGGATTTTGAGGATCTTTGGAAAGGGTATGTCAAGTCATGTCATGCTTTGCTATGGACAACACTCGTTCTACCTGTTTACTCTTGTCGTTCGACCCCATCCGGAGCAGAGAGCGAGGCAGAGCACATTAGGAGTTGCTACTAGGTCATGGAGACGGACCGCACAAAACCGTATCCCCAGCCAGCATAGGCAGACGTGAAAAGGGGCTTGAGCAAAAGCTGACACGATTGAATGGGCAGGAAACGTGCTCGAATACGGCACCCCGGCGTTCAATGAGATCATCAGATCTCAAAAAGTCACCATCATCCCCGGGACGAGATCGATCATCCTCGTCGATATACACCAGGTCGGCACGTCGTGCGGGTTTAGCATGCCCATGTATGATTTTGTGAAGTTCCGCTCCACGCTGAATGATTTCTTCGAGAAGCGGGTCGCGAATGAGCGCGCGGGAAAGAGGGAGGATGGTATTGAAAGGTTCGTTCTTTGCCTACCTAGGTACTCTTGTTGTCTCCCCCACCGAGATGATCTGAGAAGTCTGCTTGAACGAGGTTTGACTTACGGATACTGACTGACCCGTCCGATGGCGAAAATAGGTACTGGGCCTTTAAGAATGCTTGGAGCATGGACGGATTACCTGGTATGCAGCGCGGCCTGCACACCGCTGTCACGGATAATGTGAAGCCGATCAAGAAGATGGTCGGAACGTATGCGCCGGTGAAGGGTCCTCGGCGGGCGCAGAGGGTGTTTTTGTTGAGACATTTGGTTCTTGTGGCGGTTTTGAGTGCTGTGAGCACGGTTGTCTTGATGTTCTTCTTGTTGAGATTGTTTGGCGGTGCGTTGGATTTGAAGGCCTTCCTAGTGCGGTGAACACTTGAGACGAGTTTTCTCAAATATGCTTGATGGCAGGCTTTGCATTTGGATTTGCGTGAAAGGTAGGATACTATGAATCATAATGCTTGGAACTCATGCAGGCTGCGGTCTGTTCCAAGACTTCCCGTCTCTCCAAAATCCCTTCACGAGAGGTTTCCTGCCCGGCCTACCGTTGCGTGGCAGCTCGTTCAGCCAGTTCCATCTGCATTTCTCTTTCCAGCCCCTTTCTTGCCAACTGTTCAGATCTGAGGCGGGGTCAGAGTTGAGGGTAGGTAAGTACTTCAACAACGCAGGGTCGTGAGCAAGGCAGACAAGCACATTCGGGGAGCTCTCGAATGCGATCAGCTTCTCCACCGAGGTTTGTGCTGCCGCTGGGTCAATATATGCAGAAGCCTTATGGTCGGATACACGGTAAAATGGCGTCGTTCTTCGTTCCTCGGCGTCTGCCGCTTCTAACGCGAGAGGATGGTGGCGTGTGAATATGCTGCATGGACAAGGACTTGGAAAGTCGCCAGGATCGTCGTCCAGCACGTCACTGGGGATCGGATCTGGCATGGGGTATGCTTTATTCGGCCTAAGATCGCCGACAAAATGGCATATGTCGCCGCCTAGGAAGAGGAAGGTGCTGTCTTTGCCCCCGGAAGTTCGTGCCAGGCCGCACATGTGGCCCAGACAGTGGCCAGGTGTGTCTGCGAGAATCAGTAATCGTCTCCACAAGAGCTCGGACGCATGTTGAGGCTAGAAGACTGCAGGGTGTACCTAGAAGATAGAAAGACCCATCTCCAAAGAAGTCATGCGCTGCAAAGCCGCCGATCTGCAAGCCCGAGGCCTTGAAGTCGATCTCGTCGAGACTCCGACCAGCAAAGTCAGAGGCGTTGAGAGGTGACTCGGACTTTTCGGGGTGTCCCGGTAGGATGACGGGCGAAGCCTTGAAACCGGACCCGACGACGATCTCTGTTGAAGGTGGGAACAAAGACATGTCACCTATATGGTCCCAGTGGTAGTGTGACCAAATGACCGATGCTGGATGGATAGATGGATTGGTTAGAAAGAGAGAGGTCCTGGAAGTCTCCAACAAGCAAAGAATGCATGAACCAGAAACAGCGCTGACGCTGTGGCACCAGAGTCCAAACCTACCTATCGACTCAAGGCTGATCCCGTTCTCCTGGAGTACCGCTGGTGTGTCCCCGTCAACTCGTAAGCTGGGGATAGCAGCTCCAAGGCGCTTCTGGATGACAGGGGCAAGATTCCAGTAGTCCTTGCGGACACCAAGATCGAACATGACCTTTTTACCGGAAGGTGCATGCTCGATGAGGAACGCTACGCAGGTGAGGTTGAGCAGTTCATGGCCTTTCTGGACGGGTTTGATGAATAATTCGGCCTTGACTGTCATAACGGCGCCAGGGTCGATCATTCGGACACGCACCGTGTATTCGGACGTTGGAATATCGAGGATTGGCGGTGACATCTCGAAAGAAGACTTGATTTTCTGAGGTTGATACTCCATCCTTGGCCTTGCATGCTTGACTCGTGCGCTGCCCTCTGCAAGTCCCCAGCATCTCTGTTAACGATGACAAGGTTCAGATCCAGACATTAGCAGCAAGACCTGCCATGACGTGGGACGGCGATGGTCGGCGGCCTCCACAGTAAGTTGCTGTTTCCGCTACCGGCGTTGTGGTCGGCGAAATTACAGGCTTTCGGCATTTCAAGATGAAAAATTTCCATTCTCGCAGCCAAAACTGCTTCTACCCACAGTACCAGGTACCCTCAATTCTGTCACCGCAATACTACCTCAGCTATGGTCACTGATTGGCAGCCTGTCTCTTATTATGCGATGCTCTGCCACCCACCCATGTAGGTCAATAGGCGGCTGGCGCCTCCGGCCCGGGAATTGTCTGCAATGACTTCCTCCGCTGTTGTACTGTGTACAGCGTACGCCGGCTAAGCGGCACGGAACATGTCCACCTCACGCCCTGGGTCAGGCCCATCATCTGTGTGAGGCTGCTGGCGATCTACCCACCGACCCCATGAGCTTAATGACTCTTGTCTCTTCCGCAGCGATGCTTGTCTCTTCTTTGACTTCTTACTCTTCATCTTCTTTTTGGTGTTCACGGCACACTGCAATATGCAAGTGAGCCCGAAAACCACGGACCGTCGTTATGGCACACAAACCCAAATCCGCACGCGAGCAACATTACCAGCTTGAAGACCAAGCGAACCTCCTCCCGAAAAAGCAAGTCATAGTCGTCTTCTCGGCCCTGGCCTGCATTCTGCTCGTCACGTTCATCGACCAGAATGCCGTCGGTGTCATGCTGACCACCATCGGCGGCGATCTTCATGCCGAGAACACCATCTCCTGGGCCGCCACGGCGAATTTGATCGCAAACACGACTTTCCAAGTGCTCTATGGGAGACTGAGCGACATCTTCGGGAGGAAAGGCGTCCTTCTCACGGCCATCGTGCTGCTGGCGGCGGGCGATCTGGGATGCGGTTTCGCCCAGAGCGGACCCCAGCTGTACGCCCTGCGAGGCCTGAGTGGCGTGGGAAGTGCCGGCATCACGGCTCTTTCGATGATGGTTACGAGCGACATTGTGACCCTGAGAGAAAGGGGGAAGTATGTCTCTGTCTCTGTCTATCTCTATGTCTATATTTCCATCTCCCTTTCGCGAAAATGTCCTTCGCGAGTACTACTAGTACTTGTGACGTATCATTGACCAATGCTGACAAGGAAAATAAACTATATAGGTATCAAGGCATCCTAGGATCTTGCGTCGGCTTGGGCAACATCATCGGCCCCTTTATATCGGCGGCTTTCACCGAGAAAGCGACCTGGCGGGCCACGTTCTGGTTCATTTCACCCTTGGCAATCGCGGCCGGAGGCATCGTTCTCGTCGTCTTGCCACAGAAGAAACCAAAGGACAGTTTCAAGTCCAAGCTCCGCAAGGTCGACTTTATCGGGTCCTTCTTCAGCACAGCCGGCATGATCTTGTTGTTGATCCCCATCTCTGGAGGTGGAAGCTACTTCGACTGGCGCAGTGTCATGGTCATCGTCATGATCATCTTCGGAGCACTGTGCATGGTCGCTTTTGTTCTTGTCGAATGGAAGGTCGCCCAGTTACCAACCATGCCTCGTAAGTGCCTATGGCCTATGGGCTCCGGTCCGCTCGCTCGCTGGACTTTCTTCACGCCACGGATCAATTTTTTGTTTTGTTCCTTTTCCCCCCCAAAGCATATGTTCTTGATTGGACCATGGTGGGACCCAAGGCTGATGTTCTTCTCACACAAAACTAGTTCGCCTGTTCAAGAACCGCGCCGTCTGTGCGATTCTGGCGCAGAATTTCCTGTTCGGCTCCGTCTACTACAGCATCTTATACTACGTCCCACTCGCACTGCAGAACGTCCGCGGACTCAGTCCGTTGGCGTCTGCGGGCGTCATTGCTGCCATGGTAGGAGCTCAAAGCTTTACGTCCGTCGCGTCGGGCCAGTACATATCACGCACGGGTCGGTACGGGGAAGTGCTCTGGTTCGGTTATGGCGTCTGGACCGTCGGTGCCGCACTGTGTTGCATGTTCTCTCGGTCACTGCCCATCTGGGCCATGGCCATTCTCTTGTTCATCGAGGGCATTGGGGTGGGGAATTGCTTCCAACCAAGTGAGTACTGTACCTTACTTCCAGACTCAGCACAAGGGGCCACCCCCGCTCCGCCACTTGTATCCCAGCTCCTTCTTCGATGGTCCATCGTCAATCAACGAGCAAAGGAGGAGCTTATCAGGTCCGTCGCCAAATCACAAGTAAAGGGGAGATTATTACCTCCGTCGTCAAGCCACGTGTTCTACTTATAATGGGAACTTCGTGCTAACCATGTAACCTTTTCCCAACAGCTCTCGTCGCGTCACAGGCGCATTGTGTCAAAGCAGATCGCGCCGTGGTCATCAGCACACGCAACTTCTGCCGAACCTTCGGAGCCGCCACGGGCCTGGCCGTATGCGCCGCCATCTTCTCCAACGTCCTGCAATCTCGGCTGCCTCAAGCGTTGCCGGATTCTTTTCGCCAGACCGTCACCGCATCTATCTTCAAGACGCCTGATTTGAGTGCCCTAACCCAAAACCAACGAGATGGCGTGCTGACTGCTTATGCGGACGCCTCCAGAGCGGTCTTCATACTATGGGCTCCGACCATGTTTGTCTGTTTTCTCAGTATGTTCTTCGTGGAGGACAAGGGCTTGCAAAGACCTGATGAACTGTCGCCTCCAGTGCAGGTGGCGGTCGATACGGTACCGGAAGAAGATCAAGTCGAAACTGGTGAAAAAGGACCGCCTTCGCAGCAGACCGAGGCCGAAGTCGGACGTGGAGCAATCTCTATTGCGGACGAAGCCCGATACACGAGACGAGAGGAAGTATAGGATTTGGGGCACCAAAAAGCCAAATCATACAATCTTACGAAGATAACAATTGATCAACATTTTATTGAAACTGAGAAGGCTGCCTAAAGCGTGCGTAGGTCGGCTAGATTGCCTCCGTACTGGAAGACACTCGACATGTCGAATTCCAGGTCGCTGGCTCCGAGGATTTCCAAGTCTAACTCTTGGTTATTTCCGCACCACAGCGACGCTTGCGGCAAGGCCTGAGCACACGGCGCAAATGTTGTGCCCGGATCCGCAGTATAATAGTCACGGAAATCAGGAGATATCCCGGTAGAAGTCGAGGGAGTGCTGGTGGACTTGTCGTCTCTAGGTGTGGGAAAAATCTCCATCTGTACCTGCTGCAGGCGATCTCTCAGTCCGTTCCTCGCGTCACCAGCGATCCTCCAAGAATGGGAGAGTTCCAGAAGCATCGTGTCCATGGTCAGCAGAACAGTCTCTCCTGGGAGCGGATCGGATCCTTCTTCTGGCGCTCTGCCCGATGCCATTGCCAGTGACGCATCAACGGCTGCGATGAGTCCATAAACGAAGACCAGCGGTGCATTTTTCAGAGTATGCTGTACACTGAAGCGACGGAGTATTCCGACAATCGTCTCTATCGAATCTTCGCAGATGTCAAAGGCTTGACATACACCGTTGGACCGATGCTTTGAGTAGATTCCGTGCCACTTTCTCCCAAGCAAGGGTCTGTTGAGACGGAGTCTTGTGGTCTGGTACATGACACTGAGGCGAGTCAGTTATTATGGTAGGTCTTTATGTTGAGAAGGACTTACTGAAGAGTGGCAAGGTCTGGTTCGAGGGTGTCGAGATTTGAACTCCATCTGGACCACCGCAGCTCACCAGGAAGCGAATCATACCAGCCCAAGAGCCGAGCGTTCAGCTTACTGTGCAAGGCTTCGATCCAGCTTGCAGATTGACACAGTGGTTTTCGGCTGGAGGAGTGTGATTGGCGCTGGATTTCTTCGATGACTCTTCCAAGCTGAGCCTGCTTTTGCAATAGCAAGGTACAAGCCGCAGTCGAATCACCGTAAGACATTTGAGTTGGTCTCGGTGGAGTCACGGGCGAATTCGAGGTCCGGTATGGCAATGCATTCCCAGAAGCTGGGTGTGAAATGTGGGAGTCAAGGTACTTCAGGGCATCCACGTCGAGTTGGTTCATACTCGTCATGGGTGCCCTTCCGAAAAAGAGACTGAATATTCTAGGACCTGAGTCAGTGAAGTCTGCCGATGCACAAGAAAAGGTGGTGACTTATCGGATATAGATAGGGTTAGAGACATACGCCGCCGTGACTCGAAGTCCACGGACAGCGTACCTGAAGGGCCTGTTGAAACAGGTGGCAGGTGATCCTCGTGGACTCCAAGGTCTTCTGCCATGCGAAGTGCCATTCCTGCAGTCGTTAATGCTTGTTTGTGTGGGCTTGACGGATGCCGAACCTGAGTATATCCAAGCTTTGGACACATTCCCTCTGCCGCTCTCAAAGACTGCGCAAAGCAGAAATGCTTGTACAGTGCTGAAGTGGGAAATATAGAATGCGTCCCACAGCAGATTTTCAGCGGCAGACGCAAACGAAGGAGCCAAATCCTTGATGTTGTGATCGTGAGACATCAGCGCACCTAAGGCGCATACAGTGTACAAAAGACCTGAGGAAGTCTGCTCGGTCGAGCCAGCTGGACGATCCGACCGAAGTGCATCTCGGTCGACGATGGTTGAGAAAGGCTGCTGCCACTGGAAGAAGAGCTCGATGCATTCATTGATCACAATTCCAGGAAGGCTAGATACGCATTTGGACGCGCACGCGTCGGTGAAAGTACGTGCCGAGGGACATGGCCGAATCAGACCAGTACTGTAAGCACTGCCGGGTCCATGGAAGATTACGGAACCTGCATCGCTTCAGTAAGAGCATGTTGACCACGACTCGGTGATCTACCTTCTTCGAGGCTGCTCCAACAGCCTTCTGGCACGATGGTTTCCCCATCATCAAAGCTTACCGTTGGAGGACATGTACGTATGGAGGTCGTGGAGAGATGATCTTCAAGGTCGATGCCCTGGATGATGGCCTCTCGGTGATGACCTGCTGTGGTCTTGATACTTGAAAGCAATGACTCCAAAGCTGCACTCCTGCCTTCCAGCGCAGCCACATATTCTTGAGAGGCTGGAGCACGCTTCCAATCATCGGACCGGAACTCGCATCGCACTCCAGCGATGGAGCAGCTTCGACAAGGCGCTGTCCGGGAGCATTTGATCTGTGGGCTTTGGTCAGCAATAGGACCGCAACCGACTAAGACGGCACTTCAAAGTACTTTGCGTGTTTGGCATCGCTTGCAGCTGCAAACGAATTGTTATCAGCAAGATGGCCTTCGCAGACCAGCAGGAGGAACCCTACGAGATTCTCTTCTCGACGCTTCGATACATGTTGCAGACGGCTAACTTGAAGCCTCCAAGGACTAGAAAGAACTCATCAATCTCGGAATTGGAATTGGATGTGCGGAAAGGATGATGGAGAATTCGAAGGAAGGAGAGACCTGGAGACAACTTGATATCGAGTCGCCCGCTGATGATGAGCGATAAGCACGCAATCGCCCCACAACGGGGTGCAACTCCGAAGTCCACGATTTCTGCATTGTTATTGGCTAGCCTTGTACTACAGTAGCCTCCATGAAGTGCTGGAGCGTACCTACAGGATTGCCCTGCGTCGAAATTGATGGCAAGTTTGGATTGTTTGAGAGTAAATCCATTGATTCGAAGTTGATGGAGAGCTCCAACCATATTATAGACCATTCAGTATCCCTGTCACAAAATTGCACGATCTTAAAGGTCCTCGCTCTTGAAGAATTTCTGTCCCCTGAAGGTAAGCCATGGGATCAGTCCAGTCTTCTCTTTTTGAAATTTCCCTTCCCCTTTGTACTCGTGGATCATCACCTCCGGCTTCACCGCAGAGGTATCGACAAGAACAGCGCCTTCAGCATCCAAGGCCTCTGCTTGCACAGTTTTGACATTGACCCGGTCGAGTTTCAGCTCCGTCTCGAAGCTCTCACGCTTGGCTTCACCAATGAATGATCGACGTTCACCCTGGACCTCATAGAACCGCCATGATTTGGTGCGGGTATCTCCATTCCAAGAAACAAAGATACTGGTCGAGTTGTCATCTTCAAGAGCAACGATAGCTGGCACCTCATTTGGAATGCCAGTCCAGTTGTAACGGAAGCCACGGTAGTTTTCAACACCGGCACCCAAAAAGCCAGAGTCCATATAGGTATGGAAGATTGGGGTACCATCAGATTTGAACTCTGTCATGGCACCTTCAGAGCCCCAATTGACCATAACGTTCCCATTGGGTAGCAATTGAGTCGAGCCTTGTGACTTGGATAACAAGTTGTCTGGCGGGTGAAATGCCTGCACGATTGTTGCCTCCCATGTTTCAGTGTCGACTTCGATGATCTTACCCCGGGAAATATTGTAGAAATGGACCTCATGCCCTGCGCCATTCTCGGTACCATGAGCCGAGTTGTCGTAGAGACTTATGATCTCTTTCGTACCATTCTCCGATCGCCCCTGAAAGCGTGCATGATGTTGGAAAGCGAACTCGACCTCGTCTCCCATCTTGAAGCTGGAAGATTTCCCCGAGAGCTGCCAAATGATATCTCCGGTCTTGCCGTCGATCTTGTAGACGGCATTGGCGTCACGAGCCGAGATCAAATAGTTGCCTTCATCGTCCTTGTCCACGGAGTTGATATGGAAGTAGTCCCAGGCATCGGAGCTGTTGTAACCGGCGCCCGCCTGCCCTGGATTCAGTGGAAGATAGCCCTCTGTAACGTGTCAGAACTATGAGTCAGTGAAGTGTTATGGACATACCTGATGGATCGACATGTTCCAGACTACTCCACTCGAAAAGGACAGCACCGGTCTCAATGTCAAGTTCTGACAAGGTTAGCTGGAACAATCGGACGTACAAAGGAGCCCAACCTTGAAATCTAGCATCAACGATCCATTGCTGCTCGTCACTTCCTCCATAGGCACTCAGATTGTACGGGACAGGGTGGTAAATTTGAATCAAACCTGTTTCTTCGTTGACGATGTGAAACTCGTGCTTGTCTGTCAGGCGATGATTGCCAGCCCGTAATTCTCGAATCGTCTCGTAGTGCTGGTCGAGGAATGTCGTGTGGCCATGACCATGACCATATGCTGCGTTATGGCTTCCCTCAAAGCAGAAGAGGATGTCTTTGCCCTTGTAACGTGCAGCTTGGAAATTGGTGCTCCAGATTGAAAAGTAGGTGAATCCTGACCAGACGAGGTCTCCTGTATCGGTGAAGATATAAGGAGCCGCTTGAGCAGGCCCGTGATGAGTACCTTCCGGAAATCCGGAGAACGGTGCCATGAAAAGATATCCGCTTTCGACCTCTTTTGTTGCCGGGATGGTGATATTGAGGGTTGGTGGTGCCAGGTCCGGTCTTGACTTGTAGCGCCAATTGGCCGAGACAAGCGGCATGGACGACAAGAGCCATGTTAGAAGATTGACAGAGGCCCAAAAGCCTGACATCCTGGTTGTAATAGCCATCCTCGCGGCTATGTATCGTGCTATCAATTAAGAAAGTGAACTGCTGGGAGTGTTATTCTCCAGCGTACTGGAAAGAGGGGTTTACCGTTTATATGGTGTCTTTCGCGTAACATAGTAGCTTCGTTGCGCAATCGTGAACGGCCATCAAATTCCCCTTGTGCCAGATTTCTCGAGGACTCAGTATCCCATGTCTTCCATTGGACGACACATACTGCCTCAAAATCCCTACCATCCTGCCTGGCTTGCATAACGCTGGCAAGACGGACGCAATGTCCGTGGATGCAGATCGAAGCTGTGGAGAATATTCCATTTCCCACGGAGTTGCTGTCCGTCTCCACAATTTGGATCCCCTACTAGCCACGGACATGGGCCCCTATCATGCAATTGTCAATAATTTTCATCTATGCTATGCGCGAATCGAGAATTTCACGCCTCTGGTATGCGTCTCAGCGTGTGTGCCCTAGATGAACACAATATACCACCAGTCGAACTATTCAGGAAGGCTCACAATCAATCATCTACAAGGCAATTCCGTGCTCTGCACGCGTACAATATTTGTCAAAACAGATCCACCTGAACCATGGATTCGCGAGTGGTATGGCTACTCGGATCCTAATTTGCAATCGCTTTATTGCAATCAATCGCAGCTGTAGAGTTCCATGATCTCTTCTTTTGGCCTTCGATACGTTATTCCTCCGAGTCTGAATCCTCACAATGGACACCTTCCCATCTTACTCCTCAAATCGTGCAGAGGAAATGCCTCAGCAGGACTATACCAGCAGCAAATCCAATGAGACGACCCCTCTGCTCGCCAATTGCGCAGATGGGACCGAGTCAGCGGAAGAAAAATGGAAGCCTGGACCAGGGTTCATCTGGATTCAGATAGGTACAACCCGACAAGCCTACTGTTACGTCTTGAATACTGACACGGGTAGCTATCTTCTCGAACGTGTTTCTTTCGGGGTTTGATGGCACCATTACTGCATCTACCTATGCAGTGATCGGATCAGAGTTCAATGCCGCGAATACCATCTCGTGGCTGACAACATCCTACTTGATCACGAGTACAGCATTTCAACCACTTTATGGTCGATTCTCGGATGTTTTGGGACGGCGGACTTGCTTCTTCACGGCCACTATAACCTTTCTGCTTGGCTGCCTGGGCTGCGCTCTTGCACCGGATATCATCACTTTGAATCTGATGAGAGCACTTACTGGCCTTGGTGGCGGCGGCCTCATGACCATGGCTACTATCATCAACTCCGATCTGATACCTTTCAAAGAGAGAGGGATGTACCAAGCATGCCAGAATGTACTGCACGGCTTTGGTTCGATATGCGGAGCCTCTCTCGGGGGTTTGATAGCAGACACCATCGGTTGGCGCTGGTGCTTCTTGTGTCAAGTGCCCATTTCAGCATTCGCATTCATGGTCGGACATCTCGTCATCAAGGAAGACGAGAGAAAGATATCCCCCGACCAAGAGACTGCAACTTGTGTCGGGCATACCTCAAAGTGGAAGCGAATCGACCTTGCTGGAGCACTCTTACTGGTTCTTGGCCTATCTGCCCAATTGGCAGCGATGAGTATGGGGGGTAACAACTATCCTTGGAGCGATATCCGAGTCATTATGGCACTGGTAGTGAGCGTTTTCTTGCTTGTGGCATTTGTGCTAGTCGAGATGCGAACGAAAGCAATAGCGGTGATGCCAATGTCCATGTTGAAGGGGACTCTTGCTGTGTCCAACCTCATCAGCAACGTATGCGTTGGCATGGCAGCATACTCGGTAAGCCAGGCTATTATCACCATCACCCAAGCTGATAGTATGTCCAGTTTTTGTTCGTGCTACCACTTTTCTTCCAGGTCGTCCTCCAAGACAGCGCTTCGGGAGCTGGAATGAGACTTGTGATACCCTCACTAGCCACGCCAGCAGGCGGCCTTGTTTCCGGCATCATCATGTCTCGCTGGGGTCGCCTTAGTGAGCTAGTTCGGGTCGGGTGCTTGCTGATGATGGTAGGCAACGGCTTAGTGGCGTCACTCAGATACCAAGACACCCCGTGGAAGTATCTGATCTACCTAATTCCTGCGAACTTTGGCCAGGGAATGTCATATCCCGCCATTCTCTTCACCTTTCTAGCAGCATTCGACCACAATGGTAAGTGCTCGTCTTTATCTCTCTGTATCGAGGCTGAACTTTTGAAGAGCAAGCAGTGTCTACCTCTATGGTGTACCTCTTCCGTTCCATGGGCACCGTGTGGGGTGTTGCTGCGTCGTCTACTTTAATACAGAATGTTCTCACGCAAGAGCTGCCGCGGGCATTAAAAGGGATACCAGATCAAGAAAAGGTGAGCATCCTTTCACGTGGATCGGATGGCGCGGTTGACTGAGACTGATGCAGTTGATTGACGAGATACGGCACTCGGTATCAGTGTTAAAGACACTTCCGCCAGATGTGCAACTGGCAGCTCGTCATGTTTATTATAGCGCCTTACGCTATGCTTTCCTTGCGAATACAGCGGTTGCTGCGGTAGCTCTGATATCTGCGCTCTTTGCGCGGGGGAGAAGTCTAGATCGAAAGTAGGGAGATGTCATTTTGAAAGGTGGGAGGCCTTGGCTATCATAGACAGTCTCTCAAGCCTAATCCATCAACAGACTGTTCACAGTGGCTGTCATTGTAGATACGGCTGAGAGAGAGCCTAGGCAACCCGTATCTCACGCATGAACCGAGAGTGTCTACATGAATTACTTGTAACGACTCTGGATGCAGCCCGCAAGTTAGAGCACCCCGGATACCTGCACCACGTCCAAGACATCAAACACTCTGGCTCGGAGACCGCAAAGGTTGAAAGGGGTGCTCATGATCCTTGCCTAATCCTGAGTCGCCAGGCCGCCTGGAGTCCATGTCCGTTAGCGTCTATATACTAATGAGGACGGGGGGCAACTCCGCAACACGAGGAGAGCTTCCACGCTGGAATACCTGTTACCATGGACTTCTACTCCGAATGTATCCACGTTATAAGTGGATGTCCGCCCTGGCAGCCCCATAAGAACACCGCGGTGGGGCCTCCCCAGCCGTCCGTTCTCGATTCTTACTGGTTCCACTTCCCGCTATTCGTTATCTTTTGGACTTAACAGGCAAGTGATATTCTGGACAATGAGCACAACCCGTCAATATTGAGCTGCGTGCTGTGACGGGAACACGGAAGATGCGACTGTGCTGGTTGTCAGGGTCCATATCGACAGGTATTGCGTGCTGAAGGCCATATTCGTCGTGCTCATCCAAATGATAAGGCTATCTATGAGTGGTGAAGCTCGAGAGACATACAGATGCTGCTATCAAGAAGACTATAAGACCCCTTGCACATCTCTCCCAGTGCGTGTTGGAATGCATAGGAACCTGCCTTTCGACAAGAACGCCCACCAGTGATCAGACTGTACCTTCCGTCTAGGATCCGAGTGCGCCGATATGGACGAGAAAAGCATCGAAGCTTCCAAGATGGCTAAAGAGAAAGAGCCTCAATCAGTCACTGCAGGCTCTGTTGTGCCTCTCGATGTCGATGACATCCAGTCCAAGCTCAGAGATCCTTTTCTGGGATCGACTCAACAACACCCATTCGCGACTCTTGAGAACGCTGAATATTGGTCCAACGTCTATGGAGATGCCAAGTACGAAGGGCGACATCGCTTTGACCCAGCATGTCAGTGGGATGCTACTGAAGAAAAGAGACTAGTGCGAAAGGTACAGCATGTTCCATCCCGAAAATCTGCAACACTCTCTAACGTCTCGCGATCAGCTCGATATGCGCATCATGGCTTGGGTCTGGATAATGTTTTCTTCGCTTGACCTCATTCGGCGAAATGTTAATCGCGCAGTCTCCGATAACATGGTAGGTCCCTAGGAAAGATGCTTCAAGGGATGAGGCTAACATCAGCAGCTTGATGAACTGAACATGAACACCAACGACTTCAACAGTGGCCAGACCATCTACTTGACATCCTTTCTTGCTGCTGAGCTCCCTGGCGGCCTTCTTAGCAAGAAGATTGGTCCCGATGTTATGACCCCCATTTCAATCTGCATCTGGGGAACTATCTGTGCTTGTCAATGCTTGATCAAAAGCCGTACTGGATTCTTCATCACTCGTGCTCTGCTTGGTTTCTCTCAAGGCGGGTTCATCCCGGAGATGGTTCTATACCTCTCATACTTCTACAAGTCCAACGAACTCCCCATGCGCCTTTCGGTGTTTTGGACTGCTATACCATTGACGCAGATAATTGGGGCTCTCCTTGCGGCGGGTTTTTTGAAAATGCGTGGATTGAACGATTGGTCAGGCTGGCAATGGCTGTGAGTACTTGATCCATAAGTATGGAAGTGAAGCTTACGGGAGATAGGTTCTTGCTCGAAGGCCTTATGAGTATAGTCATTGGGCTGATGACTTTCTTGGTGATGCCACCCAGTATCACAGAGACGCACAAAATCTTCCGTGGAAGAGCGACATGGCTTCACAGCAAGACCGGTTGGTTCACGGAGCGAGAAGAGAAGATTGGAGTGAATCGTATCCTCCGCGATGATCCGTCTAAAGGCGATATGAACAACCGGCAACATGTGGATCTGAGAGGTATTTGGCAGGCTGTAAAGGACATTGACCTGTGGCCGACATACATTGTAAGCCTCTTCATCCTCTGCTTGATCTCGCCTGACATGAAGCAGCTTGGCATCATGGCTTTCATCCCTTTCCAGCCTGCCGCTAATTATCTGTCTTTGACCTTGAGAACTCTGGGATACACCGTCTTCGAGGCCAATATGCTCGCGGTTCCAGGGTATTTCCTGTTCTTTGTCAATGTAAGTACTGGCATTCCGCTGATTGAGAACAGACTGTGCTAACCTCGACATAGATCCTGGTGGTGGTCTGGCTGAGCGAAAGATACCGCGAGCGCCTCATCTTCGGGTCAACGAGTAACTTCTGGGTCCTGCCATTCCTCATCGGACTTCTGGCGATTCCTGCGAGTGCTAGTCCTTGGATACGTTATGCTCTTCTCACCGGAGTCAATGGGGAGCCGTATAGTAAGCACAAATATGCGGCACAGAACCTTGGGTAATGAGACTAACCAGGTTTGAAGCTCACGCGATCCTCGTCGGGATGATCTCTCGGAACGCGAACAGCGTGGGCACGAGAGCTGTCTCCGCAGCCGTATACAACATCTGCTACCAGATCGGATCTATTGTTGCTGTGAACGTATATCGGAACGACGACAAGCCTTACTGTAAGTCAATAACCACTGTGCTTGGAATCGTATGCTGATCAACCCAGACTATCGTGGAAATAAGATCCTCGTTGGTATTACCTCGGCCAATATTATTCTGTTCTTCCTGGCAAAGCTATATTACATTAAGCGGAATCAACACAAAGAAAGCAAATGGAACTCTTTGAGCGACTTCGAGCGAGCGAACTACCTCTCTACCACGAAGGACACCGGGACAAAGAGGCTCAACATCCGGTTTGCTCATTAGCTGAATACGTCGGCCCCTGGATTCTGGAGATTGGAGAACCGACCTCACCCTTTTGCCCAGGAGTCGCAAGACCAACCTGATCAGAAAATCGAAAGGGCTTAGAGTTCGACAACAATGCTCAGAAAAAGTCGCGTCAAATGGGGCCGCCATCTGTGCGGATTGTTTCAATTGGATTTCAAACACCACATGGCGCACCACTTTTGGACGATCATACTGTTGTTCTTTTGTTTGTTGCGACGACTTAATCGGGAAGAGTCCAGGCTGCGCACGGATCCTGAGGAGGGCCAGAACCGACCATATTGGCTGCCCGATTTGGACGTACGTGCACTCAGCCGTACCCACCCGACATGGGCCGGGCGTGATATCTCACGAATACGGCGGTATCATGCTCAATATATATACTTTTCACACGAAGTTTTGCTCGGGGCTTGTGCAAGCTAAGATCTTCCTGCCGGTTCATTACTAAATGCTTTGAAGCAACTCTATACTTAAGTTTCTCAGTCGTCTTGTCAACCGTGGTTTGCGTCCTCCTAGTCCCATTATCTCCTAACTTGTTACTCGAATCGAGACATTATCCGCCAGTATCCTGGGAGCAATAACTCTTCACCATCCAAGAAACTTCGAGCACAAAAGCTTCTGTTGTCAAAGTCTATCAGAGCTTGCTAAGCGTTTATAGGGCTTCCCTAGCATCCCAGGATTCTCGTACGTAGGCGTACAATTGCCTAGAACCGTTATTTATCTGCCCAAACATCCTTCAGGCCTTTTAACATCTACAAGATGTGCCCTCTGAAAACTTTAGGCCTCCTCTTTGCAGGAATCGCTCTTTCACAAGCCCGGGCAACATCAAGTCAACTACCTGTAGTCGACCTTGACTATGCCATCCATCAGTCCACCTTCAATGTATGTAATATCGGCTGTGCTATCTTGATAGAGCAGCGCTGAAAACGGGACAGGAGACCGGCTCGTATTACAACTTTTCAAACATCCGCTACGGAGAGGCCATCACAGGAGCAACCAGGTTTAAAGCACCTCAGCCTCCGACCACAAAGAACCGCACTATGAACGATGGACAGACAGCCACGAGATGCGCTCAAACGCATCCCTTCTGGTTATCAGATGGAATGGCGATTGCTCAAGGAATACCAGCGTCGCAACTCCAACCGCCGCAATTCAACATCTCACAGATTCCACCCATGAACGCCGAAGAGACCGAGGATTGTCTGTTTCTAGATGTGCTTGTGCCATCCAAGGCTTTCCCTGCTGGGCCTACACAGTCGTCTCAGACTCGAAAGCCACCGACTTCGTCCTCGAAAGCAGCCCCGGTTCTGGTTTGGATAGACGGCGGTGGATTTTCTGCGGGCTATAAACACGAGCAGCCTCCTGCAGGTCTCGTTACCAGAGCCCAATCTGAGGGTGCAGAGGGCTTCATTTTCGTTTCCATGAACTACCGAGTTGGACTTTTCGTAAGTGCCCCAGCTGAGGTCTTTGGGCCGTGACTTCTACTGGATCCAACGCAAAGGCTAACGTCCACGGACAAGCGCTTTCTCCCAGCCAATGTCACCGGAGAAGGCGATTCCAACGTCGGACTGCTCGATCAGCGCCTGGCTTTGGAATGGGTACAGAAGTATATCCATCTCTTCGGCGGAGACCCGTCGAGGGTCACGCTTATGGGCGAGTCGGCCGGTGGAGGTTCGATCTTTCATCAGATCACCGCTTTTGGAGGAGAGGGTAAAGCACCCTTCCACCAAGCTATCCTACAGAGCCCAGGGTGGCAACCGAACGCGAATCCCGGCTTCCAAAACCGTCTGATCGAGTACGCCTTGACCAATGCATCGGCACTGACGAACAAAACCATGCGGAACGTTGAAGACCTTCGCAGTCTCACTTTCAAAGAAATGGCCCTTGTCAACAGTGTCATCGTCGGCCGCTCTAGGTATGGCACGTATACATTTGGGCCGGTTGTGGACGGCTCCTTTGTGCCGGATATGCCAGGCAAGCTGGTTGCCAAAGGGCGGTTCGCCAGGTCTCTCAACGCCGTGATGATGGGCACCAATTTCAATGAAGGAGTGCTCTTTGATTCACCCTTCCTAACCAACGACGAGGACTACCGCGGCAATGTGCGTCTGTTCTTTCCAAACGCCACCGAGGCCGTGGTGGATTACATCGCCACGAGCCTATATCCCAATGACCTTTCCGGCAAATACAACTACACTACACAACCACTCAGAGCCGCCGAGACAACGGCAGAAGGCTGCTTCTTGTGTAACACACGATACCTAGCGCAAGCTCTGCCTGGAATTGTCTCGAAACGCATCTTCAAGTACTTGTTCGCAGTTCCGCCGGCCATCCATGCAGATGATCTGGCCTACACCTTCTACAATGGCAACGGTACACTGACCTGGGAAGGATTACCAGTGAATGAGAAAGTTGCTCTTACATTGCAGGACTACATCATTAGCTTCGTCTCCAGTGGATCGCCAAACAACGGGCATGCCTCCAGCCAGAACCCTTGGTTCCCGGCGTATGGGACCAATGCATCGGTTCTCACGTTGAACGGAACCAGACTGGGTGCTCTCAATGCTGATCCCCAGGCAAATTTCAGGTGTGACTGGTGGCAGAAGACTCTTTACACTTGATAATAATTTTACTTCACGTTCTAATAATCTTTTAAGACAGATTGAAGACTGTCAGAGTTCTAGGAATTGACTACCCTTAGTACTAGGGCCCTGGGACATCGAACAGGGATTCTTTTATGTTCTTCAACTGCTCGTACCTTTGACGAATTTACCTTCCATGTCTCTATAGAGATCTTCCCAATCTGCATCCACGAGACCCAAGCGTTTGACGGTCCCGTTGGAACTCAGATCGTAGTCACTCAAAGTTATGTAGGAAGTACACCGGTTCCACGGCACTTTCGTAGAAGAACATCATATCCTTCAAGTCATAGTAGATTCTCCAGAGAGTCCGCCAGTGGAATACAAGATTTGCAGGAGGATGACGCGTAGTAGAAGTCTGTCCGGGGTGGAAGGAGATTGCCAAAATGAAGATGAGGCTGAGGCACCAGGGGCTCACAAGGCTGAGTGTAAAAGCAGCGCAAAGCTTGTCCGAATCAAGATCCCACGCTAACAATTCGTTCCAACATGACAGACTGGCATTGTGACCATTGTGATACTTGAAGGCCAGACATTGCAAATCATTCACGACTTACACGGCTGACCACGACATTTGCTCCCCCAAAATGCAGCGCACGCCGTTTCCTCCGCCTCAAAAATCCCCCGAACTATTTCATCCGCGTCCGCAGCACATCTCACAAGTACCTATGATGCGCTCGCCGCCTCCCCCAGTCTCTCAGCAGGCTTCGCAACCGCAAATGAACAGCTATGGCAATCCATATCAGTCTCCGCCGGCAGGAAGCGGGGCCCAAGGAGGAGTAGGACCAGGATTCGGACAAAGCTTCAATTTCATAAACGACCCGACTGCGCAGATGGGATTTCAAGTAGGCTCGCATGCAATGAAGGCTGGGCAAGAGTATATGGAACAAAATGTACGTTTCTGGAGATATCCACAAAGGACTTGCGCACCTTAGAGCCCAAGGCACCATGAGAGCCACAGTTGCAATCAGGAATACGCTGACCGCAACATTTGCAGTTAAACCGCTACATCTCGGTGTCCGCACTGAAACACTACTTCAACGTCTCCAACTCATACGTGGTCCGAAAACTGATCCTCGTCCTATTTCCATGGCGCCATAAACCGTGGACTCGACAGCAAGCCAGAATGACCACATCCTCCACAGGGGCCGACGGCACAATGACGCAGCAGTCCTATTCGTTCAACTACCTCCCACCGCGCGACGATCTGAATTCTCCAGACATGTACATCCCCACCATGGCTCTGATCACATATATCCTTCTTTCGACCGTCCTCGCCGGTATCAGGGGGTCATTCCATCCCGAACTGCTAGGCAGCATCACCAGCACAGCGGTTTTCGTTGTTTTATTTGAGATCATCGTTCTTAAGCTGGCTATGTACATGCTTAGCATCAACAATGACTCGCAGTTACTCGATCTGGTGGCTTACTCGGGGTACAAGTTCGTTGGGGTGATAGTCACGTTGTTCCTGAGTGAGGTGTTTACCGGAGGCAGTGGAACGAACAACTGGGTGGGCTGGACGTTGTTCTTGTACACGTGGTACGCGAATGCTTTTTTCCTGGTAAGTTTGAGCCGTGCTCTCGCAACTCCCTTCGTCCAAGATGCCTGACTGATGGTCTCAATACAGCTCCGATCGTTGAAATACGTTCTACTACCCGACAGCTCTGGAGATCCATCCGCTATGCGTGGCGGAAGCTCATTCACCGTGGCAAGGGCTCAGAAGAATCGGCGTACATACTTTCTGGCCTTGTATGCCTTTCTGGTCCAGATGCTGTTCATGTGGATTCTCAGCAGAGAAGAGGCTGCTGTCAAGACTGTTGCCAGCAGATTGAGCGGACCAAAAGTTTAGACCGAGCAAATTCGACCACGTCCGTAGCCGAATTTTATGTCTCTGCGTTCTACAATGTCGAGCAGATTTATCTCCAAGCTTCAGAGACAGCAACACGGCATATACCGGCTCTCAACGCTGCGGAAGGGGACAGCTTGAAGAATCACGTGACCGAGCGGGCCGGCTTGGCGAGGCTGAAGCCCATCCCGTGCTCTCTGGGCCTGGTATCCTCGCTTTATTCAGGTTATGCAAGACAGGGCATTCGATACTTGGTTTTGTGCTGAGGATGTGGGCTCGTGTTCGACCTCGTGTTCATGTTGAGATCGCATTTTACGCGGAGGCGCTTGTTGATCCGACGATCCACTGTACCACAAACAGAATAGTACGCAACAATGGAAATTTCGACATCCTGGTATAGGATACTGTGGTATGGACCAGTCGCCCTGTACAGCCAATGGGAATAACGTTGAAGTAAGTTAGACATGTCATATGCGAATCCCCCATGGGCTGTCCCTGCTGATCCGACGATCACCAAGGCCGGCGACACAGTCTCATTCGGATGCTGGTAATCATTTTGCCTTTCACTGGCCATCTTGGGTCCGTGGGATATTATATCGGGCTTAGCACTCTCCTCTGCTTTGGAAACAAGATGCCGGTATCCACAACGCCAGCCAGTCGGGATACGAAGGCTTTGCACATGGATTGGAGTTTATTTATCTCGGGGAAAGAAGGTAGGTCCTATACGAAGTCTCCATGGTGGCATGAGATAGGGCCGCTCTAGCAAGCCCTGCTTGTGCTCCATCGCGCCCGAATATATATATATACTGTTGGTAACCTACGCTGGTCCCCGAAAAAGGTGACGGGTGACTGCTTTCAGATCCGTGGTCCTTCAGACATCGCTGTTCACCATTTATCAGATTGTCATTAGCGCCCCAACATCCAACCAAGGCTGCACAGCAAGGATGAAGCTCGGCCACGCCTGTACCGTCCTGATCATATGGCTCGCGGGGTATAGCCATGCACAGGGTTCCATCAATGAATGGGCACCAGGTGGCCTCGAAGTCTGTACGACCCCGCAGAGCAGAGTGTGGCATCTCTTTCTTTGCCATCGATGCTAACCTTTCTTGTGTATAGTTCGCGGCCCATGCCCTATGATGAACACGCTGGCCAACCATGGCTTCCTCGCTCACGACGGCAAGAACCTCACCGAAGGCAAGGTCGTGCACGCCTTGAACTCGGCACTCGGCTTCGACGAGGCCCTCGCAAAGATCATGTTCCAACAAGCTCTGCCTGCCAACCCCCGCCCCAACGCCACCTTCTTCACCCTCGACCAGCTCAACCGCCACAACGTCCTCGAGCACGATGCAAGCATGAGCCGGCTCGACGCCTACTTCGGCAACAACCACGTCTTCAACGCCGACATCTTTGCTCAGACTACCGCATACTAGACCGAAGACATCCTCGACACCAAACAGCTTGCCAATGGGAAGCTGATCCGACAAATCAACTCGAGAACTGTTAACCCCTCCTACACCTTCACCGAGACCATCGAGGCCTTCGGTCTGGGCGAGGTTGCCGCTCCGATCATCGTGTTCGGCTCTTTCGACACCGCGACCGTCAACAGGACGATTGTCGAGTTTTTCTTCGGTAAGAAAAGAAGCAGACAAAAGAGATGACATTCCCACCCTGCTAGATAGCGCTTGCCGGGCTTTGGGGCGCACACCTAGCTAACTCATTGCTTTGATAAAACAGAAAACGAACGTCTTCCCACTGATCTGGGCTGGACAAAAGAAACCTAATGTCACATTGGAGAACATCCCCGACATGTCCGAGGCCGTCGGGAGTGCCGCCAGCCTCTTTACCGAAAGTTCAAATTCGACGACGAACAGCAACAACAACACTGCTGCTGCTAAAGGTCGTCGCGATCTCCACTGCCCGTTCGGCTTTGCGTAGGTCACTCGAGTGGCCGCTGTGGCCTCTGACAGGGGCGGATGGCATGGAGAACGCTTGAGGCTGGGAAGAGCCCACGCTCCGTTCGGAAGTCATCACACGGGCCAGACGCTTCGACATCCCTGGCATATATTGCCTGCCCCTGTTGGTCAAGTGAGCTTAGCAGAAAGCATAGCCATTCCATTCATTAGAGGTTGAACGTTTCATAGGTGCTCCATAGGTGCTGTAGATGGTATCAAGTACTATGAGCACATATTTGCGATATGAACGTGGGCTTTTGTCCTACTTTCTTTCATATGGAAGGCGGCACTCAGCACTATGAAAGATACCTCATATTCTTGCCTCACCGTGTCGACCTGTCGATATGCCCCCTCTCCTCAAGTCAACATGTTTTTCCTTACACTCCCCATTGCCCCCGGCAAAGCCACGCCTCGGGCAGCTAGGGCCCATCGTTGCGTCCGACAGATCGTACGACTGAAGTACGCAGCGGAAGAGGGAAGCATGTTGGCAATTGAACACAACTACTGGGGGTCGGTCGACTCGGACTCGGCCGTCGCATACTTAAGTGATACCTCCTCCGTCAGCCAAAGGGGCAACGTACGATTAGCAGTAATAGCATTGTGCGTCAAGGCTCAGAACCATTAGGGATCCAAATAACCCGCTCGGGCCTCGGCGGCGTCAAAAACCCCTTTGAAAAGTCCAGGGGTCGCACCACATGCACCGAAAGTGACTCTGTCTACTTAAAGTCTACTTAAACAAGGTCTGCCGCCTTTGGAGGGTTAAGTCAAATCACCCTCCATAATTTCCAGCAGTAGCAGGAAGAAGTCCCCGAGTCTGAGATAGTGGTGTGCTGGCTTGTCGCCTCACGAGCGCCGAGCCAGGCAGTAGGGCCTTCACTGGGGAATACCAAACTTCCGTCAGCTTCAGAGGAGAGGCATCCAGCTGCTCTTCGTCAGGGACTTGTCGATCTGCATTCGGTCCCCCAACTGCTGTTGGACAAGGATGGGATGAGGGACATGCCTTGGTCATTGCAACGACCAAATGATACGAAGGAAAGACTCTATCATAGCCTATGCACCATGCACAGTGCCAGGACTCTGAGCTTAGATAAGCCCGTCCAAGACGTGTACGTCCTGCTGACATGATATGATGCACGGTGGTCGGTGATCGTGACGGTTCTGGAAGCCAAATACTGGCGTGAGTGTCGACGTATATCCGACCTCTCTGCTCTGTTGACGGTGGCGGGCAATTAGAACCCCACGATGATATATACAGGTGCATGAAAAATGACCTAGAGGCTTTACAGACACAAACACTCAAAAAACGCACAGCGGTCAATGATTGTCGCACGGGATACGGACCTCGTCTGCCCTCCCATGTCGACAAATTGCTGCGCTCCGGTCACTCAGACATGGCATGGAGCACTTGGGACACCATACATCAGCACTCTTCCTGCCAAACTGCCGGTATAGCTTGGATGATCTGTACTGTTTGGCCGTGCGTCAGATGAAGTCATCCTGCTCTCATACCACTTCAAGGTGGTCCACTAACCGTTCATGGGCAATGGAACTCGACGGGGTTTCAAGTTTCGAGGCATTTCCTCCACCCCGGGTGGGATGGAGACAAGTCAAGGCCATGATGGACATTGACAGCGACACCAATGGCGGGCCAGCCCGAAGAGATATCTCTATTGGAAGGTAGATGGAGACCAAGTGAACGTATCAAAACAAGCACAAAGTTTGCAATCAGGACAAGCGCGCTTTGAAGGCCGCACTCTCAACTTCTTCAGATAGGTCAAGGCAGAGATCGCCGGGACATGGCCAAGGGGGAAGAGCACGAAGAGCAGCGACGGTCGCTCCATCCTGCACAGTGGGACCATGCAACAAGAGCTAGGGAGGGTCAATGACACATGCTTGTGATGAAAGGATTTCTTTGTAGGAATGACTTCGCAGCACCCCCAACCACTCATTCGTAAGAAGGTACCTGTTCTGCTGCGCTAGTTAGTTAGGCATTTGCACGCCATGGGTGCCGGGAAGGTGCATCGCTACGTCGTCGACTGCCAGCATCACGTTCGATTCCGACATAGGCCAAGAACCGCTCTTCCTCTCAAGACAAGAGTTAGGCTATGCCCATGTGGATGTCGACCAAGGGGTCAAGCTCGACCATAGCTATTCCGGCACACTGTTATGTAGTCGCCTCTTTTCTTGGATCTTCCTGAAGTGCTATTCAGCAGAGGGTCTGCCAGCGTCATCACTTGGAGCACCTAGTGGGGAGCGTCCACATTCCGTCTTGAGGGAAATATGCAGGGCTTCTCCCGGACGGAGACCGCCGCGGCCCCAACCTAGGGATAGATGATTTGATAGGCAATGCTTAGGAGCAGGGGACTGCCTACCAATGATGCTGTCGGAACCGGGTAGAGCCCGTGGAGGCAAGCTTCAACCGGCACCAAACCATGTGCTTTCGTTGGAAAGCTGCTACCTCTGTATATTTGATGCATGACAGCCTCCAAGGGAGTGTGAGAGACATCTCCTTGATCAAGCTCGTAGCGTGAGAGCCTCCAGCTTTGAGGAGGAGGCCTGGATTGTACCTCACAGACAAGATCAACGAGAACAATGAGTGACGGCTAGAGAGTAGGCCCCCACGAGCTCGTATGAGAGCATCAGCCAATGCCAATAACGTCGGCCCTTGGTAACCCTTGGTGACCCTGCTGACACCAACAGGTGGAGTCATTTAGGTCAGCATCTGTTCAGAGAGGTTTCCTGTGTATGTAAGCCAGGATGGACGAAGTGGAGTCGCATTTGCTGGCACGCCTTGTTGGCGAAAGGATCTGGAGCATATCGCCCACAGGCATCCGCTTCATGCAGGTCGGTGGCCCAACATTGAATGCCGGTTGCAAAGATGATGCCACGTATCTTAATTATTGCCTGGCCAATCTTCAGAGAACCTGCTTACACTGTGGTTGAACTCGCGGATGAAGCCCTGAGACTAGCAACGCAAGGTCACGGAATAGTCATCATCATGGTCTGGGCTCGGAGATGAACCAGTAAAATGTTGTTTCCAGGGTTTTTGGCAGATTTGGGTACCTTGAATCCACTGGGAATGGCTTCGTAGCTGCAACTCATCAGCGCTCCAAAGGTCTCGTTGCATATCGTATTGAATGCGAGCAGGCAACGACGTTCTGACGTCCTTACATGTGAGAGACGGTGGACTGCACGAAAGTACTGTGGCGAGGTAGATGTAGCATTGCTGACAAAAGATTCGCCACCTTCTGACGTCTTCTGACGGAGGTTCAAGGCGACACTGAAAGGACACCCGTATGCTTGGCAGGAGGCTACCGCTGGAGGGGATTTTGGTTGGACGCCAGTGGTGAAGACATGAAAGGACATCGAGGTCAGAAAGTGACGGTTTCCTCCTCTTGCGAGCCCTGTTCGACCAGACCGCGGACCTTAGTGTTCTTCGATGGTAACAGGTTCCTGTCGGACAGCTGCCACTGCTAGTCACCGGCCCTGCTGGATGCGGCGTAGAAGATGTTTGTGCTTTGGTAGCTGATTGGCAGCTGTATCGCGCAAGAAAACAATGTTGGACGGGAGTGGATGTGGCCCGAAGACGGGCTGGAAGATCATGCTACGGCACCCCCGTACCCGCTCTCAACGATGAACTGAGATGCCCCGGTGAGACCGTCATCATCCATATTGGTGCTCTTCTCCGTCCTTGGGCTACATAGTTAGATGATCTCATCGCGGCGCGTGTCCACGCAGCGTAATTCGGCGTATATCTCTCTCGGATCGGAGGCTGGTGGTTTGACGATCACGGCATCTTTCCAGGGTAATACGATCAAGCGCGAAACTTTCGCCTCGAATGCGCTGCTTAGCGGGTGAGTGAAGGGACAAGTGTTCACAGACACGCCAGACACCGGGGCCACCGCCACCTCCATGGCGAACAAGCTGAGAACGCAAGCGGAGGAAGCTTAACCCGAACAATGTGGGAGTAAACACCATGCCCTAAAGAGGCAAAGGGTGTTGATAAGGTTGGTTGGTAGGTCTAGGATCCCATCCCCTGCTTTGAACACCCAGTCCCGGACAAGTCGTTGACAAGTCCAAGTGTTGTGAGGTCAACCTTGAGCTTCGTAGAAGCAAGACTGGCTGGAACCAATCATGCGGCGACACACATTTCGCCAATTGAGATGTACCGTTTGTGAGGTTACTCAGCCTAGTGAGCCCTGTTCATCTGTCCGGTTCTCCGGCATGATATGGACTGTGGTTGCGATCTGGAAGTCAGACTCCAATCTCGCACTCGGGTCTGCCGTCAGAGATTTGTCAAGGTGTGCGGTTCCCAAGCTGGAAAAGGTAACCAGTGTACCGAGGACTGGCTGGCATTGATTGGGAATTCCCTTCCAACTCGGCGATCTGGACCAGTAGGACGTTGTTAGGTAATCAGATCGCTGTAACATCATGAGGTGAGGTGATGTGAGGTTTGTAGGGAGGCAACATCCATCACGGGGCACACAACTGTGGCATCAGTGGCAAACCACTCCTGCGGCTCTGATCTGCGTATTCACAATGTCTGGCTCCATCCGTAATCATCCAGGTACCGGACCAAGCTGCCTGAATGGCACCACACCCCTTCGCCACGGATGGCATTCTGTCTGCATTCCTTGCCGTCGAGGCGTCACAGGTACCGTCAGCGCCACGCGCTCGTCTAGGCAAGATGGCGGTTTACTGTTTCCGGAAAGATTTCAGCCCCCATATGCCTGGACGCAATTGTGATGGCCATTGAGCTGATGGTCGATTGTGGCCTCTAGTGATCCATGCGGGTTACTCCCGGCCACGAATAATGTGGATGCCTGTAGTGGAGGGATCTCGAGCGTCATAACAATTGCTGTGTTTGGTTTGCTGACACGACATGGCTCACCAAGAGTGGTCTGGAACAGCATCTCCATTCCTTTCGACCCAACGAACACTTCCACTTCGTCAAGAAGGACCTGCAATGGAGTAGCCGACGGAAAACATCCAGAGTCAACATCGACTGTTCTTGTATGTCAGCCTATGTCAGAATACTGTAGAATGCTATGTTTATCAAGCTCGTGGCTCTACAATTGTTCTGCACACGAAGCAGAACAAAGCCGCAAAGACGTCGGAGCAATCGGAAGTCACAACGTCATGCCATCCGCAACTGTTCACTTGAAGTGGTGAATCAGGTCTGCGAAGGTGTCATTGGTAGCTGAAGTGTAAGGTTGAAGATCGAGTTCCAGAAATCTATTCTGATAGCAAGAAGAATTGCGTTCGTGATGGTACACCAGGTCGCACGCTATGCCACTGAGCTCCTCGCTAATTAGACATGCACGGCTTTGACGGCCAGGCCAAGCTGAATTAGAAGTAGTATGCATCACAAAAGAACGAAAGCGCAGAGCTGCAGTGCTGTATGCCCCCTGGCCGAAGATGTACATTAGCCGAGAGCCAGTCTCCGCTCCTCCACTTTAAGGCTTCCCTCGACCTTAGCTGACGCCAATCCCAGCGAGTCGCTGAAAGGCCATGACAGTCCGATATCCGTATCCAGTAGAACAAAAAAGGGTGATTGGAGTAACGACCGTGTGCTTCGAAGGTGCCGCTTGGGGCTTCGAAGGCCGCCGACTTTGCCACTAGAATGTGACCGCTGCTACCTCCGAGGCAGCCTAGTTTCCAGTCGTGCTTGGAGGGTTGTCCCAATGTCTGAGCATCTGCCTGAGTGCTCGGGTCCATTCTGTCACACAAGCATTGACAAGCTTGTCAAACTCTGCGGCAGTCGGTCTTCGGCCACCCCATGTGCTCGCTTTCGAAGCAAGAGCGCGAGCATGTTTCGTGATGAGATTACTGTGTTTACGAAGTCAGTGATTGAGCAATCTGTATTGCAAGGCAGGACAGTGCTTACTCTCTTTCCATCTTCACCAAAACCAACCAGCAATAGTTCCAGCTCCGAACACTACTTGGATCTCGTACCACCAACGATTTGGCTTCATCGAGACACTCCGAACTGAACGGATAGGTTCTTGTTAAGCCTCTCAGTTCATTCAGGAGATTGTTCGAGTTGACGTAGTGAGCCCATGCAGTGGTCATTGGTTCCGTAACCTCTGCAGAATCGAGATATGCAAAGATTTTCTCGATGCGACGTAGTTCCGTAATGGTATTGACACGATGGGTTCGAAGTGAATGGATCAGCTGGTCCTTGTTATTCTGTACCTCCCAGTTAGCCTTCGTGCATAGCGCCAGCATGGAGTGCACGAAAAGTGCTGGAATCTCAAATGAAAACAAGAGAAGATCTAAAACATTATGAGACGGAAGGAGAGAAGTAGTAAGGGGAGGAACAAGGAATAGGTCAAGGCAACCAAGCAAGGCTCGCAAACATAGGAAATATTACAAAAATGAAACCTGGACTGACTTGGCTCATTGTTCGAGGATCAGCTGGCGTGCCAGGAGAGACCAGTTGATATTGCTGTGGTCGAGATGTGGTGATTGTCGTCGGGCGTGGCATCGTGTACTCCGGAGTTGATGTCGGTAGTGCAAATGAGGTCGTCGGTCTTTGCGAGGTTGACTGTTCTGCCAAAGGACTCAGAGCTGAAAATGCACCCGGCGAGAAGGATGGGCTATAAGATGCTCGACTGGCCGTATGGGTTGGTCGGGCCACTTGGCCTGCTCGTTCTTCTTCTGGATGACGACCTTGAGATCCCCTGGATGATCGCGTTCGTTGGGGGTCTCTCGAGGCATCCCGGTTCCTATCGTCCATAAACGGCAAAATTGAAGTAGCACCTTGCGTGTTGGCGATGTTGGTTGCGTTGAATAATCGTGATGATATAAGGCGCTATGTGTATGAAGCAGCGCAGAAGCAAAAGGGGGCTGCAAAATTTAGTAAGACCGCAGAAGTGGAAAAGACAGCCAGCATAAACCACGACGGGAAGTGATGTAGCAGCAGACCAACTTGAGTGAGTGCGAGGATCGAGGTAAAGAAGTAGGGCTGACACATATGCTTCCCCAGATATACTATGTTGGCTGCCAGGGAGGGTGCTGTGCCGAGCAACTGCTACTCTTGCGTCAAGCCTCTCCATAGAGGATACACAAGTATAGGAAAGGATTACCGTCGGGGTTACTTGCGGCTACCTTTCCCAAATCCACGCCACTCCAAGGGGCGGGAGGGTCATCATCCGGACTGACCTTTCTAGAGCTTAGAGCTGGCCATGACATCTCAAGCTCCCAGCCTCAAGCATCCCACGAAATGCTTTCGGGCTCATCGGCGACGTTCTGCTTATGATAGACCACGTGCCAGTAGGCACCATCTGACGAAACTCCGTCATACCAATAGGCTAACGTTCAGGCAAGGGTGTCTGCCGGATGCCAAGTGGGGGCCGGGGAAGCTAGTCTGAAGGCCAGCAAAGTGTGGAAGCGACCATCAAGCGAAAACTGGCAGCTCCGGTAGTACCCAGGGTGAAATCGGAGTTGCATGAACGAGGGCAACGTTACTCATGGCCGGACATTTGGGTGGAAAACCCTGGTCTGGGACAGCCGGCAGATCGGATAGAGATGGAACCAGGGTCGCGGGCAGAACAAGTCATGGCCGCTGTTGCAAGCAATACCACAGTAGTGCTCTGATGATGACAGGCGTTGGGTAAGTGGTCAACGGCCCAACTCCCAACGATGAGTAAGCGCAAATGGCGAGCCTAGCCTGTTTGCGGATTTGGCGTCGCCTCAGCCTCTGACTTCTGGGGCTGTGTCGAACCAATGGATGCCACTTTCATCTTCCAGTATTACTGGTTCTCTGCCATGGCTCCAAGTGCTTCGGTATTTCGCTTCAGCCCTATATCCAAGCCTCAAGGCCTGAAATGATTCCTTTTCAAAGGTCCTTGCCAAGAGCTTACCGGATTCAGCCACGAAGAACCCCGTTTTGGCCCATGTCTAGTTATGAATATGAGATAGCCGAACAAGCCTCCACCAGATCCGTTGTCGAGCTCGTTCATAGCGGGTCCAATGGAAATGGTCCGGTAATCGAGACTGGCACGGCCCGAAAGATATCCCAGCTCGAAGCCCGCCAAAAGGACTTCGTAAAGGGTGCTCGCTTCATGCAAACTCATGGCCCTCTAATATCGGCCGACGACGCAAAACCCAAGGGAGATAGTTGACCCCAGACATAGATCGTCCCGCTTGGCCCTGAATCTTGATGAGGGGCAGTGTACGGGCTACGTACCATCGGCAGGGCACTAGGACTTCAATACGTTGCGGTCTAGGACAGTCAGTTGATGATCCCGTCTGATTCGGCTGCCGAGGATTGCAAGCTGCTGCAAATTCTCATCTCGGCCCTCCAGGCCGCCGTCGCTGGTCTTGATTGCCGTAGGGTGACGAAGGAAGACCAGCACTGGGATAGCCTGCATCGTAACCATACCCATCTCCACCCGTCGACCAAGGCTGTGAGGCTGAAATATAGGGCTGTGTGGATCCACTGCGGTCTTGGGTACTGAGATTTCCGCCCGAAGGACCATAGGATGTCTGACCGCCCAAACCTGCAGCGGGACTGTTCCTACCACTGCCGCCGCCCTGTAGCCGTGCTCGCAGTCTGTCACGAGACCCCAGAGCTTGTGCGTTTGCAGTAGGATTTGATTGATAACTTCCAGCTCTTTGACTAGGAAGAGGTCGGGCCGTTGGCGTTGGCCCACCAAACGAAGTTTGCTGACCGCCTCCGCTCGACTGTGATCTTGTTGAATCGTTGGATCGCAAGGAGTGGGGTGTAGGACGAGCAGCCCTTAGACTGTGGCTAGGCGGCGCAGCCTGCGCGGGAGAAGGATCCCAGAGATCGGACAGGCCACCTCCTCTTCCACCCGATGAACCTCTGGAATGTGGTTGCTGGTTGCCGAGCTGCGAGCTATATGCATTCCCGTATTGTCCGTATGAGACTTGTGGCTGAGGGGCAGCGACGGGTCTCTTCGGATCAGGAGGAAGCCATTCAGGCAGGGGCCGGCCCTTCTCTGCGTAATACGCCCTTAGCACATTCGAGATGTGTGAGCAGTCTTCATTGTCTGGATCGTCCTCTTCTGAGTCCTTAGTCAACGCCTTCCGCAAGTTCGCGAATCTGGATGAGAAAGTGCTCGACCATGTCGAAGTAGAGTTGGGCGTGCTCGATCCATGAGACGTAGGAGGGGCGCTTGAGGAAGTGTTGGAAGTGAAGTAGGACAGGTATGAAGCCATTGCTAGGCCGGAGGGGAGCGTGAAGGACGACGCAGACTCGGTACGATATGACTTTGATGTCGGTGTGGTATTTGACACTTTTCTATCTTTTTGAGAATAAGAAAGGGTTGTGTCACGGTGGAAGTCATGATACAGAGAGTGTCAGAGCCGCAGTCACAGCAGCACGATGGGACACCTCTCAGCCTGACACGTGACAAGGCTGCACTCGAAGTCTGCCGAGCGCTACGAATCAAGAGCATACTGCGTAGACAGCTCGACAGCGTTCCAACCATCTGTATCAAATTTGAACGCCTGTATTTATGCACGATCGCCGGCACCAACTTGGCTGTTCTTCTACACAGCCGCGAGATGGGGTAAATATTACACTTGAAAGGACGCCATACGCCTTCGATCCTGGCTGAGCCGTCTCCATTACGTCCAGCAGGATATCGTCGCCTCCCATTCACATCTTTTCTGTCTCGACGGTTCCTATGCCGGTGGCTCCAAACTCTGCTCACGATCACCCACCACAGTTCTTTCCTCCCAGTCGACGTCTTTGGACTCGCTCGATTCCACGTCAGACACCGTGAGAGGTTCTCCCTCGCTTGTGATCATGTTGGGAGTCATTTCTTCCTCGTCTGCGGCACCATCCATCATCGCACGGTGGAGGGGTTGAGTTGGTTCTGCATCTGGAAGCATGTACTCAACGACACACAATGGGCCAAATCTGTCAGGCTCTTGCCAAACGTGTACCAATTTGAGCCCGCTCAGTTCTGCCAAATGGTTCCAATCTCGACCGGTTCGTTCCTTGCCACCGATGGTCATCATCATCAGGTCGAGCCAGATTGCTCCAGCATCTCTCGGTGTCACCGGCTCAGGAATGGCCATATCGGAGATGAGAATGCGGCTATCCTTTGCCATGGCTGGGATGATAGCTTTCATTATCCGTGAGGCATCTTTATCTTGCCAGTCGTGCATAACGCGACGGATGTAGTAAACTTGCGCGTTCTGTACAGGCTGGTCCTCGAAGAAATCGTGAGGCATCCTCGTCACCCCGGGTAGATCTTCCGCCGATACATCGTCAAGGACGCATGGACGATCTTGCAGGATTAGGTGTCCTTGCAGGCTTGGACAGCCCTTTCTCATTTCTAGCAAAGCAAGACCTCTCCCACCACCGATATCGACCATAAGTGGACGGTCAGCAGAATTACCTTCGCGCAACTTCTCTTCGAACGGGAACATGGCCACTACAGGATGCAGAGCGTCGAACAGGCCCAGTCCGCGAATGAAGTTCTCGATTCGATGGTGAGACGAGTTCATGACTTCCCAAAAGTTCTTGCCGACCATGTCATAGAACCACGAATGCGGAGTCTCGGTGTAAGTGTGCAGAAGCGAGTGGTTTCCGAAGCGATCCAGATAGTGATTCAGCCGATACATGGCCGGCATCATCTCATCGAGTCTAGACATACCCATCAGCTCGCAATTCGGCACGATGCTAACGTGCAACCCTCTCGGCCACCCCCATCTACAAGAGAAATAGACTTACGAAACATTGTACAGCCATTTGCCACTCATGGGGCCAACATGCTCGCTGTGCATGATCGAGAGTCTGTTGTGTGCCCACTCACCCACCCGAACCTCGTTGAAGATGTTGACACACGTCAATTGACGCATCAGGCGGACTGGAAGAAGGTCAGCTATAATCTAGACGCGAGACTAGAGCTTCACCTACCGACCAACTCTTCGGCAGTGTCACACTTCTGGGCAATCTCGCTCGCACTGACCGTACCAGTGGGAGGAACTGCTTCAAAGATGCCGAGCTTGGATGCGGCAAGACAGGCTGAAATTGTGTATCCCTGAACAATTGTTTAGCAGACATTTTTCATATTGACTGCTCCAGGCTAAAGCTGTAGCAATGTCAGATAAGAAGGCTCACATTGACAATGTGGTCCATGAGCGCATCATATGGATCTTGGATCTGCCATATCAGTTGCTTTGCTTGCAACACGACAGCGGCTGTCTGTTGTTTCCGGGTTGTGGGATCCCGCGCGAAGGCCACATACTTTGCCACCTGGCTGAGCTGATCTGCTAAAGCGGTGATCTCCTCTGGCGAGGGGTCCATGTTGTTCAACGATATCGACTTATGGCGAGGAAGGCAGTTCCCGAAGGCAGGTGTGTTGTTGACAGTTGAGTGCAACTTTGCAACAACGGAAGTTGCGCCTTGTTGAGACTGAGGTGACAGAATCCAGATTTCGATTCACTTGCAAACACTAAGGGAAAGCAAACACAACAGTCCGGGCTTGTTTGCCGGCCACAACAACAGTGAAGCACAACTGGTGAAGATGAGAAGGAGTCCGGAGTGGCTGCCAACCCCAGGCTAAATAGGTCTCTCGCAGCTGATTCTGGAATGCATTGACTATCTATTACCCCTGCAGCAGCCCGGCTCTGCTAAACGAAGCATGAATTCGGCACAGCAAGCAAGAACAAATACATGCAGAGGCTGGACCAGATCATCGGCGAAGGAGCAAGAGAAGGCCTAGCCGATATCAGCCCTTCAGCAACATCCAGAAGTGTCTCGCCGTGAAAGACAGGCCGAGTTGCATAGCTGGGAGACAATCCCACGAAGAAAGAAAGACCCATCCAGTGCTCCAACCCCGGCACAGATGTCATACAAGACTAGACCTTGAATCTCTGCGGTCTTGGACGTTGTCGACATCGTGGTCGGCATGCAGCTTCATGGTCGTGCGAGGATGGATCTTTAGGCTCATATTGAAATCCTGGCTGGCCAGGGTCTGCCCCAATATCTTCAGCACCAGCACACACTCACGCGATACTCTTCTGCTGACTTGTCTTCTTCAGCCAGTTCCTACCCACCTGCGGCTTCCTGAATTCGAGTGGAGTGGTAACGAGACGCCTTTGCCAGGCAGGGCATTCTTTTCCAGCTTTTCCAGTGTATGGCATCCTCCTCGGAATCCTACAGCATTATCGACATTTTGACCAACCTAACCTGACCGCAAGTGGACTAATGCAGTCGATGCAAGGATATCTTCACCGTAATGATCAGTGGCTGGACAGTTTTATTGCTCACTCCTCACGGCATGCAACCGTTGTTCTATCCGACCCTACGCGGGAGAGCCCATCTCTCCACGCGCCCAGTTATTTTTCTTTCAGATTGCCACCTACTCCGTCACTCCTCACTCGGTTGCTTGCAGTGACAGACGCTACTGTTCCATGCGATTCATGTTGGAAGTCCCGCCGTTGCTCGTCTGCCTTCCATACGTACAATGCCACCTAGAACGATGGCTGGCACAACACATAGCAAGAGTTATGAGTATACAGAGGGGTGTCGATTGAGAAAACATCGCATCTGACCTTGTACAAAACGGACAGGACCATGGGCGGTGATCCAAGCTGCTGGAACGGACTTTCCTGGTCAGAATGCACGTCAAACACGACAGGTTGTACAGGGATAAACCTGGCTCAAACCCCAGATGCAACTGACCGCGGGACATCCATGTGTATGTTAGGAGTGCGCTCTCGGTTAGACACTGCTCTTTGCAACGCTCAAGCCAGGTGATGATGTGGAAGGAAGAGGCCTGTATGGCCTGATTCTCCCCACGAATGGCACACTGGCGTTCGATTGATGACCCAGCGAGGTCATGGCAGGCCTTCCTAGGTTGCACAAAACGCTGGGATCTCTTCATGGTACCGAATGGGATGCAGTAAATCTCAACACCCAACAGTCCGGCACTGAAGACAGCAGCCACTGCCTGCCGCGAAAGCCCACACGCATGGATCTATTGAACATCTAGAAATCGGCAAGCTAATCAAACAGTTGCAGTTGCATTTCATTCGTACACGCGGCCAAAGCTCGCTTCATATCCCCTGCACTTTGCGATAATTCGGTGGCTTCCACATGCGCTTAATGGCCTTGCCACCCCAGACAGGAACAAGACTGATGGCTCCGACCGCAACGACCCTCCAGACCCAACTCCAGCTAGCAACGTACGCCAAGTCGAAATAGCCTCCTAGGAAGGGTACGCTGGCCGCATACAGCGTGGCTGTTCCGACGATACATATGATCATAATCGGGTGCCACGTGGTGACTGCCACCGCCACCATGATCAACTCATTCAGCACCAGAACTGTGAAACTGACGCTGAGCATGCGAGGACCGTCAACTTCACCCACCAGAAGCTGTGTAAGGCCTTGAATTATGATCCCCTGGTAGACCGAGACCAGAACCCATGTAAAGAACGTCTGATAACTCAAGCTCTTACCGGACTTCAACTCCTTGTATAGCTCCGGGTACAAGTTGGCCAGCTGCTCATCCACATCACGATCGAGCACTAGCGAAAAGACAGGCGCCATAGTGTATACCGTGGCATATCCGACCAGCAGCCAGTCTTTGAAAAGGCCTTTCGGATCGAAGTGTCCAGCAATGTTGTACATTGTCTGGCACACGCTGATGATAAGTCCACGATGGATGATGAACTGCGCCAATTTCGCTGAACGCTTGTAACTGTTCCGCCCATGCCATACGAGTAACTTCGTCAAATGGCAGAATTGCGTGATACTGAAATCCGCCGCGAGCGAGGCCTGTCGGCCCTCCTTGCCGACAATTCCAATACCCACGTCCGCGGCCTGGATCATGCTGACATCATTCCCACCGTCGCCAATGCAGCACACGCGCTTCTTGGTATGTTTACGAATAAGATGTGCCACCTCGGCTTTCTGCGTCGGCGAGCACCGACACGCAATCACAGCTGGCAACTGCACCGCGATGGTGATGAAGTCCAGCCTGAATTGGGCGAGCACGAGGGCTAAAGTCTCGCCATCGATGAGTAGACATGACTCCGTCTGATTGCGCATCAAGTCCAGCGCGTCCTTTGCCTGTGCCTTCGTTTTCAATCTTGCCATCGTCTGAATGTGCTGGCCACGGGCCACAAGGCGAGCGGACACGGCCACACAGCGCGCCGTCTCGATCTTGTCGCCTGTCAGCATCCAGATCTTCACGCCCGCATTGCGCAGGAGTTCGAGAGAAGGCTTGACGTCTTTCTGCAGTCTGTCCTCAACACCCGTGACGCCCAGAAGTTCGAGATCGTGCTCCAGATGGGCCTGCACGACAGATGCCATACCGGCGTCGCGCTCGTGCAGAGCCAGACTGGCATCTGTGTATGCGCTTGAAAATTCTGCGTATTGAGATGGCGAGAGACGTTTGCGCCCAACGACCAGTGTCCGGAGACCCTCGCGCGCCATGTTGGCTGTCTCCTCGTCGAGCCAGTCGTTCGCCGCGACGATGCTGGACATTACGGTATCGGCGCCCTTCTGGAAGAACCAGAGTTCATCGCCAGCCATACTCGTAATGCCGGGAATCTCGGAAGACAGTTGAACGATGATGCCCATGCGCTTGCTGTCGGATGTGAAGGGGAATATGTCCTTGATTTCGGCGCGGAGTACGATCCGGTCTGACTTGACAGACTGCAGGACAATATTCTCGCGGTCGCGGTGTAGAACGCGCAGGCCCACGCTCTCAGTGAACTCGACGATCGCGATCTCATCGGGCGAAGAGGCCTGATAGGAGACAACTCTTTCACCGTCCACCTCATCGGTCGTAGGTGTGACGTTGTGGCAGAGAGCCAGAGCAAGGATGAGGTCGCGTACGCGCACGCCGATTTCGCGGCGGGTTTTGGTGGTGGTAGCCCCTTGGGAGTCTGTGTCGTCGGTGGATGAGAATGCCTGGTCGATGTACGCTGCGACTTCTTCCATAGCATCGCCCGAGTAGGCGACTGTACCGACATGGATCTTTTTGAGTAGCATCTCGTTCTGAGTAAGAGTGCCTGTTTTATCGGAGAGGAGGTATTCTATGCGGCCGAGATCTTCGGGAATGGTGCTCGTGCGGACGACCGTGTCGGGAATGCCTTTGTCGTGTTCGATGAAGTTGGCGTAGACGGATTTGCCGAGGTCGAGGTTGACACGCAGACTAATTGGGATGATGGTCGAGAAAAGGATCAGGTAGATCATTATCGCGACGTACCAGGGCTTTTTGTTGGAGGGCTCGAAACCTTCGAGGGCGACGAGGACGATGGAGAGAGTGAGGGTCATAATGCAGAGGATCTTGGTTAGATTGTTGATTTCCAATTCCAGAAGGCCTGTTTTGGACCTTGAGGGAGAGGTCGAGAGGGCTGATCGTGTTTGGCGGCCAGTATAGACGACCACGCAGTACGTGGTAGTGCTTGAAGCTAGCACAGTATTTGCCCAAGCGGTATTGTCGATCGTGAGAGGCGCCGAGCTGCTGCGATTCGTATGAAGCTCATCTTGATTGCTACTATCCGGCGCATCGTGAACAAGATCTTGCTCGCTGGGGTGAGGGTCATACGCTGAGCTCTGGTTCGAGCGAAGGTCTAGCGTTCCAACAAAATGGTTGACCTGCTTGTCGGGTGCGCCAGCCGTGATCTGTAAGCGCTGCAATTCCGACAACTTGAGATTCTGGCTTAGAGGGCTAGGTAGCCGGAGTTTCCAATCCGTCTCGCCGTCAAGCTGGTCTGTTCGAATAAACGTTTCCCCAGTATCTGAAGCTGAAGCGACTCCATCCCCAGCCTCGTTGGTCGTGAGTTCGCTGTGAAGCTCGGTCAAATGGCTCTGGAGAATGACCACATCTGCAGGGACTCTTTGATTCTTTTCCAGCTTCAACACATCTCCGACCTTGATATCTCGAGATCGTTTCTGTACCTCCACAACACCTTGCTGCCGTGGTCGCGCAGCATCTGGAAAAGACACGACAGTGAAGAGCTCCGAGTTTGCTTCGGCATCTCGCCGTCTCCGTGCAATGTCGTCGACGGCCTCCTTTCCGATCGTAATAGTGAGAACACACGCTAATGGGACAATATACGTCGACATGTAACCAATGCGCAGATAGGGTATAATTTGTGATAATGCAACCAACAGGAAATATATGTTCAGGAAGAAAGAAAACTCGTTGTACAGTGTTCGGGGGAGGAAAGACCAGGCGGTATATTTGGCGTTCGAGACGACGTTGGTAGGGAATCGCTTCTTCTGGGACTGCCCGACTTGAATCTCGCGAGAGTCTGCGTTGTCGACATGTTTGTTGTCCCGCATATCGGCCAGCTCCTGCCTGACAAACTCTTGGAACTGCATGCTCTGACTCGGTCTGCGCGACGGAGTCTCTCGTGCTTGCGATGCATCATTTTGCCCGATGCTGTTCTGCCGTCTTTGGTTGCGGACATTCCAGCCAGCCCGTTCTTCAGACCAGCGTCGTATGTGCCCCTTTCCACGTGAGTGTCCAGGCCAGTTGTTTAACAGGGCTTCCGTGTCTTCATCTACGGCTGATTCTCCTTTCTGTCTTCCTTTGGAACGCCATAGCCGGCTGCCACCGTATTTCTGCAGTCTCTGAAGCGGAATGTTTCCAGTCTTGCCCTGAAGGCGCCGCTTGGATTCCTCGCTTGCATGTCCGAGTGAGCCATTTAGGAAGGCGGTGGCCGCAGGATCGAGTTCGTCGAGGTCAAGGTCATCTTCGGAGGCCGAGTCGATGTCGCCTCCTGCATGCACTGTGTTTGGCCGAGACATGTAGGCTCTGGATCATGGCTAATGTGATCAAGAGGTGGATGGCCCGGAGGCGATGCAGGGTGGTGTGTTGATCAGTCAGACACCATATGTGGACAAGTTTGATCAGTACGGGAACAGAGTGGGAGGGTAGCGATGATGGCGTGTTCTAGAGGTGAGCGAACATTGTAGAGTGTTGAGGCGTACAGAACGAAGGACTTGAGGATTATTATGGTGGCCTTGACGATATTGTATTGAATTGGCCAGCATGTGAACGAGGCTCTGCACGTAACAGCCCCGTGCAGCCTGGTGAGCCCCTAATATGACTTGCTCACTAGGCTACTAGGCCTAGGTAGGGAGCCCACGCTGGCCTCTAGTTACGTGGTCCAGGGTATCCAGGCTAAACTGCTACGGTAAAGGTAAAGTGGCCGTTCCGCGCCTTTGGTTCCGCAGTGCCTTTTTCTCCGCGTCGACCTGCGCCTGCGAATGTCTCGAGAACAAATTGGTCTTCAGTATCATCCATCACTACTTCAGTAAATGTTTCAAGGCATTGACCTTCGGTTGTGTTGGTGAGCAATTTACTGATTACCGACATGTCTCCGCGGTTTACCTGACCACTCTGAATCCTTGAGCTGTGTACGTGGCTTGCTTCCTGAACTGGGCCCCCTGCTGACCTGACGCAGTCTCGATTTCGTTGAACGGTCAGAATGGCGTCTGCCAACCATATAGACCACAACTCTATACCCTCCGATGCTGGTCAAACAGGCCACTGGCTACCAGCCTTGCGTCCAGAAGTCCTCGACGAATCGCATGACTTCCACGATGGCATCGAACCCCCGAATGCCGTCGAGAATCTGCCGACAGGTTTTATGAATGAGGAATCGCATATTATACCTCCGACCACGGGCTTTGTGGAGAGTAAAGCAGGGAAAGGCGTTGAACAGGGCTACAGTGAGGCGTCACAAGGACTGACCAACCACCCCTTTGCGCCAGAGCCGATTGCGAACGGAGCAATAGAAAAGGAGTCTGGCACCAACTTTGCAGGAGATGAACTTCCCTCAGACGATGACGATGAGCGGTTAGATCCCGCTTGGGGCATAAAACGTCAAGATTCTGCTCGCATCCTAGAAGGAGTTCACCGTTCAACAACGTTCCCGGAATTTTCGGCGTCCGATACCCCTGGGTCCAGTCACGAGAATGGTCTCGTGCAGAGAACGCCTGAACCCCAGGAGCCGACAGCTGAGGTGGAACATGTCAGAAGGCAGGAGCAGGAGAAGGTTCCAACAGAGCCACAGAATTTTGGATGGATGGATGACGAGCGCGATGGAACGCGGGATGCTCATTCTTGGACCGTATCGGAGCAGTCGCCCTTAATTGATGAGGCCACTCAGCGGTTTGACGAAGGCGTACCGCTGATACAAGCTGAAAAACCACGCACGATCGGCGAGAACGAGGCAGAACAGCAATCAGCAGCGAATCCTTTCAGCACAGCACAAGATGATGAAGAAACCTCTTTCTTCTCCCATGTCAATGGCACCACCGATTCGGGTGCTGGTGTTCCGTCACTTGACCGAAAGTCTACGAGTCAAGTACTAGACTCAATGGAGTTCTCAGCAAGGGAAGTACCGGAGTCTCCAGCAGCTCCTGATGCGCATGAGGCCGATGAGTCTTCATTTTTCCACCAATTGGCTAGTGAAGGCGGTGACAGGAACGTTCCTACAAATGAAGCTCCGGAAGCTGCTCAAACACAAGATCCTGATACTGCTGCTTGGGCTGCTGTACTTGACGATGATGAGTTCCTGGTCGAGGATGCCGACGATCTCCTCCCAGACTCCGAACCTGGTTCTCCCTCATCCTTCGAAGCTGCATTACAGCAGGGATCATTAGCTTCACCAGAGGACAAGCCCATTGTACCAGGCTCTCAGGTGGGAAGCAGCGCGCCTGTGGGCCTTCCTAGCCAGCCGCAGAGACAGATGTCTGCCAACCCGTATGCACCTCATCAACCATCCACTTCTGATATGCTGCAATTGTCTCCAACAGCACGTACCACACATAACAACATCGGTATCTCTCGACCTGAGCTCGCGCCGATGAGTTCTTTCCTATCGCAGATGCAGCAGAGACCGGCTGCGCAGTCGATGAAGAGCTTCGTTGATCAGGCTAAAGACGGTTACAAATCTCCTTATGATCTACCCATGGAGATCAGCAAATCAAGGAAGAGAGCTCATGCCCCTCAACCAGTCCAAGTATCGAAACCTGTTGCACCACCACCGCGAAGTAGCAGCTTGTCCGACAAACCACTGCAATCCCCTTTCAGCCCAACTGTGCCATTGGCGACAGGTGACATACCTCCTCCGGCTGCCGCCTCGACAATGCAGAACCGGAGCGCCTCAGTAGTAACGCCTTCCTCAAAGTCAGACAGACCACAGTCGGGCTCTTCAAGCTTTTTTGAAGAATTGCCTATTGTGACTAAGCCCCGACCGGGTAGTGGACATGGCCGATATACACCACAGCAGAATATTGTTGCTTCTCCGCCACAACTACTCCCTCAGAGTCCGCCTCGTGCGCCGTTGGCACCTCCACAAGCGCAGCCATCACCACCACGACCATCCGATCCGTACGCTCAGTATCAATTGCAGGCCCCAGTACGCTTGGACCCGTACGCCAACGCGCCTCTTCAACCACCAGCTCCATTAGCTGGATCGACCAGCAGGTATTCTCCGGCCCCTCCGACGACATCTACGGCCTCGCGCGTGGGTCCGTCTCCTCGATACTCTCCTGTACCTCCTCCAGTCGCCCCATCCACAACCTCTACCAACAGGTATGTCTCTCAGCCAACACCACCTCCAGTTGCAGCGCAAGCTGCACCACCCATGTCGCAGAGATATGCGTCGCAACCAACTCCCCACGCGGCGCCACCTCCTCCTGTTCTACCTTTTCAGCCTCGGACATCGAGCCCTCTTGCGTACCATAAGAGTTCCATCGAGGGGAGTGCCGATGTTGTGCCACCCGCGCAAGGTGTGAGAGCAGGTGGACTTTATCGCCAAGTTTCCGCTGCTGGCGCTATTCCATCACAATCTGTGGCTACCCCTGAAATTCCTGGTTCCACTGAAGGCAACTTCTATCCTTCTCCTGCTAACCCTCCTACGTCCGAGCGGATGGCACCTCCACGCCGATCACAGACTCAGTCACCTTCTAAACAGCGACCTCAAGCAACTTTTCCTCCTTACGTTCACGAGGCGCCAAATCGACCCGCCTCAGCATTCGGCCAGCCAACAGTACCTAGAGCTGCGTTGGAGAGCATGCCGCCATCCAGACCCAATGTCCGCGCTAGAGGATTCGCACCCGATTTGGAATTTGTGCGTCCAATCGACGAAGCTCAATTCGACCCGCTAGAGCGCTGGAAAGGTGCACCCGTCTTTAGGTTCGGCTTTGGCGGTTGTGTGGTCAGCACCTTCCCAAAGCATGTCCCAAGGTATGCTGTCGGTGCAGCAAGGCCTCAGATTAAAGCCACTCCTGGCGAGGTCTCGATGCGAAGTGTGAAGGACATTCTTCCACAATCAGAGAACATCAACACCTTTCCGGGGCCGTTGCGTGCCAAAGCTAAGAAGAAAGATCTATTAGCCTGGATGTCGGACTATATAACAGCACTTGAGGCAAATCCGCCGGACGCTACATTCCCTCCAGCTCTGCCCAACAACAACATACGCCACCACGAGAAGCTATTGCTTTGGAGAATTGTCAAGACCCTGGTCGAACATGATGGTGTCCTTGATGGCCCAGCTTTGAAGACTGTCAACCTCATTCTGGCTCCCGAAGTCCACGCGCTTGACGAGAATGAAGCCACTCAGTATCGCGCAGATGACGCAGCCTCTGGGATTTATCGTCCATCTGGTACCAACGCACCCCCCGACTCTGTGGATCCAATGGCTGTTGAAGTTCTACGAAAGCGTTTGCTCAGCGGTGACCGACAAGCTGCGGTGTTTCATGCCATGGACAGTCGACTCTGGTCGCATGCCTTGATCATTTCCTCGACAATGGAGCGCTCATATTGGAGCCAAGTTGTGCGAGAATTTGTCCGCCAGGAAGTCAAGACCGTGGGGGAGAACGCGGAGTCACTATCAGCTTTATATGAAGTGTTTGGCGGAAACTTGGAGGAAAGTATCGACGAGCTCGTCCCTCCTTCAGCTCGTGCAGGATTACAGATGGTGAGCAAAGTTGACAGCGCCGGCCCTACTAAGAACGCTCTTGATGGCTTAAACCGCTGGAGAGAAACGCTGAGTCTCATTCTAAACAACCGTTGCCAAGGGGATCACCAAGCTCTGGCAGTACTGGGCAAGCTTCTGGAAGACTATAAACGGATCGAAGCCGCTCACATATGCTACCTTTTCTCCAGAAATCCTGCAAAATCAGTAATCTTTGGTGGTAGCGACGAGGAACAAACACCTGTCGTCTTACTCGGAGCCAACCATAAAACATGTCCATTCGATTTTGGCCGGGATCAGGAAGCTATTGTGCTCACCGAGATCTATGAGTTTGCTACAAGCGTTTTGGCCACAGGGGCTTTAAGCGCCTTCATGCCTCATCTGTCTGTTTACAAGCTGCAGCGCGCGAAGGTGTTGGCCGATGGAGGGCAGAAATTGGAAGCACAAGCATATTGTGACGCTATTGCAGCGACCCTAAAGTCGAACACAAAGATGTCACTCTACCATCATTCGTTGCTCTTTGCCGAGCTGGACGACCTGTCAAACCGCCTGAAACAGACTCCGATGCAAGGCTCTTCTTCATGGCTCGGTAAGCCAAGTCTCGAGAAAGTGTCTGGTTCGATGTGGAACAAATTTAGCAGCTTTGTGGCAGGCGAAGACAGCGATGCCGAGTCGAAGGGCTCAGGCAAGGACGCCGACACCGGGCCTTTCGCCAATGTTACAAGCACGCCGTCCATCAGCCGAACCGGGTCACAATCAGATCTATACGGAGGGTCTACACAAGGCTTGCCTGCGACAGGAGCAAGCTCAAGATACGCCCCCAATGGCATCCACTCCGCCCGATCCTCGTCAGAGCTTACGAGGGCACGGCCATCGCTTGATTCTCAAAGATCGCCGCCCTCTACTTCTTACTCTCACAACAATCGTCAACCTGAGTCGACGAATATGCTTCAGCAGGCTCAGGCAGTGCCCTACATAAATCCATATCAAGCTCTTGCCGCCGCCTCACCTCCAACTTCCTATCCTCAGAGTCCTCCCAGATCTTCATACGTGCCGAACAGCACTTTCAACTCAATTCCGGAGGATGCACCCCAAATGAACCATCAGTCATATATTCCGACTCCCCCGGCTGAAGAAGCAAGCCATCAATCCCTCGCTTACAACCCTGGAATGATGCCGACCCAGTATCATGAAGATCACGGCCCTTATGGCGGTTATGGCCTGGCTCAACACGAGCCAGCTCCGCTCCCTCCCCCGCATGACGAAAATACCGATACTGGTTACGACAGACCTTCTACACAATCCTATGGCTACGAACCGCCGACCGAGTCCGGCTATATCCCTTACGTTCCCGACCCCGGCTCGCCTGAGGAAGAACGGCCCAAGAAGAAATCGTTCATGGACGATGACGACGACGACTTTCCTCGAATATCAAGTCAACCACAAGCTTCAGGACCCAAGGTCTCTGGCGATGACGATGAAGCTGCACGTAAGCGTGCAAACGATGCGGCCGCCGATGCGGCTTTCCGTGCGGCAGCAGAGGCTGACGCGGCGCGTGAGAAAGAGAAGGCGCAATCCAAGAGATCTTCGTCATGGTTTGGCGGTTGGCTTGGAGGCAAGAAGCCTGCTGAAGGACTCGATGCTGGCAAAGGAGGAGGTGCGGAGCCCAAAATCTACAAGGCGAAACTGGGTGAATCGAAAATGAAGCTGTATTACGACAAAGACTTGGGCAAATGGGTGAATCCTGACAATCCCGACGCGGCGAAAAAGACGGCGACACCACCCCCTCCACGAATGGGCGGCACTCCGGCACCACCAAGTAGCTCAGGAGGACCACCTATGGCCCCAGGCCTCGGGCATACCTCGAGTCCAAGCTTGCCGAATATGAGCATGGGTCCGCCGTCAGGGCCTGTCAGCAGATCAGGAACGCCAGGAAGTGGACCAGGAGCGCCGCCAGCATTTCCTGGTATGTCTGGTCCTCCAAGTGGTACGGGCACCCCACCGCCAGGACCGAGCTCGACTCCTGGCCTTGCTCCTCCTCGACCAGGTACCGCAGCAAGCAATGCTAGCAGCATTGATGACCTTATTGGCCCAGCCACAGCCAGAAAACACGGTGCCAAAGGGGCCAAGAAGGGCAAAGGACGTTACGTGGATGTCATGGCTAAATAGCCACGGAGGACAGAGGTTACGTCTTGAATATGGCGACTATATGTTGACTGAATGTATAATAATCAAGCGGGGGATGTGTTCATGTCAACCACCACTTCGAAATGCAGAGGAGCTACCTGCCTTGCATCGCGGGCGATTTAACGGGAAGCTCTTGCTTATAGTGGGATAGCATAATGCATTGTAATATTCTGACACTCTACGTCCTCCTATAGACGGCTCTATGCTCTTCTTATCGTTGGTTCTGACATTCATTACATGCCCCAGCAAGGACAGCAGACTTGACTCCTCAGCCTCGTTTAGAAAAGCACGTGACTACCTGCGATCCATATTCCGATCCAACGAGGCTGCGAACATTATTTCCCATGTCAAGTGCTCCTCCTTATTGAATGCCAGCACCACGACAGGGACAGCCAAACACCGTGGCTACCGAGCATGATAGGAATATACACGCCGTCCGCTGCTCTTCAGCAGCAATAATACACCACCTCAGCTTTACGAATCTACGCTATGCGAACGAAAGCCCTCCTTGACCCAAATCCTCCTCTCGGCCATACCCACCTCAGGTCCGCAGTCTCCCACTCGTACGTGGCAGTAAGCGCGACGACAAAAGTCCAATACCCATCCTCGCAACCATGGCCGCCGCACAATTTTCCACGACCGACGCCCTTACCGACCCAAACAGCCCTCTCGTGAACGTCTCCTGCTTCGACCTGCTCCTCATCGAACTCGTCCCGCTCGCCGAACGCATGGCCCGGGCCTTCGAAGCGAGCCTTGACGGCCACGGTAACAACGCTACTGGTCCTACATCATCATCATCCTCCTCTTCCTCCTCCACGGCAGTCAAGCGTGCCGTCGCCAGCGGCACCTCCGCACAAACAGCAAGCATCTCGGGCGCAGCTCCGGAGGGAGCAGGCGCAAATGCAACATCTACCCCACTGGCGTTGGCGGCAGACGGTCTCCCCAGCACCACGATATTCCGGGATAGCGTCTACGTCCGGCTTGAACGTCTGGGCTTCCGTGTCGGCGAGGGTCTATCGGAACGGTTCTCGCGCGACAGACCCCGGTTCACGGACCATCTCGATGTGATCAAGTTTCTGTGCAAGGACGTGTGGACGGTCGTTTTTAAGAAGCAGATTGATAACCTGAAGACAAACCATAGGGTAACGTGGTTTTCCTCTCCCTCCCTCCCTCTCCCTGTGACTGCCTCCGGTTGCACTCTGCACGAAGCATTGGGCACAGGATACGACAACACTATATGTTGTTCAAGTCCACGATTGGGGTTTCTACCCTGTCCGTGTCGTCTGTCTGTTTGTTCATTGGCGGGCAGCCGAAAGGGACATTCGGAGCTTTGCAGTAGTCCATTGGATATTGGATGCAGACTTGAGCTTACACATGTGACAAGAAGAGGAAATGATGTGCTGACTGGTATACATGTCTTACAGGGTGTCTTTGTCTTGACAGATAGCAAATTCCGCCCGTTCGCTCGAATGAGCATGACTACACATGCCGAAGCCATCGTCAGGGCGCAACCGCATTTGTACTTCCCCTGCGGAATCATCAGAGGGGTTCTATCGAGTCTGGGTATCAAAGCTACTGTCCAAGCCGAGACGACAGAGTTGCCGAGCGCGTCGTTCCAGATCAAGACAATCCCGACCAAGACATAACAACCCCCCGAGCTATACAACCACCCCAGAGATACACCAATCAGAGCACGCCGGCCTTACCCCGACAACAGAACCGCGTCACAGTCGGTCAGGGAAGGAGGCCAACGCCCGGGAACATTCTGTTCTGGACCAGGATTATACGGCCTTGACGGCCGATTAAGAATCTCAAATATTGCATGAAACGCGGATTGATTTTGTCTACGCAATCTCTGTGGGATGTCTGCAGTTCTGAAAGCTATGGCATCAGTCGACTCGAATGACACATTCCGTTTCTGCATGATATGCTGTTCATAACCTGCTCCAGACCCTGGTCAGTTTCTTATGGCGTATATTGATCGCTCATATTCGAAAAAACCGGCATGGCAGGCAGGCTCGTTCTGGGGTAGAAGTCGCTCACGTCCTACCTACGAAGATGTCAGGCGAGTGATAACGGACAAAAGAAGGTGCACGTACTTGGGTGGGTTCTTGACGAAACTGATGCCGGCTTCGATGTTGGTCTTGAGACCCTTGATGGCTTCTTCGAGGAGTTTCTTCTCGTAATCATTGGCGCTGTCGAGGATGTTGATGGCTTTCTCGGCTCCGTTGGGCTGTGGACAGTTAGTATGAGCTAAGAGGACGGGGAACAGTGAAATATGGGTGACGCTTACGCCGAGTTCAACGGGGACGGAGAAGTAATCACAGCCAGTTGCCTTGGCAATGGCATCACCACCTTCGACACCAGGCAGGTAGACGAATGTTGGCTCGACGATGCCCTTCTCACCCTTGGCTGCTTTGATCAGAGACTCGGCGAATCTGAAGCCAGCATATGCCATGGAAAGAGTTGCGGAACCGGCGCCATCCTTGGCCTTGACAACCTCGTCACCTCCGAATTGGACACGGTTCACTAACGCATCAAGCTTGTCGCTGGGGATGTTAACGGATGGCTTGGCTTGGCTGAACAGAGGAACGATGGTGTTGCCAGAGTGGCCACCAACAACCGGGATAGCGAGCTTGCGGGGGTCCTTCTCGCCAGTGATGTCTCCAACGAATGTCTGAGCACGGACGACATCAAGGGTCGTAACACCGAAGAGTCTCTTGGGATCGAAGCAGCCAGCCTCCTTCAACACTTCGGCGGCGATTGGGACGGTGGAGTTGACAGGGTTTGAGATGACGCAGATCATGGCCTTGGGACAGTACTTGGTGCAAGCAACGATGAGGTCCTTGACGATACCAGCATTGGTCTTGAAGAGGTCGTCTCTTGTCATGCCGGGTTTTCCTGGGAAGTCTCGTCAGTTTCTTGCTCCGGTGAGCTCAGTGTCAGAATTAGACCGTACGAGGAACGCCAGCTGGAATGATGACAATGTCTGCACCAGTCAAAGCTTCTTTCTTCGCATCTTCCGTCTCTTGCTTCTCGCCCTTGAAGTCGCCCTTGGCAGCGACGAAGCCACCTACAGTCTGTGCTATGATGTCAGAATTGTCTTGGGGCTGCTGGGACGGTCGAAGGGAGAGGAGGAGAAGCATACAGCGACTGAGGAGATGTGTGACAGGTCGGCTGCGACACCTGGTGTGTTGACCACATCGAAGAGTGAGAGTTCGTCGATAAGAGGGGAAATCTTGCAAAGAAGAGACAGTGGCTGTATCCTGTCAGTCTCTCTACCTAGGTAAGGAACGACATCTTCTTAGTCGTACATACCTGGCCAATGCCACCAGCGGCACCCAGAACAACGGCCTTGACCATGATGGGAGAGTGAGGGGTAAATCGACTGTGATGCAGGTTAGATGCGGTGTTGTTGTGCTGAGCTCGGAGTCTGTTTGTTACCTTGAGGACGTTTGAACCTGTGAATGAGATGTGGAAAAGGAGCAGTATTCAGAGAAATCGCAAAGAAGATGTGAGGAAAGTCAACAAAAGCAAAGCGGTCTGACTTAATGTACACATATGCAATGGGAAAGGTCCCGGCCAAGCTAGTTCCATGTCCTCGCATCAAATTCAATGCAAATGGGTGCTGGGTGCTGGGTGCCAGCAACCCCGCGTCTGTCCGCTTCGCCGATTCTTACCGCATCCACCAATGACAGGTACGAGGCTGATGATGAAAACCCAAAGCAATTGACAAGGCATGCGGCACAAGGCCACACAGACGAGAATTGCACGGGTGAGGCTGAGCTCGTTTTGACAGGGCTTTGGATCTTTCTGATACACATGTCCTGCTACTCGGGCTTCTTTTCTATCTGGAGGTTATGCCTCGGATGCGCTGTTGCTTCGGGATGGATCCCCCTAGCCAGCTCCAGCCCTAAAGAGCATAGCACCGTTGGATCCCATCAACTTGATGAGTTTGCCATTGCCTAGGTTTGGTATTTGACATTTTTGGGTCCATTTTGTGTGAGAGAGTCTCTTTTGGAGCTCCCCGAGGATGTGCGTACGGTGCAAATCCCAGCATCGCAGATAGCGGAATCATCCGTACTCGTTGCTCAAGAGTGTTTATGCCTCTTGCTTTGCTCCCTTCAGCCCTCGAGGCTTCTTCTCGGGGACATCCTTCTTTGGTCGCTGAGAGTTCTTGATAGCACTGGCACGAGCAACGGCGTCCTGGTTCAAATCGCCACGGTATGACTTCTTGCCGACTGCGTCTGCGATGTTCTTGTAGATCCTATATCTTCGGTCAGCCATTTCGTTGTCCCACACTACGCGGCCATGTTCTAGCGCTTACTTTCTGTTTGACGTGGTCTTGCTGTAAGGGTGCGTGTTGTAAGCTGCTTTAGGCGTGTTTGATTTTTCCGACTTCTTGGTCATCAGGGTGACGCCTCCCTTCTCGTTGGGCTGGACGGAGACAGCCTTGTCGTTGACAAAGCCCTCATGTTTCCGGGAGTGCTTGTTGGTGAGGTTGAATGGGTCTCGGGAGAACTGAACACCGCCAGCACTGCTGCGCTTGACTAAGTAGGCATTGTTGCTTCCTGTAGGAGTAAATCAGAACTCTGCCGGACGCAGGACTGGTATCTAGGGGCAACATACGGACGAGCTCCCAGATAAGGTCGCCGGAGATGTTTGAGCGTTCAGACATGGTGATGGCGGGTGTATTGATTGAGTTGTCGCTTTCACGAACTTTCTGTCTGAAATTCGGGCGCACTTTCGTCGAGACCTTGTGCGCCCGGGTTGGCTCGAGTCACGAAGCGCTTGGCAAAATTTGCTACGGCGGAGCAATGACTGCCTACTCAGATGCCTCAGTGTTGGATTGGTTGGATCGAGAGTTCCGCCAAGATTTCACGCACGTGATGCCAAGAAACACACGAAAAGTGCAGTCGCAGCCAGATTTGAATACCCTTCAAAACTTGAAGTCGACATCGACATCTCACCACACAGCACTCTCTTGCGACAAACACCATCTATCTTTGCATTTGAAAGATAGATCAGGGTCGCAATCATGGCTGTCGGCAAGTAAGTCAGCACTATCGACCGTCGACCACCATCCCTCCCGAATAAAGATGATATCAGTTGTCGCATTGGAGAATCCCAGACTAACAGCGTGTCTCACACAGGAACAAGAGACTTTCGAAAGGCAAGAAGGGTCTCAAGAAGAGAACCCAAGATCCCTTTACCCGAAAAGATTGGTATTCAATCAAAGCTCCTTCGACCTTCAACCAGAGAGAGTATGTGGACGATTAGAACAAAACAATGAAGGAACAACAACTGACAAGACCGTTCCTAGTGTCGGAAAAACCCTCGTTAACCGAACAACTGGTCTGAAATCCGCCAACGATGCCCTTAAAGGCCGAATCTTCGAAGTCAGCTTGGCCGATCTACAAAACGATGAAGACCACGCCTTCCGCAAAGTCAAACTCCGAGTCGACGAAGTCCAAGGCAAGAACTGCCTGACCAACTTCCACGGTCTCGACTTCACCTCTGACAAGCTCCGATCGCTCGTCCGCAAGTGGCAAACCCTGATTGAGGCCAATGTCACCGTCAAGACCACGGACGACTACCTCCTGCGATTGTTCGCCATCGCCTTCACCAAGCGCCGCCCCAACCAGATCAAGAAGACCACATACGCGGCGTCGTCACAGATCCGGGCCATCCGCAAGAAGATGACCGAGATCATCCAGCGTGAGGCTACCAGCGTTACTCTTGCCCAGCTTACTGGCAAGCTCATCCCCGAGGTCATTGGTCGTGAGATCGAGAAGAGCACCCAGGGCATCTACCCTCTTCAGAATGTGCACATCCGTAAGGTCAAGCTGCTCAAGGCACCCAAGTTCGATCTCGGTGCGTTGTTGGGTCTGCACGGTGAGAGCACGCAGGATGACTCCGGTGCTAAGGTTGAACGGGAGTTCAAGGAGCCGACACCTTTGGAGAGCGTGTAAATGGAAAAGTCATCACGGGGTGCGGAGTTAGAAGAAGACATGAGGAGAAAGACCACACAACAAGAGACGAGGCTTCGTTCTTCCTGCTATTTGATCGGTAGGACATGGGTCGGAATTATGCTAGTCAACAATGAGGATGGAGGATGAAGACGGCTTTGCTTACGACGGCTTTCATGCTTGTTTTCATCATGCCCTGACGGCGCAAATGAACAGGATTTGCATAAGGGATATGTTTATGCTAGAGATAGCACGGCATAGCATTTTGCAACAAGACAAATCAAAGTTGAAAATCTGATCCATGTGCCTTGGAGAGCAATTGTGGTGATGAATTACTGCTTCTTGCGAATTCCATGTCTGTGCTGCGCTTACTGCTTCATTTTATTCTGTCTTCGGCTGCTCTCTATACGAGGATCAGAAGCTCGTCCACATATCAGACGCAGTAACCTGCTCCCGGAATGCCAGCCAGTTCGCGTGAGTTGGGTCTTTCATCAATCTTTCAGACGAGTGTTATCCCCATCCATGTGGCTGGCATCCCAAAAAACCAACAAAGGTATGCGTGAGTATGATTACCTTTCATCCACCGCCCTCGTAATCCATTCCACCACCCCGGCTCTAAATTCCTCGAAGTTCTCACTCATAACCCAATGCCCGCAATCACAGTCGAGCAACTCGAATTTCGGAAAGAACCTCCCGATCAGTGGAAGCGCGTCGTCCGCAACATAGTGACTCTGCGTCCCGCGGACCATCAGCGTCGGACCTTCGTATCTCGCTTCATCGGGGTCTTTGAAGGGGAAATCCGCCATCGCCGGCAAAGATTTGGCCAGAGTGTGCAAGGGGATTCTGAACCTCAGCTCCGTCTTCTGGGGATGCCTGTGCTCGCCTCTGTGACGCTCTTGGTGGTCGACTCCGCCTGCGGGCTTTTTCACGAGGTTGGTCAGGAGGAACTGTCGGATCGCGACGTTGGATTCGTACTTTGCGAGGATCTTGTCCGCTTCGGACTGTTTTGTGAAGGGCGGGCGGTGCTCTTCGATCTCGTGCATCGCCTGGACGTAGGTGTGGAAATCCGATTTCAGGGCAGCGTCGACGGGCGCGTTGTCCACGGGGATCAGGGCCGAGTAGTTCGAGGGCCTGCGCAGGGCGAGGGTCATGGCGACTTTGGCGCCCATGGAGTGGCCGATGAGGGTCGGCCGCGGGATCGAGTGCGATGAGATGAAGTGCTCGACATCAATGGCCATGGAGATGTAGTCGTGCACGGGTGAGTGCGGGGAGTCGCCGTGGTTGCGCAGGTCCAGGTTGTAGACGGGCCGGGAGAGGTCTTTAGCTAGGGCTCTGCCATAAATCACAATCGCGTAAGCTTGTTGCTCGGCCACGCTCGCTGTGTGCGTGCGAAGGGGGAAGGAAGTTGCCCTTACTTACTCATGGTGCGATTGTTACGCTGGGAGCCGAAAAGGCCGTGCATCAGGATTATGGGCGGTCCTTTGCTGGTCTTGTCCGGAGGGTTGTGTCTGTGGAACGCCAGGTCGACGACATCGCGGCGGGAGTGAGAGGTCGAGAATTGTCGGCGAGTGGCGCGCGTGCAGGAACAAGGTATGCGCAAGCGGGACATGTCCAGCGGCCGCGATGAGGAGCGGGGAGCGAGGAGCAGAAGGGGGTAGATGAGTTCTATTGAATCCTTTGAGAGGAGCTGTAGCTGCTCCTTCATCCTGCGGACTGAGTAATAATACAAATTATTTCGCCCTCTTGGCGAATGACGTTGCTTCGGGTATCTCGGTGTTTTCCAATTCCAATGCACAGTCCAGCCTCGTCAAGACCGCAATTGGCCTTACTGGCAAGGCATTCCTCATGTGAGGTACCTGGTAGAATTGAGAGTGTACTGTATATACAAGCGAAAAGTTGAAGTATGACGGCGCTTGAGTCAAGATCTCGACTTTGCCGAATTTTCAGGCTCTGATGCTGGAAAGGACTGCTTGCTGAGCCCTGCTAAAGCTTCCTGGATAGCACCTGCTGTTTCGCTCTTGCAGTATCGTATCTTGACCTCATGGACATCGGTCTGTGGATCGTGAGCGTCGTCTTCTCCCGCGTCGTTCGCGTTTTCGGGTTCTGCCTCTCCGGACGGGATCTTGAGCGTCTGTAGTCCTAGAGAGTTCCTCACATTCTTCATGGTCCATGAAGCTCTCGCGTGGGCTTTTCTTGCTCCTTCCCGGACCTCGTCGTTCAAAGTATGGTTCGTCGGTTCCATCAGATCCAGGAAACTTTCACGAATACCCCTCAAGCACTCGGAGACGTTGTCGGCTACCATCTCCTTGAAAGCGCGCATTGTCATATGCTCGAGATCTTTCGCGATTTTTTCTGCCGAGTCACTGATTGAAGTCACAGTCCGGAGTATCTCGATCAAATTGGAGACACCGGGCCGCTTCTCGGGGTCGAACGATATCCCAGGTTCTGAGTCGGTTATAGCGCCCTTGACCTTGGCATGGATCTCTTCGCGCGTGTCAGTAATGAGGATCCGCGATTTCGGATCCGCGTCCGACTTGGACATTTTCTGCGTCGGGCGCTTCAGCGACATGATGCGTCGTGCAGGGGCTACGGGTGGTCAGTGTCGAACAGGAGAAGCGAAGAACAAAGTGCCAATCGACTTACATAGGGCCGGCCTGGGCACTCTGAATAAATTTGGGCTTTCTGCTGTTTGCCTGAGATGAGAGTTGAAGCTTCTAGCCAAGGATCGTGCAAATTCGATATGCTGTAGCTGGTCTTCACCGACAGGTACTAATGTCGCTCTGACTGGTGTTAGCAGGGTTCATATAACTGGAGGTGAGTTGAATAGCATACTGGTATAGCAAAATATCTGCTGCCTGGAGGACGGGGTATGAGAACAGTCCAAGCTTCAGCTTTGCTGTGGCTTCGTCGCTATCAATATCGGCGTTTTCAGGTAGATTCAACTTGCTCTTGGAAAGAGTGTTAGCGAGATACAGCAAGACATGGTGGGCAAGCTGCCTACCTTCCATTGAGTCATTCTGGACAAATAACCTGTCGATGCAATGGTGCTTAATATCCACATCAATTCCGCATGATACATCACCTGCATTACGTTCAGAAAGGGAGCACCATAGCCAAAGGGTGGACTCACATCTGATTGGAAGAACAGGGTCGTTTGAAGACTGTTTTTCAGCCCAATCGCCATCAAAGAAGCATATGATTCTTTCCTGAGCCGCCACCGCTCCGGGCCAGGAATATCAGTCGATGTCAAAGCATGCAGGTCCACCACAGAGAAGTATTGCTCCGGCTTTGCATTGCTTAGCAAAGCTGCATTTGCCGAACTGTCATGGAGGAATTTCCACTGACGAAGTGCACCGAGATAGTTCCCTAGATGTGGCACTCCGGTAGGCTGGATCCCAGAGAATACTCGCCTACTTTGATGGAAGGTGTGCGCTTTTTCTTTGGGAGATCGTTCATCGCTCTCCCGGCCGTGGGCCGGCTTGCTATCTATCCCATGCTGAGATGGACGCGAAATTTCGTCGCTGTAATATCGACACTGGATTTTCCGCGCACTAAATGCTCTCAAGTCTCCACAACGGGCGCGCGAAAGCATTGCATAGGTCAAATGAATGTACGCGTGCTCAGGGCACGCATTAGATGACGGGTTCAATACAAATACTTTGAAGATGAGAAAGTTCGAACATGGAAAGATTTGATACGACGGAAAATCCGGTGATGAACTGACGAGACGGTGGTTTGGGCCAAGATTCCGTAATTTTACACAAATTCTGTTAAATACGGTATTTCTGTCTTCATCCCGGAAATCAGCTCAATCGCCAATCAGCTGTCAGCCACGAACCTCATCGCATATCTGATATGCAGTACGACTAAGATCTTGTCGTCCGAAGGAGATATCAAGGTCTTTCATGTCGAAAGTGTAGTTGCCGAGATGGCGTTCGGATAGCCCCCAGTCAACCAGGGTGTGCGACCTTCAAGCTGCCTGCCATTCTCACCGTCTCGCTATTCGCATTGTATCCGATACCTCCCACGACATCCGGGGATAATGATTACAGGTTTGATGGTCAGCGCTCACACGACACCTTTAGATGACTACAAGGCATGGATCTACTGAGAGATGCCCTCCGGCGGGATTGCCGGTGCTGCACTGACGTCCCTCGGCTGAATCATTGGCCCTATGCGACTTTACTTGATTTTGAAAAGGCCGCCAAGAAAGGTTGCCCGAGGTGCTCAATAATCTTGAAAGGTATCTTGAAGTTCTCGGAGCAGTGGAAGGGCGTTCCGGCCTTGGAAGTCAGGGTCAGCATACCTGGGGAGTTCGAGGGTGGAAACCTGCGCGAAATCTGGATCAGGTGGCCAGACAACGCCGACCCTGAGGCATGGAACCCGAAGGAGCGATGGAGGAAGGTCGAACTTCAGATGTATTTCCCCGAAGGTAGAGTCTTGGTTTTCTAGAATCGATTGTTTGCGAGGATGGAGGAAGAAAGCTAGTTCACGGAACTGACTTGGTATAGGCAGCGAACCTCTCTTCCCAAAAATGCTCTCTCGACGGAGTGTACCGGTGGAGTCTGACTCCGCTGTTTCCTTTGACGCCATCAAAGCCTGGATATCAGAATGTTCAGAGAAACATAGGATGTGCAACCTGGGTGACGGGGAAGAGTTTCTGCCCACCCGGCTTATCGATGCCAGGCCGGATAATGGTCATCACGGTGTCCGGCTTGTGCACAGCTCTGAAATCCTGGATATCACAACTAAGTACGCTGCGTTAAGCCACTCATGGGGCGAAAAGGAGCAACGTATCAAGCCGATACCGAAAACTAAAAAAGACTCGATCAACGGTCGGCTGAAGCACATCTCCTTCGAGGAATTGACGAAGACATTTCAGGATGCCGTCATCGTCGTGCGTCGGCTGGGCTTGAGATATATCTGGATTGACGCTCTATGCATTGTTCAGGACGACGTCGAAGACTTCGCGGAACAAGCAGGTCAGATGGCAAAGATATACGGACGAGCACATCTTGTCATGTCCGCTCTCCGTGCTGCCACAGGAGATGTTGGAATATTCCATCATCGATACAAGGCACAGCAGATATCGCACAAGGTCAGAAGAGGCCACGAAATGGTGGCATTTGTCAGGCCTATCCTCAACCACGATGATTTCATCACGGGCGAACCTCGAGATTTCAAGACCTCGCCTCTATTTGCGCGAGCATGGTGCTTCCAAGAGCGCCTGCTGGCGAGTCGGGTCGTCCACTTTGCGGAGAGCGAAATTGTATGGGAGTGCAATCAACAGCTCAGCTGCGAATGCCGTGGGATTATGACAGATTCCCTGGTCGAAACAAACGGAAATTTCAAACAACGGCAAGCTCTTGCATTGCGAAACATGAAAGTAGAATCGCGGCTGAAGACATGGTACGACGTGGTTCGAGCCTACACGGCACGGTCGCTCAGTTTCGAAAGCGATCGCCTACCAGCCCTTTCGGGCTTTGCGCAGCTGGTGTCCACTTCGGAAATGGGCAGGTACTGCGCCGGATTTTGGGAAAGTCAAATGCCCGCGGCGCTTTTGTGGCGGCCGCTACGGGAGTTGCCTGAAGCTTCAGAAAGACATACCGTACGTCCGGGCGATTATCGAGCGCCGAGCTGGGCATGGCCAGCAGTGAGAGCCGTCATCGAAGGATACATGAAGTATGTCAAGGACTCAGAGGTGGTTGCGAGAGTTGTTGAGCTTGTTTGTGAACCTGCGACCAGTGACAGGTTCGGACAGGTAGGCTACGGGCATATCGTGCTTGAGGCGCCAGTCGTGGACGTCAGCCTTCAGCCAGGACAAGAGAACGATGAAGGGCAACATTCGTATAACCTTGAGAAGAATGGAGAGAGGTTTACGTTCCAGGCTGATGTCAGCCTGGGAAAAGGTGGCCCGGATTATGTGCCTTTCGGGAATGTGCTGCTTTGTGTCATCATCGAGCGCTTTTTGAACCAAGTCAATTCGAATCGAGCTGCGTGTGTGGTACTGCGGCATCATCGTGGGAAAGAGCTCGAAAGTGCGGACTGGGAAAGGGTAGGGTTGTTCAACTGTCCACAACATTGGATCGTTAATGCCCGGTGCAGACAAGTTAAGATCCTCTAAATGTGGAAATCGACCAAGAAGCGACGGAGTCCACTCAAAAATCCGAGGCTCAGCTCGTGAATTCTACAGCTTTCGGAGGAGAAGTCTTCATCTTGGCCCCTCAGGCATTGTAGTCGTGAGAGGAGGTACGTCAGAGCTGGCCCTGGGTGGTGCCGCATCCACTGTTTATTGCATATCGAGTGCTTGACTGGAGGGCGTCTCACTAACCAGCATTGTCCTGGTATCGAGGTCGATGAACCGAGCGCGACATCGAACGACTCTGGCCTGAGATGCTCAAGAGTCTGGTTGATTTCGACCCACATTGGAAACAACACCAGACCAGGTTTCTGCCCCATCACTCCATGACCCCAGCAAAAGCCCCCACATTCACACCCGTTTCGTATGTGGGTTCAAATGCCACTGAGTCTCCGGACAAAAATGAATCAAACAATTTGTGCCGGCAAAAGTCAAGCCAGCCATGGGCGATGTGTGGGACTGCTCATGGTGCGGAGGATGCATCTATTTGCCAAGGGGCCCAGCAATTGCTCGAACAGCCATCCACGACGACATGTACCTAGGTGGGCACAAGCCGCACGAGCGTTGGCAATAAAGGCACCGTGCGGCCTGTTTGTGCCTTGAAATCAAAGAAGAAGAGGCTCGTCCCGGCATTACAGCAGAAGAAGAATAGGTATTACGAGACCAGCCTTGGACTTCAAGAACGTCATGTCTACACCAACTATTCTCGCGCCAATCACGCGCGCCTCACCTTCAACCATTGTTATCCTTGTGTTTGGTTTACCCTTGGTGCTCGGATTGACCTACCTCTTGGTGGACTATTGTAGGGTCCTGAAGCAAAGGCAGAAGCTACCACCGGGACCATTCCCATGGCCACTGGTTGGCAATCACTACCAGATCAAGCTTCCGCGACCATGGCTCTACATGGCCGACTTGAGCGAGAAGTACAACAGTCCAATGGTCACTATTTGGCATGGCCACAAGCCAAACATCATTTGTAACAACATCTGGACCATATCGGATCTCCTTGACAAAAGAGCAAACATTTATTCTTCGAGGCCACACATGGTCATGCTTGGAGACTCTCGAAATGCCACCGACTACGATCAAGTATGTCTACCCTACGGGGATCGTTGGCGTTGGCATCGTCGCCTAACCCATAACGCCACCGGATCCCAAGCCGTTCGATCATATCGTCCGTTCCAGGAAAGCGAGATTCGTGTTTTGCTACAGGATCTCCTGCTGACCCCGGACAACTTTGTCAAAGCCATCGAACGATACTCTGTCTCGATCGTTTCCTGTATTGGATTCGGCCGTCGAGTGGATAAGATGAATGACGGCGTCGCTCAAGTCGCACTCAAATTCATGGAAGGGGTGGATCTTGTCATGCCAGGGATGTTCATCATGGAAACCATCCCGCTTCTCATCAAGCTACCGAGATGGATATACCCTGCAGCCTCCAAGGTGCTCGAAAATGGCAAGAAGTTTCAGCGCTTCTTTACATCTCTGTCAAGAGAAGCATCTGTTTCTGGTCAGGATAACTTCGCCAAGGCGCTGTTCAAGGAGAAGGAGGCGAATGGGCTTCGCGACGAGGAGATCTCCTTTTTGACAGGGAACATGATGTAAGTCTCTACTTGTCCATGTAAACAGTGTTGCAGGACCCTCCGTCGTCTTCCCGATACTGATTTCTGGTGCTAACCATCCGACCAGTGGAGGTGGCGTCGATACCACAGCCAGCACGACCATCACGTTTATCCTCGCTATGTGTGCCTTTCCTGAGGTGCAGAAGAAGGCTCAGCAAGACATTGACAGTGTTGTGGGTGACGGCCGCCTGCCGAACTGGGAAGATGAAGCTCAACTACCGTACATTCGTGCGTGTGTTGACGAAGCTCTTCGATGGCGGACCGTCACGATCCTAGGTGGCATCCCGCATGCCCCTTCGCAAGACGACGTGTATCGCGATTACCACATCCCAAAGGGGACGTGGATTACCGGGAACTTGTGGTCGATTCATCGCAACCCTTCCGAGTTTCCCGAGCCAGATGTCTTCAAACCCGAACGATTCATAACCCGGGAACGTCCTTTCCCCAATAAGAAAGGCCATAACGCTTTCGGATGGGGTCGCAGGCAATGCAGTGGCCAACCACTTGCCGAGCAGGGGCTTTTCTTGACGTTTGCCCGTTTGTTGTGGGCGTTCGAGATCAGGCCGGGCCTGGACGCCAACGTAAGTTTCATTATTGGTCATCACATTGGCAGCATTACTTACTCGAGACAGGGCAAGGAGATTCCAGTTGACATCTTTGCATACGGAGAATCAGAGAACATGAGACCTGAGCCGTTCCGTGCCAGGTTCATACCTCGAAGCGACCGCCACCGGGAGTTGGTGCTTAGTGAAGCTAAGGTGGCGCGCGAATATCTGAAACAATTTGACGGAGAGACCAAGGTCAAGATGGAAGCCCTCGAGGCATGAATGGATCTTAGATATGCAAGACATGATCCTTGGAGTTCTAGGATAGATCATGCTCGAGGCGGTAGACTGGAAGCAAAGCAGTCGAGGGTTAATCAAACCGTGCGGAAAGCATCTGCCACCTTTGATTCCGTAACGAGTATTCTGGATGATGCTGGCTATGGGTTCGCCTGCAGTGTGCCTATGTGAATAGGGTAATAGCCCAATATGCTGCCCTAAATCAGCATAGTACGGAGTACTGTAAGCTGCAATAAGCGGCTGGACCCAGGCGAGCCAGGCTGTTGTGGCTAGTGAGGCTGACTAGTCCCCGGGCGTTGAAGCGGCGAATTGAACCCCAAATCTAGGCGCAACCCCACGATTTTCCCGCTTAAAGATGATACACGTTCGGCATCTTAAATATGTGCGAAATTCAACAACCTATCGAATTTATCCAGTTAATTCTCTTAAGACCTGAACCTGCCGCATCGCTACGTTGACCTACTAGTAGGCAATATACCACGATGGGAGGCAGGCCGCGTCTCACCGACTTGAACTGCAAGTTTTGCGACCGCCAGTTCACGAAGAGCGAGCATCTCAAACGGCACCAAAGGCATCGTACGTCTCCAGGACTGACAATCCTTGAGAGCTCCACTGATCACTCGCGCAGATACCGGCGAGAAGCCGTTTCGGTGCTCAGTCTGTGGGAGAGCCTACGCAAGAAGGTAGCGGGCGAATCCCCGCATACATTGTGGTGTCTCTGCTGATATGTGGACGTTAGCGACGTCCTCGCTCGTCACCTTCGAACCCGCCATGCCGAGAACGAAGGACTTTCTACAGTCGTGGCTGAACAACCTGCCACGCTGGCGACAACATCGCCAAATGCCTTTGAGAACCAGCAGGATGTGGACTTCAACCCCGAGATGGGCGTCAACCTGTCCCCTCTGGAGGATTTGCCCTTATCCATGGCAGCTTCGGGGGGAGATGCCAACACGGATACCACACAACTTCAGCTTCCCAATCACCAAGTAGACACGGCTGGACAAGTCGACTTTCAGTATCCCGCGTTTGAATTTCCCACCGAGTACGACTTCAACTTCCCTTCCATCTACGAAGCCTTGAATGTATGGCTCACGCCCACCGCAGCCGCAGAACACACCATGTTGCCCTTCCCTCCAAGTCCTGGCGGAGCATTCTCGCCGTCGTTCAGTCCTACGTCGCTTGAGCTTTCTCAACGAGTCCAGCAAGCATGGCCCCGAAGACGGGCCTGTGCGGTCGTGCTGGCGATCCGCAACATGTGGCGCGTGGCAGCTCAGCGTACGGCGGACAATCTCTTCTCAAACAGCTCCCTCACGTCAGGTACCAAAACAAGCTCGAGGTGGAACATGGACGACGAATGCAGAGCCCGTCTCATATCAGAGTGCGACAACATTCTCCTCCCCGCCGAAAGGTATTCTGGCCGAGTCACAGCACCAGGCTCGCCTCGCATTTCTGTCCCCATGGAGCATGACGTCGAAGTCCAGGGGCTGTCCCCTGGAGCGCCAGCCCTCACCTTTCCATCTACGGAAACGCTCGATATGAGCATCAGTCTGTATTTCCGACGTTTCCATCCAGTCCTGCCATTTGTGCATCAAGCCACATTCGACGCCAAATCGACCCCAAGCTCGCTATTGCTGCCCATGTGCCTGATAGGTCTGTCGATACTCAATCCAGGTGGCGCCGACGAATTCATTCGCCTATATCTCGGCAAGCTGTTGCGATTCTGTCGCCTGGATCTCACTTACAAAGGGCTTGGTAAAGGTGGTGCTCAACAGCTGGTCACGTCTTTGGCTTCTTCGCTGCTCGTGCTCTATCTGGCTCTCAGCTGCGAGCGGCTGGTGGACGTGCACCAAGCACACATGCTCGCCATCCAAACGCTCTTCATTGCGGATCGCCACGGCATGTTCTCCGCGCACGTGGGAGAGCCCATTACCCGCACAATGTTCCACGATGTCGACCAAGAGCGTTCCTGGAAGGCTTGGGCCCGAGTCGAATCTCTAAAAAGGCTCGTTGTCTGCCTTATTTCCATCGATTCGGCTTACACAAGAATGCTGGATTTGGCTGCCAATATTGCAGTTGATAGAATCGAGGTGATCCTGCCCTGTGATTCTGCCTTGTTTGAAGGCCCCACAGCAGCCTCATTCTGGCGGAGGGTCGAATCCGGAACGTCGATGATTGCATCTCAGGTCGACATGTCGACCTTGCCACATGACTCCATCGCCGAGCTTGACCTGTCGGGGGTCAAACTGCTTCTCGATGTCCTTGCATTGCGGGAGGCCGCGGCAAGACATAGGCTTCTCTTTGGCAGCTCAGCATCCTTCAAGTTGATGTCGTTCGTGCCAGCATTGGCCTATGCGGCGATCGACAAGGCCTCTAGCATTGCGCCATCCTTGGTGTCCATTGCAACCACAAGGGCAAACCTGCTCCAACAAGACGCGCCAACTGCCCTAGCCTGGCATCATCTTTGTCTGATGCTCACCGCAGACCTGGATCGGATGCAGACTGCGTGCGGTCGAACAGGCCTGGAAGCCTCGGCAAGAGCCATGACGGATCTCAAAGCATGGGCACAAACGACCAGTGCACGTCGAGCCGTTCTCCACGCTGCACAAATCTTCACCTTGCTGAGTGGCCACCGGGTGCTGGATCACAAGACCCTTTTGTACGAGCCGTTGCTGTCGAATGCCGCTCTGGTGACGGCCATGTATGTCGCCTTGTGCCCACAGCCGCCCGACTCAATTTACGGCGGTGAGCCCGTCGATCTGTTGCAGACGGTCGATTGGGCCATCATCGGCAACCGAGGCTTCTCTCCGTCGCCATGTTCTGACGTCTCGTCATTCGCGACGGACCCCACCGCCGCGTGGAGGTTTGTCGTAAGTGGCGGCCCCTTCATGTTTGGCGGCGAAATTTACACGTTTGGGACCAAGTCGGCGCGGAGAGTGGTGCTGAATTACGCGCAACTACTCGACGAGATAGCCACGCGGACGGGCTCCGAGCACTCACAGCTGCTTCGTACGGTGGGCGACTTCCTGGGTGGTGTCGAGGATGCCCTACCTGATCTCGATGCCGGCAACGGTTGAAACATGGATGTAGCGCATTATTTGCTTGCCGTGGTCGTCAGACATTGATACGTTATGGCCTCTATTGACGCTACGTTATGATGCCATGTACAGCCAACAACGAGGGGATGGGGCTAAGAAAGGCAGCGCAGCACTGACGACACTAGATGGCGAACCTATTCATGAGAGCGTCTAATCAATGAGTGGTCGTCTTACGCTTAAACCTGCCACTGATCACACATCTATGAGGGCAGTTTTGCTCTCACATTTCGTTCACCAACGCAGGCGACGACGGCTATGCCAGACCACGTCTTACGGCCGCCCGCTCCGGCCCCTCAAGTCCAAGCATACGAATCCCAGGCCGGGGCTCTTGCTCGCCCTTCCTGCTACTTGCCAGCGCCGACTTGCCTTCCGCGCATTCGGTCCATGATCACGTCGATGTCCTTATCGGCCAGCTTCCACTCTCGCTCCACGACGGCTTTGGCCTTTGCCGTCCGAGGCACAAAGCCCATTCTGAACGGTTTCGGGCGCGAATTGAACCCAGACGTGAAAGCCATGTCGTCGATCGGGAACAACTGACCCTTGTCGTCTACCGCTCGGTGGAACTCGAACGCCCACAGCAATCGAGCAATGATGATGAACATTGAATTCGCCGATACGTGCTGTCCGGTACAGACGCGACGACCAAAGCCGAAAGCGTGCAACGGTAGATCTGGGCTCTCCAGCCACCGTTGCGGACGGAACTTCATGGGCTCCGGAAACACTTTGTCATCGAGGTGGACCGACCAGTGATTTCCGATGACCGTGGCCCCTTTCGGAATGCGGTAGCCGAGGTATTCGTCGTCTTCTGTCGCGGCGTGCGGGATCCCGCCTGCACTGACAGGGCGCCAGCGGAGTACCTCCTTGACCACGGCGTCAATGTAAGGCAATCGTGGCTTGTCCTCAAACGTAGGCAGACGGTCAGGACCGACGACTTCATCGAGCTGCTCCTGTGCCGTCTGCACGAAATCCGGATTCAGCACCGCCGCTAGGGTGAAGACTTCGAGGGCGATGTTGGTGGTGTCGATGCCGGCTTCATAAATAATGCCAATGTCATAAGCCACTTCGAGCGGGCGCATCGTCTGGGCCTCTTTCATGGAATTGATCTGCTTGGTCATGTTCCACGATGGCGTGGCAAGGCCGTTCTTCATGTTCTCCGTATGCAGGCGTGATTCCAGGTTGTAAAAGCGCTCGGCTTGCTTCTTCCACGGTGCCAGCGCTTTGGGGAGTCTGTTCAAGGCGGGCAGTGCATCGACGATCCACGTTCCCACGCGCCCGGCATACAGGAAGTTCGCGTTGACTTGATCGGCTCCTTGGATCTCCGGTTCATCGCCTCGGTGGCAGCGTCGGCCGTAGGCCAGGGCGTACATGAGACTGGACGTGTAGCGGTGGTAGCGCGAGGCAAAGTCGTTGGATGACAACAACTCATAGATCAACTGTTTGCTCTCGAGGTCTTGAAGCGGTTGGTACGACTGGGACACGCGGATGTTGAGACAAGACGCCTGCATTCTTTGGTGCGTGCGCCATTGTTGGCCGTAGGGCATCAACAGCACGTGCATGCCCTTTGTCGTGCATTCGCCTGCCATGACGAGTCGCGGCCGCGAGCTGTAGATGCTGCTGCGCTTGTCCAACAGATCGTGTGCGGCTTCGTGGGTGCCCAGCATGATGACCGTCGACAGACCGTACTGGAGACGGTAGATGGGACCGTATTTTCGGGTCCATTCCGTGTACTGCCGCCATGGCACTTCGCTGGGGGCTTGATGGAGGTTCCCGATCAGAGGTAGACGTGGTGGACCGGGAGGGAGACCTCTATCGCGCCGGTACTCGTGCACCAAGAGGCCAACAATGGCAAGGGCGATTCCTAGAAGAATTGAAAGCATTCTGGCGGAATTGTTCTGGGTGCATGGACTCAAAGTTTTGTAACAGACACACAACTTTCAAGGTCTTGCCTGGATAGATCTTTTGACCTTTGGAGTCTCAAGTACATCGACTACGACCTACTTTCAACCCACATCAATTCATTCCCACGCGGGATGCGAAATGCGGGGATTCCATCTCAACCCACACGGAGCAAGTGTTGATCAGCACTGCCTTGAGCAATGGCACGAGATAGCTGTATCAAGCAGCCTGGACAGTGGCCCTTTGGAGACGGCGCTCATGAGTTTTAATGCAGTCGTCGTGCTGCAGGCCATTGCTCGAATTCTGGTGGGAACAACCATGAGTAGAGAGATGGTATGGAAACTATGTACGTCAACAATGGTCACAATGGTCTACCGTCTACGACGAGCGACGAGTACCTGAAGTACAAGGCCCATGCCAAGAACCACGTGACGCAGTGTCACGTGGCTGTGATCGTAGGGCTCCTTGGCTCGAGTGGGCTCACGTGGGCTCTACGGTTAACCACTCGGCCACATAAAACTGGCAAAAAGCCATTAGGTAACTGCAACTCGAGCAACTTACCGAACTGTAGTATTAATTACCACATGGCCAAAACGTGTGGTCCACGGCGGCACAGGCGGGTACGATGCTAACACATCATTCATCCAGAGGACACCTTCCACAAGGCTGAGCTTTCATGCTACGACAGTGAGAGGTATCCGACCTTGGCGACCTTGGCGCCGCCTCGCGTGTCTGCGGTTCTGGTAACGACTCGGATGCCATGTGCTGGAGGCAAGGTGGCACGGTGGGTAGCGATGTTCGGGTGCGGACCGTCTGCCAATTTTGCGAGTAAGTCAGACTCGCCCTGGACAGCGGCTGCGATTTATTGCAACATCCACGTCCAAATTGGTGAGCTTCCTCTTGGCAAACGCTCTCGTTACCGGGGTCGGAGAAAGATTGATGTTCTCTGCTGATGCCGTGCCCTTGGAAACCACTCCAAAACCGTGCCTCGCGAGCTGGTGACCAGCGCGTCTCGTGGTCTCTTTCTCCATCCGCTCTCTCAACCGTTACGCCGGGTCATGCGCTGTCATGCCTCCCCACGGGCGTAAAATCCGCCTCCGCATTGTGTGCCTTTTAGACGGCATCAATTGGCGGCTCAAGCTCGTCTCGATCACGTGGTCGGTTACTTCCAGATGAAAGGCCATTGTATGACAAAAGATGGGGAAGATGGCTTGTACAATCCCCGACCTACTCTGTGGAGTCAATCTGGTCCGTGTCCGATATTCAGAAAAAATGCATCTTGGCCGTCAAATTATCCAAAAGAGGTCGGCATGGAGCGATCCTATAAGAGACTGGCATATCTCTTGGAGGATTAGATTGTCGACTTGCTAAACGAGAGCCATCCAAATTCTTTCTTTTGCTTTTCTCCCACCACTCGGTCATACTCAACATGGGGTTCGAGCCATGGCGCCTTCTCCCCGGCAAGGGGCTGATGATTGTGCTGAACATCTTCACTGCCATTGCGCTCATCTTCGAGGGGTACAACCAGGGCGTCCTCGGCACTGTCAGCAATACCCCTGCTTTCATTGACATGTCCAAGATTGGAGCCGATGGAGTGGTCACCGACACCACCAAGCAAGGCGGGCTCGTGGCAGCCTACTATTTCGGAGCTCTTTTCGGTGCTTTCTTCGGAGGTACGTTCCTTGCCTCTAGGTTTAGATAACCCGTGCTTACAGTCGATTAGGTTGGGCAGGCGATAAGACCGGCCGAAAGTTGGGCACGCTGATCGGTGCCCTGTTTTGCGTGGCTGGAAGCGCACTCCAAGCCGGCAGCGTCAATGCCAACATGTTCATTTGTGCCCGAGTGATCTCTGGGATCGGCATTGGATTCACCAGTACTATTATACCACCCTGGATTGCCGAGTTGTCGCAAGCGCACGCCCGAGGCGCGACATTTTCATATGTCTTCATTGCGAACTTCGTCGGAATCACGATTGCAGTGTGGTTGAATTTCGGGATCAGGAACACCGAGCTACAATTCCGGTGGAGGTTCCCATTGGGTATTATGGTCCTTCCCATGCTGATTGTCGCTGCTGTGGTCCTGTTGCTCCCAGAATCACCACGCTGGCTGATGAGCCAGGGACGAAAAGAAGAATCGGTCGAAATTCTCCGGAGAATAAGAGGAGACGTGAGTGAGGACGACCCCAAACTCCTCGAAGAAGTTGAACAACTACAAGCCGTGGTCGAAGCTTCACACCACAAGCGAAACGATTTCATCAACCTGGTACGCGGCCGATACTCTGGCAAGCTCCATCTTGGCCGTCGAGTCGTCCTTAGTCTTGCATTGCAACAGATCTCTAGCTGGACGGGTATTATCGCTATCGTCACCTGGTCGGGCGAACTGTTCCGGCTCTCGGGCTTCAGCGCGTACAAGTCCTCCTGGCTTGGAGGTTTGGTCAATACCACCGGTATCTTTGGTACCGCAGCAGCGGCCCTAGTCATCGACCGCCTTGGTCGTAAAATGTCCTGGTTGATCTCGCTGATCATTCAGGCTATTTCCCTCTTCCTGGTTGCTGGTCTCCTCAAAGCTTCACAAGACCGCGCCTTGACGGATCCTGAAACATCCCGACAGTTGGGGACGGCGGGAGCCTGTTTCGTTTTCATATTTCTGTGGTTCTTCACCATGTTTGGCATTATCCCAGTATGGGTATACGGAACCGAAATCTGGCCTCTGGAGGTCAGGGCAAAGGGCTACGCTTTCACCACTCTTGGCTGGGCAATTGGATGCGGTATGACGACGCTGACGATCCCGATCATGCTGTCGAAACTTGGATGGTAAGTTTGAGCCCGAGATGGAGATCATAGGTCGGGTCATGCTGACAAAGTCCAAACTCAGGTATACTTTCATCTTCTTCGGCGTCATGAACCTGGTGTGTATGCCGCTTGTGTGGTTCTTCTATGTGGAGACTGCTGGTTGCTCCCTCGAGGAGATCAATCTACTCTTTGCAAGCGACAGCATCTTGGCGAGCAAGAACATGGCAGAGTATGAGCGTCGAGTCGCAGAAGCCGGCGGCAACAAAGCTGTTGCGGCACGAAGGCTTCTCGATGAGGTCGACGGCTTGACTGAATTGGACCCTGCAAGAGTCATTCCAACCGAAGTGGCGATCGACACCAAGACAGAGAAAAGAGAAGTCGATGTGGTGGAGTACTGAAGAGGACCGTGTCGAGGGTGATGGGTGGTAGATTGAAGACGCAAGAGGACCAAGGGTGGTAGGGACGTGGGACGTGAGAGACGACGGTGAGGGATAAGGGATCAGGCAGATCAGTTGTTGGGAACCGTTACATATTCCAATATGCCATACATTTTCCCGTTGTATGTCCCTTCGTACGCCGTCTCTTGCACAGGCGGCCTTTTCTCGTTTATGACCAACCAGGTGACAGCCAATCGCCTCATTTCCACGACCTCCGTGGTAGTTTCTGTATCGTGTCAGCAAGATCGTCGATATCAGGTAGGGTCTGTTTGCTCTGCGAGGGAAGGGGATCGGTAGGCGATGAGAAGGCGGTGGTACGCGCAGAAGGATGGGAGAAAAGGGCATTGCTCGAGACCTGCTCTTTCTTGCACGGTTAACTGTCGCGCAGGGAAGGAGCTCTACCAGCCTTGACACTCTTGGTCACTCAAAAGATGGTGCTGGGCAGGATGAGCAGATTGGTACTGGTCAAAGCCGTCTTTCTATCTTCTTGAGCTCACATCCTACAGTCTAAATCTATCAGGATCTTGCCATTACATGAACCGTTAGACATACAATGAATGTTCAATTCGACCACACGTCTTCCTGCAGCAACCGTGCTTTCTTCATATCCGTCATCACATATCTCTCCGCCTGCTCTTCGCTCCATTCCCTCGATTCCGCCACAATCTCTACCAACCTGTTTCGCACTTCTCGAGCCATGTCAGCCGAACCACATATGTAAAAAGCCGCGTCCTGTCCCAGCAGTTGCGCGACTTGATCTTTCAGCTGAACGAGGAGGTCCTGCACATATACTTTCTTGCTGCCGTGCCGAGAGTAGGCTGGGTGGATTTGAAAGCCAGGAAGCTGTGATCTGAATTCATCCCATTCGTCGCGGAACAAGAATCCATCAGTAGGAGAACGGCATCCAAAGAGAAGAAGCATGCGGCCGGTGGGAACGCCTCGCACTGCCATAGCAGCTCTCTCTTGCACGAACGCACGGAAGGGTGCAACACCTGTACCTGCAGCCACCATGATGACGGGTCGAGTGACGACGGCAGGTAATTTGAACAAGGTCCGTCGCATACTGACGAACATCTTACCACCAGAGAGCATCGAGCGCGGTCCATGAAGATCGTAGGTGATGCTTTCCTGAGAGGTGAGCTCCACTGATGCGCCGATACCCTGATCGCGCCTCAACGCATACAAATAATTCGAGGCCACTCCGTTCAATCGTACTAGCGGCTTCGATGCATCCACGACCTTGGACGTGATCGAAACGGCAATTGACGGATGGCGCGGAGCCACTGACGGAGAGGATGCAATCGAGTAATATCTGGGCTTCATCTTGCTCAAGCAGTCCACCAACCAGCTGAAGGGCAGATCTTTCCAGGCCTCGGCTCCACTGACTGCTTCCATGACCTGACCGACGTTGAGATACCGATCAGAGACCTGGCTCTGGAAGGTTTGCTTGTCATTGACGAGCTTCAAAAGAGTTGCCCGAGCGTCCCTAGTTGGGCAAAACGACTCCAACAGCCGCACAGTGTCCCGAGAGACTGGCCCACAGATCTCGAGGTAATGTCGTAGGATTGCCTCCTTTGTCGTGGGAGTCGGGAACGAGGCGGGCTGGCCATTCTTTCCCACAACGGCAATCACCTCCTTTCGACTTTCCACATCGAGGCCAAGCAGCCGGCATAGGCGCTCGACCTGAACATCCGGGTTCATGGGCCACACTGCCAGGTGATCACCAGTCTGATATCGGACACCGAACGCGGTCGAAATGTCAATCTCTAGGTAGACACATTTTGCGTCTTCATTACATTGGAAATCTTTCGAGAAAGTGACAGGCGCCACGAATGCATGGTTTCCGGCAGGCCGGTGTCCTCCTCGCTCCTTCTCCTCAAGGTGACCGGCGGGCTCACCGAGGTAGACAATCCGGGTATCTGGCGAGACGGTGTGGATCTCACATGCCGGAGCATAGGTCATCGGCTTTTCTTCGACTCCAAACTTCTGTTGGATTCTTTCCATCAACGCATCTTTCCACTGCTCGAAATCTTCCTGGGTTGCCATGTTGCCTCGTGCTTCATCGCCATGACCGAGCGCTCCTAGCCGCGAAGCCCCAAGGCTTTGTAAGATGGCATCGGCATCATCGACCGTTTTGTTGAAGTGCTTATAGTGCTTGTTCCCAAGACCAAATGCTGCGTATCTTAGGTTACGTAGGGTGTTGGTGTCGCCTCGCTTGTGGAGTGTCTGGAGAGCTGAACAGAACTTCACCGCATTATCGGGAGGATCCCCCTGGCCGAAGGTCGAGATGAGGAAGACCAGCAGCTTGTTTGGAGCGACTTGCGTCAAATTTTCGTGGTCATAATCGTCCAGGTCAGCGGCCCTGCACCTCAACCCATACCGCGTTCCGCATTCCCGGACAAATTGGGCCGCGAGGCTTTCAGCTCGACCACTCTGTGAGCCCCAGAAGACGACCACATCAAGCTCCTGGTTATACGTCAGAACTATCATTGGGCAAGATTGAGCGATGACGCACCTTTAAGGTATCTGCAATATTCCTCGACTGTCCTGGCTGGCTCTCGAACGCTGTCCTGTCTTTGACCGGGACGAAGAGGCGAGGGTCCGGCTTTGGGGCTCTGTACCCCCAGCAGTCTGTGAACCAAGCAACAGTCCAGATGGCCAGGATCAACACAATGCCGTCGTAGACATGAAGCTGATACGGTGACCGATACAAAATCCGAAGCCAGAGAGGATTGTCTTTCCAGGAAAACGCATCCAAAGAAAAATCCGAGAGCATCTTGGTAGCCTTGCGGACGGCCTCCGATGGTTCCAACAACATCAAGGGTCATATTATTTGCGACGGAGGCATCTTTAAGACGAATGATCCCATAAACCCGTCGAGTCGGTGTCCGCGTTCAATTTCACTCAGCTCAAGGCCCGGGCCCCAATCGGGCTATCATGATCGCCATCGTGCTTTCAGTACCGCAGCAGAACACTCCACAGTGTCATTCCCAAACAAAGAGGATCAGATATCCAGCATTTGTTCGGCACCTGTCGCATAACAAAGTTTTACAAACGCGACAGCGTAGGCACAGGCTCGAGCTCGAGCTCGAGACGATCATGTGACCGGCAACAGCATCCCATCCTATTTATCCTTTTAGGCGGATAGAACGTTCTCGGATCGTGCCCACCTCCACGCCATGATCTTCTTATGCACCCCAGCAAGATAGCCGAAGAAAATTTCCACCGTGGGGAAGGGCTGTTCGATGAAAGCCTCGGCTTTGGGGTGCCCGCCGTGCCATAAATGTTGGGGTCTCTCTTCGAGACGAGCACCCCGCGGGGTGCTTGCTCTTTTAGATGAACAGCTACACTCGTTCGACTCGAAACTGCATCTGCAAGCATGACAACGAACCGGTTGCGATCCAGATCTGGATGGTAAGATGGCTCCACATCTTCCTGCGAAGTGGCTCCTGGTGACTAAACGTCTAGCTTGACTTGTCGACAACGACATCTGAAATGTGAGAGGCTTTCCAGTTCAGAAATGCGCAGACACTGATCTTCTCGTCATAGGTGACGAGGCTCGGCCTGTTTGTTGGCGGTGCAAGATTGGCTCGAGGGAATGCATTCTTCCTCCGAGCAGCTTGACCCCTCGAACGCCGTCATACCGGAGGCGAGAGTCGAGCGCAGATGGAAAGCAACGACCGGCCGTCGCCAACGACGAGCAGCAGGATCCAACAGCCAGCCCAAGGGAATCGCTCGCTGAGATTGACTGGACACATGTTGACCGTACTGACCCCCTATGCACGCTTCCGCATCGTGAAATTGATTGATTCTTCTAGCTGGCGTCTCAAATGGCCTCGATGGAGATGACCACAGTCCTCCGCCATCCTCACATGGCATGTCCACGGCCCGGACAGATACACAGGCCTCTTTTCGCTCGCCTCCTAAAAGCGTCAATTTTACGATTTCCTCAATAATCTCGCCGACGGTCCAAAGTGTGCCATTGCCCCAGTCCGTCGTGTCCCCGAGCCATGATCCAGCGGATCCCAACACTCTTCCCAGTCCTTACATTCCAGCGGCGGTTGTCTTACAAAACATCTACCGTTCCCCAAGAGGAACCGGCATAGCAGAATCATTCGCACATCTCTCGCCGGACTCTGCAGAGACAACGGAATTCCTGATCCAGCACTATGCAAGGACTTGTGGCAAATGGGTATGCTGGACCCTCCAAGCATGTTTCAACTGCTGACGATGCGTCAAGTTCACGATGGCCGACGCCGGTCGACATTTCACGACCACAATACCTCATCTAGCAAGGACTTCTCAAATCCTTATGAAAGCTATTTGTGCTCTCGCAGCAAGACATCTGAGCGGAACCTCATGTTATGATTCGTCACTGGCGGAACGCTATCACGAAGAGTGCATTTCACTGTTGATTCCTGCATTAAACGACCCCAGCGTGACTGCAGACGAAACCATGTTGGCGGCGCTGGTGATATTGAGGCTATACGAACACTTGCAGTGTATGTTGAGAACCTAAACCTTGGAAGACGAGCTAATGCGTATATCTCAGTCAGCGACCTGTTCCAAGGACATCACCTATCGGGAACCTCTGCGTTGGTGCGATCCGTCATGGGTAATACCATTCCAGACTGTAGCCATGGGCTCCAAGAAGCGTCCTTCTGGGGCTATTTTAGGCAATGCCTTTACGTCGCCTGCGTCAACTGCGAACCTCTCAAGTTTGACATCTCGATCTACCAGATTGAGATGAGATTATCGACCCCCTGCACTGTTACACTTCCAAGTGCGGAGGAGGAATCAACATGGTGCAAGTGGATCACATGGATCCTGGCGGAAGTGGTTGAATTCTGCTTTGGCCCCCAGGGACCCCTGATGACCCTGGAAGAAGCCCAGTCGTCCTGGAGAGAGTTGGTCTCCAAGGTGGACATGTGGGAGTGCAATAAGCCTTCTTCATTCCAATCGATTGCGTTTTTGGATCGGGATCCCGGAAAACATCGCCTTTTCCCTCTTCGATGGTTTGGTAACGAATGGCATGGTAAGGACGTTCTCAAGCAAGAGGTCAGGATATTACTGAGGAAGAACTAGCTCTTGCCAATATGTACTCGTTCACGGCCCGCATACTCCTGGACGTCCACGATCCCCTCATGCGCAACATCTCGATGGGACAATTCGGCTTTCGCCGCGCAAGAAAGGAGCTGGAGGTAACGTACCGTGGCAAAAGGGTACAAGACCGATTCTTGATGCTAACGAAAATCTGCAGTTGAAAGTCCTCGAATCCGCCAGAGCTTTGTGCGGCATCTGCCTGGCTAATCCTGGCAACGTACCAACCATCATCACGCTCAGTCATGCCATCTTTTCATGTAAGGCTAAATTTCCTTTGGCAGGTTTGATCGGGTTGCTAACCTTGTCTCGCAGTTGCCTCGTTCTTAGAAGACGTGGAAGAACGGTGGATGTTGATCGGCATGCTTCAAAGCTCGGAACGTGAAGAGTCGTGGCCCACCAAGTCGGTTTCTCCTTCCCTTTTATAGGTAGTGCACTTACTGACCAGATATAGGTGGATTGTCAAGGCACTATTGGAAGAATGGGATATGACTGCTTCCACGCTTGAGGCTGGTTGATCAAAAAAATTGTACAGTGGCCTCGTCGGATTCGCTTAGTCGACTAGCCCCTCATCGGCAGGGTTATCTGCCCTGAGTGCCTGGCCTGGCTCCTTATCCGCGTATCTCAGCCTTTATACCAGCCCTTGTTGAGCCCACGAGATACCAAATGCACTTGGCGCGTTCATGATATCTGCTTGATCGTGCCAGTTTACCATATATACTTATAATTGCCGAAAAGAGATGTTCGTCGCTGACCTCAGTACTACTGGGCAAATCATCACGCTCCTCATGCTTCTAGTACTGCAGTGCAAAAGACTGGGCAGCTAAGCAATGATCCTCATTGATTCCCCATGGGGTGTGAGAGCCAGGAATGGCCCATCGTTGTCTAGCCAATCAGGCCTCTTCGAATGTTACCATCCGCGGAACGTTTTGCCGCGACCCTCGTCTCGACCTCGTCTCGATATCGTCTCGGACAGCTTTTGCCCGCTTCGTCTCCGGTCTCTTCGTGGAGGTGGATCCGTCCCGTCCGCTTTGACCACGAGACATGGGGAAGTGGCCGAAGATTGGTCCTCTCGTGGAGGTGGGCGCCAGCCATTTTGAACCAAGACAGCGGTGCAGCCGCCGAAGGTCGGATCTTGTTCATATCTTGTTCATGGTTATAAAGTGGACATCTTCGCCTGGCGAGAATGGTCGGTTTGTGGTCCCCAGTTACGAGGAATAAAACTGGTGAGAAATCGTGAAAGATATCGAAGTGTATCCTTTCTTGATCGACACCAAGCGGAAACAAAGTGACAATAGTACTCGGTAGTGGTCTATTGGCGACGAGATGGCGAAATATGTCTGGGAACGCCTGAGCGGGTCTCAGCTCATATTCTTCGTGAACTTCATCACGGCATTCGGTATCTTTTTTGAAGGATGGAATCAGGGCAATATGGGGTTTGCGAGTGCCTCTCCAGAATATCAGGTCAGTTTGTCGATGTCGGCCACTATCTCGTCTGGGCAACGGAGCCTATGGCCTTGACCAGTCACTAACGTACCGCCTTGTAGGAAATCATGGGCATTGGTTCGGGGGGCAAAGTCACCAATCCCACCAGAGAAGGCGGTATCGTTGCTGTGTACTACCTCGGAGGACTGATTGGTGGACTGTTGGGAGGCCATATTGCCGACAAGTATGGTCGTGTGCGAGCGACTCTGATCGGAGCCGGTTGGGTGCTTGTTGGTGGTGCATTGATGTCTTCGGCCATGAACATTGCCTGGATCTGCTGCGCGCGTGTCATCGCCGGTATTGGAGTGGGCTTCTTCATCACCGTCGTTCCGGTCTGGTCGGCTGAGGTGGCCAACTCGGAGCACCGCGGCTCGGCTTTTTCGTGGTTGTTTGTCGCCAACTTCGCCGGCATCTTCTGCGCCTACTGGACGGGCTTTGGCCTTAGCTTCATCAAAGATCCCAATTCCACGGCCCGCTGGAGGATCCCTCTGGCACTGCAAGTTTTGGCTCCGACGATCATGATCCCGCTGGTGTGGATGTTGCCGGAGTCTCCACGCTGGCTCATCAAGGAGGATCGTCACGAAGAGGCACTGCGGATCATTACGGTGCTCCGTGGTGATGGCAACCCAGACCATCCGGACGTGCGCCGAGAATATGTCGAAGTGGTCAAGACGCTTGAAGAGGACAAGAAGTTGGCCGACTTCAACTCGTACTGGAGAATGGCCACCGACTTCAAGAAGGACGGCTTGCATTACGGTCGGCGGGCGCTGCTCGCCTTTGGAATTCAGATCCTCGTCGAAGTGGCAACGGGCATTGCGCTTACCACCATCTATGCCCCGACAATCTTCTCCCAGGCCGGCTTCAGCCCGCTGAAGGTCGGCTGGCTCTCGGGCATCAACGGCCTCATGGGGGTGCTTGGGACCATCTCGGCGGTCTTTTTGTGTGATCGTCTCGGCCGTCGAACCAACCTCATGGTCGGGAACGCCATCATGGGCTCCTTGATGTGGATCTTTTCCGGGCTCACCAAGGCAGCAATCGACCATCCCGAGAAACAGAATGTCTACGGCACGGCCGGAGTGGCCATGATCTTGCTGTTTACATTTACGCTGTGCGTCTTCTGGATGATTGTTTGCTTCATATATGCGGCGGAAATCTTCCCGACTGCTCTGCGAGCGAAAGGAAACGGCTTCTTGACGGCCGGATGGGGTGAGTACAGTACCAGAGCCCTGAACCCTGACACATGACCCTGAGCCCGAACCGCACATGGACCTTGATCACCTTTGCATCTTCCTTCCCCACATTTGGATTTGAATGTGAAATTGAACTGAACATGACTGACGATGAGACATCAGGCATCGGCATCGGTACCGGCGTGTTTTGGTTCCCACCGGTGGTGGCCAGCATCGGCTACAAGACCTTCTACATCTTCGGAGTCCTCAACTATGTGTCGCTGATCGTGGTATACTGCTTCTTCCCAGAGACGGCCGGTCGTTCGCTCGAAAGCATCGATCTTCTGTTCCGGTCCAATTCCTGGTTCGTCTGGAACAATGAGAAGGACTACAAGCGTCTCAAGGCCGAGCACGATGCCATGGTGTCCTCGGGGATGGCGTCGATGGAGAAAGCTGGCATCGTTGAGGATGAGACGGCGACAGCGGCGGTTGGGTCTGCGGACGCGGACAAACTGGGCCCGGTGCACAATATTGAGAAAATGGGCATTTGAGAGTCGATTTCTTATCTTCGTGGAGGGCGCGATGGAGCGAGTGTTGGCAAGGCTGGGGCATTCCATCTTGGTGACCGACCGCCGAGTTTGAAGAAGGCAGGATTGATGGGCGCGTTTGCTTTTTCCAGCGCGGCTGGTCTCTGAATAACTTGTCTAGTATTCGCCAGACACCCAGATGCTAGTAGCGGGTGAAAGCATCTTTCTGAGATCAGGGGAGAGATACTGTACTAGACTCTGTGAATACTTGGTAGTCACTTCTTGAATTTTGGTAGCCATTGCAAAGTGGCAGCACTGTTGCCAGGCTAACTTGGTCGCAATCTGTATTCTCTCGGATGTAATACAACTACTAGTAAGATCGAGACAGTGTCCGTAGAGTACTAGTAACGATCACCTAAGTACGCCTGCAGGATGTTTCATCTGCTAGCAAAGGGTTGAATACGCGAATCATGCTGAAAGCCTTGCCCTTGTTCAAACACAGAGATACCAGTCGTCATGTAACTAAGTATGTGCTCTTGTAGATTTACCGAAATCAGTGTCACAGTGCTTTCTTGTACGAACGACAAAGACGCTGCATAAACTACGAGTACTAGTACCCAACCTCTCTCCTAAATGATACTAATCGTCAGGTCTCACATAAATTCATCCGCAATCCTACCTATAAATCAGCTCGTAGGTCCGTTCTCGCAGTCCGTTCCGCTTTCTCACCCCGTCTTTCTCACCCCTTTTTGCCTCCTCCAGATCTTGACCGGCATGGGTCCGGACTTCAACACCATAGTCTCGTACACCGTGGGTTCCCAATCGGGCCTACACAACGCAAACTCGTAACGGTTGACAATGGTGGCGACGATCAAGCTCATCTCCGTGTACGCCACGTTTCTGCCGACGCACTGTCTCGCGCCGGCACTGAAGGCCAGCATGTTTCGCTGCAGATTCGAGGCGGAGTCGCCCAGCCAGCGCTCGGGGATGAAGTCGAAGGGTTTCTCGAAGACGGCGGGGTCGTGGTGCATGCCCCAGGTGGGGATGCTGACGGTGGTCTCGCCGGGGACCCAGGTGCCTGCAACGTACATTCCCTCGGGAGGTGTGACCCGTGGGAGGCCGATGGCCAGGCTGGGCCGGTGGCGGAGAGTCTCGTCGATGCAGGCGCGGAGGTACGGCAGGAATTTGATCCGGTCGTATGAAGGCACCGCCGCCTCGGCGCTGTCGCTGTTGTTGTCGTCGTCATCGCCTTCAAAGACGGTGCTGACTTCTTCGTACAACTTCTGCATACATCTCGGGTTGATGATGAGATAGTACATGATGTTCTGCAGGGCACATGTCGTGGTCTCGGACCCCGCGTTCATCAACAGCGAGCACTCTTGCACGAGCTCGCCCAGGTCCATGCCAATGGGGATGCCTTCTCGAGTGTAGTTGAGGCCGCTGAAGAAGTCGTTGAAATCTTTGGCGTCCTTGCCAGACTCGAGAGCGAACCGTCTCCGGATCAGGTGAAGCACATAGCCTGTGAAGGTCTCGCCATCCTTGACGCCGCGGTGCCAGAAGAAGAGCTTCTGCAGAAATCGAAGCCAGTTGGGGTCACCTGAGCCGAGTGTGCTGACATACTGTAGATTGGCATTGGTGCCGGCCTCGGGGCGGGCGAGGTATTTGCGTCCGTCGACTGTCTCGCACGTGGTGAGATCGTCTCCCTGAGTGACAAAACCCTGCTTGATGCTGAAGGTCAGGTCGCAGACTAGGTCGAGCATAAGCAGGTTAAACCAGCGACGGATGTCGACCAACTCGTGGTTGGGGAATGCGGATTCACCCGCTTTGGGCGGAAGTGTGGCGAGCTTGTCCCATTGAACGACCAGTTTGCTGATGTCGTCTCTGATGGCGTGTTCTTTCTCTTCGACGGATTTCTGGGCCAGCGCGACGGCGAAGAGCTTCCTCTTCTTGCCGTGGAGTTCCTTGTCGCGGACGTCGAGGAGGTTCGGGTGAGAGCCGACGAATGCGTTGTAGAATTTGTCCTTCAGAGCGGGTGTGCCGTGTCCGTAGACATCTTTGATGGCGTCGGGAGAGATGAACGATAGATGGTTTGGAGCGATACGGACTACCTTGCCGAGTTTCATGTGTGCGTCGTACAGTGTGAATGACCGCTGGTGGGTGTAGTTCTTCCACATGATCCAGATGGAGGACAGTCCGGCGAGGAGGGAGGCCGATGGGTATTGTCGGAGCTTTTTGCCATCTTTCAGGTAGGAGAAGAGGCACCAGGACAGCCAGGACAACAACAGCGATGCAAAAATCAAAGGGAGGATGCAGAGTGACAGCATGATGGCCCTGGTGTGTTGCGCAAAAGCTGATCTGGACGGGACGAGAGTAGGTCACTGTGTGTAGTAGCGGTGGTTTAGGATAGGAGTACTTGCGGCGGCAAGACTTACCTAGAAGTACTGGTTCGGCTCAGCACCATGCTGTGGCCCTGGCATGGCCAAGTGGGACATGGCTCTTCTCCCAGGAGAGGCCCCCGCAAGTCATTGTCGTGATCGCCCGATCAATCCACATTGTTGTTGTTGTCGTGGAAGGCAGCTTCAATCGTCGACGTCAAAATTCGACCTCGACGCGACCACGTGATCGAGACGAACCACCGGCCTTGGCACGCTCTAGTTAAAGTTACTCTTTACCTTCGGAGTACCCCCCTGACGAGAACCCCATCATCCCGTCGTCCCCTTGGAGCTGGTCCCACGATCGAGATCATTACCCCGTGATGCCCTGCGACCTTGGCTTGCTTAAAAGCGCTTCGGGGCGAACCCTCTGGAACCTGTGAAGGTGCTTAGATGGAAGTGCCCATTAGCCCGGTACCCATTGGCACCCTCTCCATTTCGGCGCTCGTCTGGCTGTGGAGGCTCCTGAAGCTGCGCGTATTTTCGTTATCAGCCACCATACCAGTGTCATGTAAACTATGGAAGCCTTGGTGTTTCCAACAGTCTTGATCAAAGCCGGAATTAACATCAATCATGGTTAAACGCTGTGTGCCTCTCCCGGAGCCCCAGCCTCACCAGCAATACACCATGTACTGCACAACAAGAGGTCGAGGGATCCCAATTGGCCCGCGGACTCAGCCTACTGGCCTGGTGCAGCTTCAAGGCAGCAAGCATACTTGCGCCGCATTCACTGGATGATTCAGCCTTATTCTTGCGTGGCACAGCGGCAGCCTTTGCTTACCTCCCTCGAATTCAATTGGTGTATCATGGTGCCCTGCCCTGCCATGCCCTGCCCTGTGTGCCCAACTATCAGGCGAATCTTTGCCTGCAAGCTGAGGGTCGACCATTTGAGTCTTGAGTTTCATTCTCTAGCATACTAACACACAAATCAACCGTTTCCAATTGTCGTCGTCGATATTTGGAATCCTATCCTAACCACTTCCGATCGGGCTTCAGCCTCAATCTATTCTGTTCGGTTCGTCCGCTGCTACTGGCACCTACTACTATCCAGGTCGTCTTTCTCAACGCAAAATTGCTACAGACACGTTTTTCGTCGTCCTCAAACCCCCAACTACTATCCCCCGTAATGTCTTCAACCGCATCCCTGGCATCCACGAGCTCCTGGCCCACCATCGTCCAGAAGCTGGACTGGCCACGTGGTGGTGTTAAATTTCACTATGAAGATCGCTATCTCAGCCCGGAGAAATTGTCGCTCTGGCTGAGAAAGGCTTTCGGTCCTGGCAATGGAAAATATGTGGTACGTCGGATCTCATTACTAGTACTATCAGGAGAGCTCGTATCGTATGATTCTCAATGCCTTCTAAGCCGACAAATATACTTGCGGATGTTGTCCGAGAATGTCGACACGGCATTAGTGACCCCTTGTCGCTCGAGCTTCAAGTCAGCAAACCGGCTGAAGTGGCCTTCCTCTACCGGACCACAGCTCTGATCAGGCTGAACATACAATTCCCAACTTGGACGAACGGATGATGACGGTGTCGTTATCCCATCTCTGCGGCAACGAGGCATTACTGACAACTATTTACTCCCAGCTTTACAACAGCCATTACTACGTCGTGGCGCCGCGCAAACCCACAAAGGTGAGCCCAAGCCCTATTTCCCCAATCAATACACATCTGCCATCGACGCACTCACACCCTGAGCCACCCAACGTCTAAGACCCGAGTACTAGTAACAAAAGAACCGAGAAGTTACTAGTATATTACTGACAGCTTTCTTTCGCAGAAAGAACTGCAGTGGCTTCAGAGTCCAGACAGACGAGGCGGTGTCGAAGTTGCGGAGGTTGGCTACCTCTCGCTCTCTTAGCAATGACACCTTAGTTAGAGTGTTGGGGTTATACGGGCAAGCTCGATATCCTGTGTAGGAAGATGGCTGTAGTGTCAAGCTTGTTGAGCTTCATTTCCAACAACTCGCAGTCCTTGCTCGTTGAATACACATATCAAGTGTCTTCGCTCACATTTACCTTCCCTGCTACCATACTTTTACGTGATACCCCCCGCCTAATCAATCCTATACTCCATATTGATTAATACACCCTGGCCTACGGCAGTACGCTGCCAGCGAGGAGACGAGACAGAATTCCACGGCGGCTAGTGCAGGAGAGCCTCCCGCGGTTCCGGGTCGTCACCATCATAGTCAGAAAGCGATATTCTCGGCGTGCTGGGAGCTACCTCTGGTGCATCAGTGTCCGGCAGACTAAGGGGAGTCATTGCGTTGACGTCTGTGCGGATTTGGCCTAGTCCCCCGAGGGCAGTGGGGGCACTATTGTGCCTTGCGTGAACATCTGCCCTTCTCTCTCCAGCATCCGCGTGTACAGAGCCTGTGCTTAGCCGTCTACCGGCTTTGGGGTCAGGTGAGAGATTCCCGGGGTAACGCGACGAGACCGGGCGCTCGTCGATACTGGGTGTTCTTGAAAGACCTCCATGTGACCCAGTCGGGGTAGGGGGCGCCGCGATTGTGACCCGGGCAGGTAAGTCGCTCAAGTAGAACTCCGCATTCTTCAGGTCCTGGTGCAATTGTAGCATGATTGCTACGAAAGCATTGGAAACTTGTGAAGCTTCAGGGCGTCGGCCAGGGCTAACGTTCAACATGGTCCCTGTAAGACGAATCAACTCTGGGAAAACTCCACGCCCTTCGCAATGGCTTCTCAATATCTTCAGTTGTTCCACGACAGCAGGTTTCAAAAGAACATTGCGGGACGCGTCTTGATACCAGAATGCCGTGTCTTGATGGCCGTACGCATTGGCAATGGTTTTAAGTCGCTCATCCTGGAAAGTGTGCACATTGTTGCCTTCGATACCAACTATCCATGTCAGAAGTTCCAACATGATGCAGCCCATGGACCATATGTCATATGGGCGAGAACTCTTGCCTTCCAGGATAGTATCCGGAGCAGCGTAGACTGGATCGCCTGGGTAAGGATTCCTCGTAAACTGACTCGGCCGCTCGGAGCCAGAGAGAATCTGGCCCATCTTCGCCGAGCCGCAATCACTGATTGAGAACAGCAAATCCCCGGTGTCTCTGTTGATGGTCACCAATATATTGCCAGGCTTCAAATCATGATGATATGCAGCTTGGCTACGACGGCGATGACCGGGTTCTGCATGCTCTTGAATACCATCCGGCTGGAGATTGGCAGGTCCCAGATTGTGGATGTGCCTCAAGCCATCAGCAAGTCCTGCCATCTGGCCTATAATGGCGGACAGTTGCGACTTCGTCCACGGTGGTGAGGGCTCGAGTTCCATGTACCGGCGCAGATTGTAGTCTGCACATCGGAATAACATGTAGCAAACCCCCCCCCCCCCCTTTCCAGGAGGCCAAGAGGGTTGTGATGTTGGGGTGCGGAGCATCGGCCAGTTTTGCGAGTAAACCAGACTCGGCCTCGACATTGGCTGCAACATCCGCGCCTAGGTTTGTGAACTTCTTCAAGGCAAAGTCCTCGTCATCATAGTCGGAAAAGTCGTGATGATCTCTGTCGATGCGGGCCTTGTACACCACTCCAAAACTGCCTTGACCTAATTTGCAGTCCGGATTGTCCTGGTCAAAGAGAATGGGCACAACAGCATTGTCGTGTAGTTGTCGGTGCTCCACAACGCCTCTTTCATTCCTTACAAATGTATAGGGCGCAAAGCCGCCAGAATGTAGCGCATTATTTCTGAAATCTGAGACGTACGCTTCGTCGGGACAGTCGTCGATCGTGAGAGGAAGGCTTTCGTCTTGGAGCCCCTTTCTCATCATATGATATAGGCAGACGAGTTGTAGCCTCGAGTAGACGCACCATGCGAGTAAACAGGCGCCCCACCGGTAGACTTTTTCGCTAAACTGATTCAGCTCGACCGCCTTCCCGCCATTGAGTATCAAAGCCTCCGCGCCTTGAAGGCTCGGGTCTTCCATAACCAGTCTGGATATTGTATCCTTAGTCATGATCTGAAGACGGTCTTTCCTTGGAACATAGAAGCGGGTTTCCCAATTCGTGCGAATCTTGCTTTCGATCGCTTTGCGGATGGTCTCAGCGTAAGTCTGATTTGGGATCTGAACGATGTCGAGACTCGAATACTCCCATTCGATGTCGACATGGAAATCCACCATGTAGTTGTGACCACGAAATGTGTGGATCTTCCGCGGTAGGTCTTCACCCCACAAATCTTTCCTCTCTAGTATGCCCCGAGCTGCAACCGTTCCTGTGTCATCGCGGACTAGTCGGAAGCGGCCGACTTTCAGATAATAGGCTTCCGCGGACCGCTTGTATAGGCTCACGAGCTTCTCGGTAGCTGCTGCGTGCAGCTCGTCGAAAGCTGCATCTTCTGCGAACTCGACTGTCAGCTGCTCAAAGCGAGCAGCCTCCACGCGTGCCGCATCCTGATCGGGCCGGCGCTGATGATATGCGACGATGAGGGTGCAGCGGACTTGACTGGCATTGAGGCGGACGGTGCCTTCAGCGGCGGCGGCTTGTTCCTGGCTAGGAAAGCGAACGTGTCGCCTTGGACTAGTAATGCCACTGGATGGTTGTGAGTGGCTCGTCCGGGTATTGGAGCGTTCGCTGTCGTCGGCCAAGGACGGTTTCAATGTGTTTTCCTCGCGGTTGATGTACTCGGGTGACAAGTGCGCATGATACGTCCCATTATGGTCTTGGGAATACCGTTGAGATGTACCGGAGCGAATTTCGGGCCTTCGGCCATCAGTATTTGCCGAAGCAATCGAGCTTCTTCGCGGCTTTAAGTTCTGGAAATGTCTCAACCAGGATCTGCCATCCTTGGCTTTTAGTCTTGTCGACTTTGAGTCTGGTCGAAGAGAGTCGTGCATAGTAGAGGAGCGTCAGTAAAGGGCGCTTTCGAATGGTTGCGGCTTCTGGCGCGTTTAGCGCTTTGGAGCAATAGGGGCATTAGAGTATTGGCAGATGCGTCGGTGGGCCAGTGTGGTCCCACGGCGATGAGCCTGGGGAGCAGGAATAGAATGGGCGCTCTGGTCATAACCGTGATAATAAGGAGGCAAATGCGGCCCAGGGACAGAGGGAGGCGCAGGCCAGGCATCGGCGAGGCATCCTCCTCGTAGTCCGAAAATGCAGAGCCTCAGAAACGAATCGAGCCTATAAGGTGTACAGGTTGGGACGGTTCACGCTTTCTTCCATGCCGATGCCTGGTGGAAAAGCAGGTCTTGGTTGGGCCGATTGTACATGTGGCTGCAGTAGTGACCAATTTCACCCTGCGGCTAGCTGATCAGCTGAATCTGAGCCGACCAGGGTGGTTGTCATGCAGTGGGCGAGCTGGAGACCCCGCGCCCTACTCAAGAATGCCTTTCGCTAACGGGATTCTGGATGCTCAAACAAGCTGCATTTACCGATTCCATTCTCGATGCGCGGACGGTGCTCGACACAGCCCAGAAGAGGTCCGGCAAAGCGTATGAGCAGGGATTTCCTCGTCCTCGGTCAGCCCTCCAGCATGTGCCATCCCAACGTACGTAGAGCGCTCCGGCTTCACTGCTGCATTTGCATAATCACATGTGCGGTTTTCACCCTTGCCGCCGAACAGATGGATACCTAGGACATATTTCCACCAGGCTTGTCGGCGGGGATTTGCTTGTATCCGAGTCCAGACTAGCCAAATGTAGATGGTAAGCAATGTCAGTGGCACTGAGGCTGCAAAAAGAATCCACCAGTCGCCAGTCACTGTTATATTTCCAAACCCATTCGCAGAAGTCGTCGAGTTGACAAACGAAGTCGAGAAGAAATTAGAAACAACGGTGACGGGCAGATAGATCAGTGTTAAGATGGTCAACACTTTGACGGCCGCGGCGTCTTGCGTACTTTTCTCGGCCAATTTGTGCATACGATCCGTCAGTCTGCGCATCTCTTCGTTCTCTTTGCCTGACTCCTGAGCAAGTCTTTGGAGAGAATAGCCGCTGCTGAGGTCTAGGAAGCTCGAGAGCAGACTAGTGACACCAGCAAGTTTAGTCCTGAGGCTTATGATCTCTGCATCAAGGAGCTTCAACGAGCGTTGATGATGCTCAAAATTCGTACGCATCAACTCGAAACGGTCCATATCCGGCGATCGACATTTCCTGACCAGGGATTCCCAAGAAGTCGATAGCGCTGATATCGTGTCCGTTGTTGCAGTAACGGCAAGCATAGCGTTGAGGAGCTTTTCATCCAGTACCAGAAGCTGTTGCCGCCTGCCAGATTCGTGTAAACTGACGGGACAGTTATTAACGGGTGATGTCCCTAATATTTGAGCATACTGTGTATCGGTTTCGCCCGCTAGACATATCAGGTATTGCCTCCAGCTTGAGATCGCAGAATCAATGACGAGTTGATGAACCTCAAATGGATCAGTGTTATGACGGAAACCTCCTTCAAGCGCCACCAAGTGCAACCTTTGCTGCATTTGCCCCGAGATGGTAATGAATGCCCATGAAATTCCGTCCTCGTTGGGTGTGTAGCGACATGAGATGGCGCACTGCCGAAGAGACCACGCCTTCGATGGGGTCTTCAGATCGGTGCGGCCGTTGCTTTCGACGAAGCGCAGACCATATGTGCATTCGTGGCTACAATCGAGGTTTGTCGCCTTGGCTGATGACGGCATGAACCTCAGCGCCGGAGGCGCAATCTCGACCTCGCGCTCTCTTGTCCCAAAGCACAAAAGGAAATTCTTCAGCTGGGCCGACAGGCGACCTTGAAGAATCAGTTCGTGGAAAAGGCTACTTGTGACAAGCAGCGGGCCCCATGAGTACCTCTGGCGTAGAAAAAATGCCCGGCATTTGGGGGACTTCTTGACATAGTCGAAGAGGCCTTGGGCGGAACAGAGTGCGGTCAACTCTAGGAAGGGGGTACCATCATGGCTGAAAGCGTCGTAAGTCTCGACTTTCAAACGTTCGTCGGTTCCTGTTCTTCCTTCACCGCACTTCGATCTGCCATCAGCGGACATGGAGTTGCAGCAGTTACGACCGCACAGGAGGAGATCGGCCGGAAAGACCTCAATCCGTGACTGCTCATCATCTTCATCCAGGAACAAGTCGTCCTGAACTGATTCCCATAGTCGGCGGTCTAAGTCACCTAAGCCTCGTATGATGCTGCCGGCGTGGCCTGAAAAGCCTCCTGTCATTCTAAGGTTTCTTTCAGATCGTGGCCAGATTCTTTCAGCTGCCCGTCAGCTCGTCGGCACGAGACATAGGCAACCAAGGGAATACGGCGTGGTTTTGGGCTTCTGGAGCCGCACGCATTTCCGAGACAGCGGCTGCAGAAATGTTGTCTCGAATCAGGCACGTAGAGCTGGGGTGGCAGTGTGCCGGCGAGGCCCTAGTCAGCCTGCTGCGCCATGCCGGTGGCGTGCGCCGTACAACCCCACGCCAATTTTGAATGGTCTCTGGCTGTTCGTCCACCCAATATATGTTCGTTCCCAGGATATACTCGGGACAGATCTGCTTGGGCCGCGGACTGGTATGTCTATACAGTATGTGTTAGCCTCACCGCCTCTCGAATACCAGCTGGCCGATTGCGAAGACCGCGATGCCACAAAATCTCTGCCGCGTGGCGTTGGCCGATCGTAGCCGTCAAGGCAATTTTACCGGTCAAGGGTTCATACCAGTCATTCCTGCATCGCCCCATGCATGTCCATACATATTAAGCGCACGCCTCGGACACTGAATTCGTCTCTATGCCGACAATTTCACAATCGAAAGATCTGACCGACTGGCATATCGCCCTATTTTTGCTGAAAGCCCAAGATGGTCTCTTCACCTTCACGGTCGTCGACACAAAGCTCTTTTGACAGCCTTCAGTGCAGCAGCCGCCAGATCATTCCAGTGCAGCTGCTGGACGCTCGCTTCGTCGACTCGGAGAAGCTTCGCCCCAGGCTTACCGAGATATTCCACGGCTACGACTACAGGCTCGAATTGGCCAGTGGACAATGGCGCATCCTGGGGGCTCCAGAACTCACAAAGCAAGACAAGTCGCGCTTGCTACTGTGAGCGTGCTTGCCGACTCCGAGCAGGGTGCAGCGCCACAGCAAGGGATTGTACGGCTTTCACCAGTTGAGTCGAATTCGACTATGCGTACAGGGGGTGCCGAGAGCTCGGTACAGGCCACTTTCTGGGCCAATCGGGACCAACATCAACCTAGTTCGCCATTGCAGGCAACAAAACGGTCCCTTTGAATTGCCACACGGGACATCTTTCAATCCAACTCGCATCTTCTGCTGATATTGATCGTTATTGCACAAGTCGGGATCCGAGGTTGCTAGAGGTATTGGTGCACACAGCGGGGACAAGGGTCGACAACACTAGGGACACATTGACGAGGAGGACAGTTACGGAGGCTGAATAACTGCTTTGCACGGATATATCACGAACCGCAGTCATGCTCAACCCAAACAAGCGAGTTATGTTGGACTCCTAGGTCGGAAAGAACATGTACAAAAGCTTGCCCCTTAGACAATATCTCGTTATGCGAGCCACAATCGAACGACAATCGGATGGTGCTTACAGCTGCGTTTTCATTCATGCCTGAATCGATCTCTTCCTCAATTCCACGCTCGGCCGCCGAATCTGCTCGGCCTGAGATGTGCCTCCAGTTGTGGTAGGGCCTTCATAATTGTTGCGCGCTCCGATAAACCACCATACCGCGACGAAGATGGTCAAGCCGCCCCAGATCAGACAAGCGTAATTCATATTTTGCGCATCCACGGGCAAGGCGAACGGGAACGAGTAAATGACAAACCAAGCCAGCATATATCCACAACCAACAAAGTTCATGGCGTAGCCCAGCCAGCCTTTCAGCCTGAACGGGCCATAGACAATATTCTTCCGTCCGGTCAGGAGGTGGGGGAGGATGGCGGCCAGATAGGAGGCGGAGCTCATAAGAACATAGCTGCCCACGAAAGCGTTGAAGGCTGTGGTGCTTCCGACGTAGATACTGTGGCTTTGTTAGTGTGGGGTCAACCGAAACAGAAACACCACGGGACATACCATCCGAGAACTGTAGCGAAGATACCGCAGACGATAGTGGCGTTCATGGGCATGCCCAAGCGTGGGCTGACTTTGCTGAGGAAGGTCGGGAAAGGCGTGGCTCGGTCACGAGCGAGCGTCCAGAGTGTCCTCCCTGCGGTGATGTAGACGCCAACGACGTTCAGTGTGATGCAGAAAAGCAACAAGCACAGCAGCCCGATGGCGCCGGCCGACGATCCTGTGGCTTGACGATAGATCTCGGCAATCGGGTAAGCTGAATCGAACAGTGCGTCGTAGTCGTTGATGGAGTAAAGGATCGCAATGAGATACAAGAACCCCGTGACAAAACCAATGCCCATCTGCCATGCGATTGCTTGCGGGACTTTTCTCTGAGGATTCGGGATTTCTTCAGCCAGATGACTGTGCCTTTGTTAGCCTTGTCATGCCGGTATGGGTATTTCGGGGCAACATACGTTGTTACGTCAGGAGTGCCCACTGCGAATGCTCCGTTGAGCATCCCAGCGACAAACGTGAAGCCGGCGCCGTATCCAATGTCTGCATTCCATTCTGTCCAGACAAAGCTTGAACTCGCGTGTGCAGGCCTTCCGCCGTGTCCCGGCATAGCAGCACTAGACTCGGTGTCAGTGGGTCCGTGCAGAGAGTCAGAGAGTGTTTGATGCCCACCAGACGACGACTGTGATCAAGAATCCGGCCAAGATCAGGAAGATGCCAACCTGGGTCATGTATGGCATTGCACGATTGAAACAGCAGACGACGAAGCAGGCAAGCCAGGTCACGATCAAGTAGACCACAAAGACGTGCCACTGCTTGGCCACGAAATCAGCATGGGTGACTCCCCACATCTGAACGACAGTGTTTGCAAAGATGAAGCTCATCGAGGCACAGCCGAATACCCAAGCGAGCCAATTCCAGTAGCCTCCGAAGAAGCCTGCCAGTGGTAAGCAATTATCAAGAGGAGTCGCAGGTGCTCCCTACCATTCACACGACCCCATTTGTGCCCAGGGGTCACCGAAGCCCAATGATAAACGCCGGCACTGGACGGAATCGCAGATGCAAGCTCGGCGATGCTTGCTGCGACAATCCAGTAGAAGACCGAGACGGTAATAAACTCGTACAAGACACCTGCGTGCGACTTAGGAAGAGTTTCTCAAGCTAGGCTCAAACATCGTGGGACGAACCTGGCGGGCCTCCATTGAAAATTGCTACCAAAATGCTTCCACCCAGGGCCGGCCACACGTTACCTGAAGTTGTCAGCTTTGTTCTAGAACAACAACGATCTCTGAATGTCAAGGACCTTACCTGTGACCAGTCCAGCACCAGCAAGACTGACAAGATTGAATTGACGATCAAGCTCTTGCACGTGCCCAGAAGCATTGACGAGCACACCCTTGCTGTGATCATGCTCCTGCTCTGTCGACGCGATGGACTCCTTTCCGATTCCGGAAGAATCTTTCTTATTGGTGATCGGTGTAGCCATCCTGGTAATATTTGCTTGGATTGGGTGTAAATGGTCTCACGACCGTGAGGATGGGGGTTCAGGGAATTTAAAATATTTTACCTCATAGACCCAGGTGGCAAGGTCTTCCGGGGAAGCTTATATGTTGACGTGCGGGACGGATATTGAAAGATAGCAGTTTGTTTTTACGCAATTCGATCGTCTTGATGATGTTCCAGAAGCCAGAAATGTAAGCCAGTAACAGGTTGTAGTGGTTCGTGATGTCGGCAATGGTCCCTGCATTCGTCAAAATTGGTACTGGGTGGCACCTGGCGTTGACCCACTCGGATACTGTTTGGCAGCAGTCAGCGAGACAGCCACCTGACAGCCACCTGACAGCCAACCAAATAGGCCAAGGATTGTGGAGGATGGCGGATGGTGGAGGACATCCCTGAGTGAACCCCGGGTATGGCTTGGAATGTCATTGGAGCTTGATACGGGAGAGCCAGAGCCATCCCTTGATAATTCATAATAGTCATCGTTGCTCAGAGGGTTCCGGCCAGTCCGAATGATTGGGGTCGTAGTGATTAAAGCTGGACAAGCACCTACCAACGAGAAAGAGGAAGTCAAGCCACTAGAAGACCTCTACGGCGCGTGGATGCTGAAAGCAGGTGCTCTAGCCTTGTCGAGGGAGTGACTCGGCCAGTAGGTAAGATGCCTGATCTCTCCGAATTGGCCAAGGCTGAAGCAGCGGTTTGAGCTCCGGTGGACGATTGCTCAATGGTGACTCAGGTAATATCGGGCTTTGATCCGATCGAACTGAGCCCTTGAAATCCGATTCCGATCGCTGCGCTCTTGAGGGTTTGAGAAGGGCTGCAAGTCTCAAACTCCCAAGGCTTGAATGTACAAGACAAGGCAGACAGCTTTGCTAACTTCGCCATACCTACACCTCTGGGGATGGCCAAGGTAGATGGTCCTTATTCTCGGCAGGCTGCCCTGAACTAGGAGCTAAGGCCGAAACATCCAGGGCCAGAATATTAATGAAGACCAAGACTGGTCTGAAACGCTTGCCAGAGAGCACCTTAAAAAGTCGACATACCGTTTTCCACTTGTTGCGTCCAGCCAGCGCCCGAGTGCTTGGACAAACCTTGAAATGTATTGCGGCATTCAGAGAACGCTCCTCAATGAACTCAGTCGAAATTAAGAGTATTGTCAAGGTATACCTGGTGGAGGTCGAGTGTCAAACAACCCAGATCATCGTCAATGGAGACTTTGATAACAACCCAGCCTCGGGATGTGCTGATCCAGTGAACTAGGAAGCGTTTGAGAAGCCCATATCAGAATGTGTCTTGGAAATGTGCCGGCGTACACCAAACAACCTTACGATGGCAGAGTCTTGAAGGGTCATACCACATTGGCTGTATAGTTTGACCAATCGAGCAACCTCGAAACGTATCTTACTTGCGATAGAAGCCGCACGATATCTGCTGGCGAAGGCATAAGGACACATAGAGTGGATAATGGTCGGGGAAATTGGATGGACCGTGAACCCTCCGGGCGCCGCCTCTCAGGACACTAGGCTTCAGGTAGCCCGGAATAATTGAGCGACAACGCCCGGAGTGCGCCAATGCTCAGTGCCTAAGTCAGGCAAACGCAGTTCAGGAAGACGTTGAATATATACCAAAATCCGCCAAATTATGACCTGAAATGCTCCGGAATCAGGAAACCCTCTGCGTGAATAGTTTAAGGGTAGAATTCGAGCTTCCCATGCTCGAGGCCCGCGTTCGAGTCGCGGTTCACGCATGTCGTTGCGTTTTTGTGGTTTCGCAACTCATTTCATTTTTGTAGTCCTTTCACAGTACGCTCTCTCCTTTTTTTTCTGGCTATGTTGGCAGAATTCGAAGTGAAGAAATCACCGAAACCGGATTCACGTGATATATGTTTCCAGTTGATGCACGTGATTGGGACGCGCTGGAAGATTCGACCTTTTGCCGGCGCGGGATGATGCAAATGCAGTCATAGGCTCGACTTCAACCGCCACTCTCCGTACTAAATCCTCCATCCATCCTCACACCACCTAGCAAACACTGTACTGTTTCATACTCTTTGCGGATCGAATCTCTCGGTCAATCCCACGATGGCCTCTACAGCGAAATACCAGCCCGCCCCTCAGCGCGACTCACTCGACGAGGGCAGCTACCCTCAACCTCCTCCGAGTTACCAGGCCGCAGGCCCCAGCGTTACCGAGGGAGGATACGGCACCCCAAGAGCAGAAGACGACAATGTTCCTGATGATTTCAAGGTATGTAACACTTCCTGACTCACAGTCAGAGCACTGGCTGACCATATTCAGTTCGGCGGCTCCGTCAGCGAAGCGACCATCGACATCCGGATGTCGTTCATTCGCAAAGTCTACAGCATCCTGACCGTCCAACTCCTCCTGACCGCCGGTCTATCATGCCTCTCCTTCTTCTCCTCCGGCTACCGCAACTGGATCCAGTCCAACTCTTGGATGATGTGGGTTTCGCTGTTTGGTGCCATCGGCTTCATGCTCTTGACCTTCTGGAAGCGCAAGTCCTATCCTACAAACATGATCTTCCTCGGCGCCTTCACAGCCATGGAAGCATATAGCATCAGCGTCATCACATCGTTCTACGAGAGCCGGATCGTCATTGAAGCGCTCGTCATCACGCTGGCCATCTTCGTGGCCCTCACCCTTTTTGCTTGCCAGACCAAGTACGACTTCACGAGCTGGATCCCATACCTGTTCGGCGCGCTGTGGCTGGTCATCATCTTCGGATTCATGGCCGCATTCTTCCCTCGCAACTCGACCACCGAACTCGTCTACGGTGGGGTGGTGGCTGTCATTTTCAGCGGCTACATCCTCGTGGACACTCAGTTGGTCATGAGACACTATCACGTGGAGGAGGAGATTGCCGCCAGCATCAGCTTGTACCTGGACATCTTGAACCTGTTCCTCGCCATCCTGCGCATCTTGAACAGCCAGAACAACAACTAGGCATTTATGCGTGATTCTTAATCATACCGAGGTCAATACAATGCGGACGAAGCTGGAAAGGCGAATCACACAACAGGAGTGGCTGATGCAAGCCAAAATATGGATAACGATTGGTCGTGCGCGGGCATGCGGGAGTTCACCAGGCGCATTTTGCGGGGGAAGATTGCTCTCATTATATTTTCATGTGTTGCTGTACTGTACTGTCACGACCTGCAACTGGCACAGGCGAAGTGAGTTGGTGTCGCCAGGTCAATATCATGGGAATTGAATATGGGGTCATTCCTTAAAAACAGACCTTGTCAGCCGCCGGTTATGTTCGCAGCGATCGAGCGAGCACGATGCTTCTGCAACTGGTGAGGGATGCACTGAACCGGTGACGACATTCCTAGCAGCAAAGGACGGCCTACCGTTACATTCTCTGTAGAAGACTCTAGAAGAAGCGGACAAGATATAGTCATTTCATTCATATCCCTCTATGTTGTATCTTATCCTGACCCCCACCTAGGTGACCCCCAGACTCAGACTCGGGGCCAAAGGTAGATTCAACTAGACCGGACCAGACGAGCTCATGCCTTCCAATACGCCATCGCTAGGCTATAATGATAAGGAGTAGATCTTCTGTATCGTGTATCCTCCACTTCAGTCTTCTCTGTTTTTTCTGTCCCGCTTTCCTGTATTCCATTCTCATCTCATCTCAGCCCATCCGACTCCATCTTCCCAATCGCGGACTCTGACTGTCGATGACCATGACAGTACAATCCATGCAGCGGCTCTGGTTTCGCCATGCCACGCTTGGCACGACGTTGTTACCTTATAAAAGAGGGCCCACAGATGCAGCCATCGGAGCAGCTGGGATGGCGAGAACGCTCCCTTATGCCGGCTGCCCTGTCTTCGTAACTCGATGTTGCAGGTGCCTCTTTCAGCAGCGACGATTGCGGTCAATGCTTGGCCCCACCGCCTCCTGCACTTTATATGTGATGCAACGATGGTGACAAGCCTGGCGCCCATTCATTCAACATCCGTCCTTGTCTCCCCACATTAGGTTATCATTCTTCTTTCCAAGGCGGATTTAAAAAGGAAGACCATCACCATCGGTCATAACGCACTCAATGCGCCGCCAAAAAGAAAGTGTTCATAATCAAGCAAGTAATCATAACGACAAGTCCATAAATCGCCAGCGCAAGACTCAATCGCCTCAACAATTTCCGGCGGAAATTCTTCGACCGTCGCAAAAGGCTAGCACCGGCGAGACTCAAAATCCCCGAGTTCGCCAACAGAGTCTGGCTCTCGCCATCTCCGGCGTCATGATTATCCTCATCATCAGACTCCACACCGTCTCGCTCGTCGTTGTCATAGTCATCTTCCTCCTTGAGCAGACGCTGGTGGTGAGGTGAGTCTGGCGAGGAGATTTTGTAATAAAACAGACCTGGCAGGATGAAGGAAATCGATGTACTCCCTGTGGAGCCCACGTACGCAAGCACCGCGGAAAGACTGGATACCGTCATGGCGACGATGTAGCTGCAGATGACGATGACGGTGGTGATTGCTGCAAATCGGGTCTCGCTCATTTCGCCGCTTCGCTTCTTTGCGACTGGGAGGAGCGGAGTATCTCGTGGCGGACTGGAATCATGCGAAGTAGGGGTTGCCGAGGTGGAGCGCAACTTCGCTTTCAATTTGTCGCTCGGTCGCCATTTGAGCACGGCGTCGACACTGGCTCGGCATGGGTGGACTTGCAAAGGATAGGAGAACATGACAAGGACCACGATCATCGCCTGGCCGATCGTCGTAGACACAGAGGGTGCATATTGAGCCACGATGTTTCCGCCGATCTCATTTCCAAAGGACAAGTAGCCAGTGATGGCCACGAGAATGTAGATAAAGCCCGCCACCCCATTGGAGGTGATCAGGACCGACGAAGTGCGGAAGTGAGAATTATCCGCGATTTCGTTGAGGACGCTGAACATGTTCTGGTGACATGTGTAGGCGAAAACGATAACCGGGAAGGAAGAGAGGGTCGGCACTATGCCGGCCCATTTGAATATGCGGAGTGGCGTCTCGTAGTGACCGGAGGGAAGAGTGTCGCGTGCCGCAAAATGATAGACGACCAAAATGACTAGATAGCCAATCGAGATCAGCGCGATAACCGAGGTGTACTTGAGCGAGTCGAGCCGGCGGAGAAAGGAGAAGGGAATGACAATTAGCATAAACGCAGTGATCCAGAAATGTCGGTCGAACATGAACGGGGCCAGACTGTCCTCGTTGGCGAATCCACGAACCACTCCTGGCATGAGATCTCCAATAATGATCAGATAGCTGACACCCACGCCGAAACATTTGATGGCGATTGCTGCGTCGAAAATCACGGCGGCATTGGGGTATGTGATCTGCGATAGGGCAAAGAAGCTGGACGACCCTCGTTCAAGGTACGCGGCGCATCGGGTCTGGAGGTATAGTCCGAAGCCAGCGGTGAGTCCTGCCCATAGTATGACGATTGTACCCAAGAAAATGCCCATATGTGACATGGCAAGAGGCATGGCAAGCACACCGGCGCCGACGATGGTGTTGAGAAGGTTGATGACCGAGGAAATCCATGATGCGTTCCCGACGGTGCCTGCGAGGTCGCGCTTCGTTCGAGGAGGGGTATGAGGACGCCTGTCGAGTCAGTCAGCAGGAGTCACCATGATTTACTGACATGGCTGGAGCATACCGTCTTGTTCGCGAGTGCGAGTTATGGGACGAAGTAGAGCCAGGCATAGTGATGGTGTCAAGGGCGCAGCTTTCTGGGACTACCGACTCATCATACCTTTGTACGGCTCGAGGCAATGGGCCCGAAGAAGGAGAGAGATTGCGTGAGACCAAAGGACAGGCGAGCAAAGAGATATTACGGCGCAAGGTGGTAGATAGATGGTTGAATTAGGAGATGTTACTATTATGTTGATAATACGCAATTCAAAGAAGCCGCAGTTGTCGTAATTCTTAAGCCCGAGCACGCCTCTGCCAAGGGGAGTAAAAGCGGCCGGTGCCTCATCCTGCTTCCAGCTTAGGGTGATGCCGCCCTGTGCCACCGCTAATATGAACATTATAAACTAACCTAAGATGAACATGCAAGAAAACAGACGACCTAAGGTACCTAGGTAGTTTGTGCTCTTCAGGACTATGCAGTATGCATCACGACGATAAAGTTCGATATACTTATCTACATCACACGATACTTCGAGATTTGAGAAGCAGGAGAGATCAAGCTCCGCAGATTTTGAGCCACCAACTCGAGGTGCATGCAGTCAAGGTTGGCACCTCTGGCTCTACCTTTAGGTCATCAGAACTGTGGGCGGCTTGTCGTTGTCCATCAAACTCGAGTGTGACTACCGGCATCAGCTACCATCAGTCCTCCTCATCTGAAGCTGAACCGAGTGGCTCCTTCTTCTGATGATATGAATCAGCAGACTCCGGTCCATGTGTAACCTTCGACAGCGGCCACCACCACTTTCTGGTACTAGTCTGAGTCGCGCTGCTGGATCCTTCAGCATCGGTCTTGCTAGGAAGTTTGGAGTCCGCCCGTGCGCCAAACTGCCACCATCTCCTGCTCTGTGTCGAGGCTCTCGTGGATCGGACATCTCTGGCAGTGGCAGCAGACTTCGCGGTTCGCTCCTCCATGTTGCGAAGGTGACGTTCGACCACGGCCATCACTTTCTTGTCTTCCGACTCTTGCGCCCTGCGTAGCAACAATTGCTCTTGTTCTCCATCGGAGGAAGGTTTGGTCCCCCTGTTCTCCTCTTCATTCAGGAGTAGCTCGAGTACGTCCGCACGTTTTTGTCCCATTGCTACATTAATTGGCAACCATAAACGAGAGGTCTTGGGCACCATCTTCTTGATGATTTCTGTTGGCTGATCATGTTGAATGGCGGGCACCAGTTCTACGCCAAGATGGTACAAGTAGCTGAAATAGTCGTCCCCCTTCTTCCCCATCGCTCCGTGGTCCAAGAGGAAGTCTACAACTGGTGCATTTTGGGGACCACCTTCACAAGCCAGGCTCAAAAATGTCGTTGCGTGGTCATCGTACGCAAAGCGGACGATCTCAGGAGCGTAGGAGTAAATCAACTTGAGCATTTCGAGGTCTGGCGTTTCAGTGAGCGAATGGATGATTGAGGGATGGTAGAAGTCGAATTTTGGATACATCGAGCGCAGATATTGGACGATCGACTGCTGTCCATGAGAAATGGCCGCAGCGAACAGCGAACTTGTCGCAGGCGCACCCTCTTGTGCTGCATGCCAGTAAGGTATGGGGTCGTCGCCATGCTTCACATCGTGCTCATGGAAAAGGTTCTGCAGTTCGGCCACTTGACCAGCCTTGCACGCTTCTATCATTGCTTCCTGGTGAGGGGGCAGCGTCTCGGGTTCCGGCGAAAGAGATTCATCCATTGCGAGAGGTGCTGGGTTGGCGGGAGGAGAAGTCTGCAGGTTGCTGGGCAGCATAAATGCCCTCAAGCTTGTTATTTAAAGCCAGACTCGAACCATACTGATCATTCGAGCCACGAGATTGCAATATTATTATCCTTAACGCTCGGCATGACCGGTGGCCAGTTGATGCTGCAGTCCTTTAATATGGCATGGCTCGGCGGCTAGAGCTTCTGTCTCAGTATGCGCAGTCCTTTTGCCTGTATCGATGCAAGCGCTTGATTGGAATAAATAGAGTGAGTTCTCGGCTCTTAGTATGGGATTTGGGGCTGGCGAGGGGTAGAGACCAATCGGAAAGGCTGAAGGTGACGCGAGGGCATTTTGTAGAGGCGTCTACGGAGTAAGTCCTCCACTGCGATCCAAGTACTTTTGTAATCCACGAGGCTGCGAATGGAGTGCACCTGCCACACCTGCGTCACCTGGCGTCGAGTACGGTGGAGTGAAAGATATTCGATGGCAGTACGGTGGAGTAGGGACGTCCGAAATATCCTCTATTTCGTTCTCCCGTTCCTTCCTCTGAAACTTCATCTGTCATTGGATTCAACCGCTACCACCATTACTATCTCCTTGCACTGCCAGCAATGTCTTCCTTTCGGTCGGGAACAAAAGGCCCCTCCTGAGCGGCCCAGGCTGTACCCGGCAATGACCTCGTCGACCTCTGAAACTACGACCTCGAAGCGCCAAAGCCCGAGCCTGAGCTTGGTCGACACTTCGAACATGGTATCAGATCATTCACCCAACCAGGCCCGGCCCGAGCAATTTCCCCTAACGAGCGCTACACTCGCGCTTAAGTCCAATGGCACCGCCGTCCGCTTTCGGCACTCTATATTGACAAGACAAGCTCACTTTCGTAGCAATATAGGATAGCCGAGTTTGAAGATGCAACAAGACCATGTCCGCCGGGGCCAATCTACCTCATAACCAATGGCTGGTATCAAAACTAGATCAGAGGCGATGCAAAATATGCAACATGTAAGATGACCTTGCGGATAAATGGTGTTGTCAGGCGCCATTGACTGCTTGCTGGCACAATTCTACCTTCCGAAGATGCTACGGCAATATCTCGTGCAGTTTCATAACCATATCTCGCCGGCCGCAGGACTACATCTCAGGCGGTAAGCTCAATAGTCTACAAGAATAGCTGCAATATGGCGTATTTCGCAACCCTTATGCGATGCTATATAACAACGGGTGGTGAGTCTGAATTGAGCTATCCCTTCTCCATACTCACAGATCCAAACATATGACGACAAAGATCATCGAAAAGCCAGTCTCTGACAAAGGTTATCACCCCCTTCAACAAGTACTGGACCTTCAGATCTCTATCTGCAACATCAAACATGGTGCGACTCTTGTCCGTCCTATCAACCATGCTAGCAACGCATGTGCTATCAGCCACAGCCGGAAATTGCTTTTCAGATCAATCTGAAGACGTGGTACCTGCTCCTACCGGTCCAACAGAAGATGAAATACCATGCCTAAATAGACCGCCCGCTGGAGAGCTTTGGGCTTGTCAAGACCCCAGTATTGACTTTCCCACCGTCGAATGTCTATTGGCCGACATTAAGACCTGTGGGATAGTTGGCGCAGCAACGCCCATTGCGTCTTCTACTCGCTCGGCGTGAAATTCAAACAGATGGGTCCGCTCAAGAACCTACTCACCCCACCGGGTATTATGTACAACGACATGCTGGACGGTGATTACTGGGCTAAGGTTTTCAACGGTCGGTATGAAACTTTCAAGCTGGATATTAAGGGGAGGAGTAACGTTCTCCTTGAGCGCACTGTGAAAGCGTTCGCCTGGGCTTGCAGTGTTGAAGTCCTCGTGTATGTCTTGCAGCGGCAGGGTGAACTAGGTGGATTCGGTGCCTTCCAGACTCCTAAACCTGATCCTGACGACCCGATCCTGGTCCCAACATTCTGCAAACCTATGAACTTCCAACTTTGCAACGCAACAGCGCTGTCACGCGTATTGTTAGCGTTGACGCCTCCAACAATCTCCAGAAAGACGTGGACTGGGAGAATGGACAATCGGCGCCAGGTCTGAATAATCCTCTCCTACCCGAAAGTCCAGCGAGTACTCTACCTATCCCACCCGTTCCTGCCGGAATGCGAAAATTTAGAAGAGACGGTAACGACACACATCCTGATTTTCCACCACTTTGTCCGATCCCTGTCGCCGCGGCAGATGCTACTCCTGGCTCTACGACCTCATCCCCTCCATCTTCGATCACTTCTGCACCAGCCATGCCTAAACCATCTTGCGTCTTACATGAGCAGGATCCGGATCAAGGCATCACACAAGCGTTCTGTCTCTGCGACAGCACGGCGACTCTGACCTCACTGTCTGTGCTGTTGACAGGTCATCAGAGCGATAGCTGTGCATACACCGACATTCCCGCCACGGCGAAAGAAACCATCACGACACGTACACCAAGAACTGCCAGGGCTGCACTCAAGTTGGGTTCAATGATCCCAGCTGCACGACTGTTCCCCATTGCACTCCCACTACTGCAGAGGTTACCGTTCAAGCAGGAAGCTCTCCAGTACACGTAGGCATCTTGACCGGCACAGCTCTCTACACCTCCGTTTCCAGCGCCCTGGAAAAACTATGTCCTTCAGTGACTCAAACCAAGAGCTCCACCGCCTGCGAGACAGGCAGTGTGACTGTTTCGAAGATCGAGTACGTCAGCGCCGGCAGCCTCGACAGTAACGGGAGACTGGAGATAAAGGTGGCCGCGAGTTCGTACAACTCGACCACCCTCCGCGATGCGATGATCAAGTCCGCGGCTCTGACGGCGCAGAAGGGCTCCGAGCAACAAAGTTCCTGCTCCAACCAGACGTACACGACCTATGTGAAGCGCGACGTGCCCCCGCCGCCGCCGTCACGAATCTTCGGCAGAAGAAGTGCCTTTTTCCAGCCAGAACCAGTCGAGCATAAAGGTCTCTTTTGCAACACCGCCTCCTTTGCGGGCGTCGGATACTTCGGAGCTGAATGGCGAAAGGCCCAGCATCCCGGTGCAGAAGCATACATCGACGCTACGTGGGACTTCCAAGCGGACCCAACTGGAGACTTTTTGTGCGACTTCATCGAGGATCTCGAGGTCGGGTTGGCAGTGGTGGCGCCAGAGTTCGTCGCAGGCGACCTTGCTTTGGTTCCGGAGATTCAGGCATTTTGCGGCGGCACGTTTGATAGATGATTCGAAGAGAAGACACCTGCATTCTACGGAGTATGGGCAAGAAACCCTTGGGAGGTGTGTTGAGCTATGTGGAAGATTCTGAGTTGAACATTGTTCCGTACGGAGTAATGGGTAGGTGTGCATGGTTCTTGGAGTATTCCCCTCCCCCATTTTTTCTGTATAACAATAATTGCACTTTACTTCTTCCGTTCATTTGTCCTGTACAGCAGTTGCGGACTGTTAAGCACCAGTGGCACGGTATTCTAGGCAGACAAGCCAGCTTTTCGGGAATCGCCAAGGTCGGAAGAGCGGCACCCTGCGTCAAGATACACGAGCAAGGCCAAGATCAAGGGTGGGGTGTGGAAGGTGAGAGGGAGGCTGAGTGGTCTGTAAAGCGGAGAGCAGCCTCTCCTCATCTTTATATACCTGGTACCAAGGGCGAAGGACATGTCATCCCGGAATTGCCTTGCACTTGATCGGATCCATGCCCCAGCTCTGTTTGAAACAATTACTACGAGTAGCACCCTAGGTACTTCTCGACCAGGGCCAGGTGTACTTCGTATACTACGCATGCAAGTAGGTATATTTCCTCTGATATCAACAGAGAAGTAGAATCCTAAGCATACATAAAAAGGTACTATTACACACATAAGTACTACCCAAGATGTAAGTACAATCATCCTGCCGTGTCATTGCATTACTCTGCCGTTCCCATTCCTGTGACCCTGAAAGAAACTCATTCACCTCATTTCCAAAGCAGTCATTCCGGGGTATCTGTGTGATGCTGTACTTTGCTGTGATGTTGCGTTTGGCATAAAGTAGACTCGTAACTCGTAAATTCATGGTCGCCGTATGTGTATAGCATCTCGCGTCTCCAGTTCCCTTACGTAGGTAGAGTAAGGTACCTGGTCCACATAACCACAAGAATCGAGACCATGGACACGCAAGATCTCGACCTGACGACAGGCTCAATGCTCCAGTAGTGTTTATTTTCGGTATCGCCGTGCTTGCCCGACCTCATCTTGGCGTATACTCCGGCTTCCGCAACTTACTCACAATCGGTGGCGGTCCATCGTCATGGTCCACCGGATACGGCGGTCTGGGTGCCGCATTCGGCCTGCCAGTATTCATCGGCGACGTGCGCTGTCTTGCAGGCATACTGGGTTCATTGATCGGTGTCTTGGGCGGTCGTGGCGGCGGCTCTGATGGATTATAACTCGGATGCTGCGGCGGCGGCGGGGCTGGGGGTTGATAGACAAACTTCTCATCCCGTCCACCACGATATGGCATCTCCGCAGAAGCTCGCGGCGAATTCGTCTCTCCTGGTACCATGACAAATTTGTCCTGCGACGAGGCGTACGCGTCGCTTGGATATGGCGGATTTCCAGGCGTCCTCGGATGTTGTGTCGGGGTGAATGGTGTTGCATCCTCTGCTGGAAGTTCCACCGCCCCTGAATGCACAGCCGCGATAGGTGGTGCAGGCGGCAGGTCCCTCTGTTGATGTGACCAGCTGGGTTCCCTGTTGTGCGCGTCGCCTCGTTCTTGTCGTCGTTTCATAACCTCAATCTTGCCCATCTTGGTGGCTGACTCCGCCAGAAGTCTCTGCGTCTCACCTTGTCGTAAGTACTTCCTGGTGTTGGTCTGGATTGTGGACACCGCCGCCCACTCATTCATGCCTACAGAGCCGACTTCACTCGTGGCATTGAACCTGTAATAGACCTCCTGTGGTACTCCGCGTTTCGCAAGCTCGGTCTTGAGCATCTGTTGATGAGTGGCTTCGCAGGCCTCGATTTTGGAAATGAGCCGCCTTCGGGCTTCGGCGAACATGCCCATGCTGCCGCCCAAGAACTCTTCCCACCATTCGTGCTCGGGGACGCCACTCCCTTCAGGACGTTTACCGGTACCGACGCTGACAAAGACACCAATGTCCCGCGCGGGCCATTCACTAATAGTCTCCTCCAGCGCCGTGATGGCGGGGTTGTAGTTTCCGGCCCCTTCGTCGATGAAGACAGTCTGACCGATCTGAATGGGTTTGAAAGCCAATCCTGTAGCGCACGTGGCTCTGCCGGCTTGCCAGATCGTACAGTTGAATTCAGGAGGTGGTTCTTTTCTCGAATCGTACGACCGCAATAAGGCCGACGAGCCATTCTTCGGAGTGCCCTGGTAGATAGCAGTGACAGCACTATGAAGGTTAGCTTCATTCCAAACCAATACCCTTGGAGCACTTACGTTTTCGTCCTATTCTCCCGCCCATCATACAGACTCGCGTTCGGATTTCCCCAGCCAGAAAAAGTCGGTGAGACGATCGAGTTCCTCATTACTGACGGACCGTTCATCGAGATTGAATTGCTACTCCTTATACTCATGGACCGTCTCACAGGAGCTGCACTAGCCGTACTGGCAGGACTGCTCAGGTCGCCGAACTCTCTGCCTCCCGTAGACGTGCCATCATTCCCTTCATCTTCGAACACGGTATGATCTCGGACGCATTCTCGAATGGCCTCTTCGAGCTTCGACGCTTTGAACAGGGTGTGCTTGTATGGGATGCCGGCAATGGTCTTGTCCGTCTCGAACACCCTCTTCGTCATTCTCACGTAGACATTCATGCAGGTCTCGAGGTCAAGGCGCAGTCGGCCCAACATGATGGCAATAAGACCACCTGTTCCCGTGCCGACAATGAGGTCGAAATAATCGCATGGTTTCGGGGTCGCCTCTCGGCTTGGAGGTTTGCCTTCAGATTCGACGTAGACTCGGTGCATGAGCTCTTGTAGGATGACGAGCATGGAGTAGCCGCGGACGCCGCCACCATCTGTAGCAGTAGCCTGCGTCAGTGTGTCTGTGGCTGGAAGTGTGGTTTCTGCGGCTTCAACGTACCCAGAGAAAGGACGCGGAGCGGCGGACCCTTTGTGGTATCTTTTCGCCGGAGGTTGTGATGATCCATCATGACGAGTGATTCATGAGAGTAAAGGAAGGAAGAAGGAGTCAAGGGTTCTGTTGGAATGGCAATCGAGGTGGTTCAGCGGCTGACTTTGAGGTCAAACAAGCCTCTGCGAGATACGCAGGCACCTAGAATGTTGACAAGGGTACTGAGTTGACACCTGCATGAACATGGGAGAAGTTTATGGAGGGTTCATCACGGAGGCAGATGGTATTGGTGGAAGCACCCAGGAGGGGTTCTGCGCAGTTTTTCGGTAGGTGAGGCTGCCGAGTCTGTGCGGGTCTTAACTAAGGTACCTAAACCAATGTTAAACTTACCGGTAGTTGGGTGCGCTTCGATGCCTATCACCGTCACGTAGACGCCTGTGGCGCCTATTAGTAGGGCAGTCTTGTACTTGTCACCGAGACCCGTGACGTGTGCCTGGGTTCGTTTGCTCTAACCGAGCCTGGCGAAGACGCAGACGACGACTCGAGCATTTCACAGCCACAAAAACATCCAACATCCAACATCCCGTGCATCCGAATCCTGATCTTCATCCAACTTTCCAACAACGCAAGACCGAAGCTGCACTCCGGTAAGATCGGCACAACAAGGCAGGCATTGGCGGGCTACTCAGCTACTGAATATCGAGAACCTCACTACATGACTCCGTACCCTGGCAAGAAACGCTCGCGAATGGGTCTACGAGTAAAAGTACTTCAAGCAGGCGCAGTACTGATGGACTTGCCCCCATGATGCCCCGTCCTCCGTACTCGTGGCGGAGATGACGCTGGACGCTGACCTAGCTACCGGATCACCAAAACAGTCTAGGAGGTGATATTGCTGACAACCCAGTGCAAGCTCAATCTCGTTGATAACTAGCTACGGTACATGCAAGGCTGACGGATATTCAGTGGTAGCAGTCAACTTGGACGCTGGACAGCTGAAAGTCGGCTCGTCGGTACTCAGACTGTGGCGCAGTGAGGCTACGCGTCGGCCATTGGGTCTACTGGCTTGCTACGGTGGGAGTCAATCGATCCAATCAGTGAATATCGACGCAGGAATGATTCAGTCCACCATCCCTCCTGACTTGTCATGTACGCATAGATCGAATCTCCTCCCAGAAAACAAAATGACTCTCAAAATGGCCCTCAGGGGGTTTGGGAGGATAGGGTCAATCTTTGAGTTATACAAGATGCACAGCTCTCTCAAGCTGCGGGATAATATACAATAGTAAGGACCATTACGGACCTGGCGCCACACACAGAGCTCCTCCCGTCACGCCCTCCCCTTCACCCACAAGCAAACCATATACGAAAAACAGTCGTTTTCTGGGACATACAACAGAAGGGTATATCCGCCTCGTCAAGCTCGAAGCAGTACCATGTTTCCTCAACCCCTCCAACGTCTCCATGGCTGATGTAGTTCGCGTTTCCCGGGATGGCTGTTGGCTTGCTCTTTGTCTCTTCCAACGAACTTTGGACATACCATCTCTTCCCCAATGCCAAATAGCACGCATGTACTGACTAGATGCAAGTGGGCCATTCTTCCCAGCGGTACCGCAATAAAACAGATATAGATAAGAACGCCTCCCAGTCGGCCGTTTCAGTCTTTCATAAACACCGTGGTATGATAAAAAAAAATGCTAGATATTGATGCTGAACGCTTCAAAATGGCCGCCGAATCGTTGGGTGCGTTGAAATGCAACTCAGATCGATTCCACATGTTCACAAAGGTGCCGCCCATAGATCTATCGATTCGATGAAAAGCTGGACGAGGTACTGACAGCCGGATATGACGTTGCAGATCCGAATACCTTCGCCCGAACATGCTCAAGAATCCGGAGATTCTTGGCTAGAACGGGTGAAATGGCCTCGTTCTCCCGGAGAATGCTGATTGTGCGGTCATGTAGACGTTGGAGGGTCTCCGTGGCTACTAACTTCCTCAGCTCCGGATGAGGTGAAGTATAAGTGGCGTACAGCACGAGCATGTTGCCAAATTGTCTAGCATGTGTCAGTGTGGTCTTCGCCAGGGCTGTCAGTAGAAGACTTACGCGTGCGCGGTGCCAAAAATGTTTGTGACAACCAGACGGCGAGGGACTTTGTCAAAGACCGTGGTGCTGCGAACGGCGGCTTGAATGCAGGCTTTCGCGCCTTTCAGGATCTCCGGAGCGAGATTGGGTATCTCTCTGACCGGGTGGCTTCCAACGTTAAGATTCTGGACCGAGGGTGATGTGAGCTCAGAGTTCGGCCGGTATCCTGCAGGCGATTCCGATGGGCGGTCCTTGGGCAGCCAGCCTCCAGCTTGCAGCAGAGCATAATGCACAGCGGGTCGCCAGATGATGTATTTGGCGCCGTAATATTTCCCTCTCATCCGAGCGACATTGATGTTCGGACTCTCGTGGTTGTTGTCAGACCAATTCCAGTCAGCGAGCATATTCCTCCAATCCTCCAGATTTTCGTCCAGAATCCCCATCATAGTAACGCTCGGTCTGGTGCTCTGGTCTTTCGAAGAACGGTACAATGTTGAATGAATACTATTCATCGTCAACCGGAGTTGGATCTGGTACGAGTAGTAGCGCAGGATATCATCGTCGATGCTAGATTCAGGAATGTTCTGGAGCGTGACGCTAGTCGGCATTTCCTTGTGCTGCGGACTTTCGTATCGAGTAATGCCACTCAGAGGCAACTCCAGCTCGGCGGCAATGTCACTCTCCAGCTGAAGGCACGACCAGAAGGCGAAGTTGATGAGATTTCGTCGATTCGGTTTGATCGTCTGCTCCTTGTATGGCGTCGATTCGATGAGGATTTGAGCTGCCATGCATGCTTTGTTGATATAGAAGTAGCTCGGCAGAATGCGGGCCAATTGTCCCATGTACAAGCCTGCGAGGAGGTTGGCTTGAATATGCGACACATCGGTGCCTCCTGGGAGTTCACCCAGGATATCTGCAGCTTTTGCAAAATATGCCAGCCCAGGAATGGCATCCATGTTCTTGCCTTGAGGATTTGCAGGACTCGAAACGGCCATGTTATTGGCGCCGTTCAAGTTCAGTTGATTGTTGAATGGTGATGTCGGCGCGGACATGGGCATTGGTAGGTCACTATACAATGCACTGTGAGGGGTCGAGGTGCGCATGGTGGTGGTGGATGCTGGACCTGGTAATGGTTCACGATGAGACGTGACCTTCCCCAGGGCTATCACAAGCAGCACAATGGCGTTTGCAACGGAATGCTCGATAGGAGACACACCGGCAGAATATGCACGGGTCTGAGTGCGGTTACCGACAAAGCCTGGCGTATTCTGTTCTTCCATCGAAGTGGGAGAATCGGTGGTTTCTCGCTTTCGCTTGACCCCAATGGTAGCGGCCGTAGTTTGTGTGGCACGGTAATCCCAGCTGTACTTTCGTTTGAAGATGTGAATCATGTTGCGCAAGACCACAGGCTCGAGGAACGGATGTAGAATGTGGATGTTAGCCATGTAGCTTCGAAAATACCGGTCGACGGCTTCAGAATCCAGCATCAGGCCACCGTGCGGACTGACACCGCCTGGATGGTCGCGCGCGGTGTGGCTGTGGTTGGACGTCAATGGCGCGTGAAATTGTCCCGTGCCCCAAACGCCATGTGGCGAGGACGATGTTTCTTCATCCATACGACGTCCTTCTGACGAGTTGCTGCCAGCAGGACTTGGAGCACCTTCATGTCCATCATGCTTGTCCTCGCCTTCACCCGAGCCGTACAGCCGTAGCAGACCCCGGCCGGACTCCTCGTCAATTACATACGACGTGGTGATGCCGGCTGGAATCAGAGCCTTGATGGAAGGCCAATTGACCAGATTTTGTGCGGCCGTAGTATGTTTCGCGGGCAGCGTGAGTTCAAAAGGTTCCGACTCAAGGTTTCCTTCTTGGTTTCCGTCTTGGGTCCCTTCTTTCAAGAGAGAAATTGTCGTTTGAATACGTGCCCGTGGCTTGGACTGCGCCTCAGAGCTCTCGCCTCTGCGGAAGGGATATTTTTCCACGGTGCTATCAACCTGTGTCGGTTTCTTCAGTCGTTTGGCAAACTCCACTTGCTCATCTGGCGTCGCGTCCGCCCCAACATCGCCCGAGCCGGCATTCTTCTGCAGCGCGGTCAACAACATGCTGATCTGCTCGCTCTGCCTTTGGAACTGCTCGCTCTGCGTCTTCTGTTGCTGAATGAGCATTTCAATGTTCCCAGTCATGGTTTCCAGCTTGTCGGTGATGGTGAGCATCTGCTTCTCCGTCTTCTGCGGGGGCACCTCTCTGTAGGTGCATTTCAAGCCGTTGTCTTTACAGTGTTGACATTCCGGCCTCCCTTCGTCGCATTTTGCCTTTCGCTGACGACACGAATCACATGCCTGTGCCGCTCGCACCGGTTTCCGTCTCTGTTGGTAGTTGGGATCGAAGTAGGCGGGCTGCACGTAAGGACCAGCAGACGGAGGTGGGCCGGCCGAAGGGGGCCCGTAAGGTCCAGAAGGGCCGGGGGTTTGACCTTGCATCATTTCATGACCTGTCACCACATGAAGTGGCTGGTGAGTTCCGTTTGGCTGGCTCTCGGGCGTAGAATAGGCATGATGCTGTCTGTAGTCCGGAGGGGGTTGATAGTATGAAGGTTCGTGGGGGGTACTCACAGGATGATATGGAGGACGGTAGGGATCTCCGGGAGATCTCGAAGGGCCTGAGACACTTCCTGGACGTCCGTAACCTGGATCGGGAGCATAGCCTGGAGCTTCTCTTCCTGGGGGAGGTGGTGGAGGATGCGGATATGGCTGACCTGGAGGCGGATATGGCTGCTGGTGGCCCAGGTCTGGCGGCGGAGGTCGATGTTCGGAGGGATCACTATATGGCGAAGGGGCCGGATTCCACGCTGGGCCTGGTGGTGGCATACCTGCGCCTTGAGGTGGAGGATAGTTGTGTAACGTAGGGGTCTCGGCTGGCGGCATACGGTGGGTAGAGCCTGGTGGTGGTGGTGGTGGTGGTTGAGCGTATGGATTGGATCGTTCGTGCCTCCCATCCACGTCACCGATATCATCCATTTTCAACCTCCGATCCTTTGTCCAGCAACCGAGCCTGTACCTCCCGCGTCTCTATACCCAATGGAACGTGGTGCAACAAAGGCGGCATGACCTTGTGCACGATCAGAGATGTGATGCGCGCTCGACAGGAAGGCTCATGGCAAATCGTTATACTACGTATTCGCCAGGCTGCATGCAATTCCTGTTGTTGCACCTCGCGACCTTTGGTGCAGGTCGGCTGCAGGAAAGGCCAGTTGCCAACGGCAGCAAGGAACAAAGGACGTTGGTTGGTGGGAAAATGGAATGCCAAATGGCGCAAAGGGCGGGGTTTGCTTTTCCTGTTCTCACCACGAGGTCGTTCTGCTGACAGCAAACCCGCAGGGACGCAGCGCAATCGAAAGGCGGACGGTTAAAGCAGGCCCGATCGCAATGCGGCGGACTGATTAGTCGGAAAAGTCGATGGATGGCGGTCGGAATCCGGTACAGCGCGAAGCAAACACAACAACCACCCAAACCGTGAAAGCAAACTAGACCTTGGAGACAAAGTCTGGTTCGAAAGGAAGTTGAGATGCAAATTGATTGCGGACTTGTCGAGAGGATGCTTTTGACGTTTGCAGCTCCAGAATTTGGGTTAGGCCGTCGACGTTCACACCAGACCAGGGACGCTCCGGCGGTGCGGTCTCGGATTCTCGCGAGGGGATGATTGCGCCGCAGAATATAGTGTCGTTGGGCAGCAATATCAAAAAGGTTGACGCCGGCTATTACTGGTAATGGTGATGGGCGATATTCAAGATCTGTAGTTGTAGGGTCGGTGGTGGTCAGGTGGTGGGGGAGGAGACACCCGAGGTGCTGATCTCGAAATTCCCAGGTCGATGCCCAAAGGCCAGAAGCTCCAGAAGAGTCTTTTGGGAATGGATCGCCGTTTGCAAGTTGGAGGAGTGATGCGAAGAAGACAAGGCGAAAACGGAGAACTGGAAACAATAGATGCTCTTCCGGATGTCGATCACCCACGAAGAAGGGTTTGGTTTCGTGTAGGCTTTGCTGCTGGATGCACGTACCCGGGATGGTCGAGTTGAAATGGAACAATGGCTCTCCGGAGTAAAGCTGACCGCCGCCAGTCGGTTGTTGGCGGGACTAATGATTGTACAGTAGATGGCCCCCAAGGACGAATCAGTTGGTGGACAGGGAAGGGCGGGTTATTTGCGACGGCGAGTACGGAGTAGGTGAGGTAGACACAGGTAGAAAATAATAATGATTGAACCAGCGGCCAGAGGTGCCGGGATCAGTTTGAGGCGTCGAGCGAGCTGGGAACAAGAGAGGGTACAAGAGGAAAAGCCCCAGGGCAAGGAGAGAATGAGGTGAAAAGAGGGCCTTGGGCTCCCAGAGAGTGGCCCTAAACTCTATCCCTGGTCGTACCCAAGCCTTGGTGCGATGGTCGAGGGACCCAACCCAAAGGAGTGGTACCTGGCCAAGCAGAGCGGTGGCCCGAGAGCCAGTCCGAGGCCCTATACTGAGTAGGGTGGCTTGGTGGCGATTGTGCGAGATGAGGCGCAAAGGGCCCTTCGGAGCGGTCCCCAAGTGGGCTGCGTGTGATGGTGAAGCACTGGATCAACAGAGTTTTGGAAGTGTCCCGAGACTAGGGAAGAAGCGAAGGCGAGGGAGGAAGAGAAAGGCGGAAGTGCCAGGCGTAGGCGAGGAGCTGCCTGTACAGCAATACCAGAATACTAGTATGCACTATGGGTGGGAAAATGAATCATGGGAGGAGGATCGCGGTCTGAAGGACGAGCTTCGATTGGGGATCCGAGCCACAAGGTTGGCTCTTAGGAAGGGTGAGGCAAAGAACGAGTAAGTAAAAGTGGAATTGCCGATCCAGATGGTCAGAAGGTCGGCCCTGCCCTGGACCTCCACTTGGGATGTCAGTGATGATGAGGGAGAGTGGCATCATGTGGGATGGGATATAACAAATACAAGAAGCGGGATTGCAGTTGCGTAGCATCACGTTCTTACGCCATACTACACGGCGGATTGTCTTCAAGCCACGACAGAACAGCCTATTCACTTGGTGATCTTTGCTACAATATAAAGCACCACTGCAGCGCATACCTACGATCAGTACATAGGCACAGACGACGAGCTACAGGTACACCGATGGGCCTAGTACTATAGGGTGGGAGGATGGGAGGAAGGAAGGCCCGGCAAGAGCCATGAAAAAGCCCTGACCATCAATCTGTCTCGCTCGGTGGTCGTGATAGTTACGGTTGACTCAGTTCGAGGAGACTCGAGAGCCGGTGCCACAGACGCAAAAATGGGGTACCGAGACCCGGATGGAGATACAAGGATCCTCAGTGCCTCAGTGCCTTATTCCCTCGGTAGTCGGTAGTCAGGTACTTTACCTGTAGCTCGGCGGCGTCTATGCTCCCAATGCCTCTTCCAGTACTCGGTTCCGCCAGGTACACCTTAGGCCATGATTGCGTCCATCCACTGGTGTAGCAGACAGACGACGACACTTCGTCTTTGTTGACCTTACTCCGTACAACACTGTGTACAGAATACTTCCGGCGGCGAATCCACTGCACAAGTGCCAGAAAAACCACACTTGACCAACTCAACGAGGGGCTGGCACTGACACCAGGGGGTCACAGAGGAGTAACAGCCGCCCTCATCCATTGGCTGCCTCTGTTTCATCTGTGAGATCTGTATGAGCCACGGCTATATGCAACACGTATACTATGCACATAGTACCACTGCTCGCTGCAGCAGAGTGGATGTATTGCCGCCAGAGGAGTCTGTTCTCTAGAGAGTACATCTCGGCCAGGCTTGCTCTGCACGCTCGACGTGCATGCCATCAGCTGGGTCTCCTTGAGGACTCGAAGTCGAAGGTGAAGCCGAAGCTCGTATTACTAACTCCATGGATTGTGTGCTTCGCTTAAGAGAATACTTATCTCGGTCTATGCCCCCCACTTCCTGTGCAAGATAAGGTACTTGGGTACTTGTAGGTGGGCTCGTGGGACCTTCCGGGCTTAACCGGTTGTCCACAGTCGTCGTCGTCGTTTGCACTCCCTTGAAACCAAGCATCGCCAGCCAGGTGCCTAATTACTTGGTACCTACAGACCTACCATAGTCGTCGGTGTAAGCATGTCTACTGTGGCACAGCTTCAATTCGCGGATATCGCTCGGTGTCTGTTGTCGCGAGAGACGGAAACAAGGGCCAAATCGAGTCCACTTGAGGTTCCCTTGCTCGTGCCGGCTGTCCGGGCATCTGGGGATTTACTGTGTATGTAATTGTCACAATCAACCGAGCCTTGTTTGGAGACACCGTCGCATCTTACCAAAACATAATCCACCTTTCTCTGTCCAGTAACTCTTTCGGTCAGAACTTGGCGTGCAGGCTCTTCATGGTCGGAAGCGAACCCTGTCCACAACCCGTGCTGTTGCCCCATTGTCTCCGTTAAGCTCTCACTAACCACCTAGTGCTGTGTCCCACATTTAACTGGCTGTCAAATGCCAATTAACTCTTCGAGCCTCCGCCCGGTGTTTGCTTATTAGACTGATGCAGGGGGACGAGCCTGCACAAATCAAGGTGCTGGTTGGGAGCTGTTTGCATCCTCTGAGTGCTGCGTCAAGAAAGTTTGGATTAAGATGCACCCTCCGTATACAAGGGTCTGTATACAAACTCAGAGCAAGTGGTTTGTTGGTGAGGTCATGGTCTCGAAGCTGGCCCATGACGAGTATTACAACGGTTACAATGGTAACTTGCCCTTGAGACCTGACACAAATCCTGGCATGGGAGGATCATCTGGCTCCGAAACAGTCGCCCTTCCTTCATGGTCTGAGAGCGTGAATAACTCTGCTAGGCAAGGCCAACTTTTAGCTCACTCGGATTCGGAGCGCCCCGCCATCGTAGCTGGGATGGGCCAACGGCGGGCTCAGGAGGCTGGCAGGTGCACCTATTGTACGTATCAAGTTGATCATCAAGCCTCGTAATCTGATTTGCTTGTCCGTTCGCGTAGCACTCTTGAGGCAAGATTCTGAAACACGACCGAGACCACAGCCCTCCCGTTGGTGCAGAGCGTTTGATGCTTTTGGGAGCAAGCGTGTGGAGTTGCACCTCCCAAATATCGTCCCTTTCCGGTATCGGGCCCCGGCTGGCTTGCAGTTGGTGTTGGTTGTATTCCGCCGCAAACATAGACGGAGTCTTTTCCGTCCTGCTTGCGGGAAGATTGTTGTTCTTATTTCATGACATGATTGACGCTGGAGTGATCCACGAGACTATCCGTTCAGAATCCGTCAGAATCTTGTCCTGGGCAGCGATGCGAGGTACCCGTACCTGAGCTCCCGCGGCGCAGTCGTCGCTCAAGCTAGATTATTCGAGACGAATTCTAAGCCTGGCTTGACACCAAGGTGCCCATCCAGTCTCCAGACGGGCCGCCTTCACCTACAGATGAAGATTTACATCATCATTGTCCAGTCAAAGAGAGATTTTTGGCTCCCGTTCAGTGTCCAGCCCTGAAATGGCTCTTCCAACCTGGCGGCGACCATGGAGGGCGCACAGGAGATTAGCTGCTCGGCTACGGAGTAGAGACTTGGACAGGAAATTCAGCCTTTCGGCCTCGGGAGGCCATTACTCTCTTCGTCATAGCCACGCAACTAAAGCCCGCGTGCCTCAGGCGCAAAAGTAACCCTCGAAAACCGCCGCCTAGGGTACGCGCCTGTGGCAGCAGACGGGATCGAATGATGGGTATCAGGTTTTGAGGTTGATGACCTCGCTTCGGGATACGAGGACCGCGGTCTTACCCTAGTGCCTCCTTCACCGCCTCAAATCGACGATCTGTACTCCGTAGTGTCTGCAGTTGCGAGTCGCTTTTGTCATGTCAGTCGTGCAATATCCGAAACTGGAATCGAATTCGAGTCGCCTGCCCAGACGCGAAGACAGATAGAAGCCTGACAAGCTCGATCCTTAGCGGTGAATGAGCGATTTTTCTGGCATATTACTAGCATTCAGCGCATCTGTCTCAGAGACGACTAGCAACCTCGCTGTGCAGCAACATGACTGGCGATGTTAAAGTTCAAGTGGCAGCAAGATGCTCCCCGGCTTCCTGTGTCCGGCTCGCCACGTGGTGTGTAACGTAGCGACCCGACATAGTGGTCAGCTTGCATGAGACTCGGTCACCAGAAGCGACGCCTGAAAGGGGCTCCATCATGGCAGCACAGAGACGGCACCTCGTCCCGTTTCGGGCTGTCTTCCGCAAGCCATGGTTGAGTGGTTCGCCTCTGGCTGGCCGGAGGCTTTTTCACATTGCCTCATTCGCCTGCGCTGACGACCCATCTCTGTGGTAACGCAGTTACAACAGGGTTGTAATGCACGCTGTCAGAATATGCAAGTCACTGCACACCTGGATCGTTAATGTGCATGGCATTGAGAAGGCACCACCAACATCGTCAGCTCTCTTGTCTCGCCTACTATGCGACAACTACATCATAGCCACGCATGATTGTGGGTGGCAGATTTCTCAGCCTTGAGAAATGTGGCACCGGAACCCATGTCTTCCGCAAACGCTCGACGAAGTCCTCAGCAGTGGCACGGCCTACCGTCTTACAAGTACGTACATCGTGAAGGAAGGCGTTTCAGACGTCACCCACTTCAAAGCATTCCCAAGGCATTATAGTCCCGCGTCCCCAGTGCAATCGTCGAGTGGCACTTCCGTAGTAATCTGGTCATGCAGCGTCGTAAAATAAAATTACAGAAAAGGGCCGATGGTTCTGGTCGTGGAAGAAGCGTGCAACAACGTCTCAGTCCAAGAGGATCACCATAGTGGTGCCTCGCCGAGAAAGATCTCCTTCTAGAAGACAATTTGGTGGCTCTCGTGTTTTTCTGGAGGCTTCGAAATTTTGTTCCTCGGACTAGAATCGACGCCGGCGTCGAACAATGACACGCCCCACACACCATGTGGAAGCATTACAGTACCGTGATACTCCGTGGGTGGACGATGTGACATTATGGGGCGGCACAAGACTCCTGCTCAAAGTACACGACCTCCTTCGTGCTCCTTCCGACCTTGCCGAAATGAAAGGGACGGAATTATCGTGCCAGAACGGCACGAAATAGTCATCACCAATAATTGCTGAGGCAGGAGTCCCAAATGATGTACTCCGTACTGGGTATTCTCCTTCGCACCGTGGTCTCCGAGGTTGTCCTGCCGATCAGCAAGGACCTTGGTGTTCTCGCAGATGAGGAAACTCGTGCCCGAGGGACCCGAAGGCCCTCTTTCTGATCTGCATTTCATGATTCCTTCCTCTGAGCATTTAGCGTTGGGCGTCAACCAGCAATCTAAGTCGATCAGACCCCTTTCAGGGAGAGAATCTGCAAGTGTGATCAAAGCCTGCAAGCAGTTGTTGGCATGATCGTCTGCATGTGCAAGGTCCTGCGGTGTTGTAATGATGATTCCCCTGGAAAGCATTCCCTAGGTCAGCTTTCCGTGCCTATCACCCAATCCTCCAAATTCATCCGAGTGCGGCAAAATCATGCTCGGGAGCTGACGCTCTACTGCTTGAACTGATTGGGGTGATGTTTTAAAGGGGACAGTGGAAGTCACGGACCTATCAGTCCGTGATACTTTTCCCGTGTCCACTTGTAGATGTGATCGTTATAGAAACACTAACCTTGCAAAAGTGATCAACATGACGTCTGCTTGGTGCTGACAGGCTGGCTGATTATTCGCGGCCCCAAGGTGCCTGGAGCTGCATCAGATCAAATGATCAAGGGTGTCAAGGGGGATCGAGTTGACCACAGGATGTCGGGAAAGACAACCCCGAGACGCCTCGCAACTGAAGATCTGGACGTGGACGTTTGTGGACGGTCCTGAAATGATCTGCGGCATTCATAACGGCTGCGGTCAAGCATCATCGAGATGTTATCCTGCTACTCGTACCCTGCTCTCGAAAACAGACATAACGGAGCGATAGGCTATACCACCATCGTACTCTGGACCGGGACGACATAGTGACAGTGCGGGCAGGCGCAAACCAGGAAACACTTTCCTTAGGCCCAGGATCGAGGATTTAGGCTTGGAGGTGACTCCTCTAACTTACTCCTCGCTCCTCAGACGGCTCTGAACAAATATCATCTGCCATGCACCGTGCCGTCTCTCTCGCTCTGTACAACGTCATCCTGGACCAGTGGTGAATGCCGACAGCTCTTGCATGTAAGCATCTACGAACATCGACAATGCTGTACAAGAGAATCGGCATCGTGGTACACTCCGACGAGAAAAGCAGTGTCTCAAAGAGCGGCTCGCTGTTCAGCCCCTGTGCCTACTCGACAGCAAGGAGCGTCGGACTGCCTCGGAGATGTTGGGCTTGCAAAATCAAGGGATCTACATTGAAAATGACCAGCTTGTGCGACCGAGATCTCTCGTGCTGACTCGAATCCAAACAAACACAACACTGAGAATAACTTTCCCCAGCTCGATGCTGGGTCTGGCCAGCCCCAGACTGCTGACTGGACAGGTCACACAGGTCTACTGCAAGCTGACATGCCGCCCCCTTTCACAACCATGCAGCCACTCAGCCAAATCAATGGTGGCTACTGACATGTTCGTTGAGCCTGGGGTTTTTGCCGGAAAACCATACCCGACCGTCGCAACCATCTCCTTGAATTGCATTCGAGCCGAAAAAGACACGGCGAACAACTACCATGAGATGTACATGGGGCACCGGTGAGTGAGTGGACTTGAAGACCCAGGCGAGAAGGAACCCTGTGCTATGCAGTCGAAAGTTCGCAGAAGAAGCCCAGCACAATGATGGTCCGATCACCAACATCACACGCTCGCCAATGCCTCATCCGCTACCTTTCCAACTATTGGATTTCACAAACTCCCCTGCAGTGTACCGCCCAGACCAGACCAGCCCGCATGCGAACGCCTCATCTGAATGCGCCCGCTCTTCCCATGGCCGAGACTGTTGATCAAGGGGGTGAAAATGTGATGAGCCATTCATTCCCTGCATCAAATGCGCCAGAATGCTTGCACCGCTCCGCTCGTGGCTTACAGCGCCACCCGTATTAAAACCCTTGGGGATGGTAACTTCGTCAAACGTTCGCTATCCGAAAAACAACAATGCCTTGTCAATAAAGGGCGAGGCATGAGGGGGCGGGGCCCCCTCGCAAGCCTTGCGACAGAAGGGGTTTTGTCGACGGTAGCGAAGACACAGGCCAGCCCGATATCACATCCACGCACATCCGAACATCGAGCGTCAATGGACCGCCAGAGTGGCAAGCTGCACAGCAAGGGAGGAGATGGCTGTCAAGTCTGCGTCATGTGGTCGGCTCGTTGCTCGAAAAGGAAAAGATGCGAGCTGACACGTTCGCTGCAATATGCCCTGCATTCTAGTGTTCCCAACGGCCGCATAGCCGTTTTTGAAGAAAGTCCCATGCACCAAGCCCCGCTTGCTTTTACGAGGATCCCAGATTTGCCTGTTTGCCTAAAGTTCGGATCACATCTTGCGGCGGGAACTTGAACCTTGGAATGCTTTTCCAGAGTCCAGCGTGCGTGGTTGGATCGAGATTGTGAGGTGCATCGGCAACCGTTGGCCCACGGCCACGGAAGTACTGTACGTAGTATTTCCCCATGCACGAGGCGAGTTCGGAAGGACAATACGCGGTCCGAAGTTTCGGTTTCGGATCCCCCAATGGTCCATTACGAGATTCCATTCCAACGTCGGTGACCCACGCAGGGCCATGATCATTTATTGCGCCAAAGTCTTTGCCCTCATTACGAGTATCAACATCTGTGACCCACGTTTTAACTGACTCAGTTGCGACGACGGCGACAATGACAACGACGTCAAATTATCTGACCTGTTCCATGTTGAGGACAAGTGCAACCTGTAGCCAGCAGCTGAGATGCACATGCGTCAAGACGAGCTGGGCTGGGGCTGGGTTGCCTGGAAACGTGGGATGGACAGTGGAAAGAATGCGATCTGTCAGAATGCGATTGGCCATCGCCTCGAGATCCTTTTTTCTGGTTTATGGGAAGTGTTCAATACTACCTCGGAAGGATTTTGACACACACCCTCCTCGGCCAGCCACTTGACCTCCACATCAACTGACAACTCTCCAATCTTCCAGAAGAAGTATAAGGACAAATTGACGTGAAATCTCAAACTCTACAATGCAAGGTACTGGGGGCAGACTGGGCTTCTCACCGCCATACGTAGTACTCCTAGCATGGCAAACCTGTCTGATAGATTTACTCTGTGATCCGTAGTGCTTGTGTGCATCAACCTCTGGCAAAGACTGAGTCGCATGCATGCATGTCCCGCGACACCCACACGTCTCCAAACGTAATCACATCTTCCCACCCTTGTCCGCAGTCGCCGAAATATACTCCTTGACCAGCTTCAGCGCCTCGATCGCAAAAGCCACCATATTCGCATTCCTGTCGTTGCCACAACTCGTGGTCAGATCCTTACTCAAGGCTCCTTTGTCCCCGACCACCGCCAATGCCACGTAGCCCCTGCCCTCCCCAAATCGCGGTTTCTGTCAGTATGGCTTCTCTTGGGACGCCGGAAAATGAAAAAGGGAGTCCACGGCGGTGCCGACTACTTACGGCTGCCTATTCGGCGTCTTCCCACTCGCCGTAGGTCCTGCAGTGCCACTCTAATGAAACACAAAAATTCGTAAGTTCTTCAAGTTCTGGCTCGGTATTACTTCGTACCATTCGTACGTCCCAGGCAAAAGAACCTGGCCAAGGGGGGTCCAATCACATCAAGGGGAAAACAAGGAGCCGTGCCAAAGGAATGAAAACAGGAAAGTATAGGACGGCAAAGGTAAGTAAAGACAGGCAGGTACTAGATGGCTACAAACCTCTCCGACACAGTAATCCGACTCCAGCGTCTTGCGCACGTGCGTCGCCAGGCCGGCCACCAACTCGGGCGTCGGCCCGTCGTACTTGTCGATGTTCTCCTGGGTCCAGCCCGCGAATGCGACGCGCGACGGCAGCGTGTACAAGGTCAGTCCGCCCTTGTAGATGCGCGAGGCTCCGGGAGTGGCCAGCAGCGCCGCGGACACGAGACCGCCGGCGGCTGTCTCGGCGACAGAAATGGTTTCCTTGCGCTCGCGGAGGAGTGTGGCGACCTCTTCGGCGGCGGCGGCGAGGTCTGGGGGCGGGAAGGACGACGAAGATGACGACATCTTGAGGCGGTTGGTTATTGTTCTTGTTGTTGGTGTTGGTGTTGGTGTTATTGTTTTTGCTGTGTGGTGCTGCAGGGTCCACGAGCTCCTTGTGATTGACGACACGATTGTCCTTGACGGTGGTTTGAAGGGCATACACAGTATATCCAGCTGACCTTAACTCGTACTTCTTGGTGGTGAGTTCCAATATTCCAATCAAAGCAGTGTATAAATGATGGTGGTCATGGAACGATTACAAATGCGGAGAGAAAGAGAAACAGAAGAGCCTCGGGAATATCGTCATTATTTTCATACCGAGTCAGCGAGAGTCCTATATTAGTACTCTAGGTGGTGCTTAGATAAACTCCAATGATCAAATCATTCAAGTCCTGTTGCATTTATCTACTTCAGACCTTTCCAACTTACCACGCATCATACAAGGTGTCCTTATTTCTCAGTCACAATTAATGCCACCGCCTTAGTCTGGAAAGTGGAAAGGCAAGCAGGCTCTCAAAACGGAGATCCCGGAAGGCTGGCTAGTTGCAATGCTTCTCGCACTTCAACTAATACTTGGCTTGCACACAGACTGGCCGCACTGGGGCTTTTGACCGGAGAACGAGAGGCTAGTTTGCTCAACGAATGTCGTCCTTCATGGGAGCACTGTAACCCCGATGTAGGATTTCCTGGATCCTAAATATGGTTCATAGCTGAGCTGTCACCGCGGTCGCCGCTATACTGTTATTTAGAATGCATGTCAGCCTGAGTGTGAGCATCACGCCAAGGGTTTGATTGAAGCGGTGCCCATTTTCAGAAGAGTGCTGCTCGACAAAGGAAGGTCTGCCTTATCTGACCACGTCCATAACACAACTGCCCTGGCATAGTATACCGAGAACCCCTAGCTCTTGTGCAATTGTCGACTTCGTGATGTCTCTGGTTCCACCGTCCGAGTTTATCGCAGCAGCCAAACCCTGTTTCTTCCTTAATCCTGCACTGCGTCGTTGACTCGTAGGAAGCGATCAGATGAGGCAGCTCCAGCCCAAGACCATGTACTCCCATGAATGGCGTTGACTGTTGCGTCCAGAGACTTCCCGATCCTGCCAGCAGTGCATGGGGGGTTCATTCTGTGGGAACGTGGTCCACATCTGCTCGAGACCCGAGCCTCAGCAAGATAGGGTCACACTCGGTATGAACAGAAATGTTCACTGATTGATATCGTCGTACCCAGCTCGAGAGTTTTCGACGTGTCTTTATCTTTTATTGTTCCGATTTGCCTGGCCTAGCTCTTCTGACATGTCCGTCGATACGTAAAGTGATGACAGGAAGATGGATTTGAGTCGAAAGAACAGCCATGAAAGCCCCATCCATGCCATCCTCGCCTGAGCTTTCAGTACAGCTCGGTGCTGGTTCGTTTGGAGCGGGATCGGATTCAGCAGGGCTCGGCGTAGACGAGCGGTTCCGGACGAAGCTGATCAAGCTGGTTTCGTCCCTTCATCACATCGCGCTAGATTATTGGGACGGAAGTAATGGCTCTCGATCAGTGACACTGAGAGTTGATGATGCTCACGTCGCATCCTCAAATGTGGCGTACTCCGGTCCACTATCTCGCCCACACGGATCGTCGATGCTATTGCCAACGACACCTCCTTGCCTTCTGACGACTGGTGGCAAGGCTATCTCCACAAACTGTCAATCTCGCCTCCTGAACGCTGGTCGTAGGGGATTAGTAGCACCAGGCCTGGGAGATGGTGGGCTCGGCCTAGTAGCAGATATGCGGTGTGATGCCCAACGAGTTCAACAAGGTCATCAATCTGATACGATTCAGCAATGTTGCTTCTCTGCCCAGAGTTCATGTTTTCGCCCTGCCTGGGTCCTGGTGGAGGAGCTTGGGGCAGCTTAGCCTCTGCACATCTGTGATTGGACTCACCGAAGCGATGGTCGGGTCTGCCATGTGGACCAAGACAATGCGTTGTATTGGCGATCATCCGGTCAGTCCGAGGCCCCTAGTGAAGTGTTAGCGGTATCAGACATGATAACTGGAGTCTCCGGCGAAGAGTACTCCGTATTCTACAGAATGGTGTTCATCATGTGTTCGTGACAGTAGCCTGCTGTATCCGCTGGCATACCAATCACTGGCTGGAAAGAACTTGGCAATCACGCTTGCACGATCGAGCCGTAGCACTTGTGGTCTGGATGGCGACATCCTTGTGCCGGCATCAAGATGGAGGATACTAGGCCAGTAATGCCGGTCCAATCCGTGTTCAAAGCGAGATTTCAATGATCGGAATCCTGAAGCGGTGTCAGCTGCTTCAGCGTTGTGCAAAAATGGTTGTATTCAGAGTGCGAAAGGCTCCGGACTATTCGTTAAGGGTTGTTTGATTGAGTTGCGTTCCTTGAGGTGACGTCTAGACAGGATCAAAGTAACAAAGTTAATGCAGCTCGCTGTCGCATATTCTCTGGATTTCAATCCGAATGAAGTAGTACTCATCTTCATCTTCATGCGTTTCGAGCTCCCAATGCAGCACATGGATAAGGGAGCTTCTGACTCTGGCTGGTGTACTACCAACTGCCATCGTTGCTGCCCTTCCTCCTCCCGTGGGAGCTACCGCGAATCGACCCGCACCGTCTGTGAAGAGAGCAGGTGATGTGTATCAATCATACTCCGTATGTGCCGGTAACGATGGCCAGCCAACAGAGAGATTGATGCACTCTATGCCGAGCTCGTGCGCTTGCCCCAGGCGGCCCACCACTTGAATTCGACTCCGGTTGTGTCTGATTGATCTTCGACCTCAGTCACAAGGTCATTCCAGGCGGTCGGGCTCATGGTAGCAGAATCGCCCATCTTGGCCAGTCCATTTCCGACTGCCTGTCTCATGCCACTGAGCCAGACCCTTCCGGCTTGTCTCGTCCCCTCATCCTTCGCGCTCACCCCTAGCCGGACAGCAGCTTCCTTGTGGCCAATTTCGACCACCTCGCCCGTTGCGCTCAACAATTTGTCCAATTTATCACCAGCATGGGTATTAAGACCAAAACTGCCGAGAAACTTGCCCAGTGTATTCATTAGTTTGAGAAATGGCGGGTCGCCCTCCTCAATCTCTTGGATTGGCAGAGCGCTATCAACCAGCTGAATATAGCCGCCCGGTTTAGCAAGTCTAGCAAGTCTGGTTATGGCCTTGACCGCGCCATCCCAGTCACCCGTGTTAGAGATGACGGCGCGCTGGTGGACGAAATCGAAGGTGCCCTGCCATGCCTCTGGCCAGTCGGCGTTGATGTCCTGCTTGTGCCACTCAATATAGTCTGGCTTGTCCACATTCTCCTCGAATGGCGCAATGTCCGTGCCGATCAAGGTGGCCGAATCCGGATGAGCCAGCATGGAGCGAAGTTGCGTCAGGAACAATCCATCAGCGGTTCCCGAGTCCAGGACGCGTAGGTCAGAAGCAGTCAAGTCGACTGGGCACAAGACAAGTCCATCAAATGCCGCTGTCACCAGATCACTCTGAGCTTTGAGACGTTTGGTTTCAGACAAATCCCGTGGACCAGGGTAGTTTGGCTTCACAGATGAGTATGTAGTCGACATTGCTGGACGATGTATTTTGTTGCAAACGAATAGGCTTCAGGTGATCAAGCCTCTGTGACTAGCTAGGTCGACGCTCTTGCTTGAAATGCAAGAGCGAGGGAGAGAATAGCTCCTCCGGCATGACGAGCATCTCGAGTATGTAGCAGTCTGGGGATGTCAACCTGGACGCCTGACATGTGTTGGTGTAAGCAGGAACTCGCTGCTGCTGCTGCTGGATGTGTGTACACAAGAGCAAGAGCAGCTACTGTACGGTTGGCAACTAGAGCCAAAACGGCAATTTTCCCGCAGTCTCAATTCGAACCTGAAAAAAAGTTCAGGAATTTCAATCAGGACAACTCTGCAAGTTCATGAATAGACTGAGAGGCTTCTCGAGATGCGGACCTTGCCCAATATCTTGATCGCAGGTACGCCTGGCGTCGGGAAAACCACCACCTGCAACGAGCTGCTCAGCCTAGCATCTCAATCCTCTCCGCCGCTTAACCTCAAACACCTCTCCATCAACGACATCGTCAAGGAGCGGTCGTGCCACACCGGCTACGATGAAAATTTGCAAACCCTGATCGTCGACGAGGACAAGCTTATGGATGAAGTCGAGAAAGAGATCACAGACGGAGAAGGAGAAGGTGGCTGGGTCATTGACTGGCATTCTACCGCCGGGTTTGCCGTACGATGGGTCGATCTTGTCGTTGTCCTGCGATGCCAGGAAACGAACACACTCTATGACAGACTCATAGCGAGAGGTTACAAGGACGAAAAGGTACAAGAGAATATGGATGCTGAAATATTCGCCGTCGTGAGTGAGGAAGCCCGTGAGGCTTGGGGTGAGGACGGCCAGGTGGTCGAGTTGAACAGTGTGGGAGCCGAGGATATCGAAGAGAATGCAGAGAGAGTGCTGCAATGGATTAAAAATTGGGTCAAAGATCAGGGAACACAAGAGAACGGAGACTGAGACGGCGATGAATACCCTTGCAGATACCATTTGGAGTGTGTCCACAGGGCGATGCCTGATCGATTCCGGGTCGCCAGCCATCGGATAAGCCAGGCCATTCTTTTCTTCCGACTCGGGCGTCCCTGCTGTCCAACTGCGACCACTAGTTCAAGGCTCCAGCTCACCACCAGCAAGCCAGACTTTCAGTTTCTCCAGAGCTTTGCCTCTGTGGGAGACCAGGTTCTGCCACCAGGAGTCAGCATACTGGCCAGAATGTTTCAAAGTCTTTGAAGGCCACAACAACCGGCGATGGGCCCGTGCCGATCACATCCAGGGCATACCTTTTCAGCCTTGTCCATCTCAGCATACGTCTTATCCTCGTATTCGAAAACCGGGTCCCAGCCTAACCCATGGATCAGTATGATGACTCATTCACAGCGATCGGTTCAGTGGACGTCTGAGTGTAACGGGACATACCAAAGTTTGGCGGCCCTCTCGCAGGCACGATCTTTCCCCTCGTCTGCCCCTGAAACAAGATCGGCTCATGTCCCGGTCCAGCGCAATATGCGAAGGTGCATACAGCAAAGGCGGTCTTGTCTTGGTACGCGGCCAGCATGTTATTCAGCCCTTCGTGGCCGAGTGCACCAAGGAAGTGTTTTCTGGATTGGTGGGACAGTGTGTCAGCAGAAAACATGGAAGAGACTGAACGGTCAGGTCAAAGTGCACATAGAGGACGGGACGTGGAAGGTCAGGCTCATCGTCCGAGGGGGCGCCGTGGTCCAAATCTAGTGTAGCATGACAAAGCGAATTCATCGTCAAGACGTACATGTACGGCCCAGGCAAGCCCTTCAAAGCCTGAAACTCTAGAGCAGTGTCCTCGGTCAATACGGGTCCTCCAACCTAGCAACAAGCATCTTTGGTTAGCACATTTTTTGTATTCCGTAGCCTCTCGTGCAATTACAAGTAGATACCGCAATCGCAACCCCAACCGCAAAGCTCGACATGCCCCAGAGCAACGAAACACTCTGGAGCTTGCAGTCCTTCACGTCCTCCTCCCCCTCCCCCATCGACCTTGACCCGTCTATCATCGCAAGAGAGAAAGCGAGAAAGACAGTAAAGAAAAGGAGAATGTGACCTGTCTATCATCGCCAGAGAGAAAGAGAGAAAGACAGGAAAGAAAGAGAGAAAGAGAAGGACAGCAGAGAAAAAAGAGAGAGAGAGAAACTCACCACCTCCGCAGCCCTCGAACACTTATCCCTAGCCACCTCCTCGATGGTGCCCTGGATCTCGGCACCCTCGACATTGCGACTCTGCAATGTCAGATTCCGCACCTCCCCCAGAATCGCCTGGACTTCGGCGAGTTTGTTCGCGTTTCCCGTGATGAAGTTCAGCGTCGTCGGGCGTGGTTGGGACAGGGACATCCTTGCTCCGCCCCAAAAACTAAGGCGGTTGGAGATTCCGGCTGTTGACTACCTGGTCGACACTAAGGTAGCTCTATCTCGTCAATGTATGTGAGCACTCGAAAAGGTGCTGAGGCCTGAGTGACAACAAGAATCGCTGGCTAGGGTCTACGAAGAAGGACTCCGGAAACAATTCTTATTTTCCGACAAGGCTGGCATGACGATATGGGAAAAGTGGGACGCCGGTCGATGACTTTATACCTATGTGGTCACCCCATATGCAACACGCATAAATCTGCAGGTCATTCTGAAGCGCCTGACTCAAAAGATACCTCAGCAGGGATGTGGAGATGTCTTGTTGGTACCACCAAGCTGACCAAATTTCCCGGGACGCAGGTCTGGCACAAGCCTGTTGCACACAACAAGAGCAGCCTAGAGATGGTGAATTGAACCTTTCAAATCTGCATCGTCAACATGATTCCTTGAACTGATGCCTTGACTACGCCTATGCATGAGCTGTAACATATTCTATCAAGCCCATCCTTGTCCCATTCGCTATGCAATACCAAGAACCAGCCTCCCCATGCTCGCTGTTGAACACAATAACTAGTCATGTCCCGTGCTGGGGAATCGGAATCTTCTCCATACTGGTCTCGTAGGGTGCTCTCATTTCAGCTTCAGGAGTTCGAAGTCGCGGTATTTTCCGAGATATTTCTCTCCACGTCTGTGCGCCTTGAGCAACTTTTCCGGCTCGGCACATTTGAATGATGTGGTCCCTGACATAACGACCTTCTTCAGAGCAGGAGACGGGTTGAACATGGGATCAAAAACCATCAGATTGACATCCCCGTCCAGTCTGCTCTCGACACCGACAATTGTCATCGAGTGACCTTGATGCTGGAAGTAGATAGGTGGCTTGTCCGTTATGACAACTTTGTCCACATTGTCTTTGGTTGTGTTATCGTCGAAGTACTCGCAAACTGCACAAAGCATAGTCTCGGAGGCCTCGACATTACCAGTGGTCGTGTATGCCGTCGCTTCGCATGGAATATTCAAGCTCATGAACAATGCTTGTGCTTCAGGCGTGCCGATGTACTTTCGTGTCAGTCGGATGCCGCCAGTCTCGACTCGTCCATTTGAATTGATCCCCATATCCCAAGCATCCTCAATCAAATCCTGAAGTCGCAGAATAGAGGGCAACTTTTCACGAAAACATGCAGCCCCGGTAGCCTCAGCCCCGCGAACGTATGATATGAGCATCTGAATGTTGCGGTAACCGCAGAACCCTCCTTCTTTAGGCATCTTGCACACATGACGTACTTCGGGGCTGCAATAGAACGCACGTTCAACACTCCGGTCAAGCTGAGATAGTCGTGCAAGGATTGGTACGAGACCAGGAGTTTCATTCGCGATGCTTTCGACTCGGACTAAGGTGCCGTCGGGTCCGATCCTGTTAGTGATTGTGACCTGTGCTCCATCTTCAAGCATTCGTCGTAGCCAGTTAGGCATTTGACGTTCATGCGCATACGGCCCGAGTTCTGCCCTCTGTAGACTGTCAGCTTTATTCGGAAACTAACTCCGGTGTCCTCACCCCAAGACGTCGTGTCTTGCCTTCTTTAGCAGATACGGCATTGTATGGAGACTTTCTCTTGGACGATGCCGGGCTACCGAGGAAAATATCCTTCAGAGACGGAGTCCGTCGTTTGCCGCTGCTCGGAGGAGTTGTGGGCTGTAGCTGATCATAGTTCCGCAGAGATCTCGGAATATTGGTGCTAAAGGAATTAGAGATATTGCTCAAACGATGGTCGGCGGTAGAGGGAAGATTTGCCAGCTCGACTGCAGGAAGATCGCCATCCTCAATGGAAAGCTTCTCTTGAGCGTGCATGTCGGAATGTGCATCAAGCTCAAGAAAGTGTACCCGCTCGCCGCAGAAACACTCAACCCATTGTGCTTCATCGGTAAGATGGGCAACAGGCAGATCTACGTGGGATCCATTGGCACTTTCCCGACTTCGAGGAAGCTGTTCGTTGGAAGGAACAGTTTGTACCTCAGATAATGCAAGTTCTCGAGGAAGTCCGGCTTCTTCAAAGGCAAGAACCTGGGCAAGTTCAAAATCGCTCAAATCCGGCTCACTCTGCGGGCGAGATGGGTTGGATTGAGGATTTTCATTGTTTGGGTGTTGCACGTCAGCGTGAAGACGTTGCACGTGCCTATCAAGTTTATCGAAGTCATGGCTGACAAAAGGACAGTATGGACATCGAAGGTCTTTCTCTTGACGGTCGTGGGCCATGATACCGGATTGGTGACTTTCGCAAGGAAGTTTCTGGAAGCCACGTTCGTCGCGTTATTCAAGGCATGCAGCAGACAAACGAAGACGCTTCATGTGATGATCATCGAAGGATCCGGCTGGCACTGATCGACGACCCGTACGCAAATGGTGAGTCCGATCTCATGAATTACAGAGATACCCATGAGGACGATTCCAACAAGTCAAATAAGAAGGTAGACGCGTCTTGAGTGGCAGTGCAGAAGCAGGCTATCACAGTGGTGAATTACAGCGATGAATGAGCAGGCTGAGGTGAATGCCAAGTGATATGAGAGAATGAACAGGAAAACAAGGCTGTCTGACAGACAATTTATACTCGGAACCCCTAAGAATGAGCTATTATAGGGGTGAACTAGACTGCATCGAAGCTAAAATATCCCCCGTCACCCCCTATTCAAATTGCAACCGTCTCGTCAGACAAATCTGGTGTTTTGGTGGTTTAGGTTGCTGCGTCGGCTGAACAACTTGGCTGCGATGGACATGCATCGTCTCGAGTCTCTCACGTTTTCCATCTGCAAATGATGTTGACAACCTCTGTTTTCCTACTTCTATTTTGCATACAGCATGAAAAGAGAGGTAAGCTGCCTTGTCAGTGTTACCTCACTAGCGCTAAAGGTGGTTGAAACGCGATGGCGAAACATTGTGTGTCTCGTCCAACGCCAAAATGCTATATCGAGCTACCATGCAAACTTCCGCATATACATCAAGGATGCATGAAAGATGCCGCAGGAAATTGCACATTGCAGTATTTAATATGAAGAGTTGGGGGGGTTCTCAGGGCGAGTTCGTCAATTCTTCTTCAAGCTTCATTCTTCCCAACGACGATCTTTACCACGCGCCTGTTGACCAGGCCACCGTTCTTTTGCCTGGTGCAGACCTTCTTTTGAATTTGTACTATATTCTTGATTAAGATCATGATTGCCATGATCTATGCTGCTTTGCTGGGAGGCACATCCTTCGTTACGGGCTTCCCAGTCGCTGAGAAACGCACCGTGACGGCGCTTGACCAAGCAGCATTTGACGAAGCTCAACAGCGGGACGACACTGCTACAAGAGCATTTTCTTCTGTCTCCATCACCGTATGTTGAGCTCACTGGCCTTCGAAGAACGCTTGTTGACGACGTGGACAGACTTCTGATGGACAATGCCTCTTTGTTGATGAATTGTCAGGAGATTTCCGTGCCAATCTGACTCCCATCCAAGTTGGTGTTTGTGACGGGAGTGATGGACAGCTCTGGGATGTCATTACGGCTGGGAAGCATGACGACCAGCCGGGCACCATGCTCATTGTCAGCACAATGACACAAGCTTGCTTCAACTTTGATCCGCGTCGTGCTGCGGGAAACCAGGTGCTGCTCTTTTCTTGTGGTGGCCGGGCGGATGGTGGTAAGTATCGTGTTCTAGAATCGACACAGCTCAGGTGCTGACGACGAACTTTCAGGTGGTACTGTGACAGACTCGCAGCTCTTTCCTTTCAGTGGAAGCGCCGGACCGCAGTCCTTTTCTCCAGAGAATGCACCTGGTACCTGTTTAACAGTCAGGGGAGCCGTCATTGACCAAGCCACGTGCAACTCAGCAGACTCACACCAGTCGTTCACTTTCGGTGGTGCTGCCGCTTCATCTGCGGCCAATACCGCAGCTTCGAGTACAACTACTGCCGTTGCAGTCGAAAGCCCGACCGCAACTCCAACCACAGCTGCAGCAACAATCACTTCTCCGCCTGCTTCCTCAATAAGCACAGCAACAGTCTCTACCTCGGCATCCATCATCTCTGTTCTCAACCCCTCGGCAGCTGCAGAAGCAAATCCTCGAGATGATACTGCTACCCGCGCCTTTTCCTCCGTCGCAATCAAATCTGCTGATGGCCAGTGCCTCTTCATCGACCCAACAGCCGGCGACTTTCGCGAAAATCTCGTGCCAATCGTTCTTCAACCGTGCGACGGCAGTCCAAATCAGCAATGGGATGTCATCACGGCAGGAGTACACAATGACCAGCCGAACTCTGCCTTGATCGTTAGTAGCCTGACCCAGGGATGCCTTAATTTCGACCCGAGAAGAGCTGCTGGAGATACGGTCATTATGTTTAGTTGTGGAGGTAGGGCAGACGGCGGCGGTGCTGTGACCAACAGCCAGCTTTTCGCCTTCACCACTGGAGAGACGAGCTTAACGCTCCAGCCAGAGAATGGGTCAGGCGATGTATGTCTGGTAACGAATGCATCGGGAAGGCTCGATCAGGCACCGTGTAGTGGTGATGCTAGCCAGGTATTTACCATTGGCTGAAAGCGGGGACAGATTCAGAGCATGTGGAAGATAGAGTCTAATGTCTATTCTCCCCAAAGTGCATTGAAGCGTTCTCGCATTTCCAAGTGCCTCGAAAGGATAGGCTCGTATTTAGCTGCTGGTAAGCACGAGACAGGCGTCAGCAAGAAGAAGGCCGTCCCCGTCAAATCCATGGTGAGTATCGTATTGCTGACCGGACTGTCACCAGACCTAAGGAGATATCACCAGTTTCTCACATCACGTTAGGGAGTACTCTGGAATAACACTACCCAGGTGGTTTCCATACAACGATATAAGCACCTGATAAGTGTCACAGTAGTCGTAAGAGCTGTCTGGAAAGGACCTACGTAGTTCGGTAGTAACGGTGGCACCCAGAGTGGTAACTTAAGCGATGATGCCATTACGATTAGCGGCATGCCATTCGCCGAGATCGGACGCCCAGATGCCCACACCGCCTCGGGTAGCCCCTCGTTCAATTTTTTATTCTGCCGGAATTTTTCAGGTGAGTCGAGAGAAACGGGCCAGACGCTGACTGGCACTTCTGGCAGCAGTCGCATGGAGGAATGAGAATTATTCTATGAGCGTAATAAATGGACCAGTCATCATTCACCCTATCATCTTAAAGCCATACGTACAGGCTTGCTTGTCGGGGGTTTCAATAGCTTCCGCACTCGAGTCATTTTCGTTTGATGCTGTCCACTCTTCCTTGCTGTCTCTTCATTCACCTTTCTTGAAAGCATGCTACACAGTGACTCACAAACTATTCCTCCTGCCACATCATGACCACCGACATACTCGCCAATGGTGTCGACTGCGCGACGCCGATAACATCTGTGACTCCTTTCACGAACGGCACAAATACCCCCGTAACCAGTGCCACAATTGTCTTAAAGTTCGGCGGTCAGTCGAGTCGTTGGTACAACCCGCACCCATGGCTAACACTTCTCAGGAACCAGTGTTGGCAAGTTTCCTCTGGATATAGTCAATGTGGTCAAGTCGGGCGCGTTGGAGAATGATGTTGCGATTGTTTGCTCTGCGGTATGATCACCATGACTCAAGCGCACGCGCAGACTCCTAATCACTTGTTCTAGAGGTCGAGCAGTACCAAAGCCGCAGGCACAACAAACCGATTGTTACGAGCCGCCACCGAAGCAGAGAACCATAAAGAATTTAAACATTTGATAGAAGACGTCCGGTTGGACCATGTCGTGACCGCCGAATTCCATATTCAATCAGAAAAAATATGCGCCAGGTTAAAAGCCGAGATCGAAGAGGAATGCTCTTTGGTGGTACGGATACTGGAAGCAGCTCAGACTCTGGGTGAGACCAGCCCTAGGTCAAGAGACAAGGTCATGAGCACAGGAGAAAAGCTGAGCTGCCGTTTCATGGCCGCGCTGCTACAGGATCGAGGGGTGGAAGCCGAATATGTGGACCTTGCCGACATTATCGACTTCAAGGTCTCACACAGCTTGGACCAGCACTTCTACGACAATGTCGCCCAGAGGCTAGGGCAAAGGTTGCAGAACATGACGGGCAAAGTTCCAGTCATCACAGGATACTTTGGTGCCATCCCTCGTGGTCTACTCACGACCGTAGGCCGGGGCTACACCGACTTATGCGCTGCTCTGGTCGCTGTTGGGATCAAGGCCAAAGAGTTGCAGATATGGAAAGAAGTCGACGGCATCTTCACGGCCGACCCTCGCAAGGTGCCCACCGCCAAGTTGATCCCTCAGATCAGCCCAGCAGAAGCCGCCGAGCTCACGTTTTACGGATCTGAGGTCATCCATCCTTCCACCATGGACCAAGTCATTCGTGCACGAATACCGATACGAATCAAGAATGTCATGAATCCAAGAGGAGGCGGCACGGTCATCTACCCTGACACACCGACTGAATTGGACTCTGCGTTAGCAGGACACGATCCCAAGCTGTTCAGGTCACGGAGTTCCACCCTACTGGTGGAGCAGAGAAAACCCAAGCGTCCGACGGCAGTCACCATGAAGCACAAGATCCTGGTGATGAACATCCATTCCAATAAAAGGTCGCTATCCCATGGCTTCTTCGCGGGCATTTTCGCCACGTTGGACAAATGGCGGCTGTCAGTTGATGTCATCTCGACGAGCGAAGTCAACATGTCCATGGCGCTACATTCAGAGGCACCGTTGTATACTGGCGGCGGTGACGACGAATATCAGATTGTGGACCAGGATCTTCGGGGAGCGATTGAAGAGCTTCAGCGCTATGGCACCGTCGACATCATACCGGAGATGGCGATCGTCAGTCTGGTAGGGAAACAGATGAAGAACATGGTGGGCATTGCGGGCAGAATGTTCTCGACGCTCGGCGAGAACAATGTGAACATCGAAATGATATCACAAGGTACGTGCAACCGGACGACGGGTCACCGATCGACCTGGCCGTGCTGACTGTCTGAACAGGAGCGAGTGAGATCAACATATCGTGCGTGATTGAGGAGCGCGATGCGGACCGGGCGTTGAACATATTACACACCAATCTGTTCACTTTCTTGGAATCATGAGAGGCATATTTTCCAGCGATTTAGCGAGATATCCAGGAGCATTTGTGGGAGGTCTGGACATAAGACACGTGGTATAAACTGGCGTTTGCTAATTAGGTGGCGCTCTTTCTGCGGGCATATCAAAAGGACTTGTGTCATTGCCAAAATTGGACGGGCAAAAATCATACGAAGTATTCAATGCTTCATTTGAGGTGCTCCACGATGTACGTGGGATGATGTCGACAGCTTACACAGCTTCCCGAGTCGGGTGATTGGAGTGTGTATAGTTCAATAAGCCACAGCGGGCGACAGCTGTCAGGTTGGATTTGAGAAGCTCCATCCTTACGTCCACCAGCAGCAAGTGACAGTTCCGGCGTCAAAGACATATAGCTGATCTATGGAGGTGACAGCACTTGCAATCAGGTCAGAGTCGGTCAATTTGTGAATGTCGGAAGAAAACTATGTGACAAGGGAGGGGCATTTTTGGTGAAGAATGATGACAGTGCACATCATATCAAATTGGATGGTGGCGTACTACGTACTCGAATGCTTCGCAAGACTTTCTGGAGTGCCTTGGTCAATGGACTGGTGCCGATTCATGCAAGGGGAGCTCCATCACGCTCCATGCAAAGTCTACGGCCCGCAGTATGCCTGAGACAGAGTCCAGGAACAAGGCCAAAGAGGGACATTCCTGGGTACCCACGGATCGAGATCTGTATGATTGGATGAGGGTCATCAAGGGTGTAAGGACAAGAGGTACGAGGTAGAAGAGGGCAGCTGAGGCCGACCCATTGTCATACTCCAGCAAAGGTGAGAACGGAGAAGGCCTCCGTCACGCATCCGTGGCGCCCAAATTCCTTTCTTTTTTCTGTTCGTTCGTCTCCCGTGATCTGGGAACACGACCGTGTCAATGACCCGAGCCACTAGTCCCAAATAGGCAAAACCACAGCACGCCCGCGCGTCAGTCGGCGGAATCATCAGTCAAATCAAATGCATCGAATTCACTCTTCTGCCAGGCTTTTTCCCGTGTCAACCTAGTAGACACTAAACTACCTGGTAAGCCCATCCAGTGCCCATTCCTGGCCAGAGAAAGGTCGTGAAAGATCTGCAGGTGGTCTGAACTCTCGAGTCTCTCTGGCCAGTGCCTTCCTTCGCTGTCCCTCTTCTTAAACGTTAAACGCCCACCATCTCTCCACGCTTTGTGCGACCTCCTCTCACCCTTCAATCCACGCATCATCCATGCCACCTCTTACCTTCTGCATCACCTGTAAACAGTAAACACCACATTTTGGACACTCTGGATTTTGTCCTCTGAATTCAACTTCGACTCATCAATCCTCAACCGCCTCGCCCAATTCAACTCGAGCTTCGCATTCGCCCATTCCACACCAACCAGCCAGGCCTACCCCTCGATCCACCGCAGCCTCGATCTCGATTTCCACACTTCATTCTCCCGCACAGACACGTCCATTTTTCCTCCTACTTTCGAGAACCGGCTCGACTCTGACGTCCATCAAATCTCTCCCTGCCTTGCCCAAGCTCCGGCCTGCTCTTGCATTCAAAAGTCCTGTACCCTGTGTGCTCCGACCACTTGGGTTCGTGACTGAGCCTTAATCCTCTCACACGCAATCAGGGCATCCTCGAAATCTGGTTCATGGGCTCTACAACTCTCTATTCGACGCGACTTTCTCCATCAATCGAACTGTACTGGTGTCTGTGAACGTTCTACTGAAGTTGTCGCCATGGCTTCGACGCGTCAACACCACCAGTTTGTTCAGATCTACCAGGATCCAATGCCGCTGCCTTCGAACATGTCTCCCACCCACAAACCACGGCCACATTTGCAACCTTCAGCGATGCCCCTCCAGCCGATGAGGAATCCTCCTGCGCACCCCGAAGTCATTCTGAGCGCCCCGATGGTTTCGAGCCACCAGGTCTCACCCTTAAAGAGCCATCCGCTCTCACCACCCAAGCCCAATTACTCGAATCTCAACTACATACCCATACCTCCTCCACATTCGACGACCCATATGTACACCGACTCACCGGCAAAGAGACATATTATGCCCTCGGGTCAACAGTTTCAATCCGTGCAAATGATGCAGCAGCCACTCTTCACCACGTTCAACAGTAATTTTGACACCTTCGAACAGGAAAATTTCCCGCACCCTCCTATGCAGGACAACTTTGTCGAATTCCCAGAACCCTCGTACATGCGAAAGTTGCCTTTGAAGAGATCCTACTCCGATGCCCCGTTGGCAAGTGAGCGCCCTCTCAAAAAGGCGCGGCAAGACGAGGAAACCACCACAGTCATCCCACAACCCGAAGAAATGCCTGCCATTGAAGATGATGGGAACAAGCCGTCTTACAGCTATGCTCAAATGATCGGCATGGCCATACTTCGAGCACCAAATCGTCGATTGACATTAGCACAAATTTACGATTGGATCTCGACCACCTTTACGTATTATCGCGAGGACACCAAGCAGAGCTGGCACAACAGCATCAGACATAATTTGTCTCTGCACAAGGCATTCAAGAAACAGGAGCGACCAAAAGGAGACGCGGGTAAAGGAAGCTACTGGGTCATAGAACCAGGAATGGAAGGTCAATTCATCAAGGACAAGGACAAGGACAAGCACCGACGTGGCAACAATTTGGCGCACCTTAGCATCCACGCCAGCATCATGCGCTCTGACCCTCACAAGATGGCTCAGCCGTTGTCCGAGGCTTTGATGCCTAGTCCCTTCATGATTCAGTCAAGTGAGGCACCACCATCTCGACCCCAGACGGCTCCTGCACTCCCAGAATTATCTTCTGACGCCACCCTACCGGCATCTGATCCGGCCTTGGAAGAACAAGACGCGGCAGACACTGAGGAACATGTGCTCCCAGCAGCACCGAAATCCTCTCCGCCTGATGCCATCAACTCGTCGCCTCCCGTACGTGCTTCGAGCCATCATCGCAACATCTCGTCACCCACTGCACGCATGAAACGTCCTGCTTCAGCCCATCGACAGAAACGATCTCTTTCCAAGATGGACGACAGTGGGTATTTCTCTTCCATTGAGTCTTCTGTGCTACGGCCAAACAAGAACGCTGTGGTGCTGACATCGGAGCTCGACATCGAGCCGATGAGGAGGAAGACGGGCAGAGCTGAAGAAGAGATTGCTCGAATTCGAGGTTCTTCTCACGATTTGACGCCGAGTCATGCGAGATTCCGTAACGCCGCCATAGACATTGCGCGGTCATCCTCCCCTGTCAGAGTCAGCCCAGCCACGAGATTGAACCCTGTCACGCCGTCGGTTGTCTTCAAGAAACCAATTCGGCCACCTCATTCGATCTCTCCCAATACGCAGCTACACCTCCATCGAAAGGCTATGCGGGACTTTGCGAATTCTCCCATCAAGAGTTTCGGTCAGTTCGAAATGGACACGTACAGTCCTCTCAAGTGGTCAAACTTTACCCCTCTTGGCCCTGCCGAGGACTCATTCGAGATCTTCTCCGATGCGCCGATTGGAATGACACCTGCTACTCCTGCCTTTGCATCATCACCGCTCAAAGCGTCGGTCTCTCGTCCGACATGGGGACGAGCGTCGACCACGGGCAATGTGCTGTCCGAGATGGTTGGAAGTTCTTACAAGCTTAATGCAAAGACACCAACTCGAGGCAGTCTACTTAGACCCGGAGTACGTGCTACTCTGTCTGGATCCCCTCTGAAAGGCTCGATGGAAAGCATCACGGGTCTTGGTGAGCATGAGCTTTTTGACTTCAACTCTTTTGAGAACGAAGTCTCGGATAATGAGGATGGCGTTGATATCCTGAAGGGCTTCGAGAAGATTGGTGGACCTTCGGTGCAGATGTCTGCTGATCACATTCGACGACCTTCACTTGGAGGTCGAAGTTTCACCTCTCGGTTCTAACGTGTTGATGATTGACTTGATACATAATGTTCTCTTGGGATTCAAAGGGCGGACGATGGTTTTCCCGTTCCTTGTGTTAGCGACTGGTTGGATTCTATTGAACAGCGTTTGGACCTGCTGAGCCAGGACATGAATTTTCCTGTCAGCTGGAGTGTGGGCTGCTGAAGTCTAACTCAGCTTGGGCAGAGAAGACATTTTACGATGTCAAGAGCTTATGACTTTTCATACTTGTCTTTTTCATGCCTTTTCTTTTTGACGACGATATGGGCTGTGATGATCAATAGTAATGGATGGGGCCTATCACTTTGGAGAAGCATAACACAGAGTATGTATGTCTTATGCAGTTTGGTTAGAGTGGTTGCGCAGCAATGCAATGACTTGCTCCTCATATCACGGAGCTAATTCTCGACTTGGCTACTGAGAGCATCCATATACTTGAAGCTTTCCTTGTGAAGCATCATCTCAAAGGGTCACAACAGAGCTGGATGAAAGATCGCTGGGTTACCCTCAATCTGTTATCGTAAACGCGGAGTACCGGAAACATTGCTCGATCGCACGCGTGGCCGTGTGCCTTGATTCTGTCGGTAGCTGCTTCGAATTCGCTTATCGAAAGGGGCGTGTAGTGGCTAACACGACGGGTACGCAGGAGATGAGGATGAATACGGGAGTACGAGGCTGAGGAAAGGCTGGGCCACGTGACGTAGGGTGCGTCTCGAAAAAGTTGAAGGTCTTTCTCGCGGACTTTGAATCCAATGGCTTGATTCTCAAGTAACCGCACCACCTCTGAACGATCGACTTTTGCCGACCTCTCCGAGGTATCAACGGCCATCAGCATACAGAGTTGGTTCCAATTGAGCTTTATGTAGCTCGAAGGACTGGATTGCGCCTGCAAGATGTCGGCTCCCCGATGTCTCCGGACAGCTATTGAAGCATGTCGACCGTGCAAGGTACGCCGCCTCTCATCGTGCCTAGCTATCTCGCTCTCCATCGAATCCAGGCACAGTGCATGTACTGAGTTGGAATTATTGAATGGCTCGCCACAAATGTCTCAACTAACACTCTCTGATCCAGCCTTCTACAATCCGCGTTCAACCTCGAATACTTCCTCCACGAAGACGAGATTTCTCCTCCAATGTCCCACGATGTCTTCCCGAAGATATAACAGCAGGATTCCCCATGCCTGAAATCGGATCGCACAAGCTTGACTCCGACGAGCAATCAACCCAAGCCGAACCTGTTCAGTCCCGAGCCGAATCTCAATCTCAATCCCGACCTCAGAAACATGAGCGAACTCAACAACGAACACCTATGGTTCCCGGTGCGACACACACCCTGAAGGAAAAAGTCCCATCCCACAAGCAGACTGCCCGCGCCAGTCGCTCATCGACCAGCCTCCCACTCCCCCAAGAAGTCGTCGTCGACGAATCCCTGCCCTCAGCAGATTCATCAGCTGAAACTACACCACCCCCAGTCCCACCAAATGTCCTCGCGGCATACCGCACACCTCTTCGCCACGCTCCTACGCACGGCATCCCTGTCGCCCAGCTCCAGCTGCACTCTTACTCCGTACGCAACCTGCAATTTTACGCGGACTTTTGCGTCCGTGCTGCATTTTACCTGGGCCTACCATGCTCTGGACCCGCTCCCCTCCCGCGCAAGACAGAGCGCTGGACGGTGTTGAAGAGTAACTTCGTCAATAAGAAAGCGCAGGAAAATTTTGAAAGGATCACGATGAAGAGGCTGATAACGATATACGATGGTGAGGCAAGTGTTGTGGAAACTTGGCTGGCTTTCATCAGGAAGTGGCAGTTCTATGGAGTGGGTTTGAAGGCGAATGTATGGCAGTGGGAGGGCTTGGGTAAGTCTCTTTTCTTTAGACTCGGTCTTGTTGCGACTTGCTAACTTGATGGATAGATGTGGCAGGTAAAATGGACAAGGACTTCAAGTCGCTCGAGCAGGATCTCGACGACAAATTACGCCTGTTTGGATTCAACCAGTCGGCTGCGGAAAAGAATAACTTGCTCAATATCATGGACAGGCAGAAACATAGACATGTTGGCATGGGCATGAGTGAGGTCAGGGAGAAATCGAGGACAACAGATGATCCGTTCTAAGCAGTGGAAACCGCGCATCCAACTCTGTGTACAAAGCGATGCTAAGACCGAGAGGATAGCATATACTGCTGTATCAGTAAGATAACACCGATTCCTACCTTATGTTTCCTGTAAATACCTGGCATTCTCCCACAGGGCACACTGCACGTGAACACGATACGTCTAGGCATTAAGCCCGGTCAATAGGACGTTGCGACATCAACTCCATCTAAGCCTTGAGCCAGCTCTCCTTGAGCAGATCCGCAGCCTTCTCACCGATGCCGTACGCTGGCATTTGTGTATGACCGCCATGCAATATTGGCATCACGCTGCAGTCGGCAACTCTCAATCCTTTGACACCACGGACTTGTAGCTTTTCATCAAGGACGGCGGCCTTGTCGTCTGCTTGTCCCATCTTACAGGTACCAGCAGCATGGTAGCACGTCGTGGCGTGCTGTTTGACGTGGGGAACCCAGTCTTCTCGGGTGGTGAAAGAATGATGTGTCAAGTCTACATGTCTGTCAGCTAGGACTTTTCGGGGATGGTCGTTTACTCACCAGATGGCCACGATCCTTTGACGATATCTTTTGTGCCAGCTCCTTTCATGACGATCTCATTCCCCAGGCGGCAGCCTTCGCTGAGCACCAGTAGATCGAGTGGGTCGGAGAGATAGTTGCAATCTACAACGGGATTTTCGAATGGGTCGGTTGATTTAAGGGTGACGGTGCCCTTGGATCGAGGTGAAAAGAGCTCTGTTATCATTGCAAATGCATGTTTCTTGTCTGGAAAAGCGTCAGCCTTTGCCACGGTCTCAATCCGCATGAGCTCACCGATCGGCAACTGGTCATATTGCTTTGGACCGCCATACAACTATCGCATGGTCAGCGAATGATTCCCCGGCCAGGGGTCGAAGACTTGCCTCTGTGGTGAAAAACTCGATGTTAGGTTGCTTAGGAGTCAAGCCCATCGGATCACGACCGGGTTCTCTCTTCGCTTTCTGCCACAACGGTTCGTTTTGCAGTCGGTCATCGAGCCTTGCGTATGCGAAAGCACCAAAAGGGAACGTTGAAAGTACCCCCTCCTTTTTTTCCTTGTACAGCATGTACGAGGCCATTGCAGCGTCTCCGTGGTATCTGCCAGAAGTCAACGAATTTCTAAACGGACGGAAACACGACTTACACGAGATGGTCATTTGTCAAGCCCTCTTTCTCAGTCTCATAGAAGGTGAAGACTATCTGAGATGTGGTCAGCATCCGGAGAGCCATCCTTTACGAATTGCACTGACAAGGTGATCCAGCAAGTTCTTTCCTACTCCTGGAGAATCCACCAGACATTTGACGCCTAATTGTTTTAATTCCTCCGCTGGACCGATGCCGGATCGAAGAAGAATTGCTGGCGAGCAGTATGCGCCTAGGGACTTGATCAATCTCCTCCGGGACAATCGAGGAAACGAGTACAATTACCTCCGGAAATGATAATCTCTTTTCTCGCCTTTACGTCTCTCTTCGCTCCGGTCTTGTCGACAAGGGTCACACTCGTGGCTTCGAGCTGGCCATTCTTCTCTTCGAAGTTGACCTTATCAACAACCGTGTCGACCACGATATCGATGTTGTCCCTGCGCCGGTCATTTGTTACAAAGTCGGCACCGGTCGTCCTAATGCCCTTGTGCACTGGACGAAAGACTCAGCGAAACTTCCAGACACGAGGCTTCATACCGTACCTGTTCTGGGAGCGTGGCCACAACCCTGAGCAGTCTCGCCGTTACTAAACATGTCAGGTACCAACGGCATGCCTTGAGACTGCATCGATTCCAGCAGCAATTTGGAGATTGGTGCAAGGTCATGTGGCTCGGTGTGAAGAGGACCATCAAAGCCATGAGCACTCTCATCGGCCTCGAACCATGGCTTGTTGTGGAATGTTTCGGCCTGTGGCTCGTTAGTACGAGGATTTCCAGTTCTCCATGACCATGCGGACCTTTCTCATGTATTGGAACATTTCTTCGCCGGACCATCCTGGGAGACTTCAACTTTCAGCCAACCACCCAATAAAATGCCCTGGCAGCCCTTACTTCCAGTCATCATAATCTTGTTTACATCCACGAATACACAACGTCCCATTGACTCCTGATGAGCCACCGAGGAATTTTCCTCGGCTGAGTTTCACCTGGCGTCCGTCGACACCACTGTTCGCCTCGTTAGCACTGGAAAGTTGCATCGGGAACTTGGGGTGCTGCAAAAGCTCCCGTAAAACTGTCACAGGGTCCTGGAGAGCCTTACTTCATGGGGGGAGTAATTAGATTCCAATCGGTTTCTGAGTCGAAGTTCTTGGACCATCCGCCTGCCATATGGACGTTCTCAAGATCTTTGTTGTGAGGTCCGGCCTCAACCAGAAGTATCCTGGCATTGCTGTCCTCGGCCAGGCGGCCTGCTACAACACAGCCAGTTGTGCCGGCACCACTTGGGAAGTCCAGTCAGAGATATCGCGTATCATGACAGGATCCGCAACTCACCATACGACGAAATCGTACTCGTCTTCTTCTGTTAAGCGACCTGGAGACATACTTACGACCGGGTTCTTGAACCTCTACAGCAGACACGAAGAAGGGATAGGAAAAGAAAGCTGGAAAGATGGCATCTTCTCCGGCGATCTCGACATAGATCTCGGGAGCGCGACGATCTTGTACCAAGGAATATTTCCACGCTGCTTAGTCGGGGGTTCTACCGGGTAGGTACAAGTGGTCTGGAATGGGCGCAGGCCTTCGAGGACATCTGGTGCGGGGCGTTCGAGGAGCAGGCCCATCAATGGGCCCAAGATGGGATAAGAGGCGAAAGCTGGGGGTTGACGCTCCATTCCATTGGACGGTTGAGGGACCACCCCGAGAAATCAACCTCTAGCCTCCAGGATGAGCGCAGATGGGGTTCGAGGGCGAGCGGAAATGATTCCTTGGATCTCGGTTTTGGAAGACACTGAGTCTACTGACACGTCTTTGTGCAGCAACAACTGATGATGAGTCGATGAGATAGGCAGATCTTGCTTTACTCGACTCGGACACTGACTGTCAGATGCTGACTCATCGTACTACCCTCTGACTACCCTAGCGATTTCGTTTTGGCAAGGGCTTACCATACCACAGTGGCCAGCATCATCCCCGCCGTTGTTGATCGCCGTGCACCAGTGTTCCGCAGAAAGCAAGTCAATATGCATGGCCATCTTTCATACGGAGACTTGCAGACATGTGATGGTACCGGCATTCCCCCGGTCCACCATGTCCATGTCAGGCTTACATGCTTCGCTCCTGATATGACTAGACCCTCGGTCCTATTACTGCTTCGCGAAGAAGTCTGCGACATGATGATTGGGCAACCTAATCCTCATCCTGGAAATATCTCAACACGCGTATCGAAGCCCTCAAGATGGCATGGGCCGCTTATCCGGCTGCGCTCGAGGGCGCCAGTCCGTCCGTCATCGACCCGGCTGCTCATCTCCCACCCATGGACGGAGCCACGCTCCATAAGGTAATGACATTGTTGTGGTGATACTTGGCTGCGGTAAGTCTCCCATCCCGACTCAGAACATGCTGACAAGGGTCTCTCCTTTTGCAGGCGGACGTCACGGTGCAGAAACCAGCTGATCATGGTACGTTCATACGCCGACTGCATCTCTCGTGCCCGTGACGGATTTGTACCTACCCGCTGCCCATGTGATACTCTCGAGCGTGCCGCTGTTGTTGAGGAAGATTCTCAATTACAATCCAGCTCAACTTAGCGGCCTGCTTTGCGTCGTCCTTTGCTTTCTCGCCGGCCTTCTTTGCCATCTTCTTTTCTCTCTCGCCGGCCTTTTTGGTACGCTCTCTTTCTCTCTTCGCAGCCTTCTTGGGGCTCTGTTTCCGCGGTCTGTCCGACTCCGGATCCGAACTGGAAGACGATTCAGAAGAGCTAAGCAAAGCCAAATCCGCGTCCCCGACCGCGACGCCTTGTTTGCGAGCTGCTTTGACCGCGTCCTTTCGACCCTTTTGGATCTTTCTGTGCACACCTTTAGCCGTCAACCGGCCCATCATATTGCGGCGCTGTTCTGGAGGTGGTACTTCAAAGGTGAGGGGCGCGACAAGGCCTTGCAAGGCGAACAATCTACGCTCCGCGACTGTCACCGCTGCTGGCGAATGACCTGGAGGAGCGATGCGTGGCTGATCCGGGTCTTCACCGAGCATGATGCCCAGCTCTTTGTCCTTCTTGATGGATGCCTTGAGACCTCGTGGAGCGAAGAACTCCTCATTCACCTTGTTCATGAACATTCTCGATCGGCCTGCGCTGAAGGCCGCATTGCCCGCCCCCGCGGCCACGCCGACAGCAGAACTGGCTACCTGAGCCCAGTGATGTGGAACGAAGCCGAGACCCGTGCTGGCCAGCTGTGCCACCTGGAAAGGCGGTGCTGGTGCCAGCGCGATGTCAATGCTGTCGATGAAATGGACAAAGTTCTCGACAGACACAAAGTGCCGAAGGAGGAGATTCGAGTATGCTCGATAGAAGGGCATCGGACCCGACATTATGTTGCTTGGATGGATCTGAGGAATGGCGATGGGCACGGGGAGAGTAGGATACTGTCGCGACGATGAGGGAGGTGGCGGGATCCATGCGAGGGATCGGGAGACGACCTCGCTTTCTTCTTTGGCACTTGTGTAAGGCGGCGGAGGAGGCTCTTCAATGTAGGCACGCGACGGCATCTTGGAGTGGTTATTTAAGGTAGGTCTTTTTGCAGTACTGAGTACGTATAAGTAAGTGAGGAGAAGTATGATTGCAACCAACTCTGCGTTCCCCGTCTACATGCGATGACAGGAAGCCTTCTTTTATATTCCAATTGTTCTGGCACCGTCCGCCATCACAGCCTGGGCACCGGGGCGGTGCATTGGTCGTTGTGACATTCCCACCACATACGGTTCATTTCACGATTTGGCTTTAGGGACGACATGGTCAAGCTGGAAGCCCTGTACGAGTATGGCGAGGACGGGCTTCCCATTCTCCAGTCTTTTATCCCGGTCTGCCTGTATCAAGCCTAGTGACCGGTAAGCCACACTTCCTCTTTGGGCGCATTCTGCGGTAGACTCGTAGTCATTCGTCGAAGTGCCAGCCCCCATCCTCCCACCAGGCCAACTGAGAAACAGACTCGATAAGCCTTGACGCATCATGGTGCATTCAGCGGCGAAGATCCGTAGCACGCCGGATGCCCTAACTATTCACCTTACTAACTTAGCAACGTTCTTGTCGACGACTGTTTTGGCCTTTTCGCTCGCTCGCTCACTCACCCGGTCTTCTTCACCTTGCACCCTTGCGCAGATCGTCTTCAGTACTAGTACCTCATACATGAATACCCAACGCTAGAACACTAGTAGTCGCGCCTTTCGGATGGTCGGTCGCGGCGGGCGGTCCAAAGGCTGCTTGACGTGCCGCAAACGCCATGTCAAATGTGGTGAGTACTGTACCTACTGCTCCTGCCGGTATTTCGTCCGGGGCTTCTAGGAAGAGGAAAAGGACATTCCACTGCCACTGCCGCTGCCGCTGCCGGCCATCCGAGGTGCCATGAATGATATATGCATGCTAGTGTATGACTGACAAGGTTTCATGAAAAACTCCAGATGGAGCGAGACCAACGTGTCTCCGCTGCGAGCAGAGCGGGTTTGGCTGCGACGGCTACAAGGCGACCGAATTCATCAACGAGACCGATCGATTTCAGCGACATCAGCGGTCTTCTGCTTCTGCTGTTGCAAAACGAAGCCAGCTTGATGAGCACTGGCAGTGGTCCGGTGGTACCGCCTCCTCCTCCTCCTCCTCCTTGGTGCCCGTGACACGGGGGACTTTTTCTGGCCTTGGGCTTCAGCAGCCGCGCCTCTGGCCCATGCGCGACGGCATCTGTCTCTCGTACCTCCGAAACACGTTGTTCGAAGTCGATCCGCGAGACAGGCTGCCTCCGTGGGTCGGATTCCGTGCCGCGGACGACGATGCGGGATGGCGATTGCCCTTGTCCCTTCAGTGTCTCCAGGCCCTGGCGAAGGCGTATCTCGGCCAAGTGCAGGGCGCGCCGGCCGTCTCCAGGGAAGGATCGCGCTTGTACGTGGCGTCTCTTGCACGGCTCAATCGCGAGCTTCGTTCGCTACGAGCACCACCACCACCACCGCCGCCACCGCCACCATCGGACCAGGAGCCAGCGGTGCGAAGGAGCAAGAACAGAACCAAAAGTGAAAGCGAAAGCGAAAGCCAAAGCCCAAGCACATGTGAAACCGGCGACGATGACAATGTGCTGGCCATCTTGATTTTGGGAGCTTATGAAGTGAGTAACTTCGCATGGTTGTGTGTCTTGTGAGAATTCGAATCACCACGATTGCTTTATCTCTCACATACAATGTACCGTTATGCATGGAGGACCACCTCGTTTCCTATCCCCAGCCAGTCCAAGTCCAAGCCAAAGCCACCTGGCCTCGCCAGGCCCCATCTCGGTCCATTCTGTCCCTGACTGAACTGACATAACCGCTATCCGACAGATGTTCGTCCTGTCCAGCTCGACCGGCTGGATCGACCACGCACTCGGCCTGGGTAGCGTCCTCGAAATGCGCGGGCCGCACGCTTTCGTCGCCAGCGCCAACAACAGTCTCGCCCACACACTCCTTGAATCCTCCCGCTTCCTCATCATACTCGCCTCCCTCGCCGTGTCAAAGCGCACGTTTCTGTCCCGGGACGAATGGAAAACCATTCCGTGGTGGTGGTGGTCGTCGTCGAACGGCAAAAGCCCTGATGGCCCCCAGGCATCGAAAAGTGCCGCGGACTTGCTTCTCGACATCTTCGCCGACCTGCCGGGCCTGATGGAGCAGCGAGAGCGAGAACGGGAGCGAGCGCGAAAACGAAAACAAGGACGAGGACACGAACGACGCTGCGATGAGGCTGAGGATCTCTACGACCTACGCACGAAAGCATCCAAGGTCCTTAACGACCTCTTAGCCTGGCGACGCGTTTGGGATTCAAGTCCCGAGGGCCAGATCACAACGAAAGATAGCGCAGCAGTTCTATCATCTCGTCGAGCAGCGTCGCCGTCTCAATTCTTCGACTCGACCGTGCTAAGTTTCACCTCCACCCATGCGGCGACGTATACATGTCTGTACGATGCCGCGCTGATCCTGGCCATTGAGCTTTTTCTCACCAGTACTACGCCTGGCGTGTCTCAAGCGTTCCCTCCGCCGCCAACACCACCGTCATCGTCGTCGTCTTCGTCAAGACTCTTTGAAGAGAAGGAGGAGGACGACGATGCACGCATGCGATCCCTCTCCCGCACCGCGGCCGTCGAAATCTGCCGTAGCATCCCCTTCCAACTCTCCCGCACGAGCTCTCTGACGGGCCAGTTTCTAGTGTTGTACCCTCTACGCATGGCGTGGAAAGCGCTCGGCGGGATGCGCGCCGGTGGCACCACCACCACCACCGAGGCGCGCTGGGTGCAAGATCTGCTCGACGAGTTCGGCAAGGATCCGAGGAACCAGTGGGGTGTCCTGAGGCAGACCATCACCCATGGCATTACCAGTCCCAGTCCCGCTTGATGCTACTCAGGAACAGACACTCAGGGTAACCCCTGTCCCACTGGTCCTTGAGGCTGAGATGCACGTCGATACCAACAAGGCGGACTTGATATTCACGAGGAAGTCATCGTCGCCATCGCCACGCGACCAGCCCTGTCCTGCTTAAGCCCCCATGGAGCTCGTCGCCAACATCATGATATACCATTCTAGATGCCAGGAAGAAGGAAGCCAGGTTCAAGAAAATTAGTTTATTACACTTTACAGTTGGGTGCTGTTCGCCCCTGTGGGTATCATATGGAGCCTTGGTTGCTCCAGGAGCCTCTCCTGGGCTCAACGCCCGCTATTTACTCAAAACAAGACCAAGTTCGTCGTACTCATAACAATCATCAAATCGTAAAAACGTACATTCATGCGGCCCTGCCGCTCTTGAGGAGAGCCCCATTGATGAGCTCGGCCACAATCCTCCTCCTCTGGAGCTGGATCAAGCCAGCATTGTAGCTCATGGGCGTGAGCCCAAGCATGATCTGCCTGGCGCTCGTGATAGTAAACACACCACAGTCATCCATGTTCTGCTGTTGTGGTGATTCTCCCTTGAACTCCATCTTCCATTCGTCCTCCTTGTAGGCACTTCCGAGTTCCTGTTGCACCCATTTCTTGACCGTTTCCACGTATTTCCGGCCGTTCCCACTCAAGCTGTTGTAGTGGGTGATTGTCTTGTTCTTGCCTGACACCACACAGAGGGTCCAGTGCATTCCACTGTTGATCGGAATGAAGACGTTCTCTGTCTCCAACAGATTCTTGCCTCCAATCTTGGCTCGATTCGCCCAACGCTTGACACTATCATAGCCTTTGGCTTCGAGGTTGTTGTAGAAGAAGGAGACAAATGCGTGGTGGGTCGGTACTTGTGTGGGTCGGTCATTCTTCTTGCCATGTTCGACAATGAGTTTGAGGTAGCCATTGATGACTTCATCGTTCAACCAGTTGTCTGTACCTCGACCCTGAAGGAGAGGTACGACTCGAGTGAGATCTGTGGCTTTGTAATCGCCGTGTCCACTTCGCAAGGCTGCTTGGATTTTCTTCTCCCATTCCTGCTCAAGTGGCCCGATCTCATAGTGCTGAACTTCTTCCAACAAGGCTAGTCTTTTTGCTTCTGCTCTTGTGACTCTTTGAGTCTTCTCTGCAGAGTGTGGTGATGCTTTCGGTGTTGGAGCATCTGGAGTGTACGGGTCTTCGAGAGTCAGTTTCGCAAGGCTCTGTACTGGGGTTTGTAAGTTCGCAGCGTCAGACGTCGAACTCTCTTGTCCAGTCCTAATAGTTGGCTGTTCAGTTGTCTCTTCTGGGTGACCACGTTTCGGTGTGCTTGGATCAGATGTAGTCTCGTCGGTCGTCGGCTGTGCACTCGAGTCATCCTCGTCTATGGCAACAATATCATTCTGAGCTGGTGCCGTGTCGCTCGTCGGCTGTGCACTCGAGTCATCCTCGTCTATGGCGACAATATCATTCTCAGCTGGTGCCGTGTCGCTCGTCGGCTGTGCACCCGAGTCATCCTCGTTTGTGGAGACATTGTTCTCAGATTTTTGAGCGTCGCTCGAGCTCGTCGACTTCGTGGTATGGCCATTTCCATATCTAGCGGCTGTTTTGCCTACCGGTGTTGGTGATCCACCGATTGTTGCCATGATTCTTGCGAAGAGTCGGGCGTCCTCTTCCTGGTCTGGTGGTGTTCCGACGAACATCGAAGAAATGTCACTCTCGTTGGGTGACTTCGGTTGTGTCGTTGGACGCGGTGTCAAATCCAAATTGCCTGGAGAACATTCACAGGTTGATGAGATGTGACTTTCGCTAGGTGATGTCTCTTGTGCCACAGCACGCGGTGTCAGATCCAAATTTCCTGGAGAACATTCGCAGGTTGAAGAGATGTGGCTTTCGCCAGGTGATGTAGCTTCTGTCGCAGCACGTGGAGTCGAATTGCCTGGCGAACAGTTACAGGTAGAAGAGATCTCTGATCCTGTTGTCTTTGCACTTCCTGGCTCGTCCAAGGTCTTTTTGATCCTCGGTGTGCTAACTCTGCGTTTCTTGACACGCGGTGGTGACAAAAAATCTTCGTCAACAGTGACTTTGGCTTCAGTGGTGACAACGGCTGTCGTTTCTTGGACAACAATGGCCGGGGGCGGTGGTGCACGCGCTTTGGGCGGTACCAAGCTTGGACCAACGGTGTCAGTGCGCACAGTGGCTGCAGCAGTTTTTGTATCGTCTGATTTCTTTGTCCTATGATACCGGAGCCTTAGTTTCTTCGGGCGTAGGTAGTATGATCGTATGGAGGATGTATCCGAGTCGCTACCCTTGTCTGAGCCAGAATGGTCTTGCGAGTGATTGTCGCCAGGTGCAGGGGGAGACTCGGAACTAGCTGTAGGAGGAGACTCGGAAGTAGGTGGAGAGGGCGGTCGAGTACTAAAGGTAGAAGGATCCAATCGAGGTAGAGAGAATAGGGTTCGGGGTTCAGGCGGAAGTACTCGCTGTTGTTTGTTGGGTGTGGCAGAATCTGGTGACTCTCGAGCTGGGGGCGCAAATTGCGGCATACCAGCGAACACCAGTGGAGTCGATGTGTGTGATTTCTGTTCTGTTGTTGCTTCTATGCATCTCTTGCGCTTGGTCGTGGCCACAGCAGTAGGTAGGAGGTGTGGGACATGGTAAAGTCTTCCTTGTGCAGAGGGGTGAGTTATCGTCTTGACTGGAGCCATCTCCTCAAGTGCATTCAGGTGACGATCGTATGCTTCATGTCGTCGAAGGTCTTCTCTCATTTGCATGTGTTCTGCCTCACGAGCAGCAACAGCCCGGTTCCATGGTGACTCTGGCAAAGGCCGGTTTCCTCGCTGCCGTCTTGCACGCTGTCTTCGGCGCTGTCGGACTTGGCGAACAATGGAGTAGGTAGGGATTGTGACGACTGCAGTAGTAGCTTGAACTCCGGACGCGATGGCAGTGCCGAGGCCTTGACAAAGTCTTTTCGCAGCTGGTAGGAAGCCGGACGGTGCTGGTCGGCGGGCAAAAACGCCTGCGGTCGGAGTGAGAGATTCACCAGATTCCTCTGGCCATCCGCCGGGCATGTAGTTGTCTGGGTATGGGTTATGATGAGGTATTGGAGTGGCAGGACTCCAGTCCATGAAGGAAGAAGAGTCAGCCATGGCTGAAGAAGCTGTTCGACTTCAGTCAAGGCATAGAAGAGATGTTTATTGTTGTGAAAGTCGGATTGGAGAAAGTTCAATTGAAATGCGATGCGAACGGCGAAACGCGACTTCATGCGTCACTCGCGCCAAGATAATTTTACTGCCGACTTGCCGAGGATTAGCCAAATCAATTACGGTGCCGCATTTAGACTCAAAGTGCATTACTTCGGAGTACATCCTCATGACGTGCATGACGTAGTAGAGAATAGAAGCCAGACTCGTAAAGCCCATACCAGCACGAGGCTTCTCTTTACGCACAGAAGGGACGTTGCTAGATCACGAGAAATACTTATATTTACGTCTGTGTCCACAGGCGAGAACATCTCTACTGTGAATTCCACAGCCGACGAGCGATGCGGCAAGATCTAAAGATAACACAGTCGCTAGAAACAAGGACCTCTCTACAAACGCCAGTCGACGAGCGATGCGGCACCAGCTGAAAATAATATTGTCGCCAACACGAGGATAACTCGATTGAATAGCCGAAGAGCGACACGGCACCGTCTGAAGATAACATTGTCGCTATAAACGAGGACAACTCGATTGAACAGCCGAAGAGCGGCACGGCACCATCTGAGAACATCACTGTCGCCATGAACGAGGACGCCTCATGTAGCTGACGAGCGACGCGGCAACGTTAGTTTGACATACTGTTGCTACAAATGAGAGCACCTTGACTATGCAGCCGACGAGCGACACGGCACCATTAGATCAAGACACGGTCGCCTCAAACGAGAACACCTCAATTATAGATGGCGAGCGACGCGGCAACATCAGATCCAAAATCGCCACCAACGAAGAACACCTCGATTACAATCGACAAGCGACACGGCAACATCAAATCAAAGCACGATCGCCACGCACGAGAACACCTCGACTGTACAGCCGGTGGCGAGCGAAATGGCTTTTGGACACCACAGAAAATGGTTCTTCTCAGGACGACCGATCCAATATTGCCTGGGGCCAGAAATGAGGTCGTGCGAAGAACGCAACACCGGCACAACAGCCTGCTGATCTGTCATGAGTTGGTGCAATCCTCATCACCTTGGAGGCCACACTGCTGTGACCGAGCAAGGTACGGTTCTCCATGAAGAACCTCAAAGCCCTGCTCCGAAACTTGCTGACAGTCCACAGCGGGCAAAAATACATCGCGACCGTAGGACGCCGGGCTGTGCAAGGACGAGCAGATTGCGCCACTATGAGGATTGATCAATCTCATACACTCACGCTCCCAAGAGGGGCGTGCTTTCTCACATTACATTATACGGCCCATAAGTAGTCGGAGGTGAATACTTAAGAGTACTCGTATACCTGTCTGGGTGCCGTGGCAGGAAGGAATGAAAAACTGGCGCGAGATGTTGTCTTGGAGCTCGAGCAGAGCAGGCATTACCACCAACACAAACATGGGAGGGTTTTCGCTGATTATATGTCTAATGAGGGCGTCAGAGGAGACAAGGCGCTACGTTTCCTGAAAGACATGGAAACGGAATAAACGCTAGCTCTGGCTCAGGCCCAGAAGTCTTCTGCAGCTCTCTCATCCTCATCACTCCGAGTGCCCGCCATGGAAGGCATAGTCATACCATTGTGGCTTTTCCAACACCTCTGGCTGCGGTTGTTTTCTCGCCATCAGTCATGTGGGTGGAGCGGTGGCGAGCTCGTCTTCAGAGCATACCTACCTTAGTATGAGAAGCAGGTCCATCGCTATGGGAGGCACCTAGAGGCATAAATCGCACAAGTATAGCTCTCTACCGCGCTAGGCAATACTGGAGGACATGTACAGAGCTTGGATAGACGTGGAGCAGCATCCTGCAAGAAGACATCACTTCAGTGATATTGATTACACATCTAGTCGACTGCCAGGCCTAGATACTTGAAGAGAATGGGATTGCCCTCGACCGACAGCCAGGCAATGCCCGAATAAACAATCAGCTTCGTCACCACTTCCACATCATATCGCACTCTAGGCCTCTGAATACTGGCAAACAGCCGTCTCTCCTGCAGTAAGTCCATTGCCTGAACTTCTTGAGGACTTGGCGAACGTCCCGCTCCCGGTGTGCTCAGAGGCATGGGCGACAATTGATCCACACCAGCTCCCATCTGTGCGCGGAACATCTCAACGCTGCTCGATCGCTTCCTACCCGAGGCAGGAGAATCTTTTCGCGGCGAGCTGTTCTCCTGAAAGTAACTGGGTTCCGGCGAGGCTTGCTTGACTGGGCTAGGCGAACCCTCAAGGATTCGACTGGCCCTCCTCCTCTTATCGCGATAGGCCAAGGCCTCATATGCATCAGCTTCTGACTGCGGACCAACTGAAATTGCCCTTCTTCTCCTGAATGATGACAATAGATGAGGAATGTCCCTCGCCGGAGGAATGACATTGTCGTCGTTGTCTTGTCGAGGCACCGTCTCGTATTGTGAAGCAGGCTTGAAGAATCTTCGCGGTAGCGTAAGACCGAGGGTTTCGATCACCCGGAAAATCGGCGGGAAAATCCTGAGCAGGGTCGGCTTCATTATTCCACGCCAGGCAAAGATTGTAAGGACCCCCAGCACAATGCGAAGAACAACCACAGTCCAGCCCATTGTGGCTAGGTCAAACGGCACAGTGCCCGGATTAGGCTCTGACCATGCATATGATGTTCGTGAGAAATGCCAGCCTCCGACTTGGATACCGATGAAAACGCCGGCAAAAGCGACGCTATCGTCGAAGCAAGGACAGTCGTCAGCTGGCTCAGGGTGGATCCGTACCAAGACCAACACCGCCAGAACCACAAGTAAGACTCGCGGCAAGTCCCCAGCGTGGACCCACTGGTCAAAGTACTCGCCGTAGAAGCATTGCACCAACGCTACCAAAGCACCAAGAATGGTCCCCCAAATGACGTCGAAAAAGCCATGCATACCACAATAAAGACGGCCCAGAACGATCGAAAAGGCGTAGAGGTAGAACGATATCTGCAGACCCAGCTTCAGGCTCGGACTGATATGGTCGTTGCTATGCAGTAGATAGAGCGAGTAGATTGCGACGGAGACTGAGTTGGTAGAATGGGTCGATGGAAAGCCATATTCGAGCGCAGCTGAGCCGGACATAGTAATTCGTTGCAACGGTGGTGAAAGGGGCCGGGGCAAGCATAGCAAGTCCTTGAAGAACCCGCTCCAGAAACAGCCGGCTGCCAGTACATGTGTCATTCTGTAGAACGTCAGATTCTGGCCTCCCCTTCATGCAGTTCCGCGGCATCACGTACCCTCTTCCAATACCCGTATGGCCGCACCAGAACAGAATCGGCAGCAAGACCATGAAAGCCGTGTGTGTTCCCAAGTTTGCAGAGAAGGCGAAGTATGTGTCCAGAGCTGGTGTCCGCAGACTGTCCTGCAGCCATGCGACGTAAGGAGTTTCCCACCGCACGATCGGGAGGAGTTGTTCTCTGAGGTTGTATCGCCATTTTGGAAGTCTGATTTTATCTGGGCCGCGGTCAGTACAGCCGCAAGATCTCTGTATGGCGACGTACAGTGATCAAGAGATCTCAACCCGGCATCTGGCCTATTTTTCTCCTTGTCCATCTCGAGCCGTTTTTGTCAGGCCGGGCTTCCATGAGTATGGCAGAGGGAGAGGTCGTTGCGGTAGCTCGTCAACCGCGAAAGAGTTATGGAAGCATTCGGATTGTCTAGAGGGGGTTTGACGCAGCGACGAGCAGTACGCTCTTTGTCGTATCTTTTGTGTTCTTGCGAAGCTGGTGTCGAAGTGAATGTGGCGGTGCAATATCTTGGGCTGAAGCGCAGCTTGTCTCAGCTGCCTGCAGATTTTAGTGGGTAGCATGATGACTCAGCAGCGCATGGGGAAGACCGCCTTGTCAACTCCTTTTCGTCTGTACAGAGGACATCCGATATCTCACTGTCACCCACATTACAGCCAACGTCTGGTAGAATTCATTTATGCACATAACAGCCACTAGCGAACATCACAGCTGAGATATGGCTCACTCAGGAAACACCTTGGGCAGCGCAAAACAGGGAGCCTCATCGACTACTCTGCAGTATCACCTACTCCCCACCCGTGCTCCCCATGATTGTATTCACCAGACGGCAACTCATAGGGACTTGAGCGCATTCCATTGCGTAGTGGCTTTTATAGACACCAGAGATGTCCCAGCTTTGCTTGTGTCCTACTCCGCTTCCAAAGGGTACGATTCTGGCGTTCTGTTAACTTGAACGCCTCCTCTCTTCAAGTATTTTGAATCAGCAAAAGGTAACGGCCAACCCCCTTCTTCCTCCGAAGTGGCCAGCCACAGTCTCTGTAACCAGCGCTTCTTCGTCGGATCAGCCGCATCCTGATATTCCGACCGAGCATGCAGATTGTGGGTATTCGTCACAAACTGAATGTCGCCTTGCTCCAGTATCATTTCCAGACAAAGCCGTTGACATGTCTCCTCCATGACTTTTACCGCTTCCCGCTGAGCATCAGTGTATTCTGGGAGCAACCCAGCTTCCCAGAACCTTTGCAATGCGCCGACATAGTACGAATCCCATTTCATGCTCAGCTTGCCCTGATAGTAGTAGTACCCCGGTGTTCGCATCCACTCATTTTCCCCTTCGCTCGTTTCTCCTTTCCTGTCGTAGAACCAATGTGGTATGCACAATTGTTCGAGCACATCAGGCCGTTCGTTCCGCAGGACATTGTATATGTGTTGGGTCGAGACCACTTGCGACTGTCCACCTGACATAGCCTTGTGCAGGCAGAGCAGCCCGACGATATCGCTCTCGTCAGTGTGGTACGTTTGTGCCTTCTGCGTCCGATAGATCCGTCCCTCACCATTGACCTCTTTGCCCTCTGCCAGGTCTTTGACATGACCAAGCATATGTCCCTGACGGTTCTGGCTCACTCGGCGTCCGATATATGAGCCAATTCCAAGGTAAGCAATGGAAGCTTGGCGGGTTGTCCACGATTGAACCGGCAGACCGCGCAGTACAACGAAACCAATACCGTTGATGAGCTCATCTCTGACCTCTGACAGCGTAGCTGCAAGGTCAGCAGGCAGCCTAAAAGTTGAACGGTCTACCTCTGCGAGGGGTAGCTTCTGCTTCTCGACATGTTGAATGGCTTGCTCAATTTGCTTCACCTCGCTGCTATTCCAGCAACGAATCCATCTGCTCGGCTCGTTCTGGAGCTCTTCTTTCGTCCAGATTGAACGCCCGGTCATCTCCTTTGGCATACTTTGAAAGGGTGTCAACAAGTCGTATATGGGTTCTCTCTGACCGGAGCTGAGTCCGAGGCCGTGGCCCCAGCTGTGATTGGAGGCAGACATCTATTCCGAAATTGGACGAAATGCGGTCGGCAGGATGAACTGCACAAGGTCGAAGCAGTAAGAGGGCAATAACAGCACGATCGGCGGGCGAGGGCTTAATATGCCTCTGTCTGCTGCAGGGGGACCATGCTCCATTATCACTACAGCCCCGTCGTCGGATGTCCAGCCTCTAGGTGGTCTCCTTCCAGAAACAAACGGACATCACCGTTATTGCATACTGGTCAGATCCTGGTCGAGAACTGGTCCACGATAACTCTACCGATGCGAATTGTCGCGGACTTGCCGTGCTTTGGAATGAGCCATAGGCCTTGGCACGGATATGGCCTCCCAGGTATTCCTGCTAGGTGCCTGCATGCCGTAGAAATTAGTATCATCATCGTACCGTTCCAACACACTTCTTCTCTCCATCATTGGGTTTTGGTGGACAGGAGAACTCCGACGGATGCGTACCGTGGAACATCAGTATAGGTTGGTGTAGCAGGGATCTCAAGAATATGATCATCATTCAAGCAGTCGGGAGTTCGAGCCTAAACCTGAACGTGAACCAGAACCATCGTGACATCACCCGAAGTGCAGATCGGACAGCAATTGAAAGGAAGTGAGTAGCGACAAGCACTGTCAAACCCGCGCATCATCTTGTCGGATAGTTTGAACAACGACCTTCTCTGCTTGATCTATCTCGGGTCAAGAATGAGCACGGTCATTATAGGAGGAGGCATCATCGGCCTATCAATGGCGTATTATCTCTCCTTAGCTACGCGAGCAACCGGAAATACAGCCATACATATCATCGACTCTTCGCCGGCATTGTTGACTTCGGCGAGCGGTTATGCCGGAGGGTTTCTTGCATCGGATTGGTTCAGTCCAGCTGTCTCGAGTTTGGGCGCGCTCTCATTTAGACTGCACCGTGAATTGGCGGAGGAGCACAACGGTCAGCGGAAATGGGGGTACGCTGGGAGCCACGTTTATAGCCTCAGTGTCGACGACCACGGCATCAGCAGCAAAGGCAGTAAAGGCAGTAAAGGAAGGCGAGAGGACTGGTTACTGGAAGGGACCAGTCGTGCTGGCTTAGTGGAATCGAAGTCGGACGACAAAGGTGCCATGCTCAATGATGACGGGTCTCCAGCTGCGTTCACGCCGCAAGTCGGGGGGAGTCTGGACACGATTGCAAATCCGGAAGATTGCGCACAGGTTGAGCCGAAGGAACTGTGCGAGTTCTTGCTTGAGGAGAGCAAGAACAATGGCGTGCAAGTGCATCTGTCAACCAAAGTCACTGCCGTGTTGACGGATAGCGACGGCACCTTGAAAGGCCTGAAACTGGAGTCGACAGGAGACCACAACAACGACTTGGGGGAAATCGAATGTCACAATGTTGTACTATCTGCAGGTGCGTGGACACCCGGAGTCTTCAAGACGCTGTTTCCACGAAGCAAAACCCGCATTCCTATCAGTCCACTTGCTGGCTACAGTATAGCGGTAAAGTCGCCACGCTACACCGCTCCCTTGGTTGACCCTGAGAAACGACATATTGGCGGAGGAGAGGACAACTGGCAGTGCTATGCGATCTATTGCGCACCCGGTCGATACTGGTCGTATGCCCCCGAAGCTTACGCTCGACTCGCACGCAATGGGCAAACGGAAGTGTGGGTTGGCGGCTTGAATGATAGCACTCTCTCTTTGCCGGAGCTGGCGGTCGACGTGAAGAAATTGATCGATCCGGGAAGCATCGAAAGCCTCCGCAAGACCACCGTTCAACTGACTGGGCTGGCCAAAGAAGGCGCGGAGTTAAATCAAGATGATCTCGAGACTGTCAGAGAGGGCCTCTGCTTTCGGCCGATCACTCATAGTGGCATGCCCTTGATCGGTAGAATATCAGAGAATCATCTTGGCGGATGCAAAGTGAACGATGGTGGTGTCTGGATCGCGGCTGGCCATGGTCCTTGGGGAATCAGTCTAAGTCTGGGGACAGGATTGGTGGTGAGCGAATTGTTGTTGGGCAAGAAACCGAGTGCAGACATCCGAGCGCTGGGGTTAAGGTGACAGCCCAAAAGTAGCTTATTGTATCAAGATGTTGAGCCATCATTGAAAAGCGCAAAGCAGCAGAGGCATCGAGGTCAGAGAGTCGGCTCTCGAGTAATACTACGAGCACTTACGAGATAGCTATGGGCTATGGTGGGCGATGGTCAAGAAGTAAGCTTCGGTACAATATTTCTCCATTCCGATCTCCGGACATAATATGTTAATGGCTTGCAACTTCTCTCGCCAACGTGCCCATGCGCCATCAACTGCAGGGCTATTATCGTCCGCCAGACTGAGTGCTGATGCGTACCGGTCGTGGACATCGCGACTATAGGGACATTTCACTTCTGCCCCAAGTCTACGCCCTCCTCAGTCGGTCACTGAATGCTCGAGACTATGGAAATCCCTTCATCTCGTGGAGCAATGCCTTGCGGCAGCCCGACAAACTGCTTCGTGAAGCGGACAAGCTTCAAAGGATCCACGAAAGTACCAAAGGCTTCCAAAATTTCTGTACGAGATATCTTGCGCGACTGATGTTCCGATCGAAGGCTCACATTCTCTTGCGCAGATAGGCTCAAGTCGCCAAACCATGGGTACACGGTAGTGATCAAGGACAACATTGTGACGACACAACTGCCGACAACATGTGCATCAAAGATCCTGACAGGTTTCCTCCCCTCACAAAACTCGACGGTTGCGGAATTGTTGGAAAGAGCTGGACAGATGGTGCTTGCAAAGACCAACATGGATGAATTTGGTATGGGCTCTCATTCAACGAACTCCGCGTATGGCGAGGTGTTCAATGGCGTAAAGGAAGGCCCAGCCGGTAGAAAAGCACTCTCTGTGGGTGGAAGTTCTGGCGGCAGTGCTCTGGCCGTGGCTTCGGGCCTTGCCCACGTCGGAATTGGGACTGATACAGGAGGCTCGATACGACTTCCCGCAGCTTACATGAGCCTGGTCGGATTCAAACCGTCATACGGCCAGATATCACGCAAAGGAGTGGTTCCGTATGCGAATTCTTTGGATACTGTGGGCATCATCGCAAAGACTGTACATGATATCTGGCTAACATATGGTGCGTCCACTCACCTCATCACTGGTATGTGCTCACTAGTCCAGAAATCCTCCAAAAACCAGACGACAATGATCCAACCTGCCTGACATTCTCATCTCGTGAGCGAATCAAGGTGGCGATGCTCCGCCGAAAGACTGCGGTACTCGACTCGAAATGGCTTCTGGTTCCATCCAACAAGTCTCCCGAGAAGGACCAGGTATTTGTCCCACGTGAAATACGCCAGAAACTTCAGACCAGATTCCTCTCTCAACGGAAGTGGACACGACGCATTGGCGTACCCCTAGAATACAACATTGAGGAAATGCATCCTTTGGTGCGCTGGGCTTGGACGGCTACATTGAGTCACCTCGAGGACCTCGGCTGTGAGATAGTCCCGATATCACTTCCATCAACCAAGCATGCGTTGTCGTCCTATTACATTCTCGCTCCAGCTGAAGCGTCGTCGAATCTCGCCAAGTATGATGGCGTCCGCTATGGAGCCCGACGAGATGATGTAGCTGACGATGCCGGTGGCACTCTGTATTCCCGATTGCGAGCCACGCATCTCGGCCCCGAAGTGAAGAGAAGAATATTGCTGGGGACTTACAGCTTGAGTGCTGGGGCCATGGACAACTACTTCATCCAGGCACAAAAGATTCGGCGGATGGTACAACGAGACTTCGATAGTGTTTTCAGGATGCCAAATCCATTGCGGCAGGATGCTGAAGTCAACATGCATGGCGTCGACTTCATTGTCGTTCCTACTGCGCCGAGTCCTCCGCCACGACTTCGACATGTCAAAACTGCCACTCCCTTAGAGTCTTATGTGAACGATGTCTTCACAGTACCAGCAAGTCTAGCCGGGCTACCTGCGATATCAGTCCCCGGACCACGCCATCCTGATCATCCGTGGCAACCAGAGGTGGCTGTTGGCATGCAGGTCATTGGTCAATATGGTGACGATTACTCTGTCCTCTACCTAGCCGCCAACTTTTTGACGGACTTTCACGACCCCAACACCCTGAGCCGAACACAGCAGACTAAAGTCATTTGAGAGAGCATTGTGTCTAAACTGTCCTCCACCAAAATGAACATCAACTGTATGATCAGTTTCTGACTAGTTGCGCTTGTGAGCCTCTGGAGCATTCTTCGACGTAGTCGGAATCCCAGGCCGCCGGTCGGAGAAATGATTACGGCCAGGTCTTTGGCATCGTGCTGGTATGACAGAAACTGGGGCCCAAAAGAACCAATTCCTCATCGGCTTGGATTTACTGCCATCTCACTGACTCTCAAGTCAGCCGAGTCACGCACCAGCAACAGGTCAACATGCAGGGTGTCACTGTGTAATTTATTCCACACTCCCTGTCATTGGGGGTATTCTACTTGTGGTGATACTGTTTCTAGAGGTCCAGTTATGGCTCAATCGTCGGATCAGAAACAGAATGCCATGACGATATTCCGCCTCGAGCAAATGACGGGATTGACCTGGCGAGCAAGCTTATTCAGACCGAAAAATGCACCACTGACCGGCCGGTGCTGCAGAGTTCCGGAAATGTGCGACCATCTTGAGCTTCGTCATGGCGAAGTGTCGTTTAGGATTGTCGACTTCAATATCTCAATTCTCCGCCAAGGACCTGCGAGCCCCAACCGCTCCGTTCGTCTCCTCGATGTTGAAGAAGTTTTGGGCGGCTATCAATCGGAGATTTCGAATTGTGGCTCAACAAACCTGCCGGGGCGAGGCACTGAAGAATTGTCACTCCAGCAACGCGGACGTCTGCAGATAGGGAGTGCGAGGCGCATAGCATTGTAAATGCTTGTGGACAAGGCGGTGAAACGGAGGAAATAGTGCAGGCAGGAGCGCATCAATGCATGAGGTACGCGCTCTGTATTGTCCTACAGACGGCAGTCGCTCTCGGTGATATCGTTAACCACTCACCGGTATCAATTAAGTTACGTCGTGATGCTTTTCACCCAGATAACTGGGCATGCAAAATTGATGATCGATCCAACGTGATTGAACGACTCTAGTTGAGCCTCGGGCCGGCCCTCGGCCCTGATTGATTGTGACGGTGTGACAGTAGCCAGGAGTTATCTGGAGCATATTATATACCAGTAGTGGCTGACGTTGAAAAATCCCCGGATTCGGATATTATATACACCAGCGTGAGCAGTGCAGTGTTCATTCGCAGCTGGCCAAAGGAGGTTGCACGTGATATCATTTTCTCTTCGAACGATCTTTGACACGATGTGTTTCAGGTCTGAGTTGGGGGCCGAAACTGGCACTACTTTCTTTTTAAGGCATTTCTGCCAGCAATGTGAAGTTAGAATTCTCTTCGTTAGGGAGATGGTGCGCCCTGACGGATGTCGTCGCACTTAAAAGATGAAGCCTATAATTTGATCAGATTTCCGCGTACCGTGATCATACGACTGCTTCTGTCCAGAAGGTCCAAAAGGTCCAAAAGGTCCAAAAATATTCCAGTCGCGAGCACCGACGGTTCCCGGCCCATCGCTAAATCCCCTGGGTGGTCCGGAGTAACCGTCTAACAAAACAGTACCAGTACTACGTACGACACTTGTTGGATTGCCAGCGCCATGGGCTACTAAGTTAGCTACTCACGTGCCACTCATGTCAGGATGAACAGCGAGGTTTTCCGGCACGAACGGCTCTCCCTGTCCGGTCGGTTCATGCGGCTGCTGCAGATCCAAGGCAGTGTGGGTGCGACGAAAAAGGGGGACCGTGTTACGAGTACTAGTATCAGCCTCCGGATCACGCAGTACGCCATCCATCGCCGGCCGCCGTACGTCGCGATCAGTTATACATGGGGCAACGCGGGCGACACGCGCGAGATCCGGGTCAACGGGCGGGCGTTCCGGGTCAGAGTGAACTTGTGGAATTTGTTGTTCCATCTGAGACAGCGCGGGGAAGCGAGGTTTTTGTGGATCGACGCGCTGTGCATCGATCAGCAGAATCTGGAGGAGCGGAATTGGCATGTCCAGCGCATGGCGAGGATTTATGACTCGGCGGAGCGGACGATTGTGTGGTTGGGCATGCCGAGTGAGGATCGACGGCAGGCGAGGGGGTTGGAGTTTGTTGTGGAATTGGCAGCGGCCGCGGCGGCGATGGCCAAAGGGCGGCAACGTGAGGGAGGACCAGGAGGAGGGCAACCAGGTGGTGGTGGAGGAGGAGGAGGAGGAGGAGGAGGAGGAGGAAAGTGGGAAGAGATGGAGGGGATGGAGGCGAGATGGAGGAACTTGCTCGAGTTGTGTAGGGGCGTGTATTGGACAAGGACGTGGATCATACAGGAATTCTTGCGGGCGAGGGAGGTCGAGGTTGTGGTTGGGACGGCGAGTTTGGAATGGACGTTGTTCGAGGACGTGGTGCGCGCGATCAGGGAAAGGGAAGGGGGAAGAAGGGAGAGTGAGGACGTACGGGCGTGGATGGCCGAGTTCATGCATACGCTGCCGGTACGGTTGACGGGTAGACGGATAAGTCATGAGCAATCGACGTTGGAGGAGTTGTTGGCCGAGTTTTATGATTCAAAATGTGCGGAGCGACGGGATAAGATCTATGGGATCCTGGGAATCGCGGATGATTGTGGTGAGGAAGAGACGACCGGGCAGGTGAGAGGGCCACGGCCAGATTACGCGAAGAATATTGTGGAAGTGTACTTCGAGGTGTGCAGATATTTGTGCCAGAAGGGAAAGCTGTCGGTGCAGGCTGTGTATCTGGTACAACGCGCGTTGGAGATCAGTCAGGCTGATGTTGCGGGTTATGTGGCTTCTCTGGGAGAGGGAGGAGAAGGGACCACTAGGTTGGAGGGTGTGCTGGAGGATTCGGCCTGTGCACTCGTACCGGACTATGTGAATGTCATTGATGAGGTGTTGCCAGGGTGGACGAGTATCCGGGATTTGAGGCAGAAGCTCGACCAGGTCGACTGGTCGAGATACGTTGGGCACGAGGTCAAGCGGAAAACATCACGATCCTCGACGCCGTCGCAGCGAAATGGTGCTGGCACGAGCGGCAGACTGACGGAGTACGTTCTCAGTCCGCTGCCCGCGGGAGTGATCGAGAACGTGGTCCAGGCTGCGGCGCATGGTGAGGATCTTCGGCATTTGCACAATTATCCCTCGGCGAAGGAGTGCAGGATCCCGGTGGAGTATGCCTTGCTGCATGAGGAAGACAAACGGATGGCGAACAATCCTGGCCTCGCAAAGCCGTCGATAGTGATTGAGTCGAACCCTGCACTCGGCGTTGATCCTGTCAGGCTTGGGTTTGCATGTTCGGATGTACGTGCGGGCGACCTGATCTGCCAATTCACCAGGGTAGATGTGACGCTCATCGCGAGACGAGTGGCAGGAGGACATGGCGGGTTGAAGATCGTGGGACGTGCGAGGATGATCGGACATTCAGGCTTGAAGGAGAGGGGCCTTCATCCCGGGTGCAGGAGCGGGCAAGGTCCAGGAGGAGGCAAACCATGGTCAGGCTTGACGCTTGCTGAGGGTGAAGATGGACAACGGCCAAGCGGGAACGAGGACAACTGGACGATGGAGACGGATCCCATCAGTCTTTGGGAAGTGCTCGGGATGGGGTGAGTTGCGATGCTCTGGAGAGTGTTGTCAAACTATTGAAACATGCAAGTAAGGCTTGATCATATAGAGCCAGGAACTTAACAGGTGGCGAGGGGTCTTGTCTATTGATTCATCATCTCTACCGGCCTCCAGGACATGGCATATCATAACATTCGTCAATCTCAGCGCGCAGGACCATATCAGCAAGTTACACCGTAACGTCCATGGTATCGTCACCGTCGTCCCTGGCTTCATGGTCAACTACCATAGCTCCGTCACTCTCGCCTGCAGCCGCTCGATTGCGACCAGCTAGAAGCTCACGTCTCACTTCCGGACCAATGTCCTTGTGACCTCTGAGAAGCAGCAAATCAAGCAATGCTTCACGTTGGTCCTCAGTGATCTCGTTCCTGTACGTCTGTGCAAAGATGAGCAGACTTTGATGCCACAGGACGGGCAATTTGGCTTCTTTGCTGGCCAACCCAGCTTCTTCCGAGTTGGGGTCTTTGGAGGCACGGAAGCGGAGGAAGTGGAACACCAGGGCATCCACGACTTTGTATGGCAAGGCGTATTTCTTCGCCAGCAGCACCCTGATGAAGATGTTCGCAGCACCTGCAGCTTCGCTGTTGACATTCGAGGTCTGTTCTGCTGAAAGTTCGCATAGACGTAGTAAAGCCGCCGCGGAGTGCAGGACCGGGATTTTGATCTTGGCTAGCACCGATGAGATGATATGTGCTTCACGCAACGTGCAGCTTGATTGCACGAGTGTGAAGAGAAAGCCCTTGAAGAAAGCCGAGGGTCGGTAGAAAGCTGCTTTGAGGGCATTGTAAAGGTGGACGTTGAGCTTCTTGGTCTCCTGGATATCTTCCCTAACACGATCGAGCAGGACAGTCTCACAAAAATATTGCCCAGTAGTGGATGGGGCAGATATGAATATCTTGGTCGCGCGGTAGACAGCATGAGGAGTCCAGTTTTCAGGCCGTGAGATTGAGAGCAGCTCCGGCCATTGTGGGAGTGTTGGCAATACCTTGAAAGGTTTGGGCAAGGGTCCAGATTTGTAGCGCGATAGAAGTTGGCCGACCTTGGTGAAGGTCTCAACCACTTTCATGGGTATCTCAACTGCTTCATCGGGCGGCCCTGACCCCAAAAACGTCTGGTGTTGTGACCCAGCATTACGTGCGGCCTCGAGTGCTTCTTTTTCAGCAATGCGCTGGAGGATGAGATCTGTCAGGTTTGTGGCTTCTCCTTCTTCGTCGTCTTCCACTGCAGACATTCCTTTCGGCCGTCGGTCTTCGGTCATAAGGTGCGCTATCGAGGGTGTAAAATCTGCCAGCTCTTCACCGTCTTGCAGGAATTTCCTATAGACCGCCATATCCTCAGGGTCCATCTCCTCCTCGGCCACGACCTCTTCTTCCTCGGGAATCCATTCTCCTTCGTCGTCGTCATACCGAGCTGCTAGGCCGGGGTCTTGGTCGTCGGCATCTTCGTCTGTTGCGAATCTGGAATCGAATCCGAAGGCGGCATTTGACTGCGGCCCAGGTTTCGCGGCGGCGAGTTTGCGATCTTCGGCGTCTTCGTCTGCGAGGTCTTGTGCTATCGCCAATATCTTTCTCGACGACTGAGCGTCAATGTACCCGTCTCCTTGCGCATTTTCATCAGATCTAGATTTTCTCTTTCCAGTGATCGACTTTGTCCGCAGTCGGCCACCGGCGGTGGTTATGTCGTCTTCCAAAGGGTTGTGGCGGCGTGCCATGGCCGTTTTGGACATGTTGGCTTGAGGCTGGTGACTATCCCCGTGAAATGCTCTGAATTTGTGAGGATTCTGGAACGATCACTGCACTTTTGTTACAATCCCTGCTCACGTGGATGAACTTCAAAAAATGTTAATGTTCGGAAAGGAAAATTGTTTGAGGGTGGAAGGGAATTTTACGCGGACAATACGCTTAGTCATCCTCGGTAATTCCTGCACCTTGGGGGCTCGACTACATATGGTATCAAAGTGTGTAGATGAGAAAGCCTGGAATTGGATTTATTCACTCTGAAGTCAAACGTGTGGCAACTGTACAGGTAGTAGCATGGAAGTGAGCCTATAGACTGCGGCAATGTTCCCGTGACATCCAGCTGATATCTTCCTCAAGAACCAGTCGGAAGCCCTTGTACAGGATAGTAGGTATCTGCAGTTGATTCATGAACACACATATTGCGACATCTACTCTGCATGTTCCACATAAAGGCCAGGTGTGAGGGATAAGAGGATGGTAGGGGAGACATTCGGCTCGGTGTTGCCATCCGTAGTTCCTAATGGTGCCAACATACCCTGAACCTGAATTACCTCGATTGGAGTGGGAGCCACAGATTCTCCTCCTTTCGAAACATGCCAAAGTCCTGTCAATAGCAGCTTTGGAAAGTGTCTTCAATGAGGAGATTCCTGACAAGCCTTCGGCTCCCATGTGAATGGCAAAGAGGCTCATATACCAGACCCGTGGATTTCTGCTGAACAAAGTCGCCTTGATGGCCACTATTAAGACTCATCACGTCGAATTGCGGCTTTGTCCTAATTGTTTTGGAGGTGGGCCTATTCTTGGAGACCAGTTGCTTAGTGGATTGAACTGGGAGTCTTTCGACAGGTCTCCATAAACTGAGGCTGGTCTAAGTGCGAACAGGAGGGGCGAAAGGTGGTCATAGTCGGAATAGGTAGAAGAGGAGCTACACCAAACTTTTTGCCTCTTGAACCGGTGGAATTTTTGTACGCGGTTTGTGGGCTAGTGAAGGAGGTGAGGCAGAATCCGGTGACCTTGGCTGAGGATACGTTGGTGAGTAACAAATCCGAGGGACTATGGCAGATCGATTAAAACCCTTCTTAATCAAGACAGGATAGAAAAAGGACAGCACATATGTACTCCGCTCATAAGGTCGAGGGCGATCCAGCTGTTCGTCAACGAGTGGAGGTGTTAGTAAATGACATTGAAAGCCTGGCTCTCTGCGGACATATTCTCCGCTGAGCTGCAAATCCAAACGGACATGACACTGGATTGTATAAATGAGTATTGGACGACAATGATGTGTGAATTCCTCAACGGCAAAATCGAATTTCCCCCATTGCTTGACGGGAAGAGCTGGCCCTAAACTGCCCAAGGTCATCAATGCCATTGACTTGCTGTAAGCGAGGTGGCCCGACATTGGATGTGGTACAAGATGGGACCAGCGTGGTCTGGTTATTAACAGGACCAGGAACACAATGATAATAGTCAGTCAAAACAATAGCAGGAGATACAGACAGCCCGGATCCCGGATGACGATATGGCCAGAGCTAGGCATGTTGTCGTCCAAAGCTCAATGATCATCACCGCCAATTCAAGGTTGACATGCATGTACGAGATCGGACCTTGGCCGGGACTTGCCAGGGCTGCATGAAGGCTGCAAGCAACCTAAAAAGGTGTCCATGTCCGCTGTCAGAGAGTGTCAATGAGGGCCAGGCGTGTGGACCAGCGATCAATCCAAGCCAAACCCCCGGGTCAACCATGCTCATGGGCCGAGAGCAAGGATGTATGATGTATCATGATTTCTTGGTTCGGCAGGTCGCAATGCATTGTCGGGGGTATGTCAGGAGCTGCAGAAAAACGCTGAATGCTGGTTGGGTGAGATGGGACAATGTGTCTCGACCTGATATACGACAAGGGAACGACGGTGCACGACCCAACCTCAAAAGGATGCCACTCGGAGGCTACCTAAACAGTGCTCAAATCCGTTTTCTAGTTAGCTGCTATAGTTAAAAAAAGCCCATCATCGCCCATAATGGCCCGGAGCACGCCGAATGATGGCGCTTAGACAGGCTTACTAAGTTACAGTACCAGTAGTGAGACTACCTAGGTCCCTTGGTATGGTACTGTAGTAAGTTTCGACTGCTGGTGCCCGCAACTCCGCGCTGAGCTTCCTCTGATACACCTCCAGTCGTTTTGCTTGCTTTTTTCCAGCGGTTTGGCTTCTGCAACGCTGGAAGAGCTTCGGCTCCATCCTAAACCTCGACTGCTTGCGAACCTTGTTCATCTCTCCTCCTTTTGCTCTAGAAGATCTTCCTCCACGTTGCAACTTCGTGTGGTCACGGTCAAGACTTGGACCCTGGATTTTCAGGATCGAAATTTGCCATCTTTTTAGTCGTTTGACGGAGTTTAGTCGATATCGCGTTGTCTGACCTTTCACGCTTTCCAGCCTCCTGCTCCCCAGTCCCGACTGCATATTATCACTTCCTTGTTCGCTTCCACCCCCTTTATCATTTCTCTCTTTGGTCGAGATTGACCCTCGCACTCGAAGACGCCTCCCAACGCCGCATCCACCAAACAGATCGATCTGGATGGTCCATCTTTACTCCGTACAAATCTACCAATTACTTGTATATCGGCTGCTCCTCCGTCCAGGTGCCAACCCACCATCCCTGTCTCCTCCTCCTACTCCGGTTCATCCGTTCGACTCCGACCGAACCACCTTGTTACCACCCTCTCGATCTGGTCAAACCCACATCATCCTATCTTGTCCCTCCCCTCGATCTTCGAACTTCCTTCGAGCTTCTGTCGAACCCCCGACATACTGCAGCCTCCCTCGAAACCGACCGCCCTTCTACCTCTCTGTTCAAACACAAACGGTCGACCTGCAGCTGCGAACACGCGCGCTTGGATTTGTGCGCTCGCGATTGCTGCGATATCTCGAGTCCGCGCCCTGCTCCTTTTTTTGTTCTGGAACTCGGCCCCTCAAAAACACGCAAACGCCGCATCTCCTTCCTCGGGCGGACACCACCAACTTCGACTCCCTTCCCACACCTCCTTAACCTCCCTGCTCGATCTTACCTCCACACCTGACACCAGATCTTCCGATCCGTCACGGACAAATCTGTTCATCGACCGGGCAACTCTTCGTCATACATCCTCCTTCTTCCGATTTCGCCTGCGCCGACCAGCCTGACCGCCAGCCAACAAGCCAACTAGCCAACTTGGAGTGCATCCCTAAGAAAAACGACCTGTCCCTCGCGCGTATTTGTCCAAATGTGTGGCTTGCTCCACTGGTGGTGCAATGTATTGATGCCTTGCATGATATGAAAATAGGACACCGGCGAACGCGCGACCGCCTCACGAAAATCGTTCTTAAAGAAGCATAATCATGAGTACCCTTTTTCAATCGACTCTGAGAAATCCTTTCGACCCTCCTATCGAACCTTTGTCGAGACCGAGAGCCATGGCTATCCTCCCCCAGAACAACAACACATCGCCCAAGTCGAGTCACGAAGATTCTATGCAGATTTCCTCTCCCGCTCCTCCGAATATGGGCCCTCCAACACAGGGGACAAGTCCAGAACTTGATCCAGGGAACAGTGCCAATGGAAACAGGGATCCGACGGGCGTGAGTCCCACTGCCGGAGCGGTCGGCGCTTCACAAGGGCCCAAGGTGGTCCAGACGGCTTTCATACACAAGCTCTACAGCATGTTGGAGGATAAGACCATACAGCACCTAATATCGTGGAGCAACACGAATGAAAGTTTCGTCATGTCCCCTTCGAATGAGTTCTCAAAAGTATTGGCACAATATTTCAAGCATACAAACATATCCTCCTTTGTTCGCCAGCTGAACATGTATGGCTTTCACAAAGTCAGCGACGTATTTCACACGGGTTCGCCGGAATCTGCACTATGGGAGTTCAAGCATGGGAATGGTAATTTTAAGAAGGGAGATCTGATGGGCTTGAGAGAGATCAAAAGACGAGCCTCGAGACATACTCTGATCCATCGAGATTCATTCTCCAACGCGAAGCCGGGCGTCTCGCAACCAGGAACACCCGCTGAGATCATGCCAGATGCTGATCAACGTCTCGCAGGCCTTGAGCAGGCCTTCTACGACATGCATTCGAGATTACAGAGGACCGAGGAGAGCAACGCTCTAATGAGCTCTAGGTGTCAAGCATTAACAGAAGGAATGGTCCGCGTCCACCAATGGACGCAGAATCTCACCAGCGCAGTCCAGACCTTGTCGTCACCCGAATCGGCGTTATACACTGACATCACCAATATGCAGAAAGAAATAGCGCGCCAACTTGAATTCGTGCGCGCTCTCGAAACCCCTTCGGAGTCGCTACAAACTGGCAGGCAGTCATACTATCCTAGTGGTGGGGCGTTGGAGCCGCCTGTGTCTCCGCGAGGATACAACTATCCTGACAGCCGCAGGTCATCGGTTCAGATTGAACCACAGCATGTCGGCTTGCGACCTCCAGTGCCTCCGTTGCCTCAGTTTTCATCGTCTCCACGACGTTTTGGCTCGGCCAGTATCCCACATCCATCTCCAGGGTTCAGTCGACCTGCTCTGCCTACACAACCACCGCCGAGCGTGCATCCTTTGGCATCTGTGTCCACACCACCGCCTATAAATCTGACCCGCCGGCACACGTCAGCTGATATCCGAGAGCATGGTTGGGCTCCGACCCATGACCATGCAAATGGGTCTCCGTATGCGTCGGGCCACTCGTCTGTGCACTGGCAGCCGTCATCTCCGCAACAAGCCCCACTGGTAGGAGATCGGCTGCTTCAGGATCAACTGGCCCGATACGAGATTAACGGCCCCAAGCGGCATGCAACGACCGCAAACCAGCCGACGCCGCCATTGACATCCTCGTCCGAGGCGGCTCCTGCAGGCCTGGGGGTCGAAAATGTGCCGTGGACGCCCGGAGTGGGAGTCAACAAATTCCCTCGGCCCAACTTTGAGTTACACTCTGCTCCTGCTACACGCCGGGGTAGTATGGCGACGCTACACTCTTTACTCAACCCCGCGGAGACGGCAGAACGAGATAACGAGGACGAGGGCAACGATGATCGAAAGCGGAAACGAATGGTATGATTCAATCTTTTCATCTTATTCTCTTGCTCAAACTATTTGCTGGGCACTGTCTTGTCCACTGTAAATATGGGGAGGCGCTGGAATGAATTTTCATTTTCACATGGAGGCTTTTTGCGGAACAGTTTTTCAGCGTCAATTTCCAAGCCACGTCATGATTGGGCGCAAGGCCGCCAGCATTGGCACAAGATCAGAAAAGATGTAATGATTACACTATGAAACCCTTTGTAAGGAGATGGCATGATTTTTGGTTGGAGGATCTTACGAGACGAAGAGGGCATGGGCGGACTTAATACTCATGTACATGTGTATAAAGGTGATGATGATGATGGGTTTGTACTGCTGGTTAGAGGTGAAGGGCAGGCGAAAAATGCAAAATGCAAATGCAAATGTTCATGTTCATACTTCGATTTGCCGTCGGGTTGCTTTGCACTCGTCACTTGCACCCCATCCTGCTGCTCGGTCCTTCATATGCCTCTTATGATATCCAGATGGGTTGCACACGTGATCACGTGACTACATCTACCAGTCCCGTACATCGGTCTCGAAGATCGCAAGCCCTCATACGCAAGCTGAGGCTGAGACCAACCAATGCTACTGCGCGTTTCTTTATGAACCAAGATCCACCAGATCATAATACGCCTCGGTCCTCGCGGAGAAAGGACTGCCGTAGACTGGACATTGGTGTCTGGGCCTTCTGGATCTCGCTTTCTTGCTTTTTTTGCGGACAGATAGTGGCTCATTATGTCGTACCTATATGTGCGGGCGCTTGACCTGTCGGACCGGGAATGTCCGTTTGAAGAGGTCTCTCCTTTTTCAGTGCTCAGAGCTCGCGGACATGGTGAAATCCCCTCGCAAAAACGGGGACACGCTTCCCAACCCCGACCTCGCCGAAGTTCGATTTCTTGTTTGACTTTTGCCACTAGCAGGACAAGAGCTTATCGCATGGCGACCGGCGAGGATACGATATATGGGGCGTCGAAGGTGCCGCTTTTGGCTGATTGGCGGCTTTCGGATCAAGTCCATTGACGCCGATGTATGGGCTATCTGTCAATCGATGGGGTCGCTGAGGTGCTTTTCGCTTCTTACCGCTTCAAGGGCCGTCTCAGATATATGTGTCGACAAAAGCTGCAGACGGTCATCCATCATTGGCCTTGCCGGATTTCTTTTTCTTCTTCGCCGCTCGAGAGGCTAGGATCTCGTCGAGATAGCTGGAGCCACGCTTCTTGATGGACTTGGGGGCATGAGATCCCTGACCTGACGCTGTATGCTCGACGGACTTGTTACTTGCTGCATTCGTCGTTCCGACACTGGTATCGCCTGGGTGCGTGCGGGACATGTTTGGTGTGCCCGAAGTGTTTTTGATTTGGCCTGCTTTGCTTTTACCGAGGCCGGAACGACCTTCTTCCTCGTCCTCGCTGTCGCGACGTCTATGTGCCGATGAGGCTGCCCCTGGTCGGGATTTCGCAGTCGCGTGGTGATGATGCGGGTTGCCGCGTTGGCTACCACGGCCGAGTAATTGCTTGCGTAGAAATGCGGTTGTCGGGTCTGAGGCACGAGAAGAGTGTGTAGTTGAACTTGAGTCTGTGGGTTGCGTGTAGCCTATACCGCCGCTATGTGGTCGTTAGAATGAGCCCGTCGAGATCGATTGCACTGAGCGCAGGAAGGGCAGGAACGGCGGAGGAGGTGGGCGGTGAGGAGACGTACTTTTCGGAATAGAGAGCTGCATTCTTCGCAAGGTTCGCCTCGAACTCCTCTTGCTCGTCCTCCCTGGCGTTCGAAGTGGAATTGTCACCAAACGCACCGTTTAGCCATGACTTTGCGAGCCGCGAGGCTTCGGCGTGCTGGAGGAGAGCTTCATTGGTGGCTATATCGATTTCGGTGGCTTGGCTCGCGGACCGGTGAGATGATGTTGGTGCTGGCATGATATAGTCTACATCTTCACCGCAGGGGAGCATGGGAATTGTTCTGTGACAACTGGGATGCGTAGGCGAAATGGTATGGGAATTTATTTTCAGGCGAGGAAAGTCAAGCGAGGCATGACTCGAACACTTGGAATAGAGTGGCTGCTCTGACTTAGATGCTCAGCTTATGTCATCCATGTAAAGTCGTGATTTCGCCCATCTCTTCGCTTCTTCTCGTCCTTGACCTTCTCAAATTGCGCTAGACACACCCGTCCTTCGATGGCAAAGACCGTAATACTAAGATTAGCAATGTTCTTGATAGAATAGAACTGTTTTGCTCTCAAGTTCTCAAGAAATTGTCACCCTTGTCATCTCCCGACGGGCATTCCGTGAGCCGAAGACTCTCCCACTCTCTCCGCACATTTCTACACCTTGCAATGTGCCGTCTCTTCCGCACGGATGCACGATTTCATTCACGTCCCTACGGAGCTTCATCAGGCGATATGGATGTGTAACCCACCATACAAGCGACCTCAATGGATCGGGTCGACAACAACGATCTACCGACAAGCCCACCCAAGAGACGCAAGCTCAAACATCCTCGCACAGCCCGAGCTTGTGCCTTCTGCAGAAGGTTTGTTCTCATTGTGTCCAGTTGGTCAACATCCGTCGATCCATGTACATCTTGGCTACAACACCAGCTTTGACGGTTGCGGCTACTTGGGTCTTGCGTGACTGATTTGGTTGAACTAGGCGCAAGGTCCGATGCTCGGGTACTCAACCATGCGACTACTGCCGCGGCGAAGGAGTCCGATGCGAGTATGAGGATAGACTCTCAAGATCTAGTCCTTTCGCTGTGCAAACGACCTCTCGGGTTGCCCCGTCAGCGACACAACAAGAAACCCCAACCTCTGCTGCTAAAAGCGTAGTAGCAACGCCGGGACAACCTTCGACGACACTCCCAGAAATCCAGTCTGGAAACGGTAAATCAAAGACTTCGCGACGTGTATCGTTAGACCCGCCCCAGACATTCGCCGAAGGTCAGCATATCGGACCATCTGCCGGCGTATCATTTCTCTATCATGCTTGGAACCGGACTGGCGCGCCTGAGGAAGAGGCGACGCTGCCAACGGCGCGACTGACATGTCATGGAGACATGCCTCAAGCTCCAGTCACCAAGGACCCGCAATTGCCCACTAGAGAAGAAGCAAGCACGCTTTTGGAACGTTATTTTCAGTTCGCTACGCCTACGTACCGATTCCTTCACCGGCCGACCGTGGAAAAGTGGATGTCCAAGCTAATGGACGGCACTCAGCTGTCAAAGGCAGAGGCAGCTTGTGCTTTGATAGTTTGTTCGCAAGCACTCCTCTACACCACGGTCGGAGACAGGTATCAGAACGGTGGGGACGAGGGGCTCAACCGAAGCAGAGCCTGTGAGTTGCCTCTCCAATGTATGCTCCTTGCTCGTGGGAAGACAGATTATCTGACCCGAATTGACCGCAGACTTTGACAAAGCAAAATCCCTACTCGACGAAGAACCCGGTCCTGCCACAGTTGTTAGCGTGCAAGCACGCTTAGCCATGTGCCTGTATCTCCTGAGCACGTTCCGTATCAACGAATGCCGTTTCTCCTTCAGCCTTGCTTGCACAATCTTGACCTCAATCGGCCTCCAGCGGAAGACACTGAATGCACACAAACTCGACCTTGTCACCCTAGAATCACGCAAGCGAACATTCTGGTGCGCCTACGTGCTGGACGATTATCTAAGCGTCATGCTGGGCCGGCCCCGGATTCTCCACGATGGCGATATCGACCAGGAATACCCCCGAAACATCGACGACAATGACCTGTTATCGTCTGAATCGCCTGAAGACCTGCCTTTGCACGGCAATCTGGAAGCTTTTATCGCCCACGCCGATCTGGCCAAGTTGATGGGCCGCAACAGCCACCTCCTCTACCCGCTTCAGCCGTTGACAGAAGACGAAGTTCTCGAGCGCACGCACGAAATGCTTCACGCACTCGACAACTGGCGGGCCTCACTGCCGGGTTTTCTGAAGCCTCGCAACAAGACGCTCGCCGGACAAAGGACGTTTGAAAGGCAGAACACGGTGCTCAAACTTGCGTACGCACATTTGCGCATACTCGCCACACGACGCTGCTTACTCGCGGATTTCGGCCGTCTGGGACGTAGGGCGCCATCGGTATCGGCAAAGGATGATCGGGCGCTGAAGCCGATCCAAGAGTGCGTCGCTGCTGTATGCACGATTCTCGATGCGGTTTATGACCTGAGCGAAAGGGGCACCATGTATCAAGGGTTCTGGTTTCAGCCTTACATTACCCTCGTCGCGATCTCGACATTGTATGTGTTTGTTATACAAAAGAGTCGGTCGACGCTGCCGGAGGGTTTGTTTGTCCAGCTCAACGAGTACCTTGACAAGGCCAAGTATTGTCAGGAGCTGCTTGCGGCGTTGTCGCCCGCGGGAAGCCAGGCAAGGAGACATCATGTTCTGCTGAATCGGCTAAGGGAGCGAGCGGAGAGAGATGCTTTGAGGACGAGACGGCAAGGTGATGCGAAGAGTGGAGGTGCACACGGAGTGGCAACCAGGCCAGGCTCCGTGGTGAGACAAGTTGAAGATCGGACGGCGTTTGTTGGAGGCGAGAGCCAGTCAGCTGAAAATCCCGGACGCGTTCAACATCAAGCTGACGACGATCAGACGGCGACGGATGGCGCCGCTCACCTGAACCACAATCCGGATGTGATGATGGGTCAATTCACACCGTCAGAAGATGACTTTATGTTCCAAGATCTGAATGGTTGGGGCTGGGAAAGCTTGGACACGGTTGGATTTCTTGCAGATGGCGACTTGTTTGGTCTCCAACCATAGCGTGCCCCTAGTTACATTGATGTCCGCTAATCTGCTTGCTGAAGTCCGGATCTGGGTTATTGTAGCTTCACTCCGACCTCCGCAGTTTCCTGTTCGTTGTTGGATGTTCGTGTGTCGACAACAGTTTACCCTCCATTCAGCAGATCAAACATATTACTGCTCATTCTACTGATCTGTGGAGTGCCTTGCGTAGCTCTCTTCCTCTTGCGTTTGCTTCTCGCTGGCATCCATTCTCCGTCTGTAGCCTGTGTCGTGTTGTTCTGTTGTTGAAGAGTCGCCTTTTCGGCGCCCGTTCTACCGTCGCGATGGCCTGGGAAAATCAAATTGGCCAGGCCTGTGATGGCATTATTCCGAGCTTCGAGGTCCAAATCGGCCGTTTTGGCCCGGAGATCTGGGATGTCGAGAAACAGATCTTCAATATTTGGCATTGATTCGAGTCTAGAATGCAGCTCCCACAGAGTGTTGGAAATCCCAGAATCCATTGAAGACTTGCATTTGAGATTCTTGAGGACATGGCGAGTTAGTTGCTGCAGAATCCGAAATGAGTATAGAACAGCATGCATGTTGGCTAAGAGATGGACATCGTCCCATTGTACCTTGGACCCCAGGGACGCGATTGAGGGCTGGAGGCCTAGAAGCCTGGTCATCTGGGTGACGGATGGAGTGGGTTTGTCTGCTTCGAGTTTTTGCTCGCACACGAGCCGGAAGGCAAGGATGTACCATTGTAGAGCTGTTACTGAACCGAAATTCCCCTCAAATGGTTGGGGTTTCAGTGTTTCTAGCGTTTGGAGCATCATCCTCAGGTGTTCCCGCACCAGGGACTCGTTCACGGGCTGGATTAGGGTCGGGGTGATTCGCTGGCCCTTTCTTGCGTACTCAGTCACCGTCTTCGAGAGTTTAGAGTGGACTGAGGGAGTGAGGAGCAGCGAATACGCGAGTCGTCGAATACTGGCACCGTAGGCCCAAGAGGAGTCCCGTGATGGGTCTTCGACAATAGGGGTTAGGTACATATCGGCCGACTCGTCTGAGGTTACGACTGCTTCGGCAATTCGAGGGTCTAAGCCATCCAAGAGAGCCAGCTCGTCAAGCTGGGTAGTTGGGGCATCTGTGTACTGCTCGCAGAACGCCTCATACTCGGCGTGGAGTTTCTCCAATCTGCTATCGTCTTTTGCTCGCTCTCTAACCACGGCAGCTGAAAGGCTTGGGTCAAGGAATCGCTCGAAGCCGAATCTAAGCAGCGAGGTCACCTGCATTCTTTCAGCGACGTGGCTCGGACTGAGCGCGAATGCAATTATTGATCCATAACTGGCCCCGAGACTGTGCTTCTTCTCAAGGGAGTGCAACAGCACGACGCGGCCAGTAGCTCCGAGGTCGTGCACGGCTAGGTCAGAGTCGTTCGTCAAAATGGCGCCGCCGGTTTCTTTGGCCATCGTGGCACAGAAGACGTCGGCCTCGCCTGGGACTAGTTGCACGCGGTCTTTGAAGGGGCCGCTACGCAAGGACTCAATGGCGCTAGCCACCATGAACGGCGGCGCTGGGAGGGTCGACTTCCTTGTTGACATGACAGGGGTCTCCCATAGCGCCTTCTCAGAGTCGACAGCTGAGATGGAAGCAGAGACTGGAGGAAACTCGGGATAGACTTTCCGATACGCTTCAAGCTGCTGGCGGAGTTTATCCATTCTCTCGAGGCGGACACCATGCTTTGATTCGGGCAGCGCGCCATCGAAGAATAATTTCTGCACCTCGACGTTGTCGGCTTCCAGGTTGGACAGAAACTGGCGTAAGGCCTCGTTTATCTCATGGTAGGTTGGTATTTGAGCGACGAGGGTAGGTGTCCTCAGCGACTTATAAGCCAACAATTTGTGGTAGACGTAATACACCAGAGATGGACCATCGATTACCATGGAGCTGATGACATCGGGATTTTGGTGTGAGCCTTGACTCGACGAGTGGAGAGTGACTCCCTCCGCGTATGGGCGGAGATCTTGGGAAAGCCGTGGGATTCCCATAGCGAAGCTCGGCAAGCCTCCATCCTCGATTGTAGAGTGCTGGGATCACATAGGTTCTGTGAATCAATGCGTCTTTCATCTGTGATGTTGAACATTGATTCGTGTTGGCGCAAATACCCTGCCGCATTGAAGGTACGGCGAAGTAATTGGGCCAACAGCGAAATCTAAGTCTTCTACCGCGATTACCTGCAGTGACATACATCCAACATGCATTTTTTTTTAGCAACATATCAGTCTCCAGTATCAGATATCAGATCCTCACTGAGAACGTCATCAGACCAATGTGCCACTAACAGCTGCACATGAGGCTTCCACATCGTCTTCTGGAGTCTACAGCTTTCGTGCAACAGGCCCTTGGACATCGAAGATGACGTGTTCGGATGATACGCAAACTGAAGGCATCTATTCAAACGTGCGGCTTCTTATCGCTCAAGCACTATGTTCAATGATACATTGCCACTTTGCGAGCGATTCAAAAGCCACAAACGCCATTTCTCCATTGGCCGGGAATAGTGTCTTCTAACCTCATACTTGTTGATTTCTTCCCAGAGGAGCTTCAGGATGGATCGTACACCCATCAGGTCACAGCTGAGCCCGCAGAGGTAGTGTATCTGGTGTTTTCTCAGCCCCTGCGAAATTCACACTCTCTGCAGGCTCAGTGTGTCCCGTTTACCGCAGCCTGTATCTGAGCAAAGTTCTCATCGAACACTTCCTCGGTATGCTTGTCCGCGTCGAAGAAGTGAATCCAGTCTTCACGCGGGAACTGAACCGATTCCGGGTTTTCTTTGACCTTGTCCCAGTCTGCTTTGTGCCACATATCTCGTGTGGTCTCTCCGGTCTTCTGGACCGCTCTGACGCGATCGTATCTGCCACGGCAGTCAGCGAACATCCTAGCTGGTCGTGGATTGCAGGATATGGGCTTACCTAATCCTCTGGTACGTCCGGACGGCATCAGGAACATCCGTCTTCCCTGCACGTCTGAGGCAAATCGCGATTGTCACGCCGTCCTCCATTGCTTGGGTGGCACCTTGTGCGGAAGTCGGCAAGAATGGATGAGCCGAGTCACCGAGTAAAGCGATACGACCGCCTTTGCTGATCCAAGTCGGCAGGGGGTCTCGGTATACCAGCTTCCAGTCAACGAGATGGCTTTCAGGCGTCTTCTCAACAATGGCCTTGCACATGGGATCCCAGCCCTCAAAAACCTTGTATACGTCTTCAAGCTTGCCGGGGAACGACCACGACTCGTCAATATCTGCTTCGTCCTACAACAGCATTGTCAGTCAAGCCTGATCAACTGGGCCCGGAACCTACCCTGTGAGTAAGGACCCAGCAGCAGTCACTTCCGTTCTTGATGGTTGAGAAAAGGAAATGCACGTCCTGACCGATCCACCCGTTGAACGTGTCGCCATTTTCACAAAAATGTTTCGTCCGAGGATCTTTGATCATATCTGTGTTGGGGAACCTAGGGTGAGTCAGACCTACGCCCTCGATCTCGGCCTGTATCCACTCACCAAGCACGAAAGACCGCGTATCCGCTGCTTTTCGGCTTGTCGAAATATCCCAGCACTAATTCGCGGGCTTTTGACCTCACACCATCAGATCCAATGACTAGGTCGCCCCATACCTGCAGAGAATGAGCAAATGTCGCCAGACAACGAGTGGAGCAGGATCCTCGTACCTGTTCGCCAGTTGACAGCTCGATCCCGGCCCTATCTGCTTCCTCCATGTACTTCTCTACCCTTTGGCCAAGGTGGATGGGAATCTTGAGATCGTCCTTGGCATAATTGAAAATAACTTCGTGCAACTCTCCACGATGGCCATTGAAAACGGGAGCGTCGGGATTTTGTGGCGGTGTCGCTTGATTGATGATGAGTTCTCCGGTATATTTGTGAATGTTGAACCCATAATTTGTCAGGTCGATACTCAGCTCTCTCATCTTCTTTGATATGGAACCGTCGACACCCCAGCGCCGGAATATTCTGCCAGCATTGGACCCGAAGGAAATGATGTCGCCCAACGGCTTGAGTTCTGGGAAAGATTCATATATTTCAACCTGGTGGCCTTGTCGGTGGCATTCTATGGCTGCTGTGAGTCCTCCGAAGCCTGTCTCTGGTAAACAAATTGTATCAATATCTCCCGAATGAAGGCCTCCATACCTGCTCCGACAATTATTACCCTGATGCCGGTTTTCGATTTTGCAAATGGTTCTGCCGCTGACATGATCATCGTGTCTACCGTTGCTGTGACCCTTTCTAGCTGCTATTCCTGGTCGATTGACGACTTTTACGAGAATTTGAGCCGGTCAACCAGAGCACGTCAGCTGGCTCTGGGCTCCTCGAATGCTTGGTAAATCTATGGTTGGAGATCCTAGAAACTAAAAGTGATCACTGGTCTTTTTGAACGAAAGTACGACAGCTCGATAGAGCCCCACGGATCATACCGGTCTGCTTTCCACCAGAGTCGAGACTTGAGGCGATCCAGTGGCTTGGAGGCGTCTGGGATTCTCCAATGGAACTGCCGACCCTATGCATTGTACCGAAAGGGACAATGGACGCTGAAATCCAACCATGATTGGACAACCCTCAAGGCTGGATCCTCTCCCCACAGTTACACCCCATCTTTCCCCTCGTTGCCACCGAGTCACCAAGAAGGATACCTGCCTCCCTATCTAACCTGGCACGCCTGGCTTCATAGGCACATGGTTTCTTGCTAGGTGAACGTACTACTGTGGCTTGTGCACTGCACTGTTGCAATCAAACCCGTGGGGTTCGAGGCCGCCTTCCGCCAATGCATTCGCCTACGTGAACGCGATTCAAGAGCCTCCGCCGCACATGCCGGCCACGATAAGACCGTCGATATCTGCCAGATCTTGTTGAGGTCTTTGCCTTTTCTAGGACAATCTATTCAGGAAAAATCATATTCCGTTTTCAGTCGCGACGCACGTGGTAGTCGCATTGGAGGCGAAAAATCTTTGCCCAAAGTGCCCTTTTGGCCATTCTACAAGGGCTGTTGTTGATATACGGTCGGACTTACTTCGAAACTCCGCAACAGCTTGCCACGAATTAGTTTGTTGCATGTCATCCTCACAGCATTATCAGTAGCTCACAATCCTGGTGGTCTGATCTGTCTCCAGGATAGCAACTCCAGCCACGGTGTTTAGTGGTAGCTTTCGGCGACATTTCTTGACCCCTGACAGATTGAGCGCTTCAATTGGCTCAACATGACTTCTAATTCAGACTTCAGCAAAGAAACAGGTGCGACGGAGGTCGCAAAAGCTTATGGTCATGGAGTAAGGGACAAGACGGGTATGAACCCCCAAACAAGGCCTTTGACGCCCAGACGACCAAATTGACAAGCATCTGCAGTGGTCATCATTGGCGTTTCGCCTCAAAGCCTAGGCGAATCTATGGCACTGGCGCTTGCCTCGCAATCGCCCAGCCAGTTGGTGCTGGCCTCGCGGACAATGCTCAAGATCAAGGCTGTAGCTACAAAGATCAAGGCTAAATATCCAGACGTTCAGCTTGAGCTTGTGGAAGTGGATTTGGCCTCTCTTGAATCGGTCCGCGAGGCCGCTGCAGAGATCAATAAGGCCGTGGAGAAGATCGATATCCTGATCAACAACGCGGCTGTTGTGATGCAAGCCCATGCATACACCAAGGAGGGACTCGAACTGCAATTTGGCACTAACCATATTGGCATTTTCCTGTTGACAAATCTCCTGATGCCCAAGATCCTCCAAGCTGCCCAACAGTCACAGTGCAAGGGCTCGACCCGTATCGTCAACTTGACGAGCGCCGGCCACATCATCTCACCGATCCGATACAGCGATTACAATTTTGCAAAAAGGCCCGAAGACATTCCGGAAGATGAACGACCAATGTCGCGCCCTGGAGTCTCTTTTGACCCTCCACCGGGGAAGACGTATGTGCCGTTTGTCGCCTATGGCCAGTCGAAGACAGCAAATATCCTGATGTCGCTGTCGATTTCCGAAAACCTGGCGAGTCAGGGCGTAAGGTCAATAGCCACACATCCCGGGTCGATCTGGACAGACCTGTCCCGCAACCTGGATGAGGAGTACACGGATTTGATCAGCAAGACCGGCAGCTTCTGGAAGACTTTGGATCAAGGGAGCGCGACGACCCTGGTGGCGGCACTTGACCCGAAGCTCGGTGAGGATAGGAGCGTCATCTACCTCTCGGACTGTCAGGTGGCGGAACCTGCAGCACACGCGAGCGATCCCGTTGCAGCTGAGAGGCTGTGGAAATTGAGCGAAGAGATTGTCGGGCAGAAGTTTGATCTGGGCAGTGGGAGTCGCTTGTGAAGTGTTCGCTTCGGAGCCATCAGGTGGCGAGAGGCCTCGATGACTTGCCACCAAGTTACTCGTCCTTTTTTCCCTCTTCCTTTTGAAGATGAGCATATTCCGTCATCGGCTGCATATCTGAACACCTGAAGCCTGGCTTTCTTGGGTTCAGCGCAATTTCGGGAACCCTCCTGCGACAAAACCCGCCGATGCATGGACAGAAACATGCGATGATGATCTGGTTTGCAGCTCAGTATCAATCTTCAAGTTGCCACGACGCCTTTGCTGCCAACTCGCCCAAGCAGAGCTGCTTGTTTCGACTTGGATCGCTTTCTTCAGCGATACGTAGACTCCGAGATCCAGGTATTGGAAGTGTGTTGGTGGTATTTCCGCGATTCTGGTCATAGAGTTGAATGGATTACTAGTAGATGGTTCTAGAAGGTCATTAAGCGGGTCTATGAGATGTGCGTCGCATGAAGAATTCAGCCTTCAGCCTTTTCCCCAATTCATAGTCTCATCACATCTCTGCCGAACAGGAAATTCATTACCATGGCCCAGAAGAGACCAACCCAATTCCGCCATGTTCTGGTCCAAGTCCAGCTGCCGGATCTCCAGCTCAGCCAGGCCTTTTGGCCGGACAACGGCTCGCCTGCTGCCGATCCCTGAATGATCCCATCGTGGGCCCCAATGTATGTCACCAGTCGCTTACTGCTAAAGACGAAAGGCTGGCTGTTCTCATGGCGTCGGTTCAACTGCCGGACCAAGTACTTGGCCTTCTGGACGGCCACCTCGGCAGTAGTTGGCAAAGACTGGCCTTCAATGTCTGCGGCGTCGCCGAGAGCGAAAACATTGGCATAGACGTCGGGAGTTTCCTGGTCGCCTTTCTGGACACGAAGTCTGGCGTCGGTCAATATGCGCACGAGTCCGCGTTCCGTCTTTTTCACGTTCAGTGTGTCGACGAAGGGAATGGACTTGTTGCCCGCGACCCAGAGCAATATGCCGTAGGGCACGGAATCTTGACCCTTGAGGTGCAGAGTTGTGCGGTCGACCTTCTGGATGACAGTGTTGGTGGCGACACGCACACCTCGCTTCACCATTTTCTCGGTCGCATACTCGTACAGCTTCTTGTCGTAGGAGCCCAGGATATGTGAGGCGACATCAAAGATAGTTATATTTATCAACGGCGCTACAGCGGGGTAAAAGTCCTTGAGCTCGTGCTGGGCCATGTCGGAAAGCTCCGCAGTAATCTCGACGCCTGGGAAAAGGTTTCCTTAGTTATTTTTGCTCTGTTGGCGAGCGTGCTGCATGCCTCACCTGTGGGTCCTCCACCAACGATGGCAACGTGAAGTAAGGCGGAGGCCTCTTCAATAGAAGTACAAGGTAGGCTGGCCTTTTCCAGCTGGTCGAAAAGCTTCTTCCTCAAGGCCATGGCGTCGGAGACATGCTTCATGAACAAGGCATGCTCAGCCACCCCAGGAGTGCCGAAGGTGTTCGTTTGACCTTGCCAAAGATTAATATAGCGCCCGCCAATGCTAGGAGTCCCTGGTGGGCTGCGTACATCCTGGACAAACGACCAGTTTATCAAATTTGAGAACAAATCGACGGCTGGGGAATCCGTCGTTCTCCTCGTCAAAAGCCGCCTCGCATTGTACCTGCCTGGCATCGAAGTCCACGTCCAAAGCATTGGCCTTGATGAAGTCGCAATGCCGTCCTTTGGCTCGAATAGACTCTTCGGCCAGGCTGAAGGGGAAGAGTCCACATGCTGCGGAGGCCAGCAGAGGAGTGTAAGCGCTCGTCCTCCTTGGCGACACAATCGAGACCGCATATATGGTTGTGTCAATGTATTGAGCGATGTATAGGCCTACCCAGCCGGACCCGATAACGACAAGCCGTTCTCGGTCGTCGTTTGCCATTGTGGTTAAAACAGAGGCAATCCTGCTTGAAGCACATTGCAGCTGCGATACGAAACGACTTTGGGTGGCTGCCAAGGTATGTGAATGGTATGCTCACTGGCTTGAGTTCTACGTCATGCCTGGAGATGCCGGTTCGTGAGGTCCAGCTGCTGCTTAGCTAATCCGTTTGGATATCGAGGCCAGTGTCACCATCCGATCTTCGCGAGGAGTTCAGCAGGCTCCCCATGATGTGGCAACGGATGGGAAAGCGTCGCGAGGTTCTCATGAAGAGATTGTCGCTGTCACCTGGAGACTGCCCTGTAATCGAATGCTCGCTCCGGTGGTGTCTTCATAGGGCTTTGATTGATTCAGGAAAGCCTTTGACAGTTATGTTACAGGATTGTAGCGTCGAGCCAGCCAGCCCTGAACGGCGGATGGAGTACCACATCGCTGACAGGAAAGATCACAGCAGCCCTGACTAGCAGCTTGTCTTGCAGTGCTGCCGCATAAGGTCCATTTTTCACAAGCATGTCGCGAAGATATTGTCGAACCTCTGCACGAACCTCGGAGGGTAAGCCCGCATATGCAGTTAAGTCAGACTGGTCGAACACAATGAGGTGAGGTTGGATAACCTTTAACTGTGAGAAGCCGCCCCATTTTGCGAGAATGGAGAGATTGAGGGCGCGATCGCCGACAAGGATTGCAGGGCGTGGATCAGGATATGTGAGGGAGGACATGATGCCAAATTTGAAAGTCATCGGAGCGGTGGTAGCAGTTTGTGACAGCCAGGTGGTGGCCTCGTTCTGCGACATTATGCTTAGTCCACTCTGAAGGTTCTTCCCATGTTCCTCGAGAGTGCGTATGACGGGTGTTGACCTTCGGAGCTGAAGGGTTTCAAGGTCGCGTCCTGCAAGAATATGCGCTTGGATTCAACACTCAATATTAGTCAGCACTTCTCTCACACACCACCTACATCTTTACCGGAGCTGAGACTTCAATGACATGAGATAATCATCATTCGAACCCCCGGTCATCGATCATGCCATTGATCTACTTTGGCTCCAAGGTTGCACCACATATACAGATGAAGCCAAGGCTCTTATCTGTTGATGGACGATTCGCGTGCCATGTATCTTTGCGCACTAATAAGGCATATGCGAGAGCCGACCAGATCATCTCGAATCAAGGCAACAAGGATTTCTCCGCAGACTGAAAATGGTTGCATTGAAGATTGATATGACGCCGGGAGGTGTAGTGATCAGCAAACGGACCAGGCTGAGAAAGGCAGCTCAAAGACGCCTCCCTCCAACTCACCAACCACAGATTCACATTTCCTGATGTTCTATCGGTGTCTGTCTCTCGTTCCTGGTATGCTGCATCGGGCACAATAGGCTATCCGGCTCCTCTCTGCACTCCGGGTACGACAGTCGAGAGGGGTTCATCAGGCCTGCCTATATCAATACCGAGCCCCTCAACCTCCCTTCGACTCAATACGAGGGCCACAGTGTACCAGGAGAACTCAAGCGGCGTCAAAATGCTCTTAACGTTTACAGCCCTCGCATGGCTGCTTACCGCGCAGTTATCTCAAGCACAATTTCCTCCGAAGCCAAAAAACACCACAATCCTCAACTCGAGGTTCGGAGATGGGGTCTACATCTCGTACAAAGAGGTAGGATATCTGCTGCCATTTATGACTGAACACAAAAGATGACGATTGTCTTGTAGCCAGGCATTTGCGAGACCACACCAGGAGTCAAGTCGTATGCCGGCTACGTCCATCTTCCAGCTGGCACCTTAGCCGATGTGAACGCGACACAAAACTATCCTATCAACACCTTTCTCTGGTTCTTCGAGGCACGGAATGATCCAGCAAATGCTCCTTTGTCAATCTGGATGAACGGAGGTCCCGGCAGTTCGTCGATGCTGGGTCTTTTGACTGAGAACGGACCTTGCAATGTTAATCCGGACTCGAATTCGACGACCCTGAACCCTTGGTCTTGGAACAACAATGTCAACATGCTGTACCTGGACCAGCCTGTCCAAGTCGGCTTCTCCTACGACACACTCCAGAACATCACTTACGACCTCGTGAGTGGTGACATAACTCTTCTCAACAAGAGCGACCCAATCCCAAAACAGAATCTCACCTTCCAGGTTGGCACATACCCGAGCCAGAAACAAAACTTCACAGCGATCGGCAGTCTCAATGGCGCCCGAGCCCTATGGCACTTTACCCAGACTTGGTTCCAAGAGTTTCCAGCCTATCATCCAAACGACAGCCGTATCTCGATTGCGACAGAATCGTACGGCGGCCGCTACGGGCCTTCATACTCGGCCTACTTCGAGGAGCAAAACCAAAAGATCGAGAACGGCACCTGGAACCACATTGGCGAGACCTACATCATCCACCTGGACACGCTGATGATCATTGTAAGTACTATACTACCTCCTCCGATGCCGGATTCCACGAGCGCTACCTTTCTGCTTCATTGGTGTCTGCTATAATCATTCCTTCTCACATGTCCCAGAATGGCTGCATCGACCGCCAGGTTCAATGGCCCTCATACCCGCACATAGCATACAACAACACCTACGGCATCCAGGCTGTCAACCAGACCATCTACAACCAAATGAACGACGCCTATTATGGCCCCGGCGGATGCCGCGACCAGATCACCCGCTGCCGCACTGTTGCCACACAGTACGACCCGACCCAACAAGGGGTCAACGCCAGCGTCAACCAAATCTGCCAAAGCGCCGAAAACTTCTGTGTGGCCCACGTGCGTGACCCGTACATCGAGTACTCCGGCCGAAACTACTACGACTACGGCACCCTGAACCCGGACCCGTTCCTGCCCAACTGGTACCTTGGCTATCTGAACCAGCCGCACGTTCAATCCGCGCTCGGTGTGCCCCTGAACTTCACATCGAGCAGCTCCGTCGTGGCAGCCGCGTTCCGAGCCATAGGCGACTACCCACGGCCCGGCTGGCTCGAGGACCTGAGCTACCTGCTCGAAAACGGGGTCAAAGTCGCGCTGGTCTACGGCGATCGGGACTACGCGTGCAACTGGATCGGCGGCGAGGCCGTGTCTCTGGCGGTCAATTACACCAACACCACGCACTTCCACGACGCGGGGTACGTGCCCATCCAGACCAACAGCAGTTATTCCGGGGGTCAGGTGCGACAGTACGGCAACTTCAGCTTCAGCCGCGTATACGAGTCCGGCCACGAGGTGCCGGCGTACCAGCCCGAGACGGCGTATCGGATTTTCCAGCGGGCGCTGTTCAACCACGACATCGCGACGGGGAAAGTGGATACAAGTAGTAAAAACACGACGTATACGACGAGTCCCGCGGGCTTGAAGGATACCTGGAGTATCAAGAACAAGGACCCGCCGGAGCCGAAGTGGGTGTGCTACGTGCTGGACCTGGAAGACACGTGTACGACGGAGCAGATCGAGATGGTGGTGAACGGCACTGCCGTGGTGAAGGATTGGATACTCCAGGATGCGAACAGTACGGCACTGTACCCTGGCATTTTCAGTTAGAGGCGCGCTGCGCTGCTGGGACATATCCTCGGAGGTAACTTAGAATAGGGTCAATTCGAGCCGCTGTGTCAGAAAAGAGCGGGGCATTCATTGCTGCCGACTGACGACCTGGATAAGACCTACTGTAGTTAGATCACCGTGAGAGGAAGAGGGAGAGAGACTGTGTAGATGAGTAATCAGCGTGCTCGACCTATTGAGTGACGATGTACTCCGTAGTCCGGTCATTATCAAACAGGAAAAAAGACCAACGAATCGTCTCGGGGGAAAGTGATTGATAATTGACAATTGACAAGTTTCCGTTCTTTTATTCTCTCTTTCTTTTTCTTCTTCATCTTGACTTCAGTCTTTGAAATCCTACCGAGTCAGTCGATACTAGTACTGTCCCCATTCCCATCTGCAATTGCGCATCTACAGTATCCATTGTCTTGGGGGTGATATCTTCACTTCTGGTCAACAGCATGGACGCCCCTTGATTTAAGATTCAACGGGCATGGACGGTCCGGTCCGGTCAGGTCACAGATTGAGCCTTTCATACTCATTACGCATCCTCATCCAACTCGGGATAGTAGCGATAGATGCCCAATCCATACTTCATGCGCCTATCACTTTCCAGGTACGTCTTGATCCTCTCGAGGCCCTTGACGCGGTCATACAGCGCAAAGACCTTGTCGCACTTGCCGCTCTTTCTGAGACTCGCGAGACACTTTGGAAACGCGTACGTCACGCCGTCAAGACACTGGAACAGCACGAGGTCGGCGTACGTCAATTTGCCTCCGTACAGGTATTCGCCGCCACCGCTCGCGGGTCCGGACAGCACGCGGTTGAAGTACTCCAAAAACTTGGGCAGTCGCTGCGCGCGGTAGTCCTTGGCCTTCTTGAGCGCCTCGGGCTTCTGGTCCTCGTAGTACAGGCCGGTGGCGACCGGGTGGTGCACGTCGTGCGTCTCGTTCGACAGGCCGTCGAGCGCCGTCAAGGTCAGCGCGTTGACGTGGTAAGCTCCGAACGGATCCTCGGCGGCGTCGGGCACCAACCCGAGCTTCGGGCCCAGGTACAGCAGGATGTTGGGCGTCTGGGAAATGGTCAGGGCGCCGTGCTCCAGGACCGGAGGGGCCAAGGGCGGCGGGTTGTGCTCGTCGCCGTGGTTCTTGGCGTCGATCTGCGACAGCACGGCCTGGACGCCCTCGTCGGTCTTGTTGGCCACGTCGATGTACGGAGTCCCCGTGGCTTCGAAGGCGAGCCGGATGTGTTCGCCGCGGCCCGGGAGCGTGGGCCAGTAGACCAGGCGGAAGGGGTTGTTGTTGTTGTCGCCGTCGTCGTGGACGGGTTTCTGGCGTTTGCTGGCTCGGGTCGACGACATCTTGACTGGGTTCACACGGGTGGGGTGATAACGGTGATGTGGCAGTGCTGGGATGCCGATGGCACGATGGGGCCTGATGAACAATGGTCTTGAGAAGGATGAGAGCCGAGAGCTGACGATGGAGGTTGGTCTCATCTACCGTTTTGATGTTGGTTGATGAGAGAGAGACAGAGAGAGGAGATGCTCACGGAGGGTTGAAGGGAAAAGCTAAGTTAAAGCCTGATGCTTGCCGGTTACGGGCCAAATTGCCTGCCGGTTACAGGGCTCTGCCAACACACAATTTTGGCGGCAAGCACCAGCCTCTGCTGACCTCATGTACTGTGTAGAACCACAGCATGTCAAGAATGGGGCTTCGTCAATGCAGTGGGCTTGTGGGATGTCACGGATGCGTATGTGGGATGGAGAAACAATGGTTCCGAAGGCTGCCTGTGCCTGTGCCTGTGCCTGTGCCTGTGCCGGTCTCCCGGTTACGCAGTCACGTGGCAGCACCCCGCAACTGCCCGAAGGCCTCGAGGGCCTCTCACCCTGATGTGTTCGGAGTAGTCGTCTTCATACCTACCGAGCTACCTAGCTACCTAGGTATCTTGTAGTAGTGCTCCGTACCTGTAGGAGGCCCGTCGGATGCCCTGGTGGCCCTATCGCTGCTCGCCCCGGCCCTGGAGAAGTAAAGCCGTCAGCCTCACCAGCCGATTGCTTGTCCATCATCAGGCCAACTGCCGATTCGTTCTTTGCGTGCTTATTTGACAGCCCCAGTAAAGACACCTACAGTACTCGTAGCGGTTCGTACACGTCATGAAGCGCATTTGGCAGGCCAGGTAACTCGTACCTGATTGAGGCTCTTCTCAGCAGAAGGAATCTCACGCGACTAACGTTCTCCCAATATTGGTATTTTTTTGCTTACCATAGAATGGTTATCGTCCGATTCCATCGACATTACAACTCACGATTGTACCATTGACCATGACATCGGTCCAAGACTCACTCATCTTCGGCAACATCCTCTCGACGCGCGAATCGGCCGCCGTGTGGTCCGACAAGACACGTACACAATGCTACCTGGCCTTTGAAGGCGCCCTGGCCAAAGCCCAAGCCCGTCTGGGCATCATCCCGCAACGAGCCGCCGACGAGATCATCAAATTCTGTCTGGACATCCGGAACATCGACTTCGACAACCTGCGCAAGCAGACCGAACTCATCGGCTACCCCGTTCTGGGGGTCGTCAAGCAGCTCGTGGCGCACGTCAACGCCATCGAACCGGGCCTGGGCGAATGGGCCCACTGGGGCGCCACGACGCAGGATGTCACCGACACGGCGACCGTGATCCAGCTCTGGGACACGCTGAGCCTGTTTGAGAAGACGCTCGAGTCCATCATCGCGTCGTTGCGCGTGCTCGCCGAACGACACAAGAGCACGCCCATGGCCGCCCGGTCGAATCTGCAGCAGGCCGTGCCCATGTCGTTCGGGTTCAAATTGGCGCGGCTTCTGGCAACGTTCCTGCGTCATCGCGAGAGACTGAAAGACGTCGAGACTCGGTTGACGGTGCTGGAGTTCTCAGGTGCGGCCGGCACACTGGCCACGCTGCCGCCGACGCAGGATCATCCCCTGCTTGGGCTCGAGTGTCAGCGCGAACTGGCCAAGGACTTGAACCTGAAGGTACCCGAGATCGCATGGCATACCGAGCGCGACCGTATCGCGGAGTTTGGATCGCTGTGCGCCATGCTGACGAGTACATGCGCCAAATTCGCTCTCGACGTCAAGTTGATGATGCAGACCGAAGTCGGCGAGGTGTCCGAACCGTATGTCCCGCATCGAGGATCGAGTAGCACGATGCCGCAAAAGCGCAATCCCATTTCCTGCGCCTACATCACCGCCATGGCAGGTACCGTGCGGCAACTCAGCACGAGTCTCTTCGAGGCAATGATTGAAGACCACGAGCGAAGTACCGGGCCATGGGAAATTGAATGGATTGTACTGCCACAAATCTCAACACTGACGCACGCGACGTTGAAGCACACGGCCGACCTGATTGCCGGACTTGAGGTGCACGAAGATGCCATGAAGCGAAATCTTGACATTTCGAGGGGCGGCATCGTGTCCGAAGCTGTCATGATGGGCTTGGGAACGACTCTTGGTCGGCAATATGCGCACGATGTAGTGTATGACTTGTGCCGGCGGTCGCAACAGGAAAACAGGCAATTGCTCGATCTCCTGTGCGAGAACGAAGAGATCAACAAGAAGATGAGCAGGGAAGGACTGGCCAAGCTGTGCGACCCTCGCAATTATCTGGGGTATAGCGAGGCCATGGTCGAAAGGATATTGAAATTGGCCGACGAGCCTCGGGCAGAGCGGAGACCAAGTCTCGTTTGATGCGGGACCTGCTACACAGAATCGACTACTGAATGTGGCAGCCTCTCTATACAGTACTTGGGCACGCAATTGGTTGGGAACAGGGCGACCTGGGATGGGTGGAGATTCTCAGATCTCACAATGTCATAAAATTCGTCGTCAATATATAATACAGAAGGTGAAACTGGTGCAAGATTTCAACATGCGCCGAACACGAGTCAGATGGATCAGAAATTGAAGTTTCCATCCGGTCTCCACCGCGTTGGCAACGATGGCTGGGCTGAGCAGGTACACGTTCGGGAATCAAAGTGCCACTGCGCGGCGACGTGGAAAGCAGTGATTCCTGGGTCATGTCATCGCTTCTTCTCCACCGCTCCTGGTCGAGGAGTCAGTATGGGATGTGAAATTGATCCCTGAGACGGTCCCAGGGAAGCATGCCTGCAGCATTCAACTGAACACTTACAATTTAGAGCCACGGTCATGAGCGGTCCAGGATGTGGGCGGCACTGTTCATAATGCCATCAGGCCCACCCAAGCTCAGAAAGTGACCGGCGATCGCTGAGAAAGTTCCGTGCGGCTCCTCATGGCTGACTTGCCGGATGTCGATGGAATTGGCAACGTCACGACCATGATTCTGGTTGTCATGATAAGTGGCTGCGTGGCGGCGACCATGGTCCTGATTTGTGTGGTATAAAGACACCACTTCTCGTCCGTGGTTTTGATTGTTGTGGTATTTGAGTGGTCTGGCCGACGCTAGATCGAGTCCTGCCGCGAGAAGCAGGGAGATGTAGATGGCGGGCTTCATTTTGGGATTGTATCGTTGATGGCGTAGGCGTCGTTAAGAGTCTGGATTTCTGGAGGACAGAATGGTGTTGTAGTGAAGGAAATCTGGCCCAGGTCGCGGTGGGTAAATGGAGTTCTCCGGGAACAAGAATTGAAGAGCATGAAAGAATGACGATGGTAAAAGAGCGACTTGAAGGGAGGACAACAATGTCGGAGGAAGGGATGAGACATTTATCAATACATAGGACTCACCTTGCCTACGTGACTTACCTGATTCGGGTTCTCGAGGGGTTTGGCAAAGGTGTAACTTTGCTTAAATTCGCGCGAGGGGGCCATTGGCATAAGCAATCTAGGCCAGTTTTGTGCCATCATGCCGTCGGTCGGCAGAAGGAGATGGGTGATGGTTTGATCGAGGGTCTGAGCAATGGTCTCGTATGGCTTGTGGCGCCCGCATGGGGAGCTCGATGGAGCGAACAGATGAGATGTCCTATACCATGGACGCGATAGGAGCAAGGGTGATGTTACCAACAGTAAGCACGCAGATGAGAAAGTGCGGCTAAAGTTGCTGGTGAGCCTCCCAATTGAGGTTGAGGTGGTAGAAGACGATGTGTTGGTGAAATTAAAGGTGGTGGTGATGGGTAAACATGGTGTTCCAAGGGGGAGTTGAAGGGTTTCACTGCTCGCACGTGACGCGTCAATATACGGTGCACGTGACCGTGTAGAGAAATCGTGCAACACTTCCTGTATCACTGTGAGGTGAGCGTTAGATCGCACCAGATGAAACAAGCGCACAGCAAAAATCGTGAAGAAATGGCTTGGGGAATTTATAGATGTGACGCACCGGCTGTTAACTACACCTACCACATCTCTTCGCACAGGCTACTTCTCTGTCCTTGCACTCTCTTCAAACCACCACGATATCAACGGGTTCCTTGGCTCTCGTCTCAATCACAAAAACACTACTCCGTAACCCCTCGATGCTTGCTCGCTCGCTTCATGAATGTCGTGGAAGAAAAATCAAGTCATGTGAGTCATATCCAAAATCAGCGATTCAGACCCTTGCAGTTCTGCCGCTAGACCATTGATTCTGCGCCTCATCTGCCTCCTGCCCCCATCCGTGCGATGCCTTCCATGATACCGCCACTTCTGCCACCATATCCTCCAATCTTAGACGACGGCGCTTTCAGTCCGCTGCCAGGAGCCGGTATCCCAGAATATTTGCCCGCTGTCGGTTTCTGCAGCATGCTCATCGGTCGTGGCCGACTTGGTAAGCCTGACGCCGCACCGTTCATGCTATTCCTAAATTTGTTCGGACTGGCAACGGCAGCCGCCGAGCTTGGTCTGCCATTGCCGTCCTCGCTCCTTGGAGGACTCGCAGGCTGATGTTGTACTTCGATGGCGCGTTGCTCCTCTTGCTGTGCGCTCATGGTCAAGAACAAATCCACCTGGGCGACGAGATCACCCTTCTCGATTCTCTCTTGTTCGACATCCTTGCGCAAGGACTCATTTTCAGCCGTGAGCGACTCGACTTGACTGCGAAGCCCTGCAACCTCTGCTTCGAGCATCTTCTTCTCGGCCGAGTTCTCCTCATTCCACCGTCGTAATTCCTCAATTTGTCCTTCCATTCTGGACATGGCCTCGGTCTGGCCAGGAATCACACCGCTCATTGTGGCTTCCTTCTCGGTCTGTAACTTGACCACTTCATCTTGCGATGCCTTGAGCTCCATGCGAAGTTGCTCGACCTGTTTGATCCAACGCTTTTCATAACTGGTTTTGAGATCAGACACTTTGCGTTCATGTTTGCTCTTGTAAAGAGCATGTAACTCACGCGCCACCTTTTCAGTGGCATCTTTGACAGCAAAGTCGATGTCGGCACTCACACCAGGGGTTGCTGGAGTGGTGTTTTTGTCTGGGCTCGGCGTGGCTCGGACTCGGTCAGACCGCAAAGTCTCGAGCGATGCTTGAAGCTCGAGAACTCGAACTTCGAGCTCTTCAGCCTTTCGATCGGCCTCCTCATTCTGTCGACGGAGCTTCTCTTTCTCTCGTTCCTCGAGGAAAATGTTTTGCTTGACCTCCCTTAACACTTCCTCCATTTCTCGCGATCGCCGTTCGAGGTCGTCCCTTGCATGTTCCAATTCCTCTCGTGATGCACGCTCATTCCGAAGCTCTTCGCTAGTCTTGCCCACTCTAACCTCTGCATCGGTGATAGAGCGTTTCAGAGCCATGACTTCGGCTTCTTTGCCTGACAAGGTGGCTTCGAGTCCTGAAATGCGAGACTGCAATTCCGACCGCAGTGTTTCCAACTCCCTAGGTGTGATGGTGGGGATCGAGCGTGGGGTGGCCATAGGTTCAAGGTCGATGTCGAGAAGATCCATGCCAAAACCACTCGCGGAGTACAGGCTATGTCGCTGACCCGCCGGAGTGGCAGGCACATTTCTGTCCCCAAAGTTGGCGTGGTGTTGCTTCTGAGGTGATCGACCACCAGCTCTTTCACGATCAACAGAGGCCTGCGAACGGTGCATGGGACTCGGATTGATTTTGATCGGAAATGCTCCTCTTCCTGACGGACTCCGTCGCATACTGCGTGGCGCAGAGCCAGGTGGGGGCATCACGATATTTGTTTGTCCGGTGAAATTCAGCAAGTCCGTCGTCGCGTCGCCAGATGCTTTTGGCTTTCGTGGAGTGGGGTCATCGTCTTCGTTCGAGGAAGTACTCCGTCGTGACGAGGATAACAATCGCAGCGGGCGCTGCGCAGTCCCAGGTGTACCGGTAATCACAGATGTGCGCCGTTGTTTGGAAGGCGACCATGCTTCGCAAGGAGGTTTCGAGGGTGAATTGCGCAGGTTAGCGAAGCGAGTCATGTCTGTAGGAATAGCCGAAATGGTGCTGAGATCACCAACTGTCTCATCGTGGACTGTCTTATCATCCAAGCTCAATGTCAAGGTCAACTGATCCAATTCATCGGTTGGGGTGCAATTCTCCCTCTGCTGTTGATCAGGAGACGCTGCACCTTCGTTATCTTGGGAATCGTGTATGCCGAACTTGTCCACATTGTCGGTCTGCGCCTCTTCCTGCAAAGAATTTATCGCTCTTGTTAACCCTTCATTGAATCGTACGGTCGGCTCGGCAGGAGAGCCAGGAGGGGAAGTTGCGACAGCTGCGTCGTCTTGTAGACGGTATTTGATGGGCGAGAATGCTTTTCTGGGGCTAGTTTGTTGACTCGCGGTAAGTGGAGGAGAACGAGGGCGGTCCATGGTCGATAAACGCAGGTTGACGGTGTCTGTTATAGAGGACTGCACGACGGAAAGTGTGGACATGGCAGAAGGTGACCTAGGAGGCGTTGTTGATGGAGTGGGATCGAGTTTCTGGGAGAAGTCGAGCTTGATAGGAGAGGATCTGGAGTTCTGCTTGGCAGGCGACAGTGTAGATAGAGGTTCAGGCATCTTGTCGGTGAGCAGATGTCTCTGCTAGAGGCGGTGTGGTAGTATAGCAATAAAAGGTGTAAAGAGCCATTGAAGTAGAATTGTGTCAACCGGGGAATTTTCTGAGACGATTCTCTGCTGGTGTTGACTGTATGATGATGATGATTGTGTCAAATGTGTCAATCACCCAACGGGCCTCAGGTTGCGGAGGCGACGGCAGCTGGACGGTGGACATTGATTCTCTCTCCTTTGGCTTGAGATTCCTCGACCCCTGCCGCATGTCATTTTGGCACCGTGTCGGTAAACAATGGAATGCGCACTAAGTCCATTAGTGGCAGCCTAGTGGCCCAAACCTTGCCGGAACGGGCCTCGGACTGGTACTAACTCGGTTAGCGTAAATTGTTCCTGAAGCCTAAGACTTGCCAGCCAAATTGACGACTTTGACCCTGCATCTCGTTTCTCGCCATAAAAGACATCAGCAATCACGATTGCATCTCAACCTCACTCCTGCATATTACATGATCTTCTATAAGACAGTTGACCTCGCTTTTCAGGCCCTTATGCATGCACTGTACCGTTGATGCGTCACAGCATTCTGCATCCTCTCTGCTTTCACGGTGAGACTAGTCTACGGAGATACCCTTTTCCGAAAGATCTTGAAGGAATGCCGCGAGATCCTCACTGTCATCGAATCTGGGCACCTCATCTCAATCACATATCTCCTGATGAGCCACGCCATACCACCGAATTGACTCTCATGTCTGTGATGGTCACTGCTGTGCTGGAGCTACGTGCTTTGCCCTCGATTTTCTCCTGTCTTTCCTTCCACAATAGCCGCGCAAGACCATTGGCAGCCAGGCGCGCTCCGTCTTCGCGAGTGCCTCTCCAGATACCCTCTCTCAAGAGTGTCATGTCGGCGTTTCTCTGAAGTTCTGTACCGGATCTTCTGTTCGCTAGGCCGAAGCCTTCTAAGCCCCGCGAGACCCATTGGGGACCCTTCCAAATCACATGCTCAGTCAAGATTGCCTGTTCCATGTTGAAGGACGTTCCGTTCAGGCTCCCAAAACTCTCTACGGTGAGGTCTTGAGGCGTGAAAAGGAAAATCATGCTCCAAAGCTTGGTGGTGCAGACATTGACGGCAGCAATGACTGTTTCCAGGTCTTGCAATGTCATTTGGGTTTTTAGGAAGCGCACACATTTCTCCGACAAAACTTGGTGAGTGAATGTGTCGCCATGGGCAGACGGTGCAAGCACTCCTCCCTGCCTATCCGTGACCGTGGTCGAAGCTTTAAGCAGTTGATGAACGACGTCAAAAAGCAGGAAGCCGCTCCACCTTCCCAACTCCAAATGAGTGCGATTGCTCTCTGTCAATTGATGGATCATGTCGTCTATGTCCGATGCGATGACTCTTATCTCCCGCAGAAAGTTGCCTAGAACCATGACCTGCACTATCCCCGGAGTGGAATGCTCACAGTGCGGCAGGCCAGTGGTCCTTTGAGAGCAAAACAAGTCCCAAACCCGGGGAGCGATTCCTTGGTCAGAGCACAGTTCAATCCGGAATAGACGTTCTTGCTGAAGGCTCAACTCCATGAGGTCCGAACTGCAAAGTCTCAGGTTGCCGATATCACCATTGTGGTTGACATAGCGGAGTATCTGCACCAATACTTCTACTGGTAGGGTCTGGAAAGAGGCCATGCCACTTAGAAGAAACTTCCGGGATCAGAACGAGCCCCAGCCCCGGGAGAGGCGATGCTCGCCTGATATACCGATGCCTGCAACAACGACACGGTTGCTGACTACTCACGGGTCTGCGGCTGATTATATACTCTGACCAATGACCAATCACGCCATCGTCCGGTGTATCAGTTGGCCGTGCCCTGCCTGACGGCATTCTTCTTGTCCAGTGACGCTGTCTGCATAAAGTATCGAGTCCATTGAATCTGAAAAGGTGGGATGTGCTGTTAAGGTCCTCAACTACGGATACCTGCCATCATGCTGCAAACCCAGTGGTCGAATCACCGGAAGCGGAATATATGTCCCTCCGGGCAAGATGCCTAGGGGAATCTGCGCGCTACGATACGAGCGAGAGGAGAACTGACCATCTGCGAGGCGGCTGTAGGCCAAAATTGTACTAGGTCCAGGGACATGAAGGTGTGCAGCAAGGTTCATTTTTCCGTCGTGGTATACACCGACTTATTGACGCTGCCAAATTCACCGGTTTACAATTCATCCTTTTTCCCATCCGCTTCCTCAGCCGAAGCCTTGCCTTTACTTGGGGCTGCCTGCTCACAAACGGCAGCTGTGCCAACTTCCATGCGGTAGACACATTTCTCACTTTCACTGACCTTCCAGATCTCTTCCTTCTCAGCACACGCGAGAATGACTCTGGTCGACCTCGACGGTCCATTCCAGCAATGCTGACCGTTCTCATATTTCATGACCAATCGCTCACCCGAACCAAGCCCCTTTCCATCAGGACCAACGCTCTCGTCGACGAATTCGGTATCGAAGCCAACAAAATTGCCCATGCCCGTGTGACCACCTCCCTTCTTCGACTTCTGTTTCGTTTGGCCCATGAAGCACAGTTCATATTCGTACTCGCCGCTATCACGAGATATGCATGTATCTTTAAGCGCGCGGAAAATGCCATTGTCCGGACCGCAGTCCTTCTCAAGGTCTTCCCTGTGGCGCTTGAGATCGTTCTCCGTGTTGCGGACGTCGCGCTCTGCATCACTGAGGCCCTTCTTTGCATCCTGCACGGCTTTGCTCTCCGCAGCCTGAGATGCTGCATCAGAGTTGTCGGCCAGAATCCCGTTCTCCACAAGGGTCTTCCGGATCAAAGTCATCTTCTCATCCAGCCAGAGTTTGACGCCATCCGGCAGGTACGCGCTGAAGCTGTACAACGCTGCAACATCAGACTCGGCCCCTGACGGTTCATTCTCGAATTCAGCCCAGTTGATTCCATTCGTCTCCGTGTCTTCCTGCAGAACCGCAGCCAGATCTCGATCCTCGGCCTCAGTCCAATTGTCGTCAGTCTCTCGAGCTGCATAGTCTTCCCAACCGCGAACAGCCCGTTTGACGCCTTCGTCGTTGAAGTTGGGGTTGTGCTCGTCTTTCAGGGCTGCCAGGAGGCTTTCCAGTTCCGTGACTCGGCTCAACATGGCATCCCTCTGTGCTTGCGTCTTTTCGAGCTGGGCCCGCAGCTCGTTGACTCGAGTCTTAGCGAGACCGACCAGGACACCCAGCTTGCCGCCTCCTCTGCCTGCTGCGTCTCCCCGGACAACCCTCAATTTCTCTCTTCGTTCAACATCCATGAGCATGTCGTTCGCACTCTGAACTCTGAGCTGTTGTGCCTTTAGAGTTGTCTCGAGAGTCTGAATGCGGTCCTCCACTTCCCGTCTCAGCCTCTCAGCGTCTGCGCTCAACGAGCTCTTCCGTTTCAACGCCGCTCTGAGAGCTTTTTGCTGTATTTCCTCCTTCTTCTTGTACTCCTTCCCAATCTCTTTGCACTTATCTTCACATTTGGTGCCGCCAACATGTGCCCATTCATCTGAGCCGTCACAACATAAGTCGTAGTCACACTTGCCGTCGTTCACGCTCTCGAACCGTAGGTAAGATGGGATATGGCCCTTGTTCTTGCAGTAGTACCCAGGAAGTGCTAGGGTTGTGTTTAATGACGCAGAGGCTGTGTCCGGACCGGGATGATATTGTTGAGGCGAAAGAGGTGAAAGATAAGAGCATGCCGCCGTTCCCGGTTCATCTGAGCCGTCAGGACAGTCGCAGAAGTCATCATTGACTCGAGAGAACGGAATGGTTATGGAGGGGTTCGAAATGCATGTGAATGTATCTGATGCAGATTTCTTGTAGAACTTGGCAACTGTAAGACCCCATTAGCACACAGGGACATATTCATAGCGAATAACAACATATTGATTCATGCAGCCAATTGAGAATGCAGTGGGGAGGTATTCTTACACTCAGGCCCGACGCCTCGAGGCCGTGAGGACTCCGAGGCTCGAGTTTCTGCTGTCCATGCGGGAGAAAGGAGCAGAGGAATCAGAAGCAGCAGCTCCGACCGTAGGATCATGACTGAGAGGCTATAGACGGTCTGTCCGTCTGTTCATGGAATCGTGCTCCAAGTCATTGAACATGAAACTTGTCCGCAACGAGTTCGGCTGACCTTCCTCGAGATGGCCTTCAGGGGTCAGCCACAGGCTTGTGCTGATATTCAGCCTTGCAGGAGCTTCATTATCGGCAAGGAAAGCTCTCATCTTCATGTTCTCTCCATCTCGATCCGGAATACTGTGCCTCTGGCAGCCTCGTTTCATTGTTAGAATCGATCCCATTTGCTTTTTGCTTCCTTTCCACGGGCCTTTTGCTATACGATATAATAGTCGCGGCCGCGTTAGGTAGGTGGGCGCTTCCCTCCTCCCGACAACTCCAAGTCCAGATTATCTGTCGAGCCTCTCCAGCAGCCGGACAGGCTTTTCATCCTTACAATACTCCTGAAGAAATGCCGCACAGAGCTCATCAAGGGCCGTACCAGATTTTGTAAGTGCAGATCTTAGCCGTACCAAAGATGCTCGTAGGGAGTGGACCCTAGCTAGCGGTGAGGACCTGCAGAGTTCACAAACAATTGCGAGTCAAATACGCTCGATATGAGAGGGTGCCATTATGCACACTGACCTTAGCACTCTGCTGTTCTATCTCTATCCCTCGTTACGCTCCTGGTGACCGCCGGCTGTATCGATCGCTTCTTCTGAGTTCGCCAGATATGTCCCTCGATGACGACCGAGCATGGCTTCTTTAGCTGCAGATAATGAGCTGTCCGCCGTCATTGTCAACATGACATTCTTGACTCTGGATGACACGCGCATTTGGTTTGACACGACCTCCATAGATTCAGTAATGCAAGGTGCTCCTGAGACGGCCTTCATCTTCACTAGAACCGACACCGGGCAAGAACGCGTCCCGTCCAACAAACGCACTTTTGGAATGGCTTTCGGCTCGCCCTACACCACGGAACCAAGCACTGCGAAAAAGGTTGTAGTTGGCCACCCGCGACAAGACGATGCCAACGTGGCTTTGTCTCTGAAAACCTCCTCACTTACAACCACCTGCTCTGAGGCGACTTCCATCTTGAAGTCCACAACCCTGAAAAGCTGCCTTCGGAAAGGTAATCCACCTGGCTCCAATGCCCGTCCTTCCTCCATTAGACCCAGGAAGCACGTCCGGTTTATGGATGGTACCTCTCTAGCGTCTTAGGTTGACTGGTGGTGTGTCCCCTTCGTTGAGGACATTGCAAACTACATGAGGCTAGGGAACGGCAAGATGAGCATCGAATCCGGGCTTGGACTGGAGCCAGGAGTTATCCTCCAACCTAAGAAGATTTAATGTGCGAATAGCATAGATATACGATGGAAGCACAAACGCTGGAATACAAAAACAAGTATCTCCATCTTTAGGGAGATCACTATCACCAAAATCAATCCCACCGGAGACCCTGAACGCACGAAATACAGGTCGTACAATTCGATACCTCTTGTACTTTCAGAGCTTATAACTTGAAGGAAGCCTCGGAGAGATGTAAAATTGGGCCCGTTCGCCTGCAAGAGGGCCAGGGGGTTTTGCCAACCCCAAGTCACTGTGCACCTCGTTCATGAGCAGGGCGAAGGACGTTTTGTCGAGATAAATGTACCTGCGCAGCAATCTACCCGCCAACCACGAGCGACGATTGCCGTCTTCAGAGAGCACGAGGACAAACCCAAGAGTCGGGAAACTTGCTCAGCGGAGTAGTGCCCAGAAGCAAAACAAGTGAGGCGGGTGATCCAACTGATGGAGGGCATTAAACAGTTTGTACCACCATAAGATCGCTATTCGGAAGTATCTGGACTAAGCGGGAATGCCGTGGCGGAGATCAAAGACCTGGTCAGACTGAGATATCTGGAACATATGGACCTGTTCGTGGACATCGGAGTTGATGAGAACGGGGACAGAGATGAGGTAGGGCTCGAGCAGCCGCCGCGTGAAGGCTCTTGGCTCGATAGCCAGTGCGGGTGTGTATGGGATGAGCGACTCGGGAAGAATGTCCTCCTTGCCGCCAACAACCTGTTCAGCAAAGTTGCTACATATCAGCATGATGCCAGTCTAAGCGGCATCAGCACTGTTTGCGCAGAGTATGTTGCTATGCAAAGGAGACAGGATCGAACAGAGCAATATTGAAGACATGAACTGCCGATCCAAACTGGATGACACCGTTTCCTATGCTTTGTTTACATTCGCGAGACCTGCTGGACCACCAGCAAGCCCATCCACATTTAGCTCTGTCGGGTCGAATACCACTATGACACTCTTATCTAGGGCTTCACCGGCTGCCTTTCGATAATCTCTCCGCCTCGAGCTCTCGCTCAGCTTGTTGATAGTACTTTGCGGTGTCGACACCATGCTTTGACACAAACCATTAACTTCCGAACAAGACGGGGAATGTCCTCTACTCACCTGATTGTGGTTCACAAAGTTTGCCCAAGGCACCACGTTGGCCATCAGGGCACTGAATCTGCTGTTTCGCGCAGCAACACCTTGCATGTAGGGTGTGAGGTCGGTCGTTCCGTACAGTGGCTCCCCCTTCTTCACCTTATCTACCATCTCTCTCATGTCCAGCTTGACTTCTCGTTCATTCTCCGTCCAGCCATAGAATCTCACTGCATGCAACAATATGTCAGTCCACTATTTGGAGCATTCTCTTTCCACGTGCGCGCACATACAGCAGCTTCTTTGATATACCAAGCCAGCACCCGCTAATAATCCCACCGCGCAGCTGAGTCTGAAGACGGGTCCGAAAGCGCCTCTGCCGGAGAATGATGGAGCGTATCGTTCGGTAACCAGCATAAAGGCCGGTCCTACCGCAGCCATACCGGCACCATATGTCCAATCCTCAGCTCTTGCATATCGAAAAGCTCGTCTCCAGTGTCTGGGAAAAGTTCGTCCATCAGCTAGCGGCCTTCGACAAGGGGAATGCTACATGAATGAGGACGTACGGATCTGTGTCAATGACCTGTTCAAGGCATATTGTCAGCTCTACTTTCGCGCTTGCTCAACAATGGGACTTACGGGATAGTCTGTGTTCACCCGCTTCGGCGGGATAAACACCTTCTGTTCATCCGCCATGGCTGCAGTTGCTGACTCGCCTTCAGGACTTCAGTACTTCGGTACTCACCCAGGATTGAATCGTGAGGTCCCCTGCGGAGCTTCCTCTGCCAAGCGCGACTTTTGAAGCTAGATGTTTTAGGGACTAGCTTGCCAAGTCAGTCAGAAATGACGTAGCCAGTCGGAGCACTTTCTTTGGAACCGCCGACGCGTCGGGAGAATTCGACGCGTCTTCCAGACAGCAAAGGAGCAGCGTCACCATCAAACACCCTACTTCAACTGAACAATATCTCAGCTATAAACGACGAGATGGCAGCGGACCCCATAACACAGGCAGCCGTCGACGATGTTTTCAACTTCGACTCCACAGACGACGAAGACCCATTCAATGATAACAAAAAGCCCTTACGCGCTGGCCGAGACGATAAACCGACATTGAGTCCTCGTCACAAACGCAAAGCTGGGGACAACGAAGAAACTGGCGCAGATCTCGGTCTTGATGAAGAAGTCAAAATCACAAAAAAGCGTAAACCTATTGCCAAACTCGATGAAGCACGGTAAGTCAGCTTCAATGTCTCTGGCCCGGAAGACAACTCACAAAAGTCAGACTCCTCTCAGCACCTGGCATACCCAAACTACGCGCCCTGGCAAGATCAGGCAAGTTCAACAAAAAGTTGCGCTTGAAAGGAAAAGGACACGAGTTCTCCGATGTTGCTCGGCTCTTGAACTACTACCAGCTATGGCTGGACAATTTGTATCCGCGAGCGAAGTTCGCAGACGGTCTACAGCTGGTCGAAAAAGTCGGACATAGCAAGCGCATGCAGATCATGCGAAAAGAGTGGATCGACGAAGGGAAGCCTGGGTATATCCGAGACAAGGGCAGAAACAGAGACGATCACGAGCAGGAGAAAGACACGGATGATTTGTACGCCGGAGACAAGCCAGCTGAGGACAAGAACACGTCCAGTACCGCTGCGCAAGCAGAAGAGGAGGGAGACTCGCTATTCATTCCAGACTCGCGACGCAGTGGGAAGGATGTCAACAATGAGAACGACTTACCAGAAGATGATGAACTTGACGCATTGCTTGCCGAGCAGGATGCTTCCATTTCGACCGTTCAGCCCCGATTATCGAATAACAAGACAGGAATGGATGTTGATGTTGAGTTTGAGAGCGAAGACGATCTCGACGCACTGCTTGCAGAGCAAGAAACACGGAGACCCGCGCCAACGGCGTCGGCGCCGTCATGGGCACCAAAATCCAAGGCCAAACCTAAGTCCTCTCCGTTCGATGAGAACGAGGGCGACGACGAGGGAATGGATGACAATGACGACCTTGACGCCTTTCTCGCCGAGCAAGAGGCTCGCTCGAAGCCAAAGACTACTCAACTTACCACAATGCAACATGAGCCTGCCGATTTGCTACTTAACGACAACGAAGACGAAGACCTAATGGATAATGATGACCTGGACGCTCTCCTCGCCGAGCAGGAAGCACGACAAGCGACTTCCCAGCCGCGACCTTCTGGCGAAGACAGAGCCGCTACTCCTCCACCAGCAGCTGCCGTGTCCAATGCCGTTGCGCAGGGAGAAGCTGCCGGCGACGAAATGTTCTCATCTTCGCCTGTGCGGACTACGCAGCAATCCGGAGTTGCTGCGCCAGGAGCAGAAGCGGAAGTCGACGTCAACGAAGGAAAGCAGCAGGAGGAAGATGGAGCTCCAGACGGCGCGGAAGTGGGTTTGGAAGCAGGCGATATGTTCTCGTCCTCGCCCGTCCAGAACGACAAGATAGACGTGTCTTTCTGATACGGAGAATTCATAGCTATGATACCAGCTCTGTAAGAACTCTGACTTCCATCGGCAGCCACTTAGCCTTCACCAGAGATTCGGACTGTCTCTTCACTTCGAACCGTGCCCCCTTCGTGCTGTTGTTATGACACTGTCCTCAATACTTGCATTTCGCAAGAGAGCTTCCTCGTTCTTCAGAAGAAAGCACACCACCCAATGTACATCCTACATAGATTCCGCACATCGGTCGCGCGGGCCACCATCTCCTGGACATAGCCGCCCACGCTCAATGGCACACTTTCGCCGGGCAACATCCCACGCACTTTCCCCCTTACCCCATCGAGCACTTCGACCGGCGTACTCGGCACGCCATTGACGCTCTTCTTCTTCCTACCGGCCTTGTCAATGAAATCCGTCGTCGGATCATGCAAGAACGTCTCGAGGATGGTCATCAACGCATCCTCGTTGCCCCTCAACAAGCCCAGCGTGATCTCACAGCACCGCCGAAACGGCCCTTCGTACCCATAGGTCCCCATCGCATCGACCATATTGTGCGTAAGCCGGAACGGAACCATCTCCGGCTTCTCGAACGTCAAGCCCTTGTCGAAAAGACAGTTGAAATCCACATGCATGACACCGCCATTGTCCTCCTCGAACAGAATATTCTCGCCGTGCCGGTCGCCCAAGCCCAGCACATGCCCGACGATCGACATCACCGCCGCACTGCGGGTGTACCGCAATCGCGCGTCAAACCACGCGCTTGGATCCGGGAAACTCTCGACGAACCACTCGTGGAAGACGGGTGGGAATTTGGTCAACACTTTGTTCGGGAAAATCTTGACTTTTTCGGGATCCCCGGAGCACGATTCGTCTAGTAGATTCCGGATTTCAACGTAGTTCGGCTGAATTGATTTATCCTTGTACAGCTTGAGAATAATGTCGCGGAAAGTTTTGAGGTTGTCGACCCACTCGATCAGCCCGCATTCTTCGTTCAGTGGGATGACAGCATAAGTCCGTATATACAATCTTCGTTTCGCAGCGTCGACATCGCGTTTCAGAGAGCGGTTGATCATGGTGTTGAACTCCATCAGGCGCTGGTCCTTTCGCAGATCGTCCTTTGGTTTAGCTAGAACGTTGTACAAATTCCCGTCGGATCCTCTGATGGTGAGTTTCCGAGGCTTCTGTAGCGATGACAGGACAAGAGCGTCGTCAGCGAAAGCTGTGATTGTGATGGGCTCTTTTGCAAATGGTCGGAACGCCTTCAGCGCTGGAGGCTCGAAATTCGTGGGCATGCTGGGTATAAGACATGCTTGGATAGGCACCACCAGTTTCGAGGGTGCGATCTTGTGATTGAACCCTAGGTCTCTGGACAGACTGACTTTTGAGACCTTACCTTCGATAGGGAAATCCGAGACACGGAGCAACTCTTTGACAAATTTTTGGCCGCTGTTGAACATGTTTCGGAGCTCGCTGGCAGAGAGGCTCCTCTTCTCCTTTTCCTTGTCCTCTTTCTTGTCCACACAGATCTTGCTGACAAGCCCGAGCCCTTTGACTGCACGATCCTTTTGCTGGGATTCCACAACGGCCAGGAGTGACCAAAAGGCCTGCTGTGGGAACGCTTTTACCACTTTCACGATAATGGTACCAAGAAGTTCCGAGATTGTTTTGTTTCCATGGCAGATTCGAGCAATCACTTGCGGGAGGATGGTGTAGAAGAGCACCGCTTGTACGACGACTATGTACTTCTTGATCTGGGTGTTCGTCTCTTCTATAACGCGTTTTCGTTGAGTTGCGTTATGGGCATGGAATTGAGCATTGCCACGCCGAGGATCGTGTGGCATCTCGGCCCCGTCCACCAATTCCAGCCAAAGGGTAAGGACTTTAGGCAAAGTCTGGAACACATATTTGCTGCCATTTCCGAGCGACCGAAGGTAATTCTCGATGACCAGTTTGGCAGTCTCTCCGGTGAGGAAAGATTGGCTTTCTTTGCCCGGAGGCATTGTCATTTCCGAATCCAGAATCTTGTTGTAGAAGCGGCCAAGGTGGTAGTAGGCCCGTTCCCATTTTCTAAAGTGCTTGGTGGCTTCTCGAAACGTCTCTCTGATCACATCTGACTGTGTCTGCCCGGCTTGGTCCAGCCATTTGCCAAGTAGCACGTACGCTTTGGCCTTGATCTCGTTTTGAGGACGTTGTGTGACGGAGCCATTTTCGACAACATAGTCATGCTCGGAAAATACCCCTGACTCAATGGCTCCTTCAAGCATCTGAATTGCTTTTCTGTGATGGCCTTCAATCCACATTAGCTTGGCTTGTTGGATTGAAGCAGCTTTGTCGCCCAGTGCTGATGCTTTTAGTACCGCGTTAAAAGCCTGCCCGGTTGACCGAGCTTTCCGAGCCAGCTGCGCAGTGGACAGCCAGGCGGCAGCGACATCACTAGGTCTAAACATGTCAGAACGCAAAGACATCACGGCACGTCGAACTCCAAGTAGATATTGCTTATCAGCAACATTCGACCCAAGGATATCCAGGCGACCTCGAAGATTCTCCAGTACCGCAGTGCGGTCTTCGGCGGGACTTGACGCGATGAGCTGGACTTCACTGAGCACGTGCAGTCTCATAAGGGTATCATGCCCTGCTTGGAAGGAAGTTATGGCATTGGGCGTAAGCTCAGCCGCTGTGATCCCGTAGAGTTCCTCAATCAGAGTGAGTGCTTTTGCTTTGTCGTTTTCGTGGATTGCAACCATGATTTGTCCGATATGAGAGGCGAAATCGTGTCCGCTGCTGCCAGTCACGTAGCTGGAGAGCCGACTCCACTGCTCTGTGGCCCAAGCAGCCTCCATTGCGTAGGGAGCAATTGTAACAAGGGATGTCGTGCTTCGACTTCTCATCCCCTCAAAATGATGGAGAAGTACGTCGTATTGTCCAGATTCCTTCAGGCAGTCCATCAGATTCTTCTGAACTTCTGTGTCATTGGGATGAGCGACAAGTTGCATTTCGTACCAGCTTTGGACAGCTGGCCATCGGCCTGCCTTCCTATGCTCGAGGACTTGCTGCTCAATGTCAAGCACATGCATACGGGAGGAGATGCCTTCAATTCCATCTGGCTCGTCGATCTGGGCGTAGATGTCCTGCAGTCTCTGCAACTCCGATTGGACGTTATCTGTCTCCAGTTTGCGGATGTGCTGCTCCCAATGGAACAGCGCCCTAGCATAGGATCTGCATTCAAGAGCTCTTTGAGCCAAGATATCTGGTGCAATCTGTTCCAAGACTCGCTCGATGCTTTTTATTTGTTCCGCAGCAGCTCCGAGGAGCAGGTCGTTGTAGCCGCGATCGGATTTTGCCATACCCAAAGCATGTTGCTTTCGTTTGTGTTGATGCCAGCTAGACATATAGTCTAGAACCTCAAACACGGTTTGACTGCACAGTCTGATGTCGTCCTGGACGCGTCTATCCTGGCCCTCAAGGGACAGACTAAGAATCGACGTGATTTCTGCCACTATATCCTGACTGTTTTGCTCAATGCCACTGACGATCAGATTGACAACCGCAAAAGGCAAGAGAAAAGCAGGAATAGAGGTATCTTGACCATGGATAATGCGGCAGGCTATTCCAAAAACAATGTCAACGTTCTCCCCAGATCCTCGGTGAAGAAAATCAAGGGTGATGGTGCGAAGCCACTCTCGATGCTTCATGCCAGGTTTAAAAAGTGGATACTGGCCTTTCTCCGGCGGACGAAGCTCTTGTACAAGATACTTCGAATTTATGAATGGAGTGAGGGTGTTCTGAATCGACTCTGGAAGCTTTCCCCATAATTGAGAGGCGAGATTGTCGGTGCCGGATCTTGAAGGATTCTCTTGTTCGCAGGATTTCAGGTATTCCTGAATTGCCCAGCCAAGGAACCCTTGCCCTCTCGTGGTACTGGCAGACAGAAATGCTTTCACCAGGACGTGTTGTATGAAGAAGAAAATCCATTCGATAACTTCGTCAGCCTTCCCGAAATTTGCCAGGACTATTATTGACTTGCGATCCACCACGCTTTCGATCTTGCTTGAGTCGAGGCAGCCTATGCGTCCCAAACACCGACCACACTGTCTTGTAACCTCAGTGCTTGAGTTGTGTCTAACGCAGCAATCGAGCAGCGAACGAGTCAAGTCTGTAACAAACTCATCTGGCTGCTCTCGGAGTATTGAACGTTGGAGCAAGTCTTGCTTCTGCTCCAGGAGGGGCGCCAGTTCAAGCAACGCCTGCTCAACCACAGCAAGGTTCTCATCGTTCAACCTGTCCACGTAGGCTATGAGCTGGTGTCTCTCGTCCATTTGACGTTTGAGGGTTGTAATGTCGTTCTCGAACTTAGCCATGAGAGGAATTGATGCCAACGATGGCATCGTACCGAAGCGCTGTCGAACTAGCTCCGTATGGTTTTTAAGGAGGTCGCCGACAAGCTCGTATGCTTGCTGCTGTGAGGAGCTGTCGAGTATCTGCCACTTCTGGACGATGATAGCCAGAGTCTGATCAATAAGCGAACCAAGATCGTCTTTCTTCAGAGATTTGATCATTATAGCCCATGCGGAAAACGCAGCATCACACAAATCTTTGTCGTCGAGCCCGGACCTCAGACAAGCACAGATCTGAGGCAATGCGCGCACAACGCGACTCTTTCCCAGTTTTGCAACCTCGCCTAACGCAGCAAGGCATCTTCGCTTCTCAACTTTGGATTCTCTGACTTCCAAGTCGTTCAAAAGGACAGTGAAATGAGTGACAATTGCGAGAACATTATTCTCCAGGAAAGGCCCAACACTGTCACTCCGCCGGGAACCAGAAGGCGGCCCGCGCTGACGCGCCACCAATTGTGCTAGGAGCTGCAATGCCTGATAGATGCGAGACGACTTGCCTTGACCACTATCACCGATCGCTTTAAGAAGCTCACATGTGATTTGGATCGGATGAAGAGCAACCCAGTCTCCAAGATCAGTCTTCCCGAAATCCTCGGATACTTCAGTCAAAGTCGACATAATAGAATGTTCTGCATCTGGGAATGGTTGAACGAGCAAGAAAGACAGGATGGCGATCAGATTCTGCGTCTGAGTGCATAATTCGAAGGCTGTAGTTGACGGCCCACTCGCCACAGCAAAGCGTCTGATAGCCTCGTGGTCCTTCCGCAAGACCAGGTAGGGTAGAGCGTACTCAGCGGTGTGGCCAATCAGCCCGGTAAGGTCCATCCCCAAAAGATCGCACAAATGGTGTGCCATATTGGGCTTGGCAGACATGGATTTGGCAAAGACCACTCCCAGTGTACGCCAGAATGGTCGAAAGAGTAGCCATACAGATACTTGCATCGACTGTGCAAGACGCTGGATCTCGGCATACAGGACACCCACGAGATATGGGTTATTGTGACCTAGATAATCGACCAGCCGAACAAGGATGATGTTAAGCTCTTCATCGCCGACCACTTGAGCTATTCGGCTAAGGGTGAGCACGCAGGTTTCTTGGAGAGCAACCTCTCCTTTCTGCCAAAGTGTCTGAAGAAAGTCCAGAGCCCTGATTCTGTTCTCGCGCGTAATAGCGACATCCGCAGACTTTCTCCTCATGAGGTACGCCTGGAGGGTCCTAGCTGCAACGATACGAAGGTCTCGCGAGGAACTCTTGAGGGACTGTAGACACCAGTCGCCAGCAGGCGTCTCCCTTAATTTCAAATCTTCGTTAGAGTCGCTATGCATCAAAATGCGACGGAGAGCGGACATTGCCACAATGCGTGCCTTTGACTGGCGTGAGATGCTTTGGACAAGTCCCACAAGAGTCGTCAGTAGCTCCCCAGTCGCCCGTGTAGTTAGATCCATGTTTGGATTGCCCGGCTCGAAATCTTCCCCGCAGCACCGGCACGGCGCGCCGTGGCAGGCGAGGCGGCAAGCACCTGCACCCAGGAGTTCCAGGGCAGCACATTGTTCGTCCTCTGTGAGTTTTTGGAAGTGTCCGGACGCTGTCTTGCTGAGACCGTCAAGATCCGACACTGCACTTCCGGTCAAGCTGAATGTAATCTTGCGACATGCGTTCTGTTGGATGGTCTCAGTGAACCCATCTTCGTGATCCGTCGATAACCGAGGACGCTTGCTGGCGCGATCAGTGTCATGGCGCGCTTCGAAGAACGGGTCTTTGGGCGGAAAAGGGAGTGTTTTGGTATGACGGACGCTCAAAGCACGTATTTCATGCAATAGCGCCTCATTCTGGTCATCGTCAAGGAGACTTTCGGCATCTTCCGAAAAATCACGAAACCGAGTAAAGAGCTTCCAGAATTGTGTTCTGCTCGTTGGTGAATGTGAGTGCGCAGAGACGACTCGTAGGATGCGGACGGTTGCAGTAATGTGGTGGTAGAACGAGGGGAATTTGAGGGTTGGAATGGCGACATGGATGCCTGAAACGGCCGAAAGGTTGGCGGCAAAGGCGTCGGGGTCTATGACGACTGTCTTTCGAGGCTGAAAACTGTATGTAGAGGCAAAAGCAAGCAGAGCTGGAACCATTAGCTGAGACCAACAACGGCTCCAGACACAGTGCAGCTTACCTGAAGCGTTAGCCAGAAGGTATGCCAAAACGTGACCACGTGAGTTGGCTTTGAAGAACTTGCTGTCGCCCTGGAGCATCGTATCGAGGACCTGCTGGACAGTGTCTCGAAGGCCATCATATGTGAGCAACGGTATGAGTCTTGGGATAAGCCAGCAATATAGTACGCTTCCTTGTCCTAAGACATCATTGTCTTCCGACTTGACGAACAGCACTTGTGGCGATCTTTCGATGGCCAGTTGAAGGACTTCAAGGCACGTTCTTAGTTGAGGAGCGGCCTTACCTGCAACGGCTGCAGACTGAAAAGGGTTCTCTTCGAGAGCACGGTCGATTCCAACTTGGAATATGATGCATATTAGTTTGTGATTAACCGCAACGTCAGCGCCCAAATTTGACCGGCCTTGCTCGTCTGACCCGAGTGCCTCTGCCAGCAGTTGACTGAAACTGTCTCGGTCAAACTCGGGCACCCCGTTTCCTTGAACGACATGAGTGGCCAGCATCGAAGACGGCGGTGGCTCGAAGCCATTTGTCGGTCGCACAGCGAGGACCGGCGCCATCACCTCTTTTTTTTGACATTGGGGCGATATCAGAATTGAAGACGCGTTGAGAAGACAAGACAAAGTCTCGAGGGAAAACGCCACTGAAGTGTGCTTACACTTTACCGTAGGTATCACGTGACTTCAACTGCAGTCGACCGTACTAGTTCAACGACGAGAACGACCAGTCTCGAAATATCTATCATAAACTTTGCCACATCATCGTGCAAACCGCGTGCTGGATCTCGTGTGACCACCCACAAGCAATCTTCGAGCGAACTCAAGCAAGAGCTGAAGCAGTGTTCAGTGTCACGGAAGGAGCATAGACTTGGCGCCTTGGCACACCAGGCAGCTTCTCCGGCACGGATTCTCCGGCACGGATTCTCTTTCTCTCTCTTCCTCATACGAGAATCATCGTCGTGTTTCATCAGCATTCCCCCGATCCTCAGTATTCATGCAGAAGGATAGTACGCTTTGTAGACCTGCAGAGCACCTTCGACGCATGCAATGATCGACAGGAGAGATACGGCGATGGCAATCCAGAACGTCCACCATTGCACTTGGTTCCGGCTATCTCGCCAAACTTGAAGTATGCCTCTTGGCTGATGCTCGTCAAACACCTCCTTGACGATCACCAATCGCTCTCCCCAGAAGCTGAAATTTCGAACATGACGCTTGGAGGCCTGCAGGTGATGGCAGGACGCGCAGAGCGGGTCGAGTTTCGACTTCTGTTGCTTTGATTTCATCCACGACTTTGCCTTGTCGTCGGCAATGGGAAGTAACAAAGACAAGGTTCGGCGAGTCTCCTCGATAAACCTGTCAGGAAACAGCGGCGCCAGCTCAGATTGCTCATAGAGGTCAAGAACGGTGACACAGTGGAATACTGCGATGACGTTGTCACTTTCCCCGACCTCCAGATGGCACGACAATTCCCGGGTCCATTGAATGTTGATTCCAGCAACTTCCGCAAAGGTCCTCAGGTTGAATGAGCGAGGCATCCGGAAATCCACTGCCTGTTTTGTCCTGCAAGCGATTCTCCGCGCTAAAAACTGCTCAAAGGTTTCTTGGTCTCGCCATTCGCTCAAGTCGATGAACAGAATTGCCTTTCCTGCAAATTCAATACATTCCTTAGCCAAGCTTCTGGAAGAACCCGCAGGGAGTATCTTGACAACCGCCTCTTCACAAGCTTCTCTGTTTCCCCCTTTAACATGTTGAATGCTCTGGCACAAGTGTCTGTGGGTGCATGTTTTCAACTCATCGGGCACTTTATGACAGTACTGATGATAGTGATGGAAGTAAAATTCAAACGGTCTGTGGTCCCAAGGTCGTCCCGGATGGAACTGTGTTCCCCAGCATAGATTCAGTAGCTGTTGCTGGCTCTCACATGAAAGCCGGAGGAGAGAAGAGAGATGTGAGTCCAGAAGCCCCGTCAGTGGCGTGTCCTGCTGAGCGTGCGAACGAGTCCAGTGCATCTTGGTGTTGGCGTGCTTGACCGCTGTAATCTTCGAGCTTGAGGCAGGTTTTCGGCTACAACGGTCTAGGTTGGGAGACTCCAGAATGCGGGGTCGAATAGCCATATAACAGCCTCGTCCTCTCTTGGACTTTGGAAAGAGGCTGGCAACTGTACTTTGTCTGCCGCTCTCCTGCGTGGTCTCTTTGAGGCGCCGGCTGTGCAAACGCCACGGTCCAAACGTGTCGCATGCCGGCTTCTGATTTGCCGCCATATCGCAAACAGGCGCAGACCCATGTCGGCTGCTGCACTCACTGCGCCACGGCGGCAGCAGAAAGCGTGGCTTGGACTTCTTCTGGAGCAAGGCGCACCTCAACGTGTCCGGATCTAACTTCCTTCACATCCTCACCGATTTATATGCTGTTGACTATTCCTCCCAAATCCTGATGCACTGAAAGAAATGGGAAGGCTCTTTGCCGACAGCAATTACGATGAACACAAGCTGGACATCGACAGCCTTACTGATGCAATCTGCGCTGTCTCTGCCACCGAAAACGCAGTGGCCGAACCCTGAGCTTTCAATCGACTCCAACCTACCAAGAATTTCCATCCGCAGAAGCGCCACCTTGCGAACTTATTCCTTTTGGGCCGTGAAAGGGCCGGCCTTGGATGCGTACAACTCGGTCAGAAACTCAATAAAGGATTGCCTACGCGACAGGGATGATTTGTTTGAGAAATCGAAAGAAGCAGGCCTGCCTTATAGCATCGAGTGTTATATGGTAGGCAAGCGATCGAAACAAGCGAGGCCCTGCATTGCTATCCTCTGTGAATGTCCGCTTTTCTGCCGCAAAGCCATCAATGGCATCCGAGAAACTATATGGTGGAGTCGATTCATTGAGTATCATCCGGCTTTCACAATGGTCAGTCTTCCTAACAGTCCTGGTCCGGTGAGGATGGCTGGTGGCAGTGGCGGTCAGTATCTCATCCAGGGACCTTCCGTGTACACAACTTTGTCTGAAGGGGTTTCAAACACTGCCCTTCCCTTGTTCTATTTGGATGAAGAAATCGCAAGTGATGAGGGCATCTTCACTTATATTACGTCCAATGTTGCCAGTCAGCCACACGCGGTTATGGGAGGTTCATTCCCCTTTGATCAGAAACGTTATGGTCTGACTGTTGCGCACGCTTGGAAGCATAGAGCATTGTGCCCCCAATCTCAGCCGATGCCTCAAGCCATTGCACGTCAATCGCCAACCTTCAGCTTTATAGACGATTTCGGCGAAGCATCCCAGGTTAATTCTGAGGCCGGATCCGACGATGAAACCGCGCGAATACACATTGGAGCTGGAGGGGAGCTCCCGGATTTTCCAGAAGTTCCCACAAACAACGATGGCATTGGTCTGGGACAGACCGGGAGGACGCTCGTAAGAAAGTTAGGCCGCATTCGATACTCATCAAGTGGAGAGCCTGGGGACGAGCTCGATTGGGCAGTCATTGAGTTCGATGATAGCTGGCTTGAGTCCCAGGACTATGAGAATTTTGAGATCGCAATAAACCCTGACATTTTCGAGGAAAAGGAACAGGGATTCTACGATATCATTCCTGAGAATAATCTCTTTCCTGGCCCGTCAGTCCTCGAGAACTCAAGGCCAATCTCCATTATTGGCCGCGAGGAGACGATTGTCTCCGGTGTCATCAAAGCGGGCTCAGCCTTGCTCAGCTTGAGTGAAAGTGACCAATTGTCGTTGGCTCAATTTGTTGTAATGGAGGAATCATTGACCTTTGGTGACTGTGGGAGGTGGATCTTCGACACTAATGGTATTTGGTATGGGCATATCGTCGCCGGCTGTCCGGGCACAGGTTCCGCTTACATTGCTCCAGCTTGGAGGATCATGGCAGATATAGAAGCCACTACTGACCTGACGATGAAGGTAGATCGAGTGATCATGGACAAAAACCACTATACTATTCCCCCGGTAACCCAAAAAGATCAGGGCATAGGAACGACCCAAGATAGGAAGGGAAAACACAGAAGCGTCCGAGAAACTCAGATAACGCGCGGAGTCAGAAGAACAAGTTGCTTTGCACATTGGAATGCCATCTCCGAGGGCGACGCATCCAAGCTCACCTCGGAGAAGGAAGTTTTCTTCAACCGAGGCAGAGCTGTACAGGTTTTTAGCCAAATTAACCGCTGAATCATCCGATGAGCATTTGTCGCTGGCCCGAACGTGGAAAAGGAGGATGTCACCAATGTCGCCTTCAGCAGATAGCCAAAGTTTCAGCAGTTCGGCAACAGGAAAGCGAGCCTCGCAAGGTCTCACAGATACAACGAAGATTCGCAATGTCGACCGGTCCGACCACGAGGTGGACGCTGAGGCGGAAGACGACTAAGCCTCCAACCAGATTCGATGGCCCCGATTCCCTACTACGGTCCCAGATTACCGCCAGCAGGAAGTCGATCTTTCCCAGTTCATTTAGGCAAAATATCTTTGTTGGCTCTTTAGGAAGGTAAGGAGTTTCCCACCGTCAGTGCACTACTTCCTCGTGCAGACACTGTCAATGACAACTTCAGAAGATCTCTTCCATCTTCTGATCATCATCCACAATTTCTTCTACTTTTGGCGGCTGCTCCTCGTCTCTCATCAGAATCTGGACCAGCCTGTCGCAGGCCTCTTTGACTGCCTCATCATCCACGTGGTTGTGGGTCTCCCGAACTAGCGGGTAGACCTGGACGCTCCTCAACTTGTCTCTGCCCTCCCTTGTTGTACACAAGAGCAAGAGGGTCTCCAAATGTGTCACTAGTATCTCCGCGTCGCTCTCTCTCGCTTTGTCTGGCGGAAGCAGCTGTAAGTCAGGCAGCATGTTGGCCGACTCCTCCTCGGAATACTCTTCTGAGCCGGCGAGAGGCAGTAAGATGTATGGTAGTACATTAACTCCCGGAGTGCCGTCGATGCTTTCAGAATCATCGGCGAGAAGCAGGGGATGTTTGTCCACCTCGAACGCGACGTTCTTAATAGTGCTCGCCACACCTCTTCTTCGGATATCACTTTTATGCTCCGTAAAAACCATCAATTTGCTGACTGGGACCACACCGTCGTACTCTCTTTTGCTCAGGAAGTGATCACGTCCAGCTTTGTGTTTCGACATGTCTGCGAGAAGATATGCGAGGTAGTCGAAATTGGCGCTCTTGTTGAGAGTGCCATCAGCACCTTTCACAAAGCAATCGAACAATTGATCCAAGGCATAGGGCGAGGTTGACACTGATTTCTCGGGCACTGCTCGCTTCAAAGTGATCAGTCTTTCTAGACGTTCCGATTTGGCCAGATTCGAGAGAAGCATGGCAATCTCATCGGCGGTTGGTTCTTTGGGATTCTAGGCTACAAGGTTAGCATTGACAAGAAGCACCCACAGTCAAGAGCACGGCAAGCGGTGCGCCCACATACGGTTATCTTTTTGAGCAAGGTCTCGACGAACGCCTCGTCGGCTGCGAGGTCTTCGAGGATTTCTGTGTCATGGCTGATGTTGACGAGGATCGTCAAAGCGTTTTTGGCGATCAGCTAGAAGTTAGAATATATGTGGTCAGCTCAATGCACTCGATGAGACTGCTTTGCCCACTTACAGGGTAATCTCGAACCAGGAGTTTGAGATCCTGAACAGGTACTAACTGAGGCTTCTTAAAGATGGATGGATCTGAAGAATGTCCCACCAAATGCTCACAGGCTAACATGGCACCATCAGCATGAGTCCAGCTAAAATCGCATTGCTGGCAGGGAGGAGTGAAAGCAATTCATGCAATGGCGCCTTCGAATGGTCTTGATGTAGTAGTGAAGGCTTACCAAGTTGTCGGATCTGGGTATTGCCATGATGGAGGAACTCGACCAGCTGCGAAGAGTTAGTCCAAGCCCAGTACCTTGAAGGTTGTCCCCGGGAAAGAGTCAACGTACCTCCTCCAGCTCCGTCTGCATTCTTAGGGTTTGTCTTCGTAGGACCGTCGTCTAGAAAAGTTGTCGAATGCACTCGAATAATATATTTTATTGTCTGGAAAGAGCCTAGTGTTAAATGACAGAGAATGACGTCGATTAAATTTCTGTACTGGCGTTCCCATCGAGCCATTCACCCAATTGTCGCCCATCACACCCATTCTCTCTACTCCGTACCACGGAAGAACTACTGCACATTGTTTCCTGCATGTTTCCTGCGTGTCCCCGTCAACCACTCACACTGTGTGGCGAGGGCCTGTCAACCCCGCGATGGCCGGCTTATCAGGCAGCCTACATTGCCGACCTACTTCTCGTGTAACGAACTGCATGAAGGCGTTGTTTGGCGTGCTAACTGCAGGCGGCCGCCGTTGGACCTTTTGTCGGACTTTTGGCGCCGCCTTCAATCGTCGCGCGAAACAGACTAACCTAGTACACCCTGCACTACCATGGTGAGAAGCTCAGCTGCTTGCGCAACCTTCAGCCATTCCAGATGCATCGTGACCCTCCACTAGCATGACATGAGAGGCAGGCTGAACGTTTTCAATTCGATGTCCTTTGCACTCCCATTATATCCCATTCATTTTTTGATGGACGATCGTGCTCTTGCGCTAACAGTCATCCAACGAAAGGAGTGACTTGACGCCATAGACGGCCAAAAGTGTGGTCACAAGGCTCAGATCCAGCCCGGACTATGACTTGTCGCTCCTTCAGGCTCGAAACAGTATAAAGCTACGACCGTCTACCAGCTGTTCGTCTCTGAGAAGACCATTCTATCACAATCGTAACTATGGCGGTCGTCCTTGATCCCATCGACCTGCCTCCGCCTCCCGAGCCGATCACTATCCCACAAGCTATAGATGACCTTCTAATCACACTGGCTCGAATCCGACACAAACTCAGGACTCTGATCGACTGGTACATCTACCCGGACATTGTGCCGAACGAAATCAAAGCGTACGATCCGCGTCTCTTGATCTTGCAAGCACGGCTCGAGTCTCTCGGGGCATTATCCTACGATCATCTGCCCTACATCACAGACAGTTCAGACGCTATGGCTGCGCATTACCTGGACCAGGCCGTTGAACAGATGCTCAACTCCGTGCACGGCATTCAAAAGATCTTTGTGAATCACTACGACCGCGACCTTGAAGATAAGAGGCCCTTCGCCGCTATCTGGGAGACCCTGACTTACCGCAGCCTGCAACTCAAAGAAGTCCCCAAACTTAGTCCCAGCAACCCCCGGCACGCGAGACCCGAAGATCTGCGCCCGAACGAGCTGGGCAAATTTTGCCGTGGTGCGTTGCAGCTCAGCAACAGACGCGACAAAGGGCGCATCTCGTTTGTCGAGAGGAAAGACCTATCTGAGGAAAATCGTCAGAAACTCAAGGCTTTCGGAGGAGCCTTCCTGAACTGGGAGTGTCCGGAGTGCTCCTACAAGGTCAGATATCATGTCGCCAACAGCGCAACGTCCAACATCCACACCACCGACGAGATTCGCGAGCACAGCGGGCTGAGGATCCAATACCGCAGCTCGTTCCTGGCGAAGTGCCATCTGTACCTGCCTTTGTCGGACAAAAAGTCCGCCTCGCCGTCAGCAATCAAGTACGGCTGTGTGTTCTGCTTCGCAGGCGGGAAAGATCTGGAACGAGATAAGACTGCTTTCACCAATCCACAAGCTTTTGCTGAGCACATAGACCACAAGCATAAGAAGTCGCCGCTCCCAGCCTTGCTGCTGCATCGCTACGACGTAGCCATTGCCGGTAGGACGGACGACCCTAGGAAGCGATGGGACGTCAACCTGCTTTGAGCAGGAAGGGTACATCAGTGGGTGGTCATGCAACTGGGGCAGCTGAGATCCCTCGAGTGCCTGCTTTTTACCTTTTTCATTCACTGATTGATAACGGCGGTTCTGTCATGCGAATGGTTTTTTGGGGAGTGGGCGTCTCAGAATGTTATCACTGGACTGGTTGAGTTCCATATGAACCATAGTAATATTTCTCGAGAATTGTATCTCGATGCTACTGAGGAAAAGGATCCGGAACCATCAGGTAGTTTACTCACCGCCGACCATCAAGGCGGTAAGTGCAGCGCGTTGATTATTCTGCCGGCATTTTCCCAAGGGTTTGTTCGCCAACAGTTGCATACGCGTTACCTGCGTTTCCGTTGACAAGTACATCCCCAAACTTTGTCGAACAATATTTTGCTGGTGCCTTTTCGAGCTCACCATACATCTTCGAAGCTTATGTTGATGAGACAACCTCGAGAAGCCGATGCTGATGGGAGATTCGGCCTGCCAATGTAGGTGTCCATCCTACAGAGATGCCTCCATACCGTGCTATAAAGGAGGATTGGTCCGACTATGATGACGAGAGCGATTTGGAAATCTACGAACCAGAACAGGAGCGGGTGCCAGGCTCTTCAGCTCAAAATCATGTGGACGACAGATCGGATGACCATCGATCGGATCACGATGTCGAAGGCAAGGTGCAGGAACCGATACACGAATCCCTCGAGCAAGCCTCCAGCGACGAATCGATCGATTCTACCGGTATGAGGTCCTGGAGTGGAGGGCGAGATGTTTGTTTCGAACAAGGGCCTGCCAAAGATGAAGATCATAGGTCGCAACACAGTCTACAAAGGAAGTGTCAGGACGGACTGCCTGCGAAAACAGAGGAATGGATAGAATTGAGTGGCAGTGATGAGGAGGCGCCAGATGTACAGGATATGGCCCAGAAATCCGTTTCTTGGGTGGAAGCTGCAAAGTTGCAGACTGATGTCGGGAAAGTCTACTCGGTCGGTGTTTTGAGCCTGCATCAGACAAGAGGACCTACTTACCTGCTATCAGATCATCCGCCGGGATGTGCCTGTTCTTGAGATGCGAGTCCGTGGGAGGAAAGTGATGCGTCGTCAAATAGATTCGTGGCTCAACGCGGGACAAATTCTTCGGGTAGCTGAACTTACAGATGGTGACAGAAACAAAGCCATCCGCACTTTAAGAGCAGCGATGCCCGGCGGATTTGAAACGGTGAACGGTGGTGACTGGCTATATCAAGGTACTTGGGTTCCCTATGAGAGCGGAAGAGAGCTGGCCAGACAATTTGGTGTCGAGCAGATTCTTCTACCGCTGTTGGAATGCGAATACAGCTCAGGTGCAGTACGGGGAACAGGCCAACGTGTGAAAAGTTCAGCCAACAGTGGAAAGGACTCTGTTCGGAAACAAAGGATGCGAAAGATCTATTCGACGGGCAGACAACAGAAGATGAGAAAGAGCAAGTCCCAAACCTTCCTGTTGCAAAGGCTAGTCAACATGAGTGGCCCAGCAGCAGCGACAGTGAAGACGAGATTCCTGCCGTCCGTCCTGTTCGCGTGCACTTAAAATCATCAATACCGATCCTTGTATCCGACATACATCATCCGGCGCAGCCTCGTGTACACATGAACAGCAAGAGAAAAAGACATCCCGAACCACTATATCGTTCTGCCAGTCGCTCGCCCAAGAAGCCCAGACGGATAAGACCGAAGCCTTCTCTTTTGCAAGCCTCTGAAACGATAACGCCTATGCCAGACTTCACGCAGTTCACAGCGCGAGATATCTCACGAACCATCAGAGACGCAGTATCATACTCGGACATATCCGATATCAATTCGCGTTTACGGTATAATGAAGCCCCCGGCACTTTCAACAGTGGGATCGGTCCACTTCGTGGCAACAAAGGCGGCCAAACAGAACCATCGAAATGGTTTCACCGGAGAGACGTGGCCGATTACGTGGCTGTATATCGAGCCATGGGAAAGGCGAAAGGTGAGATCCCGTTCAATAAATCAATCCCACAAGAAGCCGATCAAATGCAAACGGATGAGCGACGGAGACTCTTGGATCAGCGCTTTCGAGAGGGCAAGTCGTCTGGATACTTCATATCGCAGCTGATGGGCCTGGCAAATCAATCTGGCGTCAGCGACAGGGCGATGTTGGGACTGTTGTTGCAAGAGCGAGCGGCACGAGAAACATTCATCAATGTCTTTTCTGACACCATAGGCGTCGATGATAGTGGAAACTTGTCAGTTGTTGATGACAATATGGCAGGGGATTTGGAGGCAGACTAGCTGGACGCAAAGGGATGGGATTTCGACCACGAGTGAGGTATGTGGTCTGTGTCAGGAATCTGTTTGATCATAGCTCCATGCGTCACGCCTGGATATACCACGTTGTAGGTAGCTCGATAGATACTCGGAGACTGTCCAGGTCCGTGAGGAGAAGTCTTCGGTTATAGAAGAGTACCTAGCATTACCTTGGTACCTACTCCGTAGAGTATCGTCCTCTACAGGCGACACCCGATATCGGCAGCATGTCGGTTGTGCAACCGCATCGTGAGGGGAAGACAACAGCCGTGATGGGCCTTTGACAGCCTTCCTGTGTCTCGGCATCACACCGAAAGAAAATATATACCTACCTTACCTACCTGTAGGTAGGTACTTACACTCTGCTGAATTTGATGCTTCGATCATAGTATGGGGATTTGCCCGGTAAAGAGATTCTTGGCTGCAGCAGAAACGAGGGAGTAGAGAAAAAGCTGGAAATGACACTCAAGCTCCCGTGCCAGTTGTCCCGGGCATGGGGCCACGATGGAATCCTCGCAAGTCTCCCAATAAACCCTTCGAGGTCGATGGTCAGAACCTATCGAACATCAAGGATATCCACGGTCAATGCAAGGCACGCTCGCAATGTATCAGCTCTGCTCCCTGGCGTTACAGCCTCCAGTACGATGTCAATACGACGACCTCACGCTAGACCGAGGCACATCAGCTGCTCGACTGCTCGGCGATCGTCGTCTGACGAGGCCTTCACATACAACGCTCCCTCGAACCGACCACTGAGCGGCATCACCATCGTGGCCCTGGAACAAGTCATCTCCATGCCTCTGGCCACGCGCCACCTCGCCGACCTCGGTGCGAGGGTGATCAAGATCGAGCGACCTGGCAGCGGCGACTTTGTGCGACACCACGACTCCCGCGTGCGAGGCAAACTATGCAGCCACTTTGTCTGGACGAACCGCAACAAAGAGTCTCTCGCGCTGGACATCAAGAATCCGCGGGACATGGAGATTCTGAAGACCCTGGTAGTTGAGAAGGCCGATGTGTTTGTGCAAAACCTCCGTCCAGGAGACGCCGAGAAGATGGGGCTAGGCTACAAAGCACTGAAGGGCATGATGAATGCTAGGTCCAAACCTGGTGAGAAGAGAGGCGACAAGCTGATCTACGCTTCCATCAGTGGATATGGATCCAACGGCCCCTACGCGCACAAGAAAGCCTATGACCTGCTCATCCAGGCCGAGGCGGGCGTGCTCAGCATCACCGGCACCGAAGGAGACGACGGGATGGCCAAGGTCGGCTGCTCAATCGCAGATACGGCGGCGGGTATGTATGCGTACTGCAACATTCTAAGCGCCATCATCCAACGCCAAAAGACGGGGCAGGGGTGTGAGCTCGACATCTCGATGCTCGAATCTCTGGTCGAGTGGATGGGCTTCCCGATGTACTATGCTCACGAGGGACAGTCTGGGCCCAAGCGGGCCGGGGCAAGCCACGCCAGCATCTATCCGTACGGACCCTTCTCGACTGGCGGTGGCGGGAAAGTCATGCTGGGCGTGCAGAATGAGCGGGAGTGGAAGATCCTGGCCACACAGGTCTTGGAGAGAGTCGACTTGACCGAGGACCCGAAGTTCCAGAGCACCGCTTCTCGCAGCGACAACCGCGACGAGCTGGAGTCGATCATCAGCGGCATCTTCTCGCAGTGGGATGCTGATGAAGTCACGAGACGTCTCGAGGAGGCGGGTATTGCGAATGCCAAAGTCAATGATATGCAAGGCGTTTGGGAGCACCCCCAGCTCGAGGCCAGACGGAGATGGAGAGAGGTAGACACGGAGGTTGGAAAGATCAAGGCACTACTGGCACCTGGCATGAGTCCTGATGTCGAAGCTAGAATGGACAAGATACCCGCGGTGGGCGAGCACAATGACAGTATCCTCAAGGAGTTGGGCATGCAATGACAGCGGCGACCACATGTCGAGTAATGTTGTCGTTCTTGCATCGCCGACTCAGGGGGCCTGATGTGCCTGTTGTAGGCATCCTGGTAGAGTATATGCGGCGAGCTCCCTGAAGGCAAATGTAATGGTCCTGGCTTTGGCAGACCCAGGCTAGCGTGAGAGTGACATAGTACGTACTCATACTCGTAGTCGCTGGGGGTTCTTTGGGAGTCGTGGCTTGCAACGAGCGAGACAGGGATGTTTCCATGAACAGCAGTTATCCCTGGGCTGCGAGCCACGTAAGAGCAGAGGCAGGCCAACACAAGACGTGACGAGTACTACTGTGTTACTGTTGTTGGACAATAATCTCTCCATTCCTTGCCATTGCTTTCATTTTTCGATATTTTCAATATGCGTGGGTGCACCAATCGGACCTGCAAATCGTGCCATGGAAAAACATCACCAGCAGACACGTTGTTGACGTCTTTTCGCTTGTGCAACGGTGATCTCGAAGGTGCCAAAATAAGCAGCCAGTAAGAACTGCCACCGGGCGATTTTGATCGATGCCGTCAACAAGGTGGCATTACTTTTACGGCAGGGTATCGGGGGTATCGTAACTTCGTAACAAGGGTCTGTGGTGGCGCCGTGCAAGGTGTTTGAAGCTGGTCGGTTTCAGGGGGGGAAACCGAAGTCAACCGAACTCGCCTAGAAGGACCAGGATGGATGGATGGAGGGATCGAGGAGATTGCAGGGTAACACCAACGAAACTCTGTGACGAGGTAAGCAGTGAAGCACAGTGGCACACTGTTGAGCGGCAAAAGCAGTAAAACTCGAAGTTGTTGTTGTTGTTGTTGTTGGACGAGAAGAGGAACCCAGGACCATCAAGGGAAGCCATGATATACTGTACACTCCTCTTCCTCAATCTTTGACATGTACAGGTGACATGTACGGACAATCCTTTGGCACATTCCCCCCTGCTCCTTGTCCTTGCCATCCGGAAGATTTCAACCCCATGTCGAGATGCGACAGGCCGCCACGCGAGAGACTAAGAGAAATCTGAAGCACGCCAGTCGGTCGACCCTGGTAATATCCTGGTAACATCCTGGTCAGCCACGATGACTGTGAGTGGTGGTTTCAACGTCTCCTTCTCCATCCTCCCCATATTCTCATGCTTGCCCGTTTCCAACCCATCAACCTGTGACCGACTACCTCCGTATTGTTCCAGCCAGCCGCGGGTTCCTTGCGTGGCCTTGATCTCTTCAACAGACTGATCAAAGGTCTGCCTCGATGGCGGTCTTTCGACGATGCTCATTTGCCGACCAAGGCACAACATGGCTGCAGTGGTGGCCATCAAGATCCAACTTCCGATATGCAGGCTCGTCCCATGCAAGTCATGCTCATGCCAGATCCCAGTCTGTGTCTGCTGAGTTCGCAAGGTCTGGCCCCGATTTTTGAAGGTTCATCCACTGGGTTATTATGTTGCAATCTGTGCATCGAATCTGGATAGCTTTTGCTTTCTCTAACAGTCCCCTCCTACTCCGCCTCTCGTGACGAGAATCAAGGCTCAAGACGGCGGCCAAGAAGTCGGGTGATGGCCTGCCCTTGAACGATGTCAACCTTGTGACAGTTTCACTCTGCGATAGCTCTCCCGCCTCTATCGAGCTCGCTTTCTAAGACACCCGTTATCGACATTTCCCTTCCCGTCATCCTTTCATTTGTCACTACTTGTCCCTCTGGCTGGTCCGGAATCTTAATCATGCCCAGCAGATGGTTGTCACTTCGACTTCGAGATCTTTCTCAACACGACACTTCTCATTTTGATGCCGCTGCAAGACAGCCAGAGTTTGATTTTGCCTTCCCCGAGCCAACCTCCCCGCTTCACGACCCGACAGGCAAGCCTCTCCGGACCGCAAGACCTGTCAATCTTCGTCCTGCCACATCCGGAGGTGCGACGGGGAAGAGAAAACCACGAATCCAACTGCCATCGACCAGACCCCAAACATCCGAGAATCATAAACACCAAGAACCGAAGAACACCAATGCTACCGCGAAACCCGAAAACAACCTGATAGGTCTGGCATTCGGCAGCCCGAGCCATCCCCCTCCGGCTTTTGGCATCCCTCCGTCCGACCAGCACAGTAGCGAGTACAGCACACCTTGCCGGCATCGTTCGCGACTTAACAACAGGTCACTCCAAATGCAGAGTAAGAAATGGAGGAAGATCGGCACACTATTCAGATCTCGCCAAGTAGAGATCAAGCGAGAAGAGGTGCCTCCAGGCCCAACCATAGGCCTTCCGACCGGCTTGATGGTGCTAGACAAGAGCCCGACAAGTCAAAGCAGTGGATTTGCAGAGCACAAGCCACGACCAATTGGGGAGCTGGGCCAGTCGCATCGAGATCCTCCCACGCCACCAAAAGAAGGTCATCGACATCTTATTCAGAGGCATACGAACAAAACCGGTCAAAAGCCGGAGGACGATATGTTCTCGCGACCCTCCACAGCAACCGATGCCAGTATATGGAGCGAAACGTACACCAGGCCGCCAGTGCCGAAGCTGGAAATCGATATCCCAGGCCCTCCACTCGATCGATACAGTGTCATGTTCCGCAATCTACCGGCGGCGACACGATCTTCGTCACTGCTTGCAAGGAGAAGCAAGACTTTGGAGAGTTTACGGTCTTTTGACGATAGTCGACCAAACACCAAAGCCGGCGAAGAGGAAGACTCGAAGACCGACCCTGGCACATTAACTCCTCTCATGCCACCTAGATTCCTGGGTACACCAACCTCAACCCGTTCACCTGCGGCAACCAAATACTCTCTTTTTCCAAACACATCTCCAGCTCCAGTCAAGATCCATGGTCGAGCTTCAGACCACGATCGTCACCCACTCAAGCGAACAGCGAGCTCACCAGCACGACTGTCGCCCATGCAAGATCGCTTTTCCATGGCCAAGCCTGAACCGCTCAACCCGAAAAGGGTCGATTCGAATGAGCAAATGGTCAACAGCCCGGACGACAATACCGCTTCGACTGATCGGGAAGCGCCATGGAGTGCTGCTCACTCTTTCCAGTCGTCGATATCCTCCGCCACCACCACGGACGAGATCTTCTTCGACATCAAGTCGTTCCGAGACTCGAAGGGCGTCGAGGACGGGCACTTCGTCATGACAAGACCAGATTCGGCGGCTGTCGAGCTAGTACGGACTAGATCAAAGAAAGTCGTTGCGACTAGCAAGCTACGACAAGCCGAGACTGCTCAGTCAGACCAGGTTGAACAACCGACAACACCTATACCACCACCTGCGCCTACCTCGATCTCGAACCTACCTTCGGCGGCCACTACAAAGCACACGTCGGTCAACACGGCGTATTTCGACGAAGCCATTGCTGCGGTAGAGAGGCTGACTTCACCTACTACCATGCCTCAAGAGAGTCTGCCACCAATCACTTTTACCATTCCAACCGTTACAGTAGCGACTCATTCCGATGATAGACCTGCGCAGCCAACTAGCTCGAGCTCATTCCACTCAGCACGACCTTCTGATATCCACATCACTCGGCTCACGAGCAGATCACGAGAAGAGATTAGTCGACTCATTCCATCTCCCGTCACGGAAGTCAAAGAAGACCTCTCTCCGAAATCCGATACCACCATCACCAAAGCTCCATCCCCATCACCTCAACCACAAGCCGGGAAGACCATCCTGTCTCCTCGAATTGCCGCCGTCAGGCGCGTTGACCGACCCATCGACGACTCTCCCACCATTCCTCAAGGCCCTCCAAGCCCAACTCGAAGAACTCCCGCTTCCGTTTCTGCTTCTGCTTCCTCTCCGGCTCCCGCTCCTGCCCCTGCTAAGCCACAAGCACCACCTCCTGCCAACAATAGCAGTGATCAGGACGATAAACCACCACCGGTCCCAAAAAAGGACGCCAAGTTCATCCCCCTTTCCAAGTACGCCGCCAAAAGCACCGTCAGCAAAATCGAACAAGCCGGCATAATCCCCACCCGCCCCAGCCGTGCCAATACCGACAACAGCCTCAGCCTCCCCCCGCGCTCCGCATCAATCTCAGTCCGCACCACCCCCAAAGAGCGTTCAGCGACCCTGCCTTCGTCCCTCCAGGGCCTCGAGAAAACCGTGCCGCCCGCACCCGCCGCCGCCGCCAAAGTCAACCCAATGGCCTTGAACCCTGTCACCTCCACCTCCACCACCGGCACAACGGCCGCCGCCGAAGTGGCCGTCGCCCGAACAGTGTCATTGTCCCGCAAACAAAGCGCAAGGGTCAACGTCCCTCCACCGAGACTACTCGCTTCCGCTCCGAGACGGGCGGAAGCGGCGGCGCATGCAGGAGCGGCAGCGTCTTCAGCCTCGACAACAACGACAACACAAACCGCTAGTGCTCCCGCTAATGCTAGTAGTCGTTCAGGAGGTGGAGGTCAAGGTCATGAACGGACCGTAAGCAAGTCGGGCATGGGCATGGGCATCCTGCAGGGCCACCGCCACCGGCGCAGCGCGTCCAAGTCATCGCAGTCGCAGTCCAAGGATAATATGAAAGTGAAAATCACCAAGCGCGAGCCCGACACCAAAAAGATCAAGGACGTCGAAAGGCAGATGGTCAGGGAGGCGAAAAAGTGGGAGATCCTCGAAAAGAAGGCTTATTCGCCCGTCGTCGTGCAGGCGGAACGGGGGCACAAGCCGGGCCTGAGTGTCGGCTTGGTTGTCGAGAGTATTTAAACAACTTTGCATACGTTTTTTGGGAGGGGCTGCATGGTGTTTTCCGCTGGGGGGCGATGGTTGGGCATGGTAGGGCATCGCGCCATCGAATCTGCATATGCACTCATATGGTCCGGTCCATTTGCGGGAGTTATTCTACCTTTTTTTTGGAGGTTTCGGTTCTGTGGAGCCCTCTTTTTGGTCTATCAGCAGGTTTGCCTTGTTCATGTTCATATTCATGTTCTTGTTCAAGGCTGGAGATCGACATGCACATGCGCATGTTTTGTACAGTACTCATACGATGAGCGATGAGCGGGTTGCCACAGCGGTGTACCCCGGCCGGGGACCGGTACGGGGGATATACCTAGGTATATAACCGGGTTGTGTGTGCATACGTTTTCCCATTTCTTTACGTGGTAGGTCCGGGCACTTGTACTGGTATCACCCAGGGTACCACGATTCGTGGCTTTTGCTTTTCTTTTTGTCAATGATGTGGCCTGTTCGGCCTTGTACAGTGTACAGCGGACAGTTGTATGAGCAGTTCATTTGACTTGGGACCTCGCTTTTTGGGGAACACTGGACGCTGGTTACAAAGCTACGAGCTACAAGATACAAGCTACATACTGTGTACGTAGTATCTCCCTCCCTCCCTCCCTGGCGGACGTTGGAACGAGGGATGGGTATAGGTATGCCTTACGAGTCGGACTCGTAAGGGCGCTCGGCTGTATAATTTTCACTTGGACATACGGGGTAGTTAGAGCTGGTCTTGTGTGGTCTTGTGTGGTCTTGTGTGGTCTTGTGTGGTCTTGTGTGGTCTTGTGTGGTCTTGTGTGGTCTTGTGTGGTCTCATCAGGTCTTGTCTGGTCTGTCAGGTCAGGTCATGCCGGTTCTGGTCATGCCGGTTCTGGTCATGCCGGTTCTGGTCAGGTCGGTTCTGGTCAGGTCGGTTCAGGTCTTGTCAGGTCTACTCTCAAGAAAACCGACCACCAATCCAACCCATAACATACTCTTGTCATATGAACAAAGAATGATATCCCAAAATCTTTGGTTCCATTTGGGAGTGCCATGCCACGAGCGTTCACCAGGGCATGTGCTACTAGTATCACTTCCGCTTTGCTATTTGATTCAATTGCATCTACATACTAGTAGTATTGTTGTCGCTATCGCCCAGCCACCTACGTGCCAGGCTCGTTCTGGTTTCTCTTTCTCTACTTTTGAAACCTCAACTCCCTCTCTTCTTCGTCAAAGTGTCATCTGCTTTCCCTTTTTCTACCTTTCACACCTTAAACCCCCTTCTTCTTCGTCAAAGTCTCATCGACATTGACCTTGACGGTCTGCACAACAGCCTTCGACTGGGCCACAGGCACAACCACATTCTCCAACCACCACTCCATACCAGGATAAGCATCACTCATCACCAGAACGTCCACCTTCACTTCTCCGCCATCCGTCCCCTCCAGTACTGGCACCTTGAGCTTCGTATGGCTGACCTCCCGAGCCCTACTCTGGCCTTGCTTGTTGTTCATCATCGACCAATTCGCCCTCTTCAACGCAAGAATATCCGCTCTGGCACCTTCTCCTGCCCCCTTTGATCCCGCAGGCATCACGAGCACGAAATAGCCTTCTGTCTGCGGTTTGGGGAACTTCGGCGCATAAATTCGTGCCTGTGCATCTTGCAGCCGATTCCCCCTCTTCATCGTAACCTGCAGATTATCCGAATCGCCACCGGCAGTTAACGTGATATCCGGCAACAAGTTGACTGCCTTGACAAATTGTGCACGAACGCCCTGCGCCTTCACGCCAAGCACATTCATCAGGCCATCGATCGTCTTGCCGCCGTGCCTGCTCGCCAGCGTCGCAGTCGTGACGAGATCGCTGGGCACTTTGCCCTCGGCCTTGGGATCAAACACCTCGTGCACTCCCGGCAGAATGCTCAATGCATAATCCTCCGGCCACCTTGCGCTCTTGATACACTGCAGCAACCTGACCATCTGCACCACGGCATCAAACCGGTTCAACTCGGTCATGACATCGATGGCCGCCTGGATGATGCGAATGCCCTGATCCAGCACCGAGGTCTGATCACCCACGTAATCGCTGATCGGCAATTCCACCCTGCTCATAAACGCCTGGATCAGCAGGAACGCCTTGACATGCGGGTCCCACATGGGCAGGCCATCCAGCAAGCCCTCGACATGCAAGGGCAAATTCTTCGCCAGCTCCGCATTGATCAGATCCTCATTATGCCGGACGGGCAACTCATCGAACTCGGTCGCCAGGCTGACCCAGCTCAACGCATCGGCAAAAGTGGCGCGTGGCGTCCTTCTCGCCTTGGTCAAAAACTGCCGCACCGTCAAATGACTCAGGTAGTAATAACTCATAATCTTGCCGAACGGCGTGGCGTCCACGTCGCCATTGCTATGCACGAGTACGCAATCGCTCTCCGCCAGATCGTCCAGACTCTTGTCCACAAGACTGACCATGTACTCGGACGCCATCTGCCGCGCGACGAGTTGCGACTCACGGTGCTCCTCGGCACCAATCTCGAGCCCGTAGTATGTCGGGTTTTTGTGAAGTCTCCTAAAGAAGAAAGTCCACGTCAAGTAATCCAGAGCATCCTGCTTCGTAGTGATGACGCCCGCAGACACCTCGGCGCCCAGATGGTTATCCAGGACCTTATGCAGGGAGCTCTCGACCGGAAAGCCCCTGTGCAGGAAGTGCTTGTAGAACGCCTTTTTGGCATCTTGCGTGAATATTCGCGCGATGCCGCTCGTGTCGAACTGCGGCCGGCCCGCCCGGCCGAGCATCTGCAGCACGTCCGTCAGGTCCATGTCCTTGTAGCCTTCGATCTTGGCGTCGAAGAACTGCGTGCCCTTGACGACGACCAGATGTGCGGGAAGATTGATGCCCCATGCCAGCGTGCTCGTCGCGACGAGAATCTGGATCTTGTTCGCGGCAAAGAGTTGTTCGGATAAAGTGCGATCCGACTCGACCAGACCGGCGTGGTGCAGGCCGATGCCGAAACTGAGCGCTTCTTTGAGCGCGGCGTCCTTGACAGCCGACAATGTGGCTTGGAGGTCGTCTTCGGTATCGAAGTGCAAGAAGCGCCGTGGGTCTTCTTCCATGCCGCAGAAGTTGATCAGGTCTTTTGCGGTCAGGCGCGTTTGGCGTCGCGACGCGACGAACACGATGACGGGCTTGTCGGGGCTGTGGTTCTTGATGGCTAGATACGTTGGCCGGTTCATGCTCTGCATGAGTGGGCAGAAACCGCGCTGCTCGGGGAAGCCGTCGATGTAGATTTCCAAGGGCACAGGCCGGACGCTGTGCCGGAAGTTGAAGAGGCCTTGGTTGTTACCTGGCTTGACGCCCAGCCAGTTGGCCAGGTCGGTTGCGTTCGCACAGGCAGTGGACATGCCGATCAATCGAATCGAGCCGGACTCGGCTTGTGAGGCAATGTAGTTCATTCGAGAGACGATGATTTCGAGGATAGGACCACGGTCGCTGCCGAGGAGGTGGATTTCATCGATGATGACGAGCGACACTTGGCGCACGTAGGATCTAGTCTGCCAGGATCGGGATATACCGTCCCATTTCTCGGGCGTGGTGATGATGATGTCGGCATCCCGGATCGTTCGGGTGTCAGGCGTATTGTCACCGGTCAATTCGACCAACTTCAAGCCCATGGGGCCAGTCAGCCGTTTGCGCCAGTCTTGCACTCTTTCTCGGACCAACGCTTTCATGGGCGCGATGTAGACCACTTTGCTTCCCGGGTGTTCGCGGAATGCCCACCACATTGCGAGTTCTGCTGCAATAGTTTTGCCAGACCCGGTCGGTGATCCTAGGAGGACGTTGTTCGACGTGTGGTACAGTGTATGAAATATTTGTGTCTGCATAGGGTTGAAGAATTGGAAACGCTGTCCGTACAGCTCTTCGAGTAATGGATTCTTCAAAGCACTGATAGGAAGCGGTTGCAGATCGAGAAGGTCGGTATAGACGCTCTCGGTGTCTGGCCGGATCAGGTGCTGGAATGAGACTGGTTGAACTGTCTCTGCACCTAGCCAGCGATCGGAGATGACCCGAACGTATATTTGCGAGGGAAGAGGATCAGCCAAGGGGATTGTGAAATTGAGTTCGTGGCTATCGTGTATCTTCTTCCTGCTGAGAATGAAATACTCGTGATGGTAGATTTCTGAGCTGTCAGAGTTTTCAACCCAGACCCAATATGACTCGGAAGTGCCGTGGTGGCGATCGTTCCAGACGAATTCAGGATAAAGGTACAACTGCATCCGAAGCACGTCGCGGTTGAGAGGAGCCATCTCGACTTCGACAGACAAGGTCGGGAAATTGTCGAGCAACTTGGAGATGGTGTTGCCCATCTTCTGGTTGTGAACAAGGCTGCCAATCTCAGCTGGTTCCATCTCGCGCAGGCTTTCAATGTTCGATGAGGGTGCTTTGTCGTCCAGATTCTTGAGAACTGGAAGGGGGAGGTCGAATTGGTGGAAAGGGTGCTGGAATGGCCACATCTGTTTCTCAATTGCCTTGCACATGGAAAGTAATACCTGGCATTGGTAACCCCAACCTCTGTTCAGGGCAATCATGAAAAGAGCACGACAGATTCTGGCGGCATTTTGTGCAACATATGCCAGATCAGAGACCAAAGCAAAATCTTCCAGCTTCGCCCTTGAAATGTGGGATTGGAGCAGGATATTCGTCTTTGCATGGTTCTCAATGACTTTCTGTTCTTTCTTGTCTTCTGAGGTAATTGGTGCGCTCTTTGGCTCCTCGACCTGGCATACGACAGCTTCTTGGCGAAGCCGATGTAGTTCTTGAGCTTCGTTCTCCCTGGATTGAATATTATCAAACTCACTACTCATGCTGATCATTTTGAGGACGTCTGCATCACTAGCTCGAGGCCTCATCATAGTATTGAAGATCTCAATGCTGTTCTGCAGCACGTAATACTGACTGGCTATCCGCCCAACGTCCTTGGAACGGAGTTCGTCTGTTCTCTCGTTGAAAATGATCATTTGGCTTCTATGCAAGGTTCGAGCTGCATCGACGATCAATTTCCGTCTTCGTTGCCCGAGTTGAGGGTCGTCCAGAGACTCGGCGACGTCGATGCCGTAGGCTGCAGGATTTTTCCGCATGCGAACGAAAAGATAAGAATATCCGAGCCAGGTCACAGCTTCCACGACGGTAGTGACAGTGCCCAAGCTGATCTCAGCGTTGAGATTGTCAACCAATCGATGGGAGAACCTTGATTCGATCGGCTGTTGTTGAGTCACGGCAGATAGATAGTGTTGCAATTTGTCCTGAGTTGTGCAAATGTAGCCGATACCACTGTCTTGGAATTGAGGACGGCCTGCACGACCAAAAATCTGAAGCACGTCCAGAATGCCCAGATCGACGAATTTACCAGCTTCGGCACTGTAAAGCTGCGTTCCTTTGATAATGACGGCCGCGGCGGGCAAGTTGACACCCCATGCCAGTGTTGCTGTACAGCAAAGCACCTTGATAGCGCCTTCGGAGAAGATCCTCTCCACGAAGTTCCGGTCGGTACGAGGCATGCCCGCATTGTGACAACCAAATCCCTTGGGAACGATATCCCGAAGCTCACGGCCTCGAGTCGACTTCAGATCAGACAATGCTCTGACATACGCCGGATGGTCCGGCTCAGGCATGAAAAGCGAGTCACAGCCATCGTCGATAGCCATTTGATAGAGGGTTCGAGCAGTCAGAACAGTGTCTTTTCTGGAATGAACGAACACCATGACTTGCTTGTCCTGCTTCAAGAGCTCTTTGATCTTCTCAAAGGTAACATGATCAAGGTTATCTCGCTGGGTCTTGCTGCCAACCTTGCCCTTGACACCGATGAAGTGTTGTTCGAGGGGTACCGGGCGGAACGAGGCGTCAAAATAAAAGAGACCATTGTTCCGATTGACTTTGAGAAAGTCGGCAACATCGACATAATTCGGGAGCGTGGCCGAAAGGCCCACGATTCTGATAAGCGATTGTGTGCTTTCTACCTGTCTCTGTGTTCTTGCGACGAGTGATTCGATAACAGCACCACGATCGTCATGAAGCATGTGGACCTCGTCGATAATCAAGAGCCGAACCTTCTGTACAAGCTCAGTGTCGCCGGTGCTCTTTCGAGTGACCACATCCCATTTTTCAGGTGTTGTCACTATGATTTGTGTGGCCGCAATCTCTCGCTTCGTCAATTGCATGTCGCCAGTCAATTCACGTACTTGGACTCCGAGCCAAGCAAGACGCTTGCCCAACTTGTCTGTGATTTCCGCTGCAAGGGCTTTCATTGGCGCAACATACACCACCTTGAAGTCGTCGGCCATCAGGACAAAGTCTGTAGCATCAGGCTCGTCAATTGGGTTCGGAATGACGTTCTTCGAGATGGTTTGGAGGATGGTGAGCATGGCAGCATCAGTCTTGCCAGCACCGGTAGGGGCACAGACAAGCATATTCTCCGATGTGGTATAGGCAACAGGATAGAGAAGGCTTTGCATCCGATTGAGCGAGCTGTACCCTCTGAATGTACGTTGACACAAGCCATCCATATCTGCGATATTGACCAGTTTCTGACCCGCGGCCAGCGTGCCCACCTTGGCTGCAGGGATACTGTATTCCTCATACTTGGCATAGTCATTTCTGGTGCTGTTTAGAGGAAGGCCATATCTTTTCCCAGAGACGTCCAGAATGTTACCGGAGGCAGCCGAATCAGACTTGTAGACATGTGCATACTTTGGCGCACCTCGATCGAAAGCTGGGGCTAGTGCAGCACTCTTGTGTTCATAGTCTTGCTGTCTCAGCCCCGTTTCTCGTTCCTGGCGAGTCTGTAGCTGTCCGAAAAGGCCGTCTGTCTGACGACTTGTGGCGTTCGGTGCGGTCAAGACCTCTTTGCGGTGTGAGATGAGCTCAATCACAAAGTCCAGGTCATCGTAACCGATAATATCGGCCAAAGACATCTGCAGTTCATCTTCAGAATTATCGGAGGCAAGAAGGGCAGTAATCTGCTGTTCAAGATCGGAGGCATCAATGCCCGTTCTTGACCTGGCGAAAGCAGCACATTTGCTTTGCAACCATGTTTTGTTGAACACACCATCCGTGACATGATCCGGAGTCTTGAAGCCATTGACAGCATCATCATAACTTTCGCTTGGAGGACTCTCATCCAATTCACTTTCGACATCCCAGATGTCGTCTTGAGTGTCTTCACTGAGGTCTCCTTCCAGGTCTAGATCTGCGCCGTACATCTGAGATTCGTCGTTCCACGGTGGCAACTTCAATTCGGCGATTGCCTGCCTCATGGCAGTCATCTGGGCGAGCCATTGCGACTCGGCCTGGAAAGTCGGCTCAGCCATGCTGATAGTATCTCACAGAATGTCGTTTCTGTGCGAGCCTGTCCTGGCGCAGGAAATGAAACGACGTATGATGACGAGATGATGGAAAAAGAGGTGAAAAGCTAAGACGATCGTGGATATTGTCACCAAGCGGCGGCCACTTGTTGTGACTCGGCTGCCAAGACTTGCAAGACTAGAGTCAGAGTACCAGCTACTTAGTACAGTATTCACTTCGTGCACAGGATGTTCATTCACTTCGAGTTTCTCGATTACGCCTACGTCTTTACACAAACCACCTGACTATCTTATCATTCAGCTATGGGTAGAACATACAGACGGAAGAGTTTGGAGTTCCAGTCAATGCAGCCCTTCCTAGATAGCTGGACCGGCTCCTATCCATGTTCTGTAACTTCTGAACGGACCTCTTCTGTTGTCCGTGTTATTGTACTGAAAGCGAGGGCTGAGTTCCAGCTGATTTGTACAGAAATAAAACCAGCCATCCAGGATCGCCGCGCTATCAGCATGTTGGATGAGACCGCTTCTCACCAACGTCTTGACGACATAATTGTCTGCCGGCACCGGTACCTTCGCAGGCCCGCCAGGAGGCAATCCATTCACCGTCTGATTCACCTGGCTTTGCAATGTATCGACATAGAATATCGCATTGTGCTCGCTCGCAAGGATATACACCCTGCCGTTGTTGTCGGCAGTGAAGCCCGCCTGCTCGGTCCCACATTGACCTGGATCCTGCACAGCTGCAAGCACCTCGTCGTCGCTCAACGAATTGTCAATCAGCACATCCTGGCTCACCTAGTAGAAACGACGACTCGACAAGACACCCCAGTAGACATTGCCACTGGCGAGAGCAATGCCGTCGCTACCGATGCTACCAGAATTCCGCATCGTTCCATTCCAGGCATAGATCGGACGGCCATTGTAGACCCCAACGTAGCCTTGATCAGGCTTAACAACACTCGTATTGAATAAGCGTCTGTTCGCAGAGCCATTCTCAAGGTTGATGCTGAGAATGCTGCCGCTGCTGCTCTCATCCGTGATGAAAGCGTAGCCTTTGCCGCCACCGACTGTGTTATTGATTCGTACGTCATTGGCGTTCATGTTGTCATGTAGCAGACTCGAAGGGATGATATATGTCTCAAGGTGGACGCCTGATAGGTCGAAGCTCATGATCTTTGCGCCACCGGGTGTGGCACTCTTGTTGCCTGGAAATATCCCAGAATCGACAATCCATAGCTGATTCAGGCTGTCAAGCACCACATTCTGCACATTGATGAAGCAGGTGCTGGGATCCTGTGTAGCGGTACAATTTTGAATGGTCGCATTAGGCCAAGGTGCCTCGTCCGTGAATGAAGTAGCAATGACTACGTTGATAGGCGTTGGACCGCTGTTTCGTGGATATGTCAGGTAGATGTTGAGCGCTGGGTCGACGGCGAACCCTGTCGGTGCTTGTGCCGATTCATGGACAGGCTCTAGAGCTGGTCCGATGATGGTGAAGTCCTGTGGGCAAATCCCTAAAGTACCATTTGGCCCAGCACTCACGGCTGCAGGGCAAGTCGTGGGAAATTGGCTCAATACAGGTAACACCAGCGTCGAAAGGCAGAGCAGGTTCGACCACATGGCGGCAAGGTATTTCAAGCACTCGTGGTTCGAAGAACCTCTTTGTAACAACCACTCGAGGCTTTTCTGAGGTTTAGAGAGCTCTCACTTTCAATAGGTACAGCGAGCGCTTATGGCAATAGCAGGTCTTCAGAGTACGGAAGTCATGGAGTCTCAAGGTTGTGTCTACTCACCCAATACCTAGTGCATCGTGACCGCTATTACTCAGGCTTGCAACCTGCAACCTTCTCCGCATTCTAGCACGTCATGAAGACAATGTGCAACGCCCGGTGGAAGCGGCAACTGAACTGGTCCCAGTCATTACTCTCTCATTTGTAGCTTCCAACACGATTGCCGACCAGAAAGGAGTCTAGCCGTCGGAGAATCGCCGTAGATTTTTGGACAATCTGGAGCTCTGGAGATTTCGAACCTGGGGATCAGGGCAACAGGAAAAGTGGCTGAGAACAGCCGAGGCCTATACGGTTGGCCCATCTGTTGGCTTGTCTGTCATCAGGCAACTGCGACCATGAGGCCGCATAATTTAGTCTCGCCCAAAAAACTACAAAAAGTCCATCAGAACCATTTCTTGATCCAGTTCATCATCAATTCTTTGAAAAAGACAAAAAACAATCAACAATGAGGATTCGCTGCTCGTCACCGACGCAACTACTAACTCATCGGCATGCGGCTTAAGTACGGCTGAGCGGACGGGAAGCCCTGTAGTACGCATCCTGTGGTCGATTGCGGAAGTAAATGTGTTAAAGTGATAGATGTAGCACATTAAAGAGTGCTAGTAGGCTTAAACAGCGGTGTTTAGGTAAGCTTCCCAAAGGCAGAAGGATAATCGAGGCCCGGCCAGCACAAGTACATGTGACGTCCTTCAGGCTCCTTACAATCATTGAAGACAGTGCCAGCAACACTTGCTGTTTCATAGCAACTTCTTCTTCCTTCTTGCTGACGGCGAGTCCATAACTACTGTTTGCATACTCTCCAACCGTTGTTTCCTCACGAATTGATCCCAGTCACTCTGCATCACTCACCGCCACCATGAAGATCTTCTACATCGGAGTAAGCCAACAGCAACTACGACAACCCTCCGCAGGCCAAGGCACGAGACAACCCCTACTGACACCGCCATCAGATCCTACGGAATGACCCTGCTCCCACCGCCGAACTCGCCGTCGAACGAGACTTGTCCTCCTTCTCCCGCTTCACCCGCGACAGGTTCGTCACCAACTACCCCCTTATCAAACCCCTGCCAGACTGACCGCCCTCTGCAGCTATGGCGAGTTCATGACAATGTTCTCAAAGACAGTCGCCGAACGTACCAAACCCGGTGTCCGACAGGACATTGAAGAAAAATCATACACATTCCACGCCTACGGCTCGAGCCAGGGCGTGGCAGGCATCATCATTAGCGACGCCGAATACCCAGCCCTAGTCGCCCATCAACTCCTCTCCAAGATCATCGATGAATTCACATCCCAGAACCCGCGATCGAGCTACTCCAGTCCCAGTGTCACGAGTCGGCCGTTCCCACAGTTGAAAGAGTACATTGTGAAATACCAGAACCCCAATGAGGCGGACAGTATAATGCGGGTGCAGCGGGAACTGGACGAGACCAAGATCGTCCTGCACAAAACGATTGAAAGCGTGCTGGAACGAGGAGAGAAGATTGACAGTCTAGTGGCCAAATCTGACGGACTGAGTGCACAGAGTAAGATGTTCTATCAACAGGCGAAGAAGCAGAATTCGTGCTGTGTTGTTATGTGAGGCTGTTGATGTACCTGGCTGTCATGTCCCCGTAAAAGAATGCGGTAGCGAGTAATTGAGCAGGTAGGATATGACATGGATATGAGTCTTTTGGGTCAAGGCAAGCAGGCGTTATGGTGTTTGGTGAAGACCTCGTCAAGGATACCTTCAACATTTCGTCCGTTTCTACCTATCTTTACTTCATACACCGAGGCTTCTGCAGAAGATGTCTCCGTATGGGGCTGCAATGATACCAACAATGTCCTGTTCGCTGCGACGTCCCACAAGCAGCCTTTCAGATGTGATCTAGCAATGTCTTTCAACGAGTCATTCATGGTCGGGCGAGACAGTCTTTGAAGAATCATGGACACAGGACTCCATCCATCTATCTTGCTAACATTCCGCCCATCTCACGCCTCCCCCAGACCTTTCCTCGCCAACTCTTCAAGCCTCTCCCCATCCACCCTCATCCCCATCCACTCGTCCATACGTTTGGCGCCTATATTGGCGCCCTCGTAGAACTTGATGCTCGGCTCATTCCACTTCAACACGCTCCAATCAAGCCTTTTGCACCCGAGCCGTACACACTCTCGCGCGAGAGCCTGGATCAGCGCCCCGCCGAAACCCTTCCCACGATACCCCGGCCGCACGAACAAGTCCTCCAAGTAGATGCCCGGTGCAGATGTCCACGTGCTGTAGTTGTGGAAGAAGAGGGCCATACCCGCGATCTCGGCGGCGCCGGGCGTCGACGAGGCACCCTCAGAAGAAGACGTGGGCAGGATCAACAATGTCTTCGCATAGCCCCTTGTGAAACCCCCCGGAGAACTTGGGTCGGGAAAACTCAACGTCTCGCGCAGCGATTGTTCCGTCGCAAGGACTTCGTGCAGCGCCTTTTCGTACGAGGCGAGTTCTTGGATGAGCTGGAGAATCACCGGGACGTCGGACGGTGTGGCGTAGCGGATTGTATAACTGGATGTGGTGGTTTCCGCCATGGTACTGTAACCGGCGTCCAAGAAAGACCTAACTTCGATCTTCTGTCCGCGCACGGGGAGGAGTGATCGGGGTTGACGGACAAGAACAGAATGATTGAGGTCGGTTGGAGTTGAGACTGTCCCTTTTCTTCGAGAATCTAAGAGCTTCGGTTGTACAGACGATTGCGTGTGTACCTTTGGCGTGGTGATGTAGCGTGGTCGAGGTGTGATATATACAAAATTTCCAACCTGGAAAATATGCAGTATTTTTGCGGGAATGGAGTTGCAGATCGAAGGGGTCTCATACAAGTGAGTCTTGGAAGCTGATCGTTAAGGATCTTGGAGACGATAAGCAAAGATCTAAGATCTCTCACAGTAGTAGGATGGAGGTATGTACACAGTCTTGACAGTACTCGGTTTGGTGACCGTGGAAGGCGAAGAGAAAAAGAACCTTGGAACAAGTGTCAAATTGTAACGAAAGGGCGTGAAACACTGGGTTTGGGTCACAGCCATTAGGTAACAAACACTCGACGAGGCTGCATCAGGCTGAGGTCGGGAATTGGTGGTGGCGAGGTGGACAGAATCGACTACCTACCTTACCGATGGAGTTAAAGTTGCTTGTCTCGATGAACTCTGCCCGCTGCGGCGGCCTTGTTTACAACCACCCTCCATCCACGACGCAAGGGGGGTGATGTTCTACGACACAAGCCCTCCACATTGCCAGTACTTTAACTTATGCAGGGTTCGTACAGTAACGGGCTGGCGTTGGTACGGTCTGCCAACCTTCACTTGAACGATAGTTGTTCGGTATGACCTTAGGTACCTAGGTATGTTCGCGTCACGCCATGAGTGTCGGAAGTCGAGCGCCTCGATGCCCGTTCGACAGTCCGAAGCCCCAGTGGCCGTTACGAATCTGATTATCATCCTCCTTCCACGGTGCAAAGGAGCATATAGGAGGCGAGCAGCCTGGAATCTGATCCTGACTTCGCCTGCCGACGCTCAAAATTTGCATAGGTGCCTAAGATAACTTTCTTGCCAGGTCGCTTGACACTTTGTTATCCGTCTCCTTTCGGTCAGGCGCTTCACCGCGCCCTCAAGTTCTTCCCCGCGTATTGGCCCTGTGGCGCTGGCGATGATTGGTGCTTTTCCCACGAGTCGAAGCGATTCGGCCGAGTGAAGAGTCTTGTGAATGAGCACGCCATCGTCCAGATGGGAGGGGAAGAGCACGAGAAAGGACTATCCAAGAGCTCCTTGCCGCCGTCCAAAAATATGTCAGGATTGGGATTGGGATTGTTGTTCTTACAAATCCAGAGGCTCTCGATTTAGTCCTATCTACCTTAGTTGCCAGCGGATCATACTGGTTTTAAGGGGCCAGTTTCTCTCGCCATCAGAGTGTTTGCTAAGAAATCTGGGCTCCCTTTACAAAACAACACACAACAATGTCTTTGTCTGCCATACAGAAGAACGTCGAAGCAGCGTCGGCAAAGTACTCCTCGTCCTTCACCAAGGGACATCTCGCCCTCCCACCAGCGAAGAAGTATCTTGTTCTGACATGCATGGACGCACGAATCGACCCTGCACAAGCATTTGGTATCGAGCTTGGTGATGCTCATGTCATTCGGAATGTAAGAGCCCTTGATGATTCCTCAGCCTGCCTCCCTCTGGATTTTCGGCGAAGAACGATGGGAATCCCCTGCAAAACTATCCAGATATGCTGACGGATCGACGTTGTAGGCTGGAGCCTCGGCACATGTTGCGTTGCGCAGCATCGTCATCTCGGAGCAGCTCCTGGGGACGCAGGAGATAGTCCTTGTCAAGCATACTGGCTGCGGCATGTTGACGTTCGATAATGAGGATGCGTATGGCTTGGTCGAGAAGAACCTTGGGTAGGGCGGATTTTCTGTGATTCTCGTGATGGCAACCAAAAAGCTTATCTGAACGACTCGCAGACCGGATGCAGCGGCTGAACTCAAAGCGCGCGGACTGGACTTTCTCCCTTTCGCGGAGTTGGAGCAAGCGGTGAAGGATGACGTGAAGTATCTGGGAGATACAAAGCTGGTGCCAGACAATGTGACTGTCAGCGGGTGGATATATGAGGTCGAGACCGGTAAAACTCGCAGAGTATTGTAAGCGAGTGTTCCATCGGTGGAAGCTCGATCGGTGGGTGGAAAGTTCTCCTGACCCAGGACGGACACGGGGCGAGTGCTCCTCGAGGGGAGCGTTGTCGGTATGCTTTGTCACGACCCTGGCTGAGCGGGCATACTGTGGTAGACTCTCAAGAGTTCCAAGGATACAGATCTGTCGTATAACTCTCTCCACCCGAGCCTGGCTGCCAGATCCCCCACATTTCCAGATTCAAGTCATCGTGCAGATTCGAGTCGAGCCACTGATCGCAGAATGTTAGCATCAAAGATCTCGGGTCAGGAGATTGTGTTCATCATACCTGGTCAGTATTATTATCATCCATCGCTGGCTCGCAGACTGGGTCCAGGCTTGGAAGTGCAGGATTCATCGTCGATGTGCTCTCAGGTTGCTGCGCGATAAGACCAGGATGCCGACTGAGATTTCCCACCGCATTTCTGGCAATGGTCGCAGTATCCTTGACAAGCGGCACCGACCACTGCGAATCGGTGGTATACTCCAGGCGTGCAAAATATCCGCTGGCCACGTCCATCAAACGGAGGTCCGACTGGGCCGCAGCGCCAGAAGGATCGCACAGGATATTAATAAAGACGTTGACGACGGCGTACAACGGAGAATAGTATGCGACCCTTAGCGACGTGTCAGTATGATGAACTCTTGACAGATTTGACTGTCCTCGACTCTCAAGTTGGAGTTACTCACGGCATTGGACAACTCGCATCAAGCTGGATAAACCTGGAATCAAGGATTGTCGCCCTCGATGTTTCTGCCACCATCGCGCATGATTGACTGATCTGGACTTGGAAATCTGGATGTCGGTCAAGTCCGGTAACACCGCGGAACCACGGATGCGCCAGCGTTGTATGAATATCCCAGACCAAGTTGTAGTAAAGAAACTGTATGAACAGGGCTTGCTGCATGTTGAGGCCCGCTGGCGGCTTCGTGATGTTCATTGGCAGGTCGATCTGGCATTGATGTTTCAAGCTAGCTCGGAGTTCCTCGAGCTTCATTTGAAGCATTGTAACGTTGTTGACCAGATGTTCGGGCGCCTGGCGCCATGCCGATGCTTTGAAGAGCATTTTGCGAGTCACGGAGGAAAGATGGTTGATTTTGATGCACGCTTGTGTATATCGGACATTGACCGAGCCATCCGAACGGTCCGAAGTTGGAAGTTGACAGTTGATCTCTTCATCATCAATCAACTGTTGAAAAAGTGAGCTTGCTGGTCTCATATGCGAATTGGAAAATGACTCTTCAAAGTCATAGGGTCATACGAACCGAAGGACGCCCGGACCGAACGGCGATTTGTTTGTCGAGGCAGTAGATGGCCCAAAACACGCATTGCCGCAGAGACTTCTCTTCCTCTGGTAAGTTCCAGGATGGTGCCGGCTGTACGTGCAATCCTTGCCCACATGCAAGACGATATGCGTTGGAGACGAGCATATATTGTAACATCGTGCATGAGACGGCCTCAGCAAAGTATGCCTGGAAAATGAATGGTATGTTAGCTCTACCAAACCAAAAACTTGTCCGAGGGGAAGAGTCCATAAGATTACCATGAGTGTCAGAGCCTGTACGCCCATGACGGAGCTGCGGAAGTATAGGAGCTCCGCGTGCACCGAGAGGGCATTCTCGAAATAAGACCATGATTCTCGGTGAGCCTCGGTATACCCCTTCTCACCGGACCGTACCAAGCGACATCCCGATGCGAAAACGACATTTCGCAGGGCGTACCAACACGGGTCATCTTCATCCTCTGAGCTGGCCCAAAACGAACGAAGTCTAGCCTCGAAGCACGAGCGCCGCACGATCCCAAGCGCCGCATCGGGGGCTTCCTCGAAATATGCATGAGTGAATCGGAGCGAGTCGGTGAGCCCCGGTTCCTCTTTTCGCTCCTTCGTGGGCCGCTTCTCCAGCTTTAACCGTCGTGCGACATCCTGCGTGAATCTGTTTGCGCTGACTCGGAAATCGGGCTGTTTCACCCGTTCCCTGACCCAGGCTATACCAGCCTGCGAGCAGATGGCCATGCTGGTTCGGGGGCCCCAGTACTCGATGTCGTCTTGGAATGTGTGATAGCCGCCCATGTCTCCGCGATCATCTATGGACGCCGATTGGCTGGGACTCTCAAGGCGCTCCCAGGGTGCCTCGTTGGAATCAGGCTGGGACGGGGTCTTCGTGACGGGGCATGGCAATTGGCTCCGTGACGGATGCCCTGCATGATGCTGCAAGGGGTCGAAGGCGTCACTGGCTGGTCCTGGAGGCTCGCCGGCACAAACTATGGCTTGGGGACGTTGTTCTTGCTGACTGATTTCTGCAGGACTTTGCTGTGGTTGGTCTGAGCCCAATGCTAGTATTGAATGCGGAAGTTCTGGTACTTTGGCCCCGAGAAGGTCTGAAAGCTGACCGCCATCGTCGCTAGATATCCTTGCTGCTTCCAACAGGTCCTTGAAACGAGCAAGCCGACGTGCCAATGAAGGCAAGCCCTTGGGATTCCCTTTCCGGCGGCGCTGGCGTGGGCTGAAAATGCATTCTGCTCCATGCTCGACGCAATTGCTGCAAGGGTCGTCGCCGACACACCTGATCTTCTTCGTCCTGCATAGATCGCACGCAATGAGTCTCTTTGCAAGTACGATTGACTGAGGAACATCATGCTGGGGCGGCTCCATGGCCGAGTACGACGAGGAACGTACGATTTCCCACCGTGTCGGGGTTTTCGTGGTAGACAATGCCGGCTGCAATCTTTGCGTTTCTCCTGAAGTCGGTTCTATCATGGGGATGCTTAATGCGCCCCCTAATTAGCCACGCGGTGAGCCTCAAGCAAGATTCGAGGACAGGTGGCTGACTGTGTGGCTGGGAGAAACCTTGGGGTATGCGTCCTCGCTTGCGAATTCGAATCTGGGGTCACTAGTAATCAATTCTGGGGTTCCGGAGAAGTAACCGAACAAAAGGGTGTGCGATGGTTGCTACAAAGCGCCTTTCCGATCTTTGCCATTGGTCGTGCTTGGACTGTCTTGACCGGACTGCCAATGACACCCAATCCAGTACGGCGTTTAGCGAGCCCCCATTGGTACTCGTATTGCATTGGTGATAGCAAAGGACATCGTTGTCACGTTTCGGAGCTTCCAACATTTTCACTCAGCTCCGGCCGAAGCTCCGGGCTCCGGACGATTTGCAAAAAGTTGGGGGTTCTAACTATCGGTCACCCTGTTCATGAGGTGGTCAGAACTGTTGGCTTCTTCGAGCACAGATATTCCGCGTCCGTCCACATCATCCAGGGGTCTGAAAGTTAGCTGGGGAAAGCACTGCGCTCAAGTCTGCCCCCCCAGACAGACATGGTTAACTTCGTACAGGTGCCAGCCGAACCCCATGTCAGGTTTGGGCTTGGAGCTTTCTGAGACTGGAGATCTGGGATTGGATCCCAGGCGACGGAGCTCAAAGGGTAAGCCACCATTGCCATGTATGGACTCCCCGGATTGCTGTGCGTCCTGGTTCCAGCGCCGCCTGCATGGCGCAGTGTCCAGGGCCCCGTCAGCTCGGAATGAGGCCAGCGGCACCTCGGGCCTACCGAATCAACCAAACGGCTAGCTTTCCTGCCAATTCTTCAGTGAGGACTTGCTTTATAGCAAACCCATCCATATCTGGATCGAGCAATATGCGCTGTCCAAGAGAAAACCAAACTTAAAGTTTCCACCACAATCTCCAGGACCCGACAATGGGATTCTCACTCAGCACATGGATTTTCTTGGCCGCCGTCCTCGGCCTGCTGTTTCGATCACTGTATCTACATGTCTCTTCACCGCTCTCAAGAGTGCCCGGTCCCTTCATTGCCAGGTTCAGCCGATGGTGGCTTGCCTACCACGGCTGGCGAGGAGACTTCCACCAGCTCTTGACAAGCCTGCACGAGCGATATGGAGAGGTCGTCCGGATCGGGCCTAACGAAGTCATCACCATTTCTCCAGACGCGGTCAAGAAGATATACGGTAAGACAGAGAAAGACTCCTTTCGACAAACAGAAAGGCTCTGTGGAAGGAAATACTAGTACTAGTACTTACGTTGATGTTTTCATGTTTTTATCTAGGCGCCGGTTCTCAATTTCGAAAGAGCGAATGGTATCTTCCTCAACAAGGCGAGCGGAAGTTCGACCTATTTGCCGAGAGAGACATCATCGTTCACCGCAATCACCGCCGACTCGTGAACAATGCTTACGCCACCAGTTCGTTAATGGAGTTGGAGCCATACATGGACAGTGCCATTGCGTATTTCATGACGACCCTGCACCATGTCCAAGGCCAGCGCATCGACTTTGGCCTTTGGCTCCAGCTGTTCGCTTTCGGTACGTTCTGCGCGCTGTTTCCCATTGGGAAATCAAATTTCCAAACAATTGCACATGCATACGCACACATGCATCCACAGAAGGGGAGAGAGGTGTGGGAGAGAGAGACAGAGCAAAAGCTGACGCCCAAATCCCAGACGTTATCGGCGAAGTGACCTTCTCCCAGCGCTTCGGCCTGATGGACGCCGGGCGGGAATCCGAAGCACTCAAGCAGATCAAAAAGGTGCTTAGGTCGACATCGTGGGTGGGCCAAGTGCCCTACGTCTACAAACTGCACCAGGTCTTACGCCCGATCATCGGCAACCGCCTGGCCCTCACAGCACGCAACGGGAGTCTCCGCCAATTCGCCATGGACCAAGTCCAGTCCCGGATTCTACGCGGAAGTGACCACCGCGACATGCTGGGCCGGTTCGTCGAGATCAACAAGGCCAAGCCGCTCGAGTTCGACGAGGCCGCCCTCATCTCCATGACGGCCAGCAACATCGCTGCCGGCAGCGACACCACGGCCATCTCTCTCCGGTCGATGATCTATTACCTGCTCAAGAACCCCGGATGCCTGTCGAAGCTTGTCACCGAGATCGACGCGGTAACAGCGACAGAAGGAACATCCCGCCGTACTGTGGTGACATACGAGCAGGCCAACAGGATGCCGTATCTCCAGGCCGTCATGAACGAGGCTCTGCGCATACACTCCATCGTAGGCCACAGCATGCAGCGAGTCGTGCCTAGCGACGGGATTCAAATTGCCGAATACTACATTCCCAGCGGTGTATGTGTGCTTTTGCACTCCCACTCCCACTCCCACTTGCACTTGCCGCCTTCAATCTTTCAATCTTTCAAATGAACCGTCCTGCAAGTTTGAGTTTTGGCTGACCAGGCCATCATCCACAGACCATAATAGGAACAAGCCCCTACGTCCTAGGTCGGTCCGAAGCCATCTATGGGCATGACGCGAAGACCTTTCGTCCCGAAAGGTGGCTCGAAGATGGAGACAAATATGACCTTTGTAAGTTCTATTTACCTCCTCATCGTCCGGACCCCCCTTCTATAGGGCCCCGGAATGTTGCACTGACCATTTGAACTATTATCTCCCCCAGGGTCGGGCTACCTTGCATTTGGAGGCGCTTCGAGGCTTTGTATCGGCAAAAGTAAGTCCACCATTTCAGAATCTCTTGTGAAGTCAGTCCAAGGGCCTTAAACGACGCTAACAATCTCCGAAACTACAGACATCAGCTGGATGGAAATGTCCAAAGTAGGCACGGCACACACACACCCCATCCACCCCAATTGCTTCTTGATGCGATGGATGGACAAAACCGACTCATTTGGAAACCACAGGTACTTGCGACTCTGCTGCGGAACTTTGTGATTGAATTCGCCGACGCGGACACCGATTGGCAAGAGATTTGCTAGTAAGTGGCTGCCCTGTGCCCTGTGCCCTGGCCCTGGCCCTGTCAAGGTCTCGCGAGCAAGGGAAAGCTGATGCATGCATGTATAGTGTGTTCGTGCACCAGACCGGGCTGAATGTTAGGCTGCGTCCCCGAGAGCTTACCAAGTAGGGGGGTCTGCATTAGGAGGTACGGTAGTTGCCCCAACAGAAATTCGGTGATTGAAATCGTTCTCCTGAGTACTACTAGTACTGGATTAGCTTGACGTGTCATCGATGGAATGGTCCAGTGGCCCAGTGGCGGCTCAAATCAAAGGAACTTGAAGATTGCTTGGACAGTGATACCGCAAATCAGGAACAATGAATTTATATTATTTTCTGAGAACTCCTGACCGATAGGTGCAAACCACCGGACCTAGAGAGCTCCCATACACTCCCGATCACTTCCAAACCAATGCCACCGGTCCTTGATTTCCTGCAGTATCTGCCGTAATAGCTCGCGTTTCACGTTTTTGCCTCAAAAAGATAGCATCGTATTTCCTTTTCTAGGCCGAAAAATCATTCATGAAGCTCAGCAGCACATCACTGTTGAATTGATTGGTGCCTTGCGAGAAAGGCATGCGATTCATTTCCGGAAGCGCAAGAGATGAGAAATTCTGGTTGTTGGAGCCCGGATACTGAAAGGTGTTACCACTCGGCAGCCCATCGTACGGCGGGAAGTTGGACCAATTCCAGCCTGACAAGTCCTGCGAAGGGAAAACTTCCAATGGCTGCAGCCGCTCAGAGTTGATCACGGAGTGACAATCTTCCATTGACGGGTCAGAATGAGCGCCTCCCACTCTGGTCTGGTTGTCGGTCCCTGACAAGGAGAATCCTAGACGTTGCAACAGGCTTGCGATTTTCTTTGACAGACGCTGCGATGAGCGCGATAGCGAGTATGATCGTAGCAGTTTCAACCCCCTTTCAATTCCTTGTTGCACAGCCATGCCCGTCTCAGGAAGATGGTCAGATCTGGCCAGCGTTCCACGACCGGGAGAACTGTGTACGTAGATCAGGAGCAATGTAGACAGTGCGGACGACAAGAAAAGGTTGAAAAGAGGCTGCTGCGTCGCATACAGGCCGTACGTCCTGTCCGCTGTGACGATCATTTCGATACTATCATTTGCGAGCTGGGTCATATGCTTCACCTGCTCGATGTTGGTGTTGAAGGTTTGCGTGGAAAACAACAGGGGCCGCATGATGACAATCTTGAACTGATTCGCACGCAAGTATAGGACGAACCGTAGCAGCAGCGTGCCCCGGTTCAGCGACGCTTGAGGATCGATTTGGTCGGCCACGGGGCTGTCTCGTCGGATACGCAGCTCTCTGGGCAGGTTCTCCTCCCAGCGCCGTACTTGGAAATCAATAAATTCATAATCTTCGTTGTTGATCCGGCCTTTCAGTTGGCCACGCTCATCCGTCACGGCAGCCCAGGCCCTGGGCCCCATTCTCATGTAAGAGGTCATCGCTTTCAGGTATGGAGGCATTGTTTCCTTCAATCACAACTGTAAGTATAGCTGTTCTCAGGAGGATTGTTAAGGCAACGCACCATTTCGGGAATGTCGATATCGGTATCTTTCAAACTCAGAGGCAGTCCGGCGTTGAAGTTTAGTTGGCGATCAAGATACATGCAGGTGAAAAGCACAACAAGCACCCTCGCGTACTCGGAGTCACAAGGGAAGTATCGCCGTCGTATCTCTTTCAGATGTAGCCCAGCTTCGACCATAATACGTGATGCGATGACAACATAACGAGACGCAAGGCGAGAATCGTCTTGGAACAGGTGGTAGAACGCCTGGGTAGTGTAGTTAGCTTCAGAACCAGATCGGAGACTGACCACTGGAAAACACTCACTGTGAGAAGCAGGAGGATTTGACCCCCCAAGGTAAATGTTCGTCCCAATATGTGATTAGTGATGATTGGGATCAGATCGTTGTGGATTTTCCTCGCTACTGGACTATAACCTCCGCCTTCAGCAAGCAAAGCGATCGCAATTGCCATCTCTAGATGCGCAATGTCCACGCCTGCTGACAAGGGGGCTGCATCGGGCGCTGCAGCATGACCCTCATTGGGGAAGAGCGTGCTCGCGAGCCGCTGTAATGACTCTGTGTTCACCAGTGGATGCAGAATGTCAATAGACTCGTGGTAAACTTGGATCAATCGAAGCGCATCCTGCAGCTGTAGCCCATGTAAGGATGACGAGGTTGTCGTGAGTTGCAAACGTTCAGAGTTGTCTCCATCTTCGTCGTCACTGACCGAAGCCGCCAAATCTGCATTCACCCAAGACCTTCCAGCCTCTGTTCCACTCTCTCGCTGAAGGATGATATCTGCCACACGGAAGCTGAAATCTGCACTGGTGGGACCCGCGAAAACAGGCGATGCTGCTTGAGTGGCGCTGTGGTTGTTCTGCTCTGGGCCGGCAATATCTTGAACGAGCAAATTATCGTGGTGCGGTTCGATCGTGGCCTCGCTTGTCGACTCCTGCTGTTGTCGTTCCAGCACGGCAATCTTTCTCTGAAGCTGTGTCACGATGCCTATAAGCTCGGAGAGGCCACTGTGGAGTACATTAGCGAGAAGACTCTGGTGGCCACGGTTGGGTATAGTACACTTGACTCGAAGGCTTTGAGACCCGGCCTTCTGCTGTGGAGTTTGATTGCCCATCGACCCCACGTGGAGCTTGACCATGACTTTTGGCGTATCGGCAATCGTATGAACGCCGCTCGCATGGTGTGCATGGTAATTGACCGTCACAGCGGATCTTTCGGCTTTTGCAAGAGAGGCATGCCTCCTCCACGTACACCGCCCTCTTCCGGGCGGATGGGGTTTTGGCGCGAGAGCGTCTAGGGGCAGAAAAGTGTCCAGCTCTGCCTTCGGAACACCCAACCGCAGCGTGTGACAGTTCAGCGCTTGTTCTGAGCATTGTTTTGTTGCGGGATTCAATGTCTCTACGGAAAGCGGTCTGGGGTAGAGGAAGGAGGCAGCAATAAGAATGGGTCGTTCCGGATATTCGGAAGAGAATAAGTCTCCCACTTCCCCGTTCCCTCCGCATTGGAGCGGGCGCACATGGCAGGGTTCCCCCAATATCCGGGTGGATGCAAGGGCGAGCCAGCCTTGTTTGGCCGGGCCACTCTTAGTCAGAAAGTTTGACGGAATGCTACAACGGAACGGGACACCGTCGTGTGGCCAAGCGGTTGTGCGGTGGTTCGCTCACAAGAGACATCGTCCCATGCGTGACATTCTAGAAGCTATCGACAAATAAGTGTTCCCGTGAGCGAAAGGCTGTAACTGCCCTTACATATCTGCACCAAAAGCCAAGAGACTTGCACCGGTGTCCGTATCTGTAGGCAAAACTTAGTATCACAATCATTTCAAAGGCATATAGAAAACACTACATCAGATGGAGCCTTGTAACGGAGAAACAAATGTAAAGAATACTAGATTCAGCGTCAGAATTGGAGAATACTGACTCCTGTGCTTCCAGAAACAGGCTCCTTATCCGCTCCACATTGTCGTCGTAGGAGCTGGAATCGGTGGCCTCGCCTGCGCAATCGCCTGTCGAAGATCAAGTCCGCCGCTGGAGGTGACCGTTGTCGAGCGGGCTCCAGAGATCCTTACGATCGGTGCAGGAATCCATATCCCCCCGAATGCCTGCCGGATCGTCAAACATCTCGATCTGGTCCCGGCATTGAAGCAAGCACAAGCATATTCCGTGGAAGGCTTCACCTTGAGAAGATACGAGGATGGGCGCGTCCTTGCCGAGAAGCCGATGGGAGAAAGAATGGAAAAGGAATACGGGGCCGAATGGTTGTAAGTGCGCGAAGATAAACCCATTTCCCAAGTCGAGGGTCGCCACCGCTGCTGCTGCGAGCTGATCAGAAAGCAGAGCCATCCACAGAGGAGACTATCAGAACGTCCTACTTGAGGCTGCCCGAAAGAATGGTGCCACAATACTTCTGAATGCCGAGGTGACTGGCGTCGAACCGGGCACTGGAGAAGTTCTAGGCAAGCAGATTGTTCTGATAAAAGATCAAAATTCCATAACGGCAGATGTCGTGGTTGGCGCCGATGGTAAGCAAGCCGCCCCCACCAAAAGGACACCCTCACGATACCAGCCTGACCGTTGATGTGTCATTGCAGGACTCTGGTCCGGATTACGAGAATACATTCTGGGCCGTCCCATGCCGCCACTTGAAACGGGCGACCTGGCCTATCGAGGGACTTTCACCCGAGAACAGCTCAAGGCGTTCAAGGACGAAAGAGTCGACGAAATCATGGAAGCGGCAAATGTGCAGGTTTGGCTAGGTTCGAACCGGCATGCGGTGTTCTACCCCTTAAGGGACAAGACAGAGTACAATCTGGTCCTACTGTGAGTTGCTTCAGTATCAGTACTACTTGGATCGAACAGCACAAGAACTGACGAAAGTTCAAAGTGTTGCCGACGACCTCCCGCCTGGTGTGCGCACTTTGCAAGGTAATCTGGGTGAAATGGCGGCCAACTTCGAAGGATGGGATCCAGCGTATTACCGAAGGCTCTTTGTACTTGTGTTGTTATCGTGGCTGACTGACATTATAGCTTGAACATGATCATTTCGTGCCTCAAATCTGCTCTGAAATGGAAGCTTCTTCATTTCAAGGAGCTCGACCAATGGACAAAGGTGTGTTTCTCAGAAAGCAGACGTGGAGAGCCGGTTATGGCTGACTACAAGACGTAGGGAACAGTTGCCCTCCTTGGTGACGCTTCCCACCCTACTCTTCCATACCAGGGGCAGGGGGCTGCAATGGCTGTGGAGGTAATTACTTTTCTATTCCGATCCTAGTATCGTCCGCTCTTTCTACCCAAATACTAAACCCCGAGCAGGATGGCGCAATCTTGGGATTACTTCTCTCCAAGCTGCAAAATAGCGGTATATCGCCGGACCCTGAAAAGAGGTATGCGCAATTGGCCGACCTTCTACATTTGTACGAGGATTTGCGGAAGAAGAGAACCGAAGTCAACGTGGCCGGGGCCGTGGATACCCGTCATTACTACCACTTGTCTGATGGAGATGAGCAAGTGAAACGAGATCAGGAGCTGGCTGAACTTCCCGCAGCCAACTGGCAGGGGCCCTGCAATTTCAATTGGGGCGACGCGGCCTACCAGAAGAGTTTGCTGGGGTTTGACTCTCTAGCTGATGCCGAGCGAAACTTCGACATCTGGTTGCGGAGAAGACGGACGCAGGCCAATATCTGAGTCACTATCGGTAGGGTGGAAAAGCTATTTCAACTGCCTTTTACGAGGCTTCGACACTCCTCGTAGACATGATTAGAACTTCACTACATCAGAATACTTGACGCCACATTGCACCTTTCACGTGCTCAGGGGGGGATTGTAGCTTGCGTATGTACTCTGGAGCATCTGTGTATCGCAAGCATAGAAAGCATAGTCAATCTTTTTTGGAAAAGGAACGTTGTTGAAGACTAAAAGCACAATCTTTACAACCAAGAGCAAGTCTCGACCCGCAATATTCATTCCTCCAAACTAAGCTTCAAGCGTCGTCGCCTCCACGTGCTTTGACTCTCCTGTCGTTCCGGAATCCACAGACTTCACCTCGATGCGATCAAGAGGTGCATCGATCTTGGCATTAAATTCTTTCCTTGGATCCTTCAGAAAGATCGTAGCTGTTTTCTTGTTAGCCAATCTGCGACTTGTAGCAATGGAAAAATGGAAAAACTTACCCACAAGGCCAAGGGCTGCAAATGCAGCGGCACATATGTAGACATCACGGAACCCGACCACGTAGGCCGACTTCAGGGCTTCGCCTGCCGCCGCCAAAACATTGACAGTAACACCAGGTAGCTTGAGTGCAGCTTCGGCGGAACCAGCGCTCAAATCGGCGATCAATGGGCCGACAGTCTCCTCAGAAACACCCAAGGGGATGACGGCGTTCGCCACCTTGGGGAAAAGGTTCTTCGAGAGCCCTTGGCTGAACAGGGCTCCGTAGATGGCAACCGCAACCGAGCCGCCTGTACTTCTGATTGAGCCCATAAGACCTGAAGTGACGGCAATGAGCTCCGGTGGGGTGGACAGTTGGGCGGTGGTATAGAGCGTTATGACACCGCACCCTAGACCAGAGCCGTAGAACGTGACATAGCCCCAAAAATGAGACTCGGGTGTGCTCGCGGTGACTGAAGCCATGAGCGCGGCGTATACGACGAAGGCAGCATTCGAAGCTATCGCTGTAGGTCGCACCGTCTTGGTTCGATAGATGTAGCCTCCGATGAGGAACGACATGGCAAAGAGGCAGATGAATGCAATGCTGTAGCAGACCAGGACGCGGAAGGTCGAGATCCCCGTAACGACAATCTCCATTGCGTAGGGGAAGTAGATGTTGGCAGACATAAAGATGTACCCCTCGATGAAGACCGCCACCAGCGCAATGGGGAAGTTCCGGTTCTGGAACAACCCGTGGTGGAAAAGTCCATCTTTCTTGATCTTCCACTCGTAACCGATGAGGATGAGGATGAAGACCACTCCAATGAGAAACGGGGCCAGGATATGGGCATTGGGCCAGTCGAATGGATTTTGAGAATAAGACAAACCCAAACAGAAGAGCACCAGGCCGGCGATGTACAAGAAGAAACCAATCCAGTCAAGGCTGCGAATCTTCTCGCCGAAAGTGAAGGATATCTGCTCTTCTCTCGGTGGTGGGTTGTAGAGAGTCGCCAGCATGAGGGTTGAGAGAGCGTAGATACCGGCACAGATGTACCAGTAAGTCCGGAATCCCTCGGGATTGTTGTTGGTCAAGGCTCCGCCAACGAGCAGACTGAAGAGAGAGCCACAAGCAATAGCAGCATTACAGGCACCCTGGGCGAAAGACCGGAACTTGCGGGGCATGGTTTCGGAAGCGACAGCATGGACAAGCGGCTGAGCACCGAAAGATGCGCCGCCCAAAACGAAGCCTGCAATCGCCATCTGCATGGAAGACGCTCTGGAGACGATGATACTCCCAACGAAACCCAGTGAAGTCGGCACAACCAAGAACCATTTGCGTCCCCAGAGATCAGCAGCTCGTGCGATGGGAGGGATTGTGGCAGCGGTGAGGATATTTATGGCCGTTGCAGGCCAGGAGGAGATCGCTTCTCCTCCAACGACGGCTGCAATGGATCGGGCGTAGACGCCGGCACCCACGATGAACAGCATTTGGCAAAAGTACTGAGAGCACAGAGCCTGTCATCGCGAACTTGTAAGTACATGCTCACTTTGCAGCAAATAGGACGACCGACCAAGAGGAGCGCGAACTCCTTTTTGTGGTTCCATACGACAATCTCCTCGTCAAGCGGTTCCATGGCTGAGGCAGGTTGCTGGATGTCTTCTCGAGACTTGCCCATTGTGAAATCTGTATATGTCGTAGGCCTGATGTATGGCACTTTGGCATCGACGGGCCTCAAGTTCAGACACTTCTCGTCCTGGGAATTGAACAGACCTTAAGAATTCCTGTACGTCCGGATGGGGTATACTGCTAGGAAGCCTTCGGCTCCCCAGGTCCAAGGAGGCCAAGAAACAGATTCTAGATTCTATTATCAGTGTTAGTCCGGGGTTAGTGGGGTTTGTTCCCATTATCGAGGAAGCGAACGGCGCTTGGACCAACTCGAAGTCAGGAACTCGTACTTGTTCCGGACACTGTTCCGTCGGTAGCCCATCCAGGCAAAGTCTTGCGAATACGCGAGTTTCGCTTGCAGAACGCAGGTACCCCTTCCGGGACACAGAGACCTGGGCAGATTCTGGGGTAACCGCCAGGATTGAGCTTTGTGGTATAGGCTAGGTGTAGGCCTCGAATAATGTCTTTGACAGCAGAGTTTATTCCCATACCACCCGTAGACACACAATGCCGCCATGGCTGGGTATTCCAATTCATGATAGCGTACTCAATTTTACTGTGATAAGATAGTGTTATCTGATCGTGAACCCAAGTTCGTGTGACAGCAGGAGAAGAACCCTACGAGGCTTTTCCAAGGGAGAATTTGTCGTTCATGTCGTACCTCGATGCATTGCTCAACACGAACACTACCAAGCAAGAATTGGCTTGATCACCTGAGTGGCATTAGAAACAGTAGCCAAGCAGGGTTGGAGGCAAATCGTACCTTTCCCGACTTCATATCGTCGATTGCCTGATCTATCTCCATTGGGGGGTAAGTCTTAGACAGTCCGTCGATGGGGAACGATCCCTCCTGAAACATCTTCACAAGGCGCGGTATAAGCTGAAGCAGTAGTCAACATCGCAAGTTCTCGCTGGAAGAAGAAGAGAGAGTAAAAGCTCACCTCCTGGGGGTTAGCATAGGCACCTGTAACTCCAATGATCTTCTTGCAGTGAATGAGCATATCCATCCCTTCAACGCTGAGATGTTCTCCTGGCACAGGGGTTCCCACAATGGCAAACGTCCCCTGCTGAGCCAGCGCCCTGATGCCACTGTTGATCATGGCCGTCACGCCCGTAGTATCCACTATGCAATCAGCACCTAGAGCAGAGGCCTCGCGAATGGCAGCTTCAACGTCCTTGTACTTTTTCCCGTTCAACGCATGAGTTGCTCCCAGAGATTTCGCCAACTCCAACCTCGACTCAACAATATCGATGGCGATGATGTCAGCCACGTTCAGGCTTTTGGCGGCCATGAGAGCAGAAAGGCCCACCGCACCGAGCCCCAGGATGGCAATACTGTTGTTCGACTTCGGTTTCAGGACTTCCAACACTGTGCCGGCGCCCGTCATAAACCCGCAGCCCAGGGGAGCCAGAAATGACAAGTCTTCTACTGGGCCAGGATACTTGACCGCAACTCTGGCGTCGCAAATCGCCAGCTTGGAGAAGGACGACTGACCAAACACGGGACCTCTTATGAAATCGCCGTTGGGACGGCGGATAGAAGTATCCTCGAGGCCTCTTGTTCCCCCGAAGTTGGTGAGGGCGATATTGTCACAAGCTCCTTTGCTGCCTTCCTGGCATCCTCTGCAGGTCATGCAAGAGGCAAAGCCGAGCAACACTCGATCACCCACTTTTAGTCCTGAGCTCTCAAGCCCACTGCCGAGCTCGAGGATGACTCCAGCACCTTCATGGCCAGCTACCACGGGAAACCCGCCAATCGGCATCTTGCCATGCTGTATGACGAGGTCCTGAGAGAGTTGTAAGAGTCGAGGTCAGTACCGAGCGAGGGGGAGGACTTACAGTGTGGCATAGCCCAGAGTACTTGATGTCGACCAGAAGCTCGTTGTTGCGTAGCTTGTCCAAAACGACGTCCTCCAGGACGAAAGGGGCACCAGGCTTGTCAACAACAAGTGCTTTGGTTGTGATGGGTTTCCCTGACAAGGAGCCCATGACCTTGTAGTTTGCTTCTCTGACGACTTGAAGCTTTGCGTAGATGTCGACCGCCTGAAGAATTTGTCTTTTGAAGATTGGCAAGCCGAGTGCAGAATGCTTCTTCTGAACAAATACACAATCCCGTGGGCGCCAGTTATCGAAGTCTGATCACCAGGTGCAAGTTCGATGCTGACATAACAAGGCTCCGGCCGGAACGATCAACGGAATAGAAATCATGAGGGTTGGAAGCACCTCAAAATCAGGCCGTGATCCACCCACCTCAGCCACTCCCGCCTCTTCATTCTTGCTGTCTGCACCCGAAGCTCCGTACTTTTACTTCCAGCTCGACCGGGCGGAGGATTGTGCGGTCCCTCACCTCGGAGCACTTCAATCCTTTATTGCAAACAGCACACTAGTCGCTCTACCATTTCCCTCCGTAGGCAGCACAAGCACATTGTAGTCTGGCAGTCAAGCAATGCATAGGTACTCGAATCTCCGAAGACTCACAGACATTGAAACAGGGGGCCAGCGCAGTACCATTTCCATGCTATTTGTAGTTGTTTGCATCTCATTTCCTCTGACGTCCCATGCGGCCGCCTCTACAACGCGATAAACACGCTCTTCAACTCGGTCCAGTAGTCAGTACAATGCCTGGACAGCTCTCGTCCATCCCCACTCTGCTTCCATCCACCAAATGGCATATCAACAGCCATACTCGGTGACGAGCAGTTGACGCCCACGCTTCCCGCCTCGAGGGCCTTCACTACCCTCAAGGCGCGGCTGATATCTTTTGTAAAGACACTAGCATATAGACCGAACTCGGTGTCATTCGCACGCTTCAGCACCTCCGCCTCATCGGTAAAGGTATTGACGCACAAGACAGGTCCGAAGATCTCCTCTTTCATAACCCTAGAATCTTCAGGCGGATTTGCGATAATAGTAGGCTCGACGAAATACCCGGTTGTTCCTTGGCGGCCACCGCCTACCGGCATACTGATGTTATTCTCCCTGGCATAGTCAAGGAAGGACATAACCCGCTCGAATTGGGCCTTGTCGACTTGCGGCCCACGACCGGTATTTGGTAAGAGCGGATTGGCGGCTGGTAAGAGCTCCACCATAGCAGTCTTCATAGCATCAAGGAATTGCGTGGCGATAGCCTCGTGGACATAGACACGCGAGGTGGCGACGCAGGACTGTCCGCTGTTCACTAGGATACTGAATGCGGCCGCAGGGACGGCTCTAGCGATATCTGCGTCGTCAAAGATTATCAGCGGAGACTTGCCGCCAAGCTCAAGCGTCACGTTTTTGAGATTGGACTCGGCGGCAGCTTTTTTGATAGCACGTCCTGCGATAACGCTGCCCGTGAAGCTGATCTTCCGGATGTCCATGTGCTTGGCGATGGCTTCGCCACAGGGTCGGCCAAAGCCAGAAAGGATATTGAGTACACCTCGGGGTAGGCCAATCTCTTGAGCCAACCGACCAACGGCGAGGGACGAAAGAGGGGATTTCTCGGAGGATTTGACCACAAGTGTATTGCCCGTCGCAAGAGCCGGGCCGAGCTTGTTGACCAGCATGAGTAGTGGTACATTCCAGGGCGTAATGGCTCCACAGACGCCAAATGGCTGTCGCAACGAGAGTGTTACGAAGCCAGTAGAGTTGAGGCTCGAATCTCCAGCTACATCGATCGCTTTTCCTGCGAAGTATCGCAGATTTTGCACGGAGAATTTGATCGAGACTGGTCGAAGAGAAGTTGTTAGCGGCGAGCCTCAGACTTTGGCAAGATTTGCAGCAGGAAACTCACAATCATCGACATATGGCTTGCCCATGGTAATAGCCTCAAGATAGGCAAGCTCGTCGGCATTTCGCTCGATAGCATCCGCAAGTTTGTTCAGGTAGCCAGTCCGCTCAGCGGCGGACAGCGCTGACCATGCCGGAAACGCTTCTTTCGCAGCCTTGACGGCAAGGTCGACATCTTCGCCACCAGCTTCGTAAACTGAGGCAGCGAGTTTCTCGGTCGTAGGGTTGTAGATGTCGAATTTCTTGCCGGATACTGAAGGCACGAACTCTCCATCAATGAAAAGCTTGTCCTCAATATGCTTGGGGGTATACGCGGACTCTGAATGAGCGGCATCGTCGGTGGCGACGGGTGCCATCTTGATCGATAGGTAGCTTGGTGATATGTTCAAGAAAATGTCGCCGTGTTTGCCTCGGCAGAAAACTGCAAGCTGAGATCCCAATCTCTTATATCAGGGGTAGCCGAAGTATGTTAGCGGTCGGGAGCATGAAAGCCTCGCTTCGTCCGTGTCACACGCTCACCGGACTTACGAGCTCGGCAACAGTGGTCTCAAAAAGACAAGGTTTTGACGGAGTTGTTCGTGTGGCGCGGATAAACTCAACAGCCCATGTCTCTTGCCAAGCAGTGGCCACGAGATATCACATCCAGTTCATCGATTGACCAGCAGTACGGCGGCAGGGGACAAACCTCCAGTCCATGTGGGCTCCGAATCGACATTTGCGGGACGATGTTCGGGGTAACAGGAAGGGAGGGAACCCGGAACCGAAGGCAGAGTTCGTTCCGTGACTGGTTCCGCGTCCGGTGCGCTTTGCACTAACTTACACTTCCCATGCTCGAAGGAGCTCGGGCGGCCTGAGAAGTACGAGTTACATGTGTCCAATGTCATCCGCTAGGGCGAGCAAGATGGGAATAATGAGTGAAGAGATAGATATTAAGATATGGCATTGATTGTGATTGATGTACCGCAGTAAGTTCGCGAGAAAGTCGAGGAAGTGTAGACAGTCATCACGTGCCGTGGTCTAGGCGCCAAGGCGAGGCTGATCACGTGGCCGGCAATTTCCTAGCAGCCAAGGTGCCAACAAAGTTTCTGCCGCCATGTTTGCCCTTTTAGGCAATTCTACCTACCTGATCCGGCTGACCGCCTTTGTTTTCATCAGCCAGCAACGCCCTTTGTTTGGTATTATATTTACTTTCGCAGTCACGTGAGATGCTCGATTTCTCTCTTGTATTGTATTTTGCTCGCCTGGTCGATGATGCCACTGTTTCTGCCGATAGGACCCTAGTCGTTACACTGATAGAAGCTCGATATCACGACCTTGCGGCCACGTCAGCCCTGGTCATACCGTTCTCAACGGGAATTCTCTCGCGCATAAAATCGTGCGGTGAAACATTGGCCTCACGTTGATGAGTCTCGATTGGTATGCTGCCTAACTTCAGAATCGCCGTGACTCCTCGCAGAACGTGCACATCGCCACAGCTCAGGCTCGCCAAGCGAATGACAATCACTTTGGTACCATCATAACCATGAGACACTTGCCAGGTTCGTCCAAGCCATCTTTCGGGCCGAATAATGGGATTCAATCTGCTCCGAAGGTCCGCAGTCCCATCCGGGGGAACCATCGACTCAACTCCTTTGTAGCCCTAGCTTTCCCCAGATTCTCCCGGGCATCCCCCAAACTACTGCCATGCTTTGCTCCGGATTTGTTCCCCCGTTCCGAGAGTGAACCTGCCATACTATTATTACCAGGAAATCGTTCAGCTCCCAGCTGGCATCAACACTTGACAAAGTCAGTTCCCATTGAGAACAAGAACAGGACCAAAGCACACCAGAGGCGGAAACACGGACGGTCCTTTTCATTCAATCTTTTTCGAGCCTTCTCATCATGGCTGCCTCATCAACGGCCATGACTCAACTGCAGAACAACATCCCGTGGTCTACAGCCTTGTGGACGCTACCGTTGTTGTATCTGGTCGCTAAGATCGTATACAACATCTACTTCCACCCATTGGCGAAATTCCCGGGCCCATTCCTGGCCAAGTTCACGTCCATATTACCCATGCTGTCGATGTTCAAGATGAACCGAATTCGATGGCAGCACGAAATGCTCCAGAAGTACGGCAGTCCAGTACGTGTGGGGACGAACGAGCTGTACTTCTCAGACATGAAATCATGGCAGGACATTTACGGGCAATCCTCCAACCCCTGCCCAAAAGAGAAGGTCTTTTACGACATGTTTACTGCTACTGGGGCAATAAGTATTCTCACCGAAAGGAACAAAGCGGCGCACGCCCGCTTGAGACGCTTGATCTCTCACGCCTGTTCCCTGAAAGGACTCCTCCAGGACGAGCCTATGATCCATCAAAAAGTGAAAACCCTCCTGGATGTCGTCTTTGCTCCGGCAGCCGCAAAGAAAGAATCCGTCGACATCTTTCAAAAGTTGTTGGACCATTACCTTGACATAACAACGTATTTGAGTTTTGGGGTATCTTTCGACTGCGTCTCCGGCAAAGGCACCCTGAACCACGACGACCTGGATGCTTTTATGGTCGTGGTGCCCACCCAGGCCTTCTTTCCTCAGCTACGCTATGTCCCCATCAAGGCGATACAGGACGGCTACAAGGGCCTTGACAGGCTGATCAAGTTTGCCGAGAAGTCGGTCAGGGACTTCCACGACAAGATCGAGAGGAACGGGGATGACTATGCCAAAGGGACTTTCCTGAGGAATCTGGTCGATGCAGTCGACCCCGAGACCGGCAGCAAGCTGACGTTTCCGGAATTGGTCGAGAACACCATCCTGTTCCTAGTCGCAGGAAGTGACACCACGGCAGTGACAACCATGTACACCATCTGGGAAATCGGCAGGAGACCTGACGTGAGGAAGAAGCTCCTCGACGAGATTCGCACGGCATTCCCCGACCCCAAACACGAACCAACGTACGAGGAGACCTCTAAGCTGGTAAGGGACCGACTCTGATAATGGCGGGAGCGACCGTCGTTTTGGACTCTTGATAAGCTAACCTGGTCTTTTCTAGGAGTATTTAAATTCATGCATTGAGGAAACTCTTCGGATCTGGGGACCCCTCAGCGCCGGCTTCCCTCGTGTATCGCCAGGCAAAGTCATCGGTGACCACTTCATTCCCAAGGGCGTGCAAGTGGCGACCCCCGCGTACGTGACCGCCCGTGATCCGAAGGTCTTCCCCAACCCAACCGAGTATATCCCGGAGAGATGGTTGAACGCCACCCCTGAGATGAGGAACATGTCCAGGCCTTTCAGCTATGGGCCCCGGAATTGCATCGGGAAACATCTAGCCGACATCGGGCTTCACTTGACCCTCACTCGGCTGTACCAGCTTTACGACATCGAGATTGATCCTAGCATGACGGACGCGATGATGTTGCAAAAAGATCGCGGTGTTTGCGCTCCGTGGGACGAGAAGTTGATTGTGCGGCCAACTTTTGTTCATGAGGGTGTCGGGTCGTGAAGACCAGAAGATTAGTATATGGGAGTCGGATTTACGTCTGCTTTGCTCTTTCATGGCGGCGGATGATGTCCGCTAAACCACAAATATGTAGAATGCGTTGTGACAATAGTTGAAGGGACAACCCAATAACAAGGCTTTATTTCTGACCTCTGTGAAACGGGTTGACAGGTATCACCAGCCTTGCCAGGTCGAAAATCGCAGCCTCGTGAGCCTCACCATATGCCCATATCGGTTGTGCTTGGCGCTAACGTGATTGTCATCGAGATCTGTTGATTGGCCGAGGCTGACGAGGCTGTCATGACGTCGAGAATGTCTCTTGCCAGGATTTGGTGGGTCAAAGCACAGCCCAGAAAAAGATGGCGCAAGATGCAACATCAGAAGCGAAGAGAAATGTCAATGATCGGCATTTGGCGTCGTCCAAGAATTCCAAGACCATTCTGGAACTCAATTGCCAACCATCGTAGACATCATGATAAATTCTCCTGAACGAAACTTCTGTTTCCTTCTTCAGGGTTGAAGATACACCAAGTGGAAGCCAAGTGACTATGGCAGGCAATATCCAAGTTGGGCAGCCGGAAAGGAAGTCCGCCCCTCAGAAGAAGTCATCGAGAACAGCAGGTAGCCCAAGAGAGGTTGAACATGTTACACCACCTCCGGGCGCTTCAACGACGACCAGCTCTCGTGAGAAGTCGAGGCTGTCAATGATGGCTGGCCTCCCCGAGTCCAAGTCCGAAAGATTCAGCGCATTGGTCCATGGCGACAGAAGATCACGCTTGGACGGTCCGCCGCCTCTGCCATTCGACCTCCGAGACCACAAACTTTCAATAACGATTTTCACCATCCTTGGTCTTGCGGAGTGCTGCTTCATTCCCATCGCTCTTTATTATGGTCTGACGTATGGCACGAACATGAGGTCCGGTAAGTACAGGGAGATAATTGTCGATGAGCCGCGGCACGTCTGATGATTTGCGGTAGGGATAATTTTTGCCATCATCACCAGCTTGTTCGGATTTGTGAGCGGTTATGAGTTCGCCATGCGGTCGTGGCGCATCATCCGATACGGCGATGATTTCAGACCGCTATACGGCAGTCAATATTTCCGGGGATTCGACGCGACCCAAAACGTGCTGCTGACGCCCTTTACCGTCATGACAATCATCCAAATCGTGTTCAGCATCCCTCACCATCCGTCTGTTAAAGCATTGGCTATGCCTATGCCGGTTGGAATGGTCATTCTGGGCTTGATGTTCATAGTGAACGGCATAGCAGCGCAGCGTCGTTGGAGACTGATTCATTTCAGGCTCAGCTCCCATGTCAGGAATTCAGTTTGTCCTCCACTCACATTCGTCTTCATGGAAGATGTGTGTGCAGTCGACGGGAAGGGTGGAAAGAAATACAGAAAGGCAGCCATGGCCAGGTACAATGCCTCACCACGTTTCAGAGCCTTGCTCATGCAACTGCTCTGGTCGTGGTCCATTTCTGCTACAATCATCGGCGCAGCCTTGATAGCAGTGATATGGGTCGTCAGTGACGATGTTGCTTACGGCATCGGATGGAGTGTGCCTTCAGTATGGGCTGCTGTGTGGACATGGTGGACAATAATCTGGGTTCAGAGGGCTCTTCGCATTGAGAAAGTAACATGGGTCACAGACCGGGTGAGCTCGGCGTGACGACTCAATCTCTGTACATAATGCGCACAAGCACTGAAAATTGAAGATACTTCAGCCAGGTGTAGTTGCCTTTGGATGTCGGCCTGTGTCCACTTGCTGAATCCATTCAAGCGCTCTCTTAACATATTTGTCCTCTTTAGACTCCGCCACGTCAGCTGAGTCGACCTTCGAGAATGGCTGAATGACCGACTCGACGACCTCTATTGTTAGAGCACGAGCTTCGCCTGCCTTTTTCAAGCAGAGCTCAAGATCACCCAGGTACATGCCTTCGGCAGATTCGTCAATCAGTTCGGAGATGTGACGGTTCTGTCTGAGTATCATGTCCAATTGAGTCATATCTGTCGACGATGCTGGTTTAGTCACATCAATCTTCTCTAGCCTCTGCTTGATGACGACGTGGATGCTCTGTGGAATGCGGTTGAGGACTTTGAGCGCTTGCTCCTTCACACCGGCAGAAATGGCGGCTCGGTCGCTGTCATCCGCCTCGTCTGACTCATCATTACCATCATCATCGCTGAGTCTCTCGCCAAACGGGTCGTCTTCATCCACGTTCTCCTCGGGATCCCACTCTTCGAATTCTTTGACAGCGTCCTTCATCAAGTCGAGCCATTGCTTTGACTTTCTGACAACGTAGCCTGGCACGCCTTCTTTCGCCAACGGCGCGAGCTTGTCACAATCGTCCCACACACGTCCAGTGGCCTCGGTGAATGCCTTCTTTTGTGTCTCAGATACCTCTGCTCTTGGCCTTTTGTCTCGACTCCGCGTTTCGACTAGTCGTAGCAGTACTTGTAAGTCACGTAAGGCAGCAGCCGTAAGCGAGCGGCATTCGGTAGAGAAAGAGGTGGTGAACAACTCTGGCGTTGTCAACAGAGCCGCGGTGACAAGAGAGGTTAGGATGGATTCGTTGAGAGGGTTGAGGCATGTCGTGATCGCGGAGGGAGTAAATGGGGCTGTAATGGCCAATAAGGACAACTTGGTCACTTGAGATCTTAATGATGCGGCCGCAGCATTCAGCAGAATTAGAGGAGAGGGTGAGTCTTGATTCGTAGAAGGCAGTTGGACAGGAGCATTCGGCGCAAGCGAAGATGCAAAACGTTCGGAGAGGACGATCGAGGTTTGCAGGATGGCAGCCAGCGATCCCGGTATCTGTGGTGCCATTGTGGCTGGTTGTACTATTCGGTAGAGAAAGTGAAAAAAAAAGACTTATGGGCAACTGGAACCTCTGAGCACAGGCATCATGTCCCAAAGAACGATATTGGAATTACTACGAGTACTCGATGGGCACAATAAATTTCCACGGTTAAATTCCGGAAGCGCAGTAAATATCGACTTACACAAGGCTACGAGGCTACGAGGCTACGAGGCTACGAGGCTACGAGGCTGCAAGGCTGAGGCTGTGGTAGTACGCGCGAAGCACCGCCAGGGATGTTGGAAAAAGGATCCACCCTCTTCTCAGATATCCCAAGCCCACTTCTGCGAAATATCAAATGCACCGCCGTACTTTTCCCGTCGTTGGGGACATGATCAACATGGGAAAAAGGCCCATCATGACCGAAACTCGATCAGGATCGCGCTCAGTTCCGAAGCGGATATCAACGAGTACCGAGACGACTTGATAGGAGATTCGCTCGATATCAGTCCTTCCGCCCCCAGTCATGGGAAGCAAAAAAAAGGATCCCTTGTGCGCCCCTCACCCTTGTGATCAGGAGCATATGTTACAAATATCGCAAGGGCTGTGACATAGCGCATCAATCGACCTGTGCGACGCACAAGATCTCAACCCCAGCTAACTCCCACCCGGGGCGTCTTTGCACTTGTCATTCTTGCCGACACTCCTCGCGCGCCACCATGGCCGCGACCTGGCAAACTATCTCGTCAGATGCCCAAGCGGCACTTCTCAATTCCATCCCCTCGAAGTGGCGTCTTTCGAGCCCCATTGACCCGTCCATGACCGACGTCCGCTCGATTCCTCGGACATGTGGCTTACTCACGCCCAAACAGCTTGAGATCACCGAGCAAACCGCGAGCCAACTGTTGCCACAGCTCAAAGAAGGCAAGCTGTCATCCGTCGAGGTAACGGAAGCATTCTGTGCCAGGGCAGCTATTGCGCATCAATGTGTACGCTGCCGCCCCAGTCAGGACCCGAGGGGAGAGGGGCCCACCGTCCTGAAGCGTCGCGCAAACTAATTTGGCCATTCTGATCCTTCCAGGTAAACTGTCTCACAGCCTTCTTCGCCGACGAGGCTCTCGCTCGCGCAAAAGCGCTGGATGAAATCCTCACAAAGACGGGAATCCCAGTCGGACCTCTTCACGGTCTTCCTGTTGGCATCAAAGTATCAAAAGGGCACACGGGCATAGTCAACGCGCTCTCAGACACTAACCTCTCAAACAGGACATCTTCCACATGAAAGGCAAAAGCCTAACGATGGGCTATGTCTCTTGGCACGACAATAAATCCATGGCCGACGCATCTGTGGTCCAGATCCTCAGAAATGCTGGCGGTATGTACGTACTAGTATCAATCACCCCTTAACTCAGCCTTCTCCCACAACCCCAGCCCTCAACCCTCAGCCTGACCAACCTTTGACCAATATGACAGCCGTTTTCTTTGTCCGCACCGCGATGCCACAGACCGGCATGTTCCTCGAAACGTGGAGCAACCTCTGGGGCCGGACAAAGAACCCATTCAACACCGACTTCTCCGCAGGCGGCTCCTCCGGCGGCGATGGCGCACTTATAGCTATGCGTGGGGCGCCCTTTTGTCCCTCGACCGACATTGGCGGCAGCATTCGAGCGCCCGCCACATTCAACGGCCTTTATGCCATCCGGCCCACGGCAGAGCGAACCGCAAAGCGAGGCATGGGCACGGCTGCGCCGGGCCAAATCTCCATCAAAGTCTCTTGTGGACCGAATTGTCACAGCATGTCGGACCTGAAACTCGTCACGGAGATTTTGCTTACACACTACGGTCTGCCTTTCGAGCCTACTGCTGTTCGTATGCCCTGGAAGAAGCAGCTCGGCCCGAAACAAGGAAAGTTGTGCTTCGGTCTGATGACAACGGACGGCTGTGTCACGCCTCAGCCACCTGTTGCTCGAGCGTTGCAGGAGACCGCCGCAAAACTGAGGCACGCGGGACATGAAGGTGCGTCAAGTCGTGCTCCTCATCTATCATCGGCTCTTCGAGGGCTAATCTAGGGATTTCCAAAAGTGATCGAGTTCAACCCACCGTTCGACTGCTGGGAAGTGGCTCAGGCAACGGTATTTTTTCGTATTGCTTGCATTCCTACACGCTTCTGACAACCTTCACAGTGGCGGCTCTGGTTCCAGACCGGCGCCAAAGAGACAAATGCATTAGTCGAGTCTTCGGGAGAGCCGATCTACCCGACTTTCAAGTGGTATCTGGAGACCTTCAACATCAAGGAAGTGACCGTCCCGGAGCTGTTCAAGGTATGTTCGAGCAACCCATTGTCGGAGTTACTCTACGAGGACTTTACTTACGTATTCGATGATGCCAGCTCAACACGAAACTGGCCGAATGGAGATATGAATTCGCAGACGCATGGCACAAAACAAGCGGCCAGACAGGCACAGGCCGGCCAATCGACGCTCTCATCTGTCCTTGCGCACCGTCCGCCAGTTTCCCACACGGCCACCCTGTGTGGTGGGGATATTTCAGCCTGTGGAATCTGCTCGACTATCCCAGTGTGGTCATGCCCTTCAAGAACATGCATGTTGACGTCAAAAAGGACGCCAAAGACATGCAATACGTCCCAAAGGACAATGTGTTTGACCAGATGAATTGGGAAATATGTAAGTACTTCTCGAGTACATCTCGGGGTTTGGTTTCCTTGGAGGCTGACAACTGGTGGGCGGCAGACGACCCGGAGCTCTGGAAGAACCAGCCTCTCACAGTGCAGATTGTTCGCCCACAGCATAGTGATGAAGAGCTCATTTCCATGGCAGAGAGCATGGACCAAATATGCAATGCATAGCACGGAGAAAATCGTCGGTTTCGATGAGTAGTACCTGACAAGAGCAAAGCTTCCACCAGAATTGAGGCGCTTCGCTCTCTGGCCAAATAATGTACGGCATCGTTGCCGGAGCAGGAACAGGATCTCCTACCACAGTTACTCGTTTGTGCCAAAGTGGCCATCGTTCATTTCTGTTCCAGGATCCTCATTGTGACATTTTTAGGGGCGTACGGTCCTTGACAGCAACTCTCTTCGACCGCTGTCGACCTAGCCTCACACCAATGAACAATTTCGGACGTCCACGTCGCGCAAGTCAAACACCTCACCATTCATAACTCCATGGACATAGCATTCGCCAATTGACGTGGATTAACCGGAAGCATGCCGTCGCACCATGAATGAATGGCTGAGACTAGCGGCGCAAAGACCATATCCCCAGCCTGCGTACTTGAGGGCACCTGGCCTACATATCCGGGCTGCTGAGTCGTTCGGGACACTCGTCTGCAAGTATGTCCTCAATATACACCAAATACATTACCAGTACCTTATACGGTCAATATACCCTATTCACCCGATATTCCATGGATTGAAGCCATGTCTTGCATCACCGGAGTCGTCATGTTTGCTATAAATTGGGGCGCGCATTTAACACCCATCCGTCAACGAATGTACCCCTTAGGTATTCAGCTGTGGGCTGACCGATCGACGAGCCTTTCCTTTTCGCGAAGAACAGCGTCACCGTTGCTCAGTGTCATGTTTGCAAGCCTGCGCCCAACATCTCTCTCAACGCTGAGAAGCTGCTTGATCCTCCCTGGCCTTCCTCATTCTCTCCACACCGCGCGCGTGCTCATTCTCGACTTCCGGTCGCACATCAGCCTGTCCGCCTATGTAGCGGCAGTGAAGAAGCACACTTTAATGATCGGCCCTTAGTTCTCTAGAGCTGCGAGGGGTTCTCGGATAGGGTATTCACAAATAAAAGAACCACCGCCCCTAGGCCGCTCCACTTACTGTAAATCTCAAACTCATTCTCTAGAGCTGCCCAATCTTCATGCACAAATAGCAGAGTAGCTCGCTCAGCAGTGCCCTGAGGTAGATAGATAGTCCGCCTTTTACCGTCGCCTTCACTACCTTTGGGCGTATATGTCATGGAATCAGGGTGTCGCTGGGGAGGAGGTGGGCAGTCGCTCCAAGGAGAAAACTGAGAGAGTGCCTTCCAGTCTTGCTTTTCGTGAAGACGGAGGACTTCTTCGTAGCGGCTGGCTGGCACGAATATCTCGCGGAGAGTGCCGTTGCCGTCCTGGTATGATAGCATTGGTGGAGGTGGAACGCTGTTGAGGCCAGTCGGGCTTGAATCTTCGGGATTCGAACACATCGTGGATGTCGAGGTCTTAGACGAAGTAACGACTACAGATATATCTTGAGGCCCATAAACGCATCGACAGCGCACGCAATAGTAAGACGGATTCTGTGTGGTCTCGGGAAAATACCTACAATGGGTATGATGAAAAGCAAAGTAAGTTGCAACGATGGCGTACGATGGCTTTAATATGGGAGACAGAGCAGAATAACTCTTAGGCAACGGCGACTCATCTTTGGCCGCTAAGCAGGACACTTCTGGGGTGACGGGAGGCGCTCCTTACTTACCTAAGGTAAAGTGATTTGCGACCGACCCCATCATCAGTGCGTAGTTTGTCTGGTACTTAGACATACCTAGTAAGTTCTACAGCGCTGCAAATACTAGTATGAAAGCGACATGCGCAGTGATTAGGGTACTTAGGTAAAGAAGGCCATCGTCATTGTCTATTCTGCGTTCATCAAGCTGAGCGGCAAGCACATCCCAGTGGCAGCCTTCCTGGAGTGTCCAGCGATTGCCATTTTCTAGTCCACGAGCCTGGCTCACTCGGCCTTTGTAGTTATCGCAGTCTCAATCACAGTATCCTGATTCGGGTGCTTTAAATCTCAAATGATTCTCCCCTTGACTGATCGGTTGACCAGACGACGACCAGTATGCGAACCACAGGGTTCACCCTTCGTCACAGCCATCCTCATCGCAAAGCAGGCTCATCTCGTCGGGAGTCAGATATCCATCACCATTGCGATCATGCATTTGGAACTTGCGAAGCACGTTCTGCCCGCGTTGACTTCCAGCCTGCGCATTCGAGAGATCGAAATAGCCTAGATACTCCTCTTTTGAAACGACGCTGGCACCGTCGACTTTCAGTCCTCCACTCAGATTGTGGAACATGTCATTGAAGTTCCCATCGAAGTGGGGAGACATCTTGCGATAGTCCGGGACTTTTGTGGTGACCGTCTCCAAGGTCGGCATGGGCGCACCGTTGACGGCAGCCATTGTGGTCGTGGCACTGAGAGCACGAGGGTCTACAGCATCACGCTTAGAAGTCGAACTCGGTGGCGGCAGTATCCAAGTCGTGATATGGCTCGCTCGACATGTCCAGATCGTACCTGACGGTGCTGTGATGACGGAAGTGAACGACGTAGAATCGAGTTCGACAGGCTCGCGGATGATGGTGACTGCGACGAGGGTTCAGTGAAATAGTCTTCCGGGTAAGATAGATATCGGCTTACCTCCTGGACAGGCACAGCAGAAGCCATTGCACTTGTTGTAGCCGCAGCAGGGCGTACCTGCACTGTTGTCACCACAATCACCGCCCACATCAGCAAGGCAGCATTTGGCATAGACCGCTGGGAGATTGAACTGCAGACACAAGAAGATGATATTTAGAAGTATGAGAATGAGCATCGTGACGGATAGGTTGAAGGATGAGTGCGTAAAGAGCCTGGAGCGGACGGACCAAGATACACTGGCAATGCTGGTGGGTGTGGAGGAAGGAATGATGAAGATCGATTTTAAGTAGGCAAGAAGGTGGCGCTCGTTTACCTTCACTGACGGCCATGCATGCACATGCTTGTTTGCCGTCGGAAAGGCGGTCGTCTTGGAGTGAAGCGGTATCGACTTCCCATGAACAGTGACATGCTGTCGACCAGTATGCGATAAACGCAAGTAGCCTCCTTCGTTCACTTGACAAATCGGACTTGTGATGGAACGGGCAAAGAGTGAGAGAATCCAATGTCCTTGTCTCCGTCACACTCCTCACAACGTGGCTTCACCATGTAGTATCTGCCTCATTGAATACGACTCTCATTCTTCAATGCCAGGCCAATCATTCGTCCAATCATCAGGCCCAAATGACTGCTGTGGATATGGATAGGCGAAGATGTCTTCCCAGTTGATATCATTCAGAGTGTTGATGTCGAAGTCTTCCTGCTGTGCGGGAGGCTGCTGCTGATTCACAACCAGCGATTTGAACTTGTCAGTGAGGTTCGAGAACAATTTCAGCACCCCATCTGCGTTCGGCCAGTACTCAGACAGTGCTGTCGCAATAGGAAATATGCGCTCGAGGTCTTGGACGTGATTCAGAGCCACTAAAATCGCTCCGCTCGTGATTGACCGCTGAATCTCCTTTGACAAGTGTATTGCCGACGCCGTCAGGGCCATGATGCTGGTGGAGCAGCACTGGTTGATCACGTTCGTAGCCAACATCGTCTCGAAGATTGCGATGATCGCCCGGGTGGCACCACTGGATAGTTCCCTGGAATTGGCCGAACTGAAAGCGAAATCTGCCGTTCCACTGTGCAGACGAAACAAATGTAGTACAATACAATGATAATGTAGCTGCAATTGTAGGGACCAGAAGTCGGTGCTCATGGGCATACCGATAGCCCAGTTTGCGAGTCTCGATTGAAACGATTCCAAGTCTAGTAGGGATTCCCGTCGTGCCAGCCCAGGCGAGGTCAATCTTAAGATGTCGAGTACGATGTAGCACAACTCTATGTTCCTTGCACAGTATAGGAAGTTCGAACCGGAGTTTGCGATGCCTTGAGCTTCTTCGAAATCCCGCAACTCAAGCGGTGCTTGGTCAAAGTCTTCCTGGCGGATCATAGAAGGCCGACCGTGCTCGAGCGCTGACATGACTTCGACCTGGAACAGCGTCCACCATGTACGGCGGTATAGCCTCCTGTCTCTCCAAGGCATCCGGTCCGGCGTATTGGGGTCGGAGAGGATATTACGATGCATGCCAATGCCGTAGGCTATGCGACATGCCGCGCCTGACCAGTAATAACCATTCATGCTGACGGTATCTGCATTTTCCAGATGCCATGTGAATAGTAATGCTGCGGCAACAAGGTGCTGGCGGTCATTCTCATGCCGTAAGTCAAACAGCCATTTCCCCCGTTTGAAGAGCATCGATTTGAACATGGCTCTCGATTTCTTGACCTTGGGATGCTGTGAGACATGCGCCCCGACGAGCAAGATTGCATAGAGCAACAGTAGTGGTGTCGTGGTCTCGGCGTCGTTGTACCGAGAACGGAAGAATGATTCTTCGGTGACTGGAAAAGCAGGATGAACTTTTGCAAAGAATGATTGGACAAGATCATCACGCAGCTCCTTGCTGAACGGCGTATAAATGTCACGAAGATTGTCCTGAGGGTCGAACGGGTTGCGCAGATGAACCTGCAATGGTGGCGTTGGATGTACTTCAGGATGCGGGTAGACCAGAAAATGTTTTGATGTCTGGTCGAGATTGATGAGATGGCTGAGGTTGGACACTTGAGTTCCGATGTAGACTATTCTCATCCGGTCAATTGTAGCAAAGACATCCCATTTCGACGAAGGGAGGCCATGCTGGAAGAATTGGGACAGACTTGTACGAGCCAGACCCTGTGAAGCCGAGACTTCGTTCTCAAGTCCCTCCTGCGAGTCTTGAGATCGATCTCGGTCAGGTCCAGTCTGAGTCGAGCTCGTGGCAGCATTCCGAGAACCATGGTGGCTTTCCTGCTGATCACTGCTCATCCTACGGCGTATTGGACGCTTCCATGCTATCGTAAACCTGAGCGGTCTGTAGTCAGTAGAGACCAGGGTCTAATGAACATTCCCGTGTGAGGGTTGCGTTTACCTGCATTCAATTTTGGTGCGTTTGCAGGCGCTGCATGGGGCTTCATTGATAGAGTCACATTTTATCTTACGGCGCCGACAGGTGTCGCATGAATGCATCTGCTGCCGCCTGGGCGAGGCCAAGGGAGACGTAGGCTTTTGCATTCTTCAATATTGGGGGCCGTCAGTTCTGTAAAGATATATAGTATTGGGAAGAGATGGAAGTTCTGTTCCGGTCAAGAAGATAAGAAGATCTCGTCAAACGCGCCAAGAGAAAGCAACTACTTGTTCAAGGACGCCATCATATGCCATTCTATCGAGACCATACCATAGGCTTCCTCGAGGTCTACATTGTTAACAAGCCTTTGTTCCCACCCGCGTCAGTTGATGATCCGATCATTTGAGCTGGGCCGATGGGAATTGCTTTCGCCAAAGCCAACTGATCCATCGTCCACTGGTGCTTTCTTTCGTCGGCTTGCGACCTGTGATCGATCATCTTACGTTCTTCATGCCCAATCTGCTGTCGAGAATCGACTTCGATCCTCTTTTGCTCCTTGTAAGCCGCTGTGGTAAGGGCCAGCCGCCCACTTACTCCTGCCGTCTCGATAGCCTCTCGTTCCCTCTTCCCAGCCGTTTCAATGGTTTGTCTAGTTCTCACCCCTGCCGTCTCTGCATTCTGCCTCGCCCAAGCCGCTGCTGTGCTCATATCGTGTAGACTGTGTTGATGGCGCTCCACATCGCGGCGATCACTTCGACGCAGTTGGCGCTGTCCCTCTTCGGCCCTGTAGCTTTCATCGTTGAGCCGACGTTGATGACTGAGAGTGACTGCATTCGCTTGTTGGGTAAGGGCAAGTTTTTGCTCTGCAACCTCCCGTTCGTGCGCCAATGCCAACAGATGCCTGCCCTGTTCGATCTCTTGTCGACGGGCTTCCTCGTCATTCATCCGTCTTATCAGCCGCTCGTGGGCCTCCTGTTCCTGTCGTATGCGGTCTTCTTCTGCTTGCCGTTGTACTTCCTGTTCCGCAATGTGCAGTGGCATGCCCACGGCATCTGCAGGTTGGGGGCCTTCGAGATGGTAGAAGACGTCCTTTTTCGAGCCATAGGTCTTCAGAACCTGTACGAGCCTCTTCCAGTCGGGCAAGTGACGACGGGCCAGTACTTTGGACAAATAGCAGACGGGTGAGTACACCTTACCGGCTTCCTCACAGAGGTTAAAAGGCTCATCGATGTGTTCGGATAGATAGGCAGACATGATCACGGTCACCATTGCCACAGGCTTCTGGTTGGCAAATGCTAGGAGGATCAATGGCCGCCGCTCGACACTTTGCTGGACATTTGCGCCACATCGGCACAGCTCCGTGATGACGTCCTCGGCCACTACTCCTTTGGATCCAGAGGCGTCTCCGTTCAGATAAAGTTCTGCCAAAGGAGTCCTCCCACCATGTGCCGGAGACCGGTAGTTTGCGTTTGCGTTATGCTTCAGCAGGAGCCTCACAACACTTAAGTGGAGGCCTCTTACGGCTTGATGAAGGCTTCCGTCATTGAGTCTGGCTCCAGCATCAACAAGTTGTCGAACAGCCACGTCATTACCCATCTCGCTGGCAGCGCGCAAAGGAGACAATTGTTCATTGCCTGCGGAAGGGTCAGCACCATGGCTGAGCAGTAGATCTAGTAGCGCCGCTCGTCCAGTCCGTAATGCAAGTAGAAGCACAGTATCACCCGCGGAAGGGTCTCTGTACTTTACGTTGGCTAATTCAGCTCTGTGTCAGAACAAATAGTCTCTAGTGGAGGGCTATGCTAACCTCCAGCCTCGATTAGAACACGCAAGCATTCACTCCGGACTCTGATGTCCATCTGCGTCATGCACCAAAATATGAGATCTTTCTCTGGCTTTGTGGTTACCTACGAGGGTGTAAGCAGTCTCCCCAACATCACATCAAAACCTACACTGCACCCATATTCCAAGAGTTTTTTTAGGGCCCGAGAGTCTCCAGGTCTGTTCCTGAGAAGGACACGTATGGCAGAATCATAATCCTTTTGGTATTCACTGAAACCTGGTAAGGGCTCTGCAAGGGTCCTGGGGTCGTCGTTGCGAGAAGATCCGATGAGAGAGTCTAGCATGCTGCAGAAGGCACTTGATGGGCTATCGCACTTCACCAGGTGATGGAGTGCACGGGCTCTTGTGCTTTTGCTAGGCCTCAGTGCCAGAATGATCGTGGCGGCATCAAATCTTCCAATCTCGCATACATGGCACAGCGCCTGTCCTTGAGCAAAGTCGGGGTTTGCACCATGGTCGGCAAGGAGTTGTACCATTGGCAAGCCACCTGGAGGCGTCGCTCCCAGATTGTTCGCTGCTATCAGAAGGGCTTCGTCGCGAGGCGTTTGATTCACACCCTTCTCCAGCAGAAATTTGAGCACCCGAATCTCGTGTTCCTGTATCAATCCTGCTGCCATGCAAGCCTCAAAGCAACGAGAAGCAGTATTTGAAAGGTGGACCCGGGTAAACAGAAGCTGCAGAACGTCTCGTTGTTTCGAGGTAGCAGCCAGGATAGGGCCACGACTCGCATGTGCATGTACTGACGCTTGGTAGTCTAGCAATAAACTGACCTCATCGAGCGGCGCGTTCTGCAATTCCACAAGTTGAATCAGGTACTGGTCAATAATGTCACCACAAAGGCCAGCCTCGAGGATGGCCCTCAGATGACCGAGCCGCACCTCAGAGTCTGGCAGGCGAGTAGCCTCCACAAAGGCGGCCGAAAGGGTGTCTCGGGCATTTCTTCCAAAGCGCAATAATACGTTCAGACAAGCAGGATCAGTTGACGAGGCTGCGATACGAACAGCAGCATAGTTATCCATGTTCAGTCGACCTCCGTCGCGAAGAAGTTGTTCCAAGACATCGGGATATCCGTGTCGGCTAGCTTTGATGAGAGCACATGAAACCCCGTCACTGGATGGGTGGCTCTCAAGCAACATGCGAGTGATGCCGACTCTGTCTTGGCTACCTTCAAGTGCGACGGATCGCAACAACCCCTTGTCAATCACAGCTTGGTCGAGGCTCTGAGAAGCCAAAACAGCACTTATCAGCGATATTGCTCCATTCTTGACTATCTTATCGATTTCTGCCCCGTTGTCAGAATTGAGATCAGGGTGTGAAGCAAGGAGCATCAAAAACGGCTTTAGAGGCCAGTCTCGGCCATGTGAGAACATTTTTGCGCAGTAGTCGGTGTAGGCCGAGAAACCTTCGGTTGCAATCGCATCAACAGGCGGCCGGGAAAGAAGCGTTTTAGCCCTCTGAGCCTTTTGCTCATCGGCCAGCTTGTCACATGTGAGCACCTTGCGAAGGGCTCCGGCCAGGGTTTGGCTTGAGATCTTGGAGGATGCTACCGTGACATCTAAGATGCTCTCATCTGCTTGAAGTGCAGCAAGCTTCAAGATTCGGCCAGCATCACGGTCCACGTCTGCTTTGCCTCGATTAAGCAACAAGGCAATCATGCTGGTGTCCGGGCTCGAGATGCCAAGCTCGACAATCAGGGCGTCCGAAATACTGGCCTTATTAGCACCTGCCTCGACGGCGAGCTGCATCATATGGTAGCGAGCGATGCGATCGTGCATCATAATAATGTCAGCCACAAGCATTGACACGATATCTGGTAAGGACTGAACTCGAGATCTCAGCAACTGTTTGAAAACATCAACGTTGGCTTCACTGATGGTCTGACGCAGACTTCGGGCATCCTTATTTGTTGGGTCTGCTCCGGCTTGAATTAGTGCATCAATGAGTCTTGGATCCTTCCGGTCAACGGGATCGGCAACAGCATGTGTGAGCACAGCATCAACCGCATCACCAGATGCACCGGCGCGTAGAAAGGCGACAGCCATCTCCAGGCGTGGTTCCATTCCGGCACAACAAACATGAGGCAATACTCTTTGCACGGGGTACGAAGTTGTGGTATATCTTAGCATGGCCTCCAACAGGGCAACGTGCTCATCTTGGACCGCCTGGATTAGAGCCTGCCCATTGTTGTGATCCAAAGAGGCGCCTTTCTGAAGCAACATTGTTACTGAAGCTTCGTCGTTGTTTCTGACTGCTACTACAAGCTCTTGATCGACAGCGTGACCCTGCGCGCCTGCATTGAGGAACATCGAGTTTATAAGTCGTCGTTCATCGTTGTGGAGACTCGTGGGTAGACATTGCATAGCCTTGGAAGCATTCTCTGGCAACAGCGTGCCACTCGCCAATACCGTCTCGACCAATTCCTTTCGCCCTGTCTGAGCAGCCGCGACAATCGCACTCCCATTATCCCAGTTGATCCCAACATGGTGCCGTGCAAAGAGCTCGATAAAGGTCGTTCTATTCGATTGCACAGCACGTGCGAAGGCTTTTTGGGTCGTCTCACCATATGCGCCCGAGTACAGAAGCACCTCGGTGAGTTGGAGCCTCCGATCCGAACTGGCTGAGGACAATCGATAGGCTGTCATCACCAGAGGGTCAAGCTTTCGTGGGTCGAGAGACGGAGCGCATCGTGCAATGGTCAGTAGCATGTCCAATCGAGCCTCTTTAACGGCTCCGTGAAGAGCAGGGATATCTCGAGCGCTTCGCAAGTCCGAGGCTTGGGTAAGGATAGAAACCAAGTGCATTGATCCACCCTCCACAGCTTGAGCCAAGGCTTCGATTAACGTCTCGTTCTGGATTGGAGTAGGGGCGCGGAGGAGCATGGACACAAGTGTATGGTCAGATTCCAGCGAGGCCTTCTTGAACTCCTCCGTGCACACATTCGGATCTGCTCCATAGGCGAGTAACTTCTGCACGACAGCTTCATGGCGACGTCTGACAGCGGCAACAAGGGCAGCATTTCGCTGAGCCTCGGAGGCGGAAGGCGCAAGTAGCCAGACGAAATCAACATTCCCCTTTATGGCAGCAGCTTTCAGCATTGAATCCCGTCTCTCATTCTGACTTTCTCTTTTCGACCGGTCTCTCACAACATTCGATGCCTGGCGCAGAAGAGGTTGGACGATACCAGGGTCAGCGTTCTGCTCGAGCAAGTCCGGCAATATTTCAGTGATGGTCTGGAACTCGTGACTCTCGCGGCTTCTCTTGGTTTTGAAGAATGGTTTCCGAACGGTGCCTTTGTAGCTAGCAAGCAGCGCAGCGACGTCCTTCGTGTGATCAGATGCCTCGTAGCTTGGGACGTCATTCTGGGATAACCTGGCCAGCCTTTGAGGCAGGTCAAATTCTGGTATCTGGTACAACTGACAGAGTTCCTCTAGCTTGGCAACGTCGTATGACGGAGCCATGACGAGATCCAGTGCTGTGGATCGGCCATAAGAGCATAGTTACGGTGTTGACTTTGCGCTGGGTTCCAGACAAGAGACGCTCTTGATGGGTGGAGATGTTGACCCGGTGGTGAGGCTGAAATCTTGGGTGAACACGCTAAGGTCTGGCAGGCAACAATACGACGAGCTTCGGGCACATCGGCTGTAGGGTCATGTCATCAAACGATCATTGAGACCAAGTCCGTGAAGGTCAACTTCACATCGTGACCTGGCTGTGAACCTCGGCTAGGTGTTTTGTAGCTGTAAGTTGAAAGAAAAGGCAGAAGTTTTCAATCCATTTCTGCATGCCGCCAACGATCCCGGCGCCGCCCACGGCCAGCCACGACTGAATACGACCTTGGCAGACCTCTAGGTCCCGTGTGATAGTGAGAAAATGGCGATGCTCATTGGACCGGCAAAGCGAGGAGAAGTGAGACGGGTCAAAAAGGCAACCAGGCAGAAGTCCGCCATGACTATTTAGGCACCTACCAGGTAGGAGTGTGATGGCGTTGATGGTGTGGTAGGTAGGATGGTTGGGTGGTTACGGTAGGTGGTCAAGTGGCATGCAAGGCCCATTTCGCAAGAGAAAAGAGAAAAGAGAAAAGAGACAAGTCTGACGAAACTTGGATTGAAGACTTTGCAGGCAAGATGCCAAGTGATCTGGATTTAAAGACGTGTCTGACAGCAAAGTCTGCCTTGCGCCCCGTCACCGTCACAGTCTCCCAACTTGGGCGAGCTGGTCGCTTCTGTGGCCAACAAAATGCGGCGGTGAACAACAACCTGGTTCAGCCTTTGTTATCATTTCAGATGAGAGCCCATGGCAGTGAATTGCACGACCAGTCAAAAGAGCACTCGTGTTTTGAAAGGCTTCAACCCCGACGACAGCTTCCAGCCGAAGCCGTGCTGAGGCTCTCCTCAAGACGGCAGCCCGACCCGTTGGACCGACATGTTCGGTGTGATTGAAGCCTTCACCGTCATTGGGACCATTTCAGCATTGGTATCTGCCTACAAGCAGGCAGGTGGACGCTTTCGACTTTGGAAATCAAAAAAGCAAAAGACCAAGATCGGAGAACAAGAGGTGCCTCTCGAAAATTCCCTTCAACAGGTCCCTCACCGTTTTCAGCGTCGATACGACAAAGGCTGCTCCTGTCTTGGGCCTGCTTTTGCCAAAGGAGACGGTTGGTCCCCGTGACTTGCAAATCCCCTCCAGTGTCTAATGATCCTTCCAGGTATTGCAAAGGAGTCCCTGTACAAGACCTTGCTCAAATTCAACAAGACACTGCTCGAGTGCTTGAGGTTGGCCATCTCCAGTAATGGTGAGCCAGACCTCGCTCACCTCTTGCGCATTTCCGAAACGACTGGCCAGTATACCAATTCTGTTCTCCGAGACCTTTATCAGCGAGTCTCACAGGCAAAGGAGATCCCTCGCAGCCCTCCACTGCACGGAAGTTCTCAGAAGAACTTCTTGAGTGAACATTCTCGGCGAAATATTCGAAATGTCTTCCCGAACGCAGCCGAACTTCCAGCCGACTCACCCCAGCAACTGCCGTCACCGGCAGGACAAGAAATGTATGATAAGTTCTGGAAGGGCCGGGATGACGGTGGCTTTCAGATGGAATCGAGAACCTCACCTGGTCCGCTTCCTGGCACGTCGCGGAGGGTTTCCAGGCCGTCTTCTTGCGTGTCTTCCACAAGCCAGCATGTACTCGAGGCGAACCTTGATCGGTTGATCCAGCATTCACGTGAAAATGCACCCTCGACATTTGCAAGCTCGAGTGCACTTAGACATAGCTCCGTCAGCCTGTCGACCAGCGCCAGCATCGTTCAACTTAACAGAGAGTCTCTTTCAAGATGGAAGAGCATCTAAAGGGTATGCTTTCAAAGGAAGACTTTGCTCGTTTTCCAACGCTCAGCTTTGTCGCACACATATTCGCGTTGCGCGTGAGGAAAACAGTTGAGGCGCCTCGTCCTGTCCATCTGGGCCTAAGCAAGGCCTAATGGCCAGCTCCGGGAGACATCTGTTGTTATCTTATCACACCCTGTAATGCCCGAGGTTGTCGAAAGTCGGATTACAACTCCCTTTAGACGGCAAGCATCATTATTCCGGAGGCAAGTAATGGCGGGTATTGCTCTCACAAGACTTCCCCGACACATCACAGCGATTCTCGGCCCTGGATCTGTCGACACTCGCATCTCGGAAACGAGGGGTCATTAGGCTTATCAATGAGTTCCGAGCTCGACCAACAGCCCATCTCCGCATTTCACAGGACTTGATTGGTAGAGGTCCAAGAGACGGTAGAATCGACCCTTATGCTGGCAGAGGGAAAGTGTTAGCGGGGCGAGATCGTTCAAATCCGTGATCATTAAGAACCGTCGCAATTCTTCGAGGCTTTTCAATTGCTCGTGGCCGATACAGTCAACGTTTTCGAGGGTCTCACAGCGAAGTAAGGCAATACTAATAGTTCACGATGTCTCCGCAAACCAAGAAGGAGCCCAGCGTGGACACAATCGACCCCCACGGGCTGTTTGATTCCCGACCAGTGTTCTCGCATGTCGCGACTTCGACAGGGCCAGCTCGCGTCGTCGCGACGGCTGGACAAGTCGGCACTGATGAGACTGGCATGGTCCCCAAGGACATCGATGAGCAGATTTCGCTTGCCATGAAGAACCTAGGCCGCTGCCTCGAAGCCGCCGGCGCAACCGTGACCGACGTCTACAAGCTGGTGTACTACATTGTGGATTACGACCCGAAGAAGCGACGACATACAAAACATGTCAAAGCCTTCCTGAACGGGCATCGACCAGCAACAACATTGGTGCCCGTGCCGGCGCTCGCCAATCCAGAATACAAGTTCGAGATCGAGGCCTACGCCGCTGTCAAACAAGAGCCATGTGAGACTGTTGAGGTGGTTATTGTGGGCGCCGGCCTCTCCGGTCTCAAGGCAGCCTATGACCTCCAAAGGGCCGGCATCTCCTGCGCCGTGGTAGAAGCACGAGATCGTGTTGGCGGCAAGACCTGGTCTGTCGATCCACTTGGGCAAGGCAAATTCCTCGACGTCGGCGCCGCTTGGATCAACGACACCAATCAGAGCGAGGTCTATGCTTTGGCCAAGTCTTTGGACCTGGAGCTTGTCGTGCAGAGAACAAAAGGCAATATCATCCAGGAAGACATTGGAGGTGGTCTCGGGCTTTTCGAGTATGGTGGAACTCCCAAGGCCATGGCCGAGCCAAACGGGGTGGAGAGCCTTGTATATGTTCGCGAACTCTTTGAGAAGTTGTGCCAACAACTGGACATCCACGACCCTGTTGGCACAGGTGGTCAATATGATAAGATGACACTGGAGGAATGGTGCAAATCCGAGTCGAAGTCCGAGACCGCGCTGGCATCAGTGAAGTTGTGGACAAGAGCAATGCTGGGGCTCGAGCCATCCGAGATGAGCGCCCTTTACTTCTTGAATTATTGCAAGAGTGGCGGTGGGCTGTTGCTGATGAGGTCGGATTTTAGGCATGGTGGCCAACATCTCAGGTTTGTCAGAGGTAAGTGAAAGCCGAGCCAAAACTGTGGAAGATCGAGCTTCTTAACTCTGTCACACAGGAACGCAGTCGATGTCCATTGAGCTGGCGAAGCTATTGAAGCCCGGCTCTGTGGTCTTGAACTCACCGGTCCGCCGCATCTCGCAGTCTCCTGATGGTATCTACGTGTCGGCTGGTCGAGGAGACTTTAGATGTCAGCGAGTCATCGTTTCTGTGCCGACGCCTCTGTACAAAGAAATCACATTTGACCCTCCATTACCTGAAGCCAAGGCCGAATTGGGCAAGAACAATGTCCTCGGCTACACCTTGAAGGTCATGGTCATGTATTCGGAGCCGTGGTGGCGCAAGGCAGGACTTGCGGGGGCCGTCATGTCGTTCAAGGGGCCCATCACCACCTGTCGCGACTCCAGCAACGACAAATACGGCTCATACTCACTGACTTGCTTCACCAACGGCAAGTTCGGCCGTGAGATGTCCCTTCTCTCACAGCAGGAGAGATTCAACGCCGTCCTGGCCCATATCAAGCGCATGTATGGACCTTATGTCGACGTCCCAGAGCCAATTGCCGTGACAGAGCACGAATGGGCCAAGGATCAGTGGGCTCAGGGCTGTCCTTGTCCTGCTTCACCTCCGGGCATCATGACAAAATATGATCATGCTTTGAGGTCCGCGCATGGGAAAGTCCACTTCATCGGCACCGAGACGGCATATGAATGGAAGGGATACATGGATGGAGCGATTCGGTCGGGCGAGAGGGGCGCGAAGGAAGTCATCTCTGGTCTTGGGAGGGCAAAGCTATAAATCCTTGTGTTTACTGTAGTACTGTGCATGGTGAACTCGACCAGGCAGTAAGGAGTAACTCGATAGCTACTAGTACGCATGTTCCCGTTCATGAAATCATGGAGATAAGTTTTCTGGCACCCCAAGGCGTACTACATGAATGTACTCTTCTGATGCCAGGTGTTGCTTACCACTGGTCATGATGTGATTGGATAGGCGTCACAGGCGTGCAGCAATTGCGGATCTCAGGGGATCATCTTGTCATGCATTGGCGTCGCGCACCTCAATCGGACTCCGCCATTAGTGTGTGTAGCTTCTACCCATGCAGCCCTCGCGTCTCACTCCTCCTTTTTGCTAAATATACACCTCGCACGACCTCGACACTTTCCAACCGAACCGACATTCGTTTTCTCATTTTCTTCACTTCCCAACTTGATTTGCTTTTCTTTACATCTTGCGCAAAGGGCGTTCGAGCTTTACAGCGAAAAAGAAAGGACCTAAACACTGCAGTCAAGATGGTCTATTCAACCACCGTGCAGAGCAAGTTCGCTCACAAGGTCGGCGAGCCTGTACCTGAATTCAACACCGAGTAAGCCCACGTCCCTTTCTCCTGCCCTTGCCCTTGCCCTTGCCCTTGCCCTCTTCGAAAAATACAGCAGCACGCCGGGCTGTTTCTACCCCTTCATTACATAGATGCAGTCCAGTAGTACTGGGGTTTGGAAAACTCTCCCAACTGACTCTTCTGTCTGCAATTAAAGCCACCCCGTGCACCCGGCCATCGTCCACTTCCCGATCGCCTTCAACACGCTTGCCTGGGGCCTCGACATCCTCTATGCCTTGACCACGATCTGGGTCAAGCCGGCGTTCCTGACCAGCCGCTTCGGCTCGGCCTCGACCCTCGTCGACATCACGCGGCTGTCGTATTTCCTCCTGTGCGCCGGCCTGATCACGACGGTGCCGGCCATCATGTCCGGCAACAAGCAACTGATCGGGATGATCAGCAAGAACGGCGGGCCCTGGGAGAAGGACGCCCAGGGCAAAGCAAAGAGCACCATGGTGCCTCGGATCAAGGCCGGTATCACACACGCCATCATCAATGACTTGGTATTCGTCGCAAACTTGTACAGCTGGTACATCCGCAAGGACAAGGAGGGTGCACTCAACCCCGGCAAGACGCCCAACCAGACAAACTTGATCATCAGCATGGTCCTGCTGCCGTTCCTGCTCATGTCTGCGAAGATCGGTGGCACGCTCGTGTTCAACCACGGTGTGGGCTTGAACCTGGGCAGGAAGAAGTTTGAGTAAAGATTCAAGGTCTATCTACATCTACCATCAGAGAAGGGGTGGGCACACAATAGCGCGGATAGGGACTGAGCGGGAAAGGCGCTTGAGAAAGAAGTAGTGAGAGTATGGATAAGAAGCTGAGTCCCGGCAGAATTCAGTCATCGTGCGTATGGGGAGTTGGAAAAGAAGCGAAGCTTGTGGACTGAAGGTCGATGAGGCTGGAGAGCCGACGGGGAGGTGATTCACGTTGCGCAACCAAGAATATTCCAAGAACCAGGGTGCATCTTAGTGTGAGCCAGAGTTGGAAAACAGTCTTCTATATGTGTATTCATTAGATTATGCGTTCTAATGCGAGTATATTAGTCCCCGGAGCGACGGTGACGACATGTTGACCATAGGTGGTTGCTACTCTTTTACCAGGTCGACTAATAATCCTTCAGAGGACAACCTTTCTCGACACTTAGACTTCCAAACTTCTCCCTCACAACCTCTCTCGTCAACTTCATCAATTGCTCACCCAACTCGGCGTTTTGTGCCAGCTCGCTTCCGGGTTCTGCAATCGCTGGTGGACAGACATATTCGCCAGACTTTGTCGTCGCAGACGCCGCATACACTGTACTGACGCCGCCCATCCAGATGTCCTTCTTGATCGGCTTCATGCCGGCAGACATGATGTATCCGGCTCTGGGGTATGGCTCGTGGATCTCGTCCACAGACATTTTCGTTTCGACGACACCCGGATGTGTTGCGTTGATGAGTATGTTCGGATGCTCCTTGTGCAGATGTGCGTCGAGATACCGTGCGTATAAGATCCCGGCGAGTTTTGCCCGGCCGTATTGACTTTGAGGCCCGAGATCTGTGTTGAGTTCGTTCAGAGACGCGAACTTGACGTCCTCGGGCGCCGACTGGTGTGCATTGGAGGCCTGTATCTGGATGCGGACCGTGTCCTGGTTGCTGGTCTTTTTGAGAAGAGGCAGAAGATGAGATGTCAGCGTCACATGGCCGATGTGGTTGGTGGCCATGTGTCGATCAACCCCGTAGTCGGTGAGCTTGTAAGTCATAATCCCTCGAGCCGCGTTCATGCACAGAATGTCCAGTCGGTCCGTCTGCTCTCGGACTTGCTTCGCAATGTCCGCTACAGCTTTGAGGTCGGCCATATCGCACTGAAGCCAGATGATTTTGGACGAGTATTCCGAGCCCAGGTTCTTCTTGACTTCCTCAACAGCATGATCTATCACGTCTTCGGAGACTGAGACAATGAAGATTTTGGAAAGATTGGCTTTCAGCAGGGTATACACAGTGGCATACCCGATACCCTCACTGCCGCCTGTGATCAGAGCCACCTTGCCTGTCTGGTCAGGTACGTCCTTGCTGAGGTCAAACTGGTCCTCCTTATTGGCCAGGTTGTGGGCAATGCCGCCCATGTTCTCCGCAATAGTTGATTTAATGGTGTCCATGGTTGTTGGCCGTGTTCGAGAACTGTAATGAGTCGTTTTGCTGCAAAAGAGGACACGAGGGACAGGTGACAATATCTTGAACGTAGAGATAGAGGGATAGATAGTATGGATACTTAATCTCGACTGCAGTATTGACCGTGAGAGATTGAGGCTGCTCATATAACGTACACCGCGTGGGAGAAACATGAGAATAGGTAATGACCAGAGATCTCCTTACCTAGGTCTAAAATGTACTTTCCCACCCTATTAGAACTTACAAAACCTCGTTCGTTGCCATCTGCCCGGGCGGTGTTGGATCGGTTCAGGGCAGAGATGGTCACGTCACGACGAGGTAACTCTCCACGTTTTGGAAACTCGGCCATCTGGTAGCTCTTGGGAGGATTCAATGAATGATTCGAAAAGAAGGGCTGCCTCGATTGAGCGGATCATTGAGTAGAGTCATGATGTAGATACTCTAAGCAGATCGTTAATTCAGCTACGCTCATTGGGCGTCGTCCCCAATGTTCCTTTGACGTTGCATATGGACAAGCTCGCAATAGGGAGGCTGTAAATCGAGGTTCGTCACTGGTGCAGGTCTGAGAGTAGCTTTACTGCGTACTGTGCAATGTGCAAAAGGACAGCTCGCTCAGAAAAATGGCCAAACACTGGGAAGCAGAAGAAGATCTGACAACTCACCCCAGTTGGTGGAGAGGATGATGCCGCCCTGTGCTCCAACGTTTAGGATAGTGAGGCCTCACTCGGGAGGTGAGGCGAAAGAGCGGCCACGTGACATTGCTTGTGGTGCCAAGACAATGTCTCTGGAAGGAAGTGAGAAAGGTCTGCACGATTTTGCCGATCTACCACCCACCTACCACTTGTTGGAACGATTCCCTTCTGAGCAGTTTTGTTCCTGTTCGTATCGACATCGTCGCTGAGATGATAACCGCATCAGCGACATCACCGCACGAAGTTTGCGCCAGGCAAATGTAGCAAGAGATGTTCAAGGACGCGGCGAGGAAACAGGGCAAGCGCAGGTCGGTAGGTAAACATGACTGGAAGCATGCTACGGCATCTTGACGAGCGAAAGATCAAGAAATATCCAACGAATGGTAAGGTGCCAACGCTCTCCCATTGCCCTGGAATCCGATCCATAGTCCTGTCGACAAAGATCTCCGGTCATGTCTCTCTTTTCTCCATTTCAACGGCTTGCGAGACAAAATCTACCACCGAATCCCGGAACTTCTTATATGTGATGCCCAAGTCGCGTGCAGCTTTCTGACCGTCAAGATCATGAGACTCCTCGATTTCCTGACGATGTCCCGATTTCGCAACTCGGCCTTTACCCCATTCGAATTCCTCGGCAATGATGTCTGCAGCAAGCTGATGGGTATATTGCTCCGGTGCAGCTAGTGTGTATCTCTTGTTTCCGCATTCAGGTCTGAGTAGCGCCTCGACATGAGCTTGAGCTAGATCCCGAACGTCAATCCAAAAGGTGATTCCTTGGGGGGATTCTTGACCGCTGGCAACCTTCCACAACGCGGAATTCGACTCATTGAGCTCCGATAGCCTTGCGACAGGATGCCTGACAGGACCGAACACCATCGGCGGACATAATGTGACAATGTCAAAGTGAGGCTTCTGATCCCGCACAAAGTTCCAGGCCTCAAGCTCGGCAAACTTCTTGGACCCACGATAGGCGATGACGGGGTTCGAGTTTGGGTCGATCGAGTCTTCGTACGATTGTGGATTCCAATCCTTCTCCGTGTACGTGAATTTCGTTGGCTCCTCGCGATTCATATCATAGACTGCAGCAAATGAGGATGTGATGACAATCCGCCTGATCGATGGCTCTTTCGCAGCTGCATGCAGTACTGACTTGACACCTTGGATGGCGGGAAGCACTACGTCCTTCTCGTTATCCTTGGCGTTGAAGTTCAAGGGACTGGCAAGATGAATGATGCTGTCGACGCCTTCCACTGCGTCTGCGAGCGAGGACCCTTGCGTGAAGTCTGCAATCTGAACGAAATCGAGCCGATCTGCCTGACTGCCTCGACCCTGTCGCATCTCCTCTGCCTTCTTCATATTCCTTGCCGCCCCTCTAACCCTACAGCCTCGCTCGAGGAGGATGTCTACTACATGGGCGCCCACAAAACCCGTCGCACCCGTAACCAGGACGTAAGGCTGACTGGCACTCATCTTGCCAGGTTTTACGGGTTCAAACTGGTCATGAGCCTTCCAACTCTGCGCAGCAGTCACTCAGTATTGTGCGCAAAGAGACCATGGCCGAAAGGTATTTATAGCTCCATGCAATCTTCTCATTTCGTGGGGCATTCACTGGGCATTCTCTGGTGTTTTCAACTCGGCATTCTCCCCAAGTGGAGGACGTGGGGTTCGGGGGGGACGCTTATATAAGCAGGGGGCCAAAGTGGCTGCTCTGGTGATACGCCACGAAAGGCGTCACTGCCACAGTGGCGTTTTGTCAGCGTTGCTTCCGCGGAAGGTGAGCAAGCCAAATACTATTAACTAGTACATTGCCTGGTGTTCTCCCCCGCTGAATTGTAACGTCCATGGAGTCAATTTCACAGGTAAGATGCTGCAACACAAAGCTCGGAAGGTTCGTCTTACAGCGATTCTTATTTTGACTGCCACCGCTTGCTGTACCCGAGGACTAACATCCTGACCAGGCGTGCGACTTTTGCTATCGCAGGAGGATCAAATGCGACGCACAAAAACCCCAATGCTCTAATTGTATACTGCATGGCTCAGTCTGTGCTTTTGGGGCCACAAGCCGCAAAGCGCGGCCTAGGCATCAGGAATCGGGCGAAGACATTGGAGTTCTGCGATTGCAGGTAGAGCGTCTCGAATCAAATCTTGGCCACGCTTTAAAGAGGATCGACGAGCTTCAAAGCCTTGTACCGAGATGGGACAATGCTCCAGACCTTCTAGCTGCCTCAGCCCACACTGCTAACCTCCATGAAGATCAGGTCGACTTGGTCCAAAAAGAGCTTAGTGATGCACGTATGGAACTGCCACCGCTTCAGCAAGTCCTGTCTGCGACAGAGGTTTACCTCATAACGCTGAACGCGGTTCTTCCGCTGTTCCACCCCGGTCGGTTACTGCAATCGATCAACAACTGGTACGCACATCCTGGTCGAAGAGAGCGTACAACATGGGCTGCAATTAACGTGGTTCTCGCGCTGGCTCATCGTCACATAACCCCCAATGAAGCGACACTGAGTGAGAGCGCGGCGTACTACCTGCACAATGCCCAGACAGTACTCTCTGATGTGATCATGGGTGACGTTGATCTTCTCAACGTCCAGATCGTCATCGGAATGGTCATGCTCTTTCAAGGCACGCGAGACCTCAAGCCCGCGACGATGCTAATCGCCATTGCTTTACGTCTGGCGCACGAGTTGGGGCTACATACTCGAAGAGATGGGTACCTCGACACTTCCCAGGTATTGGAACGGGACCGGGTCTTTTGGATAGCGTACCTCCTTGATAGAGATATTAGCTTGCGCACAAGTCGGCCGCCTGTACAACGCGAGGCCGATATCGACCTTGAGTGGCCGTCAGCCGAGCCTGAAGATGGAGCTGGAAACGTGACCGATGCCGACGGTATTTTTGGATTCAACTTTCTTCGATGCCGCGTACGGCTTGCTCGGATCCAAGGTGAAGTCTACGACTTCCTGGTTGCAACTCGTGCCGGGACGATGGACGACTACCAGCGACACGAGAACATAGTTCGGCTAAACCATATGCTGGACGATTGGATCTCTGATATACCGCCACCCTTCCGACCCAGCGCCGTGCTACAAGCTGGACAGCCAAATCTGTGCAGAAGCTTTGCAGTCCTCTACTCCACTCATCTTGCCTGTCGGACTCTGGTTTACCGGGCTCATGCCATGGAGTCGCGCTGGATGCAGAGCCTGCGGAGTTTTGGTAGAACAGTTACGCAACAAGGATATATTGTTCCAGCACCGCTGCCAACACCCTCATTGCAAGATTGGGAGACACTTGTTGACGAGACACGTGGGTGTATGCGGCTATTTTGGGGTGTAGAACGAAGAGACCAGGCGTTCATCTGGTCAGAGAACTCCTTATATCATTGACGTTAGGATGGCAGCTGACTTTCTACATTGTCCAGGATGACCGCGTGCACAATTACCTCTGGATCAGTCTGTTTGACAGCCAACATCATGTTTGAGCCATGCCACGCGAGTGTGGAACACGACCGGTCACTGGTGAACCTGTCCGTTTCCCTCGTGGAAGATCTGTTTCAGCAAACAGGGCACGAGCCTCTGAAAGATCTCCGAGATGCATGCGAAGAGCTCTTGCGTTATGCTCGTGCATTATCGCCTGCGGGCATCACTGAATTCAACTCTAATTGCCTGGTATGTATCTCACGGGGTCAGAAACACAAACTTCCAAGCGTCCGCACAATAATGGTGAAGAAGCTGATGCGAAATCATCTAATCAGTTTCTTTAGTGGGCAACATACAACGAAAGTGATATGTCTGCAATATAGCCGAACCCATCCTATCCCCGGTCACTGCCTCAAGCTCGATCAGCTTATTGGACGACAACGTGGTCCTGACTACATATCGACGCCGTTCAGAGATACTCTCAGTAGAGATGATGTCTGGATCTCTTCCGCCCGAGTCTTGAGTTCTTCCACATCCCAGTTCGCCCAGACGAACTTGTTCCTCAGAAATGCAGCTTCATCCGATGCAATCCACACGAGAAAGTGTGCAGGCAACTCCACTGTAAGGTGTGTTAGTATCTTACGCAGCGCATCTATCCGCCTGATGGCATGAAAAAAGAAGGAGCATATACCTGTGTCTGGCCCCACGGGGATATTTGGGTTGATCTCCGTGCCAACGATACCTGGGTGGATTCCTACGACGTGAATCTTCGGGTTTTCAGAAGCATAGTACTCGATCATCTTCAGCGCCGCTGCTTTTGCGGCTGCGTAGCTCCACACTCCTGGCACTTCCGGAAGAGGAGAAAAGTGACTGATGGCAGTACCTATGTTGAGGAGCTTTGCGCCGGAAGCCGCCCGCGGAGTAAATACCTGCAGGGCGTTGAAAGAGCCCATGAGGTTGACCTCGAAAGATCGCCGGACCTCTGACTCGGGGTAGTCGATTACCGCAGCCTCCTTTGGAAGCATGCCGGCGTTGTTAACGAATATGTCAATCTTGGCGCCGGTTTTTGCCACGATGGCACCCAGAGCGGCCTCGATGGACGTGCGGTTGGTGACGTCGCCCGTCTGCAGGACCACATGAGTCGAAGGGTTGGCTTCCGTGATGGCCGCCCCAGCAGTCTGGAGGCGGTCGAGCCTACGTCCTATGATGGAAACCGATTTGGCGCCGGCTTCGGCGAAGGCAATGGCAGCGGCCTTTCCGATGCCAGTGCCTCCCCCCGTAATGACGACGCTCTTCCCAGCCGCTGAAAGCTCCGGCCTCGTGGGTAAGATGGCCGGGTAAGGCGTATTGTGCCATGTTTCGGTGAATGAGACGAAACTTTTTATAGGAGGTGACGCCATGGTGAGTGTTGCATGCGCAGCGGAACTATTGGGGAGAGTGTTCTGTCTGGAAGATGGCCACGCTCATCGTCCATGCGGATTGTTAGCTCTTTATATATGTCTGTAAAAGGCTTGCTCTTGCGAACCCATACGGATTGCTAAGCTGCTCCTTAATCTATGCTTCCGCGGAAGGGGATTAAGATTAGTGTTAGTAAAGACGCAGCGAGGGAGTCTCAAAATGAATTGGCCATCATGATCCCTCCGCGGAATGTTACGACCAAAGGTCGAAGAGGATCGTTCATGGGAGTTATTGCCGAAGGCCATGCTCTAGAGTCCGCGTCCTCAGCGAATGATGAGGGCTGTCGGCCCAAAATAAAGCAACTTCGTTGATGGTGGTTAAAGCATATAATTGCACGTGGCACGGGTGCGTGGGGCCCCAGGCTTCTGGAATACTCCGTTCTCCAGATACAACTCCTACGAGTACCATAGCAAGTGTTGTCATATCTGCTAAGGTAGGCTCCCACGGAAATATTCTGCTTTGGACACAAGACAGGTGCCTCGGGGCGAACGGAGGTGAGAGAAGGAAAAAGCAGGTTGGAAGAGAGGGAGAGAGGGATGGTGAGGGAGATGATGATGGGAGACGGGGTTCTTATAGCCGTCAAAAGCGGCGGCCCACCCAGCCCGCGACCATGCCCGAAGCGGGTGGGCCGCCTCGCCGCCTAAACCGAAGGCGGATTTCCCGGCAACAAATTTACCTACACAGTATTACCTCGATATCCATTGAATCTGACTCGTACGGTTTAACCTTTAATCCCTTTCCACAACTCCGTCATGGTACAATTGTCAGCTCCGAAGTCCGACAACGCAGACGAGCAAAGTTGACAAGCGAGTCTCGACGACGGCGTCTTTGATGTACGCAGAATCGACAGACATGGAGGATCCTCCTTTCGTAGCGCCGCCTCCTGGGCCGCCACCACTCTTATCTGACCAACAGCTACTCTGTCTGGCTCGACAAGGCTGGCTCTGCGTTGACCTGCCGGATGCTTTATCGAACAGTATCGATGAGGTATTACAATGCTCACTAGAATTCTTTCGCGACGCTACTCAGCCCAAAGCTGAACTGTATCCGAGCAAGCTAGGAACAGAATTCGGCTACTACCATGTTGAAGACGAAAAGGAGTACGTGACTTTCCGCTGTCACGTCCATGGCGGTACCAAGCCGGCTGCAAACAGTACGGTGTCGGTGTCTCCAGCGGCTAAACTTGAGGGGAAGGTTGCCCAAGCATGGCGTGAGGCCGGACTATTCTTGTTCCGCATCCTCTGCGACATCTCTCGAGCTAGCGATCTTGACCTCTCAGCCTGGAGTGATATCTTGGATGGCACTTTGTCGATGCCCGAAACCGAACAAGAAATGACGTACACCCTGATGCGGCTGTTCCGATATCTGCCCACGACCGGCGTCGCTGATCCACATACTGATCTGGGCCTGCTCACGTTGTGCGTCGGCGATGGCGAAGGGCTACAAGCTCTGGATCGATTGGAGTCGTCAAGAGACACTCCGGTATGGGTGAACGCTCCTTTTGGGACTCGTAAGGGTACGGTCTTGATTGGGGAAACTATGAAAGCACTATCGTCTGGTACAGTCAATACTGGATTTCACAGAGTGGTCGGCAACCCTAACGGCAGAAGCAGTGTGGTGTTCGCGCTCAGACCGTCCAATCGACATGACATCGATTTCGCCCTGTTCGGAGGCGAAGGCGTGGTTAGTGCGACTGATTTATGGAAGAGTGTGCAGGCTGGTAAAGTCAACATCAACAGCATCAAGGAGCTTCGGGACAAGCAGCGCGCGAAATTTCGCCCCACGCCACCGAAAGCTGCAAACACTGAAACTGTGACGATGGGTCAGGGATAGTCGACACAGGCCCCAGGACCAACAGGAGTATCGGATACACAGACCAGAGTGAATGCAGAGGGTGCCCTTTGGTCATTGCCCTGGAACAGCTGCTCTCCTGCCAGTGAGAAGAAAAGGATCATTGTGGTGTTCCTCACCCAAGATGGCTCTGCTGGTTGCTGCGAGAAAAGTCAGCTGTACGCTATGCTCCCAGTCGAGGCACAGGGCGAGACAATCGGCAGCACGCCCACACCGAATGCAGGTTCGGAGGTACAGTATTCTGGGGTCGTTCGAGCGACTTGGGCTCCTGGGCGGCGAGGCGAGTCAAGGTTCTCACAAGCATCCCGGTGGCTCACCGGCCTAGATACGAGGGAGCCCCGACGGTAGAAAGAAACTTCGGGCTGCATAGTATCCTCTAGTCTAATGGGTACATCACTGTGATCATTCCACCCGTTCTGACATCGATTTCTATAATTTCTCTCTCTGCACGCTCACAAACAATCCCTCGGCCTTTGCCAGCACGACTCCCTGTTCGTTGACGATCTCTGCATTGGCAAAATTCTTCCTCCTTTCTATCTTGTGGATCTTGCCCTTGACCAGCAGCACGCCGGGCGTCGGCACGGGCTTGACGTACGTAATGTTCAAGTATGCCGTTACATTGTCTCCGTGCCGACCTTGCGCGCGCCGGCACACAGACACCAAAATACTCAATACCTCGTCCAAGATGGTCGCGACGATGCCTCCGTGACAGACTCGCGGGTAGCCGTTCAAGCCGGGACTCAGGCTGAGCAACGCGCGTACCTCGTCCTTCAAGGGCTGTGATTCCGTCGGTCGGCGGTACAAAGAGACCCAGCCTTTGATGGTGTCGTCTGTTTTCAGTGTCTCGGCGAGCAGAGCATCTTCTCGCGTATTGTGCTTGTATATACGAGATGATGTCGATTCAATCTCGTAATTCGGATCCTGAAGAAACGATTGGCACCAGGGGATGGACTGAAAGACTTCGACTTCCGGGACTTGGTCGCACATTCTTCTACGGAGTACACCCCGGTGTACTGCGGTAAATGTAAAACTTTTGGATTATCGCCTGCACAGAGTCGGTAGTAGTTGATCCCGCCAGCACTTTCTGAATGACTTTCGCGCAGAGATTGCCGCGGTTTCGTGCTGCTTGTCCGCCAGCTCAATCTTTGACTGCGAATCTCGGAGCGGACGATGTCTTGCGACCGAGCTCTGTACATATCGAGTTGCCTGGACCTCGGCTCACTACCTCTCCGTACCTAAAGGTAACTAACTTAGGCTATTATGGGGCTCTCTAACTGTCTACTTAGGCTCGCTAAGTTAGCCGTGGTTAGGCTTACTAGGCTTGTGGCTAAGTAACGTAGTGGCTGGCGAGGCTATTATCTGGCGGTGGTTCTTACCTAAGCACACCTGCACCGTACCACCCGCACCCGCCAACCCGAGCTGCAAGCATCAGGCAGCTTATTGAGGTCGTTGATTCCTTCTTCCTTCGAACAGAGGTTCTTTTCCCCTTTATCTTCACTCAACACTTTTGACGTATCTCCTTACTCTAAGCAGATTTCCATGGAAATGATGTTCACATGCTATCGTCTGCTTACCGAGGACGATGACAAACGGGTGATCAGGGCTGATGGCCGTCGAGCCCGTGAAACGTCATGCCTGAGATCTCTGGAACGAAAGATCCTCTTCCGAACTTGTCTAGCACTTGTTCTTTTGTCTTCTTTGAAGTTATTCATCTATTTGGGAAAACCTTTACCAAAAGCTGCGAGGATTGGTACACCCTGCAGCTTCGTCTCGTGTCCGAGTCAGCCGCATCACCCTGGTCACACTGTCATTGGGCTGCTTTGGCCTGGGCACGAGATGCCTTGAACGCCTCACCGCCCAGCCTCGTATTCTATCTCAACATCCTTCCCGAGGACGCCATGTCCGTCGCCTTACCACAGTCTGTGTAACATCTGCTCCAAAGATGCTGCTGTTCGTTGGCATGTGAAATTTCGGAGAACCGAAGGCGTGAGCTGTCAGCCTCTCTTTTTGGATCTTCCTAGGATGCCAATGTTCTCTGGGAATTTGTTGCTTTAAAAGTGCACTGGTACTCTCCTTCGTCAGCAATTGTCGCAATTATCTCGTTGAGATTGGGCCTTCATATCTGGTACGATACCTTGGATATTCTTTACATCATCATGGAGCCAACAACACCGCGCCCATACACGGCAAACCCGTTGCTTCTCATGCTCAGCGACCTAGGTCTCTTTGCCAGCATAACTTTTACAAGGTCCTGGTCGGCCGGACTTCCAAGCATCGTCTTGCCAATATCGTCTACCAATCACCTTGACGAACTCGCGGTGACTCCAGGAAATCTCTGGGCTATATTGTTGCACGGTACCCTCATAATCGGCCAAACACTGTTTTTATTCTCTCTTTTCCCGTTAGCATTCGGGTTGTTGCCTAGCGTATACTTTCTGTACATTGTTGGTTTCGTGGCTGGGAATCAAGCGGTATCTGTTCTCTTGAATGGTTGGCGACAGCATACTCTCATTACTTCAGATCCTCAATGCGTCGAGGGCTGGGCCGCTCATCCAAACGAAAAATGGGTGCTCATCAATGGTGTTGCTGTCGGGTAAGTGTGCAGACCGATTGTCACGTTTTGCTCCTCAAAGCAGGTTTTGCGGTCTACCTCTCAGCTAACAAGGCCGTAGACGCCATTGGTTGCGATCCAATCTGAATCGCCTCGCGATGACTTTCAGACGCCCAGTCCACGCGATACATAACCAGACGTAAGTACATCCACGTCCGCTGGAGTTCCAGCAATTTCCCTGGTATATCCCGTCCGAGCTTGCCTTCTCTCTACTGTTTCCGTTCCTTCTGCATGTCTGACTTTTGTCTTCATCACCACAGAAGAGGCATCATATTCGACGTCTTGGAATGTATCGTACAGCGAGATTTGAACTACGCTACACTGGACATCCGACAGGCCTACTCTGCCTTGATCAATATTCTTTCCGACGACCAGGTGCACAAGGTTGTCCTAATCCTTCACAGCCAAGGTGCTATTGAAGGTGGAATGGTACTCGATTGGCTCTATGCGACAGTATCGGCCAAAGACATCCGCAAGCTTGAAATCTACACATTCGGCAACGCGGCAAACCACTGGAATGCGCCCGCGAATGGAGGCGGAAGCAACAGTTCGCTGTCGACCGCTTTAGATTCGTCAAACGGAGTGCTGCAAGACAACCAGAGTCAACGACTGGTCAAGTATATTGAGCACTACGCCAACACAGGCGACTACGTCTCTCGTTTCGGTATTCTCCATTTCAGGCCTGACCACGCACGGCCTAACTCTGCTGTTTCTGGTATGAGAATCTTCCGTGAAGCCGCCATATGCCGTGGTCCACAGTCACTAAAATGGCAAACAGGCACGACACCGGCACGCCGGACACCCTCGGCGAACATTGATCCCAGAATCGAAGACAAGAACCGCTTTATTGGACGGCTATTCAAGCGCGAGGGTTCTGGCCATCAACTCAACCAGCATTATCTTGACAACATTTTCGAAATGAAAAACGTCGACACTTCGGTCCTGAAGAAGGGCAGGGTGAAGGACGGCAACCCATATATGGACTCGCAGGTGGACGTTGCTGCCATTGAATGGGACACCGTGCAATCTATCGATTCTACTATAGACGGCTCTGGAAATGGCCGTGCAGCCAACGCTGGCACAGGTGGCCCGACCAAACAGATCAAACAGGAGAGTCGCTTGTGGGGCTACAGGAATGGTGGCGATCCGGATCAAGATGCCCAAAAGGCAAGATGAATTCCGATGTGAGCGAAATCAAAGAGACATGTCAGTTTTGAAGTTGTCTTGCCAGGTCGGAGTATATATCTCCCTAATATACGTCCTGGAGCATGACATCAGAAGTCTGCTATCTACTTACTATCCATCCTCTCATTATCACATTGCAGACATTCTCCTGCCCGGCTTGCTCCAATTTTTTGGGCATGTTGCCTCTCGTCACCGATCAGACAAATCCCGCAACCCCGTTCGCATACTTCCCGAATAAAGTCAAATCAAACGAGTCTGTCAACAATTGATACCCAGCCTCGTTCGGATGCAAATAGTCGCCCGACTGCAGCGCATCCGCCAACTGACTTGGCACAGTCTGGTTCCTCAAGACCGCGTCGAAATCCAGAACCGCATCAAAGGTGCCCGAGTTGCGAATGAAGTCATTGACTTTCTGCCGCGTCTGCTCCCGCAAACTGCTCGTGTACGGCTGGAGCGTGGTGTTGCCGCCGGGAGCCGAAAAGGGCGTGATGGTCGCTGCGAACAGCGGGATGTTGAACGCGTGGATCCGCGTCGCGATCTGCTTGTACGCGGAGATGAGGCGGTCGTACGTGACTGTCTGGTTGGCGATGGTTTCGTCCGCAGTGCCGATGTCGTTGACGCCTTCGAAGATCATGGCGTATTTGACGCCCACGTGCGCAAGGACGTCTCGGTCGATGCGGGATAGGACGCTGGGTCCCAGACCGTCTTCGAGGATGCGGTTGCCGCCCGCGGCTTGGTTGTTCACGGCGAGGGAGGTGAGCGTGGGGTCGCCGCTGGATTGGAGGCGGGAGAGAAGAAGATCGGTCCATCTTTTGCCGTTGAATGGTTAACTTAGTTTGAGCAATTCCCTAAGGGGGTCCCGCGGCCTGGGCAGGTGAGGGGGGAAAGGGGAGAATTAGGGGCTGGAAGATGGTATGGCAAACCTGTTATTCTTGTCCGTGTCGCTGCCTCGGCCATCTGTGATGCTGTCCCCGATGATTGAAAAGGCTCGATAAGATGGTGGGGACCATGCTTCGACGGCGGAGAGGAAGTACCTTGTGCAGCAATGGCATTAGCATTTTTGCCTTTTTCGAGCACTGAGCATTGAGCAGTCGCCAGATATGGCCTCCCTTCTTCGTCGGGCACAGTACTTCAGCAGGAGAAAAGGAGAGGCAGCACCCACCAGTGAGCAGTACTGTTCAGCGACGGTCCGGTCAGATTCGTCGCAGCAACCTGATTACCCAGCGTCATCCACGATGTGGTCCGGCTGCCGGGGTGACTGGTGATGTATGTGCCTTCCTGCCCTGTGGCGAGGTACATTGTCACCGTGACCATGGACTGTGGTTCGACGGGGAAGTCCAATGGATCCGAGACCGCTAGGGCGCCGTCGGGGATGATTATGGAGGTCTCACCGCCACTGAATGTCACGGTCTGCAGAGTGGACGGTTGGATCGCGCTGACGCCAGCTGAGCCGTTGTACGGTAGAGCTATCGACACGCCGGTGACGGGCAGGTCGGTCAGGCCAAATGCGTTGGAGATGCGGATCCGGATCTGCGAGGCTCCCGTCGACGTGTGCAGTGTCTGGCGGATGGTGCTGTTGTAGAAGATCACGGTGGAAGTGTTCTTGAATTATAGTACTCTCGTCAGCTCACGTATTGCGCCGAGAGATACCCAAAGAGGTCGTCGCTGTGCAGATGCAGATGCAGGATGCAGGATGCAGGATGCAGGATGCGAAAGGGGTCGTACGCACATATGGAGATGGGGGAAGGTTGGTGTACTCTGTCAATTGCGGCATGGCCGTCCACGTGTCGACCCAGTGGCCATCTGGGATGCTCGGGGTCGTGACGACCTGTCTTTTGCTGAGTGCATCACACCGTGACAGCGTCAAGACGTACAAGCACAGGATGGCAAGGACGGAGGTAGAGCGACGAAGGAACGCCATTGGTGTTTGTGCACACGCTGGTGTTATTATCCCAGGTTGTTACTTCTTTTCCTTTGAGGGAAGGGTTCCCCCGCCACGAGGGCGAGCGAAAGCTTCGAATGTGTCGTTTTATATGCATCGTTTGTAAGCCTAGCATTTTGTGTAGAGAGGTGTAGCCGTGCTCGTTGGCGAACTTGCGTGACGTCTCCATGGAGGACAGGTTTGGAAGGTGATGGTGGTATTTTTAGGCTAAATTGCCCCCCTGAAGGACATGATGAAGTGGGATACCAGTAGCAGTACTTTATTGAACGCGCTGGAACAAGAACTTTGCGTCTTTGGCGATTCCCTAAGTAGAGGTCGTTTAGGAAGCATTTGCAGATCTTCGAGGCATGACATGCTTCGCGAGCCCCGTCCGGTCAATGCTTTCATCGCATCTACCATTCACTCCAGACGGCGGGACGAGGCTGAGATGTGGTTATGGAGGGCTGGAGTTACCCGAAGATCGACACACGGTCGACAACCTGCAGGAGTCCGGCAATTATCCGTGAGGAGACTGGCCATTGAGCCTCATATATATGCCGAAAAGACACTAGGGAGTACATACCACAGTCAAGTAAGTAGATCAGTTGCTCCTTTTGGTACGCGTACTTTGCGAAGCTAGGAGATACGGCACGATACGGTTAAAGCTCCATGATGCTTCTCTCCCTAAGCGACTCCAGAATCTGCGGGGGCATACTCCATGCACTCCGTCGTAGATTCACGGTTTCTCCGCGCTCTCAGGCCGGTTTTGGAGGGAATTTCGCTTTGACGTAGCTTGCCTTGTACAAGGACCGGAAGCAGAGGAGGAACATTTTCATTTCTTTATGGGCTTGCATGGAAATGGCAGGACACGCAAAGGAGCGACTTATATTTGCCGATGATTTTCATCAAAGTCGAGCACAGACTGGAGCAAGTGTACGTTCCTTTAGTGGTAATATCAACAGTTTTCGGCACAAACACGGTAACCAGAACAAGCTCCACGCGTCGTCCAGCTGACCTCCTATCATCCCGGGTGCCATGGTCGAGGGTCTCTCATGTTCACGAGCCAATCCAGGAGCCTGCACACCTCATTCACACATCCTCCTTGTGCATATACCGCTCTTGATCAATGTCCCCTGGTTCCGTCTTTCCTTCATAGTCTTCCTGTTCACGATGTCTTGCCGTAGCCAAGTGCATATGCCTGGCCATGGCACCAGACTCGCTCATGCCAACCTTGCTACTACGTCTGAAAGCCAATGGATCAGCCGAAGATGCTCTCCTGACCTCTTCCTCCTCCCTGATCCTGTATTTCTCCGGCCTCTTGCTGCACGTTACGTCTTTGTCGCGGAAGACAAGCAAAGGCGGGTTCGTCCGGTAGTACTCGTCGATATCTTCGAGCGAACGATCAGCGGTTTCCGGGTAGATGAAGTATAGTATCGGGACGAATGAAGCATTCAAAACGGTCCAGATGATGTAGAATTTCCACGCAAGATTCTGGATTCCAATCGGCGTGATCTCGACCACCATGAAGTTCTTCCCGACTGTCAGAAACAAACCATGTGAGAGTAAGAAGGGTGACTGAAGGAACTTACGAATATCCAGTTCGTTGCAGTCCCAACGGCTGCACCCTTGGTACGCATTGCCAGGGAATTGATTTCGGTAGGATACACTATCGTCATGTTTAGCTTATGCAAGGCACACTGTACACACGTTTGCCCTTACACCAGGGAACACCTTGCATTCCGATACCTGAGGACGCGTTAGTGGCTGCATTTCTCAACCGAACACCATTCCACTTACCAAAAAACACATAGTACAGGAAGAAGAATCCTACGCTAGCGCTCGCCACCTCATGCGCATGGGGATAGCCGGGTTTCTCGTTGAATCGGAGTAGGACCGTAATAATAAAATAGCAGAAACATTGCCCGGAAGCCGCGAAAATCATCATGTTGCGACGACCCCATCTTTCAACATTAGGGATGCCGATCAGGGAGAAAAGGAGGTAAGACACGCTGTTGCAGGCTGCAAGCAGTCTTGCCATCTTTTCCCCTAGTCCGACCGACTTGATGAGCACGGTAGGCAGGTAATAGCTGGTCACTGCGGGAGAAGACGTTAGCACATGCAATTATATGAGTGGGCGCAGGCAGAAAGCCGAGAAGCGCTGAGGTTTCTTACCATTTATACCAGCCAATTGTTGCATGGCTTGAGTACCGGCACCGAGGAGCAGACGACGAATCGTCTTCGTGCCTCCTTTATCCCCCGTCTTCCCGCGGAGGAGTTTGGACCAGGGCACGGCATTTTCACGTTCGTACTGGACAGTGTAGACGATTTCTTTATGCTGAGCGAGGATGAAGGGATCGTCTTCTGATTTGTTTTCGAGGTCGGCGAGGATCTTGAACGCCTCATCTTCGTAGTCATGGGCGATGAGCCATCTGCATCGGGTCAGCGGGATTATGCCTGAATGTGATAGATCCCTTACCGAGGTGACTCTGGCAGCCACGGTACTGTGCTGAAGAGGATGAAGATGAAGAGAAACTGGAAGGCAAGAGGGAGGCGCCATGCTATTCCTCCTGGCACAAAGGAGAAGCCATAGGTCACCCAATTAGACAATGAGAAGCCTGCGATGTTGAGAATGAGCTCGATGACGACGAGTTTGCCTCTCCATTTGATTGCAGAAGTCTCTGTCTGCCATACAGGGGCTGTAGCAGTATTGATGCCATTTCCTATGCCCGCAACAATACGGCCAACGATCATTTGAGCAGTACTGAAGGAAGCGATTTGGAGGATAGCGCCGATACTCATGACGGTAGTCCCCACCAGGACAGATCTTCTTCGTCCCAGCTTCTCTCCCAGCCAGACAGCAGTGACAGCGCCGAAGAAACAGCCGATGTCATAGATCGCAGTAACCGTGCCTGGAGAAGGTATGAGCCTGAGTACTGGCTCTAAGGGGCTGTACAAACCTAAGAGTGATGTTTTCGAATCGCCTCCAAGGTTGTGAACCTTGAGAAAATCAGGAGTCACGATAACACCACCTGCAACATTGTTAGAAGTGTACTCCCCGACGCATGAACTCCGTATTCACCGAAGACGCCCTAGAGTTCCCGTTAGAATTGAGACGACGTTAAGGAAACCCAAGTCGACGACTTACCTGGTCGTAGCCGAACCTAAAAGCAAGATAACTGTCAATGCCATCCTCGTGTCACCAAACCACCCACGGGAACTCAACATACAGCGTCATATCCGTTGCACAAGCAACCTAGGACTCGTCACTGGATATTCGCTGCTCGTGGAACTCGACTTACAGAAATCCAGAATGTCAGCCATCCACCCTTCAAGCCGAAGTAGGGCTGCTTAGGCCCTAGTTTGAAGCCCATGTTGTATATTGCGACAATGGCCTTTTACGTGTCTAGGTACTCAGATGTCGAGGTGGTCGATGGACCTGAAGGACTGTCAAATAGACCACGTATTGAATCTGAAAGAGAGAGAAGTTAATGACCAACCTTGACAATATGAAGTCTGTCCTCGTAAGCGACGTCATATCCATTGGGTGGTTGCAACAGCAGTCGCTTGTCTGCAGACGTGGTTCGTCCATGTGTGCTTGATCGACAATGGGCCGCTCTTTCGCTGCGGCTTTTAGCCCTTTGCGGGACGTAATGTGGGAGGCATTCAGAGGCCGTAGTGGCAATCGCGGTAGATCACGTTGCTGAAGCGCAATCTCATGTGTTCAACTCAATAGCCGTGCTCAATCAGCGAAGCCGGGTCTGATCCTTGGGGCTCCATCGCCACAATATCGTGGTTTGGTACGAGCCATGCCGGGAGGACAGTGGTGCAAAGTAACCGACCCGTGCCCGAGGAGTCGTGGGGAATACAAGCATTTCTCCATGGGGAGGGCAGGGGTGGACCAGACAATGACGAAGTGGCTTGATCTCAAAATCCTGGAGGCACAGTCTCATTTGTTGCTGTGCAAATTCTCCGATCGCTCCATCACGCATCGGCTTGCGTTTGCCAGTTTCAGTTGCTCGCACGCGACATCTCCGAGTAGCCCTGGGTGTCTCAGACGACAATTCGGCACGAATGATGTGCATCAGATATATAGTGAACATTTCATGATATATGGCATTCAATCATCCAGCATCCCCAAGACTTTCCCAAGCCTGTAATAACACCAATAAATGTCGTGCCGGTCGTTGCCGCAGAGTTCTCACCCAGCTGGCATGTTCTATAGAAAACCTTCTAACCTTTATCTCGTAAAATAAAAATATCGCGTGACAAAATTCGTTCAAGCATAGCCACGTCGGTCAACTGAGCGATTGTGCATCTCGTAACCTTGGCTTCGTGGACGAGGCTTCTCGCCCAAGTTGCTATTCGAGACGTTCCTCCTTGCTGCGAGTCTCGGCATGATGACGATGACAGCAATGTAAAGCAGGAAGACGACCACAGTAACGATGCTGTAGACGACGACCGAGTAGGTCGGTACATTGTCACTCCCCACTGTGCCAGCTTGCTTGAAGCCCAGACCGCCGTTGACAATACCCAACAGGATGAAGGCACGACCAAGCCATCGGTGACCATGACCCATAGGGCTGCGGGTACCCTTCTTGCGGAATTGAAGATGCTGCCACAGCCCCAGTGCTGGTTGGAAGAACACCATCCACGCTACAACGATGTAACCAATGACTTGATGGTACTCGTCGACCTTGTTGAGTTTGTTGGCTAGCTTGACACCAAGTCCAAGGCCTACAAGCATCAAGATGACACTCACAACCTGGAGAGGAGCATGAATGTGTCGGACTTTCTCGTTGTATGGGAGGTAGATAGTCAAGGCGGACAGAGGGAAAAGGATTACAAACACAAGAGGCATGACAATAGCATGGGCGACTCTCGTGGCTTGATTCGGATCGCTGACACTGTGGCTGGAGCCGGACCCGGATGTGGATGGGTTTGAGCTTGCCACAGGATTAGAAACACCCCCGGTCGCGGTTGCAACAGCAGGAATAGTTGCGGCAGACCCGGCGTCGGTAGCAGTAGCCTGCCCATTGCTAGCCGTTTGGGTCGCAGATCCTGAGGCGGAAGCAGAGCCGTCAGAAGAGCCTGAGGACGCAACGAAAGGATTAGATGAGCTGCCGCCGGTTCCTGTCGTCAGATCAAGACTGAACTGGCCAGTGCCGTCGTGCTGAGAGATGGATTCATCTGTGCTAGTGCTGTCCAAAGCATCCCCGGACTTGTAGGCGTAGATCCAAGAGCTGGAGGAGTCTGTGGGGTCCATGCTGCCGCCACTCCAGTTCAGGCAGGAGTCACAACGGACATTTGCAACAAGAGATCCATCTGAAGCAATGCCGGTGCCCTCCAATACAGATATCTGGGCGTCACCGTTGACCTGTGGTTGGGTGTGACCAGTGCCCAATCTAGGCGACACAGTCACATTTGTGCTGTCTGCAGCATACACGACGAACATGTTTGCTCCAGACATTTGAGATCCCTGGCCGAAACCAATCCATTCTGTGCCACTTGGAGCGCTGATCTGGACATAGATAGAGCCACTTCCAGATGAGGCTGTATCTGAGGGGACATTGACCGAGATGCCATATCCGGAGTCCGAGAATTGTGCGAATTGTGCTGCTGAACCGGCCACTGGAGACACATTAGCGATATTGCGATTACTATGTACGGTTCACGCAATGAACGCACCAAGCGCGGCAGTAGCCAAGGCTCTTCTGAAAGCCATCTTGTTTCGAGAAGACTCCTTATCGGAAATCTCTTGGCCAAGTTTCCCAGTCTGCTATAGTATGAGAAAGTGTTTCTGGGCAGAGAACAAAATCCTTGTTTGCTGTGGCAGTGTGAGCAGCCGTTGAATCTCAAATCTTAGAAGAAGAGTGCACGCGATTGACGACCGAGCGACCAGTCCGGGTGATTTATCAGAATCGACTCTATGGCGCGAGCTCTGGCAGAGCACGCCAAACCTTGTTCAAATTGCATGGTGGGTGTACGTGTCTGGTGGCTTGCCAAGGGGGCTTCAGGGGAGGCACAAGCCTTGATGGAGCTCGGCCCCTGTACGTCCGTTTGAAGGGTGGACTTGAGACACAAGCAGCTTCAGGATGGCTTACGACGTGTCGCATTGACGTGTTCATTGACCAGGAACCAGTGGTAACCTGTCCGCTCAGGAGATAGTACATATGCTGCTGAATTCCGCGGCAGCATTTCATGCTGGCAACTACCTCAATCAGAACGGAGTCACCCCGGACTGCGAGGCTGTCGAAGTATGACAGGAAATAAATAGCATCAAGGGGATGCGGCAGGATCGAGAATTGGGGGAAAAAGCACACATGCCAAACCCTTTTGAGGTTTAGAGTGGCTGTAGGATTTCCGGTTCCTGCTGAACAAGGGGCTAACAGGGAGGATTTGGCCGAAGGAGCTCCACTGATTGCCCTCAGCATGATTGAAGGGATCCTGATTGGCCATTTTAATCGTGTTTCGACTTCGCTCGCAGGATACCTGGCGAAATCTAGACAAGTCGTTCAGGTCCGCCCTATCGCAGAGCTGAAATGCGCAGATCGCTTGCGACGCAGTTGGTGCTGGAAGCCTGGAAACACTACAACCACCTGCTTCGCCCAGGTCTTGTCAAGGTACGGAGGTAGCCTCACACAATTATCGTCTTCGTGCATACAGTAGTGTACTGCCCGAGGGAGGCGCGGTAGATAATAAGCACACGTAAGTAGCGCCTTGTCGACATGTCGGGGGTTTTGTCTGGCCAATGGGTACGTTGCATGTGGCTGGGCATCACAACTGCTGTCAATTCTAATTGCACGATATCTTCTGATAACATCTCTGGGTCCGTGGCGAAGGTTCCTGCCCAGAGACCTCAAGGCTTGGTCTCACGTACTTTGCTGCCGCGCCGCGGCCACAATGCGGATTATTTTCGTACCACAGACTGCCCAAATCCCCAATTCGGCATGGTTAACGACGCCGGTTGCCCTTGTCCGTGACGTATCCGATGTCGACGACCATGAAAGCTGGCTTATACTCGTCGTAGGCATGTCCAGGAATGGCACACGATTCGAAAGGGCCAATATTGAAATGATGATTCGTTCAGAATGCGAGTTCTCCGAAGCTTGACCCATTACTGGATCAAGCCGAGCTTTCGGTGGGAAGGTTCCTGGTATATCTGCGCTTCGATTCCTCTTCTTACTGGGTGGTCAGATGAGGTATCATTGCTTCGTTCTCGTCATGATTTCCTTGATCATCTCGTTGCCAAGTCTGACTGCTTCGGGGAATCTCGGAGCAAAGTACTGCTGAATGTTCTCGAATCGAGCGCGATATGCATCGAAAGCACCAAACGAGACACATTCAGACCATGCCTGGAGACCAATATTAGCCAGACGGTCCAATACCATGCACAGTGCTCTCCACCCAGGGAAGAGGGCAAAGCGGACACATGGCTATGTTGAAGTTCAATCCACGCCCAGAAGCAAATGCCCGGTGATACGCTGCAAAAAGCTGTTTTCTGTCATCCACTTACCCTAGCAGCAAAGGTGAACTCGAGATCATCCGATCGAAAAGTATTATCTCCGACGGCTGTTTTGATCACCTCGTCCAGCAAAGTTTCATTCCGGAAGAGATATTCTGTCACGCCCAGCCAAATACGGAACAGCTGCAGGAAGTCAGAAATAGCAACCAGCCTGCCGCAGAAACGACTTACAGGCGTAGAGCAAATCATGTGGTCGTACGGCACGATTCCAAGTTTCCACCAACAGTCGACGATACCCAATAAACTAAGGTGATTGTTGGGGGTCCTTTCGTTTGGCCTCTTCGAAAGTGAAAACTTGTCCAGGACTTCATCTCCAAGGAGGAGGTTGTGGTGGACAGTATCCGTCGAGAAAACCGCAGCACCGGCGGTTTTGATCCTCTGAGCGAGCTCTTCGCGATGGCCACCCAGCATGAGCTTATATAGCTCCGTCACAGATTGGGCGTATTGCCGAATCTGCTCCTTGGCAGCGGGATTGAGAATGGCAAGACCGGCATAAACGTGCCATTTGTTGGCATATATGCGCAAGGTGATATTGATCTTGACGTTCTCAATGCCGCCGACGTAACGATCAATTTCCCAGGGGAATTGTTGGTTCGCTGCCCATGCAGTTCCCATACTCAAGAAAGCGGCATGAGTGACGGCCTGCGTATCAGCTGTAATTCTGTCATGCTTCTCTCCAGACAGAAAGACCATCTTCGAATTGAGACAAGAAAGGATTCGAACACAGAGGTCAACACTTTTCTGCGAGGCTCGATGTTGGATGACGACGAGTGGTTGACCTGTAGGATCTACAGCAGGTCCATGCAATGAATGGCACGAGACAATTTCGACGTCCTCTGGCAGATATTTCTCGAAAGCGGCCAGTTCTGGGGCTTTACACGAGGTTTGTCCACCCACGATGGCACCCACTTTGGTTGATGGGCCATACTCTGCGACGACCTTAGCAATGACTTCGGCTTCCACGCTGTAGATTATCCAGTCGCTAGCTCTCGAAACAAGATGCCCATTGGGTAAGATATTTATTCTTTTCTAATCTTGGTCAATCATGCTCATCAAGTTTGCTGACGACACAAACCTCATTCTCGAACTCAGTCCGGAGTGTCTGGAATTTGTCTGGTCGGTCGCAAGCATTGACTCTGCATGGCTCCTATCAGCTCAGGTTCTATGTATTGCAGTCACACAGAACGCAAAGGGCGCCTATAAGGTAATCGGTCAGAATATTTTCATATACCAGTGAGAAGCAGAATGGTGACTGTGATTGGAAAATCTTCAGACAAAAAAAAGTAAGGTAGCGAGGTTTTTACATCAGTGACAGCCCACATGATTGAACGCAACACCAGAATGGTGAAGCAATATCATGATGACCATGCTCGAGCCAAATGCACTCAGAGTCATCCTTGAAACGCGGAAAGAAGATGGGAAGGAAAGATAATAAACGAACCTTGCAGAAATGAACGATCCCGTGTGGACCATCCTCGCTCCGGCGATCAGAATGTACGGTGTCCTACCTCCATCCAGCCTGACTAAACCTCCTCGCATACATGCGGCCCATGTCCCCCATACCAATAATTCCTACTGCAGCATCCTCCATCGTGGTCAAAAGCTGTCTGGAACAGTAAAATGCCCAATAGGTTGAGGAACAAGAAGGTCCTAGAGGTTAGTGACACAGCAAATCATGAACCTTGTAATACTCAATACGCTCAGGTAACAGATCAAGCCATACATCAGGCTGTTGAGACAAATGGTAAACAGTCAGGTTCGAAAAGGTGACTCGAAAAACTTCGAAAGTTTTGTCGGAGGTCTCGCCAAGACCACTGTCCGAATTAGGCTTAGACTACCATCGGAGCTTGTCACTTTCCTTTACCGAACGCCCACAGTGCGATTTTCGACAATTTTTGATATCCCCTCTGCCAACGACCTACGACAAGTCAAACACCAGCACTTTACTGTCCAGCTGTCTCTATCAAAATGGCTCCCAAGAAGAAGGTCGATCGTCCCGCCAACGAGAACATCTCGCTCGGCCCTCAAGTCCGTGAAGGTGAGTTGCGAAAAAGAGCATTATGCTGCCGGCCATAGTCTAACAGGTATTGTGCACAGGCGAACTCGTCTTCGGCGTTGCACGTATCTTTGCTTCCTTCAACGATACCTTCGTCCATGTCACCGATCTCTCGTAAGTCAAGAATGACAAATTACATTGCGCAATATAAAGATGGCGAGGCTAATGTTCTGGGTGATTTCCAGTGGCCGCGAAACCATCTGCCGTGTTACTGGAGGCATGAAAGTCAAGGCCGACCGTGACGAATCCTCTCCCTACGCTGCCATGTTGGCTGCTCAAGACGTCGCTCAACGATGCAAGGAACTCGGCATCAACGCTCTGCACATCAAGATCCGAGCCACTGGCGGTAACGGCACGAAGACTCCAGGCCCAGGTGCCCAGTCTGCTCTGCGCGCCTTGGCCCGTTCAGGAATGAAGATTGGCAGAATCGAGGACGTCACTCCTACACCGTCCGACAGCACCAGACGCAAGGGTGGTCGTCGTGGTCGTCGTCTGTGAGTGTGCGCGTTGGAAAGGTTGCGCGGAATTATCATATCCTTCGGAAAATCAATGGCGAGCATACTGCTGGACCAACAGAGTCTGCGAAGGAGCACGGTGGTGGCGGTCACAAATACGCGAAGAACGGCATTTTCTGCCTGGTCTTCAAAATGCTGCCTATTATGAAAATGATGTAGTTGGCATGAAATAAATTCAAAAAAACTTCTTGTGACTCCGGAAATCTCCCTGCACCATATCTCTATCGCGCAAATTCATCCGCATTAGCCAGCTAGTTCGTTGTTCGTTGTCATGGATGCGCCGACTATACTCATCGTTTCCCTCCCAGCCAAAACCTTCCTTGGCCTGGACCTCGTCTCATTCACCTCCTCACCCAACTTCCACGGCATCACCAAGGTTCCGCCGGGCCTACACTTTCTGTACACTGGCACCGACGCCTCGCTTTCCATCCGCCATGGCCGCTGGCTTCACATAGTCCCAAGTACCCCGCCGCAGGTCCTACAATGGGACCCTGCCACCGAGACACTCGACCTCCTCGACCCAAACTGCGCACCCGCACGGAGCGCGATCAATTCACTCTCGTCGCGCGGGCTGGTTGATTACACAGCCCTGCAAGATGCGACTAGTGACCTCGCCTCGCGTGATGCTTCTGCCAATTCGCCTGCACCCGATGCCGAAACTGGGGACGAGAGGGCAGATAGCACAGACTGGCCGTCTCTAATATCGCACATCTCCCCACATCTCTTAACCCGTGTGTTGTCTACGAATTGGGCTATATCGAGCATATCCTCCGCCCCCTCTGATACGGAGAGCATCCCCGGACTGTCGCATCTCGAGGCAAGCAATGCTCTGCACCAATCCCCGCTTAATCTTGTCCCGGTCAATCTCAAGCAGACATGGGCGGACGCTGATATCGGTCGGACACGCACCGACCGCGCTAGAGACAGAAGCTGGTACCTCTCTCACCTCGTTGATACGGTCACACTGGCAGGGAAGGACAAGGCGGTCGGCGCGAGGGAAATACTGGGCGAAGTGCAATTCTGCTTCCTCATGGTCCTTACGCTTGCGAATTACAGCTGTCTCGAGCAGTGGAAGCGACTGCTGAGCGTATTATTGACATGTCAAGCCGCGCTGGACGAGGTCCAGGGTTACTTCGTGGAGGTCGTCAGGGTGCTTGCGATGCAGGTGCGGCATTTTGACGATGTGGAGGGCGGAATGTTTGAGATGAGGGAAGAAGGCGGGAGTGCATGGTTGAGAAGCGTCTGGGGACGGTTGAGGGCCGTAGTGGAGGATGCCTTCAGTAGGGGGGAGGACGAGGCCGAGGGAAAAGGAAAGGGAAAGGGAACAAGCAAGGTGGGAGAGCAAGGCTTGAAGAAGGAAGTCGAGAATCTGCAGAAATTGTTCGAGGATAAGTATGGGTGGACAAGTGAGAAGGATGTACTACGAAGAGGTATGCTAGAGTTGGAAGACGGAGAGAGGATTGAGGTTAGTATGGCTGGTGTCGATGAGGATGAAGAGACTGGGGAGTATGCGCCTGTCATTGTTGATACGTGATGGGCAAGTTCACGTAGTCGATGCAGCACATAACGAGGCTCAGAAGTAGCTGCCAAAAGGAATGGACCATGTCCTTGAGTCGGATCAGCTCGAGAGATAGGAAACCTGGTTTTGAACAGTGAATTTATTCTTTCGCTTTTCAACCATGCAGACGCTTGAAGTAGTGCATGTCCAGCAATTGACACCCGCGTTGACTCCGCCTGATTGAAAATAGCCTCGTTTGGACTACATCAACCAGGAGTTTTTCCTTCATGCTGATGGAAGATAGCAGCCGTCCACCTCTACCAGGGGATCGACTCCCATATCACTTCTGCGAGTATTTCCGTGGCCGCGAAGGTCCCGCTGCCTATCAGCACAACACCGCCAACCAAACCAATCGTAATCCCTTTAACGGTATGATTTCTGGTATCTGGCTCTGGCACCCGGACCACCGAATTTCTTGGGTTCGCACCGTCGGTTGTCGGCAACGAGCAGTGTGCGGTCGTATTGGACAAGCGCTTGCTTCAACTGGTTCTTGGTGTATTCATCGACATATTTCTGATAGTAAGCGACGATTGACTTGGAGATTGCCTGTCGGATAGCATAGATCTGAGAAGTGTGACCACCACCGGTGACTCGAACGCGGATATCGACCTCGGCGAATTTGTCCAGACCAACAATCAAGAGGGGTTCGTAGACCTATTTATCTCGTATTAGATACTGTCTTCCTACAACTAACCCGGCAGCTGGCGCGGGTTCTCATCCCAAACGCACCTTGTATCGAAGGATCTCAGGCTGGACAAGGGAGAGCGGTCGGCCGTTGACCTTGATCAGGCCTTTTCCTTTCTGTTGGGATTGTTAGCTTCGCATCCTCCAATACGTTGTGTGTTTCGAACCTTGCAGTGAGCGACTGCAGTGGCCGTCTTCTTCTTGCCGAAGCACTGCACACTCTGAGGGGCCGACATCTTGAGCTGGCGGCAAATGACAGAGGAATGCAGTTGAGGAATGGTCGTGGGAAAGTTGTCGTTGGTATATTTGCGGCGTGAAGTGGCTTCGGCCTCAAAGTTCGTTGTGCGAAATTTTGCCAAGGTCACAGTCAACTAGTCCCAAAAAGGTATAGCTCTATTTCCGCTGAAGGTCAATCGCGGAAGTCAGTTCTGTGCGAGATTGTTTCTGCGGTCATTATCAACCCGCACAGCCAACCTTACGGACGAGAGGTGTGCTCTCTAGACGCCTACGCAAGACAAGAGAAAGCTAGAGGGGATTTCCATGCAAAGATAGCACTGATCTGCCATGTCTCAAACGTTAGGCAAGGTATGCGGCGAGTCTTTTTGTTGCCAATACACCTGTTCTAACTCGAGCGATAGACTCGTCTTGCCTACTCCCGGACATGGCATTATATCGATGTCGGAAGTGACACACGCTCCCTAGGTCGAGTCGCAACCTCAATAGCGACGTTCCTGATGGGCAAGCACAAGCCGATATGGGATCCGTCAACAGACTGCGGCGACTATGTGGTCGCAATCGGGTGCCACGATTTGCACGTCACCGGCAAGAAAAGAGAACAGAAACAGTACTACACACACAACACACGGCCAGGTAGTCTGAAACAGATGAGCATGGAGCGGATGATTCAGAAATGGGGAGGTGGAGAAGTGCTGAAGAAGGCGGTCCGAGGTATGCTACCGAAGAACAGACTTAGGGATAAGAGGTTGGCACGATTAAAGGTCTTCGAGGGTACGGCGCATCCCTACAAGCAGAACATCGTCAGGTTTGCCGGGAAACCGCATATACCAGGTAAAGTCATGGAGGCAATCGAGGCGACCAAATCAGCGGCGCCTCCGTCATGACGAGCAGGAAACCACCTTTGGCGTTCAAGCGAAATGAAGGATTCTGAGAGGTGTTTGAATATGATTGTACATTACGCTGTCTACATACGTCGGAGCGACGTTTCCATCTACAGATCTCCAGCAAACTCCATTCATCGTCTTCGTGATTTGGTATATGGCGCATATCTGGAGAAACCAAAAACATGTTACAACTTGTGCTTCACGTTTTCGCGTGAGACAGTGCACTTTATCAGGCCGTTGGGGTCTGATTGTGGCGCATAGACTTCGGCGTCTTTGCCGGTGTTCTTCAATCCGTGATGCCAGCTCAGGTCGATTTCGAAGTAGTGCTTGTTTGGCAAGGAGTAATCGACAGCGGCAACCAGCGGCTGAGCAGCGAGGATTTCCTGGCACATCTTATACATGGTATTCTGCACACTCGGGGACTCCTCAGTCGCAAAGAGCCGGAAGGTAATTTCTCTGGCCTTGGTCCAGGTCTCGTCGAATTTGGCAGACTCCTTTTTCACGGCATCGAGGCCGGAGAAGGTCGACCATTTCCAGCCAGCGTCCACCGATGTGCTCAGGATGCGGTCATAGACGTCTGGAAGGGTGGTGAAGTCGTCACGGACGAAATGATGGAACTCTGAGCCAGTACTCTTGAGCACGAGCAGTTCTGAGATCCCGGATCTAATCTCGATGCCTTTACCCTCATAGATGTCTGCTTGCACCACTCTCTTTTCATTGCTGTCCCGAAAGAAGGAGTGTGGGTGCGGCTTTCCGTCGACGGTCATGCGTGCCCACCGGTGCTGGACAATGCTAATGTGGGCGGCGTGGATATGCTTGTATTTCTGGACGAAGTGTGTTCCGAGTGTAGAAGCGAAGAGCTCAGGAGGATGGACTGGATTTTGCTTTGCCATGATGTAGGTGGTGTTCTTCATCGAGTCGGTTGCGACAACGACGCTGTTGTCTGCTTCCGTGTATCTGTCCATTGTCAGTTGCTGTGGTATGTGCTTTGTGTGGGAGGCACATACGATGTGTCAATCTCTCCTTCTAGCAGGACGCAGACAGTCATTTCATAGACGGTATGTGTCTTGGTAGCTTCATCTCGCTCGACCTTGTAGACGCGGACATTGTCCTTGCCGTAGCGTGCCGCTGAAAGGTATCCCATGTTTGAGCCGGATAGAATAGTATAGATAAAATTGGTTTCTGTTTTGGAGTAGGTTTTACCTCAACGGGCTTCCTGGCTGTTGCTGTAGGAATACAGGTGTCTATATGTGACGATTGAAGCTGGGAAGACGGGAGACTTTATACCAGATTGCTTATCAGGGTCAGGGTGTTGAGAGGAAATTTCAACCACGACCAACACCAATTGCACACACGCACGGCTGCAAGATCTGGTAAAAACGGTGATCAGGACCCTTTTCGAAAAGGTACTGAGATGCCTCTATCGTAGGCGATTGGCCTATCGAACAAGCTGTGTGTCTGGAGGTGAGCGGATCGTACAATGAAAGGTATCACGGAGCTCGCCGAAGACCACGCTTGCACATGGAATTCCCCAGCCGCTGCTTGTTTGACGGCCTCAGAAATTGTCTGTATTATCACCTGATGACTGGGATGAGCGTTGAAGGCGGTACAGTGCTTATTTTCGTACAAAGCCAGTACATTTCCTCTCGTTTTCGGAAATTGTAGACAGCACCCCTATGGAGAAGCCTCGAAAAGTGGCCAGCAGTTATGATGTCAACCGATGCCAATTTACCTAGGACAGCAGGTAAGGCTGTGGCTTGCAAGTTTGTGAGGCTCGATTGGATCATGCTAGCGTTTAGGTAGGGTTGGTTATCACACTCGATCTGAGGCAGAGCGTGCAGAGATAAGTTGGCCTTGCTGGCCCGACAACGATGAGCATAAGGTAAAGTATTTCAGAACAGTCGGAAAGCAGGAGTAGCCCTAGCTAATATTCCTTAATGTAACCTTACTTTTGAGCCCATTCCAAGTTGGACATGCAACAAGCCTGGGTGAACACGATAGCAACAATGCATTGGAGGTTCTCTACCGCCTACTGCACCTGTTTAGGCTCACTAGGCTCACTAAGTAGGCGTGGGGGGCGCGCCATGATGCCGCCTAAAAGTGATGTGCGGGGGAATTGATTGCTTGATTTGATGGCCCAAAATTTGGCCCGATTTCGCGAATCTGAACTTGACTGCGCTCACTCCGTTCGTCGCTCCTGAACTATCATAAAGGACCAATCCAAACAAAACATACTCTTGATTGCACCGCTGCACGTCTGAAGCACAAGGCTTTGCACAGTTACACGAGGCACTACTTTAAAAAGACCACTTGTGACTGCTGCGCTGTAGTCGACACCATGGATCACCCGTAAGCCTATGTTGGCGGCCGATCGGTACACTCTTTGACGAGCCTGATGAACAACACTCGAGTCAACATCCTTTCACGACGGTTAATCCTCCCTCCCTCACTTTAGGCGATTCTTCAATCTCCCTTGCTTTCGTTCCGCTACACCTGGCCTCCGTTTCATGAACGTGTGCACCGCACTCATCCAATCCGATACTCCAGCGGGAGGAAGGTACACTCCATGGCCCATAGATGGCCTCTTCAGATCAAGGGTTGGGGTACTCGGTGACGCCTACCCAAGGAAAGGGCTTTACATTTCGACACGCTTCCAGGAAAAGCGATGATCTTTCGGCCTCACGACGACCGTCCATGAAAGATGGCCGCTCGCTCTCGGGTGGCAGCAGCCAGTATGGACCAAAGGCGTTCATGGCCGCCATGACATCTGCTAACCCGCCGGGCTCCTTCAGTACGGATTTAAAGAGTGCCATGCAGTCAGGAAGGACCACACCGCAAAGCGAACTGGCCAACGTCCAGTTCTCTCGACTACAACCACAATACAAAGAGGGAGATGCTCTCACCACTTCCGAGCAACGGCAGGCTGCGGTGCGGGATAAGATTGCAAAGGAGATGAAGATCAAGCTGGGGACAGAGAACATGTTGGAAGCACTTCTGAGCAAGAACAACAAGCAGACCAAGGAACAGCGCCAAAGAGTCGAGATGGAGCTGGGCTCGTCAAACAGGAAACTTGCCGAGCTGAAGCAAGAACTCGACCAGGAGATCATGCGCTGTCAATCTCCTACAACTCCTCCCAGCAAGAGGATGTCCAGCTATATCCGAGGCAGCCCCCTCAGATCACCTCCTTTGCCTCAAATGCAGGAAAATGTTTTGACAGACCCGATCGAAAGTGAGTCGCCTACCGTCGTACTTACCGAGACACTCCAGCAATTGGAAGCGGATGGGATGCCGCCGGATTATTATATTGAACGAGCGAATACGTTGGTCAATCTTCTGAAGCGGAACCCGACCCTGAAGTATGATCTCGCCTGGTCCGTCTTCAGCCTACGTGTACAGTTGATGCTGCTCAGCGAGAGCTCCGATGTGGTCGCAGCGGGTTACAGGCTCACTAGGCACGCCATTGCAGATACCAAGTCGTTGCAGACGATCAGGGCGCTGCACACGGATGAACTTGTTATACTGTCCATGGTCAAGAAGGATAAAGCAGTATTGGAACGAGAGCAGGCCGTCAAGTTTGTACGCGCCTTCTTGGATGTCAAAGATGGAGTCTACGAGATATCCCGTGCCGTGGTCCGAAGCTTGGTGGCTGTCGCCGAGAACCCCGACGACAGGCTCAAGGACATTTGCCTCTTGACTTTAGCAGAATTGTTGACGAAACATACCGCACTGGTCGTTTCGGCCAATGGCATGACGACGCTCACCGAAGCATTGGCCGATGGCTCGTTCCCGGCCCCAGAAGGTCTTGTTGCCAGCTTCCTCCAGATTCTCGATCATCCGCTACAGCGTCGATATCTGCATACCGGCAGAGAGTTTGAAGCGATGTTTGCTCCATTCACTGACCCCTTATTGTTGAGTGGCAATGAAGAAAAGCTTAAGACATGCGCCCAAGCCATCTCTGCTATGCTCAAGATCTGGCCTGGCTTCTTGCTCTTGTCAATGAATGGAGCTGCACCTCTTCGATCACTGATTGACTCGCTGGTTTACCCAATTCCTCAGTCACGGGATACAGTGTTAGAGCTTCTCTTCGATATACTTCGCATCAAACCACCTTCCTGGTCCACCTCGTTCTTAGCAGGCAGGCGACTTACGACCTACGGCAGAGTCAACACTGCGCCGGTTGAACAACCTTCTCAGAGACAATTGGCAGAGTATAATGCAGAGGGCAGGTTCGATCTAACGTATCATTTTTCCGCGTTTGTTCTGGCTGCCCTGGTCAAAGCCGGTCTCATTCCTTCGCTTGTCCAACTCATTCGGGTCGAAGAGGACCTCATGCTCAAAAGAAAGGCTGCGCTTCTGCTGACTGAGGTCCTGAAGCTGGCCCATCATACTTTGCCTGAATCCATCAGTGCTGGTATACAGGTCTTGGGTGACCTTGTGCCGTCACTTAAGGAGTACGGATCTGAGACTTCGGCCACGAATATGAGCTTGATATACCAGATGGAAAGCATCAATCGCACTCTGAATCGAACAATGACCACGGCGTATGGCCGGCCCGTGCGTGATGATGAGCTGGCTGTTGCTCCACAGGCTCTCGAGAGGTCGAAATACACAGCGCTGATGGACCCGGACCAATTTCGTCAAGCAATGGTCGACAGTCAGATCACAAACCACTCCCAGTACATCAAATGGAAGTGGGACCTCATACATGGCCTAGTCGAAGGCCCTTTGACTAACCCTAGACGACTGGAGGAAGCCATCAAGTCACCGAAATTTCTCAAGCGACTTGTGGGATTCTACCGGCCGTTCAAATACAGATTCTCAATCATCCGGAACACCAGGCCGAACCAGCGTTACGTTAGGACAGGTTGTGCTCTCATGAGGACACTGACTCAGACAAGCTTGGGTGTAGAGTATCTTGCCGAGAATAAGCTTCTCCGGCAGGTCGCTGAGTGTCTTGCTCAAGTTTCTCCGCATAGTGGCATTACTTCTGCGAGCCCGCTATTTGACCGCCATCACATGGCTGAAACGCTCAGTGGAGGCTACTTTGCCATTCTCGGAGCCTTGAGTCATTCTCTTGAGGGTTTGCGACTGATGGAGCGATGGCACATCATGGACATTTTCTACCACCTGGTTGAATTGAGGGGCCGTGATGATCTCGTAAAAGCCCTGCTTGGAAACATGGACTATACCCTGGACTCACATCTCCGGGTCATCCTATCCAAAGCACTCACTTCCGGGGTCAAAGACATTCGGATATTTGCGACGAGACTGCTGCGACGATATGCTGTTGGTCGAGTCCAGTATACCTCCGGGATGCAAGACCGTTCCAGCTCACACTGGGCACTCCGTTTGGTTCTGACACAATTATATGACCCTGATATTGAGGTGTGCGAAATCGCAGTCAAGATACTGGAAGAGGCTTGTAATCAACGCAGTCACCTGGAGTATGTGGTGAAATGCAGGCCGTCGTTGGACCATCTAGGCGAGATTGGCGCGCCGCTTTTGCTACGCTTCTTGTCGACCTCGGTCGGCTACCGGTACCTCAGCGGCCTGGACTATATCACGCAAGAAATGGATGACTGGTTCCTGGGACGCAACGATGCCTACGTAGCCTTGGTGGAAGCCTCCATTCTTCGGGCTTACATGGAAGGAGCCACCAACAAGATACATTTCAGCGAGGACCCGACTGTTGACGGGAACGAGCCTGGCATAGCCCCTCCCCACTTTTACCGGGAGCTCGCACGCACACAGGAAGGATGCAAGCTTCTAAGACAGTCTGGTCATTTCTACGAATTCGCCTCCACCATCCGAGATTTCCGGCTTGATGAGGAAGACACCGAAACATTGACCAAGGTGAAAGGGTGCATGTGGGCAGTCGGAAATATCGGCTCGATGGATCTCGGTGCCCCGTTTCTTGAGGAAGCGGACGTGGTGAACGCGATTGTCCGTATCGCAGAGGGGGCCCAAGTCCTGTCCATGCGTGGCACTGCCTGTTTCGTGCTAGGACTAATATCGAGGACTCTACATGGCTTTGAGATGCTCGCCGAAAGCGGTTGGGACACCACAGTGGACCATCGAGGACGTTCATTGGGCCTCTGTCTGCCGCGGAACCTTGAGATGTTGTGCCTGGTAAGTGCAAGGTGTGACACTCGACCAGATATGTTGGTGCTAACAGTGCAACAGAAGTCCGTGGGCTCCAACGCTGTGCCAAACGTTGCGACTCCAGAAGAAGATGCTGAGTACAAGGCGGCCGTGACGGAGAACGATCCAATCCGCGCCAAGATTCTCAAGCATATTGTTGAAATGGGCAATTCAGTCATGTACAAGAAAGCTGCAGGCGATCTGCATGCACTGAAAGCTAAGCAGCCTACCTATTTTGCCGAGCCCGATATGTTCAGAAGGACCCTGGTCATTCTGCAAAGTCATCACTATCGTCTACAAGCGCGGCATTTCATATTGAACCTCTTCAACAAGGGGCTGATGAGACGAATCATCTTCGATGAAGAAATGGGCGAGGAGGACACCACCGGATCAGACACGGGATAGGGGGTTTGGATCTCCTCAGGACTATAGAGGCGAGCGTCCCTTCGCCTCAAAGTCGCGTATAACATCGCTTACACCGAGATTTCGGCGGCGTACTTGGAGTCCGAGGGTCAATTTTCTTTCGAGTCTCTTTGGAAGCATGGGCGCGAACGAGCTGGGCAATGAGGCCAAGCGGAATGTGGTCGGACAATTGAGTTTCTCGACGTGCGATGTGGACACGGAAAATTAACGATAGCAATGATCTTTGCCGCTGATGGCAGGCTTCTAGAACGCTTCAATGGTACCTCTGTACCAAGTGTTTTGCCGTGTCCAGTCCCAATTCTGTGAATGCAGATGTCACACATCGTCTCGAATTGGAGAGCTGGGGGCTTCCAAGGGCCGAACTAGGGCAGAGCTCCGTTTGTGTGCAGCTGAGATCTGAGGTACCAAGCGTTCAAGGTCCAGGCGTTGCAGTGTATGACACGTACAATGGCCGTTCAGCCAACGAAAAGTGGGTCACTGGTGCTAGATCAGAGAGCCTCGTGGCTGTATGGGCCCCCTTCCAAGATGTCTCTCACGAGAAAGCTCGCTAGGCCTTGATAGGGTAGCAGGCTCGCCAAATTTGAGTGGTCGGGGGCGTCCAAAATCATTGATGAAGAGAGCGACTGTAGGCGGCACTAATTCCACAGTGTGACGCCTATAGGCTTGGAGGACCTGGAAGGACGCCCACGACGCCCACGACGCCCCTCTGTTGGCCGCTCCACGAAAATGAGCCACTTGTCTACCTGCTCGGTGCCTCCTTCTGATCCCTGCGCCGGCCTCCATCTTCGTCCATTCTCGTCCAGTCGTTCGATCCTTCGGCTGTTTCTCAGATCTCAGTTTTCCTCGACATCGCACGCTCATCGAGAATCAAGTGCGACATGTGTGGCAAACCATCATCTACTGTTCCCACCACACCCCCGGTAGCTGTCATCAATGGCTGTCGTTCTGCTGTCTCCCACCCACCACTGGAACCAGAGTGTTGGTGCCCTCCCTTTTGCTCGCTTGTTGGCTCTATGCCCGAACTGTTCCTGATGATAATGTGCAGATCATCGTCCTCGTGCCTTGCGACTCCCCAGATCCATAACCACCTCTAATTGCTTTTGCAAAAGTCTACACGTCGTTGATCTTGATATTCGACCTCCTTCAAGTTGTTGACCAGTCTCTACTGTGAACCTTGTTTCCTCCTGTCCGTCTACTTGTTCCGAATTTGTCGCAATATCTAGACCGTTCGTCACGATCTCTTACCGGGTTTTTGCGTCCTTTAATTCTTCGGTCTCGAGATGTTACAGCAACCCTTTTGAACTTGACCGAGACTGTTTCCGATTCACAGCAACCGTCAACTGTGAACACTCTTCCTAGTACACCGTTGAAGGATACAACCTCGGCCACGGCCGCATCATTGGATGATAAGAGAGCGGAATAAATGCAAGCCTTCATCACATGGAGACGAGACATCCTCGAACCTGAATGGTACCCCGAAGCATACGAGAGAGGAGGACCCGTCGGGACCACGAAAACGATCACATCATAGTCTCCCTTCACCATTCGCGCAAATGAGTGGTGATGGAGACCCTTCCGAGACGAAGGCCGGTGCGTACGACGCTCACGACGATGCTCGAGCCATTGTCAAGTTATTCCAATGCTCTCAGTGCTCTTACCCTTTGAGAGACCCCATGACCTTACCCTGTGGCAATTCACTTTGCAAGCCATGTTTACCGCCGCTATATAGACGAGAAAACATCACATATCCTTTGGTGGAGGGGCGGTCGGAGGGGTTTTTGTGCCCGTTCAAAGGTTGCGGCTTGGAGCACTCGGTGGGAGATTGCGGAACAGACGTGACACTGAACAAGATCATGCATGTCATCAAAACCTACATTGCCAACTACAAGACGGACTCGACTGTACTACCGCTGCTGCTGGAAGAGAAGTTGCAATGGCCAAGTGTGAGGGACAGCGCGATGGACGTCATGCCTCGATCACGTGTTCTTAATGGCGGACGTATCGTTGCAACATATGTTCTGGCAGATATGGGTGAACTGCATTATCATTCCGACGTCGCTTACATCCCGATCGATGTGACTACCGAAGAAGATTCGATAAGAGCATTGGACGTGGCGAGCTTAGCGACCATGAAGGAGCTGATCCAAGGCGAACTGGAGTGTCAAGTCTGTTATCAGGTTATGCTGGATCCACTGACAACGACCTGCGGACACACTTTCTGCCGGAAGTGCTTCGCCCGCGCAATGGACCATGCCAATTATTGTCCAATGTGTCGTCGTCGACTACCATTGTTGCCAAGTGTTGTTGGCGAACCGAGCAACAAGAGAATTAGTTTCCTCCTTCAGCACATACTGACCGATCAGCTGGCTGCACGAATGGTTATTGCCGAGCAGGAAGATGCGATTGACGAAGAGGCACAACTTCCACTGTTTCCCTGCACGTTGGCCTACCCGCAGATGCCAACTTTCCTGCACATCTTCGAGCCACGCTATCGGCTTATGATAAGAAGGGCCATGGCTAGTGGTTCAAGGAAATTCGGAATGCTCATGTACAGACAATATGGCGTGGCTCCCGGAGAACCTCCCTTCATGCCGTTTGGTACTGTCTTGTTCATCGAGCGTATCGAATTGCTACCCGATGGCCGCAGTATGATTGAAACTCGTGGCCTGTACAAGTTCCGCGTCATTGAAGCTTCCATGCACGATGGCTATCTCGTCGGCCGAGTACAACGAATTGATGATATTCCTGTACACGAAGAAGAATTCATTGAATCTCAAGAGACGAGCACAACAGTACCCCCGGACGCAGACGAGCACGTCCAAATTCAACACATGCCGACACAAGGTCTGCTGGATATGGTTCTGGAATTTGTGGAACGAGCCCGGGACCAGTCGGCACGATGGCTTCACCAAAGAGTGCTGGCCGCCTATGGTCAACCTCCGATAGATCCGGCAGTGTTTCCCTATTGGCTTGCAAGTGTGCTGCCAATAGCAGAGATGGAGAAATATCTGCTACTACCGGCAACCAGCGTGAGGGAACGGTTAAAAATCACGGCGGGGTGGGTGCAGAGATTGGAAGAAGCAAGGCAGTAAGTTTACCATCTCTTTACCCCCCTTTCTTCTGGGAGTTGGAAGGCCATGTCGCCTGACGTCGTATGCCTGAAGCGAATTCGAAGCGGACCAGCTGGCAGCAGCCAGACCTCGTGAAGAAGATGCGAACACCGACGAGCATAACTCGTCAGAACAAGAACACTGACTATGACCGGCCCGATTTGCCTCGGCGACATCCACTGAGACGAATCAAATTTCACCATGACTGACAGGCGAATGTGGAGTGGTGGCTGCGCAAGACACAGATCAACAACTAACTTCTTCTCACTCTGACAGGCAGCAACCTTCCTCATGTATTGTTTTATGACTAGCCGTGGTCATCGGCATTGTGGTGTCATCACTTTTCTTGTGCAGGATACGGCCATTATTGTTTCTCTACGAAACCTCGGTTATTCGGCCTCGTGTCATTAGCAAGGGCGACGAGCAAGCGAGTCCATTTGTTGTCTACATTTCCAAGGCGTTCGTATCTGGGGACTTGTGGTTCTGGGCGGCCTAAGGGTGATGATACCCCGAATGATTTGAATGTATACACCCAAGACGCGCTATCAGGCACATCGCATATGGTGGAGCTGGGCAGACGTGAGCGAAAGAGATTTGTTCTCGTCATCACGCTAGAAATATGCCTTTTGATTTTATTATGAACCGTTCGTCTCGAACACCTGACTCTATGCTGGATGACCCCAGCTGGGCTTCATCCTGCGTCGTCGTACTTCGGGAGCAGATGGAATAACCCGCAAGGCTGCGCAAGGCTGAGGATTAAATGACGTCAGATGTTGATGTTGATGTTCCTGCGATTTTCGGCTTCTCTCCAGTCTTCACAGTGTCTAATTTTCACTTCACGCAAACTTGCAAAGCAGAGACGCGGAAATCCTCATACAGCGCTTCACGCGGCCATCGCTGTGTCTCGTTCCTAAGCAGCTGATCAATCCATACAATGGGCCCATCCAAACCCTCCACGCGGCTACTCCTCTCACTCCTGGCCAAGGACCTTCAGACGGCAGCTCAGTTACAACGCAGTTTTCTCCAGGAGTGCAAGAAATCCAAAGTCCCTTCTTATCTGGCACAAAATAAACGTCGCGCTACCTCGAGATCATTCAGTACCTCCCCGTTACTGCGCCAACAGAACCGCATTCTCAACTCCTTCCGCACTCCGTCGCAATTCCGCGACGCCATCCGTCTCTGCTCGGCGAACAACACCCTCCTCCTGGCACTGTTTACGACGTCGGCATGCACTCCGTGCCGGACGATCACGCCGCTGCTGACGAGCCTGGTCGAGACGCGCCCGCCGGCCGTGGATGATAAATTCTCCGGGTTGGCGTTCGCGGAGGTTGAATTGGACAGTCCGGACATGAGTGATGGGAGCATGATGAATCTAGGGGTGGAATGGGGCGTAACGAGTATGCCGACATTGATGGGATTTGGTGGGCGGAGGGCGGATCGGGTCACGGATAGAGTCACTGATACGAGGATGATGAGTGACAGCCGGAGGATGGGCGAATGGGTGGATGAGCAGATGAGGAGAGGGGATCCATTTGCCGTGGGCAGTGGAGGGAAAGCGGGAGGGGGTGGTGAAGGGTTGCTGGGACGGATCTTTGGGAGATAGAAGAGGAGGATGGGGATGTCTGCATTGCTAATGTCTGGCTAATGAATTCGTCTGGCTAATGCATTCGTCTGGCTAATGCATTCGTCTGGCTAATGCATTCGTCTGGCTAATGCATTCGTCTGGCTAATGCATTCGTCTGGCTAATGCATTCGTCTACCACACCGACGGCAGCCAACAGACAACGTTGATAAAGAATCATCTGGCCCTGTCAGGCTGTCAAGATCAACCTCTCGATTTGAAGGACTCTGAGCGTCTGAGCCTGCTGGATGAGCGACGAAAGTGCGGCTGCCCGTCCCCTTCGAAAACAAAACAGGCTTGCGAAAGATAACGCACCCACAAGCAAGAGTTCGGCCGACGCCTGCTTGCAATTGCCAGCTGCACTGGAAGATTTGGAGTGGCAAGATCACGATCGTCCAGAAGATTTCCTCAGTAGGGGACGACGATCCAGGCCACTCAACGCACGACGGTCTCAACCGCTATTTCGTGTCTATTTGTCCGCTGGCCAGGCCGCCGTAGAGCATGAGTGGCAAATTCAACGACTCAATCCATATACGACTGTGTCCAGGCTTTGCATTCTCGGGTTCTCCCATACGCGGCCCTGCGGTACTTGCTTCAACTGCAGCAGGAACAGTGTCGGATGGATCTTGAACCTGCCAGCATTGCACTTCTCCGCTGCTCGAAGAGGCAAGTGTTGTTAGGCGATGTTCGTGCAAATTGCACTTCGACATGGCGCTTTTTGTCGCGGCCCACCTGAGACAAATTCTTGCGTCTCGTCCTAGCAATGTATAGCGCATTCTGCTCGAGCGGAGCCATGCTTGCTCAAATGACATCAAGCGATCCAGACGTCCAGTCAGCCATACCATCGCTGGGCGACGTTTTGGAGCCATATCTCACTGACTCCTAGTTTCGGATCAACGATGGAGTCGTGATTGACACCCTTCATGATCTTGGCGTGGTAGCTGACGGCCGATTGAGCGATAGCACTAGCCCAACAGTCATCGAAGTGTTTTGCTCCACTGGCGCCAGACATGATGTCCTTTTCGGAATGCAGGACGTCGATTTGCAGCTTTTCAGAGTCGACAGTGTCATGGCCGGAGCGTTTCTCCTGCTTGGCAATGGCTTTAGCAATAGTCCGATAGTCAAGCCAGTCCTTTCCTTCTACGATGCCCAGGTCCTTGGTGGCAGTTATTGGATTAATGTGCTTTCGTAGAAACAAAAGGGCATCTTCGGAGGAACCCTGTATGTTCTCGGCGAACATGTATTTAGGGGCCAAATGATCCATTTCGGCCTGCACAGCTTTCTGCAAGTCCTTCTCGTTACCGTGTGGCTCATCGGTCTCTCCTGTCTGAGACGGCGCAACAGTGGTGGGTTTGTCGGAAGGCCCAACGGGGTTGCCTAGTCCCGAGACCTTGAAAGCGAACGTGCGATTGATGACTGTCGCCAGGGAATGGAACCTGCCGATGGCCTGGGGCGGGAGTGCCGCAGTTAGCCTCATCAACGGCGCGCCGCTCTCTTTGGGGTGAACAAAAGGTGCAAGCAAGACGACATGAGGCCTCTTTGGGTGCAGCAAGCCACGATGCGCCAGGAGCGTCGCCAACACATAAGGCGCGCCTCCAGAATGGGATGCCAGCGTGACATGTTTGATTCCCAGGTGATTCAACAGGGCAGGCGCGGCGGCAAGCTGCACCGCAAGACGTTGCTCGATGGGGACCGGGGTTGAGCCACCAAGACTGGGCCTGTCGATGGATATGACGCGGATCTTGAGACGCTGGGCGATGCTTGCCGAGCGACAAAGCGTCCAACGACCACCTAAGAGGCCACTGATGAAAAGGACGACGCACGGGTCCGATGAATTCGAATCTGATGCTGAATCGGTGACCCCGTTATTTTGCTGGTCGTCGGCTGTGGAGTCTGCGACTTTGTCTTGCTTTGGATCTGGATGGTATCCGAGGTCAGAGTATGTGATCCGTAGAGGTCGGGCAATACCAGCATTGGGCAGAGCCGATGCAGGTAACAAGAACGACTTGTGCAGACCGATATCACATAATGTTTCAATGGCGATGGTGCGAGCAACGTCGGTCATTGTTTCTCGCTTCGAGTGAGATGGCATGCGGCGTGCTATACGATGCGGGACTGTGTCCGTTTCGAAGACCTTTACCAAAAGGAATCCTCGGGTGTTGTTTTATGTGTTTCGTCTGATCAGGCAGCCATATAAACTTAGAGATAGCACATTGTAAGTTAGTGGTGCCACTCCTGTCCCACGGGCACGTTCACCCAACGAAGAGTATCCCCCGTCACCTATGATGGGAGAACCGACTAAGATACTTTCTCGTCCAGTTACATCCCTTGATGGGATCTTGTAACGCGCCTCGATGTAAAGGAAGGACGAACGCCGAAGTGAGGTGCTAGTACGGACGAGAGGGACAACTGGCGCAATGCGCATGCTGTCTCTATGGCGCGCGGTACAACGTCCATGCGGCCGTCGGCCAGCATCTCCAGCATATTTACTCCGTTGATTCTCTGATATATTTGTGTATATCCTCGGCAAGCTCGTGAAAGTATTCTTTGAAAAAAAGGAAAGAGAGAGAGACTTTCAGGGCAAAGGCGAACCAAGAGAGAGTCGCTCACTTGGAAGCAGCAGCAGTGAACCATTTCAGCCGTGCATACTCGGGACTCTTCTGTGACCCAGTCTTCTTCGTTGGTGGTGTCTCTCGAAGAAACCGGGAAAGCGTCCGACGCAGACACAGACGGGAGCGCATGATGGCCACCGCCGCAGCGGGTACGAGTACGCCGACCAAGGAGCATTGGGATCAGCTCTGTCGAGATGTCAAGAGTAATTTGTTGGCAGAGATGGGCGAGGAGAGCTGGTATCTGATCATTGTAAGCTCACTCTTGGCCTTCTCTGCTTGTTCAATTCCAGCCCGTGCACGTCTTGTTTTGCTTGACTTGACTGAATTTGACTTGGCTATACCAATATCCTGCGCTTCTAGCCTGCTGGGACGTAAAGCAGCTGGGCTACATCTACACTGACGTCTCCTCGAGGCTGGCAACGCCACCGGGAGACCCGATGTCAAGGAACTTCCTGGTGCAAGATGTTACTCTCCTCCCCGATCCCTACCAACGGCCTCTTGGGCCGTGTGTGTCAAAGACCACTCCTCCGCATGAGCATATATAGGGCATGAGTGTATCACACTATGTGAGCACTGGCCGTTCTCGGGCGAGGAGCTCGTTTATGTCCTACCTTATGCCTCTTTCCCACCCCTTGGCACCAACCCATCCCACACGATCTGCGCTCTGCCCCTTCTCCCTTTCTCTGTTTGGATCCATCAAGCAGTGCCAACAACATAATAACCTAACCCACTATTTTCTATGAACTCAGGCCACGGCTCTCACCGTCTCACCACGGCCAAACCTCCTCGCCGACTTCTGGACATATCTCACCACGAACGACCCGTCCTTCTCGACAGCCGACGCCCAATCCCGCCTTTCCACACGCCTCGGCGACCTGCTCTTGAAGCAACTCACCCTCATTGGCGCACCCCAAGTCCTCAGCGCACTTATCCCTCTCGCCAAAGTCCAGACAGCCGGTCAGGGCGAGGAGCAAAGAGGCGAGTTGGACATACAGCAATGGTACGATCCCCATGTCTTTTCTTTTCCTCAAACCCTGGCTTGCCCCGTTTCTGCTTGGCTTCCCCAGCCAGCTCTGTCTCGCTCTCCCCCCTCTCTGCCTTTCCCCATCGCCTCTGCCCTGCCTGCCCTTGTCTCAATTCCCTGGCGATGCGCGCTTCCAATAAACTCACAGCGAGGAATAAAAGGTCTTCCATATCCCTCCCGCACCTGCACACCCGCGGCATCGAAACTATAACATCCATCTACGGTACCCTCTGGCCGCGCATCTTCAGCACATTCGGGCCCTATCGGCAACAAATGGGCCTGCACGAACTCACCGTCGTTTACGGCATGTACCTGTCCGACTTCACCCACCTCACGCCGCTCGAGACGGAAGCCGTAGTGTACACAAATATCACGTGCCAAGGGCTCGCGGGCCCGAGTCTGTGGCACGTCCGCGGCCTCGGCAGAGTATTGGGGGCGAGAGGCACGGACGACGACAGCGAGAAGGTGAGACGCGTCAAGGACGTTATCCGCGGTGTCAAGGTTGCTGTTGCGGCCACCGTCGAGTTTGTCGGAGACGAGTATGTCAGAAGGAGTAGGTTGGACGGTGGGAGTGATGGCACGCAGGGCTGGCCGAACGTGGGCGACGTGGTTAGGGAGTTGGGAGGGTGGGGGAAGGATGGACCTGAACCTGAACCCGAACCCGAATCTTGAACTTGAATATCTTGGCATCCATCAACCGAGACTGTATACCAGAGGCTCAAACGGGAAAGGTAGCGAGAAGATTGGATGGTAGGAAATGAGCCTGTTGTCAGATAAGTAATTGAAGGGAAAGAAAGCCGGTGCAGCTTGCGAACTAGTGATGAACGATGCAGCAGGGACGCGGAGTTGAGTTGAGGCAAGGCCATCAGGGGGTCTCTGGCGAGGTTAAGACGAGAAAGTCGAGCGCCCTTGCCTAGTGTGACCAGACTCAGTGCGACAAGAAAAGCCGGACAAGAGGATGCACCAGGACGGAGAGCCGAGAGCTGTAGGGGCATTCGTCGTGACGAGCCTGGATTCTTTGGGGAGAAGGAGCGCTATATACCTCCAGCCCACTAACGTAGAGATGGCAGTGCAAAAACCATGGTACTCTGCATAGCAAGTATAGATAGACTTGGGGAATGATTGTCTTACACTCGCTGGCTCGCTGGGAGGTCACGGGTACAACACTACGTGGGCGTAGATATTTCCAGCCTTTTGATTAAGGACACTGTCAATTCCCTCCAGCTCGTCATTGCTGGTCGAGCCTTGGGCGATTTATTCTTCTGGACTTGTGTAACTTCGCCCGTCTCGAAGAATAGCCCGAGCTGTACAATACACCGAAGGTTGAGACGGCAAAACCGCTTCGGCCGCATTAGGTGGCGAGTCCTCGCTTCTCGGATTCGGAGAAGAATATGAGCATACGCCAAAGCTTGCGCACCAATATTTCCGCTTCTTCATCAAGGGCCTGGGTAGGTAAAACATGTCAGCACACATCCAAGTCGACACAAAAAGTAACAAAAAAAGACTCACCCCTTCCAATTCGCCCACCAGGTCCTGCGGCTTACCCCTCGATCTCAGGGCATTGACGACATAATCCACGAGCATCTGCTCTTGCACACCGAGATACTCGACAATTTTCTTCTCGACGAATGGCTTCAGCCGTTCGTCAATGACAGTTTCATCCACAAAGTCCCACTTGACATCCCAGTTCCACAGGCCGTCTTTGTCGTTGGGGATATCTGCCGCAAGCTGCCTTGCCGCCTGTGCACGTTCTTCTTCGCTCATCACTGATGTTGTAGAAGCATCATACTGGATGGGTATGAGCGTCCTTCTACCGCCAGACTTGGATTCTTCTTCTTCGTCTTCGAGTAGGCCTTCGACATCCGCCACCGTGCGTTTCGTGGCTTGTTGCGCGCTCTGTGCTGCAGCTTTCTGCGCAGCAGCACCCAAAGAAAGCTTGAACCGTGCGGGTTCCGGACGAACTAGTTGTCGCTCTTCTTCCTGCTCTCGTCGGCTGGTCTCCTCTTCCTGCCGGCTGAGGAAGTCATCTGCCATGGCACCGGCACGCTCGCGCTGCTGGTTTTTCCTTAGACGCTCGCGTTGCTCGGCTGAGCGGTCTGCGTCGTCGTTTGCAATCTCTCGTTGGCGGAAGCTCGCACGATTTCGGATCCACAGGCTCTTGTCAGCGTAGTACTCTTCTGTTTTGCGCGATGATTCAACGTCGTCATTCCACTCTCGTAGCCGCTTAGCCATAGCCTCTTTTGCTTCCTCGGCGCGAGTCGCTTCGTCCATGTCACGCGTCTTTTCCCTCTCTACGGCTGCTGTTCGTGACCGTTCTCGGTTCAACCACCGTCGCTCTTGGTCAAGATACTGCTTCTCGAGTTCTGCGTCTTTCTTCTCTTTCCGCCTCCGCTCCAGTTCTTCGTCACTTGCATCCGTGTCTTCGTCCTCGAACGCAGATGCACCATTGATGGCCGTTCCGTTCACGAATGTCACTCCCTTCTGGTAGTCGCGGGGCAGTTGCGCACCAAATCCTTTTGGCCCCGCAGGTGCACCCCTCGGCCCAACTGGTACGCCGTTGGCACCGGCAGGCCCGGAGGGAGCACTTGGAGGTGGTGATGCAAGGCGATTATATCGTTCGTCACTCATCATGCGGTTTCGCTCTTGTTGCTCAATTTCTTCCTCCCGTCTTAGCCGCTCTAGGTCACGGCGATTGCTTCGGTCCCTGAAGGCGGCTATTTCCTTTGCGACAGTTTCACGCATTTCAGCTGGGATGTCGGATAACTCTTCGTCGACATTGATGGCAATCGTGACAATATCCCCATTGGCACCCTCGCCTTGACCGTTTGTCATGTTGACGTCGCCTTCGCGATCAATACTCGACAGCTCGTCTTTTTGCGCGGGCACAGCTGGGTTGGTGAGGTCTTTCAGCACGGCTTGTAATGCACTTCGCGCTTGGTCGAGCCGCATTTGTGCTTGATCTGGGTCTCGTCCTCCTTGAGCCTCTTCCCATTGCTCGATATAACTCAGAGAATTGTCGTCAGCAACGACCTGGCGCCTGTTAGCACGCAAAGACAATTGACCAGACGGTACTTACCACTAATTTTGACATTTCGACACTTGACTCTTCATCGGCATCCGCTTCTTTAGGAGTTTGTCGTTTGACAGGAACTTCAACATCCCTTAGTACTTCTATGGCGGTACTGAGACTTTCAGGGTCTTCGTACTCTGCAAATCCAAACTTGCACGGCTTGTCATCGGCATCTGTCGCTCGTAGCCAGCGTCGTAGGTTTCCAGCAGCGCGTAGTATTCTTTCGATGCCTTGGTCGCCTCCCGTTCCTTCAGTGATGCCTCCGACAAAGATTGTCTTAATTATCTCTTCTTTCGTCTGCGGTTGAACCTGAGTAATCCGATCTCTTTCGCCGCCCCGAAAGTCTGAACCCATCCCCGAGCCCAATCCAGCTCTTCTACCGCCCCTGTCGCGCTCATCTCGGCCGCCTTCAGGCTTCGCTGGGCCAGAGGTACCTAGTCGGATAACGGGGGCGGAGAAATTGATGTTGGGCATGTTGGGAGGTGGTTGGAAATTGGACGGAAAAGAGCCCGGTCTACTTGTGTGGTGAGCTTCTTGTTGTTGTATCCCGGGAGGAGCGGCCATGCCTGGAGCAGCCATACCAGGAGGTGGTGCTGTAATAGTGGTCAGTCCTTGAAGGCTTGAGGCAAAGCTGTCCAAACTTACCCATTCCTGGCGGTGCACCCGGCATACCACCATAGTCTCCAGGGGCGCCATATTGTCCCGGTGCTGAATGTCTGTTAGTGGGCGATTGGCCCAGTGGTAGATCCGCCTACTGACCTTGGTAAGGATTGTACATGATGGGCGCGCAACCACTGCGATTTTGTCTGGCTGCAGGGTTCTTACTCAGTTGGTCTCGAACAACATGGAGATGCGACGTGTATCCGGGCGTTGACAAGAGATCCCAAGGCACGTAACCGAGTGATGGTGTCCTGCTTGTCACCTTTCCTATGTTCTCTGCGGACTGAAGAAAGGCCTGTCGCAGGCAAAAGTAGGCCGGATCACGGGAATACTTTATTCCGTGCCAAGGCGGCAGGTACTTTTTCCCACAGCCCATACGGAGTACTCCCTCAGGTAAGGAGAACGCGGTGGTTGGATTCCTGAGAAGTAATTCATTCATTATGAATACTAATGTTATTGTCACCAGCATCAGAATCCTCATCACGGATATGGCATGTACGCACCGAGTCTCGGTCCGCATTCGAGGTGGACGCAATATCTCAGAATCCAACACTCGGAGGTCGAAACACCCAGATTCGGGGCTCTTGTCTAGCAGCATCTGAGCATTCATTACCTGCCGAGTCATTCTTCTTACGACATCCATATTCCACAAAGGCTCAATGTCCGACACAAGCCACGCTTGGGATCATGAACATGTCCTGATACGTCGATGGGGTGCTAATCCGGAGCAGACAGCGTGCATAGAGCGACGACTACTCCGTACCTCGAGTAATGTTTCGTGACAGGTCCGACCTTCAAAAGCCGCCCCAGCAAATCTTCAAGAGTCTCATCCCGGCCCAAACTTTAAAGCACCGACTGGCTGCTAATTCCGGGGTGCAGGAGGATCAAGGTTTCGAGGGCGGCTACAGCCTCATTCGAAGCATTATCGAGATTGATTTCTTAGCCACTTCAGAAGGCGTAGCAGCAGATCCCTGTGTGTTTCGGCTTTAACCATCATTAGCTGCCGCAACTCGATCACCATCCAGTTGGCGAGACTGTATTTGGCGGTTCGCGACGTGATACATCACATTTGTTGACCAGAATAGGTGTACTATTTCCTGCCAGTCTATACGAGTGCGCAAGGTCCTTTCCTGCAGGAGTGAGCTGCTCATTGACGCCCGACGGGATCGAGGACTGACCCAGCGAGGCCAGCCCTTAACTGCCGCACATCATGCGGGTGCGCCGATCTGGCTTCGGAGTCTGGGGTTCTGGAGCACACTTGCACTGGACTTCCATGGCCGCGAGCCAACGACATGCCGTCCCACTCACCGACTGGCAACCCTTAGTGACTCGAACTACGAGTACCATCGCAGTATACCTGTCGACTGTGGATGGTTGGGTGGGATGCTCCGTACACTAACAATCAATACGAAGTGGTGCCCACTGCCCATTATCACCCCCCTCACCGCAGCCAACCTGTTCGTGTTTGAATTGCAGCTTTTTAGGCTCCTAGTGGACGCACTTTGGCAAGTCATCATGCTTGCTTTGCCTACAGGAAGTGGGGTGGAATTATGCAGGTGTCCTCTCCCTGGCACCCTGGTTGCATCCTCCGTAGGATTCGACTTGAGGCAAGCACAACACCGCCCATAAGGACAGGGATATGCTGCCTGTAATCCTTGGATTTTCGAGCTCTCTTTCCCTGGCTACATCACCTAGCCCACTGAGACAGAAGCATGGTGGATTGGCCCGAACGGGCATCAGGGGAGCTGATGGGACCTTGACAAGCCACTAGTGGCAGGGTACACCTCATAAGACTGCCCGCCCCCGCCTGACGCCCTCGACAGATCCATCACTCAAGATTTCTCGCCTTCTTCTTTATGAGTCCTGGAGTCCCTACTTGTACTTATACACAATAGTCCCCTTAGCCTTTACCTAAAGGTGGCTCTTGGACCATTCTTCCCGTCGTCGATCGCCGTCCGAGAACCGAAAACGTCACGGCTGTCAATTTTTCTTCGGCACCATCCGTAGTTGGCGGTTCGGGAGCTTCAAGTTACGGACAAGCCAACAATCGCGGTTCTCACAAACCTATTAGCCATCTACCTACTGTCAAAGTCGCACAAGGCACTTTGTTGGCCACTGTCGATTGCGACCCAAACCGTTGCTGAGGGCTAAAGTTGTGATTTGTGTGGACACTGGACAGTGGCTGTTGCCGACCTTTGGGTCTTCAAAGTTGTGGCTCCCACGGCTCCCTAGGCCCGAGCAGGCTCTCCTCATGTCATATTGCGGAGCCTACCTCTTCGCCTGAGCCCAACTTTAACTTAAGTCTTCAACCTCAGGCTCTCCATCATCTACCGCGGACTGTGGTAAACTGCCCGCCCTCTCACCGCCGTCTTTCTCTCTTATAACTACAAATGATGATCCTATCCTCCGATGGCTTCTGTCACCTCTAGCCAGATCATTTCTCCCGAGAATATCGCCGCTGGCTATTCCAAGACCAGCCGTCGACAATACCAGAGTTGCGACCAATGTCGCAAAAGTCGAAGAGCGTGTGATGCCAGTGCATTGCGAGTGGTCAACTTTCCTCTAGGTGAGGACGAAGGAGGTAATCCGTCATCCTCAACTTGCGAAGCGTGCTCCAATTGCGCCAGAACCAGCAAGAAATGTACATTTGAATGGCTCCGCTTGCGTCCTTTAGACGGTCTACCTAAGGGTGTTAAGAGAAAGCTCGTATCGACTGGTTTTCCCGAAGCCGTTCTTGCTTATACACATGCAACTCCCGAGGCCCCTCCGCAGCCATCTCCTGAGTTTCACGCCTCTTTAGCCACAGACGAACCTTTACAGTCTGGGTGTCTACCCTCGTTGAACGGGCATGTATCCAGCGATGCTGGTCACACAACTGCAGCCTCGTCGGCGCAATCCAATGGTTCGCTTCATCGCAAGCCCTCATCCGAACTCCAGAACAGCTTCGAGTTTCGGAGCCCATCTCTTCCTCTCACGATCTCAAACTACAACCTACATCCACCCCAGTTCCGATCTCCGATTGTAATGCCGCTTTCGAGACCTAGAGCTGCCAGACTAGAGAAACCCAATGACTGGAATCCTCCCAGTCTTGACCGCTTCGACACTTACACTTCTTCTGCAAGTTACGACTCGACCGAGTCTCGTACGATCAGCGCCACCTCGCAGACTTCATTCAGCGCCACCTCTGCCAGCTCGGATTCCGGCGGTGAGAATGACTACGCAAAATCTCGATTGCACAAGGCAGCAATGGGCACGACGTCCGCCCCAACGCAACCAGACAGGTTTTCCTTCGATGAGTTCGCCCGACGCGGTTCCACCGGCTCGAGCGCCGTATCTAGTGGCCGACGGCAGAGTTCGAGTCCACTCTCTTCACGCCAAGTTCGCTTCGCAGACGGCGCGATGAAGACCATGATCGCCACTGGACTCCTACGCATATATCATGATAGCTTCGAAAACTCACTGTCCTGCTGGGTCACCGAGCAAAACTGTCCGTACGAAACAGAACTCATGGACCTGCTCGCACAAGTCACTCCCAGCTCCACGGCAGAAGAGGCGGCGTTCAGACTAAGCGACAATCGCATCTTCTCTCGCGTGTCACGACTCGATTCAGCATTTTCGCGGCTGAGAGGGAGAGAATTGAGCCCGATGGAAAATCGAGCGGCGTCCAATGCTCTCAATTCAGCCATCATGGCTTTCGCGAGCCAGTGGTCTCACAGCTCACACAACGCCTTCTGGCGCAGCAAAGAAGGCCTCTCCAAAATGCAAGCGTGGCAAAATAACGGGCGGACACTCTTCCCACCCACAAGTCGGCCCAACGACCCGGTATTATCGACGGATTGTGAGCGCATGATTCAGAAGACTTTGTGGCATGAAGCTCGAAAGGCGATTCAGGCCACGACCGAAATCGACTCGTTCAAGGTCATTCTGGCATATATGCTCTTTGCTCTGACGCAACGACCAGTGGACGAGAACCCTAAATCTGCGCCCGACTCGAGTAAGGACGCTACCTCCTTTGAGCAGCGGAACAGCATGCGAGAAACTTCTGAAGAACCCGTCTCTGCAGCGGCACCTGCTACCCAGTGTGCTGACCGGACCGCTTCTACCCCGACACACGAGGAATGGGATCCTTTCCAGACAAGCGAGCTCGAAGGCCTTGCTTCTCCTCCGGTCTATCTTGAGACTGCTGTTCGCAATTTATTTTCCTGGAGGCAGAAGGTCGAAAGATATCGCCGGATGCGATCGAAGAACAAGGCAGATGACGCTCTGGCCGCACTTGCTCTGAAAGACCAACAAACTTTCAACATCCTCTTCTGGCTTGGAGTCATGTGCGACACGACGTCTTCGGCCATCACTAGACGGCCATTGGTCATAGCGGACGAAGACTGCGGCATGATCCGCGAAAAGTTGAAGTCCATGTCGCTCAATGACAATCTAGGTTCCCAATGGCCAGACAGCGACCCTACAGACCAGCAAGACGACGACGACTGCGAAGCGCTCTGGGGAAAATACCTCCTAGACTTCAAGCCCACGGGACCCAGACCTTTGGCTCGCTGGCCATGCAGTTTCGACGAAGCCGCACTGATCCTGCAAGAAGCCATCCCCGTCAAGGTGCTCATGTTCCGCAAAGTCGGCCAACTTCAAACGCTCGCGTACCGGCGCAACGCGCCCTCGAAGTTGGAGAAATGCATCGAGGAGGCCCTCGAAGTCTACCAACACTGGAACGCGACCTACGGCCAGTTCATGCTCGACTGCGTCGCCCAGCACAACCAACTTCCACCCCACGTGCAGTCGTGGTACGTTATACTGGACGGCCACTGGCACTACGGCTGCCTCCTTTTGGCTGACAAGATCTCGCAAACCGACAAGGAAGACCGCACGATGAAAGTTCAGCGCCAGCTCCGCGCCACATGCAGCCTCATCGCCGAATTGCGCAAGGACAACGCCCACGCCATCGCCAGAATCGCCGAGGCCAGCTTGTCCGAACACGGGCCCAGTTTCCGGAACAATTCGGAATTCCACTTTGCATGCAACGGCAGCGCCATCCTGACGGAGCCGTGGACGGACATCCTCGTCCGCGCCATGGGAAGCGCGTGCAAAATCTTCATCAATTGGCTGGCGGCCTGGCATACTCCGACGGACAGTATGCACGACTGGGTAGTTAAGAATACCCTTTACGATGACTTGTACTTGCAGGCCGAGATCTGCATCCAGGGTATGACGCTGCTGGGGCGAAAGTCCGACGCGGCCAATTATACGGCTGAAGTGTTTTGGAAGAAATTGAGCAAGGTGTGCGAAGGCAGGCGGTCGACTCCGACTGGCAGTGTCAAGGCCGAGAAGGCTTAGGCGAAGGGGAGGGAAGCTGGGGTGCTCAAGCACTCGTAGCAGCTGCCTCTATCTCTGTGCCCCCGACGGCATCAGCACTGAATCACAATCATTTGACGACTAAAGATACCCATAAAGTTTGATATTTCATTCGGCGTGAAGAAGCAAGGGGTATGTGGACAGGGAAAAGGGGATTATGGATATCTTGACACAACATATCATGTATCCATGTTAATGTTAAATTGCCTCGCGATTGGAATCTGAAGAGATGTCTAACGCTGCTTCATTCGTGCATTACTCTTGCTTCTAAGGCCATGTTCGAGAAACACAATGCCTTGTAGTGCTACGAAGCCACGATACAATGCAGGATTGAGACTTGCCCATAATGGGCATGCATAGCATGGGCAGAGATTGATGATATTAGGATTGACGAGGTGTTTGTTCAAAAGAGCAGACCTCTCGCTGTAGTATGAATGCACTGCAGGGTATCATTCGTTCCTTGTCTCCCACTTCCAAATTCAACTATCGCTGTTGTTCACCGACTGACTGCCATCATGATTGCCTTGTCCAGATCAGCCCAGCCAGCCACATGTATCTATGCGTTGGTCTTGTCTCCACCGATCTTCATGCTGTTGTCCTTGTCCGAGTCGACCTGCATCAGTCTTGTCAGTACTTCTATGCATGTCTAGTTTGAATATAGTATGCACGTACTCTGGGATCAGCCTTGTTCAAGAAATCTGTGTTGTGTGGACCAGCGGTTGATTGAGCAGCTCCAGTGCCAGCAGTGCCGAAGGTAGAGCCAGAGTATGGTCCTCCCACAGCGCCGTGTTTGTAACCACCAACGCTACTGCCCGGGTTCTCGCGGTGGTCAAGGTCAGAATCGACGCGTGGCTGCGAAATGTCAGAAGTTGTCTTGTTGCAGGTGTCTGGACGGGAAGACTCACATCAAGCTTGTTGGCGGCATTGGAATTGTGAGGGCCAGCGTTAGTGCTGCCGTGCTCGGTATCTGCAAGATCGTGAGCAACCTGTATCGACCAAGACACATGATAGTATAGGGCAGTGGGTTAGACGCAGTCTTATGGGGACTCACCATGCTTCGCCTGGTGATGGCCGAGGGTGTCTTTGGCTTTGTCGATGATGCCTGACATGATGTCGTAATTGGTATTGATTGTGTATTTGGTGGAAAGAAGTTGAGGTCTTCTTGATTGATAGTGGTGTAGAAGTGGTGTCAATGGTATGTGGAGTGAGAGAGAGAATGCAGAGTTAGGTCACAAATGCACGTAGATATAGCCTGGCGCTGGGCGCAAGTGGTGACTTCTGTTTGATGATTTCCTCACTCAGGAAGCCGCGTGGTGACATGGATGACGAATCTATTCTGCTGGTGATTGTCACTGTCAAAAGGCAGGAAGGGGGCCAGTGACGGTGGTTAATGGAGGCACGGAGTGAAGGAAGGTACAAGTGAGATTGGCCAATACGGCGTAGAGATGATGAATTTGAATACATCTTTTGCTTTATCACTTGTCATCTTCACTTGCGTTCCAGTTGGTCTGCGAAAGGTGAAACGTCGAGGTGAATGGCGGCTTGCAGCCGACGACGCAAATCGGACTCGTGTTGAAGATGATGGTGTAGGCCAGGGGCGTGCGGACGAGACCTCGGAATCAGCTCATCTCAACCACTTCGCATAGGCCCATTCTATACGTCGAAGGACATTGATTTGTCGGCCCACACCAGACTTGATGTCCAATAAATCGTCCAGATCTTGCAGGAATTCTCTTTGAGTATTCCGTGGCAGGACCACCATGGCTCTTTGGCGTAGGAGATGTGTTTCACAGAGCAGGACACCGTGGTTTTCTTCAGAGATGATGCCATCCTCGTCCAAATCCGAGTTGGTCAGTGTTCGGTCGATGTTTCTAGCATTCAAGTCAGTGCTGGTCGCCGCCTTCGTTACTGAGTTTTCACATACCTGACTAGCCGAAGTGCCTCGCCCTTTTTCTGTCCCTGGCGGAGGCCTTTTCGACCACTGAACACTCCATGCAACCACTGAAACAAAGCATAAGATATCAGAACCCCAGGAGCAATCCCGACAAATCCAAACAATAGTTCTTGGCTCTTGAGGAGAGAGTCAATGCCTCCGATCGCGGTTTCGACGTCGACTTTGGTCTTCTGGACTTGAATGAGAAGCGTCCGAACCAGCTGTCCCATGATTGCATTCTTGATCGGGCTTTGCATTTCGCGCTCGTACGCTTTGAGTACAGGAGTCAGATCGCCTTCTCTGACTCTAGTTCGGATCTCTGCAATCTGGGCTTCGGTGAAGGCGGTACCATTATCAGGGTTCTGCAAGGCAAATTCCACGACCATACGTTCCAGGCTCTCCCGGTCGGCCTTCAAGCTGTCTCTGCTTTGGATGGCAATCTCGCTCTGCTCGTCGTGACGAATAGTACCAATGAGCTTTTTGGTGGGTTCCAAAACCCAATTGGCCCAGAAGTCAATGCAGGTCTGACCAAATTCCCTGAACCACTGGGCGATCTCGGCCTTCCGATTCAGCACTATCCTCAGGATTGTACTGCCAGACAGGAGAAACCCAACAGCAGGGATCCAGTATCGAACAAGCCTCGGCGGCTTACCGTACTTTGAGCGCATTAGATGCGCCTCATTTTCTTGCTTGGGCAAATGTTCATCAAGGACTTTGATGAGTGCCGCGGCTACTTCTGTCGATGAAGCTGTAGTAGGATCGAGCACATAACCTTCCTCGTCGCTCTGTGGCCTTGTGGCGGAATCTAAGAGACAGACCGTCCTGGCGATGGTGGTTTGCCAGTCCTCTTCTTGTGCATTGATCATCTGAGGTAATGCTCCATGTTTGCGCTCGTCCGGTGCACCTTCAAAGACGAGACACTCACGAACCAGCCGGCCGATGCTTGTTGAACTTGATTTCTTGAGAGTTTTAATATGTTGCAAATTGCCTCGGGCTTCGATTCGTGCGATAGCGAAAGGTGAGAGTATCTTGGTTTGAGCTTGGGCTAACGATCTCTCTCTGATGCTGTTTCGAACTAGGCGATAGAACTCGCGCCAATTCTCAGACAAGGTGTCGGTAGCCTCTCGCGCAGACGCTCGGAGGTCGGCTCCAGCACGAAACCTCTGCCGTGCATCTGCATATACTTCTTTTGCCTGTTTCCAGAACCGAAGTGGCGATGTCTGGACCGTATAAAGTGCTATGTTTGAATATGAGCCCAGTACGTCGTCCCAGTACCATATCGATTCACTCAGAGGGATTGTGCGATCCAACAAGGAATCGAGTATCAGTCCATAGACTTGAGCTGTCGCCTTGCCGGTAGCCACCCATTCCAGATTGGAGACATCTGAGTCGGTTGTTTCAGTTGCGACCTGTTGGCCTTGTTTCTTCGCGAGTTGGGAGAGAAGACTGCGCACCCGAGAGCGGCGCAACAATGGCCTCGAACTGGAGGTGGTGGACAAGGATCGGATGACAGCTTTGAGCTGGGAACTTCGAGGATCTTCTTCAGCTTTGGCAGCGATTTCGCGCCCTTCGGCACCAGCAGTTGCAACTCTTTCTTCTGCTTCTTTCAGCTGGAACCTGTCTAGAGCGGCATCGGCTCGTCGAAGGTCGCTATAATAACATCAGCAAAGCACTGCGGTAACTGGACATGAGCATACTCGTCAATGAACGACATTTCGACTGCAAAGGACAGAGTACAATCGACCCGAGCTCCGAATGGTAGTGACGAGTTCTCAGAGTATCATGGTCTGAGATGGCCACTCTGCACGTGAGTACTATCGAGAGAGCAGCTGCATCGCAACTGCGTAATGTCTCCGAGGAAGGACTACGAAAAGATATGTCTAGGGAAGTCTCGAAAACTTGCAGAAACCTGTCTGAGCAAAGCACAAGCCCTCGAGAAGTTCAAAGCAGTTCAAGAACAATCTGATTGGGTGACGTCAGGTGAACAACACTTTTGCCGTGTCGGTTCTTTATCAACGGGTTCGCATTATCGAACCCTACGACTACTCGTACCTATCCTGGCTGTCAATAACAAGGTTACCTTGCTGGTAGCCGACGTCGGTTTAGACCATCTCGAGCCATGAATTAAATAGACCTCCATCCGAGCTGTTGGTGGTGGAAGAGGAGTGGGCGTACCAATGAATCTGATATTGCCAAGCGTGATCAGGCTGCGCTTAACTCGAGTGTAAGCCGCAGGCCCAGCGAGCCTGGTAAGCCTACTAGCCCTCAGCCAGGTGCTGCCTTTCGCTTAGAGGCCCTGCTTAATAAGTGAGTTCATGCCCCCCAATTATCTCGCCCACGCCTGTAACTCGCCCGCCAGTGGACCACAAGTGATCAAGTTTCTCCAGCCACTCTCTCCAGAAGCCACCATCATCCATCATCCACGTCCGACGTCCAGCGACATCATTTGTCGCATCCATCACTCCCACCCAATTCCTCCTTACTCCCAGGCTACGCTCTGCCGTTTCCTGCATTCTACACGATCCATATCAAGATCTCAGTCGACATTCCTTCCGTCTCTTCGCCGTCACCATCACGACTGATTTGGCCGCCATCTCGCACAACTTTCACTATCTATCCCCCTCCGAGAGACACCCGTTTGTCCAACCACCCGCCCCATCTCTAAAACGAGTCGACTTACACTGCTCTCCGGCTTCCGCAACGATCATACGGCCTAGCAATGGCAGGCACGCGGAATTATGATTTCCTGGTACGACACCACTTTCATTCCTGAACGGGCACCATCGTCAACTGTCCTCAAGTCAGCAGACTGACGCTTTGTCTCTAGATAAAACTTCTCCTGATCGGCGACTCGGGCGTCGGAAAGTCATGCTGCCTGCTACGATTCAGCGAAGACAGCTTCACCCCCAGTTTCATCACAACCATCGGCATAGATTTCAAGATCCGAACAATCGATCTAGACGGCAAGCGAGTGAAACTCCAAATATGGGATACCGCAGGACAAGAAAGATTTCGGACAATCACCACCGCTTACTACCGAGGTGCAATGGGTATCTTGCTGGTATACGATGTGACGGATGAGAAGAGCTTCAACAGTAGGCATGACCCAGATCATCAGGAGACGAGACTAACACACGGGTGGCGCAGATATAAGGACGTGGTTCTCCAATGTCGAACAACATGCAAGCGAAGGTGTCAACAAGATTCTGATTGGCAACAAATGCGACTGGGAAGAGAAGCGGGCTGTTTCCACAGAACAAGGACAAGCACTCGCGGACGAGCTCGGCATTCCCTTCCTCGAAGTCTCGGCCAAGTCGAATATCAACATTGAGAAGGCATTCTACTCATTAGCATCGGACATCAAGAAGCGACTGATCGACAGCTCGAAAGAAACTGGTGCTGGAGCCGGAGGTCAGACGGGCGGAGGTGGCGTTAATGTCGCACAAAACCAGGCTGGCGGCATGGGTGGGAAGTGTTGCTAAGACCAAAGTGGACGATCACGAAAGGCTGCTTTATATTGGAGGCGGGGCCAATCCACTCTGATAGATGAAGACGGGAGAGAGGCCAGGGACGTTGCCCTTCCAGTCGGTGGAGACCACGCACCCTGGGTTAGAACGTCTACAACTGCGGATGTGTTGAGGTGGGAGGACCATCTTTGGGCTCCTAGAGCATGCAGGATGCAGCAAACGAAGCGTAATACTAAATGATGCGAAGACCGACTTTCAGGCTTTGATGACTTTCACTTGCAGGAGGGGACTTCAAGGCGCAGATATGGCGGGCTTTGGCAGTAGGCAGGCGTTGTTAAGGACATACATTGACAGAAAAGACAGTATTGGGCGACCGAGAACTTTTCCACCTTTTTGTCGATATCGTTTCGTCCCGGTTTTCTACGCACAGGTCACTTTGGTCCTTCGCGGACCGATAAATCTGTTCCCGAAAGGAATAACCCTCTGGATAGGTCAGGCATCAGGAACTCCATAGCCAGTCGACATCCCCTCTCCCGCGACCGTCTTGTCAATCAGCGTTGCGACAAGGGCACTGAGGCGATACGTCTCTGATAGCGAGAAGGGGGAATAGCACTTCGCCGATCTTAACGAGCACATATAAAACAACGTAGACCACAGTAACAATTCTCCAGGGGCAAAAGGTTGCTAGGTGTGGCCAGAAGGATTTCCCCGAAACAAACGAACATGTCAACGGCAAAGATGAAGAGCAAATTGTTTCTTGAGGCTTCATTCAGTGTTGCACTGCACTGCGCTGCGCTGCGAATCATAGATAAGCATAAGGTCAGCATTGCCAGCCAAACCGAATATCAAACAAATGCTCCGTGGAAATGCCCGTGGGTTGGTTGCGTGATGGTTCTTGTTTCGTTCGTTCTCGTCATTCAGAAATCTTTATCTGCTCAAGTCGTGCTTTATCATTTCATCAGTTCCGCCTTTCGATCAATTGCAGGACTCCGTCATACAGTGCGGAGATGGCACTGTACTGAGCTGAGCCTGAGACGGAGACGAGCTGCCTGCTCTTTCCCAGCCTAGTATCCCACCCCGACCAGGTAAGCGCCGAGCTTCTCGACCGTGTTGGCAGCTGTGCCGGGTTGTATTGTCTCTGGATAGTGTGTGATGAGGAGAGCTTGCTTCGTCTTGACGATAACGACACCTTCTCGACCCTATTTGCCAACGATCATTGATCAGCATCATGCTTGTCAATTCCCGATTCCCGACATAGGTAGACCCAACGGTGTACGCACCTTCTTCCCATACAGACTCGTGTCATCGGCCTTGATGACAATATATTTCTGGCCTGCGATATGCAATCCCGTTGACTGAACAGCCTTAGGTGTCGAGGTGTCTTTGTACGCGCCGACGACTTCTTGCATCTCTTGAGGCGTCACCTTGAAGTTCGGGGAGCTAGCCCATACGGATGTCCCCTCCGCATTAAAAATGGCGGCTTTATCAACGTGGCCGGTGCCAACGAGGCTAGGGTGCGGTTGTTAGCATGTGACTGGACTGGGGTGGGTTCGGATGCGGCTTGAAGACTTTGATACCTTTGATCGACGTATGCTGTGTCATTGCGACTGCGTCAGTAATAGCTCCATGTACCACCCCGCGAGGAGACTGGAGGTTCATGCATACCTTGCCAAGACATGGTTGCTGCGAGATGCTATACAGCTGGAGGACTGAGTGACGGGGAAAGGGAATATTTCGGAAGGACGGGTGATTTCGACAACAGCGCAAGTGGTGCTTGCGACGGGTCACTGCGTGATGGGCTGGTAGAAGGACCGGAAAGATGAGTAGGCTATAAGAGGAGAGCCAAGGGTTGTGAAGAATTGTTTTGCGGTGATGAAGCTGGACAGGATGTGTTGTTGGTGGAGAGGGATGGAAATGGTGCAGCGGAATTGGATCAGTCAGGATCAGGGTCGTTGATCGCTTGTCAATAATATGACTGTGACGTTGTTTTCTGACGAGAATATTAAGTATTTCCTTTTCAAATGACGACAAGGTCCCCTACGTGGCTTGGTGGTAAAAGAGGCAGCCTGATCAAGAAGCCCCGCCAATTCCTTGGCAGCGATTTATGGTTGTGGAACCAGCCTTGCCAGTAATTCTACTCGTGCTCTACTGTACTTCAGACAATGTTACTGAAAGCACTGATATTTGTTTGATGAATTGATTCTTCTCGTCCTGTTGCAGGGTCCGTAGCTCCAGTGCTAGACATCTAATCCGTTACATGGTCCCCGTCAAAGCAGCAAATGGAGATCCTAAATGCACGGCCCAGATCTGGCGTAAATTGGAATCCCCAATACCTTTCCAGTCCGTTCGCCTGCGCCATTCCACCAGTCATGTCATAGGCTCTCCTCTATACCATCCGTTGTCTATACTAGCCACCATTCATTCAAGCATAACCAGGGCCGGCTTGAAGATCTTCCATTGAGACGTCCCGAGAATTCTTGCTCTCAACCGGCTTGTAGTCTGGTGTCCACTTCGAGGAGAGTCGAGGAAAGCAGAAGCCCGGGTGGAAGATGGTCTGACATGCAGTCGCAATCACAATCATGCTGGGGGAGTATTAGCCCCATAATGCGGAGAAAAATAGACGGTGGGTACTTACACTCCCTCAAGGACAATGAAGCCAGTCTCGTTTTGCATGATAGAATTCCTCCAGCCACCAGCCATCTCAATGATACGATAGACGCATCGGATGAAGATGGTGAGCCAGGCAATCACGACGCCCAAGGCGAACAGCCGGAACTTAGTATCCTTCAAGGTCGTGGCTGCCTCGAGCGAGAGCGGAGTGCTCTTGAGACCCCTCTTTCGTCGCAGGATATATGTGAGGGCAGTGGCAGCAAAGAATGCCAGCGCAGCTACCTGCCAGCAGATACCGGCCATCATCAGATTATCTCCCAGGTCCTGTTGATCCTGAGTGTCGGCAGTTGATGCAAGAGCTCCACCGACCGCCTGAAGGAGCAGTGAAAGGAAATCGGCGGCGATGAAAATGTAGGTGTAGAAGCGAGGCTTGATGAAGGAAAACTGTGGGCCGAAGCACAGCGCGATGTGCTTGAGAGTCAGGTAGACGGCTGCTGAGTTGAAGGCGGGAGCAATGATCAGACAACAGATCTGAGTGATGAAGCCGGCGTCGGCGTATGGGTTGCTGTGCATTATTATCCGGCCAACGTATCCAATGGTTTCGGTCAGGCAGCCAAAGGATAGCGCAACCATGTAAGACCATGTTTTGTATCGAAAGCCCAAGCCCAAGTTCAGGACACAAAAAAGAGCGAAGAAGCCTAAGAAGAACGCGTTGGCACCAATGCTGGGAAAGTAGCCATAGACGGAGTCTTCAACAGGGCATTCAGGGGTGATGTCGGTACAGTTATTCGACATGATGAAGCGAGGTGTTTGATTTGAGGGAGGGGATAAAAGGAACACAATGTTTAGGGAGGCAGAAAGCTGTGTTGTTGTTTGTGGATAAAGAAACAGGATAGAAAATGAAAGGGGGTCGAGCTCATCTTTATCCCCGGAACCTCTTGAGGAATATGGAGCCGTAGAGTACTTTCAGCCATCGGATTCTGATACATAAGATTGAAACGACGAAAGAATTGCTGCGCCTGGCCTATCTCCTGGTCGATGGCTTGAGTTATGCAGAGGCATGGGCGCAGCCATGGCCAAGACCCATATGCGGATACGTGGTGGGTGCGCATGAACTTGACCCAAGTCGCAAGGCATAGCTCGATTAGGCGACGAGCCAAGCTTCAGGCTTTCCATGTGGTCTCGGAAGTCCCATAGATTAGGTGCGTACGTTGTAAGTAAGCAGTGAGTTCGTAGATTTACAGCCCCCATCTGGGTGCCCACAGTGATCAAAAGAGACGAACTTCGGGCCAGGGACATCAACCGTGCCAAGAGACACAGCGTGATGCATGCACGGCATGGTATACCGAATTTTGAGGCTTGTCGATCATAGCAAAGCCCACCAGACCCTGCAGTAGTGAAGGTGAAAGTGACAGTGAAGGAGAAAAGCAACGGCCGTACGATGTTTTCAACATTTAACTACGTATATAGATTAAGGTTGCGGGGTTATCCCTGGTCTGGACTAGCTCATTTTCTTAGACTTGTGCTATACTTCGTAGTCGCCTAGTAGTACTCACACTACTCGCTAACTTACTGCCTAGAGCCTTAACATTCCACGTGACTTTTGCGAGGACAATGCGGACTTCGGCTTCGAATGACTGATGCCTGTTTGATTACGTCGCTTTCACTCCACCTCTTCCCACAGCCGAATTTCTGCATCTCGTTAAGAGTCCGAGCGGAAAGCTTTGCAGCGCCAAGTTTCAGGCCCACGAACTTGAATTCCGAACGAAACGGGCGAACATTTTCACCGAATGGCTCCGTATCTAATGCGTGCGTGGCGCAAGGAAGTGTGCGACTTTCGCATCAAGCTAACCAAAAGAAGCGGCAACTTGCGATTTGCTCGTTTGACTGTTGAGGCGAGGACTTGTCGAACACGGGACGGTGTGTCTCGTCTTGTTGCGCTGCTTGCTCCTTCACTTTCGTTGGTCCTTCTTCATCTGTCCCACGAGTCCGAGCAATAATGGCTATTTTTGACCGCCGCATCTGAGCCCTATGGACAATGTCCCCTGTTGACTGGCGGTCTGAAAATTACTAAGCCCACAGCGAGATTCGGCGCCGCGGCAAGCTACGTCTTGCACCGCCAGCTCTCATTGGAACCAAGACTCGACAACGCCATGGTGGTGGCTGATGCTTGATTTGACTGTGATTTCGTTTCAAGAGAAACAAGGCCGCCTATTCAGGAGATGTTATATATTGGGGACAGCCTTGCGATCGTGAAATCGCGTGACGCGTCTCATATCGGCTCCACTAACCACCTTCAAGATCTAGTTGATAGCTCTTCTCAGTGAATATGGTCTATCATGGACCCAGTGGTGGCTGCAAAGCATGCAGAACTCGTCGGGTAAAGGTAAGTCGATGCGAGGGCTCAAATTTCGTGTTTCGTGTGTCTCCTTATCATGCTCGTTTGTCACTAACCAACCCAGTGCGACCAATCAAGGCCATCCTGTCACAATTGTATTCGCCGGCGCCAGAATTGTCCTGGCTATGCGGATGTATTCGACGGAGCTCACAGAAGCCAGAACAGTATTGTCTTGCGGCGAGTCGAGAGGCAGAATGCTTTGCGAGACTCGACGCCTAACAGCGACAGCCCAAGCAGCAACAACTCCGCCGAACATACGTCTTCAGAATCAACACCATCCAGCACAGGCAGTACGAGTGCACCTAGTTCGAAGCCTGTCAGAAAGCCTTTGCAATGGGTCATCTATTCCGCTCCGGTGACAGAGATTGAAACAAAGCATGATGATTCAGAGGCAGCGGGAAAGAACGAAAAGAATGCGATTGTTCGACCGAGACACTCAATTCCGCCCATGTCGATCGCTTTGAAGCCAGACTCTGAAGAAGCTTCGACGTGCTTTTTCTTTCGACACTACACCGGCACCGTCTACGACGAAAACGTTCACAGTGGCTTCGCTCTTATGTGGCAGCCACTTTTCCTCAAGTCCTCTGTGGATTCTCCCCTACGGGCAGCCACAACCGCGTTCACCGTCAACATAACCATGATGTGGTGCTTGCAAGGCTGTGACACTCGACCTGCGCGAAAGCTTTTGACCAAAGCAATTTCCGCGACACGGCAAGCTATCCAGAACCCCACGCCAGATAAAATGGACGAACTACTCATGACGATCCTCATCTTTGACCTCTACGACTCCATGGTCCAGCACTACGTCCCCACGCCTGTGTCCTCTGGGAAGCACAAGGAAGGCGCTCTCGCTCTAGCCCAACTCAGGGGCAAGACGAATTATGACAATCCCTTGACCAAAGGGCTTGCCAACGCGACTCGTAGCGCCCTTCTGACCCACGCTCTGGGAGCTCGGACGCACCTTATGCCAGGCGCTGAGAACCTTTTCAACGATCCTGCGTTTCCGCAAACAAAAGCGGCAGAGCTCGAGTCAATCACTGTGGAGATTATAGCTCTACAGGCTCGGCTGTGGGACATGAGACGCACTGGCCGGCGGGTACAGCAAGTCTACGAAGAAGTCATCATGGAAGCTATCAGCATCGACGATTCGCTCGTTGAATGGCGACAATCCATCACAGACCCGAGGTGGCTACCTCAATACGTTTATCGCGACGACGTCGCGCCGTCGCTTCGAGCCGCGGGCTTCTACGGCGAGCAGTGCGCCGTCTGGCCTGACCTGATCTTTGCCGAGATGTCAAACCACTACTACCAGCGCCGCTTGCTCAACCTGCAACTGATCCGCCAGGCGCTTGCTGATAATCCGAATTTTCTCGCCAAACCCGAGAATGTACAACTTCTACACACGACAGATGCCACTGTCCAATGTCTCGTCGATGCCGTTTGCGACTGCATCCCCTTCCACCTGGGCGATACAGTCGTGCTCACGAACCCTGTATACAGCGACGAGATCAACTTCCCAATCAAGACACTCAGGGATGCGACTACTGGGGAGACTACCACCATCCCATACCAGATTCCTGTCTACAAGACACGCGCCGCGGCATCTGGCGGCTGGACGTTGTTCCCCTACGTCTGCGAGATCTACCGGCTAGCCGAACCTGAAGACGATGCAGCCCCAATTGTTCTGCGCGAGGGACAGCTGGACTGGATTAAGGGCCAAGTCAAGCGGATGCAGAAGATATTCCTCTACTGCGATCCGGTGTGGTAAGTCAGACTATGTTTTCCTTGAGAAGCTTCCCGCATCTTGCTTGCTCCTATACGGACTCCTATACTGCTGATCGCCTGCGTACTGATGACTGGTCACACAGGTTCAAGAGGATTCCACCCGCTGGACGGCCCTCGGCTCCCGATACCCTGGACGCTTTTTGGTCGGGAAGGGGGTCTTTCCAAGGCTCAAAGAATGTAGCTGGGCATGGTTAAACTAGAGTCATATCCATGGTATGGTCGACGCTGGATGACAATGCTTGGATACGATATGCCGCTGAGATGAGTGGACACTGGCTGGCTTATTGGGGTGTAGTAGCGGACAGTACTCTCTCAGCTTAACTCTAACGACCCAGGTCCAATGCCACCCGTCGATGAAGACGATAACTATTCCTGTGCGAGACGTTGAGACGACACCGAATCGTCACCGTCAAAACTCTCGAATCATGGGGGAAGCCGATGCAATCTGCGAAATCATGGTACGCACTATTGAACGAAGGTTTCACCATTGTATGCCAGTCTTCTTGGGCCAAGCTTGATACGATTCCAACTCAGCAGGATACGGCTACTCGATAAGAAAGGTAAAGCGCACTCTGGCCAAGGACGGTCATCTACATTCAGTATCGTTTTCAGATGTACTTGGCAGCGCTAGTCAGGCGCGGCAAAAGACTGCTCGACAATGCAGCCAGAAATGGAACGAAGGATTTCTCGCGGCGTTAGCTTGTGAGATCATTCTGTTGCCCCCAAGGATGGTGTTCGATATCCATGCAGACCAGTATCCTCCATACCGTTTCATGAGCCTGAGCCAAGCGAGGCGCCGAGAAGGGGATACCATGCCTTGGCTGGAGGCCACAATCTTCCTGATGCAGACATGAATCTGCTGGCAATTATCAGGCTTTCAAGGAGCTACCCGCACCCAAAGCGGCGAGATGGCCTAGAAGCTGATGATAGTCCTGCGAAGGAGGTGTGTATCACGAAGTGGATCTGTCAAAGGCACTGCATCTTTTGGCGAATGTACGGACGTAAAAGAGACCTGGAGCAGAGGTCCGTTTGCATGGATCGTTTCTGGATCGTGTTGTGACGATCTGCTTCGCGGACAAAAGCACCGCCCAGAATGAGGATAGCCATAAAGAGCAGCACTCTGAACGCGGACCCCCGAGTGCAGTGCTTGGCGAAGATATCGTTGAGATACTTCGTGACTGCTTTTGTAAAGGAAGTTACGAGATTATGAAAGCTGCCGAGAGGCTCGCGTACGCATGCAAGTACATGGAGCCATGGGTTCGATGATTCCTCCACAACCAGGGCGCCTTACAGGGCGATTTTGACTTACCTTGCATTTGCGGTGGGAATGACCCCTGCTTGGGACACATGTCCTTAGGCTTACCAACGCCGGTAGGGTTGGCTTGGGGGCCAAGAGCGATGCTACATCGTATGTTATGTCATCTATGGTTGTTGTCGAGAGTGTCTCCGGTTTGATGCTCCGTACTGGCCAAGCTTATAAGCCAGTGCCCCAATGAGAGGTTCAGCTTGCCGAAGCGTTCCAGAAGGGACGGGCTCTGTGCAGATGGATTTGCTTAAGGCGTCCGTATTCTCATCGCATCGGTGCATCTGCTGGAAGATCGGCGCGCTGATAAAGGGAAAATACGGACTCCTACGACGACTGTCCCGGAAACAAAAGCTTGGGATTCAACACCGTTATTGCCAGCATCGAAGGAGATCGATCCGGCAACTACCGTGCAAGGAGCGAGCTGAGCATCACCACGGCGAAGGCGAGAAGCTGCTAGAGCCGGATTGACGCTGGAAGGATGACTTCCTGGTATATTTTGAGACTGGTAGGTGGTTCTTCCTTGTGTAGGATCTCGACTCCTCGTGGAGCGGCACTAAGCTGCTGAAGCTGCAGTGAGTGCGTTGGACAGCAGGACGCGGCCATAATATGGTCAAACTCTGTCCATTCCTGTCAAATCGACTGGATTCGCCCAGTCACGCTTTCGAAATGAGGCCGAGGTTACAAAGATTTCCACTTCGGTGGTGACATCAATGCTACGCGTATGCTTCATTCTCCAATCATTCAACAATATCTCTTCAGCCATCATTATCGTCAACTTGAGGCATGGAATCCTAACTATTTCATGGTATACACCACTAGATGCTGCTAAAGGTAAGAAAATGCATCCGTCACCAGGCTGAAACTGGTGAGAAAGAGCCCCCACGAGTCATTGGTTCGCTTACACATCACCTGCCCCTTCTTTCACAGGCGAAACCGGTGCTGCAGCTCTTGCTTCCGCAAGCGCTTGCGCCTTGATTCGACGTGATGCCCGTCAAGCAGCACGACTTCTGGGTCAGGTTTTTTACATATCTCGAATTGTGAGCCAAACCTCAGAAGCTCGAGCGCCCATCGGACATGTCAGAATAAAGCTGCCCCATTCTACGCAGAAACATCTCCCCAAGACCCAGGTTGGCCAGCGCCAGTTTTCGGTCTACAGCGGTAGGCGAAACTCGGCCCCCAAAGCCACAGCGTTGCTATGGTACGTTCATGCATGCCCCTTTTACCGGGATATTGTTTGAGGTCGCCCACAGTCATCACGCCGAGAGGACGGCGGGCAACACTTCTTAAGGCTCAGGGCAAGCGCTTCCGAGTCCATTGCACTTCACCAGTCTTTCCAGCTTACATTCTGCGCCGAAGACCTCATAATGGGTATTGACATCGAGAACAGTTCGATACATCTATTTCAGTCTCCTGAAAGGCTCGAACTTCTCAACGATATCGACAGATTCCGCCAGCATGGACTCGCAAATCTTCCTCAGATTGTCGTATGCGGGGATACGAGTAGTGGCAAGTCATCCGTGCTGGGAGCCATCTCCGGGATAGGTTTCCCAGTGAGCAGTACCATTTGCACCAGATTTGCAACTGAAATTGCTTTGCGGTATTCGAACGACGACACCGTGTCCGGGCGAGCATTCATCAGTCCAGCTCCCAACTCCCCAGAAGCACATTGTTCTCGGGTCAAATCATTCGACAAGGCCATTGCTAGTCTAGAAGCCATCCCAGAAATCATGCAAGAAGCCCAAAATGCCATGGGCCTTGGCAATGATGCTGGTATAAGTCGTGATGTACTACATCTAAGGCTTCAAGGGCGACTACTACCAAATCTCACGCTGGTAGATCTACCAGGTCTCATTCACGCTTCCGAAGATACGAACGATATAAGAAAGGTTCAAGAGCTTGTTGAGTATTACTTCAATCAACAGGAGAGTATCATCCTGATTGTTGTCTCCGCTGAGAATCCTATCAACAACCAAGGTATCCTGACATCCTCGCGGCGTTTTGATCCCACTGGAGCCAGGAGCATCGGCGTTATCACTAAGCCGGACCAGGCTCAGCGAAGCGACAAGATCGGACTGTTGCCTGCGATCATTTCACTGGCCAAGAACCAGAACAATACCTACAAGTTTCGGCGACCTTGGCATATTGTCCGCTGCCTCAACGATGACGAACGATCTCGAGGTGTCGATCGTGAGATTTTGGAGCAAGAACTGTTCTCAAGAGACCCGTGGGACGAGTTTGACCGTAGTCAGCTCGGCATTAGATCGTTGAGATCTGAGCTATCCCAGTATCTGCAAGAGCATATAATCTCTGTCCTGCCACAGCTGATGGAGTCTCTCGAGGGTAAGATAGCTCGTGTCAAGCGTGAACTGGAGGCACTTGGACCTCCACGGGCCGCTCGCGCAGAGCTCATGCAATATCTTGTCAAGATTAGCGGACAATATTCCTCGCTCGTGGATGATGCCTTGTCAGGTGACTATACCGATCCATTCTTCCAACGCAAAAGTTCAAACACAAGACTGAGAGCGACAACCATGGCCAAGACCGATGCTTTCGAAACAGCAATGCGCACACAAGGGCATACCTTCGAAGTCACACGAATGCCATTCGCATTTTCATCTCCATTAAGTCGAACTCAGAAAATTACTGAGTCAGACGCTCTCATCAAAGTAGGCAAGCTGTTGGAAAGCCACCGTGGGCCAGAATTGTCGTTCCTGTTCAACCCCCGACTGGTCGGCGAGCTTTTCAAAGAGCAGTCGCAAAACTGGCCAGCCATGGCGTCGACATACACAAAGGAGATCTGCCAGGCTGTTCGGGCTTTTTTGCGAAAGGTTGTCGAGCATATTTGTCCTAAGACCGGCGAGACCTCTGAGCGCATTCTGCGGCACGTTTTTTGATGACGCTTTACATGGCATCCAGCAGACACTGAATGCCAAAGTTTCTGAACTTTTCGCGCCCTACCAAGGTCCGTTCCTCTTCTCCACGAAGTCCAGATTACAGGCTAGTTTGAAAGCCGTCGAGCTTGAGGACTGTCTAGAAGAAGAAAACGCAGGTAAAGTCAAGTTGGCACCGAAAGGTCAAAGTCTCCTGCCGAGCGTTCAGCCAAGCCCGGATAAAGAGACGTGCATGAAATTGATTCAATATTCGAGGGCCTATTACAACGTCGCCTTGGAGAACTTCATTGACAACATCATCGTTCTCGGTGTTGAGGCATGTCTTCTTTCTAAGCTTGGCGGTATCTTCTCCCCTGGTACCGTTGTCCGGATGGATGACGAGATGCTGCGGCAGCTAGCGGGCGAATCCGCCGACCAGGTGCGAGAACGTGAAGACCTACAAACGCAGTTGCGGACCTTGGAGGCCTCTTTGAAGACGTGTAAGAGACATGTCAGTCGAGAGTTTGGCGCGCCGCCTCTCGCGCAGATACTTGCCCAAGCCCAGGCCCCGGCGACGGGGAATGGGATATCAAGCGCCAGCTCTAAGTCTGTCGGTTCGGGCACGTCAGCATCTAGGCTATCTGGTTCCAGCACAAGCACGTCAGAGTTTGCGTCATTGGATTCAGGCGCCGCGCCAATATTCTCTTTCGCCGAAACAGACGCATCCAGCAAGCTCCTCGGAAGAAGCAAGACTGGCAGCCTTCAGGCTACCAGTACGAGTTCACCACTTTCCAGCTTTGATAACCCTCAACATGACAGTCAGTTCCGCGGGTTTTGATGGGTTGGCTGGCGACCAAATTCTTTGCTCACCTCACATTCAAGACCAGCCTCGGAATTTCCTTGACTACCATTACTCAGGCGGATAGCTGTTGTCTAGTGCGGTTGCTTTCGAGACCCTCGTCAGGCTGCGCTCTTGTTTGCCGAGAGCTCTTTTGCCATAAAGGAGGGAACCCTGCAATATTTCTGTTTACGTTCTTATGGTTGAAAGAATCGGCACTTTGTTGTACAGTGCAATTATGTATCTCCCGCAAAAGGCTGCTGTAGAAGTCCTTTTTCGGAAACATTGTACTCATGACTCTGCAGAGACATTCAGCTCAGGTGTCCTCTGACATGTTCGGGTAGAAATGCAAGGCAAAATGTGATGAAGATCCTGGAATACAATTGCCCATGTTTGTTTCCATGGATGTCGCGTACTATACTTCCTTCTGTCAGATCTGTATGCTCGTTCAGGTAAGGGGCAAGGGGTCCTCATTCAACAGCCTGCAAAATGATAGTAGGGTCATGGCACATAATTTCTATCAGTCTAGCATTTGATACTACCGTACATCTTCCAGGCTCGCAGAGCTTTTGTTTACAAAAACGATTGGTCTCTCTTTCTCACCAAGCGGAGAAAGCGAATAATCCGTCCCTGCTCTCCAGGTCACAATTACCGGGTCATATCAGTCACTGAAGCCCTACTGCCACTAGATCTCACAGACGACGCCACCGATCCGGCGCTGGACCTCTTCACGGCAAGCGGCAAACGTGGCGGCAACGGCACCGCACCGTCTCCGCTGCCTCTCCTGGGCGGGGAGTTCCTGGCCATCTCGGTCGTTCGGCCATTGAGGCTCGACGAGTTCCTGCTCCATCGAGAATCCACGCCCACGCCCACGGGCATGGCACGCATCAATCCAGCGGGGAAGGGCAACGGAGAGAAAGGAGCATTCGATGCACTCTCCGACGGAGTGATGGACCTGTGGCTGCGGTACTGGCTCATTGGCGAGTCGATGACGGACTCTGGAGGCGTGGGCGCCGGAAAATCTGCTGGACTGGGCGTGGACACGCTCTCGCGGATGTTCAGACCAGCAACGGGAGCGGGCATGAGCGGCGTGAGGACATTGCCTGGTGTGCGTCGTAGCTTGGGACGTTTGCCTGCGACTGGCGTCGGTGGATTGTTCGCCAGACCGCTGGGATGGACCAGCGTTCCGTCGGACTGCCGGGGCGACACGTACTCCTCGAGGATAGTGTTGGCGGGGTATGTGGTCTCTGTGTCGCTCGACGCCCAGGTCGGTGGCCTCTTGGTGCTTGGTATGCTGTCCTGCCGCAAGGTTGGGCCGTTGCTGCTGACATCGCTCAGGGCGAGCGGCACCTGGTCGGTGAAAGGGTTCTGCAGCTTTTCGCTCAACAGGTTCGGGGTGCTTGCCAGTGCGAGTTGTCGTGGGCGTGCGCCGGCAAGTGTAGGGTTACCTACCTGCATCATGGTCGGGCCTGCGCCGTCGCCATCTTCCTCGCCTGAGAGTCTCTGGCCGCGACGATTGCGGAACGCTGCCAGCCGGACTCTCAGTGGTGTGCAGTATCGAAACAAAAGGTATGCTGTGGCCGCGACACAGATCACTCCCAAGACCGAAACTACCGCAATAGCTGCTGTGAGGTTTACGGATGAGTGTGTATGCACCTTGGCCGCAGGTTGATTGGTGGTTGTCGATGCCGCGCTCGTTCCCGTCGCCGTCGCCGCAGCAAGGCTGGGTGAGTTCAATGCCGTCGTCTCCATTGCGCTGGTGGCCGAAGTAGAGCTGGCGTAGATAGAGCTTGCAGCTGGAGCAGTCACCATAGACTCCATTGACGTGGCAGAAGTCGCCATGCCGGAGCTAGTCATGCTTAGTTCAGGCAGGAATGGGTTGTCTGCCATCACAGTGGTTGGAGGAAATTGACCTCGTCCACCTCCTGGGAGACTGCCGCTGGCAAAAGGATTCTCATCTTCATCCATGCTGTCATCCCCACTGTCATTCCCGTCATCGCTTTCGTCGTCGCCGTCAGAACCTGTGCCGTCCGTTTCTGTTGCCTTTCCCAGGACAGTGTAGAGTAGTCCCGCTGGCAAGCCTGAAGGCAAGCTCTGAGCTGCATGATCTCGGCGCAAGAGATCTGATCTTCGGAGGGAGTATGGGTTTGTCCTTTCAACCCACGTCCTGTCGATACGGTAGCGTAGGTTGTTCGGAGGCATTCCCGATCACAGTCCCTTCTGCATTCGAGGAAGAGTTTGTTGAGCAAGAAAGTGGCGACGACGGTCAAAACATCAGTAGAATCGGACAGCTTCGAGGGACCAGCCTTCAGATACGAAAGGAAAGTGACGAAGTCAATTGAATTGTGGTCGACCAGCGTACTCAACAAATGAAAGAGCAAGATGCAAGGCAGATGGAAGAATGTGATGGGTTTTCCAGCCGTGAACGCCCCTACCTGCTGCACTGCGGTTCTGGGCAAGGCATTGACCACGCAGCTCCGCGTATTTGCGTGCTCAGCGTTCCCGATCGGCGTGCTAAACCGGCATCGTTTCAGGTCAGGGAGCTATGCTTGATGGGTAACTGTCTGAAGCCAATGTTGAAACACGTCCAAGTGGCACAAGCTGTGACTAACATGGATAAGATAGTCGAGGCCGTTGCTTGAGTTCTTCCCGAGCCAGTGGGCGATGACCTGTATGTCTTGAAATTTGCGTGGAGAGATGTCTGAGGTTGAACTCTGAAACGTGCACAGTCTCGAGTAGCGGAAGATCCCACTTGGCAAGGGGACAGTCATACTCGCACCATGGGGCGGAGTACGGAGTATTCAAATCAACGAGACAGATTTGGCGCAAAAACGGCATACAACCCACTCAGCGACAGGATGTCCTGGCCGTGTTTACCTCCGGGCTCCTGATGAATGCAAGCTTCGCAAGTGGTTGGCGAATGTTGACGAGGCTTCAAACGATTGAACTGATCTCTTTGGTGACATCAGACAGAGGCTGTCGACGAGCTTGGCGTCTCTCGACAATGCTTTTGCTACATTTGAGGCACGCCCAATCAATTGGCATCCCCCACATAGATACTATCTCGTGCTTGAAGCTGTAAATCAAGACGGCGAGGAGGGAGAACAGAGGTGGCACGGGTGGTGATGAAAAAGGGGGGTCCCGGAAGGAACAATGATAACCCGAGTGTTTACATAAGCAGAGCCCACGTGACCTCCGCTTTGTTCTCGTGTTTCTCCGAGACGAACAAATCCTTGCCCCAGGCACCCACCAGGTACCTTGCCTTTTTTTCAACTCGTACACTTGTCCCGAAGAACAACTGTTATAACCATTGTACAAGCAATGTGACTCGTATGAGAACTGTGAACACATCGGCCCTAGAAAGGCCCAGACTTATCGATCGGACAAGCCACTGCAGTGTCTCGTGCGCTTCGCAGACCGATCGCGATTGCACCCGATTATCACACCACCTTTCAAGTTTCATCACGCAGTACTCCGTACGCCTAGGGATCCAACGACCTGAAATCGGTACCCAAGTACTCCAAAGTACCTCCGCTCATTCGGCAACGGCGAGGCTCCGGCTTGGTTGGCCTTGTGGCATGCATACTATAAAGGGAAAACCGTCTTGAGGCCCGGTAATTTGCCTCCCATCTGACACCATACGGCGACTGCGACCAAGAGATGGAGCCGGTATCGGTGAACAGTGAGTGCTCTAATAAACAGCTAAGTAGCCGCAGGATCGCTGAAAACTTTTCTTTTTCATCGTGACAACTCAGGGAAACCCTTGCCTTCTTCACCGCTCCAAGACGCAAGTTCTATTCAGGAATCCGACTTGCTCCTAACCGTGATTTAAGACTTCTTATCATTCAAATCGTGTTCTTTCCAAATCACAGCTTTCCCGCTCATCCTGCGGCAACAACTAACAAGATGATAATCGCACGCCGTTTCTCCGTCACAAACTTCCTGATCGCAACATCCGCGCTGGCCTTCCAGGTCTTCGTCCTCTACCCGTGGCACGAAAAGCTCGACGAGGATTTCCACGAGTTGAAGCAAGAAAATCTGCGGCTGATGCAGGAGATTCAAAAAACTCGCATCCAGGATTTGAAAGAGATCAAGGAGACCTTCAGCAAGCTTCGTGCAAACTGAGAGAATACTGGGAAGACGAAAATTTTCAAAGGGAGACGCGTCCGCCTTTCGTTCTTAGCCCGAGGCTCGAGAACAAGGCCTTTCCTTGCGCCGCATGCTACCCCAATGGGCCTTGCCGCCGAGTTGTGTGCAGTCATCACCACTTCGCGGGCGCCAAAACATTCCCGATCCCGAACCACAATCTTCCTGAGAGTCCTGCGAACGAGCCAGGGCTGTTTTGGGATCGCAAAGGCCCATCGGAAGGACAAGTCTGGACATCAACTAAGCAACATGGACCCATTCTCGCGGTCTCTGAAGCCACCTCGGGCGGGTGAAGAGGATTGTCTGGATGACCACACCACCCTCGAGTGCGATTCGAGCTCCAATGACAAACACCAGGGTTTTCTCGGGACCGATTTGTTCAAACTACATGCCTTTTCTAATTTCAAATTTGTCTGGTAGACTCTGGAAAGCTTCATGCTCTACATGTTTTTACGCCGAGCGTGGTTGAGCGCCACAATACGAATTGCTGAGCCACGGTATCTTCAGGAACCAGTTGATTAGAGTGAGCAGAACGGTCGCTGTTGCCATGCTCGCGTGGCATTGGCTGCCAACGCTGAATCACTCCCCGGAGGATAGACACCCTTTGAGAAGACCTTGCGAGTGAAAAAGGATGATGTTGAAAGCTGTTCCTCAGGGAGTGGAATCATGGTAACAGGGATTTGCAGGTACTACCGACTACCGTACAGCAGAAGCGCAAGCAGAAACAAGATGGGCGGTCAAAGACTTGGTGCTATAGATTTTTACATTCAAAATGTCTTTGGTAGACACCAAATGCATGTTACAAGCAATACTCTGACAGACTGCGCGTCCCATCTATACATGATCCGCTCTATGGACTCTTTGCATGTGCAGTTAATCATTACGCCCCTCGCCCCTCAAAGCATGTGCCTGTTCCACGTTCTTTATAGTTGTCGTCGCCCGCAAAACACGGAGCCAACCAGTACAAATTGTCGTCCCAAGCCTGGCTTCAGCCAACGTTAAAAGCTGATTAACATCGACCCAAAACTTGAAACAGCCACCCAAGTACACATGTTCCGGCTTCATACCATGTTCTGTACAATTCGCAACCCTGTCGCTAAGTCTTCCTGCACTGGCTCGTCAAAACGGTCGTCTAGAACCATCATCAGGAAACAATTGCAGATGGCGTGCACGATGTTCCGTTCGTAGTGATCACTGCTCCTCTGTCGTGGTGGCGTTTGAGTCGGTGGCAGTAACGTCGCGAGGGGACAGCGGTTCTGTATCCGCGTTGTCGTTCACGTCCTGGACACCATGACCACTCGGGCCCTCGTCCTCATTGTCATTCACGACCCATTCTCCTTCCAAGTCCTCACCACGCTCATGCCTCTGCTTTGCGGCCTCACTCTGCAAATAGCTGGCTCTTCTTTCCGCCTCCTGCTCATGCTTCTCACTCACATTTACAGCAAGGAAACTCTTCGGGAGCTGGACCGTATTGAACTTCGCCTTCAGCGTCGATATGACCTCTTTCCAGTCCTGATGATTTGTTAACGAGCGCCTCGGTGCCGATCCAATGGCGTGTTTCGAGTCAAGAGATACGTCGAGAGGGTCGATGGTATGGCACCCCGGCGAGATGGAAATGCGTATCGAATAGGTCGACTCTGCAGTGTCAGCATCCTTGGCCTCGTACAGTTCGAAACAAATCTGAGAGAGATAGTCCAGCTCGGGAATGGTGGAGCGCTTGATCTTGGTGTGAATTCCACCTTCCATGATGCAGTTGAGAAGTGTGTAGATGTGAGATTCCTTGGTGAAATAGATGAACGACTTGGCGTCGCCCGAAGCTTGGAGCTCTTCGAGATCGTCTACAATCTCTCGAAGGAGTGGAAGCGATGTCAGAAGGCCAATCTCCAGTTTCTCCTCGTCACTGATGCCGTATTCTTGTGGTCCGATGTAGTCAAACAGAATTTTGCTGTATCGATACAATTCTCTCAACCGACCGAGGCGTTGATCGAGGCTGGATTTGGTCTCGGGAGGTCCACTGAACAGCTTGAAGTAGGAAGCACCTTGTTCCCACGAATACAAGGGCGGAGCCGGCACTGGCTGCTTGAGGACTGATTGCCTCCTCAACCCAATCTTTTGAGCGAAAGAGTGCTTGTCGGTGAGGCTACCTGCGGCAGAGACGATGCTCTCCTGACGGCTTTTACTGACAGGAGAAGCCGACCCCTCGACGTGCTCTGACTCCGGCGGACTAGCTGACAACGCAAGGCCTTCCTCCCTTGCCATCTCATCCAACAGCGACTGACTCGGGGTGAAGACCCATTCAAGGAATTGCTTGTTGTGAAGTGCATCATACTTCATGGTGTCGTACAACTCGGAAATCTTGCTGGGGTCGGCCTTCTCGGTGTCGCAAAATTCGGTGAACAACTTCTCCCAGCGCTCCTTGAAAAGTTCTGCGTCTTCTCCGGTGCACCATCTGGATTGTATCGAGGCAACAGTGACGGTGTCTTTGTTTGTGTCTTTGGAATCTGGAGAGCCGTTCAATGCAGCTAGCGAAGCAGCGGCGCCCGTCGTAAGCTTCTTGAAATTGTGTCTCATGACTCTCCGATGGAATTTGAGCAGATCAATCACATTGTGCATGACAACGAATGGCGATGCAACATCCTTTGGCCATGCGAATGCCTCCGGAACATTGCCTTCCCGAAGAAGGTGCTTAAGCTTCTTCTTCACCTTGTCCATGACATCCTTGGCAGCGTTCGAGTCGTCCAGAAGATCCTTCCTGACCTGAATGAAATCTTCTGCGATATCTTGGCGATCGAGGAACGCAGCAGTCCATATTTGCGCACTGGTCTTGACCCGTTTCTCGGAGCTTGTGAATATGCGGACATCGTTGAAAACCTCTCTATTGAGCAACTTGAAGTCGTCGCGCATATTGGCTCCGAGATCCTGGGACTGATAGCGAGCTGAGTGGGTAGGCTCTCCTCCCCACTTCATGACTAGCTGCAGCTTGTCCAGGACAAGATCATTTTCTGCTGCTGAGAATCGAGAAAAGGTTGCTCCGGATATAGAGTCGCTTCTGGTCTGAAGTCGGCGCAGCTGGGCTGTATCTCTGGTTTCTGATATTGAGCTGGAACGTTCCGCAAGTGGTGACTCTGAGATCTGGAATGGTTCCGTCTCGGATATCGACAACACAGACGGACTACTAGGATGCGCAGCGACATTGGTATTGGCCGACATCTCCTCTGGTCTTCGCTTTCGAAACATGGGTTTGATCTGCACTTTGGTGCCAGGCTGTGAGCCCTTCTTGGCAAGCGCAACTCGCAAATTGTGCAATTTATCCGGATCTTCAAGATGGTCCCGCTGCGCAATTTTCACTGCTGCCTCGACACTGGCCAAAGCGGCTTCACCTTTCAACAGCACCTCTTCGTGATGGCCCTTCAGGAGATCAGCAAAGACCTGGGAGTGGGCCGTGAATTTGATCTTCTGCTTTGGCGTTCTATCCGCGTGTCGAATGACCGTAACAAATCCCTTCAACTTCCACGAGTGTTTTGAGCTAGGCATGGGAGCTGGTGCCTCCTGCTCTCGAGCAGATGGTAAACTCTCGTTCTCAGTTGCGCTCGTCGGCGCCGTGTTCACAATTGGTGGTGGGAGACTTTCTATATTTTCTGCGGCATTTGGCATCGCCAAGGCATTGGGATGCCTCTCCAAGCTGGGAGGTGAGCTCAACGGTGTGGTCATGGTAGACGATTTCGGAGAGCCTGCGGCAGTTACAGAGTGGTGCCGGTTGGAATGAGGCAAGTGTTGAGACAGCTTGGTCATGCTTGGAGATTTCAGGATCGTCTTCAATGCTGAGCGATGGGAGTGGCTCGTGCCTTGGCGGCGGGCTGGAAGGTCGTCGCTTGATTCGGCAGGTAGCTCGTCCAGCATGCCATTTTCCTGCTTGAACTTCTCGGAGACGAACATGCCTCGCAGGATTTTGGCGCAATCATTGTAATAGTCTTCATTGTCTTTGACGAAACTCCATCCGTTAACGTCGATGATGTAGCTGGCATTGCCGGTCCGCAACATATCGAAGCCACAGATGCGTTGGCCGAAAGCTCGAGCAACCTTTGCTGCTATATCCCGTTCGGCATCGTTGAGTTTCGTCACATACCTAAGCTCCTTTCCGTGGGTGTTTCGACGAACCAACCCATCCACCACGGGCGACTTCCTTGTCTCTGCGTGGCAGTAGTCAGGGCCGACAGTGTAGGCTTTGACGTCTTCAGCATTTTCCGTCCTGAGAAATTGTTCATAGATGTAGCTGCTATTCGGTTCCGTGATGGATCGAGGCACGTTCAGATTAGGATCGTACTCGGAGGATTTGTTGCCTATCTTTCTGAAAAGCCTTCTTGCTCCACCGTCCTGAGATCGGGGGAAATAAATGATGACGTTGTGGTCTTCTCCATTGACAGGCTTTTCAACAAAAGGCTTCTTGAGAGATTTCCCGTCCACGACAATGGTATCACCCTCGTCTGTTAGCTCGACCGATTTAGTTATAGGGGTACCACCGCCTGTGCCATCTTCGGGGCCTTCCAGTACGACACCAGTCATGTTGTAGACATGTTGGGCAAGCTCAGGGGATTCTAGCCTTGGTCCACCGTCTCGATTGACTTCGATGCGCCTCGGTGTGGGAATCTGCATGTGGTCCAAAATTTTCAGGCACAATCGGCGATCCCAGAGAACCTTTTGCATAGGCAAGTCATTGACAACGAAAGGCTTTCGCAGTTTGACGTATGCAATGGCTTTGTCGAGAGGAAACCCATCGGAGAAAAAGGATATGAGGAAATCACTGTCAAGATCAGCGGCCAAACATTCCTGTTGCTGTCAAAGTTGGCTCAGTGCCTTGACGTACCATATAGGCCAGTTCTCGACGTCTGAAAGCGTTAGCAGCATTCGACGAATTCAGAAGCGTCAGAGCACTCACCCTCGTCGAGGATTGCCTTGTCCCCGAAGACGATAACTTCAAAGTCGCCATCACCTTGAAGACGAGTCAAGATCTGGCGACTGGGTCGGCTGCGGGCTTTGACGTCGAGTGCACAGACTCCGATTCTCCCCATGGATACCTTGCTCTCGGTACTCGCAGCGTCGTTCTTGGAGGGCCCAGTGCCACTGAGGCGCCGACTAGAAGAAATTGAGCGTGGTTTGGGGACTCGCGGGACTCTGTTGGGCAAGATGGTCTCGGAAATATCGGGCCTCGGTATAGATCCCAGGGTTTGGCCGGCAGGAATAGAGGTATCACTCTTGGTAGCGGACGAAGGGGACGTGACCTGAGAAGACAAGGTTGACACTATATCTGACTGATTAGGAATGCTTGGATTGAAGGCAGGAGGCGAAAGCAGGGGCAGACCTGGGGCTTTTGAGGTGGAGGCCGTGGTGACCACGGTCCGGTCGTAGCCCGTCGTAGAAGTCTGAGCAGTAGGTGAGGCGCCAAATAAGGCCCTATCTCCATCGAGACTCTTGAGCGAAGCGGGTGGACTTCTGGCGTCATCCTCGGATCTTCTCTGAGACCTCGGGGAGTTCAAAGAGGTGGACAAGCGCCTGTCTGCGAGGGGCTTGGAGATGGGAGGCGGCATACTTATGCTAGAACGGTCGGCCGAAGCCTTGGTGGTCTCGGTGTGGGCAGCCTTGCGGACATCAGGATTCTTGTGAGCGGCCAGCAGCGAATGAGTTGAAGGAGTGCGGCCGTTGGGGAAATGAGGTCTAGAAGAAGTAGACGATGAAGCACCGGAATGAACCGCAGTCAGAGAAGCAGTATCGTCCAAAGCATTGTCGGAATTGCTGGTTGGAGTCCGCCTAAGAGGCGCGGATTGGTCCATTTTGCCTGTCGAAGTTATATTCAGATATGTCCAGGATAGCAATAGCCAAGGCAAGCCCAACAATCAAGGATTAGTAGAAGGCCGAATACAGCGTTGATCGAAGCGAATGACCGTAGGAAAGGAGCACCGATAAGTGTATCAAATTTACATGTTGGAAGACTGATACCAAGATAGTAGAGAAGAATCGATCTGGACACCTGGAGGGGCAGAAAGAATGGGTAGAAGAAGCTGGAGTCAGTGCTGGACCTGCCCGCCGCCCGCTGCCAATATTATTGTTGAATATTCCTCCCGCTCCCCCCGACGTCATCCGCCGTCAAATCGCAGCCGACGAAAAAAATAATTTATTGTTTCCCATTTGGGAATCGTTCAGTTCATTGCAAAGAGCGAGCCACCTCGATCACCATCAACAGCGTACTGCAGCGCACACCTCAGTCAAGACTTTCTCAGAGGGCCCTGTGCCATGCTCTTGTTGATATGGAGGATCCCGTCGAATTTCCCCTCGCAAAGAGACAGCGACGTGAAGATGCTGTCGCCGAGAGAAAGCATCCAACGAGTTCGCGACTGTTTTCTCCGTTCAGAGTACGTTTTCTCCCCTTCAACCAAAGGGACTTATTTTCTCTGACCATGGTTCTTCGCTAGACGTTAGGTTTGGTTTCTCCGACCAGTGTCCCCTTCACTTCCGTCTCCCTGGGAAAGACGACCTTCCAGATCACCACATCCGTCGGCAATGCCCTGCAAACGTACGACCTGCGCAGAGGTCTGAACCTCGTTTTCCTCAGTCGTCCACAATGTCCCCGTCCGATTACCGCCACATACGCATACCGCGATCGAGTCTTTGTCGCTTGGGGCGGATCGCAGCCCGACGCTCCGAGAGGCGTCTGGGTATTCAAGCGCGGGAGATTGGTTGGAGAACTGGATCTGGGCGATACCCATCCTCAAGAGGTTGGACAGATACTGGTGCTTGGATCGTGGGTTGTGGGTTGTGGAAAAGAAGCCATAGAGGTCTGGAAAACCGACTCTTACGAACATTATACTACAATTCTGCCATCCACACCGCCTGCCACCAGCAATTCTCGGGCAGTTTTCTCGGGTCAGATCTGTACGCTGCCAACACTTCTCAACAAGGTCCTTGTAGGGAGAAGAGATGGCCTCATTGAAGTTTACAATGTCAGCACCGGAAGGTTGGTTCATACAGTCCTTGCACCATCTGCCAGCTCTGGCTCGGTGACTGCGCTTGCACCAGCCCCGGCCTTATGTCTGCTAGCGGTCGCCTACGCGGATGGCTCTTTGATCATCCTCGACGTCGAATCGGATGAAGAAGTTTTACAATTGCGTCAAAAGAACACTAGGAAGCCCATCACCTCAATTAGCTTCCGCAGCGATGGCATGGGGGCAGGCGAAGATGGTCGCATACCGGGCGTCATGGCCACCTCGAGCATTGAGAGCGGAGATATAACACTATGGGACCTCAACCGAGGTGGCAAGGTGGCCGGAGTAGTTCGAGGAGCCCACGAAATTTCTGCCGTTGGTCAAGCGACAGGGGTCAACAAGGTCGAATTCCTGCCCGGACAGCCCGTACTGGTCTCCTCTGGCTTGGACAATGCTTTGAGATCCTGGGTGTTCGACGAAAGCCCTTTCTCCTCTACTCCACGGCCCCTGCACTCACGGAGCGGACACGCTGCTTCCATTAACAAGCTCAAATTCCTGCCCGCTTCATCGGATGGATCAGACGCAGCAGGTAAATGGCTCCTCTCTGCCAGTCGGGATCGAAGTCTGTGGGGGTTCAGCCTGCGGCGAGACGGACAGAGCACTGAGCTAAGCCAAGGCGACGTCAAGCACAAGGCTCGAAAGACCGGGCTTCTCTCTGATGATGTTGCTGGAGTGGAAGAGTTCAAAGCTCCACCAATCATCGACATGGCTTGTTCTTTGAATCGAGATGGCGGAATGGGTGCGGTAGGTGGTCCCGTGTGGTCCAACGCAAAGAATGCAAGTGCCGAAGAAACCAGCGCGACTGGTTGGGAGAGCATCATCACGGCTCATGCTGACGACCGCTTCGCAAGGACGTGGTCTTGGGGCAGGAAGAAGGCAGGCAGATGGTCATTCGAGACGGGTGATCACAAGCCCGTGACAAGCGTTGCCATCACTGCTTGTGGAACCTTTGCTATAATCGGTTCCGCTGGTGGCAACTTGGACATGTTCAACTTGCAATCCGGTGTCCATCGTCAACGATATCCTCCTCGCCTGACCCCTGCTCAGCTCAAACAGTTCAAACAACAAGCTCAATCGGAAGAGAACGTGTCTGTCCCGCAAGGTCACCGCGATTCGATCACTGGTATCGTTGTTGACAACCTCAATCGCACGATGGTGTCCACCAGTCTCGATGGATCTATTATTTTCTGGGAATTCTCAACAGGAAAAATCCTTGAGAGACGTATTGACACTGATGCCATCCCTACAGCAACCCGGTACAACCCGGTGTCCGGTTTGTTGGCATTGTCTTGCGACGACCTGTGCATCCGTATTCTCGACATTGAGACGCGAAAAATCGTCCGCGAATTATGGGGTTGTGTCGGCTCAATCTACGACTACTGTTTCTCGCATGATGGTCGCTGGATCGTCGCTTGCTCAATGGATTCGGTCATTCGAGTCTTCGACCTAGCGACAGGCCATCTGATCGATGCTCTCAAAACAGCAACATGTACGAGCATCGCCTTCTCCCACACCGGCGAATTTCTAGCCACAACACACGCCGGGAGCGCCGGCATACATATCTGGACCAACAAGGCTCTATTTGCGCACATATCGACACGGCAAATTGACGACGTCAGAGGAGTCATCGACCTCACCGAGACCGCTGTGTTCCAAGCCGCCAGCCACCTGGCCATTACAGAGACCGGGGAGTCGATGGACGACGAACAGGTCGACGGCCTCGACACCACTTCCGCCATGGACCAACTAGACCAACGTCTCTTGACCCTCTCCATCGTCCCTCAATCACGCTGGCAAACACTGCTCAACCTCGACAGCATCCGCGAGCGAAACAAGCCCATCCAGCCGCCCGAGAAGCCCAAGGCTGCGCCCTTCTTCCTCGGATCGGCTCTGACCAACACCTCCACCAAAGGCGCGGATCCATCCTCAAACATGACCGCAGACACCGACGGGATGATCGAAGACGCCGAGCGTTCCCGCATCTCTCGTCTCGCCTTGTCCTCCTCGAGGGCGTCACAGTCACATTCCCAACTCTCCTCCCTGCTCGAAACATTCACGCCATCACCTTCCGCAACAGACCCATCCGCACTATCCGAATACTTGACCACTCTTCCCCCCTCCGCCGCAGACCTGGAGATCCGCAGCTTGACGCTCCCGGAGATGCCGCTGTTCGTGCGCGCCTTGACGGCGCAGCTCAAATCGCGCCGCAGTTTCGAGCTGGTGAATACGTGGATGAGCGTGTTCCTCAAGATCCACGGCGATTTTGTCGCCGACGTGCCCGATCTTAGCGATGCCGTGCGTGGGTGGAGAGCCGTCATGCAGGCAGAGGAGGAGAGATTGAGCCGTCTTGTCGGGTACACGAGGGGTATTGTCGATTTTTTGAGAAGTGCCAGGTAAAGTCGGTTGGGCACGTGATAGAGGTTCACAAGGCCATTAGTACAATCATTGATGACCAAGCCCGCTCGGTTTGCCAGTGTCCCGGTTTGTAAAAAGGCTCGTCTGATGTGTGGCCGTAGGATGCTGTGCAGCGCTGCAACTCGAGTAGTAGATCTTGTTTTTGCTAGCTTCGTGATGCTTTGGAAGCACAGCGACGAACCAGAATAAGGAAAAGACCATATATCTGCGAGCAATTGGATGTATATTCACGTTTTATGGATCTCGTAAAGCTTCGTGACCGCTACGATGCGAACTGCTACAGAAATATGTTATAGTGAAGGGGCAATTCCAACAAGCTTACAGGGTCATGGTGCATGCTCCTGACTCAAAGCCACGTCTTCCCTGTTTTCCTATGCAGTGGCCATCTAACAGCTTGAAAGAAGCATGGGGGTTGGTGTCTATTTCAGACCATTCTTGGCCTTGAAAGCAGCCAGTAGGCCGGCAGTCGAGGAGTCGTGGTCGTTTCCGGCACCTTCAGTCTCGAGTTCTTTTTGGATCTTCTTAGCCAGCACCTTGCCCAATTCGACACCCCACTGGTCGAAGCTGTTGATGTTCCAGATGATACCCTCTGTGAAGACCATGTGCTCGTAATAAGCAATCAGCGCACCGAGAGTGCCTGGAGTGATCATTTCGGCCAAGATGTTGGTCGTCGGTCGGTTGCCCAAAAAGGTCTTGTGAGCAACCAACTCATCTGGGGCACCCTCAGCTTTGACTTCATCAGGGGTCTTGCCGACCATGAGAGCTTCAGCTTGAGCGAGGAAGTTGGATGCCAGCATTCTCTGGTGCAGTCCGCCTTCGACGGGATTGTGAGACTTAGCGGCCAAGATGAAGTCGGTGGGGATGAGTTTGGTGCCCTGATGCAGCAGCTGGAAGAACGAGTGCTGTGCATTGGTGGCCGGTTCACCGAAGAAGATGGAACCGGTCGTGTACTTGACGTAGTCGCCTGTTCGAGTGACTGCCTTGCCATTAGACTCCATGGTCAATTGTTGCAGGTAGGCAGGGAATCGGTGCATGTATTGGTCGAAAGGTGCAACAAGGTGAGTTTGGGCGCCAAAGAAGTCAGAGTACCAGACACTAAGCAGGCCGCCAATGACTGGAATGTTCTCATGGAGAGGGGCAGTCCTGAAATGGTTGTCCATGGCATGAGCGCCGGCAAGGAACTGGTGGAAGTTGTCATAACCAATGTACAAGCACACTGACAAGCCAATTGCAGACCAGACCGAGTATCGTCCTCCGACCCAGCTTTCAAAGCCGAACATGTTCTTGGTATCAATTCCAAACTTAGAGACCTCCTCAGAGTTGGTAGACAGAGCCACGAAATGCTTTGCAATGTCAGACTCCTTTGCAGACTGCAAGAACCATTTCTTGGCCGTGTTGGCATTGGTGGTTGTTTCTGCCGTTGTGAAGGTCTTGGAGGCAATGAGGAAGAGGGTAGTCTCTGGGTCGGAGTCTTTGAGAGCTTCTGCGATATGTGTTCCGTCAATGTTGGAGACGAAGTGCAGTTTCATGTTTCTGTCGCCATAAGGCTTCAGGGCCTCGGAGACCATGACTGGGCCACTACACAGTGTCAGCTGAGCGCCATCAGTTCTTGGAATTGCGCTTACAGATCAGAACCACCAATACCGATGTTGATGATGGTGGTTAACTTCTTGCCGGTATAGCCCTTCCATTCACCACTGCGAATTTGTTCCGAGAACTCCTTCATGTGTTCCAGGACCGAATTGGTCTCTTCCACGACGCTCTTGCCATCAACAGCCATGGGTTGGTTTGTGACATTCCGCAGGGCCACGTGGTAGACGGCTCTCTTCTCAGTAAAGTTGATCTTGTCGCCAGCAAACATCGCATCTCTTGTTTGTTCCAGGTTGGCCTCCTTGGCGAGATTGACGAGGAGCTTGAGGGTCTCCTCGGTCAGGAAGTTCTTGGAAAAGTCGAATAAGAGTTCACTATTGTCCGCGTCGTTTTTAAAGACTCTCTTGAACTTCTCGAACCGTTGAGGATCTTGCTGGAAGTATTCCTTGAGGACGATGTTACGGCCAACGTCGTTGTGGTGCTCGACGAGGGCTTGCCACGCTTTGAGCTCGGTGGCTTGAGAAAAGCCTGGCATTTTGAAGAGATTGTCACGGATGTTCGTAGGGATTCTGGAAGTTTGTGAAGGTCAGTAAGTGGGCAATGAGGAAAGTTGTTGTCTGAAGTATGGAGAGGTGAAACTCGGGGTGCCGCGGGACTGCGTCGAAGAGATGGATTGTTTCAGCAGACTTACATTGAAGTGGTCTCGAATGAAGCAGAAGCTGAAGAACGAGTTCGGCAGGATTCAGCTGTGGGATGTGGTGAAGCGGAGAGTGTGTTGGACGACTCACCTTTTTTCTTCAATTGTTAGACGCTGGCAGAAATGAGAAATGGAGGGGCAGTTCCGGAGAAACAATGATGCCATCCAACAATTGGTTGGAGTGTGCGGCAACAACTGGTGGGCGGACGCTGAGCTTCAGCTGCTTCTCGCTTCACGCTTCTCGCTACGGAGTACTCGTACAGCTTATGAGACATGCGTATGTAATCCAGCTGCCCCACCATCACCTTCCACTGCAACTACCTCTTCTGTATATCAAGCCCAGTCAGCGGCTTGGGGATGATTAAGTCGTCAAATGCAGGAAGCGCAGAAAATCATCGACGAGGATACCGACCACAGTAGCTTTCAGGGTATCTTATGCGTGGTTACATAACCGATCCAACTCACTCAGCCTTGCCTCCTCCCTATGCGATTATTACTCGTCAGGAAGCTTTCTTTCCAGTGGCTAACACAACAGACCCTCTTCTCCAACCCTCTCATTTCTTACAGCAGCAGAGTACACATGAAGATCAGGCAATTGAGAGCGAACAAAGATGCCGAAGCTTGGCCCTGCAGACCAGAAGCATCGCCCTTGTACCCGCTGATTGGAGGACTGATAGTGGCAGACGGAGGCTTGGTGGCGTTCAACGTCATGTTGGAGGTCGGAAGGACACCGGTAGCGTTGGCGACTGAGAGGGTCGAAGTTGTGGTGTTCAATGCCACCGTGGTGGTGTTGCCATACGAAGCGACAGAGCTGGTAATAGGAAGGCCAGTAGTGGAGCTGGTCAGGGCGCAAGAAGAGGTTGTGGCGCTGACGGTAATGGTGTTGGTCGTGGTCGATGTAATGGTAGTGGTAGTGGACGGTACTGATGTAGTCGTGCTATTGTAGTCGTCATCGTAGTTGTCCTCATACCGGCAATTGAAAGAAGCACGTCGTTTCCCATCTGTAGAAATGCACTGGTTGGCAGTAGAAGAGCAGTTGAAACCGGACGGGCACGCATCTGGAGCGAGTTAGAAATCAAGAAATCAACGAAGACATGATGGAAAAGGGTCTGGTGCACTCACAAGCATTTGAGCAGCAAGTCTCGCCAGCCTTCGGGTTGTAGCAAGTATTGGAACCGCATTGGACGTAATCAGTCCCACAGCCAGTGCAGCTGCCGTTTTGACTTGGAGCGCAGTTTTCGTAGCGAGGATGCCTGCTGCCACCGTACCCTGAGTGTGCCGAACATTGAACGGCAGCCGCCAACAATGCAGCGATGGCGAAGGTAATGGAGGAGCGCATAGTGCTGGTTATTAGTTGCGGTGAGTCTTGTATCTGTATAAGACAAGTGCTTTGGAAACGAATGTCTCGGGCGAAAGCTCGATGGTGAGGGAGAGGGACAGATATGAAGAAAAGGCATGAAGCCACCATGAACTATCATTATGTATGTGAGAGATTCCTTTGTGCCAAAATTAGATGCGACAACAAAGGAACATTGCATGTTGGACTGTGAGGGCCGTTCACGGAGACGAGTAGTATAGACAAAGCATCAAACACGTAGAAGCCGTAAAACCGACCAATCTCCAATGCTCCAGGCTGATCTCGACGAAAGCAGTCGTAGAGGCATTGATGCAATATGGGCCTGTTAGCATCCAGCTTGGTGGAGGAGCACGAGAGCATGGTGAGGCGGAAAGCAAGGAAGATTTGATCGAAGGCTTAGTCGAGAGCACGTAGAAGGCTCATGGGCGACAAGAGAAACGAAGCCGTCCTTACTGACATACCCGAAGAAGATCTGGGCCGAAGGGTAGAGCGAACGAGGATATCGAGGTCGCTTGACGAAGAAGGTTGGTGTTTTGTTTGCTGCATGCGGACAAGATATGTGACAGGCACACAGGCCTGCTTATATAATGCGGGCCAAGAGGGAGGAGAAGGGTCTCGCGTGTGCGACGAAGACAGATCGCGCCATACAAGAGGAATGCTGGGGAGAAGATGAGATATATCACTTCCATTTGAGGGACGGAGCGGAACTTGTCTTGTGGTCTTATATCAACCTCTTGAAGCCGCATATTCCTGTACACCCCGGACCATCCTCTGCTTCTAGCTGGGGGTTGGCTGCTGCCGAGGATGCCTCGCTGCCATTGACTGGCCGTGACTGGCTCAATTAGTCAACCTCATGACGACCTCCAATGGCACAACGACAATTGACCACCCACTGACCACCATGCTGGGTGACATGCACTGACTGCCGAACTCAGCCTATTTTATTTTGGAGCAATCATGGAGTCTAGACCCGATCTCCCCAAACTCCAAGTATCCCAACCAATTGTTTCCTTATCTGCCCTGATGTGCCCCTGGCTTCCGTCCTTACTGTACGGAGGTACTGTCAGTACTATCTCGCGCGAGCGTGCAGGTCTTGGGCTATTCAGGCTAGCGAGGCCATGCTCCCGCCAATCTGCCTTCGACGGCGTCCCCCCATTCAAATTGCCTCCTAACGAACTCGGCAAGGTCTGTCTTCTCAAGCCAATGCGATCTCTGATGATTGCCTTCAACACAGCCCCTTCTAGCTCTAGTTAACCGGACGGCTTGACGCCGGTGCAGCGGACCTCATGGACTTGCGATGGTGCTCGAATTCTCGACAATTTCTGTCATTCTTCACAATTCGCTCTTTTGCGCAAAGAACATATCAAAAAAAATTCGCGCGCCGCGCGCATTTCGGGATTGTTTTTTTTTCTATACACATATATATACATATTCATTGTTTTGAATGCAGCCCGCCTATCCCGACAGATCCCGAAGAATGGAGTGACACAAGACCAACCTGACCACGCCTGTGTGGTTGCTTCTCATCCGCCATTTCCGCCCTGATCGATTGGTACAAATTCCGAGGAGGGAAGCAGACACTCCTGATCATGGCTGGTCCGCTTCTCCATTTTGATGCAAAACATTCACGGCGTCGATGGATCATAGCCATTCTGATCTTCGTGGTATTGGCCGCCCTTATCACGACTCTTACGCACTACCGACGAGATCACTATGGCGAACTTAGGTTTCCCACTTCTCACGCTGAGCCAGGTTTTGCTAAGGACCTTCGTATCGAGGAATTCATCAAGCCGGAAGGCGTCAAGATCATTGGCCTGGTCTTTTTTGGCAGAAAAAACCGTGTCGAGATATTGCGATGTTTCCTGGAGGTAAGTCATCCCGCTCTCGACTGATCGGCGTCCATCCGTGTTAACTCCCTCAGCGCAATCTAGTTGATAACGGCGGCTGGCTCGACGAGGTCCATTGGGTCAAGAACACGGGCAAAAAGCCCGACTTGGCATATCTTGACGAAATCCTCGCGTCCTCACCACGCTATAAGAAAATCGAGCTCGAGGGCGTCGGCTTCATCGGCTACGGCTACGCCTGGTCTCATCTCGAACCGGGCAATCTATACGTCAAAATCGACGACGACGTAGTCTGGTTAGCTGACGACACCATCCCGCGTATGGTCACTATGAAACTGGCACATCCCGAATACCTCCTCGTCAGCGCCAATGTGATCAACTCGCCCTTGATGGGTTGGGTCCATTATCACATGGGCGCCTTGCACCCATACCTTCCCGAATTCGACGTCTATGATCCGCCGTTACTCGACGCCGTCGCCTCGCATAATCGCAAGCCGTGGCACTATTCCACCTATCCCTACTGGACCGGCCCGGACGATTATTACTTCGACATGTACCAAGACCCACCGTACGATGGACACCGCTGGCTGAGATTGCAGAATGACTCGGCCATTCATCGCACGCCAGTCAGTGAGATCGAGTACAAGACGTGGGGCACAGGTCTGCAATCGTGGGCCATTGCTGCACAGGAACATTACGCGTTCCTCGAAAATCTTGCAGACGGCCGCCTCGATCGATACAAGATGGGAAAGGCCTGGTTAACTGACTACCGCCGGCTGAGTATTAATTTCATCACTCTTTGGGCTGACGACGTGCTGGACAATCTGCCCATGGACACGGTGGACGAGGAGTGGTTGACTATCAACTTGCCCAAGAAGCTAGGTCGCAGCGTCGCTGTCGAGACGGATGCGCTTGCTGTGCATTTCACCTTCGGCGGGCAGGGGAAGGTCGAAAAGACAGATTTGCTACCCAGATATCGTGATTACGCTCTGGAAAATGCCTGCGCCAGGCGAGTATGAGTGACGACAATTATAAATGGAGGCCATCGTCCAGCGGTTGTTGATTTCTCCAGGGTTGAATTGGATTTTGCATAACAACACAAGCATTACGAGTGCTCCACAATTCCGGAGTCAGTTCCAAGAACCCCGATATGTCCAGCCTGCAGATTCTTGAATTTGAGGTCTCGAATTTTGACAGCTAGATAAGACAACGGGGCGCAATGTTGTGTGCACACAGCCGAGTTGGCATCTGACTTCACCTCCTCTACAAGTGCTGCAAAGCTCCCGCTCAGTTCATTTCCGCCCACTGCCTCTCCACCTCATCAGCGAACTCTCCTAACGTGCTAAAACGCCATCCATAGCCAACTTTGCCATTGTCATGCGCTTTTTTGAAATCCGCTTTCCCAGTCCCCGCTCCTTTGCGGTTGATCCAAACGCTGCTGATGCCCAACTTCTTCGCAGGCTTGTGGTCATGGAACAAACTCTGCGCGACGTGTAAATTCTCGTCCTTGCCGATCCCCGGTCCTCCTTCAGCCTTGTCATCGCCGTCGAGGTGCTCGAACAGATACTCGAAATTCCTCGTGTCGGGCTTGTAGCTGCCGACATCTTCGGCGGTGAAAACGCGCCAGAACTTCAAGCCCTCCAGCGGGCCGGCGTTCGTCCGTGCGAAAGAGTCGCGGTCCACGTTCGACAGGGCGATCAGTTTGTAGTGCTTGCTTAGGCGGTTCATGGCGTCCACCGTGTCCGGGAAGGCAGGCCATCCGCCGACGCTGGCACCGAATGCGCGTGCCCGGGACTGCACTTCGGGGTTGTCGACGGGAGCCCCAATGTCAGCGACGACGCGGAGATATGCCTGTTCGAGGACCCCGTCGTATTTCATGCTGGGGGATTCGGCTTGCACGTCTTCCTCGTGCTTGGCAAAGAGGTCGGCCAGCGCCTCGCGGCTCGACAGCTCGGTGGAGGCTTGGTCGTCGCGCGCGCTGTCCGCCGGGACGTGCTTGGATTGCAAAAGCAACGGCTCGAGGTGTTGGATGATGGAATTCTCCCATTGGATCAAGGTCTCGTATATGTCGAAGGAGAGAGACTTGAAGCTTGTCAATGGCTGGACCGGGACCGTCGGTGTGGGCATGGGAAGTGGCGTGTCCATTCTGGCAAACATGGATCTGCTCTCGTCGTACGGCAGAGTACTTGGAAGGAGTGAGACTCGATCGACGAGACAACTTGAGTGTTCGTTGCTCGCCAGATTTTTTGGTTCGGTCGGGGAAGGCTTCAGATGCTCGAGGAATCCCGAGGTAGTTATTCCTCTTATTGCTCTCGGCCTTCGCACTGCGCACAAGGACACTGGTCACGATGAGCTTGGAGATGAGAAGCCTGCAACCACGGCCACGGGGTCCTTGCTTAGTCAGTCATCTGTTCGGTTGTGGAGCTTGTCAAGACCCAGAGCGCGTATACAGGTCCGATGCAGCGGACCAGATCAGATTCGAAGACGAGAAACACGCCGCGCCATGTCTCGAAACCACGAAAATCCTGTACAAGCGGACCGCGCCTCTCGACGTACTCCTTAACGACCTGGGGCATGCTGAGGCCATGACAAGCGTGAGGTCGTTGATCTCCGCTATACGTACCTGACCCACAACTTCTCCATTGTTCGACAGAACCATATGAATACTGTATACGCGCCGACGAATTGAGACATATCGATCTTGGAAACCATGGGAGAAAGAAAACCCTACTTATTCATTGGAATGAGCAGCGAAAACATATCCATGCCATTCGTAACGCCACCGTGAGGTCCGGACGCCAGACTAGTAGTAGTTCGCTCTACACAATCAAAAGTTCTTGGTAATACCAGGCCGAACATTCTCCAGAATCTCACTCAACTCGGTCCAGACTTTCTCAGCAGCAGCTTTTCCATCGTCGCTCCTCACAAATGGCGACAAGTGGCTGTCGTCGACCTTCGCATCGGTCATGTACTTGCCGTGCGACTCTGGCCCTGCCGCGGCAGCAGCCACCAGAGTCCGACTGCCCACTTCCGTCGACCTGGCGAACAGGAGCTTCATGATCTTCAGGCCCAACCCTGCTTCACGGGCGAGTTCCGAGTGGCACAGTCCCGGGTTGAGGTAGTTCAGCACGACGCCTGAATTGGCCATTTTGGACGCGATGGCCCGGATCACGAGCACCTCGAGAAGTTTGCTCGTGGGGTACCGCTCCTCGAAGTTGGTCTTGGCTTTGTCGTCGAGTGCGCTAAAGGTATTTGGCTCTTTCCATTCGGGGAACTTGGTCCAGCCGTGGACTTCGCTCGACACGATGGTCAGGTGGGGCGTGGTCTTGAACTCCTTGGCGGTGGATTTGAGCTTGGGCAGCAGGAGCAGGGCGAGGAGGAATGTCGATATGACGTTGACTGTGACGGTGCGTTCGTGGCCTTCGGCCAAGTCAAACCGCATGGTTGCTATGCCTGCATTCTCGAGGAGGACGTCGATGCGAGGAAGGGCTGACGCGCGGCTCGAGAAGGCTTTGACCGAGTCGTATGAGGATAGATCGAGGGGCCAGACCTCGATGACTGAGGCAGCGCACCCGGTTGTCGCCTCGATGTCTTTCTTTGCGGCCTCGCCAGCCTTGGTGTTGCGCACTGCTAGGATGATCTTTGAGGCGCCTAAGCGAGCGAAGTGGCGGGCTGCCTCTTTGCCCAGTCCCGTATTTGAGCCGGTTACAATGACAGTCTGACCCGCGAAGGAGGTGGTAGGGTACGGGAGCCTGACGAACAATTGAGACCAGAGGAAACCCATCTTGATTCTGATATGAATACTCCGTAGTCCTTGCAAAAAATTGGGAAGGAAGGGGGCGAGCTTCGAAATGCCTGTCGATATGTTACGGAGTAGGCTGAATATATTTGGATGGAGAAGCAGACCTACTCACTGGCAAGCTTGACACTTTTTTATACACTTTGAAGGGAGACAACATCAACAATGCCGTTCCTAGGCATGGCTTAACGCCGTAAATGGCATGGTCCTTGCACTGTCACGAAAAAACAGTTTCGGGTACCAGGTACCTTAGGCAGACATGACAGACGTAGGTAGACGAGGACTTTCTGAAAATACCTGGTATGACATCTACAAGGATCGGCAGTTGATGGTAATGAAGCAAGCCATGCACCATGATGCGCGCATCCAATACTGATCCGTCGAGAATTAGACGCTAGTCCTTCTCTGGTGATACTCTCGAAGTCGGTATCCACACGTTTTTCTCAAGAGTCTGATTGGACACTTTTTCACAGTCACTCCTTAACGCCGTGCAATTCCCCGTTGGTATCTTCTGATCGCATATGTGCCTCAGAATGCACGCTTCACACGCCTACAACTGCCTCCGCACTCCTGACCACAAATGAAGTAATGACCAAGGGGCCACAGTGCAAAGAAAATCCAAATTCTTGACCCGGGCACCAGACACCAGTGGTTCTGTATCCAGCCTCGAGCCAGCCTTGCGGGCGCCCGTGGACAAGGCTTATCGGCGATAAGGATGAAATCCCTTGGCAGAGAAACTGCAACTTTTTCTTGCCCGAGGTTGAGGCAACCGAGATCGATTTTATCTTGACAAACGCCCAGCATGGCGCCCTCACAGCTCAAACAGTTGAAGGCCTCCTTGCGCGATCACGGTGTCCTCGGCCCTCAAAAGTCCAAGAAACAACGGAAAGCCACAGCAAAAGATGCCCAGAAACGCATCCAGCGCAATGCCGCCCTGGAAAGCATTCGAGAACGCTTCAATCCTTTCGAGGTCAAGGCACCGGCTCGGAAAGAAAAATTCGACGTCGCAAGTGGAAAGAAAGCACAACCTGCGTTGGGTCGACCCGGTGTGACACGTGGTCTAGGCGAAGAGCGACGTCGAGAGACATTGTTGAAAGAGATGCAGAGTCGAAACAAAATCGGAGGGTTGCTGGACCGTCGATTTGGTGAAAACGATCCTACCATGACCCCTGAACAACGAGCGGCCGAGAGGTTCGCTCGTCAAAACGAACGAAAGTTGAGGAAAACATCAATGTTTAATCTAGAGGATGACAGCGAGGAAGAAATGACACTCACCCACGGTGGGAGGTCGCTCGAGTTTGGGAATCAAGCACAAGACGATTTTGATGAGCGTGATGTCGCGGCCTCAGATGACGACGTCGCAGAGTTTGAGGTGCAGAACGACAGACCACGGAAGAAGCTGCGCCTCGAAGACGCTGCGGACACACAAGATGAAGAAGGCGACGAATTGCCCCAGCGAAGAAAGTCGAAGAACGAAGTGATGAAAGAGATCATCGCAAAGTCAAAAATGTACAAGGCTGAGCGACAGGCTGCAAAAGCTGATGACGATGACTTGCGAGCGGAGCTGAATAAAGGAATGTCGGAGTTTTATGAAGCTCTTCGAGGTCACAAACCACCCGAAAAGCAACTGTCTTCGCCGCCAGTCACGGAGGCTGAACCTCACATGGATCCTGCCCGGGCTGCAATGTTGGCCGGCAAGAGCAGGCAAGACGCAGAGAAGGAGTACGAGGCCAATCTCAGGGCGTTGAAACTGGAAGTCCGGTCCAAGCCCAGTGTGAGGACGAAGACGGATGAAGAAAAGGCCGCCGAAGAAGCTGCAAGACTTGAAGAATTGGAAAGAAAACGGATCCGCCGAATGAAGGGGGAAGCCGAGAGCTCAGAGGACGACGAAGATGCCGAACTCGGTCCAGACGAGGATTTCGAGGAAGACGATGCCGAACCCTTTGGCCTCGCTGCACCGGAGGCCGCTCCAAGCAGAGACTTGGACGTAGAGGATGAAGACGAATTTCTGCTCGAAGATGATCTGATAGCCTCTGATTCTGAAGCGGAGGTGGCCAGCGAACAGGACCTTGACGAGTCTGAGTCCGAGGACGAGGTTGAAGATGACGGGGACGACGACTTTATAAATGGCCTGGTCTTGCCACAAGGATCGAAGGCATTGCACGCCAAATCAGCGGACAAAGCCCTGGTCAGCGACAATCTTGCTTACACCTTCTCCTGCCCACGGACACATGAAGAATTGTCGGCTCTGGTGAAGGACACAAAATACACAGATTTGCCGACCATCATTCAGAGGATCCGTGCGTTGTACCATAAGGGTCTTGCGCAGGGCAACCAGGAAAAGCTCGACGTGTTTGCTGTAGTCTTGACGCAACACGTGGGATACCTTGCGGACAACCACAGTGACGTACCCTTTTCGGTGCTGGAGAGTCTGGTGCGGCATCTTCATTCGATGGCCAAAGCCTCACCGCAAGCAGTTGGAGATGCCTTCCGAAGGCACCTTGAAAGTATCGCTGATGAGCGGCCTCTCAAACTCTCTCCTGGCGACCTGGTCATCTTGACGGCTGTTTCGACCATCTTTCCGACATCCGATCACTTCCATGCGGTCGTGACGCCAGCGATGCTCACACTCGGTCGGTATCTTGGGCAGAGCTCACCACAGTCTCTGCACGATCTGGGCGTTGGTGCATACTGCTGTTCACTGGCGCTCCTGTATCAGCGGCTGGCGAAGCGATACGTTTCCGAAGTGGTCGCCTATATTGTTAATGCCTTGGCCGTCCTTGCTCCAGCTTCGTTACCCGAGAAGGACAAAGACGGGCAGCCGCTGCATATTCCCCTCAGGCTACCACAAAAGTCATTGCGGACCAAGTCAGCCGCAGAAGCAGCTCCAGGTAAATTGTCCTTCAAACAGCTCGTCATTGACGCAGACGGACAAGATGATGCTGCCAAATCACTGGCTCTTCTCAACACTTTCATCCGGCTTTCCAGCCAGGCCGCCGACTTGTGGAAGCAGAAATCGGCTTTCCCAGAACTCGTATCCCCTCTCATACAAACCATCAGCCACATAATCTCACACGGCGGCAAGCTTCCCAAGTCATCAGTGGCGCTTGCCACGAGCACCTTGGAAACTTTGCAGAGTCTTCAGAAGGCATCCATCGAGTCTCGCCGACCTCTCTTGCTCCACAACCACAGACCTCTTGCGATCAAAACTTCCATCCCGGCCTTCATTGAGAACTACAACCCCGACCGCCACTATGATCCGGACAGGCAACGCGCCGAACTCTCGAAACTCAAGGCTGAGCACAAGAAGGAACGCAAGGGAGCCATGCGTGAGCTGCGCAAGGACGCCAACTTCATGGCAAGAGAACAGCTTCGTGAGAAGAAGGAGAAGGATGCTGCTTACGACAAAAAATTCAAGCGGCTTGTTGCTGAAATCCAGGGAGAAGAAGGCCGAGAGAAAAAGGAGTATGAGAGGGAGAAGAGAAAGAGACAGGGTCGCTTCTAGGCAGAATCATCGACTATTACGCTACAGCCGTCACTCCTCTTGTGATACCCTTCGGAGCAAGTTACATCAAAAGTATAAGTAGAGGCATTTGAGACATCAGCTTGTGCTCGGTTATCGCCACCGTGCTGAAGCAAATAAAAGGCTCCAGTGCCATGAAGACGTGTACGAAAATGAACCCATTCGCTATGTCGAATGATAGACACGCTCATCTAGAATAGGACGCAGTGGAGACGCAAAAAGGAAATGATGCCACCATGCTGACCTCATCCTTTGCTGTTCTTGAAGCGGACTCGATATATATTCCTGGGTAGGTACTTCTCACTCAAGAAGACTCTTTCAGAGCTGAGACTGGCAATCCTAATATAGAGTGCTACGATGCCGCTCATATCTGCAAAGCCTCATGCTAGCAAGACTCTCTTCGATCCCAGATCTTGGCCGCCGACCATTTCTAGGTGTTCTCTTTCGTACTATGTACACTTCCAAACGACAGGGCTCAATGTGCGAATCGGAAGGTCAACATCTTATTGCCCTCGTCGGTGGTTGTTGCAAGATATTCTCGTTGTTCAGCCTCAGTCATGGAACTCCATCTGCGATCTCGAACTCTGCCGCGACGCACCAATCAGTAAGATGAGCTACTTGGACTATTACTGGTAAGGAGCCACTTACTTGTTCCTCCAGACATAGAAACATTTCCCAAAGACAAACAGGACGATATTGTAGACGCAGATGGCGATGAGGATTTTATTGCCCCGCCGATACATCGGCTTGTCATCGTTGCGATAGATCTTTGCAAGGTCATGTTGTCAGTCACCAAATCCAAACAAACATGGGGGATGGGGCACGGCATTCTCACATTTGACCCAATGATATTGCTAGCTTGCACAAACATGTTGTACAGTGCCGACGCGACAGTCCGCGTCCGTACTGAGCCGGCGTTGCGGCTGGTAATGGCCACATGAATGGCATGGACGTATGGCGTGCCGACAAGTAGCGTCACCAAGGTATACTTGGCCCATTTGGAGGCCGACGCCGGGAGTAGTTCGGAAGCAATGAGCAATGGCAGCGCCCAGATCTGACTGACCAGACCGGTCAGGAAGCGCTGATTGGTCTTTTCGGATACCCAGGTGAAGAACAGGAGGTTGATGATGAACAGGACGTATGACGGGATGGTCAACATGTTGACTTCGAAACGACTGAAGGATTGCTTCAAGATCAAGGACAGATACTGTGTGGCAGGGTAGTTGACGATAAGGAAGGAAAGGCCGATGAGATAGATTGGCCACATTTCCCAATCGCACAATGCATACCAGAGTAATTTGGGTGTGACAGCCTGCCGATTGTGCATGTCGCCTTTGGAAGGGTCGTCACGGAGAATGCGATTGACCATGATCTTCTCTTCCCTAACGCTAAACCATCCATGCTTCCCACGGAAGCGTGAAGCAGTCTGACATGGCGAAGGCGGCATATAAAAGTATGTTGCAATCCCAATCAACCCAGTCAATGTACCTTCGAGGGCGAAGAGATATCTCCAGCCTGCGAGGCCGTTGATCCCGCGCATGCAGAGGATTGCCGCTGCCAGAAACGCACCCACAATGCTGGTAGCTTGATATGAAGTCCAGAACCACGACAAACGAGCCGGGAGTTCTCGGCCCTTGTACCAGTAACTGAGATACAGAATGGTATCTGGTATGAAGCCGCCCTCAATTAAGCCCAACAATGCACGACAGGCGTAGAAGGATGATTTACCACTCAGAAAGGCTTGAAAGCTGGCGACGAGACTCCAACTGATCATCTGGATCGGTATCCAACGGTCAGGGCCCAGCTTCTTTGATATTAATTGTGATGGCAGCTCGGCCGCAAGGAAGCACAGGTAGAAGATGGTCTGTCCGTAGTTGTAGTCGTTGGTGTTCAAATTGAGGTCGTCCAGCATGTTGTCGCTCAAGGCTTGCACGATGTTGGCCCGGTCGAGCTGCAGGGCAAAAAATGTAAGACAGACCCATGAACAAATTCTGAGGTCTATCTTTCGCACGAGCCTCTTCTCTTCAATCGGGTCCCACTGAAATTCCGGATCCCAGCGATGGCGTCCTTCGTACTTTTCAATGGGCACGTATGTGTCCTCGCCAGCCACACGCAAAAAGGTTTTGTCCTCAGCAATTGAGTTGCTTCCGGAACTAAGACCGTCTTCGACTGGGACAGTATCTGGCAGCGTCTCGCCCTTGAGGTCGTAGGTCAACTTCGGCTCCGATGAGCCAAAGCTTGGAGGAGTTTGCGCCATAGCTGTCCTCGTGACGACGGTGAATCGGTCAAAGGACTTTTGTGAGGACTGCTAAGATAAATCGAATACGGCCTTTTCTTGGCTCCTTATACTCATCGGCATCGGAGCCGCTTCTAGGCGAGGAAACGAAAGATCGGCTCCCACGGTGTAGATAGTGTGACGTGCATATCCATTTCTGCGCATATCAGTGAATTGCGTGCTCGCGTAGGAGCCACATGGCTGTGCTGATGGTCGGGACCAACCATCGGCAACCCAGAGTTCAGGGAGAGCAATCAGTAGGACTGGTCCCCAACACCTCAATGAGCGAACGCCTCTCAGGTCAGGAGAGAATCCTTGGGAACGGTGTTCTGTTGATCTCGATCCAGAACATGTCAGGGACTGGAGCCGAACCTCGTTGCACATGGATTGTGGACGAATGACGACGTCGTTGCCCGATCTCGAAAGACAACGAGCAATCATTGGATACTATGCTTATCAGACTGCATGTTTAGCAGTTCAATCGTCAGGAGAAAGGCCGTTTGACAATAGGTGCATCTTCAGTGAGAATCCTGTACCTTCCATGTTGAGGTGATCACGCAATTTCGTGTGAGAAGACGCAACGTCGCTCTCCACCCAATAGCCACCATCACGAGCAATCGACCTGCTCCTCCAATCCCGGGTCAGGTCTAAACATCTGATTGATCCATGGAACATGCTGCGGGTCGGACTTGATTGCGCGAGTGACGGTGTTGGTGTCGTTTGTAGAACTTCATCGGAGATGGCCATGCCGAATACCCAGTCCTTGGTATAAGAAGGACTTTTTGTCGCTTTGCTCATTCACTCATCAAACCAGATGAGAAGAAACGATGGCAGCAGTCTCATCTAACGCGTTGGCGTCCGCTTTGGAACAGCCCAGAGGGTCTGTCGGGGCGTACAAAGAATTGTCCACAAGCACGGTTCTGCTCGAGAATGAATTGCATGGTACTGGCAGATTCGCCGCCGCATCGTTCCCGAAGTAAGAAAAACTGGAGTTCGATCATGGAAAGACGCTGACTTTTCGATCAGCTATCTGCCGGTATGGGATAATGAAAAGGGAGAAAAGTGAGTTGCAAGTCGGCGAAGTTGAGCTTCGGGACAAATCCACGTGATTTTGCGGTCAAGTAGGACTTCGTCACTGACCAGGACCTTCGCTTGTCTAGATATGCTCCTTTGGAACCATTTGAGCACTACGAGCACGGCAAAGACGCTGACCCATCCTTTCCCAACCTGCTAAAGGAGGGAAGCCATCTTGAAGACATCACCGCCTCTATTGGAGCCGAGGTCACCGGCGTGCAGCTTTCTCAACTGAACGACAAGGGCAAGGACGAACTGGCGCTTTTGGTGGCGCAGAAGAAGGTCGTCGCTTTCAGAGATCAAGACTTTGCATCTCTTCCCATTGAAAAAGCTCTTGAGTTTGGCCGCTATTTTGGCCGACTGCACATTCACCCGGCCAGGTAAGCAAGCCTAACCTCAACTTCACGCCAATGATCCCACTGACCCAGTATAGTGGAGCGCCGAAAGGGTATCCTGAGGTCCATCTCGTCCACCGTGGTGCTGATGACAAGTCTTTCCTCGAGTTCCTGAATAACCGGACAAACTCCATCGCCTGGCACAGCGACGTCACGTATGAGAATCAACCTCCAGGTAAGGCTCGAGACCATCCAAAAGCCCACTCGAGACCCGCTGACTCTTGTCCAGGAACTACCTTTTTGTACGCCCTCGATGTCCCCGGCGCTGGAGGCGATACCTTGTTTGTCAACCAGGCAAAAGCGTATGAGAGGCTATCACCTGCGTTCCGTGAACGCCTCGCTGGCTTGCAAGCTGTTCATTCGGGCTACGAACAAGCCACGAGCGCTCTAAATAGGGGCAGTATTGTCAGAAGAGACCCTGTTTCGTAAGCCTGCACCTGTGTCTGATCGTGACTGTCTTCGGAGTCACTGACGTCCTGCAGGTCTATTCATCCTGTGGTGAGGACTCATCCGGCGACCGGTGAGAAGGCATTATATGTCAACCCACAGTTCACACGGTATATCGTCGGGTTCAAACAAGAGGAAAGCGACTACCTCCTCAAGTTCCTCTATGACCATATAGCCCTCAGTCAAGACCTTCAGGCTAGGGTGAAATGGAAGCCTGGCACTGTTGTTGTTTGGGACAATCGGGTAACAGGTGAGTCGAGTAGAAGAGTAGAAGAGCTCCATGGGATCTGGCTGACCTCAAAACAGCTCATTCAGCCCTCATTGATTGGTCGGACGGCCAGCGTCGACATATTGCGCGGATAACTCCACAAGCTGAGCGACCAACGGAATAGACCTGGGAGTGATCTGGATGCTGGGGAGGCACGGTATAGCCACAAAGCCAGGTTCAGGGCGCTAGTGCGGCGGGAACCAACATTTGGTAGCGGAGGTCTGTAGGACATTAGCAGCATCTGCGCGGCCGCGGCATCACAAGACGTCGAGCAATATTTGGCAAATCCATTCATTTTGACCTTGAGGATTCTGAGTGTTGGCCCAGACCCGGTTGCCCGTTGCCGCCCCAACTCCAGACGATGCTCGTAACCCTGATGTGCAACCTTGCGGTGTATGGCGTATGTCTAGAAGCCCCTAATCACCCTCCAATCTTGCAACCACAGTGCTCATGTCTTCGTCGCTGTAGATTCTGAATCCACCTTCTCGAGTGACGCTGGCTAGTTGGACATTCTTTGAATCCAGCTTTTCCTCCATGACCTGCTTCAGTGTCTTCAGAACCAACGTCTCTGCTTCTTCTAGCGTTAATGATCGGTGGTACTCGGATTGTAATTCAGCTTGAGCTCCTTCGCTACCAGAGCCAATGGCTTTTGCATCGTATCGGTAGAACGTTCCTGATGGCTCGGCGTGGTACCTAGCTCCGTCAGTATTTCTAGTATCTAGTTCCCAAGATTCTTACAATTGTGGTCCATTGTCTTCATCCCAGCCAGCAATCAGTAATGCAACACCGAATGGCCGACTCATTATTGACTCTTCTCCCTGCGCTCCCTCACCGAATCTCAGGGCCAAATCGCAAATGGCCTGCGTGCAGCTTTCCACTCCCAATTTCTCGTTGTAGTTGAATTGGTGGTTTTGTGACTCGATTCGTGCGTGCTCGATCATACTTCGGGCATCTGCTTGTAGACCAGACATGGCGCATCCAATGTGTCTGTCGATCTCGACGATCTTTTCAATGCTCGAGGAAACGAGTAGAGGAGAGGTGACGCGTTTCTCGACACCGAGGAGGACGCCATGTGAAGTCGCAACCTGCAAGAATCAGCAACATCTTCGACAGAGGTGGATAGACAAGCATTACGCCAATGGCTGTTGAACCAAGTTTGATTGCTTCTAGTGAATATTCGACCTGGAAGAGACGACCTTCGGGGGAGAAGGTGCTGCAACGAGTTAATACCATCAACAGAATCTGCAACGTTATACTTACTTGATCCCTCGATCTGTTCGGGCACAATTAGCATCGCATTGGCCTCATTGGCAGAGACAGCACTTACCGTACTCTGATCGAGCAATGAACATTCTGGCGGTGTTTCAGGAAGCTTAGACCGACCGGTAGATGAGAAGATCCTATGGATGAAGCCAGGAAAGATTCAGGGCAAGAAGGGAAGAAGTATCTGAGAGAAGGTGTGTTCTTCGATTGTTGTATCTCTGAATTCAGGCAAGCTCATGCATGCGCAATACGGATACTTCTCCAAAGTCCGCAGCAGGCGCGCCAAGTCAAGATGTGATTTCATTGGTCAGCCTTGCGACACGCTCTCCTGGGCTTGGCATACTACAGTAGTAATACTCGAGAACGACTTCAGTACTACTTTTCGCCATCCTTATCACCTTCTATCATATATTGTCTTCGAGGCTGGCAATATTGATATCTAAATGTTTACCGGAAGGCTTCTGAACCACTACTCCCGGTCTCAAAGCTGGCTAGGAGCGCTTGGCATAGGTGGCATTCCCAATGCACCCTTCCACCTAACGGGACATCTGAAGCTCCTTACGGCATGTTTGACGGATACAACACCGTGTCAATTGTCTGGAAATTCTCCTTGATCGTTCTCTGTGAGGTGAAACGGCTCAACAAGCCCACTGAACCTGCCTTATCATTGGTTCCGCTGGACCGTGATCCTCCGAAAGGCTGTTGACCCGGCATTGCACCAGTACATTGATCACTTCCAGATGTCAAGGTGTATTCGCTAGAGCGAGCAGGAGCCGGCACTTACTTGATATAGAAATTGCCAGCGGAGAATCTAAGTTCTTCGGTGGCTTCAATGATGGCCCCTCGGTCTTTGGCGAAAATGGCACCAGTGAGGGCATATTCTGATGTTTCGTCGATGAGTTTGAAAAGCTTGGATCCAAAGTCCTTGTCGTCGTAAAGATAAATGCACATGAAAGGGCCGAAGACTTCTTCTCTCATGAATTTGCTCATGGGGTCCTTGGTTTCGATGACCGTGGGTCGAATGAACCAGCCTTTGGAGTCATCAAAGTCGCCACCAACAAGCACTGTGATGTCCGTGGACTCTCGTGCATCTCGAATGTAACCCGCTACCCGCTTGAAGGCCGATTCACTGATCACAGGGCCAATGAAGTCTGTAAAGGCTTCGCCCATTGTCAGCGCTCTCGTTTCTTCCACCAGTATCGACTTGAATTTGTCTGCCAGGGAGGCAGGAACATAGACTCGAGATAAGGCGCTGCATTTTTGACCTTGATATTCGAACGCTGCGCGTACCGATTTCAAAGCAGCGTTTCTAATGTCCGCCGATGGGTGAATCAAGTGGAAGTTCTTGCCGCCTGCATTGGATGGGTAAGCCCGTCGCCGAGAAGAGATAACACAATGCTGGAAACTCACCAGTCTCGCCAACAAAACGTGGATACGACTTCCAAGTGTCCACCTTGGCACCTACGCGAGCAAGCAGTCTTTTAAACACAGCTGTGCTTCCTGTGAAATGCAGGCCACCAAGATCCCTGCTCGAGAAAACTGCCTCAGTCACAAGCTCAGCATCGCCGGGGACAAATTGAAGCACGCCAGCAGGCAGTCCTGCTTCGATCATGATCTGATTGAGAAGCCAACTCGAGTAGATAGCTCCGGGACTGGGCTTCCACATAACCACATTTCCCACAATGATGGGTGCCAGCACAAGGTTGACGGCAAGCGCTGTGAAGTTGAATGGGCATATAGCATAAACAAACCCGTCGATCGGCCGGACTTCTGTTCGACTGAAACGCAGATGGTCAAACGCCGTTAGGCTCAAGGTAAGGGTGCACTCACTTCCAAACTCCATAGGCGTTGATAGGTGGTTGGGCTTTGTACAAAGTCTCGGCGAGGGAAGGAAACATTTTCAGGAAATCAACAGACTAGAAGGCTATCAGGCCGGGCCGGACTTGGGGGTGAGCTTTCACCAACCTCTGCGACACAGTCGATATCCGCTTGATATGCGTTCTTTCCCTGGCCGAGCATCGTTGCAGCCATCATTTTGTACTTGTATGGCCCCTCGATGAGGGCTGCTGCTCGATAAAAGATCGCCGCACGATCCTGGAGAGAAGTCCTCGACCATGCTTTCTTTGCCTCTAGAGCTCCTGCAATGGCTGCTGCCACCAGCCCAGGGGTAGCCTCTGAATATCTGGCCAACGCCAAGCCATGGTCGAAGGGGCTCTTCTGTGTGCTTGTGGCCTGCCCTACGACCTTTCTCAGATGTTAGATGGAGCCGAGTTTGGTGATTTATGAGAAGACATACCACTTTGCCATTCACGTAAGGATGCACTTCGTGCGGAGCCGCGCTCTTTAACTCGTCGAGAGCCTGTGATAACAGGTCTCGCTCAGGAGTGTTTGGTGCGTAAGAAGTCTATTCAGTCAAGACGTATCCCATACAGCCAGACAGATACAGCAGACACTTACAAAAGCATGATTGGTAAACGCTGGCCCAGCGAAAACGCCTAACGTAGAACTTGCCGGCAGCGACATCTCGATCTTATGTATAAGGGGGATCACGGTTGCTTCTTGCTTGCATATCCCCAGGACCACGCTTTCGATGCTCGACCAGGTACTTGTTATGTACAGCGAGGCTGGGCCGACGCCTTTCGAGACGGAGAAGATCCGTCATGTTGGCAAACAATGGCCGTCCTCCTGCAAGAGATGGCGCGTGGAACTGAAGTTCGGGGCGAACTTGTTACCTGAGAGGCGCCGATATGGTTGCTATAACCCAGCGCGGGCTAATCCGTGCGTAAAGTGGGGTGCCATTAGGCGACATCTTGCGACCTTATGCTTGAGAAGGCGTCCATGGAGTTGTCCATCGGCCAGGCAGTGTTCGGCGCTGGTGACCCCTGCTTTTAGCTCCATGATGGCTCTTCAACCTTCAACTGAGGGCCTGGACGACGTGGCCCATGATGGGCAATTGTGAATGTCCCGAGCCCGATAATCGCTCCGTCCTCACACACAACTTCGCTGTCGTCGATAGAAGTGCCTGCCACAAAGTTCCGCATTGGGATGCCAGGCTTTCCGAGCCTCAACTGCATGGGGCCAGACCAATCCTGACGGCCACAATGGAGTATCAAGCACGTGGTAGCGATTGGACCTCAATGGGACAACATGGACTCACTGCGTTGTCGGCAGCTGCGCCTTTCTGTATGTTGCGCGCTCGGTCGGGATGTCTGCGTGATCGCTGACCCTCGCTCCAGATCGTGGACACTCGGTCATGAACGAAGCCATCGACGCCGAGGTACTTCAACCACCTCGGAAGCGAAGGAAAGGTGGCAAGATTTTCTCTGTAGGCTCGTTGCCTATCCCCTCCCTTCTTGCTTCGTACTAACAGACGACAGGGCTGTAGTAACTGCCGTGTAAGGAAGATCAAGGTGAGCCTGGTGGACTGAAAGAACGTTCGAAGACTCCTAACAATGGGAGTGCGATCTCCGCGAACCGACCTGCTACAACTGCGAGAAATCCCGGCGCTACATATGCGATGGATATAAAAGCCCAAACAACATGAACATGCCCGGTCAAGCCTCCATGCGAACACAGTCATCCATACCAGCTTCAGCCGACGACCATTCACAAGCACCACTGCAAAATCGCCTGACATCAATCTCTGCCTTGGACGATGACGAGACTGGACGAGGCTCGGATGGTCCTGGTCAAAATCAGGTGCAATTCGTCGACCTGTTCAACTGTTTTGAAAATCCAGTTCCATGGCTGGATTTTATGGCCATGTCAGGGTTTATGGGTAATGAAGCTGCGAATAGTCCCTTTTCCATGGCAGGTTCACCGGCACGAATGCCTTCACGGCAGAGTATTCATTTTGGCAGTCACCAAAACGTCCACATCCAAACCATGCCACGACAAGAAGAGCCAGTCACTACTGTCGACCCGAATCTAGTTTGTCAATCTTCAAAACCATGGATGCGTTCAGAACACTCGAACACAATGTCCTCAAACAAATGGAATATTTCTTCAGACGCTCTGATGCCGGAGAAAGTTCTGAATGCCATTCCGCCACCACATATCAACGGGAACGACTTGTCACAGCGTACCCATCAGCTGCTTCAACACTACCGAACGCATGTCTGCGAAGCCATGATGCCAACTTCGGCTCCAAAATTGAACCCCTACCTCCGGCTATATCTACCGCTAGCCGTACAAGACCCGAATTCCCCGGCGAAGCAGGCCTTACTCGATGCGATCCTGGCGGTAGCCGCCTTCAACAAATCCCAGCTTACCCCTGGCCAGCGACGATTATATCGAGATCAAGCTACAGATCACCACGACCAGGCGGCCTCCATGATCAACACGATAATCTCGAGGAAGCAGGCCTCTTCACACCCCACAGGAGAGTCGCCCGAGTGCAAGCATGCACTTCTGGCAGCTGCGCTGACCTTGACCACAATCGAGGTTTTCAGTGGTGCAAATGAAGGAAGGGGCTACGAATATCTACTTCTTTGCAGAACGGTTCTTGAATTGACTGGTGGCCAAAGATGGTGGCTTTCAAATTCCGCCAGCATAACATTGCTGCAGATTTTCCAATGTCTCCATATCGTAGGCCGCACGTCTGGTTGGTTTGAGTCACCATCAAGACAGCTGGACGATATTGAAGCTGAGGGCTCTTCTGATAGTCCAGTAGCCGAAGCCGGCGGACGTCCTGTGATCGGCCACGTGCTTCTGCAGGCGCCGCAGACCTATGCACCGGAGTATACACTGGACATATCGTTTGGCATTTCCATCAACACCTTGTCCCATCTGCACAAGGTCATCATGCTGTCGAAAGTAAAATCGTCACTGTCGCCGGGCCAGGGATGGCCATCTAGTGCGCAGGAAGAACTGGCCAGACTCGAAAAAGAAATGTTTACAGACATGGAAAATTCCTGCCTCGAGGCCTCATCCTCGCGCTCGCCTTCGCCCTCGTTAGAAGGCGTTTCCCAATATGTGGCCAACGAGATCAAGGAAGATCACATGCTGGCATTCCATTACAGCACTGCGCTGTTCTTCAGAAGAGCCCTCTGTGACGGAACCGGTCGGATCGTGCCTGCTTTGTATGGCGATATGGTACCGCGTGAGCCACGTGGCACGCCACTCCCGAGTGGACAGCATCTTGTTTCTAAAGCTCTTGAGCACCTCGAAAACATCGATGCTCTTGCGGGTGATCTGGCAATCGCCAATACCCTGTGGCCTGGCTTCATTGCCGCCGCCGAGGCGGTAGATTGGAAACTCCGGCGACGAGCATTGATGTGGTTCGGGCGAGCGAAACGCCACGGCATAGGCAACATCACAAAGGCCAAAGCCCTTGTGCAGGAAATCTGGAGGCGCGTGGACCGCTTGATGCTAGAAGACCACGAGACTCATCCCGAGCTGGGCCCCGTCGATTGGCGCGAGGTCATGAACGACATGAACATGTATATCATGCTCACATAGTCTGACTATGCTTTACATATTGCCTGCCCCCTTCCTCTCGACCGGATCGATATGCTATTCAAGACCTAAACGGCGTAAAATACTATTTAACCCCGAATCAAGGTTTGTTCTCCTACCTTTTCTGCTTCTCTCCTTGACCCCTGACGATCTCGTCCAAATGAGCCCCAACGACATCCTGCCAGAGGGGCTTGTTCTTGTAATTCGCCAATTCCGGCCCATAGCTATCCACACTCGTCCTCAGAGCAAGTGCAACGTCCCTGTCCTTGGTGATTTCGAGGATGGGCGTGACATAGGTCCTTATCGAGAAGACTATAGCTCTTGTCTTTGGCAACCGTTGCAGGACTTGCCTCTCCACCCTGAGATAAAGTTGATCAAGCGCGACGGGATCTTGCACTTCTGGCTTCAAGTTGTGATGCGAGTTGATATGGAACAGCTCCGGGCTGTTGTCGATGGCGTAGTTGAATCGCATGACCGGCGAGTCGACCCGCATGCGCTGGAAGAACCGATCCATCGACACAGCGAGCTTCTGCTCGTACATAGGGACTTTGCCTGCGTGTATTTCCCAGAGACTATGGCCAATTCGTTCTTGGATTTTCCAGCCTGCTAAAAAGCAGATAATTGGTCTTCAAGTTCCGCCAATGGGGTTGGAGGGATATATCTGCGACTCACCAGGGAAACAGTTCGCACCAGCCCGTAGGCGAGTGATGCTCGGATCCTCCTGGTCGGGCTGCATGATGAACCAATCCTCGGTGGACAGTAGACCCATGACTTGCAAGGGATGGCAGTTGTTCCATACGGAAGATTCTCTTCGCAGGTCCCAGTCATCGTTCGTGACTAGATTCTTAATCCCCGTCTCGGTCGCTTGGAACATGGAGGGATACCGCCGCGGCAGCATATCCGCCAGAAGGTATAGGGCTTCGAAGGAAGCTTCCTCGCTGCCAGGCAGGTGCTGAATTGTCTTTTCAGGATGTTGTCGGAAGAGTTGTACCTTGTACTTGTGACGCTCGAGGTACTTGTGATCGATCTCCACCCAGTCTTCCAAACATGTGCGCTTGATGCCCATGGTGATGTAGTGAGGGCCATTCTGCCATGGTCGGTAAGGTTGTTCAGGTTGGGTTGTCCAGTCGAAGTTCTCCTTCGGCTTGAAGTGCTCCAAGTTCAATGAGTCCCAATCTTGAATACTGACTGTCAGCCACGGGAAATTGGCTGTCTCTCTTCTACCGGAGATCGTTTGGCTTACCGGGATTTTCAAGTCTCTCAGCCTTGCCAACTGGTCCCTGCTCCGTTGAAGGTAAGGTGGCAACCTTGGCCGCAGTCTTCTGAAAGCGCCGGTTGTAAAAGAAATTGGTGGTGAGGTAGCAGCAAAGCACTAAGGCGACCCATGGCAGGCATGACATCGCCAGTATACTGGTTGAAGACTCTTGCCAATTGGCGAGACTGAGGACGGTCGGCATGGTCAACGCTCTGTTTGATCCAGAAGCCGCGGATCTGTGATGCAGGACACCTCACGGACTGACGCCTTCCGCTCATACCCAACTAGGAGACCGACAAATCTAGTTCAATGTCCTTATACTTTCCACGGACCTAGGAACCCCAGGTACGGAAAAGGACATGGTCCCGTTCGCGGCCGCAAGCAGTCCCAGACTTTCGCTGGCGATGCTCAGCACCTCGCGAGAAGAGTGGTTGATTTCTTGATGAATCGTCGAATGCGAACATTGCGGAGATCCCCATCGCTCCACCTTTTGCTTATGTTGTATCATAGTGCCGAAGATCAGGACGCTGCCGAGAAGTTCGGCGCGAGAAATGCGGCTAGTGATGACTGCACCGAGCAGCCCTCACCTGGCTATAGATCCATCTTTCCAAGCCCGCTCAACTCGATTTCTGACAGGGTCCCTCCGCCAGTGTCGTTATGCGAGTGGTCGTAGGCTTCGGCGTCGGCATCTTTGAACCATAGTCTCGCGCTCCCGTAAGAGATACACAGTTCCTCTCCGGCTTTGATGTTTCGAAGAGCGGTGTAAACGATCACATCGGTGTCGGTGTTGCGCTTCCAGCCTACGTTCTGACCTCGTGTGGAATGGTTGAACATAGAGCCTAGTCCAAGAGCAAGAGCCTGTGTCATCGTTCGGCCAGATTTGGAGGGCCAGTAGCTATCGATGAATCGGACAGTGAGCACCGAGTGTGATAAGCATAAAAAACAGGTATCGATGTCGAGAGGGACCATCAAAATGGCTAAATTGCGTATAACATCAACTTACTAGGTATAGTGCTGTAAGCAGGTATGCTGCGTGTGCTTTTCGACTTCGTCCTCGTTGAAGACAAGAACCGGACAGACTTCGATGACTGTACCGCTCGGGATATCCTGGATTGCGAAAACTCCTCGACCTAGATATTCAATGGACAATTCTTTAGTTTTAGTCCTCACAACTACGTAACGAGGTCGATTTTCATCGCGAAAGCCCAGCGGGCGGTGCCCGATCCAGTAGCCAACACGCCGAGCGAGCGATTTTTGGGCTGAGTATGAAGATTTGCAGGCTCAAAACCAAGAACACCAACCTTTCGGAGTATTCATTACGAGAGCTAGGCCATCTGCCCTCGAGAGAGGCTGGTCTCCCTTGGGAACAGGGTCATTTTCTGGCATTTGGGGTCCTCAGCTCGGAAAGCAGTATGTCACTCAGTGAAAGATATCCCAAGAAGCAAAATAGTAACGCCAGCACTAAAAGGTGGTGATTGACGCCAATCACTGGCCGGTGGTGTAGAAATTTGTCCAAGTTGAAACCGAAAAGTGCTGGTGGAATTATGAAAGGCCAAAAAAGGGCAAGCGTGAAATTTGACCGTGATGGCCTTAGATGACGTCAGACCGTGTGTTCTTCCCTTGGCGCTTCTCCTTTCGCAGCCTCGCAACTCTTTTCATTGCTTAATCCGCTCTGTTAGGTACATACTACGTACTACCCTAGTCACTCTGCTGCCTTCAGCATCGACGCAGCGGTACGGTCCCGCAAACCTCAAAATGGGCAATGAAGGATGCGTGTGTTTCGTGTCTCTGGCCGACAGAGTCCGTTTGGGTGCTTTCTGAACAGTCGATGGTGGGCAAAACGAGGCCATCAGCGACACTTCATACCTCTTCAGGTTGCGGGATAGGCAACCCTCCTGCAATTCGTATTACAGAATGTTGGCCAATAACTCTCTACGAAGCCGACAAGTGACTTTATACTGCGGCATTTTCTCAATCTCAGTCGTGGCATCATCGGCAGAGCCTCAGCACCACGGCTTATGGCGACCTTTCCGAACACTTCCGCCCAGAGGTGGACGAAGGAATCCCTGCACCTAGCATATCAACGCTCAATTAGAGCAGCCCCTACGGCCGCAGCCTTACAGGTCGGTCTCGTTTCTGCGTGTTCACAGTTTTCTATTTGGCTCTTTCACCGGAACCGCTTACTATACCCCGGATTTATTCGGATGTCGGTTCATTTCGAGTGAGTGCTTATGACCCTAGATGACTATACACAGAGAGCGGGTTTCGACGTCATTGAGGGCTTTTAAGGACTTCTATGCTCGTCGTGGGGCATCGGCTCAGCAGCATAAATATGGATCAGGTGTTCGCGTCTTCGACGTCTGACACCATCACTTTCCAAGCTTCATCAACAAGGACCAAAAGCTAGTCACCAAACCCAGACAAGCGCGCTATCAAAAGTCCATACCAGGCAGCGAACCTTCGTGCACTCTTCTCAACAAGTCAAACCTGCTTGCAACCACAACAAACCAGGTACATCGACAATGGCTGAGGGATTCAACGGCATGGCCATGGACCAACCTGCCGGCTCTAGCAGAACCAATCCTTATGCTGCCGAGTCATGGCTCGAACCTTGGCTCATCAAGCACTCCGAATTCTATCGCAAACACTTGACCCGCGACGGCCGCCGCGAGAGCAAATCTACAAGACGCCACAGCATTGTCGCCGAGGGTCTCGAGTCGAGGAAGAACTCTGACGCCGTTCCGGAAGCTGAGGCTGCCGCCACAGAGGCTATCCCAGCTCCTGCCGAAGACCCAAGACGAAGTGTCGAGGGCCACACCTCGGAGGCAGAAACTCGATCGAAGAAAGAGAAGGCTCCACAGGGATGGCGCAAGAGCGTTGGCTGGTTCCCTCACCCATAGGGGAATTCCAGGCGGGATGACCTTTTGGAAGGATATGTCCAGAAGAGATCGCTGGAGTATCGTGAGGGAGATACTGGCGGTAGTTGTGCATTAGATACCCAATTTGTTTTCTGTGGAGGTGGAGGACGAGCTGCTATACACACAAATTCATTTATTTGTTCCAACTGCACCTTTCCTGGCCGCACGCGAGACTTGCCTCTATGCTAAGTCCCGGGAGCGATCGCTGGCATTCCTGATCAAGTTCAATGGCTTTCTGCGAGCAGGACTTTTGCTGCTATTTTTAGGGGCGAGCGGCTGAGATGATGCGTATGGTCTGGTCTATTCGTCAGACAAGATGTTATCTCTCGCAGACCAGCCCAAGTCGGCAGATGGGCGAGATGATTCTCGACCGAGACAGGTCAAGAGACTCGTGAACAGCTACACTCGGGCGATGTCAAAGCTTTGCTGGAAAGTGGCCGTATTAGTCATTGTGAAGCCATGTCTCGCCCGAGAGATGCCCCGAGTCCCTCGTCGCAGTTAAGGGGTCACGTGCTCATGATCCTTTCACGTGCTTAGGATCCTCGCGTCAAGCTCTTCGCTGCAAAAACGGACAATTGGAGCCAATCATGCGCCGGTCGCAATCCGCGTATGGAAGCCACGCGTTGGATGTTGGCTTGTCAACGAAATTGCAAACTTTGGAACAATACGGAATAGGTGCTGCTGCCTTTGTCAGCGCCAACTGTTAGACAGCGATTACGCCAGACGAGAAGTACCTTAGGTCTTCCAGGCAGACTGGTGTGCATCGTAATGTAAGGCCACCGAGTGTACATAACCGTGTGCAAATGCCAATTGGCTTTCTGCCCGTGTCTTACTCCGTACTTACATGCTCTCCATTCAGCCCGGCCCCCCTTCCTCATAAGACGCCTTCAACTCGAGACTACGGAGTACACAGTGTGATAGTACATCCTTCAGACCCTGGCTCCACCTGAGACCCGTCTTCAAAAGCCCGACTGCGCTCCCTGGGGCTGACTTTTTCTTTATCATCCAGCCCATCTGCCGTCCATTCATTGTTGTTTGCTCGACTCTGCTTGATCCCTTCCTCCTCCAAGTCCATCCCGTCCACAAGATGTCTACCCACCAGATCGTCATCATTGGTGCCTCCTTTGCCGGCCTCGGTGTCGCTCAGGGGCTGCTGAAGAACGTCCTGCCGCAATTGTCCCAGGGCGGCAAGAACAAATACAAGGTCATCCAGATTGCTCCTAACGACGAGTTCTTCTGGAAAATCGGGGCCCCTCGAGTCATCGTCAATCCCAGCTCACTGCCCCTTGAAAAGGCCCTTCTTCCGATCGCTCCTCATTTCAAGGGCTACAGCCCCGAGCAATACGAGTTCATCAAGGCCTATGTCACCTCGATCGATCCTTCCAGCAAGACTGTCCACACCAGCACCTCGGCCGCCGTCCACTACGATTCCCTCGTCATTGCCTCTGGTACCACCTTCAGCACTCCCATCTGGACCGTCTCAGAGGGCACCGAAGCACTAAAATCTGCACTCAGTGAAATCCACCAGAAACTCCCCAATGCTCAGACAATACTGGTCGCCGGAGGTGGAGCTGCCGGCGTCGAGACTGCCGGCGAACTTGGCGAGCTGTATGGGAAGAAGAAGGAAATCACAATCTTGTCTGGCAGCACCAGTCTGTTGCCCAGACTTAACAACAAGAAGATGGGGGCGGAAGCCCAACAACGCCTTGAGCGAATGGGCGTCAAGGTCATCAATGACGGTGTCAAGGTGCTTGAGCATACCAAGGAAAATGGCAAGGATGTCTTGAAACTGAGCACGGGAGAAACCAAGACTGTCGACCTCTACATTGATGCTACAGGTGACAAGCCCAACAGCAAGTTCATTCCTCAGGAATGGCTAGACGACCATAACAGGGTCAAGACTGATCCTCAGACTCTCCGTCTGGATGTTCCTGGTGTCACTGGTGTCTACTGTTTTGGTTCGGTTGGTAGCTACTCGGACGGTGCCGTCATAGATATCAAATTCGCGAAGTCAGCCGTACTCGAGAGCATCAAGTTGGATCTCCAAGGAACTGGTACGTCCTATCTCGTGTGCGGCAGCTGAAATCTACTGACACCTCCCTAGCCCCAGGCCCTCGTACCAAGAACATCTACAAGAAGATCACAAGCGACATGCAGTTTGTGCCTATTGGATCCCAAGGCGGTGTCGGCATTGCTTTTGGCTGGAAACTCCCCAGCTTCATGGTCAAGATGGCCAAAGCCAAGGACTTCATGATCGGACAGGCTCCCAAGACCATTGAGGGCACTGCTTGATCAAAGCTGACCTCGAAATCCATTTTCAGGGTTGTTGTTCTGCTTTTTTTATAGAGATACCCAGTCATATCAGCGGGTGCAAAATGTGATCTCGCAGGGAAGAGATGAGCGTTGATTCTTGCATAGAAGCTGTTTAATCGATCAATACATGAGATGAACCTCTTAAATAAATCGAATCTCGTACTCCGGACATCCCGGGCATCCAGCCTCGTCGGAAAATTCAGGAGGGACGTGTGGAATTCTTCCTTGTCAGGAACTGATATCGAGGACGATGATCCAACTGGATGGCGAAATCTCCCGACAATTATTTTTCTGGGAGCTCCAGCAGCTCCAGCTTCCCCGAAACCGAACAAACTGCGAGCAGGGCATCTGCCGCCGATTATCTCCTCACGCGTGTCGAGGCCTCTTTTTGGCGATCGTGAGAAAGTATTCCATCGACTCGAATTTCTCTTTGCGTCACTTGAAGCTCTTGTTTTGTAATTTCGTCCTGTTCACCATGATGCTTGGCCGGGCCTCGATTTCAATCAAGCCTTCAGCTTCAGCAAAATCCTCCTTGTCACATGCGTCAAAAGCAGTGCGGAGTAGCCAGAGCTTGAAGACACCTGCCCGACGCTTTTTCTGTTCTTCCCTCTCACAAGCCTCGCGGAGACCTTCACCTGCGATCTACCGAGCTACTCCAAGTTCGTATCGAGCATTTAGCACAACGGACAAGATGGCGACCTCTACAAGAACAGAGACTGATGCTTTCGGACCTATCGAGGTGTCTTCAGACAAATACTGGGGTGCGCAGACACAGAGATCTCTGGGGAACTTCAAGATCAATCAGCCCCAAGACCGGATGCCAGAGGGCGTGGTACGAGCATTTGGTATCCTCAAGGGTGCGGCGGCTACAGTAAACATGCGATATGGACTAGGTGAGTGCCGTGGGCCGTGCTTCAGACCGAGTGGTTGACCAGCTTGACAGATCCCAAGGTCGGAGAGGCCATCCAGCAAGCTGCTGCTGAGGTTGCGTCGCTAAAGTTGGTCGATCACTTCCCTCTCGTTGTTTGGCAAACCGGCTCCGGCACTCAGTCCAACATGAACGCGAATGAAGTCATCTCCAACCGTGCCATCGAGATTCTAGGCGGTCAAATGGGTAGCAAAAAGCCTGTACACCCTAATGACCATGTCAACATGTCGGCCAGCTCCAACGACTCCTTCCCGACCGTCATGCACATTGCCGCGGTTCTCGACTTCGAAGAAAGACTTGTTCCAGCTCTGACCAACCTAAGAGACGCACTGAAAAAGAAGGCGGATGCCTTCGAGAAGATTATCAAGATCGGTAGAACACACTTGCAGGATGCTACTCCATTGACGCTGGGACAAGAGTTCGGTGGCTATGTCGCACAGCTTGACCGGAACCTGGAAAGAATCCAGTCTACCCTTCCGCACCTGCGGCAACTGGCCCAGGGCGGTACAGCGGTTGGCACAGGTCTTAACACGTTCAAGGGATTCGCCGAGGGTATTGCTGAGGAAGTCTCAAAGATGACCGGCACAGAATTCATTACCGCGCCTAACAAATTCGAAGTCCTGGCAGCTCATGACAGCATCGTCGAGGCTTCTGGAACACTCAACACCCTCGCTTGCAGTCTCTTCAAGATCGCCAATGATATCAGATACCTTGGGTCCGGCCCACGATGTGGTCTTGGAGAATTGGTCCTTCCCGAAAATGAACCTGGTAGCAGTATCATGCCCGGAAAGGTCAACCCTACTCAGTGTGAAGCTATGACCATGGTCGCCGCACAAGTCATGGGTAACCACACCGCCGCTACCGTCGGAGGCATGAGCGGGCAATTCGAGTTGAATGTTTTCAAGCCCCTAATGATCCGAAACCTCCTTCACAGCTCGAGAATTTTGTCTGACGCCATGAATGGATTCGTGGAGCACTTGGTGGAGGGTCTGCAGGCAGACGAGAAGAGAATCGGCACTCTGCTTCACGAAAGGTATGCTCTTCGATCCGCGATTATGGCGTGATGTGAATGCTTACTCATTTTCCAGTCTCATGCTTGTTACCTGTCTGAACCCAGTCATCGGCTATGACATGGCTTCCAAAGTGGCCAAGAACGCTCACAAGAAGGGTCTGACTCTGAAGGAGTCGGCAATGGAATTGAAGGCGCTGTCCTCGGAGGAGTTTGACAAACATGTCCGGCCCGAACTCATGCTGGCCCCCAAGGAGAAGAAGTAAATGCCATGTAGCTTTGACTGTAAAATATTGCAGTGAGCTTTGCAGATCACTCAGGTGTGTCACCATTGCTGTGTTGGATTGAAGCCGATGACCTTGCATCGTACAGTTACGGCGTGGTCTGCCATTCAAGCCTACAGCTCCAGTGAGATCTTGTAGCATATTCAAGTTGATGTCCGAAACATATGCCATTCTGGACAGCTCCGCTCGTCAAAATGTTTGTCGGCCCCCTGCAGGTTTCATTTGTTGAATTTCTGAGTGACTGAACATGTCCCCCCTCGATGTACTTAAGTCCGCCAGGTCTCTCTTTCTTTCTTTCTGAATCTCTCTGTCATCGAACAGGAGTCGGCCTTTCAAAGGTTTGACCAGGCATCTCTCCTGGAGCGAAGGGGCAGAATCTGTTCCCTTCTCATTGACCCCTGGTTATTTCGGTCAGGTATTCGCTCGTTCTTTTATATATACAAATCGCAGTTCCGCAGGTCTGGCATGTTCCCAATCGATCTACTTCATTGGTCTCAAGCGCATCCTGGGTCCTTCCGGAGGCTGCCCGGAATCACCACAGCAGCTGAACAGACCGTGCTTTGGCACCTCCACGATCTCGAACGCCGACCACGGAGAAGGTCCGGGTACGGTTCATGTACAGCGGTTTCGCAAGCTCAATTACCTGTTCCAGTGCACGCCTTGAAACCTACCTCGAACAGGTCCAGAGGTGCTTTGACCATGGCCAAACCAATACGTTGGAGAATTCATATCTTGACCAGAGTGTTTACTGACTTTTGGCCTTCCTGGAGGTACTACGCGTCGCCCTCAAGAGGACGAGACCAGTGACAGCGAGCCCAAACAAGCTGTTTACCTCTGCTGAGAAGAGATCGGCAAAGGAAAAGAAACGCATCCAGCAACTCAAGTCAGACAATTCGCTTCAATTTCCCATGGGATGGACAAATTCGAAAACCGATGCCTGTCGGCCATGCACTACGGGATTAGGATATGTCAGATGCGTCCTCACTATTCTCTGAAATCATCCGGTCCTCCTGCTCTTCGCTGTCTCTTGGGACTTGTGGGCCTGGGGGTGAACACTAGCCAAAGACCTTCTCAAGTCTTGTGCTCGTGCTCGCTGTCACCACGGGACGGCAGGTGATCGACCAAAACGGTGCGAGGGAATGATTGGGACCTTTCAAACCTGCAATGAAGTTCGTATGCAGAGTTGGTCCTTGCCACGAGAACAAATCCTGCAAGGAATACCAGACTGTCAGCAGGCTGACTTGGATTCCGTCCTTTCTAGCTGCGAGAGTCGGCGACTCTGATGCTATAACTCAGTGGCTTTTACAGTCCCTTATCCACGTGGTCTCATCCAGTTCCTCGAACGAGTCAACGATTCACCTGAAGGTCGAACACACCACCGCATCCAAGTCGACAGAAACTACGAGAGCTCCATTGACATCAGCGAAGTCACAAGTGCTTCCTCTGGCTTCTTGGACGGCGACCATGTGCTTATTATCTGGGTGACCCATCGAACAGGGTCATGAGATGTCGTGGTGATACTACGCGTGGGCACAATTGATGCTTTCGCAATACAAATCACAATGGTCAATGCACCGGCCACACAGATCGATTTTGTCTATGTTGGGTTGTACATGAGATCTTCTCGGAACAGCTTCTCAATGATTGCACCCACAAGCACCCTGAACAAACAACAAGTGGCTACATAGTATGCCCAATCACTACCAGACATGACTGAACACTACTGACTGTTTCCAGATCATACCACCATGCACAATCAAGTGCCCCCGTTGTCGGTATACTCCGCGTAAGTGCAGGCACTCCCAGTCATACCCAGTCACCTCCGCTAATCATCAGTCCAGAGCAGAAAACTAGCAGCCTCGCTGATTCAATCAGAAAGCACATTGGCTCTCATCATGTTGTGAGTAGCGTCCAGGAGTTTCCAGTTGACTGCTAACTTCTGCAGGTGGACGGAAAAGACAAGCAAGGAGTCCGCTACCGGAACCTTCTGGGCGTGCGACCAGGCAACTGTGAGGAAACGAAGTCAGTACCAGTCACGACCATTCCCTTCTGGACACGGTTAACAGCTTCCAGGAGCTTTTGAATGAGATTGAACATTAATGCACTCGACTGGGAGTGATCGTTGACGTCGATCACGGCCATAGTTGCTGACATTGTTGCCAATGAGGGCCAACCATACCACGGCTTCAACTTGATTATGACGACGAAGAGCTGCGCGCTGCAGTGGATCGAGGAGATTAAGACGTATTATGGATCGGTGAGTTGGTGTGTTATACTGGTGTCGTAGCCGTTTGAGGCACCGATAACTAATCGCCTACAGAAGACGGCGAAAAAAGCCTTTCTCCTCAACAATACTAAGATCACCGCCAACGAGTTACTCGATGGTAAATACCTTTTTGTCGTGTGTACGTGGCAATTTGTCATGAGTCGATACACCACGTATAAGAAGAATGTGGATCTCTTCAGACTACTTGCGACGAAAGGTAGAAAGTGGTTCGACGAGAACGTGTCCCCAGCCGATACCTGGTCACGTTTGTGGCTTTGGTCGAGTTGCGATTGAACCAAAAATCGCTGGAGTCGTCCGCTCATTCTTCAGACTTCTGATCATCGTTCAACATATCGAATGCCACCTTACACTAGGTGCAAGAAGCAGAAGCAGCATCAACGAGGTGAGTAAGTCGAAGCAAGCTGCTAGACACTCGGAGAGTGGGAAACCCCAGATATGAAGCAGGATGGCAGTCGCCATTCTCCAATATCCGACAATTCCTCGCTCGAGAATCGCAAAGTTATCAGTCAAGGCGCAAGACGGACAGGCTTTGTCTTCGGCACGATCGTCTACAATGTCCTGGTGTCTTCGACAACCTCAACTCTTTACTTTCTCTCGTCCGCAACGTCCCGTGTCTTCGACAACCTCAAACACTAAGCTTGACACCACGGCTCGCCCGGCTATCGCCTTGATCACCTCGCAGCCTACGCCTCACAGCTCACAATCACAAGAGGATATGTTCTCGAAACTGACCTCGACCGCCTAGTATACGGCCCTGTCGTCCTAGAGGACACAATCGTAAGACTGACAGCTACTGAGAATATCCTTATCATGCTGACTTGAACAGGAGGTACTTCCTACCCTGTGGAACTTCTCCCTGCGCACGGGTATAGCCCCGGTGCAACCTCTCAATTCTAATGGTAAGTCAGCATCAGCAGAACTTTCGAACCTGAGACTGACAATAGTTTCTTTTATCAGAATCCGACAATTTCTTCGCTCGAGAATCGCGAAGCTGATCAGTCAAAGGTTATCATCGCCTGACATATCGAGCACGACCCTCACTTCACTGGCAAAACGATCGATTTTGACCATATATATATAACAGAGTTTAGGCCCTCAACAGCACGAACGACATGAGCAGCAGATCACCGTGCTGGGTCGAGAGATTCTGGAGCATACGCATGCAGATTGGCTCAGCTTTGCAGATGCTGCGCTGGCTGAAAGAGCGAGACTGGCTAGCAAAGAGGCGCGCCACCCGAAGCCGGCCAGGGAGCTTTTTGATGGCTGGGCGGCGGCCGAACGCGCCACCCTACGCACCAACAACTTCCATCGTGCCTTGACTGGCAACGTGGGCCAGCTCCAAGTATTGCAGCAGTACCTCAAACTCGTCAAGTACGGGAAGAGAGGTCTCAAAGGTGTTCTCGAAGCCCCGCAGGAGGCCGGCGTCCCAATGAAGGGTCGCTGCTTATGCTAAATTGCAGAAGTACGCCGACTTGGTTCTATGTCGGAAACCCATACTCCTTCAGCGTGCAGACAGTCTGACCCCATGGTCAAGACGCTGGAAGACACAAATTCGCCACAAATTCGAACCCAAATATTGGCGGCTCTCCAATCATCGTGAAAGACACGAAATGGATGCAGGAAATCGATACTGCTGATTTCGGCAAAGTATGGGCCGTGTCTGGCACTCCATCTTAAGGACCAACAATTTCCATCGTGCGTTGACCGGAAACTTGGGCAATGTCAACATCACTGCTGATTCGATCAATCGTATGAGGAGGCACCATCACAAATATCTTCCTTATGCCATGCGTCGCATGGTTCAGGCGACCACATCTGAAGAGTACACAGATGCCTTGGGGGTGTTTCGTGATTGTCTAATCAACAGCTACGAGTTGAGGCCTTTCTCGCTCCAAATGTTGCAGCACTACAACAAACTTACGAAGTATGGCAAGAAAGGTATCAAAGGTGTCCCCGAAGCCCTACAGAAGACCGGCGTCAAGATGCAGGGCCAGTGGGAGTCTCGAGTTAAGCAATATATCCAGACTGTCTTGGATTTGAGGATACCGCGTGACATCGACAGCGACCCAGTACCAGGGAGTTTCGAGAGACAGCTCTCCCGGGCACAGGAAGAGGTAGGAGAAACCGACCACGCGCAGGTGGCACGAGGAGATTACCAATTCAACAGCCGACTCCAAGGTGCTCAGATTGTCGCCCCGTTTACGGCACGCTGGGGTGTTGGAATCTGTGCTCTCATGCCTCTCACCTTCGTTTCCTTGTAAGTCTCTCTCTCTGTGCCTACGAGTCCCTGGTGAATGGTGCTGATACACCCCTAGTTTCAAGGCCTATAGTATTGTCAAGACCGAGGCGATTGCGAAGACCATACACCCGGTGATCCGCACGGAGCCGTTGACGGACATGTGTGACAATCTCAACCAACACATTATCGACGCAATCCCACCCGCAGCCTTACGCTTCAGCCTTGCTGATATCGACTGTACCGTGGAGCGACTTCACATCGTACCGCACCTCATCATCATGAAATTTCGATACTGCTTCCGTCTTCGTCACCGCCCGCGTGCCGCATTCGTGCAGTGCGGTACAATCATACATAAATCCGCCGCTTCTCCCACGCGAATCTCAACTCTCTTTTTTCCCCTGAAGACCGCTGAATGAGGCAGTTGGTGCCCGGTCTAGGCACCAAGAAGCTGAGACGAGACACGACTGCATTTGCAACTGGACCGATGCTGAAAAGCGACCACCAAATCCTGCACCTTCGTGATTCGGTACATACGTCCTTCATATGACGACTTCACGGCACTCCGTCGAGACATCCAATCCCTGTTCAAGCGTCAGGATTTCAAAGAGCCAAACGGTTCGTCGACTGCACCCAAAGTCCAGACTACACTCACGCCTCGCACTGAAATGTGCCGACTGTCTCGAAAATCAAGTGAAGTTCATCAACCCTGGTTCTGCTACTCCTGAACGTCTTCATCGCCACGGTTCTCCTGCCTCTGAGCGCAGACATCCTTCATTCTCAGACTGTTAGTTCCAACTTTCAACACTGTATATATATAGTATATAACACGCGCAGCGAACTTTGCCAGTGAGTTTCAACCCTTTCACAACCAGAACTTTCCAGCTAATACTACAGGAACGTGCTTCTACTGCCGAGTTGAAGAGAATGAATGCGCAAAACGACTTTCTGGTCCAATTGGACTGTGCTTCTGCCCGAAGCATCATCGTCCAGGGCATGCCTATTTTGCAACGTGGCATGACTACCAATGGCCAGGATTTTGCTCGCGATGCCCGCGCTTGGGAGAAGACAATTGAGATTTTATACTTTACTCAAGTAAGTCGACGCCTGGATGATCGACTGTAACTAACAGTGGAATTTAGGAGGTTCAAAAGTCAAACGAAGGCTTCCTTGATGAAGACTTACGATCTCATTTGCCAGAAATCCTTCGCCAATCATCTGGCATCATTCCTGAAATCAACACCTTTGTCTGGGATTTGCAGACCCTAGGTGGCAACCCACATGTGGCAAATATGGATGGCCGGAACCCATCACACGGTTCAAATCCTGTAAGCGCTCTGCTATTGCTTCATTCACGTCATTCGCTGATTTTTATTACAGCCTGGTCCTCGACACAGTGCGCCAGTCTCGCAATACCACTCCTCGAGCCAACATGTGGCGTAAATGGATGATCGGAAACAGTCACAGGGTTCGGAAAGTCGAAGGCTGGACGATGGACGGTAGCTGACAGCGATTGGAGAAATTGACGACCTACGCGGGTCGCAAAGGTCCCTGAGATTGAGCCGCCAATGGTGGGATCGACCATGTGTGTCTTCCGCGACGTGCCCGCAAAAAGCCCACGAAGAGTTGAACAGCGTGATCAGCCAGAACGGAGTGCCCAGTCTAATTCAAGACGGTCCGAAGTCAAACGCAGATTTTCTGAAGAACAAAAACAGCACACCTCTTGAGGATACAGCTGCCACACATTCAAACCAACTAAACCAAACCAAAACCACGCTTCAAAGCCAAATTCAGCCACCGTGCTGTCAGGAGTCTCACCCTCCTACTGAAACTCCTAGAGGACGCTCTAGTCCAGGGGAGTGGCAGGTCCAGCGGCTGTCTGGTCCGTAAAAGCCAGGAAGTGCGGGAGAAAGATGAGAAGATCGTGAAAAACTTGAGAACGACCTCAGAGATAAAAGGGAAAGAGGAAAGAAGTCCAGTCCAGTCCGTACTATCAACGATTGCGAGGTCGAGGCCAAGGCCAACGGCAATATACAACGTACGGCCAGGTTCAGATTCGGCACTGTTTAATGCTCTGTTCCAAGACTGATTCTACCCTCCGCGCCTGCACCGTGAACAATTGTGTTGGTGGGCAAGACAGTAAGTAGCCAGACTAGAATAGCGGTCACTCGCAGCCTGATCCTAATGCCAGGTCCCGTGACCTCAGCCTGATTCCGTGCCCTGCCGTCTCGCCGTCTAGCCCGAGTGCCCGAGTCGTCTCTCGTTCTCTCGATAACGCCGCCAAATCTCGACGCCCAATCGGGATGCATGCCTAGATTAGCCACTTAGCCACGGTTAATAAGCAAGATCTGACTGTTGCCCATGTGCCCTTTTCGCCCTTTCGTCGCCCACGCTACTGTACATCCCCGTGCCTGTTATGCAGTGTCCCGTCCCGCCGGCCTACGGTACGGCCATCATGTCATGCAGCGGGAGCGATTCTTTTCTGCATTCCAAGTCTACTGCATCAAACCCCTTGATCGACGCCTGAGGCATCGACAGCTGCGACCCATGTCTCAGCACCTCTCTCGAGTCTTGACAACTGCCCATTAGAATCACGATTGGCCGCCTATCCGGGGGTTAAATTTCGCCATTGGCACCCTTTGCGAGGTCAACGCCTTGCGCGTCGCAAAATGCAACGAATCACTGCTCGCAAAGGCAAGAACTTTCAAGGGCGGTCCAGCGGTTCGCAAAAGGATAACCATACACATTCAACTATTAACAAGCTCAATAAACCCTCTGTTGGTATTCCGTCTTTCGTTTCCATGCAAGTCCATATCCACGACCGAGCTGTTGTTGCCTGCGGGCCGGAGAATGTTGCTACGGCCCTGCTCGATCACTTTCTTGGACCGCCTCTTTCTCTTTGCCATTAACTCCTCCAGGAACCCCGTCTCTCACCCTCATCCAGCGACGACTCATCAGGAGACTCTCTCGTCTGCTTCTGATGCTGAGCCGCCGGAGTGGGTCTCTTCAACAGACTTGGAAAAGAGTATTCTCCTGCGAAATTCGCGCCATAGAGCGTGAAAGAGGGGGCCAAACACTATGAATACAGGGAAAGTGGGTGAGTCTGGTGTGATATGCGCAGGCTCCGAAGACCGTGATGATAGCCTCCCATGGTACGCAAGAAAGCAATAAGCAACAAGCAAAAAAAGCAGATAGCCACCCAGGTTACATTTCGTTCAGCAGTTCGCCGTGAATAAAGACAAGGCTCTGATAGCCTAGACCATCGAGGACAGTGTCGCAATTAATCTTGGCCAAGGAAAGATTCTGATCAAACAGCCACCCGATGGGTATCCATTGAAAATCTAGCCTCCCATACGATTCGCTGGCGAATTCGTGTAAAGACCGATTGTGTTGAAAGAGGAGATGTTGGGTTGCCCCGGAGTATGTATCTTTTGGAATTATAAAGGAAAAGGTGTCGACCATGCCAACCGAGTGACGATTAGGGCGCCCAAAGATCCAGCTTCTCAGGCCACTAATTCTCGTTAGGTTGAAGATGGCGGACTGAGAGGAGCAACGGGCCCCTGATGCTGAGTGCAGAGCTCCTACTTCTTGCCGTCAAGCTTGCTCAGCATTTCGTTGTCGTTTCTGCCACGTTGTTCGGGGGGCACTACTGTCGAAGGATTCCCAAGCATGTCATGAACCTTCATGCTCCGTCCGTTTGCCAGGCTATTGGCTTGATTGGGTGGTGGAGTTCTGCCGTCGTCATGGACGGGCGCATGATGAGGTGAATTGAAGCTGTGGGCCGACTGCGGTGTCAAGCCTTGGGGAGGTGAGGTAGTACCCTTCTGAGACTGGTTGCCGTTGGAGTAGTGGGTTTGCTGCTGAGGATGAGATTGGTAGCTCATGTTGGAAGTAGCAGGAGAAGTCGGAGCACCACTGTTTTGAGCAGCATACTCATAACTGCCGCTGCTGTTGGCGCGCGAGTCATAAGTGCTGTGTCGAGGGCGGGAATTTGGATGAGGAGACTGAGACGCATGAGTGTTCTCGTTATGGGGGTCATCATCGGGAGGGGGACGCTTAAGACTGACACGATCATCTTGCTGGGCGGGTTGAGCCTGCCCCTGAGGGTCATACGGTGATCCGGTCGGAGGATAGGAGCCCATGTTTGGAGGAGGGTAAGGTGGGTAGGCCTGAGGAGGATATCCATGAGCTGCTGGCGGTGGATAGCTGTACTGGGGTTGGCCATGAGGTCCAGCAGGTCCAAGGGGTTGTCCGTGAGCACCATAGAGCATGGGTTGTTCTCCTTCGCGGGGATAATGACCATTGCGGCCATCGGGCGGACCAGCAACCGGAGCTCGAGCAGCATTCGGCCCATAGACGGCATTTGCCGGAACGAAAGCCGCTTGGGACGAGACCGGATGGAAGAGACATTGTTGGTTGAATCGCACACAGTTCTGACAACGACCGTCCGGCGAGCTATCATATCCCGAGCAGCGAATCTAGCGTCCATTAGTCTTTGCACTCTTTCATGATGTCTGGGTGGGTATGCCCACCTTTCTCTTCCGGCAATATTTACAGGCTATAGCCGTGCGCTGTCGGGGTGCCGCGGCAGGGGGCTGTGGCTGAGGAGCATAGTGCTGAGCGGGATAGTAGCCCGGAGGAGGATATGGCGGCGGGAGGCGATAGGCATCTGGCTGCATCGGTTGAGGAGGCTGAGCCATATCGGGCCTCGGTGGGTAGGCATATCCTGGATGCTGAGGGTCCTTATGCACATGTCAGTGGGAGGCTTGGTGGTTCACGACTGACATCAACTTACCGGATAGTGGTGAGGAGGAGGATAAGCACCGTGCTGGGCTGGCCACGCCTGCGGCGGAGGATATGGATGCGCTGCTCTTGGATCCGGATACTGGCCTTGACGGGCAGGGTCTGGCGGAGGATATGGGCTGCGCTCGTCTCTGACAGGAGGTCTCGACGGAGATTGTGTCGCGTAGTAGCCACCTTGGGTTGGGTCATCCGGAGGAGGATATTGAGGCCGATGAGAGTCCCTCGGATCGGCCATTTGCGCCATGTCCAACGAAGATGGTGGGTGATACAGGTCTCAAAGGGAGGGTAACACAGGGCCTGGAAACAACCGAGGCTAACGAAAACCGGCAAGGAAATGACCGTCGAGGCGTGGATGGAATCAAAAAGACGCAGTCGAAAGAGTCGGCTCCCAGAGCGTTTAGCAAGGAAGGATTCGAAGGGATATCGACCTCAGATCCAGCTCAAGGTCGACAGTAGAGGTTGCGCAGCCGCAAGCACTGCACCGCGAGAAAGAAAATGGAGGAAGAAGGTCCTGCTAGGGTGTGCGAAGTGACAGGCCCAAGATATTATTTGCTGAGAAGGGCGAAAACGGTGTGGTAAGAGGGTACCAAGTCACCACCCCGGCCCGGTGATCAGGTGTTCGTGGTAGCGGGAGGGCGGATGACGGGAGGGTTGGATGGAGGAGCCGTGAAGGCGAGGGAGAACGGTGGTATGAAGCGTGAGGAAAGGTGAGAGTCGAAGTGAGAGTGGCCAGGCCGGAGAGGAAGTGACAAGCTGAAGGATGACGATGATGGGAGGGAGAAGGGGTTGAAGAGGGATGATTGGAGGTGTGATAACAGACAGCGGTGGAGAGGGAGTGCTTGTTAAAGGTGTGTGGCAAGGTGTGTTGAGGAGGCTTATAGGCTGGCAGGTCGCTTCAGGCACAGTCCTAGGGAGGAGGGGACTCCAGGACGAGGAACGCTAGGCTCTGCCACTAGCTTAGGCCTTTGGCGAAGGTTGTTCTGCGTCGGTTGGGTTCTTCTGGAAAGGCTAATCGGATGGCCAAGTGCTAAGTAGCGTTCAGGCAAGGAAGGGTTCCCGGCGAGTCGGGACGAAGACCAAGGGAGGGCGGTAGCGCAAGCAGGCGTGTGCCTAAGCAGGGGGTTTATCTGCAGCGCTGCCAAACGGGATGGTGGGATGGTGGATGCGATGATGTGAGGCCCAGCGCCGAAAAAGACAAGTCGACAGGGTGGCAGCTGTCACTCCAGGTGTCTGTGCGGTGATAGTGGCCGCACTGAGCACAGCCGAATCCGTCTCTTTCTCGCCGCCTTGTTGCGGCCGTTGCAAGGCGTGTGCGTGTGTGATGAGGGCGTGTGAGCGTAAAATTTTCGAGCGACGGATAGAGTAAAAGACTCGGCGTGGGCCAGGACTGGACTGGATACTGGATTGTGTGCCCCGGGATGCCGCAACTCGCACTCACTGGCTCCACACCCAAAGGTAATGACTTGGGTGGCACCCGCTTAGGCGTCGTTTATTCTGCGCTGAACAGGACGGGTCGCAGGGAGAACCCAGAAGGCCGAGCGCACCCAGGACCGTATGGTACAATTTGTACGTACTGCACACCCAGAAGGTACGGAGTAGAGTGTACAAGGGCGACAGACACGGAAACCTCTCCCTTTCCTTGTGCTTCCTGTGCTCCTCTAGGCGGATGTGTCACTTGTCAACCCCGGCTTGTGTTCGGCAAGGATCCTGCCCTGTCGGATTATTTGTCTTTATGTGCCCCTCCTTCTCTTCTGTTTTTCCGCTGTTCAGATCTGGAAACGGTCGTAAGACAAATCTGGTGGACAAACTGACAGCCTGGTGCCAGAAGCCGACTTGTTCTTCCTTTCTGACAGCCGCACTAGCTGAGAGATGTCCACCGACTGCTGACAGGTATTGTCGGATGTGTCCAGCCAGGCGTTGAGGTTGATGAATGACTTGAACTCTATGGCAGTTTTGACCCAAGGTGCCACCATGCAACGTTGTACTCTGATTGGAGGGAGGGCATCAGAAAGAGGGTGTGTCTGTAAACGGGACCAGTGAGAACCGAAAAAAGTGTCAAGCAGAAGTTGGCGATGCAAATACGCAGGATCCACTTCGGGAGAAGGCGAGCGCAACGGCGGATTGCTGAGGCGTCGATGCAGATGCAAAGACGATGATGGATCGCGGATGATCGTGGATGCAATGTGACGGAGTCTGTGTGCGATTAACTTATTAGTTGTGGAATAATAATAGCAGCCAAGCAGACCGATAAATGCCTCTCGGCGGTGGAAGAAGACTCAAGGCGGTCGAATGAGAGGTGCAAGATGGGTGGAAATATTGGGATCTGCCCGTTTCCTTTCTTTCTTCGCTCGCTCGTTCTCCGTAGTCAAACGTGCCAGGTGCATTCCCGTGTCCTGCACCGTCTAGTGTACCGTCTGGACGGCGACGCACTAGGTTCGTCCCTCTGCTGGATCCTGGTTACATGTGCGTGGTGAGCCAGGTGGGATGTCAGTGCCTCCCCCGTTCAGTTCAATAATTGGCAGCTCCTTCTACCGCCTGGGATCACCAATAAAGGGATGAGGGGTATCATGCTGTCGCAATAACACCCTTCTTGTGGGCTCTATTGGTTCGCACGGATTTTTCTGGTCTTGTTCGTATCACTGGCCCCTGCTGGAAAGGCCTCCCTCTCTCCCAAGATGACTGGCGGATTGAGTAATGCAATTCCTTTGTTGGAGGTGGCGACACCGACTAGTTTTCCTGGAAAGTTTCGTAGATCTCATAAAGTTACCCAGGAGCCAACAAGTGAGGAATGGTTGACAGGTGTCGGGCACGGCAGGCCACAGGCGGAGGGCGGCCGACGCGAACGTTGTTGGTAAAGAGCCTCTTCTACACGAGTCAGGTAGGCATGTAGTTGTCTAGGAATGAGACATGATATTGCTTCTGCTTGTCAGCTAGCAGCATAAAGCCAGCGTATTTTGCAATTGTGCTCGTACAAGCCCACTCCATCTCTTAAGAAAACTACGATCGTATTCTACCTCTCCACTATCTTGGTCACGACAATCCAGAACTCACTTGCAGCCCAGCAGAAGTCGCAGACCATACCTGGTCTTGGCTTTCGGCCCTTGAAGGAAGGAAAAGGAGCGGCCCTTCGAACGCGCAGCATGCATGGAGGAGACGACGTCGGTGAGGGTCAGCCGTGGATATTGCATTGCACTAGGCTAGGGCGACCGTGGGCGACTTTCTGCAGCATGCCCAAGCCCCCTGCCCGGCTCCCGCTATTCTCAGAACTCAAGTTGGTTGACAAGCACCAATAATGGTCAACCGTCTTTGCGGTCTCCAGATGACGGAACGAGATTCCATGCCGCGGTCCACGGTGTGGCCCAAGCGAGTGATAGGCGGCGCCAGTCTTTTGGGTCGCGCGAAACAGTATTTGACGCTGCCTGGGCTGCAAGCATCGATCGCGCGGAAGCATGTCCAACATCACCTTAGCACTGCTGATCTTCGACTTGAATGTCCTCTTAGGCTCCTAGCCTCTGAACGGCCCTGTTTTTCGGAGAATCATCACAGCACGAAAATGTCTTAACTGCGGGTCGATATTTATTGCATCTTTTGAACTTACTTGTAGCCTCGAGCCCTTTTCGGAAGTGCACCGGAAATCCTCTGTCTGCAGTGTCACTAAACACTGAGTGAGCAGCAAGGGACGCCTGCAGCAATGGTGGCGGCTGTCAGCTTGCTAGGATCTTGCCAGCCTGTGCGGGGTTGGTTCGACCGTGCTGCTGGTCTCTTTGGATATGTTGCCTGACCAAGACGTAGGACAAACCACACATCAGTTTGTACCTTGTACTATAGCGCTTTCCGCAATACCAACATTGATTGCAATGCAGTCCTGCCATGGACTCAGCCCGGAGTCGGAGTACCTTGGACCGACTAAGACGATGGCGAGCTAGGTCCACTCTACCAGTGGTCGCCCCAGACCACAAGTGGCGGTGTGCCGACATAAGCTTAGGAGTCTGCAACGTTTGACTCAAACATCCAGACTCTGGAATGGTTTGAAAGGATGTGGCTTTCCAAATACTTAGCGGTAATGATCCTAGCCCTGCAGCGCCATGTCACTTGACCTTCAGGCAGCTGTTGGGGCTTGCATATGCATGCATGGACGTAGCCGGGCATCAAGAGGCTCGATATTCCATGTCCTAGTCATGCTCATCTGCCATTCAGATCCGAATCCTTTTAGTGGTCGTGTCTTGGAGAAAGACCTTCGCACGAACCTGAGAACTTTGTTCGGATTGAACAAGGTATACGAGTAGCAGGATCGTCCATTGCAACCGGTAACTCTGCGTACCTTCTCCTAGCACTTGATAATAATCTTCATGACGAGACCGGTCACAAACTGCCGCGTAAGCTGCGGTTCCGCCATCGCAACCCTAGCGACATTGGGGGCAAAACTGAGAGGTGGTCTGAGGAAAGCGCATTACTTCGCACCATTCCCAAGTACCGAAGGTAAGCCAGAGTGATATCGTCACACAAACTGCTTCAATCCCAGCATCGACACCCAAGGCACTTTGCAAGCTTCAAAGTCCATGGCCGGTCGAGCGGTCGATCGCACACGAGTGTGCTGTTGAGCCTAGCCGAAGAGAGAAATTGGCGAGACAGGGGCTTCGCACCTTAAGCTGGGGGAGGGCCGGCTCTATCCGCCAGGCCGCAGCGCCCGTGGCCAGCCTAGAAAAATGTCCACTCTGCAGCATCACGCCGTCGGCCCTCCTTGCAATGCTCAACTTTCCAAGAACGCTAACTCAGCATCACTGCATCAAAACGGTCGGCAACGTCAGGAGTTGAAGCCATGATCGCCCCCCTGCATCATGGTGATGTTGCACAGGGTCGGCTGATACGGGTACCACCTACACTTTAGGGCAATGCAAGTGTTAGTAGCAGCGTGTCATCAACCAGACGATCCCTGAATCAATCCAATACTGTCCATACCGGTCCCGCCAGAAACCGTGAAGGCGTTCCTTTCGTGCTTCCGAACTGTACCAACCTTTGGCACCTGTCAACCACTAGTTTGTGCGGAGAAAAGGTGACTCAACTTCGAAGCCTGAGGTGGACATACAACGGCGGCTTGCGGCAGGTGCCTAACCTAGACTGTATGATACGTTTGCCGGTAGAGTCTCTGACGGAGGATCGACCGGTGCCTACAAAACCTTGCGAAGGCTCGTTGCCTTGAGCTCGAGAAGGGGATTTGCTGTGGTCGATCTTGAGACGCTGCACGCCCTGATTCGAAGAGAACTTGCAGGGTGCAGGAATTGCCGTTGGGAACTGGAGACCGAGGGCGTACGGGTGTCGCAAACAAGGCATCCTTGCAGGACAAGTCAGGCGGTCCTGTGGGACATCAATCGGATCGCATGTCCAGCGGGCCGGCGCCCAACGCTTCGATTGTTGTTCGCAGGGTGGCAGGCCACCACTGCAATCTCGAGGAAATCCTGTGCGCGCACCAACCTGACCTCCAGACTTCACAGAGCCAGTGGTGATGACCCACGGCAAAGTCTCGACCGGTCACATCTTCGCCCTCTTTGTACTCGTACTCTGTGTGTGTGTGTGTGTGTGTGTGTGTGTGATCATCTTGATTCCTGCATGTGATCTTCCAAGCTGCTCGTCTGCGCATCAAAACACCAGACTCGAGCCATCGTCCAAGCCAAAGCCTCTAACCACCATCATTCACCATAGCGAGAGAACGACACACCCAGCGCATGCGCATAGGGAGCGACTCTTTGAGCTCTTCTGCGCGGACGGCTCGGTTCGAGTCTGCGCTAAGCATGCTCAGATTGCGCCTAAGCCGGATTTCGAGTTGACGGGGACGCCTGGGTGGCTGGCCATCATGCTTGCTTTTTGATCCCCGAATGATTGGCCTGCACACACCTGCACCAGCCAAAGCAGCACCCCCGCGGTCGCGTCACATGACCATTTCCTCCTGCGGAGCTAATGTAAGCACTCAAGGGAGGGCGTGTGGATTGAGGTGAGTGTGGAACTAGCATGCGAACTCAGGGGCTAGTGAGGCCTCGCTTCGTTGCTGTATTGCTCACTCACCGCCTGAGAGAAGAGCTCATGCAGCAGAGAAGAGGGTGCAACCCCGCTCTTGATTGCTGCAGTTTGGATGTTCGTCCTCCGGAAAAGCCGGTGAGCATTCAAGCACGGGTCGAGCCTGCTCTACAGCTGAGCACAGCCAACCACCCTATTCGAAAACAGCCTGCAGGTGTGCCCAAGTTGAGCCCAAGCAGAAGACTATCGAGTCAGTCAGGCCTGTACATATCCGGAACCACACAGTACATGTGTCAACTGGTTTCGATTAACGCACGAGCACCGCTGGCCAAGGTGGCCCTAGCTGCCGGATAAGGTCGTCTTTGCCATCTGACAGCCTTCCTTCCTTTGTCGCAATACTACGGCACACTCACGGCTGAATCGAGCCTTGCCGCGATGCCGGCTTCTAGCAATTGACATCATCTACAGAGCACAGAACACCGAGCACAGAGCACAGAGCACAGAGCAATCAACTTTCCTCTGATTATTCTGCGAAGACATTATTATGGGCGTGTACTCCACTGCAACACAATGGCCAGGTGGGTGTGGAGCTTGGCGCGTGCGCTGAAGGCTGAAGGCTGAAAACTGCCAATATACTACATCAGCACGAGCCCGTTTGTGCTCAGAGAGGTCGCTTTTGGTCACTTACTTCTCTCTCGAGGAGATATTACCAAATCCATTTCGCGGTGGCAAGCCCAGAATACTACCTTGAAACAATATATCGTCCCCCTTACTCGTCTGCGCCATCGCTGCTGGAGTCGTCTTCATCGGGCATAACGACGCTATTGAGGTATGTGACCTGTCGATCCAATGTCAGCGAAAGCGCGCCCAACAATCACGAAAGAGGACTCCTCAAAAGCAAAGCACACTGGTGGTTACGATGTGGGACACTCTGCATCGCCGGAGCCGCCGTCTGGAACCATGTCGCCTCTTTTGTCGCAGTGTCGGACCACTGCCCGGCATGGGTGAGGAATGGGGGCATTTTCGACCGAAGAGGGAAGCTAGCTACCACGTCCGTCCAGTCGCTGATGGGATCACAACATGATTCTGGTGATCACATGCGGGAAGTCTCTGGACAGAGACGAATTGGAATCCAAGGGTGGACTCACAAATGGCACCAGCACACCAATCAAGTCGAGAATGGTCTGCAATCCTTGCTCGCTGACAACCTTTTCGTCAGGAATTGACGTGCCGAGTGTAAAATTGCGCAAGCGAAGCAATTCGATACTGGGATTATCGGCCTCGTATCCCTGTACAGAACCAGTGTCAGCGCGATCCAGTGCGGGCAGGAAAATCTAGCGACAAGCAAGATCAGATCAAAGTCGCCTTGTCCAAAGTGTTGCTTGCTGGGCGGTGATGAGAGCTGCGCACCGATGTGGGCGAGCAGTCCAGGCAAGACCCGAGACAATGGTACGGAGGGGCAATCATCAATCCTCAGACTTTGCCACTCCTGCTCTGCCGTCCGGCGGCCAGCTGGCTTCGACCGTCGAGCAGTGATCAGAGTCACCGTGCTTCCACGTGTAGATGCAACCCTTTGACCGAAACTCTGACGCCACCACCTGGGCAGTGGTGGGGATTTTTGCTCCGGCTCAACGCGAGGTGAGAAGAGGTGCTCAACTAGGCCTTTAGGCTCGCCCATGGCTGCAGCCCTGCTATTGCAGTCATCGTGCCCCTCCTGGCCTCCATTGATGCTGTTCATGCGTCTGTTGTCTGCCTATGAGGTGGGAAAGACAATCGGTCTTCATACACTCAAGAAGTTCACATGCCACGGCAAATGTATAGCACATGCCTTATTGCAGGCCTAGGAGTGCACAGACCTGACCGAGCCGCCCATTCCGCAAGCACCACGGCGCAAGCGAGGAAGATGTTCTAGAAAATGGGGACGCACCTTAGGTTTGGTTTTGAGGGCGTTTTCCGAATTCTGCGTGGCGAAAGCCTTGATGACCTTCTTCTCATCGTTTGGTGCGCCCCTTAGGATTTGCTTTCGCAGCTGAGGGTTCATCAGGACACGCTTCAGCCTGTGCGGCTTTCGGTCGATATCGGCTCTGAGTAGAGCCAACGGCTGAGCCTCTGGCATCCACAGCCCAGCACCTGGAAAAGCAATTCGATCAGTGACAAACTACGAGCAATGGTGTCTGCCATACCGACAAGGCTTTTCCCTCCAGGCTGAATCTGCACATAATAACACGCGTACGGCCCCTTACGTCCTGTCCGAGACCTTCGTTCGTCAGTACTAGCCTCGAGTCCATCAGCGAGTCAATATCTCGTACCAAGCTGCTGAAAAATGTGGCTGAGAGGATTGTTAGCCTCATCAGGATGAAATTCCGATGGAGCTTGGATTAAACAAACCTTGTACGGGGTAGGGTCTGGAGAAAATCTGATGTCTCGGTAGATTCTGAAGACCTGCAGGCCACATGTCAGTATGAGGAACAGGAGGTCAGTCTTTGCAGAGCCTCACTAGATCTTTTGGTGGTAATTCAGGGATAGTCTCGTCGATTTCTGAGATCTTTTCTGTCAATGTTTCTACAAAGCTTTGCCAATCCTTCCAAGATTGTCGATAGTCAGGGTCGTGCACTGAATGTAGGTGTCAGTAGGTGCAAGTGAGCGCCGATACTTCTGGGAAATGGACGTCGGGCAGACCCAAGCTCACACATACTCTTAAGCCATTCCCGGTCATTGTTGTTCTTGAGATCCTTCAAAAATGCCATCGTATGAGGATGAATCCGTTCGGGCACGTACTTGATACCTCCGTCTCCTCTGGGTTTCGGTTTCTCAATGAAGACTTGTTTGCCTGGGCCCAAGCCAGTGGAAACGCCTTCTCTCCAGAGCTCCTTGCCTTTTTCAAGAACAGTCGAGATGGCTGATGTTGCCCCAAGCTTGGACTTATTCGCTCTCACTTTCGGCCTACGCTTCCTTCCATCCTCCTCTGAATCGAACTCATCATCGCTTCCAGTCTCTGCTTCGGACGGCTCCTCTGTTGCGGAATGGTCTTCATCCTCGTACCCGGAATCCGCGAGTTCGTCGGCTGACTCAGGAACATCATCATCTCCACTGTCTAGGTCCTCGAAGTACTTGCTCTTGGTTGGTGTCGACTTGACCTTCTCAGCCGAGTCTTTCAGCCTTTTCGAAGTTCTGCTGCCGGGAGTGACAGTAGCTGCTGTCTCGGACAATTGCCGCTTGTGTGATGTGGTCGAACTCGGGGTAGCCATTGAGCCCCTTGATTTTCGTGGAGGCATGATAAATTCAGAAGCAGAAAGGAGAAGACTATCCAAGAACTGACGCAGACTTGATTCAGGTCTAGCAAACATGTACTTAGTACTTAGAAACACCAAATGGATCGCTAACGCTATCTTACATGCCGCTGCTGAAGCTCAAGATATCTCGGACACTCATAAAGCGGCCTAGACGCGTTAAGGCGTCTCACTAGGCGGACGCGTCTTGATGACGTCATGACAATCTTTAACCTTCGTTTATTTCTCTTCAGTTCAGCATTCACGACCATCTCAGTTCGATACAACGGCTACACCTTCTGGCAACAAAACGAACCACCTTCAGGTATAATTCACTTGGGGGCATCGTGCATGGCAAAGGAATTTCTGTGTCTTCTTAGACCCTAACTTTCACAGGTATGTGACAGGAGGATCTACCGACGAACCACTGTCACGGAATCTGGTCGATGGAGTCGACGTACACTGTCTCCGAGTTATTCAGCTCACTCCTGGACTTCTGGCTCTCCTGGTACAGCCGCTTCCGAAGCCTGTTCGCGCTCCCCAGGGGCTGATGGTCCCTGCGACCATACCAGACATTCAATTTCATCTTGTCCTCCCAAAAAGTCCGCCTGGCGCTATGGAAGCTGTCCTGGCCGCGCGGGAATACCAGCTTTGCAACAGTCTTGAATGGAAATTTCTCTTCGTCCCATTCCTCCGAGCACTTCTCCACATTTTGCTCCTTCAGGTCTTCGCAGAGCTGGACCCGCAGGTCATAAGTCGCATCATACCGTTGGAAATACTCTCTCAACCACGTTGAATGCTGCTCTGGATCGGACTGGTCGCTTAATTGATTTCTTTTCGAGAGTTCTTCCTGCAATTTCCCCGTCGGAAACAATGCATACTTCGCGACATACGGACCCCATCGATAAGCGCTTTGGGAGTACATGGTGTAACCCAAGAAGTGGTGATTTGGCAGTTGCGTCGGGGCCATCTGCAGTTCAGCATCATCTCGCTTCTTGACTTCTTCGGGAATCTTCTCTGGTGTCCTGAAGTTCCTCTCTCGGATCTGGAATATTTTAACAGTAGTAGGTAGGTCCGTTAACTCCAGGATTGGCGCGTTGTTGAAGGTCATGTCTTGCGTATGGGTCTTCTCGCCCATAGGATCGAGAAAGTCTCCTGTGACTCCGAAGATCTTCAGTCCACAGCCTCGGGGCCCTGGCGCCCGGTCGTCCTGCAGGAAACTCGGCTCATTGGCGTATCTAAGCACCAGATCTTTCCTCCATTGAGTTTCCGATTGACGGGAGAACACAGTCGTTGGGCGAGTTCGTCTGGAAGATCGGGGAGGATTGTGAGCTTCCCCTTGACCACGCCCTGGGTTTTGACGTGCGTTCCCCGGAATCCAAGTCTGTGCATGGAGAAGTTGTGCGATTGGACGCGATGTATGAGAGATATGATATCATTGATGAGTTCCTCTTCATTGGGTATTGGAGGCTCGACACCAGGGTCGTTGTAATGTACGAGTTTTTTGGAGTTCGACATATCTACTGCAGGAGCTCAGGCGGCTCTACTCTTTTCGTATCCGCCCCGATTGACTATATCCAACTTGGTGTCCGCGTCGTCTGGTTAAGTCTCATCCTTATATCAAGTCTATTGTGCTCGACCAAATGTCGTGACGTACGTGCAGATGCTATTTGAAAGTTTGTTTTGTCGTCACCAAGAGAGGCTGACCGACTCTGCCGTTGTCACGACTCCATGCTGGCCACATGAAGATGTCTTTACGGTGTCCATGTGCTGCGTCCCATGATAATCGTGCCCGTCCAGTATACGACTGGTAGACTAGACCTGTAGCTACGGTACGAGTACAGTTTGGTACCTTAGGTAGGTAGGTATGTATTGGTAGTGTCCACCAATCACAATCTTAAACACCACAGAAGAGAAAGTCGGCGGGCCTCGCATTTTCGCACCCTGATCACTCTCCTGACAGTCCGCCCACCGCATATCGGCGACCACCAGGGCAAACGCAAACCTGACCAGGCCGCGCAGGCTTGCAAGCAGCACATCGGCGACTTCTGGACGAAAAGGAAACTTTCTCTGTCTTTTCTGCTGCGCAAGGAAATGTCTCCGTAGATGCCGCATAACTTTGAATGTCTCCGACAACCTCTCGAAGCACAAGTAGATAAAAAGTCTTGTGGGCTGTTGGGCACGGTCTGGCTTGCAACGAGCATCGCTATTTTCCTGATCTATCGATCCCCCTCTCTGAACCTGATCCAGCCAACCCAAGCAAAGCATTACAATGGCAGACCACACCCACCACCATGACGATAGCCATGGCACTTCGTCCGACGATACTGCCTTCACTGAAGCCAACCGCGCACATTGGAAGTACGTTCAATCCGTCCTAGTCCTAGACTGCTCCTCCTCACACGAAACCACACAAGGTGACAAGCTAACTCCCGAACGCTCAGCAAATCCGCCGCAACATACACGTCGGAACAATGGCAAAAAGAGCTAATCAACAAAGTCACCGCCTTCATCCAAACTCACGTCACCTTCATCGGCGTACCTTTCCTCGACCCCTCGTCTACCTTCGAAGCCCCCGACCCATCGCAACCTCCCCGGAGTGTCCGCGTCCTTGACTATGCATGCGGGCCCGGCACGGTCACCAGCGCCCTCGGCGCCCGCGCAACAGAGTACGTCGGCATCGACCTGTCCGAGAACATGGTGCAAGCGTACAATCTGCGCTTCAACTACGACTCCTCCCCCTCAAGCGTGACTGTGACTGACGGTGCTGCCGACGAACGACCCCTGAAGGCGCACGCCGTGGTGGGCAACCTCCTGGAGGCCGAGGAACCCGCCCACCTGTCTGGGCCCGAGTATCACAATTTCGACCTCGTCGTCGTCGGCATGGGGTTCCACCATTTCGCCGACGTCCGCCTCGCGGCCAAACGGCTGGCCGCTCGGCTGAGGCCCGGCGGCATCTTCTTGATTCTAGATTTTGTCACACATGCCATGGAACAGGATGCGCATCCGGACCTGAAGCAAGCGGTGCATACGATCAAGCATCACGGCTTCAGCGAGGCTGAGCTCAAGGATATTTTTGCCGACGCTGGGCTCGAGGACTTTGCCATCGTGAGGATGGGTGACGAGGTACTGCTTAGGGGCACGTCGCGTAGGGAGCCGTTTATGGCGAGAGGGCGAAAACCTTGATGCTAGGCGTCCCCCATCTTAGCATGCTCGTGGCTGTTGTGGCTCTGTGAGAGCAGCTTCGCGGACTAGCTGAGAACATCAATATTCAGCGTCCGATAAAGTACGTGGAGGTGGGCAAGCCTTGTCAGCATTAAGTCAGCGCGCTGCTGATGATCACTTGCGGCTGACTCGCCAGCACTAGTTGTCCACAAAATCTCAATTCGTTGCTGATTACTTCGTTTGGCCGTTGTCGTCTCGAGGTCTAACTCACCCTCGGACGTGAAAGCGTGTCCGTCTCACCCCTACCATCGCTTGGTATCATCGCTCGCGCACTCTCAAATATTCCGGAGTTGAGGCCGAGAGTATCGCCGCATCCTTCTCCATGATACAGTCGTTCAGAGTAAGACAGACTGATGTTACCATCCTTGCTGTCGTATTACCGAACAGGAGCTCACTCGATCCCTAGTGCTCCCAAGCCTTCGTCAAGGCCATCATTGCGTCTCTGTCCCACTCCTTCCTCGCCGGCGTGCAAAGTGAGAGTCTTCTCCCTCTGCCTAGATAACCCTTCCATCCTCTTCCTTCTTCTCCGCTCATCTTTAGCTTCCCACCCATTTTCTCTCCTTCCCTCTCCTTCTGACACGCCCACCGCAATAGACAATCCCTCCCTTGCCATCGCCCTCCTCAACTCTTCTCGGAACCTTTTCCTCCGTCCATCATTCCATTTAAACCGTTCGTTCACTACGCCAACGCACATGGAGAGGTACTCCTCGCTCACGAGGCTCGTCATGACATCGCGTTCCTCTTCGCTCTCCCGGCAATCGGCGGAAACTTCAGATTGAGAGACAATGCCAATGACAGTCTCAAATGCCAACCCGGCCGTGCGCACCGCTACCATTGCTCCATGCTCCGCATCGTCCAGGATTCGGAGACTCTGTAGGCCGCTCTCTCTAAACCCAGCGTTGATGGCGGCGGCGAGCAATGGTCGTGCGTGCTGGAGGGTAGCGCAGTGGATGTGCAAGATGAGTGGAGAGAAGGAGAGGTGGATGAGTTGGGAACTCGAAGCGACTTCTGCAGGGTGGCCAGGGGCAGGCTGGGTTGAACGCGAGGTTAGATTGAAGAGATTCGTGTATCGTCTGGATGACTCTCCTTTCGTTCCCTTGGAGCTTCCAATAGGTAGCCGGTCACAGTCTGTAGGAGTCGGCAAGGTGATCGGGTCGTGCGAGACATAAAGCCATCTGCCGCCTCCCTTGCCGCCCGGCGATGTCGTGGACGTGGTTGCGGCGTCCTTACTTGCCTCATCTGGGGCATTTTGCTGGGTGTCTTTTTCATTGTTATGTGCAATCTCGTCGCCCTGAACGTCGGACCGTGGCTGACCAACAACCTTCGCTTTTGGTCCTTCAACGAAAACGGCAACCCTACCTGCACAACTGCTTGTGGTCACGAGGCCATCGTAAGCGTTGATCTCATCGATCAAATCTCGGATCTGGGCGTCGACGGTGCCTTTGGGTGATTTATCTGTGTAATCTTCCTCGGGCTGTGTGAGCAAGGACAGAACTTGGGCTTTCTTAGCCGCAAATGCCGCAGAGACTGGAGGCAGCTGGCGAGACTGTGGCATAAGAGGCTGGCTAGGTGATGTTTGTCCGCTTGTCCAGTTTGGTAAGACTTGGCTTTCGACGGTGGGCTTGTGGTGAAGCAAGACCGAAGTCGAAGTCCGGGCCAGGATGGTATGATCTTATGGTAGTACAGTGCACCTATAAAAGAACCTCGACTCAATTTGAAGGCTCTAGGTGGAAGGGTATCAGCAGTTGAAGGGGAAAAGCATCCGAGCATGAATACCTCAACTATCAAAGTCACGGTGGCCAAGTCCACAGTGCCAGCTGGCGGTTTCAATCTAGAAGAAACAATAGTCTTGTCGAATGAATAAAGGTGCATAAAGAACGAGCGTCTATACCTCGCGATAGCAGTATATTGTCCAGGAATATTTTTGTCGTGTACTGAGGTTTCCGAGTGGTTTTCAAAAGACTCGACATTTGATCATGATCTTAATCTTAGCTGATTGGAAACGGGACGGCATATATGGTTGCCGATTCCTCAACGTTTCTAAATTCTCGTCCTTGGTCTCTGGCAGGTGGTATCACTCTACTCTATCTGGCTAGATCCAATATATAATGCTTGTAACATAAAATCGTAAGTGTCCATACATTGACCTCGAATTACCAACCGAACGCCTCTCGCTGTTGCGCCCGTCACGCAATGAAACTGTTTCGACAAACTTGATCTCGACAATGCTATAGCATTGAAAGGGAGAGTGTGAGAGTGCCCAGGAGTACCGCAGTTCTATGCCACTGGTGCAGCAACGGCAGCCTTGGCGGCATCCGTGTTCTGTACAGTCGCCGGCTGCGTAAAGGCCTCTGGCCACATGAAGGCCTTCTCCTCCCTGGATGGGCTCATAGCCGCGAAGAACGGGACAGAGGCCTTGCTGCTGGCTCTTCTCCACATATTGGCGCGGGGATTGAATGTTGCTGGTACACCCTTGCCGTGAGTCTTCTCATCATCGATCTTGGCGATCTTGATGACTTCCTTTTGAATGTCGGCAAAAGTGTCGAAAGGAATATATGGCAGCTTATGCTCGACGCAATATTCTTCCAACTTCAGGCCACGGCGGGCGAAGAGCACATCGGCTTCGCGTGCCGCCGGAAGATCTGAGACACCATCGCCTATGAAGACGATCAGTGGGATTGTACCATTGTCACTCTGCATCTGAGCCACCTCGCGGTACTCGTTGATTGATTGTGCCTTGTCGTGACCAAGGTGGGTATCATGCCTCCAGACAGCCTCCCATTTGCTGCCATCTTCGGCAATCTTTGCGTCGTTTGCGACGATTTCGATGTGCTTGCTCATGTCTTCTCCAATGAAGTGGTCGAGTACTCTTCGCAAAACAGGTTTCAGTCCGGCAGAGATGACATTGAATGGAACGCTGTTGTTGACACAGAATTCGTGGAACGTTTGGAAATCAGGGTCAATCTCCAGGGCTGTCTTCATGACCTCGAAACCGTCCTCAAATGGCACGTCCAAGGAAGCGTACAGCTCGTCTGACACCTCGCGAAAGGTCCGTTCTCCATCTTCCATCTGCTTGGCAAGGATGGCCCTTCGTTCAGGTCCGCAGCCGAAATTGTCAAAGAGTGTGTGGCCAGTGTCCTGCATGAAAATAGTTCCGTCAAAGTCTGCGAGATGTGTTAGAGAGGAGAAGTCGTCGACCAGGCAAAAGCATTAGTACCTGAAAAACAGATGATCTTCCGCTTGGTGCCCATGTTGGCAGTGTTGGCACGTTGAATGCCGGGGCGAGCCTGCTTAGACTCGAGAGCAGGAGGTGTGATAGCAATGGGAGCCATGGTGAATCGTGGTCGGCTGGAGATGCTTGAAGTTGATGCCAGTGTTTGGAGGCTTGCAAAATAATAACTCGAGGTCTTCCAACGACGTATATACGAACAAAAACAAGCCAAGCAGCAAGAGAGAGGATAAGAAACATACGTACGAGGCGCAGGGGCTTGCATGAGATTGACGGATGCTCGTGCTCTCCCGCTTTGACCGGAATAGAGTTCAATGAGAGTCTGACCTGTTGTTGCAAGGTCTAGCATCAAATCTTGGTAACCTTTCTTAAAGTCGAGACAGCAACACGACATGCATTGATTGGACACCACGACTGAAAATATGCACATCGACGCCATCAGTCCAACAGAAAGAGGTCAAAGCAGAGGGGCTGGCCAGAGAAGGTGGACACAGAAAATTGGTCTACATAACAAGCGGTGGATATGAAGAGAGGTGGCAACGATGTTGAGAGGTACACAGGTACATCCAGTCTCTGCTAGCGCCATTTCTCGCCGGTTGGCTGCATATAACAGCACATGCTTAGCTTCAGCACCTCGCTCGGACCTCATGAAGGATGGCATTTTGAAATGCATAGTGACGCCATGATGGTTGCACCATTGGTCAAAGTTATCGAACTGTGCGAAAGAGGCCACCAGTGCCGTTGATAGAAGGCCTTGCGTGGGAGGCGGTCAGCCATCTGGAGGTAGTATGGGCATGAGATCCTCCATATGTTGGCGTCAGTGGGATGGACACGATGGACCAAGGCGATGGAATTGATATCCTGTCCATGGCAGTGGCGATGAAAGCCATATCCTGAGATAGCACAATATCTGAGAAGTCTGAGTCTCGAACTGCAGATTAAGAGAGTCGAGAACAAGAAGAATGGAGATCAACTTTTCTCTTGTGGATGTTGAATTTTCCCTTCATTTGTGGCTCGGTACGGAACAACATTTGTGCCCCCCTCAGGCTGCCGTGGCTGCCCTGAAGATCGACTGCGGCTTACCATCTGATCAACACGATCAGCGCAGCCTCTCAACTCTCTTGGAATGTCTCTCGTGATTCTGACAATGTTCCCATATTGGTTAATCTGCTCCCTGCAAGATGATGTGAGTTGAAAGGATTGCAATAGAGGAGTCACTTGCACGATCAGACGGCTATTGACCTATGAATAGCTAGGTACTCTCTTCCTGTCTGCGTTCTTCGATCCTTCACAACAGTCGCTTCCACTACGGTCCTTCTGCCTCCCTCTGAGTACCTGCCTTTTGTGATGAAGATATCATATGTCGAAGATCCGTTGCACTTGTGGCCTTCGCCTTGATGGCCTGCATATCTTCCTCGCTTTTGAACCGTGGCGAGCACATTGAGAAGATGGTTGAAAGAAGACTTCTTATCCTTGAGGGGTATCATTCGAAAGAGTTAACCTCCCACGATTACGATTCTATGAAGGCCTTGATGACTTCTTTGTTGTTCGAACCGGCTCACTGCAGACCCTGCTGTGGTCGAGGAGCTATCCAAGATCATGTCTCTTCTAACCGCCTCCTGAAAGTGCGCCCTCGAGACTCACAATTGTCCACAAAACACTATGCCGTCATTGAAAGGAGAGAACAACTAAAGGTTTTCGAATCGCAATGTTCGATGCGTGCTGGGCTGGGGAAAGGCAAAGCCGTGCGTGGTATGGGTTTTGCAGAAGGTGTTGTGCCTTTCCCCTGTTTTGGTTGGACTCCGGCCCGTGGACTTCACAATTCAATTAGCAATAGGTCATGACAGGCATCCCAATCAATCAGAATGCGTAATGTATTGCTTGCATTCGCCTTTCTCCATATTAGAGACATGCTGGCGGCTCTCTTGAGGCTCTCCGCGCCCTCCTGCCAACATCCTCGGTAAAGCGGTTAGACGCGGCTTTGGCACTCGAAAACGCGGAGTCTTGCCCTCAAATGTGTCCGTCAGCACTCCATCTTCGATTTCTTGACTCGCGCACCATCTGTACTTTTGATGTGTTTTCTGTGTGTCTTCCTTGCGTCTTCAAATCCGGCCCCATGGCGTCCTCTTTGCTCCCTCGCATAAGCCGCTCGGCCGCCCACCTCGCCCGCAATGCTCCTCCTCGACTGCTCTGTCCTCTCATCTCAGTCAGAGCAGCCTCCACCTCCAAACACCCAAGGGGCTTTACGCCTCCCACGAGCGAAGATCTGTACGAGCTCCGCGAACGAGTACAAGAGTTCACACGGCGCGAGATCCCCGAAGAAGTCGCGGCCAAGACCGACTCGTCCAACGAGTTCCCCAACGAAATGTGGAAGAAGCTCGGCGAGGCAGGCTTTCTGGGCCCTACGGTCGACGAAGATTACGGCGGCCTAGCCATGGGATACCAGGCACACTGCGTGATCATGGAGGAGATAAGTCGCGCGTCTGGCTCGATCGGGCTCTCGTACGCCGCCCATTCGCAACTGTGCGTGAACCAACTCAGCCTAAACGGCAGCACAGAGCAAAAGGAGCGTATCCTGCCGGGCTTGATTTCGGGCGACAAGATCGGCGCGCTCGCCATGTCGGAACACTCGGCCGGCAGCGACGTCGTGAGCATGAAGACCACGGCCAAGGCCGTTGATGGGGGTTACCAGCTCAATGGGACGAAGATGTGGATCACAAACGGGCCGGACGCGGATTATATCGTTGTGTACGCAAAGACGGAGCCTGAGAAGAAGAGCAGGGGCATCACGGCGTTCATCGTGGAGAGGGACTTCAAGGGGTTCAGCGTAGCACGCAAGCTCGATAAGTTGGGCATGCGGGGCTCGAATACCGGCGAGTTGGTGTTCGACAACGTCTTCGTGCCGAAGGAGAATATCCTGGGCGAGATTAACAAGGGTGTCACGGTGCTCATGGAGGGGCTGGACCTTGAGAGATTGGTCCTCAGCGCGGGACCGCTGGGGATAATGCAGGCTTGTTTGGACCTTGTGCTGCCGTATACACACCAGCGCAAACAGTTCGATATGCCAATTGCTCATAACCAGTTGATTCAGGGGAAGCTGGCGGATATGTATACCAAGTTGCAGGCCAGCAGGGCGTATACGTACGAAACGGCGAGGAAGGTTGATGAAGAAAAGCAGATTCGTACGCAGGATTGCGCGGGGGCGATCCTGTATGCTGCTGAGCGAGCGACAGAGTGCGGGCTAGATGCGATTCAGTTGATGGGTGGGAATGGCTATGTCAATGAGATACCGGCGGGACGGTTGTTGAGAGATGCGAAGTTATATGAGATCGGGGCAGGCACGAGCGAAATCAGGAGGATGGTCATTGGGAGGGCCTTTAACAAGGAATATAAAGACCAGGGTATCTAAGACCGGAAATTCTGGGATCGTGGCCATCCTTATGAGTGTGGAGGACTTTCAGAGCGGGAGAACTACCCAAAAGCAAGCCGACTCTGGCCCTTCTCAGGTTTTGAGCCACGTCCTCGAGCACTTGCTCCGCCGCGTTTGGGTTTGGTATGCAACAGACCGGGGGGCCGACTATTTGTTGGACCTGTGACAGAGGGCTTGTCTTGAGCTTGAAGCTCTTTGGCAAAGTGCCAATCTTCATGCTCAGCCCGGTCGCATTCGTCTATCGACTTCTGACATGGTCGACAGAAGTATGTGGCGATATCCCGTCCGTGCAAGTCATGGTCATGGCCGGCGCGTTCGCCGTGCTGGGCCTCGACATCCTCCTCGCGGGATGATTCGTGCACCCGGTCTTCACCCGCCGAGTCATTCGTGTCGCCAGTGCTCTCGCTTTTGGCGAAGAATCGAGCGATGTTCGGCCCGTCACTAAGTCTGCGACGTTTCTCAGGTCGGGACTCCTCGAGATTTGGGGTGGTGGTATCGCTTCGAGAGGGCACGTCCACGGCAGCCTTCGCTTCGTCTCCTTTCAAGAGGAAGGTATCAATACCTCTATTGCCCGAAACGCCGTCTTCAAAGCCTCCGACGCTAAGTGAGAGGTTCGCACATGGCCACGCTCGGCCATCTGTGACGACTTGTCCGAGTAATGTTTTCGCAAGATCGAAAAGTAATGTTTCATCAATCTTCTTGCCTGACGGGATTGGCAATTGCTTGGACTTGGTCTGTCCACCTTGACGGTGGTGCAAGGTTATTGTCTTTGGCCTTCTTTTGTTCTCGAGCACGCCTTCTTCAACGAGACGGGAATAGATATCTGCCACGAAAATACGCAGCCACTTGTTCGCCGAGTCGGTGGTGTTGATGCTCGGTCTGAATGATTTGGCTGATAACATTGATTTGATTTGCGTCCGTGAGCTGACCTCACTATTGTCTTCACCGCGAATGATTCCGTAGAGCCACGTCCCCGTCTCGTCGCCAAGTTTAGACTTGAGCTGTTCCATCGGGATTTTGAGAAGCTCGGTGACTTCATTTGTGCCAAATGTGTCCACGACCTGATCTCCGAGCTTTCCGCCCAGGTTGCGGATCTTGGTGAACTTGAAACCAGACAGAAAGTGCTGCACAGCCCTGTTGCGGACTATGGTTTGCTGGTTCGGTTTCTTATACCCAGCGCCGAGCTTTGCCATCATCTTGTTCCGCGCTATGCCCGCTGAACAAGTATATCTGAGCTTCTCGCGTATTGTCTTTCGCACGTCGCGCACAATCTCGGAGCCAATGTTCATGACTACGTCGTCCCAGTCGGGGTCGTCGTCCTCTGTTTCCGCCGAGTCCAGGTCAATGAGCGCATCAACTTGCCAATCCAGGGCTGTGGACGGCGGCAGTGGTAGTTGCTCCGTTGGGTCGTCGTACGGTGCATATTTGAGTTCGGGATACCTCTCGAGCAGGATCTGGTGAATCTGTGCGGATAAGTCGAGGAACACCTCATCAATACTGGCTTTCTCGACCTTTTGAATAGGTGGAGGAGGAAGTATCTCCTTGACCAGCGACAGAGACTTCCTGGATTCCAGCCGGTACGGGTCGAGAGAGACCTTGTCCGTCTGGATGTGGCTAGCCGCATCATCCCGATAAGCCCACTTCGTGTCGCCTTCTCGCCAGGTAGCAACGTGTTGGACCACGATCTCAGGACATTTGGTCTTGGCCTCGGTGATTGTGACGTGTCTATTCAGTCCGTATTCGCGGGCTGGGTAGTTGATCGCGATGAGGCCTTGCCACTGCTGGACGGCGAGAGGTTGGGACTCGGCTACCCCCAAGCGGACCATTTCGCATTGTGCGTAGAAAGCGTCATAGTCGATCAGCGCAATTACCCTCAGAGGGCAGGTGACGGAAGACTGGCCCAGAAGGTGGAGATGTTTATATGTGAAGCGTGACTTCTTCCTGGAACCACCTACTATGGGCGAGGAAAGGACGAAGGGCTGAGATGAGGACATCTTCGGCTCAGCCAGCCCAGAAGTGATTAAGGGAAGCCTCACCAAGGGCTCGAATAACCTCCTAGCATATTGGCTGCCACCAAGCGCTGCCGATCCTCCTTGAACTGAGAATTTAGCTGAGTGCAAGTCTTCCCAGGTGCGAATTCAAGATGCGCTGAGGAAGAACGCGTTGTAGTAGTGATTGAACAGACACGTGCCGTCATCGATCGTGCAAGCACTTAACCAACTGATCAGCCAATAAAGTGACGGACAGCACTTAGCCTCCTAGCGAGACCTGCTCCGGGAAGGTGTGCCGCAGCTCATGAGCAGCCTCCCAAGCAACGCTTGAATCTTTCAAGCTTCTGCTGGAGTTTCTGGTGTACACCTTTCGAAGACACGAAGTCAGGAGCTATATACATCACGCAGCAAGGCGCGTTTGCTTTACTCGATGGAGCTGTGCCGATTGACCGCGGCTTCAAGGCAGACCTCACTGGCATGGATCATCAGCCCAAAGCTGACCTCGCTGCTGTTTGTCGTCGAATGGCACCCAAGCGCTAAGTTACACCATTTTACGCGGGGCACCGTAGTAGACAAGCATTCTCGCGCGGCACCTTCTGGAGGTATATTCTCAAGTACCATGAGGAGACAGAGCATGAAAGCGCCCTCAAGCGGCCAATCCCAATACTGGACCGTATCCCAGACGCGCCAGATGCCATACCATTCAAGAAGCGATCTTCTTCCACTTCAGCTCCGCCCGAGTCTTCCTACCATCCTACCCCTCCTGTCAGCCTTTGCCTTTCAATGACAAGCTCGGGAAAGGAGGAACCTACCGGTAAGAGATAGTCCTTGACGGGCCTCAAAATCATGTACGCCTCTCCATTATCCTCGAAATAGTCCACTCTGCGGGTCTGCTCCTTGCCGACCCAATTCGGATTGTTCGAGACCTCGACCATGGTGTGCCACAGGAACCCTCCATCTTCCCTTTCCAGAAGAGTCATAAACCCACTGTAGGTGCTCAGACGCCGGCAAATGCGGGCCAAGGCTTCGTCAGAAGCTTCCATCAAGTAATCACTCGGCAGGGGAGACAACACCGATGATGGAACCAGGATTGCTGACAGATAACCCGATTTGGATATGACCACCTTGCCGAGAGGTTCGTCGCCGTGCGGCTTGGAAAGCAGCTTCCTATCTGGGCCTTCCGAGTCGAACATCTCGTAAGTCAATAAGCTCCATACTCCCGTCAACTTGGCGCTGTGCTTTTCGAAGACGTTGGTCATCCTGAAGGGTGATGACAGTGAGGGTCGGGAGATGGCTTGAGGTGAGTACGGCTTCACATGGCACCAATGGAGACTGATAAGCCTTTGCCTCGTCTGCGGCTAAGCTCGTGCGATGTGAACGACCAAATGGTGCTGCTCTCTAGTGATCGACTCCACGGTCATCACACCGTGGAGAACCGAGGGAAGCTGTGATGCGGGGGATTGGCCGAGGCAGAACAAGGCTGAGCATCTGTGGAGAGCGAGTCTTTCAGCCTCATTCCTCCCCCTTCCTCGTCATGAAACCACTCCACGACTATGGAGGAAGAGATCAAGTCTGACTTGGGAAGCTATAATGTCTTTATTGGTACAGAATTAGTATAGAGATGAAGGTGCAAATACTAATTTGAGGGGTATCATAAAATCCTGATGTCTCATCAAAAACAAAAGTCCACAATCAGTGACGTTGTCATCGTCAGCTGCCTCCCATGGTCGATCCAGCGATATCTTCTCATCCTATAAATTTCCAAATAATATATGCAAAAATGCGACGCTAACCAGGGGTATTGAAGAGAACGCCGTTCCATCCCCCACGCATGCCGTTAAGCGTTATCATTTCTTCTTCTCCGGGGCCCCTTTCTGAGCCTTGTTCTTATTGTCGCCAGTGTCTTCGTAGTCGCCGCCCTGCGCCTCGTATCGGCGGGCCAATTCACCGGCTTTCCAAGCAGACCAAGATCCCTTACCACCTCCTGTCAAGGGCATCAGCAAGACGTCCACGATAGCATGACAAGGCTATCTTCATAGCGCACCTTTTTCTTCATTTTTGACCTCCTCCTTGATCTTCTCCCGGAGTTCGGGGTCCGTAGGGTTCCCCTTGGAACTAGGCATCTTGTAGAAGGTGGAAGTACTTGACGTACACTCGTAGTCGGCGGGGAGAAATATCGCCCTCGGAAATGCTGTAGCGCGAAGAATGGTCGCGCTCGGGAGACAAAAGCAGTATTTACCAAGCTAGAGCTTGATACAATTCCTCGGTCGTCACCGTGGTGACAGAAGGCCGGATGTCTTGGATGAAGATGTGGTCGAAGACTGGCTGCTCCGAGCGGTGGACGTCCAGGAACTGACCGAACCCGTTCTCTGCTTCTTCTCCTCGGGAGAATATTGTGCGTCTGAAGCTTTACGCAGGATTTCTCGTAGAGAGTCCTGAGCCGAAGGGGTTGACGACGCTGGGGTGGAGCGAAAGGTAGGGAAGCGTATCATGATGAAGGTCTTGTGGATAAGGGTTCGGGTTGATGCTGGATTATATGTGTCTCTGGTCCAACTGACCGGACAGGATTTTGATGATGTATTTGATATCCTTTGTTGAGAATTGACTTTTCGATAGTAGATAACCGAAGAGACCTTGTCTGGGGTAGAAGAAGGGACGCAAGCCACGAACGAGCAGGTGGAGAAGGCCGAAGAGATAAAGGAATCGATGATGGCTGACGGACGGGCAAAGGGGGAAGTGATGGAAGACGTCACAAGTAATATAGTCGCGGATCGGTACAAAGTTCAGATCTGATCGAAGCGATCTATCAAGGTATGACAGACCTGAAGATATAGCGAGACACAAAGGACACGCACTGACACGGAACAAACCAGAAAGACGGTGGCTGTGCGACAGATCTAGTTTGACCTTTTCATCTCCTTCTGGCAACTCTTCTTTTCCAGGAGGCAAACATCATCATTCTTGATCATTTTCACCTCATTTCGCCTCCAAAGCAATGACACTGAAGACTAGAAATCTCTCGGCAAAAAAGGAGCAGTCTTCCGTCCAGCAACAGAAGCCCAAGCTCTTGGTGTTCAATCACTTGACCACTCACCAAAGCCGACAAAGACGGAATAGCTCCGTCAGCCACCACCAGCCACTTAGGTGGCACGGAGATGCCGTCCGTGTGACCTGCAGAGAACCGTGCAAACCATGACCTCATCTTCTTTTTGTCTTTAGTCTGCAGCCTTCAGTTAGTAGCCTTGTGATCTCCTTATCGCCAGCCTCCATGAAATGATGAGTTGCCGCGGCTGCTCGGAAAGGCATTCTGCAGCCTTGCTTCAGTCACGTGCCAATAACGCGGACGTCTCCAGTCACGTGGTTAGGACAACAATGCAAACGCGAACTTTGGTGGAGGCAGTCGTCGGCACGTGACAGGTGCTGAGTCATCTTCGTACCGAGGTACCCTCGAGGCCCTGCGTCTCCGCCGTACTTTCTCCCTGCCTTCCGCGATGCCTGAGCCTGAAACGGGCAGGATGTGCATGACCTGATTGATCCCGCTGCTGTTGACGCCAGCCGGCCGTAGGATAGGATGGACTCGGCAGCAGACAATCAGGCCCATTTCCGTGTTGCGACGGGTTCCGCTACCAGCGCTCAGCAGCCAAAGCCAACACGGCGGCACCCGAGCCGAGCCTGTAACGAATGCAAACAGCAAAAGGTATCCTTTCCACGAGTCAGACGTCGTTCATTTAGGCCGAATAGTCTCTGACATTGCATGTTGTCAGTTGAGATGCAGCGCCCCTACCGACTATCCAGATCCTTGTTCTCGATGCAAGAAGCTGGGTCTACCTTGTAGAGTCGAGGATGGCTTTCAGCGCGTGAACAAACGCAGGTCCGTCTTTCCCCCTTCGTCTGAAGATGGAGGCACATTTCACCCTCAAATCTCATCTCACGCTGCACAGGAGAACGGAAGCCCTGTATCAGGAGAATGCCACGCTCAGACAGCAACTTGGCGCAAGCCGCTCTCCCCAGGAATCGGCGAACGAGCAGACCAGTCAAGATGGCAATCAGTCGCTGGCCCATGAGCGGCCAGAATCAGGACTTCTCTTGTCAGCACCATTCATGGGCAGCGACGACCCAGATCCAGCAAATGTCTTGCGCAGACCTTCTGCCACGGAAGCAGAGTCGAATTTCACCACGACTTGGGATCTATCATTCGCCAAGCCGACGGCACACCCCTCTTCCAACACCACTGCCACCTCATCTCGCTCGCTTGCGGGCATAACAGTTGAAGCGACTGAGATAGATGAAATTTTCAGGCTGTACGACGTTCTCCTTTCCAATAGCAAGCCTTTCCATGCTGAACACCACCAGGTACTTTACGCACTATTCCCAACATCTGCCCGTCCTCGACCCCAATATCTCACCAAATGGCTACTATGATCAGTCGCCGCTCCTCTTCTGGGCTATTATTGGCGTGGGCGTACGTAGATACACCGCCAATCCAACGCTGCTGGGTTCTCTGGCCGAGCGGATCGTGCACCTTGCCTCGCCCCTATTACATCCCACGCCGGCTGTCATTCCAGCTATCCAGGGTCTCTTACTACTATCTTCGTTTCCCTTCCCCACCGATTCGACATCAAAGGACACCTCCTACACATTGTCTGGCATGGCAATCAATCTAGCCTTGCAGATCGGCCTTCATGTGCCGACCTTTTCCCAAGACTACAGCAGATCCAAAATGACTCTCACTCAGGAGGATATTCAACGTCGTGTGCAGTTATGGTTCCATTGCATCATCGTTCACCAGAAGTGAGCGCTCCCCCTCTCCCTCTTTGACTATGAAAGAACCCGCTAAATCCCTTGCAGAGCAGCTTGTGGGCTGGGTTACCCAATCATGGTATCACCGGACCGATTGCAAAAGCAGATGGACCTTCGCGGTCTTTTGGACTCAGTTCCCCCTTTCTTGCTGTTTGAGATGAGACAAGGCAGTCTTCTCAGCCGCATCAACACCCTCTTCTCCCCGTCAACGTTCCGCGTCGAAGATACGCAGGACAAACACTCGCAATTCGCCCGCGAAATGATGTCGGATACATTTGAGAACCAACTCGACGAGCTCGAGTCGGAACGGAAATTAACCGGTAAGCATCAACCACTGCCATCGACCTCCACACCGGCTACTACAACTGGACTGCAACACTGACCTCGAATGGGAGCGCCATTAGATCTAGAGCAGCTCTATGTCAACATAACCCGGCTGCAACTCCGAGTCCACTGCCTCCAAGATCGAGAGAACCCGGCCACCAGCGTCAAGGTTGCACAACTAGGTCTGGCCGCGACCTCGATCATCGAGGGGATCGAACAGCTCGAGGTACAAATGTCCCTGATCCAACACTGTCCTCACTACATCTTCCGCATGACGGCCCTCGCTGCGTCCGTCCTCCTCCGTCTCTCGAAGCAGCAGCAGCCTAGACCTAGGGCGCGTGGCTCCGACGCAGACCATCATCGCCAACAGAACGTCGCCGCCAGTAAACAGTACAAACCGTATTTCTTCCAAACCATCTCCCTCCTGAAGAGGATGTCGGTCGAGAGCAACGACATGCCCAGCCGCATGGCCAAGATCTTCTCGCAACTCTGGAGCATCGACAAAATCTTCGAGCACACCACTTCCTCACCACCAACGACCAGTGACGGCACTGGTACTAGCCCCTCCTCGGCAGCTGCACCACCAGCATCGTCCCCACTCGTCGTTCAGAGCAGGCTATCCATGAGCGTCCTGCACGACTGCATGTGGCGCTGGAAGGACCGTTTCCGCTGGGCGGCGACAAATGGAAGCCAGACGAGAACCGCGATAGACTCATCATCGGCGGACAGAAACACCAGCCACAGCAACGGTAGCCTTCCCAATTCACATCAGCACCCACCAGTATCAAGACCTGTCTCTACAATGCCGCCGACGCCCACTGGCTTCTCGACATCCTACAACATGCCACCTGACACTGCAAATGCCGCCGAAATGGTCACAGCCGATACCAATTTCCACAGCACGATGACGATGCCGTTTGCAGACAGCTTTTCGCCCCTGGGGACCCTGCCTTGGGATGCTGCGGCAAACCAAGATTTTGAAATGATGATCCACAGGTTTCCTGAATCATGGCCGGTGTGACATGGCGAATAATCTCGAGCAATTAAGATATTATATTCTGAATCTACAACGCCTCGCATTCAATGCTCGATCTTACGCTGTCTGTCAATCAGATTCATGCAGCACAATGCGCCGATACTATCACGCAAGGCCGCTATCATATCACTTGCCTTTCATTACACAGCAACTCTCATGTCAAGAATGTTACTCTGAGCATCAGTCGTGCCCTCATACCAGCACATGCCCGTATTCCATGTCCATTGCACAAATCACCCTACATCACCACACACTCCCCATCACCCTGCCGATTGACATTCGAGCGCGATACCCTGGTCTTTTGCATCTTCTGTCCCCTCTTCAACTCCTCCAGCCGTTCTCGTGCTTTTGGGAAATTTTGAGCTGCAATTTACCACCGTTAGCCCCAAAACGACGCACACTGAATCTCCTGTTGGGGTAGGGAGGATACTCACAAGCAGCCCTGTAATACCAGCGCTTCGCCTCCTCGACGTCTACGGCCGTTCCGATGCCGACTTCATAGAAGTATCCCATCGCGTATTCAGCCTTTGCCAGCCCTGAACTGGCTGCCTTTCTCGCCCAAAGGAATGCCTCCGTATCACTCTGTTGGAGCAACGGCTCTGAGCCCGTGAGGTACCACCCACTCAGTGCCAATTCGGACTGATGCTCGGCCTGGGCCGCGGCCCGTGTATACCACGCAATACTTTGCCGAGGATCGATGGGACATCCGAGCAGCCCGTACTCGTAGGCCGAACCCAGCCGGAATTGTGAATACTTATATCCCAGCTCCGAGGCCTGTTGAAACAACTGGAACGCATACTTTTCGTCACGGATGATACTGTCATTCCCCGATGCCGACTCGTAAAGCAGGCCCAGCTCGTGCAGAGCATGCGGATTGTCTTTGTCCGCCCGTTCTGCCGCTCTCTTGAGCCAAGACACGGCTTCGCGCGGGTTCTTCGGCTGCCCGAGTAGCCCCTTCAGAAGGATCATGCCAATCTTGTACATGGCCGGTGTATCTCCGAGGGTTGCCGCTCGCTTGTACCACTGAATAGCCTTCATTGGGTCGCGTCGAGTCCCACCACCTTCTTCAGATCCCAGTTCGCAACAAACCGCCACTCGATACGCACTTTGAGCGTGATTCAATTTGGCGGCGGACTGATACAGGTGAAAAGCCTCCTTGGGATCCACTGCCAACCCCAAAAGTCCTTGACCGTGACAATCGGCCAAGTAGAACATAGCTTCGGGATAATTCGCTGCAACCAATTTCTTCACCAGCTTGTGCGCGTCAAATATGTACTTTTCTCGATTCTTTTGTGTCTGTTTCGCATCAGCAGTCCCACCTTCATCAGCTAGAACCTTAGCAGCTTCCACCTCCTTCTTCGCCAGCTTCAATCCCACAGCATAGTTGGCCGGGTTCCTGCTGTACTCCACACGTAGGCTGTTGAGCTCTTGAGAGGTAACAGGTGGAGATTCTCGGCCGCTGTTAGTGATGGAAAGCTCCTTTCTTTGAACGGGCTGCGGCGCTGGCGGCGGCGGCTGATTAGCATTGCCGCTACTCCGGGCTGGTTCTGGGTGAGCTGGAAGTGCATCTGGGTTGGCGTTGACATTGACGTTTGCACCAGGGTAATGTCGTACCGGAACTGGATGGGCAGAAGAAGCTGGAGGTAGAACTTGTCCAGGGTTATAATTGTCATGAGACTGTTTTCTGGGTGGTGGTCCACCGGCATAGTTATCCTGGGACATGGTCCTTGCAGCCGGCCCTTGTCCGTATGGCTGCCGTAATTGCTGGCTTGGGCTTGGACTATACCCTTGGTTGTATTGTCCAGGTACAGGTGCCGACGGGGCGCGATATTGGTCAGAGTAGCTCCGGTCGTATTCTGCGCCCAGATCGGGTTGTGGCGCCGGTCGGTGAGCATTGCTGGTGTGAGGACGAGCAGGATATTGATCCTGACTGAACGATCGATAGCCTGGGCCATTGCTTGGAATAGGCGGAAGATCTCCAGTAGGTGGCGGCTTCATTCCGTTCCTGCTTGCTGATCGAGGAGGATACTGAACTTGCTGCCTCTGATTGTTCTCATAGCCTCCCAAGCCTTGTCTTGAGCCATGGTCTCTCTGCTCGCCGTACGAATGCTGGTATGATGCAGGAGGTTGCCCGCGCCCAAGTGGTCCATTGGGGCCGCTCGACGGAAGGTCGAAAGAAAACTCTGTAAGAGGAGAGCCCAAGTCGTTTGGAGGAGAACGCTTCTTCTGTGTTGTGTCCAATCCGCGAGGAAAGGCACCGGGAACCTGATAAGTCGGCTTCCGGTAGATTTGCTGATCAAAAGAACCTTGACCTACAATGATATGGTCTTCGGGCTTTTCATTTGCTCTCATTGGTATGGCGTCGAAATTTGGCATGTCGCGCCTCCTTGTCTTTCCAGGCACCGCAGAGTTGGGAACGCCTCTGTAGTTGTCTATATCGAAGTTCTCTGGACGAGGCGGGCGAGCCGGTTGTCTTTTGTGCGGAGGTTCAGTCGGCGGTTCATAAGCCCTTGAGGGCGGGATGTAGTCTTGCCTGTAGCCATCCTCTTGAACGTACTCGTTGCGCCTAGGGTCTTGAGGCGGCTGATAGTCCTTGGGAGCGTCATATCCTTCTTGTGAGCCATAGCTGTCAAAGCCTCCATACGGCCCAGTACGAGGGTGCTCCTGGTCAACGCGTGGAGTCGGACCACGTGGATCTTGTCGAGGCAGGCGTCTAGGTGAAGGGGGGACATTTTCCTGCGATCTGAGGGGCTGCGGTCGATTCGTATCCATAGAACCACTTCGAGGAGGCCTTTGAAAACCTTGCAGCGGAGGAGGGCGGTTCAAGTCAACTGGGTGTCGACTCATTGGAGGAGACCGGCTCAGCTCTGCAGGTGGCATCTGAGTCTCCTGCCGCGGTGGAAGACGACCCACGGCCGGCGGGCGGTTCATCTCTGGGGCCGGCCGGCCCATACTTGCAACTGGTGGGTGCATCTGGAAATCCATCGGCGGAGGGTCACCCATACTCGGCCTCTGAGCATGAGAAGTATGAGGCCTCTGTTCTTCCTTTTTCCGATGACCATGAGAAGTATTCGGTCGGGCTTCGCGGCTGTCCGGGCGCTCATCCAGAACCAGGTTTTTCAATTCGGCATCCAAGCTTGCATGCCTCTGCTTTTCAGGCCCCTTTTTCTTCGACGGCCAGGCGCCAAACGGGTTGTCCCAGGCCAAGTTCTTCGGCGATGTCGGCGCGGCCAAGATGCGTTCTCGTTCTCGTTCTCGTTCTCGTGCTGTGCCCTATTAACATCTTCACATATGACCAGGAGCGCGAACCTTACTCTTCAATCTCTTCTGCGGGTTGGAAGGCCCCGACATTTGATCCTGCGGCGGTCTCTGTGCACTGGAATGCTGGTGTTCTGGCTGAGGCCTGCTTTGTCCGTTACTACGATATCGTTCGTCGTATAGACACGTGCGTGGCGTCCAGGTGCGAACAGACAAAGAACGGTAAGTGGCCATTTTGGCCAAGATCGGAATTCGCCTGCCGTCTTGGCTAACCTTTTTGCCCCACCTTCTTCGGCGCCTTCGCCTGACCTCTTCACTTACCCTTGGGTAACCTCGAAAATCATACGCCTTTTTTCGACCATCCTACCTTGCTCCTGGTATACGCTACGCTCCACCTGAAATATGCCTATCATGTCGATTGAACGAGCCCGAATTGGACGTATCATGCAGCAAAGCATACGAACAATCCCCCTACGCATCCAGCCAAATAACCGTATCAATCCCTTGTTTACTTGCTACACCCGAACCTTTACAACAAATAGACGTAAGTATATCATCTAGCTTCGATTACGAATCCGTTAACAAGTCTATAGGTTTGTTGTATCCAGATTACGACGCTACTCCATCCCCATCTCTCGAAGACAAAGTTGATCGGCTCAACCACGACTGAATTGTCTGGTCTCAGGCACAGATCGTCCACTAACCAAAGACCTCGTCCAGTCTCCACCATGGATAAGTATTTCAAGGTCGGACTTGCAGAGGCTGCTGGGTGCCGTCGGGTTCCCAACGTCCTGGAGGTCACTTCCCGCTTATGTCGTAATGTTCAGCTGGCTTTGCACTTGGAGCATGTTAGATGAGCAACCTGTTTAGCCCATCAGCGTCACCAATACGAGGGCGTCCATGTTTGTGTACCTAGGCTCCTCGGCAGGTGTGGCTTGACCGTCAGCCACCCTCTGAGCCACAAGTCCACAAGTCCACGAGAATGGCTGGCCAGTGGTTTTGGAATTGAACGACGATCAAACGGTGGAAAAGTGGATAGTGTTTCAGCAACCAAGGATGGAAAGTCGTCGTGGTCGCCGTTTGACAAGCAACATCTTGAATCAGATACTTCAATCCGGCTTCTCGCTTGCCGGTCTCAACAGTCGTTTTCGACACTTGTCATTGCTCCGTCCACACCATAACAGCTCACAATTCTGAATACACATCCATTCCCGTTCCAGCCACTCAGCATACGAGGGTAGTCGACGACAGCATTGGAAACACTGGAAACATACCACAAACGACTTCGCTTAGCGAACAACAATCCCTGAACCCTGTCTACCTCGTTCACCCTCCTGATCCCTTTTCGACGGAAATTTTCAGTGATTGACAACTGCAATCTCGATATCTCCGAACGGCTGTGTTTGATGCACTTCCAGCAAGCCTTTCGTGGCCAGTGCAAGAACATGGAGGAGGCCTTGAGCGCCGACAATCTGTGAGTTCTGGATTGGTGGCAGCAACTCATCGAATGTGATCTTGTTGCTTTCGGTCATGCCCTCGTCATCTCCTTGCTGGTCATCTGCATTCTCGGCAATCCTCGTTTGGACAAAGTTGAGGAAATTGTTCGCTTCATTCTCCAGGGCCGAAGCCACCCATTGACTTTGTGCTGCTGTTTGGGTGTCAACATTAGCAGCAGGGCCGTACAGCTCAAAGTCTGGATTGGCATCGAGGCCGAGTTGAGCATCCAGGTCTGCGAATTCATCTTCGTTGCTGGTGAGGTGCGAAGGCTCGTGACTGCCAATCCTGGACAAAGAAAGACCTCTTCCGAGCAAAGGACTTGCAGACGTGAACCGAGATCCGCGTCTTCCAAGAGCCGAAGGTGGACCAAGTTCCATACCACCGGGAAGCCCTGCAACACTGGAACTCAATCTCGCTATCGGTCCACTGCCCAAGGGTTGAGCTGAACTATGACGAGATGCGGAGATATTCCAAGGCATGCCAGAAGAATTGTCTGCGAGTGATGGAGGCGCATGGCGACCGACTTCGCTTTCAAGGTTGAGGTCGTCGCCCTGAAGCATTAATCCATCGTCATTACCAAACATGGAGGTCTCGCCTTCTTGTCCACGAGCGACGCCTTCGTCAGATTCGTCAGATGCTGTCCTAGCCCTGACTCGTCTTGCTTCTTCATCTTCCTCCCCGTCCGCTGGTGAGCTGCTGCGAGTTCGCTTGGTACCGGTAGACAGGCCTCTCAATAGATCCCAGAGTGAGTGACCACTGAACATGGCAAGCGGGTGTGGGGTTCTGTCTTCGCCAAAATTGGCGGCAACATTCCCGATTCCCTGACGCAGAACCCAGAACTCGGCATTTTTCTTTGATTCGAAGTGGGAAGCGTGGCTCTGCTTAGCTTTGAGAGCTACAGCCATGTTGACAAGATAGTTCTGGTTCCATTCGGTCAGGTCTCTGTTGCTCAATTCGGTCCTCTGATCCGGCTGAAGAGCTTTTGCTTGCCGGCCTCGTCGCTGCGGAGCCTCGATTATCTCTGAACGGTCCTCGGACGGTCGAGCGGAGGAGGTAGCTCGTTCAGACTGACGCACTTCAGTACCTGCAGGCTGTGGCGTGACAGGCGCTTCGGATGTAGGCAGTGGTGGCTCATCTTCACCAAACGGTATAATATCATCGTCAAAGGGCATATTCTGCTGGATCTGCTCATCCTCAGCGGCAATGCCAGCTTCCGGCGCCCCTGCGCCCGTCACATCCTCTCCAGAGACGTCTTGTAGACCTTGGTCTGCAACATTGGCGCCGTGTAAGTCAGCGGACAGGGCTGGATGAAGAAAGCCATCATCACCAAGGTCGAAGACAGGCTCATCAAGAACAAGAGGCTCCTCTCCAAAGATCGAAGAATGCTGTCCTGCTTTGCTTCCACTCTGGACAGCCGAGCTTGTCGCAGCTGGTTCTCCTTCAAATCCGCCCAGTCCTCCAGGTGTACTGTAAGAAGGTATGTCCAGACCAGCTTCTTGCTCCGGTTCTTCCTCTTCACCGATTTGAAGACTCGACTGGCTTGAAGGCAGACTGCGTGGAGAGTAGGCGCTGGACACCGTCGAGTCGTCCGAAGGGAAGCCGAAGGCGGCCAAATCAAAATTGAGATGGACTTCTGGGAAGAAGAACGGGTCCTCCTGGATGTTAAGCTGTTCGGGTCTGATACGGTTGTCAGACGCTCTTCGCATTTTCGTTCGTCTGGCATCTGCTCACCTCGCCTTGCTTACCTCGGGATCGACTTCTATCTCTTTGAACACTTGTTCTGTACCTCTCATCTTGTCCCTCAGACTTGTGATGTCGGTTAGGAAATATCCACATTGTTGCGAGAACACGCGTGTCACACCAAAACTGGAACTCCAGGTCAGCAAGATCAGACATTCATCGTCCGAGAATTGCATACAGCAGACTGCCCTGCAGCCGCAGCGCCATTGGCAGTTCGGGCTCAGTGATAGTCTGGCACGCCTTTGGAAGGTCGACGTCAAGGATCGCACGACGCGATACTTTCTTCAGGTTGGATTTTGAACCGAGGGTTGCGACGAGCCTGGAGAGCAGAGTATCAGTTTCAGAGACAGGATATTTGCTGATGGGTTAAGAATTGTGACTTACCAGATGGTCGCGACGCCATACTGTCGGTTCGTTAGAACTAGTAAGGTGATGATCAGCATTCAATCGACTTCAATTGGCTCTTCTCGCAAGCTAGAAGTGGAAGACATACTCTCGTGACTGTAGAACATCCTGGCTCAAGCTGTGTCACGACCGGGCGCTGAAGATATGGAGGGTTAAGTATGCCTGCCGCGATATGGTAGAGTGCGAGTCAATCAAGGCGGGCAGCTGGCGATCAGACGCCAACTCGAGAATGAAGTAGAGCGCTGGAGTGAGCCCAAGCAAAAGGTGAGGTTAGGCAATACCGACTGGATAATGGAGCAAGGGCGTGGCATAAACTCGCCTCAGCGTACGTTCACCTGGACCTTGAGAGCACAGACGAACACCTGCATGGTATGGGTAAACTGAAATCGCTATCATTATTTCTTTTCTGTCCATCATCGCAGGCACCACGAGCCTCCCTAAATCATCTCTCTTGAACGGTCCACTTCCCAACTCCAATCCTGGTACTGTATGTTCAAGGCACTTCTATCCCATCAAATGAAGGCTTTCTAAGATGCCGATGGAGGTCTTCGTCAGTCAAATCCCTTCAGAACTGTCGCCATGTAATATCCTATAAACAATGTAGAGCAGATAGCGAACAGGTCTTCGCTCTTGATATTAGGATCGAAATCTTGATGTTCAGATCCAGAATCGAGAAGTTGGCTTGCGCGCTTTCCGCGAGTGGATCGTGCTTGGAGAGCTCAGAGATTTCACATTTGTCAGGAGCTCGCAGCAATCACCTAGAAAACCATATCGCCATCGTGCATCCTTTTCTATTCGAGCGGGATACCTTCGTATTCTCCATAACCCAAAGCCAAATTCATATTTTCTGTTCAAGATCTGTCAGCCTCATTCTGCGAAGTGATGTCACTGGACTTACGAAGACATTGCGTCGCAGCACCCTTTAGCAGGTTGTCGATAGTGACGCAAATAACCACTCTTTTCCCGCTCGAATGAACGGCAAACCCACCAACCTCGATACCATGACGGTTTGCAATATTCTTGACCGAGGGAGCTTCACCAATGATCTTCAGCAGCTTCTCTCCAGCATACCGATCTTGGTAGAGGTTTCGGATATCACGCGACTTCATCTCTTCCTTCAGTGGAATGTTAATCGTATGGTGAATGCCCTGGAACCAAACAGCGACGTGAGGGATGAAACCCACTGGAGTTCCAAGCTGCGTCGAGATCTCACGTTCATGAATGTGATCCGTCAAACTGTAGGCGATAATGTTGTCTGTCAAGTTCTGAACGTCGTTCTTTGGGCTAGGTTTGGTGCCAGCGCCAGAATAGCCAGAAACACCAAATACCGTCGGCTGAGCGCCCAGATACGGAACGAGGGGAGCGATGCCAATCTGGGCAGCTGTCGCATAGCATCCGGGATTGGAGATCCTCGTAGCTTTGGCAATAGCGGAACGGTCGACCAACTCAGGCAGACCGTATGTCCAAGAAGGATCAAATCGGTAATCGGCGCTCAGATCGACAATGACACTGTTCTTACCAACTCGGTCAATGGCATCGACAAATGGCTTACAGACGCCGTTGGGAAGGGCCATGACCCAGCAATCGACAGCACCATCTTCTTCCATCTTTTGAACATCTTCCACACTCAGATTCTCGTAGATGATTTCACGTTTGTCATATCCGCTGAGCTTTTGTCCCGCAAGCTCTCGTGATGAGACATGGCGCAGGTCCATGTTAGGATGACGATTGAGAAGCTCGACGAGAGCTTTTCCAGTGTATCCTCGGGCTCCAATGAGAGCGACTCTGGACGGCTTCGGGTTGGAGCTGTTCTTGGAGCCGAGAGGTGGATTGGGATTTGTGGTGGTAGCATAGGTGCGAACGGAAAGTGCAGGCTTTGTCACGTATCTAGCCTGCCGAGCTGAGCGCAAAGGATTTGCTTGTGTTGAGAATGCTCTCTTCTGCGTCAGGCCCGCTGATTGAGCAGCGTTGCTTGCCATCTGAGATGCGGCTCTGGCAGCACGCTGAAGCTTGGATTCAAGGTTGATGTCACCAAACATTTGTCGACCATGCTTGGTAAATTCGACCATCAAGTCCCTTACTTCATCGCTTGTTTCGAGTCCGTACCAGAAGAGCACTTCACCATCTTTGGAGAGGCTGCCATCGGCCTTGTCGAAGAACCAGGTCAGGTTCTCGTCGTCTTCCTTGACCGTCCACATCAACTTAGGATAGTCTTTCTTGATAGCAGCAAAGATGTTGTCAGCGACGTTGGTCAGCCAGCCATTCTTGGTGATGGTCAAAGTAGCTAGATGAGCCAAAGTGGTCTCTCCGCTTGGCGGCAACACAATCCCGAAAGCCTCCATGGGCTCATCGAAATACGCTTTGAATTCGCGGTTTTTCAAGCCTTTGACATATCGATCGACAACAGCCTTAGCGTCGAGCCCAGCGCGATCTCGGATGAGAACCTCCTTGAGCTTCTCAAGGTCCCCAAATTGATCAATGGAAGTGTTGACGTGGACTTTGTTTCCGCGGCGGATCAGAGTACCTGCACCCGAGTCGGTGAAGAGCTCCTTCTGTAGGTCGGCAGGATGTATGATGGCGACGCTGGAGGTTCGAGGCAAATCCATCAAGAGCTCTCTCATCTCCTTGATCTTCAATCTCGTGCCATGTCGAACCCACCACTGCGTCATAAGGTGGTCATATTCCTCGTCGAGGTTGATAGCAGAGATCTTCTCCTTGGTATCTCCATTGAACAATCCACCTTTCTCAGATAGGTAGACAATTTTCAATGGCTGCAGTGCTCTGGCCAGTTCACCAGCCGCAACATCAGCATTGACGTTCAAGACCTGTCCTTCTTTTGACTCGGCCATTGACGTCAAGATTGGAAGACATCCTGCCTGAATGGCTGCTTCGATAGGTTTCTTGTCAACATGGTTGATCTTGCCTACGAGGTTGTATTTCTCCTTGTCCAGGTAGTCCGCTGTAAACACCCCGGATGTGATTGGTCTTGCACGTACACCCAGTCGCTCAAGCTCTTCAACCAAGCGCAAGTTCTCTTCCAAGAACAGCGCACGTGCTATGCCCAAGGTCTTTGGATCTGTAACACGTATGCCGTCTTCGAACTGTGGCTCAACCCCGGAATCCTCCAAAATCTTGTTCAGCTGTGGTCCTGCACCATGGACGACAACCGGATAGAGACCGACATGGTTTAGAAACGCGAGGGCGGACGACAGGGTCTGAAGGTGCTCGGTCAAGATAGCTCCGCCCACCTTGATTACGGCGAATTGCTGGGAAGAAACCGAGGCGAAGTGTGACAAGTATTGCTGCACCTCTCTCTTTGAACCAATATTACTGAGCAACTGTACAACAGTGGATCTTGTGGAGGGATTGGCCGCCGAGGGCGAGGAGTATGTTCGTCGAGAAGTGACCGGACATGCGACTAGAGCAGAGCGAGAGGATCGCGGGAGACGGATAGCTCGAGAACGAGAAGAAGCTGCCGCTCGACTGACTGCTCGCGCAGCAGCTGCACCTATTGCCGACATTGTTTCTTAGGTCATGCGGCAGCTGTAAAACCACTGAAGATGAGTCGAAGGTCCGCGCCGGGGGGGATCTCGAGATCGAGCAGCAGGTTCGGCGGTCAACGCGATAATGAGAGGAGATTGAAGCAGGAAACAAGCAGGAAGATGTGGACCACCAATCTATCCTCAGGACGCCAAAGCACTTTAGCAACGAGACAGGAAAAAATCGCAAATGGTGCCCTGATAACAATTTTTTTCATGCAGCATGCACAGGAGAACAAATATTTGCGGGGTGTTGAATCTGAGTCGCCAGCCAACCCCAAAGTGCTTTCTCCGACAGTGGCGTGCCGAGCGCCATCTATCAAGTAGAGCGCCGACCTTCGGCTGCTTGGAAAAAATTTGAAAATTCTCTTACACGACCTTATCTATGCAGCAGTGATCTGACAGACCTGCAGCATGACCGAATAGTGTCGCGCGGAGAGTCGAGCATCGATTTTCGGCCAGTCTATCTCGCTGCTCACCGTTGTTGGCCGATGCAATACCAATGCGATCATTATCTTCCCATCGCATGTCATTCAAGCAGTACTACGTCACAGGCACAGCGACAAAATCAGTGCAGTGAAAAACCTCCTGAGCCCAGCTAAGCACATTGGAGGTAAACATCTTCCTTCTCGGATTGGTAGATACCCGGCTCCAGGAGGTCCGTTGATATGGCCGTCAGGGAGACCCCTCGAAGACGCCGTTGGGAAAATGCAATTGGAAAAAAGCTCATGGTATTATTGTAACAAGTAGCCCTGTGATGCCTTCACCTGTAGACGCCTCGAGTACCGTGCAAGTGCTCATCGTCGCGGCCCCAGATCTCCTCCAAAAAGTCCAAGGGAGGTTTATTGGGTTTCGTAACTCCTCTGAAGGATTCTGTTGCGTCCAGGAAAGCATCGAGCTCCTCAACTCAGTTCACGTTGTACAATCGCTAGCCCAAAAAGGTCAAGACTGGTTTCTGGTCTCGTAAGGAAGTTTTGTTGGTCGGTCATTGCAGTTATAGCCGATCGACGCTTAGTGTCTGGTAGCAACGACTGGTGCCAGGATCAGTAAATGGTTTTGAAGCCGAAGATCAGATCAACATACCAGCTGGGACAATGATGACGATGAGCAAAACAATAATACCAACAATCAAGCACATGCGCATCTTCATATCCTTCCACCACATTTGTTTCCGGACACGGTTGGCCCCTCTTCTGAAGCCTTGCGCAGAAACAGCAAGATTATCGGTCTTGTCTTGTAGAGAGTCTAGTCGCTCGCCTCTTTGTGACACTTTGTTGATGTTTTCACGCATGACACCGACGGTGTCATCGATTTGCTGTAGAATCACTTGTTAGCATGAGTGCCATTAGGTACAAAACGACACTCTAGGCGCAATTGTGCAGTAGGCCCTCCGATGGGTGAGATAGGTCTGGCGTTTGCTGCGAGGTAGTCGTTGCGAGAGCTTCTGCGATGCGCAGGTTGACCTCTGGAGAAGAGACTCAACCTGCGACACTTCAGGCAGCAGATTCCCGTCACCAATAGCACCCGCAGCGCGCCCAATTCAGGAAACGTTGGAGACCACATACCGCTTGCAAGGCAGCTGTTCTCTGATTTCCAGCAGGTTGTGCACCTTCTTGTCCCCCAGTGGGAATGTAAGGGTCGTAGGGTTGCTCTCGTTCGGCCATGGTTGGTAGCGGAGGAGATTATGAGAGTGTAAGGTGATGGGAAAGGGGTCAGTCCTTGTTGGCTGGCTCGATTATCGTGGAGTGAAGAGGTTTGCGACGATGATCAGTGCTGTTCGAGATGAGCGAGCACGAAATGGTAAGACGGTGAGTTGTTCGAGAGTGAGGATGGGAATGAAGGATGAATTGAATGGAGGTTGGCAAGAAAGCTGACGCTGGGCTGGGTAATCTGGCGCTTTGGCTGCGACGCCAAACCCAGGCAGGGGACCGAATCTTGAGACACCCGCGATTCCAGATGGGCTTTGGCCACCGCGGCCACCACTCAAGCCACGAGACCTGACCTCCTCGTAAGCCCTGCACCCTGATCAACACCACGTGATTTTCGACTTTCTTCACTCCAGTGACTCCCGCAAACTGTCTTTGCTTTTCCGTTATGTTTCAGGACGATTGGGCAAATTCGAAAGTCACCCAGCTCACATCCAAGTTGTCATGGCCGCGAAATATCGTTTTGTTACCCGCAACATCATGTCATCAGAGTCAACCGACATTCCCGGTGGCTGACATGGAAATCTGGCACGTTGATCTGGTGAAGCGAGGCAGTGCTCTGGGCAACTGACGAACGCAGAGGCCATGGCCATCCACTCTTCTCTGCAAGAAATGCGCCGCCTAAGTCCCAGCCCGATCTGCTTAGCAAAGTGCTTGCATTAATAGCTCACTGATCTCTATTATCATTCCACCACGCATCCTTCGGCCGATCCATCCAGGGCTTTGCATCCCCTTGCACTTGAGGCATATTGATATCACCTACATAGTACTGACTACCAGACCATACAGCAGTCGTTTTACTCCGGACAGCGATAGTCTTCATGTTGCCAACAATGTAGTGCAAACCCCTTTTACAACACCCAGTCTGTTTAGTAGGATACCCGAGTCACGCTCCTTCAAAGGTCCAGTAATCTTGGGCCCCTCGTATAATCGTGCATGTTTTTCTGGCGCACGAAATGAACCTGAATCCGCTTCCAAGGCATCTCCCAGCGATCCAGGTACCTAGTCACTCGTACCTTGTTGGATCCTAGTTGTAGATCGCGCATCGTGGCTGTCCGCCAATCAAAACCCTGCCAAGTCCGCATCTCCGTCTAGATGTCGTGCATCATCGAAGTCAACCGCAAGCCCTCAACATGTAAGGTACCTAGGCATCTCCTCAATGTTGATCTCTTCACGCGGACCGACGAACATCAAACACCCATTTCTCTTGCATTCCACCTGCTCCTCCACCTGATTTCTGCCATCTTCATCCCGTGGCATTGATGTGAGCAAAGCCGCAGCGATCAGTCTCAACCCTCAAAAATGGCCTCGCGTGGCGGCATGTACGCCAAAATGGCTGCAGTGTAAAGACATCCCCGTTCAGCATCGCACTCCCTAGCTGACCGTCGCTCCAGCTTCATCACCTGCTGCATAGGCGGCCCTGCGCTGATGTACTAGTAAGTCCAACCGTGCTAGCACAACCTTGCTCCTCTCAGGCCCGTCATTCAGAAAGTCTCCATGTCAGGAATTCAGTAGACTAACCCTAGCCTCTCTGGTATAGTGTTACCCCTTCGGAAGGCGAAGTCTTCAAACGCTTCAACCCCGATCTTCAGAAGCGCAACCTCGAGCTCCGCGACCAGCGAACAAAGGACTACGAGGTCTTCCTCTCCCAGTTGAAGGAGTACAGTAAATCCGACAAGCCCATATGGGAAGCTGCGGCAGATGCTCAACGCCAAGCGAAGGAACAATTACTTCAGAAAGAAGCAGAAGACAGAGCACTGCAGCAGAAGATGAGAGACGAGATGAGGGCACAAGCCCATGGCAGATAGCGGCAATATCTCTTTCAGACATGTACATGTGGTTGGAGCATCCGACGACATGAGCAGTTCGCTGGTCGAGATTGGCTCACATGAAAAGGAGATGAAGAGAGCCAAAAGGTAAAAGGCGATGCCAGCACCTGGATTCGGACCAGAGTCTCCCCTGGCCGACATCCTCAAGGTACATACTCCTACCAGTCACCCAGCCGCGGATACGACCTCATGCAAGGCTGAAGGGTTTTCAGAGGACGAGTGGGACCCTCATCGGCGGTCGTGCTATCGCTGCACCATACCTCCTTTTCCGCGTTCGATCTTGGGGAGCTTGCCGAATACATATACGAGCAAGACTATATCTCAAGCAAGGAACTTGTGAAGATTCCTTGCGTTTATTGAACTTCCAGATCGCGTATATGGAGTCGGTAGGGAGTGTACCAACAGAATCAATAGAGTCCGGATCTGGGTATCATGGTCATTGTTATTTGCCAATCGTGGCGGTTGCTGAGCAAACCCAGTTCAGCACATCTAGCTATTCTGACACAGGAACTTCCAGTCCAATTCATGTCGCCGTTGAGGCCCCAGACTCTGAAGGTCGACATCATCAAGTGCACTCTCTATGAACGCCATCGCTTCGATGCAGCACCGATCCCATTTTACAAGCAAGAACGCCGTTCTGATGTTGCTCAACCCTCGATGGCACCTCGTCGCCTGTTCTCTTAAAACCCATCAATGCAGTTGAATGCCGGTCTAAACCACCATCCACCAAGCGCCCCCCATGATGACCAAGCAAATCAATACAGTCACGATCGCAGCGCCTGCTTTATCGGCGGTGGTGACCGCTTCCTTGTGCAGATCTCCTGGACCGATGTCACTTGTTGTTCCAGCGCTAGGATCGCCTTTGCTGGTGCCCCCGGTTACCTCTGTGACTGGTCCAGGAGCCACAGTGATCAGATTCGATTGTATAACCTCCAATGCCGACATTTGTTCGCCGACTCCGGTACTTCCATCGAAGGACCCAAAGTTCCATCGCAACCCGCATGATGTGCCTTTATCGCCTCCAGTGCAGACTGACGCCGCAGCTTGGGCGGACGTTTCTAGGATCGGCTTCAATTGAGCATAAGTGAAGGGTGCCCTAACAATTGTTGCAGCTATCCATCGGGCAAGATATGCTTTGAACGAGCGCTGATCAATGTTGCAGGTCTGCACCTCTTCACAAGCTTGTTCGACAATGATATTGTTCTTGAGGAAGATAGTGTTGATACCGCTAATAATGCCATTGATTCGTTCTTCCCAGATCTGGCTGCCATTCGTCTGTAATGAACATTAGTCACCTCAGCACTTCAACGGCCGGCTACCAGACTTACAAAATTGTACATGTTTGCAGCTCCAACCAAGAATGTACCAGCGTTATACGTCCACTGGAGATGATCAAGGGCAGTGCAATTGAGCGTGTCGTCACTCCCATCATAGAAGAAGTACTGGTCGTTTCGGAGACCGATTGCACTACACCAGTCCCACATTCTGTCCGCCCAGTCGGCATAGGTCTGGTTGCCGGTGTAGACCGCCAGTCGAGAACCCATATTGAAGAAGCAGCCGTTCGAGATGGTGTTTTTGTAGTTGTATCCACCATTGAAGGAGAAGATTTGCCACTTCAGACCACCTCCGCAGGAAGTGGTATCCCAACGAGCCGCTTGAGTGTTGAAGACTGCTTGGGCCAAAGCAAGCCACTGTGGTTGATCTTCGGGAGGATTGGGGTAGTTGTTCTCCGCTGCAGAGAGAGCTGCCATTCCCCAGAATGCTTGATCATCGTTTCCTTCCGTTTTGGTCTGGTTCGGAGGCATGAAATCGTTGCCGGGACCGACTTGATGAAGTAGAGCCTGCGTGGTGATTGCGTTGTAAGTATCATCGCCCGTAAAGTACCAATAGTCTATCAGCGCTCCGAACATTGCTCCTGCTTCCCACCAGTAATATGGTGCTGGAAGATTTCCTGGGACATCTCCAGGTCTGTAGCCTGTGTAGTACGAGACCATTTCGTCTGCAACGATTTTGGCTGCTGACTTGATCGAATCTGTGCTTTGTACGTCGAGGCTGATTGCTTGGACATATTGTACGCCGAGCAGGAGCGATAAGGTTATTGATCCGATCGATCTTCGTATCGAGGGCTTCATTGCGTGCATGGGTGGATGAATTTATGAGATGAGGAGGCCTTGGGCCAGCCCTTGAATTCCTTCTCTCTGTCTATTACACAAGTCCTTCTGTTCTATAATGCTGTGTTGGTCGCCCTGGTTGATGCTCGTTGATAGGCTTTGTTTGATGGGGTCGTGGGGGCGATCGCTTAGGTTATCGTAGATCCGGTTTGTGGAGAGATGGCGGCGGGAGATGATGTAGTGGCGTAGGAATAGAGAGTGTCGTGGACTTGGGATTGAGCGAAGGACTGATGCAACGAATGACTGTAGCTACCGAATTGATTGAGGTGAAGTTCTGAAGAGAGGACAAACAAAGAAGCCAGACGGAGGGACACATGGACTGGTCTTGTCTTTGAATGCAGAAGTGGAATGTCGCTCGGCATGACCAGGGCTAACGTATCGCATCTGGCCAACGGATCTGGGCGGGAAAAAGGGCAACCAACAGCCCAAGACGCCCCAAGACTTGGTCTTGGTGACGACAGATGTCTCCTTGCCGAGCCTGCGCACCTGCAGCACCATACACTTTTACAAGCCTTGCTAGCGGGCCACCATCACCACGTGTGTCCGTTCCAAGTTATTGCTCTGAATTGTTGGTGATTTCTTATCAGCAGAGCTGCTATGGGATTCAACTGCTAGACACCTCGTTACCACCAACTCGACATAGTCTCGGAGCCAATGTGGTCGTGGTGATATGTTACACCTTCTGTCTTGCCTCCGTACGCCTCTCCCGCACAGAGCCTTATGCGCCCAGCCTTGCGCCCAGACGGTTCTCCGTGCAACCAGCTCCAACTCCGCGTCATCACTCCACTATCACCATCAGTCAAGAGCTTCACAAGATACTTGGCCCGAGGCGGGAAACAGTAGTGACAGTCAAGAGGTTCCGGTGCGCCTTCTTGTTTGATTGCGATCTTACAGCTACCTCCTGACTCGACCCCTTGCGTTATGCTGTGTATCCATCTAGCTGTTTCAGTGTCAGGAAAGTCTCACAAAAATAATAGGTCTGAAATTGTAATTCCCCTTCCGATCTTGGCCACCTGTGCTGATGAGCACACGAGAAGCGGTTGACTGCGGACTATTGAGTAATATTGTGACACGGTGGATATTCCTCTTGGTGTATCTGCACCGCCTCGCTTGGCACCAAGGTGTCTATTTGTTTCAAATCAGCGAAAACTAGGTATACAAGTCTCACGGTGACACTTTTCTTCGAATACAAGTCGACCTCTGCACTGTCCCCTACAAAAATCGTGGTTGATAACATCGACGTCCCCATCCTTCCAGAATAACAAACTGGCTGATAGGAGTTTGCGACGAGTCAGCCACGAACAGAGCATATCTTAACAGAGCATATCTTAACAGAGCATATCCTTACAGAGCATATCTGAATGGGCGGAGAATGTCGTCCTCGTCGATACTGCCACACCTCCCACAGGAAGTCATCCTTTCCCTCCCACGTTACTGATATTGGTAGTTTCATCGAGCAAAAGATGCAAAAACTTATTCCACCCTCCCAGGTTTCGAACGTTGATTGTTTCCAAGTGGTTCATCTGGGTTACGGTTAACGGATGGGAAGTTAAACTCTGCCACTCTTTCGAGGGTTGGGTTTTTTTGTGCTGTTTCTCTACGAGTACAACCCTTCTCCCAAAGCGCCCATTAACTATGAAACCACCAACACCATTGATGGCCAAGAAGCGGATGGCTTTGTCCAGATTGTTGGGAGAAAATTGAGGGCTTTGATATATGTGTGTTAGACCCACCGGGTGCGGCAGCGACGAGGCCTTTGATTCAATATGCCTCTGGAGGGCTCAAGAGGTGAGATGTTCACGAGGGCCTCCTCGCTGTTCGAGACCACGAAACAACGTTAGGGATAAGTGCGTGATCGTCACTTCTGGAGAGCAGTGCTTCTCTCTAGAGTCCCCGGCCAGTCTGTTTACCTGGAAGAGCATTCCATGGAAGGCTCCTCGGTCATCACGTCATCCTGAGAGACGATTGCCATTCAATAGATTCAGACGCGCTGGGATACAATCTGTTCCTGTGCCAGGCACAGTATTCGCAGCCCTTATTTTGTCGAAAGACTCCTGTAGATTGGCTGTGGAAGCGACATGAAACCACTCCTCTCCCGATCTGCATAACCAGCTTCGAGTATTCTCGTCCCTATCCGTCGTCTGCTCGTATAGCATCCCAGCAACTCGCTTCGCTCGCCCATGCTTCTCTACAGCCATCACAACTGAACCGTACTGTTCGTGTTGCCTACTTCCCCTCGGCCTTCAACAACTTCAAAATCTCGCTCTCCTTGTCGCCAATCACAGCCTGACCTCTCGTCCAGTCCACCAAGACCGGCCGTGTGAACGAGTTTCCATCCTCCTTGACCTTCCTCAACGCATCGCTCTGACTGGCAGCGCCCTTGACAAGCTCTCCTGCGACCCCGCCACCGAGGTACTCGAAGATGCTGTTGAGCTGGTCTGGCGTGGGCGGCGCCTCGGTGACTTCCAACTCGAAAGGATCTCGTGTGACGGTGTTGTTCTGCGCTGAATGGTCCGTCGCTTGGTCTTCCGTCGCAGTCTGCGCCGCCTGTGCGGAGGCTTGTTTGAGGAGATTCTGCACGCGGACCGATGCGGAAATGGAAGGTTTGTGGAAGAGGGTGAGTACGTCGAGGGTCTTGGACTGCTCGATCACTCCAGTCAGTCACTGTTCGAGCGAGACAAAAGACGCACCACACCACACCACACTGCGAGAGAGCCACGGGAGGGCGGTGTCCCACGGAGGCAGCTTGATCTGATTGTACTTTGCACTTACCATGCGAAACATATTGGATACCCAGCCTTTACTAGGCTTTGGCTGCCACATACGGATGAGATGAAGGAGGCTCAAGGTAATGTCGATCTTTTAGTCCTTGATACCGACTTTGGGTCTATCAGGAGTCAGCCAGGAGTAAATGGCAGCTCCGCGACCTGCAGCTCCAACTGGGTCTCTCTGAACGACGTCATCCGACGACCTCCGCTACGCCTAAACCACCAAATATGCAAGTCTTCTCCGCCTTTTCAGGTCTCTACTGCATAGTTCTTTTTCAGATGCTACGCTGATACAGTCACTCGACGATGCGTGGTCACAGTATATCAGAAGCGCTGGTGACATGACACTATCGATCCCTTGTTATTTCGGTTATATATTTTCTGCATTTCCTCAGTGTCATTAAACATCCATCTTTCGCATCTACCACATCGAAATTGTTCCGGCCAAACATATTTCCAGCCCACCAAATCTCTGTGTCAGCATGTCAGTCCACTCGTGCCTAACCGAACAATGACCTCAAACAAACCAGCCAGGAGATCAATTGGCCTCCTCGATCTCCCGCCCGAAGTTCGCCATCAGATATACAGACATCTATTCTGTAACCGAGCATGGCCTATCCCATTGGGATCCGGAACCTTGGCGCCCTTGCAGTTACAGGAAAAGAACGACCTGCTAGAGCCAACCTTCCATACGGCGCTTTTTCGTGTGTGCAAGGCCATATCAACCGATGCACTCCGCTTCGCATATGGCGCAAACAGCTTTCAGCTTCCCGCCGATCTGACCAGCTTCTGCCATCTTGGCTTGACAGCGCTGGCGTCGATTCGAACGCTGACCGTCTACAACAACTGCTGGCTAGTCGGTAGAGAATCGAGCACCGTCTGGGAGATCCTTAATTATAAATGCTCCGCTCTAGAGCTGCTCGTTGTCCAGCCCTCAACGCACCTGCTGTGGCAAGCCATCCCACACATGAAGGAGTATGTCGCTTCCTTTGACAATGCTCACGATCCATCATCAAGACCGAAACTGGTCTTTGACCTATACATCTTCGACCGGCATTTCTCATTCGATCTTCCAGAACGCGAGTATCGCAGAGCTCTGCAGGAATTGAAAGGTGTTTCTGGAAGCAACAGTACTAGGCAGGGATTCATGACGGTCGGCCAGATGGTCTCACTTTTGCCAAAGCACGTAAAACGGATCGACTTTGTGCTAGACGTCAGTGCAGGAGGCATCCGTGCCCTGGAAGAGGTCCTGCAAGGATCATCTGATCTTCCGCTTGTGAAAGTGAAGTTGCCTTCTCCTGGTAACAGCTATCGATTGGGTTCTCGGGCTCGGGTTTGTTATGTTTGGGACGAAAACAGGAAGAAGTAGTTAACGAGAAACTTTGTGCAGGGAGCTTTTTGCAGCAGCCGACCGCACTGTTGGGAACGACTCTTAGGAATGACAAGCAATGGCAGGAGACGAAATGACATCGTTGCAGTGGGATCTCTGTTTGCGTGTAATCAGCAAGGCATGAGGTGATGAACTTTGATCGAAACCTTTATTGTCCTCGTTGCGGATGTGGTCGACAAGGCTGAGCCATTAGTGCTCGTCGACCGCATCCGCAATGAGGGATACAGGTCTAAAATGTCAGACTCCCGAGATGAAATTCGACCTAGGCCCCGCGGAACTTGAAAGTAATGGTGGAAGTTGGGCCGCCAGGAATCAAAAAGGCCTTCGTCACAAAGATCCGTTCCAAGTAGCCATGTCGAGCAGATCGATTATGCTTGAGTCGACGTCTGGCAAGTGGATTTACAGGCCGAAATTGCAGCATCCTTGCCATGGATGCATGAAAAGATTGACCTCATCCGGATGGCGAAGCCCCGAGACACCGGCCAACGGCAGACACCACACCTCTCGCGGAAGCCCTGCAACAACAGGAAGAAGCGTCAAACACCATAAGGCTGAAAAAGGTATTTCACGCAGGCGCTCGATGTGGCTGTCGCGTTGACGCAGCCGGCAATTCCCCAGCCGCAAAATGGTTCCCGTGGTGGCGTTATGCCAGAAAGGGGTCAGTGCCATTCAATGGCGGTAAGCAGAATGAGCCTCGACCGTGCATGGGGTTCTTGCTGGCCCCTGGGGGTCAGTGACGGGACAGCCACCTCTAGGCCCCTGTTTGTTGAAAACAATGGTACTGTATCTGAGTGGTGCCGATGTTTTGCACTCGACTGACTTCAGTGACCATGTCAACAGCAATGTTGACCTATCTACTTATTCAAAAGTGTCAATTCCTTGAACAGTTGATCCTTATTGGACTGTTTCGTCGAAGAGCCTTGGGGAGGTTTCTGAGTCACCGGTCCGGGTTGGTCAGAGTCCGACCGACTGGAAACTTGCACCCATGCTTCGGGATCGTGACAGCCACCGGTCCGCCTAGAATTGCAAGAGGCTGACTCTTGGCGGGGCTGCCTATGTGTAACCTGCCTGCTGAAAACAGCTCTCTGGCTGGAGACGATCTGCAATTCGTACTGAAAAAACTCCGTCCGATGCAGGTCTCCGAAACATTGCTGTTGAGTGGTGTTATCAATAACCTTTCTGGAGGGACGTATAGAGAGCCGAGATTGCACGCCAACCCGGAAAAGGATGAATGTTCAGAGACAGTAAAATCCGACTATTGTGCCGATCCAGTTGAGCCTCAGAAACATCATCCAATAGTGGTCATGGAACAAGCATCCAATCTCTGCTGACGGGATTCGAGACTGCAATACTCCGTAATGATGTCGAGGATACCAACCTGCAGTCAAAGGCAACAAGAAGTCAATATTGAGACCAACCGTATCGACGACTTTGCTCTTCGTGTTTCGAGGTGAGTCTGGTCTGTAGCACACGCTTTAATTTCCGGGATAGCAATGAATACGGGGTCTAGCCTCGTGCAGAAGACAGGATCACCCTCGCCTGTATAGTGAACAGTTGAGTTGGTGGCTTTCAATACAGCTGCCATGCTTCACAACGTCGCGAGAAAAGGCCCGGTCCACCTAGACCTACCAGGAGTACCGGCAATGGTGCACTTTGACTTTCAGCCCGACCGACCCCGGCAAGCGGATGGCCCCATCAACAAGCCGCAGACGCGATCTGCAGGGGCAGCTTGGGTGATACTCGTTCCAGGATAGCGGTTCGGTTACGGGGCGTGGCTATTGGTTTCCAAAACCTGTCAACCCTTTCGTGCGTTTTTACAGAGCCCATCGGTGCCGCGTGACAAGGCCTGGGGTGAAATTGCGTCCAGTAAGCAGTTTGACGTAAAGTGCTTACAGAGGTGCATGGACCAGCGAATCGCATGGATCAGCTGGCCACGAGACTCCCAGATGATCGAGACACCTTGAAGTCCTTGTAACGCCTACCAAAAAGAGTCAAGCAGACAATTTAAACGCACCACTGTGAGTGAGAGAACTCTGGGCGGAGGTATTGCTGCTGACTCTAGCCCGGTCAGCAGTAAGTTGTATTCTGGAATTGTAGGAAGGGATAGAATAGTCAATGCAAACATGGTTCGTGGTCGACACTGAACATTTGCCGCATCCCACCTCCTTCCCCTCGCGTGGTAGCCATGGTCGCCGTAGGAGATCGATCTCGTGATGTGTGGCGGTTATAGCAGAAAAAGAGGCTGGCTGAACGCCCAGGAGTAGCAGAGGCCTAGGTCTGGTGGAGTCTGATTGGAGACGATTGATCAACCGGCGGCAGGTTCCAGCCGGGATCAGTTGAACAGGGCACGAAAGGGACAAGCAAACGCCCAAGAAGTGTGGAGGTGGTCGTGGTGATCGGACACATCTCAGGAGGCGTCGGGCAAATGACGGTGGCAGCCACATGGCTCTGGAGATTGGGCTTGATCCGCCAAAAAGTCTCACCTCGTTAAAGCCGACACCGTCGAATGAAACCCGCCGAAAATGAGCGAGAGGAGACGTTAACCAAGGTTCACCAAGGCAGTGGAGTTTGTGAAGAAGGCCAGAACGAAAGAGGTAAACAGTTTGGCGCGAGATGCACCAAAAATCAGAACAAGAGGACGCACTGACCTCAGAGTCCGTGCACTTGTTTGGCGAAGCTCAAGGCTTGTCCCGCTTTTCGTGCTTTTCGTGATGTCTTCTCTTGGGGACTCAGGACCTGCCTTATGGGACCAAGTCCCGTAGACGATAACGGGGCAGAAATACCTGGGTTCGTATCGATCTTGAAGCAATTTGTAGCGAACATGGAAGGCCGAGTCTAAAGGGTTTGGCAGTATGACAAGCTGAAACCGACAGTATTGTGTCGCATGACGGGTCTAACACTCATGGTAGAGAAGGAAAGGCCAGGACTGTACAATTCATTATCGCTTTTCCACAGCACGGGTATGATATCCTGGCACGATCATTGAGGCAGAAGATGGGACTTCGGATCGTGGCAAGAAATGACAGATGAACAAGGCCATGAGCACGGTTTCGAGGGAGGATCCACGGCGTTGGTAGGCGACGATCTCCTTGAAATCAAAATTGTGTCAACCCACGCTGTGTGTACTTTGTGAGACTCGAGAACCGTTTCTACTGATGCAGAGCCGTGAGAGCCCTCAGCCCAGGCGCCGGGGCCCGCAACAGGCTTGAATTATAGTTGTTGACCAAGGATGAAGAGCGGAGAGGATCGGACCAAGCTGAATGGGATCAGTGTTCTTGGGCCTCGCGTAGCTAACAATATTCAATCTTGGTGTCTGCAAGCATCAGCAAAGTCTCCACTTAGGTGCTTGTAGCTGCAGGTCACTCACGCCGTCTTTGGATCTCAAGCTACATTCGGAGTACCACAGTACATCATGGAGATTTAGTATGTGAAGGTGAGGTACCCCCGTAGAGCATAGAGACGAGAAATTGGATGGTGGCCATGATCGCGACTTCGACTAGGACCAGGATCTTTTCGGACGGTCATGCTCGTACCGTGGGACCGGGGGGCCGCTTAGGAGTAGATATTCATGGCCAGGTGGACACCTGGTTATGGGTAGCATGGGGATGTAGCACGGACGAACCGAAGGTTTGTGTGTATTATTCTGAAGGATGAATCTCTGGGAGGGTGCAGATGGTAGCTGAGAGAGATAGATGCATTGTCTGGATGAAGGCGCAAGAGCAGGAGCAAGAACAATGCGGCGCGCACTGTTGTCTCTGCCTGCGCGCTGCAAACTGCGCCCTCTTTCCCTCAATGAAAAAAGGGTCATCTCTTAACTACATAGGTGCTGTACCCGTACACTACAATTCTATAGTACAAGTACAACCACCACCACCTTCTTCAGTCTCTTGCACACCTCGATTTTTGATGACATGTATCATGCTCAAACCTGAACCACCTAACTACAGCGTCGCCGCTCGCGCACCTCCTCTCACCCATCCATCGATTAATCCGGCCACTACTTCGTCTAGTCCCTCGTCGCTTGCCCCCTCCAAACGAAACCTACGCTCCGACCAGACCTGACATGTCCCAGACGGACAAGTCGTGCCGGGAACCTCATCAACCCACGAATCCCAGCGCTTGCGTGACCGGTTTTCTCACTGGGCACTCCACTTATCCGTGTTTCCTTCGACTTTCATCACAAATGGTCGTGTCTACTTCCAGCATGGTCTGGCACTCAGTATCCAATTTCTCGCGATCCCTTTCTGGGACCAAAGTTTTGAGCTGCAGCGCTCGGTCCAGACTGCGTTGTTCGACGAGCAACTGAGACCACTTCTGGGACTGGGACCCATGTCAAAAGGAAAAAGCACATCTGCTGGAGTTTCCACTGCTGGCAGGGTCCCCCTGGCCTGTCTAGTTTTTTCCGTGTCGCCGCCCACCATCTTTACCTTTCTTCCCAATGCACCCAAGAACTAGTCTCATGCTCCTCCTCGCATTCCTATCGCGTCCACCCTGGCCAACTAGCCATTCAGCTTGCCGCCATCCCCATCACATCCTAGCACCTCCTGTCTCCGCCGTCCCTTTTCGACAAGCTCTCCTCTTTTTAGGCGACGCAGAAGACAGAACCCATCCAGCCAGCCGACCGCCAGCTGCCCGCTAAGAACGCCATGTGCTGCCCCGACCAAAAGGATCGCATGTCTTCCAACCTTTGAAAGCGTCTTGGGACTGCTCTTTTTCACAGCCTGATCATCAACTCCCTCCTGATTCTCCCATCGCCCTCGAGTCGCGCATGGGGCAGGAAGCATATTAACAAGACGACTTCGCCCCTGCATCTCACCTCAACCCAATCTCTGAAAGACCGATTGCTAGCTGCCGAATCTCACATCGTGCCGATCTCTTTCCCATACTGTACGGCCGCACGGTGTACACCAAGACGAGTTCGGCTTTCCAAGCCCCACGGCCACTGAGAGCAAGCCGCCAAAGCCAGCCGCCCAGGCCAGAAAACCCGATCTTCACTCATCGTCGCTCCACCATAGACACCTCCCTGTCAGTCAACCTGTACATATAACATTTCGCGACAATTGTTCTCAGAGCACCGCTTGTCACCACTGAAGCAGCGTTTATCTTTCCTTGCGATCGGTACGCCCACCATAAGATACTTCTCCGACATACTACCCTGATAAGGAGGCTTCTCAATACACAACTCAACATCAACGAACTCGACAGAGTTCGCTGTGTCCGCGACATTGCCAGAAAAGAGCGCGACAAGAAAACCTTGCGCTCCGCGATCGCCGAGTGTCTCAACAGCTGTTCGACCAAGGACTTTCAGCTTGAACTTTTGACTCCAACTTCAAAGAGCGACTCCGCGCCAAACCCTCTATAACAGCCAGGCTGGCGTCCGTCGCAATTCCCCTGCCAATGGGGACATCCTTCGATGCACTCAGTGCACCTTCAAGCCTCACGCAGCGCAGACAGGCGGCCTCGAATCTTCCCGCGTTTGAGCTGCCACCTCCAACCGCGTTACATTTCGCTCCGTTGACATCTCAGAAATTTCCTCCTCTTTCGGGCATCCATACCTCTCACGCCGGCCCAGCACCTGTCAGTGTAGGACAACTCCTGACACCACCGTCGAATTCGGCCTCAGAAGCAAGCGCAAGCTCATCTGCCATCCCAAGCGGCACAACCCCCAATGGTGCGGCGGTTCCTGTACTCCCATATACACCGAGCTTTTTCCACAACACTGGTACCACCCCGACTGGATATCATACCGGCTACACTCCGCAGCCATGGCAGCACGGAAATTCTCTCATTTCTGCGCGATCAATGTTTTCTCCCCTACCTGGCCAGTCGTTGAGACCGAGCTCGAATTCGCCCGCTCCAGGAGAAGGCTCAGCACTCCCTCCTCCGCCTTACGATCCCCACGGACATTACGGAGGACCTCTATCTCTGTCCTCTCCCTCCAATAACAGCAATCCGGGTCCTCCTCAGCACCTAATGTCGTCGCTGCAAAATGGCTCTCGCCCTTCGAGCCAGCAGTCTCCTATAACCCCTAATGATAGCAAGCCGGCACTATTCAGCAGCATGACCAGTGCCGGCCAGCATCCGTCGGCCTATGCATATGCAGCTCCCACACCTGTGTCTCATGGTCCTCATCAGCCCCTGTCCGCGCCGCGGATTTCTCCCACCCTTCATCAGGGACCACTTCCTCCCCACTCGCAACCCCCATTTATGAGGCCACCTCCCCCTTCATATTCTCTCCCGGGTATGCCTGGTCCAATTATGTCCAATGTCCATAGCCCTGGGACCCAAATGGCCATGGTGGGCAGCATGCAAGCCAACCTGTTACCCATGGCGTTCAATAGCGGCTATGCTGCCAACCCGCATGGGATGTACGGTCACCCACGGACAAATACACCACAGCAGTCCCCCGCGCATGATCGACCGTTCAAATGTGACCAGTGCCCTCAGAGCTTCAACCGTAACCATGACTTGAAGCGGCACAAGAGGATCCATCTTGCCGTGAAGCCATTCCCCTGCAATCACTGCGACAAGAGCTTCTCGCGCAAAGACGCACTCAAAGTGAGCTAGCTCCGACTCTTTTCACATGCACAAGGCTGACCAGTGTTTCACAGAGACATATTCTCGTTAAGGGCTGCGGCAGTGGTTCTTCAGCCGACGCGGGGAGTAAAGAGGAGGGAGCGAAATCGGAATCTGGAAGCGACGGTATGCATGGAAGCCCGACAGCGGCAACAGCAGTTTAATGGACGGGGGCCTAAGGCCCCTACTGCCCCTCTAATTCTCACTGAGTGACTCACTCAGTGACTGTACAATATTTGCATGAGCCGAACTGTGCAGAAGGTCGGTTCGCCGGTGGTTCCTGCCTGGTTCTTATGATGTGATGGATAGCAGACACCAGGGATCGTTCGGAGTCTTGATTGATGGATTTCCTTTTTCCTGAGTCGTTATTATACCCAGAGATTCATGGATGGTTTGCAGACTATCTGCGGCAGGGCGCTTGGATGCGCAACGGCAGACTCAGTGGCCGAGTATGAGCGGACTTACAGATATTTCTAACGGCACCTAAACAGAGGTTAATGACGGAAGGCATTTCTGCTTGAACAGGCATTGGTTTTTGTGCGACGCAGGCTGCAGGTTTAAAGGACCCCCAGTCCGGTTCAGCCCCCGTTATTGGTTCCAAATGCCCATGACCGCCGTTCTGGGAAGACCCCCTTCAGCATGCAGATAAAAGTGACAGGAAAGTTGATCTGTTGATGTCGTCAAGATCCCTGTAGCCATGCGCATGTGGCTTGGATGGCTTGCAAGATCGTGCAGCCTCACCCCGGAAGGCGCCGACAGATCGAGGGGCCTTGCAGATCACAGCTGGAAATGGAAAGAGAAATGCGTCCATCACGTGCATATCACTCACGTGTAAAGCGGGCCTGGTTGAGCCACCATCTTCCCCTTGGCAGGCTTTGATTGCAGTGATTATCCGCACAATCCACATCCGACGTTTACCTAGTACGAGTACTTGCGCCCTATGTAACGTTACTTCCAGTACATTTTTGCTACGCCAAACCAACAAATTCGAGAGTTGCTTGCTAGCGCGATCGCGTCGATCCATACTGGAGCTTCAGGAGTTCGGGGATGTGGTTTGGCGGAAGCCGTTAAATATCTACCAGAGTCAAGACCATCTAACCATCCACAGGGTATGACGGCTAAGAAACGAGTAAATCTCCTCATTAGCAAGCAACCAACTAACAATCATCAGTTCCTTAGCATGGAAAAGATATGATGCTCCAAGGCATCAAGTTCACCAATATCCATTAACGAAAATCAAAGATTCTGTGTTTACTTCCCATAAATGTGACCAGCGACTACAGCCATGTGAGCGGACATATCAAGCAACCGGGAGGTTTCAGCAATGCCTACCTAGGTATGCTTTCTGACCAGAACAGAATCGTGTCCGCTCGTGAGCCTGTGCAGCGATTACAGCACTTGCTGCATCCACGGCCTCGTGTTTGTCGACGTAGTGTTTACTGAGGATCCCGATGACGCCATTGATTCACAATTTATACGAGCATGGTTTTGCTGAGTGCCTCCCTCAATCTCCCCAGCTGTCCATGCGAGGTAGTCCTTAGCCAGGTAGGTTATGTCATGATTGCATGTCCCACCAGTATTTCAGGACCATCTTGGCATTGCAGCTGTCAAACTCCAATACCTCTGCAATTACTTGTACGTTCTCGTGCAGGGAAGGAGTATGGACGAGCACATGGAAGGACTCAGAGTTCGGTCTGCCTGGTTATGTTGACCTTAGGCCTTCGGCCGTATGGCGCTCCCCTACTACCCCAATCAGTCGCACAGTACCGATCTGGAGGTAAGCCACAGCGTCTCTGCGTGGCGTCTCATTAGATCGATCGACCACTCCATGTCGAAGACCCACAATGGGCCGTGGAGATCGGCATCTTCAGATCTGTCTCTGTTGTCATCCTTTCGACAGATCGGAAGACTTCCTTTCTACGGCAGGATGCCTGCATGCCACGTTTTTCAATTTACAAGCCACCAAACTATCCTGTCCGCCAATCATTACGCCTGTAAGTGTTACGAGTAGACCTGCGTGTTCAGGTTCACGGACCCAACTGTCGGTGCTGTACGAGCCACTTCCCAGATCGCCCGTGCAACTCTTTTCCAGGATCTTGGTGATCTCATTCCGGGATCTTCAAACTCAATATCCCTGATCCGTTGACCTCATCGAAGGATGTCTTGGGTTGTAACAGGCCAGGCAGATACTGTGATTGGCCAAGGTCGTGCTGCATGCAGAAGTAACCGACAGGATCCTTCCCTCGCCTTCCACTAGGGCGGTACCTGACACTGTCGTCGCAAGGTTGGATCGAATAGGTCTTTCCGAACAGTCTCTTGCTTTCTGCACGAGCTTAATGTACTCATCCCAATGACCTGTGGGCAAATGCCGTCGATTCCCTCGTTGCCTCTGACGGTCCCATAAGTACTGTCAGACGTGTCTAGTCCATCTCTTGCGTCCTGCTTTAATTTCATTGATTGTTGCTTTTGTCTCAAGTTAAAGACAGGTTTGGCTCTTGATAATACAGTGTTGATTCGGACCACGAACCAACATATTAGGGGCTTTGACTTTTGGTCCTGATTATAACGCCAGCAAACTCATCTCGTCGCACCGCACCCACGGTCCGCTGTGTGGAAATCGTTGCATGAGTGGGCAGGCTGACTTGGATTTGTGAATCTGGCCCCTTTATCACGGTCATTCAACTCGTGGCAATGACCTCCCAGAGGATCCTGATATACTTGCTCCGGCGGGACTTGCGGCTCTCCGATCATCCAATCTTTCACGAACTACACAAGCTATCACAGCAGCCACAAAAGCCTTTCACGCATGTGCTGCCACTATATGTCTTTGCTGCTCAACAAGTTGAAGTCTCTGGGTTTCTCTGTGATTCGGAGGCCAAGTCGCCTTTTCCAGAAGCCCGCTCAGAAGTGGGCAAATTCTGGAGATGCGGTCCTCATCGAGCCAAGTTTCTCGCAGAAGCTGTCTGGGATCTCAAGACTGAACTTGAGAAATTGGGTAGTGGACTTCACATTCGGGTAGGTATGCTAGGGCAAGTTGTCAAGGATATTCTCGAGCAAGTCAAGCAAGAGAGCGAAGAAATCTCGGTGGCGGCGATCTGGATGACGGAGGAGGAAGGTGTAGAGGAGAAGAGGGAGGAAAGAAATGTCCGCAAAGAGGCCGAGAAGGCTGGCGTCGACTTCAAGCTGTGGCTGGACGAGAAATACTTCATTGATGAGTACGAATGGGCCCGGAGAGACTTTGACCACCTATATTGACCTCTCTGCAGTCGCGACTTGCCCTTTGATAAGCCAACAGACCTCCCAGACGTCTTCACAAGCTATCGAAAATCAGTAGAGCCCCTGCGAGATGCACCAAGAAAGACCGTGCCTCGGCCATCATCATTACCATCCATGCCGCCATCCGTACCTTCACAGCCTTTGCCATTCTCAACACCCGACACGTACGAGGGACTCGAGTCCGCTTTGATGAAACCACTCTTGGAAAAACCGCCACTCGCCAATCCTACTTCATTCCCATCCCATGTGGAGTCGGCACATCCATTCCATGGTGGCTGTACTGCAGGCTTGAAACGGATCCAGTCGCTGATCGGCTCCGGGGCGATGACAAACTACAAGAACACTCGGAATGGTCTGCTGGGAACCGACTTTTCAACCAAACTCTCCGCTTGGTTGGCGCTTGGTTGCATCACCGCCCGGCAAGTCCACGCGCAGTTGGTGGACTTTGAGGATGGTCGGGACAGCCAGTACAAGGCGACTGAAGGGTATGGCAAGGGAGAGAACAAAGGTACCGCGGCAGTCCGATTCGAGCTGCTATGGCGAGACTATATGCGGTTATGTACGCGGAAATTTGGCCCACGGCTGTTCCGGCTGGAAGGCTTTAGGAACGATTGTTCATATCCCTGGAAAACCCCTGGAACCAAGTCTGGCGGTCCAGAGGTCGACTCGATGATTGAGCGTTTCCTCCGCGGTACCACGGGAACGAGCTTGATCGATGCAAGCCAGCGAGAACTGTTCCTCACGGGATACACGAGCAACCGCGCACGACAGAACGTGGCTAGCTTCCTGGCCAAGCATCTGGGTATCAATTGGAAATTGGGCGCCGAATGGTACGAGTGTATGCTCACGGATTATGATGTTAGTTCGAATTGGGGTAATTGGCAATATGTCGCTGGCGTGGGCAATGATCCAAGAGGCGAGGCGCGGGTGTTCAATCCAGTCAAGCAGGCTTGTGATTATGATCCGCAAGGCGAGTATTGTAAGGCTTGGGTGGAGGAACTGCGTGCGCTCGAAGAGCCCCAGGAGATTTTCCAGCCGTGGAAAGTCAGTACGGAGAAGAGAAGGAAACTCGAGCTTGAAGGGCTGGATATGGTTGAGCGGCCGTTGAAGAAGATTGATTTCATAGTCGGTGGACGGGGAAGGAGTGGTCACGTTGGTGGTGGTAGATACGGAGGCAGTAGTCGACCGAAAGCTAACGGTGGAGGTGCAGGGGGTAAAGGACGTGGTGGTGGCAATTTCAGTGCGAGAGGATGCTTCCGAGGACGAGGGAGGAACAATGGAGCAGGTAGAGGCAATGGTCAATATGGCCGACAAGGGATGATGGATAAGGCTGGAGGAGATGATATTGGGATCGAGACGCATGGATAGGGATTTTGGCGAGATTGTGCTTACAGAGCTGTCTAGGGGCAAGTTATCATTCTTTTACGGTTCGGGACAAAGCGGTTATACAGGCGTCGAACAGCTATCAATCTGCACTTTTGATAAAAATGTCCTGTTGGGACGTATCCATGCCTCAGGCAAGGCTGGGCAGCCTACGAATAACCATATCGACATGTGCAAGTGTGCTTGAAGGCGAAACTACCGGTCTGGACGGGAACATCTGTATATTGAACTGCAAAGCCGGCATCCATTTTCATTCCCACTCTGGATAACGGCTGTGCGTCTGCCGTGTATCACTTCCCTTTCGCCTGTTACGGCGATGGAGTAATTATCTATCCGCAGAGTTGTCGGATGGTGGGGGTTGCGGACCGATGTACGCAATGCGCTGACACGTCGGAGGTATGCCGTGGTCTATTCAAGACTGGTGGGAAGTGCCTGGGGCGATCCGTGAGACTATCACAACGACTTTAGTAAGCTTGGACTAATTACAGAGGAAGAAGGATCTGGGGGTCACCGTCCTACCACGCCAGAATTGGTGTCACCGGGAAAATGAGGTGTTCCTACGCCAAGATGAAGCCGACTCGCTAAGTGCAGGGTGTTCAAGGGAGAAATGCCTCGGCATGGAAGCAAGGCAGGTAGCAAAATCATTTTGTCTGACAAGGCCGGGCAGATCCAGGGGATGGCACAGATGGCACAGTATGAGCCTCGAAATCTTTGTCTTCAGGCGGAGGTGTGTCAGTAATCATGCCGTCAGACAAGACCTCGCAAGTTCTCTCCTTAAACGGCCCTGGTCACGTTGGAACATGCGCCCACCACGTTGTGTTCGTATCCTCGTAATTTCTAAACAACCGTTTCCCGGATGCGGGTGTATCAAATCTAGACGTCGGATATTTGCCTGCTTTAGGCTGCATGCTGCCGATGCGAAGCTCCTGGAACCAATGGTGACGAAGGAGAAGCAGCCCGCACCAATACCACCGCCACCTCCGCGGCCTTGATTGGCGCGAGCTCTCAGCACCTTCGCTCCTGTGTTGTACGAGCAATTCATAACAACATCATTATTCGAGAGCGCTGCATAACCAGAGAACGTCCTGTTACTCCACCTCCATCTGTCCCTCATTCCGATCATTATTATTGTCGCCATCATCTGTCCTCACCCATATTATTAACGTCTTTGTTTGACTGGAGCCTGGAAGCTAGGGATTTTTCACCTCGGATCGCTGACCTTCGTCGGTCGGCCATATCGTTGCTCCGCTGCGGCTGAATCCTTGAGCTTGAATACTACTTAGCTAGGCATACGACAAAAGGACCTTCGAAGGACTGCCGGTTTTTCCTAGTTACTGGAACCCTACAGCCACTCCGTCCGGTCATCTCATTTGACTACTGGGCGTTGTCAATTTTGTTCCTCTCGATATTCACTTCACCTTTGCAGTCGATTCAGCCATGGCAGTATTATCCATCCCAACCATCCCAATACCGGTGGTCCTCATCGCCCTTGTGGCTTTGTTCGCTCTACACAGAATCTCCTATGAGCTGACAACTGGCGCCCGGCGCCGCCGCATGATCCGAGAAAATGGCTGCGAACCAGTATCTCAATACCCCCACAAGGGCCTTGGTGGCAAGCTACTCGGATTGGATGTCATCAAGGACATGATCCAGTCGGGCAAGGAAGGCCGCATGCATGAAGCGACTCGGGCGAGGAACTTTTCGAATGGAAGGAAGACTGTCAAAGTCAAGGTTCTAAGAACCAGAAGTAAGCATGTCGAACGTGAGTTTCTGGGAGATGGTCGTTGCTGATATGTAACAGTCATTTCCACAATCGAGCCGGAGAACATCAAAACGATCTTGTCGACAAGGTTCCCAGATTACTCCCTGGGGGCACGACGGATAGGAGTTTTTGTTCCCATTTTCGGACATGGTATTTTCTCGACCGATGGTGCTGCTTGGGAGAGATCGCGAGCTATGGTTCGGCCGAACTTCACACGTCAACAGGTTGCCGACCTCGACATGTTTGAGGCACACGTGTCTCATCTGATTGATGCAATTCCGCGTGACGGGTCGACGATCGATTTGCAGGATTTGTTCTTTGGTTTGACTATGGATTCGGCTACAGAATTCCTGTTCGGGCAGTCTACTAACACGTTGGCACCCGGACTCGAGACCAAGTCGGCGAATGAATTCGTCAAGGCATTCGTATACGTCACTGAGAGTATGTCCACGCTTCGGCCAAAGAGTTGAGGTGCTTATGCTGATGATCTGCAGATGTATCGAAGAATTTCGCCTCTGGCGGGCTGACAAAATGGATTCCCGACAAGAAATGGACGAAGAGCGTCAAGATCATGCATGATTTTGCGGACGCCATCATTCGGGACGCGATGGAAGAAGTCAGGAGGGAGAAGAAAGACGGCACCCGTCGTTATGTGTTTTTGCACGAATTGCTCCACCAGACGCAAGATCCCTACGCTCTACGATCCGAACTGCTCAACATCCTTCTGGCGGGACGAGATACCACGGCAGGTCTGCTTTCCAACACATGGCATGTGCTGTCCAAACGAGGGGATATCTGGGAGAAGCTGAGAGCCGAAGTTGACGAGCTGGGCGGAGAACGACCGGACTACAGTAGGATCAAGGAGATGAAGTATCTGAAGTGGGTGCTGAACGAGTCACTGCGACTGATGCCCGTGGTTCCGGGGAACAGTCGGGAGGCCATCAGAGACACGATTCTCCCTGTTGGTGGTGGTCCAGAGGGCAGATCGCCTGTGCTTGTGAAGAAGGGCGAAATTGTGGGATACTCTCCATGGTCTATGCATAGACGAGAAGATTTCTATGGACCCGATGCCCTGGAATTCAAGCCGGAGAGATGGGAGACGCTGAGACCGGGCTGGGAGTATCTGCCTTTCAACGGCGGTCCTCGGATCTGTGTTGGCCAACAGTATGCTCTGTTGGAGGCAAGCTATGCGACCATCAGATTGATACAGACCTTCCCCCACATTGAGAGCCGCGATGAGCGCGAATGGAGGGAATGGATGACCATCACTCTGGCTAGCGGCGTGGGCTGCAAGGTCGCCCTTTTTGAGAAGTGAGGTAGGGTTGTGAGTCTACTCTACCGATACCTGGAAGCTACAGAGCAGCCTTGTATTATTAGCAGGTTCTCTTGATGTCTTTTGTTTGGAAGGAGTCTTGGGAGCTTCTGCACGTAATGCATCGAACCTTTTTGCTGCTCAACTCAATCCACTATCAGCCAACCTTAGGAACCGTACCTACAATTGAGAGTATGGATACGCCTGTGTATCTGTGAGCATGTCGCTTCTCTTCCACGTTGCTATCCCAGGTCAAATCTCGTGGTCATGGCAAGCGTCTCGTACTCGTACTTTGAGGATAGTGATGCGTAAGATCGGGGAAGAGTCGAACCGAGAGGAAGAATGATCGACAGCATGATTGCGCCTGACCACGTTTGACAAGAAGAGCAGAAGACGTGTGAAAAGCAAGAAAGGATGCTCAAAGTGGGCTCGATGATGGCATCGGTGGGCACGAAGGACACAAAGGACAGCCCGCAGTCTGCCTCGTCAGCCTCATCTTTGCTTTCCCACTTCCCGCCTCGTGATTACAGCAATTCCGCCTATCCGCGGTTCATTAGCAGTGAAACCCATGTCTGAATCACGATCTGTATCAGCGCTCCGTTGTAACGATTGTTCTTTTCACTGTGCAAAACAAACCTACAGGTCTTCTCGCATCCAAGGTTGAGACGGAAATTCGGTTCAGTTCTCGGTTGGCAAAGATTGGTGGCTAGAGCACCTTTGAGGTACTGTACCATGCTGGTGGGAGAGACAAAGTCGGGGTCGCGGGGGACGAGAATGCCTAGTGTGCCTGAACCGTGTGCCGGGGCTCATTAGGGCACGGCCAGGCTCTCTTTAGTATAGCGAACGGTGTCGTAAGAGCCTAGTGGGCCCGTGTGAGCCCTAAAGATGCCCTAAAAAGTCGCCATGGTCCGGTTCCGGCTTGGATTTCGCTCATCGTCCATCATGGCCCCCGTTGTGTTTCCTTCCATTCGCTCCCGCCTTTCGCACCATTCTGCGATGCCACTCAAGAAACACCCGCAGCTGAAAGGTCAAAGAACCCTGGAGTCGAATTGGGAGTCACAAGAGAGTCAGGCCCATGGCTCTCTCGGTTAGAGCCTATCAAGTCCACGCAGAGACCGTGGCGAGCTACTCTACTCTACGAAGACCTTCACATCGGACAATTCCCATACAATCAAATCTTACCTGCAGTGTCCCTGCCTTTGCAAATTCACTGAATCCTCCCATCCTTCTGCTCCGGCCCCTTTTACGATCCGCGCTGTTGATGGCGCTGTACCTTCCTTTGCGGTATCTCTACATTGAATCATCTCCCTACGAGGATCTTGTCTATTGAGGTCCTCCGCTACCACGTTTGGTCGCATCTGCGGTGTCGCGGTCCTCCCACCTCTTCTCGCTCGAGTCTCCAGGTGAACATTACCGTCAAGCCGATAACTGCGACCTTAGTCGACGAAAGTCTTGCAGAAATCCCAAGAGCTGGTCCATGCATATCATATATCGGTTAACCTCGATTCTGCATAATACTCGAGCCCCAGAAACTCACTCCGCAGTCGGGTGTTTCCTTGCAGTACTATCGATGTGTGCCGGAGGGCAGCATGACAGCCTTGCGCACTGACGCCCTTTGATACCAATATCTTCCTCAATGGCCCCACCACTCTCAATACATACTCGGCGCGCCGACGCTGAAGATGGCAGCTGGCGCTCGTTTGCTTCGGACGAAGACTTTATCCTCGAGTCCTGGAGTCAAGGATTCATGGTCGGAGCTCTCCTGATTATGGCATGTATAACCATAGCCAACATGAGGAGGGGAGTCCTTTTGCATAAATTGATTCTGGTCGAGGTAAGAAGCCGCAATGCGAGTGTATACATACAGTGCTAACAAGTGCACCAGCAACTGGCGGCCTTGTCTCATGGTGAGGATGCGGCTGGCTACTCGGTACTTGCAATGCACTGATTCACTTTAGGAACTTTCTGCTTCATGTCCTTCAATGGCTATGGGTGGTATCTGTCCTCGACAGCTGCTCTGCTATATTGCTCCTGGATCGTTCACAATGTCGTCGCCTGGATGAAAATCCGACCGTTCTTCACCGATTCAAGGTCCATGTTCAAACCTTCGACCGGCAAATGGGTGCGAAGGATATATCTTGGGACGCTCGCCTGTTCAATACCGCCAATCATATTGCAAATCTTCGACAACTTTCGCTTTTTCAACAATATCAGTGACTTTTACACCACAGTCAGGCCATACGAGCCGCTGATGAGGTAAGATAAGGCACTCGAACAGACCGCAAGAACAATCTTCTGATAATCCATTCTTAGAGATCCGTGGTGGTGCTTCTCCTGCTTCACCCTCTTCCATGTCATTCGGAAATGTTATGGCACAGGCGTCTTCGAATTGATCAAACGAAGCCCACGTTTTGGCATTTTAATATGCGCCATCTGCTTGGCCATGATATTCACAGCTTTTGACATTGTGGCCAGCATTCACAATTTCATCGGCTCGACTGACGGGTGAGTCCTTCCATTTCGTTGTATTGGTCAATCGCTGAATCGTTCTAGCATCAATCCATTCTGGAAATTGAGTCTCGTGTTCAAATGTCTCACTGACACAATCATGCTGGACGACTTCAAGACCGAATTGAAGAGACTCGGCATCAAACGCATGCGACAAGACGAGATGAGACGACAGAGTTTCGCCCTTGTCGCCGATAACCTCGACTCTAAGACCGATGACGGCCATATGGAGTTCACCGATGTCTTGAACACGAGTCCTACTCAGTTCCAGACGATGCAGACTTTTGACGACAGCCCAAGTCGGGGTTCGACAGGGAGACTGAGGCAAGACTCAGTGGGCGAACCTCGAAAGCAGTCGAAGGAGTATCTTGGTAGGGCAGGGAAAAAGATAAGCCGTTTACCGGGACTCAAAGAATTTTCATTCAAGCCGAAACCCGGTAAGGGCCGTAGCAGGCTCGACGACGAAGAGAAACCAAATGAAAATGAGCATCCTCCACCGGCACCCGAACGACTGTCGCAAATGAGACAGAGTCTAGGAGTCCTGGATTATCATGCTCGCTGAGGGATTTGGGCAGCTAGCAACAAAGTAATGGGTAATGTGTCTATGAGTCTACGAGGTAATGTCTTGTACCAACACCAGTATTTTGCATCGCACACGCTTTTTATACCCTGGGAGGATATGGAAGTGCTTTTTTGGACAAAGGATCTTGCGAAAGGGGTTGTTCTGTAGAGTGAATGCATTATCGCTCCGGAGGGTTGACTGGCTGCTTTCTGGTTGCACTTACTTCTTGTTTTCTGCTGTATCTCGATGGAAGGCGGTTGCTCTCATGCCTGCCCGCTGTTGTCAGCATCCACCTTCCTATCAGACAACACCCAATGTATAGGCGAGCAGGCGCGGGTCAACAGCTCATGTCTTCTCCTGTGAGCCTTGATTTCTGGCCTGGCAACTGTGTCGCTCATTCATTCACTTCCCGTTCGATGGTCTCAACATTCATTTACTTGACACAACGTTGTATCGGGGTATATCCTTGAGTCTTCCCAAACCTTCCTTATCGGCACTCTTACCCTCGCCTTCCAGTGCCCTCGACCGCCAAAGACACTGCTCAGACTACAGGAAGACACGATCGTCCTGGACTGCTCAGCGTCGGTATTTGTACCACTCCCATCTCAACGCCACACCATACTCTCCAGCCCGATAACCGATCTCTGACGACTCAGACACATACCTTTTACGCGGTGCCCGCCCTCGGCCTCGACAGAATGAACACCCACGTCGAAGCCGGTCGTCGACAACTGCCAGTTCAACCGGACCTGGATAGAAAGGACATCAGCCTCGAGGCGATTCTGCGAGGATTGCCATTTCCAGAGCGGCCAGCGGTAAGATGTCAAACGTTACTATTGTTGTTGCTAGTTAGATCTCTGACGTACCCACACAGCGCCTACCAATGGGAGCATGTCCAAGCTACGGTGGCGATGGATTCAATGAAACAGAATTGGGCTGCCGACCTACATCGACACTATCAATCGAACCAACACAAGCTCCGACCAAAAAGAAACGGTCCCGAAATCCCCTTGCTGGGCTGGATCGGGAAGCCTTGTATGCCCTAGAATTGTTCTTGACTCCGTTGCTCGCAGTCATCATCTTTTGGATCGTCACGGAGGCGCTCCGACGATGTCTACGCCCGTGGGAAGGGATGATTGTGTTCGTTGTACTGTTTACGTACTGCCTTGCTGCGATATTCCAGTACGCCTTCCTACCATACGACATTCGCAGACATTGCGAAACCCGGAGGTTGATCAAAAGGTTGACAATGGGCTACTACTCTTCGCTTTTTGTGGGGGGCTTGTGGATTCTATTGGTATGGCTGACTCAACCGGCATTTCGTGAGGTCTACCCTGGGTGGGGATCAATCACTGGTCGTTGCAGTACTGTATTATCAGGATGATCATCAGATCGGTATGGACTTTCTCTATCCCTGACAGAAGCTGTTTATTGATAGTAGGATCATGGACGTCCGCAAGGGATCCAGGTAGCCGACAGTTAGGCCTATGATAGAGAAATCCATCTTTACCCTCGCAACATCTACTCGTTCGATCCATCTGATTTAGCACGTGTACACAAAGGCTGAATGCTGGCCCGCCAGAAAGGGCGACAATTGGTTTGCCAAGCAGGCTTTCTGTAAACCGGAGTCTGGACGCGTGGAACTGTCGGTTCGACATTCTTGCGTACCTAGATATATCTTAGTGAGCATCGCAGTCCAGGGAAGGCAACCACAGCATGATTGTCTTACCCACACTGCTTATGATTAGCCTCACTATCCTATGCTTGGATGTCTCCGGAGGGGAGGGATGGCAACGAGATCCTGGTGGTTCTAGTTCCAGTTCCCACTCCCATGCTCCCATGCTCCCGAGACGGTGGACAGCACGCACCCCTGGTCTGCTCCAGAATGGAGACAGCCAAAGAAGAAGGCGGTGACGAGAGTGAATACCCTTTCCGGCCTTACTCTGCTTTCCATGGTCTTAAAATACATTGACTGAACAGTCACTGTGGATGAAAGCCATGAGCTGCATATGCTCAGCTGCAGGCACTTGATCTCTCGCATTTTGGCGTCCCCTGCCACGTAGTCCTCACTCAGTAAGGCCACTGGAGAAAGATGGTATAGCTGCTCTCCTCGGCACCACACTCGCTCCGGATCTGCCTTGTCTTCTTCCGTTCAGCAGCATGACAAAACCCGTGGCATCTGAGCACCGTGAACGTCAAATACCTGTGCCAACATGCAACGTGTGTGAGCTCCCATCAGTCCCCAACTCCTTTCCACTGCTGTCCCGCAGTCAACAAACAGCGCCACCTTCGAGGCCACCCATGTCTGTTAGGTGTTGGTCACTCTTCGACTTCAGAAAAAGCTCGCTTTCGCTTTTTCATGTGTGCGATTTCGATCTGCTCGACGGCCTCCGGATCCTGATGACTGAGGTCTTGATTGGCGTTGAAGCTGTCCTCTTCGTCGTCTATCTCATCTTCTGCGATTTCCTCCCCACTTACATCGGAAACGAGGTCTCCGTCGGTCTCAGAAGTGTCCTCAAGTCCGTCGTTTGCGTCGAAACCTGCTTCAGAATCCCAATAACAATTCTTCTCTCCCTCGGCTCTTCTGATCGTATCGCTGCTGATGCTTGTCACATCCCATTCCGCTTCACAGAACTCAGACCCTGAGCTGGATTCTGGAGCTGAATGATGTCGTTGTAGTCGGACGGCAACCTGCTTTTGTCGTCGAAAGAAAGGTTGAACAGCACCCCTTTCGAGCAAGTGCAGGACTGACGCTCCTTCCAAGACCGTCCCGTAATCTGAGTCTCGAACATCCCTATGTAGTACGGCTTCCAGCCGTTCTTTCGATAGTGATACCGTGCAAGTTGCGCAACTGTTACTTCCTTCTCTCTTCGCAAGAGACGCGGCCCGAAATCATCGAACAATGTGATGTCGAGAGTTTCCAGCCTCAATTGGTCCTTGTGCCGTGTGAGAACCGAAGCGAGTGTCCTCAGTACCTCTGCGTCCGAGCTTCGAAGATCTGGACATCCATATTTGGCGAACAAGCCTTGTCTCGAACCGTCGAACACGATTCTCCGTATGTTCATGATCTCCGTCTTGCTAAGTTTGTTTAGAACGAAAATCTCGAACCCCAAACGCATGCGGATGAGGCTGAGACAAAAAGTCGTCGAACGCAGAAAAGCCGGAGTCCACTCGTTCTTGATCTGCTTGCACGTCAACCGTAGGTTCTTTCTTGTCACTGTGAGCTTCCTGAATTCTTCATGTGCTTCCTGGCTAAAGTCTCTGACTCTGGCTCTATCCTTCTTGTCCATGTCTTTCCGTGGAAGAGCTTCCAAGATGTCATAGACCATGCGCCTGATATCTTCGTCTAGCTTGAGGAATGAGCAGTGTTTGGTGGAAGCCTTGATCGCACTCCCAGGGGCTGATGGACTCTCGGCCATGGTGAGCTTGGTGATGGGAGACTGGAACACTTGCTGTTGTTGCTATCCCAGTTCTGAAGGCATAAGGCTATGAAATGAAGACCTGTAGGTGCAAAGGAAAAGATGATGAGTTGAGTGGCAGTAGTGGACAAAATGCCTATTCTTATAGGCGTTCAGACAAGCTAGTGGTTGCTTTCACATGCCACTGTCGAGTCGTATCAGAAGCGAACTCGACTGCTGTCTGAAGGTCAAAGTGAGGCAGGGCATGCAACATGTTGAAGATATCACATGGTTGTGGACCACTCCAGTCTGCTCCTGAGGTTGCGAAATGCCTTCCAGCAACGGACATCGTTACTTGAATTTGTCTCGCTTCACGTGCTGTCCAGGGTTCAATATGGCGCACTTGCTGAGATATGTAGACATGAAATCTGAATTGCCGACTCATGTTCATTCATCGACACCTTCCGTCTGTGGCCTTTTCCCTTCGAGCAGTCGCCACGGCGCGTCTCTACTCATTGCATTGTTTGTGTTGCAGGCCGTTTCCAAAATGCTTAATGTCCATCATGTGCTCGAAATCAACCATTGCGTCTTTGGGAGACCTCAAGTGAGCGCCGCTTTCGCGAACTCTCCTTTGCGCTATGCCGCTGAGTGTGTCGTGGTCACGGCTTGGGGGCTTGTCCTCCCTTATTTCAGCGCAGGTAATTCATAGACGAATTCCATGTCGCAAGGCATCGTGCGCCTGGCATACGCCTGTGCTAGAGGAGAGGAGTGATGATGAAAGTACCGATCTGCGAGACGCATTTGCACGCGGAGGACACACAAGGTCTAGTAGAAATCGTAATAGGCCATTGTGCCGAGTACGCACTTTTCCTCGGACCTTCGACCTGCAACATTATTCCGTTGCCCTTCCTACTCCGTTTCAACAATTCCACGCAACTGGAGGTCGTGGTCGCTCGAAAGACCGCCCTGGTCCTGATGCAAGCCCCTAGGCTGGCCGTGGGCCAACACCCTGCTCTCCGGCACGAGAGACAGGTGGTACTTGGACTCACGATATGCCATCTGAGCCTTGTTGGAACCACGTTGTAAGTCAAGCCTCTTCATGACGAACGGCGCTGTCATGCCTCGAAATGACACCTGGAGAGAGTGAGCAAGGAGAGTTGAATACCTTGACTAGGAAGGAATAGTAAAGGGAGAGCCCAATACCCTCACACATCGTTGCTCTCTGCTCCTCCAGCCGTGTCAACCTGCCTTTCCGCCCGTTCGCTTCCTGCGCACTGTCGTCCAGGTTGTGGACATCCTTCATCTCAATCCATTAGAATCCCGCGGACTTCTAATCCTCCTGCCATGCAGTCCTCTTTTATCAGCCAGGGCGCGCCGCCAGGATCCCCTTCCCCCCCAGTGCCCACAATCTCAGCCCGAAATACTCTCCATCAATTTGCGACGGTTCCTAGATCCCAGTTCGTAATGTCAGCAGATTTGAGCCTAGAGATCATCCCGCTGCAAGTGTAAGCCATACCTGGTTCCTGCCAGCCCTACACATCCGTGGACAACCCTTTCGAGCCTCATGGACTCAGCTGAGGTTGGCCCTTCCGCACGCCCCGTTTGTTCCAAGACCTGGTGATCCCCAAGAACTTCGAGAGTCTTCAAGGGTAACATCTCCAGACACCGTAGTCGAAGTCAAAGCAACGTCCTCTTCATCCAGCGGCTGTCTTCTTGTTTCCACGGGTGCTGAGGAACGTGAGAAACACGCAATTTCTTTGGCCTTGTGTCAGTCGCAGGGCAGACTCGAAGCCTCTCATGTCCAGTGCGTCCAGGCTCCTCATGCGCTTCCGCAATTCTAGCAGTGGTCTTACCTGACTTGCTGAGTAGAGTGCGGCCACTCGAACAAGGTGGTGTGCGTTGGCAACAGCTCAGGGCAAGGGTTCAGATGCACAAGAATGCGAGAGGACGACAGATCCATTGAATGAATTTCATTGGGGGAAGCTAAACTAAGAGAGACCATCCAGCCAGCTGAAGTAATGAGAAGCTCGTGCTGTAGGATGGTTGACAATCACTGGGAAAGCCACTTAAACCACCCGAAGCATGGAAGTGACTACCACCTGGACTGTACTTTTTTTTGTGAATTCCGTTTTCTCAACCAATGCATGCTGCAAAAAGAAATGTGGCCAATTGATCATGACCTCGCCTTTTGTTCCGGAGCAGAGACTTCAACTGCTCTCAATTCTTCTCCGCCCACTGAGTGCATGCCGGCTGACCTTGCAAGCAACCTCGTGTGCAGAAGTCGATGGGGATGTGTGCTGATGATACTCATGGGACAAAAATGCCGATTCAGGACTCAAGCTGGTGGCTATCTTGTCAAGGAAGTGGTGTTGATCAGATGTACCACATCGACCAAAGGATTGAGGGCCCTGCGCCAGTGAACAGAGGCAAAAGTGGAGCAACCTCAGAATCCGAGGGCTGGGAACTGCCACTTGGAGTCTTCATCTTGTAGCCCGGGCCACCTTGAGGTCCTGCGGTAGCTGGTATGTCTTCGCGCGCCTTGGCACGATTGGATGCCAAATGAGCGTAGTATGCCGCTGGATGTAGAGATACACTGGTGGTCGATCTCATGTATTGATAGCAATGTTCGTAGAGCATGTTCTGCACATGATTTGGCGGAAGCTGCGCGTCGTCGTGGATGACGGAATAGTGGGTGGGACGAGATGTACCTTGAAGCGCAATGTGAGAGTAGAGATAGAAGTCGAATTCGTTGGGCGTGGTGACATCTCTCTCTATCAAACAACCAGGGAGCGGGTTGCCTTTATTGTCGGCAGCGTTGGGATTGTTACCAGGAAAGCATCGGATATGGTGTCGCTTGCCGGCAATGATGACGGTGATCTTGCCGCCCCATTTCTTCTGGTTGTTGCACATTTCGAGGACGGCCTTGATATGGGGGACTTCCTGATGAAGAACATGATCAAATTGTCCCTCAGAGACGCCGTCACGAATGTAGTAGACCTGTTGAGGAGCTGCGCCGCCGCCAACCTGGCTCATCCACTGAGAGACAAGAGGCTTCAACATACTGGTCCAGTTGTTCTCGGTAATCATCTCAACACGATGACCATTGGTCTGGCAAGCAGCAGCATAACGTCCACCGAATCTGTCGAAGCTGCAAGTGATGGCCGCCATTGATGCCTGCGGGCTTCCGGGTGATGCATGAGATACATCTGCGCCGATGATCAGAGTAGGCTGATTAAAGCCTTTGAACCCTGATCCTTGAGCTGAAACCGCTTGGGCAGTCGTACCGCCTAATTTGGCATTGACCTTCATGAGGACATTTGAGTAGTATTGAGGATTGCCTTTCAAGACTTGTTGAAGCTGCATACACTGACTGACAATGCCATATCTGCCGTCCATGGATTTCTTGATGCGAAGGTAGTGGTATGCATTGCGATCTTGGAGCAAAAAGATGAGCAACTGTGGGCGACGCTGGAATTTATTTCCAGTCGCTTGATAGAGGTCAGCAACAGCTTCACCAGCATCAGCCCTCAACATCATAACCACTGGAGGGGCATTTGCCACTTGACCCCCATGGTCGCGGTAAGCGCGGGCAAAGTCTAGCGCAAATCTGTCGATCTGAGCTTTGTCGGCTCTGATGCGGCCAGGGAAGATTCCAATACCCCAAGAGACAAGTTCCTGAGGATTGGCGCTGAAGAATTTGCAGCCACGTAGGTCCCAGCGGCCTTTAGTACCAGGCTGCTGAGTTTTGTTGCCGAATCTCACACCTGGCGGAGGAAGGATTCGAGCATTGGTCTTGACGGGTTCGCTGCTGATGCGTAGGCCATAGTTGTTGAGGTACTTGTCGCCTCCCCAATTGAGCCATGATTTGCCTTCATTGATGGCAGCAAGACGTTGGGCAGGTGGCGAAACCGCGAATTTGATCATATTGGCAGTCTGATTCTCATCCAACTTGGCTCCATAGCGACTACCTGGAACGATCTGGAGGAGCTCGAGAGGGTATTTGACACCTCTCTTCGTCATCTCCACAAGCGGAAGATTCGGGTTCGTCAATGCCACATTGTACTTGCGTTTGAAATATTGAGCAATTGAAACGCGTTCTCCAGTTGGCTGCTTGGTCTGGGGATCTTTCCAGTCGAGCATTTCCTGATGAGCATTGGTGAGGCTGATGTTGAGAATCTTCCATTCCTTATTGGGGAAAGGGTTGCCCTTGTACTGAGCGATGACGGTGACGAATTTGAGATATGCCCGGACGGTCTTGTACTCGCCACTGGGCTCTAGAGATCCATTGGTCTGTTTTGGGGCCAAGATAGCAGCAACGTGATTGGCGTCACGCAGCCTCGACTTGGTGATGATAGCACTCAGAAGCGAGCCTGGCTTCCAAAAGCAGGTATTGGCGACGTCTAGGTTGATGATCAGCTTCTGACCTTCTGCAAGACGCATGGACTGGTAGACGCCACGCCAGACTTCAATGCCCCCGCCTAGATCATTGCGAAGTCCCTGGCGCTTGAATAGAGATCGGCGAAAAGCGAGGAATTGGGGGTCGTTGGAAGGACCTTCTCGGAGAAGGTGGTCCATGAAACTGATACACTCGCCGATTTCTGGGCCATACTGAACTCTGCCAGCGAGATACTGTTGGAGGAGACTGATATCGAGCCGTCTTGTCTGGCGGATGTGAAGACGGAAGGTGTTTCTGTCATCTCTGGATGGACGACCTTCTTCTGCATCAAGGTTGATCATGAGACGAATCTCCTTTTGGTTTTTCAGAGACCAGGCAAGACGACTGCCATCGTACAACATGGATGGACCTGTTTCATCCTTACGTGCTTTGGAGTTCCAGACCTTGCGCTGGACTGCACGCTTCTCAGAACCACTGCCGATGACAACATCGTATTGGAAAATCTGGACTGTCGGGTACTGGACCACGGGGTATGCATTGACTGCGACTTGGACAGCTTTTCCGGTGTTGTTGAAGCCTGGGCGTTTGGTGAACTCTGTGGGCAAAGAGTACTTCGCGTCATAGTCAGTACCCGGTGCTGCAACGTTTCGAAAGTAAGGCACGCTTGTGCGCTGGGAAGAAGATGCCATGACTGTTCAAAGGAGGAAATACAGATTGTGTATGATCTGGATGATGGAGGAAAGGACATGAAAGTATGGGGGAGAGCGGCCTTAAGTAGGCGCGCGAAGCCGCACTACCCACTTGTGGGTGGTGAAGCTGCTGGAATTTGAGCAAGACATGGAGTGCTTTGAAACACAGATTGCAATGTCCAGGAGTGACAGTAGCCCATTGTAGGAACATGGTTGTGGAGTGCCGCAGGGCAGCAGATCTAGAAAGCGTGGATCATGCTGGGATCCGGTGAAAGGGAAGAGGAAGAACAATTACCTAGGCAGGCAAGAATGTCACTCAGGGAGAGGGAGTGCAGTATGGATGAAATGTTCTGTGCCAGATTCAAGCACTGAAATTCAATGTGCAAGCAGGGAGAATGCAGATAAGTGTGCCACATTGAAGGAGGTTGACTCACCAACTGGTCGATGTTGTAGAATGACGCAGGCAAGTCGACATTGCGCAGCTGGTCAGTGTATCGTGGTTGAGACTCCCGAGCTGGATCGCCTCGTGGAGCTGCCGGCTGACTGGGTTGTGGTGGTGCACCGCCAGATTGGCTACTACGACGACTTCCTGCAGAAGGCGCTTGAGGAGCGAAGCCACCTTGTGGGGCAGTGGGAGAGCCACCATGACCAGAGCCGACGTTTGAGGCAGAACCTCGACTGGCAGGACCATCGTAGCCACCTGCGAAACCACCTGGTTGTAAGCGATCACCGCGACGAGAGCTGGTCTCGCTGGACGGTTGACCTCTAGTCGCCCGACCAGCACCTCTCTTGCGAGCGGGACCACTCATGATGACTTGCAGACTTTAGCTTCGAATGTCAGTATGTATGTTGCTAGTGAAGGAAGGAATGTAGCTGGAGAAGATCTGGACGTTCTGCGGAACGCATGGAATTGGTGCTGCAGGAGGAAGAGGGAGGGAGGTCATACCGTAAGGCGTTGGGTTGAGGTTAGAGCTGTTGATGTGTCAGGACGATCAGAAGGCGTTGGATGAAGGAAGAAGAGAAGGAGGGAGGAGGAGTTGGTATGGAAGATTGGATATGGAAGAATGGATACGAAAGAAGGGAAGGAGGAAAGGAAGGCAGGGAGGGATCTATTTGTAGGCAGGAGGATGGGCGAGGCAGGAGCACATGCTTTGGGACGTGTGTTTGTTGTGGGTGAGGCAGAAACCGAACGCGTTGTGAGGTCAAAACTGACCGTTGTGAAATGGAAGTGAGGGAATTCAGGGCTAAGTTGTGGGCAAAATGAGGTGGAAAGTGAGGCTTTTCTGGCTTGATGTGAGAGCTGATGTGAGGTTAGGAAAGACTGACTGACTTGACACAGGAATTGGACGTTGCTGAAAGGTTGTGTGTGGGAGAAACAGTGCCTCAAATGAGATGGACTCGACAGGGAGAGTAGGATCTCGATGAGACGAGGATGCTGGTAGGCTGGGATGAGTGCCAGCGAGCTGAAGGGGATGAAGAGGATGAAGCGGATAAGAAGAAGGAAGCGGATGAAGCGGATGAAGCGGATGAAGAGATCTGAGATGTGAGATGTGAGATGTAAACACTGATCAGGGCGGTGTGCGGAAGAAAGAAGCAACGATGAGGATGTGTTTGCTGACCTTGATAGAGACTCCCTGCTCAGAGAAGGAAAGCCGTAATGGTGCCAAGCGGGTGTCAGGTCAGCACGCTGGTCGAACTGGTAATTGCGGATAGAGAAAGGCTGATGGTCAAAGTGAGCGATCAGCCAGCCAGTCCGTCAGGGCAAGTAGATCAAATATTGAGATAGGCATGGCATGGTGTTTTCGTATCCGTCAGGCTCAGATCACATCCTCCAAACAAGTGTCAATTCGCCAGCAGACCACTGCAGGGCACCAATAGGCCTTCTATGCGCATATGTGAGGGTCTAGAGCTTCTACAATGCTCGATTGTAATTCTCTCGGCGCGTTCTCACCATCAGAACGGCCCAAATCATCCAGCGGTGAGGACAAAGGACGTTGAGATTCCACATACAGGGGACGAGCTCCGTCGGTTTGTTGCCGAGTGTCACATCGGCGATCGCCCATTTTCCATTGCTGCACGTTCTCATTGGCCAGACAATTCTGCCTGGCACGTCAGGGGCATGGTTGGTCATTCCACAAGACGAAGCTCGTATCCAATTGCGATGTTTTAACATCTAAGCCATGAAGTTCAGAGGAAAGCTGATCTATAATCGAATCACACCAAAGAAGTTGGACGACGGAGCGAGGAGCAGCTTCGCACCTGTTTGAATTCACGTTTGCTACCTTCGTCCGACTCAAGCCGCCTGGCTCAAGGCGCGTCCTGAGAGGAAATATCATGTTCCAGGAACCCACTAGAGCCTCTAGGTCCATGCCTTATATACAAAGTGCTGACTCTCGCAGCCTTGCACTGCGTGCTCGCTAATCCCTGACCCATCCGCTCTGGCGGAGCCCTGCCCAGCAAGAAGGTATTTCTGCAACAGCAACCAGGACCCAGATACCTAAGGTTCTCATGCGTAACGGAATGGCGCTGCAACAATGTCAGTATACAATGGAACCAAGAATAAATTAGCTGCATCACTCACTGCCTCCATATGGCGCTTGTGCAGCCCCAGGTGGCGGTATGAAGCCTTGCGGCGGCATTTGCGCTGGTGGGTGTTGCGGATAAGGTGGCCAGCCAGATCCAGGAACCGGTGTAGGCGGCGGGTGCTGACCAGCTACTGCTGATGGAGGTGGCAGATGTATGTCTCGAATCAACTCCACCATCTTTGTCGCGTCAAGTCGGGCATCAACGTATGTCGAGGCTCTGGGAAGTATGCTGAGCAAATATGTGATTTGAGAAGGTAGCGGAGGTGGAACAGGAAATGCTGGCATGCCGGCAGGAGGGTTGATCTGGCGCTGTTGCTGTTGTTGGTTCATCCGGCGACCAGCTGCACCCTTCAAGGGTGATTCGCCGCGAGCAACCTTGCGTGGACCAACATCCTCAAAGTCATCGGGGAAAGGCCGCTTGGGAGAATGGGTGGCAATGGAGTCAATCACCTTCTGGATTGGAGAATTCACCGCGTCTGGCATCTCGACAGAAGGCAGCACAGAACCTTGGGGAGCTTGGATCTGTGTCGGAGATATAACAGGATGCACGCTGATGGTGTTGAATGTCGGTGTGTTGTATCGGCTGGAGAAGAGCTTCAAGTCTTCATCCTCAGGGAAGTGTTTCCTCATTCTTTCTTCAAGAGACTGGACCTGCGCCAGTTCGCCATATTTCGATTCGTGATCGTGCATGTAAGCAAACAATGGTTTCGCCTTTGCCGTGTATTCGACATCGTCATGGGCCAGAAGTCGCTTGACCGTTGTCTCAAATACCGCTCTTGCGTTTGTCACGTCGTTGATCTCAAACAGATGCTTGATGTATTGCAATGGCAGATAATCATCCTCTGGGAAGAGCTTCATGCCGCGGTCAAGAATCTTGGTGCCAGCAGGATCCCGATAGCATTGCCATTCAATGCGGGCCGACTCAACATAGAATTCGCTGGTGAGCTTGCCTCGCTTTCGTGCCTCTCCAAAAATGGTTCGGAAGCCACTCGGTCCTTTCTCCCCTGGCAAGCCCTTCCCTTGGACTCGCCGAGTTGCACGCATCAGAGCAATCCAGACATGTGAAATTGTCCGACTTAGCATATCTGTCTGCGCTTGAGAGCTCTTGCGAATGACCTCGATCTGACCATCGAGGATGGCTTTCCTGGCCGTGACGTTTGCGGCGTTGATCTCGTCTTCTCCCGAGCCATCCGCCTCACCGTTCGTGGCTGCCGCTACTTCCGCCTTCTGAATTTCCAGTGACTCGCGTGTGGACACTTTCTTGATCAATTCGTAGAGTGCATCCAGCACCCTATCGTAGGGCTCGCGGATCTTTTTCATTCTCTCCTTGGCTCCTGGATCGGCTCCTTCATCATTCTGTGTTGATGACTCGATTCGATCCGCAAGCTTGAATGCAAGAAGTGGTGACTCGGGATTGGCCGCGATGCCCTGATTCAGCAATTTGACACCGTCATTTTCGAGGCCATTGGCGAAGCAGAATTCCACAGCGTCGTACCACATCTCTGGCCAGAATTGCAGGGCCATGAGTGATTGTTTGTAAGTAAACAAAATTCGGCCTCTGTACAGCGCCAGGTCCTCGTCTTTGAGAACGAGATTGTCTTCTTTCTCCCACTCGATCCACTGCTTCCACAGATGCACCTGGCGCATATATTCCTCATAGCCCTCGTAACCAGCTGCAGGCGGCAATCGTGGTTTCGAGGTCCGGCGTAGATCTCTGGTCAAATTCTGCAGTTGAGTGTATGCAGTTCGTGCTGTCATATACACGGGGGATTTTTCTTGCAGGTATTTCCGACCCTGGAACAAATTAGCAAGCATATACCAACCCTATGGCAGCCACCTACGTTGATCTTGCTCAGACCAGTCTCAAATGAGTCGTACTCCTTCCAGAGAACTGTTGTCGCCGCGGTAGGAACTGCAATTGCTTTCTGATAGGCCTCCCGCAGAGTATCGACCTTCGCTGCGTCTTGCCAGCCTGTGCCACCGACCGTTCCAGGCCCGCTCTTCAAAAAGGTGACGTATTCCTGCCATAGAGGGCCGGAATCCTTGTCCATGCCAATCGTCTTGAGAGCAAAACTGAATGATTCGTTGATGATGTTATATGCTCTCGCAGTGTCCCCTGATTGCATGCTGTTGCGTCGACGGATGTAATTGATGTACAAGGTCCATAGCTGCACATCAAGCACCTCAAGAAGAGAGCGATTGAAGAGCGTTTCCATTGCACGTAGCCGGTCGTGTTCTTCCTCCCACTTCACGTAAGCGCACCATTGTTCAGCCTAGACAAAATTAGTGATGATGAATCATAAAGGGCAAAGGACACGTACAGCTAGAGGGAACACTGATAGATACTGCTCGTATATCCGTCGGATATCATCTTGTTTGTTTCGGCTCTTCAGCTCATCAATCAACTCGAGATAAGCAGCTGTGTCGCCACGCGGATCGTCTTTGATGCGGTCCTCCAGGATGCCAATCACATCATGAGCTAGTCGTGATTTGGGTAAGCCTGCACTGACAGTACCATTCACATGAGAACGGGGCGGAGAATGTTGTGGTGGAGCTGGAGTGGCAGGAGCAGGTGCAGCATAAGGCGCATCACCACCAGTGGGAAGAGTGGAAGAAGAAATGTCAGTGAGACTACCAGTGGCCTGGACAGGAGCAGGAGTGATTCCATTTTCTTGTTCTGGTGACTGGGAAGTTCTATCAAGGGGATTCGAAGGGGCAGCAGGTGTTGGGGCATCGAAGTCCAAGCCAACGGATGGATCATAGACATCTGCCTCATCTCTATCGTCCTGCGCCACCTCTTCTTCTTCGTCATCATCCACTTCAAAGCCACCCACTATCCGGGGCTTGGTTTGTGATTGTGGAGGGATTGGCGTGGAAGATTGTGTCATGTTTGGTGTTGCGGCTTGCGAGGAAAGTTGACTGACAGGTTTCGAAGGAAGAGGATGAAGAGAAGACTGAGTCGGAGATAATATTGTATCACGAAGATTATCGACAGGACTTGGTTCTGTGGTATTAGGCGCAACTGAATTTTCTGTCGCAGCCGCAGTTGCCGCACCATTGATTCCAGACTGAGGAGACTGCGCTGCCATAACAGATGGTGACAGAGCCTCTTGCTCAGCGCTCGCCATGTCGCTGTCGTAGATATTAACACAAAGGGGTGAGAACAGAGTGATAAACAAAGAGAAGAGAATCTGTTAAGGTCAGAATCGAGTTGTCCGTGACTGGTGAGAGCTGCGCTGACCAAAAATGTTTTCGTTGATTATCAAAGGCGCGCAAATGGTACGATCATAGCTTTTATTCTTTTGACAAGACACCAAAGAGATTCGTTGCGATTACTGTGAGTGGAATACAAGACGGCTTGGTGTTTGTCAGGTTGATGTGAAATCATCGGCAAGCAATCAGAAGGGAGGGCATTCACTTGTCAGCAGCTGTGATCCACCGTTCACTTCCACTTTCCATCTAAATGGTCCACCGTTCTCTGGCCAAGCTTCGTCCAGGCGCCAATCCCGGCCGCGGCTTCTTGACGCGCTCTGGAGAGCGCGACATTTCTTAATGGCGCTCCTGCGAACTGTCAATCACTTTCTCACTCGAACACCCAATATTTAACAGATTGTAGAGATCACACTCTAATCCCCTCTGCTGCAGGATCTCAGCCGCGCGTCAGAGCCTTTACATATCTTTTACTTTTCAGACACAATCCCACCACGTCGCGACCATGTCTGTTGTGTCGCTCTTGGGCGTCAAGATCCTCAATAACCCTGCACCTTTCACTGCACCATATGAGTTTGAAATCACATTCGAATGTCTTGAACAATTACGAGAAGGTTTGTTGAAACGCTTTGCGCTACGACAGCCCTGGACGTTCGGCTGACTCACTAACCAGACCTCGAATGGAAACTCACCTATGTGGGCTCCGCAACGTCGGCAGAACATGACCAAGAGCTCGACTCTCTCCTAGTCGGACCAATTCCCATCGGCGTGAACAAGTTCATCTTCGAAGCTGATCCACCAAACCTGTCTCGTCTCCCGTCCTCCGAAATCATTGGCGTGACTGTCATCCTCCTAACGTGTTCCTACGATGGCCGCGAATTCGTTCGAGTCGGCTACTATGTCAACAATGAATATGACAGCGAAGAGTTGAACAATGATCCGCCATCGAAGCCAATCATTGAGCGTGTTCGAAGAAACATACTCGCAGAGAAACCCAGAGTCACCCGATTTGCGATCAAATGGTAGGTCGAAAATTCCGTTCTCAAAGCACTGACTGACGAATATGCTCTGCCAGGGATTCCGAAGAGTCTGCTCCGGCTGAATATCCACCAGACCAACCCGAAGCTGACAATCTCGATGACGACGGCACAGCCTACGGCGCTGAGGAAGCAGAAATGCAAGCTGCACTAGAGAAAGAATTCGAAGAGACCGAGGCTACCGCACAATCACAGCCAAAGGACGGGGACCAAGAGATGGCTAACACCAAAGAAAAGGAGGAAGACGAAGAGAGTGAGGCCGGCAGCGAAGATCTCGAGGAAGAGAGCAGCGAATCTGAGGACGACGAAGAAGATGAGGAAGGTGCCGATGCGGAAGACACTGAAATGGCCGAGGGCGAAGAAAAGGCTGCCGTGGCCCCAGAGCCCAATGGCGAGCAGAAGAAGGCTGGTTCCCAGGCTGAAGTCATGGTTCATTAGGCAGCGTGATTGCTTAAATCTCAGCAAGGCGTCTGGAGTCGAATTGGCTGGCATAATTGTGTGATGTGGACATGGCATTGAATGAAATAAAGACCGGCAAGGATCGAAATTTAGATTTTCCACGATGGATATAGGTGTTGAGCACTTTATTGAGCTCGCCCTGGATGGTGCTAGAGCTGAACGATGTACGGAATGAGAGCAGAATGGCTCATGCTTGCAGGAATGAACATAATGATGGCCATTGTCAGTCTTGCTTCCCATACTCTGGCTTCTGCATGCTTCTGCATATTTCTGCTCGGTCCCGGTCTTCCTTCTGCGGCTGGCTGATCCTCTGAAGCTGGTAACATGGGTATCACCCCATTCCTCAAAGCGTGTGCATCTGGGCCAGTCTCGCAGTGCATCGGGGCAAGGTTGGGGCATCTGGGGCAGCACAATAACAATTCCGTAGCAAGATAGTCTCGAATTCCCTAAATTGTCTCGAAAGCCCCTGATTGAGAGGGTAATCGTAGAGCGTGAATCCTGGCAGTCACCAAACCGGCTGCTTCGGTAAAGATCGGAGTCTGACTCACACAGCACTGTACACAGCAGTGACATTCCTCCCACACTCAACTCTCTGCTCCATCTGGACTTTCCTCCCCTTGACCTTAACGGCATGCTTCGGTGTAAGGTGAAACCTATGCTCCTCTTTGCGCCCGGCCTCAATCTCGGCAGCCGTGTCCAGTGGCCTGATATACATTGGATTAGGCACATTATTCCTCTTCCCAGTCCCAAGCTGGTAGAACTCGTTCCCACCCCACCAGAGCACATCGGCGCCCCAATTCGTGTCGTTCTCCGAACTCTTCTCGCTCGCGTCCAGGTATGTCACATTATCCATGACTGCCGACACGTGCGTTGAGCCAACGCTGATCTGTGCCATCCGAATTGGCACGACAGCCTTGTTCTTCTCGTCGTACTCGAAGAGGCCACTCAACGAAGGGATCTTGGTAAGCCCGTCCTGGACGTGCGTCCACCGCCCATTGCCCAGAGTGCCGCGGATGCCTGTGCCGCAGGACCACATATCGCTTGTGACGCGGCCGAGGGTTCGCACCTCGCTGGGATCTTCGGACGGACCAACCACACGTGTTGCGTCAATGGACAAGAAGCTGTTCTGTCCGCCGGCGGAGATGGATGTCACTTTGGGCACTTGATTCGTGCCTTGGTAGTACTTCGTGATGGGCAAGAGGGAGGGAGTATCGACGTATGGTGATTCAGGATTGTACTGGAGACCCAATTGGCCGGAGGAGTTGTCGCCGAAGGCAAAGACGCGGCCTTCTTTGTCGAGCACGAGGGAGTGTGTATCGCCGGATGCCATTTTTTGGATCTCGAAGCCCTTGAGGGTGGTCAGCTCGTGGCACATATCGAAGGGGCCTTCGGGGCGGGTAAGCCATGTCACGCCAGGGACTCCAAGTTGGCCGCGGCTGGGGAAATCTTCGGTTCCAGAAGCGGCGGAAAAGACGCGGCCTGAATTCGTGAGCAGAAGGACGTGCTCGAGGCCGCCGCTGATGGCTGTGACTTTTTCTCGTGTTCCAAGTCCTTTGGGCGTTAACTTTCTGTAGGCAATGTCGGATGTACTCTCCCAGAACGGGATCCATGAACTTTCGCTCAGCTTTTTGCCAGACTCTTGGTCGGCCTTGGACACTGGTACCGAATAAACAGTGCCGTTCTTGCCGAGTCCAATGATTCTGTCCCTTGATATGACGATAGACTTGAGATTCTTGCCCTTCAGCGTGACCGTTGGTTGTGCCGAGTCTTCTGAGTATGCTTTGCCCCATTGCACTAGATCTCCATTCTCCAAGACAGCTGCACCGAAGTTCCTGTCGAGCTTGAGATCCCGCAGTAGAACATCATCAAAATATGGTATTCTCCGCGGAGTCTTAATGTATGCTTCATTCGAGTCTGGTGCGACAACCTTGCCAGTGTTTGATCCCCAGGCGTATACCCCTGGATTCTCCCAACTCTTCTTGACTTGTAGATGTTGCGAACTGATCAAGTCCCGGATCTCCTCTTTTGACGCCCCCTTCTTTTTCTTCGATTTCTCAATGAGCAGTTCCGGGGAATCAGATGTCGGGACTTCGGCCTGGGCTTCGTGGAGCTGTGAGGCACTGTAGACTACTGCAAGAGTAGCCGCTGCCGCAAGAATTGCTGTAGATGGTCTCTTCCAAGCTTGATGGGCAGACTGGGCTTCACGGGAGTAATGTCGGGCAATGGGTGCTGGGACACGAGACCATGATTGAATGATCCTGGGCCGTTGTGAGCGTCCTAGGCTGCGTACAGCGCTGGCATGGACTTTTCTTGAAGCCATTGCACCAATCCCAGTCACTGCATAAGGAACACCTGGTCCCTCAGCCAGTTGGTTCAGATTTCCAAAGTCCAAATGTCCCCTCAAGCGGATGGTTCGCGCAGCACGTATTCGGAAATCGAGGACGTCATGTCGCTACTTGTAAACGCCCGAAACTGCGGGCAACGGGAGTGGGCAAACACCGCAAAACAATTCTGGCCTTTTCCCAATTAGTGTTTTGACATTTCCTATCCAGCGTTTTGTGCTGTTAAACAGGCGAGTGGGCTGGACAGCAAGCGAGATGTACTCATGGCAGTTCTTATGAGCAACGCGTTGTCTGGCTCGAGTAAGAAAGGCCAGCCAGGCTATCCCGAGACATGTCTACAACAGAGCATACGGAAAGCGAAGATGCCACCCTAGCACAACTCCGAGATGCAGAAACCGACCTCGACCTATTCAGATTATCTGGGGATATAGATGACCTGCTACTAGATGCCAGTCTAGATGAGTACCAGTATTGCCGTCTCCGGGCTCTCCTTTTGCATCGCTAAGTATATGTAGACACTACCTCGACCAGCTCGACGCCGCCCGAAGCCACCTCGACACCCTTCTCGCCGACACGGCCGCAACGCTAGATGAACTGTCCGAGATCTCTGCGTCCTTCAAGGCTATCGATGCCCAAACGAAAGCCTTCCAGGAACGGTCGGCCAACATCCTCGAAGAACAACACAAGAATGAAACCATCGCACAAGACATCGCGGACAACCTGCGCTACTATGAGCCCCTGGAAAGAATCACACGGCGTCTCAATGCCCCTGGTGCAGGTGCCTTCGTCAGGAGCAAGGATTTCTCAGATATGCTGATCACGCTGGACGAATGTATCGACTACATGCAGACGCACCCTGGGCACAAGGAAGCCGAAACCTATCGCTCGCGGTACAGACTTCTTCTCACAAGAGCATTGACCCTCGTACGAAATACTTTCATGGCTGGAGTCCGGGAAACGACGACAGAAGTTGCGGGTAGAATTGCAGCAAAACAGCTGAACGACACCACTATGTCCGCCTTACTCTACGCCAAGTTCCGTGTCGGCGCCGCTGAGATGAAAGAACTCGGTCTCGAGATCCATAAACGTGCAAATCCTCCAGCAGACGCCGATCCTGGTACGGAGGGCGAATATCAGAGTCTCATGAACGAGTTACACTCCAGCTTCGCCGCATGTCGAGCAAGACTGATATTGCCGATCGTCCAGAAACGGCTCACAGAAATCGGTCAAGCGCCCAGCTCAAAAGACCTCGTACAGTTTTCGCGGGCAAGTATAAGCTACATCCGAGGAATGTGTCTGGATGAATTTGAGCTCTGGTCAGAATGGTTCCACGGCTATCGCGGTCTATATGATTTTCTCGAATCCATCTGTGAGCCGCTGTATGACCACCTCCGACCCCGCATCATTCATGAGAACAAGTTGTCCAAGCTATGCTCGCTCGTGACGCTACTACAGACAAGATATCTGCACGACGAGGAAGAAGACGGCCCCGCAGACCTCAACCAACTCGACTTTTCGATGCTAATCCAACCAGCACTGGAGGACGCGCAAACACGCCTCGTCTTCCGCGCGCAAGCAATCCTACGTGACGAGATTGAAATGTTCAAGCCCAACCCAGAAGATCTGGACTATCCTCGCCGCACTTCAGCACCACCAACAACCAGCACACCCCTGTCCGGCCGGCGCAAAACCCGCGAGCCCATGACTCCACTCCTCAAGTCTCCCGAGATCGTCGACGAGGACTCCGGCGAAGAAGGCTCTTTCTCATGGACCCTCGCCTCGCGCCGTGCCGAATTGCAAAACTGCTACCCAACCCTCTCCAAAGCCATCCGCCTCCTTCACCGGATCTACCGGCTCGTCAATTCCTCTGTGTTCGACGACCTAGCGCATCAAATTGTGCACCAGACCACGGTCTCCCTACACAACGCGTCAGTTCAGATCTCGTCCAAATCCTCCCCCGCCGACGGCCAACTCTTCCTCCTGCGCCATCTGTTGCTTCTCAAATCGCAAATCGTGGCCTTCGACATCGAGTACGTCACACCCGATGTGAGTTTCGACTTCTCGGGCGTAGCAAGCACCTTCTACGAACTCCGCGAACGAGGCGGCCTGTTCAATCCGCGCAGTTGGATGAGGCTGTTCAGCAGCGGCGGCCTGCTCCCGCGCGTTGTGGAGAACATGCTCGACGCGAAGGTCGAGCTTGACGGGCGTCTCAGGACAGTGATCAACGACTTCACAGCCGGGTTCGCGGCTGATATGACGAAAGACCTGCCCCGAGACGTGGAGAAGGCCAGTGTCAAAAACAACGCGCTCGAGAACTCGGTGTCGGCGACGAGGAAGCATATCGAGAAAGAAATCCCGATTCTGCGCGCCAAATTGGAGCAGTATTTAGATGACATGCGGACTAGAGAAACACTCGTTGCTGCGGTCGAGGATCAGGTTGTCCAGATCTACGAAGCTTTCTTCGATGCGTATGTTAACCGACTGGGCGGCGGCGGTGGTAAGATGAATGGCGCAAGCCAGATTTCAAGGAAGGGCAAAGGGCCCGAGAATGCAGTCTGGGATTTTGATACGTTTGCCGAGTGGGCGGACAGTATGTTCAACGTCGCGCTGCCGAACGTCGAGGATGATGGCACCAGTCATCCGGCTTCCAGGAGTCTGTCGAGGAGCGGGAGTACATAAATCTGGATCTAACCAGACAAAAGGCTCAGGGCATAATGTGTATCATGATGAATGTTCAGATCTTGTGGTTGCTCAGGCTTGCTGTTTCCCGCCGAGGTTGACTTTCCCTCGTCCACTGCCCTTTTGGAGCTTCTCTGCTCGTTCGATCCATGTCGCGGCCGCTTCTTGAATCCTGCCCGAGACTGCGCATTCACGGTCGATCAGGTTGTGGATTTTCTTCGTCGTGTCGCCACTATTGATCGATAGCGTCTCGAGCTGCTGCTCCAGATTGGACGCGTCTCGTGATGTAGAGGCTCCTTTCCTGTTGCCCACGATGCCGATGTTCCGTGTGCTGGGGATGCGCATCAGCGTCAATTCGACGTCGAACCCGATCTCCTCGGCGAGCGCAACGACTTTCCTCGTCAAGCACGCGTACATGGACTTGTCGTCCGTATGGCTGGCAGCTTTGACTTTCGCGGCGCGCAGGGACTTCAAATCGCCGGAAGCTGGCTGTTCTTCTTGATCGTTAAGCTTTGCAGAAGAAGCTGCTACGCCGCGGTTGTGGATGATGATGTCCTTGGCCGAGTATCGGTGTTTCGAACCACTGAGCGCATGCGAGCAGCACGGTATCGCCAGGAACGGGAGCGGGTGTTCTGGACACGACAAGGCGGCCAGGACCGGCGTCCATGGCGTGAGTTCATCCGCGTGATTCGAGATAATGAACGTGCCTGGCTTGAAGAGGCCGTCGTAGATTTGTGCTCTCATCATCAGCTCCTGAAGGCCTTCATCCTCGGAGGCGGCGTCGAGGAAGGGCTGCGGCACGCAGATCATTTCATCCAGATGGTCGTTCATGCCCAGGACTGCCCAGCTCTTGCGCCTGCGAGCGTCGAAGCCCCGGCCCTGATAGCCCTCTTGGATGAGCACGTAGCTGAGCACGCCGTTGCCGCAGGCGATGTCGACGAAGCCCGGGAATGTGTCTGGCGTGTACATTTGCTTCCAGAGTTCAATGACAAAGGCGGCGATGGAGAGATCTTCGAAGACATGCTTTGACGGCTCCGTGCTTTCTGCCCAGCGCGATATCAGGTCCTGGGCGTATCGCTGTTTAAGGCGGCTGTAGGTGTCTTGAACAACGTGCTGGGGGAGGATGGTGTCCTTGAGAGCGGATGGGGTCATCGATTGGGTGGTTGCAGTGATACTGTCTGACTGGGCATGCGAGCCGTTTAGGCTCTGCGCGGGAGCAGGGTTCTTCGCAAGCCTGAGAAATCTTTGAAGGAGTGAGATGAATGTGCGGTGCAGCCGCGAAGGTAATGGATCCGTTGATCGCGTGAAGGGTAGATAATGAATGGAAAGCGTGGTTTCACTTCCCGTACGCTTGTAGAAATATGCCAATGACTGGACCGGTGGATGATACCAAGGCATGTCAGCCTCGCTTTCGACGTCCGGCACATATACCACGACATGGCCCTTGTCGATATTCGGGTTCTTCGATAGGTTATAGACATAGCACCACTGGTTCAGTGGACGGTCGAGTTGTGGTTTGCGAGGGATGAGTCTCCTTAGGACTTTCCTGGTAAGAGTTGCTCCATCCAGTTGCGGTGCCTTCTCGAGGGTGTCTGGACTGTCCGTGATTGTCCCATTTTCGGCATCTTGGCCTCCATTGATGTACTGGCACTGCTGTTCCTTCTCTGCCACTGTCCTCAATATCTGTGCACTGTCTTGTAAGATGTCCGCTCGGAAAAGATGTGTTGAATTCAGATTCGGATTTTCCAGCAGAAGATTCGTGACTTGCATGAACTTGTCTTCAGTGAGACATGGGCATTCTTTCTGGTACTCCTCTGCAGTCTCCCAAGGTACGCCTGCGGAGCAGAATCTCGTGATAGCCATTGCTCATCTCAAGGCCCAATGGTCGTATCCAGCTACCGTCCAGCATGCGTGCTCCTCGCCGTGGAGGAACGTGGTTGGACGAGGAAAAATTCGGCGGCTCAGATACAGATGGAGTGATACTGGTACCTACGTTTTCGTCCAACCCGACTTTTTACAAGCCGAATTTCAGATTAACGACTGCAATGACCACCCAAGAAGAGGAGAAAGTGCGTATAGCTGATTGGAGTTTTTATGTTGATGGAAAAGGTAAAATCTAAGATACACACGCCATGATGTATCTAGCCAATTTTCTTTTCCCCGACAAGAAACACGACGTTTCGAACTACTAGAGCAAAAAGGAACACAGATTCAGAGATTGGCAGCAGGAATTCAAGAGAGAAATCTGCTTCGTGGACCAGAAGAAAACGCAAAAAAAGATTACGAACAGTATCGCCCGCGGAGAGGCTCGAACTCTGGGGAGCATGTTAGATGCTAGTCATTCATATCATTCTAGGTACATGATGCTTACCTCAACCTTGAGATCTCGTTCACACGAACCACTTTCGGAAAGTGATCTAGTGTTTAAAAGTCTCTAAGATATACGTTAGTGATTGCGTGGGCAATGATTTCAGTACAACTTACCACGCGCTGACCAATTGTGCCACGCGGGCGGTGAATTCTGTTGCACGAATTTGGGGTTAAATTTGGGGCTTTAATAATATATCACCATATTATGATAAAGCTTTTCATTTGCTGCTTAGTGGTGTCATCCACAGCCCCGGGACAGCTAGTACGCTGGGGGATAGCAGGTCCACGCCCGCACTCCGCCGCCTCGACATAGAGATTTCTTTCACGTCAAGATACATGCCATCAAAGTAGGGCCAGGCAGGCAATTTGTTGGGGTAGACAAGGCGATCTGTCACTACTATATCTACACGCTTTCTAATATGGCTTTGGCTTTTGCTTGCAAACGACGCCTCAACAGCCCCTACTTCTTTGGAACCTTCTGCAGCATCAAACACGGACCAACCAGCGGACCTCACTTAGCCTGACTCCAGTGTCTTGCACAGCACGATGAATGACCCTATACATGATTCGGCCTTCATGTCACCCAGATAAACATTGGCGATACCTCAAGGCTCTGTGTAAAGACACAGTCCGCTGTCATCATGTACTTGAGATAGGAAGAAATTTGATGAAGTCACTGCTTTTAATCAAATGCAACTTGGACTTTTTTTCTGCTCTTCGAATGCTCTATGGAGGCAGCAGACTCTGTATCCAGTACCGTCTCAGAGACAACAATGCCATTGGCGTGGGCAACACAAACCCAAGTGACGTTCTGAGCTTCACTCTGCTGAACGTCCAAGAACCGTCTTATCCAGAAACCTGATCAAGCCACCCTGTTGCCATACAATAGCAACAATCTTCGCGGGCACTCCGCTTCCCCAAAGTCAGCAGGACCACGATTCATGCGTGACGCTTTTGCTCCGTGAGGCCAAGCCTGAGTGATGACGGTAAGCTTCCCAGGGTTTAGTCCACATCTTCAAGGGCGGTATCTCGAGGCTTCTCGTCATCATTCTCCTCGTCTCCCTGCACAATTCGCGGAGCGGCTGGCGGAGCAAGTCCATGCAAACCTGAAGCCGTTCTGATGTTCGAGCTCTCGGCTACCGATGGTACACTCAAGAAAGCCTTCTTCCGACCGGACTTTGTCGGAGAACCACTGTAAGCCTCGTCTCTAATGTAAACACGCTTGGCGGAACCCTCTCCTTTGAGGGCTCTGGATGGAGGTTCAGATGTCGCAGCGGATTGGTCTTTCGAGCGTTGGGGGGTCTGTGGCCGAGGAAGATCAGCGGTATCTCCTTCTAGCTCTGCGGATGACATGGCCGTTGAAATAGTGTCCAGAAGCTCGTCCCGTGCGCTGACTGCAACATCGTATGTTGGTGCATTCCAAGATGTTGGAGAAGGCTATTCGCTATTCTCGCATACTCATAGGAGCCGTCGGTCTTGTAGTATTGTCTGAGAATATTCAGCACCCGTGCAAAGCCAGAACTGCCAGGCGCCTCTGGGTCGATGTGTGCAGTGGCCTCGTCCGTCAGCGCTTGGAATGCTTCTACATCCAATCCCTGGGCGGCGGGAGCGTCTGCGATTTCATCCAGGATTTGTTGTTGGTCACTTCCGTCAAGTCCGTAATCACGTAGATCAGTGTATCCCGGAACAAACCCGATGTCTTCAGCGTTGACATCTATGAGAAGCTCAGAATGTGTATCGAGCGCGGATGAGTCAATTTGATACGACTCGTCTTCATGTACTGCAACGAACGCGGGTTCAATGTCAATAACATCCACATACTCCTCTGGGCCTTCATCACCTAGCTCGACGATTTCCAGGGTTGGTAGGTACTCTGTCTCCAGTTCGCGGTTGGGAAGCTCGGCCAGGTGAAATGAAGGGGCAATTCCTGCGAGTGACTGCTTGCGAACCTTCTGTAACAAGCCAAAAATGACCGGATAATACTTCTCATTGTAACAAAACTTGACATAATTGCAAGCACATGTCTCCCAGCAGATATTGCATTTGTCATAGTCGAACGAACACAAGATGCCTCCGGCAGGATCCCAGTTCGAAATGCCAAGGGTCATCGCTGCGGAGTGATGGCGATGTCCAACAGAGCACGAGAGAAGCCACCTAATTGTTGGATGTGGGATTAAGCCAAGCTCGTCACGACCACAACGATCGATAGGCACACCATGATGGAGGTCTCGTCTGATATTTTGGAACCACAAGTGAGCCACGGCGATCATGAGTTCTCCTATTTCAGCACTCTCGCGGTGCGGATTGTCCTTCTCGCGCCAATCACAGTGGTTCCTCATGAGCTGAAACTTGGCATAGAAGATGTCCCAGACTGTACCATCGTTGTAGTCGTCAGGCAACACGGAGTCCAAGGCAAAGGGGCAAAAGGTATCGTTCCGCAGCCACAGTCTCCGGAGTTCTTCGTTGTCAAGGCCATATTCTCCGGCGGCGGAGAAAATGTTCTTCATGATGTATCCGTGGTCAGGGAATTTCCAGTTAAGAGGGGGGTTCTCCACCAAACCCTTTTTGGTCATCCGAAACACTGTGCTTGGCTTCGTCGTTCGTGGTAAAAGCGGTTTACCGCTGCGTAATGCTTCCATAATTGCGGGCATGTTTGCCGGGAGAGGTTTGTTGATTCGCTGATTGTGTTTTACTTCGGAAAAGGTGCCCATCTCGTAGCTGTTCTTCAGACAGTCCCGCCAAAGCAACAAGGCTCGCTCGTACAGACGACGATCAATTGAATCATCCCCTGTGGCAAGGACCATTGTCGACATAGCTCGCAAAAGTGGCTTCTCATAATGACGCATGATGCGGTTGACGGCATCGCAGCATGGAACGATGTTATCTTCATGATGGTAAGCAGTCCTGCCGTCTGCTCCAGGGAAAACCGCGGTAAAGGCATCAAGAGAAGGTGTCAACGGATGGCGTCGTTTTCCATCTTCGCACAAGTGAACGGGACGAGTATCTCGCTGTAACTCCTGCTCTATGAAAGCATCTCGAATAGTCTTCTCGTCGACTAGAAAGGGCTGGAGATTGGCGAGCAAGGAATCTACCTTGGCCTTGATTTCGATCTTTGACCAACCTAGCTGATGGTCCTTATTCTCGAGGAAGAATATATTGGTGGCAGTGAAGCGTAAGAAGGGTGCTAGGTCCAGCGGCATGTCAAATGCGCGCAGCATTCCCTTGCCATCACACTTTTGCAGATAGGCTCAGCATGGAAGCGGGATTCAACGAAATCGCTGCATACTCTGATCAGCCAACAGCCAGGACAGACATGCAAGGCATTTGTGTGGGGCGAATGATCACACGACTTGATTGGCCAAGGAGCAAGCCCTTCAAGAGCCATGTCTCGAAGTGTGACTGCCATAGCCGCACCTTCTATCCAGGCTTCTTCAACAGCGAGACCGTGGTTGAGACCTTGAAGCACTGCATCAACGACCCACCATACTTCTTCACCTGTAGGGCCGTTCAGAGTGATCTGCGCAAGTTTGCGAGCCGCGCGATTTCGGATCCAAGCAGACGGTCCCAGAACCAAGCTACCACGGCTATAGAGCTGTGTAAAATTGCACAAACAGGCGTCACGGAGAGATGCCAGACGGCTGGCCGTGCACGCCTCAGAGACCGTTGCCAGGCACTGCGCCGGCCATCCTATCCAGGCACCTCCTATCAGGGCAATTTGCTTCGCAAGATTCATAATGTGGAGGTGATCAGCCTCGGCCAGCTATGGGTCAACCGTCTGTGCAACGCTTGACTGCAACCAGTTGACGGATTCAGCGTACAGTGGCCGGATAGGCTGACATCTCAGCATAGTGTCCACGTCGAGCTCCCATTGTGCGTTCCATTCAGTCTCGTTTGCTTTGCTGGTCTCCGTTGGTCTGCCGTATCCCCAAAGAGGAACATAACACGTCAACTGTCCGTTCTGGTCGCGGTCCAGTCTGGGAATTGGTAGAGAGATCAGGGCATTCGAGGAAGATTCTGGCTGTTTGCTGAGATCATCAGCAACAAGAGAAAAGGCTCCACGCAGTAACCACAAATGCTCAGTAGCCTTCAGCTTCGAGGGCGGAGAGTCTGCCTTCTCAGCAAGGCGACGCAGATACGATGCAAATCGATCATCATGCTCAGCGCCGACCATGAAGCGTCCCAAGTGGAATACACTAGATTGCCCGTTCATGATCAGAGTAATACTGTCCAAGATCTTGCCAGCCGCAGAGGCTTTAACAGTAACCTCGACGTCAAGTTGGCGAAGAGAGCTGGCTCTGAGGAGCTTCTTGACTGTAGCCAGGACCGCACTCGAAGTATCCAAGACAGTACTGATTGATGGCAATGAGTACAAAGCATTTGACCATGAGAGGAGTGCAGTCGCATCTGATCTTGCTGAGTCCGACGGTGCTTGCTTATGGACAGAACCTAAATTGGTGGTTCGGATTGAATTGATGCGAGCAGGGAATTGGCTGGCGAATGTGGATATCCACGAAGCCGGTTGTCTAATGACTTGAGTGGGATTCGTACCGGTCAAAGGAGCCGATTGCGATGGCTGAGAAGCTGTTTGTTGGATATTTTGGACCGCAAGGTTTGCATTGCTTCCACTACTCCGATAGACTAGTTCGGCCGTCAGAGGTATGGTGGTGTATGCATGAGCTTTTGTCCAGTGCGCCTTTGGCGCCTTTGTGATGTTGCAATTGCTGCATCCGACATTACCGTTGTGGCACTCGGCATGAAGCAGCAGCAAAGCAAAGGTTTTGACAGTTTTCGGGCAAACCAGACACAAGCTTCGGCCATGATCATTGACTTCGTGGGTGTGGAGTGCGGCAACGTTCGCGAAGGATCGACCACAGCCTTGTGCGGCACAGGCGTGTGGTTGGGCTCCCTGGTGAACGGGACTATGTTGGTCAAGGTCAACCTGAGAGCCAAATAGGAAGCTGCAGCCAGGAAAGGTGCATGGCATATTGCCCTTGTGTATGGTACGAAGATGGCGTCGGTAGTGGTCAAGTTTCTGTTGGAAGTGGTTCGTTAGAGGGAGTAAACTTTCAATTTGGGTGATAGTAGTGCATGCCAGGATGTGCTGACTTCGTGCAGATTGCTTGTTTCAAAGGGAAAATTGTATATAATACTTACAGCACTGTCTTTGTCGCAGTTGTAAACCTCGCAAGGATATTGCACTACACCATGGCTGTTTCTCTTATGCTCCCGAAGACTTCTCTGTGCATCTGTACGATAATCACAATTGGTCTCGTCGCATGCGAAAGGATACAGCTCCGGATGGTCGGTCTTCTTGTGTGCTTCCAACAATTTCGCTTTAGTGAAAGACTTCTGACAGCCTTCATGACCGCAGACGCTGGCCTCAGCTGCCATCGGTACCGCGAGCTGAGTAAAGGCTACTGAAGATGATGGTGGGTAGCTGAAAGATTGATAGATGTGACAAGAGCAGAAGGAATTTTTGCAGATGCTGTGCTAGGCCTCGTCCGTAATGAGGGCTTCCTCCAAGCAATACTTAGAAGGATGACACACCTGTAGCCGGTTAACAAGATAGACGGAGCAAACAAGATCAGGGAGCTTGCCTAAAACACCCCGCATAGCGCTCCAGGTGATCAAACAGTGGCTTGCATACCTGATTCAGTACCGGTCGATGAAGATAGGCAGCTAGCATAGTCCCATAGGATGGACGAATACCTGGGGGCAAGAGATATCAAGAATCTCTTTGGTTACACAGGTTCCAGTTGCCTTGGAAAACTCCTGCTCCCAAACATGGTGACAAACAAAGAGCTGACGGCCCACTGCCTGCCCGCTGCCGGAGTCACCAGCAGAGTGACTTCAATAGCCGTTCTTCTTCACCACATCAGATTTTTCTGTTATTTCTCCGCAACATGTGATAGAAAGAGTCTTAACGTCACTGTTCGCTGGCATTCGACTTCATTGCACGCGTAACGCGTTGTGGTGGGACTGATCTCTTCTTCTTGATCACCTTTGGAGCTGCTGTCGTCTCTCTCAATTACCTTCATAGCGACATACCAGACTCAAGAAAGCAGCAACGACTAGCGGGTAGAACTCTCTCCCTCTCTCCCATCATGGAGACTTTGCAGCAGCAATATTGGGCTCAGTATGAGGAAGCTATGGAACTTCTCCAAACTGGTTCTGCCGAAAACGTCGAAAAAGGTCTCGACCTATGTGTAAGTACACCACTTGATCGGCGCTCGGAGAATTGACCTTGTAACCAACGTTCTCAACGAGAAGTATGCCAATCCTAGATGGTCGTAACTTGCGTTAGACCTAAAAGGGCCATTGTGAGCGTCGGGGATTGGCCATGCTTCTCCTCATCGAAGACCAAGCCGAGCCCGCCACATGTTGTGGCCATGGCTACCTTCATGATCGAGCAAACCGCTAACCATACTTGCAGCTTGACCTCCGCCGGCGTATTGACCTGGGATTACTCTTACGCGCGATGGCCAACGCCTCGCTAGCAATGTACTCCGAGTCGTCTGCCAACAAGGCTGATTACGCCAACGAATGCCTCGACTTGGCCACAATGATGCATGAGCAGGCCCCTGACGACGACACCGGCTGGTTGGTGGACACAGCGCAGGAACTCGTGAAGCGCATGGCTGTGGAGGTCGGACCGGAAAACGGAGATGCAAAAGTTGATACCCAAACAAGAAGACGGATATCTCGTGGGAAGGTCAATTTACAAAGCACTGGGGGGCCGCAAAAGAGGCTCACGAGGCTCGGGAAGACACTGCGACGGCGTCTGCAGCATTGACAACCAGTAGCGAGATCGGAGAAGACGAGACTGTAGGAGAGTCTCAAAGTTCCGCTGCCACTACCTTCCCTGAGACGCATGAGACCGAAGAAGACTTTGGGGCATAGTGGGCAGACACTTTGTCGCATATACAAAAAGAGAAGATCGTAGAGAAGAAATGAGGTGAGGAAAATCACAACATTGCCAAGAGGTCACGTGGCCGGTCACAAACGAGCAATCTTCCGCAATCCAGGCTCGCCAGGAAGGCCAGCTCCGAAACAGCAAAGCCACAGAATTGATTACCAGTACAGACCACCTAATGCAGGAGGGAAGCTAGGGAGTGTGGGAGTGAAACGGTGGGAGACGGACTTCACAGCTGATCGAAAGAGAGCTGTAGTCAGAAGGACTACAGATAATTGTACATAAAGCCTGTAACTAGGGCTGTAACTCTCGAGTCCCGTCGTCACTTGTACTTGCAAATGACATTAGCTGAAGTTGGCTGAATTGAACCCTACCACAGCCTCTGATTGCTTGGGTGGCAGTGACCTGAAGAAATGTCGCACGTCGACTATCTCTTTGATACCGTTTGGACAAGCTGATCTCTTTCCATCAATCTGGTTGGAAGATTGTGTATGGTACAACACCTATCATCATCATGTACTTCCACCTCCATAGCCTACTAGGGACGTCCAGCTGCTCTGGAAGGCCTAGACTAGCTGACCACTGGAGCAAGGGCAGCTGTCAGATGAAGTCTCGGGTCGAGATATAAGAAGCTTCCGGAAGTGAACTGAGCGCGTTCCAAGAATCTGTGGCCGTAGAGCAAGGACTGTCGAGCAGCGTTGCGATGGTTCCTGTTGTCGGCCACTGCCCAGTGTTTCTGACTGCTGCGACTGATTCAGGGTTACTCTCTTCAGAATACTGTTGTCGCACCAAATGCAGTCCATTGACATCCAAGCGACCATACTGGAACACTTGTGTGCGTCCTTCGAGTTGATTCGAGCCTTCCACGACGTTCACTGCATCTCCGAGCTCTGGATAGTGCTGAAAAAAGGATCTGGAGACGCCGATCTTCTGGATGTCTTTCAGAGTCTCGTCGAAGAGAGGAGATAGTTTGTAGAGCCCCTTCGCGGAATTGAAGAGAAAACAGTCGCGAAGCTCATAGGGCCAATCCACTCGCATGTTATTGATGAAGGTCTCCCAGAAATGATTCGAACAAAATCGATGTTCGTCACAGTCTAAAGCCTGGCGAACACCGGGCCTAAATGGTCAGCTTTACTGTTCACGAATACGTGTATATCGATCTTACCAAGCCACGAAATTGGTAGCGTACGCGCAATGTTGAGCACCCGCCCTGCAGCAGCATCAGTGGATGTGGGCCAGTATAAGCACGGCATGCTTTACCTGCTCAACCAGTATTGAGGTAGTCTCCCATATCGCTTTTTTGTTGTGTCAAGGTGGGCTGTGAGTACTCGGCTGACATTGTACAGAATGCCCAGGCGGTTCTGGGGGGTATCTGCATGGATGAAGAGTCCTTCGTCCATGGTCCGCAGGAGCCGCCACATCGGATGAACGTGTCCTCGTCGTTCGACGGCGTCCCACCCCTCGACAACAGCACGGACTGGGGTGTCATCGTGGTATGGATCATCTTCCGGCACAGGTGGTACCAATTTTGGCCATTTCATCCAGGCGGATAGAGTTGAATTGCCTTGGTACCAAAAGTTGAGAGCCTGGTTCTGCACGGACCGGGCATATCTGCACTCGCAGACGTGTTTCCCCAGAGGCGGAAACAATGGCATGTATTGAGCGTTTCCAATGCCGTGTGAGGAGAAAGTCGGATGCATAATCAGATCACGAGAGGCTTCAGATACATTACCAAGGTCCCGGGAAGCCATATCTTGGTCTGCAAATGATTGGGGAGCACCCTCGACTGGAGAATCCTTGAGTGCTTCGCTGGTTGTTCGATGCGCAGAGGCTGCGGTCGACATATCCTGCACAGGACTGAAACCAGACGAGGGCACTTCGGGCAGCGAAGACACGGTGCTCTGAAGCTTTGTGCTTTCCGCCGCCATTGGTCGCTGTGCAGGAAACAGAATGCTTTCAATACTTTTGATCTTTGCAGCAAGCGAATCACGTTCTTCCTGCAGTCGAGAGACGTTGTCCAAGAGTGATGCGACTTTCCCCGAGTCATCGGCCTGGCTCAGCTTTTCGACGAGATTCTCGAGATACGTAATGCGGGATTTGGTGCGCTCTCGAGATACCCGCTGACACTTGCGGTCAGACTCCCGTTTCTTCAATCTGCGCTCAAGAGTCATAGGCTGGCTACTGGGAGAGGCCTCCACGGAGCCTTGAGACATTTTGCGGCATGCTGAAGAAGCCTCAGACTCTTTGCGTGCCTTCTTGCGGTGAGGTGAGGTCATCATGTCTCACGCCGAACAAGTGAAGTAGAATGCCAAAGGATGGCTAGAACAAAAACGACGGGCTTTGAACATCATCCGATGGCGGCTGATTGACAAGTCACCGTCTCTGTGTCGTTCAGCTGCAGGGCACGATGCTCGATAACAGACAATGGGGTTGGATGTGGTAAGCGAGTCAGAAAGGAAGAGGAAGCGGAATGGGATGGAAATGACCGAACTGGTGGATTGCATCTGTTGTGGCTCGGCCTACCACATACCTAGGCAAATTCTGGGGCTTACCCCGGAAAGTGCTTTGTCCGAGACGCCTGGACCATGCCTCACATGCCTAGACAGCACTAAGCGAGATAGGGTTATAGGCGTCATCAACGTCAAACGCCACCCTCCCAAATGGTCAATGGAAGCCGAGGGCGGGCTGGTTCCAACAGAAATATACGAAGCACGAGTGGTATGACAACCTTCCCTTCTCGTGCATACTTTCGCAGGCCCGTGATAGCTCATTACAAGATTGAGAAATGTGCCATTGCCAGGAAAGAGCGCTATCTGATCTGTGGGATAGCACCACTCCCTCGGAGGAGCTCCTGTAGCCAGCTAGGCCAGCCTCTTAACCCGCCTGCAAAATTGAAGCGAGCGGGTATAATCAGTTGAGCACTCTCGCCCTTCAAAATCTGAGAAACAACAGCTTCCGCCACTGTTTCTGGTTCCATCGTGAATTCTTTCCACTCCTTCAGTGTTGTCAGCTTGTGCGTCAGAGGTGTCCTCACCCAGAATGGATGTACAACCCTGGAAGCTCAAATCAGTTTGGGATTTCCACCAGGCAGCAGCACTTACGTGGTTCGCACTTTATTAGCCCCATACCTTGCTTTCAACTCTTGTGCAAGGCCTTCATGGAATGCTAGAGCGCCGGCCTTGGTGGCGGAGTAACTGGCATTATTGGCGACTGAGGCAAAACTTGCTATGCTGGCGATTGTGACAATGTGGCCGTGGTTGCGCTGAACCATATGAGGAAGGAACTCCTTGACCAGCTTGAAGTGCGCCAGGATGTTGACGTCGAATGTGCTCTGCAATTCTTGCTCAGTTTCATCAAGAATGGTAGCACCGGACCCAATGCCGGCATTGTTGATCAAAATTGAAGGATTTCCGATCTCTTGACGAATTCTTGAAGCAACCTTCTGTATCTCTGGCGTCGAAGTAATGTCTACTCGGTAGAACGACACGTTACCAGGAAGAGCAGATGTTGGACGGTTGACATCAAGGATCACCACCTTGACACCTTTTTTGGCCAGCTGGTCCACGATCTGTTGGCCAATCCCGCTTGATCCGCCTGTACAGAGCACTATTTCCCGACTCCAATCCCATGAGTGGTCGGTAACATAGTTGTTGAGAGCCAGGCGGTTGAGATAGCCATTCACCTTGGATATGGTACCAGCCGCAAGCAGAATTTTGACGGTCAATTTGAACGACTCGAACGAGATTGTATTCTTGGTGATTGAGGAAACAAACTTCTGCGTCTCTGCTGGTCGTTTCACAGCTGCAAGTAGTAGGCTCGCCGAGATAATTGGATGGAGCAGGACGCTGACAGGTCTGAGCAAGTATTCGAGCGTAATGCCTTCCCTTGGAGGTCTGAAAACCGACATGACTGCGCAAAGAGCTATTAGCGCGTCGTTCATCGGCAAGCGACGGAAAGCAAGTTTGTTGTGATGGAGCGGAGGATTGCTGTGTAACTCCCAGGAAGCTCCAAGTCGAAGTCGTTCTATTAATGTAGGCTTACTTTGTGCAAGACAAGGTTCGATAATCAGCGGTTGTGGCTCGCGGATATACCCAAAGTCGTGCAAGATCTTACATGATATGTCAGACCTGCTAGAATGGCACACAATACCACACCGTGGGAACTGTTAGGAATTAATAAAGTGAGATATCAACATGGTTTCGTGACCGTCTCCTATTTGGAATGGAGGAAGATTTGCCTCGGCTAGCGGGGAAATTGTACCAGCCGCACTGTACAAAGTATACGCCCATGGCTTGAAGCTGAAGAAGCAATCGACGTGATGGGGAGGATTCATTTGCTCGCGTCTCTCAGGATTCCAGCATGGTCATTGAGCAATTCATGGGGCTTTGAAGCTGGCGATCCTGGTGACTTGTCATAGCCACGACTGCCTCGACACCATTTGATCCTGTGCCAGATCTATCCGTATAAGACAGATACTCCGTACGGAGTATTTTGAGAACACTTGGGTCATCGGATGGGTCTGGGCCACCGAGGAGCGAGTAGGGAGTAGACTCAGGACGACTCGGGTAATAAAATCCAGTGGCTGGCTGTCATGATTGGCGCTATCTTTTCATACCAAAAGCCACGGCGGAAACAGAAGATGCATACCCGGGACCCTGAGTCCGGGCCAGAGGATGTGTGAGCCGCAAAATCAATTCAGGACGAAACTTGTAAGACTATTGCAATAAAGATGGAAGGCCGCAAATCAAGAGGACACCAGGTTTCGCTCTTAAACACAGAATATTGGGGGCGGCAGGGGCGGACAAGATGAGTAAAGCGGCAAGTGCATTTCTGACGGTAACGACCTCTACGGTCAAAGCGGCGCCAAGCGCAAACAAGAGGTTGGAACAAGTCGCAGGTTGCGCACCAAACACTCGAGCACAACGTGTTAGTAGAGACTACCAGGAGTAGACCGACAATACTAGGAACATCCAGGCAACACCAGGTACGGCAAGATATGGGTCGGACAATTGACCAAGACGTCCACGCGGCGTTTGTCGAGTTCAAGGCCAAAGGTATTGTCATCCTCAGTATTGACTGTATTGTATACCGCGTTACTGTTACTATTACCTGTGACGGTGACAAGATAGGCTGACCGTATCGTCTCCACACAGAGGACGATAAATGCATGTCGGTACAATGCATCTACTGCCAACAGATTCGAGCAAAGAACACCTCCCGTCAGAAGCAGCATCTTCTCGAGTGCCCGGGCTTGCAAAACCACCCAAATGCCCCGCGACCACAATCCTCAGCCAGCGATGCCATCGGCCCAGCTAATGGCTTCGGCACTCCATCATCCAGCCTGCATCAAACAAATGGTCCCATGAGCAGTGGCTTGCCTACTCATAGCACTCCTCTGCAAGGGATCAATTCTACATCCTCAATACCCGCCACCACTCCTCAGGGGGTGTCTACAACGCCAGTGCAAAGACAAACTCCGAAACTGAAACCGCCCAAGGCCACCCCTAGCTCGAACCTTCCTGCACCACCTCTTGATGATGTGCATGCTGCTTTCGTGGAATTCCGGGCCAAAGAGGAGGACAAATGTCTGTCGGTGCAATGCATCTACTGCAACCAGATCAGAGCCAAGAACACATCGAGACAGCGGCAGCATCTGCTCGAGTGCGCAACATATCAGAATGTTATGAAAGAATCTATACCAGCCAACAACCTCCTCCACAGATTTGACGAAGGAGATGTCGCCCGGTCAATGCAGTTACCCACACCCACACTCGAACTCGATTTTCGCATGAGCATCAAAGTCAATCCCAAGATCTCTGTCGGGTCAGCCCTTTATGGCCATCGTGACTGGGTCAGCATTGTTGGAGGACAGTGGGCAGGCAGATGGGGCAAGGGAATCATTATTGTAAGTACATGGTGATAGGATTTGCTCTTGGCTAACACCTTGCCAGCCTGGAGGACAAGATAATCAACTGGTGGTTAAGGACCTTGCTACACGGATTGATGCCACCTACCTTCTTCAGACCAACGACGACCCTCCAGCCTATATTACCGCCAAATCAAGAGGCTGGCGGACCGGTCCCAAAGACGTGCTCGAAAGGTTGAATGATCCCACCGAGGCCGACACGGTTCCAGCGAACCAGTACAAATTTCGCATCTCCGTCGAACTCGAAACTGGTGACGAGAGATATGCTTTCTTAAACACTTGTCTCTGGATGGGAAGTGGATGCAAGAGGATTGGCGAGAGTAAGTCCTACCATAAGACTTCTGACCCGGATCTTCGAAGATTGTGCTAATCGTTTACACAGTCATCTACGACGCCTATCGAGTTGGCTAAACTATGCCATCATCGGCAATGTTCTCCTCATAGCAAGGGCAGGGTCACATTCCAGCTTTAGTCACTGCATACGATGTATCTCTTCCCCTTTCTCGGCTACGACGAGGCGCGCCCCGCAGCAGCACTTACCGTGTCATGGCTTCAAGCAGGCTTGGATGCCTTTATGGATAGTTGCTGAGCCACACAAGCGCACCATTTCTGTCGAGAAGTGTGGCCCGTACTTATATGTCATGCATGAGCAGCCTTGGTCAAATGGCGTGTTACCTTGGGTTCACCTGGGGTTCACGCCCTGCGGAAAATGGAGACCAGCGTAATGCGGATCTGCTCCACGATTCGCCACTGCCCTTTCCCGCTGATAACCCAATAATGAATCCTCTTTACCACACACCCACACTACCGGCACTGGGCCTGATCTGCAACTTAAAGCTTGAAACGTCTTGATTTGGCCACAGCCTTTGATCAGATGCATCCCTTCACAACGCCAGCTATTGCACTCCGTATGTTCACTGAAACCCCTCCTTGGCACGGTCCTTGATAAGTCTAGTACTTCTTCGAGCAGGCCTCCATACAGGTCGACCCAGAATGTTCTTATCAAAGACCGACCAGATGAGGAGGGTATTTGTAAATCACCTCGCCCCAGGCTTAAGGCCACCCATCTTTGGCCCGAATGTTCCAAGCTAATGAGGCTGCGCACTGCCGTGTTACCTTATGTGCCTCGACACCTCAGATCCCTGCATACATGGCTGCTGTATTTATCTTGCCACTGGAGTTGGACACCGAGGTTTCACCCATGCCCTCCGCCAGTGCGAAAGAAATAGCCGCCAACTCAGCTGGCACTTCGTCGAGCTTCAACATGAACTGATCTCATCCTGGGCCAGGAATAATCCCAGAACAGAAATGCATGCCCCCAATGCTTCTGGTGAGCAGCCGCCTCCTCTCCCACGGTGTGTTGACTAGGCTACTCACAATCTACAACTGCAGTCTTTTCACAGGCTTCCACCAGAAGTATACTAGTCAAAGGAAAGGTGAATACTACTCAAAGAGCAGCAGCACTTGGCAATTGATGAATCCGCACCGTCCGGACTTGGATCCTCTGCCGGATAGGGCCCCAAATCAAACGGTGTATGCCTCCGGAAGATCGTGCCATCTTCTGCAAGCACAATGGCGAGAAGTGGTCGGCCTGCGTCTCAATCGGACTTCGAGTACAATGGCACTTTCGAAGCTTTGCCATTGCGTCCAATCTACCAACCCAGTCCCACGACCGCCGCGGTTCCATTGCTAGATCAACAACATGATTCTCAAGAGCCATTATCAGCTCCGCAGACCACGGCTACTGGGTCCTTGCGTTCTGGAAACCGCCCGAGTGCTCCGCGGCCGGCACGACCACAGTATCTTTCCCTTCACGATGGCGATATTGTCGACGGGACCTCTCCACATTCGCCGCAGCCATCTTCCGACATACTGAAGCGCTCGACTAAGCCACTGTGGAAACCTAGATTTCTCAGGTGGCCTCTTCTGCTGTCTACACTCGTGATTGCTCTGCTACTTGGCCTGGTAGTCATCTTGCTTCTGGCGATTTCTGCTGCTCACGACGGTCTAGGCGCAGATGACGGCTCTTCTACCGTTCTGTTTGGCTGGCGCTTTGCACCTACCCTCGTGACGGTTCTTTACACCATCCTGACGGCGATGATCTACAATGATGCGCAGCGGACCGAGCCATTTGCACAGATGACGCACGCTTCCGGCGCTCCTTCAGCATCCAGTATACTGGAGAGCAGAGCACCGTGGTGGATTGTGCTCTTGGATAGCCTCAAGAAGCGCAACAACCACGGCAACGTGAACTTCTTCCTCCTGGCCATCACCCTTGTCAACGTCATCGGGTTCTTGCTGATCAATCCTTTATCATCGGCCCTTTTGCAGAGTCAACCTATCGACCTGATCTCAGAGACGTCGTTCTCCCGATATCGGGTCGATGAAAATGAACCGATCAGTTTGGTGTCCGATGACCTCGTCTACTTTCGAACAATTGGAAACATCCTCCAGAATCTCACAACGTCTGCCTGGCTCACAGATAAATATGCGGTCGTACCGTTCTGGCCTTCATCGGAAACAGCAAACCTTGGAACTACATTGACGGGCTCCAACCAGCACTGGGAGGCCAACTCGACCGTGCTGTCCGTTGACTTTAAATGTGAAGCGATGACGACCCGCACCACGACGTCCGGTGATGGTGCTTTGATCCTCACAGACAGCAGTGGATGCGAGACTTCCATCGGCGTCTGTGGCCAGATAGTCACCAGCCTAGGCGGTGGATCGTGGTTTGCGCCTCCAAATTTTACCTTGACCGTATGGGATAGCCGTACCGATGCGTCATCTGGAAAGTGCTACAACAGCACTGCACAATGCACTGACAAGCAAATCATACTGGCGACCAACAGTACCTGGGAGTTTGACCCGAAATATGATGACAGCCTATGGTTTCACGCTTCCGCATGGTCCTGCAAGACGACCTTCTATGGAGCTGACATGCCCGTCTCTGTTTCGACAGGTGCCAGTGGAACTTCGTTGGCCGTTGATGACAGTGTGTTCAATGATCATAGGAGCGTTGTCCAGTCTACTGTATTTGACCAGGCTCGTTTTGAGAGAGCATTCTTAAATCGGAATTGGACGAGCGTGATATACACCACGCAACCCTCCCAATCGCCAAATTTTGGAGGTGTTTCTGCCCTTTTAGCCGCCCTCTATGACTTTACGCCAGTCGCAATGCTGGGAGCAGACTCTGTCGTGGAGCATGCTCAGAGGATCAAACAACGTTTCTTGGGCGAAATGGCCCTGAACACTATCACGAACAATTCTCCGGTCACACAAAGCGGCAGCACCACGAATACCGAGCGCAGAGTCGTTGTAAACCTTCCTGTTGCAATTGCATTGGCTGTTTTGTTCACCATCTCAGCTGGGCTGACTAGCCTTGCTCTTTGGACCTCCCCCAGGCGTTCCCTCAATCTGCACAACGACCCTGCATCAGTCGCCGCAGTGATCAAACTGACCAATACCAACACCATACTTCGAGATTTTTTCAAGGCACGGAAGCCATTTCAATCTCTCAAGTCTGATGCGCACTTAAGGGCTACAAGGCACTTTTTACAAGATGGGGCTATATCGTCTGCCAAGAGTGATGTGCTGGACCCAGGTATGCACGTACTGCCTCAAATCTCGACATAGCTAACATGAATGTCCAGAGGAAGTCAATAGCAAAATGGAGAGGCGTAGCAACTGGAAGCCTTTTGCCCTTCAGCTCTACGCTGGACTCCTCTTATTGCTGTTTCTGGCACTTGTGTTTGCAGCTATACTGACTCTCTTCACCCTAGCCTATACAGTGGGTCTCTACGAGTCTGCTTTCACGTACCAGACAGACCTCGTCCCTTCCAAATCCTCACTATTTACGTTTGCACCTTATTCTATCGTTCCCACCTTTCTGGCTGTAGTGATTGGCCTGTGGTGGGATGATCTTGACGAGACCTTTCGCAGGTTGCAGCCTTATGTCACCATGGCTCAGAAAGCTGTACCCATCTCGCCGATTGTTGGCTTGTCATATCTTCCAACATACTCGATTGGCTCTGTGGCCAAGGCACTGAGGAATAAGCATGAATATGTTGCCTTGGTGTCAGCTGCGGCTGTCCTTGTGCAAGTGTTGACAGTGTCGATGTCAGCACTCTGGCAAAGAGCTGATGGATCTCGGCCAGGCGACATGACCCTTATACGCAGCCTAGAACCGAGGACGCAGCCATTGGTGTATACATTGGCGGGTAGTACATCAATGGGCTCTGGGGACCTGACGGGACAAGAGATCATCTCGAGCTTTTATGGCGATCTCTCCACAAATTGGCTGTACTCAGCTACATTACAGCTAGCGTACAACGGGTCACAACCGCCGTGGAGTCGTGATGGCTGGAGTTTTGTACCGGTCGACCTGTCCTCGGTGGCCGACTCTGCCATGTACAAGAATACACCATCGACGAACAATTCGGACCCAAACTCGGCGTCTTCAGCAAAAACCGTCAATGTCACGGTCACAACTCCTGCCCTACGTGGCAGTCTCAAGTGCAGTGCTGTGGGACAAGTAAATAACCTATCAAGCTGGACAACCGAGTGGGACTTGACCGACCGCATGGTCTGGAACGTATCCAAGAATCCCACCGAGCTTCGGAAGGGCTACGAGGTCAATGGCAATTTCGAGCTAGGTGCGATTGACGATTTCGCTACGACGCCAATTCTGGCTCAAGACCATACGCTGCTGTGCTGCAGGAACACATCCAGTGTCGATGCCAACAGCGGGACTTCCGCACTTGGATACTGGTCCAACAACTACGCGGAAAACCAGATGTACGACTTCGACGACGCGGACATCACTTACCCTCGCAACCTCACGATGAAGTGGATTCGCGGCACAACAGCGAGTCAGCTATACATGATGAACGAGACCTATGAAGGATATTATCACGGCGAGTATGGCGATTTCCGACATTTGATCTGGACCGAAGCGCCGCAAATGGCGGCCCTCAACTGCCAGCCTCGAATTGAATGGACGAACGCGAGCGTGACTGTGGACATGGCCACCGGTCGCGTGTACAAGTACAATATCGAGGACGACGACGCCATACAGATCCTCGAGAACGCCTGGAGCGACGCTTATCTCAACCACGACTACGTAGCTCCCGGCGACAACGCCAGCACGGGACAATTCCACAACCAGTACACCGTCAGTTTCGGCGTCTTGTTCCAAGACGCGATGCTCTTTGCTTCGGACCTCAAATACTTCTGGCCTTCAGGCGGAGGATCCGAGACTTTCGTCGAGGACCTGGACGACAAGAACTTCAACTTCCGGCTCGACCAACAAGGTCTGAACACCGATCTCATGTCGTATTCAATGTACCAACTCGCCAACGGCGATCTAGACGTGCTGATGGACACGACGCAGATGGAACAGCTAGGCCAGACGGTCTTCTCGACCTTCTTCCAGCACTTTGTATCCGCAAACGTCACGGCCGAAGGAGGTTGGGGTTTCCAAAAGATTGGCGCTACCTTGCCCGCTTACCTCGGCCCCTTGAGCAACGGGACGCAGCCGGATGCGAATACCAGCCTGACTTCGGACACGAATGCGCGCGTGCATGTCGAGATCTCGGTGGAAGTCCTCCAGATGAGTCCGGTTGCTGTGTACTTGTCGCTCGCGATCCTGCTGGTGTTGATGCTGGTCGCGCTGTTCGTGTACAGTGTTGGATATCGGCGGTTCCGGAAACTCAGGCACGACTTTGATGATCTGGCGAGCGTGGTCAGTGTGGTTTGTGACAGTGAGAGATTGCGCGCGTGGGTGACGGAGCATCCGGATCCTGAGACGTGGACGGAGAGAGCAAGGGCGAGAGGAGGGCAAGTGCCGCTCGTTAGGCTGGGCATGTTCCTTGGGAGTGATGGCGTGGAAAGATGGGGGATAGAAATTGTCGAAGACGCGGAGGAGGACGAGCAACGTACGACAGCCACCTAACAGTGGGGGAGAGCGGTCGGGGTGGGAGGAGAATGGCATCAGGTGGGCTTCAGTGGTGACGACAGACGGTGCAACGAAAGACATAGCGACCGACACAGCTAGTAACAAGAGACAGTTTTCACGATGCTGTGCACGCCATGGATCTAGGAAATTCTGAGACCACGATTTTGAGTATGGAGTTCCCGTTTCAGCAAAGAACCTCACAAGACTCTGCAGACATGATACTCTAATTAGTCAAATAGTATATCCCATGAAGCAGCTCATCAGCTCCCGTGCGTAGGGGTTGTATACGATACAAGAATCTTGACAAGGACAATAGCAAAGCCCTCAGCAGACGTCTGCTCTCCCGCCTGAGTCGGGCACCAGGCATCATTCAGCTTCTGGGGACGGTAAAGGTGGTGTTGACGGCAGCTGCTGCACCCACATCTTCTTGTCCTCTTGCATTCTGGCGGCCGGTCTCTCGGTGTTGCTCTGCTTCAAGAACTAGTTTCTGCTCCATTTCTGGATCGGACACCAATCCCATGTTCGAGCCGCCAAGGTATCGCCACAGCTGCCAGACTTCCTCGACGACAGCTTTCGGAGGCCCGACGCCGGGCCGGACGAGGAGGAAATGATCGCTCTGCTCGGTCTGCGAATTCGGGTGCTGCAGAACTGTGTGCTTGGCCACAAGGTCCGCCAGTGCAGATAGTTCTGGCGAGTCAGCGTCGTGGGATGCAAGCATCCTGGTCAAAGGGAAGACGGGTATACGGTGCGTGCCGTCAAGGCTGACCATTGGAGGAAGGAGCGGGTTCGAAGGAAGCGATGGGCTACCACCATCCAAACCAGGAGATCCGGACGGTGTGTCCGCTGACGCGGCGATCGAGGATACCAAGGAAGATGTGTCACCGCCGCCGATATGCAAGAGTATACTGCCTGATGGGCACTCCGGGCGTCGCGCGGCTGAATCAGCCTTGTCAGTGTCCGTGTTCGTCGGTAGAGCAAGCACTTTCACTTCCTTTGCATTCCTGAAGTCGTCCACTGCCTGCTCAGCCAGTGCCCTCAGCGCGAGGAGTATACGTTTCCGCATAATGCGCGCGATACGCTCGTGCACATCCTCCTGCCACTGCAATTGTTTCAGATAATGCTCGTGCAACTTGGGGCTGTCATCGTCACTACAGACACCCGTAGCGATGTCGACCATACGCTTGTTTAGAGCGTAATGCTGCGCCTTGGACATCGCTTCCCGGACGGGCGTGGGGACCAATCTCATCACATGGCCTGGTTTGGTCACTATCTCCTTCGACCCACGCCGCTTGCTCCGCTCCATGAAACTCAGCGTTAAGAGGCGGAACAAGTTCATATCAGACAAGATGCGTGATCGCGGTAACTCTTTGACCTTGTTTGTCCGCCCTGACGGTATGGATTGGGTCTCTTCTCCGCGCGCACGGCGCTCTTGAGCCGCTCGTTTGTCATCGCGTACTCGTCGCCAGTCTTCCTCGTAGACTTCCCGAGCCATTTTCTTTTCCAGCGCCGCGAGGTCTGCGAGGTAAATCGGCGAGACGTAGACCTGTTCTTTTTCCGGCTTCTCCACGAATCCGAGATCCGTGTGAAAGGGGGAAGGCAGTCTCGCGCCGCTGCCCTGGCATGCTCGTACGGGAGCAGCTAGCATTTGCGCCCAGACGTTGTGTTTCAATGCGTCCAGCTCTGGCCATGTCGGCCGTCTTTTCGGTCCCATATACTTCGGCCCAGTCCGTCTAAGTATGGGGGTCCTCGGGAGCGGACTCGGTCCTTGAGGTCCTGCATCGTTTTCTGACACATTCGCCGCTCTATGTTGGGCTCTCTCGACGGCAGGTCTGAGTTGGGAGAGCAGGTTCTTTATTTTCTCTCTTCCTTCGCTGCTGTACGGATTGAAAGTGTTCTTGCGATGCGATCTTAGAGGTTTCTTGTGCGACGATGAGACTTCCTCTTTCGCAGACAATTCGGTCTTTTGCGGAGTTCCATCCTTGACAGGATCTGCTGCGCTGGTCTCGTTGACGCCGAATGGACGAAAATTGTGGAAGGTTCGTTTCGATTTCGCACTGCTTCGAGGGCACGTGAGGAGAATGCTAGGCCGGCTTTGCTGTGCGACGGATCCGCAAAGAGTCCGGATGACTTGAAGACGCCATATAGAATATGGAGTGTGCCGGTATGGGCATTGAATGCTCATACCTCTTACATATCATGAGGTTGAGGTGTGTAATACTCGTAGTAGACGGAGGACCACCCATGACTCGACTTCGAAAAACAACCCATCGCCGCTTTAAGGTGTTGGTTCAGCCTTGCGCAGCTTTGCGAGTTCGTAGATTCTACCATAGTACTCACCCAGTACTCTCGGAATGTGTCAGTCTACTCTGTCGCATATGTCAATGCCAGGCGCACAAGAGTCTAGATTCGGACTCCAAAGTATATTGACATGCTCCCCAAGTATTCCACCTATCCGTACCCATGAACGCCGTCGCTAAGCTGAAGACAGTACGGATATCACAACCTCAAACATGAAAGCTTCACAGCCTCAAGACATCATGTATCCTGACATACTTCTCCGAGACCTGACACTCCATCAATGGCCTCCCTGTATCACGTATCTTCCATTGCCCGTCGTAGCTCTCATCAATGTGCAGCTGGCCCAACGAGTCGACTCCATAATTGTCCATGGTAACCATCTGACCTCCCACAGTCCAGTCGCTAATTTGTACATCGAATCTCACTCCTGATCCACCAGGGACAATACTCTGACCAAGGCCGATATGCCCCGTCGGCAGACCGTCTGGAAAGATGATGTTCTGGATGTTGAAATCCACAAAGTTCTGCAAAGGCGTGATCCGCATCAATCCAGGACAGATCCCCTCGCAGACGATGTTCGTAATATTCATGCTGATATACTTTGTCAAATCAGGTTCTCTGCCACTTTTGTAGAAGGGTGAAGCGCCGATGACGGCGCTCGGCACACCAGTTTCTGATTTCTTGTATCGTGTGTGGATGATGCTAAGGTCACTGATCTGCACACCAGTGACTCGGCGTGAGTCCCAGCCCATTTGGATGATGGGGTCATTGTGGCATTTCCAGATTATAACTCTTTCGATCAAGGCGTCGGAGTAATAAGTCTTGATGGCGTCGTCGTTGACGTGGTAGAAGACGTCGTGGACATGGCTATTGGGGTAGACCTGTGGCCCGTCTGTCTGATAGTAGAATGCCGCAACTTGTTTGTAGTCCGAGATCTCGACGGAGATGTTATCGCTGCCAATGAAGTCCATGGTGTTGAATGGAGGAGCATTGATCGTAGGGCCAACACAAGTCCAGGTTTGGTGATCATGGCTCAGGTTTTGATGTAGCCATAATCGAAGGCTGGTGCCATCTGACTTCAGTCCTCGATAGTCTGCCGCCCAGTTGGCCTGATAGACGTAGTGCTCGCCTGAGAGCACCCCATGGCCAGTGGCGTAGAAGTCCTCCTTGGTTGAAAACTCAATGGCTCCTTTAACGTACGCGCCTGGAGCTAGATACACCCAATATGTGTTTGGATGTAGTCGGATATGGTTCTCGCCTATTCTGCCTTGTACACCGAGAAGGTTCGAATCCATCCAGTATACACCTGGAGGGAAGTAGAGTACGCCAGAGGAGCCCCAGTCGCCTTGATTGATCGGGCCAGGCTGCATGACTATGGTGTCGGAATCCTGCACTGAAGGGATGAGGTCTTTGCGTAGAAAGGCGCTGGCGAAAATCATCAGGGCGTTGGTAGGCTCGACGCCCACAACCTCGCCACCGGACGACACATATTGCCGACCATCAGAACGATAAGTAAAGAGATCGGCGTCGAATTCCACAGAAAATCTGTAGCCTTTTGTATTGGCTGGTACGCGAATGATGATGCCGCCATCGTTTGAAGTAGTCATATCGAATGACAGTGATCGCGGTCGGACCTTGACTTCTGATGTGGGACCTAAGCTGCTTCCATCTCGACTGAGAATCTTCACATCCACATCAGAGGCGTACTCAAATTGCGACCAGGCCATATTGATGCCGCCATCAAGCTCAATGCTGATTCCGTCGTCTTCGTGATCAGGCATCGTCTCAGTGTATGGCGGATCCCATGGCGAATAGATTCTGCCATTTCCATTTCGAGGTATGGACTCATAGACGAAAGAGTTATGGTATTGATTTCTTCCTGCGTTGCTGACTTGTACCAGGTACTTCCGAGATTGACGGACATTTGCATTTGCTACTCTTGCCAGCGTATTGACTTCTCCAGTGCTATGCCACCACGTGCACAGCTGACTATCGCAGCAGGTGTAGTTAGCATAGCGTAGAGTCTTGTCCAGTGATCCAAGCGCGAGACCCACGCAAGTACTGGCCAGGATCAACCAGCGGAGGATGCCGCTTACCACGGCGAAGGGGACCATTGCGAGCTTTCAAATGGGAAATGAATATTTGACCGATGTCATCGCCAAAGGACGGCATCTTGCAGATCACTTCCATTCTCAAAGTCCCGACGATGGACTTACCTGTCTTGCTGTAATCCCACATTGCGGCCGAGATTTCTGTCGGTTGTTCGATCAGGCCTGGGCAGGAATAAGTACAGCACTTTGGTTCGAACAGAACTCGTGACCATTGCGCCGCTGCTCCTTCGACGGAGTGCAAATGCGCCTGAAATCGTATGAGCTCGCATGCACTCGTGAGAGCCGCGAGAGCCGTCGCGGACTCGGATGAACTCGCGACATGGTTGAAAACACTCCACTTTCGGCGACTTCTCTTAGCTTTGAGTCGGAAGAGCTCATGCGTCGTATTCGCGTAAACACGTCCTCAAAGGCCTCCGACCAAGACACAACTCTCGAATAAGGCGGCCCAGACTTTGGCATTGGCATTGCCATTATCATTGTCGTCGAATACCAGTATTAATATTGCCAGCTCAACTTCGATCCTTTGAACCTCACCATTGGAAATAATCAACCATGACCACTCTCGGCCTTTCTCCCACGACCTCGTTGGCAGCGCCAGCCGGCTTCCTCGCCTGGAACTGGTGCTTCGCCTACGTCGTGCTCTCCAGCCGCCCGTGGAAGCAAGCATGCGGAATCGATCACAACGGCAACCCACGGCAAGACATGGCCAAATACGCCGAAACCGCCATCCGCGAGGGCAAGATGACAAGGGCCCAACTCGAGAGGATTCAGCGAATCGAGGCTGCCAGTGCAAACTCGACGGATGGATTCGCCTTTTTCGCTTCTTCTGGTAAGTACCTAGCTAGGTAACATCCTACAGTACTCCGTATATTCCGTAGACTGGGGCGGCCCAGAAATGAGCTGGTACTACTGTAGTAGTCAGGACTAACCTGTTACGAATTCCCAGTCCTCTTCGCACTTATCGCCGGGGTTCCTCGACCAGCGTTGATGGGCGCATGCACCACATACACTATTGCCAGGCTGGTGTATGGAGCAGTGTATGTCTCCATCCCGCATGACCTCTACAGCCAGCTCCGCGGGATTTCTTGGTGGGTGTCGAATGGAGCTTGCTTGTATTTGCTTTGGAAGGGCGGTCGAGGCTAGCTAGCATCTCGAAGAATGAGCTTGAAGGAGTTCGAATCATACTAGTGGTCCTCTCCTCACTTTTTATCCTTCAAGCATTGCATCCGGCATTTCAGCCGGATCTACGGAGGCACTTCAGGATGTCATGCAGAACTAATATGTATATTACCATCAATGTCTATGTCCAGCGTCTGTACACCCCCGCCTTTTTGTTGAGACAATTTTGCTAAGTGTACAGCCAAGAAAAGAAAATAATACGGTTGCCAACACGGCAACCCAAAGGACCTGACAAAATATCTTGCCAGTCCCAAATCATCCAGCTGGGATCGCCTGCTGGTTCCGGCATGTCCTCAGACCGTTGGAGAGGGACTCTGCTTGGTATGTTGTTGGTCGACTGGTGAGATGTAACCCCGTCGAGATGGGATCCTTGAAGCGGCCTACCCCCGTTCCTCCTCGACGCCCGTCTGTCGCTGTTGAAGCACCAGCAGAGGGAAAGGACCACGACCTGATGCATCCGATCAAGTTTAAGCCCACTTTCCCAAAAGACTCATTAGCCCGGCACCCAGCAAGACACAGACGACCATGAAGGTCAACCTCTTGTTATCCTTTGTGCGCATGGGATTGAACAGGAAGTCCCTGGCCAACAACTCGACCAAACCAGTGTAGATCAGGATCCCCGCGGACATGGCATCGAGCACGCCACTGACGACATTGGCGGTGAAGCTGTTGGGATTGTACGTCGTACGCACGCCGAGCCCGATGGCAATGGCAATTGGCGTGGTCAATCCGTACGCCGTACACAAGATCCAGGGCAACCAACTGCCCGGTCTGAAGGGAATCGCCGACATACGGGCGCCGATTCCGAGTCCTTCGAACGACTGATGGAACACAAGCACCGGGTACAACGTGCTGAACTCATCACCCACGACGCCTAAGTTCAACCCAATGACGACGGAGTGGAAGATGACACCGAACTCGAGGATCAAAAACGCCGCGATCTGTTGTCTGAACGAATTCTTGCGCACGTCCGGATCGATCTCGTCGTCCTGGAAGTCCTCCAGGAACCGCTTCTCATAAGCCGACGACTTCCTTCGTTCCTGATGCTCGCGCCTCATCGACGCTATACTCTCGCCACGCTGTCGTTGTTCTTCGCTCAGCTGCGTGTTCTCAATCGCACCATTGTACCCGGTCACAGCCTCTTGTATGTCGGCCTCACTGCTGACGCCGTACTTGACCTCGACATAGCGCTCTGCCCCGAAATCGAGGAGGAAAATCACCACGACGCTCGCCAGCACAATGGCCGGACACCACGCGTAATCGGCCCATCCGCCCGTCATGCCCACGCACGTCTCGGGCCCGATCTCGCCGTACGCCGGGTCGAGGAGGTGGATGAATGCAGTGGCCACGATGACCCCGGCCCCAAAGTACCGCGCAAACAGGTACACGTACAGCGGAATGTGTAGGCGGGGGATGCGCTTCGCGATGACGGGGAAGAAGGTTGCGCACGATGAGACGATCAGGATGACGAAGAGCGCCGAGATACGCGCACCCAGTTGGCCGTTGTAATCGTTGCCCGACGCGGCGAGGGCGCAGATCACGTCTCGCGGATCGGCCTCGGTGAGGTTGACATTCTCCGGGTTGAAGGTGCTTCCGCCAAAATCGGTGGAGGAGTTGGAGGCCATGGTTGTATTTGCTCTTGCTCTTGCTCTTGCTCTTGCTCTTGCTCTTGCTCTTGCTCTTGCTCTTGCTCTTGCTCTTGCTCTTGCTCTTGCTCTTGCTATTTCTCACGTTTCTGGCTCTGGCTCTGGCTCTGGTAGTATTCGTCCTGTTTACCGCTCTGGTTTGTCTTTGGCTCCAGTAATTCGTACAACACAACAGGACAAGACAAGACAAGCAATAGCCAAGAACTGTTTCAACGAAGAGAGAAGCCTTAGCCGTGCCTTGGCCAACACCCAAGGGATGTCAGAGAAAAGAAGGCAGAAGCTTAGCCTGCGACGAAAATGCTTGGTAGATCCGAGAAAGTAGATAGCCGAGAAATGCAAACCAAATAACTGTAAATGCTCGCGTGGTGAAGAAGAGGGCAGGGTAAAGTACCTTCCAAGCTTGTCTTCTCGTTCTTACCGTGGTATTGGGAAAAGTGAGGACCTTAAGGGACTGGGGTCCACTGGCAAAATGTCTGAGCCCTCGCCATTGACGCTGAGAAGCTTAAGAACACTCACAATCGGATGCGCCACTGACACCCTACACAGTAGTACGTGAAAAATCCTCATTGTTCATGTCCTCGATGTCCACTCGGTCGGATATTGTGCCTTGTAGCGTCGATATGGCTCCAAAAAAAAGGACGCGAAGTACAGGCCGTGGATTGGTATCTGAATGCCAGTAGTTGGACAGGACGTGCTTCGGAGCCACATGGCGTGGGAGACCCTTGTCTGACCCTCCGTCGCCCACATGGCCAAGTGGACTCCTAGCAGAGGCCATAGCGAAGGCCAAATACAGGCTGCCAACAGTCAGCTTTATCATGTCTCTTGCATGCAGGATGTTCGCCAGTTCCAAAGAGAGAGGTGGTTAGGCGCTGCCCATAAGACACTCCCCGTGCTTAACGGGCGTGCCAATCCCCCACCAAAAAGGGGCATTCAGCCTCGCGATACAGAGTACAAGTATGAGTACAATCTTTCATTGAACCACCACAACTACTATTTCTTCTTTCTATACAGACAACGCTCAGAGCCACATATGCAGTTTATCTTCATCTGCTCGAAGTAATTGCCCCCATAATCAACTGTCAACTCCTCCCCAAATCCAATATCTCGACGCGTCTGGATGACTATGGCCTGTCTCTGGCCCAATTTGACCGCCTCGTAGTGGGCATTCGGCTCGCAACTGTGATTGATGTACCGCGTCCAATTGCCATAGATTGCCGGGTCGATAATGAAATGGGTTTTCTCTTCCTTGTTGTTGCCCTTGCCCCTCCTCCGTCTGGGCTCCAAATCACCTTCTTGATAGACAGGTCGAGGAAAGACGTACATTTCCCCCTCCTTGGTGCCATATCGGCCTGGCACCTGCAAAGGATATATTTCTCCAATGTATTCGCCCAAAAAGTCCTTCTTCTTGAACTCCTGGAGAGCCCTGACTCCCACACCGGTTTTCACGGTGGCAATCAGCTCGAGCAGTGGATTGGCATGGCCGCCCTTTTCCCGGCAGAGGTCGGTCAACGTACATGAACAGGCATCTTCTTTCCCGCAAGCGTCGCAGAGACGACGTTTGTACCCAGCAAAGCGTGGGTCCCCTTGTGCTAGAATCGGCAAATACGACCAGTCGTAGGTGTCCAGCACCATCGATTGGTCCACATTGACCTGCTCCGCAATTTGACGGTCGCCAACCCTGGGTTTCCGGCGTCCGTTGAGCTTGCCTGGGACTTTGTTCCCGTAAAATTTCTGCTCGGAGAGACCTTCGTTGAAGTGGTACTCGAATTGGCCTCGTTTGGCGTTCTCTTTGCGTCGTGGAAGAACCCAATGATGGGGTATCTCGTCCGTAGGATGATGAACTTCATCCAGATCTTTGGGCCCGATGCCGAAGTTGTCATGGTCAATGCCGCTGGTATGTTGATTTCCCTGGAAGCAGGAAGCCAGGAGACTATCCCAGTCAATGTTGATTGCGTCAAGTTCTTTCCTCCACTCTAGTCCCCTTGTTTTCGCGAATAGCTCCAGGCTAGACGCACATTTCTTGATTTTCGAGAGGATGTCATCCCATCTCGGTTGCTTCTCAGCCTTGCTATCAGCATTATCACGGGAAATAGCGGCTCGGAATGCTTGCGAATGGGCACAAACGCTCAACAGGACAACATTTGGACTTTTGCAAAAACCGACCAGGCGCTCGGGATGGCTCACCTGGAGGTCGTTAATGGCACGTCGAACCACCTTCTTCCCTTGTACGTCGGAAGGTCGAGAATTCTTGAGAATGTTTTTGAGGTTGTCAGCATCCTGCTTCGCATAAAGGTCGAAGAATCGTAAAGTCCTTGCCTTGCGGATCAAGACACGAATTTCAGAACGTTCCTTGTCGCCAATGAAACCCACGGCAGCAGCGAGAATCTCGGCATACAATCTGATCATGAAGCTGTCGACGGTGTCAGCGAGGGTACTGCTGGTCTCTGTCTTACGCGAACTGCTCAGGGAATTCTTGTAGCTGGTGTAGCGGGCAGTGGGTTTCGCGATCCTGTGTCCTCGTCCCTCCTGGGAAGCCTGCTTGTGAACGCTCTGGTCATGGTCTCCGGTTGTTTTCGCTCTCAACCTTGCGCTGCTTCTTGGAGCCATTGTGAATGTCTGTATGTCTTGTCTTGCGAGTCTTCCTAGACGTGTGATGTGTGTGAAACAACGGACATGGGTAGCGAGCAAGAGAGGATTTAGACATCTTGCATCGAAGAGCAGGCATAGAACCAAAGGGCAATGAAAGAAAGTCCATTGTTGAATGGCTGCCAAAAATAAACGCAATGCACAACCAAACAATGAGGCTATTCATGGGAAATGGGTGTGGCACAAAGATACGCAAAAGAGAATGAACTCATCTCATTGTTCGTGGACAGAAAAACAATACATTCAATAATTGGCAGAATAGGAAAGAGCAGGTGTGCGATCGAAGCGGCAGAAAGACAACTGGGCATTAAAAATGAACGGACGGTTGCAGGGCTGAATAGAAAAAAATCTCATTGCCAGCTGGGTATCTCATACAGTTTCAATATACCTTCGCACCTCCCAATCGGTCACCGCTTCATCCCATAGTCGACATTCGTGTTCTCTTGTGCCGCCATAATGCTCGACGAATTCATCTCCGAAGACTTCTCGAGCAATACTGCCTTTGGCCATAAACCTTGCCGTGCTTTCTTTGAGATTCTTGGGCAGGCGCTCGCCTTTGTCGCTGTCCCCACCGACATCCTCTCCTTTGCTCAATGGCGGTAGCGGAATTTCCATTTTCTTCTCGATCCCTCTCCAGCCTAGAGCGACAATCGTGGCCAGGACCAGAGATGCGTTGGAATCGGCACCACAAACTCTGATCTCGAATCTTGTTGCCTTGGCTGACGCAGTGGGAGGTGCAATAAGCCTGATTGAGGCTGCTCGATGCTCGAGACCCCATGATACTGTGACCGGAGCCCAGAAATTCTCGACCAGCCGCTTGTATGAATTGACTGTAGGTGCAATAATGGGCATGACATCAGCCAGACCATCCAGCAAGCCAGCTAAAAATTGACGACCAAGATCCGACACGTACTCAAGGTCTTTGTAAGGTGGATTCGGATCCTTCTCCCCACGATAGAACAAATTCTTGCCTGATTTGTCGACTATAGAACAATGAACGTGTCCACTGTTGCCGGGAAGGCCCTGTTTTGGTTTGGCCATGAATGTTGGAGTAATGCCATATTTACTGCCCATCGCCTTGACCACATACTTGAACAAGCTCGCTCTGTCTGCCATTTCTGTGATCTCACCGTACTCAAGCGCTGCCTCGAATACACCGGGTCCTGACTCGGTGTGCCAACCCTCGATATTACACTTGAATTTTTCGCATGCCTCGAATATGCTGTAGAACCAATCTTGATTGTGGATGGGGTCTGTCAAAGAGTAGCCGAACATGCCCTGGGTGAGATGAGGCAGGGATTCGACAGGATTTTCTTGGAGGAAGGGAGCTGTGGTGGCGGATGAAGGCTGATTTGTTTGTATGGAGGGATCTTTGGGTGCTCTGAAGGTGAAGAATTCGTACTCGGCACCAGCCATAGCCCCATAGCCAGCTCTGTCCAACTTCTTGACGGCGGTTCGCAGAAGACTTCTAGGGCACGCACTGATGGGTTCGTTTGTGTCCGGATCGTAGAAGCTGACAAGGAAGAAGGGCACGTTGTTTTCCCAAGGTATTCGACGATAGCTGGCCAGGTCTATCTTTGCAACCAAATCTTTGTATCCATTCTCTTTATTGCTGATTTTGAGTTCTCGAAAGTACGTCAAGTCGTGCATGTCCCAGCCAAAGATGACGCTGCAGAAGCCAAAGCCATCTTTGGCGACAGAGAGGAATTTCTTCTTGGAAACCAACTTGCCGCGAAGGATTCCTGCGCACGTCAGCAAGTAAACAGTGATCGCACGAGAGTGTGCATACCATCGATGTCGATGCCTGCAAGCTTGACCTTGGTGTCCTGCGCCAGCGCAGTCTCCAGTTCGTCTAAAGTGAGGTTTTCTTTGTCATTCTGGCCGGCCATGGCGGGTATGTGCAGAACAAAGACCTCGGGAAATGGAGACCGCTCTCACCTTGCTGATCGTTTGGTCAAAGGACAAAGAATGCAGCGTCAGATGGAGGCGCAAGTGGAAAGGCGGGGAGTGCACGAGAGCAATACGAAGCCAGCACGCAAGGTATCGAAAGGTGGAGCGGCCGCCGATAAGGACCAAAAATTGTGGCTGGTAAGGCTGCAGCTAGCCAATGCAACGCCTAATAATGATACGAGCGTAGCCTAAGCACGCCTAAGCTAAGCTAGTTACAGGTACAGGAATCATCAGCCACTCTCGAGCCACTCTCGAGCCACTCTACCATCGATGGGCTGGTCAAAGCTGATATATTGTAATAGTGCCATCAGCGCATGCTGGCCATAGCTTCAAACGCCCGAAAGCCTTGCTGCAAGATCCCCAGAGAAATCATATAAGTCCCTGCCATTACCTGCCAATCACTTCCTCTAGCCGCGTTCCTACAACTGCATCCCTCCTGATCCATCCACATTTATGGAGTGAAGTGGATATCATCTCCGACATCACGCATCGCATTTCCTGTAAGAGCAAAACCAAGCCAAACTAAAGAATCCTCGGATCCAGTCAGACGGTCACGCTTGCGGAAACTTGTGGTATGCATTAGATAACACACTTCCACACTTCCACACACCAACCAAGCCCGATATTTCCCCCAAACTTGACTTCAACACACATTGTCAGAGTGTACCACTAGCTCCATTGGCTTTGTGGGATTCCATCTCAGCACATCGCTCTACAACCAGCAGCCCACCCTCTCTAACTTTCTTCCCGACTCACTTGCACTCATATATCAACAAAAAGAATCAGCGGACATGACCGAAACAACACGTCCAGGCCGCCTGGCAGGCAAAACGGCCCTCATCACCGGCGGGGCAGGCGGCATCGGCCTCGAAACCACCATCCTGTTCGCTCGCGAAGGCGCTGCCGTGCTGATGGCCGACATCTCCGAACCCGCACTTGCCCGGGCGCTGGCCAAGGTCAAAGAACTCGTGCCCAACGCTCCGCGCCTGGAAACCATCAAATGCGACGTGTCCAAGGAATCCGACATCGCCGCCGCCGTCGAAAGCCAGGACGCCCACGGCGGGATCGACATCATGTTCAACAACGCCGGCATCATGCACGCACAGGACGACGACGCCATTAACACGCCCGAATCGATCTGGGACCTCACGCAGGCCATCAACGTCAAGGGCGTCTGGTACGGCAGCAAGCACGCCGTGCTCAGCATGCGCCGCCACAAGAAGAAGTCCGGCAGCATCATCAACACGGCCAGCTTCGTCGCGTTGATGGGTGCGGCGACTCCCCAGCTCGCGTATACCGCGTCTAAGGGTGCCGTGTTAGCCATGACGAGAGAGTTGGCCATCGTGCACGCTCGTGAGAATATTAGATTCAATTCGCTGTGCCCCGGACCGCTGAACACGCCCTTGCTGCAGGACTGGTTGGGCGATGACCTGCAGAAGCGGCATAGACGAGAAGTCCACTTTCCTACTGGTCGGTTCGGCGAGGCCATCGAACAGGCTCAGGCGGTTCTCTTCCTAGCGAGTGATGAGAGCAGCTTCGTCAATGCTACCGAGTTTGTGGTCGATGGTGGTTTGAGCAAGGCTTATGTGACGGCAGAGGGACCTCCGACTGCAGGTCCATTGAACAATGTTCGCTAAAAAAAAGGCTTCGTTCTGGACGCCCAAGGAATCAACTCTTCAGTTATGGCTATCGTTATGGAGATGGGGACGATGATCAGGTGCAACAGGCTTGTTTTGCGGTGCCTAGGCGTCTGCTATGGGACTAAACCTATACCAAGACGGGTACTCTGATAGACAGTATTCATACTATAGACAGTTTCCTGAACATCCATCCCCAGTTCCCTCTGAATATTGCGACGTTCCTGACACTTTCTTGGAGTGGTGACACTGGACTTGAGTAATCTGTTCATCGAGTTTCGACCCCCCGAAGCGACATGGTACTGGCTGGAAAACGAAGTTGCAACTTTCGAATTGCGCGGCTCTCCAATGCGACGGGACGGTCGACTGAACGTAAGTGTGTCTGATATGTTCGACTGCCCACAGTAGGCCGACTGGGCGCGGCAGGCTGAGCTGAAGAGGCGCCCCAGTGGAAGTGGTGATAGCCTGGTAAGGGAAATTGTGTTCTGGTGTCGGTCCTGGCGTCAACATCCGTAATCGCCACCTGGGCTGCCTTTGCCGTTCGTTCTTCGTCACTTCGTTCAGGCTGAGTCGTCATTATGAAAGGGGAGCTTGAGATATTTGCTAGTAAGATGCAAAATAGCTCTTGCTGAAGGATGTGCAAGATTGGGTGCTGCTGAGGTTGGCGAGTTTGCTGTCTCGCCAAGCGGTAAAACTGGTCGTGCTTGCCTGCTTGCTGGTGAGGCAGTTTCGTGAGGCGGTAGAGTCTGTTCAGCCGGAGGAGCCGATGCTCACATCCCGAACATCCTGCCCAACTATAATTGGAGATGCAGGCCACCTGGCATTTACAGGTTTGAAAGAGACGCTCAACGTGAGATGTATACAGCGTTGTTCTCTGAGACATGACGTTTGACCAGGGCAAATTTTGCAGCCAACCAACTTAACAACTTTTGACCTCCATTTACGCTCCTTGATCACAACACTTCATAAGCTTAGTCCATATGCTTGTGCTCGAGCTTTCAGAGGACAATAGTTCCCATTCTGACGATGTCCTCTCCATGGTTGGAGAATTTGCCTTGTGAGTCCAGCTTGGCTTTGGTGCCTTCTTCAGTCAAAGTCACGGACATGATACCCTCGAGAGTCATGAGCGTCCTGGTCGCAGCAAACGGGTACCAGATTGCTCGACTGATGGATTGAGCTATCCTTGACAAGACTCCCTTTGGTCTGGGCGCATCTTCATGGACAAACTCAGGCTCTTCCATCTGCTGCACGAACGTCCGATCCATCCGAAACTCGTAAGGAGGAATGAGATATTGTTTTGGTCGCATGAAAGGTATAGGCCGTCGTACCTGAACCAGCAGCTTGACCACACCGTCTGAGGATACGAGATCAATCGATCTAATGAGGTTTATTGGGCGCAAGAGGGCGATACATCCGAGCGCCGTGAATGTGATTATCCCAAGTCGGTACCCTACTCTTACAACCCAGTGAAACCCCGAGTCTGCATCGTATGCCCACAGATTACTGAACGCCAAAGCTCCTGATGTGATGAAGCAGGATGCAGCTATGATGTACGAAGCCCCGAGAACTCCAGCATGCGATCGCGGCCTGTATATTTCTCGCTGGCCCGCAGCGTACAGTTTTGCTGCGTAAAATTGCTTGTTTGCGGAATCTGGAGGCAAGGAATGGTCTATTTGTCCTCCCGGACGTTGAGGGATCGTTCGCGAAAAGGAGGGCTGTGAGGAGCCTTGAGGTTTCGTTGCTGGTTTGGGAGGGAGCGAGCTGGCAAAGCGACGTTTCGCACAAGTTGCTGCAAGCCGAAGACGAAGCAAAGGCCGCAAGGTATTAGGATGGGGAGGCATTGCTCAAGGCTAAGGCAATGTGATCAACCAGCTTGGAGGTTCAGTGTGGAAGACAAAGACATGCACCGACTCAAACAGAAAACAAAGGAAGAACGAAATGCTACAAAATGTGCAGTTGAAGGTGACAAGACATGACCCGGCAGAAGCTGTACAGTATCTCGGTGGAATATACGGAGTACCTTGCAATGTAGGTCATTTTCAAAAACATGTTAACTTGAACAATTTTGTCCGATCAGTCGACGCGTAATCTGGCCAGGGAAGGTTAAGCGAGACGCCCCCGGCACCCATATGCCTTCGATTACTCTATCAAGCTACGGAGCTACTCCGTAAAGATCCAGCTATTTTGCGCCAGCGTTCGTATCGCATCTTTCTCGATAGCAAGGGATGAGGACGGCTAGCATACATGTAGGTGCATAGTCGACTCCGATGTTTGTCTTGCTTAGAAGTGTGCGATAACCTCTGCGAGGTCGGTCATATCCTCCAAAAAGAAGTCGTTTTCTCCGTCCACAACTTCCATGTCCTCATTGATATCATCAGTCCACCTGTGAACATACACCGTCCTCATTCCTGCTTCCTTCGCACCTCGAGTATCATAGGCATGCGCAGCAACCATGACCGATTCCTCCGGCTTCACTTTTACCAAACTCAGTGTCTTCTGGTAGCTCTCTGGCGCAGGTTTGTAGACTCCTAGTAACTCGCTGGAGAACAGCATGTGGAACTTTAGACCCGACGATTTACACAGGTCGAGCTGTAACCTCGGCGTACCATTCGCAAAGACGAACACCTCATATCCTGCTTCCTTCAGCTGCTCGACGGCGCCGGGGACATCCGGCCAAGCGGGCATTGAGTGCCACACGCTGACGCATGTGTCCTTTGTCGGCTCGTCAAACAGGTGTTTGTGGTCTGGGTGCTTGTCCAGCAATGCTTCCAGTGTGTTGAGGAGAGTAACGTCGATATCTTCTGGAGGCTGGTTGGCGGCAAGACGAGCGGCATTGGCATCGAAGTAGTCATGTCGCCATTCCAGAGCGAGCTTCGATCTGTCACTTTCAGGGATTGATTGCGGTAATACTCCGATCGCTCCACTGTGCCAGTCCAGGCATGTACCCATGAAGTCAAAGAAGACCGCCTTGATTTTCGTGTTTGACATATTCTTGTTCGAGGGAAAGTCCCGTGGTGATTATCAGTTCCAACCGCAGCACACTGCTTTGGACTTATAGTCGTAGCAGCAACGATGTGTCCTCGAGATAGATACTTGATGCTTGCTGCATGCCGGGCCCGCACTCAGGCGAGGTTACAGGACCTCCGCGTATCTGGCTTACGTGATTCACTCTAAGTTGCTGCAAGCATAAGTCGCTGGCCTAGTTGGTGGCCTAGTGGCCTGGTGAGCATAACCGAGCACCTACACCTAACTTAGTGACCCGATCATGAGGGGTAGTAGAGGTATGTACCTGGGGAACCCAGAGGGGACCCTGAGGGGACCCCAAGACTGAGTCTGTTATATGTAACTACGGTCATATTCTACAATGATCATCATCCCTCCCCCTTTCATAGTTCGGAATTGTTGAATTTGCGGGCGACGCAAAGTAGAATGCGTCACCATCTCATACTCACCTTGCCTTGTCTCACTCTCCTCCATGGCAAGAAGCTGCCAATTCTGCCGCAGGCGCAAGATAAAATGCGACGCAGACAAACCTACCTGTATGGCCTGCCGTAGCAGAAACAGACCATGTGTCTACGACAGTGGCCAACGGAGGCAGCGTCCTTCTGCAGCGCTCATTAGCTCGTTGCAGAACGAAAAGTCGGCTTTGGAAGAGGTATTATCTCAGCTGAAGTCGGCCAGTGATGATCAGAGGCACGCCTTACTCGAGTCTGTGAAGATCCGGAACGGAAGTGTATCACTATCCCCAAGAGCGCGCTCATCGTTTTCAACTGTGCCTCAGAACGCGTTGAGCATCTGCGAAACCCAGCATTACCCTCAGCCCGCGCTTCTGCAGCGTGAAAACTCTCACCATGCGCAGGTTGTGCCAATGACAAGTGATGATGGTGCGCCACAAAAGCAAAACCCGCACGACGACATCGAGTACGACTTTGACGATGGTGATGAGCCTGGAGTGTCATCAGAAGAGGATGGCATCGGCGACGATTTTCATCAGACCGAAACAGTGCGCGAAAATGAGCTCCCAAGCGATAACATCTACAGCTCAACATCTGTTATCCCGGTGTCCAGTCCGGGGAGTGCGATCCGGCCCGATACTCCTGGGCATGTGCAATCAGCCGTGTCTATGCAAGTTCTGAGAACCCAACTGTTTGCCAATGCTGCCATGGAAAGGCAACGGGAGCACCAACTACGGCATCTCAAGACCATACGAGGAGTCCCGGCCGAGCTGGCACTGCATCTCCTGGACCTGCACTGGAGCCGGCAACACCACACATTCTTGTTGACGTATCGTCCTGCTTTTACCAGGGAGTTGGAACATGGTGGACCTTATTGCACCGACCTCTTACTGAATGCCGTCTTCGCCTGCTCATCGAAATTCTCGGAGCGTGTCGACGTCCGCAGTGATCCTGATAACCCGGAGACCGCAGGACGCCACTTCTATGACCGCTGTGATGACCTACTGCTGCACGGAGGTCTACTGAGTCAATCACGAATCCCGACCATCATAGCACTAGTCATGCTCGGTTCGACGTTCAATGCTCGAGGGCTGACCTCCAAAGGTTGGCTGTACACTGGTTATGCCCTGCGAATGGTGTACGACCTGGAGCTCCATCTAGACTCCGTTGCCGTCAACGCTCACAACGTCGAAGAGGTGGAAATACGACGACGTGTGTTTTGGGGCGCTTTCATCTGCGAGAAGCTCCAGAGCCTATACCTCGGACGACCTCCTACGATCAGACTGCGAGATGCTCATGTCTCACTTGATTTCTTGGACACGTTCGAGGAACTAGAGGTGTGGGAACCCGATCCAGACCTCAGGGCCCGCGGCTCCAGCGCCGGCGTGCCCTCGACCCCAACATCGACAGTCGCTCCGACGGCCTCGACCTACACTTACTCAGTCACTGTCTTTCAGCAACTCTGCCTGCTGTCCAAGATCATGATTCGTATCATGAACAAAATCTACTTTGTGGGTGCCACGGCGAGGAAGACTCTCAATGAGATCCGTCCACTCGACAATGACCTGATAGCATGGTACCGCAACTTGCCGAAGCACCTGGTGTTTGAGCCGTGGGCGAAGGGTTCCAAGGATCCGTCGGTCATGGTCGCACCAAATCGCGTTGTTCTTCTGACGACATATCATTCGCTCGTCATCCTACTACATCGGCCTTTCATTGCCGGCTCGGCCAGTACCAATGCTGCCCCGGATGGCACTGGATATGCGCATAGCAGGAGGCCATCGGCGGAGTCGTGGAAGCGATGTGCTACAGCAGCGCGCAACATCACCAGCCTTGTTTTGAGCTACCGTTCCGTATACCCATTGCGCAGGTCCAGCTATCTGCTCAGCTATGCTGTGTACGTGGCGTGCACGATTCATGTACTCAATGCTGCCTCTCTGTCTTCCGGCAGTGGCAACAACGCCTATGCCGAGTCCTCTTTGCTCTTGAGCACGAGTCTTCGATGTCTCGACGAGCTGGCTGTGCCGAATTCTGGGGTTGCCGACACTGCGAGCATAATCCGCAAGCTCATGGCTGCCAAGGGCGTACATGAGTCGCCAAGTAAGTCTGTTGGCTACCGGTTTCGGTGCCACTGTACCTCTCTCCCTTACAATTGGCGTACCTGTGACTGACATTATCTGTCCACCCACCCTTTAGCACCCTCACTGGCCCATATTTCAGCAACCCACCCTGGACTTGACAATGTCTGGCAGAATTTCAACGCCTCACCCACTTACGATGATTTTGCTCAGATGGAGCCTTTCCAAGATATTGGCATGCCCGGTCAGGATTTACTGGTTGGCTTCATGAATGAGAATGTATCTTTCGCGGACCTCGGTATGGGTGGAGTCAGCTTCTAGGTGCAATGTCCACGTGAATGTCCAATCTGTGTGGAGTATCCCAGGACGTCTGTGGTTCAAGGTGTACAGTCACGCAAACGACTTTCTTTAACGGCCTGTTCTTACGGGCATTAATGTCTTAGACTCCAATTTAAGTCATAGCTTGTGGGATACAATTTCCATTCAAAAGGGGTCCATCATTCAAACATGCGCTTCAATCATGAAATTTATTGAACCCTCTCACGCAGTACATTCACGCTCATTCCAACACTCTCGGATCTTCGGCTACAACTTGATCGTAGTAAGGCTGGAAAGCCAGCCACATCTTATTCGAGTTCCCGCTTTTCTTATGCGTGAATTCTGCCTCCTCCTTGGCAATGTACTTCTTCTCAAAACCCGGACAAGTCGCGGCGTTGGCGAGCATCTGGGCGTGGCAGCAGCGGTCCAGAGCTATGAACAAGAAGGCCGCCTCGTCGACGGTCCGACCACATGTGATCATGCCATGGTTCTGCAAGATGACGCTTCGACAGGTAGGACCCAGTGCTTTTGCGATCCGTTCGCCTTCTTCTGCCGTCAGGACCGTGCCTCCGTAGCGCGGGTAGACGGCCAGATCGTTGTAGAACCGCAGGGCGTCCTGGTAGAGCATCTCGATCGGACGCCCGAAGCAACTGAACGCCTTGCCGTAGACACTGTGGGCGTGACAGGCCGCATTCAGGTCCGGTCGTGCCCGGTGGATGGCGCTGTGGATGGCGAACGCCGGCCCATTGATGGCGCTCTGTGCGCCGCCGGGCAGGACTTCGCCATTCTCGCTCACCAGCACAAGGTCAGAGACCCGGATCTGCGAGAAGTGCGTTGAAAGTGGGTTGATCCAGAAATGCTCCGGATTTTCAGGATCACGCAGCGAGATATGGCCAGCGACGCCTTCATCGAAGCCTTGCTTGGCGAACACCCGAAACGCCGCGGCGAGGTGCTGTTTCATATACGTGCGGGTATCCTCGACGTTGTGAAAGGACGGCGGGCTTCGCAGCTTGACCTTGCCGTCCTTGTCACCCAGAAAGTGTACATCTTGGGCCCATGACGAAGAGTCGGTGGGCGCCGCCTCGACCGCGGGTGGTACTTCCTTGGTAGCCAGCTTGACGTTCGAAAGCTGGTGCATCGTCGTTTCTGTCATGGTAGCTGAAGGCGCCATGGTGGATTTGAGCCTTACGGCCAGTGAGAGGTGCGTCGAAAATGTGTCTTTAAATTGGCTGCTACGAAATGGTCGTCCTCGTGGTGCTCGTAGTACTGCTGGTGCAGCGTAAGATGGTTTAAGCTGGATTCGGTGCAGTCTAAGTCCCGCCATCTGTCTTGAAAACAGTCTGTTTTATCCTCAACTGGATCTTCGCCTCCCCAGAGAGTCTAGCTCGCGATGGAGCGGCAGTTCGATAACAGTGATGTGCGTCCTGGTCGATCAGCGATCCTGGATCCACTGGTTGTTGTACGGAAGGCGGCACAGGTTGGCCGTCGCCAGAGAGCGGACTTTATTTGCCGTCGTTTCGATCCTACAGACAGACAGGGATGTAGCGGACGGCGTTTCTGATGCCGCTCCCCGTCATCAGGGCCGTCGCGGGGCCTCTGTTGTTTCCCCAGGCTGTGGACCCCTTTTTTTCTGGCGCATGCAACGGTTTCCAGCCGAGATTTGGCGATCACTTGGAGCAACCAAAAGCAGAGACAAAAGTTCCTGCTCCGGCTTCGCGTACTGTCACTGTTGATGTGGCCCTTCCCTTCCATTAAATATCAGACATTGTCACATGACTGCAAGGCTCGAAGCTAACATCAGCCACCGAGGTTCGCGACTTGCTGTCGACACCATTATTCAAAGTCTTTTATAGCCATTCATCGATAAGGGTGCTACTTCCTGCACATATTCGGACACTGCGCGAGGACTCCCTTACCGAGCGAGCAAGAACGTCTCATCTTGATCACTGGATTTTGCTTGCGCCAGCCATTATGAGGGCAGTGGGTATCCGGGGTGGTAAGGGCAGTGCTGATGATTTGTTTATTGAGGAGAATGTACCGGAGCCAGTTGTCAGTGGCGACCGCATACTGGTTCGAGTATATTTCTTTGGCCTCAATCGCATGGACATTATGCAGCGGGAGGATCGATACCCGTATCCATTGCTACCAGAGTCCGGCAAAATTCTAGGGGTGGAATTCAGCGGTATTGTTGAGGCAAAAGGACCAGACTGTGCGGCACCCGTTTCTCCTGAGCTTCCTCATACCTCAGCGGAGCCAGGCTACTGGTGATGGATCTGCTGACATCTCTTAAGGTAAATCCGACTTTGAGGTTGGACAAGAGTGTTTTGGTCTGGCTTATGGAGGCGCTGTAAGTATCCGCTTCCAGCGACAGGCCATTTTTGCGAGTCTTCGACCGCTGATTCATACGTCTCGCACGTAGTACGCCGAAAAGGTTGCCGTGTCAGAAAAAATGCTGATGCACAAGCCTGGAAATATTAGCTTCGAGCAGGCGGCTGGGTTTCCAGAGGTGGGCTCCTTTGCATTGATGACGACACCTTGCACCTGTCTTCGATGAGAACTGATGAAAGACGTGCTTTTTCTAGACATTCTTCACTGCGGTCCAAGCAATCCACCTGATCGGCGGCTTGGAGCCTGGCCAGTCCGTCCTCATTCATGCGGGTTCGTCAGGGGTAGGCCAGGCTGCCATACAGGTCGCCCGCTGTGGCGGCGCCTCCCAAATATTCACAACAGCCGGCAGCGATGAAAAGTGCAACATGTGCAAGTCACTTGGCGCAGACTTCGCTATCAACTATCGAACCTGTGGTGAAAACGATTTTGCTGAGGTCATTCAGCGTGAGACGGGAAGCAAGGGCGTCAATCTGGTTATAGACTTGGTGGGCCAGTCATACTGGCATCGTACAACAGCTGCCGCCGCCATGGAAGGCCGTATCGTGGTCGTTGCAACAATGAGTGGGCCCATCATCGAGAAATTCAGCATGCGAGATCTGATGAACAAGCGCCTCTGGGTCATGACAACAACATTACGCACGCGTCCAGCCGACTATCAGAGACAGCTTCGCGACGTGGTGGTAGAGAAGGTGTTGCAACATTTCGTTAATGGCGGAATCAAGGTCACGGTTGACCAGGTGTTTCCTTGGAGTCAAGTGGGAGCGGCGCACAAGAAGATGGAGTCGAATACTCATGCAGGAAAGCTGATATGCAGGGTCGAATGATATCGCTAGACCTTGAGGATTGATTAGCAGAAAGTGCAGCGTTGAATACGTTGAACGATATCAGTCTATGATTTCAATTATATGGGCTATCACACATTAAAGGATTGGGGTCTAGATAGATCCAGTATTGGCATGATCAATGCCTCCTTACAATAGGCAGAGATGGGTTGGCCGAATACTTGTACAGGTGAAAACCGATACTCAGAAGCCAATAAGATATCTCGCTTCATGCGGTACAAAGAATTGACCCACTCCACGGTATGTATCTGTTGGAAGGCGTAACATCCAAATCGTACAGCACATTATGAAAACATCATACTCAACGCAACTTCATGCTCATAAATCTCTATTGCAAGCCCATAACCTAGACCCCCAAGAGCCTGCTGAATGCCGTTGTTTCCACCGGAAACATGTAGCAGATATTTCAAGCCGCGACGTATAAAGTTGCTTCGTCAGGGCAAACCAGCAAGGCCCGAAGTTGATGTGCAGACCAGCAGTCTCCGCAAGGCACAAGCTTTTGATAGCTTCAGACTTTTTGTGGGCTCTGGTCAATGTGCTCTACGCGACCATGCTCATCTCCTTTGGCTGGTGTCTGCTCTTCGATGTCGCGGGCCGGCTGGATCTCATCGCCGATATAGTCCATCTTCATATTCTGTTCATCGTGAGCGGGTACAACCTTGTTGGGATCTTCAAGATCCCATTCAAGGTTGACGTCCTTCAGGGGCATGCAAGCCAGTGTCAATGAAAGCAGACCGATGACCTTTAGTAGCTCTGGTTAGCCGATCGTGAAACAGACATCGAGAGCAAGGTTGAACTTACAATACCAGCGAGAATGAGAATTATGTGTCCATAGTTAGGAGTATCTTGTTTAGTCCGCAAGCTATCTCCCATCTTGGTCTCGATTGTTGGAGCAATGGACGAGATAGCGTTGCCAAGGTTGTAGCAGACACCACCAAACGCAGCTCGGATGCCTGGATGCGGACAGACCATTTGCAATATATTGCCAATGTTACCGATGGCGGCTCCGTAAGAAAATTCGAAGAAGAAGGCCGCAGCTGCAAGATTGTTCCAGCGCGTCGGCAAAATGATAGCCGGAAGCATGGGAGCAAGAGAAATGGCGAAGCCGAAAGGAACCCATTTAGTGCTGTATCTTGACATGTATCCTCCCACGATGCCGCCGAGCACTCCGCCACATTGGAGAATCACGGTGACATAAGTCTCATGTCGAGAGCTGAGACCACGCTGAATCTCTAGAAATGAGGGATAAACATCCAGGTGTCCGTGACCTAGAGTGTTGAAGCATCCCGTCAGGACAGTACAGTAGATGAAGATAGGCCAGTGCCTAGTAATGGCAAAGCGAAATTTGACCCAGAACGGTAGCTTTCCTGATGGGCTAGATTGTTCGTGGGCAACATCATCAGGCGAAGCGTCGTTCCCGTGCGGCCCGACCAAGCTGTAGTCTGGCGTTATGATTCGAAGGGCAACGGCGGTGACCATGAGACCAGCACCGAGGTAATAGAGCGGACGCCAGCCGTACTTATCTGCGTGGTGATAGCATGTCAGCCAAGCACAGGAAACGAAACATGGAAGAGTCTCACCCATGCCGAAATGGAGCCCAGATGCAATCAGGTTTCCTGCACCGAAACCCTGCTGCGTGAACCCGGCGACAGTACCCCGTGCATGACGAGGGACAGCCTGCAAGACAGCTGCCATATTCACCCCGTACATTCCACCATATGTCATTCCTGAATGGTCAGCACGATGGCCGATGAAGAGAATCGTCATTGCACTCACCGAAGAGAAACCGAACGCCAACTAGTTGTCCGTAGGTGTGAACGAATCCAGTACAAAGAGTGAAAATACCCATGAGTATTAGATCAACAATCAACGGTATCTTGCACCCATACTGATCGGACACGATTCCCACGATCCCGGCTCCCAGGGCGCGAGACAGCATCGATGTCGTGTTGGCATAGGCCACCTTGGATGTCTCAACGCCCAGGGCTTTTGCAAGATCGGGCTGGGTGTAAGGGAGGAAGTAGAAGTGGGCGGAGGCCAGCGTCCAACACCACCAGGACGTAAAGAAGACCAGTGCTTGCGTTCTTGACATCCTCAGGGAGCCTGCAAGCTCCCGGGGAAAGTTGAGGATCTCTTGAACGACACCCATAGCTGACTGCAGACAGGGGGTGGAAAACGATTTGACAAGGGAGATTTTGAGAAGGGGTGAGTAGGGACTTCAAAAGTCACCAGACGCAATCCGACTGGAACAGAGAGGACACCCAGGTTGTAGACGAGCCTTGTGAGAAGCAGGTTGCATAGTCATCTTAATAACTCTGAAGGCACAGGATTCCCCGGCTTTTCATTTGCAAGTATCTCGACGAGGACTTATCCGTCTAGTGCTGTTTAGTGAAGTCGAGGTCGAAAGCTGCATAGTCCTGAGAATAGTGGTTGTTGATCCGTTGTACCCGGGGTATCTGGGGTCTCCAAAAAGTGGATCGCGCAGCATTCTTCTCCGCCAAAAGGACACCCGCCCGGCGTTGTAATCCCGCTTCATCACGCCCTGCTAAAGCTTGCTTGCTCCAAAGACGGAGTGAACGACGCGGCATACGATTCGCGCATCTACCACTGATGCCGAGTTTAAAACAGTCCGTCTTGCTTGTTTGAACTCGGCCCTGGCTACGCTGCATCCTACCAATCAAGCTTGTTTATATAAGCCTTTCGAAATCACAAACACACGAACACGATATCATACTTTGGCAACTCCAGCATTGGCATTTTTGGAGGATCTCAACTCGCGGCTGCCAACAGAAGAGACCAAAAGATGGCCTCTGCCGCATCTCTCGTTCCGAAGGGAGCGTGGGACACGCACATTCATGTCTTTGACCCTGACAAGTTTCCTTATGCGGCGAAGCGGTCGTACACACCGAAGGCGGCACCAATGTCAGAATACCCGTCCTCAATAACGGGTTGCACAGGTGTGGTGGTCGTGCACGCTTCGATGCAAGGGTCTTCGCCCGCGGCTCTGGTCGACACTCTGAACAAAGAGAAGAGTATGCCGGGCTTCAAGCTACGCGGTCTGGCAACCATCGACGTCGATAACGTCACGGACGCGGAGCTGGATGCTCTTCATGCCGCTGGTGTCCGCGGCGCGCGGATGCACGAAATGGCATGGGGCCATGGCCAGCAGAAGGGCGGAGAGCAAATCATCCAAAAGGTCAGAGGCCTGGCCGACCGTCTCGCCCGCCTCGGTTGGGTCATCGGAATCTTTTGTCCCTTACCCGCTTGGGCGGCCATGGCAGACTTTATCCGTTCTTTAGACCCCAGAGTCAAGATTGTGGCGGACCATTTCGGCAGCACTTTCCCTGGCGACGAGAAGACACCACAATTTCAGACTCTGCTTGCCCTGATTCGGGAAAAGCGTCTTTTTATCAAGATCTCAGGGTTCGAGCGCCTTTACCACGGCAACCCTGCTGGTATTGATAGTCTCACTACAGCGGCAAAGGCCATTATTGAGGCGGGACCTGACCAGATCATGTTCGGCACCGATTGGCCACACACACAGCTTGGTGTCACCCGTAAGGGAAAATCGGACGAACAGCGGCTCAACGAAATCGAGGGGTTCCGAGAAGTTGATGATGAAGGGCACATTAGAAAAGTTCGGGAGTGGATTCCAGATGACGAAACATGGCAGAAGCTCTTTGTCACGAATCCGCAGCGGTTGTTTGAGTAGATACGGGTGCTTACAGCCATGGCATACCTATGATAGCTATAAGAGAGACTAGCTTATAGGAAATCCTTATACCGCACAACCAGATCAAAAGCCTTGTCCCGTCGTCTTTGGACATACTCCGTCAAGCGGATTTCCACAGAGTGACATTACCTATGCACCGCTCTTTTACCCAAGATTATGACCCAGTCCAGCATGACTTCTCCCGGTTTCGGGGCTAACACTCGACATGAAGGCAAAACAAGGAAATTCAACGCTTGCGTAAACTGAGCAAAATACGACAAGACGGAATCGTTGTTCGTGTTCTGCGGATGTAACGGCCGCTTCTTCAACGCGGAGCGCAGATCCCGCAGCCGTGAGAAGGGCAGACGTTGATCAACAGGCTTCTCTAGACCGTACCGTTTTGGCCTGAACAGGCGGGCTTTGGATTCAATACGCTCATCATCCTTAGTTGGTTCGAGTTAATGCTAGAAAGATACCAGCCTCGCAGTATCTGTAGCCGGTCCGCGGCGTCCATATATTGCCAAGCCCAATATCCAGTTTGAGGAGAGGGATCATTCACCAGCCTTGATCGCGCACTCTGTTCTTAATCCAACCTCGTACCAGTACGCGTTGAGTCTGAAGCATTGCCTGAAGGGTACTCGCAGGGCAGTCATGATCGACCGAGATGCAAAACCCGGCATTGCGATCCTGTCAATTGGTGACATGGGTCTAGGTATTGCCAAGCTACTTGTCAGTCAGGGACATCGGGTTTCGACTTTTGCGGAAGATAGAAGGTCAGTCAGAACATGCAGGACACACTGGATTGGTATAGCCGTTATACCAACCGGTTCCCAATCCCCCGATGCACAACGCCCTGACCAGCGTGATACTGTGCAAAATTGACGAGTCAACGTCTAGTGACTGTACCAAGGACCGAGCTCGATCGAATGGAATAACACTGTTACCATCCATTGGTGATCTTGTAAAGCAGTCTGACTGCTTGCTATCAATTGTTCCTCCCCGCGATGCGTTGGCTACAGCGCAACGTGTCTTTGATGCGACACCCATTGACAAGAATGCAAGACGTCGGCCCCTTTACTACCTGGACTTGAATGCTATATCACCCGGGCTTGCAATGAAGGTGGAAAGCCTTTTTGCCAGTAATCCAAATATCATCCTTATCGACGGTGGCATCATAGGAGGCGTGCCGTATCCGAAGGAAGACTCGCCCACCGGTTGGAACTGCCCGTCACTGATCGTTTCGGGCCCGACACAGCTTCCTTACTCGAATCTCGTCGATCTCCTCAACATTGACCACATGGCCGAACATGTCGGCGCGGCATCTGGCCTGAAAATGCTGTTCGGTGCCACTACCAAAGGCTTTTACGCGCTTGCCATCCAACAATATGTGACCGCTGAGGCCTTGGGTATTCTACCGCAGCTACGAGCGTACATGAAAAGGTATAACGCTGACACAATGGCCATTGCCGACAAAGGTGTGGTGAGCATGCCGCCCAAGGCATACCGCTGGGTAAATGAGATGCAGCAGATTGGGTTGACGATGCAGGAGAATGGCGGGTTTAGCAAAGATCTGTAAGTTCAAACACTTCCTGCGAATGATTTAAAAAGAGTAGATGCAGTGATCGTGAAGAGCTGACTTGGCGGGCGCTAGATTCGATGGTGTAGCCGAGGTATATCGTGTAGTTGCAGAGGACACTGACCTTGGGTTGGAGCAGCCTGGGCGACGGCAAAGAGGTACTACCGTAGATGACGTTGTAGCAGTGATGAGGGCCGGTATGGCTTCAAGAAAACACGATTGAGAATCAGCTTTGCGGACCGTCGAAAGGAGAGCTTGTACATTCTGCTTCGACAAGGTTGTCTAGTGTCTGCCGGACACTGATTTCGTCTCGATTGGGGAAGTTGCAGAGAAAGTAACACGAAAAGGGAACTCGACTTTAGAATTGACAATGTTCACTTGGATCTTTGACCAGTCGGTGTATGTGCAAGTAGGAATGAGAGTGTCGCCAATTTGGGAGTTACATCACTGGTCACAGTCGAGTTCAGGGAAGAAGCAAAGGAGGCTCAGCCTCGCCGACTGACAAGGCTGCGTCAACTGTCGTGTCTTGGCACCCCGCCGAATCTCCAACTCCACTTGTCCAGAATTTTGGTCGCCCCGACTCATGACTTGCAGTGTCACGCCAACAACGTCCGCTGACGATATACTGGTCCAACACGTGGACGATGGGGGACAACTCGGAGTCCAGTCCTCCAGATGCATTGGAGTCCCAGGTTGCTGCTCTGAAAAGCAGCTCAACCAATTTGCGGACTGAAGCGTTGAGGAAACTGCTGCACGAGATACAAGGCTCCGGTGCGTTGCCTGCGATCCCAGAAACGGAATGCTAGCTAACATCAAACAGATGATCAGCCCATATCCCCCGATGCATTGAAACTTCTGCCTGCCCTTCTCGCAACATACCCTCGTTACGCCGACAGAAAATCCCGTCGTGCGGTGCAATCCTGCCTGCGAGCGTTCCTCCGGATCCCTACGTCGGCTGACAGCACATATCCCGCCATCACCAAATTCTTGCTGCAAGAGAGTCAAAAGCCTGTAATTGCCTCCACAAATGCCTTTGTCTTACTCGAGTGGTGTTGCATTGCCCAGCAAGAGAGTCCATATAACGAGAAATCCTTTGAGTCGTGCTTTGGAAAGATATGTCTGGCTGCGGCTCGATTTTTGGATAAATGCGAGGACGGGACTGTTCGTGGTGGAGTCCAACACTCCGCAGTGACAATTGCAAGGAGAGGATTGCGTGATGTGTTCAAGACGGAACAGTTTGGGCCAAAGGCTCTGGAGCTTGCTCTCAAGGACGTTGCGCTTTCGCCCGACGCGCACGCAAGCTATGCTCCATACGTTGGCATCATCGCAGGCGTGAGTTCCCGCATACCGGAGCGGCAAGAGCAGCTCCAGGCGTCGCGAAAGCAAGTCCTGGACTTTTATGTCAAGTCTATCATTGGCGCCAAGACTACTGTACCTGCTCACCAGGCTTTGGGCCTCGAAGACTTCTTCTCCGACTATGTCACCGCGAACGATGTGGGGGAGACCGTGGTGCCGGCTATCGAGAAGGCTATCCTTCGCTCTCCAGAGACCATTCTCCAGGGTCCCATTGAAGCGCTCGCTTCGTGTTTACCCAAAAATTTGGATATCTCGGAGCTCGTCTCTTCGAAACTGGTAAAGCCGCTTCTCTCAGCGTTGAATTCTACCAATGCCACTATTCGTGAAGGGGCGGGTAGAGCTCTCCTGGCTCTCGTTCAAAGGGGTGGGGATACTGATGCTCTCTACAAGACAGCTGGGGAGCTTGCATCTGCACTGAAATCATCAAAAGCCGCGAGCTTTGAAATGCGTGGTATCATTGCTGACGTCTTTGCAATTATAACTCCAGGGATGAAAACCTCAACTGTCATTGCCCAGGCTATCGTCGCAGCTGGGTCAAAGGAGGCAAATGAAGGTGCGCTAAGAAAAGAGCTTGCAGCTGTAGCGCCTCATCTCCGGGCCATTCTGTCATCATCAGCAATGGACAAATCTCTCTCAGACTCCATTCTGAAAGGTTGCTCCGACAAGCGTCTCAACTTCCGAAAGCTGTGGATTTTGTGTCTGGCCAGCGTACTCAAGGAGCTGCAGAATACCCCTTCAGAGACCAGTTCACGGGATTTTGTCCGTTCAGCGTTGAAAATTTTGAAAGACGTCCATGACGAGATTACACCCAATCCCTTGCCTGCTACTCAGAATGGCTACGTTGCTGCAGCGTTCGGTCTTCCTGCACTTTTGGATGCGCCGGTCTTGAACACGGAAGAGTACGGGTCGAAAGCCTACCATCAGCTGAGGGGCCAGTTACTCACTACTCAGCCGAAAGTCTCGTTCTTGCTGAATCCGAAAGTTTACACGAGGATTTCATCAATCGAAGATAATCACTGGGCACTTTATGCACTTGTTGCGGTAGCGACTGAGCTGGAAAGCGCCTCTATGGAAGCAAAGACAGCTTGGGCTAAGGCAATACTACATTTGATGCTGACACCGGAGGTCGACTCGAATGTGCGCAAAGAGACTGGAGCAGCGCTATCACGGGTGTACCTGGACAAACCCGCCTCTGTTGGCCAGAGCATAGTCCTGGGCATCTGGGATGTACTCAGATCCCGTGCTTTGGAATTCAACATCAATTCCGCGGATGCCATACCGCTGAGCGATAATCGAATGCTTCAGGCTATAAAAATCATCTCCCCCACCAAGGACAAGCTGACAGACAAGAATATCCCGCACGCCACCTTGGAGAAGCAATCTATATCGACGATTGTATTACTCCGCCCAGAGTTGATCGCAAAAGCAGACTGGATTGCGACCTGTCTTGCCACGGGTGTGGATCCTGGCCAGCTGGCTGAAAAGTATAGGGATGCTCTGTTCTCAGAAATCCTTTCGCACTTCGAGAATGATAAGTTTGCCCCTCTAAACGTCTTTGAAACTGCCGCTTGCAACGCTGCAGCCACGTTGGCTTTCGTCGCTCCGGACACATTTACGCCAGCGCTCATTCGTCAATTCCGAAGAGACCTCGATATCACACTGCTGGAAGGCACAGGGCCCACTGAAGCACTCATTGCTCGATCCCCAGAAGGAACGTTAGTAGTGGATGTGCTCGGCCAGCAATCGAATGGTGTCCTGGATCAGAAGAATCAAAAGGACTACGATGTTCTGCAATGGGAAGAGGAAATTCGCTCTCAGTTGGCGAAAAAGAAAGGCGCTCCGCCGAAGAAGCTGACCTCGGACCAACAAGCTAAAGTTGATGCCCAGCTTGCCCATGAGAAAGCAGTACGATCGAAGTTGAGGTCGATCTCATGCATGATGAGACGAGGTGCTAAACTCATCGACGGCCTGGCTCGTGGTCCACCAACAGATGCACGACTATGGATGTCGTCAGCCATAACCGCCATGATAGGTGCATTTGAAGCAGGAGTGTCGCTTATTGTCGATGACGAGCTCGTTTCCGCTTACCTCGCTTGCTCCGCCAAAGTTTCAGACCGCCTGGGGACGTTGCGGCCCTTCATCGGCGTAGCCACTCTACGTTCTTTGCGAAGCGCCAACGTCCCTGAGCCCTTATGCGTGGAGCCTCTGGCCGAACTAGGTACGAGAGTGCTGTACAGGCTCAGGTTTGCGGCTGAGCAACGCCCCTTCGATACAGCCAGTACTGCTTACGCTTTGCCACTTATCTTTCAGGTCCTGGAGAATGGGCGAGTCGGTGAAATTACGGGAGACGATGCTGATGCTCAGGTTCTCCTTGCGTTGGAATGTTTGTCTTTTCAGATGGGGTCTGGCGCGGATGAGCAGCTTCCCAGAGCCGACATATTGCGCCACCTGATCAGTGCGATGCAGAAATATACGCAGCACTATCGAGTCATCAAAGATTGCCTGTTCGACTTCTGTCGATCGATTTCTGAGAATCTGACTGAGGAAGAAAGAGATATTCTTTTATCATCAGTCACACTTCCCCAGTCGGCGGTCCGCTCTGCCGTGCTCCAAGCAGTTCAATCCGAGATCGACTTGTCCGAAATTGACTTCTCGGTCCATGTCTGGGTTGCCTGTCAAGATGAAGAAGATGAGAACGCTGACACTGCTCTGGCCATATGGCAGGAACACGATTTCAGTGTGACTGACGACCTGATTGACCAAATACCTTCTTTCCTGTTCTCAACCGCACGATCAACACGACTTGCCGCGTCGAAAGCTCTTGCACAAGCACTTCTTCAAACACCTTCTAAGACAGACCCGATAATAGCTGGCCTCGAAGAGTCCTACCGTACCGAAGCGCAACCGCTAGTCCCTAAGCGTGATAAATTTGGTATTGTGCAACGAAGAGACTTGATTGATCAATGGGAGAAACGAAGTGGCATTGCCCTCGCTTTCAGAGAGCTCGCCACAGTACTCAGTCAGGATGCAATTATCCCCTTCATGAACTTCCTAGTTTCAGAAGGGGCGCTTTCCGATCGCAATTCTGGTGTGCGTTCTGAAATGGTGGATGCCGGCACTGCTCTAGTAGCCGCACGTGGAAAGGACTGCTTGGAACCTCTCATGGGGATTTTCGAGAGAGTTTTGCAGGGTCCTGACAAAGCAACGCAAGAAGCTGATTGGGTCCATGAGGCTGTCATTGTCCTCTACGGCTCGCTCGCGCAGCATCTGCCTGATGGGGACAAACGAACACAAAATGTCATACAGAAGCTGCTCGACACCCTCAGCACGCCATCAGAACCTGTGCAGTACGCTGTGGCTAATTGTCTGCCGCCCTTGCTCCGGCCACAGACCGTGGATGCCGCGCCTTACATATCGTCAATGCTCGACCAGCTATTCAACTCTAAGCAATACGCTGCGCGCAGAGGAGCAGCTTACGGTCTAGCCGGCATTGTGAAGGGCAAAGGTGTAGCAGCTCTACGCCATCATCGGGTAATGTCGGCACTGCGGAGCGCTACAGAAAACAAAAAGAGCCCAGAGCAGCGGCAAGGTGCCATGATGGCCTACGAGCTTTTATCACTCCTGCTTGGTCGCACTTTCGAGCCATACGTGATCGAAGTGTTACCTCAATTGTTGACGTGCTTCGGAGACCCTGTGGCGTCGGTCCGTGAAGCTACCCTGGACACAGCTAAAACATGCTTCGCAAGTTTGAGTTCTTTCGGTGTCCGCCGTGTGCTTCCTCCATTGCTGGAAGGTCTGGATGAGACACAATGGCGAAGCAAGAAAGGAGCATGCGATCTCCTTGGTGCAATGGCTTACCTGGATCCACAACAATTGGCCACAAGCTTGCCAGAAATCATTCCGCCCTTGACGGCCGTATTGACAGACAGCCACAAAGAAGTGCGAGCCGCAGCGAACAGCAGTCTAAAGAGGTTTGGAGAGGTCATTACCAATCCTGAGGTTAAGAGCCTCGTCGATGTGTTACTCAAAGCTCTCAGCGATCCGACCAAGTATACAGAGGAGGCTCTGGATGGCCTTATCAAGGTCTCCTTCATCCACTACATCGATGCGCCGTCGTTGGCTCTTGTTGTGAGGATTCTGGAACGAGGTCTCAATGACCGTTCTGCAACAAAACGAAAAGCCGCCCAGATTATTGGCAGTCTTGCCCATCTCACGGAGAAACGTGATATTGTCACGCATCTCCCAGTGCTAGTTACTGGCCTACGCCTCGCCTCTGTTGATCCCGTACCAGCGACCCGGGCTACTGGCTCGAAAGCACTTGGTAGTTTGGTTGAGAAACTGGGTGAAGATTCCTTCCCTGATCTCATACCTAGTCTCATGTCGTCCCTCCGCACTGATACTGGCGCAAGTGATCGTCTTGGGTCTGCTCAGGCTCTCAGCGAGGTTCTTGCCGGTCTTGGAACCGCTCGATTGGAAGAGACTCTACCAACAATCTTACAGAACGTTGCAAGCACCAGGGCGACAGTCCGAGAAGGATTCATGACACTGTTCATTTTCTTGCCCGCCTGTTTTGGCAACAGTTTCGCCAATTATCTCGCCCAGATCATTCCTTCAATTCTTGCTGGCTTGGCCGACGAGGTTGAAGCTATCCGTGAGACTGCTCTCAGAGCCGGCAGGTTGCTTGTCAAAAACTTTGCGAGCAAATCCATCGACCTGCTTCTTCCAGAGCTGCAACGAGGCTTGGCCGATGATAGCTACCGCATTCGTCTCAGCTCGGTCGAGTTGGTTGGTGATCTCCTCTTCAACCTCACAGGCATTACCGGCCAGACAGACGCAGAAGAAGAAGGCGAGAAAGCTACACAAGCTGGGCAGTCTCTGCTCGAAGTTCTGGGAGAAGAACGACGAAACAGAGTACTCTCTTCTCTGTATATCTGTCGCTGCGATACTTCTGGTCAAGTCCGCGCAGCTGCTATTGCTGTATGGAAGGCACTTGTGGCTACCCCTAGAACTTTGCGTGAGTTGGTGCCTACACTCAGTCAGATGATCATTGCCCGGCTCGCTTCTTCCAACATGGAGCACAAAGTCATCGCAGCAAATGCTCTTGGCGAGGTCATTCGCAAGGCTGGCGAAGGTGTATTCGCTTCGTTGTTGCCGTCGCTTGAAGAGGGTCTACAAACAGCAACAGACTCCGACAAGAGACAAGGTATCTGCATTGCGCTGCGCGAGATCGTCAATGCCGCTGCACCAGAGTCTTTGGAGGAGCATGAGAAGAAATTGATCGCCATCGTCAGATTAGCTCTGACAGATTCTGATCCAGAAGTCCGGGAGGCTGCTGCAGAATCATTTGACTCACTGCAACAGACATTCGGCAAGCGAGCAGTCGACCAGGTCCTGCCACATCTACTCAACCTGCTGCGCAGCGAAGCTGAAGCCGAAAATGCTCTCTCGGCCTTGCTCACACTACTCACAGAAACCACGAGAGCTAATGTGATCCTACCCAACTTGATTCCAACACTCTTGACCAATCCTATCACAGCATTCAATGCGCGGGCGATCGCCTCCTTAGCCAAGGTCGGTAGTGCTAGCATGACTCGCAGATTGCCTGCAATCTTGAACAATTTGGCCGACAACATCGTCAACTGCAAAGATGAAGAACTGCTAGGAGAATTGAATGAAGCATTCGATGCAGTCTTGTCTTCCGTAGACGAATATGACGGTCTCAATACTGCCATGAGCGTGATGCTAGCTATGATCAAGCACGATGATCATCGGAGACGAGCAGTGGCTGCCAACCATCTCGCCGCATTTTTTGCGAATCCAACGGTCGACTACTCTCGATACAACCAAGACCTCATCCGCGTGCTACTCATCTCTTTCGGCGATCGAGACCCAGCAGTCGTCAAAGCAGCCTGGTCCGCCCTCAGTCAACTGCAGTCCCACCTCCGGAAAGAAGAGATGGAGACACTTGTCGGCTCAACACGCCAGGTCTTGCAACAGGCCGGAACAGCAGGATCTATCTTACCTGGATTTGCACTTCCCAAGGGCATCCTACCTGTTCTTCAGATCTTCTTGCAAGGCTTGATGAATGGCACTACCGAGCAAAGAGTCCAATCCGCTATGGGCATTTCCGACATCATCGACCGAAGCGGTCCAGATTCTTTGAAGCCTTTCGTAACACAAATCACTGGCCCGCTTATTCGTGTCGTAGGCGAGCGATCTATGGACGTCAAATGCGCCATCCTGTCCACTCTGAACCAGTTACTCGAGAAGGTCCCGACGTTCCTGCGTCCTTTCCTCCCCCAATTGCAGAGAACTTTCACCAAGTCCATCGCCGACCCAACAAGCGATCTACTCCGCATGCGTGCGACGAAAGCGCTCAGCACACTCATCACACTGACTCCACGAGTCGACCCTTTGATCGCCGAACTCGTTACAGGCGCAAAGACCCCCGACGTCGGTGTGCGCAACGCAATGCTCAAAGCCCTACAAGAGGTTGTCAGCAAAGTCGGTTCGAACATGAGCGACGCCTCTCGCGAGTCGATCCTCGGCCTGATGGACACCCAGCTCGAGGGCCAAGACGACAATATGATGGTAACCAACGCGCGGCTGCTGGGCGCCATGATCAAAGTTCTCCCACCAGAGAAGGCAGCATCGCTTATCAAAAGTCGTGTCCTCGTCCAGCCGTCCACCAATTCGTCGATCCTCGCACTGAACGCTGTCCTTTTGGAGAGCGCATCAACCTTGTTGTCTAGCTATGCGGAAGAGATTAGGGCGGTCCTCGTCACTGGGCTCACTGGAAAGAACATTTTCGTCCAACAGAACTCAGTACTGGCCTTGGGCAAGTACCTCCTCTCCGACTCCACCGCTTCCGACGAAGAAGCATGCCAGCCGCTCATCGAAGCACTCGCGTCAGTCATCACGCCTGGCGGAGACATTGACTCGCGCCGCCTCGCGCTCGTAGTGGTACGCACCGTCGCAAGGCACCATCCCGACGAAACGCGCGTGTTCCTGTCCATTCTTGTCTTGCCTATCTTCGCGTGCGTCCGCGACCCGGTCATCCCGGTCAAACTCGCAGCCGAAGCGGCGTTCCTCGAACTCTTTGGCGTCGTCGACGAGGAGTCCGCCGTCTGGGAGAAGTACATGGCCGGACCGGGCAAAGCACTCTCACCAGGCCAAGCGCGCCCAATGAGCGACTACTTCAAACGTGTGGCGTTGAGACTGGGTGCACAGGCACGTGAGAGGCGTGAGGCCGAAGGTGGCGCCGGTGGTCTTGGGTTGAGCTCGGATGAGCAAGAGGATGAACGGGAGGTGTGGAGCGTGGGAAGGGTCGATCTAGGCGAGGGCGGGGTTGAGGAGGACTGATTATGTATGGGCATTTTTGAGCCTCGCACTCCAGAAAGGACTGCTCCGAAAGAGACTGGAGACAAAACATCGATGAAGCCATATAGGTATCAGAGCAGGAGACGGTGAAAACGACGAGCCATCCTGAATGGGCTGCAGCGTCGGAAACATGACACCATGGCATTATTGACAATTGCGAATGGTGAGAAGGAGCAGGCTGTATAGCACAAAGGCAATGCATAGCATAGCTCCGGTCATGACGACAACTTGAAGCACTTGGAAATCTGGGTATGAAGCATAAAAACAACGTAGAGGATTTTAAAAGAAAAGTAGCGATTCTCTCATATTTTGCCACCGCGCCTTGCGAGTCTATTTACTCAATGCGCCGCCATAATGCATTCATGCAAATAGTGCTACCCGCTTGCCTCAATATGCAAGCAAACAGTAGTCAGGTACAAGAGGTAAATATATACACAGAAGAGGCATTCCAGCTAGCCTCCCATAACATCACCCCGGCCCAGGAGGCAAGGCTGATGATGGCTCATGGAGATTGGTCAGTATTTGGACGGAGCCATTCTTCAGAGGAAAGCAGAGCACGCGTGGCTCGATGGGAGATGGAAAAGAAGTTGCAGGATCCATCATATTCAATGGCGCCGCTGCCATTCGGAGACTTAAAAGCTAGCGATGGTGCACAGAAACGTCTCTCCAAAAGGGCAATCACCGCGGCGCATCAACCAAAGTCGTCCGGAAGTGTGGCGCTGTGCTTAGAACATGCGCGAATCAGGCCCGTCAATACGCTTGAACGCAGGCGCCGGAGATCCAGGTAGAGGCTCGTCCGCAGAAGGTCCTTCTTGCTCAGTCGGGGGTGGGGGCCTGGAAACCAGCAGGTCAGCACACGACTTCCTCAGACATAGGATATTTCAGGGAAACACTTACGGCGCACTCTTTCCCTGCGAATTGTTAAAGTACTTGTGGAAATCGCCTGGATCCTCAAATGGTCTGGCGCCCAATATTCTGACCAGGTCATCTCGCACGAGCATCTCCTTCTTCAACAATTCCTCAGCAACGGCTTTCAGCTGATCCTTCTTTTCCAGCAGCAGATCCTTGCATTGCTTGTACGCGTCATCAACAATGCGTCGGACTTCCAGGTCGATTTGGCGTGCCGTCTCTTCCGAGAAAGGCTTGTGCAATCTCTGCTCGTCGTCTTTGTAGTGTATATATCCGATCTTGGAGGACATTCCCCACTCTGTAACCATGGCAGTAGCCATACGCGTGACTTTATTGAAATCGTCGGACGCACCACTGGTGACGGTATCGAACCAGATCTCCTCGCTGACTCGGCCACCGAGAGTCATAGCCATGCGGTCCATGAGTTGCTTGACGCTCATCAAGTATACATCATTACCACCGGCAGGCAGGTATTGTGCATATCCCAATGCACCTTGTCCACGCGGGATGATCGAAACTTTGAGCAAAGGATCGGCGTACTTGAAAAACCAGCCACAAATGGCGTGGCCGGCTTCGTGGTAAGCAACTGTCTTCTTCTCCTCTGGTGAGAGCACGAGCGATTTTTTCTCAAGACCGCCAATGACACGTTCAATGGCTTGTTCGAAGTGTTCCATTTCAACCGAAGGCGCATTTGCGCGAGCAGCGATCAACGCGGCCTCATTGACACAGTTGGCAATGTCGGCACCAGAGAAACCAGGTGTCAGAGCAGACAAACGGCCGGTCAAATACTCCATGTCGACTTTTGTCACGATCTTCTTGAGATGTACCAGGAAGATCTGCTTGCGTCCGTCCATGGTAGGTCGGTCAATGGAGATATGTCTGTCAAAACGGCCAGGACGCATTAGTGCCTTGTCCAAAACATCAGGTCTGTTGGTACCGGCCAGGACAACGACTTGTTCTGAAGTGTTGAAACCGTCCATTTCCGTCAAGATCTGATTGAGGGTTGACTCTCGCTCATCGTTGCCACCACCAAAGTTTTGTTTCGCTCTCGATTTGCCGATGGCGTCGATTTCATCGATGAAGATGATACAGGGTGCATTTTTTCTCGCATTCGCAAACAGATCCCGTACTCTCGACGGACCAACACCGACAAACATTTCCACGAATTCAGAGCCGGACACCGAGTAGAAAGGGACACCAGACTCGCCAGCTGTTGCCTTGGCCAGAAGTGTTTTACCAGTACCTGGAGGACCAGACAAGATTGCGCCTCGAGGAATTTTGGCGCCTAGTTTCTGGTACTTGGACGGATCTTTTAAGAAGGAAACGAATTCCATGATTTCCAACTTCGCTTCATCCATGCCGGCAACATCGGCGAACTTGGTCTTGACATCCGTCTCGTGGTTGAACCGTTTCGCTCTAGATTTGCCGATACCGAAGATGCCACTTTGACCACCACCTCCTGACGCCGCTCTTCTGGAGAGCCAGAACAAAGCTCCGATAAATAGTATGGTAGGTCCAAAAGAAAAGAGGGCGGCGCTCAGTGGCACTTCGTCAGAATATGCGACCGGAATTCTCTCGCTGCTCGGAATACCAAGCTCCTGATGTGCTTCGTCGAGTTTTCTCTCGAATGCTTCGACGGATCCGATATTGAAGTAATAGTAGAAATTGGGCCTGGTGGCGGGCGAATCAGGGTAAATGTTGGCCACCGCTGAACGGTGTAGTTCAACTCTGACACGGTTCCGATTGATGACCGTCAATTTATCAACAAGGCCCTTGTCAAAGAATGTCGTGCGGAATTCCTGCCATGTAATGTCCCTCGAATTTTCACCAGGATATAGACTGCGGTAGATGTAGTAGCTGAGGAAGGCTGCCATAACAGTTGTACCAGCATCGAGTCTAAGCTCATACATCTTCCCCTTCTGTTGTCCTCCTTGTTGCTTGCCCTTTTGCTTGCCGTCCTGGTTCTTGTTAGACTGCTCGAACAAAGGGGTTTCCTCGGGGGACTCGGTATTTGCGGACTGCGCCTTTGGTCCATATTTCTCGCGCACCTCTTCGGGGCTCATGCGGGATAGTTTGGTAAAGACCGACACAAGTCGGACTGTAGTCGCCAGGGAGATGTGATGTTTGGGATCCTTCCTTCGCGCTTCTAATACTTCTCGAAGCTCCTTTGGTACTCCACCCTTTTTCATAAGCTCGACAGCCTCGTCAATGGCCGCAGCTTGAGATTTCGGTAGACCCATTTTCATCATTTGTGCGAGGTCTTGGATTTGCTTGACTTCCTCCTCACTCAATTGGGTGAACTCTTGCTGACCCGTTTCTTTTGATTTCGACTCTTCATTTTGTGACTGGTTGGAGTCTTTCTCGGACTTGGAAGTATCCTTTTCATCTTTGCCCTTCTTTTCTGGGTCCTCCTGCGGCGGCTTCGGATCTCCAGGGTTCACGGTGGCATAGGATCTGGAGATCGGTTGCCGTAATCTGCTGGTATATCGTAATCTTGAGAACTGCGTTGTGCGGCGTTGTGCACAAAAAGCGCACTCGAAAGCGGCCTTCGAAGACCGCAGCAGCTGCGGCCTCAGTAGTCTGGTCGCCATTGCTGGCGAAGCGGCCGGTGGAGAGGACTCAGTGCGGAACTCGAGGTCTCTGGCAGACAAGAGAGGCGTAGGAAAGATGGCAGAGATAATGAGCCCGGAAGCAAGTGAGAGGTGTGGCGGCCAGAGATGTAGTTGACGCGGGCAGTATTTGCCTGCGTCGGCCGAATTCAATTCTCCAAGGGCGATTATGGATTATGTCAGTGTCATGACTTGAGCTTCATTCCGGTCTAATTGCTCCGCCGTATAGGCTACCTCGCTGCATAAAAACCAGAGCGAGATGCGATGGGCATAGAAGCTTGTGGCCTGATTCTGGAGCTCTTTACTCCGTACGATAACTATGCTTCTTCGTCCTGTCTCAATCAACCCATCTCGCTACAGGTTCTCTTTGCAAGCTGGACCAGGTTTACGACTCAAATTCCGATCCTGGCCTGGTTACAACTTTCATTTCCCATGGCAGTCCACCTCGTCCATATCGCACCGTCCAGGGCTGTTTCCTCTCCCGACTGGTCACATTCTTCTTCTTCCATACATGTCATGTCGATGCTTCCAGTCTTCCTCTGCCTTTGGCTTGATGGCTTCCTTGCTTGGTGGTCGGAATCTGGGGTCTCGTGCGATGCGACTGGGAGCATTGTAGAACCCGTCAGTCTCTTCCTCGAAGAAGCTCGTGCTCGAAGAAATGCTTGATAGAAGTCGACCTCTTTCGATGGCATACTCTGGAGCTGGTTTGTAGGTCCACACAGACGAAACCCCAGCTCCGGCCAGATCCTGAATCTCTGAATCGAATGTCTTTTGAGTAGTGAGATTGGCCCATATGTTGCCAACGGCACTGATTGCAGCGCTCTCAATCTCAACACTCGCAGCTTGGTCGTTAACAGTCGCATCACCAACGGACAAGCTTGACAATCGACAGTTGCGGTGCTCTTTGGCAATTTGCTCCACCAAAGTCCGAGCTGCCTGCTTATCTCGACTGTCGTCCTGCATCCAATGGCCAATATCCGCCTTCCTATCAGCGTGCGTACACAGCGACCCCGTTTTGGAAGGCACAGGGTTCTCCCTACCGGCGACATGCCTCATAGTCTTGTTCATCTTCAAGCGTTGAGCCTTGGCCACAGGCTTGAGTTCGAACCAGTCCGCTGTGCCAACATTGAACTCTTTCTGAAGGTCGTCGTCCTCTGGACTGATTGCATCCTCGAACTCAAATTCTTCCAGTGTTCTGGCCCGGGATGCCAGTAGCTCAAGACCAGGAGGAAGCCGTAAGATCGATGCAGGGCTAGAGTCTATTTGTCCGTCGATTGCAGAACCACTAGACTCTCGTTCCGATGTTGCCATGCTGCCTGTTGTCGAAATCGGGGTTGCAGCTTCACTCATTTTGAGGCGATGCAGGTCGGGATTACGTAGAACCGTCTTCCCTGTCTTTGCCAGTGCTTGCTGTTCTTCCACAAAACTCTGCATCTTGGTATTGCGGTCATACGGCTCTTCAACAAACGTGTCCATTGCATGACGTTGTTCATGATGCAGAGCGGCATTTGATGCTTCGTCAATTGCTGTGATGTGGTCAGGAAGCATTTCACAAGTGTCCGACTCGGTGAAGCGTCGGAAAAGCGCGGCTGTGGCTTGCGGAATTGTATTCGACATTTGTCCGTAGGTAGGGATGGAGCTGTCCGAGCCTGCGTGTTGCATAATCGGTCGTTGCAAATTGTTTTGAGCAAATTCACCCGTGTACTGATGCTGTCCCCATAGTGAAGGCATGTTCATATAGTGGTGGTATGGAGGGGGATACAGTATCGAACTACCACCCATGCTAGAGCTGTCCGATGAGGGTTGTGCTGGCCCGGGATGAGCAGAAGATGAGGCTGCGTACTCTCTGGATAAGAATTCAAGTTTGTTCTCTTGCTTGGTAGGACTGATGTCTGACGGGACCATGATATGGCGAATACGCTGTGGCGGGTTAAAAGCAGATATGGGAAATTGACCTAGTACAGGCATGCTTTGTAAGTATAACGGCCACGTAGTGTACATGGGATATGGGAACCCACTACTGCCAGTCATTCCAGATGCGTTGCTTGGGGAGCTTTGGACACTGACTACGGCATCTCGTTGAGATTGTCTGATGATAGAGTGCTGCTGAATCCTCTTGGGGGTCGGATTGACGATCACAGATGGTCGGTCGTTAGCCGCCACCATGGCTTTAGGTGCGGTAGGTATGGTCAATTTTGGCAGATTGATTCGGACCGGTTGGAGGTTTCGAGGACCTGTGGGGGTCTCATTCTTTGTCAGAGAAGCACTGCCAGGATCTACGCCTCCTGTTTGCCGTGTGGGAGTGGAAAGGGTTCCAGCGTCTTCCTCGGAATTTTCAGAATCGTATTCGACTGTGCTTTCCGGTGTATCCTCCAAGACCAATGGAATCCATGCTTTGGTGCCCTTGTTGCGGTTGAGGTGAGGGTTTTTGGTAAAGGCACTTAGCGAGATCGGAGCAGCTTTTGGAGGTAATTTCTGTTCCTCGGCTTCGCGAGAGGCTTGTCTTGCGGTAGCAGCCTTGAAGGCATGGTATTCCGCGGCACGGGCTCGAGCACCCAACATGTTTGGAAATGAGTGGACAAAGGGAAGTACCTGTTTCGGTTCAGAATTTGACTGGCGAGAAGAGAAATATGATTGCCAAACCTCGATCTGAAAGGGTTGTTTAGATTTCCAACATTTCCGTCTCTTTTGGGCAGGTTCCAATTTCTTAGTGGCCAAGGATAAAATCAGATATCATTAATGTGTCCGTAGCTGGCTGCGCGCTGGTGGAATTAGCAGATCGACTCGGTGGAAAGTGACCTTGTCACAGGGACGGCAGAAAGAAAGATTGTTTCAGAGCCTTAGAGTGCAACTCATCAAGAAGATGGAAAGTCAGTAGAAATCATGAGGCTCATACCGAGACATTTGACGAGGTTCGTAAGTTGGTTTGCGAACAGAACTGGGGTCAGAGAAGACGGGAGAGGGTGAGGCACAATAGATGAGATAAACAGTGAAAACTCGAGCCAAACACGAAGCAGCTGTACTCTCGACCTCATGCAGTACTAGTCGACCGATGCGATGAGAAGCTGGAAGGATCAGTAGTGAAAGGCATATGTTCTGGCAATCGAGATGGGAAGGTGAATTGAAGGAACATAACAGAGGCAACTGCCAGTTCATCGAGCACAACAACGAAAGTGCATTACTATACCAATACCACTCATCTTTCACACAATCATATCGACCTTCCATCTTCAAAGATCTTCTTCTTTCCATGACCACTCAAACTCCTCTGGCAAGGAATTCTTCTTGGGGCGGTGACGGACCTCTCCAGTCTTACAAAGCACATATCGCGACGTGCTTCGATTGCTCCCTCTTCGTCTGCTGGCAGATGCATCATTCCACTCCTTAATATTTTCTTGCTCACTGTACATTGCCTAGGCACAATTGCGTGATGTCCTCGTCGGAGGGCAGGGAGTGGGAATAAGAAAAGAAAGAAACTTGCGGAGATGGAAATCCTCGAGGAAAACTCTCCGATCGTGATCGCCATTGCCATCGTCGTCGCGACGCCACTCTGCGGGTACAAGGCGTCTTACTACATCAACCCACGAAACTCTGCTCCAGACCCATCAATAATTCGCATTAGAGACTGGACACTGTGCATCTCGCTCGGAGAGATATCCGATCCTCGACACGCTGCGCCTTGTACGCTTCTGCCGTCTACGAGGCGGGCCTTTCCTGGACTGTCATTACTATGAAAGTTGGTGATCCAGTCTATCGAGGATCGGAAGTTCATTTACCTGTTGAAGTCCTCAGCTACATCCTGTCATATGTAGCTTCATTTCACGACCTCAAGGCTCAGTCTACAATATGGGCTTGCTGCTTAGTATCAAGGTCCTGGTACGCCGCCTCAGTCAGCCATCTCTATGCCCACCCACTTCTCGACAATCGGAACTTTGACAAGTTCGCTCGAACGCTATGTCCGCCCATCAGTTCTCACAAGCCTCGCGTCGGTCTAGAAAACTGCATCAAGCACCTTGACATGGGCGGGCTCGCCTACGAAAGCTCAAAGAGTCTTACCGCTCGTCTCATTAGGAGAACGCGAAATTCATTGTTGAGCTTTGCAGCCCCGGCGGTCACCTTTTCGTAAGTCATCAGTAAATGCCACCCTATGTCTTGACTCGTCTCATCATTCACAGGATTGCTTGTCTAGCTCCATTATCGAAGTGTACGAATCTTCAAGTCCTGGATTTATCCTCGGACTCATACGACATGAGCCTACGCCAACTCCTGGATTCAATTGGCCACCTCGAACATTTGACATCTCTCAAACTTCCCCGAAATGCTCTTCGAGGCCGTTGTAACCTTCAACCAAAGTCACATTGGCCTAATCGCCTACAGAGTCTGCAAATAAGCGACCTTTTATATGACGAAATCGAATCATGGGCGGTGCTGTTTGAAAGCTGGCCGGACACCCTCCGCACCCTCAGAATCGCAGAGTGCAAAGGCTACGGCTCACTGCACTCTTTGGATCCAGCCATCCTAACCGCAAATACCATCCACTGTCTCGAAATTGGTCTCTCAGGGCATGATGACGCGTTCCCCTTCCGCAAAATCCTCAAGACATTTCCCAGCCTCACCACACTTGCAATCCCCGCTTACCAGGCCGAACAGATGGCCAAATGGAAAGGCTTAGATGAATACCTGAGCAACGTGCAGACAGGCGCTTATCTCAACGACGTCGACCACGAAAGTCTTCTCGCAGTCCTGGTTTTCACGGAGCAATTTCCAGCGGCAAGCCCGGCACCGGTCTTGACGGTCGAGGTCCTTGAAAAATACGTCCAAAAATTTCCTCGATTGAGAAAGTTGAAAATCCCACAAAGTTTTGCCCAATTGCACAGCAGAAACAGGTACGAGCAGTTGAATGATCAGCTGGAAGAAAGGGCAGGCCCGGATGCACTCTCGTCATCAGGCTTATTTTTCTGCTGAACCTGGAATATAGAGCAGTTTACGGTTCGTTTCATACAAGACTTGGAAAATGGAACACCTCACTCGTTGCATATCTCAGATGAACGCAGCTACGGCAACGGATGCCGTACAAGAACCCTGGAAGGGATGACCATTATGAACGAGTCTTGTTGGACGGGCTCCCTCCCGTGTTCGAATGTATTTGAAGGACGGCAGTCAAAAGAGGTTGCGCCCTTTGCAGATCAGTCATGCATCACAGGTTGAACAGTCAGGGACGGAGCCAGCAACAGTCATCACAACCCATGTCTTGCGAAGGACGACACTCGTAGGTCTGTGGGGAAAGTCACCTACTGGAAGAATGGGCCATGATTACGAGGTCTATTCGAAGAACCCTGGTCTCACCCAACAAGACTAGACTCAAGAAGTTCAATTCGACGTCTTCTGTCTGAGTCGTGTGCCACAGATTGGAGATGGAGAGTACCCAGATTAGGTCAGGAACGACCTTTGCTAGAAGGACCAAAATCAAACAGCCAACACTATTTTATTATTCATGGCCCTGATCATCGGGTGAGAAAGACCGGCCAGAGGGAAAGAAAGAGAAGACACGGGAAAGAGATTCAGGTCAAGATTATTGATCGGGTTAAAAACAATTCAATGTGTGCTTAATGCTCATGCCCATGCCTGTGCTAGTATTCATGCCTGCTAGCCCCGACACAAACACCAAGACTGAGTCCAACTCCATGCCCAAGCGCATACACCAACGTCGTTTGCATACTCCAGCATCATGTTCCATCATCCCACATTACTTCGCATGTGCAGACCGATTCTTGACCGTGCAGTCCGCAGTGTTACGCGCAACCAGCTCAACGCCATTGACCCACGCCCCTGTTGGCAAATCTACTCCTTCGACCCTGTACTTCGTTCGTAGAATCCCTGAATGTCATACTGAAATTTGCCTGAAAGGCCCAACGCGCCATGACCATACTTGTGCGCCTTTGGCAGACACCTAGACCTGTGCACCCGCATTGTTGAGCGATCAGAAGATCGTTCCAAAGGTGCCATCTGTCTCGATCTTCTTTCTTGGGCTTCCCTCGGGATCAGGCTTGCGATGTCTGCGTGTGCGTTAGCCTTCTGCCTGTGACTACGAACGAGAGACTGGGACAAACGTACCTGAATGTAAAACCAACAAACAAACCCTTGTTCATCTTCTCATCACGCTCAGCCATGTCCTCGAGAGCTCTCTGCTTGTCATGAACCTCCTTGTACTTGGCCATATCGGCCTCGTTACTGAAGTCGTCAAAGTATCCAGCATCGGTGTCCGAGTCGAGTTCGGGGACGAATGGTGCCTTCTGCTCTCTCAAAGCACTGAAGTCAACCTCGGCGAAGTATTCATGCTTGTGGATCTCGGAGATGTTCTTGAACCGATTGTCCTTCCCAGCAACCAGACGAGTGATCAGGTCCCAGGTTCGCTTGCTGAGGAAGTAGTTTGGATCATCGTAGATGGGCTTCCGCAGGACACGCTGCCATCTCTTCAGGTTCTGCCATGTCTCGTCGACCGTTGCGCCGGCAAATGGTGGATACCCAGCAAGAGCCTCGAACAACATGCATCCCAGAGACCAGTAATCGACAGTAAAGTCGTATTGTTCACCTTTGAGAACCTCCGGAGCCATATAGTCAGGAGATCCGACAATCGACTTGGCGTAGTTGATGTCTTTCTTTCGAAGCGAGCGGTAACCCTCACGTCGCTGGTCAGCTGACCGGTCTTCGACTGGAGTGATACCGAAGGGCACAGGTGTGTTTCCAACCTCTTCAAGCTTGATTCTCATGCTCTCAATCTTGATCGGGCTCAACATACCAGCAGCAAGACCGAAGTCGGTGAGCTTGACGTGGCCAGTAGCATCGATCAAGAAGTTCTCCGGCTTGAGATCGCGATGGATGTAGCCCAAAGTGTGCAAAGCATCAACACAGGCGAACATCTCGGCAATGTAGAATCGTGCATGACGGTTGTGAAGAACCCCGGTGTTGTTCAATAGTGTTCGAAAGTCACCTCCTGGCACGTATTCCATGGCAAGATAGATCTGTTCGTCGTCTTGGAAGGAGTAGAGCAACTTAACGAGCCAGTCGGATTTCGCAGCGGTCAGGATATCTCTCTCAGTCAAGATGTGTCTGACCTCGTCAAGCTTGAACAGCAGCTTCTTCCTCATGACCTTGAGAGCGCAGACTTCGCGTGTGTCTTTCTTTTGAGCCAGATAGACCTGACCATAACCACCTTGTCCAACCTGTGTGAGGATCTGGAAGTCACCATGTCGGAGGCGAGTGCGGCGTTTGCGCAGATTAGCACGCTCACGGCCAAGATACTTTTGCAGAGCAGTATCATATTCTTCGACTGGAGTGTCAGGAGGAGCAGGAAAGGAGGCCTTGAAGGCGGTTTCTCGAGCTTGACGGTTGTGGACGTAAGACAGAAGGTCGAAGTAGTAGTCGAGGAAGTCTAATCAGATTAGCTTGCCTGGGCTCATCACTGAGCAGGGGTACTTACACAGTTGAGTGACATTGGCAAGACGCTTGACTTTTGGAAGCTGCAATTTCTGCATCTCCTCTGTAGTCAAGCCTCGTGTGATGGTCTTCCTGGACTCAGTTGGCTGGTACTGTTCTTGTCTTGACAGCGCAGCATGGTTCTGCTGGACATCCTTTCCATATCTCGCAGGAGCATTTTCCTTGTTAGACTGACGCGTTGGACTTTCAGAGCGGCCATAGTGCTGATTGTTGTGGTCTGCAAAGGGGTCCTTGCTGATGTTGTCATTGCTAACTGAGAGTCCTTGTTTGGTCGGTGACATAGGCTGACCCTTCGTAGGCGAGACAGGGGCGAGTTTCATCGCATTGTCAAAGACATTTGGGAGGTCATTGGCACCTGGAGGGAGCTGTTTCTTGCTTGGACTGCCCTGCGGCGTCTGGACTGGGCTCGTGAAACCATGATTTCCGCCTGGCGTTGTGGGAGTTTGAGGACGATCGTACAGCTCGTTGCCTGAACGAGTGTGCAGGAGAGGGGGAGGCATTGGCATAACCATGTTGAGGTCTTGCTGTGATCGCGACGAGAGAGGGCGAGGGGTACTGGCGACAGCCATTGTGGTTGGGTTCGGAGAATGAAATGTTTTGGTGACCGTGGCAGGTACTTTGCAGGTAACCCTTTCCGCGCACCGCGTCAGCCTTTTTGTGGTGAAGACAGTCACTTTATTTTGCCGTCACTTTCCAATCACAAGACAACAAGATTCACGGCAGATCAGCAAAAGTACCTCGAGGCCGGCTGCGCAGGCTAAGAAAAAGATCACCAACAGACGATTGAGAAGAGGAGGGTATGCCTATGCTAAACGGGCTACGGTTTACACTTCGTGCGAAATGGGCATAGTCGAGCGTTTCGAGGGCAACCAAGCACAAGCCCAACTAGCCACGATTCTCAGCCTCGCCAGGGACGCGTTTCAATCCAAGTGGGGCAAGATCTGAGATCTCGTTGACAGTGGCAGTCCATCTCTCGACGTCATTTGTGACTTTTGATGATTCCAAAGGAAAATCAGCGCGTCATTGATGAATGCACTGTTCAAAGGACAAATATATGATCTGATAGTCGTGAGTTTGGCAGTGTCTAGGAAAGTAACCCTGTTCATCTATCACTTCAATCATCTCTCAATCTGGCGGCTAGGACACTGCACCGTCTCACTCGTCTTGCATCCACCATGTCCCATCCAACATCCACAACCACAGCGCCATGGAAACAGAAATTCCAGGAGCATCTCGAAAAGTCTGCTGGCAACAGAGGCTCAGGCGCCGAGTTCATGCTCGCAACAGTCACTAAAGACGGCTTTCCCCGTGTTCGAACCTGCATTTTTCGCGGTTTCTGGGCCTCGCTGCCGGAGAACGAACATAACAAACTCCCCAAGAACCCTCCCATCTACGAATCCGACTGTCCCACTTTCACCACAGACGCCCGCATGAGCAAGACGTATGACATCTTTGCGACGGGTAAGGGCAAAGGAGACCTAGCGCAGTCACGCTCAGGATCAGGAGGCGGCGGTCCAATCGAAGCCGTGTACTGGGTCAAGGACACAAACACACAATGGCGAGTACGGGGTAAATGCTGGATCATCGGACCCGACGACATCGAAGGCGGCGAGGTTGCGCAGAACTCGGGGACAGTCACCGTCAAGGCCGAAGTTGGGCGGTATATGCGGACGAAAGAAGGCCATACGGAACAAGCTAAGGATTGGTCATGGACGCGTGAGGCAGAGAACCACTTTGAGAATTTATCACCCATGATGCGAGGATCATTCAAGAATCCAGAGCCTGGTAAAGCTCTGGATCTGGGCAAAGACGAGCAAGCAGGAGAAGGGCTTGGACAAAAAGCTGGGCATCTATCAGACGAACCGCTGGCGAGGAAAAATTTCCGAGTCTGTATCATCACGCCAGAGCAGGTGGAAGCTGTCGACTTGACTGACCCTGCAAACACAAAGAGACAGGTATGGACGCTGGCTGAGGAGGCTGGTGGTCCCGGGGGAAGACAGCCCAGCGATACGATAGGTGAGTGGAACTTGGTCGAGACGTGGCCTTGATGAGTACGCTCGATGCAGATTCTCCAACAATGGGAGGTGAGCCACAAATTCAAAAGAGAAATTCTTCGTCACTCGTTCCGTTTCGGCATGATGGTGCGAAATTTTGTACAGGACCTTCAAGCCCGCAAGGGCTGGAAGTGTGGTAGAGGCTTCGCTTGATCTCGAGATGTTTCTACATATTCTTCAATGCTGCTTGCGTAATAGTCGAATATTGCGTTCGCTACTTGCTTGATTGCGTTACGTCAACGCGATAGCACCCAACACGGCAGCACCTAGCACACCCCATCCAGCAGTAAAGACAGCCGCATGGTTGCCAGTCTCGGAACTAGATGCCCCACTCGCTGTGGCACTGGGACTTCCACTCGCTGATGCGGAAGATGAGCCAGAAGATCCAGAGCCGCTTTGAGGTGAGCCATCGGCGTTGGTCTCGTTGGCATTAACATTGGAGGAGAGAGGAGAGGCTGTCACGCCGGTTCCGTTCGTGCAGGAGCTTGGGAGGGACTGGATGGTTGGCGCGGACGTGAAAGTGAGATCGGCGCACTGAAGATATGTCAGTTACTGCAACGACAAGAGATTCAAGGGTAGACAGACGATATAGAGACCACCACCGCCCTCACCATCAGTGACGACTTGTAAGGTACCGTTTGTGCCGTCTGTGAGGTTCAAGCCGCTAGGCAGCTTGACGGTTGGCAAGCAGAAGTCTCCTTCACCTTGCTGCTGGAAGGTTTGTTCCAGAGTAATGTTGAAATTGTCACCAGGGTTGCTGCCCAATGCAAGAAGCATTTGAATAACAGTCCGGTCATGTCCCATCTCGAGTGCCACCGGAAAGGCGGAGTTGGAGACCAAGGTACGGTTTGTAGAGACTGCGAAACCACCGCAAGGAAATGTAGCCTCTGTATCGTCGACATCGCTGCGAGGAGTAGGGTAGAGCATATGGAAGTGAGCAGAGGCGAGGAGGGGCAGAGAGAGGACGGCGAGAAGCGATTGAGGAATCATGATGTCGGTCTCGAGATGAACTGACTCGATATTCTGCTGTGGAAGCCGGATGGAGAGAAGAGAGCAAGGGAGATGAGGCAGTATGGAAGAGTACCTGAGCTCCGGGGCAGTCACGAAGAATATAGCCACGGCCAAAATTGTCAGGGCAGTAATGATGGGAGTGGATGGGACAGGGAAGGTAGTCGACCTGCGTTAGCTAGACCGCCACGTTTGTAGCTTGTTCTCCTTTCGCGTGGTAGCTTAGTTTGCTTATAGAGCTTATTGATACGGAGTAGCTGGGCTCGGTTCGCGTCGCGTCGAGAGCGGCGTCTTTGTCACAGGCAAGTGCCATCTCGTGGTTGGGAAGAGCAAACGTCGTGGTGGAGAGTGGAAACTTGCTCACATTTTTGGCGGACAGGAATTGAGGACAGGACCGGACAGGGGTCAATTTCAGGGACAAGCCAAGAAGCGGAGAGAAGAGTGATCAGAGATCCACATCAACATGCTCATCGAAGGCTGGTGCTGATTTTGCCAAATACTCGTGTAGTCACGGTGGTACAGAACCTACCTAGGTACGAACAGGCGGGGAGGCAGGATCACACGCAACGTGTAGATACTACAGTATACTATGGTCTCATGGGTAAATCGTGTAATTTGGGCTCTAGGGTGCCATTCGACGACAAACAGCAGCGAGGACAATTTGTGTGGCAGGAGGGCTCCTGTTCAATGCCATGCCAACTGCTCCTTCGACGATTCAAGCGGCAGCTGTTTTGCACCCCGGTTAAGCGAGTTTCATTACCGCTGAGACCGTAGTATGTCGTACGTTTTCTAGAAGTTCAAAAATGAAAATCCTGCCGCATCCCATGTTCATGGGATGCTCTTACTCGTAACTCGCTAGACGTTGCAACATGGGAACACAGCTCAGCTCAGCTCAGCAGTGTCCGGTATCAAAGAAGTCGCTCAATGCAAATGTTCGTCGATCTGCGCATATCTGCCGACCATCAACTCGCCAACAAAGACTCCTGCCAGCACGGACAGAAAGTAGCCCACGTTCATCGTCATGACCGCTAACATTCTGCTCAAGGATCAGCATAGTCTCGAATCACTCAAGGTTTTTCAACTCACAGCAAGTAGGATACCCCAGCAATAACTGTGGTAAGACAAGCACGAGGCACGTCGACAGAGAGCCGAAAAGGTACCACTGCTCCGGCCTTTGCTTGTACAACCTTGACATTCTCCTCGACACCATTTGCAGTGACAAGAGAACCCGTCTTCGCATCGGGATCCTGATCGATTCTGCCTGCCTCTGTCGTCCGACCTCGAACCAAGACATAGCGGCGTTTCTGCGCATTCATCAACCACCTCTGCTCACAGATTGCCTTTGCTGCAAAGAGGAGTCGTAGCATCATGGCGAGAAGAACAAGGAAGATGCATGTGCCGGCATAGCCTCCTTCTGATGAGGGCGTCCATGAATTGGCATAGAGGGGTGTGGTGTGGCTGTTGGTGAACATCATCGTCATGGACATCGAGGACATCGAGTCCGAGGCCATGTCGGACATTGAATGTGACATAGTGCGTTGTTTTGTGTTGTACTCCGTACTGAGTATAAAGATTTCGACACGAGAGTGAGTGCGTCGCGAGCGTCCAGACTTTGGGTATATGTTGACTTGGTTACTCAAGACCTCGAGACCTCGAGCAAGTTGTAAGATGATGACAGTCGAGAAAATGAGACCTGAGCATGTTACAGAAAAGAACGTGTAGGGTGTGAATGCATGATCCAGCAGTGTGGCAGAGGGCATGCATGATCCTTGGTCCACTTCTCTACGACTGTTGGGTGACATGGAGTTCGAGAAGCGGCCCATTGTCCTTTGAGCAAGTTCTTGGCGAGCAGGTTTATCCATTTCGCCCTTTAGCTGCGGATGCGGCGCCTGTCGGGTGGCTTTGTTCTCAAGCTGCCCCCTTGCACGCCGTTGTCCAGAAATCCTCCACGATCTAAACGATCCCTCTGTCCAGCCTGTCAGATGCGCTGAAAAGTCACCTTTGTTCCTTTTTGGATCCCCCTACAGGCGCGTTTGCCCCTCCGATGCTCACCAGTGGACCGGTTCTCATCATGGCAAATTTGGGTACAGAGCATATTTCTATCATAGTACGAAGTACTTCGACATCTCAACCTGGCTTGAAACTACCCAGACCTCATTCAAACGTATCTTTGCACCGCACCTTTTTCTTTACCGTCAAATTTCTCAGCTGGTGAAAGAAGGAGAGTCTGGCACATAAACGACCCTTTAGTTTTTGGCCGCTGAGTATCGGTTGATGACGACTGTTGTTTCGATGGTCTTCATGGAATAGGAAGCGCAAACCACTGTACAGAATCTTTCTTGGGGGCTCTGCGTTCTTCTGTCAGCCTGGGAAAAGTTATCGCTCGTTCTGTCACCTTACAAATCACCATCATGGCTCTTTTTGTGCGGCAACACGACCACGACATGGGGAATATGGACATGGGAAGCATGAGTGCTGGAGATGGCGTTCCAGGGTATTTCTACATGCAAAAGATGTTTTGGGTTGTCATCGGCTCTGTCATTGCCTTCGCCGCGCTGCTCAACCTACTCGACCACATTCTTCTGTGGCAACGGCAGCGAAGCCTGACTGCAAGGCCAAAGTCTTTCCTATGGACCTTTTATGCCACAGTGACGGCAGCCACTCGCGAGATCAATGCCTCTTCACTCCCCACGTATCAACTAGGTTGGCTCAAGGTCCGCTCGCCTCCCTTGGGCAAGACCATTGTGGTGCTGTCCTATCTCACCACGATTTGTGTGTTCTGCTTTTACAAATATGACACAGAGGACCAGTGGAGTTGGGAGGACATTGCCTACAGATGCGGTTGTATGGCTCAGACACAGCTTCCTCTGATATTCTTGCTCGCTGGCAAGCAAAACGTCATTGGCTTCTTGTCGGGAGTGGGCTACGAGCGACTAAATTGGTTACATCGATGGGTGTCACGTATACTGTGGTTGACAGCCACTTTTCACCTTGGCTTCTGGTTTAGAAGTTGGGCGCGCTACGATTACATCAAGGTCAAGCTAGCCACAGACAACATGACTCAAACAGGGTTTGCCGCTTGGTGCATCCTGACCGCCATTGTGGCTACCTCCTTTGCTCCTGTGAGACGAATGAGCTACGAGGTCTTTCTGGTCTCACATCTCATCCTGTTCTCCGGATTCATTGGCTGCGTCATGATTCACGTCGATTATGGCCCGGGCTATATCTGGGCGTGTGTCGGGATCTTTTTTTTCGACCGAGTTTTGCGGTTCGCCATTACGCTCTTTGCGAACTTTTCCTTCTTCCACCGCCGAGTGCAAGGAAGAGATTGGCTATGGGCGAACAAAGCTACCTTGACTCCTCTAGCAGGCAATATCACCCGAATCACTATTGATAAGCCGGTACTGAGATGGAAACCTGGACAACATGTCTTCCTATCGTGCCACACCGTGGTGCCTTTGCAAAGTCATCCCTTTAGCATTGCGTCGATACCATCTGACGAGAAACTGGAGTTCCTTGTACAAGCTCGAAGCGGCGGCACTAAGCGTTTCCATCGATTTGCTCAGAAGAACATAGGTCTTCCGAGTCACGACAATTCTGCGGTTCTTGGACAAAGGCTTGTTGGAGTTGAGGGACCATATGGTCAAATCAGGCCTCTGCGACAATTTGACTCTGTTTGTTTCCTGGCTGGCAGTACTGGGTCGACCTTCACAGTTCCCCTCATGCGAGATATTGTGCAAAGGTGGAAGGATAGCGTCGCCGGAGGTTCCGCCATCGTCAACAAAAGAATACGATTTGTTTGGGTGGTGAAGGCTCGAGATCGGGTGACCTGGTTCCAAGAGCAGCTTGAAACTGCGCTGGCGGACGTGGAAGATATACGAAAACATGAAGGACATTCTGATAAGGAGCTTGACTTGAGCATCTACGTCACTTGCGACGAAGAACTAGAAGCATCCAATACTGAGAGTGCTTGCGAGCCGGCTGCACACGGAACTGCCGAGATCGCGATGACGAAGATCGATGAGCTTGAAGATGAAAAGAAGAGAACAGACCAAAAGATCGACGTGAGGTCAGTCGAGTCCAGTGATAATAGCAACGGTGGTTGCGGCCCAGACGGGACTTGCTGCTGCAGAGCCACTGTCGATGAAGACGGCTCACCAAAGACATGCTGCTGTTGCGCACCTTCATCAAGTTCAGCGTCGTCCTTGTCAGTCGTTGAGAAAGGAAACGCCAAACCCACAGCGACGACGCCCCGCCTTAAGATGGTGGCCGGCCGACCAAAGCCTAGGAGCATTATCCGGAAAGTACTGGAGGAAGCTGATGGCGAGAGTGCAGTGGTCGTCTGCGGCCCTCAGGGTTTGCAGGATGATGTTCGACGGAGTGTCGTCGCGCTGAGTGATGAACGTGCAGTACATAAAGGGACCGGAGCACAGGGAATTTATCTTCATGTTGAAGGCTTCTGTTACTAAGCAGCGGCAGCATTGTTTTTTTGTGGCATAGCGAGGAGTTGGGCGAAGGCGAGCAACGCAAAGGATGATACCCATGAATCAGTACAGCCGCACAAGGTAGCCGCGTGTTGCATCATAGATATATTTCAAAGCTGCGTTTGAGCGAACACGGATGTAGGAAAACAGTCCACCTCTGCAGCTGATTTCAAAATACCTTTGCCTCTCCAGATTTTGCAAACATGATAATGATGTGGTAGACATAATCTGCCCGAATCTTGCGGCCGTATGAAATGAAACCTTGCAGCATCGCGGCCATACCGTTTTCTCCGCACGGATGAAGAAGACCTTGGACCATCTTCTGGCTTGCTCAAGCCCACGCGCGAGGACCGTGACGTCTACACTTGAGTCCAAAGCGGCATGTAAACAGCCTCCCAAAGACAAGACGGAGTGAAGTTTCTGCGCAAATGTCTCCACAACCAGTGCTGCAACAATTGAATAAGGAACAAATCGACGACGTACAAAAGTCTGGCAATATCAACCTCACCGAGGAGAAACCACCAAGTTCTACTCTCACAAATACCTCGAGCATCCCAAGCTTCGCGAACGTCCGAGATCTCTTCCATCTAGCTACAGGTTTACTCTTACCTTATGCTTTTCATCCTCTGCTAGCCATCGAAATCTATCTTCCCCGTGTCGCCAGCATGTGGCCATTCAACATCAGTACATCATTCAAGCCGGAGAGAGACATTCCTGACCTCACCAACAAGGTCGTTCTTGTCACCGGCGGAAATGCTGGACTCGGCAGAGAAACAGTCCTCCAACTCGCCAAACACAACCCTCGCAAGATCTTCCTGGCCGCGAGAACAGAATCCAAAGCCCGAGATGCCATTGCTTCCATCAAAGCCAACACTTCCCAAGATGTCGACATCGAATATTTGCCACTCGACCTCACATCTCTCCCATCGATCCAAAAAGCCGCCGAACAAGTCACCAGCCGCACCGACCGACTTGACATCCTGATCCTCAACGCAGGCATCATGGCAGTCCCGCCAGGGAAGACGCCCTCGGGCCAGGAGATCCAGCTAGGCACCAACCACGTCGGCCATTTCCTGCTGACCAAGCTTCTTCTGCCCACCCTCGAGAAGACGGCCAAGCAACACAATTCCGACGTACGCATCCTGTCGCTATCGTCGGAAGCATGGCACATGTCCCCCAATCTCGATACGGTCCTGTCCACAGAGAAACTCAACGCTCAAGGTCCATGGGCACGCTACGGCGCCTCGAAAGCTGCCAACATCATGTTCGCCGCTGAACTTGCGCGACGCTACCCGGCACTAACCAGCGTGTCTCTACACCCTGGCATGATCAAGACAGACTTGTATGGACCAAATTCAGAGGCGAACCCAATCTTAAAATATGGCTCGCAGGTGATCGGCCCATTGATCTTCCAATCAATAGCAGCGGGAGCGCTGAACTCGTTGTGGTTGGCGGCCGGGGCTAAAAAGGAGGAACTCAAGAATGGAGGGTATTACACGCCTGTCGGGAAACTGCAGAGTAATACCTGGGCAAGTAATGCGGACGCAGGCAGGAAGCTATGGGAATGGACAGAGCAGGAATTGGAAAATGCAGGCTATTGATTCAGACGACCCTACGGAGTACATGTACCATCATTTCCACCCGTGATGCTTTTTCAAGCAGCGCAGCGCGATGTCGACTTCTCAATGCAGCATATTTCCAACCTATAAAACCTCCAAATGCACTTCTTGAGTTGTCTAGGTAGGTCTCGGTAGGTATGCAAGGCTGTGATGATTGACGGGATGATATCTCTCCGCGTCGATCGTCCCCCGGAATCAAGGACGTCATATTCAAGATCTCACCACAATGTTTTGAGATCGTTAACACCAAACAACCAAACGGCCAACCAGTCTTGTCCATGTATGCTAAGCCATATCCAGGGAATGCGCCTCGGGACGATGTACGTCCGTACGGGGCACTTTCACATTGGAATTGAACTCGATGCTTCTGGGACAGTTATCCATAAGATGTGTCCGACTCCCAGTCTCGCTTCGGATAGTCGAACAAAGTGTTTCGGAAGTTTGACACGTCCACGGCGTCTCATCTACACGTCCGCAGGGTCGAGGACTTTGTGCGATTGTTGGACTTTCAGCTTCCAAGCTTGATTGAGACCGGCACTGCGAGGTTCTCTGTGCAACTTCGTCTCCTTCGAGGTAGCCAGGGACTTCATACTAAATCCCACCCACCCTCGCCCTCATTCTGTCGAAGAAGATCAGAACCAGCAGAGGCAATATGGCTGTCCACCACGTCCTGGACGACTACTATCTCGCCATCACGCTGCTCGTGACCCTCGCATATCAATTGCTCGGATTCTCAATCGCGTTCACATGCCAATTCGACAAATTGACGGGTAAGCCTACATTACACCACAATATCCGTCGCGTGTCTTTCTCTCTCCCTCTCTCTCTTCCCCTGCGTCTACTTCAAGTTGAAGCGAAGAAGTCTTTCCATACATCCTCAAAAGCCAGGGAAGGACTTTTCTTCTCACCATCCATTAGGCCACCAGATCACATGTCGATACGCTCAACTACCTAACTAACCCCATGTCAGACTTCGCGGGCGGCACAAACTTCATCATCCTCTCCATCCTGACGCTGTCTCTCTCACCAACCCACACGGCCCGCCAGATCCTTGCATCCATACTTCTCGCGCTCTGGGCCCTCCGCCTCTCGGGCTTCCTGCTCTTCCGCATCCTCAAAACCGGCCACGACACTCGCTTCGACGACAAGCGCTCGCGCTTCTTCCCCTTCCTCGGCTTCTGGATGTTTCAAGCCCTCTGGGTATGGACCGTCAGCCTGCCCGTCACGATCCTGAATTCCCCACGCGTCACGTCTCACGGCCGCCAACCTGCATTCGGCACGGCTGCGGATATCGTCGGAATCATCATGTACGCCGTGGGCTTCCTGCTAGAAGCCGTCGCCGACGTGCAGAAGTACCGATACCGATCTCAATCTCGCTCATCAGTGCACGCCCCATCGAGCAACAACACCGACAACGCCACCGCCCGCAACACCTGTGATGTAGGCTTGTTCTCCTGGTCCCGACATCCGAACTACTTTGGCGAGATCGTCGTGCAATTCGCCATCTTCACGCTCGCCATCTCGCCGAGCGCGTACGGGTATATCCCGTCGTACAGCGACGCGTCCGCGGCCCAGTACAGCACTATCCTGGGCGCGGTCTTCCTCACGCTCTTGTTGCTTTTCGTCTCGGGCTTGACGCTGCAGGAACGGCCTGGCGCGAAGAAAAGGTTTGAAAAGGACGGGCCGGATGGAGACACCTGGGTCCGGTATAAGGACTGGTTGGATCGGACGAGTATACTGATCCCAATGCCGCCGGCTGTTTGGAGACGATTGCCGACGGCGGTGAAGAGGACGGTGGGATGTGAATGGCCTATCTATGTGTTCAAGCCGGAGAGGGAGGCTGATATGAAGAGCGTGCAGAGAAGGACGGAGGAAGAAGGCAGGCAGAGGGTCGAGTCACAGCATGGGTTGAAGAGTGGGAGCTAAGTTAACTTGGACGATCCATCCATCCATCCCCAAACAAGGCTCGTATACCTAAGGTAGGTAGGTATCAAATTGTATGTCTTTACCAACTCCGCGCGCCTATCATGCGCCTATCATATCTATAACCTGGCCTCCTTCCTCTCCAACCTCTCCCAATCCTTTTCCGTAAACGGGACGTATGAATCGCCTTTCGGAGGCGCCCACAGCAAAACATCGTCTTTCCCCTCCTTCATCTCTGTGCCCACCAGTTTCGGATCAACCCCTTCCTTCCTCAACGGCACCTTGTTCTGTTTGTGGTTATGTATATGCGTGCTCGCCTTGACGATCCTCAAGAACACAGGAACCGCATACCTCGGCAGCCGCGCCCTCATATATTTCAGCAAATCATTCCAATCCACCGCGGCACCTTTATGGTTCGGATCGAGATGGATCGCTGCACAACCGGCACGTCCTTCGTGATTCGGCACCAGCACCCCGTAGACATTCGCCTCCGCGATGCCTGGATACTGGCCAATCGTCAGTGCGACTTCGGCTGTCGACACATTCTCGCTCTTCCATCTGAACGTATCGCCCAATCGGTCCAAGAAGTACCAGCGGCCATCACCATCTCGTCTCAAGGCATCGCCGGACCGATAGTAGATATCGCCCTTCTTGAACACGTCGGTGCAGAATTTCTTGTCCGTTGCAGCTTGCGACCTCCAGTACCCCTGGAACGCCTCCTTGTTCGGAACCGCAACGATCATTTCACCACCCTCATCGTACGAAGTTCTCTGCGCAAAACCCGTCTTTGGATCGCGCCAGATATCGCCCGTTTCGTGGTCGATCTTGACGGGAATGTACACGTTGCGCAGGATGGTGCGGAAGAGTAATCCATGATGACCCACAGAACCGCGGAAAAATGGACCTTTGTCGTAGTTGAACAGGCTGAACATGCCTTCGGTTGAATTGAAGAACTCGCCGATCTCGGGGATGTTGAACCGCTCTTGGAACTTCTCCCACACGTCCGGACGTAGCCCGTTGCCGTACGCACAACGCAATTTGTGGTCTCGCTCGAGAGGGTGCGGAGGCGCGTTAAGCAGGTACCGCGCCGTCTCGCCGACGTAGATGAAGAAAGTGGACCCGGAGTCGTGGATATCGTTCCAAAACCTCGAGACCGAGAACTTTGGAGCAATGGCGACAGACAGGCCTTGTAAAAGCGCGCAGGAGGTCGATATTGCCCCGGTTCCGTGGTACAAGGGCATGCTGTTGTACCATTGATCGACGCCCGGGACGCCGTCGCAAATGGGCATCGTCGGGCCGGCAATGAGCCAGATGCGGGAGAGATTGAATGCGCAACCCTTTGGGAGGCCTGTTGTGCCACTTTGAACGCAATCAGTTACTGCTTGACACAGGTAGAACATGTCTGACTAAAAAGACTCACCTCGTGTAGATCAGACAGTAAGGGAAACTGCCCTTTGTGCCGGCACGGAGTTCGTCGCCTGGTCTCGTCGCCGGCCTGGACGATATGCTTCGTTTGAGAGCGCCATCGAGGACAGCGATCTTGCTTCCCCTTGCTTCGATGTCCGCTCGACTCTCGTTGATCCGCTTCTGGCAGCCTGCGTCGTCATCCACGATCAACAGCCTCGTCTGGCAGACATCCAGACAGTGCAAAAGCGCCTTGCCCTCGAGATTGTAATTGATAAAGGCCGGCGCCGCCCCGACGGCCATGCACGCGAACCACACGAACATGAAGTGCGGCGAGTTCGTGAGATACATGCCGACCAGCTCGCCCGGTTTCACGCCTTGGTCCAACATCCACTGCGCGTAACGGAGGCATTCGTCGTGCATTTCGCCGAACGTGTAGGACCGCTGACGCCACCATATCGCCCGTCTGTTCCAGTGTTTCTTGCATGTCTCCTCGACAACGTACCATAGATTGACTTTGTCTTCCTTTACGACACGGGCGTAGTCCTTCTCTCCACGTTTTAGTCTATTCATGGCCTGCAAGTCCTTGCGGAAGTGGAACTTCGCATCGAGGTAAGCCGCTGCGGCCCAGCCGCCCGCTGCGACTGCTGCTGCTGTCGCTGTACAGAAGACATGGTTAGCATGGCCATGGTCATCCGTCGTTCGGAACAAGAAGCGTGGTGGGTTGGGCTTACCGAGGGCCATTGTTTCCCAATAAGACCAGCGCTCTATCTATCCACGGCAGTCCTCCCGCAGTATCTACAATATCAATGAAAAGGCAGAACAGCCCATATGCAGCAATCTAGAAGCCCAGCTGAAAGGAAGACATAAGGAAGGGAACCCAGAAAAGACCATAAGCAGCGGTACATGATGGTACCAACCCATCTCCACCCGCACTGTGCCCGCCCTCATCATATCGTGCAGCCTGCGATGGACTTCGGTTGGGCTTTGGAGAAAAGATACCGAGGCATCCGTAGGCTGACTTCTCCAGATTCAAGACCTTGGATTGGGGGCATGACGGGGGTACCTTGAGGAGGCTGCGGCTTAATCCATTGGCTCCACGGCATCCTTGGCCCGCAGATATCGGCAGTTAATGTCCCGGGTGCAGCCAGCCACTTGCATCAACGTACACCCGGAGTAAGGAGTACCTAGGCGTGCTCGGCGTGACCAAGACACTCACCAGTATCAACAATAATATAATCTTGTCAAGAACACCAGATGGTCTGCCATGGGCTCCGTGGATTCGACCAGCGACATATTGATCATCGGCTCCGGTATCTTTGGAACCAGCACAGCATACCATCTCTCCAAAAGCCATGCCACGCCATCGCGCATCACCGTGCTCGACCGCGCTCCTGCACCCTCCCCAGCTGCCGCGTCCTCCGACATAAACAAGATTGTCCGCGCCGACTACAGCAAACCCTTCTACATGGACCTCGCCTACGAGGCCATGCGGGACTGGACAGACAGCCCGCTGATATCACGCTACTTTTACCAGACAGGCTGGGTCGCCCTGGACGAGAAGGACAGCGACCTGTCGGCGCGAATACGCAAGAACTTCCGCGACAGTGGGCGGCCGGACACTTCGGCAGATATATCGCTCGACGAGGTCAAATCCAAATGGGGCGGCGTTCTGGCGGGCATAGACACAAGCGGGTATGATAAAGCGTACACGAATTCCAGCGCGGGGTGGGCGGATGCCTGTGCTGCCGTTGAAACGATGATGCACGAGGCAACCAAAGCAGGTGTGCACTATGAGGTAGGAGAAGTTGTCGAGCTTGTGTGCGAAGGCGACAAATTGACCGCCGTGCGCACAGCTGATGGACGCTTGTTCACCGGCGACAAGATCCTGCTCGCCACGGGTGCGTGGACACCTTGGCTTATGAGTCCACTAGAACAGAAGATGAACATACGCGAGGAAGATGGTATCCAGAGGCAAATGCAAGCTGCAGGCGTATGTGTCGCGGCATTCAAATTGTCCGAGGCAGAAGCACAGCATTACTCTCAGATGCCTGTGCTGATCTACGGATCCAAGGGAGAGGTCATGCCGCCGACGAATGAGGCACGATTCTTCAAGTTTACGAACTCCAACACCTTTCTGAACACGAAGGTGCATTCAGACACAGGGCAACAAATCTCTGTTCCCGAGCCTGATCAAAAAGCTGTACCGGAGATGTTGCAAAGGGAGTCGATTGAGATCATAAGGCAGCGTGTTCCGGAGATTCTGCGCAATGGTCGCACACCTGACGACTGGCGGCTGTGCTGGGACGCCGTCTCACCAGATCAAAATCAGTTGATAACACAGCATCCTGACCCTCGCTTGTCGAACTTGTACTTTGCCACGGCGGGATCGTTTCACAGTTGGAAATTCCTGCCCAATATTGGAAGGTACGTGGTCAACGTTATGGACGGTAAGTCGAATGGCAGGGAGAAAGATGAGGCTTGGGCGTGGAAGAGGACGTGGGAGGGCAAAGGTGCTCATGAGAAGGTCTTGCCCAAGAGGGAGTTTGGAAGCCTCAGTAAGTCTTGAATATTCCAACGAGATTTCCTGCTCGAATTTGGAATATGATACACCGATATTGAGCAGCCACAATAGTACTTCGTTCCATGTTGAACCCAGACACTATCGGCAAGGCACATTTTCAAAATTCACATTTCCTATCTACACCGAATAGACCAAGATTAATTCCGTGCTCATCAGATTGTTTTCAGTATTCGCCAATTTTGGGGGATCATAGTCATGCAAACCAATTTCAGGTTCTATCATCCTTACCACTCCATCTTTTCCTTGACATAGAGATCCATATACCTGTCAACCTCCATCGAGTCGAGCTTGGAGGCGTCAGTGGACAGTTGAAGAAGCTCCTGGATCTTAGCTTCAGGGTAGTGATGACCCAGGTGTCTCTTGAACTTGGAGAGAATCTCGGGCTTAGCCTCATCCCGTCGGAGACGGTGACCAAGCGGTGCCTCCACGACGACTTCATCCAGGACAGTTCCGTCGTTCAGCGTGACTGTCAAAGCATTGGATATCGTCCTCAGAGCGGGGTCATGGTAATCCTTGGTGAATTGAGGATCCTCAACACACTTGATCTTCTTCCGGAGGTCCTCGACCAAAGGCGAGGTAGCAGCCTCGCTACCGTCGACGTAATCCGTAGCCTCCAGACGGTTGAAGCACAACATTGTTGCAACCATATACTGAACACAGTGGTCTCGGTCAGCAAAGTTGTCCATAGGCTTGAATTGCTTGTCGATGATACGGATGCAGGCCTCGTGAGTGCGGTTAGTAATTTCCTTGATGTCCTTGGCCGATTTGCCCATATCTGCGAGGATCTTGTAGATCTTTTGTGCCGCCTCCACGGCAGTTTGAGAGTGGAACTCAGCAGGGTATGACACCTTGAACAGAACATTTTCCATGACATAGGAGCCATAAGGACGTTGGAACTCGAACTTCTTGCCCTTGAATAAGACGTCGTAGAAGCCCCAGACAGGAGCAGAGAGAACCGTGGGAACACCTGATTGACCATTCTTGACCTTGAGGGCCAAGTTGACTGCCCTCTGGCAAGCATCACCAGCAGCCCAAGACTTACGGGACATGGTGTTCGGAGAATGCCGGTAGGTTCGTAGAGCCTGTCCATCGACGAAAGCTTGAGAAACAGCAGCCGCAGTTTGACCCTCGTCCAGTCCGAGCATCTTGCTGACGACTGCTGCGGAGGCAACCTTGACCAACAGGACATGGTCCAAACCGACTCGGTTGAAGGAGTTCTCCAGAGCCAAACATCCCTGGATTTCGTGTGCTTTAATCATGCCTTCCAGGACGTCTCGGATCGTAGGGATTTTGCCATTGCCCAGGTTACCTCCGGCTCTGTTTGTTCGTGCGATCCAGTCGGCCACTGCCAGGATTGCACCTAGGTTGTCCGACGGATGACCCCATTCTGCAGCCAACCAGCAGTCATTGTAATCCAGCCATCTGATCATAGCACCAATATTGAAAGCACCATTAACAGGGTCGAGCACAAATGGTGTGCCTGGAACACGAGCTCCATTGGGCACTGTTGTACCTTCAACAGTCGGGCCGAGGAGAGCCGAGCATTGTGGGAAGCGGAGGGCTTCAAGACCGCAGCCGATGGTGTCGAGGAGGATATAACGGGAGGTATCAAGGGCAAGGTCTGAATCGATCTTGTAGTTGTGGATGTAGGAAGCAATATCTTTAATTTCGGGGTCGTATGCGGCCTCGGGAGCCTTTGACGGCATAGAGAAGCCTTTTGCGGCGGAGGTCGAGAAGGATGAAGCCATGACTGGTGCAGGTCGGGCGAGTCGTTGAGAGGTGAGGCTTGGTGACTGCCGGATGGCTGAGGACGGTGCTCGTACAGCCAAAGCACCAGCAGCCAATCTTCGCACTGAAACTCTCTTGAAAGCAGAAGAAGCCAGCATGGTTTGAGTGAATCTGTAGGACAAAATGTGGTTGAGTGGGGAGGGGCAGCAAACTGCGGACGGCGCTTGGATTCGGTGAGCCGCGACGAGTCACTGACTGGCAGGAGGAGGAGCAGCAACAACGACAATAACTGGGCGTCGTTCTTCACCGACTGACCAGGCGAGAGTGAAAGAGAATGATGAACGGAAGGCGTGAGGGACCGAGCGAAGAATAAAAGAGTCAAGATCGACCTGCGACACCAAGCTGTGTGCTCACAATTTCAACCACCAGATCAGATCGGAGCGGCACCTTGGAAAACCATCAACCTCCTCAACCATTATCTCATTCCTACCTACCTACCTAAGGTACTCCATACTCCGTACGTTTCTTCTATACTCCGATCCTATTCTCTTACCTAGCCACATCGGAGCTGTGCTTCTCTCTCATTGCTTCGCCATTGCACCTCCATCTCCCCGATCTCCACTACCGATTGCCTCGGCCTCGGCTGCTCATACGCCAACCTCCCTCTCCTCTCACTCTATTGGCATTGGCATCTCCGACACCGCGAATTACCCTCCTAACGCGTCCTTAGCTGCTGGAGACGACCTCCTTGTTGAGAATTGATTGGCCTGGTGCTCTTCTAAAATCCTAGAGCTCTGCAGACATCGTAAGAGATGTCGGCTTTGAACCCCCGATATCAGCCTCTTCAAGAGAACACCTCAATCGCTGATGTGGACGACGGAGATCTGTCGGAGGAAGATGTCAAGTCACGCTCTCCAAGCGATGGCCACCTTTTGGACCCCACTGGCTCAAGCACGGGCAAGGCACTGAAGTACTCTTCAAACTCCGTCACTAGCCGCATATGTGGTGGGCGCAAGCTCACAAAGACATACATTGCTGTTTCAGTCCTTGTTCTGGCGATATTTGCCTCTGTTATCGGCGGAGGTGGTTATTGGGTCTACTCTCAGGGTCAGATAAATGGCCAATCACCACCATGGTACCCAACTCCACGAGGCGGCTCCCTACCATCATGGAAGGACAGTTATGACAAGGCTCAGAAGCTGGTTGATCGTATGAGCCTCGTTGAGAAAGTCAACATCACCACTGGAACAGGATGGGCTATGGACTTGTGTGTCGGGAACACTGCTCCTGCTGTCAATGCCGGATTTCCTGGACTGTGTCTTCAAGACGGCCCCCTCGGCATCCGCTTTGCTGATCATGCTACCTCATTTCCTGCGGGCATCACCGTGGGTGCCACCTTCAACCGTGATCTCATGCGTCGACGAGGTGCCGCTCATGCTCGCCAAGCCAAGCTCAAAGGCGTCAATGTGCTCCTGGGTCCTGCAATGGGCCCGCTGGGTCGAAATCCCGCTGGTGGTAGGGTTTGGGAAGGCTTCGGCAGTGATCCAGTCTTGCAAGCAGTAGCTGCATATGAGACGATTCAAGGCATTCAATCTCAAGGTATCATCGCAACCGCCAAACATTTCGTGGGCAATGAGCAAGAACATTTCCGCAAGTCTTTCGAGTGGGGGTTACCAGAAGCACTGTCTTCGAATATCGACGATCGAACCCTTCATGAGCTATACGCCTGGCCGTTTGCCGAGAGCATCCGCGCAGGTGTCGCGTCAATTATGTGCTCTTATCAGATGGTCAACAACTCCTATGCTTGTGCCAATAGCAAATTGATGAATGGTATCCTCAAAGATGAGATGGGATTCCAAGGCTTCATTCAGTCGGACTGGTTGGCTCAGCGAAGCGGCGTGGCCAGTGCCCTTGCTGGTCTAGATATGTCTATGCCTGGTGATGGACTTTTCTGGCGAAACGGAAAGCCACTCTTCGGTGATCAGCTCACTCTCGCGGCCTTGAACGGTTCAGTACCAATGTCGAGGCTGAATGACATGGTCGCCCGGATCGTTGCGGCATGGTTTCAACTGGGCCAAGACTCTTGGACGTCCAAAGGGCCGAATTTCTCGTCGTGGACTGACGATGAGTACGGTGTCTTGCACGATGGGAGCAGCACCAAGCAACCCAAAGTCGTCGTCAATCAATTTATTGAAGCTGAAAATGATGAAAGTCGTGATATCGCCCGACAAGTGGCAAGCGAGGGTACCGTGCTCCTAAAGAACGAGGACTCGCTCCTCCCATTGAGTCCCAAGCTTTCGGAACTTGGTGACGCCAGCCAGAAGAAAGTCGCCATCATCGGTGAGGATGCTGGTCCGGGTAAAGGTCCAAACTATTGTGATGACCGGGCCTGCAATCAAGGAACTCTTGCTGTTGGCTGGGGTTCGGGAGCCACCGAGTTCACATACCTCGTGGACCCGCTATCAGCCTTGAATGCAAGCTTCGACGAGTCAGCTGTCAATATCACCTTTTCGGTCACCAACAGTATTTCCTCGCGTCTTCAGAGCACTCTAGAGGAACAAGATCTGTGCATTGTATTTGGGAATGCAGATGCTGGTGAAGGCCATCGCATCTGGGCATCTCAAAGAGCAGACAGGAATGACCTCGAAATTCAGAAAGATGGAACTCGCCTGATCCGAAACGTCGCAGAGGCTTGTGGTGGTCCGGTCGTGGTCGTCATTCATTCAGTCGGGCCCGTGCTCATCGAGGAATTCGCCGACCTACCATCTGTCAAAGCGATTCTGTTCGCCAATTTACCTGGCCAGGAAAGTGGTAATGCACTTGCTGATATCCTCTTCGGTCGAACCGATGCATCTGGTCGACTCCCATATACACTTGGGAAGAGCCTTGATGACTATGGTCCTGGCGCTCCTGTGCTCTACTACCCCAATGGCATCATACCACAGGTCGATTTCAAAGAAGGCCTGATCATTGACTACCGCCACTTCGATAAGCACAATATTGAGCCACGGTATGCTTTCGGCCACGGATTGTCCTACACGTCGTTCGAGCTGTCAGATCTGGCTATCACGAGCTTGAAGGCCAAATCTCCACTTCCTTCACCAAGGCCGGAATCTCTGTCCCCCCCGAATCTCAATGAGGAACTCCCCGATGTTGAGAGCGCCCTCTTTCCCAAAGAATTCTCGAAGCTGACGAAATTCGTCTATCCTTACATTTCCAGCGCTAGCCAAGTCAAGAAAGGAAAATATCCCTACCCAGATGGGTATGAGCTCAAGCAGGACCTGAGCCAAGCCGGCGGTGGTGAAGGCGGCAACCCGGCCTTGTTTGAGGAGCATGTCAATGTCCAATTACGCATCAGCAACACCGGCAGCCGGAAAGGAAAAGAAGTCGTCCAAGTATATGTTGGGTTCCCTCCGTCAATACGCGAGCCCTCGACAGGAGAGCTCATCGAGACCCCTGTCAGAGTACTTCGCAACTTCACCAAAGTTGAGCTTGAAGCTGGTGCTAGTCAAACGGTCAATCTTACATTGACACGAAAGGATCTCAGTTATTGGTCGGTGATACAGCAAAATTGGGTGTTGCCAGAAGGATCTTTCACAATCTCAGTTGGTCGGAGCTCTCGGGATCTGCCATTGCAGGGGACGTACTGAAAAGGGAATGAAAGTCACAAGACTCGGGACAGAAGACTAATCCTCGAGTCATGTGGCTCATCGAAGCTTACACGCCATATCTATTTCTAGGTCGTGCCTAGACAAGTTCGAGTCAGGGAGACATGTGTCTAGGTATGTGTGACTCGGCCTTTGAGGTGGTCTTACTCTGACATAGACGTCTCATGTCAGACACAAGCCTGAAGGCCTCGGCGGGCGTCCTCCGGGGATGCTCTTCCCCCGCATTTCTGCACAGACCTCTCCACTTTGTGCCTCCCATGGTTTGATGGATCGTTACCAGCAAATGATGGCATCATTGGGATCAGTCGTTACTGGGTCTCGAAAGGGGCGATAGGGCACGTTCAAACGTGATTTGTTGGAGTATTCGCAGTCTGGGACGGGATCATCCATTACCGCGGTTCTGGTGGGAGGGGGTCCTTCCATGCAAAGGAGCCGCGCAATGTATCCGAGGTAATGGCACAATGAGAGATCATCAAAGGGAGCATACAACCGTCAAAGCTCCTCTCGCATGGCTTTCCATTCCTGTTGTTTTATCTAACTTCGTTGTCAGCGCGGCTGATTGACCTTGCGCATCGAAGCTTGGGGCCGAATATATACCCCAGCAGCCTGCCCGACTGATTGTTTCCGTTCACATTTCACCTTTCCTAGCCACATTTAGAGGTTAAATATACAGAACACAGGATGGCACCAGACATCAACATGATGGCCAACTGGTCAACGGAAGGGTATGCAAACAATGGTGTGCCTCGTGGAGACTATGAAATCCCAGGTAGGTGGAAGCTGCTTCTGAGTTGAGCAATACCACAGGCCGCGGCTTATTCGAGGCCTCGTCATTCCGTTCCCTGCGTATCTGCTCTGGTGGACCGTGACTAAGCAAAGTCTTCCAGATATCGTCCTCCATGGACCATACACTCGTAAGATTCGTGTGCTTTCTATCGGGGCAGGTGTCACTGGGATAATGAAGTACGTATGGCACAAGATCAAGCCGTATCGGCGATAACTGACAGAATCCCAGTGCTTACCACATTCAAAAACACCTCGAGAATGTTGAGCATGTCATTTACGAGAAGAATGAAGACCTTGGAGGGACATGGCTGGAGAATCGGTATGTATTTGTGCGAGTTTTAATCCCAAATCCCACACGAAACACGAAACATGACACGCTCCTGCGTCTGTACATTTGCCCATATACTGACCATTCCCAGATATCCTGGTACGTACATCGTCAATGCCTTCTGTGTCCGAGACGAGTGTGGATGCCCTGAAGGCAAGTCCGTATATTGTCATTGACAAGAAGCAGGAGCAGCGTGCGATATCCCATCTCATGCCTATACATTTCCATTTGCCCTGAATGTAAGTCATTTCGCTAAGGTGTATAAACCTTTGCGTCAGTGATCGGCAACTTACATCCTATTCCATAGCCTGACTGGCCTCGTTTCTTCTCCTATTCGCCGGATATCTGGAAATACCTGGACAAAGTATGCGAAGTGTGGGGGCTGCGGAAATACATGACCTTCAACACCGAAGTCGTTGGGTGCTACTGGCAACAGCAGACTGGGGAGTGGCTCGTCAAGTTGAAACAGACGAACCCTGACGGTACGACCAGGCTGTTCGAAGATCGGTGCCATGTTCTGCTCCACGGGACTGGTATCTTGAACAACTTCAAATGGCCGAATATTGAGGGTATGGAGAAGTTCAAGGGACGCATCGTCCATACTGCACGCTGGCCCAAGAATTATCAGGCTGAAGAGTGGAAAAAGGATAGAGTGGCGGTCATCGGCTCGGGCGTGAGTTGACACGGCCTGGCTCACGGAAGTGTAAGTGTGCTGACGAAGATGAAGGCTTCGAGTATTCAGACGGTGCCGAATATGCAGCCTCATGCGAAGCATATTGACGTTTTTGTCAGGACAGGTATGTCATCCATTGGAGAGCACAAATCTTTCCGTGTACCCGACATGTCAGTTCTATGCTGACTCCTTATACTAGGCGTCTGGTTCGTTCAGATAGCGAATAATTTCGGCGCCAATCACGAATACACGCCGGAGCAGAAGGCCGAGTTTCGCGATCCATATAAGATCGTCGAGCATGCCAAGTCCATCGAGGATCAAGTCAATGGTCTCTGGGGCACGTTCTATAAGAATTCAAAGGCCCAGGCCGAGGGCCAGGTTGCGCTGAAGGCCCGCACGGCTGAGCATCTCAAGGATGAGAGGCTGTTGAAGGGGTTTACTCCGTCTTTTGGTATTGGTTGTCGCCGCGTAACGCCAGGCGATCCTTATATGGAGTGAGTCATCTCTTTAGTCTTTGTCGTTGTTTGGTGAGCTGTCAAGATCATGTGTGGCATTGTTTCATACCAATTCTAACGTGAATGCACAGGGCGATCCAAAAGCCGAATGTGGACGTGCATTTCACGCCAGTCACGAAGATCGACGAAACCGGTGTCATTGGGGAAGACGGCATCCATCGCGAAGTAGACACAATCGTATGTGCGACAGGCTTTGACGTCTCTTACCGTCCTCGGTTCCCGATCGTGGGCCAGAACGGAATTGATCTCGCCGACAAATGGAAGGTCTGCCCTGAGGGATATCTCGGTCTTGCGATCCCCGATTTCCCCAATCTTGTTACTTTCATAGGCCCCAACTGGCCAGTTGAAAACGGAAGCGTCATGGGCCCCTTGATGTACGTCTCATACTACGCACTGGAGATGATCAAGAAGATCCAATCAGAGTATATCTGTAGCATGGCGCCAAAGCAAGAAGTTACGGATGCCTTTAATGAGCATTGTCAGGAATGGGTCAAGCATACTGTTTGGGTGGAGGAGTGTCGATCCTGGTTAGTATATCGTTTCCTGCCCGAAACCCTCTGTAGACGGCTGCACGTAGGGACGTTAAGAACGGGCTGACTGACAGTAATTGTGTACAGGTACAAGAATAATGAAACAGGGCGGGTCAACGCCGTCTGGCCAGGTAGTTCTCTGCACTACATCGAGACAATCAGGAAGCCGAGGTGGGAGGACTATGAAATTGAGTACCTAGGACCGGGGAAGAAGAACATGTGGGCTTTCTTGGGGATGGGCACAGTCAAAGCACTTGTGAACAAGGAAGATCCGTCGCCGTATCTGACCGTCGAGGCGATTGACCCGGCGTGGATGGAGGCAATGGATATGGATGCGAAGAAAGTGGCCGAGACGAAGTTGGGTGAGTTGAAGGCCAAGCATGAAGAGCAGGAGGAGAAGAGCAAAGAGAATGTGGATAAAACTGCTATTGCGTCCAACGGGACGTCCCACGCATGAGGAGGCGATCAGAGATTTATTCGATCTTCCCAGCGAAACCCCGATTCCAGACACATGTTCAAGTAAGAGGATGTTTGTAGGGCATATGTAATCACTTCGTAATGCATGATTGTCTTCCAACATGAGAGGAGAGTCTAGGTGAACGTAATTCTGTAGCAACAACGAACGCAAGACAAGGATAGACAGGGAAATGGCTTAGTCATCATTGACGAGGCTGAGCCTTACCACAAGGCTGCGGCATGGGGGACTTTTTGTTTATTCGTCTCCAATTTGAAGCGTTTGCCTTCACCACCACCAGTCAAATCGACCAACTCCTGTTATTTTCAGCCTCAAATCCTGCCCGCACACGCAATTCGAGCTCTGTAACGGCTCAACTTCCATCAAACAGGTTTAACCCGTGGCCAACCTGGTGAGTGGAGTCCAACAGATCGTGCTGGATCATGGAGATCCATTCAGTCCTCCCCGAGGAACGCGCGAGGGATCAAAAGGGTGACACTCTACCTTGGGGCTATCGGTATGCAGAGTAGGTCTATCTGTGCTATTTCGACACATCCCAAGACTGACAAGCTCCAGTTCCGCCCGCAACGCCCGCCAACCCGAAGAAACCGGCCCATTCGGACGCAACCGTAGTCTACGCACGACCGGGTCTCGCACACCTCGCGCACGAACCGGAACGACGCCCGTCCGACAAAAGGAAAACACCGCAGTCGCCGAGTTCGGCCGGCTCTTTGCCAAAGAACAAGCGAAAGAGGAGGAGCACCCCAAGACCACCACATCCATCACACCGTCCGGCGACACCGCGCCAGTCGAACCTGAGTCCATACCCACGGAATGTCTACTCTACGGCTACGCAGGCAAATCTTCCGAGTGGAAAGTCCTGAGCAAATTCGAATCCATCGTCACACCAGGGTTTATCTGCGAGGACTACCCGCGCGAAGACCCAAATCTGTTTCTCTCGTCGAATTCACCGCTCGGGCTAACGAGATCCTCCGTCGTGGTCCGCGAGAATTTGTCCAGAGAAGCGATTCGCAAGAGCCGGATTTACAGCGGTGGAGTACACTGGATTAAAGTCACATTCGACAGTTACCAGGCTGCGGAGCGGGCGTGCTTTTACAGTCCGCTCGAGATCGACGGATACATGGTGCACTGCGAGATGTGGCAGGGACGAGGACCAGCGGCGGATGTTGCGTTGCCCAAGGGGCCGGTGGGGCAAGAAAATTTGACGTCAGGTCTATTGTCAGCCGGGGACAGTGGAAGGAAAGGCAAGGCGAGGACACTCAGCGCGGCAACCGGCGCGGGCAAAGATTCTGCGATCGCGGGATTCGAGAGAGCGCTACAGACGCTGCCGAGAGGACATACGATGCCGGATGGACAATATGGGCAGCCCGAGGATGAAGAATCAATCACATCGACGACCGCGTCTTCTGCAACGGCGACGGCGATGGAGACCGAGCCTCTACTATCACAGCAATCTACGGGTGCGGGCGGTTTGCGCTCGCGCTCTGTGCCGAATCTGCCGAGCCACGAGATCACAGTCCAACAGCCGAGTCGATCAGAGTACATGACGCATATAAAAGTGAAAAAGGCGGTGCTGAGGCCAGTTTCTGAGGCGCTGCCGCCGCAGCCGACGTTCGCTGAACGGGCTGTCAGGAGCATACCCGGTGTGCGGTTGGTGGTGGGCAGTGGGACGAAGCAGGGTGGAGGATCGGGGACGGGGACCGGGACCGGGACGACTGGAGGCTTTGTTGGAGAAGAAGGGCCGTTGGTCAAGGATGACGGGACATGGGATCCGGCTAATGGCTGGTACTGGTCCTTTTGGCATCGTATTGACGACTGTTTGGGGACAGACTTTTGTGGCATCAAGGATGATTGATTTGGGATGCTGGGGGTTAATCAAAACGGGTGGGCGGCTTGCGGAGGGAGGTAGCCTCTGCATTCAGCGAGATGATGGGGTTGTTTCATGCACTCGTGAGGCTTAGAAAAAGCAACGGCGTCAAGGAATATACACATATACAGCACTGCGGCATAGTCATACGCGGTGCATACTATGAGTGAGGTCGGAAGCCTTCAACAGTTCAATTTGAAAGCAATTCCAGGTCATTGGTGCTTTTTATGGTTCGTACATTGGATGGTAGTTTTTGGGCTTTCCCACGGCGCCATGACAATCCCATGCAAAAACTGGCTACTGTTCCATGCAGCTGAGAGTGTGAGGTCTTCTGGTCAATTTCACACCAATCTTCGGTTCGGATCCGGTCTGTCTCAAATGGCTAGAGCACATTCCGTTTCGACGTGTGTATCTAGACCCGTCTTTACTCGACCTTGCCTTCAAAGTTCTCGCCCTCGACCAGATCGGGAATCTCGTCGTCGTCGTCCTCGCCCTCCTTCTTCTCACCACCCTCTTTCTTCTGTAAGGTCTGGTACGACTCGGCGAGACGGCGCAGCGAGGCGAGTGAGTCGGGTCCGAGTTGGTTCAGGATGCCGGGTACGAGTTCGGTGAGTTCCTTGTCCTCGCCGTTGCCGTAGATGGCGAATGTGTTGGAGGGGACGGATGCGTGGACTATAAGGTTTTCCCACCGTTAGTTATAGCTATTCTGCACGCGAATTTCTCCCCCCTCGGTGTTGTGTGGAAAACGTACCCTTCGGTGCAGCAAAGTGGATAACATTTCCATCCTCCTTGAACATGTTGACCTCCTCAATCGCCTGGATGGGTTGGACGTTCAGCTTCTTTAGCGACGTTTGTAGTTTCTTGTCATCTGTGCCAGAGGATTTGTGGACCTTCTTGGTCTTTCTTCTCGGTGTGCCTTTGCCTCTGTCATTTTTCATCAGTCTTGGTCCCCAGCACTTTGAGTACGACCTCCGAGACCGGGGAAAGCTTTGGTCGGTAATGAAGAATGTGGAGGCTATGCATACCCTGTTCACACATTGTTTAGTCAATTCCTGCAAGCTGCGCACAATGAACGCTGAAATCCACAACTTTATCGGACGTACCAATTCGCACCTGCGCCTGCATGCGCTTGAGCTTCTCCTGATCCATGTTGGGCGAGTCTTTGATTTCCGAGCGGATTTGCTCAGAATGGCCTGATTGAAAATAAAGTCACCAGTCCGGTTGTGTGGTGTTGGAGAGCCTGCTGATCGGAGATCTGCGGGACAAAAGTTTCGAAAGTCGGAAAAGACGTGGGCTCTGGAGGAAAGACAAGCTGTAACCTGCTCACTCCGTCCTAGCTAGCTGTGGTTGATGTCGAAGCTGGTCGGCGGATTGCCAGTGAGGTTGTTCACGTTCATTGTGCATATAAAGCCTTGGCGGTCGGTGGACCCAATGAGGAAGAGCCTCGGAGGAAATGCAGTTGAAACTCCGATACGTGGGGAACTGCCTCGCGCGACATACTGCCCGCAGTGTCTTCAGTATCACAGTACATACATACACCAGGTGCATTTTTCGGTTTCCATTGAGATTGTATCTGGACTACTAGATCTTTTCTTCCTGCGCGGCGTTGAACCCTTTTCTTTCCATCTTCAAGACTTTCGGAATGGCAGGAAGACATGCCTTGGTCGTACCTGCGCTAAAGAAGCACACGGCGACAATCATTATGGCGCATGGGCTGGGCGATAGGTAGGCACTGGGTCTCACTGGTTGTACGCAAGGCTGACTTGGCATCTACAGCGGCGCCGGATGGTGAGTGCCTAAAGGTTTCTTTACGGTCAAACGCTGAGTGGCTGAAGGGTATCTCTTGCTGAAACATGGCGACGACGCGGCAAGTTTGAGGACGTCAAGTTCATATTTCCAAATGCACCCAACATACCAATCACGGTGGTAAGAGGAGGTGAGCATGCAGACTGGAGTTCAAGAAATGCTGATTGTTGGCCTTAGAATATGGGAATGAGCATGCCCGGCTGGTATGATATCGTAAGACGCCGCGACGATGTTTGCACCCCCCTCGCGCAGCCTCCTGCCGTATCTCAATGTTGGACCTCTGAACTGACGTGCGCTGCAAACAAATACAGGCAGAGTTTTCAGATCTGAACCAACAGCAAGACGAACGTGGAATCCTCCGAAGTCGAGCCACCTTTACGAAATTGATCACGGACGAGATCGCAGCTGGGATTCCTTCCAACCGCATTGTGCTCGGTGGATTCTCGCAAGGCGGTGCTATGTCTATATTTACTGGTGTTACAACGCCGCACAAACTGGGAGGTGTGTTTGGCTTGAGCTGTTACCTGGTGCTAGCAGACAAAGTGAAAGAGCTTGCGAAAGAGGCCAATGAGGTGAACAAAGATACTCCTTTCTTCATGGGTCACGGTGATAGGGACGAGGTGGTCAAATACAAGTGGGGTCAACACACAGCGGAATTCCTGAGAAAGGAGTTGGGGCATAAGGTCGAGTTCAAGACGTATAGGTATGGTAGACGCCAACATCAAGGTAGAAACCATGGCTAACGATGAACCAGGGGTCTCCCTCACTCTGCTGCTCCGGAAGAAATCGACGACCTGGAGGAGTTCATCAAACAATGTCTACCGGCCAATGAGTCTCTTTGACTAGATGATCGTAAGGGTGCACCTGATTGGAGCTGGATACCATTGATTGTTCTCATCATGTTGGCGTCGCTTGCATCTTTTGGATTGGCCAAATCATGGCGTCGGGGTCAGAAAGCAAGGAAGAGCTAGAATCTTTGTCTGTTGCATCGAACAGAAACAGCTTGAATTTTGAAGACTATTTCATGACCAACAATATTTCCTTTCACATAATTTGCCCGCGTCTAGGCGCCACCCTCTTTTCGCTGACCACAGTAGAAACCCAAGCCGTAGCTGTCAGTGGTAAATGTGATTTTGCTGCCCTTGGGGAAATAGAAGACATCGCCGGGGGTGGCCTAGAGAAGTTGAGTCAGCAAGATGGGTTCGGAGGCTTTGCACGAGTCAAGCACTGACATGAACCGATTGACCAGTTTCATCCTTGATGTCAAATTCTCCTTCCACAATGATCTTCATCTCATCATAGTGGTAGGTGTAGACCAAAGGTGTGCCCTTCTCGAGTCTGTAAAATCCGGCACTGATGGGCTTCTCTGGGTCGTTCTTCTCACTGCTAACAACGTCTCCGAGATAGGCGTTCTCGTTGGCGATCAAGGGAGGTTTGAATTCCTTCTGCGCATTTTTGAAATGTTGGAATGCTTGAGAGCCCATTTTTGCGGGATTTCTGTTTCGTGAGATTTCTCGGGAAGCTGTACGGAGTAGGGCGTTCGTTGCACAGCGTTTTGTGACAGGTGGAAGTGGGAGGTTGATGGAAGAGAATCACGGCTCGGAGCTCGGAAAATGAGGGCAGAGCACAGGAAGATATATACTACTTGATGGACAGCCAGCAAATCTTAGCATTGCGCCTACCTAGGTTGTTGCCGTGGCTTGAATTCTTGCCAGGCAGCTCGGAAACCCGCATGAACAAACAACGCGTATGGACCGATGCGAAGACAGACCCGCGTCAGCATGTGTCTTCTCCAAGAGATTGTCGGATATGCGAGTATAAGGGCCAGTAAGATACCCGCGATCAGTGGAATGAATGGAATCTGATTGGGACAGTCGAGGGAACAATATGCCAGAGAGGGAAAGATCCTTCAGACAATACAAATGCGAGAGGGTGATGGGAAGGCTACCGCGAGATAATGAGGGGCCTGGAGGGGTTTCGTTTGATAAGAGATAAGAGTGGGATGTTTCGCAGCGTTGAGCTCCTCCAAGAGCAAACTGGTATCGATTTTGGTTGAATATGTTATTACATACGCAGAGACAAGAACTCTCTGAGTCTTGAGATGCGAAGGGTTGATGTCAGAGAGACTTCAGTCGTTGTTATTAGTGAGAATTTACTGAATAAAGACAATGGCGATGTATCAGAAGAGAAGGGGTTTCAACATGACGAAGACGCCAGTGTAGTGAGCATAATTCAAATACCTTGACAGGTCGAATATCTTGGAATTGCTCTACGAATCGCTCAGGATCCTGTCAAGTACTTTGTCAGACATGCCTGGTTTCTGAGCACTCGTCAGCACTGCCCACAGAGTACTACTCCGTACTTTCGTGCTGTCCGTTCTCTCAACTCTTCTCGCAGCTATCACCGCACGTGTCGACGGGAGCGATCCTCGAATCCTTCGGTGCCAGTGCTCAAGACATCTCGGCAATACCATCAGCGAGCTAGGCATGTTCACGGGCGCTCTCGGGCGCTCAACGGTCGCTGCTTATTAAACATTGCACCAAACTCAATCAAGCAAAGGAATCCCTTGACTTACTCGTAAGAGTTCTGCATCCCCCACACTCGCTCTCTCGGTCAACGCTACCACGGCCACCACGGCCACCACGGCCACCACGGCATACATTGACCGCTCCAGCTCGAGGTTGCAGATTCCCATGAGGAGAAGTACTGTATGTCAGGTACAAAGGCGCAGGAACGGCCTGCCACATCTTTGCGAACACGGAAACTAAACCAGCACTACAGTCCATCCTGTGTTAGTTCTTCATCAGCTCATGAGAGCTGGTTCCGATATCCAGGCATCTCCGTCGTCAAGCACTGACTAGACTTTACGGATTACTCCGTACAGTCACACAGTATACGAACACACAGCAATCGAACCTCCATCAACAGACTGTACTCGTACGGAATTGTCAAAAAGGTCCAGCCCATCAGATCTCCAGGAACCCATGATGATCGGATCCATGACAGCCTCTGAACGGCATAGGACGGCATTCTCAAGGTTTGGGTCTGGGCCATGGTAAGCCTACCACAGTCACTCACAGTATACCTCTTGTCAGAAAGGATGGGCCTCCAGGGACAAAGCTGCATTTAAATGCAAAGATATCCCTTCCCTTGCCTTTTTCCCTTCCCAAATCTACCATGACCCTCCAACGGGCGACACTCCTTCCTGTACGAGGCACTCCACAAGTCCCTCGCCATTCTATCTCCTTTCTGCAAAACCTCAACCATGCAAATCTGCGCCTCTAACATCATGCACTCTGTGACTCTCCACAGTCCACCGCCCGTCCAGTCCAATGGCCACAGCCCTGGGACACCACAACTGATTATTCCCAAGACTTCCCCCTTTCGTCATTGTACATACTGCACAGTCCTGTTTCCTCTCACGGCGACCGCCGTATGGCCGTGGGATTTCCGCACTTCCCGCAAAAAGCAGGACCAGGCCTGCAAGGCTCATGTATCACGCAATCCTATCCTGCAGTCGGACGGACTGGGGAGGCATTATTGTTCCCTCACAAGTTCGCCAAACGACTCTAGGTGTACGGAGTTATGGTTCCACCAATTGTGCTTCCATTGTCCTCGTACTCCGTACAATACAATCCAATCCCATCCTGTCCTCCGCCCACCTGACACGACGATTATGCCGAGCCGTGGGGTATTCCATCCCTGCCCTGTTGACTGTGACCCGACTGCAGATGGACTGTGTAACGTAGATGGCTCGAATGGGTTCTTGTTGCTGCTGTGCTATGATGCCATTCTTCTCTCATGACTTCCCTTTCCCCCCATCAGCCTCAGGCTGCCCGTAACTGCGAGTGGCTCGATCAGCACACCTGATGAGGCCCTTGACCTAAGTTAGAACAAGCCTAGCTCAAAGGAAGGCCGGGCACTCACGCAAGCCTTTCACGGCCTTTCTCTCTCTCTCATTTCACTCGTACTCTTGTTCTGCCTTGGCTTTACCTAGGTAACTAACGAGTAGGCGGCCTCCGCGAAACAAAAGAGACTTTCTTTGGCATCTCCACTCCCATATTGCACCACCCGCCACCCACCCCTACCACACTCTCCCTCTTCCCGTCTCATTCAACCGCTTACACACAACAATCGATCACAGTTATTACTTTTCACTACCACAGTCACGCACAGTATACCTTACTTCCCACTCCCGCCCTCCTACACTACCCACAGCCGCCTGGTCATACCCTTCTCAGGCCTGCCGTGCCCTTGCCCTTGCTCCGAAAAGCAAAAGCGGTCCCCTCGAGATCCTGAAAATTTTTCCCCTCTCGAGAGAAAAGAAGAACGATTCCACTTCACAGGGAGGGCGGCTCCATAATCTCTACTCTTTGTTTCTTTGCCTTCTCTCTACACCCCCTACGGAGTATCTTGACCCATTTCCACTCTTCCACTCTTCGCTTTTCTCGTCCAGAACATACGGTCCCGCGAGATAATTCCAAAAAAGAAAACGACTCTCTGCCAAGAGAATCCTTTTTTCCCTTTACAAAGAAACAATGGCATTATGACATGAGATGACACCAATCATCCAAAGTCCAACTTCAAGTCTCCTGACATATCATCATTTCCAGTGTGTATTACCGCTACTACCACAACAACTCCTACTATTACTATTGACCTTGACCTCCCTGGGCACCTTCTTCTCGCCTGCCAAAGCAACAACCACGGCGACCTCACCGGTTTCATCAAGTCAGCACTTGGCGGCCATTGCCGCCACCGAAGACGACCAAAGGATTACCTATTTGGACCAAGAATATCGATACACGGCCAGGAGACCTCTCCTTCCCCACAGCACCAAGGTCTTACTCGCCGAGTCCCTGCGCATTCGCCCGCCTTGTGCTTTCATCGCTTAAGTAGCATCTGCACCGTCTTCAGCCCCAATCCAACCCATAGCAAACAAGGCTGAGACAGCTGCACGTCGCCGCAGCGCTCCAACATCCTGGGACCAGGGCACTCGGGCTGCCGCCGCAACGCAACAGCAAGTCATTACTCTGTTTTGGATCTGCTCGCCCTCACTCCATGGATCCAGAAACCTAAAGCAGCATTTTATTGATTCTACCCTTTGGCGACACATCTTCACGCCCTGCAACACACGCCACATCATCTAGGCTTGCTCGTGATCTTGCCTCTGCGCCAATATACCATTGCGACGCTTCAGACGCCATTCTCGATAACTACAATTCATCCATATGCAACCGCACTAGGACCGATCATTCATCCGGTGTAAACGCCTCGCTCGTACAGTCATTCGAAAGCATCAACATAGGCGCCGCATGTAACCCACCCTTTCCATATCCTTTCCTCAAAAAACAACGCCGTCTCTCGCCAGAAGCACAGATATAATCACGAGGGCTGCAGAGAATCCGCGCCACCTGTCCAGGAAATCCAAAGCGACAGTCTCAAACAACATTTCAGAACATAACATCATGAGGGCGTCCACAACCTCAACAGAGCCTCCGGCGACTAGCAATCGGCGTAAGACCCAGGGCATGACCAATGGTCAGAATTCGGGGATGGCAGTCAGACCGGCACCCATGTCCAAGATATCCCAGAGCGCCGAGCTGGACGAGTATACGGCCAGCATGCGCAATTACCTGGCAAGCGTGGAGAATGGCCGACGTCAGTCCATCAGTGACCGCACTGATTCTGCTTCGAGTAGCAGCAACGGTAACAGCAGTGGAAGTGACCGGGAGAAATCTCCAGAGTTCCAATGGATGGATCTGGCAGCCCTGCGAAGAGCGCATGGAGCAGTGGATGTAAGTAAAGTTGGCAACAGCAACGGAGTATCGAAAAGTGTGAGGATGAAGCAGGTGAATCGACCTCACTCTCCCAGGATCGGTATCTCCAAAGACAGCAGACATTATCTCCACCAACATCGCCAACGAGAGAATCGATCGACCAGTCCAGGTGTAAAGTCGACGAGCAAAAAGCACATTTCTTATGTAGGCCAGAGTCAGATCCATTGTCGGGCGGCGGCAATTTCGTCACCCGAGAAAAACTGCACATCGTGATTGGTTAGTGAATTTTCAAATGGGAATGCGAAGGGAAATCGCATATGCAGTAATATTCAGGGCACAATGACAATGGCACATTCGCGAAAACAAGGGAGGGAAAAGCATTACGGCACACAAATGCAAGGACAATGAAAACAACAAGCGCAAAGACATACCTTCCCATTGACGGTCTGCCATGACACCAAGCCAATGCAGCTGTCCCCGCACCGTATACTCATGCTCAAGTTGGTCTGGCGAAGTGATATCTCCCGTTGGTCGCCGAGAGAAGTTCCCCCCTGCGCCGGACGTTGGCAAGGAAAATCCGCCTGCACCACCAATCCCCCTAGACATGGACATAGGTAGGCCACCACTCATCGTATCAAGTGTAACTCGTCGCTTGAGGGCTCTTCCGCTTGGGTCAAGGCGTTCTCCTGCTCTAAATCCAGCTGAATCTGCAGAATCCGCAGAATCCGCATTTTGATGGGGCTGACACTGCCCTTGGCTGAAGAATCCATCTTCGTTGGCACTGTCAACGGTATAAGCCTTCCTCTTCAGCCCTGGTGGCATATTCATGACAGGTGGCACGAAATTGCCGCCAGGTACGCCGCGCGAGTTGTATCGTTGAAGCAAACGATTCGCCTTCTCACTCTCGTAGGTATCTCGTCGGCTCCACACTTCTTGCACCACGCTCCAGCAAGCAGCGACATTTCCGATCTTCAGGCGTGTCATCATTGCCGCCCATCGCTGCATAACCCAGCTTCGATCGTCCGGATCGGTAACTTCGCAACTCGCCGCAAAAAGCGGGAATATCTGGACAATCGTAGTACGGGAAGATAAAGGGACCGACGCCAGAGTGACAAGTACTTTCTTTGCTAGCATGGGTGCCGGATCGCTTGGGATCTCAGGGACGGCTTGGTGCAGATACAGCAATGTAGCATAGCGGTACGCCTCAGCTGTCTGGATCGAATGTTGAACCTCAGAGTTTGGGTCTTCGGGACGTTCAAACATCACAACACTCGGCACTTGCCATTGCTGTAGTTGTTCCTTCAGCTCCATGGCCGACGAAACCGACGTGAGGGAATTGGATTCCGTCTTGCGAACGCGCTGGATGAGGTTCGCAACGCAGCCGATCAGAGGAAACAAGGTCGTTGCACAACCCATGAGTGGATCTACTTCAACTTGGTCTCCGAGAGGAGTGTTGACTGTGGCAAGTATCTCCTCGAAATTCAATTCAGATGCCTCCTCCAAAGATGTCAAGCGAGCGATGACATCCATATAGACAAAGGTGTTGCACAGAAACTTGAGTCTGTTGGCGTCCTGGGTTGTCATTTGACCTAATTGCATATCTCGTCGATGCTTGACCATGGCATTATTGACCATGATTTTTGCGCCCCGTAGATGTTGCACGCCGGTGCTGACGTGGCTGTCCCAACCTTCACTGAACGCCAAGGCCAATGAAGTTGCGAGGGCTGAGTCAAGTCGCATGTTCTGGATCTCAACCGCTAGACGTTTGATTGACTTCGTCATGTGTGCCATGCCTGGTGTGTGTAGCAGAGGATCTTCATGGGCGCCATGGAATGCTGTCATTGACGAGATGGCATGGTACAAAGCTGGAGATTCGCGAGCTAATGGCCAGACCAACGTTCGCCAGGGATTCTCAGTCGGGCCATCTTTGACAGATAATATACCGCATGTCTGCTTATCAAAGCGGAGCATAAGCATTTCGGGAGAAGAAGCATCCAACGACGGTCGAGCAAGAATTGTGAGCTCGCTGGACTTGGAGGAAGAGCTCGACCCTTCACTGGGTGTAGGTGAAGCCGCTCGAAAGGCTCGCCAACTTGAAGTGGTGGGGTCGAGGGGTGTTGTCAGTGGTGTGGCAGGCATTCCAGCTGTGTTGCCCATGGCATTCGAACGGAGGATCTCCTCATCAAAATCGTCTTCCCCTTTTACACTTGAGTCCGGTTGGTATGGTAATGGAGACATCGGAGGCCGTAGTTCTGATGGGTCGGGCGGTTGATTCAAGTCTGTCCCTGGCAGAAGAAGATCTAACAGTTGTGGAGACCCAGAGGAGAATGACCTGGCACTATTGTTCTCTGTAGCAGATAGACTTGCGTGGAAGTTGTACCGATCCATGTGTTCGCCAAAGGCTAGACCAGGCGAGATGCCTTCGGAATCAAATGCAGGCATGAAGACCGAGCCGGGGCTCAGATTGAGACGTGGTGAACGGTCGGTCTCTGGCCTGAAATCTGCTTGCTGTTCTGGGCTCGACAACGAACCCCGACGCTGCACCTGGTCCTGGAAGGCATGAGTGGCCGCAGTAAAGGCGGTGTGGAGGCCTGGCGACCATGTCTGTGCTGGTTGCGCCTCCTCCAAACCAACGTGTCGGGCATCTGCTCTTCCGGCTCCAGCGATATTGAGCGGTTGGGCGCCATGGTGATTGACAGCGAAGGAATTCGACCGGAAGGCTTTCTTTTTGTTGGCAGGCTTCGCATTGAAAGTGGTCTCCTCGAAGGTTCGCCATTTATAATCTTTTTTGTATCCTTCACAAACGACATTCCTCTTCTGGCATTGGGCGCAGGAAGGTTTGGTCTCGTCGCATTTTAATCTCTTCTTTTTACATGTCATACAACCTGGTAAGAGTGTCAGCGAGGGTGCTCGGATGAATTGCAATGACCGAAATTTCCACTTGGACAGCAACGTACCATTTCGACTCTTGCTTTGCTTTGGTTTTGTTACAGCGCCATCGTGAGCCGCCAAAGCAGGTTTGTTGGGGGCCCTTGAGGTGGCATTTGCCTTGGGTTTCGCAACGGCTGGCCGCTTTGGTGGAACAGTCGGTGCGGGTGTAAGGACAGGAGATTGCTTTAAAAAGACGGACGGCGAAGGAATCTGGATCTCCATACGACTGAGGCCGGGAAACGAGACATGGACACAAATGATCGATCCGCCAGGCTAAACGGTCCTGGGAAGCAATTGCTGAGAGTGGAGGGGTTCCGGTTGAGCAAGCGTACAGCAGTTCAAGGCCGCACACGACAAGATCAGGGTGTTCTCCAGATCTCAACGCAGACAGTAGCAACTGATTAGCTGAAAGAATGGGAAGAATCGGTGCAGGCCCAGAACTGAGATAGAAAGAGCGGGATGGATGTTGCAGAGTGTGTGTGGCTCGCAGTTGCTGGACTGGTGCAGTTGCGGGTGCGGGTTGCAGGTGCAGGCAAGCGACTTAGCAGCCAGCAATCGTACCGAAGCCAGCAGGTTGCAGTCGCCAGTCAGCGGGCATGTCCAGAAGAGTAACACCCAAGCAGTACGAGTAGCAATAGAACCCCAAAGCCCCCAATCAAGAGCGAGGAGAAGAAAGAAAAAGACCCTGTTGGCCTCGATCGGATTCGTGCCGCGCTCGTTTCTTATCAGTTGACCATCGACTTGTCTGGGGCCAGAGATACGCGAAATCAAGACCGGCTCCTCTTGTCTTGTCTTCGCTATCTCTCATTCTCCAATCTATCCACAAGTCGCAGACCAAGACACAGGACGACTCGTGCACGTGAGCCACGACTCAGTCGAAATTAAAAACTTCTTCCAATATTTGGCTGTTGGAGGATGGAAAAGTACATTTCCATCCCCGCTGCCCGGCTGCAGGAAACGATTATATCATTCTTTTGTTTTGATGGGGGTCTTCTTTTATCGCCTCGGAGCCCAACCCCGTCGCAATCTATGGACCTGGAACTGGACCTGAATCAGGGATTCATTGGCTTGCTCGGTTCTGCTCCAGGCTCTTCCTCCACCTTTCTTAGGCTGTGGCTAGCTACCGTGGACACCGTGGACTCCTTGTATCCACCTAACGGCAATCATTCTGCTGCACCAGCCCCAATCATCCCCTCTCACCAGGCGAACAACCCCTCTCCGACACTGCTAACTCGTAGAACATCGGACTGCAAACCGGTGCCGCCTCCGCAGCAAAGAGGGCCACCAATCAGCAACTTCTCAGTTCCTTCTCAGTTCAACAACCGCTGCCCAGGGTTGTCGGCATACATTACCATAGTATATCGGAACTTTCCATAGAATACTCTCAAGTTCTGTGTAGCAGTCGCTCCAACGACAGCCTGTGCTCAGTTTTCTGTCCGACAGCCTCAAATGCCGTCCATGATGGTTGTTTCTTCCTCTTTGGTTCCGGTTGGCGGTGCGGGACTGTCTCAACCGATTCGCCATCCGAGCATGCCACGGTCGTACAGAAAGATTAATGGCAAGACCACGTAGTCAGGAAAATTCCAAATTGCCAAGGGTATTGTCACACAGCACTTTCTCCCCGGCCAGGGGTTCCGAGGAACAGGAAAGCGCAATGTCTGAGATATGATGGGCAGGACGAGTGGTAGAGGTTCGACATGCCGTGCGATTGCATCAGCCTCGTTTTTGCTGCATGGGAAGTCAAACTGAGATGGTTCCTTTGGCCTGCTGTTCTTCTTGGGGAAACACGATCTATCAAACGGGAAGCACTCACGGGTAGGAATGCATCCGGCCATGTGGTGCCTGCAGCAACACCATGTTCTGTGTCACCCAAAGAAAAGCGCTGAGTATATCAGGGATCTGTTTCTAGAAAGTTCCATCCCGCCTCAAAAGGTGAGCAAAAGGTGAGTGCTAACAACATAGTCTATTCGCGCTCGCTAAAAGTTAACGTAAACAGGCTCATATCAGTTCGTCAAACTTTTCGCGTATCCCGGCCATTGCTTCTCAAACGCCTCCACGGTATCCAATATCGATTTATCGTAAGGGATGAACCTGTCCACTCCCAGCGCTTTGTATGCTTTGCTTGAAACCAGACTATTCTCACCCTGCACATACCAGTAATCCTGCGTGTATCCTTGACCAGGCGTGCCGACAATGATGTCCCGCTCGGGGAAGTGCTCCCTGAGCAGATCCGCGGCAGCCTGTGGCGGAGCTTTGCCATTCGACACTAGGTACCTTTGCCCGTCACTCTTCTCAGGATGTTCCATCGCCCAGATATGCATGCGTGCGACGTCTCGCACGTCAATATAGCCTGCTCCGCCAATCTGTGAAGGCATCGTTTTGTCGCCGCTCCATATCCGCCAGATAGGCATCAAGGTCTCGTTGAGTTTCTCAGGTGAAGCTGGCCAGGACACTGGTGGACCTGTGACAACACTGGGATTGATTGCCGCGACAGCAAACGACGGGTGATTTGCTCCGACCCATTCCCACAATGCTCTCTCGGCTGCTGCTTTAGACGCCCCATAAGCCACGGGTGCCGAGAACGTCTCCCTGGCGACCGCTTCTCCGCTCGTATTCCAGTCGGCTTCAGTATATTCATGATCAGCCGGCTGCTTCCATTTGTCCACTATTGCAGCGACCGAGGATGTCACGACCAAGGACTTCAGCTGCGGTCCGGCGAAAGTCTTGGCCGACTCGAGAATGGATAGGTTCCCGCCCACAGCTGGGCCGAAGAACTCATCGACTGTTTTCAAAGAAAAGTCGACAGGCGAAGCAGTGTGGATGATTGCGTGGACGCCTTTGACCGCTTCGTCAAATGCGCCCTTGGCCGTCATGTCTTTGACTTCGGCGTGCTCATACTGTGAGTCGTAGCCCTTGAAGGCACCAGCCAGGAGATGGTCTTTCGCAGCAGAGGACCTGGATGTGCCGCGGACTGTATACCCCTTTTGGAGCAGTTGCAGGCCAAGTTGGGAGGCAATGTAGCCTGATATACCTGTGACAAGGACAATCTTGTCCCTGTTGTCGGTGGCTGTCATGGGATGAGGGACAGGAGACTTTGATCTGCTCGGGCTTCGACTGACAGATCGCAGGTAGATGTGTGCAAGTCTCTTTGAGGTCTCTATGTTGGCGGTTGTAGACTGGATATGCCGTGAGGCTTTATATGTTGCCGAAGTGGGTTCGTACAAGTAGTTAGTTGGCTTTTTTTCTGTGGATCTGAACGGTGACTCGTCATACGTTGTGCTAGCTTGGATGAGATATCTACTCGTATATCTTTTGTCAGCGTTCAATATCGATGGCTCAAGATTAATAATCCCGAAAGAGACGCAGTGTGTTGAAGCCTCGCACTTTACTGCCCGTTAACGATGTTGGCAGCCATTGTAAGTTGAGTTGAAGAACAGCATCATGCCGGCTTCAGGCTTGTTTGGTTGGGCGCACCATGCTTTATTATAAGCTTATCTGATTGTGGCTGTGAAACTGCTGAGTGCTGAGGCAGAAGAAATTCATAAGCAGGAGGCGTTTCACGGGCCAATAGTCGCCCGCAGCCAAATTCCAATGCTCCCTGCCCGTGGGCGCCGAGCTTGTCCGACATCATCCGTCGAAACAGAGGTTCAAATCTCGAATTCCGGCAGTGTTTGATCCTGGAATCATCAGAATACATGCAGGTGGCGTCAAAACAGAACAAGCAGTGCTTTCTTCTGACCGGATGATTGTCAGATTCACGGTATAGGGTGTCGTTGGAACGGTGTTGGCCAGCATACCTAGGTATTGCTTGAGGCGCTTACGTGAAAGTGCAATGATTGAGAGCTCAGACATAGCCAAGCCACGCTAGACTACATTCCTTCAACTTGTGGTCACAGCCATTACGGCCTACAAAAGCGGCCATGCCTCTTGTTACTTATAGTTAGTCTCAACAAGAACCTCTGGCTGCTACAACCACAAAGTCAACCTCATCGGAAAGTGAAACAAGGCGAAAGCGCACTTGTTCACCCAACATTCGTCGCTTTCCTCCCATGTGAGGAACTTGCCCGTCACTATGCCTCCGCGCATGCCCGTGCGCAGCAGAAAATCAATACTCTATGCGCTGGGTGTGATGACACTCGTTGTGTACACGTTATATCTGTGGAACTCTCCACCTCGGGCGTTGTCGCCCATGCCAGGCACCTACCAATACTTCTCAGAGATCAACTTCGAATACCATACACATAGTTTCGGCGCCATTAGTCATTGCGACCCGAGGTTTGCGCCGTCACAGCCACCAGGCATAGAAGAAACGAAGAAGACGCTCTCCGCACTGATGAAAAGCTATGCCGCGACAATGAGGGATCTTCGCGCCGAGACTTGGATTGCGCACGGAACCTTGTTGGGATGGCATTGGAATCAGAAGTTCTTACCTTGGGACAATGACATTGACGTTCAGATGTCGGTCGAGACACTAGCTGGATTGGTGCCTCACAATACGAGTGAGTATCGCTATACAGTTGCTGGTGAAGACACGCCTAGGGTCTACCTGCTGGACATCAACCCCCATTACACTATAGCGTCAACGCGGGACGTTGCAAACAAAATCGACGGTCGCTGGATCGACACCACGAATGGAAAATACGTAGACATCACTGCTGTGCATGTCAGTCCTGGAAAAACTGAACATATCCCGTTCGACCAGGGTGTTTTGTTCTGCAAAGATGGTCATCGATATCGGGTGCGTACAACGGCCTCTCCAGGCAAACGAACCAAACGAGCTAACCAAGTTGGACTACAGAGCGAGGACTTGTTCCCGTTACAAGACGCGAGCTTTGAAGGCATTAGTGTGAAGGTACCGCACGACTCCGACAAGGTTCTTACCGAGGAGTATGGGAAGAAGTCCCTCACCCAAACGCGCTTTCACTGGTACGTTATTGCTGTTACACTGTATTCCGCAAGTGGTCTAACATTGAACAGGCACCGTTTCAATAAGGCTTCAAAAATCTGGGAAGCAGAATAGTGTGTCAAGGCCGTGCGGTTAATTCACATCCGATGCAGCTTTCATCGCCACGTTCACGAGCACCATAGTCGCGGAATGAACCACGTGCGAATGTCACTGCTTGCCGGCTGTGTCATAGGCACTCCCTTACTGGTGGCACTGCTCACCTATCAAGTACGCAAACAGATGTACTCTCAAGACAAAGGCTATTCTTTTCGAATACGTGTGGTATTATACAAAAACTATATGCTATGCAAAGCATCACGACGTGCTTCTTCTCCCAGAGCAGGATACATCATAGCTTTGACAATATTCAAGCCCGCTGTCAGCCATACGCTTGGTTCACGCGGACAAGTTCTCCTGACGCCGGCCGCCGAGCACGAACGCTCCCCTGGGCGATCAAACGTTCTCTTGAGCCCGTTCTGCTGTGTGGTGGAGGACTCTGACCTGCTCGAGAGACATGCCTAGGGGAGGACCGATCTCTCGGCGGCCCGTCAGCAGGATTGCGCGGCCATGTCCACTGTTGTCGCGCTACAGGCTCAAGTTGGGTGTTGTCAAGTTCCTGGTTCAAATGGTTTCTCATAGACCCTACTTCTTCTTCATCGTCCTTAACCTCAGTCGGAATACTTTGCTTTTCTCTTCCAGTCCCACGACAGCAAGTTGAATCAAACATCTCGAGTTGATCGATTTGTCCGTCCGGACCCTCGAAAACAAGTTCGACGTGGCCATTATCAGGCTGATAGATCGTCGACGTTGCCCGTATCCTGGCCATACGACCGTATGTTCGTCTTTCAGTAATCCCAGCCGCTGTATTCGCCAGGGCAATATACGAAGGCCGCGAGTTTTGTGACAAGGCAATAAGTTCGGAAATCGAGTCCCAGCTATCAGAGGCCTGTCTTCTCACCATGACAAATACAATATGCCCGGCCGCCAAGATGATGTGCGCGAGGAGGACCACCATTGAGAGAGCTCCGGCAAGACTTCTCTTCAAAGCATAGCCCGTAATCTGCATTTTGATGCGAAGAGTGGTGATATCCGTGTCCCGGGATGGTACCTGCAGAGCATCATGGCCATCGATGATACGCTTGTCAAAGTCAGGAAGAGGATCGAACATGGAAAACGGCCCTTCTGAAGATGAGCCGTCGGTATCGAAGACGCGATATGCTCCACTTCGACTTAGACCGTCTGTAATGACGCTGCTAATGATTGATTCGAGCATCACAGTCCTGCTAATGCCCAACTGCCCATCTGCGGCCCATGCTTCAGCTAAGGACGCTTCATCCGGGGAGGACAGGTCGTCAGCTAGACCGGAGGCACCGATAATACTCTCCATCACGGAAGGAGTCCACGTCTCTGCACTAGGTTGTGGATCGGCCACCGTTGGATTCAGTAAGCTCAGCCAGTCGTCGCTGAATGCAACTCGCCCATTGGTAGCCGGTTGCGGCTCATTCGCCGGTTTCTCAACCCAGGATGGTGTCCGGCGTCCGTATTCCATGTTCCATGGGTACCATCCGGTCCAAAAGGTATATTCGTCTGTATATACCGAGGTCGGAAGCCAACCAGCCTGAACGGAACATCCAACCACGGCTCTTGACGTCTTCTCTGCGTTCCATGCTGATTCGAGTACAGCTCCGATGCTGACCGAACCGAACAAATCAGGCAGGTGAACCCATTGAAAGCGGATATAATCGACAGTACTAGTATTCAGACTGTCAACGATGAAATCCGCGCCATCCACATAGTCGAAGCGGCCGCTGATCGCTGGGAAACGGATCGATTTTGCCGACGCTGGTAGGTTTTGAGGCTCAGAACATCTGATGGTTGTAATTGCAGAAAGGACTTCAACCCCAATTTTGCGGTCATCAACTTGTCTGTCAGAGACCTTCATGTATGACTGGAGAGCTGTCCACCACCTGTTGGCTATTCTCTGCATCAGTGTTGAAGCTGCCGCGTGAGGCTGAACGAAGAATGTAGCGGTGCCAGGGCTGAAGGCCGTAACATTTCTTGCGTTGCCTAAAGTATAACGTGGTGGAACAGGAGAGGCGGGACTGTGAATAGGCCAGTAGAACCGAGATCCAGATAGCTTCTTAGCGTAAGTCGGGACATCGTAAGTATAGAAGTTGGTATAGTTCATCCTGCTCCAGTGCTCTCGGATAGAAAGATAGCCTCCTGCAGGACATACTGCGAGCTCAGTAGATTTTGAACCGTTGCAGATATTCTGAACCGCCAATGCATTTCTTGAAACGTCCGAGGGCCAAAAATCCTCCGAAGAGCCGTTAAGGTAGAAATGTGTCCCGCCGGCTTGCCAGGTTTGGAGTGTCGGGACAATCAAAGTGGCGCTTGACGGACCAGCAAGGGCTGCTATGAGGCCTGCCACGCAGAGGAGGATTATAAAGCCTGTCTTCCTGAGCTTATGACCGGGCATCATAGCATTCGACAATCCACCACGAAACTCTTTCGTGAAGAAGAAATCAAAACTGCCAAAGTTGAAGCCTGATCCAACCAGTCCCAGTGGGAGACCACCGCCGTGCAGCAACTCATGCCTGACAGCATGAAAGACGATGACTGATAAACTGGCGACAATGAAGATCTCGTGTATTTTCGCAGCGATTTGGAAGCTCATCAAGGTGATAGTCTCCGTGGCAAAGTCTGCCCCGATGTAAATTCCGTGGAAACTCAGAGTGAGGATGACGATGGAGGTCACAATGGGAAGAACATGAGGGACGCAACACCACAGCACTTTCCAGGTCGAACTCGATATGATAATCTTCTTTTGCTCCGCCGTGTGCTGGGCAGGCGCGTGAGAATTAAGAGGCAGGAGAGAAGATAGTCTGGAGTACGATAGCATGACTTAGGAAAGTACCAAGGTACTCAAGAGCGCAGCCTACCGTCATGTGAGTCAAAATAGACATAGGCACATGCTTGTACTGGTTTGATCAGCAGAGGACGGGAACTCGCGGTACACTTGTACTTTTCGTCGGACAGGCCATGGCTTGCTTTAGTCTCCCAATACCTGATAGGGGGAAAAGGTGGCAGGATATTGTTACGTCTCGGGCCATCATGGCCGTTAGAACCAGTTCGAGTACATCCATGGCCGTGTTCATCAGCGTTTCTGTTGCTCGAGCTGGTACAGTAGGAGTGCGGCATACAGGGTTTAGCAGGGGTTCAACCAGCGGCATGTACGTATTGGCGCTTGTGGCATATGAATCTGAAACGTATCGGCAACACTTACATCTTAGTCCAAGTCATACTCCAACTGATATTGGTGCTTGACGCTGTCTCGGCTGGGGCGGCCTGGTCGTCATGTTGCGACCTGCGCCTAAAAATTAGCCAAGGACTCGTCTCAGAAGTCTGCTGGAGGGCACACAAAGACCCGTTACCCTGACGAAAATGATCCGACATCTCATTTGCGGCAGATATTTCACACGCAGACGGTGATAAGAAGATTTCGAGCCACATAGTGGTTAATAGAAGTCGTGATCAATTTTGATATTCTCAAAAACTTTGAGCTCGGCGAGCACATCCGCCGGGAGGAATTGTTGAAGCCTAAGTCAGTCAAGCTCCCGGCCGGATACAGCGGGAAGTCTCCAGGTCCGCCAGGGGCCCACAAGCCCTGGTGCCGCGAAGACTAAAAATACTCTAGGCACTGTCTGGGCTTGGTGAAACCGGACCCAGTTGGCTCAAGCACGAAGGACCTAACGTGCAGCAGGCGCATGTCACAGTAGGCGCCAAATCGCGGCGGCGGCTTTCGTTCACTGCAAGCCGACAGTACTTTTGTCCCGCAAGATCAAGTAAAGCTGGTCGGCGGCATCTTTCCAGGCTCTCTTGATTCTCTTCTCAATGCGTACCAAGTATGCAGTATGCATGTCCTGAAACAGGTTCCCAGGGTGAGAGACTTTCGTTGGCGTATTGGAAGTCGACCAGTCTGGGTACTTTTGGCGTTTTCAACTTTCTATGCGCTCGCGCTATTATATTGTCAGTCCATCAGTCACCGCGATCCTTCATCCGTGTTTTTTGATGCACGTCGCGCCTATAATCCGCTATACTCAGCCCATCGCGCTGAACAGGCAGAGAAGTATATCTCTTCAATCAATGAGTCGGGCCGGCATGTGTTCAACAACATTGAGCCACCTCTGCTCTGCCTCGGGATCGCCACGGTAGCCCGTCGTGGCACCCAGTATGTGCGAACTACAGTGGGATCCTTCTTTGCAGGATTATCCGAGGGAGAGAGGCGTTTAATATTCTTCGATCTCCTCGTGGGTCACTCCGATCCAGCCAAACATCCGATCTTCGCTGAACACTGGCTGGATATCCTACCTGATCGTATATTACAATATCCCAAGGACACCGCAGAGTTTGACCAGGTCAGAGCATGGGAGGAAGGAGGGTGGTACAGGAATAAATCTATCCACGACTACAGGTACCTCCTAAGGGACTGTTATAATACTGGGGCCAAGTATATCGCAATGGTCGAGGACGATACCTTGGCTGTTGAAGGCTGGTTTAGGCGCTTGCTCGATGCACTCGACATTGTTAAAGTCAAGATGAATAGGTATCCTTCTGACCAGCGTTGGATATACCTCCGCCTCTTTTACACCGATGAACTCCTAGGCTGGAACAGCGAACTGTGGGCCACATATCTCTTCTGGTCATTCGTCATTTGGATCTCACTCCTGACGATGATGTTGGCGTCTAGAAGACGATTCCCAAGACAGCTAGAATTCTTCACCATTGACGTGACGGCTGTAATTGCCATCATCTGCATCCCGGCGATGGTCCTCTTATTCTTCCTAGCAGGGAAGCAGACAATGATGCCGCTTACGTCCGGGGTTCAAGAAATGAATAAGTACGGATGCTGCTCGCAAGGGTTTGTCTACCCCCGAGATATGGTTCCGGATGTCTTAGATAAACTGAGGATTGAGACAAAAGGATTGGTCGATATGCAGATCGAGAAGATTGCAGATGCGGAAGGATACGTTCGCTGGGCTGTCGTTCCGCCCATTCTACAGCACACTGGGGGGACGAGTTCGAAAGGATATGGGTTTGACGACAATGCCCGACGAACATGGAGCTTCCGCTTCGAACAATATCCTTACCACTGAGAAACTCGGCATCGGATTCAGCTGGTTGGTTGGTTGATTGATTGATTGATTTGTTCACCAGATGCATGATGCCTACAACTTACTCTCCCTTCCAGTCCCAAACAGATTGTCCGTCGCCAGAGTACCCTTGGTCCAACTTAAAGCATAAGGATGGTCTCTTCGTTTAGCGACCCACTTATCGATCGCTCCGGTGTTGACATATTCCGGCGAACACTGCTCCAGGCTTGTGATACCGATATTCCGCATGCCGGTCTCGAATTCATCTTTGAAAATGTCAATGAGTTGCTCGACCCCTTCTTGACCGTACCCTGTTGCGAAAAGGACTGGCCGGCCAAGACCGGCAGCTACAGCCCCCAGACAAACCAACTTCAGTATGTCGCTCCCGCGCCGAACACCGCCATCCACGAAAATGGAGAAAGGCCTCGCCGCGCCTGACCGCACCGCTGCGGAGCGCGGATGGTGCTGCGTAATGATTTCGGGATACCGAGCGTGGATCTCTAGCAGGACCAGTAACCCAGGAGGCGAAGTGTCCAGATTCCTTCCTCCGTGGTTAGATAGGACAACACCTTCGAGGCCGTAGTCCAGCGCAAGCCGCACATCGTCGGCTGACATGATCCCCTTCAGCACAAGTGGCAGTTTTGTCTGCTTCCGCAACCAACCGATATCATCCCAATTGAGGTTGGGGTCGATGAAACTGCCCATCAACCGGCCGTAACCACCACCTTTCTTGTCGTTCTTCGCCTTCGTCGTCATCATCGGGTTCTGAATACTCTCGTCGGCCTTGACGCGCTCATCGGCCTCGCGCTTGCCCGCTGCGGCGGCATCGGTGGTGACGAAGACTCCCCTGATGTTCTTCTGCTGGTGGAGCCGCTGGAGGAGAGCTTCGGATTTATGCCGCTCTTTGTTCACATATAATTGGAAGAAGAACGGGTAGTCACGGACTTGCGGCTGCGAGACGATTTCATCGGCGGAATAGGAGGCATTGTTCGATATACACTGGATGACTGACTTTGATTTGGCGGCGCGTCCGATAGCGAGTTCGCCGTCTGGATGGATCAGCCTTGCCATGGCAGCGGGCGAGACCATCAGCGGGAATGAGACAGGGTAGCCGAGAATCGATGTTGTGGTGTCGATGGTGCCAACTTTGCGCATCACGCGAGGGCGGAAGAGCACGCGAGGGAACAACGACGCGTTGAGGTCTTTGGTGATCAAGTCATTGCAGGCGGAGCTGTAGAACGCCCATGTCTTTGCGGTGGTGCTGTGCTGAGCCGCGAGTTCGAAGTCGTGTGCGTTGATCAGGGACTCTAGGGGTGGCTTCTCAGATGACGAGCCCGGTTCTGCTTTGGGTGTTTCGTCGGGGAGTGGTCGCGCCCAGTCCTCGGTAATAGTGGATCTGTCGAGTGTGCCTTTGAGCGCATCGGCGGGAAGGTTGTTCTTGATGATGGAGGGTGAGTGGATTTCGCTGTAGGCCTTTGTCGCGTCACGGCCGGCGTATTTGTAGATTATTCCTGGCCCTCCAGGATGCTCGGGCGCGAATTTGGTGATGTCCCATACTTGGTTGTCGACGACGATCCAGCAGTCAGTGTCCTTATTGTGTTGGGAGATTTCCGAGACGGAGATCTGGTTTGGGGGCATGGTGAGGACCAAGACCTGCTTGAAGAGAGTGAAAGCGTGAAATCCGTAAGGCAGCTAAAGATGATACTCGAAACTTATATTGCACAATGGGATCTCGGCCATGTCTTCGATGCCACCGGGCATGTCCCGCGGTCGCCTTATCATTGTGCCGTTCAAGATTGGCTGTTTCGAGTAGCATATTGGCTGATTGAAACGCCTCGACGCTTCGACGCCCACGATCGGTCAGCATTCCGACCATGCGGAGAACACAAAGATTAATGTCGCCCGTTACGCTCGGCACATTGGCGACCGAAAATTGTTTTGGAGATTTTGATGGTGTCATTGGTAAAAGGGATTTAAGGGCTTGTCAGACAGAGGTTCTTTCCTCGATACCTGCGACATTTTCTCAACTTTCCAGGGTCAGACATGAAGATTCGCTGCATTAATCTCCATCGGCTTTCCACCTCAGGAACACCATACTTTCTCAGTCGTAGTACCTCTGCAAAGAAGGAGTGATCTTGCTCGTCTGATGCTGTCACGGACCCAGACTTGTTCCAATCGCAGTCTTGCCCAGCTCCTGACGCCCTCAGCCTTGCGGGCTATCAATTTCCGGCTTCATCCATTTTCCCTCGGTAAGAAATCACTGAGTCACGCATTGGAGTCATGCTAACAATCGTCATAGAGAAAAGTACGGCGACATGGACCGGTAGAACCCCATTGGCGAACTTGTTCCAGCGGTCAAGGCAACTCAGCTCCTTCGAGATGGCACAGAATAAACCCTTGAGGTACGCTGACGTGCGTACATGGGCAGATCATCCTGGATGCAATGGCTGACGAAAGCAGATCGGCATCAACCTAGGAGATCCGGTTTTTCGAGGAGAGTATCATGGCAAAAAAGCGCACGACGATGACTTGGAGGATGTCATTCAACGAGCTCTGGATGTAGGATGTACAAAATTCATGGTCACAGGATCCAGCTTGAAAGAATCTCAGCATGCTGTTGAGATAGCCAAACAATATCGTACGTATTGTATCCAGGACTGATCACGCCCCTCTTACTGACACTTCAAGCCGGCAAATGTTATGCAACCATCGGAATACATCCTTGCTCAACACAAGACTTTGACAAGTATCCAGGTGGTCCGGATGCGCTGATCAAAGTCCTTCGTGCTTTGGCCGTCGAAGCGAAACAAGGTGGCTATGCTGTGGCATTTGGAGAGATCGGCCTAGATTATGACCGTCTGTTCCTGTCGCCTAAAGACGTTCAACTCAAGTATTTTGAGCTTCAGCTCGACTTGGCAGAGGAGTTGCACATGCCACTGTTCCTTCATTCCAGGGCATGTAGCGAGGACTTTGAGAGAATCATTTCCGCCCGACTAGATAAACTTCCTAAGAAAGGGCTGGTGCACAGCTTCACAGGCACAGTCCCGGAGCTGGAGTCATTGGTCAAACTAGGATTCGATGTTGGAATCAATGGATGCAGCATGAAGACCGAGGAGAACTTGGAGGCAGTCAAAGCCATCCCGCTGGACAGACTGCAGATTGAGACTGATGGGCCTTGGTGTGAGATCAGAGCTTCACACGCGTCATCCCAGTACTTGAAAGATGGCCCAGCAGTCCCAAAAGCAGTGAAAAAGGAGAAATGGCAGAAAGGACTCATGGTCAAAGGAAGAAATGAGCCGGCAACAATTGTGCAGGTTGCGCACGTGATAGCGAGAGTGAAAGGGATTCCTGTCGAGCAAGTCTGCGAGGCAGCCTGGAAGAATTCGACCGAGATGTTTGGTCTGGGGACCGACTCTTCATGAGCCGAGGAGCTCCCCATTGAGTAATACAGCGCGTGAATAAACTGTGGCAGGAACAGATTGGAGTTTTGGCTAGAGGAGGCCGCCGGTGGGAGGAGTCGATCAAGATTCAAGAGTCACCTTGGCCATAGAGATAGAGTCATGGACACAGTTCGTGACACATCTACGGATGCTGTGGGATGCCGTGGATGCGTAACTCAGCGACGATGGTGTCTTGGTCGTATGACGACGAGGAAAGATTAGAAATTGCATCGACACCAGGCACGACCAGGTAACTCGCGACTTAGTCATCCATCTCGACGCGTCACTATTGGCCAATTAAAGGGGTGACGAGATCTCTCCATTATTACGGAGTAATTAAAGGTACCTCTAGTTATTATTGGGGGTGGCTTGATGCCTAGAGAGCCTAGTGAGCCTACCTAAAACTCAGGTAGATAGTGCGTGAGGTGCCTAGATCCTGGCTGGCTGCTGACTGTGGGAAGCGAGCACGTGCCCATCATTTGCTTTGAAACTCATGCCACTGACATTGAATTTTCATTTTCGTCTCCGCGTTGCCGCCTTCGAATTCTCCTCCATCGATCCATTTTCTTTTCTTCCTTTCTCTCTGCTCGTCTTCTACTCAGTCTTCTCAGACGTTCCGTCCGGTGTTCTACGCCTACCATATCCTCGTCTGCAGTGCTTTCCGCGCAGAGCCCTTCAGAAATCATGCATCCCATCAATCTCCAGTCCCGTCGAGACCGTTTCAGGTCGAGATAGCTAGCTGTCTCATTAACTCGACACGATTCCACCCTCGACCTCGCCTTTTTCTTTTTCTTGAGTCGCCATATCCTCTGGTAGCTCTCCGCTCCCGCTCAGCTACCATCTGGTTCAGCGTATCAAGCAAGGAGAGGTGTCTACGACCGTATCCGTTTCCGCCGTAATCCATCGGTACACTCACCCCATCCCGCCAAAATGTTCAATTAGACGCGTCAAAGTAACTTTTCCGACCATTACCCCGGGTTGGGCGCACTCAAAAGGTCCTCTGAGGTCCTCTCAGGTCCTCACGCACATTGAGGACCTCCGCGAGACAAATATTAATATCTGTGCTCTTCTCCTTGGTCATTGTATTATAAATTCGCATCGTCACTCTCTTCGCTGGAACTTCTATATTCAGCAGACACCTGCTCCCAGCTGGCTACATTTTCCGACGACTGCCTCACGAAGGGAAGAAACCGAAGACAAAGGACTACTCTAGTGAAGATGAGTGTCCAGGAATCCACGGCGGCTGCTGCCCTAGCGGGACCGGACCCAGCAACAGATGCACTGCCAGCCCTCGACGTGTTGTCAACCTCGACTACCATTCAAGACGATAAATCCCAACCTCCGACTCCAGATGGCTCCGGACTGCCAGTCAACTTCCAGACCATTGCTCCTGGACAACTCTACAGATCCAGCTACCCACTCTACGCGCATTTCCAGAACCTCGCAGATCTCGAGCTCAAGTCGATTGTCACTCTGGTTGCTGAGAAGCTTCCATTTGAGTACGAAAACTTCATCACCTCCAATGGCATCACGCATTACCAAATCCCGATCCTGGCCAACAAGGATCCGAAGATCTATACTCCCGATGAGACTGTCAACAAAGTCCTCGACCTAATCCTCGATCCAGCCAATTATCCCATGCTCATCCACTGCAACAAGGGTCGTCACCGGACCGGGACAATGGTCGCGTGCTTCCGCAAGGTCACCGGCTGGACGTTGGAAGACTGCATCGAAGAGTACGAGAGATACTCCAGGCCCAAGGATCGGGCTCTGGACAAGATTTTTATTGAACGATACGACGCCTCTCCACTGAAAGCGCTGGCTCTTGAAAGAGGCTATGTTGGTGGAATCTGGAGAGCGCCGGTCCGCTCGTCCACAAAATCGTCCGTCTACACTAACAATACCGTCGAAACCTCCACGACCAGCGACGAGTCCGACGGCCCGCCGAATGACTATCAAGAGCGCGCCAAGAAGGAGAATGACGCCATCCTCGAACCCGCCAGACGCTGGTCATACAAGTAACTCAGCAAAGGCTGACGGCTCGAGGACATCAAATCACTGTACTATAGATACAACAGCGCAAGCACGAACATTGTCATTGCCATCGGTCATATAGGACCTGAAATCTCTGGTTTCGCGTCCCAGCTCTGTCAACCCAGAGGACCCAGTACGGCGGACCCATGGCATGGCATAGAAAGAATTGAATACGAAGATGAAGTGGCCATTCAGGTTGGCCCGGAGACGACGATGCTGAAGGATATCAGAATTGCCACAACGACAAGTCACCAACGCTCCAGTGACACAATGCGCTGGTACAAGAAACGCCGGATGTGTTTTGGGGGAACTGGATGATACAAGCTGCCCTTTCCTTTCTGCATCGAAAGCGCCAAAGCTGCCGTGTGTACCGGCCAAATGCAATGGAATGAATGACTTTTGGAGTCGGACTCTGTCGTTGGGAATGGGTTGGAATTACATGCTACTACACATGTTTTGGAAAATATGGAAAATAGCAGCACGCACCAGGGGCGCAAATGAAGTGGCTGCCTGGTCGCAGACCAAGTACCGTTCATCACTTGGACCGATATGCCTGTGCCTGTGCCTATGCTTGGCCATTATTTGTAGAAAAGAATCTTTACTTTACTCTGTACTCAGTACTCCGTATGACTGCTATCTTGTCTACCTATATACGAACGAACGATATTCCAATTTACGTGAAGTGGAAGTAGAATAGCAAGCCTGCGCTTCCTGCGGAGGACAGCACGAAAGACTAGTTTTGCTCCGACTGTACATGGCGGAATAAAAAGCAGAACTCTGATCCTGCGCGCATCTGCCAGGTATCCTTAGCTTGTTAGATGTGGTAGATGTGGTAGACCCGCCGGAGATGCAAATGTGATGGCAACCACAAATTCAGGACCTAATTTTCATACAATATAATATAAGCCATACTCATGTACAGGATAACAATGCACCTGGATATCTACGTTCTAGCCATATTTTCATAAAGGTGGCCCATACCGATCACAGTCCCTCAAACAGCGCCTCAGCACCCTGGCCACATTGTCCCGATCATGCTGATCCGGTGTCTTCCACAACTTGCGAACCGAGCGCCATACCTCTTCTACTTTCTTCCGGTCCCCAGTGCAGACAGTATATGCACGTAGCAACCAACATATCAACGTCCTCGTCGGCTGGACTTGGTGTTTTGAGCTTACCGGGATCGGACGTGCGTCTCTCGAGTCTTCATCGTTTTCCTGCCGATCTTGCTCTTGCTCTTGCGCTTGCGCTTGGTGATCGACATTGGACTCTGGCTGCGTCGGATGTGGCTCTTGACCGGGATTCAACGACGTGTCAGGTTCCTCGTTGTTCATCTGCTGAGTAAAGTCTTCCGGGAACAAAGGCGATTCGTACTTGTGGTGCTGCTCGAACGCAGGATCAATGACTTCACTTGGTGAAGGGAGGACGTATTCGCCTTCTTCTTGATCGAACTTGGCATTCCCGAGTGGGTAGTACATCTGTTGACCCTGCGGTGGGGACTTCTTGCCGGAGGACTTGAAGAGAGATTTCTTCTCCTCCATCTCCTCATCAAAGAGTTCCGCATGGATGCGCTCGATGTGCTTACGTCGTTCACGCGGGAAAATTGCCAGATCCAACACGAATTCGTTCCACGAGCTTAGCTTCTTGAAGCCAACTGGTTGCGAAGATACCTGTCTACTGGGGTGATCGGTAGAACTGGTTTCAGATCCTTGGTCGACAGCCTGGGCGGTGGGCAGAGTAGGCTCTGTGTCCATGGAGATCTTGCCTCTTCGTGCGGTCTGGCCAGCTTTCATCGCTTCTCGACATGTATTCCAAACCATGTCAAGTCGTTCCTGACTCCAAGAGGCATCGGGATCGCGAGTTGCGCCATGCAAGGCGAATCCTTTGAACAGTAACTGAAAGGTTATGCTCTGTAATGGCAAGTTGAACAGGGTGTTCATTTCATCCAGTAAGACCGTTATTCGATGAAGATTTCCAGAGACATTGACGTGGTGAGATATCATGGCCCGAAAAGTAATATGATCAGGTGTAAGTGGCATCGCGTCCTGCAGCTGCTGGTGATTTTCCGGAAATTGATTCTTCAGCCTCGATGCATTGATCAATATCCTATTCAGGTGGTTGGCAGCAAGTTCGTGCTCGATGACCTCCCCTCCTGGACCTGGGTACCGTCTATACAGCATGCTGTGACGGTCGCCTCTTTTCTCTCGTCGCAAGTTCTCCTGCAGACTTTTCATGCGTTCGTATATTTGCTCGGCTGCTGTGGGTTCTTGCGCATTGTATAAAGATGCAATCACACAGTTGAGGACCAGCGTATCGATGATTTCACCCGCATCAACAAAATCTCGGTAAGCCTTTCGGACCGCGTCGCCATCACCTCGCAACCCATGGTAATAAATGACGCTAACGCGGCCAAGTCTGTTGAGGCGAAACCCACGATCATGCATTTCTTTCAGGACCATTTGCGCTAGAGGAAATTTGCCAGCCCGGACCGCAATATCAAAGAGAATGTTGAAAGTAACATGATGGGCTTTGACGCCAGCGTCATTTTCCATTCGTCTCCATAAATTGAAAGCCGAATCGACTTCAGCTTGCGTGACCTTGTTGAATGACCGCCCTGCTAGATATATAGCCGAAGCCCACTCTGATCGTGTGATGGGAACGTCTGCTCTTTGCGCATCGTCAATCAGCGAGAGATATCTGATCATAGACTTCTCGCTCTTTTGCCACGGGGTGGACATTCGTTGCAAGAAGAGTCTTACAATACCCCGCGGCAAGAATGCCATTCCTGGTTGCGGCAATCTTCTGTAAGCTCTGAAAAGTTCGGCATTGCTGGACGCATCGTCGAGTAGAAGGTCCACAAAGATCTGCGTAACACTGACCTCGCGTAGCTGCCGGGACAAAATTCTTTCCTCGATTTCTTTCAAAGGGGATCTGTAGTCTTCGTCCTCGTTATAGAATTCGGCGTAGGCCTGTGGCGGTGCAAAATCTTCCGAGAGCTTGAAGGCGTAATCTTCAAGGAGCATAGGTGTTGGTGATGAATCTGGAGATTCGGGATCAAACCGCTTGTGGTGGGTATAATAGTACAGGTCGACCAAGCTTGTGTAGTCATCTTTTGTCAATACCACCTCGGTTGCAGGAGAGGACTGGTTGACTGGTCGAGACGTCTTCTTTGTTGACTCTGCCAATTTGGTCTTCATCTGCGCCAGCTTGTCTTCAAGTTTCCTGACAGAGTTGAGCAGGCGCATCTGTTCCTCGAGGTGGGTTGGTGGTTCGATTGCAACCTCCTGGTCTGGCTCCTCTTTCAGCTCTTCCATATGGTCCTGTAACGTCTTCAAGTCTTGGAAGAATCCCAATGGCAGACGACTCTTCGCCGCGAACTCGAAGGCATTGGTATCAAAGAAATCTTTGAAATGATCACCACTCTTGCGTCTGGCTTCAGGCCGGCCAGTCGTACTCATGCTCCTATAATGATTTCGGGAAGATGTTGAGTTTGGAGTGTGCCTGCTTATCTGCCCTCCTCGCGAGGGTTTTCCCGCTGCAAGCCCTGCATTTCCTGAGCCGCATTGTGCCCTTTTCTTCGAGACTTGCCTGGACGCATGGCAGTGACTCGCGCGTGATAACGCCTCGTGAAAAAGGGCCTCTACAGAATGGACATCTCGCGTACGTAGGGATGCAGAGGATCCGCTGCTCCGACGGCTAGGAGAGGCCCAATTCGAAGGTAGGAGGAAATCGCAGAGTCCAGCAGGTGTTATCGGTGCATTGTTCTGAATGCTCTTGCACCCTGCAAACTTCGGAGTTCGGTGCATATGACACCAGGCATGTTAAGACAGTCTCATCATCTGCATGAATCGAGAAGGCCTGCTTGTCGTGGGAAGAGAGCAGTGGAAGGCAGCTTGGAAGACTTGCATTTGATGTCCTGGCGAATACATGCGGTTTTCTTTAGCGCGGCTTTTTTCGCCGCAGTTGTAACTCGGAGCTTTCGAACTTCAATCCACAAGCCAGATAATCTAACCATCAAGGACCGAGAGCCAGCAACATTCTCAGTTTCACGGAGAATCAGTGAAAATCCCTCTAATACGTAGTATCTGCTTCGTTCTCTCGCTCCCTCGACCCCCGTCGACGTCTGAAGAGAAATCTTCCCTCCCATTGTCCACAATGGGCCGCTTAAACCTCACAGCCCTCAACGTCCGGAAAATCGCTCTCGCAAATTTGGCGGCCGGCAAGAAAGCAAACCGACCCGGCTGGGTGGATGTTGTAGGCGAAATCCCTCCAGCTCAAATATTGATCCGGCAGCAACCCGCGCGACATCCTCTAACGAGAGTCCGCACACGAACTCTTCCCAATGGAAAAACGGAGCAATACACACAAACAACAGAACCTAAGAAGCCCAAGTCATCCAAACCCCGACACCTTTTCACACCCAGACACTTAAGATACGAGGAGGATGAGCTACGGACAAGATTTTTCAGTGACCATCCCTGGGAGCTAGCGAGGCCACGAGTCGTGCTCGAGACGTCAGGAGATCAATACAAGAATGCAGACTGGTCGAAAGGTATCATGCAGCCGGGCATCGCCTTATCCGGCGAGTCTGTTGTCCAGCGACAACTTTGGCTGCTTGAGAACGTACCCGACATTACCGTCCCTCAAGCCTACGATATCGCACGAAAGGAGTTCTACGCTCTGCGCCGATCAGAAGAGACGAGGAATAGGATTGCTGCTGAAGAAGCAAGACATATGGGTGCGCAGTTTGGCAAGTCAGCGATCCAGATCAGTATGGGTATCGAGAACAAAATGTACAATGACTGGGAGAATTGGGCTCGACAGGTGGTAAATGAACAGGCCAATCGAAACGCGGCCTTTGAGGGTACCATCATGGCTTCGGAAGACGCTGCTTTGAAAGAGACCGAGAATGAAGAGCGTCCGGCAATTGGTGCTGGTGTTTTCGCTCAGCAGCAGCAGATGGATGCACGATCACTGAGGCGGCCTGCATAGCCAGGCAGTGTGCTACAATGGGGCTTCGTAAGGGAAACATGTTTTATTATGGTATCAGAATCGAGACTCTTTCTCCACGCGACAAACACGATGCTCGCTTTAAGCTCTGCCATGTGCCTTCTAACTCTACCTTCAACACGACCACGAACACGATGAAGCTCATTCGAGCATCTTCTGAATCCTACTGATCTGTTCCTCTACACTCTTTCGGCTCGTACCACCCAACACTGTCCTCTTTTCCACACTCGCCTCGTAGTTGAAAGCGTCCATGACATCGTCGCCAAACCTGCTGTCGACGCCCTGCAGTTGTTGCAGACTCAACTGGTCCATTGGCTTGCCCTCCTGCTCAGCCAATGCTACGACGCGGCCACTGATATGGTGAGTTTCGCGGAACGGCACTCCTTTGCGGACAAGGTAGTCGGCAAGGTCGGTCGCGAGCATATCCGGTGTCAGCGCTGCCTTCATTTTATCTGGGAAGATTGTCAAGGTGGACAGGACGCCTGTCGCTATTTGAATGGAGTCCGCGGTCGTCTTGACTCCATCGAGCATTGGCTCGAATGACTCTTGTAAGTCCTTGTTGTAAGTCGATGGAAGGCCCTTGACGCTCATCATTAGTCCGGCCATGTAACCGAACACGCGACCGCTCTTGCCTCGAAGAAGCTCGAGGGAGTCAGGATTCTTCTTCTGGGGCATCAGACTGCTTCCTGTCGAGTATGCGTCGGCGAGTCTGACGAAGCCGAATTCTGCGGTCGAGTACAGGATCAGATCCTCGGCCCATCGGGAGATATGTTGCATGAGGGTAGCAGCCCATTGAAGGGTCTCGACCACGAAATCTCGGTCTCCGACGGCAGCCATGGAGTTATTGATAATGCTTTCGAACCCGAGCTCCTTGGCCATGGCCTCACGGTCGATGCCGAACGGGTTTCCCACCAGAGCTCCCGAACCGAGCGGAGAGCGATTGACCCGTCTGGTAACTTCTCGCAAACGTTCGAGGTCGGAAGTGAAGACGGTACCATAGCTCAACAGCCAATGTGACCAGCGAATGGGCTGTGCCCGCTGCAGGTGGGTGTACCCTGGCATCAGGGCGGAGATCTCTGATTGAGCTCGAGAAGTGGTTACGCGCAACAAGGCGATGAGGTGCTGTTCGATCTCGCGCAACTGATCTCGCAGCCAGAGCCGCATGCCCGTACCAACTTGGTCATTGCGGCTTCGGCCTGTGTGCAGCTTTCCGGCGATCTGTGTGCCAATGATCTCCCCGAGCCGACGTTCGTTAGCAGTGTGAATGTCCTCGTCGACACCGGGTTTGATCTCGAATTTGTCGTCTTGCCATTCAGACAGAACTTGACCGAAGCCTTTCTCGATAGCTTCAAACTCGTCCTGGGTCAGAATACCGATCTTGGCGTTTGCTCGTGCGTATGCTATGCTGCCTCGGATGTCCTGGGCGTAAATGGCTCGGTCGAAATAGATTGACTCATTGTATGATACCATCAGAGGGTCAAGACCGCCTGTGAAGCGGCCTCCCCAAAGCATGTTGGCACTCGGCTTTGATGCTGTCATGTTGGACTTTAGTACATCGACTGATTTGGAAATTCAGAAGGGCAAGTGGGAGTCAGTAAGGTAAATGACTCTTCAACTTTTGCGGCGACAAGCTCAAAAACTTTTCCCCAGGTTTTTTTGATATCCGATAAGAGCTGATAAGGAAGCCTTAGGTAAGCAGCTCCTATTGGATGGGCGCTGCTTGTAAGTCACAACCACTGTCCCTCTTTCTTGCTTGTTTGTTCTGACTTGCAAAACGTCCATGTAGTTATCGGATGGAAGCATGAGGATGGCCATCTGTTACTTCTCAATGACTACCTTACGTGAAGAGCATGGACAACTGGACCTGGAATGCAATAGAGTACGCTAGCTCCAAACGGGGTTAGCGGCCTTTGCTGCTGATAGGGCTGAACAGAACAGCAAGAACACGATTCAACCACCAACTTCACCCTCGTCCATCTCCTTGATTATTAAAATCAATCATGGTTTGCGCCGTCGAGGGCTCAACGAACGGCTGACATAAGAATTACATGCCTACTATATCATAGTCCTTTTCAACATGTCTCTACCGTTCCCCAACATCTACCATCTGCGGACTGTTGCCGAGGCTTCTTCAAAAGCATGCTATATCTGCTACAAGCCATCTGTCAAGGTGCTCATAACACCAGACAATAAGGTGCGTACCTCACGAGAGTTGGCTTTTGCAGGATGGAAGCTCTACTCTTTGGTATTTCCTGTTCCAACGGTTCTGCTAGGACTTTTTCTACATCTGCCCATCTCACCTCAGCGATAGAGGATTCGCCTCCGCTATCGTCGATGCCGAGGCTGAGGCTGCAAAGAAGAAGAAAGAAGCCATGGAAAAAGAAATCGAGAAGATAAAACAGGAGTATGAAGAAAGACAGACAAAGAAGAAAGCAAAGAAAAAGTCCAAAGCCGATGACAAAGACAAGAAGAAGGATGAGGAGGACGACGACAAGGCTGAAAAGGACAGGGATGACAAGGTTAGTCATTCAAGGACTTGGTGGCGGCACAGTACTCATGATCTAGATCAAAGCCGTTCAGGCCAGTGCCAATGCCGGTCAGAAAGCTGAAGATATTCCCCGCCTTTATGCATTGCACAAGTCAGTCCTCTTCCTTTCGGGTGCAAAGACCGTGGCCAAAGTCTGACCTCAACTAGGAATTTCTATCAAATGAGAATCGACCGAGTTCGAAACATGGAGATCGCAAAGAGAAACCAACAACGAATGAAAGACCCAACTCTGTTTCCTGCAGCGCCCAAAGGAGACATTGCTTGACAGCTCACCTTCGCAACTCTTACCATTTTAGCACGGAATCACATGGCCCGTCACGAAACGATAGGCCATGATGTTCGACTCTTCGACAAATCCGCCGTCGATATTCTCTTACATCTACGAGTGGTGTCTGTGGAGAGCCGTCGAATCATAGGCGCATCACAGTTCGGTTATGCTACAACCCCGGACACTCTGCGAAAATCGATCGTAACCAGTCACCATTCGTACCGAGGTCTTGGGTGGTCAGGCTTGTTTGCGTGCTGGCGATGCTGGCGCACCTTGCAATTCGGTCGACAAATGCGTTCGCAGGTGCCGATCAGCCCTAGCGCCAGCCAAGACTATCCCGTCTTGCTTCGTTGAACGGTGACTGTAGCCAGGTCGGCGTTCAGCATGTTGACTGGTGTCAACTGCTTAACATCACCAAGAAAGTACGTCAACAATCTGCAGCTAACGACACGTATCGCTGGCAGGTGGTTGCAAAGTGTAATACAGATACGAATCCGCATGATGCAGTTCGTGTCCGACTGAGCAATGAAGTTGTGTTATGTGACACCTCGCTTTTTAACAGCAGCTATCCGCTTTCGCCGTACGGCCACCCGCCGAGACACACCTTCCGTGAACGCGGTGTTTAATGACTGGACCACGCAGTATGCAACTGGTCGTCATTGACACCACATGCACTCGAGGTGTCTCTAGTATGTTTTCAGCAAGACCGTCCATGCACGATGTCAATTCCGCAATGCCCCTAGTCGTGCTCACCTTCAGGCCGCTCTAACCAGAATTGCTTGTTTGCAGCTCGATCGACATTCTCCAAGGTCACAACGGACGGGATCTCGGCATCTCCAATACCCGTATAATCTGTGGCAAGGCTGGACTCGCAATACGGCCAGCTTAGAAAGTGTTGCTTGGTGAGCAGCATTGAGACAACCATTTTCGATTACTGGGATGCAACGATTTTGCACACTTCTGTTATTGCAGTGTTATTGATGATGCCTAAGTTTGCGGTTAAGATAAGCGAGCATCGACACGAGTTCGATCTGACGGCGGCGGAATCCCGAGCACTTTTTCCAGGTCATGCGCCTTTTTCATCCATCCTTGACGTATCTTGAACTTGTCTTCCCACTGCTGGTCAGACGAAAGGATGAAACGCTATTGCTTCACTAAGTCTCGGAGTCACCGAGCGGAGTCTAGTCAACATACAGCTTGAAGTCGTCAATTTCGTGATGCAAGCGCATCCTTCGACCGTTCAAAGTTAGTTAATTTTCCTGATAAGGAAAGGGGAACTGCAGACCTGGGGGCCAACTACCACCCGCAGTCTCGAGACATGTCAGCGTCGAAGGATTGAGACTGCTTTAGCGACTGTTCTGACTTTTACCGACTCTTACGCCCTTATCGGATTCGCTCTTGTTACTGTATGCGGAGCTGTACTCGTATCGCCGCACTCTTTCCCACCTGGAACCGACTTTTGATTTCCTCCATGGATCGTCTGAGGTCGTACCTCCTGGGAACTACCAGTGCGCCTTACAAGGCTGAAACAATCAAGTGATGATGATTTTGTCGAGCCCCATCAGGCTGACCGCGGAATCCAAACAAGCATTGACATACGCGTAAGGCTTACCGTCAACCGTCGCAGCCTTCCGAAGAGACTCAGAATGAACCATCCTAGGTCGTCTCCTACTTGGTCCTTCTCCAGAGTTCGCAGAAATTCTACTGGGCTTGGTGGCTGATCAGACACGAGTGACGAGTCTCTTGGCAGGCTAATTGTCTTACTGCAAAGACTGGGGGGTCCATACATGCGAGGCCACAGGAATGCTGCCGGTGAACAACGCCTATGACATCAATTAATGCATTCGAACATCCTTCGTTGTGCTCTTCTTCGGTCGGCTTCTGAGCATCCGGAAAGCGAGTACGGGCTCTAGCCTTTTCTGATTATCATGGGCACCCATGGGTCCTCTCGAGCTTTTCCAACCCGAGAGAGCAACTGCCACCGACCGTTCGGAGCCACCAGCCGCGGAAGGTCGGAGCGAGCGAGCACCAGGCTGACTGTGGGAATACGGCCTCTGCAAGATGGGCTGCCGATGATTTGCATGACACGTCCTGCAATGAGGGATGGTCGAGAAGAACAACGTGAGCTCACTGCGAAACACGCGGGTTTGTGAGAGGAGAAATATCGCAGTCGATACCAGTAGTCGTCGTGCCACGAGAATTCCCATTCAACTGTCCAAATTGGTGGCATTATTGCTTCTTGAATTCTCCAACGGCAGGCGAGACGGACCAGTCTGGAGCTAGGGCACAAGGCCTACCCGAGCCTTGTGGCTGAAAGTCAGCAATTGATGGCAGCAATCCGATAGATATCCCTGGAGGGGAGAAGCCCGCCTCTCAAGGCTTCAGCTAGCCACGATGGTGCGCCACCAGACCTTTATGCATACGGATTTTGCTTGCGTTCGTGACACATCTTATTTGAATTGATTTATCCAAGCCCTTTGTCGGTGTCGGTGTCTGCATCCTCTCGGAAGCTTACCAAGCATGGCACAAAAAAGGACGGTCTCAAGTGTCATATCGTCAAGTGAGTCCCCAGCTCGCCAAGACGCCGATGCATCGGAGCTCGTGTTTCGTTGGCTGTTGCCAGGAAGAGCCTGACCACCAGAATCCCATCGCTCTCTTCGCTGTCTTTTCTTTTTCATCGCGTCGCCTCAACTGCCCGGTGTCCGTCTCACTTTTCGCACCCCAAATTGGTGATTGTGAGCAGCGAGTGACAATATTCCGGTTGCCGTCACCAGGCTTACTTCTTCTCCCCGTTCAATCCTCCATCGCTGCGTACGTGATGCTGACCACAGTCTGATGTTTGGGTCTGCCCCCCAGTTCCTCTGCATGCCGAAACGTGGTTCAGTCGCATCGGCCTACATGTTCGTGCTAGCTCTTGAGCGACTGAGTGCATACGGCATTTGTAAAATTCCAGTACTGCCAGTCATCCGAATCACGGAAGGTGTACTCGTGGTATTGCACGGTTCTCGCTCTCTAGCAGAGTATCTCGAATGCAGCTTCATGGATTCCCATGGCCTTTGGTTCTCGGCCTTCGCCTAGCACGACAGCACCTTGACGCACGCTTCGGTTTTGGTCTCTCATGGCTCCTATTAGTATGCTGAGAGACGCAGGCCGCCAGCACGCCTAATGAGTCGCCTCGCAGACAAGCAATCCCGGAGTTGTGTCTCGTTTTCGTCGTGGGTTCATCGTCTAGGTTGCAGCATCTCAAAAACGTTTGGACTGCCCGAGGATGTCAGGCATGCGCACCGTCTCCTGTTGGCTTTTCGGGGGCCTAGGTCAGGTTCGTGGGGTGAAATGCAATATCACAAGTTGCCATTACCTCCCATCTTCCTCATCCCAGGAGGCAATCGAATCGCATTGCCCCCTCGAGCTGTATTACCTGCACCCGCACCCGTTCCTCGCTTGGTAGGGCGTGCTTCGTCGACTTTGCTCCTAGCGATACCGAAGCCGGGAGTCACCCATCCGCCGCAACTGCACCGCAACCCTTGCCAGGCGAACTTGCCAATATTGGCTCCGCACTTTGGGTTTGGACAGGACAGACGTCCGTCCAGCCCACCCTGAGCAAGTGTCTCGCGCATCCATGACAGAGGATGGAGGAAAATATGAGCGCACGGCTCTGTCGAGTTGTCGACCGATGGGTCCCGATGCGGAGGTGGTTTGTGCGGGACGACAAAGTTCGACTTGGCGATCAGCCGGCGACATTTGCGGCACTTGAGCTCAACTTCAGCACGCGGGAGGGATCCAGCTTCAGGAACAGATGAGCTGGAAATATCGGGATCGGTAATCTCAGCGTCGGTGCTGGCCAAGGAGAGGTTAGTCACCTTTTCACCGATGTCAGGCTTGAGATCATCGCCGCCGTCGTCGTCCTCTTCGTCCCGAAAGCTAATGTCGGCCATCTCTGGCGCCCGGTTTGAGCTCAGAGCGTCCATGATGTTACGAGAGTTCATCCAGCGGCGGTAGGTCTTGTGTGATTCGAGTTGTTCTTGTGTCGTGGGGCAGCCCATGGCCTCGTACATCCGTAGTTGCTTCATGAAGCCGGAGTTGGGTTCGACTTGAGGTCGTGCTTCACGGAGTAGAGCCAGAGCAGCCTCGACGGTGAGGGGTGAAGGCGGAAGGGATACCATTTCGGGCGTGGCGTCTTCTGTATCTGCATCCGTCGATGGCCCTGAAGAAGTTGAGGTCTCGGAATGAGATTGTGAGGTCGTCTGTGGCTGTTGGATGGATCGGGGTTGTCTTGATACCCACATCAAGTAGGCCACGACAATAGTGGCGGAGCGAGAGACGCCCATTGCACTGTGAGAACAGTGTTAGCTTTCCCTTGAATCGCCCGCAGCAGCCACGAAAGATTGTGCACCAAGACAAATCACGCGAATATCACACTGGATTGTACGAGGCAAGCAAGTAACCTCAGCCTTGCCGATCTTCGACTCTAGTCATGTGATGAGGCCAACACTTCAGGCTTTCGATGTTTTTTCCCATGGATTTTTGACCGGATCCCCGAGACAGGCTCAGCTCTCTGGAATGTGCTGAACCCGGTGTTTGCAGATGGTCGCGCATCTGTGTGGCCGGATTTCGCCACATTCGACCCATAGTGGCGGGAAAGCCTCAGCGTGGCAAAAATCAAGAGCAAATTGCCAAGCCAGTCGTGCGAAGCCATTCATCGAGAGTACAAAAGGACATTCGGCGACTCCGTGAGTGCATGACAGCTGCGTCGCAAGCAACCATGGAAGTAGCCGACACAGTAGTCGTGGGACGTGGTGGCGCACAGCAGAGGGCCACGAATCATCCCAACGGCCACACCGCCCAGAAATTCCAATAACGGCTGGATCCAGGTGTTCACACATTCAACAGGCATTTGCAGCGGCATGACCGGATGAAGGGAGGAGTGAAAGCTTCAAAAGTCTGGTAGAGGCAGGGATGGTTTCCATGGAAAAAGGAGAGATCTCAACCTACCAATGGACAAGCACTCCGCTTTCACGAGCATTGTTGGGAGATGCCCTTGACCAATAATTTAGCCCTTCATGTATGAAGGCATTGCTCCGAGGAAAGTATTCCAGGATGTTGGAATCGTAGACATCATCCAGGGGGATGCGCAGATGCTGAAACCCACGGAGCGGAGCCCAGCCTTGCGGAAATTTCCAGTCGATCGCTGACACGACATGGGTGATGTTGGAGCCTTGAAGAGCCTCCGGACGGCGCAAGGCTTGAAATCTGCAACATGGTTCGAGTCAGCGAGCATGTAATGTGCTGGTCGATCGGCATTGAGCAAGATTCCAGGGAACGAGGATTAGAGTCACGCAGAGTCTGTGAAGGACTTACCCGTCAACGTAGATGTTATACCCTGGACATTTGCTAGGTAGCATCGAAGTACCCATGTTGAAGCATGAATATGCAGCACGACAGATGACCTCGGCCTCTGTTCAGCCAATGATGAAAACCAAGAGGAAAGAGGCAAGGAAAATTTAGCCCGAGTCAGAATAGTAGTCAGGCATTCAACCTAAACTGTAAACAGGGAGGTGAAAATTGTGCAATCTTCCTGGATTGTCTCAACGAGCAGATGATGGAGAAGGTGACAGGTCTTTGGTCATGGGTTCATGGTGGATATTCAGAATCGAGGCACCAAGGTACGAAGAAATCGACACCGCTTCAAACGCCTTTACAAATTGCCGGGTGCCGGGCAAGGAAAGACCATTGCGGCTTGCCTCGGCTGATAGTCACGTGCACTATCCGTAGTCTACCCTTGAGAAGCTTGGCAGATTACTAAGAAGCCTCTCACGTGCCTGATGCGAACCTCCGCACAATGACCTGGTACTTGTACTCTGGCTGCTTACCAGCGACTTACTTTACGTTGTGGCGCATTGTGATACGAGAATCGGCGCGAAACTTGCCGTTAAATTTATCTTTATTTACTGTGAGGGAAGAATGTTCCGTGCCGATCACCTGCAAGCTGCAATCCAAGCGGATCTGTTCGGGTTCTCTTATTGGAGGCCTTCTATCCCTGGATCATTGCCGATTGTGCAGAGCACGCAAGGGCTCTTACTCGTGTCCAGGGTGACGTTGGCCTGCATCAGCTAATTTTCTAGAGGCGAAAACCGGCGCGACAATAATGAAACATCACCTTGGCGGTCAAGTCGTCGATTCCCCATTAAATGCCGATTTAGGGCATTCCAGACGTAGTCACCAGCGTCTTGTCATTGGGCAAAGAGAAATGGGAAGGCCACTGAATCGTTCTGATCATGTCAGTCCTTGCAGTACACACTACCAGGTAGGCAAACGCATTTACGAGTTTCGGTTCTTCTGAGCACCTCTCGGATACAGCAAGCTCTCGGCCTATGAACGTTGGCTATAAGCGAGCTTTGCCAGCTAGCTGATTTCCTGAGGATCCCACTGTGTGTGCTATTCACTGATTATTGATACTCCAAGGAGTATCCGTACTATCACCAATCCATCTCTCGTTTAATGGAGTGGGTGCCTGGCGTATCCATCAAGTATGCGCCGGCTCTTTACCCAACTTTGGGCCGTTACGCCGGCGCCTGTAGTCGAGGACCGGAGTCATGCAGCAAACGGTAGGGTTTCCAATTCTTCCAGAAGCTCTCATCAAGCTCATACCACCTCATAATAGTGTTCTAGCTTGGAGAGCCTCCACAAGTCGGTTGCCTTTTTTAGTCGGATGCAGCTCACTTTGCCAAACTTAACTGCGCGGAATCAATTGCTTGTGAGGCCGTTACCGCAGCCTCGTCCTATCGACCGGATTGAGGTTTAAGGCGGATCGAACTCCTGAGCCTCGCTCCATCATACTTCCAAGCCATGAACTTCCTTCTGATACGTGAACTACACGTGGGCTGACCACTCATCCTCGTGCAATAACTTCGCACGCAGTCTTGTTCATAGAAAAGGGGTTACGAAACTCTCCTCACAAACTTCACGAACTCCTCGGATCGCGCTTTGGACGACTCCACCTCGGTGTTGAAACCTAGAAGAGCACCTCTAGTCGAGCGACATCGTTGCGAGATGAGACGAGGTCAAGACAAATCATGACGAACTGTCGCAAGGATGTTGAAGTGGCCAGGTGGCCAGTGAACGCGTGAACCTAGGGGCCAGACGTGACTTCGTTGATCAGGGGCGCTCTTACGAAGCACATGAATAAATTCCATTCCCGAGGTCAGTGAATCGGTTGGATTGGCAAAACACGTAAACCTTGACATGTCTGGTGGCTCGAGACAGACCAAGGCCAAAAGGTTGAAGAGGCGTGCGAGCTTTTCAGCCAAGATCCTACAGACTTTGTGTTCAGGGACCGCTCTTCCGGATATCCTGGCGGCGAGGACCATTCTTGCTGTCGAACGCCCGTGATGAGATCGAGCCAAGCTAGCCTTGTCTGGTCAATGCTCTGCGAACACGGATAGTACCATCAGACTTCGTATTGTACAAGCCACATCAGCAAGAATCAACCCTCAGTACTCGTATCGTCCCAGACATTGTCACAGGTCCAGCGGGTAAACCTCCATTCGTGAATCATATCATGAACGTCCCACATTTTGCCAAGCATAAAGAAGCGGATTCCTAGTAAGTATACGGCGTCCAGAACAAGTAGTGCAGACATGGGTGGACTCGCATCGGATCGAGCGAGAGAAGGTTTGCACGAAGCGCTGCTAGAACAACTGGACGTGGTGACTAAGAGAGTGCCATGTACCAGTGTTTGTGTGGCCTGGTGGTTTTGGTGTCGCACCTGCTCGGAAATCAAACCACAAGGCTTAGCTGAAAGGAGGCGCTTAAAATGTCTGAGATATGGCTCACCAGGCACTATGCACGGTGTGCCGTGCTGGAGGCGGGCTGGACAAACATGTCATACTGTACCGCTGGGGAAAGCATACCACGCCTGCGAATCATTGCCTGATCTATTAGCTCGCCTCATGCCCCTCTCGGCCCGTGTCAGGCATCGAATGTACATCGTACACAGTAGTTTCATAGGGCTACAGTGCCACAAGAGACGGTTGCACAACTCATAGTACTAAGAGTACACAAAATTGTGCGGAGCCACAGTCAAATGTTTGTCCATGGCGAACAGGCTTGGGAAGTTCGAAACCAGTCATCCAGGAACAGCTCGACAAGGATGCGCAGTAAGTTTTGGTCCCTTGAGTTAGCCTCCATCATCCTCCCTTCCGGTAAACCGTATCAACACGACTGCCGTTTTTAGTTTGCTGCCTCTTGTCTATTCCTTTTGCCATGTTTGGTAATGTTCGTCATCACCTAGCCCAGGTGTCATCCTGGGGGCAAGCAGAAGGATTCCCTCGGCCGACGCGCCATGTACTTCCGAAGATCACAAGATGGGTCCACGGGTTCTGAAGGATGGCGGGATGCCATACGATGGTACATATACCACAGTAGCAGAATTCGCGAGGAGCTGATAGATTAGGCAAGCGTTTGTTATTGTTTGACCAACGCATTACGCAGTGGTCGGACTGTACATTGGAGACTGACTGTGCGGCGGTCCACCCAGTTGTCCATGCCCGACAAAGGCTGGAGGATGCACGGGTGAGGATGATGATGATGAGACGGTGTAAGAGAAAAGAACAAGCCGACCAGCAGCAGAGTGCCGCGGTTCCATCTTTGAATTTTAGACCAAAAGTGCAGGTGGCCAGGTTGACAAGAGCGCGGGCTGCATGGCGAGCGAGGGTTTGATGGGCTGAACTTGAAGCAAGGCCCCCTGGACTTCTCCACCGCGTCGCGGGAGAAGCCTCTTCGAAGAAGCTCTCTCCGATCAGCCCTGCCCTTTCGTAGGGCTGAACCACCTGGAAGCTTAGGGATTCGCTGGCTGCAGGTTGGTGATGGTAGGCCAAATTTCTTCATCCTTTGCAGTGCCCCCTAGGCGTGCTAGGGCTTTGGATTTAGCCCCTGCTAGACTCACTAGGCCCGCTCCAGGCGATACGAATCCACAAGCATGGGCGACTGTCAATCAAGAATGGAACCAGCGCCCAGGGAGCCCATGCGACCCGTGCAGCCACACCATGCATCTGCTTTCCACTCGAGCCACTCTCCTTCCCCAATTTAGTGCTTGATGTGCATTGTGCAACCGCCTGCCTCAAAAGCAAACCCTTCTTTAGCTGGCCTGGCGCACGACCAGCCCTGGCACAATGCCTAATAAACCTAAGGTACACTTGCAGTCGCCGCCCGTGGAGACTAGACTCCCTTGCGAATACCCTTGATGCCCTTGCTCCCGACAGCAGCTTGCAGCCCGCACCGCGGCCCGCTTTTTCTTACCTGGCTTCTTTCCCACGTTCCGTTCTGCCCTATCCCCGATCCAACCCTGGCTTGCTTGCGACTCATCCATTCTTGTGAACGAGTTGACTAACACCATGCCGTCCGCATTCACACCTCAGGTTTCGACTGACACTTGCTGCAGCCACGGCCAACGACCATCACCCTTCCGTACCACTCCTCGGTTGGCGACCGCTTGTTGCTCGCCTGAATCCTTTGAACAACCCCTCCTGCACCCGGTCGTGCCTCATATCCGACAGACCCTCCTCTGACTGATCCTCGCATCTCTTTTGACCTTTCCAATCCTCGACACCTCTAGAGGGTTACTCTACGTCCTGTCCTTACCGCTGGATCCATACCACATCGCCCTGTCCGTTGGGACGCCCATCAATTGGCTTTGATCTGTTTCACCAGTCGAGATCACGATCAGCAGCCTCCACGAATGTCCTCTGGTTGCATACAGTCGGACCAAGACCATAAAAGACCGTCTCGACCAACGTCAGCTGAACTTGACGAGAAACAAAAGCATATCCACGTCCACAGACCATTCCAGTGGACACCAGCACTCGCCACCTTCAGATCACAGCTTCGGGCTCCATCAGCCACAGCCGAACGCCTCGACAAGCTCGCCACTCTTCCGATGTTACTGTGACGGTGAAACAAGGTTATGGAAATCCGAAGGACTCCCGCCGCCGCTGCGGTGCGGTCGCCCTCTTACAGACAAGATACGGCGACACCTGGATCTACTTCTCGATCGAACTCAAACAGTTCGGACGAGGATTCACGTCGAGCTCAAGACGGACTAAGGATACCCGGCACCCGCTTCGATGAACCTCCGCCGCCGCTGCCACCTCCACGATACAATGAAGAGCTGGCTCAAGGCATAGACGTCGCTTGGAGCTGGGGAAACAGTGACCCATTCAACTCAGCAAGACGGCTCGCCCCCATCAAACTGGGCTCGAGTCTCTACGGAGGCTACATGGACACCAGCAGGAATTCTGACCGGTCACGCGATGCCGATGATATGGACTTGGACGACGACGACTTCACCCGCCGAGGCAGTACTGTTTCCACAATTCGATCACCGTCGCAGGCCGACATACGTCTAGGTGCACATGTACCGGTGATTCGGAAACAGTCGTCGCCAACCTCAGCAAATCAACGGTTAGTCAGCCATTGCATGCTTGCTGCATTATTCGGGTCCACTGATGTTTGTGTGTGGATTTTTGGTGTTTGCATTCGTGGGGGCTGATTGTGCCGCCCCTTTAGCTGCATACGAACAATGTGTGCTGACTACCTTTTCTGATCTAGGTTACAAGGCGAAATGCCACTGGCGCAACAGAATTTCAACCTTTCATCGCAAGCGTACGACCAAAGGTTACTATCCAAAATTGGAAAACCAAATTCGCCTCCCCGCAACTCTAGGAGATCTGGTTCTGCAGAATCGACGAGTTATTCTACCAAGCTCTCCCTTCAGATAAAGGACCCCAGAGCCCAATCACTCTCGACCAATGAGCTTTCAGCGGCTTCTCTAGATCCGATATCCAGATGGATCACAAGTCCTGCTTCAGCAGGCGTCTCGCCCGGCTCACGGCCTGGATGGCGGGACTACGGTATTGACCACCGAAGCCCATCGACAGACAGCGCGGCGGCGTCACTAGTGCTCGATCCCGAACTTTTCGTGCAACAACGACCAAGCGGCCTGCTGTCTGTTGGTAGCTCAATTGCTAGCCCTGATGACCTGGCGAGTCTTGCTAGTCGATCCCAAAGGGGCAGCTATGAGCAAGGAATATTCCCAGACACAGAGTCCGATATTGCTGGTGACGATGGCGCTGGTTTCCGCAATTTAAATCTGGGTGACTCCCTGTATCATGGGGAACAGCGCTATTCTAAGCAAGGCATGAAACGCCGGGCTCGGTCTCCTCCGTCCGATCTTTCTCGGGACGACAAATCGCCATCACGTGGCAACTCATCCGCCGAGTTGTTTCAAAAGTTCCATGCAGCGGCATCTGCAAGGTCACCAGTATCGAAATATCAAGCCAAACATGGATCAGTGTCCTCGACGGCTTCAAGTGCCCGACACAACTCATATGCGTCCTCACTTTCAGTTTCGGTGGCCGGCAGTAGCATGACCAGCATCTCCTCTTTCGACAAGCACTCATCATTAGACCCTCCACACCCTGCATATATAACCTCGGCCCATCCCGTCGCGAGCCCTGCCACGTCAATCGCATCCTCCAGGATACCACCTCAAGTTGCACTTGACACAAAACTTGCCACGACCAAGATATCTATTCAAAGTCCCATGGGCGATACCAATCTACCACCCGTCAACCGTGTCGGAAACTCTTTCATATGCGATTGTTGTCCGAAGAAACCCAGAAAATTTGATACAGAGGTGGAATTGAGGTGAGTTTGTTGAAGCATACGCCTCTTTATTCCACCCCTCCCTAGTTACTGGCGCACAATACTAATCTACTGGCAGGTCTCACCAAATGGAGAAACAGTATACTTGCCAGTATTGCAACAACCGGTTCAAGAACAAAAATGAAGCCGAACGTCATCAGAACTCGCTCCATTTACGACGTTATTCTTGGTCTTGCGCAGCCATCCCTAACTACCAGGCGGTATTCCACCCATCATCAATTCCACCGTCTACCAGTCCAGGTGGTCCTCAATTCGATGCATGTGGTTATTGTGGAGAGGAGTTTCCTAATCTTCCTCAACCTAACTGGGATCGTCGGCTTGATCATCTCACCAGCGTCCACAAGTTTGGCGAATGCAATCAAGCGAAGAAATTTTTCAGAGCCGATCATTTTCGACAGCACCTGAAACACAGCCATGCAGGGCAGAGTGGGAAGTGGACCAACATGCTGGAATCTGTTTGCCTGCGCGAAGAATTTCCTGCAGACTCTGCTGGTATCTCGCCAACTGGCAGTGAGCCGAGTCCGGGTCGTGGTCCTAGCAGCCTTCCTGATCCACCCATGGGAGGTGCAACAATCAATGAATCTCGAAATGAAACATGAAAAGCGACCTACCCAAGTTGGAATACGGCCTGAACACTCAAAGTCTTCTCGGATCGAGAAAGGTGATTGAAGGTTATGGTCATGTTCTGCGAGCTAGCGGGAAGATCCTAGTTGCAGAAATCCCATCCTGCTTCAGGCGCCTAACGTCTTACCCGACCCCGCCATGCCTCGTTAAAGCCGCATGCCCGCCATGACATTTGTGATCATTGACTACTAGGTAGTCGATGCAAGTGGCCACCGAGTGTCCTCTCTGCCGATCCAAGCTGTGTTGTCATACTTTGACGTTCCTTGTCCGCAGAGGAATGTTTCCTGATTGACGTTACACGCTTCCAATCATCACACCATCCATGTTCGTACCCAGGATCCCGGACTGGATGGTCACAGTACAGAAGTGACACTTTGCATGCATGACGAGCTTACCACACTCAGAGCTACAGCAGTACACCATGACACTGGTACATCCTTACTTCGGCCATGCAAGCAAGGCCAAGTTTCCTCACGATGGAGGACCGCTCGACGGCTCAGGCTTCGGACAAGTTGGACACGTAACGTCAACGACTCATCCCGCATGGTTCCAAGTTACAGACGACAAACACCGGCGCATTTCCGAGTAAGCCTGTCCTATCAGTGGCAAGGCTCCAACCTGGACAGGTTCTTGCCGTCTGGGTAGTACAACGTTGCTTTTGTTGAGCGTCCTGCCTACAGGGTGGGGAATATAAGCCCTTCTCATAACAAGGCCACTACCCTTTGGAGTGGAAGTGGAAATAGTACTTTTGGTCAAACAGCGTTCACCAATACTTCACAACCACGGAAAATTGCTGCAGTGCTCCTCGAGCCTGTCCTTCAACCGATTGCCTGCGTCTCAAGCCCGTTGTCTTTGACTTCTTCTGTGGACAAAACCCGTCCGGGCTGCGAAAGCTGGCCGCTTATGGGCACAATGGACGTGTTGGTAATCTCTTGGAAAACATCGGCAGGGTCTCGCGATTTTGCGATGGTGTGGGCAGGTGCATAGGGAAGCAGCTCAACTGAGTGATGGGCCACAGCTGCACGAAGTCAAATTCTGCATGAGACCTATTGAATCATGCCACGCCGCCCTCGAGCGTCAAGCGGATGGTTCGGTATGGGCCTTGACACCGCCATCCATCAAATTCACACAATTTTGATTGGCTCTCGTTCTTGACTACGTTCTTTGACCGCCGTGTTCGTGCAAGCTCCAGAAGCTCTGGCAAACCGACGAGCTACAGAACAAGCATATCGATTGCTGACGACATGGCAGCCCCTCGACCCCTCATCCGATACCTTAGTGCTTACCTCTCGCGCACTCCGCGATCCTGCCCTTCAGTGGTCGGCCTGTTGGGACGCCGTTGGCAAGATGATTCGACGGCTCGAGATCGATCACGGAAAAGGCATGATGCTCGATCGCAAGATGACTAGCATAACTGACTTGCTTGGGTGCTTCTTTCCCTCAGTGGATAGAATAGTCAAAAGCGTCCGGGCCACTTTGGTCGGAAGGATTTTACGCCTCTGACAGGCGACTCCTGGTCAACCGGACGCCTGCTTTCTATGCCAAGCCTTCTCTAACGACACCAAGCCCGTCCTTCAGGCCCGAAATTACAATTCCACGACGATGCTTGTTAGCTAGTAATCATTACCCTTTCGATCGTCGCCAAAGACTGGCCTTTTCGGCATGCTCATCCGGCCATGACAAGGAATGCATGAGTCGCTAAGCCTCATCCACTGCCAGGGAAGGATTCAACCACTTACAGTGTCACATTTTATTAGCCGACCTTTCCGGACTGGATCGAACTGCAAACCAGGAGCGCAGACAAGCAGCTCTCAATATCGTCACCGTGCAGATAAAGCACGCACGACAGGCGGTCTGCACTGCAATGCAACTCCGTCGCAGAAGGATCAGGATGCCAAAGAGGATGATGCGGAATCACGGACAAGTGGTATGATGTTCGCATGTACATTTATGTTCAGGGCTAGAGCGGCGACAAGAACGAGGGTCCCAGAACTAGACATACCCTTGGAGAGTTCCCCAAACGCTTGTCATCGACCCTCTGGTATTCACGAGGGAACCGCCGGCAATTGAATCGAAGATATCACCGGCGCGAGCTCGCGGCTGTCCAATGAACATCTACAATGCCCTTTCATATTCCCTTGTCTGGCGTAGTTTTTATCCAACGGGGTACTCCTTGATGCCGGTTGTCTGTCAGGCTCTTTGAATATTCCATTTCCTTCCGACACTGCTCTGTAAAACAGAAGTCAAGAATCAAGCTCGAAGAATTATTCGTTCAGCATACTGTTTGCAAAATGCCAGTCCAACCAGAAGCCTCAATGAATGCAAGATCGTGGCACGATCCGTCAACGAGCAGCAGGCGGAGGCGAGTATACTGGGCTAGAAAGGAGGGCAATCACGAAGCATCAGCCTGGCTGGCCTTGATGCCTCGTCCTGCTGGGTCAGCTGCAGGAGCGGTGCGGAGGTAAGCGAGAAGGAAGGCCGAGCATGCACCTAGGTCGTCATAAGAACAATCTACGGCATAACACCGACAGCATGGATGCCTGGTGCTACACATGCGGTGTTGCTGACGGAGAATTTTGTTCAAGCTCCGACATCCGTATTATTGCGTTTTAGCAGAGCACATCGGCAGGAATGCAGGAATGCAGGATGCAGATATCAGGACGCCCGAGGATCGAGGATCGAGGATCTCCAGTGTCAAGCCTTATGGACATTCGACACCGACATACAACCGACGCCGCCGCAGCCGCATGGTCCATTTTTGGGAATGGAATCCCCATGCTATGACGTGCACTCAGAAGTGGGAGGACGATGAACCGGTAGTCATGTCGATGCAAGGAAGCGCGATCCTGCGCTTCTTGTGCAAAGAGATAAGATACGAACGTTCAGAGGGAGCACCCAGGGAGGTAAGCTGAAGCTACCTTACGGGGTAGCTTCGTAGGATTTGGGTGCACTTTACGGATTAGGTGGGCGCACTTTTTCGGGACCTGTGATGCAAAAAAGAAAGGCTTCCGCGTCGGAAATAGACTTCGTAACACTGCTGCACACTGCAGGCAGACTGTGTGCGTTTCGTGTGAAGATCGCCCCGTAAGAAAACAGGACCTGGCTGATCAGGCCCGACCCTTGCCGACTGATGTTCACAAGGCTGAAACGACGGGCCGGGAAAAGGGGGCGAGAAAGGGATTGAAATGACGCCTGGAAGCTAGAAAATTCAAGTCGATTTCTCCATGTCAATGCCGGTGGTGGTCGTCATTCCAACACAATTTATTACCGTGCGTAACATTTACCGTGCGTAACATTTATCGCAGTTACCTACCACGCCTACCTACCTTGGGTAGGGAGGTAGGTAGGTATGGATATAAGGTACCTTTTTTGTGATATTGCGCAGCCTGATCAGCGGGTATGGGGTCTTTTGTCACTGTGACTGTGCTGTTTGCCCCAATATGGGTTAATCTGGCATATCCTTACGGCTTTGGCCGGAAGCGACTCCCTGGTGATACTGTCGTTATGTTGATAGCAGCAAGGCACCCGTCTTCTTAGCCAGGATGTCGACGTCAATAGCCCGTTGACAAGAGCCCTTGAGACAGTGAGAGCACTGTCGGCCTCGAACGGAGTACATGACTTGGCTTCCCATGCAATTCTCGAGGGAAGAAAACCACCATATTTGGAAAATACTGATCCTGAACCGCGCAGTGTGCCTTAGTGCCGTTGTCGGCTGTGCTCAGACAGAGAGGCTTTGCTTTCCCGGGCAAGGTAAGCCCTTCTGGGCCTGCTGCATTGAAGATCAAATAATGGTCTACCAACGATTGTGGTGGATCGCACTTTGGCATGGGCTGTGCTCCTGATCGAAGGAAGGATGAAGGTGACAAGCGCCCTGAGCGTAGCTCATCTTGCGCAAAGCCTGCACACTCTGGTCTGAAACTGCAATATTATGCGAATACCATGACGGTATCAATTCAGAGCGTTCGCAGCATTGCTCCACAGAACGCTACCATACGACTTTGACGTGAATATGCATGTCAAGGATTTTGAGTTTGTACCACGGTCAAAAATGCTCGAGCTGAGTGTGAGCCTTGTCTGCATCGCTTTGGAGAATCAACCCTATGAGAGCAGGGCACCAAGCGCTCGTAACTGCTCTTGGACGCTTGTCCTTTCAATCTGCAGGGATCTGTTCGGGAGAACCCTCTCCTTTCAGCACTCAAAGTGCGAAGCATCAACGGTCCATACCTTCAAATGCAGTCGTCCGTGGGCATGACCCCAAGCGTGGACCACATTGCTCATCCGCACCATGCCACATCCGTGCACATCCAACTCTCGACGCCAGAAGCGTTCTGGTTGCAGGTGATTTGGAATAAGACGCATTATGATGCCAGCAGGGCTTACAGCTGCAATGCTGGCCAAGGGAAGAGATTCCGATTACGCAACACCAGGACCGGCGCGAGCAACAGCTTGCCAGATCGAGGCATCAGGCATCCAGTGAGGCTCGCAACCTTCGGCAAGTCCGGATATAGCTCGTCAAGCAGCCAACTGTTGGCACGCCTTAAATTCCAGGCAATCTAGAAGAGCCCGTCGCGTACCGTAATGAGGCCTAGGACGTATTCGGACTTCGGTGCGGCAGCGTATCGAAAGCAGGAGGGCACTTTGACCAGCACACTAACCGACGGAAGGTGTTGTTGCGCACTTGGACGAGAATTGGACAACGTTAGAAGCCTCGGGGTCTAAGGGCGATGCCTTCCGCTAGTGGTCGCTGGTTGCATAACGTGGTGTTGTGATTGTGAGAACGCCGCCACCAAGAATGGAGCACACAGCTGTGAAGTACTGCGCCAGCTTGTTCATCTTTCCAACCGTAGTGATTTGAACCGATTGGGTGCCGATTAGATGTGGTTGCAAGATCCCCACTACCAGACAATCAAGTCTTCGCAATGGGAAATCGCGGGATCCAGCCAAACTCGGGCACTTTACACCACGGTTGGTATGGTGAGCTTGTTTGCAACATGGCCAAATAACCGGTAAGAGACAACATCTCCTGCTGTGAAATTCTTTTTGAGCCACACAAGGTCAGCTGCGACGTATCGATTTTCTTTCTTCCTCGCCGCTGAGGCGCCTAGGAATGTTCTAGGTATATTCCTCCGTATGCACTACGCGCAAAGGATTTGGAATCGTAATGATACGCTGTCGACTGAAATTGATTAATGAGGTTGCTGGTGGTCAAAAGTTGACCGAAGAGAGTCAAGTTTCAAATGGTTGATAGAAAGATGACGACGTGGAGATGGCTGTGTCAGACGGACGCATTATTGGATTGACACGTGATGTTGGCACATAAAGTCAGCATCTTTGTCACGCTTTGTGTAAGAGTTTGAAGATAATTGACTCGTCAGACAGTCGCTTCTTTCCGCAATGCACGAACAAGGACTTCACTTTGCTCATTTCTTGATTGAAACTCGATCCACTCTGGGCAAAGGTCTTGTTGTTTTCACTACCAGCAATAGGAATCGATAGAATGGTCAAATCAAAGCTCTCCTTTTTCGTCATCGACAGTCGCCATAACTGAAGACCTCAAGTGTTACAAATTCGAACGTCTAGCTTCAAGTGGGATTCGATACCGCTTGTTTCCGAGGACAAAATGCAGATTGCAGCCTTCCTTTCGGATCTCAAGTCATTGAGTATATGCGTAGGTGGACGACAAACAGTCCGAGATGGGCTGTCGATACTGAATGGTTATCATCACAGACCCACGAAGCCGCCATTGCCCTGGTGAAGCCAGCCGCAACCACGAATGCCTCCGAAGTCGGTCAAGTGTCTTCACCACCAAATGGTGCATCGATTACAAATGCAATCAACGCCCCTTCAGCTGCTGACGAAACCGACTCTGAGCTTCAACGAGCAAATGAACTTGTCTCCCTTCATTATGACGTCAAATTGAAATATCTCGAAACCGGTCCTGACGCAGAGCTGGAGAAAGCAGCCCAGGATGTTGAGAAAGTGCTGCGCGACTTGAGTAGATTGAAATCAAAGGCATGACAGATGGATAATTAGCAGAAGTCTTTTGCAGTCTCGTTTAATGATGACTTTATGAGAGAACGGGTGTATGGCCAAGGGACTATGTTGCCCGTACCAACCAATGCTAGTGATAATGTATCTCAACACGGCCTAATGCTCCAATGAGTCCCATCAGACATAAGCGGTTCAGTGCAGCTAAACACAATCGGAACGCGCATCCTGCATCCAACGCACTCCATGACTCAGGCATCTCCAATCGAACCTGCCCCTTCAGCTCTTGCCAACCCTTTAGGACATTTGCATTTCAATTGTGCCACCTTAGCCCTTCCAGCTGCGTGCCTGTCGATGGCTTTCATGCCAGGTCTGTCCCGTTCGAGTTCGAGACGACGGCATTTTTGAAGATACCTGGTCTTGATCAAACCCCGGCAAGTATGGCATTTCTCGCGCGCTTCAGCTGCTGCATAGATCTTGGCAATAGAAATCCTCCTGTTCAGTTGCTTTCGTCGCATATCTCTTGTCCGCTCAATGCGCACCGACTGGGCAGATAGTAAATCACTGGCGCCATCCACTGGTAGGGGTGCACCTGCAACGCCGGAAGTGGCTTGCTTCAGCAAAGGTTGGACAGCATTGGCCAGTTCACGGCCTAAAAGGACCGTGAGCAGCCTTTTCCTGACCACTACTTTCCGAGCTTTGCGCACCACCTTCTTGCGCTTGCCAACCTTCCCGCCTAAAGGAACACTGGGGATGCTGGGTAGTCCAGGTACTGGAAGGTTCAAGGCCGTCGTATTCATAGGGAGGGCATCGGTGACCGACGCAGGATTCACCGGAAGGCCGGTTGGTGGTGGAATTGCACCAGTCAGGTTGGTGCCACCCAGGGGTGCAGTGGCGGCTCCTACAGGAGATTGTCCGAGAGCAGATGGGGCTGGAGTGGCCGGCACGCCTACGCTGTTTGCAGCAGAAGCTCCCAGAGGGGTGGCCATGATCGTCCCACTTGGTCTATGGATTCTGATCTCCGGCAGGGCGGATGAGTCGAACGGAGCAAGCTCTGGCAGAGTGCCCCGAATTTGGTCAATGGCCGTTTCAGATCTCGCGGAAGGATTTGTGGCAAAGCCAGCGAGGCCAGTACCGGGAGAATTGACTTCTTTGTCACCTAGCTTGCTAGGCGCTGCTTCGTGCTCAAGACCGTCGTTGGCCGTTGCAGCTGGGCCAGCAGAGTCTATCAGATCAGTGGGGTCAGTTTGTGCGGTTGTAGCGTCGGTAGGCTCCCTCTTCTCGGGGTGTTCGTGTGTTGAAGTGAAGACTTGTCCTTGTGCTGAGATATCGGAGCTTTTCGGTGCAGGAATAGAAGCTTCGGAAACGTTGAGGCGACCTTTGCTGACCGTTGCGAGAAAAGGCAATCCTAGTCCAGCCGATATATCTTGACCTTCACTGGCCTGAGTAACTGTGTCTGTACTTTCCCCTGAGATTGTTGCCCGACGCTGTTTCCGCCCAGGCCTTGAGATTCCACGCAGAGTACTGTTAGCCTCCGTCTCCTGCTCACGAGCTTTATCTGACATTTGCGTGTCGAAAGAGCCAGGCGAGTGTATTGTCGCCACAAGAGGTAGCTTGACTCCTTCGGGGATGATGATGGAAAGCGAATGAGAGGATGTGCTAACTCTGATCGTCGGCCTCTGCGATGGCGAACATCGACTTGTTGACTGGACAGTAGACTGAACTGTGTCCGATCGGGATAAATAGATGCTAGAAAGTCTGGCGGTGAGTACCTTTTCGACGCGTCGGAGGTCTTCTTCTCGGAGGGGCTCACGGCGATAGGCCTGTTCAGGACGATAGTACGAGAAAGGTTCCTTGTTGGAGTCGAGTGCTGCGGTATATCTCTTTTGCAGAGACGGCGATGGGTTCGTGAAAGTACGATCGAGGCGAGCAGTAGGTGTTCTGCTGAGCCTTTCCTTCTGGATAGTGTCAGCCAACTTACGCCAAAATGAGGAAGTGCATACCGTCTCGAAAAGGTCGACGAGATGGTTGACAGACTGCTTCCGAGGTGCTCTGGATCTCGCGTGACTTGGAGAGGCACGAGAAGATGCTGTACTTTGACGGTTTTTATGGCTGCTCCATACGCTTTCGAGAGAATTTGTGTGTGTTCGTCGCGAGCCCTAAACCTGTCAGACATGAGCGACGACCCGTTTGGGATGGAATGGACTCATGCCAATTCTTGCACAGGCTTCAAATTGCGCCTTGCTTTTTCAAGGGATACCAGTCCCCCAACAGGAAAACGCTCGGGGTGTTCGCAGGCAGGATGCTCCGGCCAAGGCCAGCCCAAGCCAACGGAGTGAGGAGTATTGCGTCTAACGGATGAGCCGCATCGACATGATATGCTCATTACTCATGCTGGGCAACTGGGCATAAAGCAACATAATGCAATGGAATGATAAAAAGACAAGGTAATGTTAGTAGCAACAAAAGGCCATCAGATAAGTTCAGACCTTGAGAACCCCAAAGATGAAGGAGCATAAGTGCTTCTTGCCATATCTCTTCAGAGTTGAGCGGCAGGAGCGAAACACGGCTTGCAGGGCAAGTCCAAGCGTTCGACATGACAGATGTTTTGGTTCAGAAACTCGTGCGCCTGTATTAGACGATGGCTTGATGGCACAGGGGAACATTTGCTCATCCGCGAGACGGACACTGGGTGACGGAGGTCTTGCTCGCTTGATACCTTGTAGAAATCGAGAAATCCATCGGATAGGGAACATTATGTAATCTCGCTTGACTTTCCTGATTCTCGCCTGCGCGTTTCCCTTGCGGAGTTTCCTCTACTTTTCTCCCCGGCCGCATCATTGCATCTTGTTGGTTTCATCTCGAGAGCACATACTGTTCTTCCGGCGGTGCGACAATATGGCTACGGCAGTGGATCAAAAGCTGCTTCGGCAGACAAAATTCCCTGCCGAATTTAACCAGAAGGTTGACATGAAGAAGGTTAATGTTGAGGTTATGAAAAAGTGAGTCCACGCACCTACTTCCTCCAGTCAGTCTGTGGAGCGTACTAAATCAAGTCCTCAGATGGATTGCAGGCAAGATCTCCGAGATCCTTGGTAATGAAGATGACGTTGTTATCGAACTCTGCTTCAATCTGCTCGAGGGTTCGCGCTTCGTAAGTCATGCCCAGCGTGAGCCGCGACGGTCGCTGACGAATACAAGCCCGACATTAAAGCGCTACAAATCTCGCTCACCGGATTTCTTGACAAGGATACACCTAAATTTTGCAAAGATCTGTGGAACCTATGTCTGAGCGCACAAAGCAACCCGCAGGGGGTGCCTAAAGAATTGTTGGAAGCCAAAAAGTTGGAGTTGATCCAAGAGAAGGTGATTGTCGCAGACCAATACCGGTGACCAAAGGCTGATTCTCCCAGATTGATGCTGAGAAGGCTGCGGCCGACGCAAATCAGCGCAAGGATCAAGACCAAGTTCGTGAGAGGGATGTTGACACTATTCGTCAACGAGAACGAGCCGAGCGTGGACGCGGACGGGGACGCGGCAGAGGTGGTCGAGACTTTGACTCACGAAGACCTAGGTACTCAAGATCTCCTCCTCCGCGTAGACGTTCTCCCTTCAGAGGCGCACCCTTACGCCGAGAAGCCGATTCATACATTCCGGGAGGACGTGGCCGGGGAAGAGGAGCCGGTCGAGGCCGCTCCCCAACTAGATCGATTTCTCGTTCTCCCTCCCCGCGTCGGCGTCGGCGTGGTTCCTCCCCTTCAGAATCCAGGTCAAGGTCCTATTCACGAAGTCCGTCCCCACCACAACGCAGACGAGCCCGCTCAACGAGTAGGAGCAGAAGCAGGAGCGCCACAGAGACCTCACCTGCGAGACAGAAACGCAAGCCGAGAAGGGAATCAGAATTAGCTGGTGAAAGACGCGCACGATCTACAACACGTTCTGATGTATCACGCTCACCATCACCTAGAAGAAGACGCATGAGTCGTTCGGTATCGTCGATGAGCCGAAGTCCGAGCCCTCGGCGACGCAGACATCGTCGAAGTCGATCGTACTCTTCATCGCCTGCGAGATCCAGATCAGGGTCGGCAAACCGAAGACGAGGCAATGGAAGAGGTGGAAGAGGTGGAAGGCGTTACAGAAGATCTCCCTCTTATTCCAGTGATGAACGAGGAAGCAACAAGCGCGCTGATGTTCTCAAAGGTCGCAATGCACGCGATAATCGCCGTCTGAGCCGCAGTCCAAGTCCGCCCTCACACCGATGCAGACGCAGCCCTAGTCATAGCCGAAGTCCCAGTCCACGAATGCATCACAAGCGAAGACGCTCGCTGCGACGATATGAACCGGCGGCTCGGAGACGGCGCAACACTTCTTCTGTCTCCTCTCCTGAGCAGAAGCGACGTAAGCGTGAGTCTTCAGAGGAAAATTCTGGAAGGGAACCAATGAATGGGCACGACAAGAGTGATGCAGATGGAAACTGACTTGATTGTTGATGGTCAACCAAGAAGGTCAGTATCGAGACCAGCTGCTCTACCAAACTTATCTCCGGCCCTGAAAAGCAAGTCGGTCGGGAGGAACCCGGCTTGGGCACTCCCAGCAGCTAGGGGACATGATTCATCGCCGGTCTCCCCAACCGAGACCTGGTCCAGGGAAATAAGCTGGCAGAATTTACCCTTTCACGACTTTATGGAGGGCTCGCAGGATGCGCAAAGAGCGTTCCAACGTTTGCTAATACAGCCCGCTATGCTATGCACGGTTATTGCATCATCAAGGGAGTCAATAATTGCGCAGAGCCGCACATCGTCTGGCGAGCTAGCAGCTGTCACTTTTGTTGAGTTAGACTACGTCAAGAGAAAGCCTAGAAACCCGGAGAAATACCCGAAGCGAAGACCCCTGCGTGGAACCTGCGCTCTGCTTTTGCCTGCTCAGCCGCCAGTGACACGTGACTCGGCCTGCGATCTGGACTTTCTCGTTGAGTCGTTTAGTGGAATGTCCTCCTGATGATCCCTCAATGCCACCAACTTCTATTTCCATCATTTTAATTCCCTAGAAAGAATTCGGATATACTGGTTTTGATTCTCTTCGGTCTCATATCGCTCCTTCTCATTCTTTGAGACTCGTTTTCGCTCTCGTTCGGGTTCCCACATCATCCGCGGTCCATCATGAGTTCGGGTTCCAGGCTGGTCAGCAATGCTGCAACCAGGAGAATGTTGTTGCAATGCGAGTAGCCCTACCTGCTGTGTGGTCGAAGTATGCGCTGACGGCCTGTAGCATCCTCGCGCCTTCCACATTCCTCACTCTTAGCCTCCCATTCAGCTCGATCCCAATTCACCCGGAGTCTGCCACCGAAAGTACAGGCGCTGGCCATCCTCTTGCCCAAGAGGAATTATGCTACAGAGACCAATACACATGGTTCTGACAGTGGACCGCCACCAGGTTTCAACATTGATGAGGCGAAGAAACCGTTGCCGAAGGGGGCTGACAAGGAAGCATCTCCGACTCCTACCGTTGCCGAACTCAAGGACTCCGATGAGCAACTCAAGACGCCAAAAGGGGGCGCGACCATGATTGACAAGACAAAGGCTCTCGAAAAGGCCACATTGAGTGAATTGGCTGCCAAAAAGGCCGCGGAACCCGCACAATCCGCTTCCACCTCCGTGGCGAACAAGAAGGAAGAGTCAAAGAAACTCACAATTGGTCAAAAGATCAAGAAAGAGATCATGCATTACTGGGATGGCACCAAGTTGTTGGCTGCCGAAGTTAAGATATCCTCAAAACTCGCTTTGAAGATGGCTGCTGGATATGAACTCAGTAGAAGAGAAAACAGACAAGTGAGCGCATTTGCAGAAACATCCCAAGTTTAGCTGCTAACGGATTCCACAGCTTCAGAGAACCGTTCAGGATCTGGGCCGCTTGGTTCCCTTCTCGGTTTTTGTCATCGTCCCCTTCGCCGAACTGTTGCTACCAGTCGCTCTCAAGCTCTTCCCTAACCTCTTACCCTCCACCTACGAAGGTCAAAAGTCCCGCGAGAACAAAGCTGCACAACTGAGGGAGACACGCAAGCAAGTCTCTTCGTTTCTCCGGAACACTCTACGGGAGACCGGCCTGCCTGTCTCAGCAATTAATGCAAAGAAGGAGGAGTTTACAGAATTTTTCCGGAAAGTCCGCGCTACCGGAGAATCTCCCTCAAAAGAAGATGTGATCAAGGTCTGCAAGATTTTCAAGGACGACCTGACACTGGACAATCTTTCCCGACCACAATTGGTTGGCATGTGCAAATACATGAACCTGAATACTTTCGGTACAGATGCCATGCTCCGGTATCAGATTCGCCACCGCATGCGACAGATCAAACGAGACGACAAGGCCATATCATTCGAAGGCGTCGACTCGCTTTCGGTCCCCGAGCTGCAAATGGCGTGTGCCTCTCGTGGTCTGCGGACCCATGGTATGTCCCCTGGAAGGCTACGAGAAGACCTCCAGATGTGGCTTGATCTACGTTTGAAATACAACATCCCTTCCACTCTGTTAGTGCTCAGCAACGCATACATGTACACCTCTGGCAAGGACAGCGCGATCGACTCGCAAATTGATGCCTTGCAAGCTGTCCTGAGCAGCATTCCCGAGGAGTTGTTTCACGAGATCGAACTTGAAGTTCACAATGCTGAAGGCGCCGCAACCAACAAACAGCGTCTAGAAGTGCTCAAGGAGCAACAAGAACTCATCGAAGAAGAAAATGAGCAGGCCGAGTCAAGCAAGACCGAGGACAGCAAGGTAGCCAACAAAGGGGTCAAGGATGACAAGGATATTGATGAGAAGCCTAAGGCTGAGGCTAAGGCGTCGGGCGCTGCAAAGGAGGCTCAAGAGGCTGAAACCGATATATCCGAGCAGGGAAAGCAGGAACCAGTCAGGAAAGAAGAAGAGGTCAAGAAGGATTAAGTGATTGTGCTCCTTGATGCTCATTGAAGTTGGTGGTCCCTTACTCTATGCACTAGTTCGCAACTCTCTTTTCTCGGCCATTTGATGGCATAGCATGGCATGGAGGTCTTTGAACTTGGATAGACTATAGAACAGAACAAGTGACCTCAGTACGTGTGAAGATTCGGAACAGCAGAGAGCTGGGTGATTAGGCACATGGGATCATTGCCCGCAACGAATCTCATTCACTTTTCTCCAGATACTCCGTACAGAAAATCCTGACAGGAAAAGAACTCTACTCCTGTCCGATTTGAAAAGCAAGAACCCCTTCCGATCTTCGTTCATCGGTATGTTGTGGAAGCGGGCGGGGAGCCTGGTGAGGCTGTCGAGGCGTATGCTGAGTCAGGGGGGACGAAGAAAATGCCTGAATAGTGATACGGAAAGGACACGAGGACACCATGATCGAGTCCTGGGTTGCTCATCATATCTTTCTCGCCGTCACAATGAGAAAATGACAAATATTAGTTAGTAGTGCTACTGTTCGGATTTTGGTGCACACCATCTTTGTTGGCTTGCAACCACCATCAACCAAGCCGGCACCTTGCGGGCCCAAGATCTTACAGTATCTTTCATCATTCTTGGCTCATTCACCTCCACCATTTCAAGTTACCTTACCTAAGCTTCACTGGATGCCTGTACTGTGGTAGAAGTCTGTTATACACCGAGCGAAGCTGGGAATTCCATCCGAGCTTTCCGAGTATCTTGACCGGTCGAGCAAGCCACAATCCCCTCTCGCTGCACGCCCCTCTCTTGCGCAACTTCAGCCTTTCAGCGGCAAAAAGGCGGACGGACTGGCTAGCTGCCTAGCTGCCCTATTGCGAAATCCTCGATACGTTTGCGGGCAAGAGCTGCATGCAGAGAATGCATATTCGGCGCAGAAGTTGCAGGGGTGTGTCTGGCAGCTGTTGGCTATCTGACCTCTGACATTACTCGAAGGCAAGCGCCTCGTGCGTGTTGGGTGTGGTGAGGCTGGCTAGAACTCGGCTAGGCGACCTGGACCTGAGGAGAATGCATGACCTCCCTCCCTGTGGGTCGAGCCTCTCGGATGTCGAGCAGACATCCCATTGTGATGGGCTCAGCCCAACCACCTGCGAGGCATGACTCTGGGGATAAGAGGCGAAGAACGATGCTGCAGCCCATCGTCAATGAAAATGAGGCTTCTAGTTACGTGAGCCGGGACAAAGTTGGTTTTCTTCACTCTTGACATCTTCCTAGCATTGCATGCCTCAGGGAATATTGTTACAGCAACTTGTTATGGTCGCAGATGGCTCAAACGGTGTTACGAGTCTTGATTTTCCTTGTTCTCCTCAGCGTGGCCTACGCCGCCGAAGACTGCCCTAGACCTGAAGGCCCGAAGGAAGAAGGTTGCCCCGTGTGTGGAAATGGCGATTTTTATGGCCTCGGCGTGAGGATAGGAATCTGTAACGACCCTACGGAAGGGATTCTCTGCAGTCTTTGTCTCCGTGCGGAGTACTGACCATCTCTTGTTAGACACGCAATGGTTGTCCTCGTGGATCGCGAACAACTTCCTGGCAGAGGAAATCATTGGGACTCTGGAAACCAACTCGATATTCCTGCTGGCGCTCTTCTCAACGGTCTTCTACTACTCCATCAGACAGAGAGACATCCGAGTGGTCGACGTTCTGGTCATTCATCAGCTATGCTTGGGCTTTATTTTCAGCATCATGTCGCTCTGGGGCTATCGCACCATGTATTATAAGACAGAAGGCCCCGGCAGCCGCCGACGTTTCGGCGGATTCGGCACACACTTTCGCCTAATCCTCATGGGCATGATCAGTGCTTACGGCGTCTGGTTCTGGATCGAAGGTGTCGAAGATGGGCTACCCCCAACGGATCGACGTACGGCCTGTGGTGGCTTGGAGACGTTTTTCTTTGCACCGATGAAGGTCGAATCCTGGTCGACAAGGAGTGTTCAACTGGTCATCGCGATAGGAGCAGCCGTCTATTACGGCATCATGGTGCTTGCGGCCTTTGCTGCCTTACTCGCATACTGCGTACGTAAGATCAGTCGCAAGCCCCATGATTGGAACTGGCAACTGGTCTCTCAGCAAGACTCGGCCATCGCCTTGACAAAGCGAGAGTGAGTCCCATATGCGACAAAAGCTTCGCGGCAGCCAACCGCTCCCAGCTTGCCAGCTTGCTAATCCTGCCCTTAGGTTTTCGTATTGGTACCTAGGCCTCTCATGCTTCAACCTGTTCTGGATCATTTTCGCCATGGTCAGTATCGAGGTGACGCTGAATTTGAATCACATGAACAACGTGCTTGGAACGTTGGGTCTTATAGGCGCGGGACAGCTGATTCCGCTGGCCATTGGATTGATCAGCCTGGTGCGAGTTCTCTACATGATCCTACGCGAGAGAGTTCTGTCCAAAAGGTTGCACAAGAATGAAAAGAGTCCAGGTAGTGGGACCACTCATGAGTCGCCGGCCGCCAGTCACACGTGTACCGAAGGACTCGGATTTGGACCATCGACCGCATTCGAGTCCGCCTCCAGCCCCCTGCCGCCTCCTCCTCCTCTTCCTGCTACTACTGCCGCCCATCACACAAAACGATCGCTTCCACATCGCATCCTGCTGGCCTGGCTCCCCTGGCTTGGCATCTTTGAATGGTCACGGCACTCATTGTCTCCGTCAATGGGCCGGTACTCAAAGCTCGGCCGCGCCGGCCACCACAAGAAGGATTCTGGAGTAAGCTTCAGCTTCACAGGGCCTAGCAGATCGAGAACCTATGATAGGCAAACCTGGTCTGAAAACAGCCGTTACAGGCCAACGGAGAGTCAGAGTGCAGCTACTCTTCTGGGCTCGCCAGGCATGCCACAACTGGCACCAGATCAGGCGGGCTTGATGGCCGCAAGCAAAGATGGTGGCATTGAGTTGCCCACTCGATATCACTCGCTTCGAAGCGCGGGTGACCCTGATATAGGCACGGGCATGTATGCTGGAAGTGGATATGATGAATACTATGGCGAACCTTGACCCCCAAGCGGGGTTTGTGTTGCGGGCTGAGGACGGTAATAATTGGCCAGCGTTACCCTCTCAGGAAAAGCAATTGAGCGTGACAGACCTCTGGACGGAGTATCAGTGGCTAGGATTCATGACAAATTTTGATGATTTTAACGATTTTAACGATTGACGACATGGTGCACCATGGAAAAGCAGGCTGTCCGTGTGATACACTCAGCCTTCTTCATACCTTGTTGCTACACAGGAATTGGGCTGGATTTATCTTGCCTATTCTTCCTGTGCAAACATATTCTCCTACCAGCGTAAGCCATGTGGAGGAGCTTAATTGATGAAGGCACGGTACTTGCCCGAGAGAATCAGTCCGTGATATGGTTATAACCATACAAGAGATAAAAGAGGAAGATAGCTTGCATATACCATAAAGCATTGGAGTAGTTTCTAGTTGTCCCGTCAAGGTGAGGCTTCGGAGATATATTCATCCGACGCCCGTCATAATATAATCGGACATAATAAGACCAATGCCTCCATCACCCATCCACCGATATCCTCCTTGTCCCGCTGAGACCGTTTCGATGGCTCTGCCGCTGGTGAGTATCGCACAACCGACTCTATGGCTGGAGGTTCACGCATGGAGACAACGACTGAGCCATAGATTTCACTGCACATGATTATCCTTGACCGCCAATTTGAGGTTGACACCAGGTACTTTGACTGTCGACACAGATTTTTTTTGGCGAAGAGACAAGGATGGAGGACAACTTCGCATTCATAGACTGCACGAAAAGCGACAGATCCACGAAGAAATTGGTGCGCAGTCATGCGATGAAGGGTAAAAATGCGGGCAAAACCCACCATCGACGTTCGAGACTGGACCTGAGCCGGTCACACAAGTCCGGACAGTCGGCTCTTGTACAACCTCTTGACAGACTCAATAATCAAGAATGTAGAATGGGCTTGCTAGGCTTGACTTACGAGGCCGTGGGAGAACAGCTGCTGGCCATCCCGTTTCCAATCGAGGCTACATCGCAGAATCGACCCATTATCAACCAATGTAAGTACCTAGGTATTTTTGTTCTATGACCGGCTACAGAGAGAGCACTCACAATCATCAGTCTTTGCTGTTGTAGTGGACGCCTTACATCCTCCGGAGCTGTGTCGTTCGCTAGATGTGGTCAAGTCGTACTGGTTACGCTTGCTGTTCATGGATACGACTTGTTAGGACCCAAGTTTCTTGTGCCAGATGAGATCAAACTGACTGCCGATAGCATATCACTGTGCCATCGCGCTGTTGGCCACGCTGAATAACTTCTTCTTCGGCGCGCAAGGCGTTTCGTCCAGAGCGATATACCATCTCAGCCAAGCAGTCCGTTTGGTCAATCAGCAACTGCAAACCGCACAAGCTCTATCCAACTCCAATCTGACAGTGGTCAATTTCCTGATAGTGCATGAATTGCTGGGAGAGTCCAGGTTGGAAGCCGAAATCCATCTGAGAGGACTTCACAGGATGGTCATGTTGCGAGGAGGACTCATGAATCTAGAGGACTCCGAACCCAGCCTGCTGGTCCTGAAGATCTGCAAGTAAGTTCTGCCAACGGGAGTTAGAAAGATCATTGACCCTTGTGACGACAGGACTGACCTGGACTTTGCTCTCAACTATGGTACCTCGACGTGCTTTTATCGAGATCGCATGGCCAACGTCGCCCTAACCTTGGCAACCAGAGGGTTCTTCATGAACAGGACCATGGGCGGATTAGCGTTGCGGTTCAATGGACTGGACCCTACACTCCAGCAAATACTGGTTGACCTGATCAGTATCGCCTCCCTGTTCAACGCGGGTTGTAGAATGGATCCTCACACGCTTCAAGAGGTCGTCGTCTCCGTCGGATACCGCTTGATTCGGTTCCACCCACTGTGCGGACCCTGTCTGGAGGACAAATTATCATCGGCCTTTCATATTGGACTCACAAGCTTGCTGACAACCCTGTTCCTGCGACTTGGTGGTCGCCGTTTTCTGAGGTACAGTCCTGTAACCGAACGCCTCAAAGAAGTCATAGAATCGGGCTTGGACGAGGACGATCACGATCTGATGCTCTGGCTTCTGTTCATCGGCCGTGTCTCTGTCCTGGAGGGACCGGACCAGGACTGGATAGTCCCGAGGATCCGACAAGCAGTCCTGTCTTTAGGTATCACAAGCTGGGCAGGCGTCCATCGTTGCATACTTCAGTTTCCGTGGATCAACGCCCTTCATGACAAGGCTGGGAAAGCGCTCTGGGAATCGGTGCTGGGAAGTGATGGTTGTTCTCAAGCAGATTGACATGTGGATCAACCATGTGTTCTGTCATCTGTCCGCTTCTGGAACATTTCGTCACTAGATGCATATATCTCCAGGCCCATGACTAGCACCCTCTACAACTCCTGTTGCATCGGCTCGAAAATGTCGCTCGGCAACCGTCGTGGCCAGCGGACTTTGTGATGGACTTACGGACGTGGTGCTCTCTTGAAAAGCCCTATTGCTTGAAACCGGCTCGCTGCGTCTTGGTTTTCCTTGTCTGAGGTTCGAGCTCACGATCCACATCGACTGCGACCCAACATCCCTCCAATGAGAGAAGTTTATCCTGATTAGGAAAGGTTCGCTGAGAAATAAGTATACGAGTCGACCACATCAGCCCAGCGAGTCAAGGCTTCCTCAACTTTACAGCCCATTCTATGACAAGCGTGCAGCTCACGGACCCGCCTCCATGACCGGGCTTGGGACTATATCCGTGTCGTGGACTATTATGGCAAGTGGTATCTCCTTGAGCCTGCCGCGGTCGAGTGTCCGGCGATGTCGTTACGCAGCCACTTTGACAAGGTATAAGAAGCCGAACGACCGCAGATGCTACATCGAACCAGCTCCGAGACATAACCACTGACTTATCTTTTCACTTTCGAATCCTTCACTCAAGAATCTTTAGGACAAGTCCGTCCCTTATGCCTCAACTTCTAGGGAAAGAGATCGGCTCGACAGGCTTTGGCCTGATGGGTGCGCAGGAGACTATTTTCACCACTCAAGATCGAATCGTGCTGATTATCGTCTTGCAGGCTTGACCACCCGTAACCCGCCAATACCGATCGAACAGGCCTTCAAAGCCATGCGCGCCGCTCTCGAATGTGGATGCAATTTCTGGAATGCCGGAGAGTTCTATGGCACACCAGACTGGAACACCCAGACGCTGCTCGCCGCCTACTTCAAGCAGTACCCCGTGGACGCCGATAAAGTGGTCCTGAGCGTGAAAGGCGCTTTTGATCTTGCCACAGGTCGGCCAGACGGGTCACCAGAGGGACTCAAACGCAGCATCGACAAGATCCTCAAAGATCTGGACGGGACGAAGACGATCGATATCTTTGAATGTGCCCGTGTCGACCCAAACACCCCTCCCGAGCTCACGTTGAAGTACCTCGAGGAAGAATATCTTAACAAGGGAATCATAGGCGGCGTCGCCCTTAGCGAAGTGTCCGCCGAATCTATCCGGCGTGCTGCCAATATCACCAAGATCGTCGCCGTCGAGATCGAACTGAGCCTGTGGGCGACCCATGTTTTGCATAATGGAGTTGCCGCGACTTGTGCTGAGCTCAATATCCCTCTGATTGCGTAGGTGCACCACCCCCACGGGTGATCCCCTCCCCCATTGAACCCTCGCAGACAACCTCGTGGGGTCATCGATAATACGCTTTTGCTGACCCTTGTGGCGACGCACCAGGTACTCTCCCATCGGCCAAGGCATGTTGACCGGCCAGATCAAGTCGCTCGATGACATTCCTCAAGGGGATTTCAGACGCCAGTACCCTCGTTTCCAACCCGAGACTTTCTCGATCAATTTGCAGCTTGTCAGGGAAGTCGAAGAGCTGGCCAAGAAGAAACAATGCACCCCTGCGCAACTGGCGACCAATTGGGTTAGAAGTCTGTCCAACAGACCTGGCCTGCCACTGATCATCCCCATTCCGGGCGCGACGGCCGACACGCGCGTGCGTGAGAACGCGCAGGAGTACACATTGACGAGCGGCGAGCTATCTTTGATCGATGACATCCTGGCCAAGTTCACCATTGTAGGCCGTCGGTACCCGGAAGGCATACCTATTGACACCTAGGATTCTGTTCACGCAGGAGTGAGACTGCTTGATAGCAAGACCAAAGGCACCACAACTCTCGTAAAGAAGGATAAATCTTTCGGCACGTCAGATGTTCGTAGAATGTGGCTGTTTTGACGCAAAGCCTCCATGGAATTGCACATATCAAGCTGGCACGAAATTGGATACAATCATGGCTTCTTGCTTCTGATTAGATTATTTCAGCTGTACACACCTGGCGAGGCAACCCTTGCTAGTAGCGCATCGAAAGAACTGTCTTTCCAACATAGAAATCTGGGATACAAAAAGCCATCTTCGTCCCTCATTGATGCGTATACCTCATATCACCTGCAAGATGGAATCCTTTGAAGATCATAAACTCGTTTCTGAAGTCGCAGCTTCATGATTCCGAATATTTGCGCAGCTGTTAAAGTGTCAGTGGTAATCCAAAACCCGAAAGGAAACACATACATCAAGTGTCAGGACCTTGGAGCTATTCGCGCCCTGGTCCCTGTATACGCCGACAAGAGCCTCACTGCCCTGGAAGAAACCTGTCTTGAGACTGATGACGATGAACTGCATTCCAGGACCCTTTAAAGACGTTCGTTAGTATAGGCAAGGACAAGTTGGCGAATCGATACTCACAGCATGATTCCGCACATAGTTGACCAATTTGCCGACATTGGCATTGTCAAGCGCTGCATCCACCTCATCAAGCACAAAGAATGGGCTAGGCTGGTAGCTGTGGATGGCGAAGAGAAGTGCCAGAGCAGCCATCGTCTTTTCTCCGCCCGACAGGTGTTCCATGTCTCTGAAGCGCTTTGTTGGGGGCATGGTGTGGTAGTTGACTCCAGCAAGATATGGTTCCTCTTCATCAGCTGTGAGGTATGCTCGCCCACCTGCTGGAAACTCGTCGGACTTTGTGAGGTTCGAGTAGATAGGTTCTATCTGCTCTGAGATGTGGGAGAAGGCTTTGTTGAACAGTTCATTGCGTTTTTCCATGGTGTCCTCAAATTTGGCCTTGATTTCTCGGTACTTCGTGCGCGACTGCTCATACTCTTGCTCTGTGTCGCGAGCACGAGCTTCCACAGTGGCGAGACGTTGTGCGGCATGAGCGTTGGGTTGCATCTTGTCCAAAGCGGCACTCAATTTGGCGATGTCTTCGAGCAGCTTGGACTCCATTGCTTCATTGTCTTCATCCTTGAGTTCGTCATCCAGAGCATCGAAATCTGGATCAATACCATAGTCCGTGACTGTGTGCGCCCTGAGGGCAGAAGACGTCGGATCATCTTCATCGACGTCCATGGCGTCTGCATCCTCAAGAGGCAAATCGTTGATGGGTACACTCTCCAAGGTTGCTGAGCCTTCAGCAAGCGGGATGGCAATATTCTCGATCTTGCAGCGACGAAGTAGACTGTATCTCGTCGAGGAGTGGCGTTGCATTTCACCCTCTAGAGCACTGATCGCTCTGAAAGTGCTTTCCATTTCTTTGCTTCTCTTTTGCACCTCATGTTTTGCTTTGGCCAAAGCCTCTGCGGCATTAGAAAGAAGCTCTTTCTGTTCATCTAGCTGCGCGTGGAGTTCGTCCAGTTCGTTCTTCAGGGTGTCAAGATCGTCCTGAATGCCCTGGCGTTGCTCGTTCAACTCGTCAATGGTCTCCTTATCCCGCTGCTCCCTGTCTCTCAATGACTCGAGGCGATCATCGGTTGCTTGGAGTCTCGATCTCTCGAAGCTGAGCTGACCTTCGATTCTACCCTTCTGCGTTACAAATTCGAGTTTCTTTTGCGCTGCTTCTTGCTGAAGTGAACCTTGGCGAGCTTCGTAGTCTCGAATGTCGTCAAAGCCATGCTGTTGGCAGAAGTCAGCAAAGATCTCGTTCTCGACGTTGTTGACTGATTCTTGATAATCGGAAATGTCGTCATCGATCTTCTCGAGTTTGCGTCGTTCAGCCTGCATCTTCGGACGCTCCTCGTTCAGCTGCTGCTTAACATGGTCGATTTCGCGCTTCTTGCTTTGCAGATTCTTGTTGAGAGCATCCAGTTCCTCTTTGGCAAACCGAAGCCTGCTCTCAAGGCCGCTCAATTCGGTCTGAAGAGTTTGCTCTTCTGCAACACGGCTTCTCTCTTGTGGCAAAGCAGCAAACTCTTCCATCAACTTGTCCTTCAGGTTATGAAGCCTTGCAACTTCAGCGTCATCCCACCTGCGAGTGTTCTGTTCTCTGCCACGACCGCCAGTCATCAGACCACCCTTGTGAATGACACTGCCATCTAGCGTGACAGCCTTTGCCTCCACACGCCTATTATAGCATAACTCTTTAGCGATGGCAAGATCATCACAAACAATGGAATTGCCACAGGCGTAAGAGATGGCACGGGAGACAGATTGATCGTAGTCAACTGTCTCGATGGCAGGTCGCATGCCTCGGTGCATGCCTTTCAAATTGGAGTTGAGCGCCTTGACTTGAATTGTATCCAAAGGAATGAATGTGGCTTGACCCGATCGATGGTCTCGCAGATACTCAATGCATTGTTTGGCCGTTGCTTCCGTATCCACTACCACCGCATCGAAATGCCGACCAAGAACAGTGCTGACAGCTTCTTGATACTTCTTCTGTTTCGGCTTGCACAGTTCATGCACTCGGCCTTTCACACCGGGGTAAGTGCGCTTAAGCATAGCAATAGTCTCCTTCATTCTGATCTCTTTTTCGCTGGTTCGACGCCCGTCATCCGCCTCGAGTAACTTTCTAGCGACATCAGCTAGCTTTTCGTCGAGTTCGGTTCGAGTGCGTGCTGCCTGTAGTCGCCTAGACGTGGCAGCGTGGAGTTCTTTCTTCTTCGCGTCGATCTCAGCCTGGGTTGCCTGGACCACCTCCTTGACATCATCCCTCCGCTCAGTCACACCGTTGTACTCGTTGTCGAGTGACTTCAATCTATATTCGGTACTGTCAACGCTGTTCTTGAGATTGTTGTATGTCGCCTCGATTGGAGCTCGCTCACTCTTGAGTCGCTCGATTCGGCTCAGGTCAGCCGAGGCCCGTTTGTTGAGTTCTTCGCGAAGCCGTGTATACTGTTGCAGGTCTGCCTCGCTTAGCTGCCCACCCAGACGGCTAGCGTTCTGTTCCCATTGCTTCTGCCATTGCGCCTGTGCTTTCTCAACCGTAGCCAGGTCCTTTTCGAGTTGCGCCACTGTTGAAGATTGGGTGCTTCGCTCCTTCTGTATCGCGTTGACACGGTTGGCATACTTTGTGAGCTGATTATTGGAGACGGCTATCTGTTCATCAATTGGCACCAGAGACGAAGTCTTGTCATCGATCTCTTTCTCCTTTGCCTTGATTGCCTTTTCCGCCTTCCCAACACCTCGTGCCGCTTGCGCATGATCTTTCTTGGCCGTCTCAAGGTTGCGCTCATACTTTTCAATACCACGTCGAAATTCTTTGAGGTCGTTTTGATGTTTCTGAATCTCTGCACTTGATTCTTCGATTTGCCGTTGCAGATGGTACAATTTCCACAACACATGAGTCACGATTGCATCGTCGCGCTCAGCAGCCTTCTTCTGAAAGTTATCTGCCTCTCGTTTTTGTTCTTGGTACTGTCGGATCTCGGAGTTGATGCCACGACGACGATTCAGTTGAAAAGCTTGTTGCTCCGCAGCCTCATCCAGTTTCGCCTTCAGATCATCGTAAGTTGCTTTGTATTCGAGACTGCCCGAAACTTGCTCAATGAGTTTTGTCAAGTCCTGAGGTTTCTGAATAGCGATGGCTTCGACGTCACCCTGAAAGACCAGAAAATTGCGCGCCTTGATGAGAATGTTCTCTTCTTCCAAGGACTCGTTATACTGTTGTGCAGTCACGACGTGCTCGTTCAGACGGTATTCGGAGACACCTTGGTTGGTGATTGTGCGTTTCCACTTTTGTTCATCCCCGGCATCGTCCTCATAGACAGCCATTACCCATGCCGATTTGGGGTCGTTACGCTCTTGAGTGCCGCTCAGTTGACTCCCTTCATTTTCCTCGTGTCCATTTGTGCCGTTTGTGTGCGTGTCGCCGTTGGTGGTAGATTTGCGCAAAACTCTACCTCGATAGACGAGTTCTCGTAGATGTGTGGATCGCAGGTGGGTGGATTTTATTCCGAGCACGAAGGAAATGGCGTCCATGGAGTTTGACTTGCCGGAGCCATTTGGACCGATGATAGAGGTGAAGTAGGCATCGCCAAAGAGGAGGACATGATGGCCTTTGTAGGATTTGAAGTTGAAGAGCTCAAGTCTCACGAGTTTGCCCATGACGGCTCGAAGGATAGAGAGGAGAAGGCAGGAGGAGAAGGATACCAGTCTTATGGATCTTGCGTAGGCATCAGCAGGGACCGTGTTGGTGCAATCTTGCGCTCATAGAAATGAAACCGATCATTTGGCTGCGATTCTCTCGCATTGATCGCAAACACGCGAAGATCGATCGCGAAAGCGCGTTCAATTGAAGCTAGCCTCATTAGGTAAAGTGGATATGGCGGGGTTCTATAGCACCCATTCACAGTTCACGTGACTACTTCAACCTGGTTGAGGAAAGGCTACTCCGTATGACGCTGAGTAATATGACGTGCTGGACAGACTGGAGCAGCCTATCTTTTTGCCCAGTGCAGGCACGCACTTCTCAACACCCTTCAAACTGCCCTTGTATTACTATCTGCTCCTCGCCTCGTCCCGCGTTAGGAATGAAAATGCGTGCAGCGTGACCAGTGGGTCAGCTGCACGCGCCACATATTTCGCACAGTATATCTAATCGAAGTCTCCCGCAGTCAGGGTCCTACATACAAATCGCGTCTATCTTCCCCTGTCCTCCTATATCTCCAGTCCGGAAAGGACCTGTTTTCGACATGTCAGATCCCATACCGATCCCTGGGGCGCCAAAAGAACCGGCCTACAGCAATGAGGCTGCCGCCGCTGATGTCCCAGGCAGCCTAGGAAGCAACACGGATGGAACAGAGGCCTTGACACCAGGCTGGCAATCTTCCACTCCAAACAGTCCCTATCTTCTGTCGAGAAATAATTCATACGTGGGAAGTCAGTCCATGCAGGAAGATTGGGAGATTCCGCTTGACAAGATCACTTTCTTCGACATTTTCGATAACCTCGCTCTACCTTCGAAGCTGGAAAAATGGCAGGCGACCTTGTCCGCGCAGAAAGAGAAGATAGCAAAACAACAAGAGAGGATACGAACATCAGGCAACAATGCCAGAGACAGGGCCGTCGCTGAATGGCGCAAGCGAGTGCCTACGGCCGACGAACAATTGGCAAAGTATCGCTCGCGGATGAAGAAATCTGTCGATGAACTAAATAAGAGATGGAATGACACAGTCACCGTTTCGATCAGAGAAAAGGTGTCCTTTATATCCGCTGTCCTCAACGTCTTCATCAGCGGCTACCTCATCGGCGCCATGCCAGAATACTTCTACTATTGGTTCACCATACAGCTGATGTATTTCATGCCGATCAGGCTGATCACCTACAGGCAGAAAGGCTACCATTACTTTCTAGCAGACCTGTGCTATTTTGTCAACTTCCTGTGCCTACTCACCATTTGGGCGTTTCCTCGATCCAAACGACTCTTCATCAGCACATATTGTCTAGCATACGGCAACAATGCCGTTGCCATTGTCATGTGGAGAAACTCCCTGGTCTTCCACTCCTTGGACAAAGTAACCAGCCTTTTCATCCACGTCATGCCGCCAGTGGCACTGCATTGCATGGTTCATTTGACGTCCGACGAGTTCCTACGCGAACGGTTTCCGGCCGTGTACACCATTAAATTCAGCCCACCGGGCTCGAAAGAGCATTACAATCTGTGGGCCATGCTAGGCTGGGCAACACTCCCTTACGCTGTGTGGCAACTCTCATACCACTTCTTCATCACTGTGCGAAGGCGCGAGAAGATTGCGGCAGGACGTCCGACGTCCTTTACCTGGCTGCGCAAATCGTACGCGAGAACATGGATCGGCAAATTCGTCATTTCACTTCCAAACTCGCTACAAGAACCGGCATTCATGCTGATCCAATATTCGTATGCTTTGCTCACCATAATCCCCTGTCCGATTTGGTTCTGGTATCGCTGGGCAAGCGCGGTTTTCTTGCTGGTGGTGTTCAGCTGGAGTGTCTGGAACGGTGCCAACTACTACATGGACATCTTCGGCAAGAGATTCCAGAAGGAACTCGAGCAAATGAAGCGTGACGTGGCAAAGTGGCAGAATAGTCCGGGCGCATTTTTGAGTCCTCCAAGTGGGCCCTTCGACACCGATGGCTCGAGGGATGATGACGGCAATGTTAAAGGCCATCACAAACGGAGGAGTATTGACTCAATCCCGTTGTTGGACGAGACTCACCAGAATGGCAAGGCCGAAACAGGTGCACGCACGACAGGCGCAGATCTCCTCAATGATCCACAGCTAAGCGTCTTTGACCGAAAGCCCCTCTCTTGAGTAGTTTGCAAGACCTGGAAAGCGCCAGCTTGGAGGGGGCCGTTTCAAGAGCAGACGATAGGATGGCAAGTGTACTTCGACCTGCTTGGCTTTTTTGCTTTAGATCTGGGTGCATGATAAGCTAGGCGTTGTGGGCTGGTGCATGAAATTGATACCCCGTCCCTTTTCTAGCAATGAAATCGTTATGCCTATACTCCGTGTACACGGTTCTCGAAGATCAACTCAAGTCCGAACCACCTGCAGTATACTGACTGGGCCGTGGAGATCTACTATCCATCTCACCCATTCCAGATAGTTTTCAGTCTCTCGCCACATGTCAATGATCCTTGTCCCGGCGCGAGGATACCAGCCATCATGTACCCATTGTGTCAATCTGCGTCGTCGACATTGACTCTCCCTGCCTGTCTGCGGCTTGCCCCTCACCCACCGCCCTCATCGCCCATCTCGCAGACCTCTATCCACACCTCCCTCCCGACGCCGTCGCACTCGGGCCCATCGAACCACAAGTATTGTGTGACCACTCCGCGTACCTCCTCCCACATGTCTTTCTCACACAGCACGGGGCTTTTCATTGTCAACACATTCACGAACCACTCCCTGACCGGCGCATTCTCGTTCGCGACCATGCCGCCCATCATCGTCGCCCAGAGCAGTAACTCCTCATGCCCTTGCATCCGGCGCTCCCACAATCCCAAGGCCATGCAAGTCTTCACCGCGGCCATGATCTGCCTCGCCAGTGCCGCATGCACCCCCCCGACTCTCGGCATCGGGAACAAAACAAGCAAAGTATACGCTAGCGTCGATAGACGGATGACCTGGTACAGCGCTTGCATTTCCGAGACGTCCAATGCCACCCCAGCCTCTCGCCGTTTGTGCGTCGACAATTCCTCGCTATCTTGAGCGGAAGCCGCCGCCGCCGCAGCCAGGTCGCCCGATGTTAAACTCGTATTTAGGCTCAACAAGTCATGCGTGACACTGTTCCTGGACCAGAGGATCTGTACGAGCGATGGCGCGAGAGGTTGCTGGGAGAGATACATGTCATATCCGATGGTGATTGTCCGGACGCTGGCAACCACATCGAACAAGGCCGTCGAAGTCAGGGTTTTGGGTAGTCGTGCAAAGCCAGTCGTCATGTTCAGGAGTGTTTGGGTCAGAGCTGGTGGAGGATCAGGCCATGTGGAGAGGACGAGACTCGTGGGCGCAAGAAGGGGCCAGGCTGGACGTTTCAGGCTGAGCCACGACATAAATATATCGGCACTAGCTCAGTGTCAGTCGTTAGAGTCCAAGAGCGAGGGCTGCGGTGAGAGATGGGGGAACGTACAGCCCAAGAACATTCGCAATGCCAGGCAATTTGACCTTGTGAATACCTCCCTTGCGCTCGACGAGCAGGCGGATGGCTTTCATGTGCGCATCCTCCCAGCGGAGACTGCCATAGTACTGTGTCTGAGCAGTAGCAAGTGGGGACTTTGCCTGCTCTTTGACAGGAGTCGAGAGCTGCTCACCGGAAGAGGCGTGGGCAGCGAGAAGACTGATACAGAAGAGTAGTGCGTCTGCTGGGTCACCGTCGAGTGTCTGGAGTTCATGGTTCAACTGCTTTACAGCTTCGACTGCGTAGTGGAAGCGGAGGATTTTGATTTTGTGTGAAGTCTCGGTGGAATAAGATTTGTGCGTTGCACCAGCGAGGGCAATGGTGTAAAAGGAGGCTGGCGAATGCAGGGCGCAACTGACGACAACATCGCGCAGGTTTCCTAGTGCCGAGACGGTGCTGGACGGAGATTTGCTGGTTGCCGCTGCGTGCAGAGAGGCTGCTGTATGCTCGGTGGGGATCACAGGAGGATAGTGCAGGAGGCAGAGTGTTATACCGGATTGAAGAATCGAAACACCTGTGCTGGGTTAGAAAACGCTTGCCTTTTCGGGACCTTTAGACGTAGGGCTGACTGCAACAGGCTGCGATGGGGCCATTAGGCTAGGAGCCTTACCATAATCAAGCATTTCCAACACATAAGAAGGCACATTACTAGGCATGACTATGTTGAAAGGATCCAGTTGACCAGCACCAGGGTCCATCACTTTGAGGGCCTTCGTGTGATTTTCCTCCTCGAGAACGCTTTCCTTCTTGGGATTTGAACCAGCGTTTGGTCGACCCTCAGATTGTGGGTGCTTCTTACGCGAGTGGCGTTTCTTCTGAGCACTCGACTCAGCCTGCTGTCGTATCACTTTGGCTTTTCTGTGATATTCTCGAGCCGCATGCTTCTGCGGAGAGATGTCGTCGCCGACGGTCGAGCTTAACTTAGCCTTGTGTGACGTCGATTGTCGGTACGGCACGAAAAGAATGTTAGTCACCTCCTTTGAGGGAGCCATGGCCTCCCCTCGTGTCCTTTGCTTTGTCCGCAGTTGTAAATCAGAAGATTCAGAGGACTGGCACGAGGAAAGTCGGCCTGGGAAAATGGGCTGGTTCATAACCAGACAGCATAAAAGAGAAGGTCGTGGGTATGAGCCATATTGGCGCCTAACCCAGGGGAACGGTGAGCACCCCTACCAGGGTATATCAACCACTATTGGTGTGGAACATAAAGGCTGTGGTAAACCGAAATGGGAAGTCGTCTCAGCTGGGTTCTGGCGACGCCAACGCGCTAGCGGAAACATGCTGTTGAGTGATTGGACAGACCGACCAAACAAGGTCTTCGACATCAAGACCAGCCCTGGGCAACTTGGGTGTTCTTTGCCGAACTGGGCTAATCAAATGCAGCCACGGGACAAGTTGATATCATTCGTGGGGTTGATTTTGGAATCACTGACTTTGGCATTTGTAGAGCTCGTCCGGTTCGAACGTCCGAGCCAGCCCTCCAAAAGTCTATCTAGCTCACGCTATGACCTAGCCAAAGTGTCAGAATCCGGAGTATCAGGCGCGATCACCGGAATGAGTCGTTGTCCAATGGCTCCAAATTCCCATGTGGTGACAAGCCCAGGAGGTGCAGGAAGCCAACCCTCTTCGGCTCGGAAGATCTCCCGGATTCCTCGTGGTGAACAAGGCTTAGCTTGTGCAGATATCTCGAGTAGGTCAATCAGGTCCTCTGCCTTAGACTCATTCGTATGACTGCGGCTGTGCTGGAAGGGAAGATGGCTATGCATGATTTCAAAGTCGGCGATCGAAGGTCTGCGCGGGGTGCAACTGAAATGAGAAGGACATGATTCGTAAAGCTGCTGATCCCAGCCAACCCGTTCAGGCAGTCGACTTCTTGTGTCGATTGAATCCTAGTACTCGTTAGCACATGGTTTGGTTCCAGGATTTGAAAGGCCCTTAACATCTGCGTTCATCACAGGGGATGGTGGCATTGGGACGCTCTCCGCTCGATGGACATCCGTCTGAGTGCTTACACTCGTAGTCGATTCGGTCGATGCAGCTTGTTGTTCAGATGTCAGGCGATCTGTCTCTGGACCCGGTACATCCTCACGTTTGCCGTCAATGGGTGGGGTCGGGCATGTGTCCTTCGCGCCGAGCGGGAGCAGTACATTTCGGGGCTGTATAGAGAGTCTTGAGCTTTGGCCAGTATATTGGTCGTCGTTCGTCTGTGGTACGTGCAGCATGGGTGAGCCATTCAGTCCCTGCATATCGGAGGTAGACCCATTCTGCTTGATGCACACCTTGCGACTATGCTGAGCCTCTGCGATGGAACCAACCTGAAAAGGATCCGAGCGCATTGGCAGCGCCGTATGTTCGTTGGTACGCATGTCAGATGGATTGTTTTTATAAGTCATAGACTGGGGTATTGGCTGTGGAAAGTAGTATGCTGTGATGGTTTGGTGGAAAGAAGAGATCGATCAACCTGAACACTGGACTTGGTTTTATAGGCAATCGCGAAGACTCACCGAGAAGAGCAAACAGCAGTCGCAAGGACAGCGGTCATGTTCAGTCATAGCTTGAGGATTCGAGCAAACGACCCATGTACAGCCCTCCGTTGTCGCGGTGTTATCGAGGCTTTATGTAGTGACAAACTGCTGGCGGACAGAGCGGTGATAGCCAAGTAGGATACGCCACCATAGCCGCGATCTTCTCAACAGCTCGGTGGCCATTAGCAGGAAGCCTGTAGCTTCGCAAACGCATTGATGGCGATACCTGCTGCCAGTTGTGAAGATGAAAGAGCCAGCTGTGAAGCCGCGCAATTGACATGAATCGCTGAATCAGTCTGCAGTTGTCCATCACAGAACGGAGTGAGACTCCCTTCTGGCTGGGTGTTGCCGTACAGCACCACAGAAGCGAAGAATAACCCTACGCATGTCAGGTTGAGGAACATCGAACCTACCAGCCCGAATCTTGAATGGAGCTTGGTGAAGCCCAATTGTTCCTTCCCACAACCACGGCTTACGTCATGTCCCTGGGCGGCCTCAAACAAGGCGGCTATCAGCCTCACCAGTCGCCAGCAGTCAGCCTGTCGTGGCGCCTGCGAGATGATAAGCCTTTAAGGCCACTAGGCTGGCACATGCAAACTACTGACTTAGTAATAATCGTCAGTAGATAAGGTCGACAGCAATGTGTCTTCGGACGCTCAATGCCACGAGGTCATCAGCTCCGCCGTGGACACGCTCAATGAAGACTCAATTGCATCGGCGGTAGAATGCGCCAAAGCTGCCCTCCATGTCCAAGATGTCCCCTTCGTCGGGCGAAATGAGTAGTGCTGGCGCTATGTTGGTCGATCTCGCCAGCAGAGATTCTCATCGCGGTCGCAGAGGGATCTTTGACGAAGAGAGGGTCATGTTCGAGGAATGTTTTGCAAGAGGCCAGGGAGACCCGAGATTTACGGCGTATCATGTTGAGGCTGTACGACAGGCTGTGAAGGCGTTGAATTATGAAAGGGGAGAAATATTGCTGTCGAAGGATTACACCCACAAGCTGCTATGCGCTCACCCGGACATTTTGCATATTGCATTGCGCATAGAGGACCATGCTACGGCCCGAGATGAGACCATCCCTCTAAAGATGCTTCCTTTGCTGATCAAACACGGAGCCCAAGTCAACGCCGTCGCCTCAAGCGGCGTTACGGCATTGTACTTGACATGCGACAATGGCTTCAAAGAGTCCTTCCGGTTCCTCATCGAGGCAGGCGCTGATTGCACAACCTTACATCGTCCAAGACCGCCACAACAACTGGACGATGAAGCTATGTCAGAAGCTGTTGAGGCAAAGCCGGAGCTCAATCTACTGCAGGTTGCCCTGAGAGCTCGATTAGAGAATGAAGGTCGTGGTTCAGCCAATTCTGGATATTATACGCCTCTAGAGGAGCAGTGGGCCACTATCATTGAGCACCTGTTTGCCGCGGGATTGAAAACTGCGAATGATGATCCATCCTTGGTCAAATTCCTACACGTTGCGTGTCACCAGGGAAGAGTAAAGTATGTTGAATCGGTTCTACGTCATGGAGTCGACGTTCACGCAAAGGCAGCAAGAGTCGACGACCGAGATACTGTCTATGGCTCGGCCTTGCATGCTGCAGCTGCTGGCGGCCACAGGGACATTGTGCTCCGGCTCTTGCAGTACGGCGCCGACCCACGAACAGCCCGGTTGCAACAGTACATGAAACCATATCACGACGATGAGATCCTGACGCCCATCGCCGCCGGCCTCCAGACCGGAGCTTACGAGTATCGGTTAGGCTCGAGGCCAGATGAAGTACTTGATGCCTGCGAATCAATCCTTGCGGCTGGGGCCGATCAGGCGGACCGCAAGCTCCTGATCAAACACTCTGCCGTCAACGGAGACGTTGAAAGGGTCCGTCGCTTACTGCAACCCGGTGTTGTCATTGATCAGGTTCCGTTATGCTTTAGTATCGATGTGATACGGTTGTTCCTAGACCACGGAGCGGCGATTGATGCTGGTGAATTCCAGAAGTATGCAATCAGGGAAGGACAACTCTCACTCATGCGATTCCTTGTCGCACGGTTTGGGCCTTTGCTCGAAGCTTCAGAAGGACTCCGAGACCTTGTTATCGACGTTCGGCAAAACAGAAAGGACACAAGGGTCCTAGAGTACCTCGTCAGTGATTACGGTCATGCCACGCCTCTAACACATTCCATCCATGGCGAGGTAGCAACTGCGCTGTTTGACACCATTTGCCAGAGGCTAGGACCCACTGCCGTGCAATCACTTCTCCGAGACGCGGGTAAGTCATGTTGTCCTGGCGTTCATGCTGCTGCACTGAGGACTCTGGAATGCATGCTGCATAACTATTTTCACGACAAATACAACATCAACGACAGATTAACAAAAGAACAGGTGCTTTTGTATCAACTTTTGCTCACATATGGTCAACAAGCTGGCGAATTTGAACATATCCACCATGACAAGTTATGGCTGACGCCGGACAAAGTGCCACAGCATATATGGGATCATGTCCTTTTCATGCAGCCGAAGCAGTCTGACACCCTCACGTTTCCGCCAGATGATGCAATCTCCAACTCTGACGCATTGCTCGAGGACGATACTGACGCACTGGGGGAGGGCGAAGACCATGATATCACGGATAGCGAGGTCCCGACGCCGCCAGAGCAAGAAATTGTAGTCCAGCGCGAGGTCGTATATCCCAGTGACGAGAAGAACAGCAGGGAAGCTATCCACCTTCCTGCGCTGTCACTGAATGACTGCCCAGATGCAGAAAACAAAGAACATATTGGCGAGAACGCAGATCGTGAAAAGCATGATCATGCATCTGCCGGCAGTATAGGGTTCACGCCGGATTTGAAAGGCACTGCGCAGCTTACTTACGCTTCTACATCAGCTTCCGAGCCGGCAGAGCATACCGTCACTGCCCACTGTTCTCTGTGTGCAAAGAACAACCGGTTCAAATACGACCAGCTTGATGGATATTATGCTATACGCCTGATGATCATCGAGCCTTCTAGGGATGCCGACGCATCTCTTGAATGTCAACTACTGTCTACGGATCTTGGACAACATCCACCTTACGAAGCTCTTTCCTACGTCTGGGGTGATCTGGAAGACACGATTGAAATCTCACTTCAGGGCATCGGCTTCGTGGTGACGAAAAATCTTGGGACCGCTCTACGACGGCTGCGTCTCCCAGACAAGGAGAGAAAGCTCTGGGTAGATGCTATTTGTATCAACCAAAATTTCATCAGTGAGCGGAATCAACAGGTAAGTCAAACGTTGTCCACGTCCTCCACGTCCTCCTGCGCTGACTGCACCGACTGGTAACATTTATCACTCTGCTGAACTGCCTTGACAGCACCAGATCTTACGCTAACTGCTCTCATTGACAAGGTACGCATCATGAGAGAAATATACCAAAGGGCACAACAAGTCCTCATATGGGTCGGCGACGAAGGAGACGGCTCTCACCTCATATTTGAGCATATCAAGGGGTGGAAAACGTACCGGGATGACTACAAAGCTGGCAGAACGAGAAGGAATAACCCGTGGGGAGAGGCGCATCTGAACATGCCTCATTACACTGGCCTGGCACAACAAGCATTCGAGAAATTCTGCCGTCGACCATACTTCTTCAGAACATGGGTGATCCAAGAAGTGGCTGTCAGTAAGGGGGCAGTTGTCATATGCGGCCGAGACCAGGAAGAGTTGGACATGATTGCAAGGGGGACTGCTTTCAGGATGGGCAACATTTATGACCCTTTTCGAGGTGTGGATGTTATCACTCACGTAAGTTGTCCTTGTCCACAATACACGTATCAGGCAACTTCCACGCAACGCCATCAGAAATTGTCTGGGCTGATGCCAGTCTTTGTTGACACTTCATTATATTCTCTAATTGACCGGGTATCAATGTTGATGCGTTTGCAGTTCCACGAATTACGAGGTCTTGGGCAAAGCACTAATCTCAAAACCATTCTGCAATACAGTCGGTTTTGCAATGCTAGTGACCCACGCGACAGAGTTTACGGTCTCTTGGGGCTCTTCTTACGCCCGCTCATCACCGTGGACTACGAGTTCGATGTCAGAACAGTGTTTCAGAATTTCACGGAGGCCATCATCAATGAAGAGGGTGATCTGCAATTTTACTCCTGGTTTGGCGTCTCATCAGGACACGTTGGAGGACTGCCGTCCTGGGTCCCGGACTATACCGCTGCAGACCCTTCCGGGATATTACCTCGCGTATTCCACCACACATACGGGGTGACCGCAGCGAGCAACTCGCTTCGAAAGGTCCTGCCAGGCATGCGCTTTGATGGGTCCAGGGTCCATCTCAAGGGCAGCCACTTGGACACTGTGCTGCACATTGGCAGTGTGCTGAGCGTGTATCCAAGCAATATCCCAGACAGTCCTTCGTTCCGGAGCACTATTCACGAGTGGGAGGAGATAGCTGCCAGAGTAGCCGAAAGAAAGCGCTACCGCAGGCCTGTAGCGGAAATGTTTCTGAAAACGCTGACAGCAGGACAATCAGCGTCCATAATGTGGTACAACAAACTTGGCAGCGGTACTCTGCGCAATCTCGAGGAAGATTACTTCACCGATTTTGATGTACTTCGAGCATGGCAACGCAGGTCCGAAAGCAGTGGGAGTTCCAAGGATGAAATAGAATTCGGTCATTTCGCCAGGGAGTTGAACGAGACGTGCTACGGGAGGAGATTCTTCGTCACGGAAAAGGGGTCTATGGGTCTGGCGCCGCCGGGAGCTGAAGAAGGCGACATGGTTGTGTTTTTTTCGGGCGCGCTATACCCATTCGTGCTTCGATGCTTGGGGGATGGGAGTTTCGCCATAATGGGAGACTGCTATCTCTATGAGCCGAGAGAGAATGGTGCTGGAAAATGCGAAGATTTCAACGAGCACGAGTTTTACGCGGACGACATCTACCGTGATGTGACGGAGTGGATTATACGATGATGGGTGCCGCTCGTCTGCGCCAGAGAAGTGAAGTGTCCACTTACTCAAGCCACAGTCAAGCGCGTCCCTGCGGCATGATATGGGTATTTGATCAACCTGCTTATAGTACATCTGCCTCTTCGTCGCCGAGATGCTGTATCTCGGATGGTCCAAATCCGCGGTCGGAACGACGCGATTGGCGGAGTTGCTCTTGGCTCTCGATCCTCCCCTAAAGCAGAACACCATGTCAAGTGAAGGGCGCTGACGTATCCATTGAGCATAAGCCTTGCGTATCCAGCATGGCTGTGAGAATGTCTTCGCCATCCAGCAAGCACGTTGCTCAGCTGCAACGCCGCTTCATCCAAAACGCCGACGCAGCAAATTGATTGATCCTTCTGACCCTCGGGCTCTATTGACAATGCTGTCACGTCCACAGATCCCAGATGCTCTCGACTACGACCTCGATCCTCAGACAGGCTTCGTCCTGAGCCAAGCTGTAGACTTGCCCGAATACTATAGACCATGGTGCCAACTCTGCTCCGATCTCCCACAACTGCTCCAGACCCGGACTCTGCGAGCCAGAGTCGACAGCCTCGAAACACTCAGCCCTGAGCACCTCGTCGGTCCGGCATACTGGAAGCGTGCATATCTCGTCCTCGGTTACCTGACCCAAGCCTACATCTGGCAGGACAAGACGAACCCTTCTCCAATCATCCCAGCGAGCATCGGCGACCCGTTCATCAAGATCTGCAATCATCTGGGCACGGCACCGGTCCTGAGTTATGCTGGCTCGTCTCTCTCAAACTGGATGCCACTGTCCGACAACAACGGGCACCCAGATCCTGCGGAAATACTTACCGACTTCAGCAGGATAAAGTCCTACGTCACTTTCACCGGCACGAGAGATGAAGACGCGTTCAATATGGTGCCCAGCATGGTCGAAGCCACAGGAGGCAAGCTCATCACCTTGCTGCTGGACATCATCCGAGTCGAACGTACCGGCCACGCGCCAGACTTGCTCCCAGTACTGCAGATCTGTTCATCCACATTCAAAAGGATGGCCGAGATCCTGTCCATTCTGCATCAAAATTGCAACCCGGACTTTTTCTACCACCAGATAAGGCCAATGCTCGCTGGCAGCGCCGGTGCCCAAGATAAAGGCCTCCCCGACGGCGTCACTATCTACTGCAGCGACGGTTCGGTTGTCGTTGTGCGATGCGTCGGAGCCAGTGCCGGTCAGAGTTCGCTGTTCCAGTTCTACGACCATGTGCTCGGCGTCGAACACGGCTCGAAAATGCTCGTCACGATGCGTCCGTACATGCCGCGGCTGCACAGGGAGTTTCTCGGAGCAGTCGAAGCGCTGCCGTCCTTGCGGGATATCGTCGACTGCCACTACCCCGATGACGGGGAAGTGCTTGCTGCCTTTCAGCTGGCACTCGATGCATTGAGACACTTTAGGACGAAGCATATTGCCATCGTTTCGAGGTACATTGTGCAACCGGCGGCTGCTGAGGCCAAGAGGATGCTTGCCGATGGACTGCAACCTGTTCTCGAGGAAAAGGGAACCGCTGGGTCGAAGCCGGTTCCCTTCTTGAAACAATATCGAGATGAGACCGTGCCCATTTGAAGGGCACATCTCTCTCCAGCCCTTCGCTACCCTATTTAACGATCAGGACTGGCAGCTGTCGGCTATGGCATGTGCCAACACTACCAACTGGCGTTGAGGAAGCAGGACCGCCAGCCTTGCAAAGTGTTCGGGATCAGGGGGCGCAAGTTGGGTCTGATCCACAGAACGGTAGAGCCTGGAAGTACGCTTAATACAGGCTGACGTGCTATGCCTGGGGTGAACTTGCTTGCCGAAGAGGTACGTGCCGTTCGAGACAAAGCCATAGAATGAGAGGACAGTTAGCATGTTGACAGGAGGGCTTTACGAGGGCCTGCAAGCCGGATCTACTTCAGGTCACTACAGCATCGTCCCGACTAGGAAAACAGGCAGTAAGTTCCTACTTCGGGGCCCGCATGTAGGATTTAGAGCACCAGGGTCCAACGAAGGGTATACAGATATCACACATGGATGGGATCAGAAGACGAAGATTTTTTCTTGACTCAAACGAGTACAATCTTATTGATTGAGTCAATTTTTTCTGTCTAACTAATGGATCACCTACGGTGATCATACACTGCAGGGACACTCATCTCGCCATCGACAAGTGTCTGAATACATGACTTTTCCATGAAGAACCATTCCATCTGCCATGTTCCTGTGACACATTCTTGTGCAGAGCTCAAGCCATATTCGAAGAAAAGAAAACTTGCAGTATTAGGGCAGTGGTGACATAACACCAGGGGAAATTGTCGAGCGATGAGTGAACTGGGGGAATGATGACACATGATGGTGTGCCCAGGATCGAAAGACCAAGTGCCATGACCCAAACCACAAGGCAAGGGAGGAAGCATCCAAGCCCACCGGCAAAGACTTGACTTTCCAGACCTCAACGTCGAGAACCACCAACAACTTCTGAACCAACGACTTGTGACCTGAAACCCGTAAGACGTCCAGCGCCACCATAGCGTCGACCTAGTAATGCGGAAGGTATCGTCTGAAGCGCGGCGGACCAGCCGGGATATCGTCAACACGAAGACGACTCATGTCCAATTCATGTTCAGCTCCTGGTGTACCGCGGTCGAATTGAGAACGACGACGACGTTGTTCCTCGCGGTATGCTTGACCTTGCTTAGGAGCGAAAAGACCTGCAGGGAAAAGTGAGTCAGTATGTTGGTGACGCAATAACGTAAAGACAAGTGTGTGCTCACGAGAATGGGCGAGGGTTGCCAGCAAATGGGTCATAGGGACTGTTGGTATCAACCAAGGACGACACGGGACGGCGACGTCTTGGTGATGGTCGAGGAGGAGGAGAGTCTGGGACTTCGGAAGGGTACAATGTATCTCCACGGGCAGGGGGAAGATAGAAGCCGTTGCGACGACGAGTCTCAGAGGGTTTGGCAGTACGTCTCAAGAAACGACGACCGAACTCAAGAGGTGGGGATTGGTCGGGGTGCCGAACAGCAGGGGCCAGGGTTCTGGGGATGTACAAACCAACATGTTCAGCATTTTCGACCGAGCGACGCATCTTGGAGTGGTTGTCAGGCGTAGGGAACTTCTCTTCTTGACCAGCATCCGGGACATTGCCAGCGATGTACAGCTGCAAAACAGTCAGCTTCACATCGATGTCGAGGATGGGTGCTTCATGCCTTGGGACGGAAGGCTGGATGTTCGAGCATGACGGAAGAGTTTCGGAACTTCTGGACCAAGCAGTCTTTGCCTTGAATAGCTGCGATGTCCAATCAGTCATCTGGAGAATCTGAAGGCAGTGGAACAACTTACTCGCATAGGAGACCTCAGCAATCTTGTCAGAGTTGAAGCAATTCCAACGTTTTCCAGCCCGAGCAAGGACAAACTGGCAGAAGTGAGCAAAACAAGAACATGACGGGGGTTGAGGAAGAGGAAAGGCATACTGGGATGATAGAAGGCGCCTAGCAACAGTTAGTGGTTTCCTTCAGACGCAAGAGACGGAGTAACTTACATCGACGAAGTTGATGAAAGCATAGCCGACATTGCAGTTGTTGGCGAAGTCTACAAAGAGTCAGCGAAGGGATCAGCAAGATATGAAGATGGACTCACCAATGCGAAGATACATGAAGTCATATCGCCCAAAGCTGGTTTGATCGACAATCTCCTTCAGCATGGCCTGATCAACACGGTTTGGAATGTTGCGCAACATGATCTGAAAATGATGAGCCGAATCCAAGTCAAGATGAAGAGTTGTGAAACCCACCGTAGTGCGGACATCCATGCCCGACTGAATTCGAGCAATGTCGACAGCATTGTGGTTCGCATTGTTGAGACGACGGCCATTGCGAAGAACATCACGAGTGATGGCGTAGGCAAGACGATCGTAGTCTTCGTCAACCGGGACAGTAGATCGACCAGTAATTGACAGCTGTTCGAAAGGAGCTTCAACATCGTCGGCATGGAAGACAATGTCAGGAGAGTATGCTTCGGCATGAAGAACAGCGCCACCCTAATGTACGTCAGTTATGGCCGCAAAGTAAGCAGAATCGTGACAAACCTCGAGAATGGTGCCACTGATGACATCTCTGGCACAGGGAACAGCCTGGGAGTCGAAGTATTCGACACGGAAGTCACGGCAGTGGAGTTGGGTCGAAGGCAAGGTATGCATGGCCTTGACTTCACCGCATTGAGCAAGGAGACGTTTGATCTCAGCGACAATTGGTGCAGCCTCGAGTTGTTTGAAGTTCGGGTTTCCGTTGTAGTAGACAGTGACGATGAGTTGTCCTTCGAAGTCGCTAACGTGACTTGGGTTGTAACCTTGATCTGCAGCAACAGCTCTTGGGGCCATGGGGAAGATACGAGTGTGAGGAATCAACTTGGCAGCAACGTCCCATGCCTTCTTCGTATCACGAACGTCCGAGAAGGCGACGGTGAAGAGGCCACCACCAACAACTTGAGCAGCATTGATGGTCTTGAGCGAAGGGAAGTCCTGGAGCTAGCAAGAGTCAGTGTCAGGGACATTGAAGTCGTGAGTGGAAAAGGTACCTTGAAGGCTTCGGCAATGCGACGAGAGCGGAAGTCCGCAGGGACGCCAATGACTGCAAAAGCACGGACGGCATTTTCATCGGTGCTGAAGACTCCTTCTGTGAAGTGCACATCGTTGATGTATTTGCCACTGGCATTCATCATGAAATCCATGTGACTGATGTTCCATACTCCCAAACGATCGAGGTACACCTCGATGTCAGTGTCAAGCGTACCACCAATTGGTTTGATGTAGGACCGGGGATCACGAGCCTGCAAGACAGGAGCCTGCATGTCAGCCAAGGACTTCGGTTTGGAGTCTGGAATGCTGTCCTGAAGTAGGGATCTTACTCCAGGATTGTTTGCGTTGGGAACAATGTTCTTTGATGGGTAGTAATCCAGTCCGACAACCTTTGTGCCATGCGAGGGAGCAAAGGCATGAGTGCGGTTGGCGCGAGGTGGAGCAGCACGAGGAGTGAACTTGGGTTTGAAGACCTGGGCAGTTGGCGACAGTTGAGGAACATTGCCAGAAGTTGGCGCGGTCAAAAAGACATCATCACCCAAGGAACTATATCAAGTCAGTTGTCGGAAAGACGTTCAAGATTGTGGATGTTTTGCATACCCAGCAGGTTTGGTGACAATGGTACGCTTGACTGGTCCATGCTTGGCGGCGTCACGAGCTTTGTCCCAGTGATTGTGGTAGATGACATCTTCATCCTCAACGGTTGGCTTTCTGTAGCACTTGGATCCAGTTGCAGGAGTGAAGGAGGTAGTGTTGGTGGAAGGGGTTCCGTGAAAGGTAGTGTCGTGTTCTGAGTGAGGGCTGGAAGCCGTAGCGGAGCCACGACGAGGAGACATGATGTCTGTCCCTGGCCAAAGTGTTAGTCGACTGTTTGATCTCTCAAAATGGTACGGTATCAAGATGAGAATGGGAAGTTTCTGAGAAAGTGTTTTCCAGCAGATGGATATGCTAGTGAAGAAAGACGAGGTGAGGATGAAACCCCAGCTCGCATCAGAATCATGAAGGCGATGAGACACTGTCAAAGGCATTTGAGGGAGATGGGCAGAAGGGAAATGATGGGCATTGAGGCAGGCAACTCACTTCCCATGGGAGAGACGAGCTACAACAACCCTCGAGTCAAGGAAGTTGAACTTACCAGAGTTGATGATGAGGAGCTGATGCTCAGAAAGGAATGTAGAGATGGTAGGGAGTAAGGATGAAGGTGATTGAGATGGATAAAGAGAGACCAAGGTGGTTGTGGGATGGAGGGGGAGAGTGGTAAAGATGGTGAAAAAGTGAGAAGAGTTGAGAAGTGGGAGGGGTTTCTTGTAGGAGGAAGGAGCACAACAACACGGCAGAAAAACTCCGTTTCCCAGCCGCTTCACGGTCCAAGATGGCTTAGACTGCTTCAAATGCTTCAAACGACGAAGAAAAGGTCGTCGAGGGCTGTCGCCGAGACGATATGGTCAAGGAAAGTGAGAGACCAAGACGATGCTCGGCGTCCGCGCTCATGTCAGGACAGCCCACCTTCCTCCGTATGACGGGCTTTGCGACGAGCCATCCTCACACAAACACATACAGACTTTCCATCTGCGACGACCGTCTTTCATGTCGCGACAGGCCAGCACTTTTCCTCTTCAGCCCGAAGCCTCTCATCAACAAGCTCACAAGGCCCCTCATCTTGTAGCATGGTCAACGACATCACGGAAACCCACGGAATCCCAGTCAGGAACTCCAGCATCCAGCCAATCAACAACTGGTCTTAGAACATGTCTGGTTGTACACTCATTCGAGAAGGCCAGACAGTCTGCTTGCAAGCATATCAATGCCCTGAGCAAGACTCAACTTGAAAGGGGCAGATGGCTGTGCCAAATTGGTAGGTTCACCGAGGTTCTCGAAACTAGCTCTGTATGAACACATGCTTCGGCATAGCCTTCAGTCACACATGCAGGCTTCAGTACAGGCTTCAGTGCAGTCTCTTGTTGTGTATTCTTTCTTGCTGTTTTCCAAGTCTCACCTGTCTGGATGCATGTCCTCCTCTTGCTGGATATCAAACGAAGGCACGACAAGCACTCCCGCCCACTGCAAGTCGACAGCATGTCTCTGCAGGGTTCAATTTATTTAATATATACAAGGCGCTTTGGACAACGCCCCTCCCTCTCCCCTTGTGCTCTTCCTCTCCGAGCGGGGGAGAGGCGTGTCCTGACGACAAGTGAAGGTGGTCCAAACAAACAACAGACGAAGTTCAAGATCGACAACGAGCTTCAATCCCCCTTGGCAGCCCGCTAGCCATAAAGCGTTAGCGTGCTTTTGACACAATAGGCACCCTTGTCTTGTCAGATCAGGAGGGCGGACAATATCCTTCCATTTATCAAGGTGCAGAATCAGAATCAGAATCATAATATCGGCTTATTTGCCTTATTGTTGGTTATTTGCAGACATGTCTCTTGGTCTCCTTGACTGTATCCTACGGCTTTCCTGATTGTCCCACGCGTCTTTTTCATTCCATGCAGCTTGAATCGTCAGGATTACAGTCGATCAATCTTGATATCCAGACCAATAGGCGGCGAGCCCAGATTGCAGGCATGCCTTCAGTGACACGATATGGCAATGACACGAGTAGTGTGCTACAACAGGTGAACCACGACCGGTCATATTGACTGTTGAACTCCGAGAGCTGACCGAGGCTTTAAGATTGTCACTTCATCATCAGAAACGGATACGTTAGACCAGCTGATTCCATACATCAGAGACTACAGCTATGGCAACAAGACCTCACATCTCCTTAGCCAGCTGTCCGATGTCGCTGCCGAACGAGAAGCTGAAATCGAACGCCAATGTAATGCCAATCATCAGGAATTCGCAAAGTCGGTTAAACAGCTGCTCCGAATTCGCGAAGGCACCGTGACTTTGACAAACGAAACTCTTGAATTGAACCGGTCCATCCAGGCCAGCACCGAGGAGCTCGTTGAGCAGAAGAAAGCCTTGGTCGAATGCCGCGGTGTCAGGCAAAACATTGACGACGCCAGCCATGCCTTGCAAGATTGTTTGGAGGTGCTTCGGCTCGCCAATCAAGTCCAAGAACTTCGTGATCAGAAGAGACACTATGCAGCATTACGGGCGTTAGACGAATTGCAAACTGTCCACCTACAGAGCGTCACTCAATACAAATTGAGTGAGTTGATTCAAAAATCGGTGCCTGCTATTCAAAAATCCATTGCCGAAGCTGTCATGGCTGACCTCAACACCTGGCTGTTTCGAGTCCGCGAAATGTCACAATACCTTGGTGAACTCTCCTTCTACAATACCGACCTGCGCCAGCAACGGCTCAAAGAGCGAGCCGAGAAGAACCCCTACCTCGCCAACTTCAAGCTGAACTCCGCCATCGAATTGGTCGCAGACGAGCACGAAGAGTACGACCTCCTCAAGTCTGAGGATCTCGAAGTCGACTTCACGCCGTTGTTCGAGGCTCTGCACATCCACCGCTCACTTGGCCGGATGGATAAATTCAAAGCAGACTATGCCATGAGCCGCCGAGCCCAGCGCGACCTTCTGCTCCAAAACACGATCTCCCTAGTCGACGAAGAACTCGGCGACCTGCACAGCCTCCTCGAAGACATTGCAGGCTTCGCCATCATGGAGCGCGCGACTATGAAAAAAGTACCGGACCTGCGCTCCAACGCCGACGTGGAAGAACTCTGGGACTCACTCTGTCAAAAGGGCATCTCGGTCATGTCCAAGGCCCTCTCTGCCGTCGACAACGCCGAACACCTCCTCAAAATCAAGAACCTCATCTCTCTCTTCATCCAAACAATGAACACCTTCAACTTCAACACCTCGGCTGTGTCCAACTTCGTCCTGATCCTCTTCGACAAATACTCCGAACTTCTCAAGCAGCGCTTCAGCGAGGACTTTATCGAGATCGTGGGCACAGACGATTACATGCCCATGCCGATCCAGAACGCCGAGGAATTCGAAAAGGTGGTCAACGTATCCTGGTACACGCCCGACCGGCCCGTCCACGAAATGACTTTCCCCACCGTCTTCCCATTCTCGCAGATGTACCCGCTCTGCTGCATCGACATCCGCAATTTCCTGAACCAGTTCTACTTCTTCAGTTCTCAAGACGAATCGACGTCCCCGCTCTCCGCCCGGATCGACGCCCAACTACTCACCTCCCTCGACGACCTGCTCTGCTCCAAGGTCTGCGCAAGTCTCGTCTCGAAACTCTCGTCCCAATACCTGGGCCAGATCGTGCAGATCCTCATCAATCTGTCCCACTTCACGACGGCATGCCACGAACTCGAAACGCTCCTTGCCTCTGCGCGCGCATCGACCCTGAGCCCCGGCCTCGCCATCTCCCTCCGCGCCACGGCCCAATTCTCGCAGCACCAAAAGACGGCCGAGAACCGCATCTTCGAGCTCGTCAACAGTAAAGTGTCCGACCTCATCGAAACAGCCGAGTACGACTGGTTGAGCCGGCAACCGCCCACGGAGCCGTCGAACTACATCCTTACACTGACCCGCTACCTCGCGAACATCATCAACTCGGTATTGCTGTCCCTGCCTTCGTCGCTCAAGGACCTGATGCTCTTCAACGCGATTTCCCACACCGCATCCTCGATCCTTTCTTTGCCACTCTCCCCGAGTGTCGAACGTATCACAACGACCGCCATCGCCCAATTGTCCATGGACATTGGCCATTTCCGGAGCTACGTCGAGACACTCCCAAACAATTCCATCTTGCTCGAGAGTCTCGATGAACTCATCCAGACCGTCGCGCTGATGTCGACGGACCAGCCTGACGAATTCTACGATATTTCGCTGCGCAACAAGAAATACCGCAACGTCGACCCACTCAAGGGACCGCAATTGCTCGAGAAAGTGGTGCACGTCAACGTACAGAGCCCGACTGTTGGCAGTGGACCCGATCGCGGGAGCGGCGCCGGTACCCCGGGCGGCAGACAGAGTCCAGCCACCGGCCACCAGGGCAGTATGAGGAGCAATGCTACGTTCGCAGCGTTGCAGAATAGGTTCATGCACAGTGGAAGATAAGATTTTCATTTGGGTGACGGAGCCTGATATGGGCGGGGGATGGAAGAGTGCCGCGCTCCTTGAACGGCAAAACAGATCAACCCATGCGTAGCTGGTATGGAAGAGGACAAAGCAGCAGGTGTTGCTGCATATATCCGGCTATGAGAGCCAAGAGTCGGTTTCTGGAACTTTGGTCAAGGGCAAACTGCACACGAGAAGACTTGACCAGTTGTTACTGTACATCCATGCTTGTAAAGCATAGGAGCCAACCTCTATCGCGGCAGCCGATGTGTCGAGCGAGAGCGGGATTATAGCGGCACGTATAACATGAAGCAATGGCTAACTTAGTGCTGATTACTCCGTACTTCCCACCCCTTTTCATATATCTGTACAAGCGATAAATTTGTCCCAAAGATAGGTGGATGGTCTGTTCAATCAAGTCGGAGAGTACTGATACTCTACCAGAAGTGAAAAAGGTCTGATTCCTCACGCTCGTCTAATTGCGTTAGGGCTGGCTGGCTGGTTCGGCCGGGTGATAGCTTGTACTACTGTTCTTCAAATAATACAGTGTGGAAGATAGACCAAATAATGTGTTGCTGGTGGGGATAAAACCAAGGCAATTTCATGTTGCGGTAGTCCAGTCATCGGGAAGAACTCCTTCCTGCTGTGCTGCGTCTTGTGCTGTCAGCTCACTTTCACTGCAACTCTCCAGCCAGTCGCTGACTCTCTGGCGGCTTTCGTCTCTGGGTAACCCATACAACATCCTCTGCGTCTCTTCGTGCGCCTCCTGCTTCTGCTTTCGCGAAGGTACCTTCCGCTTCCGTTTTCGCATAGTCACCTCCTGCTTTGGTTGTGTGGACGCCTGCTCCTAACCGGGTCCATACCCTGGCTCGTTGACTTGCTCATTCCGTCCTGCGGTCCCGGGCCTTGGCCCGCCATAGCCTTGACTCTGAGGTCTCTGTCCTGGAAGATTCGAATACATCTGCAGTGGAAGAGTCAGTCATCGATCTACCTCGATTCAATCATGACTCCCAGAAGCTCGGTGGGTCGAGGATAGAGACCACCCTACATTATGGAACAAAGCATGACGGACATCAGCCTACCTGTTGGGCTCCTCCACCAAATTGTCCCTGTGTGTAAGGGTTGTACATGTCGCCTCCACCGAACATCTGAGGGGGCTGGCCGTAACCTTGATTGGGGTCTTGTTGTGCATCACCACCCATATGTGCGGGATACATCTGTGGCCTTCCGTATTGTTGGTCCGGGGGTCCCATTGCACCATGTTGTGGCATGCCATAGTCTGGAGGGGCCATTTGCTGTTGGGGTTGCTGCTGTGGAACTGGAGCCGCAGCACCTTGGCCGCTGGTGGTGGGCCGTTTCGAACCACCGTGACCAGCGCTGTCTTCTCGCGGGACAATATCGATGAGGAAGTCGAACATGTCGCTCTTCGCCAAGGCGGCTGCAATGTCACTTCGCTGTAGTGTCCTTCTCTTGTTGTCTTCGGCATGAATCCAGGCTCGCATGGTCAATTCTGTGATGAAGATGTCGCATCCTTTCGCGAAGAGAATGGGCGCTTCAGCTGATATCATCTTAACTTCTGGATCTGCTTTCATGACCTTCTTGATCCTTGCGAGCGGAAGCTGATGTATCTTGAAGTCGTGAGTGTCGGTTTCGAGATGGTTGATGGTCTGCTGCCAATAGGTGGCTAGGATCTCGCGTGATGGACCGGTGAGACCTTGGTTGATCTGAAGAGAATGTGAGAAACGAGTTTCAAGGGAGACACGGTACAGAACACTTACATTTGACCACAGCCCTGAGTATAACTCCGTGTGAGGAACATATCCTTGGGCAGATAACTATAGTCCTTCGTCAGCTAGTTCCAAACGCGATGCGCGACGAGTTCACGTCGAAGTCTCGGCTACGAACGCATGTCCGTCGCATCCAGGTACGAGGTGCGCGTTCTCACCAACACGACGACGGAAACCTTCGGCAAATGAAATCGGTATAACTCACAGCAGCGCTTGCTCCATAGTGCCCTCCTTGGCTGATGTCGTATATTGGAGGACCAGTGTTCTTCTGGTTTTGCTCCATGGCTGAGGTGGTCACCGTGGAACGTCGGGAGAAAATCGGGTCGCGACAGCGACAGAGGCACCGGACAGCAAGTAGCCAAGCGAGACGGAGGTATGGGCGATGTGAAGACTGAGATGGCGATTAAGAATCGGATCGCGGTGAATAAGTAGCAGACAACAAGAGGCTGGGAGCTGGCTGTCGCAGTTGCGCCTTTGGCTGCGTAGGCTCCGATCGACTATGCGCCGACTCGATACGCAAAGGCAAGAGCGATCAGAATCGTCTGAAATCAGGGAATAGAGCACGAGATGCTAAACAAGGTGATCTTGGAAATGTCGGTGAAGATTGTGGGATGACGGAGATGAAGAAGCCTGCGACCTCGAGATAGTGAGAGGTGAAGGCGGGGATGGCACACACAGGCTTTTACAGAAGCAACCTTGCGCATCAAGTCCGAGCGTACCAAGTTCTACAGCATGACGACTACGATTCTTGATGTCCAAAAATGTCTCTTGCAGCCACCCTCCTCCGTACTTCACGAGGCAATCTTGATGTGATGGCTTCCATCTCTAAACAAACATGAAGCTCATGGCCAATGAGAGGTGGTGAACATGATGGCCACCATTAGGAACGCGCCCCGTCTTGGGCCTATGAGCATGCATCACTCTCCGCCTCACTTCAAAAGGACCGTATATATAGACATGATCGTGCGAGAAAAACCGGCCAGGCCGTTTGCCTCCACATGAAATCCCACACAGGCGGAACAACACGGCCTGATATTCAGACTTTTAGAATGTGCCCGAGAAGCTTTTAATACTTCATCTGTATATCGAGCTTCTCACCTATGCTTTTCGAGCCGTGCCTGAATATCACTGTCAAAGAGCAAATCGTGATGTCAATTATGTAGGTCATTCAGCCCTACAGCTTGCAGAAAGCTGGATGTTGCTTCATGTCAGAAGGCTAGACGGTCCAAAACGGGAGTGGGAAACCTGAAAAGGCTCGCCTCACAGGTCGGGCATCAATGTGTTGGCATGCAAGGGACTCCAATCATATCTGACCTCTGCTTGAAGGCCATGCTCGCGAATGCATCAGGCCACTCGCTCCGATGGCCAGCTGGACAACGTGCGGGATGAGAAGCTCTCGGTCTCTGCTGCAGGCTGGGGCGCAAAGATCCATCTCGTCCCACGAAAGCGAAGTGAAGCTAAGTTGGCGAGAAGAAGCATGGGCGTGCATGGGTCGGCCTTGAGGCCTCGGCTGCAGACACCATTCTCTGCGGCTTGTCAAGCTCTGATGTCAAAGTGAATTTCTATGCTCGCGTCTTCGGTGCTAAGATTCTCAGCGAGACTACTCCCAACAACACCGGAACAGTGGAATCAGGCAGGAGTTGAGAAAAGTCCACACGACAGAAACAGGTTTGATGCTGAGTTGCTTACCTAGCCTTGCTAGCGAGCCTAGGTAGGAAAATCTCCAGCACAAGGCTTACGTCACGTGCAGACGGCTGAATCTCACTCTTCGGCGAAGTTTCCCTCTGTGGAATCCTCGGGCTGCCGTGGATTTTTTGGTTTTTGTGTTTCCAGAGACAAATTCTTGAGTGACCACAGTCTAATACGCAGCGCGCCATCATGCGAATCTGCCCGGTTAAGTCTGACAATGTTGGACGACATCGAGATAGATCGGCTTTTGACAGAGGCTGAACAGCGCTTAAAGACGAAAGCTGCTGCTCAGGGCTCTGCCATAGCGGGCACGGATGAGATCAGTCTCAACGGCGAGATCAAGAAGGCCACGTCGAGAAAAGGGTATGCAGTGCGTCCTGCTGTATCTCGATATGCGGCTAACTTTTTCTCAGGCTACCGAAACTCCGCCATGCCCTGAACCAGACAGCGTATATCAAAGATCACAGTGGCGTTGCTCAGACAAATCCTCAAGCCACTGTATCAAGGGATCAAAATATGCTGGCTAACGGGTTGCGGGCGGTAGGAGTTGCCGACAAGCCAAAGAAAATCGTGAGTGTCCCCTTCCACCCCATCCACTATCCGACGACATGAGGAAATTTTATCCCAATTTCTTCTTGACGCAGATCAGCAGTCCATTTTGGCCTGCCCTGCCGCCATGAGAGCACTTTTATTCATAGTTACTCTGATCATATCGTCCAGTCGCCCTTCCTGTAACAATGTGAAGTTGCCATCCAGTACTGACTGCCACAGAATGATCAGGCCTCTACCGGACCGGACTGGTTCGACCTACCGAAGACTACCTTGACTCCTCAACTGAAGCGCGATCTTCAACTCATTGAGATGCGATCAGTCCTCGATCCTCACAGGCATTACAAGAAGAACAATCGCAGGGGCAAGATTCCCACATTCTCGCAAACAGGCACGGTCATTGAAGGACCCACAGAGTTCTTCAGCGCCAGGATAAACAAGAAAGATCGTTCCAACAACTTTGTGGAGGAGGCGATGGCTACAGAAAGAGAGACCGGACGTTTCAAGCGGAAATACGCTGAGATTCAAGAGGCGAAGACCAGCGGCAAGAAAGCCCATTACAAGCGGCTTATGTCAAAGAGAAAGAAGAAGCCCTGATTGCAAAAGGCCATACTGCGTCCAGGTATATCATGGACTTCGAGTAGCGGCTCTGTTGCTACTCAAGGGTCCCTCGAGTGGTTGCTTAGCCTTTCCGGCATCGAGGGCGAACAGCACGCGATCATCATGCTGTCAGGGGCCTATTCTTCTCGGATCTCGATAGGGATCCTTGTCTGCCTCCATCGGCTGCTGCTTCGGTGCCGCTGGGCAATCCGAGGTTGCAAATGAATTCTGAGGCGGATTCTGCTGACAGAACACCTTCAAACCATATGGCCCACGTTCTCGCGTTGAGGATGATTGGGGCCTGATCAGCCCTGTGTATCCCGTACATGTCGAGATGACAGAGGATGACAGAGGAATCCGGAAGACGTGGGAGCCGGAATGAATTATCTCGAGTGCTCAGAACGCTGCTATAAGTTCAGGAGGAAGCCGAAGCCTGCAGCAAGTTCACTCCACGAACAGTTGCAGGGCTATCACTCGTCGGATAGATCTAACTTTGTGAATTGTGAGTAGCACGATACGTCTGAATAGAATAAGGGGTTAGGGGGACTGGGAATCCGACAAGACCAAGATTGCACCTGCTTAACACTTCATCCTCTTGGCCCGTTCAAAATTGCCATCACATTATTTTTCCAACAAGTTCTGTTGGCGTCGCTAATCTCACGCTTGATTGCATCTCCTTTCCACATGTTGTTCCTAGCACGCGCACTTTCCTGACGACGTGCCCGTGTTGATCGAGATGGTATGACGATAGTCTGAGGTGCGAAATGAGTAGAGGCTATTGACCCCACGGGAACTTCCCAGATTCCTGCATTACGGGCCTTTTAGTGGCATGCGACCATCAACCGACAATCTCTGCATTTCGTCTAAAAGACCAAGTATGAATCCCGTCATTACCACTGCAAATCACGGAATACAGCCGAGACCAGGGGAGAATTACATGAAACCCCGTGTGTCAGTACTCCTGGTCGGACGAGGTCGCTGGAGAGCCCTTTGTTCATAGGAGGATAAGACTGACGTTTAAGCGACCATATAGGGGACATGGTACACAGCGCTTCACCGCAAACGTATGATGGATCGGCTCCAACTCTTCAGATGTCCTGCAAAGTTGGCTGAATCGCTACGAGTACGAATCCACTGCCGCTGGCGATGGAGACCATGCCAGGTTTTCAGGTCACCAACCTGGTGGGAACAATAAGAAACGCCATGTGAGACATGACATCTCATACATTACCACCGCCGTGGAGAGCATTATTAAAGAAGCGAGAGGATCCCTCCAGCAACTCTGGCTTTGGAAATCTCGTGTTCCCTGCCACCTACTGCCACCACAGCCCAAAGAGGTGCAGCAAGCTTTGCGTCGCAGCGAAAAGGCTCAGCGGCGGGCCTAAGGAACCTCCGCCAGTTTCCGCATCGTCCACGATCGTCCTCTCCCTACCGCCAGCAGTCCAAGCCAGTCGCCTACAAGCCAATCGTATCAGCGGCTACTCCAAGCCGACCAGATTGGCCGGTATCAGGCCTGCGCCGCAACTCCGCCCCCATTTGCAGGATATGTTTAGCTGCCGCCACTTAGCACGCCCCAAAGCTGCTACTAAACTGCTTCGAGTCTCAGCCTGGCCACGAACCGGGTCAAGTTGGCTATAATCCAAGGTCTCCTCATCCCACTCAGGCCCAACCACCGACAAAAAGACAACGACGACCTGCTTACCACTGCTCCATCATATCTCCTGGTATCGACTCTTTCCCTCTCTTGTTTGCAATCCTAATCCAAGGATCGTGCTCAGCTGGCATTCATGCGCAATGCATCCGGGAGGTGAGACCTCGCTACGAACCAAAACATTTGTCTGTGGATCGCTTTTGATTGGAGAAGTGTCTGAAGCTTCCGCAACCTGTACCACCAAATAATCGCCCTCGACATGACTTCAATTTTGCGTCTGGGAAGTAAGGACCGTTCTCCTTTTCTATTCAAACGACACGGATCTGCCAACACAGGGGAAAGTACATCCGATCTCCTAGCTCACCGATTACCCGACATATCACGGGTTGATACGCGGTCGTTACTAGGTCTTTTTGATGAGTTTGGCAAGTTCGAGCATCTCGACGCTTTACCTAGACTCCAACCAGGTCAACAGGTGTCGATAGCTCCCAACCCCGAGATTCGCGTACCGACCGTGGGTGCAAATCGACCCACAGACGAAGCAAAGCCTTTAAGACATCAGCCCCAGCAGCATAAGGTCGATCTTATCAGAAATGAATCAACATCCTCATCATGTTATTCTCACCCAAGTCAAAGGGAGAGCGACTACTCGCCTCTGGTTACCAGGCAGTCGTCAAGCTCGAGCTATGCACAGGAGTCACCTTTCGGCTCATCAGCAACACCGCCACCAGAGGTAAAACCGTCGAAGACCCCAAGCCAATCTTCTAGATCGCGTTCGATATACTTGATAGATGGCTGCTCACAAACGCAAAGATTCAACTCGAATACGACTTCTTCATCGGTAGCCATTGTGTCGCAGCCACCGAATCTGGATAAACCGCTCCCTCCAGGCCCGTCCGCATCCCAAAAGGCATCCTTATCGGTACCTGATCTGTTACTGCGGCAACTCCCTGCAGAGCTACCATCTAATGAACCGCCGGGTCGCCTGAACAGGATGCAACGGCTATCATCAGGAACAAGAAGCGCCTCTGCTAGGCGAGCGTCTGATGGGCAAACCGTGTCCGAGCTCCCATCCTGGAGGTCCAGATCTGTGCAAGAAGCTCGCCCAGGGAACTTGAAGGTTCGGAGGACCGATCCCCCGCTTTCTGAGGCATATGGCCAGCAACATGCTGCTTCCGAAGTCGAAAAGCACCGCCGCCATACCGCCGACATCCTGACATCGATAGGCCAAGTGCAGCCTAAGTCGAGGCCAAACAAACAGCGCCGAAATAAATTGTTCAAGCCAATCACAGCTTCCACAGCCGAACAAGTAATTTACAAAATCATGTGTAACCTTCACAGCGTGGAAGATCTCCAGTCAACTGCAATGGTCAGCAAGGGTTTCTACCGTACTTTTCACCGCAATGAGTCCAACCTAGTGAGCCACCTTATTTTCAAGACATCACGGCCGGCATGGGAGTTTCGCCGGAGTGTTCTCGCTCTGAAAGGGTCCAACGATTTTGTTCTAAAGGCGTTCCGTCGGGATTCTAAGAACTTGAGCGCTCTCAAAGCTTTCATCTTGGCTCATTGCAGCTCAACTTGCAAACCGAGCCTGCTTGTTGGACTACTTGGTCAGAATGAAGACCGCGTTAAGCAGATCGACAATGCTCTATGGCGGATCTGGTCATACTGCACCCTCTTCGGAAACGCCGTTGGCCCGGCGAGTACTTCCCAGGCAGAGATTGACTGGCTGAATGGGAGCAGAGCAGCGAACAAGAATATGGGCGCAGGGTTTGCCATTGGCAATGGGAAGGGCCTTACTACCACGGAACTCGAGGATATGAACGGACTTTGGCAATGCTTGCAAACCCTTCTTTCGGGTTTCCAAGGACGTGAGTCAGAGGCCAAACACGCCCGGCGTGTTCGACAATTGGCATCTTCGGGAAACCACGACTGAATCTCAGCATCTCGGGGAGTGGGTGTGTTATCTGCTTACCCTTGGTCCACAGACAGTCCTGGCACTGTCATCGTGTTCATTCAATCAAGCGAAAATGTTAGGATTGACCAAATGGCCAGCTCCGCTTGCAGGCCAGAGTCGGTCCTCATTCTTGACAAATGCCATCGCTCAAGTGTACCAAGAAAGGCTCTTAGAGGACGCTACACTAAGAGCCGCCCAGTTTTCTCTCCCTCGTGTACCCGGCCGGCAACATCCACATGTCCGCAAGCCAAGCCATCGGCCCACCAGATCTTTTGATGAACGGCAGCTGGCTTCTACGCCCATGCGCGCAACCCTAAACCAGACGCAGTCTCTGCGCATCGATACGACACTACCTAGAAGGAGACCGGTCTCTATGGTCGCACATTCGGATGTTCGGCTCGAGATACGGCCAGATTGTGATCCCGCCAACACTCAGCCTAGTCAGACTCCGCAAATGTTTCCAGCTACTCCAACAGCTGACCCGACTGCGTTTTATGCCCTTGGAATGACACCGACAGCGAGCGCAAAACTTGGAGCCACGCTGTTCCCGATGGAATACGCGAGCCCGGCACCACGAGTGCCATTCCGAGCTGTTGGGCAACCCGCAGCTCCGACTCCCGGCGTCGTAGACCCCGTGGACAGAGCTATGACAGTTTTGGTGCGCGAATTGGGCTTCAACGAAGTTCGGGCTGGGAAAGCTCTCGCTATGTGTGATACAGGATCTGGTATTGACCTGGAGAAAGCTATCGAGATACTGACAGTGGATGCTAAGGACTCTAAGGATGAGGTTACTTCGCCGGTGGAGCTGCCTACACCATCAATCATGTCTAGTCCTTCTAGCTCAAAGAAACAGCCCAAAGGCTTTTGTGATGGGCATTGCTCTCGATCTTCTACGGTCGCGCACTCGCGGAAGCCATCCACAGGGACCGTCACTGATGCATCAATCAGCCCAATCTCACTATACGATGAGGCTGAATGGCAGGACACAATCTCGCCGCTTGTAAAGCCGGCAAATTCAACGACGCGATCGAAAACCATATTAAAGCGTGGTCCGAGCAAAGGTGCGAAAGCCTGGAAGGTTCTGGGCATGGACAGTGGACCAAAGCGCAATAATAGCGTTCTTGGAATCGAAGAGTACCAAGCGAAGGTCGAGCGCAGGAAGAGTATGCGCGCTGCCGGTGGCGGTCAAGATCCAAGCGTTAAGGAAGGCTTAAGCAAGAATCTTCTCGGCTTGGGACTGGGGTTTGGGAGCGGAGCTGGAGCAAAGTCGGCAGAACAGCAGCTAGAGCGTGCTCGAGAGCAGGAGAGGCGCAAGAAGGAGAAGAGCCCGAAACTCATCCCCATGCCACGGTATGCATGATTTTCACAGTTTTTGACGACACGAGACGCACTCCCTCGGCATTTTACCAGGGGGAAGATTGTTGCATCTTTGGGAATTCATTGAGTTACTCTTCAGACGGCGTTGGGGGATTGGTCCCCCATATTCACATGCTATCGAATTACACCTGAACAACATGGCGAAACACATTGCAAGAAAACGAATTGCACATATATACACACACACTTTACACACATCGAAACATTTTCGCAAGGACATGACATACCGGTAGAGATACGAAAGAAACGACCAATACGACACTGCACATAGGATTTTGACATTTCAAGCACACGAATACAAGAACTTGGGGGAATTTGACGACGAAGCATCAACTTCACTTATGACATGTACACAGCCTGCCGCCGGTTGCAGGGAAGCACCGGCACATGGAGCATGCCAGCAGCAACGATACCCTAGCACAGTTCCTTCTAATCTTTCTGGCATTGAGGAGTTTACTGGGGGCGAAATGATAACTCGATGGCGTTTTCGAGCATGGTCAAATCTGAAGATAACAACTTTCCAACTCATTGGTTCTAGTCAAGCTTCATTTGTAGATTTCCCCAGATCTCAAAAAGCCACTGTTTGGTACAGTCGCACTGAGATTTTGTCTCTGCCTGATGAACAGCTTCGTCTATGTTGTGAACCACGAGCCGAATGTACTCTGTATATACATTCTAGCGACCACCGATTGGCACAAAATTCCGCCGGTCCTAGGGTTGCCAGCGTAGTTGACACCGACAGACGTGCAAGGAACGGACTGTAGACAGTGTATAGACGACGCTAGACGAGAGGCGCCTTTTTCTCTTCGCCCACCGGTGAGGATACTAGCATGAGGTTGCTTCAAAACGCATTTCGACTGACAGCTCCATTGTGCGCCGATCGTGTTTATTTCGTTGCTTCGCTCCCGCACCGAGGCAGAAGCCCGTAGACCGGAGACAGGTTAGGGGTGCTTTCTAGATGTCTCGCTATGCTCCGTTCTTCTGGTCACTCCTCTCTCGCGTCTAGGTCCCGTATGGAGTACATTCCCTTTTTGCCCTTCCAAAGCTTCGGTCCTGGTGGCGTTTCGACTCGAGTCGACTCGACTTTATCGTTTCACATCGTGAAAGGAAGCAGTGCGAGTGTACTACGTACATGCCCTGCCCTTGTTGCTTGCTTTGTGCAAATTGCCCAGAGAAGTGTAGAGCGAGGGGATAGGGTCATTGAGATTCTCCGGATCGGGCTCAACAGCAGGATGCGGTGAACAACGCTTGTCGGCCGGAAGGATGCATGGCATAGGCGATGCTTCGTCTTGCCGAGAGCATGGAAGCTCCGGCGTGTCGTCGGGACGGTATGACCGTCATATGTGGATGGGTATCAGCGCGAGAGGCTGCTCGCAGAACCGCCTGCTCTTACAGGAATGCTGGGCTTATGACCGGGCTTCCTCCTGGTTCGTGCTCGAGGGAAGTTCAGGTGTTCCAGCCTTTGAAAGGTCCATGCTCTTTCAATCCAGCGTCGCAAACAAACTTAGATATATGCCCCAGAAAAGACCGACGATGCTGGCGACGATGATCCTGTGATTCACAGGGACGAAGACAAAGTTCAGGAAGGCAACCATCGGCCATAGCTTCCAGCCGTTGATCATGAGAGGGATGGTGTCCTGTGGAAGCTTGTATTAGCCATCTCTGTCCTTTCTTTGTAATGTTCCTCTTTCTCGAGCGCAAGAGATCGGCCATACCCGTTCAACGTCCCTTCGTACAGCTTTCACATTCTTGCCCTTGAAAGCAGCCATGGCAGCTACGAAGGCGACCGTATTCACGAATGCGCAGAGGGTCTGGTCGAACAGCAGCTTATGCGCAGTGTTAGGTCGGTTGAGCACCTTTTCGGACGACGTCGGGCTGTATGTGTACGCCGGGAACCGGTCTTCGAGGAATTCCTGCCATAGCATGTTCGGCGGGCAGGAAATGATGGTGAAAATAACGAAGTGCAGGAGTGGCCGTATGGAGATGGTCAGTGGGCGCTGTGAGGAAGTTAGAGATGTCAATTTCTGGAGTGATACTCCGTATGTGTTATTGTGATGCGTGAAATGATTCGTGCAGAAGGGGAATTGAAGAAGCGCTTACATTCTCTCGATGGGCTTTGAGAAACTGCGCAAGAAGATTTGACACGGCGGAAAGAGCCGTCGCTTGTAGAGTGGTCATAACCATGTGCGAGGGCATGGTTTGTATTTCTGCTGAGGCGCTCCAGTGGAGCAGCTGGCTGAGAAGATGGAGATATCGAGGAACATGAGAGAATGAGAGAACGAGCACACCAGAACCGTCAAGCAACAACGGGGAAGAACATGGTCCTTTCGATTGTGTGACTCTCATCCACCCACAAGAAGCGGCAGGAAGTTAACGTAGTAGGGCCCTTTTGGTACTACTTGTCGGACATAGAGACGAGATTCGATGCACAGGATCTGCCTCGAGCACATGTCCGATATGCAAGTGTGGAGTTGGCAGCAATTTTGAAAGGATGGCGGCTGTGGGGAGACACGACGCTACGAGATTGACAGCGAGACACCGAGACAGTGAGCGCCAGGCTCATGCGGCCCGAAGATGGGGGCCACCTGAGGGGCCATCATGGGCTCACTAGGCCAAGAGTACGTACAGTATTATGGTCATAGCTCCCTGGGTGGCTTCTAGGTATTCTCTCCTACACTCCTACACTCCTACACGCAGCCTGATCTTGAGCAAGTCCTTTTGGAGGATCTCCTCTTTCTTCGCCAAAAGCTCGCCGACATCCCAATTGACGCTGATATACCGGTCCGCGAGCCTGGCTTCATTAGAAATCACAACCCTTGAACGCAGCAAGCTTAAGGGGCATCCTTACCATTCTCTGCGCTCTTTAGTCAACCACACCAATGAGTCTCCTGCCAGCTCAGGCTTGTCCGTCAAGACTCCATGCAGCTCCTTGGGCATGTTCTGCGCAAGCTTGGTCATGACACCTCCAGGATGGATGCCGTAGGCTAGCAGTCCCTGACTGCCATACTCGGCCATGAGGAAGTCATTAAGCCGAAGGACAGTGGTCTTGGTGCTCTGATACGCCGAAAATCCTGCCCTCGTGGTGACAGCGCCGATACTCGAGGTCACAATGACGGTTTTGTCCTTGCTTTTCAGCACCAACGGCAAGAAAGATCGCGTCACGAGATAGACACCTTTCACGTTGACCTCGTACACGTACCACCATTCGTCGGGATCTGATTCGACGAGGGGACGATTTTCTTCGAGATACCCGGCATTGTTGATCAAGATGTCGATGCTTCCGAGCGAAGACTCGACTTCCTTGGCGGCTTTTTCGACTTGAGCTCGATCCGTGGTGTCGACGGCCAGGCGTAGGACTTTTGGCGCGGAGCGGTTTGCTGCTTTGGCGGTCTCGAGAATCTCAGACTCGAGTGAAGCCAAGTCGGACCGTGCGAGGAGGACGATCCCTGAGGCTCCTGCTTTAGCGAAGGATAGTGCTGTCGCTCTGCCAATTCCTTTGCTGGCGCCGGTGATGAGCACGTTCTTCCCACTCAGGTCTGCCTTGAGAGGGTCAATCTCCGAGTATGTATCATGGCGAAGTGTCGACACGAAATTGACTCCTGCTCATGTAAGTCATGTATTCCATCTCGCCAATCACCGAGGCGTACCTGAAGTTGGATCCATGCTTCACTGAGTTCCCTTTGGAGTTTGCAACGAAAGCGAAAGAAATCGGCCTTGATCTATGATGGGCTTATTGGGGAATGTCTGTCAATCTCAACTTCGAAATGCAGGTACCTGGACTCGCCGGCTTAAGACCGTTATGCCCGATGACGTTTGCGGTGGCGTTCTGAGATTGCTAATGCGAAAACAGATTCTCAAAGGTATCTTGCAGATCGAGAGTCTTCAGATATGCTTGTGCGGATTGAAGTTTCGGCAGATATGTCTTTACGTCAGGAAGATCCACAGTTGAAGAGCTGTCATACCTCTTTCTCTTCACGACTACTCGAGTCTCTACTCGGTAATGGCTTGAATCGTACCGCAGCCACAGCAGCATTTGACGTTTTGACTGCCAACAATAGCTGGTGCCGGGTATGCGAGACGGTCGGAGTCGGACGTGCTGAGATAAGGGCGAGCTTAAAGAAACTGCATCTTTCACTCTTGCGCCTCGCCCTCTTACCATTGTTTACTCAGCAGAAGGTCGATATCGAGTCGTCCAAACGATTGCATTGGTGGTGCAGCTCATTCGACTTGCAGATGTCTCAGATTGGTGGTCGGCGCAGCTCTTGAAGACCAAACTCTTACGTGCGAGTTCCAGAACTCCACGCCCGCCAAGCCAGAGCCACAGCCTTGCTCTTGAAAGTTCAGCCTCGTCTAGCACGACGACGGTCCTCACATTCACCTTCGCTGGGAGCTACCCACACCCAGCTTACACAAAAACAGTTCGAGTCTCGCTGCCGGCAAAAAGAAATGCGCATTTTTTAATCCAACCAAAAAAACCATTGACCAAAATGACAAAAACTCTGGTCCTCCAGGCACTGTGGCGGCTGGACATAGAGAAAACCCCAGGTGAGGAAGGGTTTTTTTCCGAATTCGTCAGGTTACCTCCCGCATAGGACACTCGGTTGGAGGCCATGTTAGCTAAGGGACAACCTCTGAGTCACGCCTCAGCCCGAAGAACTGAGATCCAGAATGCCCCGTCATGGCGTTGTCAAGGCATCGTCTCTAGGATTCACGACTAAGCCCAAGGTAAGCTGCCCAATGTCAGGTGAACACCCTTACGCAGCAGATTCGTTGGTGATGAACGAACCTGCCACACGGGATAGCCACTGGGAATTGTTAGGAGAAATTCAGTTTTTCAAACATATAACCTTGAATTTCTGACTTTGGACTCTATCCTATTTTCTCATTGGTCAAGTAGAGGGTTGGACGCGGCTGGCGAGTGAATGATTGAGTCACCTGGTATGGAAGGCGGGAACGGCGAGATCACGAGGACCTGCCTCAATACTGCCACACTTCGACCAGCTTCAGAACACATTCACTACCTACCATAGGTACCTTTTCCCTGACCAACTGCACCAGGATAACTCCTCCCAGACCAGTCATCTTGATCAAGTCTACTAACCACAACCTTCGACATGTTCCAAGCCTTCAAGATGAGGCTTTCCCAAGGGCTCTTCCTTCTTGTTTCTACCGTATTCACGGGTCTTTTCGTCTTGCTCATGTGCATTGTTGTTTCTACGAGGTGGCTTCTTCCCTCCGTCCAAATTCCTGTTCTCGATTCATGGCGCTTCTATAAGATTCTTATGCACAAAAGCATGGAACAGTCTCACATCCTCATCCCTTCCAGTCATCCTCATATCCGTGTAGGAAGTGCTTCTTCTATGGTTGAGAATGGAATTGACATGAATGCAGTTTATCGGACGGTGGACATCAACGGCCAACCAATTAAGACGAGATGCTGCCTTTCCAGGTCAGTTCCTTGACTTTGTCCTGACCATGAATTGACACACATTTTAGGCTCATACTTGGAGCTGACCGTCACCGGTACTACCTCGATGTTTTTCTCCCTCAACAATGCAAAGCCTGTCCCCAAAATAGCCACAGAGAGTGTTGAAAATCAAGAGCCCCGCCACTCGAACCTACGGGCTGCCGGAAACCAAGGGAAGCTCTCTGACCAGGTCAGCTTGATGTTCGAGCTCAATGGCGAGAAAATCATGACCGCTGTCAGTGCTAGGGGCATCGGCCAGGTCGCGGATGATCTTGATCCTAGGAAGAAATACAAGCTCAGAGTGACACACATGGGCGGCCCTAATTCTACCGAAGGCGTCCTCGAATTCGATGGCATTTGGGTTGACAAGCCGACGGTAGAGGATGGTGAATTATCGCACGACGACGAACCATCCAGCCCTACCTACAAGACCACAGGAGGAGTCATCCTGGACCCAGCAGTCATTGACGAGCATGCCAAATCCGACATCAAAAGAGACAAGACCGGACCAGCTGAGAAGAGAAGAGTCGTTGAGATACTCACTTCCGAAACAGTAGTCTGCCCCATCTCGAAAGACGAGACAGGACCAACACTTGAGTGCAGAGTCGGTGTTTGGTACAACCAACTACGTGCCTCTCGCGCCGTGGACACTGTCACCATACCGACGATGGACCTGAGCCTGCTAGCCTCTAACGAGCCAGCGATCACCATCCAAGACCTCTTCTTCCGATCCGGACCGCCAGGCACAGACCATTTTCTTCGTCCATGGTCTTTCAAATCCTACACTCCTTCCGTCCTCGTTCTCCAGCTCGGCTTGACCGACTTTATGACATTCTTCTCGGAGAAGAAGAACCGGAACGACCACGCCCGCGAACAGTTCATCAACGACTTCGTCACGGCCTACGTCAAACTCATCCAGACGATCAGACGAACCGCCTACCCGTTCGACTCGACCGCCCTAACGTCAAACGTACGAATTGGTTTCGAACACGATGACACGTACATCCACAATTCGGCGCCATCGACGTTACCTATCTTCGTCATCTCTCCGTTCACTGCAGCACGACGCTTCATCACCAAGAAGACTCGCATGGATCGAGTTATCAACGACGCTCTTCAGCGTGTAGTGGGCATCCTCCAAGGTGACGGCGACAAGTCGACGTTTTGGATCGATACCACGGGCTGGCTGAAACATAAGGAAGATTTTGACGTGCACGGTGGCGACTGTCCTCTCAATCAGGGCAACCGATCGCATCAGTTGCTGAAACATTCTTCCGGTCGCAAAGTAGCGTCGTTGCTGTGGGGTCACATTTGTCCGTACGTTGAGCGCAACAATGGAGATGATGGCGGCGAAGCCAAAGAGTGTCCGTTTGAGCAATACGACAATTACTTGGGCAACGTTTACCTTCCTCAGAACGTTGAAGTGGATAGAGCAGTGCTGGAACGCAAGATTGCCACGATTAAGCAGAGATTCAAGATTGAGGGGCCTGGACTGGATTCGCAGTCAGCCGAAGCTGCGTGAGTAGCTTCATGCTTTGCATTGCTGTTCGTTGAACAATGAAGATGAGTATGAGACAGACTAGGTAAAGGGATCTGGTCAGAAAGGTCCAAGATGTCACACTTTTAGGTGGACATGCCTATTCGTGCAGCAAAAGCTGGAGCCTGTCAACTTGTATTCTCGAAGGCCTATGTGGGCAGGAAGTATGCCAAACACCAAAAAGACAGAATGTAAGGTAGGTAGCAGTATGAGCTTGAAAATGCATCAATGGACGTGATACCATAAATTGCGAGCAGATGACTAGGCTAGATTCGCTTCTCAGGTCCTGCTTGTCTGAAGTCGTATACTGGTGCTGGCATTTTGTCATTACTGCCCAAACAGCCATCCTGCGAGCTTTTCGTAAATGGATCCTTCCCAACGATTGTCTCGCCAGACACCGAACAAGTAGCAATCGTAACGGCCAGACGTTCTGTCTAGTCTTTCAATCCGCTCGCCCTCGTCCTCGACGCATCAGTCCCACTTCCATCCTCTCCTTCAAGCGTGATGATCTTCTTGCTTAACAGCAACCGGAGTTCCGGCGTGATGACCTTCTCCCTCTCGCTGTCCTTGTCAGTTTCCTTCCCACCTTTTTGCGGCTGTCGCCCCTGTGAGACCGGTCTTTGCACCTGCGCCTGACTCGCCGGACTTCTCGACGATCCCGCACTCGTGCCCGTTGCCTTAGCACCGTGTTGTATGTTCTGCTTGCCCTTGTCATCCTCGCCTTGCTTTCTCTGCCTGACCTCCCCTTGCGACTCACACGCATTTGGCGCGGGAAAGGCATTCCTCCGATCCACCGCCTCCACCGTCTTTTCGAACCTCTTGAACAGCGCCTCCGCCCTGACGAGCGTCTCCTGCAACTCAATCGTCCCACTCAACTCATTTATATACTTTAGCACCTCGTCGAAGTGTCGCAGATGGTCCATAATAACGTCGCGATGCTTCTCGAGTATCGCCATCGCGATGAACAGATGAAACTGAGAACTATAGTAATCAGTCCACAGGGACTCCCACAGTCTCAGGACATCGGTCCAGTCGAACTCGCGTTTATACCAGACCAACAGCATGCGGAAGAAGAAGAAAAAGTTCGTGCTGTCTGCACTCTGGAGGTGGAGATATAATTTTGGGTCAAGGATTTGGACCAATTGGTCGAGCGTGTTGAGTTGCGACCGCATGCCGGATTGGGAGCGGACAAAATTGCGCGACATGCGGCGCATGAAAGCGACAAACGCCCAGAATGCGAGCGCGTCGTCCTGGAATACAGCGTACAGGGGCGAGAGGAGATCCGACATGCCTTGGACATAGCCTAGGTTTTGCGGATGGGGATTCTGGGTTTGATAGACGCGCCTCAACGTTGGTGCGGCAGTTGACGAAGAAGATGGTTGCGCTGCGGGGATGGGGCCATTGGAAGGAGGAGTATCGTACTCGAGATACGTGAGCAGCATATCCTTGAGCTGCTCCATGTGCACATTCGTGCCGGGTCCGTTGGGGTTGTAGAAGGGCGAGGTCGGATCTGGATGAGGGATGTCTTCGCCCGCGAATAGCGGGATGTGGCGGTCGGTACGATGTACGTCTTTCTCTACATGGCGGGTTGCAAGGTCAGTGGGGACTGCGTTAGGAATACTCAATCAAATAATGCAGGGCCAAGGGTGGGCTTACCGATCCGGTTCTTCTGCTCTTTCCACCATTCCTCCTGCTCGGGCGTGGCTCCGCCGTCGATCATGCGGTCCCACCATGCGCCTTTAAGCTGGATGTACTCGTCCCGCTTACTATTCGCGTGCGCGTGTCGTTCGTCTTCGGTGCTGTCCCAGTCGTACACGCCGAGGAGGAACGGCCAAGCTTCTTTGCGTACACCGTCTTCGGGGTCTAGACCGCCGTGAAAGATACGTTCCTTGACCTCGTCGACTGTCACTTGGAGTTTGCCTTTGGAGTCGAAGAACGACGCCCACTCCTTCATGTCCACGGGCCGGCGTTTGCTGTCGGACAGAGTCATGCGGCCCGCTTCCATTTCTAGGATTTCGAAATCGCCAACGCTCGTCTCTTCAGACTCGAGAACGTCTCTGGCAGTCCAGATCCGTTGTCGTTTCTCCCTGTCGCTCTGCTCGGCAATGCTCGCTGCCCATTTAGCGAGGTAAAGCTTCGCACTGTCGAACTCATCCTGAAGCGTTTGTACTTCCGGATTTTGGAGCAGTCGTCGAAGTTGAGGTGGCAGATTCTTGTTATTAGCAAGATCTTCTGCGGTACGACGGGTAAAGGTCGTGACTTTGGACAACTGCTCCAGGATTTTCCACCTGGTTTCTTTCAGTGCTTTTGTAAGGGGATCCATTCCTGGTCCAGATGGTTGTTTCTTTTGTTCTGGCTTCTTCTGTTCTGACATACTCTTTCTCTTGTCTTGGTTTTCAACGGACTTGCGGCCTTGCCCGAACCCGAGACGATCTTCTTCCGATGGATCTATCAAGTAGATCGAGGGCTCTGCTGTGCTCCGTTCGACCGCCACGTATCTCTTCAACCACCGCAAGATCTCATCTCCACCCCAAAACAGATCACCAGTCTCACCGAAAGGGTCGAAAGATTCACGAGCTCTCTTCTTCTTTTGCAAAATCGTGCTCTCACATTCCGAGTCGTGGAAGAACAGGGCAGGTAAGCTTGACCCTGCACGAGTGTTGATGACTATGCTGCCGTACCACCAACCCAGACTAGGTGGTCGGACGTGAATTGAGTAGATACTGGAAAGTGGTAGAGAGAATGCGTAGGGCCCAACAGGAGATTCGTCGAATGTGGTTGCAAGAGGGAGAGGGGGGACCAAGTATGATTGTCGCGGAGGGGACTCGCCATCTTCCATGTCCACCTTGACATAGGTGCTCAGGTCGTCCTGCGAAAGGGCGGATTCTGGGACCCAAGCAAGGAGATATGATGAGGCATTGGCTCTTTTCTTGCTCGAGTCGGCCGAAGTTGGTCTTTCGTCGGAGGAGAGAGGGGAGGATTTCTGCTGGACAAGGGCAATGAAGCCGGGTATATTGTCTTTTGCCGAGGGTGTAGGATGGACATAGACCTTGCTCTTGGAAAACAGTAGTTTGACACCCTTTGAGTGGGAAGTATGTGCTATAGTATTGTATTCCCCTTCTTCGTCGTCCGAGACATCGTAGAAGGATGCAGAGGGAGAGGGAGGGGCGGGTTTTGAGGATGGTCCAGAAGTCATGGCTGTCGTTTTTGGTGGATGGGATTGAGGATGGTTTACATTGTCGTACTTAGCGATGCGGGACTGTAAGTGCGGCGTAATCTTGAGAAAGGGATGTTCTCTGATGTTATACATATGTTCATTGTGAGAGGAATTCCTGATGCTGATGCCTGGAACACGAGAACTAGAGTGACGTCGTCAAAGCGGGCGCAGCCACATGCCACTAAGTTACAGTGAACAGGGAGAGCACCACGAGGGGCAATAAACGGCCACCAGCCAGGGCCATACCCATCTGTAACTCCATACCACTTGCTCCCTTGGCTCCCCAAGGGCAGCACCTGTAAAATGAAATACTGGTTGCCTTGGGGCGTCCATGATTCTTATTGTTCAACTTTTGCTTATACATACGCAAGTCAATTCAAAATGCCTTCCCATAGAGCAGAGCTTTTCCAGTCCAATTCCAAGTCCCCAACACCGTGCTATCCATGTTCTGTCATCCGTAACAAGTCATGTCCTTCATGGCCCGAACTTGGGGCCCCCATCCATTTGAACCGTCCATGAACTGAAATCCAGCTGAGAAGCCAATGCCCCGTCTCGGCGAGGACCACCTGCTTCTTCTCGAGGCACGGGCGTCCTTCTTCCACCCGAAGTCCCTGGAACAACGCTGGTAATAGTACCCGAAGAAGCTGCTACCGCCTGTTTTTCGGCGGACTTGTTCATCACTCTTTCTCTCAACCTCTTGATCTGTTGTAATCTAGCCCGCCAACCACTGGGGAATTCCGAATCGAGGTCTTTTGTATTCCAGCACTGACAGAAATAACTTGCATTCAACGCCACACCTCGCACAAATCCAGCTAGTTGGGCCGCTGAGATGATTTTCGGGTCCGCTGCTGGTGATATATTTGGGAGGTCGTCTCTGGTGATCACCCGAACCAAGTAGAACCCAGGCATAAAATCTGGATCTGGTGTTTGTCTTGCTCGACAAGCAGGTCTAACAACAATATTGACATAGTTCAATTGAGACTTGAAGTTGTCGAAGCTCCACGGGATTCCGGACCGATTGAAGATGATGTTCACATGACAGTTCCCAACGTGTGCCTTTTTGGCGACACAGTAAGGGTCCTCCTCCAGGTCTGTCGGCATCATAGTTGGCACATGGTAGACTATCTCGTCCACACGATTCCGCCAAGCTATCGTGCTTTCTCCGTCGCGAGGGTATTCCAGACCTTGAGGATTATAATGCAGAGGTGGCCGCAGTGAAACAACGTAACCAAGGTCATTGAGTAATCTTCCATAGTCTCGAGAGCCACTCGTGTTCGCAAGGTACTCAGATTCAGTAGATTGGCCTTCTCCGACAAAAAGGATGCCAATCTTGTGGCTAGAGACTGTCGGAATGCGATCAAAGGACTCGAGGCCCCTCCGGACAAAGTCTTCCTCGGGTAACAGTATTGGCTGATCAGCGATGTTGGTGGTTGCGGCACTGGCAACCATTTGTAGGATAATATGCGAGGGTAACATTTCAGTCGTTGCCTCATGATGTCGAATCTCTGTCCGGCTGGGCGCATGGTGAGATGGCACCCGACTCGTCAATTGCTGATATCGTGCATATGTTGTACCTGAAGCCTGACGCTTGATGATCTGCGTCTTTCCAGTGTGCCCGGCGGTTTGGGCGCTGATCACACTCAAACCTACGATCCAAGATGCAGAAGATACCGGACCGTCTTCGGGACCCGCGAAATCTGCTTGCGGTGCAGTCTCTCCCAGATCAGAGAAAGCAGTTCTCTGCATCATGTCAATCAAAACCTGGCTTTGCTCGTCAATGGTTTCTTGACCCTGAGAGTTCTTCCAGATCAGTCTTGCCACAATCCACGAGACATATTTGGCTCTGATCTCGAGTCGCAGTGAGAGGAACCAGAAAATGATGACATGATAGGCAAGCGCAGCAGCATATTGAGGCAGACCAATATCCGTCAACATCGACGCTCGGTATGGCGGCCGACGGAAGTTCATCCCACTGTGCCTCGCCGTCAGATTCAGCCTGCCCGTAGGGGACGTGATGGACGACGAGTGTTGTTCACGTGTCTTCTCCAGAAATTGAATGCAAATGCCGAAAATTATTTGGATCTCATCTGTATTGAGATTTGAATGCATTTCAGGTAACAGTGCCATATGGATCAGGAACTCCAGGATATGCGCGGTAAGATGAGCCTGCGTCATGTTCTTCGACATTTTGTCGATGATGGTAGGGTACAGCGACGCTACAGACGATGGAATTTCGAGACTGCAGATCGACAAGGCATGAATGCACGGCCGCGGTGTACCTTCCCAAGCGCCGCCAATGCCAGAGAGAAAGGCCCGGACAAGGTCGTCTCCGAAACCCTTTTGTACAGCTTCATGTTTCATAGTGGCGTATGCAATCAAGGGGTTCAGGATATTGAAGAGGCACAACGCGACGTCTGACTTCTTGAGTCCAGTCGTGTGAGGCGCTTCTCGGAAGGTGTTGTTGACCATTTGCTCGCATAGCACTTGTCGAAGCTTGACAACAGCCTCCATGGAGTTGAGAAATAGCGCTATATTGCTCAACTGTGCTGCGAAATGTATGATGGTATAGCTGTAAGTCTCCCAGTCTGTGTCGGCTTGAAGACACCTGATGATGTTCATCAGCCAGGTATCCATATCAAGTTCGGCTTGGACTTCTGGGTGTGCAGAGACGTCGACATTGAGAGAGCTCGACGGGCGGTCAGTGAAGGGAAACGTGACATCTTCCGTGTCCGGGTATAACCACATGGGGTCGTGAACGTCTGACTTTGTAGACAAACTGGTACTGCTTGCCGAATGTCGCTGTGAGGCAGGAACCTCGTAATGAAAGACGTCTGCGGAATCCCGAGTGCGCAAGAGTGCGCTCGCGACGTACTCACTTTCACTAGCGCCGTTGATATAAATGAACCCAGCTTCATCCGCTCTGACACGAAAGAGAAGACGTTTGGCAACGAGCCGAGCCGAGCGGAATTTGCATGATGAACCGGCAATCTGCTGCAATACATCAAACCCTTCAACAGCAGCATTTGGGTTAAGATGAATGCTGTAACAGAATATCGTCGCGAGGATCCTGGTGGCTATGACGGCAAGCTCATCAGTACAGATGCTTCCTGAAGAGCCGGACAGGACGATGGTTTTGACTTTGTCGATAATACGCATAGTTGACGCTGGCACTTTAGCTGCTTCCTCATGGCTGCATGCCATGTCTTCCAAAGCAATCAACAACGCTGCAAGCACTTGGCCATCTCGCTCGACTCCTATTTGATCCAGCAATTTAGCAAGCATCCATGTATATACTTCATTAGCTTGATCAATAGACTGCGAGGCGGCTGACGAGATGTTGCTGGCCTGGACGAGTACTTGTATTCCGGTGATGCGAGACGCAGGCGCAATCTGTGGATCCTGCACCGCCCGCTCAAAGAGATCTTGGATGTGCTGCAATTTCTTTTCATGATCAGCTAGCCCCAAATATTTGTCCTCGGCAAACCTCAGTGCCCTGTGCATTTGCTCCGTGTCGGCGAAACGTGGATAGTCGAGGAAAAATTCGTTGATAGCGTCTTGGTTTGTAGGAGAAAGTTGCTCCCAAATCCAATAGAAGTCATGGGACAATCTCCTCATCATCGCTTCTCGATCTCGATAATGTCTGTCATATGATCGATCCTTGTCCTCATTGGGGCTGATGATTGGTGATTGGCCACTGGGACCTCCGGATGGTGTCATTTCCAAACACATAAGAACAATTTCCATGACTTTGCTGAAATCGAGGGCTTCTATGTCTATTGGCCTGTGTGGGCCAAGGACAGCATGCAAGGAGCCGAGTATGTCATGGCAGAAACGAAAGATACCTTGGCTGGCTGCGAAATGAAGTTGCTCGACAAATTCCTGTGGGTTGATGGCAAAATGACCGCTTTCTGATGGTTCATCGAGTAAATTTCGGAGGAGTCGTGATGCTCCCCTGGCGTGTGATAGATTCTTACTGTTGTTTTCTCGCGTGGGTACTCGGACAAAAGCGTAGAGAGTGCTGATGACTTCTCTGCTGAGGTGACCAGTCGCGAGGAGCCTAGTGCAGTCGAATAAGTGGTCAGGTGCTTCTTGCAAGTTGGCGGCAGAAGCACACAGCACCACCAGGCTTTGTTCGAGACCTGACTTTGGGAACTCAAAATGAGACGCAATGGCATACAGAACATTGATCCCGCTGTTGATGTCAGCGTGCCTGCTAGCATTCAGGCAAAGAGTAGTGATAGCATCAACAGTTTGCGCTAGTTCGAGCGGATCAAGGGAGCTGTGGCCGAGATTGAGATAATCATAGATATACCGAAGCAGCCAATCCAGGTTCTTTGACTCTTTGAGGGATGCCGACCGCGAGTTCTTGTTTTCTTTTCTTGCCTTGTCGGCTAGGCTTGACCACACTGGAAGCCATCGATTCAGAACCGACAGTAGCGAATGTGTGCCATCCCTAGGACTGACAAACTTGAGTGAGACATCTGTACCTGACTTGAAGTCACCGAAGTTAAGAAGCCAAGCCCGCGCATCTTCGGGAGAATGACTAAGTGAGTAGCCCTTCCCGAGCACAGGTTTCATGTCAAGCGGCGGCCCATCAGGGGGTACCTTCTCGATTTGTCTGTCCTGTTGAAAAGCATCGTCTGGACTGTGGGACTTCGGAGTCAACACTGGCATATGCCAAACGGACCTCCTCCTCCCCTCCCTGTCATTACCGGTATTGGCCGACCTTTCTCTTGGTGGATCCTTTTCAGTCGACATACGATACGACCGTCTCTCTGAGCGACTTGTAATCAGCATGTGCGACATAACATGGACTGAGCATGGCAGTCCTGGAAGGCTGACGCCCTGACAGTCCCAAGAGGAGGGGCTAGAGTGCGCAAGGATGCTAAACAGATATTATAGTTGCGATCCCATCAATGAAGAAGGAGCGCAAGGTCAGGCATTTGGTGCAAAAGATGTATGACGTCGAACCTGGTATGTGGATAAAGATTTAAAGCACAAGGCAGATGTATGCAGGAACAAGAATAGCGCAGCTCTTACCAAGACGGAGGTATTAATGAGAAGCAGAATGAGTAAGAGCCGACTGCAGAAAACTTTTACAACAAAGGACCTGAAACAGAATTTTCTGATTCTGTGGCATGAGAGCCCTGGTACCAGTGTATGTAGACCCTGGAAGCGGGATTGGAGCCACAAGGATATGTCCGCCGCTGGGTGAACCCTGTCCGGAGAGACCTGGCACTTTTGGGCGCAGATTGGTATCTAGGGGTTACATGCATCTGATGCAGAGGAGAGGATTTGACAAAACTAGCAGAAATGGCCTCGTCCAGTGGATGGAAAAGTGAGATGAGGAACTGTCGTTATCTGGGATCTGGACCCAAGTCGAAGTCGACCCGAAGCGCTAGGTAGTGAGAAAAGAATTAATCGCCAATTCCGCCACTGACAGGCACGTGATCGAAGCTTGGATGCCGCTGGTAGCCGCAGGCAACGGCGGAGCACAATACGCATGAAGTCTAAGATGGCGGAACATTACCCCGTATCGTGCAAGGCGGTGAAGGTCATGGAAATTATTCTGCCCCAGGCTTCGCCAGCCAAAGAAACAGGTAAACAATTCACCGTATAGAGTTATTGACCTTGTCTTGGAGCCGCGACTGCTCGGTGTCTAACTGATTGTGCAGACAGAGCGGAGGAAAGCATTAGAGAACCCAGAACACCAGAGGGCCACTCTGTTTCTTGTCCATTCTACGAATCCACCAATATATGATTGACGAGAGACTCACCCGAAATTATCAATTATGCGCATGCACTGAACACATCGCCACGCGGACGCAGAATTGAGGATTGCTGCCATTATGGCTAATCTAGCGCCTCTGGCACAATTGCTGGATGCCAGCCTTGATCCCCGACAAAATAAAGAAGGCAAGTAGGAGCCCTTGTTTTTGTGCCGCAGTCGATCTAACAAAATGTAGCCGAGCTCAAGATCCGCGCTGAAGAGAAAAAGCCTGGCTTTGCCCTTTCCCTCCTCCAGATCACGGCCTCAAGTGACTTCCAATACAACACCCGACTCGCCAGTGCTCTCTTTTTCAAGAACTTCATAAAGAGGAATTGGACCGACGTCGAGGGCAATTACAAACTCCCTCAGCAGGATGTCACTTCAATCAAAACCGAGATTGTGGGGCTTATGATATCGGTGCCCAGAGGAATACAAACACAACTTGGGGAAGCCATCAGCGTAATAGCGGACAGTGACTTCTGGGAGCGCTGGGACACTCTCGTTGATGACCTCGTATCGCGGTTGAAGCCCGACAACCCTGTGGTCAATGCTGGAGTGCTACAAGTTGCTCATTCGATCTTTGCGAGATGGCGACCACTGTACGAGTCGGACGAGCTGTTCACCGAGATCAATCACGTTCTCGGAAAGCTCTCTCAACCATTTCTTTCTTTGTGGCAGAGCTTGGATGCTTACATTGACAGTCATAGCAATGACAAGCAAGCTTTGCAGAACGCATTTGCAGAGCTCGACCTGGTCCTACTGCTGTTCTACGATCTGTCATGCCAGGATATGCCTCCGGTGTTCGAGGACAATCTGCAGGGTATTAGCGCACTACTTCTGAAATATCTGACGTACAACAACGAGCTGCTGCAGACAGACGACGAATCTGAGCCCGGCCCTCTTGAAAACACTAAGGCCAACATCTTCGAAGCATTGACATTGTACATGGGCAAATACTATGAGGACTTTGGCAGACATGTAACAGGCTTTGTGGAGAGCTCGTGGCATCTTCTTACAACAACTGGACCCGAACCCAAGAATGATATTCTTGTCAGTAAGGCTCTCCACTTCCTGACCTCTGTCGCAGGAAACAGAGCGCAGGTGCAGAGTTTCAGTGACCCCAACGTCCAGACGCAGATTGTTGAGAAGGTCATTCTCCCGAATGTGGCGCTCAGGGATTCGGATGTCGAGATGTTCGAGGATGAGCCGATTGAGTTCATTCGACGAGATCTGGAGGGTTCGGACAGTGAAACCCGCCGAAGAGCGGCAGGCGATTTTCTGCGGCAATTGAGCGATCAATTCGAGCAATCTGTAACGCAGATTGCCACGGCATTGATCCAACAGTGCTTACAAGATTTTTCAAGCAATCCCTCGGAGAATTGGAGGTCGAAAGATACGGCAGTCAGTTTGTTCTATGCGCTGGCATCCAAGGGAGCTACAACTTCAACGCATGGAGTCACCAAGACCAACAGTCTGGTGGATATTGGTGATTTCTTTTCCACGAATCTCGCAAGCGACTTGCAGAACGGGGACGCTCAGCCGCTCATCAAAGTCGATGCCATCAAGTATCTGTACGTCTTTCGAAGCATCATCACAAAAGAGCAATGGCAACAAGTCATGCCGTTACTGGTCAATCACCTTGGAAACTCGAATTATTGTGTCTACACATACGCAGCTGTCGCGGTGGAAAGAGTGCTGGCCATGACAGACGAGACAGGAAAACCTGTCATCGACCCAGCCAGTATTGCACCACTTGCCAGCGATCTCCTCGAACACTTGTTCAGTCTAGTCGAGAAGGATCGTGCACCAGAGAAGGTACAGGAGAACGAATTCGTCATGCGCTGCATAATGAGAGTATTAATTATTCTCAGAGAGGGTGTCAGTACAGTGGCCGAAAGTGTTCTCCAACACCTCACCACGATCACAACCATCATAGCCGCAAACCCCAGCAATCCCAAGTTCTACTATTACCACTTTGAGAGCATTGGAGCTCTTATCCGCTTCACACCAGCAGCACAATCCGAAGCACTCGGATCTGTCCTATTCAGCCCATTCGCTGCAATTCTCTCCAATCAGGTTGAAGAGTTCATTCCTTATGTGTTCCAACTCCTGGCAGCCTTGCTAGAGGCTGAACCTACGAAGCCTCTACCGGACCAGTACAAGCCTCTCATCGCGCCCATCCTTGGCCCTGCGCTATGGGAGCAGCGTGGTAACGTCCCTGGTTTGGCACGACTACTGTCTGCGATCGTTCCGCGGGCTGCTGATGAGTTGATGAGCGCCAACCAAGTTGGTCTTGTTCTGGGAATATTTCAAAAGCTTGTTTCAACAAAGGTCTTTGAGGGCTACGGCTTCGACCTTCTTGAAACGGTCGTCAGCACTTTCCCGGGCCCCGCACTCGACCAGTATTGGCTCCAAATCATCAATATCATGCTCACACGGTTGCAGAAGGGGCAATCACAAGCCTTCCAGCTACGATTTGTCCGTTTCTATCATTTCGTTTCCTCTCGTGACGACAAGGGTCTGGGTGCAGATTTCTTCGTTGCTGCCACTGATCGAGTGCAGCACGATGTGTTCCGCCAGCTGTACACTGGAATCATCTTGCCGAAGACGCAAGAGCTGGCTCGGCCGCTCGATCGAAAGGTTGCTGCGATATCTTTGACAAAGACATTGGCTGATTCCCAAGCATTTGTCGACCGCTATCCGAAGGGATGGCCGCTGACCTGTAACGCACTGCTGAAGCTGTTGGAAGATCCGCCTCTGCCGCCAACAGAGGCCGATGTTGTCGCAGAGCTCGATGTGGAAGACAGCAGCTTTGGTGTTGGCTTCACGCAGCTCAATACTGTGAGACGACCTACCGTTGATCCTTTCGCTGAAGTGACCGATTTAAGGAAGTGGGTTGGACAATACCTGAAAGCGGCGGATCAAAGACATGGAGGCAGGATAGGCAGAGTGGTGAATGAGGGCTTGAGCCCGGATGCGAAGAAAGTCCTGAGTGCTTATATGATGTTGTGATGTGAGTTGGGCGGGCTAGGAAACGATGAGAAGTAAGGGGCCCGTCATGGTTCGGGCTTGCCGACATGAAGTGAGCTGGAATGCAGGAAGTTTAGCGATCACCAAAAGCCAAGGTATGTATAATTGGAGACATAGAGAAAAGAAGATTTGATCCCCGATTGAAACCATCTCGCCTGTATTTCGTCCAACCAGCCTTGTCTTTCCATCTTGCATGCCACAAGGCTGTGATCCGGCAAACCTGCCCTCAAGTCCGGAAGTTCAAGATATTCTTTATCCAACTGCAATTGATCCAGACGACTTTGGACCCCAGCATCTGCAAGCGTCATATCGGTTATCCGTCCCTCCCTACGACGACGTTTGACTGTGAAAGCCCTTGCTTCGCCGGGTCTCTGTGATGTAGTATGCTCTATCTCCGCCCATTGCGGCACCTCTTGTCCTCGTCCTCCCTCTTGCGATGCCGGCACAAGCACTACCACGCCGAACTCCAAGGCGCAGCAGGCCAGCGCTCTCCTTTCCCTCTAGCCGGCCGTCGGCCGCTATTCGCGCATTCGGCACGGGTGTCCTTCTTCTCTACGACGGCCGCAACGGGTAAAAAGACGGAGCAATTGCCCCCACGACCCTGGCTTCCCGACTCCGAGCTGAAGCACACGTTCGTCAAGGGTTCCGGCCCGGGCGGCCAGAAGATCAACAAGACCAACTCCGCCGCGCAGGTGACGCACCTCCCCACGGGCATCGTGGTCAAGTGTCAAGCGACACGGAGCCGGAGCGAGAACTTCAAGATCGCGAAGCGCATCCTCGCGGAGAAAGTGGAGTTCCTTGCCAAGGGGGACGAGAGCAGGGCTGCCAAGGTCGAGGAAAGGGCGCGGAGGAAGAAGGCTAGCAAGGACAAGAAGAGCCGGAGGAAGTACAAAAGGCTCGCGAGCGAGCCGGATACGGATAAAGATGGAGATGAAGATGACCCAAGGGAGGAAGGGGATATAGGAACGGGAATCCAAATCGACAAGAACGAGCATGTCGAGCTGGAGGAAGGCCAACACCTGGGAAAGGGAAACGAGGTAGATGGGCGCTCGTCGGGAGAGGAGGGTGCGAGGGTTGACGGCCAGACGAAGCCGGACTCGAGTATGCCGACCAGCTAAGCCGCGAACCGCGCGCGTCATGGCATATAACAACCGACGTCCGAAGCTGCAGGATAGACCGGGTTTGGCTTGCTGCCCGCGTGACGATGTTAGGCATGGAAGAGGTCATAGTAACGGCACTTAACGCATCCCGATCACATACAATCTTTTTCCCGGACCGCTGCTCAGGCTGAGCCTCGATCCCACGCTTGTGCCGAGCGATTTCGAAGGGGGAGGTCCCGGTCCTTGTACCATTGGCCTCTGAGCATACACGTCCGTTTACCACGCTCTGGTTCTGAACTCGCTTCTGATAAGAACTGAACACTGGCAGGCATTCAGCAGGCGGCGCGAGACTTGTTCGGTGCCAGCTAGTGTGCATGATACTAGCCTACTTGCAAATCACAGGAGGCCGTGGAAAGAAGTGGTAATGGCCATCGACAACGCTCGAGGTCTTAGGCCAGGGGACTGTAGTCTGGAAGGAGAGGAGGTGGAAGTCTGGAGTGAGATCGGACAAGCATTCAGCCCATGCCACATATATGATCCAACCTCCAATGACGCGGACACTGGAGTTCATAGGTTCATTCATGCATTGGTCTACTTTGAAGAAGACATCCCACCCGTATTTTCATGTTCATTTCCATCTAAGCTGACATGGATTCACGCAGGTGTCCGTCCAACGCCGCCTGATGTCTGGTGGATTTACTCAATGGTCTTCTCGGTCAAGAAGATGCCATACTTCTCCTTCAATTCGTTCAAGAGAGGCTCAGCCAAGTCCCAGGTAACAGGAGCAAGAATTCCCTTCTTGTTGATTCTGCCATCCAAGACCATCAGGCATGCGAGACCGCAAGGAACACCAACCAATTTGGCCATGGAGCTCCAGCCGTTAGGCTCGCCATAGTCGACGAGTGTGCTGGTCCGGGTCTCTGTGCTTCCGTCCTTGTGCTCGATTTCAAACTTGTGCTGCAGCATGACCATGTCGCGCTCACCCTTCTCGTACTGCATCTTCTCCTCCAGCGTGGCGCATAGCGTGTCCAACGGATTGCCTCGGGGCGTGATGGGCTTGTCAGAGAACAGCCCAAGCCATTTGAGGCCAGAAATGATTCGTTGTTTTTGTGCCGTATCGTTGAACTTAGTCTTCGACTGAATAGCCCATGTTAGGTCAGACTCCTTCTGACTTGATGAGCCAATAATCTTCTGTGTCGCCTCAGCCCAGGACATTGGCTTGTCGGATGGCTTCAGGTAGGACTGCTCCTCGTCGGACAGGAAACCGATGTCGACAAGCACCTTGACGAACTCGGGGAATCCCTGGTATCTCAGTGTACCACGGATAACTGTCTGTGCTTCTGGGATGTTATAGCGTTCTCGGTATGGTGTAGAGTCTCGGTTGGGATATGCCACAAAGGCGAAACCAGGGTAGATAAAGTACGGTTTCGCGCTGGCCATGAGCTCTGGACCAGCAATTTCTTTGACCGAACCACCTTCGTAGAACTTGGCGGCATTTCGGAGAGCAAGGAGGACACCTCGGCTTGACCAGGAAAACTTGTAGCCGAGGGGGTTGTCGCTTGCTTCGGGAGCGGCTGTAAAGCAAAATGTCAGAAATCTATACCGGTATAGACAGGAGAAACGCAAGAGACACATGCTTGAATGGCACAGTCTTTCGAGCTGGAGGATACGTACGCAGGCCACCGCAGTATGACAAAAACGACGTGATCTTGCCGCCGGCCTTGTGGACTTCTTCAATTGTCTTGACAGCGTAGAGATGGTCGATACCAGGGTCCAGGCCGATTTCATTCATCACTGTGATACCTGCCTCTATCGCTTGTTGTTCCAGCTCCTTCATTGCATCAGAGACATAGCTGGTGGTGACCACATTCTTCTTCTTGCGGATTGCAGATTTGATGACCGTGGCGTGGAAGGTGTAGGGAATCAAGGAAATCACCAGACTACTCCAGTATTAGTATTCAAAGCCTGCATCATGGTAGAGCTCTTGCAACTCACTCGGAGTTCTCGACAGCAGCGTCCAGGTCTGCATCTTTGGTTACGTCGAGTGAAATCGGTCGGGTGTTCTTGATACCCTCGCATAGCTTCTTTGCGCTTTCAAGAGTCCTGCAGGCTATACTATGTCAGCATAGACCTAGATACTGTCAGTCAATGAGACTGACCAACTGTGACCTCAACGCCGGCATCTGCGAGGATCTGGACCGTGGGCCTGGTAACGAAGCCAGCACCCAGAAGGAGGGCCTTCTTAGACGAGTAGCCGAGTTTCGACTGAATCGTGGTGATGAAAGAGGACATATTTGCAATTTGGACACGAAGCAAAGCGAATATAATTGTCGATTTGCCTGCGTTGAAGAATGAAAATGAGTCAACCGACCTTCTTCTCAATGCGTACACAAAAAATATCACTTCACATCCCGCCAATTGGCACGCCGACAGCGGAGTTTCCCGTACCTGCATCATTACCCCTCGACCCTCCTCGCCTCCTCCCCTCCACTCTACGCCGACAGAGCCTCGTATTCCTCTCCCACTTGCCTGGCAACCCTTCTTCCTTAAGCGGCCCGTGTGACTCCCAGCTCGTGTGGTATAAAAAGGTAGGTCGACTTCTAGTTTAGCTTCGCTTTCTCTCCGTTCCAGACGACCTCATGGAGTTTTGATGCCAGCTTTTCCCTAACATTAGAACAATGCCCACTATGGGCGTCCCTCTACTCGTCCGGCTACAGGCGTATATCGAACCTCTCTTCCTGCTCAGCATCTCAGTGGGGTACCTACCCATCACATTGCTCTTTCATCCATTGTTGCTCATCACTTCCCCGTCGTCTTTCCGGTCAAAATGGTTCGAGAACTTCTGGCGGGTCATCGGACCCAAGATGGCCGCTTCGGAAATCCAGATCGACCATATCGAGGAACTCCTCTCACGAGCACATGGCACGGTGCTGGAACTCGGTCCTGGAGCAGGTGACCAGATGTTCCACTACAAGAAGAACCAGATCGAGACCTTGTACGGAGCAGAGCCGAATGCCTTCCTTCATCCCAGGCTGATCGAGATGGCCGAGAAGAAACTTTTGGGCAAATTCATCCCCCTCGAAGCAGGGGCCCAACCGGGTAGTCTCCTGCCAGCGTTGAAGAAAGCAGGTCTCATCCCCGGCACGGCAACAAGCCTACCTGAGGAAGGCGTTTTTGACAGCATCGTCGCTGTCAAGTCATTGTGTTCTGCGCCCCAGGATCAACTAGCCGCCACAGTAGCAGTAGTGCAGGCTCTTCTCAAGCCGGGCGGGGAATTCCTCTTTTTCGAGCATGTCGAAAACGATACAGATAGTATGACCATGTCCTATGCTTGGTTGGTCGACTGGATCTGGCCCGTGTTTATGGGTGGGTGCCGGCTCAAGGGCAAAGTGGACAAGGTTGTGATCGGGATGGGCGGATGGGACGAAAGAAGGATCACGACCATCGGTGACTTCAAGGGTCATGAGGTATGTAGCGCCGCATTTTGTGTTGGAAAATCAAAGGCGCTGATACAAACTGCCACAGGTCTTTCGATACGTCAAGGGCATCTGCCGGAAGGCTTGAATTGCAGAAAGGCTTCTGACAGCACCGCCAAAGAAGGCAAATTTTCAGCTGACAGGCAAGGGACGGTTTCGGTGACCTGGTCTGACTTCCAGGCAGAAATGCATTTTCGTTCTTGCAAACTATATTCTCCTGGACCCCTGGCCATAAACACAGAACTTGATGAACAGTAAATGTCACTCCAGGCTGTGCGGAAGTCATCATCATGAATATCGTTCCAGACATTCCAAATTTCAAGCGTAGACGGCTTGCTTCTGTGGCAGTTCCGTCTCATATTCGATTTCAACCCGGCCGCGTTTCTTGGGTTGTTTCGGAGGTGGTGCTGTCCGTTTCCTCTTCTTTCCTGCGCCAGCGGCATCTTCATCCTCATCTTCGCTGGGCTCCTCGCTATCATCTGAGCCTTCTCCACTGCTAGAGACTTCGGACAGTTCGTCTTCATCGGGGCTTTCACCACCAAACCAGTCGTCGAAGTCCTCCATCTCGCGCTCTTCCTCATTTTCGCTTTCTTCGAGATCGGAAACATACTCGACCTCGCCTTCGCCCTCTACTTCTTCTTCCACCTCCTCAATATCCTCTTCTTCTCCCTTTTCGGCCCTTTCCAGGCCTCTCAGAACCTTCTTCCACACATTCTCCTCCACATTGATTGGTCTGTCTCCGTATGCACCACTCCTTAAACGTTCAATCAGTTCTCTTTCAATGGCTCTTTCAACCTTGGCTGCACTCTCTGCTTTCCTCTCCCTCGTCTCTTCTCGACGGCGAATCTTGGGTGCAAGCTTCGGCACAAGCCTCTCGCCGAGTCTGTCTTCCTCTTTTGCGATCCTCCTCTCTCTGATGGCCACTTGTGTCAACCTGGTCAACCTCTGCTTGCATTTGTGAATGTAGAACTTCGGCCAATAAATCAGTTTCTCGTCGATTGATGCCAATGCCTTTTCGTAGTTGTTCGGCAGTCGGATCTTCTCCCACCATTTCGATGGCAGGTGTGCACGTTCGGGGCTTTTGATGAAGAGGCATAGAGCGCCAGTCTCAGGGTCTGGTCGGACAGTGGCATATCGCGAATTGGCCAAGGGGCATGATTGCCGGTTGCAGAATCCAGTTAGATTATGTTCATTGCGGCAGAAGTTTTGTTCTTTGGTGGTGAGTCTGCCGGGAAATTTTGGTTAGAACATTTTGCCCGGCGCTGCTGACGGAGAACAGAGCGCTTACTTTAACTTGAACGAGCAGAATTGCTGATTGATGACCTGCCATACAATCTCGTCTGAAGACATTTTTGTGCTCGACCGTGAGGCTCGTAGAAATGACGAAGAAGAGGGCAAGGCGGTGGCTGTAGTGGACTGCTGAGTCTGGGGTCAGCGAAACAAAAAAAAATGTTTCATTCGTAGGAAAATCTTCGGCAAACTTACCAAGCTTGCCAGTAGGCTTATCGCTTATCGGAGACTGGGGCATGTTTGCTTGCATCTGAGCATTCAAGCTGCGGGAGCAGCATGCACACCATCCTACGCGTTTCTGGGCTTTACCGCCGTCTTTCGCATTCGTGGGTTCGCTGGGGGAGAGGAATAATAAGATCTTATGGGAAGTTGGCGGTAAGACTTTGGTGTGACGAGGCTGTCGTTGTGGACCCGTAAGCCAAAGAAATGCCGAGCCATATGCTTACGATCTGGATTCAACCACTTCAACTTACTCCGTACGAAACAAGGCCTTAACCTCTTTGCTCCCTCGCTCGAGACTCCCAATGTAGTCCTTACGTCCTTGGTACATTTACCTTCGCGAGTCAGATGCTACCGGCTGAGCGTTCCCAATATTATGATGCTATGAAGTCGATCTTGTCACTTATCACCCTTTAGCCGATCTCGAAGTGACCTTTCCTAACCCACAGGAGACCTTAACGCCTATTCCGAGAATATCTCGAATCCGCAGACGAGCCACTTTACTTATGCTACAACAACGACCTCTGCGTCAGTCAATCCACAAATGGCACCACTCCCGACCTCTTCACAAACTCACCCGGCCACCGCGCATCCACTTCTTCGACATAAAATCCCGCGTCGGTCCCTTCTCGCCCAACACCCTCCGCACCCGCCTGTCCCTGAACTACAAACGGCTCACCTACACCGAATCGTCGATCTCGTATCCAGACATCGAACCGCTATGTAAGTCTCTGGACATCCCGCCGGCCCATCACGACAAGTCCGCCACGACGCCGAGGTACACTCTTCCCGCCCTCCTAATCGAGATCGACGACAAGGACAACGCCTCGCCTCTTGCCGTCGCGCGTCTCATGCAAGACCATCATGGTCACTGCAGCGCTACATCCGTACGACATCCCAATCTTGACTTCGGTCCGGCGGTGGCGGTCTCGACGACACTGGCTATTGCGCAGACACTGGACGCGAAGTTCCCTGGGCCAGAGTATCCTGCCCTGTTCCCCTTCGCAGACAGCGAGGAGCAAGCGCGGCACACACAACGTACAATCACACGCGCTGTGGCACCGGCGCGGCGCCTGGTCATTCCGTCTGTGCCGGACATTCTGGACGAGCGAGGACGGGAGTATTTCGACACGACGAGGCGGACGTGGTTCAAAGTCGACGCTTTAAACGAGCTCAGGCCCAAGTCCGAAGCTGAGGAGAAGCAACTATGGCGGGGGTTGCAGGCGGACCTTGACGGTGTCATCGGCGTACTGCGACGAGAGCAGGGCGGCGTAGAAGCGCCGTTTCTGAACGGCCATGTACCGACCTATGCGGACTTTGTGGTCATGGCATTTCTGGCCTGGTTTCACCGCGTGGATAGGCGGGCATGGGACCGAGTACTGGAGTTTGGAAACGGAGAGTTGAAGACGCTCTGGGCTGGGTGCAAGCGGTGGCTGGACGGCAGAGGGGAGCAACTGGAGTGGGAGGTCGAGTAGGATTGATGTCCATGGACTGGGTGTCTTTGCGAAGAGCACCGGACGAACTACAGACCGTCGTGCTCTAGAGACTAGCAGCTTCAACGGCCAGAGCCCAAATCTATATTTTCCGGCCACGGTGGACCTCTTGTCAACTCCGTCATGCTGTACAATCGGCACGAGCTCAAATGTCTCGGTGCAATACTAGATACCATCCATGATGGACCTTGTGGAGTTTAACAAGTTCAATTCGTGAAGTCAGACAAATCTCCACAAGCTCAGCCTGACCGGTGTTGAAGGGACGTATTGTTTACGTACATTTTGAACGCTTCACGATCAAGCAGCGCTTGCGTTAAAGGCTGTTGCGGAGTAGATCTAGCGACAAGCCACGCCAGATCATTCTCGTGCGGCCTCGGCCACTTCGAATAATATTGCCATCTCTGCGCCTCCTTATCCCATTTCCGGTTCGGCACAAATGCCTCGACACTGTAATAATTGTCCCGCATATAGATAGGCTGATATGATGGCGGACCGCTCCTGTCCAGATATTCATCTGTTCCAGCCTCAGCTTCTGCATCGGTGAGATGGTAGAGTCGTGGTTTCGCCGTTGTGATTTTCTCCCCTTTCTTGCGCCATTTGGCTGAGCGGATGATGGTCCAGGTAGTCACATTGAGATGTGTCTGCAATATCCGGGCATGCGCGAGGGGACTGTATATGGCTTTCATGACAATCTCTGCGTGCTGTTCAAGTAGCTGGATGTTCCAGTCCGGATTTCTACCACGAGGTATCACGGGCAGTGGCTCGCGGTTTTCGAAGTTCGGCTGCCAATGAGCAAGGTCGAGGACAATATTGAGATTGTTCCAGGCTAGAAGACAGCTCATACAGGTGCATACGACTTCCGGGTCAATTTGTCTGATATGTTGGTAAGGATTTTTGTGAATCTTCAGGCGATCTTGCCATTGCTGACTGAGCAGAACTGGGCGTGCAGAAGCTGGTACCTGGTCCAGCAAAACAGGTAGTGGGAAGCATTGCCTGAGCGCCCAGTAACGGCGGCTCGTGATACCTTCGGCGATCGACCTCTCATTGTCCAGGATAAAGTCCTGCGTGAACTGGTTCAAGCGGAGCAGAGTGTAGATGTCGCTTGGTTGCAAAAAGCTGAAGATGAGTGATATGAGCTCGGGAGGGAAATCGAGGAAAGACTGAATATTAGAATGAACCTTCTGTGACTGCTTCTTCCGTTGCCGTTTCTGCAATCGTGCAGTCTTCTTGGAGTTAAGAGGAAGGGCCGCGGTTGTGTCGACCAGAGGTTCATCCTCGGATAATGTGTCTTCCCGTCTGGAGGTTGCCTTCCTGGGGCGGTTCCAAGTCGGGTCTGTCGATGCTGTCGCCTTTCTGGTCACATTCGGAGTCGTAGGTCGTTTCGGTCGTCTTGATCGTTCGCCATCTTGCGCGAGAGTTTGCAACTCTGATGCGGATTCGAGTGAAGTTACAGAATCATCAACGGGCATAACTCTGTCGTCCAATGGCCGAAAATGATCTGTGTCCAGACACGTAAAGCCCGAAGCACTAGCCTGCTGCCCAGACGTTGTGTGCGAGTCTTCAGATGGGGGATAAGTTTTGCGAGTTGACATCTATTCGTAAAGGAAATGGCTGTTCGGTGCCTGTTTGCTGACTAAACAGATGACGTCAATCCATTGGCCCTTTGATGACGAGGCTGAGCTTCACGAGGCTGAGCATCTGGTTCGACGAAAGCCGTTGAGGCTGTCAGTTTTGGCTGATCTCTTGATGGTAATTTAAGGTTGGCCTGAAGATACGAGGCTAGAGGCACGGTATATACGGCACAAACTCATAAATTAGGAATGCAAACTTTCAGAGGAGGCGGCAGCTTCGTGCATTTCAGAGCGCGAACATTCTTGTTGCGGTCGCTATGTCCCAATCCAGAATCAGAAGAGATCATCACATTCTGCATATAAGCTCAAGATATATCCATCGTCTTTGTCGATGGCAAGTTTGACTCATTTTCAGTTCTCGACTAACCATTTCTTCAAAAATTCGGTCTGGGTGCCAGCATTCCGCTCAAAGTATGGCCCGGAGTATGCCTCAAAATGTCCGCCAGGCAGGAGCTGCAGGTGCTTCGGCTCTCTCGCACGAGCATACGCGCCCAAAGCCAAGTCAGCTGGCGTGAGTACATCGCGACTAGCGATGGTCATGAGCAGGGGTGTGGGCGAGATTTTCTCGATAAGCTGTTGTGGTTCGTAGGCTCGGAAGAGCTCAATTCTAGTCATCGTGGTAAGCATCGCGCGCACAATATGTGTAGCATACTGATACGGGGGCCTTACGTCCTCATAGTGACACTGTTCTTCCAATTCGACTTCTTTTCCCAAGCCGAGAAGAATTCATAGCTATCTGGCGTTGGAAGCGCGGATGGTTTCAATGGGTCTGCATCCACCACAGGTACCATGCCTGGTTCTTTGCCTTCTAGTCGGGCCTGCCTGTCTGCATCAACCTTGTCAGCATGCGAATGAGGCTTGTCCAGCACAGTCGATTTATCTCACCTGCCGCAAAGGCCGCGTTGAAGCCAACCTCGAAGTCTCCACGAACAAGGCGCTTGAAATTGTCCCATCCACTCACACATGGAACCTGGCTGAGAACGGCTTTGACCCTTCGGTCCGCAGCACCAACGTACAATACATGACCACCGCTGTAAGATGAGCCCCAGATACCTATCTTATCGGGATTGACCTCTGGTCTTGTGGTTGCATAGGTAATGGCATCCGACATGTCGCTGCATTGGGTCATTGGGACAATTTCGTGTCTGGGTTCACCTTCGGCAGCATCACTGTCACCGAATGCACGATTGTCGTAGACCAGACAATGGATGGGGATTTGTGCGATGAAGTGTTCGGCAAAGGTGTTGAGATCCATTTCCTTGAGAGCTGAGAAGCCATGTGACATGACCAGGCACGGTGCTTTCCCTGAGGAGGCGAGATCGCTGGTGTAGAACCATCCTCTCAAGGTGACTCGGTCCGAGGTTTTGAACTCGATATCCTCTTTGCCCATCTTGATGCCAGATTACGTGTGAAAGACGGATGCAGCAGTAGAAAGGACAGCTTTTGTTACACAGAAAGCAGGATGTGGCAGTGGGGATGATCAGATGGAGCTCTGGGTATGCCTTGCAGTCCCTTGGGACGGGAAATGCGGATCAACAGCTGGGGAAAGCATGACTGGGGATGTTCGCTGGCATTTATGGGCACCGCAAACCCTCTCATGCCGAGGGGTTATCGCGTTGTTCGACTCGCTTAGTTAGGCGTGTGCAAGAGATGAGGAGCAAGCCGGTGCAAAGGCACACCAGGCTCAGAGAGATACAACCCCGCAGGCGGTAGCGCTTCTCAGTTCTCGGAAGCGGTCTCTCACGCGTCAACGAGCCGTGCGGATGAATGACCAAGCCTGAAGCCGGCCTGGGGAAGCGTCCGTAAGAATGAGGCCGAAAGTCTGCTCAAGCGGAACCGCTGGGTGCTCTTGGAACAAATCTTTGAACTTTGAAAGAGGATAACTCATGCCCGAACGATGAATGAAGGGCTCACTAGGCCGGCATTGTGAGCGTTACCGATAGCAGCAGGTGCCACCGTTAGTTCCGAGTATCGTCGTATCAATAGCTCCAAGGTGCGCCCAGGAACACGTATCGGGTCCGCTGCAGAAGTCTGCATACCTTGGACACGTGCAAGGAGACAAGCATGCTGCTCGTTGTCAGACCACAGGTTGTTCACAAGCAGGGTAAGTATGCATGAAGCAATGCAGCTGAGAACTTTGGGCAAGATTGATTTCAAAACAAATACAATGATAGGCAAGCTTCGGGGGAACTTTCTCTTTGTTCAGCGGCCCTAAGCCTCGGTAGATTCGTCAGGCTGGTGCAGGCTAACTTACACCAGGCTGGCGCTTAAGGGGCGCTGGCTCGTCAACACCAGCAGTAGCAATGAAGTATACTCTAGTAGATGTCCACATTAATACAGCCCATGGGGCGCTCTGCCAATGCAAACCCTTGAAACTCATGTGTCCGTCCAGTCCAATTTCGAAGCCATAAAGCAGTCTGAACAATCACTGGTACAGTCCGTCGATGCCAATGTCTGTAGTTGATGCTTGGTTAGATGTCCCTTCCCAATCACCTGGGTTGTCACGCTTCTTGCGCAAAGGCCCCGCATATCATTCCTGCCGTGTTGGCTATTCGTGCCTCGATGCCCTTGCTGGTCATCCCTCCTTTGATGCTTTTGAGACTTTTGGGGCCATGCCTCGTTCAATGGTCCCCTCTTGTGAATAATACCTGGACTCCATGTTATCCTGCTGGTAGCCCTTCTCAATAACTCGCACTGTCCCGACGTTGGCCTGACTACCACCTGCTCAGCTTTGATCATCCGCATCCAAACCTTTGCAATGTCCAGAACCATATCAGCGTCCGAAGCAGGAGTGATAGTCATGTATCCGGAATAAAGTTCCGACATTGGCTGATGTTTGTCTTTCCTTTCGCAGATATCATCTCTTGAAGATCCCACCATGCGAAGTACCTCTTCTGAGGCGTTCTTCTTGTTTCAATCGACGTTTTGGTCTGGTTTCCATTATCGTCCCTGCACCTGCCCGAGTTGGCATGACCACAGAACCCAAGCTGAAACAGGAGCGACCGGGACTCTGTTGGCTGATTTCCAATACCGTTGAAGTGCTGTCTTGCTTGCCTGTTTCCGTTCCTCCGTTTTCCGCATGAAACTCGACGGAACTACATAAATCCTAGGACCGTTCGGTATCGACTCCTCAAGGGATGGGTTTAGGATATAGACCAGTGGATGTTCAGCATCTGTGACGCCTGTGAAAAGTGCTGGCCGACGCTTATCATTGGCGTGCATCTGATCCAAGTCGCACACAGGAGCAAAACTGAGGTACACCCGAGTACAGCCTTGGACCGCTCGGCCTCGAGCCAAAGAGACGATAAATGAACTTCCAGGACAGAGTCGCCGTGGATTGCCAGAGTCGTTCTCTCGACCTACGCGGCCCTTCTTGATCTTCTTCATGACCGTCATTCCCTCATCGGTCTGCTCAAGTTCACTGCCTTCCCCGGAGATTCCGTCGTCACCGTCGTCGGCTTCTGCAAGTCCGTCCCTCATTCTCTTCACGTACTTTCTGTGCTTAGGGTGCTCCCGGAACTTGTTCCAGTCCTCGTAGCACGCTCCGCACCAGCGTTTGCCCTCTTTGCCCTCGATCTGCGAATTGTATATCCTGCTGCTGACTTTTCCACAAACGCAACATTTTTCTTCCTTTGTGCTAAGCTCTCTGGCCTATTGTGATCGTGCTGTATGTGAGGAAAGCCCCAAGACAGAGGCGCTTGATTTTGAAAGTGTATCCAATATTGCTCCTGGGTGGGTCTCATTGTCTTTCCATCGATGATGTGATGTCGCATCGGAGATTGACCTCCATCTTAATCGACATCCATCAAGTCGTCGTACTCGACCACGGCGCGTGGTTGTTGCATCTCCAGAGGATCGTCGAGATCCATTGGTGTCGCCCACCCCCTGCAATAGGCGCATCTTTCGTCCTCTGGTAAGGGTGGCAGCTCGGGGGCTACCATAGGTGGCAATTGGAAGGACCGTCCTTCTCTTATGGCGTCTTGCCGTCTCAAGTGGTGTGTTGCTCCCCATGAGTCGCTCCTCTGTTGGGGTCGGAAACAGGGACAAGCCCAGACCGAGTCTCCACCCCTGAGTCCCGGGGCACGGTATACTTCAGCAGGCCTGAATGGGTCCTGCGATCTTGCGCACGCAGTAGGATGTTGAGGCTCTTGTGCCCCAACAGTAGCCTGTTGACATCCTCCGGAATGATATGCGGCTTGTGGAGGTTCCTCTGATTCTTCCTTGAGCTCCGGTGAGTCGAGGAAATGGAGAAGACGTGGAAGAGAGAGTGTGAATGCCTTGGCCCGTGGAGCGAGGCGCGAACCCGACTTGAATGCGGGAATGGGGGATTTCGATAGACGAGTGCGCGTGGAAAGCGGGTTGAAATCATTGGGCTTCTTGGTAGGAGCGTGGGAGGGGTTTTTTGGTGGAGGGGGGCTGCGGACAGGCTTGGATATGCCACGGCTGACTCTGTGCTGGAGAAGAGTGGCTTTGGCGTGGCCGGAAGCGCGAAATGTCGAGGATGCCTTCATGTTTGCTGCACGTTCTGTCGTGGACACTAATAGGGGGAAGATACTGGCGGAAATGGAGGTTCCGAGATTATTCGCACGAAGAATAGCTTTGCAGAACCTTGGAGATGCGTCTGAACGAGAGCAATGAGTATCCAAGTTTGAAGTTGTTCGAACGCGAGAGGCAAGAGTTGTGGTCGGTGAAAATTTGGGAGAGAAGACTGCTGAATGGCGGTGATGAAGTGAAGAGGTGCAAGCACATAGCGAACACTGCTCCCAAAATTTGATGCCATTCACCGTGTCACTCTTGATCACTGCCTTTTTGCCCTGATTGTTTTTCTCAATTTTCGATACGCGCCGTTTGCTTTGCAAGACTTTGTTGGTTGTCTTCTTCTGCCCCATCCAATATCTGCCTGCACCATCACCGTTCTTTCGTCCCTGAACTCCTGGAGGACTCCTTTCCTCACGCACCTCCTGCGTATTCAAGATGTTGTCCCTTGTTGAAAGCGAGAACTCCTCTCTCAACGTCCGGTACGAGCGTTGGCTTTGAGAGTCTGGTTCCAGAAGCGGATGGCCACGTGTTCGGCAAGGAGCATTTGCATTCCAACATCTGATATTCCGGTGAGATATCACGACCAGCTGCTCCGGCCTACCTTGGATGTTGAGTCCAAGGCTGTCAGGTATACCCCTTAACACCTGTACCTTGCCGCTGGTGGCCAATATCTGCGGCATTAGGTGGTAGACAGGTGATTCCTCTGGTTCGAGATGTCATCCCTTTTGCACGATGCTGTCAAAGGTCAAATTTCGTCAGACTTGAGGAGATAAGACCTGGGACCGTAGCCAGCACGTTGGGTTGATGGGCATTGTCAAGGAGCCGGTGCAGGCTAATTATGCTCGCCGTCACTTGAGGATATCGCTCTCCGAGACTGTCGAGCATGGTAGGCTCCGCGAAATATTTGCACACCACAAAATTGGCGTTTCCCAAGTCAGACCAATCGCCCATGGGGCTTTCCCACATGCACTCTGGATTCTCGCATCTGTGCGCACGGAGTGCATATTTGGCGAGCCAGTTTTCACCCTGTTCTCGTGGTCGTTGAACTTTCGAAAGCCCATGGCCTAGTCCTTGCTCTAGAGCATCGTTGGTTCATGGCGACATGCAGGATCATCAGCTCATCGACGTGTGACTTGAGCATCTTGATCCTGTCTGCACAGGCATTATATACCTGTTCATTCAATAAGCCTGCTCCTGTTGACCGTTGGCCGAGCTTCTGGAGTGCCATTTCCATTCCCGTAAAGTTTACAGGCATACTGGTCTCCAGATCAGCGAACAGTGGTGGCAGTATGGGTACGAGAGCTGGCTGCTCTTGCGCACTGAAAGCTGACGTTCGGCTGTTCAGGTGTCTTTTATGCGCAGCGCAATCCGAGTCGTTTCTGATGGCCACCAAAGCAGTTTGTCCAGATACACTCAGGAGAATCGTGCACGAATGCCATTGCAACAACTGACGGCGTCGATTGCCTAATGAAGGAAAAGACGCCGCAAAGGAGTTCCGAGAGGGCAAAAAGAGTTCCGATCGCCAGCGGAGAAGGGCGCTTAACGCGCTTGCAGACACTCACAAGGCGCTCAAGCACTGATCGCAGCCCACTTCAGCCAACATTGGCAAACAATAATATATAAATATAGGGTCGAGTGGCACGATGGCCAATTCGTGTGTTGGAGTCGCTGACGTTTTAGCTGCTGCATTCGACCCCCGGAAAAGAAGATGTACGACGCCATCATTGTCGGCGCTGGCCTCGCCGGACTGCAGGCCGCATTGACGCTCCGGCAAGCGGGACTCAAATATCTTGTCCTTGAGGCACGCGATCGTGTAGGCGGCAAGACCTTGACTCTCAAGGCGAGCGATGGCACCATCAAGTCCGATCTTGGCGCCGCTTGGATCAATGACACCAACCAGAGTCGAATGTGGGAATTGGCCCAGGACCTCGGACTGCATACGTTCACGCAGAACACGACGGGAGATGTCGTTGTGCAGGATTCTGATGGCAGTCTGGTGAAATTCCCATATGGTGATGTGCCGAAGGTGGGTGTCCATACCGATCTAGATATGAATTGTCCGCGAGATTGACCATGACGACGTCCAGTATCCGTCAGCACAAGATACCGACTCATGCGTGGCTATCCGAGACCTGGTCCAGAAGCTGTCAATCGGCACCTCCCCGTCCATTTTCTCAGCAGGCCCTCACCGCCAACATCTCGACTCGATGTCATTCGAAGCATTCCTTCGTGAATCAAAGGTCACCGACAAAGCGTTCGCAACCGCCCAAGTCTGGACGCACGCCATGCTCGGAGTTGATCCGTCCGAGGTGTCGGCCTTGTGCTTCATCGAATACTGCGCCGCTGGCGGCGGCCTGATGACCATGCGTTCCGACTGCAAGGATGGCGGGCAGTACTTGCGTATCCGCGAGGGTACACAAGCATTCTGCACGGGCATGGCTGCGAAGCTGAAATCGGGATGTCTCAAACTGAACAGCCCTGTCGTTGGTATCACCCAGAAACCGGACGACTCGGTGTCTGTGTCAACGAAAGCCCCAGACGGGCAGACGTATCAGGCTCGCAAAGTCATCATCTCGATTCCCACGCCAGTGTTCAAGACGATAGCATTCTCTCCACCTCTTCCCGCCGCCAAAGCCGCCGTGGTCAATCATACGCGGTATGGCTTCTATACGAAGTATATCATCAGCTTCACCAAGCCCTTCTGGGTGGAGAAAGGCTTCTGCGGTCTAGCGCAGTCATTCATCGGTCCGGTATCTGTGATCCGCGACACCAGCATCGGGGACGATAATTACTGCTTGACTTGCTTTGTCGGCGGGAAGTTTGGTCGAAAGTGGGCAGCGCAGGATGATGAAGTGAAGAAAGCCTCGGTACTGAAACAGATCGGCGACATCTTCGCTGATGGTCGGGACATTACGCCGTTCTTCAAGGAGGTATATGAGTCACCTTGGATGAATGAGGAGTATTCTGGGTTTGGATGTCCATGCCCGTCTATGCCACCTGGAGTGCTTGGTGAAGGATGGGATGCGTTGTGTGCACCCGTGGGCAATTTACATTTTGTCGGCACGGAGTTTAGTAGGGTCTGGAGAGGGTATATGGAGGGTGCAGTCCGGACGGGCGAGAGTGGTGCTATGACTGTTATACAGGAGTTGAAGGGAGGGCAAATTGGGATGAGCGCGAAGTTATAGTTGGATGTGCAATGCCTACTCCGTACCTAAGGTAGGTAGCAAACAACTTGAAACAGGCCTCTTCCTCACAAACCTGAAGTCTTTGTACTTTTCTCCGTCATCATGACGCCTGTTCTGACATTGGATGGCTCGTTGAATCCCTTATTACAGCTGACGCTACGGGAGATGGCTTTGATTCCGTCTTCGCAAGCCTCTGAGCAGAGATTAGAGCAGATCAAGACAGGGAGCAATTTGATCAATCCATTAGACTATCTTCGTACTGATATCAAGATTGCCTCATTAATTCTTCGGTTGACATCGGAAGCAACCCAAGAGCTAAGTAGCAGAGATCATGAGATAAGATTAGATAATACGGCGATATCGGCTGCCACATGAGATGATGCACTTTGATTTATCGTGAGACAGTCTGCTCCTTGTATATTATCACGACCTCGGAACTGCGAAGCTGATATCATCCCCTCCGTAGTGCATCTGTCCGTCTTGCATACCGTGGATTCGATCGTGGCTGAACAGCAGGTCCTGTATACGAACCGAATAACTGGGGAGATATTTGTTTGGATCGCCTCTTCCCAGAAGAGGGGTTTCGAGCTCGTGAAGAGATCGCATCTACAAGAGTGGAGGAATACACCTTCCAGCTTCAATACGGAGTGAATAGTGGTAACATAGTAGTGGCGGCAGTGAGCAAGATGATCATCCCGACCACGCTCCTCTCGCTCGTGCTGCTGTCGACTTCCTGGGTCGCCTGCGCCCCGGTCGAGCTCTCGGAACAGCTTGAGCTCCTTCAAGTACACATTCAGACTCAGACATATCCGCAGACACTACTCGACGCCGAAGGGATTGTCCCCGCCACTTTCCACGCAAATGAAGATGATGAGGAGACGCCCCTCCGCATACCATCCCGCTACGAGTCCACTGTCCTCGGTCGACGCCTCCTTGCCCTATCCAAAACCGGTGTTCTCACCACTGTGTTTCCCGACAACGTCACCTCCTCTCGAGTACCTGCGGACGTCGCGCACACTCCGATCGGCCTGCCCGATTACATTGCCTCGTGCGAGGAACCCAGCGGCAACCCGACACTACTAGCCCTGACGGTGTCAACGTCCACGAAGAACGCTATGGCCGGGTCCAATGCCTCGCTGGCTCTTTCGTGGTGGGATGAGTACGTGCACATCACGCACAAGCAACCATGGTCGGCGGCCAATTTGCCTCGGCTGAGCATGACCGGCTACTTGGAAGAGATGACTGCGGAAGAGGTCAAGAGCAAGGATGTCCCGGGTTGTTTTACCAAGGTGCATGGTGATAGTGTGCTGTGGTTGCCGGGGAAAAAGTGGGCTGCTCACAAAGGCTTGTGGATGAGGTTCGTGGTCAGGGAGGTATACTGGATTGGTGGGTTTGGGGATCGGAATTATATTGGATGGTTCGATAGAGCCGAATGGCAGGAGGTGAGTGAGGAGGAGTGGAGGGGTGTGAGATTGCCTGGGGAGAGGCCGTAAAGGACTAATCTGCTGCAGCCATCCCGTGCGCACTAGGTAGTTGGTGCTGTATCCATCGCAATTTGGAACTGTACGTATGGATAGTGCGGCTGTGCTTGTGTTGTGCTTGTGTTGCGGCCGCTTGAAGTGGTGTATTTGTTTTGTATAGACTGCAGTGTATCGTCGATGCTCGTCACATGCCACCTGGTTATGGCTGCTGTATAGGACCATCGAAGGACCGTGTTGCTCAAACTCGACCTCGTTCGTACATAGCTTGATAGATCCAGGATCCAGACCAAGGAGCAGCAATGATCTCCACGAAAGCTCACAGTCGTCCTACCTATCATTAGGAGGAATGCCCTTTTTGATGTGGTCGTAAAGAGTGGACATTCTTCACAGGTCCCCAGGTTTGAATCGTGTTAGGCTCGCCAATCCAGGATCCAGGTCTTATCAAAGAATCCCGGACGTCCCATACATGCCGAGCACATCACCTCCCCTGGGTGCGCTCAAGTGTCTTGACTAGCAGACCCGAAGCACGCCCAAGTTCGCCACCTTCTTTCTTCGCAGCATCCACGCCAGCCAGAACAAGTGGCTGAAACTGGGTCTTGTAGACGCGAAACCTGTCTTCTTGGTCGTCTAGCACTTGCTTTTCGTCATCCTGTTGTACCCCGAACAGGTTCAAGTAGGCGTAAGCGTTGGATTTGTGAGGTATGGCAAGGGAATCAGTGTGCCAAAGAGGAAAGTTTACAGCCATCGGAGCCGGTCCAGATGCTACAGCTTTGTCGGCGGCAAGGCCTATCTGTAAGAAATCAGACAGCACTTGCATGATGCGTGCAGTAGATTTGACATCTCCGCTGAACGAAGCCTTGGTTGAGGACCACTTGGATGCATCGGGTGACCTCCAGCCCAGAACGGTCGTGAAGCATTGTAATGTCTGATACCAGCCACCGGGACAAGAGACCAGCTCAGAGCCAGCCACATCGATGAGGTAGGACAAGAACTCGACCGCTGATACTCGAATGTCCCTTGACAGATGAGTCATGCCAGCACGCATGAAAGGAAGGATTCTGGTAACATTGTCCCTGACTTCCTCCGCCGGCAGAGTTTGGAAGAGCTTAAGTAGTTGTGTGCGAACTCCACTAGAGCCATCGAGAATGAGAGGGCAGAGGCTGTTGAGAAAACTGTTCATGTTGATAGGCAAAGCTCTGCCCGGTGGATTTAAGGCCACATATGTGCTCAGGTAAGCCAATGCATCTCTACGTTGGACATCCGTACGCGAGCTGAGCAGGGAGACTTGATGAAGGAAAACAGATGTTTGAGTCGGTGCGTTGACATCCAGTTGCTGATTCAGCACAATAGCTGCAGGTGTAATTAGCAATCCTGGTTCTCAATATTTCTCAAGCCAGATAATACCTTTGGCTCGAAAACTGGTATCGGTATGACTGTCAGCCTTGGGCCTAGCCTTGCCGACTTTTAATTTCTGCTTCTGCCCGGAAGTTAGACTTTGCGGACGCTACCTCCGTTACGATAGCCACATACCTGGAAGTCTTTCTTCTTCTCTCTTTTCTTCTTTGCGCTGGACCCCATTTGAAATGATGGCTGGTGTGATGAAGGATGAGGTGTAGCATACCTGATTCAGGTCGAACAAAAAGTTTTTGCGCAACCCGCGGAAATTTAAGGTTCTGACTAGAACGGGCCGCGCCGCTGTAGCCACAGTGGCAGTGAGTGGCGCAGACAACGTGTTTTCTTTCCCAAATAATAATTCCATCTGAACTGCGGCCATGAATTAATGTTGGTAATAGAAATCCTGGGATCGCGCCATCCTTGCCACAAATTGGTGCCTGCGACAAATCTGATCGAGATCTTATGATCCTTGATAGATCCATCTGAAGCTTACTTTGACTACACTGTCTCCAGATTCTCCAGCTTCTCCGGGAAATCGATTCCGTTCTCGCATCTCAACTCGAATGCATAGCAGACCACTCACCAGCGCCGTATCTTGCAACATGCAATGAAACCACCAAACACCCCGTGAAGCGCTTTTTCTACGTCTTGTGCAAATATGGCACCACCACCATCAAGAGTCCGTGCTTTGCAACGCTGCTTCCAATTCCTAGCGCCCATCTGACGGAGATATAGGACAATCTCAACGGCCCATCGGTTGACGCCATGCTACGAGGTCTTACTGACCGGCCCAACGTGCAGTCCACGCTGATCCTCTCCAGAAGAGATGGCTCGATCATCAGAGCCACGGGTCTCGAACCTTTAGAGAAACAGAACAACACTAGCACAGGGGGATCATATCGATGGGTGTCAGCCCGGCAGGAGGCACAAATTGAGCCTGAGAGGGAGGGAGCAACTGGTCCAAAAGAGCTGGAAGCTGAAGACAAACCAGGCCCAACAGAGGTCCTCGCTGCGACCATATTTCACTTCGTCAACAGTGCCACCTCTCTCGGATTGACTCTTGGTAGCACGTCTCGCAATGCTGCTAGTTCGGAAGGAACCGTCGCTGCAGGTGGCTACGGCAGCACCGCCAACGCATCAAAAAGCGACGCCGCTGAAGAAGAGTCGGACTCCAAGGCCAGCGAGGATGAAGTTCAATTGCTCAGATTGCGCACAAAACACCAAGAAATCATCATCTTCCCTGATCCTAATTACATTTGCTGTGTAGTTCAAAGAGCAGGCAAAGCGGGTAATACGGTCGACAACAGACGATGACTCCATTTTGTGTACCGTCTTGGACCAGCCCAAGCACGTCCAGATATTGTCTAATCCTCCGCGGAGTCATGGGCAAATTGCCGAACGTCAAGACAGCTGTGGAATCCTCAAGTCGCTACTGAGTAGCTCTATCATGCCGGGATGTGATAAGGCAAGACATGTTGCTTCAAATATCGCCGACTGCAAACACGAATCAATATCATGTCGGGGATCATTGAACCCCGTTAATATGGATTGGCCACAGAAAGCAGACGCACTCTGGCTCGCTGGCCACTCGCGGTCCCTTACGAAGTACATCCCCCACCCTTTATCTTTCCGGGCACCATGGGGGAAGACAATGGGTTGCTATCGCGGGGCTCAATGCTTATCAAAAGCGAGCATGATGCTCTGGCTTCTCTTATCACAGCCTATCGAACCTGAAGAGACTTTGAATTGCTGTCACTGTGGTATCAGCACGTTACAAACGTTTTCATTGCCGCTGATCTCCTTTTGCCTTATCATGCAGCACAATGCGCAGCGAACAAATACTTAAAGGGCCACGGAGCCCCTACATAGAATGCAACTCTTAAGCCTCAGGGCTGTCTCGCATCTCGCAATATCGCGAGCACGAGTGCCACCTCCAAGTTGCTGGCGACTTTCCGCTTTCCGACGCCTCCTGCTCGATGGTCACTCCCGTGTCGTTCCATCCATGCAGCCCTTAGGGTGTATGAGCGGTTTTTGAAAAGGGGAACTCTTGCAGAGGATTTGGTTGGACATATGGTCATCCCACGAAGTCTGGGGACCTTCATTTGTCACTCGGACTCCGACTACTTGCGCCAAGCAGGCCCTCAGAATGAGAACTCTCGCTTGCAGTCGGTGATGCTGGACTCTCGGCGACCCAAGTCGCAGCTTTCGCGCCACTTCATCATTTCACTACGCGCCGGCTAGGAGATTCGAGATCACTCTTGTTATGAGCCTACATTTGAGTCGAAGTGAAAAGGATCCCAGGCTGGCTGTCAGCAGCGAGGTGCGTCAACTAGGACAAGATTGTCCTAGCGTGGGGGTTTCCTGATCTCTCATAAGAGACTGGCTAGGGTGTGGACCGCATGGTCTCATGAGCTATGCGTACCCCTTCCCTTTGAGAAAAGGAGGTGTCTCGCGATCGACTCTGTTCAGGCCCGACACCTTGCATCCGAACAAAAGGCCGGCGACAAAAGGAAATCGTGCGAATTTCCAACGCACTTGGGTCTGAGCACAGCATGTGATAAACCTCGTCTAAGTGTCGAATGGTGGAGCATCAGGCTGAGGAACCCGGGTTTCCAGCCTACAGGCCCAGGCTCGCTGCGAATAGACCGATGATGGTACTCGTACTGCTAACAGTGGTCATGATGCAGGTAAGGCCCACAGACGAATGGAGAGGGTAGCTGACCAGGGGAGGGGTGAGGGCTGCTGAAAGCTACCTTTGTGCCACGCCCAGACTAGCGAACTACTGCGCTAAGACTGCATCTAAATGCACCCGAACTCGTTGACTTTTGCACAGCATCAAATCATCTGCAGCTCGCCAGCATTGTTCAACGGCAGCAGACAATCCCACCGAGCTTACTTCACATGCTTGGCCAGCAGCATCTTGCCAAAGTACCAACATTGTGGCAGTCACTTTATCGCAGATGACTGTCGAGGATATTTTCTCCAGTACTTACGCCTTTCCGGGATGCAAAGGAGGTATTCCTTTTCTGGATCTTCGCTCGATTCGAAGAAGCCAGGACCACTATTGGAATTGCCTTTTCCGTTTCAGCGGCCTGCATTAACGAGACTACATGGTTTGTTGCTCGCGTGTTCTACTCGGCATCGCGGCCGAGCACACAGAGACAGTTGACTGTGGTTCCTTTGACCGGCGATATCTGATCAATGCTTGCTCTGTGAACATAAGGTCGGTAAATACCTCTTCACTACAAGACGAAACTCAACAAATCTCCGTTCGACCTTGTCTGCTCTTTTTGCGCCTTGGCGAGCCGGGGAAAGTGTTGTTTGGAACGACGACCGCCCTGAAGGTCCCGATCAGGTATAAACACGTCTGGGATTTCTGTTCCCGGAACTAGATTTTCTATGGTCATCCCTGGCGGCGGGACAGCGACCCAGACGATGACACCTGTCTCGCAGGCACTTCGTGGTAAGGCTTTCTACCATGAGAGGCCTATCCAGCTTGTCGTGAGCCTTCAATCGAAGTCCACGTGAACTAGATGTATGTCCCGCCACAGGTCCACCCGCGTTTTAGCACGGTTCGAGATTCGAAAATCTGTGTAACTCGACATCGGACGGGAATGAAATACTTGGTAGCCTATTGGCTGTCTATCAACCACTCAAGCATAATAACGAAGACGACAAGTCGAACGAAAATTACACTTCTTGCCTTGGGTGGGAGACTATCAACTGCAAAGAGTGCGTTTTCGTGTACTGAGATAGGGTCGTCGAGTTTCTGCGCGGTCGCGAAAGTCAGGTTCAAGTTGGCCGTGACAGCAAACCAAAGTCTGTCGCACCGTGTTCCGTCAATACGGGTGTCTACAAGGGCGGATCGACGACATGCATGCCTGAGAACCTTTGGGTATGCTCTAGATCTCGATGACAGTCATTGATGAACCACTCCATAAGAAAGACTACTGAAGATCTCGGGACATCGGATATGTAATTTGAACATCAGAGAGTGAAGCCATATTCCGTTCTAGGCACAACTGAAAAGCTGATCAGCATTACGAAGATGATTCAAAGCCAGATTCTGCAGATGAAATCACAGAAATGATGCTATACAGTGTGGCGATAACAGCCATGGCAGGTCTGATCGGCAGTGTTCCGGGTTGCGCAGCCAGCCAAAGGACTCGCGGTGCGAGACAGTCTCATTTCAGGCTCACGCAAGCTTCACGAGAACCCAAACGAGTATGAATCCTCTCCGTCTTTGATCTACCTGTGTAACGGGACACAATTGGGCCATGCTGATACCAAATGGCCCACTGGACGTGCCTTTGATCTAAGGCTCTCGTAAGTCTGTCAACTGGCCGGCGGCTCGTTTACCTCTTGTGCTTCGCATCATGTTTCTTTGATTGATCCGCTTCATAAGTGGCAAGCTCTAAAGCATGTAGGGCGGAGAGGGCAGGACAATGAAGTCTTTGCCCGGAGAGATTCGCCACAGTCCGGCATTGCACTACGCAGCTGGGTGCGCAGAGCACCGAGCCAGCCAGAGGCGCCGTACCTCGAAAATCTTACAGCAATAATTGACTTCGAAGAGCGGCGTGGACTATGGACAGGAAGTACCCCGCGCTAAGGTAAGAAGAGCATAGGTGAAGGATGGAGAACAGCAATCCTCTTGTGAAGGATTGATTGTATTGACGGGTACTATTCGGAGGAAGTAGGGCCATGTTTTGGTGCGTTCATCAAGCATAATGCCATGTGCTTTCTCGAAGACAGGGTCACTCGTCAATGGAGAAGGGCCGAAGCAAGACAAACCTGTGACTCGCAGGACACGTACTTCGGAAGGGTGATGCCATCAAAGAGCACATGCTTTTGGAGCGAGCTTACGCGCAGACAGCTGAATGGTCGAAGTGGCAATACTCCTGGTTCGAGAACAGCTCTGGAAGAAGACGGGAAAAGTAGGGAGATTTTGGATTTGCAGCGAGCGGAGGGGCGTGCCTTAGATGGCGAGATGGGTCGTGGCTGGCCGCTGCATGTCAAATTGTCCATCCCATGGAGCCTGAGGTGGAATGCCGCCAACCACAAATCGCCCACTAGAATTTGTGGCCGCAGCCATTCGAGATCGGTACCGGTTCTAGTCGCTCGTCAGCCGGGTATAAATGGCCGAAGGCACAAGGCAGATAAAAGGAAGGGCCGACTCTGCGGTACTGCAACTACAAAGGAGCTCACGCAACCATGGGCATCACTGAGTGGTAGCCGACTGGGCTTCTACTCGAAACATTGTCACGCGAGAGGTGAGAAGTGCGGGCGTCAATGGTAGAGTATGGAGGAATATGGAGCATGTCAACTTGATGTGAGCGGGAGGAAGGGTGTAATCGTGGGAGAAGAGGAGCACCGAGGTACCAGACGGGCCACCCAAATCGTGTGGGAGGCAAGTACCTGGTACTTACTATACGAGCACGACGAGGTACTTTCCTTGTTGCCTTTACAAATACAGCACAGTCATCAGACTGCGGCGATTCGATTCGCCGGGGATAAGTGTGCACACCTCATGCATTCACCGATAGATGTCAAGAGCGTTGGTCAACCTGACATCTTGTCGCAGAGGTAACAGCCTTTGTTGGGAGAGCATGGCTACAAGAAGGCAAGGTACTTACAATCTGCCAAACAGCCTGATGGATACTGCTGCACGACCTGGTGGAGTTTGTAGTGGATTCTGCTGGAGCGGCAAGGCTCATGCACAGAATCCCAAGGGACTTCTAGCAAGTCTTTGGCCCCCTGATGCCCGTAACTGGGGAGTTCGGGACTTCTCTCGTGCTTCTCTCACATGCTCCCTTACGATGAGATGGCCTAGCCTGGTCTATCACAGCCGCATCGTCACTTCTCTGAAAGATTCGTGTCCTGGTGCGCACGAGACGAGTTTTTTTCTCCTTCTCAGGCAGCCTAAGATATGTTTCGGCATTCGCCTGTGTCAGTGCTATACTCGTACGAGTAGCATGTTGGCGGCAATCGCACCCGCTTGTTGGACAAAGCAATTCACACTCCGACGCCTGTAGGGAATCCAGTTCCGTGCCATCGCCGAGAGCGAGCGCAAAGACATGATTGATGAGAGTGCCATGACTACGGAGCATGTACTCGATGCAGCAGCATGAGAAGTGATGGTAGCTGCAGAGTCCAAACGGATTATCAGTGATTCGGCGACTGGGATTGGACACTCGAGATATTGATTATTGTTCGCATTACGAAGTGTCCCCTGAGTTATTTTGAAAGCAGCAAACCCATATGATTATAGCCGACGCTGGCACCAGGTGAATTGCCGTTATAGGCTCTGCTCCTCCCACGCGACGCCCGGAAGAACCACATCCACTGTGACCCCCGAACCCACGCTACTGTAGCACCAAGGCGACCGGGGATTCGCGAACCTTTGACCACAAAGACGGATCGCTTAAAATAAAGACGAGGGCCAGTGTGCCAGCCTCGAACCTGGAAAGCCACCGAAAAGCCCACTCTGACCACCCTGCATGCGCTTCATTCATAGTACGACCATCTGCGCACCATTCATTCCCACCAACGCCCCAAGAACTCACCCCTCCAGACTTTCCCTTTCTAGGTTGCTGGCACGTTCCTCAACTCATCAACCCTGGACCTGGGACTTGCGTCGACTTGTCACCCTCGCAGGTAGGCCCCTCTTCTGGTCAACGAATCGTCCGCTCCTCGTACCTTGGAGGTACATTTCGTCACAAGTCTGGTTTCTCTCTCTGCGCAATGCATTTGGCAGGTTCTATTATAACTTCATACAGAGTATTCTGGGAAGAAAGGCTTCCAGTCGGCACCGTCGCCACCAGTCCAACAATGTCCAACCTCGAGTCTCGACGATCGAGTCGAGTACTAAACCTTAACCCAATGCCATTCTCTCCGAGCATTTGTCCCCCAGTGATCTTGTCCGTTTCTACGCAACGTCCCGCAATTCATCCCTAGAATACTATCACTGGCTCTCTGGCTGGCCCTAGCTTGGCCACTGGTTCCCACCGGCGCCATGCCGACACTCGTCCTGTGCGGTTCCCACCTGTGGTCCAATCCCTCCGGGTAGCGAGCATTTGGGCCAAAGAGAAGGAAAGGAAAGGAATAGCAATTGGGAAGATCCGGATCAAGATCAAGAACGAGAAAGCCTCTTAACATTAATTGTCAATCGTCAGGGATCCGAGTGGCTGTCGAGGATGAAACTCGATCTGAAGCCACCTTCTGAATCTTTGTCTGGCTCTCGGGATTACCTTGTTCGCTCAGCATCCCGCCTGGGTCTCAATGACTATGGCTCCCAGAGTGATCTCTCAAATGTCAATCTGCTTCAGCTCCATCACCCTCGTAATTGCTCTCGTGCCCGTTGTTTGTCTGTCTGGCTCCATAGGTCAAAAGGGCCCAACACAATAGAAACAAAGGCATTCTGCCGAGAAGACCCTGAAGAACTGGGTCAATCTTGTACCGAGGAGTATGCTGTCAGGCTGTTGTCGGCGTCGCTATGCTGGCCCACGCCCAAGCATCCCGATCTGCTCTCGATCTCCAAGAGGCTTCCTCACCAAACGCCCACTGTCGCCCTCTCAGGCGACTCCGTTCTTCCCAGACTTAATTATTGCCCCCCAGAGAGCTCCAATCTCCTCCACTAGGGTCTCATTAGCCGGCGACTTCGCAGCACTAATGCACCCATCCTTTTAACCCTGGCCACACTTGACGCACACACCCTCGTTGCAAGCCTTCAACCCACTGCACCACTCTGCGCCTTGACCATCATCCAACGCCTCTCCGCTCCTCCTCATAGGTTGCGTGCCTCTTTACTCTGCACCCTCCCACCTTGCGACGGCCGACCGTGCCATACCTGATGCTCTCCTGCCTTCTCTTCTGCCGACTCTGACTTTTTTTGTCTCGTGGTGGCGATGACACTGCTGCCGCTCACCAGACACTAAGAAGAGCACCAGTTTCCGATTCATTCACACCTACATCATCTCGTGTAACTGCACTGCTGATGCCATACCTATACCTCATACCTTTTCGTCCCGTCTTCATTCGGTCTGCTGCACGCGACTCTTCCACTCGACCCCGGTGATGTCGGGTGTGGACTACAAGTATGAGGAACGTGGGGGAACTGCAGCTTCGCGCGCAACCTCCGCCATCCAATCCCCGACCGACCACTTCTATTACCCTACTACTCAGCCCTCGTCTAGTCTTGACGACACAGACTCCTCGACCTGGTCCAGCCTAGGAGGACCTTTGACTGCCTATACCTCTTCAACCAACCTCTCCCCCGCCAATCTCTCTTCAACTGCGGAATCTCAAGCTACCCTCACCTCGAAACCTACCAAGCCCAACCTGGATCTCTCTACTTCCGAAGCCGTTGCTCGCAATGAGGTGTTGTTACGGGACACTGTCTTTCCCGAGTGGAAGGACGACGCGGGGCCTGCCGACCTCGACAGTCCCGAAGAATTGCAAAAGAAGGATCCTCTGGGAACTCAGATATGGAGACTCTACCACCGGACCAAATCTCGACTGCCAAACCAGGAACGTATGGAGAATCTGACCTGGCGGATGATGGCGATGAATCTTCGCCGTCAAAAAGAACGGGAGCAGCAGCAAGCAGCGTATGAAGAAGCCACTCATTCCGGCAGCGAAGCTCGCATGGCCGGTGCTGACGACCTGATTTCTAGTGCAATGAAAGCGCAGTTCAAGAGTCCGGCACAGCCCTCTAATGCTCCTAGCGGGATTGCCCAGCAACTGCGCAGATCTGTCGATCAGTCCGCGGACAATGAGCAGCCGCTATCAGATCCCATGAACCTCGACGACTTCATCGTGCCCAGTTCGGTGGCTTCACCTGCCGGGCTGACAGCACCCTCGCCATCAGAAAATCAGGTACAAATCAAGCAATTTCAGACGCCTAGTATACCCATAGCTACTCGGAACAAGATGCACGTCCAGATCCCCAAGGACCTACCACCCTCATCTGCACCTCAATCCTCCATTCCCTTCCACAGAACATCAGAGTTCGACTACGTACAGAAACGGGTTCGAAAAACCAGCATCGACGAAAGGACGAAAGGGGTGAGTTGCTGAGTTTTGGATTTTATCGTTTTTGAGCGTCTTCACTCTGACACTTTCTAGGCTCGAAAGCGACCAGCCGAGTTCTCTCCCCAAGTACCTCCTCTAGGTGCGCCGAACCCGTCGAACAACACCGAAGTCGATTCTGGTGTCCCTGATTATGCTCTGGACCAACCTACTCCTCAATTTACTGGTGCAGCCAGCTTCCAGGGACAAATGTCGATGCATCTGGACTCTTTCCACCTTAGCGATGATCCCATTCTCACATCGGCCGGACCTTTCCAGCACAACTTTGCCTTCTCTCCTGCAGCTTCACCTATGGTCACAAACGGCCCTTTCTCAAATGTCTACAACCAAACCTCCATGGCCTCTTCGCTCAACTCGGCAGACTTTTACTCTCCACCCCAGTCTGGTTATCCTTCGGCTGTCTCGACGCCACAGCCGGGCCATGATGATCAGCACTTCTATTTCGACCAGAGCAGCCATCGGTCCCTGCCATATTACGCGGCTCAACGAGCGAATCACATGATGACTCCCATGTCCGCCCAATTTGCGTATGGACCCAACAATGAGCAGATCTACACGGCCATGAACGGGGTCAGTTCCGCTCCGTCAATGCATGGCTTCACAATACAGCAACATGTAGACCCTACTAACGTTCTTGGTCCTGACTATGGCCGCCGAGTCTCTCCTGGTATCTCCATGCCTGGAAACGACAACATGTTCCAGTTTGGAGCCGATTCTGATGGTGAAGACGAGGATGGCAACTATGCGGAGCGTGGCCTCATGATGCAATCCGACTACGGTCAAATGGGAGATCCAACACTAGACCTCAACTCCGGTCTGCAGTGGGATCCTACTGTCGACTACAACAGCATGTCACGATACGCTGGGAGCGCAAAACAAGTTCGGATTGGTGGCACCGAAATGGTCAACTCACCTCCAGATTGGAGTGGTTCCATGCTGAGCCGAACACATGGCTCAGCAGCATCGATCAGCGACATCCGAAACCGAGACCAGGATCCGCGGCGACAAAAGATCCCCAGAACGACTTCGACGCCCGCTCTGTCCCATCAGCATATGCAGTCCGCTCAAAGCTCGCCGGCCGAATCTGGACTCAGTAGTCGGCAGCCGTCGAGACCTGGCAGTCCAGGCCCGAAGAGCACCGATCAAAACGGGGTACCCACAACGTGCACAAATTGCTTTACTCAGACTACGCCGTTATGGCGACGTAACCCGGAAGGCCATCCTCTCTGCAATGCATGTGGTCTGTTCCTTAAGCTTCACGGAGTCGTTCGTCCTCTGTCACTCAAGACCGATGTCATCAAGAAACGCAACCGTGGCAGTGGAAACGCCGTCCCCATGGGTTCTGCAGCAACGCGGGCGTCTAAAAAGTCGTCTCGAAAGAATTCGGTTCAACAAACTCCGGCATCAACTCCTACGGCCGCTAGTGAGCACAACTCGGCTTCTCCAGCCTCGATCCAAGGATCTGTTCACTCGGGATCCGCTGTGACCACGCCGACGAGTTATCCGCCTGGCACAACAGGCGGAAAACCAGGCGTTGTACCAATTGCTGCTGCACCACCGAAACCACCTGTCCAGCCGGGTCCCAACATGACCCGACCAGTACAGGTTACACCGAAACGTCAGAGGAGACAATCGCGGGCGTCCACCAACGCTTTGCCCACCATAAGTAACCTGGCAAACACGAGCAACAGTGTCGGGTCCAGCAATGAAAGCGAGATGCCCGACGCTGGACAGGCTACACCGAAGGTCAGCCAGGCTCCTGTTACTCGAGCCAAGGCAGCCAGCATGTCCACCACAGCTGGGGCGACCACAATGGCGTCCGTCATGCAGGGCGGTCTGCTGAACCCAGGAATCCAGAATATGCCTCCAGGCCCGCATGGTAACAGCCAAGAATGGGAATGGTTGACCATGAGCTTGTGACCGCCATTCGGGTTCAGGCCTCCAGTGACAGGGCTCGACATGTTTGTGTCTCGATTGATCGATATACCCTTTTCACATTTCTTTTTGTGTTTGCACATAGACCACGTCGATTGTTTTTCCGCCCCCGCGCCGACCACCACCAACCAGTTATACGACTTGACGACCATGTGATACACGAATCCTGATTCAGTCTTCATACCTTCGCGGGAACACAGCTTGGCTGCGAGACGAAATATTTTTCGGCTAAAGTCGATCAAGAAAGAAATGTTTTCGGAGATGTTTGTGATGCAGATATAATGATGGGGATTTTGTGGTTTGTGGAATTGTTTGTCTGTCTATTCAGTGATATCACCGCGTCTGTTTTCGAAAGCTCGTGGGTATACACGGCGTCGAGCAGAAGTGCGCATTTGCCTTTTGTTGGAGACATGGAGGAGAAGAGGTGGCCTCAGGATCGAATTGGATCTAATGAAGATAGACCCGGAGATGGTTGAGATAGCCTGGATGAAATGTGATGACAGTGGGAGGACGATAATAGAGACGAATGTTGAGGAGACGCGTTGCGATTGATATCTAGAGATACAGCGGGTAATGGAGTGTTGGAGACGCCAGCAATACACGAATGATCCCTTCAAAACAAGATTCAATTGTCTTCTAGTCGAAGCTGACTTACGGAGTACCCATATCAGTACTCCGTACGGAGTATCGTGCTATATCAATGCTGAACACGTGCAAGAAGACATCCACGTGATCCACCCATCGTCGATTTCGCTTTCTCGTCGCCTCGGAAGTAATCGGCCCGATGCGTCCACATCAGATAAGATCAAAGACGACCTCGAAACATCTAGCATTTCCTTCTTGTTCCATCGACTTTCATCTGCCTTTGATCACTTGTGCTCTTGTTGGGATTTGAATCTGCGCGTTGCATCGCCTCAATAACTCAATCGCCTGCGGGGTATCTTTCTACGAGTACAGCGGTCCCTGCGCGTGGATTAATCTGCTCACCGAGAGTTGGTTAGGCAGAAGCAGGACGGAATAAGGGCCGCCTACAACACCAACGTACAGGAGGTGCCTCTTCGCGTTTGCATTTTGTGCCAGAGCTTGACTTTGGCAGCAAGCTCAGAACCAGTCAAAAACACATTGGATTATTCTGAGGGTACTTGAGCAACGGTGTGCGGACACTCGTTAATGGTTTAGTATCAGCTCCCTGAAGCGAAACGGCAATTGGTGTCACTCGAAATGGCGTCTCCAGAAACCAACGCCGCACCAAACAATACTACTTTGCCGGGCGAGGTGACCGGTGTGATTCCTCATGTAGCTTCGGAAAAGGACAAGACGACAAATGATGCACCAAACAATACCACCTTGCCAGGGGAAGTGTCAGGAGTGATTCCTGATGAAAGCGAGAAGAAGGCGACTACTGATGCGCCTAATGCCACCAGTCTGCCTGGGGAGGTGTCCGGTGTGATTCCTGATGCTAAGGAGGAAAAGACAACCACGGATGTTCCAAATAGTACGACTTCGGCGGGAGAGGTCTCTGGGGTCGTACCGGATGCGGCAAAGGAGGAGACCACTCCAGGTATAGTAAGTGAAGCGTGGATGGTCGTATCGAGAATATTCATTAACCAGGAATAGGAGAAGAAGACCTCGCCCATTCAGGAACTTTGGACACTGGCTCAGTCAAGCGGCCACCCCGAGATCTGGGGAGTTACACTAGCCAATCCAGATAGCCACATACCATCCCAGGTCGTCCTGCAGAAGTACCTCAACGCCAACGATGGGGATCTTGCGAAGGCCAAAGATCAACTCACCAAAACGTTGGAGTGGCGAGCAAAGATGAAACCCCTGGAGCTAATGAAGAAGAAATTCAACCGCGCCAAGTTCGAAGGCCTGGGTTATGTGACCACTTTTGGTGCAGGAAGTCCAGAGGCAGAGACTAAGGAAGTCATCACGTGGAACATCTACGGCAGCGTCAAGAACCTTGAACAGACGTTTGGGAATCTGGAAGAGTAAACTTGAGTCTCCGATTGATGCGCGGGACCATTGCTGATCGTTAGTAGGTTCCTCGAGTGGCGGGTCGTCCTGATGGAAGAAGCGCTACAGTCCCTTGACATAAGCAAAGCCACCAAGCCCATTACCGCCGAGTACGACCCGTACAAGATCGTCCAGGTGCACGACTACAAATCGATCAGTTTCTTGCGCCAGTCGCCTGTCGTCAAGAGCGCGAGCACCGAGACAATCAAGGTGTTTGCGCAGAATTATCCGGAATTGTTGAAGGAGAAGTTCTTTGTCAATGTGCCGGCGTTCATGGGATTCATTTACGCGTTCATGAAGCTTTTTGTGGCGCAGAAGACAATCAAGAAGTTCCATCCGATGAGCAATGGAGCGAACTTGGCGAGGGAATTGGCGACGAGTAGTCACGTCAAGGGATTGGCAGATGATCTGCCCAAGGAGTATGGTGGAAAGGGGCAGGATCTGAGTGTCCAGGGCAGGCAGACGGCTTTGGAGGAGCCTGAGGCAAAGGCTTGATGCTGGGCACCCGCCACGGCCATATCAGGCAGCTTCGGAGGCTCAGCAGAAGGACTTGCCTGTACGCAAGGTGGAAAGGAAGGCAGGGAATAGTTCAAAGGAGCCTGTGAGCATGATACTACTGTAATGAGGAAGGGAGACGGAGAAGTATCATGGATCAATCGTTGGATGGGACAGCCGGTTGATACCTCAAGAGTGGAAGAAAGCAGATAACTAGATACCCTGTCGCGTGTTCATCCACTAAGGTACCTTACGATAGCAGGACATACTCTGTATTACTCCGTACAGGTGTTGAAATGCGATAACTTGTATTTCTTCCTCGGCTGCTGGAGACCATCGAACGCTGATCGCCCGGTGTTTCTTTCCGTTCTCGCTGACCTTTTTCACCATGACGTGCATGACGTAGAACTGCTCGATCTGCCCCGCTAGTTCTTTCTTCACCAAACATGTGCATCACTCACGCTTCTTGCGTAACGGAGGCACTTCGTATCATTTGCTTGCAACTGCCTGCCTAGGTGCCTGACGCTGAAGTTTCTTTTCCGGCAATAAAACACTTCATCTTTCTTCTCATACCTCTCCTCTTCTCTCTATCACACAACCACACACCGTCCTCGCGCTAGATCAATTCATATCAGTACTCCATTGATCCTCTCCCACGAACAACAGAACCTCAATACCCAACCCGCCACCATGTCTGACAACGCTCGCAAGCCCTTGACTGATCGTACGTTCACTTCCTATCCTGGCCCGGCGTCTTCCACTGACTTGTTCTAGGTGTCGGCGAGACCATCACTCCTGATTCTCAAAAGTCCTACGCCGACAAGGCCAAGGAGACCACCACTGGTACCGCAGACAACATTGCAGGCATGGTTCAGCCAGGTGAGCATCCTCCCCCAGCCCTCTGTTTGCAACATCTTCTAATCTCCACTTCAGGTGACAACAAGTCAACCAGCCAGAAACTCTCTGATGAGGCTTCCTCCAAGACCGGCACTGCTCAAGACACTGCCTCCAACCTGACCCAAAAAGCCTCCTCCACCGCCGGCTCCACTACCGAGAGCGTCCAAACCAGAGCATCTGACCTAGGTCAAAAGGCCAGTGAAAATACCGGTGCTGCTCAGAAGAATGCTCAAGAGACTGCTTCCAACTTGACTCAGAAGGCCAGTGAAAACACTGGTGCAGCACAACAGAACCTCAAAGACACTGCTTCCAACCTCACCCAACAGGCTAGCGAAACTGCTGGTGCTGCCCAGAAGAACATTCAAGAGACCGCTTCCAACATCTCCCAGACTGCTCAATCCAATGCAGGTGCTGCTCAAGAAACTGGCCAGGGATTGATGGGACAGGCACAGCAGATGGCTGCAAATGCGTTGAACAGTGCTAGTAAGGCTGCATCCGGTATGGTCTTCCCGCTATTTTAGAGTGATTCATACTGACTGTCGTGCAGATCTCGCCAACACCATCTCTGGTGAGAAGAAATGAGCAGTGGACGACATTGACCGACGCTATCACAAGAAACTGCAAGAATGCAGAGTGTATCTACGACATGCCGAACACGAACCTGTTACGAAAGACATGGAAACACCCCTCCGCCCTGGCATGGCCTGTGCCGGTCCTTTCTTAGCAATAGCACCGAGTGTGCCTTGATGGACAGCCTTGACAGAGAACAGACGATTGGTAGTTTAGTACTTTACTGAAGTAATAATAGTTATTCTTCACAAGATCCAAGTCGCTCATTGCTTGATTTTTTGGTCTCTGGCGGTCGTTGACTTCAGTCCTTCCGGTATTGGCAGGCTGAAGAGCTCCTGTTCATTTTCCTTGCTCACATAGAAAGGGTGGATGATCCTGTTCTACAGCAATTTCTTCCATACATCGCCCGCTTGCATAAACACGAAGATCATTCAAGCATCTCATCCGCTTTTTACAGGACTTCACTACAACCGGTGCATGTCAGCGGTTGCCGTCGTGTCCACCAGGACCTGCCCCAAGCACCTCGACTGCTGACTTCACTTCGTGGGCAACCGGCTTCATTGTCTTGGAATGCAGGCTTCGGTGTCATGAGCACTGGGCGGAAATGTTGCAACTAGCTCCGGGACCCCGGCCTGTGTTTGACAGATGCTGCTTTTACCGGGGAACTGTCTCGACCATATAATCCCTCTTTAATGCTTCTCCGATTGTCTTCCTCCGTCTTGCTTCTTGTATTTCGCTGAGCGAGAAGCTGTGATTTCATGGTCAGGCCCGTGAGTGAGAAGAGAAGAGCCGACGGACGGGCGAGTCTCAGTTCGGTCTCAAAATACTCTCCACCCTTCGCCGCCCGTGATCATCAGCGCGGCTTGGTCTTTGTGTTTGTCCGCCATGCTGGTCCAGAAGCTCGAAGCGTCGGTGACAGGGTCGGTGCCGAATTTGCGTTCGCAAAATTGTAGGAATCGGCTGAGCTCGGCGAGTGAGGTATCGCGAATCTCGGCGGGTAATGTTGAACCGGTACCGGAACCAGAGCCGGATGTGGTTGAGGTGGAGGTGGAGGTTGATTTTGAATGCTGCGTGTACGTGGTGGGAGATGATTTCGAGTTCGAAGGGCCGCTGTCTCTGCTTGCGCCTGTACCTGTGCCTTTGCTGGAGTATGATGGTGGTGGTGACAGGAGGGTGGATTTGTAGGATTCGACTTGATCCAGGAACGAGGATGCTTTGTTGAACGCTTGGTTGTTGCCGTCAGCATGTGAAGAACAAGAAGAGAAGGAGGAGGAGCCATGACCGTCGACGCCGTTGTTTCTGTCTGTGTCTCCGTCTCTCTCTCCCCAGACGGCCTGGAACACCTCGGCATTCTTGACGTCTCGGTACCAGGCACGGGCGTTGTCAAGGTCCCCTTCGAGCCGGTGGAGGATGCCGTGTAGATACATGGCTTCCCACGCGGGCTTGGCCTGCATGTGGCGTAAGAGGAAATGTGCAGAGGGTAGGTCGAGGTTGAGAAGATGTAGGGCGGACTCGATGACGGGATGGACTTGTAGCGAGGAGATGTTGTGTGACGGGATGTGTGGTCTGGCAGGGGATACGGGCAGGGAGAGAGGGATGTGTGCCGGCGATGGGGTAGTGAGGGTTTCGAGCACGGATTTGTAGGTTGAGAAGCCTGGATCTCGATCTCGGTAGGAGGTGGAGGCCATGATTTGACGGTGACGTGGAGGTTGAAGATGGCCGTTATTTGTTTCTCGCTCTGCAGTCTTCTGGGCGATTGGGTTTGTGAAAAGAAGGCTTTCTGGTATTTCTAAGGAGCTGTTGCTGGTGACCGAGTATGGGGGGAGTCTAGGTAGAATGGGCGGTCTTAACTTAGAGGCCGCGATGTCGTTGTCCGGATTGCTGGCTGGGTATCTGAATACTTACAAGAAAAACCAGGGAATTGGACAGGCTGTAGTCAGAACCGACAGATCTATTAGATTAGGTCTGAGGCATCGTGTACGAAGGAAGAGGTGACGACTCCGAGACGGGTGATAAATATTCCAGTTCGAACTTGTCGACGTCATGATACGACCAGCGACCACAAGACTTCGAGATAGATTATTTCTTGACCGAATCTTGCATGAATCTGGAAACTCCGGAGCTTACCTGATGATATCATTCAACCGCATTCAATGCAAAGGCGATCGCTTGAGCAAGAGAGAATGAGAGTAGCTGAACTTCGAGACCAAAGGACGAAGTCTGCCCAGATATGGTTAGCCTCGTAAGAGCCACACACGTACCAGGTGCTATGGTGTGTAAGGTAAACATTCCCTCGAGTTTGACGAAAGACGTCTATTAAATCCCTTCATCCGTCCAGAGAACACCCACGCCGAACAATCAAGATCCAGAACAAGGGAATAAAGAGCAGGAGATTCGGAATAAGCCGTTTTTTTCGATCGGTATTATATTCATATACCATACATAAAAAAGCCCTGAAATAGCTCCCTCCACGCACTTTCGAACTCTTTTGTCCAAAGGCTTGCACAACTAGTGCAATGATTGAATTCAATCATAGTCTCGATATGAAGCATGTGGTTCAAAATGCTCCTTGATATTCTGACATGATCTCAATGGCAAGTACAGTCCAGCCTGGGGTATCAAAATTTTTTCAGGTGGCTGCTGCATTAATGAGGCGGTTGGTGATACAATCCTGAGCATGGCCTTCCACTTTGAGTGGCATCGGACTGGACATGACTATCAAGAATCCGGTCTCCTGGTCCTGACCGATTGTCTCAACTGGCGCGGCGATGCGTCATCACCAATGGTGACAGGGCAAAGGCAGCCTTGATGAGCAATTAGTCGATGAACCTTGTCGGCTTGACATCCACGAAAGAGGTCATCGCTCCTGCAACTCAAGTGCACTGCACTTGTCACGATCAGCTTCTGCACTGCCACCGGCATCTTTCTAAGAAGCCGTGATAATCGTGTCTTTCAGGTACTGTGCTGCCAGGTTCGGGGCAGAAGCGAATTGCTGAATTGAGCAATACGTTGCCACACGCTTGTTGTCCATGTTGTTAGGCAAAGCCCTCCTGGGTTCTGCCCAACTTCTTGCCGGTACCTGCCATTGCTTCGGTGTGTTGTCATACAACGGTGCCACGGGATCTTCGATGACATCGCGAACCATACGAGGATCAGCAAGAGTCCTTCTCACTTGCGTCTGGAGGGTTTCGTTTGTCTTTGACAAAGTTCTCTTGTGACCTCGTGGTGAGCTGTTGATCGGTCGCATGGCAAGGATACCTTGTTCTGCCAGCCGCTGTGGTGTAGGCGTCACACTCTGACTCGGAGTCTCAGAATGTGATGACAACGACATCAGTGCCTGCAGCGCATCGAATTCCGAGCTGGTTGCGAATGGGTGCTTGGACCCTTTGGCGAATGCTTCCTCACTACTACCATAACCCTCATCGCAGAATCTGCTAAACGAAGTATCTGGTCTCAGCAGCGTCGTCGACGGGGGTTTGACGTTTTCATCGGAGGATGAGAGGATTCTCGCCAGTGGTGAGCTGAATTGCTCGCTTCCACTGCCTTTCGACCGCAGGGTCGAAGACCATGATGAACTTGAGGAGATGGAAGAAGATCGCGAACGCGAAGTCAGTGGTGGTGTTTCTGAAACAATGGAAAGGGGCGAGGCAGTGAACACAGATCTGCTAGAGTGCTCCCGGCTAGTCTCTGCAGGACGTAGAAGGGATCTCATAGATGGTAATGCGTCGCACTGAGGTCGTGGTGGCGGGCAACGCTCCAGATTCGCATTCATAAAACATTGCTTTCGCATATTGCGCAGCGCATCTACCGATGCGGAGCAACGAAGCGAAGGTCTGTTGCAATTACTGGCCCACTGGAAATTGTCTGCAACCCGAGGAGTCGTTTGTGGGGTTGGCAGGTTCCGCAGGTGAGGTCGCATGGGTAACGCAGAGCCACGAGCCGGACTCATCTCCATTGGAGTCTGTGGAGTGCTAGGTTCCTGCCGAGCTGCGCTTGACTTGAAGCTATCGCTGAAGTTGAGGTCGTAGGCTGGGGGAGTCGTTGCAGGAATTGCATGAACAGACTCCTTTGTTTGTTTCTCGAGATGATAGGCGGAAACCTGTGCCATCTGGTCCGCTGGTAGGTTCCTCAGGAGGAAGTCATCCGCTAGCTTCACGTCCTTGACTAGTCCTGGACCAAGCTGATTGATTACATCCGTCCACCATACGTCAGTGAAGACGTGAGGGGCGTTCGGCTCTTCCAAGTCGACTTGAGACACCATATCAACCAATGAATTGCTCGACCCGTTACCCGGAGGAGGATAACCGGAGCCAGGCGAGCCCAGTCTGGATTGAGGTTGCTCTTTGCAGACTCTGCTGAGTGACAAGACGACCTTGCTCCAAACGTCAAATGACTCTTTGGGGACGTGAAGCTCGTAATCAATGATCTGAAGATATTCTCTTTCGTTCTCATTGATTTCGTTGCTGCGCAGACCGGATATCTTGCTCCAAGCTCTAGCTGAATAATTCCTGTCTTGAAGGTATTTCGAGGCTAGCATCAAAGCCGACAGGAACATCCGTCGACCACATTGCATAGCACGACAAGGAGATCTGTCCCCACAAGCTTCGTCGCTGGCCTCGGATTCCGTACGTGCAGAGGGGAGCTTGGCTTTGAGTAAGACTAGGTAGTACAAGGCAACCTGCAGCGTCGAATAGCTGGTCTTGGATCTCCTTAGAGTCTCCTGGATGAAGACGCGTAGCGGGAGGACCCCGGCGCCATTGAAGCATGTCGATGACATTGGGGGGCAAGCGGACATCGGCCAGATGGCTGTAACGAGCTTTGTTGCAAAACAGACGAGTAAGGCAACAAAATGTTCGGTGATGTCGGTATCCCGCTTGAGTTTGCAAGGCCCTGACAGGCTTTTGCCGATACAGGTTGAGCGTCGGGAGCTTGTTTTGTGGACCAAACGTTCGGCAGGGATTTCTCCGGCGTAAGGCTGCGTACTTCCTTGTGAAGAGATCCTTGAACAGGCTGAGGGTCTTAGGTGAACACTTGAGTCTGGCTTCACGCCCTGGTAGAACTGGCTTGCCGGCAAGCGGTTGCGGCAAGAAGCCTCATCCTTGGTCTGAAGTCCCTTCAGCAGATATTCTTGAGGCTCCACGTTGTGAGAGCCATTTGAGCATCGGGATGGCTGCTCATCTTTCTCTTCATCGTCCAAGAAAATCTCGGCAGGATCGGTAGCGCTTGTCCATACAGTATGGCTTGACGACTCCGATGAATGCGACGACTGGGAAGAATCGCTGATGCTCACAACGTCATCCGCAGAAGCCACGCTGCCTTGGTCGACATCTTTCTTGAATTTGCACTGGCCCGTGGGCCAGATCGACTGTGGGACTTTGTAATGACCTTGATCATCGAGCCAGCCTTGCACATTTTGTGGATTATAGGAGTTAGAGAAACCTATGGCTTCTCCAACGCCCATCTTCCTATGATTTACAGAGATCTATGCCAGATTTAAGAGGTCAGATCTCGGCCCAACGGAGATCAGTTCGGCACTTCTTGCGTGAATGTGGTATGGTAGTCGAGAGAAAACAGAAGTAGTAACCTGATAATCGGTATGAGCATAACTTCCAGATCCAACTTGGTGATCGGCCTTACCGGGAGGAATAGAAGGGTCGCAAACCCACCGCGAGGCAGAGAACAATATCAGCTGTTTCGTTTGCACAGGGAGATCCTGATCTAACCAGCAGTACCAGATACGCTTGCGCAATAGTTATGCCGAAACAAACTCAGGCTTGCAGATATCGGGGTACAGGTGCTCGTCAATCCTAGGATTGCCTTGATGTAGAATGACCAAAACAGCGTGTGACTCTGGCGGTGGGCTTTGACGAAGAGATGATTCTTTTGAATAGTTCGTTGTCCAAGAACTCATGTTTGTCTTTCGACTTGATTTATGGCTGTGTTAGAGTGGAGATGGGTATTTGCAGACTGCGCTTTGGTGGCGTTGACGGGCCTCCAAGCAGTAAAAGCAGAGATGAAGGTTGTGATTCAGTTTAGATCGCTGATAAGGGATGGAGGTGACGGATTGGTGAGGAGTTGGTAATTAGAGGTGAATTGTGTATGGTGAGCAGTGAAATGTGAGGCTCGAGGACGGTGGTGTAGATAGGACACCTGCCGTCCACGTCCGCAGTTCGGCTAGGGTCTCCAGGAACAAAGAGTCGTTGTTTCTGAGAATGGTAGTGGCGATGTGTAGAAGGATTCTGAAGCCTTGATGACCTGTAGATAGCCATTGTGGTGAGTCAGTGGTTTGTTTGGTTCATAGAGTGAGTCTTTCGACTGCAGGCATGCGTGGCGAAGAGCGCAGTCGCAGTCAGGACGTGCTGAATGCTTACAAGAGAGGGTCAGATCGATCAGGACCAGAACGTTTGTGTGTTGGTGGTTGATAAATCGATCGACTTTAAACAACGCCAATTATCCAGCAGCCAACGCTGCATGCCATGGTTTGCTTCATCTTGGTGGACTTTTGGTAGAGCAGGACTCCCGGTGTTGCAGGCGAGTCAATGCAGGTATATGGATTAATGGGCGGCTTGGGGGGCACTGCTGGGTGACTGCCGTTCTTCGCCACAGCCCAACGCCGCTCGCTCAGATCAGCGGATGACTCAAACAGCCTTTAACAGGACCAGACACCCTCTCACACCTCTCCAACTTCTAGCCACCTGCTCCAGCACAATTTTATCCACTACTCAGCCCAGCCCAGGCACACAATATTGAACCTTACTGTCGTACTGTATACTGCGGCCTGCAATAGTCACCTGGATTCTGAGAATTCTATTGCCTCTATGGAGTACTCCATATTATTGCGACTGCTTTTGCCTACAGAGCATTGTTTGTACGCCGCACTGAACACTGGCTCAATTGATCTCGCTGGTTCAGGATTCTTCGTCTTGACTTTCAGGCAGCCTGAGAAGCCGAGACGAGACCGCCTGCTCCTCCCAAGGTTCAACAGCCGTGGCTGTTTGCCAGGTCGAGTGACACTTGTCCACCAGGCAGAAAAAGTCCATCTGCGTGCAATTCAGGGCGCTGCTGAATGTTCTCGCAGCGTTTGTTAGTCATCTACGAGCAAACCGATCCTGCCTCAATATATGTGCATTTGCAGTAAAAAGTTTCCGCCTGCTCCTCGTTCTTGTCCAGACTTCTGTGCCTCACCTACCTCTCTAGCCTTGAAACGGGCACATCAAATTGACATGTAACCGGACAGAGAACCAGTCCTCCCAGCCAACAGGTCAAGCGACGCAACACGAAGAAGCAATGAATGCGACTCCTCGCAAAGCACAACTAATCAGAACGTCTGACAGAGCAGCGCCGGAAATGGATCGGACCAGTCACTCTATGGCTGAACAGTGAATCATCGTCAGCCTGATTCGCCCCAGGAAAAATGAGGGTAATACTGCCGTGTGAAGTTGGTCCTTGCGCGTCACATCAGCAGGTGATGAAGGCCGAGGGAGCACGGAAGAGGCGTGAATAGGCTGCACAGTGCTGGACAAGTCCGGAGAACGGAAAATCTCACGGAGCAACTGCAACATGACTCAAAATCTCATTTCAACCGAGCGGCGAATGATCAAGAGGCGAACGCCACCTTGCCTTCTTAGGCCAGATGTCCGGTGCCTTCTTCCAAACATTGATCCCAATCCCAACCACATTGGATATTGATGTTATTGCCAGCCTTTGCAATAGCTGCATTCCGCAATGTATGCTCATTTGGACTCAGATGGCTCGTAAATCTGAAAAGAGGCACAGTGCTGGGATGGGGGCCAAATTTGGGGAGTCTTCGGTCGCTGAATACTGCCTCGTAAATGTGTGGCTGATGGTGGAGAAGAGCTTTATTGGTCCATTTCCATGTCATCTTGCATTGCTAGGCTCCGGTCGCTTCTCTTGGCCCAGCTCCAAATCGCGATCAGACTTTCCTGCAAATTCCGAGACCAAGACTCTGAATCTCGTGGAGTTTCGGCAGGCAGCAGGACGAGTTGGAGGGCCACAACGACTCGCCCTCCGATCACGTCTGCCGTGAAACTGTGGCCGCCATGGCGGTCGCAAAGCTCGTCAGATGGGATGGGTTGTACCTATCAAGTAATGGGACCAATGTTGTGCACAGCAATGCACAATTCAAACCCAGCCTCTAGACAGGAGTTTCCAGTGGGACACGCAGCGCTTGTTTGTCATCATCTTTGCTTCTTGAGGATCAGAGGTCACTGAGGGTCCCCCGTTGCGGTTGTGGTCAGCAATCCGCCAGCACTGATTTCCAGAAACGCATTATGCCTGGCCTCTATGTGCCTTATGGGATGCTCGTTTCGGCCCACGGATCTCCTCAACTTCCGCTGCCTCCATATCAGCGGACTACTCGTACTCAGTCTCCCGCTCTGCGGAGGCCTGGGATGGACGAGGATGGCCACGGTTCACCTGGTTAGACAGAAAACGACCCCGATAGTGTCATCCACACTTGAACTGGCGTCGCTCTGCGACAATGACCGAACATGCCCTACTTTCATCACGGGTTCTGGAAACCAACCGACGCTGCTGTCATCGCTACCTTGAATTTGCTGGAACCTGACGCCTGAAACCACCCCCAGCACAAGTACAAGCCGGGATGTTGCAAAGCAAGGTCCAAAGCTAATCATACCAGGCTTTTGTGGTGACGGAACAGCGATGCGCAGATCGAGTCAAGCCCACCGAAAGTTAACAAGAACTGGCCTTGATATGACGCGAAACGCAATTCTTGTTTGTCCTAGTCCTGTGTTATGTTCGCCATGCTTTGTGGATCAGCACTGTGAGACAGGACGTACCACAGTAGGAGGCCATGAAGAATACGCGAAAGCAAAGCTGATGGTGTGCGGAGGAAAAGAAAGGAAAAGGACTGGAGAGAGCAACGACTGCTGCCTGAGTTTGGGTAAGTCACGTGTAAAAGTGCCCGCGAATCAGGACTATTGCAAGACAGCGACTGCTGTTACTGGCGCCGAGCAGTTTTACTATGGATGTCCTTGATGAGACTCTACCATGGTAGCATCATCATCCAGAACTCATGGGGCTATTCTGCCTATTTCGCCAGACTGATGGGGGCCAGATGATGAGAACACCAGATCGGGACAAATATGCGAGCTGCAAAGCCGGTCCGAATGCTACAGCGAACATTTGGCATGGCAGACGGCTGTCCAGCTAGAGTTCTTCGCAAGGCTCTAACTCCCTGGTTCAGAGTCTCCAGCGTTGCCCGAAGAGAGAATGCCTAAGATCCTCCTTCAGCGTGGACTCCTCCTTGCGCGAATCTTATGCAGTTGCCGAGGCGGCACTCCATACTTGATTCGATAATGGCTACAGGCTCGTACGCCTTTGTGTTCGTCAGCTGGACCATCTTTAGACTTGTCTGGGCTGGTGTCGCAGGTCGATAGGAAGAGCTGGCAAGGGATCCTAAGAAAAATGCCCGATTTGCGGAGCTCGTTGAAAAAGCAAGTGTACTACCCTGTACTCAGCTCCTGATGCTTTGAGTTAGAGGACATGTTCGTACCAATTCACCTTGCCATCCGTCCACGACCGACGGAAGAAAGCAAAACCTGCAGGTAAGAAGGGAACAGGACTTGTTCGACTCGTTGTCTCTCAGCCAAGACCTCTTGAACTGCGATTCTCAAGATGATGTTCTGCGAACTGGCCACTTCGACGAAGCTGTAAGGAGCAGACACCATGACGTTCTGCTACCCTCTCTCTAGTTCACTTCCCTCAACGAATGTACTGCATCTTTCATCCCCTCCTTCCTTTGCCTTTCCTCGTTTTCGGTACCGGACCTGTTATGTGACTGTGTAAAGGCTTACATCTTGACCTTCATGCAACCTCAAAGACAAAATCAATCGTCGGAGAAGGATGGAAGTACTTCACGGGAAAGCAGAAAGGGACCACTCGAGTGGCCGTTGTTTTCATCTGACGATCTTAAAGACCATTCTATGACAGAGTCTCTCCTTGCATGTCTGAAGCGACTGCCCGATATCAAAACGACGCACCAAACAATGTTCGCAAGTCTATGTGAGATACCTGTATAGTCAGCATCTGCGAGTCAAAGGCATTCTGATTTCCGCATACTGTCGTCTTTCTCTTCGATTTTGTGTAACCGCATTTCCTGCATTTCCTGCATTTGGCCCATTAAATGCACTCTTTTCTTGACTCCATGATCCAACACAGAGCGCTGACACAAACCACTCCTTCTATTCATACTCCCAAATAACCATATCTACGTAGCCATGTCTCTCAACGCCCCGGAAAAAGCCTCTGCCGTGAGGAGGCGCGCAAGATTGCTCTCTGGCCACGGATTGACAGTGTTCATTCTCGTGCGCATCCATTTGCACTCCATCGGGGCCCCTTCGTCAAGACGACGACAGGCCTTTCCACATTCTTCAGTCGACAAAGACCACGGAGGTCATATCTTCGCCCTGGCCAACTCTTAGCCTTGTCCCTCCACCTCGCTATCCAGCCTCCCAACGATCTGAATGTCACTCACGACTTTTCGTACTGCGTCTTCGGGGCCGTCTCGTAATAATGCGCCATCTCCAGTCCTGCCCGCTTGAACCCACACTTGACGTAGAACCCCTCGTTCGCCTCGCTGCAGTCCAAGATACACTTGTAACAGCCCACGTTCTCCGCAACGTAGTCTAGCGCCTGTATGATCCGCAGCCCCAACTTCTTGCCCTGCTGGTTCTTCGCGACGGCAATATCCTCGATATGGCCCACCAGGCCCATGTTGTGGATGAACTTGCGCTCGACGATCACGGCGCCCGTGCCGACCACCGTCCCGGACTCGTCGCAGATCACGAGGATGTAGTAGGTGTCATTGCGAGAGTACATGAAGTCGTAGCGGGCGTTGAATTCGGCGAGCGTGGGTTCGCCGACGGTCGTGAGGACGCGGAGGGTCGGGAGGAAGCCTGAGAAAACCCCACAGAATTAGCATGCCATCTCTCTGGAAGTCCAGCCGGGCTGGGAAGTCAAAGCCATGGCTCCAGGCAAAACCCACAACAGGGTAGGAAGTTCATGAGAGGTGCAGCAAGAAGAGATAAGGCACGCACCGCCATAGTAATCACTCCGTCGCAGGGGACGGATCGTGTAGCCCTGGGGCAGAAGGGCTGCAACCTCTGGGCTGATCAGCGAAGAGGAGAATAGTTGGGTTGCATGATCTGTGTTGCCGTTTGTTGTAGACTGTTGTAAAGAGACTGGGATGGATGTAGGTGTAGGTTGAGGGACGACGCCGTTCGTCGTCGTTGTGTTCGTGCTTGTCTGCGTCTCCCCATTGACTAGGGCGGCTGTTTGTGTAGCCGCGGGTTGTGTAGTGTTCCCGGACAGTGAGACTTGTGTGCTTGCTTCTTTTGACACGGGAATTGTGTATTCTGTTGCGGGATTCGAGCTTGAGAGGAGGGTTGCTTCGGTGGGCGTTTGAAAGTCTGCCATGGCAGTCTGCGAGGAAGTCTTAGGGCAAAGCGATTGGTCTTTGGGGGAGGTAGAAGGCAAGTCAGAGAGCGAGCAGAGGGGACGATCAGGGCCTCCCGCGAGGTAAGGGATGTCTGGCTTTAGGAATGCAAAGGCTTATTGTTGGTAGGGGCTGTTGTCTCCTGTTATCTTGCCGAAACGGATGTCGTCTAGAGGTGAGCTTTCAGTTCGGCGACAATGGAATATGGACAAAAGAAAAAATGGCACTTGGACTCCAGGATGATATATTGATTATCCATGTCCGTGCAGCATTGAGGTCCTTGCGGCGTCAGCCTCATACATAAGACAGTGAGCCCTGGGATTTTGAAACATGGAATTCAGCCTCACAAGCTTCGTTTCGTGCCGGGCAACCAACAAAACGATCTGCAGGGGTATCATGCTATTAATAAGTCAGCCGCATAAGGGCGAAGCATCCCGCTGATACTGTGTATTGTGTACACTCTCAACCCTAATCCTTCTCCGCTGTCGCCTATATATATATGTCTATTGATGTAAGAACGTAATTCCATCAGGGCTGTCCGCAGATAGAGAGCAGACCTCTCGAAAGTCGCCAAACAACTCCCCTCTCGTGGCAATGAAATCCTGAAAATCCTCCAAACGAACAGCATGTTTGGTATGCCTGACCATGGGCAACCCCGGCAACTTCATCAGCCCGTCATTGATAAACAGTCGCACAAAGTATTCCTTTTCGCTTGTCTCGGAACCGGACTCGCAGCCAACCCGTTCGAATATCAATCGGCCACCCATTGGTACCACGTCACTGGTCCGCCAATGTCGGTCCGCCTTCATATGAGTCGTAGGCAATTCTTGCAGAAGCACTCGCTCGTTGAGGATCTGCAGCGTAGCCATGACAGGAACTATATCGCCATCATGGACGAAACTGAAATACACGTCGTTTGAAGACTCGTTTGACATCAGCTTCTGAGTTGCGTTCAACCATAGCAACCCCATTGCACCGGCGTAGGAGTTGCCTGGCCCGGCACGGTAGAAATGCAGGAGATCCCGTGCGTACTCGAAGTGTAGCCATTCCTCTTGCGTGAAGACGCTGCACCAAGGGCTAACACCTTTAGCGAGGACCTCAAACCCGCACATTTCCATCATGCTGTACACATCAAGGTGGCTGAATTCCATGCCTTCGGCGTGCTGCGCAAGTCTGCTGGCAATGGGCTCTGTGAACACTTTCTGCCACAATTCGAGCTTGCCGTATCCGTAGTCATGGCCGTATCCATCCTTTCGGTATTTGTAGCAGGTGTCTCCTGGAGTCAGTGTGTCGGCGCCCCGTTCTGCATCTTCTGGGATGACTACCAGCTCAGCAGAGCCGCCCGAGTTCCAATCCGGACCAAAGAAACCATTTGCGAAGAACTTGGCGGTCTCGACATCTCTCGGAGAGCCAGATGACCAAAACCTGGTACGCCGGTTTTGAGGTATCAAGTGACCGTAATTGTCTCGCAACGTCTTTCCGGTGTTGAAGGCTTGTAGAGTGCCAGCATATGGACCGGTATCGGTCAAATTTTCGAAAGCCGGGGTTGAGGGATCTGTAAAGTACGTCCAAGTATCCAGGAACGACAATTCTCCGGTTAGGGCGACTCCAGAATTTTGAAGTCGATCTAGGAGATCGAGATGCCCTGATAATTCATCAACAAGGATGATCCAATTGCAACATCTGAAGACTTACGAGCACCTGCACTCTTGGTAGGATATCGTTCGGCATGCCGCGACAACTGTTTCAGGAGGTCAGTCAGGCCGAAATCATCCTGGGTGCTTTCCTTACCATATGAACCTGGTCTACCGAACAATGCTTAGGCAGTGAAGCATTGGAGTACCCAATGCCACTGATTCTAGGTATCCATGGGCCGTTACCGCCAAGATGGTAGAATAAATGCCATACATTTGCCAGTATCGCTGGACAGAAACCACTTCCTGTGAGGAGGGATGAACATAGCCCATTGTGTATTTTCCGAAGAATTGTCAGTGCTAGAAAGACTGCCACGACAATAAATATGACGAGGGTGGATTTTCGTGAAAACAGTTGTGATGCAGGTTTCTGCCGCTTAGATTTAGATGTGGTTGGAGGCATGGGAAGAGTGATGTCCTTTTCAGGCTGCGACATCTGAAATGTCGGTCTGAGCCGCATTCAGCGTATATGTCAGCGTCCGCTAATTGAGGCTCATGGGCAGGTGGGCACGTCTTGTTGAAGATCGCTCCGAAAATCTGGTTTACGTGAGGTCGGGTTGTCTCCTGAATATTGCCAAAACGGACAAGGATTTTGCGCCACCGTCCGCTTCAAGGCTGAAAGCTTGAAATCCTCTTCATCGCATGCAGCGATGCCACCGAAAGAACAAGCCACCGAGATGGTAGCCGCGAAAGAAAAGATGATGCATGATGTGAGAGAAGTACAAAGGAAAAGCGAAACCGTAAAGCTGATGTTGATCTTGGTTTGCACGTGTCACCAATGACTGGAGTAAACTGTTGGTTCGTCAAGGTATTGCATTCCATGCTTGCTCTTGCACTCCAAGGACATGTAACGGCACTCGCACCCAAACCAGTATGTATCATGCTTTCGACCTCACCTCACAGACCAAAGTGTACCAAGATACACGTTCATCAGAAAACAGGGCTGCTGAACCGGCTAGTCCTCGCATAATGGCGGCATATGGCGGCCTCGTGCCCGGAGCATCTCCTACCGAAGCCTGGTGCTCATCATCCCCGCCTCGCCTACGCATGCGGAGAACAACGCGCGATGTCGGCATCAACAGCGACGCAATTCTCACTGTCGTACGGAGTATTTGTAAAAGGGCGGTTGTTGATACCTACATGGTAGGTAGTCCTTTCGACTACTCTTCCTTCTCTCCCTCTCAAGCGGACTTTTATCTTCTACGAGGTGCCATCGGACCGGATTCTCAACATACTGTAGCAACAATGGGCTCCCTACCTACCCTCGAACCCCCAACGCAATACACCCATTCCCATCCTGTTCCCCCTCCAGGCATCTACACCCCGGCAGTGACCTTCTTCGACCCAGCGACCGACACCCTCCTAGCCACCCAACAATCCCAGTACTACAGCTACCTCGCCTCGACCGGCCTCACCGGCCTCGTAATCCTCGGCACCAATGCTGAAACCTTCCTCCTAACTCGCGAGGAAAGGGCTACCCTCCTCAAACTTGCGCGCCAGTCCGTTCCAGCCGACTATCCCATCATAGCCGGCGTAGGAGGCCACTCCACCGCCCAAGTCCTAGAGTATATTGCGGATGCCGCAGCCGCAGGGGCAAACTACGTGCTCGTCCTGCCCGCCGCGTACTTCGGCAAACAGACGACCCCGTCAGTGGTACACAACTTTTACACGGCCGTTGCGAAAGCCTCGCCCTTGCCGATCCTTATCTACAATTTCCCCGCTGTATGCAACGGGCTCGATCTCGACAGCGATGTTATCGCACAATTGGCCCAAGAAAATCCCAATATCGTTGGCGTCAAGTTAACCTGCGGGTCAGTTGGCAAGATCACAAGGTTGGCAGCGACATTCCAGCCCGAGAGGTTTGCCGTCTTCGGAGGGCAGTCGGATTTTCTGGTTGGTGGCCTCGCAGCGGGGAGTGCAGGGTGTATTGCGGCGTTTGGGAATATCTTCCCTAAAACCGTGGTCAAGGTTTTCGATTTGTACAAGATGGGCAAGCATGACCAGGCATTGGCGTTGCAGAGGATGTCGGCGCACGCGGAGAACCCGACGAAGGCGGGTATTGCGACGACGAAATATGCCGTCAGTCAGTATAGCGCCAGAGCGGCAGGCATACCGGGTGATTTGGAGGCCATGTTGCGACCCAGAAGGCCATATGAAGAGCCAGGTGAGGCGGTCAAGAAGAAGATCAGAGAGGTGATGACGCCTGTAGCTGAAATAGAGAAGACGCTTTGAGACCGGGACATAAATGGAATATTCTGAGAATGGTCAAGTTTGGAGAGCTGTTCCTTGTATATCAGGAAGAACCCCCACCTTCTGGGTAATGCCTTGGGGATCGTGTTCGTCGTTTGTCCGTCAAAACTCGACGTGACTTGTCGCCAGTGTGAGGATAGACTGCTCCTTGCAAAACGGACGCTCACATCAGGCACGTTTCCGAGCCGCCTAGGGCCATCTCGTCAAGAATGTATATCCCCGCAAGGACTACATACAAACGGTGCACCTCACCACCCACACACGGAACGTACGGGAATAAGAGTTGGGCAAAAATCAAGGCAACGAGCACATTGCCTACGCAAGGAAGCGGGGCTGGAGCAATCTAATGACACATGTCTGTGACATGTCTACCGCAAGCTGCAGGCAAGATGCCGTTTGACAGGATCTGAATCCAGATCTGTGGCTGCATGAAGGCCTAGTGAGCCCCACGAGCTTCAACAAAAATGACGAAAAGATGCATAACCGGATACGAATTCTGCAAGGCCTGCTCTCTCTGGGTGGGATTCAAACCTCCTAAAGACGAGCCAGATCATGAATCCTCGCTCCGTCTGACCTTGGAACGACAAGTACATCGAGAGCTCAATTAGAGAAGCTGTCAATAGCGGTTAATTAAGAGTAAGTAGATGTGGTATATGCTCGGTGCTGGCTAATAAGAGAGGACGTTGGCATGAGGACGTTCTTGTGTGTTTGGTCTGTGCAGGGATTTTTAGATGTTCTTCGCAGCCGATTCCCTTCTGGGCGACCTCTCGTCACTGATTTGTCGATTAACGCCAGTTCCGCGGAGAGTAATACGAGTATGAGCGTAACAGGGCAGATCAAGTCCAACGGGGATGACAAACAACCTTCACAAGCTTCAAGATACGGGACGTTCGTGCCATGTCCAGTCTTCTCAAATCCGTGAGCTTAGATGAGCTGAAGACGATGGATATCCAAGGTACGAGTACTTTGGTACTCGTAAGTGATGGAGAGGCCTGCAGAGCTGCAGCGTCATGACTTTCCAAGAGAGGCGTGAGGGTGGGATTGACATCGCTTAGGGGATCTTTCACGGACCAAGATGGAGAGCAGCCGTCACCAGTCGCAAGTGACATGCTGCTGCATACCTAGAGGGATGGTTGAACCAAAAAGTGAAAGCTTGAGGATCCTTGGTTGGTGCTTGGTTTTGTGAAGCTGTTAGCTACAGTGCCTCGAGCCTCTAATCAGTAAGAGGCAGCTGTTGAGCTTAAGCTCGGGCATATCATATGCAAATGTGCATCGGCTCTTCCTCCACCGATTTTTCGATAGTTCCCTGCAAGTCAACAACCATACTTTCACAATACCCACCGTCACTCCTCCCACACTCTGTCCTTTAGAAGTGATCGCAAAACCTGCATCCCTCCCGTGCAAATCCTACGACCTTCATTCAAGAAGGAGATCGACTGCCTTGGACGATTCGCAGTCGCTCGAGATCAGCCCGTCGTTTCCGAACTTGCCGTAGTCTCAGCGTCCTTTATGCCAATGCATCCACTGCTACCCTACCAGAATCGACACTCTCCGATGGCAAAGCCTTGAAATGTGTTAAGAAGAGTCTGGAGGAAGAGCGAGGAGTTATTCTGCACAAATCTGCACATAATTCACAAATAATCTTTAATCCAAGAGGCTGGTACTCTGCCTGCGCCATCAACATCACTTTGGGCCCATCTCCGCTGGCCACCACGGTATATCCAGTCAAACCAGTCACCCAACCTCCTCCGACGCAGCCTACCTGCAAAGCTCTCAGTCAAGAATCCTCCCGTGAGCCTGGTGCCAGCCTGCGGTACCATGGCGTCGGTGCGCTCACAGACACTTTTCTCCTGGTTCACGGTGTGGTCAATATTGGTGACACTTCTCTCGCTCAGTACGCCAGCTGCAGCAGACAACGTCACCTGGATAAAATACACTGGCAATGACGGGACAATATGGCTCAAGGACGACCGAAGGCCGGCCTTGTACACTCGGGATTTTGGGGATTGTCAGGGCGACTCCCTCATCAATGTTACTCGCTTCGACGCCGCATACTACAAGGATAATATGACCGTTTTGTTCCACTTGGAAGGTAGTTCCGCATTGACAAATGAGAGCCTGATGAGTATGTCCCAGATTTGCAGGTCCGAGTGCGGGCATTCGCTAACATAATCACAGTGTACATTGGTGTCTTTGCCTATGGAGAGTCTCGTTTTAATTTAACATTCAACCCCTGCAGCGCCAACATCGACAGTCTTTGCCCCCTCAACTCGTCAATTCCGATCTCAGCAAACGGTATCATCCCCATAGCCCAGGCAGATGTGGCCACTATTCCGGCGATCGCTGTTACAATACCCGATTTCGAGGGGCAAGCAATCCTCCGAATCTTTGCCAATTCCACGCAGTCACAGATCGCCTGTTTTTCGGCTGTGGTAACAAACGGAGCTACCTTTGCCCATGCGTCGGCCGTCGGTCCGATCTTGGGCGTCTTCGCTGTGATTGCTGTGATCTCATCTGTTGCTGTGGCTATTTACGGTCAGAACATCCCAGAAACCCGAAAGCACTATGCACATTCCATCTCAGTGTTCGTGGTCTTCTCTGTCTATCATCACATTTTCTTTACCGGAGCATTGTCGATGAACTGGCCGAGTGTCCTGGTCGCGTTCTGGAGCAACTATGCATGGTCCGCTGGTATGATATACAGCCAGAGAATGCAGAACTCGATCAACCAATTCATCGGCAGCAACACTGGAAACATCAGCGTGGTTGGTGCTGCTCCCAACGGCGAAAACGCGATTGGCCTGGGAGGAGGGTATCAGATTTCACAGATCTACAAACGAGCCGCCTCACTCCCCTTCGAGCCTCACGAGGGTACAGGTGTGACATTCAGACCTAACGAACTGGAGCATGTGCTCAAGAGAAGAGCTTTGGCAAATTCGACCGATGGGTACTCGTGGTATGGCACCCCTGTCAAGCCTGGCTTGCCTTTGCCGGGAAATTTCTCTGGCTTTGCTGGGACACTAGCCGAGTTGGATATTCCAGCGTCCAATGCTTTCTTGACGGGATTGCTATGGTTCCTCATCTTGATGGCTTGCCTACTTGGCACCATGTTCGTGCTCAAATGGGGAGTTGAGGCTCTGGCTGCAATGCGCGTGGTCAAAACCAATCGCCTGGGTTACTTCAGAAAACACTGGCTCCGGTTCGCCGGTGCTGCCGTCTTAAGGACCTGCTACATTGCTTTCTTCATGATGATGTTGTTGACCATGTTCCAATTCACTTTTGGCGGATCCAGCGGTGTCAAGGCTATTGCGGCGGTTGTCTTTGCGGTTTTACTTGTCGGAATGTTAGCTATTTGTGGCCTCGCGCTTTGGTACAGAACCAAACTGGAAGCATTGCCTGAGGTCGCCGGGCAGGACTCACAAGGGGCAGTCGATCATGAAAAGAAGACACATTCCGCCTGGTACAAGATCAGCCGCAGCAGAACACATCCCAACCAGAGCGCCGAAGGCGAAGCCAGGCCATCGACTTGGCTGCAGCGCCACTTTCCAGTTCTCAATTCTGGCCGAGTCCACGTACATGACGATCCTAACTACACTACCAAGTTTGGCTGGTTATCCTCGCGATTCCGCCGCAGCAAATGGTGGTTCTTCTCATTCTGGTCAATCTACGAATTCGTCAGGGCCGCTTTCTACGGTGGCGCCGCTGGACGTGCTCTTACTCAGGTATTCGGCCTTTTGGCGTGGGAGATTATCGCATTGGTGGCCATTGTTCTGATGAGGCCGTTTGAGAGCAATCGTTTGAACCTGCTGATGGTGTATCTCCTCGGTTTCAGCAAAGTTGCCACGGTCGCTTTGTCTTCGGCATTTGACACTCGGTTCGGCCTCGATCGGATCATGACGACCGTGATTGGTGTGATTATCATCGTCATTCAAGGCATCCTCACCATTTGTTTGATGCTCGCCATTATTCTGGGCTCTATTTCGAGTTATATGTCGATCACTCGGTACCGTGAAACCATCAAGCCTCGATCCTGGTTGAAGCCTAGAACACGGTATTTTGCACACGTTGACCGCAAGGCCACTGATCGACCGAAGCCTCGGCCGCCTCCACCACCACCGGAGCCTGAAGCTCCTAAAGAGCCTTATTTCTCGGTGTCAGCTGTGCGACGAGAGCCAAAAATTGAAGATGAGGGTCAAGATAAGGAGAATCTCGATGGTCCTGGTTCTCACAGAGCTTCGATGGATCCAGTTCATGGGGCTTACGGTCAAGGTCCAGCCTCTCGAACCCAGTCTATGCGATCTCGGACTAGTATGTCGAACGTGCCTTATGGTGCAAGGGTACATCGCACGAGCTGGAGCATGAGAGACTTCCAGGATATGGGCATTGAACAGGGATCCACACCTACGCAATCCCGCATGAGTGTCGACAGCATGCATGATGTGGCCAATCGACATCGAGCGTCAAGTCTGAGAGGACCATCACGAAGTGGCGCCGTTAATGAAAGCTCTGACACAATTCCCAGCGGACTGAATGGGCAGCCTCTACTAAGTAGGCACAAACGAGTTGCTTCAATGCCAGGCGGGCCAAAGCGAAACAGTTCCGTCGTGAACGAAGAAAAGGAGAACGGCCCAGTGGAAGAGGTCTGAACAGTCCAGCCCACAGCAAAAACGACGTACATACACGACGATTACTTTTAACGACATCCATGAGCATAATTCCTAGTTCTGGAGGCCTGCTGCCGGAATACCTTGGGCGGCAGCAGCTACGACATATACGGTGATCTGTTTTAGGAGCGAGCATGCATTGTTACGGCGCATATATCTTCGGCATGTCTTGCATGCTCAACGATGGCAGGGCTAGATCGACTTTCATCACGAAGAGAGCTCTCGCACTATCTTTGTTGGCGAATGCTTTCATGGGAGTAGAACAAGTACATATGAGACAGCATTCAATTGTCATATGGAGACACGACACATTGACCACACAATCACCATTCTGTCCTCGTCGTGCCTTATGCTCTGACTTGTAAAAGCGATTAAGGGCCGACGTCTTTCAATGCCTTTGCGCTTCTTGCATCTTTCAATGCCGGCTTTGGGCGGGAACACGTGGCCGAGGCACGTAGGAGCCTTGTCTTCTTTGGGCAGCACTGACGTCAGCCACATAGAATATCGCGCTTGCTAATCACGTGTGGCGGATGCAACTGGCTGACATAAGCACGATAAGTCACCTGCTTCTGCAACTTCGCTGCGCGAGTCGAAATCCCTCTAAATTCACCATTGCTTCTTGTTCGTATCATGAGATAGCTTCCTCATTATCGGCCTTTGGGTTGAGATCTTGCACTAATCCTTCGACGAATGCCGACTCGTCTATCGAAACAGACAACTGCTCATAGCCAGGATCCCTACGTGGTCTGGCCTCGATAGCCGAAGCTAATTGAACTTGCTCTGTCAAAAGATGACGTTGCTCTCTCGTAAAACCTCGAACGAGGCCATTGGTAAGGACAGCACTGGGAAATCTCGAAGTCGAGCTGCCTCATCCGAGCGAGATCAAAATGCCAGCAAGCCCTCCCTGCTCCGGCGATTGAGCAGGACCATCAGCAGATCGGAAGATGCACCAAAGAAGAAAGATGACTCCCATCATCAAAGCGAGGTAAGCTTGTCAATTTCATGTTACCAGAAAATTGCCGGACTGTACTTTCGACGTCTTGTGGTCGCACAAGGCTGAATCTTAGTGCAGACCAAGATAAGCCAGAAGCAACTGACCAAGGATTTGGCGGATAAGGCTCCTGAACCTAAAGTCGACGAGTTATCGCCAACTGCCACCGTCCAAAGTGTTCGCAAGGAGCCGGTGAAGGCAGAATATCACCCTCCTGCACCCCGGCCAGCGAACGGGCATACCACAGTGACAATGAGAAGTGTCACAGATACTCAACGGCACACAGGCCAAGGTCCAACTACCGAATTTCGTGCGGAAGCTCAGGATGAACACTCCAACAAGCGGAACGGCTTAACTAGGATGGATGTCGAGCATCTCTTCAATGGAGCCCCACAATTTATCCTAGAAAAGGGACGACGAGGTCGATTCTTTCCACAAGCTTTCTTTCCCTGGAACAATGATCTGGAAGTAGGTGATCTTCAGGATCGGAGGTTTCTAAAGCATGAGAGCTTCGCTTTCTGTACACTACACGCACATCTGCCCATACCAGATGAGGTTGGCTGGACACCAGGAATGCCGTTTCCCATCAAGAAGGCAGGACTGGAGACTGGAAAGAGGCCGCTGTTTGAGCTGGGGATATATGAAAGGCCAAACATGCTAGCGCAAGAGGGAAGGGAGCCTGGAACTGTTGGACTAAGGTATTTTCTCGAGCGACCAGTCGCCGACGGCGTACAAGACGGCAAGATCAGAGAACATGCAAAAGATGTGGAGATCGACTTGGCCTTAGGCGACGCTCCAGCCACAGAGGCATTCAATATGCTGGCGTTGTCTAAGGACAACGACCAACTGAATGCTAAAGTGGGCAAGCATGCACCCGAGCAAGACCGCCTGAAGCTCATCCACGAAGGCCCACAGGCGTGGAAGAGCGTCGGTGTCAGACCTATCACCATGCAAAGCTTGGTTGACAGACTGAAAGTGATTGACGATTGGCGAGATATGGTGGTGACCGCTGGTTGGAGAGCCACGGTCTTGGATCAGATGAAATCTCCAGAACTCCATGATCACCTCTTTGGCGAATTGCTCTATCCGCCGCGGCGGTTGCAGGACGACTCGAAATACCACGACAAAGAGGCAATGAAAGTTCAGATAGAGGCCCTGGTCAAAGTCCTCGCTACACCAGGCGCGTGGCTCGATCTCAGCGTACCCGAAGCACGCCTGCGATTTGGGAAGATCCTGCACAGTCGAACGACAAAATACGATCATACAACCGGCACCATGACCATCAATCCCGAACGGAAGTGGCTCCTCATCCAAGTCCTCCTTGCCATCGAATTAGTTGTTCGCCTTGACGCTGCACTGAGACTAGGCATCGCGATGCATGCCGAAAACTTCGAGATTTCCGGCGAAGAGATACACCACTTCAACAAGCTCCGCACACTCAAAGTCGACTGGGACTTGGTGGCAGCTAGACGGTTCTTGGATCTCTGCTATGCAAAGAGAAACGAGCACGCAGACACTCGATCAGAGTCGGACACTGCGAGTCACACGCCCGAACCCATGGGGAGTCATCTGTCACGGAAGACGACAGACCATCACGGCGGCTTTTTCGGTGGCCTCCGACACACTTTCGGCCTCGACGCAGTCGAAGCGGAACCGGACGTCTGTGATGTGGCTATCCTTCCACGCGCTTTGCCTCCATTAATCGACGGCGTCTTTCGCTTCGCCACCAACATTGGCTGGCCACGTGCTGCCGAGATCCAGGAAAGCCTCTCGCAGAAACTATGTCATGGCACGCCCGAAGAACAAGAAAGATTCCTTATGGACGCATTCTTCTGCACAGACGAAGCCCATCATGCTCCGCACGAAGCACAGCCAAGCATAGTTCCGCACCTGGACAACTTCGGCCTCAACCTCCATGCAGCAACTCCCAACACCATTGGCGGCTGGCTTTCACACAGTTGGTTTTCCGGCCTGATCCTGCCCGGCAACTCGACATGCGACATGCTCATGGCGACACTTCTCGAGAACGACACCGATGCAGCAACGCTCACTAGACTAGGCACCGTGGGCCTACCTTTCCGATCGTCAGGCTTCGTCCTCGGCAACTCCTCCTGGTGGTCCAAATCCAGCATCGTTGGTCGCGTCATGGCCCCTTTGTACGGCTCCAAGGAGAGCATGGGCTGGGTCTACCTACCACAGTTCGTGCCGCTGATCGAATCGACCTCCAACCCGGTCTCGACCCGCTGGCTGAAAATCAAAAGCTACCCCGTACCATCGACGCGCGAACGACCGCGCATCCTGGACGGTGACAAACTCGCCATGGAATCGAGCCCTCTCGGCAGGGGCAAAGGCGGCATCATGGGCGCCGAATTCAGCATGGTGACAGACCACATCCTCGACCACGACCACGACTCCCATGCCCGAGTTTCTGTCAACAATGTCCAAGTCCACCTGTCCCACACCAACGCGACAGCTGCAAGCCCCGACCACGTCGTCTCGGCATGGGCGCAGTTCGACCTGACTATTACTGATCCCGCCCGACCATCGGACGTGCCCATCTCGGAACAAGTGCGCTACGGCCTGGACAGGGCAGTGTACTTCGTCACGGCCTTCCCGTGCCGTCTGCCCCACGGGCACGCGACCTTTAAGCCCGACTCGGGGGACGCAAAGCAGCCAAATGTCCAGCAGCACCCGCAGCACAAGGCGGCCGAACATCTCCCTGCACATCCGCTCCACAAGACATACAAATTCGTCACCAAGACGTTGCACGAAATCATCCGGAACCCTCGCCTCGAGCCGCCGGGGTCAGGCATGGCAAGCACGGCGGAGGTTTGGATCGTGGATGCCAGGCATGCTCTGACTCCGGCCGAGATCGCGAGGTACCACGGTGGTTCTCACTCGGAGTCGTCGTCGATGACGAGTCATGTGACCGGCTCGTCCAGTGCTAGTGCGAGTGCTGGTGAGTGTGGCCCTGGCGCCGAGCAGATCCGGAACAAGGACATTCTGGTGCGGGCGTGGTGTGCGGAGAAAGGAAGGAATGCGATCATTGCGCGCGTGGGCAGGACGTGTCTTAGTTGTGCAATCAGAGAGGCCAAGGCCCTGGAGGTGGGTGTTATTGTGAGGGTCGGTGTGAAGGAGTAAGTAAGAGCCTAGTACGTACGACGGTACGGGGCCACCGGGGTGGGAAAAGGATGGGTTGTGCTATGGAAAAGTCCGCTTGACAGAAGGTCCCTCCCTGTCGATGTCTTTGAAAGGCTGGGCATTGATGGACTGGAGGTGGAATAGAATCAAGGCAACGGCATGTGAGCTGGAGAGGATGGCCATGCGGTCCGCGGAAGACGGTTCGCAGTCCAAGGACAAGGTGGTGGAAGATTATGTGAGCGAACCCGATGCTGAATGATGCATGGGGCCGTGCTTTATGTGATGGGAGTGGTGGCATTTGATATATGGGAATACCCCCAATGATGCGAGTCTATGGAATCGATTTTCACTGTCGTTCTTCTTGGGAATTACTAGTATCATGGTGGTACTGAACTACTAATAAGCAAAGTTCGAGTTGCAAAGCGAACTAAGTTACTCGTATATACTTGTCTGTCCATCTCACTGTCTGTTGTGGTATGCTTTTTTGGGACCATCAATCACGTTCATTTCACTTTCCCGAGGCTGCTGTCAGGGGGGATGCAGCGATTGATGAGGTGAGGCTGCGTGTGCTGTCATGGGCGAGTCGGTGGAGGTCCTAAGTATCTTCTCGCCGAACTCGTGGCCGTACCCTTTGGCCAAGTATGTGCCATGCACGTCGATCCGGTGTGGGCAGTTGCAAGGAGAATTTCGACTTGTTGATAGCATTGTGTTTCGCTTCCCCTAAATGAAAGAACAAAAATCCCATTTAGCATTGATATGTTGGTGGCTCTACCTTCGACTTGAACGATGCCGCACGCATCCATCTTGAAGGGGCAGAAGTTCGAAAGTCCCAATTCGACGAAGAGGCGAATCCGTAGGCGTTATTTGAGGACATATGGTTTTGTCGACCTTTTTGATGTCTACCTTTTGGATCGTATCGTGAGCAGACTTCTTCACAGATGGTACCACCATTAACACAGCATTTTCGAATGATGACTTGTGACATAGCGGAATCATGAGAGACAGTTGCTCCTTTTGTCAGTACGACCGCGGAAGGGATGGTGGTTTTTCGGTAGCACAGGATCAAATGAGCAATCGCCACAAGAGATCGTGCCACGAGACGTAGGTTCCGGTGGAAGGAAATGTCTCTTTGGAGAGGAACTTGAAGTCAATTGCGCATATTCGTGATGAGAGGAGGGCATCGTGAATGCTCGCCGCTGTTACTCCGTAACAACATGCTCAGATCGTGGCCCGCGTCGATGAAGCTCTCTATGTCCGGATGTCACGACTGTACGGATACAGTACATCGAAGACCTGTCTCCATATTCACCATCTCGATCTTGGTGGTTCGCAGCGTGGTCTTTGAGATCGAGAAATGGTCGCCACAGATCAGCTGATGCCTCGTATATGTGGATTCAAAACGAGTCTGCTTTTAGTTATTCGTAAGAGATACGGTAGTCACAGTACGAGCAGGATAGCCACCGTGCCACTGTCTCCATGATTATCTCCAACATCAACGATGTGACAGTTCCATTATTGTCTGGGCGCAGCTACGCGTGTGCCACTGTGAGTGGGTGAGTTCTAGGCCGACGTCTAGACTGGACTGGCCGTTCTAGACCCCCGCGAGTTCGCGGACCCAAGCTGCACCTCCTTTAAGCGAGTCAGGCAGGTAGTCGTGGGTGTCGTGGTAGTTAGAGCACTTTATGGATGCCCAGAGATCGATGTCAGTCTAGGTACTTTGTGATACGAGGTGCATTGGTGACGCTCTGAACTACTGCACAGTCATGCAGCCACAGCCAGCTCATACCGCACATACCTTGTCGAGTCCCCGTCGATCATTACCTGACCACAAGCTGCATGCCAGGTCAACAACAGGGATCCAGGGATCTGGGTCAAGCTGGGTGGCTGGTGGCTTTGCAGCTTGCAGAATGGATGATGCGGCTGACGACAGCTGCTTGGCCTCGCTTGTGTCTTTTGAGGCGAATCAGGCCTTGAAGGGACGGTTATGATGCACCTGAATAAGGGCATCATAACATGGACTTGTCTGAGCTGGAGAGCGGGGTTGACATACGAGTCAGTAGTCGACCACTTCTCCATTTTTGATAGGCGTTGTTGGCGTCGTTCATAGGCCCGGTTGAGAGACATGTTGGCCATGTTGGTCTGGAGGTCGCAGGACTCCAGCTGTTCGAAACGATTCAAGCCGTCAACATAGCCGATACTCCGGACAAGTCGTGACACGGTCCGTCTTGGGCTCTGGACCTTTAGCGATAGTAGACCAAGATCGGCGCATGAAATCATGCTGAATAATATCATTCCTCGACCAACAAGTCCCACAGGGAGGCGTTCAGAAGCACGGAATTAATCCTTGGGTCCCAAGGAGTCACTGAGGCTGCGGCTTGACCGTGCGCAAAGAATCCTGGCAAGTGACGTGCACCTTATTGCTAAATGGTCCCTGGGATGTTATTTTGAGGAAGAAGTAGTAAATGCCTTGCCACTCAAACCCTATGAAGGGATGTCGAAATCGGTCATGGGTCCTTGCGAGTGAGAATTGGAGGCGCTGACATGGATAGACCACATATGCCTCCCAACACTCAAGGATTACTTGTACGAGTACATGCACACCCAGCCGTTGGGGAACCCTTTCTCGACAGCTTGATTGCCTATGATATGTCCAATCAAATCGATTGTTGACAAACAGGACATCAAAAGCGATGTTCTTCCTGTGTTGCTGGCTTTCAACGCATCTTCGTGACCAACACCTGCTGTTGTTCTCCAATCGTTCAGATGACGACTGAGGTTTGGGCAATGATCTGCCTGGACCTCTCATTGCCAGGGGCTGTACGTTGGCATCTGGCCCAAGACAATGTGCTCAGAGTTTTATACGTTTTCGGGCGACGACGTATATTAGCTGTCATGGGCGATCAATAGTGATGACCTGGATCGTTTCTCGATAGTCAAGAGCAGCAGTCGTCGCTGCCCGATACGAATAGACGAGCATGACCTTTGTCATCCTCGACCCTGTACTCTAGCCCCGAATCGACTTAGGTGGCTAAGATGCTCCAACTTGCTTCCACAGCAATGAGAAGCGCCCACACAATATTTTGACGCCTGTGGGCCAATGTTCGAAGTCTTAGATCGTTGACCATGACGAAAAGTCTCGCACAGCCTCGTCGTGATGGTCCGTTTCCTTCGGTCGAATGGTGGAAAGTAAGGCGAACAACGATGTCGCTTTCCCTGTCTTCAAGCCGAGAAATAGATGAGCGTCTGCTCGAGCATGACAAATTTCGAGTACATAGGCACAGTAGTCTATTCTTTGAAGATCGTGGTTTTCCGCCGTGGACGTTGCCAGAGCATCGAGTACCAGGTACCGAGCAATAGCTTTGTCAAAGCCTGTCGAACTGCATCAAGATCTGTGCCATCAGACTGTTCAGCACACTGGCTTCCCGTCAATCGACAAATATTCATCTCCTGAGATGTGTGACACTCTGCAAGACGCAGCCTTGTGGAAGCAGCAAATTCAGTCCTCAAAGTTCATCTTGCTTCTATTTCCATATCACTGCCGTTACGTACAGGGATGGAATGTGCGTCTTACACTCGAGGCGTCTTCAATGCTTAATTCGCTTCTTTTGAATGAATTTCGCCCGATTCACGCATGCGTAAGATAAAGGGGCACTCTGCAGAGCGCTTAGACAGGTTGCGTACCGGTCCAAGATGTTAGCAATAAAGCCTGCCTATGTGGACCACGCGAAAAGGAAACAGTCATGAGACGCCATCGGGCAACAGCAGGCTGAAAAATGCTATGGAGGAAATGCGGCGGTTAGTCCTTCTTCCCAAGAAACCGAAACGTTCCATGGAGGGAGTTCAGCAACCCAAGACTAAGCCTGCACAGCAGAACAGAGCATGATAAGTTGACCCGTATACATCAAGAGCTTCGATCATGGTTTGACGGCATGCTCTTCGTAACTTGACATGGTTGTCACTTGAGCTCTTGCAGTCAGACTAGTAGCATGGTAACATAGCCGTATGCTATTCCTATTTTCGCACTTAAGTCCATGTCTGCGAGGAGAAAGGGACTGTCTGGAGCCAGAGATCTGCAGTATGCACGAATCGAGTCTTATGAGTTGCTCCTTAGTAGCGCGGTAGAAAGAACCCAGTACTCGAGTCCTCCTAGTGAAAGGCGGTCGCGGCCCAGTGGGAACATCTTAACTTAGATTGTTCGGATACGGCGTCGTTGCCACCGCTGGGTCTGATCCAGTTGGACCGCCCTATCCGTAGCCCACCTGGCGTCATGAATATGCGGCGCCTGAAGTGTCATCAGCATTGGGTGATCAGAAGCACATGATTATTGGTATCTAGTGGATGGGGCTCGACATTCACCTAACCGAGAAGCTGTGGCCGATCTGTGACTTCCTAATTGTCAAAGACCCAAGTGGGATATCATGCAGTTCAAACACAGGGTAGAGGGGACTCTCGGTAGCCGTTTTGGGGGCAACACGCTCCGCTCCTTGAAGTCTCTGGCACGTCAATGACGATGCCCACTGTCTCTGGTAAGGAGACGCAAATACATATAGCAGACTGCTTTGACTCGTGCATGCTTTGCGTAGTGACCAGGCAGTCATCTACACCTTGAAACGTGGTGTGCCAGGACGAAATTTGACTTTTCACAGAGCTATCAACGTCGCAAGATCGGAATGAAGCCGACAGAGGCTGTGAGTCTCTTTCATTGCCAAATTTAAAGCGAGTCGTACTCGTAACGGTTCGTTGCGGCTGGAAAACGCAAGCCTCTTGCAAGATCGATAGTCTGGTCTGTATCGGAAAATGACATCTAGACGCCTGGGCGTTCGTTTTCGACAACCTCTTTGCTCGCTCTGAATGGCCCCGAAGCATTGTGACATTCGCAATAGTATTTTTGGCAAATTGAGGTATGCATTGGTATGCTCGAAAGCGCCATCAGGCCACCAACTAATCGGGCGTGAATAGTCCGTTGAGGATACCACCTTGCAGCTAGGTTATCCTCCGCCGCCATAGCGCCTGGACCAGGCGACCAGGTCAAGGCTCAAGGCTCGATCCACGTGGCACGGGTGCCACATGGTTAGTTTGGAGAGCCCAAGGGTGGAACGGCAGTCGGTCTGCTCGAGATTCAAGGCCACCAAAACACGTCTGCCAGCTTTGACGAAACCCCACAAAAATGCCATATTCTATGTCTTTTGCGCCTCCAGCTTCTCAAAGAATTAGGTAGGGGACGGACCTAGTATTCTATGTGTTGCTCCATGATGTTTTAATGGCCGGGGAATCTCCAAAGTCCACCTTGTGCCAGATGCCAACAGGGTCGGGTGGGATGACTTGAGGGCAGAGCCACATGGTGCAAGATTGCGATGGCGATTGCACCTTCACACCGTATTCGAGAAGTTCATCGTACGCCTCTTCGCACAGACAGACACACAGGCGACTTGTTGTCTGCACAGTTCGCATTCTAGAGCTTTTCCTTGCGCGCTCGTTCAAATTGTCGTCAGAAGGTGGGTATCGCAAGCCAGTCCAGCCAGTAACTTGACGCGCGTGGTTGAGATCAACATGCCCTTCAAGTCACTCAGCTGCTGCAATTCCAAATCGCCGACAGAAATCTGCGAGAACCGGGGCCATGGCTTTTGTGGTGTAAAATGCTCATCATTATTCTCAGAAAGTGGTATTCAGTAATGGTTCTGGCGCAACAAGTTTGAGCCACGCACAGCACAGACCAGTTTGCACCCACAGGCCTCGTCAGAGACCAGTTTGCACCCACAGGCCTCGTCAGAGACCGCCGACAAAAGCCAAGAGGTGAGGTGACGTGGGTGGCATTAAGGCTGTCGTTGTCCTTTGGAACCAGCATGGAACCATGTTCATACATAACTGAGGATGTATGCGGCTTTGGAAGTGTCGTCGTGTACATTTGATACGAGCTGCCAGGTTCTTGGATCCAGTAAACGTACTACTGTGTATCGCTTACCTAGCTCGTACTGTACTGGCTTGTCGAGAAAGGTGATCCGCAAAAGCATGCCAACCATATCTCACAATCCCGTCCTCCGAAAATGTCATTAATTAGCGAGCTCCACTGGCCACGCGATGACTGGAGCGCTTTTTACCTCAGTTTGCAGCGAGGATGGAAGGCTGTGTCAATTAAAAGTGCCTATGCAGCCAATCCAGCTTGGGACGTCTGGCATTCGATAGCCGTTTGAACCATCAACGCGAGTGGAGGGGGCGTTTGGGCCTGTAAACGCCCCAAGTGGCGCTGGGCTTGCAGGATCAGCGCTCTCGATTCTCGACATACCCCCAACTTCCAAGAAAGTGGAGGGTTTTTCTAAGGCACCACTGGGTCAGTTTCGAGCATCTGCCTCGACCCTTGAAGTCCTGGCGTGGTAGATCTTTGGAGGAGGGCATCCGCTCCAGCCGAAGCCTCCTGTGCCTCCTCTAAAACATGCTTTTAGCTTTGAGATCCCATCGGTCGTCTCGTTCCTCAGGCTGCGACTTCGGCACTGGTTCCCGTTCCAAGTTCGCGACAACATCGACCAGCCTGCATGAGAGATATACCGGGAACTTTCACCTCGCGGTGGGCAAAGTTGGGTTCTCTCTTTCTTGTGGCTTGGATTCCCAGTTTCTTTGGTGGTCATGACGTCTGGCGCATGATGAGCCTCCGTCATGAATGCAAAGGCCCCGTTTGTATCTTCCATGGACTTTTCCGCTGATTGGCGAGGAATCTAGAGCGCAGATCGGTCCTAAACCCGAGCCCCCTGCGCCGTCTTTCGGGGGCTCCATGTGTCTGGTTCGCTAGGGGAGTCAATCTGCCCTTGGCTCTGGGACTGCTTCAGCTTCCCAAAGAGATGTTCTCTCATTTACGAGGCTAACAAACCTGCCGGAGTCTAGACAGGGGCAAAAAATGCTAGTCACCTGCACAGTCGAAGAACGTTGAGCTTTCTAAACTTTCGGCTCCAAGTTCTTTTCGTTGTGTTCTGGGCTTTCACTCGTAATCAAGGCGCAGGCTTTGAAGCCTGACAGTCGATTGCAATGCTCCATGTACTTGTAGAACCAAGCTAAATGTGGCAACGGCACAAGCACGAAAGGGTGTTTCTTGTCGGGGAGGGTTCAGCTGCCCTGGGCTGACCTTGGTGGGACCTCGTACGCCCTAGCATCGATCATCCGCTTCCTCATTGCACCGGTTGTAAAGCTCTCTCAGATAGCCAATGGTCCATCTGTCGGACCCTGGACTGGGTGTCTGAAGACTCAAAGAGCTAAGCAAACTAAAATGGCATTCGTGGCACTCGACTTCCAGGATCGGTCCACTGGGAATAGTTGACACTAGAGAGGGTCCAACCAGGGCAGAACGATGCAAGATCCCAATCACCATTTCTGCATCCTTTTCGTAGAGCCCTATGCTTCCTTGCAGGTTGTGCCATTTACTCGTAGGGTGATTGCGTCGTCTGTCGAGTGGGTTCATCACTGCTGCTGTATTTGTTCGCACTGAACGCACCTTGGTTAATATTCCATTGGACGACGAGTTGGATTCAGCCCTGCTGAACCTGTGCCCGGGTCCTTTCATAGGTTTTGTCGGGCCTGTCACGACCAGATCAAATTTGACCCCTCTCGATCTCCGTCGTTGGCTTCACAAGCCTGCTCTTCCAGCCCTTCCTTTCTTTTAATATCTGGTACGGCTGTACTTTCCTTCGAGCCTGCACATCAGCGCGGGATCGTTACCACGCCGCTCTCTCTGATACGTTCGCTTGCGGTCGAATCCGAAAACCGCCTTCTCGAGCATCGCAGCCGACGCCACCTTTGGCGCCTCCTCCCTGATTGTCTCATTCATCTTGAAGCGGGGCAGAAGTCGTCACTCAACTTTGTACATCTTCCAAGTCCGAATAGGATCGATCTCCTCCTCGCAATCAGACACCACCATCGACAAGGCTGTGCCTGGACGACAGCAGCGTGTTCCAGAGCGGCCAGGCTGGTTAATTTAAGACGGCGTCGACAAGTTGTGTCTGGGAACCCACCTACGTTCAATGGAGTCTATTCCGACCAGTACTGATATCGTCGTGATAGTTTAAGAATGCGCTTGGGATACTCGGCGTAGAGGCTCGGAATCTGATCGGTTCAGGGAGTGATCCTTCATCTTCGTGGTACCCAGCAACTTCCGTTGCTTCTCAGAAATGCAAGCGGAAGTAGACGAATCTGAGCGTTTCGCACCAGGAGGTCACACTGCGCAAGGTCAATTTGGCGCTTCAACCGAGACGCTGAACATGCCTGGTCTTGTCCAACAGACGAATTCCTCGCCGGCCGTGCAAGACATGGATGCTGAAGGACAAGCTCTATCTGCAGCCGACAAAAAGCGCAACAAATTGGGGTACCATCGGACTGCGGTCGCTTGTGGTGGGTAGACATCCTCAGGTCTCTTTTGCCCACAAATTGACTGGGCATAGGACATTGTCGACGTCGTAAGATTCGATGCGTGCTTGCATTCGACGACCCGGCTGGTAGATGCCAGAACTGCCTCCGGTTGAGAAAAGACTGTCAGTTTTACCCTGTTGACCAACAGAATCCGACTCCGGGTAAGCGCGCTCGATCAAGTACAAAGTCTGAGGGCCTCTTCAACGAGGGTGACGCCTCGGTTGCCTCATCCTCACCCGGTGGTGTCCTCAGAAGCAATTCTTTTGAACGTATTGATCAAGGAGAAGGTCTGTTGCATCTGCCCTGGTTGTCCACAGACAGCCCTGGGTGTGATATGCGTGCCTGGGGCTGGCACGTGGAGAATCCATCAGTGGCCGTTCGTTGCTGATGTTCTTCAGGCCTTGAATATCCCAGCCCCTTCGACCACCACCAACAGCAGCATGGGCATGTCGTCACACCTTCACCATATCTCAACGACTCGCCGCGACATTATCCGACAGAGTCGATGAGTTCGGGGTATTATCCGCACTACGGGAATGCACCTTCAGGGCCATATTCTTCGGTGTTCGCAACCGGGTCGTTGCCTTCAACGATGACGACGATGTCACGAGAGAGCGCGTACCGCTATCCAACTGCACATTCCAATGAAGCGTTCAACTGGGGCCACCCACCCGCACGATCTATGTCGGGTTCGGAGTCTGAAGAAATGCAACATGGTTTCCCTGCCGCATACCGAAGTCATACCTATCCAACAGTAGAACGAAGGATGACGGCAGACCTGCAGCAGATGCCTCCAGCAAGCCACAGTCTCATGCCCGCTGGGCTAGACAACCCGCAAGGCTCCATCCCTCCAAGCTTTCGCGAACCCGCTTCATATCAGCCAGTACACGTGGACATGCAACACGGCTGGACAGGAGGAGGGCCTGGTCAAGCACCGCAGCTTACTGGGTCTACCACGACTGCATATTCCCAGGGCTGGTACCCGAACGCATCGGGGGTGACTGATAATAGAGAAGAGGAGGGCCATCCACACATACTGCTGTCACAAAGCCATGATCCTCGCGCAATTCAACATAAGCCAGGTTGAAAGTGAGCTCATGACATGGCAATCACCCGTGTTGCATCATGATATGTATGCGTGGGCGCATGCTGCTGAGCCACAAATATGATCAGCGAGGTATCGCTACAACAAGAAGCAGTCATGCCATGCGATCGGACCAAGCACCCAGGAGACAGCATCTGCGCCTCTGAACGGGAACACTCGTTCGCTTGGTTCGTGTCGAGGACCAGCCACTGCTTGAAACCAAAGGCCGCACATTCTTCCACCCCCGTCACCACAATTTACCATGGATCTGGAGGTGTTGAAGGAGCTGCATGGGTCCCTCCGTGCGGCAATGTCGAAATTGCAAGAGAGGATTTAGCAGCTCATCGGCGAAAGGAAGATTGTGCGCTGCAGCTACACGGTGTTCAGCTCATCAGCAGGCTACAAACCATGCAGAGGCATGGTTGGCAACGTGGGAGCACGCTGGAAAGCATGTCGCAGTTCCAGCAATCTGCCACATGAAGGGAAGGTCCTAAGTCGCAGGCAATCTCAATGATAGTCCTTAGGGCGGCTATGACAGCGGCTACCAAACGTCGATTTGGTGGGCATGCGCGCGGCGCAAGGCTAGCATCTGCAAACTCAAAGTCGTCGGCAAAAATAGGTAGTGTTTGAGGGAGAATCGTGGAGATCTTGCAGGACCGACAGGAGTAAAGAGTCGTAGACATTCTCAATGGTCTCTCGATGGCTTCAACAATCGCAAGAAAATCGAGAATTCCCATATGAGAGCTGGGAACAACAATTGCAGAAGCGGCGTCGGACCTTGGTTGGTTGCGTAAAGAATTGCCAGACTCTTCCCACAGCCGAACGAGAACAAAACAGATAATAGATCAATTCGACAGGGAGCAGCAGGCCGTTAAATTATGGGACATATTTTTCCCGTACTTCACGTAATTTGTGTGTAGAAAAAGCGCTAGAAATGCTTTGTATTGGGTAGGAACGACCAGGGCGCCAGGGGAAGGGACCGAGTTTCATATATCGAGATATGCCAGTGTCACGTGACTGAGTGACTGATTCGAGCAGGCCGACGGCTGGACAAACAACAAACAACCATATGTGCTTCATCTGGAAATCCTCTACAAATCGAATGGAGTCCGGTCCATTGCACCGGTGTAGCTCTTGCATATAAGTGACCTGGCGGCATCATCATCAGAGATGCACTATGCGTGCGATCATTCGCCTCACATGTGCTAGGTCGTGTCTCGCCGAAGATCATGTCTCGTTGGTCGTTCCTTGGTCGGATTGCAACGACAAGGACAAAGGACAAAGCCTTCGGTCCAGCCGCGGACAGCGACGAGGCGGTGAGATGTGCACCAAGGGATCTCGACTTGGCGAAGGTACAGACTACAGTGAAGCTCTACGAAAATTTTGTGTGCTTGACTGCCTCGGACAGCAGTCATCTGTTCTTGTCACTGCTTGGATGAGGCAGTAGGAGTCTATGTGTCACTGCCTGCAAAAAGTCCATCTGCTGCCTCTGCTGCGTGAGTATTTCTGCTGTGAACCCCTTTCATCAGTCGCCAGAAGCCTGTTGGTTGTTGCTTACATCAAACAACGGCGACGCGACCCTCTTCACCCAACACTCTAACTTTCCGGACGGACCGCGATAACATGACACAAAATGAGGTCGCTCTTCAAATTGCTGGGGACAATGACAAGACAATGACTGCGCTCGCAAATCTTCCCTGCGAAATTCATCTCAAGATCTCCAAGTACCTCGACTATGACGACCGAGTAAAAGCCTCACACTCTTTGCATAGATGTAGAGCCAATTCGCCGTCTGCCACCTTCTCGGTATGGCTGATTGCCCAGCATCGCAAGCATCGAGTTGCCCGAGTGTTTGACGTCCTGGTTTCATGGGATTCTGCACTTGTACTGGAGTTTTGTGAAATGTAGCTAGTTCCCTTAGATGTGCAGGGCTTCGAAGTGGTATTCTGGTACTCCTTGATCACTTGGGAAAGGCACTGGGCAGAACAGACACCATCGCGCTTGTACTTCGAGTCTGCTGTCCTGATGGAGGCACATCCTTTGCAGACAACCCAAGTACCCTTGGCTTCTTTGATCGTGGTGCCTCTCGCCCAGATGCCTTTCTTTACGCCACAGACTTTGCAGAAGCGTCTTTCGGCATCTTTGTGCCCAAGACTTCGACTCCCCATGACTTGCGAATCTGTGAAGCATTCCCGGGGCAGATTCTGCAAGCAGGCATAGCAGTTCAATCGACAGGCTCTGGTGATGAAGTTGGCGTGGATGTTACAGATGGCATCGTTGGTGTACCAGGTCCGACGCTCAGTTGGAAATGCACGCGCCCAGTGCGCCATGTTGCCGTACCTGATTTCCCTCTGCGCATAGTCGGTTGCCTCTTCGTCGAGGAGCTTTGCCTTGATATTTTGCCGCAGTGTTTTGAGTGTAGTCAAAGGAATCAATGCGCTGGCTGAGTGACATGTTGCACGGAGGGAGCAAAGGTCCTGGTAGTTCAGCTTGGAGATGATCTGGTCATTGAGTTCTGTCGGTAGGCCAAAGAGCCTAGTGTTGCGTGTCGTTGAAGAGTCCGCCATCTTGATTTGGCCAATGTATCGGATGGATGGAGCAAGTTTAGGAAAGTACTTGTAGACAGCTCGTCCCAGGCCTTCCGTCCGATACTCCTACAGCATGGTACGGATATTGTCGCTTTAATTCCGTTGGTTTCCTGATTCAAGCGCGAGAAAGTACAAACACAGCACTTGTAGTCATCCGCTGCTCGGGTAAGTATATTGATTAAATATGTCGTTTGTAGATGACTGCAAGCGAGTTTAAGTGTCCATCCCCTGTGTAGGTGAAGTTGGGACGGGTTATCCAATTGGTGGCGGTGATGGTGATGGTGGCAGCGCAAAGGGTGCAAGCGGTGAACCAGGAAAGAACTCAGGACATGGTGGCTCCTCCCTGCTCTTGAGTTCACCACAAATTGTCAAGCTCGCATGTCACCCTACCTGTCGAGAATATCCTTGCTGGTCCTCAGCTGAACGGAGTTTATTCAAGTTGTCAGGTTCTGGGTAGACGTGCACGTAGAGGAACATCAGGCCCAGTTCGGCAAACTTTCCCTCAGTCCCTTCTCCAAAGTTGTCTCTTCTCAAGCACTTTTTTGATTATTTTCTTTCAGTCTCCAGTGCTGTAAACGCAATATGGAGTCACTGAGCGAGGAGATCTGGGACGTGGTCATCGTGGGGACCAGCATCCCTCAGTCACTTTTGGCATTGTAAGTTGAAATTCCTGGTCGTAGATGAGGCTTTGACTGACTGACCAAGCGTGCCTGGCTAGGTCACTTTCGCGCTCAGGCAAGAAAGTCCTGCACATCGACCGTCACACCTATTACGGAGGTAATGACGCCGCATTCAGTCTCCAAGATGCGGAAGAGTGGCTGAGAGACCTGGAAACATGTGAACACGGTGTGCGAACATGAATAAGTAAGCTAGCTGACCTTGTAAAGGCCCAAATTCTGCGTTCAAAGCAGCTTCTATCTCAAGACCGCAGCCTGAAGAAGAGAACTCACCTACCTCCTCCCTCGGACCGTCGCGCTCATACACCTTGAGTCTAAACCCTCAAATCATCTACGCGCAGTCGAAATTTCTTCCAAGTCTTGTCTCTTCCCGCATACACGCCCAACTAGAATTTTTAGCTGTTGGCTCGTGGTGGGTGCAGCGTGATGGCTCTTTGCACAAGATTCCAAGCATGCGTGAGGATGTCTTCAACGATGAGTCCCTTTCTATGAAGGATAAACGTGGCTTGATGAAATTTTTACGCTATGTGCTGCAAGAGGAGGGTGAATCAGCTACTGATCCAGAGGATGATGGCTCGATGTCTCTTCAAGCTGCTCTTGACACCAAGTTCAAAGTCCCCGCATCTCTGCAAGCACCGTTACTGGCGCTTGCACTTTCACCAATGCCCGCAAGCTCGATACCATTCGGCAAAGCACTGGCCAGGATACGACGACACATGCGATCTATGGGCTACTTTGGGCCAGGCTTTGGTGCTGTCATTGCGAAGTATGGCGGGAATTCGGAAATTTCACAGGTCGCCTGTAGAGCCGCCGCTGTCGGAGGCGGAGTGTATCTCTTGGGCCAAGAGCTGAGCTCGTTGGGCGCAGTGGATTCAGATGTTGCAGCCACGATGGGCAGTGAAGGTTCAGTGCTTGAGGGCACCCTTGCTAATGGGACGAAAATCAAGACTCGATTCATCGCTGGTTTTCCAAACGAAATTCCTTCTCTGGAGAGCATTCATGGAACAGGAAGCCCATCTGATAAAACTTGGCGATCAATCAACATTGTCAACGAATCTCTACAAATCCTCTTTCCTCAGACATCCGACAACGGCCCGGTGCCTGCTGCTGCAATAGTGGTGGTAGACGACGGTGAAATGAGCTTGGACAGGTGTCCAGTCTACTTACAAGTTCATTCGGACGATGCAGGGGAATGTCCGCCTGGCCAATGTGAGTCATACTCCTTTCTATTCCTTGTTCCAAATGATGATCCAACAATCGAATACTTATCTACATTGGCTGAGCATTATGTGCTGTGCTGATATCTATCCTCTGACAAACTGATATGGAGCTTTTGTTACATGTTCTCTCGGAAACATTCTTGGTAGCGTATGCTGACCTATGTATGTGCAGGTGTTATCTACGCATCCGTTCGCGTCCAGGAGAATGACGAGTCGTCAAACCAACGACTACGAGCCGCTGTGCAGTCTTTTCTTGACGCACAAGGCGCATCAACGTCACTCCTATGGTCGTTGTCGTATATGGTCTCTGGCCTGGCCGAAGATCCGCATTCCGCCTATTCACTATCCAAACCTTCACCATCGGTCTTGGTCTTTCCCTCCGAATCTCATGACCTTTCGTTTTCTGACAGCGTCCTTGATGTCGTCAAAGCCGCTTGGAGATCGATAATTGGAGCAGATGCTGACGAAACCTCATTCTTGCGGTTTGAAGAGCGCGAGTACGAAGTTGACGACTAGGCATGCTGATATTGCTCTGTCCGATTCGTTAGACGACATTGTCATCCGGGCGGAAAAATCAGTGGCTTCCCCGGCACGTGACTATTCGCACTTCACCATCAACCTCTCTCGGCCGTCCACTCTACCGCTGGTCCGAGGACCAAGATGAATCGCACTCTCGCAAGGTTACTATTGCGTTCTCAAACAGAAGCAAGGATTATATTGGACAAGACGTATACCTCGCTGGGACTGACACCAGTCTTTGTCCAGTGTCTGGCCTGGCGTTGAAGTCTGTGGACATGAGGCTCCCAGGAATCATTACGCTTGGCGTTGGCATCTTGCATGCACTTGCTGTAGCATTCATTCTCCTACTAATTCAACTGCACCGCTTGTTGAAATCATGACTCCGGCTATGCAGCAACCTCTACGCTAACAAGACGGTGGTCTACCATTCACCACTCGACGATGAACAGTCATTCGACCTCTCGAGTTGCGTCATATCTTGGCCGCTTCACAAGAGATTCTAATCACTTCGTTCCGTCACGTGCCCTTTTCCGAGGCCGATGTTTTTGCGATCCTTGGGATGGATTGTCGCGCCGATTGCGGGTCAGCGGGAGGAAAGTGCAGGCCGGAGCTGGACGACGCGCGTGCTGTCAATGATGCCCGATCTTTTCATTCTCTAATTACCAGCAGGCCTCTGGACGAAGAGTGATAAGACGTTCTGAACCCAGCACACATCTTCGAGTACACGAGTCATTTAAGGTGGGTTACAGTCATACGAGATATTTGTGCGCATCTCCTTGCCGCCTGATGGGTTGAGCGTCTATATACCTTATCATGTCAAGCCTGTACGTGCAAGCTCGTACTTCTTATGCTCCGGGAGACATGATCTCGGTCATCAAAGGACTAATGTGGTACTGTCGTGAAAGATGATTGCTCCTGGCCAGACTTGCCACTTCCGGTGTCCACAGGATCCACGGTTCCTGAGAATTATCATATGCTGACAATTCAACCGAAGCGAAAGGTGTCGTGTGCCTCTTCATCCACATAAAAATTCCTATTTGCCTCAGGATCACATCATGATGAGGACATTTCCGTTGTGTAGATTTCATATCATTCCTGAATGCGGCAGCTGTTCCTACCTTCTTGGTACCACGCACGTGACCACGTTGGTCAATGAGGTGTACCTAGTAGATTGTGCTAATCCAGATACAGCTTAGTCTCCGAATCTAACTTTGTCGCACGTGACGTTGTCCCAAGGCCGAAATTCCATATCGACGAACCACGACAGCGACTCGTTTTCCACTAGGATTTTTTGTCACCCACAGACATTGGCTGCATTCCATCCAACCTTGCATGAATCTCTGTACTACGGTTCCTAGTAAGGTGACAAGTACCTAGTTGTGGTCTGCTCATTGCCGAAACCACCAAGACTTCCATCTCCATCTGGCGCTTTGCACAATTCTTATCCGGCAGCAGCAACCCTGCATAAAGGACATGTCTCGACACAACGTCTACCTGTTCTGGACTCGGACCGAAGTCACTTATGTCGAGTGCAACGCACCATCTCAAGTCATGTTCGGAGTACTTATCGATTTAGCAGCAAACCTTCTATCTGGCCGCTCACCGGGAAGCCTTTCTCGCGACTTTTTACATACCGGAATGCTCGGCTGGCCTAGCCAGTGACGAGCCAGTTCTACTGTGTACTTCTTTTTAATCGCCTCCTTTCTGAAACATGTGGACTCTGATACACAAAAATGACTCGACGACTTCATCGAGTGACTACACCTACGCTGGCGAATCGTATACTACTCCATATCTTCGTGGCCTCGCTACCATGGCTTGCAGTACCATCGTACGTCTAACTTTTAGTCCGCCCTTGCACATACGTCGCCGTGCAGCTCTGCCGGTACGTGAGCGCTTGTCAAGGCTCTCTGGCGGCTGTCAGTGGTTCCCTGCCTTGCATCTGCACCATACGAGTGTTCTTTCACCCACATGTTATCAGCCCACCCACTCGGCCGCTGGGGACGGCCACTATCTCAAGTTTCTTCGGTACGGTGTCCTCGGCAAGACGTGGTTCCTAGTTGTCCTCCCAGGATTTTTTACTTATTTTATTCTTTCTTAGTCTTATGTTGGATGTATCAGGTTCGAGGAGGTTTTGGTTTGTTGAATCCTTCGTTTCTGCATTGAGCGCCTCGTTTGCTCGGAAAATTATTACCTCCTTCATTGTACTTTTGACTTCAGCAGTACACGGCGGCTTTGCATATCCGGGTCACTCTGCGGACATTGGTCTTTATTGGTTGAGAAAGATCGACCGGACTTTTATTATTATATCGCGCAAGTCTACGCCGATCCAGGATGAAACCGGCCATATTAACGAGCTTCCTGATATCTGCCGGCCTGGCTGCTGCTTCGCCGTTGGCTACTCGGAGCCTCATCAACGATGCTGCTGGGCAGACTTTCGACTATGTTGTTGTTGGCTGTGGCGTCTCGGGTCTGGTTGTCGCCTCTCGTTTGAGTGAGAACGAAGATGTTACGGTGCTCTGCCTCGAGGCTGGGTCCCTGTAGGTGCTCCGTACTCTGGTGGCAAAGGCATGAGGCTAACAGCAGTACAGCGATCACTATGAAGACGACATTATGATCCCGTACTACATCGGCCTTCAGCCTGATGGCTTCTACGAGTGGGGTATCTACACCGTGCCTCAAGATCAGCTGGATGGACAGAGCCGTCACATCCCTATGGGAAAGGGGGTCGGTGGCGGTAGTCTCATCAACGGTATGGTCTGGAACCGAGGCAATCAACAGAGTTTCAATGCTTGGAACGATGTTGGTAATTCAGGGTGGGGCTGGAACGCCCTTTTACCATATTTTGCAAAGGTAAGGTCATCCGAGGGCCATCTCAATAGTACCGCTAGCTGATACCTTGCTCAGTCTGAGACGTATACGCCTAAGAACTACTCTGGGGCAGAGGTGCAACCCGAACTTCAAAACCCCAATGTCCATGGTGATACTGGCCCAGTTCAGGTTTCATATCCTAACTATTACTGGCCACAAACCAACAACTGGTTCGAGGCACTACACGAACTAGGAATCCCGACTTCAGCTGAACCTAACGAAGGTCTTACTGCTGGGGGCTATTTCTTGCCGTTGGATATTGACCCGAACAACCAGACACGGTCAGACGCCCGTCGCTCGTACTACGACCCGAATATCGCACGCAATAACTTCAACGTTCAGCCAGACTCTCAAGTCACCAGGATTTTGTTCGACCAAGATGATCAGCTGACAGCCATCGGGGTCGAGTTTGCGACTGGACCGTCTGCACCACGACAGACAGTCTATGCACGACGGGAGGTCGTCCTTTCCGCTGGCGCAATCCACAGCCCTCAAATCCTTGAGCTCTCTGGGATCGGACAGGCCTCTGTCCTTGAGCCGCTTGGTGTCACCGTGCTTGAGAACCTTCCAGGTGTTGGCAACAATCTACAGGACCATGGCATGATCCACTTGGACTACAACTACACGAGCTCCTCCATCCAGAATGTCAATTCGTTTGCAAGCAACGCCACATTCAACGACGAGTCTGCTGCAGAGTATTACGGCAGCAAGACAGGCCCCTGGACAGCAAAGCCCAGCTGTGCTGTTGCATTTCCCTCGCTCAATCAAGTGACTGACGCCGCTTCGTCTATGCTTGCTTCCGCAAGCTCTGCGCCATACAACTTGCCTTCAACGTACGACGACGAGCCAAGCTTGCAAGCTGGCTACGAGCGACAGATTGCCACTGTGCTTTCGGAGCTCGCCGACCAGAATATCCCTGCTTTCGAGAACTTGAACAACAATGCTGGAGGGCTGGACCTGGCTCTCATGCGCCCGTTATCCAGGGGCACCACTCACATCAGATCAACCGATCCTTTCGCCTCCCCCAACGTAGACCCTCGATGGCTGGTCCACCAATTCGACTATGATGTTATGATACTGGCCATGCAGACCAACCAGCGTATCCTAAACACGAATGCCATCAAGACTCTTCAACCGTCATATGCACAGATACCTCAAGACGCCTCTGTCGAGCAGCTGGGACAGATTTTGCTGGCAGGCATTGGCACAGAATACCACTACTCCTGCACGACAGCGATGTTGCCGCGCGACATGGGCGGTGTCGTTGACGAGAATCTGATTGTTTATGGGACGAACAACCTCCGAATCGTTGACACCGGTGTCTATCCGATGGTTCCGGGAGCACATTTACAAGCCGTCGCATATGGCGTAGCAGAGAAGGCGGCCGATATCATCAAGGCTGCCCAGTGAGCATTTGGCGTCGGAAGCAGCCATCTTTTTGTGACTATTCTCAACATACGACACGTACCGACTGTGGGGAGTGGGTTTGATCAGGGTACAGGGGATATGGAAGGGGCGCCCGGTTGGTTTTCATTGGCTCTCCTGGTCACTGGATGAAAAATGTCTAATGTCTATTATGATAATGAAGATGGGTCTGGTAAGATGTAGACACACCGTCGGGATATGTTGAGACCGGATGGAACTCAAAAGTGATGATTTCCGAAGAACATAGAAGTATTCCGTAGAACTGTACTCGGTACGGTGTTTCTGAACAGTGTAAAAGGAGCGGTTCAGGTTCGACATGAATTCGATGGCTGCCGGATGAACATTGATCCGACACATAAGGCCGTCACCTTGCTTTGATCTCCTCCAAGCATCTTCGAACGAGGCCAAAACTCACGGAGATCGATTGAATACATGTCCCAGCCTGGCACTATATCCCGGTGTCCGAATGGCGGCACGGCACGACCAGCTTAAAAGCGGTCGTGACGGTCTCAGCTGCATGAGGCTGAAACCCCCAGAAGTCCAGAAACGATCAACGTGATATCATAGCCTGTGAGTATCTACAAGTACTCTGGTCAAGTCGTAACACACTCCCCATTCTGCTTTTTCTCTCTACGAGTCACTCCTACAGAGTGCTGCTAGACTGCAGCATGACATCTCCCCCGGGCAGCGGCCGCCTGAAAGGGCGCATCGCAGTGGTGACAGGATCATCATCGGGACTCGGCCAAGCCATCTGCCTCGCCTTTGCCGCCGAAGGAGCGTCGATCTTCTGCATCGACCTGTACCCTGCGCCGCGCAACGCGATCAACGCGTCGACCTTGAGGGCCGACGACTTCCACAACCGCGTGTCCGGCCAGCCCGGCACGCACGAGCTCATCCGCCAGAACGGCGGTGAAGCCACATACCACAAGGCGGACGTGACCAAGGCGCGGGACGTGGAGCTCGCGATCCGGGCGTGCGTGCAGCGGTACAAGAGAGTGGACATCATGGTGAACAACGCGGGCGTGTCGGTCGAGTCGACGCACGTGCGGGCCCTGCGCTGCCACGAGACCAGCGAGGAGGACTTCGACAAGACGCTCGCGATCAACACAAAGGGCATGTTCCTGGGTTGCAAGTATGCGCTGAAACAAATGCTCGAGGGCCAGGAGAAAGTCCACAAGGGGTCGAGGGGCTGGATCATCAACACCGCGTCGGTGCAAGGGCTTGTGCCTTACTACGGCACGCCGAGTTACTGCGCGTCCAAGGGCGCCGCGGTCATGTTGACCAAGCAGATCGCGCTGGACTACGCCAAGGATCTGGTTCATTGTAATGCTTTATGCCCCGGGTTCTTGGAGACGAGTATGACGCAGAACCTCCAAACCCAGGAGGAGGTGCTTCAGGAGATTAAGGGGAAACATCCGTTCGGCGAGACGCTCGGGAAGGTTGAGGATGTCGCGAAGGCCGCCGTGTTTTTGGCGAGTGATGATGCCGCGTGGATAACGGGCGTGCCTCTGCCCGTCGATGGAGGCTATTTGTTGAGGTAGATGTAGATGTAAAGATAGAAGTATGAGTACAGATAGAAAAATTCATGTCTGGGAGGGGAATGACCACGGGCTCGCTCAAGGCCCTGTCATGTGACAAGTGACTCTGCCTCTACGAGCCTGTACGGGCATGTTGCTGACGAGTCTATTGAGATGAACGCAGCTTCACAGGAGTGGTGCGCAGGAAGTGTCCAAGGGCGTGATCGAAAGCTCAGTCTCTATTCCTGACAAGCCTCAATGTTCAACCACATGTCCACCCATTTCTGCTCATTCTCCTCCAATGCTTGGCCCGGCTTCTTGTACGCCGTTTCCAACACTCTCGACAGCTGCTCCCTCACGGTCTTGATCGCCATTAATTGCCTCCAATGCTTGACAGAGACCTTTATCTTCCCCGAATCCAGCACCATCACGCCGGCGTAGAACTTGAACTCGGCATCGCCCAGCATGACTGCCAGTGCTGACTCTGGGATTGCAGATGTCTCGAACACGTTCAAGTTCCCGCTTCTGTTCTGCATTGCTTCGTAAAAGGACAGCCAGTGTGGAGCTTTCAGAGTGTTGTAGTTGATCGAGCGGGCAGTGAGCGAGACCTGCTGGTTCGTATACACGTTTCGCCACCCTTTACCCTCACGCATGAGTATGCGCGGGTACAAAGCCATGGCCATGATGGCGTTGAGCGCCCTGTCGCTGACCTTGTGGTTGTACCGCTCTGGAATTGTGTAAAACGTGCCACCGGCGCCACGTCCGGCGCTTGGTCGAGCACGGCTGAGTGCGGCTTTTTCAGCACCCTCGAGGATCACAAGACCGGCGTCGACAAGGTACACGAGGAGTTGAATCTTCTGTTCTTCGACCTGTGACATGGTCTGATCACTGATGTGGTACTTTCGGCAGAATTCTTGAGCAGATCGGGCTGCTTTAGCGCGACGCCACGCTTCATAGGCGTTGAAGGAGGATAGTAGGTCAGAATCGGCGCGACTGAAAATTTGACGGGCGTCAGGCTGGGAGCCGGAAGTCGAGGATGAGAGGAACGGCGATTTCGACGTCAGGAGCGAGATGATGGACAGGATGGGATCCTATAGATGTCAACGTGCGGACGGCCTGTGGGCATGCGAATGGACACTTACCAAACATCTGAAGATGACACCGAAGATGGCGAGTTTCGCAAGTGACACTTCCAACGGCAACCGTGCGATCTGCTGTCCCAGTGGTGTGAGAGCTTCGCTTTTGGTCAACGCTCCAGCATCTTTCAACTTCTCAATCGCTCTTAGCACGTTCTTCCTCGATGGTGGATCGATGGCCGCATTGAGCGTTTCCTCAATTGAGCCCAAATCCCACACCTTGATCCGCAGCATGGGGTCTTGCAAACTCAGCCTCAATATCTCGGGGATTTGCTGCTCCAGCATGAGATTGTCGTGCCGATGCTTCGTGACGAGGTGGAAACACAAGCCATCTTGTACACGAGCGGCGCGACCTCGTCGCTGACGAGCTGACGATCGGGAGATGAATCCCTCTGTGAGTCTGGAGAGTTGGCGCCGCTCGTCGAAACGCATGACTTTCTCCTTACACGTGTCGATCACTGCGGTCACGTCGGGAATCGTGATACCCGTCTCAGCGATGTTCGTGGCGATTACAATTTTTCTGTATCCATGCGGTGGACGCTCGAATGCCTTTTCGAGATCATCGGTCGAAAATGTCGAGTGCAGGAGGTGCACGACCCAGCCTTGACTGAAGATGTCCATCGACAGGAGTAGGTTGTGGAGGCGGCGCATCTCGCCGATGCCGGGCATGAAAATCAGAATGGCCTTGCTGTACTTGACATACTGGCATTTCGTGGCGATCGAGGCTGCCAATTTGGCGATCAGGTCGTACTCGATGCGATATTCGTCCATTTGCGATATGATGTGGTGTGTCTTGCTGCTGTATTTCTCGGGATTGGAGATGACAGGGCGACCTTTCTCGGTCGCGTATTCGTCGAAGTCTGCGACATCATCTTCCACGAGCAAAGTCTTGTTCTCGCTGCTAGCAATGTCGATGGTCGCTTCAACGGCGTCCTCGAGGAACCCAACTTCGACGGGGAATGTTCTACCTGGTAAGTCCAGGACGGGCGCTCCGCCAAAGTAGTCAGAGAACTTGCGTGCGTCGACCGTCGCTGACATGAGCACAATCCTCAATGTGCTTCGACGCTTCTGGAGCTTCCGCAGCGCGATGAACAGCAGATCTAGGTCCATCGTGCGCTCGTGGACCTCATCAAGGATCAAGTAATCCAGCTCATCAAGGTCTGGCGACTCTTCGAGCATGCGGAGTAGCACACCAGTAGTCGCATATGTGATGCGGGTTGTACTGCTCGTCTTGCTTTCCAGGCGGATCGCATACCCTACGAGCGACCTGGACGTGCCAATATCGTTGCGGCTCTCGCCCAGCTCTGCAGACACGCGTCTCGCAAGCGTGACTGCAGAGATACGTCGTGGCTGGGTGACTAGGATGCGGCAATCTTGACCGCCCTCAAATCGTTGCTCGAGGAGTAACACAGGAATCCCGGAGGATTTGCCGGCACCTGTCTCTGCGCATATCACGCTTACTGCATTGTTAGCAATACAAGACAGGATATCGTCTTTGTACTGGTGGACTGGGAGCGATTGGCGGACTTCGAGCATCTGTTGGAAGGCCGGCCGCGAGGTACGGGAGGTCCACTCTGTCGAAATACTGTCTGCATCGAGTCTGATTGGGGTGTGACGTGGCCGACGGCGGTCTCTCGAGATTGTTAGATGTCTTGCTTTTGCACCGACCCGATCTTGCCCGCCCTGCAACTTCTCCTGGGCGTCCTGAAGAATGCCTCGAAGTCGACGAAGGGTCTCTTTGTGTTCTTCATTCATCATTCGTTGCTTTGCGTCAGTCAAATCCCTGATAAGTTCTCTCCACACAGTGGGAAGCCGGGCGGCTGCTTTTTGCTCCTTTGAGCCAAGTGAGGCGACAAGGAATATGCCGAGCGTGCAGACGTATGCTTCTGACTGGGCTCTCGATGCTGCAGCGACCGTGTCCATGGTTAGAGACCAGTTACGTGGTGTCATTTGCGATGAGACTTCCGCTGGAATTGCGAGTACCGCGTGGTCGTCTGGTACTGTATCGTTTGACCATGAGATGTCCAGACAGTGTCTCGTCGAATATGGAGTACTCTGCAGCATCCGTACTTGTATCCGACACCTAGCATCATATCCTTTGCATGTGTCCTCGAGCAGTTTTCTGGGTGATACGCCGGTCCATTTGCCGAAGTCGACCAATTTGACCTTTCTCTCTTGTGATTGTGGGCCTTCATCCGGAGAAATAGCATCGTCGGCGTTCCCAAACATGCCTCCAAGAAGCTCGTCTCCGTCATGATCGGCGGGTTTGCCACCATCAGATGCGATTTTCGTGTCCTCCGTCACTTCGCCGTCTTGCTTCGGAACATCTCCTTTCTTTTGGTTGCGCCGTCGCGTGGTTTCCATTCGTAAGCGGTGTTGATGTGTCGCATCGAGCTCGATCGTGGTCTCATTCCAAGCAGATTCTGCCTCGTACTCATCGAATAGCGGGTCTCGCCGCAGCTTTTGCAGTCTGCCACCCAGCTGCGCCGCGCGCTTTTGCTTCCTAGACAATCTTGTAGGTTCTTTGGATGGGTCTGGATTCTCCAGCTCCCACAACATTCGTCTGATGCGAACGTATTTCTCTGTCAGTCTTGTAGGATCGTCGTCCTCATCACTTTCGACTGACGAGCTCTCTGGCGTGGAGTCATCCTCCGGCTCCGACACTTGAACTGGCGTACTGACTGGGCTCTGTCGACTTCGAGTTGCCGTTACTGTCTCTGCGATGTGTCAGTCAGAAATATCCTGAGAAAAGACGTTCAGAACGGTGGTCGTTGCTAAGATTCCTGTGATGATCATGGGAAGGAAGTGTACAATGTGGATTTCACTCCGGATGATTGACGCTCTCCGGTAAATGCTGTTGATAGAACAGAGATGGGCCAGATCAAACATGAATGCATCATTACGAACGTACCAGAATCATCTTGAACAGGCGTGCTGTCGCCACTCTTTCCAGGTCTGGATCCCACTACATGCTCATAGCTCGGCAATTCAGCTGCTTCGGTGTGCGTTGCATACCATTGAAGAGCCTCGGGCAAGCCAGGAAGTGAGTCTGTAGTCGTGCTTAGCTGTCCGGATGCCGCAAGACCAGCTATGTAATGAATGGCATCGAGGATTCTGGGAAGCTGAAGCGCTTGTAAAATTCGTTGGAGAGTCCAGAGTTCGACCAATGCTACCTCCTCAGCACTCGGCGCGATACAGGCATTGCCGTTGTGGCCACTTGTTGCCGTGCTGGCAGGATTCATCTCCAATAGTTCATCAATTGTCTCTTCTGGAAGCCACAAGTAGGTTGAGAGTTTGTTAGCTTGCAAACGCAGCTGCCGCCGCTCAGTCTCAAGCCGTGCAATTTGGCGATTGGCATCTGCTATGCATCGGGCTGAGTACTTCTCGACCAGAGCCTCAAGTTCAGAATTCTCCAGATGAGCCTCCAATTCTTCAGGAGTCATGTCCTCTATCTGCGTAGATTGTTGGCCATTTGTTCCGACATCAGTACCTTGGCCACTTGGACCGGCCGAAGGCTCTCCCTGTGCTCCTTGTTCTTGGACTCCGGCACTCGGCCGAACGACATTTCGTTCAGGCTCATTGGCAGGCTTTGCTTTGGAGGGCAGTGAGGTGGTCGCAAAACCCCTCGCCGGATTCGAAGCGGCTTTCTTTTTCTTCTTGTTTGGAGCCATCTCAGGTCAGTTGGTAAGCCGTACTCGAAATGCCGGACAATGCACGCTCAACGCGGTGATAGACCTTCAAGGTTTTATCCGATCATGCAATTCCTGCTCTGCCGATCTCGTGGTTCTGCCAGGACGGGAGTACATTGCTATCGTCGATTGTGTCGCACATCGCTCCAAGGAAATCCGGCCTTGAAATTCGCCTTTCAGGTATTGTCAAGTGAGTCGCGTGCCGAGTGTTCTAACAGTGAAGTAGGTAGCGAGGTAGATACTTACATCAATGCCAAGAAAATCCTTTTTCTCGCGTCAATCGGTCCAGAACTTCTTCAGATCGCGATTGCATCTGATCCACCCAGTGAGCAATTGCAAGGAGACTACACAATCTTGAATAGGCAAAGCCAGAATGTTAGCACTTGCTCTGACTGCCGACTTGGAAGGGTACAGAAGATCTTGCTGCGCATTCACTACACAACACTAATGTTGGCTTCAGCGTTACCGACCTTAAGCCTGTCGACACAGCTGATTCTCCGTATTACTACACGTTTAAAGTTCAATGCACCTCATGTCGAGAGGTACATGCCAACTGGGTTGGTGTTAGTCGCCATGTAGGTATTTCCCGTGGGCAAGTGCAACTTCTCTGGCAGTTTCGTCAGCAATGCACTGGTTGGGTGACCTGAAACGCCTGCTTGTTCCGCGTCGAGGCCCCCATGAATGCCCTCAGTCGAGACTGAGATCACAGTATAGCACAATTGCCTAACAAGAAGACCATAGGATATGAACGAACAATCAGGAAGTCGAGGGGAGGCCAACTTCGTCTGGAAGTGCAAGAACTGCAAGGTCAGATTAGAATTGTATCCAATGACAGCCTCTGATCGCTGATGGTTCTTCAGCGAGAATCCAGCGCCACGATCAAGGCGGCCCCAGTGAAGTACGAGCAGAATTCACCAGCAAAAGCGAAGAATCTCATCGAAATCGATTGTCGCGGCCTGGAGTTCACCGACTTCAAACCGGATGTAGGTGTCGGGGCGAGTCCAATGCTATACTATCGCGACTAACACGGCTGTAGGGAGAATGGGAAGCCACAGGGATTGAATCTGGCACCAAATTCACGGGAATTGACTTGTCAGAGGGAGAGTGGTTTGATTACGACGAGAAGGCGGGTGAAGAAGTGAGTATCAAGGACATCAAATGGGAGGTTCGTCGAGCTTGAGGGTATTGTGGCTTTTGTGATTTTTGCGACTCCGTAATGATGGTCGAAGCTCGGAAAAGCACACAATATTTACCAGTTCATGATTGAGATACTATACCCTAATCATGAAGAACGGGTTGAGAAATTTGTGAAGACGTCCGACATCCTCGAGACAAGGCTGAGGGAGAAGAGCCTTGTAGCCTTGCAAGGCTTATCACGTGATCCGGATAATGTTTGCCAAGCAGCGCAGCTCGTCAAATTCTAGAGAAAGGTTTCATTTCGAGGTACGTGAACAACAAGTGCAATACAGTCAAGCTGTGCTCCTCGTTGCAAGCTCAGTCAGATCTGAACTAAGCTTTAGTTCATCTTTTTCGACTGCCGCCAGAATGAATGTGAGTTGCATCTGGTCAATTGTGGAATATTTGGACTAACTGAGAAATAGTTCACTCCTCTCAACCCACGGCCACTGTTGCAAAATCTGTACGCCCTACACCCGACCGTTCTTCCAGCTCTGCGACCGATGCCATTGTTTACGATCTAGAAGGATGGAGAGCCCATGCTGACGTGGACACACTTTACAGGATCAACGACGAGGTTATCATTCGGTTAAAGTGGGGTCAGACAGAGTACAAAGGTCGTCTGATCAGCGTCGACTCGTACATGAACATTCAATTGTCAAACACAGAGGAGTACATTGATCGCAAACACACCGGCACTCTCGGTGAAGTTCTGATCAGGTATGGCCTCGAGGAATGTCAGATGCATGGATCAAACGCTAACAAGACGACTGATAGATGTAATAATGTCCTCTGGATCTCAGCAGCAAAAGGAGTTGAAATGAACGGGGAAGCGGACACAAAGATGGAGGGATAATCACGCGACGGCTATACCACTTGATTGCATTGTCGCCTGAACGCTGGGCAACCGAGATCTCCGCTTTTGTCGAGGTCTGCTCGACGAAATCGCCCAACCATGAACCAGCGTTAGATACTTCGAGCGCATCACGAAGATTCGCTACGCGAGAATGCCCTTCAAGACGTGGGCTTGAGCCTCGATAGGGGAAACGACGCCCTGCGGCAGCGAGTTGACGCGGTTGATCTTGGGTGTTCTATCTTTCCTCGGGCCGCGCGGGCCTTGAGCGTTGCTTACGACAACCATGACCTGGTGATATTGGACGCCATAATTTCATTCAGTCGTCGCTGGAGGAAGGACGGAAGCGCGGCAAGCTTGCGATGCGAATGACAAGCTTTTGCAGCGGTCACGAGCCATGAGCGAACGATGTATTATGACATCGGTGCTTCTCATACAAAACTATGACGTCCACCAATGATGGCTGCCTATGGAATGGTGTGCCACGAAGTTGATACCAAAAGCGGGAATCTCAAAAGGTTGTGCTCTGTTTATGGCTTGGTTGGTGCCACGCAATTCAACCGCAATGACCAAACATACATGTCATGCTGAGTGTACTTCTGCATTCCTTAGAAGGGCAGAAATTGGTTGCTTCTACGCTCAGTGGACGTCATATCTGGATGATTCAGTGCACAGTTAACAAATCCAATGATCGTAGTCAGACTATTTTTGTACACTTTTGGAGACGAGCGTTCGTCACTTCGGGCCGGACTTAACCACAAGAATGATCCCGAGTGTTGCCCCCGTGGCACCCATGGAAGCCTACACTTTCCGTCTGTACACAGGAGTGACACAGTATGCATGTCCAACCAGTGTAAAATATGCCGAGGCACACCGAATTCGGGGTTTGAATAGGCGGCGGCCAGCGACCAGCAATGACTTGACGGGTTCGTGCCGGTTTCAGAGAAGGAGGCAAAATTTATGATGGTCACCTGCGGCCAGACGCTTCTGAAATCGCTCGCCAAATAAACGATGGTAAATTTGCACAATGGGCACCTCCACCCGAAAGCCCGCTTTGGTGATCGACCAACGCTGCTTATGCGGTCAAACGCTGATCTTGATAACTGCCAACGTGGCTGTCGCCTCTGTACTCGTACTCATCAAGCGTTGTCGAAGTAAGTATTGCCGCGACACCTTGGCTGGTTCCTTGATTATTCCTGGTTTCGCCTCAGAGACGACAGCTCACCACTGGGCGGCCCTCGGCGGCTCAAGGGTTTTACGCCACACGCCAAGGGACCCTGAAATCTAGTCTCTGGGTCCCACAAGCCTGGGTGCATTTGCTCCTGGGGAGCAGGCTGCCATTACGAGTCTAGCCGCCAATGATCCAATTCCAACCTGGGGAAGGCACAACAGAGAGGGCATGACTAGCCGGCTGCAAAGCCACTCACGCCCCAACCCGTCAGTTCTCAAGAGCCAGGGGGTCTGGAAGCGAGGGAATTGCGAAAAAGGCGCGGACACGCTCGTGTGCCGAAGACGGACAGATGGGAAAGCCGCCTTCAAATTAAAGTCTTTCCTCTCCCCTGTGTTTGGGTGTCGGGACTTTGCTTCTTGTTGAGTTGTCTTGCGATTCAAGCATTTCGTCCGCAATATTGGGCAGTGTACACTTATTCTGCTTCTACATATAAAGTGTTGTCTATCAACAGTCACTACCACTCCATGCCTTCCAAATTTACAGAGATCCTCGACCCCGAGTACCAGACGTCGTCTCCTCAAGATGATGTTCGCCTCGAAGACATCATCGCAGCCACCCATATGTCTTACCGGGCTCGTACATCGTCAGAGACCAGCTCACGGAGCACGAGTTCCTCCAGCGGCGACAGACCAGAAGAGAAAACTCGAAAGCGGCTGTCGCGTCTTCTTGGGAAGAGATGATATCTGGACGAATCACAACTTTTTGCAATATCCAGCTACGAGCCACGAGATTGCCCTGCCATTAGTATACGACTTCTGAACGAGCAATGAGCAAAATCTCCTCATCACCCACACAAAAGTCACTCCTTGAAGTGCATCACGACAGATAGCACATTCTCTTTCAAACACCTGGCAGTGCGAACACCGGTCCTGGCGCCCCTGCATTCCTAATTCCAGATTGCACCGCGTCGATGGAGACCGTCAACCACCATTATTAAAAAGGACAAATGACGAATTATTGGATTGATTCTCAACAAGACCAGCCATTTGAGTTCGGCTCAGAAGCTTCAAGGAGACGGACGTCTTCACTTTGGTCACGGGCTCACGACCCTGATGGGCAAGATCAACAGTATCTCCACAGCCGACGCCGAGGATGTTGATCGCCCACTTATTAACAACCTCGGAGAAGACTTTTTTTCCTTCAGCCTTCACCGCTCCTCGCGCTGCGGCAATGCGAGACATAACGGACCTTCCAGACCGGAGCTAGAGGAGAGCTAGAGACACACTTCCAATCTCGTCGGAGCCATTCTACAATTTTCAAAAACAATCCATTTCATGAGATGCAGCACAAAGCAGCGAACACTGATGAGTCACGACTGAAGACCCCCGAGAGCGATTTTGCTAGCGTGCAGTTTCTTGGCCTTTTCGATGAATCTATATGTCATCAGAGTACGGATACGCCATGTCCATAAAGAATTTTTTTACTTTGTCGCAACATGTTTCCAGATGGGCACGAGTTTCGATGGCCACGGCTAGACCTGGCATGTTATGTCACAACGATGTACCACAGTATACAACGGCTGGGGGAAAGCACATACAAGGTTTCTTCACGGTCTTATGACCGAAAAGACGATGAATCTACTATATTTCGCGCAACTCCACTTAGGTCTCTATGTCAAATTTGCTATACTAGTACGAGTAAACTATCTTCAATGGGCACCTGGTATAGGTGATTGTACCCATCTTCAGACTCTCCAGGCCGTGCCCCACGAGGCTTTAGAGATCGACCCGTAAGAATGCGTGAATGGGTATCTCGGGCTTGAAAGCGCCTGAGAGCCCACCTAGTACCCACCGGTAACCAGCGTCCCAAACGTTCGGTATAATTGATTGAGAGTGCCAAAAACTGGATGATTTCTGCCCACAGAAATAATTGATTACGAAGGGAGGATGGCCGAGTGGTTTAAGGCGCTGTGTTTAGGTCTCTTCTTGAACCGCAGTGGGAGTGAGTCCTCTCAACATTACATCAAGCAAAAAATGATCGCTAACCCCTTACAGAACCTCGTGGGTTCGAATCCCACTCCTCTCATGAGCCTGCAGACCTGTATCAGGATGCTCCGATTTTTTTTTCGTTTGGAGTTGAGTTGAGGGGAGAGGAGGTGGATTGCTTGAGGAGAATGTGAAGTGAGGTGGCGCGGGCGGATACCAGGTTATTAAGAAATTGGCACGTGATCAACGCGCTTGAATCGTGCAGCATAAACGCCAGACCGAAACTCTTTTCGACAGCAAGGGTGGAGAAGATAGGATCACTGACACTCGTGTACACAATACTCGACGATTCCACAACCTACAGTGAGTACTCGTATTTGGACGGTCGAAAAGGGTATGGCGACGTCGAACGACCGTTCCGCCGACGCGTCTCAACCGAACGAATTCGAACTTCGGCGCGCCGCTCTTGTGAGTGAGATAGGAGAGGTACGTCTTACCAGACATTATACAGCTATTACGTTGATGGCTGGAACCACTGTACACAAACATGCACAGACTCACAGGGGTTATTGTAGTCTCTGGAACAAGTTCTCACACATGTCAATGCTTTGAACCGAAATCTGGAAGGCATCATTGAGGTGTGTGACCCTCTTCCGTGGTTCATCAAAGTGGCTGTTTGGCTTGCGCGCGACAGGAGTCATCAGATACTAAAATTGTGAAATAGATTGGAAATGAGTTTTCGTCGGTAGAGGCGCTCTGGAGTCAGTTCGAGACTGTCATGGGCACGGACGATCAAAATGCTCCAACGACGGGAGCTCATGAAGGAGACGGAGAAAGCAAAGTCGAGCACAGTGAAGAAGCCAGCCGATGAAACCGAAATTGACAGGAAGAGTGGATGGTTGGCCTTCTGGGGAAGCAGACGTTATCGTCTTCAAGCCGCGCTCGTCGAGCCTTCAGTTTTCGCCATTGCTCTTGTCAGATCCAGGAGGTCTGGAAACACGAAATCACAAGGAGGCGGCATCCTTTCGGAATGAAGCAGCCACGACTCGGGCATGGTTAAGACAGTTGTGCAATTTGTACCAATTTTGGGCAGACAACCTTCCTGCTGATCATATCCATACAAAAGTCAGCCGTCATGTCGAGGCCGAAGCAAAAAGGACCATAAGGCGGCCAATTCAACGCCAGTCATGCATTCATGCAGCAACGCCGTCTAGGATGCGTGTACATCACGGCCAGGGTGGCCAAAACCAAGAACAAATATTCGAGCCGGTGGGCCAATGCAGTCAGAGAAGTGGGCATGAAATCATCGATCAGAGAATTGCACACTTCCTCTTCTTCGCTTTCTTGACCTTGATGCCCTTGTTGTTGGGCTTCGGCTCGTAGCTGGCTTCCTCGACTTGAATCGCGGTGTTGATGGCCAGGTTGAAGACTTCTTGAATGCCATTGTTCTCTTTTGCGCTGCACTCGATATATGCGGCTCCCATTCTCTTCGCTACCGCCTCGCCTTGCTCAGGGGTGACCGGTGTCAAGCCTTGAGTGCGGAGGAGTTCGATGCATGTTCGTTTGTTTCGTAGGTCAGATTTCAAGCCCACGAGGATAAGAGGAGTCGTCGGGCAGAAGTGCAGGACTTCAGGATACCACTACTACCGTCAGCAGACTATCGTGGAGGTCAGATGCAATATACTGACCTTGTCCATGACATTTTCGAGAGAATTGGGACAATCGATGGCGAAGCAGACGAACAGCAGGTCTGTTTCCGGGTATGACAATGGTCTGAGCCGATCATACTCTTCCTGTCCTGCGGTATCCCACAACGCGAGCTCGACTGCCTTGCCTGTCGGCTTGTGCGTGGTTTGGGTGATGTAGTTCTCGAACACGGTAGGGACGTATTTCTAGACTGCGTCAATTCTTGCATTCTCGGCGCTGCGTGTTCGGCTGCATACCTCTGGGAAATATCCTTGTGCGTAGCTGATCAACAGACACGTCTTGCCGCAACCACCGTCTCCTACGACGACGAACTTCTTCGAGTATGACGGTGGTTGTGTAATGTTTGTGGCTTCTGATAATCTTCCGCTGCTGTTGTAGCTCATCCTTGTGCTGACCGTGCCGTCGCTGGTTCTCGTGCTTTGCATTCTGGTTGATCTTCGTTTAGGTGATGAAGGGTTAATGTATGAACTCGACAAGTGCTTCTCAGACATGACTGTGGGTGTTCGTGAAGGATGATATTGCTCTGTTTCGGTGGCCATGGTGGAGGAGGTGAATGATGGCAAGGGATCGTGTTGCCAGCAAGAAGAGATAAAAGCGGTGCAGACTTTGTTATGATGGGTACGGCAGTATTATACGCTTCAGGACTACTGCAAGGTTTTGCATATGCCGGTCAACGAACTATTGTTGGGATGTGGGATGATGTGTTACTTAGTTGGATTTACATGTCCCTCTGCGCGCGTTGCATGACGCCAGGGGAAAAAGATGTTTATTCAAGGTTGTTGCCCGGTAACAGCCTAGTGACCCGTGCAGACCCCCAGAATCTCCACGCGTGAAACAGGGTTCAGCCTCTCGAATCACTGGAATCACTTGAATCGCACAACGATCTGGGATGACTTGCATAATATACGTACTATGTATACACTCGCTTCTGTAATGACGCGATACATTCGCTACCACACTTACTTGTACAATTGTGCTTTGGACGCCAATGTCTCCTCAGATAGAATGCGGCGAATGCGACGACTGATCATCTCTTCCCATCTCATGCGCGGTCCCTATTCATCATACCATACTTTGCACATCCCTTGAGTCCCGCAAAACACTTCACAGACAGAGTATGGCAAAGTTGAGGTTTCTCAGGCAAGTTGAGTGCGAGTGCTGCTCGTCTCAAGGCAAATTGACATGACATTTAACCAACGATGTGACTTGGACTATCTGGTGCCTTGTTGCTGCCCAATACATAATCAGGTCCCGCTGGAATCAATCACTTCTTTGGGGTGGGTACCAACTCGCTACCTGCATGCTGAGACGACAGTACAACAGTGCTGACAATGGTCGTCCAAAACATACATTCAAACCGAAAAAGAATAGTGTTCAATCATCACGGTCGTCAGTATACAGCCTTCTTCTCCGGACTCCTACTCCGTGCTCGATGCTCCTTGCTGGGACTTCGTTGGTATTCGATTTGCTGTTGACCTCCAAAGCCTTGATCGCCATGCCAGCCTACATAGGGTTGACCGTATGGCGTGCCCGGAGGTAGAGCAAAACCGCCCATGGGACCGTCATGCTGTCCAGGATGCATGTATGACCCCGAGGGAGGACGATACATACTCGTGCTGTGATGTTCTTGTTGTCGCCGGTACAGTGTAAACGTGGCGTTGTTGACAATTAATCCGACCACAACCAATGTGATGGTAAAAATCCTGAAGAGGTCAGCTACACTTGTTTCAAAGCACCGCTTTTGAACTTACATGGTCTTCAAACTGATGGGCTCGACAAAACTGTTGAAAATCTCGGCAAATGTGTGTGCACTCAGTCTCGCCCGCTTCACTGCCTTTGGATCCCGGTTCATGCATAATTCCCAATTACTGCACACAGTCTCCAGAGCCGGTAATCTGGTGTCGGCAGCACACCGATTCTCGACATAATTCCTCGAACATGTTGCCATCTCCGCCAGCACTTCCGCCATAGCATCTTCACTTGCCCGGTCCACGTCTGCTCGGATTGTAGCATAGAAAGACCAGAACATGTACAGACAACCGCCCAGAATAACGGCATTGAAGAACACCTGTAAGTACTTTGCGATGATAGACGGCGCGTCTGGATACGTGTGAATGAATGTGAACAGTCCGGTAATCCATCCCACCTCTTCCACCTTTGGCTTTTGCGATTCGGTAGGGCTAGGGGTAGGCTCGTCGTCGCTATCGTCCGTGTTGTCTCTTCTGCTTAGCACCAATTGCTTGTCAAACTTCTGTGCTCGCCGCCGCTTCTTGTGTATCCGTCGTGCAATGGCGTCGCTGTGAGGTTTTCGAATCTCTCCTCGACCTGGACTCTGCGCAAATCCGCCATAGAGACCGAATAATGAGCTTCTCTTGTTTTCTGTTCGCTGAGGACTACTCTTGAACTCAATTGGGATGGGTTTGGCGTCTGGAGTCTCATCGTTGTCCGTCTGATCGAGAGGCGAGGAGTTTTCTGGGCCGGAAGAGAAATCTATGTCGAAAGGTTTGCGTGGAGTCGTGAAAGAGGGAGCACGGAAAGGGGATGCAGCAGGCGTTGTGGTCGATGGAGCGTTTGAGAAAAAGAATGGTTGGTTGTTGGGTGCGCGGAGGGATGGTAGAACGGATTTCTTGGGCGAGTCAAACTCGCTGTGAGGGCCTGTTGCAATTAGCATAGTACCTCTACCTCAACCACGAGATACTCTAGCATACGTTTCTTCGCTTGAGCGTCCATCATGTGTTTATGAAAAGGCGAAGAAGGATCAATTGGACCGTGGCCTTGCCATTCAAAGTCCATGGGACTTTCCGTGCCGCGAAATGCCATGTCAAAACAGAAATCGCGCGGGTCAAGATATAAGAGTGATTCCTCTGCCGGTACTACTCGGGATGGCAGCAGTAGTGAAGGCCAGAAGGAGGCAGTGTGGCAGCGCACGCCCCAAATCATGTAAACAATGCAAATGCACCCCGGATTTTAAGTTCGGAAATGATTTCCATAGTCACCTAACCATACCTCGACAGTGCTCGACATGCTTTCACACCGGTTTACTAGCGAACGAAAGTCCGACTATGGTATTCGCCAATACGGATTCATCCTAGAGGGTGAGCCTTCACAGCCTTTTTCGTGGACTGTTGGAGGGCGATGTAGGCAGCCAGCACTCTGGGCGGAGGCTGTGTCGCCTCATGACCCAGCCCAACGCATTGCATTGCGGTGCAAGCGTCGTGTACATTACAACGTGTTCCGTGGTACTGGGCTTATTTTCACACAACTCCAAACGATTCACAGATGTCCATATCTCCGTCATGGCTCTATGCAGCACCTGCAACAGCTTCAATTTGTACCGAATCTTCAGTTCTGCTGATGTGGGTTCACCGACACATGCAGATCCAGACCCAAGATACTTTTGGCACGAGTCGTACGCGTTGTGTTTCAGACATTCTGATAACATATCCATGGTAAAGAACGGCTGCTTCTGCTGCTTGTGGTCTGTGCATGTTATTGTTTGATGCCTTTGAAAGCAAAGAATCATAGGCAGCGCAAGAGGCCGGCGATCCTCCGATCATATTAGCACGGGGCAGGACAATCGAAGAGCCTAAACTAAGGTCATTCTTTTTGAGCCCCGATAAAGGACTCATGTGGTTTTGTCATCTTGATATCAGCATTGATAAATGGTATGTCTCATTTGCGAAGAAGCCCGCACTTTTCTATTAACATAATATCGAAAGCTTTTGCCGACCTGCCAACAGACCTCCCATTCAAGCCATTTAGCAGATTGCATCGGGACTCTAAAGATCATGGCTGTGTGGCGCTTGCTTCACGATGGCTTTCATCTTGCCTGCAGGATCACGATTGCGAAGCCCCCAACTTAACTGGTCCAAGTCTGCTAACACGCTTCCTGCATATCGGGAACGGGAGCAGAAAGCCACACCTTGTCGAGTTCCAACCCGGAGCACCATTGCACTCATGGGCCGCTCTAAGCTACCAATGGGGGGAAACGGACCCCTTGTGGAGGTTAGTCAAAGACACTGAAGGATCGTTGAAAGCCGGTGTCAAGATCTCGGAAGAATCTATTCAGGATGCAATCACCATAAGCAGGGGATTAGGTATTCAATATCTGTGGATTGACAGATTGTGTATTTTTCAAGATCGGGAGTCCGATTGGTTGGAGCAATCTTCACAGATGAGTTATATCTATGGACATTCGACGGTGACTATCGCCAGTGTGGACACGGAAGATGCCTCGCAGAGCTTTCTGAGACCGCGAGAAACGCAGTACGTTGGAATCTCTTGGGATCCGGAGGCGAACCAGGACGTCAGTGAAGAATGCCGAAATCCGCCGCAGGTCTACGTCTCGCACTCGTGGCCCGATCACTACGACGAGTTGAGCGGACCATGGTCTAAACGAGCATGGACTCTACAAGAAGGATTCCTACCAAAACGAATCTTATCCTACTCCTCTCATCAGATGGTCTGGAAATGCTGCCGCATGGTTCGGTATGAGGCGAGCCCTCGAACGTGTCCCTATAAACGAGTACATCCTCAGCCTTGCGGACAAACCTGGTGGAAGGGACTTCGGGCGGTTCGACCTTTTCACCAAATTCAAACTCCTGCCAAAGTACCTGGAGAGTCCAGAATGTCATCCAAAGCATGACAGATACCGCGTCTGGTACAACATCGTTGAAGACTACTCTGCTTGGTGTATGGAACGCCGGCGAGATCGACTCGTTGCAATTTCAGGGATAGCGAAAATATATGGGACGGTCCTACATGACGACAGATATGTAGCAAGTCTTTAGCAGTCAGACATGCTTCCGGGTTTGTTGTGGTACGCTGAAGGATTAGAGCTATTTGGCAGCAAATTTGGTCAGTCCACCAACGTCGAGGTCAACGCTCCTTCCTGGAGCTGGGCCAGCGCTCCTTCTGGGTATACGATTCGCAATGACTGGACAAACAAGGAGTTTCAGACATTAGCAGCGGTGGAAAACGTCAGCTTTGGTCTGGTCAAGTCAAACAATCCCTTCGGCGGTGTCTTGCGTGCTAAACTTGATATACGCGGACCGGTCTGCCGATTTCCTCAGCTTTACCATCCTTCCTGGCGCTCGCCGCCGCAGACTGCTCTGTCAGCTTGGAGCGCCACCTTTCTCGTGTAATTGAGCTCGACTACGGCGAGAGGGCAAACGAACTCTCTCGTGAAGGCTGCTACGCCGCTTTGTTGTTGGTGCGACAATTTCCTTCACCACAAAATCGCGTTGACGCTCTTATCCTCAAGATTTTGCCGTCACACGGAGACGAGAAGAGCCCAGTTCTTGAACGCCTCGGGTGTTTTGATACTGAGCTTCTGCGACATACGCTTACGGGCGTCTCCTTCGTTGGTGTCCTTACTATTCGAAATCGAGGGAAAATCTCCGGACCGCCGCCTGAACTCTAAGGGTCGGTTTCGAAACTCAAAGCGCATTTTCTGCAAACAAGTCCTCCAAGAAAATTTTCAAGACTATAGGAAATGCAGGTGGCCCTACGAGGCTGTAACGATTGTTTAATCATCACCAACATATCCACTTAGAGGCCACCAATGCTCGAGAGGAATTAGTCAAGAAGATTGCGAGGCCAGACAACTTCGAGACGAAATAAAGAAATTGTAGCTGTAGGGATTTTCGTAGCGCGTACGCATTCGGCATTCGTAAGGAAGAATCCGGGGGCGCTGATATGAAAGATGAGCTCAGGCAACTACTGTACCTAGATAGGAGCGCTCAGGAAGTAGCAGGTGCGCCGACACGAGAGGCTCAGACATGTCGAAAATGTGCAGAAGATAGGTGCCAGGTTTTTCGCGTGTCCCTGCTGCCTACCTGGCACACTCAACACATCTTGCATTGACCTCCTTACATGCCAAATCCAACAATGAATCCTGTTAGGATGGTGAGACCCTCTTGACAGAGAAGCTCCATCATTGACCTTAGAGCGCCGCTGCAAGCGCAAAGGGGGAAGTGTTTCGATCAGCGCCCAAAGATGCGCCTTGCTATGGAAGCGTCTTTTGGTCTCATGAGACGAGTCCACACATATGACAGTACTGTGTCCACTGCTCACAGCCACGCATAAGTAGTTCTCTGAAGCGTGGATTTTGCCCTGTCCAAGTGAGAATCGCAGTCCAGGTCATTGTGTATTCGAGCCCAGCACTGCGGTGCCGGCTGGCCTTTGGTCATCGCGATTCTTGTTCCCGCATGTCTGTCCTGGTGCTGGGAGCTGCCAGCCGGGGGGTTCCGCCGTTCGTCGGGAAGACATTTGTGTTCCAAGTTCATTACTACCCAGTTGTTTCGACGTCTCATCCGGCTGGATATTAATTGGTCTTCAATCGGTTGTTGGTAAGAAAACGTGGTGTTCAAGGACCGAGATGGGAAAGTCTCAAGTGCATGGGTAGTAAAGAGAGCAGGCGCCAACACTACCTAGGTAAGTTAGCGACGAATTTCCCCCACCAACTATTCGGACTTCCCTTCGCATGCTTTCTTGTTGTACATCACAACTATTTCGTGAATCCTCTCTTAACCAGTTTCTACTCAGTTACTATCGACTCATTGCGGCAAAATGCCCAGAGAACAGTCCGACGAAGCTCAATGGTGGTTTCAGGCTGTGTATTCTGCGGTCCAACAAATTCCCTACGGTAAATGTACCAGCTATGGACACATAGCTGTGCTTTTGGGCTTTCCACGACGGGCTCGCCAAGTAGGCGTATGCCTGAAACATCTTCCTTCATTCGATCCTGCAGATCCCGAGAAGTTCTTCTTTCACGATAACAATGTTCCGTGGCAGCGCGTGGTCAATTCCAGAGGCGGGATTAGTCCACGTGGAGATGATGGGGCCGCCGTGAACAGACAAGCTGACAGATTGCGGGCAGAAGGAGTCGAAGTCAACGACGCAAGAGGCATCGAGGAGATGACTGTCGATCTTGGGATGTTTGGATGGTTCCCAAAGAGGTTACCTAGAGAGCACAGTGACGAGAGCGAGCAGGAGGATGACCAGGACTAATTCAAACAGCAGTGCTGTGACACTCAAGGGTTCTTCTCTGATTCGGAGCAACTCATTGATCCCCGATATTTGAACTGATCTCATGAGCTGTTGCAGCCAAAGGTCGAAAGATAAAGCCGAGTCGCGGCGCTGCAGGGTCTCAGCGAGCAGCCCGAAATTCGGCCTCACTTGGACTGGTGTGAACCGCAATCGACTGTCCGGTTCATTTGCACTCTGAAGGCGGTGGGATGAATTGGAAGGTTCAACGTTGCTGCAGGAAGAAGGAAAGTACCTGCATGAACGTGTTGCCCAAGATATGGCAGACATCTGGCCAGCTTGCTGGCGCCAGCTCAACGATCCTCCTGTGCCATTCCGCACCCTGGGGCAATTGTCGTCGCAGCCTTGGATGCCCGAAGGCTCAATTTCAGTATCCTTTGTTGGGCTGGTACTGTCGGGTTAGGGCACCGTACTGTGTGGCACACCCTCACAATCGAGGGAAATAATATCAATTTTCGAAATTAATGTTCTTCCCAGTGCATGGGAATATAATGAAGATTGCTGAATCAGTATTGGATCTCGCACGTCCAAAGATGCCTGCTCTCGGTGAATCACTACACAATCTAAATCTTTTGTCCAACTACTCGTAGAAAAACGCACGATTTCACCAGCCTGATTAAGGGCAGAGTTATGCAAGGGATGTCAATGGGCTCAGAATGTATGGCCTTTGGGGTAGGGATCGACTCTGGTCGGAACGAAGGAGACAGTTGCAGGATCTTGTCGCAAGCTTCCAACTTTCCCCTTCGAGTGTAAAGCGGACGTGATCGAGGAGCACCTCACTGTCTGGAAGAGAGCCACGATGGTCGTTATCGGGGCCTGGGTGGCTCTCAATCGAGTGCACGGCCAGTGCCGGAAGAAACTTCGTGAAACGGGCGTGCGGCAGTCCATGGAGCCTGGACCTGGTTTGAGTCAAATGGTGATGTTTGCTACGATGCCTGTTGGATGACACATTTGGCAGATCCTATTGAGGCTGCCACCCAGGCTGTGGTCTTGAGTCATTGAATGAGACAAAGAGAGTGGCAGGACGGGCACTGACGGGGTACGTCACGAAGACCATGGAACAAAGTGATAGTTGGATCAGGGACAATGACTGATGAAGACTTCCAGGAACCAGGTCGAGCACAATCGAGCAACAATCGACGCGTTGATCAAGTGGCTGGAGCAACAACAACTGGGAAATGAGGTCATTTTCTTTAGATAGAAGCAACGCACGCGGTCGAAGAATCCTGCCTACCAGGTAATTACCTGGTGCTATGTACCTTATTCCTGGCTCTTTACGGAGTAGCTGCTCTTTGTCTAGTTAGTCTTATCGCTGACCTCGGGCGCGTAGAGTTTGAGCTCGGAGTCAGCCACCAAGCCATGGTGGCCATGGCACCTATTGTGATACTCGTAGCATGGCGTGCATGGTGTGCAGATGACTCCTATCACTCCCACCACGCCCTATCCCTATCTGCATTATCGTAGCGTGGGTGAGTCAAGCGAGTCAAGCTCCTCGAGCCAATCTCGTGGCTGTACCTGGCCCAGTGAGCCCGAGGATGCTGAGACTCTGAGAGGATGGCTCATGGTGCTCATCGCCCCCTCCATGACCATTCTCCACATACTACTACTGTACGCATAACATCGACTAACAATCCCCAACCCGAACCCGTGCCTGCTTCACCCAGTGACCACCCATTATCCATGGCCTACTCATCACTACGCGCCGTGTGACTGCCAACCTGGTAGTGACCTAGAGTCAGCTTCTCATATACCACTTAACTGCCTTGTTTTTCACTCACTCTTTCTTCTTTCGCTTCCAACGACTCCCAGTCGTTCTTCACTACTCTTTCTTTGTTCTCAATCAGTCATCCGCACCCAACTACAGTACCACCTGCTGGCCTCGAGGTTCCTGTCACTACCTCTTTGTTCCTGCACCTTCCACCTTCACTACGAACACGTCACTCTCTGACTCCTACGTCCTTCAACAGTTGATCTACTCTGTCAAATTTATATACTCCTTCCAATTACCGACCTACATATCCTACAGACCTCTCCACTCCCACCATGTCGGACCTTCGCGGCGAAGCCAAAGACTACCAACGCTTCAAGAACCACAACACCAAGTGGGCAAGAGGTGGGAAAGGCAACAAGTCTCAACCATGCACTCAGCATGAGGCCCTCAACTCGACTTGCCACAAGTGCGTTGGCCCTCCTAAACACGTCACCACAAGCGAGGCAAGATACAAGCAGCACCACAAGAACAGAGTAACCTCTCAGACTGCAACCCTGGCACGCAAGGTATTCCGTAATGAGGTGGTCGATGCTATGGATGGTCCTCTGGCACACGTCTCAGACAACTCCGAGGGCGAGGAAGTCCCAGACGCATCTGCTGCTCCTGTTCCAGCCGAAGCAGATTTCCTGTACAGCTACGACTCAACAGCTAGTCCTCGTGCTGGCTCGGATATCCTCAGTCATGCTATCACCCAGGCTGTTCGAAGATACGAGAACAACGAAACCGACAAGCTGATCAAGAAGGAATACGATGTTGTCGATGGCAAGGAAATGGCTGATGTGTCTACGGATGAGGATGAATTCGACTTCGAGGTGATCGAACATTCTCACTTGAACTGATTTCATGTCCAAATACGGACTTCAGGCGTTATGGATTGTGGTTAGCAGTTTTAATCACGAGCTTTCATTTTTACTTCATCAAGATACCCCAGGAATCATTAGGGAAGCGAATTGCTCATCATGGAACCGGCGCTTCTTGAGGATATGAATGACCTTGGCAAGGGACTGACACCCATGGAATTGACTGGGGTGTCCTTGGGTTCTATGGCGTTTTGACTGTGGAATGCCGAGATTGACAGCAGTCATATTGACTGTACATTATCAAAACCGTACACGATGCTCTACTGAGCTCAATGGCTGAATGTCTCAACTTGATTCCGAGACTCATCTCGTCTCGTCGATTCGTAGCATGTGACGCGTTCGGAGGGGCAACAACAATGACGCAAGCCAAGGCAGCAGCATCAAACATCGCAAACACACCAAGCCAGAAACTCATCGGATGGTTTGTGTGTTATCAAGAATACGATGTACACGTCGTGCATTCCAATATGTAACTAACTATATGTGCTGATCCATCCCTCGAAGCGAACCCCTCAAGATACTGAAGCCCGAGTGGAAGAGACCGCCGTTATATACAAGTCGAAGTTAGCGAGATGACCACACCGTCCCGGTGATACCAGCAGATGATGCCCTGCGCACGGAACGTCGTAGCGAAGCCGGTATTTGGTCATGGCTCATTTTGAGACTGCTAACAAATTGAAGTCTCAGCAGTCGCGAGGCCCTCAACTTTCTCGGCCGAGAAGAACAGGATCGTCGAAAATAACCATGCCCGCAGAACCTCCCAGCCGTCCGTCCGTCCCTCAAGCAACATCGAGTGAGAGCCATGAGCCTCCCCTCTAGAAAAGAAAGATTGGAAAATCATCTTAGTTCGCCAACCCGTCTCCGTTGTCCTTCTTGTCAATGCTAGCTTGGCCCAGACACCGCATCTAGGTGTGGATTCATTCTCCTTGATTCGTACTACACATGTCATCTAAGGCACACAAAGAGTCGGGTTGCAGACCGGGTTGTCTGAGAGCAACACCGGCCGGTAGAAGAGAGAGAGAGTGTGTGTTTGAAGAGAATGGTTGACGTGGAGCCGGTTCCTAGAAAAGGTGGGTGAGAGAATCCGTTGAATGCTGTTCTGTTCCCTCCTGTCTGTGCACGCCGGCATATTCGATGTGAGCGCTCAACGTCCCGTTGTTTTTCCTGGACATCTAGATCATTGGGGGAAAAGTCGATCGACAGATACGCAGCAGCCGACGCCAGAAGGATCGCTTCCGACGTGGTCGTTGAGAAAGGTGCTCTCCACTGCTTGCCGATACCAAGTTGGAGCCTTGACCTGTACTCGAGGTATTGTCAACGGTCGCCCTCTCCACAATCGTGTCGTTGTCGTTTTCGTTAACGACGGGCTTCTCCCCAACCGTCTCGCTGCTGTTGTTGTCAACGGCGGGCTTCTCATCGACAATCGATGCGCCCTCAGACCCGTCGCTGGGTTCCTCCCAGATGGGGCAGAGTTTCGGCTTGTAACGACGAGAGGCCCTTGAGGCAGGAAGCACATCCACACGCTGGTTCCTTGTTGGGTATGACGGGCATCCACAGGGCAACAAGGTGTCCGTACCGACCCAGCCAAGGTAAGAGTTGGATGGCTCACGAGAGGCTAGTCCGTTGCACATCGTGTCTGGTGGACGTCAAGAGGTTGAAGAAATGCAAGAGGCTTTGCACAGTGGTGTTGGACAAGCGTCGAAGATCTGGCGTGATTGTACTGAAGTTTGAGGACTCAGAACCGCAAGTACGCTCACAGGCTTTCGTTCGGAAGAGGTTATCTGGCAGAAGATGGAGAAGATGAGAGAGAGACAGAGAGCAAGAGAAGGGGAAGTACTTATACTCCTGGTACTTAGATAGACTATGTCGTCCTCACTGGGAATGAGTCGATTGTGGACTCTACCAGCACAGGGCTGTTTCGGGGGTGATGTTGAAGTCTGGTCGTGAGCCCCCAAGAAGGGGACGATGGGAACGGTGGAGAGGGTGGACAGGAAGGTCCTCAACGACATGATAGGCTGGGTGGTCGACAGACGAGAGGACCTCACATGGAACCCAAAAAAAATCCGACACGCGTGAGGACCTTTTGAGACCCGACTTACTTTGAGAAGTCGTTGGCCGGATGAGCGAACACGTACGCCAATGAATTGATGAGGTTTGTCGCTCCTAGAAGAACGCTTGAGTGACAAAAGCGGTCTGCTCATCGCAAACACAGCACCAAAAGGCGTACTATCACCGAGCAACAAGCTGGACAGTTCGATATACGGGCCGGCATCTTGACGAGATGGACACGGTGGATGCGGACTCGACTCGCAAAGAGCTGGGAAAGCATTTGGTGTCAAACAATGCCAAGACTCGCGCAGACATCTCGCAGCTCTCTTTACTGCGTACGGAGTAGTGGTGAGAGAATCGAAGATAGATCGAGACGTGAATACCAACTCTCCCATTCCAGAACAATTGAAAAAGTTCAGAAAGAGAAAAGGGCTCTCGGGGCCCGTGGGGTAATTGTAGCACGCAAAAGCTCTGTCATCCGGATCGAGATTTCTTCACTGGAGACGTAAGCGCAGATGAATCTGAGGTCCTTTGGTTTCGTCCGATCCATTCGAGGACTTCTGTAAGTGAGGAGTCGTTCTCGACTTTTTGGAACAGTGAGCAAGTCAAAGGAAGCGATCTTCTGGCAAGGCTGCACCAGCCTAATTAAGGTCTAGCGCAGCCTTGTGAGCAAACACGGCAAACTCGATATCATTTTCCAGCTGAACTCGTTCGCGCCGGTGGACTTCTAGCCATTTGATCTGCCCAGAGCAATAATGCCTTTCTGTTCATGAGACAGATGATTTGACCCCATGACATGATAATCGCTTGACCATCTGTACGCTCTGACTCCAAACCCTTTTCTCATCAAGAAAATTGTACTCAAGATCCTCAATTCTCTACTACATACATCAACCCACAGAGTCAAGACAGTACAATGCCGAGCGCAAACCTCGCCGCGTACCTCGCGAAGAACTACCTCACCGCATCAACCTCTTCACCCGACCATCACGGGTCCAGCGACTTCCAAGACTCCACGCGTCCCAAGAAGAAGCGACGCAAGGACAAACACCCACCACCCGACTCTGGTCTGATAATCGCAGACGATGACGAGGCCCTTACGCTGAAGGGCAATTCCAACAAAAGGGCGGACGACGAAGATGGCGACATCGCCATGTACGAAACGGGCGTCAAGTCCGCAGAATTCAGAAAGAAGAAAAGCGGGATCGGATGGAAAGTCGTCTCACAGCCGGAGACATCATCTACAACTACAACTACAAACACAAAAGGTGGAGATGCAGAAGAGGCGGAAGCAGACCGTATCTTAGCCTCAGCTGCAGAAGAAGCCGACGCTCGCCGGCGGGAGATCGACGACGAAGATGCGCCCGCCGTCGTCGAGGACGTTGACATTGATCACGGTCAGCCGCGAATGTCCTCGGGAGCAAAGGCGGGCTTACAAACGGCCGCCGACACCGCGCTGATGATGGAGCGCGAGAAGGAACGTGAAGAGCGTGAACGAGAACGAGAACAAAACCAAAAAGGATCAATGTCCAAATCTCGCCGGAAAAAGAACACCGAAGAAGTCCAAGAGGAAACGATATACCGCGACGCCACAGGCCGACGGATCGACATCAGCATGAAACGCGCAGAGGCGCGGGCCGCGGAAGAAGAGAAACGCCGCGCGGAGCGACAGGCGAGGCAAGATGCCATGGGTGATGTCCAGCGTCGAGAACGCGAAGCCAGACGTCAGGACCTCGAGGAGGCCAAATTCCTCACCGTCGCGCGCGGGGCCGAGGACGAGGACATGAACGAAGAATTGAAGAGGGCCGTCCGATGGGACGATCCGATGGCGGCGTATGTGGCGCAGCAGCGGGCGGAAAAGGACGGCGCCGACCAAAAGGGCCCAGGAGGAACAGCGGCGGACAGAGGGAAAGGGAAAGGTGGCAGCATCAAAGCAAAGACAAGAGTATACGCGGGAGCCGCGCCGCCGAATAGGTACGGGATATTACCTGGCTGGCGGTGGGACGGGGTCGATCGGGCCAACGGGTTCGAGAAGGAGTGGTTCCAGGCCCGAAGTCGAAAGGGTCGGAATGCGGAGCTGCAGTATCAGTGGCAGATGGATGAATAAGAGTCGAGTCCTTGCTTTACTTGTGCTGGAGCTTGAAACGCCAAACGCACACGCGCGGCCAAGCAGCGCGCGCTCTACGATGGTGATCAAGTATATTCTATCCGTACATGCGAGGTTCAATAAGTACAAGTACTACACAGCCCATGAACAAGAAACGTGTGGATTAGGTATGAGGAAACCTCCATCTAGATAAATAGATCAAGGGTATACAAAACAACAGCGGGGAGTATTCCTCCCATATCACTGTAACGAGGGCCGAGAGCAGCGCAGCTCGTACGCAATACCTTATTCATCCATGCCATGCCATACCATGCCGTATCATGCCATGACAGTCCCACGATCCGGGTCTCATCGTCCCTTTGCGTTCTGTGTCACGTTCTCTTGATATCGTTGAGCCAGTTGCACACCGTACGAATTCGCTGATAGCGAGCGAAGCCACCCACCGTCCCATAATCTGCGTTGTAGCTCTTCATCATGACTGCTCCAGTCAAATACCAGCACAAGAAGATGACCATCCTCCTCTTTCACGCCGTCCCACGCCGTCCATACCCTCCCACCTTAGAACGGGACGAAATTAACGTCCCAGCCATCCTCATGAATGCCCGCCAACCGTCCAACCACAACCCTGAAGCGTCCCTGCATCTCTGCATTCGGCCACCCGTCCTGCCCTCTGTGCACGGTTTCGAGATGATCCATGAAACTCGCGACATTGCCAAATATCGGCGTACTCTGACTGGCACCACTGTCGACCTTGGCCCCCGAGTTCGCCGTATGCCCGCTTTTCCCACTCCTCACACTCCCCCTGTCTTTACCACTAGTCAACAGCCCCATAACACCCTTGTCGACACCGTTTGTGCTGCTTGCGCTCACTGGGCTGGAATCATTCCATCCCCTATACTTCCCTTCCGCACAACAAAACACACAGCCGAAACTGCCAAAACTCCCCTCCCTACTTCCTGCTTCTCCCAGGGGCACCATGCCTTTCAGATTGACATGACACCTTGCCAGAAACGCCCACTTGTACCGCACACCTCCTGTCTCTGACACACGGATCTTGGGGTCAAACGTCCTCTCGGGCTTGCCCTTTTTTTTGGTGCCGGACACATTGACAGACGTATGGACGGGGCCCTCGAAGTTACATTTCTCGCATTTCCAGTAAGTCACTGTCCCCGTGAAGCCCGCAGGGCGGTTGGCCAGACTGAATGCTTTGCGCTCTAGGCCGGCTTGGAGCCTGAACGCGCCCTTGCAGAAGCCTAGTGTGTCTTTGTCCGTGGGTAAGATTAAGGGCCCGGAAGTCGCGGGGATGGGGTTGGGGACGATAGAGGGCGTCGAGGAACTTGATGCCATTGTGTGGATGGAGCTGGAGCCTGTGCCGGAGTTTCGGGACGTCCTGGGCCAAAGGAGTGTAGATGTCAAGGATGCTGTTTGTGAGGAAGGTTGGGACGGTAGTGGAGGCTGACCAGATGGTGGCGGAGGTAATGGTGCCGTAGGAGCCCGGCCTATATCATTCTGCGGAATGCGAGGGATGATATTCATACCTATACCGATGGGACGCGGCTGCTGCTGCTGATACCGCATCGAAGAGCCCAGGGGTGATGCAGTCTGCGACCGCGACGGCTGACGGTACTGTTGATATTGATCGTACGCATTCTCCCGGTTTCTAGGCGCATTGAGCGAGTCTGATCTCGGCGTTTGCGCACTCGGCGCTCGACTGTTCTCCTGTAGATACCGGACGTGCTCGAGGGTGCCGTGGTTTGAAGCCTGCGCCCGTGATGAGTACGAGTTGGAATTCGGAGCGTGTCGTTGTTGTTCTGGAGTGGGTGGTGGGTTATACATGTCGTAAACAGTGCTATTGCTATATTGGCGGCCGTCGTTTCTGACCACGCCAGTGCCGTAGTCAAATTGCACTGGCCCATTGTAGTCATCAGGCCCGTAGCGTTCTCGCGAGTCTTGGCTTCGGTGGCTGCTTGACGCGCGAGATATATCTAGTGGCTGGTTGTTTTTGTTTGAGGATACCATTGACTCCCTGTCCGTACCGTCGGGCGCGGTCGCCTTGGCTTGACCGCCAGGCTGCGGAAAGAGCATCAGGATGTTGTCATCTGGCGCCAGTGCCTGGGATGATCGCCGCCGCATACTTATTCTATCGGAGTCTTCGACGCGGTGCATACCTACAGGGGGCGCAATGGGAAGGTGCTCGTCAATCGATTCAGGTAAGCGAACTGGCTGTCGGCCGTAGAGGTCTAGAGAGCCCGGAGGACTCGCGGACATTTTTCGCTCGAGGTACTGTGGGCGTATTGCATGTGACACACTGAGATTGCTGAATTGGTCTGCCATGGTGTCCGGCGTGCGAGGAGCCTGAAGCCCCGTCGATGAATGGGTACTCCTGCTACTGGAGTAACCCAATGATGGGGACATTGGCGGCATCAGCCCTGACCCCGACGAGTGAGACATGCTTGCGGGATGATGTGCTTGTGCTCTTACAGCCTCTGCGAGCCGTTGCGACAATTGGCCCAGACAGACTCCAGCATTGACACGACAGTCGTCCGAGGATGTCTGAAGGGCATGGAAATCGAGGTCCATATTGTCCATATACACATTTCGCAGAGTGATTATCAAGGTCATTTGTAGGTTGATCAGGATATCTTTCATCTGTTCCCTGGCTTGGATATCTCCACAGGCATACTGCTCACCGAATCTCTTGAGGTCATGTTCGTAGTGTCCGCGTACGATTGCAGGTCCTAGGGCGAGCGACTCGAGTAGATCGCGGGTAGGTTCCTCAGGTAGGCTGGCGCCGTTGCTGCTCTCGCGCTGGTCCCTTATTCGCTGGACGAGCTTGATGGCATCTTCGAAGGCTGCGACGACTGCGAGCGGTGTGTCAGACAACGGCGTCTCTTGGAGGATTCACTCACCAGCGCGGACGAGCGAGGAGATATCCATTTCAGCCTGATGCCAAAGGCGTGCGCGGCGGGACTTTCAGAAGCCTGCTGTTCACGTCAACTCATGGTGCAGCGTTGCGCATGATCAATTGAGGCCACGACCACGCTCGAATCAGACAAGTAGATCGCAGAGCACAGGGGAATGCGAAAGAGCAGCAGACGGTACACCTCTCCGCAGGGAGTGATTGACGTTCATGATCCAACGGTACGACTACGAGGCAGGCTAACAGGGCATCCTTGAGCCATGGTAGCCTTACCATGATATTGCCTCTCACAGGATACGGGACTGGATTGGAGGTGGATTGGGCTGATTATCACCGTGCCGCAAGTGAATGGATGCCATCAGGAAGAATTGGTTGGATGATTTGGAGGAGAACGTGGAGCAGCAGGAGGAGTGATACGCTTGTGTTGCAGTAGCCGCGACAGGGGGGAGGTGATGGAGCCGATGGAGCTCCTCGTCGATGCTTCAGCCGTTAGGATTACCACTGCCACCACTGTGTTATGGTACGTACGATGCTACATAGTAGTTGGTACTCGTAGAAGTCAGCCGGGAAAAGGGGGCCCTCTCGAGTCTCGAGTCTCGCCATCATCTCCAGTCTTGGTCTCATTGAGTAACAAGCCGAAACCTTGGTACCAAACGTTCCAAGCTCTCGACTTCAGATGCTTCTTTTTGCTGTGGCGTTCATGCTCTAGACGCGATTCAGCATCTTCCTCCGAACACTGGCTCTTCGATGGAGCCGCACCATGCCATAGTAGACCTTATCAGCCTCCCATCATCTGCTAGATATCAACATCGAAGAGCCACTCCCCCAAATTATTCCTCGAGAACTGCATCCTTTAACCCTTTCGAGACCGGTACTTCACCCGCCCATCTTCGATTGTCGCTGACGAATGTCGGGCTTGACCCTCGAGGCAATCATCCTCGTCGGGAGGAGAATGTCATTCTTCACACGACAACTACCCCGCGTTGCTCTGGAGCCAGCCGAATCCTGGATCTTCGGCAAGCATGGAGTGGCATGGTCAACAGTGTCAACCCCGGATACCATGAGACGACGCTTGGAGATTCACCCAATCAACTATAGATTAGTAAGGACATAGTTCAGCGAGCCAGTTTCATTGCCTACCATAGTACAGAGTAACGCGAGAACCTGATGACTTGGGTCGAGGTGATGAAATGCCGCCATTCATTATCTCGACATGTGGGACTTAATGTAACTAGTCCTCGCCACTATCTGTACATAAAAAAAGAAAAAAAGAAAAGAAAAGGACATCTACTTGAACCCTACTCCGTACTGGTATGTGTGTTCCCTCGAATGCCCCGAGAACACCCTTGTGCCCATCTTATCGCTTTCCCAATGTGCAACAACACTCAGAACAAGAAATGACGCTCCATTCAAAACAGACAGCAATTATGCCACGGACGAGAGGCGGCGAGCCCCTGCATCGCCGGCAGTTTCATACTTGTCCCAGTCCTCCAAGATCTTTGCCAATCGTGGTGAGTTGGTCAGACGATGCACTTCCTCGAAATACTCCTTGGTGATCTCAAATGGTCTGGCAGTAACATTGGGAATGTACTTGCCAATCAACTTGGCAGGGTCGATGCTGGTCTTGTTGATCTTCTTCAGCAAGAATGACCGGAACGGCTTAACACCAGATCGCAAGAAGGTGCTGTGGAATGGCACATCGATGCCCTTGAGAGGAATCACCGCAAAGCCTCGTTCAAGTTCGATCGGTTGAGGCTTGGCCTCGGTCTTCTTCCGGCACTCCCCGATGATTTCGACCAAGTGGGCTTTGACATCGTCAAGCGACATTGTTTGCATCAAGGCTTGAATGTCGATCTTCTGCATCTTGAGCACGTTGAGAACGTTCGTCATGCAGTCCAATGCACGCAGATCTCCAGCGCACACGTACTGCATGTTGGCGACGTTGTAGTTGACAATCTCCACCAGCCAGCCAGTGGTCTCGGCGATATTTTCCACCACGTACTGCAGAGCTTGCTCGTTGAAGGTCTTGGAAATGCGACTGGGATTGACGGCGCACATGGAGTAATTGCTTCTACCCTGCTCGTCACGTTCGACCGCGACCTGCATGGTCAAGCCACGGTAGAACACGACCGACACCAAGCTCTCAATTGGCATGACTTCAGCAATAGAGGCCAGAGCAGAGTATTCACCAAGAGAGTGACCAGCAAAGCTGCTGTCACGTTGAACAAGACCTTTCGTTCGCATGTCTTCAAAAGCCGCCTTTTCCATGAGAGTCAACGCCGGCTGGGTGAACTGTGTCGCAGACAGCAGGCCAGTAGGTGACCGGTACGTATACGAGGTGGTGTTCTCGTTGATCTCCTTGAAGATCTTCTCCGACTTGATAGATCCGTCTGCGTTGATAGACTCGAAGGTCATGGCCATGTAATTCTGACGGATGGCCTTGCCACGAGGCCCACCGAAGTGAATGGTGAGTTCCTTGGGGTTGTTCTTGACAATGTTGATGATGGAGAGACCATAGTTGTCCATGAAATGACGGTCTGCTCGATCCCAGACTTCCTTGGCCACGGGACTCTTAGCATACAGATCCATACCCATGCCTTGTTCTTGTGAACCTTGGCCAGTAAAGACGTAGGATGACACCGGCTGCTCGACTTCAGCTTCGGCAAGCAGAACCTTGTCACCAGTCTCTTTGTTACTGGTCTCAATCTTGATGATCTTGCGACCGGCAACCATACCCACGTGCTCGAGCTTGACCTCCAAGTCATCATTCGGCAGCACCATGCCGACCAGAGAGACGTGGTAGCTTCGGACACGGCCAATGTTGTTCTCGGCAGCCCATGTCTCGACCAAGCTTCGCACAGCGGCACTGGAGTACATACCGTGCGTAATTGTGCCAGGCAGATTGGCGTAGCTAGCGAAGATGCGAGACACGTGGATGGGGTTGTAGTCCCCAGAGACGCGAGCATAAGTCTCATTCGATGCCGGGGCCCTCAAGGACAGAGGTGTCTTGCCGCTCAGAGGAATGGCGTTCTCAAAGTTGATGGGTTGCTCGATCGATGACCCGTGTCGTTGGAGGTAGTCAATCACTGGGTTGCCATGAGACACACCTGCATTGTACTCGACAGAGGCAACTTGAATCACCTCTTTGGTGGGTAGCTCAAGGAGGACCTGGCCCACCGTCTCCACGTTCTGGAACGCGGTCTTGTTCTTGAATCGAACCAAGCTGGACAGCCGGAACGTCACGGTCTGTCCAAGCAGATCGATATCTGGCTCATCAAGGTGGAACCACTCTTTGGAGCGAAGGACTGCCACGTCCTTGGAGGTGGCAAGAGTGACCTGCATTGGTGTCTCTTCTTTGCGTTGGAAGGTGTTCTCAAAGTCAGTATAGTTGCCTCTGTACAAAAATTGACTGGTTACTTCCATAACGGGCTGGCCTTGGCGAGTGATCGTTCCGCAAATCTCGACCATTTTACCGGAATCCTGATTGATGACTGCGTTGATTCTGGCAGAAGTGTGCAGCTCGTCACCAACTTTCAGGGGCTCGGCACCAGGAAGCATACGGAAACCATTCGACAGGTGCACGAGTTTCAACAAGTCACCGTCGATGGACCGCGGGAAGATAGGTTTCGTAATGGCTTTCCACCCAACAACAATGGCAAAATCCATCGGTGCAAAGACCTCTTTGCCTGGGCGATCCACGAATGCCTCACCAGTGTTACCGACTGCATGCACAAAGTCGGCAATAGCTTGAGTGACGACAGTGGCCTTGCCACCATCAAAGGTGTTGGTGGTGGGAGTGTCGAAAGGAACATCCTTTTCGGCGAACCAGATCCGGTAGTAAAATTCCTTGATGCGGTCGTTGCGGCCTTCCATGACTTCGTGAATTGGTGCGTAACCCGTTTCGGGATGGTAGATGAATCTCAAAGGCAAGGCGACCGCTTCATTCTCGGCAGTCCTCTCTTCCCACATGTTCATCAAGATTTCATTCTTGCCCACCAAGCTGATGTCGAGGGTCTTGACCATCTTGCCTGTTTGGCCTGGCTCCCGGACAACGATCGTGGTCTTGGAAGGGTCTTTGGGATGGGCAATCTCCACGGACATGCCTCGGACAGGAGCCAAGATGCGCTTCAGTGGGTTGTTTTGATAACGAGCTCCTTGAACGATAATATCGGTGGTGAAGAGGGCATGACGCCATGAATAAGTCTTTCCGGCCAACAGCTGCAACCACTCATCAGGCTTTGGAAGAGCCGCCGAGGGAGAAGTTGAGAGTCTGTATGTGGTTCGTGAACCGTCAGGGATGACTGTAACTCCGTCGAGCTCTACCACGCTGTCTGGGGAGCTGATTATCTTGCCACCGAAATATTCGACGACAGGCACAGCAGATTCACGACCGCTGTACACGTCTTCAATAAGTCCCTTGATATGATCGTTGTGGATGCCATCCAAGATGTCCTTGACAGGTTCGTCAATCTTGGTCGAGTATTTGGCGGCCATGGGACCTTGGAGAATGCAAGTTCTGCCAACATCTTGATCGACCACGGCGTCCAAATCTTCAGACTGCCACAAGGAATCCTTCTTGAACCAGAACTCAAAATTGTCGTCCAAGGAAGGAACAAATGGAACTGGCTTCTGACCTCGGCGTTGGCAGAGGAGCAAGAAATGTTGCACGTCTTGTGCGTTGATCAACTGAGACTCAGCCTCTGGATAGGCGGCCAAGACTTTCTCAACAACTGGATATGGGTTCTCGAAATCCGCATAGCTTTGAATGAGAGACGGTTTTCCAGAGCCGACAGTGAAGCGCTCTTCGACTCGTCGGATGAAGTCAACAGTCAGATTTCGCAGCGAAACCTCAATCCATCGAGACTGATGCTTGACATACATGAGCTCAACCATGCGGCGGACAACTTCACCATATGTCATGTCCTCGAGGTCAACAGTGTCACCAGCAGAGTTCTTTCCGAACCACACTTTTTGGAAGTCGTCGTTGAGTTTCTTAATGATGTACTCGCGCTGCTTCTTAAGCTCCGCAACTCGCTTCTTCTTGTCCAGACTGAATATCTTCTGATCCATCTCAGCCCAGAACTTGACACCCCGAGTAGCCAATTTATGAATGGGTTCACCCATCTCGGATCGAACAGTAATGACGCCTCCAGCAGGTCCTTTGTAGGTCTTCTCCCATTGGCTATCGTCAACACCTTCAGCCTCTGCGATGGCCCTTTTAGCATTTGTGGAAGTGTGGGCTTCTTTTGCCGTCATCATACGACTGCCAAACAGGACACCATCGAAGGGCATTGGAGGATAGCCGAATTTGCGTGCCCACGAGCCAGTCAAGTAAGGATAAGTATCCTCAGAGCCGCCGAAACCGCTACCTGCCACCAAGATAATGTTCTGGCATTTCCGAATCCGCCCATACATCTGAAGGATAGGTTGATGGAAGTCTTCAAACGAGTGGTGACCACCGCCACGGCCGCCAGTCCATTGAAGAAGGACGGGGAAAGTTGGGTTAGCCTTGGCGATGTTGATGACGGACTGAATTGCGTCCATGGATCCAGGCTTGAAAGCAATATGCTTGATGCCGAGAGTGTCAATGTATTCTTGAGCCACTTCGATGGAGGGAACGCCTGCGCCGATGGTCAGACCCTCTATAGGGACACCATCTGCGCGGAGCTGTGCGAGCAGAGGGATCTGCCAGCCCATGGCGCGAGGATTGACGTAGATCAGATTGACTGTAATACCACGTCCAGGAGGGATATTCTTTTCGATCTTGGTCAAGGCCTCGGTCATACTCTTCGCATTGTAGTAGCCACCACCTGCCAGCTCGATGTGGTAACCAGCATTCATAGTTGCAGCAACGAAATCCCAGGGCACTGTACAAGGAGTCATACCAGCAACCATCAAAGGTGGAACACCGAGCAGGCGTGACATCTTGGTGTCGACGTAGGTCTGCCCTACGGAGGTCTTGACGAGTTTGGGTCCATGTTCCCTGACCCAGTTGGTTGCATACTTGACTGCATGCTCCTCGTCGCGGTCAAATAACTCTGGCTTGTATCCGACTTCGGCATTGGCACCATCCATTGCGCCAGCCAAAATGACGCGAACGCCAGTGCCATCCTTATTGCGGTTGGTGAGGACACCAAGGCCAGAGATGCCTCCAGGACCAAAGTCGATGATATGGGTAGCGCCTTCAAAGACCGTGGCTTGCTCCCAGTGGACAGGGTCCTGAGTAATCATGCGGACGAGCGCCGGCACAATGTCCTTGTCCTGCTGAGCGCGAAGGTCTTCGCCGGTATTGGTATCATAAACAGGAATACTGAGGCGAGAAGCGGGGATGCGGACATCGCTGAGATCTTCGAGGATGTTCTTGAATGCTTCACTGAGCAGAGGGCTGTGGAATGGCGCCGTGATTGGCAGGAATCGATTCACAAAGCGCACTTTCCGCTCGGTGTAAGGAATCCGGTTCTGATCCAAGCCAGTTGGAGCCTTGACTTTTCGCAGACGCAGATTCAGACCGTGGAGTGAGATTGGGGCGCCTGTGACCACAAAGTTTCTAGCGCTGTTGATCAGAGAGATGCCAATATGTCGGTCTTGAGGCAAATGCTCATTTGTCGCGTCAATGTGTTCCTGCAGCTGCTTCTTGGAAAGGTCTCTGACTGACAACATGGGAGTGGGAATCCCTTCCCCTGCTTCAAGCGAGTCTTGCAGGATTGAAGGTGCAAGGCTTGTTCGCGGGTAAGCCTGCTGGCTTCTCATACCGATCCAGAAAAGCATGGTAATAGCGTCTTTAGCGGCTCTTGCAAAGCTCTCCCAGGATGTCGCAGTAGCGATAGCGGCGGCAGTCACGACACCTTGTGAGTGACCAGTTGTACCGTTGAGTCGCTCGTTAACCTCAGCAGGAGTCTTGCCAAGGGCTTTGCAAGTGACCTGATAATGGGCGAGCTGAACAAGACCGATCAGTGGCAGGCTGACGGGTGCAGAGACCAGGTAGTCGGTGTCTGGTTGAGCCTCTCGATCTGCTAGCCATCGCATGATATCGAGGCCTTTGGAGTAGAACTTGTCCGCCTTAGGTTTCCTCGCCAGATCTTGCAGCAGTTCTGCAGAAGACTCGACCAAGTCTTTTGTGAACGAAGGGTATGTGGTATAGACTTCTCTGAGCTCGTCGAAATATTCTTCAATATTGCCTTGTCCGCCAAAAACCGTGAAAATGCTCGCTTCCTCGTCGTCAGCGGCTCTCAGCAGAGCGGAGTCATGTGGCTTGATGGGTCTCGCAACTGCGGCGCGGCCAGCGTAGTAGCATTGAACCAGCACCAGTTTCTTCGCTGTGATTCCGGGTAATGTCGCTGCCAACGCGTGGACGTCATTGGCATGCATAAAAGATCTTTCAAACTCGTTCAGAACCACTTTCAACACCTCGGCAAATCCAGTTGCTTCTTCGTCTTCATCGACTTCAGCGGCAATGAAGCCAATGAAACGGGCGACAAGTTCGGCACTTGAGGAGGGTTCGTCATCCTGAGCCAATTCGTCTGTGGGTTCTGGTAGAGAGGCTTTGAAGGTTTCCTGCAGCTGCGAAGCTTGGAAGTGGAGGGCGGTGGGTATTAAGAAAGAGTATTCGAGGGAGCCATGGGCTAGGGTGAGAGGACGCAGGTTCTGGGAGGATCGAGGAGTGTGAGTGCCGGTCGCACCGCCGGAATACATGATTGCAGATGTTACTAAGTGTCGATGGATCTGGTGCGAGGAAGTGAAAGTAGGATCAAAGTGAGCAAGCTAATGCCACTTGGTTGTGTTGGAACAGGTCAAGAATGAGTGATGAAGCTCTTTCGATTGAGAGCTATGACGGAGGTATAGAAACAGTCGACTTGCGGCAGAAACCAGACTGGAGTAGGAAGAAAGAGCTGGGTGTGTGGTGGTCAGATATGGAAGAATTTGAGTAGTTATTGCCGCCTGGAGCAACGGGAGTGTTTCTCTTCTTGCAAAGAGGTCTTTCACAATCTCAATTCAGTTGGATCCGAAGCGACTGGCAAAAAGTGGTGACCCTGGTCGCCAAAATCGGAGCGTTGAATCACAGTAAAAAGAAGTTTTCCCACTGCAGCCAATCATAGGACCGCCTATTCGTGAGGGGGAGCAAGATGGTTTTCGGTGGGCGGCGCCAGCAAAGAGCTTCTGCAGGGCCCGGCGCCACCTTTTACTGTGCTAGACAGGTACCGTATGTCAGAGAACAGACTGTCCATTATCAATTGAGGTGTTTGAAGCTAGACTCAGGCTGCAATGAATAAAAGATTACTCTCTCCCGTATCTCGTATGTTCAGTAATCCTATACGCTTTGCAATACGATAGAGCGAGGTGGCCTGTACTCGTAGTTGAGCTGTCTAGGTACCCAGCTCGCCAGTATATTTGGTGGTTGAAGGCTGAAGCACCTCGGCCAGATCCATTGAATGGGCTTCTCCAACTGTGAAAGACGCCATGCCTAAACTGAATTGGCGGGGCTTGAATCCCTGTACCTGGATGGTGGCAACAGGCGCTAATTCTCAACCTTCTGCACCGGTTGCTCTCCAGCGATTGGGACCGGGGAAAGCGAGAAAGGTCTTTCGAGAGCAGCCTCATCGAAAATTCCCACGCCTATCCCAACAAGCAACATCTATCTCAACCCTCTCGTCCGTGATCCATTGCCTTTGTGCATTGATTGATTACTCTTCTATCCCGATCACACACGAGGCATCGGGACACTTCATCGATCCATTGCCTCATTTCCCTCTGTCCTATACCTTCCTCCGACAATTCCTACCTCCAACTCCTCATCGACCACAGCTTTTTGTACAGCACAGTTCTCTCTCTTCCTCATACCTGTGCTTTGAAACCCTGCCCTTGCTCTGATTCACTTCATCCAGCATTGGGCATTCACGGTTGACGGAAACTCCTCCTCTCGACTTCATAACACGACGTTGGCAAAGCTTTACTCCTCACAGTCGTCATTACCGCATCCTGCCACAATGCGGCCCGAAGTCGAGCAAGAGCTCGCCCACACTTTGCTCGTTGAGCTCCTTGCATATCAGTTCGCCTCTCCGGTGAGGTGGATCGAGACTCAAGATGTCATACTGGAAAAGAACAGAACGGAGCGAATTGTCGAGATAGGGCCCGCAGACACATTGGGCGGTATGGCCAAGAGAACGTTGGCTTCCAAATATGAAGCATATGACGCTGCTACTTCAGTCTCACGGCAGGTCCTGGCGTACAATAAGGATCAGAAAGAGATCTACTACGATGTTGACCCTGTTGAAGACGAGCCTGCTCCGGCGGCTACAGAGCCGGCAGCTTCTTCTTCAGCTCCAGCTGCTTCCACACCCTCTGCAGCCGCTGCCCCTGTCGCCGCTCCTCCTCCTCCAGCTGCAGGTGCCGGTCCTGCTGCAGCTGTCGCCGATGCTCCTGTTGCCGCCGTTGATATTCTCAGAACCCTGGTCGCTCAAAAGCTGAAGAAACCTCTTACAGACATTCCTCTGAGCAAAGCAATCAAAGACCTGGTCGGTGGAAAATCTACACTTCAAAATGAAATTCTGGGTGACCTCGGAAAAGAATTTGGGTCGACACCCGAAAAGCCGGAAGATACTCCCCTGGACGAACTGGGTGCTTCCATGCAGTCTACATTCAATGGCCAACTTGGCAAGCAGTCATCCTCGCTGATCGCCCGCTTAGTATCCTCCAAGATGCCTGGTGGTTTCAATATCACAGCCGTCAGAAAGCACCTAGAGACCTCTTTCGGCCTCGGTCCCGGCCGACAAGACGGGGCTTTGTTGCTTGCTCTGACGATGGAGCCACCCTCGCGGCTAGGCTCTGAGAACGATGCAAAAGCTTATCTTGGAGATGTCGCTCAGAAATATGCCTCGATCGCTGGTATCAGCCTCTCATCTGCATCTGCTGGCGGTGCCGCTGCGGGTGCCGCTGGCGCAGGCATGATGATGGACCCTGCGGCCATTGATGCTCTGACCAAAGACCAGCGAGCTCTGTTTAAACAGCAGCTCGAATTGTTCGCCCGCTACCTCAAGATGGATCTTCGTTCTGGCGACAAGGCCTTCATTGGCTCCCAAGAGACCAACAAAGCTTTGCAAGCTCAACTTGATTTGTGGAACACTGAGCATGGAGAGTTCTATGCTTCGGGCATCGAGCCTTCATTCAGCACATTGAAGGCTCGGGTCTACGATTCCTCCTGGAATTGGGCTCGGCAAGATGCTCTCAGCATGTATTACGACATCATTTTCGGCCGCCTCAAGGCTGTTGACCGTGAGATTGTCAGCCAGTGTATCCGCATCATGAACAGATCCAATCCCACTTTGATCGAGTACATGCAATATCACATCGACAACTGCCCAACCCAGCGAGGCGAAACCTACCAGCTAGCCAAAGAGTTGGGCGAGCAGCTCATCGAAAACTGCAGGGATGTTCTCGACGAAGCTCCAGTGTACAAAGACGTATCGATTCCTACTGGTCCTCAGACGACCATCGATGCCCGTGGCAACCTCGACTACAAAGAGGTCCCTCGCCAAAGTGCTCGCAAACTTGAACAGTATGTACGCGAGATGGCTGAGGGCGGCAAGATCTCCGAGTACAGCAACCGGACAAAGGTCCAAAATGATCTTCGCAATGTCTACAAATTGATTCGGAAGCAACACAAACTTTCCAAGGCTTCCCAGCTTCAGTTCAACACTTTGTACAAGGATGTAGTCCGTGCACTGGCCATGAATGAGTCTCAGATCATGCCTCAAGAGAATGGGGACGTGAAGAGACCTGGCCGTAATGGCTCGGTAACCCGGGCGACCATGAATGGCACCGTGAAGCAGGGCAAAACCGAAACGATTCCTTTCCTTCATCTGAAGAAGAAGCAGGAGCACGGCTGGGACTACAGCAAGAAGCTCACTGGTGTGTATCTTGACGGCCTAGAGAATGCCGCTCGGGCGGGTATTACCTTCCAAGGCAAGATGGCCCTCATGACCGGCGCAGGTGCAGGATCCATCGGTGCAGAAGTCCTACAAGGACTCATCAGCGGTGGTGCGAAGGTGGTCGTTACTACCAGCCGCTACTCCCGTGAAGTCACCGAATACTATCAGTCGATGTATGCACGTTTCGGCGCTCGCGGATCACAGCTTGTGGTTGTCCCTTTCAACCAAGGTAGCAAGCAGGATGTCGAGGGCCTCATCGACTACATCTATGACAACAAGAAAGGTCTTGGCTGGGATCTGGATTTCATTGTGCCTTTCGCTGCTATCCCCGAAAACGGCCGCGAGATTGACAGCATTGATTCCAAATCTGAATTGGCACATCGTATCATGTTGACCAACCTGGTGCGTCTTCTAGGTTGCGTCAAGGCGAAGAAGTTTGAGAATGGAATCAACACGCGACCAGCTCAAGTCATCCTCCCTCTGTCACCTAACCATGGTACATTCGGTAATGATGGTCTGTACTCCGAGTCCAAACTTGCCTTGGAGACTCTGTTCAACCGATGGTACTCGGAGAGCTGGGCTGACTACTTGACTATCTGTGGTGCTGTAATTGGCTGGACTCGTGGTACCGGTCTCATGAGCGGCAACAATATCGTTGCTGACGGTGTCGAGAAACTTGGTGTGCGAACCTTCTCTCAGCAAGAAATGGCCTTTAATCTGCTCGGTCTCATGTCGCCAGCCATTGTCGACCTCTGCCAGACTGAGCCCGTCTGGGCTGATTTGAACGGAGGTCTACAATTCTTGCCTGATCTCAAAGATCTTATGACCAGGCTGCGTGCCGAGATCATGGAGACAAGCGCCGTTCGACAAGCTGTCACCAAGGAGACCGCCATTGAGAACAAAGTTGTCAACGGAGAAGACAGCGAGGCTCTCTACAAGAAGGTCACCATCGAACCTCGTGCCAACATTAAGTTCGACTTTCCCACACTTCCTGAGTGGAAGGAGGAGATCGAGCCACTCAACGCCAAGCTTAAGGGCATGGTCGATCTCGACAAGGTTGTTGTCGTTACTGGCTTTGCCGAGCTTGGTCCGTGGGGCAACTCGCGTACTCGCTGGGAGATGGAAGCTCATGGTGAGTTCTCGCTGGAGGGTTGCGTTGAGATGGCCTGGATGATGGGTCTGATCAAGAATCACAACGGCCCTCTCAAGGGCAAGTCGTACTCTGGATGGGTCGACGCAAAGACCAATGAACCTGTTGACGACAAAGATGTCAAAGCAAAATATGAGAAGCAGATTCTGGAGCAGTCTGGTATTCGTCTCATTGAACCAGAATTGTTCAACGGCTACGACCCAAAGAAGAAGCAGCTTCTGCAAGAAATCCAGATTGAGGAGGACCTCGACCCGTTCGAAGCCTCTAAAGAGACTGCCGAGGAGTTCAAGCGACAACATGGTGAGAAGGTCGAAACTTTCGAACTGGAATCGGGCGAATTCACTGTCCGCCTGAAGAAGGGCGCCACGCTCCTCATTCCCAAGGCTCTCCGCTTTGATCGCCTTGTTGCCGGTCAGATCCCAACTGGATGGAACGCGAAGCAATATGGTATTCCCGACGACATCATCTCTCAGGTCGATCCAGTCACTCTCTTTGTTCTTGTCTGCACTGTCGAGGCTCTTCTTGCGTCTGGAATCACGGATCCATATGAGTTCTACAAGTATGTTCACCTGTCCGAGGTCGGCAACTGTGTTGGATCTGGTATTGGTGGTACCACTGCCCTTCGCGGCATGTACAAAGATAGATTCATGGACAAGCCTGTTCAGAAGGATATTCTGCAAGAATCTTTCATCAACACTATGGCTGCCTGGGTCAACATGTTGCTCTTGTCATCGACCGGCCCGATCAAGACCCCTGTCGGTGCTTGCGCGACCGCTGTCGAATCTATCGACATCGGTTATGAGACCATCGTCGAAGGAAAGGCACGTGTTTGCTTCGTTGGTGGTTTCGATGACTTCCAAGAGGAAGGTTCTTACGAGTTCGCCAATATGAAGGCTACCAGCAACGCTGAGGATGAATTTGCACATGGCCGCACGCCCAAGGAAATGTCTCGACCCACGACAACCACTCGAAACGGTTTCATGGAGTCTCAAGGCTGTGGTATGCAGATCATCATGTCGGCTCGGCTGGCTTTGGATATGGGAACTCCGATCTACGGTATCCTTGGCTTGGTCTCCACTGCCACAGATAAGATTGGCCGATCCGTACCTGCACCAGGCCAAGGTGTGTTGACGACTGCCCGAGAGAATGCTGGCAAATTCCCATCTCCTCTGCTTGACATCAACTACCGCAAGAGACAACTTGAGCACAGAAGACGCGCTATCAAGAACTGGCAAGAGTCGGAGCTCTTGTACCTTCACGAAGAAGTTGCAGCCATGAAATCTCAAGCTGGCTTCGGTTTCGACGCAAAGGAGTACATGGAGGAACGTGCCGCCCACATAGAGCGTGAGGCGGTCCGACAAGAGAAGGAGGCGCAGAATAGTCTGGGTAATAATTTCTGGAAGCAAGACCCTGCTATTGCTCCCCTCCGTGGTGCGTTGGCTACCTGGGGTCTCACTATCGATGACTTGGACGTTGCTTCTTTCCACGGTACCTCCACTGTCGCCAACGATAAGAACGAATCTGAAGTCATCTGCAAACAGATGGAACACTTGGGCCGAAAGAAGGGCAATGCTCTGCTTGGTATCTTCCAGAAATATCTCACTGGTCACCCCAAGGGTGCAGCAGGTGCTTGGATGTTCAACGGCTGTTTGCAAGTCCTCAACAGTGGCATCGTGCCTGGCAACCGAAACGCCGACAATGTGGACCAGGTAATGGAGAAGTTCGATTACATTGTCTATCCCAGCCGGTCATTGCAAACCGATGGCATCAAAGCATTCTCCGTCACCTCATTCGGCTTCGGCCAAAAGGGTGCTCAGGCCATTGGTATCCATCCCAAGTACCTGTTTGCCACTTTGGACCAAGCAGAGTTCCAGCGATACAAGTCCAAGGTTGAGGCTCGACAGAAGAGAGCCTACCGATACTTCCACAACGGCATGATCAACAACACCCTGTTTGTGGCCAAGACTCATGCACCATATCCTGACGACATGATGCAGAAGGTCTTCTTGAATCCCGACCAGCGAGTGGTCGCCGACAAGAAGTCTGGCGAGCTCACTTACCACGCCAGTCTGCCCAAGAAAGTCTCTGGCGCCAGCGCATTGGAGACCAAGGCGATGCTCGAGTCCCTAACACAAGCAAGTGCCATGGAGGGATCCAAGGTTGGCGTTGATGTCGAGGACATCCGAGCCATCAACATTGAAAACGAGACGTTTGTGAAGAGAAACTTCACTGACGCCGAGCAGACGTACTGCAACAAGGCAGCCTCGCCTCAGGCTTCTTATGCTGGCCGATGGAGTGCCAAGGAAGCTGTCTTCAAGTCGTTGGGAGTCTGCAGCAAGGGAGGCGGTGCCCCTCTTCACGACATTGAAATCCTCAGCGACGAGAATGGGGCCCCCAAGGTCGCCCTTCATGGAGCTGCGTTGGAAGCGGCGAAAGAGGCCGGCGTGAAGAATGTCAATGTCAGCATCAGTCATAGCGAGAGTCAAGCGATTGCTGTCGCCGTGTCTGCATTCTAGGCATGTACTCATAGTGGGGTGGGTGGTATTTGGGACTTCGTGCAAATATATCCAGGATCATGGGCAAAAAAGACAAAGACTGGACAGGCATCATTGATATGCTGTATGTTGGAGTGAGCCTCTTTCCTTTGCGTTGTTCTTGTCGCTCTTGCTATTGCTGTTGTTGTTGTAATAATGGAAAGGAAGGCGCCGGCGTCAAGGGCTGGCCAGGCCAGGCGAAACCTGATAGATATATTTGAAGCGTAAGCCGCCTTTTTGTAACTTGGGCTGCCGTACATAAGAAAGCCGATGGAAAAGGCATATTCACCATTACCACAGATCCATTACTATCACTAAGTACTGGAAACGTGAGAATAACAATAGCATTATTCGACTTCCAATTGTCAACGCTGTTAAGTCTATTCATAGGAGCGACACTGCCTTGTCGCAATCAGACGCACACCATAGACATCTCCAAGCTCGCGGCTACCTCTCTCACAGGGGCTATCAATCACACCCTGCTCTCGTCGAGACCGACCCCATGCATCCAACACCCACGGAATTGAGAACCTTTTCCTTTCACCACACGCCAGTACCTAGGATGTCTCGGACAAAGAGGACTGCTCGGCAGATGTTCAGGAATTGTCAAGTCGAACTGCGCTTTGTCCCAGCCTGATGGCGACTTCCCGAACAAGCCAGGTGAGTTGAGCCTTTTCTCACCACATTTCGGGTCAGTCACTTGCGACGGATCCTGTCCAACGTCGAATTGCTTCAGCTTGACATCATACCAGTCTCCTGTCACGACCCGTTTACAGCGATTGGTCTTCGTTCTTCCCGTCATCTTGAAAAAGTTGGGTGATTTGCTTTCCGATTCTCCGGCGCTCGCTGCACTTGAGCTTCCACTTGATAAAGGCTCCGGGTCCTGAATGCTACTGTCCGCTCTCGGAGCATTGTAATCAAAGAAAAAGCCTCGCCACTTTCCATCCGCGCCTTCTTCTGGAAGAGGCGGAGTGTGGATTCGGCGTGCCTCGCTGGGCAGATAGCTCGTTCCGCCTCGGATACTGATGTCGACTTTAAGAAACTCCTCGGTCTCGGCGCTAGCACTTCTCTTGATTTTGTATGTGGCATTTTCTTCGGGAGTGTTGGCAGGTTGAAGTCCCATTCGCAAATTGACTTGACTCGATGTATACGACGGGGGGCCGGAGAATCGCTCTACGCTTTTCTGCCGCTGATATATGGTATATTGAGACACGATCCCTTGTTCTATTTGCGGACTTCTTCTCTCTTTCGACGTGGTTGACTTATCTGAGAACGTCCTGATCAATGGCTTGACGAGGGGAAGAGGTAACAAGGAATCGGAAGCACTTGACTTGGTCTCCTGCTTGGTTGTGTCATGCAAAATGGCACTGACCCGTTGAAGTGCTTCGAAGGTGTAATTTCTCTTCGGCATTGTAGAGTGATCTGCCAATCGTGGAGGTCTGGCATTGGGAGAGGGTATCTTTGCCGGGCTGCTCCTAAGTTTGCTGCGTGGTTTTGTAAGACTTGCTCGCCGAATGAACAACAATGGAGCTGAAAGGATGTGTTTTGGATTGATTGAACTTCTGCGGGAAGGGCTCGCAACCGTTGGTTCTGTTGGTCCCGTCAGGGAATCAGCATCGCGTGATTTTCGTCGGTTTTCTGTGAAAGTACTCTCGACTGTTGGTTCCGTCAGAGAATCAGCATTGCGCAACTTTTGTCGTTGTTCTGCGAAAGTAGTCTCGACTCTAATGGACGAACTTGACATTCCACGCACACCAGGACTCGTGGCCGTCGGTGGTTTCAAGGGAGTCAAGTCTGTACGAACAGAAATATTTGAAGGCGGTCCGCCGACGAAATCTGTCGAAGACTTCTTTGTTTGAAACCAGATACTTCCTGATGTCGATCTTGCCCATTGCGATCGCCGAGGAGTGTTGGAACGGCTGTCTTTCATAACCGGTCGACTGGCTTCCAGAGATGCCTTGCCATATATTGACGCTGGGGATCTCGGCGACGGTGCAGGTAGAGATTCTGTGGACCTCACATCCCTAATTCTCTTAGCGTCCTTTGGAGCAATGGTATATCCATCTCGCTCAGGGAGTGGAGAATCAGACGCCGGATGAAGGTCGAAGTAGTCAGGGGCATGCTCTGCAATAACCTCATTGCATAGCTTTCCGTGACAAGCATCAACAGCTGATCTTGAAGGGATCCCGTCTGGCTCAGGGAGGGGGGAATCAGACGCCGAATGGCGGCGGTCGATTTCATTATAGGAGTGCTCTGGAATGACCAGGTTACAGAGTTTTCCGTGACAGGCATCAAGGTCTGATCGCGAAGAAGAATGCTTGCGTAGCAGTGGTGGCCACGGCTGAGTCCCACGTGCGTTGGCACCGGTGGCGGTGGGGGAGACGGGCGTCGTAGACTCGGATGAGGTATGCTTTCGTGAAGGGAGATCGAAGTACGAGGAGACGTCTTTGCGGAATGTATGCATTGTTAGGATTGTTCGGTACTGTGTCGTAGGGGTGGGCTGTGAAAATGCAACGGACGATATACAGACACTTGATCCCCGATGATGGGTAACATGAAGGATTTGTGCACATCCGGAAGACATGAGCGCATTCCACGTCCCGAAGAAGGCACGGGACATCTCGTCTGAAAGGAGGGACCCTGTATCCTGAAGAAGGCGCGACATACTGACGCAGCACATCCTGCTGAAGGAACCAGCACCTGGATGTTCCAATACTTTTGCGCAAGTACCTTGAGGTTTGCGATGAGCTTTTGGCCCGAGATGAGGTGCAGCAGGCTAGCTGTGTCGAAAGCCTCGTTCAGCACTGACATCCAGTCAAGAACAGTTGAGGCAGACCGCAGCACTAGCCGTTAAGACTCATTTGCTTTATGTCCTCCTCCACAGAGAGCAAACCTAGTGCCCAATGGACTCTTGTAGAGCTTGAGCGATCAATCAAGCTGCGATCGTGGATAACAAAGGCGGATTCATGTTCTGCCATAGCATCTGCGCTTCTCGTACTAGCCATGGATGGCCTCCGACCTGCGCCCGTCACTCGGGCGTCGTGGTTCCTGGGATCCAGCCTTCTCTCATACGGAGGCCCTTTGCCGGTCTGGCCCATTCTCTCCCAGGCAGTCTCGCAAGCAGCTGCAATGGCACCAGATGTTTGCCATCCACATCTCTGGGATACATCTTGCAGCTTATTGATTGTCCAGCCTCGTTGTGCGGCATCGGTGTACTGTACTGCAGCGAAAAGCAGCGAAAATGTGCTCTCCATCAAGGCACCGGCATAACTTGGATCTAATGACCCACTTTGACTATATTGTGGTGTGGCATAGAGGCCTGCGCAGATCTTGCCCACTGATTGAGCATGGTCCCGAGTTAGGTGAGCCGTCACTCCCGCTGCTACCATTGCAGCCGGAGGCATCTCTGGGTGAAAGCGATGTAGGAGAAGGCGTCCAACATAGTATAAGGCCCATATACATGCAATGCCGGCATTCTTGTAACTCAATGCAGGCCCAAAAGGTGTTGTGACGGGTGCATCGGTATATGGGAGCGGGTCGAAATCAGGTCCTAATGATCTGGCGAACAGATCGAAGGCTTTCGTAATCTCATCATGCTCTGTAAAAGCCCTTGATGTCTCGTCGTCCAAGTTGAGAGGTGGCGTGGATTTCTTTTGCTCCTTCATGCCCGTGAAAGCTGGGTCCCTGAGGGTTGCATCCATCCTCTTGAAAGCGGAAGGTAAAACAATAGGATCTTTTGGCGGAGGGATCATACCCATCATGGGAGGCCCGCTTGAGGGACCCGAACCTTGCATGTTGGGTCTACTTTGACGGACTCTGCTTTCATTAGCACTGGGTGCCACCGAAGCTTTAGCATCGTTGTGGCCCGTAGACCTCTGCGCACCACTAGCCCTTCCCGTGCGGAAGTTTTCAGGTGAGTCTGACAATTCTGGGCCTTTGCTAGGCTTTTTGGTGCCACCAGGAGGCCCTTGAGGACCAAATAACCATACTGGTGGTTTCCATTCGCCCCCTGTGGTGGCTAGTGCACGTTGTTTTCGAACCCGGTCTTTTCCGCCAAAGTCTGCCAGACGAGCCATAATCAGTGACAGATGGTCCAAGGTCGCGTATGGGTTGGCTGAACGCCCAAGCTGACCTCTGGGTGGGCAGTATCTCCAGTCCTCGGGTGGCATGAGCAGTCTGTCACCGCCCACCAGACTCTGAAAGATATCTTGCTTGCAATACCACCACCTGAGGTCCATCTTCGCCTTGAGATCCTCGATACCCTTCTCGCTGAGGTCGGCCACAAGATTCTGTGTCGGAAATTGAGGTTGGACTTGATGGTCATAATCTATATCAACCCCTGTCAGCCGTGAAATGAAGGCTGAATCGACTTCCCAGTCGATATCATCTAATAGTGCTAGAGGTATGCCAGCGACACGGGCATAATTCTCTTCCGTGAGGGCAAAGTGAGCCATCCATTGATTCACCCTCGCCTTGGCGCCATTTCGCATGCGCCTCGCGGCCCGGATCATGCCTGCATAATCATGTTCCAGCACCAGCTTCGTAGCGCCGGATAGATGTAGGTTCCATCGTGAGTGATCGCCATTCATGACTTCGTAGAAGCCAAGAACGAGAACCGTCGCCAGTGTTGCGATTTCAAGACGTCTTGTTGGCAACCCGAGAAGCTTCCCAACACGTCGAACGGCATATGTGAAATGCTTCACGGCAACCGCATCCGAAGTATTCTGCAGTTTCGAAAGATGCACCGCCCCTAGTGCCAGAATTGCATGTGCGAGAGCGGGATGAGACAAGGCCATCGAGGGGATAGTGAAGTTCCATAGTGTCCGGGCGGGGCCAGCTATTGAGCTGAAATGATGTCTCTCAAAGACAGATATGCACTGGCTTGTGACTTCAACAAAATGATGGAAGATATGCTGATTGCGCTCCTCTCTGAGAGGCGAGATTGTGGTAGTAGGTCGAAAATTCGTCAGTGTCTGATGTGGTCTGCGGACCACATCAGGTCGGGACGTCCTCCCCTTGTTCTGATTTGACTGGTCAAGCATCTGCGTGAAATTTTCTGCTGCTGCATGGTACGAAAGGTCTTCCTCATCAGAGCCCACATCGAAAGGGTCAGCGGGGTCTTCGTAGTCATCGCTGCTCGGTGGCATTGGAAAGTTCGTGTTGGGTAGGGCAGCCGCTCCTGGCATTGAGGAAACCCTTGTCGCGTGCGATAATGATCCACTCAAAGATCCACTGCTATCGCGCTGCTTGGAACCGCCGTCTGAAGGAGTTTAGCCTGAGCCAAGCACCGGAAGAGCAGAGTAGAATTCTATTATATTCGTACCTTGGAGGTCATCTTGTCGAAAATAATGTTGTGGTCGGAAGGCAGGGGCAACTGCGTATTGGTGCTCGAATGCCGGCTCAAAATTGCCCGCAAAGGGCGAGAAAGGACTTGGATCGTGAGCTGATGCTGACCATGGCCCTAGTGGTCCCCATTCCGCCCTATGCGGGCTTTGTTGGGTGAAGAACAGGTCAGATCGAGGTACCTGCTGGACATCTCCGAACGACCTTGGCGGTAGAATCGTTCCTGACGCGTCGGAAATGCCCAAGAATGACGGCCGATGCGTGTTTCGAGTAGTGTGCCATTCAAAATGAGTTGCTGCGGTCGATGTATCAGGATAGAAATGGCTGGCGGAGGCGGTCGGAGGGTATGCATGGTAGCTTGCGCTGAATGGCAGCTGCTGGTAATGCGTAGGAAGCGGAACATCATTGTTGGGATATGGTCCGGTATTTTGCGGACCTTGGAGGAAATTTGGATCCGCAAAAGAACCCATGGGAAAGCTTTCGAATTGGTTCGCGTCGGACTGCTCTGGCAAGTCGTAGCTTGGATTCGAGGACCCCAGACTTTCTTGCTTGTAGACAAGGGGCTGAACATAACCAAGGCACTCGCGTTTCGACTTGATGCAGTTTCGGCAGATCTGGATCATGAACAGGTCAGAGACGCAATTGAGACGCGAGGCAATATACCGACAGGTTTCTCCTCTCCACATTTAATTCGCCGTTTCCGACATGCTAGAAATATGTCAGTATGGCGCCGGTCCGAGGCGTGTTGTAAGCTGGAGAGAATGGGACTCACTCAGACATCCAGTCTTGGTCCTCCTTTTAGCCGCTTGTTTCCGTGTCGCTTCATCCTCCACGGTCTCATTTGGCCTGTTTTCAGATTCTTCCACATCAACGAAGTCGTCATCTTTTAGTGGAGGAGACATGAGGCCTCAAGTCATGGATGGTGTAGCTGCTGGCAAAAGGCACCAAATCTTTTTAGTCGAGACTTCGTGACGCGTTGACGACATGCCAGTCGCTGTATAGTCAAGTCGCCCGCAAACACGCAGTGACCATGAGAACTTCTGATGCTGTTGTTTGCGACAAGCAATACTTCACCGGCAGAGGCTCAATCCATATAATGGTTGTATTCCCCGGGTCTGAATATAAATAGGTACCAGGCACAAGAATCCAATGAGCGCAGATTGCCTGATCGGGGACAGCGCGGAGATCGTAGCTAGTGTGGGCTCCGAAGCATAACAGCAAGGTCAGAGATGGAGCAAGCTTGGGCCAGGTCTTAGCGGCTGTCGAACATAGGTACGGCCCTTGATGGCATACTGTAGCTAATGCAGTATGGTCAGAAGGGAGAAGAGGTCTGTAATGCCGGCTCTCTTGCAGCAATGCTTGAGGTACTGGAGGCTACAAATGATTGGCCGGCTCGTTATGATAGACAGAAGGCCCAGCTGTTGCACCAACGACAAGGACCCTACCAGGGGGAGAAGAATACCTCCTACGTCCGTACTATGTAAAACGATGGCTCCCACGCGCTAGCGGAAGCAGGAGAACCAGGGAGGAGGAAGTACTTGCTTGATATCATACCACCTGACAATGCAGGGGTCTCCTGTGGCGACTGTCAAAAGGAAAGACCAGCCTTGGAGCCGGTCAACAATGAGCTAGAGAAGAAAGGATCCATGTGGATGGACCGGGTCAGTTTGATGGGAAACCGTTTTCGTATCGTTGTTCGTGGTAGGTGCATGGTACTCGTAGAACATATGGGGCGGAAAACTGTGTGGGATCTTCGTGGGGCGGGCTACCCGGATTTGCAAGCTTGCAGGCTTGCCCAGTTTGGTGCGAGGTTTATTGGCCACCGCTATGGTGCTAAGATGCCCATGAAGCAAGGTTAGTGGATGAAGGGACCTCAACCACAGCAGTTGTGTAGCCGTTGGCTATCCAGACTTTTTAGGACTGTAGATCACTACCTCGACTGTTTGCTGAGGCTCGCATTGCCCAAGAGTGACGCTGCTGGCATGCAGCAGGGACGATCAGATTCGTGCTGACATACAATTGGTATTGCTCAGCAGAGGGTGATATGTCAAACGTTACAATTGCGTGGAGTCGAATAAGTATTGATATGTTGAACGTCACAGTGATAGACATCGGATCCCGGAAAGTGTGTGTTAGTTAGGGGCGGTCGTTAATCGCCCATGACAATCCTCCACGAGGGGTCGTCAATCTGACTGGAGCGCAGCATTCGACGTCAAGTTCTCTCAAACTCCACTCCACTCGCACGCCGCAACAATGGCACGCCAGTGGGAATCCTTTCAGGCTTGAAACCGGCAATTGTGATGACGATCGTGTGTCACAAATGGCCGGAAAGTCCCAGTGGAGGTTGGATGTGCTCCATCCTGCAGGTCGCGCAAAGCTGCAACGACGTTGAACAACAGGCTGGCCCTGCCAAACTGTGTGTCAAGAGGCGCCACAAAGAGAGCTGGGCTGACAGCATCCCGAGCTGCTGCTTCGTAAAAGTCCCTGACATGGGGTTCGAAATGGGAAGAACAGGATGCACTGGAAGTCGTTGAGGGCCTGCTGCCAATCATGTCGATGGTCGAGCAATTATTTATACTGTGATAGTCATACATCGCAAGGATGCTTTGAGGTGAACGTAGCCTGGAGTTCGTATAATCGGGGACTTGGGTCCATGGGAAAAAGGCGATTCGCCCTTTCAGACCCAGAGGTCTGGAAAAAGCTAGTCATTGCTGCAGCATCCGAGGCGCTGCGGATCCCTTTTACTGTCAAAGATCTATGGATGTTGAGAATAATGCCGTATGTGTCCCTGCAGGAATAGTATCAGGCACATGGTGAGCCATGCCAGTAGCCATGTCCCAGGCCGAGTTGAGCAGGGTGTCCGGCACCGACCAGTTGAACGCAGCGAGATCGGCCGATCGGTGGCGCATGTTGTGTCCTCTGAAGGAAGAGTGGTAGATGAATTGTGCAACAAGAGGAAGAGGAAGCGGAATTGGTTGTGTGCTGTGCATCACGAGCACATAGTACAAGAGGAAACTGCCCCGCCGGTGCCAGCCTTTTGCTAAGTAGCTAGCGCTTAGAAGCTGACCAATCATTGCATGACTTTACCTCGGGAAGAACGGCATCATGCGCTTTCGTCCACTAATGGAGCCCGGAACCTTTCCACTTCTAGTACGCACTGGGCAAGTGCAAAATGCCTGCCAAACTAAAGTACAATTTTTTGAATATCAATTTTGCTCCAAGGCAGCGCATGCGTCAATCTTGAACAAGCACGCCTAGTCCTGCACAATTCGGGCTTCATGCAGCTGACCCAAACCGTCTGAGACCTGCAGCGACACTAACACCTGATAATCATTCCGCAATCCCTCGATGTTTGCAGTTCCAGGTTGGAACGTCTCGCCAACATCCCTGGTGAAGGAAAAGCAAACTCAGAAGCCGGACAAGGGACAGTCGTCCGGAAATGGCACACCGGTAACAAAGAAGAGAAAGAGCACGACCTCTCACGACGGTCAGACCTCCAAGATCAGCGGTACCGATCTTGAGCGGCTATGGAATCAACGTCACGAAACAAAGGTCCATCGGCAGACTGATCCGTCAAGGTCGAAGCCCGAGCCTTACTCTCGATCCAACAATGTCTCCACCAAGGCTGGCAAGGAACAGAAGCCCACGAAACAGGCCGACTCCAATGCCGTTGCTGTGGGAAGGAAGGAGACAAGCCAAAAGAAAAACAAGAACAAGAACAAACCAGATGTCCAAGACGAACAGAAGCCCGTAGCAGACAAGCAGAATGTTGATCAAAATAGCCACAAGTCTGAGAAGAATGGCAACAGCGGTGACATCGGCAAGCAGTCATCGTCGACGAAGGCCCTTATCGAAGCCCTCCCTCCTGCGCCGCCAGCAACAAAACTCACCGCCCTCCAAGCCAAAATGCGCAACAAACTGACTTCCGCGCGCTTCCGCCACCTGAACGAGACCCTCTACACCACCACCTCCTCTCAAGCGTTAGACCTCTTCACGTCTTCCCCAGACCTCTTCGCCGAATACCACGCCGGCTTTGCCCAGCAGGTCAAAGAGTCCTGGCCCCAGAACCCAGTCGAGCAGTACGTCCGCACGATCAAGACCCGTGGAAACTTGAATGAGAAGGAGAAAGACACGGCTCTGCCGCTCCCTCGCCGCAAAACAGGCTCCTGCACAATCGCCGACTTAGGCTGCGGCGACGCCCCGCTCGCACGCGGATGCCAATCTCAGGTCAAGAACCTCAAGCTCAAATTTCACAACTACGACCTACACGCCGCCAACAATTTCGTCACGAAAGCGGACATTACAAATCTCCCACTCCGAGACGGCGAGGCCGATATCGCCGTCTTCTGCCTCAGCCTGATGGGCACAAATTGGCTCTCTTTTGTCGACGAGGCATGGCGGATTCTCCGTGGCGACGGCAAAGGTGAAGTCTGGGTTGCAGAGGTGAAATCCCGCTTTGGCCGCGTCACACGCCGGCCGGGACATGTCGTTGAGAACAGCGTTGGCAAGAGACGCAAGAAGCAAAAACCGAAAGGGGGGGACTCTGACGATGAAGCCGTTGGCAATGGTATCTTTGTTGAAGAATCCGAAGGGAATCAAGCTGATGAAACTGATATCTCGGCCTTTGTCAAGGTCTTTTCCCGACGCGGCTTTGTTCTGCGGGAGGACTCGGTCGACAAGCGCAACAAGATGTTCGTGAGCATGGTGTTTGTCAAGTCCGGTGTGCCGACTGCTGGGAAGCACAAGGGTCTGAAGTGGAATGGGCATGAATACCAACGTGTGCAAGACGGCAAGATGAGGTTCGTGGCCGGTAAAGGGGACGATGAGGATATCTCGCCACAGGATGAAGCCAAGGCCTTGAAGCCTTGTGTATACAAGACCAGATAAGAAAATTTTCGAACGTTATGAGGCAATCAATTCGGTCTTGAGGTAGGTAGCAACAGTAGGTTCTCACAACCCATGTATCACAGTCCATGTCATTGCGCTCGACTCATCTCTCGATTGATATTCAACATCTCCATGTCTGACACTGGCTCACCAGATCGGTGCGCTCGATTAGGAGGAGGACAGATCAGCCACGGCCAAGGTTCAATTGCATCCTTCCAACGTTGTCGTAGGAGTATTCGACCTCGAATTCTTCGCAATCCTTGCACACGACACCTTCCAGCCCGGTAAGCCCACGTGCATCATGTCCTCGTCCCCGGCTCTTTTGTCGACACCTGGCCGCTGCATACTGTTCAAGCCTGGCTGCTCACCCCCGTCTGTTCACCCAGCTGGTTACGCATTTTCTCACGCGTTCATTCTTCCGGCCACTCCTTCGGCCAGAACGCCAACATGGCTTTCCTACTCTCGGCGTCCAGACTGTCAGCCTGCTTCTTGACAAACTCCCATGTATCTTTCACATTGGTGAACATTGTCCAGTCAAGCGCGACCATGACCTCCTCTCGTTCCATATCTGTCTGATTCCAAATCCTCAACAGATTCGTAACAACGTCACGATTACTTTGGACAGGTCCTGGTAAGCGTTTGTGGCTTCTTTTGGCTGTCGCATTCCAGTAGTCGCCGGAGAATCCAGTATCTTTCTGCCATTTCACAATATGTGTCTCGGAGAGGTCATTCGGTGTTGTCAGATGTACGCTGCATTCCGAGTTTTCCGCCACGTCGGTGGGCCACAGGATCGGGTTTGCGTGGTGGTGAGGGTACAGAAGCAGGATTCGAGAGATGTCTTCAACACCGCGCGACCAGGCAATCTGGTCTGGGTACCGCGAAACGGCCTGGTCGGAACCAGAGACGTAGCCGCCGCTACAGTCTTGTGATTGTCAGTCAGTACTCTCAAAACATTACCAGCCCAGGTGAGTAAGGGATGCCTCACCTTTCGAGGCAAGTGGGATTCTATGTCGGAGCATTCGAGTGCAGATCGGAATGACCAGTTCGGAGTCCTTGATTTTGCCCTCTGGATGTCGTGTTAGCGACGTTACATATCAGCATGGAGGTTTCGATGTAGGCAATGTCCTGTCGGGAAATGAAGAACAGGACGAGGAGGGAGGTATTCTGAGAGTCATTGAAAGCACTCACCTGCGGTACACATCTCAAGTCTCTCTTGCCAGTTGGCAGCATCCCACTTCGCATTACCCTTCTCTCCCCATCCTTCATCAACGAACACAATATCGCACGGGTGTCCCGACGAAATTCCGTCACGAAGTGGCAGATGATAAAACCCGCCTCGCCGAAGACGTCGGCATTCTTCGTTCAGCGCCAGCAGGATCAGGTAACAGTCAGGTATTGGTTGCTCTTTCTTTGAGTTGGCACTGACGGTGCAAGTGGTAGTAAGGACGATCGGCTCATCTGCTGTAACTTCGATTGACCCCGGGGATAGGTAAAACGAGATTGACGCATTGGTCGGGAGCTCTTTGAGAGGCAACATGCGGACAGATTCTGCACTGGTCCTCGAAGTGAGAGTGAGAGTTGGATTCGAAGAGCCACTTGACGACAAGGAAGACGACTATCTGATCATCAGTTTCGCTTCACTTGTGGATGAGAAGGGTGTCATTACCATTGTGATGCTTGTATCATGGGCCATTTTGTGTTGAACAGGTCAACAAGGTGGGTGTTGACCAAGTCGACTCTCAGTCTAACTGAGGTCGTTGACGAAATAGACAGAGCGCGTCCGCCGTTCCATGTGTTTGCACCATGCGGACAGCCGTGCCTGCGTAGAAGACAAGAGTGGTGAGAAGAAAGAAAGAGAAAGTGTGAAAGGTAAGAGAAGGTATATATATTCCTGAGAACCTCTCCAGCACTCTTGCCGCGGAGATCGACCCGATTTTGCTTGCTATATACATCTGCGCAGTGAATCTCCACCATTCTTACCACCCTGATCTGATTGATATATTGCGATCCTACGACGCTATAGGCTAATGTCACTCAGATCGACCTGGGTGCGGTAGAAACCGATCAATGCGATTGGAAGAGAAGAGCGATTTAATCAATTGACTATTGTCAAGATCAAAATCGTGTGAATTTTCATGATCTATTCATACACATCATCAAAGTCATGCCTCCGTAGCCAACAAAGAGGCGATAAGATCAGTGAATCTCCCAGGCACAGATTACGCCCTGCCATAGACCTGATTGCCAGCCCTCAAACACAATCACATGCCCCTTAGATGAACAAGTCATCCCTCTTCTGCACCTCAGCATTTGTCAGTCGTCCACAAAGACTGAGCAATGACACTGTCTCCGTGGTTGCGAACCAGTTCAGAGCATCAATGAGGATCTTCAAATGTCGGTTGAAGTGCTCTTCGTATTTCTTTATTGACTCTTCAATCCTCTTCATTCGGGCGGGATCCGTTGTTGCTGGCACGGTTGCACCTTTCCCAGACTTACTCTGTATGCTGGTGTCGGCTTCGTAGATGGATTTAGTAATGTACTCGACATAGGACGCAAACATGCCACAGCCAGTCATCAGCTTAGCGTGCAGTTTGAGCAGCTTAGCTTGGGTAAGCCCGAGATCCTTCATGCACGAATCCAGCATGTCGACGTGGTCTTGCATCAATTCGTCCACGGTTGGCTTCGACTTGTTGTTGAGTCCCGATTTCGTCTCCTCGATGTCATCACGCTCGGCGTCATCCACCTTGACCATGAGCTTCTGCCAATTCGGCTCAATGACTTCCGCTGTTGCAAAGAAAAGCATCTGCTGTACGAACACGAGCATCCGAGAGCGTAATGTCCACACTCGTCGCTTCCACAGCTCGAACCGCTTGTCCGATGACTTATGTATCCACGCTTTTTCTTTGGTATGGGTCGCCCAACATCCTACCAGCTGAGTTTCAAGATGTCGAAGGGCCAAGATATACCGGAAGATAAGTTGATATCGCATGACAGTTTTCCGGCTAATAATCAGCGATAGTGGGAAAGGCACTGTATAGTCGAGTTCGAGGGCGTCGAATCCAATGATGTCTTTATCCTCCTCTTTCCTGTCCTTTCCCTGCTTGTCTGCGGAAGAGCCTTGAGCGGGTGTTTTGTACTGGTCCATTATCGATTCTGGGTTATCCTGATCAATGCCTTGGACGTTGACTACTTTGATCAGCCATTGAGTCAGGCCAATGGAGTTCATTCTGATTTTGACATCCTCTTTGAAGGGGTCTGCCACTGCGATACTACCAGGCTGATGCAGCACGAGATCCAGTAGAGATTGCAGCTTGCCTACATTCACATCCCGATGCTTCTTCCTGAGCTCCGAGTCGCTCAATTCGAGGAAGTAAAGAAAGAATTCGGCTCTGTCAAGGAAGAAATAATGCTTCAAGGATCTCAGGCGGCTTCGGAGAGAATTTTTCGTGAGTAGTAGATGGAGCAACTCTTTGTTCGCGAACGAGTACGCGTTGTTGACATTGTCGAGGAAGCGAGGATCGTCGAACGTCGCAGGAGTATCGACGATTTTGCTGCTAATGTTCACACCACCACATTCGCGCACAACATTGAGATATTTCCCAGCCAAAAGAACCTTTTCTTTCAATGACTCAAGCTGTGGAGGGACCTCCTTGTCACGAATGTAATAGCGTTTCTCCCAGTATTCATCCGTGTAGTCCTCATCTAATCGCTCGCGTTTGATGCTGGCTCTTTCTCCAATCAAAAATTCCGAATGAGGGTCATTAATACCGCCACGGTGCAGCCATTCATTGAGCATTACCATGTACGGCCTGCCAGACTCTTGCAAGAGCATCTCCAGTATCGCTCTTGCCGCAGGATCTCCAGAGAACGTTGACAGCCGGTGTGACAACAAGCCTAAGACATTACCACCAATACACCGCTTCTTGCTGAGACTGCCTGGGAGTAGATCGCCGCCTTCTTTGAGACGTTCGATAATATTATCGGCGTCAAAATCATCCATCGAGTCGTCGATGTCCTCTTCCAAAAGGGAGTTCTTCTTCAACAGCTCCTGAGCGAGAGAGTACAATTGAGCCAGACATTGAGCGGTCGGGATAATGGCAATGTGCATCTGATGGAGCGTGAAGTCGGCATCGGTCAGGACTTTCAGTTCCAGCTGTGCCACTAGGATGAGATAGTCTTTCAGAAGCTTGCGGATTGCCGCACAGAGAGCATGGTTGACAGAACCGAACTCCTCCCGGCTTTGAACTTCGATGAATGCCTCGATTGCACAATGATGAGTAGCCATAGACAACATGGAAGTCGTGAGATCCTTGAGACTGGGATCAAGGCCCGGCAAAGGAACAAAAGAGGGGCCATTAAGCCGCTCCTTCTCTTCAGCCGGGTCGTAGCTATCGCGAAATCTGATATACTGTCCTTCGAAACCCATAAACACATATAGCAGATCATCCAATATTGCCTTTTCCTGCTCTTGCATGGTCATACCCCCCAGCGCGACCGGATCAAGCTCTGGCGGCGCATGTCGTGATAGTGGTGGTGCTGTGATTCGTGTCGCAAGAGGCGCAGAGGAGTGAGGTATTAACGATACGGTAGGATTCCACGGTGGTATATTCTCCTCCTTGTTTGCCCGCTTCTGAATGGGACTGCCAGTACTTCGGCGACGACTATTATCGGCATATCTGTTTTCATTCGTCGTGGTCGCCTTCCTGGGGCTTATTCTGGTTATCAGGGTCTCGGTTGTTGTCACTGTAGACTTCTCTTTCCGCCGGTCCAGTCCGCTGAATCTGTTCTCACTTTTTGTGTGTTTGTGTCCGTCAGGCGTATCACTGTAGCCGTCGGGGAAGACTGGCGAGTCGCTGACTCGCGCTGAGGCTCTTTCGTACTCTCGGGTCCTGGCTGAATTGACGCGCGAAGGCCCATTCAACGGCTGTGTGCTACGTCGGTCCGTGGCCGAAGCACTTCTGTAATGTAGAGAGGTCATGGCCACCGGCTATCATCATTCTGGAGAAACTAGACAGACTTGTGCAAAACCAAAATATTGTGGCTGTACCACTCAGTGCAGTCAACACCACAGGCGGGCGGGTTGTCGCGACGCGTGCCCAAACCACGTGACACCGCTCTCCACGAGCGATATTTGAAGACAACCACAACCACATCCATTCCTTCTCGAGGGAAACTGAACCCTATGAGAATCGGAGTCACGAATCATTCTCTTACGGCTGCATTTTCGACAAGATCTTAGGACACGAGTCAAGGTATTGAGGCTTGCTACGTTGAAAGCGGAGATCCTCTGTCGACAACTCAGTTACAAAAGTTCAGTCGAAGCCACCTCGGCCTTAAGTTCATCGTGGCTGCGCATCTACCTCCCTATGCTCTAGTCGAAAGTACTCCGTACTGAAGCTTCCCAATAACTCTTCCGCCACGGCAATCTCCATGTGACCAAAAGAGAAAACCCCGAAAGGAAAGTGTACTCGTAGTACGCTTCTCCGTACTCGTATCAAGGCCCTTGCTGTGATGTGCTAAGTCAGACCAATCAGCACGTCTTGAACGAGAGCGCTTGGGCTATTTAAAGGTCAGGACCCGCAATCAGGCAGGATGGGATATAAAATACGGAACAGCAGTAAGAATAATCACTTCACTGCCTTCCAAATTCTAAAGCGTGAGCTTCCCAGCCATATTCGCGGTTACCTGTGTCGAGCAACTGGCTGACCATGCCGACGACTATCAACTCAGCCGTTCGAAGCCGCATATTGCCTCGCCCACGTCGGTGCCTGAAGGTGTCGTACCGCGCAATCCGCTCACAACAACCTGCACATACTACAACACGTCCATTCCAGCGCTCAGATCCTCTCTCGGACTTCCCAGGTGACCGACACCCACCTTTCCCTGATCTCTCGTTGCGACGGCAGATCAGGGCTTATTCCTCAAAGCACATTGCCGGGACTGCCTCCACGTCCCCTCTCGCAATGAAAGGGCAAGTTCCTAGAACCCTGCTTGCGGAGCTTTGTGCTCAAGCAAAGGCCGACCCAGAACTACCACGTCCGAATCCGACAACATCGTTTTGGCAACTGCCACCCCATCCATCCATCCTTGTCCCAGGTCCAGTCCCCGGACTTGCCTCAAACCACTGATTACGCCATTATCGGCTCCGGCGTGACGGGCTGCAGCGTCTCCAAGGCTCTCCTAGAGCACGAGACGCCTCTATCTTCGAAGGCATCGACTGTGACAGTGTTTGAGGCTCGCACCCTGACCAGCGGTGCTACGGGTCGGAATGGGGGTCTCTTAACATCATTCGTTCCGGACGAGTACAAGTCCCTTAGCGAGGCCTTTGGCCATGAACAAGCTGTAAAGATCGTACGATCTGCGAACAGAACGCTCGAAAAGATGCATGCGCTTGGGAACTCTTCGAAAGAGATGCAGGACGCCAGCGAGGTGAGGAAATTGCTGGATGTCATTTGCTATCAGGATGACGCGACTTTCCAAGAAGCTGTGGAGTCCCACCGGCTCTATGAAAAGCATGTGCCCGAGGAGCGACAGAAAGCTCAGGTCTTGAGTGCCGAAGAGGCGAGAAGGTAAATCTCCCACCATGTACTGCCACCTCTCAGTCATCATTGATCAATTTCAACAGCGATATAATGTGAAAGCTGCGGCTGGTGCGATCGTGTTCAACAACGGCGCGTTTTGGCCTTATAAGCTTATCACGAGACTATGGGCTCAGCTTCTCGAAGACCACCAGTCACGACTGTCAATTGAGACCAAGACGCCTGTTACGAAAATAACGTACGTTCCAGCCACGAATCCAACATACCCATACATCCTCGGCACCTCAAGGGGCCCCGTCCACGCTGGTCGAGTGGTTCACGCCACGAATGGATATGCCGGACACCTGCTACCGGAGTTGCGCGGCAAGATTTACCCAGTCCGCGGTACGATGTCGACGCAGAAGCCGTCGTCACAATTTGGACAATGAGGAAGCGAACTCACCTGGGCTTTCTTCCAGAGCGGCAGCTTTGATTCCGAGACCAACATACTCGAAGGGGGATTGTACTACTCCTGCCAGCACCCCAAGACCGGCGAGATCTTTGTGGGCGGCGAGAAGCCGCGGATTGATGAGTTACTTGGTACTGATGATTCAGTGGTCGGCGCCACGAGTGTCGACAACATGGCCACTCTGCTGCCAAAGTACTTCGACCAAGCTTGGAAGGAGGGCGAGAAGCCTGATCTGACTAGTACATGGTCCGGTAACATGGGTTTCACACCGGATCGGCTTCCTTTGGTAGGCAGCTTGCCGGAGAGCGTGACAAACCGGGGCAAAGACGGCGGTGAATGGATTGCGGCCGGGTTCAATGGGTATGGCATGCCGTTATGTTGGTCGTGCGGCGAGGCAGTCACAAACATGGTGCTTGGCCTGGATGTGAGTAACTACTTGCCTGAAGTGTTCCTTGCAACTGCCGCACGCCTGCAGGATGAGAGTCGGATGTCGATCGAAGCGGCATTGGGGCGATTGTTTCAGAGTGACAACCAGGGCCCGGTCAATTCTGAGGCGGCGCCATCGATGTGAAGATCTCTAAAGGCCGTCACCCTTGGAGGACATCTTTGGAAGTCACAAATCGAACAGCCATGCCTGAACACATGATTTCTTTTCCTATACACGGGTACGTAAGACATTCAGCTCTCGACACCAAGTCGCTCCTCCTACTGCCCTTCCTAGTCTTCACAACGGATGTGTTCAGAGCAGATACTCTTTCCCACCACGAACAAGAGACACCATGCTCCTCCAGAGGCAAACACATCACACAACCAAAAATCCACCATGTCTCACATCAGCCTATTGCATGACCACAGCAACATGATCATCCATATACTTGTTGATATTGCCAAGGAAGATGCTCGACAAGATGGCAATGCCTCCGAAAGCAATACTCGTCAAGTACACGTACTTATAACTTTCTGCATACGCAATCTGGCCTGCCAGCACGACCATCTCGTACGCCGTTTCGTTTCCAGCGATGCCGGGGATCTCCTTGATGCCTTCGAGCAGACTCGCCGCCGTGAGCTCAATCGCCTCAGTGATGTATGTGGTGTTTGTGATGCCAAGCTCCAAGGCCATGGTGCCGCCAATGTACTTGGTTGCGTTGGGCACGAACTTGTTCACGAACACATTGTAGTAAACCGTGTACCCGATACAACCGCCAATGACGCGGATGGACAAGGTCAGTGCGGCGACCGTGGCGATAATGTCATCGGGACAGATAATCGTGGTCATGATCGAAGCGGGGACGACGATGCCACCAATACCCAGGCCACCGAGGATGAGTAGACCCCAGAGTGTGCTCAGGTTGAAGCGGGTGGCGCATCCGAGCGCACCGCAGCCGGCAGTCATAAGAACTGACGAGAAGATCATGAGTTCACGGTTGTGACCACGGAAGACTGACAGCAGCCAGAGAACGATGCAGGCGCCTGCGAGAATGCTGAAGCCGATCGGGATACCGCGGATACCGACACCGACTGGGTCGTGACCGTAGACATTGAAGGCTTGAGTCGGCCAGAACATGATGACGGAGAAGAAGTTGGCGCCGGAAATTGCAGTGATGATCAGTGTCAAGGTAAGGATTCTGGCTTCCTTCTTCATTCGAGACGGGAACATGGGGAACTTTGCGAATTTCGTTTCCCAGATGGGGAAAGCGATGAAGAGGAGTATGGCACCGAGAATAAGAGGTGCCAGCACATGGGCGGAACTCCATTTGTATTGGTAGCCACCCCATTGGAGACCAGCGAGGAACAGAATCATGCCGACGATGGAGAGAGCTCCGCCGACAAAGTCGATTTCACCAATGATCTCTTTCCTGGTCAAGCCGCGAGAGTTGGGTCGAGGTGGTGGGAAGTAAAAGAACAGTGTGCCGACGAAACCGACAACAGCCCAGAGACCGCACAGAAGGGTGCACCAGCGCCAGCCGGCGTAACTGGCAATCAGCTGAGCCCAAAGGACCGATGGGCAGAAGGGGATGATGGTGAAAACGAGGATGGAGACGTATTTGCCTCGCTTGCGGGTTGGAGCCAGCTCGGAAGTGACGGCCAGAGATGTGAGTTCGCAAATACCAGCACCGACTCCGGAGAAGGTCATGCCCACTGTGAAGGGTCAGAACTGTTCGAAGACAGTGGGAAGGTAAGTCCTTACTAATGAAGATGTTCATCGAATGCGCCGTCCCGCAGATGATCATGGCGATGATAAGCAAGGTCGAACCACCGAGGGCGACATATCGTCTGCCGATTAGATCTGAAATGGAGCCGACGAATGGACACATGGCAGCCAAAGCCAGCAGGTAGGCCAGGACGAACCAGATCCATCGATCGACTCCACCGATATCAGAATAGATATACGGCGGGATGCCACCAAGGATGTAGACTGGTATCTGGGATCCTGTCCAGAGGAAAGCCATGGCGACTAAGCTAAGCGCTCTCTTGGCAGTCATCTATACGCGGAAACGGTCAGTCATGGTAAGCGATGTATATGGATTTGTGATACCCACAGGAGGCTCATGGTCGTGATCTTCATCGTCGCCATAAGTCCGCAGGCCATCTTTCTCGTAATAACCAGGATGACCGGGGATTCTCTCATTGGTGTGGATTTGTTCGATATGGGACGAAGGGTCCTTGTCGACAACGGGAGATGAGGCATTCTCGCTGGAACTATTGTCGTCGTGCGCCGTCATGATGGGCGACGAAGGGTGAAGTAACTGGGGATGAGAAGGAAGGTAGACTATCGGGCCTCTGCGATGAAAGATACAGAGGAATGATTTGAAGGAGGACAGCAGGTCAAGAAGAGGAAGAGAAGAGGAAACGGAGATGGCCAGTATGGGATTGATGTACTTGCCGGCAAACCAGAAATGGTCAGAGCGATCGACTCAGGAAGATACTTGGTCAACTTTAGGTTGTGCGACCATTGCTCTGCACACGTCGAGAACGCAGTGATTGATCTCGAAAAGTGGATTTGGCCTCTGTTGGAGATGTCGAGAGGCGAGACCCAAGCAGAAGCCAAACCGGGGTAAGATGGTCATGGCGTCCAGTAATTGATGGGCTGTGATGGGCACAACTGCTGGTGCGGAGGGGGGCGATAACCATGTTGAGACTAGAGGAAGAGACCGACCAGGGTGTGAAGGATTTATCAAGGTGGGATGCAGGTGGGAAGCATGCTCGAACGATGGATGGCTGGTGTTTTGGACATATGCCACTTCACTAAGTTTCCTCCTGCACATGCAGCTTGAGTTGGACCACGTTATCTCCAAGGGACAAACAAGGCGAATGAAGACGGAAGACAGGTACAACACGCAAAGGGGAAGGTGGACGAGTGATGACACATGCATCAGGAGAAGGAGAAGCCCACCATCGCATCACCACCCATTCAATCAAGTCCGTTTGCGCTTACAGTAAGTACCAGGTAAACTCTTCCGAATGATTTCTGATGGCCATGTCCGTCTTGGAGGATGGGACTCTGCTCCGATCAGCGTGTGTGGTCGACCTCTTCTCTTGCGATCTCTGTGAAGTCGGGTCCATTCCAGCCATGAAGGATAAGGTCTTTGAGTGTCTCTCCAGATGGATATCCGCATCTGTATCTGTCTGGTGATGGCACCAAGCATGGGCTAAGTGACACCAAGCCTCGGGCATCCCCAAGCTAAGAGGCTAAAGCAGATCTAGCAAAAGTCGTGGAGTCCGGGGTTGACAATCCAGGTCGATGCTTTCGGTGACCCCGTCCAGAGCAGTTAGCTTGGAACTATGATTCCCCAAAGGCCAGAAGAAAGAGGTAAATACGCATTGGCCCTTGCATGTCCTCATCATGATTCTCCTGATCCTGTGAGCGTCACGGAGTGTTTACCTGCGTTGTGCCTGGGCTTGAGGAGCCGAAAAACTAGGTCACCGTGGTCACGGCAGGATACTCGACGCCAAATGGTGGGACACGAACACGGACCGAATAATCGATTGTTTGATTCCATTCATTCCGCATAGTGACATTGATCCACTTCTCCGCAATTCCCAATTGTCTTGCGAGCACAGTGGCAAACACCCTCAAAGGCCATACCCGGCAAGATACCGAGGCACTTTGTTTCGTCCCGACTCACTGACTCGCCGGTTCCAGAGTACTGTACAGACTACGATCTTGGGGATGGCCTAGCGTACCTCCAGGAGAAAAGCAGCCACCCGGCAAGTGACAGGGCTCACCACGCATACCGTACTCGACGCTTGCTCGGACACGCACAGGGTGTCCATGAAGGACGAGGATGCAACAGTCTCGAATGATACTGATGTTCACCTGCAGATAGTATAATCTGTCCACTCGAAACAGTATTTGGGATCGCTCGTTCTCCTGTGCTCTCTCCTAAGCATACTAGCCCAGAGGTCCTCGATCCCACCATTCGACGTGGAATAGCCCATCCACTCCATGATCCTTCGCTTCCTTCTCCATTTCTGCAAACTCTACTCCGTACGACCAGGATCAACGGCCACATGCGGGGATACGCCCGAGCAAAAAGAGATCTGATCCTCGGTACTTTTCATGCATGTCGGTAACAGCTCGTCTATCGGTGCCCTTCTCGACCCCTCGGTCGTCTGCTCTTGCACCATTCTGCATCGGTAACACGTTTCGAGTAGGGGTGAGTAGCGCCATATGGTGCGCCATATCAGTGGGCAGATCTTGGTCACCATCGACAAGGATGCCGCCACATACCCTTCTGCCCTTCTGCTATTCCATGCCTGCATATCACGAGAGATCGGATTGTCTCTGTCATCCTCTCGGGCTGGCCAGCCTAGTAGGCCCTCGTAGCATTTGCGCTGTCATTGTTCATTCATGCTCCCACTCTTGGTCGCGACTGGGCCTGATGATCCTCCAACGATATCTCGATGCGTCGCATTCAGGCGTCGTGAGGTACTCACACTGCACTAGAGGACGTGTTTGCAAGCCCCCAGCCCACCTCCATCTGAACTGTGCGTATCCTGAGGCAACAGGGTCGCCTAAAGTAAACTTCGCCCTCTTTTCAGTTTGAAAGTACCGACCTTCAGGGAGTCGGTGTCGCAGTAGCGTCGCACATCTCGTCGGCACGGTCGACTCTATTCGACAGACCGGCTCTCAAAATAGTCCGGGTCCAGCGACATCGTCTTCATTTCCACTGACATCCCCTGCCAGAACATGAAATTTGCCGAATGCATGCACACTTTCTATACCCTTCAAGGTGTCTCGGTCCAGACCAGTAGACCTGGACATGGTGTCGAAAGCTGGTTTTGTTTGAGGTTGTAGTTGCTGATCGCTCTTCTCTTCCCAGTCGTTTGACACTTCCACCATTACCGGAGCATCGAGATGCATCAACAGGGGCATCACGTCAACGGATTTGGCGTGCTCATCGTCAGTCTTCTTCACGTTGGATGGAGGAACGAAGATGGTATAGACGTCGCCAGGGCGCATCGGCCGAAGAAATGTAACGTCGGTAACTTGGGCGCGCACCAGTCCAAGATCTGGGTGGTGTAGCTGGAGGTGTTGATGGACGCTTTCGTGAAGGAGGCTCATGATCACGCCGCCGTGGATCTGCATGGCAGTCAGTCTTCTGTGTAGGAAACGGAGACGCACCCGTCTTCGTCTCACCGTGTCAGGCCAGCCCTCGATCCCGAATCCAAGAAAGAAAACCATCATCGTGATAGGTTGCGAAGGGTGTTTGAAGACCTTCATCGTTATCCCGCGTGTCCCTGTGAGCTTTTCGCCTATGAGATGCTGCCCCCTGACGGCGCCATTCATTCTGCCAGCATAGTAATTCTCTTCGGTCCAGTTGTCCTGCCGCAATCCCTCGACTACCGGATGAGCCTCGATTGTCTCTTGTATCTCCTCCAACAGTTCCTGATCTTCCTCAGAACCTGGCTCAAAGGGCGGTTGCATGTATTCCCAGCTGATCAAAGCTGTTCCTGCCAGCGCGCCCAGAGTGAAAAAGAGATCTGCCCAGAAGACAGACCTGGCGAAACGCCAGAATAGCGAGGCCCCAGTCGACGGGCCAGACGACGGCTTTACGACTCGTGGAGTGTACGGCGCTGTGTAGGGTGTGGTATCAGGGGCAGGCATTTGCCCCGGCGTCTGGAAGTATTCTTTGTGAGGACCGTGGTGATCGTGTTGCGTTCGCCGTAGCCAGGGCGAACGTCTCGTCGCGCGTTGGGCTTGACGCCACAGCGCCGGCCGTAGCGCGTGCATTAGTCGCGGTCAGAGCGAGTGATGAGGTGAGATGAAGCAGGGTACTGATGTCGCAGTTTCAATTCAGGGTTTGGGATCTTTCTAGCAAGGCTGCGTAGGAGGGCATGAGCCTTGGCGGCGAAACCCGAAGCAGGTAACATGGACTTGACTACACAGCGATGAGTCTACTGTTCATTGAATCGTACTACACGCATCATGTAGACGAGACCCTTGCTCTTGCGTTTGAAATCAATTGGCCACGGCAGGACTTTGGAATCACCAAAGAAACTAATATCGCTTTCATCATAGGAGAAGCAAGAGGCGAGAACGCCGTCCACGGAATGATATTTCCACGACATGATGAAGGTTTGCGCACGTAACGGTGAGAAGATTGAATGCTGCAGGAGTTCGGACTTGCATTTTGTATTCGCGATGTAACAGCCGTAACGCCTTTTCCGATCATCATAGCAGATCCCATCTTCAAGCCATGTACATGTCGCCATGCTCTAGGGAGCTTAATCCCGGATCACCACATGAAATGCATATTGAGGCCGTAAAGTCGCCCGGCGTCGCCTCCTTGCTCAACAGCGCGGCGACTTTTCATGTCGGTTCTTGAAAGCAGTGCGCTGCACATTTCTAGTTTCATCCATGCGCTTTCCATACCCCCAAAAAGCTCTTATGATGTTGGGTTAGGGTTCATCTGCACATATTGTAAGCATCTGCAGGCCTTTCGAGTGCAGGTTCATGTATCCATACCTTTCTCTTGCCACCGGTCATTGTCACGTTGACGAATCGTCGGGTGTATGTGATTCTCTTCTTCGCACGACCCTTGGGTTGCTTCTTCTTCTCTTGAGGCTCGACCTGGAAAAATCCGCGTTAGCTTTTGTTCCAGAGATGGCGTTTGTTGACTGCCGCTGATGATACGATGTCGAAGAGCCGCTCACCTTTGGTGTCTGAGACTTGACCTTGCCGGCACGGGCGAGGGATCCGTGAACTTTACCCATGATTGCGGGTTAACTTTGTTAATCGATGGAATCGATGGTTTGTGTTGCGAGGATGATGAAGGTGATTAATACGAATGGCTTGCGGTGGAAGAATTCGACGATGGAAGGAGCAAGAACCGCAGTTTAGTGTGGGAAGCCGCCGCCAAGACGCTCAAGTCACGTGATATTGATCCTCAACTGAGTTGACGACTCGGCGACTCGACTCCCAGCGTTGACCGGAGCGCCAGAGGCATGTTTCGAGCATCGAGTCATGGATGATCAAACGAGAGACCTTGAGTCAAACTCTGTGGATTCTTGGTCTATTTTATTCTACGTCGGGCTGATGCTGTTACTTCCGCTATGCACGCTGTTGAATGCAAAATCGCTGGACTAACATACAACTGACACTCTCCATTCTTTCTAGCCATCACTCTTGGATTTCGTCTCTGGTAGGCAGGTCGATGGCTCTGTACAAAAGGATGAGAGCGGAAGCACTCTCGCCACCACCAGCCAGAGTCATGATTCTTTCAGCATCAACCTCGCTGACTTTGTCATCATTGAACCACCACCATTTTCCATCGTCTTCTCTACGCTTGCCGCCAGGTGCCTTGGGGTCATCCACAACCTTGCCTTGTTTCTTGACGAAACTGGTGTAGTGTCCACTGTCAGCACTGGCCCCCTGGTGAGTAATGACACCTCTCAACTCATACAAGCCGGACTTGTTGGCGCCTTCATCTTCTGCAAGCTGTTGATCAATCAGCGCATAGAGCTCCTTCTTGGCACGCTTGATGGACTCTGCACGTTCCGCTTCATACTCTGCATCAGTTTTGTAGACGTCCATTTCACCTCCTTCAGCCTCTTTCTCTTTAGGATCCTTTTGATCCCGGAGCTTGGCAATAGGAGCTGCTTCCTGTGCTTTAAACGTCTCGTCGTGCTTGCGATCTTCTTCTTGCTTGTGACGAAGCTTTTGTCGTTTCCGAGCTCTCTCTACGTCCTGCTCGTCCTTTCGAATGTCGCGGACCTTGTCGCGGACAGGGATCAGTCTCTTTTTGAGATCATCGGTGCAAAATTCCACAACGTCCAGTTCCTCGGGGAAGGTAACTTTCTTCAAAATCTTTGCCTTCTTCTGCACGTCCTTTTTCCAGAAAAATCGCACGAAATGCACCGTCAAGTATTTGGGTAGCCGGGACACTCTAGAAGTCTTGGTGTAGATCGCGTCCCTTCCAAGAGTGGGAGAATTCTTCTCAATCTCTTCTGTCAAACCAGCCATGAGTCCGTCTCGGAGGTGATTGATGGACTGGTCGATGTGGCAGTCTAGCTTCAAGAAGGTGTCGTCAGACTCGATAACAGGTTCGTTCTCAGCAGCCTCCGCAGGTGGCGCAAGTGAAGCATGGAACGTGCCAGCCATGTATCGATCGATAAATGCGATTTCCTTCTGGTCAGGCGAGCTCTTCTCTGTGATCTTGAGTTTCTGTCTCAGCTGCTGTAGAATTTGTGACCAAGCCTCCTCGGCATCCTGCTGCGCATAGCCGTGGCCGTTCTTAGCTTTTTGGGCGAACTGTGGATATGCGGTTCGCAGAGCGTCCAAGAACATCAATGGTGGAAATCCTTCCTGGGTCTCCGACATTTGCTTGTAGAGGTCTCGCAGTTGCGCAGTCAAATCGTTGGATGAACCGAGACCACCCAGGCCAAAGCGACTCAGATCTTGTAAAGTGCTTGAGGTGGCTAGATCGGGATTGTATGTTTTGAGCCCTTCTTGCATTTCTGGTATGCTTCGCAGGACTTGCAAGGTAGAATTGAGATAGCAGGTGTTTCCAAGATTCTGAAGACCAGCGGGCGTGGCCCCTTCCTGCGCGGCAACCTCTGCTGCGGTCATGTCTTCTAGGAATTTGGGTTTCTCAACTGGCGCCACAAGAGCACTTCCTTCGGACGATGCAGTCCCAAGCATGGTAAATATCTGGCCTGGTTTGGCATTGAGCTTGGACAGATCGGTGTCATCTTTGAGCTTTCCGCCTTTGATCAGAAGTGACTGTCGTTCGGGTTCGACGCCGGTGAGGGAGAAAAGTTGGAACTTGAGCATTTCGCCATTTGCGGAGGGGTCGAGGTCGACATTGTACTTCTTGCCCTGATGCTTGATGATGACTGAAGACTGTTAGAATCGTAGTAGCCATGGATGAGCCAATTTACTTACTCGGAATTGTCGCCATCTTCTCTGCAAATACGAGAATGTAGAAGATCTAGAAGGGTGCAAGAGATGTAAAAAGAGATGCTTGGAAATGCCGTCAAAGAGGCGACAAGGCTGCGGCCAGGAACAGGCGTGAACAGATGCACGTCAGACCAAAACAGCGCCGCCGCCAAGATTTCCCGCGGCGACTGGAAAGGTGACAAGCCGGTCATCCCCTCCATGCGCAGTCTGGTACCAGTTCACTCACCTCGATTGTTCTCACAGCACAACAGATATTGGAGTCTATAAAGACAATAGGAAACCTGAACTGGCTCAAGAAGTCATCGCTGGCTCTAGATCTGTGTCCATGTTGCGCTAAAACCTCTCCATTTCCACCTTCGGAGCGCTTCGAAAATGGTATGCCTGTTCCATTGGGACTTTCGAGATACCTCCCCGACTGACCCTGCTGATCAGTCACAATCATTGCGTCCTTACCTCCAATGCGTCCGTTCTTCCCTTACAGCTGCCCTTGCTCTATCGAACTTCGCCTCTCAAGCCTCAGAAAGACACAATGTGCCAGAAATCGAAGCTGCCAGTTCACCGGAAGTCTTACTCAATCCGCTGACGGTCGCACGAAACGAGAATGAGAAGGTATTCATAGAGCCCAGCGTCAACAGCGTGCGGGTAAGCATACGGATCAAACAAGCAGATGAAATCGAGAACATTCTTGTGCATAAGTTTACCCGTTTCCTTACTCAACGGGCGGAATCGTTCTTCATTCTGAGGAGGAAACCAGTCAAGGTACGCCAATGGAGAGGTTGACAGCCTTGCAAGACCTGACAGGGACAGGGTTATGACATCTCATTCCTTATAACGAATACCCATACCGAAGAAATGCTAAAACACAAGCTCGTGGATTTCATCATCCAGTTCATGGAGGAAGTCGACAAGGAAATCTCGGAGATGAAGCTCTTCGTATGTTCGCCCCCAGGTTCTCGGAAGACTGATGCAGCCGCTAATGCGCAATTCAGTTGAATGCCAGAGCTCGATTTGTTGCGGAATCTTTCTTGACTCCGGTAAGTCTGGTTTCGCCAGGGACAATCTCGAAGGATCTCTGCTGACCACGCATAGTTCGATTGAAAGACTCAAACCTCGAAACAGGCGGCGGGGCAGCGCCCTACCGGCAAGCCCTGCTGCCCGCAATGATCTTGACTTGGCCGTGAGTCGTCGCAAGGCTGCCATCGAACGGCCATATAGCCCCTGAGATCATGTGATCATGATGCAACGACAGAGAACTTCCATTGCATTGCGTGGGGGTCAATGTCCATGCATTGGAAGAAGAACTGTGATGCGCCGGAGGTGCTCACAAAGATGAATATGATGGTTTCCACTGTGCTTCTCCCGCCTCTTCCATTGTGTGCTGCTTTTTGTCGTTCAACGCCAGCCGCCAGCCCGGGCAGCGATGGATGCTAACACTCATGGTCTGCGTCACCCTTGAGCACATTACAGCTTCTCGGGGCTGCCTCAGGGCTCTTTGCCGCTCACGTTGGAGGTTCTCGCACGCTTGAATTCCAGCTGTCGCTCAAGAGCTCGAACAGGTGAAGAAGTTCGCTCATCGGCTTCGTCTATTGACGCTATGGCAGTCTGGAAGCAGCTTGTTGCAGGCAGCAAAGCTTTTCGACAAAGGTAGCAGCCTGCATGTCTTGTCAATGTCGGCACAATCTTTTGTACCCCTTCAGCGGTGAAGGAGGCAAACTGCTTGCTGGCCGCCTTTTGGAGGTCTGAGGGGCAAGGTGAGAAGTCTTTTCGCCTGGGGATTGTTACCTGGAAACATCATGCACTCACCGCCTTCGCAGCTACGCCCGAATTTGCGGTGCATGAGAAGCAGAAGACCATTCATGGTTTCGCACTGCATATGTTGCTTCTCACTTCACGCTCTTGAAGGATCAGCAGCAAATAGGCCCCAGCATCACACTTACCAGTTGGTCTTTCTTCTTTGGTTCCATCATCCTCTTCATCCATCACACCCCATTATCGTCCCTACTATCACCCAACAGCATGGCCTCAGACCCAGAATCTTCCTCGCTGGAAGAGGCTTATGCGAATGAGACCGACGGGCCAGGGCCGGCCATCCTGGAAGAGCCCATCGCGGCGGACCCAGGCTCTCCAAGCACACGACCAGGAACGCAGCCACTAACCCAACCTCACATGAATAGTACTCTCGGTGTTATTGTCCAGAATGAGCCCATTCATGGGCCTGGTTCCTTTCAACCACCAGTCATTCACATGCCTTTACCATCACGACTTCCTCTAAACCTCCCATTTTTACCTCAAGCCCCGACGACCATTGCGGCACCATTCGCTGCACCACCCGTCATCTCAGGCTGGTTTCAACCTCCTTCCACCAACCTCTACAACACTTCTAACAACCCTTTCTTTCAAACTGCGACGAACTATCCTATGACAGCCATGGAGGCCATTGTCCCTTTCGACCCGACCTCGGATCCTCCTTTCGGGGACCGTACTCAGGCCTACAAGCCACGTCCGCATGGAGTAATCAAGATCAAGAACGTAAGTCCTAACACCTTCAACTCGTTGTCATCATCTGTGTCGAGGCTCGAACTGCTGATCATGTTTGGTGCTGTGGATGTTACCGATCTTAAACGGATCTATCTGCAAAAGAAATTCTAGATCCGTTGGAGGGTACGGATAGATCCATTACACTACCACTGACACCACAACGATGGAATGATCTTGCGGATTTCTCTGAAGCCTTCCTCGCGGAGTTTAGACCTGCTCACCCATGCTTCATTGCTGTGGAATTTCAGGCTGACCGTTTTCACTTCTAGATTCCCTATGGCCTTACCATGGCGGAAGTGCAGCAGTTCATCTGCAAGCACGTCCATATCGAAGACTTGATCAAACCTCACGAGGAGGGATTTCCGATTCACATCATCATGGAACGCTCTACTGGAAAGACTATGGATGCTTATGTTGAAACAATTACTCAAGAGATTGCAGCTCAAGCCTGGGAGCATGGTTTCGGTCTTGCCCGCATGCGCCACCCAAAGCTTGGACAGCGCCATGTCACAGTTGAGTTGAGTGACCAAGCCGAGTTGATGAAAGATCTGTTTCCGAGAGCTCGCTGCGTCGCGTGGAACCATGAAGAATTTGGAACTCCGCACATCGTGCAGACAAATGACATCTACATCTCGGGCTTCAAAGGTTTCTTTACCGCTGAAGAGATGAATGGTGTGATCCGACATGCCGAATACCCACAGCGTGTAAGTGCTCCGACAGGCTATGATGCGGTAGTTGACTAACCGGTCCAGTCTCCTTTCGCCATGCGCAGTTTCCAGCGTACCTTCGAGAGCACCATCAGCACACTGTACAAGGTAAACAACTGCCCTCTTCATCTTCATCTAAGTCATTCCATTGCTAACCTATACAAGTTCCCTTGGTATGCTACCGGCTTGTATACCTTGCAGCAGCGAGATGTCCTATTCAAGACGTACACCCGCCAACTGGAAATCCTCATCCTCAAGGTTGATCCTGGCAGTGCTATTTCCCGCGAAGTTGGCCTTGATAACAAATTGTTGATGGACTTTTTGTTCGCCGGCATGAACTGCGCTGGCTTCTCAGAGCGTCAGAAGGCTACCGTCGCTGATGCGTCTCTTCGCGTTGGCCCTGGAATGCGCATCAGTGTTCATGCTCGCAATTGGCCATTTCAAACTCTCGCAGCCAATCCAGTCATGCTGTCAGATCAAGACATCGGCATGTGGTTTGAGGTCATGAACATGGGTCTTGCCGCATTTGAAGGAGAAGGTCATAACTTCATTGGTGTTCAACCTCACCTGCAGGTGATCAGAGGCAACAACGGCTATCCATTGTTCACTTACAGCGAGTCTGGTGCTGAGCTTTCGCGCAAGGCGTTCTCCCGAATGGAAACGAAGATGTTGCGTGTCCTCATGCGAAAGGGTTGGTCTGTCTACATGGGTCAACTTGGCCTGGCTCCGGCTCTTGGTCTTGATCAGGACGTTTTCGGAGGCAACGGTCTTGCGCCAGCTTACAGCGCCGATGACGACGAGTTCAAAGACGATGGCCAGGAAGACACTATCGATGGTGAAGCTCATCATGAATACACGGATGAAGAGCGTCTAGCCGCATACCAGAAAGTTCTTGCCGACATCAAGCGAGAAGAGGGGGCGATGCTTCTGGGACAAATTGACCGCTTTGCGAACCGCAGCTACCCCAACCCCGACGCTGGTCTTGCTGAAGGCATGATGGCTCTCGACATTGGCACAGGTAGACCCCTGCATCGTGCTGCGCTCAATCCCGAGTCCCACAATTTCCAACCACGAGGCTGGAATCCAAACGTCGCTGTCAACCCTGCTGTCGGTATTGCACCTCGATTCATGCCACCGCAGGTTTGGAATCAGACTGGCGCGACCGGCACTGCTGCTACTACAGCCTTTGGCGGCACTGGCTTGGGTAATGGTACAATCAGCCCATCACAGGCGCTTAGTCCCACACGAGTTATGAGTCCTCCACGCATCAGTACTGGTCGCCGCCACACCGACACCAGTCCCGTTCGATCTCTTGGTGTTGCACCTGTTTTCCAGGTTCCTGCTCGTCGCCAGACTCGTGGAGTCAGTATTACCGACACAGACGACACACCGGTCGCTCTTCCAGCTACTGGCGAAACCAGTCCTCCCTTGAGACGTATCACAGCCAGACTTGAGAACACTGTGAGAACGGAGTCTGCCAATGCTAGTCCTCGTTTCTCTAACGACGCGACCCCGGCTATGATGCCTACTACCCGCAGTTTGCCACCTACACCTGCCGGAATGGTCCATCCTCTTCCAGAGAAGCCTCCTGTTGTCCTCATGCCTTCTGCTGGTAGGCCTAGCCCTGGTCACACTCGCAACTACGGCATGACTTCCAACATGACTTTTGGTGCAGGCTATGGCTCCGCTGGTAACGGTTGGGCGTATCGACTTGGTTCTCCCGTTCGTCCAAACATAGGTGCTCCGCTGGCAACTGGCTTCACTGGTATGGGCATGGGTCCTGGCCTCTATGGTTCTGGTCCTCCATCTCGTCGCGCCAGTCTCGGTCAAGGTATGCCACCTAGTGCTGCTGGCTTCGCGACTGCTGTAGGCACTGGCTCGCCTCGTCGATTCGGTTCGCCAAGTCGTCCTAGCTCTACCACCCCGTTGGGAGGTATGGGTATGTCTCGCTTGTCGCCCATCGGAACAGGTGCGAGTACTGGTTTGGTTCAGGCCGACCCTCCCCGTCCCGGAAGTCATGTCCGTACTCAGTCTCGCCTGAGCATGACCGATACTATCGACGAAGAAGGTGGAGATGAGGAAGTCGATACCTCGGACATGGGTCGCAAGTACTACCGAGCACATTGCTCGTCTTCACATGATGCAGTCATGGATTGAGAACCACGTCGGCGCTTTGAGTATGGCATGGATGAAGGAAACGAATGAATGCTATGGAATGAGGTGGATGGCAGTCGGACAATCTTATTGTCGTGGCCATTTCATCGGAACGAGTTATGAAGAGCTGAGAATGCAAATGGATTACGATGGCTGATCGATGAGCTGAGAAGAAAAGGTGACAGAATTGATCATGAGAGCTGATCGCAGGACAGAGAAGTCTTGCACAGGACAGGCGTCTTTGACACGCAAGGACAATCGACTGGGCTCGAGTCCGTTGCAGACAGATGAATGATATTGAGCTTGAACAGCCAGACCTTGCTCCGTACCTTAGCTCTCGAGGGCTGACGGGGCTCTCGAAATCGCGAGACTTTCTCGAAAGGGCGGAACACGTGAGACGGCCACGTGAGAAAGGTTTAGCGTCTCTCGGTACTTACTGTGTCACGTGCCGGGTGCTTACTGAAGGCTCATCCTTGTGTGGCTGGGCTTTTTCGTAACCAAACCCCAGCAGCCCAAACAGCTCCTCCTCCGCTCTCTCCTCTTCTCTGCCTCGATCCGTCCACCTTTTCGATCAATACCCCTCACTCTCGAATCTCCGCAATTTCTTGCATTGCTTGTGCCCAAGGCTTCGCGGCGGCATTGAAATACGACGGCGCTCATGGACACATCACCATCTTCTGGCGGTGGAGGCAGACTCAAGAGGAAACAGTCTGGGAACAAATCCAAGACCCTACCCTGCCCGCACTGCCAGCGACTCTTTGCCCGACTGGTATGTAACAGCTTCATTCGCGTTGCTTTTCGATTCCTCGAGTGCCTCGGTCGCATGCTAACCAGCCTTCGACGAACAGGAACACCTCCAGAGACACATTCGAACCCACACAAAAGAGAAACCTTTCGTCTGCGACATCTGCAACAAGTCGTTCGCGCGAAGCGACCTACTAGTACGACATGAAAGACTCGTCCATCCTGGGGAGGAAGAGCAGCATACCACAAGAAAGTCTCATAAACATCATCTCGTCAACGCCAACAATGCCGCCAAAGCTGCTGCTCACGCTGCGCATCAAGCCCAACAGGCACAATCGGTCTCGGATGACATGGACATTGCGCCCCAGCATAACCAACCACTACTCTCACCACAGGCTCCTCCCGAGGGAAGAGGCATGATGGACATGCTGGACCCCCAGCTCATGCAGCCTACAAACGGTATGCATCCAGTAGATGGCTTGTCTTCACATCAGCAGTTGGGCGCTCCTCCTCTCGATCCATCGTGGGGCTATGACCTGAATCTGCTGTCGCACGCTGCTAGCCATGTGGCCTCCAGCGGTCAAGACCATTTCATGGCTGGTATGCAGCAGGCAGCCCAAGACCAACTCCATGAGCCTCTGCAACAGATGATGCCGCCCGTCTCAGAGGGACAGTACCAGCCTCGCATGCTGACAGAGGGATATGGGCATCCCACACCAATGTTCGAGCCTCCTGATCTCGGCGACCCTATGCAAGACTTTACAGTCTTCCTCGATAGTGTCGGTCTGTCCTCGGAATGGTATGCCAGCATGTTTGGTGATCAGGCGGACAACTATCACTCGCCTGACATACCGCGCGATCACCTCAACATTTCAAGACCTCATTTGAACGGTGAGCCTCCCATCGACAGCAAACTGAGCATTGCCCAAGAAGAAACAAGCACTTTCTCTCGGTTTGGTTCCAGATTGCCATCCCTTCAGCCAGAGTCTAAAGAGCCTGATTCAAATCGACCAGAACCGCGAAGTGCGATCGAAGAAGCCGAGGCCATCAAGACCAAAACCACTTGGGACGTCTCCGATTCAGATCGGTCAGCCTTCGCCTCAAAACTGGCTGGCTTCGACAGCGTCATGCCAAAAGGCTTCATTCCACCCTCCAGACATTCCCTGTCGAGGTACCTCGCAGGCTACGTCAATGGCTTCCACGAGCATCTACCCTTCATTCACGTCCCGACACTCCAAGTCGCTGCCAGTGCTCCTGAATTGGTTCTGGCTTTGGCTGCTGTGGGTGCACAATACCGGTTCGAGAACAGCCGAGGCATAGAGCTCTTCTATGCTGCCAAAGCTGTCGTCCTAGAACAGATCCGCCAACGTGATGATTCGGCAAGCTCTCATCTCTGGAACAGGCCGCGGACGGGTTCTATGGTTCAGTCTCCCGGCGGCGGCTTTACGGGCCAAAGTCACTCGAGCAGTCCATTCCAGAATGTCACGCCCGAGTCCCCAATCGTCACCGACGGCAAGGAGCAGATGGAGTCGATACAGGCACTTCTGTTATTGACCGCGTTTGCGACGTGGGAGCGACACACGGAGCTGCTAAGAGAAGCCCTGGCTTTCCAGAGTACTTTAGCCCGACTGGTCCGTGAATCCGGCCTCATCAGTCCTGAAATCACACAAGCCCCGGAAGACCTGACCTGGGAGGATTGGATCAAAGTTGAGGGTGACAAGCGGACCAAATTGATCGTGTATTGCTTCTTCAATCTGCACTCGATAACATGGAATGTGCCGCCACTCATCCTCAATTCGGAAATCAAGCTGAACCTGCCCGACCCGGCCAACGAATGGAAGGCTACATCCGCTGAACAGTGGAGTAAGCTGCATTCATCAAACGCCGTCCCGCAGGTGCCTTTCCAAATAGCATTCGCCCGCCTCTTCAGTGCGCAGTCTCCATCCGAAATCACACCCATATCTCCGCTTGGCAACTATGTTCTCATCCACGCCCTCATTCAACAGATCTTCTTCGCGAGACAGCTGTCTCTAGCTTGGCCTGGCGTCGCGGGATCGAGCCTGCGGATAGAGGACATCACTGTCCTAGACCGAGGTCTCCGAGCATGGAAAGCGGGCTGGAAACGTACCCCGGAATCAAGTCTTGACCCTCAAAATCCCAATGGTCCGGTCGCATTCACGTCAACAGCACTCCTAGGTCTTGCGTACATCCGACTACATGTTGACATGGGACCATTGCGACACCTCGAGACCCGAGACGCCACTCAAATCGCCACCGCCCTTCTCAATACACCTGATATCCGCCGCGACCCTCGCTTGATCCCCGCACTGCTACACTCCGCTCACGCCCTGTCCATCCCTGTCCGTCTCGGCATTGACTTTGTCGCCCGTACACAGACATTCTTCTGGTCCATACAGCACTCACTCTGCAGCTTGGAATGTGCATTTCTGCTGAGCAAATGGCTCACCGTGCTGTCTAGGTTGAAGTCCGAAGGCGGCGCCCCAGTCACCGAGCATGAACGCAAACTGCTCCTCTGGGTGCGCAGTCTCCTGGATGAGACGGAGATGACGGTCCAGCTGGACGGCAATGCGAACGATCATACCGTGCTCAATGAAAGCCGGGAACTGCTCGATGACACGCATAAGATGCGCGCTTTGAGCGTCGCGGTCGTGCGCGTCTGGAGCAAAACGTTTAAAGGGAATACGAGCTGGGCTATCGTCGATATGATTGGTTCGGCGCTCGAAATGTACGCGGATATGCTGGAGCAGGAGATGTTTGGCCATGTATGATTTTCCCGGAATGACCTCTTGGGCAGAATGGTGGACCTGGCCACTGATGCGAGTTTGCCCGAAATCAGCGGCAAGGTGGCGAAAGGGCTGTCAATCAGCGGCAGCAAAGAATTGTGTGCGCCACTGGACTGGGAGCAGTGATATGTGATGAGTTTCCTTGTCGTGATCGAATAGGCGAGGCGTGTACGGATACGGTTCAGGTTCTTGCTGCTTGGTTGTGATGTGGTGGGTATGATACACGTTTGTGCTACCGCACACTGCCCTGTGCAATGGATGCCCCCGATTGCGCCGGCGTTGGACCTGGCTTGGCTGGGCTTGATCAAAATCACAAAGTTAGCAGAGTCGCAAGGTGTTTCCTTGTAGCCTAACTTCATGTACATGGTATGATACATGGTTTGATACATGGTTTTCCCCTTTTTTTTATCAGCACAAAAGCGTACCTAGGATTTTCGTGCCTCTCAGTCTTAAATAGGCGGGTAAATTGACTCGAATCTGAAGTCTTCACTCTCATTGATGGGCTGTGCTCACTGTAAATGTAGAACAAGCCTATGCCATACGACAGCCAGTCTCAGGGTGTATTGACTCGGCCCTCCGAAAGAGTTGAGACTTGGGCACGAGGGCGAAGGATCAAAACAAAACCGAAGATGAGCATGGAGAGACACAAAACCTTCGAATTTCTCCCTGGAAGTTTCATCATTTGCAACCTGGTGTACTTTATTGTTGTTCGCTTCCATCACACAGAGTCCTTCGTTGACCTCTAGTCCTACGGGAGTCTCCCATTCTTTCAATCCGACGCCATTGCAATGGTCATCCTGAATCCAGCCTTGACACAGACATCTCCAACTTCCACCCAGATGAATCATCTTCGTGTTGTTCACCAACATGATCCTCCGTCAACATGATTCTCCGTCAACATGATTCTCCGTCAACATGATTCTCCGTCAACATGATTCTCCGTCAACATGATTCTCCGTCAACATGCTCAACCCCCGTCAAGGCCTTCTCTTCCCCCCAAGTCATCCTGCACCATCTCCTTCACCACCATCTTTCGGACAGATCCTAGTTCACCAGGTCTTTCAACCCAACTTAACACCCTGCACCGCGAGAAGGTGCCTGTCCATCGCAGGGCAAAAAAAAACAAGCCATTCAACTTCTCCAAGGTAATGCTCAGCTCAACAATCCCCCAAGGGAGATCAGATCTGACGTGTGTAGAAGAAGCTGAATGTATCTATCCAACATGCTTCCAGGCAATCAGAACCCAATTCCATCTCACAAGGAGATCCGATCTGACACCAGCTGAAGTGATTTGGAAAACAAAATATCTATCCAAGCTGCTTCAAGGTAATCAGAACCCAATTCAATCTCACAAGGAGATCCGATCTGACACCTGACGAAGAGCATTTTGGAAGTAAACAAAAAATGACAACCAACCCCTCCAAGTGATGCTCAGCTCGACAACTCCTGAAAGAAGTTGGATCTGGCGTGTGTAGGAGTCAATTGGGCGTCTCTACCCAAGCTGCTTCGAAGGTAATCAGAACCCAATTCAATCTCAAAAGAGATCCGATCTGACACCTGTTGTGAAGAGCAAGGGACCATCCTCCAAGGTGACTGCCACCCAGCATCTGAGCACCAAAAAGCAAACGCAAGCTATCTAACTATCCGTATTTAGTATGATTTTGTGCTGTTCTTTCATTCTTTTTTTGGCGGTTCTGGCACGGCGTCCCGTGTCGTCCCCATTTTGCAATTTTCTTTTGTGCTCAGATGATAGATGGTCAGGCCCTTCTGTCCTGCTCCTGCGCATGCCACAAACCCCCAAGGGAAGCCCAGCGTCCTGGAACTTCCCGACTACAAGACAGCATCGGTCAACAGTGATGCCCCACTGAAGGCTTCAGACTGACCTGAGCCATTCCACCATCAAATACCTAGGAAGCTGGCTGCTCATTAAAAGAAGACGTCTTCCATGGAAGAGAATTCATGAGACTCACCACCAAATATGCCTCCTGAAAGCTTCAAGTAATCATAACCACGAACGGCCTGATCCTCGAGCCAACCTTGACCTTCAACGCCCTCAGGTCTATCCTGCTGACATTCTGATGATCTCTCCCACTAGAATCCATCACAGAATATCTGCTCACAACACTTGTGAAAGCACATCCCAACCGTTCCCAGACCCCAGTGGCGAGCTGGTGTGGTGAACGGTTGGTGGCGAGTGATCAGGACTGACTTCTTAACTGGCTTGGATGACTCCGCCCCAGGAGAAGCGCCTGTCGTCACTTTCGCTTCATCAGAGAGTTCGGCACGGTGCTTCAAGATCGAACGGCCTGGACGACCAGTTCGATGACTCTTGATTGGCTCCGGCTTAAAGCAACTCTGCATCAGCTTAAGTGCGCCTTGATGCCCTACTACATACATCCCCTCAAACCACTCCTCTCCCTCCTCCTTCTCCTTCTCCACCACGTCCTCCTCCTCCGAGGTTTTGCCAACTCCTTTGCCCTCGGACGACTCCGTATGAGCATCAAGAGGGTTGCTGGGTTGTACCTTGGAAGGCCAGCGCCCAGCAAACGAACTCTTGACACGGACGGGAAGCCGGGACGCAAAAGTCTTCTCCCCTGTGACGGTAGGAGACACGGCGGTTGACTTGCCCTTCCCACGCTCACCATCCCCAGCAAGTGCTAGAGGATAGCAAGTGCGAGACAAAACACCTTCAAGACCCACCCGTTGGGGGATCTTGGAGCCCGCAGCCGAAGCTTTGGAGAGACAGGTGTTAGCCTGCTCTTTTTTGGTGTTGTCCGCAGCTTGCTCCTCTGGAACGCACAAGCTGGTAGTGGATGGTGGCAGGTCCGAGACAATTGCCACAGTGGTGCTCTCAGGTAGCTTGGGGGCATCCTCACTACCGTCGAGACCAGATAACCGTCCTCGAAGGACGCTGTTGGTCAACCAAGGCCGAAACCTGGTGTCCCTCTGGCGCCTTCTCAGGTCGAAATCCATTGACTTGACTTGTTCACGCATGGTGACAAGGCAATCTATGAGATGGAAGTCAGTTTGATGCTCAAAGTACGGCGGCAGAGGGTTCGGAGTGGAACGGGCACCGATAACAAAGACAGCGTTGGGCATGGAGGGCAACAAGCAGCAAAATGGACCGAACGTAGAGGGGCATTGGGTTGAGAGGGAGGAAGCCATTGGGTTAAGAGGGACGAGGGCATTAGGACTGTTGATGAAGGACACGACGTAGACAACGAGAAAAGACAGAGAATAACATGAGGAAAGCACCATTCCGCCCAAAAGATGTGTTTTAGGTCGACCTCCATGGCAACAAACATCAGGTATAGAGGGTATTTCACTCACCAACGATTCCTCTTGAATTCTCTGAAAAGTAACACTTCTCACACACACCGATCGTAGTCTGTTCACAGTAAGCAGTATCTCGAGAGCAGTTCAGCAGTAGAGTATGGGAAGCAGAGGGTGATACTAACCTTGGGAAAAAAGAAAAAGAAAGAGAGATTCGGCGAGAGGAGGACGAGGTTTATGTATGGCCAAGACAGCGATGCAAACAAACATCCTTCCTCTTTGCCATTGTCGGCGGATGCTCATGTGAGCATGTTGTTGACAAACAGGTCAGGAGGACGGGTGATCCAAAGAGCCAGGCCTCATGGCGGTGGCGGTGGCGGTGGAGTGTACCGAAAGCATAGCGGACGCGGCGACGATATCGGAAGGGCGGACGAACACTTCGATAGGACGAGAAGGCTAGGGAACGTGAGGACCGCCGTGTTGATCCCGGAAGGCTTGATCATCTGAGTACCGCAGAAGATATGGTTATGGGATGCTCTGGCAACAACAATGTCTGATGACTCTGGTCGAGGCTGCGATGTCAATCAGGGACCGCGACCAAACTCAAGTGCACGGTTGTGGAGCCAAGTACACATTGTGGCAATCAATACAAGCCTTGTCAGGAGAGCGTATTGAGAGTGCAAGAGGAATCGTCTGGTTCGCATACATGCGTTCGAGGGCTTTCGAAGGGAGAAGCGACGGCGAGGAGGAAGAAGTTGTATGACTGGACACGAAATCGTGAAGGAAGAAAGCGTAGGAAGGCTTCTTTGCCACGATGGATGGTCATGCGGATGCGAGCTTCGGCGCAGGCCAGATTCCCAATGGGTTGCCAATGAGGACCAGTACCGTCAGGCACCTAGTCAGACATCGGAGGGGCAAATGTAAACAAGACGCTGGTCAGACGGCCAAGTCGTCAAAAAAGTGAGCAGGAGAGCATGACGACAGAACAAGAACAGAGGAAAGAGGATCGAGCACAGAGAATAGAGAATAGATGATAGAGTGTGAGATGATTGAATTGGCTGCAACCAGCAGCTGGTGAAATATTCTTTCGGGTCAAAAGAGTTCAGATACATTTGGGAAATAATGAAGAGAACGAAAAAGTGCAGGAACAGACGCAATGCCTTCGGATAATCTGATCTTAGGCGTTTTTTTCCCCTAAGGGCCAGGAAATGCATCAGCTCACACACTCACCAGGACATCTCACAATCAGACTTGTGGCATCACTTAGATCGCAAGATCGCAAGTTCAAAGGTGATATGAAGTTGAAAATTGAAATTGATATAGAGTTGCAACACAAGATCTGTCAAGGCTGTCTATCTCCATGTGTTTTATTAGTCAGCATTTCTTGGACTGGAATCTGAAACCAGTGAACAAGCTCTGCAGTGTCTCTTGTCGAAGAGTCAGTGTGATACAGGCATACTCTATATCATCTTGGTTATTGCTATTGCTCTCCTGAAGCCCAAAGTCTGCAATGCACTCCGCACAGTCCCATGCTACATTGAAAACGAAGGGTGATTCCTTGAGCCTCTCAACCAGGCTTAATCCAATGCTGTCCGATGCTTTGCGCTGCATACATATACGTTCGTTCACAGGTCGTCTCAGATGAAAGCAGGACTTCCCCCATGCACACTTTGGCCATCCTCGCTGGTACTTTTTGAAATCTTCCGGCTTTTCAAGAAGTTGCTGACCATCCTCTTACTGCCGAACATGCCCAATACCTTGGAAGCACTACGGCCCACAGGCAGCGTTCCCCATTGCAGGTCAGTCGCTTTCACTGCGCTTGAGTCATGCTGACTCGGCAAAAGCAACCCTTCAGAGACTTCCGCTACAGGCCGGGCGACGCTGAGACGAGGATCTCCCATGGTGTCAGGGTGGCCCGGCGTCCTCTTCCCCAGATAAGTGCTGTCAAATGGGCGGTTATGAGGAGGGACCTCCATGTTGAAGGGCCGACTGAGCCGGGCGACCAGCTGGTCCTTCACCTTTTCACATGGGCTGTCCTCGAAACGGCTTGGAGTTGTCGAAATCGATTTTGGAGCGCTCTGAGGCGTCGAGTATGGTCCTCTCTGAGAATTGAAAGCCATCTTACTGGCTCTTTTCCTCAGCCGCCCAGTTGTATTTCCGGCGCGAAATTGTAACTGTGGCCGTCCAGGAGTAGACACAGGCGGGGAATCATTCTCTTCAGTTGGTATGTTTTCCTTGTCTGCACGGTCTTTCCGGATTGAAATGTGACTCTTCTTCTCCTTTAGCAATTTGCCGAGATTGCTTGGGCTTAACTTCCTCAAACTGCTGTTGGCCCTACTGTCATCGTTGGCCTTGTTGGAGATACTGCTAAGTGCATTTGCCCCAGAGTCTTCTATAAAGACCTTACGGCTTTTCCGGACACTGATCGTGCTTTTTGCCTTAGGAGTGTTGCTGCTGGGCACTGTCCTCAAACCCAACAGAGGGCAGTGATCGTTGTTTGTGGCAGTAGCCGAATTGGACGAGAGCCGGCGACCGTTATGCTGAACAGGTTTGATCTCGTGTTCCGAGTCGATCTGTGCCTGCTCCCGCGTGTGGCTGCATGTTTGATTTGCTTCTCCCAACGTCATTGCATTCAGTGTTTCTGACCAAGGATTCCATTCCGGAACCTGGGCCTTTCCTACACCTGGGTGGATCGTGCCGTCCGAGAGGGAGCGTGCACCTTCCACAGGGAAAATTGTCGCCATCCCAGCACGTTCCGGGTAACTCATATTGCCAAGGTCGTCCGAACTCCCAATTGGTGAAATGTATTGTTCGTTGATACCGCCATTGGTTGTTCGCGAGTAAATACTTTCGCTGCTGAAGCCAAAGCGAGGACGATTCATCATAGAACTCGTCGCTTTAGATTTCACGATGACGCTGCTGCTGTCCGTTTCCGATCTATTGGTCCAATTGGTGCTGGATCCGTGGAATCGTTTCTCTCTAAGCAACTTCTTGAATGGACTCGGAGCACCAGGATTCTTCTCCAGGGAGAAAGGGAAAAAACTTGACTGTGATTCCTGCATGGCCAATCGATCCCTTCGTTTTTCGACATGGTGTTCATCTTCGCCGGAGTTCGTTGCATTCTCCGTTTCACGCCGTGAATACGATGTAAGACTGAATTCTCTGTGCTGATCATCCGGCGCCAGGCTAACGCGGTCAGCCAGAGACGGGTCGCTACGCACCGCCCGAATTGTCGGTCTGTCAAAGTTGATCGTGGGCTTTGTACTGGTCTCGTTGATCGCTTCCAGTGCGACTCTGGTCCTTTCCATCTCATCTTCTTCTTGGCTAATGCGTTTGATCAAAGCTGAATACACACGCTGGCTGTCCACCGGAGGCAGAACACGGCCGTCATTCGACACGGATTGCAACGGCTCTCTGAAGACCTCCACGCCCCCAATGTGCCGGCCTGCTGAGGAAGAAGGCTGGTGAGGGCCACCGTCCTCCTTGATGACCGATAATCTGTTCCGGTCAATTGGCCCAGATCGCAGCCCGATGGAGCCGGTCATGGTGGAGTCCGTCCAGCTCGTTACACGGGAGCGAGCATTCGAATGAAGTGATTCTCGGCTTGCGACTGAATGTAGGGTTTCTGAAAACTTGTCAAGGTCTTCCACCGCATCATATTCTGAACTCAATGGGAGGTACACGCTGGGCGGCACGGTTTGTGTTGCATCTGATACAACATAGGAGTCGAAGCCGCTCGGTTGGCCAGTATTATCTTCCAAGTCCAAGTAATGGCTTCTTCGAGCCTCGAGCTGCTGCGGCGGGATAGTGTCCTTAGTTGTGGTGGACTTACCCAATACCTTCCGAAATCGTTTGCGGAGAGAAGCTGAGAATGACCTTTTGGTTGAACACCTATCTGGGGATCGAGGTAGACTACCAGATCCGGCCGGTGAACCTTCCAGCTTCTGAGACTGATCAGGCTTGTTTGTCGTAGCTCCGAGTTTGTGATATATCTTCAACTTCATCTTGATCGGCGTCGATTCCCTCTCTTGCAGCCTTTGGTGCTCCAATTCATCAAGGAATTGAGCTCGTGCCATTTGTACCGCCTCTTCACGACCACCCCATTCACGCTCAGCCTCTGTGCGCATCGTGAGCGTGCTCTTGGGACGTAGGAACGTTAGAGACCGCTTGAGACGAATGCGAAGGTTGTTTGTCGGAAGAACCGCTGAACTTGTGACGCTTCGAAGTGTTCGCGCCGTGGCCCGAGGACTTGACCATGAGCTGTGTTGACTTCTTTCCCAATGCGTACCTGGCGAGAACAAAGATTTCGCTTTTCGCAATTTTCTGTATGAGGAAGGCAAAGCCCCATATGTCTCCGTTGTCGATTCATCGGAAGGATCTCGAGCTTTTCCGGGTCCAGTGTTTCGGCCACGGCGATCAAGCGGTCCAGGTATTCGGGTTGGAGTCGAGCTACGCAAAGTTTTGTTCAGCAAGCCATGGCCTGGTTTGTACCGTCGCGTTGTTCGGACCCAGGAGGCAGGGTTGCGTGGCTGCGGACCTGAAGGGTTGCCTCGTTTTTGCCTGGCACTGCTATCAGAACGATCGAGTTCCGATGACGACTGCAAGCTGGCTCGAGTCATGGCTCGTTCGGCAGCTATGGTGGCACCATTGTCAAGTCTGGCGAGGTGTCTCCTCCTTTGTTCACTCCACGTATCGGAATCTGAGGTTACGTGATTGTAGATGGATTTCGCCTGGTCATCCCATCGCTTCAGTTGGTCTTCGTCGAAATCGATGGTAGGTTTGACAGGCTTGCCACCTCGGCGATAGTATCCAGAATCCCAGGCTTCCTTCCAGACTTTGTAATAGTGAGCCCGACTGTCGTCCCAAAGGACCGTTTGTCTTTCTGCGGCCTGGTTACCCATACTGAAAATATCCAAAAGTTGAACTGCTCAGACGGACAATACCATACTGATCAAAACAATTGCAAAAGAGTTCGTCGAGAGAGGGGAAGTCGAATGGCATAGAAAGTAAGATTGCAGCGTGGCCATCAGAATAGGAAGCTGCTAGCAAGGTCACAGCAGCATCGCCATGTATGTAATGACGACCAGCCTTCGACAGCCATAGGCAGCCACACCATGTCCTGAAAGTCGTTTGTACCTTCCTCGCAGCAACTTTCGATACAGCATGACCTCTCCGCTCTCTGTACCACGGCGATATCCAAGACGTATTGTAGCATAGAGAGGTCTCCTAAGCCCTTCCAATCCTTTGATAATCAAGGACGCTGACCCGAACATCTGTCGGAAAGCGAAGACCGCGGGAACCGTCCGACGAAGGGTTGATGGAGCGTTCCGACAACATCAAAACGTCCTATCCCCGCTATCCGTTCGCATAGCTGCAAAGAAGCCGAGAGGAAAGCCCGCTCTTGCGCTTGATCCACCTTCTGAGCACGCATATGGAGAAGAATGGATTTCATGGGCAGAATGGGGGGACTATTCGTAACAAGAGCAGCTGGGCTGGGAGCTAGCTGAATTGGCGCAGACAAGTTTGGTGACGAGCACCAAAAGCTGGCGACAAAGAGGAGCAGAGCAGCCCTTTTCCCCTTCCCCTTGCAAGATTAAGTCGGCAGCTGGCCTGGGCTCGCGTTCTGAGCTGAGTATGAATGCAGTCGCCGGGCCAGAATTTGGATATGCTCAGGAGAAACACAATAAACGTTCGATGGCCGCCACGAGCACTTCATGGACGATTGATACACAATCCAGTTAACCATTGTGGGCTCAAATGCCACACAGGCAAGACTGGGGATAGTATACCAGGAAGGAGACGCAGTTCTTACGAAGACGGTGTCAGGCAAATATGATGGGTTCCTCGATGACTCCGGCAATGGTCAAAATCGTTGCCGCAGTTTGCGGTCGACCGCTCCATAGTACAAGCTCCAGCTCAGAAGAGGAAGCTTACCTTGGCCTTAGCACGCCGAGAACGCTTGCTAACATCAGAAAGCAGTAGTAAACGCGTGATGGCGGACCTATTCTACCGATGGTCATCAAAGAGCTCGCCATCGCTGTATGTGTGTCTTCTCCTGGTCCGATTGGCAATCATTGTCAAACCTGGACTGAAGGGGGTGTCAGGGCCGGGCGGCTCCTTTCCAAGAGATAATCAGACTCGAGGAAAAAGAGAGCCAGCATGACCACACAGCAACAACATGCAGAAAGAGAAGTATCTCCAGATCCGAATGTTGACCAGGAAGGGGATCCCATGTTTGCAATCGCATCTCAACACATTATTTTCCATGGACAGCATGCCAATTTAGCCTGAACAGACGCAGGACTTCAAAGTCTGTCGAATATTCTGACGAGGATATGACTTTGCGCAGTTTGCAGTTGAAGGCGAGTCTGGTACAGGCTTGTGGGGTTAAGCAGTTGGTGATGAGATGAATTCGCGATGCGTCCGGTGTGGTGGGGGACAGCAGTGGGAAGAAAGATGTCAGGAGATTGACGGGGAAGATGCCAATGGATGTCCAGTGGATGTTGAAGGAGATGCCACCCAGATGCTGTGGTTGGCGACAGAGACGACGAGATCGAAGATCAGATTTGCAGTTGCAGGGATGGATCACGTGGAAGAGAAGACAACACGGAAACATGCGGCAAATTGGTCAGGCTCACCAGGCTCATGATCACCCGCAATTGCAAGGAACTAACTAACATAGTACCACAGTACGCCATAAATGCCAATGCCCAGCTTGCACTGCATGTTTCACCATCGCGCTGCTTCCCGGTGGTCAGTGCTGGACTGCGGTAACAAGACCACAGCAGGTGTTTCAGAGCTCCGCCGGCGTTCAAGATGTCGTGCGCGCTCGTTTGATCGACGATTGCCGGGTCATTGCGCGTTGCCTGGACGTCAAGAAATTTTGACCGACAAGTTACTGTTCATTATTTCAAGGGCAACCAAGCAAAAGTGACAGCTTCTAGTACCCACATTGTAGGTACCTTCAAAGAGGAGGGGAGGCAGCTCCCGCAATGTATACCCGGTCCGGCATACCAAGGCCAGCAGGAGGAGCAGAAGGATCGCTGATGGCTCACCCGTTTTCAGGCGGTCAGGCACGCGCACTGTCTGGCCTTAAGTTGAAGTTGCGCTTCCCAAAGGACAACAGTAGCTCGGAAGGCAGAGAAGCGACTAGAAATAGATTGTTCAACTGGGTTTCTCGTTTCCTCTTCAAATCAGCACTTGATAGAGCATGATTCGTCGTAGTATTATCTAGAAACGCCTGATTCCTACACTGCGCCGGGGCAATGCATGTGATAGTAGTACACCAGAAGTCCTTTGTTCTTCTTGGTAGCCAACCCTGTTTGTTACTGAGTCTTCCCGGACAAGTCTTGATGACTGAAGTTACTTTTTGGCCAGAAGATGTATTCAAAATGACCAGATCCCACTCCAAACTCTTCCTCGGGAAATAGCTGCAAGAAAGTGCCGTCACGTGTGGTCCTTATTTTTTTCAGAACCATAGTCAAATAAAAATCGCCGTTGCACAGAAGGAAATTCCCTTCTCCAATCATTCGACGTTGAAATCACATGCATCATGCATGCACGCCGGGTGTTGTTCCAATTGTGGGGAAGTGTGAGATATCTTGTTCGGAAGGGAATGCCAGTGGTCAAAATTCCCGATGAGACCGCACGAGTACACCCAAACGCCGTCGCTGAACCCCAACAAGATGCAATGAGAAATGATACAATTTGATGCGGTGACGCCAATCCGCAGAACAAGCGCCGGTGGAACAAAAGGGGGAATAAATAAGATGCAGTGGTGCCAATCAGAAATATCGTAGGTCATCAAGAGTCATGTGCGGTCGTGCTGTTGGGCGTCTTCGTTGGACCAACAGTCATGGGGAATCCAACGATTCCCGGCAGAGAGGAGGAGATGGCAGATGGTCGGTGAGAGATGAGTGGTGAAGAATGGTGGTGCTATCTCGTCTCATCTGCAGGGTACAGCGGCATCGTGACATCAGTCTCAAATGACGTAGTCAACACCCCTGACCGAAAGTTGGGGGGTTGCGAGAGCAGTGAGCGAAAGGGTCTGTTGTTGCTAGGTCGGTTGCGGAAGTTGTACATCTGAAAGGGATTTGTTAGTCTCGAATATCGAATAGATCAATGATGGTGATGGTGATGAATGGGAAAGGTACGTACTCTGCATTCCGCACACTTTCCGCCAGCTTGATCACATCGGCCACGGCAACCACGAGGCTGGTTTGAGCAGGAGAACATGATGAACGGATTGTGTGGAGAGTGGATGACGGTCGCCTGGTTCGGGACAGGGTGATCGGGTCGTTCCCAGTGGTAAGGGTGGAAGAAGGTGAGAAGAGGTGATCTGCTGTGGTGGATATCTTATATTGGTCAAGTGCTTGTGCGAGGCCTGAACGATGTTGGGTGGTCAGGCGTAACTGCGCCGAGTAGTATAAAAGCAGTGTGTTTGTGGTCGGGTTCACTGTTGTACAAGTGTGTTGTTGGGAAGCTTAACTATGTTGACACGAGAAGGAAAGGGAGATGAAACGAAAGGGGACGGGGAGGATGGTGAAATATACAAATGCGGTTCTTGTGGTAGAGTGGAAGCCTGGGAAAAGGTAGTATTAGCTATTCGACGGCGTGATCGTAATTCTGGCTATGGATCGTATGGCATTTGAAGCCGATGTTCTGTTCAAAGTTTAACGGTCAGACAGCCTGCTAGCCCCCCTGTCACTGCCCTCAATCCCCCTGCAATTCTTAATCCCTTGGGTCTCTCGAGTCCCCACCAGCTAGGGACCATCATGCCCAGAGGTCGCAAGACAGGGGATCATTGGGGGTTTCGGCACAGGACAAAGGGCTGGTGTAGGCTGAGTAGCCGGCCTGAAAGCCTCATACCCTGCATGCTCGTGGGCCCGATGCCGCACCAGTGTACAGGGCAAAATCATTTAGCCTGTCGCGGAATAATATTCGCGCTCATTCCTTTGTTTTCTTTTCTACCACCCACCTTCTGCTGCAACGTTCAACACCCATGCATGCATCTCCCTCAGCCCGGCATCTTACGTGTCTACTGTGACAGTACTTTCTAAGGCATGGTTGATGCTGCTTGCTGCCCTCATCCTCGTCAGCCCCGGATTGTGCCGGCGTGGACGTATGATTACCTGCATGGACACCATGATCCTTAGGTACTAAGTCGTCGCAAGGCTCCCACTTCTCGCATCTGCCTTCCTCCGTTCTCCGACCCTGGCTGCCTACGGAAGCCCCGGCGTTTTCCCTTGCCCTTCGTTATGCAAACATCAGCCACTTCATCCGCGCCATGCCTCTCGTCTCAAATAATACAACTTCCGCATACGCGCAAGAGGCCTTAGATGGATACTCTGGGCTCTTTTTCCACGTTTACTCTTGGAAATCCTCAGACCACCAACATGAAATGGGCTCAAATTGTCTCATCATGTTCTGACCTTGCAGCAGGCTGCCGCAAACCACACATTCCCGACAGGACCACCTTGCGTCTGTTTCTCGGGGAACAGTTTCTTAAGGACAGAAACTATCAGATGCACCATTAGGCATCCAATGAAACGGGCGCTGCAACTTGGCTGATGGGCGTCCGGTCCAGACCTGTCGACCTCGAGTCTAGACCGTTCCGCCCACGAAAGTCCCTTGCGCAGCTGCCCGAGGCAATTCGTGGCACTGTGCAATGCTTCGCGTTCAAGCTGACTCGTTTCGGCACGGTAACTTCAGCAGAAGCTGTACTTGCGCACAGGACGGGCAATTTGGGACTCGTGAGCTCAAGAATTACTAATCCGACCATGCGTCCGCCTGCTCGCTGCGCGAGGCTTGCTGACGGGCGTTTATCCGGTACGTTATGCAGCGGAATATCCATCTTCCAAGCGATGATAGCAAACCATTGCTACCGGATCAACTACCCTAATGGTATGGGCTATATTTAGAACGTGACTGAGACGCCTGGCGATCTTTGCGTTCACAATCATGGATGCGTTTGCTACCCTCGTGCCATACAAGGCTGATAGATATTGACGAACTTCCAACGCGCCCAGTCAGACAGCTTCATGCTTCCAGCGACGGCGTTGACGATCGTTCGGCCGACGATCCCGACTAGTGCTGTACTTGATCATCATTGATCGTCAGTAGAACGTGTCCCTGAAGAACCTTTGTCTCTGAAACTAGAACATGCATGGAAGCATTCGGAAATATCGCTTAATCCTTCTCCTGATGACCAAGTCTTTCTGGATTGATACACCGACGGGAAGGTCCGTCGCGCACGCAAATACTCCGAAGAGCACGACCTCCTACAGTACACCGGCTTAACCGTCATACCAACAGTGACCTGATAATCAGCCAGCCTCCAAGCGCACCAATAACAGAAGCAGCCAGCAAGCCATTCCCTTCTCTTGTCAGGGTCAAATAAGCCAGGATTCCCACGGCTAGTTCCCTCTTTCGTGCCATTGCTCTTCGACTCTTCCATTCTGGATCAATGCTGAAAGGTGCCCTGTCAAGCTCCTCTGCCCTCGATAATGCTTTCAATGGCACTGCTGCAGCCAATGCCACCGGCCGATGATCCGACGTTCCAAACAGTGGTAGACAGGTGTATTTCTGAGGATTCACCTTGAAGCCATCTCCATTTCTGAAGAATATCCTGTCGCACCAGCTAGGCCAGCGGTGAGGTGCCCAGGCCCAATCACGATCTCCATCCAACGTCACAGCCTTGCTCTCATCGTTGCGATATTTGTATGTTGGAGGGAAGTCGATTGGTGCTTCTGTCAATTCGTGCAGAGTCTTGCCTGTCCTGATTTCCTGAGTGAGCTGGTCCTCGGCAAGCAAATGACGGAAGTGTTTCGGGTTGTTCTCGTCCTGCGTGGGTTGAGGAAATCGGTCCTGGACATCTTGAGGCGATGGACGTAGTAGAGACGTTCGATAATTCAGGTCGCCAGCAAAGAAGAGGTACGAGTCTGCTGTGTATATACCGCTTTCAGATGCATTTTGTGTAGGAGGTTGTCCTTGCAACAGTGGCGTATCTTCACTTTCTTCATCCTGGGCGACAGATTTCCGACCTTGGTCCGGCACGAACACTAGCCGTTGCACAATATTCTTGTAGTCCTCATTTCGCCGTTCCAGGCCATCCTCCATCGGGGCCAGATGAGCCGAGACAAACGTCAGTTTGATTTCATCTGAGTCGGATGGCTTGTAGCCTAATCTGACTCCGACGGCCCCTTTGTTTCCCATGTCGCTCAGGCCCAAACCGACTCCTGCCGTATGAAGCCAGGCAATGTTGTCTGCGACATCATCTCGGGCAAAGACCATCAAAGCAGTCAGACCGAGGTTTCGCGTAACGACATTGATATAGCTTTGATCTTTGGAAGCGAGCTTGACAGTGTTGCGGATAGCTGTGAAGTAAGGTGTCAGAAAAGAGCCACCGAGAAATGCATAGCTGATGGGTGCGACTTCTTGCAAACACAGAACCAATAGTGCCGGCGAATGAGAATCGGATTCTAACGCTTGGAACAGATATGGAGCGAAGGCATCAGGCTGGACAAGAGTGCGAGCGCAGTTGAAGGTCAGGAGGTAAAGGCTGAGAGCCATGGATGGAGGATTGTCGCCTTTTGGCGTGCTTTGGTCAACCTCTTGTTGGTATGGGCATTTGTCAATGAGCGACACTCGTCGACACGTTCCTCGACATCCACCGATCGATGATACAACTTCGTCGTCCCAGCTTCAGTGGTGGTAGCCTCGCCGAAGGAACAAAGGTATCTAGAATTGATTGCTGGTTGGATCATACGTCATCGACACCAGACCCTCGACGAACTCGCAATCGGCAGACTTCCTCTTTCGGGCCCATTTTGCGCTTCGTAGCCGAGCGTGGCTGAGTAATGACCTACGGCAGATCAAAATGTCTACTGATGGTAAAGCTACGTGAGCTACCTTCGAACATGTCCTCGCTTTCACTAACGCCCACAACCCGATGACCAACATCGGTATACCAAAAAATCTCAACAGCCGGCTGAAAAAAGTCCAAAACTCCAAAAACATCTGCGGGCTCTGATAGTGCCTCGAATCTAGGCGGAACTCAACTTTCAACATTCCTAGATTCATAGAGGCCCCACCCACCAGATGCCTAACCGGACCTACGTTCAATGGGGAGTCCCACGACAAACCGCTAGACCAGGGTCAAGGCGAGCTTTGCGCAGTTGAACATCTACTTCAATCGGTCCAATTCGAACAGTAATTGAGGGAGTCAGATATATAAGGTGTGCAGTTGACGTGCGGTATAATGACAATGGACGGGGGTGAAGCGAAGTCAAGTGAAGTTGAACGTGACGAGAGCCTTGCCGAGAGACCTCTGCTCTCACACCCCCTGCTTGGCATTATGAGCGGCTACAGCAACGCGCGAGCAATGCCGTTTTCTCCTGCTTCCAGAGTGCTTTGCTTGTAAGAGAACGCAACTCGATTATACCTGGTAAGTACCTTAGGTGGCCTTGCTTTGCCCTGCCTTGCGCTTCACCTACTCTCCTCCACCAAGGTACTCCCAAACCGCGGCGGCATGAACCTTCACGACACTCAAGAACTCCTCTACACTCACCCTTTCATCCACTGCGGCCGCCATTGTTTCTGGACTCACACCGTACACAAACGCCGGCACGCCATGATACCTCCAGAACTTCGCATCGGTTGCACCGAGACTCGGAATCGCTAGGGGCTTCCGTCCCGTCACATCTTCTCCCGCCCTGGCCAGCACATCAACCATCTCATGATCCATAGCACAGTAACTGCTTGGATTACTAGCCGCCTCCTGCACCGCATATTCCACCTTCATGCGCTCCTGAAATTCCCGCTCAATCACCTCGTCGATGTACCTCAGCACGACCTCCTTGCCCAACCCAATCGGCAATCTGATGTCTACCTCAAGCACACACCGGTCGGGAATCATATTGACCTTGATCCCACCGCGCATCACACCGACATTCACTGTCGGCCTCAGCACATTCTCACTCGCGCCGGAGCCCATAATCTCGTCCACCACCGCCCTCACTTCCGGCCGGCTCATATGCTCCACAATCCTCTCGTCCAACTCTGGCTTGATCTCCTCTTCGATCCGGACCAATCTGTTCACGAGTCTCGCCGCAACGCGATTTGCCCCTTCGCTCAAGTGCGTGTACGCCCCGTGAACACCTCTCGTTGTGATGGTGAACGTTATGCGCAATGTGCCCTTTTCACCGAACCGGATAGATTGCAAACCACCGGGCTCAGCATTGATCATGACATCTCCCTTCCACTTTTCGTGTTCGGGGTCGTTCTCGAGAAGCCAGCGACTGCCAAACTTCCCGCCCGTCTCTTCATCGGAGACGAGTGTCAGGGCGACGGACGAGCATGGACGTTTGAGATGGTACCGAAGGCGGTATAACTGTCCATTCTCTCGTCAGAGCCTTCTCCTGCCGCAGGGGAGAAAACCAGGATCCGAGAGGAGAGTAAAAGGGAAAGGAGAAGAACTCACATGTGAAAAAGCAATCACGCTTGCCGCCGTCCCAGCCTTCATATCCACACCCCCTCGTCCAAATATATACTTTCCATCATTGTATCCCGACCACGGCCCTCCGTGCATCCACTTGTCGTTCTGTACCTCGTCCACGGGGAAAACATCGATATGTCCATTCATTACCACCCTTTTGCCTTTCCCGCTGCCTGCTTCCCTGCTGGGTCCATCATCACCCTTACCCGTCCTGTCCGCGACTTCACCGCCGTCATCCAGACCGCAATCAAACTCAGCCACTAAATTCGGTCTCCCCTCTCCCTGTGGCGCAATGACGCGCACCGGCACACCCAGAGCGACGAGATACTCCTTGAGCACATTCGCCGCTTGGGCCGTATCACCCGGCGGGTTCGGCGAGGGTGCTTGGATGAAACTCTGCAGCAGGGCGACGTGCGAGTCGTGCTCGGCGGAAATGAGGTTGAGGAATGTTTGTTTATCCATCATTGGTGAAGACTCGGAACGATCAAGACATATATCCGATCTCTATGGGACACTGCCAAGGGCAGAGCTAGATGACAACGTAAGAGGCGACTTTCCACAAATGTCCAGTTCTTCTCTTTTCTTTTGTCTTGGAGCTCCAGGACGAGCAAGAAGCCGAGCCAATCCTCCGGGGCTGGACTCTGCTAAAGGCTGGATTTTGAGAAACTTGCTGCCGGAAAGGAACTGACCCTGCATGGGCAAGGAACATTCAACTTCCTATTTCATGGTATCTAGGTATGTGATGCGTTAGAGTCGTGCAAAGAAGCATGGAATGAAATGGTGGTCGGCTTCAATTATTTCGCCAGAGTATGATCGGCCGCTGCTGGAACGGAGAAGTCCATGAAACCGAGTAGGCATTATGAGTCAACCCGTAAGTGGATGCTACCAATGCGAAAGCCCGATAGCAGGAACAGCGATGTGTATTTTCCAGAGCCATAGTCCCATTGAGCAGCAGTTTTGCGAAGAAATACGGAACTTCGATGCTATCTAGGTAGATTCCCAACACTGTCATGCGTCATTCTTCTATCTGAGAACCCCTCCATTACCGCGCTCCCTCGACTCAGCAGAAGTAAGCCATATCCAACATCCTTCACGAAAGAAAAGAGCCCTCTCCAGCAAATCATCCAACATAAGACTTTCCCGAAAGACAGACCCAAACAAGTCCACGCTTGCTGAAATGCAGACACAAAATAGTGGGCGCTCGTGACACGTACACAGCTGATTTTATTTCATGTATATCGTAGTTTCGTTGATTCATAGTCGTAGATTTTTTTGGTCGTACCATCGAACTAGTAAAGAAAATTCGTTTCGACTGGGGCAGTCATACCCGTACGGAATATGCTCTTGTGGTCGGCGATCCCTTCAGGCCGCATGCAACCAGGCGAGCAGAACTGCCACCGCCGGCAATGATGACCCTCTGATGTAGCCTGACTCGGTATAGTGTTTTGGAAGTACCCTGAACGGTATTATTCCGGTCCTCGTTAAGTGCTCAGACTGGCCCAAGCACGGGTTAGAAGGGAGGCCGACATCTGGAATCAAGCCGAGGCTTCAGTTTAGCGACCGACATCTTTCGTCATTGCAACTCCTGACAAGCGCTTATGTAGTTGACCTGGTTTTACTCGCACGTAGGGATGTGCGCCTGGGTGTTTTGTGGAGTGAAAGCGCTCAACGTCGGACCCAACCAGGCGGTGGCGGTGGCCGTCCTCCTCTGTAAACAACCTCACGCTCGATATAGCGCTCCTCTTCTCGATCCCACTCTTGACGTAGACGGGGTGGCGGAGGTGGTTCGATCATAAGTGGACGGGTAGGCTCTTCGACCGCGACAGGAGGCAAGACTCGGTTCTCCCATTCCATCTCCTTGATGCGCTTCTTCCGGTCTTTGCGGATATCTTCCGATAGCCCTACGAGGCGAGCAACATCTTCCTATTCTAGTGTTAGCTTTCTATTATTGAGCACTCGTATCATGACCACTTACATATCGCAGATACGCAATAATATAGTAGAAATCATCAGTCTCCTCATACTCGTAGCCCATCTCCTGGATTGCTTCTTTGACAACAAGATCCTTGGTAATCTCCGTCCACAGCCCATCTCTAGGATCTGGCATTCTGCCATACCGTCGTCCAATATCTCCGTTCGATGCTGGAACCGGCGCGGGTACAGGCAACGGTGGCGGCAAGGGAGTTGGCGCTGGCAAGGGAGCAGGCCTACCAATCTCACCATATCTTTCTTCTCCCTCTGGCATGAACTTGCTTCTCCGTACTCCATTGTATCTCTGCCAGGTAATTTCCTGAGCTCCGCCACCTGCCCCATCCATACGAACACGGTTGGTTCCGGGAGGGACGTCCACAATGGCCCAATCTTTTGTCGCACCACGATATGCTTCACCGATGTAGGCGCGCTCCATGGCACGGCCATTGTAGTACTCTGCTTCCTCCTGCACATCCCGGTCGTAGTCACGATAAGCCTCACGGCGTGGAGGTGGAGCATCATAATAGTCTCTTGGTGGTTGAGGGGGAGAATAGGGAGCTACACTTCTGGCTCCCTCATTGCGATCAATCACAATATTTTCGTTCTCAGTACGGCCATTCCTTGTCTGGGTCCTGCTAATCTCAATTCGCTCCTCTGAGCGGGCACGAGGAGGTCGAGGGCCTGGAGGAGACATCGGTGGACTTGGAGGCGATGGGGGACGGGTGATCGGCCTAGGTCGCGTTGGAATTGCAACTTCGAAGCCATGGTCGATATGGCGGTGATGAGTGATGACCTCCTGATGGATGGTGGGAGCATTGATTGTTTGTGGCTCAGGTGGTGCAGGCGGTAGTGCCGACACCACTGAAGCAGTGGGGGATCTCGAGCGAGAGTTCTTGCGGATGATGATCTCTTGCCGCTCACGGTTGCGGCCTTCCCGTTCCTCCTGCCGAATGATGATTTCCTGGTTGGAGCCAGAGCTACTGGAGCGTCGTGCCCGAGACCTGGCTCGCTCACGTGATTTGGGACGAGTCAAGGCGTAATCGTCGTATCTACCAGGATCCAGAGTCTGCTCGGAACGTCGGATAATGATCTCGTCTCGATCAGCTTCTCTTGCTGGCCGCCTTCCATAGTCACCCCGTCTGGAAATTGTGTCGTCGAAGTCCACATCATACCGAGACCGATGGTCATCTTCATCTCGGTGAATGATGATTTCTTCTCTGGAATCTCTCGGCGGACCAGGCCGCACGTCTCGGTCTCTGTCCTCTCTTCGAATGACAATCTCCTCCCGTTCGCGCTCACGAGGGGCAGGTGGAGGCGGCGGTGGCCTCCGATCCACGTCTCTCTCGTCTCGACGGATAATGATCTCTTCTCGATCGACCTCCCGTTCTCTTTCTCTTATGCGAGGTGGTGGCCTCGACTCTGATTCTGCTCGTTCTCTAATGATGATCTGCTCCTTCTCGACTTTTCTTTCTGGCTCAGGAGAGGGAGATCGTCGGCGAGGTCGAGGGATGTAATCAAACTCTTCCCGTTCGCGTGCTCGTAGCACCACTGGGCCAGCAGTGGTTCGGCCGTAGTCTTCTCTTAAGAACGCAGGAGTAGATCCTGGACGGTCTCGGACCTCATCTCGAACAAGCACCTCTCGTACTTCTCGTTGACTTTCACGCTCACGGACGGGTGCAGAACGACGATAGTCCGATTCTTCATCCACATAACGATCTTCGTAGACCCGGCGACTGCCTCTGGAAGCGTAGTCTCGGCGGTCTTCGTATCGATCAATAGACACATCGTCGACGTAACGACGGTTTGCCATGGCAAGGACACTCTTTAGCCGGTCACAAGTGGTTGGAGAGGAGGACTGCAAAGCGGTGGCAGCTTAAATATGGATGGACGGGATTGGATTCGTTGGGAAAAGAGACCAATGAGGCCTGCTGACACAGAGACAGAACTGGCTAAATGCAAGACGAAAACAGCAAGAGCAGAAAAGAGACCTGCAGGATGACGGTAAGAAGTAGACGTGGTAGTAGAAGAAGAAGAGGGTGTTGAAATGAGGTGAGCGAAAGCAAGCATGCGCCGGCGGTTTGAGTTGGGCATTTGGGTAGCAATAGCAAACCTGAACTTGGCGTACAGACATGAACAAGCCCACGTCACTTTGCAGCACGCCACTAGCTAGCACACCAGTCCAGTCCACCACGACGCAGAGAACAATGGATTTGAAAGACATAAGAGCATTCGATGCCCATTACTGATGCGAGAAGATGCTGCCCTACACAGCCATCACGGTGAGCCAAGAGTGCTCTCTCTGTGGAATCGACGCCTTTGGGTGGGCGGGAGCAAGGTTCGGAGGGGTTTAAGATAAACGACAAGCCTAAACCATGTGATTCCGCTCGCTCCAGGCAACTCTGACGGCTCCAGCCGACGCCCGAGACGCCTAGTGACCCCCAACTTTGCCGGGAGATGCCAGGCGTCTTCGCGCAGAGGATCCAGTGTCAAGCATGTCACATCACTGCCTCCAGCCTTATTGTCCACTGCCACCTTTTTTGGGCGCCAACTCGACAGCAAATCATTATCCTCATCAAAGGGTGGGCGAGCAAACTTCTGTCTTTGTCTATAATAGCTCTGCATCTTCGGTCTCATTCAAAACCGTCGAGACCACCTCATACGCTACCGAGCCCTGTACAGTTGTGACTCAGTCAATGTTCATTATGTCATTTCCTTCAGTGACAGTGGCCATTCCGGCGACTCCCATTGCCATGAGTCTCCTGTACTGCACCAAGATCGCCTGTTTTCCTTGTATATCGAACGCCATGTCCGTGCTGAAGACAAAATCCTGCCAGCACATCCTGTGGCAATGCACCCCTCCCTTGTCGTATGCTAAATGTACAATTTTCTGGCAGGATGCGTCTCCTATGCCAGATGGAAAATGCGGATATCTCAATTGTTGCTGTTCAGAAAGAAAGGACGTCTCATCATAAGATCATTCCATTGAAGCGGGAAAGTTTTGTTCCACGCTTGATTCGGTTTTGAGACTCAAGATAGTCGACAACCCAAGTACTGGCGACTCTCTCTTGTTTTAGTCGTGTTCGACTGTCTCGGTGCGAGGGTTTCTATGCTTCGCGATTTCTCGAGCACGATTAAGCATTAGCGAAGTTTCAATTTCGACTCGGTATAACTGTTCATGGATCTGGATTGGCCACCTGGAGCACGAGTCAGCGACGTTCACATGCAAAGAAGCACACCATCATACCCGTAATTGCCTTGAGTAGTCCTGGTTATCCTGGAGTGAGACATTGCTCACATGGCCCTCGTCGTGAATGTACAGGGCGTATGGATTCAATCTCTGGTCAGTAGCCAGACTTCGTCGATCAAACCCTGCAGATCCCGTATCCGCACTTCTGGGATCACTGCCGTTCGTCATACCGGCAGTGTTGATGCGAGGGACCTTATTCCCAAGCAACCCTGAAGACGACAACTGACTAACTTGTCGGGATGGAATATTGTTCGAAGGAGAGGTATCGCCGGTGCGAGGAATAAAGGATGTCTCAGGTCGGCCATCCGTGCTCTGTCTCCTTTGCCGCCGGCGCACCCATATGTATACTGCTGCACCTATCAGGGCACCGGCCCCCAATGCCGAGCCGACAACAATGCCGGCCACCTTTCCGGCACTAACACCGCCGCCGCCACCAGTAGCAGATTGGCCCAAAGTGGCATCTGAAGAGGCCGCAGGGGTGGGAGTTACCAGTATCGTTCGCACTTCGCCGGTGACGGTAGTGACACTGGTGTAGACTTCGCTGGGGGTGGGATTTGGGGCCAGAGTCGGGCTGGTAGTTGGAGTATCGGATGATGTGGTCGGAGGGATGTAGGTCGAAGACGATGTGTCAGATGGAGTCTGGACGATTGTTAGCAGAACAGTCTTGTTGAGCTCAAGAACGAAGAACAGAAGGGAGACCAGTCTCAGGTAACAAGATGGGGGATATAAAAGACGGGTCAATCATACAGGGGAGCTCGTTGAGCTTGACGAGATCGTCAAGGCAGCGCTTGATGTGGTATAAGTCACAGAGCTAGCCTCGTCGGAACTCTGAGAGGATCCCACGGTTACCACTGGAGAAAAGGATGAAGATGAAGAAGGAAGGAAAGTAGTTTCCGGAGCATCAGACGTGGAAGTGGAGGATGATCCGGAGTCAAATTGGGAGGTACTAACCGACGGAGAGGAGGTTGTGGATGGTGTGCTGCTGCCAGAACTTCCAGAGGTGCCGAGAGGGACTCCTGGACTCAAGAGGTAGTATCCATATAGGCCAGCGTCCGTGGAGCCACACCATTCCGAACCAAACCCTGGACATTGTTGATTGCAGTCGTATGTGCTTTCCTGGTCAGCAGGGACATAATTTGAACACCAGCAATTGTAGCCCTGGATGACGGCAAAGGCGTAGGATCCTTGACAGTGACCCTGGCATAACCCATTCGACATGTACAGGCTATAGTCTGTTTCCTTGTCAATGACCGAGCAATGGTGGGGGTTTGTGACAAAACTCACAGCTAGGGTACGAGCCTGCATTGTTCTCCGGTGAGCAGTAGGAGATGGCTAGGCCATGTGTCCGTGTTAGTAGCGACGCTATTGAAATGGCCCAGAGGAAGAATATGACCTGATGAGAATCAGGTCGACTTCTGGCGAGCATCTTTTTTCGTGGTTGAGCCTGTGGCAATAGTTCTTCCAACCGTTATTTCCTCATTGGATGTTCTTCTGTTCTGCCAGCATGTGAAGAAGGGATGAGACCGAGTAGCGACGACAGAGGTCCGTTCGAAAGGTTTTATTGCATCGAGGCTTGGGTCAGGGTGTTTTGGGAGAAAGAACTGCGGCGAGTGAATCTCTCGTGACGGCAGCCGACTCAGTGAAGAGGCAGGTGATGTAGGATGTCGTAATTTTCGCAGCTCCAGTTCAAAGGCGAGGAGGGGGGATCGGTTCAGATGGACTGCAAAGGCGAGGTGAATGCAGTCGCGACGGTCCACACAGTACACGAGTAGTATCGCGGGTGGTGGGAGGTTGTGGGACAGAATTAAAAGGTGCTCAGCTGTTAAGAGTCTCTATCTGGTCATAAGTCGGGTTATGGGTACAGGTCTGCAAATATTGCCGCTGGTGGTGCCGTAGGTCAAGCTGTCGAAAGGAAGGAAAGCTTGAAGGTGGCCGCAGTGGTGATGTTGCCGGCGTACACAGCGGAGGAAGGAGGAGAGGGTGGAAAAAGACGGCTTTGACAAGAAAAGACAAGAGCGGGTTAATACGAGCGATGCTACTACCGACTAGTGGACTCGGGTAACGATGGACCAGGGTGCCAGGGTGCAGGGTATCATGGCGAAATCCACGTTGGGGGGATCAACGATCAACAAGTTCCGTGGAACGACAAAACCAGGCAACGACTAGGCACTCGGGACGCACCCAGGGACGGGAGATTTATGTCGGTTTCTGCCTATAAGAAGGAAACAGTTGCTACAGCTTTTGCGCGCGCGAAAAAAAGCAGAGCGTCAGTACATTAGGCATGGCATTGTGTAGAGAGACCATTGCCAATCAATGCATGGCCTCCGGTAAGGTAGGTACCTGTACTGTACAGCTGCTGGCGGAAGCCACGGGCGCCTCTATTGACTGGCTGCAGCAACTCTAAACTCCTCCAGAGTCAAGTGTATGATGACGGGCCATGGACGATTGCATGTCACTCTGTAAATCCACTTGGGTGGTGACAGACTCCCCAATTTGACTGGCTCCCCAGGTGTTGCAGTGCCTGTCATTGTCAATCCCGCACCTGGTTTGTGCTTGTGCCTTGCACCAGAACTTGGGCCGGGACAAAACACCAAGCAGAAAATACTGTAAAGCACTCGCGTCATTCCATCCTGACACCCACCTGCCGAGCTGCCTCGCCACTGCTTGAAAATGCTGTACCCAGCTCGCCAGGTATCCATCCATCGTCTTTTCAATTCAAGTCTCGACTCGATCTACTATGTACCATGACTGGCTGGATGCTGGCGGAAAAGCCATCCTCTTTGGCGTTTCGGAGCCCGTCGATTTTTGACTGCTGAAGCTCCCACAACATCGCCGTCGTCGCCAGCGTCAAGGCCCGCTTGTTGGTCGAAGCGAGGTATCTAAAAGATTATGGAGTACGGATACTCGTACCAACATCTCTCATGATGCATTGATTCTGCAGTGACTTGCTTGAACCGACAAATGGTATATTTTCTGCTACCACCACCTCTCTCGGATTTCCCCCTGCAAGCTGCAAGGCTCGTCGATCTTCTTATTCAACAGAAATGTCAAGAAAAGACACTCCGTCCTTCCGACTGCCTAGACTGCAAGTTGACATATCGGAGATTCAAGCGTCATTACTCGCGGCCTGTGCACAACTGTGTGGTGACTGTGGTCCACACTGTCCGTGCGTCGAACCTTTCTTTCCTGCCGAGGGTCTTCAGTGTCCACATTCTAGAGCTCCAGATATCCTTGAATTTTGCAACGCTCGTCAACTATGGGATTTCCCTCATGCTGTTACGAGATACCTACTCCGTACGGAGGGACGGTCATGTTATCGTCGGCCTGAAAACTTTGCGACGGTGCACATGCGTCATGCATTGATTTTCGGTGTGGCGCATGCAGTATCACAAGCTAGTGCGTACTCGCTTCAAGAAAGGCTCCCTGCCTACGGAGTTCTGTTGTCGAGCTGGCAATCTCGCTGTTATCAAATCCAACAACCCTCCAAATCTCGTCTTGTGATTACTTGTATTTGAAGACGGTTTTCTCTTCGGCACCTCACCGCCTGATTCAGGGTCTCCTTTTGTCACACAGCATCACAATGGGATACCAGGTATGGGTTGGTCAAGCTCTTTCACCGTTTACTTCGGACCCACGTGTTTGCCTAGGTGCTCGGGAGTCGGGACAAAGGTCAGAGTTCAATCCCTTGTACGTAGAACCTCGATGCTCTCTTTTAGCCCAGTGGCGAGCTTCTCCCTTCCTCAGTGACTTGTCTGTTTATTACTGGGTATGTTTCTGAGCCCGCATTTGAAGGTGGTCACTTTCTCGGATGAAAAAGAGAGGCAAGCAGCAAATGGCGCCTTCAGATCAGCGCACATCTGCTGAAAAGTGCGGGGAAAGCTGTCCATCTCCCGCTGCGTTTCTGCAAGCTGCACCTGCAATCCTCGCAGATAAGGAGCGGGAAGGGTGGCAGGAAGGGTGGCAGGTCAGTACCAACACTTAGCAGGTATCTTCCAGTCTCCTCCTTGTGATTGGGTAGGAATACTTAACCACATCCCCAACAGCTCCCGCAGTCTGCAATGCACATGCAACGGATTTGGCACCTTGCTGTAGACGGTGGTAGACCGCAAAAAATCAAGGTTTCACCCACACCATGCAAGGTAGCGAGATGGTGCATTTGACGTGCATGCATAAGTGTATGCGTCTCACAGGCCCTATGCGCTGCTTTGTCAGAATCAAAACAACTACTCCGTAAGTGATTGGCCTTGACCAAATCTAGACTCGTTGTCCGCGGCTATGATTGCACTGCAGATACCAGCCTTCAGGATTCAGGATTCTTTCTCTGCATGAGATATCTTTGCCACAGACGTTGGTGCTTTGAGGGACAACAGCAAGATACGAGCTGTGGGCACATACAGAGTATTCATTGAGGGGGTATGTGGCCACTGTCTGTAAAAGGCAAGATCCAATTTCGCGCTCAGCCGTTGTCCCGTGAAAGAGAGCTCATGCCCTCTGAAGGAAGAGGCTTGCTCTAATTATGGTGGTCATGGTGATTTGAAGAACCTTATCGATGTTCGTGCTTTCAAGGGCTATATTTTCGAGGCTTAGGGGCGTGGAAACTCGTTTCCTGCACAAGTCAGCCTTGGAGAGATGAGCACGGAGTCCTCTAGTCATGTGCGGATTCTTCGAAGTAGAGCATCGATGGGGCCCTTATTCAAAAGTGAACACTCGCAGGCACCCAGCAGGTCCCATTTTCAAGAAGCGGCAAATCACAGCACCACTCTATACGTTCCAAAAAGAAGCCAATAGCTTTCTCGTCCACGGTCGTCTTGGATTCGGGTTATACCACAAATGTCAAATCCATCCCGTCATTTCACCGTTGAGGTGGCTCATTTCCACGTCGGTAATTTTTGACATGTTTCATCCCCCTGGTGAAGGGAGATGGATGTTTCAACGCGCAGCACAAGCTCAATCTTGGGGAAACGAAGTTGTTGAAGATCTTGCGCCGTGATATTTGTTTGATCGTCCCACAAGCCACATCATTCATCACGTGAATATCAGGGTCGAACCAACCAAGGCTGCAGCTTGGCCTTTTGTGCGAAATTGCAGTCTCATCCTCTGATCTCGTGCTTCTCCATCCTTCTGCATACCACCCGTTACGGAGAGCGCTAGGGAGTACGGAGTATCGACTCAGCGCCTGCACCAATGGCGACTTTCAGGTACTGTAAACAATGACTGGAGTCGCTTAGGGAGCATCGAGTTCACAAGATGTTCGTTTCTTCTGCTAGACCGGAGGAGAAAGGAGTGACCCCGCCCCTGTACTCGGCCACCATAACCTCACAAGAGATCTCATCGATGATTCTTTGATAATCAGACCTCCTGAGTGTTGCATCACTCTTCGCTGTCTAAGTCTACCACAAAAGCACCCATGCTCCAGTATCTACAACTTGGCACCAGCCTTCCTGCGTGCTTCCCTTTCCTTGTCTCTCAAGAGTCGTCTAAGAATCTTCCCCGAGGCGCTCTTGGGAATGACATCGATGAATTCAATCCCCCCAGCCAGCCACTTGTGCCGGGCCTTCTCCTTCTCAACGTATCTGGCGATATTCCGTTTGATCATGGCATCACTCTCTTCCAGACCGACGGAATTCGACTTGACAATGAATGCCTTGGGTAGTTCCCCAGCCCGGTCATCCGCTACAGGAATAACGGCACAATCAGCCACGGCAGGATGATTGAGCAAGCACGCTTCCAGCTCTGCCGGTGCAACTTGGAGACCCTGTAATAGTCAGCTCGGCCCTTTCTTCTCGGCTACTGACTTACCTTGACTTTGATCAATTCCTTGATCCGGTCCACGACCCAGATATGCTCATTACCCTTTGCCGACTTTCGTATCTCAACTTCATCGCCCGTCCGCATGAACCGGCCTTCTGGCATATCCACAAACGTCTCTTTCGTCGCCTTGTCGTTCTTCAAGTACCCCAACACAACGCTAGGCGACTTGACCAGCAATTCTCCTCGCTGGTTATATCCCGTGATCTCGTTGCCCTCGATACTCATCACCTTTGCCTCATAGCCTGGTACCAAGCATCCCGATGAGCCGAACCAGACGTCGAATGGTGACGTCGAGCAGACGACCGTACACGTCTCAGTAAGACCGTAACCCTGTCGGACCACCCACGTTGGATATTGAGAAGCCAGTTCTTCTGCCGTTTCCTGACCCAACGGTGCGGCGCCCGTGAAAATCGACTTGACACTCGACAAGTTGAAATTTTTGAGCACTTGCTGGTTCTTGACCATTGCAATGATGATCGGCGGGACAATGTACAGCGTGTTAATCTTGTACTTCTGGATCGTGGTCAAGTACGGCTGCAATTCGAATTTCGGAAGGATGATGACCCTGTCTCCACGATATGTCGACGCATGGCAGATAACGATCAAGCCGTAAATGTGCGATTGGGGAAGCAGACCGAGGACAACGTCATGATACCCAGGCTCGATCGCGTCTCGTCCCGCTTGGTCGTATACCGAGATCTGTACTGTATTTGCGATCACGTTTCGGTGACTGATCATGACACCCTTGGGAAGACCTGAAGTGCCGCTAGAGTAGCACAGGAAGGCCGTTTGTCTCGCTCCTTGACCTTTACTCCATCGGATCGGTTCAAGCTCTGGTAATGATTCCCCCTCTTTCAGAAGCTGGCCTAGAGTCTTGAATTCTTTGGGGATAGGAGGGTCATTCGGCATCTCGCATATATAGATTCTGTCCTTGGGTATGTTGGCCTTTGCGGCGGCTTCCAGTGCCGTTGTGAACAGAGGCATGACCGTGAAGAGGACTTTTGCGCCGGAGTTGATGAGCTGATGGCGGAGTTCGTCCGCGCTGTAGGCTGCATTGGCAGGTGATGATACTCCGTTTATTCTGTGGATGGCCCATGATAATGACATGATATCGATCTGGAAATGTCAGATGGTACTGGGTCTATGTGGTGGACGTACCGTATTCAAGGCGAAAACGCCAACCACTTTGTCGTACTCGGTGCCTTCATTGACTTTCCATCCAAACTCCTTCGCGAGGGCACGAGCTAATTTGTCTACATTTTCTTTCTGCTGTCTTGCCGTGATGCTCTTGCCAGAAAGACCGCACGTATAAGCATCCCAAGAGTCTGAGTACGGCCGTCGTCCATATTTCTCATCGAGCATGAATTCGCATATCGGTACTGTATCGGGGATTTCGGGCAGCTTAGGGACCCATGGAGGAGGATAGAAAACCATGTTTGCGACGAAGAGTAGGGAAAGTATGAGATTGCAGCGAAGGAAAGATACAGATAGAAAGATCTAAGTGCATTGCGCAGGAAGGATATTGAATTGGGAATAACCGAGGTATGTCATTTCTTACCTGTCTGCTTCGAGTATGGCCTCCAAAGAGCTCGCTCGATTAGGTCACTTTTGGGGTCCCCTTGCCCATGGAGTTGATGTCTGGGCTTCTGATTGATCGATCCTGGGGGAGGGTTATCACCCGAGCGCCCGGTTGCGGGGATAAGCGTCATCTCGACAAGCCCATAAGTCGTGTGTTGCTCTTGGCTGTGACTTGGAAAATGATGAGCATCTGAGTCTAGCATCTCACGTCCTCAAGGGTTTCCCTGTAGATGGCAGCTGAATGGAGCAGGTTGAAAATCAATGATTGCTCTCCCCGTGGCGTTGGGATGTGTTCTGGGGATGCTCCATAACTCGGGGCATACTCCGTATTGTGCTTCGCAACGCCCGTGAAAAGTCCGAAACAAGCTGGATTTCCCTGATTGTTCCGAGGTTGGATAAGGCCTGGCATACTCCGTATACTTGAACGGATGGACGGACACTGTCTCTGCTCCGGCGCCAGGCTGCTCTACCTCTGCAGTTTTGTGCTGAGTCTACTACGGTCTCATGGGTGAATCGTGTAGTTTGGCGCTATGGTGCCATTTGACGACAAACAGCAGCGAGGACAATTTGTGCGGCAGCAGGGTCTCCTATTGAATGCCCAGGTCCACTGCTGCCATACTACTACGTGTCCTGGATATATATCGTGTAACGAAGCTCGGCTGACTGGGCAGCAAAACAAATCGCCTCTTACTATAGTATTTCATCGAAGCAGCGGTTGGATCTCGCAGTAAGCTACTGTGTACATACCTCAGCGCCTCAGGAGCCTACTTAAGTCGTCGGAATCGTGCCTTGAGGTTGAGCACATGTCTATTTCCCCCAGCGGAGGGATATGGGCATTTACACTGGCCACGCCCACCACACCAGCATATGGGTGGCATATACCTGTTCCCATACTCCGTTGTGTCTCCGTATTCATTCGAGGACTTTGGCGAACACTTATGGCTCCTTTGAATTGATCCCAAGGCTCAGAATGGACCTTCTCGTGGTCCCCCTGCCTCCGCCAGCCTTGTCCCAAGATATCTTTGAGCAGACTTTCCCGTGGCCTGTCACCAAGCATCCGCTTGAGAGATGGGCTTGTCCAGCCCCAGTAAGTCGTGAATTTCCCACTGCAACCTCGGCTGGGCACTTGATTGGGCCAAAAATTGGGTAATCCCCTCTCCACTCACACATTCTCTCCCACCTCATTTTTGAGCATACAACATCGTCCAAAAATGCAAAAAGAATGCATTAAAGCTGTGCATCAGCCGTGAATCTAGCCTTGTTAGATTATTGGGCACATCAGAATAGGCAGTGTCCCAAACTCACCGAACACGGGGCCCATCGAGTGTGCTTTCGACAGCCTAGAGACTGACTTTTGGCAACGATGGATCTAAGGAAGTCAGAGACTTTGCGCCGGGCTTCACAGGCAGTGAAATACTCACTTTACCACTAAACCACTGATGCGCGGTAGATTACGGAGCAAAATTTTGCGGATTGAATAATTATAGTATGGATACTCTCAAGCCAGCTTGTGAGACCGGCTCCCCATCAGCTGAGCACGGGAGCGGCTAGGAATGTCTTAAAACCTCGGCACCTTGCATTGACAGAAGCTAGCATGATCAGACGCAACCGAGCCACGAAAACAACAGCCAGCTTTGGCGGGGTTTTCGTGTATCGGCATGCACCAGAGCCTGTATGACCCCAATGTGGTGGAGACCACGTGACTGATATTACCTAATCAGGCTGGGACACCCTTTTGCTGCCAGCCTCGTCCGAGCAGCTGAAAGAATGCTACGGAGTATCCCCCAACAGTATCTCTTGGCTCCAACGGTCGTCACAGGCTTTCACCTAGTCCACTGAGTTCCATAAATGTGGTATTGCATACTTATGCATAGGAAGATGTCACTCCTGCACTGTCTTCACCATCAAAAGGGAAACCATCCACTGATCACACCAGAAATTCACCTGAAGACCTGACTTCGCTTACTCTAGGTTGGCCACCTCATTTTGACCACCTGCTACAAGCCCGCGCCACGGAGATGGAGTTGTCTGATTCGATCTGAACCTCGACATATTTCTCCATAGTCTGCTATGGTAAGGAAATTCATAATCCTGACTTCCTGTTCTACACTTTAATCCAAAACCCTTTTACACCTAGGCCTCCACACTTCACTCACCATATCACCCCAAGGGTTGCTCCCGGGTGGTCCCTTTCCTCCTCCTCCTCCTCCTCCTCCTCCCCCCCTTCCTGGCGGGTGATGTGGTGGTGGCCTTCTTCCACCTCCACCGGGCGGTCCACGTCCAAATCCACCCCTCGGCTCGAGGAACAATAGCGGCCAGATGGGTATGAAGCAGAATTCATCGACGGCACAGACCTGGTCACATTGCATTTCGTCGGGGAACCAGCCCAGCCAGGCACGAAGGAGGGATAGGGAGGTACTGTGGTGCGTGACAAGGGTATACAGGACCGACTGTGGGATAGGCTCAGAGATGTTGTCGTGCTGGTAGTAACTTTGCCAGATTTGTTCAACGGAGAAGGCAAGTGACAGTGTTGTGTTGCAGATGGTTGAGAGGACGGTTTCAAAGGTGCTGAGGAGAGTGTCCTCAGTTGGGAGGAGGGTACCGCGGAGCTGGTGGAGGGCGAATGTTTGGCTCGTTGCGCAACGTGCATGAATGGCTGGGATGGAGGAGGCGGCGAGTGGGTAGGTCAAGTAGGGCATGAGCATGGCGTGGGATTTGGAGCGGACGGAGGCAATGTAGCCTTGTATGAGGGTGGTATTAGTCGTGTTCGAAGGTGGGTGGGTGAGGAGGTGGAGGATTTGCGTTAGGGGCCGGGAAAAGCGAGCGGTTATGGCAATTGCTTTTTGCGTCCAGTCGATGCCCGTGCATTGGGACGAAGAGTGGTTGATGGCGTGAAGGGTGTGCAGAACAGCGTCGCTCATTATGCTGGCTTCGAAGTTGGTGATCTGGGAGAGGTTGTGTGAGCGGCGGCGAATGGAGAGTTCTCTCAAGGCGAGGGTACGATTGCCGTGCTTGCCGGGCCCTTTCCAGTTCCCGTCTGCAGTGAGGTTCAGGTGCGACCTTTCGTCTTCAGCGAAGGCAGAAGAAAAGGCTTTGAGGAACGAATCATAGTAGCTGAGAAATCCGCAGGTATTTGGCTTGACTCGGCCTTCAGCGCGGCCCATGGATGAGCCTGAAGTGCCTATGTGCCAGGCAGCGCTGCGATACCATTCGAAGCTCTGAGACTGCAGGAAAGGTTCCAGCTCGGCTTTGCTTCGCCAATTAGGCGGAGAAGGCATGTCTGGACTTCCCGTTGGGCTCTCTGAGGGTGGACCGTCGACTGAGGTTGGTGCAGCACTCCTTCGCCGGCTCGGCACGTCATTGAACGTGGCGACCACGAGTGGTCCTTCCAGGATTGCTTCTTGAGCCAGAGCTTCATCCTCTTTGAACCGACTCGGTAGTAAGGGCGCTGAAACATTGACATGACTGATCCGTCGCATGTTTGGACTGGTGAAATTGCACCAAATCATCTCGAATCCTGCATTCATCCTAACGATCCCCTCGACTCCCCAGCCTAAACCGCCCAATTCATTCTTCCGTACCCAGTCGCACAATGCGGTGGCTCGAGAATACTCATCGAAGACACCGCGCCATGTTTCATTACCACCAAGAGAGCAGGTAGTATTTCCACACAGAAACACCATCTGTGAATCTAGGGGTCCAGTGCCCATCAGCGCAGCGGACATGCCATCGAAATAAAGACATTGTACTGGCTTCACGTTCTGATATGTTAGCAAGTGCGAGTCTCGGTTCGATCCCATGATGCCGTAGGACATTTCCGCATCGAATGCAAACCACTCTGGGCTTGATGGAAGCTTCCCATCTCGTCTTCCATGGTAGAGATTGGTGAATGCAGGAATTTCGCACGGCACAATCGAGTGGCCATTGGGAATGTATGTGTTTGGCCACTGCTCTAACAAGTATCGAAGTGAGGAAAATATGTGAGGAGCAGTGGATGTGAAGTCGAAATGTAACTGCTCATGGATTGCGGATGCGAGAGAGATTTGTTGCGAGGCTACTTCTGGCGGTAGGAGTACGATGGTGAAGCATACGGTGAGGCAGCACAGGCCGAATCGCAATCGGGACACAATCATGACAACGATCTAGAAGATACAAACATCCTCTGCAGGAGCTGATGCGCAGAGTACGATCCCATCTACACCTGACGACAGTTTAATGGTATACACTGTTGAAATATGCTGTATCTTCATTCTTCGCTTATCAGTTTTGATAAGGCTGACGCGGCCTTCGAGGAGCTACGTGACGGAAACAACACCTAGTCGTCCTTCAAAGCATCTACAGAAGCCAGATTCCTGAGACATATCTGCATTGTCAACAGCATACTTCAAGCTAGACCATGTCTAGATTCCTAAAGCAAACATTGTGGTTTCTAGAACCACGACTTACTCCCGTTCCACCATGTCCTGATCTCACGCTTTACTGCTCCCACCCATCGCGGTGTGAGAGCCCATATTGACCTTGCCTGAGAATCGCCACCAGCAAGCGGTATTAATTCAACTGTAGGCCGTCGAACACCCAATGCCTTGACAGATCTGCCACCATGGCCTGGTCCGCGCCGATGACCACCACCTCGAGAGACTTGGGATGGTTTCTTTTGTATCTCATGCGCCAACTCCATCAACCAGTAATGCGGATAAGGCTCCAGTTCGACATTTTCGTCCGACAACGGATGCTAACTTATCGTCTTCGAATACGAAAAATTCCCAAAACCCCCTGGCGTTATGTTTCCCATCAGGCCATGGGCCACAGGTGTATGTGAAGCACCCGCCATACCAATATTGCCTGTCTGAGGGGTAGAAGGCGTTCCGTTCTGGGTGTAGAAGGTGGCCCCGTTCATATTGGGTGTGCTGAAATCACGGATATTAGGCCCACCTCCTGTTGGCATTTGCGCATTCAAGCCCCAGACTTGTAACCGGTACTTGTCTTCTTCAATGGTCCCGTTGAAGATCTTCTCCTTCATCTTGAAATACACTTGCCCAGTAAGCAAGGAGTCCGAACCAGCCTGATGTGCTTGACCTATCCGCGCCACAGCAAGTTCTTCAGCAATGTCTTGGAGTCCGGATTTTGTCATTATTCGTTGCACCATCATTGCCGCTTCTTGTGTGAGAGGTTGGCCACTGTTGACCTGTCCTCTGACTCCGGCATGTTTGAGCATGAACTTGATGTCAAAGAGTGAGGGAAAGAATTTCTCGAGATAGTTGTGGAATTGACCCTCGTCTTCAGGGAGCGGCTTGCATATCATCAGCTTCATGAGGTAACCGAAGTCGTAGCCTGAGTGAAAGGAAATCCAATGTACATCTGGATCCAGGACGAGACCAGAACTGACCAACAAAGAGCCAAAGTCCTCCGGTTCTATCCCGTGTTTCGCGTGTTTCTCAAAGTCGATCCCGGCCTTTGTGAGCATCTGGGTCGACTCTCGCGCATACATATCAGTCTCTAGCGAGAATCGGAAGTTGAACTGCCAGGTGCAAGGTGTGGGTAGTAAGCTTGGGTGGTATTGTGATTTCGTAGGCGCAACCGCGTCGGGCGGGGGAAGAGTCCCATCTGATTTGAAGAGTGTGATGCCTAGCTGGATCATTTTGAGCAGATCTACATTGCAACGTAGTGTCTGATAGTGGTAATCAGCCTTGGTAGTGAATTGACCAATGGGTCTGGCCACAATGCCCGGGAATTCGGTATCCTATCCAGATGTCAGCGCTCACATAACAGAGCCGTCAGAAGATACGTACCATTGCGATGTAAGGGTATGAATCGACGAGCTGTCTCAGTGTGGCCATCTCTTCTTTCAAATTGTGTTTCCAAACATTGCGGATTCGAGCGTCGTCCTTAGTCTCGAGGGGAGCACCAAGGCCATCGTAATTCTGATGCGCTTGTACAGGCCCTCCTCTTGCAAAGCCCATCTGCGTCATCTGGCTTGGTAGAAGTCCCCCGTCCAGCATGTTCCGGTCAAAACCATTGTTTAGATTTCCAGCTAGTGCGAAGGGACTCGCGTTCGACGAACCGGCTGCGCCGAAGGAGGGTGTGCCAAGGTGATTAGGGGGAGGGAGTGCGCCATGTTGATGAGACTGAAGGTGATTTTGTTGGAGATGATATGGCTGATTGCCATAGCGAGGAGCCATGATGTTAGCGAGATAGTGATGGGAGTGTCGAAAGATCTGTGGTCATCGTGCAGAGAGAGTGTTGTCGCGATCATAGGATAATCCGCATGCGCTCCATGTAGACAGACCGAGCGATCTACGAAACTAAACCGGCAGCTTGCGTGTGTTCATCGTGAATTAAATCATGGAAGAAGTTATAGTCGCAAAGGTACAACAGAATATGGAAAGACCACTTTGCGGGACGGTCTTGAGGACCTCCAAAAGTTAGTAGCGTGGCTGTTCACGTGTCACTGCACTCGACAGGAAAAGTGGCTGCTGTCTGACTGAAATGGTCTACCAGCACATGAATCAGGTTTGCTACCTGGATGATATCGAAACACACAAACAGTTGAGCTAAAGATGCTCCTAAGGTGGCACTCTAATCTTTAAGCAGGAGTTTAGATCTACAGCAGACGGACACCAGTGTTCATGTTAGTATTCACGATATTATAGAAAATGAGTCCTTCATGTCAGACAGTTTCTCAAAGCATTACGGTGGACCATGAGCTTAGATACGGTCAAGCACTAATTCGCCAGGTGCAGTGAGCTCAAGCGCAGTCTTGGCGATCAAGCTCCGAACCGCATGCATGATTCAGTCATCGATTCAAACACGCTTCACCACGAACAGGACATATATGCGATACGAATAACGAGACTCCTTCGCTGCACCAACAGTCTAGCTGTGAGCTCCTAAGCTCAGTTCCTCTCAGAGCAGCCTTCCACCCTCCACCCCAAGTCGAAATGGCTCCCCCAAACAACCCCACAGGCTTCAATATGAAGACCTTCACGGATGCTGCCACCAGCCCTCAATGGCGCGCAAAGGATCCTTGGGCAAGAGGGTAAGCGCTATAAGATTACAACAAGAGCACAAGAGTATACTGACAAATGATAGCGAGGCATGGCGGTACAGCGGCCCTTTTACCCGATGGAACCGACTCAAGGGAGCATTTCCCGGCTTTGGAATTGCTGCTGTTGCATTCACGGGCTACGTTATCTTCGAGGCAGTGTTCCTGAAAGACTCACATGGGCATGCCGAGGGCCATGGAGACAAACACTGAGCGGGCACGCCTAACATCCTCCCGATCTGGCTCACGACCAAGTGCTGGAGTGGGCTTTGCCAAACCCTCGGGGAACCAAGACGTCGCCTATCTTACAACCAAGCGTTGTTGTACATATGAGAGCGCATCGCCTGTAACTAGCTGAGCAAGAGCAAAAAAGAGAAGACTTCGAGGATGGGACAAGGTCGTCGACTTCTATTAGTCGAAGTGAAACAATATCGCTTGGAAGGCCGTGGGAGGCGATGTTGCAGCCTCGTCAGCCTCGCACGATCGTTCTGTGGCTGTACAGAACTCTTTGACAACAGATATCCATTTGCCAAGATACAAACGAGTATCAATGTGTCCGGAAGGGCCCAGATCTGATAGCCGGAACCATTTTGGTTATTCAACAGAATTGCTAGAAAGATGTGTGCAAACCCTATAACAGATGTTTCCGCTTATTTGACAGTCCCCGTCGCACCGCCCGTCGCCCCGTCCGATATGATATGGAAACCCAAGACAATACATTATCGTATTATTGAACGGTGCTCGCGGTGGCCTCCATCAACTGATTGCTCGCGGTGACCTGCTTCCTCAGGAAAAAAGCTCCTCAAGCCCGAGGCGTGGAGAGACACTAAACCCCAATAGGCAAAGGTTGCCATGGCCTGGACAACAATACGGAGAAGAGGCATGAAGAGGAAAGCCACCGCGATGTTCAACGAATGGGAATACCACTGAATACACACTTCTGGACCCTTATCTTCTTATCGCTCGTGGAGGACGAGAGGAGCACCTGTCGTCCAGTGTGTTTGCCCCGACAATGGTCTACAAAGCGTTTCCTATTTGATGGTGAGGAGACACTCTCGTCCGACTACATATATCGGTGTAATGTCCAGTCCCTTCCAGTCCGTCTTCCTTTACCTACACACCTGATCCATCGTTCCAGTCCTTCGTCCTTTGAACATCATCCCCCTGTCAATCATGGTTCTCGAGCGAGTCAAGCAGTTGGCACAGCAAGTGTCCAACACTGTCTCTCCCCCTCATCCTTTTGACCCTCTTTCTTCCATAGAAATCGAGAGTGCTGCGTCTCTCCTCCGCTCTCAGTACGGCAAACTATACTACAATGCCGTTACGCTGCTCGAGCCTCCCAAGGCTCAAATGTTGAAATGGTTGGCCGATCCCGACCACACCCCCAGACCACACCGTATGGCCGATATCGTCGTCATCACGCCTGAAGGCAAAATATACGATGGCCACGTCGATATCACCGAGCAGAAGGTTATCAAATGGCAACATACCCCTGGCGTCCAGCCGCTGATCACGACCGAAGACTTGTGTGCCGTTGAAGAGGTCATGCGCAAAGACCCCGGCGTCATTGAGCAGTGTGGTATTCTTGGTATTCCTCCCCAGGATATGCACAAGGTCTACTGTGATCCCTGGACCATCGGCTACGACGAACGATTTGGCACTGGAGTGAGGCTCCAACAGGCTTTGATGTATTACCGACCTCACATCGATAACTCTCAGTACACCTACCCTCTGGATTTCTGTCCCATCTACGACTCGAACAAGGGACAAATCATCCATATCGATGTACCAAAGATTCGTCGACCTCTGAGCAAGGCTCCTCCCAACGACTACCACGTCAAGTCCATCGAAGAGCTAGGTGGCTACAGAACCGACATCAAGCCCATCAACATCACCCAGCCAGAGGGTGTCAGTTTCAAGGTCAAAGGCCGCATCATCGAGTGGCAAAACTGGTCTGTCCACGTCGGTTTCAACTACAAAGAAGGCATCGTCCTGGGCAATATCACCTACTTCGACAAAGTCGAGAACAAAGCCCGACCGGTCTTTTACAGACTGTCTCTAGCCGAGATGGTCGTCCCCTACGGTAACCCGGAACACCCCCATCAACGCAAACACGCCTTCGACCTCGGTGAGTATGGTGGCGGTTACATGACCAACCCTCTCAGCCTAGGCTGCGACTGCAAGGGTAGCATCCACTACATGGACGCCGAATTCGTGAACAAGGCCGGCGCGGCCATCACCATCAAGAACGCCATCTGTATCCACGAGGAAGACGCCGGTATTCTCTTCAAGCACAGTGATTTCCGTGACGACTTCCAGTCCACCATGGTCACCCGCGCCCGGAAACTGATCATCAGCCACATCTTTACCGCTGCCAACTATGAGTACTGCGTATACTGGATCTTCCACCAAGACGGAACCGTCCAACTCGAGATCAAACTCACTGGCATTCTCAACACGTACTCCCTGCTCCCCGGCGAGGACACCAAGGGCTGGGGCACGGAAGTCTACCCAGGTGTCAACGCCCACAATCACCAACATCTGTTCTGTCTGCGAATTGACCCGAACATCGACGGACCGAACAACACCGTCTTCCAGGTCGACGCGGCTCAAGGTCCTGGCGAAGTCGGATCCGAAGAGAACTTCTACGGCAACGCCTTCTACGCGAAGAAGAAGAAGTATACGAACCCCATCGAGGCCATGTCCGACTACGACGGATCCACCTCTAGAACTTGGGAGATGTGCAACGAGAACAAATTGAACCCCTACTCGCACAAGCCTGTCTCGTACAAGCTGGTCAGCAGGGAAGTTCCAGGGCTGTTGCCCAAGAAAGGAGGCCTGGTCTGGAAACGTGCCGGTTTCGCCCGTCATGCCGTGCATGTTACAAAGTGTGAGTTTCACAACACCCAAACCCCCTTTTAATTATGACAATGCAATGTGATACTAATGCAATGATGTTTCAGACGCCGACGACCAAATCCACCCGGCTGGCCGCCACGTCCCCCAGACATCTGGAGAACCGTCGATGGGATTGCCGCAATGGATCGAAGCCAATCCCTCCGAGAAGATCGATAACGAAGACGTTGTGCTCTGGCACACTTTCGGCATCACGCACTTCCCGTCGCCAGAAGATTACCCCGTCATGCCTGCGGAGCCGATGACCCTGCTGTTGCGCCCGAGAAACTTCTTCGTGCGGAATCCGGCGCTCGATGTGCCACCCAGCTATGCAAGGACACCCAGCCAAGTCCTCGCTGGCAAGTCCGGAAACGGATGCAAGGACAAGGCAAGCGTCTATGTCTAGACGAAGCATATCCCGGTTCGAGTGTATATCGGAAGGATAGGATCGTGGGAAATTTATATGTCTTTGATGATTTAGCGAAAATTGAAATTGAAAATGTCCCATGAGATTTTATAGGGGTATGCAACATATTCATGTTCATCAGGATGTCGATGATTCATCTCCAAAGTACAATATCTATATCTATTAGCATAATCACAAGCAAAATTTCAAGTGTTGTTTGGGATCGCCCTGCGATAATATGTCTTATCATCCAATCATCGCCAATCTGTCCTTCAGGGTTCATGTGTCGTCCTCGTAACTATGACCATGTCTCTTGCTTGTATCTACCTTCTTTCTCCAGCCTAGCAAGATACTTCTCGGCATCCTCCTGGCATTCAATCCGCTCTTCGGCCTCATCCTCCTCATCTGAGTTCATCAGCTCGGTACTGCCGTTCGGCTTCTCCTCAGCATGTCTCTTCTGCGCCTGCTGTACCAGGGCATCGACGAGTGCCTGCCGTACTGCTTTTGGCATCTGCCCCGATGAGCCGCAGACAATAATCGTCGCATGTCGCTGGCGCAGGTATTCCCAGACAAGGTCGCTCCGTTCGCGGATGCGGTCCTGGATATAGATCTTGTTCTTCTGATCTCGTGAGAATGCAGTGATAACGTCCAGCCTAGCTTCATCGGATCCAGGTACGGACTGCAGAGTTGCCCACTCGTCACCGAAGAAATAATCTGCCTTGGCGCTGCGACAGCCAAAAATTAGGGCTGTCTTTCCTGCCACCGGATATTGAGCGACTTTCTCGTGGATCAGCGCTCGGAGAGGCGCGATACCCGTGCCAGCGCCAATGAGTAGATGGCTCTCGCCCGCCATATCTGATGCTTTGGCGAATCGACCTTCCGTCTTCAACGAGACCTGCAGCTTTGTGCCCACGGGTAGCTGTGCGAGATATCTCGTACATACACCTTCGCGGATCCGTTTGATGACTGTTCTGTATTTGACGATCGCCACCAGCAATTCGAAGACCGTTGAACCGTCGTCTAAGTGCTTCGATTTCCCTCCGCTGGCTATGCTAAATTGTCGCGGGCGCATAGGTGGGAAGATATTCGTGACTTCCTCCCAGGGGAGATGTACGGTGTCGAACTCCTGTAGAATCTCGAGGATGCTCCGTCGCGGGCGCGTGGCGTAGTCGTAGTACTCGTCGAGATATTGTGGGTCGGTGAACTCGAGAAGTCGTTCTTTGTGCATATTGTCGGTCGTGTAGTTAGCTATCGCCCCAAAGAATGACCTTCGAGGGATGGCATTGATGTCTAGGTACTCGGTGAGAAGTGTCCGGAGTGTGAGATCTTTCCGGCCGAAGACCGGACTCGTGGCGAGGTGGGCGGAGTTGGATGTTGATGGTCTACGCGTTGAGATGAGGCTGATCGGTATGTCGGCAACATCTTGCCAGTTCATGCGCTCGATCAGGAACGTTACGTCCGTCGGCATGTTCTGCGGTAATATGGCGATAGCATCGCCTGGTGAGTACCTAATAGTGTGAAGAATTTTGAGGGTCATAAAGCGGACATCTTGGAAGTGATCGGTGGGTGTTACACGGTCATTTGCCATCAAGGTCGACTCGAACGACTCTGAAGAGAATGACTCGGAAGCTGGAGGGTCTAGTTCTGTACCGTTGCTGGCTTCATGTGCCCCAGCATCTTCAGCACTTGTGGGCCTCCTTGTCAGCCGCCATTTGCTTGGGAGGAGCACATCGTTCGGGATAGGTTGTTGGCCATCTCCAAGTGGAAATCTTGTCAAGAGAGTCTGCCGGAATTGCTCTAGCCAGGCCAGGACCGCACCATCAGTACCCTCATCGCCTTGCTCATCAGCTTCGCAAGACTCAATGATTGAGGTCGCTCCCAACTGGCCAAGTCGCTTCTCTAGTTTCCTTGCTGCAAAATTGAATTTTGGATATGAGCTATCGCCTAGTCCGACCAGAGCATATTCTATGCCCAACAAAGTGGTCGACGAGAGCCTTTTGCGCAAGATGCTGGTCCAAAACCTCCGAGCATTTTCGGGGAAATCTCCCTGGCCCGTCGTGGCGATAACAAAGACGGCGAGGGTATAAACGCGGAGGTCGTTGTAATTCACGCTCTCCAATCCGGCAACGTCTGTGTTGAAACGGAGCCGCTCGAGGCAGCGACCAATTTCCTCAGCAAAATCTTGAGAGGTGCCGGTTTCAGTTCCGTAGAGAACAATTACAGACCTAGTAGGGTCAAACCCATTGTTCTTCATCATCAGGGGGCTGTGCTGGAGTTGACCATTATGCGTAATGTCGATACACTCGTGAGGATCCTCTCAACCGTGCTTGAAAGCATACAGGAACGAGGGAGTTCGAAGTTGACTCGCCAACACAGTCACGCTCGAGGTTGATCTTCCGGGCTTGGCAGCTCGCCGGTGCTTCCCGACCTACTTGAGGGAACTTAACACTTAAAATATTTCCTTTTTCTCTAACTGACATTCTTCCGCGACCAGCAATGCATCATGTTCGACTACCTTATCACTCCATGGCGAGGCTGAGATCGAGGTGTTGTTGTTGGTATCTGAACCCGGCTTTGGCCGTGTCCACTTCTATGGTAGGGACAAGACGCACCTCGTCATCCTGCATTCAGCAGTACTGATTGGGCTACCTCATGCAAGCCACTGCATGGTTGTTGCCAAACCACAGCCACACTGTGCTGCGCCGTCGTGACCAAGATGAAACTGCCTTGCGGTCGGCCTGACCTCGACCACCGCCTTGTCTGCTTTACTCTCCATCCTACCGCCTCTCCTGTGTCTCCAGTCCCGTTGCCTTTATTGAGGTTGCGCTTCCATCACAAATACCATGGCCGAGATTGTAGGCGTAGTAGCCGCCTCGTTGGAATTCGGAAAAATCATGTTGGAACTCAAGCAGCTCGCATCCTCAATCAAACATGCTCCCGAAGAATTGCTCGAAATGCTGGAAGAGCTCGATCTCACTGATAACATTTTGCAGACTCTTGCCGACCAGGACGCGCTACTGGCCATCTATGCCCCTCCTGTCGTGATACAGAAATGTCGAGACTCTTGCGAAAAGGGCGTGGACATTCTGAAGCCGCTGTGTTTCGAGCTTCGGAAGGCCATCGAGCGCTCGAAATTGCGTGGCTCCATAAAGTCAGTGCTGAAGGAGAACTTGCTTGCAAAGGCCAGGCGACGCATTGAGAGGGCGAAAATCAACCTGATCCTCGCTCAGACAGCAGCAGCGAAGTGAGCGTCAGCAAAAAGAAGGCTATCAACCCCTTACTTACATGCTATAGTGCGATAAATGCTCTAAACCTGCAACAGCACATAACTACACAGACGTTGATTATCTCAGGGTCCGCTGCCACACTGACGCAGTCAAATAGCAATCCTGAAGGACACCTCTATCAATCTGATGGCACCCTTCCGATCCTGGATAATACCCCTGTTCTGAACGGGGAAGGTCATGTCCAGAAGTTTGTTGGCAGCACCAGGCAAGAAAGACGGACCTATTGCCGTCAACGCCTACAGAGTACCTCCCTTTTGATTTTGCACAGTTCGTGGCTCGGAAAAAGGGTCGAATTTCTACGAATACGAGCGTCCGGGGTACCATTCTTCGGCATAAAGACTTACAATATTATCCCATATCATTCGCCGGTCTTCACAGCCGTCCGTGCAGGTGACGTCGCTGCTATTCAGAGCCTATTTCGGGACAAATCCGCTTCCATCTATGACAGGGACCAGTTTGGAAATACGCTACTCATGGTATGGACCCTCACTCCTGAACTGGATGATTTCCTAACCGGGTGCACAGGAAGCCTGCTGGACTGGTCAGCTATCTAGTATGAGATTTCTCCTCCAACAAGGAGCCGATCCGAACGACAAAGATTTCGAGTAAGTCCGCACCTCCCGCAAACCAGCCTACTAAAGCTTGACACTTGACCCAGTCAAGGTTCCTGTCTTGGTGCTCTTACGTTCGGGCGTCATCTTACTCGCGACACCTTTCTTATACTTGCGGGAAACCACGACCTTGAAGACTTGACAGATTCAACAGCAATGACCCTGGCCAACATCGCCATCCTTCAGCAGGACGGCCTTCCCGAGATTGTGCCGGTGCTTGAACCTGTTTGGAGCAACGCCGACTTCGCTGTACGGCTCGAGTTGGCGTATAGTTGTTGTCGTCCCGACTATCCTGCGCGAGATTTCTGGCTTGTACTCTCAGAGCAACGATTAGACGAGTCCTGTCTTACCATGCCAGAAGAGACTGGCAATGGGTATGTGCGACGTCCCAGCCTTGCCTTGTACTTGGCTTCTACAATGGGAAGGATATGCACCAATCTTAGTGGCTGGCGATCGATCTTGCAACAGGTGGTATCGCTGAACGGTATTAAGATTTCGTTCGAGCATCAGTGCGGCTCCCCAATGTTGGAATATCTGGGGTTTAACCTGCCCTTATGGTATTGGGGTTCGAGGGCTGATCTCAGTCCTCGGCGTCTGACGCGTAAGCTACAGAACTGGGCACACGAAATGCAGCTCGCTGGCCAGGATTTGCAAGCTTATGGTCGTTGGGAGCAAGAGTTTCTTTCTAATAGCGATGGCGAATTTTCATGGTACGTTGAGTCTGTCACAGTTCGATTTGTGAATTTCACATACGGACCTTCTCCTCAAGACTGGCAAATATGGGTCTCTACCTCAATGGATGAGAGTGCGGGCGAGTTTTGGGAAGCTGTGGAAGATGGAGAGCCTGTGCTCGATGTTCCAGGTTCATGGCCGACGCTAGATCCCGAAGGGACGGAATACTCGATTGCACTGCTTGGCCATAAATTTTCCAGGAGAAGACGTCGCCGTTTTCTGCGGTATCTCGGCCTGGAACTGGAACGTGAAGAGGATGTCTTCGGTTGGCCAAGCACTAAAGACGGCATGGGGCGGCACGTCGCTAAATTCAAACAAACAAAGGCGCGCCGACGGCAGCATTACCTGGGAAACAACATCCCTCCACCTTGCCGAGAGTTCGTCAGCTGAGACATCTCTGCTCAAGATCAGAAGCAGCGCGAGTGGGCGTCTTAAGCAGGCCCACATGCTAGGCGACCAGAAGCGCGTTTGAGGAATGAAAGGTCGAGATCGCAAGGAGGATTCGGCCTGGACTCGATGTCGCTGGGAGAGGATTCTGATTCGAGCGGCAAGGCCCTGGGATCATGGGGCAAGTGGCAGGCGGAAATGCTTGGTATAAGAACCCATCTCCAGGAAAGCCATCGCAGGCCAACTTGGGATGTATGTCCTTCTACGAAGTTTGTTATTTTTCTCTCGCATGTAACACTGCTGTGGAGAGGGACTTTCATGCCCTGGGTATCTCTTTGCTCTCGAAAAATGAGAACGAATACTCCAAGAAAGAGTTGAAGTAAAGAACCAACGCACAACTTTGGCCAGCTGACATTTACGAGCCCAGTCCGCTCGCCTGTGAAAAGACAATTGCCCTTGGCCGGCACAGGTTGAGACGATTTCAGCTTCCGCGCAGGGCCTTTGAGCTGAGATGCTCACATACCCTCAATGCCGATCAGAAAGTACCACCTTCATCATCACCTCCTGCGCCATAATCATCCTCATCTCCCTCGCCTGTGTCAAAGTAATTCTCTGCATTGTAGTCATCGCCGTCGCCATCATCCGACTCCTCGAACTCTGAATCTACTGGTTCATCATCACCCGACTCATCATCGTCCTCATCACCAGTCGCATCCGGATTGTCATTGTCATGATGCTCGTCGACGTCGTCATCATCATCGTCCTCGTCATCGGAGCCTTTGTCCTTGTTCTTTTTCCCACGTGGCGATCGTGGTCTTATTTCCTCGTCCGAGAACTCGTCTTCCGCATCTAATCCGCGTTTCTCGCGCGATTTCTTCGTCGTGGGGTCTTCGCGGCGTTTCTTCGCGGCTTTCGTGCTGTTTCGAGAGCGTCGAGTCCCGGACAACAAGGGATCTGAGCCGTCGGTGTCGTTGCCTTCATCATTTGCTCTAGTCGCTTCCTCCTCCTCGGCGTCATCGAGGATGATTTCCCGTTTCCGCTTGAGGTTCTTTCTGGGAGCGTTGGTTTCGGTGTCGATGTCAATGTCGGTGGTTTTCCAGAGAGGATTTTTCCGGCGTGGATCCAACATTGGCCAGAGTTCATGAGGAAAGTATCGAAGTGCTGTCCATAGCCCGTCGTATTAGTCTTCTCGTTCTCGGTTGGCTGTTTTGAATTCATTCCCGAATATACCTACAATAATCTCGTCCACTCAAGTCTGGAACCGCTCGCTTCTTCTTGTGGTATTTTGCAGTGTATTTCTCCTGGTCGTTGAAAGGGTCAAAGCCTGCACGCTTCAAGACTTTGCCCGTCTTCTCATCTGCGACACTGCTCGGGTCGAGGACGGAATAGTATGGTCCATTACGAACTCGTTTGCGGAAGTCTCTGTGGCATTTAAGAGTGAGGGCTTCGTCGGAGGAGATGGGGCGTGGGACAGGTATGTCGATAGGCTTTTGTAGACGGCGATTAGCTTCCGCACGGTATCGCGTCTAGAGATGGCAGACATACAGGGAATGTTTCTTGTGGCTTGTTTGAAACAGGCGGAGTTGCGAGAGATTCTTCATCGTCCCACGATAAGTCGGGGCCTCGCTTGCCGCCTCCTCTTCCGCCACGAGACATGATGGAAGTGTTTTGGGGAAAATTTGGAAGTTAATTGTCACCGGACGCAAGTCGACATGATGGACGACCAGATTCTTGAAGAGATCTTGGTTCGCAGCTACGGCTCTTCGCAGACTATAAAAGTGAATAACTCAAGTCTAAAAATGCGCGGCAGTATTCCTAAATTTTGGTGGGGAACACGTCCACCAACCCACCGCCTTCGGAGGCCGACGAGGCTGGACAAGGCTGAATAATAGCTTGATGGCCTGATGAATGCTCTACTCCAAGGCGTAGCATCTCACGAACATCAGTACTCTCCGATGATACGACATTAAGATGTTGCTATCGGAATTTCATGGTCGTCGATTCTCGGGTCGCTGAATGTGTCAGCAGAGTCAGATACCGTCCGCCATAATGGCTTCTACATTACATCCGCCCGAGACTCGAACAGCATGGAACGCATACGACGGCAATCAGGGGAAGGAGTCCTACAACTGGTAACCAGGACCAAACAGGACCAAACAGAATCGTAGTCGAAGCCATATAGGAGGCAAGAACCCGCCTGCCTCGTTCTCTCTGCTTTTCTGTTCCCTCTCTTTACTTGTTTCCCATCTCTCACCTTTCACATCATCCATCCCTTCACAGCGCAAGTCCAGCGGTTGACTTCGTCCCTCAACTCCTGCAATCTGCCTCGTCCTTCAGTCAGCGGACAATAACCTTGAAGGTCCTTCCTCGAAGAAACGTCCTACAGCATGCTGCCACACCTCTTCTTGGTCATCATTGCCTTTGCGGCATATGTCGTTCAATCCGTCGACATCGCTCTCCCCAGAGAGCTTCGCCGAAATGACATAACCTACCACTGCCCAGCCGTTGATCAATGGTTCAAAGCGAGCAGATTCTGGATTCAAACCAGCACCATCACTGGGTGTATGACCCTCGAACTCAATGCCAGCAATATCTACGCCCTCAATACAATTGTGAAACCAAACCCCAGGGGTCACGACTATCCAAATCTTGTTTGCAGCCTAAGCCTCAACAAATGTGATTGGACTTACAGTCCACTGGATGCTGTAAGTTCCACCGACGATGGATCTCGATCATGTGCTAACGGCTACAAGATCTCGAGTGATGTGTCGTGCCGATCTTCACCAAGCAAGGTTTCGAAGGCTTATGGACATCAACAAGGCAATAAAAATTGTGGTGGTGGTGACGATGACAATCCAAGCAAGGACAGCGGTAACACCGGTTCTGGCGAGGTGCATGCGTTGAAGGTAGGCGAAGGCAAATGATACTCGATGCAGTATCACGAAAGAGAAGATCGTCCTATGGTCAACGAGGAAGGTTCCCCTAAAAACACTCGGACGAGCATCAATGTCAGCGAGAAGCAGTTGGTGGATTGAGCTGGCTGATTAATGATGGACATTATCATGCTCCAAAATGAGGGTGCTAACGAGACACTCTTTGACGTCGCGAACGTCTTTGGCTGTTAGACAGCGAGGATCAGTTCGAAGCAGAGAAATAGCAAGCATTGTTACTCTGTGCTTTTAATGCATACTTCATTGAGAATCTCCCTCCCGAATCCCGCTGTCTGTCGTTTGATTGGCGGAAGGGAAATTTTGCCCGCCAAGATCTTGATGTCTCGTTCTCGATCTTCCCCAGATTTTCTCTCCATTGACTCATCCTGGTCCCTACCTGACCTTGGATACAGACCTGCTTTCAAAAAACAACCCTCGCCACATAAGCGTTACAAAGTTGTGAAACTGTACTACCAAGTGCTGACTGTCCACACGAGGAATTCAACGACCCGGATCGACATATCCAGGATTTGCAAACTCTCTTCCTTTTGTGAATATTCTACATTGGTGCCTCAACATGCCCACTCGTTCAGAGGTTGCCTACTTTGGCGCTGGGCCAGCTCCTCTGCCCACCCCTGTCATTGAATCAAGCGCCCAAGCGTTCGTCAACTTCGAAAATACCGGCCTCTCTCTGGCCGAAATATCTCATCGCTCTCCAACGGCGAATAAAATCCTCGCTGACGCCAAAGAAGCACTCACAAAGCTCTACAACATCCCAGAAGGCTACGACATTTTCTTCATGCAAGCCGGAGGGACGGGAGAATTCAGCGCCGCCTGTCAAAATCTGGTAGGATGCTGGATCGAGCAACGCCGAAGAAAGGCTGTAGCGGACCTAGGTGAGGGCAAGGATGACGAGGTTCTTGATCGAGTCAAGAAGGAAATCGAGAACGAGTTGAAAGTCGACTACCTGGTTACCGGGTCATGGTCACTCAAGGCCAGCCAGGAAGCTACGAGACTACTCGGTGCGAAGTATGTGAATGTCGCTCTTGACGCGAGAAAGAGCAACAACGGCAAATTCGGCAAGATCCCGGATGAGAGCGAGTGGAAGTTGACACCAAAGGCGAGTGCATTTACCTACATGTGCGACAACGAGACTGTGGACGGAGTTGAGTTCCCCAGCTTTCCCAAGTCGCTAGATGAGAACGACAGAATCGTGGTGGCGGATATGTCGAGCAATTTCGTCAGCAAGAAACTCGATATCAGCAAATACGGTGTCATTTTTGTGAGTTTGCGCTCTGCAATGCTGGGCTATGCTTACAACTTCAGGGTGGTGCACAGAAGAATCTCGGTATCACAGGCATCACGGTAGTCATCATTCGAAAATCCCTACTCAATCTGGTCCCGCCTCCAACGTTCTTGCATCAGTTGTCGAGCGTCATCCCGACCTCTGGAGCACTCCCACCGATTATGTTTTCTTTCTCGACGATCGCTTCGAATAACAGTCTGTACAACACGCTGCCGATCTTCAACCTGTACGTCGCGACGCTGGTGTTGCAGAGTCTCGTGTCGAATTTCGGTACAGTCTCAGGACAGGAGGATGTGGCCAATCAGAAGGCAAAGTCGATATACGATACGCTCGATGCGTACCCGGACTTGTATCATGTCGTGCCGGACAAGGATGTGCGGAGTCGTATGAACATCTGCGTGCGGATTATTGCCGGGCCCAAGTCGGAAGCGGGAGTGACGCCGGATGAGGCGAAAGAGAAGGCCTTTCTAGCTGGGGCAGAGAAGCGTTCCTTGCTGGGCCTGAAGGGGCATCGTTCGGTCGGTGGGATCCGGATCAGCAATTACAATGCTGTGCCGGTGGAGAATGTGCAGAAGTTGGTGGATTGGCTGAATGAGTTTGCGAAGTCATGATGGATTGGCGAATGATGAGGAAGGTAAAGCCGTCTGGTGGCTACTGACATGAGGATGCTGGACAGTTGCTAGGTTGTGTGCTGGCTGGCCTTCTAGCATCTCGTTACCACTACGGCCTTGGGCACCAAAACTTCAATACAGAAAAGAACTACTGAGAAAAGCAATAGCGCACTTCACACCCGTTCACCTCCGCCGTCCAATCTCGCACAGATATCCTGATCATTGCAAGGACCTCGACGCCGAACGCGTGCCCGGCTCTCGGTTCCTTTGCAGGCGTCTATCACTCGGCAGCCTCTTCACCATCCCAAGTAAATTCCGCCTCAGTTCCCTGAATGGCAGAAAGGGTGAGGCAGAACCGATTCACTTCTGCCTGGCCCGAAATTGTCTCTCTTGGCGAGAAAAAGAGATGTTGACACCTGTTATATCTCATCTGTCTTTCACCGTCGCTCTCACTTTTCCTTTCTCCCTCATCGCCTCTCTCCTTGGATTCTTCTCTCCTCTTCGCGCGCAAATGTCCTACCTCCCCAGCATTGCAACCTTGATAGCTTTGCAAGCACTGCAAGCTGAAACCTCCTGCATGAGGCCACCTCTTCGTGGTGCAGGAGACGAGTAGCCAGGGACTGGTGAAACTAACGGCCTCAAGAGACCCGCACGACAGCGTGTATCTCTTCAGACAACAACTGACATGGATTTCATCGCCATCAAGTCAGTTACTTTCAGAGCCGCCAGGATCTTCAGTGATTACAGCTCAGACGAGGATCGGGGTGACACTGAGCCATAGGTCCTGGGGGTTCGTCGGGCGTACCATTAGGTATAGGCTTTCGACCATTAGCATCATACTCTCATACCCGCACAAAAGCGCGTATGTTTTCAGACAACGACTGATATGGATTTCATCGCCATCACGTCAGTTACTTTCAGAGCCGCCAGGATCTTACGAATGCGTGCATCTCTTCAGACAACGACTGACATGGATTTCATCGCCATCAAGTCAGTTACCTCACAACTCCATCCAATCCGACACCTTCTGCTCTCTTTCCAGCCGACCTCCTGGAAGACATTAGGGTCTGACGACCCGGGGCTGCGTGGTTAGTCTCCGGCCTTGAGCCGTGATTCGGCTGCGTTATGCCAACAGCTGACGGCTATCAACAACTTTTCTACTGGATGACAATACACAGAAATCGTGGACGTACCGATTTCCCTGCAAATGGGCTGAGAGTGACCTCAAACTGTCCAAACGACAATGATCAACATCAACGTCTGCACTGCCTGCACTCGACGTTGGCCAGTCGATCTCAAGTCCGGTGGTATTCCCGCCATCTATGAGCTTCCTATCTACGAAACTGGAAGACGACCCGCCCTTTCGCGGTCTGCAGTTTCGTCACTGGAATTCGCCATGACTCTCATTGGCATATTCAATCAAATCAATCGACAAGAGCAGCATACCTGTGTACCTCTGGCTTCCTCCGGATATGGTCCTGGGCAAGACCGAAACTGCCCAATTTGACAAAGGTGGTTTGGCTGAGATTGTCTATTTGTCCTCTCCAATCCAACATCACAAACGTAAGTCACCCTTCCTCCGCACTGAGTCTGGCTTCTAACAAACCTAGAGGGGTTAGCTGCTCCCTTAATGTTACGACGACGTCCAAGCCAACGCCTGGTGGACTTCACGATCCCTCCTCCAGCTTTCGACCACTGCAACAGATCCTACCTCTCGCAAGGTGACCTACCACGGTCCAAGCATTCAGACAATGACTTGACCACACCGATGTACAGACAACGCACGAGGTGATATGGCACCTTGGAAAGAGATTGCATTACATGGTGACATCCACGAAGACACCATCAGCGTCCTGACTCGGGGACTGACACAAATTGCCAACATTTCGTCGTTGCACTCACCTCTCACATCACAAATACGGCTCCCAGTTGATGTCGCAGGTTGGCAAGGTACAAGGGAATCACCTTGATATGCCCCTCTCAGGGCAGCACCTTGAGTCCTGCACCTTCAAACTTCACATCAACACTCATGCCCAAAACCAAAATGTATGGACTACACATCCCATTCCTGTGTCGATACCGTGGCGAAATGCTCCCGACAGAGCAGTCACATCCAGTCAACAATTGTTGTCCACAGAGATGCTTGCGCAGGCTGAAAATACTTCTCGACACTATTATCCCGGCGGAATGCTCCCCGACAGAGCAGCTTGGGATCAGACAGGAACGATATTTTTGATACCAAAATTACACTTTGCACGTTGGAAGAGCTCAATGACCGGGCACCTTCCCCCTCGCAACCCATCAGCTGCACTTGCCGTTTTAATGGTCACGTTTCTCGAAATTTGCCAGCAAGGTCCGCCTTTCAACTCAACTCAAACACACTTTTCTTCTGAGTTCACCACTCAAACTTCATCAACGCTCATCTCCTCTTTTCATCATCATCGTCGTCCTTCAGTTTCGTTTTCCATCAAAAGATCATCTCAAACGTATTGGCTGGACTCACCACGACCTTCTCGACCGTCATTGACACCCAAGTCGCCACCATCGCCAATGCCTCTCTCTCAGGTCACCCGATCCAAGGGCACTCCGACAGGAGCTAGACCTGGTCAGCTGAGTCCAAGACGTCCACTACTACCAATGAATGCCAACGTCGGTGGTGTACCGCGGAAACTCGAACAACCGACGCTGGCTGCCTTTTTGGATGAAGGTCGTCGAAAGAAGAGAGCTGTGGACCTCCCCACCAAGACCCCCGGTTCCATCGACAACCCCATCTGCTTGGATGACTCGGACGCTGACATAAAGCAAGAAGAGGCTACCGACATTGTTGGGCCGAAAGAGGACATCGCCGCCAACCGGCCACTTACATCCCCGGCTGTCGTCAAGAAAGAGGAGCCTGTTCAGCTCGTTCCCGTGGATGATGCCGCTGATGCCAGGGGTTCAAGGGATCTTGTTGGGGCTTAGGATGCCGTCAAGCAGGAGGACACTATGAAGCTCGTCTATCCTAAGGGTACCATCGACACCAACGATCCAAAGGAGCTTGTTGAGGCTTATGGGGCCCCAAGCAAGACCACTTCGAGCACCTCGTCGATGTTCAGGACGGTGTCAAGTCAACGAAGCGGCCTCGACCGGCTGCAGACGACAAAACCATCGAAGGCATCGAGTCACTGCAATGTGATGATACTGGCATCGCATCGAAACCCAAGAAGACAATCATTTGCCTCGGTCGCAAAAGTGTGTTTTGCAGCAGGCAGGTAGTCAAACGTCTACACGATCGCAATGAGCTCATGTTCAGTTTCATCTGGATGAGGGTCCACGGTGGCACTATCCCCAGCTCCAAAGCTGAATGCTTCTCGCTTGTATTCAACGAATCTTGGTCCAAGTACAACATCGCTAACAACAGCCCAAGGCAAGAGATTTCTCAGCTGCGGAAGAAGCTGGACATGCTCGAAGGCAGTCCTAGAGCAAAGAGCAAGATGTTCTCATTTGCATATTCACAGAAGATGGGTTCTTTCTCGAACATTGCCAGTGTCGACGAGTTCTTCAGAATCTACGTCAATATCAACATCACTCTGATGGTCCACGAAGGCGGCAAACGGTAGAGCCTTCACCCCATGAAGGATGTGGTGAACGCAATATGGAGATTGAGAAACCACGAGCTTGAACCAGGCAACGTGCAACAAGTTCTCGTTCTTCGATGGATTGGGATCTCGATGAACGAAGAATTGGTTGCTTCAGCGATGCGTGACCTTCGGCGAATGATGCCTCAGCGTCGGAATCTCACGCTTATCGACATCGCGAATGAATCAGATGCTGGTGAAGAAGATGATGACGACGTTAAAAAAAGACCATTATCACTAAGAAGCCCAAGAAGCGGGTCGTCCCTTACCGCTACGGCATCTATTTGGATGACGCTGGCAGCTTTCTCTGTCCATATGGTCCACGCATATCCTCATCCAACACTCTGGACGATCTGCGAAAACACCAAATTGGACATTGCAAAAGGGAAGCAAAATGCATTCTCTGTCCCAGTTTCGTCCAGCCAAACCTATACAGCAAGGCAGGTTTTGCGACAAATACAGGCTATGTCACCCCAAACGCTGGCTCAAATTTCACGCTGCTAAAGGAGCTTATTCAACGTCATCTTCCTCCTACCTTCTTCTGTCAGGAAGTAGGCTGCGAACGGAGCTTCTTTACAGCTCCGGATCTACTGCAGCATAAGCAGCGACACGAAAAGAGCCAGCTTGTGCCTTGTGTGGTATGTGGAGCGAATACGGCAAGAGTTACGTGAAGCGGCATCTTGCGGAATGGTGTGCTGGAACAGACAACAGCAAGGGCATTGTATACCAATGAGCAGATTGTGGAATGGAGTTCTTGAGTAGCACAGAACTCGACACGCGCTACCGAAGGGCTCATACTCGGAAAAATGAGATCATCCACATTGCACAAGAAGCTCGTATGCTCGTCGGTGGGTCTCCTGGGCTAGGTTTGAATGCATCTACTATTATTCAAGATTTGGTGAACATGCGTCTACTGGAAGAAGCCGGTGCAAAAGGTACATGCGCTGGGACCATGGAAATATTCTCGCCACATCGAAAGCTCAACGGACTGAGATCGAGTGACCCAGCCCGCTCTGCTGGCCGTGCAACTTTAGGATGGTTCCGATGCGATCTCCACCTTGTCGGTCATCGGGACTCGCAACAACACACTGCTTTTGTGACGGAAGACCCGGCTTGATGCGAGGGCTATTGAGAAGCTGAGATGAAGTCCCGCAAATCGCACCCGTATGGCCGGTTGCTGGTGCATACTCGAAGAAGAGCTAGAGTTGTGTGCATTCATTCAAATAGTACTTATCATCAGAGATTGTGGATCATCGAGAAGAAGCATCATAGCAGACAAGGAGTTGTATCAAGCTAGCATAAATGCACTTCGATCAAGACAGTATCAATTCCCTCATCTCCTTCATCATCGTTTTGAGCTTTCCTTTGTGCTGAGCCACTACTTGATCATGATATCGGTACCGACAAGTAGCGGCAGAATCCTAATGCACTCGCCAGCAGCCATGGAAGATCTGGATGTGCTATCCGTAGACAGTGACCATCCTTCTCTTCCTTTGCAACGTGATACACCAAGCTTCAGACCACGGAAAAAAGATAGATGGAGAATACGAAGAGCTGTCTGTTTCCTTAATTAGGTATTAATAGCGGTAATTTGGATGACTGCTGTACGGCCTTTTCCCTTCCAAATCGAAAATGCCGAAAATACAACCAGACAAAAACCTCGCTTGCTAAATAGTACAATACATGAAGTGATTGATCGTTTATCGGCCAAACATCATGCCAGGATGCCAACTTTCTCTCGTCTCACCTTGGCCTGCTGCGGACGAGCCGGCACTGCTCCTCCTGCGCTCGCTGACGACCGAGTTGTTCCGGCTCGCGGAGATGGTGTATTCGTTGCCGGGCCGGGCTTTGTGGAAAAGGCCACGGCGTAAGGGGACGTCGTAGATCCTGGGAGGAGCGGCGGGCTCGTCGGTGGGGAGGAGGAAGTCCGGAATGTACTTTTTGATTTGCATGGTGGTTGTGGTGGTGGTTGTTGTTGTTGTTGTTTCCTGGTCGTAGTAGTTGGACTTTGGGATCTCAAGGATTGGTGATATGGGTTTTGACAGTACTCCTTGCTTGAGGCTTGGGTGTGGGATTGGAGGTTGTTGTAGTTCAGACTGCTTGTGTTTTGTACTTGTGCTTGTGAGATGACGGGACACGAGGGCTGTCACTGGGGATGGCAAAGAGGTTATATATACCCCTACCTAGATAGCATGTCACATCTCAGGGAACGGCTGAATGCATTAGGAAAAATTGTACTGTCTAGAGTTGTAACAGTAGAACATTCGCGTATCGTAGTATACAAACTTTTGCGTCATAACACGCCCTGCGATGCGCCCTGGCGAATAATCACTCACCTGGTCACCGAAGGGTGCATCTGCGGTTACGAGGCATTTCTCAGCGGATTTGGGCCTCTGGTTGCTATTATTGGTGAGATGGGAACGAAAAACCTCTGCTGACAAAACGGGTCGATGGAAAGGCGCGAATTACACAGTAGACAAGCAACAACAAGCCACGAGGTTACATACAGTCCAGTACTTTTGCGCGCGTACAAAGGAAAGAATTTTTGCGGGCGAGAAAAGAATTGGTGACGTCACAGGCCAAGGGAAAGAGAAATCTTTCAGCCTTGCGCTTGATCGCGAGGCTGAGGATCAACTGCCTGTGAGCAATTTCGATTGTGAGAATACCTAGGTGTCTACAGGTATTATTCAGGTTGACCAGGGTGGATATTCTTCGTTGTTCTTACGAGCAGTATGGGCATCAGTCGTCTTACCAAACTTCTTCTCCCCGGATGTTCAGCCTGGTCAGCAATCGATACATACTATCCAAGCCTTTGTAGCTCGCTGCAAGACTCCTCGCTTGGATCGAACCCTCGAGCTTCGCTTACATGGGTCTGTTCAGTTCTCCAGCGTTCCACTCTCCGCCGAACAAACCTCCTTCTCCATTGTGGTCTGCCCGTGGGAATCGTGCCCTGTAGTACCGAAAGCCGTTGCTTCTTCTGCCCCTCCCAGGAAGCCAAGGGCGGATTCTCCGGGGCAAGGCCTAAATCCAAGCGCATCGGACTGCCCAGCTAAGGCTGCCTGTTGTCGAGAAAAGCCTCCAGGACCTTTTTCTTGCGTGCCTCCAGGGCCTTCTTGTCCTTGCCTTTGACTTTGTCATCATTCTCGGCCCGGATGACAATGGGTGCGAATATATCGGTGTACGCGTTGACCAACCCTTTTCGTCTTTCAGATTCAGCAGTGTCGAATTCTGCCGTGCTCCCCGATGACGACGTATTACTCTGCGTTGGTCGACGACGTAGTGCAGAGAAAAGGCTTCTCTTGGGAGGAGCTTCTTCAGCATATACCGAAGGCTCTGTCCCCGTCTCACTGGACATAGTTGAGGCCCTCGAACGCCTTGAAGTATTTGGTGAAGCCGCTTCCAGACTTGAGCCGGAGGCTGGAGCTCCATGCGGCACAAGTTCGTTGATCATCCTCGTCAAGAGAAATGTGATAAATGTGAAAGACACACTGCGGATGGGATGTTGAGACAAGGGGTCCATGACCATGTCCTGGATACCTTCCCGACTAGGCTCGACTTTGCCCTTTTCCATTGTTATCATTCGATATTCGACCTCCGACCACGTTTCGGCAGGGATTATACCGTCGCGCAAAGATTGAAGAAACTTCACGAATGTCTCGGCAAGCACTTCCAGCTTGACGATGCATGGGACATCAGGGTCAAAGTTGGCGTCCAGCGGCCTTGCTGTGTCCATTGCTTCACGGATACCTGCCAATAGATCCGAGCGCTCTTCGCCTTCGTGAAAGGTCCAGGTATCTCGACTGAATGGCCAGGAAATCCCCTCTGTTTCGTATTGCCATGGTGGAGTCTCTCCATCATGGATCATACCCCATTCCGCCGTCGACCGTTCGAGATAAACAGGAAGAATCTCGGTAAGAGCATATAACTCCTTAGGTGCAGAATGATGATTCATAGAACCTTTACCCCTGCATTCTGCAGACTCTGTGCTTTGGAGCATACGGACACCACCATCTGGAGCCTGCACTAATTCCTCGAGACTGCGGAAGAATGCTGATTGTAACCAGGTGCCTTTGATGGGAATGAAATGATCCCTGCCATGTTCAATTCTAAGCACTAGGATATCTTCAAGCTTGGTCTCCCCGTTGTTCAACTCCTGTACCAGCTTGCCTTCAGTAATTTCGACCGCCAACTCGATGCTGGTTGTTTCACCAGGAGATAGAGTCATTGGGCTTGTCACATTGCTGCGTCCTTTCTCGGGCTGTCGCATTATATCTGGATCAGCCTTCACCTCCAGCCATCGCGGTGCGACCAATGATTCTTCCCCGGACCCTGCCGGCCGCTCGACGAAGGAAAATGACGCTGCAATTTGCCCGGTATTCGCAATGGTTATTATCCGGATCTTTCTGACGGCGTAGCGCACCTCGCCGAAGTTTACGGCATTCATGTCTGCCGCACCGTCAGCGTTTGATATTGGCTCGTCAGATTGGTGGCTTTCCACTACCACTGTTAATGCAGGTCGGCCTTCATTCTCTGCTTTATCGAGCTCCCGAGCGACTTCCTGGTGCACTTTCGCCTTCAATTCCGGGATGACTGCATCATATGTCAAGGTGAATACGGCATCCAAGGGTTTGTGGTCTGACGACAAGACTCTTTGATGCGAGATATAATTGTTAAGCTGGATGATGTCGCCATAGTCTTCGTGCGTCCGAACCAGTTCTGCGTCATGACAGGCATCTTCCTGCTCATCATACTCGTCGTAGTCGTCGCCATAGGCCAGGCCGTCGGTATCTGGGTCGTAGTCAAACAGAACATCGTGCTCCGCGGTTGCCTGGTCAATTCCACGAGCTTTCAAGGATTCGTCTTTCTTGCGGGCTTCCTCAAGCTGTTTCATCTTCTCCTCATACATTTGCTTGTCTCGTCGGGTTCTGTAGAGAATCCTGTCACACCAACTTGGGCTCCGCTTCTTCTCTCCTGAATCAAACATGCCCACACTCCCAACGTCGTATTTATAGGTGGGCAGAAAATTGATTTCTCCCTCTCGCCAGCCTTCATGAAAGGCTTTTCGAAGCCTTTGTTGACGCCGCAGCTGGTCATGTGCTAAGAGCGACTCAATAGTAGTTTGCAGTGATGCTGGATCCGACTTGGGATCTAAGGGTGGCTCTGCCTCACTGGCAGTGGCCGGTCGTTCAGCATCACTGTATTCGTAGTGAGTTTTTTGATGATTTACCGCGTCACTGGAAGGAGGGCTGACATAGCCCAGCTCGCTATCGATGCGTCGCTTCGACTTATTCTCGAGGTCGTATTCATTTCGAGTGTGCAGCAGCAACAGTCTCCGAACGTCCTCTCCAGGGATATCATCTAAGCGATAATTCAAGTCGCCAAACCAGAATGCGAAATCCTCATCGCCGATACTTTCCTCTCCACTTTCCACTATTTCTCCGTCCGGACTGACAGGCGCAAATCGGGTGCGATTCAATATCTGGGTTGTGTCCCAAATTCGACGATTCAGGGCGGTTTGATCGGCTCCAGCAGCGAGATGGCAGTTAACAAAGCACAATCGGGTCGTTTCAGCAATCATGAGTCTGGCTGAGACGGCACCTTTGTTGCCGAGATAACCCATCAAACCGGTTCCAACAGACGTCGTGCTCACCGAGCCGATGCTTGGAGCGAGCTCCGGAGAAGCGTAGATCAGAAGAAGCAGTCCAAGAAGCTGCTCTTCTGCGATCTTCTTATACCCAGGCGGCAGAGCACGTTTCAGCGCCCGCTTCCACTTTTTCCCAGGATTGGGATCAGTGTACGGCTTGATGGCTTCAGTCATCGAAGATACGTCAATGACCTCCTGCAGGCCTAAGACATAAAGGTCGATTTGGTCGCCGCTGGGCTCTCCCGGGACATCATTCTTGGGGACGGTGGTCTTCTTTTTCGTTGTTCTGACGCGTGCTTCTTGAGCTTCGATCGACTCGATGTTTTGGTCGCCATCGGAGTCGGCTTCATCGTCCACAGAGAGGCCACTCATATTTTGCGAGAGACCCCTCATTCCGTACCCTCCAACGAACCACGCACCCAAGTCCTTCTCAGTGCCACTGATCGAGGCAACATTCCAGGTCCCAATTTTGATCTTCATGGTCTTTTTCCGTACATACTCGCTTTTCCGAGCCCTCACGGCAGCTGATAATGATTGAGGCGCCGAGATTTGAGCATCTTGAGAGAATGGCGACGCTGGATATGCCCCTGGGGCTTTGAGCTGCTTCGAGCCCCAAGGATCTGACGACTTCCATGGCTCGGGGGAGAGTCGATTGTCATCGGATTTGTCTGGTTTTAGCGACATGGCAGTCCAAGTGGAACAGACAGCGTTGAAAGCTGAAGTCTATAGCTGTTCCGTCGTGATACTCATGACTGCGATAATTGTTGACGGCTAGCTAGAGACTTTGCCCATTTCAAGACCGAAGAACACAAGATCATGATTAAGATACAAAAAGATGCTATCTCTGTGTTTTTTTCCCACAATCAATAGTAATGATGTCTGGTCGCGTGGGTTCTGATGACATGATTTGGGGGAATTTGCACAGCCACGCCCGTCAAACGGGTCTGTTCTTGTCGCGCTCACTCGCCCTCGACGAGCAGGTCAGCAGCCTTGATCCATGAATTTACTGTGCATATGATCAACAACGAGCAAGCCAGGTACGTCTGTAATCCTTGCTCATCAAGTCTAGACCCAGTGATCTTCCTAGGTAAATCCTTGGCTGGGGAAGCGGTCGATAAGGAGCACGAACAGGGCAAAGCAGCCTTTGGTGAGCCTGCGATTTTGCGTCATCCTTGTGATTCCTCGCTAAAACATCCGACAACCCAACACCATGCTATTCTAACAATTGCATCCGTAGATTTGCTAGATTCTACCAAGTTATCCTCATTGGGATTACCGGTCCTTTTCACGAGCTTCTTCACACGCCATGTGTCGGTAACACTTCCGGCGCTTCAGGATGGATACACGACCGACCATCGACGATTCCTCGGGGCCTGTAGCCTTGTCCGCTTCGTTCAACAGTGATGCAAGTTGTTTCGCTGTTGGGCTGGACACAGGCTTCTGTGGTATGTCTCGTGCCTCAGACATCCAGAGTTGTGATCGCTGACCTTTGTCCAGTGTTCAATTCGGACCCATGTGAACTGAAGGCTTCCAGAGGTACCGCCTACATCGTTCCCTTTCCGGCCACGAGCTAAGGAGAAGCAGACTTGAATGCCGGCATTGGAACGGCCGAGATGCTTGGGCGGTACAACTATCTGGCACTAGTAGGAGGTGGAAAGAATCCGAGATGGCCACAAACAAAAGTACGGAGTGAATCCACCCCAGGGCGCAGGAAGAGCAGCGGGCTGATACAAACACCAGGTCATGATTTGGGATGACGCGAAGCAAAAAGTTGCTATCACCCTCGAGCTCAAAACTGCAGTGCTTCGAGTGTGCTTGACAAAGACTTGGATCGCCATCGCAATCCAGAACAGCATACACCTGTACAAGTTCTCGTCCCCTCCCGAACGGACGGCCATCTTTGAGACGGCAGACAACCCTCTGGGACTATGTTGCCTGGGATCCAGGGTGGTGGCATTTCCGGGTCGATCTCCCGGAAAAGTACAACTTGTTGAACTCGGCTCAGGGAACGTCAGCATTATCCCAGCACACACCTCAGCCTTGCGAGCGATGGACCTCAGCGCCGACGGACAACTGCTAGCCACGGCTAGTGAGCAAGGTACATTGATCCGCGTGTATTCAACATCAAACTGTACTAAGATCGCTGAACTTCGTCGCGGAGTTGATCCCGCCTATATCTTCAGCATCGCTATTTCCCCCAATTCCAGCATGCTTGCTGTTACGTCAGACAAATCCACCCTTCATGTGTTCGACCTCCCTCTGTCTTCACTGTCGCAACCCCACAGTCCGAGAAGCCCGCGCCGCTCACAATCGCCTCATGTTCCTGGAGACGAGGACGTCTCCACGAACCAGAAATGGGGATTTTTGTCCAAAATTCCTCTTCTTCCTCGAGTCTTCTCCGACATCTACTCATTTGCGTCGACGCATTTCGAGATGGGCGATGAGAATTTAGGTCTCAATGGATCCTCATTATCATATCTCCCTGCCCTGGGATCATTGCCGCATCGACCACAAAAAGGCATCTTGGGATGGATCGACAATGCGACTCTGATCTGTATCGGTACCGGTCGAGACGCCCGGTGGGAAAGATTTAGAGTCGGCGAAAGACCTGGTATTGCAGACGAGGGCCAAAGATCGGTTTGGAGAGATGGCTGGAGAAAGTATCTGGGCAGCTGAAGCAAAACTCAGATGTCGCTCAGATGTCCTAACTAGAAGAAGAAATATTTGGCTGACTGAGGGTCTCTGCCTCGAAGAAACAATCCATATGCCATCCGCTGAAGGGATGTGCCAACAACTTAGAAGAGCAGAAAGCCGCGATGGAACCGAGAGTCTGATTTGAGCGGCATCAGATTGGGCAAACCAAGAGCCGGTAACACATATTGATAGGAGCTACACATCCTCGGGCGATGGCAGAAGTATGCTTTCTATCCAGGATTCACAGACTAGATCACAGCCGTCTATCGAACTAGTGGAATGTGGTCCGGAAGTCTAGTGTGTTGGTTGTGTGCAAGGCTCTGTTCCTGAGGGAAAGACGTCACACAGTTGATATGGAGGGATTTCGTGCTTGGGGCCAGTGGCCGGCTGCAACAGAAAAGATGGAATGTGACTAACACTAGATGATACCTTCTAGATAAGGTGGGCAGCTGTGTATCAAATCAGCTACGGCATCACTCACGGTGACAGATCTAAGCACGGTATTTCAGCTATGCAGGAATGATTTTCGTCCCTTTTCAAGAAGCAGTCTCACAGCATCAGCCCGACTCCCTCGGGTCTCCACCCTTTTCGCCTCAAAACGGCCAGGGAATGGTATGTGGTGTCTTTTGCTCTGAGCAACAGCGTTAGTCGAATGACAAGTGGTTCGGCCACTTATTGTGTTTGACGAAGAGGATGTCCCAACCCTCGGAAGCATCGCCGGCGCAATCCCCAACTGCTTGGCAGAATATGTACGAATACCTAGTGACGAATGCTGTCCTCTTCGCAAAAGCAACATGCAGTGCGAGGGAGTACTCGGCCTCCCTTTCCCAACTAGCATCAAGTTTTCATTGCCATCGGGCAGACAATCACAGCAACGACGGCAGCAGCATGGACGTCAATTGGCTTACTATGTAAGTGCCTGCGAGGAGCTCCATATATTCGGACTCAATGGACGCCCTCTGGCGAGCCTGGCGTGGCATGTTTGCAGCAAGAAAGATAACGCAAGCTGCATCTGGGCGCTAGCTGCACCACCGGAGTATTCGCAAACTCGAATCGAAACGCAGAGTTGCGCTTCGTGGAAGGTGGGGGACTCCCTCTGGTCTTTCCCACGGACCCGCTCAACGGGGCGAGCCCTTGACAGCTCGATTGGCTGGACAAGGCCCTCGCGGACGAGGCCGTTGGGTCCCATCCTGGGCTCTCACAAACGTGGGATCTAGAGGCAGTCTCGTTTCTTGCAGAGGCTGCCCAGCTCATTACCTAAACGCATGATCTATCAACCAGGACCAGAACGAGGTTAGCAGGCAGTGCGACGTGGGTTGAGCTGGTGATTCTGCCACTGCTAGCATCTGCAACTACCGAGCAGAGGGCCACGACGAGCAATCCCTAAGCTATATAAGCACCGAAGAACTTGAAGATGCACCTCTTCTTCTTTTTTTTTCCCATCACGGCAACGAGAATCGCTAACATAAATCACAACGACCAAGCACAACTTTGAAAGAAAGCATCAAAAACCCCACACACCTCACAATGGAACCTCACTGCAGTACCTGTGGCCACGCCGCCTCTGGATGCAATGGATGCACTTGCTGCTCGGTATGACCCCTCCGTCCTCTTCTTTTGTCCTTTCCTCCTCCATGGCTCCCATCGCCTGGTCACATGGGGATAGGATCCCGTACTGACATGCCGGTTCAATCTTCAAGCACTAAACAATACCGTACGAGTCTCCGGACCAACATGCTTAAGGGCGAAAGACAATCTCTTCGATCTTTGTTGGACGTATAGACGGGTTGAAGTGCCTCAAGGCATGTAGTACGAGATGAGATGAGCTGGGCTGGGCTGGATGGGGCTTTGGTGGAGGATGCTTCGTCTCACCGAAGACCTAGATAGCTAGTCAGGACAACTTTGATTCGGCAATACCACTACCTTATACTCAGCCCCGACTTTTCACACTCTCCAACGTACATTTCCGTTTCCAGGCCTAAGAAACTCGTCGTTGTCACCTGAGTCCATGACCAAGCAATTGCTCTGAGGACTAGAGCATAGAGAGATACTGTATGTTCCCAACAATGACATTAGCCGCGCGCGCTGGTTAATCAATTTGCAAGAAGCGAAAGTGACAGTCCGAGCAATGGTTGCAGACGAAGCAGGGTTGCCTGGGGACTCGTTAACAGAAATGCTGTTGCTATCAGCAGAAGAGATGCAAGAGACTGGACTGCGTTTACTACTACGTATAGTCGTTGCGAGGGAAGCCTGCTTCGGCCGAGGCCGTTTGCCTTTCGGGAACACTGGCGGGGCCCGAGCCTCATACTGTTAGTACAGAGTTAGCCTAGGAGCCTCGTAGCATCGTCAGCAAACTTCCAACTTGTGTGAGACAACATGAATGATCTGTTAAAAGTTCCAAGCAAAACTCAAGCGGTAGAAAAGGTTCAATCTTTGATTTCTCCGAATCTGAAAGAACAATATCTAGATCTCGAGCCCATCTCAACGGACCCAGTTCGAAGATTTAGGTCCCATCGCCTCGCCATCCGACGTCCCCAGCGTCAATTGTTGTTAGTAGCAAAGAACATATCTTCATCTCGTTTCGCTCTTGATGTCGTGCAGACAAGAACATGCTTATTACCGTTCACATCGCATTCCAATGTGGACGTTTGACTCCAAACCAGCTCTACCTTCGCCTCGCAAAGCAAAAGGAACAAATTCCCGTCTGGCTACCGTCAAACCTGAGCTTGGGTCCAGAAATCAAGGCTAGCAATCACGTCTTCGCCACTCTCGTCTTCATAAGCGTACAATATCTGTAGAAGGTTAGCTACATGGCCATGCCCATTCAAGACTGATAACTCACCTCTCGAGTGCTCGAGTGAAGCATCCTCACATTCTTGCCGGTCATGACATGAATCAACTCGCTAGTCTCAATATGTCTGATCTCGATAAAGCTTGGCTCAAATGCAAGAATGTACGGGTAATTCAGCGCAAAGGCTTGTGGTGTGCCTTCCCAGGTAATCTTCCAGTCCTGTCGAGCACGCCACCCATTCCTATTGACGAAGAAGCTAAAGTCTGAATAATTGAGTAGGAATTCCCCGTTGAGTCGTTCGATGTGAATGGGCTTGACGTTTTCCTTTCTTGTCACAAAATCAAGAGAAGTATCGGCTTGATCGAGAAGTGACTGTCGCTCAGTAGTCTCCAACGACACGACTTCGAAGCCCCTGGCGCAGCCGACGCAGAGTGTCGACCTTAGGTAGTGGACCGATGTCGATTCGGCTGGGATGTAAAATTCCTGCATCGTTGTTAGTATGGGCCGATCCGGCAACACGATGGACATACCTTGAAAGGCTTCAGAGCATCTTGGCCACTAGCAAACATTTTACTGATGGCAGGTTTCTTCTTGCCCTTTGTGAGATCGTCCATTGGCTCGTAGACCTTGATTGTGGTAGACAGCGCTGAGGTCTTGACGGAGCAAACCAAATGTCTACCCAAGCCGATTCCAGCTTTGAAAAAATTGGCGTGGCCCTGAATCTTTCGAGGTCGCGTTGCCAGTGGGTTCTGATTGTTGGCGTCGAGCGCTTCGAAAGGGTAAGAAGTCAGTGTCTTATTTGACAGGACCAAAAGTAGTCTGTACTCTTCGAGCGTGTCGATTTGGGATACCTGGGTTGCATCCAGGATTCGCCTCGGCTTTATGGACTTATCCTTGGTAAATCGATCAGCGATGTAAATTCCATTGTCAGTGCCAATGATGAGTTTTCTACCACCATCGGTAGGCACAAGACAGTTGACACGGTTTTGGGCATTGAAGAAGCCTTCGCAGAGGATTGCCTTGGTATAGAAGTTGCTGCTGCGTTCCCGAAGCTTGCTCTGTTGTTCTTCCACCAACTCAATGAACTTCTTACGTTGCGTGATGGAGGTGGCATAGAGCTGGAGTTCGTACGCACCCTTCCCAAGGTGACGAAACGTGATTGGATACACTTCCTTTTGGCCTGGAGTGCTTGACGTGGATGATTTGGCCCCCGGGATCAGACTTGACGATGGACGCTTTGCAATTCCTAGGCGGGGAATGACTTGATCCATTTCAGCAATGACCAGAAGCTCCAAGGGGATTGGTTTCCTGTAGACACGCAGTTCTTCTCTTTTATTCACAGTCTTGACCCTGCACATCAAGACGGCATGATCAAACAAATAGACTTGTACTTCTGCAGTGTCGGTCGGCGTTTTCTTGAAGCTCATCTTGGTCAGGATGACACGATTTTCCTCGGTGAGCTTCAAATCCGTGTATTCTCCTGGGTTCCATTTCAGTTGCTGATTCAATTGCAGCAGGTTGAAGTGGTTCTCTGCCTTGCCACTTTCGGCATTGACGCGTGCCAGGAAGTCCCTGATGATCCCGATAGCTTTAGGGAGGTCTTTTTTGTCAGGGTTGTCGTCCTTGGTGTATTTCAGTACGTTATCGAGAAGTAGTGGATATCGAGCCAGGCGCGTCGTCGGCTTTGTCAGATACCCATTAAGCTCAAGCTTTCTTGACTCTTTGAGTCTCTCAGTCTCATCGACGAACCTAGAGAATGCTGGGTTTGCCCCCTTCTCCTTCTCAAACTCGTATTTGCCGTACATCTGATTCGCACCATACTTGATGAAAGGGTCGAATTGGGGAACCCACTTCAAGAAAACATCACCGATGCTCTGGACCACATGTTGTTCCTTTTGCCGCTTGGACAGCTCGTCCGCAAATTTGCCATTGACTGCGAGGACCTCAAGGCAATTGCCGAAGACGGTACGCACAAACTTCTCCCGTCTCTCTTCTTTGATTGGGGACACGACGTTACCCAAACCGCGCAGTGGTCTTATCCAGAAATCGCGCAGGTATTCCAAGTCCTTGACGAAGTCGCGCTCTGTGTACATGATCTCAGAGATGACCTCTTGCCTCTTCTTTTCACGGTCATCGATTCTATCGGCAACCTCTTTCGGCACACTGTTGATCCAGAGCTTCTGTTCCTGGTCATCATCACCATGTAGACTGCCTCTTGAATTCGAATGTCGTAGGCCCGGCTGTGGTTTCAAATTGAGCCGGGCTTGTTGTTCCAGTCGTCGCGGACACGCGATGGAATAGCAGAGGTTATCTCTTGTGCAGGTTGGGGAGTAGCATTCTGTGAGCAGAGTGAAGACACCATTGACATCTTTGGACGATGCCTCCTCTCCCATCGTCTCTCTGAACTGGTAGACCTCTCCAGGCGCATCTCTCAGACGGTGTTCATATGTGACATCATGGAAAAACTTTTGCGCATCAAGGGCGCGACCTAGAAGAAGAGCCAGGTTACGGTCCGTTGTCTTGATAATGTATGCGATCAGATCGACGGCCTCCGCGCCTGTAAAGGCATTCTTGTAGGACAGGTCATTTTTCTCCCGATCACCGACACCAATACGTTCTTGAAAAGCGCTAGCCACGCGCGACAGAAGAGCAGGATAGACCAGCGGCGATTTCCGCTGAACCACAGTCGCTGTTGTTGTCTGACTTGAGGACTGGCTGGACGGCGGTGGTCGTTGCTTCATGCTGTCGCTACGGGAGCCATTTATAGTTGTGCCTGTCATGTCGGACGAACCTGACGCGACAGAGGCCGAGGATACTGTGCGCGGAGTAACGCTGGTCTCACTAGGACGCCGAGCCCGATGCGTTTGCATATAAGCCGGTGAGCTTGTCGAATTGAAAGATCCGTTGGGGGATACTTGGTCCGCGAATGGATTTGAATCCGTCTCTCGACGACGTCCAGGCACGACTCTCCCACTAGTCAACTGCTGTGCATGATCACGATCGAAAGAATAGGAGCCCATTGACATTGCTCTATCATCAGGCCTTTCAGGTATATGTCTTCCTTGTGCTGTCGTTCTGGATGCACCCATTCCTGCATACGGTTGTTGTCTGAATGCGCTAGCTGTGCCTTGCTGGAAACTGGTCGGAGGAGGTCTGTACCCAATTGTCGGCTCTCCCGGTCTAACCATGGAGCGCGATCGGTACGCATCGTTGTTGAGCGCTGGTGGTGGCATGCGGTTGGGTATCGGCTTGCGCTCGTATGGGTTTGCCATGATTGGCGGCGCTCCCGGCCTAGGATCGATGCGCTGAGGAGGAGGATAGGGTCGTCGATCGGGAAATGAAGGAGGTGGATTATGAGGCATGGGCCTGTTTGTTCCATTCATATACGGCTGGCCTGGAGCAATGCCGTTTGCTCGATCATAAGTTTGAGGGGGTTGCCGCACGGGAGGAGGAGGTCCGTGTCTCGCAGACATTGTGTGCTGGGATGGCATGCCAGACCCCATACTATTCAGTCGATCGTACATTATGCCGGACGACTGCGTTGTCATTGTCTGAGATCTTCCTGGAGGCGGCGCCCCTCCGAATATGTTGTGGAAAGCGGCGTCTCTGTGACGATCGGCCGAGCCACCATAGTCCTGGCCTCGGGAAGCATGGTAGCGAGACTCGGGGCTACCATAGTCTGCCATGCTCAGTCAAGAGATAGCAGATGAAGGACGGCCTTGGAGGGTGGTGTATGTCACCGAAGGTGCATCGAGCGCAACTGGGCTGAATTGGCAGGGGCGTTGGTAGGAAGTTAGGGGATGTTCGCTTCCCCTTCTCTCTTCTATATCTGCTTTGTCCTAGTCCGGATAACTCGGATATGGACAGACTATCGCATGCAGAAAGAGCTTCGGCGAGGCTTCGTGGGCAAGGAGGGTGGATAAAAGGTGGCTGAGGTTAAGATTGAGATCTGTGTCGTGGAGGGAGTCGCGGCCCAGGTGGATAGAATTACATGTGATGTCGCACAAAATCATGCCTCTCCCATGCCAGCAGGAGCAGAGCAGAAATGACAGATATGGCCTGAGGATGTGAAAATAATGTGCGAATGGCTATAGTGGTGGTAGAGAGTGAACAAGTTGACCAAGTTGAATGTCGTGCAAGATGGGAGAGAGACGCAGCCTGTTGCCGCGTGTCATTGGCTCCTTCCCGCGAAGCTTTTTCCACTCTCGCAACGGTGATGTGACCAGCAGCAGCAGCAGCAGGCATTTCTATTCTACCCACAGCTGCATCACCTCCTTCCCCCTCGCCCTCTCCATTATTTCAAGGCGATAAGAGAACAAGCTACGTGCTTACCAGATCGACAAGATGGCAGGCATCATGGATACTCCCGCAAACGAATATACACCCAGCTTTGCACCCTTCTTTGGAATGGCAAGTCGTTCCCATCACACCTCACTTGATAGCAGTGCTGACAATTCATTAGGCTGGAATTGCATCTGCAGTATGTCGCCGAAACTTCGCGTCGAGACCTTCACTGACCGACGACTCGCTAGATGATTTTTGGATGTATGATCTATGGTTGATAGAGACTGGTGGTAGCAAGATACTGAGAACATACAGGTCTAGGAGCAGCATATGGCACGGCAAAAGCAGGAATTGGCATCGCCGGTGTTGGCCAATACCGCCCTGATCTGGTCATGAAGGTCTGAACAAGCACAACCACCCCGCCACTCAGGACTGACCAGGCTATAGTCACTGATACCGGTGGTCATGGCTGGTATCATCGCCGTCTACGCTCTCGTCATCTCCGTATTGATTGCTGGAGACATGGAACCTCCACCAGCAAAGCACTACAGCCTGTTCACCGGATTTATGCACCTGGCCAGCGGTCTCAGCGTTGGCTTGGCCGGTTTGGCCGCTGGTTATGCCATTGGCATTGTCGGAGATATGGGTGTGAGGTCTTATATGCAACAGTCGAGGATCTTCGTAGGAATGGTGCTCATCCTGATTTTTGCTGAAGTGCTGGGGCTCTATGGCCTGATTGTGGGTTTGCTCTTGAATTCGAAGAGTTAGACGAAACCGCAGGGGAACGCCGCTTGCTGAGAGCGCAATCGAGGGAAATTTACTGCTCACGCTGCTACGATTGTAGACAGCATTGCAAGCAGATTCTCTGTACTAGTAATGTTTCGAATCAATTCAATGCTACATGATGCCGTTCCATACGCCCCATCCACTTCGCGTCATCCTTCCAAGAACGTCCCGAGATTTCCACCAATATGCTTCAAGTCTAGTAAAAACGTATCATGACCGAAGAGACTGATATCCTCTCCTAGCTCGACATGGGTCACTTGATGGTTGCCCGTGGCACGTAGTGTCTCAGCGATTTCGCGTTGCTGCCAGGCTGGGAAAAGGATGTCACTTGCCACGCCCATGACCAATACGGGATGTGATCTCAATGCCTCCATACCTCTAACAAGATCCTGAGGCGGCCCGGGCGCAACAGAATCAACAGCCTCATCCATAGGAGCCGTAAGCTCCTGTTCTTCATATTTCTTCGAGGGTAATGTCAGACTGCAAGAGACGTCATTCCGTACCGGCCGACCTCCACGTTGGCTCAGTTTTTCAAGGTTCTGCTGCCGCCTTATTCTGGTCCTGTCCTGATGAGCATATCCCAAGTCGAAGAGATCCATGGCTTTCGATACATATAGGAGCGAATTCGGATCGTACTCCAGGGAGAACTTCTCCCCAGCATGATCAAGGTACGTTTCGATAAGGAAGTCGGGGCACAATGCAGGCTGTTTGCTCGGGTCCGCTCGCCGTCGTCCGAATCGGTTCTCCCACTCGGGTCCGCTTCGATAAGTCACAGTGGCAATCTCACGGGCGAGTTTCATGCCAGAATGGGGCGGGATGCTGTCGTAGTAAAAGCCGCGATTCCACTTAGGATCCATCATCAAGACCTGCCGTTGTGTATGCCTCATCGCGATACTATAGGGGTGACTCCTAGCACATCCAGATATGCTGACGACCTTGCCTACTCGGTCGGGAAAATGTACGCCGAAAGCAAGACTCTGCATTCCGCCCATACTTGCCCCCACACTTGCATACAATCGCTTGATACCAAGGCCATCCAACAATCTTGCTTGTGCTCGTACCATGTCGTCCATGGTTAATATGGGAAATCTTGTGGCATACCTTTGCCCATCGGAGGGGTCGATCGAAGAAGGACCGGTCGAACCAAAGCAACCGCCGATCACATTTGTGCATATGACGAAGTATTTGTTGGTGTCTATAGGTGCACCTGGTCCAATGAATTTCTCCCACCAGCCAGGTTTTGTGTTAGCCTTGGTGCTGTGTGCGTGGCTTGACGCCGATAGACCAGTGTGTAGGAGGATGGCATTGCTCTTGTCTTCGTTCAAGGTTCCCCAGGTCTCATGAGCAATTTCAAATTCTGGCAGGACACCACCCCAGTCAAGTAGTAGTGGCTCAGGACTATGAAACACCACATGAGTACCGGTGGTATAAGAGGGCTCAGGGCCAGACTCTAGCGACCGGCTCTGTAATGCAGCCGTCTTCTGTTCCTGAGCGTCAAGACACGGGAATACCATGGCGGGATTGGAAGGTTCGGCGGGTTCCCAAACATCCTCCTCTTGTGCTGGAGCAGCTGCCTGGGCGTGGTGGCCAGAGCGAGTGTGTAGATAGGCATTCGTAATCGGATTCTTGCTTGGGACGCCAGAATGCTGCCGTCTAGGGCTGAAGGGAGAGGGCTTCACGGTCATAGATTTGGAGCCTCGAGTGAGCAGGCGAGCCGCTATCTGAGCCCCTCGGGGGGCCGCCATGCTGGTTGTCGATTCGATCCCAGACAGATGATGGGAGAAGAGAGGACGGTGCCTCTTTCTGGAGGTAGTTTTTGAGAAACAGACTCCATTTTGCCCTCTGACATATTTTGCACTGGTTCAAGCACGAACTGACCGAGGGAATTGCGCATTAGCAGAATCACATCATCAGGATCCAATGGAAATGCTAAAAAATTCTCCGAGGTCGCTCGACCTTCCACGGTTAGACACTTCTAGCGTGAGATCCAGACCTCGAGCCCAGATGGCAGATGTGGTGGAATGTTGGTACAGAGCATAGTTATCAACGGCCAGAAGAACGTTGGCGGCTTGTCAAGATCAACACTGGATGATTGTGAAGAGCGCTTCTCGGATACCCTTTTGCTGGAAAACTTGTCAGCCAAGGAAACTATCCACGATGACTTGTTGCAAGGTGTTCCGGATCAGCTTCTCTCCGTCGTCCTGAAGATCTTCTTTCAATAATCGGACAATTGATGGAAATAGTCCTCCAGATTGTTTCACCATTGCTATGGTGTCGGAATACGCCATGCCAGCGGACAGACAAGAGCCCTATCAAATCACCTCTTGCGCAGCGTGATGGAAGCCCACAGTACGCGTGTCGACAAACCAGCACTGCCGAAGATGTGGAGATAGGATTGCGTAAGGCGGGTTCCAGCTGAGTGTCCATTGCTGTGGCATCGCAGCGATTGACTGTGTACCTCTTACAGCAAGTACCTGTAGACGATGCTGTTCTGTAAAGAGACGTGGTCTCGAATGTTAGCCTGTGGATTTTTCAAATCAAGCTCGGCTGTCCGCTCAAAGACCTAGCACTAGCTTTCAAGATATGTACCATAGTAGAATTTGGCCAAGTCGAGTGGAAATTCGATCATAGGTTCGGATATTGTATCTCAAACAAGTAGCACCGGCATCCTGAAAGCTTGTGCTGAAAAGCGAAGCCGAACCCCTGTCAACCTCGATCCAGCAGGAAGGAACCCAGTGGAAACCCTTAGTGTGGTGGTGTGCTACAAGGAATAATCTTGCGGTCGTCGTAATGATGCACGTTCAGCCAGAGACAAATCCGTGCGCAGCTTCTCGTTCTCAGCATCCTCTCCTTTATTTCTTTGCAGACGGTCCACTCTCACCCTGATTCAGCACTCGACTCTCCTTGCAAATCCAGGTTTGATCTCCGGCGGACGACTCTGTAATATCACCCTGCGCTCTCTCTGCGCACCTCCAACTACGCAGGGCACTCTGGACAGACACACAACTTCGAAACCACCATGTGCAACCAATCAACTTCATAGATGCGGGCGCCTGCACTGGCGCTCACCTCAGATTCGGACGGCATCCGGTTAAAAAAGTACACAGTGCTGCGGCAGTGAGGTATACCTGCACCCAATGATCGCCGCTACATAATATCTCAACTCGCGCGTGCTTCTTGGTGACCGAGTGAAAAGGCCATCTTTGAACCGACTTCAGCCATGGTGATCTCAACAACAGTGAAGCGAGTAGCTGCGGTTGCTGCTGTCCTCCTCACCTTATTCCTACTCCTCCGGCCTACCTCTCCCTCAGTGTCTGATCCCGCCTTGGTGCATTCGACGGTGCAAAGAGCAGGACAACCTTCGAGATCCTACCCTCCACCCAAATCGGTATCCAGAACCCAACAAGACGAACAGACCCTACAGAACCTCGCTTCCAAGCCATTGCGTGAACGCTTGCGCTATCATTTCCCTTACGACATCGAGATCAAGTTCCCTGCATTTGTATGGCAGACGTGGAAGACAGGACCAGGTTCGGGCAAATTTGAAGAAAGGCTGAGACCTTTCGAAGCCTCATGGACAACTTTACACCCCGGTTTCGTTCACGAGGTCATTACGGATGATGCTGCGGTTCACTTGATCAACTATTTATATGCTTCTGTGCCGGATGTTGTCGAAGCGTATGAGGCCATGCCATTACCAGTTCTGAAGGCCGACTTCTTCCGGTATCTAATCTTACTTGCTCGTGGAGGCATCTACAGTGATATCGACACTCAGGCGCTACAGTCCGCCGCCGATTGGCTACCCCCCAATCTCGACAAGTCCACCGTCGGCTTGGTCATTGGAATCGAGGCAGACCCAGACAGGCCGGACTGGAACGAGTGGTATGCTAGGAGGATACAATTCTGCCAGTGGACGATCCAAGCCAAACCCGGACATCCTGTCTTGAGAGATATTGTGGCTACGATTACAGAAGACACTCTGGCCATGAAAAACGCTGGTCGTCTTCGAAAGGGCAAACTCCCCGACAGGAGTATCATGGAGTACACAGGTCCCGGTGTGTGGACCGATGCACTGTTTACATATTTTAACAACAAGGAGCACTTTGATTTCAGTTCACGAAGGTCGAATGTTACATACGCAGATTTCTTTGGTATCACAGAACACAAGAAGATTGGCGATGTTGTTGTCCTGCCGATTACCAGTTTCAGTCCCGGAGTCGGCCAGATGGGTGCTGAGAGCCCTGACCATCCGATGGCTTTTGTGAAACACGAGTTTGACGGTGAGTCCAAAGACTTTGCCCGGCATGCGATATCTCAACTAATCAATGACAGGATCCTGGAAGCCACAACAGGAACGCATGAAGGGCGAATAGTGTCTCAATGCTTTGCTAACTTGTGGAGATATACATGTTTAAGTACAATGAAAAGTCTTGCCGCGTTCTGAGCAGAGCGGGGGGTTCGTTTTGGTTGCCGACAGGGTCAACATTGGGGTCCCAGACATATTTCAATAGACAGCTCGACAGCTCGACAGCTCGACAACATCCGAGAGTTCTCCAGCTCAGTACAATTGTTGTATCCCGTCCGATCCTACGAATTCGGGCCTGGAGCCTAACGGCAGCGAAAAAGCAGGAATTCTCCGCGGGACGAAGTGGCTATCAAACAAATTGTCAGTGCATATAGACGGCGTTGAGAGAAAGAGCACAGGCCAGCCGGGATGACGGGACATGGCATATGTGCAAAGACCTCTTATTGACCGTCATGCTCCAATATTGACAATGCTAGTGACCGAGAAATATATTTCGCTACGTCCTCATTCAATAATAGCTGGTCGAGGCTATAAGCGAGCAGACGCTTTTGCAATTCTGGGAGCGTCTACTCCCTACCGACCAAGCAAGGTATGAGACATTGGCCCAGGACACCAGGTCTTTGCCTTGGATTACTTCTACTCGTAGCGAGCCCTCCACTGTGGTGTTCCGTTCGTCGCGCTATGGTTGAATCCGACCAGATCAGCCGTGTTTGAGTTGGACAGACAGGGCTCGATGATCGAGACCAGACAGCTGAAATCGACCGCTGAATTTGTTATGGAGATGGAATTTTCGGGTTCCACAAGCATGGGCCGCCAGATGCTCAGATTTCAGTTGGCTCACAGTGCTCACTTGTACCAAATATCAGTGCATGATGGTGCCTAGTGCCTAAGCTATCCGCGTATCGCAGGCTGCAGGATGCCCAAACAAGGCTTCTCACGCTCCTCCGTCATCTGCAGCTGGCTCGCTTTTTTTGCCCCGCCATGCCCGCGCAGGCTCTGGCTACCTCTTTTCAGCCATGCCCAGCGGTCTCGTCGTCCCACCCTTTCGTCATTCTCAATCCCATGTTTCAAACTCCACTTGGTGAGCGCCAAAACTGAAAGTGTTATTGTCGGTGCTTGCTTGTTGGTCGTTGGTTGCTGATTGACAGCTATTTTCCATTGCTCTACGTCGCGGCGGTGGCTTGGGTTCGGCTGCTGGCTTCTTCCACGACTGCGCAATTCAATCCCTCGTTCCCTCACATTCCCCCACAATCTGTTCCTTGCTCTATCTATTGTGAATTCGGCTGTCTCGTATTTCCTGAATCGCATGGGTGCAATTGGCGCTCCGACATGACTCTAGGCCTCCACGGCTGCCACGATTAAGGAAGATGCAAATTGGTTGCACCGATGAGCACAGCGACGCTTCAGCCGTCGCAGCAACCGCAGCAGCCGCGAGCAGCCTCAGCTCAAGGCCATAGGCAATCTCTGCGACCTGGTAACCCACAAAATGCTAGAAGCGCCTCCCATCCTCACCCGAGTCGCCAGCACGAAAAGGATCTGGTCCTCAACCATGGCCACGCAGAGAAATCGAGGCCTGTCATGCCTCCGGAGGAGATATCAAAGGATCCTGAAAAGAAACAGTTAGGACAATCATCAAGACATTTGAAGCTCAGCGACTTCGAACTGATGCGGACCCTGGGTATGAGATCTGGTGATTGCCTGCTCGGATTCTTAAACTGACAACGTCTGGCCAGGAACCGGAACGTTTGCTCGAGTGTGGCTGTGCCGATTTGCCAATCCTCACCCACAAGACAAAGACAAGGTCTTCGCGTTGAAAGTTCTAAAAAAAGTCGATGTAATCAAGTTGAAGCAGGTCGAACATGTGCGGAACGAGCGAGACGTCCTTGCCGCAGTCGCCGGGCACCCTTTCATAACGACTCTGGTCACGTCGTTCTCCGATGACACCTCATTATACATGCTCCTCGACTATACTCCCGGAGGAGAGATTTTCTCCTACCTTCGACGTGCGCGGCGCTTCTCCTTCGCAACAGTACAATTTTATGCGGCAGAAATCACTCTGATATTGGCTTATCTACATGAAGTACAGTTTGTTGCTTATCGAGATCTGAAACCCGAGAATATCCTGCTGGATGTGGATGGCCACCTGAAACTCGTCGACTTTGGGTTTGCCAAATACCTACCGCCTACCCCCGATCAAACGTCTCCCAATATTCCAAACAATCACCATGTTAAGCCGGCTTCAGAGCATCCCGAGCCGCAGGCGAGCGGAGCAGGCGTCACTTACACTCTTTGCGGCACTCCCGAATATCTCGCCCCAGAAGTCATCCGTAATACCGGCCATGGTACGGCAGTCGACTGGTGGGCATTAGGTATCTTGGTATATGAAATGCTTATCGGACAGCCGCCCTTCTGGGACCAAAATCCCATGCGGATTTACGAGCAGATTGTTGCTGGCCACATCCGCTTTCCCACCCCGCACCAATCCCAGCCAGGCCATCGACATAGCCTCCACGTTCCGAGAGCAGCACGCGATTTCATTCTGGCATTGTGCAAGACCGATCCTACTCAACGGTTAGGCCAAATCGCAGGTGGCAGCAAGAGGGTCATGGAGCATTACTTCTTCGATGGGGTAGATTGGGATGAAATCTACTATCGGAAACGAAGAGGCCCTATTATACCAAGGGTAGAATGGGCTGGAGATGCCGGCAATTTTGACGAATATCCTGATCCGGTGGAAGGCGAGGAGAGTGAAGGTGGTAGAGGCAGATACACGGACGAGCTACGTGAGGAGTGGGAAGAAGCCTTTAAGGATTTCTAGACCCAAAGACTGTATCGCCATGACGAGGCTCGGTCGGATCCTTTCTGGGTTGCTCGGAAGGCGACATAGGACCATTGATTTACCGGCATGTTTGTTAACATTTTGGTTTTAAGACACCAGGACTTGGGGTACAAGCAAGGGCTGTCTGATGCACGTGGAAACAAAGTAACCATTAACTATAGAAAGTAAAGACCAGATTGTCTCAAGTGCCACTTCATCCCAGAAGTAGCCTACAATAACATATGGTAGCTTTCTATTTAGTGCCTTTCATGCAAGGCTGTCCGGAGGGCGGTCAGGCAGCATTCTATTGGCTCCAGTGGTGGGCAAACTACGTACGTCTACAAACAAGTAGGTCAATGTTTGACGGAGCAGCAGGCACAGCATTATTTCACAGCGCCTCTTCTCAACTGTCACTTATTGTTCCGACGGTGTGCTGTTAATACACGATCGACTAGATAAATTACATCCGTCTCTCCAGCCTTCATTACGGCGTGGATAGCCATACTCGCTATCACACCTCCCATGCGCCCAATCCTACCCAGTCCGTCACGCACTCTCCTCTCGACATGGCGGCCACACAGGATCAGATCGCTCAAGTGGTCGGAATAACACAAGCAGACGAGGCAGGAGCTAGGATTTTGCTTCGGGTGAGACCATTGAGCAGCCAGAAAAAGAGGAAGCCATGCTGAGGCCGAGACCGCAGAAATTCAACAACGACGTCAATGCGGCTATAAATGCGTACTTCGAAGATCCAGTAGGCTCTCTGAAAGAGCCAGTGAGTCTCCATGATATCCCAGCCATAGGCGTTGCTCATGTTCCGATAGCCACCTGCAAATCAATGGCAGGAGCAGGACAATATTCCATGTAAGCGAAACGCTGGCCGCTCATCATCATATGCTTGAGAGACTGATGTTGACTTGAGCTTTCCGTATAGATGCAGATGACTCTAGTATGGGAGGTATGCCCGCTATGTCACGCCCACCCTCGAGAACAGATCATGGTAGATCGTTCGTGGATCTATCGTATGATCACGCTGAAGGTAGCCATCTGCTCAAGTCGATTGATGCTTCCATTTGCTGATACAGTGGCAGCTTTTGCATCAGATGCAAAGACTCTGAGAGAACAAGAAGAAATGAACGATCCAGCGATCCAACGTGCAATGGCAGAATCCCTGCAGCAAAACTTACCAGCGCAAGAGAACGGAGTGACCAGCACAGGGGCGCATTTTGGTCCTGCAAAACGAGAGTACTATGAGCCCTCCAGCTGGGCTCTCACCACATTCTCCACGGCGCGTGAGATCATCGATCACCCACCCCCTTCGAAACGGCGCCGCATCGACGACGAGCCAGCTTTTCTACGCGGTCCAAAGGAAACAGACTACCTTGCTCCAATGTTGACCATCTACCACAGCATACCTCTGGCTCGCGAAGCTATGCTTATGCCCAGTCTCAAGATCCATGCCTACGGCCATGAAAACAGCTGGTGGTCAGGGACAACGGATGAAAACGTCAAGGCCCTGTCGACGGACAGCACTCTGCGCATCGACCGAGACGAATGCAATGTACTTGCAGAGGTCCAGTGTTTGATGGCCTTCCTCGATAGAACGAATCGTGCTTATGGCAGTGTCGATGCGCTGGCCGATCTCCAAAAGGTTCGCAGAAGTAAAGACAGTTCGTCATTCCTTCGTGTGATGCAGGCGTGGAGCACAGCAGCACTCCGACAGGACCCGAGCGAACAGTTGACGCAGGTCTTCACCTCTACCGCTGTGAAAGACGATGGCTCTGGGAACAACCGACAGGAGGAAAACATGGTATGCGTGGAGCCATTCATCAACCCTGCTCTAGGTCAGACACTAGTAGATATTCTCGACACTACCGTCTGGGATGATGAGAGGGGAAACATTGACGACGTCTGGATTGATCATGCTGCTGAGATCTTTACCATACGCATCCGCGATCCTAATCCGGGCAAAGCCGGGCTCAACTTAAGCCTGGATCCTGTATGGTACCCGGACCGCTATATGCATGAGTGCAGAGAAGCGACCATGCAAATAAGAAAGCAATTGCAACATCTACGCCGGGACATCGAGCAGTGTACGGCCATCCAGCGGCGGTGCGACATTGCCAAAGTGCCTGATAACAGGGTCCTGATGACGCGAGAGGTACTTGACGCAGCTGCTAAAGCTTCAGCTGGAGTGATTGGGAAAACATCGATCTCTCATGGACTATATGATGGTCAAGGAGCCATATCAGAAGATGCTGTGAGTGCGGCTGATGTTGAGGAAGTCCGCCAAGAACTGCAAAGTATCCTTCGGCGCATCGAGCAGAAGTCGCAACAATTGGAACAGAGGAAAGCTGGACTACGGCTCACGATGCGCAAGATCGCTTCACAGCTGACGCAGCCTACTCCGGAGAGCCCTAATCTTCCGCGCCGCAAATATACCTTGCAGGGCGTGTCGACGAAGACCAACATCACTTATGTCCGCCGGCCGAGCCAAGACCTGCTGCATCTGGATGACGAGGAGTCTAGCTCCGAGGATCCAGAGAGTCAGTGGTGGAAAATGGCATGGTTGCAAGACGAGGATGCCAATGCAGCACCGGTTGCAGGACCTATCACGCGAGAACAAGCGGAGGCAGGGCAAAACAATCCTTTGGGTCCTAGTGCCGCGGCTGGTGACGGTTCACGACCATACACAGTCCTCAAAATTACCGAGAAGGAGGTTCTTGAAGCTGTGAGAAGCGAACATCAGTCCGTGCTCCTCGTATACGCCAATGAGAACGCAATGAGGTTCAAAGGAAGTGAACTCAGCCTTCCACTCAGGCGTTTCGTGGAACGCGACAATCAGGCTTTCTCTGAGGAGTTACGAGAAGAAGAAGGCACACCAATTGATCAATCTGTTGACGTCGAGGCTGAGACGGAGTTCGAGGACGTGCCTTTGATTGATCAAACTGGATCGAGCAGCTCCGTCCGTGAATTCACCCCGAAGTCGACCTCGAGTCCAGGTGTACGTGATGAAGACGGACAGCCTTCGCCGAAACGAGCGAAAGAAGGTAACGGCTCCCACTCAGAGTTGCCGCCGTCATATGAAGACAGTGTGGGCAAACCCGAGATGCAGGAGCGGAAGGTAAACAAGATTGGCTTATACGCCGAACAGATGCTTCAGAAGTATGGGGGCGATGTTGCTTGGGGAGCTGAAGGAAAAGTCGATAGAGGAGAAGACCTCATGCATATCGAGCACTCGGGATAGCAATTGTCGAAGGGTGGGTTACACAATTGGCGGGAATGCCCATAATCCGGGTTTCAGCTGCATTCTCACGGAAATCCTCTTGCTGTTACACAGCAGACCGTTGAGGGCAGCCGCCGACTTTCCAGAAATTCCAGGTTGACAGACAATCTACTACTGAAAGACCAGTGACACATGCAGCTTTCGCGCAGGCACTCGTTCAAAAATACAAATTTCTCTCACGTCGGAGTGAGGCTAGTTATACGAGTAAAGTGCATTGCGAGGTGCAGTCGTGCAAATGCCGGCTGCCTTGCAGACCCATTGAACATCGTCCGGCAGCGCTGAATGGTCCAGGCTGGTACGGAGGACTGACGAGTGCGGATATGCAGGCGCCGGGGTGGAAATGCCAGGCTTCGAGTGCGATGTAGTGGCTGCAGGGCCCTTGCGCCCAGCTTCGACGGAGGGAGAATGAGTGCTTCGAATGCACACTTCTTTTCTCTGCCCACATGCACTGATGCGCGTGGCATGGTTGATCCGATTCTGTTGCGCCAGTCGCTTTGTGACACCCTCAATATCGGGTCACTTGATGGATCTCGAAAGCGGACGGTGAACCGGCCAAGCGTCATGAATGCTCTTTCTGGGCTCGAAACCCGCTACGCTGCCCCCTTATAGGCTCCAGTCCTGCGTATCTTTTGTCCCCCGGACCGTAAGGCTAGCGACGCCTGAAAGTCAGGAGGCCAATGGCGATCATCCCAGTCGAAGCATTTGGCTAAGGCAGAGCGAGCCCCGGCCTGTCACGGAACTGCAGGTGCATGTCCCGACAACCTATCAGCGGCTGAGACAAGGCCAGCTGCCGTTGACAAGACGCAGCCCAGAAAGAGGGGCGTACCCTGCCGTTCCAGGTACCGAAACCACCAGTGATGGACGACGCGTCTCCCACTCAGCCATGAGGATAACGACTCAGGACCGCACCTTACGAGTCAACAGTGTTCTCCTGGTACGGCTATCACTGGACCAGCAAGCCGGGACAGAACGATCATCACGAGATAAGTATGCTCCAGGATCAGAGATCCAGAGGCAAAGGTGATGATTCAGACTTGTGGAAGTCCCGCACCCCCTCGGACGCAAGCGAATGTCCTCGCCCAGCGTTTGCGAGGGCTTCTGAGCCAATCGTATCCGGCCCGTGTGTGCTAGACCACAGAAATGGCGACAAAGCATAATCAATAAGGTACTCAAGGGGATTGACTGTACTCGTAGCAATGCTTATAGTCTGCGGAGTCGCCTTCGCCATGATTTGTGGCTGTGAATCAAAAATACGGAGTATCTGATATGAAGTCGGCATGGCCGGAGCAGCGTTTCCAGCGATCTACACAGTACACTTCGTGAGCCGTGCTGCCACAGATTAAGGGGATGAAAAAGTCCTTTCAGTGGACTTGCCCCAGGATGTGAGTATGCCTGGTGGACAGACAGACCCGGATTTCCAGCATGAATATCGGACGGACGTGTACGGATACACGAAGCGCCATTGTCCAAGGACTGAGGATGGAAAGCATGCCTCGAAGCCCTGCAGCAGCGAAAGCAAGGATATGCCGTTGTCGCTTTGGGCTAGGGAATGCTCTAAGCCTCTAGGTCGGATGTTGAGGCTGCTGAGCGATAGATTGTGGGCTCCACTGGCCTCTTCAAAGCCTAGGACGACGACGTTCCCAGGCTTATCATGCTAGGGCACTCCGAAGTCCCCATAAATCAAAGGCCACCGTGATGCTTCTGAATGGTCAACGGTGACAACCCTCCTTCTTTGAAGTATCCCAATGAATTCCAGAGGGCAAACGAGTCACCACTAGTTGTTAATCGAATACATAAGCCCTATTCGACTGGCTCTATTGTGCAACCATTAGTGCCACACCTTGTCCGGAGACTAAGAACAACTGTCATCCAGATTCAGGCCCACGGCTTTGGCGAGGAGAGGATGAGAAGGCACCTCCCGTGAGGGCTTCGTGGCCCTGCTCTGCGACTTTTCAGGCGCACGATGTGTATCTTATCTCCCAGTCACCATACCATAGTACACCTCGAGCTGAGAGGCTGGCAGTCAAGACGAGGTTCCTCCAGGCCTTTCCCCAGAATTTAGCGAACAGAATTCGGGCATAACACGATTGTGCTACCAGACACGGTACCAGCGTGTATTTCTGGTCCAAACTCACCAGCATCCGTGCCCGGAAAAGGACGAGTGAGACCTTTCAGTTTGCCATACATAGTACTCCGTACTCTCTTTCGGTCCACATCCAAGACGACTGAGGTTTGGATTTATCAATCCAAAGAGATACAGCAGCCTACAACTTGATCTCCTTCAGCATAGCTGTACTCAGTGTACTTTCTCTTTGATTGTTGCCATCTGCCACTATCCTTGCGGCGTCTCGTCCTTTGTTCGCGATGCTGAAGATCATCGTCTAAAGCCGAACGATCCCATGTGTCCCATAGTGAGCAGCCGTATCCACTGATCAACCTCCGCGTTTGTCTCTGCCATAATCCATTCGCATCCATTATTATTGTGTGACCAGGTGCTGCAAACCAATATCAGGTCCGAACCCCTCTCCCGGCTACCAACAGTCTTTCTGACATGCAGCCTATTTAGCCCTGGCCGTTCCACTCTCCACCACCCGCTGGCCGCTCGATCGCGATTTGTACTTTGGCCCTGTCCACCATCATCCACCCTGCTCCTCCAGCTTGGTGCTCGGGCCCGTTCTGCAAGCCACAGCGGTGCCGGATTGGCACGATTGTTCATCCTGGCGAATTGCCAAACACGGGCCCAGGCTGGCTTATCGCAGCTATCGACTGGGCCACTCGACGCCGCCAAAATATTCCCCGTCTCTTCAATCGCTATCCCACCTCCGCGACTTTCGACTTTCCTCAGCCTCTGTCAGGTCTTGGTTTCCCTTTGCGCTGTTGCTGAAGGCTTGTTCCCGTTCCATTTCTCTCGTTCTTTCCACACCTTCGAGCTCCTCATTCTACAGCCCTTCAAGTCACACTCACCCTCACGCGACGCCAAATTCATCGTGGCCATTTGTCTGGCCCTCATCTTTTCAGATCAGTCGCGCTATCCCATTGGCGACCCGGAGCAGATTCGACCCTGTGTGGATCCCACTATCAGTGAGGATCACTTTCAGGAACGTGAGCGCATCCCTTTTGGAATGATAACGTCTTCAAGAATCCAACAGAAATCCGTCAGCACTTCAAGTACTGTTTCAGGTGATTGTTTTCACTCGCGATCGTGATCTCGGGACACCTGGTGTCACATCCGACAACCGTTAACTCGCCACGAATGAGTAATATGGTCGTTGAGGATTCGACTCTGTCCATCACGGTGCCGCCAAATCGAGCGCCCTGAAGCGTGATCAGCGACAACTCATTTCTCTTCGCTTCTCTCTGTTATCAGCTACCTTGGCTCAAGCAAGCACTCTTCGGCTCCTGCCACGACCTGAAACGCTATCGCGACCGAGTCCTGCTTGAGCCCGTCTCGTGTCTGAAGCTGTGATAGGCGAAATCAACTTTGGTTGTTTCCTTGCACTCTAGGTATGAGCGCAATCGCTTTCAGCCCTCCAGATAATCGGCTACACACCATTTTGTCGGACCCGCATACCATGCTATCACATCCCGCTGGTTTCGAAGCTGCGTCGTCCGAGCGACGCATGTCGACCGCCAATGAAGGCCTCATGGCCCTTCCCACAGTCATGTTGCGCCGTCTGCCTAAGAATACGACTCCTGAGGCGGTGAGGACTATGTTGCTCTTCGCCAAAGACCTCCAAGACACCGAGATCATCCCCAACGAGTACGACGAGGATGCTGGGTTTGCCACAGGAATCGCGCGTTTTGGTTCCATGACAGGCGCATCCGAGGCGCAAGCAATGCTGGATGGCAAATCCAACACTGCTGGGCAGGCGAAGATGATTGTGAACATCATCTCGAATCGCTCCATGGCTTCAATGGCCCGGCGAAATACTATAGACCCTATGGCGGGCCGGAAGGTCGCACAATCAATATCGCCGCCGCCTGCCAGCGCTCAGAAATCTTCCCGATTCAACGGCACTTTCCAAGCGCTGGACAAGACATCACCTCCCCCAGTTGGCTCACCGCCAGACTATCAGTCTTCCGATTCCGGGCCGCAGTTACAAAGTATCTTTTCTCCTCAATCGCCAATGGCAAACGCATTACCGGATCGCTCGCGGGTGAGCGGAAAGACAGTCATTGATGAAGACGGAGGGGATGACGATACTCGCGAATTACTGAAAGACCCTTTGGCGTACATGCATAGCTCCTCCATGGTCAACGCAGGAAGAAAGTCCACCAACAACCGAGCTCCTACCGCGGCATTTCAATCGCTCTCCCTTAATACGAACATGACCGGTGCATCCTCCAATGGCTATGCGTCACCGCGATCCGCCCTGCAGGCTCGAACACCTCATTCCCAATTTTCGCCGGTGATGAATACCAACGGACAGTACGGCGTATCAAACCCTCCTTATATACGGCACAACTATCCACCGGTCAATCCGGCCGACCAGAACCCGCCGTGCAACACCTTGTATGTAGGCAACTTGCCTATAGACACATCTGAGGATGAACTGAAAGCCATGTTTTCGAAACAGAGAGGATACAAGCGTCTTTGTTTCCGGACGAAACAAAACGGGCCCATGTGTTTTGTCGAGTTCGAAGACATCTCGTTCGCTACCAAGGCGCTGAACGAGTTATATGGTGCTCAACTACACAACAGTGTCAAAGGTGGCATCCGATTGAGCTTCTCGAAGAATCCACTGGGTGTCCGGTCAGGACAACCTGGAAGCCCCAACCCTGCAACACCTCTCAGTGCCACGGGGCCCATGAATTTGGGTGGATTTGGCGGCATGGCCCTTGGGTCATTTACCACCGCAAATGGGCCACCGCCAGGACTCTCGGCGCCTCCAGGCTTGAATATGACCTCGAATGGGGTCAATGGGGTCGCGGCTCCTCCGCCATTCGTCAATCAGGGGTTTCCTGTCGGATCTGGTGCTGTGTCGAACCTCCGAGCCCTGGGTATGAACAACAGTCCGGCGAACCAGAACATGGGCGGCATGTACGCTGATTATATGCTTGGTCGGTAGGAGACATGTAGATGTTGGCGAGCAAGGTTTGCTGGCGGTCGGCGCAGGTGGGATGGAAGGGCATTCAATGCGTGGCAGAGCCATTGCGCACCAAAAGGTCTCTCCCTTCGATGGCAGAGGAGTGTATTTGGGGATTTGATTTGAACCTTGGATGGGCGTTGCGCTGATGCATTGCATCGAGTCCTTTCTTTGAACTTTTGGTCACGAGATTCCCCTTTCAGCGGACAGCGAGCGAGCAATCAGGCAGGGCAGGCAAGCAAGCGACATGGCGTTTTATTGATACATCCAGACCAATAGTGTCAAGGGCTCGGATGGTTGGGAAAGCATGACTACGGGCAGGAACATTTGTCGAACACCGTCATTATCGAGGATTTTTCAGCATGGGGCTTTTTCATATTGTCGTGTTTGGAGGCATAACTGGGGTCCTATATACACCGTTGCTTTCTGCTAGCATGACGGCATGCATTCTTTTCACGTGTAGTTATGATTCAGGTGTGAAACAAGGGTCTTGATAATGGGAAGGAAGGATTTTCTGGAAGCATGGGCATTCCAGTTTCCAGGTGGATCACCTAGAGACAATACGAGATATCCCAGGTACTTAGGAAATACGACCTCAGAGCAATCGATTGAGGGACGGGTGGACCAGGCCGCATGCATGCTGTGACTGTCGGTCGTTTGGTTGTGAAAACTGATGACGGTCTCTGGAATCTGGATTGAAAATGGGTAGCAGAGAAGCAGACCAGCGATACCCTTCCTTGGGTGGTTGGTCGATAGGTAGCATTCATGTTGTTTCTGAGTGGAACAACGGCTCGTTCAGTGTCTTTGCCGCTTGCACAAACCTTGGTTGAGCCAGTCGTGCAGGACAAAGACCTTGAACATGTGTTTGCAGCAGTCAGTAAGAAGCCTGCAGCTGATTTGCGGCAGCGAGAATGAGAGGCGGCACCCAATGACCACCAATCTCGCTCCGGGTCGGTATCCTGTCTGGGTGCAGTGAGCGGCAAGGCATGGTCATCAGTGTGGCACGCGTTCAAGGGTATGGCATGTTGAACAGGACTACGGAGTAAGGTACTGTAAGGTTGGCATCTGCCACTGTGTCTTGTGTCGGAAGCAACCTTTTATTTTGTTGTTGCTTCCTGGCGCGATCGATGGATGGCGATGGTTTATGGTTCGTGGTTCGTATTTCATGGTTCATGGTTCATGCATGCCTTGTAGTTGCATAATTTCCTTCTGGCTGTTTACCTTACGTGAACCCTGATCGTTCGCTCATTCCACCTCAATGCCCGACAACAATCACTTTTCCCGAGGTGGTCGTCTTTCGTCCAGCTTTGGATCCGATGGAAAATCAACTTGGAGATGCCCTTATCTAGAACTCGGTCGCTGTTCCGAAGTTTGAGCGCCGGTAACGTCCACTCCGACGCAAACACCAGTCCCAAGGCCTTCAGCGGCAGCGCCAACGCCAGCACCAAATCTAGTGACCACGAAGGCAACGCCAGTAGCAACCTTCTAGGCTCGACCTTCAGCTTCACTCTGCCAACATTGTCATCGCTTGCGAATATCACCAGTCGGCGACGGAGCAGAGCGAAGTCGACAGGCAAGCGGAGAAGAGAGGGCAACGATACGGATACCCATCGCCCGGAAAGCAGAGATCGAGCCTGGCCAAGGGAGCGACTGGAGCCCAACTCCAGTGGCGAGGAAAGCCAATGCTCCCCCAGAGAACAATCGTCCAATGGCAAAGACGATGCCCATTTGAAAGTCCCATCAGTGCCATCCGGTCCAGCACGAGCACGAACACCAGTACCAGCACCAGCACCAGCCACAGCTCCTCTTCACCCTCCCACTCCTCCTCCTCTCGTCCCAACCGAGCCTGAGCCTGCGCCGGCGCCTGAACCCACTTCATTTTCCGCGAATCCATCTCAACTTGATATACCTGCAAACACCACGAGCATCAACACCACGGTATCTACCGGTGGTGCCGTCAACATTTCCACCCTGAATCCTTCGTCCACTCGACGTCCTCCCTCTACTGCCACCACAAATCCTCCCCTCCTCGTCGTTCAGCACCCTTCTACTCCGAACGTCCCGACTCTTCCATCTCCATCTCCATCATGCCCTCGATATGATTCCCCCGAAGCAATGCAGAGAAAGATCTGGGTGAAGCGGCCCGGCGCTTCCCCCACCAGAGTAGAGGTTGCTGAAGATGATCTGGTGGACAATGTTCGCGATGTCATTCTACAAAAATATGCCAATTCTCTCGGCCGAAGTATCGATGCTCCCGACATTACGCTAAAAATCATCAATCGTGAGCAAGGCAATAAAGTTGTGCCGTCGGAACGAGCTTTAGGACCTGAAGAACCCATTGGTATCACCTTGGATACATACTATCCCGGAGGACAGACTGTCGACGAAGCCTTGATCATCGAAGTGGCTACTGTACGCCGGACGCCACGACCATCCCCTCGAAGCGGAAACCACCAAATCTCCTACTACTACCAGGATCACTACCGCCCTCCTGACGATGCTCGAGAATATTTCCCCCCTATGCCCCTGCACTCTCCTCATCTCTCCAATGTACCGCACCCAGGTGCCGTCCAACATTCCATGTCCGTCTTGACGACTGGTCAGCTACCGCCTTTGCCTAGTCCTGGATCACATGGAAGAAGACATCCCAGACCAAAGTATGGCCGGCAACATACCAGCAGCCCGACGATCTTGCATACCGTGCAGCCCAATGGGCAAGTCCTTGGTTCGTTGATCTAGTCTTTCGGAGGAGAATATACTGATATGGACAGAGCCCAAATCGCAGATGAATGGCACCATTCCCACAGCTCCGCCTCTTCCCACTTCTCCGACGCTGGGTGACCACAAACCCTCGATAAGCCCTCCGAACCGGGTATCATCCCCCCTCCCTGGACAAAAGCAAAGGAAAAGGAAGAACCCCGTCACAAACCGTTCAGCCAATGGTGATCCTCCTCCGCCTTCGACCAAACCCGCATCGGCAGCTTTGTTGGATGGTACTGTGCCACCCATTAATGTGTTGCTGGTGGAGGACAACGTCATCAACCTGAAATTGCTGGAAGCTTTCATGAAAAGGCTCAAAGTGAGGTGGCAGTCTGCGATGAACGGGAAAGAGGCTGTGGCTATGTGGAGGAAGGGCGGGTTTCATCTCGTCTTGATGGATATCCAGCTACCAGTCATGAACGGTCTGGAAGCTACAAAAGAGATCCGACGGCTTGAAGCTGTCAATGGAATTGGCGTATTCGGTGGCAGTCCCATTGAGACTCATCCAAAAGCACCCACCACGAACGGAGCTCCCGAAGAAGCTGACGCTTTACATGATCGAAATTTGTTCAAGAGTCCGGTCATTATTGTAGCACTGACCGCGAGCAGTCTACAGAGTGACAGGCATGAAGCATTGGCCGCAGGGTGTAATGACTTCTTGACCAAGGTGAGCATATCACTCTCTCCCCCCGCAAGTCAGGCTAACGTGTGGAACAGCCCGTCAATTTTGTATGGATGGAGCGTAAAGTCACGGAATGGGGATGCATGCAAGCGTTGATCGACTTTGATGGATGGAGAAAATGGAAGCAGTACGCCCAGGAGAAAGCTCAAGAAGATCCAGCCAAGAAGGCCGCTGAAGAGAAGGAGGAGAAAGCGAAAGCTAAAGCTGCCCTCAAAGCTATGTTTTCCCGACCTCCACCTGGCACGAAGAAGGATAGCGAGGAAAGTCTGGATTCCCCAGGCACAGCAGATGGTGTCACTACCCCAGCGCCAAATGGCCCGTCAAAGAAAGCCGTCAGTCCTAGTTCGAGTGGTGGGGGAGTTCCGTCGAGAGGCCCAAAGACTAATCGAAATATTGTCAATGGTGGGAGAGGGAGCCTGGAGAGCATGGCTGAAGAGCATGGAGAGGGTTCATGACAGCAATTCACAGTGGCACATCGAAGAAAGACATGATCGGTACTGGACACCTCAACAACACGGTTCCACAGGATGGAGAAGCGCCTCTGCAAGGACGGCGATTGTGTTGGGTGCGTGATAGATGTGGCTCCCGAGGACGAGAAGTGGCTTTGTCGTCTTGTGTTTCTGGTTTGGGGCATTGCAGCGAGCATTCTATCGGGCGTCGAACACACACCTGGGAATATTATGTGGGCTGGCTTCATTTCCTATGTGTATGGGGACAGCCGAATGTACTTTTTCAGGATGTCGAGGAAACGACATCTATTGGTTCTTGGAGCGGAGGATTCACACAGTTGCTGTGTCGCGCGACACTTGAGAATAATTTGCAAGAAATGCCGGAGCATATCCATCCGCTTTCGACGTCCCTATTGATCATGCAAAGCCTCACTTATCTTTGCTCCATATCCAGGCGGCGTCGCAGAGCTGGAACGACCACGCTGTGCTCTACGGAGGCAGCGGCTGTGAGTGTGTCCAGCAGTGAGTGTGGGCGATACAGTACTGTAATCACAAGGCTGCAGTCGCCATGCCGCTTTTACATGACGTCGGTCGTTTTCTAACTTGCCATGCCAACTTGCCCATCACCAATGCGCTGTCTCTTGCAGATGATCACGACCTTGCTCCTCGTCTCATGACACAATCTTCCTCCTTGATATCCTCACACAAGCAGCCCGGCATGTCGGCCAAAATAGCCAGAACCATAGCCCGGCAGAAAGAAAAGTAGGCCGGCCTCTCTTCTTGCAAGTGGTGGACTGGACGAACAACTGGACTCGGCCGTTCATTTTTAACTCCTCAAGCGCCGTCGTTCTGTTGAAAAGTCATTGACTGACCTGTCTCCATCAGAATCGCCGAAGGAAACTTCTACGAAGCACACCAACAACTGAGGGTGATCACATCGCGGTACCTTAAGTCCTCCGACTACACGTCTGCCTGCGACGTATTGTATAATGGTGCGCTACTCCTGCTCCGGGCGGGTCAAGGTGGCTCAGGCGGCGATCTCGCAATGATGCTGTTGAACGAGGTGTATAACAAGGGCGAGTTCGCGTGTAACGACGAGAACAAGAAGAGATTGTTTGAAATCCTGCATGCATTCCCGCAAGACGAGCCGACCAGGAAGAGATTCATCACAGAGACCGTCGGCTGGTCGGGAAGGTTTGGTGAGCTGGACAGAGGGGATCCAGAAGTGCAAGACCAGGTTGGGCGGGTTTTCGCCAACGGTACGTATAAAAAGCCCCCTCGTGGTGATCGTCGGTCTCGATGGGAGATCGAGCTTGGTGTCAGGACTAGACCATCTATCCTTGGTCGGCCCCAACCCGCTCGTGGAAGACGGAGAACGCTCAGATCAAGACCTTGGTTGGTTATGCAGGAATACCATACTGATTTCGAGAACAGAAGGCGAAGTCTACGACGCTGAACGACACCTCATTCTCGGAACATCCTCATCCGCTCCAGTCCTTGCGTCACTACACTACAACTGGTACACCCTCGACCAGCCGCATTTGGCAGGGATATACGCGTCTCGCTCTGTGCTGCCCTACTTGCTCGTCGGGAACCTCGCATCCGCGAATGCCGCCCTGAGCACCTTCACGTCACACTTGACAACGTCCAACCCGCATTTGCTCGCAATGTCGCAACCAATCGAGTCGAGCAAATCCGGACTCAGTCTGCGAATATTCCCGAGCATTCCCTTGCTGAATTTCTTGTCCTTGCTTCTGTTGGCCGCGCAAAAGGGCGATGCGGGCCTATTTAGGCAACTGTGTAAGTATTACGCCCCGCATTTGAAGGATGCCGAGACCTTGTGGAGCGATGCTCTCAGTAATATTGGCGAGGTGTGGTTTGGGATCAGGATGCCCAGACAAGGTGGGAACCCCCTGTTTGATATGATGGGGAGTATGTTGTTTGGAGGCGGTGGCGGCGGGCAAGGAGGGCAAGGCAGGGGAGGGACGCCGAGGTCGAATACGCCGAAACCTGTGACGGGTGGGAAGAGGGAAATTGAGAAGCCGCCGACCATGGATCTGGATTGATGGAGGGGAACGTGATCAGCACCCTGGGTGTGAAGTCTCTGGCATATCTCGGGCAACGCCTGGCTTGGAGGACATGGGCTCGTCTAGGGACGGGTACGTTTCCGGTGTACGGCTGAGTTATGGACCAGGATACGAAGCGGAAAGACACAGCTTATGCATGGGCCTTGCTGAATGGATTGGAGAGCAATACAAGCTTGTTTCCCAGGTCATAAAAGAACGTCTGTTCGAGTGCTTGGCTCTGTTCGTTATCGTCGCAGCGACCCATGGAATTCTACAAAGTTCACATGCGAGACTATTTGCCAGACGCCATCAGAATGCTAGTAGCACCCGAGTAGAGGCTGCTATTTTGATTCAACAGGCATCCAACCTTATTTTAGTATCTGAAGCCATGAGATGAAGACTGGCACTTGCTAGTACCTCGTCAGATTCGAAGTATGCCGGGCGAGCCTAGCTTGACGGGAGTGACTGGCTCTCTTCCAATTTTCTGGATATTTCAAGGTCCATGGGCTTTCAACTCTGCGAATAGCCGACTTGCAGCACTTTGACCAAGGGTATAGTGAGTCTTTCATCGCGATAATGCTGGTTAAAATGACAATGCTGATTAAAATGCAGGATTGGCCGGCCCAGAACCAAGACCGAGATCGTAGAGGCTGAACCCGTCGAGAGAGTCCTGAAATATCCAGTCCAGGTCCTCAGAGCCCAGGTCCATCGGGTAAGGGGTTTCGGGTGCCAAGGTGGGCGGTAAGAGTCCTGGGCCGGCCTCAAACCCTTTCTCTGCTGAATGAGTTCGATAGCCAGGTTGCTGCTCTGGAGGTACAAGACTGCCGTTGCCGTGTGCGGTGCCAAACTGTTGGGGAGGAGCGGCGGCAACGGATGATGACGATGTCGCCGGGCCTGCCCCTGCTAAGGTGCCCATGCCCCATTTCGGGTCCGGGTCGAAAAGGTGACCAGTGAGTCTGGTCATCAAGCTGACGAAAAGTCGAAGGATCCAACCCGCCACCGGCCAGGACTTTGCTAGTTCGCTCAAGGCCAGCATGCATTGACGAGCACGCGTTTCGGCAAGCTGGCTATGGATAGCACTCTTGCGCCGCACCATGATGGCGTGCATCCCGCACGCGGCGAACAGAGCAGGAGCCCTATGGAACGATTTTAGGTCAGTCGGCTTGCCCTTTCTTTTTCGCAAGACGCGCCCGTGATGGTGATGATGATGAAGAAGAGGAGGAGGAGGAGGAGGAGAAAACTCACAAATGCACCTGGGCCTGTCTCAGTGTGCCAGAGGTCAGCAAGTCCTCAGCGATCCGTGTCATTCCGTCGGCGGCCGATCTGGCAATCGCATCGTACTGGATCTCTTCGTCCGTTTCGACCATGACTCGACTGGGCCGGAATAGAAGAATCTGACAAGTCCTTGTGCGAGCAATTGATTTGAGTAAAAGGAGCCGCAAAAAAAAGTATTGGGTGAGGTGTGTTGGACTCACTGGTAATTCGCATGTAGCATGCAGGCCCAAAATCCTGCTCCACCTGCCTCATCGATGTCCTGGAGGAGCATTTCGGGGGGTAAATTCTTTTTCCAACGACTCAAATCGTCGCCGATGAGTTTGGCATCCAGAAGAGTGTTGTGGCTGTGAGGGGTGTATCTAGTTAAAATGATGCGGCCAACTGCTCCCAGTACGAGTGGTTAGTCATTGTGATGAATAAGGGCGTGGGCGTGGGCGGAGTGTAGCGCCACTCACAAATTTTGGCGAGTTTCGACATTGCTATAGGGTATTGAGCATGATGTCTTTCCTGCGAGATCATGATCTTCGAGGCGGGCGCCATGTCCAAATTGAAATCTGCTTCACAAAGCTCCTCGACATCACATTCTTGATCATGGATGCGAACAGGGCGGCCCAAAGCTGCAGCAGCGTGTCGATCGCGAGTCTATAGGTTATTTGTTAGCTGAGTGTTTTTAACCGCCGTGAGTTTCAATGGAGGTAGGGATTACGTAGATGGACCAAAATATCCTTTTCCACAGCGACCGTTGTCGTGCATCAATACCAGATCGCGCTGTCCTAGAGTACGGTCAGAGATGGGCGTCGTAGGGGAGGAAGTCCGAAGAATTGGAAACTGAAAGATGCTTACGACCGATGCATTCCCAGAGTTTGTGCCAGGCTGATTGCACAGCCTACCCAGTGCCAAGTGTCTTTTTGATCCTCTGGGCCTTGCCACCAAAATCCCAGGAGGAACAAGACCGCGGCAAGGATGACTTTGTCTTTTTCGTAGTCTGCATCGTACAGCCCCTTTGCTCGTAGATAGAAGACTCGCCTCGCCTGGTACCTATCGGTAAAGCCGACGCGGTCAAGGAGATCGTCGTCGCAAATGCTGACCGCAATAAAGTAGATTGTTTGCAGGACCAGAAGTGACGCTTCGTTACGGTCGTACAAGGTAACGAAGAGTCGCCGGTCGAAGACGGGCCAAGCCGGATGGAAGTATTTGAAGAAGACGGCGACCAGTTCGTCACTGAGTTCTTTGGTCGGAGTTGTGAATGCGCCTTGGGCCTGCAAGAAGACCTCTTCATGTTGCTGGAAGCATGGCGCAGGGTCATCTTCCCGGCGGTCAAGTCTGTCGGCGACAGAGACAGGAATGGGATAGTGATTTCTGATGTCACTGCTACAACCTGAAGGACTGCAGACGGTCTTGACGACAAACGCCAAGGTAAATGTTTCGCCGAGGTAGAGCATCCGGGATTGCTCGCGGATGTCGGACGGACTGTCGTGGATGGGCTGGACCTCTGCCATGCGGGCGAACAGCATTTCAGGGCCATCCACTGAGTCGGTTCTCTTTGCCGACTCCACTGTGGATATGGGAGACGTCGTTGGCGGCGGCGGCGGCTGCTGCTGCTGTTGCAACACCTCCGCATGGGTCGAGGTCGAAGTCAGCGCGTTGGGCATCCACTGCACAGGAGACTCCTCCAGGGCAATACTGGCAGAGGCACTATCGACGTATTCTCGCGTAGAGATGTCGACGTGTTCTCTTGGCGCCGTAGGTTTTGCTGCAGTACTACTTGCACCTTCTGAGCGTTTGGCGCCACCATTTTGGCCATTTCGAGTTCGCGGGTACCTGGCGTGGAAATTGTTTCATCAGCCCAGTTGGCTTCTGGCGCGGATGTACTCCGCAGAAGGGAAAAGGAAAAGGAAAAGAGACGGACCTTCCTCTGCGGGATTCGATCAGCTCGCAAGGCTTCTGACGGACCCTGCAATGCCAGCATGGCTGCGAGTCTGCGACATCGCATTTGACTCGTCGCTCGTTACAAGACTTGCAGGCTATCTTGGCTCTGCGAAATTGCCTCGGCGTTCGAGGCGACCGAGACTGGGTTTCAGCGCTCGCCATTGTCGGTGGTAATTGCCACGGGTAGACTCAAGTAGAAAGGTGCTGTTGCACGAAGCTGTTCGGGAGTGTAGAATGTAAGACTTGCTTCCAAGATGGATCCTGACAACCGGCGACTCTGGCATCAGGTTTCTCGAAAAGGTACCTAGCTAGGTACTTGGTCGTGTTCCCCGCATCTGCACTCTCCCCCAATCGGCCGTTATGGACCGAGGACTAAAATGGATCCCCTCCTGTGCGTGATGTTCGGGATTTCACTGGTTCCTTTTTGTGGCTGAGGAAATATGACTCCGGCCCTCGGAGTGCGGCTCCACTCCACACAAAACCCCAATGCGGTCTCCCCGCACCAAGGAGCAGTCACGTGAAAAGCCTAGTGTGGAATAGCGTCTCACGCTACCGGAGAGTATCCACCGATGGCCACTATCGACAACCTACTCGGTACTGAATATCTCGATGAATCCTGGAGAAATGGAGGACTTCCTTTGATTCCTGAAAATGCCCAGCCTCTCCAGGAATCCTATTGCCGCGCAGATCGGTGATCTAGTGTGATATCCACTGCGCTACCCTGTAGATTCTCATAGCCACGGTCTGCGGTGCGTTCCCAAAATCTGGATTCGGGGTCTGCCAGCTGATCCTCGGTTCCGGGATCCTGTCACCTAGATCTGCTACCGTGGGCTGCCTGAGTGGACTTACAGGCAGCAGTAATAGTATCATCGGAGCCCTCTGTTGATATCGCTTCCGAAGCCTGGGTTTCCTGGTTCAACGAGGCACGTCCGGCTTCTCGAGTCGGCTTCTTACTTTTGTCGTTCGCGCCCCACTGCACCCGTAAATGCTAGGGACTGACTTGGTAAGAAACAACATTTCCAGAGCCTAACCAGCAGTATGCGTTAGATGACTCGATCCGGGGGAACGGCACACACGGAGAGCTTTGAATGAGTCTTGCAGCGGAATCTCTGATTTGATGAAGTTGTTGGATTGGCAAGAGGCATAGAGGTAATCACTCTCCTATTGTCTCTCACTATTGGACTGGTTTAACGAATCGCAACCGACAAGTTTCACGATAATGCCGGAAGTCACAGACACAAGCAGCAAAGCAGTGACGAGGCGCTTCGACGACCACCTGTCCTCAACGGGCAACCCCAGATCTTACTCCACGTCAGACCCAAGGCTTGGGGAGTCCTCGCCAAGTTCGAGTCATCATGATTGGTGCAGGCGCATCCAGACTCGATCTGGAGCATCAGATAGAAAAGCTTATGAAGCACGTTACTACTAGTACTCATGTTGTTATGAGAAACCCTCCGAGGTTAGAGGTACATGGCTTGAGAGTAGATATCCAGGGTGTGCCTGCGACATGCCTTCTCACAATTATCAAGTTACGACACTCCCGTGGCTCGGTTGGTGCGGTCCACCGAGGTTATATTTATATCGGCTTTGTACTCCGTAGCAAAACAGTTATAACAAAAATTGTTCCCTTCCTCCGGTCAGACCATCTAGCAGCAACTCGTCTTCGACCAATTCTATAGCACAACCCACGTCAACATGGCTCCCAAATTTGAACAGGTCTTTGCGATGAGAGGGTATATGTCCAAAGAAAACACTGTCAACCTCAAGGCTATCAAAGGCGGGCCGGTTCGAGTCGTCGTCCCGATTACCCATGGATTCATCAAAGGCTCTGGGTTGGACGCTGAAATTCTACCTGGTGGTGGTGATTGGATTTTGGTAAGTCAACAATATTTTGAAGTACCGGACGGCCTGATTGAGTGCTATTCTTCCTTCACACAGTTGGATACCTCCACGGGTGTGGCCCATCTAGATGTCCGCACACAGGCCCGAACTTCCGATGGTCATGAGCTCTATGTCCATTACCATGGCGTCCTGAAAATCGATGAGGCCGCCAACAAAGTGCTGGCGTGGAGTCCCGACGCCAAAACAACCAAATCCGGGGACCACGAATGGTTCTCGGCTCCGATCATCGAGACAAGCGACCCCAAATTCAAATGGGTTGAGACAAGTCTGTGGGTTGGTCAGGGACATTGGGTGGCCGATGAGACTGGCTTTGCAGTCGAATACGAGATCTACAAGGTGGTCAACTAGATTAGTAGGAGGTCTGCTCCTCGTATCAAATGCAGTAATGCACAGACAGATGAACCAATAGCTCGGGTGCCGATGATCCAAGATCCACTAGTAGCATCCCATGGGTGTCCCATATATTGTAATTAATGCACATGACCAGCCCAGTTCGAAAGAAACCGACGGCTTCTTCACTGAACCTCGGGGACTCGACATTGGACTTCGACCCACATTACCAAGAAAAGCCCCTTTCTCTACCCCGATTGCCCAGAGTCCCCAGAATTGCGGAGACCCGTACCGAGGCTGCAGGAGCGTGCAGGAGGTATATCATGCACGATCATGTCAACATAAGGCTACGGCTACGCGCCATTCTTAAAAACGCATTTCCCGTCTTCCAAAACAAACTCTTCAACTGCCTCTTGACCTTTGACAGAAGACTGAAGTTCTACATTCCCTCAGTTTCCTCATCCTTCTGCAAACATGGCGAGGGCCGAAGTCGTGCAGGATGCGCATAGTCGCAAGATTACAATGTTCAACCTTGCTGTACGTGTGAAGTGCTCTGCCTCAATCGTGACTACACGTCTGTTTACGTTCAACTGACTCAAGTCTCTAGATTGTCTTAGCATTGTGCCTTGGTAGCCTGACATACGGATACACATTCAGTATTGTGTCGACCACCCTGGGCCAGCCTTCATGGTTCTTGTACTTCGATTTGACCCAAGACCCCACCGACGCGGCTCGATATGCTTACACCAACCGCATTATCGGAGGCATGAATGCTTGCTTTTCCGGGGGTGGCTTCTTGGGTGCCATCTTTGTTGGATGGTCCTGCGATTATCTAGGCCGCAAGAAAACGCTCCTCGTCGGGACACCGATTGCCATCCTCGGTGGAGCGCTGCAAGGAGGTGCAGTCAACATCGCCATGTTCTTGGTTGGCCGATTGCTTGGAGGCTTCGCGGTTGGTAAGAGCGCGCCTTTTCCGGATTTTGCGTCACGTAGTTCGTCTGGCTAACGGAAAACAGGAATCTTGGTGGTTCTCGTACCATTGTTTCAATCAGAGATTGCGCCGCCAGCGACTCGGGGCTTCTTGGTCTCTCAGCATGGTAAGCACATCGAAAACAGCATGGCATGGCCAATAGCCCGTGCAGAACTAACATTCTCGCAGGTGTCGTCCTTGTCTTAGGATACTCTCTGGCCGCGTGGGTTGGAGTGGCCTGCTATTTCTCGTCCAATCCGGCTTTCCAGTGGCGGTTCCCTCTCATCGTTCAAGTCATCTGGCCCTTGGCGATGTTGATCCTGACTCCTTTCCTGCCGGAGTCCCCTCGTTGGCGTACGTTATACAAGTCCAAAAAGCAGAAACAAACCACTAACGGACACTAGTTTTGTTCAAAGACCGGCCTTCTGAAGCCTGGAAAGTCGTCTCCAAGCTTCACGGAAGTACCGATGAGGCAGATGACTCTACAATTGCATCGTTTGCTCGGGAAGAATTCTACCAGATGACCCATCAGGTCCAAGCCGACAAAGAGATGGCTGCGGGCGAGTCGCTCATGACCTTGTTCAGGAAGCCATCCTATCGCAAACGTATGATTTGCGCCTTTTTGACCATGTTCGGAGCCGAATCCACTGGTATCCTCGTCATCTATAGTATGCTTCTCTTCTTACCCCTGACCCTTTGCCCAGGTGGAGGTTTACCATTTGCTAATTCTCATGCTCAGATTACTCCGTTCTACTCTATCAGGGTCTTGGATTCAAAGGCAGTATTCCACTTGTCCTGGCCGCCGCGTACGTCACTGTCGCCTGCATTGGTAACTATATCAACTCGATGATCATTGATCGTATCGGTCGAAAAGCATGTCTCGGTGAGTTTGGCGGACAAAAATAATCCCCTTGATTTCTACGTCACTAACGGTTGCAAATAGTAATTGGATTCAGCGGCTGTCTCGTGACTCTCTGCTTCGAGGCAGCCTTGAGCGCCGAATACATCGGGACCTCCAATAACGCTGGCCTCAGCGCTGGTGTGTTCTTTCTCTTCCTGTACATCACATTGTAAGTCTTCCTTCTTTCGACCCAAGGGGATCCCCGAACACAAGAAATTCTGACTTGTTGCCCTAGCTACGGCTGCTGCATTGATGCCACAACATATGTGTACTGCTCAGAGATCTTCCCAACTCACATCCGATCTCGAGGCCTTGCATTCTCTTTGGCCGTTCTGTTCCTTTCGACAATCGCTTACCTCGAGGCCGCACCAACCGCATTTGCACAAGTCGGCTGGAAGTACTATCTCCTCTTCATCATTCTCACAGCAATCCACCTGCCTCTCATAATCTGGTACTTCCCAGAAACAAAGGGCCTCTCGCTCGAGGAGGTTGGCGAAAGGTTCGGAGACGAAGTGGTTGTTCATCTTACGGATCTCACGGAGGCGGAACGTCGCGAGCTTGATGAGAAGATCAGAGCCGAGAAGGGAGGTTCTGTTGCCGCCCACGTTGAGTCAAACGTGGACGAGAAGTCGGTCTGAATTGCACGGCCTGCATGAATGAATACTAGTACCTAGGGTATCAGCCCCCGGGTCAAACTGCTACTGGTGGAGGGGATGGAAGGGGCAGCTACTAGTCGTGAAGCTTGCATCTGTTTGAGTATCAAGTTAATGTGCGTCGGTCGTGGGCTAGCCGTAGCTTGTCTACTGTGTATGTGTATGTGTATATTCATCGAAACACGCTTGAGAGCATTTACCGCAACCAACTCCTTCAGTCGTGATGTTTCCTTGAAAACTTGACACATACGCACACAAACACTGGCAACGGCAACGGCGAGCATCCCCACCCATTATGGTAATTCAGCTTCCAGTACGGCACAGCGTAGGTTCGGTGCTGGCATCAGTCAGTGGCCACCTGTTCTCCGGTCGAAAAGGGTTTGTCATCATCATTTTCGCATTTCGTTTCGACCTCGCCTATATGCTCTCCACTGGGATGCTCCAGACGAACCAAAGCTCTTTCCGACCTCGGGTATAAGCCTCCGGACCTCATTTGTGGAGAGTATGAGGGGCCGATGATGGGGTCAAGCCGATTTCTTTGAAATGTGGCTACCGGAAAGGGAAGCACGAGTCGAAGCTATATAATCCCCTGATGAATGCTTTAACCTCCCCTGGGAATCGTAGAAGCACCAATCGACACCTACCAAGTTATATACTGTACACCCAGGTCGACCCAACCTTTATTACGAGTAAAACTAGAAAGCCGCTCGACAAATACAGTATGCCGAACACCAAAACGATCCGTGTGCCGCATCTTTTCGGCACCGATGCGGCGTACCAGATGCCTCGAAAGTACGACGCGAGCAAGCCGACATGCGTGCTCGTCAACAGTTTCACCATGACGTCGGATCTATATGCGGCCCAATACAAGAACGAGGCGCTCCTCGATGCCATGAACATCATTGCCATCGAGCCTCTAGGCCACGGCCAGACGAGAACAAGCACCGACACCTTCACTTACTGGGACACGGCCATCATGATCCTCCAGGTGCTTGATGCGTTGGACATCAAAGGCAAAGTGTTCGCGCTGGGCACGAGCCAAGGCGGATGGATCGTGGTCCGACTGGCTCTTCTTCAGCCGCACCGGATCGCCGGCATCATCCCTCTCGGGACCAGTATGGACTTTGAGAGCGAGCGGTCACGCAAGCTGGGCAACTTTGATTGCCTGAGCACCCTGGCCGGACCCATCAAGGAGCTCGAGTCGACGGAGCCGACGCCGGACTTCGTCGTTTCACAGGAATTCCGAGACTTCCCCATCTACGTCGGATTCGGGAAGGGGGTCGACCAGAAGACGGTCGACTTTTGGAACGAAGAATTGAAGAAGAACTACAGTGGGGATGCAGGACGGAAACGCTTGAAGGAAGTAACCATCAATTTGAGAGACCGCGATGGGCTCCACAATAGGCTCTATGATGTACGATGCCCGGTCCTCTGGCTGCATGGTACCGAAGATCCTGCGTACTGTGTGCCGAATGCAGAGGACGAAATCAAGATGTTTGTCAATTCGCCCGAAGCCAGATTACAGGTTGTGGAAGGAGGCCAACATTACCTCAGTGCTAGTCATCCGGAAGTCGTTGACAAAGCATTGATGGACTTCGTGGCCAAATATAGTTAAATGTACCAGCTGGCACACTGGGGCTCCAAGGGACATCTGGAGTATGGGGACAGTGGCCTTGTTCGAAAGCAGGCAAGTGAAGTGCAATGAAAGGAAATGCAAAGCGAAGCGAAGCGAAGCGAAGGATGACACAGCAAGACAGGACAGAGGAGACAACTGCAAAGGCAATGGCTTCGCTGCTTCAACTCTCGTGAACTCTCAACACCATCATGGGCCCAACGAACCGAACCAGACCAGGTCCGTGATGTCCACTGGTAGCATTATACATTATATGTTATACATCATGGTCCTCATCTCTGTGCTGTGTCGACCATATCATGTCCATATCGTTATGGAATGTGTAATCGTATCGAGGAAGTCATCCTGTGCTCTGACTGCGCCTCCCACGCGAGCGAAAGCTTTTCTTACGAAGATCGTTAATCGTTCTGACATTCCGTCTTCTGACAGAGCGGGTTGGCTCTACTCCGCTCCGCTGTTTGGTGTGCTTCTTTCGTTGGTCGTACACCTTTCGTTCCATTTGGTATCCTTACGCCCATTCGCCTTGTCGCAAGTGATGTCTCTGCCCAAGTCATGATTCGTGATTCATATGGATGTCCTTTGCCGTCGCTGCAGAACATGTAATTTCCATGCCATTGCACATGATGAGTCGGATGAACCGGATGAATCGCATTAGTCGTTCGAGTCGTGAATCGTGAGCCTCGTGGCTACACACCGGGTCCAGTGTTGCTCTGTCACAACCCCTTTCTTGCATCCAAGCAGAAAGCGGAAATCAAACTGATGCCGTACAGTAGGGCAAGAATACCCATCCAGCACACCAGCGACTCTGATTGTGAGCCGCATCTTTGCCTCACTCATATCCAACGTCGCCGGCACTCCCGAATCCCATTGAATCGCCAAACATCCATGCCTCGTCCTCAGCACGCGCCACTTCTTCCCGGAGCTTCGTCATAAGCAAGCTTAGCAGTTCGTCCTTCTCCGCATTTAGCTCATCTTCATCCCGGTCTCGACCCATATACACTGGAGGCGAACGCGTATGAGAGTGTGAATGATCATCCTTATCGTCGTTGTGCCCGCCTGGATCAATCTCGACATCTGGACTCGAATCATGACGCAGCTTGAGTTTCGTCCGGTGGCCACGTTGGCCGACTCGTGTATGCATGTGCATAAGCTGTGTATCCGGCATTCTGACCGAGGCTGAGGCTGACGCTTTTCGCTGTAGTCGCGCACGGTGCCTTGCTAGTTTTTCTCTTACATCGCGGTCAAAAATCTCGCGCTCTTCGCGCTCTTGGTCGGCCTCAGCGGCTGCGAGGTCGGCGTAATCCGCAGCCCCACCGACACTGGGAGAATGGGAATATGTATTTCTTTGTGCGCCATAGCCACCATCTCGTCCTTCTCCTGCGCCTGTGAGGTCTCCGATCTGTGCTTCATCGTCCGAATCTGTGAGCCTCAAGCGGCCGGGGAGGATGGGAATGTGAGGGAGGACAGGGCGGCCGGTGAGCGGATTAACTGCTATGATTGAGGCATTGGGGAAGAGTGCTGCGCTTGAGCGCGGCGAGAGAGGGCGGTTTGGAGAGATTGTAGGGTCATAGGTGGTATCTTCGAAAGCACCGGGGGTTGGGGATGCCCGTGGTCGGAGGAGAGGGTGGGAGAACAGTGGGTTGTTGGGAGGAGATCGGTTCGTGTCGGCGTTGAAGGGAGATGATCGTGCGGGAGAAGGCGAGAGCGACGGTGTGGACACGCTGCGCTGATGTATGCGACCTGGATGTGGGTGTGGATGTGGATGTGGTTGGGATTGGGATTGTGGTTCCTGCTCCATATCACCTGGGGCTGGGTGGCGCGTTATATGCCCTGAGAAGAGGTTGCGACGGACCGATGGCGATAAATCAGGGCCGAGGCGAGACGGCGGCATATTGCCGTCGTAGTCGGTGGTATTTGATTCAGAGGATGGACAGTTTGGGATCGTGAGTCGGGAAAGAATAAACAGAGGATCACGTGCTCGGGATGTCATATCCGAACCTTAAAAGGGTGGAAAATCCGGGGAGAGAGATACCGATTGTGACTAACCTATAGACTTATTGACAGTGTTGAGATGGTTGTTATACAAGGCCTGAATGAAGCAGTTCAAGGAACCCCTCATCGATCGAGGTCATAAGGTATCTCAGTTCTCACCGCAGCTGCAGTGGTAATTATCATGGTCTCATGGGTAAATCGTGTAATGGAACTCGCGTAACCGGGCTGCCAAACAGCTACCGCCTGAATTGTCGAAGCAGCAGTCGGACCTCGCATTGAACAGGAGGCCATCCTGCCACATAAATTGTCCTCGCTGCTGTTTGTCGAGAATGGCACCCTAGCGTCAAATTAGACGATTTACCCATGAGACCGTAGTAGATCATATCTACCGCATGCGTACTCAACGGCCACCTCGGATGTCTTCCAGCGACCTTCAAGCTCCGGCCTCAATCAACTCCTTTGCCAATTGCGCGGGAGTGGTCCCCTTGCGCCCAATCAGCCACTCCAGTATATTCGGGTTGCTGTATAATCCGCGCTCGTTATAATACAGCAACAATCTCTCTGGCCCATCCTTCAGAGTCTGCGGGACACCCTCTCGCGTTCCAAAAATGCGCTCACAGACGGTGCCAACGCTTTCCTCATACGGCACCTGTTGGATCTCGAAATTCTTTCCCATCACTTCGCCAATTGACATGATGTACTCGGTATATTTCATGGGCAATGTACTCACGATCTGGTACGTTGCATAGAAATGCTTTGATCGCTCCTGGATTATTTTCACCGATGCCTCGCCATGGTCCTTGAGCGCGGTGTATGAGAACGAGACATGCGGACTATACGCGGCCTTGTAAGCAGGATGATCTGCGTCTTTCTGCGCGATCAACTGCCCAATGGCATTGTCAGCAAAGTGGCTTGGTTGAAGGATAGTGTAGGACAGCATTGACTCGGTCAGATACTCTTCGATATATCGCTTCCTGTCGTGATTCAAGAGCTTTGTGAGCTCCGGATGCAGGACTGAGCTGAAGACAAAGTGCTGGAACTTTGAGCCGGATTTTCGTGATTCCGCCAAAGCAGCGTCGATAACATTGATGCCGAAGTATGCCTCCTTTGGGCTGAATGTCGGACTGACGTAGTATATCGTGGTTGCTCCATCGAGGATCTTCGCACAATCGTCTGAGGAATCGAGTTCGGCTTGAAGGACCTCAGCATCTGGGTATTGTTTCTGGAGGCGGTCCAGAGAGTGCTGAGAATGCACCACCAGCCGGAGCTTGTACTTTGGATTGTCATACAGCAACGGAATGATGTGACTGCATTGCTTTCCGGACGCACAGGTGAGGGCGATGACTTCCGACATTGTGACGATGTAGGTCGGGATGGCCGATAGCCAGTATCCACGAATGGACCGACATTCTTAAATACATGATCAGTGTGTTCAAGGTACTGGGCCGGATATACTACATATTTCCGGAACGATGGTAGTTCTGGCATCATACGATGTTGCGCCAATGCGGTAGGTGTTCCGTTCCAAAGTTTTCTGGTAAGCACTCATGAACCAATGGGTCAGACGTAGGGGCAGATCACTCCACGGAACGATCGGGAGGCCTCAACCTCAAAGGTTCTCCGAGACCATTTCATACATATTCCTACAAGACTCTATTTCATGGAGTACATGGTCCAGCGATTTCCCGCCACGGTGCTCTGACCATCATCTCCGAGGTGCCATCTTAACCTTTTTGTTCATCGCAAAAGCAGATTGCACCATCAAGGTCGGGTATCTTTGAAAGCACAAGCACACATCCAACATATCCTCCTATTTTTCCGTCGGATCGGCTTCTTGTCCTTCGAATGCAGGCAACCTCTTCGCGACCTGCTCCCATGTATCTGCTCCTTCTACCAGTGACTTGACCGCCGCAATGATCTCGTCCTCGCTAGCACGAACTTGCTTGGTAGAGTCACGCTCACGAAGGGTGAGACTGCCATCTTTGACGGTTTGAAAGTCGATGGTGATGCCAAATGGTGTCCCAAGTTCATCGTTACGAGCATAACGCTTCCCAATGCTCGCGGAAGAGTCGTCAACTTTGTTGGAGACGCCGATTTGGCGTAATCTAGCGGTTAATTTCTTCATGAATGGCTTGAAGTCGGGATGATTTGACAACGGTACAAGTAGGACCTTGGTCGGCGCAACGGTAGGAGGGAAAGACAGCACACCACGAGCTTCATCACCTTCTCGTGTCCAGAAGACGTGCTCCATCACGCTGTAGAGGATTCTTCCGATACCAAAAGAAGGTTCGATGACGTTGGGAGTGTACTCGCGAACATGTTCCGTCCGCTTTCTCTTCTCGATGTTGACTAGGTCCTTGCCGAGTGTTGTTGTCCCACTTCCCACGCCTGGCGTCTGAATCTCAATCTCTCCGGTCTTCGCTAAATCAAGGGACAATTTCTCGCGCAACTCTTGCGAAAGGGCTTCCACTGCACTCTCGACAGCTTTAGCATCTTTGCGGAACTTCGGCCCAAGCTTTTTGCGGTCGATGTCGACTTGGTATTCTTCGATCACCAAAGGCTCTGCTCTGGTTTCACGGACAACGAGCGGTGCGCCAGTCTTGTTCATGTGGACAGTCAAGTCATAGGCACTCCTATCGGCACATCCAACACATTCGATCCATCCATAAGTGGTGAAGAGTTCTGCATCCCAACAGTCTGCTGCGTAATGCGCCATCTCGTTTGCCATGTGCTGTCTGAACCTCAGTTTGCTCGAGTCGACTCCAAGCTTGAGCAAGAAATCTTGGATTCTGACCAGGAAGTAGCCCAAGGTTTCGTTGTCAACCAGCTTCGTAGACACGGCCTCACCAATGGTCAGGACGTCGGGCTTGGTGCTTCCAGCGAGCTGGGTCTTTCGGTTCAGCAGGGTCAGCTCGACGTGTTTGACATCGTCGAATCGGGGATGTTTCTTCCCGCCCTCGGGATCGACAAAGTGCTCAATCTCAGCCATCAAAAACTCTCGGACACGCAGCAGTCCAGATCGAGGAGAGATCTCGTTTCTGAAAGACTTGCCGATAGATGCAGAAGCGAACGGCATGGACTGTTGGTTGAACTCTAGCAGCTTCTGAAAGTTCAAAAATTGACCTTGAGCAGTCTCTGGCCGCAGGTATCCGTTTGGCAACTCTGCGCTAGGTCCGATCTGAGTCTGGAACATCAAATTGAATGCTTTTGGAGGATCCAGCTCCGCTCCGGTAGTTGGGCCTTTGATATTGAATTTCTTGATGAGCTCTCCAAGCTCATCACCTCCGTAGTTGTCAATCTTGGCCAAAGTCTCCTCGTACTCTTGCACGACGGCGTCGTCCAGTTTCTCGATTTTGGTGTCCTTGATCTTCTTCTTTTTCTTGGCCTCTTTCGCCTCATCAACTTCGATTGTTTGTCCACGAGCATCCTTGTCCGCTTTCAACCGAGCCTCAAGGACCTGCTCAACCAGATGATCTGCACGAAAGATTTCTCCGCTCTTGGGATCTTTACACATCCAATCGGCAAACTTGTCGACGTGTCCACTGGTCTTGAGGACAGCCTCGGGAGTCAGCATTGTGCAGTCCACTTCCAGCATGTCTTCTTCGAGGACAAAGTGCTTTCTCCACAGGTCGACCACGTTGGCTTGAAGGGCGCATCCTGGTGGTCCGTAGTCGAAAAGACCACGCTCTCCACCGTAGATTTCAAAGGAAGGAGTGTAAAAGAGTCTCCGACGCAGGACGGACTCGAGGACGGCGCGGTCCAAGGGCTGACCGGTCTTGGAAGTGCTGGTGGCCATCTTGGGTCCAACGAGCTGCTGGCGGCGTGGAGGTTCAAATCTAGGTACAGAAGCAGTGCAAGAGAAGGGTCTAGGAAAGCAAGAAATTCTAGGAAAATGAGAAGGCGTCGCTCTGGAGAATAGCTTCCAAGCACGCATGTAAGTAGAGAAGGAGTGGCTGGCCTGAGGTTGAGAAGCAATATTAATGGCCGCTATGACTCCCAATAATGCATTCTGGAAGATGCGTTTCAGTAGTCAATTTTCAAGAGCGAGTGCGACGCAAGCCACAGCCGGCAACGCCTCACTAACTTAGTTAGTGCCCCAATAACCACAAGCCACAGTCCTTCAGCCTCTCGGCCTTTCACTAACTCAACCTGGACGCAGCCTCGCGATTAGCGGGGATTTCGATTCTCCAACTTTTTTGGGCAGGGCCCAAAACTTTTTTCTACTCGCCGTCGCCTGCAATTTGCAGCGGTAAAGAGCACCTCAATACTCGAAGGCGTACCCTCAAAACTCCCCATGCCCAACCGCAGATAAAACCTTTTCGCCCAAATGGCCAAACGAGGCATGGAACTCTCGGACAAGGCCGCGCTACCTTTCAAGACCGCCAACAAACAGCGACGGCAAGATCTGCACTTGAAGCAGAAGCGGGCACGAGATGCTCTAAAAAGATCAGAACGATTCGCTCGGAAAAAGGAAGAGGCAAAGGACCCTAAACTGCGAGAAGAGCGACTCCGCCGCAATATTCCGATCACGATTGATAGGAAGCGAGTCTTCGATGAAGTCCAAGACGAACCGGACGATGGCGGACTTGGATTGGTCTACGACGTCGAACGGTTGAAGAGGAAGAAACTCGCCGAGGAACAAGAACTACCGCTCGAGGGAGAAGAACAGGAAGCTTCCGACCCAAACGCAGACGATGACGAAGACGATGCCGATTCTATGCTCGAAGATAGCGGTGACGACGACGAACTACCAGCCGAAGACGACTTCGAACCATCCGATCTCGAAGACAACACGCACGACCCCTTACCCTCCAAATCGCAGCTCAAATCCGCATCTTCCAGACCACGCGCACTTTCGCCAACACGAAGCACGACCTCGACAAACCTCTCCCTCGCTCCCGCTGCGCTCGCCGCCAAATTCCCATCCCTCTTTCCATCTTCCGACGCCCCGCCTCCCCTTCCTCCAAAAATCCTCATCACAACGTCGATCAATTCAACCCTGCATACCGAAGCCGCCATCCTGACCTCCCTCTTCCCGAATTCGAAATATATCCGCCGCTCCTCTCACCGCTATGGCTACAAATTCTCCGTCCGAGAAATCGCTGCCTTTGCCACAAATCAATCCTACACTGCCGTGATCGTTCTCGAAGAATCTCTGAAACGTCCCTCAGGCCTGACCATCGTCCACCTTCCCACCGGACCTACCTTCCACTTCACAATCACAAACTGGTACACCTCGCGCAGCATTCCCGGCCACGGCCGTGCGACAGACCACATCCCAGAACTCATCCTCAACAATTTCACAACGCCCCTTGGCTTGTTGACCGCTCACCTCTTCCGCTCCCTCTTTCCTGCCACACCGGACCTCAAAGGACGGCAGGTCCTTACGCTACATAATCAGCGCGACTACATCTTTCTCCGCCGGCATCGGTACATTTTCCGCGACAAGCGCGAGACGGAGAAGTCAGTTGTCGGGCCCGATGGGCGAGAAGTCAAAGGTGTCGAAGGTATCAGGGCCGGACTGCAGGAGCTCGGGCCCAGATTGACGCTCAAGCTGAGACGTGTGGACAAAGGAATCCAAAGGCGGAGTGGTCAGGATTGGGAGTGGAAGGCGCGGATGGAGAAGACGAGGACGAAATTCCAACTTTAGTCGGCAATGTATGAAAGTGCTCTTGTGTACTGGACTTGGACCCGCCGTAAAAACCAAGAACTGGTATCTCGAGTCTCAACACTGCGAAATGAACATGTGGTTTATGGCTCGGATCTCTACTGGCCAACCACCCCAAATTCAAGTGTCTGCGAGAAGTCCTCCACTGTATCAAAGGTGTAGGAACTGACGCGGTCCGGAATCCCATAATCCTAGTTTGAACAACAGATCTTCTTGTCAGCTCAGACTTCTTCATGACAATTTATGAATACAATCGTAAGCATAAGTATATGCATATCTCGCAACGATACAACTCCTGTTGTGATCGCGTGCCCAAAGCTCCCTTGTGCCCGTCGACATGTCCCCGGAACATCATGCTTCAATAAGGCGAATGAACAGCAACAGCAGCAGCAGCGAGCTCAATGACACTGCTCTGATGTGAGCGACACTTCAGGTGACAACACTCCAGTCCGACAAGGTCGGCTTCCTGCCACGTCCGACATGTCGCTGCCGCTGAATAGCGGTGTAGTGAGTAACTGTAGTCCTTCCTACCTTCCCTTCTCCGTGGATTTCGCCAACTTCTTCTTCTCCACGACGCCCTCGAGCACCTCCAATCTCTCCCTCGTAATCCTGATCGCATCCTCCATCTCCCTTTGACTGATTTTCTCCTCTTTGAGTTTCGCTTCGACATCACTACTCACGGCCCTGCTTCGAGCCCGTTTCTTGATCTTCTCGTTTTCCTTTCTCACACCCCTTGCCGTTCCTTCTTTGTTGGCCATCTTATCAACCTTCTGCCTCAGAAGCACCGTATCCACATTAGCTCGCGCTTCAAGCCAGTCCCAAAGCTCGTTCTCCTCCTTCATCCACAGCCCTTCATAGCCGGCTAACCTTCCACTCTGTGTCAACCCGACGTACGGATAGCTCCCAACTTGCACTCCTCGGCTGGGCGAACGCACCCACAACAACAACACCATAACCGTGAGAACCCCAACCAGAACCTCCATCTTCAGCACCGGCTCCAGTACACTCATAACAGGCTGCAGCGGCGCTCTCAACGGCTCCAGGACGCCCCAATTCACCTCGACTTTCTTCTCCTCACTCACAGTCTCGTCCTTAAACTTCTTCTCTCCTTTCCGCTTCTTCTTCCCCTTGGACACTTTGCTCGCGTTCGTCGTGCCGCGCGGCCGCCCGCTTACAGCGCTCTTCAGGATCTTAACCAGACTGTCACCGTACTGCTGCTGGCCATCATTCGCGCCCTTCTCAATCGGTCCTTTCAACCACGACTTCGCAGTCCACTCAATTGTGCAATTCATCTGGAATCTTGTCGCATTTCCCGGCGCCCAGGTCAGACAGTACCTTGTTTTGGTACTGAACGCATTTCCGCTAGGCACATCGGGCGTCTGGGTCGTACACGTCACCGTTACCGCTTTCTCGAGGTCGAAGAAGTCCATGTTCTCCGTCGTGATGCATTTCGTTTGCTTTGGGCCGATGCTGCCACCCAATGGCTTAATGTATGTATATTGCCGGCTCTTGACGTCGTTGTTTAGACCCTTTTTGTCGTCTTCAAGAACGAGTTCCATACATTTACATTCGTCGACGAGGAACTTTCGAACAAAAAGCCCAGATTCAGGACCGTACAGGAGAGAATAGATCTTGCCCAGTGGCGCAGGGATGATATCATCTTTCATAATCTTGTCGTAATGTGTCGCGCTGTCTGTGCAGTCTGTAGGAGCATGGGTGGCTGGACCAGGGAAGTCCTTCCCTGCTTCTGGCACGCCGGCCTGAGCAGCAAGAGGAGGTGGAACTTCACCAGCTGTACCCGCCAGGACACTAGCCGTTTGGGCGACAGCGGTTGCGTTCATGCCGGACGGTTTTCTAGACACGGTCTTGCCTTCGACAAGCTCGCTACCCGCATGGCTGGGACTGCTCTCAGCGAGACTGGGTGCACTATCGTCCGTCCCGTCGGAATCAGAGTCGTTACTGCTGCTGTCGTCGCTGGGTTGTACATCCGCGCCGTGCTCTGCTGGAGCGGTTGCTTCGCGAGTTGCTTCTTCGGCGGCAAGTTGCTTGCCGTTTATGCTCTTTTGGAAACTCGCCGGGTGGCTCACACGCCAGATACCAATTAATAGATCGTATGTTTGTTCACGGTACAACAAACTTCGAAAGGTGTGGCGCGCGTGAAGTGTCTGAATCGCAATGGCATTTGGGAAGACCATCGCCGTACTCTCACGCTCGATGCTGACCACTTCTTCAAAAGAGATGACAAGCGTGGTGACCCAGCCGAGGATATTGCTGGAAAAGCATATATGGCCTTCTGAGATGTAGATCCTCCCGGCGACCAGTATCTCTTTTTGCAGCGCACAGCTGTAGTCTTCAATCAGAAAATCGTCTTCAGGCACGCTCCGGAACTGTTGGTGAAAATTGCGGTTGCGCTGTTTCGGAGCAACAGTGAATCCCATCAAACGAGGTCCCTTTGCAGGATGGGCCAATGCTGCAGTACTAGCTCCTATCATCGCACCTATTGCAGATTGACCTGTCGCTGCCGAGGAGCCGCGAGAACGCCGCTTCGCAAGTTTACTGCGAACACTGTTCGTGCGTTTCATGGAGCCTCCTGGTTCGCCCTCGAAAATACTGCCGTTAGGAGGCGTCCTTTCGCCACCAATTTGGCCGGGGACAGTCTGTGACTGCCGCAGTCCATCGACGGGGTCATTGATCTCGGCCATGGGTGTTGTTGAATCCGATAGCTTCTCATAGGCCGCAGAAACGGCGCGCTTTGCTAAAGCATCTTCCTCTTTGGCAGCTGCCTCGTCACGTTCTAGTGACGAGTCCTTGCGCAGTTCCGTCAAGTCTAGGCGACTGGAGCCCATTTTGTCGTCAACACCTAGACCTAGATGCTCAAAATTGAGATCTCCCAATCCCATTGTTTCGATTGCTAATCGCTTTCGCGGAGACTCTGGTTCAACATTTTCGTCTTCTTCCTGGATTGGCTCTTCTGTAGGCTTCTGCTTCACGGAAGAACTAGAAGCATCAGTACCTGATCTGTTTCGAGTCTGGCCAGCAAGATTGCTGATCGTGCTTGCAGCATTTTGCGCAGCAGACATCCAGGAGGAGAAAAGACTACCGCTAGGTGTACGTGTCCCTGCCGACGCCTTGGTCTCGTCTGTTGGCGTCAATGGTGCGCTCATTGAGCTGGACAATTTGCTCGGCTGGTGAGTAATTGAAGATGTCGACCTTATCCTACGATGAGAAATCATGTTGCCAGAATGGCTCACCACTATCCTCGAATTCTCCTGCTTCTCTGGATCGGGCTTCTCAGACATAGGAGATCCCGTTGCTCCCTCGAACTCTGACTGTTGCTGTGTAGGAGTTGGAGGAGTCAGGGTAGTAAGAGGCGCGGGTATGACGGCAGCTGGAGGCGTGAAAGGCCTATTATTCGTCTCAAGATTCGGCATTGAATTGTTCGTGGAACGATCTTGCATGACGGCATCGACAGAACTTGTCTCCTCATGACCCTCTTCTTCGGTGATGAGGCTTTGGCTGCTCAATGGGCTGGTGAAGCCTGTGGACGGTTCCGTCATTGTTCTTTCTGGGCTGAGCTTTGGGCTCTTGTTTGACTTGCCAAACACATCTTTGAACCTCCGAGCCGGTGATTTGCCTCGGAGTTTGCTGATACTGCTCCTACGCGAATCCGGTCGAAGAGTGTCTGCCCTGTCAATCAACCCAGCCGTGGGCGACATGGGACTTGTGTCTGGCAAGGAACTTTTGGGAGACGGCGAGTGACCCGCTTGGTCAGGTTCGACAAGGGTCGGTATCGTATCGGCGGAGGGCGGCGGCTGGTCATCGCTATGCGTAGGTGCTGCGGACACCAGCGGCGATGACATTGTCAAATAGCCGGTGTGGGAGGCTCGTGAGATTAGAGGCGGTGTTTCGATCTCGGAGTCGTCTGTAAGAAGACTGGTGTCGCCCTCTGCAGGCACAAGACTGCTCGGTCTCCTACTAGAAGGATTCGAGGGAGTTTGAACACTGACTCCTGCACCAGGTCTTCCCCTTCCAAGCTCTTCTATGACAGCCTTGACCTCCTCTTCGCGGACTTTTCTCCTCTTTCGCTTGCTGTGGCCAGGCAGCAACTTTCGCATGCCACTACTGCCGGACTTACTGCTTCCATCTTGACTGATCGAACGCGTACTATATCTCGTAGGGGATTTTTCAATGGTCAGAGAGTCAATGGAATCCGTGCGCAAGTCTTTGATGTTTTCGTCGCTTGGAATGTCGGAGGAACGGCGGCGGCTCGAGAGGACCTTCTTTAACCCCTTGAGTTGGGGAGAATGCTCGGGCATGACAGGAACGACATTAGGAGAGGATTGAGTAGAGACCGCGGCCATTCAAGGAGGGTGGCGTATAGGTGTTTGGTGTTTTGGGTGCGCCGTTGTTTTGGACTAACTGGCAGACTGATGTCACAAGAAGCGTCAATATGTGGTCAGTGCAGAAGGATTATGCGGAGGACATCCCAGGCGTGCCCCAGGATCATGTATATAGAACAGGGATCCCCGGGAAGAAGTAAAAGAGAGCGTGAAAAGTCTGGGAGGGATACAGGAGGACAGAAGCATACCTTAGATGGGCCGGGAAACAACACACCCGCATGCACCACCTTAACGACTACACAAGACAGGTGAGTGAAGGGGCTCAAATAGCAGATCGGGCGCCTTTGACGCTTGCAGCTTCATGATGACCACAGCCAGCCATGACCAACTTGCTAGCCCTGGCTTGCTCATTTCTCCGCAAGTTTACACGGCTATAATCTATCCGAATGCATTATTCGCTACTCCGTATGCTCGAGGCGAAATGGCTTGCGTATGGCACGCGTTCAGGCGGGGTCCAAACACCCATCATCGCCGGAGGTTAATCATCCTCTAACGAACACCCCTTGTCTGGTGGCCTGAATTCTCCTTTCCAGGCAGCCCGTAAGTAAAGGAGAAAGCCTACTTGTCTGACCAAAAGAGTATATGGACAGGTCAAGGAGATGAGTGAGATGACAAGGGTCAATGTGTAGGTTTCTCCAAGTTCCCTGGTCAGACTGGATAGATTTGCTCGTGCTAAGTCAGCCCCCAGCGACGTTTCAGCCTGCGGAGCACTCACAGCACTCCACATCCAGCCTTATGCGGAAGGCGTTTCGAATCAGCCAGGTGAAGACAAGGGAGTAGTGTGCATATCACTCTGCTCAGACGCCGCGGTGTCTCCTGAAGAAACACTCCATGTTCTTTTGGGGACTAACCATCCTCCATCTGACTCCACCGGCGCATTCATACCCTCGCAACGTCATCTTTGCCCTTCTCATCTCAAGCGCTAATGGAGGCTGCACCACTGACTCTTGTAAGTGTCCTCAGTGTTTAGCGTCGTTCAACAACGGTACTGAACATTGTCTCTTAGGCCCACACTCACGCTCGCAACGCCGCTGTAGAACATAGGCGAAACAATCCTGTGGCTGCCAGCGAGGAATATGACTTGGCCGCCGCAGAATTTGCTGCTGCGGCTCGCGACTCGGCCGACCTCGAGGCTCGTCGACTCCTTTCTTTGATGGAAGCCGAAAACAAGAAGCTAGGAGAGATATTAAGAACAAGTCATGAGAAGCCTCGCGGCGCAGATGATGCGAGACCTTCACCTTCGCGTACCGAATCGGCTCCCTCGACCACACCCTCTATATCCCAGCAAGAATCCGGCCGGCCACCGTCACCCGAGACTACCATACATGCACCCAGACTCCCACGAGGCCTGAGACCCAACGCCCGCGATCTATCCTCGTCAATCGCAAGCAATCTTGCTTCTGCCAGAGGAATTCCAAGCAGCCGCCAGAAAAGACCAACGCCTATCTCTCCGCTGGTGTCAGCACAAAATGCCGACGGACAAATTACTCTAGAGGACACAAGAGCGCGTTCAGGATCAAGACAGAGCTCGTATACAGGCGATGCTCCTTCAGCTTCGAACCAGTCCAGCTCACGACCACCATGGGCACCACCCCTGCAGCCTGAGCCAGCCAAACCAAATACCGGAGAGTCAATCGACCAACACGCCTCAGACGCGCCCTTCCAACAATTTTACTCCACCTTCGAATCACTCATATCCAAGCTCAGTGCACCACTGGCGTTTGCCGGCCTGCCTCTGACTTCACCTGCTCCCAAAGCCGCCGTACCTCTAGAGCCGCCATCGCCGAAATTACCCCACGGGCCGTCTCGAGCAGTACCGGCAGCACCCTCCGTCGACTATTCTCAACTTATATCCCGCGCGGCATTGCGCGCTGTCTCCGGCACGTCTACCAATCCCTCTGAATCATTCTACGTCGTTCCCACGACCGGTGGCACAATCTCCTACGCCGAGATTATGAACCGCGCCGAACGCGAAGAAGGCCGTGTCCTACGCCACCACCGCCAGCCCTCGACCCTTTCCAATATCTCCGAAGACGACTTTGTCGACGCCCACAGCACCATTCTGCCCAACACGAATCGTCCTCGTGAAGGTGGTCCACCAAGCCGTTTCGCCCGGCGCGGCGCCTCAGAAGAGGCCAAAGTCAACGGCAAGACAATGGAGGAACTCGCGCTCGAGAACCAAGCGCTCAAACACCTCTCTGACACGCTCTCACGGCGACTACATGTGTTCGAAATGTCCAGTCAGACTGCCAGTGCGGCAATGGCGCAGAGCATCCGCTCTTTGCACCGGAGTCCGCTGACAACACCGCTTCTGTCGCCGGAAAATTCCCGCGGAAGGAACAGCGGCAAGGCTGTGGAAGCAGGTATGGATGAGGCTGTAGCCAAGAGGATTGCAGAGTTGGAAGAGATTCTGCGCAAGAGCGATGCAAGGGCAAGGAAGAAGGAAGATGAGAATGCTAAGCTCAAGGAGACGATCACAAAGTACAGAGACAAATGGGATAGTTTGAAGGCCGGGGCGAAGGCGAGGAGGGAGAGAGAAGGGAGAGCTGGGAAGAACGGAGATAAAGGGACGTCATCAGCGGCGAAAGGAGAAGTCGCGGCTGGCGGTGATGAAGATATTCCCGAGGGCTGAGGTCGATTCGAATAGCAAATGTTCAAGTCCTGCATTACGACATGACGATTCTCCCATTTCCAAATGGTCGTGGAACCCATAGCCTACCAAGGTAAACAGGCTTGGGAGTCATGTCGGAGATGATTTATGTGAACATGAAGATCTCAACATCATGGAACTGTTTCTATTGAAGCAATCAATTGTCACAGCATATTACTACCACTATGCGGGTATGTCCCATCTATGCTCAACCACGCTGATATCAAAAAGAGACCATATCCTCTCCAATCAAACCCCAGATGTACGGTCGGCCTGCGAATCTCCAACGTCATCACGTTTCTTCCCCTTCCCACGACCCATGATGCCAGAGAAGGTTTCGCTCAAGGCACGTAGCCTTCTCTTTTGTTTGCCCATATCCTCCTGTGGCGTATCTTCGTCGCCGACAGCGCCCTCGTGCGTCTGTGCTCGGCTAAGGCTTTGGTCTTCGCTTCGATTCTGGAAGTGCAGCCCTAAAGGGTGCTCCGGGTCCGAGACGGGGATGGTCTGCCGTCGCGTGTTTGTCGAGTGTCGCGACGAACGCCTGCGGCGAAGACTGGCGCGGACTGAGCGAGAAGCGCCTTCGCCTTTGAGCAGCGAGTCGGCAACGAGCGCGCTGAGGGACGACGACAGTGGCGGGAGCAGTGGACCGGGGACGGGAATGAGGCGTGATATGCTTCCGCGTGTTGAGCGAGAGAGAAAATGTGTGGTTGAGGACGGATCTTCTGCAGGACGTTCAGGACTAGGGAGTCTTGGTGTCCCTTGCTTGCTGGGTGTTTCCGGGCCTGCCGGCGATGAAGTGGAACGCTTCAGTGGTTTAGACGTAAATGGAGTGAAGAAAGGCGTGGATGATTCGCTCTGTACTCTGGCACCAAGTGGTGTCCGAGGCGATGGTGGTGCGTCGATTTGCTCTGCTGAAGACAGCCAAGGATTACGATGCAGACTTTCCGAGGATTCAGCAGGCGTGAAGGCAATGGATGGGACGGACGATGCTGGCCTGGAGTGTTGCGGTGTGGTAGCTTCATCCTCTGATTCCTCCACTGTTTCCAACGCCGAATGATGATCGTCAATCCCAGGGGCAACCGATGCTTTTCTGTCCCTGGTTAATGGTGTTCGTTCGTCCACTCCGTCCGCTTCCTCGTCGATGAGCTGAATAGTCTCATCCTCATCAGCCTCCTGCTCATCGATACTTGTGTACCCCTCACGGCGGCTCGTGATCAAATATACACCGAAAAACGTCAATAGACATCCAATGACAAACTTGACGGCCTGTGCTGTAGTTGTATGCTCAAAGTCTCGGTATAACACCGCCGATCCAAGAATGACTGAAAGTGTAAAAAGAACAAACTGTGTGGGTATCACTTGAGTGGAATCATAGATCTGCAAAGCCCGATTGAGGTAACGTATTTGCATGAGTGCTGACAGGACGAGAATGACCACCAGAAAGTAAAGTATGGGATATGCAAACGCCTTCCAAAGAGATGTTGATAGAAGGGAAGAAACACCTTTCGTAGACAAGGCTGTGTAGCCGCCGAACAAGGCCACCAAACCAAGATCAACAAGGATTGTCCGCCGGCCGTATCGTGGTTCCGCGTACATGAGAGCCACAATAAACAGAGTCGTGATGATGACATAAACCAGAAATTCCCACCTCTTAATAGTTTTCAACAGACCTCCAGGGCCGAACTTTTCCTCACTCGACTCTGCCGACAGGACGACGACGACAGCGCCAGCGACTGCCACCACGACACCGAAGAAATCGCGCTTCCGGAAGCGTTCCTTGAGCATGAGAGGAGCAATCAAGCAGTTTGAAATCAAAGCGACCACACCAAGAGGACTGACAATCGATGCTGGTGCAAAGCCATAGGCGAGGAAATTGCCCGCTTCCCCAATGATCATGAGCACAAGCCCGAGCCACCAAACTGGCGATTTTAGGTACGATGGTCGGCCCTCATCCTCGTTCTCGGGCTCACTCTTCTGCCGTGGTTCTTCGATAGGAGATTCTAAGCCTCCTTCCACGTCAACATCCGCCGAAGGAGTACCATCTTCGGCTGTGCTTTCCTTGCGATCGGGGAGTCCCAGATTGGCTTTTTTCCGCGCCTCTGCTATCTGCTCCTGTTCGTCCGTGCCATACCCAGTGCGGATTGGCGATGCGATTCCATTCGGGTGAGGCTTTCTGCTTCCATTGTGTTTACGTTCTATCAGGATGTGCGCGTACCTCTGGGTGTTGAGAGCGACAGATATGAGGAGATTCCCAACGATCGCTGTGACTATACCGATGAATGAGGACCATCGTTGTAGTTGAGAATCTTCGCCGAACTGTGCTACACCTCGGACTGTAACCAACTCTAGAATAAGCGTCGAAGAAGCGTCGAGCGAAGATGGATTGTAAGGAATCGGCATCGAGATGTGCATCTCCAGTATGGCTCGGATCGAGTATGCGTACGTTTCCCGCCGAGCTCGTCGAATATCGTACGGTTCTGAGGTCAGTGAACTCTGCACAGATCTGGACCGAGATCAAGGCTATGACTGGTCGGATTGGAATAATAACATGGCGGTTGTATACGCGCACCCCTAAGCCATGACGGCTTGACTGTCCAAGGGTTGGAAAATTGCAGCGCAGCCTTGGATTTGATATTCGCGCATGTCATCCAGCAGGGAAACTCACGCACAAATACACGCCGCCGCTTTAATGGGACTGCGACTCGAGGTTGGAGGCGTGCCTCAATCCTTAAGCATTGGCACGCTTCGGAAACATTTCAATCACTTGCGCTCACTCTTGCGACATTCAATCGCCCGCTCAGTCAAATCTCGACGCGTCCGATCCTAATCGACACGATATAACCTTACCTTTCGAGATTATTTCCGAAATCTACATCCCAAATAGTACGGAAACTGCCCTTCAACCTCATCATGGATCGCAGCTTGGACGATACCATTGCTGATCGTCAGGTCCGTTGAACATCAGGGATGCTCGATCCCCATGTGCTAATATTGACAAGCGACGAGAAAATCGTGGTGGACGAAGAGCTCCTCCTCCAGCGCCACGGCGTAGGGACTACAACTACCCTCGCGATGGAGTCAAAAAGGTACGAGACAACTCCAGCTCACCTCCGTTATACAGCCAATCTCACCTTTTTGTTCTAGGTCCGACTCTCCTCTCCTCTCCCATGACGCTTTCCTGTTCCGTCGTTACGATTGCTCGCCGCATCATCTCGAAACACAAGCGAAGTGTTGCCTCGACCTTCAGCATTTGACGGGATACGGGTCAGAGATGTTTTGACTTACAGCTAACCAAATCTTCCTCCACTACAGTCTACGAGAGACGATCGAACGAACCTTGACAAGTATGGACATCTCTGGCCGAGGCATCAAGACACTAAAGGAGAACAGTGACTGGGTCCATGACCGCTACGATGACGAGCCGGACAGTGAGGAGAGCTCCGTATGTTCGACCTGACAAATGCTGAACAGCACTGCAGACTTCGGGGGTCAAGACCGTTCGAGGGAACGTAAGGATCGCCGACGTAATCGGTCTCCTGAGCCCGACCGGTAAGCTCGGCTGAAGTCTTGTCCCGTCCAGTTCTGAGTTCGTAGGAAACCTCCGCCAGCCAAAATACGAGTCGACAATTTACATTACGACCTAACTGAGGACGATATCTATGTACGTTCGTCAGCATCTAGGGGCTATGAGACATTAACCTTGGCCAGGACTTGTTCACCCGAATTGCCCCTGTGGTGGACGCTCGACTTCGCTACGACCGAGCTGGACGCTCTGAAGGCGTTGCCTTTGTGACATACGAGCATGTCGCGGATGCCAGGGCTGCAATTCGCGATTTTGATGGAGCTAATGCGAAAGGACAGCCTATTCGACTGACTCTTCTACCACTCCCTCGCCGAGACAATCCGTTTGATCGTGTGGAGAACCCGAAGAGTCTTTTCGACCGGATCGAGGCTCCTGGTAGCCGCAATCGAAGGCGCAGCCAGAGTCCAGTGGACGAGATGGAGGCTGATCATTCAGCTCGCCGAGGTCCTCGGAGAGGTCCACCAACGGACCGAAGAAGCGATGTGACTAAGCCAGCTCCCGAGAACATCGATCGATATATCCCAGGTCGTGATAGTCGAAGTTCCAGTCATCGTGGAGGTCGTAGACCCGGTGAGAGGCGCGAGCGAGCTGCTAGAGATCCCGAAGGGCACAAGGTGGTCAATGGTCGACCACGAAAGACAGCCGAGGAGCTTGATGCTGAGATGGATAACTACTGGACCAGCGCTGGCAATGCCCAGGGAGAGAACGGCGGCGAAAGCGCACCAGCTGCTATGGCACATGGAGGAAACGACGTTGACATGATTGAGTGAACAACATACCGTCGTGTCAGGGGTTATGCACATGTACATGGCCGAGGCACTGCTACTTCCCAAGGGGGCTTGTCAACAGTGACTGAGGTCGCAGGAAAAGTTTGTCGGCGTCCGATTGGTTTGGACTCACTGCGATGCTCTCCAAGCAGCATCCGCGCTATCAGTGGCGTGGCGTCCCACGTTTGCCTTCTCACCAAAATTCAGAAATTATCAGTCACCTTCATTCAGTGGGTCGCATGTGTTGCTGGCTCGCCATTGAACGCTCTCAGTCTTCTAGAGCCGTGACACACCATTGACCTCGGACGGAAGCTTAGACAGCATGAAGTTCTCCACGACGTCCAACCCTTCCTCGGCTCCACTTCCCTTCATACCTCTCGGAAACATGATATATCCATGGCATGCTCCTGGGACGATTTTGACTATTGCTTCACCACCAGACATCAACCATTTCGTGCTCATGAACATCGTATCGTCCAATAGGCAGTCCTCCGTCCCGCATGTAAAGAGTGCTGGCGGAAGCTTACCACGCAAGAGCTCCAGGTTCGTATACAGAGGGCTAACCGAAGGATGCACCCTCTCCTCTTCCGACATACCAGGCAGGAATGCATCCCGAAACGCGTTCATTATATCTCGATCGAGAATCAAAGTCTCGGGCTTCTGGAAGTTATACACAAACGGCGTCCAGACCATTGAATAACACCCAAAATGCAACAGGAGGCCTTGAAAACGAAAGTCCGCATACCGAGGCACGGAGTGCTGCAACAGATGCAGTGCAACGAGCATGCTCAAATGTCCGCCCGCAGATTCGCCGCCAAGGAAGCCTAGGGGCACGCCGAACTTGGACTCGGCGTTGTCGACCAGCCACTCCGCTACGTCGTAGCAGTCATTCGGTCCGGCGGGGAAGGGGTGTTCGGGAGCGAGGCGGTAGCCAACGGACAGGACTAGGGTCCCCGTCCTATCGGCGATATCCTGGAGCATGGGGTCCTGGGACTTTTCGTCCTGCAAGACCCAGCCTCCGCCGTGGATGTGCAGGAAGACGGAGCGGATGGGTTTGTCGTTCTGCGGGCGTAGGATGCGAGAGGGGATGGTCCGACCTGAGTCGCGGGATGGTATGGTGATGTCCTCGGCTGAGTCGAGGAGGACTGCTTTAGGGAGAGGCGTTTCGCCAGCAGCACGCATCTCGCGGTATTTTTGGGCGCCGACCTGAAAGGATATAAGTAGGGGATTGGAAGAGAGAAAAAAGGGCAGCGGGACGACTCACTTCGTACCATCTCGGGCCCGTCGACATCATTTCCATGAGCTTTTTGTTGAAGGCCTGTGTATCTTCGGAGATGGCTGCTGCGCCAAACTTTGTTGGGTCAATGCTCAAAGCGTTGTGGGCATCCATCTTGAAGCCTGATATAATGTGTGCTGAGAGGTGGTATATAACGAGGTAGGCCTGCCGGCAAAGGTAGCGGGTGCTGTTAGCAGGAGTTCCGGAGATGATAATTATGCCCTTTGATTGTTGTCAATGCTTGGGAGTATTGGTACGTGGCAGAACAGAACAGATCGGTCGGCGACGATAGATATTCCCTCTGGTCGGCGAGGTCGGCTAACTGTCGTGTATCCCCGCACGTAAAATACGGAGAATAGTGTTCCTGAAGATCCATACTCCCCCAAGTCACCTGTGGCATGTAGCGAGGTACCTGGTAGATACCGGTACCGGGCGGGTTGACAGACCTCGGTTTGTTGCCAAGAACCGGCTTCGGTTGATACGCCGACTCGCCCAAAATTTCGGGGATTCCAAACACCAAGTCCTGCAAAGCCTGCTATCTAACCGCATCAACGTTGCCTGCCAATCGATGTCCTTGCAGACATACGAAATGGGATGCTAGCTTCGATTGACAGTCTCGTAGTCCGCTGCATTGCATGAGCAGGAGGGACTCCGCAAAGGCCTGCAGCCTAGCATTGTCATTGTCCAAACTTGGCTCAACCAACCTGGAGTCGGGGATAGTTTCGAACACCTCTTTGGCCCAAGTTTTCATAATGGATGAAGATGGTTTCCGAGACTTTCTGCCCACCTCTTTTGGTGGCGGGGCCGCAGACTTCGACCCGGAGGCTCAGATGGAAAAGGCCAGGCGGAAAGTAGCTGGGTCGGTGGAGGCGAAAGCTGCCAAAACAGCAAGCTCGACAGGGGAGAACGATTCAGACGACAATGATTCTGATGAAGACTCGGAAGACGAAGACGAGGACGAATATCCTACATCCCATGAGATCGTCTTCAAAACTCATGACCGTCCAGTCACCACAATCACCGTGGATCCCTCTGGCTCGCGGATGATTACAGGCTCAACAGATTGCACCATCAAATTGCATGACTTTGCGACCATGACACCAAATACCCTCCGAGCTTTCAAATCAGTTGATCCGACAGCAACCAAGTCTTCAGCAAACTCAGAAACCCATCCCGTTCATGTCGCGAAATTCAACCCAATTTCACCCAGCCAGGTTCTTGTCATATCAGCCACACCACAGGCGAAGATCTTATCCCGAGATGGCGAGACAATCACCGAGTTCGTCAAGGGTGACATGTATCTTCGGGATATGAACATGACGAAAGGGCACATCAGTGAGATCACCAGCGGCACATGGCACCCTCACGTGCCAGACCTCTGTGTGACTGCCGGCACCGATAGCACTCTTCGCATTTGGGACGTCAACGTGCGCAACAAGCAGAAAGAAGTCATTGTGCACAAATCGAAGCTTGCAGGTGCAGCAGGTCGGAGCCGAATGACTGCTGTGGCCTGGGGAAGTCAAGTCGGAAGTGACAACAGCCTTCTTGTGGCTGCAGCGCTTGACGGCTCTCTATTGATGTGGGGTGGAGAAGGACCATATCACAGGCCGAGTGCCGAGATCAGTCAGGCTCACTCAAGCAACACTTGGACAAGCGGGATCGACATAAGCTCGGATGGCCGATTAGTCGTCACCAGAGGCGGTGATGATACCATCAAACTCTGGGACACGCGCAAGTTCAAGCAGCCAGTCAACACCACATCTCACATTTCTACATCTGCGCAGTATCCCACATCGAACATCATGTTTGCGCCGGGCAACTCATCCTCCATCATCACAGGCTCGGAAACAGGAGACCTTTACATCCTGAACCCGGCAACCCTCAAGCCAGAGCTGGTCACACCCATAACTCCTGGATCGCCACTCGTCAGCGTCCTATGGCACGACAAGCTCAACCAAATTATCACGGGAAGTGCCAACGCCGAGACGCATGTCCTCTTCAACCCCAAGATTTCCACCAAAGGAGCCGTCATGGTCATGGCCAAGCCACCCAAACGCCGACACATCGATGACGACCCCAGCTTTACCACCGATCTGTCACAAGGTGTTTCTGGGGATGCCATCATCAACCCGGCCACGAGCAGTGAACCCATCAAAGGCAGCACTTTTGCATCCCGACATCCAACCATCGGCCTTACCGCGTCAGGCAAGTCGAGAGATCCGAGAAGACCTCACATGCCGGAAACCACGCCCTTTTCAAGGAATCAGCCCGACGAGAAGCATATCCGCGAGAGCATCCCTCTGAGCACGATGAGGGAAGAGGATCCTCGAGCGGCCCTGCTCAAGTACGCCGACAAGGCCGAGAAAGACCCTATGTTCACAAGAGCCTGGGGCAAGACGCAGCCGAAGACCATCTATGCCGACCTCAGCGACGAGGAAGACGACGACGGACCGCAGACAAAGAAACAGAAGACTTGAAAAGAATCGCTTTTGATTGTATATCTCCTCGTCTCCGAATTCGCGATACAGCACATTGCGCCGCGAGAGGATTGTACCCAAAAAACACCATCATCAAAACTGACTTTCTTGTCGTCGGATGAAGTTTCATGGCTCGTATATGCGTTCGTCCACATTTACCTGATACCCAAGAGCGGGAAACAAAGCGCTCGGCTTGCTGAAAAACTCTGTTTGTACATGCCCCTGGCGTCGGCCCAAGGCAGAAAAATATCAAATACATTATAAATCCCTTCGACGTGCGTCAGAATGTGGGCGCTCAGCTCCCGCATTTTCCAATCAAACCTCTTTCTCAGGCACACCGGTAATGGCCTCCTTGATGCCCTTCTTGGTCGGGTGAACGACTCTTTTGAGTCCCATCCAGGGTGTGTTCATGGGTGATTCACCCGTGTATATGAAAGTGTCGTACAAGAATCCTCCGAACGTGCATCCAATAAAGGGCGCAATCATGGGAATCTGCCAAGTGCCAACCTTGTTAGTAACACTCACAGACAATCCTTTCGACTCGAAGCCACAGAGCAGCGAAGAGACATACCCAAAAGTAATAACCTCCGGCACTCCACACCTCATTTCCATAACCGACGAAATAGGTGAACAATCTCGGTCCGAAATCTCGGGCCAGATTAATCGCGTAGCCGGTTTCCCAGCCGAGCGTGGCGCCGATGCCGAAGATCAAGAAGAACAGCCCCAGAGGGACCATGTTGCCGGCGCCGAGATTCGCGTCGTCCTTAAGCGCGAAAATGACAAACACAAGAACCGTGCTCGAGACGATTTCGCTGAAGAACTGGCCCGTCTTGGTCAGGAAGGGTTGCGGGTAGGTGCAGAAGACGCCGGCCGTCGCGGTGTCGCTGTACCCGGGCACGGTGCGCAAGTGGCTGCCGCCTTCGTACACGTCGATGGCGGATTTGTAGTTGCCGTAGATGACGGCGGCGCCGCAGAAGCAGCCGGCGACCTGCGCGCAGGCGTAGATGGGGAATTTCCACCAGGGGAATTTGCGGAAGAGGCAGTTTACGAATGTAATGGCCGGGTTGAGATCTGTGGGGTGTATGAAGTGCGTCAGACCGGGTATCGAAGGGTTGGGGTGGGCAGGTTTTTGCGCGGCAGTGGTTTTTCCTGCCACATGATGGGCGGGTTTTTGGGATGCGGCGAAAACAAAGGAGAATGGAAACTTACGGCCTCCTGCGCAGCCTGCGACGTATACGCCCAGCATGACTCCGATGCCCCAGCTGCACGATCCGTCAGTATTCATTGCCCTGGAAACTGCAACAGGAAAGAACACGGAATCACGAGCACCGACTCACCCCCATGAAATACTTTGATATTCGCCCTTGTTCTGGCTGCTTTTGGGTAGATTCGGGTTGGCCGAAAGTTGGACTTGCGCGACGCTGCCGTCGCCGAAGAGGATCATGATGAAAGTCCCCAGAAACTCGGCGAAGGGGTCACGGAGGTGGTGCCGCACGCGAGACCACCAGAGCGTCTTGTGGTGTTGGAAATCCTCTTCGGCCTCTGCGTATTTTAGCGCGTTGTCGATGGGCGGGCCGTGTTCTGCATGGTAAGGGTAAGGATTGGGGTTGGGGTCCATTCGGCGCTGGTTCTGATGTTCATGCTCGCGGTGCATGTAGGTGACTTCGTCGGAGGCGGGTTGTGAAGAGGATGACGAGTCTTGGGCGCGGATAGTTGGGATTTGTTCGGGATGATGTTTGGATTTATCGTGGTAATCCATGTTGAGCTGAGAGCGAGGCAGGGTATACAGTTGGTATAGGACGAGTTGGACGAGTGGATGGAGTATTAGGTATGAGGTATGAGGTGTAGACCTGAGAATAAAGATGGGAGGCGGGATGAGAGACTATGCGAAATGTACATGTAAATGGGGCAAAAAAGGTCTTGTACTGTATCTCCCGCTATCAGCCACCTACTTTTGCTATCGATTCCGCACGTTTTAGGCCGTCCCGTCAGATGACAAGAAAGAGCTTGGCCCGCTCGATGCGAAGAGTGGAGGTTTTCGAGGGAAAAAGTCCATACTTATGTATGACTTCTCCACCAGCGCACCGAATGCAGTATCTCGCCAATCACGCCACAGCCGAGGTGGTCTTGGTGGTGATGTCCACTGGAGAGGCCGCTGGGAAGGCTTGTGATGATTATCGGTGTCGGCCATGATTAGAAGCGTCTGTTACGAAGTAAAGCGCGGGGAAACTGCCTCCATAGGCGTTGGTAAGACGTGCCACTGGTCGCGAACTTTGCCCATTGTTTTGGGATGGTCGCTCGATGGTGAATTGTAGTGGTGGAAATGTGTGAAAGAGATCGAAGATGGGTGCAATCGACGTCAGTGGCACCTCTACCCATGCTCGAGCGGGGGCCATGAGGCTATCCGAAGGCGCCGCCCAGGATTGAACATGTCTGATTGGGCATCCCAGACGTCATGGACTGGGAGATACGAGGCATCGAGGACTTGAGGCAACATCGCGCAATGGAAGATCGTCAGTAAGCTGGAGAAGTCGAGACGTTGGAAAGAGCCGAGAGGTCGTTGCGTTGAGCGTTGAGAGCTGTGGAAATGATCGACTCCATGGCAGGAAGGTCTTTTCGGTACTCGCGTTGATGGTAACCCGACAGCTTGGATCTGTCGTTGATATCCTTGAAGACAGATAGGTAGTCCAAGATAGTCGTAAAGCAGAGATGAAGAGAATGCTAACCTGTAAGACCGGAGTACGTTGCGTGTACTCGTATGTAGGGTGGGAATTCAGTTTTTGGCAGAAGACTCGGCAGAGTTGCTGCCCACGTCTTGGTCCCTCGTACTGTCACGGCCAGGAATATCTGCTTCCCAGAAGCTGCATGAGTGATATTCATCATCTTCAGCGATTCTTTCTTCCACAAATTGAACCTGAGGTAAGTCCCCAAAGTCGCCTGCCAACCGGACACGTTCTTCGACGGTCTGAAGGAAGTTTTGTGCTCGCCTCCACAGCTCGGATGAGGGGCTTCGAGGGGTAGAACAAAGCCATTACTCTACCGTCCATCGTCTCAACTCTCAAGCTATTTCACTATTTGCAGGCAGAAGATATCACCGACTGTGATATCCTCCCGTCATACTCCTTGAAGTTGTTTGAGGACCTAATCAAGGCCTTTTTTAATTGAGCCTGACCCCAGGAAAGCCGGCCACTTCGCACTTCGCCATTAACAAAAATGTCCGACGCAGCAACAGCAGCGGCCAACACGCTACGGGCCAAACAGAAGCCTCTGAAAGACCAATACAGATCAGACCCCTCTACAGCTCTCGTCACGTTGTCGTCGTCTGGAAATCTTGATCCCACCTCGACGAGCTTAACATGCTCACTATCGGCGGGACAGGCGGCTCGAAAAGTCGCAGGGCTCCATCAAGCTGCCGGCGGCGAAGGGTTCGATGCTTCAGGGGAACTGTGTTCTGGTGATATGCTGCTTGAATCGCTAGTAGCATGTTTTGGAGTCACGGTACGCGCGGTAGCCACTAGTTTGGGCATTCCCACCAACAATGGGACTATCACCGCCGAAGGAGATCTCGACTTCAGAGGGACGATGGGCATCAAGGATCCTGAAGGCAACGCCGTCCCCGTCGGGTTCAAAACCATCAGACTCATTGTGCGGCTCGACGTGGACGAGGAGCACAAGTCCAAAGTCGACAAATTGGTCGAGCTCAGTGAACGATATTGTGTGGTGTTGCAGACGATCAGGAATGGAGTCAATGTCGAAACAAAACTCGGACATGTGGGCAAGGTAGTACCTGACGCTCGCAACAATGCCGATGAAGGCGCCAATGGAGAGGATGGAAGTGGTATTCTGGATGTCCCAGCAAATGAAGACGTCTTGAAGGTGAATTGATTGTACCGGCAATGAATGATAATGACAGATGAAACAAGAGGTCTCCGTACCGAGAATGTTGTAGTGTTGCCATCATGGACAATGGTCATCGTGGTGTCTCACGTGACCATAAACAAGGTGTCGTTCCTGGCCGAAGATGCCACAATTCCTGTTGATGGTTGATGGCAGCTCGATTGGACTTGCCATTTACCTGATCAAACCCAGTGTACTGTGATACATACCTAGGTAAGGAATCTATCTATGTCTGGATGTTTCAGACCTTTCAGCCATTTCAGCTACAACGGACTTCTGGTACTGACCGCCTCGCATGTCCACAGTAACCCCCCTATCACAGTTACTAGTATCCTGTGTCCTCCCGCGGCTCTGCGCACGTCAACAAGCCGCCCCTTCGTCAAATAAGAGCTGGCCTACCCTCAACCATACGCAAATTAAGCATAGACTGACTGTCCCGCTTATCCGCCACATCTTAAGGCTAGTTAGTATACATGGATGTTCGCGAGAAGCGACCTATCCCAAGGATCCTGTTAGCACCCCGAGCGTCTTCAAACCCTTCCACGTCTTTGTCCAAGGAAGAACAGTCTCCCATGGCAACGGCCTACACCAGTTTCAGAGAATGGGCGTGCAAAAGCCTAGACTCTGGCGTGCCGAGAGAGCTCATCTTTGGCTCCGAGACAGTCGAAGTCGACCTCTTCTTCCGTTCCCGGGAGACTACCGACCCTCACACTGTCTCGACCTGGGCGAGCGAGTATTTCCGTGCCTTGACAAACATTGACATCTTTGGCTGTCTGGCTGGCATATTCAACTTTGACCGTTTCATGCGTGTGAGTCACTGAGTTTCCGGACGAAATTCTTCCTACTTACCTCTTGTACAGTGGATTATAGCACCATCGGCAGAGACGTACGCAAGAATCCCTCCTGGCCAGCGCCCGACACCTTGTCAGAGACTAGTACCGCATCATCCAGCATCGGGCTTGCCTGTTCTGTAAGTTCTTGCCTATTCTGTGGCTTGTCGAAAGAAAAAAGACGCTGAATTCGTCTCTCATAGGCCTGAGTTACGTGACGGCTTGATTTACGATTTACGGGACTACATCCTCGCAAGCCAATCGTACGGTACAACCATCAACTGGAACATGGGCCTACAGGAGGCTGTCGACATGGATGCTGTGACAGGGAACATGACCATCTCAAACGCTTTCGCCGAGCATGTATGGCATCTCGAGAACTGGAGATTCAGCGCCGGCTTTGCAGCAGTGTTCCCCGAGCTCCGCCGTCGCTACCGCATCTTGCCTGGTTTCTCCGTACCTGTGAGTAATGTGAATGTGCAGGAGCTACTGGACAAACGGGATAGGATAATCCGTGGTATCAAAGAGGAGGACATTTGATCAAGAAGTTCCCTTGCGCACCTTCATGTTCCCTGCCGATCAGCATCGACGTAAGAAGAATCAAGGAAACGGAAAAGCACAGGCCGGGACATCGTGCTTTCTAGCCAACTACTGGAGTTCTACCTGCCTCCACGCGCATGTCCAGCGCCCCCCTGTAGTGGTGCAAGTGGTGGTCTTACCACCTCTGCCTCAAGGCAGCCGGGCAACCACCTCTTCCAACACCTCTCCACGCTCATAACAGAAACGACGCTCACCTCGTCTCCTTTTCGTCGTCCTTCCTCTTCTTTGCAGCCTTGATGGCCGCCCGCTTCTGTCGCCGAGCCCGCTTCTCCTCCAAGTGCTTGGTCTCCTCGCGGACGACGTCGCCAAAGTTCGGAGGCGGCTGGTAGGCAGGGCGGCGAACCGGGGGACCATCGAACTGCCTCTTCTGTCTGTCCATGAGGTCTTGCATCTCGGCAAAGGTCATGCCCTCCCACGGCGACAGTCCGTATGGGTGGCGGAGATCACAACTACCCAGTGGAGATGCCTCGTTGCTGCTGGTGGGCTCGCTGTCTTCATCGTCGCCACCCTCTTGGCTGGGTGTGGAAGGAGGCGCCCACGCTGCGCGCGTAGGCGGAAGGAAAGTGGCTGTATAGCCTTGGTTCACCCCGTCAAGGATTTCTGGAGTCGTTTGACCACCGGCCAGGTCAAATTGGACGTCACCGTCTGACTCGTTGGCGGCAGGACCAGCGTTCGATGGAGGACCCGCGGGTTCACGAGCGACGAGGACGAGATCGGTGTTTAGTTCGAACGCGTTAAAGGCGTCGAGGTCTGGAGTGGAGGCGCGAAGTGGAGATGGTTCTTGAGGGACGAAGAGAGGCAACTCGGCGCGGAAAGAAGTAGGATCTAAGGGACTGGTCAGCAAACGTTGAAAGGACGGGAGAGTATGAAAATCACTCACTGGTCTGATCGGTGTTGTTATTGTCGTGTCCTGAAGACATCTTATCTTGGGCCTGTCGAGGAGCAGACATCTTGACGGTTTCTGAGGTGGTGGTCTTCTCTGGCTGGATCAGCGCTCTGTCGACGCGCTCAAATGTCCTCAACCACTGATGTCAGGCTCGCCTGTAAGAATGTGAAAAAATGGTGTTGAACTCGACGGAACTCGAGGGAGAAGTGAGAATGTGAAAAATGGTGTTATTGAACTCGGAGAACTCGAGAAAGAAGCGAGAATGCAAGTCTTGAATTGCTGAGAAGAAAGCGATTTCTTGCGACTTCGACGATCGAGAGTGTGGCTGTTGATTCCCGAGAAAGAGGTAATGCTGGCCTGATCTGAGAAGAGAGCGATTGCTTGGGACTTCGACGATCGAGAGTGTGGCTGTTGATTCCCGAGAAAGAGGTAATGCTGGCCTGATCTGAGGAAGTTTGAAGTTTTCAATTTCACCTCTCCGTCTCTCATCACGACAACACGACAAACATATTGCAAAATTCCAGCCTCCCAGTCCACAAGTCGACACCTTGCCAAGAGAATTCATTGCTTCCGGACTGTTCTGTTCTTCTTTTCTGGGTATTGTCGACGACTCAGCGAGGAGAAGGCAGTGCGAGAAGAGCAGCCGCGATGGAAGGGAATGAAGTGAAGCCAAGATTGAATCTCCTGCGGACAACAACAACAACAACGCCAGGCCGTCGGATGAAAAGGGCGCCAGGGTGAATCACGAACACGCCAGTTGAACTAGCACGGAGAACCCAGGTTTCTGTGCAAACAAAGACGGACCTTGGGAAAAGAAAAAGGAACAGCATCAGATTTGCTTTGTCTGTGCTTCGTTGCTCGATGTATGTTGAAGATTGTCTTGGAAGACATGAAGTGAATGTCATGGACTGTTGTAAGGCAGGCATATCACGTGAGAAGGCTGGACTTCCCACCGCTTTGAGTTGGGTAGTATCGACATGCCGGGACCAGCCTGCGAGCATCCTTAACGTCCTGTTGAAAGTCAGCACAGCATAAGGCATCTGGATATTTGTGCATCTACACTCAGGATACTGGCAGTTAGAGCTACTCGCAGACTCTGCTTTCGGAAGCTGGACCCTTTACAGTTCACAAGACTCGGAGACGCCTCCTTTACGCAAGTGTCGAACTCAAGAAGACAATACTCTACAAGGAGCAGGATGAAGATGGAAATCTCTTCAAAGGGTATCATTCTTTCAATCATCCATTGCATATGCAATGCCAGGCCCTCTATGGGCATACCCCTATCCCGTATGATCATTAGCCTTGACGTCTCCTTTCTGTACCCTGTAATGTACACAACTCAAGATACCCCACGGAAACCATCCAAGCACCGAGGACACACGCCACACCCAAATCCTCCTTCTCCATCCCAGAAACCCCAATAACCCGATTGCCTTGTCCGCGACATCATCTATACATCGCGTGATGTACGGGCTCCACGTAGTAGTGGGTAGCACCGTCCGGCGATGTAATGATGAGCCGGGACTCCTCCAGCTCAGTCGGCGCGTTAGGTCTCATGAGACCTGGAAACGCATGCGGCGGGTTAGCGACGAGGAGTCGCGGGTCGATTGCCGCATTGGTACGGGCGGCGGCCGGCTGCATAGCAGGAGCAGCAGCAGGTTGTACCTGCTGAGGTTGTTGTCGCTGTCGTTGTCGTTGCTGCTGTTGCGGTTGCTGTGGCTGTGGCTGCGTGGGGCCCTGCCTCGCTCGCGACCGTGGTCGACCTGCCCGCGTGATTCCAGGATATTGCTGGAGGATCCCCTGGACCCATTCATCATGCGTCCGATTGTCAATGTCTGTGATCCTGGCAGGCTGCACATTGGCCCTGTGCATCCACCATCGAGGGAGCAGAGCGGGAGGCAGGTTCTGAAAGGCGGACGCGCCGTTACCAAGGCCTCGTCTGACGGCCAAGGTCTGCATGCGATGCCGGAGTGCCAGTGTGACAACTTGCCGGTCGGATGGGATGGCAATGGGCAGAGGGTAGTTGACAAGGAAGTAGTCAATGGGTAGTCCGCTGTCGACGTACCCCAGCCTATTCCTATTGGTGTCAAGGATGGGTCTCAGGAGGCGGTTGTTCTGAAGATCAACACGCATGGCCGTGTTCAGGAGTATCTGCTCCCTTGTCAACACGCCGATGCGCTCCACCTCTGACGCACCTGGCTCGCGGCGGCCGGTATTGAAGGAAGGAACATCTATCGCCTCGCGGAAGCGGATACGCCGCATGTTGAAAACATTGGGAGCAGGCATCGCTCGATTGTCGAGATTGACGCGGTCCATGATGTCTGCCATCTCGACACGAGGGTCGAGACGCAGCCAAAGCTCCATCATCTGTCCGAGGACGTCGACTGTTACCCAGCGAGGCAAGTGCCAGAAGTAACGGAGCTGTCTTCCACTTGGGCTTGTTTCGATCTGGCCGGTTTGCTCGTTCACAAGGAGAGGGACTTCGATGTCCGTGAGGGGGGAGGGAGCGGGCTCGAGCTGGAACAGCGCTGGGTGTAGATTGTCCTCTGCCAGCATCTGATATGGATGTGGAGATCCATGTCCATTGGCTGGTCGACCGGGGATTCTCTGCCGGACCGCCCTCACGTTTGCACGCACGTTATAGCCCACGTTGTATGCGGGAAAGGGCGGCCGAGCAGGCTGGTTCGCAAGCAAGATCGGCGGAAGCTGCGTGTTTGCAGGAATCGTGCCCGGGATGTCGATGATGACTTGCTTCGACAGTTGGCTTTGTGCTCTTGCGGATGCCATCTTTCCTGATCTTTCTCCGTCAAATTGGGAACTTGTGAGTGCTGTTGATGTGTTTTGTTCTGATTGACAACTTGCGGATTCTCCAGGTGAAGCTGCTCAGCTATGTCGTGGGTGCTTGTGCCCAAATGCTGTAAGCGGCGGAGCGAGGTTTGAGGAGTTGTTCAGTGGACAGAGGCTCGTTGTGTTCAGGAGAGGACTGAAGAAGAGGAAGATTGGTGGTAGAGACGTGAAATTACAATGTCCATGAACTCAAGGTAGGAGTGCTGCCTCAGTCGAGATGGGATCGTGTTTTTGTAGTTTCTCAGTGTTGGTGAAGAGGGTGATTGAGATCTCTGTCTCTGGGAGTGAAGAAGAAGCGTTGCTGGACAATAGAAGAGCGGCTTGCTCGGTCATGCAAGGCTATTGATCTCAAAAGGATTGAGGCGGCCGAGGATTGAAGACAGACTTGTTGACAAAGGAAGTGGAAAGGCAGTGGTTGAGCTTGTTGCTTGCAGTTACTGGCAGTGCTTCGTGATCTTCCATCGTGCCCTACTTAAGGCAAGCCTTCAGAAGCAGTGGCTGTGTCCGCTCTTTTCTCGCCAGGAGTTGAATTCTCAAATCTGAGATTTGGCTTGTCCCAGAACCTGGTGAGGCTGAAAGAACCCATCGAGCCTCACCAGGACACTTTCCAAACATTTCTTCTCCTCTGCTCCATAACCCTTCCTTGTTAGATCTTCGACTCTTGCCTTGCGGAAGGGGCTGGGGAAGTTCGTCAAGAGCTTTCCAACATTCAGACCTTCCTCCTGGCCCTCCTCTTCTCATCTCCCCCATCCCGAGGATCTTGGACACACCCATCAATTGAGAAGGAGTCAACAACCCTCTCATCACCATCGTTGTCGGCAAAATGTAGTCGACAACTCCAGCCCGTGTCCATGCTGATGCCACAGCGCAGCAGACAAGGTGCGTCGATCTTTTCCAATGATTTTTCCATGAACTGACCTGTGACACCCGATTCAGTGCCTCCCTCTCCCCTCTCCTCGTAACTGGACCGGGCCGCACACCTTCTCCCTCGAGAAGTAAAAATATATATTAACAAAGGAAAGCGTTGGCAAATCCTTCTTCGGTCGACTATGGAGTGATCATCCGTTTCTGGGGCACCACAGTGGCCGCGAGTTTCAAGCGGGTTGCTCCAAGGAGGTTGATGCTCAACGTTTCATGGGTCTCAAGTTGTCAAGAACGCATTGCTCGTGACGGCCTCAAGAAAGATCAAGTCATGAAATTCATGCACATCTCGTCGACGGGGCAAATGAAAGAGAAGATCTCAAGGGCTTGTTGCAAGCGCTCGTGGACGACGTGGGCCTCCACGCCTATATCGACCTCGACTGTCTCAGAAAAGATCAAGCATTGCAAATCATGCGAAAGATAGTCGATGGTGTCAACATACAAGAGCTCGAGGTCCTCAGAGCCTCTCCAGCTCCTGAAACGATCGATGAGAGACAAGAATCTCCAGAGGCACAACCTCACACTCCGACAATCGACCTAGACAATAAGCGTTGGGGTTTTGTCTGTGACCGTTGCAATGCCCACATTCGAGAAAAGAACGACTTTCACAAACAAGAACAGTATGGTACCTAGAGACCTGGGTTCAAGGTGTCCAACTGCGATCTTACCACTGCCGAATGGTACGGTGCCTCAAGCGAAGGCAGGACGGTACTGCTGTTCTGGAGCAGAAGCTCGTCACCTCCTATGCCTGGCGTGCCAGGACGCCTTGAAGGTAATGCCTCACTTCCTATGATGCGAATTCACCATCACTGACAAAGGAATCCGGGCCATTGCACCCTGTAAGTCCTTTACTCGCGGTCGCATACAGTCTCTCCGTTGAGTAAAGGGATGTTGTTGGTGATCAGACAAGGCCATGGGAATCGGTACATGGCCCTTTCGAAATGTGCTTTGTTTCTTGGAACCAATACCAAAGGCTTCGGGAGAGCTCCGACCATGAGCCTATTGGCCAACATGAAGACCAGCATGGTCTTCAAGTCCCGCGCAGTCCGCGAGTGGCTGAAAGCGAGATTCGGTAAAGAAACCCGGCAATCCGGGACACGAGAGGTGTCACCATCGTATGTTGATACCCAAGTATATCCAGGATGGAGATGACTGACATCTCTAAGAGCCAACCTACCAACTTCAGACGTCAAGAGATCTACTTTGAGATCGACCATGAAGGGTAAGACATCCTGGAGTTCTGGTGGGTCAAAAGCGTCGCTAACTGCCCAACCCTAGCAACGCCGTGATGGTTGAGGATCCAGCAGACGACCAGAACGACCCGCCGCCGCATGCCATGTAACGAAAGACGGCAAACGAGATCGCCGGAGCAATGGGACAGATCCGCCGCCTGGGTCTCCGGATGGCCCTGGGGGGAGTTATGCTGATTTCTGCAGAGGCAGCTGGGCACAACTTGCAAATGGCGAGGAATGTGCTCTTTCTTGGCCTGGTGTTGGCGGAGTCAGTCTCGGAGAGAGACACCATCTTGGAGCAGACGGTTGGTCGGTGCCGCCGACCTGGACAGGTCAAGGACGTCCAGGTATACAACCTGGCATCTGAAGCTGGATTTGGCCGCCGCAAGGCTGAAGTTGCTTGTCGATGCCCCACCTCTGTCGCCCTGCCCGGACGTAACTCTACCAGATGCTCCTACTACGGAGGACCGCTGGGAGGACCAACAGAACAAACAAGAAACTGCACCTCTGTCGCCATGCCCAGACGTAAGACCGGACTTCGGCGATAACCTTTGTGGATCTGTACGTTCAGAGCCACAATTGTGGTACACCGTCTGAATATATGAGACGGGTTACTTTCGCAGTTGGACCTTGCTCGTTGGCATAGTCAGAAGCCGGTTGGACCCGGCGACGACTCTTCAGCCTTGTCTTTGCTCTAGCCGTGGAGCCGCGCATTCGTGCTGGACCCAGCCGCCTTCCAGTGGTTCGAGACGTCACAATTCCTCGCTCCACGGTCGACACAATCCTGGCGGAAAGACAGGTGACGGCAAATCTCAACCGCGATGTGCGCGCGATCGTGGACGCGTTGAATCAAGTCCATCCACGTCCTGCAGATGCGAGCATGGTCGCCTATCTCGAGGGCGCGTCGACCGTTACGCAGCTCGCATTGTCAAATGAGCTACATCAGGGTAACCCGGTGGCGGTGCGAGAGATCATCCAAGACATTGTGAGAATGTACCATGGTGCGCCTATCGTGGCCGGACAGGGTGGGGATTGGCATCAACAAGGTGTGACCGTTGATCAGCACGACCTCGAGCACAAACAGTCACACGTCCTGAGCTCGAAGCCATGTTCGGCGAGTTCGGGAGAAACATCCAAGTCAGTGTCATCCGCAAGCCGTCAGTAAGCTGAGTCCCATATCACACCTTTCTTTTTCAATTCCTCGGTACCAATTTACAGTTTCGCAGTGATCGAACTCATATTCGCGCATGGGCTGATGGTGGTGCTCTTGCCAAAGGAATGATACTGGTGAGGAATTGGATGCCCTTTCGAAAGATTGGCAGAAGCCTTCAAGGTAGCTGGGGTTGCAGGCTCGGAGTCATGCTCAGCTTTCTTCACCAAAAGGATAGTTGAATTTCAAAAGTCCATTCAAGCCACCAACCCATCCGTCGTCTGACTCAGTCCCTGCACCCGTTCTTCGCATTATGCAAGGTATCCCACTGACAAACCCATCTGCTTCACTCCTGATTTCTTCTGCAGAGACGCGAACTTCGGTACCGACGCCGATTCTGTCTTTTCGTCTCATGCCATCAACGCTGACTTCGACTTCCCGACCCCTGTTTTTCTCGCTCAACTTCAGCGTGATCGGTGTAGCGGCCGGTAGTATTAGAGGCCGAAAACTCAAGCTTCGCGCGCAGATGGGCGTAAGGAGCAAAGAAGGCACCAACGGATGTATGATGCTTCCACCAGCGCTGAGACTGTACGCTGTGCTTCCAGTGGGTGTGGAGATGATCATGCCGTCGGCGACAGCTTCGGTGAGAAAGCGACCTCCGACATAAACATCAACGATTGCAAGATGCGGATCTCGACCTCGGTGGAGGATGACTTCGTTCATTGCGTGCGTGTCATGGGCGATATCTCCGTTGGTAGTTAGTCGGTTGCCGTTGGCATCGAAAATGCCGACCTTGAGACGTTGTCGGACCAGAACCCTTGCTCCTCTTGTGGGACCCATGGACTTGCCACGGATTGAGGACCAGCCGGTACAATCACTTTGCGGAAGGGCTTCATTTTGAGCCGAGCCTTCTATGACAGCATGTCTTTCAGAGGCAGCGCCTGACATGTAAACTTCTCGGAACGCTCGCTTGTACTCGGCAAATCTCCACTCGCTGAGAAAGCCGAGGGTACCCATGCTGAAGGAAAGAATCGGCGGCACTTTCGACGACGCCGCGAATTGCGATGCGGCGTGTAGGATTGTTCCATCCCCTCCAAATGTGACAACAAGATCGACCTTATCGTCGTATTGCTTTGTCGAGTCCGCCGAGTTCGAGCAGGAAAAGTGATCCCCGGGTAGCTCATCACCAATTTCTGAGGATACATTCGGCTCGACGATGATGTTGATCTCCGAGTATGTGGATCTGACATGCTTGCTGAATTCTTTGAGGGCCTCTGTGGTTTTTTCAGAGAGGTCTTTTTTGATCAACAAGATGTTCCGTGGTGGTTGAGACCATTCAAGACAAAGCAATTCATGAGCAGGAGTGTCTTTCAAACGGGAGAATCTGCGAGGTGGCAAGTTGTCTAATGTTTGACTCTTTGCGTTCCATCTGGTCGAACTGAAGGCGCGGCCACGCCCTGGTCCTCGAGGGGTCAAACATGGCTGGAAGTGCACGGGTTGGTGATGCTTGACTCTCTTTGCCAAGCAGGTGAATTTTTCAGCTTTGACAATGCATGTGCTTGCTTGTGAACGCAAAGACATGAGTTTGATGGAAACTGCTGCGGTTATGCAGGAAGGGCTGTTTTGGAACGGAAGGAGGAAGGCGGTTTGTGTGCTTCAAATTTAAGCTTCTCCAGCGGATCTGTGTGTCTGAATTGGAATCAAACCAGAAAGCAAATGATCGACAAACACACAACTAGAAGCATCAAGCATTCTATCCGTCTATGACCGGGGTGGGACGCAAAAAGCTGGAGATGGATAGAAAGAGGGAGGCCATCATAGTGAGCCTCGTGAGGTAAGGAAAACAGGGGCCAACGATAATCACGTGTTTGTATTAGTCAGCCGTCTCTTGACTAGCGTGACTTAGAACATTAGCTCCTGGTTAGGCTCCTTCGGGTCTATCGGATGCTTAAGGACAGATTAGTTCCAGTTAGACTCAATAGACGGTCACTAGGCGGATCTAGTTGAAGCAGGCACCCAGTGCCACCCTTAGAAGCTCCTTCTTCATAGGCCCTGCGCAGTGTCAGCATTGTACGAATGCAGGTGCCTGCACCGCCAGAACGCAACAAGATCATGGCTTTCTCCCTCACACGACGCATTCACACTCCTGTCTGTTATCATTGCTAACACTCTTCGCCCAAAACTCCTCACTGCTCATGCTTTGCTGCTTTATGTTGGTTGATGGCTTCGCCTCTGCTCTCTACGCTTCAACATCGCTCATTTAAATGCTGACCGCGCCTATGTGAACATATCTAGAGATAGAACACACTTCCAAACCTCGACCTCCTGATCTACCCAATATGGCGGACGATTCCCTCAGAAAGCGCACGACCCACTCGAATGTTGCCGCTGTACTCAAGGCTACAGCCGGCGACGGTGCGGTTGCTACAAGAGAAGAACCACATCCAGCTGGAGAAGTCAAGTATGGAACTTTGAGCCAGATAATTCGTGCTCTTCTGCTCTTGACGTGGTTCAATTGCGGTTGTGTCTCGATCGGGGTCACTCAACTCCTTGGAGCACCGCTATACTGGTGGAATAAAGACTACTACTATGCATACATGGCGTTGACGAAACAATCTTTCGGTATTTTGGCAATCGCAGGAACACGTTGGTCTGCACCTACAAAGGTTCGAGTGAGTTGGGACAAGGACTTGCGAGGGCAATTCCACAAAAGCACATCGGGAAGGCTTGAAACCTCATTTCCAGAGCGTCTGGTCTACATTTCCAACCATCAAGTCTACACCGAGTGGCTGTACCTATGGTGGATAGCATACACAAGTAGGATGCACGGTCACATTTTTATCATCCTGAAGGAGTCTCTCAAATACGTTCCCGTACTGGGACCTGGGATGATGTTCTATGGCTTCATTTTCATGGCTCGCAAATGGATACAAGACAAGCCACGTCTACAACATCGACTGGAGAAGCTGAAAACGCGCCACAGTGGTCCGATGTCCGGTTCTGAAGGACTGGATCCGATGTGGTTGTTGATCTTTCCAGAAGGCACAAACTTGTCGAGAAATACAAAGAAGAAGAGCACTGCATGGGCAGAATCGCAGGGAATAACCGACATGAAGCATGTATTGATTCCGCGAAGTACCGGACTTTTCTTTTGTCTTCAGCAGTTACAAGGTACAGTAGACTGGGTGTACGACTGTACCATTGCATATGAAGGAACTCCGTATGTGTAACGAACCGGCCTCCAACACTAACGTAGCTGACGACTTTCTAGGAAAGGAAGCTTTGCACCGGACTTCTTCACGATTCGATCGACTTATCTGCAAGGACGTCCGCCAAAGTGCGTCAACATGCATTGGCGTCGGTTTGCTGTCGCTTCGATACCTCTCACCGATGCAAAAGAGTTCGAGAACTGGTTGATGGATCGCTGGCGGGAAAAGGATGCCTTGCTCGAGCAGTGGTACGAGACCGGACGGTTCCCTGCTGATGCAGAATCGGCAGACCTTGCCAAAGGCATTTCCAGGGACGGATTCATCGAGACCGAAATTACGCTCAACAACTGGATGGAAATTGGGCAGATTTTTGTGGTATTAGCGTCCGCCGCATTAGTGGTCAATGTGACCTTAAAAGCGTACGGGATTTTAAAAGACCTTGAGGTGAAAGGCGTTCAACCATGGTCAGACGACGTTATACGAGACCTTCTTGAGCATGTCTGGAGCGTGTTGGGTATGGCTTCCAGCCTTAAGGCAGGCTTTCCTTAACCTTCCGGCTGCTGCATGTTGACCGGTCACACAAGGCATCTAAGAATGACCATCACGATGATCAAGCCAGCGGGAATCGCTTGAACGAGCCAATAATGCGGAACCCTACCACTCTCAAGACAGGTCTTGGACCAGATCAGGCAATTGCTTAGCCCTGTCAGCAGCGATTTGTTTTGTCTCCTGCAGTACAACCGTCTCATAACGCCCAGTTTCGGGATGCGGGCATGGAGAAACGGCCACCGATTTATTGCTCGGCTTGTTGGCATGCAGTACCGATATCCCCTTGCAAGCCTCATGCGCTCCCTTTCTTGGCTGGCAGGCAGCCCGACTTGCACCAGACACGTATGAATCAAAAATGTCTCAAACTGAGCTAGCCACCAATCTCCAAGAGTGTCTGTTCTCCCTGCTCTTCGGATTCGCATTCAGATCCCCTCGCTTGCGTTCTCAGATTAGCGAGACACATAGCACGACATACCTACTGTACCTACCTACCTAGGTACCTTGGGTATCCTGGCTTTCCTGATTCTCGGCCTGAAACATGGTCTTGGCATCGCCGCAATTCGCTATGGGCTGTTGGTGGCTGTTCCAGCCCTGGAGCGAGCCCATCCCTTCTCAATTGTCATATCACTCACATCTCGAGCGACTGCGTATGGAGTGAATAGCTATTGGTTATACTCCTAGCAGCCGTTGCGTCCGTCGACCTACATACCCGACTTCCCTTTCAAGGCCATGCAGGCTTGCTTGGCGTTCCGCTGTCAAATCCAAGACGTATTGGCAATTGTTTCCCTTTCTTGAGTTGCTCACTTTCCACCTTCTACCGAGCTATTCATGCCGTGCAACACAGGCTAGGGGTACCTGCCTGATCCTGACATCTGGGGCCAGAAGTCGTAGCATCGTCGTAGAGCAGGGAAAAGAAACCCATTCAACCCATTCACGTTGCCCCAAAAAGAATGGAAAAAGGCGACCGAAAACAACTCGCCTCCCACTCCTTGTGATACAGTTACGCCAATTCCGCCGGAAAATGCCGGTCGGTGCACAAGAACATACAGAACCCACAGAACTACTACGAGTAGCAAGTGCATGCTGTACTCCTTATGTCATACAAGCTCTACTTAATTGGTCCCCAATCGCGATATCCTGTTTTTCGGTAGCGATACTGTTAGTCACTGGGATGTCCTGTCAGCATTGGCCCGCAACGAGACAAGACCGACCTGCCCTGGTAACCGGTAAGCCATGAAAATTTGTTCGACATCTTCCTCCTTGACGACTATGCAACACCGACGGGGAAGGGAGTAGCGTGAGAGGATCCGAATGTGGGGCGCGGAGTCGATCACGAGGAATGAGGTGTTCCCATCAAGGTATGTTCGGATACAGGTGGCTGCATGTCGGATGTTACATTTCCACATTCTCAAAGATGTGGAAGTTCGTAAAGTCCAGCCCGAATTGTAATTGTGCCGCCTCTTGTCTTGTTGTTTGTTCCTCCTACGTTCCTTGCAAGCCGGAGTGGTAAGAGGGGCCTTGCAATGCGTCCGTCCCGAGCGCCCCGACAACAAGGGCTTCGGTGTCTTTCCATATCGGTTGGTTCTCAGATGGATCCATGAAATACGCCCGGGTCAGCCGAGTATGCAAGGAGTGAGTGCATGGCATGGGATACTACGCACAGCCTTGTTACACAACAACCCCCTTCAAGGGGGTATAAAGTCGACGAGACGGCCCCGGATGGTCTTCGATGAAAGCCAGGTCTGCCTGCCTGTCCATTACTCCCTCCTTTCTTTGATGAGTCTCGTATTTCGTCGTTCCTGCACCTACCGACCGACAAATCTCGTAATCACATCTCGTTCCTGAACCTACCGAGTGAACAACCGTCCCCATCACTGCAGTCATGGCACCACCCCATGCGCCCAAAGCACAGATCCCAGCAACCTTCCAAGGCCCTTTGCAGGTCATAGCAGCCGGGCTTCCTCGATGCGCGACGTCGACACTGAAAGAAGTCTTCGAAGACCACCTTGCTATCGGTCCGTGTATGCATATGAATCGGTGCCTGCCCCATCCCGCGACCATGAAACTTGTCCATGACGCCCTGCGCGAACCCGACACGGCCAAACGCCGCGCGATCTTGTACAAGCTGTTCGACGGCTACGCCGCCACTGCCGATTTTCCGGGACACCTCTTCATCGAGGACCTGATCGACATGTACCCCAAGGCCAAGGTTGTGCTTAACGTCCGCAAGGGCGGTGCGGCAGACTGGGAAGCCAGCATGAAGACGACCATTGCGCCCTTCATGTCCTGGCAGTACCGGGTGGCGTGCTGGTGGAGCGTGCCGGACTGGTGGCATTATCAGACGGAGATGGCATGGGTAGATGATGTCAAGAAACGGTTTGGAGTGGACCACTTTTGGGACGCCGCCGCATACGATGCCCATAATGAATGGGTGAAGAGGGTATGTCGAGAAAGAGGGACAGATTTACTCGTGTGGGAGCCCGGAATGGGCTGGGACGGTTTGTGTGACCTCGTGGGCAGGAAAGAGCCGACAGTGCCGTTGCCTAGGAACAATGATCGCGCAAAGATGGAGAACGTCGTGCAATGGAGAATTGCCTTGGGACTGAGATTGTGGGCGAAGAAAGCTGGGTTGACCATCGCGTTAAGTCTGGTGGGTAGCTGGGGGCTGGGGAAGATGTTGTCGATTGTCTGATCTGGATCATGGATGAAGAGCGATGCTCGTGTGCTGATATACCATATGTGCTAAACATGGACTGGCCGGAGTTGGATGATTTGGTCTGGCATGGCGGATGGGGTCCAGGTCTGTTGTCCAAATTGATCCGGGAATCCGAGGGCATATATGTGAGCAGCGAAAAATGTAGAAATGTACCCTTTATTGCTGTCAAGAATGATATCAAACCTAGTAATACAATTTCTTCCTTCTCTCATGCAAACATCAAAAAGCCTAAGAGGCTATCAGGACAAAGTCAAAATTCGGCTCTTCCCATGTAGGATCAAAAGGTCCCATCGGCGTCGATACAAGGATGAAGTCGCGCTTGTCGAAAGATTAAAGTTTGGTGAGAGCGGCATTTTGTACAAAGATGGTTTCTCTGCTTCGAATTGTTGGCGGACTATGGCTGGCGAACCATCACGCCCGGAATGAGAGCGGTGGCATACATCTGCAGATCGTCAGAAGTCTGAGTTTGTACGGTGACAGAGTAGCATAGGCGCTTCATATATGATACTTACGACAGCAGTGATTGACGAGAGTTCAGCCTCGCGTCTATCCACCTTCTTGGTCGGCACGGGCACTAAGCCAGCGTCCTCCCAGCCTTTCAAGATTTGATCCGGCATTGCTTTCATTGCATTCAGGCTCTCAATCGTTTTCGGATCCTCGCGATCTGTGGGAGAGGCACCCTCGGCCATCTTGTCAATCAGTGGCACTACAGTGCGAAGGCCCAGTGCTGCCCCAAACTCGCGGAAGGCCAGGCGCTTTTCGTGCGGATTGTTAAATAAGCCGAATCTTTTGGCGGCGTATAACAAGTGGTTGTAAGCGCGATATTGCAGCTTTGCAGGCCACTGTCCACTGAGAGGCCAGGTCGGCTCCGGGACCAGCCAATGTACAGTCCACAGCGTCATTCCGAGGTCGAGTGGGTCAAGAGAAGAGTAATCTTCCACTTTGTCATCGACTATCTTCTTGAGAGCAGCAATTTCCTCGTCAAGAACATGATGATTGTCACTGGTTTCCTGGAGGCGCTTATACATGACGTAACCGTCGATGGGGTCGAGGTTGCCCTCAGAGTGAACAAGAGGCCTTGACAGGTCCATGGCGAGTTTCCAAAACATCCTGGGGCGTTTCGCGGACACGTTTGTCATGAAGCGAAATAGGACAGCTTTGGCCATCGACACTGCTTGGTCGTTATACCATTTGTTGCCAGTCACTACGAATCGTCAAAGAGCTGTATCGTGGAAAACAGAAACGGGTCACAAGACTCGTGTTTGGAGGTAAACTTACCAGATGTCATCCGATTGAGAGCGTGCATCCACACGGTCAGGTAATGGAAGTACTGGCCGTCACCATCTGGGCCAGCTTCATCAAGTTTGCCAATGCGAAGGCCGCCGTCCAGAGGCTTCTCCTCCGTGGCGCCAGGGAGTCTCTCTTTGCCGTCACGAGTGTAGCCTAGGACATTGTGGACAGTGAATACCAGGTTTCTGGCGCAGGTGAGGTAGCGATCCTCATGCGTGAGTTTGTATAAGGTCAGGAAGTTGACGACAGCGAAGCCATCCGTCCAGAGATAGCGTCCTCGATGCGCTTCTACGAGAGGCGCCGGGACCCATTCGGCAAGATTTGGGTCGTCGGGCGCCGGGAAAGGACCATAGACCCAGTCCATAGCCTTGAGAAACTTGGACAGTTTCACTGCGTCGCTGGACGTCATGGTTCTTGTTGAGAATGATGGGAGATGGCTTGGGCCGTGGAAATGGCGGAACTTGCTTCTTTTAGACGACAGAGAAGTAGAAAGGCAGCAACGGTGTGCAAATAAAGGGGATAGGAGAACTCTGCACGGTTGATGAAGCGTTCTCGAGTGATGCGATACTGAGTCAAGCCGTAGGCTTCTGTAGAAGGTGTTGTGCATCGGTCGCGATCAGGAAGGATTAAGAGAAGAGTGGACGAAGAACAGACATACTCCGAAGATATCATCTGACGAATTCATGATGTTCAGGTGTATCCGAGGTGCCTGCAGGCGTAGTCTGATCGTGTCTGATGTAAAGGGTGGAAGTTGTAGTTGAGGAGGCCTCATGTGATTGGTCTGAATAAATGGAGAAATCGAAGGGCAGTAACGACTCTCACATGAAGAGCTTACTGGTGAGCTTCGCTGAAATGAAGCTGTCTACCCAATAGAAGCCTCGAATTGGAGTCCATGCCTACCTGGTAGTGAGAAGAGGTGTACATATACCGTTGTGGAGCGCTTTGGGCCTTCTCTCGTCAGGGCGGTTTAGGCAGGAATAATTCGCGTACAGAGTCTGTGATTCAGCAGCTTCAGTCTTCGGAATCAAAAGCATCAGGATAGGAGATAGAGACTGAAAGAGCCGTATAACGCAGTGGATAAAGGAGTTGAGTTGGAAGAGGACGACACCTTGAGCAACCTTTTCCTCGTCGGCACAATGTCCTTTTTATCTCCGGCACGTGATCCGGAAAATCGGAACGCGAACTTCCGGTTCTGATAAATCACGTGATATATCTATGCCCCTCACTGTGTGACTGGGTGCCTCACGCATTTTCTGCGTTCCGATGAGGGGTCGATGGTCGATTGTATCATTGTACAGCTGCAGGAAGGTGGGTGCTGTGGGTGCGTGGTGCTTCACCAGCGCAGTTCGGTCGAGTTCCATCGTCCTTCCCTCCCGATTATTACATGCAAACCTCTTCCACTTCTTTTCCTTCTAATCTACACCAGTCCATACAGCACTCATCCGTCTCTTGAACATACTTGTACACCCACTCAATCAGTCAAAATGGTTAAAGCAGGTAAGACTTCCGCCAAAGCCATGCCCCAAGTCCCGTTATCTGTGCCCCGGCCCAGGGAGCTACACCTCGCTTTGTTTTGTCAGCATACCAGGTATTCATTCGTAGCAATTGGCACTGACACTACATCTCTTCAGTTGCCGTTCTCCGGGGAGACTCCAAGGTCAGCGGCCAAGTGACCTTCGAGCAAGCCTCTGAATCCGCTCCTACCACCGTCACCTGGGACATCACCGGCCACGACCCAAACGCCGAGCGTGGAATGCACATCCATCAGTTCGGTGACAACACCAACGGATGCACCAGCGCCGGTCCTCACTGTACGTGTCGCTGTCCCACAAGAGATCAGGATCTATAGGCTGACACCCGTTGTTCCAGACAACCCATTTGGCAAGACCCACGGTGCCCCATCGGACAGTGAACGCCATGTCGGTGACCTTGGTAACTTCAAGACTGATGGTCAGGGAAATGCCAAGGGAAGCGTGAGCGACAGCCTCATCAAGCTGTTTGGCGAGCACAGTGTTCTTGGAGTAAGTTAATCCTTTGTCGCTGCAGACATTGATTATATCAGCTACTGACAAGTCACCTACAGCGAACCATTGTTGTCCACGCCGGCACTGATGACCTTGGCAAGGGCGGCAATGAGGAAAGCAAGAAGACAGGTAACGCGGGACCTCGGCCTGCGTGCGGTGTCATTGGAATTGCCGCATAAAATGGTATGGAAATGTACTCGGGTCAAGCGTCCATCTTCGTGTGATTCCAGACAACTAGAAGGTTTCATTGCAGATGCCATCTGATCTACGGTCATGAGATGCTTGTGTCTGGGATGATGGAATGATAAACCTAGCCTTGCCAGCAGCAGTACTGTACGAGATATAGCCACATGCAAGCACACAAAAGTACAAAAGTCCATCCAACCAACCTTTGAGATTCCAATGGTTTCCATTCGTCTGTACAAAACATTGAAACACCTCGCCATGAGCAGAATTCGAGCCAGCACTTTCATCCAAAGCTGTCTGATAATCTCAGTGCAGCGTACCTAATCCTTACCATAATCATGCTATGCTCTTCTAACGCACTTCACGATCCAGTTGCCAGACCTCGAGTCTCCAATAGAGCGTGGCCGCTCCACGGATCCACAGTAAACAAGTAGACGTACATCCTCGCATTTAATCCTCGCAAATGCCAATGTTTCGCATGAGCCGTGCAACAGTAACCAAAGTCCGTCCGTGGGTGGTGTACTTCTTTGGACGGACAACATCAAAAAAAAGCCCACGATCACTACACCTCGGCCGCGGTGACAAACCTCTCCATAGGTGGTCGTTCCAGTCCCCTTTCCTTTTCCTTTTCATCCCCACCATCGATGTCGGTGAGGGCCAATTTCTCCGCCTCAATCGCCAGACCTTTCGACGGATCGCTGGCTACCACGACTTCCGGATGTCCTCCCAGCCCGGTTCCATTGGCGTGTCCGTTTGCTGTTGCTGGGATGACCGAGACCGACTCGCCTTGCATTTTCTCGACGACCGCTTGCGTCATGGCCACGGCGTGTGCGGGTATTGGGCCCGGTTGAGGCTGCGCGGGAGGATGGGGATGTGGCGACGAAATCCTCGAGGGCTCTTCCGATACGGCCTGAGCAGCAGGCGTGGGAGCTGCTGCCGTGGCGGGTGCCGAGGGTTGTTCCTCGTTCGTCCTGCTCTCTATCAACGTTGCCGCCGTCGCTCCACCACCCGCGGTGGCGGCAGCTTCTTCGGCATCGTGATGCGCCTCCGCCGTGCCATTAGCACCAGTTTTGCCAATATGGGCCGAGACATCAGACAGTCCTTTGCCTGGGTGGACGGGGAGATGGGTATAATCAGCAGCATAAACGATAGGCCTCCTCTTCTCGATCTCCTCGTCTGAAGTCCTTAATTTACCCTTCTCTGAACCAACAACCAATCTCTTCCCGTCGAGCCATTGGCACGGACCGCGAACCCAGCCTTTATTTCCGTCCTTTTCGACGGCGGCCCGTGTTTCGTCGTCGAGATGTGGAAGATCGCCCCATTCCCAATCGAGGTCGCCGCCGTATCGTTTCGGGAAATCTCTCGTCTCCATGTATTTCGACAGTGTAGGTTTCACCTCATGTTTGCTGAGGATGAAGATTTTCGAGACTGTAACCGGATCGAACCACCGCTTGATCCAGCCCCATACCGTAGGGAAGAAGGATGGGGAGCCAATTATCTACCGCAGTCAGCCTCGGCTTTGAGTATGTTGACATCTATCCACTCACAAATATCCTGTCCAAGGTTTCTGGGTAATGCGCCGTGGCCAGGACACTGGCATCTTGCATATGTCCCTTGAGATTCCAAAACTGGGTCAATCCAACGCCAGAGATATCGACAATGTTTGTCGAGTTCGTTACGGGCACTTCAGGGTTCGGGCGTTCGAGGGTAGAAACCAGCGGCAAGACAAAGTTGAGGAGATTCTGGTATAATGCGAAAAGAGGGAGTAATTTTGCCGGCGTTGGGAGGGTCTTGTGGTAGGGGAGACTGTCTTTATATGCTTGCGACTCTTTCTGGTATTTCGACACGTTCTTGCTGTCGAGTCCTTTGATGTGGTACACGTAGATGGGGATGCCTCGCTTGTCTCGGTGACCAGTCCATTGGGGGTACTATGGCTATGTCAGTTCTTTGTGCCCAATGTCCATTGCGCTGAGGTTATGGTCTGTTACCATTAATCGCGCTCTTTCGTACGTCTCAACATCGAAGTGATTATACAGCTCGTCGACGCGTTCGGTCTTGAGCCACTTCTCTGTGTCTGTAAACTGTCCGATTGCGCCGTTGATGTCGAACTTGCGGGCCCTCAGGTATCGACTGCAAACTACGTCAGCGCAGGCCGGGGCGTTTCAGGTTGCACAGCACGAACAGCAGTGTGGCATCATCGTGAGTGGGTTTGCCATTGACTCCATCGGGCGACCACCATCCTCCTTTTTGTAGTTGTCTCTTGAACTCGTCGAGTTTGCCTTCTTGGACCGGGGTGAGATGGTTTAACGTGCCTGCCAGGGGATCTGTGGTTGTTGTCCTCGTCAGGGTCGAGTGTGCTTGTGTCGATCGATCAGAGTGATGCGAAGTCTGCGATTGACCGGTGAGGGTTCTGTAGAGTTGGCTCATCGCGCGGAAATCAGGCTTGCCACCATGCAAAAGGATCTACACACTCGCACAGGGGGTCGCTCAGCCGGAGATGGGCTCAGAGCAGTATGGGAAATGGTGAGATATTAGAAGATTCGTCTGAGAGCACCGAAAGAAATAAAAAAGAGCTGTGATGACTGTGTCGGTGTAGCACTCTAGACTTGTGCTTTGAGCTATTGCCAAAAGATCTATTCAGGAGCCGTGCCGTATCCGCAACATTTAGGTCAAGGGTCGCACGTTCAAGTTAGATCTCATAGGGCGCGCCGAGGACGAAGAATCAGCAGAGCCAATGGCCGAGGCAGAATTGTATGGAAGGCGCTGTTCGCTGATATCATCTATCAATGGTTTGGGGGTTGATGATGCATAAAGAAAAATGCATCCAGCGCTTCAATCTCGTACCGCCGGTGCCGGGCATTGGCGATGCCGAGAAGCGAGGCATAAGTTCCACTCCAGGGCTTGCACCGTGGTGACCGTGGCACCCACAGATCTTACGGGCGACAAGGTGGGCACTGGGGGGCACTAAGTTAGGTAGGTACCTTACCACCTGAAGACCACTACGAGTAGGCTTGGTGGGTGACTGGATATTCCATCCGTCTCTCTCGGCCGTGTCTCTCACATGTTTGCCAATTCGCCGGGCCTCAATTCCAGCACGCTCTTAGCTGACAGGTATTCGTGCGATTTCTACACAGTAATAATAAGTGATGGATTCTCCGTCAGCTGAAGTCATGCTTCTAGATGCATCATGTAAGCTGCTTTCTATTTTTGCCGTGCACGTCTAACCTGGACTGGGCCATGGATGCGAGTCTTCAATCACTTCTCGTGGCATCATGGTCAAGGTTGAGGTGGAATTCTGGATGAAAGATCGATATTCAACCAACAAAGCGAATTCCGGCGCTGGACCATCCTGAAATCCCCAGGTAAAATGCTTTTCTGACTTCATGAATTTTCCTGCCCTTTTTTGGCCGTCACTCAGAGATGATGTTCATGATAATATTGCAGCAGCATGTCTAATCTTCCGTCAAATCCCCATACTCCCACATACCTCGACGTTTTTCCTTAGCCTCATCCTGAAGGACTTTCAACTTCGTCAACGTGTCGGCGGCTTGACGTTCCCATGCCTTCAATTTCGTGGGCACCATCCCTAGGCCTTCTCTGATTACCTCAGCATTGATGCTTTCATCAATCTTGGAAGAGATCTTCGGGTCGAGCAGAGTGAGATGTAAAGTCCCGTCGGGAGCGACGTAGTCAACGTTGGCCACCAATTCCCGATTTTCGGTCTGCTCCATGATGAAATCTACCGTGTCTCGGAGATACTGTTGCGCGGCGGGTAACTGCAAGAAAGAGAGCACCGCATCTGTGGCTTGTGGCTTCAGTTTTTGAGTTGAGAACTGAGGTTGTGTTAGAGGACGTAGGCGAGACCAAGGAAGTGTCTCCGAGTTTCCGTAGTCGAGATAAGTCACATCCACTTTCTTGCCATCACGATCGACTCTGCGTACTTTGGCCCGGTACCACTCATTGTCGGCAGTGAATTGGGCAGCAACGACGTCGCCAACTTTGGGAGGACCGGCGAGAGGCTGATCATTGGCTTTGTTGAGGTGGAATGATTTGAAAGCATTCATCAGCTCGGTCAAGCCTGTCGTGCCCGACCCAATTTGCTGAATCTTGAGTTTGCCAGCCTCATCGACATGCGTTACCATCACGTCGCGATAATCCTTTCTCCTCTCGACCGATTCTCCATTGGCGCCGTCTGTGCCGTTTGTAGGGAGAGGAGTCTCCTCCTCGGCTGCGTCTTTGCTAGGGTCCCAGTCATGCCACATTCCCTTTCGATCTTCTTTTGCTTTCTTCTCTGCAGCGAAGAGCTCGTTGGCATGTCCACTCTGCTCGGCCGAATAGGCGTGGACCTCTGCGAGACCTTCTTCGACCAGTGCCTTTGCAAAGTTCTCACGTCCGACATACATTGTGCCAATAAAGCCGCCGACCTTGTCCGTGTTCTCGACGTCGATTTCAACATCTCGTTGCATACATCTCCTATTGGCGAATTCCAAGGCTTCCTGGCCGAATGGTTCGGCAGTATCTCCCTGCTGTCTTGCAGGCTTTGGGGTGCGGATTCCGGACAGGACAAAGGTAAGTTTGGCATTCTCGCGAGGGACGAGGACGACAAATCTCGAACCGGCTCGAACGAAATCGACGACGGCAGGGACTTTCTTTTGCCTCTGCAAGACCGAAGCTTCCATCTTGGCTTTCTGCAAGCTTTCAGAGTAATCCTGATATTGCTTGGTCACAGGCGGTTTGGGTGACCACATCCCTTTCTCTTCCTTTTGAGCGGTTTCCTCAGCAAGCAGTAAGGCATCGTAGTCAGGCGATCGATCATCGTCATCGCGCCGATGTCTGATCACGGACGCATAGCCAGCTTCGACCAAACTCAAGGCAATGTTCTTCCCGTTGACGACCACTGTAGCTACTTCTCGCTCCTCAAACCCTTCCGAAGCAGGTTTCTTGCCGTCAATGCTGACTTTGACATGCTTGCCGATCAAGCGCTTCCTCAAGAACTCCTTGGCATCAGCACCAAAGGGAGCTTGCTTGGGATCCGAGGGCTTGGGTTGCCGTATACTCGATAGCGTGACTTTCCGCTCATCGCCAGACCGCGTGCGAATGAATACGGTTTCGGCGTTGAGTACCCGAGAGACGATAAAATCGGCTTCTTGTACACCAGCAGCTTTGGCAGCGGAAACACCTGTGAAGGCACCCTTTCGGGCATTCTTTGCTGCGTTCTCGGCTTGTCTGAAGTGCGCCATCTCATTGCCAAGTAGAGTGACATGCTGGTCGTTCGATCGAGCCAGACCAGCTTCGAGCAGGAATGTTGCAATGTTTCCTCTGGGATGTAACACATTTGCCATGAGCTGATTCTGCGGCGTAACACCCAGTAGTTCTACGGCACATTTTCGTTGATGTAGTCGTTCCTCCACAAAGGCATGAGCTTCGGTGCCGTAGGGCTCAGCGGGTATCTCTTTGCCCTCCGGAGACGTTCGCTTGGTGGCAGGAGCTCGTATACCAGCCAGAACCAGCATGGTCTGGATGTGTTTTGTCGGGCTAAGCATGAGACGCGCAATCAGGCGGTCACCGGTGAGGACACGCTCAATAATGGCATCGACTTTCTTGCCCTTGTACTGCTCCACCAGCGCATTGGGATCAGAGACTTCTGAGGATGCCTCTATCTGGCCGCCCTTCCCCCAAACGCCTTTGCTTTGTGATTTGGCTTCGGCTTCCAGAGAGCGGAGCCTGTCCAGGTAAGCCAATGCATTTTCGTCGTCTTCTTTCTTTCCTGCATCTTCCCGCACTTTTGCCCAGCCTTCCTCCACGATCAAGTCGGGTAATTCAGCTCCGGTAGGAAGTTTGACTCGGCCGTATTCTCGTTTCGTGGTAGGGATAGCATATAGGATCTGGAATTGCACGACTTTTCCCAGGCACTGCTCTCGAATGAACTCGCGGGATTGGAATGCAAAAGGCTGTACAGTTAGCTTGGACCGGGCCACCGAAGAGACTTGCAGCTTACTTCGTCGCCTTCTCTCTTCAAGCGAGGAGCTGAAATGTAGGCCAGAGACAAAGTTCGCTCAGCACCCTTCTGGTTGGTGATGATCAAGGTGTCGCCTGACAGGACACTTTTGACTCTGGCTTGAAGGAGGGCCATGATGCAGGAAGCAAAGATGCAGTTTGGAGGCGGTCAGGTATGTACAGAGTCAACGAAGAGCAATTGAGGACGGACGCTATGCAGCTAGACTGAAGTGTGGTAGAAGTTCAAGTGGCTTTGAGTGGTCTCGAGGACAATTGCCAACACCGACTTTAAGTCAGTAATGGACAGTTTTCGATCTGGAAAATGACGAAGTGTGGGGTAAATTGTAAACATTCTTCCACCACCAACTCGAAGGTCCTCACCCTCAGATCCTTGTGGCGACTGCATCACGAGGTGCTCAATACATGGCTAATATCTCACTTACACGGTGTTCAACAATGTATCAACCGCAGAAGAAAGAGTCACCCCCAGCAGCACACCGACCCAACGAGCCCTGCCGAGACACATCTACCGGTCTCATCGAAACCAGTCCTGTCAAGACGCGGTCCGACCCTGTCACTCCGACCTCTTCTCGCTGTGATATACCATAAAGTGTCCAGCAACGAGACAATCCGCCTTAGGCATTGTCGGCATGGATATTGCAATTCCTCCTTCCCTTTCGGGATCCACGCTTATCTCGTGCTGCGGGGTTCGACCAACAACGGATATCAGCAAGAAACTAGGTGGGAGAGATAGATATAACACAGTACTCTCTACAAAGTCCTGATCTTCTAGGACATATGAACGCTGCTGTGACGAAGCATCGAGCATGTCAATCTTGCAACTCTTTCTCAATACCTGAACAAGTCCTTCCTCCTACAAGCCTGCGTCTAGGCTCTTTTTTTTTTTTTTTTTTTTGAATAACCCATAATCCCCCCTCGACTGCTTGCCCCTATCTCTCACAGCCTCGCCCGGCCTCTCTTCTCTTCATCGCATCATGAACAACACCGACCCATCCCATCGCAAAGCCATCATCGGCAACCCGGAAGGCTCATTCTGGCTCTACGACTCCACTACAGGCTTTGACCTGACTCACCCACCCACCCCAACGTCCTCTAGCCCAACACCCAACTACACCTTCGAAACCACCACACTGCCCATCACCATCGCCTCGTCCAAGTCCGCCCTCGTGATCATCGACATGCAGAACTTCTTCCTGTCCCCTGCCCTCGGCCGCCCCGCGGACTCAAAGGGCCTCGTCGCCCAGCAGCAACTACTCAAACACGCCATCCCCGCTGCCCGCAAGGCCGGCATCCGCATCATCTGGCTGAACTGGGGTCTCACCGACGCCGAAGTCCTCTCCATGCCTCCTTCCACCATCCGAGCTTTCGGCTTCGAAACCGTGCTCGCCTCGCAATTCACCTCCTACGCCCGCGTGTCGGCCGAACAGAAATCCGCGGCCATCGACTCCCACGGCGTTAACGAAGGCTGCCACACCTTTCCGGGCCCGGACGCACAGATCGAAACGTCCGGCAAGAACCCGCGCATCTACAAGGGGCTAGGCACTGATATCGGACCCGTCCATCTCGACGACAACAACACCACCACCACCACCACCACCACTGTCCCCGGCGGCCGCCTCTTGATGCGTGATACCTGGAACGCCGATCTCACGCCCGAGTTGCGCGCCGCGTACGAGGAAGGCCTCCAAGCCTCTCCGGCCGATGTGTGGATCCATAAGAATCGCATGTCCGGCCTTTGGGGCGCAAGCACGCCGTGTACAGAGTTCCTCGAAAGCGAGGGTATCACGACGTTATTGTTCGCCGGCGTGAACACGGATCAGTGCGTGGGTGGAAGTTTGCAGGATGTAAGTTACCCCTTCCACGTGCCCTTCATTTCCTAATCCTTGATCCTTGATCCTTGATCCTTCATCCTCTATATAGCTTCCCATCTCCTGTCTCCGCCCTCCATCGAGGCAAAATAACAATCCGCGGAGCGAGGGGGGGCCGCGCATAAATTGTGGGGAAAAGGACTAACATAGAGCGACGCAGGCGTTTACGAAAGGCTACGATGTGATTCTCTTGTCTGATGGGGCAGGCACGACGTCGCCAGATAGTAGTCAGGAAAGCATCGAGTTCAATTGTGCTAAGACTTGGGGGTTTTGTATGTCGTGCAAGAACTTTGCAGAGGGTGTGGGATTGTGAGAGGGGTTTTGCCCCTTGGATGGTCGTTTTTCGCTTTGAGAAACTTCTGATTCATAAAGCACTGAACTTGAGCGCGCTCTCTCTCTCTCTCTTTCTGTTGCTCAAGACACATGTTCTTCGGATATCAGAGGTATCCGATCATGACCCATATACATATTCCTTTCCATTCCCACCATTCCTTCATCCGGACCGAACCTGTCCAATTTTTCCCTGCACCTGATCGTGTTGTACTATTTCCCTTTCCCGTTTCATATCTTCTTCACCTCCCTTTTTGTCCCTTATTTCTTTGCCCATTTGCTTTCCATCAGAGCTTTCCGCCCAACTTCGGACCGTTCGGCAACGTCAGTGGCACGTTTGGCCTCTGCAGCCCCCTCCTTGGTCTCATCACGCCTCTGAGATAGATTGACCATAAGCCTCTCCTGTCGCTGACCCTCCGTCTTATCTTCGACAACGTCATTGGACTCATCCAGGGCCGTGGCACCCCCATCGTCCCTCTTGTCTTCAACGGGAACCTCGGGACCATTTGGTCCCGTAGCGAGATCACTCCCCTGGCTGTACGCCGGTGTCTCTGTAGTCTCTCTTAGACCAGGGTTTGGAGTGGTGGGGTCTCGGGCGGCATCCTGTTGTGCTCCTGCCCGCTGTCTTCGCCACTCCTCCTCCTCCTTTTGGGTCATCGGCCTCGTCACTATGCCCTCGGCGTTCCTCAGGGGCGCACCGAAAAGGATTCCTCCTCCTTCGCGAGGGAAGGCTAGGTGAGCGGCATTCGTGGTGGGCTCGGGCGATGTCTGATGACCGCCACCATCCCTCAAGAAACTGAGGTTGACTCGTGGTCCAGTGTGACTCTCTTCAAATTTGAAGAGACCCCCTGTCTGGACTTGCTCTCGCCCCTGATCGAGGAAGCCAGGCATAACCATGGGTGAAGACGCGGTCGGAGCGACTGTGCCCTCGAAGTCGGACAAGGAAACCACAGGAATTGTCGATGCGAAGGGTTCTCCCCCAGCAGACGCAGAGCTGGAGGCAGCGGAATGGGCCAGAGAGGCCGCGGCAGCAATGCTAGTCTGGCTGAGATCAGAAAGCTTCCCATTGTCCTTGATGAGTTCGTCCAAACTAGCCTTCTGCGCATCGATAATTTCTTGAAGATTCTCCGTCTTTTCTTTGAGCTGCTCCATTTCGGACAGAGACAGAGTCCGGCGTCGGATGACCTCTTCCTGCTTGTCGAGTTTCTGTTGAAGACCACAATTTGTCTCGTTGAGATCATCGACTATCGACATATAGTCCTTTTCTTGGCTTTCTACCTCCTTCTGAGCTTCGTCACGCGACTTGCAGGCTTCTTCCAATTCGGACTGCTTTTCCTTCAGGCTTGACTCAAGTCCAGCATTGTCGTTTCTGGTTTTTTCGAGCTCTGCGGCTGACTCTTTTTGCGCCTTTATGACTTTCCCTTGATTGGCAACGGTTTCTTGGACTGTCTTCTGCGAGGCTTGTACCTTTTCCAACTCTTTCTGCGCGTCATCTCTCTTTTCCTTGAGCTTGTCGATCCCTTTTCTGAGTGAAGCAACCAGGGAACCCTGCTTTTTCTCTTTGGCTTCTGCTTCTTTCAGCAGGTTCTTGAGATCATCATGTTGCTCTCTCAGTTCCGGTGTGCCTTCATAGCCTTTGAGCTTCTTCTCCAGGTATGCAAGCTCGCTGTCCCTAGCAAGGATTATTTTATCCTGCGATTCGATGACTTCTTCTTTGGTCGAAATCTCGTGACCCTTTTGCTTCAGGAGTTGCGCCTTGGCAGCGATCTCATTGTCTTTCTGTTGGATTTGCGCGTCATAAGCAGCACTTGTCTCGGTCGAATCTCGAACCTGAGACGATAGTCTGGCGAGGGATAAGCGTAGAAAAGCCACCAAAACACTCAACTTCAGGACAGAGTGGTCTGGTTCAGTGTTGACAGCAGCGTCAGATGTGGCGCTGTCAGCAGCAGAAGTATCATCGGAGCCTTCGAGTTGATTTCTTGCCGCGTTGCCCAAGAGTTCTCTGATGAAACCATCCTCGACGGGATTCACCGAGTACGTCTCCTCCAGTGATTCAGTCTCTGGGGCAGAAACTCCTTGCAGGAATGCGGCATAGAACAATCTGAGTAGAGCGATGGAGAGCAATACCACGAGCAGGAGTGGTAGTGGTGATCCGGGCACCTCATAGTAGTAGGGCCCAGAGCTGTAGGCCCGATCCGCTGCGAAAGGTAGCTGGAAGTGACCAGACAAGTACTTGGCGAGCCATCCTAAGTATGGAGACCCAGACCAAGCTTGCCAGTCGTGTGCATGACCGGAACCAGTGTCGAGCAAAGTCGCATCACACTCAATTATGCCTGTCACGAACGCCTGATCGTGCAGATTGAGAGGAATTGTTCTCGATGGATGGATCGACGGCGGAGGCAACCGCAGGAACTCGAGGAGCGGAGAGCCACGGTCAAGCGAGGAGACCGGAGAGAGGAGTTCGGTGGTCAGGGGCATGTGGATGTTCAGCGAGATCCCATCCCCTCGGGAGGTTACTGAGATTAGGCCAGGACGCGGAACGTGGAGGAAGCTGAGGAATTGGTCAAGCCATATGGCAGAGTCGAAAACCGCAGGTGGAGAGAACCCAGTCGCGTCGAGAGGAAGGCTGATAGTTGGTGGTGTTTCAACGCCAACAGCCCACCAAGCCTGAACCCTCAGCCAGATGACTGTCAATAGTAGGAAAGTACCTCCCATGTTGCGAGAATCATGTATAAGGAAGCTGAAGGAATGTCTTGTCGGGGTATCTTGATTATCACCTTGCTGAAGTGGCGGGCAATCACAGATGAGCCGTATTTTTCTATTTATGTTGTACTGAGAGAAGAGACAGGATGGTAGAATTCGCTGAGGAGGATATTTCAAGCAGGCCACGCGAAGTGGAAACGCCGGCAGTCGTTCAGCGAGGCAGGAAAACTGCTGTCTTTGTTCAGTGCAGCAGTCTTTGTTTGAAGGCAGTTCGTTTGAACAAAGCAACAATTGTTGTCAATCCAAACGCTGGCATAGGAGACAAAGCGCGCAAGGCGAGACAAAGGCGGCTGGTTACGCCTGTGGAGACAACAATGAGCCGTGAAGCATGAACTTCTGGACATCATGTTGATTGAAATTCGCAGGCCAGACTGAATTTTCGAAAAGTCCAGCCAAGCCAGCAGCAACTGCGGTGACAAAGGAAGAGAGGCAGTGGCAGTAAACGCAGTGAATACAAGAATTTGAGCGTGATGTGTGGTGGTGAATGGAGCTCTTCCGTCCAGCCTGTCACCACCTCAGTGCAAAGGTGAGATGGGATATTCACTGGTCTGCCTTGGAACTTGGTGTAATGGTGGTAGAGACTTCGAAGATTACCAGACCACAGGACCCAGAGAGTGCAGGATTGGTCATCTGAATGGGGTATCTGATACTGGTACAATAATTGTCGCTGCTACACATAAGCTCTGTCTCTCGAAAGCGCCATTGCTTGACCGTTCCGCAAAAAGCCAGCCAGAAATCCTTGATTGTTCATACAAGCAAACTCCACGACTTGAACATCATTGCCGTGGCATCGTCCCATCGTTGAATATAAAGTCGTTGTAGCCTGTTTGTCCAAACTCTGCCCAATCCCATTCGAATGTCATGGGCATCTGCCACAGATCTTGTGGCACAAAAGGTTGTTGAAAAGAGCCTGCATTGAGGGGTGACATGGTCGCACTAGGCATGTGTCCCATGTCTGGGCTTAAACCAGGTTGACTGAGCAAGTCAGCATAGTCATTGTTTTCGAAGTTGGACATATTGAAGAATGTTTGAGGGTTAGTATTCATGGAAGCGACAGGCGTAGAATGTGTCGCGGGGATAGTGGAAGCAGTCCGAGGAGAGCCACCTGCGCCGCTGGATCTCCTGGAGCCAGGACCTCTTCCATTGATCTGAGCCTGGGCTTGTGCCATAGCTGACTGGTTGACGCGGAGGACCTCTTCTGGCACGAGTCTCCGCTTACGCTTTGACCCCTCCTTCTCAGCCTTATCAATCACAACGCGTGCAATCCGCGCGAATTCCGAACAAACAGTCAACATACGATTCAGAGAACCGGTACCCTCGTCATGGGCGACATTGGTTAAGAAGTTGACAACGAGGTCCATTAGTTTGATGTCAGCTCTGGCGCGAGTGTCTTGAGGATTCTGCAAGATATTGGCGAAGAGTGTGACGAGTGCTGAAACTGGAAAATACAGGATCAACCATACGCAGGCGAAGTCACCCTGTGGAATATATTTGATGAGGTGGATAGAGGCGCGGGCTGCTGAAACACAGAGCGCCGCAGAAGAGAAGACCCTCGGGTTGAGCGGCCTGGCATTAAGCCCTTGGATGGCGTATTCGGACAATCGACTAGTCCAATACCCGTGGTGGACAGACATCCGATGTATTGTGGTCAGACAATTGTAGTATGAGAAATGGAGGACGACGATATGTAGGATAAGTGGTGTGTGGGAGGTTTTGATTTCGTGCTCAGGGCGGAAATCAATTGGAATGCTGTCTTTCCATGCTTCAAGCTCTCTGTCGAGCTCGCCAATGGTGTTGAGCAGTTCACCATCGCTTTGTTTCGAGGCTCGAACGGAGTACAGTTGTCGATAAACTTTGCTGGAAATGATGGCAAACTCGCACATGAGCCGGAAGAGGTTGATCTTGCCTTTTCCATCGGCGAGTGGGACGTTCCCAATATTATCGGGAGGATCCTCGGACGGTAACTCGACATTCATGTCATCATCATCTTGCGCTGGCGGTCGACCTGCTCGCAGACAAGAATCCTTATCCAGTAAATATGCGATCCAGAAAACCCGTTTTCGCTGCTCAGCTTCGATGGGATTTAGGTTGAAGGCTGACCCACGTTTGTGGAGACCAATTGTGTGAGAACATCTGATGGCAGCTGAGATGAGAAAGAAGGAGGGTTGAGGGTTTGGTGTCCCCTGCAGGAACAAAGCCATGCCCAGAAGCGCCTGAACGCTAAGTAAATCGGTGTTGCGCATGGTTAGTTCAGTGATGACTCCCAAGGCGTTCTTCAGGTACAACCAAGCCTTCTGGTCATCTTCTTGTGGAACGACATTGCTCATAACTCTGATGCGATATGCGATGGCAAGCGCCACATTGATGCTAGCCCACCAACCACTACCTTCGTAGGGATCTTTGGAATATTGCTTCTCCACAAGATGCATGAAGGTGGGTTCATGGAACAGCGGGAACATGCAGTTGAAATTCTCGAAGAAGTCCTTGAATAACGACAGGGCTTCCTCTTTCGGGGGCAGCGGCTTGAAGACGCGACGTACAAAGATGTCGCCGAACACTTCAGGTTTCCAATACTGCCATTTGTTGTCATCTTCGTTGACGGCATTCTGGATCGTTTCCTGGAAAGAAGTATCTCCGGTCTTCTCATTGACCCACTCGATACCTTTGCTTGAGAAAATAGAGAACGCAGATGACGATCCTAGTATGTGTTAGTAGTGATCAATCCGACATAGTGCGTCACCTACCGATGTATCTTGTCTCACCGACATTGTTGGTGACCAGGGAGCACATGGCCTCGGAAAGGTTCTCTACCTCCTCCCGAGACTTGTCGCCGTCGACTGTGCTTGGTGTGGTTATGGTGTCACGAGGAGTGTCATGTGAATCTCGAGTAGATCCAGGCCTCGGAGAGCTCTCATGTACTGAAGAACTCCCACCGCTTTTCGGAGGCGCTGGTGATTCGGTTGCCTTGGCACCGTTCTCTTTTGCAGAGGCCTTCTCAGCCAGGCGCTTCTCGAGAGTCCCGAGATCTGTCTTGCCAGCCTCGTCTTCAGACAACAGGCCGGACATGCGCAATAGGGACTCCATTCGGCCGAGTCGATTCTCCAGGCCCTCGATGTACTTGGCACTAGTGACTAGTCAGTTGTGCGACGTTGACGGACTCGAATGGCTGTTGACTGACCCTTTGGGAGGATTTCGCTTCTTCTCCACCTGTGTAAAGATACATTCTGTTTTATAGTTTATGCAGTGACCGCACTTGGGCATCTTTCCATCACACTTGATTTTCTTTTTCCTGCACATATCGCAAGCCTACAATGAGGGTCAGAATGTGTCAACTCTCCTCCACAAACAAGGGTATGGTGACGCACCCTAGCGATACGTCGGCGCTTAGGATCGTTCTCATCCAGTCCTCCATCAGTCAGATCTCCAAAGTATGCACCTGGTGGTAAGGTCGGAGGTATAGGAGTACCGTCGGGGTTGTAGGCACCGAAGATCTGGTGAGGCTGTTGGGGCATGAACTGGGATATGTCATACCCCATACTGTCAATGCTTCCCCGGGGGTCCATTGCGCGGGAGGCGGTACTGCGGAGGGAGGGTTGGTCGTGTCTCTCGGGTTCGTGGCAATCTTGAGGGATGCTCGTGCGGCGGAGGAATGCAGAAGCCCGTCCGATGGTGGCCACGGGGCGGAGAAATCAGGATTTGTAAGCCAATGGCCGCATGTCCGCTGGCGGATGAAGTTGGATTAGTAGTACACGAGCGGCAAGAGTCCAGGTCGTTGCACAAGCACTGTGTTCAATGTTGCGGACTGGCTCCAGGCACAGAGTCAATGCGGAAGAGGAGCGAAGAGTGAATCCAAGAAACGGTACGACGACTATCTCGGTCGAAGCAATCAAAGGTGGTGCGGTCAGGAGTCGGAGGTTTTAGAAATCAGGCAGAGAAAGTGTATCATCTTTATTGTGTAAAGGCAGCAGATGATGGAGTTGGTGGGTGGACAGGCAAGGACAGGCAATGGACAGGGCACTGCAGGGATACGATTTACAACCTCCAACTCCTTGTCTTTTACTGCTTGGGGTTTAGGTCATGACGAGATGGGTCGGAGCCTGAGTCCTGAAACTCGCCGCGGATGGTGCCCCAAGCCTGCACCAGCCCGCCCAAGCCCGCCTAAAATGGCTGAAGAGAGCCATCATGAGCGCCCTCCAGGCACCACCATTTCGTCCATGCGACCACCGTGCCACTTTTTGCTAGGGGCCTACTAGTAGGGACCTCACCTGCACCTGTTGGTTGTTCTATCGGGTTTAACACCTTTCCCCGTCTTGTATCAGGCTTCATTTCCTGCCAAACCGTCGCACTTTTCTTGGTCTCGCTTCTGGCTTGTCCGTCTCAGACGTCCTTTTGGGATGGACCCGTGTTTCACAGGCACCAAACCGGCCAGAGGGCACCAGAATGTCTGGTGAGTCTTCATAGCCTACAGTCCGTCAACACGTGGACATCCATACTACCTCAGCTACCTGGTAGGTTCTGATGGTACGAGTACGTACGTACTGTAGATCCACGGATCCTCCGAAAGAAGAAACGGTGCTCTTTTCTGCAAGACGCACGGAGACTTGCTCCCTCCTAGCCCGTCACCACTCCCACCCGCCTGGCTACAACCCTATCGCATCGTTCTCTTGCTCAAGCACAGTTAGCGCCCATTCCACCGTGCGCTCTCCGCTCACCCTCCGCCCCCAATCAACTCTGACGACTTGAGAAAAATTTCCGCGTATTCGGAGTCGGATTCAATCGTGCCGGCGGCCCCGAGATCTTGTCCCTGTCCCGTCTCATGGCAATTGGCCTTGGCTTACGGGATGGAATCGTGCGTGGTCGTGCCACTCTTGACTTTCTCAACCCGAGTCGGCCGAAAGCGCATGAGCCCTTCGTGATCGTGGTAACCCCTGCGATTGTCCAGTCCATCATCCTGACCAAGCAGTGTTTTTCTGCCCCACGATCGAAGTCCGGTTTCTTACCAATACCCGATTTCTACGAGTAGCCAGGCTCAAAAAGCCGAGAGACTGGCCAAATAGGAACAAGATCTGCTGGTCACTATCGCGGGCAGCTTGGAAAGTGAGTCATTTTCTACCCATCAGTCAGTGTCAGCCAACTGCTTCTGGGACGGCCTAAGAAGCTCTCGGACTTTTGACCAAAGCTGGGGGACAAAGGACTTTGCAGCATTGATGTACGAGTAGTCGTCTAGCTGCCCGCAAGAACGTGTCTGTTCCCCCGGTTCGGGACACGATGTCGGCGATTTTGAAACGCGAGGCTCGAACGGGGACTGAGTGCGTGGAATTCTTTTGTTCATTCGCCCTATTCTGCAGCTTTTCATTCCTTCACGAGCTGCCTGTCTCTGCGAATCAGTTCACTTCTCGTCTTTTCGGCACTACCAGTGCCTTCAATGGCACCATTTACTCTTCCTCCCCAAATCCTGGTGGTGCAAAGTCCTCCTCCTCCTCAGTGAGCACGATTGGCGCACTCGGAGCAGCCACCACCACCATTCCTCCTCCCATCCCTTCATCTGTTCCGGTACTGGCATCCTGCACAATACTCGTTGGAGTTGCCTGTTGAACTTGCTGGACCATGGACGAGCTGGCAGGAACAGGCAGAGCAAGAGCAATAGCAGACTCGACGTCCATTTGGTCGTCGGTGATGATCTCTAGGTCGGACGAACCTTCAGAGAAGCCGTCGTCCACCTCCATGTCCACTTCCTGCTCTTCCTCGGTCGTGGTTTGATCTTCCTGCTCAACAGGGACTGTCGTACCATCGTCCTCTGTCCTCCGAACCCGCTTGGGTAGGATTGTTGGTGTGCTGTCGTCTTCAGCGGCAAGGAGGCCCGGAAAACTGCCCTGAGGCAATGGACACTTTTCGGTACCCGCTCCACGAACATGAGGAGCCAAGATCGTTCGACCTGGACGCGCAACAGCCGGCCCATCCTCCGCACGAGTCGATTGCTCTTCGAATGACCTCGAGCCTCGTTTTCCGAGACCCGATGCCACCGAAGCAGGGCCAGGAGATGAACCAGCGGCGTCCTGTCCTGTTGCAAATCGAACCCGTCGGGGCATTGCCCTGCGGCGGTCCACAAAGATCGAAGTACCCTCATTGGGCACCCTGATGATCGGGCGCAGAACAACCACATTGCTGGTGGTAGGGGAATTGGCAGGCGGAGAGACATCGTCGCCATCGTCGGCGTCCTCGACGGTTGGCTTGGGAGGAGCACGAGGGGCCAAACTGGCAGGTGCAGGCACAGTTGGAGGGGTGGCCGGCGGAGAAGCATCCTCAGTTTGCGTGGCGGCCGACACGCGACCAGCACGTCGTGGGAAGATGATTGTCATGAGGAGCTTCAAGACGTCAAAGAGGGAGAGTCCGGTGACATTCTTGCAGGCGAGCGACAGGTAGGCATATATCTTGATGGTGCCAAAGATGATGATGCAGTAGTCGACGAAGAGGACTGCACGAAAGATTGCCTTGCCCAGGGTCCAGTTGAGTGCTCGGAGAAGGTTGATGAGGAAGATTGACGACTTCAGAAGAGGTCCCTTCGTCGCTTGCTTGCAGACTCTGAAGATCTCGTGGCAGGCGGGTTCGACGATGAAGGTTCGGACGAAGGTGATGCCATTGTGGAAAAGGTCCTTGACAGCCTTGTTGGCTAGGAGAATTCTTTCTGTCACGACGTTCGAGGTACTGTCCCTGGCGATCTTGTTTGAGGGCTCGTCCATGGGGAATGTGACTTCTTTCGTCACGTAAGAGATGACAGTTACTGTGGTTGTGGTTGGTGCTTGAGTCGTGGTAATGGTTGGTTTGAGTGCCCATGAAGACGTGAAATTGCTTTCAATCGTATCCAAGAGGTGTTCGGCCGTTGAAGAAGTGTGTCCATGATGGTACTTGACCATGTGCCATGAGAAGAGACCAAAGACAGAAAGACCAGCGACAGCAAGCTCCACGCTACCAGGCTCGAAGGGGTTTGCGGCCAGCGCAACGCCCGGGGAGAGGAAAGAGATCAGGAAAAGGATGAACACGTTCATGATGAAGGTGTTTCCAGGTGTTCGAATTGTGTCAATGCTGTTTCAAGGTGTGAAGAGTGACTTCTAGTCAAGAAACAGTCTGAAAATGTGTGTTCGAACGTAACCTGAGAGAGGAAAGAAAGAAGGAAGTTACAGTGTGATGGAGAGGTGGTTTTGTACACTGAAGAGTGTGAATGGCTGTATTGACCGAGAATACAACAATAGCAGTCAATACTGCGAAATTCGGGTGAATAGGCCATTGAGTGAGCCAGCGATTGTGGTGTAGAGATTTGTACCGCACCGCTGTGTGGGTGAATGGCATAGTAGGGGGTGACAATAGGCGGCAAGGCTGAGCGTTCAGGGGCCGGGTAAGTTGGCTCAGAAGCCCATTCAGAGCTCATATTGTCGAGCTGCATGGTATTGAGACGATGCCCTTCTCGCTGTGAATGAACCCCTGTAATTCATGAATAGAGCAGCCTGTATCTTCGATGTATTCTACCCCTTTCAGAACATTTGTACAGAATAGGTGTGCGCCCGGCGCAGAACTACTCCAGGCACTCCAGGCAAAGTCCATTGGCCACGATGCCCACGACTGCGCAGTTCGATCGGCATGACGTCGCTGGCTTGGGGGTGCTGCAGGGATCAGGATACCTCGAAATCCTCTTGACAAAGGCCGACTACATACGGAAACTCAGCACCAAAACCGGTTTTGAAGCCTTGCCGAAGTTCGTGAGCAAGAATACTACGGATAGTGACCTAGGTATATCACGTATATACACATCTTCCTCCAAGAGCTCAAGAGCCTCGATACTTTTCATTCAACTCGCGATCCTTTTCTACGTCATAAATCGTATCTCACATCTCAGTGGACTTGACGTCGTCTATAAAACAATATCTGCTCTACAGCAGTAATCCCACGATGTCCGACGACGCAGGATTTTTCAAAAAGACCTCCGAGGCTGCCGCTAATGCCGGAGCCTCGTTTGCGGGCGCCATATCAGGCGGTCTCAGCCTAGGCGCGAACGCCAGCCAGAAGAAAACGACTACCACGAGGACGACAGTGCCAGCGAATTCATCAGGTCAGCAGCCACACATCATGAATGGCGCTGGACAGCCGGCGCAGGGGCGGATCACGAGCGAGAGTGTCGGCGAGCGGAAGAAGCTCACCCAGAAGGAGGCCGACGCCCTGTATTCTGAGAGAATGGAGGACGAGTATGCCAAACGTGAAGGCGGGGCCTGAAATGTATTCGACTCGTTAATTGCCCATGCTGTCGTTGAATAGGAAAGGAGCTGTTTGGAGTGTTGGAAGTGAGATAGTACTGCTGAATGCTGGAGTCACGAAGAGCTGCACGAAAGCCGCTTTGAGGACCTGATCTCTTTCACAGGTTGCCCGGAGATATTGACATGATGGATGCCATTGAGATGGAAATCTACGATGGTATGCCCATGGCGATTACTAGTATCCAGGCGATGAGAATGATATGAACATGTCCATTTCACGCGAGACAGTGACTATGACGTCGTCTTTTGATTTTCTTCGGTGATTTTTGTATCTGTTCCTCATCGCCTTCCTACCACGTACCTCGGGCAGTCGCGTGAGAGGTGATTAAATATCCTCTAACTGCTACGTACATGCGACACTGAACTTGAATCCGGATTCACAGTGCCCGAGATGGCGCCAAACCTCACGAAAGCCCTCTCCCTCATCGACGCCGCCCACGCCGAAGACCCCAACAAAATCACTGTCAACGACACCTCAATCCCCTACGAGCTCCACTACGCTGAGAAGATGACCAAGTTTCTGTCTCTTCACACCGCAGACCCCTCCCCTCTAGTCCAGACGGCAGCTCGAGCGCAACACTTCCGCCGCTGGGAAGTTCCTCGCGACTCCTACCCGCGCACGAGACCAGGCTACTTCGCCTGGCGCACATTCCTGAAAAAGCGCCAGGCCGAGCAAGTCAAGCAGATATGCCTTGAGTGTGACTACACGCCCGAAGAAGCGGACAAAGTAGCTGCGCTAATTGCAAAGGAAGATCTTAAGAAGGGCGAAGGCAAGGGCGATCCGGACGCGCAGATCATCGAAGACGTTGCGTGTCTGGTCTTTCTGGATGATCAGTTCGACGAGTTCGAAAAGGGGCACGACGAAGACAAGATCATAAGTATACTGCAAAAGACGTGGGTCAAAATGGGGGAACGAGGGCATGAACTGGCATTAGCTATGGATTTGAGTCCAAGGGCGAAAGAGATGGTCGGAAAGGCGCTCTCAGGTTGAGCCTTTGATTGATCCAGCTCTCAGGCCTCATATTCGACGAAACGAGATTTCTGATGCACACCGATAAGGCTGGTCACCAGAACCAGATATGTTCCGCCAGTCGGATGCAAGTCCAAATCCATCACGCTGAATTCGCATTTATAGAAGAGAAGAGCAGTGCAGAACTTGCCCGCTTCCAGGGAAAGAATTATACAGACACACGGTGCAATCGCTGATGTGGTTGCGGAGGTATCATGGCGAATCTCAGCAATGCTGACTCCTGCAGTACATCACCATCGGACGGAGATAGCTGGAGATATCGCTGCCGGACTCAAGATACCAAAGGAGTTACTGCCTTCCATGCAAGGCGAATGTCCCGAGTTTTATCTTCAAGGCCACTGGTTTGCGGACGTGGCGCCTCTCTCATTACTGGCGCGAACATCAGAGGCTGCATTTGTCTTGCCGAGCCGACTTGGGAGTAAACGCCAGAGGACTCAACGGGTATCCTGCTCCGCGGACATGGGCGGATTACCAATTTGTCCGTACCCAGACTAAGAACGATCGCTGGCATGGATTTTGACCTGCGCCATCGCAGGGGCTGTTCTGGCCAGCTGCAAATCGGGACACAGAACGGAAGGCAACGACGGGCCTGCAAGCCTATGATATTCCACTGAATCCGGCAAGAATGCTATGTACAAATCTACACTACATTGAGTGGCTCACTGCATGATTTTTTTCTCTTGAAGCACCTGCCTCGTGGATGCCGCAAAAATACTTACGAGCTCATGCACCTCTTGCTCGCTGATAATGAAGGGCGGCGCAAACAGAATCGCATCCACGGCCGCAGAACACAGGTACACGGCTGCCCCATTTGCAAGACAGGTGCTCGCCACATCCGCGGCAATGCGGTTACCAGGCTGCGTCGCAAACTCGACGGCTTTGAACAGACCAAGGCCCTTGATCTCCTTCAGGTTGGGTACTTGTTTTCGAAGCTCCTCCTCCAGGAGATCTCCCATCGCTCTTACGTTTGCAAGCAAATCGTCCTTGACGATTGTCTGCTGTGTCGCTAAGGCTGCGGCGCACCCAATTGAGTGGCCCTGATACGTATGTCCGCTCACAAAAGGGTGCTGGGCCTGCGAAGCTTGCATGACTTGATGGACCTTGTGGCCGACCAAGATCGCGGAGATTGGTTGGTAACCTGCTCCCAATCCTTTCCCAATCGTCTGCAAGTCAGGCGCCGCATTACCCAGTGACTGCCAGGCGTGCAGAGTCCCGGCCCTCCCCATGCCACACATGACCTCGCCGTAAATCAGCAGGGCGCCGTGCTTATCACACAACTGTCTCAGCCGCATGAGATACCCTTTTGCAGCTGGCACGGCACCGAGCGTCGCCCAACCCATCGTCTCTATCAACACGGCCGCGACAGACGACGAGCCCAGCTTCTCGAACATGTCCTCGTACTCCTGGAGGAGACGATTGACGTAGGCTTTTTCATCTTCGCCGTCCTTGGCATCCCGCGAGAAAAAGCAAGGAGAGACGTGGTGGAAAGCCGAAGACAAGAGCGGCTCGAATGTCTGTCGTCTCGGCGGATTAAAGCCTGCGGAAAGCGCCCCAAGTGTGTTGCCATGGTAAGCGTACTGTCGGCAAATGAAGTTTACTCGTTTCGTTTCGCCTCGCGATACGTGGTACTGGCGCGTTATCTTGATGGCCGACCCGACTGCTTCCGAGCCAGAGCTAAGGAACATGACTTTGGTGAACGCATTGGCGCTTTCGTCGATGAGCAGCCGAGCAAGCTCCTCTGCTGGGTCGCTCGTGAAGAACGACGTATGTGCGAAGGCCATCTTGCGGGCTTGGTCGACGATGGCTTCGATCACGCCTTTGTGTCCGTGGCCCAGACAGGAGACTGCCGAGCCGCTGCTGCGGTCGACCGTTCGGGAACCATCGGGGTGGACGATGTAGACACCGTCGCCGCCAGACGCGGTGTCGTAGTTTTTGTTGAGGGACCGGTGGAAGATGGCCGTTGGCTGTGGTGAGGCAATCATGTTGACTTCTGACGCTTTGGTAGCCTTCGTTCTCGGGTATCAGGATCGCAACTATCTTGAATTATAACCAAGGCAGTACGCTCAGTGAGTTTCAAGGGCCAAAAGTGAAATGTTTCATAGCACGGTTGCTCTCGTAAATAGTTGTTTAGTCGGTTCTATGGCTGGATTTTGTGCAGCCGTTATGAGACAAGCAACCAGCCCAGGCAAACGAATGCATGCTCTACCTCGGACTTTGCACTGTTGCGTCCACAGGAAGATACCGGGAACGCGCACATATCAAGAAGCAGTGTGGTTGGCTGGCATCATCTGGTCTTCAGTCGGCCTGATCCGAACATGGTCGCAAGGACCGCCGTGTCGCAGCTGAACCATGTCTATCAAACAGCCCTACGAGATTCCAGTCACAGAGCCGAGCAAGCACAGCATGAAGGAGTCCCAGTTGCACGACCCGGACACCGTGGCCATTGGCGAAGGCGAAGAGATCGGAAAAGTCGATGCCACGCGCCAGGGTGTCTCCGGCCAAGCCGCCGCCGAGGGTGGCAAGCAGTACCGTGTCCTGGGTAGATGGAAGACGGCCTTCGTCTTCATCCATACCGAGATCGGAATCGGCATCCTCAGCTTGCCGTCGGTATTGAAGAAGCTGGGGCTTATTCCGGGACTCATTGCCATCTTGTTGATCGGGCTCCTCGCCACCTACACGGCATACCTCTACCTCATCTTCTGGCGAAAGTATCAACACGTTGACAACCTCCCCGATGCCATGCGAGTGCTTGGTGGAAAGCCATGGGCCATTGTCGGCGGCATCGCCTTGATGATCAACTTCATACTGTACCTATTCCTCGGCGGCCCACCAAACTCGATAGATTCATGACCCGGTTGAAAGAGGCAGAAGGCCAGCAGAGGGCTTACTGAACTCTTCCCTGCTGCTCTCTTGGGTGCCTGAGTCCAAGGTTGCTATTTGAACGTGACAACCAGATGGCAAACTTGATCAGTCGGGCAGAAAGCGATACATGGACAAGGCTGAAAGCAACTCCCAGGAGTATCATCAGCAGTCAACTTGTTGCTCACTCTGAAGTCCCTCCGTCTTCATCTTCATCTTTCTTCGTCCTAACTACTACCTTCTGGGCACCTTCATTTCTGCTCTTCCGCCCTCTGCCTCTCAACCTCATCCGCAAATGCCCCCAGCGTGGCAAACTTCCATCCATACCCGACTTCTCCCCGTTGATGAATGCCCTCGATCCCACCACCACTGCCCATGCCAGCTCCTTTCCTATTGATCCAGACACTGCTCAAGCCCATCTTCTTCGCCGGCACATGGTCGTGGAAAATGCTCTGCGCGACATGCAGAATCTCATCCTTCTCCACGCCCGCGTCTTCCTTCACATGCTTGAGCAGGTACTCAAAGTTCCTCAGGTCCGGCTTGTAACTGCCAATGTCCTGCGCCGTGTAGACGCGGAAGAAATCGACCCCGCTCAGCGGGCCGGCGCACGTCTTGCTGAAACTGTCCCTGTCGACATTACTCACGGGGATTAATTTGTAGTACTTGGACAACCGCTTGCACGCGTCGACGGTGTCGGGAAATGCAGGCCACAAACCGACACTGTCGCCGAATTGTTGCGCCTCTTTCTCCACCACCTCGCTGTTGTCCTGCACACCGAATTCAGAAGCTAGCTTGAGATACGATTCTCGCAGGACTTGGCTGTACTTCATGCTGGGATTGCCGGCCTGGATTTGTGCCTCGAATTCGTTGAATTTCTCGGCCAGCTTGACTCGTCCTTGGCCGGATTCGCTGGTTCTGTAAATGCTGTGCGAAGAGTCTGCTGGAATCCGAGCGACGAGTGGTTGAAGGCCGTCGATAATGCCAGTCTCCCAATCGACCAGGGTCCCGTAGATATCATAAGTTATGACTTTGAATGCCGAAAACGGCCTGCGAGGCACCGTCGGCTCTGGCATTGGCAGTTCATCAGACATCTTGCTGTATTGTGGCTTTGTGATAGCTTCGTATGTGGTGGTACCGCCGTGAATAGTATGGATACCTAGGTAGGTAGGGTTGAAATCTCGAAAATATCTGGTCAATCTTGGAATCAGAATTTAGAACCACAATTACTGGGCGACTCAATTCTCGGAACCAAAAGGTAATTAATACTTGAATGTGTCTCATTCATCTACCGTCATTAATTCGTACAAGGCACGCCTTGGACCGGCTGCCAAAGGGCGTGGAGGTTTTAGAAGGCCGTAGCAACTTAGGTAAATGCCTTGCGCCACATCACCAAAATGGGTGAACTCCCCAATAACAATAAAAGGTTGCAATACGCCCAGCCCAATCGACTCGCAAGTCGCAACGCGAACTTCGAAGGACTTCATTATCAATCCTCAATCGTGGACAACAATATCATTCAACGCCCTTGCATCGTTTGGCAAGCCTCCCCTTGCTGACTGACCCTTTTCCTGTTGTATCTATCCTTAGGGTATCTTATAAAAACTTGGTTGGTTGGCGCAAAAATATAGCATAAAAATGTGCAATGCCATTCTCAGACACCACTTGGTCGGGGTAGAGTCGATAAAGCAGACAGTCGAGCCTGATCTCTACGGGCTTTAGCCCGTTTCTGCAATTCACGGCACCTTGCGCAGGTTGCGAGTATCCTTGTGTTATGTGTCGACCGAAATTCATCGATAGACTGGGTCCGGCGGCATTTGGTGCATTTTTTGTGTTGGCCTCGGCCAGGGCTAGCTGGAGAAACGGTCTCCCGGCGCATCTAACGTTCCTGATACTGCCCGTAGGCGACAGGTGTTCCGATCAAATCCTGTTCGACGTTAGCCGCGGCAGCTTTCAGGAACCCATCATGGTCATCACCTTCTTGCGTTTCCTTTGTCCTCCATACTCGTCTCCATCACCATCTTCTGGGTCGGAATAGCCTTCACCATATCCAACGAAACTGTCATCACCATAACTTCGCTTCTTGCCACGGGTCTGACGTTTTGCGTCTGTCGTTTGTTGTGCGGGTTGTCGAGGAATTCCGTTAGTGACATGCATTGGTGTTGGCTGATGAGCCTTTTGCTGTGGTGGCAGTACGTTCGGCTTCGGTTTGTCGAACCCTAGAACGTCCTCCCAGTGTGCGTTGTTCCTGACGGTTCCTGGTTGCATTTGCATTGCCTTTTGCAATTTCGCCCTGAAATCGGTGGTCACTTCAATTTTCGACTTGGCATGCTCTGCATTCCATTGCTCTTCTGGTTGTAGCCCCCATGCTGATGAACCGGCCATGCGCCGCAGCGGTCCAGGTTGGTCTTCTTCGATATTGCGCTCTCCCTTGACAGGCTTGTTCCGACCAGCCAGAGCAAAGTTCTTAATCTGCCCTTCGTAAGACTTCCGAAGTTTGTTGATCTTCTCGCCAGTCCTAGGGTCAGTGCGGGCTACACTCCGTAGTAACGGGCCTAGGCCGTATGATGCCAGTAAATGTTGTTGCGGATTCGGTCTTTGGCGCTCGACTTCTGTAGTCAACAATGTTAATAAATCTGCAAACCTGACCTCTTAGTGGCAAGCTTGAGGAGAGCCTTACTGGATCGACAAGAAAGAAAGGCTTCACCCATATCTTCCTGTAACTGCTCCAGGGTCGTCTCGTCCGCCACAGAACCACCAGCAGGCTTTGCGACCTGCGCATCCGCGTCTCCGCCAGCGTCCAAATCCATATCATCATGCCGATCGTGATTTGTGGCCCTCGGGAATGGTTCTACCTTCATCCTATCTTCATCCTTTTCGGTATCCAGCCTTGGTCGCTTGTCGCGATGCTGATCAGCGTCTTCAGCCATATCAAGTCCGGGAATGCCCGTCACGCTATGCGCAGGCGTCGGTAGTGAGTGGGTTATCTGAGAGGAAGATGGCTGTGAGTGCGAAGCGGCGCTCGTCGGCGAGCGTGGAGACGAGCGACCCGAAACCTCGTCGGTATGCTGGTTATGTCCATAAGGAGGTACATAGCTCTTCGTTGCGACTGACATCAAAGAAGGAGAAATCGGGGATTGCGGGAGGTTGTCAGAGAAGCGACGGCGCTTTAGACCCGAATCAGGCGGAGAAGTTGGCGAAGGTGGGATCGCGGTAGGTCTCGAGGTATAGGACATGAAAGTCGACGCAGCGTGTCCTTCGCAGTGGCGTGCGCACCACTGTCGAGCGCGGCCTTGTCGCCAGCCAAAGTTCTGTTACTTGTGGCGGGTTATTCCCCGTCTGGCTGTCTTGCTCCTTCCAGGGTGGGGCGTCAGTTGATCCTCGATTCGATCGGTCGTGAGGCGGCTTCAGTGAAAGAGCGAAGACGTTGGCGAAGAAAGCACTTTGTGGGCTGGACAAAGGAACTGTTCGCGGCGACAAATGTTGGGTAACAATGGCGAGTGGAAGGATTGTTGGCGATATTGAAAGAGTGAGAGTCTGCTGAGAAAGAGCGCAGCCCAAACCAAATCGAATCGATCAACCTTCAAGCCCGATCAAGTGTCACGTGAGAGACACTGGTCACGTGGTAGTGCTGAAACCGAACGTCATCTCGGAGTGAGTGATCGAACGGCAAGACGATAATCGCCATTGACCATGTGTACATAGTATGAGTTGGGCTCTGAGAGTTGTTCATTTCCAATCTGCAGTCCTTGTTTTGGGACATCAGCCAGTGGGATGGATTACGCGTCAGGAAAGGAGACTAGATAATTATATCAAGGGTTTGATCAGTGATGAGCAACGCTGATAGAAACACTTTACTTTCAGTACAGAATGAACATCTTTCTTGACTGTGAAGAGTATGCATGGATTTCATGACCAAAAACATTGTGGCACGATCTCTGGTCTCCTCTAGCACCCTACCATCCAGGGCCCAGTTCAGGTCGTGCTTGGTCGAAGCTCGATATCATCACTGGCCGGAAATGGTCGACGTCTCCTGGCCATTCAATCCATTGCCGTATCTATTCAACGCCGCAAAAATGCTTTTGAAACCCTGAACGCCGTCTAATGCCGTGGATCTCTGCGGATAATAGAGACCATCTTCTTCTTTCATCTTCGGAACCTCATAACTCGTCACGTCATGCCGTGTGTATTGGTTTACTGGGTCTGGCATTGAGCTTGTTGAGGACCCTCGTCATCCTCCCAGGCGTTATGGGCTTCTTGACCACCAATGTCATCAATATCAGCGATCTCGAACGGAACTTCATCAGTCTCTTCCGCTTCGATGGCTGGAGGCGGTCCGGGGAGCAACTTTCGCAAACCCTCGAGAGCAGCTGGATCAGTGAAATAGCCATCTTCAGGGAATAGCACTTCGACAACCAAGAACAGATCTCCCTTTGCGTCGCTTTTCTTCAATGGCATACCCTCACCAGGGACTTTGAGAACTTCACCCGGTCGAAGGACTTGGCCCGGGAGCTGGGGATGATGCAGCTCGATACCACGGCCATCAAGGTGCTTGATGACGACGCGGTGGAAACCCGTCAAGGCCTCTGCGAGACTGATCTCCAGCTTAGCAGAGAGATCATTTCCGGTACGTTGAAAGGTATCGTGCGGCTGCTCGACGAGATGGAAGATGATGTCTCCCGTCTCTTCAGCACCAGGGACCTGATCGGCTTCCCCTTCCAGTCTGATCTGATCACCTTCTTTCGCACCCCGAGGAATGTAGAGTTCAAGCTGCTTCCTCTCTTCCGTGACTTTCTTGCCCTTGCACTTCTTACATTTGTCCTTTGGATTCCAGACCTCACCCGTCCCTTCACATGCCCCACATTCGACCATACGCTGAGTCAACATGCCGGGTCCAACCTGGCTCAAAATCTGCCTGACACCTTGACCTTTGCAAGAAGAGCATTCCTTGGGCTTAGCCTTGTCCACGCCACCACTGCCACTGCACTTGGAACAAATGACACTTTTCGTGCTGGAAAATTTGACCGTCTTTCCCTTGTACAGATCTTCTAGAGTGACTTCGTATTTCTGATTCTCATCCGGGCTTCGTCGCATCTTCCTGCGGCCCATACCGGGCATACCGCCCATACCGCCCATGCCAGGGATACCGCCGCCCATGCCGAACATGTTTAGGATGTCTTCCATGTTGACCTCCGCACCCGCTCCACCTCCTCCACCATTGAAGGCCGCCATCCCTTGTGCATCGTAAAGATGTCGCTTTTCGTCGTCGTAGAGGATTTCGTAGGCTTGGCTAGCGGCCTTGAAGCGAGCTTCAGCCTCTTCTCGCTCCTCGGGCGGGACTTTGTCAGGATGGTTTGCGAGCGCCTGCTTCCGGTAGGCTTTTCTGATGTCTGCCTGCGAGGCATCTTTGGGGACGCCGAGGATTTCGTAGAGGTCGATATCCTCGGGCGATTGCGGTGCGCCGTTCATCGTTGGATTTGCGAGTTTGCAACGTATTTCCAGGCGTGCGTAGGGCAGGAGAAATTGGTAAGAAAAGTTCGGTGCCGATTTAGTTGGAAAAAATAGAGTATTGTATGGAGTCACTGTCAAGCTGTGTAAGCTGATCTTCACTGCGGAACCAGTTTGCCGCTAGCCAGTTGCTTGAATATTCTCGTGTCTTCGGCCCCTTCTTACCACATTCTTTGCAACCCACCAGAACCACCTTTACGACACATGAGGTCTGGTCGAAACGCTGGACTAGTCCGCGCCACCGGATGGATATGCACGTCATGTCGAACAGGCAGTCCTCAAGCAGCGCATCCCGCGCGAAGGGCAGCCTCAGCCATTCGCAGCCATTCTACAGAGTCTCCTCCCAGACGAGGGAAACTCCCAGATCAACCTGCGCGGACACGATTTGCTCCTTCGCCGACCGGGAACCTCCATCTAGGTTCGATCCGAACGGCGTTGTTCAACTACCTCCTGGCACGAGCGACAAAGGGCCAATTCCTCCTGCGAATCGAAGACACCGATGCGAAGAGGACCATACCTGGTGCGGAGGAGCGGCTGTACAAAGATCTAACATGGGCTGGTCTGCAGTGGGATGAAGGGCCTGTCGTGGGCGGCCCTTACGGACCCTATCGCCAGTCCGAACGACTCCCTTTGTATCAACGGCATATCTCGAACCTGCTCAAAACCGGCCTGGCGTACCGCTGCTTCTGCTCCACGGAACGCCTCGACGACCTCAATCGACGCCGTCATGAGAAAGGCCTGAGTCTGGGCTATGACCGGAAATGCCTCCAACTACCGCCATCCGAAGCTGAAGAAAGAGCCCACCGCGGCGACCAACATGTCGTTCGCTTCCGCTCCCCAGACACATGGCCACGCTACAACGACCTGGTCTACGGCAAGAGCGGACACGGTGCGGAGAAAGCGAAAAAGCTCCTGGTCGACGAGCCCGTCTACGAAGACGCCATCCTCATCAAGTCCGACGGGTACCCAACCTACCACTGGGCCAACGTATGCGACGACCACCACATGCACATCACCCATGTGGTCCGGGGGTCGGAATGGATGGCCTCGACGCCACTGCACGTCGCGTTATACCAGTCCCTCGGCTGGACACCGCCGTTATTCGCGCACGTCCCATTGCTCGTCGACGAGAACAAGCAGAAACTTAGCAAGCGCAACTTTGATTCGGACATTGCCAGTTTCCGCAACAAGGGTATATTCCCGGAAACTTTGGTCAACTTCGCGGCATTGCTAGGCTGGTCGCATACCCAGAAGAACGACGTGCTCGATCTCCCGCAGCTCGAGACCCTGTTTGACCTGAAAATCACAAAGGGCAATACCATTGTCTCGTTCAACAAGCTGGAATACCTGCAAATTCGGCACGCAAGACGTCGGATCCAAGCCAAAGGGCCCGAGTTCGAGCAGATGGTTCGTGACCTGGCCGTCGCAGTGCTCGACAAATATGGCGCAAAGCGCGTCACGGACTTCTTAGGTACCCGGGATCTCCAGGATGTGCTAACGATTACGCTCACCATCGACTCGTTCAAGTACCGTTCACCGACCGATTTCGCCGAACAGCTGTCTATCTTCTTCGACCCCAGTGATTTATCCACGGCTCATGACTCTGACCCTGGCGTTGACATGTCCTTAATGCACTACCTTCGTGTCGCTGCCGCGACAGTGTGTCTGGTCCCCGCGTCGTCATGGAGCGAAGAGGTGCATTTATCTCAACTCAAGGCCGTGGAGATCCCGCCAGACGAACATGTTGATGCGGGGGCATGGAAAAAGGCATTGTATCATTATCTGCGATGGGCGTTGGCGGTCGGGCACAAAGGACCCCCCGTCGCGAAGACGTTGGAGATCCTGGGACGAGAGGCCTCGGTCCAGAGGATCCAAGCAGCAAATCTCATAGCGCGCCAGATGGAAGTGGCAAGTACAAAACCAGAAATCGAGGCGAGTGGGTTCAAAGGCGATGCCGCCGGGAAGAGGAGGATTGAGAAGCAGTGGACGGGACATAGTCTGCCAGTGTAAAAGTAAATGCGTATACCCCTATTTTGCCTGCCCATGCTCATATGAAGTTACGTTCCTGTCGTCTTCTGGCCGAATGAACAAGCTCGAACATCATTTTGGATCGTTGGATAGCCTTCTACACTCTCTGTCAGACATAATCCTGGATCGCGGTCGTTCTCACATTGGCCATCACGTGGCCATGCAATCAAGTTCATTCTTTCTGAACCCTCACAGAACAGTCTCTGCCCGGGAGTAGAGCAGATCCTACGACAGCACAAGGGACCAGCGAGATATCAAGCTTTGAGATCTTCCTTCTCTATCCTCAACAGTTCAACAGCCCACTCACTCCGTGACCTCCCTAACCATCTCCCAATTCCCCTTGAGATCTTCCTTCCATAAAGTAACCTTATTATCCCCACCGCTCACCGCCAGGACATTCCCGCTGAGACTCCAACTAACTCTCCACAGCACGGCGTCAAATTCCAATGTCTTCGCCAACGTCCACGACGCACTGTCCGCCGGATTTGTGCTCGTCCAGATCTTCACCGTCTTATCCTGGCTGGCACTCGCGATGTAACTCTTGCTCAGCAGCGTCGGACTCCACGCTACATCCCTGACCCAGTCCGTGTGCCCGTTTGGCAAGACGACCGTGTTCTCATACTGTTGACTCTGACTTGCGCTGTTGAATTCCCAGATCTTGACCGCATTGTCGCTTCCACCCGTGACGAACCGTCGAACTGGCGCGGATTGTCCACCACCGTCCTTACGTGTGATAGCACCCGGGACGCCGGCGGGCGCCCAGCTCACTGCGTTCACGCCCATCGCGTGCGCAGGGAAAATCACATGGGCCCACTGATTGTCGCGGAATTCGAGAACGGACACATTCCCATCTGAGGAGGCGCAAGCCAGAAGACAGCCGAGTTCAGGAGGAGCCCAAGATACCATGTTCACCGACGCAGTGTGAATGGTAGATGTGAATACCAGCGTCCAGGCGGGCGGGGCGTTGGGCTGTTGGGCGGGTGTTTCGCGGTAGATGTGGACTCTGCCATCGTAGGAGGACGAGGCGAGAAGGGTGCCGAACTTCGGGTGTGCCCAGGCCACACACCATACTGCACCTTCGTGCCTAGGTTGATATTAGCATGTAATGGCTCAGCAATGTCATTTGGAGAGGCCGCAAGCGAGCGGCAGGGTGGCAGTGTGAGATCAGCATATAGGAGAAGCATGGCCATGGATAGCGCAGATGGTTGGCTGATAGAACATACCCTTTCAATGTTTCTGATAACCGGTGCTGGTCACCATCTATTTCGAAGATCTTGATTGTCTTGTCGCTTGAGCATGTTGCTAGTCGCCGGCCGTAGTAGTCTAGGACTGCATCGTGCTGTGCCCGCAATGCTGTCAGTCTCTTGTTTCATCTGCCATGTCCATGCTTTCTCGCTTCGGTGCTTCAGAAACAGTGCTGCGTCGTGTGCACAGGCTGCGATGAAGGGAGGAAGGACGTTACAATCATATCATCATGGCCCGAGTTTGCAATGACTTGCGCCTGTTTCGACGTGTGTCAGCGTCATCTTCTCGTGAATTTCAACTCGACCTGTTGAGCCCTAGGTGACCCATATTCTAGACGCGCTTCTCCAAAGAGAGCCGGGCAGCTGTTGGTGGGCGAAACCAAACATTGACATACCATATTTGTAGATGTCGCCCGAGTCTCCTGCTCAGAAAGCCGCTAGATCCTACAATATAGAAATCGGAGTTGAGAGGATTGGAAGAAGCGCTACCGCATAATTCAGAGGATATCAAGAATTGCAATTGCGCAGGGAAGTGATTGCATGTGTCTTGTGAATTGTGATCTGGCATCAAATTAACTGCACCCCAGGAATTGAGGTCGCGTTCCCGCAATTCAACCGGGATGTACATCTTATCTAATCTTGCAATTCAAGGACGAGACCAGCCTCACGGTAAGGACTATAGAGGCAGGAAGGTATTCCGTAATGGCGGCTTCAATTCAGATTATCAGTACGGAGTAGGGGTTGGAGTATCGATGCCATGGTCTTCTCTCCAGCTGATTGAACCATATTGGCATCTTCACCTCTGTTTTACACCTCTTCCTTTTGATCTTCAATGCAAAGTCGTCATGCCTGGCCCAACCAACGCCTTGCTGTGTACCGGTATTGCCCCTGTAACGCTTCTTAGTAAATCAGCGCCGGGCTATCGTCCAGCCCAGCGCAAGAACCATACCACTGTCCTAAACACCGCGAAATAGGTCCACAGAGCAAGCACCGTGATGTAACGCGGAATCACAAACCCTGCGGCCTTCCATGCCGCTCCAAAATTGGAAACCTATCTTCCCAGCGGAACATCATGCTTGTGCAGTCCTTCGGCCCAGACTGGGAGCTTCTTGTCTCTCTCGAAGATGAGACCACAATTATTGCAAAGCGTCTACACCAGGGTCAGCATTCAACATTCAACAGCTGGAGCAGAACAAGGCTCACCCTTGGCCCTAGCGGTCCGTCTCTGACCGCCCACACGGCATTGCCCCAGATGAGACAATGCTTGCACCTCCACGTCTGTCTTTCATATTCTTGCAACCGGTTGCCTTCTCCTCCCCATGCAGCACTGGCGGAACTTTCGGGAGTTTGCGCTTTGCCAATAGGACTGAGAGATCGAAATCTTCGTTTCTTCTTGCTTCGTTCGCCACGACCAAGTGATGGTGTCTCCTCACCTCCGGTCCCGACGGCAGTATAGTCAAAGTAGCTTCCGCGTAACTGTGCTTCCTGCTCTCGTGCAGACGGGACCATGCCAGCCGTAGAACTGAACCTGGCAGTCTCCCTTCGGAGGCGTCTTAACTGTCGCTCTCGATCACCTTCTCTCTTCTCAATCTCCTCTTTGCTAAGGGCCTCAAACTTGGGTTCCCACTCCGCACCAAAGTCGTCAATGTCGTATCTCCAACCTGCTCCTTCCTCGGCTCGGATGGCTTGATTGTCCACTTCACCACCGCCCCATGCACCTCCCCCAATCATCATCATTCCACCTTCGCAGGCTTCCTTCTTCAGTCGGAGAACTGCTTCATATATGGCATGGGTGATAGCCATGACCCATTCTCCGTTCAGGCCCATATCCGCACATGTCTGCTTCGCGAACGCTTCGGCGGCGCCAGGAGGATGCAATAACGACCATTCGAATTTGTCTTGGTAGAGCCTGGAGGAAAGGTATATTGATAAGGTGATAATACATCGAAAAGAATCATCCGGATTCATATACGGGTCTTCAGTCGAATCGTCTGGTACGATCACCGGATCTGCTGGCAGTGGAGAAGCAATGGCCGTTACAGCGGCGCCATTAGTGAGCGTGGCTGGCCGAGGAGTAGAAGGAGCCGGCGTGGCAGGCGTAGTTGAGGCTGGTCGAGAAATTGATGCACCCCGAGGAGGTCGCGGAGTTCCATCCCGCGAACTTCCATTCACCATCGCCGAGGGTGTTCCAGCATTGTTTACGTCCGGCATCTGTGCCTTCTTTGCCTGAGTGTGGAACAGTGGATGCATTGCAACCCCGGCATAATCTTCTAATTGATTCCGTATCTGCTGGCTGATGTTCATCGCAAGCGCAGTCTGATTTGGTAGGTCAAGTTCTCGCACGAAGTTCAGAGCAAAGTCATCGGGAGTAAGCAGTTCTTCGTGCAGATTCCATAAGAAGATATCTCGAATTTTGTAACCAGGCGCGGGTTCAGGCCGCTTGAAGAGTGGCAGGGCTGGATTGAGGCCCATGTCCATGCCTCGCGGGGGGAATGGATACGGAGCATCCGGCTGGTGCTGGGGTACGTCGAGATCGATTCGTATGGGAATCAGTGTGAGCGGGAGCTGTGCTTGGATATTGGCTTGGGCGTCGGTCCTGTAATTCATAGGATACGGGTCAACAACATTGTCCTTCTTCCTCCTGATGGGGCTGGGTCTGGGCAGGGGCATTTCCTCGACATACGTGGGCCTGACTGTTCTTCTGACTATCCAATCTCTGTAGATGGGCTGCAGAGCCACAGGTTGGTATATTTCCTTTCCCAACTTTTCATGTTGCGGCTCTCTTTTCTCGAGATCTTCGCGGCGTAGCGATCGCAGACCGGTTGGTCGTCTCGAGGTCTCGCTGTCATCGAAGTCATCGTCGTCGTAGGCGTCGTCGGCGTAGTTGATTATCGTGGTTCCTCGCTTTGTCGTGCGACTTCCGGGGCCGACATTCTGAGTTTGGAGGACAGGTTGGAGTAGGGTGTTCGCATATTGACGAAGCCGCGGGGGATAGCTGGTAACAAAGGATTGCGCGGGAGCCATGGTGAGGACGTGCGATGACACTATAACATGACCGACGGTTCAGCGCACTGATAGAGGAGCAATTATTGTTGGACCGCCTCTTGAAGACACGCTTTTCGCTGGTGGTCGCAAATCTGGAGAGACCGCGAAACCGAGAAACCAAGAAACTGTCCTGCGCCTGTCACCCACCAGTCGCGCTTTGCCTTGCCAAGCCCAGCCTCGCGATGCCTGACATAAGCAGAGCTCGTCTACCAGTCAAGCCGGCTACGAGGCTAGTAGTATGTTCACCATCGATCCCCTTATTCTGTATCCGTAGACCGGAGGATTAAGCTTCTTATTCTATGGACAATCAGTCCCGCACAGAGGCAGCCTTCCAAGGTTTAAAGTACGCAGCCGTGGCACTCGCAGCGCTAGCGAGCATGCAAGAGCCTGTAAAGAGGACTACAGCCTTGTATCTGGCGGCGCCATACTCCACGGTATCGACGGAGTCGATCAAGAGATTGGCGCCGATTGGGCCAGCAAAGACGTTTCCAAGTCCCTTGCCGAAGTTGAAAAGGCCGAACGCAGTAAAAGCAGCCGTGGTGTCGCTAGTCACGGTTGTTCCCATTCTTGCCCACATGGCCGTGTATCCGGCCCCGAAGAACCCATAGACGACGGCGAAGATACACAAAAGCACGAAACTTTGCGCCAAACCCCACAATGTCAAGATCGCGGCTGCTGACACCAATGTCGAGGTCAGAGTTAGGACATTGACGGAAAATCGGCGATCGGACAGGTATCCAAAGCTGAACTGCCCGAGGACCTGGAAAACACTCATTATGGCCAACAACAGTGCCCCCATCCTTGAACTCATGCCTAAGGTGGTTGCATAGGATGGTAGATAGAGTGACGGGAAGAAGTATCCCAGGCCTTGCATCAAATTCGAGACCGAATAGATCCAGAATAGCGGCACTCGTAGGAAACCACGATCGGTCCGGGCAACAGCACTTTGCTCTGTTTGCTCTGATATGGGATGCCGTCCCTTGAGCAACGGAATCAAAGGGCCCGTCACCAGTGCTAGTCCCACCGCAACTGCCCGTAATGTCGTGGAGAGTCCGAACCTCTTTAGTGATGTTTCGAGCAGAAACGGGATAACAACGCCGGACACTCCAGATGCACTGCATAGAATGCCGTATGCCATTCCTCGCCGGGCAACCCAGAATTCATTTACCATGCCGATAATCGGGTAGTAGAAGACAGTAAAACCGATACCGTACATCACCCCCTGAGTGAAGATAATGCCGCCCAGTGTTTGTGCAAAAGAGCTGGCTAGGACTCCGACGATACACAATGTCCCTATGTATGATGTCAGTCGAGCTCTCCATAAGGCTTGCCAAAATTGCCTTACATCCCAACCATATCATGTAGGTGCGGTATTTTCTTACGCGTTTAAGTAAAGGAATGATCACAGGGGCACCCATATAGGATATTCCCGATGCAACAGTTCCAATTACCGAGACGTAAGGTTGATTTGCGTATTCAGGAAGTTGCGAATAGTAATTTTGGAAAACTCCAAAGGATAAGGGAAAGCCTGTCCAAGCACACCCTGTGAGTATTTGGATACAGCAATCAAGTCATGCCTGTAGGCATCTGGGACACACGTTGACCCACTTACCCCAGAGTAATGACTCGAAGATGAAGGCCGAGAGAAGCATTCTCCATGCTGCGCGACCTTTATCTACAGGTTCGAGACCTTGACCCGTGCCTTCATGGCTCTCTTCGGGGCCCTCCGCTAGGTGAATATCTTGCTGAGAAGTCCCGTAAGGCAGAGTATCCAAGCGGACACCCTCGTTTGTGGGCAGCTGAGCCATATCTTCATGGGATGAACGCTAAGTTCAGTGGGTTGGTAGAACGTAGCCTTCTTATCCTGGTGGGTTGTACGGTTGTCAGGCCAAAATGGAAGCGGTGGTAGTGCTGTACGCTGTGGGTAGGTCGATGTCTATATAAGAGATGTTGTCGAGGGGTGTGAGGTTGTAAGTGTCGTAGGTGCGATAAGTCATCCACAGACTCGGCATGAGCCGACAACGCCTCGGCTGAACCTGGATTCGGTCGGCTTTCCAGAATGCTGCTCGAGGAAAATTGTTGTAGGCAAGTTCATATGCAAGCGAAACGATGACTTGCATTGTTCCCTTTGTAAGCGTGGCTTACTCGGGAGCTCGAAGCTTGACGGGGCACTGAGCTTTCCCGACGGGACACCACGAGTGGAGGGGGGGTAAATCGGGACATGTGTAAGGCAGGAAACACGGGGCGGTAGAATTTCTCCCCACGGCGCCCCGCGTCGCTGGGTTGTACAAGGAGAAACATACATATATCACGGTGAACGACGACAATTCAAGTTGTCTGGATTGACAATATTATTGACCCAAGATTCCCCCAACCTTGGGAAGAATTAACCAGAAATCATGTCTCGCCACCGGAAGATTGACTGTCATTCTCATTACCTTCCGCCGTCAGTGCTGCACAACCATCGTGTCCAAGTCACCTTTCGCTGACGAGTAAGCAGGGGATATCGGGACGCATGTGCCGAGAATGGCCACAAGAACCCAGATGGGATGCCTGCAATTCCTGTGGGTCGGCGCTTGTGTTTGTGCTTCGTTGTCATGCTAATTTTGCAGGAGTGGAGTGCGGAGTCTCACCTGGAGATGATGAAGGCAGTCAATATCACCAAATCAATCCTCAGCATCAGTTCGCCTGGCACCAACCTTGTGCCGGGCAACAGCGAGTTGACTCGAAAAGTCACGAAATATTGCAACGACTATGCCGCAGATCTGAAGAAGCAGAAGCCAGAGCAATTCGGATTCTTTGCATCTTTGCCATTGACAGACGTCGAATGGTGTTTACAGGAGATCCCACGGGCTTTGGACGAACTCGACGCAGACGGGTTCGTGGTAATGACCAACTTCGGCGGCTCGTATCTTGGTGACAAGGCATTTGACCCGATCTTCGATGAGTTGAACCGGAGAAAGGCAAAGGTGTTCATGCATCCGACCACGCCTTGCTTGAAGACGGGAACAGCAGCAACACCACTGCCGGATTTCCCACGACCGATGTTTGAATTCCTCTTCGACACTGCGCGGGCGGTGATCAATCTCTTTTTGTCGGGCACAGTCAGCCGATGTCCCAATGTCAGCTTCTTGGTGCCTCATGTTGGCGGGACATTTCCACCGCTGATCAACAGGTTCTCAGGTTTTGCTGCGGCTGTCAAGATTCCTGGAGTCGACTCTGCTGTCAATCCTAATTGGGTGAAGGAGAGGCTGAACAAGCAGTTCTACTTCGACACTGCTGGGTGGGCGTTTAGTGAGCAGATGAAAGGTATGTTGGAGTATGTGACTGTGGACAGGATGTTGTATGGGAGTGACTTTCCATTCACGCCATTGTCTCATGTGCAATTCCTTTCGGATCAGCATGACAAGTATCTGCCTGAAGTGTTTCCGAATGAGGAGGATCAGGAGAAGCTGTGCAGTCAGAACGCCTTGAAACTGTTCAGTGGTGGAGATGCACGATTGTGAGGTAAGGAGGATGGCATCGATCATTGGGTCGACGCCTGCCACTGTTCCTGCGGTGGAACAAGGAGTAGCAAGACGTTGATGGAAGATGATACAGCAAACCTGAGGGTAGAATACATACCGTCTCCCCAAGGTACCACCCTTTCCGGACGCCTTGTCCCTCGATAAGGCTCTAAACTTCCGAGTCCTGGGGGGTTATCGTATGGTTCAGCCAATGTCGGAAGAGCGATCAGAAAGACAAATCACGATTATCCTTGCTTCTCAGGCTCGGAAACCTGCCTCCGCATGTCGGTTGCTGTCCCGAACCTATCAAGACTCCCTCTAATCGTCATATCACTATCATTAACAAACGGTTGCATCAAGTCACTGCTCTTGTGCACTGGAGTATTTATTTGTTAGTACTTTCTTGATCAAGCTTGAACAGCTTTTGTTGGGAAAGACTCTCGTATATACCAAATTCGCGTGCGAGAAACTCAACAAGATACCGTCCCTTACTCTGAAGACATCCACAGCCCAGACCCAGCCTCTCAAGCCTTTTCAAATCATCATGTCGGATAAGAATAAGACAACCGAATCCCACTCTTCTCTCTTTGGACTCGCTGGACAAAAGGGCCCTTCCAGCACAGCAGGTTCTGGTGCCGGATCAGGCGTCGTTGGCACGAGTGGTCATACAGCTGCTGCAAACAAAGCCCCCAGTGAACAGACAGTGGCCGGCATGCCACACGGAGGACAAGCCGGAGGGAAGCCTGGATCTGGATCGGAACTCTTCACCCCTAGTCAAGGCTCAGGAAAGATTGGAAAAGATGCTTGAATTGTCGTTGAAGAGCTGATGTATCAACAACTGGAGACATGAGAAGTAAGTAAGAGGAGGGGCCAGAAGACTGATGACTGAATATCTACCTCGGGCGGCCCATGAAAACAAAACATCGATGTAGTATTAGTTTTCCAGAATCCGTGCTGCTGTCAAGATATAACCTACTGTCAGCCATGCATGCCTGAAGTGCAATACTTGTGGATGCGGCCAGGCGGCTTGTGGGCTGTGAGTTTGGATGGCCACTTGACTTCATAGGCGCTTTACCTCTGCTAAGTATTCTAGCGACAAGCCGAACTTCCCTGGTAACTTCCAATCTCAATTCTCCTAACCACGCGTCTACAAGTCAAGATACTGCATATTGTTCGCATCAAGCACATACAAAGTCTTACTGAACCCATGCCAACTGACCTGCGCCGCCCTCTCGTTGCGCCGCTTGACTTGCTCACATCGACACCCTCAACGTCACAACACACGCTTGATCTGGCTGCGCTCCTGCAGCACCCAATCAGTCAACTTGTCACATCGGCCTCTTCATCGACAGTCGCCCACCACGGCGTTGTCAACTTACAACGATCTCGACACCGCTGACGATAAGATATACACTGCTCCTCCGCCTCCTCACTCTCCGCTATCCGCAGCATCGTCCTCGAGTCCTCCTTCTCCCCGACCACCACCCTTCTCTTCCCTCTACTTTCCTTCAGACGCCGAGCTCGACCGTATCAGAGCCACTGTTACCGAGACTGCCTGCGACTCGCTACTAACAAGTGCCCCGGCTCCCTCCTTCGAGGAGGCTCTCGCCGAAGACGAGGTCGAGTGCAAGGCTGAGGCCGAGACAAAGGCTGCGCTCCCCCCAGACACAAAGCCACAGTCTTCCAGAGCAGTCGAAGAAGGAGAGCCTCCGCCACCTTATACCGAAGGCTCAAGTCCTCTAGACTCCTTCAGCTACATCATGGCGGCAGCTGGTGGTGCGGCAAGCATTATCACTCAAGTTCAGCAAACACCTGGTCCGCCCATCAATACATTAGGAGGTAGGATACCGACAACATTTAAAGACGTTGGAGCAAAGCGCTGACAATGGCTCTAGCAGGAGAAGCTGCGGCTGATGAGCACATCACCTTAGATCTGAGGTACGCCTAGTCAGACGTTTGGATCGGCGCACATCAGGCTGACAGCATACAGAGGATCCCGGTTCACTTTATCCAGGGAGGAATTGTTGACCTTGCCTGAATTCGTCTTGCTATCCCTATTCCCCAATGGCCTCCTACCAGACGGTCACATGAACTCGTTTCATGATGGCGATGTCTATCCCGTCGACGTACGTCTTTCATCAAATCCCCATCCCATCGCTGTCCTCAGCAATCCCCATATCTATATCGGAGACATGACTTATTATTCGCAGTATGACCCAGCTTCCCTGCAATATATGTTAAACTTCTTTCGTGACGTGGCACAATCCATACCCTCAACATCACCTTCCCCAACCACGCCTCCAGAAAATGATCCCATCTCAATCGAACCACTCCAAGGCTCTACCAAGGACATGCTTCAAGATCGCGCCGGAATCATTGTCTTGAGAGAAGACCTTGACTTCTATGTTATCCCTCCTCGAGCAGATATTGAAGCGGTGGAAATGACCGAGGTCAAAAGAGCAGCCGGGAGGTCGCTGCTCAAGCAAAATGGCATCTTCTCTGGGCTCAAGCGAAGTGAAGAGGCTGGCACAACGGAGCAACATCTGATAGAAATGTTGACTGCCGGGTAAGTGTCCTGCTTTATGCTATACGGAGAAATACTGACCAACGCAGCGGATTCAACCACGACGACAGTTGGGGACACCGAGCAGGAGAACCGAATAAAGCGGTCATTTGCAGTCTGGCACTTGCTCGGCTACGAACAGATGTCAAAGGTGATGTGGCAGGAAGTAATGCCGTGGGTATGGCTCAAAAGTTGCTGTTGTTTTGGCGGAAACCAGCAAGGAGATGCTGGTGGGAAGGCGTTGAGCTGGATGATGTGGAAGGCGTCGAAACCAGGGTGAAAGTGTGGATTCGAAGAGTATGGACTCTTGAAATGGTAAGACCCTCAACTTGACCTGCTGGTACTTTGCTCACACTCAACCCAGAGCGTAATTGGTTTGCGATGACACAACTATCCACTCTGTTGTCTCTGGCGTTTGATCCAGGCTTGAGGCAAAGCAAGCTTTCGTGATATCCCTGTATCAGGCATTGTCAAGGAGTATTGTGGATAGGGAAATGGCTCTGACTGGAAAGGGCTGCGGAAGGCCATGGATACATAAGGTTCTTGCGACGCGAACAGAAATTGGCGCACAGAGTCTTTGGTGCATGCCGTCTTCATTCATAGCTCGAGTCCAATGATTTGACACAAACAGGAATGCCTCACCAAATTTTGAAGCCTAGTAATATGGATAGCAGGTGGGGGATATTGCTACAAGGCTCTACCTCAGCGCTGCAGAGAAGGACAGTAGAGCGACATTTATTTACCATCAGCCTGGTGGCAGGGTCTAGCCTCTTAGCGGTGGGATGCACGTCTCATGGCATTACTTCACAACGTTCCCGGTTCTCTACTGAAAGGGGAATTTAATAAGCCGTTTAAAAGTCATATAAACTCGCGATCACCTTTCGAACCAGTATTCGCCTTTCTTGTCGACATTCTTCTGTCTTCCCAACGAAGGTCGCCCTACCACGCGCCGAAGCCAAACGAATACCCATCGGCCTCGATGCCACTTTCAGAGATGGAGTCGAGGACAGCTCTAGAGTCTCCTCGTCCAGGCTGCGTGCCTGGGTGTTCGAAAGACGAGGAAGAGCACCTCGAGGTCTGCCACGTGCCTACCTAACTCTGAAAGTGGCAGCCAAATCTGCTCCTGAGTTACTGACGAACCGACTCAAGTATTCGTCGAACCCACTGACACCTGGGGTTCGAAAAGGGCGAGACCGACGTCGACAAAGAGGCTACGGATTGGGCTGGACGCGGGCTCATAGCATCTTCAAGTCTGACTCGGGGCCGGAAGAGCAGTCTTGCTCCGACTCTCACAGAAGGACCTGCCGCTGTTGTATAATGGCTCCCGTCCCTGAGCACTCTCAACCTTTTACGGCATCGGCTTCCGACCATGTGCAAGACTGCGTTCAGAGCTTGTCCATTTGACGAGTTGAGTGTGGTTTGGACACGGGGGCATCTGCCAGAGGCCCAGAAGCCCTCAGCTTCTCGTAGTCCGGCCTCAGAAGCTCAAACCCTTCAGTGACCCGACCGTAAGTTATCCCACCTAGTCTGCTGACTGGACGCAGGACCTATGCGTTGATGTGTTTAGACGGGTATCACCAACATAAAGTGGAAGGGACTCACTGCAGGGTCTATGAGATTTCTCTCCTCATTAATAGCATCTTCTCTGACCCAGAAGTTGACACCTTCTAGAATGGCGAGTGTGCCTGTCTTTTTGCCCGGGGTTGCTCGACTTTCAAACTCCTTGACTTCGACTAGCTTACACTCGGTGGCGAAGATTGACTCCTTGACACGGGCAGGTCGTACGCGAGCACTTGGCGCTGGGTGCAGACCGGTCAAGTCCCATTCCGACACTCCATAGGGCGAGTTGACAGAGGTAGCATTGGCAGCTTCGACGAAGTGCTCAGATATCATGTTGAGAACGCCTGTATTTGTAAGTCTCTCAACACACGATGACAGTAATACCGAGACATGGGACGAGCGGTACTAACATTCGCCGGTGTCAATCAGATTGCCTAGAGTGTCTTTTGCCCTGTCGAGGCCACCTGCGAAGCCAACCGTGAATATTGGAGGATCATGGCAGACCACATTTGTGTACGAAAATGGCGCAAGGTTAGGTGAGGACCCTGCGCGGACATGAGCAGGAAGCCCATTTTGACTCGAGCGGCATTTCAGACATACCGTCCTTTGAAATGGTGCTGATGAAACCAATAGGCCTGGGTGTTATCCCGGATATCAGCAGCTTGTAGTTGTAGACAGGGGGCCTTCCCTCGGCATAAGGATCGATCTCGATATGGCTCTTCTGCAACGAAGCGCCTCCGTCATTGCCTCCCTGACGCCAGGTCCAGTTCGGCTCCCGAGTTTGCGTGAATTGCCACGAGCTGTTTTCGGACCATGCCGGTCGCGAGGACTCTACGGACTTGAAGTCAGGGTGCGGATTGCGCTTGATAGAGGCTTCCTGCTTCGTTCGCTCTTGGTGTGCGACGGCATCGTGAGACCTTTTGCCTTGGCCAGGCTCTTCTGAGGTCATGTCTATAAGCGCCGTGCTGACTATAGTATTGTTCTTGCGATCTCAGCAGTCCTGAATAGATAGATTAATCCAAGCTGTCATCTAATTGGTCACTGAATTGACGAATTTATCCAACTCAAGTCTAACCAAATCAGGGCTAGAAACCACTTTACGCGCGACGCGTCCATTGCGCGTTATCTTTCTTCAACAGGGGTTCGCAATTGCACACATTGAGGATTACTTTACGACTCGGATGCTTCCCTTTCTCTCCCACGCAGCAACAGATTCCCAAGATGTCGAACCTAGTAGATTCGATCCTCAACTCAGACGCCTTTGGCGCGACACCTTCCTCACCGCGGCGCACACAGAATAATATCCCTTCCTCGTCACGGCCGAGACCGGCCCCTTCAGAAAGCAATGGCATGCCCTCAGAAGCAGACATCTTCCCGGATGATGAAATTGTCGGGGTAGCACGCGGCCGCAACAGAAATCCACTCGACCGAAATGTCTCCCAGGTGGCAGATCGTGCAGGAGAAAGAGTGCAACAAGCCTTTGAAGATTTTCTCGAATCACACATTGAAGAGCCGTCCTCCTCGGCATTACCGCCTTCGAGTGAGTTGAAGACAGACAAGTACTATATCAACCAGATTCACGGATTGCGGGAATTCCAGCTGTCTACTCTTTACGTGGACTATCGACACTTATTGTCGTATAAGGAGGGCCCCATTCTCGCAGATGCAATTGCAAGCCAATACTATCGCTTTCTACCGTTCTTGACAAAGGCGCTGCACAATTTGTTGGCGAAGTATGAGCCAATATACTTCAAGGATCACCGACAGATGACGAGCAATGCTTCGCAGGCTGGTGCTTCGATGGCTGGCAATGCAACCAGCGAAGCAAACAGTCAAGGCGAGATGACCCTGAATCAGCAGACCGACAAACTGTTCACATTGGCATTTTACAACCTGCCACTTGTATCTCGAGTCCGGCAATTGAGAACTGATCAAATTGGAAAGTTGCTGTCCATTTCAGGCACAGTCACAAGAACGTCTGAAGTGCGTCCAGAGCTGGCTCTGGGCACCTTCATCTGCGAAGCCTGCAACACAACTGTGCCTAATGTTGAGCAAACCTTTAGATACACCGAGCCAAATGTGTGTCCCAACTTGACCTGTGGCAATAAAGTCGCATGGCGATTGGACATCCGAAACAGCACGTTTGTCGACTGGCAAAGATGTCGCATCCAGGAGAACAGTTCAGAAATCCCCACCGGAAGCATGCCGCGTACAATGGACGTTATTCTTCGAGGAGAACAAGTTGAGCGCACTAAGCCTGGCGAGAAGTGTATATTCAGCGGCACTTTGATCGTGGTGCCAGATGTATCTCAACTTGGAATACCTGGTGTCAGACCGGAAGCCTCCAAGGATAACAGAAACTTCCGAGGTGCCGATGCTGGCGGTGCAGGTGTGACTGGCCTCAAAGCCTTGGGTGTGAGAGACCTGACATACCGCATGGCATTCTTGGCCTGCTTCTCTTGCCCTGACACTACGACTCCTGGTCAAACAGCAAATCAATTAAATGGCCAGTCAACCAATATTCTCAACTCGCTCCATCAGACAGACTTGTTCGATCAATACGACAGCGGCGAGCGAGCTCAAGAAGCCTACCTAGAGACTCTGACACACGAAGAAATCGAGGATCTGAAGTACATGGTCCACTCAGACAAGATTTACAGCAGACTTGTCCAGAGCATCGCACCGATGGTCTACGGCCATGAAATCATCAAGAAAGGTCTTCTTCTCCAGCTCCTTGGAGGCGTATCGAAGAAGACTCCCGAAGGCATGGCTTTGCGAGGTGACATCAACATCTGCATTGTCGGGGACCCGTCGACTTCGAAATCCCAATTCCTCAAGTACATCTCCTCCTTCCAGCCTCGCGCCGTCTACACTTCCGGCAAGGCCTCGAGTGCCGCCGGTCTGACCGCCGCCGTTGTCAAGGACGAAGAAACAGGCGAACACACCATCGAAGCCGGCGCACTAATGCTCTCTGACTCAGGAACCTGCTGCATCGACGAGTTCGACAAGATGGACATATCCGACCAGGTGGCCATCCACGAAGCCATGGAACAGCAAACCATATCCATCGCAAAGGCCGGCATCCACGCCACGCTCAACGCGCGCACGAGTATCCTCGCCGCCGCAAACCCCATCGGAGGCCGGTATAATCGCAAAACCACCCTGCGCGCTAACATCAATATGTCGGCGCCCATCATGTCCAGGTTCGATCTGTTCTTCGTTGTCCTCGACGAGTGCAACGAGAATATCGACCGGCATCTCGCCGAGCATATCGTCAATCTGCACATGCTGAAGGATGACTTTGTGCAGCCGGAGTTCTCGACGGAGCAGTTGCAGCGGTATATTCGGTTCGCGCGGACGTTCAAGCCCAAATTCACGCCCGAGGCGATGAATTTGCTCGTGCAGAAGTACAAGGAACTTCGAGCGAACGACGCAGGCGGATTGGGCAGGAATAGTTACCGCATCACGGTCAGACAATTGGAGTCGCTGATCCGGTTGTCCGAAGCAATCGCCAAAGCCAATTGTGTCGAAGACATCACGGTGCCCATGGTCCTCGAGGCGTTCGACTTGTTGAAACAGTCCATCATCACGGTCGAAAAAGATGACGTGGATGTCGACGATGACGAGGAACCTGCACAGCAAGAATCCCACGGAGATGGTGATAGTCCGATGGCTGAAGGCGAGCACGACCACGAACACGAACACGACGAAGACCAGCGGCAGCGTCGCGCTGACGGCACACCCGCGCCCGGTAGAGTCACCACGAAAATCACGTTCGAAAAGTACCACCAGATCCAGAATCTGTTGGCATCGCATATCCGCGACGAGGAGGATCGGACCGGCGAGGGTCCCGAGCATGATGAATTGTTGGTCTGGTATCTAGAGCAGATCGAGGAGAGCATCTCGAATGAAGACGAGTTGAACGCTGAGCGGTCCTTGGCCAAGAAGGTCCTGAAACGGATGGTCAAGGTATGATCCTCTCTTCCCCCGTCTGCCCGCAAAACTGTCCCAATCCCAAAATCGGGCACTGCAGAACGGTGGCTAATGTGTTTTTGACAGGACAACGTCATCATTCCGATTCGCGGTGAAGGTCTGGTTGACGATGAGCAGAGCCAGGACGCGGCTACTACGAGCTCAAAAGTCTCTTATGCTTTGCATCCCAATTGTGGCATTTTTGATGATGATTGAGCGGTGGCCGAGCCTGGGTTAATTCGTAAATACGAGAGTGTGTTTTGATGAAGAATGATGGGATGCTACAGGCAGGCTTGTGACTGAAGCGTTTTGCATGTTGTGCTCGACGAGGGGAGTCATGGCGTATTTTGAGGTCCATCAAGGTCACGCTCGCATGTGAGGTCCTCCGCAACGCGAGGCGCGAGGCGTCGTGTCTTATGAACAAATCCATGTGTAGGTTATTGGTGCCAGGCGACACAACGCCTTCATGAACAAGTTGCTTTGCCATTGAAAGTGAAGCATCGCATCTCAATCATGTCGTTAAGAGAGTACCTCCAACATCCCGCAAATTTGCGCTGACCCCGTCGCGGATACAATGCAGGCTCCAACGTCGACGCCAGCGCCCTGCCGGACACCGACTATCCCTCTTCTCACCATGGCCAATTTTCCTGGGTCCTGTCCTATGCGAGCTAACCTTCCCCAGCCCAATATGAAATCTTACTCGTACAGCACCAGACACACCACAAAGCGATAGGATTCGAGCTCCCCTCATGAATGCCCATGAATGCCTTGGACGTACTCTTCAGTTGCTTGGCATCCTCACTTCCATAAACCTCTCGTACTCGCCAATGAGCACCTCGAGTTCGACCCAATTCAACAAATTGCGAATATCTTCATCCGTCTTCGGAATAAGTTGTATGATTTCGACCGAGGTCATGGATTTCAAAATCGTCGGACAACATGACAGTGCCTCATCCTTTAAGTCGGTAACAGAGCCCTCCTACGCGCCCTCGCTCTGTCGTTGAGCTCTCTCTGCGAAGAATTCCCGTCTGTACGTTGACAGCGCTCCAGCAACGCTTTCGAACTCTTTGACGTCTTGCGCACGCATGCCTGCGATGACTTGCTTCAGACCCTGCAGGAATTCGTCACGCGTCGGTTTGTCTTTGATGTCGCTTGCCGAACTTAGTTGCACAAGGATTTTGTCGTCTGCCACATCGAATCAGTTAGTACAAAGCCATTGCATACCAAAGGGGTTAAGCAGAAGACAGGGAAGAGCTGAATCAGGGTGTTCCCGTACCTGCAAGACCCAGCTGCCGAAAATGCTGCTCGTCGCAGGCAGAATCTGTGCAAGTCTCGCCCGCGAGTTCGGTTGGGCAAAGCGGACGAGTTGGATCGATGCTGTTGGAGTAGGTCAACGATCGGTACCCACTTTTGACGGCATCGTTGTAGTCTCTGTGAAAGCGAAAGCTCTTCAGAGTAGAAAGCGGCGTCTTGTAAGGAACGAACCGTGTGACTGGAGCTGAGCTGCCGTCAAGGATCGGTATGTCATCTTTCGCGGCGAATCCGTTAGGCAGGACATGTATCTCGACCAATGTGTCCGCCTCAGTGAGTTGTCGACCGGACTCGATGTCGTCTTCCTTGGTTTCTGGCGGGACTTCTGACACAGTCTCTGTGATTGGCGTCGACTCGCCCCCAAACCCCGGAACGGTCTGAACTTCGGCTTGCGCCGACTCTTCTGCAATTCCAGGAGTGGCTTGACGGTCGAGTTCATCGACATGTTCAAAAGGTTCATAGAAATCTTCGTCTTCGTTCTCAACTCCTGTTGTAGTAGGACTTACGTCTGTGACGGGAGCTTCTTCGGGATCGTACTCATCAGAGTCATCAGATGGTTGTAAGTGTTCGGTGACCTCAGCTTCAGCTGGCTCGTAATCTCCTTCCTCCTGCTCTTCATCGGAGTCCGACATGCTGGCGCTACCATCGCTATCGTCGCCCATGTCCATCGGTGTATCTTCTGCGGACGCCTCTCTTGAATCCCCGAAGACGGGCGACGCTTGTTCTGGACTGGGTTCTGGCTCAGGTGAAATTTCCATTTCATCCGTTTGAAACGTGTCTGTTTGGGCAACCCCTTGTGCAAACTCATCCTGGTCTACTTCTTGGAAAGCTTCCTCAGTCACCGCTTGTTCGTCACCTGGGCCTGCAGCTGTTCCTTCAGCAGCAGTCTCGATCGGAGTCGACGTTTCAGCAGGGGCATCTGACGACTGCGGCTGGTTCGTTGCAGTTGTGGGGCCACCTCGATCTTCTCCTACTTTCTCCAGATCAGCTGAGAGGGGGCCTGTAGATGCATCAGTCGCAGTGACAGGCTGTGTTTGGGCAATGGAGCCAGGTGCTTGTTGTTGACCGCTCCCTTGGGTTTCAGCCAGCTTATCGAGCTTGATTTGATTCAGCTCGTCAAAGTACTGCTTTTGTCCCGAACGACCTTCTTGCAGCTGCTTTTCCAGTCGGGCGACTTCGTCTGCGAGCTTTTTCTCAAGGTTGATTGACTGCTCCAATGCTACCCTGCAGGATCCCACGTTCTCTCTGGCTCGTACTAGTTCACCCCGTACTGCTTCAAGACGGACTTCTGTCTTGGAGACCTCCAGGTTTAGATCAGGCAAGCCATCCTGCAGGAGTTGTTGCCGTTGCGCGCGTTGTTTCAGCAGATCAGCTTTCAAAGCCGCGGCGCGTTCTGCAAGTTGCGCAGGTGTCAGCTTGGCGATTGGTCGAGAACCGGTGGCTATTTTGGATAAGGCACCAGCTCCGGTCACACCGGGAGACTGCGAACTCGGAGGGCTGGTCAGTGGATGTTCCGCTCTCGTTATTACAGGCGTGGCGGGGTTCGAAGAAGCAGGGGATTCAATCTGGCTTCGGCCTCGTTTCAGCTTGTTACGCTGTTCGAGTTCAGCAATCTTTCGGCGCATGGCCTCGATCTCTGACTGCTTGCTACGATACAGATCTCCGTTCCCAGCGTCGTTGAGAGAGTGATTTTGCAGCAGGGTGATCTCTGACTGGGCAGTGATTGCTGTCTTATCAGTAGCTGAGGATTGTTGTCCTAGTAAATCGGCAGCATATTGTTCTTGAAGATCTGAAGAGCCTGGTTCTGACTCTGTCACCATAGCATCACTTTGGGCTTCTTCGATGATTTCGCCTTCAGACTGCTCGTCAAGATATTCAGGGGCTGTTGGTGCGCTCTCTTCAACATGTGCTTTCTTGGTCACGGGTTCCGTGCCAGTCGTGGCAGAATCGAGGCCGAATGACCGTTTGAGAGGATTGTTGTCGAGCCCAACCTGCTCTCCGCCTGAAGTGCCGGTCATTTCAATATCTTTCTTCACCCCTGCTTCAGAGCCTGACGACATGAACAGACCTGGAATCAGTCCAGGATGACCAAGTGAGCTTTGTAATTGAGAGATTGACCCAAAAGTTGGTTGGGCTGCACTGGCAGTTTTCGCTTGGGTCTCGCGTCTGAGTTGCTCCATTCTCGCTTTGACCAGTTCTGTCTGAGCCTTGGCTTTGGCTACGTTCTGCGGCTGAGATGCTGTGAATGATTCCTGCTGAACTAGTGGGGAACGGGGTGCTGATGCTGGAGCGCTAGACGTCTCAATGGGTTTCGCAGCTGCCACTGCTGGCGAGCCTGCAGATGGAGTCGAAGGAGTGGGACGACCAGTCTTTGCTGCAAGCAATTGAGCAATTCGGTCCTTGCGCTCTAAGCCGGGACTAGAGGCGGCCTGTTGCTTGGTTGCATCCAGGGGCGCTGGAGAAGGCATGACTTCGTTCTGTGGTAGACTGTCCCCAACGAAATTCGAAATAGACTGCGCCGTTGGCTCGGCCAATGTAGAGTTTGTGTGAAGGGAGGCATCCTCCTTTGCACTAGTCGCCGGCGGCGGTGAAGGCTCTGATGGCTGGCCCTGATCAGCGTCTACCTTGATGCCGAGCTCGGCGTAGAGTTCTCTGAGGACTTGAGGATGTACGCCCTCTCGCACAAGTTCAGCGTAGAGGATTTTGTGAGGTACTAAGGATAAGAGAGCTCCTTTAGCTAGCTGCCGAAGCTCGGGTACTGATTTGTCGTCGTATCTTCGTTCCGCTGGCCCCGCTTGCTGATTCTGGGACTCATAATGAGCAGCCCGAAAGGCGCCCGCTGCTCTATCGCCGATTGTAGCAGGCCTAGTTGGATCATATGCTTGGGATCGAGGTCAGTAAACGTTGAATAGGCCGAACCTTCTCTTCGACTTACGAGACGCATCCCCGGCCTGCTCTGATGGTTGCTCGGCGATGTTAGCAGGCTCGGTCAAGGACAAAGAATTCCCCATGTCGTAGTCCGGAACTTGCGTGGGCTGGTTCTGTAAGTTGGCAAAGAGCAACTCGAGATCTGACCGTGATCCAAAAGAGGGTAGCGCTTGATCTGTCAAGGATGAGCGGCAATGTCATTGATGAGCTTTGGAGAGTACCTTTTTCATTCACGTCTCTGGATGCAGGTCGCGGGGGTTGTGCATTGCCACCTCTATTTATTCCGTAGCTTTGAGAATTTCGCTCGTTCAACGGCCGTTGATCTACCCCACCTCTTGAACCTGACGGGGTTCCCACGAAAGAATCGTGCTGATTAAGCCGCGTTTGTTCAATGAGGTTCACTCCAGAAGCGAACGAGTGGGACGCAGGCAAAGATTGAGGATTGTACGGAGAGGAAATCCCAGGATTCGATGGTGTCGAGAACTGCGGAAACCCAGCGGTACTCGGTATCGGTACGGGAGGAAACGATGGAGGTGGAGGAGGCGGGAGACCAGCGTTGGCAAATTGTTTGAAGAACTCGGCACTGAGCGTAGTAGGAGGGGGTGGAAAGGGAGGAAAGTTAGGCGCAGGCGGACGATTCTGTGAGTTTGAGTCGAATCTCTGAGCAGCTGTCGAAGGTGAGGGTTGGTAAAGCGGAGGTTGTGGATTCTGCTGAGTTAACCCTGGAGGAGTATGACTTGGCTGCTGAAGCCCATTAGGTGGAAAAGGATAGTAGGGTTGGTGAGGAGCGTATGAAGGTGCGCCCGTATATAACGGGGTTGAAGAATATGGGTGCGCCATGAGCGCCGAGAATCTTGACGCGATAGAAAGGGCGATATTGATCAATGAAACACTCTTGCAAGTCGACCGACACGGACCTGATTAGCTGAGTCGCATCGAGGCATCATTAAGCCAGCTCGCGAATCCAGGACGCGCAAATATAGCTCAAAAGGTCTTACTGCTGGGGCGTGTCCATTAAGAGGCTGCTAGTTAGACGGAGCAGTTCCACCTGTCTGGTCTATGAGCCACAGTTTTCTTTCCAGTGAATTGAGCAACAACAAAGTGGTATATGGGCGACAGTTGTCGGAATTACAATGCTGAGAGACACTTTTTTACAAGATGGACGGACTGAAGTGTCGCTTCACTTTCCGATTTCACGCCCAGCATTACGGCGGGCTATATCAGTCCCCTAGCAGCACCAACGGTCGAGTGTAGAGCTACGACAGCACTTCTTTCAACATGGCGTTAGGCCAGAAGTCGCTTAGCGTGTCTCGTTGCCAGAGGAATCGGGTTGTTTTGCTTTTCAGAAGCGTCACTTGCTTGGATGGAGGCACAGGCAGACCATAACCCAATCCATTGTGCACAGTCCCCAAACTTGGAAGCCAACACCAAGCTTGTATAGCCGTTGTGCACTGACGCTCACCGTCTGTTTTGGCCGCCTTCATATGGTGACAGGTCTTGTCATCCTGCAGCAAGATGCTGCTTCATGATCGCAGTCCAGACACTTCCCCATTCAATGGACATTCTCAGAGTCACCATTCCTTCAGCAGGTCATACAACTCAGACATGTCCCTAGCGACCCCCATGTCCCCTGCAAGTATGTCGAGATCGCTGCACTTCGCGTCGCCGGTTCCCGTTTCAAGGCACGACCGACAACAATCCTACTCCCCTACGACCTCCTTCTCCTCGATACCTCACCATGTACGAACACAGTCCTTACAGCGGCAGTCCAGTACCTCGAGTACGTTCGCACCCAAGTTCATAAAGTCGGAAGAGATGCGCAAGAGTGAAGACAGAATCTCTGCCATAGAGGGCGAGAATGACTTCTCGGGCAAGAAATATGTTTGGGTCAAGGACCCGGAGAAAGCGTTCGTGAGGGGCTGGATAACAGAAGACCTCCCCGACAACAAAGTGTTGGTGCAATTTGACAACGGCTCACATGTCGAAACCGACATCGACGAGGTGGATAAGGTCAACCCTGCCAAATTCGACAAGGCCGACGACATGGCAGAACTTACTCATCTCAATGAAGCCTCAGTCATCCACAACCTTCAGACGCGCTACCAGGCCGACTTGATCTACACGTACTCTGGTCTCTTCCTAGTCACCATCAATCCCTACTGTCCCTTGCCGATCTACGGAAACGACTATGTGAGGATGTACAAAGGCCAGACGCGAGAGGACACACGTCCTCACATCTTTGCCGTTTCCGACGCTGCTTTTCGACGACTGGTGGAAGAAGGAGAGAACCAAAGTATTTTGGTGACGGGTGAATCTGGTGCAGGCAAGACCGAAAACACAAAGAAAGTTATACAGTATCTTGCAGCCGTCGCGACCTCCGACCTTGACACGCCGCTGACTGGCAGGACGCCTGGAAAGCAGCTTTCAAATCTCTCCCAACAAATCCTCCGCGCAAACCCCATCCTCGAATCCTTTGGGAATGCCCAGACTGTTCGGAACAACAACTCCTCGAGGTTTGGCAAATTCATTCGCATACAATTCACCAGGTCAGGTCAAATCGCAGGCGCATTCATCGACTGGTATCTGCTCGAAAAATCGAGAGTTGTGAAGGTCAGCCAACAAGAACGGAGTTATCACATATTCTACCAGCTTCTGGCAGGAGCAGACCAGCGGACGAGAGATGCTCTGCTGATTTCCGGCATGGATGTGGAAAACTTTGCATACATTCGAGCTGGAAATGACACCATTAGCGGCGTGTCTGACCGGGATGAGTGGAATACGTTGATTGAGGCGTTCCATATCATGAACGTGTCAGAAAAGGAGCAGATGGCTATTTTCAGGACAATTGCAGCAATATTACACCTGGGAAATGTGGCAGTGCGACAGGAAAGTAGGGCTGCTGATCAGGCTTCTCTTACTCCAGAGGCCAAAGCATCTGTGGACAAGGCTTGTCGACTTCTGGGCGTGCAGACAGAGCCTTTCATCAAGGGACTTCTTCATCCGAAAGTCAAGGCCGGGAGAGAATGGGTTGAGAAAGTACAAACCCCCGAACAGGTGCGGCTGGCGCTTGACGCTCTTGCCAAGGGCATTTACGAACGAGGCTTTGGCGATTTGGTAAACAAGATCAATACTCAACTCGACCGAAGCGGCGTCAGCAGCGATGACAGTCACTTTATCGGAGTACTTGATATTGCCGGGTTCGAAATCTTCGAGAACAATAGCTTCGAACAACTTTGCATCAACTACACGAACGAGAAACTGCAACAATTCTTCAACCACTACATGTTTGTCCTGGAACAAGAAGAATATGCTCGAGAACAGATTGAGTGGCAATTCATCGATTTTGGAAAGGATCTTCAGCCGACCATCGACCTCATTGAGCTGCCAAATCCAATCGGTATCTTCTCTTGTCTGGATGAGGACTCAGTGATGCCTAAGGCGACGGATAAATCATTCACAGACAAGCTACACTCGTTATGGGAAAAGAAGACCCCCAAATATGCGTCGGCGAAGACCAGGCAGGGCTTTATCCTGACCCACTACGCGGCAGAAGTCGAATATTCTACTGAAGGCTGGCTGGAGAAGAACAAAGACCCTCTCAATGACAATCTCACACGACTACTTGCCTGCTCAAAAGATGGCCACATTGCGAATCTCTTTAGCGACTGTGTCGATGAGGTCGATGAGCCCTACAGCCCACGGAGCCGGGTTAAGAAGGGCCTTTTCCGAACTGTCGCTCAGAGACACAAGGAGCAGTTGAGCAGTCTGATGAGACAGCTGCACTCAACACAACCACACTTTGTTCGGTGCATCTTGCCGAATCACAAGAAGAAGCCTAAACAGTTCAATGCTCCTCTCGTTCTGGATCAATTGCGCTGCAATGGTGTACTGGAAGGCATTCGAATCGCACGGACAGGTTTTCCCAACAGACTTACCTTTGCCGAATTCAGGTCGAGATACGAAGTTCTCTGTGAGAACATGCCCAAAGGATACCTTGGAGGCCAAGAAGCTGCTAAGATCATGCTTGATCGACTGAAGATGGATCATCAAAACTATAGAGTAGGTTTGACGAAGGTGTTCTTCAGAGCAGGTGTCCTCGCCGACCTGGAAGAGCAGCGAGATCGCCTCATCCGCGACATCATGTCCAACTTTCAGTCTGTGGCTCGTGGCTTCATGCAGCGTCGCGTGGCTTTTAAACAACTTTATCGTGCTGAAGCTACACGTGTTATCCAGCGAAATCTCAACGTTTACCTCGACCTACAAGCCAACCCGTGGTGGCGCCTGTTTGTCCGGATGAAGCCCTTGCTTGGAGCGACGCGAACTGCAAGCGAAGTCAAGAAGCGGGATGAGAAGATTGAGCAACTTCAGACCAAGATGCGAAATGAAGCAGCTGAACGCCATCGTGTAGAAGACGAGCGAAGACGCGCTGAAATCGACGTCCAGCGCATCCAGCAGACTCTTGAAGCTGAACGTGCCTTGGCTCTCGACAAAGAAGAAATCTTCAAACGTCTGCAGTACCGGGAGAACGAGCTGACGGAGAAACTGTCCGAAGCTATTGCCGAGCAAGAGACTCTGGAAGACCAACTCGACGCTGCGCTCGACTCGAAGAAGAAAACCGATGAAGAACTCACCACGCGCCGCGAACAAGTCCTCCAAGCCGGACAGATCATAACACGACTAGAAGCCGAGAAGAAAGAGATGCAGCGCCAAATCGAGCGGCTTGAGGAAGAGCTCGAAAACGTCGAGAAGCACCACTCTTCGACGGACAACCGGCTCGAGAACATCAGCCAGGAACTGCGCACACTAAAAAGTCAACTTGGCGTCAAGGACAGAAAGATTGCGGATCTCGAGTCGTGCCTGCACCAAGCCGAGCGGGAGAAGGACGGTAAAGCTGCCGGTCTCGAGCAAGAACTGCGGTCCTTGCGGAGCCAGATCTCGCAGCGCGACAGAACGACTGAAGACCTGGAAAAGAAACTCGCGCGCGCCGAGAGCCTCCGCGTCGAAGACAACAAGCGCAAGACCGAGGATTATGAAGGCCAGATCCGAGCGTTGAAGAGCGACGTGTCACTCAAGGAGCGCAAGTTACATGATCTCGAAGACAAGCTGTCCAAGATCGACAAGGACGCCGAAGCGAAACTTGCCATTGCAAACGACGAGCTTGCAACGACCAAGAAACTCCTGCGCGAATTGCAGGGCCAGAACGACGAGTTGCGCAAGCAAGTCACATCCATGACCGCGGCGAGCTCGAAGCACGAAGAGGCGCTGCGGCGGAAAGAGGGTGAACTCTCGGCTCTGATGGCGGATATGCAGGCCCACGAGGCCGAGAAGGCGGCCCTGCGGCGAGAGGTCGACGGGCTGGCAGGGCGGCATGATAGCATGCAGGCCAAGCATCGCGAGTTGCAGGGTGATGTGGAAGCCATGAGGGCGCAGAGACTGAGGATGGAGAAGGAGGCTGTGGAGGTCAGGAAGGCTCTTGAGCGTGCCATGCCGTTCTTTTCGCAGAATTTTTCGTGAGCTGATACTTTGACTTTGTCATTGCGAAAAAGACGTTTAATGAAGCCCCCCTGATGAGCATGCATTGGTTTGCATTGGATTGGATTTGCTGGCGTGTTTGGAGTCTCGCATGACTTCCAAGTTATGCGTTATCTTATCGTATCGGTGGCATCCGCGAGCCTACGAGGCTTTTTCGTCTGGTGTACATAGTCCCAAGGTTAGCGAAGCGTCAATGTGTACATGAGTAATCAATACCCAAGATGAGGCTCACGCCGTGGGCCATATGTGGCAGGCGCTGGATCCGACCTCGCGATACGAGGCAGCTACATTAGAGGACTCGAAGACCACACCAGACTTAATTCTGGTCACGCAGGGATGAGCCCTGCTTTCTTCGTCATCTAACTAGATTACAGACTTTGGGATCCCCAGTAGCCAATATCAGTGCACTGGAATGCAGCCTGTTTCCGAGGTAAAATTAAATATTGGATGTTCATGGAATGGAGATTATGATATACAGAAATCGAAGTGTCAATAACCCCTTGGATGCAAACCCTACAAGCTTGACACTGTTCATGTCCTTTCCGTCCGTTTCCATTTCTTCCCAATGTCTATACAAACACAGCTTTCGGCAAGAAATCTAAGCCGAAGCCTGGTATCGTCGTACTCACACAGCAGACCCTTGAAGGCAAGGGCTTGTCCTCGATCCCAGCCCACAGACACCACGAAATACCACCCTCTTCATGAAGATCCCTATGATGTACATGACGTCGCCAGGTCAAGATAATAGCCATGGCCCAGAGTGGGATCTAATGGCCACCATAGCCACTCGACCGGGGTTAATGTGTGGCGCTTCCGCTTCTCATGCCGAACTCTCCTATGTGCGCACGCCATCCTGAGCGACTGACGAGCGGCGGTTCGACAACTTGGCATCGGCGAATCCCTCTTCGCCAATCCACTCACGCCGGCATCATCTCTGGCACAGGGTACTTATCGACGCGCTCCTGAATGTCCTACTGCGGAGCGGGTTCGTCGGGCTCATTCCGTGGCGCCCTGCTCGCCGAACTGAACGAGTAATCAACTCTCAGTTTTCGACCATAGATCTCCTTCTCTGCCAACAACTTCATTGCGTCCATAGCGCTCTTGACATCGATAAAGTCAGCGTGCGCAAAGCCTCTTGGTTGACCGGTGCGACGATCAATAGCAACACGGACATCAATGACATTTCTGATGCCACGGAAGAGGTTGCTAAGATCTCGGTCAGTCATTTCAAAGGACATATTGCCGATGAAGAGAGTTCTTGAAGGAGGGTTCCTCGGTTGATGTTGTTGTTGGCGGCTGTGACGACTTTCGGGATCTGCTGGAGATGAATTGCGGGCAGCGTATTGGACTGTGATGCGACGACCTTCGAACAACTGCATGTTGAGACGTTCCATTGCGGTATCTGCAGCTTCTTGCGAGGAGTAATCAATGTAAGCAAAACTAAGCAAGACCAGGTCAGCATGTAGAACAATAGCCCAGGCTCTGAAGAACTAACCCTTTGCTCAAGCCCCGAGAGTCGCGAACAATCTTGCACTTCGTGACACTTCCGAAGCGTGCGAATTCCTTCACAAGATCGGTCTCAGTAACATCAAAGAACAGGTTTCCGATGTAGAGGGTCCTCTTTCGATCAAATAAGTGATCGGCTGTCGTTCTTGAGGCGCCAGTATTCATGGTATAGCCCGGCGAGTCCGTCTCTGCGGCGAACCGTTCGTTGGTCTCCGCAGCCGGAAGGGCCTCCTCGGTGGCTTCTGTGGCATTTGCAGGCTCCGCGATGGGAGGAGCATTGTCGCTTGGAGCAAGGTTGGCTTCTGCAGCTTCGGTGGTATTTTCAACTTCTTCCACAGATGATGCCTCCTTGGAAATAGCGGGCTTCTCGCTTTCTGTTGTCGCCCATCTCCGTTGAGATTGGAAGGCTGGGATCGTTCTGCTGGATCTCAGGGGAGAAGTTGTAAGGGAAGAGTATGTTCGAGAAGCAGAAACGAATGCGGTGGGCCGGGAAGAGAGCAGCCGCGATGCGCAGCGACGGAATGCAAACCTGGTGAACTCGTCAGAACCTCGATGAAATGTCCAGATACAGTAGTCTAACTCACATTTTGATACAAAGGCGACAGAAGAAGCTTCACAAGATGAAAAGGACGAAGAAGGTGGTGGGTGAAGAGGAGCGGCTGGTGAAAGACAACGAGAGAATCTGCACCGAATCTCAATCTCAATCGCAGGATTGTCACTTTTTTTAAGCTTGGATCAATCGGGACTAGTTTCTTGGCTGGATAATTCAGCCTTGCATCTTCAGCCTCGTCAGCCTTGGGTCTGCCAGATTGATTGTTTACGGAGATGTCGATTGTTGTAACATCTCCTTTGTGCTACCCGTATCGAATTCTTCGCAATCAATACACATATCTGAAGTGCAAGTTCTCCTTGTCCGTCAAGTCGTCGAATGCAACTCTCTCTGCCTCCTTTTTCTCCAGATTGAGCCGATTCCTTCTTCGATTTTCGGTCATCAACATGACATACAGCACAATAGCCAGGACAATCACCAAGGCATAACAACCGATAATACCTTCCCACAACCTTGGATAATGTTGACCGACAGTTTCGCTCTTGATCCAAAAGGGTCCAGAGATATTTCCAACAGTGTAGAAGACAAAGATAGCTGCAGCCATGAAGGACTTCTTCGTGTTGCCTGCCACATTCGACATGCCCATCGATACTATCAAGCTCGTCACTGGAGCGAAGAAACCGATGATCGTATATCCGGCGATCGGAGTAGCTGCGTGCTCGTACCAGGTGCTTTTCCAGATCATTGCACATCCTGCGATGACGGGCAAACAACAGGCGATTAGCATGATCAAACGGAGGTTGGACACCTTGAGACTGAGATATCCCACAAGCAGAATCCCAACGAGACAGACTCCGCCTAGTGGCATCTGCCAGAGCAATGAGTCGTAAGCTGACCAGCCAAACGTAGACACAATGAGTGGGCCGAACCCTGACACCGCGCCATTCACCGTGTAAGCCTATTTGTATCATTAGCACACACAAAAGCTGTATCAGGTACGACGGGAGCCTGAAAAGCTCTTGCACATGTAAGGTCAGGGGAAGACTTACGGCGCCCATCATAATCGCAATCATCCAGACCTTCGCATCGAGGCAAGCCTCTCTGAACTGCGACCACTTGATCTTCTGACAACGTACACCGGTCTGACTCATGCGAAGCCGCTCAACGGCGACACGTTTTTCTTCTTCTGTAAACCACCATGCCTGCGCAGGCGAGTTTGGAAAGAAGAGGAACAGTGCTCCGTACACGACCGTCAGTGCTCCAGCCATCAGATACAGGTATTGCCACTTCTTGAGATCACCGCCAGTGATATGCGCAAAGCCATAATTGATAAGTGCTCCGAGAATTGTCCATCCGCCCGTTGCGGAGTACCAAATGCATTGCCGCCAGGTCTGCTCGGCCTGCGTATAATAGCCGCTTACGATGATCATAAACGCGGTAGGCATGATACTTTCCGCAAAACCCAAGAAGAATCTCTGGGCCCACAGGCCTTTGTAGTCGTGCACGCCTGCTGTGGACATCGCGATCGCGCCCCATGCTATCACGGCAAGGCCTATCGTGCGACCGAGGTGAAACCTCTGGAAGAGGTATGTCAGCGGGACGACGCCGGCAAGCATACCGAAGTAGAACAGAGACGTCGCCCAGCTCAGACGGGTCGTCGAGACTTTCGGTGGAGTAGTGGTGGGATCAGTGACGACTTTCAACTTCAGGTCCGTGGACATCCCAAAGACAGTCGCACCTCCAAGAATGGCCTTCATCACAGATCTGTCAGCAGGCTTGAACTCCCAATGACCCACTACGTTGGCCAACGAGTCCACGCAATGGACGCCGCAGAAGTCCCAGCAGGACTTCCCCTGTCGACATTCTGGACAGCATATGACGAGAGACTTACTTTGTCATAATAGACCAGACCGTATCCGAACCACATGAAAGGTATGATGATGAGGTCGATTTTGCGGACGAGTCGCCTCTCAACCTGCTTGTCCCAGGGTTGAGCGAACTCCGGCACCACCGAAGCAGCAATGTCCTTCTCGCCTGGATGCAAATATCAGTCTAGTCTTATCGAGCTTCTGGTGATAACCCTACCTGGCCTGCCCATGGTTTTCAGGCTTGTGCTATTTTCGAGAGCCTCTTCCTTGTATGCCCGCCTAAAGAGTGAACCTAGTCCACGAAAGCCCCAGTCGTCAGCCAGTGATAGATGGATCTCAAGTCTCAGGACGGATATTAATGCAAAACGGAGGCAAGCGTCAACAGCAAGAATAAAAAAACTTGAGCAAAGATAACAGCTCAAAGCATGGCTAGCGCCCAAGCTCAGACCCCCACACGTACGGAGTACAACTCTCATGGGTAATTTCAACCCTCATCGTGCATCGTAAAAGTGCATGATAATAGGTAGTACAATGGGTTGACGGCAATTTTCTTCACCTGCTCTAACCCCAAGTAGCCGTTGGAGGTGGAGAAAAAGTCTGGGTAAAGATGGTGCCATCTTCCTCGTCAGTACGGGTCTGGAACGTCCATCAGGACCAATGAGCAAACACTCTTTTCTGCAGAGCATTGTCAATCCCACGCGTGGCAGGGTTTTGGGCCAGAAGCGGCAATGTATGATGGACAGTTGGTCAACTCATTATTGTATGCACAAGCGCTGAGCAGGTCAGAATGAGTCAAAATCTGTAGTCGCCATAAGTCCGAGCATGCGCCCCTGGAATTTTCTTCCGACCTCTTGCCACTTTACCTGGACCCCTGCCACGAGAACTGGCCAGGGCGTCGCCATGCCTAAACCCTCCTCTCCATGAACCTCTGGTATCGATACTCGCTCCCCAAGACCGGCAGCCCAAGAGACGAGCTCAGCAATCATAGGACCAAAATCTGTGACCAGACGTTCTTCTGCCGTTGAGCCGGCTTCCATATTCAACTCGAGTAGCGTTAGGAGCAAGTGCAAGATCGCAGGGAGAATAATCGGATCGTGCGCAAGAGTAGGGATGGCGTGTATCGCTAGGAGCAGCAGAAGGCTTTCGCGTGTTACAGTCGCCATCTGAAACGCATTCGGCCCCAAGGTGGAAACGAGAACGATGAGCGTCTGGATGCTTAGCTTTACTAATGAAGCGTGCAAAAGTGTCGAATTGACGAGGTAAGGGGAGCTGGCTTGCGAGGATAGAAGTAGAGTCAATCTTGAACAGAGTGGCAGGTATATTGACTCCGACAGTAGTTTGTGCAAATCTTTGGGAACGCGCTTGGAGCGAGCTTCGGATTTCGCGGCTTCTTTCGCTGCCACAGCCATGCGCGATGAGAACGTTCGAACTTTGAGGATGTCCGGCCCAGACAGCTTGTCGGCGGCCGAGAGAGCCATTGGCTGAAGAGTGCGGTGGGACAGCGTCGTCGAGATCGTATTTACGGGCGATTGCTCTGAAGCGTAGATGGACTCCAGGTGAGGAGGGAGGCGGCTTGAGGGGAACTGTGTTGCCGCCTTTCCGAGGCCATCGTCAATCCCAGCTATTTCTCTGGCACCCAAGGCCAACAGGGTCAACAGTGCAGCCCGTTGAGACAGAGAAAGGTCCGTTTCGAAATACACACTGGCAGTCCAGGGACCCATGACACTGGGTTTCGAGACAAACAATGCGATCAATGCATCCAATCGCAGCTGTTGAAACTCTTGCTGTGACATTCCTTCTTGCAAATTCAGGAGAGATGATGCTAAAGGCAGAAGGTTTGAGGCCAATTCGTCACCAAATCCAGCCTTTCGTCTTATCAGTGACGGTGCAGTCTCCAGGGCGAGTTTAACTGTTGATGGATCATCTGTGACGTTGAGCAGCTTTATGAGAGAAGTGATGTAGACCGGTACAGTTGGTTTGTTTCGGTTTATGAGAGTAGGGTCATCCTCAGAATCAAAAGAATCACTGTCGGGACGCGCATATGGACGTAACTCGGGATCGTCTTCATCATTGGAGGAATTTTCCGATGCCGAGAGCTCCTCGATGGCGATGAGCTTTGCACTGTGAGACGGAGGAGTGGCTGACACCGGTCGCCTACGAGCTGACTTTGAGGGTCTTTGTGTCGCCGGCCGCGGCTGGATCGCCATCGTTTTTGCCAGATCGTCCAAAGATCCGACTTTGTCCTGGACAGTGGGCAGATCGAGCCATTGTTGGGCTTCTTCTCCCTCCATTTCTTCTATCGCAAAATTGATGGTCTGGCCGGGCTTGTCGACCAGCCTAGACATGGCAGACGCAACTACCATTCCAAGAAATCGGGCACGTGGCACAGATGCGGAAAGCCTGCTGGAGACCATCCGGATAAAGGGACTTGAACTTGATATTTGCTTGATTGATTCATGGCTCAAGCGATCGAGGTGACCGATGGCTAGGAGTATAGTTTGAGCGATTGCTACAGTTCAGCGACACAAGTAAGCACAGGTTCTGCAGTAGCGCAAAGAAAACGCGGAATTGCACACTAATCGGACGTACCCTCCTGTTGCAGGATCGGATCATGCTGCATCTGCAGCTTGTTCCCAAAGGCTTCCAAACTCTTCTCAAGGGTGACTTGTAGCTTGTCTAGAAGATGGATTAGGTTGCCGTTCAGTAGGTGAGAGCTATATCGTACCTTGATCTGACGACAGAGTGGCTGTGACAGCTCTTCGAACGCCAAGTCCAAGCCCGGCGTATTCCCCATTCGTACTCGTTAACCAGTGAGTAAGGTGAGCTTGCAGAACTTTGTTGCTCTGTACTAGGCCTCTGACCATGGCTGCCACGCCACCAACGGCGGGAACGCTCAACGACAAGGTCTCTCGGTCCTCAACGTCGAGGTTGTTGTGGAGAAATCTTCGTGCCAGGTCACGGAGTATTGTGTCGAAAACCGCGCTCTGATCATAAGAGGGTAGACTCTGAAGTAGCACGTGCATTACAGTCCACAGTGCGTGCTCACCCAGAAGCAGTGATGTATAAAGCTCGGTTACCAAAGCATCTGGATCCAGTCAGTATAATCCCCTGGCCACATGCGCTGCTTGCCGTACCACGATACCCCAGGCTCAAGCCGCGTTTCAATACCTGTGAAAGCATATTGATTTGAGAACTCTCCGGACCTCCTCCTGAAGATGAGATGATGGCAGCAGTTGATAGATTTCTCGCAAGCCATCTCGAATACTCTGATCCGTCGCCAAGCCATAATGGTATAGCTTCCTTGTCATCAGACTGTTGGATGCTTGTCAACGCTTGAGCCATGGTTGAAAGGACTTTGCTGCCTGCCAAAAGAGATAGCACTTCTTGCCAATACACGCGTCGCTGTATGTCACTGTTGAATAGCTTGTTGGTGTCAGCGAGAAAATACTTGAGTGTCTCGTTCCCAGTGAGGAGTAATGAGACAACAGAGATCGCATCTTTGAGCAGATGATCTGTTTTGTCCGAATTCGTGACCGACAGTTGCCTGATTTGCATCAACAGCGCACCAATCCCTGCCACACTCTTCAAACAGCCAAGCAGCAATTTCTTGACTTGCATTTCCTGTTTCGATAGCTTATGGACCTTCAAGTGCAGCCATTGGTCTGGGATGGTGACAGTGACAAGAATGTTGATGATCTGCGAAGCCTTTGGGCTGGGTAGCCGCACGTTAAAATCATGTTTGCCTTCAGTGCCATACTGAAGGTATTGCAGCACTGCAATCAAGGCTTCGTTGTCAGGCTGGCTTTTGAGTATCTCGCGAGCATCGTCCGGCAACGACGCTGGAGAACTCTGTTCCAGATAAGACTTTTGAAGGAATGCTGTGGAATCAAGTCGCTTGTGCTCTTTATGGCTCGATTGAACCGAGACTGAAGTATGAGACGAATCGACCGAGGGACGAAGACTGAATTGATCACTTGCTGGGTCACTATCTACCGGGCTCAGGTCAAGGATGGAGACTTTGGATTTGGAGCTAGCCGGCCTCGACGAAGATGTGTCTTTCAGTGATAGATTCTCGAATCTGTTGATATTGTTCTGGACCTTGCGGGTGGTCTTGACGGGTTTTATGAGCCCTTCCATGATGACCGGTGCATGTTGAGCGTTATCTTCAAAGAAATAATGAAATGGTAAATCTTGAAATAGTCGAACGAAGTGAATTCATTCGTACCTACCACAAGTGAAGAAGGTTCCGAGCCTCGCCTTCCGCCAAGGATGAATTCATGCTCACGTGACTCAGTACACGTGACACAAAAATGCCAAGTCATCAGAGTCTGGGGAAACATCTTCTTAGTCATCACGCTCTCCAAATTCATTGACAGGTAATCACTCCCACCTGAGTGCCCGTCTACCTAAGGTAGGTAGTTACGTTGGTTCTTGGTTGACGACGCCGCCGTTGATTCACAAGACGCGAAAGCTGCCGCGCTATCGGCTGCCTGACTCCAAAAGTTACCCTGATGCTGAAGTCTTGCCGGTGACGACCCACTCAGCCAAAGGCAAGATACTTCTGCCTTTCAGCACTGACCCTCTCTCTCTCTCTCTCCCAGATCAGCACCGACAGCAGAAAGCAATTTCCATTATGTCTATACCCATATCATCACTTCTGACCAATGGTTCAGCCACTATTCCTCGCGACCGATGGTAAGCAGCCGACTACCTGCTTTCATTCAGGTAGCTAACACCACCCAAGGACATACCTCGACAATGTGTTATCAACAACCTCACCTTACGCTGGCGAAGAATTTGTCCCGGGGGACGAGACCATCAACGCCCTTGAGTCCTCACGCGTCCTGGTCATCGGCGCCGGCGGCTTAGGGTGTGAAATTCTCAAGAATCTGGCGCTCTCGGGCTTTAAGGACATCCACGTCATCGACATGGACACGATCGACGTCTCAAATCTAAACCGACAATTTCTCTTCCGCCAATCCGACGTAGGCAAATCCAAAGCCGAAGTCGCCGCATCCTTCGTCGAGCGGCGTGTCCCGGGCGTCAAAATCACCCCTTACAACGGCAAGATCCAGGACAAAGATGAGGACTACTACATGCAGTTCAAGCTCGTGATCTGCGGGCTCGACAGCATCGAGGCGCGCCGCTGGATCAACGCCACGCTCGTCGACATGGTCGACATGGACAACCCTGAGTCCCTGAAGCCCCTGATCGACGGTGGCACAGAAGGCTTCAAGGGTCAGGCGCGTGTAATACTACCAAGTCTCACATCGTGCATTGAATGCCAGTTGTCAATGCATGCCCCACGGGCCGCAGTGCCGCTATGCACGCTCGCTACGATTCCGCGCCAACCGCAGCACTGCATCGAGTGGGCGCACATCATTGCGTGGGAAGAGCAGCGCAAGGACGAGACGCTTGACACAGACGACCCGGAGCATATCTCCTGGCTGTACCAGACAGCTTTGGCGCGTGCAAAGGAATTCAATATCTCCGGCGTAACGTACAGCATGACACAAGGCGTAGTGAAAAATATCATTCCGGCAATTGCATCGACGAATGCCATTATCGCGGCGGCGTGCTGCAACGAAGCGCTCAAAATCACAACGTCGTGTGCGCCGTTCCTCGAGAATTATATGATGTACACAGGCGACTCGAATGATTCGGGATTATACACCTACACGTTTGCCGCGGAGAAGAAGGATGATTGTCCCGTGTGCGGGAATCTTGCGCAGAATATGGTCATTGACGCAGATATCACGCTTGAAGAGTTCCTGGCCAGTCTGGCGGAGCGGGCGGAGGCCCAATTGAAGAAGCCGAGTATCAGGACCGAAGCGAAGACGTTGTACGTGCAGGCGCCGAAGAGTCTAGAGGAGCAGACGCGGCCGAATCTAGGCAAGAAGATGAAGGAGCTGATCAGTGATGGTGAGGAGGTGGGTGTCTCGGACCTCGCGTTCCAGATCTCGTTCAAATTCAGACTGGCGTTTAAGAAGTGAGTATCTGTGTCTCGAACGTAGAGACTGATAGTGCCGCTAAGCCAAAAGTTTGAGGTCATGGAGACGTAGAAACCTGAACAGAACCAGGATGTATCATAGCATAGACAACCAGCATGACACGAGAGCCAATTTGAGGAAATGTCAAGTAAAACCACTTTTTGATTTTGCAGTCCAAGGTATCTAGGGCCAGAAGAACACCTTGCAATGCTTAGCGACGCCGTGCTCCATGCATACATATCATAACCATCATATACCAAAAAGGCTCATTTGTCCACCGCATCTAGAGCTCGGAGTAGCCTCTTGGCCTTGTACTTGAGCACACTGACAGCGTCCACGAAGAGCATATCGCTTGGGAACTGTCCTGTGCTCTCAACGTTGAAGATAAAGTGGTCTTGCACACGGCCCAATTTTACTTTGTCCTTGAACTCATCGTGGCGCAAACATTCTCGGGAAACCGTGTCGCGCATTGGATCTTTCACGACCGCCTTCTCGTCGCCCTGACGTCCTCGGTAGACCGCCAGCGCAGGATCATCAGAGTCGGCTTCCTTAGCTGTCACGCGCTCTAGTCCAATGACACCCGGTGGGAAGCATTTCTGGAATTTTATGGCGTCGGCTCCTAGAATCGGCTTGGTAATTGTGATAGTTGGAAGCAGTCGGTACGTCGCAGTTGCCACAGGGCTGAACTTGGCGTGGTCACTGCCTTTTCCCAGATGCGCATGCAGGATCATGTCCAATTCCTGACCCGGCCGCAGTTTAGCGATTAGGATGTCTGGGCTGACTGGTTCAATAGGTCCATCCGCGAACTGCTGCCCCTGGAGACCTTGTTTCTCCCACACTATATGCCGTGAGTAGACGCTGCTATTGATGTATTTCTCTTCAGGCTCCGTAGCATTCTTGTCAGCGTGAGGGTTGCGCTCGCATCTGACTTTTAGGTTCAAGACGACCGTGTTGTAGTCTGTTCGCTCCATGCCGTCAAAGCCGTATTCGGGATTAGCCTCGATGAACCACTTTAACCATTTTAGACCTTCTAAGCTGCCTTTCAATGGTATGAGACCTAATCGATGTGCAAGGACTTCATCTGCAATCACCGAGGTGTTGTTCTGCACGTAAACTTTTTCGATCGCGAGGGTAGGGACTTCGGCGAGGAGGATGCGACGGAAGGCGTTGGCAATGGCAGCATCGACGCCGATAAGGGAGAATGTAGCCTCCAGTTTTTCATTCTGGTGGAATTGGATCTTCAGGTTCTCTGAGAATTTCTTGAGCGACCAAGAGAGATCTTCGCCTGCATGATGGCCGGGGAAGTCTGTCGAGGTGATGTTTGTCACGGTTTCGGGGTTGATGCCAACGACCTGAACGGTTAGTATACTAGAGGAATTAACACTGATGAGTATCTTACCTTCCGCCTATCCAGGCTGTCCTGTGAGGATTGTATGGGCGCCATGAGTGGATTGAAACAAACCTGCGGATGGCTCGTTGCAAAAAATGATGTCGAAGCCTCTCCAAATGTGAAAATTAAAGTGGGGTGCAAGAAGACTCTCCCTTCGCCCAATCAGAAGACACCTGTTAAATCGCCCGCCCGGAGCTGTCGTTGACTTCATTGATTTCGAGGGTCCGCAAACACTACACTCTTGGGTTGCCATCCATCGCAGTTGATGCTGTCAACCTAGAGGTGACAACTCGAGCACTCCCTCCGTCAGCTTCCCTCCTGGCCTTAGGCCAACTCTGACAATGGCCGCTTCGTTCGTACGAGCCGCAGGCTGGCACTCCGCCAAACGACTTTGCGTCCGACCTAGCTTTCAGACTCTCTCACGGCAGTCGCCTCTCCTTTCTCGCGCGATTTCTACGACTCCTCATCGAAGAGCCACTCATCAACCACCTGGTAACCCCGAGACCGGCGGGGGACCACTAGGAACCACCATCAGCCCGACAGATTCTACCTTTACCAAACATACCCAGCAAGACTCGCTTCTAGTGAACAAAGCGCCGGACGCGAATTTGGGCGATGACTATGAGACAAGAAAGATCCGTCACTACACCGTGAACTTCGGACCACAGCATCCTGCAGCACACGGTGTGTTGCGTCTCATCCTGGAGCTAAATGGAGAAGAGATTATTCGAGCAGATCCCCACGTTGGATTGCTACACCGTGGCACAGAAAAGTTGATCGAGTACAAGACATATCTGCAAGCTCTCCCGTACTTTGACAGGTTTGACTATGTCTCGATGATGACGAATGAGCAAGTCTTTTCACTCGCTGTCGAGAAACTTCTTAACATCGATATCCCGGAACGAGCCAAGTACATCCGCACCCTGTTTGGCGAAATTACCAGGATCTTGAACCACTTAATGTCAATTCTTTCGCACGCCATGGATGTCGGAGCTCTGACGCCGTTCTTATGGGGATTCGAGGAGCGAGAGAAACTTATGGTGTGTACTTTTGCTCTTTCTACAACAGCGTTTGACTGATAGGATCTAGGAATTCTATGAACGTGTTTCTGGTGCACGACTCCATGCTGCCTATGTCCGGCCCGGTGGCGTCAAGGCAGATTTGCCTCTCGGCTTGCTGGATGATATTTATGCTTGGGCGACTCAATTCGGCGACCGCATTGACGAGACCGAGGAACTTCTGACTGACAACCGAATCTGGATCGGCAGAACTAAGGGTATTGGTGTTGTGACCGCTGCAGATGCCCTCAACTATTCATTCTCTGGTGTCATGCTTCGAGGCTCAGGTGTTCCTTGGGATATTCGAAAGAGCCAACCCTACGATGCGTACGACAAGGTCGAGTTCGATGTCCCGGTCGGACAGAACGGCGATTGCTACGATAGATACCTGTGTCGTATGGAAGAATTCCGACAGTCGCTACGCATCATCCACCAATGCTTGAATCAGATGCCTCCTGGACCTCACAAGGTTGAGGACTATAAGGTCGCCCCGCCACCCCGAGCCGCCATGAAGGAAAATATGGAAGCTCTTATCCACCACTTCTTACTCTTCACCAAAGGCTACACTGTACCTCCTGGAGATACATACACGGCGATTGAGGCTCCTAAGGGAGAGATGGGTGTGTATCTGGTCAGTGACGGCAGTGAGCGTCCCTACCGATGCAAAGTTCGGGCTCCTGGTTTTGCACATTTGGGTTCCTTCGACCAGATCAGCCGTGGACATCTCCTAGCTGATGCCGTCGCCATTATCGGCACTATGGATCTAGTATTCGGAGAAGTGGATAGATAATCACGTGGCAATGAAGCTGAGGAAGAGGTTCAACGTGTCTCACGGTTGACAGTGAGTGACAATCAGGGGCAGCTACCGAACAATACCAATAGCGCTAGGAAGGGAGTTTTGTAGGCAACGCACCAAATCGAGTATTGTAACTAAGATACTAGCTTAACCGGGTCTAAAACAGCTGCCGCTTGAACCGTCCAAGCAGTAGTTGGACTTCGTATTGAATAGGCCTTCCGCCTACTACATGTATTGTCCTAGACGTCGCCTTAAATAGGGGGACTCTTGTACATAAACTATCCTCGTTCCTATTTATCGTCGAACACCACCTTAACATCTAATTGCACGATCTATCTATAAGACCGGCGTACATCGTCGAAGCAAGGGCAGTTAGACCTCGCATTCAATAGGAGACCCGCCTACCACACAAATTACCCTCACTGCTGTTTGTTGTCGAATGGCACCCTAGCGCCAAATTATACGATTTACTTATGAGACCGTGATGGCCACCTACGCAATGCGAGGTCCAACTGCTACTTGTCGTCGACTGGCACCCTAGCGTCAAATTATACGATTTACCTAGGAGCTCGCGTATACATCTTCTTTTCAATCCACGTTCGTTATCGGTGTGTTCAGTGACTGTTAAAGAGCAGAAGGTACGATGCAGCCTCAGTGGCCTGGACGGCCTTCATATTGCTGTCTACCTGAGGTATGGTATCTAGTTACGGACTGTATCTTGCGGATTATGGGACTGCCTTGACGGCCAGTGGCATGGACGTGTGCCTTTGTGGTAAGATAGTGTAACTAGTAGAATAGAACCAGCGGCCCCTTCAGTCCTTTTTTCAACTATTTCTCTAGCGGTCTATTCAAATCAAATTCCACTTCAAGCGATGTCTAGCAGCTGGTTATGCGACTCGCATTGGGTGCTGAAAGCGGCAGTAGCTCGTATTTGGTATGCTTTGACTTCGCAACTCAACCAAATCCTCGCATCGTCGAATGCACCGCCACGACCATGGCCCCCAACTTTTGCAAGACTCTACTTATTTCAGCTGAACTGCTGCTTTCCTCCCCTTGACCAGCTCCTAGAGCCCCGCCGACAGTATTGTTAAATTCATTCCCTTCCTCCTGCCCTATCCTTCCCACTGCCTGCGAATTCGCCTTGAAGCGCCTCGTCTCCCAGTCAGCCTCACGCTACCCCGCAGTCTTGCGGAATACTACAACGACCGATCAGCCTGGACGAAAGACCAGTTGGACAACAAACCCTCGCGCTCACTTCTGTCAGCACTATTCGCAGTCGAACGCTCCCGTAGTTGTCTTCTGGCGGGCGGTTTCCTCCTTCGAAATCACTTGCAACACGACGGCAAGGTGCGCAGGCACGTCCTGACCAGCTGCAACCATGAGTTGTAAGTCTCCCTGTTCAAAGCGCTAAAAGATACGCCAGCTTTACACGCTGAAGCCGGAAGATTACTTTGCAATCTATTTCTTGCGTTGAGGACGCTTCAGGCTCCCGTTCACACCTTCATCCTTCAGTTTCCCATGTCATCTCTCAGGCTAACCTCCCGATTTCTAGTCAACTCCATGTTGAACAAGCTCCAAGGCCAGCCCGATAGCTACGATAAGAAGTCACAGTACCGCTTTGGAAAGACGCTCGGAGCAGGAACATACGGTATCGTACGAGAAGCCGAGTGCAATGGGGAAAAGTGCGCCGTCAAGATCATCCTCAAAAAGAGCGTCAAGGGCAACGAACAAATGGTCTACGATGAGTTGAGGATGTTACAGACACTCAGCCATCCTCACATTGTCAAGTTTGTGGATTGGTTCGAGTCAAGAGTATGTTTGCTTCGGCGCCTTGCAAGACAAAACGGAACTGACTTGGTGTGCAGGACAAGTTCTACATCGTAACTCAACTAGCCACTGGCGGCGAACTTTTCGACCGAATTTGTGATAAGGGAAAATTCACCGAAAAGGACGCTTCTCAGACCATCAGACAAGTGCTCGAAGCTGTTGACTACCTACATGGGAAGAATATTGTTCACCGAGGTAAGAAAGCACACCACTGTCTGAGTGGCTCAACTCCCTAACTGGTACAGATCTCAAACCAGAAAACCTCCTCTACTTGACCAGAGATCCTGATTCTCAGTTGGTGCTTGCCGACTTCGGCATTGCCAAAACGCTCGATGGACCCAGTGCAGTCCTGACTTCAATGGCTGGCTCATTTGGTTACGCAGCCCCTGAGGTCATGCTGAAACAGGGTCACGGTAAAGCAGTCGACATGTGGTCTCTTGGAGTCATCACATACACTCTTCTCTGCGGGTACTCACCATTCCGATCTGAGAACTTGGCCGACCTCGTCGAGGAATGTAAGAGTGGCCGCATCATTTTCCACGAGAGATACTGGAAGGACGTCAGCAAAGACGCCAAAGGATTCATCATGAACCTTCTTCAACCGGACCCGAAGAGACGTGTCTCTAGTTCAGAAGCACTCAAGCACATCTGGTTGACTGGTGAGACTGCTTCGGAGCACGATCTCCTTCCAGAGATTAGATCGTACCTGGCGAAGATGAAGCTGAAGCGTGGAATCGAGCTCGTCAAACTGGCCAACCGTATCGATGCGCTCAAGGTACAAGAGGACGAAGAACCAGGATCGCCTGACGCGAACGACATACCAGCGAATGCGCAGAACGCTGCTGGATTGGCCGTCAAGAATCAAATCAGAGGCGTCTCGCCCGGTCGTGGGCTCTCAACAAACGAATCTCCCGAGAAGAGATCGATGAGTAAAGCGGCAAAGAGTGCCATTTTCCGAGAAGTGGTGCTCGCCAAGGTTAGAGAGATGAAGGACAAGGAGAAGACCGACAAATTGGTTGCAGAGGTCACCAAGGAGCACGAACGTAGGAAGAGCTTTACTGGGCAGAGATGATTGCATCGAACCGAGTCGAATAAGCAGTGCTTTTGATGAATGGTGCACAGAGAGGCGCCGAAGAAAATTGTTGGTACAGCAGTACTATTAACCCAGATTACGATACCCTTATTCAGGCCGGGATGCTGATGATGCGTATGGATTGCTGTTATTCCCACCCATGACGCGAGTTCGGATCGTGGTGAGTTATGAGACAGGGATAGGGATTGGGATTGGGATCGATCCTTTTAGCTTTAGGCCAAAATGCAGGTATGCCTAGCCTACAATGACAATCCGTTACCGGAGAAAAAGTAGAAGTAAGTGCTCGCAGCAAGAGACGTCGCAATGCGCAATATAGTACTAGCCATAGAGAACCACTGTTTCGAAAGGCGGAATGCAGGGTTGGCAATGCGAGACCACCGTCTCGCTAGCCTTGACGGCCCAGTCAATGTCTCTACGCCCGCTTGATTCCCATCTTCTTCAAAGAGTGCCACAAGACATAGTGTAACAGATACAATCCGATGCTCAGAGCTGCCGTGCTTTACTACCTGTCATTGCTGGCAGGCGGGTCATAGACATCTAAAGGCTCAAAGACCTCGATAACCGGAAAGCCCGTCCAGACGGGATCGTACGAATAGCCTGTCGGCGGCCCCTCCTCCTGGCCTGATGACGATCCCAGCGCGTCCGGTGAGCTGTCAAGAGACCTAGGGGTCAATAGTTGCACATGATCTCGTTGCAATTGAGCAAGACAGTCCTGGACCAGATCCTGCAACGCTGTCCGAATGCTGGCTTCTTTCGTTTGCTCGGGATGTTCGGGCAAAAGAGAAGTCAAGACGACGGTAAAGTAGACAATGTCCTTGAAGTTGGCGCCGGGATGAGCCAGTCGAAGTTTCATGGGTTCCAAAGTGTCTTGCACAGAATGTACCAGGCTGGATTTTGTGTATGCCGGCAGCCGCAGAGGTGCAGTGGCACTGATGCCGTCGATCGGCGCGACAGCATTCCCGGAAGGTACTAGTACTTGCGAAGTAGGGTCGACCGTGGAAGCCATCGTACCAAGCCTTTTGATTTCGAGACAGAGCCCGAGAATGGCTTGGCCGAGTTCGTGTCGGTAGAGGTTGTGGAAGAAATCCCAGTAGCCCTCGGGTCGGGGTACGTCGATCTCCGAGTACCTAGGGTCGAACAGGCTGACGATAGATGGATTGTTAGCATTAGGGTACCGCAGCAAGTCATGTGGGAATGGCCGAGCGAATGGTTAGGGGTATACCACTGGGCGCCGCCTCGGACGTAACGGCAAAAATTGCTTCCGCTACGCCCGCTAACTCACAAGGGTTGACTTACTCTTGAAAAGTGGTAATCATGAGACAAGATTGCAGGAAACCGTCGGTGCATTCCTGTTGAATGTCGTGGGCGTGGGGACTTGCAGCAAAACAGGTGTAAAGATGCATGAGGGGTCGTCGTATGCTGAAGTCCAGCTCCATTCTGGCCAGCAGGCGTGGAGGCGTCTTGCTTGCTTGGTCGCCCATGTAACTGAATCGCAAAGGTGAGGGCAGGTCTTGCAACACCTTCTCAACGTCTCGAGTGTAGCCCAGAAGTTCTGTGAGCTTGATGTGGCTGGCACCGTCCATCTGCTTGCAGGCCGCGAGACGCAGCGGGAAAGATTGAGACAGCACGTGTTGACAGAGTCCGTCAGTCCATTCTTCTGTAGGCCTTGATCCCGGTAGCGCTGTGATGCCGTCGTAGAATTCGTCGTCGTTGATGTTTTGTGGAGGCCTGGATGTATATGGAGGTACCGTACACGGTATCTTGCATAGAATGCAGAGCATGAGATCGATCTCGACAACTGTCATCCACATACGGCGCCGGACTTCTCCTTCGAAGACGCTTATGCCACCTAGCGTTGATGGGTCCTGGTTCAGCTTCATTATCAAAGCATCGCGAAGAATCTCCCCGCTGAGTATGAACAGATCATCGATTCGGCCCAAATAGCTCCACTGGCAGACGAGTACAAGCATCTTCACCTGCAAGACTGGCAGCAGGTACCTTTGTCGCCGCCGTACGCTGCTAAGGAAGTTTCTCATGACCCGCAGAACGCGAGATGGGTGCAGGATGGAAGTTGAAGCCCCGATCTCGCATTCTCCGTGGGTCCCAACGCTTGCACCGATAGAAAGGACGCCAAAAAGGAGGGGGATGAAGCCAAAGCTGCAGGCCTGCTCTCCGGCACCGTCGGTGAAGAGCATTTTGAGTTGCTCTCGGAAGGCAGGAGCATGCAAAATTCTGAAACAGTGTTCCATATTGTCGAAATAGAGGGTTGTCAATCTCTCGCAGACGTGGAGAGGTGGGAGTTCAAGTGGCCTTTGACCGATGGGCACAGTCGGGCCTTGTTCGTGCCATATCCTGTGGTTGTTCATCTCGACAGCATGGTGCACAGACTTGAGATCTACCCGCAGCGTTGCAAGTTCGGGATCATGTGCCAATTTCGCCATGAAGGCGCACGCATCTGGAAACTACTCAGGTCAGCGTGGTTGGTTTCACGGGTATAAGAATTATTCAGACGTACTTGTGAGCTTAGATTAGTCGATACTGCTGGAACTTGAACTTGCTGCTCATGTTCATCACTCCTGGCCTGGGCCGTCGCTGATTCGGGGGCTATCAACTCGCCGTCGGACTCGGGAGCATGTGCAAGGAGAGCTCTTTCGAGTCTAGCCACTCTTTCCTGAAGATCTTCAACCACGCCTTTGCCCGCGGAGTGTAAAACAGGTGAATGAGAGTCTTCCAGAGTCGCGGTGTTGCTGTTACCATCTTCTGCGGCTGGCGAGGTTAAGCGTTGCCGCTTGCTTGGATGGACACGTAAGTAAGCGGTGTTCGGCACAGGTTCCTGTCCAGACTGGTATGTACACCGGCCTGGGCGACCGATCTTGATACATTGCTGACATGGATCAAGTCGATCGCATTTGAGCTTCTTCCTCCTGCACTCCAGGCATGATATGACCGGCCGTGGTCGCTTGGACGCGCTTGGAGCAAGAGTGCCAGACGCGTCGGACATCTCAGACTGGAGAAACAGCGAGATTCATGATAGACTGTTAAGCTCTCGATCACCAGACGCTGCACTCCTCGAACAAGAGTCGTTGGAGATGACGATGTTGGGCTGGGAAGAAGTGAGGGTAGATACGCATAGGGAAGAATACGTGGGTACGGAGTAAGAGAGAACGACAACATCCGACACTGATCGATGCTCCAATCATATCGGACAATCAGAACCTCGGTTGCGGGGCCGTGGATTACTATTACTTTGCGAAAGAACCCTTGCCGTCTCAACACCATCACAACCATGCTACGACGCTGATGCTCAGGCTTGCTGGCATCCATTCGCTATCGCTCGCGGTTCGTCTTTGCTCTGTCGAAATCAATCTATACAGAAGGTCGTCAGCACTCTCACTTCCTAGCCTTCTCACCTCCATCAGCTTCAAGACGGCGGAATCGTATCGCCAGCCCTGCCCTCATGGACCCAAAACTAAAACGTATCATCGAGTTGATTGAGTCGAAGAAGAAATCCTCCCACCCGTGGAAACGACAAGAGCGCCATGACCAACCATACTACACCTACTCACCCGAGACCACCTCATGGGATGCTGTCATTTCCTCTTCCACTCCTTCGAAGCCCATGCCATCATCTCCTCCGATCAAATTCTCCATCATGTCCTGGAACATTGACTTCATGCTCCCCTTCACCTCCGAGCGCATGCTCGCGGCGCTGAAACACTTGCACTCCCTCGTCACCTCTAAACCCCATCCCACCATCATCATGCTCCAAGAAATGCTCGAGTCCGACCTCCTTCTCATTCAGTCCCAACCCTGGATCCGTCAGCAATACAACCTCACCGACATTTCCAACGAGCACTGGGAATCCGGTCACTACGGCACAGTCACACTGACCCCAATGTCCCTCCCCATCTCGTCTGTCTTCAGAGTCCACTACGAAGCCACCGTCATGGAGCGAGATGCCTTGTTCGTCGACCTAGCTTTTGCCGCTTCTCAAACCATACGCATATGCAACACGCACCTCGAATCCTTGATCGCTAACCCGCCCAAACGCCCTGCTCAACTCGCCACAGCCGCGAAATTTATGCACGACCCGACCGTCGGTGGCGCCGTGCTTGGTGGCGACCTCAACGCGATCCAGGATTTCGACCGTACGCTCCACTCTGATAACGACCTGTCCGATGCGTACTTGACTCTCGGCGGCCAAGAGGACAGCGACGAAGGGTACACTTGGGGCCAGATGGCACCAACCAAGCAACGACAAATGTTCGGCTGCAGTCGGATGGACAAGTTATTCTTCTGCGGCCAGCTTCAATGCGAGAAGTTTGAACGCTTCGGCCTGGGCGTCAAGGCCGAGGAGAAGCATGTCCAGGAGAGCCTGATAAAGGACGAGGGCATGGAAGAAGGTTGGGTGACTGACCACCTGGGTGTGTCTGCTGAGTTTAGCATCGTCCCGACACAAGCAGAGCCCAAGATCTAAATCCTCCGACCTGGAAAGCCCAGAAGCTAGTACTATACAGACTGCGGCATTCATTGCTGTGGTCTGCCGACACGAAGTTATGAGATCTATGAGAGAGAAGCAGAAGATCCGTAGTAATGGTAAGGAAAGCATTATCACTTTTTGGTATCTCGTCTATGTGCTCCAGAATTTTGGGGGCCTTTATCTATGCTGTGTTTCCTGGTATTTGTCCTTGAATGTGTGATGCGTCGATTTCCATCATGCTCCGAACGCCGATCCTGCAATGCTCTCGCTAAAAGTGTGGTGACTGACCAAGGCATCAAATCGTTTCTTTCGTAATGCCGGTGCAAGGTCCGGCGACATGGCCATAGGTAGTGAACATATGAAGCCCCTGGCTGATGCATGTGATGCTAGAATGTGCAACTTTCGTTCCTCCTCGGACCAAAGACTAACAAGCAATGTGCTTGAGGAGAAGTGAACCGAACCAGTCCTTCAAGCGCCAGAGATTGTAATTCGGTCACAAGAGATGCTGGGATATAAGGCGAAGAGAACCCTAAGGCCGAATGATCGAAAAAGACGTCGGTAAGCAAGGATCCTTGCTCGATTTGACCACAACCTGGCCCCTCAGATCCGCTCTCAATTCAATCATTAGAGCCAAAACAACCCACAGGGTGTTCCAATGAGTGCGAGTGCATGTCCAAATGCACTTCCAGGCCCTTTTGCAATGTTCCCTATGAGAAATGCTCGGTGTATTCCGCTAGGACAAGAACCGGTGCCACGCGGACTCCGAAGCCATTTTAACCAAAATAACGTCTCAATGCCTCGTAAATGCTGAAGATGATGGCCGAGCTCGGCGCGGATCGGAAAACAGTGATTCCACAGCCACGATAAAAGCCTTTGAGGCCTTGTTCTCGCCACAAAGCCCGTCCGGTGGATGCAAAAGTCATTTTCTTGAGACCTACGCCTTCAGTAGCACTAGTCTGCATCCGTGACTTGATCGTGTCGGCAGGGTAGAAGACGAAGTTGTAAGACATGCCTGCAGCAGCGCCGGCGAGCATCTGCTGCCAGACCTTGACGTCTGCGATCTGAGTAATGGAGGAGTCGTACTTTTGGAAGAGCATTTTGACGCCTTCGTAAGAACCAAACCAGGCTGCCGAACCGCCAGTCTCGCGAATCAAAGTCCCTAGCTGACCATGCCAAAGGCCCAGGATGCCCTGACTGCGGAAGACTGTGCGGATCAATTCAAGTGGCCCAAGAGGACGGGTGGGAGCATAACCCAGGTCTGTCGCCAAGTGCGATGGAGGGATTGGAACCTGCATTTTACATTTGATCAACTCGATGGGTGTGAGGAGTAGAGAGGTGAATGCTCCAGAGGCAGCTCCGCAGCCTAGAAGGGCCGCGAAGGGAAGTTCGACTTTGCCATTGTTCTGGTCTCGTTGTGACCGAAGAGTGGGAGAGGTTGCTACCACCAGGTCCTGGGCAATTCGGTAGCTGAAGAACAGCGAGGATGTCTCAATGGCAGCACCCAGCAAAGGGGCACTGATTCCTCGATAGAGTGATACAAGAGGGCCTTCAGGGCTTTTGAACGCCGCAGAGAATGCATCGAGTGGCCCTTGCAGTCGTGTAACTCCTGAATGATCTGACTGTGACTGTAGTCTGACTTTGACTGTATCGAAAGGGTATTCCACAAATTTTCCCAGTATTCCCGCAGTTGAACCGAAGACAACATCTTTTAGGGCTTCTATGCTTTGACTTGGTGGTGCTGTGAATTCGGGCTGAGGTGGAGTGGCTTTGGCCGTCTCGAGGCCAGTCACGGATGGCAGCTCGTCTTTGAAAGCCGCCATTCAGACCTGTTAAACTCGGGGAGGCGAGGCGACTGAGGTGGGAGTGAGCGATATCTTGTGCTACCGTGTTGACATGTTGTGAAGTCGCCGAGAAGGACCTCTGATGAGAGGGAATCAGATCCCAGGCGGTGGGTGGGCGGCTTGTGAATGGTGCAAAGAACGCGCACCAGATGGAGGGTCTTGAAAATTTTCATCTGATAAGATAATCTCCAACCGGGACCCACGTGCCCACCTTCTCTAACGTGCCAAGCATCGCGACATCCGTGGCCATCTTTTCGTCGTAGAAGAGGGTTCACGTGACCACGAAAGTTGCCATATCCCATTTCTTCAAACCTTGGGCTACTAACCAGATCCTGGGCCTCAGTTGCAGCGACAAGACACAATGTCTGTTGAAGCCCCTTCCAGCGAGCCTCAGATGGCATCCACGTCTTCTTCCGTACAGCCGGCCCAAAAGTATGGCTTGCGAGTGAACGGTAATAATCTCTCTCGTCGACTTGTTCGCAGCGACTGATTCGTTCCTGCAGGCAAGAACTGGCATGCTCCTAAAAAGGCCTTTCGCCCGACTTCTGGCCAGACCTCTTACGCTAAACGCAAAGAGCTGGATCAGCTCAAACAAGCCACCAAGGCACGAGAGCAAGAGATGAGAGATGAGAAAGAGCAGGAGCGAAATAGGAGAATACAGGCTATCAAAGACCGGAGAAAGGCAAAGGAAGAGAAGGAGAGATACGAGAAGATGGCAGAAAAGATGCACAGAAAGCTAGTCGAAAGGAGAAAGAGGAGAGAAAAGAGGAACAAGTTGTTGAAGAGCTGAAAGCCCTGTCGGATCGATCTATTTGAACACCGCATCACTCATCTACACACCTTCAAGTTGCGACGAGGTTCATTATCTCCAGTCCGCCGCTTAGGGCCCGTCAACGACATCCACCAACTCTCTTGTCAAGGGGTAAACGGCGATGCTGCTCCCAAGACCGACGATGCTCAGTCGGGAAGAATTCTTCATCACATCGTGGTGTTAGACTCGTGGCGCCGTGTTGTTGAAATATTCAGGACGAGGTTGAAGACCGATGGCTTTACATCGAAGTGTCTGCCCCGTGACCCTCTGCAAAGTGATGCAACAGTGCTGGAGTATCCTCTTGACAGCTGGAAGCGTTGCGATCTTGGCGGAGTCTGAGTGTGCAGAGTATACTTTGGTTTCGGCCATGGCAGGTTACCGGTGAGCACCCCGAGGCCTTGCCGGACAGTCAATGCGCAGCCACTGGGCATATGAGGCATACCACACCTGGGATGGTTGTTACGATCATAGAGATCGAGCTGGAGATTCCCACGCAGAAATGAGCGGCAGGATCATTCTGTGCTTGTATCGCGACATTTGGTGAATGGAATGCCAATCACGACATTACCCATTTTGAGCTTGAGGGCTGAGAAGCTCACCATCAGCGTTTTCAAGTAGTCGTCTTCGAGATTGACAAGTTGCTGTCGAGTTTCCTTATCAGGCTCTTTTACAGTCCAGGCAATACTTATATGGAAAGCATCTGACCTGTCAATCATGGTTTGTTGAGTTTTCGAAATGTCCTTGTCTGATTTCTTCGAGTCGTTGTCATACAGCTCTGCGAGTCCAAATTGCCGAGCAGCTGCATTAGATGCCGATAATAGCTTGTTCAAATCGTTGTTGGAGGGTCTACTGAGCTTTAACGCCAGGAAAAACCTGCTTCTCTCGTAGTTCGCAAACCAATCTAGTCCAGTAGCCTGAACATGGAAAGGCTTCACCTCGCTCCGGGAAATTTCTGAAAGTATGGTCTCCTGGAAAGCATCCTTTTGATCTGTCTTCAGAACAAGTGGAGCTGATAGACTGATATGGAGTGGCTGCGGTGCCCCTAAATCAGAGCGTAGGAAGTTGTGAAAGCTATCGCAGGTATTGGACCATTCTGCGTGCTTTATCACTTTGTCAAGCTGGACTAGCTCAGGCTTTGAAGGATACCATTCAAGATAAGCATGGGTTGGCCAATTACCTATGGCGTGAGGCACCTGCCGGGTTCGACCAGCATGCAGAGCAGGATCATCGCTTGCAAAAGTCCTCACGTTCGTAGCATACAATGAACGGAACGAGGCAGGCAATGGTGGAGGTCGCCTGCCGTCGAGCTTGACAACCTCAACGTCTTCAGCCTTTCGCTTCCGACGGCCTGTTGTGTGGTCGCTAGGGTGGCTGTCGCTGTCGGAGCTCGAGTCTGAATAGTCGACCAACATGCTTGTTGGTGCTGGAAAACGTGGTCATGGTACCTGCCAAGAACTGGGAAGCATGTGCCCTGGATTTGGGAACAAGAAGGGTTGGCGGAGCAGGTTCAGATCCCTGGAGAATGGGACGATCGATGACAAGAAGCGTCCTTTGGCACGTCAGCATGGACCCATAACTGTATTTGAGCAGGAAGCATACAATATACACGTCTCAGTGGTGACGAAGACAATGTCTCAGTTGACTTCGGGTATACACGAATTTGTGCTCAATTCACCCGCTCGGAAGGTGATCGTGGCGGATGAGCTGCACAAATCAGAGGAGCGTTGGAAAAATTGAACCGGGATAAGCGGAAGACATGCAGAACCAGAAGAGCCGCCCAGAAACAGCGATAATAATGGCATTGAAAGAACCTGCAAGCTTGCGCGTCAAAGAGTGCTTTCTGATCACTGACGGAGCCACAAGGCCAGCGATTATTGAGTACCTAGCCTCCCAGCCATCAAAATACTGTGGCACACAGTACTCGTACTCCGTAGAGCTCGTAGCGATAGGACCCCCCGGCTAACTAGACTCACTAAGCATCGATAGGCGTCACCCAGACGCCTATGTAGTATTTCCGTGGGGTCCACCATGACGCCAGTGCCAGAGGACCGTGATCGCTACCCAGGTAAGGCACAGGATTCGCTTCTCTCAAAACCTAGAGGAATGCCTACTTCTTCCCAATTCAGTTGAGTGTACTCCGTAGACCGCACGCATCAAACATCGTGTCCAGGGCGTACGCAGAATCTTACCGTCTCATTTGCCTCCAATTCGTGTTCTCAAGATGGAATCCTCTGATGACAAAGAATGGGTGAGTAGTACAGCTGATCATCAGTGCGCAAGCCTGACACTTGCTCCCTTAGGCCTCAAAATACCTCCTAGACCCTCTGAATGCGCCTGAACCTTCCCAGGAAGACGGTCCTGGTAACGCTTTCCGTGGCGGTCCTTCTGTCGTCCCAGCCAAGGCACCCACTCCAGGCAGAACATACTCGGGAAGGAGGCTGTCAAAGAACAATCCTTACCGCAAAACATCCATGTCCGACATCAACGCAACTGAGGTCAAACGGAGTGTTTCTCTGCACAGCAATAGCAATGCCCGGAAATATCCTTCTTCTCCTCCCTCTTCCTATCCGTCTCCGCCGCCATCCGCGAACACCCCAACCGGGACTTTCTCATCTCAGTCTCCTCGGTCTCCTAGCCACAGACAAGAAGCATTTGGGGAGCCCAAGTCGGGTCGTAGAAGAGGCAGCTCGTTGACTGAGCGCTTCCCTGGCGATATGTCGCACCGGCCATTGGATACATTGGCAAAACAGAAGCATGTTGCGGACCGTTCCAGGCACGTCACCAGAAAGCATCATATCCAGCCGGACACGATTGATAGTCTGGACAACAGCGGTGGAGCTGCATGGCACCACGGAGGTCCTTATGACGCCACATTGTTCGCCAGGAACAATTCTGTCAACTCACCAGTGGCAGCACTATCCCAATCTAACGCTGAAGCCTTGAAAGCGACGCCCAAGGAGAAGATCATCGATAGTGTTGTTCGTCACCGACCTCTGGATGGAGTTGCAACCTACGCACCTGGAAATACCGATCGCATGGGTAATGTGTACAATTACGAGGAAGGCGACAATATGATGATCGAGGCCGGACCCGAAGGTGGAGCCTACAAGCGCTGGCCTGGTGTCCAATATCTCCCCGAGGATATCAAGGGCAAAGGAGAGCCTAGTTACAGTATTGAGAAGGCTCTCAAAGGCCACCATATCCACGACGGAAAGGTTGGAGCCGATGGAATCGAGATGGAGACGAAGAGCTCCCGCAACCGAAGCTCATCCGGTGCATTGCCCCCAAGCAGCTGGGACGATGGCGAAGGTCAATTGGGTCGAAGTGGCAGTTTCAAGAGGCTAAGTGGAGGTCTGAAGAAAAGATTCGGAAGCATCAAGAAGAGATCACCCGAGTAAAGCTATATAGATTTACTGTGTTGACATGATTTGGACAATTGGGTGGGCATATACTTGCTTTTGTGGTTTCCTGGGTACTTATGCGCTTTGGGTACGTACACAACAGGGAGGTTCAGAGCACATCCTGAGGTTGTTCCACGATTGGCATCGTGTGGCGTCGCAACCTTTTCGCACCATTTATATACGCACCTCCAAAAATATTGATAGGCTTTTCTCCGGACTCAGAATCCCAGTGGTTAGGCGCACTAAAAGTACCTCAGGTCCATCTTCGATATCACTCATCTATCTATCCGCAACTATTCTCCGGTTCAGTGCACGAAGACAACAAAGGTTACTTCACCTTAATGATGACAGACATGAACGTAGGATTACCGCGAAGATAGAGAGGCCGAAATATATCGTAGGGCATGCATAGCTTCTCCTTTTCTATGGGAGCTAATAAGAAACAAGACATACACACGTCAACACCTAATGTTCAGCTGGTCATAGTCCCCCCAGCGAGACCAACCTCGAGTGTGCATGTCTCTCACGCATCCTTTTCTCATCGCGTCATGAACATGGCTTCAGATGAATGTCTGTTGCATCTTTTCACAGGTCAAGCACAAGCGGTGATGACCAGGTTGGATGACGTTGTTTGTGCCATCTACTTGAAGACCTTGCCATCAGCCCACTCGTACTTCTTGCCGTTGACCTCAATTGGCTTATCCCACGACCACTGGTCCTCGACGAAAGCCTTGTCCTCGGGCTTGCTGGGGTCAAGCTTGGTGAATTCGTAGCTCTCATAGTCCGGAGCGACATCGAAAGCAGGAAGAGCCTCGTCGCCACGGACTAGGAAGGTACCTTGGATGACAGAGTCGTTGGCCTGGCCATAGACCGAGCAGCATCCAAAGAGATACTTTCGGGAAGCCTCGAGGCGGGCGAAGAAGCCACCTAAAAGCTATGTTAGCGGGTCATCCAAAGAGACGGCATTGTTGGAGCATACCAATGAGGTTGGAAGTCATGAAGACCTGCGTCAACTCATCGTTGTACTTGTAGTCCACCTTCCACAAAGAATACTCCTCTGGCTTGTAGTGTTCCCAGAACCAAGGGAGAGCGACCTCACGAGTTTCCTCGTTGGAATACTTTCGCTTCCAGTCATCGAGAATGAGAGTTGGCTTGGGAAGCGCTTCAAGAGGGTGCTTGGCCTTGACTTCCGGCTTTGCCTCCTCTTCTTCGTCTTCCTCCTCTTTAGCTGGCTTCTTCTCGGCCTTGGGCGCAGCTGGTGTTGGGGCCTTAGCAGGCTTTGCATCCTTCTTTGGTGGGGTGTACTTGACTGCCTCCTCGACCATGATGGGCTGCTCGATGATGGCCTTCCAGATCGGCTGGTTGGTAATGGTCTCGTACCATCTAGTGACGTTGGGGTTCTCGGATCGCCAGGCCTTGTCAAGAGTGTACTGGAAACCGCGTGCAATTTGGGAAGCAGTGAACAGATCGGCAAGGGTGAGGCGCTCTCCGACAAGGAAAGTGTGGATGAGGAAGTGCTGCTCGAGAACTTGGAGAACCTTCAGTGCTGCAGCTTTCGAGTCGTCGACTGACTTCTTGTTGTATGGGTCTCGGCCGATGAGAGGACGGAACCAGCCGCTGAGGGTAGGGAGAACCTCAGAGTTGGAAAATGACATCCATCGGACAATGGAAGCATAGTCTTGCTTGGTCTTGCCGAGCAGGGTTGTCTTCTCATTCTGAGACGCAACTGTAAATGGTCAGACCAATCTTGGGTAGTGCAGGTATGAGAAATAATGATAGGTTTGGAGAATCAGAGTCAAACATGGTCAACACAACGTTTCAGACAGGGATAACTGAATGTAATAATATAGCTCATCTTGTAATCGCAGGGAGAATCCTGGCGGATGGCGGGGTATGAGTCAAGACGTACAGTAGATGGCGATTGCGATGCTTTCGGTCAGGATGAAGCCATTGGCGCCAACGAAAGTTGGGACTCGGGCAAGGGGGTTCAATTTGAGATATTCGGTGTCGACATTGGGCGGACGAGTCTCGACGAGTTCAACGTCGAGGTTGTTCTCCTTCGCAACCACTAGAAGAGCGGTGGAGCGGGCATTTTCCTGCGGTCAGAATCAGTATTCACTGCTTCTCGCCACGGGAGAAGAAGGTCTCTCAATACATACCTTGAAGCCGTACAGCTTTCCGAACGACATCTTGACCTGAACTCTATGAAATTACGGGTGAAGAGTAGGATTTGGCAATGTGGTTGCTCAAAGTGACGGACGAATCGAACAAAAAAATCTGAAGTTAGCGCCGCTGGGTGCGACCTTGGAACGGGAGGCCAGCCTGGCCTTGGCAAGACGCTCACGCTTCAATTGCTTTGCTTCGGTTTTCACTTGAGAGCAGTGAGTCCATCGGCTCCATTTGGGAATTGCAATTCGCCATCACATCTCTTTTCTCATGCAGTCGAGGTGACGGAGCACCGCTAGCTTCTGTCAGCACTTGCAGGATGGCTAGGTCTCCAGTGCAGGTTCTACCAGCTGCCATCTCCTGGACGTGCCGCCAATGCCGTGTACAATGCAAAACATCGAGGGCGCAAGCTCCATGGAGACAGCTTCCTGCGCAGCGACAGAACTTCTCAACAACAACGCCATCACCTGCAGATATCCAAGTTCGAGCCGCTCCCGAAATCGATCTCAGTGACTCCAACGCGGTTCCCGCCCGAATTCTACCTGCGTCGCCATCCTACTTCACCGCATCCCCCGTTTTCAACGATCACTTCCTTCTCCTACAGTCTCTGGTCAAAAAGCATGGCAGCCTTCCCGTCGCTCCTCCTGATCTGGTACCAAGAGGCGTATGGCTGAAGCTTGGTCAATACCGTAGTTCTACGGGCGAAAAAGTTGCCGCCGCGAAATACACAAAGGTCCTACAGCTCCTAACTCGGCTGAACAAGATACATCCGAGGATACGTCCAAGGGATGTAAAACAAATCTTGGACCGCTTTCGCCGTCCAGGCTCGGAGGAACTCCAAAAGGCAAACCCAGGCAAGATCGATGAGTATGGAAGGTCTGTTGCGATTGGACGCAGAAAAGAGTCTGCCGCAAAGGTATATCTTGTCGAAGGCGCCGGAGAAGTGCTGGTCAATGGTCGAAATATTGTGCAGGTGTTCCCTCGCTTGCATGATCGAGAGAGCGCTCTGTGGGCATTGAAAGCTACAGAAAGAATGGACAAGTACAACGTGTTCGCAATGGTCGCTGGAGGTGGAGTTACTGGGCAAGCCGAATCTATCACACTAGCAGTGGCCAAGGCATTGTTGGTGCACGAACCTGCTCTCAAGCCAGCACTTCGACGAGGTAAGTCACCTCTGTTGGGTGAACATGATTGTGTCAACCGCTAATTCTCAATGCAGCTGGCTGTGTCACGTCGGATATGAGACGTGTCGAACGAAAGAAGCCTGGCAGACTGAAGGCCAGGAAGAAGCCTGCTTGGGTTAAGCGATGAGAGTCGCACTCTCAGCAGTGGTACTTGCTGTGTGTACATCATATTCAATTTACCTGTATACCAGGCTTTGTACCAGGTCACCAGTGATTGCGTGCCTTCTCGTCCTGTTCCAATATGCTTGTGAGACGGATATGGTTTCCCCTTTTCCCTAATTCACCACGCAGCTGAGCTCCTTTGTCGCTTCTTATATGCCTGTGTCTGACCTGCCATGTCAAGCGAGCTCCCGCAAGGCCAACATACAGCACTAGCTTGAGATTATTGTGAGAGGGAGCTGGCCTCGTGGGAGTGTCACACGATCAAAAGAGATCTCCACCTAACGTATCGAATCTGCTGCTCTCACGTGCAACATCTGCTGCTTCTACCTGTTCTGGTTCTGTACGTTCCTCAAGCTTTCCTCGTTGCACAGGGTGTCGCGACGGGACATTGCTCTTTCGATCTTGACCAAATTTTCCGACGACGACCAAGAGATACTCGACATATCACCCTTCTCAATATGGCATCATCGACCAAGATGAAAGTCCACTGCGTCGCCTAATTCTCCTGCCTGTTATGTCAAGGAAAAGTCCATGATGCACAGCGATACCGCCACTCGTTTCTTCGATTGCATTGACGGCAACAATGCGCGCAATTCTCGCATGGAGGTGCTTACAACCCTGGCTAGTGCTGCCGTTGATGCAGGTCGATCCACACCCATAACCCTCAATTCCACGTATGGCCAAGAACTCGAAGGTCGGCCTAGAGAGACGATTCCTGAACTTAGTAATGCGTACACGAAAAAGTCAACAAGAGACCTGGAACCTATTCATATAAGTATGATGGTGAGAAGAACGGGTGTCAACGTGCCCACTACACTGCGCATATCGAGCCAGATTGTTCCCGGATATCAATCGTCTGGACTGTCGTGAATCGCGATGTTGGCGAGGGCGAAGCAACATCTCTGCTTGGGTCGCAGATCTCTATGTGGAATATAACACGCTAATGAGCGTGAGGTTCGTCTCACCATGGACAGCCAGAGCCTCTCCGTACACGGCAGGAGATCATGACCTGAAACACGCCTGTCAAGCCACGTCAAACCATCAGTCTCCGGGATTATCAACGCTAGGGTAAGCGCGTCATCAACCTCGTCTCGTTAAGCATCCGTCGGCCCTCCACGCCCTCCTAGTTAACCACGCACCTACCTTGGCTGTATGTAAACAATTGCAACGGCTTGTGAAGTCAACGGGGCGAGCCATGCGTCTAATCTCTTGAGCTCTCAGCTTCATATTGTTCCGCCGGGATTGTGGAGGCTAGAGACCTAAACAGACCAGGTGTGAAACAGACCAAGCTGCAGAAGTCCTTGTTTCCACTTCGCGTCCGTTGCACGGAATTCTGATGCATCTGAGATTATGCCAATCATCTCATTGGTGCCTGGGACCCAGGACGAGTCGAGTCGTGGACCAAACATAAACAGCCCTCGCGTCCGATTGCCATTGTGAACTCAGCTACCGCCGTTCACAATACTGAAAGCGGCTCTCAGATACATACAAACATCCATCTGACAGCAGTGAAGTGTTTGGCATACAGTAACAGGTCGGAGGGACGCGCACTATGCGAGTCAGCGGTTGTCCGCCGTTCCGCAGGTTTGACTACCGAGGACGCGTTAGCTGACAGCTCGCCAGATCTTTGGGACGATGCAGTAAGCCGCCCACCCGACTGGCTCGGCTCGACAGCGCCTCAAAACGTCAGGCAACAAACTACGGACCAAGCCCCGGAATAGAGGCTCGAGAACCGAGGTGAGGGAGCCTTCAATGTCGGGTTCAAAGGACCCTACTACTAGCAAATCGCAAAACTGAAGCCTCGCAGGAAGATTGCTGGAGCGTCGCGCACACCTGACCATCTTTGTGGATTGATACGACTCTTCCCATATAACTCGTGCGCCGGGTCTCGTTATGCTTTCATCTGCTGTTCAGCATCTTCAGCCGGAAAGTGCATCTGCAAGTACTTTGGGCAATTTGGGCTGCGATCCTCCAGCCACATGGAGACTTGCACAGCGAGGTGGGCACAAAACTCTCATGGTCTCGAGTACCATGCTTCCACATACTCGGGGAAGTTGCCAGGTCATATTCCTTCGAATCCATTTATTGAATGTACTCGATGTAATTTGCTCACCTTTACACAGCTTGGTGCATGATTGGTAATTGACTTGTGCCACGCAGTCACAACCTCAAAATCCAAATGCGGCACACAGAGTACACGCATGATACCTCCAAGCCTAAAGAGACAGCAATGATACAAGCTGGGGCTGGAATTGAACGTGTCGGATGCTGCTTGCTCCTAGGCGTGCTACGGCCTTTCTCTGGCCTTCTCGAGGTTCGATCGCCAACAAAAGGCCACCAATCCTGGGGCTTGAGTGAGTGCTTGGGCCTCGGGAGCTAAGAAGGTCTTCCTTGAATCTCGTCCCTGCTTGGGCGCCACACTCTAAATCTCGCCTGCAACGCCGGCAGATGGTGGGCTTCAGATGCAAGCCTTGTCGGACCAGTGGTTAGTGTCCAGGCGAGCGGCCTTTAGGAAACGACGCTGCGAGCTCTGAGCACGCCGAGGACGATCCACAGCCGGGGATCTGACCCGCTGACCATGCCCATTCAAATGGCTTCTGCCCGCTTTTTCAAGGAAAACCCTCCGTTGTCTTACGCCTGCTCCGCTTGATTTGAAGGAGCGTCTTTACCCATGAACCATGAGCGGCGGCAGAAACGCTCATGCCAACAGTGACGGCTTGGTTCTGAAGCCCTACGACGATGGAGATTTTGGGGTCGTGCAAGCCTGCATCGAGAACATCTCCGGCAGGCTGACGAGTGGATGGCATGCCGCCCTCTAGGGCACTGGCACAGTCCCTCCTGTGGCGCTGTCCACTTCAGAAGACTTTTCCTTTCCGCTTCGGACACACTTTTGCTCTGCTCGTGAAAGCAATTGTCACCCGTGTCTGGGAGGAGTCAATCTTGACGTACTGTACCAGGCACACGCGACCCATCATTCGCTGTTTGCTATGCCGTATCGACGCCGTTCCCCATCAAGCTGTCCTTGTCAAAGTTGTCTTTTGCGTTGGGCGCGATTCCCACCTGCATGTCACTGCAGCTGCATCCCTAGGCTTCTTGTATACGTTGCTCCTTCCACAATTTCAAGGTACTTGGACTTTTTCTCCTTCCTTTACCAACCAAACGCTCCTTTACTTTCTTTCGTACGATCTTTCCCTCGGTTTGTCGTCGGTGTCTTAATAGTCAATCTGTATCGCCCTACCCACCCTCTCCAACACCGCACCCCACTCTCCTCAAATCGCACGGTTCATGCTTTACGAGTTGGGTACGGATCTATTCTCTGGTCGGCGACGGGGCCATTTTCTCGAGGCAAACTTGGACGTCTTTGTGAGGGAATTACGGGGGCTGAGTGGTCTTTGGTTCGACTATCTGCGCTTCAGGGTCTCTAGTATTTTCGAGTGTCGATCGCATCACGAATAGTCGAGCACTGCGAGAGTGTTGATCCTGTGCCAGACCTGTTCAGAACATCTGCGCAAAGGCGGCGCTGCAAGTCGACATCCTGACTTCTTGTCGCTCATTTGAACCTGCGGTCACGGGTGGCCACAGTCTTCATCTTCCTTTTGACAAGGCCACCGCCAATAGGCCCCGGTATTCACTACCATCCAGCCTCGAGGCGCATTTGCAGGCATCTTTGGATATTGTATGAGGAAACACAATCTGGCGATTGGGAAAGGGTGGCATCAGAAGAAAAGAAGGTTGTTCTATTCGGCGCATCATATCAGAATACGATTTGTGCGGAGGCCTGTTTCTACTTTCATCACTCTGGCGCCGACGGACGAGTTGTCTTTCCTTAAATGGACGGCAATGACCGTCGACGTACGCAGTATGGACAACCATACCAGACGCCTGCGCAGTCGCGGCCTCTACCTGGACAACCCATGGGCCCGCCCTCCGGCGACCGGTATGCGCAGCCCACCACACCTGCGAGAAGCGACATCGGCGGGTCTTCTTTGACACGACCGTATCTCCCTGGCTACCCTGGGTATAGTTTTCAAGAGCAGCAGTATGGCACCACACAAATACAGGGCGGTAGTCCAATGCAAGGCGTGCAGATGCAGTATTCGCCCGCATACATACACGACGCTTCTAGGCAGCAACAAGTTCCGTCTTCACCTTCTCAACAGCAACAGCAACAGCAACAGCAATATACGCAGTACGGACCAGGTTCGATGCTTCCGCCAGTCGGGCCTCAATCGCTGTACGACAATATCCCATATCAGCAGCGACAGACAGCCCTCGAGGTGATGGCCAGTCAATTTGCAGTACCGCAGTACATGCCACAGGGGGAACATGCGGGACTAGGGGTCGGGTCCAGCTCATCCCAGTATCTGACAACTCAGCCAGAACAGAGCGTGTACGGTGGTGTGCCTGTAACGCGTGGCCCCTTGCACCAGCCTTATCCTGGCGGGCAGGTGGACTTTCCTCAAGTGGAACAACAACCCGCGCAAGGGACAATCGAACCGGACACTAATCAGGAGGCACTGCGACAGGGGTTGAGAGACTACAAACAGCAGATCAAGTCAACGTTCGACGACATTGTTGCTGGCAGAGTGACAGAAGCCAGCGACAAAGTCCTTGCGGCCACACGTTGGTTAGTGGGCTCCGTGAGCGCCCTGGGTGAGTTTGCTACCAATATTCCGGAAGAACAGGCGCTAATCGTTCAAGGCCTGCAGCATGACGACGAGAGCAGTCATGAAGAGCGCATCGAGCTCTGGACAGAGTTAAATTTATGCTGGGAAGCTCTTGGCCAAAAGCAGAAAGAAATCACAGAGGAGGCATTACGGACAACGAGGCTCCCAGCAGACATTCTTTCCGGCGAGACCATCGCCCATCTGGTAGATGAGCTGGTCAACTTGTGTGATCAACTAGAGCAGTACGGACTTGTTGATTTCGAACTGGGCATTTGGGAAGAGCAGATCACCCACATTTTCACCGTGTGTCTGGACCTCCTCCCTCGCAGTGGCCTTACTGGACAGACTGATCGACTACAAGCTGGACCGAGCTGAACACAATCCGCTCTGACGGCATTTTGGGTACGACTCTACGACCAAATTACTAATAGCACCCTTTTCTTTGTACCCAGCAAGACTACCATTCGATGACTTTACACTTTGGGATGATATATGATTTGTACGAGTACCACGTTTGTCCAATCTGAACGATTGTATGATTATGAAATCGAGACTGGAACAAAATTCAGCTCACGACAAAATTTGCATGTCTAGGATATGCGGGAGAATGTGGGCGGCGATCTTGAGCCTTTGGCTGTTCCTTTTGTGTCCTGCAGGGGTCCGGGTCCTTTGCACGGATCTATATAGAGATATGCGCGCATTGTCCAATAGTTGCATGTGCTAACGGCTGGAATGTTTCGGGCTTTTTCCTTGAGTCTCACGTTTATGGGAGGAGGGAGGATGCTGGACTCGAATGTTGCTGGGCACGGTGAGCGGCATTGCTTTTTGCTTTTGCGATGGACAAAAATAGGGGCCACCCCGGAAAGACGTCGCATTGGCACTCATTTTCAGCCTTGCCTTGCGCCTCACTTTTGTATTCAAGCCACGATGTATGGCGCAGATCGTTTGGTCTAGCGCCTGCTCTCTGCTAGCGTGGCGTGTCGTGCACGCGAGGAACCTTTTCCCACAGCGCTGATCAAGGTGTAAGTACTCGTGGATTCGCAAAGGAAGAGCTGGAAAGGTCACCGACCTGCACCCACGTGTAGCACAGTGAGGATGGCCAACCCTCAAGTGATGTATGGCGTGGCCCTCCAGCGACCACGGCTTGTCACCAGAACAGCTCATCAACGCTGCCTAGGCGCCACTGCGTGAGCTGTTTCCCCAAGGGATAGAACACGGCCGCACGCGGCCGTGTATGCCTTGATATGTACCAGAGCAGCGTAGTTCTGTCCCAAGCTCTGTGGTGAGGGTGAGATATAGCACGCATAGAGAAGTCGGGCTCAATGGTTCGTAAGGAAGACAAGAACTAAGTGACAGAGCCATATTGTCAGACGCACGTGTCAAACGAACAAAGGAGCTGTTATTATGATGATAGAAACCTGCGGGCCGAGTGAGATGTCGAGGCAGGCGTGCGATAATCGCCCTCGTTGTCGACCCTTTTTGTATGACTCTGAACCTTCTGGTACTTTCCTCTCACCGTGTCTACCGGTACTCTTTAGCAAGCCCTCCGGAGACACGAAATCCTGGAACCCAACGAGTGAAGACAATGGTGACCATAGTCCCTTGTTTTATGCAGCCAACTGCTTTTTATGGCGCCGACGGCTGCCTCTTCTCCTTCTTTTAACGCCGTGCTGAAACGCTCAGATGCCCGAACCACGCCACAATCCAATATTTTTGACGAAGACTGGGAAGGTAGCCAGTCCCGGAAAATTGAAACCTTCGTAACCAGGGCAATCACAGACACACAAGAATTAGAAAGATGCCTTGCAGGGGTCTGTTCACGGCGGCGTTTGGCGACCACCTGCGTCCGGAGGCTGTGCAGTAGGCGGCGATGGCTGTTGAGACTCGCCGTCTCCGTCAGCCACCACTCTCACTTGTGGGTCGGGAATCTGTATGTCGAGGTTCATATACCCGGTCCGTCGAAGAGGAATGAGTTTCACTCCATCTCTAGCGCCGACGGTATGGTTCCAGTCTTCAAACCACTCTTCCAAAGCCGTCAATTGCCCCTTGAGACCCATTGGCCGGAAATCCTCCCAGAACCAGCCAGTTATGAGACCCATGAACCCATCGAACCAATTCCATGCGGAGAAAGGGTCGTATGCTTGACACAGTGTCTGATTGATATGCTCAATGACATAGCGGAATTCTTGCTCTTGCATCAAGGGATCTAGAATCTCGGGATAGATGTTGGAGTACGTTGGGGCCAGGTCACCTGCAACCATCCAGTCTCGTCGTATTCGGATGATTCGTGTAGCACGGTATTCGGGCGAGTTGATGGGAACGTGAGGATTTAGGTGCGGATAACAAGGATGTGATGGACCCCAGACAAGTTCTTCTCCTACGCTTCCTTCATCGACCCCTGGGTAGCCTTGTCCAACCTCTTCCTGCGAACCACTTGCCGGCGCAGCTCCATCCGTGTTCGTTCGAGCATAAGCAGAAGAGTGTATTGACGCGGCCGACTGTGCCCGTCTGAGGGAGCGATGTGATGTTATATGCCGAGGCGGTTGTAGCGGCTGATCATGCGGGTTGACACCATAACTCTGGCCCAGTACCGAAGTACCTTGTTCAATGTCGCGTTCGCGAGTACTGTATTTTGAAGTAGGAATTTGTGCCCGTTCCGGTTCTTTGACGACACCAGCTTGTTTCTCCAAATCAACCATCAGTCCAACCCCTTGTGCCGACGACTCGGGCACGCCGGCGCGTTGATGACTGAAAGGGAGGCCGATGCTGGTGCGACTACCAGCGTGCGGTGTCAGATGAGGACTATGTTCGACGATGGGATCAGTAGGGGAATGTTGGCGGGATCGACGCTGCTCGGGAAGGCTAAGTAGAGTATGGACTTCGCCAGAGCCAATGTCTGTAGAGGTGTGATGTTGGTGCTGAGGTTGAGGTTGCACTCGCACGCGAGTGGGTCGAGGGACGTAATTAATGGGATTGAGGATGCGAGACGTGGCAGAACGGTGGTCTGGAGGAATAACTTTCTTCGTCGGCCGGGCTAACAGAGCTTCGAGAAAAGATCTCCTCTGGCTCTGCGCCTCGGGTAGAGAACGTGAGGGCGTCAGGTCGATCGGTGCGTGCTCGGTGACAGGCGGGCGAGCCGTGGGCAACGTCAATAATAATGGGTCTGGATCTGAGATTTGACGGTCGTAGGATGTTACTGGCGGCGGAGCATCTCTGGCGGGTTGTTTTTCAAGCGCCCGCGGTGAAAGATGACTGCGATGGATGTCTGAGGACTCCGTGGTGGAAGAAGGAATGGATGAGATTTGTGGGAGAGTCGGAATAGGGAGATTAGGAGAGGCCGCCGTGGTCGAATAGCGATGCGCCCAGGCTCTGGCAGGAACCCGTGCCACTGCATAGGACGGCGGCAGTAGTGGGAAGAATGAATGGACACTTGTATGCAGGAACGACAGCTTATTCTTTCCACTGGCACAGCCAATGTATACATAGGGACTCTCAGACTCTCATGCCCTAGAGGCACCAAGAGATCCTTTCAATCGTTCTACTCGCTACCCGACAGGCTGACCGTGAGAAGTGTGTGCCTGATTATATTGCCCTTGTGCCACCATCGCCGGAACGAGCTTTCCCCATGGTTTTGACTCGTCTGAGCCACTTCGCATCATTTCGACAAGGTGATCCGTGTCGTCGACGCTTGTTGACCCCATTCACCCGGGCAAAATCCACTGGCCACAGTGACGTCCATTTCCAATAACGGTACTGGGCACGACTGGGGTGACGATGAAGAGACGATCAAAAGAGCAACGCGCAGGGTATGCAGAACCTTCTACCCAATTTTCTTCTGGCGGAAACCGTCGCGTGCTTTCCACAATGCTGGTTCAGAGCCTTTCCCCGGCGGCGCCATTGACTTTTAGTGCCCACCATTAGGAATTTTCCATGATGGATGACGGATTTCGGGCATCACCTCGACAAAAGGGGGAAGTGATGGTCGACGGGAAGCCTCCAATTTAGGCCCGCCCTCCTTTCAGATACGTCCACTGTTACAGACGGGCATTCTATAACTTCAATCGCAAATGTGAGCTTCCGAGAGTGTCACCACCATTCCACAATCCAAGTAGAGAGCACCTAGAGAGTATCTCAAAGTTCTGTGGTTGTTGGTGCTTGTGTATAGCTGCAGAGCAAAAGGTACCTTCTTTCGTGACCTCCCTGTCCATGGTGCCATGGCATCGCTAGCCTCACTCTACCCCAAAATGGGTCAGTGGCCGCCAAGTGAGCCTCCTGAGCCTTGCAAGTGGGCCAACGTGCATGAACCATTGCATTTCACTTCGCCTTAAAGAGACGTTGTGCCCCCTACTTTGATTTCGCTTCTTCGGTACCGACAATTTCAGCATCTCTCTTCGAGACAATATCATTGTCCCTCTCGCTGACTACCACGCCAACATCCACTTGAGGGTGCTTGTCAACACCACGGTTGAGATTACCATCATCTTCGAGGGCTGATTGAAGCGAGTTGAACCATTCGTCGGCGCCGAAGATGCGGCCGTTGCACTGGACGAGCTTATCGTGTGCGCGCCTGGCGAGGAAGGTGGTGGAATCGAAGACGACTCTGAAACTGGCGGAACTGAGCTGGTCATCGAAACACTGGAGCTGGTGATGGTGCTGAGAGCATTTGTTGGATTTGAGGTGCTCGTCTGGTTTATCGACCAAGTTACAGTCTCAGATGCTGACGTTGGAGTCGCACCGGACGTGCTCGAAGTGATCACAGCAGGTAAGGTTGACTGGGTAGGTATCGCTACCGTGCTGAACAGAAGATCGGAGGACGGGATCGAAACGGTGGCTTCAGGGCCGACTGTTAATGGAACACTGAATATAGCGCACAATTGTGCAACGGCCATGAATGTGTCTGGACGTTGTCAATCTTGGCAGCAGTTGCACAGCGCCGGGAGATATACCTTGTTGGTCTGTAGCATTGCAAGATGCTATGGTGCAATTGTTCATTCGTTCAATATACATGTCATTTGCACAGAGACATGGCCATTCGCTGGCAAATGCATCAGCTCGAGGTGAGAGGTGGGCCTCAGCAAGGTCCTACCTTGGTGAACAGTTTGTGCCATCGACATTTGCAATACAAGCAAGCTGTGGCCACTCAGCAAAGTCCGGAATAAGAACCACGGACCGTACTTACAGCGCATTGATCGACATCGTCCTGAGCGACTGCCTGAGCGGCGAATGAAAAGCCGAGTGCTGCAAGAAGAAGTAAACTGGAGGTGCCAATCATTCTGAGGCGTAGAATGGATTGATCCGCGGGGGTTGTGCAGAGGTTGTTGACGGATAAGGAAAGGGAATTAGAGATGCGATGGTAGATAGGATGATGAAGGCAGGTTAAGGTGTCATCATGTAGGAATAGTGAGTCAACCAGGCAACATTCAATTCATTGGTAGCCGTGACTGCCTTGTAAGCTTCGGTTTGATCGAGGCGGGCGGTACTCGAGCATTAACGAGAATCTGTCATTTCTCATGACCCTCTAGTCAACTTCGAGGTCGGTGGTAGGGGAACCATTCTCTGTCTCATGGAAGTGCCTCCCAGCAAATGCGGATGATGTTGAAGACGATCTTCCACCCATGTTGAGCACGACTATGGTAGAACCGAGTTGCTTTTGCGTCGCATGACCTGAACGTGCGTGAACTACATTGCTTGGCGATTGTTTACGATATGACGTAGCAGCTAGTAGACTGCAAGCACTGGTCTCTTCCATAATATATTCCATTAGGAGGCTACGAAATAATCTTGCAAGGGAAACATAGAAAACAAATAGAGATTAAGTGAATCTCCTTATTCATTGATTGACTGGATCGTAGTCAGGGTCATTGTATCAAGTCCATGCCGTCCCCAATATCAATACAAGTCATCATGAATGCAGTTTTCATCATACTCAAGGCCTGAGTTTGCCCATAGCTGAATGCGCCAATCCAAATTTATGCAAGGTATCAAAAGGCTCCCAACATCGTAGTCACCAAATGCAATCCACTTTCAAAACAGTAGTTAGTTTACAAAGCAATCATGGTGACGAAAATGGCGGCAACGAGCGCACCGCAAGCGCCGAGACCGCGGAGGGAAGAGGCAGCGCCGTTATCCGAGCTGCCAGTGGTCGTCGCAGCTGCAACAGCCTGGATACCAAAGGTGGTGCCGGTGATGACTTGAGTAGAGCCGCCAGTAGTGACAGTGGTGGTGATAGTAGCTGGGATGGGCGAAGCAGTAGTACTGCTGCAGCCAGACCAGGTACCGGTCCACGAGGAGAAAGGACCCCAACCAGCAGTCCAGGTGGTCCACGAGTCGCAGTTGATTCCGCTGGCCTTGGTGCCCCATGGGCCGCCAAATGGACCTCCTCCGGGGCCACCATGACCTCCCCACGCACCAGGACCACCCCATCCGCCTTGGCCGTTCCAGCCGCTAGGTGCAGACGGCAGACCGGTTGAGCAAGCAGAGATCCAGCTTGACCACTGACCGGAGTTCCAGCCGCCACCAGGGCCAAAGCCTGGCCCTGCGGTGATCTGAGATGGCCAAGCAGAACCACCAGAGGTAGCACTGAAGGTAGCCTGTTGCGAGTTGGTGACGGTTACACCAGCATTGGCGCAAAGTTGTGCGACGGCACCGTAGATAGCTGTACACCCCAAGTCAGTATAGTCTCCTCTCTTCCCAGTCTGATGTCGCTCACCTTCTTGATCTGTTTGGTTTGTGCAGGAAGTAGCGACGCAGGTGTTCATCTGGGAGATGGCGGTTTGGTTCGAGCAAAGACAACTCCAGCCGCTGCTTGAGTCGCAGCTTGTGCCATCCCAGCTGCCCATACAATCAGACCACTGTAGAGCAAGTTAGTTTCATTGGCCATTGACAAAAGATTCGGCCAGACATACTGCGCAGGATGGGAGCCATGCAAAAGACGAAGAGGCGAACAAAGCCGCAGCCAAAGCGAAGGACTTCATGTTGACAGTGATGCCGAGCAAGGTATAGGAGATGCTTCGTCAGAGGGTTCAGGTCCAGGCTCTCTAACTAAGGAAGAGGAGTGAGGTAGGTGGGACGCTCTGATGGATTGTCTGAGGATGAGCAAGAGCCACCAGAGGAGGCAGGGGAGGGGAAAGATATAGTATTGTACCCCACGGCAACCATAAGGCGGGCTGTGGCTTCGTTGTCCACTCCATTGACACTGACAGTATGAGTGGGCTGGGTAGTACAGTACTCGCAGCACAGCCTTGCCGGGCATGGCTGGAGAAAGGGCCCAAGTTAGAAACCGGTGGTTAGCTCGCAGTGACAGGGACGAACTAAATGTCAGAGAAACGCGTCATGCAAGCCACGGAGAATTCATTTGTTTGCTTGCTTCCGTCGGACTGGGTATAGCGAGGGGGGCTGGAGATTTGCAAGGCCTGCGCCCAGGTTGGCCTGACAAAAGCTCTTGGTTGTCCGACGAGCTAGGACATATGTCCAATCGGTGACATTGGGCTACAAGAGTCGGCCACTGATTCGTTGCTAATTTGAGCACCATCGGGACCTGGGGAAAATTCAGGTGCAGCGGCCCTGCACATCAGCCTCAGTAGCATCAGTAGCCCCAATATTGACACCCCTTCGGCAATAATATACTGCAGTGGCTTCGTGCCTGGAGTCCTGGACGACCATCTGGCCAAGAACAGACGAGGCTTTGAAAATGATTCAACAGATCTTGCACTTGCTATCAGCCATCATAAACCATTCCTCCCAATAAGGGAGTGTAATTCGGAGTACACAGTACACAGTACACAGTTCTCTTCGTTATCGCGAGTCCAGCCTGATCTGCGGCCAGAGTCCCACCTTGCTTGGCTCCATCGTAGCGTGATGGCATCGATCTGAAGGTTCAACGGCACTGAAGGGACATTGTCCCACCGCCAAGTTACACGGGTACGCAACATCAAATCCTTCTCTCTCATACAGACAAGTTTCGTAGAAATCATTAATCATGGACTGTGAGGACTGTATCACCAGATCTCTAGTGACGCGCAAGCCCCTTCACTGCAGCCCTATGGGCGTCGATTTGCTTCATGTCGGTGATCGGCACCTGAGGGGCCCGCGTAGGGGCCTTGAGAAGTCGATTGTCGGGTCCGACGGCTTGGGGAGGCAAGCTAACCGGTGTTTAGCGTCTTCAGTCTTGAGAAGGCTGTCCTTGGTGCTGAATCCTTTGACACGAAGTCGGCCCCAAATTTCCTTTTTCTAAAGTTTAGAAGTTTCACATTGAGGATCTTTTCAGGCTGGTGGTTCGAACAACCCAGGCTTCATGTTAATTTTGCACAATTTCGCCAGACAGCCGCTCAGTTGCAGAAAAGATTGCACTCCCTCCAGGATGCGCATATGGGTGAAGCCAATCTCCTTGATGAATTCAAGTTTCGAGTGTTCCGAAAGCGTAGGAATCATCTTAGTCACCCGGAACATAGTGCTTATGATGTCGTGTGAGGAGTATCCCAGATCCCTAGAACGCAAATACTTGGTTAGTTACGCGTTCTATGTTTCCTCCGATGCATGCTTACCATAACTCTTTCAATGTGTCGATTGCGCTGTCAATCTTGCCCTCCCAGCACGCCTTGATCATAGCCTGCACTTTGACTGGATGAGGACTATCCACGACTCGGAACACATTGTCACCGCTGACGAACCCGAATCCAGCCCAGGTACTTTGCAGGTTGTTGATAGCCTGTCGCATATCTCCCTCCGCACTGAACACGAGCGCCGCCAGACCATCTTCGGAATATTGGACGTGCTCTGCCTCAATAATTTGCATCAGCCGTTGTACCACTTGCGCGTCTGTGAGCTTCGAATATCGCAGGATTGCGCATCTCGACTGCAGGGGTTCGATGATCTTATTGGATTGGTTGCAAGCGAATGCGAATCGTGTTGTGTTCGAATAAATTTCCATGGTTCTTCGAAGGGCTTGTTGCGCACCAGCAGTCATGCTAAGAACCTGGCGTTAGACCTGCAAATACGGAGCTTCGTCATCCCATACCTGTCTGCTTCGTCCAAAATAACAAGTTTATGTCGGCCAGGAGGCAACGTCACCTTCTTCTGAGCAAAACCCTTGATCCTGTTTCTGACCACGTCGATACCTCTTTCGTCACTTGCATTCAGCTCAAGGACAGCTTCTTTGTATGCATCGCCTAGCAGGGTACGGGCCAGACAGAGGATGGAAGTTGTTTTCCCGATGCCTGGCATCCCAGATATTATGACATGAGGCATATTGCCATCTTTTGCAATGATCTTGAGTCGCTCGATCGTCTCCGAGTTTCCAACAACGTCATCTAGGTAGACAGGTCTGTATTTTTCTACCCTGATACTCGTTAGCCTTGATGCAGTCTCAATTGGACCGGGACGCACCAGGGTAATTCGTAGTCGGCCGTCGCTGCATTGTTGCCGGCATTTAGAGCTTTTCGAGCCCCTGCAGACGATGACTCTGGCTGTCCAGACATGACTATCGATAGTGCAAAGGTTATGAACTATCCACAGCCGCTCTGTACGGGTGGTGTTGGGGGCAGGTGTTTGCGAATGAATATGTTCGGGCGCAGGCGCGTCACAACCAGACGCGTTAAGTGGAGGCTTGGCAGGTCCAGGAAATGTCATATCTGAAGCGGGGTCACGTGGGCGTTCCCTTGCCGGCACCGATTTTTATACCATCGTCCCTTCCTCACCTTCTCCAGACCCTCTTCACTCTCACTCACTCTCGCTACACTACATACTGATATTGTGCAGCCTACTGCCCATAGGCATACGATTATGCTACGGCTCAAAAAGTTGTGTTCATCTCAAAACGCAACTGCGGAGACTTCAAAAACGTCATCGCATTTGCAACCCTGCATCGACGAGTAGTGGTGGTATCGAACTCGACTACTTCTTGATCTCAACTATCTGTTCGATTTTTCCTTCAGCTTGTTAGCGAATAGTGTTATTATCCAGCTTTCCCAAGCTGATGCTTAGGGAGAAGCACGATAGTTTGATTATACTGGTCCTTACAAGTACAACCGGGAACCTAGGGTCTCGAATTCTGCATACAATATTGCGTGAGCAGCTCATACCTCCGTCAGAGATCATAATTTCGTCAACCAAACCAAGCAAAGTTTCGGTTGTCGCCCGCGAGGCCGGCATTGACATTCGTCAGGGCGATTACACCTCGCCTGAATCATTGGCGTCGTCGTTTAGAGGCGCGGAAGCTCTGTTCCTCGTGTCCTTCCCTTCCGCAAGTGTAGAGAGATGGCTCTATCACAAGTCTGCAATTGACGCTGCGAAGGCCGTCGGGGTCAAAACCGTAATCTACACGAGCCTGATGTTTGGTGGCGAGACAGGGCTTGATAGTATCGCAGGCGTTCAGCAGGCGCACATCAAGACCATCGAGTACCTGACGCGAAGCGGTCTGCAGTATGTGATCGTGCGAGAAGGCATATATGCCGAATATTGGTCGGTATATGCTGGCTTTCAACCGCAGAAGTACCACAAGGGCGACTCAACTGAGATCAGGTTCGTGATCCCGAACGACGGTCCTGTTGCTTGGGTCACCACGGACGACTTGGCGCAAGGCACGGCAAGGATTCTCCAAGACTACGAGAGATACATTGGACGGACATTGAACTTGACTGGGCCACGGGCCACCAGTGTCGGCGACATTGCAAAGCTTGTGGAACACCATACAGGTCGGAAAGTCAAGGTTGACATTGTAGGCAGAGAGGAAGCCCAACGATATCACAAGTATGAAAAGAAAAGTCTGCCGGCGGACAAGTTCTGGGTCATTGACAGCTGGTCGGGGTGGCATGATGCGATGGCTCGGGAAGAGACTGCGATGGTTGATCCCCTGCTTGCCGGCCTGCTGGGCAGACAACCCAGCGGTGTTGAAGAGATGGCCGAGAGGTTGTTCAAGCCAGAGTAAGGCAGCTGTTTGTCGCGATTGCGTGGGAAGTGTATACATCCAGTGACACTTGCGGACTTGCATTGAAACTGCCAGCCGTCGCCTGTCGATCAATACTCGACTGACGTTGCTCAATTTTGCTGGGCACGTCGTGGCATGTGTATATCATCATCTTGGCCCAAAGTGACTGTTCGCGTGGTAAATTAGTTCGCATGCGGGCTAGCAAACGATACCCATGGGACACAACGACCCCGTTCTACCTTGAAGCGAGCAATTGCACGACGGATATTCGCCAACATATGGAGCAGAAGGATGGGAACGTTTCACAAGGCTGACAATTTCAACTACTTACCTCAGCCTCTAATACTCACCTCGGCTGTCGGCTTTATTTAGCCATTTACTAGCCGTGTGGATTTCGATGAAAAAACATGGACATGTCGTGGTTCGGGTTGCTAGCTGGATTGGGTCTGGGATTTCGAATGGCGCACACATACTGGTACATCTTTCGCGACCTTTTCGGAACATACCATAGTAAGCTGCACAAATAAGACAAGGATGGCGCTGCGCAAGTGGTTCAGGGTGCTCGTGGGTGGTCTGCTTACGACGCAGTGGCTTTGCCTGTACCACCTGTCATTGGGGGAGTCTCTCGGTAAAACGGGAACCTGGAGCTGCAAGGGCGTGAAGACGGCTCTGTATCGACTCGGCAGCGACGCGACACCCAAAATTCTCTCACACAACTTCTTACGAGTACCAACCACCATCATGCATGTCGGCATGAACCATGGGGGATTCGTAATGTTCCCTACCACTCGCTGGCAACCTGCCCATTACTGATTCCCGCATCCAATGATTCGGAGTCACGCTTTCCCGGACATAACAGTGACAGCCCATTGTGCCTTGTACGTGTCTGTGTCGCATCGAGTCTTCTATCTCAGCCCACCCTCCATTACCTTTTCCTTTCCCCTTCCACGCAGCATCCTTATCCCGTCGCCCATCCTTGAAGACAACAAGACCGCCAAGGTCGAAAATCCTCACCTGCACTTCCTTTCGCCATGGGCCTATCCGATCCTTTGGTCGTTCTTATATGCGTCCTGATTGCGGGGCTCGTTGTCGCAGCTGGGGCTGCGCTCCATCAGGTTGTCACCAGAGGATCAGGCTCCGATCCTAACAGAGAAGGAATATTGCCCTTTTCAAATGAGCAAGATCATTATATGAGACAAGTACGAACAAGGAATTTTGCTCACTTCTTTGATGGCCCACAGCCAAATTATCATCCGTCTCATGGAACTACCGTCACCACTACGACGCACGCTTAATTGATCCCCATTACATTCAGCCAGACCCGCGGTTCCGTCCAATGATCGAAGAGTCTGGTGTCTGAAATACCAGTCGCGAAAGGGATGCCCCTGGGTTCGATAGGCTCAGTGATGGAGCCCTACCGCCTGACGAGCGAGGGCAACACCACAAGAATGTATGGTGGCGATATAGTTCTCGACCAGAGGAAGCAGCAGATCGCCCACATCCGCATCGACTGACGTCAAAAAGATCCTACCATTGGCGCCAATAGAATCGCACTGAGTTCAATGCCTAGTGGCCGGCAACTCCTTACCAGCGAGTGTTCCAGTCGACAATCATATCGTTGCATCACTGGAAAAGAAGGCCATCTTACTCTTCAGCTGCAGTCATATACTATCTTGCGGCCAGTGCCCCTCGCCAGATCCTTGTCATGGCCCAGCAGATCCGAATCCTAAGTCTCATCAACACATTACTGCCCGTCCAGCTACGACAGAATCCTCTAGGCAAATTGGCCGAATTTTGATGGACTTGCTTGGGCAGCTGCAGGAAGGGAGAATGCACGGCAACGAACCTACACTACCGCATCGGCGGACCCATGTCAAGTGGAAGATGGACTGATCGTAGCCACCTCCTACGACGTAGCTCGACATCTTGACACGATTCGATGGACACCGATATCAATATATTCAACATTCCTGGATCCGTGAGCTATTCACGAACCATGAAAAACATCTACCGCACGAATCTCGTATTTAGACGAGGCCAAAACAACTCAAGCAAAACACTGCCTTTGATCTCGAGAGGGGTCAAGACTCAACATACAGCATCGAGGCTATCCACAATCGCAATTGATCGGTTCCTTCCAAATCGACGGAGTCCTCGTTACTAGCCTGGTTGTGATACTGGGCCAGAGTCAATAACGGAATTAACCATGCCGACGACTGCTCGTCGCTTGAATGAGTAGCGTTCAAAGCTGAGTCTCGCTTCCTGAAGCTTGGGTGACGGGCAGTCAAGCCTGTTTATTAGCGGTTATAGGTGATAGATCACAACCCTGTCTTGTGGTCGTGGTACCTGATGTCTCTTGCCTCAAGGACCGAACCGGTCTTCAATCCAGACAGTAAACTTGAAGGCCGACTGGCTCGTCCTTCCATTGGAATCTGCCAATGAATCTACATATAGAACGATCAAGACATATCCTGATCTCAAGTCCAAACCGTGCTTAACATGTTATTGCCATGGCCTATTCTCTTATCACGCATATAGAACTCCTGTAAGCAATGCTTCGTCGCGCGACACAAGGTCGTGAGCGGGGCGTCGGTGGTGACGGCGCGCAATTTCGAGCGGCGAGAGTTGGCCCGTCGCTTTCAGCACTCTGGGTGCGGACATACTTGCCGCGCCTTTTATCAATTCCGACACCTCTGCGTTGGGAGATAGTCGTACGATCGTTTACAGTTGTGCCATCGCTCGTCGGCGAATGTCATATCGCCTGAACGCACGTAGATTAGCTATACTGCAAAGATGACGATGGAAAAAGGTCGTATATGTAGGCTGGTTGTGTCAGCTCACTAAGCCTCGTCAGTATATGAAGACTGCATACATCCAACCTGCGTCTTCTAGATACTCGTTGAAAATCTGTTTCCAAGCCAGGAGTCTCAAAGCCAAAAGACCTTGCAAAAAGTGCTTCAATACCCCTTCTTTCGGCAGAACCACTTGATCCTCATAAATCCATCTCCTGCCTCCTACCTGCTGCCCCCTCCCCCTGGCTTGCTTCCATCGCTTGCTTCAGTTTCATCCAGAGCACACAACGGCCCTCCATCTCTTGTTCCCGGCCCTATCATCAACAGTACCCCGAGAAGGGCATACAGGCACATCAAGCGCCTCAACTGCCACCATGTCGGTCTCAGGCTTCTCCGTCCAGCATGACCCGGAAGTCCAAGCATACAACAAACTTCGCGCCACATACCTCGCCGCTGAGAAGGAGCGCAGACGAGACGAGAAGTCCCGGAAGCAGGAGGAGAAGAAGCTGCTAGAGTCGTTCAAGAAGGATCGAAGGATGAAATCACGGACCGGTACGTTTTGTTTCGCCCCCGAAATTGTCCGACTCACCCGGCGCTGATGGCTGGTCGGTAGGAAATCGAAATGTTGTCTCCAGGATTCTCCACCCGGTCGGGAAAGACAGAGACGAAAGACTGCTTCCGGAGGTGATGGGAGCGAAATCTGTTGATTCGGAAAGCGACTTGGACGAGGTATCACTGAAAGAGGCGTTGAGATGAAACATAACGAGTTGAGACGAGACGAGACGAGGTGAGATGGCATTCGCATCTGTCTGTACTTCCCGGCTCTCGTTTCACTCGATTCTGGGATTGTTGGCTTTTCGGTCTCGATTTCGGAGCGTTTCTGGCAAGCCGGTTATCCCCCAATCGGGCCACAGTTCTGATAGCCCCTGTATGAAGATAATCGTCCAGTTTGTTTCATCCGAGTGCGAAGGCCGGCCGTCGCCGGTTCTCCATCCCATGTTCGAAGTTGGCCTCTGCGCAAGTCCTCGACAAAGTATTTTCTCGGCACAGCCGCAGGTTGTAATAACGACATTCTCGTGGTTACCGTTCGAGGCTCCAAAGCTTCGCGTCGTCCACTCCGCCTCCACTCGCCGCCACGCCGCCCAGCCAACTTCCTCTGGCTTCGACGCGTAGACTCACTCCTTTGGCCGAGCACCACTGACTCAGGGCGGCAGTAACAGCGGATTCATCGTCTCTGGGTACTCTGATCCAGACATTGGGACCCTCGACCTTCAAGATATCGATGGCAATGGCCGTGCCGGTTAGGCCAAGATACTGCTGCAACGCCGCCGTCAGATAGGAGCGGGCTGTGATCTCGTCTAGAGATTGACTAGATTGTGGTGGTAGCGCCGCAAGTGACTGGATCGAGAGGTGGAAATATGCGTATGGCGGGTTGCGCAGGGTGAAGGATGTCGTGGTATCCCGCTGTGTCATTTTGCTGGTGGCCATTGTGAATCGAGCCAACTTTTCTCGGCTGGACAAGCGACTTGATCCGCTCCTATCTACCTGTAAGGCCAGACTGTCCTGGATTTAAAGCTCAGGTAACATTCTTATTATAGCATGACCGTTGGTGGATACTTGTAGTTACCTCGAAAAGAATAGTAGTCACAAGAATGAATTAAATGTTAGAAAAGACCGGGCCGTCACTCTTATTGGTCCACCGCCAACGCCACCTATTTGGTACACCTATTCATCCAATTCATACTCATACCCGTATATCAATTCAGCGACTATTCCGACCATATTCATCGTGTACTTGAACTCTGATGCTCTCCAGAGTCCGGCTTCTATCCCAGTGCCTGACGCCTCCCAAATCAATATCCCAACGACGGGCTCTGTGGCGAAGCACCATGTCCATCTCGTCCACCTCGACCTCAAAATTCACTCTCCCAGGCACCACGCCCAGCATTCCCATCACCCATCCGACATGCCTGACTCAAGACCAAATCTTGAATTTCCCAGCCTTCAAAACCTGGCTCGCCACCCTTCAACACTCCCTCTCCCTCCAAACAAGACAGTCCTCCCATCCTTTTCACAGCAGCCCCTACACCCTGCGATCCATCGACATCCAATCCGCCGACTTCTTCTCCGGCGGCCGACTAGGCTTCATCAAACTCCGCGCGACCGTCACCAATGACCAAGACGAACATCTCCCCGGCGCCGTCTTTATGCGCGGAGGTTCCGTGGCCATGCTAATCACCCTGTCGCCTTCTGACCCTGACCCTGACTCCGACTCACATTCGGCCGGAGAAGAATACGCCATCCTCACGCTCCAACCACGCATCGCCGCTGGCAGTCTCAACTTCATCGAAATCCCCGCCGGCATGCTCGACGACTCTGGCACATTCGCCGGCGCCGCGGCCATGGAGATCCACGAAGAAACCGGTCTCGAAATCCACAGTGACGAATTACTCGACATGACGCAACTTTCCATCCAATCTCGTGGGCATGAACAGGAACAGGACCAAGCCTCGCAAGGTACCGACGAAGTTGAACCACACCTTCAGAAAGCAATCTACCCGTCACCAGGGGGCAGCGACGAGTTCATTCCAATCTTCCTCGCCCGGAAGAGCGTGTCTCGGCGAAAGATTGACGAGCTCAAGGGGAAACTGACCGGCCTCAGAGACCATGGAGAGAAAATCAGATTGAAAATCGTGCCCTTAAATCAAGTGTGGAAGGCAGCCGCAAGGGACGGGAAGACATTGGCCGCGTTGGCGCTGTATCAGGGGTTGAAAGGGGAAGGAATGATCTGAATCATGTCTTCAACGCGTCGTAGAAGTGTTCGTCTGCACGTTGTGACAGCATGACGCTCACTAAACACAGATCAACGCTGCGACTGTTTCGGATGTATGCTACCTGTAATGTAGCTTTTCGGGGGGGCGTACCAACAAATCATCAGCATGCAGGACTTTTCGAATTGGATTGGGGGTATCTAATACAGTCCTAGAAGAAGCTGGGGGTCGCGAGCGATCCTACGACTGACTTGCCGACCCATTCTGCGTCACAGCCAGGTACTTCTCATGTGCCTTCCTCTGAGCATCCCACTCCTTCTTCAGCTTCTTGATCCGATTGGCAGACAATGCACCACTTTCCTTCGCCACCGTCGGCACGCCATCCTGGTCCCAGGCTGAATATTCGTTCGAATGCGGAGGCTTGAACATCTCGGTCGGACTGATTTTCCCTTTCTGCAACTTCTCCAGTGCTTCCTGTTCTCGCTTCTTCTTGGCCTCTTCCTTCGCAAGGGCCTTTTCTTCCCTCTCGCGCCGGACAGCCCTGAGTCCTTCAGTGACCGGCCGCACCAGTGCTGGGGCATTCTCGCGGTCCTCGAGATAGATGTCCAGTTGCCAAAGATCGACGTCTCGGACTCGATCGCAGAGAGCTAGGATCTGTTTGTTCAAATCACCACTTTCGGCAGGAGCTGTCACTTCAAGAGCATTCTTGCTGAACTGACTCAACGCACGTGCATATGAGGGCCTCGGTCTCCCGCTAGGAGGCGGCTCTTCCAGACCGGGCGATGTCGAGACAATCTGCTGGACCTTTTCTGGGGTGATGGACTTAGCTATTGCTGCTTGCCGGAGCTCATCCCGCATCGTGGCCAGCGTGTAGACATACTCCTTCGCAGCCTCGGGGATATCAATACCTTTCCAGCCTATTGTTTCTGTGTCCGCAGGCTCGCTACCGTTCAGACCGAAGATATTTACCAACCTGGTGACGAAACGCCCAGTATTTCGGTGGTCATCTGCGGTCAGATCGGATTTTTTGGCGCTGTTGTAGGCGTTGATGAGAGCTGAAATTGTGCTCATGGCAAGTGGAGTGTTGAAGGAATCGAGAAGGGCATCACGGACTTTTTCTTCTGCATCCGCTAGGGCGCTCGACATGATCGACCCGTGGTCATTGGTGGCCTTTGCAGTTTTGATGTTTTCAACGGCGTTAAGGAAAAAATTGTCCACCCTGTCCTCCCAGTTCCGACCTTCCACAACCATATCGTCGGTGATTTCTATACCATCTCTCCAGGTCCCCAGCAAGAAGATAATGCGAAGACTTCTTGCTGTCCATTCTTTCCGGACATGAATAGCTTCTCGAATGGTGGTGAAATTCTTTAGCGACTTGGACATTTTTGAGCCTTGGATCGACAGGTGGCCCATGTGAAGGAAGTAATTCACCCATTGACGATGGCTACCGTCGGCCCAGAATGCTTCACTCTGTGCCAATTCATTGTCGTGGTGGGGGAATGCCAGGTCGATGCCTCCAGAATGGATATCCATTTGACGTCCCAACTTCCCAGAGGCCATTGCCGAGCATTCAATGTGCCACCCAGGCCGTCCGGGACCCCATTGGCTGTCCCAGCTCGGCTCGCCAGGTTTCGAGGCCTTCCACAAGGCGAAGTCTGCCTCGGATCGCTTTACTCTTTCGTCTTTCTGCGAGAGAGCCCCCTCCCCGTCCGCTTGTAATTCTTTGTCATTCCTGTTCCAGGGTTCTAGCCTCGCATAAGGATAGCCAGCAGCCTCGAAAGCCTTGATGTCAAAGTATACGGAACCATCTGACGTCCGATATGCCATGTTGTTGTCCGCAATTTTCTTGACGAACTCCGCAATTTCCTTGCCGTTTTCAGTCACTCGAACCAGGTCGTCGGGGTCTAACACATTGAGATCGTGCATATCTTGGAAAAACCGGTTCTCGTATTCCTTTGTCAACTTTGTAAAAACAGCATAGTCGTCTCCTTGTATACTTTTACCGAATTGATCGTCGAGTACTAGGCACATGGGATCGTTGACGCGGTTGTAGAATTCATGCGGTGTCAGCATCTTCGGATCTTGCAGCAAGGCTTTGGCTGTGGAACGGGCCGTATTGATGTGCATCTTGACTTTTGCTTCCTTGTCTCCCGGTTTTGTGCCCGGCTCCAGACTCCCACCAGCGAGTACATCTCCATAAAAGTGTCCAACGACGCCATCGAACGTCTCCGGTGTCAGCAGAGTTTTCGGCCCTATTCGCTTCAGGTTCTTTTGGATGTAGTAGTGCCATGCTTGCCGCACGTCTTGCCGGACTCTTTCGTCAATGTATCTACTCTATGGGTCAGGCTCATCTCCTTCATTTATTGGGTTCTGGGTCTACCTGTGGTTCTTTTTGTATTCTTCATAGAGGTGTCTCTGCCTCCCTCTCAATATGATCTTGTCATCAACGTCGGTAATGTTCATAACGAATCGAACTTTGAAGTGGAAATAGTCTCGCAGAATGCGTCTGATGATATCGGTCGTGACATAGTTGCGAGCGTGGCCGAGATGGGCGTCGTCGTATACTGTAGGACCGCAGGCATACCAGGTAATGTGCTCAGGCTGAAGAGGGACGAATGGGACTTTGGAACGAGTCAAGGAGTTGTAGATTTTCAACTGCGGCTGATGCGTCGAGCCGGTGGGCTGCGACCAGGGCGGCTGCGACATTTTGAGTGGTTTGCAATACTTGGAAGCGGAAGTGCAGAAAGCACGTCTCAAATAGCTCATGAGACTGCTGATGTTGACTCATCGCATTGAGGCGCTGGGCATTTAAGAGTCAACTGCGCTGCAAGGGACAGTCGAGTGCCAAGCATAGCAAAGTGAGGCAGAGGGAAGGCTGACCGCGGAGTCAAGTCATAGGCGGGGATGGCGCCGTTAGGTTAAATCCTTTGGCTAGGCCGTCACGCAGCCTTATAAGCTGCTTACTACATGGCCAGGCTGGGAGTGAGTGTCCGTAGTTCGCCGTCATAAAAAGATCATCATTGTTTACTGCCAAAGGTCTTCCATGCTAAGCCGCTCCCCTTTTGTCGAGCAAGCCATTTGTAGGAGCACCATGCTATCCTGAATATGACCGCCCATGCGACGACTGCCAGCACAAAACTCCACCAACCTCGTTCAGGCTGATGGGTAACCACATCAGATTGACCGAGTACTTGGTCGTTTCGGTCCAATGCAACGACCCGGAACTGACTGTACTCGGACAGATTTGCTAGATCGAAAGCCTCCTCAAAACTGTCCTTGTCGACAATGTCGAGGTCGGTAAAAATCTCTCCCTCATCCGCACTCTTTGCGCCTTGCAACATCCAAGCAGATACCTCTGTGGCGCCATTCCAGCTGACATAAAGTATTTGATCCTCGATTTCTGCCGAGGGAGGATCTGTCGGACGGCCCACCCATTTCCGCCCCCTGAAGGCTCGGTACGACACCGCTCGATTCCATGGATGGTACAAGGGTGACCCAAAATGGTGCTCGCATAGTAATGTACCATTGGACAAAAATTCGCTGAACACCGGAGAATGCCCCCAACCAACGAAAACATGGTCACTGTCTGGAATTACCTGCATTGAGCCTTGTGATGGGGCCCGGGTCTGCTGCAGAGACACATAAGAGTGTAAAAGCTCTACTGTGCGGTTCGCGATGTCGAGTTGAAGCATCATACCGCGACTGTACGGCCCATCGACGTGCAGAGGGCCGGCCTCCTTGTTATCGAACAGACTCAAAATTCCCTCCTCCTCTGATACCCATCTAGCATCGTGCTGCCACTTGAAATCTAGTGCATCTCCTCCTGACAGGTCGGTGAATTGATTGCGTTGGCCTCCTAGTATCCACAGAATCTCTCCACCAGGGCTAATGCAGGTGACTGTATGCGTGTGTCGTGATGAAATTATGTAATTTCCTTGAGAATCTTTGTCGATGCTGTTGATGTGGAAGAAATCGAAGGGAATGCTGCGTATGTAACCGCCAAACGGGTTGGTCATGTACGATTCGGTGACATTGAAATGCTCGGACGCTCTCCACTCGAACAAAAGCTCGCCGGTAGCAATGTCGACTTCTTGGAAGCGACTGTCCAGGATCCAGCCATTTGACCGCTTTCCCAGCGACGACAAATCAGCTTTGGTCGTTGTGTAGACGGTGAGAAGAGCAGTATCCTCCTTGGTTATCTTGAATTCATGCAGGTCGCCTTGCGTGTCGTCGCCGACAGCTGAGACTTGGTGTGCCACGTTGTAAGAAGCATCTAGCTGAAATTCCGCCATGAGTCAATGATACTCGATCAGCGAAAGACCACTCACCAAATAATATACTCCTACGCCTTTAGTGCCCAGTTTCTTCCCCGACCAAAATGTCAAGTAATCCTGCCCTTTGTAGCGCTGTACTTGCAGATTCGTCGTCACGGCGTAATCCTGCGACTTCCAGACGAGTTCATTATCGGAATTGAGGATAGTTGGTCCTGTCGGGCCGGCTGAGTCGCCGCCGACCGTCAAGAAGACGAAGCCATTGTCGCAATCCGAGTGCGACCTTGCTGTGCTTACGCGTGGCACAACTAGGTCACTGGACACAAACGTCTGTAACGGGCAAGCACCGTACAACCCCCAATCATACAGTGTCGGATTCAACGAGGGAGAGAGCCAAACAAACAAAGGAATCGCAAAGTATGAGATGGACAGAAAGATAGCAAATGCGCTAGCCACAGCCACAGCAGCAACGCATAGGATTCGAACAACTGAGGGCTTCATATCAAAAAGTACGTTTCCCTCATGGCGGCGAAGTCCCAGAAGAGGACTTTATCACTGAAGATGGGAAGCCAAGGCGACTTGTATATGACGACAGTTACGTGTACAGTAGTGCAGGCGGAGCAGCACCAGGTGTATGGGAGGCCGAGGACCGCACGACCTATGGATCCAAGCCTCTCAAGTTGAGCCAAGAAGTCGACTCTATGCCGTACGATAGAGCGTTTCGTGCCGCGCAGCAAAAGGGGAGATCGAACCAGCAATTCATTCAATTTACTACCCGCGCTGGACCCAGTCATGGTCGAGATTCAGCCGCGTAATCGAGAGTAACCGAGACGGCGCGGGAGGTTCAGTCGAGGACGTGTGGACGTGGAACGTAGCACTCACCAACAAGGTCTTCTTTTCTTGCCTCCGGTGGACATCGTTCGACGAGTACCCAAGAGCTAGTGAATCAGGACGGCACCATGAAACCGTGTCCTATGGATGCGGCATGAGATGCGATGAACAACCAAGGCAAAAATCGCCATGCCAATGTTGGCCGAAATGAGAAAGGCGATTGGCGTCGTCTTCGCTCGGCTTGGCGGACCAGGATTGAGCGAGACTTGTGACGGCCACATGGAGAACATCTCCCTTAGGTGGGTAGGTGCTAGGTAAGATAGGGCAAAACCAGCGACGATGAGCTCGATCAGTCCTATCAATGCTCGCAACACCTGCCAACCGAGGCACCCCTAGCGGATCAGATAACGACTCCAGGTGTCAAGCTACCAGTGTGTCATTGAGACCGTCCACACTGTTTGACTGTCCCACACAAACCGGCCCATCTTGTCTGGGACTCGGGACCTATCCCCGTACTTCATGAAGATTGGTGGGCACGGTGGGCTATCTTTTTCTGTCTTGAGGCCCGTGTTGCGAAAAGCTGCGCCTCAAATCAACAGCCAAAGATCGCCTCAAGCCTTCTTCGCTGAAGCACCGACAGCATCACGGCATAATTTTTCTGTCTACGCGAGTGGCGAGATACTAGTAACGTGCCGATCATCAAGGCACCCGTGTCTGTGCAAAATCAAGGCACATGTTGACGCAATTCCACCAATCTAGTTGTTCGAACCACGGAATGCTAGAGCTATATCTGACTAGGCACCATATTATTATCAGTGATACACCACACTTCTCGGAGTTCTGCCATTCAAGCTCCACAGCCACGTGCCGTGCTTGCCGCAGTACATACTACTATGTATGTAATACTCTGCTCAAGACTAATACAAAGCTGGATAAATTATTGATTCAACCCAATTCAAAGCCAAGGTCGGCCGGCGAAGCGTACCAGCATGCCCTAGCACCGCTCAAACAAGGACTTGCAAATAAGATAATCGTCATGCGCACAACCACAGAATGCAGATGGCGTTTTGCGCCCTGGATGGTTCGTATCAATATTGATAACGGTCTTCAGGATCGACTTAAACCGCCTCTTGCATTGATTTCCCTTTTGCCAGAGTGCTGAAAGGTCCCTTGTCGGCATTCTTGGAGAACTTTTGCTCCTTGCGTCGGATCCCAAGGTAGGGCAGGTAATATCCTGGATGGAAGACAAGGAAGATTGCAGCCACCAGGAACATCAACGCTGAATCGAAGCAGTAGAAGAACCACTCATGGTTGGTAAGGTAGTTGTACGTTCCCATCGCGTACTCGATGAAGCGCAACAATGTTCGAACAAGAATCAACAGGTTGGCCACGTTGACCACGTTCAGGAAGAGCTGCCAGTTCCGTTCTTTCGGCAGAGGGACATCTCGGAGTTGTTTTCTCAGCAGAATGTTGAGTCGAATGCTTGCAAAGACGAAGAACCCAAATGTCGCCAACTGCAGTGCCAGTCCCACCAGCACTATGTTTTTGCCCCTATTGGCTTTGTCTTTGGAGTTTGCTGCCGCAACCATGGATCCTCCAATAACTTGGACAAAGAAGCTGAGGATGTCGAAGCCCACAAAAACAGGTGTGACTCGTCTGGGGGGCACCCAAAGATGCCTGACGGTCTGGAACTCTTTCGGAACAACCCAAATCGTGACGCGACCAAAAGACATGTAGCAGGCGGCCGCCATGACCGCTGGGGCAACGAGGATCATGACGGTCTGTACGATGAAGATGTTTCTGCTGTCAAGGTTCTTGATGGACACCGCTCGGGAAATGTACCCGACCAATTCCACTAACACGTCGTCAGATTAATCAAGGCGACAGACGCTGCGCAGGTCACATGCAGCGAGGGGATACTTACTGATGACAGCAAAATTCATGACCCACCAGAACCATGCTCGATGTCGGAAGAATTGGAAGAGGTTGACCGCTGTGGCTATGCCAAAGAGCACGACGAAGATGATCGCAGCCGCGAACGAAGGGGGGTAGTTGTATCTGCCTTCAGTCTGGTATTCTTGGAGAGTCTTGCCTCCAGGCAAGCCCGTAGCACTGGCACGGGCTACCAAGCTGGCAATATTAGCGACAGCATGTTCGACGCTGTCAGTGAAGGCCGCCATCGTGGTGAGTGAATCGAGGACGATGAGAAGAAAGGCAAATAGAGGATCGAGCAGATGCGCCAAACTGCGCAGTGAGACAGGGCACGAAGAGTTGGGGTCGAAAAAGCTGTTGCCTGCAGGTGGTGGTAACAGGGCAATATCTTATATCTCGAGACAGTCAATCATTTCGCTGAGACCATCTAGCCTAAGACCAGCAGAATGGGCTTGAGAACCGTCTCCGGGCGCGTATTTGCCGCCTATACATGTCGTATCCGCCTCGCATGGATTACGATCTTGAGCATCGTCAATTTGTTGGGTTACCGAACAGCAGCGAGCACAAGCACGAGCATTTTGCCCATGTGCATGATGATCCATTCATCAATAAACTTGAAACCAGGCCTAGTAGTTCGCAACAGCTTCTGAATCGAGTTTAGCGATCTTTGATAAGGCCATTATCGAGTGGCACTGCTCGCAATCGGGGCGCACGGCCACCGATTAAATTGGCTGTTTCGGGTTGCTAGAGCACCGAGTGGGAGCCTATGCAGATGAGTTGGCAGGGCACTCAAAAGAGGGAGTACCCCATACGCCGTATCCGTACGGAGTACTCTGCTGTTGATTCTCTCCTCAGGTGGTCTGATCGCGATTCTCGGGCGACTCACGTGTCAGGCTGGACGCTCAAGATTCCGAACCTCAACGTCAGCCTTGCGCGACCGCGATTTCGCTACCAGACGTTGTTTCAGAGTAGACGTGTGCCAGAATATTACGGCGACTTGCGATTTTAAGCTCTGCATAATGCGGCGGCGTGAATCAGTGCAGTGATGCCACCCTTCACTCAGCCGGCGCATCCTCGATGGCAACAGCTGCCTCCTGGGGCGCGACCTTCGGCTCATCCTTGACTCCATTCGCACCCTTTGCTCTTTGCTTCGCCTCTTTCTTCAGCTGACGCTGGCTTTTTGGCCCGGAAGATGCAATCTTAACATGCTTCGACCACTTAGCCGCCGCAACAGCTTCGTCCTCCTCCGTCCACGCCCTTGGGAGCACCGCAAAGACCAGGTACGACGTGTGTGTCTTCAGCTCTGGCTCCGTTCTGTGTATCAGCTTGCCTCCATCGAAAGGTAACTTCGAGGTATTATCGGCAGACTGATGGGCACCTTTCGCCGTTTTGTCGGGCTCCAAATTGCCAGCATGGAAGTCCTTTGCACGTCGCTCCACCTCTCGAAGTTTTGAGACTGCTTGGTCGACATCAGCAGCGAACAGATTCACGCCCCGCATTCCCTCATATTGCAGGCCAGAATATTCCCGCCGGATGTCGATACGTTTGGGTTGAACCTCGACCATCTCGATATCCAACCAATCGTAGCTTCGCAAAGCTGTTACGGTGCGTTGAACCTGCTCTATACAGGGACTAAACGTGCAGATGTGCACGGCAGATTGAGGATCAAGCGCAGAAGGCGTGCCATCTTCGGTACCGCGCGTCAAATGTGGCAGAGCTTCCCATGGTGCGGGCAAATCCAAGAAGATCGCGTTAGCTCGTGGCGACGTCGTCTCTTGACTGATCTCATCCTCAAGCAGAAACCCGTTCTGATAGACATCCCTGTGCGTTGCGCGAACGATGGTCTCTAACCCGTGTTCTGCCATCTCGGCCTTGACTTTTCTGTGCCGCTCTGCGTGGTATTCATATGAGAACACCTTGCCCATGGACTCTGAATCTTGCTGCGGAGAGTCATCCTTCTCCGCAGGAGCGTGTTGTGGATAGCCATTAAAAACAGCCCGAGCTGCGGCGTGGGTGAAGCTGCCACTACCACTGCCGGCCTCTATCAATCTTGAGCCTGGCCGTGCTCTAATGCGGTGCAGAATATAGCTGTAGTCAGGGGTATACACAACTTGCGTTCGATGAGGTAGGCTTGTGGTCCAATTCTCGGGTGTAGGTGGCACAACATGCACGAAGCCCGAACTCGCCACGACAACATCTTTCGCGACCGTACCATCCTCGTTCTCATGCTTCTCTAGCGTCTCAGCCTTTCGCTTCTTCGACCTCTGACTGTTGCGTCCTCTGGAACCGGTGTCGACCTTGCTTGCACGGATTTGACTGCCCCATGGCGCACCTATTATGGTGGAATGTGGGTAGGAACCGAAGCGAGTGTTTGTGACAACGCCCTCAGCATAGCCTTCATGTTCTGCGTTGATGGCCTGGGTCGCGAGTATGACCGGGAGAGACTGTTCGCGTCTGAGGTGCAAAGAGGCCAAGTCGTGTTCTTTGGTCACCGAGCCCGGTGAAAGGAATGTAGAGACCATCCTGGGGGATTTTCGAGTTCCGTGCGAGCTGACCTGATCGTGTTTTGTCTTGCGTTATAGGCTGGTAGCCCCAGATTGCTAGTATGCCACAAGCAGCCAGCTCGGTCTACCTTAATGATCGGATTTTGACGTTCGTGACCCCTCTCGGATGCTACTCGTAAAGCATCGAAAATATTTGAGAACATGGACAGAAATTCGATGGATGACTAAGCAAAGCATCTGGACTGAAATTCCTTGGCAGCGAACTTCATGCGTTAAGGTATTCTACAACAAGCCCTTGCTACAAGTCTTGCCTTGTTGGTGTTACTCTGAGTTGCTTGCAATAAGCGTTCCAGCGCTAGTCAAACTACTCTGGGGCTGAGAAACTATCGATCAGCACATTGATCCATCATCGCTGGTCATGCCTAAGTAGGGAACTCGATTGCGACTAATACCATTTTCTCCTGGTGCCAGCTGGCCAACTCGAGTTATCTTCAGGAATGTTCGAACCACGCCCTCCCAGCAAACAAGTAGCTGGTGACCGTTGGCAGGTAGCCTTTCCGCTCCGCGCTTTATCTTATACCATCAACACCAACATGTTACATCCGAGGCTGCAAATAGTGCAACCGCGCTAGCCCTGACGTGGGCCACGGCTCCAAGCGTGCCCAAATATCGTTGTACACCATGATATCGTGCTTCAAACGAGATTGGCCGATCGCCAATGTATGAATCATACTCGCTAGTAGCTGTGTATTCGCCGTCAAGCTCTTTCAAGGTAAGGTAAGGTAGGCACGTGGGTAAGATAGTCGGGAAATTTATTGCTAAGCTAGTGTCCACTTTTCAACCTCTCCGGAGCTCTACAGGCCTATCACATCGGCTCTGGGAGCTACGGCATATATATTAAAATGTTTGATTTTCTTTCAACAATCAGCAAGCAAGCAATCAAGCAGCTGTTTCAGGGGATGTGGTCTAGTGGTATGACGTGTAAGCATCGCACCACACAATTGAACGAAGCACTCATCTAATATGACAACAGTTCCTTAGCAGAAGTTGAATCCTGAAAGGATTGCCCACAACATCTGGAAAAGGTTCTGGGTTCGATTCCCAGCTTCTCCAACTCTTTTTTTGGACCCTCTTATAACGAGGAGGGTCTTTTTTTGATGGAAAAGCACGAGGCTCGCAGTTTACGTTGTGCGGAGTGGATATTACAACACACCAATCGTAGGTTGTGCGGCCGCTAGCACAGTACCTACGGTAGGGTGTTGCGTTGGCTAAGCACCTCCGTCTCAAACATAAACAAATAGGACTGTATCGACCAACGTTGGACGCCATATCTCTCCTTGTTCACAGGTTTCCGCGAGCAAGTACGAATGTCAATACTGCATGAACTTATCTGCGGACCGATCTAGAGTTACCATACATATCCGGAGCATGCACCTTAGGTCTTCGGAAATCCTCAGCTTTGCCGAGAATGCTGGCCTGCTTCCTGCTGGTCGCGACCAGCTTAAGAAACTGGAAACCTAGTCTCTCATATGTTAGATAGGGAGTTGCGATGTGTCGCTTGCCAGTACCACTGGATAGCATTATCTACACTTCCACCATACGAAGCCCATCCATCGATGTCGAGCGGCTGTTCGTGTAACATGCCATGGTATCCGGGGGTAGATCGTGTAGTTTAGCGCTAGGGCGCCGTTCGACAACAAACAGTAGCGAGGACAGTTTACGGGGATACGGGGCCCCTGTTCAAGACCCGGTCTAGGGCAGTGTATGGGATAGGCATACGCCCTATCGAAGACGAAGTCAAGGATAGTTTATAGGATAGATGTACTCCCTGGCCAAGACGAAGTCAAGGATAGTGTAGAATAGGCGTACTCCCTATTCAAGGCGAGGCCCAACTGCTACGAAGGGTGTCACTACCTGTTTATAGCCACAGTAAAACATGTGCGAGATTACCTTACAATCTAATGCCCGTTTCGGATGTCCCATAAATTGCCGCTTCACCATATCCACGGGCATGAAAAATACCGCGAAGCGCGTCTGGAAGCGAGAAGGGGTTCAAAAGGCTTACTCTGCAGCATCTCCAGCGACATATTCCAGCGACCATCAAGTGCTCTTCGTCGATTGTATATACGCCGCTCATAGGCTCGGGCCTAGGAGCCCATATTGATACATGCACAGACACTGGCCGAATGGTTCTCAGACATGAATATAGACTCAGGGTCTTGCGCATAGATTGGTGTTGTTTCGAAGTACTACTATCTGCAGCTTCATCGTCAATGTATTCGAGCGGCTCGCTTGTTATGCTGTTTGATTTGTACTGTACTGTCATCATTTGCTAGACCAATACCATTTATCGATCTCTTCAGTCGCCACATTATAAGCCAGTCGCCAGGGTAGCTGGGTCTTTAAACAGAGCAGCGCCACATCGTGTACCTGCCAATCTCTTGTCCTGATGCTATAGCTTCCTCTGTACTCCAACATACTGGCCGCTAAGTTCCTAGTGTAGTAGTTGAGGATTTTCAGTCGATGCACACTCATTTGAGAATCTGCTATCAGACAGCGATCAAGATAGAGAAACAAATACATAGTCCGACGTCCTTGACAATGCTTTTGAGTGTAGTGTGTCCGGTTGACTTTGCGCAAGCACGTTATCATCCGTCTCCAATCTTTGAGACCGACAGCAAAGACTTGGACATCCCAAGACGCACGCAGCCTACGAGCCGGCTGGTCGACAAATGAACAAGATACGAACAAGGGCACGCAACGAGAATTGACTAAACAGCGAGGATAGTCTTCAAGCTGATATTGGCATGGACGTAAATCTGGTAGATATCGCAAAGTCTCTAGTTCATCACACGTGTGTATACCTGATGTAATCTTTTTGTACAAATGCAAGAATCAAAATGCCGCTTCCGGGCTCTTGCTAAAACGCTTGTGGACTCGCTAGAACGCTGCACCAAATACAAAGCAAAAACTACAGACAACAGACAAAGGTCAACCGAGGCTGATGCCGGTCCCAGAGAAGGTTGCAGTACCGGACCACATCCCTCTTATCAGAGGTAAGACGACGTCTTTGACAGGTTTCCCCGTCGAAGCCGAGATAGCCTTCGCTTTCTGCAGTTCCGCCGGGTCGTTGTTGATTGTCATATGCCCGTGGAAGACAACGAGGTCGCCTCCCTTGACAATGTCTAGGCCGCCAGGGCCGACAAGGTCAGCGTCGCTGGTGATAAGGAGCGGACGACTGGACCTCGTATATGGTCCGTAAATATTTGTTGCGGTGGCATACGAGACGTCGTACTTAGGCGTGGTGAAGCAATTGCTGCTGAAGAAGAGGAAGTAGATGCCGTCAGCGGATCGGTGCAGAGTGGGAGCTTCAATTAGAGGGCCATCGAGGTCATCCCGGTCCAGGATTTGGACGGCATCCCCAATCAGCGAAAGGCCATCCAGTCCGACTTCCTGAAGCATTAAAGGCGTAGGAACAATGGGCGCTACGGTATTTCCACATATGCCGCCATGACCGATGGAATTGCCGTCGACCTTGTAGACAACATATCGCTTGTTCGTAGCCGTGTCCAGGAATCCATCGGGATCAATGGCGCCACCCCGTGTAGAGACATCCGGGCAAGCGAACGGCTGCTCTTGAGGTATATAAGGTCCGAGGATATTCGTTGAAGTCGCGGCTCCGACACAGTGATGCGACGGACTCCAGACGACCTCATCGGCGTAGTATAAAACGAACGAGCCGTCGTCCTGCCACATGTCAGTCCGAGAATATCTTCCAGACTCGCGCAGCTTACCACTTGAACAACATCCGGCGCCCACACACGAGCGCCGGTCTCCCATGCGCCTCCTGATGGCAGAGCATCATGGTGGTCCAATAACGTCCATGTCTGATTATCTGTAGATGTAGCGACTTGTACATGTACCATATCTGCACCTTTCCCTCTGTTGTTTGTCGCAAAGGCGTACGACACTCCATCCACGACTATGATCGCTGGATCCGGGAAATTCTGTTCGACGAGGGGTCCTGCGACGGACGAGAAAGGATTCGGCAAGGGATCCGTCTGTGTGGAGGTGGACTCTGGTTCGGGTTCTGCGGAGCGAATGACTGTGTCGCGAGGCCAGAGAGGCCCCAGAGTGGTCACGGCCGACGAGGCCAGTAAATATGCTGGTATAGCGACCATCCCGAGTATGATCTTTGCGCGAAATGAGAGTGGAGTGTGCCGTTGAGGCTCAAGTCTATATGAAAGGACTGGCTCTTTGCGCAAAGAGTGTATGCCAAAACCCTGACGCGGGTGGCTAGGGGGAGAAAGCAAAGGCTGTTTTTCTAGATTTTCTGTAGGGCGCGCCATGGCGATTGCGGGCAGGTGAATATATTATAGTATCAAGGGGTGGATCTGAGGTGTTGTTTGTTGCGCCAGACAAAAAAGGCCCCGGACAAAGACTTCAGGGGTCAGAGTTGTGTCAGAACGCAGGCTAGAGATTGTGGCCGATAGGCGGTCTCAAGTCGCCCAGAATGTGAGGTGTTTTGGTCCCTTCTGGCGGTTCCTTGACACTTTGGGCACGGTGGTATTGGTGGATGCACAGGCTGCTGAGAATAGGTTGCGCGGTGAGCCTTCGAAGTAGTGAGATGCGGCATGTGATGATCTGATGTGGGGTTCCTTGTTGTTGGTGAGATGAGACCACAATATAACGGAACTTGCCTGCGAGAGGCTGATACATACTTTCCGGATAAAACTTATTCTTTGAGGATTTTGTGTCTGGGTCCGGACGAGGCTTCGCTGAGAGAAAAGCACAGCCTCTCTTGAGTACAGCGGGATGTAACATACCAAGTATTAGGGGGGCGCTATTAGCATTTATGCCTCTGCCGAGGTGAGATGCGAAGCGAGCTGGATAATCACGTGATCACGCTCCTTGTTCGTGCTAACTCGTCACTTTGTCAACAAACCTGGACCCAAGGACAACCATGATACTATCTCACAGTATTGCAACCACCTCTGTCCTCCCGTACCCAAGATCATGTCTACGCTATATGACTGTCTCATCCCGCCGAACCCATTCTGCCAGTAGTCTCCGCATAACTCATTGCAACCCTCGCGTTTGCCTCAGAATTCTCGTACACTGCGCGCCACTAAAGACGCGCTGTGGCTACCAGTCGAGTCCAAATGTTATGACTCTGGGTAATCGCGGCCGTAGATGTGTAGACAAAAGCACATTAGCTGCATTCTGATGAGTGCAAGCTGCTCAACTGTGCAATCTGGTAAGGTGCGAAGAAGCACTGAATGGACTGTCTCCATCGTCCTGGTTACCAGACCCTCGGAAACCCATAGACTCACGCACCTAGATCGGTAATCGCTAGGGGCCATACAGTCTTTCTTCGAAGCTGTCACAATATTCGTCCAGACCCATATTGTTCATCACAGGACATGTGGTATACCGCCGGAGCGAACACACCGCAGGCGGATGGATGCTCTCAAGCAGCAGCAATCTCATTCTGCACCCATTTCTCGAGTCCGCCTTTGGCGATGATCTCTTGGACGTTGGGGGGCAGTTCGCCCACTTTCTCCGTCCATTTCTTTCCACCCTGACCTTCAGTAACCTCGATCTGCGACTTCTTCACGTCCCAAACCAAGGTCCAGCCAGTCCGGCGACTCAGTTGCTGCTCACGCGGCGTGGGAGGGGTTGGCGGAGGGGAGTCAAGACTCTGCTGGTCCTCCTTGTTGCCAACTGGCTCTGTGATTTCCCGTCCCGGTTTCGAGGGAGGCGTGTCTGAGAAAGTCTCACGTAGGCGTTGGATAAGCTTCGGTACTTCCAGCCCCATCAGCGCGTTATTGATGCTGTTCCGTGAGAAGATATTGCCAAAGCTTCCTGCAACCACAAGCGGGATCTTTTTGGCCAGGATTGCTGTTGCTGCTTGCTCGCGAGAACTGCCGCAACCAAAGTTGAAGCCTGAGACCAAGATGTCACCAGGTTTCGCAAGCGACGAGAACTTGGGATCATAGTTTTCCATGCAAACCGCGGCCATCTTCTCAACAGGAACGTTGTCCTGGTAGGTGTATTTGCCGGGATAGATGCCGTCCGTGTTGATGTTGTCCGCATCGCAAAAGATTATTTCTCCCTCGACGCGTTCCGGAAACCCTGGGTAGACTTCAGTGGAGCTTGATATTGCGTCACTACTTTGGTCATTGCTTCCAAAGGTCTGCTCGCCTGCTTCAATCATACCATCCAGCTGGTCGAGGATCTTCTGGAATGCTTCGTCTGCAGTAATCATACGATCCTCCTCTTTAATGCCGTCGCCTTCACCCCTGACGACTCCCGTCCAGCCTTCAGGCCTTTCGTACCAACCCGGCCCGCTGAGCTTGCCAGTCAGTGCACTAGCTGCAACCACTTCTGGGCTGGCAAGATAGGCCTTCGCGTCAGTGCTTCCCATACGACCCTTGAAATTGCGGTTCGTCGCACTGATGCCGACCTCACCAGGCTCAAGGAGTCCCGTGCCTAGGCCAATGCAGGGCCCGCAGCCAGCGGGAAGTGTAATGGCACCAGCATCGATGAGCGTCTGCCAGTCACCCGCATCTTCGGCTATTTGCTGTTCGGGGATCGACGCGGCTGCGATGTAGAAGTTAACGCCGTCTGCGATCTTGGGGACTTTGCCGTCATTTTTCTCAGCTTCATCTCTGAAGACCTTGGCGGCAGCTGCGAGATCAGAAGCTCGTGAATTGGTGCATGAAACGAGGTAGGCTTTGTTGATCTTGATATTCTGGTCTTCCAAAACGTTCAACGGCGTTGCCACCTTGACAGAGTTTGGTCCAGATACGTATGGTGACAGAGTACTCAGGTCGAGATGAAGATATTTGGCATACTGAGCCCCCTTGTCTGCTGCGAGCTGAGATTCGAACAATTGATCCAGTCTTGGGTGCGAGAACCGTGGGTTTCCAGACCGCCCTTCAGAGGTGTCCAAAGCCGACATCGTAGCCTTCGCCCTCAGCCAGCCCTGAAGCACACTATCCATCGGGAAGAGTCCAGTCAGAGCACCCCATTCCGTCGTCATGTTTGCAATTGTCAACCGCGCATCAATCGGCAAACTCCGCAGAGTCTCCTCTGATCCAACAAACTCAATGGCGTGGTTTAGGACATCATCCTTGTCGAACAGTCCGCAAAGCGCCACGATCACGTCTTTGCCCGTGACACCTTTCGGCAGGGTACCAATGAACGTGACTTTCGCAACGGGAGGAATCTGCCACCACGTACGACCAGTAGCCCAGATACTTGCAGCATCTGTTCTCACGACAGGGGTGCCGAGGCACCCTATCCCCCCGTACATATTGGTATGACTGTCGCTAGCCACCACCATTGTTCCAGGCCATGCATAGCCTTCTTCCACCATGATCTGATGTCCGATTCCCCTTCCAGCAGGGTAAAAATCCACGCCTTGCTTCTTCGCAAACTCTTCGATCTGTCTGTACTTTGTCAAGTTCTTCTCAGATTTGTTTTGTACATCATGGTCAAGCGTCATGACAATCTGCTTCGGATCTTTCAGTTTTGAGGCGCCGATCGACATGAACTTCAAGGCAACAGGCCATGAGTTATCATGTGTCATACAATGGTGCGGTGATATCGTCACATAATCGCCCGATTTCACATATTTGTCTTTCGGTTGGCCAACCGCATATTGCTGGACGATTTTCTCTGTAAGGGTCTGAGGGACTTTTGGAGAGGTTTTTATCGAGGAGAAGATAGCAGCAGCGTCCGGGTCTTCGAGCTGGGCATGAAATACTTCTTGCACACGTCTGGTACTCTTGCGAAAGGAGCGAATCTGCGCCCATCGTGCTTGAGGTGAATGGTTGGCTGCTCGCAGCGCTGCGATCGGAGAGTACCGCGGAAGAAGCTGTTTGAAAGTCAGACCAGTCACATCCACGACACATACAGAACGTACCATAGTGTGAGCTGCAAGCAGGTAGTCGAACTGCGCGTGGGTGAAGACAAGAGCGAGAAATCTGCCACCAGGACTTTACGTCAGGCCCATATCGAGGGGTCTCCCTGATTTTTGTTCTGGCTCTATACAGGGGCAAACTTTAAGACTTGTCCCTACTCCTGCTCTCAGATGCAGCCACCACCAGCAGTTGTCGTCAAAGTCGAATTTGCAAAATGCGCGAAATTTCCTTCAACACTCTCCAATTACTACAGCCGAACTCCGATTGGTTTGTTTTGATAAAGCGCTGGTCCGATCTCGCCGCATCACGTGCTTGGTTACTAAGCCAACAATAGGGACATCTACTAGTCTTTCACAAGATATCGACTTCAGTTGCACTTTGCAGAGCCAAAATAGTTCCATCATTGTTATCTTGCAGCAAGACAAGACTTTGTGCTTTGCATACCACTGTGCTTTTTACCTATAGCCTGTCAGTAATGCTATGGATGAACCGTTTGCTCACCAATGCCGGCCAGTAGGCAAACAGCCAGGAGTCCTGACAAACTTTGCAGGAGTTCATATAGAACTAAATGGAATGTGGCTCCCATCCTGGTCAAGATTCTCAGCCGCTTTTGCAGTCAGCCTCAAGATCGCAAATTTGAATTTCGTAGGACCATTACGATGCAGTCTCGCTGTCCCTGCAAACGCTCGCTGCTTGCCGATGTTCAGGACCGCCATACGCGGCCCATGCCACATCTAGCAGTCTAGAGCCACACGATACAATACTCACCTCTATCCAGCAGCTAACTCAATCTATGAATAAGGCGACAGAAGAAGAACGGGTGGGGGGGCCGGTTACTTCTCACATGCGTCCTCTCGGTCATGAACGTCCTCTGAGGCTTCCATTTCACTCAGTCCATGGGCGGGTGGCTGCCATGTCTAGCATTATTGGCAACTCGTCAAGAAAATGTTCAACTACATTCGCGGACAAGTCGTTTGTCCCATTCACTTCCAAGCTCTGTCACGATATTTACCAACAACAGTATCATCTATTTCACTGATAATAGAATCACTGGCCTGGCCCGAGCAGGTGACAGGCGCCGGTTATTGTCGGAATGGGCTCACTGCCTCAGCTCTGTCTATGGTATATATATAACCCATGGTCCCGGTCCAGCCTCCTAGGTCAGACGCGCATCAAAGACGAGCTCAGTCAACACGAAGTTTCATCATCTTTTCATCTTTGGAGCGTGAATCAAGTGCCTCAAATCTTTCCCCTATTTCGCCACTCCACATGGCATCAACTGCAATCGAGTATTCGGCCTACCGATCTGACCAGCCGCGGCCGGGGGATGACTCGTGGGACGTCCGGTATCTAATATCATACTGTGACGACGAAGGCGCACTCGTACAGGAGATCATCTCTGTCCCAGAGATCGCAATCTTCTATCTCGGCATTGGATGGCGATATGGAGATCTTCAAGCGTACCTCGATTTTCCAGCCGCAACGTATCCTGAACAATGGTATGCGAACCCACCGAGCCTCTCCGGTCCTGCAACATCCTTCACCGATTCAGCCTTTGCGCAGCTTCCTCCTGAGATCCGACAAGAAATCTACGATTATGTCCTCCACGACGATTGGGAAAGGGAGATGGACATAACGGTTCTGCGCAGTTGCAGTGGTCGTATCCGCCGTCGCCGACCCTTTCTCACCCGCAGACTCGAGGGCCCCCTGCTGTCGTGCAAAGACCTGCATGTGGACTTGGTGGAGTACCTCATGGATAGCACACGCTACAAGTTTGAATGCGGCACGCGTCAATGGCTCAAGGACACACCATATGTGTGGGGTTATGAGAGCTTGAAGTTGGTCCGGTATCTTGACATGAGTAGCCACTACTATCTCCTAACCCGCCCCGAGACACATTTTGCCAATCTGTTGCGCGTCTTGACCACCGGCTTTCCGAATCTAAAGTGGCTGCGCTTCGCGAGCGAATGGGACACGGGCGCACTTTGCATCCCATACGAGGAAACCAAAGATAAGAACAGACCAAGTCGCCATCAACAGGAGATGCGCACACTGCTCCTTCTGGGAGCCTGGTTAACGCTCAGACACAAGAACATGGACCTGCTCACCTGCGGTCCTGTCACAACAGGCCTGAACGAACGGGACGAGCCAACGACTCGCGTGTGTATCGAGGTCATGAACAAGGACCTTGTCAGATCGGTGAAAGGTGTTGGGGTAAGCAAGGCTTTCCAAGATGTCATGGCTACGCACTAACACGGTTGCTAAGGATCAAGTATTGGATACTCCAAAGATCCGACGAACCCCCTGGTCCGACCTTGCGATGATGAGCACTCGAGATCTGGTTATCGACCAAGAAAGCCAATCTTCTGAAGCCATGCAAACTCACGCCGGTTTCGAGAAGTTGGATCTGGAAGGCTACACGAGCCACTTCGCCAGAGGACGCAAGTGGATTCGATCTATCCCAGTTGACCGCCTCATCAAGATCTACAACAAGATTGGAACGATTTCTCGGCGCCCAACAGGATCAAATACTCGCGGCAGTGGGATAGGCATGCGTAGTCGAGGCTCTGCAACTCGTGGTCGTGGATCTATCAGACATGGGCGCGAATTGGTCACTCATGATCAGGCATCAGAGCGCAGACATGGATCTTTAGGCGGATGGTGATCATCTTGGTCGAGGTTCATGCATGCGTCGAGGTATCTGTCATCGTACCCTTGAACCAGCGGACGAAGCGGGAGCAATGGTTGTCTTGGGCGGTGAAAGTGGTTGAACAAAGGATGTGAACTTATGAACTGCTCACGTAGTTGAAGCATCATCATACTCCTCATCCATATGGCTCCAGAACAAAATCATACGTGACACTGAACCACTTGCTTGAGAGGCTTCGAGGATGAGCCGCCTCTCCGGTCGTTCTAGGCGTAAACTAGCACCGAAGCAAGGACTGTACTATTATCTGCGTTGGTAACTTTCGTCAGAACGTCCGGTTCTGGGCTTTTTGAGTGCCAAAGGATAGTGTGATTCGATTACGTTCTTATTCACGTGGATTATATGCCCACGTACGAAAGGTATCTCATATTGCAGTCGATTCTTGCCAAAAGGCTCCGTCTCGCAGATCTGCACTGGCCGATGACTAAGACAAGAATAGGGGTTGTCCAGCCTTGCCAACGGATCGCCGCAGTCTTTTATTGCAAGCTCTAATCGCCACCACAATTGTGTACAGTTGCCCAGGCCTTACTCAATATTTAGAGGGTCGGCAGCTACATTTATCCCTGGTGTAAGAGCGGTGGGCTGCTACTGTACAAGTTTTAAATGTCTGTATGGCTGGTATGGAGTGTGAGAAACGTCCTTGCTCCCCTCTGCACGCCGACCATCAGTCAAATCCTAAGTTGATGCGAGCGACACCACCGTGCAGCTAACGTTTGCATGTTTGTACGTGTAATTTCATGTTTTACTGGTACATTCAAAGCTCGCCGTGACCAAACTGTTTGCTTGCCAGTTTTGACCCAGGCAAACAGCGAAGCAGCTAGACAACTAATGAGGTGAAGACTGTGACACACCTTAGTCGTAATGCCACCCTTTGCCTTCATGAATTCTCAGCAGCGTCTGTAAGTAGCGCTGGCGCAAGATGGGGGCACCGGAATACCTCCCCTTGGTCTGACTCTCGACAGAGGGATCGGAAATGCCACTTTATTCCTATAACAAGCTAGTTCAAGCCTTCTATGAATCGCTCTCCGGCAATGAGAAAGACTCCAGAACTCCAGTGATGCCACAAGTACACACCCTATCACGCTCTCGGCTCACATTCTAAGATCCAAGTCCGTCAGAGGGAAATTCTCCACTACTATGTGTGTATCACTCACAACGACTGCCTCGACATCTCCGCCTTCACCGAGACTTGGGTCACCACATCGGGCAGAGATGCACAGTGACAGCTGCCCAAACAGAAGCTGCTTCACTGCTTCACTGCTTTACTGCTTCACTGCTTCACTGCTTCACTGCTTCACTGCTTCACTGCTTCACTGCTTCACTGCTTCACTGCTTCACTGCTTCACTGTGATATGTGATGTATATATATTCTTTAATGTTTCTCACAGACTGCCTCCTTCCTTATTCCCATCTCAAGAGCGATCGTTGGCAAGTCAAAACGATCCAACGCCTTCCTTGGTTCTCCTCGTTCCCTGTACGTCGAATTATCCTTTGAGACGCGAACATGTCACGAAGATGGGCTGGCAGTACTCCAGTCAAGTTCGGTCGGCGAGCTAGGCATGAGGCTACAGCAGATCTCCCTCCACCAGGTTTTGAGTGCATGGCCGATGCTCAAAAGTCGTTCGCATACGAAGCTGGCTGGGGCAGAGCAGCGGAAGAGAGATCGAGGTCGACATCAAGGATTGCCCTCTGGTACCCAGGCGTTGGCTGGAGATACGGCGACATCCAAGCATGGCGCGAGTTCCCCTCTGCCGAAGATCCCCTGACATGGTATAGCAATCCAGCCGTCGCGTCTGGCGAACCAAAGCCATACTTCAAGTCTGCGCTGTGCCGACTTGCAGCAGAACTCCGCACCGAAATCTAGGAACGGTATATCGAAGACAATCGAGGCTGGAAACTCAACATCGACCAGCCTACCTGGCGCACCTGCAGTGGCAGGATCAGACGGTCGCGCGATTACATAACCCACGGCGTAGAGAATGTCCTCCAAGTGTGCAAAGATCTAAAGATCGAGTTCGAAGATTGTCTGATGAACAATTCCATGTACTGCTACAAATACAGTAACCATGAAAACTTCCAGGATGCACCTTGGGTTCTCGGACGCTACGGTTTGCGATTGATCAGCTATCTCGACTTATACGCTCATAACGACCTCCTGCGCGCACCCGAGAAAGAGGATGCCCAGCTCCTCCGAATTCTGAGTAAAGGCTTGCCAAATTTGAAATGAATTCGCTTTTCGCGCGGGTATACGACCGATGCAGTTCACAGCCAACAGCACAGAAATACAGTGAGCCCACACCAGTGGACTTACCGCGCCGTGCTTTTGTTTGGTGCGTGGCTCTGTCTACGACACAAGAACTTGGACCTGCTGACCTGTCAGTGGTCTGCGAACCCGGACGAGGAAGATGGCAGCACTTTTCACTACTGGATGCGCGTTGAGCTTATGAGCAAGGTCGTTGTGAGAAAAATGAAGGCTTCAAAGGCAAGTCACCTTCTCTTCCTCGATTGCGATATTCAGCTCACTAATATTGCCACTCACAGGCGTGGGTGTTGAATGCGCCAATGATCCGCCGCACTCCATGGTCTCGGATTGCATCGACGCTCACTTCAGAGTTCGCAATTGACCAGCACAGTGAGACTTCAGAGAACATGTCCGGTCATGAAGGCTTTGAGAAACTTGATAGGGAAGGATACACGAGTCGCCGTTTCATGGAAGGCGAAAAGCGATCAATTCCGATCGACCGCCTCATCAAGATATGCACCAGAGGCCTCGAGAGTGCTCGCAACCTCGGCACCCAGTAACCCCTCAACACCATAGTTGATCGTGGCAGCACTAATGATCAGGATGGGCCGTCGACTCCTCCAAGAGGTCACGGCGGCCGGGCTAGGGGTGGATGCGTACGTGGACAAAGACGTCGAGGTTACGGAGGTCGCGCCATCCTGGTATTGGTTTGCGTTAGAGGTCAGCCTCGACACGGATGCTTACCTGAGTCCAATGTATGAAAGCAACTTTTGCAAGCGTTTCAGGTATATAAATATGCTGAATCGAGCTTGGAACACGTTGCGCGCTTGATAGTCGTCCCCATCGGCCAGAATTCGCCAGGTCCTTGAGAGACATCCATATTTACATTCCGGTATGATAAGCTATGAAGCAGCCGATATCCTCCTTGCACATGATGTGGAATGACGAACTCTCACTCTGTCCACCTCCTCCTAGTGGGTTCGCAGTGACGAGCTCGCTGGCCTTGAACACGGTTGCCCTGCCGATCATGTCAACGAATGACCCTGGATTGACCCTGTCACCTCATCCAGATTAACCCGCCATACCTGTGAGCTAGCACAGATAGTCCAAACACTAGTTTTTCAACCAAGCTACCTCGAACATTTTGCTACCAGCACAACAACAAGTTTTGTGGCCGTCCCAGGTCGAACACTTGTTCTAGTGCTGATGCCTGCAAGTGTTCCAGATCGCTCTGTATAACAAGAAACGAACTCCGAGAAATGACCGCTGGTTCCCTGGACATTTGTCGCGCTCCGCTGTGGACAACCGAAATGAGGTTTATATACGACCTGGCATATCTCCGCCCCATGCACTACCAAAATTCATGCTGTTTTTGATCTTTAGCCTCGGCACATCATCGTCTGCCTCTCGAGCGGGTGCCTCGGCTGCAACATCTGTTGCCTCTGCTGCCTCCGCTGAGTTTTTGTCTTCGCTTCCCTCGGACAGAGCCGATTCGTATCTCGAACGTACGGCTGCTTCTTCCGAAAGCATGGCATCGACCCTTTCGAGGAAGACGTTGGCGGACTCTGACTTGGCACTAGGATCAAGCATGAGCGGGCCTTTGAGTGAGGCATCCTCATCAACTTCGTGCTGCAGGTTGGGCTCGACCTCTTCTGCGAGCGGATCTTCGTCTGCCATGACCGGGTCATTAGCTGTGGAGCTGAACGAAAAGTATGACTCTGAGTTTTCTGAGGGCCGAAGAGGAGGTCGCTTTGTAGGGGCAGGCTCCACAGGTTTCTCTTGCCTCGGAGTCAGATTAGTGGTGCTTCCTGTGCCGGAAGATAGAGTGCCATCGAAAGCCATTGGAGTATGACCTGCATGTCTCTTGAGCTTCTCATCGAGTGGCGACAGTAGAGATTTGACATCAACCTGCAGAAGCCCTTCAGGAGGTCTCCTTGGCTGTGGAGATGGTGTATGCAGAGGAGACGCAAATTGTGGACTGGTGATTCCCGTGTCGAATGTTGAGGTCAAAGCAGCCGACTTCAGAGTGATGCCATCCAAGGATTTATCAACTTGCTCGACCGGCACGGGAACATTCTCAACCTCTTTCTGAGTGGTTGGAGAAATTTCTTTGGACAAAGGTGGAAGTGGTTCATTCTCAGAGATACTTGGTAGGTGCGAAGAGGTGTCCTCATGAGAGAAGACTCGAGTAGCGGGTGCATGAATCTCTGGTCCCTGCCAGACAGGATGTACACCACTGTTTGAATCTGATGACGACCTAGCTCTTGCTCGATTCGTCGTGTTTGTCATGGACGGCTTGAAATCTGCTCTAAAAGAATGCAAACTTGTTGTTGCAGAGTCGTTGCTTGACCTCCTCTGTGGATCCCTATTTCTGCTCAACTTTCTTTCCAATTCGGCAATGCGAGCTTTCAGCGCGGTTCTTTCTATATCCCAGGCTCTTCGCTCACAGTCATGGGCTTCCCTCAGTTGAGTATTCAACAGTCGACATTGCTCGATATACGCAGTAATATCAACTTCATGCGTCGCATTCGTCATCTGAAACCCATGTTTTGGTATTTGGCTTGAAGAGGTCACTGGTGGTAATAACGGAACATTTGTGGTGGCTATTGAATGACGGCCTTGAGGAAGCAGCAACGGTTTCTCCGAGAACCTAACGCCCTTGAAGGAGTTGCCATTGCTGGATGCTTCCATCGAGACTGAAGGAGCCAAAGGCGAGAAATTGTCTGGGTCGTGCTCTAGAGCAGGTGTTGGATCGAAGGCATGCGTTGGAGAACGCGGAGCCATATACGCGGCGACGCACTTGACCTTGCGGCGGAGGAAACGATCGTGGGAGAGGCCGAAAGCGTGTGACGGGTAGAACGGCAACGTCAAGAACGAGAGAAGGTCAGCTTTAGCTGCGGTGTAATCAGTGTCGTTGCTGGATGTTGGCCGGCGCCGGCTGAAGGGAAAAGATGGCAGGAATAAGTCGAAAGATGCTAGACAAGATAAAGAATGATGTATCTCATGACGGATGCTGATTAAGTCGTTGAGTGAGGAAATGGAGAGACGAAGTAAAGTGGTAGTAAGGCAAGAGGAGGGAGTTGTGATGTGTGTTTGCAGGCAGGCGCAGTTTTGCTGTTGTAACAATTGGAGCAAAAAGATTGGAAGTGACGATGGCTTCGGTCGGCGCTGCACTTTTGTGGTTACTTCGGGCAGATCTCATGGCGAAAACCAATGACGTCGCAGGTCACCAAAGCAAGCCAAAATGCAGGGTCCTTTCCGGGGTGTCGATTGGAGGCCCTTATGCCCCTGGTTAGGGTCCATCCGCGCACCGTGCACCCCGAAAAGAAGCCTAAGCACCCTAAGTTAGTAAGCCTGTCAGCGAAAAATCTCACTGAAGAATAATAACACGAGTACCACATTTCTGTACTCGTAGCTCCTGCGTGGCCAATGCTGGGTATGCTGGGTATCCGCTCGGGACTAAAGTTACTGAGCGAGTGAGATTCGACACAGTCAACAAAAGCCTATGCCAGGCACGGCAGGGTGTGACACGGCTCGACCGGTACCCTTGTCTCTTCGGGAGATCTCCCGCGAAGACCTGGCACCGACAAGTACTGATTTCGAAGAGGCACACGACACATCAACAAAAATATCCGTGAAAACCATACCGATTCCCAACAAGATGCGCACAAAGAGCACGGACCGTTGTATACACGTGGCTGTCGCCCCTTGAGGAATCGAACCTTCTATGCTTCTCTGCTGCTCACGACATGCCTCCATCAGTCCCATCCGACAAGGCCCGCTGCTCAAATCCACTTTCATCTCCATGCTGGTGCATCGCACAAATCCAGCCTGGTATTGAAAATTATCTACGCTCCTGGCGTGGTTACTGCTGGTACCACGTACTGTGCTAGATGTCCTTGAAGCATGTGAAGAAAGGATTTCCCGGCTCTCGCAGGTCTCATGTCTGGCATACAGTGATATGGTCCACATCAAGGTAGGAACGTTCCACATACCTTGATCCTTCACACAATACATAGTTCGCTGGCCAACCATAAGACGGGCGAGGACGTTGTCTCTGCTGATCTGAAGACTGTTCTTAGACCCTGAAGCCTTCTATTGCCAACAGGGCCAGTTTCATTGGGCATTTGATATATCATGGACAGATGTGAGCTCAGAGCACGCAGAAAGGCTGCAAGGACCCGAGGCTAGGAGGCTTCAGGATGTCAGATTTAAGACACAACGCATCTCATAGCTTTAGATGCCGCGTCCACTGTCATTCTAAGCTCTCGGCTTTTATCTTCTGATAGAATGTGGACTTCAACTAATGTCGTTGCTGGCGCCGAACGGTCCCTGTTCCGCCGCAACCGCTTGGCCGGGGAGCATTTGTGAAACTTGTATGCGAAGAGCATGTTTGTCTGCGCCATAGCATGTAAGATCCTCCTGGAATACTGCTGATTATCTGGGGAGCGCGTCTCTGTCTTCGAGATATCAAATGTTGTTGAGCAGACCAAAAAGCACCTGTCGAATTTTGTGTATGGGCCGTAACGCGAGTCCCGTCCCTCACCGTCTCTGGCTCGCTAGCAACTGACAGCACGTGATCAAGATTGATTGGGAAGGTTTGGCGCGTCCTTCGTTCTGAGCTTCATGAATTTTATTCCTGTTCACTTGCAGCTGAGCAACACCATGAGCATTTCTCAGCGCTTACTTCGTCTCAGCCAACAGAGTCGTCAAGCTTGCTGGCCATGACATAGCCTCCAATTTACACATCTGATTCTTTGATCCTCTATACCCACTATGCCACCTCGAATACCCCCCTCGACCGCTTCGCTTGCTCTTCCTCCTCCATCCGTCCACACACACTGCAAATCATGTCTCAATCGTGCTTTTTCCTCTACACCTGCCTCGCAAACGAGGCTACGAGCTCAGATGTTTGCGTGGCTCCAAGGGCCTGGTGAAGTTTTTCGACGACCTTTAGCTGGATCAACGAATTACCTTTCTGCCTACGATAGACGAGGGAATCTCCTGCGAGGAAAAGATCAACAAAGGCCTACTGGTGCTCCTTCTGATCCTTCCGAGGCTCCAGATAGTGAAGCTGCTCGAGCACTTGATGCAGCCGCGGAAGAAACTCCGATCCGCAAGGAAACGCAAAACGATTTGAGACCTTTCCCCCTGAATCGATATTTTGTCTCGGAAAGCATACTTTCAGAAGAGTTGCAACATGAGATATGGCGGCGGGTACAGGTACAACAGAAATCTGTTCGTCAAGTCTCCATTGAGATGGGCGTGGACATGCGCAGAGTCGCTGCGGTTGTACGACTGGTCGAGGTTGAGAAGAGGATGATTGCAGAGGTATGTTCATTTCGCGCTATGGTCTTATATGGGTCCTCTTTACTGTGATGAACAACAAAATCGATTAGTCTTCCAGACTTCCAAACATGGTGATTTAAACAAAACAAATTACAACTCTCTGAAACAATGGCCCTCCCTTTCTACTCTCCTGCATCGACTTTATACTCTCTGATTGCGAGACTGACGTAGATTGGAACAGAAGAAGGACCTTGCCATCCCCTACGCCAAGGCCGTCCACTCGATGCTTCCAGTGAACAGGATCGACGAGCGCACAAAGAAGCCCATGGAACCTCACGAATCCATTAACGACCTTGAACAGCACCCTTTGACTTACCCTCAAATATTCTACCCTGCCTCCGAATCTCGCGCGTTCAACCGTACCGACGCCGGTCGTGTCTTCAGTGGCGCACCTCGTCTGCCAGATGACCAAGATGTCGGACAAGGTGGGAAACCTGCCAAAGAAGCTTGGGAGGACAAGAAGCCCGAGTATGTCGGCCAAGCAGGTCATTCACACCCTATCCTGAAGCCTGCCGATTCGCGTATTCCCCACCCACACTTGATTGCATTCGAGAAAGACAAGCTTGACCCAAAGTTTGCCTACGATCACCGGAAGCGACAGGCTCGACATTTAGCGCGTCTTGAGGAGGATGCGCGCAAGAGCAAGGAAGCCAAAGAGATCAGAGCCCGGTTGGAAGAGGAGAGGAAGAAGCGTATTGACACCGGACGGTGGCAATTCATCTTTACAGACGTAACAGCAACGAGGGAAGGAACTAGGCTCGATGGACGCGGGACGAAGAGCCCTGGTTTCAGGTATGGTGTACCTTCGCAGGAGAGAAAGAAAGGCCAGGTCAAAATTCCAACAAAGGTGGAGGTCTAGGAGTTCTGGATGCAGTGTCTGGGCTTCATGTTGATCTCCTGGGCAGGCTTAGCCATGATGTACGATATAAAACCCCAAATAATTGTCCTGTGTACATTATCGAGGGCCTTGAACAGCTCCGCAGAGGCTATGAAATGATATTAGGCCGAAGGACTCTCGAAAACCCAAATATTGTCACGGTCATTCATTTCTTTCGTCATACATAGCAGACGGAGGACAGTAGCTCACGTTGCTTTGCTTCCCTTTCCCAAGTATCCCGTATTCCGAGCGTCGATCCTACCCAGCGTCTTCGCTGGGAGGTTACATGCTTACCAGTCCTAGATGGAAATTCCAAGAAAAGCGTGCCATGAAGCCTGCATGGAGACCTTCACGAAATGATGCACCCTGCGGTCGTAGATCCTCATTAATATGTGTTGTAATGAGACATGATGTAACATCGAGAAGGTGTGATATATAGGCGCACTGGCTCGGCAGGAGCCACACCATTCCGAAATCATGAGAGGTGGCGCACGTCGCCGGGTCATTTGTCTGCTCAATACCACAAGTAACAGACTCGTCGTTGAAGAATTGGATCAGCGAAACTCGTGCTGCAGGCCTCCAGGGAGGCTTCTGCGCCACGAGGCGAGTTTCACAGATCGTTTGCAAAGCCTCTCCACAGGGTGGCCTGGAGAAGAAGCAACGTCTTTGCTGTAGCAGAGCTTACTCGAGCGCAATGTGCTGGCGAGCGGTTGCGGCCGACCTCATTTGCACACTTGTAGCGTTTGTAAGTAGCTCCTTCATATTAAATCTGCTCAAACCTCTTCCACGTATTTCTCGCCTGGCGCCGGATTCAAACTTCGAGTACTCGGCTTCGCGAGCAACGTTTTCCTCGTCAGTTTCCCACACAGCGCGGCCTTGATACTGGGCAGCGGATCTCTCGCCTCCGGTAAGACAAGCAGGAGGAAGACAATCGCCACGCCTGCGGTTGCAGGCAGAAAGCCGTAAAGATAATGGGCCGCCGGCGCAAAGTCGTGCGGCATGCTAAAGATTGCGCAGGCCAGTGCGAATGGTGCATAAATCAGCGCAATGATGGTCAAGTAGCGCGAATAGTCCGCCTGCCGGACGGATTCGGACTCGATCGACGTCAGGCTCCCGGTATCCTGCACCTGCGAGACAGCGAGAATATGCTGCATCTGCGAATCACACTCGGCGCGGTAGTGGTGCAGGTCGATCAGGAGCGCCCTGTAGTCATCGTTCAGATCCGAGTCCGAGGTTACGAACGATTTCACCCGTGTGAGAATGGGCTTGTACCGACTCAGCATGGAGTCGAGAGAGATGACTTTATCCAGGATGCGTTTGGCTTTTTGCGGCTCGAGAGCGAGCGCAGTGGAAACCGGCTGGCTCTCGAGAGTCGTGCGGACGTAGTCGAAAAAGTTTGTGCACTCGGACGCAGCGATCTGGAAGGCCGGTCGCATGATATTGAGCATTGTATTGTCGGACGGGTTGAGCAGGCCGTCGCGCGCCATTATGTGCCAGTGCCGGCAAAGGTCGTCAAAAGGGTTTGGGCACATGGGGCGAGAGCCACAGGCGCGGTAGTCGTGCGAGTCTTTGCTGCCGGGACGGCGCATCTCGATGAAGTCGAGGTAGCCGCCTTGGTAGCCTGATATTTCCATGCGCTGACTCGGGGAGAATGTGCCGAAACTTGTTTCGGCGCCCAGGGTGAAGTGTGTCATTGGTGGGTCGACCAGGACGACGCCTGGAGAGTTAGTATGCTTCGTGATGGCAGGCAGGAGGCAGGAGGACTTACATAACCATGGGTCCAGGGATTTCTTCATGTAGAATGAAATTTTCCGCCTGGCAAGGGCGACTTTGTGTTTGCCGTATTTCGAGCATACTTCTACTCGTCGCCGGTAGTTCCCTTTGCAGTAGAGCTTCTCGATGTCGACGTCCTTGCCACAATTATGGGCCACAAATGCACATGGATACTCGATAGTGAAAAATTGCTTCTGACGTCGTTGGTTTTGAGAAGCCAGTGGAGATGATGTGTTGACGTCGCCTGTGTTTCCAATACCATGGTCGGCGAGATGGGACGCGAAGAAGCCTGGTTCGATGTTGAGAAGACCTCCGAGTGTGTCGACCATATCGGGACTGATGTTGTTGACCATGATGATCCGCCCTTGAACTCCGGATGGTGCCGGAGTCGTCGGTGTTGAGGGTGTTTTCTTCGTCCATTCTTTCAATAAGACTCTCAGCTTGGTGGTGTCCGTCAGATCCGACGTCCTAAAACTTGATGTTCCAAACTCGAGAAGAATTGTTTCCGCTCTTTGCGGTCGCGGTACGGCTGGGCTTCGAGCAGATTCAACACCCCATCGCAGATAGTCGTCTAGACATGCTAGATTGTGAAAGCCATGACTTCGAAGGAAGCATACGTAGTCTGTGTAAGTCCAACGCTGCGGATCTGGTGGTGCCATGGTGCACGTTTCACAACCTACGCCGTCATGGTCCGAGTGCATCACACTTATGGCCAGTGCGGCGGAAGAGGTTTGTATATGTTGCAAATCCCGGTGGACAGAGAGGTCCGCTGCATGGAAACTGCTCCGATCAACCACCTGCAAATATTGATTATTTCAGACAGTTGAGATGATACGAAAAAAACAAAGCCGGAAGCAAAGGCTTAGGTCTTGTTCGACTAGAGAGAACAGCACTTCAGGTCTGGGTGGGATGACGAACACCTCGTGCAGCAGCTGTTGAATATAGACGGCTGGGAAGGATGGTGTCGTCGAGCACCAACCTTGGGACTTCATTGGTCAGCCTCGACCGGGGTTCCCTCGCAGGCTTCCCGAGCGTTGAAAGTATCCACCTACTGGGACGCGGCGCTGATCCAATTGAGGAAGCCGGTATCGCAAAAGCACCATTTCATATCCCACCTTCTGAATACCTTAGTTTGAAGTACTCCCTCTGCGAGAAACTCTCTTGTCAATAGTGCTTGGAATAGTCCGAGTAGCTCCATTGGCGACAGCATTTACGTGCAGTTTGCAGGATGGTTCTCAGATCCGATCAAGGCCGTCCATTGCTATTGGGGTAGAATGGATTGTTCCTGCCACTGGGAAAGGAACGCTCCGGAAGCAGCTCGCCTAACTGCTTGTTCGTGGCGTTGTGGTGGACAAATCATTGTGTCGAAATTGAAGGCGGGGGTCTTCCATGGTGTGAAGTTCCAGCCACCAAGTTATTCAAACCTGGCTTTGCAGAGAGTTTATTCGCCAGGGTGAGACATACGTGTATCGGCCATACGAGTCAGAGTCGCTGCATGCAGGAAATCGATAGGGATCTAAAACTTGGAAAGCGAGACAGGGTTTCAAGATAATGCATTGATGGGCAGTCAGATGCCCACGTTCACCTTGAGCCAGGACTGCAGCTTTAGCCAAGCTGACCGCGTCGGAACTAACTGAAACTTTTCTCCGAGGTTTGCTGTGTTTGCTGTGTTTGCGAGGATTCTAAGCTGCGGTGCGAACATCGTCGAGACATCTGGCTTGCTATCGTCCTGCACTGACATGGCCACCGACGCGACCGACCCCGAAGCCGCTGCGCGTAGTACACTGGTTGCGCTTGAGACACGTCTACGTCGGCTGGAATTTCTGCTCAAGGGTTGCAGTAATGAATATGGTATCCCGGATCCAGTACGGAAACCTGCGCAGCACAATGAGACAGTATGGGCACGGTTGGATTCTCTGGACAGTGAGATGGTAAAACTGAAGAAGCTCAATGGATCCGCCGGCACACTTATTCGTAACGTTGAACAGTTATGTGGGTGACACTACCAAACTGATCGCGAAAGAGATCAAGAAGTCAGCTAACATCGTGCTCTAGCAACTGCTTACCCAGAGTTGTTCGCTTCTCGAACAATTGCCACGGATGTACCCAAGTCCGAAGATTTGAGCACGCTCGCCTCTATTGTCCTTTCCCACGCAACCTTATTCCCCGAGACCGCCTCAAGGCTCTCGTCATTACAGACGTTGCAGATCCCTCCGGCTGGACAAAGCTCAGAACTACTGTCCTTGGCTCCTCGACTTGAACAAACCAGGCGGATCGAAGAGGAGATGTCAGACGAAGTGAGTGACCTACGTGAGCGCAGTGCTCGATGCCTGGAATGGTGGGTCAAGATTGGAGTTGTTGGAATGGGAGACCTCTGGGAAGACTGGGAAGGAAGAGTTGCCAAAGTCGAAAGACACCTGATCCGTTGGGAACGGCGAGCAAAGGAAGAACAAGGATATCTCTAGGTGACTGCATCTGACCAGTATAGATATATTTTTAGTTCTCAGACATGCGAGGCAGTCGATGGTACGATCCGGCTCGCTATGTGCAGACGTATTGTTCTTTTGCCATCGACGGCCGATTCAGGTCGGATGACCAGCTGCAACGGGTAATTTGGCGACAGCACATTAGGAAGGATGATCCGGCTGTTTGCCAGTTGGTTCGTTAAGCCAGCATAGCCATTGCGAATGCAGGGCTGTTGGCCAATTGGAGAATTTGCGCCTGTCGCAGATCACAACGGCATTGCAGATCATGCATTCGCCAGCCCATGAACAACAGAAAGATGGAATATTCCGCCGTGCCTGACCTTGCTTTGGACTGTCGTGACTGTCCAGCAGTAGAAGGCAAACCTTGACTTCGCGAAGCTGTGGCCGACTGTTCATAGACTCCGTTCTACCAACCTCATAGGGAACAACTGGGTCCTGGGATTGCGGAATCACGCTTGTGGCGGTGCCAGGGGCCGAATGATGGGGAGGGGAAGATTGGTCGAGAACCATGGATCAACGGTGCCCACAGATGTCAGGGGACTTGGTACGCATCCTGTCCAATGGTCGTGTCAGGAAGCAGCCCAAGTTTCATTAGTTGAGAATTGCCAGCGGAAAATTAGACATCCGGGTGTCAGGCTATGGTACTTCAAAGGCGAGGAGGCGTCGAAACTGTCTGGAGGTCAAGCCCGAACGGGCATCTGGAGATGAAGATCTGTTCTATGTCAGCATCCGCCGAATTGAATGAGCATTGTTCGGGATATGGCAATCATCTGGCCCAGATTGACTGTTGAGGTGCCACCAGGCGCTTGTCAGGGCGCGTGGCCTGTGGTACTGTGGAAGAGCCGCCGAGTATGCAAAAGGGCAGCACGAAGTGTCATTGAGCAAGCGAAGAGATTGAACACTCACCACGCCGATGAGCAATAATCGTATCACACCTCACTATCAGGCATAGTCACCTTCATCGAGTCTTTTGGAAATTGTAAATCTGGAGACAGTGGGTAGTTTTGAGTCTGGCTGGATCGACGCTGGGGGGGTGAAACGTGTTGCAGGGCACTGGAAGGCTTGAATTCTTAGTGGCCCTGGGCGGTGCCCTGCGTGGCCTTGTTCTGGTCGGAGACCGCCCTTGGACGCCTCCCCAGCGAGTAGTACGCATCCCTCTCCTCCCATCCTGTCCAATTCCTCCTCCTGAACTCGAATCCTCATTTCTCAAACCACATCCACGCTCGTTCAGGCACCACTTTTTGTCAACACAAGGCTTTCTTTATTCTTGTCGATCGTTACTCTCTCTTTGTCGTCATTCTTCGCCTCTTCTACTTTTAGTTGGCGACTCTGTCGTTGGCTTTCTTGGTCCTCCGATTGCTCCGATTGACTCGAGTCGACAAACCCGGGCCACGCCATCACGAAAGAACACACAGACACGGACACAGCCTTCCAACGCTCGGTCCTCTTTTCACCCAGCCTACGCCTGGCCTTCAGACAACATCTCCCAATCCACGACCTCATTCTTCTTGCCTTCTCGATTAATTGAACAAAGAACGGGAACAATAGGCATCACCATCCTCCACAAGAACCATCCACGCTCTTGACCCTTCATGCCCTCATACGGATCACTCCATTCTCCCTCTTTGAAGAAACACAACATGTTGGAAGCGCGAAGAGGAGGCAGAATCGACTTCGGTCATATTGTTGGCGACCCTTTTGCTCTGGCTACAATCTCCATCAGCTTGGTACGACCCCTGCCCTACTCAAGACGAACGCGACACTAATCCTCACACAGCTCGCCTGGCTCATCGCGTTCATTTCCTCCATAATTGCCAATATCCAAGATCCGTTCCCAAAGTATGCTTGGTGGACTGTCGCCTACATGCTATGCTGCATTCTGGGCGTGACATTCGTCTTCGCTACAAACTCGAGCGGTACCTATAGCATGGCGGTATGTTGGACATCTCTCCCAGTATGGAGCGATGCTGATGATTCACAGGTCGTTGGATATCTCGCTGCTGGGCTTGTCATGACAACTTCTGCGGTCAACTCCCTTGTCTACCAGCCGCAAGGCGCAATGGAAGCCGCAGCGGCAGGCCATATTCTACTTTCAATGGTTGCTGTAAGTGCTCTGACGCGTCCACTTGATTCAAGCGCTGATCGATGGCAGATCATCTGGATATTCTACTTCGGTTCTACACCTCAAGCTGCCCACCGCGAATTCATTGACCAATTTGCTTTGCACAAAGAAGCGAATGGTTTCCGTGGTCCTACGCAGAACATGACCAATGCCTACGATCGTCCACAGACAACAGCCTCCACACAGCCTCCCCAAATGTACACCTCAGCCCAATTGAATGGCTTCGAGACATCCTCTCCTGTTTCAGGATACCCAGGTGGACCGGCAGGAGCACCGAGAGCTTCAGCGCAACCCATGAATACTAGCAGTACACCAGCACCACCACAAGAGATTACCCAGCCTACCGAATATCCATATCGTGCCAAAGCCATCTACAGCTACGAGGCCAACCCAGACGACGCAAATGAGATCAGCTTCAGCAAACACGAAATCCTCGATGTTTCAGATGTCAGTGGGAGATGGTGGCAGGCTAAAAAAGAGAATGGCGAGACAGGTATAGCACCCAGCAATTACTTGATCCTGTTATGAGATCATGCACGTCAGCTTTGAGACGACTCTCGGGCGAGAGACGGCGGACACGACAGATGCTGGGTCTCTTCCGGGGCCCCGTGTCTCCTAATGACCTCTTTTTGACGACATTGCACTTCTTTTCTTTCCACAGTATCCTCCTTGTATCAATGGACACCTCAACTTCAGTCCGAGTTCAAGGTCACTTGATATCCGGCCAACGATACCAGGCGAGACAGGATCCAAGATGGTCGAAACTGCTCACTTTGGATCGCTTCGTCTTCCTTTTTTCTTTCTGATTTGGGCTATGACGGAATAGGTGTATTTGTTAAGGGACCTGTACAGGCGTCCAGGCGCAGCTAAAACGGCGACGGGCTAGGCATGAGATTGTTGGAGTCTGGCGAGAATTGTCCGAGTGATGGACGAGCGTCTTCTCTCAGGTCAGCAACCCAGCCTGCGCTTTCTCATTTCCCTTCTTCTCACCAAGAGATCACGACAACGTCAGTGAGATTGCTATGTCATACTGTCAGTTGGGTGAATTTTGGATGCTGGTTTTCTTGCGGACGCAGCTTCCGGGGAGGTTCCTGTGGGGCAATCTGGTTCGGATACGCAGCCTGTATCTAATGGAGTTTCAGCTGGATGACGGGACTTGAGAGCGCATATGCTATGATGGGAATCACGGGACTTGAGAATGCGGAAATACAAAGATGAAATCAACAATGAATCGAACTTGAGTTCCCTTTCCACTGTTCGCCTTATCATCTGTCAATGCTGATCGTTCAATGCTAATGCAGCTTCGGCTCAAATCAAGCAAGTTTCGGTCTCTTTTGGTAAGACATAGACCAGACAACGCCAAACTTGAGTACTCCCACCTCAAGACCAAGTTGAGGTTTGCATGAAGCTGGTTGTACACGACCAAGGAAGGCTCCCGGCATAAGATGGCCACTACTGCCGCTCTGACATTTATTAAGGCATCTCGTTGGACAAGAACTGAAACTCTGAAGATGTTCCGAGGCTAATTGAAATGAGGCATGAAACCCGGTGCTATTGAACGAGATTTGTGAGATATCCGTTGATACACTACAAGACCGAAAATCGCTCGAACGCTTCAAAAGGTAGGTAGTCACTGCCCAGAGGCCTGTAGAGAACTGCGAGAATAAGTTGTCACAGAGACCGTCAAAACATGCTACCGACCCGGCATCTGCTGACCTCCGTACCCCGTATAAGCCGTGTTGTAGTCATGGATCCCTAACCCACTGTGGTTCAGAGGACTCTGAGGCTGCGCAGCAGGCATGTGGACGATGTCATCCTGCTCCTGCTGATGTAGTGGCGCATACTGTTCATCGTACTCGGACTTCTGGGAGGCGTAGTCCTGCCGTCTCTGTGAATCATCGTCAAGCTCTTCGTCCGCTGGTATGCTACTCGAAAACGCGTCCTGGGTCTGCGCCGAGAAATCGTTCGGTTTGTCTGACCCGCTTCCCCCAAACTGCGTGTTCGGCATCATGCCAGTGCGTTTGAATGTCATGACGGTCCGGAAGGATATGAGTGTTGTCGCAACGAAAAGTAGCATTTCGAACACGCCGAAAACAATGATAGTCTCGCTCAATTTGCAGCGTCCAGGACTACCGTATTTGAAGTTGTCGCAGCCCGAGGCGTCTTTCTTGTCCCCCTTTCCTTTCCCCGCGGCGACGTACGAGGCAACGGCTGCCCAGGCGCTGAGCCAGAGAATTACGGCCAGGCCGTCAAGACAGGCGAAGGCATAGACGTTTGAGAAGCGGCGGGCACGGGACCACATAGGTACCATGACGAGGTAAATCAGGGTCGGAATGGTTAGCCAACACTGTGTGAGGACGGAGCGTTAGTGAAGGACAGCCATACAGGTGACAATGGAGGGCGCACCAAGCCAAAGTACCAGCCCACACGGCCGTCAGTGCTTCCATCGCGGGTTAAGAGCGCTATTGTCAGGGCCCATGCGAGAAAGAGGATGGCCCCTTGCCCGATGTGAATGTAGTTTTTGATCTTGCCGAGGTGGTCTAAAGGAAGACGCATTCTTGTGTCACAGGAGCACGCTGTGTCTGTGGCGGTCACAATCGAAGAACAGGAAGGTCGATGACAGGTGGTGTCCGACAGACCGTGTCAACCCGTGGGAAGATAGGGATTTGCGCACACCTGGGTTCGAAGGAGAATGGTTCAATCTTCGTAGGAGTAGCAGCAAGTAGGAAAAATGGCATGCGAGGACGGAGCGACAGTGATAACGATGGAGCCAGTATACAGCAAACAGAGGGCAAAAGGCAATGGATAGGGACGGGCGGCGGTTGTACATAAGATGACCGAGTCTAGTAGAGGGATGTTCGTGAATCTGAGACGCGACTGATGCTCAGCCGCAGCGTGGCGCGGCTAGGCTGGGCTGTCGACCAATGCTTGCGAACCCAGCAAGGCTGAATCCGAGGTGGAGCTGGCCCATGACGAAGACCGTAGTAATGGCGGATCTCGCTGGCTTGGAAAGGGAAGCTTGTAGGAGCACTTGGGTTCAGCTTTCACATTTATAGAAGCTGAGGATTTGACAGAAGATTCAGAGGGTCTACACAAGTACAGCTTGACAGCAAGGCTGTGGCTCGTGCGTCTAGCTCGGGCTTTATCGAGGCTTATGTATGCCCGATCACGCCAATTCGACAAATTGATCAATGGGCAGTATGCAACCGCTGCCAACCAATGATTTGACATGCGCAAGGCAAACAAAAATCTTGTACTACACTTGCAGTCCGTCGTTGAGATGAGCACTGAGGCAACCCGGCAGAAGAGCTCTCCATGATCACACGACTGGGTCTGTAACAGGAGCGGATTTCGTAGTGTAACAGACTCAGTCATGCCTCAGCACGAGTTGCTATATCCAAACGCAAGGCTGCGAATCGATCTGGTTTGCCTCATGCGCAAACAGCTGCATGATGCTAGTCCTAGCTGCACAAGGCTGAGGATAGAAATGGGCATTCGGACAATTTCCCTGTATACTCTGTTTCTTTGGTCACCACTTCTTTTTGACTTCACGACCTTCTCACGGTAGTGAGTCCGTGTCACAGAGACGGGAGCCTACCCTGACTCGCGGGTGACGCATGAATGATAAGGCGTCAGTCCTCGATTGGCAGTGAAGCTGTCAGGGACTGTACATATGCAAGTAATTGATGATTTCCTGTCGGCTCCAGAGACGCTAAACCAAGCAAAGAAAAGACATATGGTCATTGGCCCGTCGTCACGTTTGTCTTGGCCCTTGCCGCATTCTAATGGGCACGCCACGCTTTGGCCGCCGCTACCTTAAATGATGGTTAGTGACTGCTAAAGTTGCAGTTGACGCTCGTCCGTCACTGCTGGTTCGTCCGTCCCTTCCCGCTAAGAGGAGCGCACCGCAACTGCCGTCTAAAATGAGATTTGCCCGTTGCTAAATTATTTTCTCAGCCTGCGCGACCCCTTTGCATCCTCTCTTCCTTTTGTTCCCTTCATCAACCAAATCATTCTTCTTCTGATCACAACACCGAGCTCATCTTCAAACCAACCTCCTGAATCTAGGGCACTCAGCTACCCTTCAACCCCCTCGTCAACCTCCGATTCCCCAAGGCAGCCTCTAGCTACCTGAGTTATTTACATTCCACAAGTCCCAAACACACATCAACAATCTACTTGTGCCTCAGCCACAATGTCTTCTGCCGTCGACAACCTTGCCGAAAACCTCCAGAACGCCGGTCTCGAGGACACCTCTGCTGCCAACAACGAGGCTGTTCTGGCTTCTGCTGCCGAAGGGCGTCGATTGTACATCGGGAATCTCGCTTATGCGACAACTGAGGCGGAACTCAAGCAATTCTTTTCAGGCTACGATGTGTAAGTTTTCACGGCTTCGAAATCCACCGATCTTTGAGACTGACATATGCACAGCGAGTCAACTTCCATCCCCGTCAACCCACGTACCAATCGTCCTGTCGGCTATGCCTTCGTCGATCTGAAGACTGCCGAAGAGGCGGAAAAGGCCATCCAGGACCTGTCAGGCAAGGACATCTTGGAGCGCAAGGTGTCTGTCCAACTTGCACGCAAGCCCGATCAGACTGCCGCTGGTGAAGGTACTGGCTCAGGCGCCGAGGGTGAGCGCAAGAGATCTGCTGGTCGTGGTCGTGGAGGTCGCGGACGTGGCCGTGGTGGCCGTGCTCGAGGTGGCGCAAGAACAAATGTATGTTGAACTGATGGGTCTGCTCTTCCGAAGTATACTGACATGGGCTAGGAAAACGCCGGCGCTGCTACCACTGACCTGGCTGAGAACCCTCTTCCTTTGACCGACGTCACTGCCGACGCCAACAAGGGTGACCTTGCCACTGATTCGAAGACTGCCCGCGCTCCTCGCCCACCCAAGCAACGTGGACCACCAGAGGACGGCATCCCATCCACCACCAAGGTGATGGTTGCCAACCTGCCATACGATCTTAGCGAAGAGAAGGTAAGCATTTCGTACACCTCGCAGTGGGATCACGCTAATATGGATTGCAGCTCAAGGAATTATTCGCCGACTACGAACCCAGCTCTGCTAAGATTGCTCTTCGTCCCATCCCTCGCTTCATGGTCAAGAAACTTCAAGCTCGCGGTGAACCTCGCAAAGGTCGTGGCTTCGGATTTGTCACTCTCGCCTCTGAGGAAATGCAGAAGAAGGCAGTTGAGGAAATGAACGGCAAGCAGATCGAGGGTCGTGAGATTGCGGTCAAGGTCGCCATCGACAGCCCAGGAAAGGAAGACGGTGCTGAGATCACAGGTGAAAACGGCACCAATGGTACCACTGAAGAGGTTGCTGCTGAATAAACGTCAACATGAGCACGCGAGCAATCAAAGACAACGAATGAAGGATCCGATATTCTCTTAGCGAGGCATACTCGTACTCAAGGGACCCGGAAGGCTTAAGTGCTCTTTCCGTCTTGAAAGGGTGACGCTGGAGCTGAAATATCGATCAGTCAATGAGGTTGATGGATCAGCCCTGACAAAAGTATGCTTCTTGCCGAAAAGGCTGTATCTTGCAATACCATAATCTTTACTTCTTGAAAACACTCCACTTGAATTGGATTCTCTCGTCTTCCCTGATCTTGTCCAAAGCAACGGAACTCTATGTAACACTTGCAGAGCCTGTATGATCTGCTGAATGCACAATGTGAGGTCGAATTTCGCCAGGGCCAGCGATAGGGGCGGTTCACTGGTGAGCTTCACAGGTCCTCCTTTTAAACGAGGCCTTCTAGGGGCTTGAATAACCAAGGTAAACACTGCATGTGCCTCTTCTCTTAGCTCTAAACACATAGTCTCGCGTATTATCCTCTTCCCCCGGCGTCGAACACCATTCAGCTTTGAGAGCGATATAGTCGAAGTCGAGAACTTTGGTCAACAAGGGATAGAATTCTCCTTACCACAATTCTTCGAGTACCTGAATCTCATAAGGACCAGGATTTCGGAGAGGAGATGTACGCTGGGTGTTTTGAACACGACGTCGACCCGAAACGATCACTTAGCCTCGTTTCCTCGGCTGAAGCCATTGTCGTTGCGGTTGAAGCATTGTTCCTTCCCATCCAGGACTTGAGTCTTTGCTCAACGACTTACCGATCCACCAGTATCAGTATGGTGCTGCTTGGCCAATCCCGGAGCGACAAGGACAGCGACATAATGCCAGCGATTGCTCTATGCCGTCAAAGTCTTCAACAAATTTTGTCCACACGGCCTAAGCGCGTGTCCTTGGAGACGTGCCGTTTCCAGGGACGTGATCCCAACGGCAGTTCTTCCTTTCGGTACCTGCGGTTTGACAATCCAGAACGTCGTTCAGCCTGATCGTTTGTGGGGCTTGCATATCACGAGCTTCGGTCAGCGTACGGGGCAGCTGTTGATCGTATCAAGAAGGCAAGCTTGCCCACCTTTGTCCTCCACTTTTGACCGAATGCTCTCGGACTCTGAACTTCAGCATATCCCCACCAAATCATATCATCCAATCGAGAACCTAGACGATATCAGTGGTCAGCAACAGCATGGCTTGGACTGCTTGGCTCGCGTTGGATATTGGATGTCCATGCTACTCGTAACGCATGAGCATACCAGTCTTGACTTTCTATATCAGTAGGCATAACCCTCTGGAGTGTCAGTTCCTCTTTCTCTCCAGGTCATCATTGTCCGGCGCCGAAAATCACCATTTGCTCCCCAAACAGTGCTCCTCGTCAAGATAACCACTCGCAAAGTACCCGTTTGATATTCACACCTCTTCTACAAGATGGCAACTTCCACCTTGAACCCTCAACCGGTCCCCAACCCACCGACATCGTCCTATGTACCATTTCAGTCCCAACCCAGCATTATCGAAGAGGTCGCTGCAAACCAACAGCACCTCCGCGAGCGTCTAGCTGGCGCTCTCTTCCGACCCCCACCAAACATCCCTGCTGAGGCTCTGCCCAGTGTCCCACTCATCGACATCGGCCCATCCTTCGACGGCACTCTCGAATCTCGAAAAGCTGTTGCGGCCAAGATCCGTGAGGCCTGCCTAACAACAGGCTTCTTCCAGATCAGCAACCATGGCATCAGCCCGGAAGCCATGGCCGGCGTCCTGAAGCAAGCAGAGCGCTATTTCCACGAGTTGACCCTCGAGCAGAAAGAGGCAATGCACGTCAAGCTCTCGCCTCTCTTCCGTGGCTACGAACCTCACGACTTCTCATACGTCAACCCAGATGACGAGGGCGCTGCTCAGGAGACCAAAGAGTGCTTCAACTGGGGATACGAAGACGCATTCGACCCCACCGGTGGCGATGGGAAGTACCGAGAAATCGACGGCTCCGTGGCTGCTGGCAAATATGCCGGTAACGTTTGGCCTACCGAAGAACAATTGCCAGGCTTCTACGACGCGATCAAGCTCTACTATGGGCAAGTCATGACCTGCTCACGCCATCTGTTCCGCCTGTTCGCGCTCTCACTCGGTCTGGAGGAGGACTATTTCGATGAACTAATCACCCATCCGGGCGGCATTGCCAGATTGTTGTACTACAAGAGCAACCCGACTCCCGAAAACGCGCAGGAGAAGTCTGAGGAGCAGTTGGAACAAGAAGCGAAACTCGGATTGGGTGCGCACACAGATTATGAGTGCTTTACCCTGCTGTTGAACTCGGCCAACCCAGGTCTGGAGATCTTGTTCCCGCCGAGCCCATTGACGAACAACAAGCCCATCTGGCGACCTTGTCCTGTCCGGCCGGGCACTCTGACTGTGAATGTGGCGGACTTCTTGATGCGCTGGACCAACGGCCTGTACAAGTCGACCATCCACCGTGTTGTGAGCAAGCCGGGTGGTGGAGAGAGATATTCCGTCCCATACTTTTTCAGTATCAACTACGATAGCGAGGTGCTGCCACTGCCGGAGCGGTGTGTGGGCAAGAGCAACTATCGGCCGATGAAGGCGGGTGAGTACGTGCTGGAGAGATTGAGGGCAACGGCGGTGCTGAACAAGGAGAACAAATAATTGGGACAGATAGTCGATGTGTATATGATGGAATATATCGATTTCAAAATAGTACTTGTGCATACCCGTGAAAAGATCGACCCATGTTCAATGGACCATGATGTGCTAGTACTGTCCGTGGTCCTCATGTCCATGTGTCACACCCCGTTGAATTTCCAGAGTTGAATCGATTAGAGTCCGAAAAGTCCATAGGTATCTGGGTAAAAGGCTAAAGGGCCCGTGCGATTCATCCCGTCCACCCGTGCCCCAAGTCGAGTTCCAAACATACATGAGCTGCCAGTAGGGTGGCAACGCGGATATACGATGAACCGAGCTTGATGTCTTGAAGCCACAGACCTTGAGTGGACCCAAAAACACTGCTACTATGTATGTCAACACGATAAAGATCATGGATACGGGATGCAATGTGACAGATGGCGATCTCGATGCTAATACGAGCGTCGTCCTGGAGCATTGATGGTGGTGTTCAGGCAGGCCCTCAGCTTTCCACGGGACTCTTATCCCTTTTTCGGCTAGGCAAAACATACACTCGTGCGTATAGTCGTATAGTGAAAGGTGGGGGAAGGTAGGGATCGTAGTGTATCAATGTATCGATGAGTTCAGGAGAAGAGGGGTCGCGCAGCCTTGTAGGGAGGGGGCCAGCTCTCGGACGGAGCGGAAGAGATAGGAAGGACAGGAAAAGATAAGTCCTACCTCTGCTTGATGCAGCACTGGACATGCGTTTAGTATACGTAAATAACGTTGGAACTTGCTGAAGTCCCCTGAGGCGAGGGATGGCTCGTCGTGACCAGGTGCAGTACTTATTAGTAAGTCGAGGGGGCCAGTGTTGGACGCAGTTCCGAGAAGGGGGTGGACGACTTGGACACCGAAAGTCCCCAAGCTCTGCCAGAAAATCGACCCATGCTCTACATACAGTAGCAAGTACGAAGCAATGACCGGTGACCTCAGTAGGTGTCATTTTGAGTATAGCAGAGTTGGTGGATGTGTATTGCTGGATGTATGGAAATGAGAGGTCGATTGCATCAACGTAACAACGCTTTGGAGTAGTTGCACTTGGCGGATCTACGGTGGTGGGGTACATGTTCTATCCTCACAGATCTTACTTCAGCACGCCAGGAGGGGCCTATTGTACTGTCTTGAACACATGTCATGTGTGTTGATGGAGCAACAAGCCGAGGCGCGACGAGCCCGCTCACACCACAGGAAGTCGAAGACAGGTTGTGAGCGATGCAAATCCCGAAAGGTCAAAGTACGCTGTTTCCCGCAACTGTCTCAAGGTACGCCGCTCTGATTGCCTGTACAGTGCGACGAGGCGAAGCCGCAGTGTGATGCCTGCAGGCGTCATGGAGAGGAATGCGTTTACAACATCTTCAAAGTCCCGATAGTGACATCCTCAGGTCGGACTTCACCAGGGTCTCAGCCATTGGCGAGCGGTGTCGAAGGACCAGGTGATGCTCAGACTGGGTCTGGGTCCACGGTGACTGAGGGAGACGTTATCTACAACATTGTCGAGGAAAAGGCAGAGCGAATGCTCCAGCTCAGACTCTTGCACATCTTCTACCACGTCATTTCCTCACCCTTCGCAGTGCGGCAAAGCCCCGAGGTCGAGTCGACATGGCAGATGGACATTCCGCAAATTGCTTTCGAACACGACAACCTCCTGTACGCGATCTTTGCCGTGTCGGCGACATGGCTGTTGCGTTCACAGCCGAACAACGTAGACCTACAAATCAGACGTGATCGGTACGTTGCTCTGGCTCTGCAGGAACAGCGGCAGGCCATTGATCAGTTGAGCGAGTCCAATGCAGATGCTGTATCGTTTGCAGCAGTACAGATTCAGTTGAATTCGTTCGCGATGCTGAACGAACGAATCCAACCCATCGCCGGCGGTTACGAGGCCACCGTCGAATGGCTCAAAACCGGGAACGGTGCGGGACGGATTTTCAGCATGGCGGCGGAGGCGGCAAAAACCAATTCCAACCGCAAGTTCCAGGTCGTTCTAAATGCTCCGCCGGCTTTCCCGTCCGATGGCGACGACCACTTGCCTTATGGCATTCCTCCCCAATCGCGAGATGTACTTGAAGGCAGCCTTGTCACCAAAGAAGGACTGAGTCCGGCTACGCGAGATGTATATGAGCAGACGTTGCGCTATCTGGGCATTCTCCATCACTATGTCTCCGAAGGGAAACCCGGATACTTTGCTGCACGAAGCATTCAAGGGTTTGCAATGCTTGTTCCCAAGGAGTTTACCCGTCTTGTGGAAGAAGGCCGGCCTGTTGCCCTAGTTGTTTTGGCACATTTCTTCGCGCTTGCTGCCCAGGTAGAGGACAAGCCTGCCTGGCTCGGAGACGCTCCTCGCAAGGCCATCCACGCCATTTCGCGCACGCTGCATGGAGACTCCGACACTATCCTCCAGGAGATGGAATGGCCTTGCAAGGTGGCTTCTGCAAAGTAACAGTAGAGTGATCTTTTCCGCTGTAAGGTCTTGTGGTCAACAGGATATATGAGTTTCCGAGATCTTTCGTCGGAGGAAGAATTGTTTGAGGACCCTGATTTTAGTCATTGGCCAAAGATCATGTGATGCCGGAAGAATCCGCAAGTCCGTCAATCGTCATCTACTCTGCCACCCTGGGGGCCTGTGCGGTATGCTCGGGTCGCCGGCCACGCCGCAGGCAGCGCTGACGACAACTTGCTTGGAACACCACCTTCGCAACCTAATCACTCGATACTAGGAACCTCTCGTTCGTGCTTCGGATTGTTACCTCGACCTACAATCTGGTCGACGCATACACCATGTGTCTTCACTATTGACCCGACTTGCTATTCATACAACCGAAGCAAACCATCAGTCCACGCCAACCGGAATCCCGCTGCTATTCCTCCTCCAGCGCAATGGCATACATCCTGTACTCGATCTTCCTCGTCTCCGTCCTTGTGGGAACAGGTAAGTCACGATCATCCTCCCTATTCTTGTCGATTGCTCAAGTCTGCGTGTACTGAACGGTCTCCCTAGCCCTCTACCTCACCCGCGCTCGGTGGGTGCCGTATCTTCCGGGGCGCGTGCAGGACGCGATCTCCGGGCTCTCGTACACCCGTGTCCCAACCACGTTTATGGGCGACGTCGAGTCGGGCCTGACGTCTGCGGACTTCGACCTGTCGAGCAACATCACCGAAGGCGATTCGCGGAGCGGACTGGACCAGAAGGCCAAGCGCGACATCCAGCGTTTGATGAAGATTCGGGGGATCAATTTTGACGAGGCCCGGAGAGTATACATGGAGCAGCGGTTCAAAAAGAATGGGATCGGCGAGGATGGGATACCGCGGGATCCGAAGTTTGTGTCGTTTTCTTGAACGGGATGCTGGCCGGTATTTTGAGTGGTTTGGGAAGATGATCATCTACCAGAGATGGACCGGCAGGATACCGCATGGAAGAATGTGCAGAGCTTCAACCATTCTTCTAGGGGTTGTAGGATACTTCGATTGGCGAGGTTGTCGTTGAAAGCGAATGGTGTTCATGGCGTCAAGTCCGATCCTATTAATCTGTAGGTAACAGGCTCGAGGCCTTGCGGCCTTGCTGTTGATGTCTTCTATTTGTCGACAGCCTCGAGAGCTTCTATGAGTGATAGCGCCGATCAGCACCACGGCAAGATACCTCTAGCGGCACGATCCGCCTGCTGAATGTACACGACGGTCTACAGATTGAGCCTTTGCTCGGGCCATATATCATGCTATGTCATTCCATTGAGCTAACGAGATCTCAATCTTCTGTGGAATCACCTCAGCCAGGGTACTTGGGAAAGTCCACTTGTAGAGGCGGTCGGAATATGTTGATCATGTTGTTCTGCACTCAGTGTCATTAGGAGTGCTTGTTTCGAAAGATTAATCCTTTTGGCAGATACGCCCAACCGCCCAACCGCCCAAAATGACCCAAAAAGCCAACCCATATGTGAGAAGTGCCAACCTGCCCCAAGCAACGGTCTATGTACAATGTGCTTGGAAGATTGCTCAAATCGAGGCCGCTGCTCCCTCAAGGACTAAACATATGTGCATGTTGCGGTTTTCCGTTCGCAAACCTGGAAGACTGGTGACTTTCATCGCTCCAATGTAACAATCATAATCTTCCATGTAGGACGAATATTCTCCAATCATTGAACTTTCTTGCCCTTGGGAAGACCATCGGCAAGATAACCACGGTCATCTTCACCCTCGACTTCCTGGACGATCTTTTCCATCTCCTTGGACTGCTTCTCCCATTCTGACTTGCCCGATTTGGTCTCTCTGTTGAACAGCTCGTCGTTCGGCTTGCGATAGCTGCCGCCCATTCGGTCCCACAGCGTCGTGAATTGGCCGTAATTGTAATTGCTAGCCGGACCGAATTAGCATGACTCCTAGAAAAGGGCAGGCAGAAACCATGGAAGGAGCTTTCTCAGGTCGACAGGACTTACAAGTACAAATGATGCATGGTGTGGCAGGCAGCGCCATTGATGAGTGGCGAGTTGGAATAGTATTCTCCATCATGGATGAAAATTGTCCAGAAGTTGATGAAGACGAAGAGAGCAATATATGCAAACTTCTGAAGAGGAAAGAGGAACGGGAACAAATGGTATGGAATCGACTGAGCGAATCCATCCACCGGATGGAAGGCATGCGAGGCGAACGGAGTCGGTACGATCCATTTGTGGTGAGGTTTGTGGAGGGTCTTGTAGACCAGCGGATGATGCAGACCACGATGAATCCAGTAGATCAAGAAGTCGGTGAACAGGACGAAGAAAGGGAATTGGATGACGTTGTACAGTGAGAATGGCGCCTCCGACAGGCTGTCGTACATCTTCGAATAACCGCGTACTTCAGCCAACATGCACATAGAGGTGAGCAGGGACATGAGTGGTATAGCTTTGAATGCCTGGTTGATCTCCATTCGGACTTGATTTTTGAGGTATTTCGGGTGCTGGAAGGCCGTCTTATCGAAGACGAAGACATACGATAGTGATGCGAAAACAAAGTAGAGGACAAGGCCGAAGAACCTGGACGGACTGTCAGGGATGCAGGGACACCAGATAAGTATCGTATGAGCTTACCACACTATGAAGAACAAGCTGAGTCCTTGTCGATATATGTTGTTGCGAGGCAATGAGCTGCTATATGTCCATTCTGTGGGGTTTAGACTGATATACTGGGAAGCTGGTTCGTAAATATAGTTGAACTGCGTTGGTCCATTGGCTCCTTCATGAATACTGGGGAAGCTTGGAGCAGTGGCATTTTTTAGGGTATGGTAGAGGTATTGAGATGGACTGGCAGGGAGGAAGAAGGAGTATACGCGATCGAGGGCGAGCGTGTCGGCGATTTCGAGGATGATATCCATGGTGAAGATGCGCGGTCGCGCTTGGCCCTGTCTCAGCACTCAGGAATGTTCGATGTTGGTGTTGAAGAGCTCGAATGAAGATGCAAAAGCTCTAAGGAGGTCGGAAACAGGCAGAGCGCATTCAATGGGTGCTTGATGTTGGATTGTACAAGCTGCGAAGCGAAGGACCCTGGAAGTTTTTAGTACTTTCGGTATTTTCACCGCAATAGAGTGGCGTGAACATGGATTTGAGCGCATCCGACCCGATAACGGCTGGCAATCACAAACTGACAGGGGGTGGAGGAAGCTTGGAGCTCGACAATTGGCCCTGACTGGCGCAGAAGCCTTACTAGGCCCACGCTGGGAAGATCAAGCTTCCAGGAACACAAACTTTTGGCTTAATCCCGGCACCTAGGAGCGAGGCCGAGAGAAACGAGATGAAGCTGCGCAACACGTGACTGGTGGCCTGCTCCCTCTGCTCTCATCTTGTCATTTCACAATGCTCTGCTTAGTCATCTGCTCCGACTGCGTCCTGCCGTCATTTTGATGTCTTGGTCGTCATTCAGCAAATCCTCGACAAGCAAATGAACTCGCTCTTGACCTTGCAACACATTGTCCAAACCAAACACACTTCACCATGTCTGCTTAATTCCTGTACCGTAGACGACATGATCTTCGACCTCGGCAGCACCACCTACAGTCGTTTCTCTGTTCCTTGATCTTCCATTCGAGGCCATGACTTCCTCATCACCCAGTCATGGCCTCTCGCCTGCCTCTATCGAAACCATCGCAGGCCTGACTGCTGGTCTGGTGTCAACCATCATTGTTCATCCGCTGGACATCATAAAGACAAGATTGCAGGGTGAGTGACAAGTCTGACGATATCCATGCTTGATGCTGACCATTTGAACAGTCGACACCTCCGCCCATCCTCTGCTCAACTCCTCCCGCGCCGTCTTCCGTGATATCTTGCGGAATGAGGGTCCGAGTCGCATTGCAGCCTTGTACCGTGGCTTGACCCCGAATCTCGTCGGCAACTCTGCAGGTTGGGCATTATACTTCTTGTGGTACCGTGAAGGTCAAGATGTCGTTCGTAAATTGCGAGGGTACACACCTGATCAGCAACTCACATCGCTCGACTATCTGTCTGCGTCCGCTGGCGCCGGAATGCTGTCTGCAATACTGACGAATCCAATCTGGGTGATCAAGACACGGATGCTATCGACGTCGGCTTCTCAAGCTGGTGCATATCCTGGCATGATATCAGGCCTGCATACAATCATCAAAACAGAAGGGATTCGAGGGCTCTTTCATGGCATGACACCTTCTCTTTTCGGAGTCAGTCATGGAGCGCTGTATTTTGTGGCATATGAGAAGTTGAAACTACGCCGCAGACAGACGAAGAAGGATCAACCACTCTCCAATGCTGACACGCTGATCGCTTCGTCTATGTCAAAGATCTTTGCTGGAGTTGTGACCTACCCACATCAAGTGGTGCGTGCACGACTGCAGACGTATACTGCCAACGATGGCACCCAAATCAGAAGACCCGGTGTGATGGGCCTGATCAAGCGGATTTGGCACAACGAAGGCGTTGTGGGCTTCTACAAGGGCCTTTTCCCTAACCTTCTCCGTGTCGTTCCGAGCACTTGCGTCACATTCCTGGTGTATGAAAATGCTCGATGGAGCTTACCGCGGATATTTGGATCACAAGACGATGTTACTGCATTAGGGGTGGCCGGAAACAGAAAGGGCTCTTTGTAGTGCAAAATGAGCTGATATTGCCTACTGCGCATCTCATGCCAGCAATAGGCATTCTGTCATCGTGACGGAGAGGAATCTGATGCGGATCAGTGATGTGCTGGGGACACAAGGATGCGCGCAAGAATGTTGTGAGAGAATTGTTCGGTCAAGCTATTCCTTGACGGCTGCCTCGGCGTATGGGATCGGCAGCCACTGCAAGCCGGCTGAAGTCACCACTCGCATCTCGAAACAACGGATGATAGTCTTCCCTCGAAAGGCATCTTGTTCTCCTTGGAAGGACTTGCAGGCTTGTATGGCATGGCCTTGTCAGCAGTCTCGTCTCTCCACTCAGACCTCAATAATACTCCACTCGATGTGCATGAATCACTAGAGGGCTAAGGTCTAGCTCCTCTCTCTACTCGATAGCTGCCAGAAGGGTGTCAAAACGAAGTCAACATTGCCGACGGTATTGGGTCCCAAGAGCACAGAATCGGTGCGTCGGACTGAGAAGCCGTGGCTTGCCCGGCCTGTCTCTGGCTTGAGTTGCGTTCCTGCAGCTCATCCATGTCGAAGGATGCCCGAAGATTCTAGCTGCAGCAACAGAAGAAAAGTCACTTGCCAGATGAACAGCGCCCACTCCATCGATCCGAACAGCCTGCTCCCACGCGCGGTGGTGATTGGTTGTGTACACCCTGTAGCTCGACACTATTGACTTTCAAGCGACCTTCTGGAAAACTTCTAGCGGATTTCTAGCCTGTCTCCACATGGCCTGCGACATGCAGAAAAACGGAGCCAGATGCAACATCAGCATTTACATCAGCTTTCACGAGTTCGAGTAGCTTCCGCCAGCATACAACCCGATCGACGCTCATTTCAATTCCTGCGTGGGTGCCTGGTCACGGAATCGCTTGCACGCCGTCATACAGACAAAACATCGTTTCTCAGGCCCCCATTGTCGGTCCTTCCTTCGATCGACTCTTATTCCCTCACCAAAGGTCGATGGCTAACAGCCCAGACCATTCTCGAAGCCTTCCTTTCCAGGATATAGTCAGAGTGATTCCGCGGAATAAGACTAAGCACATGATCTGACGGCACACTGTCACCGTCGGTGTCCTGCCATGATCCGCTAACGTGTGATTCTGGGCCGTGGCGTCCCCTGGCCAGCCACAGCCACATTCTCGTCCTCCAGCAAGGACGTCACAAAACTGTGTCTCAGGGGTTGTGCTGTCTCCATCGGGCTGCACAAGATCCCTGGAACGCAGGATTTATTCCTCGAGAAAGTTAGAGAAATACTTGCTACTACTCTGCCTGACCATCTCTCACCACGGGCTCCACAAAATCCTGTAAGGATCCCAGAAGACCTTGAGCTTTCTTAGCTCTTCAAGCTTCTGTCCGCTGTACAGCTCCCCGAGGTCCATCCCAGGCCGCAGATTATTCGCAATGCACCGCACTTGGCCAGATGAATTGCGCCTCATAATCTTCAAGAACTCGTCTCCGAACTGCTCTATTGGCCCCCTGGTCTCCTCGGAAGCGCACCAACACATGGCATTGGCCAGCATGCCTTGATTGCGATGTTCAAAGAACTTTCCACGACCGACATCTGTTTGACCGTGGTCGCTGGTCACCTTTGTGTCCCACTTATTGAATACCAACGACGTAGGACGAGCATCTTCGTATTGCTCACCCAGTCGGAGCCATCTATGAAAGCCTGTCACAATGGTTTCGACGTCGATAGTGTCCAACAAGGTGCTCGAGAAGCTCTTGTAATCGCCGTGTGCACTTAGCGGCTTTAATGCCAAGTTAGCGTCAGCAAAGGGGACGAGATCTGTTCTTGCGCTCAGAGCCTGGCTGATGAGATCGTCGGCAAAAAGAGCTGACGCTACTTCTTCACCCTCTTCACTAGGCCCGAAATACGAGCCGGTGATCATAATCAGAGGAGCTCCAGGAGTCTGTGCGTTGGGCGGAGATCTGAGGCAGATCATACTGACGCTCAGAGGTTGTGGGAGTTGTTGCATGCTCACAAAAGTGCGACTAGCCATGAGGATTGCAGAAGCTGGGAGTACGACTCTGCGGGTCCAGATGCTGTTGTCCGTCAAGCGAAGGCGTGAGATGCGGAAGGCCTTCATGACCACCGACGTAATGACGGCAAGTCCGAACCCGGCGCCGCACAAAGCGTTGAATAGCGTTCGTTCGTTGCCCTCGGAAGACGGGCTGATCTCGAGCCTGACGCCGTCTGTTGTGATCAACTGCATCGACTCTACAGCATCAATCATGAAGCCGTGCAAGCCGTTCATCGTGTCTGACCCGCCACCAAGGAGACACCCGACATATCCCACAGCATCCGAGTTAGGCCATAGGGTATAGTAGCCTTGAGCTGTTGTACCCTTGATAACTTCGCCGGTCGAGGCACCGCCACCGATCCGGACCGTGTCCGCGGACTGGTCAACTGTGACTCCATTGAAATTTGTCATATCAAGATATAAAGTGTTGGAGGTGACGGGCACGAAAGGGGCATGACTACCATTTGCAGTCACAAGCGTAAGACTGTTGTCCTTTGCATATTTGATGGCGTCAACGATGTCAGCCTCAGAGTCAGGCTTCACCACTATTGCTGGAAGGTCTATGTAGGTGTCGGACCACCGTGATACGACGTCGTGCAAAGCTTGACCGCCATTGGGGATGACTACCTGACATGTGAAGTTGTGAGTTGAGACCATCTTGGGTGGCTACCGGGTAGGATGGTATCGGCGAGTGAGCAGGCGCTCCGGATGGATCTTATAAGCATGGGAGGCCTGAAGTAGATTGGAGTGGTAGAAGGATTCGTTTGTGTCTACGGCGACATTAAGTAAGCCACCCTTGTGCCGGCAGCTCTTTGGCCCGTGAGTGGAAATTCCGACCAACATGAGAAACATCAGCATTTGAAATCAAGGACAGCACGCAGAAAATAGGGATATCACAAAGAGGATGACTTAACTCCATCTGACTGGTAGACGTAACTCGGTACCGGGAGAAGTTCTCTTGAAGGTTCCGAGTCCCGGAGAGCCTGCGTGACAGTCCCGGACCTTGCGTAGCGACAGAGAGTCTGCATTTGTCTCTTCGTACACTCGAGCACGGCGTGACGACAACGCCATCGAGATCTCGCCCGATATCAGCGCGAGCAGTTTTGTCAAGAACGACCACTGTGACCCCTGACCGCTGATTCGCTCAGCCTGATAGTGCTTCCTGGCCCTGTTTCCCCCGTCCGATGCTTACCTCTGATTCATAGCCACCACAAGTCCTCGTTACGACGTTGGCCAAATTGGCCAAGCAAAGCTCAGTCCTTCCCTTACCCGCCCTGCCCATCCAACCTCAATGACGCAGCCGTGAAACAATCGCCCACGGCAAGAAGCAAACATATTCAGTGAGTATCAAACAGCCACATCAAAGGACCCCACAATGATTGACGGTCGTCGGTGGCCTCCGATGAAGACGATGACCAGACGCAGATCATTTTGGACTACGTTGACCGCAAAGGGAACGCATCCCACAGATATCTGAAAGTCCATCCACGCAGATCCCGACTCCCTCCCTGGAGACGCCTCGTAGATCATTGGACTAAGAAAAGCTCCCGTCCCTTGTTCTTTTTTTCTCGAACATTCATTGACCCTCTGCTACGAGTTAGAATTAACCGCCAATCCTGCCTGCCCCAGCAAAACCCCCGATTCTAACCGCGGCCAACGGGGTTCCACATGTACTGTAACCACATCATCGATCCGCCGAGGCACTTTTGCACGTCGACCCCCTTGTGCTATACGACATACGGGCAATGGACAATGTATCTCTGGGGGAGGCGGGGGAAAGACTTGCATGTGCGGGTGCTTGGTTGAGACATAGTTGGCTAAGGGGCAGCGAACTCACCTCACGCTGGTCTGCGTCTCACAGGCCCCGGACTTGCAAGTCTTCCAGCCGAAGTTTGGTGGACCCGCCCGTATCTTGTAGTTCACGGTCCCTTCAAGTAGTGCTGTAGTACGGTAGCACAAGCTGCTGCGAACTTAGACCTTCTTTGACGCCGGAATCCACAACGGCAGGAGCAAAAGCTTGAGCCGTTCGGCTATCTGTCCTGGTAGAGTGTCTGGTCTTGACCCTTCGTGCACTTCTGGGCAAGGGGTTGTCCAGTGTTCACTCTGTGATCGCGGTGAAGCCTCAACATGAGACCGGCCCAACTACGTTACCCCAGGGGCCTCTCTTATGCCATTGTTATCTGAGGTTAACCCGCTTAGAGTTCGTTCAAGGTTGAACTGAACTAACGGCTTTCCGAAGCACGCACCGAATGCGGAGGGGCCACGGGGTACCAAGAGTAAAGGTCAATTCAGACTGCGCAGTTCTGTTCCGTTTCCAGCGGAGGCGTAAAGCATGCTGACACACACAGATGGGTACGAGGGGCCGTCGGTATGCCGTCTTCGTTTCCTGATCGACGAGGCTCTGGCCAACCTGCATGGCACTCGAGTGGAGGTGGACAAGGCAGCAGCCATGAGGAATACGATCGTCATCATCGTCCGATAAAGACAGTACCTACGGGTCGACATGATATGTACATCACCCTAGTAGTCCTCCGTGAGTTCAACACCTTCGACTTCGGCGTTGGCCCTTTGTGGCCTTCCATACTTCCCCGGCGCAATCCTAAAGATATCGTACACTCGCGTGCTTCGTAACCAAAATTAAACCCTGGGTATTCGAAAATGACAGACAAGCCGGTGCGAAACGCCAGCCAAGAAAGACATAAAATCGTAGTGCTTTTGTTTAGAGATGGCTCATGCAAACCTCTCCGGTAGATCCCATTGTTATTGCTGCTCCGCCGCAATGACTTCAACCTTCCTACCCTTTCCCCGTCCTTTAATGCCCTTGTTGCTGTGCTTGTACAAGTCCTGAAAGTAGTCCCGTAGTTCAGCTTCTTCAGGAGCAACCACCTCGTTCACGGCGAATTGCTGGGCCAGTCTGGCCAGAGTGTCCTTGTGGAACTTGTTCATATGCGCCTTGAGATTGCCAAGTTGCGTGAACACCTTTCCACCATGACCCTCTCTGCAGGTGTCCAGTTTGCACTCGTACCTGCGGCCGTGCGTACCTGGATCGGATGAGGACCTCTTCCGATTCGGTCGTTGACCAATGTGACGGCGTTCATGGGTGCGAAGGTTGCCTAGTTGAGAGAAGGATTGCCGGCAGGTCGGGACGGAACATATGTATGGCTTCTCTCCGGTGTGAGAGCGCAGGTGGATCTTGAGGTGCGTTGGCTGGGAGAAGGACTTTCCACAATCGACGTATGGGCAGAAATGTTTCTTAGGCTTGCCACTTGGGTTGGTGGTAGGGGGTTGTAGTTGTGTAGTCTGAGACGGTAGAAGTGTTTTCATGAGTGAGTCGACCTCGGAGGAGGGTTCGGGAAGCGATGAAGACAGTTGCAAGCTAGCAGGCGGTGTATTTCGACTGGAAGAAACAAATGATTCAAGTCGAGGACGGTCTGACAGATCGGAAGAGAAGTAGCTCGATGGAGTCTCTGAGTAGGTGGAGAGTACATCATCCAAATTCCCTCTCTCCTCTGCGGTCCAACTCTGAGGTGTCATAGAACCGCTGTCGGTGTTGAAGTAGTCCATGGTCAAACTGTAGTCGGAGAAATTGGCAAAGGTATGCCCTCGTCGGATAGGCACCGGTGGTGTTTGAGTGGTGGGTGGCGTAGGAATTGGTGAGCTGTACGCGTTGTAGGTATACATGTCGTTGCTGGGTATATTTTGCAGGTAGAAGTCTTGGGGAAAGGGGTGAGAGTTGACCACCGTCGGCTTGGACTTGGGCGGCATGGGTGCTGAAGTCGGTACCATCCACTGTCTTAACTGATGCATGTGCCACTCAATCTGGTCTGATGTTGGGTTGAACGCCATTTTTCTCTGGGAGTGCAAAGTATATCGTGAGCACTGAACGCTTGTCCTTCGTAAACAGGAATATTTGGTGTGCTTGGCCAGGAATCGAGGTACACTTGCGCACCGAGAGTCAGGTGTATGTGTTCAAAGAAAGACTACATCTCAAGCCGGGACTCGCCCTCGGTTTGGGTATTGTAGTCTCAGGAAGGTAGTAATGAGTACTGCTAGTGTACTGGGGAGGCGTTGATTGGCCGACGGGTGGAGATTCGATGGAGTGATCTCGGGATCTCTGACGAGCAACAGAGGGTTCAATAGAAGTGCAACAGGAGACAAAGCAGGAGACAGGGAGCAGGCACAACAATGAAAGGCAGTCCCTGGCTTGATGGACAGGATCCAACGTTCGGGACGAGGAGATCAGACCTGGGGGTTTATACCTTTCCCAAGTGAAAATATTCTCCATTGCATTGGCAACCAGTAAGCCAGCGTGGGCATGACAAGTTGTAACGAGGTATAGTCAGGGATCAAGCTGCAGGTGAAGAGATTGCAAGACCCCATTCACAAGCGAACGCCCGTCTTGTCGAGGCTAAGGTACTGGTATGATGCAGCCTTGCCTGATGGTGAGTTCTAAGACAGGCGCCACAAGGCATCATGGCGCATGTGCTTACCGTGTTCAGGGAGGTCCAGCTGACAGTGTAAAAAATTTTCCTCATCCCAGGTACTGTTAGTGGCTGTTTGAGCAGAAAGAGAAGGCTTCAGGCCAGTTAGAGGCTTGGGAATGAGCAAGACGCAAAGGTGTGGAAGAGTACATGGCCGGGCGGAGAAGGTGGTGAGCTGGTTGGCACAGAAGGGACAGGGGCCGAGATAGCGTCAGCGATCGTGTTCAAAGAAGAGCACCATCATGCACTAAAGGTTCGAGAAGCGACATGGGGGCGGGATCTCGTTGGAGTAGTCAAAGCGAGCAGGGATGGTTGTCGCTTCTCCGTATGGATGACGAATGGTGCCGGTGCATTAGGGCATGATGGGCCCCCATGATCGCTGATAACGCCCGCCATGGTCCGGTCAATTGGAGAGCGTTGACAGTCAGAGGCCATGCCTAAACAGGCGTGTCGTCGCATTAGGATAGCTCGTGGCTTTCGTGATGCCCAGGATCAAGCGAAGGTGGTCAAGGGCTGATCCTGGTTCCGGCACTGGCAGATGCTTCTCCCGCAGACTTCCATGCCACCAAAACTCTGGCCCGCTCACTCCGTATTGATGGACGCTTGAGTTGAAGAGGAATAAACAGGCAGAGGGCAGAGCCGTCCAGGCACCAAGATTTGCAAAGATTCGCATGATGCAGCGTGGCTTGTGAAGCCATGTTATCTTGCAGGAGCTGATAAGTGAATTTTCCAGGCCATGCAGGCTTAGTCCTTCCCGTCTTGTTATCTCGTTGGTACTCTGGAGGGCTGGCTTGCAGAGTGAAAATTTTTCTTTGGCTGCAGACACTGCCTGAACATGCAGTGCTGGTCTTTTCGACGTTCAAGGATGTCGACATGCTGGCACATGAGGGAGAGAAGACGAAGTTGGCTCATTGGCAGTGGGTTGCAACGCTCGTGCTGGGGAATCCAGGGCTACATCCCACGCGCCCCCTCACTTAGAGGAGTGCTCTTTACGCAAATTGTTCCGTGAAGAAAAACGAATGATGCGAAATGTGATTTGATGCGACGAGGAGTAGTATCAGACGATGATGGAGAGAAATCTCTGACGACATGCACATGCTGGTAGATTGTCGTCACGGGATACGGTACTTGGTGACTATCGATTGATACAAATGGACCTTGATGGGTGCTTGGAAGATAAAACGGCCGAAGCGATGGGGACGTCGATGGGCTCACCAGGGCTCACTGCCAACTGGGCTCAGTACTACAGTAGGCTATCTCGCGACTTCTACTATGTACGTAGCAGCAGTAGTAGTAGTAGTAGTTTAGTAGGTAGGGTAGTTACCGGCTGCGTCCGCCCGGCGGAGACCGACAGGAAGCTGCCAGGCACCTACTAGGCCTCACCAGCCCTAACTGGCGCTTTGCACAGCCTAGTAGCCCTTCCCTGGTAGGTATTGAGTCATCCCCTCCATCAACTACCTTATTTAGTATACTTCGGGCCAACGAGGTCTATTCAATGTGACAAGACGTCCTGGATCAATGGCAGCGGCTGTGAAGCTTGTGCTTGAATTGATGTACCAGCCAAGTCAGGAGCCTGAATATGATTTTATCAATTTCCTCCCCATTCATTTTAGTCCTAAGAATGCCCCATGACACGAACACACTATCCGTTCGAAGGATTGCCCAAAGAAAAGACCTCGTTGGTGCCATCTTTGGCCTGGTTGCTCGCCAAACATACTGCACAGAACGCCCACCTCCCGATACACCTTATTCTCATTCCCACTAATGCACTCCTCCCACGCCCCCAACATACATGGCCTGAAAAGCCCAACTGTCCCAAACTATGACGATCGTGCCATGAGTGCCGAGATCTCTTCCCGCTGGTGTCGACGGTCACCAGGAACAACTTAGTTCAAAACATCGGCGAGCAACAAGGCCTACATAAGCTCACAAACATCGTCTGGAAGTACGCCCGAAGCCATTCTTCCGTCGGTTTCGTCCTGACTGGCATTGTCCTATATGCCTCCTGGATGGGCTCCACGCCAGGTAGTGTACTGCCAGATGCGGGCCTTCATGTCTCCTGAACCGGTGGCGAAAAGATGTCCAGTTGGGCAAGGGGCCACTGAGATGACCGAGTTTTTGTGCCCTTGAAGCATCATCTGGGCATTGCCAGTATTAGGATCCCAGAATTGCACTCCACGGTCTTTGGATCCAGACATGACCCATTCGCCACCAGGTGTGAGGCAGACTGAAAGGACATAGTCCTGCAATCGTTCGTTAGTCTCTGTATATTTGCCAGACGAAACGCGGAAAGACTTACCTTGTGCCCTTCAAAGGTTCGAATACATTTTCCGTCCTTGCCGTTGGATGCGGACGGAATCAAACCTCGTTGAGGCGTGAGCTCCCACATCTTGATGGTCTTATCCAGACTGCCGCTGACCAGTTCTCGTCCACTGGGAGAGAAGGCGACGGAGTAGACACTGTCTTTGTGACCCTGCGGGCCCTCCAAACGTTCAATGAGATATCCACTAGAGCAATCCCAGACTCGAACGCTCTTGTCCAACGAGCCGGCGGCGACAAAGCGGCCATCGGGCGACATTGCCACAGTAGTGACACCGTCTTCGATCGACAAGACCATAACTTGTTGGTTGGACTCGATATCCCAAAGTCGGACTGTCTTATCGCCTGAACCGGAGGCAATCAGCCTACCAGTACGGGAGAAATCGAGTGAATAGATGTCTTGTTCGTGTCCATCGAAGATGGTACGAATGCGTTTGCTTTCAATGTCCCAGACTCTAATCTTCTTATCCTCGGCACCTGTAGCCAACAGCTTGCCATCAGGCGAAAAGCAAACGGAGCGAATGTACAAATCTCCGTCCTTGTCTTGGACGTTCTCATCGAGAAGCTCGCAGACTTTGCGACCGTCTCTGGCATCGAAGATTTGTGCACTGCGATTGCAGCCTGTGGCGACATACTTGCCGTCGTTCGAGAAACGAACACAGCAGACCACGGACTCGTGGACAAGATTATGCAGGAGCGTAACGTCCAGCACGCGAGGCACATTCGGATTGAAGACAGCATGCCACTCGCCATTGGCACCCATTCGCTTCAGGTGGTCCGGCAGGTCATCCGGGTTGAGGTCTGCAAGGACGTTCCCCACGTTGGGATATTGTCCCTGGCCTGGCATCTGATGACGAGGCCCCAGTTGCATCTCGTTTCCCGGAGGAGTTGGTCGAGGGATTTGTGGTGAAGCCCGCGGGTCATTCTGGTATGGCATTGGCTGCGGCTGACCCGGGTGTTGTTGAGGAGTAGCTGGTCCGGGACCGCCTCGCGTGGTCATGTTGCGATTCTTACCCAGTCCCGGGGAATTTGTGGGAGGCTGCCCTGGCGGGCCATAACCATTCAGAGCCGGACCTTGCTGGTACCCAGGGAATGCATTTGGAGGTTGCGGTGGACCTTGGGTTTGGCCGGTCACTGGAGGCGGTTGTAGGGGATGTTGTTGGGGAGCTGCTTGCTCCGGGGGTGGCGCTAGGGCGGGGCCACCTTGACCTTGGTTGGACATTATGCCACTGAAGAGGCCGCCCTGACCGTGACCGAGTGAGGGAGGAGCTTGGGCAGGACCGCTGTGTTGAGAGGGAGCGCCGATATGAGACTGGACCTGGGAGCCACCTCGCAGTTCGAGCTCGTGTCGTAGCATTCGAATTTCAGCCTCATAGTCTTGCTTCATCTTCAATTGATTCTGCTCCAGCTGATAGACCTTGTTTCGGATCAATTCCATCTCTTGTATTTGCTGAGCGACTTGATTCTCGACCTGCTCACTAGCGCGGCTTTGATTTTCGAATTCTGCTCGCAACGAGTCGAAGATCTCGTTCAATCGATGGTTCGGCGGTCCAGGAGGCGCCGGCCCCAAGTTGGGATTGCCACGGTGCTGAGTTGCATTGAACATGTTGAAAGATAAGAAGGGGCCGCTTCTATCAAGAAGAGAACAGATAAGAGGGTCTGAGAAAGAATTAGCATGAGGTTGATGATGGTTGAGAGTTGGGGGATTGCGGCAAGCGCAGGTACCTCTTTGGCAGAAATGGCGCTAGTGGTAAGGGGAGAAAAATGGGACAAGCTCATCAACACCTAAGCCGTGACAAGCTGAACTGAATGGGGGCTTGAAGCCGGTGATTTTGCGCCGCCCACAGTGATCTCGAAGAACAGAGATTACAAGGCAAGTGGACTGGTTTTGAAGGCCGAAGAGGAGAGGAGAGTTGGGCAGAGATGGGCAAAGATGGGAGAGAGGGAGGAAAGGCTGTTCGCTGTTCGAAAAGAGAAGGGGTGTTTGGTGGAGAGCAACCGTAAGAGGGAAGTTGAAGCACGAGGTCATGGATGGAGTGCAACCGGGGGAAAGTGATTTGCGCCTACAGAGGGCCACCCGGTGAGCGCAAACTTCAAAGGCAACCAGCAGGAAAACCGGCGCAGTGAAAGCGAGCGGGCAACTCGGTCAAGCTTGAACAGGCGCGTAGCCGAAAGCATGCGGGCGCCAGGCCCCAGAAAAACACCCAAAAAAGGCGGCCGCTGTAGGGATCTTATTAGGGTCCGCTAACACCATGCCCACTGCCAGTGCCCACACTGCACGAGATCCACTACGTTATTGGGAGGGGCCGCGATGAGCCGACGTGCCACAACCAGGCCATGTACGGACAAATGTTCAGCTCTTGTGCGACATAGCAGAGTAGCCCTTGAAGTGATGCCACAGAGCCACAGACGACAGACGAACAGGTCAGATACCAAATGCTATTTGTCTGCAGACCTCGAGTCATATGCTGGCATGAGGCCGCATAGTACCATAGTATGCTGCCAATAAATTCCACAGAAAATGCAATGTCATGACAGCGCGAATTAAATCGGATTTTAGGGCGTAAATGATCGTTCTAAATAGCATCTTGCCAAGCATTTAGTCAGACAGACGCCATTAACTGTTCACGAGACAAACAAGCAGGAACGTAATCATTCGATCGACCCTTGTATCGGACCCATGAGGCTGCAAGGGACTCGTTCCCTGACATACGAATGTGAGTTTGTCTGTCCGTTATCAGCCGCGAGGGCCATCAAAATACAGGGACGACTAAAAAACAATGCATATCTATCGACCCACCCCCCACAGCCAACACAGCAAGTACAAAAAACTGCATTGCGCATAGAGTGAGGGTCAGAAGCAACGACACTCCGAGGCGTCTCCATGATTGCATTGCGCAGGTATCGGGAGTCAACATGTGGTATTGGACAGGATAACTGCAATCGAGAGTCGAGTTTGGGACATTCCATAATCCATGACAACTTACACAGCAGCATCGGTCCTGGTCAGGAATCGACAGAACTCGTAAATATCTGGCCGGGTCGCTTGCTGAGGTCTTTCGTCCGGAAGGCGCTCGCACTCTCGTGTCAAACTGGCATGCGTTGGCCTTCAGTACCCTCCAGCAGCACGTTGAAACATCCTGATCATCGACACTTGATTTTGTCATATTGTCACATTTGAAGCTGTTCGCAGAGTTAAGATTATGTCGAACGTGGGATTGACAACATTGTGTCATGGTATACAGATTGTGCTGCCCTCGCCAGCTCACAGGGCGCACTTAGTCTCTTCCAGCGTTGTGGCAATCAGACATCAAGAACAACGCCGCGACTCTATCCGGGAACGGTCTCGTACGCCATGCTCCAGACATTTTGAAGGCTCCTCTTCATGCATTCTGTGACCCTATCTCTTATCCCCTGAAGTTGTCTCCAACGATGTTCACAAGCTTGCATTCGGGATGCTGTTGTACATTGGGTAGTTCTCGATACTCTCAGTTTGCGAAAGGTGATATCAAGCTTCAAAGCATCAGCTCATAGTCCAAAGCAATAAGAGAGGTGATGGTACCTGATGAGTGCTGGTTTTGGTTCGCTTCGCGTGTAGCCTGCCCCAGTAAGCCTCTCCCCTGTTCGGAGTCTTGCTGCATTCATACCCAAGTAGAGGATCAATGGCAGGTAGCCATAGTGAACGACTTCTTTCGTGATGTCGATGACCTTGGAGATGCGTTCCTTGAGTAGCGAAATCAGCCGCAGTTCACCATCTCATTTGTCGAGAACATACTTTGGTTTCTTCGGAGAATTGAATCATTTCGACCATTTGAGCGACACAGTAAATTTGTAGTGATAGGACAAGGACCAAGGACAACAAAGAAGAGGCAGTCGTGACAGAGACAATAATACTGTGATACTTCGTGATGCAAACCTGAAGCTGCGGAACATTTGGAGAACAGAAAATCCAAATCACGTGGTGCAGCGCTAGGCCTGACATAGAAAAGCTCATCTCTTTTCACAAGGCTTCATTCACGGTTGTTCAATTTCCAGTAAAGCATCAACGTTGGTGGCGTCTTGTTCAAAACCATCCTAGGGCACATCGTTGCGATCGAACTGAGATAACCTGAAGGAGACACACTACCACCGGCAAAATGTCTGGTGCACGGCACTGGGAGCAGGACAAGGACTCGACAATATATATTGGCAACCTTGACGAACGAGTCACAGATGCACTGGTCTGGGAACTGTTTCTGCAAGCTGGGCGCATCGCAAATGTCCATCTCCCCAAAGATCGAGTCACTCAGACACATCAAGGGTACGGGTTTGTCGAATTCAATTCAGAAGAAGACGCCGAGTATGCCGCCAGAATCATGAACCAGGTCAGACTGTACGGCAAGCCGATCAGGGTGAACAAGGCGAGCGCCGATAAGCAGAAGTCCGTCGAAGTTGGAGCCGAGTTGTTCATTGGCAATCTGGATCCTATGGTGGATGAGAGGATGTTGTATGACACATTTGGACGATTCGGAACACTGATCGCTGCTCCAAAGGTACGTACCTGTGAATTTCCGGAAGGATGGGCCTGCTAACATGTTCCAGATCGCTCGTGACGAAAGTAACCTTTCAAAAGGCTATGGATTCGTGTCCTTTGCCAATTTCGAGTCTTCCGACGATGCCATCGCCAATATGAACGGTCAATACCTCATGAACAAGGAGGTCTCGGTGCAGTACGCCTACAAGAAGGACGGCAAGGGCGAGAGACATGGTGACCAGGCTGAGAGAATGCTCGCGGCTCAAGCCAAAGCTCACGGTGTCCAACCGACTCCTGCCACAATACCGGTTGGTGGACCAATGTTCGGTGGTATACCTCAGACTCCTGTAACACCTGCTGGCTTTGGACCACCAGCTGGTAGCTATCAGGCTGTCCCACCACCAGCTCAAGCAAGGCCTCCTCCTCCAGCGAGCGTACCGCTTCCTGCTCCGCCTGGTGGACTTCCGGCAAGACCTCCTCCAAGCCAGGCAGGTTACGGCGGACCGCAAGGCTTTATGCCCCCAGGTTTCAATCAGATGCCCACTGGCTATCCACAGCCGCATGCTCCGCCTCCGGGATTTGCTCCTCCTCCTGGCTTTGGTGGCCCTCAAGCTGGCGCTATGCCTCCAGCTCCTCCTGTCGGACCGCCAGGTGGTTTTCAGGGATATGGTATGCGTAAATGAGTGTTCGGTTTAGAGGACAATGAAAATAAGCTTGGAGTTGGATTGTCAAATTCGAGGACATGGAGAATCTCAGCTCGCGACACCATGGCATCGCACGATCCTCTATCCACACCTTGGCGCATCGTGCGACGACGACAATAGCACCAATTCATATTTAAGGGCTCTTCCAAACCCACAAAGGCTTTTTCACTTTGTCCTACGACCTGTTCCAAGACTGAGACTCTATCTTGCTGCTCATCCATCACATCTTCATCTCTCAGGCATCCACGGACTGTCTAGGACGAAATCTCTATCTTGCAACTCATACATTCCATCTTTTCAGACATCCACGGACTGTTTAAGGAGGAGATTACATCTTGGTACCTGTACCAACGTCACTTCTCTTCAGACATCACACTGTGGACTGTTTAACCTTAAACCGACATCTTCGAACTCATTGAACCACCTCTTCCTTTCAGACATTCACAGCGAACTGTCAAGATAGAGATCTCATCCTTGATTAATACCATCTTCTCTTTCTCTAGACATCAACCACGAACTGTCAAGACTGAAATTACACTTGGACTCATTCCAGAACCTCTTCCTTTCAGATATCAACCGCGAATTGTCAAGACTGAAATTACACTTGGACTCATTCCAGAACCTCTTCCTTTCAGACATCAACCGCGAATTGTCAAGACTGAAATTACACTTGGACTCATTCCAGAACCTCTTCCTTTCAGACATCAACCGCGAATTGTCAAGACTGAAATTACACTTGGACTCATTCCAGAACCTCTTCCTTTCAGACATCAACCGCGAATTGTCAAGACAAGATTACATCTCTGGACTCATACCACCACCACTTTTCCTTGGACATCCACCACGAACTGTGAAGACTGAGCATCATTCTCTCAAACTCACAACAGCTTCTCTTCTCTCTAGTCATCCACTGCGAATTGTCAAAACGGACACTCAGATTCTTACGACTCAGAGCATCATACTCTCGAAACATCCACCGAAACCTGTCCTGTCAAAGGAGACTTACATTTTCGATACTCATACCATCATGGCTCCTACTCATCCCACGCAGGCACCACTTCGCGATGTCCCGCTGTGGTGCATTGACCCAAGACTCCTTCAACAGGGAGCAACTACCAGTAGGTTCATCCAGTCTCCAATGTTCCTGTTCATCCACTAACACTTGCCTAGCGCCTACTACAAACCCAGCACCGTTCATGAGTGCTGCGGGTGTCGGTGCTCCTGGTGCTCCTGCTCCTGGTCCCGCTGCTGGTGTTGTTCCCCCTGGTCTCTCTGCTGCTGCTGTTGCTGCTGGTGCTCCTGGTGCCGCCCCTCCCTCTGCTCCCGCCTCTGCCGCTGGGCCCCCTGCCTCCGCCGCCGCCTCCGCCGCCCCGCCCGCCACCGCCGCCGAACGCGAAGCGCGTCGCCGCGAGCACAACAAGAAGCGCGACCAGGCTTCCCGCAGCGTCGAGGGCGACCTGCGGAAGGAGGCGTTCAAGATGGTGGGCGCCGACAACGAGCCGGCGAAAGCCGACTCCAGCCAGGAGTCCCGGGGCGCCCGCCAATGGCGGCGGTTGATTGCGGTGTTGGAGGAGGTGGCTGCTCTGCGGAGCGAGAATGAGGATTTGAAGCGCCGGCTAGAGGCGGCTGAGAAGCGTGAATAGTTTTTTTTTTGTCAGATAGCACCAGGCTCCTCCTGCATGTGGCAGGACGGACGCCCTGGCACAATGGCAACAATGGCGCCAGAGCGCGCGTCATGCGCAAATGGGCCTTTCTTCACTCGATCAACTCCTTCATAATACACACCGTTTCTTCCTTCTACCCCTCTTGTTAACGTAGTACGGCGTGCGACTGGATAGAGAGAGTGCAACTATCGATCAGGGGCACTCCCGTCTCACTTCGTAGCCTCGTTAATGTTCGTGAGGACGTCCTCCGCGAGCGTACTATATAGATTTATTGTACTAGATAAGGCGTACACCTAAATAGAAAGAGTCCAATTGTCGATCAGGGACACTCTCATGCTATTGAGTAGTTTGTTTAGTGCTGGTAATACGTCCTCCGCGAGCGTATTATAGACTTGTTATAACCAGACAAGACGTACACTTAGATATAAAGGAGTAGGGTTCTTCTCATTAGCGTTCTGTCCTCCTGTTACCCACCTCATATAACCGGTATCTTAAAAGAGGTATCTACTCTGCTCAAGACGTACCCCTAGAGACCAAGTGGTACGGCAATGCTTGTTCGACTTTTGTACTCCTGTAGCCCGTCTGAAACATACAGTGTTCAAAAAGAGATGGTCCACCTCGGTCAGATCGTGCTGTTGTCCCTGTCATTCACGGCGGACAACATTTCATCACAATGTGCTATATTAAACAGTACACACCTGGCTTGCTACTGGAGCTCAAGAGCATCTATCTTCTCGTATAAGGCCGACCCGCCATTCGCCCGCTTGTAGTGGTAGTACTTTGTCAGGTGCTGAAGAGCGACAAAGCCAGAGTAAGACAATCCCACCAAAGTCAGCGCACTGACAAGCACCACTACGGCGATGACCAGAGCCTGCTCGTTGTTGCCATTCGATGCCCATCCACCTTTCAGGCTAATTTCCTCTTCGCTTTCTTCTTCCATCGTCTCTGGTTGTCCTGGTGGCGGCTCACCACGTTCCACGATTGGCGCCCGTCCTAGGACATTGCCGGATCCATCAAGAGCAGAAACTCGAACATAAGGTCTTTTAACGCCTGTGGTAGACACGCTAGTCTCGAAGCCATCTTTGGCGACGCGCTTTACTTCGTGGAAATCGTAATTGGTCGCATTGGCGGTGAGGGCGTCTTCGACCAACCAGTGTCGAACCTCGGTAGCGCCATTCCAACTAACGTAGATGGTGCCGTTGATTTGGATGATGTCGGGATCGGTCTGAGGCAAGCCCACCCAGTCGTACTTAGACGTCCGGTATGACTGGACGGATGCAGAGCCAAAGCCCGAGGCCGGAGCTAGGTGGACTTCACAAAGGACATCCCCATCGCGAGTGAATTCGACATACTGAGCTTCCATACCGTAGCCGACCAGAACGTTGCCGCTGGGAAGTGTCTGAATCGACCCTTGCGAGTCAGAACTAAGTTTGTTGGTGCTGAGGTACTGCTTCCGAAGCTTGACTGTCCATTTCTCGAAGTCCAAGTCCAACCACAGTCCGGAGCTTGGTCGGCCAGGACCCGGGTTGGAATTGTCAAACAGCGTGATGGAAGTGTACCCATCGTGCCAACGGGCGTGATGTTGGGAAGCGAAGCCAGTCGCGCGGCCAAAAGACAGATCCTTGAAGTCGTTCCTTCTGCCACCCAGCGTCCAGAGGATGTCTCCCGAAGTCCCATCGATGTAGTAGATTGCACGCATCCATCGCGATGATATCAAATAGTTCCCACGTTCGTCTTTCTCAACACTATTGATGTGAAACCAATCCCAAGCGTCTTCCTGTGACGAACCCAGGTCTCCAGGACCCCACTGTGAGTCCGTGAAAGGGAGGTGGTCTGAAGCTCTCCACTGGAAAAGAACTTCATTCGTTTCGACATCGATTTCCTGGAAAAGTCCGTCCCAGATCCATCCGTTGGCGGGTTTGCCCACAGACGTCAGATTGGCCTGAATGGTCTGGTATACTGTGATCAGTGCAGTCGCGTTGCGGGTGAGGTAAAATTCATGGAGATCGCCGTCCAAGCCATTGCCGCCAGATAGCTTGTATCGTAGATTATAATGCGAATCGAGCTGCCAACTGTTCGTCAGCCACGTTTGTCTCACCCTCGTGGGCGCATAGAATGGGGCCAGTCTTACCATGTAATAGAATCCGGAGCCATGTCCCTTGACCCCGTCATCACCCGCCCAAAAGGTGAGGAACTGTTCTCCACGATAAGTCTGGACTTGAAGATTGTACGGCTGCACGTAGGTCGGATCTGTCCACACTAGGGCGCCATGTCCATCGAATATGATGGGAGCTGGTTGTGGAACAGACCAACCTCGAAGGGTGAGCATGACAAATAATCCATCGTCACGACAAGATCTCCCCTTCTCGAAGACATTGAGGCGAGGCACTGAAAAGGATGTCGACCTGTATGGTTGCGCCACAAAATTCCCATAATCTCCTTTGTCGAAGGACTTGCTCCGACTGAAGGCTGGCAAGTCTGCATAAGTCACCTTCAGAGCTGTGAAAGAGAGAATGAGAAGACACAGCGTCCATCTCATGTTTTTCTGGCTGTCATGTGCTTACAAAGGTATGGAATTGAGCTCTCATCTAGGGCGTGAGATGAGGGCAGAAGAAACTTTGAAAAGGGGTGATGAAAAGGGGAAAGGATAGGCAAAACATCGAAGCGGGAAAGCAAGAGGACACTCAGCCTAGGGAAGGACTCAAGAGATATACTGCCCGGGTAGAAAGGAATCCGTAGCCAGCTGGTCTGGAGACACGAGCTTGCAGTATGAGGGACGGAGCAAACCTACGTCAGTAGCCACGCGGCTCATGGAGTCCCAAGACGAACAGTGTATGATAGACGATAATGGTCCTCGGTACAGAGTACGGAGTAGCACTCCATCGCAACAAGGCTGGTCAGGCTGGACTCTGAAGGCGGTACGGCACTGTTTCAAATCGTCTGCTTCTCCTTGTGTGGATCCTGCCTGGTGAGCATTGACGAGACTGGAGACTGAATCTGTTCGAAATACTCGGTTATGCGCGCCAACTGCGCGATGGCAAACCACTGGCCGTGAGCCTACGAGCTAACATTCAAGGTAGACTCTCAGCGCTTGGTCTAGTGTGATGATCCAGCAACAACCGAGATGCGCAATGGCCAGCGATATCGGCATGGGTCCCATACTGGCAGACCGTCGTTGTCAAGTCCATTGAAAGGTCACGCCGCGAGCCATGCGTGACGCGTCCACCAACGTCTGCAGGGAGTAACACGACGAACCGTCAGCACCAGCCAATTACCGTCCTATGTCCTGATCGACGAAGACTCTAGCTCGTACTGAAAGCGACACGAACCGAGCAGAATGGAAACTTCGGATGTCGGGTGTCGTTTATTCCTTATCATTGACATTCCTGCAAAAAGGCTCGAGGAACAGCATACTAAATAAAAGAAAAGAAGGCATGACGTGGCAAAAGTCCGAAGCCTCAGTCAGATTGTGGGTGGAAATGCACTCCCAACGTCTTTTAAAAGGGAGAGACCATCGATACTTTTCCCGGCCTCAGTGCGTGCGCTGGCGTAGAGAGGACCTTCTCCCAAGATATTTCCCAAAGCTGTCAGTATCTAGCCGCATCCCATATGGCAGCCTCGAAAATGGCCTGCAACAATGCCCTCAACTGCCAAATTCTGCTCCATGTTTTACACCATTCTGTCCTGTCCGCATCTCCTAGGCGTAGAGATGTCAGTACTATCATTCGATAGCATCCACAGCCGCTCCGTTCTCCGCGCCACCATTGACGTCCGTCTTGACGTCCTCCATGTTCATCGCCTGGTCAGTAACTTCGGGCTCGGGAATCGGCCTTGCCAGCTCCTCCCTTACCCAGCTTTCTTCAACACCATACTTCCGTTGGAACACCTTGGCCCACTTCGCGCCCCAACTTCTCAGCAAATCCTCATCCTCCGCCCTCAGAGCATCACTGCTCTCAATCATCTCATCCTGGTTGCCATCGCGAATGCTCACGACTGCATCCTCAATGATGGCAAACAACGCCTTCATACCCTCCAGCTCCTCCGTCAACGCCTGTTGAAGTTCGCTCTTCTGATCATCCGCAAGCCCAGGCTGCCGAATGGCATGCACGATACTCCTAACTCGTGAGGCAACTTTCCTCGTCGTCTTGTCCACGAGCTCGTAGCACCATGTCCTGGCAAGTAGCGTGCCTCGAGCGACGTGGTCGATCAGAGCCCACTCCACAATACTGGCAGGAGTCAGGATCTGGTAGTTGAGGAGCTTGTCCAAGATGACCACGCCAACGCCAGTCGAATCCTTCCAGTAGTCCATTACCGAAGTAACGATCTGTTTTCTGCAGGCAGCGCTCGTCGAACTGATAGCCAACAGTCGTTCCTTACATCGTTCAATACAGGCAAGCACGTGTGAGACGGACTTTGAACCAACCCAGCATATCGAGGTGACGAATGCATCCGCGGACGCTAGCTGGGGATCGGGAATATTTGACGCCGTCGCTTCCTGCTCTATCTTGTCCATGATAGGCGAGAATTCTTCGTCCGCAGCTTTACGGCGTATGAGCTGCGCAATCTCTTTACCTTCAGCTGCGAACGGTGCTGAATCGTCGTTATACTTGAAGTCAGGCGTGTCCTTTTCCTTTTCTTCGGAGATCAAAGCCTGGTAAGGCTCCGGTAACGTGCCCTTGATACGTTTGGAGAAACTCAGGCGGATCTCCTTGTCCAATGCATCCATGATGAATGCCTTCTTCGGGTGGACATTAGGGAGTTGTACGTCGTCAACCCTAGGCTCGTTAGCAGTTTTCCGGACTTATGCCATCCGATGTCCACCTACCATTCTGTCCATTTCCAGGTAAAGCCGAAATTGCTGAGATGGTGAGCGAACCAATCCAGGAAACGCTGAGAAAGCTCGAAATCCATGCGATCCACATTTCTATACAGAAAGCGGATCGCCCTGCCCAGACTGGGTGCCACGGCGGCCGGTGCAAGCTTGCAAGCTTCCGTGAGAACAGAATGATAATACACCAGCTTATGATCTGGAGCAGGCAGCTGCATCAGCTGAGCGAAGCACGCATCCACGATGACATCTTCGGGTTTCCAGGTAGCCTTGTCTCCGGCAACCTCTCGCAGCTTGTCGAACGCCGTAGCTCGCTTCACAAAGGTATCTGGTGCAAAGTAGCAGTCCACATCAATAAGAAATTTCGCCGCAACTGTTCGGCTGAAATCAAGGCCACTGATTGTATCGGACAGAGCGTCTCGAATGAGAATCGAAGCGGGATCAGACGCAGGGGGCACGGTCTCGATATCTTGTTCACCATAGACGGAGAAGTAAATCTCAGGAAAGACCGGGCGAGGTCCGACCTGAACGACCTCTGGGACCTGGACTGGAGGGAAAGCATGTGTCTGTGCACTAGCCAATGCCTCCTCCTCTTCGGGCGATCGGGTACCCTTCCAAGGTCGGGGCAAACATGCCAACTCCCAAGAGCTTCTCGATTCTTCTTGCATATGTTTCTGCAGTAGAGCCAATGCGCTTTCGGAAGGGCTCGGCGCGCCAACTTCGGAGCCTGGGTAGGGATCAACTAAGACTTCCAAAGGATGAGCTGTCGAGGCGATGATGTCGGTTTTCTCGAGGAGGCTCGATGCTTGGCTTTCCAATCCCGTTGCGGAGGAGGACATTGCGTATGGGATAGTTAGGAGGATGATCTTCACCAACTCCAGGCCCAGTGACTGTAAACAGGTTAACAGAGCTTCCTAACTATGTCCAGACAGGGGCAAATGTACATCTTCGGACGACTTCATCTGCAGATCGGCTGCCCTGGAGAAAAGTTCTTCAAGGATTGCAAAGACACCGTCACCTGAGAATATACCCTGTAGACAACCAAGGAAACGAAGATACAGCTTGACCTCTCGCCATAATCCAAGATCCAGGCGTCGTTGTAATGCTTCTCCAATCTTGGTCAGGACATCTGTTACCAACTCTGGCTTTTGAGCGTTCGTGAGATAGACGATTGCGGCTAGAAATGGGATTTTGAGCGGTTGTTCAACAATCCTGGAAATGGTCAATTGCTGTCCATATGCCGCCGAGACATCTTTTTCTTACATCTGCCCAATGAGGTCCACAAAGCCTGTTGAAACCTCGTTATCAAAGTAGTTCTCTGCAAGTGTTCTGGCGATAGTCGCAACATCTTCTTCTGCCTTTCGGATCGGCTGTGACCACGTCAGTCATCTGTGCCAGGGACGGTACGGGTTGACATTACACTCTCTGCAATGGAGAGGACTTGCTTGCGAACTGTCACTGCGAGAGGTTCTTCATAGCGACGGCGCTGAGGTCGGCGATCTTCAAAATCATCGTCTGCAGACTCGTCAACAACATGATTATCCCCTTGATGTTCCCTGAGCGCATTCGCACCTCGGTATCTTCTCTTGCGATTGTTGAAGTGACCTCCACCTCCTCCACCTCGGCGTGGTCTCCGGTCGTAATCAGCCATAGCTCAAAAGCGCAGGGTCACTGCTATATAGGAGAGGAACAGTGAGGGAGTCGATCGGCTTGACACTGTGACGGCGAGGTTCGAGAGGACGGACAGATTGCGCAAAAGTTCGCGTTGGAGAAGCAGATTGAAACTCTCGTCAAGACGCGCATTTCTCCTTAGCGGAAGCGTCATTTCTTGGCATCAACTCCACAGGTTAAAGGGGTTATGAATGCCACATTACTCCGTACTACCTGACGATACTTCAGTGTACTTCGTAGAGCTTACGAAGAGAGTGCTGGCACGAATCTACTTGACCCCTGGCTGACGATATCTGTAAATGAGGTCAAAGAATCCTCAAGCTTCTGCCGTTGAAGTTGTCTAATAACGTCCATCCTGTCATAAGATGTACGTTGTATCAATATACGAACAGCTGCATATCGTCTGTTGCGTATTTCTGAGCACAAGCCCTTCGCCCAAGCCGGTCGAGGTTCTCCCTTTCAATTTCTTTCCTTTGCGTCCATAACTCAAACACACTGCTACCTTGACCTGGTGATGAGAGCAACTTTCCCTGCCAGACCAATACAAGGTCAATTTTTCATAAACGCTCAGCTTAGCCCTGTTTTGTATCAAGGTCATTGTCGCGAGGCCCCAGCCCATATTTCTGACCCGCATGAATAAGCCCGTTGTTGTTCGCGACAGATACCTTGTTCAATGCTAAGATATCCATCTAGACACATGATGACTGACTGCCCAGCTCTAGAGGCAGGCGAACGCAGTTTGCATGGACGCCCCACGAACATGCTCGCATGAATGAAGCAAAATCCCTCTCGGCATGACTTCGTAACATTTTTGGCAAGCCTTGAATCAATCAAGCCGAGCCATCATCTCGTCTTTCGAAAGAGGAGTGAAGTTGTCCAGGTCAATGCCCCTAGAAGCAAGAAGTGTTCGCGCATGTGATGGAACTAGCTTGTTGTTAAGGTGAGGTGCAATCGAAAGTTCTGTAGCAAGGTCAGCCTGTTTTGCTCGTAACGGAATCTTCAGTACCAACCATGTCTCGAGAAGTCAAACAGGGCCGGAAGTTCACGCGAAGCGCCACCTGCATGTCGGGAATCAGGAAGACGTGTACTGGGATCTCTCAATTCGTCGAAGAAAGGCTGAACCATCGCATCGATTGCCGACAGTCGTTGGGTTGGTGTGTACTCCAAAAGAGCCGAGATCAAATCGATTGCATCTGGAGAAGCCTTCCGAAAAACCTTATTAAACGGATGAGGCTTGATCTGAGGAAATTTGTGCTCCATGTAGTTTGGATTCATGGTGCGGATCTGGTCGCGCGTCGGAGTTCCCAGGACTTTGATGATCTCGACGAGCTGGTCGATACCCGATTCGCCGGGAAAAAGCGGTTGGCCCAACATGAGCTCTGCCATCACGCAGCCTGTCGACCACACATCTTCTATCTGTTAATACAAATCGTTAAGCGGAATTGGATCCACACATACCGATCTTGGTGGTGTAGTTCGTGGCGCCGAAGATCAACTCAGGAGCGCGATAGTATCTGGAGCAAATGTAGGAAACATTCGGTTCATTCTCAACCAGAATTTTTGCGCTTCCAAAGTCGCACAGCTTCAACACTCCAGTGGCAGGGTCAAGCAAGAGATTTTGCGGTTTGATATCTCGATGGCAGATGCCCTGTGAATGGATGTAGGCCAACGATCGGAAGAGTTGATAGATGTACAGCTTGACCTCGAGGATCGGCATGGTAGTCTTCATCTTGTTGAAATATCGCGAAGCTCGATAGACTGTCTCTGGGACGTACTCGAGGACGAGATTGAGGTAGACTTCGTCCTTCTATTTTGGAGTATTAGCATCCAAGTTGACACGCAGACAGGATGAGTGCATACCCGTTCACCATTGGAATAGTAAAAGGCCTTCAACTCCACGATATTAGGGTGTCGGACGATGCGCATGATCTGCAATTCACGATTCTACCAACAGTCAGTCATCACTCTCGCCGAAGGATTGGAATGCTGGTTACCTTGAACCGCTTGTCTTGAAGAACCCGTTTGATCGCAGCATCTTCTCCACCGGGGGACAACTTTGTCTGGAAAACCACTCCGAACGACCCGTTACCAACAATCTTGCACTGTGTATATTGCATCTCTCTTGTCTCGCCTGTCAGGCCATCCTGGACCTTTTCCCGCACAACCTCTGTACGTATGTGTCAGCGCACGTGCCAAAGACCAACACCCTGGATTTGTTATTGTCAAGGGAGTCGAAGAGACATACCGCCCATGCGCAAGCCAGAGAAGACTCCTCCGGGCCTGTTTTGCGACATTGTCGGATGCTAGGGGAGTGTGGGAGCCACTTTGGCGGCGGACAAGTCGATTTAGGAAGGGAGCGTAGGGATGTTGAAGGAGAGACGCGCGGAGTATGAGGAAAGGAGAGAGTTGAGACTTGGCGAGATGTCCGACCCGGCACCAGTCAGCAAAAGATTGTCGACGTTGCGACGAGCTCAAGGGCGGACGACGACGTTGAGACTCGAGGCAAAGAGAGACAGTCGAGGACTAGGTATGCAGCAGCAGAGAGTGCGGGAGCAGTGAGTGAGGGTTGGCGGAAGAAGCGCTAATTTCCCCACTTTGCGTAGGGTGAGGCTTTCGAAATGAGGTGTGGGAACTCTGAGCGTCGATGATGAAACCGGGGGGTCTGACGAAGGCCGCCGTAGGCAGACGGATGTGTAGAGCGTGGCTTTTGGTAGGGATGGAAGAGTGACAAAGACAAAGAAAATTGGGATGGTAAGGATGATGGGATGCTGATCTTCAGGTAATGAGGTCTACTAGGTGAAGGAGAAACAGGTTGACGAAGCAGGGACGAAGAAGTGAAGTGGTTTCTTTCGCATGCAAAAATAATCCGCTTGGGTTTTTCGACGAGGTCGAGGAGAGGAAAGTGCAGCGCAGGCGCAGTTGGGCACGGCCTTTAAGAGAGAGGAATAATAATAACTTAATTAACTGGCTGACAGGCGAAAACTGTCCTGCAGCCAGTACCAGGGTTGCTGGCTTGATTGTTTTGGGGGGTCTGCTTAGCGCTGGTGATGGCAGCGCACCCAGGCAATAGGCAAGGTCCTTCAAGGCCAAAATGGCTGTGTCGTGACTGCTGTGTTTGACTGCCCAATTCTCTGCACTTCGTCTGCGCAGACGGTCAAGCACTAAGACTGAATCTTTGTTTTACTACGATTTCCTGCCAGGCAGAGCAAGAACAAAGCTTGCCGGTAAGATGATCTACACCGGCATGTCTGACCTGACCCAAGTTCGACATCATGCTCAGGGGCACATCGACAGACAGATGAGAAAACCAGAGGCAGAGGAAGACGAAGGTCAGAGGCGCACCAGGCATGACGCTGCGAAAAAGAGCCAAACAACGAAGCAAACGATGCAGGTCAGATGATGGATGCCCCTCAATGAAAGCCCGCTGCGGGTTGCATGATGGCTCCATTACGCTGGGTCCATGGTAGCTAACCACAGAAAACCACAATTTTCCACCTGGGACTCCATCATTCACCTCGCCTATTGCCAATTATGATCCACCGCCCCGACGTACCCGTTGGAAGTTCTTGACACTTCGCTGACCAGCCATATCTCAGGGATTTGCGAGAAGAAAGAGATCCGAAAGCGTCTGGGACAATCTTGTAGGCTTGAGGAGATGCTCAACCACGACAGAGCCAGAGCGTCCAGGGCAAAAATTCCCCTTCCACGTGCTGCTCGACGCTCCGCCGGAGGACGACCAATCGAGTTCCAAGATCTTGTGCTTTGACCATGCCTTATAGGCATACCCGGGTGCATCATGCCCTCGTTGCCCTGGCTAGACCCCCTTACGTGCCACAATTGAAGATTCAGCAGCCAAAGCTTCACGGACTCCATCTTTGACATTCCAGACCTCGTGATGTCTTTGGCAGATGTAATGTAATGTTCCAGCCTCACAGTCTGCAGGCCAGTGACGAGATGTATGAGGAGCGGCTCGTAGTACGAGCATCGCATCCAGAGAGCCCGCAGGCATGGCACGGGCACCTTTGCAGCGACATGGGCTGGCGGGTCAGCTTAACGAACCAGGACCTCAAACGCGAGCTTGGGTAGGCTACCGGGCTGCCTATAACGTCATCCGGCATGCCGCTAGGTGCATTTCGGCACCTCGGATTCGAGAGCAGGACACAGGAGCAATGGCCACAACCCATAATGGCGAGGAGAGATTCGAACCCAGATGGAGTTCTCCATACTGCTCCAGTGAATGGCGGGATGATGGAAGCAAGGACACAAACAGTAAGCGGGCAGGTTGCTAAAACTTGCTGATACTTGGCGGAGAGCAAGGCCTCGGAGTGACGCTTCCAGAGTGGTCGAGCAATCGTCGTGACACTTTAGGGCAACTCTGCCAATTTTCAGAACAGCAATGACGATCCCATGGTGTCCAGGTATGCCTCAGGCTACAGACTTGCTGACATGACTAAATAAGGCTACTCTGTAAGGTATGGCGATATATCCGCAGGTTGCACTCAACGAGGCACGAGACGAGCAATACCCGCGGTGCATTGCAGAGACGGGTCTCGGGCTGACCAAGGCCAACCACCACACAGACTCTCGTATATGTTCAGATGTTCATGACACCAGCACAGCCTCCTGTTGTTATACTATGAATATCCCTATCCTTCAGTGCCAACTCCATTGCCACCAGATGATCCATCTTGTCGATCCTGGGATGTTCTTCCGCACTAAAATCAGCAACATTTCCCAATACGAGCATGCCACCCAAAGTTTCCTTCCACCCTGTTTTTCATGGCGTGATGGCATGGCTACCTAGAGATGATGTGCATGACGGCCACAATATATTGACAGCAGTGTTCAGTTACACAATGTGCCACGCTATATCATGTCGATTGCTCACCTTCTCTATTCAGGTCTTATGCTTCTGAAAGCTCGGTTTGCAATCCCTTCCGGGTCATACATGCTGCATGCAGGTAGGTGAATATGTTCAGCACAGCTTAAATGACTGTAACTAGCCGAGTCGCCTCAGCTTTTCATGCAGTCTGCAAGTCGGCCATGCAAGTTTTTCCCCCAACAGTGTTGGCATTGATACGGAGTACTGTTCAACAAATCGCTCGTGGCCGGGAGTTCCCATCAACCCTGAAAAGGCTGCATCCGACTTTGACAGCTATATTATTGGACAAGGCTACCGAATCTACAACCCTTCGTTGGATGATCTTGCAGGCTTTAGATCTCATGCTCCGAGCAGACCCTTCGCTCCTGTTGCTACCATCCTTTGCGTGACGCTTTTTCGCATTCTCGATCCGCCCCCTGGAATCTGCCTGCATCCAACCTCTTGCTCCAGTGCGGTCCCAGGCTCTCTGCGTAAGTCCAGAACAGCAATAGACCCGATTATTGATGACAACCATTCCATCGCGCACATGCCCAATGCATGAGTACGGATCGGGGCACTTGACCCTGCAGTTGGCTAAGCTGATATTGCATGCATCAAAGTACCCTGCCTGCCACTACTTCGGCCGGGCGTTGGGAACGAATCCGGGACAGATCACACCTGCCTATGGGCGGGCCGTCCGTCCCATCTGCAGTGTCCCGCATGTGTTGCCTTCTGACTTACTGCATCAGAATGGTATGATGGGATCGATGTCAGTTCGCGGAAAATACCTCAGAGATCTTCTGGCTGGCCATATACGTTACCCATGCGTGCATGTCTACGCCAATATGAACACCCACTGAAGCTGCACAAGGCAATGGCAGTCGTGCCCTGACGTGCACTCGGCCTGTGATTCTGACTACTGATCGTTGAATCTAGGCAATTTTATGCGAATGAGGGTCAAACACATATGGTGAGTGGGACAGGGATCCGTCGAGATCATGAATCAGTCAACTTCAGGGAAAGAAAACCACCATGTTGTTGTTACAAGCCTTCTATTATGCAATATGTTAGAATCTCTGCTTCATCCATCAGCGCTGCTGTTCGAAGCGCGCCATCAGGGGTTTTCGTGATCCATCCCATGTACAGAAGTGATGCTGGTCAAAACAATGCCAGCACAGATCATCCCTACTTTTCTCTCCTCAAGGTGATGCCAACGTCACAACAACGTCAGAACGCCTGCAAAGAATCTCCTTTCCGCTCATCAAGGAACAAGATGCAAGTACTCTGTACGGGAGAGTGACGTCTTGTCAGGGCCTGCTCAGGAGTGAAGAGTGATAAAACAATGTCGAATAATGTCGGGTGTGAAACTTTCTGCCACATGGCGGAATCCATGGTTGGCCCTGAGAGGAAGAGAGCCCGGATCCAGACTTGGTGCTCACAGTCTAGATGGGCGGAGGCAAAACATTGGCATTCTCCGATCTTTCGGCAATCTCTTGTAATTCTTCTGGTGCGCCCTCGAGAGACACCGCGAGACCGAGTTTGTGGGTATTCTGTAAGCAAAAGTCAACATGTGGATGGCTTTCGGGGACAGAAATAAGACGGCTTACCTTCCACTGATCGATTTCAGCAGCGAATGTCAGAGTAACTGGGGGTGCAACCCGCTTTTCCAGAACCACACCAAACTTGCCGGCACTATCGACCTGTGCGCGATAGACCGAGGTTGTGAAGCTGTATTTGACGCCAACTGTGGTTGTTCCTTCGCGTCGAATACCTCCGAACATGCCAGCACCACCAAGCCCTGGAGCAAACTGCAATTGACAGTCAACACCAGCCTCGACCTTTTCCGTCAGTCGTCGCCAGTATGATGCCCCCAATGATCCTTGAGCCAGGTATTGTGCACTAGCAATCCAATCTGTTCCCTTGTATCTTGCGCAGTAGGACACGGCTGTCTCGGGTTTTGAGTTCAGCGCAGCTCGCTGCCATACACCTTCCAAACCTAACGCGAGACGTGGTGTCAGGGACTGCAGGTAGCTTCCAATGACGATACCAGTGAGACCGCCTTCGAGCATCGAGGGGCTGATAGCCTTGACCGAGGCCGAGAAATCCTCGCCAGTATATTCGTTGTCAAATTGCACCATGGTCTGAGCTTGACGAGGGTCGATCGAGGTTTGAGTCTTTGTAACGAACCTTGGAGTCCATCTTAGGTTGCCCCATGCCGTCAATGACTTGTCGCTCGAGTAGGCAGCTTGCATGAAAACCTGGGCTCAATCGTTAGCTTCTCTTCTGCTCCGAACCCGCAAAGAAGGCAGCAGTACACTTGAATTGCCATACAAGGCCATCAACTGCCACGGCGGGAGAGCTTGTGAGCCCATTGCAAAGCCATGTTGTAGTCGGAACAGCGGATTCACACTGAAGATTTTCTGCAGGTCACATCGCAGGCCAGAGAACATGAAATTGGTTAGGAGGACATCTTTCTGGACCTCTCGCGCGATGTTGTCAACCGTGCCAGGGTTCTCCAGACCTAACAGTTTCCTCCGTTCCTGCAGGCTCGCGTATGTATCTGTGATGGCTGCCGAGATGACATTATCCGTCAGGAAGGACAGCGGTGATGATGTCGATTTGTCTTCTATTACGACGGCCATGGTTCTTGGATGGGATGCAGGATATCCTGCGCGCGGCGGCTAGCAGATGTGGACTTTGCGCCTTCAAGGATCAAGGTCTTCGGGGGATTGAAGAAGGAGGAAATGGGAGAAGGACTGATAGGATAAAGGTGCCCCCGTGACTTCTGGGATTGCTGGCTGTTCAAGAGCTTCACTTTTGTCGGCGCAGGGAAACCTGAGAATCATTTGCTTGCTAGCTCGCCAAGGCTGGGCCCGTCGACTCAGTAAGCCAATTGGAGCGGACAATTGCTGTCTGACGAATCTACCGTACCGAACCGTGCGTATTTTCCGCGGCCATCGTTGTCAGACGACGTCATTTTGCGACTCTGAATCTTATCAAGCCGATCGGCTTTGCTCGTTGACAAACGACGGGGTCAAGTCATTGCTAGTGACTAGGGTCGTCATCACCAGGCAAAGCTCTATATTTCTGGCCAAGTGCTCAGGCAAACAGAATCGCACAAGACACCTTTCCACGCGCTGTCTGTCGCTGATGTGCCTGGGGATTGCATTCTACCCGTATGGTGATCTTTAAGCCTTCCGTGTGTCCGTCCGTCGAACGACAAGTCCTGGATAACTTCTTCTCGGCCACTTCCCGCATCACCTTGCTTTAGAACAAATCCATCAACGGAGTCACGAGCACCATGGATACTCTTCTTACAGCCGACTCGGCTGTTCTTGCACCACGGTACAGGCGCAAGTCGAGCACTTTTGTCGACGCCATCCACGACCTACCCGAGAAGGAGGAAATGGCACCGGCCCAGCTCTACAGCACAGAATCAGGCCGATTATTTCACGCTGGTCGCATCGCGATTGCTACTGTAGGTCTTCCAGCCCGCGGCAAGACACATATTTCGGTGGCACTTGCTCGGTACTTGCGTTGGCTTGGAGTAAAGACTAGGATCTTTCATCTTGGGGACTACCGCAGAGCGATTGTTGGTCAAGGCATGGACGTGCCCGATGACTATTTCTTCGTCAACGCCTCAGCCTCGTCGGTACTGCTGCGGCAGAAGATATTGAAGAAATGCAGAGAGGACATCTATCATTTCCTAAACCACGAAAACGGACAGATTGCTATCTACGATGCTGTCAATCCGCTTGCTGCGGGACGAAGATCACTGGCAAAAGAATTTGCTAAACACGACATCAAATGCCTGTTTATCGAATCGAGCTGTGACGACCAACGAATCATCGAGGAGAATGTCAGGAGCGTCAAAATTTCCTCCCCAGATTATGTCGGGTGGGACGAAAGTGATGCCGTCAAGCATTATTTGAATCGAATGTCAGCCAAGATACCCCATTTTGAGACTATGGAAGAGCCCGACCTTGACTGGATCAAGATGATCAACGCTGGTGAGAGATTGGTGGTCAACAACACCAGCTTTGGGTATTTGTCTCATCGGATCGTGTTCTATTTATTGAATCTACATATCAAATCTCGACACACGTACTTTGCGAGAGCGGGCGTGACACTGGAAGAAGAGTCATTTAAGGCTGACGCCCCTTTGTCTCCTGCTGGCAGGGACTACGCAAAGAAGATGACGAATACATTGCTGAAACATCGAGAGGAAGAAAGACGTGCTATAATTGAGAAGGGCGGCCACGAAACCCCGCTGAAACCACTCATTGTCTGGACATCGACTCGACGGAGAACAGTAGAAACAGCAGCCTTCCTGGAGAGCAAGAACTTCAAAGTCAGGCAGAGGTCTCAAATGAGCCAACTCAACCCGGGCGTATGCGAGAAGAAATCCGAGCGGAGGATCCGTCAGGACTATCCGGAGGAAGTTTTAAAACATGATCTCGATCCCTACCATCACAGATTTCCAAGAGCAGAGGTAAGATTGATACATCGACGGCGGCGTTCATCACTAATACAGCTAGTCATATCACGACGTTGCCGTGCGACTCGAACCGGTAATTCTCGAATTGGAAAGGGAGCAGAACGACCTGCTTATCATTGCTCACGAGAGTGTCCTCCGTGTGCTCTATGGTTATCTGATGGCCTGCAATGCGGCTGACATTCCTTTCCTCTCTTTCCCCCGGGACGAGATCATCGAGGTGTGTATCTTGCTGGAGAGGAATTTCCCTTACTGACTGTTGTTGAGATCATCCCTGCCAGCTATAACAACGAAGCGAAACGCATCAAAATACCTGACCTGCCCCCAGAGATTATCCCTGCATCACCAGAAGGAATAAAGGCACCAGCCCCACCAAGCGGCTTCGCCACTCCGGTTCCTGGCCTGGGAAGCGGCATTGCAAGTCCCCGCATAGGTATCAGCCGAGGCCCTGGGACGCCAGAGCCTCAAACGTCGGGTTCAAAGACGCCAGAAGATTCTGAGAACTTGGCAGTCAGGATGCATGATGTTGTATGATAAGCTGTTCGATGGTGGCTTGCTGAAGCTTGAGATTGACGAGAGATGTGTGATGTGCGACGAGGGTGTCATGTCGGGACGGAAGAGCTGAGCGCCATTTCAGCCACCATGCAATGTAGACACAAACAGAATATTGTCGTTGTTGACGACCTCATATTTATCTTCTCCTTCAAGTTCCCAATCGGAATCGTTGATCAGGACTAGAATGCCCGGGCGGCTTGAATGCCAACATTAGTAGTGAAAAACCTGCTTCTTCCCAGACATTGACATACACTGCACCGTCCAGAACAAAGAGTTCCATTCGGGAATCTTTCATGAGGTGGTCGCATATGTAGCGGACCAGATAGCCCACGGTGGGAGGGTTTCCATTATCTGCATCTTTCGACAACGATAGAGCGTGCTTTGTCACATTGTCGAAAAGCATTTCCAACCCGCCTCTTTCGAAAGGTCAGCATTATGTGCTTGAGCACTGAGTGGTGCATACGTGAACTCGACGGTGATGTTGATCTCTTCCGCCATTCTTAGTAGGAAGCTTCGGGCTAAGCCTTCAATGCCGAATAGCAGGCTCGTAATCTAGGCTCACCAGGACTTCTATATCGCGGGTGTTTCTCGAGGCAGTCAAACTGTCGTTGCGATTGATCTGCATTCCAGGTAGTTTGAGGGAGAAAGAGCCCATGCGTGCGTATCAAGCCCATGATGCTTCGGCAGAATAGCGGAACATTATGCTGAAAATTCGCCCGGTAGGATTTTATGGTGGCCACCAATCAGATGCAGCAAAGATGCTCTATTCAGAAATTCGTCTTGGTGGGACCTACTGTTGTCCAGTTCTCATCCAATTCTTAACAGGCTTTTGCACAATCAATGTATCCGGTGATCGAAGACGAGTATTACGCAGTCGGTGGCAACAGGCACAGTGCAGCGGCCGACTGGTCGGTGGCCTCTGGGCTTCTAGCTTTTGGCGCAGACCAGAATGTGGCCATCTGGTCACCATTAGATGATTCTGGCCGAGGGATATCAACCGTACTTCCTGGCCACACCTCTAGAACTACTGCCGTCAAATTTGCGTCTCACACGGGGCACTCGGCCGATGAAGTGCTCATAACAGGAGCTGCAAACGGAGAAGTACTGCTTTGGAAAAATGACCAATCCTGGACATGCCATGACAAGGCTGCGGCACACGACGGCACGGTCAACATAATCGCTGTTCTAAATCACAGCAATGTCTTCGCGACAGGAGGAGCAGATGCTAAAGTCAAGCTATGGAAGGCTGAGAACGGCAAAATCGACGTATTATCCACGCTCGAGTTGAAACCCAAATTCATGCCACTCGCTCTCGCGCTTGGACTCTTTTCAGAGACTCCCAACCACGATTCGGCTTTTTTGGTGGTTGGAGGAACACGTAATGACATCCAAACCTACTCAATTGAAGGGTTACGATCATCACCACAGTTCAAGCTGTGTGCTACTTTGACCGGACACGAAGCGTGGATTAGGTCGCTCGCCCTTACAACACTGCCAGAAGGCGAGATTTTGTTGGCTTCTGCCAGTCAAGACAAATATGTCCGGCTTTGGCGCTTCCAACCTGGAAATACTGCTGCAGGAAACAGGCCAAACAACCCAAGCAGCATTTCCACCGGTACCAATACCTTGACTGCAAAGGTCCAAAGCGTATCTGCTGCGGGAAGCAGATACTCAATTACCTTCGAGGCTCTCCTGCTAGGACATGAAGATTGGGTCTATTCAGCAACATGGAATCCCAAGGCTGCCACGCTACAACTCCTCACGGCTTCAGCAGACGGCTCACTCTCCATCTGGGAGTCCGATCCTGCCTCAGGCATCTGGATCAGTGTATCTCGTCTTGGTGAAATCAGTGGTCAGAAAGGAGCCACCACCGCCACAGGCTCTTCCGGAGGCTTTTGGATGGGACTATGGTCTCCTGAGGGTGATATGGTCACCTGTCTGGGTCGAACTGGAAGTTGGCGACTATGGCAGTATAGCGCAGATTCACAATTCTGGACCCAGAAGTACGCTGTCAGCGGGCACATTAGCTCCGTGAATGGGATATGCTGGTCACCAGACGGGAGTTATTTGCTTTCCACGAGCTCCGACCAAACAACGAGGCTCCATGCGGAGTGGAAGAGAGGACAGAAGCGAAGCTGGCACGAATTTTCCCGACCACAGATCCACGGCTACGATCTAAATTGCATAGCAAGCACCACGCCACATCAATTCTCCTCGGGAGCAGACGAGAAACTGTTGCGGGTCTTCAAGAAGCCAAAAGATGTCGCTTCGATGCTATGCAGGCTGTGCCATATTCCGTTGCCCAGAGAAGACGAATCATTGCCAGAGACCGCGGCTATCCCGGTTCTTGGGCTGTCGAACAAGGCTATAGACGACAGCGACGAGCTCACGGATGGTGCGATGGTGGCAGCACATGAACCCGGGGCTGTTGGAAATAGTACTTTACTAGTTGATGTCCAAGAACCGCCAACCGAGGACTTGCTGTCTCGACATACCCTATGGCCGGAATACGAGAAGCTGTACGGTCATGGGTATGAAATTTCGGAAGCTGCCACACCCATGGATGGTAGTGTGCTTGCTACTGCTTGCAAGGCGAGTTCAATCGATCATGCTGTCATTCGCCTCTACGACACAGACAACTGGAACGAAATCAAGCCTCCACTAGCAGCTCACTCGCTCACTGTCACGAGACTTGCATTCTCGGAGGAGCCTGCTGGCTACCTGCTCAGCGTTGGTCGCGATCGACAATTTGCGGTCTTTCAGCGGTCTGATAATGATGCGAAGGCCTGGAGGCGTACTGTCGTGAATACCAAAGCTCATTCTCGCATGATACTAGATGACACATGGCTCAGAAATCGTCAGCATCCAACATTTGCCACCGCTGGAAGGGATAAAGTTGTCAGAATATGGAGTGGTGATGCACACAGTGACCAGATTGATTTCGCTTGCAAAGCATCGATCAGCCGAAAATCTGCAGTCACCGCCATTTCTGCCGTTTCTGATGGCGTGCTATCAGTGCTTGCCTTAGGTGAAGAAGACGGAAGCATATCACTTCATCTCGTCAGGTGCAATACTTCTGTCGAGGTCGTTAAAAGCATCGAGGTCGAGAAACATCTCTGTCCTTCAAAGACGGTCAATCGACTGGCCTGGAGACCCAACAAGGCTGATTCCAGTGGCAGTCAACATGGTCAGCTCGCCATCGCATCAGCCGACAACACTGTGCGGATCTGGGCGGTTGACTGGCGAAGCCGGAAGGATGAATAAAAGTATTCTATTCGATCAGCACGACTCATCAGTGCCCTTTCTAGTCAAAAGGCATGGTGTTAAAACCAGATTTCCCTTTTCCACCACAGCGCCGTCAATGCATGTATGCTCATAGATCTTGTTGAAGATCCGACGGGAATCAAATCATATCGACGAGAATGCCAACCACTCCCACCTCAATATTCGTACGCAGTGTTCGCCTTGGATGCCACTTCATCATCTTTCTTTTCTTGTCCGTAGCCGCCTTTCCCCTCGTGCGACTCATACGTCTTGACCTCCCCTGTCCCATTGCGCGGGCCTCGCTCCCTCAAGTCGTCTCTCAACCATTTCAGGACCAGCTCCCCAAGCTTGCTGTTGCCGGTATTGTTGTACGAGTCTGTCACGGCGTCGAATTGTGCCATAGGTCCCCATTCCTTCACTTTGCCCAAATGCATGTGGGCGAGGTGCGTTGGCCAACCGACCAGATTATCCAGGATGTGCGTGGCGTAGACAATCGTGGCACCTCGCCGTTCCGTCTCGGCTCTCAGCCAGTACAAGAAATTACTTCGGCTCAACAGATCCAGGTCGACAGTGATTTCGTCCAACAGGAGCACATCCCATGGTCGGATCAAGCCCATGGCGAGCTGCACTCGGCGTCTTTCCCCATCACTGACAGCGTGCATGCGCCATCGGAGGTCAATGTCGAGGATTCTGACAAGCTCGTCCCGACGCTCGGGGTAGAACGTCCCGCCAACAGAATCGAGCAGGATCGGTACAGCGATATCTGTCCGCACAATAGGGTTCAATACCCACTCCAGTCCGAGGTATGTGACGCCTTCCAGTCCGGCAGAGAAGGGGTCAACCCCGCCTATTCGGATTGCTTCGGCCGGTGCCAGTCTTTTACCAGAGAGAAGTCGGAGCAGTGTCGTTTTTCCCGCTCCGTTTGCTCCTATTAAGAGGGTACGACTGCCGGCTGGGAGATCGAGAGTGATGTTCGACAGGCCTAACGAGCCGTCGGGAAACTTGTAGCTAAGATGGTTGACGCTGATGTCTGGCTGCACCACGTGACCATCGTGAGTAGTGCCCTGGCCCGTCATCGTTCTGCGAAGGATGATTTATGTTTGGCAACGAGGAAGAAGCAAGTGACTACTTGGTCTTCTCGATGCTCGTCAGAAAATCATGCAAGGTCATGATAGAAATTCTGGCCAATAAAGGTAAAAGACGTTCGGTTGCCCGAAGCGGACAATTCGTCGTTCCACCAAGTCTCGAGTTCTCGCCGGTGTGTTCCGCTCCGGCACGTCGCCATTGCAGTCACATTTACGGTTGGGCATAGAAGTGCCGTAACGTAGCACTGCGGAGCAATGAGTAAGTGATGTAGATATCTCTGACAGTCGAGGCAGTCACGCAGTGTATCATTAAAAGGATTTCGTCGGACACGGAGATGCTCGGTGCTGATCCCGTTCGGTGGCTGCTGGTGCCAAGATATTCGGCTTGGCAATCAAACATCATCCTTTTCCACCGTTAGTGAAGGTACTCGTAACTGCAGGTGTGTAAACATCCTCTCCGCTTCTCGTCTGCCTCATTGTTCATCCGCTTACACAGTATCCGTATAGTGTCTTGGAACCTGCCATTCTGTAAGGTATATTAACAACCGTGACATGGAGACATCGTCACCGAGTTTCGACCGTGGCAGTCCCTCCGGACCTCTGCCTTTTCAAGAATCTTCTAAAGCCGCGCGACTTCTGGGACCATGATGGCGCCTAGATATGCCCAGCCTTAGCCGTGTCTTGGTTGTCTTGGTATACAAGCATCCTCCTAACCTCCATAAGCTTGGAGCAGGCTTTGATAGGTGCGCGGTGTCACTTCTACGGTATCATCTGCCGTCATTGGTAGGTCAATTTGACGACGTGACATCGGCCTTCCTAACATGTCATGTCAACGGCACATTAGAGATAACGTCCGCCCACGATGCCGGGGAAGGACTTCTTGGCTACCCGCATTGTCGGACCTTGTGGCTCACTTCAAGGCTACTGGGGCCATGCTTGAGCGGAACAAGATCTGCATTTGGCTTGAGGGATACGAGCTTCTGATTTGGCGTGAATATGCCCAGAGATATCATTGACGACTACGGAGTATGAGAGTGCAAAGCACAGCACCAGCATCGTTGGGTAACGCACTTCAGACCCCTGCATGGTCTGATCGAGGCCACTCACGGTGTTACTTTGGTTGAGGATTCATTCACTCCTGCTGCTTGTGACCACCCCGCCCTCCCCATCATCGCCAATGCCGATTCCTAGAGCCGGCACCCACTCAATAATGGCAAAGAATTCCTTCCACTGCTCCGGTCTCTTCACCAACCCTCATCGACCGCTTCACCTTCGGCGCAGTCCTGGGGTCATGGTTGAAATGTCTTAAAGACCGTGTCCCGTCCGCTCATCTCACACCAGTCCTTACCAATACCTTCTCATACCAGCTTTGCGTTCCCACCTTCACTTGAGACTTATTTGCACTATGGCTGAGGTCAGGAATGAACCAGCTGATCCGATTGTCAGAGGAACTTTTGCAACAGCCAAGCAGTCTTGGTCTGACCTCTTCAAATGGAAGCAACGAGTCGCTGTCACCAATGACTATGGTGAAACATACTGCGAGTGGCAATCACCACCGCCTCTGAAGAACCCTATCAGTCTCTTCGCCAAACTCAGTGGCCGTGACTGGCTCTTCTTCCTCGTCGGTTTAGCAGCATGGACAGCCGACGCTTTCGACTTCCACGCCCTTTCTATCCAGACGGTCAAGCTCGCCAAGTACTATGACACGACTAAGACCAATGTCACCACGGCAATCACCCTGACTCTGCTCCTGCGCTCCATCGGAGCGGCTTTCTTTGGTCTTGCAGGAGACAAGTTTGGTCGCAAGTACCCCATGGTCGTTAACATGTTGATCCTGGGCCTCCTTCAGGTCGCTACGATCTACAGCACAACATTCGCACAATTTCTAGCCGTTCGTTCCTTGTTCGGGCTTTTCATGGGCGGCGTGTATGGCAACGCAATCGCCATGGCCCTTGAGAACTGCCCTGTCGAGGCACGTGGTCTGATGTCCGGAATCCTCCAGCAAGGCTATTCCCTTGGCTATGTCATCGCGGCATGCTGCAACCTCGGCGTGGGTGGAAGCACCGATTCCTGGAAAACAGTCTTCTGGATCGGCACCGGCCTCTCGATTGGTGTCGGCTTGGTGCGTCTTTTGTTCCCGGAATCGCAACAGTTCATCGCCGCGAAACAGGCGGGCAAAGGCAAAACCTCGCCTACCGCATTCTGGGTCGAAACGCGCAAGATGCTGGTCCAGGAGTGGCGGATGTGCCTATACTGCATTGTCCTGATGACCTGGTTCAATTACTACTCGCACACAAGCCAGGACAGCTACACGACTTTCATGCTCACGCAGAAGGAACTGAACAACGCCGCCGCCAGCCGTGCCAGTATCCTCATGAAGACCGGTGCGTGTGTCGGAGGCACCATTATCGGCTACGCGTCGCAGTGGGTCGGACGACGTCGAGCCATCATCGCGTCTGCCATCGTCTCGGGCCTGCTCATTCCAGCGTGGATCCTCCCGACTACGGAGCGCAGCTTGTCGGCGTCGGGATTTTTCATGCAATGTAAGCCGTCCCTCTCCCTGCCCCATTTTCCCTTGAAGTCACTGCATGCATGCACAAGCTTCACGTGCCCATTAGAACATAACTTTTCTGACGTGCCATCCTACAGTCTTCGTCCAAGGAGCTTGGGGTGTAATACCAATCCACCTCAATGAACTGTCTCCGCCTGCATTCCGTTCCTCTTTCCCGGGTATCACATACCAGCTGGGCAACATGATCTCATCGCCGTCCGCGCAGATCGTCAACGCCATTGCCGAAAGCCATATGGTGACCGCCGTTGACGGCGAGCCCGCTCCAGGGTACGGTCCCACGATGGGCATTGCGACCGCCATCATCGCCATAGGTATCGCTGTGACCACGGCATTCGGACCGGAGCGCCGGGGCAGAAAGTTCGAACTTGCCAAGCCTGCGGGTGCCCAGGAGATGGAGATCCGGGGAAAACTGGATGCCGAGAGTCAGGTCGTTGTTGAGAAGGGTGAGGTCGGGCAGACTGAGAATGTGGCGGAGAAGAATTGAACGCAAAAGGTTCGCCACGGGCTACTTCGTCAGTCCTGAGATGAAGAGACCTTGGCCTACCGAGGTTTTAGTCTCCTCACGGCTGAGACGGAGCCGCTCTTAGAGGCAGGCAAGGTGCAGGTAGTTAAGTAACTTGCAGTAGCTTCCTGCGAGGATTGCTGGCGGGCCTTGTGGTGTGCGTAACCCATACCTACAATGACAGTGGCCTATCGAGCCCGTCCGCGGTCCAAACAGGTGTTAAGAGCAATCCTAGTACAGTCCCAACCTGGTCAGTTCACAAGGTGATCACGTACTTTAGTCGCAGCAAGGACGTGGTCGGCAATGCGTACATTCGAAATCTTTGCTATCTGGGTAGATCTGGATCGCTTTCAACGCTACTACTCTTTCATGCCTGACGCCAACGCCCTCTCGGAGCCTTTCCCGCGCTCCCCGTATTACGACACCAAGTTGTGGCAAGTGTTCTGATTTCGGGGGTTTTGGACCCGGTTCGGTAACGTGCTCAGATGCAGACGTCAAAAACATAGTGTTCATTGGCACAAGACAGTTATTGTACCAATCCTTTCCCGTGCGATTGTCGCGTAGACTGAACCTCACTGACAATAATTAGCCGGAAAAGGTCCCTTGAGGCCGCGAAGCTCTCCTTGCCACCAATCATCCGTGCTTTCTGTCTTCTTGAGGACCTTGATACGATCTCCTTCTCGGAATACCAGGTCACCTTCACTCTGTCCGTCAAAGTCATATAAGGCTGTCACGAAGATTGTTTGTTGTGATGGTAAACGTGGTGGAGGTGGTGGTGGCGGAGGGCGTTTCTTCTGAGCCACCGCCGACGCCGACGTGACTGCAGCCGCAGACGGCTGTCGATCACGCGAAAAGTAGTCCGTGTGCGGTGCAGCGGGAGAATACGACATTGGGGTCTGATACACTGACTGTGATGGCGACGGAGTAGCCTCGAGAGGAGTTGTTGGACTCAACAAGGTACTTGGTGCAGGCGAGGAAGACATCTTTGGTGGAATGTCATAGGATGGAGATGGAGGGAGAGCCCTAGCAGGCGAGAGGGACTGTGTGCGACCGAAAGATGAGTTGCCACTGGGTCGACGGTAGCCATTGACGGAGGGATGTCCGTTCTCCTGGTTCATGGGCGCTCTTACAGCCTTTCCATTCGCCAGGAACAATAAAGATTCAGCCTCGCGTTGCACGGGCTTGAAAGCATCGTCCCACAATCTGATAACTTCATCCATGGGTGGACTGGGAGAAGGAAATCCTTCTTCGGTACAATACGCATGCAGAAGCGTATAGTAATGTCCCAATAGACTATTCTGGATACTGACCAGAGTGGCCAGGAAATGTGGTAGGAGCGAGAACACTGACTGGAGCAGGCGAGGGAGACAGCTCCTTAGATGCTCATCGGCAGCAGCATAGGCTTCTGTAGCCGCTGCAAGGTCCGACTGCGACTTTACAAGTGCAGCGTTCTCTCTGTCGGAACGTTTAGTCTTCTTCTGGCCCGAGTCGACCCTGCTCTGGTATCTTTCATAGTCCAGCTTCCGATCTTCTCTCTTCTTGATGGTTTTTCTCATTGTGTGGAGGCTGTCTTTCGCATTCTGAGCCGGCCGGATCAGTTTGTCCTCGACTTGTCCGAGATCTTCCGTGAGGTCTCTCTTTAGATCTGAGGATTCCATCTTTATTCTGTTGGTTCTGTTGAAAAGATGCTCTGGAGTTTGAGCCGGGACGTGACCCTGGTAGTCGTCACCGGCGCCAACGATCGGGGCATACAAAGTCTCGAACTCTTCAAACATGCGGTGCTGATGGGTCAGAATAGCAATCCAGGCTTCTCTCCATTGCTTGGATGATTCGATGATCTTTCAAACGTCAGTCGACGGACCGCCATCTCGTCTTGACAGACATTTATTCATACCTTGCTCAGCAAACGCTCCGCCTCCTCGAAATCTTTGAGCAGTACCGACACGTGTTGCTCATCTGCGCTCCTCCTCATGTATTTGCCAAAATGCCTCTGTACGCTCTGCATGGTGGCTAGCTGGCAACCATAAGGCCATCAGATTGCTTCCACGGCCGCTTGGGTGAGCCACTATGGCGTAAGGGGTTCTGTTTGGCCAGTTGTTGCTTTTCAAAACGCAGGTGGTTCGTAAAAGGGTCTCCAGGTGGTACGACGGGATAGTATGCGTGCAGGGAACGAGTGTCGAGGGCGGATTGAAAAGGGCATTAAATGTGGTGACTGGCCTGCAGTCTAGAAGGTCAAGTCTTTGGAGCGCAGCATGGTATGAAGAAACCAGGTCAGAATTGCAAGCAGAGACAGGTTCGAAAAAGATCAGCGCTTGGTCTGCAGTAATTATTCAAAGGATCGAGAAAGTTGGACGCTCGGAAGACAAGACTTCCATGCAATTGCAGCCTCAGTTGACGCGCGTTTCACTTTCCGCTTTCTAGCACACGCACTTCTCCTCCCTTCGAGCCCGCAGTCTGCATGTCTTCCCTCCACTTCTATTCGACGACATGATGACACCAATCACTTGCCAGGGTAGTCACAATGCTGCTGACCACCATAGCTTTCTACAAGCCTGACTATGATCATGGTGACGGCGACCTCGCTGCTCCGCAGCACTCCTACCTTGACCGTCGCTCCCACACAGAACACCGCACGCGTCCACGAGTTCCGCTGTCTATACACTCGAGACCTGCATAAGAAGGCGAAGAAATGGCACGATGGATCGCTTCGCTTTCACACCTTCAACCGACGCGTCATGGTTTATGATGACGCGAAAAATTACATTGGAGACCTTCACTATCGGCAAGAGGAGGAGTTCGGCGAAGGTGTAGAGATTCAACTGGACAGAGGCGTCAAAGTCGAAGTTGGCGACCGCCTGGGAGAGACTGAGACTGATTTGGCCCCGATTCTGGACAGACAACGGCCTGAGAAGGCTAGGTCGCAGGCGAGGCAGGCCACAGGCCTCACATCTCGTCTGAACTCATCACTGTCATCTCAAAGGCCAAAGTCATTACTCGAGGTGCTAGGACCGTCACAGGGACGACTAGGTCGTTCACGATTACCCCCGCAGTCTCCTTACGAGCAGAGACAAGCCTTCTCTCGGCCTGAACCGTCTGAACCCTCTCCGAAGAGGCGCAGACTTTCCAATGGCAAAGAAAACCAGCCCAATGAGGTCCCTAAGACCATTAGGCCTAGCCGGCCTTGCTTACCTCAGCCTGTCCGGGCGGACAGGCTTGTCACGCTCCCAGCGCGCCGGACAGACATACCAGTGGAACCTCGAGAAGTGGTGGATATCTCATCTGACGAAGACATCCAGCAAAGCCGCAGGAAGGAGGCGGCGGCCAAACCCTTACCTCCTACGAGGCCGGCGAAAGTCATCGCAAATCCGCAGTCGGCTTTGAGGACGACTCCATCACTTGAGAACAAGAACTCTTCGAGAGGGAATAACGCCAAAACTCCTACCGTAGACCTTCTTGCACTGAAAACGAAAACTCAATCTGCCGCGAGACCAAGCACGGAGGCCACCCCTCGAAGACCGCGGCTATCAGTCAAGCGGAATGCACGTTTGCTCCTGGCTCAGGCCAGACCGAAACCGAGGTTGACCTTTCTGCTGCCTTGTACCAAAGTACAAACAATGAGGCGATCTTCTTTCACTTCTTCAAGGACGCCTTCACCCGAACATGACACAGTTGATTCTCTGCCTTCCTGCAGCCCGGTGGAGAAGCTGGAAGACACTGATCGCCCTCACAGCAGGAATGGACTCTCCATGCAACCCATCAATACTTCCAGCTGCAGCCAAATTATGGCAGACGATCAGGGACTTGACTCTATCGACTGCAGTCCGTTATTTGTGCCGAGAGAGGGAAACGAAAAGCCAAGATCACCTTCAGCAAGTCCATTCCCGTCGCAAGAAGAGTTTCCTTTTCCGGGCTTTATAATGGAGGAGACAAGTCTAGGTGCACATGCTCCAAACATTGCCCCCAATGATGACCCTGAAGCGGTTGCTCCAGGCCAAGAGATCTGTGACGCCGCAAGATCACCCTCAGTAGACGCTCCTTCCCCCAATCCTGTCTCTCCAGAGCTCCGTCTTGAGGACTCTCGTCCTCCTCCAGAGCTTGGAGCTGGTCCAAGGCTGACTTCTACGACACGCAATTTCCGAAGAGTATTCTCCGAGAACGATGCCATTGAGGACGACGAACTGCATGTTCCGACGCAGGGCGGTGTCGAAAGCCGCAGTCCGCTCAAAATACTGAACAACTTGTCTGTCAGGCAAAGCCCTGTAAAATCTAGAAGCCCGAAGAGACTGCAACGATGCGCTTCTGACACAGCTGCACTTGACAGTGCAAGCCCGGATCATGGAGCGGCAGAACAGGAGCAGAGCAAAGGCGAAACGGGACCCTGGACATCAGAAGAAGCATTTCTCCTATTTGACTGGTGGCCTTCGGAGGTCGAAAAGCCGGGGTATTGGGCAGCGATTGCTGCAAAGGCAACAGGACCAGCTCTCGTGTCGCCAGCAGCTATTTCGGCGTACCCGACCACTATAACGACAGCAAGACAGTTTTTGCGTGACGATTTTAATGCGCTATGACCATGATCACTGACGAAATATGATATGTATCACAACCGAGTTCCAGGGCAGAGACCCTAAACGTACATAATGTTTGCGAAGGCGTTCCACCTATGCCCTGAGTCGCATTGTTGCCCTTCTCACCAACTTCTTCTCTACCGTGTCTCAAGTGCCAGTCTCAGCAGGCTTCTCCCCGACCAATTAATGATCCATGAGTGGCGGCAGACACTGTTCAAGAAAGTTAGCAGGAGTCCTTGATTGATGAGAGGTCTGGCCCCGTGAGACTCGCCACGTGCAACCGCCGGCTGGAAGCCCAGGTACAGGAAAGGTTGTTTTAGCGACGAAGCGTTTCTGGTCATACTTCGAGCTATCAACAAGAGTGCACTGACTGGAGGAATCCTCACACGACGAAGCCCCGACTGGGCTTTCTGCAGCGGACTGCACGTCGCTTGTTGTGTGGCCGCTGACTTTGAGGAAATTCCTGCCCATGGTGTCCGTCCTGTGACAAGAACGTCATGCTTCGCAGCTGGAAGCTTCATCGGAAGAGGACTGGACTTTGTCCAGAACGGCCGGTAGCACTCCTAGGCCAGCACAGCTCGAGTTGGGACACCCGGCTAGCGCCTACATCGGAGACGTGAGATGCTTGCTCAGTGCCCAGTGCGGCATTCATCAGGGCCTGCGCTTTGCGAGGTTGGTGGGATATGGTGAGGTCGAATTGCGCAATTGAGTATCTTTGGGCTTTCTTTCATCACGGCCAGTGACATTCACAAGCTCAAGATCTGCCTAAAAATTCATTTCAGCTATATCTCACTTCAGCCCCTGCAAAGTGGTTTCAACATTACACCCGTTCTCCTATCTCATATCCTACTCCGACCCTACCACTCCTCTTCGCGTCTGCCCTTTCATCAATTGATCTGATCCTTGCACAATGACCTCTCCATGACTGCATTCATGTCGTGAGACCTGTGCTGGAGTCAGACCTTCGGGCCTCTGGAATCAACTTCAACTCCAGCTCGACGGTCCCGTTCATAGCTCATTCGAACCCACGAAGTCATCAGCAGGTGAAGCAGGACACATCTATATCGTGTTACGGACTGAGCTCGCCAACTTTCACTTGCCGTTCACTTCGAAACGCATGTGATCGACACTGGAAACTGCCTCTGCTTTCCCCAAGTCTCCTCGCTCATCCACACTCATCCTCACTCACCTCCTTCAAAATCCCTTACTTGATCGTTGCTCCGCTCTCGTCCTACACTCAATTCAGCTTGATCTGGAGATTGAGTCTCTGCTTCCGAGCTGAGCGGTAGGCCCATCTGCATTCAGGTACGGCAATTCAATGCCGCTGTGGCTCGCTTACAACACATTTGCTGACCTAGTGCAGAGATTGAGGACTAGCTCTTTGAGACATCAAGATGTCTAACTCAACTGATGCGGTGGCTACCCTAACCACAATGTTCGCGGGAATCTGCAGATTCAAGTTCGCAGACATCCGCGACTACCTCCATACGATGGGACTTGGTGCAAACATATTACGAGAGGAAACGGAAAAGGCAGAGAACGCCCCAATTCCTTCTTGCAACATAAAGTTGTTGCGACTGGATAACGACAACAACGAGTTCAACGCCATCTTCCGTACTCCTCCTCGCTATAAGGGCAAGCTCGAACCTGGTGACAAAGCAGTCGCTTACCTCAAGATTGAGGAGGAGGGCGGGCCCTGGGATATGCGGATTATTGAGCCACCTGCCTATGCTAGAACCGGCGAGATCACATCAGTGCTCGCGCGTCGATGGAATAAACACACTGACAAGTGGTTTGATGAGAGAAAAGTTGCTACTATCACACCCCCAACCCATCTCAAAGGTGGTGCCGAGCTGGGATACATCCTCAGACAGCAAGGTATCGAAGCATGAATCGAGCCGGTAGATCGCCATAGCCTCTGGGTGTATATCGAGAAAGCACGGTCGCAACTCCAGGAGCTCTCCCTTTCGACTACTGTGTCACCAATGGAACAATCACTCCTCGATTTCTTAGTTGGAAACTTCACGAGTCTGAAGGTATTCAACATCTACGCCACATTAGCGAACAAGTCTCTCGCGTCAGAAACATACATGGAGCTCAATGATAGCCAGACAGAGGCAATCCACATGGGCAAGAAGGCTCCGGGTGGATTTGTGGTATGTCATGGCGGACCCGGCACGGGCAAGACACACTTCGTTATGCACGCCATCACACCATTTCTGAAAGATTCGGCAAGAGGTCACCATTTGCTCCTCACTGCTGCTACAAATCGTGGAGCAGATTCGATGGCCTGCGAGCTCAGTGAACGGCTGAGCGATCTTTCAAACAACGACGCTTTGCTCAAGAAGCGCTACATCCTCCGTGTACACAGCGTCAAGACCGAGAAAGCCATCCTCATGAGACATGCCGCAAAGTCGAGACGGGACAAGCTGAGCAAAAAGACACCCAAGTCAGCGCTGGGAGCAGGAAGTTCGTCTTCGCAGAGCACAGGTCCGGAGAGCTCGATCTCCTCACACTGCAGTACCTTTTCTGTCTGCAAATTCAAGCTGGTAGACGATCGTCGAGTTCAGCACATCAATTTATCTATTGGTCAGAAAGCCTTGGAATTGATCGGACTTGACCATGGCGGGCAGGCAACTACCAGCAAAAACTTGCCGCAATGTGCCAAAGACTTTGTCAAGCTGTACAGACTGTATGGTCTCGGCAAGGTCTTTAGCGAACAGGACGAAGAAGACTTGGATGGTGTCCTCGACCAGGTCCTGGGCTGGACCATTCGAGGCGCAACCGCTCTTTGTGCCACTGTTGGAGGGGCTGCCGATGACACGGTGTCGACGAATTTCTCCAATGCTGAGCTTATTGTCATGGACGAAGCTGCTCGGATGCCGGAGCATGAAGTCTGGACTCTCCTAGCCTTTTACCGTGAGGCAATCGGCAAGATCATGGTAGGAGACCCTGACCAATTGGGCCCTCATATCGAGGAGTATAACGGCGTCAAGCCTTACCTCCCGCAGCTGAGCATGTCTTTGCAAGAGCGAGCACAGAAGGCAGGGTTTCAATCAGCCTTCTTCACTCTTCAGTATCGTGCTGTCCCGCAGATTGCAGCACTGTACAATCAAGCATGTTATCTAAACCAACTGGTCGACCACGAAACGACTTTCCTGCCCAACGAGAAGCGCAGCCTCGCACGTCAAGTTGTGGCACACAACCACGACAAGTATGGCATTAGCAAATCGGTCATTTTCTACGACCCTACAGAGGCAGAGGATATGCAAGCCTACGGAACAACAAAAGTCTGTGAGCAATATGCAACGCTTGTCATGAGAATTTTGGAGAATCTTCTTGTCGCAGGCTTCGGTGGCGTTACAAAACCGTGCACTATTGCAATCCTGACACCCTACAAAGGTCAGTATTATGTGCTGAGCGTCGCCAAAGATAAGATGGCCAAGCGATATCCTGACGCCAACAAAGTGCTGGTTGAGATGGTTGGTAAGAGTCAGGGAATGGAATATGATATCGTCATTGCCGACCCAGTCATCGTCAGCGCGGGGCCACTTTTTCTCACCAAAAAGCGACTCAATGTGCTATTCTCTCGTGCGAGACAAGGCTTGTACGTTGTTGGCTGTCATGCTAAATGGTCTGCCATGAAGAAGAAGGACGATTCTCCGTACCTACAAGCCTTTGCAAAAGAGCTGTACCAACATCGCATTACTTGGACTCCTGGTAATGCCTTGCAGTCGCCATTTATCGACCCTCGCGACTTTGTCAAGTCCTACGACTTTGATTAAGCCTTAAGCGGCAAGCACCGGGCAAGGGGCAGCAATCTTGTTCAAGGGGATGAAAAGTGGTCGAATCAGGTCATCGGCGAGTCACAGATTGGGCATTGGAAATAGACAAGATCAGGCAACGGTTGGACAGGCTTGACGCACGTTGATGAACAGTATCATCCGAGGCAGCTACAACAGGTTGTGGCAAACCACTCCTTCACTTCAGGAAGAGATTGGGATAGCAGTACGGTTAGATTTCACAAACAGTCGCAGCCAGGGGAGATGATGAATTCATTCGATCTCTCGCCTTCGATCCATCGCCGTCTGCCCGTACCCGTCTCCGACCGAGTCGTCCCATGGAGCACTTTGTTACGACCTCCGCTTGTTTGCTTTCGCGGCTGATTATGAACATTGAATTTAGCCGGATTCCCAGAGGAGACCGTTGTGACCAACTACCTTCTTCTTTTGACAATTCACATATCATCGGGAGCGCGCGCTAACCAACGAACAAGAGTCCCCTCAAAACCCCCTGGCAGTGTCATATATGCGCGTGGGACGACGCCAAAGTAGCAAGATGGACGAAACGTCTCCTAGAGACGGCCTCGAAACCTGTGAAGCCAAGTTCTGATTTGAGAAACCCTCGACCATGGATCCAATCAAAGTAGGCATAATCGGCTACGGCTTCTCGACCAAATGCTTCCATCTACCATTCATCCTGGCCTTGCCTGACCGCTTCACAGTGGTCGCCTTCTTCCAACGCACAGAAGCTCCCGAAGACCCGAAATCTGTCCAGCCTGGCTCACATTGCATTGTAGATCATCCTGAGGCTAAGCACTACCGAACGGCCACTAAGTTCTTCGCCAATCCGGAGATCGAGGTCGTTATTGTGTGCAGCAAGACCGATACGCATGCCGAGTATGCAGAGAAGGCGCTGTTGGCTGGGAAGCATGGTATGTATAGGTGTCAGCCTGATACTGTGGGCTACAACAACTGAGATGCATGGTTAAATAGTGGTGGTCGAGAAGCCATTCACCAGAACAACGCAGGAGGCTAATGGGATCATATCTCTTGCGAACGAAAAGGGACTGATCTTGACGGTCTTCCAGAATCGGAGATGGGTATGTGCGAAAATCTCTCCCTTTCCTCGGGCTGCGACATGTCGTTCTCTTTCGAGGAGGACATGGTACCTCAGAAGATAGGCCTCTACATGGGCCTCTACATATTGAGACATCAATATATCACTAAATGCAGGCGCCATAGGACTCCGACTTCAAAACCCTCAGCCATCTCATCCAAAACAACGCCCTTGGCGAGATCAAGGAACTCGAGATCCACTACGACGTCGACTTCCCCTTCTGGATGCGCAACATGAACAAGAAGGAGTACACGCCCGGCGATGGGATGATGTTTGGCCTAGGTAGGTGGCGTCTCTTCCCTTTCCCTTGCCCTGTCCCGCCTGCCCTCCGTTCTGCCAGCTTCTTGGACCTACAGGACAAGCCACTTCTAACTTCCAAACGCAACGCCCACAGGGAGCCACACAATCGACCAAGCCATCCAACTCTTCGGCCGGCCCGAATCCGTGACATGTTTCCTCCGCGTCCTCCGGGGCATCGAAAGCGACGTCGACGACTCGTTCACTCTGATCTTGCAGTATGAAAAGCCGCAACAAGACCTCCTCGTCACGATCAAGACGAACGTTGCGAGTTGCATGCAGGACCAGTTGAAGTATTTCGTCCGCGGGACCAAAGGGTCTTATGTCAAGGTATGTACCATAATGCGAACAACGCGGACCCCCTCCCTTCCTTCCTCACAACCCCCCTTTTCCCTTTCTCCAAAGACGGAGGAATCGTTGTGTCGGACCGGATTCAGAATCACTAACATATCCCTTGCCCATACCAGCACGGAACGTGTATCCAAGAACAGCAAATCTTTGACGGCATGGCGCCCACCGACGCGGATTTCGGCATCGAGCCGTCTCGCCTCCACGGCCTGCTGACCACGAGCACTGTCTTCGACGAGAAGAGCCAAGGCCTCGAGCCTAACTCGAAGAAGTATATTGGTCGATATCCCACAATCCCAGGACGATGGCTAGGCTTCTATGAGAACCTCGCGGACGCCATTCGTGGCAAGGTCCAGATTGCCGTCAAGGCTCAGCAGTCTCGCGACGGGATCCGGACAATTGAACTGGCGAGGCTGAGTCACGAAAAGGGGCAGACTCTTCCTTGGGCTTGACATAGATACGGAGACAGAGAGGCATACATTTCCCCTAAGCAGGAAATCAGTATACTTAAAGGTTGGGACATCCCTCGGGAAGAAAAACGAGATTGAACTATTGTGGCTCATGACCAGCCTTTTCATCAATAGCTCTCTGATTTGACCCAGCCCGCCCTGGCTGTTCTGTTCTTTCTCTCGACACCCATTGAGCTAACTTAGCAACCCCCACGGCCAATGTACCATCAAGAACCGTACCATCGAACCCGGCAAGCATCAAAGTAGAGATTACGCATAACGTCCAGAACAGCTCGCGGTCCAAACAAAGCCCAACACCACAATCCCACCCCTGCACCAGCAAACGAATGTCCAGCCCACAACGCCATGCTTCGCAAGGACGATGCCATATCAGCCAAAAAGCAGCCCAATAGCCATGCCCGCTAAAGCAACAAATAGGAGGAGCGAGCCTCGACACACCCGGTTCTGATAGACCCCTTGCAAACGAACCCTGCTAGAAATGCCCTTCTTTGTCCTGCACTGCGAAGTAACCCTTCGAATACCAACATAATTGGATCTCTCAAACTTCCCAGATACCACTTACTACTCCCACTTTTTTTTTGCCCACAGTATGTACCAGACCCGCCACTCAAGTCGTCGACAGTGGCTGCAACAACTCCAATATCCACAAATCGAGTGAGTCAGACGCGAAGAAAAAGCTCCATCCCCCAACCAACACGCTATGCAGAAGCATCAAAACGACACCGGTGTGCATAACAAATCATGATCACTCCACTCACGCAATGCCCTGTACACCGAAGATATGCTGGGAAAAATGGCAACACAACTCCGCACATACAAGTCATATCATGCCCCTGGTCGTGTCGTCGTAAGTCATCTAACCCCAGACGGACGTCGCTCCGATTTTGTTGGTACCCCAAACACCACTTCCGGTGCCCCAGGGTCCCATGCCCGAATTCCCGGATTCCTTTTGTTGATTGGCATTCGAATTTGCCGATCCTGCTCGATCGGCGTTCTGTGGTTCACCGGGCGCAAATCCGTATCCCAGCGAGGAGGGTAGAGGTGATGTAGTGCGCTTGTTCAGTAATTGGTTTGGGCCCTGTTGAGGATTTGGACGGCTTCCGATCGGACCCATTCCTCCTGTTACAGGTGCTGTGGTGGATTTGGATATTGTCCGTGAGTGGGATGTGTCCTCTCCTGAAGGTGGTGTGGGAGCCTTGCCCGATGTTGAGACTGCAGCGTCCAAACCACCAAAGCCTCCGGACGTCTGTCCGGCGGGCGAAGCTGGTTTTTCACCTCGGGGCATATCTGCTGTGCCACTTTGGGCAGCAACATCTCCCTGGGAAGCTTGACCTCCCATTCCAAAGGGATCAGCCCCTCTAGGCGAAGGTCCTCGAACGGCCCCAGGGGCATTGTCGGCCCCAGGAACGGCTTGGTTGTCTCCTGCATATGGAACTTGGCCCACAAAAGCCGGACCTTCACCGCCGTAAAGTGCCCGGTGTTGGCGTGCAATGAGTTCGCGCCGGCCCTCCTCGCTCAGAGCGCTGGGACTCATGGAGCGGTCAGATTTACTGGAAGACATCTCTGCGAGGACGCCTGTCAATTGGTGAGCCGGCATTAAATAAGGTGTTCATCATTGTGCTCACTTCTATTGTACTGCTGCTCCTGGTGGTAATTACGAAGCTCCCGCTCTCTTTGCGCAGCAATCCGTCTCTTTGCCTGCATCATCTGATCGGGGTCATTATGACGGCCTTGATGTCTCTGGGAAGCGTAGAAGTTCTGCAGATTTGAGCCTGAGTGAGGTCGGGAAGGGTCGAAGTCGCTCACGGAATGGCGACCGCCATGCGCGCGGTGACCTTTTGAGCGTTAGCATCGTCATCCAAATCATTAGACGGTCAAGCCTACCAAAGTCGCCTCCGCCTCCGCCTCCACCTCCGTGGCGCATGCCGGAACCCATAGGCATGGGCCGAGGCATACCGGCATAAAATTTACCACTCTTGACAAGATTATCCATGGCTCGATCGACCTCTGTACCAAATCAGATTTTGCGTCTCGGAAGAGTTGTGAGATTGTACCTTCAAACTGAGTGGCAAATGCACCGCTATCTTCACGCTGTGATGTAGAGCTCGCACCTGTCCCAATTGTCAGCAACCGGAGAAAGACGTTTGATTTCGGATGCCACTCACCCGACCTTGATGGAGGAGCTGGCTGTTCCCATGAGGCCTGCCGTACAGGTGCCTGCCAGCCCTGTGGTTCGTAGTAGGACATTTTCGCGGAGAGGTATATTATGCTTGGTGCGTCGGCGATGGGGCAGCCCGAGGTAGAAAGTTTCTATGCCGGAGGAGCGCAGTCGGCTTTGTGATTAATAGACCACGCAGGTGACTAGGCAACCAGTGAGTCTCCGCGAGGCTTCCAAAACTTAAGACAACAGATGAAATATACGCGACTGGCCGGGAGTGCCTAGGTAGGTAGAAGGAGACATGCAGTCGGAATGGGAGAGGGGTGGAACATGTGGTGCTCTTGTCTAGATGGTTTGGTGCGAAGTTTAGGTGGGGAGAAGTCATATTTTTCGAGGGATCGGCTGCAGCTCGAACCAATGATGCCGACAGTGGGATCGGTCGAATTGCCCGAGGCATCACGGGTAAATGAGGAGCCAAGAGAGGTGTCGACTTACGAGCAGGAATAAGGTGGACAGATGACGGACAGGTAGCTCGTACCACGCGAAAGACTCGAAAGGAAGCGTCAAAGGAGCCTATACTGCGCTGACTGGCAGCAGGCGACGAAAGGGCGACGGAAGACAGGACGAACGGGACAAAAGACAAAGACGAAGAGGAGATGAGAGATGAGGTGGATGAGGAAAAAGTTCGGTATGCGACCATTGGTGGAGAGGAGCGATGAATTGGAGTTTGGGGCTCGGAGTGGGAAAGAAGGAAATTCGAAGTTCGAAGTCAGAGCAGCCGATGAGGCGAGGAGGGTCCCGGATTGAGGTCCAACTGGCGACTGCACTGACACCACTGCCACCCACTGACTACTGGGGGCACTCAGGTCCACAGACCATCTGCTTCTCTCATCATGCCCTGTGCCCGGTATTCTCTCTTCTCTCTGCTCTCTGCAGGTCGCACATCACCGTTGACTCGAAGAGAGGCAGATCAGCTTGTGAAAGTGTGTATACTGTGTAGGCTTCCAACATGTCTTCACCACCTCGTACCGGAGAATGGCGCAATGTCGCACTGCTAAGTACTGTACTCCGTTAGAGAGCACAGCATGAGCGGGATACCCACGAGTCTTAAGATCGACCAGGTTGCAGTAGGCGTGAGTAGGTCGCTAAGCGGCCTCGCTAGGCAAAAAGACTCGACTTCTCGACTCTCGACTCTTGCGTCTGGCTACTCTGCGAAAACTCTTGTTGCGAACGAGAATGTAAAGACGGTGAACGCTTCTCCTCGTAGCACTCTTCAGTACATGCTCACAATGCGCTCCGTGGAGGCTCAAAACAAATGTCCTTCACCTGCAATCCCTGCAAGTCCATGGAAAAAGAACCCAAAAAAAATTGGCCAGGATGTTCTCCGCCCGCCAGTCCAACCGCTTTTCGACTGCCTATCCGGGCCTTTCCAGAGCCTAACGTAGGGAGCATGAGTTACAGCTGCCCAGTGCCTATGTACGGGTCCCGTAGGTGCCTCTTGACCCCGTGATGGAGCAAATAGGCGGCCGGTAAATTATTCTTCGCGTGCTGGAAAGGTGGGGAGATGATGGAACTGTCTTTTCTTTCAATTTCCTTACTTGACGATTTTCAGTCAATCATATGCATCTTTCCGTGCGTACAAGTACACGTCGGGACATGCACGTTGCCCTACCTCTCGAGAACACCCAAGGGAACGTTTGGTTCTTGCGTCTGTCATCGAGTCGCAGCTGGAACATTGATACCCTGCAAACTAAGCGTCATGCTGCTGCCGCTGAATAAAGTGAAACCTTTCAGGACCTTTGTTTCTAGATGGTTGCCAATTTCCTTCGCGGACCGAGGCGCGCATTTCCAGGAGCCGGTCTGCCCGTCACGCATCATTGAGTACAAGTTGAAGCCTGCAGCTTGCATGCTATGTTCAATTGTGTCTCGATTGGAAGCCTTCTCCCTCCGCGTGGCGCTGTGACATTGCGACAATGTGATGCAAGAGATGTGAAGCGATTTCGCACCAAGACTCACGAGCCAGTATGATATCAGCACACCACACCACTGTCGCCGCTTGCATCAGAAATACCGCGCGGGGTGGAGGCATGGGAAGAAACCCTGGGTGCCCCAGAAAAGACAATAGGCAATCTAAAATGCCCTAAATTCACTTTCCCCACGTACAGTGGTTGATGCTTCCGGCCGTGCTGGCCACAGCCTGATGGGCTGCTCCTTTGCCTCTGCTGTTTCATCAGGCAAGCACTCCGATTCAGATGCCCGTCTGAAGAATTCCAGCCCAGCCAATGTCTGAATTCTTGCAGTGGTCCCTGCAATTGGAATAGTTTTTGAAGGGTTAAATGCCATGCTTCAGTATCGAAGGCCACCATGATCCAGCTACTCCGTACAGTATCCCTATGCTCCTCACTGGTGACGTGCAGTTCGCATGAACGGAATGAGACCCGTCAACAAGTTACTCGATAATAATAGCAATGACAATATAAGATGGTGAGACATACGTGGTCGCGCAAGAAGCGGATTCATTACCTCATCAGCCTGTCATGTTCGGCTCGTCTCCTAGACGCTCTATGTAGATTAATCCAATTTCAGGGTTCGCCTTTCGGTAGCCTTGCTACGGGATAGGGCTCAAGAGGAGCACCAAGCATGTACGGACTACTCGCCCTAACTATCCTCTGCGCAAAAGTGACATTGCAGCCGTATATGGTCAATAGGGGTTGATATCTGCTATGCATATTGGCATATTGAGAAAGCTCACCTTGACTTTCATTTTCCAGGGGAAGTGTGTATTTCGAGAATGGCGGAGCCTGAACGTCCGCTCTATAAATGGACATGACTTTCAGGCCATATTGGTAAGTAGCTATCTTCCTCCGAGTAGTGAGTAGGAAGGAAGACCTCATCTCAGCTCGAAGAACAGGCTGAGTACTGCTGACCCGTGCAGGGAGTTTGCCGGCCGCAATTGGTACATACCACGTAGGTATTTCAAGGCTGCGTCTCCTGCACAATGGGCGGTCTGTGGCCCCTGTCTGACTCGACAGCAGGAGAATTTCGAAGTGCCCCTAGCGCCAAAGGGGACAAGGCACATCACCGAAAGAACCGAACGCGGCACGTTCGAGAATGACACGCTAATCCGATCTGACATGTATATGGTCGTTCCGCCAAATGACAATCCATGAGCGTACACGGACATCTGGATGGAGACGGTGAGCGACGAGGCACGACAATGAAGCTGATGGGCGTAGGCATCGAGGCGTCGCGTGGGCTGAGACTCAGAACACGGCGTACCGGCGGGTAGCAGCACTGAATAGGCCTCCATCCCTGCTTCTGTCCGGGGATTCTGTTGTACCACAGCATCGTCATCCGTACCCTGTGCTGGTGCGTGTGCCTGACTGCACTCTTTTGCTGGTCGAAGGCGAGCATGGAGGACCGCGTGACTGGTCCGGGATGTCCCATGCTCAGTCCTCTACGGAGATCAGGTAGAAACAGAATAAGAGACAACATGCACATTGAATGGCCTATTCTGAAGCCGCCGCGAGCCCTTATAATTGGCGCTTGGCGAGCCTATTGATCCACTGGCTACCGTTTTAGCGGTGCTAAACCCTAAAGGCAACTCTCTCTGTCCAGTGTCTTGTCCTCAGCGCTGCGCATATGCACCGCAGGAACGAGCGTGCCCATTCTGTCTTTGCACCCTCACATCTTCTCTACCTACACCTTCTTTCTGCCTCCAGTCTTGCCTCCGCCCTCCTCATCCTCTTCACCGACACGCGCCTAGCTGCCCTATTCTGCTTCTGTCCGCATCCTCACTCCTGTATATCGCCAAAACCAACCGTATCCTCCCTCAAATTTCCCCTCGAGAAAGGGCAATTTCACCAGCGTCAGGTCCACGAACCTCCACCGTCCACCATACCTGGCCCTACGGACCTGTAAACGATTGCTTCGAACCTTCCGCTGCGTCTATACCGTGTTCATCCTACGTTACAGTCCTTTCATCCTCCTTCACCTTTGTCGCCGCCCTGGTCGGCTTACTCAGATCCATTGAGAATCTACCTTCATTCTACCTGCCATTGCGACCTGGCCGGCCAGTGGACTTGAGAGGCACCAGACGGACTCACCACTTCTATCGCGTTTGCAGAGACCACTGTTTCTTTATCCTCGCTCGAAGCCGCAGTTCTTCCGTCGTCGTTGTCCGCAGGACCCGTACCCCCCTTTGGAACGACTACCAGTTTCTTACACCATCCCCACCTCCTACGAAAAGTGGTGGAAGTCACCCGAGGTTGTTGTAGGTGTGACCGTCATTCAAGTCGACCAAGGCACGGTGTTTCAGTCGCAGCTAGAGAGTCTCATGACTTATAGAGAGCCGAAAGATGATGGAAATACTTCCTCTACAGCGATGACCGTGCCGTTTTCCACGGGTGCTACGTCCAAAATGGAGAGGGAATTGACTACCAACGCGCAGACTGCCTCAACGCGGGGTACGAATCGCGAGTCGCCTCAATCGAAGTCTCTGCCATCCACCCCCTTTCAGCGACCTCAATCCCGATCAGCGCCAAGAATGTCGCGTTCACCAGAGCCTTACCCAAAGAATGGCTCCCCTATATCAGTGCCTTCCGACAAGAGCCATACACCACCAGCGAGGGGGAAACCATATGGAGGCTGTAGATACGAAACAGGGATGGCCCGGGCAAGAAGGCGTGTGCCTTACTCTTTAGGACCAGATCCGCTCGAGAAAGATAAATCCGACCTGAAGACACGGCTAAATCATGAAGAAAACGAGAAATTGACAGGCGACATGCAAGAATTGTACGCGAGGTTGCAACCTACCACCGAAAGTGAGGAACGCCGATCAAAGTTCATCGAGAAACTTGAGAAGATCCTTCGCGGCAACTGGCCCCAATCGTCAATCAAAGTCAATGTGTTTGGCTCCACCGGAAACAATCTAGGAACTTCAGACTCGGATGTCGATATTTGCATCACCACCGACTGCAAGGAAATGGAACGGGTATGTTCTATCGCAGAGCTTCTTGCTAGACATGGAATGGAAAGAGTTGTGTGCGTTTCCAGTGCAAAAGTGCCAATAGTCAAGGTCTGGGATCCTGAATTGCAGGTGGCCTGCGACATCAATGTCAACAATCCGCTGGCGTTAGAGAACACCGACCTGGTGCGTACGTATGTCGACATAGACGAACGGGTCAGGCCTCTGGCTATGATCATCAAATATTGGGCAAAAAGGAGGATCTTGAACGACGCTGGTACGTTATTCTGTCATCTTCTGATTCTCGCTGTCGTACTGATGCATGTTACAAAGCCCTCGGTGGTACCCTCAGCTCATACACTTGGATATGTCTGACTCTGAATTATCTGCAAACGCGAGATCCGCCTATACTTCCTACCCTGCAGCAACAGCCCAAGCTGGAACCCAAATATTTGGCCGGCGTCAATGTCTCCTTCGACCGCAACATCGGAGCATACAAAGACTTCGGCAGCCGCAATAAATCATCCCTAGGTGAACTACTGTTTCACTTCTTCCGCTATTACGGCCACGAACTCGATTTTGGATCGAACGTAATGTCAGTACGGTTAGGGCGGCTACTGTCCAAGAGCGAAAAACAGTGGCATCTGCTTCAAGACAATCGGTTATGTGTCGAAGAGCCCTTCAACGTATCTCGTAATCTAGCAAACACGGCTGACGACACATCAATGCGCGGTATCCACCTTGAATTGCGCCGGGCCTTCGAATTGATCGGGAGCGGCAAGCTTGGAGAGTGCTGCGAACAGTTCGAATATCCCGCCGAAGAAATCAAACCTTCCGAGCATTTTGTTCCTCCCTCAGCACGACCAGTCATCCCGCAGCCCCCACCTACTCAGGGTACAGCTCAAGCCCCTTCGCAGCCGTCACGACCAGGGCGAGGCCATCTTCGTGGCGGCCGAAATCAGAATGGCACTGTGCGGAATAGCACTGGGCGCCGGTCATCGAATCCTACAGGGCGGACTCAACATTATCTGCGTAATCTGCCGTTCCAGATGACCACGCAAGAACTCCAGCTGCAAGCGCAACATCAACAACATCTTCTCCATGACCAGTTGTTCCAGCAATATCAGTATCTACAACTTCAAGAGCAAGAGCTGAGGATGCAGCTACATCAACAGAATCTCCGTTCCAGAGGCCTGCTGGTATCTGGTTTCCACCAACCTTCGGCGTATGCACAATATGCATCGCAGGACGAGAGCGCAGATGTTGGTACAAATGGACAAATGCAGGGGATAAGTCGAGCGCCACTTTCTGCACCATTATACCAGCAGCGGTTTGCGCCAGCGTCTCCATATCTCGCCACTGCCACCCCAAGCCAAGGAGTCTCCACGAATCCTCCGTCGCCACGAGTCAGCTCCGTCATTCCAGATACTCGAAGATTTTCGAGGCGGACGTCTGTTACGCAGTCATCGTCCGGAGGATCCTTGCGTGCTCATTCACAACCAGCCAGAGTCATTCCGATGTCCTCTTTTGGTCACTTGTCAGCCAGAGTCGATGCTTCGGGGTTCCATGACGCATTAGCAGGCCGAAGATCATCAGCATCTTCTACATCACAAGAACAATATGCTGGCTATCTCGAAAACGTCTCTGGGTCTCTTTACGACGCAGGTCGAAGGCCGGCAGAATATCTCGGCTACTATGTCGGACAGTCTCCGTCATTGTCTGCCTATACACATAGCACTGCGATTTCTCCGATCCCAACTCACGTCGGTCTCGCCATCCAAAATGGGGGGTTGTCTCCTCGACCTGCCTCTGCTTCCCTTCGGTCGTCAACGACAATGCAATCGCCTCCACTTCAGACAGTATCGACCACCATGGAGAACCAAGCAAGTCAAGCGCTGGGAATCAAGAATGTTGGGACCGGGAACACCGAGTCTGAGCCGTCAAAGCCAAGATCAGGACCTCTGATCGTTGACGGGTCGATAAATTCACCTCGACGCAGACGGACGACTCGCTCATTGAATGAAAGTGATGATCCGATGAATTTTAGCGCGTCCACATCAGAAGACCTGGCATTCGACACTCCTTCAAGCTCGGATGAGCAGTCCCAGGATGCACTGGAGCTTACCAATCATGACAGAAGTCCGCCTGGAAGCCCGACGACTTCGCGTAAGGCTCCGCAGCAACCTGCAGGATCCTCACAGTACATGAATGGGCATTTGCCGCTGAGGTCATTCGGGCTTACTCCCGCGCCGGAACCTTCGCATAGAGGGACAAGAGCCGCCGATTCGATTGGAATGACAAGTACAAGCTTGCAGAAGAATGCAGCCTGGCCACTGGATCGACAGCTTTCTTCTGTGGAAGAGATCCGTACGCCTTCTCCTAGAGTCGAAGTGTTCAAGTCTGAGGCGCAGTCGCCCAGAGTTGCTGGAACAAAGGATCAGGGTCAACCTCCAACAGAAGGGGAGGTGACCGCCCCTAACGGGGGAAGTCCTGAACATGCTTCCGAGGAGCCACTTTCTCCTATGACAAACGGTTCGGTGTGCACCCTTGGGGCAGAAGCGGCAGCTAAGTCCAACCCAAGTATGGCTAGTGGGTGGCAGACACAGAAGAAAAAGAAAAAGAATAGGAAGACGGTCAAATCAGAGAACGATGCGCAGGCTTTGAACACGATCGGAGGGGAGACTCTACCGGCGGACGAAGCTCTGCGAAAAGGCGGTTAGGGTCTCCTTTACCGGTGTTTATAGCCCACACACGCATCAGTCGACTATGTTGGCTAAGTGTCAGCGAGGCCGGTCCGACCGAGCGGTCCAGCTTTCGAACCGAGTCCTGCAGAGCGCCAGTTGTCCCAATTGCAAATGGCCGTCGAAGGTGAATTTATGGTATCAGCAGCGTACATTTATTCGATCATGTTTTGGGTTATGCGTGGACAAAAAGTGTCGTTGGCGTCCGTCGATCTTTTACAAGCGACGAAATCCCGATGGGGATGGATTGAATGATGACCTGGGCAAGCATCTGTCAATGCGTCCGACGGTTACGATGCAGTGACAGGTGCGTATATACGGCTCATCCGAGGTAGGGATCGAGGAAGGAACCAAGACAGAACCCCTGCTTGACGGCTCCGAGATTTGACAGGGGGTTTCAGGGCATGACGGGTCATCATGGAATGGCTTAGGACGAATGCATAGCAAACCAGCCAAAGTTCTGGGTTCTTGTTGTTGATTGATTTGCGGCATGGAACAGGAGGGCACACGGGGTACAGCTGGCAGTAGGTGGAATATCACTGCGAAAAAAGCGAAACAACAAAAAGGCGACGAAAGAAAGAAATTGTACGTTTTCTCGGGCGCGGAAGAGAAGTCGATGAGAAGATAGCAGATTGAATGAGCGAAGCGTGATCATTGTTAACCCAAGCATCAGACTGAGATCCAACGAGACATGCCAGAATGTGGTCAATTGTATTCGTCCTCTGTGCCTACCAGGTAGGTTTGTAGGTAGTCACTTACCGTCATCATGCCGTGGTACTCCGTAGTAATGCCGCCAATCTCGTACGACTCGGAAGAAGCCAAACATAAGGATTTGGTCCCTGGCATAAACACGTGCTTGATCGTAATATGATTGGTCAAATTTCATTTATGCATAAATGTTTATTGTGGGCTCAATTATCGCACTTGTCGCCTCCCCGTCGTCGTCTTCCTGCGATCGTCTTGCCGAGTCTCCATCACCACCAAATTTCCTGGATCGCGCCCAAAAGTCGTCGTCCTTGTTAACCACTCCCTCTTTGATCAGACCACATCTCAGGCCACAACTCTGTCTTGACCGCCTGCAACTCTTTTATAAACCTCCTCCTACATACTTGTCTCTATTCACGCCTCTCACGATTCTTGTACTCGACCTCTCTATGTGTGGATAGACCCTCCTTCCTACCGCGCGCATTCCCTCTCGTCTTCTGCCATGCCTCTCATTCTCGACTCTTCATCGGAGTCCTCCATGGGCTCCGAGCCCGACCTCCAAGAAGAGCGCAGAAGATTACACCACGAAGCCGATGTAGTGATCATTGGAGCAGGAGTTTTGGGCTCCGCGTTGGCGGTGGCGCTCGCAAATCAAGGCCGCAGTGTCATACTCCTTGAGAAATCGTTGAAAGAGCCGGACCGAATTGTGGGAGAACTTTTACAGCCAGGCGGTGTTCAAGCATTGACCAAGCTGGGCTTGCGCCATACTTTGGACGACATCGATGCCATTCCAGTCACCGGGTACACTGTCATATACTACGACGAGCATGTGCCCATACCATATCCTGTAATTGCCTCACAGGTGTCAGACCGAGCAGAGAAGCAACTATGCAAATACGAAGGACGGTCTTTTCATCATGGCCGGTTCGTATCGAAATTACGTGCTGCAGCATTGGCACACCCGAACATCACCGTATTCGAGACTGAAGTCACCTCCATCATCACCTCGTCACACAACACACAGGTTCTGGGTGTCGAATCAATAACGCGCAAAACGCATAAAGACTGCTTCTTCGGTTCTTTGACGGTGGTCTGCGACGGATATGCATCGAAATTCCGAAAATCTTACATTCACCATACCCCCCGAGTCAAGTCGAAGTTCTGGGGCATGGAGCTGATTGATTGCCAAATACCAACTTCGCATCACGGAAACGTGGTGTTAGGCGACAACTCACCCGTTCTGCTCTATCAAATTGGATCCCACGAGACGCGAGTTCTGGTCGATGTTCCAGAAGGACTGCCATCCGCATCTACGGCCAACGGCGGAGTCAAAGGCCACCTTCAAAATGTTGTCCTCCCATCGCTGCCGAAAACGGTCCAACCTTCTTTCAAGGCCGCACTAGAAAAAGGCAGTCTCCGAAGCATGCCGAATTCTTTCCTTCCTCCTAGCACAAACAAGACCCCCGGCGTGGCAATCCTCGGCGATGCACTGAACATGCGCCATCCCCTTACCGGAGGCGGCATGACAGTCGCCTTGAATGATGTGCTTCTCGTGTCCGAACTGCTCTCTCCCGAAAATGTGCCCGACCTCTATGACACACAAGTCGTGCTGAAACAACTCCGTGCATTCCACTGGCGGCGGAAGAGTGTCACTTCCATTGTGAATATTCTTGCCCAGGCACTGTACAGTCTATTTGCGGCCGATGACTGGCAGTTGAAGTATCTCCAAAGGGGTTGCTTTCGATATTTCCAGCTCGGAGGCAAATGTATCAGTGAGCCGGTCGGTTTGCTTGGCGCGGTGATTCACCAGCCTTTTGTCCTATTTTATCACTTTTTCAGCGTGGCGTTGTTCAGCATTTGGATCCTTATCAAGGAGAATGGTGTGTTGATGTTTCCGATCAGTCTGATCCAGGCAGTGCTCGTGTTTGCCAAGGCATGCGAGGTAATTTTCCCTTATATTTTTGCCGAATTAAGGAGTTGATGGCAGAGGAGCATGGGCAGCACCCGGTTGAAGCAATATTTCTTGCCTCGTCGTTGAGTTTGGGCATTAGAAGGACGACCATGACTCGTTCGAGTGGTGGTCGATCACCAGAATAGATGGCACATCTGACACATGAGCGAGATGGTCATGTCTGTATATTGTATAATTATAGTTCACGACCCATTCAGCTTCTACTCCATCTCTGACCGCTGTACACGTTAGAGAGTTTCCATGTCTTACAGCTTCGCCTTTGCCGAGCCTTGGGCTTTCTTCCTCTCCTCGAACCACTCTTTGACTTTGCTCCGGGCGACTTCGACGACCTCTTTATCCTCGACGGTGGCAGGCACGTTGACTTCTTTGTCATAATTGCCCTCGGCGGCGTTCTCGACGAGCTCTCTCAACACGCGGCGTAAGGTTTTCCCGCTTCGGGTCTTGGGAATCATGCCCTTGCCCTGGATGATCCCGCCCAGGCTGGCAATGTTTCCGATCTGCGTGCGCACAATGTTGTTGATGGCGGTGAAGAACTCTTTGGATGGTGTGGCGGGTAGGTCGTTCGGCGTCGACGCCGACGGAATCACGAAGGCGAACGGTAAATGGCCTTTCATGGCGTCGGGGATGCCTACGACGCAGGCCTCGGCGACCGAGCTGTGTGATGTTATCGCTTGCTCGATGGCGCCTGGGTCGCACGGTTAGTTCTTGAGTGTCAGAGGAAGAGAGATTTGGGGCCGTACCTGTACTAAATCGATGCGCCGCGACGTTGATGATATCGTCACTCCGGCTCATGACGTGGATATACCCATCTTGGTCGATCATGCCGGCGTCGCCTGTGTCGAGCCATTTGCCGTCGAAGCGTTTGAGGTAGCCTCGGTAGAAGCGAGAATCGTCGTTGAACAGGGTCGTGAATCCCGTCGGGGCCAGGGGCATGGCGAGCACGATATTGCCCATCCTGCCCTGCTCGACCTCGTTGCCTTCATCGTCGACGATGCGCACATCGAATCCGGGCATCGGCTTGCCTGCGCTGCCAGGCTTGATGGCCAGCGGTTTGTGGCTCTCCCGGCTGTGGTGGTCGTGGCCGATGGCCGGCTGCAGTGCGAGTCCTGTCATCGGACTGCCGGACTCGCTCGACCACCAGTGGTCAACGACCCGCGCATCCGGAGCAGCGTACTTGCTCAGGAGGTCCTGATAATGCGTAACGATAGAGGGCTCGGATCGCTCGCCTGCGAGGAACAGGCCGCGCCAGTGCCGCAGCTGGCCCTTGTCGCCGTACCGTTTGAAGTATTTGTCTTCGGGGTCTTCCTTGCGAATGGCCCTCAGCGCCGTGGGAGCCGTGAACAGTGTGGTCACTTTGTGTTCGTCGACCATGCGCCAGAACGCGCCCGCGTCGGGCGTGCCAATCGGCTTGCCCTCATACAGGATTGTCGTGGCGCCAGCAAGTAGCGGCGCGTAGACGATGTACGAATGCCCCACGACCCAGCCTATGTCGCTGCCCGTGAAGATGACGTCCCCTGGACCCTTGACGTCGAACAGGTATTTGATGCTCAGGTTCAGGCCGACGGCGTGCCCGCCTGCTTCGCGCAGCACGCCCTTTGGCAGGCCCGTCGTGCCGCTTGTGTAGATGATGTACAACCCGTCGGTGCTTTTGACGGGCACGGCTTCCGCTCTCACGCCGCGATTCCTCGCGCTCTTGACGAGACGCTGCCAGTTCCTCTGCCCGGCGTCCTTGTGGATGGGATCCCACCTCTTCACGTCGCGCTGCCAGATGAGAGTCTTGGCGGGCTTCCACTTGCTCTGCTCGATCGCGCCTTCGACGAACGGTCGGTAATCCAACGGGCCCTTGGATCCTTCGATGCCACAACTCGCCGTGAGAATGAGCTTCGGTTTCGCCGCGTCGATGCGCTGCGCCAGACTGTTGGCCGCGAACCCGCCAAACACAACGGCGTGCATGGCGCCCAGACGCGCGGCCGCCAGCATGCCGAAGATGGCCGGCGGGATCATGGGCATGTATATCAGCACGACGTCGCCCTTGCGCACGCCCTCTTCGCGCAGTACGCCGGCGAGGATCTCCACTTCTTCCAGCATCTGTGAGTATGTGAACTTCTCTTTCGATCCGCTTACGGGACTGTCCCAGATCATGGCCATCTTGTTGCCGTTGCCGGCCTCGACGTGCCGGTCAAGACAATTGTACGTCGTGCTGATCTCTCCATCGGGAAACCAGGACCAGTGAGGATGAGTGGTTCCATCTTTGAGTTTCTTGGTCTGGCGCTTCAGCACGGTGGTGTAGGGTTTATGCCAGTGCAGCTCTTTGGCGTGTTTGTCCCAGAACTGTTCGGGAGAGGATAAGGAGGCATGTTGCACAGCGTCTTGGACCGTGTTGTTTGGAGACATGGCGGGAGGGGAGGAGAAGAGGTGGCTAGAGGTAAGGTAAGTAGCGAAAGGCCAGATTCGATGAGGCTGCCGGCGTTGCCTGGCAGAGGGCACAATTGACGTGCAACAAGATAGGAGAGGGTGCTGGATACGGGGAATGTAGGGAGTAAGTCAAAGGAGGAGACGAAGAACAAATGACTTGTTATGTAGAGAGTTTCATATGATTGAGAGAATGGATGAAGCTTCGGATTCTAGGCCTTCAACTCGAAGGCTCGTCGAGCAGTCGGGGGAAGGTCGACTTGGTTTTTGTCGCGATATATCGAGCATTGCAAGCTGCAGGCTGCAGGCTGCGGGCATGGATTGATGGACAGATGGATGGAGTATGGGGTCTGGAGTAAAAGGGACAATGACGGCGGTCGGTCCAGCGGAGTCGAATCATACCACGCCGTGTGGTGGATGGAAGGCCGATGAAATACCATGTACCTAGGTGGCTTGGTAGCTAATAAACCGAGGCATCTTGTTTCGTGGTCCAGAGAACCCAAGTCCAGAGCAGGTGTTCAGTATTCACGTCGGTGATGCTTCGGAATGCTCCCATGTATGTCGATGATGAGCAAGCTGCCATGTACATCGACAACGCAGTAGCTTATGGATGATGAAGGTGAACTTCTGTACGAGCACGAGTGCTTGTAGAAGAGCTCTCAGCCAATCACGGCACGGGGAATGGCAATGGACTGACTGCCAACAAGGCTCTCCGGAAACAGGCCGACAGCCAAACTCGGGTGGAGTGACCAGCTGGTATACACAGTACTACGTTGTTAGGAGTGTTCGTGCTGGGCAAGCTGGAAACACAAGCAATCTTACTAGCTGTGGTGCTGTTGTTCAGTGCGTCGAGGTCGAAATTGAATTCAAATCTACTGCAGATGAGTTTGTCCGTCAACAATCAGATCTGACAGAGCCGATGATGTGTCAAAGAAAATGGATCAATGTCAAGCTATGACCATGAGCACGCGTGTGTGGCTGGTGAAAAACAACATTCAGTAGAGACAGAAGCACTTGCTCGGTGAGGAAACATTGGATGGTCATTCTCGAGCTCCAAAGAAGAATGTGCTAGATACAAGACTGCAAAGGAAACAGTTTAGGTCTCTTGGATTTTAGTGGTATGCACACAAAAAATTCACATTTCTTTTGGGATCCCATGAACTCGCAAACAATGCTAGGTAGCCTCAAAAATGATTTCCATTCATTAATATAATACCAAACCCCAGAAAAATGTCATGAAGATCCTTCTATACCCGGGAGGGAGTACAGGAAAGTGATCCTCATAATCCAACGACCAGCCGAGATCGGTGATCCAACGTTGCGCCGATTGAAGCATGCAAACAAATTGCCAAAGAGGTCGTCATGTCCCACCATAAAACATGCCGTGAGTGTCGCGTGCTGCAGTCAAAGCGCTCAACCGCATCGTTGCTTTCCAGGTTCAGAAAAACGTTCAAGAAGCAAATGCAAAAGCCCTTGACAAGAACCGAAGCTGCTCATCCAGCTCTCGTCAAGGGCTTCTAGCAATCCACCGTTTACAGGAGGAAAGCGGCGATGGCACCAACACCAGCAAGACCAGCACCAACGTTGAGGGCGTTGGCAGCGCCAGTGTAAACGGCTGGGGAAACCGGCGAGCTGGAGGAAGGAGCATATGTCCAGACAGCGCCGGCAGGGGTGGTGCTGGAGCCAGCTGGGGCGGTCCAGGTGGTCTCACCAGCAACTGGGGTGACTGGGGTGGAGGTGGCAGTCTCACTGTTAAAACAGTTTGGTCAGTACGGTCACGGAGATAAATAAACACAAGGAGAATCTCACCTGCAAGAGGTAGAGGTCTTGGTCCACACGGGGACGGAGATGGTGAAGGGACCCTCTGTGAGGGTCAAGGTGGTGGCACCAGTGCAGGTGTAGCTCTTGCCGTGGTGGGAGATGACAGTTGGGCCTGGCACATACGTGGTGATGGTTGAGACAACGGAGCTGGTCCAGCTGTCTGGGGTGGCAGAGCTGCTGGTCCAGTCGGCCCAGGTGCCAGCGGCGGAGGTGGTGGTAGAAGCCTTGCTGGAGGTGGTAGTGGTAGCCTTGGCGGAGGTGGTGGTAGTGGCAGTCCAGTCAGCCCAGGTACCGGCAGCAGAGGTGGTGGTAGCCTTTGTGGTGGTAGTTGTGGTAGTGCTGGTGGTGGTGCTGGTGGCCGTGGCGTTCCAGTCATCCCAGGTACCAGAGGTGCTGGAAGAGACAGCAGCAGCGTTGGCGGAGACAGCGAGAGCTGCAATGGCAGCGGCGGTAGCGGTGAACTTCATTTTGATTGTTGGAGTGGTAGTTTCTAAACTAGAAGACTAAAGATTTGCGGGTGTTTGGATTTTGGACGTTGAAAACGAGTGTCGGTGGTACGAAGACCGGAGTTGTTTGTGCTAGCGAGCGACTGGAAGTTGGAGTTCGATCTGAGAGATGCAGAATGAAAAGGACAAGACCACCGCGAGCAAGCCGGCCTGATATATGAGGTTCGTGGAAATTGCCTGACCTCTCTAGCGTTGGTGACCACGATTGTTTGGGCTCGTGGTGGAGCGGGAGATGGGAAGCATTTCGGCATCTTTGGCCTGTCAGGGGTAGCGTCGAGTAGCGGCCCCCAGCGCGGCCCCCACAACGACAGCCTCATCAACCGACCAGGCTTGTCATTGGCGCTGCTCTGGAGATTGTGGCTTTGGCACCCAACGACGTCTCATCAAAGGGCTCCCCCCTGGAAGCTTCCTGGACGTCGCTGTCACCTTCACGGCGGGCCTTTACTGGTGATGTGTGTCAGAACGTCAACTCTGATCTTTGTTGACAGTACATATAATATGACGACGAGGCTGTTGTTATCTCGGTATCAGATAGCTGGTCAGGCGAAAAGCACTGACTATGGTAGTTGTCTCCAATCAACTGCTGGTGGAGGAACTCTGTAAACTTCGGCATCAATGTGCCTGCCAGTATGGACGAATTCTACGAACACGTTTGTTCTCACTCACAGTGTGTAACCCAATAGCTTCAGGCGGTTCGAATGTTTGTGTTTCCGGCGCAAAGAGGGGCCAATCAATGAGATCGTGGCAATTTGGGATGGTAACAGAACCTCTCCACCACTTTGATAGAAGAGAGACAAGTGTGACTCTCGCATCGTATGATTTGGCGTTTTGGTACGCGTTGCGCCGTTGGTCTCGAGAGGAGCCAGAGGAGTCAGCCAGACTCCACGGCGTCACGCAAACCGCACACCGTACCATATTCGGTAGTACTATGGAGTACTCCGTATGGCAGAAGCGAAGTCGAATGCTGTGGTACTGTGGTAGATGGAGGATGGTTAGAGTGGTTGAGATGGCGGCTTCGGAGATTGCATGCCAAGATCGGTCTTGGAGCTAGCACCGCTACTGTTCCGGTATGGGCCAATCATGTTGGCGATCTGGGGCTTAGCCTCATTTACCTTGCAATCTTCCTTCACCCATGTCCATTGCCAATTTCTCCAGTTTCTGCTCACTCCAACCGACCTTTACCAATCTTTTTTGGCGTCGAGGGCAATCAGACGAGGCCCATGTGGTGCGGCCGGCCCCTAAGCCGGGCACTTCCAGACTCAAAGCTTTTAGGGTTCCCAGACACAAGCACCAGTTGTTGATCAGCACGCCCGACTATGACACGCAGAATGCGTCCTCAATCATGAAAAATCCGAGAAATCTGGCTTGTTCATGGTGATCAATGCGTATTCTCGTACGTGCTAAGCCTACCAGCTGGTTCCTTATCGATCTGGAAGCCCGAAAGGCCTCTGCAGTGACAGTCTCGACGTCTGGCCAACGTTGATCAGCCTCGGGCCATTTCGCATGCGAATCTCAGCACAGGAGGTAGTATCTTTGATCGATACCCAAGCTACCGGAATACGACCTGTTCGCCGTGGACCCGACAAGCCTGCTCAGCTTTCCATCTTGAGCTAGGCTCTACCAGTTACTACTCCGTACCGTGGTACTTGCTCAGGGCCAGAAGTTGTGATCATCTTGGTAGTTTGTCCCCTCCTTCCCACGCATGGCCCAAAATAGAAGCCACCAAAGCTCTTATCATAGTATCATTCCACTGTGGGTACGATCTTTTCAAAGACGCAAAGCAGGCAACCCACGGCAAAACTGGAAAGGAGCACGTTGTTTGTTGAATTACCATATGCGGCGGTAGAGGGTTACTGTCCTGATCCTCGGCCCGTCCAGCAACATGCGCATAGCAACGCTGTCCCTTGAGGCTTGAACCTTGCTGATGATCCATCTATCTTGAAGCAAGAACTGAGCGTTGTGGAGCTTCTTACGGGTGTCCTTCGTCATCGATGCTTTGTCCGTAGTCCCAAAAGGAGGCAGACACAAACAAAGGGCATGGCTGTTGAGCATCGCTGATGGAATCCGTACTGTTTCAAGATCTTAGGATAGCTGGATGGACTCACTGTCGTTCTGTGTCGGTCACTTTGGGCGTGCCTGTGGATTGTTCCATCTCGATTCGACCTCTTGCCACTGTACATGCAAACCATGGTACAACCAATTGCCATGTTCCCGTCTCCCGACTTCACGGCTACCGCTAGATGATTCACCTCAAATGCAACTCCTTGTGCTCCTTAGTGGCGAAATCAACTTTCCCCGATCACACCAGGCAAGATCAGGCAAAGAAGGTGTGAAGTCTTGAAACGTAAGGCCAACGGCTAGACTACCTACAACGGCTTAGTCGCAATATGGTCCCAAAAGGATTCCGATCCTCTTCCCTGAGACAACGCGAGATTGGAGATTCCAACTTTTCGCCTTCACATCGGGGCGACAGGACGCTTCCATACCACTTTCGATGGTTCGAGTGATAGTGTGGTTCGCTTGGTTCAAGTGTGACCCAGTGGAATTACCCCTGACACGTGACCCAGATTGCCCAGAGCACGCAATTTGCTTGACTGTTCAACCACAGACCACAGTCCACAGGCCACAGGCCACAGACCACCAACAACGACGACTGGAACGTGCAGGACTGGACAAAGCGTCTGTCCTACAATACAAACTGCGCCTGGATTCACAAAACATCTGGACTCTGAGTTTCTTCAATGTTCTGTCGTTTAGCTAAACTGTCTGAAAACTAGTTCTGAATTCTTCACTAATGACAAACCGATGCTGGCACATACTTGGCGAGGATAGTTGATACCTCTGAACCAATTCTCAGCTCGAATCTCACAACAGGAACCTCTGTGTCTCTCTGTGAACGGCCATGTTGGATGCAGTCCCTTTGCGTCACTCCCATGTCTAATCTCACAGTAACAGCTGCAGCAAGCTCGAATTCGTTTCTCAGCTCAAGAAGCTCACTTTCGTCCACTTTCGTTCCTCTCTACGTTCTTCGTTCGACAGTCGAAACAATCAGCAACAAGAGATGGATGTTGAACATGCCTCCTATCATTGCCATCAGGTTGTCCTCGATCGTCGACAATATTGCAGTATCATATCATGACTTGCGACAGTTTGGTGCTGTTCTTTGACTGCGAGCCACCCAACTAATCAAGAATGCTTACCCAGACACTACCAGGTAGTCCAACCTCATATACCATGGGAACCTTGCTTTTCTTCTTTTCGACTCTATCGGATTCATGGTCCTTGTCAAATTTGACTTGCATTTTGTCTCTCAACTGCTGCCTCACAGGGAATTGTGCCTTATTCTCTTGGCCTCGAAACCAGGTGAAGACCTCCAGGTGTCGGCATCTTATGCGGGTAAAGTGCTGCCAGAAGTGACGATCATCGTTTTTGAGAAAACCACGACCTGCGAAACATACTGAAAGCTTATGCAGAGTGGTGTTGTCTGCCACCATTTTGAAAATATGCATGAGGTTGGCATCATTGATGTATTTGCGGTAAGGCAGCGCAACCCCGGGATTGTTGCCTGGGGTACCGTCTGCGAAGTTGAAGGAGAGGTACTTGATATGAGAGATGTTGGTGCTTCCAATGGTGTCGAAGAATCGGCGAGCATCCTTGTATGCTATTTCAGTCCACTTTTCTTGCCAAAAGCTTCCTCGATGGTGAAAGATGCGGTCAAAGTGGAACGAGTTTTCACCCTGTCTCATCATGTCAGCCACGGACCGTCGTACTAACTGGTGAACTTACGTATAGAATGTCAAGCCCCTCACTATGGATTTCCTTGCTGGTCCTCAAGAAATGCGACGAACGAGAGAGGTTTTTCCGGGTTGAGAAGTCGACACAGGCAGGTCCAAGGAAGAGTAGGCGGTAGATATGCAGGCGAAGCTCGTATGGTAGGTCCTTCCAATTTGTCTTCGCGGTCAAGATCTTGTTGTCGCCATTGACAAGGGTGTCATCTTCGTTGACTTGACCATTGCTGAAGATGCTAGTTGGAGTTTGTTGATTAGTGGGAGGAAGAGCACTAAGGCCTGAGTTGTGATCGAGAAGGTATTGTAGGTTGACGTTGGCCAGGGTCTTGTCGCCAGCGGTAAGCTGGAACACAAAATCTCGAGGACTCAATCTGTTAGGACTGACCGGCCGTGGGTTTACCGCATAGTTTCCAAGGTCGTAGGGACGGTCGTCGACAAGTTCATGGTCAGAGAGATCAGGGACTTCCGGTGATGGTGAACGTCTGGTTCGACGTTTGTTTTGTTTTCCCTTGGAAGTCTTCTTTCTCTTGCTGCCTACCACGACACCGGAAGACGGAACATCAGGATCATCGGAAGAATCGTCGTCGGTGTTTGTGGTGGGGGCGGCGCTCTGAGTCGATGAATTTGAGACGTGGTTGGAAGAGGTCGCAGCTGAGGCGGCGGGCCGCTTCTTTCGTGCCGCTGCTGGCATCACGGTGGGCCTCACGAGGTTATGAAAGAGTATGATAGGTCGCGTATGATGTCGTGCAACGTTTACAGCGATATCACCGCGCGTTCGGGGTACGGGGTAAAGTGATGGTAAGCGAGGGGAAAGTGAGGATTTGAGCGAGGAGAAGAGACAGCGCGATAACGACCTCAGCGCAGTCCATCAAAGGCGGAGGCGAATTCATTGTGCGGCAGTAACAGTGCTTGGCGAGAGTTGTATAAAGATTGACAATGAGGCAGCCGCAGTAAGATACCGCCGTCACCAAAATACTTCTGGCAGTGCATTTGTGGTTACACTTAGCAAGACCAAGCAGTTCCCGTCTTGTCGCGGAGCAGCGTCGACGACTACCTGTCCATATAGCGCTCTTTGTTGGAAGATGGTCTTACTTCTGCTGTAGTCGTTGTATACACAACATATGAGCCTAGGTGTCAGTCTGAGAGATGGCTTCATTATGTGTCACGTGGCCAACATGGCGGTGTCCTGGTCGGAGGCGGTGTCGCTCTGCGCGTGAAGACAGTAGCAAACATTGAAGATGAATAATTGAATGGCATTGCTCTTGAATTCTTACATGGATGCCGTGTAGATAACTGAGTAAATGGAGCAGAGGGCGCCTTCATCACCACACTGACATACTGCTCCGTGAGAGGCATCTGTCAAGGCTTCTTCTACAATTCCATCACCGTCATCGTCATCAACGACCAGCATCATGCTTCTCCCTATGCTTCCTCACCTGCCTTCGACAGAATCATCAATGCAAAAGCGGAGATAGAGGCAGAGATGTACAACAGCGGAAGTCAGCCAGATTGACCACAACTACGAACAAGTAGGTAACAACATCTCCAATCAGGCTTATTCAAATTGTCCCTCAAGGTGGTGAGTGGACCCGAGACATATCAACATCGCCCACAGACCTTCAACCAATTCGAAGAAAAGACTGAAGCGCGAGAACTGTTGGCAGCCGAAAAGGTTCTCTTCATCTTGGATTTAGTTGTGAAGAGAGAAGAGGAGGAAAAAAGCTTGGACGCTGTTGACTGGAAGAAGGAAAAATATCCACCTCGCTAGACCTGCCTTATTCGGGATCGACCGGGCTTGCCTCCGCATCCATTGGACTTCATTCCATGATCAAGGTTCGTATCAGAGAAAAGATTATATCTAACGGACTGCCGACTGCCTTCAAAGGCCGTCAAATCTCGTAATTCCATACTCTCTAGACCTATTTGACACCATGTCTCGATCACTGTTCTCAAGGCGTATTTGGGCCACTGCTTCCCAGCCTTCGGTATGTCTGTCATGCCGAGCCAGAGTGAGGAGTCTTTCTTCGACGGCATCCCTAAGGGCGGCCGGGAACGGCGAAGCTCAGAATACAGTAAGACACTTACCATCGCCTCGCCGCCGGTATGTTGACGCATATACAGTTGATGGGAGAGCACCTGAAGGACGCCGATCCCGAGATATATGAGATATTACAACGAGTATGCCTTGACTCCTCACTAACTGCAACTGTCTGACAATATGCAGGAAATCAAAAGGCAGAAGCATTTCATCAACCTAATCCCATCCGAGAATTTCACCTCCCAAGCCGTACTTGATGCTCTTGGGAGTGTTATGCAGAGTTCGTGTTAATGTCGCCGTCTCTGAAGATCTGCAAAGCTAAATCGTTCGCAGACAAGTACTCAGAAGGCTACCCCGGTGCACGATACTATGGGGGTAATGAACACATCGATGAGTCAGAACGACTCTGCCAGAAGCGAGCACTCGAGACTTATCGACTCGACCCAGAGCAGTGGGGAGTCAATGTCCAACGTAAGGGTGTCCGCCTAGCTCTTCTGTTCACCATTTTAACGAATCCCAGCATTATCTGGCTCACCCGCAAATCTCTATGCCTATTCCGCTCTTCTCAACTCGCACGAGAGAATCATGGGTCTCGACCTGCCCCACGGTGGCCATTTATCTCACGGCTATCAGACCCCGACTAAGAAAATCTCCATGATCTCCAAATACTTCGAAACATTCCCCTACCGACTCGACGAATCAACAGGCTTGATTGACTATGACAGACTGCATGAAAACGCCATCCTATACCGGCCCAAAATCATCGTGGCCGGGACCTCCGCCTACAGCCGACTCATCGATTACGAACGCATGCGCTCCATTGCCAACGACGTTGGGGCATACCTCCTTTCCGACATGGCCCATATCTCTGGTCTCGTCGCAGCGGACGTAATTCCCAGCCCCTTTTCGAACTCAGACGTCGTTACCACTACCACGCACAAATCTCTCCGGGGGCCCCGCGGAGCCATGATTTTCTATCGTAAAGGCGTTCGCCGAACGACCAAGAAAGGCGACAAGGAAATGTATGACCTTGAAGGCCCTATCAATGCGTCCGTTTTCCCCGGCCATCAGGGTGGTCCGCATAACCACACTATCACTGCGCTAGCTGTAGCCTTGAAACAAGCCCAGACCAAGGAATTCAAGGAGTATCAGAAGACCGTGGTTGCCAACGCGAAAGCGCTGGCCGCACGGCTCGGCAACTCCGCTAACAGCGGTGGTTTGGGGTACAATATTGTCAGTGGCGGCACGGATAACCACCTCGTCCTTGTCGATTTGAAGTCAAAGGGTATTGACGGCGCGCGGGTTGAGCGCGTCCTCGAACTCTGCGGCGTGGCGTCGAACAAGAATACCGTGCCAGGCGACAAGTCGGCTCTCAAGCCTGGTGGGTTGAGAATGGGCTCTCCCGCCATGACGACTCGCGGATTCCAGCCAAATGACTTTACTCGTGTGGCTGAGATTGTCGACCGCGCCGTGTCAATTGCGATCAAGGTCGACAAGAAGGCACGCAGCGAGGCCGAGGCGCAGGGGAAGAAGAACCCTGGCGCGGTCAAGAGTTTCTTGGACCATCTCAAGGACGGGACCGATGTGCCCGAAATACTCACACTCAGGCAGGAGGTGGAGGATTGGGTGGGCACATTTGCTCAGCCTTGGATCAAGGAGTGAAGTGCGGCGTATAACTGAATCGTTACGGTAGATACAGGTTGATGTCGTACGTGAGTGGACACCAGAGATGGCGGCCTAGTCGCGTGGTAGGAGGGTGTTGCTTGAGGGAGAGCCATGTCTGAATTGTTATACTGATGACTGGATCGGGAAAAGCAATATGAACATAATACTTCCGCAGTAAAATCATAAAAGTCTGCCTCGATCCGCTCGTGAATGTCGGTGGTGATCCAATGCCACGGGATGGGAGATTGACTCTCGCAATTCTGTAGCAGGGCAAGATGACCACAGTTCAACGAGCCAGGATACACGATACATTCTAGAATGATCGATATGATTTGACTATGGCCATGAGGAATTAAACAACGCTTTTCAACTTGTCTGTTGTTACCGTCGTCGGCCGGTGTGGAGAGCCGAAGAATATATATTTATTTCTCGAGTCCTCGCGGCAAGGCTCCGCATCGGGTTCGACCACACGCTGTGCTTTCAACCTGCAACTCAGGTGCTGAGCTACTAGTAGTCTACCGTCATTCAGATGGATACTACCAGCGCGCCTATTCGCCTCTCGCCTCGCTGCAACATAATTAGCTGACCGATACTAGAAGACAACTAGAAATATGGCATCATATGGTATTCCAGAGGAAGGAAGGGAAGGAATACTCGTACGTCGCATTCCGGACTGCTCTCTTCGCTCCAATTCATTAGTCGTCTACGTCGCGCAAAGCACTTTGACAGTAGTCAATCTGAATTCCAAACCATCAAAACACGCGGAGTGGCCTGCGAGGCCTTCCTTGAATCCTACCGCGAATCTATACCGTCCAACCAGCCATCATGTCATTTGCATGCCTACTCATTCATTCATCTCACATCCGCTACCTTTCCAATGCACAAAACATGGTCTCGCTCAATGCTCAATATCATCCCAACTTCTTCCCTGCACAGCATTCAACTCTTCCACACTCATCACCTTCCCCGTGGTAAAGTAGCCCGCATGGATCTTCGCATCTATCTCGACCCTGGAATCCTCCGGGATCATCTCGTCGGGAATCGGCACTCTCTCGTGGATCGGAATGCCCTGATCCACAATGGCATCGTGCTTCATGTTACTCATGCTCAACATGCGGTCGATCTTTGTGATTCCCAACCAGTGCAAGATATCAGGCATAAGCGCTTGGAATCTCATATCCTTGACGCCTGCAATGTCCTCGGTCCGCTGGAAATACTCGCTTGCCCGGTCCGCGCCGCGCTTGCGTGCATTGTACACGAGATATTTGGTCACTTCGCCGAGCGCGCGACCTTCTTTGCGGAAATAGATGACCACGCCCGACCCGCCTCTCTGCGCCTCCTTGACGGCCTCTTCGATGCCGAAGATCAAGTACGGTCGGCACGTGCAGATATCCGATCCGAACACGTCGCTGCCGTTACATTCGTCGTGCACGCGTAGGGCCAGTCGGACGTTTGGATCGGACATCTTGGCAGGATCGCCGAAGCAGTACACCGTCAAGCCGCCGATCGGTGGGAGGAAGACTTTGATGTCGCTCCTTGTCACGAGCTCTGGGTAGGAGCCGCCGGTGTGTTCGAACAGCGCGCGACGTAGGGCACTTTCTTCGATGCCGAAGCGCTCCGCGACTCCGGGAAGGTACCAGACAGGCTCGACGGCGAACTTGGTCACGTTCAATTCGCCCGTTTCATTGATACAGATCTTGCCGTCGGGCTTGAGACGGCCGGCTTGGACGCTCTGTTCTAGTTCGGGGATTTTCATGTGCGCCTTTGTCACGGCAATGGTGGGCCGAATGTCGATGTCTTGACTTTGCATTATATCTTTGTACAGCCAAGGTGCGAGATGGCCGAACGGGTCCATGGCGACAATTTTCTTCTTATCGCCCCAGGCGGGAAAGGGCCCGATGAGTGCGGCAGGCTCAGTATTGGTGAAGTCCGGCTTGTGTTCCATGTTGAGGTGGTTGCTGGCAACGGCCAGAGCGTGGTAGATGGAGTATGAGCCACCATGGGCTCCAATCGCGTTCCGTCGGCGGATGGTGTTGTGGTGTCTGCTGACGACAACGGGACCGCGTTTGGCAGCGTCTGCCTCGCCCCATTCCAGAGGGATCGGGTCGATTCCTGACTGTCCCGGGTATGTGGTGAGGATGATACGAGAGATGGCAGATGGTTTCTTTGCCGACGGAGAGCCAGGCGTTTTCGGCTGTAGGGATGCATCAGACGGAGGAGAAGTAGTTCCATTGGCCGACCTTGCCAGTTCCATAGGATCAAGGCTGGGAGAACCCATGCTGCCGAGTCTGTTGCGGGAGCCTCGTAGCTGGTTAATAGAATCTGAAACGCCAACTTTGCTTTGAATAGCCTCCACGCTGGCCGATAGTTGAGCATGGTCAGTCTGCAGCTTCTTCAGAGTCCCCAAGATCTCTTGCAGCAGGCCGCTGTAGACCTGCGAATTGCCTTCACTAGGAGCCGCCATCTTGTAGGTCAAAAGTACAACAAAGGTCGAGCTTGCGAGTCTCTGTTTATAGTGTATATATGCTCTAGGGGCTCTCCTAGGCCAGATGATTGATTGTACGACGGTTGAAGTTGTCTCTCTGTGAGGTTGCAGCGGGGTCGTGCTGCGCTGTCCAGAGTATGACAAGGGGACAGAGCACAGACTACACCAAAGAGCTTCAAGCGAGGAGAGCTGGGGCTCAGCAAGTCGGTGGCGAAGGCGAGTAATACAGAATAAAGAAGGAGAAGGAAGAAGAATGTCCAAGAGGGTAGTATCAATTGTCCATAATGGAATGCTATGTATGTCGTTGATGCGGGACGTGATTGGTCTGCGGCGGGATCCGTTGATAAGCTTGCACGTGACCTCCCGACTGCCGAGAGTTTCCACTTGCAGGAGTGATACTGACTCGTACGAGGATGGGGGTCTTGGTGAGGACCTGCAGCGATGAGGACCTTCAGGACGAATTTATCTGCACGACTACTTCAAGATCAGATTTGCTCTTGTTGTACTCTACAATTCAACCAGTGCAGCGATATAAACTAGAGCGCAATGGCACGAACCATCTCATTTCCGCACATCTCGATTCGTACGCTAACGAGTCCAGGGTAAACGCAAGAAGTCCTCACGCAAGCCTCAAGGGCCAAAGAAAGTCAGTCCGAATCCGCATCTCGAACGCATTTACCGTCTGTATTGACTTGAACCCCAGCGCGAACCACTAGCGACGACGTTCACATGCCTCTTCTGCAACCACGAGAGAGCGATCCAGATCAAGCTCGACAAGAAAGCCGGCGTGGGAAACCTACACTGCAAAGTTTGCGGACAACGCTTTCAAACGGGCATAAACTACCTCTCGGCTGCCGTCGATGTATACTCGGATTGGATCGACGCCTGCGAGAATGTGGCGCAAGAGGCAGCTGCGCAGGAAGCAGAAGATCAGAAGTTCAGCAGCTACGCGACGGCGAGACCGGGCGGTGCCGCTGCGGCGGGCGGGGACGATGAGGGAGAGGATGGTGATTATGGAGGTTATTGAGCAGAAAGCGAGAACACCACCTTATCGACTCAGAAACCGACGGCGGGAAGTGCTAGCTTGGACAGCTCGGCTTGACACTACAATCAGGAATGGGCGTTCGGGAAACATCGATCGTGTTTGGAAGGAAATAAGGACGGAAAAGGTGCTCGATATCAGATATGGAATGCATGATTTGGCATATTGGGAGTTAATTCATATTGGCATGGACCATATCGATCTCAGGCAGCAAGAATGAAAGACATATGCAAACACGAAATCTAGTATTTGTGTCTATGCGTTTAAGGTCCAAGGCAAGCGATTTTGATTACTTCCACCGATTCTCTTTGTGTCGGAGGAATGCTCGTGCCTTTTGCGGGCTGCAAGTCAATGGAGCGGTGAGTCTATGCTGCTGTTACGCAGCACTGAGACTGGACTCCGCCATCATTGAAGGGCAAGGAGGATCACTCTGCAGGGGTGTTTCGCCTTAGGGGAAGTTGCACTCGTTTCATAGCACTTGACAGGTAAACCACTGCGTGAGATGGATGGCTGAGAAAAGGCGCTTTGATGAGCGTTGCGTTTCTCACAAGGGCGCCCTGCGAGTCGCTGTTGTAGCAAAGTCTCTCATCAGTGAGTCCTTGACCTCATTTATCGGTAGACTTCGGACGTGGAATTTGACAGTTGGAGGAGAAAGAAGCAGTTTCAGAGAGACTGCGCCCTCGTCCCCACAATGCGCGGTCTTAAGAAGGGCGCAATGTCAGGTTCAGACTATTCCTCGTTCTTGTGTCATGGCTGGAGATTTTTTGTTGAGCAGTAGTCCGACGGCGTGGTAAGCTTGAGACATTGAAAGATCGATGCCCTGCCAAAAGAATGTAGGCTTGCCGCTGATCAACCTACAACGTAATGTCAATGTTTCCAGAGGTTGACTTTGAGATCGATCATTGGGGAAGCTGGTGCTTGCACAGCAGATCATGCTCCGCCTGCGCCGCCCAGGGGCCAGTGATCTCCATAGACGGCTGATGCGAGAACCTTCAAAACGATGTGGCTGGGAAGGAGATCTGAGTTTGACATACGCCGGAAGTGATGCTTCGTTTCTTCCAATTATATCGGGAACAGCAAGGGACGTACCATAGTAAAAGAAGCTGTTTAGATGATCCACTGATCCCCTTGCGCAGTGCAAATCACCACAATTTAACTTGAAGCGACCCTGAAATATCAAATTCATGCTCGGATCGAGTGATCCCGAGCTCATATACGGAGTATGAGCCGGCCACTCAATACTTTTGTGCCGGGTATTACCTCATTGAGACCTGAAAATGTAAGACAATCCTGTTGTTGGAATCGGCGTGCAAGGAGGTGGCTTCCAGCCCTGCCTGGTACTTTTTGACCGTCATGTTTTATGCAACTGTGATGTGCATAAGGAAAGGAAGCTTCCCTGCGATGACTTACCGACATGTCTCGGATCAACCGTAACCAATCGAACGTGGTCATCTTGATCAATTCAAAACATGGTCATGAAGTGCCAACGTCAAGACCTTGCCCAGCTTGGGAGAGGATTGCACGTTTCCAAAACGGGTTGCTGGTCAAGGGCTGATAAGCGAATGAAACTGTGGTGCCACTATCATGGGTGAGCCAAAAGACATCCTTTAAGGCCTGGTGGATGACAATCTTTCACAGCGTAACTGTACTTCCATGTGTATGCATCGGCGATCAATGCAAGATCCAGTCTCGCAGGAATCGGGCCATGCAATGCAGTGCAGCGTAATAATGCCAACGCCGAAACGAAGGCCGAACAACGAAGGCTCTCGACTGTTGAGGAGGCAGGACCGCCCTGGCAATAAACCAGGGATCCAACCATCAAGCCACCGGTTTTAGTGTTGCTTTGTTGGCAAGCATTACCCTCGCTAAAATCGCGACATGTGGTTTTTCGGTGAGAAAGCAAGCCCGAAAGGTGGCTAGGAAGGTCAACACGACCAGCAATTGATGTTCAAAGGTTGAAAATCACGCTAGGATGAATTTCTGGCTGACCCAGCCATTCGTGCAACGCCAACGCCATGACATGAATAGCGATGATTGGGCTGGTGACGCCTGGAACGGCCGACCGCGGCGAAGCCCGTCCAGGGCGTGGGTGCACCTCCCACAAATCACAGATTGACAACACAGCAGTTGCGGGATGGAGGAAAAACAACGGTGCACCGGTGTGTCTGGAAGGCTCGATACCATCTCCGTATTTTACGTGAAAGCCAAATGATGGATTCGGAAAGGGGGAGCCTCCTTTCCCTTGCTGGTCTGATGAGGAAACGAACGAACGCATGATATGGTGATAGTCGAACTTTGTGACAACGTTCATACGAGAAAAAAGGATCCGAACAATTGAAATCCTGAGGAGAACCCCGGGAATACCCTTGTCGGCAGGCTTGCACAACCGCTTCCCGATGCAGTGCTTGGCTTTAGATTTGTTAACCGTGAGGCACACCCCCTGCGTAAAGCGACAGAGACCTGCCTCCGTTGTCAAGAACAGAAAAACTGTTCGCCGAAAAGATCATTATTATTGCTGGAATGCCTCGTGCAGATTTCTGGTCGGCAGAGTTAGATCGTCACATTATATCCGTGCCTGAGAAACGGCCGATCTCGATCTCCACGTATCCGTATGCGGCTGAACAGTTGGCTCTGGATGCAGTTGGCATGCAATGCGGCCTTAATTGTAGCAGCTGCATTGCGCCGGAAGCCCTGCATACTGACATGCACGCGAGCACGTCGCTCTGAAGATCGCATGCTACGATTGCTCTTGAGATGCAAGAATGTTTCTTTAGGTACCGGCATCGCTGTGGACTTTGCTGAGCTAATATCAACATCAAGAATATCTTCAAACTATCAAATTCAGATCCAGTGCCGTGGCTGTGAGGGAATGCCTCGACTGAGCCATATTTTCGGACAAGGTATTTCTCGTTGTTGTTGATGATCACCAGGAGGTTTTTCTTCTTCTAAATAACAGTGATGATGATATAATTGTTAGCGTTCTGCGCCATCGGTGCTGTCAGTCAGCGCGGTCGACCCGGCATCGAGGGACTAAACCAGACGTTTGACTGCACCTGATTGCAGCGAAGAGGTCACAGAGGTACTGTAGAAAGGCGGCTTGAGTACGGAGTATTGACAGCAAGCCTGGATAATGAATAGTCACCTTTTGAATTTTCAACATGCAAAGTCGATCAAGTGAGATACGGAGTAGTGGTCTAGTATTCACTCCCCCGCATGTCGAAGCCAGTTGGTCATGACGTGCAGCGACAAGCCAGGCTGGTGAGGCTAACAAAGGGCCCAACTTGAAACCTCTCGTAACCGGATGTTCCAGATTCGCGCTTGCCTGCCACGCGCTGACATGTGTGCACTGTTCACACGGCTCGTCATTATCCATCGTGCCATCCAAGAATTTCGGGAACAATAATGATCGTGGGTGCACAAAACAAGCCGGTTGCACGGAAAATCTGGACTTGACTCACAACGGTGCTTTGACAATCTCTGCGTGATGGTTGTGCTGCTTTGGAAGGGTTGTCGCGGATTGCTCCGAATCAGAGATCAAACATGTGGAAAGCATCCAAGCACGGAGTACCTGATGCACGTAATTCGTGGGTTCAAGAACAGGCTGGACAATTGCCGCCGTACCTCACCTTAGCGCTGCCCAGAAGTCCATCTGGCGTCGTCCCACGACCAAAGCCACCAGACGTTACAGCCGGTAATCTCTGTTTCGAAGCAGCAATGGCAGGATGCAGACCGTCCTTTTCATTCATTGGCTTATACGAGTATGATCACAGTGCTCCGATTGAGCGGCAGCGTAGGTTAGCGTTGTGAATTCTGTCGGCGGCTGAAGCAATGGCTTGTGCTGTCGGTAAGTCAGCGACAAGGAGCAGGGGCATTGAGAGGACCAGGGGTGGCCTTGCTTTTCGTTGCAACTCAGCCCCTCTCCTCTTTTCAATGGCTCTGGGCTAGCCTGGCCTTAGCTAACGCCTTCCGTGCCGGAACAAGCGCAACACCGCCGGCAAAGGCATTGACATGAAATGCTGCTGCTGGTTGGTGCCAGCTAGAAAAGCTTCCGACACTGTGGCACAAGCCTTCTCGTCAAGACCGGCCGAATTACAATCAATGAGAGAAAGATTTGAATGGTTTTGGGTTGAGTAACCTTGGGACGAGAATCCAGGGCGGCAACAAGGAATTCGCTCGTGACATCGTCTAGGAAGAAAAGAAGGTCGCACTTGAAGATCAATGAGGGTCCCATGCGAGGGAGGTCGGGCGTTGGGAGCCGAAAGAACGCCTGGAAGGGCTGAACAAGTTTCCAATCGTCGCGGATGTGGCAAGGACCCTAACGAATGATATGGGTATGGGACTGCCAACTTGGAGATGGTTGGGAATGATTTTGGGGGCTGATCATGATAAGGTGATTCTCCGAGCATGTTGACTGATAGGCAGGTTGTGGTGACCGATGGGCGGTTCGGGGGGATGGTGGAAGTGGTGTTGTCCATCTTTGTCTAGCCCAGCTCGGCTGCTCTCTCTGTGACTTTCTTGTCCAACCCAGGTCCAATTGGCGATGACTGAAGTGGGCCGTATGGTGACCTGCCACTGCCAGCGGGAGAAAAGGCTGGGGGAAGTGGGATACTCCTTCGACATACGGATAGTCCTGTGTCTCTCTTTCCCGCTTGTAACAAAGGACACAAAGCTGTCACGAAAGACATCATCTCTTGAGTCTTTGAGACCACCAGCCGTGGAAATAGCATCCACTTTGAGCCAGTCAGCCTCAGAGTCGTGTGTTCACCAGAAGCTCAAGCTTCAAGGGAGAGACACAAAGCCTCAAGTCAGAACATCGGACTCGACCTTTCCCGCAATGGCTGTGGGAAGAGGGGATCCTCCTTCCTCTTCCTCCCACGAACCTCCGCCCGACGATGCCGATAGGAGCCTATACAGAGTAACGCAACGATTTTTGACTTCTTCCTTCTCGTCAGTGACTCTCTTTTTGTTATCCACATCGCCCGTAGCGCGGGTTTTCCGTTGTTCTTATCATGTTCACGTCAAAGCTCAATGTCCACACGCCAAAAACCCTAAGTTGTCCTGCCTCAACTATTCCGTCGAGGTCTTTGAACGCTTTGCCATGAGCATTGTAGCTACGCCCTTTCTGAGTCTGCTGTATTTCTTTCGAGGAGCTCGCAATAACGGGGGTGACAGGGGCACCGCCCAGAAACGTACAGAGTTGGTTTCTTTGTCCGATCCCTCGACACGAAGAGGACTAGGGTCTAAGGGTAGTGAGCAAGTCGTAGCCGTAAATCGTAAGCAAAAGTCTCCGTTGCAATGAAGGAGCCAGCCCATACCGGGCAGCGATTGGCAGCCTGCGTCCGGCCGCTCGTGGGTCTTCTTGTTGGACCTCTCGTGGATCGTAGCTCGCGAGTTGCGGCACGCTGGGATTGTAGCAGCATAGACAGTGGACAACAGGCGGTGGATACTGACTGGATAAGGCCTGTCAGGGAAGCGCCTGGGTACCAATGGACGGACGGGGGTGGATGGGCGATGGTGGATTTTCCTCAGTCGGTGGCTTGAGGCAGGAAAATCCGTGAGGTGTGCAGGACACGCCTGTTTGGGGATGGGCTCAGAGGTCCTTGTCACTAAACTCCGCGACCCTCCCAGGGCCAGCAAGCATCCAGAGTCTTCCTTTTTGCTGCTTAAGCTAATGCACCCACCTGCACACCCTCAGTCCTCCCGCTCGGCTACCAGCGCACCGTCGACCACCTTGCATTCCTGCATCCTGCTTCTCACAACCTCGTTGCATTTTTGCTCCAGATCTCCATTGAATCTTCGTGCATCCCAAATCATCAGTCATGGTCTAAACGCGCGTCAACTCTTCTTGTTGCTGCTGAGTTTGGTTTTTGCTTGAGAACCATTTCCAGCTGTCCGGTACGTCAATGCACCTGTCCTCTGCTCTTGGACGACTGCGAGAGAAAAACCCGTTACCATTTCTCAATGACCGGCCGCACATCTGACACTTCCACCACCATCCCGCTCCCTGCTTCCTGTACCTGCATGTTGGATGCTTTACATGTGGAAGCCAATACTAATTCTTGCTCGTCTGCAGTTCGCGCCCGGTTGGACTGACGACTGGCTTTGGCGCTCAGCTCGCGCTGAAAGCTCAACACAATCTCACGACTTAAAGCGAATAGAAGCCTTACGCGAGCGTTTGAGACTTCGGATTCCTCGATCTCGAAGCCTTGCTCGTGTAGGAAGAGTACGCCGATGTCACTGACGGTTTAGTTTTCTTGATTGAAAAATAAACTGTCTGCGTGAGCCACGACCAAGACGGGAAGGACCTACGAGGCTACCCTGAAAGATATTACAAAAGTTGGGAGTGCCCAGCGATCCATCGGATCTCTGCGAGGTCCGCCAGCATATCGTCTCTGTTGGGAGTGTCGGGCACATCCATCTGTTGATCTGCCGAACCTCTGTCGTCCTGAGTCCCACTTTGAGACACTACAAGAGCAGAGACGTACGAGACTACTGGCCACCCGGCTTTATAGGACCGACAATTCGGGCCTGTCTCTTAGCCCAAACAGGCTCTCGTAGGGACGCATTAGCAGGGCTCCTGCGGGGTGGTATTGTCCTTTGATTGTACCCGAATTTTGGCGGAGATATTTTGAGCACGTCAGCCGCACGGCCTATAACGATTCAAAATGAATCAGACACAGCCATATATGGATATGCATCCAGGCTCTCATATCTCCTCCGGACCATCCTACTCGCATTCGGCGACGGCACCAATGGCCCATTATCAACCATACCAGCAGCCCCCAGTCCTACCTCCTGCTTCTAGTCACTATGCGCACCCGCAGGCCTACAACACCTATGGTTATGCGAATGGCGTTACGTCTCCCCAATCTGCAGCGGGGCCCGTTGGGCAGCCGCCGCCTCTTTCTGGTGAGTGACGCGGTTTATCCCGGAAGTTAGACTTTGATACTGACAAACCCTATCAGCTATGATCTCTGCGACGGGGCCGCCATATACTCATGTACCACAACCGAACACTCTTCCCGCGCCTAATCAAGGTTATCCTGCTCAACAACAGCAACCATTTGATACAACCGGGCAGATCGCTCCTCCTGGGATGAAACCAAGGGTCACGGCTACACTGTGGGAAGATGAAGGGAGTCTGTGTTTTCAGGTTGAAGCCAAAGGTGTCTGCGTGGCTCGTCGTGAGGGTAGGCATTGTCCACGAATGTTATTTTGCGTTCGCGATCGTTGTTAATCAAGCTCCAGATAACCATTTCATCAACGGGACAAAGCTTCTCAACGTGGCTGGCATGACTCGTGGTCGTCGAGACGGAATCCTGAAATCTGAAAAGACCCGTCATGTGGTGAAAATCGGGCCTATGCACTTGAAGGGCGTCTGGTAACTTTTGATGTGCCTTCCAGTCTAAGGAATCTTGCTAATTTTTCCTCCAGGATCCCTTTCGAACGTGCTCTTGAGTTTGCAAACAAGGAAAAGATTACTGATCTGCTATATCCACTCTTTGTGCACAACATTGGTGGCCTGCTGTATAACCCAGAAAATGCTCCTCGCACAAATACATTGTCGCAAGCAGCAACGGAGAGACGTCGTATTGATAGTGTTGACTCGGTCCGTCCGCCTCCATCTGCCCAGACTCCGTCGCTCCAGCATCACAACACCATGCCGGCAAACGGTCAAGGACCGCCCACACCTCAGTCCATTGTCCCACACCCAAACCACGGGCGTCCGGGGATCGATCGGGCCCACACTTTCCCAACACCTCCGACTAGTGCGTCCAGTGTAATGGGCATGGGCAATCAGGGCAGTTCGTACGATTGGGGCAACCAGCAGATGCCAAATGGTACAAGTGGGGGCCAACCATTGTCTATTGAGACCGGCTTGAATGCTCGGTCTATGCCGACGACGCCTGCTACAACTCCACCTGGCAACGGCGGCCCGGGAATGCAATCCTACCAAGGTTCGTCCGGGTACGATTCGAAACACTATTACAGCACAACGCCCAGCTCTCAGACCGGGTATGCGCAACAGCCAGATGGGAGTCGCTATGGCCAGGGCATGCAATCTGGTCCTTATGGGAAAAGCGACATGGGTCCGCCCTTGGGTCCTGGAAACGGGGTCGCTGGCGGGGATGGCCGTGATGGCAAGGCTGATGCATATGGCCCACCCGGCCATGGTTCTCACCATGAGACTGATCACCCTGACAGTGGTTACATGAGCGCAAATGCCTCTGCGTATAACTCAAACCGTGGTCAATATGCCTATGGTCCAGTAGGCGACCATCCGCATATGTCTCCTGAACAATTGTCAGGTTCTCCACCTCATCAAGCTGGTTCTGGTCACGCAACACCTCGGACCATGCCCTCGGGTCAACCGCAATGGGCCTCTGAATATCATACTCCACCCCGCGCACCTAACCCGAGCAATGTGTACAACATTATGGGTCATGATCGCACACCACAAGGAGGCCCAACAGACACCTATGGAAACCCAGCTTATTCGAGCGGCCACCCTGCAGGGCTGACTTCGGTGAAGCGCGGAAGAGAAGATGACGATCAAGATCGACCGGGAAGTCGACAATATGATGGGTACGACTCCAAACGACGCAAGATGGGACCTCAAGAAACTTTCGGAATGCCCCTCCAGCCACCTCCACACATGCAAGCCATCAAGACGGGCGGGCAGCGGTAAACCGCGCTCAACTCTCTCGGAATATAAACCTTGCCAACGTGCATGATCACACGGGTACTGGGTAGCGGAAACCGGCTTTGAAAAGCAATGGGCTCCGAGTCTCATATAATGCCCCATCACGAAACGATTGGAAAAGCGATTACGAAACTTTACGACGGCTGAAGGGCCAAAAAAAGATTAAGACTTAACGAACGGAACAACAAGCGTGAATTGTTTGCTTCCCGACAATCTAACGACTTTACGACACGATTTCCTATTGAAAGCGATTTTCGAAATGGCGAAAATGATGACAAATTTTGTGATTGTGGCCTGCATTGCTCAATCATTTGTTTAGATGAATGCTGAGATCTTTTTTCCTTTTGTGTATGAGGGAACGATATATGTGTGGATGGATTATGATTGGGACGAAAACGGCTACGACTTTCAGGCGCCTTCGTGATGTCTTCTTGGCTGCCGGACTCGAGAGCAAGAATACACGCGGTTTTTCTGGTCCTTGCGAATGCCCCCTTGCTTCTGGGAAAAGACGCAATGATTGTTCCAGTAACGAGCAGAAGTTGGGCGGCAGGGTCAAAAAAGGTGGCTCTCGTTTCCCTAATCGTGAAATCTACCGCTGATGACGTGTCAAATACAATAAAAGCACTATTCATAATCAACTTGCCCTCCTCCCGTTTCCATCAATTCCATACCTAGGTAAGATGTAGGTACCTTAGGTAGGTTACGCCGTATGGAACGGTAGTGTTGGTTATTTGGAGTAGAGGTGAAGTGCCGTCGGAAAGGAAAAAGCTCCTCCGTAGTCAATCGACTGCCAAGCCGAGTCTTGGCAAGGTCTCCTCCCACACCGATTTTGCAACAATTCGGTTGACAACACCTTGACTGCGATTCTATCAACTTTCGGTGCCGCCACACGTTCAGTCATCACAGCAAGATGTAAGTGCGGTCTTTCTCTCCTCAGCAGCCGCTTGGCGTCCAGATTGTCGACTTCTCGATCAAACATGTTGCTTTCTGCACAGATCTATGACGTCCTTCATTTCGAGACAACAGGTTTAAGAAAGAGGCTGAATCAAGTTCAATCTAGGACCAACCTTCGCACCCAGAAACGCCTCGCGGCGGCCGTTGTCGGCTGCGGTAAACGCAAGATCTGGCTCGACCCTAACGAAGTCAATGAGATCTCCAATGCGAACTCCCGCCAGACGATCCGAAAGTTGGTCAGCGATGGCCTCATTATCCGCAAGCCTGTTGCCATGCACTCCAGAGCGCGTGCCAGAGAACTGAATGCCGCAAGAAGAATTGGCCGACACCGAGGCTTCGGTAAGAGAAAGGGTACAAAGGATGCCAGAATGCCTAGGTATGAGAAAATTGGAAGGAGCGGATGCGCCAGTCGAGAAGATTTGCTGATCGTATTGATGTGTAGCCAAGTTCTATGGATGAGACGTTTGCGTGTTCTTCGACGCCTTCTGGCCAAGTACCGGGCTGCTGGCAAGATCGACAAGCACCTCTACCATGAGCTCTATCAATTGAGCAAGGGTAACACATTCAAGCACAAGCGTGCTTTGGTCGAACATGTATGTTGTCTACGACTATATGAGACGGAGTCGATCTAACCATGCTGCAGATTCACAAAGCCAAGGCCGAGAAGCAACGTGAGAGAATCCTCAAGGAAGAAATGGACGCCAAGCGTGCGAAGACCAAGGCTGCTCGTGAGAGACGACAAGAGAGAATCCAGAGCAAGAGAAATGCTCTTGCCGGTGAGGAGGAGGCCGAAGAGGAGAAGTAGACGACAAAGCAGTCGATAAATCAGTCGGGGATGGGCAGCGACTTGTGACACAATCTCGATTGATGAGCATGAGCATGTCTTAGGACGATCTCGACGACATGTCTTGCAATGATGGGTCTGCGAGCTTGGAGTCTTTTTCGCTACCAGTGAGACTTCGACTATGACCGCAGAGGGTCTTTCATAGACAACACCAGCACTTCTCTTGTGAAGTGGGTTGAGGTTTCACTCGGCGCAATGATAAAAACGAATGGCCAATTCGAGTGAACAAAGGTAATGATTTCTCATCCTCTCGAATACACTGTCAATCCTGGACTCGCGTGTATGTAAAATCTCAAAAAGATTCCATGTGTGAATACGGGATGATGCTGTGTCGGTCAGTAAGATAGGTCCGAGATACGACTATTAGACCAGGGTTAGTTTTCCTGGCGGATGATGGATGATGGATGATTGGATTCAGGGCAGACACCTCTTCTCACCACATGCATCAACCCATACACGCCCAAAGCAACGTCCCTGGCATTAGAAGGACTCGGGCGTCTCGTACGGCCACCAAAACTTGCAGGTGGCATGCGCGGCACCAAGGTTCTCCGTGCGTGCATGCGACTACTGCAGCGTTCTGTGTGACAGCTGTGATGCAAAAAAGCAGACCTGCAGCACTGCTAGTGCAATTATTATATTGGTCTTAATGTGTTTGTGGATGTACGACTCAACCTTCATCTAGCAATTGGATCACAGGACATTGGAGTTAAGCATCAAGTCACAGGTCTCGAAAATCGCCATAACTCGAAAGAGACCATCCCTCTAGGACTCGGTGCATCAACTTCCGCTCCTCGAGTCACAGTCACGCGCGTGACTACTCTATACTCGATCCAGAAGTGAGGCACAGAGCAGCAATCTCGGCTTGTCTGGATGTCGCTATCAACGCGGTATTCTGTCTGATAGATTCCAACGTCGTCATTGCGTGGCAGGGAGATACGGTGGAGTCCATTTTGGTTCACGACAGCCATCTCGGCAGATCCAGAGATATCGCTATAGCTGGCCATGTTTGGTGGGAATCTGTGGGGTGCTATTGGTAAGTACAAGACAAACTCCGATGCTCTTCATCCGTTGCTCGAAACGGCCACTGGCGCATGGCATTTGATCTCCCTTTGGCCGGACGTTAGTGATTTGGAGTGGTATTCAACCCCGTCACTGGATCCATGAATCGCTTGGAATCGTCTGATGCATGACCGACAAGATCACGTTGTCCGTCCAGGCCATTGGGTGAAGGCGACTGGAAGCTCTGACTCGCATCAATCCAATGCTGGCAGACGGTTTCCTAGCCCATCGTATCTACATGAGCCTGCTTGCAGAAGTCCACGACGCGTAGTCCCCTGCTTGATATCCTTGGTGGATCTTGCCGTCTCTGCCCTGTTCCTATTATTACCTTGCTGTTAGTTTGAGCTGGCTCTGACTCAGTGCAGCACCAGGTGGAGATCAACTTCTCGACAAGGAACGCAATCCACCCGCGAAACCTGTTCCAATCGAGTTCCCAAGCTACGTTCCTCCTCGCTCGGATGGTCCGCTTGACGCACGGCATCTGGAATCTCTCTGCAAAGCCGTCGCCTCAGTACGAAAACCGTCGGACGTCAAGGATGTTCATCTTGCACAATTCAACATCCAGCTAGAGCAGGATGTCCAGCTAACGGACATGATATTGGACGACAGGTTCAAGTCGCGACCACTACTGTATGATGCCGACCTGACCTCCATGCTCAAGGAACTCGACATTGATAATCAAGACGCCTATCGAGAAGTTCTACGACTACCGCCACTCGAAGGCAGAAAAAAACCTCGACTAGCCTACTCGCGAAACTTCTATGCCAGTCTGGAGGACATGTGCCGCTATTGGGATGACAGCAAAGACAATTATTACGAAATTGAAGCGACAGAGTCGGCGAGCTCCGCTGCAGAACCAGCTGAGCCATCCGCGACTCGCAAAGAAAATGAACCGTGCAAAAATGCAGATGCCGGAATGAAGGATGCGGCAGGCGAAGGAGTAGAGGAACTTGATCCCAAAAAGGGGACGAAGGCAGCAAGTAGCATCCCACAAAGTCTGGACTCTATCGAGATTCCCGCCCGCCCCAAAATGAAGCAAGTCTACAAGGGCCTTCGGCTAGGAAACGGCGAACAAATGAGCCCAGGTACGAGAATCGCAGCAGTAAGGAGTCTTCTCAAAATGGCTGTTCACAAGTTCAACTGTCGGGACTATGACGTTCATCCTCGGGAGAAATTGAGGATACGAAACATCAACCTCCCTTCAACATTCTACAACTTCTGCGTGGCAAGGATGCCGTCTGATGTCAAACTTGCAAGAGCGAGGATGATTGAAGGTCCATTGTTGGGTGTGCACAGTAGAATGGAAGTGAGATTCAAATCTAGGGATGGGCTTCCCGATTCCACGAGCGACTTTGTAGGCGAGAAGTATGACCTATTCAGGGAAGTTGGTGGGCTATTAGTGCTTGCAAAGCAGCGGGCGCGCGAGGGCCAGACACCTTCCAAAGAGCCGAGTGCAGAACATTGGTGGGCTGTCAAGCATCGTTGGGGCGGTGGTCCGACCAGATGGGGACAGCTTGCTAGCGAAGTATTCGAGGACGAGGATCCAAGTTGGAGTCCGGAAGAAAGACGCCTTCAGCTGGAAAAGCGAGAAAAGAGTGAAGAGGAGCGAAAAAGATCTGAGGGGGCTACGGCTACTGACTTCAACCACCTGAAGCCAGAGGATTTGATCTCGACAGCATCTTCACCCACCAGCGAACGGCCCAAAAAGAAAAAGAAAGCTGATGAAGATGGTAAGGACAAGTCAGAGTACAAAGATGGTAGGAGACTGATGTATACACCGCCTTTGCGACGAAAATGGTATCAAGAATGGACAAAGATCAGGCCGAATTCGTCCACCTGGGACGACAAGATCATCTTCAGGAGAATTGGGATGCCAGACCCGGAACAAGGCTGGGATGATGTGTATATGATGTCGGCGGCGAATCATCATGTTTGTATCGTCAAGTTGAGCGTGCATGAAAACTATCTTGAATGGCTGGAGACGGGAAAGGTCAAGCAACAGAAGGCGTCAACGTCCGAAAGACAGGACCGGATTCTGTACATGAGCCGAAGTCGGTGGTTTGACCTGTTCGACATTGAGCAAAGAAAGGAGTTGTTGACCGGCGTGTGGAGGTTGTTGTCCTGGATCAACCGAGACGAGGTACCAAAGGCAGACCTTGACAAGATGGAGGAAATGAAAAGGCAGCAACAGGAGGAGGATGGAGAGGGAGACCATCCGATGGAGGTCTAGTTAGACGCTCCAGAGAGCGAGTGGCCTCGGTATCAAGTTGGTTTCGTGGTTCAGCAACATAGAAAGCCATATATACTACACCAAGGTCAACACCGAGAAAGTCAGGAAGAGTTGTGGTAAAGCCTAAGGGAAAGAACAGAGACACAATTGAGGTTATTCCTTGACCATTGATTTAGTAAGACTACCTTAGGGGGGAGTACGTCGGACTCGCAGGAAATCACTGGGCTGTTGGACGAACACGTGATTTGCATCGTCGACGAGGCTGAGTCACTTCTGTCACGTCATTCCAAAATTTCAGGAACCCGCCGTCAACCGCGGGGATTGCGGATTGTGCGGCTTGCTCTTTTTTTTTTGTGAGTTGAAGAGTCACCAAGATCCTTCACTTTCTTACCAGGCCGTCCATCATTTCCTCACATAACAGTGCTCTCTGACAAAATGGCCCCCTCTACGCTCACAGAGAACATCAAGATCCAGAACAGTCAGAGCAATGGCGACAGCCTCCGTCGCGAAGTCTCCCGTAGCCTGTCCATGTCAACTTCACCGCAAGAGACGTTCCACCACCGCAAGATGTCCATGGGCGTCGAGGGCACGTCTCCAGGCCTGCTGCGCTCGAGAACAGGCGGTGCTGCACGAAAGCAACTCAAACCCTTCCGAGAGCAAGACATAAAGATTCTGTTGCTGGAGAACGTCAACCAGACTGGGCGAGACATACTCCAGGGCCAGGGATACCAGGTCGAGTTCATGAAGAGCAGTTTGCCCGAGGACCAACTTATTGAGAAAATAAAGTATGGCAGCATACCCGTCACTTGCCTTCCAAGTCGTTCGCCATACCATCTAACACCTTCACTGCAGGGAAGTCCACGTAATCGGCATCCGCTCCAAAACGAAACTGACCGCACGAGTCCTGTCCGCGGCCCGCAACCTCATCGTAATCGGCTGTTTCTGCATTGGCACGAACCAAGTCGACCTGAAATATGCCGCCGAACATGGCATTTGCGTGTTCAATTCGCCCTTCAGCAACTCCCGTAGCGTGGCCGAGCTGGTTATATGCGAGATCATTGCGTTGGCAAGACAGATCGGAGACAGAAGCAACGAAATGCACAATGGCACGTGGAACAAAGTGAGCGCAAAGTGTTGGGAGGTCAGGGGTAAGACGCTGGGAATCATTGGATACGGACACATTGGAAGCCAACTCTCCGTCCTCGCCGACGCAATGGGCATGGACGTGATCTACTACGACATTGTGAACTTGATGGCCATGGGAACTGCGAGGCAAGTACCCACCCTCGACCATCTACTCTCACACGCAGATTTCGTAACGTGTCATGTGCCCGAGCTGCCCGAGACGATGAACATGATTGGTGCGCACGAGTTTGAGATGATGAAATCCGGGAGTTATCTCATCAATGCTTCGCGCGGGAGTGTTGTGGATATCCCAGCGCTCATCGATGCCATGAGAAGTGGCAAGATCGCTGGCGCCGCGCTGGACGTGTACCCATCCGAACCGGCGGGTAATGGCGACTATTTCACAAACGAGCTCAACAGCTGGGCCGAGGATCTCAGGAGCTTGAAGAATCTAATCTTGACGCCACATATAGGCGGGTCGACGGAGGAAGCCCAAAGCGCAATTGGTGTGGAAGTGGCCGAGTCGCTGGTTCGCTATGTCAATGAAGGCGTGACAATTGGCGCTGTGAATATGCCCGAAGTCTCGCTACGCAGTTTGACCATGGACGAGCCGAACCATGCCCGTGTGATTTTCATCCATCAGAACGTGCCCGGAGTCTTGAGAAGGGTGAATGAGATCCTTGGCGATCATAATGTCGACAAGCAGATGTCCGACTCACGTGGGGATGTGGCGTATTTGATGGCAGACATCAGCAATGTCAAGGAGGAGCAAGTGGCGGAGCTGTATCGTGAGTTGGAGAGTCTGAAGGAGAGGATCATCACGAGGATCTTGTACTAGCAACCGTTGCTGGTGTGTATCTGCATAGCGGCCTTCAACAGAAAGCAAACCTATGGCGTTCTAGGGCAAGGGTGGACGATTGAAGCGCATATCAGGAGTTCAACAGCACCAACGGGCATGCAAAAATGAAAGGAAGGGAGAACAAACAGTACCAGAAGATCGTAATATATTGCTAGCATCGAGTCATCCCTCTGAAGTCGGCTCTTCTGAAAAGCCAATCCCGAATCTGGGTTATTTCCTGACGAGTTTGATATGTTCAGCCATAACTTCTCAAATAACCACGTGCTTACGAGAAAGATGGAACCGGCTGTCCGAAAGCAAGGCAATGGGCAGTGATAGAGGAACACAGGTTACTTCCTCCGGCGAGGATGGCCTCAGTGATCTCTTCTTGATACTGGCTGCTAAGCTGAGTCTAGCCATGCAGTTCTTACTTCAGCAACCCCAAGTCAATGCCATGATTGTAATCTTCTGGGCTGGTCCGGAAAAGCCTTGCGAGGACTATCTTGCAGAACATGTGTCTTCCCGTCTTCGGAGGAGTGACATTCAAGTAGTATAATACCGATCGCCAAAATCACCCAACCCAGGGACAATGTAGCTGCAAGAAACCTTAGCTGGACATTCCATCAACACAGGGAGGAGACTTACTTTGCTTCGTTGAGGCCTTGGTCAACGAAGGCGGTGATCACCCTCACCTTGGGGACATGCTTTGCGAAATTCTCAATACCTTCAGGGCTTGCAATCAAGTTCAAGAATAGTATCCGATCTTCTGGCACTCCATTGCTCTTCAACACCTCGACTGCCATGATGGCACTACCACCAGTAGCCAACATTGGGTCGAGAAGCAAGACCCATCTTTTCGCAATATCTGGCGGCAACTTCTCGTAGAAAAGTTTCGGCTTGCTCGTCTCCTCATTCCGTTGGATCAGAATCTTCCCTATCCTGACCGATCGACAACATTCCCTTAGGCCTTCCTCCATTGACTCTCCAGCTCTCATGATTGAGACACCACAGATTTTGCCCTCAAACTTGACACCTACGTACTCCTTTCCCACTGGAGAGGTAACACTGTGTGCAACGACTGGGAGGTGGTTCAATCCTTCCTCGACGAGGAGGCGGATGATTCGATTGGAGTAGAAGATGAAGTCACCTCGTTCGGTATTCTTGTCTCGGATCATGCTTGAAAACATTGTTAGCCTCGAGGTTCACAAAGCTAAGTGGCTAACGTACGTGAGAAGAGCAATGAGCTGCGGCGTCTGTCCAAGGACATGGACGTTGTCAAAGGGGACCTCTCTTGAAACAGTCGCTGTTGGCCTCTCCTCCGCAGGCCGGTATGAAGGACCAACTCCTAGAGCCGGTGACTGTACACCGTTTGTACGCGGGGCTGAAGCCATCTCTTGTCAACAGTGGAAGCCAGAACTAGCGACTAGGGAGAACAGCTTCGACTGCTCGCGTGACTGCGTAGGGAAAGGATGACCTCCAAGCAGAGAGGTGGACTCGAGCGGGAATGCACTGATAGCAATGTAAATTGCTTCGCTTACAGGGCAACAGGTTGTAGTGTGATCACTCTGGATCTGTGAAGAAGAACGATAAAGCTCCGGAAGGTAGAGCAGTGGCAGACCGCAAAGGCTCACATTCACTTGGAGACTCAGGTGCCCAGCACATGGAAAGGACGACCGACGGACGCCAGCTCCAATGGGAATCTGTAACCTGGATCCCCGCAAGTCTTAACTAAAAGTTCATTCCGCAACATTTGTTTACCGAGCTGCGTCACAGTGCATATGTGGATCGCAATCCATCGAGACCCTGCCAGCATTTCTCTATTCAACTGCGCTGTTTCAGACAATTTCAACTTCCTCATCCTTCCATCAAAGAAACTCGAGAGCCTGTTCAGCAACATACACGTTACCATGAGCCGCAACCCTGCATGCCGCAAATCTCTGTCGCAATCGCTACAGCCAGACCGAGTACAAAAGGGACCTTGCCTATGGGACAATTGTTTTGGCGCCTGATCGCTACGAACGAAGATGGATTTCCAGCCAGCGCGTCGCAAGATGAACACATACGGCAAAGGGGCCAGGAGGGTGATGGTCCACGATCTATTCGACCTCGGAGCAGTACCTGCAACCGAACCGACGAGACCGTCAACGAAGCCGACAACACTCCTCGAACATACACAGAATACAAGCAAGGCCATAACTCGACCCGGTCTTGAAATGGTGGATCCGATCACAGACACATGCGGACCCAACTGTGTGACGGAATCACAACAACTCATATCCACAAGCACCGCCAGTACGCCACAATCACCCCCAATGGAAGCCACCAATCGAACCTTGTTCGATGTCCAGTCTTCTGAAGAAGAGTCAACGAGGCCACAATTGAAGCGACCGCTCAAAAAACGGAGAGTGACTCCGGTGCTAGACGAACCCAAGCCAAGTGTATCCTTGAAAACTACTGAGCCGCAGAGAACAGTAAAGAGCAGAACAGGCCAACCTGTGATGAAAAAGTCCTTAAAGAGTATAGATGCCCAAACGGAGACGGAGAAGCTGTCAGTTAAATCTCGAGCCAATAAACAAAGTGACCGCACGGCAAAAGTGAAAAGACAACCACTGAAAGCAACGACACCCGATGAAGCGCACGGAAACGAGGCTCAGTTCAGGCCTATGCTCAAGAGAAACAGCACTACGAGCCAGGCACATACAAAGGCTCTTCATGTCAGCAGTGGCTCTTCAGTCATGCTATCTGAAGAATACGACCGGCACACCACACCCAAGAGAAAAAGAGGTTTGCTAAAGGACGAGATCAGGGACTCCCCTAGTCCACCAGCATTGCAGATGACATCCCTACGGTTGACCCCGGATCTCATTTCGCAATTGGAATTGTCTTCTTCTGATGAAGAGATGATGGAAGTTAGTACTGTGATAGGCACATCAAGAGGAGGTCGAAAAAGGCTTATTGACAGACTAGATGCTCCTCAACCTCACAGTACGGACAATGGGCCATCGAAACCTTCACTTGGTCGATCTGTCAGTGGTACCACCTCTCCGCGCGGACCTCTAGTCGAAGACCACAAACCAGCTGCCGCGCCAAACATTGGACCACCACCTCGTCCACGTTCAACCTATGCAAGACAGCGCTCCCACCTGAGTGATATGCTTGATAGCCTCGACAATTACTCAGGTGTCAACAGCCAAGCGTCGTCTCAGCAAAGCTTTTCTCAGCCTGTGTCCTTTGGTCTTGCCTCGCAGATGGAGTTGGAGATGGAAGATAGTGACGAGGCTGACAACTTCAGTCAATTAAAAAGTATTCATGAACTGCGGCGAGGAGCTGCAATCAACAAGTATGACCAGGACATTGAATCCATTCTTGAAGACGTCGAGTCCCAGTCCAAGTCATTGCGCATTCTCGCCTTGCTGCTTCTGATCGACAAAATTAAGGAGCTCAGCTTCTTGCGGCATTTTCAAGAGTCCGGTAGTTTCTACCGCTTCACGGAATGTGCAAAAGGAGACTTGGACTTGGTTACTGCAGGGATGATGGTTGTAGTATTGCACAAGGTCATATCTGCTAAGCAGTCTTCTCCGAAAAACCAACAGCAGATCCTCAGTGCGCTTTATCGTCTACCCAGAGAATTGAGCCTGCAAAGAAGATCACTGTCGAAACTTGCGAAAGACAGAGGTGAGAACCTGAGCAAAGTCTTGATCAAGGACATCATCACTTTCGAGGAACAACAACTCGGAAATATGACCCAACAACCAAATCTTGTTAGCCTCCTGTTCCTCAGCTCAATCAAGGATACCCTGCGAGATCTGGTCAACAGTAGGGAACGAATTCCTGACCTACCCCGCCCTTTACTCGACGCCTTTGTTCTAAGCTTCAATCGTGAGCGGAAGCACATGGCAGAGGAGAGTGACAGGGCGGATCGGTTTGATGGCGTCCAAGTCCTCCTGTCGTTGCTGGAATTGGCCTGCGCGAATCGCGACCTTGTGACTTCTACGCTTTCAATGTCTTCTGTCATCGAGGTTGGCAGCAGTATAGCGGCGGTCCTGACCACTACCCGCCAGGCACAAGCAGAGATTCAGCATTCATGCCTGCGCCTGCTCGTCAGTTTGAGTAACAACGAGCCAAGAGTATGCGAAGCTCTGACAGAGGGAAAGCTGATCGCGACCGTGTTCCAAGTCATTGACGATCATTTCTTGAGGCTAGCGGCAATGGCGTCTCAAGAACAGCAGTTCGATAACGCCCAACTCGAATCTGTGATTCTTGCTGTTGGTTGTCTGCTGAATGTTGCAGAATGTGCGGATGCGGCTAGAAGGAAGATGCTGGGTCTGGATTCGGACGGGGGACGGCTGGTTGACAAACTGGTCGACATGTTCAACAGCCATGTAGACCGGACATCCGAGGTACGTTGTCTGGATTCAACAGAGGAACAACTACTAACATTGCTAGGCCTTGACCATCGATCAAACCCAGATATTGGTGGCTTTTGGGTATATTTCCGCGTTGCTGTGCACGCTGTGTCTCAACGCAGATGCCCGGAGACGAATATCAGAAACCATCAGAGGCGAAGGGCTTTCTCAACTTTTCGAGGCAACAGGTATCTTCCTCGATCATCTGCGGACGGTTGAAAAGGCTCTTGGTGATGAAGGAGAGGCTTCGTCAGGATTTACCGGGCGCTTTACAATGGTCTTAGACGCTCTCAGGGAGGAACTTGTGTAGAGAGTATTCGCCAGTTGGCTTTTGAACGAAATAGATTGACGACCTTGGATGGGGCGACATATGACTTGGAAACCGTCGAGAGTCGCACCAGACAGCATTGTATATGACGAAGATACCCATGAACATTTTCTGCAAGACACATCCGGCTACCATGAGTATCAGTCGATCGTTTGGGAAGAGAGAGTTTCTGAGTTACGACACGGTTTCTTCCAGGTGCCTCTAGGCCATGCGTGTATGTCTAGAGGAAGGTGGCTTTCGTCCCTTGAGTTCGTTCTTTCCTCACTCGTTCCGACAGCTTTTCTGCTTACATTTCTTCAACGATCTGCTCGACTGCTAACGCCAATCGTGCTCCCTTCACAATCATCTCAACTTTTCTCTTCAGATTCACAACGCATCCCTCCTCAGATTCGAACGTATTCCGCACCTCTTCGGACCTCTGCTTGATTTACGGACGACCCAGAAGGCTTAATCATGCCAGCAAACCATCAGAATGTCGCAGGGCCAGTGCCGACTTCGGCAGCTCCTGAACCTGGCGCCGACATCAAGCCAGAAGTCAGCCCAAATTCCCAGACCATAGCTGAGAAGCCAATTTTGGTAGCCGAAGACACGCATTGTCCCAAAAAGAGGAGCGCCGTCTCCGAGGAACCAGTGCCAGAGATGGAGGAGACGGGAACTGAAACAGAGGTTGGAGTCAAGTTCCCTATGGCACGAAATAAGGAAGGTCCTCAACTCGTCAGGACTCACTGCATCATGGCTCAAGCCATGAATCTTCATCCGGAGATAATGATTCGGGGTCGAAGTGGTGAACCGACATCCATCACACTCCCGGACGTGGAGTATTCCGACCCTGTAACTCGCCAGGGTATCCTTCGTCAGTTCGAGTACCTGACCAACCGTCTTTTCCCTAAAGAGCATTATGTCGAGGGACAGATGGCAGACCAGGTTGCTGCCAAAGAGGAGACAAAGGCCGGGGCAGACGGGGAAGGCTGCGCTCTTGCGGCTGACACTCAATCCACCAGTGGTAAGTCTGGAATCTTACAATGCGAGCAAGGATGCTGGCTGATCATCATCTTGACTCCAGAGCCTGCCGTCTCATCTGGTGCCAACAAGGCTGTGCTGCCAAATTCCCTTGTTCATGGCCAACGACCGAACATCTTCAAGCGCGGCCCTCCGACCAACGATGAGGAACGCATGCTCCTTAAGTTCTATGTGGAGCTTTTCCTTGACCATTTCCGAAAATTTGAAGCAATGACGGATTGTATGAGAGAAGTCAACAACACATTTCGCCCCGCAACGTTGGCCGATAAGCAATACACAAGCATCGAGGACTTTCTCAAAGGTTATAAAAGGACACTCGAGTACTGGACGATTTACCTTCCTGACGTGCGAGATACAGTCTGCCATGAGCTTTACAAGTTTCAAAATGTTGACTTTTCTTGGTGGAAGGATTGTTTTAAGATGAGCACCCAGGGTCAGCGGTTGTCATTTGTCCGAGAGCAACTTGACATGATCAAAGAGCAGACTTCAGTGGTGTGAATTTCGTGAGGTTGGTTCGATGATAAGTCGCGTCATGGCGGTCGAGTCCTATGAAGGTCTGTCGCCTTCTCTGCCCAAGGTTTCAAGAAAGGCTTGCATTACAGGCTCTCTGTGAAGAGCATAGGAAGAACCAGGAAGCAGACCGAACATGTTGCGGCAGAGTGAGAAGCTTTGAACCCTTGCCCGTCTGATAACTGTTTTCGCCTCCCAGACAGCCATCGAAGCAGCGTCAGCAGATGACACGGGCTCAGATGCAAGGAAAGTAGGAAGAGAACCACTCCTAGGAATGGTTCTGACAGGTCCGAGGGCGTGCTTTAGCCGATCCAGTGCTGTAAGCCGGCTATTCTCAAGGACAAAAATCATCTAATGGCAATACAAACAGTCGTAGCCAGTGATTGTGAGGTTGCTACATGCGACTACCGCCAGACGGACGGTTGTCTGATGCAGCCTTGGGATGGTTGTAGCATTGCCGGTTCCCCGGATGTCAAGCGGCAGCTACAAACATGGCCGGAAGAAAGGACGATTGGCTGTAATGGGTGGAAATGGAGCTGCCCGTCGCCGCCTCTGCTTGTTGACTGCATTCCCGCCGGCAAAGTGTCTCCAAGTTTTGAGGCTCGCCTGCTTCGCTCTTTCTCAAGAGTCAAAAAGGGCCTTGATGTTGTCGTCGTCCCTGAAAATGTCGGTGTGGTTGATCAGCATCCGTCTTTTTACCATCCCGTTGACGCACAGACATTGATATTGATCTACGAGTACCAGCTATCCCCGTTGCATGAGTCGTCCATCTCGTACCGCTCTGTATTTGTAGCTCCGCAGTGAGCCGTCATACTTCGAGTTCTCATTACATACGAGCTTCTCTTCTATTTGTCCCATCAATACTACTCTTACGACTGCCACATGGCATGACTGTGTTTGGTCCCTCGCTAACTAGACCATATTTCTTCGCCTTGACTTCATTCGTGTTGGGGCTGAAGGAAGTCCCGAACCTTTTTTTCTTGAAGCCGAACAGGAACCAGGTTACTTGGGGCCTACCCATCACTCTCTCCCTTCCTCCCGGTATTTGTTGCAGAGATGGCTCCCTCGCTCAAGCAGCGGAAGATTGCGATCCTCGGCAGTCGTTCCGTCGGTTCGTGAGAATGACAATGGCCGGGTGAACTGGACTGACATTGGCGCAGGGAAGTCGTCCTTAACCGTCCAATACTGCGAAGGCCATTTTGTCGAAAGCTACTATCCCACCATCGAGAATACGTTCAGCCATGAGATCGTCTACAAAGGCCAGACCTTCCTCACGGAAATCATTGACACTGCTGGACAGGTGGGGCATGCGCAGGCAAGAGCTGGAATACATTCCGCTGACAAGAACCAGGACGAGTACAGTCTCATGAACTCCAAGCTGTACATAGGGATACACGGATACATGATTGTGTATTCCGTCGCCTCCAGACAGTCGTTTGACATGGTCAGGATCATTCGGGATAAACTCCTAAATCATCTTGTCCGTCTCACGTCTGTGCCATAGATGCAATGAGATGCTAACCCAATACACAGGGCGCAGATACGTTACCCATCATGATTGTGGGTAATAAGAACGACGTCGATGCAAAGAAACAGCGAAAGGTCACCGCCGAAGAAGGACAGGAGTTGGGCAAAGAACTCAACTGCGGATGGATCGAAACGAGTGCGAGAAACAATACCAACGTTGCCAAAGCCTTCGAATTGATGATTGCCGAAATCGAGAAGTCACAAGAACCTGACAAGCCTGCAGGTGGAGGGAAGTGCACTGTCATGTGAAGGAACAATCCGCCCAACGACCTCACCACACACATGGAACGAGGGGGACGACATCATTCAGAACACATTCAAGGGGATCTCTTGTCGGTTGTTGCATTATTCGGTGTTTTACTATTGGTACGACGTTGTCATTGAGGCGTTCAAGAGCAAACGACATAGACGTTCGACATCAGGATAGATGGTGGCTGCTTTGTGTCTTCGGTCTTTCGGTGTTGGATCGACGATCAGCTGTCTTTGTGATATTGGTCCATGATGAATCCTGCTGCAGATATGGGTGGAGTTGTTGTTGCTTCCAAGCTGGCCATAGTTATCCTTGAGCATGTTAGAGCATTTTGATCTTTAAATACCGCCTGGAGTTGCGGAAGTGATTGTAGTATTTACCCATTGGATTTCGGAGTGACTCACGAGGCTCCGACATTTGATCTGATCTGCGGGGCAGAAATATTTATTACAGGGCACCCACTGGCACCCAACAGGGGCATCTCAAAAGCACGCGCGCTGCCAGACCGCACACTGTTCTGCTGCTACTCAATTGACTCTGCTGCTCTCCTACTAAATATCGTTTATTGTCTCACAACACTATGCTTGACGTCCAAGACTTCATCACCTCGAGGTAAGTGGTGCACCAATCCTTTCAACTGCCCGCACTCACCGGTCCTGCAGGGGAGGTGACCCCAAGAAAGTGGTCGAGAGCCAACGCAGAAGATTCACCTCTACAGAAGTCGTCGACGAAGTCATTGCGCTATGGGAAGATGCATACAAGAGCAGGTGTCCTGAGACTTTGTCAGGAGAAGTGTACTGACACTCTCTGCAGCGCGGTACCAGGCTACACAAATCGGCGCAAAGATCAATGCTGTACAAAAAGAGATTGGCAAGTTGAAGAAGGTATATCACAAGAAGATTCACAGTCATGGTGGTCAGAAGGGTTGACCGGGTGTTTCTCCACAGGCAAAACAAGACGCAGACCACCTATTAAAAGAGAAAGCAGACCTCGAGAAAGAGAAGAAGCAAGTGGAAGAGGAGGCCGCCGAAAAGGAAAAGGCAAGAGACAAGAAATGCAAGACGATCGGTAACTACGTGCACGAGTCGGTACCGCTGAATGACAACGAGGTAGGAAATATGGAGACCAGGCATTGGACCCCGACACTGACGGAAAGCTAGGACTTCAACGAAGTGGTCAAGCAATGGGCCCCCGAAGGTGTGACGGTCGAGAAGAAAGACTGTCTGTCGCACCACGAAGTCATGACACGAGCCGAGGTATACGACGGCGAACGAGGTGTCAAACTCGTCGGCCACCGAGGCTACTTCCTGCGGAAATGGGGTGTGCTGCTGAATCAGGCGTTGATCAACTACGGTCTGCATTTCCTCGTGGACAAGGGCTATGACCCCATCCAGCCTCCCTTTTTCATGAAGGCCGAGTACATGGCCAAGACGGCGCAGCTGGAGCAGTTCGACGAGGAACTGTACAAGGTCATCGAGGACAAGGATGGTGAGGACAAATATCTCATTGCAACTTCAGAGCAACCGTTGTCGGCCATGTTCGCGGACGAGTGGTTGACCGAGAAGGACCTGCCCATGAAATTCGCCGGGTACAGCTCGTGTTTCAGAAAGGAGGCTGGCTCGCATGGGAGAGATGCGTGGGGTCTGTTCCGGATACATCAATTTGAGAAGGTAGATCGGTTCACCCCTCCCAGCAAACTGATGCAGACGTGCTAATTCTGATGGATCTGACAGATTGAACAATTCCTATTCGTCAAACCCGAAGAATCATGGCAAGCCCTCGAAGACATGAAGAGCGTGGCCGAGGAGTTCTACCAGTCTCTCAAATTGCCCTACCGAGTCGTTGCCATCGTCTCGGGCGCACTGAACAATGCCGCGGCCAAGAAGTATGATCTGGAAGCGTGGTTCCCATACCAGGGCGAGTACAAGGAATTGGTGTCATGCTCCAACTGCACCGACTATCAGACACGGGAGCTGGAGATTCGGTATGGCCAGAAGAAAGGCGCCATCGACGCGAGGAAGACGTACGTGCATGCTTTGAACGGGACGCTGTGTGCCACGGAGCGGACGCTGTGCTGTTTGCTGGAGAATTACCAGAAGGAAGACGGCTTTGAAGTGCCAGCTGCGCTGAAGCCTTTCTTGCCGCCTGGCACGCCGGATATTATTCCTTACACCAAGGAGTTGCCCAAGGATACGGTGTCGGCAAAGGCGAAGCAGCCGGCTAAGCCGACGGAGGGTGCCCCAGAAGGTGGACCAAAGCTCAACATGCCGGCGGCGGAAAACGTTGCGGACAAAATGAAGGACATGAAGGTTTGAAGAAGCATGTATTGATCTAGACTTGATGAGCATGAGTTTGCACTGGACATTGGGAAATGATCGTTGTGATGAATGTCGGGTATGTTGAAGACTTTCACGATGCTGCTGCAGCAACCCAGGAGGCATGCGGGAAACAAGATGCATCGATATGCTAGATTAAAGAGGCCACGAGAAACATCAGAGAATCTAAAGGTTGCTCAACAGGGGTATATCTGTTTCTTTCTGCAGCTGTTTGAAAGCAAGTCTGGCACTATCTGACTGGGAGCATTTCCGTCTCCCATGTCGAAAGGTGTCAAAACTGCATTCAGGAGCCTGCAGATATGGACCGAGAAGGGGTTACATACAGGGAATGCTCTTGCTCTCGTACCATGTTCTCATGTCAGTATTCCTCCAATATGTTGTGCCGAAACCGGAGCATGTCACACCCCCTGAGTTCCGACTACTGTAGCTGTCGGTAATATGTACAGTATATACAGGCCTAGGAGCCTGGGCCTGGGCCTGGTGTCTGTCCAGACTTCAATCAGTAAATCGGTACCAATCCTAGACTTTCCCTCGCCGAATTCCACGCGTCATACGCCTTTTGACGCATGGTATCCTTGCGTGGCGCAATGCCCTTGCCGTCCTGGTGCTGGAAGACCATGACAACACCTTCCTCCGTGTCGTTGTAGTGCGGCCAGTACGGCACGTCCTCGCCCTCGGCGGGATTGGGATCGAGTGTATACGCGAAGCTGATCCAAGACCTCATCATCGTCGTTGACACGACGACGTCGCCTTGGGTTCTGTTGTCGAGGGATGAGGCTTCGCCAAAGACGTACGACAGCTCGGCACCGTGCTGCACTGCGACGCGCCGCGCATAGGATGCGGGAAGGCCCGGGTATTCGTAGGACAGGTTCATTTGTGACAGTGGTGGCTGCTGGCTGAAGTAGTAACCCCACGTGGGGACGTGAGCGCTGGCTTTCTTCAGGAGAGCACGTCGGCCAAGGTGCATCCACGCGTCGCTGTACAGGCCGACGGCGGTCCAGTAGGTTTTGTTGGCAGTCGGGTCGGCGTTGAAGCCCTTGCCGAGATCGACGACGGAGGTGTTCTCGTAGACACTGACGATCCGGCCACCTAGGGCCTCCGAGTCGTTCAGGTATGGAGAAATAAGGTCAATGAGATCGGTGCGGTTGGGCGGGTTGAAGGGGTCGGGCATGAAGACGGAGCCCTCGTCAAGGTTGCAGCCGTGGATGATGGGGATTGGGGCTAGTTCGTAGTCGATCAGAGAATCCGTGAGGTTTTTGCTGAACCAGTCGTCGTCCAGGGTGAATTGGATGACGGACCCGCCTGTAAGGATTGGGGATAGCACGCTGATGGGGGCTGTTCGCAGGCACGCGACGCTGTCTGCAGCACTGGAACAGTTTGTCTGTGACAAAAGGTCTTGATATGCGGGCGCGCCGGCTTCAGGAGGCAAGGCGTACGGCGCCGCAAGAGCTCCAGGGCTGCCGGACTGGGTGATCATGCCTTGGAAGTATTTGTTCGTTTCGTTCAGAGTGTACGCACGGTGAAGCTGGGCCCAGCAATCCCATGCTCCTGCCGACTCGCCGAAGATGACGACTTTGCTGGAGTTCCCTCCAAAGCTCTCGATGTTCTTGTGGACCCATTGCAATGCGAGATACTGGTCTTTCAATCCGAGGTTCGAAAGGCCCTGAGCTTGGGTTGCAGGACTGGTCATGAATCCGAAGCCGCCAAGACGGTAGTTGAAGGCAACATAGATGACGGGCTGGCCGATGGATACAGAATACTGGACGAGCGCTGTCCCATTGTAGAAAATGGATTGACCGTTCTCGTTGCCGCCTCCGTGGATCCAGACCAGGACTGGTAGCTTTGACGAAGCAGTCAAGTTGTGCGGTCTGACGACGTTCACGGTCAAACAGTCCTCGCTCAGCCCGTTGTACAAGCCATAAAGCGGATCTTGCAAACACCCCGGTCCATAGGCGGTTGCGTTAAACGGGTTGGACAGAGAGCCTGTGAAAGGCTCAGGGTTTGCGAAACGGAGTGCACCTGTTGGAGGATTCGCATATGGTATGCCGAGGAATTGGTCAAGACCTTGGATGGAGCTGTTTCCGGCAAACGTCCCTGCTGGTACGCTCACAGTTGAAGCTGCAGTTCTAGCTTGAGTGAGGGTTGCAGCTACAAGCGCTGCCGCCCATAAAGCCTGGAAAACCATTACAATGTACCGTACCTTAGAGACGAACTTACAGAACAGCAGCAGAGACAGGAAGGTTCAATTTTGCAGCGAACCTGGAAGTGCTGGACGATAGCTCTTTACCAAGAGTGGGACTCCGGTCTAAGTTCATGACCCGCATCCAGCTTTTCCATCTTGGTGGTTGCAGACATCACTCGTTCTGCGTGTATCAGAAATGGGGTTCTCCGTCAAATGGGGCTGCAGAAGGCGTCCATAGACCATCGCGCTGTTAAACTCAATTGAGCGAAGTGTCGATGCGTAAGACATCAAGTCCCCTTGATCTCCACCGTATCTTCTATCAAGCGACCAGTAGGTACAGTAGGTTAGATGATGTGGTCAAGGTACAGTGCCGTCGATCGACTTTTAACATCTGATGGGCTGTACGGCGGCTCACTGCCATCCCATGCGCATTTACGGTACGTCACAGGCACGTCTACCGCCCTGGAGGGCTGCCTTACCGCCATCCTCTCTCGCGTGGTCTACAATAGAATAGCCTCTCGGCCTACATTAGCGAAGAGGTCGCAGACAACTTGGAAGCAAATTTCATTTTGTTTAATATGGAGCAGCCTTGACGGCTTGAAAAGACGCATACTCCCCCAGAGTCCGTGAAGAAGCTCGTCGTTGCAACCACCTGCGCTTCCATCAACCCCAGCTCCATCAATCTCCCAGTGAATTCTTCCTGCTCGTTGTAGCCCAAAGTCAAACATCTTGACCATTCCACAATGCCCAGAGCCGGTCTTTTTCATCATCCTGCGTATCTTCGTTCGGCTGTGATCTGGAACTACCACGCAAACGTCGTGAAAGTGCCTCAAGCGATGGTGACCATGGTCCAGCTTGCCAGTGGGATCGTGCCTTGGCGACGAGAGACCCCCAAGGGTGATGGTCTCGGTAGGTCTGTGTATGGTGTATGAAGAACCCAAGCATGCTGAATCCCAGAATCAGGAACAGAAATGACGTTGTGGTTTGAGGAATGAACGGCAAGATCTGCTGATCCATCGAGAAGACAGCAGAAGCCAAAGCGACAGGGGATATGTACAACTGTGGGTGGGTACGTCAGTGCTTTCGAAGGCTCAGCTTTAGGATGAGACAACGTACCACCATGAAGGAGAGTTGCTTATGGGAACGAACGGCGTTATAAGAAGCTTTAGCAAGCTTGCGTTGTTCTTCACCAAGCTCCATATCGAGGTAGGTGAGTTGCAATTGTAGCTGTAGCGCCAGAATTTAGACAAACGTTAGATTGGAAACTGGGCGGTGGCCTACCTCTCTTTTCATACGGCAGCATGTCTTAGCCATAGAATCGACCGATTCCCTCACCGACTGCAGCCTATGGAATGACCTTCGTATCGCATGAACAGAGTGACGGTTCTTCCATGGCTCCTTTGGATCTTTGAACTTCACGAGGTGCTCTTGTTCAAAAACTGCCCAGGCGTTGAGAGTTCTCGAGAGAACCTCTGATAGCTCTGTCAGAAAAGACAGCGCTTTCGCGGTCCAATTTAAAGACTTCATTATGGAGTCGCCGCGTTCTTCCCAATTCTCCGGCGCTGGAGGTCGTGCAATCCGGGTCTCATGGGCCTGCCCTTTGTTAGCATATGGTCGTCGACCTCTTCTCAAGGAAGAGCGAGAGAGCACGAACCTTGGCATACTTGCGAAACCCCCTTTCTACATTCCGAAGCACCTGTTCCCACTCATGGATGATTTGTTTCACCCGAACCTGCAGGATTTTCAGGAAGAAGTCTCTGGCTTTCTCCGGGGGATTGCCAGCATCGCCGGTGGCGCCGTATCCGCCAGGGACACCATGTACTCCAGAAGTTATGTCGGCAAGATATGTTCCTGCATTCCCTCCAACTTCACGATCAAAATAAGAGTCGACAAAGCCATATGCTACCCACCTCCATTCATCGACACCAGAGATCACACAAGATATCTGGGCCTCGTAGAGGAAAGAAGTACTACCCTCACAGTCCAGGATTGAAACGTCCCTGAAATTTCTCAAAGGCTCCCGGGAACTATCGAGACGGCTGTCCTCGCGTGGTTCTCGCGACGATCTCCAGGCATAATAAGGGAGGTGGAACTCCAGTTGAAATGAAGGCCATCCATCGCACTAAATTGCAGTCAGTCGAGTGCGTGTCTAATATCAACATTCACTTACCGAGGGTGCTACTTCGATAGAGCTTTGAAATGTCAAATGTTTGAAAACGGCATCCAGCAGTGCCCTCGCTTGAGATACCGAGGCTGTCGCGATGAGTGCATGAATGGCCCAGGCGTCCAGATCGGTGACGAATCTATAATGAGGGTATTTAGCCAGTGAAAACTCACTTGTGAGGCCAATACTTTACATCAGTCGTCTTTCGGTGTCCACTGCGTCATGCACCTTGTGTTCGGCGGGCCGGCTGTCATTCATAGGGTTGCTAATAGAGCGCCTTGCCTTGTCGATTGCGCACCCGTCTGATGACGGTGGTGACTCGTGGCTCCGGGAGCGCTGAGGTGAGTGATACAGCTTATTAGTTTTGCTCTTTTGGTGCGCTTGGGCTATTGGAAAGGGGCCTTACTGCGTTCCTCAATGCTTGATATAGCTGATGTGCTGTCAAGCTTTCAGCACCTGGCCTGAACCATCCCTCTCCACCTTCGGCGATCCATGCTTTGCATGGAAGTTTCTGTCCTGTCCAGATATCCGCTTGCAACGATTCTACATTAGCAGTAGAGACATACTCCTCCAAAAACTCTGCTTGGTGCAACGAGATATCAGATACGTCCAGTTCGTGCATAAATACGCGTTTCGAGGCCTGCCCATCGTCGAAGTCTTCGTCTCCGCACCCATCTTCGTCGCATTGCGCTACTGTAGAAGGTACCTCGCCCCAAGGGACGTTTTCGTCTCCCAGGATGCCATCATCAGCGTGGCCTGTCGAAATCAAAATGTCCCAATGAGGAGTCATGGCGCCTTCGATCTCCACCGACCCTTCGCTAGGGGTTGACTCAAGACTTGTGTGTGTGGCTGAATTCATGATCTCAAGCCGAGCAGACTTGCTCGCTTTGAGACACGGGTGAGTTTTGCGGCGCGCCATTGACTCCTATGTTGAAATTAGTGTTGACATAAATCCTCTACAGTGAAGAAAGCTTACCTCGTGTCTTTGATCCCTCAACATTGGCTTTGTGGAGGAGCCATAACCAGAGTCTGTGAACGATGTTCTTACTCCGAAGCGCCTACCATGTGTCAGATCCTCCTGTGGATCATCTCGTGCACGTAGTTCTGCAGAGGAGAAGTCTGCGTATGGGTTCTCAAGTAGTCTGATTCGGTCTCCGAGTTGCTCCTCCGCATTTTGAAAGACGTCGTGTGCTGGCACGATGTACGCGTTGTGTTCGCCGCCAGCGATGATATGGCCGTAGAGACCTCGAGTGCCTTCATCCACAACCCAAGCGCCACAATCGCCCTTGGCAAGTGGACGAGAGAATCGAGCCCTGTACACCCTCTGAAATGACTTGCTGTTTGGCAGACGGGTGAATGAAGGCGTGGCGTATAGGGTGCCTTTCACCATGCCAGCGGAGACGGTCGTGGCGTTGATTGAGGTGGTTTTCAAGGGCGCTCGTACGACATGTGTCGGTCGAGTTGAACGGAAGTCCTGATCGTCGCTTTGCCTCAGTATGCTAGCTGGATCATGTACTTTGAGGAGTGCGTAATCCAGGTCGGTAGAGAATGCTGCCAATTCGGCTCTTGCTGTCCCAGTATCTTCAGCGGACTGCCCATCCTGTAGCGATGCGGGCTGACTAGCGCGCTCCTGTGGGATAGGCGGCTGAAACAGATGTCCAACGGTATAGATATAGGTCTCCTGATTGTGTTGGACGAATCCTCCAAGGGTAGCTGACTGAGAAGAAGGGCCAGATTCAGTAAGCGTGGTGACTGAGACTCTCTTGCCAGTAACACCTACGGAGGCCAAGCTGGATTGATCAGGACTGGATGCTCCGGGCAGAGGTGTGGGATGCGATGCTAATTGATCAACGTAGTCGAAGTCTGGGGGTACAGCAGCGATGTCGGATGTCATGCCTGGGAAACCTGCGAGTAGCCGGCTTTCGTCGATCAGCCTCTGAGCCTCCCTGCACGGCCCAGTCTGATCGCAGATAAATACCACGACCGGGTGTGTCCTTTCTGGATCCTCGCCTACCATATAAACGGAAAACGTGACCCTAATCGAACTGGGTAGAGAGTCGAGGTATTGCTCGAGGTGGTTAATAATGTCCGGACTCAAAATTTCGAAGGCGTCTCTGGCCGGGCCCTTGGCCTCCCAATATTTGATCTTGTGGACAACCTTGAGGAAGTCTCCAGTAGATTCCGCCGAATCAGGCCAGCTTGCTTCTTGTTGTCTCCCGAAAATTGTTGCCACTCCGTTTCTAGCCAGATTGGTCATTGGGTGCGGAGAGTGCTTCTTGCCTGAGCAAGGAGCTGAGTAGAATTCATTCAGGCTAGAAGTTGTGAACCGCGGGAAAAGCAGAGAGACAGATAGAATGGAGAAAGAGCGGGCTGAGCTCGAGACGATATTGAGGGGTCTGAGGCCAAGAATGTCCGGGTATTGGGTAGGAAGGCGTCCACGCCGTCCAATCGAAGCTCAGATAGATGGGTTCTGCAAGAAACGGGGCAACAAAAGAGAAGTGATGCAAGGCAGATACATTGGGCTGTGTCATGCCTGTATTGGTCGCAACCTGCATGGATACAGCGCAGCATGGCTGTGCTCAGCGAATGACAAGCAATCCTTCTGACAACTGGTCGGTTGAGCGTGAACCGGAAGAGGCAGTGCCCCGTTATATGGTCGCTAACAGAAATATATACTGCGATTCACGCCAGCGTACAGTCCGATCAAACGAGCTTGCTCGAAAGATGGCAGGTGGAGAGGAGATCGAGCTTCGCAAGCCGGGGGCTTCGGTGACCATTACTGAAGGCCTGCTGCCATTGTGGCGTGGCAATACTTACCAAAATGCTTCCAACACCGAGATAGTCATGGACGCGTACCTACCGTATCAGAGAAAGCAGTGCTATTACGCGTGGTCTGATTGCGGTCGCCAGTTGGCGGCTCGAACAGACCGCGACATCCTTGAGATTGCAGACGACGTCGCGAAAGGACTGCCGAAAGAAAGCATCCGAAAGCGGCTAGGTCTGAGGCTTGCAAACCAAAAGGTTGGAGACAAGAGCGAACTGCTCGACGCATCAATCGACCTTTCTGCCCGGCTCCTGACGATGACGGACATCGGCCGGCTTCGCTATGCAGTCTGCCGTCGAAATGTGCTTCCATGGAACGAAGGCTCTTTGAAAGAGCTTCTTGAAGTCCATTTCAACCAACCAGTAACATTGGACCATGATGTTAAGTTGGAAAAGGCCTTTAACGCGCACAGCTTTCGCCGTATCACTGGATTTGAGGTCGACTGGACTGATAACCTAGCAGACCATCTGCGTTTGGACGAGGACAATCGGAGACTAGCCATATTTCATCATGCGTCGTTTCTGAAATGCCAGCGAAGGTATTGTTGAACATTCATGTGCATTTCTCCTGCTGACTGTGTTAGCGGGCTCTTTCCTGAAAGGTTTGTGGAGGAGACTGTTCAGACGCTGGCGTTGTTCTTCCCCCAGCTCGATCGGGAAATAACAGCATGGTTGAAAAAATTGCCACAAACTTTGAACATTGATAAGGATTTGACCAAGTGCGGCCGCCTCAGGCCTCATGCTCGCCAGATCGGGAACTTCAAATTCTGGCATGACCGCCTGGTGATGCTCAAGCAAGTATACGACCAGTCTCAACCAAGGACGCTTTCGCAGTTATGGTACGACAGGCGCAACGCGCTACAGTGGTATACTTTCTGGATTGCAATCAGTGTGTTCTGGCTCGCAATTGTGTTCGGCATGGTGCAATGCATCGAAGGCGCATTGCAGACGTATAAGGCTTTCAAACCAACTGGCGCCACAAAAACTCAGCTTTGATATTGAAAACGATCGAGGAGTGGTGGTCAAGTTACGGAGTATAGGGACCAAAAAGAAAAAGGAAAAGGAAGGACTTGCCGATTACTTTAGCTGAGCCTTGACGCGTCTAAGAATTACGCTCCATGACGTGTTATCAAGCGTGCAAGGCTGCGCAAGGCTGAATTCGCTGACCTCCTTCGTGATCTTTTACTAACGGAGCAATTCCGCTCACCAATCGCAGCTTAGGTAAGGCAGCTTACACTTCCTTCAACATCAGCGAATGATGGCGACCTCCACCTAGTCACAAAGACTCAGTGTGGCCGAGTCTCGGCCAAACAACTCTCGATCCGAGCACCATCCTTACAAAAGCCTGGGAGGGCCCTCGAATCATGCCTCCTCTCGTGATAGCGTGAAGAAGTCGTGAGAGCTTGTGATGGTAGATCTAACTCGAAGGACAGTGACAATAGCGCTAGTATTTACATTCAGCATCATTCTTGCAGCCAGCCTGCATCCGAACTCCCCACCCTATATCTCAAGCGCCTACGACGTGGCTTCCTCGAGACTGTTGAATCCTGTGAGACGATTGACCCAGCTGAGCAGATCATTCTCGACGAGTTTGGGTCGGAAGGAATCAACCATGGCGAAAAAGACCCCTGTCTACTTTGTCTCCCATGGAGTAAGGACTACAGCCTACAAAACAGATGCGAATCTCTGCTAACAATGTTCTAAGGGCCCGACAACAATGTACGACACCAAACATGCCGTCTACCCAGAATTGCAGCGTATCGGCAAAGAAATCACTGAACAAGTCAAACCCTCCGCCGTGGTAGTCTTCTCAGCACATTGGCAAGCTGAAAGACCCAACACAATCGAAGTCAATGTGTCTGAAGAGGAGCCCCTACTTTACGACTTCTATGGATTCCCACGACACTATTACTCGGAGAAATTCCCCAACAAAGGTTCTGCCTCGTTAGCGAAGCGAGTCATGGAGGTCCTGGGCGAGAATGGGATCAAGACCCAGCCGGTCGAGCGAGGCCTTGATCACGGCGTCTTCGTCCCGTTCAAGGTCATGTTCGACCCTAAGACGAACCCACTCACCGTGCCCATTGTGCAGGTTAGTCTATTTGACGATGACAGGGATGCCGCGGCGCATATAAAGCTTGGACGGGCAGTGCAGAAACTCCGGGAGGAGAACGTCCTGATCATAGCGAGCGGTATGTCGGTGCACAACCTTCGGCATTTGATGATGACCATGGGTACGGGGAAGACAATGCCGTATGCGGCGAGTTTTGACGCGGCCTTGAAGGATGCAGCAGAGACGAAGCCGGGTGAACATAGGGATGAGGTTATGGTTGATTTACTTTCCAGGCCTGATGCAAGGCAGGCGCATCCCACTTTTGAGCATTTGTTGCCGATTCATGTCGCTGTCGGCGCGTCTGGGGATGATCAAGGAAAACAGTTGTGGACGCTGGCAGAGGGGAGTATGGCCTGGGCGCAATATAGATTCGGGGAGGTGGCGGCTGAAGCCTAAGCAAAAGCCATTTTCAGTGCATCTTGAAGGTTCTCCTTTGCTTTTGCGCTTGAGCGTGCGTTGTATGTACAATCGAACTTCTCCAATGCGAGCATTTCTGGTATGGGGTATAATCGAAGGTGATCCGACCAGAGGGGCCACGTTCCTCGTCAGTATAAAACAAGGGCCACCGTTAAGTAGCCTGAGTCGCAGATTCTGAGTTGGTCTTGACTGTCTTCTCGCCTATCCTACTCGCTCTTGACCAGGGCCGTGATCTTCTCCTCGATTTCTTTGTCCGAGAGTCCTGAATGTTTTGTCAGAAGGCCTGTTCTCTTACTGTGGTAACTCGATGCCAACCTGATAATGACTCTGATTTCTCCTTTCCTAGCCCTATGCGAAATGATCAGCCTCCTCATCTACTCATGGGGTCAAGAAGTTGTTTTCGACATACCATATCTTGCCCACACCTTTGGCTCGACACCCACGGCTTCCCGTATTAAGATCGGCGTGTTGGGGTTGTGATGTTTCATCGTAGGATATGCTCGCTTGAGGAATGAACTGTGATGGTCCGTCAGTAACATGCACGAGAGCTTGCCGTCCTTGTCTGAAGTACCGGGCTGCTTCACTCCCTTGGCCGGAGCTACACAAATGGAATCGCAGCTCTCGTAGGCCTTGTGTGAAGGCATATTTTGTGGCCATGACGGCTCTTGAGCTTCTGTAACCTGGGTGAAGCCGTGAGGGTTGCTGGTGCGCCAACCCATAAATGAGCAGTTTCAATGACCTCTGGCTCGAGGCGCGGCTTTTTGGACTAACCGTAAATGGCATGGGTTCGGGGTTATTGAGAAAGCTCCGGACTGTGGCCGCAAGTCAACCGCATCTTTCTCCTCCCCAGCTTCAACCCATCACTTACATTTAACCATCTCAACTTCGCTTTCCTTTTGACATAAGCCAGGCTTCTCTCCCAGGCGACACTCTCCGCTCCTTTGATCTCTTCCTGTCGCCAGACGAGCGCTTCCAAATTCACCGAGACTTTCCACAGCCGCTCGCGACTTGACTCATTTTCTCCAACATGTCCGCCCGCTTCGGTCTGCGCTTTGCGCAACAAAGCGCTCGACAATCGCCATCCTTCACGACTCGCACTCCCTTCCAGTTCAGAAACTCCATCTTTCGACGATGGCAGGGTACCGCGACGAACCCGGCAGTCGAGGGTGCGCCGCCGCAGAGTACATGGCAAAGATTATTGACTAGCGAAGTTGGGATCAAGACGGTACACTTCTGGTATGATACGCACACAATCTCAAGAACTGTCATGCTGCTTGTGAACATCCAGGCCAATGCAGAGAGGACAGGCTAACTGGTTCTGTGTATTTCATAGGGCTCCTATCATGAAATGGGGTGTCGTCCTTGCTGGCGCAACAGACTTCCTTCGACCTGCTGAGAAGTTGTCTTTGACACAGAATCTCGCTCTTATGGCTACAGGTTCCATCTGGACGAGATGGTGTTTCGTCATCAAACCAAAGAACATGCTGTACGTCTTGCCATTTTCTAGGCGCCGCAGATTGTGCGGTCAAGGGTCCTATCCAGCATAGAACATATAACTAACCTTCGTTTCTGTGTCTTCAGTCTCGCAGCTGTCAACTTCTGCTTGTTCATTGTCGGCACTATCCAGTGTACTCGGATTTTCCTGTACAATCAATCTCAAAAGGGCACAAAGGGAGCCATTGAGCAAATGGAGAAGGATATCGTTGCTCCAGCCAAGAAACTTGAGAAAAAGGCTGAGCAGAAGCTGTGATTGGACTTGGACCAACTTGGGGTTTTGGAAAGGCGGGTAGACTGGATGTGGTGGATTGTATCTTCTTTGAGCTCAGAGCTGATATGTGCGGTCCCTCCTCATTCAGGGACCTGTGTACAGAGGACAAATAAGTGAGGACAGGGAATTCTCAGGGCTGTTGAGAAGCCTTGTTCGTGAAGTCTTACATATGCTTGAATACACTGGAGATAATGCTGAACTGTCGTGCCGGTTATATGTTGATCACGGTTGACCTAATGTCTCACCGAAGGAAAAGGTACGGGGGAGTGAGCAGTGTACCACGCAAAAAATGCGTCACTGTCGCTCTGGCAAAAGCCTGAGGGGATCAAATGTTCTGTTCGGCACCAAATCACCATTTAACAACATAAAACTGCACCTCTGCAGCAAAAAATCCTACTAGACAAGATGCTGGACGCCTTTGAGATTCTCACTACCTCCGGTGTCGTCCTGTGGTCTCGCTCCAGCTCCAGCATCGGTGCGACCGCAGTCAACCACCTGATCAACGATGTCTTCATCGAAGAAAAGGTCCGCCCAACGGTCGCGAACTCTAGCCATCCTACCTACAAGCACGACAAGTATACACTGAAGTATACATTAGTCAAAGAACTTGGTCTCATCTTTGTCGCGGTCTACCAGTCTCTTCTCCACCTTACTTGGGTCGATAAATTGCTAGACGATATACGGACAATCTTTGTCGAAGTCTACAGAGGGCAGTTGGAAGAGCTGGACTATGCTGCACAGAAATATCCATTTGACAAGTACTTCGACGAGGAACTGCGAAGATTAGACCAAAGCACAGGCGGAGCGGTTACTGCACAGCCTCCTCGCGCAGAGGTGCAAGAAGAGAAAAAGATCAGTGCTGAAGAAGGAGATACAGGAGGACCACCACCGCCGGAAGGACCTCAGTTTATCAAGGCGCAGCCTCGAGCTGTGCCTGTTCTGAACGGGGACTCCCCACAGGTTACACCTGTTCAGACACCTGAGACTTCTCGTCCGAGCACTCCTCTTCATGGGGTTGCAAGCCATCTGTTGGCAGAGAAGGCACGACCAGGAAGTCGAGGCTCTAGAAGAGCTAGGAAGGCAGCTCATGCTGTCACTCCATCTGCAAACGCGTCCTCTGGAGACGAAGCAAGAAGACCGAAAGCAGCAAGAGCCGCGTCTGCTAAGAAAGGACGAGTTTGGGGTCCTGATGGCGTGGCTGATGAAGCAGATGATGTCAACCTCGACTATTCAGCTGTCGGTGAGGAAGCAAATGGTGATGCAGGCGTCCGATCTCCACCTCCCGAGGCGATAAGTCAGGAAAGCTGGGGAACCAAAAACAAACAGGGTCAATTTGTCTTGAAAGATCTTGGTGATGAAGTCAACAACATTCTCAGCTCAGCGGATGCGGACAAAGCAGAGACCAATGGAGCAGGTACTTCGAGGTTTGGAGCCATTTCGGGGTATTTCAGAAATATCGTCGGAGGGAAGACCTTGACCAAGGAAGACCTAGAGAAGCCCCTGAGGTCTATGGAGGAACATTTAATCAATAAGAACGTTGCTCGAGATGCAGCAATCCGGCTATGTCAAGGCGTGGAGGCAGAGATGGTCGGCAAGAAGACAGGTGCATTCGAGTCTATCGACACTGCTTTGAAGCCGGCTCTGGAGAATTCCCTGAGGAAAATTCTCACTCCGAGATCATCATTGGACCTTCTTCAGCAGATCGAGACAGTAGCGAATCCTTCTGGCTCGAGAGCTCAGCCTCGCCCGTTCGTCATCACCATTCTCGGGGTCAACGGTGTTGGAAAGTCCACCAACCTGTCTAAGCTCTGCTATTTCCTGCTACAGAACAACTATCGAGTCTTGATTGCTGCCGGCGACACGTTCAGATCCGGCGCGGTGGAACAACTGAATGTCCATGTACGCAACCTGAAAGAACTGACTGAGCGAGAAAACCTCGGCGCGGTCAATATCTACGAACGGGGATACGGCAAGGATGCTGCCAATGTGGCCAAAGATGCAGTAGCATTCGCTGCCGCCAACAATTATCAAGTTGTTTTGATTGATACTGCAGGTCGAGCGCACACAAACACTCAGCTCATGGCATCTCTCGAGAAGCTTGTCGACTTCGCCAGACCGGATCTGGTGCTGCAAGTCGCAGAAGCATTGGTTGGAAATGACTCGGTCGGCCAGGCACAGAATTTCACCAAAGCGCTGGGGAAGGGCCGGAAGCTGGATGGATTCATTGTCTCGAAGATTGATACTGTTGGGTCCGGCATCGGAACCATGATCAGTCTGGTCCATGCTACTTCAGTCCCTGTGCAGTTTATCGGTGTCGGCCAGCACTACGGCGACTTGCGACAGTTGTCCGTGCCTTGGGCTGTGAACATGCTGATGAGTTAGCTGCATCTTGTCTCCTTTCACAGCCGTAGTAGGTTCACAATTTTGCCTAAGCCTTGGAACACATCCATGAGAGGCAGACCGGTAACGTTGATGCCATGCCATATTCTGGCTCAAATGAGATATGACTGAAAGATCATCAACTCGTCCCTTTTGTTTTCCTGAAGCACACACTCGCCACCCCTTGCCCTTTCTGTCCTCCAAATTCGAAGACAGGATACCTGATCCTGTCGTATACTTCGAACTTGCCAGTCTCGTTGGCGCTTCCAGTTGCTCCAGCTCCCGTGAACCACGAGGCAACCTCGTCCTCAGTCCAGTTGCAGCTCGTGACCAATAAAAATCCATCAAGTTTGACCATATCCAGCACTTTCGACGGGTAGAGCTCGCATATTCTCTTGACCCGGCCCGTCGAGGGCTCGGTGGTGGTCGAAGAGGACAGCGAAATCGCATCGAACGTGCCCTTATCCAGAACCAAGTCGAACCCACTCGGTGGTCCCTGCGCCGCGTCTCGTGGCCACCACGGCTGAGCAGTCGGATCGTCGTTGATCAGATCCAGCACTTCGAAAGTGATTTTGCCGTCGTCGGAGATCGAGGTCGAGGTCGGTGGACTCGGACTCGAACTCGAAGGTGGGAAGTATTGTCGACATAACTTCCTCGCCAACTCGACGCTTTGAGACGAGTAGTCCACGCCGATCATGCGGCCTGCATAGCCACCTTCGAGACGTAAAGAGAACAGCGCACTGCCGTTGCCTGTGCCGAGATCTAGGACTGTAGGCGCTCGAGTTGGCGCGCTCCCACGGCCGGTGTGGTTAGGTGACAAGGGAAACGAGTCGGACGTCAAAAATTCGAGAGTCTTCGCCGGTGCGCCGACGTCGTCGAACCAGGATTCAAGATCTGATGGGTCTGGTGGTTCGGCATCTCCTGCTTGATCATCGTCTTCCTCCTCGGCATCGGAGTCATCATTGTCGAGGTCGTTTTGGTAGTATCTATCCCAACTGTCGCAGTGATGGTGTTAGGAATACTCGGTACTTCGTGGACGAGTCAGGGACTTTTGGGGGGAGAGGACGCACATACTACTCCTTTGTTCCTAGTTCGCTAGGGTCCAGGTGTGTTGGGTGAGATGATGGGTGCGACGTCGTCGTCATTTTTCCCCGATGTCCCTTGGGATGAATAGCTTTGATTGCCCACCAAGAAGGAAATACCTTTTACACAAGAATTGCACCGTCCAAGTCAAAAAGTCGTTGATGAAGAAAACATTTCGAGTCCAGCATCTAATTTTATCTCAAACACCCCGCATTTCGCGCAGCCTCGTGAGCCTCGTCGATATGATTTTCTCACTTCCCCAATACCCTCTAGGTGCCCAGTGGTGGCCTCCGCGAGCTCCTCCCCCTCGACGTCCTGCACTCGTCCTGGCTGCGCCACCCTCCCCGACAGTTTCTGTGCAACTCACGGGGGCGCGTGTGAGGTGCACCCACCCTCGTTCAGCCCCAGCTCTATCGAACCCACAGTAAACAGTAACCGCCCCCTAGGCACCGTCCGTCGCCATGTTCCACTCGCGCGTCTCCGTCCCCGTACCCTCCACGCCCACCGTCGAAGACATCTTTTCCTCTGCGCTCTCGACCCTGTTCACCGACGACACACAAATCTGCCACGGGGTCCCCAGACAATCTGTTTACTACGACTCGCCGCGCTTCGGCAGGATTAGTCTGCGCATCCCTGCGCACCCAGACTTCGAAGAGGGCCGGAGGCTGTTTGCACATTATCTGTGGAACTCGGGCGTTATCGTCGCGGATGCTATTGAGTCGGCGTCTGTGCCAGAGAGTAACAATAATGTCCGTGACTCCGCATGCGCGGAAGTCTCGATCTCGCGCGACGACAACCAAGACCAGAGCGACGATGAGTGGAACAATCGATACTGGGACGTGCGAGGCAGACGCACACTCGAGTTGGGTGCTGGTATGTAGGACACGACTCGTACGTCATTTCCGACAAGCTCTGTTCAACTGTCTGACATGGTGGTCGCAGGAACGGCATTACCAAGTCTGATATCTGCGCTCTCGGGCGCAAAGAGTGTCACGATAACGGACCACCCTTCCAGTCCGGCGCTGACCATGGGCGCGATTGAGCAGAATGTTCGCGACAATCTTCGCAGGCCCAAGGCGGAGGCGACGACGGCCGAGCAGAACGTTGGTGACAACGCCGACGTCAATAAATCCCGGCCTGGTCCTCCTCCGGGGCCTGTTTTTCACGAGCAGGACACTGATGCGGAACCGAACGGCGTAGAGGGCTCGGGGCTAAAATCAAATGCTGACTCTCCGTTCAAAATCAACGCCGACATATCAGTGTATAGCTACACATGGGGAACATCGACATTCTACCTTCCCAGTTCTTACGGCAAACTTGCGCCCAGTCAACCCGAAGCATTCGACCGGATCATCATAGCTGATTGTCTATGGATGCCCTCGCAGCACGTCAACCTGTGCAAGACTATCCTGCGCTATCTCGACCCGTTAGACCCCGACTCCTGTGCCCTTGTCGTTGCCGCCTTCCACACAGGGCGGAGCATTGTGCGGAACTTCTTCGAAGTGGCAACGGGCGAGTACAAAGTCGAAAACCTGGAGGGTCGGGACGAGGACGAGGACGAAGATGTAGATGAAGAAATTCGAGCCGTCAAGGGTAAATTGAGAGCCGCCGAGATCTTCGAGATCGATACGAACGCTGTGCGAAGACCTTGGGAGCCAGTGCGGCCGAAGGAGGACAAGCACATGGCGAAGAGGTGGTGTGTTTGTGCCGTGCTTGTCAGACGATAGGCCTTTACCCCGATCTTGGCACCTTGTCAGCAAAGCAAGACGCACAAGGCCGAAAGAAGTTTGGAAGATGATGGACGAGTCTCGGAGACCGTGCGAAGCAGGTACAGAACCATCCTGCCGAGGCCTTCAAGTCCGGCCGATCTGTGTCAAACGGCCAGAGAACGGCAAGGAGTGGTAGATCTGTGGTTGCTTAGCCAGGATGAGGAGAGATCCCGGAAAGGGGGAGAAGACGTGGTTTCTCGAGCTGAACAAATCCAAATCTATTCAAAGAGGTCAAGGAGGTCAAGGAGGAGGTAAAACGGCCACACGTCCATCCCGTGTAAAATGTGGATACGATTCATCAAGGCAGTCGCGGCTCGAAGTGTACATGTCCCACACAGCCAAGTATGCCTGATAAAGGTGTCTGAGGAGCCGTAAGAGTAGGCGAGATGGTAGACCTGGGGACTGAAGACTTGTGACGCTGAGGAGTACATTTTAATGTGTTTATCAACGTGGTCCTTATTGCTTCATAGCTTCTCGTAAGATACTGATTAGGATTCTGCTTTGTTGATCGTGAGGGCATGCGGCCCAGCCATCATAGAATGTTCATCTCAATCATTGATCCTGCTAATTACATGTCCTCCAAGCACGTCGATGTCAATGTCGATGTTCGTTAATGTACACATGATCGATGAAAAGATCGACGTCATCCGTCATGAAGAAGCAGCTGCCATCTCACAATTCGTACGCTGCGGACCGCAGCCACAAAAGATGACAGCCTCATGTCGCGCCGCCTGCAGCAGTTCGTCCATCGGCCTGCATCATGCCCGCCCCACTCTTGTCCCAAGATACCGAGACCATTGCCATCACAATACCACCCAGGATAGCTTTTGGCTATTGATTACCTCCCGAACGCCACGCTGAATGCTGAATGCTGAAGAATCGAAGTCGTTGATATCAATACGAAGAATTTGAAGAATTTGGATCAAACCTGTTGAAATTGTAAGACGGTGGACCAGGAGGAGGTAAGTGGAAATGATATCGATCAGGAGGTCGTACACTAGATGAATGCGCTGGCACTGGCAGTCTCGGTGCTTTCGGCGCTGGCGCTTCGTCATCGCTCAGAGTTAAGTCAATGACATCCTCGCGAGGCCGCTTCGATCTTGAGGCAGACGGTGCGCTGGATTCCTCTCTTGAAGAAAGAGGTGGCGTTCTAACACTGTGTGGTGTCAGTGCCTCAACCTTCGGCCGAATGTTTGGTTTGTCTCCTAATTCCACGAGATCTCCATCGTCGTCGTCGTCGTCATCATCATCATCGCTTGGCGTAGGATTGGATTTCCGCTGGTTCGAAGTTTCGTTCTCCTTATGAATCGCCCATAGTCCATCAGGTTGTACAGTGACGGCTTCAGTATCTGTTGGCGTCGAGTTCAGAATGTCATTAACATACTGATCCAACACCAGATTTTCCCAGGGAGCCGCCTTGTTGCATATCGGGCATGTCCACGTTGGCGCTTGTTCTTGAAGTTGGAGGTAACATGCGGCGTCAAAGCACTGATTGTGGTTGCACCCGATGGAGCGACAGGGTGTGACGATCCGAGTGTATGCGACGGGGTCTTTCAAGGACAGAACACTCGAGGTCGCGACGATATCAGGGTCATCTGCTTTGGTTCGCACTACACATGTCAGTATGCGCTATTTGTACGGGACAGCGCGTACTCACTTTCTCTCAAGACTTGTTCCTTGCTGATCGTTCGCCCTCGCCGGATTTCGGAGACCAAGGAGTCAATACTTTTCTTCTGAGCCATATTGACAACTAGGTAGAATTTCTGTATAGCCGGTTTTGCCTGTAAGCATGATAATTCTTAACTTAGATATCGGACACAAAAGCGAAAGCACGTAGAAAGAAATCCTTTGGCACACCTTAGAAGTTAAAGCATAGATCATTTCCACGATATTCGGATAGTTTGGCGGCTTTTTCCGTAGGAAGTCAGTGATATCAGCTGGTTTTGTTGACCCAGGGCGGTTTTTTAGCCCTCGTAAATTCACTTTGACCTCGTCTGAATTGCACTTCAATTCCACGTTATGAGGAAATGCGATGTCGGATTCTCTGAATGGCAAGCCTTCTCCAGCACAGAAAACCATAATCCGATATGTCGGGTCCGATTCCAGTTGATCTGCAACCTGTTGGCCAAGCGTGACTGTGAGTCGAGCGGTCTCTCGGGACGTCTCTCGTGCTGGACCTAGGTTAGTGTGGCTTTGAAAGACACTTCTAGCGTGGTCGTACCTCTGCACTCTATAGTCTGGGTGAGCGGTCTGATTATGTTGTAGAATGGCGAATTCTTGAAATTGATCCGATCTGCTTGTCATCAGACACTTTCCTATACCTCGGAGGAGCCAGTCTTACTAGACGAATACGGAGAACTTGTTGAAGGCATGTTGGTGTATATGCCACGAGGATTCGGCGACGAAAATTGAGGAGAAGCGGAAGAGGTTGGCGTATGGGCAGAGTATGGCGAAGGGTAGGTGTGATTGTTGTTGTAGGACGGAGGAATGCCTCGAATATTTCCCCGTACCCTGCTCAAACCCATCTGATCATCGGCATTGCGCAGTTTCTCAATGTCTGTCCGAATGGCAAAGTTAGGCTGCGGTTCGAATCGAGCTGTGTGCGGGCAGTGATGTTGGGCAGTGGCCATACGTGCAATAGTCCTTATCTGGAGTTCACTCTTTACCCCCGACACAGGCAATCCCTCTGTTCTGAGCAGTGTTTTTAATTTTTCCACAGTTAAAGTCTTTACTTGAGCCACCATGGCCTGCACCTGGTCCTGCGCCTGCATGTATCCCGCCATGGTGGAAGGCGTGGTCGGCGGAACGGGTGGTGATTCGGATTCGATATGCACACGGTACTATCGTAGGTAGCCAGACATAGTTATGAGTGCACAATCAGGGGCACAGAAGGAAGCCCGGATGCTCTGGTATAGTCTTGACATAAGATCGGAGGGTGGTGAGGATGGAAGGCGGATGTCGTCGGTGGTACGAAGACCTGCGAAGAGATGTGATAGTCGACTGCGGAATGGCCCATAATTGGACTGCAAGGATTGGTGGGATTCCCACAGAATTTCTCTACTCGCTCGGCAATTCTTCACTTAATCGTCATCCAAAATTTACTCTTTCGTTCATTTGGCCCACTTGCTTTACCTTCCAGCGTTCTTTCCCTCCTCACAGGAAGATAGCGGCAGGTCAGAAGCGTTGTCAACATGGCCAAATCAGCTAGAGCCTCTAACACCAAACGAAACCGCCGAAATCTTCGTGCCAAAGTCTTTGGCCCGGCTCACGATGCTCGATTAGAAAGACTGTCTGCAAAATTACAAGAGGTGGCATCAAAGCCCAGTGTGACCGAAGAGAAGGCTATGGAGGTGGATGACACAACTCAGCAAGCAGAAGAACAGCCGACACAAGATGGTGCAGAAGGTGAGAATGTCGTAGAACGAAACCATATGCTGTGCTAATGCAGTCTTAGAAATGGAAATTGATGCTGAAGGAGTCACCTTGAAGCCTGTCAAGACTCGATCAGACAAGAACCGCTCCGGCCGAAAAGAACACCGGGTTTCCAAGAAGAAGGAGAGAAATATGATGGTGTTTGCTTCAGAAAGAGCCAGGAAAGCGAAAATGGCATCCAAGAAGAAGAGAAAGTGAAGTAGAGACTAAGAGGCCACATCTCGAAACACTTCATAATGATGGTCCAATTGCTCTTGCTCGACGTTGTGTGTCGAATGAGCGAATCTGCCCTCTGCAGGCGACGGAAGAAATAACGACGATGATGCCAGATCAATCTGAACCAAACCTCCTTGTTCGTCACATTAATACACCAAGCAGTCTAGCTGGGGCTTTTCCCAGACGAAGCAGCATGGATCAGCGGTGATCTTCACGTCCGATCCATGTCCATGGCAATTTCACCTGCGGCGACCGTGCTTGGGCTGGAAGTACTATGAGCTATCTCGATTGCTCACAAGAAATCCTGTCACGCCTAACACGAGCTCCTTTGTCACAACAGCGACATCCTCATGTCGTTCTGGTCCCGCCAATCCGCTCCTGGAGGATGTCAGGCTCAAACGAGATCTGTCCCACACCGTTGCCGAATTGACCGGATCTTGTACCTTGGTCTGGTCTGTTTCTCAGCGTCTGCAGGCGAGAGTGAAGAGATGGCAGCGCAGGCCTCTATGGCAATCTCGAGCTAGGAATACGGTGGACGTCATGCTAGGACGAGGTTCCCAGCATCAAAAAGATTCGGAGTGCCTGGGTAATTTGGCGTTCTCCCGGGTCTTCTTCCCATCATAGAACTTGATGCAAGGTGAATGAATTGACGGAGAATAACAACATGAACTGCAGACAAGAATACTAGTAGTCAATAGTGGACAGAAAGCAAAGTACTGTACCAGTCTCTCTCTGCGCCAGTGTACCACCACCCTGGCTCCCTCCAGCCTCGCGAGTCTCATGTCCACATCGTATGATATCTTCTTCTCCCCGACAATGCATCTCCTCGAAGACAGGGTGAACCACTTCACCAAGTCCTCCTGGCCCTTCTCTTACTTCCACTGATCAAATGATAGACATTGATCTTCGCATTACCACCGCAATTCTCTCTGTAATTGCCCTGACAGCCCACATTGCAATCGGCATCGCCGCCCGGCGACAGCACGGCGCCATTGATGACGCCCGCGCCGTTACAAAAGCACTGGTTCCCGTTCTCCACGCCCATCCACGCGTACCCCTTGGCGAAACAGTACGCCGCGCACAGCTCGACTGTCAGACTCGTTATCGTCGGGGCGCTGCTGCCGAATTGTGCAGTGGATCCCAGTGCCCTGGCGCCCGAAGGCTCGCTGTAGCATCCGACGTAGCCGTACTGGCTGCCGGACTGGTTGGGCACATTCACTGGGTTCGGGTTCGTCGGCTTGACGTACAGTGTGTTGTTGTACAGACTGATCGCATTGGGCCCGCCGCATGTCTGCGTGCTGTTCCCCGCGCAGGCCATGTTGCATTTGTTGCTAGCGAGCACCGTCGAGGCCGAGTTTAGCACGCTGCCCGCCAGACATTGGGTTGAGTACTCGAGGCCGAAATATGCTAAGTTCAGGGCTTGCGCGGTCAGTGCGCATTGGTCAATGGTCATGCTAGACCCGGAAGTGTAACTCGCGTTGAGCGCGCGGTTGGGCGAGGTCTCGCTGACGCAGTTCAGGTATGTTATGCCTGTCGCTTGCGGCTGTGGAGTGGGTGTGGTACTGGCGGACGATGTGCCCCCTGTTGTTGTAGGTGGAACGTAGTTGGATAACGCCCAGACGGAGATACGTGAGTTGCCGCCACAGAATTCGGTGTTGTCGCCGGTGCAGATGGCGGAACAGTTGTTTTGGAGGACTTGAGACGTCGAGATGGTGTTGCCGCAGTAGCATTCTAGAGATGTCAGTGTCAGATATGATACGACGATAGTACCGGAATAAACCAAAGCAGGGGCAGAATGACATACCTTGCGCATACTCTGTTCCGAAAAGCGTATATTGCCCTTTCTGGCAAAAGGCCGCGCAGTTTTCCAGCGACATACCAGTGCTGTTCGAGTATTTCGCGCCAGGCAGTGCTTTTGCGCCGACCCCTTCGACGAAACAACCCTGGTATGTCGCGGTGCTGCCGTCAAGGAGAGGCAGCCTCGACTGGCCTGCCACAGGAAGCCCCTTGAGCGATGGTCCGGAGTATGTCGTGTCATTCCAGATCTGCATGAGCTGCTGGCCACCACAATACTTGAACAAGTTGCCAGAGCAGACATAGTAATTCTTGCTCGCGCACGTCAAGGGATCCTGGAGGAGTTGATTCTGGGCATTGCCGCAGAAGCACTGCGTCGAAGCTTCCATGCCCGCCATGGCGTAGCCATTCTTTTTACAGAAGGCCGTGCATGATTCGATGGTCATATTGGTGTTGTCATAATATGAGCTTCCTACGAGTGGGCGGGGCGTGGAGTTGTCGAGCGCGCAGCCCATGTATTGCCATGTGCCGACCTTGTCACCAACAGCTGCGACGGAGCGGTTTTTGTAGTCCTGATTGTCGACGTTGTTGACGGTTGGTTGGACGGGGCAAATGTTTTGCGAAGCACGTTGAGGACCGCCAGTCGGTGGGTTACAGCCTGGCAGGACTGAAATCAGGCCATGTACTTTCTCGTTGATTACAGCTGGCTGTTCAGGGCAATTCTGGTTGAAATACGGATCTTCAGAGGCTGCAAGTGGCGGACAAGCACCGATTGCTCCGTTGTTGGTCGCATTAGCTCCCATGCATTGTTTGATGGCAGCCTCCTGGACTTGAGGATCCCAACCGTTGAGGAAATCGCCGTGAAAGCCGTAGCCTGTAGTGTCGCCCTGGGAGAAGACGAACATTCCTCCGTCATTTTTCGCAACGGTGTTGGGGAAGTAAATAATCTCGAGGAAAATATGAGGCAGGAGCACTGGATACCCAGGTGGACAGACACCATTATCCATACCGGACAGGTAGGCCACGTGGCTCTGGTCTGGCTTGTAGAGATTGACACCGTCCCAACAACTTTGGAAGTGGACTTGTGCGCGCAGACCTTGGTCGCACGAAGTAACGTTCAGACCTGGAGTTTCCGGCATAGGACCACTGCTGTCGAGACATGCGAAGCTTACTCTGTTGGATATGGGTGTAGGGCCGTAAGTCCTGTTTCCCCAGGTCAGAGTATTGGGATCAAAGGCTCTGGCTGCAGCATCTCCCGAGAGCACACGGAAACCAGGTGGGAATGGTTTCATGTTGGGTATATCGACACCGCGATCCAAGTAGTAAGCGACAGTACCATCGTGGGGAACCTCGATGAATGACCCGTTGCGGTACCGGTAGTACAGGCTAGGGGTCCAGTAAGCGCTCTTGTCGGATTGGACTTCGCATGAGGTGCAGAAAGCCGCCTGAAGATCGTTGAAAGTCGAGGTGGTGTTGATGTCTGCTTATCATCAGCACTGTTTGGGTGAGTAATTCCCGTCGAAAGCTTACTGTTCGGTCCGGCAATGGTGTGAGAGTGACCTGCGACACCACCAGGGGAGATGATTGGATCAACTCTTCCAACTTGAACGGTACCACAGCGCATACGCCAGAAAGCCTGGACATTGCCAAAGGTCAAGCTGAGCAGGACAGCCAGCAGGGCGCTGTGGAAGTTCCTCATCTTTGCGACCAGAAGAAAACCTGCGCAGAGAAGTCTGACCTGAGGAGGAGAGAAGGAGAGGGCGAGCAGGGCATGATTTTGTCCTCAAGACTCGACATCAAAGAGAAGAAATGGCTGCTTCGGGAAAGACAGTGGCCGCAATCGGTAATCAAAGAGTTGAGCGGATGCAGTTTCATTATGATGCAGCAATCCGTCTACCTATGAGTCGTGGTTGAGCTGGCGCCATCAGATGACATGGAATGCAAACAAAACAAAGGAAGTCGGTGATTTTGTGTGCAGCCTTGGGCACGTGGGAGAGAAAATCGAGAAGAGACAAAGGAATCATTGTTAGTTAAGGGAGGTCTGGACTCTGTACATTTCGAGGACTGTTCAAATCAGCAGCACGACTGCAATGTGGTATTCCTTCTGACTTTTTGACCAAGATGCTTGACGTGCGAGTTCGATTCGAACATTAATGTGATGGCTTCATGATCAGCCAGCTTTGACAGGGATGTGGCCTCTACGTGATAATATGTGATGACCATCTAGAGAAGTAGTTGACAAAGAACGACGTGATTTTTATGCACAGAATTGCTTGATGAAAGTCAGTCCAGATGGATGTTTTTGTCGGACTTCATGCTGAGCAGTGCTGAGCAGGAGTCTACGGAGGAGTATATATCTTTTATAGCACTTTATACGGATAATGATATCCCTTCTATAGCATTTCATACGGAGAAGTACTCGGCACTATTACGCGCATCCCGAACCCTTCCTACTTCCCAACGTCGCTGTTGGATTCAATAGTTCACGACTCTGCTCGTCCAGTCTCCCTCAGTCGCTATCCGTGTTTGTCCAGATTCGAAGATTGGTATCTGAATCTATCCCGAGCTCGGCCGAGGTCAACGGCGTGCCATGGCAAACAATGCATCCATTTCGAACTCCAGTCATGCACATCGGCCTAAAGAAGGTCCTGCGGGAAAGCAGCACGACTTACTTGGCCCTTTGATGCTATAGCTAGAATGATAAGACCCCCAGCGTACACTTTGGTTCCCCAGCATATCGCCATAGGCGGGATCGTATCATGTCCAGACTCGGCCAATGCGATAAGGGTATAACACAGCCGCCAGTCAAGCACGTATATAACATATCGCATCGGCGGAAGTCAATGCCTGGTATTCCTTGACAAGCACATCCTTCACTGTACGATGGGTTCCCATACCAAATTCCACGCGAAGCTCCGCGGTAACTTCCAGGACTTTCAACATGCTTTCACCAGCAAGCAAGCATTTTTGAAGTACCTCGAGACGTCCTGCGACGCCGGTAGCGTCGCAGGACCGGTCCGCAACAAATGGACGAATGAAGACCTTGACATCAGCCCTACAACCCATCACACGTAAAGATAGTATGATTATGCCGTTTTCTGGTGGTCTTATGGCTTCGCTCCGGGGTCCTGGTACATCGGAGTCGCGCTGCCTGTCATAGGGCTGACTCCCGGTCAAGCTTTGGGCTGTCTTTTCCTCGGGGTTTTCTTCGGTTCCGTGGGGATCGTCATGCACTCGCGTGCAGCTGCAGTGTACCACTTTGGCTTCCCCGTCGAGACCCGGATGGTCTGTGGCCTTCGCGGCGCATACTTTCCCATCTTGATTTGTGCCTTGTACGCACTTATCTTGGGGGCGTCACCATCGCGACGGGCGGATACTTTACGACTGTCTTGCTGCGTTGCATTTTCGGCGACAGTTTCTGGAACCTGCCCAACCATATACCGAAGAGCTCGAATATCACGGTGCAGCAGCTGATAGGTTTGTGTCCCCAAAGAATCATTCGAGGCGCGCAAGTTTTGGAAGCTGACGAAACGTGCTTTGCTGCTGCAGGGATTATTGGCTATTGGGTCATGACCTGTTGGACGATCAATGTTCCCATCCCTAAGCTGCCTCGAGCATACGAGATCCAGATGTTCCTCATCCCTCCTGTGATCATCGGTACATCTGCCATTGCATGCTCAAGCGTCGTTGACCGGTTCTTGCATAGGTCTCTTCGCTTCTTGTACGTTGACCCGCCGAGGACATACGCATCGGGATTTGACGGCGTCGAACGGAAGCATGGCGCGGCGTTGTCGTGGGCATTGGTAAGAAGTGTTCCGTGGTTGCAAAAAGGTGGAATGGATTCTGACATGCGACAGCTGTCTGTCGTTAACTCGGGTCTGGCCAAAACCACCACACTCATGGTCAACCAACCGGACATCGCACGCTACGCCCGGAGCAAGATGGCTCCTGTCTGGTCACAGCTCGTCATGTTCCCTGTGGCAAGTACAGCTTGCGCAGCCATGGGCATATACGCCACACAAAGCATCTACAATGCATGGGGAAACATGGATTGGAACCCGTGAGTTCGACAGCCCTCCTCTTCAGTCCAGAACTATTGTCGTGGTCGTCGTTGTTAGTGCACGAACTGACAAGGGCTTTCCTCAGGTGGGTGTTGAACCATGACATGCTGGACCATGATTTCAGCCACGGCCGGAGGGCCGGCATCGCCATCATTAACATTGTGTTCATTTTTGGAAACGCCCTCACAGAGCTCGGGGCCAATGTAGTCCCGTTTGGAGCGGACTTTATGTCCTTGTTTCCTAGATGGCTCAACATCAAGCGGGGCATGTGGCTGTGCTATATCCTCGGTGTCTGTACCTGTCCATGGCAGATCCTTGCGACAGCCACGGGCTTTCTCAAGTTCCTGAATGGGTACAGTATCTTCCTGGGGCCTTTTCTCGGTATGGCTTTGACGGATTACCTGGTGGTTGGCAAAGGCAATGTCTTCGTTAAGGATCTATACAAAGTGGGTGGAAGGTATTGATACTTCCACGGCGTAGCTTGGAGGCCGATACTGACGTGGCTTTTCTCTTTTGCTTTTATGGTACGTTCTAGACCCAAGTCCAATGCGTCCGGTGTGTGGTCTGCTTGCTAACCCAAAAACATAAACAGCTTCCTGGATTTGCGGAAACCTTTGGCACCCAGCTTGGTAGCAGTGGCGGTTGGACCCACCTGTATGCCTGTAGCTGGTTCTACACCTGCACGGTCAGCAGCATAGTCTATTTTGCATTGGGATTCGTTGAGAAGTACGCCAAAGAGGAAAAGGCCATGTCATTTGAGAGCTTAGGAGGTGCCAGTGGTGTTGTCCAGGAGCTGCACGCCGTCGATCCCGAGAGCGACGTGTCCGAGGTCAATCTCCCTGTTGAACAGAAGGTCTAGCCAGCACGTGTGCAAAGTCGGTGAGTTAGGAACACAGTAGTGCGTCGTAGTGATAAGATGCAAGAATTCCAAGGCGTCTAGATGCGAGACCAGACAAAGAAGCGAAATGAGCTCGAAGGTCAAGTGATACAGCCCATTATTCCCCTTTCGTCTTAGTTCACGACGCGTCGCGTCCGTTTCGCGTTTTTGGTAAAGCGTGGGCGGCGAGCAAGCTCAAATCGAGATCAGAAGCAACAAGCAGGCCTCTTCCCTGCAAGGACTCGAAGCATCGCCCGGGTTGACGCAAGCTACCCGTTTGTGCAGAAGATGTTTCATAGGTTCTGACCAGGCTTTTGACCCATGGTAGACAATCAATTCTCCGACGCCAATCGATACGAACGGGTGACGGAGCGAACTGGGTGGGTGGGCAAAGCTCGACAGCTACGACTACGAGTAGGAGCTACTGCACGGAGTACATAGTACAAATAGTGAAGCCGTGACCGGCTTGTACTGTATGCAGGTTGCTGCAGAACCGTTAGCCCTTTCATCGTGGCGCGCAGGTTGGAGATCGAAAAGATACTAGTAGTGGCCCATCGGTGACCAGGCGCGCCAGGCAAAGAAGAACCTCTTTTCTCAGAGCAGCTTTCACTGATGGTGATCAGGATTGAGGACCACTCACTCACTACCAGGTACCTTAGCAGAATCAGGATTACCCTGAGAATCAGATGACGATGGAGCTCTCTACTATGTACCATAGCATACGGAGTAGCTTGTTTAGGCCTGGGTGAGCCCCGTTGAACAACTGCGGGTGCCTGTGTGCCATGCCAGGGGTTGTTCCCGTCAGTGCCCGTGCCCGTCGCAGCTCCCGGCGCGTGGTCGATCATGAGTGATGGGTGCCTCCGAGTCCCGTCAAGTTTTAGACTTCCCACTGCCTCTTCCGTCCACCCAGTCCTGCATCTTGCATCCTGCATCTCGCATCCCTCACCATCTGCACACCTTCGGCCTCCGACTCTCACACCGCCAGTAAAGCACCCCCTCTTTGGTCGCATTGTCCATACCACTCGTCCTCGACCTTCGCTATATCCTTGCGACTGTCTCTGCCATCCGAAAACACCATCTTCCCAACGGCGCGCGTCACAAAAGCTTCCGGCGCATCCTGACCGTCTGCCCACGTCACTGCCAGCGCTTTGGCCCATTGGCGCCGTACCCTCGCCCGCCATGTTACTTCCATCTGCGTTCTCCTGCGATGGAGGACACTCGACCGAGTCGAGAGCCCAGCGACCCATGTTGCCCTCCTTCGCTGCATACCAACCACAACACTCTGTCCAAGTGCGCCCGAGCCCACTGTCCTCCAGTTGTCGCGCCCTGCACGCAATCCTAGGCGCCCCTTTGACGATAGAACGGTCCACTCCGCCTCCTCCACCACCTCAATCGCATGATCCTTTCCGAATATCGCATGAAGCAAACGCATCGAAACAGACACTACCACAACAACCACCGCGCAGAAGCACACACAAGAGACGGCGCAGCGACTTCGAGGCCGACCTCATCCCATCGGCAATGTCAGATACAATGATGGAAGACTGCCCACAGACCCCTCAGCCAGTCCGAACGCCCAAGAGACGGAGAAAGGTGCCATTGTCAATACCCATGGGTCTTTCGGCCGACGACTTCCGCGCCCTAGACACTCCGTCTGAAGAGAAAGAGGACCTTGACCTCGACATGCCCATCATGAGTCCCTTTGTGAGCAACACGCATTCAGATCAAGACTCTGCATACGGATCATCGCCGTCAATAGACGATTCGGACTGGACCATCGACGACGATAGAATGCTTGTCGAGACTGTCCTCGAGAAACTAAAACTCTCCAAGCGAGACTGGAATGATTGTGCAAGAAAATTGGGAAAGGACAAAGACAGCCTGGGCAGGCGATGGAGTCTTCTCGTAGGAGAAGGTAACGTCGGTCTGAGAAGAGGAGGGAGGATTTCAAGAACAGACTTGGACATTCCGTCTTGGTAGCCTTGTTCCTACCACCCAGTTCTTGATTTGTATAAGTACATTTATCATCTTGTTTCTCGCCCGCTCCAGCGAGTCGGCCATTCATAGATACCCTCATATCATGCAATTTATGTCCTTTGATTTCCTTCACGTGTCGTCACATTGTTACGCCGTACGGACAAGGAGTCCGAGTATCTCCTGATTCGTCACCATTTGTGATCACTTCAAGCTTTCGTCCACAGTATGATGACTTTTGTAGTCATTGTCGGTTTTGTATGGTATTGCATCGTATCGGTAGCAGGAGAAAGTACGGCTGGGCGACAGTTGCGATGCCGAGTCATTAGCCATCGGTGGCCCTGCAGACCGCTTCATGTGCATCCAGACACATGACTTGGGTGGCTGTATCAGTCAGCCAAATCCCATAACACTGCTCGCGACAAGAGCAGCGTGGTCATGGTGCTTCAGAATCGTATCTCATAACTCCCAGCTTTAGTCATGTAGCGAACCCATTTAACACTGCTGTAGTTGTTCTTTTCGAAAACCTTCAGATATCGAACCAACAAACCTGAGCTGGTAAACATGAGCAGTGAAAAGTTCATGCTAAGAGGTGGCCGTGACCAGGCCTTTTGGTTGGTCATGCTAGTAAGATGTGCTTCAGCACTAAGCACAAACTCGCTACCGCCGGTAAATCGCGCAATCTTCCAAACGATGCAGTTGTTCTCGGGTTCGTACTTGGCTTTGCCTTGCGTGGTCCTCTCCGTGATGCTGGCAGTGTTCAGTGGTGTTGGTATTCGTATCACCACATTGGTCGCAAACAGCTTGCTGCCGTAGTTCGCTTTGACAGCGATACTGTATTCCACCTTGGTTGTGCCGACCTCACGAACAATAGCATGCACTTTGAAGGGTAGGTTGACGTTCTCAACCGCCCGGTACCGCATAAGCTCGAATTCTCCGTCTGGAGGGACAAAGGATATCGTTCGGTCCGTCTCAAATTTGCCAAGTTGTACGCACTGATGGAACTGACAATCTTCCAAGGTCACCGAACCTGCGGCCGCTCGGGTGGCCTTCCTCCTGCCCTCTTGGCTGCTGATAGGGCCGTCCAAGCCATGAGCGATTTGTCCAACAACTAGTTGGTCATTCAGCCCGAATTTGCACTCAGGTGTACCAGTCAAGTATGCCCTCATGACGATCTGACCGGTAACATCTGCCCTCAACACCGTCCCCGTCGCGCTCATGAGCAGATTCACATCCTCTATGACATCCACGAAAGCCTCGTTCTTGCGGTATTTGATATCTCCTCTTCTCCACGACTGGGCACCCGTGGCCTGCATTGTGATTTTGGAAGTATCGCTGGACGGTGCGGATACGGACCGAATGGCAGAGGAGATGTTGTCAGGTGTAATGTACATCTTGAGGACGTCGACATCGGTGTTTTGAGGGTATCCAAAGTCGAGAATCTCTATGAGTAGGGTAAGTCAAAGCATTTGGAATGAAGCGTGTCTATTACCATCGAGTAGTTCATAGATCAGGACAAAGTTGTTCTTAACAGCCTCCTCATCGAACTTTCCAAAGTACTGTTTCCCCAGACCAATAAACCTGTAGAGGAATTCGAAGACAATGGCAGCATTGGCATTGCTTTTAGTGACAGCAACAAGATAGATGTTCTCGTGCTTAACATGGCTGAAGGTCGTTGAACCCAGGGTAAGGATGGGTGATCTGACTTGGGCATTGGAGATGACCTGGATGCGAAAGATGTCTGCAAGTCGAGGGCGGCAATCGGGACGAAATGCTCGAAAGATCAGGTTCTCACCCTTCTGATTGAAGAGGAGAATACCGCTCAACATGTTGGCTTTAGCAGCCTTAATGGCCGCTTCACAAGAGAATTGAAAGTTGAGTAGTTTACGAACGACTGGGGATTGTAGGAAGGGGAGGCATCGGACTTTATTTCTCCGATTCAGCCTCACGCAGCCTCATCAGCCATCCCAGAGTTACTTCCTGGCGAACTTCTATCATCCTTTGCTAAGACACATTGTTGCGAGCCCTTCAATCATTGCAGGACATTTATCGAAGATCTAGCCATCACTCGCGTTGAGACGTGCATTTGTTTGCTTTGCCTTCCACCACCGCCAACGGCAGAGCGAAAGTGCCTTCCTTTTGAACGCTCCGACCGATACGATATTTGCTCTTTCCTGCTATAACATCAAACAGTCCATTGACTCGGCCGAATTCCTCTGGATGCTGTCTTAGTTCCCAGCGGAGCACGTTTAACGGAAAGATCATCCGGGCTCTAATGTGTTCGAAGCTTCCATGGGAACATGCTTCCAAGTCTTGAAGGATTTGCCTGGCCAACATCAACCTCCGACCTTGGTCTACGTATGGCCCAAACTGAGATACGACACTGTCATGCTCGCTGCTTGGGTGACCTCTGTAGCGGTGAAGCAAGGCCGCGGCGAACAGGGAATATGACAAGTCCAGAGCGTTCAAAGTCGCCGAGGTGATCGTTGTCCCGGCCTCCTCCCCGAAGTCGACTGAGCACAAATTTTGGTCGATGTTTCCGGGCGGGCAGGATCGTGCCTGTTCAATGGAGATCTGCAAAAGCTCCTTCCGCAAGGCCGTCACGGCATCCAAGCCACACTGGAGTCCGCGTAATACCTGCACGAATTCCACTTGACGGGGAACCGGGTCCGCCGATGCATCCTGGGAGATTATGGAGTCTCCTTGATGGGATAAGTCTGAAAGGTAAAAGCCGTAGTCGATATACCTCTGCTCAAAATTTTTGTGGCCGTCCACCCAAGGCTCAGTCAACCATTCCGCTCGCCCCAAGAAGGACGGCCTTCTCTGCATCATGCCGACTATCATGACATAGTACCTCGTGGATTCGAGGATTGTCTGCGTAAGCGGTGAGTGGTGACATCTCGGGCCACGGAGCTCCAGGATTCGAGCAATGCCCTGAATATGATTGAACCAGGAAGTCATGTTTTCGGAGGTAGCCTCAAAGGCCTCGTACAAGATCATACATCGTGCAGCAGCTAGAGTCTCCTCATGACGCATCAGAATCGGGTCATACAGCGCTTGCTGCATCAGGCGCAGCGCCTGGCCATATACCTGGTGGCCTTTGATGACGGTTGCTTGGTCGTCGTTCAGCCTTCCTAGACGAATGCATGCCAAGGAAAACAATGCTTGCCGAAGAGTTTCGGTTGGGAAGGTGATGCGGAGGGAGTGATACAGCCAAGCTGGATCAGCAGTCTTGCTTGGATGTTTCAATGATCTTGAAGCGTAGCTCTCGTAGAACGCGGAAATCAGTTGGTCTTCGAGTAAACACTCGCTCGACGGTGAACGAGCCAGTGGCGGTATGTGCCCAGAGTCTGTGGGGGCTGCAGCAGTTGAGGCAGGACCAGCATGAGTCTCGTCCAGAGGCTTTCGCTTCTGTAGACCTTCTTGGCCTCGATTTATGAACACGGGGTATCTGGCGTAGCCTTCGCAGTGTCTCCCTGACGTGGTGCATCTTTGACAGGAAGGCTTTGCCAGATCGCACTGAAGAAGAGATTAGCCTTTCAATTCCGGGCCTCTGGTGATCCAACGGTACGTACTCGAATCTTCCTACGCCTGCAGGTGGTGCAGCCCTGTGACCTTCCTGGAATGCCGACCATGTTTACATTCTGATATTGGTGAAGGAGGTGCGCCGATACAAGAACTCCAGAAGGGCCACCTCAGTGAGAGAGCAAAGAAACCAGAGGTGGTCATCCTGGCTCAGCCTCAAGAGGTCACCGTCATGATTCCCTTCGTTGGGCTACGGGAGCTGGAACATGTCCAGGACGCTCATCATCGGACGTTTCGGACATGTCCAATAATGGGCGATGGTCCTAATGATGTTCACAGATGCCGTTGATCTAGCATCATCCTGATCTTTGAGCTAACCAAATTGTGGTGCCAAGTCCCGAAGTCCCTATGACTGGAGGAAGAAGATCATTGGATGAATTCAGGAGCGACCAGACTTACAACTACCACGGGAGGCTGCCACAAATAGACTCATTCAAGTTCCAATTGTCTATCATCGTGAGAAGGGGTATCTATCACTCGCCAAGCGCTCAGAAAAGATTCCAAAACTGCACAGAATAGCCGCCCAAACCCAGCCAACTCCATCTCGCTCACACTTAATAAATATATGGTGGCGGGGCATACTGTAAATCCTCCTCAATATACCCCAGCAAAGGGTCGAAAGTGCACCGACTGAGTATCGCCGCTGGCTTTGCAGTACGAAGGGTGACCGGAAGGCTAAACTCCGCGTTGTACGCAGTCTTGACATTGTCGTCATTACTCATTTCAAACTTCATCACCAGGTCGAGTGTGTAGGAAATACTCAAGAGGTCCGTCGATATTGATGGGTGTGTAGCCGACTCCGGCAGAAGGAGATTGAGCTCCATTTGCGTGGTATAAGATGAGTCTACCAATGTCGAGTTGTATGGTGGTGGTAGCGTCAGGGCGAGCTTCTGCGTTGATACCGTGTCGGATCTGACCATAGACTCTACAGCCGAGGATCCAGTACTGAAGACCCTCCGTGTGAACCATTGCGTTTTGATCGAGCACTTCAGCGAGTCTGACAGCAACGATTGTGCTTGTCGCCGCGCATTCGGAGGAAGCCTGACGTTCACCGAGACAGGAATCGTCAACCTCCGACACCCTGTGGCAAGTCTGGACGAGTCCGAGACAATGAAACCCAGCTTCTGGGGCATACTCACCGACACCTCCGGTTGCAAGTGAGACCCGAAGTAGCGCAGCGACCGCCTCTGGGGCTTTGCCATTTGTTTGAGACTCCCAGACTGCTCATTCGATGACACTTCAACTTGCAAGGGTGTGTGTAGCGAGGAGACATCGACAGGGCAGCTTAGTCGTCGGACGACGTGGCCAGATGCTGAATGCACGAATTCGGCTTCGAGCTGGTACACCACGTCGCACCGTCCCTCAACCAAGTGTCTATCCCTGATCGCTGTCACGCGTGTGATGTATGTGGAACCTGTCAGGGACATGGAGGGCATGAAGCCGTCGACGTCGCCGTCGCCGTGGCAGGATGATTTGTTCTTGCGTGCTCCTCTCGTTGGAGCCGATGATGGTAGGGGACAGGAGAAATCGAGATGTTGCTCTTCAGTCAGTTGGCGAGACGCGGAGTATGCGGGCTTGAAAGCGAGGGCCGACAGGACTTCGGTCGATGGATTCAACTTTTCAACTGCCACTCTCGACCCGATTGTGCTTCGAATTGCACCTTGCAGTCTGATCTTGACCTGGTCGAAGTGTCCATCCTGGTTGTGTATTGCGATCCGGGCGTGCAACCTTAGATGGGGTGAAGCGCTGGATTTGTCTTCGATGCTTGAGAACGTCTCCTCTGCAGCGGACACGCCGAGGACGTGTATCGTTGGTGTCGACATTTGATTTTTTTTCCGCAATCAGGCTGAACGTGGAGATTAATAATACAACAAGTTCAATGTCTTGAGGAAATTTCTGTGAATCTTGTCGTGACAAGTCCAGGGTATTTGAATGGCAGAGTGAGGCAAGTCTAGTAGCCTTGCTGCCTTGTTTCAGGGATATAGGGGGCGGCTGAAGACGCGTCTTGCTGCCCAATCCAAGGTGATTTCCTAGGCAACGTTGAACTTGAACCTCTCACCTTTGAGTTGACGCCCAACGCGGGACGCTCGCCATCTTATATTGTGGACCGTGGGCGCCATACTTGTTCAGGTTTGTGACGCCTCACGAAAATATTATTATTGTAAAATAATTCCCAAGCGAGGCGCTTCAGTATCCACGGCGAAACGAATATGCGCTGCCAAAATTGCTTGCCGAATTTCAGGCGGGTGCGCCTTTATCACCAAAAAGCGCCATCAGCACCTATCACAGAAAGCCGCGGAGACAAGATCCAGCGTTCCTCCTTGGCCGGGCACTGGAAAAGGACGGGCCAGACCAGCTGCATTGGGCATGCGAGTGCGAGATGGGCACGTGTACTTTCGGTTCTTCGCTTGGATAAGCCGTAAAGGGCTAGTGACAGCAACTCTCGCCCTCGCAGATCTTGAAATGGCTAGCCGCATAACAATGAACAAGGTCTGGCTTCAACGCCTCAGCCTTGTCCACGACAACGCTTTCTGAGTACCATCCGGTTGACTCAGACAGAGCTGAAGATCCCCAATTCGCCGCTAGCAGCGACCACCTGCCGGGCTCAATATGCCCACTACAGCCTCGCCTCAGTCCCCATCGCATTCTCCCAACTCTCCTTCCCCTGGAAATATTCAATTTTCCTGCCAAGGTGTCGTCTCCTCAACCACTCACTCGCCTTCTCAGGCACGTCTTTCTCGTCGTTTTGGGGCTGCAAATCAATATCTCCACCTTGTAGTCGGCCGAGCTTGACATCATGTCCCGGTCGACAGAAGTAGACGAGACTATATCGAACTTCGTCCTTTTGTGCGCCGGGGGGAGTAACCACACGATGCAGATTACTCCGCAACCGACCAGCCGTAAACTTGACCATCGCATCGCCAAGGTTGATGATTGCGCAGCCTGGCATGGGTTTGACGTAGACCCAGTCCGAAGTATTCGGCAGAAGAACTTGAAGACCACCGATCTGGTTGAAGAGAATGGTTAGTGAGCCGAAGTCCGTATGCTCTCCTAGAGCTGGGTTTGGTGTTGCGTCCTGTGGCGGCGGAGGTGCGCGGATGAACCGGGTATGACAGCCCGAAGGTTGTTCAAGGCGGTGGAGGTCCGAAAGGATGCTCGAGCTAGGTAAATTGAGGGCGCGTGATAACGAGGTGAAGAGGACTTGCAGTACCGCGTCGTTTTGTTGGACGTAAGTTTGGAGCAGATTGTGGTTCGAGGCAATAAGCCCTGGTTGTGGCAAGGCTTGCTGGCTGATGCTAAGGATGTCGTCTTTGGCTATGTCTGGGACCCAAGGTAAGCATGAGCATAGAGAACTCTCGATACTGGACTCCAGCTTACTGTAAATCTCGTTCCTGTCGAGCGTCCCTTTACCGTCGATGACCTCGGCGCCCATAGCCTTGTAACCGTAATACTTTCCCTCCTTCGCAAAGTTGTACTTGTTCTTCTCCACCAATGGCAGAGCAAACATATCGCGCTCAAGCTCGAACAATCGGCTGGCACTGGCCAGGAGGCGTTCACCTTCAGGTGACCCGCGCATATCGAGGTAGAAAAAGCCCAGATATCTGCTGGCATCATATAGCCTCTGCACCTCTGCAGAGTCATTTGCGATGAGTTTGTGAAGATGAAGGGTTGTTAGCGGCGCGGTCGGCACGTTGTCCGGGAATGGTACTTGCGCCATTGTTGATAATACCCCTGTTGCCAACGACTGACCGTCGATGTTGACCTTGGAACCTACAGTCTTAAGATCCTGTACGCGACAAATTTGAGGTGGGAATAGCAGCTGGGTACGAAGCCTAATCAAGCCACTTGAGTTCCAGTAACTTACATATGCATGACACCTCCGAGAGGAGCAAGAGATGGGAGATGAGGACTCCATCCAATCGACACTCTCTCCAACTTAAGCGGCGATCGTCGCAGTAAAAGGCCAGCCCGGCCATCATGCCGAACATCTTCTCCTCATACTGAATGATGACCGCGACACACAGTAGGCTGCTTTCGAAGAGATGGGGAGATGCATAGGAAGAGGATGGCGGCAAGTCTCCACGCCGAGGATTAATAGGCTATTGCAAGCCTCGGGGTCTGAATTTAAGCGGTTCTGGGCGCACGCCTTAGCGGTTTCTTGAACTCTAGGCGTCTATTTCGGCTCCAATCAACCCATTCGAATGGCGCCATCATGCTGGCGCTCATGAGGGGAAACCCGCCGGAGATGGGGGGCATCATGGGGGAATTTTGTGGAGGCTCACTAGGCTTCCACGACTGATTTCTATCTAACGTTTTCGCTGCGCCCCATACGAGTACTACAACCAAACCACAAGGCCAAGATGAGATCGACATTCCTCGTATAACATGATGGGACTGGGACATGTTGGACACAATTGGAGTAACCAAGAATGGAAGGCCGTAAGTATCATCACCAAAAGATCTTCTTAAGTATCGCTCAAGTCCCGTCACATGCACATGTAAGTCCGACCTCTTATTCCACCTCCTGTTCGCAACCGTCCGAGTACTGTCCCTAGTCTTCAAAATGGCCAGCATATCCAGGTCGCACGAAGTGCGCGAGATCAACGACGCAGGGAAAGTCGCCGACATCCTTCAACAGGTCCACGATGAGAAAGACGCCGCCGCGGTCCATGACGAGTTGGCTCGTTCCAAGGCCGGCGGGTACATTCCTCAGACCAGCGAGGAGAAGCATCAATCTCAGGCCTTGAACCGCAAATTCGACATATTTTTGCTTCCAGTCTGCGTGATGATATATCTCTTGAACGGCCTCGATCGGTCGAATCTGGGTAACGCGCAAACAGGAGGCTTTACCAAGGATTTGGGCATTCCTGCTGACACCATCAACACCGCGACGTCGCTGTTCTTCTGCACCGTGAGCCTTAATTCCCCTTCTTCTGCACCTTGTCAACCCAGATGCAGTGTTGCTGACGGCGCCGGCTATATCACAGTTCGTCCCCTTTCAACCCATCTCCACCGCCATCGGCAAACGCGTCGGCCAAGCACGCTGGCTCAGCTTCATCAGTTTCGGCTGGGGGATCCTGACCCTCGCCCACGCCTTCGTCAAGACCAAAGGCCAAGTCATCGCTGTGCGGTTGTTGATCGGCGTCTTTGAAGCCGGCTTGTATGTCTCTCACCGCAGCGCCTGTCAAACTGGTGAAGCAGCAAACAAACTGAAGCTCCCCATTGTTTCCCCAGATCGTCCAGTCCTCCGAAAGCACTGCTAACGCCACGAACAGCTATCCTACGTGTGTATCGTATCTCTCGACATTCTATCCTCGCTTCGATCTGGCATACCGCATCGCCCTGTTCTACGGGTCATATGCCGTCGCCGGCGCATTTGGCGGCCTGATAGCCTACGGCGTGTTCCACATTGATGGAAGCCTGTACAGCTGGCAATACCTGTTCATCATCGAAGGGTCGATCACGCTGCTCGTCGCCATCATCACGCCGTTCTGGCTTGTCGCGGGGCCGAAACAGGCGTGGTTCTTGAAGCAGCATGAACGTGAGTATGCCGAACGACGGATGGTGATCGACTCCGCCGCCAATCTCGATTCGACGTACAAGATCACCAAGCGGGATATCCTTGAAGGCGCAATGGATTGGAAACTATGGTGTGTGCTGCCATGGAATATCCTGGCCAGTATCGCGCCGCAGGGTTTTACCATTTTCTTCCCGATCGTGGTCAAGGTGAGCAACTCAATTTCAATGCCCAATCCCCGATCCTCAGGTTTTCCCACGGCCACGAGCTGACCCGGCATGTCATTCAGGGCTTGGGATATTCCGGTGCAACGGCAAAGTAAGTACCAGCAAGCGCGTGTCTAGCAGAGATTCGATGCTGACGATTGCTACAGCTTGATGACTGTCCCTCCATACGTGGTCGGAACCGTGGTCCTCCTGATTGTCGCCGCCTCGTCCGACCACTTCCACGAACGCACACTGCACATCCTCTTCGGCATCACAGTCGTCATCATCGGACTGATTCTTGACATTGTCCTTCCGCTAGAAAACGTTCACGCCCGCTATGGTGGCCTCGTCGTCCTTCTCGCCGGCACATTTGTCGCCGCACCCATCACCGTCGCTTGGTTGGCGGGCAATACGCCAGAGCCCGGCAAGCGCACATTCGTCCTCGGCATCAACGGCTGGGGGAACCTTGGCGGCATCATCGGTAGTGAACTGTACAAGCCCAAATACGGTCCCGATTACCACTTCCCGCTCAAGGTCACGGCAGGCTTGATCGGCGTCGCGTGGGTCGGATATGCTGCGTATCATTTCGAGCTCAAGTTTGCAAACAAGTATAAAGCTCGCAAAGTGGCCCGGATGACACCTGCCGAGATCGAGGAAGAAAACAGAAGCGAGAAGAGGTATGCCGATCGTAAATACACCTTTGTCTACTCGCTGTAACAGAACGGAGAGTGGATTGGAGAGTGATACTAGTATCTGTCCAAAGCACGTAGCAGATCCAGTTCGAGTAGAGCTACTAAATCAAATATCTCAATTAAGTACAATTGCATCTCAGTTCAATAGTTGAGAGACAGTCATGTCCAATTCAATCCTAGATTTATCATGGAGAGCCAATCAAGCACCCGCAAAATACTAGTAGTTACCGAGTAGGATACTTTCTCAAATTTGCGCCCCTAACGCCATGCTTTTGACTCTGCCGTATCAGCTACCCATCCAGCAGGGGAGAGCATACTAGTAATAGCTCAAATTCCCAAATCCACGGCTTCTGGAGTCCGCAGTGAGATTTGTAGAGGAGCTTTCGTGAGACGTCTCAATTGGGCCCAAGAGGGTGAATTTCCACCTTGTGCACTTTCAATTGAGGCAACGAGGAATCCTCCGGCGGGCCAAATTACCAATGTCCCAGATCAGTCGACTTCCCGGATTTCAGAACCCCAGCCCCATGCCTCTCGCAGTTCTCTGACTCGTTGCGCAGTGGATGCTCCCGTCTCTTTTTCAATATTTCCCAGCAATTCCAGAACCACGAACCTGTCTTCTTTCTCTTCGAAGCACAGCCCAGCCAGGTGAAGTGAATGGACCATCTGTCTACTCACAGCTGGGGGTGGCTTGCCCAGGGCGATGCCGCAAATCTGGCGACTATGATGTTCCGACTCTTCCGAGACTTTTCTGAACATACGTAGCCGGTTGGCCATGAACCTCGAATCGCTTTCGTCCACCGGCTGCTTAAGAAGGAGCAATATCTGCGCAAAATGGTAAAGTTGTAGTGCTGCCGCGCACATGGGCACGCTGAAGAAAATCCGTGTAAATCGTGGTCTGGCCTCCGGAGGTTGCTCGTATGGATGTTGAGCCACAGCACCCATCATTGCGTACGGCTGGAATGTAAAGGGCAGGTTGTCATACCAATCCTCCAATTGCCGGCGTAATTGTTTCCATCGAGTAATTCGATTCTGCACTGGCGTGGGTGTGCCGGTCTCTGAGGGCGACCGGAAACCCAGCGTACCAGGACTGTCAAAGACGCTTGGGGTGCCTGATGAGTTGTTTGCCGCCTCGTCCTGAGGAGCAACGAAATTCATGATCCGTAATACTATCCAAATGAGAGTACAAGCCACCATGTCTTCGCGGTCCCCTGGCTGGTATGACACAATAGAATTAACTGGTGTCGAAGGATCACTATAGGTTAGCGTACCATCATCAGTTACGGGTAGGCCCAGGGCTTTCCACATAGTCAGACTGTCAGGGTCCAACCGGGTCTTGGAACGATTGACATAAGCTGCCAAATAGTCTGCTCGTGCAAAGTTCCAGAATGCTGCTCGGCTGGCTTTCAATGAGATGAACGGATTGGCCCTGGGACTGGGGTTCGTAACCGCCTGTGGAAGAATTTTGGTATCTAACAGCGCTTTGAACCCGTCAAGGTGCCTATCGCGTTTCGTCAGTCAAAGGCAATAGGGAAGATAAAGTATTACGTACTGTGACCAATCCTTCGTCGGGTTGTCCAAGGACTCATACAAGGAGAAAACTGATATGGCGGCGACCAAAGCCTCCATGTCTGCTCCAGCAGACGACTGCTCGCTTATGCGCCGCCTTTTGTTGGAGCCACTGATTGCGGACGGCTCTTTATTGCCGGCATCGGGAAACATCCTTGTGGCATTATATCTGGAGGCATGTCCAGTCAGGTCATTGCTGGAGTCGCTCAACCAGCGTTGCAAGAAAATCCTCAGGTAGGATATACCCCTATCGTAGTAGTTTGCCGCCTTATAGAACCAATCGGTATGCTGCAAACTACCTTCTTCCCCCAACAACGGCACGAGATGCTGCAAGTCGTGTTTGGACACGCCTCTGGCCAGAAGCTGACCGATCTGGTTCGCAGCGACAGCCGCCATGGCGGACCTTAGCATTACGTTTTGGACTGCTTTCAACGGTACTATTCGGCTGAAGTAGGTATCCAGATCGAAAAGGTCCATTCTGCTTGACGTCAGCTGGGGGCGAAATCAACATCTCCGCTGAGATGGGACTTACGAAGGCGATACTGCTTGTACAAAATGCCTGGTCAGCGCAGCCAATTCCGTCGTGCGTTCGTGTAGATACTTCTGGCTATACTCCGGTCGCTTCCGTCCTCCTTCAGAGCTGTCATAGACTGACGACCTCCCGCTGAGAGAGGCATAGTCGTTGGTGAGCAGGTCCTCGTCGGTTTCAGGCTCGTTGGTGTCGGTAAGGATCACTGGAAGACCTGGGATAAACCCACAGGCATTGTTGCCGTTGGCGTAATATGTGTCAATGTCTAGGTCGAAGTAGTCTTCGCTGACATAGGTATCGGTCTCTGATGGCGCATATTGCGGTTTGCCACGCAACAACTTGGCTGTGCCTTGTTCTTGGCCGTACTGGAATTGGTCCAGTTGTTGCGGAGTATGCTGGTTACCGATCGAAGGAAGTGAAACAGGCCGGCTGGCTGGTGGCTGAGGAGATGCAGACGCAAAGAATGGTTGAGGTGGCTGGCCAGAAAACACGTTGAAGCCTGGACTTTGTGCTTGACTAACACCGAACAGAGGATATTGAGTATTTGGCCCCGATAATCTGGGGCTGAGTGATGCTATGCCCGGGAGAGTGAGGGGAGTCGAGATTGGCGGTGAAATGATGTCCGGAAGAGCGTTGTTGGCATGGCCTTGGGTTGGAAACCCCTGGTGTGGAGGGGTGTTGGTCTGTTGAGGCTCTTGTTGCGTAATTGGGACTATAGTACTTGCGGGAGGAGTGTTGACAGGCCTCCTCGAGAGATCTGGCATAGGTTGATAATTGCCATCATACTTCCTTCGGACCTTGACACCCTCATCCAGGAATTTGCGCTCGGTATCATAGCCAGTACATGGTCTGCCCAATTTCTCGCATCGTAGACACCCCGGAATTCTCTTATCACACTAGTGGCCGTGAGCGACGAGAACAGCCGTGGGATAGTACCGGATACTCTTACCTTGACCCGGCGTTGCCTGCAGGAATGACAGGCTCTGTCGGACACAGCTACGCCATCAGAAGCGTTGGCTTCCATGCGCGGAGCGACTCCTTGTTGCTCGAGAGGGGATTGAAAGGTCAGAGGGGCAAAAGACTCCGGAGCAGTGGCATCAACAACAGTTCCCCAAATCGGCCTGGCGGTAAAGGGTACAAATCAAGGAAACTCAGACGAAATAACGTTCCAGGCTTGGACAGCGGGCGAGTATGGAATTGAAATGAAGGATAGATGATAGGATCTGAGCGGGCGGAGAAAGAAGGTGGATGGAAGGTGGTTTGGGCTGACTGAAAAGGAAAAGACGGAGCGAAGTGGCATTGTAATCGCCACGTGATTGCTGACAAAGTTCATGCGGTGTAACGTAAATGCACGTGACCACTTCTGCACGTGATCCACCATTCCGGCGTACCGGCTTGGTTGAGTTGTTGAGTCTCTTTTTGTGCTGACACAAACGAGCAATTTCTATCACTCAAATGCCTCCCATCAAGCTCCAAGCTCTTCAATTCGTCAGCTGATACTAGTATCGGTGGAAACTGTCACGGAAGGCAAGAGTTCGCAAGAGCATAAAGTGGTCTGATCGCCCTCGACTCCCTCTTCTGGTTCTTTTTCTCCTTCTTCCCTCGCCTTTCGCTGATGGCTGCCGAATCAGGCTAGACAAGGCGATGAGATGTCTCTCACCATCCAGAGAGTAAGCCGAATCCTTTGGATTGGGTAGCCCGTTGATATTGATGCTGATGCTGATGCTTGTCCTAGCTGTTCATCTATCCTGTCAAATCTCTGCCACCAGTGCAAGTCACTTCCGTCGAACTCACCAATGAAGGTCTTCGCTTTGATCGATGTTTCGTCCTGGTGACTCCTCCCAAGGACAATTCACGCGAGGCCAAATTCTTGACCATCAAAAAGCATTTCAAGCTCATGCTATTTAAACCCACCATTGACGACTCCTGGACCAAGCTGACCATCAGTCACATCCACGCCAATCCACCGTCTTCAATCACCGTCCCTCTTACTCCATCCCCATTGTCGCTGCTTCAAAGCAAGACCTTCGAAGTCAGCATTTTCGGTACGACGGCCATTGGCATTGATCTAGGCGAGGAATCGGCTTCATTCTTCTCCAAGCATCTCGGTCAAGATGTACGGCTCTTGTCCATTGGAGGCACAGGACGTCGTGAGATTCCCGGGGCTGCCTACCTACCCAGTCAGCACAATGCCCTCTCCTTAGCTCTGAGAGAGGGCCTCCAGCCTCAGCGTATCCGGTTTGCGGATGCTGCTCCCTTGCTCATTACTTCTACGGCATCAGAGGAAGACGCTCGGTCACGTCTGCCCAAGGAATGGCAGCACGAGGACATCATCGTGCGCTTTAGGCCAAACATCCATGTGGATGTCAAGGGTCAACTACCAGCATACGATGAGGATAATTGGTCCTCACTCCTTGTTCGATCCCAATCCGATGAAGCACAGGAAGTCACCATCAAGTGTATCTTCCGCACCGTGCGCTGCCTTAGTCTGAACGCTGATCCCGACACTGGCGAGATGATACATCGAGATCGACAGCTTTACGGGCTACTAGCTAGCGACAGGAGAGTCAACGACAAGTTTCCCCGTAAGTCTATCCCTACCTGATGAACATATTTAGTTTCGGTCTAACAAACTCCCAGACAAACCTGTGTTCGGTCAATACGGCTTTGCTGGACCATCGGGTGCCATCCTGCGCACTGGAGACCAAGTTTTTGTAACCGAGCGAAAACAGCGGACATAATAGTCGGATGACCAGCCACATTCTCCATTTACGGAGTCGAATCGACATACCTCGTTCCTACATACAGTTCCTGCGTGCACGTCGCATACTGTGCCACCTGAGTCTTCCTGCCGCCGCACCGTCACTACCCAGGACTTGATCGTCACATATACCCCGCGCAGTAATTCAGTGTGACAGGGTCAGCAAGGTGCGCTCCGCGAGTCCACAGCAGTGCAGTGTCCATGGGCAGGACAGCACGACAATTCGCAGACCCGACAGCCATGGCCTTGCTATCGAGACACTTGCCAAGCTCAACGTCACAATGACCGACATACCTTCCTTGAACGAGCCCTGGCTACCTTCTGTGTAAAACGGCTACGGTCAAGCAGGTCGCAGAAGAGCAACAACGCTGTGCGATGCTAATACCTCAGACTACGACCATTGTCGTACTAAGCCACAACTGTCCCCAACAGATACGGCCATTCGAGAAATGACTTGAGAACACGGCTTGACCACCAATGACAACATCCAATATGAAATCATTAACGAACACGACCCATTATTTAAAAGCCCATATGGCTCGGACACAGTGGTCATGATTCAACGCCGAACTGGATCAATAGGTCCATACGAATCTATTTCCATATAATGCTTTATAACCATCATTAATCTCATCAATGGGTATCATCACGGCCGTGATCGGTCTATCCCGGCCCTATTGTCCGGCAAATGTTGCTGCATCTGTCCATCTTGAACTCCTGTCGCTCGGTGCAAAATTGACAATTCTCCCATTTGCATCATGTCTCACCCAAATGGACTCTCCGGCCTCACCACGCCGCGTCCCTCCTTCCACTTCCGTTCCTTCTCTCGATCAAACCTCCAAATACCATTGATGCCTTTCAGTCTCTCGACCTCGCCGTCATGGCCCACCATCTCGAACAACCGCTCGATGACTTCTTTATTCTCGCCATCCAGGTCCGGCGTCCGATTGAAGAACATGCTCTCCCACTGCTGGCCCTGTTCCTGCTCTTGTTCCCTCATGCGTCTCTGCGCCTCCTCGAGCTTACTCTTCTCATTTACGATAGTCGTCTGATCACCCCGGCGGATTGCATCAAACGTCTCCTTCCACGCCCGTCGACTTTCCCATGGGCTCTGCTTCTCGACAGGCGCTATCGTCGCCGGCACAGGCTGGTTCTTGGCGTCCGCTAGGTCAAAGACCTCGATCTCGTGGCCGTGCGTGTTGTATATGCTGAACCGGCTGCTCCAGTGTCCGCCCATCATGTATATGGCGTCCTTGGTTATATCGTCCGTCCGGTACACGCTGGCCTCAAAGACGTTGCGCTCCCCACCCCACAGTTTTTTTGGGATGAATTTCATCTCGGCCGTGAAACCAGTGGAGCTGATGATCTTGTATGTGTCGCCGAGTTCGGGCCAGGGGACGCCTGTCAACACACCCCGTGCCCGTACATCGGGTAGCGGAAGCAGGTACGTCTCGTTGTACTTGTCGACCGTCAGCAGGGCATGGCCAGATTGGCGAATGATGATCGATGTGCCGGACAAGGTTGTTTGTTGCGTGGAGTAGGCCTCGGCGTGGACGCCATGCTCATCGGACGACAAGTAGCATGCCGTGGTGGGTGGGTGATGGGAGACTTGCTCGCTTATCACCCGGACTGTGGAAGAGGTGTCCTTTTCCGAAGACAAGTCATGGTCGGTATATTCACACAAGAACAGTTCGCCAAGGAACGGGTTGAGCGGCTTCTTCAGGCCCTCTTTGACGGTCCGCCCGACGTAATATTGTCGTTGGAGCGAGGCGAGGTACAACTTGAGGACGGCCAAGCACCGCTTTTCAGGCGAGGTCTCATGTGCGGGTGCTGTGAATAGTGATGGTCGTTCGGCCCAGTAGCTGGGGAATTCGGTGAGAGATTGAGGGGCGAGGATGAATGGCGGGGCAGTGATGTGTGAGATGTCGCCTGAGACTGTGGCTAGGAAAGAGAGGAAGTCTCTTAGGGCGGATACATTGCCCAGCCTGGCGACCATTTTGTGTTAGTTTCGACTGTCGACTAAAAGTGTGGTGTAGAGAATCAGTCGTGGAATATCGTGGATCAAATGTTTATAGTGACGGCACTTGATTGGGGGGAAATGGAAGAGTCACGAGCGACGGTAGCGAGATATAAAAATCTTGTGGCAAAGATAGAACGTCCAAGAACTGGGTGGCGTGGAAATTCGGTGAAAGCTTTGGGACTGAGGGACATAAAAAGAAAACACTCGGGTATTTGTATCTTCTCGTATTCAATAGAAGGGAGAATGGAGAAAGGGACCAGGAACAGCAACGAGGAAAAGGAGTGGAAGATAATGAATGATCAGGCTCACCTTCCATCACTTGGTGTGTGGCTCTGGCTTTGGCGACTCGCATCCGAATCCCAGACCGACGAACCATCCGACTGTTCAGATTCGCTTTTCTCCCTGCTTCTTCTGCGTTTCATCTTTACTCGCAGTCTGTCCATATTGGCGCTAGATAGGAAAGACGGGGACGGGAGCTTCGTTATCGTCCACCAGCCTCACGGGTTGTCACCGGCCGCGCGTCCAACTGGCGTAAGCGGAGATTCTCCTGGGTTAGAGAACGGTTTTTCGAAACAAAGGTTAAGCGTCAAGCGATGCGAAAGGGAAAGGGAAAATTTGTTGAGATATTTGGAGCGTTTCAAAAATAGCAAAACCCTGGTCGCTGGTCGGCCTGTGTCACGTCGAATGCCTGACGATGATGAAACGAATAGAGAAACACCAACCTATCACCGTCGGGCAATGACCACCCAGGATAATGTAAGCAACGGCTACGAGCATGTGAAAAGGTCGTGATGGTCGTGATGGTCGTGATGGTCGTGAACGGCGTCCACGAACCGACCAGATTCTTCCAGCGACGTCCCATCCGACAAGAAACGATAGCCTTGTAGCGAATTGCTGTGCATCGGGGAGCAGGAAGAGGAGACCAGATCAGATCACGCGTGCCGGCGACTTCTTCCGAGTTCTCGTATGAAAATAAAAAAACCACTGCCATCTCTTGACCATCTTACGCACAAGACCATCTCTTTGTTCATCTCAGCTCACTGTGGCGACTGGAGTCAACCTTCGCACCACACCCATCTTACATCCGGTATGTCCTCAAGCCATTGAGCACGCAGCTTTTCAATTTCGTGCGGATGGATGACGATCCGAGCGATCTCCAGACTTTTCGAATATGGTTAAGTTTACGCGGAATGCGAGCGAGGCTGTGCATTGCTGTGAGCGATTTTCCCAGTAGAGTGGATTCTGTGGACAATGCGTGGTGATTTTGGCAACTCGCACCCAACTCGAGCATAATCAGACTCAATGAACCGAGGTTGAAGAGTCTTGATATCTCTGTACACCTGGTTGCTGATAATAATGGTATCTCTAGCCATTCTCCAGACGCTGTGGTACAATGTAGTTGCCTGCTATTGAGACTCCCTAGTCGCATAAACACTCCACACATCGCCATCGACAGCCACTCAACAAGACCAGCATGATTTAAAAACGACGCAAACCACAATCGCTTCTTCAGCTGCGATTCATAACATCATGTCCACATGCCAATCGACGCCATGTTGAGCCCGACAATGCTTCTTCAAACATACCAATTAGGCGATAGCCTCTTCAATCGTCTATGAGATCTATGACAACTCTTGGTCTCCGCAAAGGTGGTGCGATCTCTTGCAGCTCCTGCTCGTCATCGGGCCTCTCGCTTGCGCTTTACAGGTCCTCCAGTCGCAGAAGTGCCAACCACGTCCTCATCCAGCTGCAGACGAGCACGCTTCGCAAGAACCAAGAATGTTATTCCCATCTTCTCCAGTAGAGTCTTCACGCTTTCGCTTGTTGTTGTCGTCGAACAAAGGTGAAGGAGGAATCGAGGCCCGCGGTTCTGCTTTGATCCTCGGAAGGACTTCGTATCGACCTAGTTGGTCAAGAGGCGCCCAGTTCGACTTCCGCTCCGTTCTGATGCCGCCTTCGCGTGTCGGTACAAGCGTGGTATTGCTGTCAAGGTCGATGATGCTGCCGGCTTGACTTCCAGACTCCGCCCGAGCCAATCTCTCCTGCTTCGCGTCAGTTGCCGGATACATGTTGCCGCAGAACCAACTGACCTCCAATTCCATGATGCGCAGGTTACGTTCTCTTTCTCGTTGCTTGGTGATTCGCAGCATATCTTCAGTGCGTTGCAGAATGAGAGCGGAATCTGGCGGTGGCGCCGTCGCTCAGCTAAGAAGGAATACATCCCAGGTGTTGAAGGATCTCTTTACAAAGTCAATGTTGGGCGCGATTATAATGTATCATCACTTACTTCTGTTTCGGTATAGGAAGAAGAATTCATAGGGTCTGCCGTGATTTCCCTTGATCGGAATGTGATCCTCATACTGAAGTTCTGGTGGTGAAGTGGGGGTCCGTGAAGAATAGCTGGCAACTCATTAGCACAGCCCTGTGGCGAGAAGATCGCTCTCATACTGGACATTGTTCTTTATTTCCTTTCCCTTGAGAAGCCTCTCGGAGAGCTCATCCACAATCCTGGGCATTTCCTCGTCGAACACGTAGGGTTTGTTGCGTTTCTGTGATTTGGCACGGTAGACTGTCAACAAGGTCCGTCGGGGAGAAGCCTTCGGGCAACGGGGTATCCTCTCCTGGCGGCGGTCAGTATGCGGACTCTGAATCAAAGGCTGAACTGCTCACCAAGTCCAAGCGCGCCGAACTCATATTCATAGTCATGCCACGTCCCTGTGCTCTCATCCTTCCAAGGAGTGGATACCCATTCTCGCTCAACGGCCTTCACTAATGTGCCTCCATGAACATCGCATGCAGAATAGCCTACAGTTTTAAACAAGAAGGAATCGTCGTCATCGACCTGAAATTTGTAGTACACGAAAGCTGCGAAGCGAAACTGGAAGCCAGGCAGGAATGCCATTCTGATTTGGAATTTCTGGCCAGCTTCTACTTCCACGTAGCGCGTCAGCTTCTGGTCTGGCTCCGCTTCGCCATCAGGAGGATGATATTCCACCAAAGGCTGGCCATCCACCAGTAGGCGAACGTCGATAAAGTCTTTGGACGGCATGGTGGGAAAAGTGAGCTGACGTCGGTAATAGACTTGAGATCCCAAATTTGAACTTGTAAGAGTTGAGGTGCAGATAAGCGGGAGAGGGAAGAGCGAGTGCTGAAAAGAGGCGAATGTGAAGATTGCCGGAATTCAGTGAAGTGATGCACAAGTAACTCTCCCTCCCACAACCTGCCAAGTCCCAATCACTCCTTCTCTGCCTTCTCGCTCAGCTAAGGTAAGCATGGCTGCTACCTTCAATCCTCGGATAGTGGCAGACACTGGTATACTGACGGCATTGTCAACACGACTACCTACCAAGTACGACAGGACACCCTGAAATTTTGCTCCAAGTATGTCCTCGTGACTCCAACATATGGCTTTCAATCAGGCTCACCGAGACCCTTCAACGTCTTCTTGACCATCCTGTCCAGCAATCGACCTGGGAGCCGGAGCAGCCCCCTTTCTATTTCAACAGAACATTCCGAGCTCATGAGATAGACGACCAGAGCTGACTCTCATGATCTCGTCCTCCACGGCAGCGTATTGGGCCCTTTCGAAGAAATCAGACGGCTGCAAAAGCAAAACCCACTTATGGGGAGGAGAATTGTCGTGCACGATTGCCAGCCATTGGTAGAATGCGGTCGTGGCTTCGACCGTGCTGACCTCTGAGCGCCGGCCACTGCAACCACTTTGTCGCAACATCGTAACGTCAAGAAGTCGCAGTCCGCCAGAGCGTTAACCGCTTTATCGGTCGTCGACTGTCGTCTCTACCAATGTAGACGATATCGGGTTTGACCACATACACCTCTCATGTTTTGACAGTCCAAGAAAAGGAGGAGAGGAAGATTGCGAGTGGCCTTACTTTCGGGTAGTCATACCATACGCTCGGTCCTGGACTGCTCGGAGATCAGCGGCTAGCACTGGTTGGCAGTGCCTCACATGCAACAAGGCGTGAGCTGTCAACTTTTGCAATATCTCCACGACTTCTTATCAATCCAAGAATCCAGTCAAAAGCTCCCTCAGCGGACAACATTGGGAGGGACGCGCATTGTGTCTCCTTACCATCGTAGCATAATGCAGACATAGAAAGCAAAGCTTCACCATTGCAGCACATGTTTTCGAACCAAGAGCTGGAACTCAACTACTTTTCGCAACACTACTCGACGGTAAATCTATTGACGGGCTAGATTGTCCACTTCATTTCATTGCGAATCTCCTACAATGTCCGCTTCACCCTCTGAGATCGTGGTGCTAGGCGCAGGTGTCGCCGGACTGACCACGGCATTCGAGGCTCGACAGCAATTCCCTGCAGCGCACATCACCGTGGTCGCAAAGTATCTTCCTGGATTCACCTCTCCGACGGAATATGTGTCGCCGTGGGCTGGCGCGAACTGGCATTCCTTTGAAAAGGAACGCAATCAGTTTGCGGAATACGATGCTGTCTCGTTCGCCAAGTTCATCCAGATCGCCGCCAAAACACCAGAAAGCGGCGTGAAGAGCCTGCCGATGCGCGTGGTCTACGACCACGAAGAAGCACGGCAGAAGCCACTATGGTACGGCGACGTGGTCGGCGGGATTAAAGAAGCCCCCAAACATGTGCTTCCCGCCGGCGCCGTCATGGCCTTGGACATGGACAGCTTCATGATCAACACGGTCGCGTATCTTCAATGGTAAGCCCGGTTGCTCTTTGAACCACTGATTTCTAACGCTACTAGGCTGCAAACACAACTCCTCAAGGCAAACGTCAAATTCATAAGGAGAACGTGCAACCACATCCAAACGCTCATGCAAGATTTCCCGAACGCCAAGGTGTTCTTCAACTGCACGGGTCTCGGCGCTCGCCATCTCGGCGGCGTCGAAGACGAGGCAGTCTATCCGACCAAGGGTCAGACAATCCTCATCGCCGAGCCCAAGAAGCCCCTAGAACGCATGTACATTTCTTCCTCCGCGGCCTGGCCGGCGGGTGAGTTCGCGCACGTTTTTCCACGACCCCTCGGCGGCGGCGTCATCATCGGCGGCGTCCGTCGCGACAACGACTGGACCGCCGAACCAGACATGGAACTGGCGGAACGGATCAAACAGAGATGTTGCGCCCTGGCCCCGGAGTTGGGCAAGCCAGAGGAACTGCAAATCTTAAGCCACAATGTCGGCTTGCGACGTAAGTACACACCTACAATTTGCACCATCATTCGCAGAATTGCAGGCAATCGCATTTTTTGCAGGATGCTGACACGTAAGCCACGGCCCAGCGAGCAGGAAAGGCGGCGCCCGAGTCGAGTTGGAGAAGCGCAATGGGAATTTCCTCATCCACAACTACGGCGCATCAGGCGCTGGATATCAGTCTTCATGGTAAGTGAATGGCATATATGCCCATGTATATACCTACGACCTGGGACCCCCCAAAAAGAAAGACAGAACCACTAACCAGAGAAATCAAGGGGCATGGCCGCACATGCTGTAGACTTGGTGAAGAACCAGTTGACAGCTAGATCTAAGCTATGAATATGAACAGAAGTACTAGTACTTTTGCTCGAACCTGCGGACATGGGGAAATGAATGCTCGTGGGCACGCCACCAGTGAGCCTGCCACTTCCGGCCTGCATGGACTATGTTATGCAAAACTTCGAGCTATGAACGGAAGCAGCTTGCTCAAGCTTGGGCGCATGGGAGCTTGTTCCGTGGTCATCCATTTAGACACATTACGCTTTTCTCCCTGCGTGGACCGTCACACGAAACGCGGACTCAATAAGCTATCAAGCCTACAGAAGATTCAGTATTTTCCAACTCCGAAGCTCGAATGAGAGGAAGCTGCCATGATCCCGTTGAACATGAATCAGAGGTCAAGAAGCTAGGTAGGAAAAGTCGAAGTTGCAACTTCACAAGAAGACTTCAACTGGCCTTCAGTTTCTTACCCATCACTATATTAACCTGCTGAATATCAACGAATTTGGATTCTGATACCGATTGATACAACACTTCCAGCCCTCGCTTGGCCCATTCAGACTTACAAGTCCTTGTCTCCACTGAACCCTTTCCTACCCTCACCCACTTGAACAGTTTCGACCTCCTCACCACTCAATGACCGTGTCTCGGCCGGCCCAAACGTCCCAAAGTAATCCAAATCATCAACCTCCGCAAGACCCGCGATGGGTGACACCTTATTCAGGACAACGTACGTCGAGACAGACAACAGCAAGCCCAGCGGGTATGAAATGTCGTACAAGTTCGACCACCCCGGCAGTGTCTTGGTGGCTCCGTACTTGACAAACTCCGCAAAGCCAGGGACATTGATCCAGACCCCCATTGCCCAAGCCACAAGTGCCCGCCAATTCATGCCTTGCCAGTACCAGTATATACTTCTCGGATTGTTCTCGTACAGGTCGGTAAGCTTGACCAGACGCCTGCGCAGGAGAAAGTAGTCCGCGAACATGACTCCCGTCATCGGTCCCAGGAACACACCGTATCCTCCCAGCACAGTAAGAAATTTACTCGCTCCATTGAGGAGTTGCCAGGGTTGTACAATGAAGGCGAGAGCGGCCATGAGCAGCATGCCTCGGCGAATCGTGAAGAAGCGAGGCAGCAGAGCCGACAGGTCGATCCCGGCGGAAACACCGTTGTTCGCGACCACCATACCGAATTGGGCGACAAGGAATGAGAGACTGGCAAAAGCCACCGCGGCACGAGATCGAGACGAATTGTTGTAGTGTTGCTGAAGAGCACTGAACAAATCGTAAGGTGCCCACAGGAGAGTTCCTTGTTGTTCAGGGAACAGTTGTGCCGCGCAGGATGTGCAGATGATCCCGATGAGCGCAACGACAATCGTGCCCATCGGCACCATGACCAGCTGCGCAAGGATCTGATCTTTCGGCTTCCTCGCGTAGCGGGTATAGTCCGACTGCACAAAGATATGCACACTGATCGAGCTGATGTTTGTGCATATACCCAAGGTCATCATCCAGCCGAGATGGCTACCCTTTGCCTGTGTGATGCCAGTGAGTCCGCTCACGTCGTGAACGAGGGTCCCCGCACCCTTGGCCGTCGCGGTAAACCAGATCAAGCTGACGAAGATTGTCGGAATTACCACCGAGCAGGAGATCAGGAAAGGGATCTTGTACTTTTCCGGCTTGATCCATACGAGGGGCAGATACAAGATCGTGAAGATGATGAAACTTGCGAAATCGCCCGTGGTCATGGTTCCGTTGGCCAGGGGTGTGTCGACTTTGGCGAATGACGGCCAGATCGCGGTCAGAAAGACCCGGACACATTGCCCACCCCAGTATACCTGCGTTGAGAACCAGATGCAGGCCAGGAATATGCGCTGGATTACGATGAAAATGAAGCCCCGTGTGCCCCAGGAGCAGCGCTGGATGATTGGGAAGCCGATGTGCCATTTGGCGCCTGGTGCGCCGCTCGCAACGCACAAAAAGCCAACAATGACGTTCCCGATGATGACTGTCAGCATGGCTTGCCAGACGTTAAGTCCAAGGGCGATTAGCGAGGAGCCAGTGGTCCATCCGCCTATATTGAATGATCCAGTAATCACCCATAGCGTTACGAACTGCCAAGGGCCGTATGTCCGTCTGTGCGGCTCTAGGGGTCGGATATCGAGATTGACATGTTTGGCAAAAGACTCGTCGTTGTTGCCTTTGACTTCGAGGCGCTTGAGGATGCTTCCGAATGCCGCCATATCGACCAGATGATTTCGAATGGAGTAGGAGTCGCAATGCCGGGAAAGACAAGGATCTCCGTGCCCCTTCTTCGTAGGACGTTGCGAGTATTTGTGTGTTTTCGAAGGACGATCCGATATCAGCCAGACACCCGGCGTCAACCACAAATTCGTTCTTCACATTATGGTTATCACCACGATATTCTTCGGTTGCCCCAGACTTTCTTCTTTGGTGGAGAAATCCGGCGTTCAAGACTGGGCAAGTTGGACTTGACGCAGCTAATCAGCTTCTGCCATGTTATCCAGATTTACCAGTTTATCCGCCTTGGGCCAATCACATCAGGAGTTATGAGTGTTTGCCAGCACAAGTTGAATTCATCCGTTTATGCGCTTTAGTCAAGAAGGTATGTCGAGCTGATACAAGATCCAGATTGAGCCGATAAACTGTAGAACGGCAGATTAATGTTCTGTGTTTGTCCTCGATAGCACAAATCGTTCCTTATCTTTGCCGTATTTATTCGAGGCGTTGGCTTGATAACCATTCAAGGACCAAGTCAGGGCTGGAAAGACGTAATCCTTAGTCTGCTGGTCCAGTTAGTCAAGGTAAAGCATCAATTCTCTCGAGACACCTGGCGGCTATGTCTTCGACAACCACAGAAGAGGGCACACCTCGCACAATAACCCTCACCAATGGCAAGACCTTCACATTCGGGTCGAATGCGTCAACGACGGACGAAGCAATTCCTGTTATTGATGTCTCAGGCATGTACAGTGACAAGCTGGAGGACAGGCAGGCGGTTGCTGAAGAGATCCGCAAAGCCGCTCATGGCATTGGATTTCTCTCCATAGTCAACCATGTAAGTATTGGACCATTGTCGCTTCGTTATCCCGACAGGCAACCTGGACTGTACTGATCGAAATGCTTCTCAAAGGGTATTGACATGAGCCTGGCACAGAATGTGCTAGACCAAGCAAAATCATTCTTTGCTCTACCAGCCAAGAAGAAAATGGAAGTGTGCACGGATCTGATCCCGGATGAGTATTGCGGATACCATCCAATGCAGCACTACAACCCCAACGGCTGGAAGCAGCGAGGTTAGTATTGAATATCGCCAGATTAGCCATGGAGAGACTGACCTTGATTGAGATCTGTACGAGGCGTATAATTGGAATTACAATGCCGCCAATGATCCTGAATATCCGGATTCCTCAATTCCGGAAATCAATCTTTGGCCGACGGAGATGCGGGAATTCAAAAAGACGCTGTGCGCATATCAGACAGAAATGATACGGCTTGCTCGCAGATTGACGAAGATGTTTGCTCTGGCGCTGCACATGCCTGAAAATTCGTTTGATGATATCGTCAAAAGGCCAGAGGCAGGGGCGAGGATATTGCATTATCCCCAACAGGAAGCATCCCGGGACGACCAGAATGGGATAGGAGCACACACTGATGTGGAATATTTCACCATCATCACGGCAGACACAGAAGGCCTAGAAGTGCTCAGTAAATCCGGCCGGTGGATCAAGGTGAAACCGATCCCTGGATCGTTCATCGTCAACATTGCGGACTGTTTTATGCGTCAGACGAACGATTTCTTCGTAAGCACGGTACACCGTGTCATCAATGAGAGCGGCAGAGAAAGGTATTCTGTTCCATTCTTCTGGGGCTTCGATCGGCAAAGCGTCCTCAACCCTATCCCAACTTGTGTCAGTGAGGACAATCCAAACAAGTATCCAGTGATGACGGCTGGAGAGTACTATTTGTGGCGGACAAGGAGGCAGAAGACGATGTGGAAGATTGGAGAGGGCAAGGCACAAGCTTACTGATTCAGGCTGAAATCAGAGAAAAGTTAGACATCTAGTACCTGGTTGTATCAGATGATCTGTAGTTGCTCTGCCCAGTCCCAGGGAATACGTTGCAGTAATTCAAGCGGGATAAATATCTCTGGATCGAAAGCTTGATCGTCAGGGATCTCCCCGTCGTAGCTGAGTGTATCGTGTGCCGGAAACTCTGGTTGCTGCGCAGGGTCGAGATAGCAATCAATCTCCTCGACGTATGCACGGAGTCGTTTGCCCGCTTCAGCTGCAGCAGGCAGACAGGTTGCGAGGTTCTCCAATAGCTCGGACATGCACACCCTACGTTGCATTAGCTCCCATGCACAGATATGTGCAGCAGGGGATTCACACATCACCGTTCTCAGGTGCTGATAGTCAGACTTTGCAAGTTCTTTCTTGATGAAGCTGCTAAGGATATGACCCAGCCCGGACAATTCTTGCAACTGGATGGTGTCAGCAATGCACAGCCTTGCGAGGATGATGCGCCCACCATTGCCAAGCCCATGGCTCGCATGTACTCAAGAGGAATAGCAGATATCTCCTCGATCAGTTCGAGGGCTGTTCGGCACGCCTCGTCAAACGTAGTATCATTGGCAGTGAAAGACAGCATTCGTAAAAGCTTGCCGCATTAGCTATAGACCAACGAGGCGAGTTGGACAAGCTTACCTGGTAGGTGGCTATGATGTTCGCAGTCTGGAAGCCACACCGATTCAGCCGGACATCTCGCGACATTCTTTGTGCTTTCTTGAATCGCAAAGGCAGATTGGAATATGCCAAGTCCAACGGCCCTAAGATCTTTTCCTGGGGATCATAGTCGATGAGAAAGGCGGTAGACAGGCAGCGATTCTCTTGGTTTATCGTCATCCGCCGGTTCTTGAAGTAGGCGATAAGGTGCTCAATACCACGATAGATGTCGGTAATGAAGTTCCACCCACTCAACCACTCTAGGTCCTCCAGCGACTCGGTGAGATCTCGGTCTGGCAACACCGGATAAGCGACCGCAGATTGTAGCTCAGGGCATCGTACGGCATGTCCCAGGACAAGAGAGGTGTGGATCTCGAGACGATACATGTGCCAGTAGAGTCTCCTTCGTTCTTCCCTCTCGATGATAGTAATATCGCTAGGCCAGCGTCGTTCGTCGTAGAATCCCTGCTCTGCCAGTGCTCCATGATATAAGCCAAGGAATTGTTGGAGCAAGGACGCATTTCCATACTCTCGAGCGGTGAGACATACGATGCTGATGGCCTGGAGGTATTCGAGATCAAGAGACTCGCCAAAATCTTTTGGGATTGTCGCAATCGCTTCGTCAAGGTATACATTAGGGTTGAGATCCGTAGAAACGTTTGATGGAGAGAAGACTGCGCCACTAGTAATGCGATAAGCGCTCAATGCACACATGGCCATGAGTCGTGCGTGCGAGTCCCTGCCACAAGGAATTTGTCCCGTGTACCACTGTTGCATGAAGGACTGCTCGTGGATCGTGATGGCTCTAAGTTCAGTCAGTACGGCGTCTCTACACCATGCTTAGGCCAACCGACACAGGATAAACGGACTCGAAAAAGTTAATAAGCAGTTTTTGTATCAGTTCTCGCGACCCGTGCTTGCATTCAATGAGACTCCATGGGCTGCCCGACGTCTTCGAGCCTCGAGGCTTTCCTCTCTTAGCTGTCACGCGGTTCCAAGTGCAAATGACCCCGTAATCAATGCAGGTCAGGCACCTGGTGTTATCGGCAGGATCGAGCCTGCACCCACGGCCTCTTTTGTGGCAAAAGTCGCACGCTCTCAGAGCGCGCTTTTGCTTGACGACCTTGACCTCCGAAGTCGCCATTGATGGGAGTCTGGATTTCTTACCTAGCCGAGTCTATCGGATTAGGTCATTATCGCGATTCTTGGTCTCTCGTAGCCGCTGTTGGGCACGTTACTGTATTGATCATATTGCTAAGACAAGGGCAGGTCCTATAACCTGAGACATAGGAAGGCAGAAAGAGTGAGCATAAAACTATCATGGAAGAGTGAATGATAGAAGTTGCAATCAAGTCAATGGCTGGCAGCTGTGACCGAGAGATGCGCTTGGATTCTTGTGGTTCGCCGTAAAAACGTTCGGCAAAGCATGCGGCAATATACGTCAAAGATCAACATGGCCGTGCATGGCATATGTACCTGATGTAAGCACAGCTGAGAGACTAGTTCATATCGTGGTGATCCAAGCATTGCGTTTCTCAATGGCTCGTGTATTCGGACTGAGGAAGCGTTCATGTGCTCACCACGCGGCTAGATAATCCAGAGACGGGTGGTTTGCCAACCTCAATATGGCCTCATGAAGCCTGCCTCGGCACAACCGACCTCACCCAGTCGGCCAATTCGTCCAGATTCCTGGTCTGGATATGGATTCTCCCTGGACTAGTGAATCGACAACCGACGAGTTCACCCGTGGTCATGCTTGAGAGAGCGCCTTTGCCGGCCCTTTCAACGCTATACTTGCAGTTCCATGCCACGAGATGGCCGTTGTCGACAATATGCTGTTCATTGGGTTGAAGCTGGAAATCCACTGTTAGATACTATCCGGAGAATTATGGTTCACGTGGCAAGCAGGTAGGTGGCGCCGAGTTACTTACCTACCTCCTTTGTCATGATCCCGCCGTAAGACGTCGCCCATACCGTCCCACGCCCACCGACATGATACACGAACAGTCTCTCTCCACTGAAGAAGGTATTTCCCAGTCCCTGGGTCTGGTGTTGCTTGCTCACACCGCCAGTACACGCGAGAAACGCATCCTTTCCCAACATCCACCCTTCGCCGTTTATAGTTATGGAAACCACATCTCCGAGCAATCTTGGTGCGAGCGACACCTCGCCGGGACCACTGTAGGTCGACTCTGCCATGTGTCCGCCAGCGAGCATCTTGGTGAAACTCAACTTGACTTTTCCTTGAGTGTAACTGTGGGCGACATCGGAATCATGGCGCCGGGCGGAAGGCGGACGTTGAGCACTGTATTTGCATCTCTGTGCGCAAAGCAGTATTGAATACCGTCGTCGCTGATTATCCAATCGCCGGACTGCAATGTTGGGGCGCTCTGATATTGTTGCGGAGGAAATTCGCCTCCATGCTGAGGGAATTGATTTCCCTGTGGAGGGTACTGGTTGTATGGTGCTTTTGAGCTCAGCGCTTCGCCTCGCAACTAGTGACCCTCGGATGCTTACCATCGTGTCCATACTGCTGTGACTGGTAGGGTCCTGGATTGTACGCCATGGCTGATATTTCGTGGATCACTTTGGCCAATACTTGCTATGTATTCCGTAAGTGCAGATGGCGTTTTCAAGAGAGGTGCAGCAGGGTGTCGGGAAGTTTGTAGGTGAAAGGGGCCTCGTATTCATGCCTCTTTCGCCAACTCGCCACGCTATTAAGGAAACCCTTTCCTTCCAAATGTCAGATACAAGCTTGAGTAAGAATCCTTCCCTTGTCGTATAAGCTTTGACCATTGCATTTCGGAGCTCAGCCGGTATTTCAGGCGTCGTTCTATTCGTGGGGGGGCTAAAAGCTCGGCCTCGTGAGCCTAACAATCGACTGGAATTCTACAAGCAGGAGGATGTGTGAGACAGGCCACCTCTTGTCCGGGCCCCCATGTCTACTACGTACGGTCATCGGCAATGCAGAAGAAGGAAAGTGCCGCTCGGTTGTTCTCTTGAAGGTCAAGGATGGACAAATGCATGCTTGATCGCCTTGTATTTAACACTGTTGATCCTTTGGTGCTTATACATCTTTTGACTAGGCTCTGAGTCGTGGCGGGTCTGAGGCTGGAGAAGCGCCCTGCAGCCTCATGCAGCATGCCGACCTTGCCAGTCCCCTTGCACAAGCAGAATGCATTGCGGAAGCTGGATGCATGCATGCTGCAGAAGCTGCATTCAGATGTCCATCACCTCGCCGCCAGTTGAGCACTTTTACCTTCCAACCACCCTGAATTTCACCCTTTATAGCCATAATTCTTGGATCTAGCGTACACTCCAGAACCAGGGTTTGAAGAATCCTTGCTCAAAAAACAATACAGTCTGCACCCAGACCGGAAAGAAACCATCGACTTTTCCAAAACCAGGTCCTTTTGTTGGCCTCGTCTTTACCGACCTGCCAGTCCAATCCATACTCCCTGTCGAGTCTAACTGTTTCCCCCCTCAGTAGTATAATTGTCCTTGGGGGATCGCATTTGAATCATAAAACATCGTGGCAAAGAAAACCCAACAAACGCAATCATTAGCTCATAAAAACAAAACAACGGGACAAATAGATCAGGAGATCTCCGGTGGTAACCAGCCGTGCTCCGTAGAATAGTACATTGCCGTCTCACCCGATAAGTCGAGTCAATGTGAAGGGGGTGCCGGGAAAAGGGAGTAAGACACACGAGTATTACGTCGAGGACGAGAGTTGGTGGTACCAGCCCGTCTGCGTCCACTTGCTCTCGACGGGTCGCCGCCGGGCATTGATGACTTCCTTTCAGGAATTGGAATGGAAGGCGCTGATGAGCCACGGTCGTGCCTGAGTGTGGGCGACGTCGTTGGAAAATCAGACGAGCCATAAATAGCTTCACCGTTCTCGTTGTAATCCGTTTGAGACTCTTCACGAATGGTTTCTTGGCTGCCCTCTCTGTTGTGATGCTCACCACAAGGCGAGACTTCTTGATGGTCTAATTTGAGACTCTCCATTGATTCGCCAAAATTGGCCAAGTGGGCAAAATCCGACAATGAAGTGCTCGAGTGCGATGATCTCTGCGTTCCAACAACCGAGGAAGCAATGGAAAGGATAATGCTTTCTTGAGAACTTGACTTGCTGATCGAAGAAAATGGGCTTCGCAAGATCTGTGGACGGTAGATATCGGTCGGATGATGTGAGGCACCAGGTCGCGGGACAAAAGCGGTCTCGGGTTCTGCAATAAAGACATCCGGCACTGGCTGAAGGGGGCCGATCCCAAGTCCCAGTAAAGGTGAGGATGGCTCCTTGGGTTCGGCACTAGACCACCTCTCTGCCCTCTGCTCGAGGTCTGGTTGGTATGTCGTCTTTGGGAGTTGCATCATCAAAGGAGTGGAAGCTGACGAGGACGCCTCATCGACGGCGTTCTGCCCGATGACCAGGTAATTCTCCTGCGGGATACTACTACCGTCTGGCCTCTCGACTGTCGCATCTGAATCACTCTTGTCTTCGTCAGCATCGAGGTCCCAAGAGTAGTCAATTGCGTCTTCCCAATCCTGAATCTGCACAGGTCTCATTGTGAGAGAGCATCTGGCTGGGCAAGGATGACTTTCTGGATCTGCCACAGGTTCATCCAAAGACGCCTCCACATTTCTCATTGTAGAGGTCAAGTTATAATATGCGGCTTGGAGCTGAAGCTCGCCCGATGACTGGCTGCGTCGCTTTTGTTCTCTTGTCAAAGCGCACATGCCGTCTGTCGGTAGAACGGTACTCTCCATCTTGTCTTCTTCCAGCACAGCTTCCATCCTGATCACGGGTGGTGAAGGCAGTGGAGCTGTGCGCAGTGGGAGGGCACTGTCGTCCCTCGTAGATACGGCGTGTACGACATCTGGCAATATTGGTAGCGGTTTGCCGAGCATGCTATTGCGGCAGATGGGGCTCAGGACTGACAGCTTTTCCGAAAGCTGAAAGGACGGGGAGAGATCGCTGGGTGTGACGGACAGTCTGGTGGGACGAGAAAAGTTTTCCATAGACCGAGAGAGTCGAACATCAGCGGGGCTGCATGGAGATAAGAGAGGATCCTTTGGAGGAGGCTCAGGGCGAGGAGGCGTGATAGGCAGATAGGGGATGGCGTCAGTAGTGGGCGAGGTTGGTTCATCCGACCCAGAATGCACTGGCCGTTCAACGTTTTGTGGTAGATCTGTGATAGGAATCCCACGTACACTGTCCTCAGGTTGCTGGACAGCTTGGATGGTTTTGAATTCAGAACTCAGTTCGGATTTGGCGACAGTGTCCATGTTCCGGAAATGAGCTTGATCACCATGAGACAAGTGCTGAAAGGCGAACGGCCCGGATATGCTTCGTTTCATACCAGTTCCTAAGACAAGTCAGTCAAGAGTCAGGCGGGGTCGTAGATGGTACTCACGTTTTGAGCTGTTGGTGAGTTGCCGGTGCAGAGCCTTGCCCGGGGAGCTTTCTCCGACCCTTCCTGCACTACGCTCTGGTGACTTCTCTTCCAGTTGCGAAGGGAGGAGATTGAGCTTGCTGCCTTGTCGCTTCAATATACGAGTGCCTCTGGAGAGCAAACTCTTCGCGTTGGTCTCATATCGGTCCGTCAATGGAAGACCGCCTTCAACGCAGCTCTGCCGAGACGAAGGTCTAGAGGGATATTCGTTTGAGCCATCCGACAATGAACGCGTGTATTGGGAGACTGATGAAGTGGCGGTGTTTGTCCGTGACCTTCCCTGGGATTTCGAAGACTCGCCGCTGACACTGGAGTCGAAGCTAGTATACCCCTTCATTATTTCCGTCAAAGCCTGTCTGGGCGGCTCGGCAGTGTCTTTGGAAAACCAGTCATGAGCGACGGCGTGCAGCTTGTCGCCGCCTTGCTTGGGATGTCCGTGGATCCATTGAAAGCGACCCATTTAGACTCTTCCAGTCGTCGATATAGGACAGCCGTCACGTGTCCGGGAATCTGATTTTGTCGGATGTCATCCAACCTGGACCAGCTCGTGCTCAGTGTCCACAACACTGTCTGCTGATAGCTACAAGACGTTCGGAACCGCCAGCGGCTGGATCGTGCAGATTTGATACAACTGAAGAGAGGAGAGGCCACGGCAAGATGAGGGCTTTTTGAGTGGGCGCCACCGGTGTGTCAACCTAGGCACACATGTCAATGATATTGCCCTTACGTAGAAACGGCGCAAGTATCTCGAAGACATGCAATCTTACCAGCAACCAAGATTCAAAGGCGGACGAGTTTCATAGGCAAAGCCACCAATTATCTGCTTTGATACCTCGTCTGATGTTGCAGGTCATGCGTCTGATTCCAAAGATTGGCCTGAAGTGATGTCTCTCAAAACGTAAATCGAGCTTTGCACAGGCTCCCCGTGATCGACTTGCATATAGTTCTGTCGAGGAGATGGAAAAAATAGAATGTCGTCACACGAGACCCGAGACGCCGTTCCCCAAAAGACCGAGACGATACGAGAAGAAAGGATAGATCGGAAGATGTTTCAGATGAAGGTCGCTCGAAAGGTGATATACAATTTTCACAGGTTTGATAGAGGACGTGAACCACCCCAATGGGTGAGGAGCAAGAGATATCTGCAATTGGCCTTTCCTACCATTGGATACACAAGGCAGAACGGTGGAGAGAGTGGTCTGCATTCGTTTGGGTCGCTTTCGCGACTCCGACGATGTGAGCACAGGGGGTCAAAAGTGGTCCATCATGCCGGCAAGGCTTCATGGCGGATAACGAGCAAGGGAAGCAGTTGCTAGCCTCAAAAGACATAGTCCAGCAGTGTGATGCTTTTCGCAAGACGCGTTCTGAGACGGCCGGCTTGAAAAATAACCCCGTACTCGCGAGGAGAGAGGCAGGGAAGTTGGGGACAATTGCCGGTGAGGTGGAGTTTGAAGGAGCAGGGCGAGGAGATTTGATGGGGCCATGTTCTCGTCAGGAACGGGTGAACACTGCAGCAAAGTTGTCGAGGAACACGCAGATGGCGCCAAAAGTGGGACTGCGCCCCATGCGTGGCGGAAGCCACCTCCCGGGACCTGATGCTCGGGTACCAGGGTTCGACGGACGCATAGCGACCTGACTCCGATACCCAGGTTGGTTAGTCGGCCATATTCTCATTTGTCTCGGTCATGGGCCGACAAACTGCCAGAGAAAGGTGGTTCCGGGTCAACATCACATCACCTCGCACCTGTCTTCTCGCTCTTCGGCTGTCGTGGCTGTCAGTGAGGAGAAAAAGGCGAGCATGTCAGAAAACCCGAAGTCCTCGTGCTTGACGCCGGCATGACAGCTGACAATTCCAGCTTTAATCGGACCAAGCAGCCAAATGTTCGGTGTAGTCATTGTCGTCCTGTACTCAGAAAACGGCCAGCACGTTCAGAATCGAGAGAACTCTTATGGCGTGACCTCGATCAGCTGTTCGGACGGCAGAGCCCCCAAAGAGACTGATCGAGCATCCCTCCTGGCCGTTTTCGGAGCTTGGTGCTGCAATGATCAACAAAATCAAGCCACCTCTTGAGATGGCCAGCGGGTTATGTGAAGGCTAGAGTATGGATCTTCGGCAGAAGGGGGCCTTAGACCTTTTTCGCTTGGTGATGGCGAGAGCCTGCCAGAGCCTGGGGAGGCACGAGAGGATGCCGTTGCGCAACGGTGTGCTCCGTTCTGAGAATGGAGAAACGAATGTCAAATCGTCAAGGGGAGGATGACGCGGTCTGGTCCAAGGACGAGGAAGGGAACTGTAGCCATGTTAGCACGGGAATGGTTTGAAGCTGCTGGCAAGCTAGAGGGGCCGGTGAGTGAGGCTAGAGAAGTGAATAGCAGGGCCGGAAAGAGATTCAGGAGCAGTAAGCCAGAAGTTTGTGTACACAGTAGGCGCAGGCAGGCCTAGCCGCAGCCTGGGAAAGACAACAAGGTAAGTCGGGTGAGGGTACTCGCTGCGCTCACTGGTACTGTGCTAGTCACCGTAGCTCCGTACCTGGTGTGAGTTGCTGTTGATCTGCCAAGTCCATCATCCACAAAAGGGAAGGCGCGTTTGTTTCTGAACAAGATCATCATCGTGCATCGAGCTTCCCCTGCGTCTCCCACTATACCCTCTGCATCAACAATGGTCCACCGGCAAGCCTGCACCGAGTCCACCCTCCTGTGTTTCTCCTTCTTCTATGGACCTTCTCTCTGCTCTAAGTTGACGCAAATCCATCTTGGCTGCACCGAAAGTCCGGACTGACAAGAGGCGGCTCCCTGCCTTGCATCTTTCGCAAGCCCGTCAGAGCCATCATCCCTGCTAGGCCCATCGGTGCTTTGCAGGCCCAATCAGCTCGTCCGACCCTTACCCATACCATGTCGGCAGTCCACTTGTCGGCACTACGATGGCTTCGGGTCTCTGAAAAAAGTGAGGCCTAAGGTGGAGATGAGAATACTGCTCCGAACCCTCTGGTGATCTAAACAGTGTTATTGCTGGGTTACCTGCGTCCAACGACGAAAGGATGGTGATGTTCTGCCATACACCGGACACATTCAACGCTTGCTCAAGCTATACAGACCTGAGACATTGCCGTCGGCAGACGATGAGATCTCCTGCCACGCTGCCACGCGTTTCGTATTCTGAACGGTTTGTAGATCAAAAGCCACGGGCTTGGTGCGCTAGTAAGAGGACCTTCCAATACTGTTACGTGGCCCACCATGCTGGCACCAACGAATATGTAGTACAAGCCCCTCCAGACACGGTACATGAAAGGACGATCATCTTGCTCACATTGTGTTGGTGATCTTCACTGAGATGGTAATAACACCCGGGGCAGAGACAGCTATTCGGACGACCTTGACTTCCACATTGATGCCGACCGTCCTACCTGGTCGTCGTGGACATCACAAACAACAACGATTTCCGAGCCAACGGTATCAATATTCCACATGTCGATCACAATGAGCTTCTTTGAGGTGTCCTACATTTTACTCTCCGAAATGTCCAAAACATAGGACTGTCACCGTGTTGAGCAAAATCCTCGTTACCCCAGGTCGGGTGAGTATCACACGTTTGAAGTCGAGTTTCAGAGGTCACCATTGGTTATCTCACGTTTCAACAATGTTGATTTGACATACTGACTTTCGCGGCGTACAAGAACAGCGAAAAGTATTAGCACTTGTGAAGAAAGCTAGCCTCGCTAGCCCTGGTGTGCTGCTTTGGCTTGCGACCCATCGCTTTGATAAAGATCGGCATCTGAAACGCCTATGAAGACCGGATTGAGCCAGCTAACATCATTTCATCAGTTCACAGCGTTTGGTGCTCGACTAGAGCTTTCATCTCATATTAGGTTTGTCAAATCCACCAAGATGGTGAAGGAACAGAAGAAATGTCGACTGGACGTGGGATATTCAGCCAAGGATGGACAATGTACTTGTTGTGCATGTGATGGAACCATGAACCTGCCACATGTGCATAGTCACATTGCTTCTAGAGGTCGGCCACATCTCGTTTAGCAGAAAGTGACTCAATGTACCGATCCCCTGTGCGGCAACCCAGGTGAATGCTTCCCCCGGTTCCTAGCTGTTGATGTCGCCTTTGTTACTGCGTTTGCCCGCTGAGGCAGTCAAGCTCAGCAGCCCGAGGTCAACTTCTTCGGAAGCAAGAATGCACAGTTGAAGGCCACACATTCTGCGAGACGCGCAGCAAATATCAGAGCTCGGGTCTGGACTCGGCCAGTCATGGATGACTAAGAGAACACCAGTGAAGTCTCTCGAGCGTGGGAACGGCTCAACCGCGTCTGCAGGTGGCGCCAGCGGCCGCGAAATAAAACCTCTGGCATGAATAAGCGATCCGTCCTTGCAGTTACAGCAGGACTTTCATGTCAAAATGCCTGCCCATGCACCAGCGAGTCGGGGCAATGCAGCTCTGCATATGAACAGAAGAGGAAGCTCAATCTTTGTGACGGTCGCCTGGAAGTGCATTTCCAAGTTTTTGGCATGAAGAGTCGTATGGCGTACGGGATCCCCGTACAGGCTCCTCATTATCCAGGGACTAACAGCCCATTTCAAGGAAGACAGAAGACAAGCCAAGAGACTGTTAGCCGGAAATAGGGCAAGAACGCAGAAGCTGGTCTGTCGTCGTCGACATGTGACAACTGCAGTGAAGCGAGACGAGGGTATCGTGGCATGACCGAGTTTTGACGTCAAATCATCGATTTCTGCGTCGACAACAATTCACACAGTTGGATTTGGCCCTTGAGATGCCTACGACATACTGTACGTGGACATACCAGGTGCTCAAGCTTCGATTACCTCACCACTGTTGCTGTTGCTCGCAGTGCAGTGCAGTGCAGTAGGAATTGAGTTGCGTGTCACTGATGATGACAGGCACCTAACAGGCCTGTCTAAATCGGCTCTGGATGAAGGATTTGATTGATTTACATGACAGACCCTTGACCATGCAGACACATTTCTCTCCATCCATATCCGTCTGGAAGGTCCCAAGTACTCGTACCCAACGGGGATGAAGGCGGCCGTGCTTGCATGAATGCTCTAGTCCTATTTATCGCAGCATTTTTCACGCCTTGATCATTTTCATTGGTGGCACCTTTTTCACTTTTCAGGAAATGATTTCGTGTTGTTGCCTTTCTCCGCATGTCTCAACCGCGCGCTTTTCCTGGTCCTCGACGTGTTGAAGTGGAAGTGGAAGACACCCACGACACCATGCACGACCATGCAAGCCTCAGCTTCAGGTGACAGGCACCCCACCTACTTATTGAGACATTCTATGGACTCTTTCCCTGCTTCTCCATTCATTTTATCGTTGTCCGTATCGGAATTGGATCTAACTCCCGCTGTCCGGGCTCCTCGTTTTGAAAGTTCAGCTATTCAGAGAACGCGTATCCTTGCAGTCAACGGCTGTGGTGCAGCTTCCACGCTTCCCAACGCGCCCAAAAGGGTGGCCCTTTTTTACCCCTCTACTCACGCACGCTTATGTCCCGGTACCTGATGTACCGCCCTTTGACCCGCCGGTGCTGCCCCCATGATGCCCCTATCGGCCTTTGGCTAAATGGCAGTTCCGTATCCTGCGCCGGTACCCGACTTTTCGGTTCTCCCTCAACGATACATCCAAGGGGCCCACCAATACTAGTATGGGCTTTCATTAAATTTCGCATGCCGAATTCCGCAATCACTCTCTCGATTGATAGCCCAAGTTTCAGCTGTCAGAAAACTATCAGCCCTACCGCGTATACGGAGCTGGTCGACCAACAGCCATGGAATGTCTTACCGTGCTTTGCCCCCCTGACTGGGATTTACTTGGAGAGGCATTCATCAAGGTAGGCGGTCGCGTGCCTTCCGATGTCTCCAAAGTCCCTACCGACCAGTCATGACGATACTTGCAGAGAGTTCGGTGGCATTACCATTCTCTTGTCCATCTATCCGGACAAATCTCGCTGTCATCCTTGCTGTCATCCTGCCAATGCGGGTACCTGCGTGACCATGCGAAGTGATGTACTGTACTTGAAGAAAGGAGGGCCGTGACACAATCTGCAATCCAATCAAAGCCGCAAACTCATGGACAAAAATTCTGTCGCTGCATATCCGACTCCATTTCTTGTCCACAGCCTTGTCTTCTTGGAAAAATGCGGAAATGGACGTTTGTCGGGCGTGACGCCCCTGCCACTCATCATTTGCTGCAGTTCTCATCACGCGTCCGGGCATGAGTACTTAGTACCTGTTACAGTGTACTTAAGGTTGGAGCTGCTGAGACATTGATGTTTTATTGCCATGGAGTCTCTAGGAATCGCTTCAGTGTGCTGCGGTGTCTGCTTCTCCAAAATGACACTGAACAGGCATCTTCCCCCCTTAGGCTTGCAGCTTTTGACGACTGCTGACTCGACTCTGCAGCTAAACTCAGGCCTTGCAAACTCATATGCCATGACAGACAAGGAGAGAGAGAGAGAGAGAGAGAGAGAGAGAGAGAGAAAAAACACCAAGCTGAAACAGGGGCGTTTCCACCGGACACCTCCCCCATAGGGTCCTGTGGGAAAAGCCCGAATACTGACCACCAGGCCAACATCTTCATCCTCAAGCATCGCAGTCACATCAGCATCTCGGAACCTGGAACCTGGGCGGACCTTTGCACCCGAAGCCATGCTGTCCTACGCAGGCATGCTTAGTGAAAGGGCCTGTATCTTGAACGCCGTTTCTCAAAGGCGCTCACCCAGTGCTCTCGACTGCCAAATCCCTAACTAAAAAAATTATGTGCACACACACTCTCTCTAGAGTCACTCACCCAAACAAGACCCGGTTCCCTACTTCAACGATCCTCCTCTCACCTTCGCTCATGTTCGGCGTGATCTGCCAGGTCTTCTTGCCCAAGCCCATAGCCCGTTTCCCTTCATCATTGACCTGATCCCAATCCACGGCACCCTTGAACCCGATTTCTCCGTCACCACCAGCTCCGGGGAAATCCGGTGGCGGACTATATCTCAACGCACTCATGCGCTGTCTGTGCAAGAACTCGATATTCGAGCGTGTCATTGCACACGCTGGAATGTACAGGACACTACTATCCCCCTTCCCGCGATGCTCCTTGTCGACCGCGTGGATCATGTCACAATGCCATGCGACATAATCACCGGGCTCGACATGCGGCATGCTGACCATGGTTGTTTCAAGATCCAAGTCCGGATGGGTCTCAGTGTTATATTCTTGACACGCTCCTGGCACCGAGTTCGGAAACGTTGCATCAAGGTTCAATTTGCCCGTTTTGGTGTCAAAGAAAGGCCGCAGGATAAGGTAAGCCGACGCATGCCGCACGAGCGGGCACACTTTCAATGTCCCTTCGCCAGGCCCAGTCGACGACATGCTGAGCCATCCCTGGAAGAGGCGGAACATGCTGCATGCCCCGGCGCCGTTGTACATGTCCATCCGCGCGGTGATACGGTGGCGGGCGTCGTAGGGGTCGTACTCCTCCCACCGACCGTGCAGGATGGCCTGGTATACGCGCGAGTACTCCGGGTCTTCCCAGCGTTCGAGGCTGCCACCGTCGGTGTGCGGGCCCAGCGCGAACTTGGCGTCGCCGGGCTGTCGGATGCGGAAGCGGTCGGCGTATGTGAGTGGGTAAGTCGTCGAGATCTCGGAGCCCGGATCGGAAGAGTGCCAGAACGACGCGAGGAAGGACTGCGCCTTGAGCAGGTTTGGATGTGCGCGGGCGTTGACTTGCGAGGGCGTCCAGTAGAGCTCGTACACGGCCGGATTGCCCGGTGGGAAGGCCTTGACTTTGGAGTGGTTAGCCGCAATGTATTCCTGAGCTTGCTGTTTGAACGCGAGTGCTTCATGCCACGGCACGACGTTGCGGATCACGGCTGTCCCGCGATGGCGAAGGGCGTTGAGCTTAGCCTGGGGCACTGTGCCGGCAGCGACATCTTGGTACTCGATACTCGGTATGACCTAGAGACGTCTGTCAGTTGGGGGTCTAGGTATATGGTGGACGGACAATGACGGCATACGTTGCTGCCCTCCGATCTTATCTCTTCGATTTCCGTCTTCAAGCTAGCTAGGAGTCTCTGCCAAGATTCGGTCAGAGCCTCTTCATTGCCTTTGATCAATGACTTTTTCAAGTCGCTGAATCGTGGTGGCAGAGGGTCTGGCTTCTTGCCGGACAGTGAGGGGAAGACTGAACTGATGTCGCCGGCTTCCTTGGTCAAGGTCGACGCCGCTCGGCGCCAGGCCGACAGGAGGCTGGTTTTCATGTTCAAAGGAAAGAGAAGTAAGGGGAATATGGCGTCGTATGGCCCTTGTTGATCTCTCGTTCTCAGCCGTGCCATTTATCTTCGACGATTCCGACAGAGCGTCCGGATAGGCTTCCATATTTAGATTAGTGTGACAGATGGGGATGGTGGGATGGCCACTGATAGCATTATATGACGATGAGGAGACGACAAGACAAATGTGACCTCGGGCCAACAGCCACCGACCAAGCGGTTTAGCCGACAATCCAGAACAACTGGCTTCCTTCGCAGCGTACTCACGAGCGAAGTGTGGTAAGCCCCGGCAAAGAGAGAAAGGGAGTGATACTTCGAGTCAGGAAATACTAGTCGTAGGTAACGGTGCTGTGAGATACAAAGAGCGACAAGTAGCCCTCTCCGGGTCTCCTCACTACCAGGTTATTCGTCGTCTCTTGCAAGTTCAACAATGGCTCAAACAGTGGAAGGAAAAGCAGCCATTGTCACTGGCGCTGGCTCAGGTATGTACCAGAGGTGAGTTGTTTCCGAATGGATACTGAACGGAGTTACGGGCAGGTATCAACCTCGAATTCGCCCGGCTGTTGCTTCAACATGGAGCAAACGTCGTCTTCGCCGACCTGGCTTTACGTCCAGAGGCAGAGGATCTGGTTCGACAGTATCAGTCTGGACCGAACAAAGCAGTCTTCCAGAAAACGGATGTGACTTCATGGGCCGACCTGAACGATATGTTCCAAGCGGCCGTGAACAACTTCCGCGGTGTCGACATCGTATGCCCGGGCGCAGGAGTCTTCGAACCGCCCTGGAGCAGTTTCTGGTATCCTCCAGGATCAGACAAGTCCGGGGACGACCCGGTCAGCGGCCGGTACAAGCTGCTCGACATCAATCTCACACATCCAATCCGCGTCACGCAGCTTGCCATGTCTCATTTCCTGGCAGCGTCGCCACCGTCCAGCGCGAGCAATCCAAAGTCGATCGTCCACATTGCAAGCATAGCAGGCCAATCGGCTTCACTGCCTTTCCCGCTGTATCACGTATCCAAGCACGGCGTGCAAGCGTTGGTCCGATCTCTGGCGAGTCTGGAGCAGACCCACGGGATCCGCGTGGCGTGCGTGATGCCGGGCGTTGTCAAGACGCCGCTGTTCATGGAGCATCCCGAGAAATTGAAGATGTTCAGGTCCTCGGGAGATACTCCGGACGTGTGGGTGACGCCTGAGGAAGTGGCGCAGGTCATGCTGGCGTGCGTCAAAGATGACGAGATCGACGCCAACATGAGAGCGACCGCGGACAAGGGAGACGAGAGGGAAAGGGTTCCGATCAAAGGAGGTTCATGTCTAGAAGTGCTCGCGGGTTTCGTCAGAGATGTGCCGCTGTACGGTAATGTTGGGCCATTTGCGGCGGGAAGGCCGGGTGCGACGGTGCAGGACGTTACTAAGATGGTCGATGAGGTTTATGAGGTGTTGAAGCCCGGGTGGGGGCAGTATTGAGATATGTCTGAGTCTATCAGGCAGAAGGAGAACGAGGGAAAGAGAGGACCTGGTGGGATGAGAAACTTGGTGAGAGTAGGGCAGATATGGGCAGCTGCCAGCGTTTTCGACACTCCGAGTCGTCAGGTGGTTGGAATTGTTCCTCATGCTAGCAGTGCATACCTAGGTAAGGTACTGAATGTTCATTCTCACCTCTAAATCCGCGAGAGGCGATAGCAGGTCCGACACTGGTAACTTACGACGTAGAGAAGCAGGCCTCTGAGCGTTGCCCAGTTGTCACTCACTTGATGTTGGGGAAGGCGTGGGAAGGGCAGTCTCGTCCGCCACCGTAAGCGGGAAATATCTGCCTCAAGCGTAGTGCAACGATAAAATTGTTGAAATACCCTACAAGAGCATTATTGATGTGACAAGTAAATCCTGATTGATACCTGGTTGATGACTTGGCCGAATGAAGCGAGATTGACAATCCTTCTCAAAACCCCACGACCAGGTTGGAGTCGCTCGACGCGACTTGTTCACGCGTCCAAGATGTACCAAAAACACATGACGTATCATCTATCCCAATATTCCGTATTGTAATCTCATGAAGCTCCTCCTGAGGCATTTTGGAATTGCGTCTACAACAAAGCTGCCGCCCGAAATCCCAATCCAATCCATCTTGTTCGACATCGCGTCGAACAGCCGTCACCATGTCTGCCCAGCTTGCTGCTGGACCCGAAATCGTCGATATCTCGTCATCTGAAGCACATACTGAAGCATCAGACGACGTTTCTGAGTCTGGCTCCTCGGATGATGCCCAGTCCACCACAGCTCATACTCTAGAGGAAGCGATCATATCTGCAACAGCTTCTCGCGTCAAGCAAGTCCTGCTAAATATTTGCTACAAGAACGCAATATGCCGACACCTTGCCAGCGAGGAGCTGCTGGTGTCAACATATAGTAGTGTTCCGGCGACCGAAAACGGCGGCAGTAAGAAACGAGTCCGCAAGGCGTTCGAGATGTGTTGTCAATGCGAGGAAGAATACGATGTTCTCGAGAATGAGAAGACCAAAGGTCTGTGCGTATATCATCCTGGTAAGTCTGGATCTTCCCAGGCAGAGCAGCATTACGAGCACGTATACTCAACAATTTCCTGCAGGCTATAAAGACCTCGATACTGAGGCCGACATCTGGGCTGATCATGACCCTAGTTGCCACGGCAATCCTCATGATTTTGACGACGATCCTGACTACGCAGAGGGTTTCAAATGGGATTGTTGTGACGAAGACGCTATCACCGAGGGATGCAAGACGTCGAAGCATCGGCCGGACCCCAGCAAACGGAGGAAGTGAGATTCTGTAAAGCAGAAGATATAGCAGTACATTTGTAGTAGACAAGACTGCAAGTACAGTACTCCGTACTACTACGTAGTATATTCTTCTTTATACCCTGGCAAGGCTGAAGCTGAGATTGACACACCGTACCCCTGAGTGCGTCACAGTGAGTCCGTGGCGTCTAGCCCAAAGAGCATCCTTTTCTGGACGTCGATTGTCTTCTCCGGGGATTGTACTCCCACGACTCGGTATATAGCATGCCCTTCGACAGCAGCAGATTGTAGCAACCCTCTCGAGTCGCACATCAGGCAATTAACAATGCCGTACACGCTTCCGTCCGAACCAGGTGCGCCCTATGTCGGCGGCAGCAACAACGATGGCTCCGTAGGCTCTTCTCCGAACGGGCGTACGGACGCCAGTCATACCCTCGAAGAGGCTATTGAAACCGCTACAGCATCTCGGCTTCGCACGGTCCTACACCAAATGTGCCAGGACAGCCACTTAGTCCGAGACCTCACCACCAAAGCTCTGCTTTCCGCGACAACCACTCCTGCGGAAGGCACCAGCGAAAGCAATCTGAACGGCAGCAGGAAACGTAAGCGCTTCGAGGTCTGTGGGCAATGTGGCGACGAGTACGAGGTCGAAAGGAATGAGATGGGTTTATGTGTTGATCATCCTGGTAAGTATTCCCTGAGCAAACAGTGGATTTCGGCAACATTAGTGTTTCGCCCCAATGCCTGAAACTGATAGAACCTCTTCCTGTGACAGGTCAAAAGGAGGCTGACCACGACTCAGCTGTGTGGGATGATTACAATCTGGATGTCGCTGGCGACATGGATGACCACGTGGACGATCCGGACTGTCAAGATGGATTTTCCTGGAACTGTTGTGATGGGAAGCTAGGATCTGTAGGTTGTAAGAGGACAAGACACCGTGCCACCAACCCTGGCGAGAAGAAAGGAAGAAATGGAGAGAGTGAGTCAGAACCCGAGAAAAGCTTTCAGTTCAAGTACAAGTGTCTCGTACGTACATCAACGCAAGGAGTGTACTGCGGTCAATCGGAGCCGTTAAAAACAGCTTGGCAAATCAAGGTCGACAATGAAAATTTGGCGCGTCCACCATAACATAGCTGTTGTATCTTGTCCTCAAGCAGGAGCAAATCCCCCATGGAAGAGGACTCTGCCCACACGTGTTCAATGCTCGAGCTCATCCCTGCTGTATCACAAACTTAGTTAGAAGGATTCGTAGCATGCTGATGGATTTTGAGGCCGGGAGCAGCCTTCGACTCGGTGAGTGTGACCAAACATGTCCGGGCAAAGGCCCCCCTTGCAGCTCGAAGCTCAGAAACAATGGAATGAACAAAGCTACACCTCATTGCAACACCATCGACTCAAATTCCGAGACTGTTCAGAGAAGCCTGGCCCGAAACATGCTAGGTCCTTCCACCAAAGCGACGCCCCGATGCCCCAGCGAAGGGGCCCAAGGGAACCACCCCGCGTCCGGGCGGGCCGACGAGTAGGGTCGTGCATTCCACTGAAACCTATACTGGTGTAGAGAGCAGAGGTAATGCCATGCAGGAATTAACATCGCCGACCTGCCCGCGCGCCGAATGCTTCTTTGGTGCCCTTCGTCAGGGCATAGGAGCGCCTCTGAAGTGGGCGGTACCTGTATTGACGTCAACAGCATCGAGTATCTCGATCAAATGAACGGGGAGTAGGGGATATTCAACATGCCAACAGTTCATATCGCAGCTTGAGCTGGCGGACCACCCCTGCAACGGCGGCATCCCCACCATCTAGTTTGACTGCACCGAAAAGAGCTTTGACAAATGTGGCCATAGTCTTATCGGACACACTCGTCGCCCCGGAATTCAGAATGATGCATTTATCGAGACCATTATTGTTTCCGACTTTGGCCAGATACTCATTATTCACCACCTCTTGTCGAATTGTAGTCCATTCGACTGTGGGAAGTCAGGTAGCGAACAGACTTGGTAGACTGGAAGAAGGCACCTATTGATAGATTCAATCTGTACCACTCCTGGCACAAATTTTGGAGAAGTACAACCTCGCCAAAGATTGCAAGAGCATCGTTCTTTTTGGCATCGGCGCCTGGCTCTCGGCGATAGCCTGGAAAGTTGTATAGCGCTTCGAGGCCAAAGGCCTTGTTGGCGAACTCGTAGCCGATGACAGCCTCACATTGCTTGACTTTATCCATATCCGAGGACATCTTCGGATGTTGGGTACGGATATTGAGATTCGAGAGCGATGAAGCTTTGTTGATAGGAGAAAGCAAGGACAGGTGGAAGACAGAGATTGAATAGCAAGTGGAGAGAAAGCAAAGTGGGCGCTGACGATTAGAAGGGTCAAGCTGAATGCCATGAGGGAGTCGATTTTCGGATGAGCACAAGGCAATGGCTTGAGCTCTGGTCTGGCAAGAAGATGAATGGTAGCATCGTTGAGGGGTAGCAATCACAAAGGCCAGCACTTTGCCCAACTGGAAGTGCAGAAACACATGCTGGTATCTCGTCACAGGATGCCACATGTCCTCGCCAATCAGGATTTCAGGCCTGAGAGTTGGCACAATGCCATGTGAGTGATAGAGCGGGTGATTGGTGTACGATGTTCAACGTAGCTGAGTGCCATTGGCGTGAAGACGGAAACCGGTGAGGCTCATATATCATGAGACTGCTCCAAAGAGTGCTGATCAGTGTGTTGTCACTCGCATCAACGAGCCTTCCTGGTTAGAACGTATAGATGAAGTAGGGTATTTGGTTTGATATAGCGGATTCATATTGACAATGTGAAAGAGAAGCCATCAGGCGGCGAAGAAGTTTAGCCTAGCGAGCTTGGGATGACTAACTAGTGCTAACCCTGATTCAGACTAGTGCCGTGCTGACTAAAATGGACCGAAATATTGTATCTTGAGCTTCGACTGTGAGCAATCGTGCTTGTCTACCTCCAGATGGTACATCGTGGTCGCACTTCATAATCTCCGTATCTGGAGTACTACCACCACTACCAAACCATGAGCCCATGCTCAGAAGATCTCCCCACGCTTTTGTAGTCGATGCACAGCTTGATCTCATGAAGCAGGGTCTAGACTCCTGCATCTTGGGAACAGGAGCGCATTGACCATGATCTCGGCCGTTGATCGATTGAGTCGTGCACGGACAGTCTAATTTTCTGAGATCACCTCAAGGACGATCAGTATTGCCTATGTCACTCATCCTGCCTGCTCAAGCCGATGTACCACGAGGGTCATGATGCTGATAGCATAGATCAGGAGGAGCAGAACTCAATACCTTTCACGCATCGAGCTGCTTTTACGCACATACGTGGGCATTTGGCCAAAAAGTCAAGTATCCACGTCGAGCTGCCGCACGGTCAACGCCCATAATGGATAAGGTATCGATAAAAGTAGGTTTGGAACCATCAATGATCTGGCTATGTACATCGAGAACGGACTGCAACCTCGGGCAATCTACAAATACTCAAGCACGGTAAGGTCGCGAAAACCTCCGGATTCTAATTTGCAAGCGTCAACTCACTGGGCTCCGATATGCGAGAAATCGTCATCTTCGCAGATCAAACCGCCAGCAGCCAGGCAGTATTACAAGCAGCCTGCAAGAGGCGGGATCAAAGATTGCTACAGCGCTTCTTACGCAGGACGACAGAGGCACTCAGGCGAGAGACCTACTGTCGCTTCCATACGGCCGGATGCAATTTCGGATTTTCCTCGACGGAAGAGCTCATTCAACGTTATTATGCGTGCCCAACAACAGACGTTGCATTTGAATGTGCATTAGTATGCATGGCACAGTTGGCTCACTTCATAGGGTGCGTGGACCATCAAGGTTCAATTCGATAGCGCTAACCCGTGTCCAGCACATTCGAAAATAGATCGCCATCTTATCCGCGACAGACCCCCGAGACGTGCCTTGTCGGTGTCGGTATTGGGCTCATTGTAGCAAATGCTGTGGCCTCGGTAGATTCCTTACCCTCGCTCATCCCTCTCGCCGTCGAGACTGTATTGGTAGCATTCAGACTAGGAGCCTATTTACAGTTTCTTACTGCTCAACTTCTCCACAAATCGCTGGGGCCGTCCTGGTCGACGGCGGTGGAATCCGACGAAAAGAGAGTGATAGCGTCGCTGAAAATCTTCCATGACCAGGCAAATATTCACGCGGTCTCCAGACTCCGGCTGAGCGTTGTCACCCCCGACTATGCCGTGGTCTCAGGACCTCCGTTGGTGCTGGACAGGTTCTTGAAAGATTCTGGTCTTTGCTCTACGTTAATTCGGAGCTCCGACAATGTGTACGAACCATACCATGCGATGCACATGATCCCTGAGTCAATCATCGACAACGACATACTTCTTCCAACCACGAGGAGCCTTTTCCATGAAGCGGAACCTCGTATGCCCTTTTTCTGTGGGACAAGTGCGAAACCTCTGGGAGGATTTACGCCACTTGAGAGTCTAGCCAGCGCGCTCAAGGAGATGACAATGTCAACAGTAAAATGGACGGAGCTTTTCGAAGGGCTATGTCCAAGGTGGCGTCAAGCGATCAATGTGCTCTCCGTCGGCTCAAGACTAAAGGGTAGCAGCATCATCTCGAATCTCAGCTCGCGGAATTTCAATGTCCAATTGGAGGATATGTCAGATTGGATAGCCCTAGGCCTCCAGGACAACTGCAGAATTGGCGATCCTTCTATCATTGAAACGGTAGCTTGTGTTGAGCTTGAACCATCGGAAAAAGCACTTAAAAGATCAGCAGCTCCGGACACGAGGATAGGGAAGGAGCAACTCAAATCTCCTCCAACATACACCTTAGACGCCGGCTGTGCTTCCAAGTCCGAAAAGTTGTGTGCAAATATTGCTGAGGCAGAGTGCCTGGATCTTTCTGAACGGGATTGGATTAGTCCAAGCGGAATATCATGTCTAGCTTAGAGGCATCATCCGGGTCTTTCGCCCGCAACCTGGTGGATTACGACAGCGTCCAAAACCCACTCAGACCTGACCGTCATGCGAATACTCTATATGCAAGTTTGGGGTGTGACCAGGATCGTGGAGTGGTACGGAGTCTGAGTCCTCGAGATTATGTACCTTAAGTATCACTAGCAGGCTTAATAGGTGATTCTGCATATTGTATATTAGTTTCATGGGAGAACCTTGGGAAAATTGCCCTAGATACACGTCGTCGTCGTCGTCGTCGCTGCTGTCTTGAGTCGTGATTTCTATCGCTCGATGTACCTGAGCACGTGATGAATTTTGAGGTACGGTGGAGTGTCGAATCCAAAGGCGCTAGTCGATATTTCCCTCCAAGCCCTCTCACCTTCAGGCTGCTCGTCCTGTCGTGATCCCCGTCAACTTCTTATCAACGCAATGTAAACATGCCGGCGGCAACATCTCAGCCGCCGGTCAAGCTTTCGCTTCCTCTGGTAAGTCGATATCCAATGTCTTGTTCGAGATATCCTTGTTGTTCGCATGATTTTCCCAAACCTCCTCCGCCTAGCCCTTGCCACTCTGATGCATGGAATTGTTCGAGAGACGTTGGCCGCGGATCAAGTCTGACACGTTTGATAGCAATTTCAGCAAGAGATCTATCATCTGTTACGCGCCGAAGATGTTCTGGTGATTCTTGCTAGAGGTTTGGGTCTGCTCAAGATCGTCACGAACCTTCTTCACTCCTACGATGCTGCCGGCAACTCCCTGGTCATTATCGTCGGAGCCGAAGACCGTGAAAATGAGTGGATCGGCGAGGCTCTCGCGGAGCACTATGCCATCTCTCGAAGTCCGCTTGCGAAAGGTCTTCGTGTCATCAACACTGACAAGGCAACTGTGGCGGCGCGCGAGAAAATCTACTCTGAAGGTGGTATCGTCTCGGTCACTAGTCGCATACTCATCGTCGACTTGCTATCGAAGCTTCTTGATCCCGAAACTGTGACCGGACTTATTGTGCTGCATGCCGAACGCGTCGTTGCTACAACCACCGAAGCGTTCATTACGCGCATCTTCCGACAACACAACAAAATTGGCTTCCTTAAAGCTTTCAGCGACTCGCCAGAGCCACTCACCTCCTCCTACGCGCCTTTGGCAGCAATGATGAGAAATCTCTTCTTGCGGAAGCCGTCCTTGTGGCCACGATTTCACGTATCCATTGCACAGAGCTTGGAGGGGAAGAAGAGAGCCGATGTGATTGAGCTAGAGATCCCCATGACCGAGTCGATGCGAGCTATCCAGAATGCTGTCATGGAATGTGTGGAGATGAGCATATCTGAACTCAAGAAAGCCAACCCGGGGCTGGAAATGGATGACTGGACACCTGATTCTGCTCTACACCAAAACTTTGATGCTATTGTCCGGAGGCAACTTGACCCAGTTTGGCATCGAGTCAGTTGGCGTACAAAACAAATCGCAAATGATCTCACGGTCCTGCGCTCGATCTTGCACTCTCTTCTCAGTTACGATTCTGTCTCACTTCTGAAGTATCTGGACACTGTACACGCAACGCATTCCCCTCCACCGGGCTCCACGAGACATGACCAGTCGCCATGGCTCTTTTCTGATGCTGCGTCTACCATCTTCCAGTCAGCAAAGAATCGAGTATACAACGGCAAGGCAGAAGACGCCGGAGCATTGCCTACCTCGAAGTTGCCCGACTCACTTAGCCCAGTCTTGGAAGAGCAACCAAAATGGGCTGTACTGGCAGAAATCTTGCAAGAGATTGAGGTGGACGCTTATTTGAACCCGACCCTGCGGGACGATTCCAACGATACGGTCCTCATAATGTGCAATGATCAACGTGCCTGTCGCCAAGTCAAAGAATATCTCCAGACAATGCACGTGAAGCCGCTACCGCAGGACATGAATGACGGCCAAGCTCCCCATGAAATCGAAGCCGAGGAAGAGAGAGGTTCCGCAGAGTTCATGATGAGAAGAAAACTCCGAGAATATCTCTGTTGGAAGAAGACTTTTGCTCAAGTCAGCGCTTCGCTATTTGAGGAGAACCAGAAATCTCTCAATGACATTAAGGGCAATACGGCTGCAGCCCGGCTCAACAGTAAAGCACCTGCAAACAAGCGGAGACGTTTACGTGGCGGAGGTGGCGCCGGAATGGGTCCATCGCGCACTGCCAATGGTGCTGTGACCGTGATTGAAGACAAGGCCGCACAGGTTGCCAGTCTACTCGCTGAGCTACGGCCTACCGAGTCAGAGTCGCTTCAAAAGGAGGACATTATTGTTGACGACTTGAGAGATGCTGGAGAAGATTTCTTCGAGCTGTATGAACCCGATGATCAGATTGTGGTACATCCATATGATGGTGACCAGGACGACCAGCTTCTTGAAGAGATCAGACCAAGGTACATCATCATGTATTCACCTGCTACAGACTTCATCCGCAGAGTCGAAGTTTACAGATCGAGTCACTCGGACAGAAGTGTACGTGCATACTTCATGTACTATGGCGGTAGCATCGAAGAGCAACGCTATCTTTCCGCGGTCAGGCGGGAGAAGGATGCCTTTACCAAACTGATCAGGGAACGTGGAAGCATGGCTGTCACGATGACTGATGCTGGCAACATTGATCCGCAGGAAGCTTTCTTGCGGACCGTTAACACCCGCATCGCTGGTGGTGGACGTCTTGCAGCAACAGCCGCGCCTCCAACGGTTGTGGTGGATGTTCGTGAATTCCGATCAGCTCTGCCTAGTTTGCTGCATGGCCGGAGCATGATAACTGTCCCCTGCCAACTGACAGTCGGTGACTATGTTTTGTCGCCTAACATCTGTGTCGAGCGAAAATCAATACGCGATCTTATTGCTTCCTTCAAGAATGGCCGACTATTCAATCAAGCAGAGACGATGCTCCAACACTATAAATATCCATTTTTGCTGATCGAGTTCGACGCCAACAAATCATTCACTCTTGACCCGTTTGCAGATCTTACCTCCGTATCGGCTCTGAAAATGCCTGATTCTGACACCAAAGATTTGCAGTCGAAGCTGGTTCTTCTTACGCTGGCGTTTCCGAGACTGAAGGTGATCTGGTCATCTTCGCCTTATCAAACGGCAGAAATATTTGAGGAGCTCAAAAAGCAGCAAGAAGAGCCAGATCCTTTGAAAGCCGTACAAATTGGTTTAGCTGAAGGTGAGGATCCCGATGAGAGGACCTTCAATACAGGACCGCAAGAACTCCTCAGGACGATTCCTGGTGTGACTGCAAAGAACGCCAGCAGGCTGTACCTCGAGACAAAGAACGTTCTCGAAGTTGCGAACATGAGCCTTGACGAACTGGATCCTATGGTTGGCAGGGAATCTGGTAGACAAATTGTAAGATTCTTCACGAGAAGTGTCTTTGACGACGAAGATCAATAGCTTGATCAAGCTACGCACCAGTCGGAATTGCTCTGCAGCAGACGCATTAGCAGCATACATCAGTCTGTGATGTCTACAAATGCGGGCAGCATGCTATCACGGACATACTCGAGTGCATCAGCCAGATCATTGACTGTGCACGAGTTATCCTGATCAGCAAATTCAGGTACGAACGTCCTCGGTCTGATAGCGTGGCGTCTTGCTGTCCCTTGCCTGCGCTGCGCCTGCACCATAGCCACCGTCAAGACCTGAATATAACCACTACGGATATGTAGCCTCAACAAAACGAAATGCTGGGGGATGCCTGCTTGTCCGTGGTGGTCCTGAAGCGCCACTCGATCAGCTCGAGTTCTCAATTGGATGAGTTCATCGTGAGAGACACTAATGCTATGAGGGACGAGTGGCATCGTCCACTTTTCGAGTCTGCCGCGCATCGACGCAGACACAGGTTCCAGCCTTATTGGACATCCCTCAACTATCCCTTCAGCTGGCCTTGGCATCTCGTATTGGATGCAGCTTCTCGCTAAGCAACACGATTCACAACCCTCAATACTGGCAAGTTGCTTTCTCCAGACCTTCGCATACCGGAAAATCGAGCGCCATTCGCTAGGCTTCGTCCTGGACCGCTGGCTGGATCGAGTTTGAAAACTCGAGATGGATTTTACCTCAGCCCAACCTCGTGTTCGGAGGAACATAGCAGCTTGCTCGCTTGAAGTAGCCTTAGCATGGTTTATGGAGAAGCGCACAATAGAGAATATATCTTCCAAGCTCATCAAGCTCATCAAGCTCGTCGAAGCTTTGATCACATTCTCTTGGTCAGCCTTGTTGTATTGTCTAATACTTTTTGACCTCGGATCGAAATGAGGTCCTTTGTCTACCTTTGCCTGACGGCTAGGAACTTGTTAATGTGGTCGACCTTTGCGTTCGGAGATGTAGAGCATCATCTGGTGGCACGCTCTTACATCGCGCATCAAGCCGGTCTGCCAAACGCCTTTCTGAACGGCGCGTACCTGAAGAGCCCTCATCTTCTCAAGCGACAAGATTGCACCGGCACCTTGTGTCCTGGTAAGCCTTTCCACCCACTCGCGACCGCAGAACCTCGCCCTTCTGAATTGTTAATTCTGTTTCAGATGGCTGCCACATCCACGCAAACGACGTATGTTGCCCGAATGGTGAGGGCGCATGTCTCGCGGGCCAAGCATGCTGCGGCTCCGGCTGCGTGCCACTCGACGGGAGTATCTGTTGCTCGGACGGCGGGTATTGCAAACCGGGCCGTGTGTGCGCCGAGTACCAGGGTCAGCCCGTATGCTGCTTCGATGAGGCATGCACGGGCATCGAGCAGGGTGATGGAAGTACATATACGGTCACAGATGGGGCGGCGACGCCAGTGGGGACGAGCATGGCGAGCACTGTACCTGCTTTGACGGGAGGAGAGACTACCAGTGCTGCGTCAATGACAACCTCGACGGCAGCACCGCCATATTCGAATACTTCAGCAACTACAACTGTCGCTTCAGGTGCGAGCTCGGGTTCGGGTTCGGGGTCCGTAAGCGCGCCGCCATATAGCGAAGCGCCTCCGTACACATCGGTGTCGGTGAGTACGAGTACAGTCGTGGCGCCCACGTCACCTGGCACTCCAGCGACCCAGACGACTCCTATTGTCCCATCAGAGACTCCTACGCCTTCTCAGGCCGGGCCAAGTATAGTCATTGTCACGACGCAGGTGTCGGTTTCAGCAACAGGGGTTTCTAGTCAATCTAGTCAAAGCACGGAGACATTTGGGACTTTGACACTCACTCCTAGCCTGGCGGGAAGCAGTGGTGCGACTCCATCCTTTGCGACACCATCCTTTGCGACAAACTCGTTTGCATCAAGACCTCACGTGCCGGGACTGCTGGAATGGGTGGTTGCAACATTGCTTATGTATTTGCTGTGAGGCTGGCAAGGCTTAGGAAGTTCTGATGCAAGATCCCTTCTATTCTCCTCGGGCAATATGCGAGGCTGACGCATCTGACCATACGGTGTCATCCACACATGATCGGTAAAGAAGAGATCTCATTGCAAGTCTTTCATGCTGACCTTTCTTCCAAAACTTCCCATCATGATCGTATGTGTAAAAGCTAAGCCATGCAGCCGGAAGCCTGGTTCAAGCCTCATCGCATTCATGCGCGTTGCAATTCACCAACTTCTATCCATGAAAATAACTTTTGCACTCAGATGTCGTCAATATCAACCTCCTTGTCTGATTCGCTGTCCCTGTCTTCGTCGAACTCGACATTGTCATCCACACCCTCGTGGCCGTAGGTATCTGTTTCGTTGATCTTCGCATTCTCGGGTAGCTCGCCGTAAGCCTTGAGTGATCTGGCCTCGTCGGCGGAGTATTTGAGGATGACATCGCCTTTTTCATCTTGGTAGTCGCGCAACGAGAGCAGGATGATGTCGCCCTGGTTGATCCACACCTTTTTCCGCAGTTTTCCCCGGATGTGTGCTAGACGTTTCTCGCCGTCGAAACAGAGTGCCTCGAGACGGCCGTTGCCCAGCATCTTGACGACTTGTGCGTACTCTTGTCCCTCTTCTTTGAAGGTCAACTCGCGCTTTTCATTGTCGTTTTCGTTCTTTCCTCGACGTCGGTTCTTGCCTCCCTGTTTGAAAAAGCCACTCAGTAAGAAGTCCACAATGTAAATGCAACGTCATCATGTCTTTGCTCCTTCCTGTCGCTTGTCTCGCGATTCGAGAACGGGGTGGCATTGTTGGATGCGCAGGAATGATCCGGCGTTATGCGGCATGCGGTGTGTGGATGAATGGACTCACCTTTCCCTTGTTCTTGGGCATATTGGCTGGTTTCTCTTATGACAATAATCTGTTGGTTCTTGTGATTTGTTTGAGCAGTGTAGCACAGTAGAGAGGAGTTATCTGGTGGTGCGCTGTATGAATGTGTGGTGTTGTGTTGGTGGAAGGATCGAAGGCGAATTTAGAGGGTTGACGTCGTGGCGGTTTTGGCGGGCACCTAGCGGGGGGCGACTAAGGCGACTACACACGGGTGACGGCGGCGAAATTTCCAGGCGCATGAGTCAGTTATTTGCAGTCTTTTGTTTGGGGAGTTTTCTTGACCGCCTCGTGCCCTCCAACAATCACAGCACCGCCTGCGCCTGTAGTACATCACATCCCACCTCAGGTACTGTAGGTACCATCCACCGTTATGGCTTCTTTGCAACCACTGAACAGCGCTAGGTGATAACACCCCTTCAGTTACTTGCTTCACGCGATGTGATCTCTTCCTACACTCTTTCGATGGCATTGGCTCCTTTCAAAGCTGTTCGCTTCCCCAGCATACTTGGTCTCCAGGCAAATTACTGCCCCTTCGTGCGACCTTCTACTCTGGACGAGAAAGCTTTTGTCTCCCGGTGGCACCCCCGCGTGTTTGCCACTCGGGACAAGTATGCAAGAGCGTCGCCGGATGCTCTGTCATGGTGGGTGGTGAGCGGTACGAGCCAAAAAGTTGTTCCACAAGCTGTGGTGCGCAACCGGCTGAAAAGAAGATGGGCGAACGCATTTGCAGACAGTATGAGACAGAACGGCTTCCACGCCAATGGGAAGCTGTTGTCGGGACCCAAAGATGGAAGAAGTTCTATTCCAGGGCTGAAAGGCAGTCTCGAACTTCTCATCTACAGTCGAACTGGGCTAGACGCTCCCTACGACAAGCTTGTTCAAGCGACCGATGTACTCGTCAAGACGCTTCGACGTGGAGGCCCTAAGTTCAGTCCAGACTTGTGGCCTAGACCTGCATCCATTTGGCACAAAGGACGAAGAGAAGACGCAGATTCCACGTGGTCCATTGTCAAGCCACAGAAATAAAGACGACTGTCACTTGGTACCGAACTTCGGATGTATACTACATGATACCCTGTGTATGATAAAGAGACTATACCGCCCTTTACAACTGGCTCGCCACAATTCTCCTGTCTTTCATATGCTCTTGCTGCACGCGGTGCAGTGATTCTATGAACATCGTTTGTGTGTCTCCTGAAAAAAGCTTCTTGACATGATCAGGTCCACAAGTTGCTTAGAATTCAGACTTCTCGTGTCTCGGAACGTGATGGCGATGAAGATGTAAGTTCGTCTGGTCGCATGATCAATTACTCAGAAGACAAGCAGACGAGGCTGAACAAACACGGAAAAGCCCTGCACGGTAACCAATGATTATGCTTATTTCCTCATCGATGATTGACTGCGCTAAGCGACCATCTTTAAAGCAGATTGCTTCATCTTTTTTGCACTCAGTTGCAAAATGGCCCCTGCTATATCCAATCTGGAAACAGCCACGGCACATCGATGCCAAGTGTGACCGGCGAGACGTATCATGCTGCGATTTCAGCCAAGCCTGGTGCGGTCTCGTCTCCAGTCGGAAGACGGTGGAACAACGGTATGGAATTGTAAAAGCCAAACAAACAGAAGCAGAAGCCCCAGATTCGCTGATCTGATCTTGGTGGTATCATGACCTATGCTTGAAGTGAGACATCTGATCATGGGCTCAAAGTCACGCCACGCCACAAGCGTTTGTCCATTTGTAGGGACGTATATATACGTCAAGCCATATCGCTGAATGGCTTCAGCGGATCATCCCAACCACGCAACATAACAGCAGAAAGAAAGACTCGAGACAGTTCCAGTATCCAGGCGTCGCAACTATCAGTCAAGGCTCTCAGAGGAGAGGAGAGAAATATCCAAACATTGTAACACCAAAGTGGACTTCACTTCCGAAAGAGCACCAGAAATACCTTCATCATGTGTTTCGGATTCTTCGATCGAAGGCGCTGTGGTTACTATGGCTGGGCTCCAGAAGAACCAGTCAAGGTCGTCCATCCAGACCGCTTAATGCGGGCGCCATCCTCAAGGCAGGAGATGGTGCGAGCCCCGATATTCAACCATCATGACGATTACCATAGAGCGAGCAGTACGAGTCCGCATCACGGCAGAAGATTCTCATGAGACGGACAGGAGTTGGGTTCTCGGATCCAGTTTGATGCGGCAATACGTGAGGCCAAATACCGTCCGCGATCGCTCACGGGCGAGCAGATTTGTGCAGACACGGACAGTGAATAATATTGTCTTCAGCGGCAAGACGACGGCTCGGCAGCGATGGCCCTGCGAACGGTGAGGGAGCTGCTGCTGATATAGCTCGAAGACAGGAGAAGCTCGAGAGGGTGGCGTGGATGGGTAGGCTCGCGTGGTTCGCCAACGATGGGGCCCGCAGCACTGGGTGCACTGGGCAGGATGGAAACGGCAAAGATTCACCGTAGCAGGACGTAGGGCGGAGCACATCCCCATGTTATCGCTGTGATCAATTTATGTTCTCGAGGGAAGGGCGATTCATCTCTGCTCAGCTAGTACTTGTTCATGGCATATCTGTGCAACCCGCCGCATGAGAAGGACGTCCCCGTTCCTTACGAGATGTGAAGATTGGCATGCGTCCGTAACGGATACTGAAAGATGATGGAACACGGAATCCCAAGCCTCAGTCCTTTGGGCTGGCCTGTCGGTTCCCGACCAGACTTGCAAGGCAACCTCAGCCCCCACAACATGATTGGATCGCTCCTGTAACCGCTGGAAACAAGGCGCATTTTGGGCAGTCTAGTGTGGCTTACTGGGCTGTGCTGTTGACCACCTGAAATACAAGACGATGCGTTGTCCTTGACGTCGGCATCGTTATCACAAGCGAACTCAACCCCAGATGTATTCACGGAAATGCTGGAACGGATCCGCCGCCTCAGGAATGCTCAGCGTAAAGTATCTGAACCAAAGGTAAAGTCAAAGGGGCCAGATTCGCACGAAGCAGTGGTTTTGTCCAACCCACAGCCTTGCATATACTCCTTGACCAAATCGAACTCTTTAGATAGCTCGGAGAAACTTCAGAATGGCACAGCTAGCACCGAAGGCCATGGACAGCACCGCAAAACAGCGGCAACAGATGCACTTTCCATCGAGGACCGCCCTGCGACAGTGCGTTTTGGCACCGTCCACCCGGATGATGCTCAGTCTGATGACAAACCACTTCTAGAGCATAGCCCTGGAGCCGGACCTATATGTCGCCCCAAGTCTTATTGGGGTGCAGCGCTTCATCGGCTTGAATCCAAGTCACCTGATGTATATGGCGCTTTCGAACGATTGCAACGGGACTTGCCAGATGGAGACCTGCCTGAAGCTTTGCTCGCCGTAATCCAGAAGCATCGCCAAGTCATGGAACAGCGAGAATGGTCCCTTCCTTTCAAAGTCAGGGGAAGATCTGTCAAGCTCAGGCGCCAACTCGACACCGTCGCAAGGGCTTTGCTCGGATTCAAAGGCCTTGGAGCAGCAGTTTCTCGCGTTGATCTCATGCAGATTGCTCCTGCGGCGTGGGGTTGCTTCACATTTATCTTGCAGGTGAGATGCTCCTTACGTTTGATGTTCTCATTTGTTCTGACAATGACTTCTGTAGGTTGCATTGAACGATTCCGAGCAGCATGCGGCAGCGATCGAAGGTGTATCAGAAATCGCCCCTATCATTTCTAGATACACAATACTAGAATATCTGTACCTCCAGGACAAGAACTACTCGCTCAAGACAATATTCGAGGAATCAATAATCGACTTGTACACCATCATATTGCAATACCAAACCAACCTGGCAATCTATTTCCAGAGGCACGCCTTCACCCGGCTCTTGCGTTCTGTACCAAGCTTGGACGATTTCCCACTGCTTTTGAAGAAAATAAGAGGTCAAGATGAAGTCTGCAAAGGTTTCACGAGTATTTTCGATGAAGAGAACGCACTCAACCGGCATCAGGAAGTTCATGCTTTCTTCCGACAAATTGACCAAAGGCTCGAGCGAACGCAAGAAGAGCTAGATGCCTTTTCACGAACGGCGAAAATGCAACGAAATGCAGACGTATTACGCTGGCTATGTAACGGTTCCGTCTTGGCTTACCATCAGACCATTCTTGAAGACTTCAAAATGGGCACTGCATATGTCCATGCCGGGCAATGGCTCAGGCAGCATCCAGACTTCGTCAGATGGCGGAACTGTTCGGTATCTAACCCCGCTATCTTTTGGCTCCATGGCTCGATTGGCACTGGGAAGACTTCCATAACATCAAGAGTGATCGAATGGTATCTGGAAGATTCACTGGGTCGCGATGGCCATCGCACGGCTTTCTTCTACTGCTCGAAGACTCAAGGCAACCAGCAAGGCACGGCGACGAAAGTCTTATTCTGCGCATTGTTGCAGCAGCTTGCGTGGTCAAGAGATGGCACATCCATCACACCAGTGCTAGAGGCCGAGTTTGAGAGACATCGTTGCATTCCTGCCGCTTCAGATACTCTGTCCCGCGACAAATGCATCGAACTCTTGAAGGATGCCGTCTCTTCCTTGGAAAGGGCTTTCGTTGTCGTCGACGGCTTGGACGAGTGTTGTGATTCAATCGAGGTCGCTACGATGCTTGAAGAACTGGTCGACGCGGTTGGCCCGAAGTTGAGGATCTTTCTGACTAGCCGAGACGAAGGTCCGCTCCGAGATGTGATCTTAGACTGTTACAAGGTTCCAATGAGGTCGCAAAGCACTCGGGAAGATCTCCAATATTTTGTCCAGCACGAAGTTTTCGACAGGAGACCTCGTCTTTTCAGGGGCTCTCGGCAAGACCTTGAAGAAGAAATCGTTGAGATCCTTAGCCGCAAAGCGGAGGGAATGTAAGTATCGCCATCAAGTACTCCAGGCCGAACATCTGACGCATTCAAACAGGTTCAGGTGGGCGGAATTGCAGCTAGCCATCATTTTCGATAAGAGAACACCGTACCGAATACCAGAGGATGTGCAAGCAAAACTTGCGGCCCTTGGCCGTGAGACAGCAGTACCGAGCCTCAGAGATGCCTACGACGAGGTCTACAACATGAATACTAAGGCCGACAGAACGGACCGACAGCACGCAATCAAGGCTTACAAATTGTTATTATGCTGTCGCCGCCCACTTCGGACAGAGGAGCTCACCGAGGCCGTGGCTACCAATCGCGACGGAACTGTCCACCCGCTAGTCGACAACGTCTACGTGCTCGAGATCACGAGAAACTTGGTTTTCGAAGATGAGAGATCGCAGACTGTTCGGTTCTCACATCAGTCAGTTGTTGAATATCTGAAAGGGAGAAAATGCAAGAAAACCCGGGAATTCGATAAAGTCCAGAACAATTCACAAATGGCTGAAGCCTGTCTTCTGGCTACTCCCAGAGAAAGGAATGAGACACCGGGGTTCTACGAATATGCCCGCGAATGGTGGCTCATGCATACCGACATGGCTGAATCTGGACTTTCGGATATTGGCAAGTTGATCTTTTCGCGTGAAGATTCCGACATCGATCAACTCAATCGCTTATCAATATTCAACCAGGCGTGCCCTCCGCGGCCAATGCCCAAGTCTCAGCTGCAGTCGGGACGACATTCACAGACTTTGTCCCACGGCCAAAGTACACTGCTAGCAGTTATGTTCGAGGCTGCTTTTGCAGCGCAGCAACGTATAATGCACTGGGAGTCACTTGGCCACGGTGTCGTATATCGGCCCGACCCTGGCGACACTGTGCTTCACTGTGCGGTTGCCATGCCTGACACTCAATTGCTGCTGGCATTGCTCACTCACGGTTCACAGGTCTTTTTGAACACGCGAAATGTGAAAGGCGAGACTCCATTGCATAGAGCCATCACCAAAGGTACTGTGCAGGCAATCGGAGTTTTGCTTGACGCAGGTGCATCGCCTTTCTGTAGAAACAACACAGGAGAAACGTTGATTCATGCTGCGACTCGTGCTCGAAAAATCCCTCTTGTCGACAGCTTGATCGATGACACCGAGCTTCCTTGTCTACACCTTACCATTCCTCGTCAGCTTATGCAAGGACAAGCGGCTTGCCAGCCATCAAGCTTGACACGCCAGGTTCCAGAGATCGGCCACCAGGATGGTATCGACAGAAGTCTCTCTCATATTCCCCATAAGGAAGTCATCTCTCCTGAGGTCTGTAAAATACAGATGTTCATTTCTAGAGGAGTCGACCTGCACAGCGAGGACATCTTCGGCAACACCGCACTTCATATTGCAGCCGGCACGAGCAGGTGGTTGGAGATGCACAGTATCCTTGAACGACACAATCTGTCGTATCTGCTAATGATCAACGCCAACGTCAATGCACAGAACAAGCACGGATGGACCCCACTCCATATTGCCTGTACCCGCGGTTTCGTTTACGATGCGATATTGATGCTAAACCGTCATCCCAACTTGGAACTGGCAACGCGAACGGGCTGGACCGCTCTACATCTCGCCGCCTTCTGTGGGCGCGCACAAATTACCAGGATGTTACTGGAGAAGGGCTCGAGTGTTGATGCAAGAACAAACGCGGGCTGGAATGCTCTTCACCTTGCTGCAGTGAACGGACATTATCAAGTTGTGGCAGAATTACTGAGTCGTGGGGCAGACGCCTTGGGGACGGGACCCAGCAACTGGACACCACGAGCACTTGCTCAACACTTTGGTCACAAGTATGTGCTTCACATTTTGCGGCAAGTGAAAGGCTGTCGGGAGGGCGCAGCAAGCAGCGCAATGACTCCCATTCCCGGACCGCTCATCAAACCCTTTCCAGAGAATGAGCCTTGGCTCTTCCCATTTGCTGAATCTCAAGGATGGTGCTACGACGTGCATCACCCGTCGCTAGTGTTTGGACATCGCGATGGTTCTTGGCTTTACCAACAGAGCCGGTTGCTTCCCCCAGCATGGGAAGTACATCTGTCCGACAACAAGGACTGTTACAGGCCCTACTTCATTAACCATACGACGCGCAAAACATCGTTCAACGATCCCAGAGGCGAGTTCTACCAGGCTTTCCAGATCCCTGAAAAGGACGCCATACCATGGCCTTACACACTGTCCACGTGTTGAATTCAGGTCTTAGAGGCCTGGAAGCTATGATCTTTGGCAAATCACTATATGCTCTGACACCATTTCTGGTCAATACATTGCTGGAGGGACTGGTCTTGAACGATTAAAACGCCGCAAAAGAGATTCCCTGCGCACGGCTTGCAAACCGCTTTACCAGGATCGATGGGAAGGAACAACTAGAAGATCGTCCTTCTTCAAGTGATATATTACGCTGACATGTTTCACGAAGACGATTTTGGTTCCTAGCAACCAGCGAGGCTGGTAAAATTGAATGATAGTTTCAGTGACCTCGTCGTGTCTCCTGAAGGCATAATGAGAAGTAGGGCGAAGTAGAGATGCCCGATATTACCCTCCAGGTCACGTGTACAGCAGCGACCCTCGAAACTTGAGAGCTATTTCGTTGCATTGCTCTAGCATTATTGATCTGTTGGTGGCACCACACTACATTTCGACGTTGTATCTGTATCCTCCTGTCTATCTTGTCTGCAAAGATGCTGGTCTCCTTGACCGTTGGCAAGGTGGATGCTGGAGTAGCAGTCCTCCTCACCGAAGACAAGCGACTGGTAAGCTGGGGTGCGTCGTGTCAAGATACATTCTGATAAATTTCCCAGATAGAGTTCCCGTCAATACTATTGCCTTCATCTATAGCGTCGGGGTCGATCGTCGATATCACCGTATCACAAAACTTCGAAGCCGAACAGAAATCGCAGGCTGCGTTCTCGGCCCTACAGAACCGAATCCTAAACACTTACGGGATCAACACTCCTTCTACACCTGCATTACGCTTGCGAAATGCTACTCAGACTTCCCTCGTCCTGGAATGGGACCCTATCCAGCTGGCGACCACTACCCTTCACTCCCTCTCCCTGTACAGAAATGGAAGCAAAGCAGGAAACATCCCGAGACCTTTGGAACAGACGGCCACAAAGATCAGTGGATTGGCCGTAGATAATGAATACTCTTTCTATCTCGTACTGCGAACAAGTGGTGGCACCTACACGAGCAACGAGCTTACCGTCAAGACGCATGCAATGAACAACTTGACGGGTATTACAGTGACACCCGGAATTCTACCTCCACCGTTAAGAGAGTCCCTCGAGGCTGCAGTCGAGCGCATTGGAGCGAAGATTATTGACACAATCAGAATAGACACTACGCATTTTGTCTGCACAGAGGGTCGAGGACGTGACTGGGAAAGAGCCAATGAAATGAACATCCCCGTCGTGAGGCCGGAATGGATCGAAGGCTGTGAAAGAGAAGGGAAGATAATTGGGGTTCGCGGATATTATCTGGATGCGGATCCCAAACAGAGACAAGTCGGCTCAAATCCATCCCTCGCGGGCAGGCCTTCAACAGCGGGCGCTCCCCAACAAGCCAATATGCCGCAACGACCAAAAGAGCCTTCGACGACGCCGAAGAGCCCCGACAGGGAAAGCACAGTTAGCGGAGAACCAGGTCCTGAAGTGCCTCCCACTCCACCGCAGAAGGACCTGCCGCCTGCGCCCGCACCCGTCGATGACGAAGAAGACGAAGACATCGAAGAAGAGGCGGAAAGACCGCCAGCCGAGCCCAAGGACAAACATAAGGCTGAATCTTCTGATGAGGATGAGGAGGAGTCGCCCACTGACGAAGCTGGCGAGGCTCACGGTGCACAGAATCATCGGCCCAATGTTGAGGATGCCAAAGAAGGAGCAGACATGGAAGACGTTGCATTATGATGACAATCTACAAAGAATGTTTACCGGTCGACTAATCAGTCGCATTGAGCGAAGGGATCTGGTCTTGTTGGTGACATTTCGGGGTGAAGAGATCAGGCTTCAAGGACGACCAAGGCATGCTCCGGATCTGCCTTTTTCTGCAATTCCAGAAGCTGCAGAGTCTGTTGCATCGCTGAAGCCCCAGAGCCATAGCAATCCTTACTGCTGTGGAACACGTGCAAAGCCTGCGCAGTCGCATATGTGTCTGTTTGGAACCAATGACGACTCAGCCTCAGCAGCTCGAAGCTGACAAAGAGGATGCTATTTCCATCACAGCGGACAAATCCATTGGCTAGCTGATATCACCAAATACCCGTCTCCCTCTCTCAAACCTCAACCCCAGACTCGAAAGTACCTTCTTGCTGGAAGGGACTCCGAACCCCCAGCTCTGGAACAGAAGCCCAGACCACCAGACGGCAAAGCTCAGCAAGCCACATGTAAGGCTGGAGGAATTGGTCCAAGCTTGAGCCTAATCCGGACTTGTCAGCATGCATCTCGGACCGCGAATTGGCCATTCACAACTCCAGCCTCGCCAGCCAAGATTGCTACACGAGAAGATGAATGCAAGCCAAGGAGCTTCAGCCTCAGCCTTCTTACCACTGCTAAATAGTCCGAATACATGACCATTTCCGCCAACCACCTGCTGACGGTGCTGACCTCTTTCCGCTTCCATTTTCAGCTTTCCTCGCCTATCTCAGATCGAAGCGCAAGCGGTTGGTACCTGACCATTTCTCGCACTGGCCTCTATAAGATCATGTCCCTCCGACCTCCTCGACGATTCTTTTCCCCTCTGCATACACTCACTACTGAACACAGCAACAACCACAAGTATATTTTCTTTCTTTATTTCATTCTTTCTGCCTCTCTTTTTTCTTTCCTAGTCACACTCTTTAAAGACTAATCTAATCAATCCAATCATTAAATTACAAGCCATCAGGAAAAGACCAGCAAATCAATCAAAGCAGTACTATCCCAGTCCAGACCAGACAATATACAATCACTCAAAATCAAAATGGGCAAATCGACCATGACCGCAACCATCTTCGGCGCTATCCTCTCCACTGCCATGCTCACTCAAGCTGCTCCTCTCACTGTCCGCCAATCCGGCAGCTACTACTCCAACTCCACAACTGTCGCCAACACAACTACAAGCACATCCGGCGCTCCTCCGTCCACATACACTGGCGCCCCATTCGCCTCGGGCCCATACACTGGCTACCCCTCCAGCGGCGTCGCACCCATCGCCCAGGTCTTCCCCGAGTTCACGTCCCAGTACAACTCCAGAACCGGTGCCGTAGACTTCAACACCGCGCGGGGTCTGGTCTCTCGCTCACCCACCAACGGCGGCGCCGATATCACGACGCTGGTGACGTTCGCTCTTGACGAGCAGTACGCTTCGAACTGGTGCCAAGTCGTGTTCGACCTCAAGGACGCAAGTTCCTCCGCCACGGGCTCCAAGCAAGCTCAACTCTTCACCAGCTTGGCACCCGCGACGATGGATACCACCACCTGGCCCTCGGGCAATCTGCGCAACCAGGACCTTGGCTCGATCCAGATCTACCCAGGCGACGAGGCGCAGTGGCAGCCTGGTACCGGACCTGGCGCGACCTCTAATGGTTTCTTCCCCTGTGGCTTGATCGCCGGACAGGCCTATGGTGGCGAGGTCGTGCCCCAGGGCGACTCGGTCGAGGTCTCGTGGCCTGCCGGTCAGGATGGTGTGAAGATTGTGGTTTACTAAGCCAAGCTTGAAGCCTTTTCGTGATTGGCAGTTGGTATTTTGTACAGCATTTAGCGAGTGAGGATACCGTCGTATATATTTTTTTGTGGTTAGCGATGCATTGAGCGATGGGCGTTTTGAGTTTTCGAGAGCAAGAATTGGATCTTGGGGATTGTGATACCGCTACTGTATGATTTGCTGTATTTGACAGATCTATTCTCGTCTCGCCTCGCCTCGCCTCGATGCAGAGCGGAGCAGACGCTACATTTCAATCCATATATTTGGGTCATTACCTTCCTCGCTCGCTCTCCCTGCGCTCTTAGAAAATAATGGTCATCTCTGATTCGCAAGATCAGTAGGCCCTGACTTCTCTTGTATACCAACCTGCTGAGATGTATTCGTGTTTTTAGGGGGAAATTTCCAGCTCTTGCTTCATAGCGAGCAACTTGTGATCAGTCCTAAGACGTCGCTCAAAAAGTTCCGTTCCACAGCGACACAGAATTGAGGTCATAAGGAGATGATTGCAGGCAAAGTCACTCCTATTTCAGTCTTTGCAACAAGGTCCATCTCCAGTGATCAAGAGTTCATGCGTCGATTCTTTAGGTAGGGTCGGTTGCTTTGGTCATGCTGTCAGTCTTTGATCTCGACTTGCTCCTGTTCTCCTACCCTTTTGCTGTCGACCCAGGTCTCCTCGACGTCTTGGACCTTTTTGAGGCCTGCAACGAAGGCGCTCTCCGAGAACAGGAAATCCACCTGTTCCAAGGTCTTTCCTCCGGTCTCCGGGCACAGAAAGAAAACAAAGGCAATGGCCAGCAGGTTACCGCATAGTACCCAAGTCCAGAACTTCCAGCCAACATCGGAGTCTTACCGCCTGGAAGCATGGACCGAGGGTATATCAGCGAGGTGGGCCGGTCGTCGGTCCTGGTACAAGTAGAGAAGCCATTGGAGCAAATGGCCTGATCGGTTGGGGAGATACTCTGTAGTGTTTCGACGAAGGTCTCGTCACCGGAGGCATGGTGAGAGGCTCTGGGGTTGAAGTGGGATGTTTTCTAGAGGACGGTCGCCTGTTGAGTCCTACCGCAAGCATAGCATCCTGTCCATGTGCTCTACTGGCAACCTGAGCCACTGCCTCGTCCAGAGTGTGACGAGAGAAAGAAGAGAAAGTCATGTTATGCACTAAGGGCCCCTAATTATGCGCGCATCCCAATAAGGATTAGCTAAGCACTGCCAAACTCGCCAAGGCTTTTTGGAACCCCGCACAAGATCCGTGCGGGGAGGAGCTTGTTGCGAGGTTGATATCTGATCGACTTCCGAGTCAGAATACCTCGACCAAGGTTACTCGTACGAACCGTCCCTTAGGCAAAGATCACCGACAATCAGCCTCTAGCAGAAGGAGGGCCACTTGAAGTGGGATTTTCCTGTCACATGGCTGCTGAACACAAGGACAAGATACGGCACGTAGTCTGGCCACGGCTGCGCGAAGTCGCCATTCCGGATTCACGGTTCCATTACGAATTTTCGAGCTTCATCGCAGACTTTCAAGGCTCAGATAGAGCGACCGAGCGACTGTGCTTGCTTCCCTGTTATGTCAACGCCAAAGTTGTATTTATAACCCCCGATAATTGCCTGGAAAAGCTCAGATACCAAGCTCTTTGTGATGGCAAGAAGGTTCTGGTAACCACTTACGCCATCCGTCGAGGATTCTGGCTTTTGGATCCGGCCGTCGTCAAAACCCCTGAGCAACGACAAATGGCAAGCTTGCTTGATGCCATGGAACGACCGGGCCTGGGAAAGCATGTCACTTTGGCAGACATGCAAGATATGGGCCTCAAGGTCGATCTGATGGTGACTGGAACTGGTGCCATTAATCATGCTGGAATCCGTTTCGGTAAGGGACACGGTTTCTTTGATCTCGAGTGGTCAATGTTGACGAGTATCAATGTGGTTGAACTTGCTGTGCCCTGCATCGCTGTTGTTCACGATTGTCAAGTTCTGGACGAGCAATTGCATCCAGAGGTATTTGACACCGTTTGTGATTTCATTGTTACACCCTCGACGATCAAGGAGGCTGCAGAACAAGGTGCCGTCCAAAAACCTTCTTGCGGCATCTTATGGGACAAGTTGCAACCTGGAATGCTGGAAGATATACCTCCGTTGCAAGAATTGCGCCGTCTCACAACAACAAAAGCCACACAGGGGCCCTGATCGTTGTCCACGAGTTGCCATTGCTACGAGTGCCAGTTTATATATTCTGCCGCCACTCTACCAAACAAAAATTACTGCCGCCATATTACCCTTCACGGCAATTTACCTACCCAATCGACTGACCGCTTTTCTTTTGATCATCCAGCAACGATGGATATTCAGGTATATAATTTCTTTTCCGAGTCACATGGCAGATTAATTTCTCCTTTGTATTGTATACTCACCTCACCCAGTCATGGGGATCAAGACATCTGTAGAAAGCTTGTTGATCAGTTCAGTCTCACGAAAATGAAGCAGTAGAAGCAGTACCTGGTGAGAGAGCGAGCAGCATCAACACTTCCCTTGACCGGTGATATCAAGTGGTCTTATTCCGCTTCGTCCCCTTTGCACTTCCCGCTTCAACGTGTGTGCTTTCCTCAATTGTACTCTGTCCCTTCCCGCCTGTCTTGCTCTTGGGCTTCTTCTCGTCTCCTTCATTCTGACTTTCGTCCTCACCCGGCAGTTCACCCTTCAAATCCTCGTCCTCATTTAAGGTCTCATGGATGGTCGTCTGAGGATCTTGATTCTTTCGTTTCGGCATGCCAATATAGTGGCTATCGGGTTTGGTCACGATTGGCACCCAGGACAACTTTGACTTCATGAAGATCTCCTTGTCCATTCTCAAAGCTCTCGAGTCGGCCATGCTGCCCGTACGGATTTCCCACTGCTCATCTTCCTCGCCTTCAGAGACATGATTGAACAGTACTGTGCCGCACTCAGGACAAAAGCCGCTTCGCATCATCTTCACGTCAACGCCATCCAGCTTAGAAGGAAGTGGGAGCATACCGCTGCGTATGATGACCAGAGTCCGACTTGGCGTGGTAGACCTTTGGTTGGACCTCGCCAGAGAACTCTACACCTTTGGGATCGTAGATGACGAGGGATGTAGAGCCATAGCCGGAGCCGGAGATACATTGACAGTCTCTGCAATGGCAAGCACAAGTGAAGTCGACCTTGCCAACGACACGCCAGGCTATGCCGCCGCAATAACACTTGCCGTTGATTGTCATCGCGATGCTTGTATTGCTGATTACGTTGTGTTCGGTTCTGTCTAGGGTCTTTACAGAAGAAGGCTTGACTTCGACCTGAATGCAAGTTCACATGTTGTCAATCTTGCACTTCGCCCTCATGATTTCACAGATACGTCATGATCCCGAAAAGAAGACTGGCTTCTCAGCCCGCAAACAATCATTTTGACCTCGACAAAAAGACTGTCATCAACGAGGCTGCGTCCGCTCGCGATGCCCTCGACTGACTCTCCACTGCGCTGCCGCGAGCAGTCTTACGGTGTCGAGTCTCATCTGATAACTGTGGAGTCTTCAGACCGTCACCTCGGCTTCCGCCCCTTTAGCGGAATAATGCCGTCGTTGTGTCAACACCACGATGACCTATTTTCATATGTACTTTTGACCACCTTCTACTAGGCGTGTAGACTGATTACAGGACTCCAAGCCTTCCTCGTCACTATAGTAATCATGTCTTCCGACAAGAAGTGGCCTCTAAAAAAGGTAGTTCTGTCGCCACCGCCCCTCTCTGCTCTAGCCTCAGCTATCTCCCTGGAGCTTTCATCCAACTTCTCCGAGTCATCATGCACGGTCGAAACACCGCCAGACCTGACTCTCCCGCCGTATCACCTGGCTGGTCCAGGTTTGACTGGGTCTACTCGCGTTGTTGAGGTCGGCGATCCGTCATACCTGATCAAGTTCGACTTCACTCGGCGGTACGATCTTCAGCCTATCTCTCGAAAGACCGATATGTCTCCCTCATCAGGCTTGATGATTGGGGCCGGTGCGGGTCCCTTTTATGTGCTGGGCCAGAATACGGAACTCATGCCTAATTTCGCATATGGCACAGCTGCTGGAGGAGGCTCCCCAGAAGCGACCCGCAACCGTACGCACTATGCCAAAATAACACCGGCTGACGGCGTATCCTGCTGTCAGTTGCCCGACAGTTCCAAGTTCGGGCTGATGTGCAATTTGTTCTGCTCTGATGGGACGCCAGGCCCATGTCTGCATATCAAGGCCAAGTCTCGTACGGGCCGGGATAATTTCACCCAGACGATCCAGAACGCTATTGGGGCCGCATTTAACAAGCAGCTCGTTTCAATCGGCGGAGTGTTCCTCATCAGATCGGGCAAAGTGAATCTACACGTCATGCCGGATTTCCCTGCGAGTCCATTCAATAACCATGACGATGTGGAGAAGTGGTTACGCTACTTTGAGATGGAGTTCAAAAGAGACAGCCCGGAAGGACCACTGGTGTGTCTGAGCGTTCTGCACTCGGGGGACGACAAGGGTCTGGGGTTGAGGATGGAGCATACGCATTGTTTCACCGACTCCAAGGATGGAAGTATGGAGACAACGAAAGGCGGGCATTATCACTACGATGTGGACGAGACGAAAGCCGAGGTCGAGTATGAAGGGTGGTTCAATGTTGCAGAACATGTGTACAGGGTCGATCCTCCTCCGTCGTGATGTGATGCCCTCATACAGTCAGGGTGGTATGGGCCAAGGATGTGATTACGGATCACTCTGGTTCAAGCCTTCTATCGTTCAACTTCACAGATCCCTTCAGACAGACTCACTTGCTTGAAGGAAAGAAGACTAAAATATTCCCGACAAAAACGCAAATCTGGGCAAGGAGAACGTCGGAAGTGATTGTGTGGTTGGCTGCCAGCCATCAGGCTGACATCGTACCTGCGTCAGCTATAGCACGACTATTGCCTTAACGCCTAATGATAGTATTATCGATCCGGCCAATCGATCGTGTGTTTAGAATCCTTGCATTCCTGCACAGCACGGCTTAGTCATATCGCGTCCGTCCAAGACTGCCACCACCACGGGCACCAGCGGCCACGGACCAGTGAGGAGCCTTTATGGATTGCTTCAGAGACTCCTTTTTCCGTTTTGAGTAGTCGTCAAAGGTGGTTGGGGCCAATCCGACGACGACCAGCTTCGTGTACATATTTGATGTGGCGGCTCGGGACTCCGTCGTCATCCAAGCTGCCTAAGAATGCGAATATCAATACTGGCCGGTAGTCCACATCCTTGTGGTGTTTTGCGATGCTGTCCAACCACAGGACCTCTGAGAGGTATCAGGTAAGGTTTGCTGCGTCGATGATATATTCTGGCTCATGCGGGTTGATTAACAATCGAATATTATGCAAGCATGGTGACACTTCAACATTTGGGCGATCCGGCCATCCGCGTCAAGAGCAGAAAGTAGGAGAAAAGCGGATATAAAAGATTTCGGCCCTCACATCCTTTCGAGATTCTGCGTAAAGTGTTCCACCTGGTCCAGGATTGCAGGAAAGTTGCGTAACTCACCAGGGAATATCAAGTAACGATCTTTCGGCAAACTATCACTGACAATGGGTATTGACTTCACAGTTTTCAAAGGCTCGAAGTCCGGAGAGATAGTCGAGGCCAAAGGGCATCGCGACGTCGGACCGAGAGAAGCCTTGGTCGAACTTACTCACTCTGGAGTCTGTGGCACTGACGAGCACTACCGACACTACGACCAAGGTCTAGGTCATGAAGGTGCCGGCATCATCCGCGAGATCGGGTCGATGGTGCCTGAGATATCGGATCTGAAAGTCGGCGACCGTGTTGGCATGGGATGGATGCAGAAGTTCTGCCTGCACTGCAAACCCTGTTTGACCGGACAACACTTCAAGTGCGAAAACTCTCAGCAATTCGGCACAGCGAACTGGGATGAAGGCTGCTTTGGCACAGGCATCGCTTGGGACGTGTCGGCCCTGTTCAAGATTCCTGATCAGATTGATCCTGCGTCGGCCGGACCATTGATGTGTGGCGGGGCCACGGTCTGGGGTCCGCTCTACGAGAATGGCTTCAAGGCTGGAGATAGAGTGGGAATTCTAGGAATAGGCGGGCTCGGGCATTTGGCGATTCAGTTCGTCAACAAGATGGGAATGGAGGCTGTCGTTTTCTCTGGAACGGAGTCGAAGAAGGAAGAAGCATTCAAACTCGGCGCTGCAGAGTTCTATGCCACGAAGGGCGTGACAAAGTTCGAAGGCATCCAGCCAGTCGATTGCTTGCTCATCACGACGAGCGTCCTTCCAGATCTGTCTCTGTGAGTTGAGCCTAGCAACAGATGACCGAGCGCCCGCTAACAAAGAGAAGGTACATCCCTGTGCTGGCTCCGTTTGCTAAGATCTTCCCACTTACCATCACCTTCGATGCAATGCCTGTACCAGTGCTTCCGCTGGTGATGTACGGGTACAGCATTGTCGGCTCAGGTGGTGCTCATCCTCAGTCGATCAAAGCCATGTTATCGTTTGCCGCCAAACATGATATCAAGCCGATCCTGGAGAAGTTTCCAATGACCAAAGAGGGAATCACTGAAGCCATGAAGAAGCTCAATGATGGGAAGATGAGGTACAGGGGTGTAGTAGAGGTGCAATAATTGCTTGAGACTGACTTGAGAGCTCAAATCAAGAGCATTTATAAATCTAACCAAAAACGAGCAATATGCAATAGCTTGCTGAGAATCTGGTTTGTCGTTCATGTGAGGCAATCGCGGTGGCTCATGCTGGTTCTTTGTGAAGTATCATGCTGATTTGAGGCGGGTAGAAGGAGGCATCGCAGGGTCAGGTACCAGGGAAACAAGGAGCATAAGAGTTGATGCCCGGGGAGACACCTAAAACTCCGGCTACTAGGCGCACCAGGCATCGTTTTGTTACAGAGCCTGGGGAAAATCGATTTGCTGCTGGGTGGCTGCTGTTTTTTCTGCCGAGTCAGTCTGGAGCTTGGCTCCTCCTGAAGCCCGACAAGCCGACCACCGACTTCGCTCGGCTGCAGAACCTCCAATTCCAAAATTTGTCTTTTTGCGCTGACCTCTGCCCATCTCTGACTCACCATGGGATCGTGAAAAGCCATATCTTTTGATGAATTAGTTCTTGCTTGCCGAATTTACCCTTCAGACTGGCGGCCATGATGGCAGGCACGCGGAATCTCCTATCTCTCGCTGGCAGGACTGCCCTACGAACTCCTCGGTCGCAATCAGGAACCTCCTTCTTGGATTCAATTGTACCTGCATCTAAAAGATCAAAAAGCACAAATTCCACCTCGGCGCTAGCCTACAAAGCCTTGCACCGACGATCATCACATCTTCCTCTGCCAGTATCCGAAACCTCCCCACAGTATGGTGCTGCAGCAGCTGTCTCTTCCATTCTCTACGAAACCCCGGTAGCCTCCCAAGCTCCTCAGAAGAAGCATATCCTCAACTGCTTGGTCCAGAATGAGCCGGGTGTGCTATCGCGCGTGTCGGGAATTCTGGCGGCCAGAGGCTTTAACATCGATTCACTGGTTGTCTGCAATACAGAGGTTGAAGATCTGAGTCGAATGACGATCGTGTTGCAAGGCCAAGATGGCGTCGTGGAACAAGCTAGGCGCCAACTAGAAGATTTGGTCCCTGTTTGGGCAGTGCTCGACTATACCTCAGCTGCGCTCGTGCAACGCGAACTGCTTCTGGCCAAGGTCTCCATTCTCGGACCCGAAGTCTTTGAGGAGTTGATGGAGCATCATCGAGAGATGACCAGCCAGGAATACGATGAACCAATTGAAAGCGATCCCGAGGCGGCAGAAGAAAATGCAGAAAGAAGACTGCAGGAACTGGAGGAGAATAAGCCAGAAGAATCGGGCCTCATTCAGCGAGCACGAGAAATGCTTGGTCAAAGCAGCAACTTCCACCCCAGCCGTCTAGCTGCTAGTCAGGCGTTGCGGCACAAGCATGAGCATCTTGAGGCTATCACTCATTTGACGCATCAATTTGGCGGAAAGGTCCTCGACATCAGTACAAACAACTGCATAGTGGAAGTGTAAGTGCAAATTCTGCTCCTGGCATGGTAAACTTCTAATTTGTCTCCAGGTCGGCCAAGCCAAGCAGAATTGATTCATTCATGAAGTTGATCGCTCCGTTTGGTATTCTCGAGTCAACAAGAACGGGTCTCATGGCTCTGCCTCGATCACCATTGTACGGACCTAATGAGGATCTCCAACGCGAAGCCGATGAGGTTGTTGACGCGAGCACATTGCCTCCAGGTTAGGAGGTTAGAGACCATGCATTATTACTGCGTCGGGCGCATGGGGGACGGAATCCATCATTGGATCGTGGAAAGGCGGTTTGCGTGATAGTGTCACCAGGAAAGAGCTCTATTCAATGGAAGTGAAGTCATGTAATGCTGTTCCTCAGCTATCTTTCGGCCACCCCTTTGGTTGGCTATACTTGCCATGGTTTATGCTTGAATGGCCTTCCCTTGCGACGAGCCAATCTTCCACATATCGGAGTGCTATGCCAGTTCTCTGCACTGAAAGTAGTGACAACTAGAGCGTTCATAGCTCGTGCCAGCTTTCGGAGGCCGTGACTGAAATTTACTGGTCTGGTGGTGAGGCTGTAGAGTATCCGTGTTACTGAAAAGAAAGCGACCGTGGCAGTGTTGGTGGTGACAGGAGCAAAATATTTAAGTACTAAGTTAGTTGACATCACCAGTCGTAACGACCCAGGCTCTGCCACGCGTTTCCCCCTAACTTCTTGCCCTCGATCGCCATCAACCAAGTTATTAGAAAGCACTGGGAGAATTCTCTGAATTGATATTGCGAAAATACTGGCTTCTTCAATCATGTCAACCTGGATCTCAAGCATACCTTCACCTGGGGAGTTCTTTCCCCCAACTCCCCAAGCTTCAAATCTTCTCTTCAACTTCTACAGATTCTGGCCAATTGTAAGTGTCCTTCTTTCAAGGATCTCTTCGCACACTGGGACGCCTTTCAGATTCGAAAGCAATGACCCATGTCCCGTTGAGACTGTGAGCCGAAAGTAGACGTACGGAGAACTTTTCCCTCGGGCATCCCCCCAACATACTCATATCTACTCAGTGCGAGCTCTTGCTGATGTACTCGTCCAGGCTTCGCTACTACAATGGACGCCTTTAGGCAGTCTCCAGGCAATGGGCAAGACTTCTTCAGCCTCTCGCTTCAATATTCCAGGCCGACTTGCATGGGTTGTTGCGGAAAGCTGTGGTCCGCTCAACCTTCTCTATATTCTGTATACCTTGCCAGAGAAGCTGAAACCAACACCACAAGCATCGACAAGCTTCCTCGGTACTGGGCTTCCAGCTCAGTATGAGGTTCTGGTATGCTTGTATCTCATCCACTATGTCAATCGAGCGATAGTCATGCCAGTATTCGTTGCTCCGAGTATGTCGCCAATCCACCCTTTGATCGCGATCTTCATGACTCTACACCAATTCCTAAACTCGAGCAACATCGGTTGTGGAATGGTGTACTCTGCATTGAAGCAAGGGACAGAGAACAGCTCTTTGTTCTCGTTCGGCTCGGTTGTTGGGTCGATCGTCGGGTTAGCTGTTTTCTTCGAAGGTCTATACAGGAACATCATGTCGGAGCGAACTTTGCATCAACTACGCCGGGATGCAGCCAAACGCAAAGCAAAATCTGAAGGCAAAGTCGAGATCACTTACGACAAGGTCTACGTGATTCCTCCAGCCGAAGGCTACTTCAGAAACATCTTGTTTCCTCACTATACCTGGGAATGGATTGAATGGGCTGGCTACTGGATTTTGGCAGGGACATGGGGTCTGGGCTGGGGATGGCAGAGCCCTGCTTTATGGTTTCTGATTGTCGAGGTGACCACGATGCTTCCAAGGGCGGTGTCTGCGCGAAGTTGGTACACAGAGAAATTTGGCAAACGGGCTGTTGGTGGCAGAGCAGCTGCAATCCCTGGGTGGCTGTAGAGATCTTACAGTCCGTTGAACTGTTGGCCTGTTGCCAAGTGAAAGACAAAACGTGTGCCGGGATGTAGCTGGTGATGGCGTGATAGCGATGGACCTCGGATGCGCAAGAGACCACCCACTTCCACTTAGGGACCAGGCACCCAGCCAGGTGCAAAGGCGCCGCAGCTGAGTGGTCAATCAATGCTCGACTTGCATTAAGCTCCATGATGCTCCCCATAGGATGGCAAGGATGGGCGATAGGTGCCCCCAAAGTTGACAGACATCCCACCAAAAGCCCAAGACCCAATATCATCCAGTGTCATGTCAAAGCTCACAAAAAATACTCCGTAATTCATGGATTATTAAATTTTCAGATTCTGATATTCTTACTTTCTTCCTTTCTCACCGCTCCTCATCCCTTCCTCTTCTCTGTTTCTCTTGCAAACAGAGCTTTCTCCTACTCCTTCACCACCACATTTTGCAGAGAGACTGTTCAGCTATTTCCCTACTATCCCGCCTCCGACTTCGAACGGTCGTCAAGATGGTTCAATCGTATGTGCACAATGGGTCCTGCTGGTCGAAGGCATGCTAACCACCATCTATAGTTCTATCCTCGGTTTCCCTCGTATGGGAGCCAACCGAGACCTCAAGAAAGCCACCGAAGCATACTGGGCCGGCAAAATCTCCCAGGATGATCTGTTGGCTGAGGGAAAGAGACTGAGACTTGAACACTGGAAGATTCAAAAAGATGCTGGCATCGACATCATCCCAAGCAATGACTTCGCTTTCTACGATCAGGTCTTGGATCATATCCAGCTGTTTGGTGTCATTCCTGAGCGGTACAGCAAGTACAACCTTGCACCCATTGACGAATACTTTGCCATGGGTCGAGGTCTGCAGAAGCCTGCGACTGACAGCGCTTCTGCAGTCGATGTCCCTGCGCTGGTGAGTAAAGGTCATGGCTTGCTTGAGCTTGCAGCTAACACTGATAGGAAATGGTCAAATGGTTCGACTCAAACTACCACTACGTCAAGCCAACACTGCAAGACAACCAGACCTTTAAGCTCTCCTCCAAACCCAAACCCGTTGCAGAGTTCCTTGAAGCTAAGGAGGCTGGAATCACAACTCGACCTGTCCTTCTGGGACCTGTGTCATTCCTCCACCTTGGAAAGGCCGACCGTGGTCAATCCATTGAACCCATCTCTGCCCTTGAGAACCTCCTGCCACTCTACGAGGATCTGATCAAGCAATTGAAAGAGGCGGGTGCAGAGACTATTCAGATCGATGAGCCAATCTTGGTTTTCGACCTGCCAACTGCTGTCAAGCAAGCCTTCAAGACTGCATACGAGAAGCTCGGAAGCAGTGCTTCCAAGATTGTCCTAGCTACCTACTTCGGTGACATTGTCCATAACATCGATGTCCTCGACAACCTGAAGAGCCTCTACGCCATTCACATCGATCTCGTCCGCAACCCTGAGCAACTCGAGACCGTTGCTGCTGCATTGGGACCCCAACAGGTTCTCTCTGCTGGTGTCGTTAACGGCCGAAACATTTGGAAGACAAACTTCAAACACGCAATTGAGATTGTCGAGGCTGCTATCCAGAAGCTTGGCAAGGACAGAGTCATTGTTGCCAGCTCGAGCTCTCTGCTGCACACTCCTCACACTCTTGCGAGCGAGAAGAAGTTGGATCCTGAGATCGCTGGTTTCTTCAGCTTTGCCTGCGAGAAGGCCAAGGAAATCGCCATCATCGCTAAGGCTGTGACTGATGGCCCAGCCTCAGTCCGAGAGGCTCTTGAAGCTAACGCTAAGGCTATGCAGTCGCGTGCTTCGTCAAACATCACCAATGACCAGGCGGTGAAGGACCGACAAAGCAAGGTCACTGAAGAAATGCACAACCGCAAATCACCTTTCCCCGAACGTATCGCTCAACAACAGAAGCGTCTCAACTTGCCTCTGTTCCCGACTACCACTATCGGCTCTTTCCCCCAGACCAAGGAGATTCGTATTCAGCGAAACAAGTTCACCAAGAATGAAATCACTGCTGAAGAATACGAGAAGTTCATTGAGAAGGAGATCCAGGACTGTGTCAAGATCCAAGAAGAACTCGACCTTGACGTCTATGTTCACGGTGAACCCGAGCGAAACGACATGGTTCAATACTTCGGTGAACGACTGAAGGGTTATGCATTCACCACCAACGGTTGGGTTCAATCATACGGTTCCCGATGCGTGCGACCACCTATCGTTGTTGGTGACATTTCTCGACCTGCACCCATGACTGTCAAGGAGTCCAAATACGCTGCCTCTATCTCGAAGAAGCCAATGAAGGGTATGCTGACAGGTCCGATCACCTGCTTGAGATGGTCATTCCCTCGTGACGATGTCCACCAGTCTGTTCAAGCTCAACAGTTGGCACTTGCTCTCCGTGACGAAGTTGTCGACCTGGAGAAGGCAGGCGTCTATGTCATTCAAGTCGACGAACCTGCCCTGCGTGAAGGTCTCCCTCTCCGCACTGGCAAGGAACGTACCGACTACTTGAAGTGGGCTGTGGATTCTTTCCGTCTTTCAACCGCGGGTGTCGAGGATGGCACACAGATTCACAGCCACTTCTGTTATTCCGAGTTCCAGGACTTCTTCTACGCTATCGCAGCACTTGACGCCGATGTCCTCTCCATTGAGAACAGCAAGTCTGACGCCAAGCTTCTCAAGGTCTTCGTTGACGAGGCTTACCCACGTCACATTGGACCTGGTGTCTATGATATCCACTCTCCTCGTGTTCCTTCCCAGAAGGAAATCGAGGACCGTATTGCCGAGATGTTGCAATACCTGAAGCCCGAGCAGTTGTGGATCGATCCCGACTGCGGTCTCAAGACCCGACAGTGGGCTGAGACCAAGGCTGCCCTGACCAACATGGTCAACGCGGCTAAGACCTTCCGTGCGAAGTACTCTAAGTAAGCTCCTAACAGCTTACATTATCCGGGGAGGTTTGTTTTTGCTCGATCAATCAACCTGATCTGAGCTGGCGTCAACGGAATTGGTGATGAGATGATATGATGATCAAAAGTGTTTTCAACATGATACCACGATAGCATGGGAGCTGGGCATGAGTCGATTTAACATCGGCGTTTTAATGACTAGCTCTGATCCCAGACAGGGGACAATATGGGTGATGATGACGGATTTGTAGGTTTATGATTCGGGATGTTGGCCACTTCAACAGCTATTGCATGGCCGTGTTATGGGTTTGGGATTAAGGGAGAGATATGTCTTCTCAAGGTCGAGAAGGACACCACGGTTCATAAGTACCTACCTAGGTATACAATATGTAGCCATCTCGCTATCCACAAAGATACTTCAAGATCAGTTAATTCCTTGCCACGTGATTGCGCGTAAAGACGTGTTAAGTGGTGGAGAATTTTGTCCCACCGTCCTTCCCGTGCATTGAATCATCACCTAGTCAACATTGACTTTTCGCGCACGTCCTGCAGATGACTTCTGTTACACCGTGTCACCCAATGGCTTTCAGACCGAACGGATTCTTTTCTAGGCGACAAAATGCCAGTCCACTGCTCAAACCTCCCACCTGCCCCTGAGCCGAAACGAGTGTTCTTCGATCCCTTCAATTCTTCTTCCACGGGCCACCAGCGAGCTGAGAACCGGTTGTCGGGGAGCACGTCATGGCGAGAGTCGCGATCGTACAAACTAAGGCACCAGCTCCGTGACTCGAGCGGAAGAGGAGGCGGGCAACATTTGTCGGACCTCGTGGGCGCGGGGAGTGAGAATTTTGGAAAAGACGGGCGGAAAGACAATGGAAGTTGGGAGCCTGGTGCGCCAGGATCGAGGGAGAAAGGGTGGCAGGATATTCGAGGGTTGATGAGCGGGAATAGGAAGCGGTCCGTTGAAGAGAAAGACGATATGATGGAGCAGGAAAAGAGGAGACGCACGTCCGACGAGTTCGGGCCGCAGATGGATGTAATTCGACCAGGCCGAGAAACTACCACGATCAGAGAGGTGGCTTCCGCATACAAGTCATCCTCAACAGCAGAAGACATTTGTGTCAGAAATGAAAGAATACCTGTACCTGTGCCTGCGCCACCGCCGCCACAAATCTTTCGCAACTTGAACATCTACCTCAACGGGTCGACCGCGCCGCTGATTTCGGACCACAAACTGAAACAGCTTTTCTCACGACACGGCGGGAACACATCGATAGCACTGGGTCGTCGGACGGTCACACATGTGATTATCGGCAACGATTGCGGCGGTGGTCTGGCGAGCGGCAAGATCCAAAAAGAAGTCGCCCTTGTGGGCGGGAAAGGAGTGAAATATGTCACTGCCAGCTGGGTGCTGGATAGTATCGAGAAAGGTATCAGGCAGCCTGAGGCCCGCTATGTGCCGAAACCCCTTGATGGGAGGATAGCAGGGAGCGGGCAGGGGAGTGTGAGGGATATGTTCGTGAAAAAGACGACGAAATGAGTTGCATTGCATGGCGAACGAAAGCGAGACCAAGAGAATGTCCGGTGCATGGCGTTAAACGGAATATGGACTACAGTTATGACCAGGGAGCAACAGGACTGCAACGATTACGACTTATGCATGGTTCATGAGGGTTTGGATTGCATTGAGCTTGATATAGGGGATAACAGCGATAAAGCAATCATTCGCATCGAGTGTGAAGGATGGTTATGGTTGACAGATTTTATCATCGCATTGCATCGAGATGTCGGATGGCGACTTTCCAACGTTGCTGTATAAGCATGGGAGGCCGTCAGTTATGAGAATGAGATGCAGTCGGGAAGAACATGACTGTCGACAGTCATCGTCCACGTTTTATGCTCGGTGTCAATTCGTGCTCAGATTCGGCCATTCTGTCAACACACAGTCAGCATCGTCGCCTGCGAGTTATTCGCTTCCTTTCGGTTCGCCATGGTCACACTTACCAAACCTCGTCCTTTCACTGTTCCTCTTCACGATCTTCACCTCATCACCGACCTTGATCTCCGCCGCACTCTTCCCTTCTGGCACCCTGGCCAAAAACCCATAGCGTCCAAACACAGGAGACCACTTCGCACCCATGTCCACACGTCTATCACTTTGCAGCTTCTTCAGGATCTTTCCCGCCTCTCCCTCACCGACTTTGCCCGTCGCGTAGTCCACGTTGAGACTATTGCATCGCGAACAGTTCTGCGTCAGTATGATCTTCGCGTCACTGCCGATCTGCAACTCGGCCCAGAAATCTTCCTCCCATTCAGCCTCGGCGCCCTCGACAAGGATGTTGGGCCGGAACTTGGATATCTCCACCATCTCACCCTCGGGTAAGCGGCGCTGGGTGTTTTGCCAACTTTTCTCGTTCACGATCAGGTAGGGCGCGACGTCGGCGAAAGAGATGCCCTCGTCGACGCCTTCGTACTCTTTCGAGCCGGTGAGTGTGCCGACCAAAGAACTGGCCGTCGAGGCCAAACTTCCAAACCACGAGCTACCGTTTGTCTGCGCTGACCCTGAGAGACCCTCGTTCTGCCGTGCAGAGACACTAGGCGGCATATTGCCCAACACTTTCCTCCTGTTCATGCCTATGTACAAGAGCTTGACTTCATATCCAAACCTCTCGCTGAACCAAGCATTACATTTACTCCCCATGTCAAACCCCACGCACGGGGACGAATGCATGGTTATGCTGACCTCCTCTAGCCCTTCGGTCTCGGGTGACAAGGGTACTTCAAGTTTGGCGTCGCTGACTTTACGTTCGGGCTTGTCGAAAGTATGACCCAAGGTATACGTGACTACCACTCCATCTTGGTTGTCGGTGAAGGCGGTGGTGAACAGACACATCTCCGTCTGATGCGAGACGTGCATGTTCGTCTGCTCGTCCACTTTATACAGCATGAAGCGTCGATCGTGCGGGAAGCCCGTGTACATCGCTGGTAGGCTGGGGAGGGAAATTCCCCGGAGGGATTTTATGGGGTAGGTATATATCTAGATGTTCACATAAGTGTCAGCATTGGAGGGAAAAGGCCTGTTGATACGAGAATCGAGAGCCCTAAGAAGGACGTGGCAATGTATACATCAATGGTAAGGACCCGAGAACGAGACCATCAGTGCAAGAGAATAACGAAGAATAGTGAGGCTTGGGTAGGTACCGACCTGCTTGACTCGCATATTGCTTCCTACGGAGTCTGCCATGGCGCGGCGATTCGATAACACTGTAGCCGCTGATGGTATGTACCTTGAAGAACTCGTCGTCCCTGGGCGACAAGTAATTCGCTCTGCTTGGGCCTAACACGATCCCTCTATCACACTTTCTCTATGTCGAAACGGAGGAGCGGAGACGTGCGAGACAGGCTCAAGAGGTCTAGTGAAAGTGATTTGGATGAGCGCGCTTGAAAATTGTACGTCCGGGAGGGAAAGACTGCTGACTCGATGCTTGGAGAGGGCAAAGGGAAAATGATATGTTGCCTGGCGCATACGGCGTTCCCATATTCGAAGATTCGGCCCCTCCTTCCCTCAATCTGCATGGCAATCTGACACGACTCGACGAGTATCGGTCTCGTTCCGACCCCCGCATTTGCCGAGGGACATTGAACCAATCCCGATGCAATCGATATGCGGGGTTCCCTTACATAGTACACGGTGAGACGGGAAGTCTAGATGTAAGTGGGCGATGGCATCCTGGGGCGTGCAGGGATACATAGCACTGATTGATTGCTCGGTCAGGACTGATACTGCATGGGTAGAGAGCTCTTGCTGAAGGCTTGTGCTAAATACGATGTTCTTGCACGATACAGGTACCCGATACATGTCCCTTGAGAAGTCAATGGCATCGGACCTTTTGGGGATATCCAGACTTCCACAGCCAGCATATCCCTGATCACTGCATCTGGCGGTCGACTCATAGGTGGGCACAACACGCTCTTCTCGTCCGTTGCCCCTATTCACGACTCCTGGATCTTGCGGAAGAAGGGGTTGCGCGCAGTGAGACTTCGACAGCGCTTTCCGAATATCCACATGGGGATCGTGAGCAGGAGGATGAAGATGTGGACCCCGCCGATGATCGAGAAGACTTCCAGAGGTCCTTGATTCGAGATCCAATCGGAAATGAAATAGTTCCTGCACGAAACGATCAGCTACTCCTTCTTATGAACCTCCAATACAGCAATGGTAGACTTACATTCCGAAAGAGTAAATGTTCCGTAGATTGATTGACGCAAAAGCTTCGGGGGCCTTATTTCTGTGGCACTCCGTAATGTAGCCGTAGATACTGGATCAGGTAAGTCAGTGTTGGGAACCAGGAAGGATGATAGATCTGGCATACCCGATGTTCAAGAATGACATGGAGAAGTAAATAATGCCGTAGAGTATGACGGGCCCAGCCCAAGGCGCTTCGTTTTGTAAAGTAGCCCCAAACCCGAAAAATCCAATAACACCCAGGATCAGCGTAAGGATGTTCAAGGCCAGGCGGAATTCAGGCTCGTAAATTCCCTTGTTCATTCTCGCAAGTTTCTTCACAGTCCAGTCATTCAAAGGACCGGCGACAAATCCCAATAACGAAGCGACCAAGGCGGCGATGCTGATCAAGCCAACATCTGAGACGGAAAAGTTGTATGGCGGCCCAGTGAAAAGCTGCGCCAATACACTGATCATCACGACGAGCCATGAAGTTGATAGGCCGTAAGTGATGAAGCCATAGAGGACCTGAGGGAACAGCAGCATGCCAAATGGTCGGAAGATGATGTACAGTAGGTTCTCGTCAGACTCGATTCCGCGCACGGGCTTGAGCTGCTCCCAGAATGTATAAGGCTTCTCGTCGGCACCGGTGTAGACGACTTCGCTGTGAACTTTGCTGCCGGTCTTGGTCTTTTCGAGATGTTCAGGATGTTCGCCCTTAACCACCTGAGCGTCTAAAGTCTCGAATGTGTGATCGTGCGTGCCCAGATCCAAGTTGTAAGCCGGATCGCGCTGATAGACAGTCTCGGGGACGAAAAAGAAGATCAAAATGATGAATACGCCGTACAAGATTGCGCAGATACCGTACGTCCAGTTCCAGCCAATATCCTGCGTCACGGATCAGCAAACGGTTGCACATGGTGGATACCACCAAAAACCCACCTGAATGATATAGCCAGAGATGATACTTGCTCCACCCACGCCAACGCTGAGACAGAGGCCCCAAAAGGCGAGTCGCAGGCCTCGCTCATGGACAAAGTATATATCTCCAATGATTGCCGTGGTGAGGACTTCGAAAGGACTCATTCCGATCGCACCAAAGATACGACTAGCCAGAAGGGAATGATAGCTGTGCGCAAAATAGCCCCAGACAGACGAGATGAACAGCAGCAAATTGCCTAGCATCATGACGGGCCGGCGGCCGAACTTCACTGAAAGGGCGTTGGTCACAAAACAGCTGATGCCGATTGCGAAGATGGCCCAGCCTAGTCCTCCATTGAGCTTGTTATAGGACATATTCCATTCCTCGGCCATCTCAGCGAAGCCAGGAGAGATCATCGGACCCCAAGCACCGACGACCGCTGTGTCCAGTGCTATTATTAATAAGCAAAGATCCTTTTTCCATCGTGGCCAGTTAAGAGGATCCCGTGGCGAGTCGCTAGGCTGAGGCACGAGAACAATATCTGCATTTCGTCCAGTGCCGTGCTTCAAGCCACTCGTGTCGCGGCCTGGATGATGGTCAGAAGGCAGTCTGGCTCACGAGATACATGCTCCTACCATGAAATTGATGATGCTGGGCATCTATCATGTCCGCTAGCAAGGCTGTTCCGGGCACATGTTCGAGCTTGTGATCGTCCAAGACACCGAGCCCCATATTGTCTTGTTCTTATCGATGGTCTTTGACTGCACTGAGTGATGCGGGAATACTTGAGTCGATCGTCTCGGTTCGGATCTTTGTGGTTGGAGCTGCTGTTGAGGTCTTTATAAGGAGCTCGGCCATGGCTGCTGCGGGGCGGTCGGCAACGACCAGGGGGTCGAATTGCCGTAGTGAAGTCTTGACAGAAGGGCGGAAGATGTGACAACGTAGCCTCACCGTGCAGAGTCACACTGGGAATACTCCGGATCCCCAGATGTCTTTCCCCAGGGAGGATCGGGGTAGTGGATTGTGGACATACGTGGCGGTCCGCATACACAGTCCGGTGTGTGCAGGAGTATGCCCCTAGTATGATATGGTCAGTGGCTGGAGTTGACAACCTACTGGGGCACCAATTCTGCTCGACCAATCTCATTGTACGGTGATCCAGGTGCCAGCTCAAGGACAACCCATGCCCGGAGTAGATGCGATTGCCGGTAAAGTAGCTCCTCCTCCGGGCTTTGATTGGATAGGGACTAACCTGATATTGGAAAATGAATGGCAGAGGTTTGATTAAGCGTGAAGAGCAGCAGCTAAACCCTTTTGAGACAATGGATTTGGACGTATTATCACCGCACTCTTGATCATCTCCACAGCCCCTTGCTGCAAGAGGAGCACAGCGGTGCCAGAAGAAGTCCCGGAACCAGACTGGGTATTTTCCAAGCTACTGTATGTATGCGAAGAAATATGGTTTCATGTGTAGCCTCGCCGACCCGAGGTTGTCATTGTTGGGTGTAATTTGTCCGCACCTTTGGAGAAATGGAGGTGGGGGGAGGTCGAGAACGGATCGCAGATGCTTGCAAGCATCGTTCGTGGTTCAGGACTCGTGGCAGCTCGCGTGGAAGATACCGTGCATCCAGAGAAGGCGATGAGAAGGTGATCATTAGTCGTTCTGGATCCGAGACCACAAGCCAGGCTGGCTTCTCACGTGGTTTGGGTCGGATGGTCACTTACACTCACTCGAGACAAGGCTTTAGCCTGGCTATCTATAACAACGATGCGAGAGCGCAGTTGAGAGGGAATTGCAGCTCATCAAGACCGTCAAATAAGTAACCGGAACATCAGTCTTCTGCGAAGACATGATTCAATATTGCAGAGATTTCAAAGTGATGGAATAAAACAAATGCATCGCACTGCCTACAGGAAATTCATACGGAGGTATGATGCCGTCCTACGCTCGCTCTTGGCAGATCTCAAAGAACCCCAAGAGGTCTCCAGGTGTTTTTTTAAAAGCGGCAACGCGTCGGTTGAGTGCCACGTGAGTCGAGAGTCGAATGCACTATACATGAGGTTCTGCCAAGCCGTTGATCCGAAGCAACTTTTTTCCATTCGGGGCTGCCTCGACACATGATGTCTGCCATCTCGCGACCAAAGGACAGGGCTTAAAGTACCAGGTATCTGGAGTCCAGACTCGGGTTGTGCTGCTTTTGCTGAGCAGGCGATGAAGACGCCCGCTGCGCCTTCCCGAAGTCTGCTGCGCTTCCTGCGGTCCCAAACAGATACGATCTTCACCACCTCCATCTCACCAACAAGATCGCCGCATGCCCGGTATCTCAATACGACTTCTACCCAATGCTCTCGCATACAAGCCACCTCTATCGACGCTTTCTGGCAGCGTCACCGGGACGCGTGCAAGGCGCTGCCTGCCCCAAGATGCGCTCCTCCCAACCCTCCTCAATCTCGAAGTACCAGTTCCGGTAGCCACAGTCCTGGCTTCTGGCTGCGCTGGTTACGCCGTAGGCAAGCTACCGCGCGCTCCAAACTACCACCAGAACCTCCAGGAGGTAATTCAAACTACGATGAGACCTCTGCTCAGCTCTTCAATCTTTCCCGCGCTCTTTCCAGAAACCCGACAGGCGCAGACCTAAAACTCCGATGTACCGAATTTGACGCAAATGGTTCGGTCACCATGGTCGCGGGGGAGTTCAGAAAGTCAGAATTGATTGCTAAATATGGTCTCCTCCCTCGCGACCTGAGGAAGATCGACTCCTCTGTCCTTCCCCATATCCTCGTCCGTCCTACCGCTATCCTCATCAACCTCTTGCACCTGCGAGTCCTTATCCAGTCCGATCGTGTTCTCGTCTTCGACGCATATGGAAGCACCGACTCATATACCCAATCCTTGTTCATGTATGATCTAGAAGGAAAGCTGAGGCAAAAGGCGGATCCCAGGAATGGCTCCACGCACCTTCCGTATGAGTTCCGAGCTCTCGAAGCCGTGCTTATATCAGTCACGTCTGGTCTTGAGGCAGAATTTGCTCTAGTCCGAGACCCAGTGACCCATATTCTCAGCGAACTGGAAGAGGATATAGACCGGGACAAATTACGACACCTGCTCATCCATTCCAAAAAGCTCGGCACTTTCGAGCAAAAAGCGCGACTTGTCCGAGATGCCATTGACGACCTCCTGGAGGCAGACGATGATCTTGCTGCCATGTACTTAACGGAGCGAAAAACAGGAAAGTCGCGAGCCGAGAACGACCACCAAGAAGTTGAGATGCTGCTGGAGTCGTACCACAAAATATGCGACGAAATTGTGGAGATATCCGGCAATCTGATCAACAACATCAGAAACACGGAAGAGGTTGTCAAGGCTATTCTTGATGCCAACCGCAACCAGCTCATGCTGCTAGAAATCAAATTCAGTGTTGGGACGCTGGGTCTAGCGGGTGGTACTCTCATCGCCGGCCTATACGGCATGAACCTGAATAACTTTATCGAAGAAACCGATTGGGGGTTTGGTTCGGTCAGCGTGGTCTGTTTTGGCCTGTCAGCGGCTATCTGCGTCTATGGTATGCGGAAGCTACGGAAGGTCCAAAAGGTTCGTATGTGGGGTGAAGGAATCGACACCATGGCAGCTCGTGCACGAGCAGCCGGCAGAGGCAACTGGCGCAGCGAAGCCGTTGAAAGTCAGGCTCACCGCATTGGAAGACTGAAAGGAGGCGGAATCAACCTGGGGGGAAAACAGTCTGGACCTGTCATGTGGCCAGGCATGGAGGGGCTGGGTGCGCATAGGCTACATGGAACCGACGCTGGTCGACAAAGCGAAGTTCCCAACAATAGTACCAACGCAACAGCGCAAGCGCACGATCCTCGAGGGACTGCTTACGATGAGCATGAAGACGTCGAGACAAGGTGGAGGGGAGAGGCGCAGAAGCAGAAAGCATTGACCAAAAAGGAGCAACACGCGCATTCTCATCATCATCATCATCATCACGCTGCTCACTATACCCACGAAAAGAAATGAAATCTCCCGTCACTCATACAGCACGGGGGCAGTCGCTCGTTTGCAAGAGAAGGTGGCGGCTTCACAACACCAGCATACGACACACGACTCTTCGCTACTTAGGATATTCGGGACCCATAATATCGTATTACTTGTATACTAGCCTTCACTTCTCCTCCCTCCAGCGTTCAAGCGAATATCGGCGTTACATTCATGGGGAAATTCAAGAAATATTGCAGGATTTGGCATTGGGGCGTGGCATTCGGTGACCGACAGAGTGCAAAGGGGTCAATAACGAATATACAGGACTCCGGATCATGCTGGCCAAAAGACTAGATAGGGGGTTATTGTGCAACATCCTGTCTGTTATTCTACCCAGGTAGGTTACCTAGGTAGCTCTGATAGGCAGGTCTGGTTGTTTTGCACATACTACGTTAGAGTCTAATCTCCACGACTTGAATCAATCTACGAGGTCTGGTCGAGTCAATTCTCCCGTGCCCCCGGATTGGCATCGCATCGCATCGGCGCTTGTGCATTTTCTAGAGCTACGTAGTATGCTAGTCGCTTGTTTGACGAATTCCGATTTTCCGAGTCGCTTCGGAACCATGTAGCAAGGATTGGCATGTAATACTATCTAGTATTGACTTGTAGATTCGCTATTCCGCTCAACGCTACATCACCGACGTACTCAACCTCATCCTCCGTTTCACTCGTCTATGTCCATTGCCGAGATTGGTTGTACCATTTCACGACCGTTCGCGGCTATCGACTTCCCTCGGGACATCAACTTTTCGGAACCACCAAGTTACTTTTGAGGAATCTATTCCCACGATACCCAACAGCATGATGCAGGTATCAAACTGATTATAAACATCACCAGTCGTCATCATCGTCCTTTTCGTCATCTGTACGACAAATAAGTCAGCATAACCATTTCAATTTCCGCATCTATCAACTCGCAATCAACAGAATCAAAGGCTGCGAAGAGAACTTGAAGCTCAAGATGACTGAAGGAAAAGAAAGGGCAACTTACCACTCCCGCTAACTTTCTTCTTCCTCTGACTCAAAGCTGCAGCCAACGCACCAGCAAGACCACCCTGTGCATCCGCAGCGCTAGCTGGGCTTCCCGGCGCTCCTCCCGGCGGTGCAGGCGCAGTCGATTCTGAGCCTGGAACCATGGCAGATGATCTGTCTCGTTTTTCGCTGTCTCTGACTTTCCGGAGACCGCCGCCACCGGTCCCGCGAATCGCTGCGAGAAGGTCGTCACGACCACCACCGCCGCCGGTCGGTGCAAGAGGCGGTGGAGGTGGACCGGAGCTGGCGCCTGGCATTGGTGGAGGAGGTGGTGGGCCACCGGATGAAGGCATTGGTGGTGGTGGAGGTGGTCCGGACGATGAGGGCATGGGCGGCGGCGGTGGTGGCGGACCTGAGAACGAAGGCATGGGCGGCGGTGGAGGTGGCCCGCCTGATGTTGGTGGAGGAGGAACAGCTCGAGTATTTGGAGGAGGAAGGGGAGGAGCACCGCCGCGAGCTGGCGGAGGGGGAGGCGGAGGGGGAGAAAATGCAGCTGGTGAGGCTGGTGGTCCCGATGCTTTGGGCGGTAATGGAGGCGGCATGACGTGAGGCGTGGAAGTATCTCGACTCGGTGGCGGAGGGGGCACAGGACCACGACTAGGAGGTGGTGGTGGTGGAGCTGAAGACTTGCGGTCGCCCACGAACGGAGGCGGGACCCTGAACATCCCCTGTGGCTCCTCGTCAATGGGTGTCTTTGGCGGACGAGGCGGTGGTGGGGGACCTGGGTTTGCCAAAGAGCCTGAGGAGGCTCGAGCTCGTCCTGAAGGGTGCAGGGCTGGGCCTTCTTTCACCGCGTATTTGCCCGCGTCTGCGATGGGTGGAGGCGCACGGAAACGTGGTTGCGGACTAGCTGCAGGAGATGGTGTTCGCGGAGGAGGCGATGGTGATCGAGGGGGTGACGATGCCCTGCCGCCAACCGGCCTTCGCGATGGCGGTGGAGCTGGGGGAGGACCACGTCGGCTCGATGAAGTCGTACCTGTATTCTCTGGACTTATTCTCGAAGGTGGTGCAGACGGCGGAGGCGGTGGTGGCCCCCTAGACCTTGAGTCTGTGGCTGTTGGCAAGGCCTGAGCGATACCGTTCGCCATTTCCTCTGCTTGCTTTTGCTGGACGTAGTTCTTGATGAAGTCTGCATTGGAAGCAATCTGGTCCTCAGTAATACCCATCTGGATCAGCTCGTCAAGAATGGGTCGCCATGTTGGATCCGCCAGATCAATACCTCCTGCACTGCTCTGGGGACGGCTTGTAGAGGCTGGGCTGTACATAGGCTGCGGTACAATGGATTGAGGTTGCGCCTGAGGGATAGGATTGGAACTGTGCCTGTGGCCTCGGAGAAAGTTACCGACTCGGCTGTGGTGTTTATGAGACGAGCCTGGTACATAGAGCTGGCCACCACCTGCAGTGGAAGCGAAAGGTTGTGCTTTTGTGTGCTTGCTGGCGTTCTTTTCCCGCTCATCCATCTTCTTCTTGAAAGTCCTCGCCTCTTTCTCGTCGACAAACGACAGGCCGGCCAAGCATTGTTCGAGTTCGAAGGAATGGAAAAAGGTTCGGTCTTGGTTATATTGGAAGGTGTCGTAGATTTCTTGATCCCAAATTACGCCTCTGTTTGCGGGAGAGATGTCGACCAACTTGATCCAGAAAGTGTTCCCGACGAGGTCGTTGCAGAGGACGGCGGCGCCTTGAAGGCCTGTATAGGTCCATCGGTTTCGGCCTGGGAGCGCAATATAGAGTCGAGCGACAGCGACAGCTTGGATCTTGTTGGCAGCCTTGGGGATGGCTCTCTTGACGATCTCCTTTTCGCCTTCACCCAGTATGGAAGGCATGGTGGAGGACGCCGACGTATGAAGACGAATGATATGGTAGTGATACAAAACAGGTGTTGAAGTGAGGCCGGGATGCGGCACTGGAGAAATCCAGCGGTGATTGCCTACCTGACATAGGGATTAATGGCTAAGCCACTATTTAGGGTCACCAGCCTAGTGAGCCCACCCACCGCGTGGCTTTTCGGGATAATGGGCACCGGGAAAGTCGACCACTACGAGTACCTAGTAAGCATCAAGTTTGCGACTGAGGTTGGCATCTATTGGCAGTTATGGCGCCTCCCTGGATACTTACCGTGCTTACCTAGGTACTACTCAATTCCGGTACTATTCAATTCCTAGGCCGATCTCTACTCCAAGGTACCTGGTATGTTTGGCTGTGAATGGTGCCTGAACCTTGGTCTGTCACCTCTGTGGGTGCCTATTGTCCTTAGCTCTCCATCTTCGTCATCATGCGCTCTCCGCACCACTTTGGCAAACGTCATAGCAGAGTGACGGCGACTTTACCTGCACATCACACACTTTGCTGTTCGACTACATAAACCTCTGCACAGCCTTACTTGACTCTTTCACTATTTCACGCTACATTTCCACTCACTCAGAATCAGCCTCAGCCTTAGCCTCAGGCAGACTCAGACTCAGACTCAGAATCAGAATCAGAATCACCCGACTCACGAACCATTCAACATGCCTCAACACCCAGCGGAAGAAACTGCCCCCTCCAACATCTTCGATAAAGTCGCCAAAGAGTCCTCTGACTCGACTGCCTCCGACCACCCTATGCACAAGGAGAACGAGCAGCCTGTCAAGCAAGCGGCGTCTGCCCAAGACCACAAGGGGCTAGGTCCTCAGATCTCAGAGAGTAAGACATATCCTCTCAACCACTCACGTATCTTCGTACTAACGGAGCGCCCCTAGATATGCCAGAAGCCCAATCCAAAGACGAATTGAAGGCAAAGGCGGCTCAGATGAATGTTCGGTCGAGCGAGTAAAGCAAACGTGCAAAACAAGGGAACAAAGAATCATTAGCGTCACAGGCATGACTGTCGAAGCAGACACAACATTGCTGTAGGAATACATCATCATTGACCACGAAGCCGAGTCCGTATCTAAGTCACTTGTCGCCAACGCCTTTGCTTCGAATGCCCTAGGGCTCTTTGTCGAGACCTTTACCCTGACCTCGCTATGCATAAAACGAAATTGTCGAAAGAGATAGATAGCCTGTTCACACTCGTCTGGCCCTCTTTTCAGGGGGCTCTCCATCTTTTCGTCCTCGGCTCTGACCCGTAGCACCGCCCATACCGTGTGGTGCACCTGTGGTCTTGCAAGCGTCTTCGCTCAACGTATCACCAAAAACGTCCGCCTGAGATGTCGTCGACGCAGAAGGCTGCTCGGACTTTGATTCGTGTTGCAGTTCTGGTAGCACGATTGAGAAATAGATGAGTCGGCGGCATTGCTTGTCAGCTTCCTCCTTCTCCGCGGCTTTGTCATTAGACTTGTCTGAATTGGACTTTGTCTTGTGCTCCTCGGATGGTTGATCGACCTCTCCGCTCTCTGCTGCGCCACTGCTGACAAGGTCTTTGCTGGTATCTGCGTCTGACTCTGTCTTGTGCTTCTCACTATCCTTCTTGCCATCTGTCTTCTCTTCCTCTGGCGCCTCGGAGTAATGCCATAGAGCCTTTAGATCGCCCCTCACCAATGCTGTGCCCCAGAGTGACAGCAGAACTCCAGGAACCAGGTACAGCAGCGCTGGTTGAGCATGTTCTGCCACCTGCATCACGACAACTGTGGTCATCATTCCAGCGAGATAGCCTACGATTGTGGCGTAGAAATACGGCTTCGGGAACGTCTTTGCCTTGATCTCCTCCGTCCACAACTTTGAGCCGGTCCAGAACCGCTCACCCCAGTTGCCTTTTGCGTTGATATATGCAGGTTTTCGCATCTCCCCGCTATCTCTCTCGATTCTGCGTCCTTGCTGCAGATAGAACAAGAACAAATCAAACCTCAGCGCAAATGCAAGCATCATCCCCGGGACCACTATATCTCCCAGGCCCAACATCGCCATAGTCCTCTTCTTCGCCAGACACTGCAAGTATTCTTCCATGGCAGCTGACCCATCGGGTGCTCCAACCGGAAACACACATCCATCCGGTCTCGGAAAGAGCAGTTTAATTGGCACATCCAACTTTGTCGCCACCGTCACCATCATCGGCGTGAAGAAAACAAAGTAAATGTCGTAGAAAAACAGCGCGCTTAGGACAAGTGTTCCGGTCCAGGCCGTGGTCGGCGTCATGTATTGCAGCGACCCGTAGCAGAACGAGAAGCCAAGGAAGTTCGTCATGAACCAGGGTTTGGAGACGAAAGCATGGTAGCAGACGAGCGCGCAGGAGAGCAGCAGGCTGACCACGTCGAGAATATCGACGGGGGACTTGACAGTTATGAGGCCGTGGACATGGAGATTCAGACGTGCCTTTTTGTATAGCAGACCCCTCAATTTCCAGATACGCTTGGATATTGATACAGGGAGCGGGATCGATCGTAGCATTCCTGGGAAAGGGGAGTTGCTCTTTTCGCCGCGCTCAGTCATAAAGCACCATTCTTGTTGATCGACTTTCCACAGCTTGCCTCCGCTGGAATGTTGATTCGGGAGCAGGAAGGACCTAAGGACAGAAAGCATGTCTTTCAGGAACTTCATAGCGAAGAACAAGCCGATCTGGGAGAAGTAGATGCCAAGAACCCAGTTCAGCCACGCTGGGTCCTGAAGCCATTTGAGGATGAAGTACAGACTTGCCAGCGTTGCACCCGCCAGCAGCGGGAAGAGAAGCGCGTCCGAAGGTGTCAGGCTCTCGATCTTCTGCGATTCACCTTCATCGCGCTCATCCTCATCGGCTACACCTTTCTTGCGTTTTCGTGGCGCCGCTGAAGTTGGTCTTGACAGTGAGGCGTGTGCTGCCGTGTATATCGGGAAAATCGCCGAGACTAAGAGGTGAAGGTAGGTCGGGAAAAGAGGTTGCATCACCTCGATTTCGTAGGCAACGCGGCCGAGTAGTTCCATAATCGGTCCGGGTGCTGAAACCATGTTGAGTCGGAACCGTGACTGGGTTCGAAACGTAGGATTGTCTTTGAACGACCACAAGCAACTCCAGGCTTCAACAATGGAAAAGTTCGACAACTGAAAAGATGGACATCGTAGAGTTTGGAAGAGAGAAGTGAAGATTCAAGGCTGAGGCCAGGCTGTCCTTGGCTACTGTGATTGGTGGCTGACAAGGCTGACAAGGCTGACAAGGCTGGCGAGGCTGGCGAGGCTGAGTGCCACCCATGCGCGCCGCAACACGGTTACGTATGTCCAATTACCAGCACAAGGTACTTAGCAGATGACTTATACTGGAGGATTTGTATCATGATAGAAAGTGAGGCATTGTTTGTTCTTCACAGATCGAGACTCAAATTTTCAATGCAGGCTGGTGAATCGCTAAGTAGAACACCGGTACGATTTCCGATTGCTTCCAACTCATGTTTGGGTGCCGGTGTAGAACATCAGCAACCTTAGCGATCGCTGCTGTACCTTCTCCATGGCGTCGTCTCCGAATGCTACCTCGCGCTTGAATGAAGGATACTGCCTCAGAGTTTCGGTGGCGATCTTCAATGGCGCAGCAAGCATCTTCGGTCCCTGATCCACCATGTCGTCCTTCATACAAAACTCAACAGCTTGGAAAATACTCCGGGCAGCAACGGCAAAATCTGCACGGTGCTCGAGTGGTGGGAGGTTGAACACATCGCCCGAACATTTCGTCACCTGTCGAAGCTTCCCCATCTCCGAGTTTGGATCGACTTCCTCCTCAACCCGATCAAGCGTCGCAAAGGCCATCTTCAGCTCGCTCATCAATCTGTACAGTTCTTTCAAACCGTGCCATAGGATCGTCTGCACGGCCCAGATTATAAGCGCACTGTTTGCAACAGATAGGTTCGGGAAGTGGAATGCTACTGGAAAGACCATTCCTTCTTCTGAATCATCCCGATCCGGACGCGTTTTTGCCAATTCGGGCCAGAAAAGGGGCCCCAGTTGACTCTTCTCCATACTTGCCCATAAGGCCGACAGTTCTTGGTCTATATCCCAGCACTTTGGTATCATGATTAGTGCCAGCTCTAGTTTTCCATCAATATCCAAATCGTCAAACAGTCGTGCTTGGGAAAGAAATTCCGGTGCAAATGCTAAAAGATCGTAGACCTTGTCGAAGAAAGTCTTCGTCTCATATCGCCAGGGCACTTCTCGCCAAACAGGCTCCGACAGAAACGTAGGCTCTCTTTTGTCTAGTGCATAAAGGATCTGGGAATGTTAGCACGCGGCCATTCACCAATCAAAGATGAACGGCGTACCCCTTGAGCACGGAAGTGTACAAAGATCTGATGTGCCAAGCCATGAGCATGTGCCTCTGGACCTCGAAGTTTGACAAGTGTTTGGCAGCCGACCGTATGGCTGATATAAGCTTCTTTGGAATTATTGGGACATTGACTCAACTCATAGCCGGCCAACGTGATACACGCAGCAAGGGTTTGGTCGTCGAACATAAGGCGCGGATCCCACAATGCTGTTTGGAGCTGGCGTAGTCCATGATTGTATAGTTTCAGGCTCTCGTGTATCAATGCCTGATCGCAGTGTACTTCGCCTAATTTGGCAAGACATAACGCCATGGCGGACATCTCCAATGCAGGAATCATGTGAGGTAGTTCAGGCAGACGTAGCAGCCATATTCGCCGCCGTGGCATACCAATCTCCTCGTTCGGAAGGTGATGGTGCAAAAACTCCTGCAGTAGTTGCTGCCTTATAGCGGGAGTGGCGTTGACATGCCGGCCAGGGGGACATAAGGATGCTGCTTGATGAAAAGAGCCCACATCCCAGGGAGGGCCAGTCTTACGTGCTACAGAAGGAGTTGCTGGACCATCTTTCTTCCTTTCCATCTTGGCTGGCTCCCCCAAGGCTGCAATCTTCGAATCTGCATTTTGAGGGATTTGATGGGAGATGAATATTGGATATCGACGATAGCCAGTACACACCCGCTTTGATTTGATGCATTGGGCACAAGACGGTTGCTCAAGGCCACACTGTTTTGCAACACTCGTTAGCACGCAGGTTTAAACACCGAAATTGGAAGCAATACCGCTATCTTTCGTTTTCGACAAGTGCCACAGCCACGAGCTCTGGCGATTCCGACCATTGAGGCAATTTGGGCTACGACCTAGCATGAAGCATGAAGCATGAACTCTTGGTTGATGGCTTGGTTCATTGAGTAGCCGGAATAGAAGCACAGGAGAGCTTGTGGAGGAAAGGGCCATTTTGCGAGACGAAATCGTTCAACAGGCAGTCATTTTTCGGTTTTGATCTCCGGCTTAGTGCGCTGAGGACAGCATTATCTTTGCATTGTCGATCTCGAACTGGTAAGGCAGACTCGAAGACGTTCAGTTTGACCGGAGAGATGTTGCTAACAACTGCCCACTAGGCTCAAATAGGTGCATTGTGCGAATGGGCTGTGATTGGAGGCTGTACCACGTGATTTCGCGTTGGCACGGCGGATCTTACAGTATACAAGCGCAGCTCCAGTTTCTTCTCCCGTGTCGGCGACTCTGCGGAGACGTGTTGTCGTCTTCCCATGAATTCCAAACAATGTGGACCGCATCATAAAGGATGTAGCCTTTCGCTGATCAATCCGTGTGTATTGAAATGGCTCGTGGCCCGCTCAGACGGTCTGTCAGCATCACAGATCTTCGCTTCACCTTACGACGAGTGTTCGGCAAAGATTCATTCCGCCCCCTTCAAGAAGAGGTCATCACCGCTGTGCTTGCGGGGCACGATGTATTTCTCTGCGCTGCTACATCGTTCGGAAAATCTCTTTGTTACCAGCTACCAGCCGTGGTCTCATTAGGCGTCACTGTGGTCATCTCCCCTCTTCTGGCTTTGATGACGAACCAGGTCCAAGCAGCTCGCCATCTAGGCGTCGCGGTTGAATGCATCAATGGCAAGACTGGCTATCAAGAGAGGCATCGAATCGAGACTGACCTTCTGTGTGGTCATCCTGCTACCAAGTTACTCTATGTCACCCCAGAGCTTTGTGCTACGAACCACTTCCGCGAACTCATCATGAAAATCCACCGGCAAGGTCAACTTGTACGCATCGCTATCGACGAAGCGCACTGCATAAGTGAATGGGGTCACGATTTCCGCCCAGCTTACAAGGAGTTGATATGGCTCAAGACGTCTCTCAATTGTCCGTCCGTACCGGTCATGGCGGTCACCGCTACGGCTACGCCACAAGTTCGCGAGGATATTTTCAAGTTTCTCGGGCTTGTTACTACCAAGACCAAATCCTTCTCTACCTCGACAGCACGTCCAAATATACACTACGAAATACAATATTTCTCCGAGTCAAACCCAGAAAATGGCCAGGATGATGTCTTCCCGTATCTCATGTCCAGACTCGACTTCATGCACCAAAGACGAGTGCTGCGACTCAGACACCTTCGACAGCAAGACCCAGGGGCGGCGATAGCGCCTATTACGGGCATTGTCTACGTCTCCTATCGAGCTTCCGCAGATAGTTTGGCCACGAAACTGACGGAGGCTGGTGTTCGAGCTCAATCATATCATGCCGGACTGGAGGACGCTCAACGACTGAAGGTCCAGACTTCGTTTCTCAGATACGCGACCGCAGACCCTCGTCTGATACAATCGGCCGACGGACATAGCCTTATGTCGTCGTTCAACATCATGTGCGCGACCACAGCGTTCGGTATGGGCATCGACATACCCACCATCCGGTTTGTCATCCACTACGGTCTACCACGAGGCATGGAATCCTTCGCACAAGAATCAGGACGCGCGGGACGAGATAACAAATCAGCTTCGAGTATCATATTGTACACACGTGAAGAGAAAGAACGCAGTGAGTTTCGAGTAAAGAGTGATGCGAACAGAGAGAAGAGCAGGCCCAAGGCTGAGTCGAGGCTGGTGTCGTTGAAGAGCATCATTGGCTTTTGCGAGAACACCGATACGTGCCGCCATGACTTGGTGTCGAGCTATTTCGGAGACGATGCCGGGTCAGCAGAGTGCTACTATGCATGCGATGTGTGCAAGGAAGGCCCGGCCAAGCTGAAGAAGCGCAAGGAAAAAGGCCTGGCGGCCGAGAATGAGGCCTTCGCCTTTACCCAGAGAGAGCCGATGAGAGATTATGACTATGACTGATGACACGCCATGCTCATGACATGGCATTTGATACCCAGGGATACAGAGAAGGGGAAAATAGAAAGTGAAGGAGCGAATGACAAACACGGCCAAATAGGGATTACCCGGTCTCAAAGAGATAGCATTACTTATCACTGTTCGTGCACAGCATTCTTTCCAAGTGTGCCTGGACATGCTGAGTTCAACGCTCTCGGAATTGACTACTTGATATTGTAATAACCGCCCGAAAAGTCCACCAGCCACTGCTTCTCCACCTTGCTGATGTCCTTGAGATAGACCTTGTCTCCGGTCTGCAGGAGCTCGTGAAAGACCACGTACTCAGCCTTTCGGTTGAACATGAGACTCGTTGGATGCGCGTGCAACGTGACATTTCCCGAAACCGACCTGAAAGTCCCGTCAGGCTGCATCTTGGCAGCATTTGAGAAGAAACCTGTCACGAGACACTTGACAGTATTTGTCGCTTTCTCTGTCGGATTCGGCTGTGCGGTCGACAATGACGATAGTTGTGCGGTGGCCGGCGAATCCTGCACCTTAACGCCTAAGCGTTCAAGGTACCGCCTCAGCTGGTTCCGGATACTTACTGCGCGCTGCATGGACTTGAAGTTCAAGTGGTGCTCATGACACCAACGAGCTTCTTTCTTGCCTTTGGTCACGAAGGCTTGGTAGACGTTCAACAATGTGAGATGATCGCCTTCCTCGGCTGCGAACTTTCGGCGCGACAAGTCCATAGCCTTCTTCTCGCCGCTGTGGTGGAACCAGACATTGCCTTGGAGCGAAGTCATGGCGGCGATGGTGAGCATTTCGCTCTGGCAGTTGAACTTTGCGTCGGATGAGGTCAGGAGACACTTCGCCATCATGGGTGGGATGGCGAGTTCGGCCATGCGTGTGCCCAGTGGAGAGGTGAGTTTCGCATAGTCGTCGACCGCGCCGAGGGAGTAAAGCAGGTCGAACGCGCGGATCAGGAGTTGCGACGGAGGCGGCGAGATGAAGTCGAAGCGAACAATGTTGTCGATGCCAAGAGCTTTGAGTTGGAGGACCATCGGCGCAAGATTTGAACGCTGGATTTCTGGTGGCGTTGTTGCAGGTAGGGCGTCATAGGCTTGCCGGGTGTAAAGGCGGAAGCATTTGCCCGGTTGCGTGCGGCCAGCGCGGCCGGCTCGCTGGATTGCTGAGGCTTTTGACACTGGGAAGGGGGTCAATGTGTCGATGTTGGTGGTCGGATTGAAAGCGCGGAGTTTGACGAAGCCGCAGTCAATGACATACACCACACCAGAGACAGTCACGGAGGCTTCGGCGATGTTGGTGCTGAGGATCACTTTGCGTGTGTTTTCTGCTGCTTCGGAGAAGACGTACATCTGATCTTCTGTGCTCAGCCCAGCGTACAAGGGAAGTGGTTGAAGCGCTTGTGCTTGGGGATGTAGTGTCGAGGCTAGTTCGGATAATTTTTGCATGGCAGTTTCGATCTCCTCCCTGCCCGTGAGGAAGACCAGAATATCACCAGGAGCTTCTTCTTGATGGATGGTAAACGCCGTCCGTACAGCCTTTTCGACGTAGTCATCCGTCGGCTGGTCCAGATAGAGCATATCGACAGGATATGTGCGCCCTTCGATACTGACAATCCGACATTGTTCATCTGTTGCATCCTCATGTCTGAAGAATTCTACGAATCGTTCGGCTTCCAGCGTGGCACTGCTGACGATGATCCTCAATTCTGGTCGTCGCTTCTTGATCTTCTTCAGCAGCCCTAGTAGAACATCCGAACTCAAAGATCTTTCATGAGCTTCGTCGACCATGATTATCGAGTACCTTGTCAATAGGGGGTCGACCAAGGCTTCTCTCAGTAGCATGCCATCCGTGAGAAATTTGATCCTCGTCCGCGCAGACGTTACGTCCTCGAAGCGAATCGAGTATCCCACTTCTTCACCAACCTGGCATCTCATCTCCTCTGCGACTCGAGTAGCCACCGTGGTGACAGCCACTCTCCTGGGCTAGGGAAACTTGTCAAACACAATCGGGACTAGAAGTAAGTCAACTTACCCACCTGAGTGATCGCAATACATTTTCCGTCGGAGCACCATCCCGCTTGTTCAAGGAACTGGGGAAGTTGTGTAGTTTTGCCGCTGCCTGTCTGACCTACTATGACAGTGACCTGATGGTTTTCGATTGTGTAGAGAAGGCTGGCTTTATGTCTCGCAATGGGCAACAGGGCCGATGGAGTGTAGAGCGCCGGAACAAAGGAGAGATCAAAATCGGTCATGGTCGATGCTCCACTGGATAATCATGATGCCATAGCACCTGTGCAACTCCTGTCGAGGACCATGCTTGACAACGAAGGGAGTAAGGTACTTGAGGCACTCGTACAAATTATCTCGAACAATCTCGGGCATCTTGCACCGCCACAGATGCCACATCATGTCATTAGCCACATCGTCACTGCCAAGACCGTGATACAACTGGAGATTCGGCGCAATCATATGTTTGTTTCAAGAACTCCGCTGCCTGATATACTTTCAATCTTCCAGTTGTTGCTAGGAATTCTTCGAGGTCACCGGATTGAGCAGAATATATCCTATCAGCCTATCCCAACATGGCAAACAATGGCGCAGTAAGTGAACTATCTCCTGGACAAGCTCAATTCCTAACCTTTCCATCCACAGTCGTCGCCCGTCTCACCACTCAAGCCCTCCGATGGTCCTCCTGAGTCTCCTACCACGGCCCGCCCGTTAGATTTCGACAGTGACCAAGAGACCGGCACAATATCCACACCGACAAAGACATCCAAGCCAGAAACACTACCTAGTCTCCCTCCTAAAGATGACCCTGCTCCGCCCGCGAAACCTCCGAGACCAATGAGTCCTCGGGAACAAGCAGAGAACACATTGAAAGAGGCTTTTCCAACCATTGATGCCAACGTGGTGCGAGCTGTTCTGACAGCGAGTGGTGGGCATGTTGAGCCTGCTTTCAATGCTCTGTTGGGCATGACAGATCCCGACTCGCAGCGAGAACCTGAACCACCTGCCAGACCTCCTCGACCTGCTGTAAAGAATCCTGCTTCCACACAAATGAGTCAGCTCGAGGCAGATGAACTCTATGCAAGACAATTAGCGGAGCATTACGAAGGTTCGGACAGACAGCAACCACAGCGTCGTGGGTCTGGGGGAAGATTCAATGAACATCTACCGGGGTCAAGACCTGGGCGGCCAGGCGCAAGCCCAAACCCAGAAGATGTACCGTGGCGGAGTTTTATTGATGGTAAGTTTTGATCTCGGCCGGTCACGATATCTTGGAAGCTGACGTTTATCTCAAATAGATGACCTCCCTGAAATCCGCGACAACATCCGGAAAGGATTTATCGAAACCCAGACCACTGTAAACAAATGGATCACAGCGTTCAAGAAGAAAATCGATGGAGAAGAAGATGACGGGACATTTGTTGGCCAACCAGAACAACCACCACCAATGCCACCCCGCCGCAGCGCAGATACACGACGAAGTGCCGATCTTCAGCGGTACGATGCAGACATGCAACCCATTGGAGACGACTTTTCAAAGCTGGAACTCCGAGATGGAGAAGCGCCACCACGCACATCGAGCCGGCCGTTAGCCAATCCCAACCTGTTCAAGCCCAATGAACGGCGTCCGTCACCCGGTACAGCACGCAAGGTGTCTTTCCAAGATGGCCCGCCTGAGGAGATCAGGGATATGTACTCAGCCTCCCCCAAACCCAGCAATGTGACGACCACCACAGCGACCGCGCCAGGATCGGGCGGTAAGGCCAGCAAATGGCAGCCATTGAAATCGGTCGATCCGAGTCCAGTAGCCGACAATGATCCATTCAGCTTGGGTGACAGTGACGAGGAAAAAGATGCGAAGCCGATAACTTTGACGGATGACGAACCAGTAAAAGATGATGCTACAGACTCGAAAGCTGATGATGACCAAGTCAAGAAAGCTACTGACGAAGCTATGAAGGAGGGTATTGGCGCAGGAAGCAAGTAGGGACCGTGTTTGGTAATCGGAATTGACCACAGCCATGTGGAATGGCACAAACGTTACATCACGATCTCATTTGCGCGGAGAATGATCTCGACGGCCGCGTATATATTTTCTTTAACTGAAGTACATCTCAGGGTCATGATCCAACTGAGAATCTATCAGGACAGGCTTGATTGAATATAACGAGCCTTGATTGCAGATTGTGCGTAAACCGTCGGGTGTTTGCAAGTATTGCATACCTTAGTCATTGCCCCGTTCCCGTGTAACATGTCCTGAGCCTTGCCTCTCCCTGCCATACCACCTGAGTGACCCTGCCCTTGGTGTTGCCACACATCGCGTTGTTTCACCCTCCATTCTCAAGAATTGCGATGTGAGCTCATCTTGCCTCGCCACAATCAGCTGGCTACCGACTACCTATCCAGCTTCACATCGCCTGCCTTCCCCGTACTCCCGACCGCATCCATCATCCACTCGATCCTCTCCTGGATCAGCCTTGTCCCTTCCTCCATGTATTCAGTCAAGGGAGTCCGCCCCGCCTTCTGCGCAGCGTACTGCTCATACTTCCACAGCACGACCTGATTGACGTTCAACCTCGTCATGCCGGCCTGCACGCACTGGCGGAAAATGTCCGCGGTGAACTCGTTGGTCCCGTGCATCACGAGCGTGACTTTGCCCTTAGCCGCCTCCCTTATCCCCTTGAGCCGTTCGAAGTCCAGCTTGATGTTCTCCACGCCGTGGTAGGGACCGTGCACGTTTCCTATCGCCGGCGCGAGGAAATCGATGCCCGTGTCGATGAACTGCAAGGCCTCCTCGGGCGTGGTCAGAATGCCCTCGAGATCGCCCGTGTCCTGCACGCCGGCCTCGCCGCCATTGATCCTACCGGGCTCCGCTTCCGTGGCGATGCCCAGATCGTGACAGTACCGCACGAGCTCCGTCGTCCGCGACAGGTTCTCGGCCTTCTCGTAGTGCGACATGTCGACCATGATGCTGTCGAATTTGCCCGTCTGCGCGGCTCGTTTGATCGCCTCCTCGCTCTGCGCGTGGTCCAGGTGCAGACTCATCGGCACCTTGGCGCTGCGGCAGACGTCCGCGGCCAGGTTGACCAGGTTGTCATACCCGTAGTCTTGGGCCCAAGGGAACAACAGGATCTGGCACGGCGAGTTCTTGGCCTCGGCCGCCTTGCGGCACGCAATGATCGCTTCAAGATTGTAACATACCACGCCTGGCAGTCCGTAGCCTCCTGCTTCTGCGGCCTTGAGGATGCGCACCGAGATGTTTTGCGATAGATCTGGCATGGCTGGAAGAAGCGGTCGGGGGTTAGGTAGTCTTGATTTTTGACGCTACGGGAGCTGGTGTTCAGCACAGAAGAAACCGCCTAGGTAGTCATGTGTGCTCAAGGAAAAGTGTTCTCACCGACAGATTTTATCTATGACTGCTGAAAACCTTGCTAGGAGATTCGCATACGCTGGTTGTTGTCGCCGTTAGAAGGGGACGTCGAAAAGCAAACAACAGTACCGTTCATTCATACGGACTGTCTTCCGCCGAAGTTCCAATCGAGGTCGGGGGAAACCGATCCACCAAAGTGTACAAGTCCCGCTCGGTGTTCGTCGGCATGACTTCCGTGCGAGAGTGATACAGCTCATGAAAAAGTATTCTAGGGTGACTCCATACTGATCTTGATCCGCTCTCACAAAGAAGGCCGCTTAGGGCCAACATGGGCGACTACGTCCACCTTGAGAAGCACGCCGGTCATGTCACCAAACATTTGTGTCTAAGAAAGGCTAAGGTTGCCAACGATGATTGAGGCCTATGAGGACGTTGGTCAACTACCTTCGACACCGCCAACACTCTGAGTCTGCCCCCAAGGTCGTGCGCAAGCCTTCGTACTGCCATTACTCGCTCTTGATCAAGCAAAGTCGACACGAACGTGCCTTTACCTCCACCCACCGTACAGCAACCTCAGTCGCCCGACGATAGCTGCGCTGCTAAGATTCGAGTCCTTTGTCATCTGGAGGACAATCCGCTGACACGCCTCGAAGCTGTGCCTCATTGCTCCATGTACAACCCATTGGCCCCCGCAGAAGATGAACCGAGGAAAAGCATCGAGGTCAAAGCCCTCGCCATCTACCCTATTCGAAGGTTCACGCAGCAGGACATGATGCCTGCTTGGGTGGAGGAGGTTTTTTTGCCTCGGTATGACGAACAAATACGGACTCTCTGGACCCATATGTTGAATACATGCTCGACCCTGTGCCCGCCTTCACGCCCCGGCCAGTGTGGTTGAGGACAGTGGCCATATTTTCAACCAATGCAATGTCCGTCCCTAGCAGTATGTCAGTGGTGGTGAGATGCTAAGCTCAAGTAACGACAGTTGCGTACCAGGCAAGCCTAACACTGTTGCTATGACCGGAAGAGGCTCGTATTGTCTAGTTATTCGAGAAAAGTCATCAATTTCACCGACTGTCCAGTGTTAACAAGATATCCACTTTCAAGGGTGTCATCAACCATACTAGGAACCGAGATTTCTGGCGCACCAAGGATAGGCGAGAGCCAGAGCTGCTGAGTAGCAGATGGCGCCGATGGCAGGCTATGCATGTTGGCTCACTTCCACAACATTCCAAGGGTATTACTTACGCGGCAGGCTGATCTCTCGGGTCTGGAATTTGCTCGCTGACCGGGAGAACGACCAAGGTCTCGTGATCCGCGCTCTGGAGGACGTCCTCCAGCAGCCACTTCTTGTAGACCTTCAACCGATCAACGGCTTCCTCGTACTGCTCAGCCGTAATGTTCGTCGCGGCGTCCCTGAGATGGTCAGTGCCTAAATGCAGGCATCAAGGCTTGAACTTACCATCGCCACCGAGTGGTGGGGTTTACATAAGGCTCAGCGCCATATTGTTCATGATAGTTCGTGCGAAAAGCATCCAGCTGATGGTAGAGTCCGTAACAAAAGCTAAGAATCCCAATCTGGTTGTCGTCAGCGGTCTTCCAAATATATAGGTTAGACAAAACATACATTGTGCATATAACAGCTCAGTGATGTATGCGACGTTCCAGCCGGTTTTCGCTCGCTCCAGAGGTCGCTCAGTGATATGCGCGCTCTGGTGATGGAATACATGCTCTCAATGTCAGTAAAAAGCTGCTCGAAGAGATCCTGTTGTCTCTTGTCTGACAACGGGTAATAGTCTTCCAGATACACAAGGCGCGTCGGCTTTGCGAGTGTGAGCGACAAATTGCTGAGGCCACGCCGGTGACCCACCTTTGTACATGCGGCTGAAGGCTTGCCTACCAGTACATTGGCGACTTTCGGATGATGTCCATCTCTCGGCTAAATATGGCAGGAGCATCGAAGGGTCTGTCACCTAGATCAGCCTGCAATCTTCGGATCGATTGAGGAGGGGACAAACCTCCACGAGGGTATGATGCCCTCTTGCGTGACTGCGTCATGAGAGAGACGCATTTGAAAGACACCGTTCGCGTAAGCTGGACGCCTGCTACTACCTGTAGCTGAAAAATCAAGGTCAGTGGCCGAGACTGGCTCTAGTTGTCCTGTTTCATGCTTACTGTCTGTGCCTAGAGTGAAGTCCAACCATTCGTAGGATGCGGCTGCGGCACCGCTGCCTCCGCTGCTGCTCGATGCTGACTGGTACCCATCGCCGCGAGGATTGAAGGATGCTTGAAAATCTGCAGACTCGGCTGGCTCCTCTTTGGTGTTCAAAGACCCCAACTTGAGAGTGCCCAGAAGGTGTGCGCCAACTTCAATCAATTTACCGATGATAGGTGCAGTTGTCGTGGCTCGTTCATTGACAGCATAGTACGTTCGGCAGCCAACGGTCGCTCTGAGACCTGCAACCTCGAAGCAATCTTTGATTGCGAATCTGTAACCCTCGATTTCGCTGCGCTTCCCATGAGAGTGTGGACCCCGTGATGGGACAGCAACGCTCAAGGACGAAGGGTATTCACCTGCAATGCGAAGGCCACTGTGTGATTTCCTGGAAGAATCAGCGAAAGGTTATGAGGCACAAATTTCCGCTCGCTCTTCCAAGTCATCAGGTCTGGTGGTGAGCACGAAAGCTGCCTGAATATCATCGTACAACCGGTAGGGTCTGAATATCTTTTCCTGTACCAGAACATATGGGCCATCCCTCGGAAGGTTAGGCAGACTCGATGATTCCACGGCGACGACATTCTCAGAACCCCAGGCATCCGACAATTGTTGGCGGATGCTGGCAAGTTGGTCTTGTCCCAACTGACTATCCGCAGCGACCAGTATGTCATGCCGAAAGGCAGCAGAAAAGACGTCGTCTTGCGCCGGTGTCTCCTCAAGTCGTCTTGAGATACCTGTAGGACCGAGATCGTCAGTGCCAATATGTAGCAATGTGACGGGCTGTTAGCTCTCTGCCGCAGGGAACTGGTTGTGAGACTGCAAAAAGTTGGTCAGCTATGCTAAAATGGCCCCTTTCTCTTGTCCAACAGCTCACCAGCGCCCCATGTCGCACCATATGATACTCGATTCCGTCGATGAGACCGGTGAGAGCGTGTATCGTACTTAAGAAATCGTGCATGGTAGGGGAATCGAGGCGCAGCTTCAGCTGCGTCACTTTGTTGGAGGGAGCAGTGGAAACAGGACCGAGTATGTTCGAAGCCTCGGGACACTGTGCATACACGAGGAAGGTCAGCTGTAACGTGGTACTTTAAGCAGTGTAGAGAGCGTGGCTTCGATCAGGTCCCGGTCAGTGACTGGCTTGGTAGGTAATGAGGCTGAAATGAGAGTCGGACGCAAGATGCTGTGAGGTTCGGCGGCTGTTGACTGTTCTTTCACTGCGATTTCACTCTCAGATCTGGGGAGGCAGATTGGGTGACATGAATTCATTCATCCACTTGCTCGGCTCTGACTCTGCGCCAAAGGATTGAACGCTGCGTACGGCCCGATGAATGCCTCCCTGCGCTGCCTCCTTCGCGAAGCTGAATGTCGGGACGTGAAGCAAGCGTTGAAGTATCTGAAGGGGTTGAATTCACTCAATAATGATGGAAGGAGAGAGATCCCGTTTAATGGCCTCCAATATTCGTATCTCTTTATAGACGCACCTCTTTGCAACTTTGGTTTCATCCTGATTTTCGCGGCATCGAAAAGTTCCATGATGAGAACAGGGAACTGTAACTACTGAAGACGCTTTGTCCCGCCTGTCGGCAACAATCCACCTCCGCCACCTCCACCACCTCCACCATCTCCATCGTCTTGCTCTGACCGGCTTTCGCCTTCTGCGGCTTTAGATCTCCTCCAGCCTTTCCACCACAAACTGACGCAACTGCGCCCGAGGATATCGTCGAACCACCATCTGCACGTTCGATTTCGTCTTCGGAACGAATAGAGAGCAAGTCAAATTGCCCTTGACGATGGCAAAGCTCTTTTAGAGTTCATCGATGGCCTCAATGCACCACCCATAATGGCTGAGATAGGCGAGCATCCGCGGCCGCTGTCGGAGCGTGTCCCACTGTTTCATTTGTCACGGGCTTGGGGATATCTTCTGGAAAATATCTGTATATGTGTAGGGACGGGCGCCGCCGAATTCGTTGAGGTATTGGGGTCGGGTTCAGGCCCCTAAAAAATATTGATGACTAATCACGGGTGTCAAATTACCTGCGGGGAAAATAGACCGTTTTGGTGTTGTCGGCAAAGTTGCCTGGTGACGTAATTCTGTGACCGCAAGCACCATGCCGCTATCTCCGGTACACAGGGAGGCATTGCCGTGAGAACATCCTATCCCTGCAGCTATTCATGCCTGCAGGTGCGAAACCGGCTCATGAGGCTCCCAGAGATATAGCAAACCCCTTCATTCTGTTTACCACACACGATCAACTGCACTAAACTGTCCATCCGCGCACCATTCAAGGTCGCCACATCGAGCACAAGGACTCCCACTGTTGCAAGTACGTGCAAAGGACGATGTTCACAGAGCAGGACCATGCGCTGGAGGCGATCCGCATTACCGGCAACATTATCGAAGCGCACGATGAATATGAACAGGCTCATTCCATGCAAGGTCAGTGAATTCGCCAGGCTGAGACCTGCGTATGGAGCAGGCGAGATGGACTGATTCCAGCCACGAAATAAACAGGGTCCGACAGGGAGGTGAATTCGGCGCTGTACGCTGCGACCAACAGACTTTGCCGATGGCTGCATGCGCTCCATCAGATTCAACCCGAAAATCCAGGATTGATGAGGATGATCGAAGATTTTGGCCTTGCCGAGAAAGGTCATTTCAGGGGACACGAGGACTGGGATCAAGGGGCGTGTAAGCGTAGAATTCATAAATACGCGCACTATTTCCCCGCTGAGAGTGACAGCGAGGACGAAGGCGGCGGCGGCGGTGATGACAGCAGACAGGGAGACGAAGATAGATACGCCGGCTATGACAACGATGAATACCAGAATGGCAATGGCAATGGCGACGACTACGACTATTCTCAAGGGTTTGGCGACGAAGGAAATGACTACGGCGAATGGAATGGCTATGGCGGAGGGAACGGTGAAATGAACGGCGACATGAATGGTTATGGCGAAGAAGGCGACTTGAACGGGGCGGACGACTTTGGAGGTAGTCGCGGAGGACATTATGACCATGGCACAGACTTCGGTCACAGTCACGGTCATGGCCACGGCCATGATCAGTATCAGCTGGATAATGACCTCTAGTCGCAGGATGACACGTATAGATAGTGTCTTGGGCGGAGGAAAAGCTTTGGGCAGGAAACAGGCGTCAATCATGGAGGAGCATTCGAGCTTTTGGTAGGAATTCTCTCGTCTTCCTCATGTGGCTCGTGCGGTAACTGAAGGTTGGTCCCAATTTGAGGTAGCATCCTAACACGCTGGTGTATAAGGCCAAAATCTATCCGAGTTCTGTGCTTTGCCATCGCGGACAATGACAAGTGGGTGCAACACGACAGGCTTGTTAACGGCGATAAGATAACAAGAGACCATTCCGCATCAAGATAAACAAAATCATAGCATGTGTATTTCGTCTGCATCAATTTCATTTGCTCTCAATGCGCCGGCTATACTATCAGGTCCATGTACTTGCATTCTTCAGGTTTGTTGTTGCTGTTGGGTACCCAGCAGATAGCCCACTATGGTTGGTGTGTGCGGAGTCTCAAAAGGCACATTTGGTCCGATACCCATGACGTTAGGACTGTGCGCGGTGCCCTGGCCGACTGTTCTTCCCTGACCTCCCAAGGGAGATGCGGCTGAGCGTTGCTCTCTCGCCAGGTCCTCCGGTGTCAGTTGGCGTGGAGGCATCAGCCCATCAATCCCATCTCCGTGCGATCCTCTCCATTCGCTCACATGGTTCTGGGCCTTTTTAGTAGTCCGAAAAAACCCCTCTTGTTGATTGCCTTGCACTTGGGGAGGATTGAAGACTGGTTCCAGAATCTCTAGCATACCCTCGTCACTGAGCATTGTATAGTCCCACATTTGTCGCGTCATGCGGGAAATATGGTGTGTCGGAAGAGGTTCTCTGATGTTGCGCCCGCCCAGAGAGCCATACACTACCGGCTTGTAAGAGTTTTGGAGTGCCCTCCTTTGGCCAATTTGTATACTTCTGAAAGCCACAACTGACTCCTCGTCGAGGCGAAAGCCGGCAGCCTGTAATTCTTCGATCATAAATAAGAAGGTATTTTCTGAAAATGTTCAGGTTTTGGATGGTGCGACCGCCTATGGTACCATGATCTCCCAGCCACCAAACTATAGCAGTCCGTTGCGAAGGATTTGGGTGGGCTCCCAGTCGAATTTCGGTGTAGGGATACCGATATTCGTGAGTGTATACGCGACTCGCAGGCTGCGGATCTGTGATGGCATGCTTTGAAAGATTCTCTCTAGGGCGGATATTGGGTGACTGGCCACAGTGGTAATGCTCTTGTAGGCGGCAACAGGGTCGAAAACCATTAGTCCTGTGATGAGAGATCTATTTGGGCCGTTGAAAACTTGATACTCCACGTCCGCGACCCGGGGTTAATGTTGTCTTTCCCATTGCGTGGCCGGACCTTGGCTTTTCACAGTCAACCATTAGTTGAACAAAGCTGTTGCAACTTGGTCCCATGGATCACGGAAATGAGATGGAATTTCTTGCGTGGGATCGATCCTGCTTCCTGGTAGTTTGATGATGCCAACGTCTGTAAGAAAGGCCTCCACGGCGAGGACCACAAAGCCGCCGCGTGAGAAACCTATTAAAAAGGCCTCATCACCCGGCTCCCAGCGAATACAGATATCAACGAAGGCGTAGACGATCATCTTCCTAATCCCTGTTCGTCGTTAGGCAGGATAAATCAATCTATGTGGAGTGCTTACCATTCCCTAAGGCGCCGCCTAACAAGTTTGATGAAGGCCTGGATAGAAGGTTTCCCTCTGTTGTGTTTCCGACGCCAGGCTGATAGATAGGTATCTGGAGCTGACCAACTACACTCATTGAATGGCCTACCATCGTCTTCGGGGCTTGCGGACTCCAAGAATGTTAAAAATAAGCGTTAGATATTGGTTTGTGCGTCCGACGGTGCTTTGGCCCGCAACGCATCGTTCCAAGTGCCGTTGGTGAGCATAACAATCTTCGCGCCTCGTGGCCCTCTTAAAGGAAATATCATGCCATTTTGGTTTGCCAGAGGTAGAGCCGTGTTGGGAGAGAGGACTTGAATCGGCGTCTGCGATGAACTTGGACTGCCTCGGAAGGACCCTTTGATCCATCCCTTGACTTTGTCCCTTTTACGACCGCCGCCGCCGCCACCACCTCTGCCTGGTGTAGTTGACATGACAAAGCCCACTTCGAAACCTAAATTGAGATGTAAATCAAGAGATGGATGAAGAGCTTAGTGTCAAGTCAGTATATGGAAAGGAGAGATTGGCGATAGAAGTATTCTCAATGTAAGCCCTCTAAAGCAAGTGAAGTCAAATGAAGCGTCCAAGTATGAGACAATCCATCTTTAGATCCAGTTGCATACTTTGCCACAGAATATCCGTAGTGTTCTTGCACGATGGGAGGGGATTAATTTAGAAGAACGCCCCAGAGGTATACACCGTCTCGTTCCTGGCCGCTCCCAAATATAGTTCTCCCGAAGCGCAGAGCAGTTGTAAAATGGACTTGAAAACTGCGTCGGACCGTATATGTTTGGGATGTTCTGTGGAAGTCAGCCCGAACGTGGCGGTTGGGCGCAGCAGTACAAACTGCTCGATGTCCAACGTCAAGGAGGGCGAAAATATGGCCATCGGCGACGTATACAGAGCTCGTTGCCTAAGCTAGAGTGACGCAATGTGTGCATAGACCTCGGGTCAGCGTGTGGAACTCGATGAAGACAATTACCAGTAGTATTATGTGGTAGAAGTAGGATATCTAGAGCTATGCCAAGGCTCTTCCAAATATCCCCACGGGGATATCACATCATCGCTGCTACTTACTGGCGGCTATATCCGTTGAGATGCATGCCGTAATCCATCAATCAACCCCTTCCGAAGCGCCCCGCCCCGTTGCGACGAGTTTCAGTCCCCTGCGCGAGTCCACCTAGCCTACATGGACGGGCGAAAAATCAGCCTCGTAGTTGACCCAGCGAGACTGCAAGCTGTTCTGAGACGCTACACGGGTTGCAAACAAATGGACAGCCGATGAAGCTATTTGCCCCTATACTCTGCGAATAGCAAAATACAGCCCGATCATATTTCGTGAGAAGAAGAGTGGACCCAGAGACAACGACCTTTCAAGCCTCATTGAAGAGCATTATATCCTCTCCGCCATCAGAACAGCCCGACCATGCCTTACGTCGAAGATTATACGGAGCACGAATACGGAGACGCACACTTTGACGAGAGCCAGGAATCCAACGGCGACGGCGATGAAAATTTCGACGACGGTTGGTACGGCGATGACAATGAAGTTAATGGCGACTATCAGCAGCATGGGAGAACGAACGGTCATCATGAGCCGAATGGCAACCAGGACAACGGAGATGACGGAGCACGCTGGCCCCATGCTGACAAGTCAAACGCCGATCTGGACATGTTGGTCGATTATGTTATATCCAAAGCTATTGAGTTGGGAGTGGTCAGTGACAGTGAAGCGGACGATTCAGACGAACATGACGACCTGCCGTAAATTTACTCGGCTGAACAGATTCTGGATTCTTACCAATTAGTGTGCCAAACTGTAAGACGGTGACAATATGCATGCTAATCTTCGCTGGGTGTCTGTTGGGCGTCCCTACGTCGTCGCCACGAACGTTCGTGTCATTGATGGTGTTGATTAAAGAACAGCAATCCAACGAGTCCCAGGAAGCCGAGGCAGACGAGGAAGACGTAGCGCGGCCCGGCTTGTTGTCCGTGTGAGGGGCATCGTGGGGGCATCGTGGGGTGTCGAGAAAAAAGAAGCGAGAAAGGGAGAGTTCTGGCACTGGGTGATGGCCGGAGTCACTGCCGAGATAGCCATACTCAAATAAAAGGCCCAGAAGGTCGATGCTTGCAAGGGCTAAACCTATCCAGAGTCCATGGTGGCGACTCGATCAATCTTCGGGAGGATAGATACTTCTTGGAACATCACAGCTTGTGGACGAGGCTGAGAGCAACATTCAACCTGTCCCACGCCTTGTAGACCAACAACGAGTAAGCGTGCGCAAGGAGTGCGAAACATGCAGGAAAAGAGGACGGCTCAGCTGGAAGGAGGAAAAAAGGAGTAAACATTTCCATCTGACACACTGCTTCGCGTGCTTTTCCAGAAGAACAAGACCATGTATTCAAGATATTCATAAATGCTCATTCGCCTGCGTCAATCTTTTCAACCCAACTTTTCCTGCTCTTTCATATACTCGACATACTCCCGGACAGCCTCCTCGAAGCTCGCGGGCTCCTTGAAGCCCAACTTGACCGCGAGGCTGTTGTCATAATTATACGCCCACGAGTACAAGATGCGCGCCTGGAACTCATCATGCTCCTCCTTGATATACTTCAACTTATCCTCGCCGCCGACTTTGGCCAGGGCGTCCATCATCTGCTGAATCGTCACGCAGATCCCGGGGGCATTGACGACGCGCTTGTGCGGCGGGAGGGCATCGCTCTTGAGCGTGAGAGCATAGACGAGATTCCAGATCAGCGTCTTGGGCGAGCACACGTTGCTGGGGAACTTCCGGTCCTGCACGGGGACAATGCACTCCTTCCCCGCCAGCGGTTCGCGGACGATGCCCGAAATGAAGGCGCTCGCCGCGGGGGCGGGCTTGCCCGGCCGCACCGAAATGGTCGGGAAGCGCAGCGTCACGGCGTCGATGAAGCCCTTGCGGTTCATGTCGTTGATCAGCACTTCGCACATGAGCTTCGCCGCGCCGTACGAGCCCTCGGGCGTCGGCAGCACGGACTCGGTGATCACGTCGGGCAGGGGTCGACCGTACACGGCTTGGCTGGATGCGTAGATGACTCGCAACCCGGGCCGGACGTGGCGGATCGTGTCGAGTAGGAGTCGCGTGCTCTCGAGGTTGACGCTCATGCCGAGGTCGTAGTTGGCTTCACTACCCGACGACATGATTCCGTGGAAGATGTAGACGGCGTCGAGGTCCGGCGTGATGACGCTGCGGTCTTTGAGCAGGTCCGTCTTAATGCATGTCGCGTTGCCTGGGTTTTGGGCGCCTTTGGGGACGGGAACGTCGACGATGTCGGTCAGGACGACTTTGTGCTCCGGGTTGGACAGGAGTTCGCGGGCCAGGAATTGGCCCAAGAAGCCGCCGGCGCCGGTGATGAGGATCTTCATGTTGGAAGCGACAGTAGAGACTTTTTATTTTTCGTTCGTGTTAAGTGTAAGGTATTCTTCTCTTTCCTGACGGATGTAGTTCTTCGTATTCGCTTGAAGCAGTACGCTGTGCACGAGTCTTCGATGGTTGCTGGCGAGGCTGTTGTCTGCTTGGAGCACTCACACTCACACTTTGATAATCGGTATATTTATTGTGGCCTGAAAATCGTCTTAGTCAAGCGGTTTTGTTTCTTTCCGGATTTCCTACCGTCAAATCCTAGTCACAAGTAGCGACGCTCAAAAGTCTTTTATTTCGGTCGGATATTCCGTACCCTTGGTTGTTCCTCCACTTGGAGAATCATCACAATGAGGCATCGGCAACGATCGGTGTTTGATGCCGGCAATGGAGGAGCAGACGAAGTTGGTGACACCACCCCACCGAGTGACACCCACGCAGTGACACCCAGTGAGGGGCATGATGGGGATAGAGATTTGGGGGTCTTCGGCGAGGGCATCATCATGGATCATACGGTTCTGGCCAATATCTGTACATCGTAAACACTTCGCTGTACTGCTCGTAGAATCTAGCCGACACCATTGGGATGAGGTGGATGAGTTAAAAGCAATACAGCGGCTAAATGGTATCACACATCACACTTCTTGCAGCATTAAACTGAGACAACACTTCTCCTCCCTTCATATCATGATGCATAACCAACTCTCGTCGCTTCTTTAGGTATGGGAATGCGCGAATGTGCTGCTCCGGGATGGAAATCCCTGCTGCCCATCCTGGGCAACTGCAGCGTCTCATCACTGCTGCTCTGGTCTCTCGTCTGTGCACTTCTGCTGCTGGTCGTAATGATGGTATTCCAGGGCGGTCGCTCATCTTCATATATCGACCCCTCGTCAGTATCGCTGGGTGACTCCAATTGTGATCCCGACCCGAGTCCATCATGCTGGTCTTCGAATTGGGGTGGATTGATTATGGATGCTCGTTTCGGTGGAGGATACATGTTTGCTTGTGCCCTCAACCTTGCAGCCTTTACACTTCCACTTCTTGTCGGCGGCCTCGCGTCGGTCGCCGGTTGTTGTACTCGCAGGCCAATGTAAACCGGACGTGACTGCTGTGTTGCCGTTTGAATTTCTGCATTCGGTAGAGCAGTCAACCCAGCATCACCAGCCACGGGCGGCATAGGCCAGTTTTCGGTCCTTGGTGTCGAGTTGGCAAGGGTACGAGCGTGGTCCGAGAAAGGATTGGACGGCGTTTCCGAGCCGCCGGTACTTCGCTTGTAAACTTGCATTGGAATCATCTTTTTGCCATCCCGGCTGGCTCGGAGCTCGAAATGCCTCGTATCGTCCTGCTCAATGTCGTGCAGGAAACCTCTCTCCCTAGGTTCTATTTCGTCTCCGCCATATGCGACGCCGATCCTCTCAACATCATCGACAGCCACGTCCACGCTCATTGGCGTCTTGGTCGTCTCGGAAACCCAGGTCCCTTTGTTTCCTGTTTGATCATGATAATCCATGCGACGTCTGGAGCTCCTTGCGAGACTTCCGATCGAATCAACGAAGAAACGTCGGAAGAACGGCTTCAAACCAGGTGCGCTCGCCGCAAAGAGCGCCAGATACAGTTCAAGCAGGGCCCAAATCCAGGTGACCCAGAGTTCCCAGGAAAAGTCGTAGTTCACATTCAACAAGTCGTACAGAAGCACCGTCCTCACGATGCCTGCCGCAACGGCCATGAATCCAAGGGCGAACAACAAATACAAGGCTATCTTCTGTCTGGGAGGGAGATCCAGATGGTAGACCAGTATCAGTGGCAGCAGCGTACTGTAAAAATCACCCAGCACACTGAATGCGGCTGATGTTGGGAGCGCGACACTTTCGTTGGCGCAATGCGACTTGTGTGTAGCTGCCCAGACGGGGTCAAAACTCTCCCAGTATGACTGGAGGGGGTCGCACAGAAGGAGCAGTGTCAGACCAAAGGCCACGAAGTACAGGATGTTGTACGCGATGCCGATCCAGGTGGCAATCAAGAAAGCTTTGCTGAACTTGACGCTGAGTCGGCGATAGAAGAGGAGGACACTGACTTTGATCAAGCTAATTGCAACGATATAACACCACAAGCTGATCCAGATATTAAGACGGTTTCCGACAAAAGTCTCGGCGGGAATGTCCCAGACATGTCGACCAGTGTGGTAGACTTTGTTGCTGATGATGACCAAGACGGACAGGGCAATGAGGAACAGAAGAGCGATGACCACGAGGAGGTCGTCCCATCCTGGTGCTTTTGTAATGAACACTCGAGAGTAGATTCGAGCCGTGACAATTGTGGTGCCAAGGGCGGCAAAGATGATGCAAACATATTCAAGAGCAGGTCCCCTTGTCTCGGGATTAATATAATTCGGTTTCGGCCATGTCGCAATGACGGACGGCGGAGCTGGTTTGGCGAGTTAATAAGGTCCGCGTGCGCCTGGTGCTGTACTCACGGTGCAATGTATCAACCATGTTCTGTGTGTATGTAGCGGTTGGGATACAATCAAGCGTCTTTCGTCAAAGAGGTACCGGCCTCTATCATTGCGGTTCAATGTCGCATTGTGGTTTCGACTTTGCATGTGCTGAGTCCGGCTGGGGCAGTCAGGCTGACGATTGCTGCGGTAAAGAGAAAGGACCTGCGCAGTTGATGGCAAGAGTGTTGGCAGCGGCAGCCCCAAGGCTAGGGTATCAAATGGCGTATGCGATAAATCATAAGAGGTCAAGTGAAAAGAGAGAAAGCAAGTAAGATGGAATCGCAACGACAGATCAGCCGGACTCTGCCTTGAGATATTCGGATTGGGGCTAAATGGGACAGCGGCTCAAGCTGGTGTTGATTGGATCACCGTGTTAGACCTCCTGCGAGGACGCTACTGTACCTCCCGCCGCGAAAAAGGCAATCCCTTGACGCCTCTTGCGACAAAGCCTCCATGCCAGAGGGACGCTTCTGGGAATAGTGGTGACTGGGGCACCAGGCTTGCGCTGAGGTGAGTTGGATCCAGGCGAGTGCGGATTGAAGATTCAGGGGAAGCATCTCCACCATCGAGCAGAATCCACCACGCGAATAGGCTGGACGGGAGGTTGGATCCTCTAGCTCCATCACGTTTTGGAAATCTCGTCAAGCCCGTTCCTGGAACCTGCATGGTTTCGGTAAATGAGCGACGAAACTACTTGCCATAATAGCGGTAAGGGCGCGGGGAAGACAGGGAGAGGCGAAGTTATTGCTCGTTGGCTTGCAGAAGGTTGAAGCCTGAAGGGTACAATAAATGGACGGCCTAACTAGTGTGCCAGCCAGTGTGTGCCTCAGTCCGTACTGTATCGAGTCTTGAGCAGGCCGGAACGGTGTGGCATGTCGCTTGCATGCAGGCTGTTTCTTGAACGAAGCCTGAACGGAACCCAAACCTGTTCGTGGTGAGATCTGGAATCTGTCTAGGGAGTAGAAGTCCTGTCAGTTGGGCACCATCATGCACCTTGTCGGCGTTGCTTTTTCCGTTGCAGATGCCAGAACCAGTACGAAGTATGGGAGTATGGATAGGAATAAAAAGACTCACTTCCTGAGACGTTCTCGAAGCGCAAAGAGCATGGTTTTCATAACAAGTACCTTCGGTTGCATAGATTCCAATTTATTACGACACAAGGAGTGCTCGAAGACGGTGACATTCCCACGCATTCCTTACAGGCATCATCCAGGCCCGCACGAGGTCATCAGCGGTCCTGACTAGGCTATCGAGGCCATGAGTAACCCCTGTGGGCTAGTATTCGTAGGCCCGTAGGCGGAGGACTCAGAATGGCAGGCGCCATCGTTGGCACTGAGTGGCACCTGCAGAAGCTGTCAACCCACCGAAAAGGTCACCAGCCATCAACTGTTTGCTGATCCCTCGCCTAAAATGCTCTAAATTCTCACTCGACTTGAACTCTGCCTCCATCATCGTCCCAAGGATCAATCGTGAAACAAACGAACTTGACGCAATTCGTCCCATGAAGATCCGCACAGTGACTAGCCACCTAGCCCGTCGAGCCTTACCCACGCACGCACACGACAATCCTGATTCCTGGTGGGATAACACCGTAGAGATTTTCTTCATGGAATACCTTGCATCTCATAATCAAGGGATTCTAGTACACGGCGAGGTGGATGCGTTGACAGGCGTCAACTACGGAGTATTGCTCGCTGGATTTGATTGTGGCTATTGCATACTACTCAAAAGCATACACGGCATGAGTACACCATATCCAGTCCGGCGCTCTTAGACGCACTGTACAATTTTCACATCATGTATTCATACTAGATTAGTATCTCTTTCCTTTTCGATTTCATTTCACCTCCTCTCGATCAGAGTTTTACAACTTTGCTACCGGCTGCGATGATCCCACAGTGGTGATCTCATTGTACAGCAGACTGGAAGACAAGTCAGTAAGTCGAGCCACACCCGAAACAATCACGACGACATACCTTGTCAAGAAGTCTGCATAATCTTCACCCGTCACTTGACCCTCAAAATACCTGGCAGCAAGTTGGTACTTGTTGCCCTTGGGTGCCTTGGAGGCCAACTCATCGGCCTGTTCTTTCAACAACTTGAGAGCATAGGCCTTATCAACCGTCTTGCCCTCTGCCGTCTTGACACCGTGCTTCACCCATTGCCAGAGCTGTGACCGTGAGACTTCAGCAGTGGCGGCATCTTCCATGAGATAGTTGATGGGCACACAGCCAACGCCTCGGAGCCAGCCTTCCATGTAACCCAGACCGATATTGAGATTCTTCCTGATGCCGTCTTCGGTCACGGAGCCCGGAACATTGGTGTTCAGCAAATCGTTCCTGGTGACGTGGACATCCTCACGACGTTTGTACATCTGGTTAGGGGCTGGCATGTGCTTGTTAAAGACTTCGGCTGCAATCGCTGCAAGAGCGGGATGAGCAACCCATGTGCCGTCGTGACCAGCCAGGACTTCACGGAGCTTGTCCTGTCGGACCTTATCCATTGCCTTGTCATTGGCTTCCTTGTTGTCCTTGATAGGGATCTGAGCAGCCATACCACCCATGGCATGCACGCCACGACGATGGCAAGTCTTGATCAAGAGTCGAACATATGCGTCCATGAAAGGAACAGTCATGGTGACATCGTCTCGGTTGGGGAGCACAAACTGCGGGTGTTGGCGAAGTTTCTTGACCCATGAGAACAAATAGTCCCACCTTCCGCAGTTCAGGCCGGCAGAGTGATCGCGGAGCTCGTAAATGATCTCGTCCATCTCAAAAGCAGCCAAGATGGTCTCGATCAAAACGGTGCCTCGGATGGTGCCTCGAGGCATGCCAATGTAGTCTTGGGAAAGGTTAAAGACGTCGTTCCAGAGTCTCGCTTCAAGATGCGATTCCATCTTGGGCAGGTAGAAGTAAGGGCCTGTGCCTCGCTTGACGAGTTCGTAGGCGTTCGAGAAAAAATACAGACCAAAGTCAAACAACGAACCAGAAATGGGTTCGCCATCGACAGTGAAATGCTTCTCTTCGAGATGCCAGCCTCGTGGTCTGGCAATGAGCGTAGGCAATACTCTGTCCGTGCGCAGCTTATACTCTTTCTCTCCTGCCTTGAAGTCAATCTGCTTCCTGATGGCGTCGTACAGGTTGACCTGGCCGGACACTTGATCTGTGTATGGAATCAGAAGGCTGTAGCGGTAGATTCGGGGAGGAGGGAAACCTACTGTCCCATGTAGGTGCTTGCGCGTCTGTAACGATGTAGGTTAGCTCAAAGAGTCTGCGGAAGAATGGCGATAGCTCTTACCCTCAAAGTCGGCCATATATGTCCACACTTGCGAATTCAACGCGTTAACCACCATCTTGCGATCGGTAGGACCCTATTTCGTGTCAACAGGAAAGAATTCGGCAGGTGCTGGTCTGTACCACTCACTGTGATCTCGAGACGTCGATCCACTGCATTTCGTCAGAAGGTTGTTCCAATGTAGGCGGGTTATGAACCAACATACCGAGTCCGGGAGCTGGAGGAGCGCCCTTCCAACTGTCTGAATCCCTAATATGCTTTGTTTCCGGTAGAAAGTCTGGTAGCACACCACGGTCGAGTTCTTGTTGTCTAATTTCCCGTCTCTTGAGCAGCTCTTTTCTCGTCGAATTGAATGTGCGATGCAACAGAGCGAGGAAGGCGGTAGCTTCGGGGGTGAGGATCTTCCGGTGAGAATCCTTGATGGGGCCATTGATGGCGACGCCCTCGTTAATCTGCTCAATAGTAGCCATGATGAATATGACGGCAGTAAGATTTGAAAGAAAGCCGGAGGGGAAGAGAGAGAGATGCAAAGGCTTGAGATGGTGATGGAGGGGCCGGGAAAGAGGAGGTCTGATATAATATAGTGAAATACGTCAGCGCAGACAAACACATGTGAGCTCAACCGCGGCCCCAAGGCCGGCGCACTTCTCAGGTTGGAGGGACACAGACGTGACAGACCCAATCATCGAGCAACAAACAGCCAGAAGCCGGGGAAGTGGATGGCACAGACGCCAACAGCTTCAATCGCTTGTGGAGTAAATCGTAGTGGTTGGCGATCGACCGACACGGAGGAGTCTCTGAACATCTTCCCATTTCTCCGGCCTGCATCTACTTGCGTCACTCTTATCTCAAATAATCGCCCTTCGCTTCTCGAATTGAAGCAGCATCGACACTGCAGCTTTCTTTGTTGATGTGCAAAAGTTGTCGCGGCTGGCACCTAGGCGGTTGGAGACAGAGACTCATCGATCGCTGGTACGAGTAGTGGCTGTCTTGTCCGAGTGGAAAACTCGCCGGCAAAGCTGAACCACTAGTGACGCTTTCAGCATTTGCCGAGGTTGCTTCCATGAATGGTCTGATCATGGTCTGCGGAAGGAGCCAATGGGCGTCAACAACTTCTTCCGTTCCCTCTCCGAATCATTCCGAACCTTCTACGGTGGACTTTTACGTCGGGTAATGAATGAACAATTTCCGATCGAGGCGGTCTTTCAGTACGTCAAGCCTCTACTCCGTAGATTTGGAGCAGTTGTGGACATGAGCATGGCAAGACATACATTGAAACGCGGGTATCAGTAGTAAAGCTCAGCTAAGTACAGATGGTCTTGCTGTCGGATCCGACGAAAATCTCCACGTCTCGCTTTCACATCCACTCAATCCATCTCTTTTTCTTGAGAGCTCTTCACAGTCTCTTCAGGTGTATTGCCAGGCAGCAAAGGCTTGGGCAGAATCGAGAGCTATCGCTCCAAATGGCAAACAGTCCGTTACATTCCCTCCCGGAACCGTGGCGTTCTGCATATTTGCAAAAACTTGCCAGGTATTGCCCTCTGTTGGGCACGCCATGAAGCCTGTTGCCCCAAACGCCTGGGTGCTCAGCATCCCGAATGGTGCATCCTGCCTCTTTCTGTAGACGAACGGACAAAGGATCGAGCCGACCGGCCTGAAGGAAGAATGTGCTTGGGTATAGCCGATTTCACCGTGCGGCGTAACGTAGATTTGCTGACCACCTGGAACAACCACCGCCTGTTACCGGAATCAGTGGATGTCCGCCACAAAGCAGAGACAACTTACCATGTTACAGAGAGAGAAGACCGTCTCGTTGCCAGCCGGACACGCTCCGATCTGATCTACCTGAGACGGGCAATATGACAAGGTATCTCCCCCGAGGTAGAATCGCAAGCCGGCAGCATTCATGCGGAGATAGTCAATTGCGGAACCGCTTCTAACAGAAACGACCGTGATGGGCGTAGTGGGAGTCGTGATGGCGCCACTGGTGGCAGAGGTAGTGGTTGAGCTGGCAGTGCTGGTTGAGGTGGAACGGGTTGTGCTCAAGCTGGACGCAGTGCTGTTGCTGAAACCGCAGCCGCCAGCGTAGCCATACGGCACTCCAGTGCAGAGGGCGGCACCTCCCTGTGGATGGGGCGAGGCCGAAGCAAGAGCAGGAAGAACAGAGATCGCTGCGGAGTTGAAGAAGCGCATGTTGAAAAGTGGTTGAAAAGCCGACAATGAGAGAAAAGAGTGAGATCTTTTTGATTCACAGAACGAACGAACCTGCTGAAGAGAAGAGAGCGTGATTTGGAAGATGATGAGGATCTCAAATATAAAGAAGATGAGGTAGGTCTGGCATTGCAGAATATTTCCCCCCTCGACGGGCCCTTGCAGCTTCCAGATCATTTTGTGCTACTTTCCAAAACCACGCCAACAGCATCGAGTCTATGAAATCTCGGACTGAGGCCAAGATCTCGGAGATTCAAAAGGCATCTCTGGGCGAGGAGCTGGATCAACAGATGGTGAGCTGCATATGACAGTTACATCCTCAGCCTTGTTCACCATGGATCTTATCCCTCTTTGCTTCCCGCTTCACACCCTTTCTCCATGGCTGCGGATACCCACACTATCCCTCTGATTTTACTCCGATTCGATATCATACACCATCCGCACTTGAATCTCTTTCCCGTCTTCGGTTGTGACCTTGATGCACTGTGTGTGCCGACGGATCTTGTCTACTTCCTCAAGCCCACAGATGCGTGGCTGTCCAAGCATCGTCCGGCTTCTTGCCTATGGCCTGAACCAGCTTGCCGTCGCTGTCGTCCTCCTTCCAATCCCCCTGCGCCCCGTTGTCCTTGGCCTCTTGTTAACTGATCCATCTGCTCCGGCCTTCGATATCCCCGAAGAAGGCGTCGTGACTGTTACGCCGTTTCCAGTCCAAGATGTATTTCTCGGTCGTCCCCGGAATTGAAGCTGCTGTTGCAGTCTGTTCCATCTGCAAGTCATTCTCGGACGGCTGCTTAATTTTCAAATGCATCGAGGCCACGCTAGTAGCTTTGCGTATCATGACATTAACACCTTGAGGGCCAGAACCTGAGCGAAACCATCTGACAGTGACTTGTTCATTGTCCACTTTCCGGCCAGATTTGTAGAGTCTTCTCCGGAGGGGTTGCCATGACCGCTCTTGGGCTTTGCACAGCTGGTAGGGCATCGTAGTTATACTTGGAAACCACAATATCACCTGTGAGATATGCTGGTCATCGCATACGCAATATCGTCATGACTCGCGTATGCCAGGACATCTTCATGACAGTCATCCAGACTCCGTGATCAAAGCCTCTGCTCCTAATGCATCCAGACGTTGCCGGTTATTTTGCCAATTGATCCAAGCCAGGCCTTGTAGAAAAGAGTCGGCTAAGTCGTCCAGCTTGGAAATGCCTTTGCTCTCCCCTCGTTTTGTCCGAACTTCTTTCTTCCAGACCGAGACGAATTGTTGTACGAGTGGTTGTAGGCCTTCAGCCATAATTACCCTTGCAGTTGAAGATTGGCCTTCCAGAATATTGCCCACCAGGTCGATTTTTGCTCGCTTGACGTCTCGGCCCGTCAATTTCTTCCCGGAGACGGGCACGGTTCTGTCAGGACCTTCAAGCCAGTACCTGTTAACCTGGGTAGGCTGCATTGGCTCTACAACCAGCTTGACCTTTCTGCTTTCAACCAATGTCCGTAGGACCGCGTAAAGCATGCCTTCGAAGACGCCTACCCGTATCGTCCACTCAGGCACAGCTGCTCGACCTCCAGAACGGAACCTTTGCCTCTCGATCAGGACATAGTTTGGTTTGTAGGTCTGCAGCATGTGGTTGACCAGGTTATAGGCATGCCCAGCATAGTCGATAGGTTCGAATGATTCTTTTGTGACATTGTCAAGCAAGCCTGCCGCTGTTCGCACTTCACTTATCGGATCACCTACGATTCCCGGACTGAGACCATCTTTTGATCCCTTTGGTGCCTGAGAGACGGCAACACGGTGCCAAGCGTGCAACTCTGGTAGACCATAGAGACAAGTGGTCTCGGTAGCGGGTTTTGCCGTGAAATGAGCAAAAGCAAGATTTCTGATTCCCATGTCAATGCTCAGGAGGCTCAGCTGGTCTCCCTTGCATCTCTTCGTGCTCGATATGGCCTCTCTGATGCCTTGTACGCGTATAGCTTTCGTTCCCGAACAAGGTGAACCAATCGAACCTGCCAGTCGATGTAGCTTGTCGAGCGTCAACGCTTCCAGCCAGGTCTTCGACGCGGTCATCCCAACTAGCCACGAGTCCGGTCCCGCCACCGTAGTCTACGTATCCGGCATCATGTAAGGTTCCCCAGTCTCATCGATGTCTTTAGATGCTCATTTTCATTGCAACGTCGACCGCTATATGCGTTTCGCCGCTGATGTTGAAGAATCTAATGATGGACGTCTCGGTTTCGGAAAGGAAACGCGTCTATCGAGCGCGGTCACGTGGAGGTCTTCAACTCTGCACCACTCACGACCACCACATCTACCTACCTTAGGTGAACACTCACTCTTATGCGCTGGAAGATTGGGAAAGTGAACAGCTCATGGCAAGAAACAGACATATTACAGTATTATGAGATGATGCTACCCTGACCCCGAATAAAAGTTGGTAATGTACAAAGCTCCCCACCCAAAGTTCTATCCTGTGATAACGCCCTTTTTCCATCGCAAGCAAAAGGGGTATCTTCAGGAGTGTCCCTCATGTGTTACAGATCAACAGGAATGTCGTCACTTTCCGATGCCTCAGAAATGCTGTCAATGCCGCCGTCCAATATATCTCCATCCTGCGCCAAATAAACCAAATTTTTCCATACCCGCAGGTTGAGAACCGCAATGTGGGCCAACATCCGGGCCATGCCATCAATATGGGGCAAGTTTCGCCATTGTTGTTTTTGTTGCTGAACCTGGTGCCATTGCTTCTGAGCTTGGGATATATTCAGACTTGTCATGTTCTGAAACTCAATTGCATGCTTATGTGCATTCTTTTCAAGAAGTCCGGCTATTTCTCTGGCCACGGCGTGATCACGCTCCTCTGTGTCGAATCTTTCCCTCAACAACGCCGTGGTCTCAGCAACGTCTTTTTCAGAAATTGGCAACGCCGGTCGGCAGGCGTAGAAGGCAGCACGGGTAAGCTCAACACCGATGGGGGTGGCATGTCGCAACCACACCTCCGAAATGAATGTGTCAGGACCCATGTTACCCTCCGTCAAATCCATCAGCCGGTTGTGTAGAAGACTGCGTGTCTCTTTCCTTCGGTTTTGCGTCAGCTTCCGAGAGGTCGGGTCCTTACTGCGAGCCTCGCAAGGCTGCTGATGTACAAGGGTGTCGTAGACCGAGAGTGATATTTTGAGATGGACAATGTCCTGGATCTCTTCACGGATTGTCTTCAGTCGAGACCTATCGTGCTTCAGGGTCTCCGGGATATCTCGATCTGAGGAGATGCAGAGTTCAGTTAACCCGTGCACCAATGCCCCAAGGGCTATCGTCCGAGGCGTCTGGCCTGCCGTCGGACACTGCTGATGTTTTTGACTCGCATCGAGGTACCATTCCCGGGATCGGTTCACATTCAACTTTTCGTTGGCAATGCGTAATCGGAAGTATTCCTGTTGGAATGCCACGGTGTCGTCAATCAGATGGTAGCGGAAGCTTCGGATCTGATGATTCGCAACGTCTAGCTTCATGGCTTCCAGAAATGCAAAAAGCTTCTCGATCCCGGTAACAAGAGCGTGTAGGTCTCCTCTCTCTGCACCTTCCCGTATCTGTTCAGCCATCTCTTGGGCAGAATCGTCCCTCATAGGAGCGCAGTGAGTCGTGAGGAGCACGCACAGCCAGCGCGCTAGACGAACGACGTCCAGCAGGCCATGAGATACTTCTTGCAGGAGCAAAGAGATGTCAAGATATTGGACGATCTGATCTTGATCCCGGTCAGGGACCAAGATGGCGAGTAGCTCCTTGAGCGTCAGAAACATCTGACGCAACCTTGGGGTGAAATATCGCGGCTCCACTGGGGAGGAAGGACATGCTTCCTGACAGCATGAACAAGACACCAGGAGATTGTGTTGATATACTATCCTCAATTCAGCTTCCAGACTCAACCAATATTTCTTTGCTTCTTGTCTCTTCTGCTCCCCTTTGTGCCCAGAGACAGGCATGAAATGGAGATCGTGGTCATAATTAATGTCGACTCTGAGGTTGATGTTTGATTGAATCCACATCAGATCCAATTCCTCCAAGGACTCTTTCGTCACGGGCGGCATCAGCGTGGCATGAAGAAGAGCATCGACATCGTCTTCGGTCGTACACGCGGGTATTCTGATCCGCTCACGGACACCGTCCCTTTCGCCCTTCTTGTCTTCAGGCTGTAGTAAAGGTGGCTCACTGAGCGGGACCTGCCCGTCTGCCTGAACGGTCTCGAAGACATCTTGAAATGAAGACTTGTCCGAGAGGGAACCCGTCCCATGAGAAAAATCGCGACCGTCCTCGGGGTGACTATCCCCTTTTGGAGGAATGTCTAACCCGAGATGCATCGTCGATTTCATGGTCGTTGGCTTCGACGACGAAGAGGCCGTGGTGGATTGATATGTTGTGGCTGCAGGACTGCGCCTGTCTGTTATAGGAACTCTTCTAGAGGCTTTTGACCCACTAGCCGCGTTTTCCTGGTCGTGGTGCATCCCATTGTCGCTGCCTTCTTCGCCGCATTCTTCTGATTCCCCCATGTAAAGCTCCTACAACAGAAAAGTTCATCTCATTGGCGCATCATTTTCCGCATGTGGCCCTTCGTGGAGTCTCTAGAGACAAAGAGGGGTTCTGTCAGACCTCGATATAGGTCCGTGGGAGCTTGTAGTTTTCGTTCGCGTATCAGAACACGGGGAGGCGGATACTGTCCGACAAGGCGGTTCACAGCATCTGTTTGCCAATGAGCACAGCGTTGGCCAGAGAGCGCTTCAGATGCACACCTCCACTAGCGGTAACGGGTCGCATATGCAGTCTAACCGTGCATGTTCCGGGATATCTGAGCTTTTGCTGCGACGTTGAGGAGGCGAAGGGACGCGGTCCGGGAGGCTAGCGGCAGCAAGGCATGCAATCCAATGCAGCTTGAAAAGTGTCCAATATATCAGGAGAGAGCGAGAACAAGCGAGAGATCCAACAGGCGCCTCGGTGCTCCGAACTTTTGTCCTGCTACAAAAGTGACAAGGAAGACAAGTGTCCAGAATCCTGGCTCAGTGAGCCTCATTTTGGTTTCGGAGTGGAAATCCTGGTGGTTTCTATTTTGCTGTCATTGAGCTTACCCTGTCCGTCCATCCAAGGGGGCGACCGGAAATTACGGCTGCCGAGTGGCTTGCTACAGCTGGCGACATGGCCTTGACTATGCGGCATCACCATTTTCTTGTCCTGCTCGCAGAGACATCCCACGGACGTTCCAGGTTGAGCACGGCAGGCTCTGTTTGATCGCTGGTTTTGTTATTGAAGGCTGACGATCCCACTCAGTCTTGGAGTTTCGAGCTACGGCGACGGCGTGCAGTGGTGGATCTCTGGCTACCCACACGCATGGTTCCTCCGGCCATGGCTAAGGTCGCTTTCAGCGTGCCGAGAGGCCAATGACAAACGCCAATTGCACGGCGAATACTCAAAATCAGGCAGGGCACACATCATGGGCGTGTGAGCCCGCTTTTCGACAAGCGTTTAAAGCCTTGCAGCGTTGATCAGGCTGATGAAAGGCGACCACTCATGACTTCCGTCACAGAACTTCGCCACTCCTCTATTCTGATCTGCCATAATGAGGCAACGATACTCCTATATATGTGTTTGGACTCCTTCAAGGGAGAATGGCAAAGATCATCGTCTGATGGATCTTGCGGCCCAAAATGAAGTGGGACAGGCGTTGCTCGCCAGTCGAGAGTACCACCCGGCCGCAGAACCGTTGCCAAACGTTGCGGCAATGCGGTCGCACAACCTGCAATGGTGAATGGGTCCGATTATGAGACCCCCTGATCCAGCGGCTTACGTCGGCCGAGTGTGACAGAGCGGGAGACGGCAGACGCGACACACACAGCGCTCATTAAGTTGTACACAGGTACGCAGCGTACTCGGTGCCGCCGACACTGTACCGGATATTTACTGCATGACGTAGGCTTTTGCTTATCTGAGTTCATCTATCATGCAAGATTCAAGGTCTGTATCTCAGTCTTTGGTGGCTTAAAGAAGCAACGACACAATCGCTCCAGCACCAGAAGAAATCACTGCCGTGGGATGATGCAAAGCGGCCAGGTCAAACCCAGCACGATGCCTTGGTGGAGGTTGACACAGAAATACGGGAAGTCGCCTGTCCACGAACTTTCATTTACAAATTCCTGTGACATCAACATTCGTCCTCGAGCCTTTCATCCAGCATACCCAAGGGCTCTCCACCATTACCGTCAGCAAAAGCAATTTTGACACCGAAGATTGAAAGTTGGATCCTATACATGATTGTGACATCGAGTGCGTTGTGATCTGTTCCAGTGGTGCTGTCTGCTCGAAGCCCGCTTCAGTGATAGCGTGGACGGCTAATTGCCTCACTTTTCTGCCACGGCTCGAATGGGTGGTAAGAGAAAATCCTGGCGAGCCAGCTGTCAGATAACGTGCCCGATGATCCAGGCTCCTATCTCCAGACTGCGAATCATTGGGACACAAATCAGCAAAGGCTTTCATAGCCACTAGCAAAATGATGGTTGATGGGTGGAAGTCCTCGTCGACCTCAATGGCATCCTGGTGCTTGGCCCTGTCTAACCCCCAACATACCTTCACACGGGTAGAGATGCTCCAGTGCGACGGATGTCCGTCTCGGTCAAATGACGCCAAGCTCTTTGTCTCTAAGCTTGGAGAGCGCATGGTCTAATCATGGCTGAGGACGTCCGATTCATTCTTCCGGACCGTGTCCCGCGATGCGTATAGTAGGACGAGGAGGGTCCAGAAAAGGAACATGCCTTGCCACCATCATACCTCAGTGTCTTACTTGAAGAGGAGCCCGCAGTATCATACGACTTGGGGCTATGTTTGATTATCTTCAATCAGCTATGGATCCTGGATCTTGACAACCACCTTTTGCGATCCGGCGGCACCGGACTTCTGGTGGTTGTAAGCCTTGACGGCGTCCTCGAATCCGCCATCGCCAACCAATTCATAATCCAGAGGCCGCAATTTGCCCGTCTCAATCAACCCAAGGATGACCGGGATGTACCTTTCAAGGTTCGCATTCAGTTCTTCGGCCTCCGGCCGCCCGACGCCTCCAAGCCTCACCAGATGTGTCTTGCCACCTTCGAAGTCGCCAATGCCGCTCCAGTCATTTGTTGTGGCGAAATATTTATCAGCCTCATTTGTCGCCTTGAACAGTTCTTTAGCCAGCAAGGGGTTGTCAGCTGCGGCCGCATCGAAGATCTTGGAAACTTTGCCCGAGGTGATGTCGAGGACTGCCTTCACTTGTTGATCTAGAGAAACTTTATAGTCGAAAGTCAATGCGCCAAGGTCTTTGACCGAAGCAGCCGACTTGGGAGAGCACGACGCAGCGACGTTGTAGCCGCACACTTTCGCCAGCTGAACAGCGCATTTACCGACACTGCTTGCACCACCAAGGATGATGATCCAATCATCGCCAGGCGCAGGGATATTCTTCGGGTCAGGCAGCGAGATTTTGAGGCCTTCGATCAATCCCAGGAATGCAGTTTCAGCAGCCACCCCCAATGTGGCAGCCTGAACGAGTGAGATATTCTTTGGTTTGTGCATGGTGACTTGGGCGTCCATGAGGAAATATTCCTGACAGGCTCCATATTCGGGGCAACCGAGCCTCGTGCAGCCAAAAACCTCATCACCAATCTTGAAGCCATACTTGGATTGTGCTTCTTCCCCTGCCTCCGCAACAATACCACCGGTATCGACGCCGAGGATGAGAGGCCACTTGACGACAAGGATACCATATTCACTCATAAAAGAATCGCTATGATCGAGTCAGAGATGATGAGAAGCACTTGCCGTCTCTCACATGGCCAAATCCCTTTTGGGCTGAGAGCTTGCCCGAGCATTAAAGAAGATGGGACTTACACAGGATTGATGGCTACATAGATTGATTTCACGAGTAGCTGGTCCGGTCCTGGCGACGGTTTCTCAAGGTCATCCACGACTTTGGCTTCAGCACCCTGGTGAGCAAAGACGACACCCTTCATGGTTGCAATTGTTGATAACTGTTGACGAGACTTGAACACGTAAGTGAGGTTGCAAGAACTTCAGGGTTTGGCTGCGTGGGCAGCAGTCCAAAGTATTCTTTATAAAAGATGTGTACCTGGGCAAGCAATGTCCTGTCTCTGGAAAGGTAGGCAACACAGCGCAGACGTATGACATCTCGTATTCACTTCATGGACTATACCGCCTAGAGTAAACAGCACTTTTGTCGGCACACATTTGGATGGGAAAGGTGGAAGCATCCTGATCCAATGATTAACACCACCCAGAGCTCTCACACCCAACCACCATGATCTTATAGGTCAAGCATGCGGACTCAGGTGAGTATAGCACAGATACGCGGAAGCATATCTCAGACATGCCAGGGTTCAGCAAGGAAGCATTCGTTGAACGCACTAAGGAGCTTACATAATGAACGGTAGTTGTCTTTGTAAAGCGATGTTGGTCTGGAATACGTCAAATACGAGGAGGGGTAGCCCAACGGTGGCCTTGGCAAATTGCGCTAGAGAGCCATCTGATGGGGAGATGTTATGAATCTGAACCATTGATATACCCTTGAAGTCAGTTTATTGAATGCAGCGGTGGAGGGGAGAAGAGAACAAGAGCTGGCTTGCTGGCTTCTGTCTACTTGTAGTTGCTGTAGTTAGTGCCTGTGGGTTCCTTCAATTTGGAGCCCCTACTCCGCCGGAATATCTACGGTGGCGCATATAAACACATAAAGCTGCCGACCCGGCGACCGAAGTTGTTGGACATATTCTCAACAACTCGTCCCAAAGTCTCGGATTTGTCCAACACACTCCTTCTGCGCAGACACGCGCTTGTCTGTCCTCATCCTCCTACTCTCTCAAGACGTACAGCTCTCCCCTTTTGTCACGGCCATCTTTCTCCCTCAGAACCGCCGCCATGGCGGGCAGACAGTCAGTGCGAGTGCTCGCACGGCAGCTCAAGTCCTCGTGCTCACATTCGCAACCTCAAACCCACCGGACATTCTCCTCTACATCCTCCTACCTCGCCGCGCATAATTTCACGATGCCCGCCATGTCCCCGACCATGACCGAGGGCAACATCTCCAGTTGGAAGGTCAAAGAAGGGGACTCGTACTCGACAGGTGACGTTCTGCTCGAAATCGAGACGGACAAAGCTACAATGGACGTTGAAGCACAAGATGATGGCGTGATGGCCAAGATATTTGCGCCAGAAGGTTCCAAGGCAGTCAAAGTCGGCACGCGGATAGCTGTCCTTGCTGACGCTGGTGACGACGTCTCCAGCCTTGAAATCCCTGCGGACGATTCCAAACCCGCAGAGTCGCCGGCAGACAACGTGCAAGGCGGAAAAGAGGACGGGAACAAATACGAGTCCTCGGGCATCGAAAAAGAAATCCCAGGCACACCGCAGCACAAGCGTCCGGCCAAGGACAAACCGAAGACGAGTCCCACCGGTCCAGGGCAGAACCCCAAATACCCTCTCTACCCGTCCGTTATTGCACTCATTCACGAGAACCACATCTCCGACGACGACGTGCTCAAAATCAGTGCCAGCGGTCCCAACGGTCGTCTTCTCAAAGGCGACGTGCTCGCGTACCTAGGCACGATTGAACCCGACTATGCGTCCAAACAATCCGAACGAATTGAGCACCTTGCCCATCTCGACCTGAGCAATATCAAACTCGGCCCAACACCAACAAAACCCGCCGGCACGCCGCCAACGACGGAAGCTGCGCCGTCCGTGCCCGAGAAGCCGAAACTCAGCAGTATCAGCATCACCATCTCACTCGCCGAGGTTCTCAAGGTGCAGAAGCGCATCAAGGACACTCTGGGCGTGTCCGTGCCTTTGTCCACGTTCCTCGCGCGAGCCGTCGACCTGGCCAACGACGACCTGCCGAACCCCAAGGGCACAAAGCCTTCTGCGAACGACCTGTTCAACGCTGTGCTAGGTCTGGATACGATACCGACAACATCACGAGGCACATATCTCCCTCAGATCGACGCGTTCTCTTTGCAATCCACACGATCCTCGCCGGCACGTAAACCCACGCCGGTCAAGAAACCCGACATCATCGACATCCTGTCCGGCAAGGCTGTGCCGAAGCGCGCGGCGCCGCGCTCGTCATCGTCCTCACTGGCGGCATCAACTGGCCGCAGTATATCAACCGCCGAAGGTGCATTGAACACCTTCAGCGTGACGGTGCCGGCAGGCGAAGAGAAGCGCGCAAAGACCTTCCTCGAGCGAGTCAAGACTGTCTTGCAGGTCGAACCGGGCAAGTTGATTCTCTGAAATGTTCGTGTCCCACGGTTTGGTTTGCTTGCGCCAGAGTCAGGATCACCGCAAGGGACACGGCCAGGGACGTTTCCCTGTGACTAGCCTTCCTGATTGGAAAAGAGCTGGTTTGCGCGCAGGGAGATGCGTCCGTCTCGTCTCAACGTGCACGCCGTGTATAGAAGGGGCTTTGAGCGAGCATGGGGTTATGTAGCAGCGTCCCTTAAGAGCTTGCACGTAGGCGCATACAAAGCACGGTTTCATCCACCACCTCAGGATCTGGTGATAAATGTCTTGTCCCTGGACTGATCTTGAGTTTTGATGTGTTGTGTGTTTCAATATTCATTGTGATTTCAACGACTAGGCTGTATCTGACGGTTTCCCTGCCCATTGTATCTGCAGTTGCACCCTGGCTAACGCTCACGGCTCTCAACTGACACCGACCTGTGACAAAATGTTCCCATTCACACACGATATGAACCTGACGCCAACGCTTGAAATTCCCGCCAAGCGAACATCATTTCCCATCCAGTTTGCTCCAGTGTTCGTTCACCCAGGTCTCACGGCATAAATTCGTCATAAACACTTGCTTATCAACTAGTGTGTCTCTGCTCTGGCTTACAGAGTCTGTTGGTCTGTTGAAGTTTCTCGCCACGTGAAATGGCTCCCAATATCGATGCAACAGCTAGATGATTCCTGCTGTAGGGGCAGCGGTCTGTAGGTGAAGATCGTTGGTTTCTGTGTATAACCCATATGCGAGACTTGGCCAGAAGTCCAGGCATAAGCGTGGACGTCGGAGGAGTTTCGTAAGCTGGGCGTGGTCTTCCCACAGCAAGGACACTATCATCGGATCGCTCCCCAATCACCTAGTTTCCCTGATATCCCATCGCTGTTGCGCCCTTCGTTGCCCTTCTTGCCAAAAACCCGCCAGAAGCGTAACGTTTCGTCTCCGGCTCCCGTCACGACAGTGGTACCATCCGGACTGGTGCTCAAATAAAGGACACGAAATGTGTGTCCGGTGAGACTGACAACTTGCTCCATTTTGGGATATTTCCAGACCACAATCTGATTCTGGCTGTAGCCATGCGTGCTTACAATTTCATCGCTGTTCTTGCTCCAGGCCAAATTGCAGACCTGGCTACCTGTGTCGACCTCTTTGATGAGGGAGCCATTTGCAGTGTTCCAAAATTTGATCGATCGATCTGCTGTCCCACCACCTGATGCCAACAGATGATGCTGATGAGGGCTCCAAGCAATTGCCTTCACCGCCGCAACATGGTTTGAGAATCGGTATAATGGTGTTTCTGAGAGTTTGTCCCAGACACAGAGCTTGTTGTCGTTGCCGCCTGAAGCAAGCTGTCCATCTTCAGTATTCCATCGCAGACCGCACACTTCCTGTTTGTGACCAGCCAATCTCCGTAAATATTGATCGGGACTTCGCACATCTCTATGATATATCAGGCGATCTCTTGAGCCCGATGTCAGGATATGGTCGTTCCAAGCCAACGCTCCCACTCGAGCCGAATGACCCGTCATTGTCCTTAATCTTCTCGACTTTTCAGCGTCGTAAATTTGCACAAAGCCTTTGTGTGTTCCAATGGCCAGATGTGACCCTCGTTGTATCCATGCCACAGACGTCACTAGGTCGTTATCTGGCAGCTTGCATAGTTGTGTGACTTTGCCGGTCGTACTGTTCCACATGTAGACACATGATCCCAGTCCTACCCCCAGTATGTCGGCCGATCCCCAGTCGACAAGATTGAGGTAAAAGTCGTCTGCCAACTCAGGAGCATCCAGCACTTTGTACGGTACTTTCGCTATGGGTCGAGGCTGTTTCCGCGGGGTCTGCAAGATTGATTGCGAGGAGTAGTTGATGGGTGATATTGAGTAGAGGTCCGACCTGGCGTTAAGATTGATGAGTCCCGGATGTTTCCCAGTCCTTGACGATGGAGTCGGATGCCCAGATCCTATCACTTTTTGAGGCGACTTGTAGGAGAACATGTTCTTGTGAGGAGTAGTGGGAGTTATTGAAGCAGGAGGCATAGCGGAGATGGAGGGTTGGCCAGGAGGAGTCTGTCTTCGTCCGAAGAGATCGTCCGGCGATATAGATCGGAAATCCTGAGGTACTGAGTCGCCCATCAGTTCGTTGCGGAGGACTTTTGAGTATGTTCTGTTTGCTTCTTCGGTACGTTGGAAATGGAGCTCGCCATGAGGAGTCTTCTTCTTCGACCGTGAGGGAGTCGCAGGTGATCCATCGTCATGCAATAAGCTGTAGCTCGCCTGCAGGTCTTGTCCGTCTCTGTTGGGTATAAATCTAACAAACCGAGTCAACCAAAGTTTCCACCGCATGATGAACATTCTCTACTTACCGATCTCCGTAGACTCGCTGTCTCTTCCGACTAGGACTCCGTCCTGGTGTTCTTTCTCTCTGTCTTCCTGCATGATCGAACTCTTTTAATCTCCTATTCAGAGCATCTGCTTCCATTGCTTCTGTCGCTCGTTGAACAGCTGACATGTTGCCGTCGCGCCCCGCGAATCGCTTGCTGGTTATTGTAGGAGGAGTTTTCGAGCCGACCGGAGTGGGCAATGTGGGCGTCAGTGGACGATCGATAGGATCAACTGTGGAAGGAGCTGTAGTCCCGTTGGCCATGGTGATCGTATTGTTCGTTGCGGAGTGATAGGGGAGGATTGTTGTTGTCGTTGTATGGGGGCAACCCTAAGTGAATGTCGAGTGACGCCAAGATGAAGGGAATAGCAACGCTGTTGACGGCGACGGGTTCCTGGAGGGGAGCGTAGTTGGATGTGTTCTGGGTTTGTTGGTGGTCTCCGCAACCGCGACCGCTGAACCGACGTGTGGATTACGGTAAAGAATGACTATGCGCGCTGGCGAGAATGAAGCATGATGAAAATATGTCGACTGATGCAGCTCGTTAGATAGGAGTCGAAATGCCTGAGTATGTGGAAGTGAAGGCGAGGTTGGTGTTGAGGCAGAACGAGTGAATCTGTTGTTTGCGTTCAGGATCGCCCAAAGCGCATTTACTCTGCACTGCAGTTTCACTCCGCCAAGCACAGCGCAAGGCCATCGCCTTGAGCCAAACCAGCCGTGCTGTCAAGACGGACAATGCTTTCCTTTCACCGCAGTGAGACAGTCTATAATAATCGGATTGTATTTTACGGAGTACTCTTGCCCTATTGCTTGCTGATTCCATCGAGGCACCTCTCGGAATAGTGAAGCTGGAAGAGCTCTGCTGCTGGGGCATCATAACAAACCACTTTACGCGGCCACTGTAGCGACCTTAGAGCTCCCAGACATCGCGTCTCTTTTGTTTTTGGGCGGCAAGGGAGCATTCCCATTTGTTTCAGCATCGTTCTCGAATCTGCCCTTCCCAGACTCCGTGTTGGGCGTTTGAACGACGCTTGCGGGGAGAAGAATGATTCGATGAGAGTAACGTTTCAGAAAGAGCAGCCCCCAAGCCTTGGGCGATCCCCCGGGCGATTAGCCTAGCCGCTGCAGGGCTGAGGACTCAGGACTGCCACTTGATAAGATGGAGCTTGGACCATTCATGAGTTGCGGACTCCAGCCTGCGCCTGCCAGATACAACATAGCCTTGCGCTGTTACCCAGAATACTAACAAGCATCCTTTACTTGCCCATTTCCTCTGTGATTACATGCTGCTGGGCTTGATCTTCAGAGGCCTGCCCAAGATAAAGACCTTTTCAACCATGGCCTGCCCTCACATCAAAGTCGCAGCCAATGATTTCCTCGACTTCGTCAATGCTTCCCCCACGCCGTTTCATGCAGTGAGGTCCGTCAAAGAAAGGTTAAGCAAGGCCGGGTTCCAAGAGATCAAGGTGAACTGCTTCCACACAATCGTACCCTCTGTAGATCTGACCTTAATTTCTTCAGGAGAAAGAATCATGGGCATCTACATGCCAGCCTGGTGGTAAATACTTCCTTACCCGAAACAGCTCTACCATTGTAGCCTTTGCAATTGGCAAGAAATGGAAGCCCGGCAACCCTATCTCCATGATTGGAGCTCACACCGACTCACCCTGCCTACGCATCAAGCCGGTCAGCAAGAAACAAGGCGACGGTTTTATTCAAGTTGGTGTGGAAACATACGGCGGCGGGCTGTGGCATACATGGTTCGATCGTGATTTGGGCATAGCAGGAAGAGCCATGGTAAGAGGGAAGGACGGTAATGTCGTTCAAAAGCTGGTTCGGGTTGACAAACCAATTCTGCGCATACCTACATTGGCAATCCATCTCGACCGCCAGGAGACGTTCTCCTTCAACAAAGAAACTCAGTTGTTCCCCATTGCCGGACTAGTCGCTGCCGAACTCAAGCGTCAAGACGAAAAACAGGACGAGGGCTCGAAAGAGGGTGAAGATGAACAATCCAAACCATTCACACCACTGAAGGCTATCACAACGAGGCATCATTCTCATATCGTCGAGTTGATTGCCTCGGATGCTGGGGTATCACCAGAAGATGTGATTGATTTTGAGATTGTTCTCTACGACACGCAAAAGGCATGTCTTGGGGGCTTGCAGGACGAGTTCATCTTCTCTGCAAGACTTGACAACCTTAATCAGACATACTGTGCAACTATGGGATTGATCAACTCGCTGCAGTCGGCTTCCGCCCTGGACGACGAATCCTCTATGCGCCTTGTCGCTTGTTTCGACCACGAAGAGATTGGCAGCATGACAGCACAGGGAGCATTTTCAATGATGTTACCTGCGATTATTCGACGACTTTCAGTGCTACCTTCCTCATCGTTCACAGAAAACGGCTCCGAAGAGTCTTATGATCATGCCACTGATCCGGAACTGTCTACAGCCTATGAGCAGACTCTTTCAAGCTCCTTCTTGCTGTCAGCAGACATGGCTCACTCAGTCAATCCCAACTACGGAGCCAAGTACGAGTCCGACCACAGACCGGAGATGAATCAAGGGCCTGTCATCAAGATCAACGCTAATGCCAGGTATGCTACAAATTCTCCAGGCATTGTTTTACTCCAAGAAGTTGCGAGAAAGGCCGCCAAGGTCATCGAGACCGATCCCGAGGGCGTACCTCTACAGCTTTTTGTAGTTCGAAATGACTCGAGCTGTGGAAGCACTATCGGTCCTATGTTGTCCGCTCATCTCGGTGCTCGAACTCTCGATCTTGGCAACCCACAACTTTCCATGCATAGTTGTCGTGAGACTGGTGGTGCCGATGATGTTCATCATGCTATCAGATTGTTCAGCAGTTTCTTCCAGCATTACTCCGCTCTGGAGAAGACGATACTGGTTGACTAATTCGCCCTGGGCTGTTGCTTGAGCGAGCGCCATGGATTGCAGTCAATTGGTAGGTTCAATAGCATCCTTAAATGCAAGAACACATGTTGACGCCTGTGCAGCGGCTGTATTTCTCTGCGGGACCTGCTTTGCTGTGTTGCGGGTCTTGGTCTTTACTCAGCTGTCATGGAGATGAATCATCGCCGACCATCTCCCAAAATTCAAGTCTATGCAGGTTGACCTGATTGTCAAGCCTTACTCCGTACTCATCTGCCAAATATTTGACATCGATAACGCAGGCTCGGTTGTCAGGGATGTGGAGTGCACCTCGAAAATCCCTGTTGATGTTTCCCCAACGATGATATAAGAACCGTAGTATAGCCGTGACACAATTCGCGATATTTCCTTTCGACACCAACCCAACACTTGTTTGACCTTCCCTATACCGCTCATCTCTGTGGCCATTGTTATCATGACAACGCCTGAGTACCTCACAGGCAACACGGAGGCCATTCGTCGATTCATAGACAAGTATGATGTCCGTTGTTTCTCCATCCTTGACCCCACCGAACCCAATGCCCCAGAGTCGCAAGCACGCTCGAACTCACATTAACTGCGTGACCAGGTCTTCCTATTCGATTGCGATGGCGTCCTCTGGTCTGGCGACCACCTCTTCCCCGGCGTCGTTCCCACACTGGACCTCATACGCAAAAAGAACAAGCAAGTGGTCTTCGTGACCAACAACTCGACCAAGTCAAGGCAAGACTACAGGAAGAAGCTGGAGAGCATGGGCATTCCTGCAACTGTGGAAGAAGTCTTTGGCTCGTCATACTCTGCAAGCATCTACATCTCACGGATCCTTCCACAACATCATCCACAACTGAAACAGAAGAACAAAGTCTTCGTCGTCGGCGAGGCAGGTATTGAAACCGAGCTGAAAGCCGAGGGAATATCACATATTGGCGGCACAGATCCTGCATATAGGCGTGAAGTAACTCCCGAAGACTACAAGCTGCTGGCTGCTGGGGACCCGTCAGTGCTAGATCCAGATGTCGGCGTCGTGCTCATGGGATTGGACTTCCACTTCAATTACCTGAAGATGTGCTACGCCTATCACTATATCAAGCGAGGAGCACTGTTTCTCGCCACAAATACCGACTCGACCCTTCCGTCCGCAGGAACCCTCTTTCCCGGCGCGGGGTCCATGTCTGCTCCACTGGTCAAGATGCTGGGTGGTCAGGAACCCATGGCATTCGGAAAACCGAACCAAGCCATGATGGACGCTATCGAGGGCAAGTTCCAGTTCGACAGAAGTAAGGCATGCATGATCGGCGACCGCGCCAATACCGATATCAAATTCGGCCTGGAAGGTCAACTTGGAGGCACTTTGGGCGTTTTGACGGGCGTTGCAACCAAGGAAGAGTTTCTGGAAGGCGATACACGGCCGCACTATTACGTGGATAAGCTGTCAGATCTGCTCGAAGGTGCAGAGGCATAAGACTATGGTGAGGAGGTGGACAGTGCTACCTCAAGAGGAGACCATGATAGACTACTGAGGAGAGCGGACGCCTTGATAGAGCGAAAGATGCATCAACCTACGCCACGGGCGACAGGACAGGGCGAACATCGACCCATAGACATCAGTAGACCTTACATTTTATATCATCACTCGTCAATGCATATGCATACACTTTACAGCTCACAGTAATGCCTTCCTATTCGACTCAACCTCGTCCCAGCCGTTTCATCTGCTCCCTCTGCCAGTTCTGTGAAGTTACTCCGCCGTCCGACCCAAGTGCCCACGTCCTTGCCCTGCGCATTTCCAAAGTATGCATACCGCTCAACCCAGTCACATTGATCCAGCCACGGTATGGCCTCATTCATGAACTTCTCGACTTCCTCGAGACTTGCCTCACCATCACCCATTGTTGAACAGGCGAACTCATTCACCCACAGCGGCAGCCCGTACGTGGCGTGCATGTCTTCTAGAAAGGCTCTCATATCTGCGAAGCACGGACCGTACCAATGCACGACCAGAAAATCGATCCCATCCTCACCTCCCAGCTGGGACAGAAACGAGCTGAGCCAGGGCTTACTCCTGCCAACGTCGCTGCTCATCCCCGGACTACCGAGCCTTAACCCGAACTTGTTCTTCGCGGGCAGGACGATGCGCCGCCACAAGTCCACCGCAGTCTCGACGCTGAGATTCGCTTGCTCGCTGATCTCGGGCTCGTTGAAGCCTAACAGAGCTTCAGCCTTGAGGCCGCGGTTCAAGAGGATGTCGCTGAGAAATGCGTCGACGTCCTTGGCATTACCTGCCGTGCGGACGCAGGGGATCCATTCGACTTCGACAGGCAGTGATTCAGGGACCCAGAGTTCCCAATTAAATACCCACGAGATCCGCCCGGAGCTGTAGTACGGTGCGTAGAGTTTGAATTGTGAGGCTGAGGAGTCCCAGGGCCAGCCAAGGCCACGTTTGCTTCGTGAGGCGGAAGGTGCTGACTGTTGTTGAGTGGACAGGGATTTGGGCTTACGCGGCGGCGGCGGCGGTGGTGGTCTGGCTTTGTCCTTGAGATCGTGGAGTTTGGAGTTGGTATCCGACAGCATTGTTGTTCAATCACGTAGCTGGAGGCTGCTGGAGCTTTCTTGTCTTACTACAATTGTGGTGGTGGTGGGGGAAGTATACTGTGTACAGTGCAGCAAGCTGTGTGGGTGCTGCTTTGTCAAAGATGTTTCAGCTTCGATGGTCACTGCGGATCGCCAAAAATGGTCGAAACTACCTTTGCTGTTGGCTGTTGGGTTCCAAGGTTGTTTGGCAGTTTGGATCCAGTTTGAGGCCCAATCTTTCCAGTTGCAGGCGAGGCAGACCCCGGGGGTTCTAGTGACTATAATTATCCATTTTGTCTCAGTCGGATCGCCGAGCCACATTCGCAATCAGCACTGCACGAGTGTGCACGCTGCCTGTTGCCGGAAGATGCGAATATGCCAGAGACCCAGTCGTGCCAGTACTGTCAGTAGTGTGACGGTGTCCTTGCCGATCGAGAACGGCTTACGACTGCTATCTTCACGGTTCTGGAAATTCTGTTGGGCTGGCTTGGTCGGTTCCCTGCTCTCTACGCAGAATCGCCTCGATCGCAATGACTTCATAGTGCAGCGGCTGCACGTGGAGGTCGCCAAAATGTCGCCGATCCAAGGACAAGGATACATCAGGATTGGAAATGATGCGCCGCACATGCATTGCTACTGACGCACCCACTTGACGTCTACACAGCCGTGACAGTATCTTCAAGCTGTGGCCTTTGTACCAGCATTTTTGGTGGTGGCATGACATGACATGACATTGTCCTGCACTTCATAATGACGAGATGGCTGCATTTCGCCTGCGCTTCACTGTGTCTGACTTGCTTCTTAGCCCGTGGTCCTTACTTGTCCTCGATCCTGAGATGAGGTGCTAGAATTACACAGTCTCGAATATCCCTGTCGCAGCCAGAATCATGAATAGTCTTTGGATCACCTTTACCATTCTGTCACCTTGCTGCCACATCTCATCATGACCACCCTCGACCGACATCTCTGAATACCTGCAGCCTTGAGTTTCCCCTACATCATCTGCTGGGTGCGTTTCGTGTCTTGCGGTAAGGGCATATTTCATTTCCTCACACTGCTCTGGCTCGACCAGCTCATCCCCGTCGGCCGTCACTAGAAGGAATGTCCGTCGGGAGCACAGTTTGTTCCATGAGACGGAATGGGAATCAGAATCACCGCAACCATGTTCATAAAAACGGCACGGAGAGGCATGAGCCCACACTTTCTCGACCTCGCCATAGGCTCCCTTGATGAACGATGCATACACCTCCGCGTACGGTCCGTCCTTGTGGTTCTCGAGCAGTCTTCCGATATCGTAGATACCCGCCAGACCAGCCAGCGCTCGCGGAGCTGGGGACCCCGTCTCAACATGGCGTTTCAGTGCTTGAAATGCTAGAGTTGCACCGCACGAATGGCCGACAAGTATGTACCTGTGGTCCGAAAGGCCATACTCACGGCGAAGGACAGCGATACCACTACACACATCGTCAAGGTGGTCGGGATGCTTGGCTATCCGGAGGGAAGAATGCGGTGCGGTCTCAGGGTCCTGCGGATATGATGGATGTGGTGAGAGTCGGTATGACAGCGAGGCGATGGCAAGAGTCTTGCCCTCTGGTATTCTCAGCTCCGGCGCAGTATCTGATAATAAGATGGAGACCGCTGGTTCCGCAAAGTTGCGAGCAGTTATCGTAGGATCCCGCCAGGCGCCACCATGGATAAAGCTATATGCAAAGGTGTCAGCAATTCACTCGAGAGTGTCTTGCTCTTGTGAATTGAGTAGAAGACAAGCTAGGTCAAGTCGGCCACGTGGAATAAGAAGGAAGACGACTTACACGATCCAGAACACCGAATCAGCGGATTGTACCTGGGGCATCCACACCAGCACTTCTTGTAAATCATGGTCGCCGAACTTATGAGAGCTTGGCTCGACCATTGTAGAAACTGTGGTCTTGGTAGGCCACGGTAGGCCTGCCAGACAAACTGAAGGCGAGGAATAGAACGCAGTAATAACAATGTAACTTGACCTTCGGGTTGTAAACTCCGCTCCTCCGCTTCCGCTTTCGACCCACTTCACTGAGCGACGACGACCCTTATAGTATTATGATTGTCTCCTCAGTATAGAGTGGACTTTTAAGGAGGCATTGATCCCACGAGATAAAAACAGAGCAATATGGTCGGACTCGCAAGGCTGAAATAATCGATCATGTGTCAGGCTGTGCTCTTCTATTTCCTATGGCTTGGCAGTACTAGAGAAGGTACGGAGTGCCTAGGTAAACTAACGGCACAGCCACGTGTTTAATTATCCTCTTTACACGAGATCGCAGTGATATAAGTTCGTCTATAGACGATAATCTAAATTAATAAGACTTATTTAATATATAACGAAAAAAAGTTAAAAAAATCAAAAACTAAAGAGGTCCGAACGTGGTTCGAACACGTGACCTAGAGATATTTGCCAAGGGGGACTGCAATCTCTCGCTCTACCACTGAGCTACCGAACCAAGACAACTGCCCAGTCTAACACAAGACATGGCTCTAATTTAACATCAGATTTTAGGCAATTTTCCAGCACTTATAGTATATATATAGCTTTTTTAGCCTGGGAATGACTAATTAACCTTGGGGACACCAAGACACCTAGGAGGGGTGACCTCGCCGTAAATTTACCATCTCTTGGCCTCGTACTTTCATCCAGAGTTTTTGGTAGACAAGCGGCCAGCTCTGGGGATTCTGATTGAATTCCTGAGACGCCGTCAAGATTGAGTGTAGATGTCTGTACAGAAAATGAAAGGTACAGTCTCGGAAAAGCATGATGATTCAAAAGATGTACCCGCGAGGCCGTCAAAGCGTCGAAAGATATCGCATCCATCGCGGAAGCCCGAGCCCCAAGCCAAATACAGCGCGACGACTACCAAGAGATCATCGCGAAGAAGAGTTCTTCCACAGCCACCACGGCTGATGCGGCCTGAGTACTCTAGCAGTGGTCCAAAATCAAGAGCGCCGTCCACAAGTCACTCAAACTCGAAACCCGCCTCCGGAACATCAACGCCCCTGACCATCGCCGACCCAAGCAGCAAAGTGGCGTTCGTGAAATCACTACTCGACCAAGTATGGGCGCGTAACAAGAACCAGCACCGCACGCAACCATGGTGGAGATCGCTTGGCATCTTGAAAAAAGCAATCACTCAGCTAGTGGTGCTGGACGGCAAGCAACGCCAGCTGCGTCAACGAGCTACCGCGGCCGTGGACGCAAAGACAGTCAGGAAGCGCTTCGAACAGGAAGCCCAGATTAGGATAGAACGAGATGTCTGGAACGAACGGATCCGCGAGGTCCTCGTTCCGCGCGCCTACGTCGGATTCACGGGACTGGTGGCTGACAAGCAGTTCGCAAATCTGGGCGTGGTACTTGTGGGCGTGCTTGCGGATGTGATGAGCGTGGTCGGCGCCCCTACGCCCTCAAAGGAGGAGACATCGACATCTCCGCAGGAAGATGTCGAAGATGTGTATGTTTCACACCAGCCAAATGGCAAGCCGAGATCTCTGACCGCAACGAGCCTCCGAATCACAGGGCTGCAGGGTGGTGAACTGGTCGAGAGGATGTACGACAGTGATGACGCAGGGGAAGTCATCGAGAGAACGGAGAAGGACGAAACACCTTCGGATCAAAGACGACGCTCAATCAGCACGACACGAGGCCCAAAATCGATGGACGGGACCGCCGCCGATGCCACCAAAAGCGATCCCACGGAGTTGACTGCAAGTAATGACAAGGAGGACGCCGATATAGGTGGAAGCCAGGCAGATGAGGAAGGTCCGCAAACACCGCAAACCGAAGCGCAAGCACTATCTGCCTTAGGAGCGGCAACTTCTCATGCAGACTCGTCCTTGCGCTCGAATCTTAGATCAGAGCCTCGAGCATCCACAAGTCGCGGCCGAGATCGTCCGACATCCACCACGTCGAAGTCCAGCAAGGAGAAGAAAAAGAAGAAAGGCAAGAAGAACGCAATCGATGACCTATTTGCTGGACTTTCGTGACCACAGGACAAGGATCAGCTGTGACCTACCGGATCTGCGTCAGTACAATCCAGCGACTCTGAAAGTATTTCTGATGGACACAAGATATAATGAATATCGCTGACGGGCTAGTGGCTGGTATATCGTTAAGGCGCACGCATACCACCAGTCGATCCATGAGTAATGTCTACTTCATTCCTAAATTGAACGCCATGCCCTTGAGCATTTCCCGCCTTCCAGGATTCTTGTGTCCCAGTCCACACCGTTCGCTATGCAAAATGCCATGTTCATTACAATAAATTTCAAGTAAGATGAAGCCTCCCAATTCCTTTGGATATAATATCCCCTGAAGTCGCTATCATCGCCGATACGTATCTTGTATACCATAACCCCGGTCCCGGTCCCGATCTCGATCTCGATCTCGATGCTCACGCTCTCTTTCCCAATCCCGGTCCCTATCTCTTCGGTCTCGATGAGCATCTCTATCCCGATCTCTTATGGGACTTCGACTTCTCGGGCGTCGATCTCTCTCATATGGTCCGCTTTGCGGCGGCAATGCCATGTTATCCATATCACGCATTCGTCCTCTATCCCGGTCAGGACCACCTATACCACCGTCATCGTAGCGAAGTGGATCACCATAGTCCGGGGGACCATGAGGATGATGCGCTTCCCTGAACGGTGGCCGCTCATCTCTTCTCCGCCCTTTCATATGGGGCGGTCGTTGCTCAGGATCAGCACTCGAATACGGTGGCACATACGTATCGCGGTCGTGAGGTGCGCGTCGACTGTCTATAGCAGGTCCATTTCCAGCCCCGGCAGGCACTCTGTGCCTTGGTGGCGGAGGGCCCCGGCCGTCATCTCGGTAAGGTGGTAAATCTGGTCCGCCATAACGATGAGAATCATTCTCTGGGACTGGAGGTCGTGGCGGTAGGCCATGCTCGGCTGGAGGGCGCCGAGTGTAGCCATCATCATACGGCTTTGGAGGTCCTCTTGATTGATCGTATGGTGGACGATGAGGCTGATCGTACGGCGGCATGTCTCGATGGGGTGGGCCGCGGTGATCACGCACGTAAGCACCGTTCTGTCCAGATGTAGGCGGTCTGCGACCATGTCCGTGTGGGCCGTAGCCATTGTCGTGCGGTCGACCACCAGGTACCCGTGAACCAGGGCCGGGCGGCCCTCGTCCGTCATATGGAGGTAGAGGACGGCCATTGATTCCCCATTCGCCCTGGGAAGCAATGCCGACCGAACCACCTGCGGGTGCAGGAGGCGGTTTTTGCTTCTGGTCTCTGAATTTCTTTCGGTCGAGCTCGTGGGAGTCTTCGAAGGTTGGTAAGTCGCCAGGCCTTGCAGGAAGTGGGTCTGTATGGAAGTATGGGTGTTTCAGTGCATCGATGGCATTAATTCGTCTATGCCAATCGAGCTTCAAGAACTCGCCTAGCAGAGAAAGAGCAAGAGGACTGAGTTCACGGAAGACACGGCTGAGGGTAGGTTGTCTATGCTCGAATTCGGTAACGCCCTCGCAGCCAGGAAGTTCCCGCCAACCGGGCATCGTACTGTCTGTTGGTGAGCCAACCAACTCAAAAATGATTTGAGCTTGATTCAAGTCAGTGTTGCCGGTCAGAATGGGTTTTCTCTTGAACATCTCGCCAAATACGCAGCCGACTCCCCACATATCAATGGCAGTGGTGTATTTGCGCAGCTGGAGGAGTAATTCAGGCGGGCGATACCATCGCGTAACGACCAGAGTGGTGTATTCTCTCGTGGCTTCACCTCCCCCATGGCCGGCTCGAGGCGGGTCATCATGGTAGGGCCGTGCAAGACCAAAATCCGCGATCTGCAGAATACCCCGATTGTTGATGAGCAAGTTGGCTGCTTTCATGTCTCGGTGTAATATTTTGTTCTCGTGGAGGTAGGCACAGCCTTCGAGTAGTTGTTTCATGTAGCATTTGATCTGTGCTTCGGTGAAATTGACCTCTGGATTTTCAAGCAGACCGGATAGGTCGTGGTCCATATATGGCGTGACCATGAACATGCTGGGTTTTTTGCTTGCGCTCTTTGGTCGCTCAACGGCCATCTCCTCCAGTTTCAGAATGTTGACATGGTCCAGTTGTTTCAGCAGTTTGATCTCTCGCAAAGCCGTTATGGGAAAGCCATCCTTCTCATTATGCATCAAAATCTTCTTCAGAGCGACAAGCTGTCCCGTCTTTTTCGATCGCGCCTTTGACACTTCTCCGAAAGTGCCTTCACCTAATTTGCCCATGTACTCATATTCTGTTATCCTCGAGCACCCGTGGAAGCGCGGACTGCCATCGGCTAGTCGCTCAAGAGACTTGGGAGGGCGTTGCGGTTCGGTGGACATTGTGTCGTTTAATGCTCAACAGGCCGCACGAGGCCTCGCTGATCTGGTGTTGTCAAGTGTCGTCTGCGTTGCGCAGGTGAGAAATGTTAGTGACAAGGCCGAGGCCAGAATTGAAGACTTTGTCTCGTCATCTGAATTTGTCTCTGGCCGGGCCTGAGAGGTGGATGGATGCAGAAAAGCAATGACGGTACAATGTTGTTTGCGACAGACGTGATTCGGTCGGTGTTGACGTTGTTGAAATAGATGTGATGATGCGTGGGTCGGATCGGCTCAATGTCTCCAGCAAAGCCTCAAACCCTACTGTGGTACGCAGGATATCAGGTTGGGCAGTTGCGACCAGCACGGTTGAACCCAACTCTGAGAAAATGACATGACCAGTGCATCATTTGAGATTCCGATCCACGTCTCGCTATGGATCTTGCTCCTGCGCTGCAATTCGGTCCAAGCGGATTATCTATGTTCCGCGCCCCGTCTTCTACCAATTATACTGGATGAGGCTGACAAAATACCCTAGTCTCAGATAGATTAGCGCGGCGGCCGTTCGACTTTCAAGTCGCAATGGCACCAAACCAGCCCGCAGTCGAGAGCTTCATAACCCCGACACAACAGCACTCCAGCTCCCGAAGGCCGAAGGGTATGCTTGTGACCATATCGATTCTAATATCCAACATACCAGTCGGTCGACACTCGACAAATCGTTGAAATGGCTGGTCCCGCGCATGGAAAACCAGTCTGGAAGGGCAACCACCCCGTTGGGCAAATCAATGCCCAACGACCCCTGTACAGATTCGCTGCGACTGGTCTAGGAGCAGCTATGTGGTTCTTTGTAAGATCACCCAGCTTTACTTCAAGTTTCGCCTGCTGACAGCTGCACAGTTGTTCTACAGAATGAAGAAAGATGGCCCTGCACTCCTCGGATGGGAACACCCTTGGGAACATGCGTCGCACCACCCAGAAGGCGGCAGTCACGGCCCTCACGGCACCTTTTAAGCGAAGACGCACGAATCATTGTACATACACCTGCAAAGACATTTATGGGCGTTGAGGAGAGGGACAATTACACCTCGGATGGATACCGTTGAAAGAAAGTCAAGATAGCAACACACTGGTTGAGGCCGAGTCATGATCATCAGTATCAACTCGTGAAGAGAATGGCAAGCTCTGTCAATGCCCCAAATACTCGCCTTGCTTCCCGTGACTGCTTCTTTCGAACAGATAATGGCTGACACCCCAAGTATCACCACGCTCATACGCAAACAGTTCCGCGCACGCCATATAAAAGATCTGCCATCGATAGAACCACATGGCTGCTTTGTCCTTTCCATACGTGTCCTCTAATCCCGGCCATATCTCCTGCTTACTGGCGTTCATCTTGCTAAGCCAGTCCTCGCAGGTCTGTGCATAGTGCTTCCCACTGACCCACCACTGTTTCTGCAGCGTCAAATCGTCTTGGAAGAAGTGCAGCAGATCCGCCGATGGCATCGTCCCACCAGTGAAGAAATGTGTGCTCATCCACCCTTCCTCAAAATCATACGGCGAATCCTTGTGGGTGAAGATGTGAACAAACAGCTTTCCACGGGGTCTCAGCGTCCGCGCGAGCTTCCGCATCAGCAGCTTGTAGTTCTTCATGTGCTCGAACAGCTCAATCGAGACCACTCGGTCGAAAGCATCTGGCGTAAACTCATACGACACCACATCACCAGTAACGACCTTCAGGTTCGCCAGGCCCTTCATCTTGGCCTGCTCCTCGATATACAACTTCTGCGTCCTGGAGTTCGAAAACGCCGTGACATTTGACTTGGGGAACAGCTCGGCCAGGTACAGACTGGCACTACCCCATCCACAGCCAAGGTCAAGAATGTCCTGACCATCCCGTAGGTCCGCTTTCTGGACGTACGTCTCCAGCATAGCGACTTCGGCCTGTGCCAGTGTTTCCTTGCCGGTAGGGTAGAGACAGCAGGAATACTTCATGCGCGGGCCCAGACAGGCTTGCAACACCGACGTACCAACTTCGTAGTGCTGTGTGTTGGCTTTGTCTGTCTCGATTGCGATAGGTCGTTGGCGCAGAGCAGCCACATAGGACATTTTGCGCTCGTATGCTTCAGCCAGTGACTCGGCCTGGGTCATCTGCAAGCGCTGAGCGAGTTGTCGCCTGATTCCGACCCGAATGACAGGAGAAGGTAGCCAGCCATTGTCCAACAAGTATTCTAAGAGAGCTTGTTAGAGAGGAACACAATAAATTCATGCTCCGAGTTGAACTACCTGTTGGGTCCATGGCAAATTGATATGTCGATATCTGGTATATTACGCGCGAAACGTTCAAGAACTTTTGCAGTACACGGACTCTAATACAATAGAGACAAGGTAGCACATGTCGAGCCCTCACAATGTAAATCAGGCTTTCCATCCTTGAGACGTCCAGAGTTTCGGGTCGTTTGGGTGAACTCGACATCGAAGTATCAAAAAGTGATGACGTTGACCAATAAATAGTCGGAGAGACCATGTCTCCGCCGTACTTGCCATTCAATACTCACCATAAGAACATTTCTAGGATCCTGATTGTCTCTATTTGTCGCTGTCTATGTGCTGTTCAAGGGCTATTTACTCTTCTGTATATCCTCAATAATGACTTTGTATCTCTTCCTGACTTTAGGATGTGAAGGTCGCAACTTCAACTTCAGCCGACCCACAAATTTTGCAAGAAGTGGGAAGAAATACCGCTCGGCGAGGTAGGCCACGGCGGACCCGGCCACTGCTAATGCTAGCAAGAACAATTCATAGTCCAGCGACATCTCGGTCAGGTCCATGAAGTCAGCGAGCCATTTCGCAGGGTCGAGAAGCATGTACAGAGAAATCAATGAAGCCACCGCAAGCGTGACGCAGAAAGGAACATTCGTCGTCATGGATTGCCGGAAAGGAGGTCCAACGCTCAATACCACCCCGGACAATGTGTATTGAAAACAAGACACCAAGAACAGAGCGGTGTTCTGCGAGTTGTCGACGTTGGATTTTTGCTTGTTGAGTTTTGGCGGTATGTACCATGGTTGACTCTGAACCGTTTCGAATGCAATCAATTGGACAAGAATAGATAGCACAATCTGACCAAGCAGAGGAGTCAGCACCTTTCTCGAGACGAGATTGGCTGTCGGCCGCTTCTTGCTCAGAATTGGGTATGCGCCGGTCCAGCCCATGAAAATCGCAATCGGCAGGATCAAGGCCAGGTCGATGAACAAAAACTGAAAGTCGCCCAGGTTTGATGCTGATGCATAGAGGAAGCTGACAGAAGTGAACTGAATTGCCGAATACAAGCTCATGTATTTGAAGCAGCAGAAGCTTGTCACGAGAGCTGCTCGCCCTTCTTTGATCAACGTCGGTACACATGAAATGTCGAAGATGTGGCTGGTAAATGGCGCCGCAACAGACGCTTCTGCTTCGGAAAGTGACACCCCAACGTCTGCAGCCTTTAGCGCACCGCAGTCATTAGCACCGTCACCACAGAAGCCACAGCAATAGTCGATGCTTTGCAGCTTCTCGACCAGCTCATGCTTCTCGTCAGGTGACATGCGGGCGAACACAGCCCCTTTCACGAGCATTCTTTGTAGAACTTCCAAAGAGCCATAGTCAACAACCCAGCGGAAAGCATCGCCCGTGACAGCTAAAGTATAGTCCCCGATGGTCAATGCATCATACGGGGCGGCGGTGTTCTGCTCGGCAGGCAATTCCAGCGGGAGTAATGTGTTCTCGTCAAGCTGGTAGATCTGGTTGTCCACGCTTTCCCAGATCAGCCGAGCTTTCGGGTCCATCTTGTCCCCTTCGAGGAAGTGAGGAACGAAGCAGTGCTGGTCGCGGTCAATCAGTCCACATTCTCTTGCCACGCTGATAGCGGTCAAGATGTTGTCACCGGTGCACATGACGTTACGAATGCGGGCCTCATTCAACTCCTCGATGATTTCCGTGGTGATTTCCTTCAACTTGTTCTCGAAGACGATGAAGCCAAGCAGCTGAAGCCTGGATTCTGCTTCGGACCTCTCCATGCTCTGGATTTCATCCCAGCTTACCCGGGAAATGTACCTTGACGCACAAGCAATGACACGGAAGCCTTTATGGGTGTAGTAGCTGAGAAGATCGTCAAAATCATCGGGTATGCTTGACGCCGTACAGATGTCCTTCATGACTTCAGGAGCACCCTTGACATAGACGCTTGCTCCGGGATCCCCATGTTGACGGACGATGACGCTGGCACGTCGTAGATGTGAGACAAAATCGAATGAGCGTAGTACGCCCAATTCAACCCGAACTGGGTGAGGATTGTCCTCGGAATCTTCCAGGTCGTACTCGAATCCGTGAGGAGGGCGGGCTACACTAGGGGCAGTCTGATGCGTCCCTATCTCAATGAAATGGTTCGTGAGGCGGGACCCTTCTTCAAAGGACCAGCCAGTGAACTGAAACATTTTCAGGTCGAGGGGATCACCAATAAGCTCATCCTCGACAAGTCGAAGTGAATGACAGGTGGCCATTGCATAGAGCATACTCTTGTTGACACGATAGTCGACCGTAGGGTCACGGTCGTAAGACGCTGGAGGCAAGATCGCATGAGCTTCTTCGAGGATATCCCCAAAGCGAATTTCTGGATGCTGGACGAGCCTGACCCCCAAGACGTCCAATCCATCCTCAGTCAATGTTCCGGTCTTGTCGAAGCATACTACGTCCAATTTGCCTGCGACGTTGACTCGTTGCGGGCTGATACAAAAGATCTGTTGTTTCCTAAGTCGGGATAGAGCAAAATTCGTACCGATCGTCAAGGTTGCTGGTAGGGCTGGAGGCACAACTATTGTAATGAGATCCAGAGCTCGAACAACGATGAGATGCCATGCTAGGCCCAGCTTGACGAAGTTGATGAACGAGGCAACGAAACCAATGGCAGCAATAAAGCCCATGACCGAGATGTACCGAAAGGAATCCCGGTAGAACTTGAAACCCGATGGTTTGGGGAAGAGCATGGAACGAACCAGAGCGCCCTTGGTGGTGTTGAACCCTGTGCGAACAACCATGGCGAGAGCAACTGCCTCGTCATCTTCGGTATCTTGTGGCCGTCTCGCTCGAATTATCTTTGTTCCGCAAAAGAGGAAGTATCGAGCGACGCTTGGGTGAATTGAAGCCGCACCAAGATCAACATATGGCAGAGCTTCGTCCGTAATAGGTACCTTTGAAACTGGAATGGACTCCCCTACGCCAATCAGCATTGCTCAAACTCTTTCAGTACGAAACGTACCAGTCAGCATGCTTTCGTTTATGATACAATCACCGGACAAGAGGAGACTGTCACAAGGTATCTGCGAAAGTGAAGGGTCCGAAACTTCGTAGACGTCTCCAGGCACAAGATCACCAGATTGGGCAGAACGCCCTTGCAGCTGTCAGCACCAGGTACTGAGCTCGGCAACGCACACTTACAGAAGCCATTTCGGAGCACGCGCACATCGCATTCGAAACGCGAAATTTCCCTCAAACGACGCATTGTCTGAGGCATCGTGAGTGAGGAGACTGGCGGTGCACACTAAGGCCACTTACCGAACGTGTTTCAATGACAGTGCTGGAAATAGAGAAGACAGATATCAGGAAGATTGCCGCGGCGTAGTAATAGTATTCATCCAGGGACCACAAGACGAGACTTGCGACTTGAAAGATGTAGAAAGGATGAAAAGCCTACATTCTGTTAGTGTTTTTGCGATGAGGGTTTGGGAAGAGACTCACTTCATCGAGAAGGAGCTCAGGTACGGTCTTCTCCTGGATCTCGATCATGTTCTTGCCAAAGACCTGCTCTCTTGGCTCCCTCTCTTCGGTATCCAGACCCTCGCGTAGGGCCTTGACGGCCTTCCACTGAGGATCCCACCAGTCATTGTTGAGGACGAATTTGTCCTCAATAGGATGGTACAAAAACCTCATATATCTGTAGTCAAGGTATCTCAAAACAGGGAGTTCTCTGTCTTCGTCATATCGGTAGGCATTGAGCTTTTCCTTTCCAGAACGAGTAAAGACAGTCGACAACGGATGGCCATATTCCTCGGAGGACACATAGTGAACAGTAAATTCGCCCCATTGGTTCTGAAATCTCTTAGCTTTTTTTCTGGGACGTTTACGTTCAGGCCCGTATCTCACCTCAATAACAACCCAAGAGCATTTTTTGAGGGGCGTAGGGCACCCAACCAGGAATATGCGCCATCGTGGAACCCAACGAAAGACAAGATAGCCGACACCAGCGGTCAAGACACAGATTGCAATGTACAGGAGGAACCCGAGAGTACTGGTCGAGAAACCAGCAATGACCATTTCAAAATCATCTGCGCTGAGATAGATTCTGTGCGTCACATTCCCGCCCTCGTCGTGCTCTTGCGTATCACTCCGTGTGGAAGCATGCCTTCGAAGTAGCGGCTGGTCCACTGAAGCTCTGTGTCTGCTTGAAGATTTGCGATGAAGCGAAGAGCCGTCCCCAGCTTCAATATCGCGTTCTTCTGCGGGTATTTGTCCGTCCTCTTCGTCACTTAGGAACTCGACAGCTTCCTCATCATCAGAGAACTGTGGCGACTCTTCGTCGAAATACGTGTACGAAGTGATCGAACCGGCTCGCTTTCTGTGTCGGCCTTGGTACGCAAATGTATTTTGACTCGAGGGAACGCTCTCTGATATCGGACCCGACCATGGCTTTTGTCCGTCAATTAGGAGCATTCTCCATGAAGCATTTGGGTACACAAACCTCTTCGGTTGCCATCTCAACCTCAGATACATAACTGGCTGTACTCATGTTCGAGCCCCGGCGGGTTATGCGCCTGGCAGAACTGCTTCGCCTAATAGGCTGCGCGCCTGGGCGAGATTTGTCTGGATCCATCTTGATAGAATGTGCCACTCTGGCACTGTCCACGGGGTTTAAGGCATCATACTGCGTGTAACGGGTTGGAAAAGACCGACGGCAATGATCTTGGGTGCCGTGTCGTATGAAACTAAGGTATCTAAAACTGCAGTGAACGGCAAACGCCAATGACGTTCGAGGGGGACTCGAGCAGTCGCCAAGGATGCCGCTTTAAGCGATTCCCTCCTCTGAACGACGGGGGACCTTTATCTCGAGCTTGTAAGGTACTTTAAACAAGACAGAGTCTGGCTATCAGGACGAGCATTGCTGCTCTCGTACGTCGTTGAAGTCATCGCCAAAGAGGAGGAAGAACAGGCGGAGTAAACAATGGTTTACATTGTCATAATGAGAAATAATGCCTAGGAAGGCTTTGTAGCCTCAGAGCTATTCTGAGGCGTTGGCTTCGACACCCACCCCCAAAGCATACCTACCTAGGTACGGAGTACCTAGATGCAGTTTGGAAAATTGCTTACTACAGTACACGCGTCGCATTGTTGACTACCTGACTCCGTACTTGTAGAAAATTGCGTACACTCAATGACTGGACAAACACCTAATTTGATGTTGGTTTTTCAGGCGGCGAGATCCTCTTATTGTCGTGGCCTGCCGCGAATGCCAAGTCGATGACCGCCTTGGTGGGACATTCAATCGATCTAAGCAGCGGGATTTCGTACAGAGCGTGAGCGTGGCGAGCGTGGTGGCACTCACTCAGAATTGGCCTGTGTCCCACGCTTCATGAGCAACGGACTAGCGGCGAGGTTTTTCTGTAGGATGCCGTCAACCAGATTCAACCACCTACCACTTTCCCATTCTTTCGACATTTTCACTCCCCATCTGTCAAAGGAAGGCAGTCACTTCACCTTCTGATCCAGCTGTTCTCCGATCCATTGTCGTGTGTTTCGTTCCTGCAGACTTTTCGGGGTCCTAGAAAAATCGGTTCTCAACAGTTATCCTCTACCAACTTCTTTCGACCGCCGACTGTCCTTTTCCCATCGAAGTCTTGGTATCAGTTCAACAGAAATGGATTTACCAAAGCGCAATGCCGGTGCACCGTAAGCTCATCTCTACCAGGTTTCGAGTCTTCTGCTGTCGATCGAACGCTAACATGGCTCTCAACTCCAGGACGCCGCAGAACAGTACGTCCGCCAATAAGTCCAGCCTCGATCTAGTCCACTAACAATTCTACAGCACCGGCCAGTAATGCGCCGATCTCCTCGCATGCTCAGGCACCTACGATAGGCGACATTCCAGAAGGTATGGTAATCGAGGGTTTGGGAAATGGGCGGTTAGCTGACAATCCGCAGAGGACATGGATCGCGCCGCCGCCAGCATCTTTGCCTCCAATCCTGCACTGGTGTCACTCATGCAGAACAAATTGTCCACGCTTGTCGGCCGCTCGTCTGGCTATATTGAGTCGTTACCGCCTGTTGTTCGCCGCCGTGTCACCGGCTTGAAAGGCATCCAGAAAGACCATGCCAAGTTGGAAGCGGAATTCCAAGAAGAAGTGCTACAGCTCGAGAAGAAATACTTCGCAAAATTCACACCGCTGTACGAAAAGCGAGCTGCCATCGTCAATGGAGAAACCGAGCCTACCGAGGAAGAGATTGCCGCAGGCAAATCCGAGGAAGAGGACGAAGAAGCAGAGCCAGAGGCCAACAACGAGGAGAAGACAACTGCTGAAGATGCAAAGGGCATTCCGGAGTTCTGGCTCTCGGCTATGAAGAACCAGATTTCTCTTGCTGAGCTCATTACCGACCGAGATGAGGAAGCCCTTCGAGCTCTGACCGACATCCGGATGGAATACCTCGACCGACCTGGTTTCCGGCTGATCTTCGAATTTGCTCCCAACGACTTCTTCACTAATAAGACAATCTCAAAGACGTATTTCTACAGAGAAGAGAGTGGTTATGGTGGCGACTTCATCTACGATCATGCTGAAGGCGACAAGGTCGACTGGAAGGCAGGCAAGGATCTCACTGTCCGAGTTGAAAGCAAGAAACAGAGAAACAAGAGTACGTTGTCTTTGGGGGAAAGCTTTACTCGATGCATACTGATATTGGAACAGACACCAAGCAAACCCGAGTCATCAAGAAGACCGTCCCCACGGAATCCTTCTTCAACTTCTTCGCTCCTCCAGTCGCACCTACTGACGAAGACGATGTCGCCTCGGATATTGAAGAGAGGCTCGAGCTTGACTATCAGTTGGGTGAGGACATCAAAGAGAAGCTCATCCCCCGCGCCATTGACTGGTTCACTGGCGAAGCTTTGGCATTTGAAGAATTTGAGGATGCCGAAGATGCTGAGTTCGACGATGAGGATGACGAAGATGATGAGGACGAGGAAGAGGCTGAATCCGATGAAGAAGATGAAGAAGAGGGAGGCAAACCTCGATCCCAGCAAGCTTCAGAGTGCAAAAACCAGTAGACTGATCACGCATGGGTCAATGTGGATGAATCAGTTGGAAACTGCTTCCCAGACAGATGGATGTCTTGTACTTTGTGCATGAGTGGAAGCACCGCAGATCGGCAGGATACGGTTTTCCATGGTGCAAACACAACCCCGTACCCACCCGCTTCGAGCATAATGGGCGTTTGAGATGCCGGGGAAGTGATCCCATAATCATGGAGAGGATGGCTGGGTTCACCAGGCCACGGGCGGTACTTTCACTTAGTCGAGTTCATACGGCGTTCGAGCACTATCACACAAGCAACAGAAACTCCACGGGCAATGTGCAATTATAGTCACAGCCTCAGCAGTATGTAGTAATCCTTCCCCAGACCAGGATAGTCATATTAAAAGAAGCCGTTTTCTGTCATTCACAAATTGACTTTGCTGTCTTGCAGTGATCAGATCCATCGCTAGAAGCAATGCAGCTATCACACGGTTCACCCTTGCACTTGCAGAAATTTGGTGCCAGTACCCAGTAGAATAGGGGCCCTGGGCCTGGTTGCGGACAATTTTATGTTGGCCAGGGGTTGCCAACTTGTTTGGAAGTGGAAAAGCGTGGAATTGGAGTTGGCTCGTTGGATACTGCGGTGGCCGTGGCGCGTCTCGCAGTCTCCGAGTCCCTGAAGACTTTCTGACATGTTTCCCCCAAGGATTCCACGGCCACCCGCAACACCACGTTTAGACAGTCCATCAACACCCCATCGTCAGGAACCTACGACGACTTTTCGCATCATTCTGCCCGTTAGTCATTTTACCGATACCACTCGCTCGAGTAAAGAACAACAAACCCCGATTGACACGTCTTTTCCAGGTACCCTCCTTGTCTGTTGACTACATGGCTGAACTCGCTCCCAATAGTTGAGATTGTCATCAGACGATCACCACATTGCCAACCATGGCCAGCTGGGAGGTTGGCACTCGGGCCTGGTTCCCAAACCAGGCCGAGGGTTTCGTTCCCGGTGAATTGGCAGAGAAGAAGTCCTTGGGAGACGGAAAAGTAGCCCTCGTCTTCAACCTGTCCGATGAATCTAAGCACACGGTCGAAACCACCGAATCCGCCCTCAACGATACCCAACATGCCTCCTTACCACCTCTCATGAACCCTCCTATGTTTGAAGCCGCCGAAGACCTCACAAATCTATCCCATCTCAACGAGCCGGCCATCCTGCAGGCCATCAAGCTCCGATATGCGCAGAAAGAAATATACACCTACAGTGGTATCGTACTGATAGCCACCAATCCTTTTGCGCGCGTGGACTCTCTCTATGTTCCGCAGATGGTGCAGGTATATGCTGGCAAGCAAAGAGCATCGCAGGCACCGCATTTGTTTGCTATTGCAGAAGAAGCCTACACAGACATGTTACGGGACAACCGAAATCAGACAGTCGTTGTCTCTGGTGAGTCGGGTGCTGGTAAAACTGTCAGTGCGAAATACATCATGCGTTACTTTGCAACACGCGGTGGCCCGGGACAGATGGCCAAGAGCACAAAATCACGAGCAGATGCCATTAGCGAGACCGAGGAACAGATTCTCGCTACAAATCCTGTCATGGAAGCCTTCGGCAATGCAAAGACGACGAGAAACGACAACTCTTCGAGATTCGGGAAGTACATCGAGATTATGTTTGACAAAAACACCGACATCATCGGTGCCAGGATAAGGACGTATTTGCTCGAGCGCTCACGTCTTGTGTTCCAACCACTCAAGGAAAGGAACTATCACATCTTCTACCAGTTGGTCGCCGGGGCCACCCCGGAGGAGAGACAAGATCTCGGTCTAGTGCCTGTCGAAGAGTTTGATTATTTGAATCAGGGGAACGAGCCCAGGATCGATGGTGTTGACGATGCAGCGGAATTCGCAGCCACGAGGAAGTCTTTGAGCACGATCAACGTTTCCGGAGCCACTCAAAAGGAGATCTTCCGTATCCTCGCCGCGTTACTACATATTGGCAACATCAAGATTACGGCGACACGAACGGATTCTTCACTGTCCTCGTCCGAACCGTCATTGGTACAGGCTTGCAGCGTACTGGGCATTGATGCAGGAGATTTTGCGAAGTGGATTGTGAAGAAACAACTGATCACCAGAGGAGAAAAGATTACGTCCAATCTTACTCAACAGCAAGCCACCGTCGTCCGAGATTCGGTCGCCAAGTTCATATATTCTAGCCTATTCGACTGGCTTGTTGACACCATCAACCATGGGCTGGCGACGGAGGATGTCTTGCAGCGAGTCAGCACCTTCATTGGTGTGCTCGATATCTACGGTTTCGAGCATTTCGCCAAAAATTCTTTTGAACAATTCTGTATCAACTACGCCAACGAGAAGCTCCAGCAAGAATTCAACCAGCATGTGTTTAAACTTGAGCAAGAGGAATACATGCGTGAGCAAATAGACTGGACTTTCATCGACTTCTCCGACAATCAGCCTTGTATTGATCTTATTGAAGGGAAACTTGGGGTCTTGTCCCTCTTGGACGAAGAGTCGAGGTTACCCATGGGCTCGGACGAACAATTTGTTACGAAGTTGCACCATCATTTCGCTGCGGACAAGCAAAAATTCTACAAGAAACCCCGGTTCGGCAAATCTGCATTTACAGTCTGCCATTATGCCCTTGACGTTACCTACGAATCTGATGGCTTCATTGACAAGAATAGAGACACGGTACCAGACGAGCAGATGGAAGTGCTTAAGAAGTCTACAAATGCCTTCTTGGTTGAAGTTTTGGATGTGGCTGCTGCCGTGAGAGACAAAGACAGTGCTCAAACGGGCTCAAAGACTGTCGCTCCTGGAGGTGGACGCCGTGTGGGCGTCGCTGTTAATCGCAAGCCTACACTTGGAGGCATCTTCAAGAGCTCGCTCATTGAACTCATGCAGACCATCAACTCGACTGATGCCCACTATATTCGTTGTATCAAGCCTAATGAAGCCAAGGAATCCTGGAAATTCGAGGGCCCTATGGTCTTGAGCCAGCTCCGAGCTTGCGGTGTTTTGGAAACTGTCCGCATCAGCACGGCTGGCTATCCCACGAGATGGACCTATGAAGAATTCGCCTTGAGATATTACATGCTGTGCCGGTCTTCGGAATGGACAACTGAGATTCGCCAGATGGCTCAGAACATCTTGGTCAAAGCCTTGGGAGCCACCGCTCATGAGAAAGGGGAGAAGTACCAGCTTGGTCTCACCAAGATCTTCTTCCGCGCGGGAATGTTGGCATTCTTGGAGAATCTCCGCTCTGCGCGTCTGAAAGAATGCGCCATTATGATCCAGAAGAACCTTCGCGCGAAATACTACCGTCATAAGTATCTCGATGCACGACAGTCTATCCTCGATTTCCAGACCGCGACGAGGGCATTCCTCGCCAGACGCAGAGCAGAGGAGACAAGACAAACCAAAGCAGCTACTGATCTTCAGCGAATCTGGAGAGGCCACAAAGCTCGCAAGAACTTCAACCAAATCAGGAAAGACCTTGTTTTGTTCGAGTCGGTTGCAAAAGGCTTCCTCTGCAGAAAAAACATCCTCGAAAAGCGCATTGGGGATGCTGCAATCAAGATTCAAAGAGCTTTCCGGTCATGGCGATCATTACGTGCCTGGAGACAGCACCGTAGAAACGTTGTCATCGTGCAGAACTTGTGGCGTGGTAAAATGGCCAGGCGTGACTACAAAACGAGGCGCGAAGAAGCGCGAGACCTCAAACAAATCTCTTACAAGCTGGAGAACAAGGTTGTTGAGCTTACTCAGTCACTCGGCGCTCTCAAGCGGGAGAACAAGTCGCTCCTCTCACAAGTGGAGAACTACGAGGGTCAACTCAAATCGTGGAGATCCAGGCATAACGCCTTGGAGACTAGATCTCGGGAATTACAGACGGAGGCTAACCAAGCTGGTATTGTCGCTGCACGCTTGAGCGCTCTTGAAGAGGAGCACGCGAAATTGCAAGCCAGCCATGATGAGCATATGGGCAATGCGAAGAGGTTGCAAGACGAAGATCGCAAACTTCGAGAATCTTTGCAGACGTCCAATGCTGAGCTGGAGAAGTTGCGACAAGCAATGGCGACGCACGAAAGTGAGAGGGGCACCTTGCGACAGCAAATCAACGAGCTCCAAGACCAACTGGAAATGGCAAGGAGAGCTCCAGTTCCTCCTGTCGCAAACGGTGTCAATGGAGAAGTCACCAATGGAGTCCAGCCTGCCAACGGCCTCATCAATCTTGTCTCTTCCAAGAAGCCTCTCAAGAGAAGGAGTGCTGGAGCCGCGGAACGAAGCGAGCTTGATCGCTACAGTGGTGCCTTTAATGCCCGCCCGGTCTCGATGGCCCTTGACACTCACGCGAAGACCTTGTCAGGTTCCACGTTCCATCCGGGTCTGGACAGTGTTGAGATGGAACTCGAAAATCTGCTTGCCCAAGAGGACGAACTCAACGATGAAGTCACTATGGGCCTGATCAGAGGCATCAAGATCCCTCAACCAGGTGCCAATCCTCCTCCAACAGACAAGGAGGTCTTGTTCCCGTCCTATCTCATCAACCTGGTAACCTCCGAAATGTGGAACAATGGGTTCGTGAAGGAGTCGGAACGATTCCTTGCCAACGTGATGCAGTCTATCCAGCAAGAAGTTATGCAGCATGATGGAGAAGAAGCTATCAATCCTGGAGCATTCTGGCTGTCAAATGTGCACGAAATGCTGTCATTCGTCTTCTTGGCTGAAGATTGGTACGAGGCGCAAAAGACCGACAACTACGAATACGACCGACTGCTCGAAATCGTCAAGCATGATCTCGAGAGTCTCGAGTTCAACATTTATCATACCTGGATGAAGGTATTGAAGAAGAAGTTGCACAAGATGATTGTGCCCGCAATCATCGAGTCTCAGTCCCTTCCCGGCTTTGTGACGAACGAAAGCAATCGCTTCCTCGGCAAGTTGCTACCTTCCAACAACACTCCCGCTTACAGCATGGACAATCTTTTGAGCTTGTTGAACAATGTCTTCAAGGCCATGAAGGCTTACTACCTCGAAGACACCATCATTACGCAAACGATTACCGAACTGCTCCGACTGGTCGGAGTGACGGCTTTCAACGACCTGTTGATGCGTCGGAATTTCTTGTCTTGGAAACGAGGACTCCAAATCAACTACAACATCACCCGAATTGAGGAATGGTGCAAAAGTCACGACATGCCTGAGGGAACATTGCAACTCGAACATCTCATGCAAGCCACCAAGCTCCTACAACTCAAGAAAGCAACATTAAACGACATCGAAATTATTCAAGATATCTGCTGGATGCTCTCTCCCAACCAGATCCAGAAACTCTTGAACCAATACCTTGTGGCAGATTACGAACAACCCATCAACGGTGAAATCATGAAGGCTGTGGCGTCCCGAGTCACCGAGAAGGGCGATGTTCTGCTTTTGGCTCCAGTCGACATGGAAGATAGTGGCCCCTATGAGATTGCTGAACCGAGAGTCATCACTGCCCTGGAGACATATACTCCTTCATGTGAGTGGATACGCTGAATCATGCCCCATGATTTATACTGACATTTGTTGCAGGGCTTCAAACACCTCGATTGAAACGACTTGCGGAGATCGTCTCCGCTCAAGCCATGGCTCAGCAAGAGGGGCCCAGCATCACTGACGGTGGCATCAGCGACACTGAGGCTGCTTGACCTTCCTGCCCCCTTTCACAATGATGTACACATTCCACGCGGATCTTCAGGAGGTGTCCTATCAAGTCAACTTATAATGAGTGGCGCCTCAAGGTCTGTATGCTGGAGGGTAGCGGATAAAGTACAGAGCGATAATGGAATTGTCTACGCCTGATTCTGCAACTGATAGCGTGAGGTTAATTTTGGGCATAGCACTTGGTGTCTGTCTGGTCGTGAGCGGCATATGTGGGAGCTGATGTCTGAAACACAAGTCAAAGGCAATAAACATTGGTTGCTCCCAATTCATAACCCGAATCCGTAATGCACAACTATTGATTGATCACTTTCCAGCACGTTCTTGCTGACTCTTGTACTTCCCTCGAGAACCCTCAAGACCACATATTCAACAAGAAAGCCTGGACTATCAATCCCACGGTTCCCAGAGCGGCGACACCTAGCGCCGTCCGACTCAACGTCGTCTCTTCCACGACGCGGCCAATCTTGGTGATTTTGACTTTGCTCCGCAATTCGTCAATGTCATACGCGGCGGACCCGTAAGCAACATAGTCTGCCCAATCCACGGAAGCCAGGTTCTTCTGGTAGTCGACGGCGGTGCCGGCCCAATTGTTCGTGACGATCCCATCGTCACGCCTCCACCAACTTGTACAGTTGGGATCGGCGAAGGAAGTCTTTGCCAGGGCGAGTTGCAGGTCATGGCAGTATGCGATGGTGCGCTCTTCCGATGGACACAGGGCTAGACTCTGGCCTCGGCGTCGCGCCTGGACGACTTTGTCAATGAGGACGGAAATGTATCGCGTCTGGGCCTCGATGACGAGAATCAGCGAGTTGTGCGAGAGATTCGTGTTGGGACCGTAGAGCATGGCGAAATTCGGCAGGTCGGGGACCGTCACGCCTTTGTACGCATGCGACGCCTTGGACCATATGTCTTCCAGTGGGCGGCCGTTGCGGCCCGTGATCTGGATCGGCGAAAGGAAGCCGAAGGTGTCGAAGCCTGTTGCCAGCACGATCAGATCGAATCTTTCCGCGGCGTCGTGGCCGGCGAATTTGATGCCGTCGGCCGTGAATCCTTCGATTTTGTCCGTTTCCAGCTTGACGTTCTTCCGGCCCAGGGTAGGGTAGTAGTCGTCGCTGATGACGGTTCTTTTGCAGCCGGGACTGTACTTCGGAGATACTTTGTCCCACAAGTCCGGGTGATCGGCTAGTTGTTCTCGAATGAGGGTGTGGTTCAGGCGTCGCATGTGTTCGGCATGAGCAGAGTCTGCCTTTGTGACCGCCGAGTGGAATGATTCGCGAATGTCCATGGCTTCGGCTCGTCCTCTCCATTGTGCCGGCGGGAAGTACGTGTAAAGCAGGCGTGTCGACCGACGGATCTGGGCGTCATGGCGAGGAATGACCCAGGCTGGGGTTCGCTGGCAGATGGTGAGTTGAGATGCGACCTTGGCAACCTCGGGAGCTATTTGAGCAGTCGTGGCGCCTGGGGTTGTCAGTATGACGGTCAGAGAACACAAAGCCGATGGGACGAACCTGTTCCGATAATGGCAATTCGCTTGCCTCTCAAGTCATAACTCCAGTCCCAACGGGCTGAGTGCATGATCTTCCCTTGGAACCCTTCATAGCCGGGCACGTCGATGCCTTTGGGCTTGTTGAGCTGCCCTGTTGCTCCGACCAGGAAGTCACTGGTGATCTTGTACGTGGAAGAGAACTCGGCCTCTTTCCCGCCGCCAACAGTAATCGACGTCTCCCACTTGCAGGTCTTGTCATTCCAAGTAGCAGCTTCGACAGCCGTATGGAATCGTGCATATTTGTACAGCCCATACTTTTGAGCTACATCGGTGAGATAGTCCTACCCAAGTAAGCGAATGGGTAGCTACGTTCAAGGAAGAACGAATCTTCTTCTTACCAATATCTCCTCTTGACCTGGATACCGACGCGTCCATTTCGGGTTCTGTGCGAACGAGTAGGAGTAAAGAACACTGAAGACGTCGCAGCAGCAGCCGGGGAACTTGTTATCGCGCCTGAAACTTGTCAGAGACGGGCCAGTGGCCGATAGGAAGTTGATTTGCTCACCACGTCCCACCAAACCCACCACTTTTCTCCAGGATCACGAAATTCTTGATCTTGTGCTTCACTAACAAATCAATAGCGACGCACATTCCAGATATACCACCGCCTATGATCACTACGGCAATGTTTGTGAAATTGTCGTTGGTGACAGGGATTTCGGGCCATGGCGGTTGCCTGTCGACGGCAGTGGTGTGTCGGCGATGCAGAGGGAGATAGCCTGAGTTCGGAGACTCCGTGGAATTGGGAAGCTGAACAGTGTTTGACCTCAGCATGTTTCTCGAAGTCGGTGGGTAGGTGCGAAGATGGATCCTTCAAGAGTTGAACTCTGTAAGAGCGGCAAAAGTATTGCATATTATAGAATACTGCGTTGCTCCTATATTGCATCGAGAAAGGAGATTGGCATGGTCTACTGCCTCCTCGTGGCGATAATATTGGTATGTCGGCGCTCTCATGGCTATCATGCCGCTCGCTGTCTCGATATTGAGCCAGCAACATCAGGATGTGATACGGCATATGGTAGCCCGAGATAAGCGAACCAACTCTGATGCATCGGTGTCGGTATGAGGTCGATGGTGGTGGATTCCAGAACAGGAAGTCTGGCCAACGCTCACGGTGTATCCAGTCTCGCATAGATACCAATGTACACCTCCAATATGGATGCGGTTGAGGTGTTGTGAAGCATGGTGCCGACCTTATTGGTTGATGTTGACGACTTCCCCTTCACCAAGGCCGCCAATCGGTGAGTTAGAGAGAGAAAATTGTCCATTCCTATTGCGGTAGTTGACCTCTCTGAGTGACCGGGGGGTCAAGCGCAGTCCCGACCCCGACTTTCTTCCATCCTGCATGCTTCCATTGGCGCCTAGTGTGCTATAGCATTGCAAGATCAAGCCATGCTGCAGACTCCGAGACTATGACCAGACATTTGTGCATGCAGCAGACGTGTGGAATGGTCGATGAAAATTGGAGTGGACAGACGAGCAGCCGAAGTGCGATTCCATTCCTTAGAAATGAAACAGCTACCACTGAAGCACTGGAGTTGGTTCGTGGAGACCTTTGGGGTATGGCTTCACAGAGGAATGGTACACCCTGATCTGTAGCACAGTAACGCTTGCGACCAAGAAAAGGCGTTTGCAACAATCCGGCTTCAAACAGTCAGGAGTATTTCTAAGCCTTCCGAATCGGTCCCGCGTCGTGTGAGGGCGGCATTCGACGAATGAAGCTGGCCCTCCAGCAGCCACCTCGGCGGACGCAGACAGTGACCGGAAATGCATTCCAACTCACAGCGAGGCTTTTTAGTGCGCAAGTTGTCCCTCCGAAGGAACGCCCAACCATCACAATCTGGGCACGGGCATGAAAAATGACGACAACGTGATCTGGTGGTATGTCTGTGAGCCTTCCTCCAAGAATGCACCCATTCCTCGACCATATTTGACGTTAGGCAGGCCCACTGGACTGCCGGGCAATGCCTTCTCTTTCGCGGCTCTCAGAGAATTGATGGGTAGACAAGTCGTGACTTGTTTCACCTCAGCGCCCAAAGCTGGATCGTATGGCCATCTGACAAAATATATTTGGATTTGTCCCGTCTCCCAATACTGATGGTCCTCCCATATGCGGAGTCGTTGGCTTTCAGGTATGTCGCTCGCCGAGGTGACCAAGAGGTTCTCTTCTTCAAGCTGGATCAGTGTTTGGAGAATTGTACTGCCCGTTCTTCCTTGTAGATCGCCTTCTGTCCTGTTTGTCTGCGTAAGCAGCTCAACAGCTGAACGGCGGACGATGGGATCACGACATCTGCCAGCGACGAACGCCAGTGTGTCAATCACTCCGGCGTCAATACCGAACGAGACATTTTTTCGCATCTTGGTGGGGTCGGTCAAGGCCTCCTTGTAGAGATTGATGATTTGTGAGAACTTGTCTACATGGACATCGTAGCTGCATTCTTCCTGCGTCCCCAACGTGTCAAGTAGAATGGCTGCGACCAGTGCAGCAGCTTTGAGGAGTTTCTTGGACACAGTCAGTGCCTCGTACCGCTCTACCACATTGATACAGGTCGCGTCGAGGGCAGCAGTCCAACTTGATAGGATAACTTGCGCTTGCAGTTTGTTCTCGCATGTCGAGTCAGAAGGATCGATGTTCTCCTGAGCCCAATCGACAATCTCCTCGAGTTTGTTGCGTGCCTCGAGCAGGTTGCCAAAGCAGTAAGGGATCTCTGGTGTTGGTAGGAGACGTTCGGACTTGTTTCGCCTGATGGCTGCACTCAGCGCCAGGGCAGACGGAACATCAACGATACAGCAGAATCTCATCCGCAGTCGCTCGATAATGGGCCGAAGGAAATTGTTCAAGACAGCCTTCTCGCTATCGGCAAGAACGAGGTCGCCGGAAAGCAAGCGATCATCAATGTCCGTGATTAGACTGTGGCCCGACCTCAGGAGCTGGTAGGCAGTATGGCTATCTTGCAAATTTTGTAGACAAATGAAAATGATGCATGATATCAGAGTGGCAATCTCGGACACTGCAGTTTCAAAGGCCATTCGAGAAGCTTTGCTACTCTGATGCAGGGCCAGCTGCTGTAGGTTGGATCTTTCGTCTGACTCGCTCTCAAACTCGGAGGCTTCGTGCAGCGCGCCTAGGGCAACTACTCCATGGAGTATGGACTGGTTCAAGTAGCAAGCCTGGAGGATCAATTTGTTCCAGAAGGCCGCGTCTCTCCAGCCGGACCACTCTGGCCCTGTCCGCTGGCAGAAAAACACTAAGCTGCGGTGTTCCTGTGGTTCCAGCCCCGGAATGGCGCTGATGGCCTGGAGTACTCGACCAGAATGGCTGGTTGGGGATAGCGATGCGGAGAGTAAAGCACGCTGATGTGGTTCGCCGGTATCATTCTGCTGCGTTTGTACATTGGTGTCGAGGCGGAGACCACGCTGCTTGTCGGCGCCTGCGGTTGATTTTTGCTCCGGCGACAAGGTCCCGTCTTTGCGGTTCCCAGACGGTTTGGCTCCTTGGTGCGCAATTCTTGCTTTCACCTGTCGTTCATGCTGGACATGTTTCCGAATCTGCCTGGTCTCGGCCTTCGAGCTTCTCGACAGGACTGCAGAGGCCGAGTCTTTGTTGATCCAGAGTAGAGATTCGGGCATCCTGTTCGGTGAATGGATCAGGCCTCGTTCCTTGGTCGCCCTTCACCAATGACGCGAGAAGTACGGATAGTGTCAGCTTCAGTTTCGCTGGCTGGTCACACCAAGAAGGTCGGAGCTGGTAGAAAGATCGAACATTGGGGAACTGCCTCAACTGGATGTTGGTAATATTTCAGCATAATTACTCATTGCTTGGACAAGTTGGAGATGTAGGTCCGAGCACGCTCTTAGGCCGCCGATTGATGAGGAAGCGCAAACGCAAGCACGAGTTGACGTCGATCCAGCTCAAGGGTTGAATTCGAGTTCAACTATCGGCGCATCGGAGATATACTGAACCGTTTCAAGATTTTCGAGGGAAAAGGACGCACGTTTGACTTGGCTTGCAGGCTTCTAGGCCCAACTGTTTCCCGTGCCGAGATCGATTGTTCGTGGAGGGAAAAGGAATGGACTCGAATGGAGAAGACTTGTGAGTTGATCCAAACAGATCACGACAAATGCAGGACTAGGAGGTCAGCGGGAGCGAGAAGACACGCCACAATTGAGTGTAATTGGTTCTTTGTCGTGGCTGACTACATCTAACACTCGTGTATATTGGCCGGCGTCGCCAGAAGTTGCCCTGATATGTCGTTTCTAGCTGCTCCCACCACCCTCCACCCACCTTAAGCCCATGATGGCCTGGAGGTATCCAACCCACGGCGCTAGTAATCGTCAACATTGGGGAAATATCTCGCGCATCGTCGTCAGCATCCACTGAAAAGACGGGCTTGAAGATCAAAAGTCCCACGAGTTCTCAGGGAGAACGCGTTTCAGGTTGCAAACTTTCTATATACTAGCTACATCATTGGCTCCAATTCTGCAGACTACATCTTGGACTCTGCGCCCTGCAATGGCTTTCCTTCGTCGGCATCTTTCTCGCTCGGGACTTGGCCCTCCAACACTTCAGCGCCCTCATGGGTGGTCTCGACATTGACGCGTGGACCCTTGAACCATTTCCGTGCGCTAATGGCATAGTATGAGAGGGCGAGGAACATGACGCCTCCATAAATCAGAGCTGTCCAATTCATCGTGAGAGGAGTGAGGTCTTTTCCCTTTACGGCCGGGAAACACAGCGCCGGAACAATAAGAAGCCACCAGCCGACAGCGATGGCCCCCGACAGCTTTGACCACCTTCCAAGATTCCAAGGCCCTTCAACCGAAGGCGTCAGCTCATCCGGACTTTGCCATATTGGAAACGGGGTCTTACCTGGTCTGAATTTGCCATTGTCGAAAAACAGCTTCAAAGCTGTAGGCGTGGTGAACGCCGTATATTGAGCAATTGCGCCCAGGCTGAAAACAGCGCCAATAGCGACAGGGCTTGCGAACATCAACAATCCGAGAAGGGCTGATACTGTAAGCACGCCCCAAGTCGCATAGACTGGAGTTCTGGTCCTCGGATGCACTTGACTCCACCACCTCGAACCGACGATGGCTCCGTCACGAGAGTAGGCAAAGATGACGCGCGTAGCTGTGATGGTGCAGCCTGTGCCAACGAAGAACTGAGCAATAATATTCAGGGAGAACATTGCAAGTCCTGCCTTCTTGCCCAGGACTTGCAGACATAAGCTTCCAAACGGTTGTCCATACTGGCCAGCAACAACGTCGGTGATATCCTTGACTGTGTATGAAATTACCCAAATTATACTCCATCCAAGCCAAAGACCTAATTGAGAGGTCATGACAATGGCTCGTGGCGACGCGATGTTGGCGTTGCTGCACTCTTCGGAGAGATGGAAAGGGGCGTCATAGCCGGACAAGGTCCAGATAGTGGTCAAAAAGCCCATGATAGTGGCCCAACCTATCGGCCATTCTGTCCCATTCTCAAATGTTGTCCAAACTCCGTGACTGTTGTTGGTCTTGGGATGGTTGATGGACCCAACGGGGAACCAGATGACAAATATAATGATGACGGCGACGTTCCAAACAGTCCCAATTTTGTTCAGCCAGCCAATGAACCAGGTCGATTGCATGGTGACGACGCCATTGATGAAGAGCAACAGCAGAAGGACGAGGTAGGTATGCCATGTTTTGGGTTCATAATCCGGATTGGTGATCATGCCGCATGTGATCAACATCGAGGCCAGCGCGTAGTTGACAGAACACGGTCCCGTCACGAAGCCGCAGAAGTTTGACCATCCAACGAACCAGGAAGCCAAGGGACCCCATCCGTCGGGAGCGAGTACAGCGGAGGCGTAATAGAGTCCTCCCGCGGTGGGCATACTGGAACATAGTTCTGCCATACTGAAAGCCGTGGCTTGGATAGCAGCGGCCGATATGAGCCAGCCCCATAGCGCTCCACCCGTTCCTGAGTAGCCTAAGCTGTAAGATATAGTGGAAGCGACTGAAGGCAAAAGTCCCAGGACAGAGAAAGAGACGGAGAAAGATTCCCAGATGGTGAAGTCTCTGCTTCGATGTCAGCAATTGGGCAATCACGACGCGGAAGGGGGGTTTGTGCCTTTTGAATTCCTGCTTGTATCCCAACGCGACCAAAGTCACTTCATCGTGGTCGGCGCCCTCCTGCACCAGAGCATGTTCTCCGCGCTGCTTAAAGACCGAAGTAACGCCAACTTCATCTTCGTCGACGACCGTGATGGAAGCATTCCTGGTGGTCGACATGGCTCGATCGGCGAACAAGTGATGTCGAATCGGTGAACAATTTGCTGGAAAGATGATATGGGACAGGGTGGCCGCCGCGGGTTATTTGAGTCTTTCATCCTTCGCACCTGCGGGGGTGCCGTTAAGCGAGTCAGATAAAGCTACAGGCAGAGAGCCCTTCCTCCAGGGTGGTTGTTGAGCTTGAGGGTGGTTGAGTTGGTGCATCCTTGATAGCGACAATGCTACTAAAGCCCAAAAGAGCAGGAGGATTGATTCCGTGTTAGTGAAAGGGAAGCTTGAAATCAATCGGCCGGACCTTAGGAGAAGCCACATCTGGGGTGATTGGCCCGCAACGTGTGTCGTGGTGAACTCTTGTTGTTGGCTTATCAGTGCTTCGGTAGTCTTTTGGAGGCTTGACAGGGCTATCTTGATCGAAGAGCCTTGGCTCAACCTTCTCACTGGATTCATCAACCACAAGAAGACACGCTTTGATTCGTGCCGTGTCCGAAAGATATGCATGTTCGCCAAATAGTTCTGGAGATGGCCGCGGGGAGTGTCCTCGGCCGTATATTCATCGGCAGGAAAGTACTGTACCGTATCTAGTTGGCCCTGATCAAGGCGATAGATCATAGGGCGCTATTCAACGAGAACCGCGTGGCATGTTTGTCTCGATTCGCAAGCCCACATGGAGTCCAAAAGATAAGAACATGTAGCAATACATCGCAGATCATAGCGAAGCAGCACGAGGTCCATGGGTGCTGACCTTGCTACAGCTTTCATCGGTAGATGTCAGCGGAGAGGAAAATCCCGAGTCAGGAAAGGCGGGGTAAAATGACCTGATGTCGAATGGCATTCAACAATGATCAGAGCCCATCAAAGCCCATCAGAGCCTACAATAATCTAAGAGAACGCCGCAAGAGGGGAAAAGGTCTGGACATGTCGGCAGTCTGAGAGTGCGATACCGCATGGGCTGACTCTTTGCTCATCGAGTGCTGGCATTTAGCGATTGGCGGGCTTCGGTACCCGAGCTGCAGGCAAGCAAGCGAAGATGAAACGAAGGGGGATGGGAAAAGACTGAAACATCTTGGAGGCTGGCCATCAGGAACAATGGAGAATGAGACAACGACTCTGCGCATGCAATCGACGTGAGCATCATCTTGCTACAATGTTATTGGGCGCAGGTAGACAAGTCACGGCCAACCACCGAGTATCGTGGCGAACCCGCGACTGCGGATGTTTTGGATATGGTCCACTTGAATACAGAGACACGACAGCATCCTCCATCCTCCCTACTCAGCCTCCATGCAACGTACGTCGAGACCATATCACAGTACTGCAGAGTTTCCTTAGCTGGCATGCCTACAATCAGACCTTTGCAAGTCAAGACAAGACTTTCTGAATACGATGAAATGGGTGGCTGGATGTTCCTGTTGGCGGCCGCAAAGGAGGACAACTATCGATAAGAACATGGGCGGAAGATGCCCCAGCAACAAGCCATCCCGCCGCCTGGTAAGCCCAAGGTTCGAGACTCAGGGGGGCCGCAGCCATGCCCACAGCCAGCCGCCCACCTGGAGCCACCAACGGCACGCTTGGACATTCGATCTGACGCAGATTCCCCTGCTTTTTGGTGGACCGTTTGGACGCTAAGCAAGCCACAACTGCGTCAATGTTTGGCGATCTCCCTTTCAATGCTCGCCTCCATATCCAATTCCTGATTCTGCGCATGTTCCATTGAGATCCCAGAAACACCTGCAGTTTGAGTGACTTTTCTACACAGTCCACTGTTTTCGTTGTTCACAGATCACCAGACACCATACCCTTGTACCACGAGCCTTTCTCGCTTTGAATTCGAGACGCACTTCGCTTTTGTCGCTAGCGCTTCTGAACCTTGAACTGTCTGCTCCAGCCCGCCGTTTTCTGCGATTTACTGCAAAACAGTGCTTGAGGACCGACAAAAGACTCGCCGATTCGCACAACTGCCTCGCCGGATTGGCCCTCTACGATCTTCACCAATCCTCCCTCACACACTGGGTAAACGGCATACTCGGTGGCTAAGCCTGCTTGTCCCAACGACCACAAACACTTTCCGCGCTCATGGCAACGACCGCATAAGCCCAACTTACTTGCGATAGCTGCCGTTGTGGCAATACTGTCCACGTCCTCAAACCATGGAGAACATACATCCTCAAGTATGGGCAGTCGCCCACACTCTAGTCGCCCGCAATGAGACCAACTCGACATCGACAGCAACCACCGAGAGCCGGCCAGGAAGTTACAAAGCAATCGGTCTCAGTTTGGCTGTCGCCTCTGGTCTGTTCATTGGTACATCATTTGTGCTGAAAAAGACGGGCCTTCTCAAGGCAAACGCGAAATACAACGAAGAAGCGGGCGAGGGATATGGTTATCTCAAGAACTGGTATTGGTGGACAGGGATGACCTTGATGATTGTGGGCGAAATCTGCAACTTTGTCGCCTACGCTTTCGTCGATGCCATATTGGTCACGCCCCTGGGTGCCTTGAGTGTGGTGGTGACGACTATCCTGTCTGCCATCTTCCTCAAGGAGCGACTCAGTTTCGTCGGAAAAGTTGGCTGTTTCAATTGCATCATTGGCAGTGTGGTTATCGTCCTGAATGCGCCTGAGCAAAGTGCTGTTGCTGACATTCAAGAGATGCAACACTTTGTCATTTCGCCTGGCTTCCTCAGCTACGCTGGGGTCATCATTTTGGGCTGTACTTTCGTGGCTCTGTGGGTGGCGCCACGTTACGGTAAAAAGAGCATGCTGGTCTACCTGAGTATCTGCAGTATGATCGGTGGCCTCAGTGTGGTCGCGACTCAGGGCCTGGGAAGTGCAATCATCGCACAAGCGAATGGAGAACCGCAGTTCAACAAGTGGTTTCTATACGTCCTTTTGGTCTTTGTCATTACGACACTGGTGACTGAGATAGTCTATCTCAACGTGAGCATACCCTCCGCGATGCCGACGCCGCTGCTGACCTGATCTGCAGAAAGCTCTAAACATCTTCAATGCCGCCTTAGTCACACCAACCTACTATGTGTTCTTCACTAGCGCCACCATTATCACTTCCGCCATCCTATTCCGAGGCTTCAAGGGAACCGTGGCCTCGATTATAACGGTGGTCATGGGCTTTTTCCAGATTTGTGCCGGAGTCGTGCTCCTGCAAATGTCAAAGTCGGCCAAGGATGTTCCAGATGCAGCAGTTTTCAAAGGCGATCTCGACCAAGTCAGAGAAATAGCAGAGGTCGAACAGCCAGAATCCGAGCCAAAGGCCGATGCCATCCGTGGTACCGCCGCTTTGATCAGGAGAATGTCAACCGCCCGACGGAAGTGGGAGCAAGAAGAAGCAAGGCGACTACATGAAGACAAAATGAAAGACCACCTGGAGCCGGTGCGCGAGAACGAAATCGTAGAGTGGGATGGCCTTCGGCGCCGAAAGACAGTTATCGGCGAGCCCGGCGCGGCACCAGCTGTTCGAAGGAAGACTGTGCATCCTCCATTAGGGATGTCTCAATTCCCTGAACCGAACGACGAGGATGATCCTGAGCCAGGGCCTGGCTTCTTTGAACATTTACGCAGTCGTGCTCAGACTGTCATTCACAGTGCGACACCGCACCAATCGAACCCGATGCCTGAAGGTGGTCTGAACAGTCCCTTGCACCCCGTCGCTCTTACGGACATCAAGTTTCCGCCTTCACAGATAGACTCGCCTATCGTCCCTTACGGCCCGGGTAGCCTCGAAGACGCTCAGGAACGGATATATGGCCTCCCTCGTGGTGAACTTCGACACCAAGATACCAGGGCTGGAGTCGTTCAGCCTTCACCTCGGTCCAAGCCGCTACCAGCGAAACCAACCCCGTCACCGGGCCTGAACCCTCCCCAGGAAGCAAGGCGACAGTTCTCTTTTACCAATTTCCTTCGCCCGGGATCTCGTACACCGAGCAACGACCAAGCAAACCCTCGTCCACCTCTCCGGCCACGAACCAGTAGCACCAGCCACGAGCAAAAGCGAGCCATCAAAAATGCTACCGAGGAGGAAAGACTGGGCCTGGTTAAGGGTGATTCTCACGTTGCTTTGCTTCAACCCGAAATGTCCCACTCTCCCGAACGTCCACACCAGCCCATCTCTCATTCCCACTCCCAGTCCACTTCCGTCAGTAGTGTGGATGATCACTATCACTATCAATACCCTTCTCCTTCTCTACGTTCTCTGTCAGATTCTGACGAGGATGACGGATGGCAGATGACGAACTCTACGAGCGCACCGATCGGCAAACCAATGTCGAACCTACCAAATCCCGTTCCGGCACTCAAGACTCCAAGCACTCGGCGGAGACCAAGTCCACCGAGGACCTATCAGCCTCAATCAGTCACGAAGAACACGCGAAGCAATCCCATGGAACACCCACTTCCGGGTATGGTGGTGGGCGGCGGACCGGGACAGGGCAGAGTCGTGCCAGCAGCGTCAGACCGTTCCCAGAGTTCATTGACGAGCCCTTACCAGACCGGGACACAGACTCAAGGTCCTGGTTACCAGCCGAGAGATTTCGCGCATCACCAAGGTCGAGCTTTAGAGGAGGATCTGAGACGGCGCGAAAGCCCGGTTGATACCACGGCGCCTGAGCGGACACGGGGTGACAGTCCTGACGACTACGATTCCAGCCGGAAACGATTTGAAGAACAAAGTAAACGGGAACGAGAGGAACGTAGGCTAAGAGCGACAGGATTGCGTCAAAGCTGGAAGCCGCCCACCCCTTGATCGAAACAGCTTTGTCTAAAGGCCTCTGGCCTACGATTGTAAATTATACATGTTGTTTAGCATCCATGAACCCATCCATGACCAATAGAGAGAAATGATCAAAGAACTACTCGTGTATCCCTCGTTGTCTGCTCACTCAATATGATTAGTAATGAGGAGGACCTGGAGTACCTGGAGCCAGTTCGCAAGGCTTGCCTCGTACTGGTGCACAGCCCCGAGTCCGTCCATGGCTTCGGTTCACTTTAAGTCCGAATATCCGTGCTGCGTCGAGCCTTTTGAAGGTCAGAGCCCGTTGACGGCCCTACCTGTGAGGCGTTTCCCAATGGACTTTACCTTGTCAGCGCGTACCGGAAGGGGAAGGAAGTCTTGTTGTATCGTTCTGCATTTACCAGCGATAGAGCCGCACGAAGATGGCTGATTCCCCAGCATCCGACAGTTCCCAAGGGTCCGCAGACGACTCAAACGCCCAACAGGCGACCGCGAAAGCGCCGGCACTCAAGGACAAAGAATGCCACTTCTGTCACCAACACTTTACCTCGTCGTCCCTAGGTCGGCACCTTGATCAATTTCTCTCCAAAAAGAAGCCGGATGGTATACACGATGTGGAAGAGATCCGCAGGCTGCGTGGTGGGATCACGCGGCGCACAGCACGAAGCTCGCGGAAGGACAAGGATAAGAAAGAGCAAGGCGATTCAGTATCCTCGCAAGCCTCTCCAGCCCCAGGCATGCAGGTGGACGCTGTCCCGACCAACATTACCGACTTGAATCGTGTTCCTCCTGGTGGAATGCATGTCCGGTTGAACAGGCTGAACTGGCAGGCGACGGGAGTGATCACTGACCCAACCACGCTCGATTCACCTGTTACTGCCGTGCCTCCCACTCCTGCAGCTTTGTCAAGTCCGTCAGGCGTCAAGCGAAGCTTCTCTACCTATGTGCAAGACCTGAATCCTGGATCCAATGCTGAGACGACCCGCGCACTCGAACTCGCTCTACGGGAAGTGCTCGATTCTTTGCGCGCTGCTACGAAGCATGCCTCTCCGCAACCATCGCCCTTCAAATTCGACATCCAGTCTCAGACGTATCCTTCTCTGTGCCTGAAACTGCTCCCCGCGCCTGCCACTCTGTTCCAAGTCTCGCCGTTTTCCACCCCACAATCCATACCGATTTCGCCTCCAGGACCTGACCAGCTCCAACCGCTCCGACAGAAGCTATCTACGACGATTGACTTCTGGAAATGGCAGGCCCTGCGACTTTCGCAGCCAACCACCTCCAACATCGCAGAAGAAGCGGACTTTTTGAGTCGGAACGCGGCCCAATGGACCGAGTCGACGCTCAACCACCTCGAGGTCTGCTACCAGAACTGGATGGTGCATCCGATCGAAGTGCGCAATCTACTGTGGCAGGTCGAGCTGTTGAGGTCATACAACACCGAACAGCAAAGGGTGGCGGAGCTGGAAGAGAAACTCGAGTCTCTGCAGCAGGAAACCAATCAGCTCCAGCAGCAAGTGGAATATTTGTCCCGCTGCCAGTGGCCCAGGGAGATGGCGCTGTGGCCGCCTGAGCGGAGGACCTTTGGACCCTCCATGCGCGAAGAGTTGCGGCTGATCAATCTGAACAAGGTACCTGGCGCTGAGGGGCCCGAAGAATTGGTCCAGGTGTCGGATAATGTCAACACCAGAGGCGATAAATGGGACTTTGACAGGCTCGTCAGCAAGTGGAAAGCGCATATCCGAGAGGACAAGAGCAGACGAATACCGCAGAGTGTCACGCCAGCAGATGGCGGTGCGAAAGTCGCCGACTTGAAAAGGTCGCAGACCGAACCTGGAGTTAATGGGCTGTCAAACGGGCAATCGCCTAATCACGACGAAAGACGGAAGAGTTCGAGGAGTCAGAAGGGGAACATCAATATAGTGTCTGATTTTTAATGAGTAGTATTATTCTTTCGAATGCAGTTTGTACTCTGCAAAATCATGTCCAGAGGGATCCCCGTCCCATTTTTGGTGTCGATTCTTTATATTCCACCGTCCCATTCCCATTCCCATTTCCGGTCCCAGATAATAAATTGTTTACAAATTGAAAATCGCAACGCTAGGGTCTTTTCATTCTCGTCAAATCGTAGTCAAAACCAAGAATCTCGCTCGTCCTCGAGCCGTAGCAGGCCGGAAATCTTCCTTTCACCGGATGTTTCCTCGGCCTGAGCAGGAGTCTTGGTGTCATCGTCAAGTTGGAATCGAACATGGAGAGTCGTCCGCGTCATTCTTCTTCTTCGTCCGCCTCCTTCTCTCTCTTCGCGAACATGCTGACTCGGTTCTGGATCGCGTAGATCGCGTATCCGACAATCGCCAGTACTACGAACAGCACGATCACGATGATCGCTATCACGTAGTTCGGCTGCATAGTGGTCTAGGGGTTGTGGAGTAGACTGCGTCCGGACGTGGTTGCTGACTTTGCGATCACTCGAGGCCGGGACAAAGGTGCCCAGAGACGACGGTGCGCTTCGAGCGCGTTTGTGCAGTGACTGAGGTGCGGAAAGCACTCGGAAGCGGACAGGAGGCGGTGGACTTAGGCCCGGGCCTTGTGAGAGGGAGGAGCTGTTGGGAAGGTCCTTGATGGGTATTGGGTGAGAGTGATAGCTTCGAGGCGACACTGGTCGCGGTGATGTCGGCGACGAGGGAGAGGGGTCCAAAACAAAAACACGACGTTCAAGGGCCGGTGGAGCAATTTTGAGAGATATATAGAAAGTGTTTCGAAGGGGGGAGAGGTGGTCCTTAGTCGTGGTCAATGAGGTTGGCAAGAAGGGCCTGCGGTCAGTAGCGCGTGGTAGGATGGTGATTCGTTAGCAAGTCAAGCTTGAAATGGTTTGAGATGGCTGTACGGAGTGAAATGCTGGAATGTTAGCAAAGAATGAGCGGCAGCATAAGGGTACATGTAGCAATTCGCAGATTGGACAACCAGCCTCTTGAGGATGTGAGACATGATGGCTGGTAGAGTGATGGCGAGATGGTGAGATGGTTGGTCGAAGTGGCAGGACGAAGAGATGATGTTTTCGCACGAGGCTGGGAACGGATGGGTCTGTCTGACGCTGCCTTCCAAGGTTGTTTCCGGATGATACTGCCAAAGTAAGGAGCAGCCTTGGCATTAACGAGAAAACACTTCTGTCAGACAGAAGAGTCTGTCAGGCGCCGACTGTCGATCACCCGCGAGGCTGGCTAGCGAGCTAACTCGCCCAGTTAACCAACAACTTGAACTTGCAACAACACATCCAACTCAGTCGATATACTGCTCACATCAAGTAGGAAGTCTGTCTCAACTAGACTTGCACAGCATTTGCAGCGAGTTCAAACATTATCAGTAGTGCAACATGGACTGCACAATCAGCACACTCCCCGTCCAGCCAACAACCGCAACGCATCCATGGCCGCTTGCGGCACACGAACACCGCTGAGGTGTCAATCTACTGAGCTTTTTGAGATGACATTTTCGATACTCAATGTAACAGGTAAATCGCAATTTGATCCTCCTTTTGTTTTCAGCGCAAACCACTTTTGCGCAAATTCTACCGCCGTGCCTCTACTGAACTGTGTCTCTCTTCGTGCCGAATATCTTTGTGCACTTGGCTAATAACGCGGTTGCTATGCTTTGTTGGAAATCGACCTCTTCGCGGCCAATTAAACCCTGGCAACAAAGAAGATGGACAGTGATTTCTTCTCATGTCCCGCATGCGCTCTCTTTGAAAGTCTGGGACTCGACAAAGAAGTCCCGCTCCGGCTCGTACAAAATGATCACCGCAGGCGCCGGCTCAAAGCCACCAAACACTACCAGGCTCAAGCGCTCCTCCTACAACGTATAGCCATGCTCCCAATCAATGCAGGCAATGTCGCCAGCAAGCCGAGTCTTGATACATCATACTTCAGTTTCTCTGCCGATGAGAACATGCGATCTCCGAGAACACCTACTTATATCCCAGATACTCCATCGCCGGAATTCATCGTGCCACTTGATCACGCCAAGATGATCATCGACTCAAGGTCTGACCTGTACGGCAGTACCGCGAAGTGGAGCCCACCGCCTGAAGAGCCGATGGCCTGGGTTTGGATATGCCATTTGTGTCATTCACGATATTCACTCGGTGTAACACGGCGCTGTCTGATTGACGGCCATTATTACTGCTCCGGCGAAACCGATCGTCCGAGTCTTCGGAAAAAGAGGAAGAACAAGAGCTGTTCCAGCGAGTTCGACTATGTGGCCTGGAAGGCCTGGGGAGAATGGCGCCGAAAGGCTCTCCAGACCATCAAGAACCCACGAGTGCCGCGGGGCTGCGAGAATTGTGAATTTCCAAGTCAATGTCGATACCCATCGGAACCTCAGCAAACGAGCACAGCGAAAGTGGATGAATCTTCTTCTCAGGACCCGTCGCGGAAGGATAGTAAAGACAAGGAACCAACTATGAAAGCAGCCATGGAGCCGACCTCCAACAAGAACATCGACTTCGACCAGATTCTGAGCAATATGTTCCACAAGGAGGAGAATGTGAAATCGAAGGGCTCGGAGGGACAAGACTGCGGCTCAACATCTCGCAAGAAAGGCAGTTCGAAGAAGAAGACTTCGCAGAAAGGACTGATTCCTTCACTGGAAGAAGAAATGTCAAGGGAAACCGCAAGGCTGCGTGAGCTAGTAGGGATGGATTTGTGGAGTACGCTGCAGGATGTTGAGCTTGGAAAAGCAAAGGTTGAATAGTCCAGCTGTCTGGGTCAGATGCGAATGGATAATCAGAAAGTCCTTCTTGCCCTAATGGTTCCTGAGGTGCATGAGCCGCTGGAGCATGTTTAGGTGTCTGTCTATTATCTACTTCCCAAGGAGTCCTCCCACATATTCGGCGATAGCGAGCATCTTTTCTTCTGTGAACCTCCTCCCGACAATCTGCACACTGACATGTGCGCCATCGTAAATGTCGGCGTCATAGTCGTCGAACGCCTTCTTGTCTTGGTCGTTGATGGGCGAGTATCCCTTCGAGTATTGATCCTTGGTCTTGTCTGCAGTCGTCACTGGCAAAACTACAGTCGTGTAGTCTAATCCATTCACGAAGACACTATAGCCGTAGTAAAGATATTTCTCTGGTCTGGCCGCAGGATAGGGTGCAAGAGGACAGATGAAGCCATCGACAGGCTCGCCGGTACCCGTCTCTTGGGCAGTGCTGTTCCAGTAATCCAGATATTCTTTTTGGAATCGCCGCTTGGCAACATTGTTGGCTGCAATTTGTGATGCTGTCATTTCTTCTTTGGGTTTGTCTCCAAAGGCCCCTTTGATCTGAACCGCCATTGGCTCTCCAGACAACGCAAATGCACCGTGGACATCTTTCCCACCGTCGTAAACCCACGTCTTCAACGCAATGTCCAACAGTCTTGCATGCGATGGAGGTTTCCACTCAATGATCTTGTGTCCTGCTTTGCTCAATGCTTCCGCCACCATCGAAACGGCTCTCGCAACGGGTGGCTGAGGATTGACGATGCCATCGGATTCCATGACTCCAAAGCTGAGCTGGCCTTTGCCTGAAGATGACTTTACAATATCCAAGATCGCTTGCTCTTGAGAGTCTCGCCACGGCATGTCAACCACCAAGGGGTCGTGTAGCCAAGGCTTTTGCGATAAGATGGCTTTGGTTAGTAATTTGACAGACCGAGCAGTGGTCGCAAGCGGACCGACGACGGACAAGATGCTGTTCTGGCCATCCATGCTGTTTGCCATGCCTTCATACGGAAGTCTCCCGGCTGTCGGACGAATACCGTACAAGCCGTTGAAAGCTGCTGGAATGCGAATCGATCCCCCAATGTCTGTGCCGAACCCTCCGGGTGAGCCCCTCAAGCTTATCAGAGCTCCTTCGCCGCCAGAGCTACCGCCGGAGCAGAGATGGCGGTTCTTTGGATTCCAGGTGTAGCCGATGATGTTGTTGACGGTCTCGCCGGTCATCAGAGTATGAGGCACGCTAGTCTTACAGTATAAAACCGCTCCCAGCGCCCTTAGCTCCTTGACCATCTCGCTCTCAAATGTCTTCTTGCGTGGATCATCAGGAACTCCTTCGAAAGTGTCAATCCAGCCAACGTAGCCCATCGTGGTCTCGACACCCTTGACGTGAAATTGATCCTTCAGCGAAACGGGAACTCCGTGCAGTGGGCCGATCGTCTTCTTGTGTTGTGCGTAGTAGTCGTCCAGTTCTTTGGCCGAAGCAAGAGCGGCGTCGAAGAAGGTCTCGTGGAGGCAATTTACCAGCTGGTGAGCCAACGAAGCTCGGTGGCAGAATGCTTCCGTCACAGATACTGCAGACCAAGTGCCAGCGGCCACCATTTCGGAAATTCCAACGGCATCGGTCTCGGTGATCTCGATCTCATTCTCATTCAGGAATTGCTGGATATACGGACCCGTGACATCTTTTTGCTCTTCGACCGATGGAATCTTCTGAAGGCGCCATTTGTCCGGGATCGAGCTCAGGATAGCTTCTCTTTTCGCTTTCGCCCGCGATTGCCAATCGGTGACCATTCTGATGAAGGACTGAATCAAGCACCGTAGATGGAGCTGAGTTGATAGTTGACACCTGGATATCGATCGCTATCTAGGAGCTGCGACAGACTGAACAACTCAACACTCCCCGCTCGAAAGGAGGAATATATCTGGGAAGGTAGGTGGGGAGCCGGGAGACGCACATCTCCACAGAACGAATCCGAATCTCCTGCCTTTTCGGGAGCAATTCCGGTAAACAGGGCAATAGGCAGACGTCTATCTGTGCGTATTCGGAATTTCTAGTTCACTTTTCCTTCATCTGCCGCACGTTGAGGTTGATGCGTTTGTTCTTCATCCATCCATGCCATTCTTGGTATTTTGGTTCATTCGAGATGTCCGGCCACGCTTGTAGCCAGGGTGGGCATGTGCCGGCCACGATCTTCGGAACCGCGTGCCAGGCATATCTAGACCGCCCCGACATCAATATGGCGTCTCCTGATCTCAAGCGAATAGTGGCGACGTCGGTACCATCGTCATTCCCAGCGAGGAAGATACCATCGCAACCGATGCTTATGCTGATGAGGTCTCTGTCACATTCTTCGCTGACGTCTCTGTGTACACTCAATGTATCACCGGGGCTGTAAAAATTGACAATCGCGGCTTGGGCGTCAACGGTGGGAAAGAGAATCTTCAGTAGCGTAGCAATATCAGAAGGAAAGACTGGCGGAGTCTCGTCAGGGTAGATTTTGTTCGTCCAGTCGTATTGTCCTCCCAGCGTCATCCATCGTAGCTTCGAGTCGAGCACCTGGCGATAGGTAATAGGCCGATGGACTGCAGGATCTTTGGGTACGAGATATGCTTGTCTGTCAGCGCTGAAGAAGGAGCACGAGCTGACAGCATCACTTCCATGGACCTCCCCTTTCGAAACAGGATATTCGACATCATAGTGCAGGTATAGATTAGTCTTGTGAACTCGATTGCTCAGGTCACGGTGCAGAAGCTTCTCCAGCAAGGCAGTTTGCAAATGAGGGGTGAGCAGAGAAGGAAATACGTATAAACCTACTGACGTTAGAGGCTCCCTACAAAGATCACAAGCATCAGGAGCGTACCAGGCAAAGCGCTCATTTCGAAGGCCGCCCCGGGCAAGAGAGAGTCTTGGATGTGCAGTAGGTCTGGGGCCTCAGTACCTTTGGCAAATTTCAGCTCCAGGTCTTGAAGCGCAGCCTTTTGAATCTGGTCTGATGGAGCAAGGAACGTGACCGAAGCAGGATCCGGATCGCGAGGGTCGATTATCCCACGGTCAGACTCGATGGACTCAAGAGACTGTTTCCGCCGTTGCTTGAAAAGATCTTTCATCGACCCAGGTGGCACAGCGTGAGCATCATGAGATCCGCTCACCATCTTCCACAACAACAAGATATCGACGAAGCAAGTTTAGAAAGGCTGCATCGATCGAGACCTGTAGTTGTGCACGGCTGTGGAAGTTCCAGGTCCGCTTTCGTGGTGGTCGGGTTTGCGTAACCATATATTTTTATTTTTGGGTCGAGTTTGACATGCTTGGATCGGTGGTTTCAATCGGAAGGATCTTCTTTTGGAGCGTTCTCGTAGATTTCCAAATGCATTTCCTTCTCGCCCGTGAGAGCTACCCAGCTAGTTACCCAGGTACTGTAGTCCTGCTATCATCTAATCGTGGCTGGCATGTTATTTTGTTTCATCTGCAAGGCGGCCCTCCGGCTAAATATCGGTCCAGCTCATACTATGTATCGAGGTCAGTACCTAGGTACCTAACTGTGAACGCTGATGAAGCCTCCACGACCCTCACAAAACTTGCAAAATGAGATGTACTTCGTCGTCCTCGACGCTTTGAAAGCCGTGAACAAGCGCCTGGACACGTCTCCATTAATTCGTGCTGTCGATTATGACTGCGCTCTTAGCTTTTGGCACCTTTGCCATCTGTGACGTCGCTGGCGCAGGAGATGGCACAAGATGAACATGAACAGCATTACCTGAATCCTCGAGCCAGTGTACGTAGTCATTGACAAAGCACGAGTCAGGCATACTGACATTCTTGCCATATAGCTGCGATACTCTTCCTACATTGATCCGTCGACAGGCGCGAGACTGAGCAGAACCTTTACCCTCCGGAGCTATGGCAAGGCCAATGATGGACCGGGGCGCGAAGAGTCCGACGAGACGACCCCTCTCCTATCCCAAGCACTTCCTTCTGACGGCTATGTACCTCCATCGAAAGCCGGGGCTCTGATGGTCAAGAGCAAGGAGTATGCGACGCGACTCAAGCAATTTATGCAGTCCGATACAGGGAAGGGTATCTTCAAATGTGCTCTAGCATACCTCCTCGGCAGCCTTGCAACATTTGTTCCTGCATTGAGTCAGTTGTTTGGTCGCCAGAACTCTAAGCACATGGTCGCCACCATTACAGTCTATTTCCACCCTGCCAGGTCCCTTGGGAGTATGCTTGATGCCTTGCTTCTCGCAGCGTTGGCCTTTCTCTATACCGCAGTCGTCTCTCTCCTCAGCATGACCGTTGCCGCTTTTTTCGCAGATGTTGTTGGTCTGATCGAGCTTGGTCATGCAATTGTGCTGATCCTCTTTGTCGGAGGCGGCTTGGGATTCGTGGGTTGGGTCAAACTCAGGAAGAATGATCCTCTCGTCAACATCGCTTGTTCACTTACATCCTTGGGCCTGATCACTATACTTACCAAAGAAGGAGCCATCCAAGCCGGAGATTACTCTTTCAAAACGATTACTCAGATTCTGAAAATGATAGTCGCCGGTGTGGTCGCAACGATGCTGGTATCATTCCTGATATTCCCCATCTCGGGCCGTGCAAGGTTGAAGAAGAACATCCTCGATGTCACGGACACACAGTCCGACATGCTTGCTCTAATAACGAGCAGCTTTTTGTCGGGAGATGAAGCCGAGCTTGAGAACGGCATTATTTCTGGTGTCACTGAGCGGCACAAGGAAGTCTCTGGCACCGTCAACCAGAATTTGAAGGAAGCGAAATATGAGCACTATTTACTCGGCACGGAAAGGCAAGCTATGGTCGAGACACGGCTTGCACACTGCATACAGCGCATCTCTCAAAGCATTGGTGGTCTGAGAAGTGCTGCAGCAATGCAGTTTGTCGTCGTCAAGGAACCCCCATTTGGATCAGTCTTCCGTTCCGAAGGTACCGCTGGACTCACACACCTCTTCTCTCCGGAAAGTCCTACTGCTGGTGGTGACAGCAGAACCTCATTCCACAACCTCTTTCCAGTGTCGTCTTCTCAGGTGCCACAGGGCGAAAGGTTCCAGTCTGGTGAACAGCCCTTCCGCACCCCTGCACAAATTTTTGAGCTATTTATCCAGAATCTAGGTCCAGCCTTGCGATCGCTTGCTTTTACCTTGAAGGAAATCCTCGACCACCATCCATTTGACCCCGCGCAATATTACGCCGTTAGCACTAATCCCAAGTTCAAGATCAGCCTGGACCGTGCGATCGACCTGTACAAGGACAGTCGTCGGAAGTCACTGGCCGTCGTATATGGACAGAAAGATATGGATCGTTCCCGACCCCTTGCGGTGCAAGCAGATTGGGAAGACGCCGCGGCTTGTTGTGGGCATTTCTCCTTTTCTTTGGTCGAGGTTGCTGAATCGGTCAAAGAGTACCTGAATATTCTGGACGAGTTGCAACTCGAGGTTGATGAGCATCCATCCGGTAGGACATGGAACTGGTTGAAATTCTGGCAATCAGACAGTGACCGACACCAGCTGCATGGCCTCGACCCTGATTTTGCCCAAATCGTGAAGAAGACAGACGAACTTGATCTCCAGTTTTCGAATAAGCCACTGAACATGGCCCGGCCTTACAACGAGGCTGCCTGGAATGGTCGGGCACGCATCAAACGAAAGCTGTTTCACAAAATCTACGATGCGTCCGCCCTTTTTCGGCGTGCAGATGTCAAGTTCGCTATCAAGGTCGGCTTTGGTGCTATGCTATACGCGTTGCCGAGCTTTCTACCCGCAACACGTCCCATATACTCACATTGGAGAGGCGAATGGGGCCTATTGTCTTACATGCTAGTGTGCAGTATGACAATAGGCGCATCCAACACGACCGGCTACTCGCGTATATTGGGCACATGCCTCGGCGCCGCCCTAGCAATAGCGGCATGGAAAGTATCCAATGACAATCCCTTCGCTATGGCCGCCCTAGGGTTTTGCATGGCGTATTGGACAGCCTACATTATTATTGGCAAGGGCAAGGGTCCAATGGGACGCTTTATCATGTTGACATACAATCTCAGCGCATTATACGCGTACAGCGTCATGGCACAAGACGATGATGGCGATGGGGACGAAGAAGACTCTGGAAATCGTCCTCTGATCGTTCAGATCGCTACACACCGTGTTGTGGCAGTCATCTCCGGTACCATCTGGGGTCTAATAATTACGCGCCTCATCTGGCCGATATCTGCGCGACAAAAACTGAAGGACGGACTGTCATTGTTATGGCTGCGTATGGGGCTGATCTGGAAGAGGGATCCACTGGCCGCCATCACAGACGGCATGCACCCGGACCGGTACATGAATCTTCGCGAGGAGTTCTATCTGCAAAAGTTTCTGGCTAAGCTCCAGAGCCTTACGGAAGCTTCCAAGAACGAGTTCGAATTCAGGAGACCGTTTCCACATGCAACCTATGCACGTATCCTCAAGAAGACGGAAGAAATGCTAGGTGCCTTCCACGCAATGAACGAGGTAATTCTCAAAGACGCGAATGCCTCGCCTGGAGAGGAGGCGCTACTGAAGGCGACAGTCGATGAACGAGCACAACTATGCGGCAGAATCAGCCACTTGTTCAGCGTCCTGGCAAGCTCCATGAAGCTCGAATACTCAATCGCTAGCGACGCGTTACCAAGCATAGATCACACGCGGGACAGGCTGTTGGCTAAAGTGTTTGCATACCGACAGAGTGACGGGCAGGAGCGGAAAACCAATGATGAGGACTACAGCTTGCTGTACACGTATGCTTTGGTTACAGGGCAACTGAATCTCGGCATACAAGACGTGCTGAAGGACGTGGAGGAACTCTTTGGTATCGTGGACGAGGAAGCGCTTCGGCTTGAATGAACCGCCATTGACCCCAAGTCACAAAAGTACTCGTAACCTAGAAATAAAAATGTCCTTCGTGCTCACTTCTTCTAAAAATGGTCCTTCTTCGTCCCTCCAGAATGTTGCTGCCTGGTATCAAGACGTGGCCTCGTGCGGAGATTGGTGAAGGCACTCCAGGAGCCAGGGTGGGAGTACCAAGTGTGCAAGTACTACTCATTGTGGCCTCGTTCACACGATTCTCGCCCACATTGCATTAGGCGCCCCAGGCCGGGAGCTCGACTACGGCCCAATTGCGATTAGTGAGGCAGTGCCCAGAGAATCAACGTCAGTTAAACGCGTCATTCGCTCCGGGCGCCGAGCCGACTCCCCACAAGAACGCCCCGACCACAGCCTTGCCAGCGGTGCCAGCCTACATTCGTACCGTCGTGAGGCTGTGGGTATCACTTGCGTGGCTGTGTCCATATAAGTCGGTCGGGCCTGCATCGCAGTGCAATATGTACTGATCGAGCGCGATTTCTACATTGCAAGGTCACCGTTTCGAAACGTCTCTGACCACCACCTCGCTTCAGCAAGAATCCCAAGTCAAGTGCGAAGGCTAGCATCTCATGCAAGTACACAAATAGACGGACAGAAGATGTTGGATGAGAATCTCCCTAGTACGTGCGCCTCTATCATATCCTACTGGCTGCTCTGACGTGAACAGCCTTTGTTCTCAAGCCGTCAAAGGACAGACCGAAACAGAACTCGACGTTCTTTTTCTCTCAGCATGGCGCCGATTTTGAGCCTGCCTACACCCTGCGCCATCTCGACCCGGAGCAGTACGCTTCTCGAAATCGATATGCCGTCGCTCTCTACGATGCCTTCAATCCTGATGTCCTCTATGCGGAAGTCCTCCTTATTCCAGAATGGACGCAACCGCCCCCAGTCTCCGAACAAGCCAGACTGAACGGCGCAGTTCCTCCCCCTCCCGAGCCTATCCTCCCTACAGAATTCGCGATACAGTTATATAATCCAGATCAGCAGGTGATGGTCAGGCACAAACCAGCAAGCTGGAACACTGCGGCGTGTTGGGAATTCGAGATGCCTCAGCAGACATTCCGAGCGCCGTCTACCTCAGCACTAGATCGGGGCCAGCATGACCCTGCCGCTTCTGAGGTTACACCCATGGTCGGCTTCAAATGGAAGAAGGATAGCAAATTTTCCAAAGATCTAGCATGTTTTCTTTCTGGGAAGAGCACGGATATCGTCGGTAGCAAGTCGAAAAGCAAAGAGCCGGATATTACGGTGTCGATATTCAAAGGGTTGAAGGAACTCACACTGTACGAACCCAACCTACAAAGAGTTGACATCGAGGACTTAAAAGGGTTTGAGGTTGTCCTATTGCTAGGAGCCGTGGTCATTCGTGACGTGTACTTTGGTTCCCTCAAGGAGACCTTCAACATTTCCGCAGCCGGAAAAAAATCCAACCCTACGAGTCCGAACTCGGCCGCCGCCGCACTAGCCACCGGTGTTCGTCCTCAGACGGCTTCGCCAACCGCTTCTCAAGGACCAACCCGCGATCCGCGCGTGCCTCCGACCGATCCAAGAAGTCAATGGGAGTTGGACGCCGAGACCACTCGCTTGCAGAGACAATTTGCAGAAGAAGAACGGGCCAAGCGATGCCGGGAAGAGGAAGAAGAAAGGAGGACTAGACTCTTGCTAGAAAACGAGGAGAAGGAACGACGTAGACGGCAGCAGGCTGAAATTGACCTGGAAACTGAACGACTCAAGCAATTGTATGGCCATGAAGACGCCCATGCACGTCCAAACTTGCCGCCTCGAGATCCGCGACAGCAAAGACATCACTCGGAATCATTGCAGACCGCGTACCGGCAATCTCAGCAAGGCTCCCGGCCAACAGCGCCCTACGCCAACGCATGGGGTGGTTATCCTGCAAGCGGCCCCAATAGCGGCCCATACATGTCAGGCGCGGCTTCTCAGTCGACCCTGCTCACACCTCACACTTCACAAGCACCCAATCTGAAACAGAAGTCGAGCATTTTCAATTTCCGCCGGCGCAGCGACCATGATGCAAACAAATTGCAGAGAAAACGAAGTGCCGTATTCTGATTTTATCCGAGCTTCCTCTTTCGGCAGGTACATCAGACCCTGGAATGCGATCGGTCAATCTACCGACAAGTCCGAGTCAAACATGTCATCATCTTGAGAACTTTGAGGACACACTTCATTCTGCTCCTCAGTTCTGCTTGCATCGAATTCCCTCTTGACTGATTCAACTCCTCAGCAGCCAATATTCGAACATGGCGGCTTCTTTGGGAAAGCGTATTGTCTTCACAGGAGGATCTGGTAAGGCCGGGCGGCATTGCATTCCCTACCTTCTCCAAAATGGTCATCAAGTCCTCAACCTGGATCTTGTGGACTTTCCAAAGGACCATCTACCAACTGGAACGTCCGTCTACACGATGAAGTGCGACCTCACCGACGGCGCTCAAACATTCAACGCACTGTCCTCGCTATTTTCCATGGACGAATATGAGCTGCCAAAACATCCTGGACCACCAGATGCAGTCATCCACTTTGCAGCATACGCACGCAACATGATAGTGCCCGACAGCGAGACTTTTCGTGGCAATGTCATGAGTACCTATAACGTCATCGAGTCTGCCTGCAAACTAGGAGTCAAGAAGATTGTCATCGCCAGCAGCGAAACGACATATGGAGTCTGCTTCAGTCAAGGAGATGATGATTATCATTCTTTTCCGCTTGAAGAGGATAGCTATGATCGCAATCCGATGGATACCTATGCCTGTTCCAAGTTGACCGGAGAGCGCATTGCGCGCACATTTTCCCGGCGATTTGGAAATGACATATATGCACTGGTCATTGGCAATGTCATCGAACCCCATGAATACGAGCGAGACTTCCCACGACACGTTGGCGAACCGGAGACGCGAAAAAGGAATGCCTGGAGTTATATTGACGCACGGGATCTTGGGCAGATATGCGACTTGTGCGTTGCAAAGTCTGGGTTGGGTTTCCAAGTTTTCAATGCGACGAATGATACCATCACCACCTCGATTCCTACGGAGGAATTCTTGAAGAAGACATGTCCGAACACACCGATTACTAGAAAAATGGGTGAATGGGAGGCACCGTTGTCGAACAAGAAGATCCGAGAAGTTCTGGGGTTCAAGGATGTTCACGACTGGCGGAAATACTATACTCATAAGGGATGAGACCAGCCATTACTGCGTCGTTAAGAAGATAACGGCCAGCTCTTGGTTCCGATCGAATGTGATATTTTTGTACCAAGGCTCGTATGGGAAGAAAGGGAACATGAGGTCAACCGGTATAATCCATGGCCGGCGGTCGCCCCGAGCAGCAATCTCTGGACGGACTTGCTTCTTGACTTCCAAACATCGCGATGACGCGAACCGTACAACCTGGTAGCTGAGAAAAAACTCGCTTGGACGTTGAATAAATGATCGTTCAATCCGTAGTCTGATCAATTTTTAAAGGCGAATAGTAAGGAGTACCGGAAGAGTTGTACGTACCTGAGCTGAGCTGAGCTGAGGTGTTTGTGTGTGGCAATTTCGCTGCGTGGGGTGGCATGTGGCTCGGTCCCAGCCACTCAAATCCCGGGACGCGACAACGGGAAAGACCACCGCCAGCAAAGCACAGCGATTGCAGATACTCTTGCCTGCGCAGATGGATTGACGCCCCTGGCCATCTTAGTGACCGCTGAATCTGACTCTGCGTCATATCAAAATATGTTATCACGACGTGCCGCAACTGCTACATCACGAATCGAGTCGCAACCTTGCCCGATGTGCCAGAAGCCTTGACCTCTCTACGAACCTGTCAACCTGCCCGGCCCGCGCCATGGGGAAGTCCAGTTCGGGCCGTCATCGAAGCGGTTCAGAAACATCGTCCAGGCCCCTGCGGCGTGCTAGTGATGAGAACTGCTCTTCGAAGAGTCGCCATGGTACAGATTCAATGTCGACGTCCTCGCGCCGCAAGTCCAGTCGGCGCGACACCTACAACGACAACGATGTGTCCGGACAAACACCACGGTCAGCGACCGCCGATTTTGCTCCTACCCTCACAGCCGAGCCATCAGAGATCTCCGGCACGTACTATACCGCACGCAATGGTGATGAGAAAAGTCACAGTTCTCGATCAGAGACGGTCCGCAAGAGTGATAGGAATTCGCGACACAGTGCGCAAGGCGATAATACAAGCACAAGTAGGAAAGATAGTGAGAAAAGCCGTCGACACTCGCGGAAATCCAGCCAGACAGATAGAATGAACAGCGCACGCGCATACAAGGGCAACGATGCTTCGCTGCCCCGGAATCAGTTTCCAGGGGAGTCTCCCGCAGCCTATTCACAGCCATACCGCCCTTCTGGCCTCGCTTCTGATTACTACGGCGACAACGGAGAGTCTGTTGCCTTTCAACCCGGCGTTCGGCCAAATCAACCCAGTATTGTGACCAGTGCAGAACATGCACATCTCATGGAACCGTCCATCGAAGCAAAACCGCCGCCGGAACCAAGCAGCCTGGGCCAGACCGGCGCAGCTGCCAGCTATTTTGGCGCAGGCGTTTTGGATAGCGCCTCTGGAATGCCACCAACCCCTTCCAAGCCACCTCGAAACCCAAGTTTGAGGCCCAACAAACAACCAAAGCACAGCCAGACTGGCACGAGCCCAAGAACGAGTCCCGATCCTCATGGCCCTCATTTCGTAACGGGAGCGGTGTCGATGGGTGCCGCTGCGGACTACTACTCTGGCGCAAGTGGAGGAGTGAATGCGGGCCATGGATATCAAACACCGTCTCGCCCGTCCGCACAAGCGGCCTCGGCTTCATTTTCGGCACCAGCTGACTTCGGAGGTCTTCAGCAGCATTCTAATACGGCATTATATGGTGGTGCAGCTCTTGCTGGGGCCGCCGCTGGGACCTATATTTCTTCTCATGCTCACGACGGGGGATGGTCTAGCCAGCACCATGCTTCGGCCATGGACGACCCACAAGTTTCCGTACATGGACGGCCGACCTCTCATTTTGCTCCGACACAGCATGTGCACCGCCACAAGCGTCGAGGTCCTCTCGGGAAATTTGTCGACTGGTTCCGAGACCCGGATGCTGTTGCGGAATACGAGCAGTATACCGAAGCTATTGGTGTCTGTAAATACTGCTTTGATCCTATGAGCTCTCCGGCGGACGCCCCCCGCAGACATCACTTTCAAGCAAAGAGGCGGTCATCGGGAAGCCGGTACGGAAGCACCACTCGTGTTGACAAGACTTATAGGTACTCTTCAGACGAGGACAAGCGGAGACGGTCAGCCGCAAGGAAGACTGTTATTGGCGGACTTACTGGATACGGAGCTGCAAAGATTGGTGAAGCACTGTACAAGAGCAAATATGACTTCGATGACACCTACTCTGTCAAGTCAGGCCAACCGGCAAATCAAAGTCGAGTCACTTTCCAAGACGGGGGACCTTCCTATGAGCGCAGATCACGAAGATATCCATCCTCAGAGGATGTCCGTTTACAAGGCAGGGATACGAGTCGAAGAACGACGAATGGTAATGGGCGCACCGGGAAGGGAAACATTCGTCGACGCGATTCTAGCTCCTCATCATCTCCACGTGGCATCGCCAGGGGTGCCGCCATCAGTACTGCTGCTGGTGCCGCCGGGCTAGCCATGGGAACCTCTGCCGTCAACGACATATCGAGAAGCCGTCGGAGCGGTTCGCCAAGACCTCAGAAGAAATACTACTCGAGACGAGTTTCCCCGATGCATTCATATGTCGACCTATCGGCGACAAATGAGGAATCTGGTGGTTTGGTCGGGTTCTTCACCAGTCCTTCTGCAAACAAGAAAAAGGGCCGAGAAGCGAAAGGCTTCTTCAACTTTGGCAATGCATCAAGTTCTTCATCGGATGCAGACCTTGCCTTCGGTGCAGCTACCGTGCGCCGGAAGGCTTCCAAAAAACGCATGAAAGAGACTCATGGTAAACAAGGCCGGCATGATTCCAGTGGCGGTATTATGGGTCTCCTGGCTACGGGCGAGGCTTTAGCTGCCGAAAGCGTTCGCCGAGGAAAGAGAGGTAAAAAATTGGATGACGCTGACGAAATGACAGGGCGATATAGCTCGCGGACTAATCGGCAGCATTACTCGACGAATGACCATCACGACTCAGCAGAAGGACATGATGAGGAATGGTACGATACCGATGACAATGATAGCCAAAGTTCTTCGAGTGTGGACACTGCTCTAGCATACGGGGGAGGAATCTCAGCACTCCAGAGTCGAGAGTCACTTGTGCAGGATAGACGAACATCAACGCCGATGTATGAAAGGAGATCCCACGATCGTTTCGGCACAAAAGACGAACGAAGATCGAGTTATGGTGATAGCTCGAGACGTTCAGACGCCCTTGGATCTTCAACTTTCCAGACTGGCGCCGCAGCAGCAGCAGCAGCGGTAGGCGCGGTTGGCGCATTGGCGGCTTCAAATGCTACTCCATTCGGCAGGCCGCCATCGTCTCTTCACGGAGACCTCCCTCCCATGCGTGAAGTAGAACCACGGCCGATCTCTGATTATGATTTCAATGTATCAAGGAATGGATCTCATCGGAATGAGGCTGGCGAAACACACGGTGTGGCTCAACCCAGAAAGATTTCGGCTACCTCCGTGCCATTACAGCAACCGCAGCCAATAGTCCCTGTTGCACCATTCTTCCAAGGAACTGCGCTTGGTATGACACGCCAAGAAGAAGGTCGACCTTCATTCGATGCCCCTCTGTCAGAGGGCGACCAGAGGAGCTCTCGGCAAACGGCGATGGACTACAGCGGCGATGTGAGGCGCACAAGGAGAGACTCAAGTCCCGCGAAGTTGAGCTCACAGAATCAGAAGAACAACGTCAGTTTCAGCCTGACTGAAGACCAGTTGGACAACGAAAAAAGTGCTGCGGAGACTGGTTTCAAACGCAAAAGTCGACGCTCTGACAAAGATCGGCGCAGGTCTTCCGAGAGCGTTTCCACGAAAAGCAAGTTGGTTGACGGACCTGAAAATCTGCGGAATGGAGCAGAAGTGGATAATGGACGTTCAGCTGAGGCGAGACGCACCTCGCTGGACTCGTCGGACGAACGAGTTGCGGAGATCGAGCGCGAGCTGAAGCGTCTTTATGCGGAACAACGACAGTCTGAAGAACGCGACAGGAAGCAGAAAGACGAACTTTCGGGTCAGATTATTGCTACCGCAGCGGCCGCCGCCACGGCTGCCGTTGTTGCGAAGAGCAAAAGAAGCAGCACCCCTGAGGAAGACAGTACACCACGCCTGAGATCAAGTCTGAAGAAGATGAAAGAAAGGAAAGTTTCTCCACCGGCAGAGTCGCAGCAAGAGAGGATTGCAAGAATGGCTGCTCAGCGGGTCGGGTCAAGCTCCTCACCCGTCTATGAGGACTATGGCACATTTTTCGTCCCGAAAGAACTCCAGGAGCATCTCAAGGAACATAATGCTCAAGCCGAGCATCGAGACGACATTGGGGCAAACGTGGTCGAAATTATCCCAGGGGCAGCAAGGTCAAGGCCGCAGCATCCTTTCGACCCTTTCACTTATCGGCCTTTTGGCTTGGAATTGGAAGATGATCCGACCTTGCACCCTTGGGCTGTTCCTATGCTTGAGCTCGTTGAACCAACGCCCCCTGGCAGTCAGGCGCATAGCGTCCAGGGAGATACAAGTCCTATGATTGCCCCCAAACCCACAGACGCATCTGTGGATGAAGCCAAAGATATGGGTGAGCCTCTTGAGCGGAAAGCCAGTGCAGGGTCGAAGGTGACTTGGGGCGATCATGATACCTATGTGTATGAAGTGCAGACACCGGAATACGAACGCGCCAACTACATGCCTGAAGCAGAACTTGGAGAGGCTACTCATTCGAAGACCCAATCTTCAGATGACTACAAAGACGACGCTACACAGCATGCTCGTCCCGTCGTCCACCGTGTGTGGACCTTGGATGAAGTAGATGCTGAAAAGTTGGAAAAGGAAGTGCCTGTTGTTGACGATAGGCCTCAAATGAGCCGTGCTTGGACTGTTGACGACACTGAAGCTGATCAGCTCGAACACGAGATCCCGTCTGCCGTGCCAACTGGCACAAGACGGAAGTCACCGTCTACAGTCCTTGAAGAGCCGCCACCCATGCCTCATGACTTAGCCACAGTCGATAGCCGGGAACAATCTCGAGCGGTCTATCAGAGCCCATTCGCCGAAACTGTAAGCGACCTTGCTGTACACCCTGAGATGGATGACCATACCCGAAATACATCCAGGTCTGCCTTGCGTGCGAAAGGCGAGGACATGAAAGATGACGAGGGCTTGCTCGATGGTGAGACTTTCGGGTCGTCGCCAGCTGTGAGAGTGAGTAAAAGTCAGAGACGTCGGCTAGAGCGCGCAAGCTCTTCAAGCGAAGGGGCCAAGGCTTCTGGAGACTTTTCTGCACCCGAAGCACTCCCATCTGAAGGTGAGATTGCCTCTACGCAGCAGATACCTGAAGACGACAGTGTGTTCGACTATATGGTAGACAGCAAGGGAGACTCCGTGCCTTCTGCGTCCATGTTGGGCATGGGCGCAGCTGCGATCCTGCCCTCTGAACCACTTGCGAGAGACAAGGGTCAGGACGATGCGTCTGTGCCGATGGCTGCGGAGGCTGATGTTGGCTCCGTGAGTAAGTCGAGAAGATCCACGACCTTTGATGAATCAGTGAGTCCGATGTCTGCCTCCACAGCACACTGTAAGTCAGATCCGGAAGAGTGGGAACGCCCGAGAGGCGCCAAGGAATCGAAGCGGAGCTCCAAGAGTGATATAGGCTCTGAAGACAGAAAGCTGGTCGGATTCGATAGGCAAGCTTCGATGCGAGATCCAGATATTGAAGGACCTCATCGCTCTCGCACAGGGGACGACATTTCCGATCTACAAGATGTCTCCGAAGATAAGAAGTCCAAACGCAAATCGAAACGCAAAAGTGCGAGTTTCGACGAGGCCAAAGATGATGGAGCTTCGAAGTCAAGGATGGAAGATGAAGAAGCCAAACCTCGAAGACACAGAGAACGAGACTCAGGATTGTTTGATGATGATGAGCTGCGTTCCAGTGTCAGCAGTCCGGTCGGTTCTGAGAAGAAAAGCGACAAAAAGTCTAGCGGTTTCTTCGGCAGCATTTTCTCCAGCAATAAAAGCGATGTCAGCACGTCGAGCAAAAAGAGCTCAAAGTCGTCCAAGGCTGATGGGCAAACAGAACAGGAACGCGACGATCGACGTGGGTCGAGGCGGAGACGTTCTACGAAAGGTAGGGACCTCGACGATGCAGCATCGATCGCTTCCGAGACTAGCAGGAAGAGTCGTCGTAACTCCGTGTCTCGCAACGATGATCAGCCTCTGAATTCGAGAGATCAAAGCATTGATGACGGATTCGTCTCCGCGGAAGATAGGGCTGAAGACGAAGAGAATTTTTTAGGGAAACGCCCCGAAATGCCACCACCAACGGTCATGGGTATGCCAATGGTAATTGATGGTGTCTCGGGGCCTGCTCTCGAGAACAGAACATCAGACGAGCCAATAATTGACGTGGGCGAGCATATTGAGTCTGAAACAAGATCCGGACTTGAAGCCACCATGAAAAGCGGCCCCTTGGAAAACCGAAGTCATAAAATACCTCCGCCCGCGGCTGAGAAGGGTAATACTGTGCCAGCAGAGTCCGTTGGAATTGTGGAAGCCGAAGCAGAATCAGTCCAAAAAGCAACTCAACCAGTGACGCCGCGATTTGCTTCTTCACAGCGTCTGTCGGCAGTCCGAACGAGTGACCTTCCCTCAAGTCCGACCAATAACAGCTCACCAACAGCTGTGCCTTTGCATTTTCGACGTCCACCGGCTTCACCCACCGATGCACGCTTTTCTATGAGCTCACCGATAGCTTCCCCTAGTTCTCCTCTCACGACGCCGCGAACCCGGCAGGGACGACCAAAGTCGACGGAGTTCCGTTCCAGTAAGGAATTCCGGCCTCTATATCTCGTCGAGGTACAGAATGCGAGAATCGCAACTCCTGAAGCAACCGAGAACTATCCATCGTTGCCTTCCAGTAGGACAAGTTCAGCAAATGCTTCAACGGAAGATCTCAGAGCTGGAGCCCAAGCTCAAGAGCCTGAGTATATCATCCCTTCTCGCCTTAGCGCTCAGATGTTTCGAGAACGCGGTAGGAGGCACAGTTACTCATACTGGCACGATGAACAAAGGCGAGAATCCCCAGATTACTTGGATTCCAGGTCTGCCACTCCTGTCCCAAGCGAAGCGCAACGAGCACGAGAATCCGGAAAGAAACCCAAGCCGACGTATGAGTTTCACTCGCCAAGTGAGCTGCTCCAAGACCCTGATCAGTATCGAGACATTGCTGTTCTCGATGAAGGTGAGAAGCCAGCTAGTCCTCTACCCAGCGTGATTAGCACAGATGCAGATCAGGACTATATGAGTGCTCGAAGCAGAAGTTTGTCCCCAACACGAGCTCGAAGTCTCAGCCGTGGAAGAAGCAAGTCAACATCCCGATCCACCTCTGCTGCCTGGCAAGATGCTCTGACCACTACAGTTGCTGGTGTGATTGCTGGATCCGTGCTAGGCATTGCTGCCGACGAAGTCTTGCAGAAACCTGAAGATTTCTCGCAAAGCACTGATGATCACCCAATGGCACACAACGCCGAGCCCGCTACAAGCGAAAACTCCAAGCCTCCAGGAGGACAATTGCAAGAAGACAAGCGCACAGCAGGAGAAGATGGTGCAGCGGCACATTTGCCTCCGCGAGACTTATCGATTGCTTCCAGCACATCCCCGGAGGACATTCCTCCCACGCCGATTGAAACAGGAGAACGAGCTAAGCTGGTCATAGGGAATGAGAACTTAGCCGCGCTGATCGATCAACCATCAGAAGCTCAAGTCCTTGAGACAGATCAGTCATCTGCAATGGTGAAAACGAAAAAGCCCAAGAAAGCCAAGAAAACTAAACGCAGTTCGTTTAGCGTCGATGAAGTGACGCCGGGAATGCCTCCGGATGATAGGGCAGCTGCTAGCGTTGAAGAAGCCCCAGGCTCTGAGGTATTGCCCAATGACGAATCACCCGCAATCGATCAACCTCTACTATTTGATGTCAAGCCTGATGCAACCGCCGTGGACTGCTCGAATCTAGACAGTGAGAAGTCTGCAGATGTCGACAAGCTGCAAGCGGCTGCCACTACAGACGCAGTAGCGTGGTCTAAAGCAGTGCCAACAGAGCGAGTCGGAGGAGACGGCGGGTTGGCGAGTTCTCCGGCTTCGGGACACGTCGATAATGGTCCACCGACTGAAGTCTTTCTCGGGCGACCAGCTGAAACTACCGGCGAGCATGTCGTTGACGAAGAAGTCACACCGGTGAATGAATTATTTCAGACACCGCAGACCGATGCGACGCTTGAACGACCAGAGTTGAGTCCGTTTGAGCAAGCTTTCGAAGCGGCGGTCAACGTAAGAGGCTTGAGCGAAGGCGCAACGGTTGAAGACGCCGTCCAAGCTTTCCAACCCGAGTTCAGTGAACAGCAGGAGCTTAGCGGAACTCCTTTGGCAACGATCGAAGAAGTGAGTGAAATGTCGACACCAGCAGTAGCAATACCGTCAAACAATGCTCAGCTTGGACGCAAACCGTCCAAGAAGGAGAAGCGTCATGCGAAAAAATCTTCGAAAAAGTCCTCCGACTACGATGACTGGCCCGCAGAGGGCTCTGTCCAGCAGATGGAAATTCCCCAAAGCCAGCAGAAAGAAGTCGTGCCAATGGAGCGAGCTGGCCTTGACATGGAACATCCAGCAATCAAGCCTCGAAGCAGCGAAGAGCCGCCAACTCCTTCAGGAGTTGATTTCGAGATACAACGGGATAGCCTCGACAGTCCCAACATGGAAACGCCGATGGAGACTCACATCATCGAGCTCGCAAGGAGTACAGGGCAACAAGAAGAGATCCTCAAATCCGCGACTGCCGCTGCTCCAGCGGAACAATCAAGCGGAGGCGAATGGCTCATTGAATCCAAGAAAGGCAAGAAAGCAAAGAAGGACAAGAAAAGCAAGAAGAAGCAAGCCTTTAGCTGGGACGATGAGCCAAGTGGCGAATTGCCTGTTGATGAGTTTCAGCCTGTCCAGGATCCGATCAATGCTGATTCTCAGCCAAACGTTACGGCAGCCAAACATGATGCACCGACGGACGCGGCCATGGACAAGCTGGCTGACAAGACCATCGTTTCTTCCCTCGAGACCTCTACTAAGCAGGAACCCCATGTGTCAGACAGCGCACAGGATAGTTCAGACGTCATTTGGGGAATGAGCACGAAGAAAGGCAAGAAGAAGTCGAAGAGGAAGAGTCTTGCTTGGGCTGATGAAGAAGCGGATTTGGTGTCTTCGAAAGAGCTACAGATGGTGGTCCCTCTAGAAAGCCCCGAGGCCGCACGAACTGCACCAGCGGTGGACTATCCGATGGATAAAGGTACTGTCTTCGAAGCATCGAAGGTCGAAGAACCTGCCGCTCTCGACGCAGAGAAGCTTCAAGATGTCTCCGACGTTCCCGAGCAAGTATCCCCTCCCACCACCTTGGAGGAGACGTCAGCCCTTCCGGAGGAAGCCTCGAGTGAACACGCGCCAGTCGACGAAGCGGTTCAGAAGTGTTCAAATGAGTACCAGGATGAGGCAGGCTGGGGCTTCACGTCGAAGAAGGATAAGAAGAAACGTGCATCCGCAATTGCGGCGGCGGTTGGAACAGCTGGGACTTTACTGGCTGCCGACAGCCTCGACAGAGACGCTTCTTCGTCCGAGGTAGTGGAAGAACGTGCCGATGCCAACCGGACTGTTGAAGGTGAAAACGAAAAAGAAGTCCAGGCAGAATCGTCAGCAGGAACTGCAACTTATGAAGCGACAGAACATGACGTTGTCGACGGGGCTACACTAGCACCGGTTTCCACGACCGTCCATGACAACATCGTAGAAAGGATCAGTCCAGGGCACCTTGAGACTGTCTCTGCCACAGAAGACATGCTTTCTAGCGTTTCAAATGCCCCCGAGGCTTCAACGACTGCGCCTTTGGCAATTGAGGCAGTGGTTTCGGAAGACAATACGGATGCCGGTGCGGAAGGCAGAATCGTCTCGCCGCCGGTTTCATCTCTATCCAGAGAGGCCGAAGAAGAACTTCTCCCGATTAAAACCACGAAGTCAAAGAAGGACAAAAAGGGCAAGAAGAAGCGGTTGACTCTTGATGACGATTTCGAAGCAGAGCAACAAGACAGGGCCAGAGAGAAGACAACAGAAACGGCGGAGGCGCCTTCGACATCGAATTTGACTGCGACTACCCTTCCTGAAGAACAAAGCTTAGCCGAAAATCCAATGCAGCCTGAGACTATCTCGAGAACGCAACAACAAGGTGGTCAAGAACCGGATGCGGACGCCGAGTCTCCCATGCTCGTGACAAAGAAGTCGAAAAAGGAGAAACGGAAAAAGCGTCAATCCGCCCTCGACTGGGAGTCTGTCGAGGCTGCTACATTATCCAGTGCCATCGAAGATGCGGGCGGAGGGTTGACTGTCACCTCAGAAGATGTCGACAGCAAAGCTGAATACCCAGTTCAAGAGCACCAAGAACCTTACGTTGACATTCGTTCTTCCGAAGGAGTGAGCAATGGCGAAAGCCAGAAATCATTCGCAGACTCCGCTAATGCTGCCATTCAAGAGTTGGCGGCCCATGTTTCCAGTGCTACTGAGCCTCTCGCTGTGTCCACACTTGCTGAGCACTCTGCCATTGGACAGGCACCGCCCGAAGCTTCCGAATGTACTCCTTCTGATAAACCTAATGAGAAGTCCATTCCGGATCCATCAACAGAGACTGCCATCCCGGAGCTGGCTCGAACTGAGGCCAGCGGTGGCACAAGTTTGGCTGCCGAGAGCCTCCTTCCTGGTATTGCTGCAAAGGGAATACCTACCCCGGTTGCCCCAGGGAGCCTTGAACCCTCATACGAGGCTTGGGACTTCCCTTCGAAGAAGTCTAAGAAAGACAAAAAGAGCAAACGCCAATCAGCCTTGCGCTCCGCACCAAGTGAATCCAGTGATCTGCCACTAAATGACCAGAACGCGGAGGAGAGCCCGGACAAGTGGTCTAACCAGATCGAACAAAATTCGAAAGGAGAAATCGAGCAATCGACCGACATTGTACCGCCTGACGCCGAAGCCCAAGCCGTTCCTGACGAAGAGTGGAGCCTGACACCTAAGAAAGGAAAGAAAGAAAAGAAGAAAAAGCGTCAATCGACGCTAGAGATGACTCCCCTCGAAGTTGAGACTCCACTGCTTCTTGCCGAAGACACCACAACAGGCGACAAAGCGATTGCATCTGGAGAGGCATTTGGAACAGCCGAACCTCTGCGCCCTGACGAACGGACAGCTGCAGGAGATGACGGTGGTATTGAGGGAGTTGCGCAGTCGATCCATGCTGATGAAGAGAACGACATGTGGGCTTTCACAACCAAGAAATCAAAGAAGGACAAGAAGGGCAAGCGCAAGTCGGGCCTTACCATAACGCCTCCAGATGTAGAAGAGGAAACAGTCGACTCACAGCACGACCGAGCCGTCCAGACTGCGGAAAATGAATTGAGCACAGGCGAGCCTCAAGAAGAATCGAGCCAGGTAACAGGCTTTGGAGCCCCAGAAGAATCCGATGACACATGGGCCATCACCACTAAAAAGTCGAAGGACAAGAAGAAAAAGCGCAAATCGAGATTGGACGAAGTCGACACGGTGCCAGTCAAAGAGCAACATCTAGGAGGCGAAGCTGACAAAGAAGCTGGCACCGAGCAAGCGGAAGAGCCTGTTCAAGATGAGCCTTCGATACTTCCTGAAGCCTGGACAACAACAACACCTGCGGAAGAGTTACCGGCTTCTGAAGCGCCGGTTCTCGTTGACGAAGCAGTACCTCGTGAAGATTCCATGCCTGCTGAAGGGCTAGTGTCTCACGCAGTCGCCGATGTGGATACTCCAGAGGACAAAGGAGCAAGGTTGCAGACACGAATGGAAGAAGCCTTTCCAACTGCGAACACGGACAAACACGCCACTGACGATCCAGCGTCATTGGAATATCATGAGTCCGTCCGGGCCACTTTCCCTCCACTCCATGACACAAGTGAGACCGTTCAGCAGAACGTTACAGTCCCATCGAGCGACCATGACCTAAGCGACAAGCCCGCTGAAACTTCTGTGGAGCAACAAAACGTTGGCCTTCCTCAAGAAGATCAAGGTGCTGATGTCGAGGAGTGGGCCACGCCGGTAAAGAAATCGAAAAAGGACAAAAAGAAGAACCGTGAAACCTCCTTCGACGATGTGCCGACCGAGCCTTTGCAAGCTGCCGAATTGAGCCACGAACTTCCAAAATCATTGGACCAGCCACTGGATACAGATAAGCTCAATCAACCACTTCAGACAGTTGAACCGGGCCAAAATGGTGATCAAAGCGAAGCAGCCCCTGAGGAAGAATGGGGCCTTTCTAAGAAGTCTAAGAAAGAGAAAAAGAAAAAGAAGCGCCAGTCCACATTCGATGACGCTTTCGCCGGAGAAGCAACTATCGCGGAAACAGAGCCTGCATCAAACCAACATGCGCCGATCGCCCCGAATGAAGACTATGCCAACAGCGCAATTCCTCCTGCGATGCGCACAGAGACAAGCGACCTTATTCCCGAGCCGACGATTGACGACGAATGGAGCCTCAGTAAACCTTCAAAGAAGGGCAAAAAGAAGAAGCGTCAATCGGCCTTTGATGACAGCCTGCCGGAAGGAGAAGCCTCCCCTCTAGAGCCAGCGCCAGAGCCAGGTCAGAACCTCCCTGCAGGTCAACCTGAGTCGCTTGACACGCTTGATGTTGCCCCGACTGTCGTGGCGAAGTTATTCTCGCAACGTCTTTCTGAACCCGGCAATGAAGACGATTGGGGCATGAGCAAGGCTTCCAAGAAGGACAAATCGAAGAAGGGCCGACAAGAGGATGTTGAGGAAACCAGTGGTATCAGGCGTGAGCAGGTTGAATCACCTACTGCTGCAAACGTACCAAAAGAACGCGAGATCTCCGAACACGTCTGGCCAACTCAACCTACCCCAGCGGACGATGCGTTCTCCGCAGGCAAGGAGGGAGAAACCACCGCAAGCTCGCGTTTGGCCGTTGCCGATATCGAGAACACTCCCAATGCGGTTGCATCTACCGAGCACGAACGGTCAGTTGGAGACGTGGATCCCACTTCGGTTCGTCTGCTCAACGACAATCCCTTCCCGACGCTTGATCATGACAAGACTGGCGACAGACAAGAGCAGAAGGTTTTGGCCAGCGACGATGCTGCAGGAAGCCATAGTCTCGGCACTCCTGAAGAAACCATCCCGACCCCAAATCCTTCCGTAGAGGTGGCGGACATCCAACAACCTACGCAAGCCTTTGAGGTTGCAGAACCTCGGGAACAGCAAGCAGATATTAAGGCTTCAGAAGCACCAATTCCAGCAGGACAGCCGGGAGCCGCTGACGAGCTGTTCGAGCAGGAATGGAGTTTCTCAACTAAGAAGTCAAGAAAAGACAAAAAGAAAAAGCGTCCATTGACACTCGATGTCGACGAACTTCGCGAGCGACCGCAAGAAGAATCCATTGAGCCTGACACGGTAACCGAACATCGAGAACTTGGCGCAACGGCAGCGGAGCCTACCCCTGGCCCAGCAGCTAGTGACTCGGCCAAGATACCTACACCTGTGGCTGGTGTCGAAGATGAATGGAGTCGCCCGGCCAGAAAATCGAAGAAGGATCGAAAGAAGCAGAGACAGTCGACCATGCAGCACGCTTGGGAGGAACAGGAGCCACAAGAAACAGTCACGAGCACGGTCATGGGACGAGGAATGAGCACCGATCACTTCGAGGCTGCCCAAGGTGGAGATGGCCAGGAGGCGCTTGTCACACAACTTGGATCAGATAATGAGTCTGTACCTCGATCTGCCCAGGACAACACGCACGAAGTGCCGGAGCAGAAGCTTGTTAGCACAAATCTTGATACTCAGCCAGAGACACGAGCGGTTGGAGACTTTGGCTCAAGGCAGGAATCAAGTTTCGACAGCGAGAATGGGGCACCCGAGGAGAAGGCTGCCGAAGCCCCGAGAGAAGATGCTGCTGCTGCTGAATCAGAGCGGAACAACTGGTCAGGAGAGTCCAACAGAGAGGACAAGGACAACAGGCTAATTGTCCAAGACGAGAGCATCCCAGAGAAACCAGAGGCCACTAATCTGTTCTCAAAAACAATGAGATCTGGAGGTGCGATGGATACAGTGCTGCCGACAGGTCCCGAGTCCAGCCTTACACCAGCTGGATCAACCGGACCCGACATCGCGCCCGAGGATGACTGGGGGTTTTCAACTAAAAAGTCCAAGAAAAAGTCCAAGAAGAACAGAGCTTCGTTAGCGGACACTGGCCCAGAGATGCCAGAAGCTGAGGCAACCAAGCCGGTTCAGCAGATGGACAACGACACTCTTGTCGCGCGCGCTGCATCCCCGGAACCAATGGAACGCGTTGAAACCGAGAATCAGACTCCACAGGCTCCTGCAGAGACTGCGGCAGAGGAATATTTTGTGCCTGTCAGCAGGAAAAAGTCGAAGAAGGACAAGAAAAAGAAATCGCTTCCTTCCTGGACGGAACCGCAGGCACAAAGAGACGATGGGTTTACGGAGAATGTTGCACCTGCCCACGGTCAAGAAGAGGGCGCTCGCGAACTTCAGGATGTGCAAGAGCCTCAATGGGACACAACCTCTCATCAAATTCAGGATTTTGCAGCTTCCGCCGATAGCCAAGTGATGTCCTTGAACCTTGGGATCCAGCTTGGTCAAGCAGCCTCGGGTGTCAATGTGTCCTCGGCCGTGGAAGCAAGCGACCCAGCACGTGCTCCAACAGGAATGGTCGGCTCTTCAGATCAGCCGAGAGAAGATGCTGCAAAGCTTGCCGCAAATCCTTTGACGGCGGACAGCATGAGAGTCTACGACGCATTCAATACGCCTATGGAACCGCATGACATTCTAGGACCAGGAGAATTTGCAAGCAATAGGGCGGCCAAGAAGGAACGACGACAGTTCGAGTACAATGGGGCCGAAGCGCGGCTGTCCGAGAAGGAACGGAGGCAATTCGAGTTCAATGGAAATGCAGAGCCTCAACTGCGCCCTAGTACGCCCGGAACCTCACGATCCCCAGAGGATACAATGGATAGGCCGATTCCCCAGGATCTCATGGACAACCACCATCGACAAGCGCATTCTCCACGGATTAGTCGACCACAAGAAGACGAGGAATTGATGTCCGATGTTAGTGCAAGTACGCGAGAAAGACGAAAGAGAAGAAGATCTCCGCCTGCCTGGTCTGGGGAAGAGCCTGATGATCTTCCGACCAGTCGAGCTCTCACTCCGCCTCCAGATCACGACGATATAATGGACACTGCCCTTGTAGTCGCTGCTGGTCTAGGTATTGGAGATATCGAACGTGAACCTACCCAGGAGAACCCTACCAAATCAACATCGCCAGCTCGACAACCTTCTGCAGGATGGTCTTTTGCTCAACTTGGAGCCGATCATGACAATCGAGACAGTGGTATTCAGCTTGAATCGCCAATGCTTGCCCAGGGCCAGATCTCGTCCACCAGGGACAGTGGCTTTGTCCAGAGTCCTTCCGACGGGACCAGAGAGATCGATACGGCCATGGATGTATCACTGCGTCCTCCGCGACCGCAATCACCCACAAGCTCGACCGAAGATGTTTCGCAGACGGCGACAAGAAGGATCCACAAGGGAGAGAAGGGCGTTTTAGAAACACCGAGAAGAAAGCCATCGCCTGTCGAGTCAACTTCAAAGGATCGATCTTCCATTTTGTTCTCTTCGCCAGCCATGCCAACACCTCTCGACACCAAGGCCCGGGAGAGAAGTCCTGCGCCTGTGTCAAGTCCTCTGCGACGAAGTCCCAGCATTCATGGCCATCACCTTAGCCGCGAAGAGTTAAGGCAGAAAGCCAAGTCAGCTCATGCTCTCGAGCCGAGCGATGAACTGGCTTCCAATCTCATCGACCGTGCCGCCGCAGCTGAAGTTACTCTGGCACCATTTGAGGCTCCTCGCGACCATCCTTTCTCACCAAGGAGCTCACTCAACACCATCCGTGAGGAGAATGTTGAAGCAAATTCGCAAAGCGGGAAGCCGCATCCGTTCTCCGGATCGCCAGTCTCTCTGATACCGCACGAATATCCCGAGAAACCCGAATTCGACGGCACACCTGTGATGGCGGCCGCTGGCGCAGCTGGACTTGCTGCAGCAGCACTTTCGAGACCGCCACGTGATCTGGGACCGGCTAGATCGCTTGGCACCAGCAAATCACGGACTTCGTCGCTGCGCAACCTCCGCGGCAACTCTGATCAACAAGACCGCTCTGTGTACAGTCCATCACCCAACTTGGTGCATGAGCAGGAGTTGGACAAGTCTGCCACCCGCGACAGGGATATGGCGGACATCTATGTAAGTACTCCCACCTTTGCGGATCGGCGCGAACCCGTTAGTTAACGGCCGTGTTCGCAGGATGGCTATTGCTCCTATCCCGGCAGCCCCAAGTCCCCCACACGGCCACCCAGCGTCCGGCGCCGACAAAGCATGCAACAGATCAAGGACCTTGAGACAAGGCTGGATCAGCTGGCCAGTGAGAACCGTGCTCTGGCCGAGGCGAAAATGATGGCGGAGCAATCCCTCGAACACGCCAATTTCGAACGCAACCGAGCCGAAAACTCCATTGATTCGTTGAAGAATACCGCGGTACAGGTGCAAGAGCGGGATGCAGACATTGCACGACTGAAGCAGGAGATCGCTTCTTTGACGGCAACACACGAGACATTGAAAAGAGAACACGAACACAATCTGGCCCAGCTGCAGCAAGAACATGAGCATGCACAGTCACAATGGCAAGAATCTTCTCGAGAGCTGGAAACTCTTCGATCGCGTCATGCAGAGTTGTCCAGCGGAATGGAATCGATCGTCAGACACGAGATCGATACAGGGCTTGCCGAGAAGGATGCCGAAGTACTCAGACTGCGCGCAGATCTCGAAGAGGCGAGACAGAAGATTCGGCATTTGCAGTCAGAGATACTCAAGAGAGGTGCAGACGATGTGGTTGCCTTCCGTGATGAGGATTACTTCGATGCAGCATGTCAAAAGTTATGCCAACAGGTGCAAGGATGGGTGCTGCGATTCTCCAAATACAATGATCTGAAAATGTGCCGGGCCACAAACGAGGTTCGTGATGAGAAGATTGTTGACCGGTTTGACAATGCAATTCTGGATGGGTCAGACGTGGACACGTACCTAGCCGACCGTGTCACACGACGAGATGTTTTCATGTCGGTTGTGATGACCATGATCTGGGAATATGTCTTCACCAGATATCTCTTCGGAATGGACCGAGAACAGCGACAGAAGTTGAAGCAGCTGGAGAAGAATCTGGGTGAAGTCGGCCCAGCAAGTGCCGTGCATCAGTGGAGAGCTCTGACACTTACGTTGCTCTCGAAACGCGAGAGTTTCAAGGCACAGCGCGAGAGCGACACGGAGGCTGTGGCCATTGAAATCTTCAACACCTTGTCTCGGTTCCTACCTCCACCACAGAACCTGGAACAGCAGATCGTTGGTTCATTGCGGAATGTTATGCACACAGCGGTGGAGCTCTCAATTGAGATGCGCACGCAACGAGCGGAGTATATTATGCTGCCACCATTGCAACCGGAATACGACACCAATGGCGATCTTGCACGGAAAGTCTATTTCAACGCGAGTTTGATGAATGAGAGAAGTGGTGAAACCACCAGCAACGAAGAGCTGGAGAGGAACCAAGCAGTGGTTCGAATGGTCCTCTTCCCTCTCGTGGTCAAGAAGGGTGATGACAATGGAGTCGGCGACGACGAGATCGTGGTTTGTCCGGCACAAGTCTTGATTGCTCGGCCAGACAAGGGGAAAAAGCCCAGGGGCGCAGCGCGGGCTCCCAGTGGTGGGAGCCACAGCGATCGAATGAATGTCGATGCGAGAAGTCTTCGAGCTGTGAGCACCCATAGTCTAGGTGCTATGAGCGGGATTGACGCCAACGACAACATGTTCTAAGGGGGGATCTGTGACTGTTTCTTGCATGGCGAGGTTGGCGGGATTATTTCAGGAATAGGCTTGCATAGACCTGGGATGAAAGTTTATGGACTGGGCTTGGACGACGTTATGAATCTCCTTACGACCTCGAGTTAGCTGCTGTATATTATACCCTTACCTAAGGTACTATCTGTTGATGGTCGATCTGTCTCACAGGAATGTTTGTGTTGTGTTGTGATAGTCCGGGCACTGACTTATCATGTAAGGTGTTAAAATAATGCCCGCACTCTAGTGTCTTGTCCTTTCCCCGGATCGAGAAGATTTGCACCACGTCATAGGCCAACATTGACTTTTCGACAATGCCATTCTATCGATCAGGTTAGCAGCAGCGAGGAGAGAGCAGAGAGGAGACACCCAAGAGAGACAGAGAGGAGAGCGCTTATCCACCAGCTCGACTCGATTTTTGTCGTTGGTTCTTTCAACAGCTTCTCTTCACGTCCAAACCACCCTGCCACCTGAATATCTCCCATTTCCCACCACCTCACCCTCTCTTATCACCTGCTTCGTCCTTCGCTGGGCCCCTCGCCTGTGATGCACCCTCTTCCTCCTCCGAACAGAGGCACATCCTCTCAGCCTTCCGAGTCACGCGATCAAACTCCGTCCAGGATGAATCCTTCTACGCCCACTCAGCCCTCGACTTCTGCTGACCCAGCCCAAGCACGGCCCTCAGCAACTCCTACGAATCCTACAGATGGCAAAAAGAAACGAAAACATCGTGGGGGGAAGAAGAGGAGGAATCGCCGTCAGTCATTTATTGCTCCTTCAGAGACGTCTGCCATGCAGAGTGTGGCCGATGGCCCGCACGAAGATCCCTTGATTGAAGAATCTCAGCAGCAATCGGCGGGGCTGAGGTCGTTCTACAGAAACAACCAGGGCAACCTGAGTGGCGAGAGTCTGGACAGCGAGGCTCTTCTTGACCACAGGAATCAACCAACACTGCGACCACGACGAGACAGCCGTTTGAACACAAACTTGTTCGCAAGCTCATATCGAAGCAATACCTATGCTAGACCAGATGCACTCACACGACGGAGGCACCGCAGCCAGCAAGACACCACCAGCCCTCCTGGGTCGGACGAGGAAGACGCTAACGATCGGACACCGTTGATTTCTGGTGATGCTCAGAGACAAAGCCCGGTCCAGGCAAGCTATGGGCTCTTTAGGAGAAAATCTCGTTCCTCTACCATGTCTTCCGTGTCTAAGCAGCAGAAGAAGCGAATCAGTGGGAACGGCAATTCCTATCCCAAGTCCGACAAAGACTTCGATGTCAATAACCCCCCCTCCGTACCTCCCAGTCCCACTCTCGGTGCACGCTACGGTGATGTGATGGTAGACGACGGCCATTTCCTTACCCGATCTCCCGACAGCCGAAGAAACCTGCAAGGTATGAACAAAGATGTCTTGATCGATATTGAAGGAGATGGAGATAAAGTGCCCAACTCAGCCCCACCAAGCCCTCGACTGCGGCCGGACGGTAGCCAGCGTCACTTTAGCGTCGAAGGCGATGTCTGCTTCCCAGCAGATGAAGTGTCGGAGCTCGGTGATTACTACAATAATTATCTTCCTCGTGGGCCTTCTATCAATGGTGGCAGAAGGAGACGTAAAGAACGAGAATGGCCTCAGGTATGGGTCCTTGACGAGTGGAGCCGAGTCGAGAAAGAAGAAAGAGCTGCAGGGGAACGACGGGCTAAGAAGATTAGCGAGCCTGTCTTTGTGGAAGGACGCCTGCGGCCTTCGAAGAATGCATGGCATCGAGTTGAGGAGGACCGCCAGTACCGATTCACCTACTTCAACGAGGAGTTTGAGAGCACCATCCATGCTGAGACAATCTCCGAGCTGGTACAACCCGGTGGCTCCTTTCGCGAACTCTTCATCCCCGATCCTCCTGAGCTGATCGACTCCAGCAGCAGTGAAGAAGCCGATCTCATGGAAGCAAGTCAGAATATGGAGAATACGAGCACGTTGCAAAGTCCTAAGAGTTTGAATGGTCCGCCTGGGCAAGTCGCAGCCTCGACTCTCTCAGAAGCAGTAAGGTCTAGGCTTGATGTCAGTCAGAAGGAGTCCAGGAAGGGTTCGGGTTCACCATCGCCGCACAAGAAGTCACCACCCACGCGCACTCCGAAGCCCAAGAAGTATGGCCCGCGTCCGACCTTTTGGCTCGATGTCATGAGCCCGACCGACCAAGAAATGCGTGTCCTGTGCAGGACCTTTGGTATCCATGCTCTCACTTCGGAAGACATTATGATGCAGGAAGCACGGGAAAAGGTGGAATTGTTCCGCAACTACTATTTCATCAACTATCGGACATTTGAACAGGATACTCTCAGTGAAGACTACCTGGAGCCCATCAACATGTACATGTGCGTCTTCCGCTATGGCATTATTACCTTCCACTTCTCTCAAAACCCTCATCCTGCCAATGTGCGACGACGGATCCGACAACTCTCCGATTATCTCATTTTGAGCGCCGACTGGATCTCGTATGCCATCATAGATGATATCACCGACGTGTACCAACCATTGATTACCAGCATCGAGCAAGAAGTGGACATTATTGATGATCAGATTTTGAAGTCGTTTCAGAACACCGACGAGCTGGGCGGCGATCATGGTGTGAAGAAGCACGAAAAGGACACCGACAAAGACGAGCCTGAGATCAGTGGTATCGACATGCTTTTGAGGATAGGCGAATGTCGGAAGAAAGTCATGACACTGTACCGGTTGCTGGGAACCAAGGCGGACGTCATCAAAGGTTTTGCAAAACGCTGCAATGAGCAGTGGGAAGTTGCCCCGAAGTCCGAGATTGGCCTCTACCTGGGTGATATTCAAGACCATATCCTGACCATGACTGGCAATTTGTCCCATTACGAAACACTTCTCTCGAGAGCCCACGGCAACTATCTTGCACAGGTCAGCATCCACATGAATGAGAGACAGGAGAAGGTATGTTTCTATGCTGCTGTGTTGTGACCTATGAGCTAGCTTCGTGTTCGTTGCTGACACTTATTTCAAGACCTCTGATGTCCTAGGTAAATTGACTGTTTTGGGAACCATCGTTTTGCCAATGAACATTGTGACAGGTGAGTTGATGAGCGATGGCCATGCTTTTGCCAATCCTTGAGAAAATGGTGCTGACTTGTGGTATTAAGGTATGTTCGGCGGCAACTTCAAAGTCCCAGGTCAAGACGTCGACAATCTCAATTGGTTCTGGGGCACTACCGGGGCTCTAGCGATCTTCGGCTTGTTCTGCTTCTTTTGGTGCAAGAAAGTCTACAAGATCGTCTGAACTGTTCTTGCAGAATTAACAGTTTAGTGGACGAGGGAACGTTCATTAAGCGACAATTGGAAAGGTCCATTCCAGCCACATGGCGTGGCACTTATGCGAGTGTCCGCCCCTTGGAATTGTGAATGCTTCCGGAATTCTATTACACACCCCTCGCACATGAACATGGCTTGCACGTACACTACGGATCAGACGCAATGTTTCCGACTCCCTGACTTGGGGTTATTATTCATTTTCGACGCGACCGTGGATGCTGTTCATGTTGCGGTACACGGCTGGAATAGTGAATCGTCAAGACTGACATATCCCCCGGTTCGGATTGGCATAGATCCTATCAATTGCCTTGTAGGAGACCGGCGAAACGACTACGAAGCAAGCATATATACTTTTCACAAAGGAGTTGACTTCAAGCACGAGACTCCTATTTCTTGGAATGTTCAGGCTATCTCCAATACGACTCTCTTTCCATTCCATGCTCTCTCACGACTCCCCGATGATCCTCAGTCATCCAGATTCACCGAAAGAACTTGCCAATAGCTGAAGATGACACTTCACGCCCCCTTCAAGATGTAGCTTGGGGAGTTCAGACAGTCAGTGGCGAGCTGGTTCGTCTCAAGGATTTACCTCATGCGATGGCGATTAGCCTAAATTTCTGGATATGATGAAGCATTACCATTGCCGCCAGTGAAACGTGCATTTTGCCATCCAATCATCGTTGCATTGCACACCGGAGAGTAGCCGTTTTTGCCCAAATTCAAGCTCAGCGAAATGACAATACCGGTATGAGTTATGTCGACGATCATTTACTCCCGCTTGCTCATAACGCTCATGAAGTTCAGCTCCTGGGCGATTCCTGGTCTGGCATCAGATACATCGCACATACTATGGCACCGTCCGCGACTAGTGAGGTGCCTTCGACGAGGTCAAGATACATCAATGGAGCACTAATTCCAGACATTGAAAGACATGGAGACAATCCTGTCGTTATCCGACTCTGTGACGAAGAATTCCACTCCGGAGAGACGAAACCGGAGACCATACAAGAGTGCCTAAGGTATTTCCACCGAGATGGATTCGTAGTCCTGGAAAACGCCATTGACGACAATCTGGTGGACCGGCTTTACAACCGTATGGTCCAGGATAACTCGGAATTCCTCAAGAAGAAGCACATGCATTGGAATCAAGGTGCTTCAACTGGCAATGTCAGCCAAATTCCTCCGCTGACTCCAGAATGGCTCCATCGCGACTTCTATGCGAATCCTCACATGATCTGCGTGGTCGAGAATCTCCTTGGTCCCAATCCCGAGCTCCGATTCATCAACAGCAACGTGGCATGTCCTGGAGGTACTGGCCGTCAAGCTGTGCACAGCGACGTCAGCCATGCCTTCCCTGAAATCCCATTCGGCCTTGTCATGAACATTTATCTCCAAGATTCAGATGTCGAGAACGGTGTCACGGAAATCTGGTGTGGCACTCACAATGCTTATCCACAGAGCGAGCAGCAAATTTCTCCCCGCAGTGGATGGATCAAGAAGGAGTATTTGCAGGAGCAGGCGAAGATCAAACCACCAGTTCAACCGAAAGTCAGGAAGGGCAGCATTTGTTTTCGGGACCTTCGCTTATGGCACGCCGGTATGCCGAATAAGAGTGACCGCCATCGCATCATGTTGGCCATCGACTATTTTGCGCATTGGTATCAATGCCCCATGACGACCAAATTGCCGTTGTCGATGAAAGATCAGATTCAACGAGAGTGGAAGGGTATCTCAACAGTCGGTGTCGAATGGGTCGAAGAGGAATTGAACAGTCTTGATGTGCCGTTCTTCTTGAACATGACGCAGGACCCGTCACAGTATTTGCTGCAAACCGAAAAGGGGTTTCAAGATCCTGTAGGCCGGCAAAGTGGAAAATATCTGTTTGATAGCGCAAAGGTCACCGAGGACAATTATTGGACGCCGGAAAAGAAAGAATGATTGCCAATTGTGTTGCCTCTCGGTCTGACTTGGACTGCGCCTGATATGCATGGTGACTGATGGTGTGGTTTGGAGCAAGAGGGATATTGCGATTCTTCATGGGCTGTTCTTCGTGGTGGCTGACAGGCCAGTCCTTCCGACGCGAAGTACACGCCGTCCGCAGTCTGGAGTCGTTGCGGGTTCCAGGCAGACTAAACCGTCGGTGCCTGCGCAAAATCAGAGTCATTGCTGAATGCGAGTCTCCGTCCTCATTGATTGCGAATCTCAGTCGCTTGTCATAAATCTTATTCCGGTTGGGAGAGCACTTCGATACGTCATAGCAGAGGAGAAACACAAACCTCAAGAAATCATTCGGCTCACCCGTTTCTCCTTTCTTCATTTCTTCCAGAACCCGACGACCGAGCTCCACAATGTCAAACCTCATCACTGGAAGCTGTAACTGCGGCCGTCATGAGTACACCATTCCGAAACCCACAGAGATGAACTTGTGCCGTTCGTGGACCGTCGTCAAGGTATCATTCACAACGCTAACGTTCTCAGATGGTACCGATTGTCGCAAATGGGCCGGTGCAATGTGAATCTTCCTTACTTGAACTCTTCATCGTGTGCTCTCTGCGAAGTTCGCTGATGGATGGCCTCTCCGCAAGGCATTCGGCACACCTTTTCGTCAAGACAAGCGATATCCAGTCCAGCAGTCCTCAGCCGCGCACACACACCCAAAAGGCTGACAGCGGTACGGACATGGAACGTGCGTGGTGCGATGAATGTGGTTGTGGGATCTGGATCAAATCGCAAAATATGTCAGACTTGACATTTCTCAAGGCAGGTAAGGGAAGCGTTCTGTCGCTGCATTTCGAGTACCGGACCATGGCACACTCTGCAATCTTCAATTTGACTGACACATATTGCAAGGGCTCTTCAATCCAGGAGAGATTCCCAGCCCATCCATGGAGAATTGGCTGAAGAATCTTGAGCCATGGGAGACTCCTGCAAAAGGCACGAAGCGGGCTGTGAAGCTCACTTGACACGCGATTTTGCCTCGGCTCACACAGAGATTTGGCATCTGCACACCACGTTTCAGATCACGGGGCCTCGCGGACACAGGTTATGAAATCCGTGCGGATGGCTCGTGTGCAGGACCCTCAATTCTGTGGAATCCATCTCACAGCTCAACACATTGTCAAGAAGTACCTTCGCCCGATCGCAGAGTCCAAGGCCCCTCCAAGAACATCAGCAGATGGTGCCTCAGCCTTCTCGGCAGCACTCCGAGGCCTTTTGCGGGGGCTTGTTCTCCCTCGTCGCATAAGGTGAATGTGGGGTTGGTTTGGAGTAACTGTTGATTGCCCCATTTGGAGGACATATGGAACTCCGCCATTGAGCTTCCGGCCAGATCGATCTCAGACTTTCTCAGAGCATCGACTAATTTAAAAGCAGACTCCCTCGCATCTTGACCATCACTTGCAGACAGTGAGAATCGCCCAGCGAAACGTTGTTCGCGGTGTTTGAGAAACATGGGCTCCAGTGACGTGAAATTCCCAATTCGATATGAAGATCCCGAATACCAGCAAAACCACCGCACGCTGTTCTCCGGAAAGTTGCTGACCCCATTGGATTATGTTCTTCCGCCAGGTGTCAGCCAGCAGGATTTTGATATTGCTATTTCCGAGTTTCGAAAAATTGTGGGCAAAGAACATGTCTTTACCGGAGCACATCTGGAGGAATACGTCGATCCCTATGAGCTGTGGGAGAAGGAAGGCAAACGGAGAATGCCAAGTGGTGCAATATGGTGAGTGGCTATTCAAGGGCAACTGATGTAGGCTGATGAGCTTCCAGTCCTGCTTCCGAGGAAGAGTTGCGCGGTGTCTTGAGTGTCGCCAACAAACATGGCATTCCCGTATGGACCTTTTCACGAGGCAAGAATCTTGGGTATGTCATAGCAGCAGGCCTGCGGTGGCTCAGTTGATGCTGAGAGACATACAGATATGGTGGGCCTGCGCCGAGACTCAATGGCTCGCTGGCTCTGGATTTGCATCGGATGAATAAGATCATTGAAGTCAATGACAAGTTCTCTTATGCAGTCGTCGAGCCAGGAGTGACGTTCACCGACCTATACGACTACTGTGCAAAGCACAAGCTTCGGGTATGGCCCAGCGTGCCGTCACTGGGATGGGGTAGTGTCGTCGGCAATGTATGTTGCGTTGAAGATCACGCCCCGAATTCTGGCTGACAGCTTTACAGACAGTCGACAGAGGGACTGGCTTCACACCCACAGCAACGCATCATCAGCATATCTGCGGACTTGAAGTCATGCTTGCTGATGGAGACGTGGTCAGGACAGGCCAATTCGCGATTTCGAATTCGCCGTCCTCCCATTTGTCGAAATTCACCTTCGGTCCATCGATAGAAGGTCTTTTCTTGCAAAGCAATCTCGCAATCGTCACCAAGCTCGGGATCTGGCTCCATCCTCAACCACAGGCGTACATGTCATGCGCTTTCGATATGCCCAATTTTGAAGATGTGGAAACAATTGTCGACATCTTCGGCGAGCTACGAAGAGACGGCCTGCTCCCGAATACTGTTTACGTCTCAAATATTGTCGAATGGCTCGGTATGACCGGAAAGCGAGCCGAACTATGGCCTCACGAGGGACCAATTCCTGAATGGAGGCTCAAAGAGCTTCAGAAAGACTTGGGTTTCGGATACTGGAATGTCAAGTTTGGCTTGTACGGAGCCAAAGAGGTGGTCAAGGCACATTTCAATGAGCTCAAACGGATAATTGGCAAGGCTGCTCCGGCTTCTGTGAATCGACTCCAGGGCCACATCTTCTCGGGCGAGAACGATGAGCTTCTCGAGGCGACTTCAATCCCGGACCCTCATGGGGGCTTCTTTGTCGGTGTGCCCAGTCTTTGGAGTTTGCCCATGGTAAAATACCGGTTGCCGACCGACAGGGTTGGGATCGGTGCCCATGCAGACTACTCTCCCATCATTCCTTCATCAGGCAAGACTGTCTTGGAATGGGTGAAGACAGCACGAGGCGTTTGCGAAGCGCAGGGGTTCGATTTGTTCTGCGACTTTTTCATGCATGAGCGACATGTCATATTCGTAAACATGATGGTTTTCGACAAGACCAATCCGGAGCACCGGCGGGCGGTTGATACCATCTTCCGCAATCTGTACCAGGAAGGACGGAAACGTGGCTTCAGCAAGTATAGGTCGCATGTCAACTACATGGGTAAGCTGCCGTCTCCCCTTCCCGCAACTCTCACTCACTGACTGCACAGACCTCGTTGCCGACTCCTATGACTTCAACGATCACGCTTACCGGAGATTTGTCGAGAGGTTGAAGGTACAGTGGTCAGATTCTTTGTTCTCACCCTTGCTGATTTGTCTGTCAGGATACTCTCGACCCGCAAGGGATCTTGTCGCCTGGAAAACAGGGCATCTGGCCTGCAAAATATCGGAGCGTTCGTGGAAAGCTGTAAAATCATGGACAAATGGCGCAGGAGGCATTGCAACATCTAGATTGTTGTAGGATGTAATCATTACTTGGTCAGGCGTCAAATAGTTATACTGAATTCCCCCCATCACCCTCAATAGTGGTCAGTGTACGGATGTTCTGTCAGATGCCTTTCGCTGCTTTAAAGCCCAGAATGCCAAAAACACGCCAAGATTACGCGTCGCGCGCCTGCGCCGTGAGAAGCAACAGGTGCTTCTGATCATCTACACCAGCTCAATGGTGGTGTTGTACCTCCAACAGTGGGACGCTCACTTCCCGATGTGCTTCCCGCAACAGCTTAGTGTGGCTATCGCTGTCGCGTGGCTCTTCCCAGCTCACCAGAACTAGGAGAGTGCGCAGTGTTGCAATGGGTCTGGACATCTTGGATCTGGCATGTTCGCTACCAAGACTGGAGCAACTGCTTCGCATCCTTCGCCAACAAAACGTTGGCTGTCAAGTCACAGAACAAGCCTGCTAACATTATTTTCAACCTCATAGAGCCTCCTGGTCTTTACGTTCCTTCCTCCAGCCTCGCACTCTTGCCCACACCGGCAATTCCATATCTGGCTTCCTACAGCCTCGATTGAGTCGGCCAATCCATCAAATTTGGCATCGAAGACTCTCAACATCGGACTCAGCTTACGCCGCGTACTGAAAACTACCTTTCTCAAACGCCGAACGCATGAGGTATGTGGGAATAACCTGAAGATGGAGGACTCCCCATCGCAAGACACTTGGTATTCAAGCTGAAGCATAACTCCTCTTCCAGTGCCGTCCAGCCTGCCACCACCTGGAGCGCCAACGACCCAGATTATTGAAGAATCATTCCTTGCCTCACAGCACCACAATGATGAGTGTTCCCTCCCGGGGCTTTACGTTATGGTGACAGGGTCCACGTGCGTGTGCGTTGGGTTCGGTTTGATGCCGGACTCTGCGTTTGGGTCTGTGGTTGAGTGTTGTGTTTCGATGTCGCTTGTAATCGACTGCGCTCCCGCATTCTTGGCTAGTTCCCTTTGCTTCAATACTTCGCGGTAATTGTCGATTGTCCTTCTTGCATTCCGAACCACCATTTCTCTCTCGGCCTGCACTTGCACATCGTCAATTTCGGCGTTGCTGAGCTACGCCCCTTTTCCAAGTACGGGGGAACCACCACCAGATGAAGATGAGCATGACGCCGGCCTAGGAAAGTCGTCAGATCAGCATCGTCCCTGCAATGTCCGAAACATGTGTGGAACATTCCAGCTTCGCAGACACTGTTGTGAACCAGGAAAAGCAACCGCTACTCAAAGACAAGGACTCACCAGACTTCCAAGGATGGCTGCCGGCATAGTACTACTCATATTCACCATGCTGGGCGACAGTATTCGTCGAAAATCGTACCTATCGGGAGAAGATGAAGGCGGAGAAAGACCGATGAAAGGCTCGAGGACAAGCTTTGATCAAGCAACGGAGGCGCGCAGGATAGTGTCTTTTGTAGGCGGGAACGTGCCAAACTTATACGAGCACTAACTGGCAGCGTCCATTTACTTGGGCCACGATAGGCTCATCTCCCGCCTTCATGACGAGATGCCATCCCGGGGTTACATTGCTGAAGCCCCGCGGGGAAAATGTGCTTAGTAGTAAAACTTCCCGTCTTCAGCAGGGTGCAGAATGTAACACGAACGAATCCCCGGATAAATAGTAAAAAAGATGGAGCCTATTCTCCATCCCGATGCAGCAATGCATCATGTCTTTCCTCTACATTCCGTAATGTTTGATCTCAAGCCACCTCGTGGACGCATGCCCAACAAAAGCAAAAGCAAAAGCCAACTCGAACCCAATGTCTCCAGGGAAGACTCTGCTAACATCTCTCGCCAAAGGCCCGGTCCACCAAGCCTCGTACATTCCAACGACGGCGCCAGTGACTCCGCAGCAGAATGCAAACAGGGCGGCATAACTGAATGGCATACTTCTGGCGTTTTGGTAAGTTTCGATCTTGTATCCAAGCTTGCGTCGGTAGATGAGATGCTCGGACAGGAAGATGCCGACGTAAAGTGTGATGAAGTACGATATGATGGCAAGGATATCGTTGAGCACTTCATCGAACTTGTAGAAGGCTACAATGCTGACAACCAGTCCAACAATGTTGGCCAACAGGGCCCAGAAGAATCGAGGAATCAGTCTGAATTTGGAACAAATGGCTTGTGCAGACAAGGATGCCGAGTACACGCAAGCGACATTGCATGCCACCAGGGAAAGGAACAGCATCACGATGCAGAATTCTCCGAAGCGGCCGAGAGAGTTGTGGACAAGAATGGCATAAAAGAGACCACCTCCGCCTTGTTCTTCGTACATTTGAGCGAAGTATGCGTTCTTGTAGGTGCACGCAGCCGCTGCCAGGCCTGTCAACTGGAGGAACATGGTCGTGAAGAGAATGCCGACATAGACCGATAGCCCGAGTTTCCACTTGGACGTCGTCGGTTTGAGATACAGGCTGTAATCGCAGGCAAACAGTGTCCAGCCTGAAGCATTGCCAACTAGAGCTGCTCCATACGACAGCACGGCACCGGCCTCGGCACGACCAGCTGCCATGGTGCCTGTCGAGAAGGAATCCGAGATTTTGATCCTGGCAATGAAAACGAACAGCACGATGATCGTGGGCACCCAAAACCATGACACGACTCTGTGGATGGTCCTGTATCCGAGCATGGTGATCACCATTGTCAGGATGACCGAGATGAGGATACAAGCCCAGGGTGGTAAAGCACCGTCTCCAAGTGTATGCAAGAGGTTGGCGCCAGAGATGTCGTTGAGAGTGGACCAGCCCATGCAAGTCAGGGTGTTGATGAAAGCAAACAGCCGCATGACTTGATATCCGACAAAGAATCTGGTAAGAACCATTTGCCGCATGCCAAAAACTGGACCAAAGGTGCTCATGTATGCCACAGGAAGAACTCCCAGGAGATTGAAGAAGATGATGCAGAGAGCCGAGTCCCAGAAGCTCATTTCGTAGTAAGTGATCCCTTGCATACCAATGTTGCAGCCTAGAGGCACCATATTGATAGCCATCCAGAGTATTCCCATGGAGTACGGGGAATGATTTGTCCTCATCTCTTCCGTGACTCGCTCAACGCCGGTTTCTTCTGCACGAAACCAGCGCACAACCCTCCAAGCCAGCGAGCCATACTTGTTCACCTCGTATGACTCTTCGGGGGTGACTTCGATGATAGTTCCAGACTCCTCAGACAACTGTTTGCCTTTCTCGACGTCGGTCATTTTGCAAGTCAGGCGGGAGCTTGTTTACTAGACAAAGGACAGGAGCAAAGGACATTCTGCGAGAACTGAGTCGAACAGATAACAACTCTTATACCCGGACATTGACAATCCTGGATGAGACCGTCTCGCACGCTGGTTCGGGTCGCCTCAAGTGCCATGATAGGCTCGACAATCAGCCACGATAAGAGCCAAACAGACCGTTGATATGAAACCGGCTTGAAGTTCTGAACTCTTCGACCATGGCAGCTGCTCTGCTGCGTGAGAAATGGGGGCATAGTATCCGTATCTCTTCTGTGAACACAGAAAGTGGAGGAGCGTCGTAGGCCAGTCGAGAGGGCGCATGTGTGTGTTGAACACGGTGGCAGGGGCGGAGGGCACACAGCATGCGCTACGATGTAAGCGAAGCACTTATCTAGGAAGCGTCCGAGTGATATAGCGTGGAGCCGGGGAGGACGCTAGCTGCATACATCTCAACCTTTTGCTTATCTCTGGTCAAGCTTATCCAAGACTTTCCTGACAGCTCAACAGGTATGCCCCAGGGAGGACGAGCTTATCATGATTAGATGAAGGACATCTGACCACTGCCCTCGCATTATTTGGTAGCCGCTGTTATGGCTGCTTCGAACGCCGCTAACAACTCACCTACCTAAAAGGACTGCGGCAAAATACTACCGACGAGCCGAGCGACCAAGCCGGACACATCTAAAGTTAGCTCCCCACTCTGGTTGTTGACCAGCATCCCCGGACTAGAAGTCAAGTTCGCTATAAGCCTTAAGATTGACATAAAGTCCCTATAGACAGTGGGGGAGGTCGAAAGTTGTTCTTTTGTAGCAGTTTGTTGGGTAAAGGGCAAGGACAATGGCTTACTTGGGGTCAGACGGCCAATGACTGACTGCAATACTCCAGGACGACCACGTCGGCGGTCGAGCTAGGGAGATATCACAAAGTCGAGTGCTTCAGAGTCGATATTTTCTCGAGAGCCAGTCTCCTGCAGGCATATACAACGCTGCAGCCAGCATTGATTCCAGCATTCAGAGACGAATTGATAGCCAGCCAATCGCAAAGGCCACATTTGCAAGGGCTCTTTTGAACTTCTCCCCAAGAGTCACAGCAGGCGAACGTGGAGGATCTTTACAAAATAGTAAGGTGAACCTATGGTTAGACGCTGCAGGGTGTAGGTGGAAGGTACAAGCATCCCGAGTAGCCGGTTTCCGGTTGTCTCTGGAGAAAGAGGGTGGGGTAGCACAACCAAAGCTATCTTATCACGCGTCTGATATTGAACATCCTACTCCTCGAATGAGCGCTGCGCTCGTTGTACAACAAATCTGACTTGTACCCACGTGCGAATAGGCGTCGAGAGTGGGGTGAGGTTCCTCTGGCTACCAGATGAAGGGCTACACCTCGACCCTCGTGTTGAGTATAAGTTAGGGACCTTATGGGCCGGTTACCATAGCCGTAGGATTGCTGATAACTCAAATTACTAGCCATTAGTCGAGGGCAAGTTTCATACGCGCTACCACAGCTATGGAGTTTGACATTGGATCCGGCATGGGCTACCGTAAGATACGGGAGCCCGAAGGCCTGACGTCTTTCGACGAGCTTCCAGTCATCGACCTCTCGGATATCGACGGCGCGGACGAAAGCAAGCTACGGGCTCTCGCGTCCAATATATATGATGCCTGCACCAAAGTCGGGTTCTTCTACATCAAGAACCATGGCATTCCCAAGGAGTCCGTGGCCGCGATCAAGAGCGAAGCTGAACGATTCTTCAAGGGCCTTCCCGAGGAGAAGAAGATGGAGCTCGACCGTGAAAAGAGCGAATACCATCTAGGCTATGGCCCTTTCGAAGACGACCGAAAGGGTGGCCAGAAAGCTCATCCATACGAGAGTGTCCTTATTGGCCGCGAGGTGGCTTGGGACACAGAATATGTTGGCAAAGTCGACCCCAAGCACGACGCCATCAACCTGCTTCCAAAAGAGGAGGATCTTCCAGGCCACAGGGCTGTCGTGGGGAAATATTTTGGCGAGATGCTGGTGCTTAGCCGCAAGCTGGCCAGGATCTTTGCTTTGTCCTTGGAGCTGCCCATGCATTTCTTCGATGACAAGATGGAAAAGCCGGGCGCCTTGTTAGGTCTCAACTACTATGCTCCTAAGGGACAGCAAAGACCGGATGTCAACTCGGCTATCCTAGCACATACCGACCACGAGCTGTTTACCATCCTATTGCAGTCGGATGGCATTAATGCCCTTGAAGTGGTCAATGGACAGGGTATTTGGGTACCTGCGAAGCCGTTTCCAGACACATTTGTTGTCAACATTGGCGACGCTTTGTCCATTTGGACAAACAATGTCTTCTTGTCAACACTGCACCGAGCCACTAATACTACCGGTGGGGAGCGCTACTCTATTCCCTTCTTCTTTGGTCCAGACTACGACGCTGTGATGGAGACTCTTCCGTCTTGCATTTCAGAGACACGGCCAATGATATACAAACCAGTAACGCAAGCCGAGCATTATCTGGCGAAGATGAACACCGCATATGGCGCTAGCACCCTCGTGGCTGCTTGAGCTGGATACACGGGCCTGCTTATGATGGTAGATGCAATGTATATTCTTTCCATTCAAGCACTGATCTGAGTCTACATGAATTGAAAGGAAAAGTTGTGCGGAGAACAGATCAACCCCAATGGCTTCATATTTAGCTTGAGAAAAGCAGCTCGATACAGCCAGGGGCGCCGCGCGAACCTTGACCGCCAGTGCCAAAGGGATTGCCCGGGCCGCCCTGACCACCGACGGATGCCCCAACCAAGGCGCAGAAGCCGGTGCTTGTAACTGGACCTGGAATCGGCTGCATATCGGTCCTAAGCCGAGCAGTCCCTATGCCACCATTTCCGCCTTTATTCCTCGTAGCACCCGTACCACCGCCGCCGCCTGCGAGCGACAAAAAGCCCTGGCTGGGGATTTGCAATCTTGTGAGTCCGCCTGTTCCGCCGCTGCCTGCAGGGCATTTGGTACAGGTCGTGGCGATGCCTCCGGCGCCACCGGCACCGCCCTGCCCAATCTGCGCCGTGATAAATTCACCGGGAGTAACTTGGACGGAAAAGGTGGTTATTTTGTTTGAGGTGCCGCCCTGACCACCATCTGAGGCGCTGTTCCCGGCGCCGCCGCCACCGCCGCCGCCAGAACCATAAACTGCGAAAGTAACAATTCGCACATTGGCGGGCACCTTACACTCCGTCGTGCCGGCCGTTGAAAATTGCTGAACCATAGAGCAGGTCGTGTCAGCGGCAAGCGCCGGCGCGACCCCGGCCAACACAAATGCTCCTAAACCCATGAGAATCAATCTGCCCATCGCGGTCATCCTTCGAATTCCTAGTAAGATTCTGGGCCTCGCCTTGTCTTGAGAGAATCGAATGATAGTGGACTTCCTAACCGCAACCACAAGAATAACATAGATTTATATATGCTGCGGATCTGGAAGATACCGATGCTCTTCACGATCACCTTATGCACGGTGGTCGAGTTAGCGTTGGCCGCGAAGACCCATGACCGGTTCGGCGTGTACGTGAGATTCATTGCGGACGTCATGTCATACGCTGCGCCAGCCATCACGGCATAGTGAGCAGTGAGGCAATAGAACCGAGTTAAGGTATATCTCCGGGCACCCCCCGGATTGATAGTAGCGAAGGTCTGGTAAGAGTCGCTACACCGTCGCCGACCGTCATCACATAGCCGTACTTCCCCGGACAAGTTCGACTTGGGGCTGATGCTGACGTGAGCCGACGCTATAGTTCATTTGCTTGCAAGAGGTAAGCTAACAGACCAAGAAGAGATGATGACAATGGTGTTACCAGAAACTCATGATCTTTCCACGACTCTCGTAGGGAGCGATTTCATTGATATATGTAGGACCAGCTGGCAGTGCAAAGCCTTGACCAATACCAACGATGGCACGACCGGCGATGTAGCCTCCAATACTTCTTGGAGTGAAGCATGATACGAACGTTGCGATGATGACAAAGACGCAGCCGGTCACCATGGCAATCTTGCGTCCGAAACGATCGGAGACAGGACCGCAGAGGAAGAATCCTTCACGAGGTCAGTGAGTACTAAGACCTGCCCACAAAAGAGACAATAGAATTCGCTTACCGGCAAGAATACTGCCGACTGCATATGCGGTAGTGACAGATCCAACGACATTTGGGTCGGGCTGGTGAAGTAGTTGACCCAGTTGTCCGAGCCTTGGACGGCATTGAAGGTGGAAGCATCGTAGCCCTAGAGGACATGCAAAGTGCTGCCACCAAGCATACATACCAGCAGTAGACGTTGCCCTTGCCCATGATTTTGACTTCTAGCGATGTGATGAAGAGAGAGTGCCGAGTGATCGAAAATGTGAGAGGGCAGAGTTGGGGAAGTCTGAGAATTGATATCCCTATGTAGATGCTAGCACTGCGGAGATGAAGATCCCACATACCACAGTGGCGAACAAAATGACACCCATCACATACGGCTGCAGCTCGATATTCCGGGTACCTTGTGCGTTCAAAGGCTAGATAGCAGGCGGAGCTGGTGGCCGGTACCCTCTCGCCTTGCGCTGTGAGTGGGCTTAGAAGGTCTAGACATGGGGATCACCAGCTCTCACCTCTCCTCCCCACGGGTCTGGGGGTTTTCCCTCCACACTTTGTCCCTGCGGATACCAGGTGAAAACAATTTTTACGGTCAAAAGGCCGCCCTGCACCTTCATCTCTTCCCCCCCTTGTTGACTGTTCGGCCAAGCCAATCCAAGTGCGGGGAGAGTTCTGAGCGAGTCCGCACCAGGCGAGATCCTGACGAGAATATGCAATGCAACGTGCCAAGGTATTTGGCAGAACGCTGGAGGTTTCCTCGTCTCTGATTAGTCCGGCGTCGCCTCGCCTGCCAGGCGCCGAAGCCATATAGAGACAGTCCAAATGGTGCAGACCGAGCCAGAAGGGGTTGGTTTATGGTGCTGAGATGAAGTGGTTGCTGGACGGGCCGCTGCTAGTGTGCAGACTAACCCGTTCCGCGAAGCTCCGGAGGGAGTTCGACTATCACTTTATAGAACGGAGCATGGTTCAACGTGGCGACACCAGACTCCTGCTGAATGTGGACTTGTCCAATGGAATAGTTTCGTGGCGCGTAGAGGGAGAAGAGGCCTCTTCAACTGGTACCGGCGAATCTTCCCGACATGTAGCCTCGTCTACCGCTCGCCACAAGCTCATGAAGAACGCTGAGGGGGGATTACGCCACGTATTCGATACAGCAACACTGGAGGAATGTCATGCGCCGTCTGTCTCTGCTCTGCCACATCACCAGACTTGAAGCTTGACCTTGGGCTGTGCAGTCTAGTTGCTGGGATATTCACCTCGCATCGTTCGGCCTCTGCCATTTCGTAACGGTACCAGCCTTCAGATAGGCTCCATCAAGGCTCTTGTGCAATGAATGGTGCGACACAATGGCCGCTTCCCTCTGGTATAGCCTTCTTGTCTACCTATCGGCGTGCGGGATCCAGGCCCCGTCTCATGTTGAGGCGTGCTGGGTGTGTTCCTCCGCAATGGTCATTGGCGGCCTTACTAAGGGACTTGGCCTGGTTTTACGAATGCAGCCATGAATAGACATCACTGTGATAGTCGCTTTTTCACAGAGAGTGTAGCCTCGCACGGTCGGTTCCTCGGCTGAGAAGTCTTCGATTGAACTCCCATTGGCTCAGAGTTGGCTTATCGGGGAGCTTCCAGTGTTTTGTTTGATCGTCAGAGAAGCGAAGCAGATCCCAAGTGCCATGAGCCAGACAAAGCCCGGGAAGCTGGTCTGTGCAGGACCGTCAATTTTCGAAACATCGGTGACTTATCCGATAGGGGGGTTCAACGACCCCAGAAACACCTGCTTGACCTTCTTTCAACAACACCCTACTTTTTGCACGCCTTAGATGGGTTAAGACCGGAGGAGCTGGATTCTAGACTACTCGGATTTGCCACTATCCGACCATGCCTTCAACGAGGCTGTGCAACGTCCAACGTGCACTGGCAGCCAAACATCGGCCCACGAGGTCCCACTGCAGCACCGAGAGCTTGTTTGCATTGCGGTCCTGCTCTTACGCCGAACGCTTTGTCTGACATACAATTGCACCCGGCGTCGCCGCACATAGGCTTCAGGGACGAGTCAAGATAGCGCAGCAAGCTGTCCAGTGGCTTTCAAACCCCATCTGGTGTCCATGGGACTGTTCGGGGAAATGCCAAGCGATGCTCAGCCACCACACAGCAATGGCGTTATAAAACGTTCCCTGCTTACCCCGGAGTGGAGTCCACAAGCTGCCGTGCCGGACTTGCCAGGCTCTACCGAATGTGGACTCTTGATACACCATCTCTGTCGATGCAGGGAAGGTCTTTACTTCTCCTCGAGACTCATTCATCCCGCGATGGGCATGATGAAGCATGCTGAACCACCTTCCTCCGCGATGTTGGGGCTGCACAGTCAGCCCCGTCCGATGTACAGAAAAAGTGCAACTATCAGGGTATTGTCCTTGAAGCACTGCATCTTCAACAACAATCTCTATCCTCCTGCTACAACTTACCCGGCCCATCCAGAACCTACTTAGCGAGCATCTACCGAGTCGACTATCCTGAATTGGTTGGACGGAAGACATTCTTGAGACATACACTTGCTCGGGTGGATTCCCCTGCATAGAGCACTCCGCAGCCCGAAACAGCTACAAGCCATCGATGTCCACCAATAGGAATAGAATGGCTTTCTATGCTTCCTCGGTCCTTCGCTCACACTTGCCATATTCATTGATGTTGAGCATAGAAGATACTACTAATTGGGAACCAGGCGATGCGCAACCGGTACCATCTACTCCACGGCAAAAATTTCAAATCGAAGGACCTTCGGTATCAGAATCATCCCTAGTTTTGCTTCTGAGGCAAGGTATGCATTGAAGTTGAGGACAGAGTCCAAGGCACAGCCTTTCTAACATGATTCTGCGAGGTATAAATACCCTCAACTTAACCGCAAAAGGTTGTATGTCTGCACTCCAATATCAGTCAACTCATCACTCTTTCTACTTCTTCGCCATCTGAATTCAAAGGCTGGTCCTTTCAGTGCATCTTCTTTCACAATGGTCTCCTACAAATCCTTCGTTGTCTTTGGACTCCTTGCCATCAGTGACTTTGTCGCAGGACATGGTTGCATCATTGCTGCAACTGGTGATGCTGGCGGTAATGGGACTGCTCTCGGTATTGACTCGTCGACCCCGCGTGACGGGACTAGGAGACGCCCTTTCCAACAAGACACCACTCGGTTCGCTGGTGACCAGGCCGACACGTTTGGCGAGACGCTCGAAGGCGGTGATAACGACCCCGAGGCTGGCACTACTGCAATCCTGGCTGAGAGTGGTGGTGTACTCCCACAAATTTCAGCCGGTGGTGAAGTACAGATGACTCTTCATCAAGTCAACGCTGATGGTGCGGGTCCATACACGTGCATGATTAACAACGATGGGACTGGAACTACATGGACTGAGGTGAGTACACAATTCGCATATGTCAATATGTCTCTAACAAAAACAGATGACAGTCACGCAGCAAGTGCCAGGCCGCCGTGGCCGATCTCAAGCAGGCTCGGAGACCGACTTTGTAAGGAAACGTTGATGTCTAGCGGACGATGGCTGACCTTTCGCAGCCACTTACAGCCCAAGTCCCAGCAGATCAAATCTGCACTGGTACTGTTGCTGGCCAGGAAAATGTCTGCATGGTTCGATGCCAGAATCCCGCCCTGGCCGGCCCATTCGGGGGAGTCGTGCCGGTCCAGATGCCTCAGTCTTCCGCCACTGATGCTGCTGGAGCTGGAGCTGCAACAAACGGCACTGCAGCAGCTACCAACGCAACTAGCGGCAGTGCGTCGGATATCGCAGCTGCAAATACTCAGACAGACAACATCACTCCTGCTGAAAAAGCTGCCGAACTCCGTGAGGATGCACAGAAGAAGCGCAAAATCCGTCGAGCTTCCAGGATTGAAAGTCGTACCGCTGCTGCCATCGGTTATAGACACGGCGTGAAAAGGTAGATTCGTGTACGATTGGCAGGGACGAAGAGTATCAATTCAGAGTATCCCGAAGATTCAATCCACCATTAGCAGCTCAAGGTGGTTTCATTCTCTTGATGTTTGGGGTTTGGCTAGAGATGCCATCCACACTCCTTTGGTATTGAATGCACCGAGCTTGCATCATTACACTCGTTTGAACGTCGATTCGACTGAAGTTGCCGCCATGAACATCGGACGCTCTTTTCTTTCCTTGCCGTGGCAGTGCAGACATGTGCCAAAACACAAGGTCGTGGAGCAAATGACTTGCGAGTTGGACAGAATTCTCGAGAAAGAAGTATGGACTTGTCAGCTGTACGTTGGAATTATGCGAGAAGCACAGCCATCTGGCGATGTATCACTATTGTACCATCGTATGGTTTGCCATGACAATCAAAGCTGAAAGGCATGAATTGCATTGTCTATCAGATGTCATTGTTCTTCTTGTTCCACTAGGTTCTCAACGTATTCAAGAAAGGGGACGTGGTCTTCAGCCACTAAGAAGAGGCACAACGCAGCTTTTTGGGATCAATCACCTGAATAGACCTCACTGTCGAATTGATGATCAAAAGTGAGAAAAGAACAGCGAATAGGCCAGCCAGAAGTATGTGTCTGCCACACTTCTAACTCACTCAATACACTGCTTGATCTTTTCCACCTACAAATATCGATCTTCCCCAAATTTTCAATTGTCAATTCATTTCTTCCTTCGGACGACCTCGCCACAATCTTCTTGTTGCTTCTCTGTCTCCCGTCACAATCATCATCACCAGGGCTTTAGGCTGCTATGCTGCTGCCGCACCCAGATGCCCAGACTTTCGTCGATGCTTTTGATACTCCTCCAGCTGCTCCGGAACCTCGCGGGCAACAGCTGCACCCAGATCTTCAGTTTTTGGCAGAAGCCTTTGATCCTCCATACCCAGAACCTCTCCATGCGGCCGCTGCGCCAGAATTCCCACTTCCAGGTGTCTATGACGAGGAACCTGTCAACATGACTACGCCAACAACCATGCGAAGGGCGGGGAGAGCGATTGTTTTGCAGCGACCGGGCCACTCATGCCGACCCGCTGCAGTTAAGTTTCGACATTCATCGTACAGCCAGGCACACAGAAGCTATAACGGGCTAGGCGAAAAGAATGTCAGTACCGTTGGACCACAACTTCTTCAATCCAAGTGCAAGTTGCATGCCACTCAGGAATGACTACCATTTCCCCTCCGCAGTTTGCCAGGGAGATCCTGTCTGCAAACAAACCCGAGACAGGACCATGGGAGCGCGGGAAGCAAAGGGAGGCAATCCAAGTGGCGAGCATCAAGTCGAGACTCCAAAGGAGACGGCCTCAAGGAATGATTGTCTTACTCTGGACCCTATTGCGTTGCGAGATAGCCACGCGGTAGTCAATCGGCATATTGCGGTCGACTTCGCATCCTCTGGCAGCAGTTCAAGCTTTGAGGAATGGAAGCTGTCGATGACAGGGCCAGCAAGATGGGATCGAAACAATCGAAGTGGGTTGAGATTGATAGGTAGATGAAGCTTGGCGGCATGCTGGCGGCAAAATGTTCCTCCGGTGTCCGCCTGCGTCTCCGCAGAAGGTGCTTATCATAGTCAGTCACGATCTTCTTTTGACTATGCTTCCAGATCAAAATATGCACCAACGAATGTGAGGTTTCCCTGGTCTGTTTCACTTCGTCAATGGCGCGTAGGAATACTCGTCGAAATCTGCTGCGTCTAGGAGTGCCTTTGCGTGGGCACGTCCTACTGTTCCAGCCGGACATGTCGTAACGAAAGCCAAACTCCACCGAAAGCATGACAACTCCTGCCTCGAAGAAACGCAAGACCTTCCACCACTATTTCGACCAGAACAATCGTGCCCCTGCCGTGCAAAGTCGGCCATCTACTCCCGTCGAACTTCCCATTCCCGGACTCGCGTTGATCTTGGACTTCGTAACTGCGGACGAAGAGGCGGCACTTCTCACATTTCTTGAAACGCGGAAATGGAGGACTGATCTTCGCCGACGATGCATCCATTATGGAGGCACATACTGCCTCATGCCTCCACGAGACGCGTCAGTTGAGGAGCGTCAACGGATCGAGGGCACCGTCATTGAGGCAGACCCATTGCCCACCGAGCTCGATTTTGTAGTGGACAGGATGCTGGAGCACGGTCTATATCAAGAAGAGAACAAACCCGCATTCTGCATTGTCAATGAGTATGTTGGAGTCCAAGGCATAAGTGCACACGTGGAGAATTTTCGCTTTGACAGCCCGGTATGCGGCTTGACGCTACATAACGGAGATGCAATGCGGTTCCATGAGCTAGCTTGTGCCGATGATGCAAGCGTGAGATCTGGAGGAGCCAGCAAATCACCGCGCACTGGTAAGATGCAAGACGTATGGCTCCCACCGAGAAGTTTGCTCGTTATGAAGGATGAGGCAAGGATGAAGTGGCAGCATGAGATCCGAGCTGTTCGTCGAGCCTTGGGCTTCAGAAGAGTGTCTCTGACGTTCCGCACAGAAAGGTCGCGGCCCGGTCAACAATCTACCTACGAAGGGAAGCCTATGAAAAGAAGTAGACAAGATTGAATGCGACTGTTTCATGAACCTCGACCACTTGTTATCAATATCGGTTCGCAAAGTCAGCCCGCCATCATTCACCAAGGCAATCTTGCGTCCTACACGCATCATGGCACCGCTGCCGCTAGAGTCATGTTGTTAGACTCGAGTTATCTGTGGTTTTCTCTTCGGACTCGAACCATCTTTCAGGCCGGAACTCATCGGCATCGTCGCCCCAGATCTTCAAATCCCGGCTCTGGGTAATCGGATTGATACCAATTGGCGAACCTGGCGGGATGAATCTACCATCGGCGGTCAAACAGGACTCAGTATGGCGCAGAACCCAGAACACAGCTCAATACAACCGTCCCCATTGAAACCAGTATTATCTCCTCCGCCTCCTCTTCCCACCACGGGGCATGCGGATGCAGAATGCCTATTGGCCCCTTTCCGTACATCCAGCCATTCAGAAAACACTGCGAAATGACCTTATACTCATCCTGATCCTCATTCATAGGTCGGAGAATGCAAGGTATCCCAGAATTATGAAGGATGGCCACCTTATCGCTCATTTGAACACATTCGCAGCCATGCCAACCCAGTAGGCATTAGGTGCCACTAGCTAACGGAAACTGAGGAAGTTCTTCAGCGACTGAGACGTGGAAGTGTGATCTCGTGCGAACACCCTGCGCATTGAAAATGCTCCGGGCTGGGGTCAATGCTCGAGGACTGGAATTCTGGGCTGAAGGTCAACAATGACAGGTGAGTCTCACCTTTATCCTATTCGGGTCTCGGGATTTGCCAGCGTTACCTCGCGGAGCTTAAGCCAGTCGGAGAATATTACGGGCACCCAACGGATACTAGCTCGTCATTCAGAAAATCCTCGGCGACCCCCTCACGCCCCTTAAAGGTCGTCGCTAAGCATGGCCAACCCGTCGTATTTCCTCTGACACCTAGAGATTGGTGAGGGACTTTACGAGACACCAGTCCGTTGAGAATAGTACCTATGTTAGCCAGCCACGAAGTTGTCACCTTGATTACCTCACAATTACTGTCGTCCATTTGTACATCCACGACCTTTCGCACAGACTTCCACGAGATTGCATCACCAGATTTGAGCAGCATGACGTGACTTAGTAGTCATCCACTCTCTGGAATGAGTATCATATGCTGCGGAATCTTTCGTCCTTCAGTCGGTTCAGGGAGACAATTGAGTGCTTTCATACTGTACTCGAAACTCAAAATGCTGCTAATGCTGGATGATTTTATATCGACCGGGAGTCGTCCGTGTCTACTATACAGGGATACCTTTTCAACTTCAAACATTGGAGCAGGAGCTGAGCACCATGAATTTATCCTTGTCTATGTTCAAGCTTCCGCTCGCGATCTTATTGCTGCTGTCAAACTTGAAACTGTGTCTGGCAAGTCCGCGAGAGGCAATTCACGATCCGCGTTATATCAGCACAGCATTCGCGAATTGCGCGTATGCTCATGCTGAATTTTCACGCACAAGCACGACCGCAACTGAGCTTACCACCAGCTTAGTTGCAAACGACACGACTACCACCAGGAGAACTCGAAGCGCAAAGACGTTCTCGACAACAACAACTGCAAGTGAGAGCGGGTCGACTTCAGTTTCAGACGAACACGGCTCCTGGGGTGACTGGGGCAGCTCTCCTCAGACCGCGAACAGCCATGTCTCAGGCGAAGATCTGCCCTCTCCTAAAACGAGTGGGGGCAGATCCCATCAAGTCGGCACCTCAGACGCCTCTGGTACGAACGACAGCAGTTCTGGTGATGCTTCTCCACAACAAGGTGGTCACGCAGCGACTCATGAGAAAGGGAGCTCTTGGGGATTCTATAGAAACTCTACGACAAGAGATAATACCACAAGCAACGACAGCTGGTTTGGCGAGAACGACGGTGTTCCTGCTCTGACGGAAGAAGACATCCTCTTCATCATATCTGAACGCGCTCTGGCTTACGCTGGCTTCCCAGACTCGGACGGTTCTACATGGCCGTTGAATGATTCCGTGGTGATAAAAAGACAGACCACAAACGGCACCAACGCTGATTACTTTGGTGGGGAGAACACTCTAGAGAAGTGGAAACGTCTGGAAATGGATAGCTGGCTGGAGAAGTACGTTGCTGACGTCGATATCCCCGGGCAGCCGGGGAAGAAGCTCGCCAACAGCACTAACTTCTTCCATGACTTTTGGTTGTCAACGGTGAGAACGAACACGGAATCCAGTACCCAATTCAGCGCCTGGGCTAACGAGCAGGATGTCCACAGGGCGAGGAGAACGTTGTCGTGTGTGACAGCCTTTTAGAGTCCTGCAACGTGGCCGGTGTCTCGGACGATACGCGTTTCAGTTATATCAACCGTACCGATGCTTACCGCGCTCAGTATGTGCGTCAGGTTATCAAAGTATGGCAATCATCGAACAAACAGGCATATGACGTACGTTGAAAACGAGTCGAATCCTACCGTTTCAAGTCGTGGTTGTGTCAACTGACTGATTGATTCTGCCCTTAGATCTTCTCAAGAGCGGTGTCTGACTCCCAGCTCAACATCCTGGCGGCGCACACCGTGCTAGTACAAGGCACCCCTCCACCACAAACAAATATCTTCGAAGTACTTGTGCCAGCCCTCGCACTCGTCGCGGCATTTGTGCCGGTGTTGGCACCAGTAGCAGGAGTTATGGCTGGTGTCTACGCCTTTGCACAGGCAGTCACAAAGCGCGAGGATACCATGGAAGGCGTGGTGTGGGCCAAATCACAGCTGAACCATACCGATTATTTTGAGACTCTTCAGGTACGACAGGATGGTCAGCAGACAACCGACACGATCAACGATCTCCTACAGCGTGTCGCCAAGTTGGAAGTGCCACCGAAAACGTGGCTCGACCAAGCAAATAACTTGGCCACTGTGGTTAGCAAGGCCGGTGACGCGGCAGCGTAAGTGGCAATCAGGACTACTGATGAACTCCCGAACAATGATTGCCACCGATGATAGCTAACCACGGAGACAGGAAAACGTACATTGCCTTTAAGGGCTTGAACCCACAGCTTCCCGCATCTAGCATCTCCTCTTGGGATGTGTTCGACTCGCGTGTCCTACAGACTCTACAATTATTCCCCAAAAGCATACTCACCTCCTTCGAACAAAACATCAAAACCTACTGGGCGCAGCAGACCACCAATGCCGCTGGAACTACAATTCTTTCCAGTGGAATGAGACCTTTCCTCCTGGGTGGCAGGTGGTCTTTGGCATCCGCCAACAAAGAGAACGTTTCCGATTCTGCGACTAAAGTGAAGAAGTACCTGGATGCCGTCATCTTTATGCAATACGTCCAACAGCAAGCGGTAAGTGGTGCATCGATCCCTACAACATAAAAGAGCATCAGCCGAACTGACTTTTGAAAACCAGTTCTACTACTGGATCCAAGACTTTCCTACCTCATCAGCTTGTACCAAAGCACGACAGGATGCTATCAGCGACGGATGGCTCGCCAGTAACGGCTGGTATAACTGCAAGAGGCTTGATAGCGGGCAGTATCAGCTACAGTACACCCGGAAGCCTACAACAGCCCGCGGCTTCGCGGACGTCTCGCAAAACGGCAGATACTACCCCGGTGGCGACGTCGTGGCGCTTGAGCATATCCCCAATTCAGATCGGGGTTGCTATGTACAGGAGCGCTCCGGTAGCATTCTTCGACGAACCGGTTTCGATCAAGTTACGGCGGGCCTGAACAAGTGGAACGATGGCGTCCTCTCTACGCTAGGTTACGGCTTTAAGCTCGACGAAGTCTTCGCCGCCTCGCAATCATGTCAGACCGCCATGGGGGATCCCTTCATTCCAAACAAGGCCCCGCGGAACGCATTCTATCCGCCCATGCGCCTAAAGGATAACACCCAGGGCGGGGGCGAAAGCGAGATTCTCAGCGGCACGCTGCCCCCCTGTCTCTTCAATCTGCCTATTTTCGAAGTCGGCCGTTCCGACCTCAACAACTGGTGCAAGAATCACATGGGCGAGATGAGGGGCAGCCCTGGATGGTACCAAGGTAACGAAGCTTGTGGCGACGAGCTCGAGTGGTGGGCCATACAGTCCGACACCAAGCTATGTGGCTCCAACCAAGGGGACTATGCCCCGACGCGCGACTCCCGGCCTGGCTGTTCGCTGCATGAGCGTGGTGTCGTCTCGGTGTCTTGCCCGAGATGGAGCGACAACTAAGATAGATAGGTTCGTATTGGACTCCAGGCGGCATTGGCTCTCGAATATCATTCCCTTATTACGGCCTCAAAAGCTTTAGCTTAGGAATGCTGAGCTCGAAGAAGGGGAAGTGCGCGTACACAAGGATTCGATATGATGAGCACGAGCTCAGGCGCCTCTGGGTGCTCATTGCTCATTATATTGACGGCGGGTGGTGACTACGGAGATCCAGTATACAGCCGGAGCCTTGTTCGCTATTAACATTAGGGGAGGTGCTCAAGATTGACGGCGAATATCGTCGACAAAATCGATACGTTAATTACGACTTAAGAAAAGCATACAAGTCCCCAAATTGCCATCGAGTACAAACATACTCTGACGAAAGAATAAAGCATTCTGCCCCTCGCTCCCAAGTTATCAAGGACCCTACGCAGAATCGTAAAGACAATGAACATACAAATACCGCTCGCGGGGGTAACATGATGCAGTCCAGCGGCTCCGCTACACATGGATTGCTCATGCCACAACTGGCAAACAGCCTACCACCCGCGGAACATCAGGCTCTCCCCCGCAACATCCAAGTCTTATCGAAGGCCCCCTCGAGACAATATTTATCCCTCCGGAGCTGAAGCTTGAGGTCAACGTCTGCCGAAACCAATGCCGTGACGAGTCCTTAGCTCGGTGCGCGCTGCGTGCGGGCGAAGAACAAAATGCGTGGTCTTGTACGGCAGGGTATGAGCGCGAATCTCAAGAATAGGACGGCAGCGCAATTATTCAATGTTTCGATACTCAACTCGGCGCTGAATTGGGCAGCGGAGCCCAAATTTGGCGGGTTCTTAAGAGGTCGGCTTCTTCGTACTGCTCGGCTCTCGTTAATAAGGAACGTGGTTGGTGTAAGGTAGGACGCACATTTCCAAGGTGATCGCATTACAGCCTCGTTGGGCCACAATCTTCGTCCGCTGTCGTCCGGGTATTGTTCGCTGAGATCCGTGCGGCACGCCAGAGTTGAGATGTTGTCAATCGGAGGAAGAGATACCCCGGCGGCATTCGGAGTAATACAACTCATAGTTTTGGAAAATGATGTACGGAACCTAACACGGCATCCTGGTTGGTCGCGCCATACTCACAACTCATAGTCTTAGAAAATGATGTACGGCACCTAATACGGCATCCTGGTTGGTCGCAGTATACTCACGCGTGGGCTCTATATATTCATTCTTCGTGTACCTATTTCCACGACTACGATATCTCCCAGACCCGTTGCCAAAGAGAAGAGGGTCAATAAGACAAGAAATACTACGCCCCTTCCTACGTCCAATAGACACCAAAACATGTCCAACATTCTTGCAGTATTTGGCGCCACTGGGACCCAAGGTGGTTCGGTGATCAACAACGTCTTGAGCGATCCAGAACTCTCAAACAAGTACAAGCCTCGCGCCATTACTCGTGATGCCAACTCGGCCAAAGCCAAAGCACTCGAGCAGCGACAGGTCGAAGTCGTGACGGGTGATGCGTCGGACCGTACCTCGGTCGAGAGAGCATTGGCTGGAGCCAACTTTGTCTTCATTATGTCAACGCCTAGCTGGGGTCCTGATGCCATGGAGGCTGAATTCAACACCATCAAATCCATTGCCGACATTGCAGTCGAAAAAGGCCTGGACTACATCATCTTCAGCACCTTGCCATCCTGCTACGACATGTCTCACGGCAAGTACACAGCCGTCACGGCATTCGACGCTAAAGCCAAGGGCGAAAAATATATCAAGACTCTCCCCATCAAAAGTGCCTTCTTGTGCGCAGGATTTTTCATGGAGAACTTTGTGACCCAGCCATTCTTGGGTCCGATCCCGAATGGCGACGGCACCTATACTCTGGCTCGAAACGCCCCTTCAACCCTTAAACTGCCCTATGTCGATGCCACCGATGACGTGGGGAAGTTCGTCAATGCTATTCTAGCTGAGCCCGACAAATACGCAGGCCAGACATTCTACGCAGCGGCAGGCTTTTATAGCTTAGCGGAAATAGCTACGCTCCTGGGCAAGTCTTCGGGGAAAACGATAACCTTTAAACAGGTATCTGACGATGAGTTCAGGAGCTCTCTCCCGTTCATGGGCGACCTCTTTGCTCAAGGCTTTGCTTGCCAAGCCGAATATGGCTATTTCGGGCCAGGTGGCGAGGAGAAGGTGGACTGGGCTACCCAGAACATCCGTGGCAAGCTTACCACCCTTCCAGAATACCTCGAGAAACACCCTTTCTCGCTTGAAACATGATATTGATCCCGGTGCGGCGACCACAAATGTGGGAAAGACGCGCTCATCCGAAGCATCTGTGGTCATTCGAATTGAAGGAGAATATGGAAGGAGTAAAGGAGGAAAAGGAGAGCTTTGATCCAGCAACCAAGATTGAAACAGAGGGAAAGGGTATTCCGTCAATAAATTAAAAGACAAAAACCGCACCAATAGACAAGATAAAGCAATTGCCAACGGAAAGCTTTACTGATCCAACTCTATGCCCATAGTACAGCCCTTCCTGCCGAGCTGTTGAACTTGTCTTTCGGTTGTGGAACTTGGACTATCTTCTCCCACATCCATGGTACCCCGATGAAGTGTCGGTGGTGACATTCCCTGGCCCCAGGCCGTGTTTTGACCCGACAGAAAGGTTCGTCCTAGGTACGGTTGATTATCTATGGAAACACAGGCATGCGAATTTGACTGTAAACGCTTGAGCAAGTAGCAAGGCTTTCATATATTCGTCGATCTCGCATAATGGCCTGAGGCGCAGCTCAAGGGCATTCATCGCCCTAGGAGTAATGATTGCCGGGCCAAAAATACTTCGCTGTTCACCTAGGCATACAAGGATATAGGGCTGCCTGACAGCTAAATTTCGTTCTGTAAACGCGCCAAAGCGACGCTCTCAATGTCAGGGGTATTTTCAGTAAAACGGCGGTGATGGCCACGACTGGGTTGAGTAGTAAGACACTGAGTACGCGCACGACACGAGGTGCTTGGTACGATCCTGATGGGAGAAATCGTGGTTCTCGCCTCAAGGAAAATTTCTCTCGCGTCGAGATGTTTGTTATACAGTATATGTACATACCCAAGCTTCCCAAGCAAATTTTCATCCCAGACATCCTTTTTCCGTCCTTTCGTCATGTTACGTACCCCTCCATTATCGTACACTAGCCTTTGCTGCATCGAGCTTCGCGATAAGATCAAGCACCGTCGATGAATCCTTGCCTTGTACGCAACTGTATAGAACATCGGGTATCTCAATAGTTGCTTCGTTTCAGCAGTGAAAAGAAAGAAGCATGCCACGACCCCAATCTCCCAAAGATAAACTCGATGGCTTTGCATGATGATTCTATTCCTCGACTCGTCGGGTCCCAAAAGTTGTGCTCTTTCGCCATTTTTCTGATTTACTGTACTGGAAGAAGGACGAATTCACCAGAGATGTGAAGTACTGACGATCGCTCAGACCAGAGAAATCATGATCTCACCTACGCTACATTTTGCGAAGTTACGCAAAGGAGAAACAGCCCCGTTGATATTGGATGCTCCTTCTGCAATTGCTGACGCTCTTTGCGGGCAAATCTGGCCAACCCGCGACCGAGTGCTCTTGTTAGCGCAGGAGCAGTCGACAGATCGAGTTAGCTACCAAAGATCTTTACCCGTTCTTGAGGTTTCAAGGGACTTTAGAGAACTCTCCTCCTTGTCCGGCATCTCTGATGTTGGGAGCCCCAACTTACGACATGTTGCAGCGATTGGCTGCGTGAATGGTGAAAATAACTGAAGGATTGGTCGAACAACTCGATCTGCAACGAGAGGCCTGTCACGCACCGGGACGTTTGTACCGGTCAATGTGGAAGCCTGGATCTAGTAGGCCAGGGTGGCTTTGCGCCGCGTGTCGATGGGGCTACTTACCCTGGCCTTACGATGTGGACCTGACTCTGGTCGCCGCTCCTCTTCATGACTCAGCTAAGGGGTTTCTGCCGTTTCTGCAGGCGTTAGTAGATCGCAAGCTTGATAGGACGTACTTAAAGTTGCCCGTGCGTTCCAGGTTTACCGATGTCTTGGTGCATGTTCAAGACAAACCCTTTTCTCCCAGCAACCACGCGTTACAGAAATCAGACTAGGGACCACATCAGTCCCCTCTCGACACCGGGAAAGTTTCGAACCGTTATTCTCTTACCATGTCAGATGTCGACGCGAGAATACAAGGCATAGAAGACACGCTTAAGAAGCTCCTAATTATCGTGGAGGAGGACTATTTCGACGAACTAATCACCCATCCGTGCGGCATTGCCAGATTGTTGTGCTACAAGAGCAATCCGACTCCCGAAAACGCGCAGGAGAAGTCTGAGGAGCAGTTGGAACAAGAAGAGAAACTCGGATTGGGTGCGCACACGGATTATGAGTGCTTTACCCTGCTGTTGAACTCGGCCAACCCAGGTCTGGAGATATTGTTGCCGACACGCTTAAGAAACTCCTAATTATCGTGGATAAGTATGAGTCACCCGGTAGGTACCGATTCGCTAAGTCGCGTAAACGAATCAATTAACCTAGAAATCGATCCGCTTCATAATTTATAAAGCTAGAGAAAATATTCAGTATCTCAAAGAAATGGTCGAAGGCTCGGGTATCAATATCGGTTACGAGCGAAGTACGGGAGCTAATGATCGAAACGCTACCCCGGAAGATCCATTATAGATCTTAGATAACCACTATATCTTCCTACTCGGATCCGGTCGCTTATACGATTCGTTTATTAATACGGTATATCTATCCTTCATTAGATTAGGGGTTATAGGTTTAGCTAGTTTTATTCCTCTTGTTCGGCGTAATACTGCTGGCCTCCCTTTACGGCCGTTTCATTCTACTTATTTATATACTTTATGCCGACCGTTCTATATGCTATAAAGACGAAGTTTACACTTTGATTAGTCGGACTACGACCGCGGGCTAACCTTTAAGATATATCCCAATGTGAGAAAACAGGCCCACTTTGTCGGACCTCGAAACGGCAAACCCCAAATCGGATAATAGATGCTATATTTTCCTGAGAGGGGATAGGATAAGGTAAAGCCTAAAGAAAACCCTTACACCGTAAGCAAAGTCCTTTTGCTACACCCGAAGTAGTGAATGCTCGGCGCCAGAGAAATTCTGTCGTCGGAATGCGAAAAGATTTTTACTTCAGCGTGGCTTTCTCAGATGCCTTGCGCAATACTCGTAGTCGGCTCCTCGCCGCTAGGCTATGCCTCTCCACTGATAATCTTGACGTTGCTGCTAAGGCAAAAGTAATACTCTCAAGAGATGGACAAACCGTATATAATGCCTATAGCAGTCGCCAAAATACCCATTGATTCGAGAGCTTTTCAATTGAATAGGAATCAATGGCCTAACAATGTTGGATATTTGCCCCTTGGGACCGAACGAAATTCGACTACTCGACCTCGAAGGTGGTCAACAATAACCGGTGTGCACCATACGCCGCGTCAACCATAAAACCGATTACTGTTTATTATTATACTATTGGGGAGCGCCAATAGTGCCTACCGCGCTAAAGGTAATCAAACTCGAAGGCTTACAGTTATTAGCTGGGCTAAATATTTTCCGTGCAATCTCGCTCTACGTTTTCAGCACTTAACTATTTGGCTTGATATGCTCTGCACCTATTCTAATCGATCCAGCATCAACACCTTAGAGACTTAAGGTTTGAACCCTGGCAAGGCGAGAGGGTTGATTTACAATGAGGAGCCTAACTGCGGCTACATGTAGGGATGCCTAATCCAGCACCTTATACTATCAGTTAAACCTGCCTTGCATCTAGATATCTGTTTCAACTAAGCCTCGGTGGAGGTGGCTAGAATTCCTCGTCCATAGCACCCTCGATTCCCGGTACCAACAATATATGAGACTAATCGTTTCGGAGAGCTCCACGCTACTTGTCTTGGTCCATACAAGAAGTTACATAAGTTATTTTCAACCACAGTGGCTACTCCTTAGGCGTCACCTGCCACATTGTATGGGTAAGCAGTACGGCAGCGCCCGTTTAACCATTTAGAGAATGTATATATTCCATGCTATCGACACTATAATAAAACACCTTAGAAACCTGAGGTTCTTGATTACGTGCCATCGAGGCCGCCTTAGAGTATTGCCGATGAATCCTCAAGCGACTCCGTTGACTAGCTGGATATCACTGAGCACTCCTGGGACAATATATCCAGGGTGATCAGGTTCCCTAGTAGGCTCGCCTCCGTTTACGCTCTAGGATAAAGCCGCTGATGATGGCTTTCGGCTACACGCCAAGGGACTAATAAAAAGCTTCGCTAGAGTACAATCACGATATGACTAACTGTCTATGCGATAGCTAGCACGCGGGCATATAAGAGCGACGAATATTATGTGAACATGACCAACAAGGTACTGACGTGATTGGTGATTTGTCAAAATCTGAATATGCTGAGCTTGCAGCTGGTCGACCTGAGCCTGAAGAATTGTACAGTACCAGATGAGCACGTCGAGCGGTTTCACCACTTGTGGAACGTAGTTGAAGACTGATCAGTACAAACGCATCCTGGACCTGACTTTGACTTTGCACGACCTCCAAAGGCTTCGACTTGAGGGTGTTATTGCGTCTCATATCCTCATGACGAATTCGAGTTATCTGCACAAGACCATGGAGAAGACCCGCCATTTGCTGCATACGAGTTTTTGATGTCGACGACAGATCCATAGGTACCACCAATCATCAAAAAGAAGCCGGAAACAATCACAAAAACACTCCAAGCCACCATAGCATACCACTTACTCGTTCTTGCATTGTGCCAATTATCGTATAGCCACATGGCACCCATCGGTTGGAAGCACATAAGAGTCCCGAGGAGCGCACCGATAAGCGAGACCAGGCCACCAAAGACTGGAATTGCACTTGCGATAACGTACGAGACAATTGTAGTACCGAGTGTACATCCCAACCAGGTGGCCCAATGCCGGAAAGTAGGGTCTGTGAGATGATACGAACCTCGCAACATGCGGACAAAGACGTACTTTGCAGCAATCTGGGAGTCATCAGCCATCTTCGATAGCGTCTAGAGATAGCTACTTACGTGTACGAAGAGGAGGGTACTGACGCACAGACCCGGCAAAGCTAAACCATAGCAGATCTTCTTCAAAAGGGTTCCTGCCGACCCAAGTGCTGGTGATGCAACAAAGCTTCCACAGTAGTAGTATACCACAACACCAATCACGATATAAGTGGTGGCCACGATTGACTGACAAAGTAAGAGTGAGCGGGTGTAGTGCTCTGGTACACGCATTTCAGATGCAATTTGGAAGAAAGCAGGTGTACCGGCCCATGCGAAAACGATGGAGGAGCAAGCTGAAATCGCTGACTCAAAGCTTGGATCGCCAACGGCTTTCCAGTTGGATTGGAAAGGACCTGGTGGGGCAGCGGCAGGTTTATCTTGAACACCCACAGCGACCGTCAGGGTAAAAACTATAGATTGGTTGTCAGATTGTGTACAACGAGAAGTTTCGGAGTGTGACTTAGGGTTAGGGTTAGGGTTAGGGTTAGGGTTAGGGTTAGGGTTAGGGTTAGGGTTAGGGTTAGGGTTAGGGTTAGGGTTAGGGTTAGGGTTAGGGTT